ACAGGCCTGTTCTTGTGACTAACAAGGATTCTACCTAGGTAACTACTGTATCTTACCCGAAGAGGAATGGAGGGATCATTATTCAGCGGATTTCGAATCATGCAAAAAGCTGCTTGCCCAGTTTGGTGATTTGGATTACAGGGTATGTATGGGACGCCCCGAACTCCCCATCGATCAAGGTATGTGTCAGATCTACGATATGCCCAAGTGGAATTTTGGACTTCTTTATTTTTTATTTTTATTTATACCGGGACAGATGGAACTATTGGCAACGGCTCCGCTTCATCTCATCAATGTGTTGTGATATATTGATTAAACACGGATACTACCACGTGAAGCGCTATGGATTGGCTTTAATTCAAGTCCAACGTTGTACGCTCAAGACATGGGGGTTCATATGGACGGAAAAAATCCTTTGTGAGTTTTGGTCTTTTTTTTTCTTTCTTTTTTTCCGTTTATATAATTATTAGTATTAACTATATTTTATCGCCACTCTCTGTTTAACATCTGCACGTTCCAACTGTGTCCAAAGCACAACACGGGAAACTCTGCTGAACTTCGACCAAGAAGAGTATTTTCCGCTCAGGCAATTTACGGACAAAAACTGTAACCCAATTTGACTCTCTAGTTTAGTGTCGTATTGCCATCGCATTAAGGTGGATATTCTTCGACCCCGACTAGCCGGTACACTGACACTAAGGAAACCCACGGCAAGGGCAAAACAGAAGAAAGGAAAAGGAAAAAGGAACGAGAAAAAAACGAGAAAAAAAACGGGAAGCAGCCGGACCGTTCCCAGCCCCACTGAGCTTTAGACCGCCTCGATCGGCGGGGAGTAATTCAGGTCTCTCTGTGAGATTCTCTTCGTCTCCTCTTCTTCATAGAGAGACTAGCGGAGTGAGGCCATACCAAATACGGAGCTAGTTCAAGACAAAGGGAGGTTCTCCTGAGTGAAAATGAGATAAACGATGCCGAGATTGTCCTTTGTCCTGAAGTGGATTGGCCGTTTTAACAGCTCCACGCCATCTTTGGCAATGGACCCGAAAACAGGTCTCTATCGACCCACCGGCGTTGAAGGACGCTCAGTCTCTGCGCAAATCCCGAATTGTCCGGTGAATCACTGGCTCCGTGATCGCCTTTGAAGAAAAGTCTCCGAGTATGGAGCTTCGGAGAATAAGCTAGAGTGTGAAGTATATGATGTTGATAATGATACTGATGTTTGATATATTAACAATGTCTTGATAATAGTATTCGGTTAAAGACGTCTGTTTACTACGGAAAATATAATCAAAGTCTTGATCAACTAACGCTAACCTTGACTATGAAGCTCTTCATCTCGCCTACCAAACTGCCTAGTCACATTTGTATTTCTCTTTCATTTTCAGTTATCTTTTTTTTTTTTGCTTGCAACACTTAGCTTTACCGTTTGCCCATCTCAGAATTTCATCGATCGACAACGGAGATAAAAAAGCGGAAACCGAGGGAGGTGCCAGCCGAGATTGGCCTCCCCATAGCCACGCGATGAAAAACGGAAAATGGCTTTGGTTAATTAAGATCCGCCCAGTGGAGACCGAGGTGGATGCCACAGTCGCTCCAGGTTTCCATGGCTCCGTTTCCAGAATATCAAGCGTATCGTTATTAATGATTTGGGCCTCGGATGATTATTTATAAACTGCTTATAAACATCAGTACATGACCAGATTAGGACACAGTACTCTGCCGTTTGGCCTGTGCTGTTGATTGCGACTAGTATTGGCTTTTTTTGCGGGTCGGGACGGCTGGATGTGTTTGTACGAGGTGATTTTAGGTACTAACAAGCAAGGCTCTGAATTCGTCTCGAGGTTGTGGTCTGTTGGTTTGTTCGTCACGGTTGGACCCGAGAATATGGGTGCATGACTCAGGTGTGATGACTACTCCAAGGCCATATCGAACGTGTCGAATTTGAGTAGATCGCTGATTTCGATTCCTCATTGAGAAGCTTCTTGCAGGGCCCGTTATAGCTAGTTTTAGCTGATAAACTTGATGACGCTATATACCGCTAACCAAAGGAGCAGTGTCTCACGGGTATCTCCCGAAAACGTATATTCAGAATTCGTAAAGGCGTCCAAACTCGAAAAAACATTACTAGGTGCCGCCAGTGGTACATCATCTAATGCATTCGAGTATTGATCGACGGCGAGCGCCTCTCTTTCTAAAGTCGAGACTTCCTAAAGTAGATACTAAGGCGAAACTCAAATAAAGTCCATCCTTGGTTTGAGTATCAGAAATGTATGCAGTGAAAATCCCATGCAACGGAATCCGTCCGATCTCGATTCTAGAGCCGGCCACTCGGCGACATCTCGGCCAGGACATAAACAAATCTCTATAGGATGTGTTGCTGGGCAATTAGATTCGATGCTATTCTTGTATCACTTCAAGTTTCAGGGAAAGGAGTAGAGAATGAAGGTGTTGAAAAGGGTGTAGTTGAATGGATACCCCATCAGGTATACAGCGTTCTACACTCTGGATGTTCATCTTGCTTAGACGATCGATTCAACATGCACCCCAGAGCCCAAGGGACGCAAGCCGTTGCCAAGAGTAAGCCACTCACACAAACTGTCAAATTTAGAAAGGATACGTGTAGTTCTACCTGTATGACTCGTCAGATCGGGGATTATTCCAAATCGGAACGGCGCATCTAGCATAAAATTAAGCATACAACCGAGAAAATGACGAGTAGCACTGTCATTACTATACAAAACCACAACAATTCATGTTTGAGTGCAAGGCTAATAGTTTGATTGGTGTTGAACAAGGGTCTTCTCATCAAGTGGCTATATGCAAGCTGCAGGTGAATGGCCCGTTTGGGTATTTTGACAGGTGCTTATGCATCCAAGGCTTTTGATGTATGCATAACCAACAAGTCTAGGCCAGATTTATATTTGTCATTGTGAGATACTCCGTACACAGATTAAATTCCTCAGAATAAAGCTTTTGGGATATTTGAGCTACCATTAAACAGGCAGATTCACGTGGATAGTTGGTTGATTTGAATATGACAGCTGCAAGGTTCGGTTGAGGGCCCAGCCCTTGTAAAAGTATATCTGTAGGTTTTATTTTGCCAATCCCCTGAAATTTGTAAATTTCAAAGTCCGAAGTGTTATTTGTCAATGCTGCTTGTTGCATATCGTCTAGATACCTTATCTTGGAGAGTTGTTTTTGCTTTGTTTAGCTTGTTTGTTGTTAACAGCAAAAAAAAGACAACTTAACGACAAAAGTACAACCTCCGCTCTCCTTTCATCAACTTGTCCAATGATCTCTAGATTTGCCGTATCCACTCAAATCCCTACCCCTAACGCATCATGTACAATGTACATCGCAAGGACATCTCCAAGAAAAAAGAACAGGTTCGGTCTAACAGCCCCAGTGTTCCAGCACACTGGGAAATGCCGGAGCGGAGCCATCCAGAAATTTTTCATTCCGCAAATTTTCGGATTTTCCGCCATAATCAACCAATAGAGTGATTCAAAGCTATTTTTGTGGCTCCAAGGGGAAGGAGACTGGGTGAACTAAAAAATACCACGAAATGAGACAGATCCGTGCGATCGACGAGGAAGTACAACAGCCGAAGGATCGGCAATCTTCAATCAAACCAACCATGACTGTCAACACTTGGGCTGGGCCCCCGCAGATCCATGTCTCAACGGTGAGGAGACTGACGGAAAACGGTTGTGGTTCTGACAGATTCTGACAGTGGAGAGTGGACCAACGAATCCACTCTGGCTCAAGAATTGTCATAATCCCCTTAATTTGGTCCCAAATACCTGTACTGCTATGCTTTATGTTCAATTCCGCAACTTCGGACTCTGACCCAGGATAGAAGGTTGATATCCGAAATCAAAAGGGAAAAATAATAGGGCCTTGACCCCTCAACCTCCCCGGTGGCCAAGGTACCCCCTAATCCCAACAAAGTCAAGGCGCCGGAGATCTGGATGGGCGGGCAGTCTAGCCACAAACAATGTGTACTGACTCCTAGTCTCTGATAGTGCAATCGGGATTTGGATCGCATCGTACGATATCCTTCTAGCATTCTGCATCGTACAGGTACAGGGACATATACGATCTCCTTTTTTTGGTCTAAGGACCATTCCATACACCAACGCACAAGCCTTAGAAAAAGTGGCAACTGTCTGATCTACAGCGTAAATCTCAATGCCAATCATGTGCCACCGAGGCCATTGTGCAATCCATGCTCGCCCTGCATTGATCCATGCATCCGTTGGTAGCCCTTCCCATGCGCAAGAAGTCAAATCCCGGGATTGGCTTCCGTCCTTTATGTATGTAGCATGAACACGCTAGCCGTACCTTTGCCTCGCTGGGTCATCTGTGGGCCAATGGCAAGATCCCGATGTTCTTGAACGCCAGGATTGAGCGGCACAGACGTCCGTCTCTTTTGTCTACATGCAGGCGGCTATGCAATGCAGCTTGCCGTATGGAGTACATTTGAATATTAGAGCTGAGTCCAGAGCTTTTTCCGTATGCTCTTGGTTATAGTAGTCAAACCTTATTTGGGAGGCTAGAGAAATCGATGAATATCTTACATGTCGAGTCGTGTCGAGGCAACTCGGGATTTTGAGTACACATCAGACTTGACACTTGCCTCGATCAAATATGATATCAGAACTCAACATTTGAAATTAGTAAGTTGAACTAAATGAGGCACCTAACCTGGATTATTCTTGTTAAACCGGTCTTTGATGCATCACTGATTATAGTATTTCTATACCATTTGAGACATCATCTCGATACCACGTCTCTAACGGGCTGTAATTGTAACAATACGTAATCTCATTCTAAACAATATCAGCAAAATTATTGTTTTTTTCTCATGTTCAAACTAGATTGTGCTGGTATAAGATGATCACGTGACCAATTGGTGGGTGGTTTGTGCACAAAGCTTGGATTTCCCCACTCAAGCTTCCCGCTGTTGTCCCTCAAATATCGATGTCACTTTCATCTGCATCATGGCTTCAGATCTCCTATCTCCTGCGGAAATCCCCACGGTGGGAGATTTGTACCGCCAGAAACGTCTGCAGCATTATCACTCCCAAGTTGAACCCTCAAAAACGTTGAATGGTATCATTTCCTTCATCCGAAATGACATCACCAAGCTCAAAGTCGACTGCATCGTGAACGCAGCTAATAGTTCTCTTCTCGGTGGTGGTGGCGTGGACGGGGCCATTCACCGTGCTGCGGGGGAGAGTCTGCTCGCTGAATGCGCTGCGCTTGACGGATGCGACCCCGGCGATGCAAAGATCACTTCTGCATACGAGCTGCCTTGCAAGAAGGTCATCCACACCGTGGGGCCGATCTATATGCATGAAGACAGCCCAGATCAGACTCTCCGTTCATGCTACCGACGTAGCCTAGAAGTGGCCGTTGAAAACAGCATGAAGAGCATTGCCTTTGCTGCCATCAGCACTGGCGTTTACCGCTATCCCAGTGACGAAGCGGCCGAAATAGCCTCCGAAGAGACGCGGAAGTTCCTCGATATGCCTGTCAACAATGGAAAGCTGGAGCGTGTGATTTTCTGCAACTTCGTGGAAAAGGATATGGAGTCCTACGAATGGAAGATTCCGTAAGTTTATCCTTGCCATTGAATGATTGATCGAAGACTCATGGTGTTTCTAGCCAATTCTTCCCTCCTACCCCGGAAGAATTGGGTCAAACCAACGGAACCAGCACTTGAATTGCGATGCCAACAACGTGCTCATTCCTGCGACGGGAACAACGATGAAAATACCTTCGATATGACACTCACGAGACCTATGGGACAGAATCTCCTCAGCTGGATTCTACACGAACTTTCCTTGTGTAGAATATGACGATAGCTTTGAATCAAGACTCAAGCAATTTTCCAACATCAGTACACTTTCTGCCTGCCAATAGTATTGTGGGAAACAAGGACTTTAGGGCTGAGTTCAAAAGCTGAATGAGAGCAGGATGGACATTCAAAGGAACGCCATTTCAGGTGCTCACTCCACAGAGGTTTAAGTTAGCACTTAGCGATGCAAACACCATCCTAGGCGGTGCGTGGCTACCTTGAGTTTTCTAGATAACAATCAAAATCAAAGTTTTCTTCATAATCCGAGCTTCAATGACTCGTTTGAATACCAGCCCTTTACCTTGTTCGCTTGTAGACATTGAACCCATGCTTATGATACCAGAATGTGAAGAAGCGCGGTGCAAACAATGCAAACTTCATATCAGATCGCATTTGATCGCGATATTCCTGCTGAGCACCACTCCGATAGCAATTCCAATTGAAACACCTCTCGATAATTGGTATCGAAGAATGAACATTGCCGACCTCAATTAAGCACGCCAGCTGCGACTTAATTGTCAGCACATTCCCACCCTCCCGATATATCCGCCACCACCCTCAAAATGCCGAAGCCACGAGCAACACCAATACCTAATGCGCGATTCCGAGTGCAATGCCCTGAGGAATCGGCGCCCAAAATCGGACCATCAGTATCATCAGCGCCCTCGGCGCCCTCAGGGCCATCCCTGGCCAAACAAAAACGACCTCCAATTCTCTCAACCTTCCTAACAGGCCTCCGCCAACGCTTCAGCACACTCCCGGCCCCAGTCCGAAGAGCAGGCCGCACCCTCCGCTGGCTAACACCCATGGTTCCAATCGCTCTCTTCTTCCCCGAACACGTGTTACAAGTAATGTGGGTGCGCGGCCCATCAATGACGCCCTACTTAAACGAAAACTACGACCAAACACAAACACAAAGCGACATGGTGCTGGTCAACATGTGGCCCTGGGGGTCTATGAATCCCTTCCAGAAACAGCGGACACTAGAGCGCGGAATGGTGGTTACGTTCCGGTGAGTTTGAACCAGGCCAATGCAGATATCGTTACTGATATTTCGACTAGCTCCCCCGCAAATCCCTCTCACATCGCTGTCAAGCGCGTTATCGGATTACCTGGTGATCGAATCACGACGCGCGAGCCATGCATGCGCCCGACGCAGATCGTGCCTTGGAACCATGTCTGGTTAGAGGGTGATGCGGAGGATCCGCGGAAGACGCTGGATAGTAATACTTATGGCCCTGTTAGTATCAGTCTGGTTACTGGGCGGGTATTTGGTGTATTGGGGCCGCGGATGCGGTGGTTAAATTGGTCGGATTGGGAATCTGAATCTGGGAATGAGACTGCGGCGGAGATACATCGGAAGAGTGTGCGGGATCGTGTTTTAAAAGATGCTGTTAAGCTTGAGCAGCCCTATTTGAACTGATGACTATATCAATCGGTTAGGTTGGGCATGTGTCTTACAATTGTTGATAGAAGGGGTCGACGGCGTCTGATGTAGACTCTAGATTGTACATATATTGAACACATATTTGGTCATTATTATATTAATATTGAGCAAACATTTTCATTGTGGTACTATTATTAATAACAATGCTGTGCTATGTGTATTTCAGCTAAAGACGGTGCCCATGCGCCTGAGAAAAAAAAAAGGGTTGTCACGAGCGGTATATGTAAAAAGAAAATCCAGAAAATGTAGTAATGTCAACCGAATAAAGTCATTATGGAGAAACAAGTCGGATATCTTCATGCTTCTCTTCCTGGAGACGGTCAATCTCCGAAGAGATACTCATCACCCATCGGTCCTTCTCGACACGACTGCGTGCCTTGAACACAATGGTGCGACCATGTTTGCCAAGAGTGGACACATGGCGCAGGGAACGCTTGGCTTTACCCTGCGCTCCCACCTCCTGGGCTCGGAAGTAGCTCTTACTTAGAGGCTGCCAAACCACAAAAGTAATAGCACTGTCCTCGTCGCGGCTTGTGAAGGTATTTGAATCGAGGTATACTCGGGGGAGAGCATGGAGGCCAGGATTGTTGCTGTCAAAAGTTTGATTGGCATATAGCAAATCATTCTCAGTGATCAACCCGGAATAAATGTAGCAATCCCCCAACTCGATAGTAGCTTCGAGTTCTTGGTGAATGTGTGGGATCTCAGCGCCACTGCGTTTACGCAGCGTGCTGCTGAATATCAGCAACTTTCCTGCTGTGAGTATAACATGGCATTGACTAAACGTGGTGTGACGGCGAGGCTTGCGGAATAGATGGCCGGACATCTGTTGACTGTTATCAGTATATGTATAAACACATTAGTCAATGCAGCGATGACCTACCTTGATAGTTCGACAACCCGTCAGCGAGCACATGTTATGTAAGTGTGGCGAAGCTTCGGCCTTCTTTACTTCCCATTTCTTCGCGAACTGCCCGACAACCGATTCCATGGCTTCGTCGATGTCTAACAGTTGGAGGTTGCGTTTTCGTAGAAGCCGGTGTTCCTTGGCATCTTCTGCACAGCGTTCGCGCCAATACTCCACCAGAGCGCCGAGTCTCCTGACCCACTCGTCCCTTGTAACTGCATCATATGCTTGGAGCCGAATCACGAGGCCGTTGTCTAAGACCATTTCGAATGTTCGATCATGGTCAAACTCTTGGGTTGCGCCGTCGTCTCGACGAGAGTCGCTAGGTTCGTGATTAAAGTCTACAGCAGGCCCCTCCTGGATGTTGGAATCCGCAGGGCTGCTGCCACGATAAATATTACGCACTTCTTTCACCCGAATCATATCAATGTACCCGTCTGCGCTGCTAATATTGTGCACATTCCTCTGTGCGTGCGCATAAGCTTCTTCATCGTGTCGTTTGACATACTCCTTGTTTCCATTGGAGAGCCATGCTATCTCGCCGTCCTGTAGAGGATAGGGATTGACATCCCAAGATAGCGGCATGGCATCCAAGATCTCACGTGCAGACGGTACACTTGCATCTTCCCTGGGGGCACATTTCGGCGGCGCAGGTGGTAATGCCTTGGCTGGTCGACAGAAAAACAAATAATGATCATGGGTGAAGAAATACAGCCTCTTGAAAAACATCTTGTTCATCCGTTGGTGTACACCCTTTTGAGTTGTAAGACGAATCAAAAACCCTTCAACTGGCGCTGGCTCGTCTTCTTTGACGCCGCGGTGCCGAATTGCGGTTGAATAGTGATGTCTCGGCCGTAACTCAAGCTCGTGAGACGACTGCATCGCGATGGACCCATACATCTTTTCTTCGTTGACTCCAAAGACCCATTCGAGTCGGTCATATCGTTTCCAAGCAAGTCCCATCTTTTCGGTCTTGGACCATGCTTTCAACACCTCAGCCCACTCGGGACGGCCCTCGAGCATTTCCATACATCCTCGAATGATGTTTGCAGCAGCAAACCTGTCATCAACTGCTGGGCGATCCAAGACCGCTGCTGTGTGCTCGTTATCAGAATTGTCTGCCTTCAGGCCTGCCTCGCGCTGGATGAATGGGTTCTTGAAAACAAGCGAGACACCCAGATCAGGAACATGGATCGGAAGTGAGGTCGGACGTCGCCATCCTAGAACCTGGCGGATGAAAGTATACCACTCCGCAGAATGAGCTGCGGACTTAGGTCGGAGGATGAAGATTGTGGTCCCATGTCTGCGAGGATACCAAATGACGATGGTCTTATCGAGAGGAGAATAGAGGTTAACATGGGTTGTTTTGTGGTTGAGTCGTACTTCGTAATAGGGCGGAGTTTTGCTGTTTGGTCGTTGCACGTCGGGGATAACACGGGTGCGGTACATCTGAATAGCGAACGGTGCATGTTCCGCAGAGCTTTTGCGGCACACAACGAGAAACTCTCTCCACTTGTCCACGGTCCGCGTTTCCATGCGAAGGCTGTCATTCTCAGTGTAGTCGGCGGGAAGAGTACCCTGCACAGTCTCCTCGACGCAAACCAACATTTTCTCCGCTTTGACAATCTCTCCATCTTGCACTTTCCGCCGGTGTGGCCGATTTGCAGATATGGTACCCTGGGTTCTTGCAATCCGAGTACGTAGCCGCTGTTGTTTGTATTTTATGTTATCATCAAGATTCAATTTTGCCATCTTTCTGGTGAGTCTCCGTTGGATTTGCGCTTCTCCGCCACTATCATCTTCATCTTGGGGCTCCTGTTGCTGCAGGGTCGCTCGAGACACATCGGATGCCTTACTTCTCTGCTTCCCTTTATTCTTGAAGTTCGTTCGTAGCAGTTGTGTCGTTGAATCCGCCTCGCTTGGACCCGTGGACGGGTTGGGGGTTAATGAGTTGTGAGGAGCATGATCAGTGGAATATGTAATATGTGACCCCCGCGACTTTGGGCGCGCATCGGGTAATTCACGCCCGTTGGCTCTGATGGTAGCAACTGAATGACCGGTATCTGCAGAGCTTGCAATTTCTTCTCTGGCTGTGACAAAGGAAGAAGAAGCATCCTCGTGCCCGTAAACATCATCTTGGCCCCTTGTTCTCGCTTTGGGGGTGCTATCTGTATCTTCCCCGCTATCTTCTGCATCCTCTCCATCTCCCCATGCATTTTCCCCATTCTCCGTGTTCTGTTCCGGTAATGGATCATCGCCACTGGCTTCGGCCTCGGGATGGGTGAGGGTCCGCAATTCCCCCACAGGATCGGCTGCAAGTTCTTCTTGTTCCTCTTCTTGGAACTCGTCGATTTCTTGTTCGGCGGCCGCGTTACTTGTATTCGTGAGTGTCAAAGCAACCTCTTCATCCAAATCCGGTAAAGATGGTACGGTCTGGTCATCATGTCCGCTGTAATGAGTCGCAACGGGGCCTGCTGAGAACGAGATAGCCTGCGATGTATAATTCCTAAGTCGCAATCTGGATTTATACCAGGACTTGCGGTGTCCCTGCAGCCAGCCCTCCGGAATTGGCCCAACGAAGAATCGCCGGTTTGTCATGTGCAGGTGGTTGGCGGAAGCATGACGCTATCGAAAATATGTCAATACCACTCCAACTCTATCTCGACAGGGGATATATACCAGCTGCTGGTCCGTATAGGAGCCAGTCTGCAGTGCATGGTAATGTTCATGGTAAGAGCGTGGGTCAACTTCTGGCGACGACCTGTCTGCCTGGTCCGGTGGAGTGCTCATGGCAATCTATTACCCGCGTGGGCCTCAAAGGGCGCCAGGCATGGGTGAAAGTAATAAAAGCATGGAGATAAGCAACAACGCGGGCGCAAATAAATCAATTAGGCACGGAGAGCCCCTCAAGCTAAGGTTAATAGTGCGATCGCCAATCTCGATGCAACATGAACGGATGACGTCGCTGCAGGCTCAATGATATGGTGCAAACAATGTAAACACTACAAACACAGCAAATGATGTTTACCCTTGACCCGTATTGGGACTGTTTGCATTGTTTGCACCCTTACATGCGTCCCGCCCCCCTGCCCCACCATTGGCTTGCGTGGCAGCAGCGGTGAAGCTGTCATTATCCCAACGGTCTCCTGAGCTCTTTCACTTCTTCAACTGCTGTTTTTTAATCAATTTCTTAGCAAACATGACCGCTATCCCCGTTGACGGAACATGGTTTGACACCCTCAACAAGTCCTTCGCCGATGTCCCCATTGGCGAGGATGAGGGTATCTCGACAACCGAGTTTCTCGAGGCCGCTGATTCCCTAGTGACCCTGTTTGGTGTGTGCTATTCCACTACATAATGATTTCCTAAACTAATGCAGGAACCATCTAGATGTTCTCGGTTCCGCTGCTTTCACCCCGGTCAAGAAAGACTTGCTGAACAATATCAAGGTCCGTACTCCACTCAACTATTGGCGTCAATGTATTCTAATCTTCCCCGCAGAAAGTCCGTGACCGTCAGCTGGCAGCTCCTGGGGAGTCCGAGACTCTGCAGAAGCTTGTTCTGAACGAACTGAAGACCAAGAACCACACTGCCACCGAAGGTCTGGTCTGGCTAGTTCGGTGAGTTCCCATGTTTCAATTGCATTGCACAGGCCAATAGCAATGGCTCCTCTTCCATTCCCCCCAAGCACAATGAACTGTGGCTAATTAGTATATTTTCAAATAGTGGTCTCGACTTTACTGTGCAGGCACTCCGTCACAACATCGACAACTCCACCAAGGAGCTCGCTGACTCCTTCCGCGAAGCTTATGGCAAGACCCTTAAGCCCCACCACTCATTCATTATCAAGCCCATCTTCTCCGCCGCCATGAGCGCAACCCCATACCGAAAGGACTTCTATAAAAAGCTTGGTGAGGATCAGGGTAAGGTCAACGCCGAGCTGCTGAAGGAAGTCGTTGCATTGGAGAAGGTCGTCAGCATCCTGAAGACCTTCCAGGGTACCAAGGAAGCTCAATGGTAGTGAGGATGTTGCCCTGGAGGCCATTCCACTCAATTAAGCATGCGCAGGGTGTAACTTAATGTGTAAATATTGATCTGGTTTCATCTGAGCTGCGTCTTTATGTAGCGAATTCACAACCACCTTGGCTCTTGGTCACTAGGAACATAGCGGACCTTGGGACACCGTATCTTTGATAGAGATATCAGCATGAATGGTTGAAGGTTAATTTAAGAGAAGCAGAGGTAGATAGGGTGAAAAAGAGAGCATGAAAGGTCAGTGAACTGAGGTTCCTATGAGTCTACCCAGCATATACATACGTACTATGTAGTCAGCCCTAGCTCGAATATATGTTTTACCGGCTGTGTGGTTCCTGCAATGTTGCAATCCCAATCTTTCTACCGAGAAAGCAAGTGCACCGACTTGGCAACCTGAAATATATCTCGCAGGTATTCCCTGAAATCCGCTGTACGGAATCTATCCATACAAGCTCCTTTCATAGCTACCTAAAGGTATGTACATGCTTGATAAGAGAGCATGGAAGATACCAAGACAGCAGGGCCACACCTACAGCAATCCATGGTTGCGATGTTCATAGCCTTGGTTTAGTACAAGCCTAGAAGACCCATCGGGCTAATGTGAGATAGCCGAGATTATATGGATGAGCCGAGAGAAGTTCGCTAGTGTTCATGTCCTCAGACCCATTCTAGATTAACCACGGTACCTAGGTATAAGTAAGGTTGGCAAGAATTCTCTATATAGCAAGGTACCAAGTACAATATTGCACAATGTACGGAGTACGGAGTAGACATCTTGAATAACAATCTTCAGTAAATTGACTATTGAATTGACTATAGGCCACCTTTATCCAATAAATATGCAGCCAGAATATAGTCTACTGTCAGAACAATAGAGGACACGACGATTGCCGAGTTTATTGCGCCTCTAACCGCCAGCGGGACAAATTGACAAGTAATTTCCGACCATATCCACAGCATTGCAGATCACTCATGGCTGATCGCTTTGGTTTCAACTCAGAAAAACCCCCCTGAAGAGCCTCGAGGCGAGTAGATCTCGATAACGATCGATATCCGCTTCCCACTCCTGATCAATGCAATCTATTATTGTACTACTATATACAATGTATCCTCTTTTCCAATATCTATCAAATTAACCTAGGTCGCACGTGCAATAATTACCACATTGTCACATTGTTCAATCCAGCCACTTCTTGCACAAGGCCTCGGAGATCGCCTGCAAAAGCCAAAGCTAAAAAGAATTCAGAAGTGGTGGAACCCCCTGAAGAGACAGGAAAAACTCCCAGCAACGGTCTCCTATTACGTCTTAGTTTCAACAATAGCATCACGGATTTTGATTCTTGCTCAGACCCCGACTCCACCCACCGGATTTGATTCGCAGTAATCGGTAGGTGGAGAGGATTGTACCGAAACGAGCCATGACAGGTTGGATTATGCGTTCTTATGCCTCCAACGTGTTCTAGTAAGAAGGACTGAGCGGCGGCACATGAAAACTGACCTCGTATTCATTTTTTTCTGCACTCGTGGCTTCCACATGGTTATTACAATTTCCATGGTTTTAGCTACTTCATATAGTTCCAATTGGTCATGCATAATTGCATACTTTATGGCTGGACTATTGAGGGCTTGCAGGTTTTTTTTTAAGTTTCTTCCCCCACACAGTGGACGAAAGTGGATGACGATGAAAACCTTGGATATGCACAAACGAGATGAAACCCAAGAACAATGCTGAAGCTAAATTTCAACCCCACAGCGGACTGTCCATTTCGATGCGACATAGCTAGACTCCATGGGGCTCGCGGCTCGATGAAAAAGCCTGACTACCGGGAGACAGTGCCATTGCGGCATTGTATGTATTGTACCTAAAGAGCCACCTCTAGCCTTATTCTGGCAAGCGTGCATATCACCCGCTCCCTCGGAACCCTCAGGAAGTCTTTTTTACTTCCCGCGAAATATCAAAACACGGAGAACGAGGCTGCAATAGCCCCCTCTCCCTCTTGGCCGGCCCGTTCTCGCCACTGACAACCTTGATGCTAATGCTTGGTTTTCAGCAGTGGATTTTCACCTCTTTTTGATCTTTTTTTCCACCTCTTGATTCCCTATTCCTTGATCCTTTTGATTTTTGGACATCCTGGTGTGGGGGAAAGTGCTGCGCATAGTATACAGGCATGAATTATTGACCAGAGATTCAGTATCTGGGCTGTCAATATGTTACCCCTTGAAGGTCGCTCTGAGTCGATCTTTATCATTACCACTGTCTTCCTTGGAATTTCATTTATTGCCGTCTGTTTACGATGCTTCGTTCGTTTGCGCATCGTCAAGGCCTTTGGCTGGGATGATGCTTTCATGGTGTGCGCCATGGTAAGTATCACTTTTCTTATATCCGATTCGACAGGGTACTGATTGGATCGCAGTTACTTAATATATTATTCGCTTTATGCGGCATTACTGGAGCCTTGTATGGAATTGGACAAAAGTCCAAAGAGCTTTTGCTAAAGGGCACGATGGAAACCGCAATGTTTGTATGTGCTGTTTTAATTCATTGGTCACGATAAAACTCCATGCTAATACTATCCAAGTGGTGGTGGCTCGGTCAAACGAGCTATGTCTGGACGTGCGCGCTTGCAAAGATCTCCATCGCATTGGCTCTTCTCCGCTTGACGATCGCCAAGACTCATCGACTTATTCTATTCACGGTCATCGGTGTCACATGCATCATTGGCCTTGTCTTTTGGTTCATGTTGACGCTTCAGTGTCAACCGGTTGAATTCTTCTGGCAACAAATTCGGCTCAAGCTGGATCCGGAAGCCAATGTCCATGGCACTTGCATGAACCTGGATAGCATCATTGCCATTGCTTATGTCTACAGTGTTACTGCTACACTCTGTGATCTGACCCTTGGTCTTTTGCCTGTGTTCCTGGTGTGGAAATTGCAAATGAACACAAGAACCAAGGCTGCCTTGGCTGCCATTCTGGGAATGGGATGCGTGTATGTTCCTTCTCTGACAGCCATGTCTGGGATTTTCTGACTTTATTGGATACAGTGCAAGCGCAGCAGTCATTATCCGCATTCCCTTTCTTCATGATTATAAGGACGAAGACTTCCTATGTGCGTTTCCTCTGCTCGATTTGACGGGAAAATGATTACTAACACCACTTGATTCAATAGACGCAACCGCCAACATCTCGATCTGGTCCAACGTCGAAGCTAGCCTAGGAATCGCAGCAGGCAGCCTGGTGACTCTCCGACCCCTCTTCCGCTGGTTCCGTGACCCCAGCTATGCCGGAGGAAGCAAGAGCAAGAGCAAGCGTACCGGTGGTAGCATGCCCCTCTCCAGTATCAACGCAGTGCGATCCAATGCGTCTGGTACGCATTACTGGCGACCCGATCTCGAGGAGGATTCGCATGTAGTTACAACGACCGTCCATACCTCTAATCAGGCTAGTCGGACGAGTAGCCAGGAGGATCTCAACCCGAAGCACAGTGGCACTTTTTTTCAGGGTGTAAATGTGCAGAAGACGTTCTATGTTTCGGCGGATCAGGCATCATAGGTGTGGTTGTAGATAAGCTATGATAGAACAATACTTATTTAATCTACTTTTTCAAAAGGAAAACAACCACAGAACGGATATTAAATAAATAATTGGTTTGATTTGATTTTAGCTCTTCTTCCTGTAGACGATTGGGAACCTTGGAAGTACGTACATATGTAGACAATACCCTAACTTGTCCGGGTCTGTGAAATATGTTATTCCTTGCCCAGCCAGATGTGTATCTGGCAACCCAAATAGTGTAGGGGATTATCATGTAATAATACTTAAGTACAACCCACAGAATCTACTCAGATACGGCTAAAAGCGAGATGCAAGGCCTAGAATCTCCAGATACCACCAAATTAAAGCTTATATTGTGCATATGTGCCTATCAATGATGCCGTCGGAGTGCCGACACACACCATAGCGCATATAGTAATAATCCCACCCCTAGCAAACCCGGATTTTCCCCATGTGGAAAAAGCCCGTGCCTGCATATGCTTGATAACGGGACTGCAGGTACGCCAAGACCTTGAGCTCGTCTCAAGTAAAGTGATTTTCGACTCCCACCTGGGCACATTTTGAAAACGTTTCACCCCTGCCACTTTTGGCCTTTCGTTTATATAGCATTCTGATTCTCGATTTTCCAACAGCCCAAATCATTGCCGGGCTAGCTCAATCGGTAGAGCGTAAGACTCTTAATCTTAAGGCTGCGGGTTCGACCCCCGCGTTCGGCTCTTCCTAAAAACCAACAGGTCTTTAAGATTTCTTTTTTGCTTCTTTTTATTTTTTGATTATGTTGTTGCTGCCTATGTAAGTATGCTATTGGTGGAAAGATGGAAATGTGGTCGAGTTAAGTGTAAAATCTTGGGAGAATATACTCAGAAAGCGACCTCACAGGGCGTCAAGCCGAACGCGCTCGGTAGAGCGAGATACACTACGGCAGATTGAAGCAGACTTGCTCACCGGGGAGCTGGGAGACGAGTCTCGTTTGGTCAACCCATGTCCACTTCTTTTTTCAATTGATCGACGCAATGTTGCCATATCTACCTAGGTGAGCGAGAATATGGAAAGAATATACGTTATCAATGTCAAACAAGCAAAACAACGGATATATATAGCAAGGCCAATTGATTGTATGTATCCTAGAAATAACTAACGCCCGATGCTATGCACATATCATCGTAAAGTAAAGAGCTCAAACGCCAACCAGAACAATACCAAAAGGTATATAACCCCAGAAGCAACAGTCGATGGGCAAGCAACAAGGAATTACCACCCCAATTAAGTTCAAATCAAGTAGTTTGCTGCAGATTGCCTGTATACGCGCCCTCAAAGTCAAGACCCGCAAGCATACCGCTGACGCGATCGATTTCGCGACTTAAATCCTCAACGTTCATTGCCAGACTGCTTACTTCGTCGAATTTGCGGCGTCGATTGGCGTCGGCGATCATCTCCGAGACGAAGAATTTTTGCTCTTCTAGTACAATCAGGCGGTCTCTAAGGGATTTCTCTTCTGCCTCCAGGGCTGAGACTGCGCTGCTGGTGTCGCTCGTTAGGCTGGTGTTACTACCGCTGGCAGCGATGCTATTGTATTTGATGGCCGAGAGAGCGGGTTCTGGAGATCGAAGAGTTGACGTTGAGCCATTGACTGGGGTTTGCGGGGAGCTTGTCCGGCTAGGAATTCTGTCCGATGCGGGGGTTGAGTGTTTGAGGATTTTGGGAAGGGTCTTCAAAGGTAGCATGTGCAGGTGGAGGAAATTGCTGGCTTGTTGATATATAGCTTTCTGCAGCCTTTGTTGTGTAGGGGATTCGGTGGGCATGTCGCGAATTCTTCTAGCGGCAACGTCATACTGTGCAAAGGAATCAATGAGTCGTTTGCGAACTTTGGAAGCATCGGCGATTTGGGCGGATGAAGGAGGTCGCCTCGGATCTCTGCAAGGCTGGATGTTAGTGACTGGCTTGGATACCAAAGATGAGTTACATACTGTAGAGCGGTCAATAATTTTTGGAATCGAGGCAAATGGAGACGAATGCCCCTTTCAAACTGGGTCAAGTTCTCGTAAGCCCTGATCTCTGCTGGCTTTTTGGTAGCATCCATCTTGAAATCACGTCGATCGAACAGTGTGGCTTTGCATTCTTTGCATAATCTTATATCAACATTGACAAGGTTATCGGAGTTGGATTTCTCGGCGTTGGCTGGGGAAACTATCACTGATTAGTCTGAAGCCACGAGAGAGGGCCATGCTCAAACTCACAAGGAGCAATGCTTAGCCCGACCTCACTGGAGCACGCTGTATTAGGATCACCGCAAACGACTCGTCCACAAGTCCTGCAATGGTGCCGGCGGAATGTATAGCCCGAGAAGTCCTGTTGGCAAAACGGACACCGTGAAACACTGGCATCATCTTGCCAACTGACAATCGTTTGTTCCAATTCTTTACGTTGGTCGCTCTGCCACGCAAGAGACCATAGTTTGGTTGCACTAGGGTGTATTTGGTCAGGTGGCAGATTGGCCAACAGCTGGGTAAGACGAGTCAGTCGTTTCTCGAGTCGAGAGATCTCCAGAAAGTCCTTGTCAACAGTTTGTTTTCGTATTGATTTAAATGCATCAGTTTGGTTCCGGATAGTTCCTATTTCTTGTTAACTTAGTTGACCATCGAACCGGAACGTCTCTTACCATTGTGATCATTGTATCCCTCCCTTGACTTGTAGCAAGTTTCGCACACTCGGGCCCATATGCCTCGTACGGGTTCATGTTGCGCCGCCCGCGAGAGCTTCATTTGGTACATGGTGTGTTCCTCGCAAAAGAGTTTCCCACAGCTCCGGCAGTTCACGCAACCGTTGGTGGCATTCAATCGCTTCCCGCAGGAGGGCTCCAAACATTCATCATAAACATAACTCTTTTGCCAGTGATCCTTTGTAATGAGATCTTCTGGATCCAGTGGCCTCGGAGGTTCGGGGGTTCCTTGGTGGACTGCAAGCGGGCGAATGTGAAGAGGCGCGCCCTGGTTCTCATTTGATTCGAACACATCCAGACCCTTTAACTTCTGGTTTAGAACCGCAAGAGGTTGGAACTTCCTCGCCTTTTCCATTTGGACCTTGAACCAATCTTTGACTTCATCTTGCCGGTCGTCTTCCAAATTCTGATGCATATCGTCGAGATGTCTGGGTCAAGCCGTTAACAATGTAAAGAGGTTTGGGTGGGATTATAATGGATCGGTACCGATTCAACTGAAGCAAAGTCATCTAAAAACAATTAGTTATCATTGAATGGCATCAGAAAGCGAACTAGATATGGGACAATGCATACCATCTCCTCACTGCAGATCGGACAGGAGAGCTGGGCCCCCGGAGCAGCCGGCGCCGCAGATATGGAAGTATCACCATTCTCTATAGAAATGCGAGAAGTGAGATCTTGAGTCTCCGAGGATAACTGTGATATGGAAGTCTGTGAACTAAGGGAAACGCTGCTGGCAGCCGGCGAGAGCACCCTCGGCTGCGGGGACGGAGCTGATGCGAGAGCGCTCGGGTTGCCCAGAACACGACCTCCGCCCAGCGTCCTCCGTGACATGATCACGGGGGCATGAGAAGCCGAAATAGAAGCTGTTTCAGCACAACATTCGTTGGCTTTACAGAGTAATGGGAGACAGTTGAACGGAGGGAAGTGCCAGCTGTGATGTGGAGTCAGCCTTGCTTGTTGTCGCCTTAGGCATTTTGCCAAGACTGCGATTGCATGGCGATCCCGAGGTCAGATCAATGTTTACATAACTAGTGGTGTTGGTGATTTGTTGGTTATTTGGGTTGAATCACCCTATCGAAACCACTGAACTAAACCACTGAACTAATACTTTTACTTCAAACCTTCAGTCAAGACTCAAGTTCGGTGTCGGTGTAAGTGCAGATTCAACCACCTGGACCTATCTACTTATGTACAGTTAGTTCTCTTAGGTAGTATATAGACTAGAGCACCGCACACTAGAGAATAACAAACAACACTAATTGGACCGAAGGAATTGAGTATAACTTGTTGTTTTTTTAAAAAAAAATTGAATAAGGCTCGATTTGAAGATTTAGAGCTATACCTTAATGCCCCATTAAATCATGCCCACCAGGCTAAATACTAGATGCCAATAAACAAGTGCCCTTTTTTTTTGTCTTGTTTCCTGTTTTCCTGTTTTTTCCCCAATTTTGCCGTTTTTTAACTTTTTTTGGTGTGTTTCCGTTATATTCGTGATCTCATGTCAGTTTGTATACAAGCCTGGGTCAAAGCCCAACGCATCTCCTCCCAATGGTCATGACCAAAAGCATTATTTTTCATAGTCGCGATGGTAACTAGTCCCAGTGTTGGGATTGTCGTATTCCTTATGGACGCGAGTGGATCCATCATCGTATCGGTCAACGTCGCGATGGCGGTAGGTGCCGCTCTGATCAACTCGCTCGCGGTGGTGCCGGCGCCCGGTGGGAGTGCGGTAGTCGAGATGCTGATCGTAGGCACCGCTGCGCGGATCATAGGTTGTATTGCCGTAGCCGGTGTCGTAGGTGGTGTCGTATGTTGTGCTAGTCGGGCTCGCACCGTAGCCCACTGCGACATAGTCGGTTGCGCTGTAGGTATTGTCACCCGAGGAGTCATAGGTTGAATCCAATGCATTATATCTTGTGCCTGAGCGGTCATACACTGATCCTGAGGTATCGTATGTGTCGTAGGTGGTGGACCACTCGTCTCCGTAGTCAGTCATTTTGAAAGTGTATGTTGGAAAGACACGGAAAGATGGATTATCGCGGCGTTTGTATGCTTTGAAGTAAGACTTTGTGTGTGTGTGTGTGTTTTGTTTGTGTGTGTTTCTTATTTGTGGTGTTGTGAAATATATTTCGTCGTTGAAATCAAGTAAGTCATTGATAAAATTGTGACTGATTTCAATCTAGTTGGTGGCATTCTTATACATCGTTGTGGCGTTGGACATCATGATTATGATTGTGTGTTGACATCACTCGGGCGATTGAGATATCGCCAATTGAGGCAATCCAGTTAAGATTCAGTTCTTCCAGCGTAAATATTTGGAAACGATTATGATTTCTCTATCTTCCAGGGGCTGCCGTTCGAGACCGTTGCCCCAAGAGGCGATGTTGTTCTATACTTTCAACCGAAAGAGAGGTATAGTATAGTCAAACCAATGATAGACGAGGATACGCATTATGACCAGTTGTTTTTGATATTCTGCATGTTTCTAGATGACACCATGGACCTAAAACATGGAGGGTTCTCCACATTTGTTCTTATACCAATAGACACAAGACTAGAGGACACGAGCACAATGTGGATTTCACTATTGTCCATGCCTCAACCATATGCTTGGTGGCAGAACATCACATTTATCCTGACAACGAAACGCTTGCTATCCTATGAATTGCTTGGGGCAAAATGATACAAGTACCGCGGCCATAGAGACACATCACAGCGTTTTGATTATACTATGTTTTACAACTCAGGAGTCCTACTCGCGTTTATTTCGACACTGTTCCCAATCTAGTCACAAGTACAATTCAGCTATCCCGACCAAGGGGTGCCAATGAATCCGAAATGAATTCAGTAGCATTCATCAGATCAGTACTACCGTAGACAACCCGTCGGCGGTGTCCAGGAGTCGCGCGTTGTGCTGGCGCTCCCTCAGTACCGGCCTGGCCATTTGTCCGGCGAACCCAGTCCTGCAAGTTGCCGTACTCATCCATGCTTCCACCGCCGACTGTAAAGACAATGGCTTCACTGAAGGCCTGGCGACGCTGTCCGAAACTGGCACCAGTGCCAGGGCCTACGCCGCCGGCGGGAGTTTGTGTGTTTCGCGATGCGGACGCCGGTGGCATGGCACCACGGGCATTGGCGCTCCTAGGGTCAAAGTAGAGGTAGTTCTCCGTCTTTGCTATGGCAGAGCTTGAAGCCGCGGCCGGATCCATAATTGATTCGGTGATCTTGGTAACAGTGAGATCCTTATTAGCTGGTAGGAAGTTCTTCACGCCAGAGATCAGGGAGTCGAAGTTGGCACCCAGAGAGCCCGAGGTAATGCGATCCGTGAGACGGTTCGAAAGGGACGAGAAACCGCGGAAAAGATCAGAGGATTGTTGCTCTGGGGCGGCTGTTGTCATCATGGTCATCCGAGTAATATCGCGTACCTGCTTGACGTAGGCGAGAGAGGAAACATCGGGAACACCAGCCTGAGTCAAAGCCTCTTCAAATTGAGACAATTCAGACCGGCTGAGCTCAGTCTCTGTACTGAGGAACCAGATAACGAACAAACGCAGCTTATCTAAAGATTCACTGCCCTTAGAAGGATCACCGATCAATTCCAAGATCTGTGACTTTGATTGTTTGGTAATGGTCTCCTCCATCTCGAAGAAGTTATCCAGCTGCCGATCCTTAATACCCTTGAGTAGAGCAGTGGCAATGTTCATGTGCATATCGAGGATAGCCTTGCGTTCTCGCAATTCAGGGAGCAGGGTAATAGCGGCTTTCAGATGTTGCGCGGACGCACTTGTGTCATTTTGCAGATCTTCAATCGAGGAGGCACCGGTTTTCTTGGTGATTTCATTTGCATCCTCCTTGTATCGTGTAAGCTCAGTATCGATGTCTTCAGCCACCTGAGGGAACGGAGCCCCGGCGTTACGTTGCCAGAAAAAGTCGTTACTATTCAAGTCATACGACTTCTTCGTTGAGCCCTCATCCAAAGTTATTCGATTCAAGCGCATTTCAAGGACATCTTGCACAAGCGATTGATATGTCCACGAGTGGGAGAGCATCGGAACTAGATCAACATTGCGGTCCATGATAATCAGGACCGGCCGTGTTGATGGCACACCCGGCAAAACCGTCTGATTGCCAGAGAAGAGGTTGTCCTTGGAATTGAGGATGTGGTCGCGCAATTTGCGGTCGAGTTTGGTTGCTATCAATTCCGCCGCACCGCCCTTCGGGCACCGGATGATTGGAATAGTACCTACCCAGTGTTAGTTTTGTATCCTTACAGCAATTCATAACATTATATACTTACCCATGGTAACACTGACGCTGAAAAGACCACTAACAACTTTGTCGACGATTGAGTCTAAGTCTTCATCGGTTGTCTTGGGGCTGTTGATCTTGTAGTATGCATCATTTCCGAGCCCTAAACTGAACAGGTCTGGCTCTGCCACAACAAAGTTGAGATATTGGTCGAAAACTTGCGCAATATGCTCCGATGCACCAGATGTTACTATTTGAGAAGCGAAGTCCTCCAGTAGTGGCCGGGGTACGGAGGATAAGAAGTTGACGTAGGCTGGGGAGTAGAGCCCATGGGATAGGTCGTGAGTGATTGCTTGGATATTGGTGGGAGTGGGTTCCACAAAGTAGACAACGGGGACATCTGGAATAGGGTATCTTTGCGAATGAAGGTTTCTAGTAGTAGCCCATTCGTTAGCGGTGGGGCGAGGTGTAGAAGAGGAAGAGGACTGTACAGATGAATGGTTATGCCCCATGCACGGAGGTCATTGACTCTCAAGACGCTGCTAATAACATCACGACCCATTTTGTCAAACACCAAGACCTTCCAGATTGGATCGCCATCCTCGTTCAAGATTGGAGTGGAATGCGAAATAAGACCACCAGACTGGTCGAGGGTATTGTCCTCAGCAGGTTGTGGATCATGATTCAGATTCAATAATTTCTGGATTGAAGCTGTCATAGAGCGATCAGTAAGTGTACATTTAATTATAGCTTGATAATTTGACATGGTTTACTTACCGACCTGTCGGTCCCGGAGAGACATTGATTGCGAGGCCATGGCAATAGCTGGCAACGCTATGTGAAATTGGAGAGAGACTTGCGATCAACCAAAGCTTCGGAGCATAGGAATTTGCGCAGTAAACAAATTGGAATATGCGCGCAACTCTTCGAATATGAGCAGATGTACGGAGTACTTGCGCTGTTGATGCCGGCTCCTGTTATCACTCCACCTGGCATCCCGCCCCGGGTCGAGCTGTGCTGACATAAATGTTGCAAACGGGGCAAACCTTCAGGATCACATGGATATGATTCTGCTACGTAACACAAGGGGCGTAATTTACCGATATCTAGCCAATAAGGAGACTTTCATTTGCCCGCCAGGGATAATTACAGTATGGTATTGTACCATCGGCTAACTGCCCAAAAGTTCTTCTCACTTCACCTTGACCCCAGTCATCAACTCTAACCATTTCAACAACTTCCCCCATTACCCTCTTTTTTTCTTCGTAAAGCGAACGGCTATAGAGTGGCCATTTGTATGAGAGCACATCTCTTCTCTGATTTCACAAGGACTTCTTTTGAGACAAAACTTAAGAAAGGGACAGCGAAAGCTCTTCAAGGACAACTGGCACGGCCAAAGAAAAAGAGGCAGAGAGAGCAGGAAGGTTACAAAGCCAAGGATACAAGAAAACAAGGAGAGAGAGATAGGCTTCGGAGGTAAACACCTGGGCCCATCTTACTATACTTCTACGTTGTATTTGCAACTGCGGAGCCTTCGTCATTAAGCTGCAAGGCCAAGGACGACATCTGCAGTACTGGGGAAGAGAATTGATGCCTGAGGCATTATAAACCCAAAAGCTTTTGAAAGAAGGCATCTTCTGTTTTCTCTTTCTTAAGGTACGACAGTACTCATATTGCAACTCAAATCCATCCTAAGCAGTATCAAACGTGAATTGGCGTCTAATCCTTATCAACTCTTTTCAGTCCAACAGCTCCTGTTTTGCCCTGACGTGAGTCCGTCAACCAATCATATCTTACATCCTTCTCGGGAAAAACATTTATCCGACAATCGCCCCACCCAAACTCACCCACATCAGAAGGCGGTGAACACGATAAACATCGCATGCACGTGATTACGTGAAGCTTCAAAGTAGCTTAGAGAGGCAATTGCCTGTGGTCAAGATGGAGCAGTCCGCTCAAAACCCCATGCAGGGTCTCCCTCACGGAAGCAACCACAACTCAATCCCCCCTGAGTTTTGGAACACTCTAGATGCAAACTATCCCGATTCCGATCAACAGTTGCAACAGCCTGCCCAACACCATCACGAACTTCCTTCAAACCAAACACCGCTCGGTATTGACTGGGATCATCCTGTGTTTCAACAACAGCAGAGGGAGCTTGTTGCACGACCGGACCCGAGCCATGGCATCTACTCGTCCCTCCATCAGCCCTGGCAACAAACGAATCCTCTACAACAGCCTCCCCAATCTCAACGTGGTTATGGAGCTTCACCACAATACCAGATACCCCCCTCTCAGTTCCAACAAGGCCAGATAAATTTTGATGCTCGTCCCTTGAACGCATCTGAATCTTCAGCCTTTCCGCAGTACTCGTACCCACCAAACTACTTTCCACAACAACCAATCTCGGTGTCGGATACCTTCCCTGAACAACATACGCAACAAAGACTGCAACCACGGATGCAGCAACAATCACGATCGCCAATCTCATCATATCCATTGCCTCAGGGCTACTCCTCAGAAATGCTAGTAAGCTGATCTTTAATACCTACAAATGTGATTGTGGACCTAATTCCCGACAGCAGAACACGATTGATTTGACCAACGAGTATCCGGATTCGGACCCGAATGTTACCGTAAACCCGCAGTTCTTGAACGACACTCAGGCCTTCAGCCAACAGCAGCCTTCTTTGGCCAACGCTTTTGTTCAGGGAATTCCGCAGGACTTTTCAAGACCGGGAGGTGAACAGTAAGTTTGCATTTTGCATTTTGTCTGCGTGAAGCCGGTTTTCATATTAATTTGCGTTGTGCTAGGCTGTTTGATTACTATCAGAACCACATTCAAACTCAACACCAGCTGACACCGAGTGGCAACCAAGCGAATCTGCCCAGAGGCCTGCAAGTACCGCAAGTTGTGATCAAAAATAAGAAGCTTGCCCCTAAAACAAAGCAAACAATTAAATCAACCACAAGGGGCCCAAAGAAGACAGCTTCCAAGTCCGACAGTGAAAGCTCAGATGAATCAGAACTTGAGATTGAAGCCCCTGACGAACCGTCTCCTATCCCTCTAACTCGCCCGACTGATCCTGAAGCGGCAGCGCAATACGATACACTCCAAGCTGTGTGGTCACCAAGGAACAAATGGCCGGGTCCGGAGAAAGTTAAAAATGCGTTGGTGGCTTATAAAGATCTCATCAAGGCACTTAGGGATGCTTGGAAAGAACAAGTCCAGGCAATGAAACTGGCTGAAAACCAAGGTGATAATGACCAAGCGTTAAAGCTCAAGAACCAGGTGACTTTGCAACGCCGCATGATGGATAAAATTGCAATGACCACGCTGGAAATGGGTCATCCAAACATTGTTGAGAAGTATGTTGTCCCTCCCCCTCCCCTCCTCAACCCCATGGTTTATACTCCCACCATATGGCTATGATGGCTGTGAAAGCTTGAAGCCATGCGAATATACCTATAAACCTCCCCACAAGATTATAATAAGATGGCCCCAACTTGGTTAGAACAAGGGTTGCTGCTCTGTTCACCTTCACCGGCTGGTAAGGCATATCGTTACTATGTGTGCCCTGGACACAGATAGAGACAGAGATCAGGTTGAGAAATCCCAGATGGATGGAGCGAATAGGTCCAATTCATAAAGATTTTCGGATGTGCCTTAGAAAGCTGTCCGTGAAAACTCAATGAGGGGAAACCACTCATATCTAGAAAAGGGATCATACTTGCACCTCTTGGGACCACCAACTTGAATTCTTATTATTTGACTTAATCTTGCTGTTCAAATGACTAATGGTTAATTTGATGTAGGCTGGGAGAGCACCCCCTGGTTGTGGCAGCTCTATATTCCTTTTTGTTGGATCGTTTCCAGGCAACTGACTTTGCTGGTACTCTGACAATCAATTTGCTCAAGGTAAGCTCAAATTTGTTTCTGGGTTTCAAATGAAGGATTTTACTAATAAAAGCATAGCTATTTGCTCGGTTTTCAAGCTTGTCTGAAGACCTCATGGCAAAGACAAATCTCTCCAAATTGCTCCCGAAATTTCTCAAGAAAGGCGGACAGCAGGTCAAGGATCTTACACAGAAGATTTTAGACAATGCTGCAGCTTCTACAAAGCGCAAGCAGGAGAATGAAAAGACTTCAAAGGACGAGCCGCCTCAAACAAAGGGCAATTCCGCAGACACTGCTGGTCTGAAACGACCACGGGAAACAGATGCCAGTGTGCAGTCCGGACCAAAGCGAATGGCAGTTACCAGCAACCTCAAGGAGGCAAATAAAACAGCTCCTGGACCAACCAAGGGAGCTCCAATGAGTAAGCTAGCCGGTGCTGCAGCCCTACGCCCGAAGGCCAATGTTGTAGCACCCAAACCATCAAGCCTTTTCGGCACCCTGAGCTCGGCTTCAAAGCGACCAGGAACCACCAATGCAGAGAGAGCCGCTGCAGCCGCTGCAGCCAAACTAAAGTATGTAACCTTCCCGAAAACCTCTTTGAATTTCAGTTTGTTGACCTGATGTACAGCCCTGCTAGCGAAAAGGAAAAGGCCTCAGCGCCAAAGTCCTCTTTCTCCTTCGGAGATCTCATGGCTGATTTGAACAAACCGAAGGAAGCCCCAGCTCCCAAGCCTACCGAGGACCACCCACCGGAGACTGACGATGAGCGTAAGAAAAGATTGCGCAAGGAAGAACGCCGCAAACTTCGCGTGACTTGGAAGCCTGACGCGAACCTTACTGAAGTCAGACTTTTCACCCACGACCCTGAGGAAGAACTAGGTCCTGGTGATGGGTCAATGCGTAGCCTCGGAGATGTCAAGGGTGAGGGCAGCGTACTGAAGCTGCACAAAGATCTGGAAGAACTTGAAGAAGAGGATCTTGGTGGCATCCGCGGGACCGTATTCTTGGAAAATTACAACCTATCGAGTAAGTCAATCATTCAATATGATGTGCATTGAATACTAACAATCGCAGTGATTGACTATGACTTTGAACAGCCAATGGACGGCAATTTCATCAAGCGTGGTGGTCCTCAAGTGCCAACAAGTCCAGAGAAAGAGGCTCAAGATCACCGAGAAGCTACCACTCTCATGGTCTTCTATACTTCACCTGCTGATATGCCTGACACGCCCAAGGAGCCACTAGGTCCTGATCCGGACGAGGTTGTCCCGGAGGTTGTGCCATTCGGCGAGTTACCTGACTTCGTCAAGGCTCGTCAAGAACGCTACTACTCCTATTTGAACCCAAAGCCTGCAGTTGCCCAACAGCCACAGCAGTCTGACCCTGCAGGTAATGGCTTTGACATTGCCAACTTGTTGAAAATCATACAGGGTGGCCAGCCGCAGCCAATTACACAGCAGGCACCTCAACATTCGACAGGACCCAGTCTCGAGCAAACGCTCAATATGTTCCATCAGCAACAATATCAGCCGCAGCCAATTCCACCGGCCCCGCCAGTCTCTGCTCCTCAGCCTCAAGGCATTGATTTCAATGCAATTTTAAATGTAATGAAGCAAATGCAGACACCGGCTGCATTTCCCCAAACTCAACCGCAGCCAGGGATGGCACCCAATCTCGGCGCCATGTTCTCGCAATTCGCTGGACAGAACCAGCAACCTACTGCTCCTCAGTACCAGCATCAAAATTATGAATACGAAGACCCAGAACGCAAGCGGGCTCGCGATGGCGGTCACCATGACGAGTTCGATCCCGGATGGAGCCGGTCGAAACGGACCAGGCCCACTGACAAGCCTGTGAGTAAATTACCGGTTCATCATTGAATTATGAGATAGTTCGCTAACTTTTTCAAACAGTACAAGGTTGGACTTGTTGCCTGCAAATTCTGGGCTGAAGGCAAGTGCCGCAAAGGCGACAACTGCACTTTCCGCCACGATCCCCTCTAGACACAACATCACACGAATTATTTTCGATTGATACCCTGGTGTTATTCTCTTTGCACTGGCGTGCTTTATTATTCTTTTGTTTATCTATGCATTCTTGCCTTGGTTTCTCATGTTTACTGGGTCATGGGTATGCATGTTACAACTAGAAAGTATTCTCTGGTTGGCTTTTACTGCACGCATGTCTTTCATGGTCTGGAAGGCTGGCACATATTGCTTTTTCCCAAGTCCTTTGCATGTCGATTGAGAGCATAGGCGTTTTTATTTTCTTGTTATCTCGCATCGGTTCATTGCACATGCATTCAGCGAGGTTACCCATATTAGGAGCTGAGACTATGGCGCATGGTTAGGGGCGACAAAACTGTACAATTAGGATATCATCAATTCTTCAAAGCTGAGAATAAATTCTATTTTTTTCAGCGCAATGGCTTTCTATATTACGTACGTAGATAGAAATATCAACTAATGATAAAAGAACTGACAACATCTACTTGCTAAAAATATCAATAAAGTCATATATTCGGAGCCTATTTAAATGCGAAACAGGGCAACAACTAACTAACACCTGGTTAAAGAAAGTTAGGAAACAGGCCGGATTGGACAGAGGGAGGGGGTTTGAAATTAGCCAAATGGGGTTAGAGGAGCGATTGGGTTGAATTAACAACCTTGGGATCCCCTAACATATGTATATATATATCCATGGATCCTCCTCTATGCGCCGAGACCAGTAACTCCAACACTACTACCTAGGTATCATTACTACCACTATTATCGCTACTATCATGTCTACAGCTCAGTCCCTACGAGCAGCTTGTGACGCGCCGGATTCCTTATTCGCCCGCTCTGACGAGGAGCTATTGCACTTGGTGCACAACGAATTTCCTCAGGAGATTGATCGTCTCCAGCGCGCGTACTCCATCCGCGATGGACCATGGACCCCTCCTAGCACTCCATCTCCGTCCTACATTTTATACAAAGAGGACTTTGACGAGGTTAACCGTACACTGGTGGGATTTCTGACTTTGCGCTGGATCCACAACGATCAATACGAGGCACTCATCGCCTCACAGCCTGCGGAGTTCCAATTAACAAGAGCCTCATTTCATTGGATCAGGAATTTTTACGCACAGGTCATCACAAATGCCGATACTTTATTTACATTGATCACTTCAATCATCATCAATGATTTGGGGAAGGATCCACAGTTAGCATCCGATTGTTACGCAGAGACTGGCGTGGATATTTCCACTCTCAACCACGATGCCGTTCTGCTCGAGGCTTTAAAGGCCGGCCTAGTTCCTTCGCTGGCCCAACTCTCCAACCAAGGCAGAAGCGATATCTGCAGTGCAATTGAGCTCGGGGCAACCTTTAACTTTGGCCAGCTGGCTCAGGCAGAAAACGCCCCGGCATCCTTGACCGGTTTGCTACGAATGAAGGGCCATGATCGCAGCTTTCGGCTCCGCTTCATGGAACATTTGCTTGATGTTGCCGGTGCAGCGGGCCACATGGACTGGACGTGCGCGAAAACGCTTAGCCAGCCTGTCTTCGAATCCTATCGCAATGTTTTCGATGCATGCGAGGGTGTTATCACCGGTACTCTGACAGTTCGCAGTGGATATGACCTGATATTAATTCGACGGGCGGAACTACTTCGTGACCAGGACGTGCGTGTATACTATGTGGAAGACAAATTGGAAGACAGAGCTCTGATTCGATTGCTGTGCATGGGCAGGGTGACTACGCGCGAAAAGGCCGTTCTTTACGATAACGCATGGCGTACGCTGGAAGACCCAGTCAGGGAGACTTTGATGAACAGTCTCAATCTGGATGGCCAGAGGAGCCAGCCTGCTGTTCAGCCGACTTACATGCCTGCCCTGCTTAGTCGTATAAAGGAAGAGAATGCCTTAGTTTGTACCTTGCGCTATCTGGCCCGGGTAATGAGTGCGACGGATATGGGCGATCCTTCGGCTGTGGTCATTGAGCGGAGTGTTTTTACGGTGTTGAAACAGGTGATTGAAAGTGAAGAGTTTGAGAAAAACCCATCTATTTTGGGGGAAGTGGATGTGCCTGAGGGCGTGGTTACTTTGACTACAGCCTCACTCTAATCTTTCGCTATTGTTGCTAAGCATTTGTTTAATCTTTCAGTAATGGACTGTTCTCATGCCGGGATCGACTGTGAGAGAATCATTGAGTAAAGAAATAAATCATATCAAAATTACGGTTAGATGGCAGTCAAAAGTTTGTAGATGAGATTGTAATTAATGAAGGGAAGAAACACATTGATAATTAAGACAATTTTAGCTATACTGCGGGCCGTTCCTAGAATGATTCTCTTGATCCAGCGTAAGAATAGAGATATGAGGAGTGGATGTTTTAGGGATACGCAAAGGGGACTTGGAAGGCGGGGACTGGCTCTGGTTGGCCCTCTGTTGCTTGAGATGATTCACTCGCGTGCGAGTGACATCGCCCTGGCTTGCCAAGCTGATCTTCAGCCAGTCATTATGTGTAGCCTGCTCTTCGAGTGAACTGCGCATACGAACAACAGACTCCCGGTATAGACAGTTCTTTTCAAACCGCCAGCTGCACAGTAACACTCGGAGCATGCCGCCCTCACGTCCGCATATTAAGGCCACTACGGGTGGTCTCTCGGCAGCGATGACTGACACAGTCATGTCGCCGGTATCCACGATGGTGAACAGACGGTGGGTGTCTGGGAAATGTAGTCTTTTCATTTCGTTCTTCCAATAATTCGGATCATCAGGTTCCCGGCCCATTCGAATCTTGGAGTCGCGCATGTTTCTAGAGAAAACAGTTGACGAGGCCGCGTATGATAGGCGATTGTTGAAGTTGCCATATATAGTCTTCTCGAGATCATGTAGTGACATTATGCCTTCAAAACCCACCAGATGGCTAGAAGATCCTCTGGTTCCACCATTGCAGAGCTGGCGCACTGCCCAAGGACTGAACCACGAGATTATCCAAGCCACACCGAAATAAAGGGCGATTCCCTGAAGGTACTGGGGGACAATGGTATGCCTTAGGTATTTGAGCAAAGTCCTCATGTTTTGATCTGTTGCAGTTTGCCCAGAACTGTTATCCGTGAGTGCCAGTGCCAGCGCAATGGCGGACGAGAATAGTGCAAAGCCTGTTGCTATAAACCATACACCAAAGTAAACAATCGTCTGCGAAACTGTAGCACCGAGCCCTTGGAGGTCCTTGGCATATCGCAGTCTTGGGAAGTCCTTCCATCGGATGGGGATACCCCGGCAGCGGTCCATGATAACAGTAGGTTCATATAGATCGTCGCCAACACCAACGATGTCACAAATAGGCTTAATGTCCCAGAGATGCGTGGAGTATTGATCTCTATCCGCGATATTGCGGAGAAGTGTTTCACTTCCAGCTGAAACGTAATCAAGCCGTGTGTTAACAGGAGGTGGATTCTTTTCAGGGTACGGCAATAGGCAAAGAAGACGCTCAAGTAGCTGATTACTGTCATTTACAAGAGAAAGGCGCGCAATGGCCTGGAACGTGTTGTCTGAGTCATCAGGCGTAAGTCGATATGATAGCAGTCCCATGGCAGCATAGGCCATGTCCCTAGTTGTGTATCCCTGGGTGTCGATGCTGGTCGTCTGTCTGGACATGGCTTGAATAGCAAAAGTGAACAATTGTAGCTCACTCAGCTGAATATTGTTGGTGTAATGGCTGACAAGGTGGCCTATGACATCCTCGTGTTCCACTTGCCCGTCAGAGTCTGTCCCATCGGACCTGGGTAGCTTTGAGATCTCGGGCCAGAAGCTACTGTACATGTCGCTCAACGAAACTTCGTGTGGTGTAAACAGGGCCTCGGATGCAGAATGAGTGAAGCAGTATCGTATCTTGGTCGCGGCGAGGAGGACTTCTGGGAACGTCCATATTCGATTTCCCCAGATTCGCTTGTCTTCTTCTGAATCACTAGGCAGAACAATGTATACCCGTTGTGCACAACGGACAGCATCACAGATTGTATTGACATCCCGGGTACATCTGGATTCTGTGCCACCAACGGGGTTACTTGTGTCACTTGACACGCAATCCACGTCAGCCCAGAAAGCTTCCATTGGAGGCTCTTGGGGATCTCTGTGTGCATTTTCATGCTCAAGCATGCGATCAGCCACTAGGTAGAACATCTTTCGCAATTCTTCGTTGGTTTTATCGAGATAGTTGGCCCGCGAGAAACTCAAAAAGATATAAGGCTGCAGCATGCCCGTCTTCTTATCACGAAGGTCCACAGTTTCTCGGGGAACCCATTGCCCAGTAGCTTTATCTTTCACCACCAAGCGGCGGGGGATAGTAAGCTTGGCAACCTTTGATTGTGGTTTCTTGTTCCCGGGCGATTGATCAAGTACATTGATCGAGTGTTTAGGCCAAAACCAGTGAACGTTCTCATACTCCTCGTAGGGCTCAGTCGTACCATCGTCATTCCATGGAGAGGTCACAATCTCAACGGAAAGCATAACTTGAATGATCCATGCAAGTGTCAAAGTAAGAAAAGTCGACATGATCCAGTGAAGAGTTCGCTTGATAGCCACCAACACCACATTTTCTTTTTTAGGGAATGACTGGTCCCTTCTTCATCCTCTTCAACCGGGGTACCATCGTAGCGGCGGAACCTGAAAGGATTCAAGCAGAACTCGGCCAAGGTGATAATAAATGGAACCCTTCCTCGAATGTGGCGACGACCCCAGTGACGATCATGGCGGTCGGTTTCTTTATAAACCTCGCGAGTTGCCTGTACGACCAGTCGCCGCGGATACTCTTTGTTCGTACTGTAGTATGTGTCTAGGTCGGGATATTTCTCGTGATCATCTTCTCCGCTGGGGTTCAAGTATCTTTGTTTGCAATAATTCTGTTCAGAATCTTCTAGCTCCAGCCTGCGATTGTTGACGCTTTTCGGGTCGATGAAAGGTCGCTTGAATCGCATTCCAGATGATCGATGGTGGTGGCCATTGTATTGATTTGCGAGGTTTTTTTCAGCTTTCTCGATCTCGCTTGGCTTCTTGCGCCGAAAGGGAAAGGAAGAAGTCATATTTGGCACAAATTTTTCTCTGGGAAGACCAAATCGGCCCCAAGAAAGAAAGATGGAGTAAGGTGTCCACTCGTAATTTTCCCTTTGGTGTTTGTTATCTATTAATGGCTGGATGTCTAGGGACCATTTTCTAAAGAAAGAGCCTCAAGCTGAGCACAGAAAGATATACGTCGAAGGATGGCGTATGCTACCATCAAGTAGTACACAGCTGACCATATCGATTATACAAATGCAGTTGCTGCGTCCAATAAGATAAGGTTATATTTTGGTCCCCAGGGGGAAAAAGGGATCAGATCGCTTTAAAGATTTTGTTTGGGCCTGGCCCACTCCTATTGCATAGGAATACGAGGCAACTCCAGAGCACTCCACTTATTCGGTACTATAGCGTATCCTCATGTGTCAAAGATCTTCGAAAAAAGAAAAAGTAGCCTTAGCGGTGCATAAGTTGAACCTAAAGTTGAGCAGTAAGCCCGAGTTTCAGCCAACCAAGGGAAACTGGGGTCCTGAAATAGAAGACAAGTAGTTCAGACAGCAGAGTAGCTCACTCATATATAAGTACCATAGACACGAACTCATTTGAAGCAGTATTGGGCGTGGCGCCACAGTCTCATTTTCGCATCCACATCTTGGTGGGTAATTTCAGGGCAAGATAGACCCGATTGTCGCGTAATGGTTGACAACACAGTTGAAGCAACCCGAGAGATGCATGCTTGGATATTAGTGAGTGGACAGGAGAGTTTTTTTCATGGAGTCATAATAAACATAACGGCCAAGAGCAGACGAAAATCGAGGTTGAAGTACCAGTGACAGTCGGTGAAACAGAAATGGGGCGCGTCCCGTCCCTAAGCTTTCCCCCTTAACTAGCTCTCTCGTCAGCCGTGATTATGGTGTGGGTGATATGCCAAGAGGGAATGGTCTCCTGCAGTAAGACGCCACCAGTGACGCAGATGGCAGCTTGTAGAAAGGAGTGTGGAAAGTGGACAACAACCGGACTGAATCGGTCAATAAAAGCGATTCCACGGCAGTTGCAAGTACATAATGCTGTCAAAATAGTAATCTCATGATTTATAAAGTAATGAAAGTCAACAAAACCACGATTTCAACAAACTGATAGCACTCATAGCCATGAGCTTCCTTCTGACAACTTTTCAGACCATTTTCTAGTCCTCATTTTCGGCATGCATTCATGGCATCATCGCCTGACCACCTGGGCAGAAGGAACAGGGCTAAAAATTGATGCTCTTGGTCTTGTCACACTGCTCGGGGCGGAAGAAATGGATCGCAGCATTGGGAGACTCGTTCCGAGTCCATACCTGGAGTATCTGCCGTTGCTGGGAGCTTTTGTCGTGGCCGGTAATCGTTTTACCGAGAAGAAATCTGGATACACACTCTACAATGTATCAGCCGGCATCATGACGACCGAACTAGCCGGCTGGTTCTCGCGATGGCTTCAGACTCAGGACTTCAATCAGGTCCGGAGTATTGTGACCTGGCAGGTCACAGAACGGCCGCGTCAATGGAAAGAATTTGTTGTCGGCTTCTTGCTCGTTGGTCTGCCAGTGCACGGAATACTTATCACTTTAACAGTGCTGGCAGCGGACTGGTGGGGATTTGCCAATGTAGTGGCTATGATCATCTCGGTGGTGGTTCGTTGTATACAAGTTGCACAAAATCAAGCCGGAATCGATGCCAACATCCAAACAGCCCAGGAAGCAGCCCAGGATTACCCAGCCAAGATAGCGAGATACGAAGAGGCAATCGCCACACTCGAGCACCTTCGTCAGAACGGTCAGGCTATGGAGGGGCTCGAAAGACCTATTAAGCCTCAAGATCCCAACGAGCTTGCCAAAGTGATAGTAGTCACGGAGGACTCCAAAGTCATCACTCTTGTCGTTCCTGGTTATCTGGCGAAACTCGCTTTCGCGATCAACCCCCAACCACCGAATCGTTACATTTATCGGGCCTGCCAGTGGATCGGATGGTGCTTTTTTGCGGTGCATGTGATCAGCATTGGCATGGCAGCCCTGTATACACAGATTGTGTCAGTGGTAGTTATAATGATTGCAACAGTTCTTGTGGCCCACAGAGTTGGCTGTGAGGATTCACAAATATGGGAGTCCATTCAGCGCCAATGGAGTCATGACAACCACCAAGTACAAAAAAACAGCTGCTGGGTCAGCTCAAAGCTCAAAGCTACCATGTCTTCTTACCCCGAAGAGTATATGGATTGGCCTGAGTTGGAGGAACCAAAAACCCCCACTGTGCATGTAGTCAATGAAAAGGGACTCAGAGAAAATCAAATCAGGGAGAGAACCACGTTTGATTTGGAATCTTCTCTCACTCCCAAAAAGAAGAAACCTGAACGTCGTCAGGATTTGCTTGCTTGGTTGGGTCTTACGGCGGAAGAAGACAAAATTATGGTTACTTGGGGGCTCATACCGCATAGCCGGGAGTGGCAAAGCACATATCTCAAAAAGAAAGAGGCACATCGCCAAAGAATTGGTAGATCGAAACCCGAATAAATTGATATGGAAAGAATTGATGTCGAAGACACATAAATTTCAGTTCTTCTTACCGCCCTTTCTTCCCAAACCGACACAAGCACCCCAATCAACCACCGCCAGTCTCGCTGTTCAGGTGCTATGTTTGGCCAGGAAGCATCGAGTCGGCTAATTTCATACTTAAATCTATCATGATGGCTTCAAATACAGCTGGTAACCTTGTTAACTGCGATCACCTTATTGTTGTCTGCTGCCATGCTATTTATAATGGAGGGCCTAGTCATGGCACCTCGGAAGATGAATGGTCAGCTCTCTGGCAATGAGTTGATACATCCATGAAGAAATCAGCTAATATATGAAATATAGGTTCATCGAGCCCTTCCAGAAAGGAGAAACACCCACATTTATCAACCATCTTAAAGCTGGATTGGAAATCCTAAAAGATGATCCTCATGGTTTGCTAGTACTTTCTGGGTAAGAATCTACATTCTCGCTCATCTAAATTCTTCTAATATATTATACAGTGGGCCTACCAAGAGATGCAAAACTGAGCTAAGTGAGGGTCAATCGTACCTCGTAAGATCTCCCCCTGTCACCTATGAACTAGAACTAAGCTTATATATTGCGACAGAACCTAGCCAAAGACAACGACTATTTTCAAGCTCAATCGACAACTTCAATCGACCCTTTCAAGGTCATTGCGGAAACGAGAGCCACAGACTCATATCAAAATGTATTGTTTTCCATGATTCAGTTCAAAGTACACACGGGAGTCTTTCCCCGGCGAGTAACAGTCGTCACGCACGAATTCAAACGTGCTAGATTCATGCAGTGTCATTTCCCTGCGCTGGGACTCGTACCTGTTGGTCCCGAGAGCGAACATTATACCGGGAAAGTTGCAGTGATTGGCATCAACCCACCGGAAGAAGTGACTTCGCCGGAGAGCTTGTATCGAGGCGAACTATTGAAAGGAATAGGTCTTTGGAAGCAAGACCTCTACGGAGTAAATCAGGAGCTGTCCAGCAAACGAAGAACAAGGGGCTGGCTCCCTGGCATGGAGGATGTATTCTCCAATATGGAATTAGGGAATGTGGTGCTGGAGCTGGCACAATACGACGGCGGGAATTATCGTAATGAATGGTTCCCCAAGCGAGAGAGCTTGCCTTGGTCTTATGTCAAACGTGATGGAGCCAAGGAGCATTGATTTTTTTTTAAATATCAATACTGCTAGAATAATTATGAACGACCTTGGTCCTTTCCCGAAACGCCAATCCATACACCATCCTTCGTATCTGGTCGTAATGTGTAACCAAAGCTCAATCGGCCAACCGGTAGCTGACCAGAGTCCCCACTCGGTGGTTGTTTGTACTGAAACTTCTCAATTGCACTTTCTCGGCGTTCTTAATCTCCTTGGCATCACTGTCGCCCCATTCCACGGGAACATCTGAGTCGGCATCAGCGTAGACAAGGACATTGAAGGTGCAATCTCCGTCCAAGACGGGGAGGAATGTGACGGAGGCGGTGATCTGGCGGAAGATAGCTTGGATTTCCTCCTGAATTTGCTTTTCTGTCTTCTCAACGGGCTCGGCGGATTGAGGGTCGGCATCCCTATTGCACAAATTTGGTCAGTAAGATCACCAAGCTTCTTGCTTAGAGTATAAACGGACGCTGCTACACTGTTCTCCTTGTCGCCGGCTTTTTGGGAGCTCTTAGACTTGGACTTCTTGCCAAAGATTTCAACCTGTTCCAGTATTGTATGTTTAGCATTTGATCCAGATCTTGATAACAGAGCACTGGGTGTGGAATGCATACGTCAAACTGCCATCGCTCCACATGTTCACCGGTCTCCTTGTCGGTGATCACAACTACAAGTTTGGAGATCTTTCCACCCTGCATCCACTCTTTTAATTGCGACATGATCTTCTTGATGTAGGCTTTGACCTGATCATCGGCCGAAACTGTTATGAGGTTAGGCCGGACGATGTTGAGTTAGGAAACTATTGACGAACCGAGCATATTGAGGCCATATTTCTTGATACTGTGTGACTAGTCAGCTTGCTGGGCATATCACGAGCGGTTTTGGAAAGGGAACACATACGCTGTGAAATCCTCTGGAGGATACACCCCTCGTTGGAAGCTGCATATCAATTGCGATAAGCGTTTATCCCAAACAGACCTGGAACATGGACATACAGAATGGAGTTGATCGAGTATTCAAACTGGAAATCATTAGTGGAAGATAAATTCAAGAAGATGGAAGTAACTCACGAATTCGGACACAAGCTTGGCCGATCCTGCTATGGTATGAGCTTTGTTCAACCGGTATCACGGGTTAGGAAGCAACAAACCTTTAATGGAAAGCTTGTGCACCTTTGATTTGTCCTTGGCTTCAGGCATTTTGGGCTGGTAGAGAGTTAAAGATGAAAGGTGGGAGATCTTTGTTTATGTCGATAGTCACCGCAGCAATAAAGTAGTCACCGCCCGCGCGTCCGTTTTTTTCTCCGCAAATTGCATTGAGATCACCAGCACTCGACAATTGACCCGATACACTCCACCTTGATCGCTTGCATACTGTCAGCTTCTATGCCACCGCAGAAGTCTCAATGCGAGGATGTCTGCAGTTAGGCCGATGGCTGAGTGCAGCGCCGAGATGCCAGGCCGCGAACCTCCGACCAACGGTCTTTTCATATAGATTCAGCCGAGCATTTTCTACTACTACAATATACCACGCGCGCTCAAAAGTCACACCCATCAAGCCGAATTCAGATCTCGAACAACGAATTTTAGCGATCCCGATCGAACGTTTCCGCAACTTCTGCATCGTCGCACACGTCGACCACGGCAAAAGTACGCTTTCCGACAGACTGCTAGAATTGACCGGCACCATTCAACCCGGCACAAATAAACAGGTGTTGGATAAGCTTGATGTTGAACGAGAGCGAGGAATCACCGTGAAAGCCCAGACATGTACCATGATCTACAACTACAAAGGCGAAGACTACTTGCTACATTTGGTGGACACTCCTGGCCATGTAGATTTCCGCGCAGAGGTATCACGAAGTTATGCCAGCTGTGGTGGTGCAATCCTTTTGGTTGATGCCAGTCAAGGTGTTCAGGCCCAAACCGTTGCCAATTTCTATTTGGCTTTCGCGCAGAACCTTGAATTGATCCCCATTCTCAACAAAGTTGACTTGCCATCATCGGATCCAGAGCGGGCTTTGGAGCAGATGCGTACAACATTTGAGATTGATACAGAAAATGCGGTCATGGTTTCAGCCAAGACTGGATTAAACGTCCCGGCTGTGCTACCGGCGGTAGTGGAGAAGATCCCTGCGTGAGTTTTGAAAATTGGCTAATGGCAATGCGATATTTGTTAACTGTATGCTAGCCCCATCGGTGATTCCACGAAACCTCTCCGTATGCTACTTGTGGATTCTTGGTACGATTCATACAAAGGTGTGATCCTGCTAGTCCGCGTTTTTGACGGCGAAGTGCGCGCAGGCCAACAACTGGTCTCCTTCGTCACTGGTCTTAAATATTTTGTTGGCGAGGTTGGAATCATGTATCCCACCGAAACCGCACAAACTGTTCTCCGTGCAGGCCAGGTCGGGTACATCTACTTCAACCCAGGCATGAAGCGGAGTAAGGAAGCCAAGATTGGTGATACATTCACTCGAGTTGGCTCAGAAAAGCTCGTGGAGCCGTTGCCTGGATTCGAAGAGCCAAAATCAATGGTTTTCGTGGCAGTATACCCAGTAAATGCAGACCATTTCGAACACCTGGAGGACAGCATCAACCAACTCATCCTGAATGATCGAAGTATCACAGTGCAAAAAGAGTCCTCAGAGGCATTAGGTGCCGGATTCCGCATGGGCTTCTTAGGAACTCTCCACTGCTCTGTGTTTGAAGATCGTTTACGACAAGAGCACGGTGCCAGCATCATCATCACACCACCTTCCGTTCCGGTCAAAGTCGTATACCGAGATGGCAGAGAAGAAATCATCACAAACCCCGCTAAGTTTCCCGATGATGAAGGTGCACGCCTCAAAGTAGCGGAGGTTCAAGAGCCGTATGTGTTGGTCACCCTGACATTCCCAGAAGAATATCTGGGCAAGGTCATTGAGCTTTGCGAGGCCAACCGCGGTGAACAACAAAGCATCGAATATTTCACATCTACACAGGTCATCATGAAGTACGAGCTACCTCTGGCGCACCTGGTTGATGATTTCTTTGGAAAGCTGAAAGGAGGAACCAAGGGATACGCTAGTCTGGACTACGAAGAATCTGCATGGCGGGCAGGTAGCATTGTCAGGCTCCAACTCTTGGTCAATAAGGAGCCTGTTGATGCCGTTGCACGGATCATGCACCTGAGTCAGGTGAACCGACAAGGAAGAATTTGGGTCAGCAAATTCAAGGAGCATGTCGACCGTCAGCTCTTCGAAATTATCATCCAGGCTGCTGTCGGTAAGAAAATCATTGCCCGTGAGACGATCAAGCCATACCGCAAGGATGTTCTGGCCAAATTGCACGCCGCTGATGTGAGTCGTCGACGAAAGCTGCTTGAGAAGCAGAAAGAAGGTCGCAAGAAGTTGAGGGCTGTTGGAAACGTGGTCATTGAGCACAAAGCTTTCCAGGCATTCCTGGCCAAATAAACATGTAAATTAGCGAACAATACAATGTACAACATGCACCATTAGTCATCGATCATTGTAGTCCAAGTTGTTGTTTTCCGTATACAAACAGTACCTCGGGAAGCTGGAAGCTGATTATGGAAGCGGTAAGAGCTCCACTGGCAGAAAAAAAAAGTCCATGTCGGACCCCACCATACTACAACTTCTTTCGCTGCTCACTTCCGATTCCAATCAGCGAGTTCGATCAGCCCTGTTGAGGCTCTGTGACCTTTTACTTCAGACTGTACTCAATTCCAGACGCGACTTGATCCTTTTTTGAATCTGAAGTCTTTTTACTGGCTACTAAAGTCTGTCTTGTCGATCTCATTACTTTGACTCACCCTGCCATGCTCCGCATTTGACTACGGCCATGCAGCCTCCAGAGGGTGCACCGGTAGACCTGGGCAAGGCCCAGGTTCTTGACAGTGTTCCTAAGGTGATCAAAGAATTGAAGTTTGGTGTCTTGTACGCAGACCACTCACATGATTTGTCGCGAAACTCTGTCGCAGACTTGATCGCTAACGAATGATTGCGTTCCTAGAACCAACGATGATATCGTCGGCCAAGCGGTGGTGGAAGTTTCCGACCGAAAGTTTTTCGACTTGGACCAGGCCCGAACGGTCGTCGCCAATGGACCTCTCGACCAACGCATGGGTATCTCGAACAAGACTGACGCTTGCGCAACCTGTGGAAATAACCTCAAAGACTGCAATGGTCATTTTGGTCATGTAAGACTAGTTTTGCCATCTTTCCATGTCGGTTACTTCAAGCGTGTTATTGGCATTCTCCAAGAAATTTGCAAAGAATGCTCAAACATCCTGCTCCCCGAAGCGGAGCGCCGTACCTTCCTCCGTGAAATGCGCCGTCCGGGTCTCGATAATCTGCGGCGAAACCAGATCGCCAAACGCATCAACGAACGGTGCCGAAAAACTCGTGAATGTACATACTGCGGTGCGATCAACGGCGTCGTAAAAAAGACCGGAACGAGCGCCCTCAAGATTACCCACGACAAGTTCCGTGCATTCAATGCCTCGACCTCTGTGAAAAAACAAACCCCAATCAGTAAAGATGTCTTCGACAACTCCTTCCTCGAGGCGCGAGGTGCCAATCCCGAGGTGGAGAAACATTTCAAGAAAGCACAGGATGATATGAACGCCCTTCGCGTACTCAAGCTGTTCAAGAAAATGTCCGATTCCGATTGCGAGCTTATTGGAATGAACCCGAAAGAAGCACGCCCGGAGATGTTCTTGTGGCAATTCATTCCGGCCCCTCCGGTTTGTATTCGACCCTCAGTGGGCCAAGATGGCGCATCTACCGAAGACGACTTGACTGCTAAACTGGGTGACATCGTGCAGAGCAATATCAACCTTAAGAATGCTTTGCTCAAGGGTGCTCCTGTTCAGACAATTATGGAATGCTGGGACTACATGCAGCTTCAGATCGCTGTCTACATCAACAGTGATGTCCCCGGTCTTAACAAAGCCGACCTCGGAAAGCCTATTCGAGGCTTCGTTCAGCGCCTGAAGGGAAAACAAGGTCGTTTCCGTGGTAATTTGTCAGGAAAACGTGTTGATTTCTCTGGCCGAACCGTCATTTCACCTGATCCGAATTTGCGAGTCGACGAGGTTGCAGTTCCAGAGCTTGTAGCAAAGAACATGACCTATCCTGAGCTTGTGACTCGATACAATAAGGAGAAGCTGCAGCAAAGAATTATTAATGGCAGCAACAAGTGGCCCGGAGCGAACCTGATCATTAAAAAAGGAACTGGTTTCAAGCAGATGCTGAAGTACGGTAACACCGCGTGGATGGCTGATCAACTCCAAGAAGGTGATATGGTCGAGCGTCACATCGAAGATGGCGACATTGTGCTCTTCAACCGACAGCCTTCACTCCACAAGCTCAGTATTCTGTCTCATTTTGCCAAAGTCCGTCCCCACAGGACTTTTCGACTGAATGAGTGTGTTTGCAACCCTTACAACGCCGATTTCGACGGAGACGAGATGAACCTTCACGTCCCTCAAACAGAGGAAGCCCGAGCAGAAGCAATGGAACTCATGGGTGTGAAGAACAACCTGGCCACGCCTAAAAACGGAGAGCCCATCATTTCTGCCATCCAGGATTTCATCAGTGCTGCCTACATTCTTAGTAGCAAAGACAATTTCTTTGACCGTGCCTCTTTCTCCCAAATCTGTCTTTACATGCTTGGTCCAGAGACCAGGTTTGACCTTCCGCCACCGTCTGTCCTGAAACCCCAGATGCTCTGGACTGGTAAACAGGTGTTCAACATCCTTATGCACCCCAACAAAGACGACCCTGTTCTGGTAAATTTGGATGCTGCTTGCCGTGAGTTCAAACAGCCCAAGGATGGTCGCCCGAAGGACTTGGACCCCAATGATGGCTGGTTGGTTATTCGTAACTCAGAGGTCATGTGCGGTGTGATGGATAAGTCTACAATCGGTTCCGGAAAGAAAGATAACGTCTTCTATATTATGCTCAGAGATTTCGGTCCACCTGCAGCAGCTGAGGGCATGAACCGTTTATCAAAACTGTCTGCCCGATGGTTCACCAACATCGGTTTCTCTATTGGTATTGGAGATGTCTACCCCAGCGCAGGACTGGTTCAGTCCAAGAACGACTTGGTAGAAGCAGCATATGCCGCTTGTGACGAAGTCATTGCTCAGTATAAGGCAGGCACTCTGGAAAAGTACCCTGGATGTGACGAATTGCAGACCATGGAGAACCAGCTCTCCGGTATTCTCAGTAAGGTCCGTCAACAAGCTGGTGACGAGTGTATTCAGCAGCTCAGCAAGTACAACTCGCCCTTGATCATGGCAACTTCAGGATCCAAGGGTTCCAGTATCAACGTGTCCCAGATGGTTGCCCTTGTCGGTCAGCAAATTATCGGTGGTCAGCGTGTACAGGATGGTTTCCAAGATCGTACCTTGCCGCATTTCCCGAAGAATGCTCGTCAGCCTCCCTCAAAGGGTTTCGTTCGCAACAGTTTCTTCTCCGGCTTACAGCCTTACGAGTTCATTTTCCACGCTATGTCTGGTCGTGAAGGTCTGGTCGATACAGCTGTCAAGACTGCCGAGACCGGTTACATGTCTCGTCGTCTGATGAAGTCTCTTGAAGATTTGTCATCCATGTATGATGACACCGTCCGTAACTCATCTGCTGCCATCGTTCAATTCCAGTACGGTGATGATAAGTTGGATCCCGTGGATATGGAGGGTAAAGCCAAGCCGGTCCACTTCGATCGGACTTTCATTCACTCCGAGTCAACAACATACAACAACGACGAGCCCAGCTTGTTGCCAGCTGAAATGATGGACATTTGCGAGAGCATGCTTGCAAAGGAACGTGCTAAGCTCACCCGCAAGGACTTGATGGGCAATGTTCTTGGGTATATGGACCGCAGTGACCATGGTGTCGACCAGTTCGAGAGTGCGCGTGACTTCCTGGACTCAATTCAAGAATACATCGAAAAGAGGGCTGATAGATTGATCTCCCGGGGTGGTGATATTGACCCGTCTGATCAGCGGAGCCGAAAGGCTCTGGATCACACAGGCAAGCTGACGGAAACTACTCTGAGGGCCTTTATCACTGCCTGTTTGTTGAAATATAAACGGGCCCAGGTCGAGCCAGGTCATGCTGTGGGTGCTGTGGGTGCCCAGTCTATCGGTGAACCGGGAACACAAATGACATTGAAAACTTTCCATTTTGCTGGTGTCGCCGGAATGAGTATCACTCAGGGTGTTCCCCGTATCAAGGAAATTATCAACGCCTCGAAAGAAATCAGTACGCCAGTCGTGGCGTGCGATCTCGTCACCAAAGATAGCACCATCGCTGCTCGTATTGTGAAGGGCCGAATTGAAAAGACCTTCTTGCGCGATATTATCCATTCCATCACGGAGTTCTGGACCACCGACGATGCCTATCTGAAAGTCATCATTAACTGGAAGACAATTGAGGACCTGTCGCTGGAAATCACGACGCCGCAGATTGTGCACGCGATTAAAACCCACAAGCGCTTCAAGGGCAGCGATCTGAAATTCTCATTCAAGCAATCCTCAATCAAGGTCCACATGGATCTCGATCCAGCCACCAAGGCATCTCTCTCTAAGACCGAGGTTGCAGCCACGAGCATCGATCCCTTCTTGCGTCTGAAACATCTCAAGCGTCATTTGCCTAATATTCAAATCTTAGGTCACCCGCGTGCCACCCGTGCTATCATCCGTACAGACGAAAAGTCTACCACCAACACACTACTCGTGGAAGGTTATGGTTTGCGGGAGTGCATGACTACAATGGGTGTGGATGGTTTGCACACCAAGACCAACAACATCATGGAAGCCCGAGATGTTCTGGGTATCGAGGCTGCTCGAAGCACAATTGTCGTGGAAATTAGTGAGGTCATGAAGGACATGGACATTGATCCCCGTCACATGCAACTTCTGGCAGACGTCATGACCTACAAGGGCGAAGTGTTGGGTATTACTCGATTCGGTTTGGCCAAGATGCGTGACTCGGTGCTTCAACTTGCTTCCTTCGAGAAAACCGCCGATCATTTGTTCGATGCCGGTGGCCTTGGTCGCACCGATCTCATCGAGGGTGTTTCGGAATGTATTATCATGGGCAAGACGGTATCATTGGGCACAGGTGCAATGGAAGTTGTTCGTAAGCTCAACTTCTATGAAGGCCAGATTGGCCCACGGAAAACGGTCTTTGAAGACGTTTGGACCGAGCATTGTGAGGCGCCTTTGACCAGGCGACCTAAGAGGAAGGTCCGGTGAAGTCTGTGACACTGCATTAATCTCGGCGTTAAGAGAATTTGGCCTTGCGGATAAGGCTTGTACATGTACCTATCAGGGAGACTACTGGCGATTCTTCTATGAGCGTTAGTTGACTTTCAATGACGATATCAATATTGAATTCAATTCCTTTTTTTCCCTTCGGATTAGGGTTTTTATATACTTGGATGCCATAATTACAGAAGCACAGAGGTGCATACATATGTATGTAACCACGGGAGCTAAGTATATACCCCATGGTACTAATATGATTTGGCCTAATATTTTCTAATGCAACCTAGTGCTATATCTCAAATATCCCAAAAAAGGATTTCAAGGTGTGGATTGGATAGCGATAAAAGGTTGGGTGTGTGCGGGCGTGAAGCTAATTTCCAATACAACTGTGGAAGATCCAGGTACACGCTTCTCACAGGTTATATTCAAATATTGAATACATACATACGGATGTATGTAGCCTTACATAAAAGTCCACAGCATAGCAATTCAACGGAATGTCCCGGATTCCGAATTCGCAGAATCACCAACACTTTCAAGTACCTTTTCTATCTGCCTGACAGCACAACTAACAAACAACGCCACCAACTGGAAACAAAGTCCCAGAGCAAATCAGAAGTATCTCGGGGAGATCAAAAATAGTTTTCAAAGAAAGGAAACGAAAAATGAACAAAAAGAGGGCAATCAAGAAAACGCATATACGGAGTGACCAAAGGATCTAACCGCCCTCCAATCAGCATCGTGAAACCCCTGCAGTCATGGGATATTAGGGGTTTAACACATCTCGAGTTCGTTTTTCACCTGTTGGCCTTGACCTCATCCGGCCAAGCGCCACACCCGCAGTTCTCCATTTGTGAGGTGTCTTCGTGTTTCTTTGTTTCCATTAATTAGACTGTGAGAGCCTTTATCTACCGGCGTTGGGTCGCACTTATTCTTTCACTTCTCGTATAAGACCTCCCCGACCTCCCCGGAAACCCGCCGGATTCAATCTATGAGATGGATCCTAGTGATTCAAAATTCGCTAGGAAGCGTGAAATCCGAACACGGGCCCCCACAGCTTGTCAAACCTGTCGACTCCGCAAGACTCGATGTGACAACGCTAGACCGACCTGTAGCTATTGTGCCGTACAGCAAGTCGAGTGCCACTATCCCGAGACTTCACCACAACATAACCAGTAAGAATAGATCACTATGAAATGAGGACTGAAGATTAACTTAAACCATAGAGCCGGCATCGATCCCGGAAACCCGTCCAATCATGAGGTTATGCAGCGGCTGAACCATATCGCCGGGTTGCTAGAGGATCTCAAGTCTGAAGGCGGCTCCACTAGTTCGTCGACTCGCTCACTCAAAGAGTCCTTCATTGAACTGGCCATGCAGACTACTAGTCCCCTCGCAGACCCATTATCGGGGAATAACCCACATGGCAACATAGGTCTCGACGACCGGGCAATTGAACATGATCCCAAAGTTCTTTATACGGCCAGCTCCGGGGAGCACATGCTTCGATGGCCCATCTTCAACAAGGTCATTACCGAAGCCGAGAAGCATATCCGTTCCTTTCTTCTTGATTCGCTCGACAACCAGCCCCAGATCTTGCAACCACCTCGGCAAGTGGGGTTCGGACACTTTGTCGATGAGATTCCCATGCTCTGCAAAAAGTACTTTACATTATGCCACCGGCGAAATCCGATAGTCGATGTTGAGAACCTAGACCGCTATGCTAAGGAGGTTACTATCCAGGGTCTTGGATGGGACGGCCCATCATGTCAAGTGGTATGTTGCATGAAGCTGCAGGAAAGTCTCTCACTTAGCTCATTTACTCTCGTATAGCTCCTAGCATGCGCCTTAGCCTCATGTACATCCTCTCAATTTGTCCCACTGGGGAAAGATCAGATCCCTTCCGATTTGGACACCTTTCCATTGCCACCCATGCCAGACGCTAACCTGGATTTGGCCGAGACATACTTCCACGCTGCCAAGCAAAGATTTGGCTTTTTACACACCTCTCCCACTGACATTCAATGTTTTCTCCTTGCAGGAAGCTACCACAGACATGCCGTGCGTCCTCTACAGGCTTGGTTCTGTTACCAGCAGGCATCATGCAGATTAGAAGTTCGTCTGCGGTCGCTGTGTAGAGAGCAATGGACCGCAGATGACAACTATCATAATCTAGAGTCACGTTTATATTGGTCTTGTATTCAAGCGGAACAGTAAGATTGCCATCTCGACAGAATCAACATCAACTAACTGTCCTAGTGAGATGCAGAGTGAACTCCCTCTCTGGAGCAGTGGTCTCGAGAGCCTGGGCTACTCAGACCAGTTTCCCAAGCTCACACGCAAGGCGCCTACATCATATGACCAGATGGAAGACGACGAAGGCCTTGCGGTCAAATCAGCATTTGAATTAGACGACAGCGAGGAAGAAAGAGGCTGGAAATTCTATATTGGATCCATCTGCAACCGCCGCACGACAAACGATCTCCTCGAAGACATGTGGCGTAACGGGGAGAAAGGCTGGACGAAAGACATTCCTGATCTTCTACAAAGAACTGGCGCAGCTGAACATGTAGTCTCATCCTGGTAAGAGCCCCCACTCGATCCAAATCAAAGCCTACTGACCTCCGTCCCCGATCCAGGTACCAGATCTCCCTCGCCGGGATTCAATCCCAGGAAGACAGTCCAAACCTAAGTTCACAGAAAGACAACCCAGACCTGAGATACCTGTTCCGCGGCCGCTACCACATGGCACTAGAGAGGATCTACCGACCAGCGTTCTACCTAGCAATGCACTACCATAACATGCCAACGTTCCTAAAATCCAACCATAAAATGTGGGGCGATGTGTTCTCCATCGCGCAAAAAGCAATCGACAACTGCGCTGAGCTGATTCCAGGCTACTGGTACCAGTTCCGCCATGAGTGGATTTGGAACGTGATACGGGCCACCTTCGGATGCGCTTTGCACATCATTGGGGCGACGCTGTATCAACTGGAAGCTGTTCGGACGCCGGGAACGTGGCAGGTTCGGATCCCGGGTAATTGGGCTGCGTTGGTAAGGCTTTCCATTCGTACGCTGAAATATTGGTCGGCTGAGTCCAAGTCCATTGATGTGGAGGTTATGCGGTCTACGCTTGAGAGGATGTATCAAGGGACTTGTCGACTGGCTAAAGTGAGACCGGAGCTTCATCTTATCTGATAGTTTGGGGGTTCTGTTAATATTATAGCTGGGTTAGGGGCATATCGGCCTCGGAAGTACATAGTTAGGGTTATTGTCAGGCTTACAGATGGGACCATGGGACACCTCTACGTCTGGGTGGTTATATATACTACCTGGGTACGAGAACTTGGTTTATAATAATTTTCAAATTCATGATGTTCTCAAGGCATTTATTTCTCTTGCTTCTGTTCAGCTGTTTTCTATGTTCGTATGTTTTCCTTTCAATCGAGTAGATCTGGCAATTATTTAAAAAATACATATTTGCACTCTTTTGTCGTTGAGCTTTAAACTCATGGAACTATATAACTTACAGAATAGTCAATCCATTGTTACTTACAAAAGACTATATTGTGAGCATTGCTATCAAAGTTGTAGAGCAGCAAATTATCCGTTGTCGCGTATACTCCGGAGCCCCACAACTTTTTCTCACGAACCTCATTTCATCATTTCCAACTGTATTCTACATTCTCTTTCTCACATTCCACAATTTCCCATCATGGAAGACTACAAACCCCCAGCTCTTCCCTTCCCCTTCAGTAACACCACCCCACCACCAACCCTCCTCACCCAAGGCGCAGAAGCCCACCTCTACAAGACCACCTCCCTCAACCCCTCCATTCCCGCCGCGCTCAAGATCCGCCCCTCAAAACCCTACCGCCACCCCATTCTCGACCGCCGACTCACCCGCTCCCGAATCACTCAAGAAGCGCGATGTCTCGCCAAGCTAGTCCGCGAGGGCGTGAGTGTTCCCGCCCTCCTGGCGCTGGACTGGGAAGGCCACGGCGGGGAGGAGGGCGGATGGGGCGGCGCCTGGCTGATGATGGAGTGGATTGATGGGGATGTTGTGCGCGTTGTTCTTGAGCAGTGGGAGTCTTGGATGAAGGCGAATCAGGCGTCGCTGGATGCGGGGCAGATCGAATGCGAGGAGGCTCGTGTGCGCGGCTTGCTGAGGAAAATGGGTGCTGCTATTGGTGCTCTGCACAAGGCTGGTGTCGTGCATGGTGACCTGACGACGAGTAATCTTATGCTGCGGCCATTTGCCGATGCGGGTGATTCTACCGATGACTCGGGCTCGGGCTCGGTGGACGGTGATGTCGTGCTGATTGATTTCGGTCTTGCGTCACAAAGTACGCAGGATGAGGACCGTGCGGTTGATTTGTATGTGCTTGAGCGGGCCATTGCGAGCACGCATCCGCGCTCGGAAGGTTTCTTCGAGGATCTGATTCTTGGTTACCGGGATAGCTACAAGGGGGCGCCTTCGACGCTGAAGAGACTAGAGGATGTGCGACTGCGAGGACGCAAGAAGAGCATGCTTGGTTAAGCCAGTCTCAGACAAATTCTTTTGGAGAGGGATGTACTCTCAGCTATGATTGATTTACAATGAGAAACGCCACGCTTGTCACAACCGATATCCGAACGGTCGCAAAGAAGAGAGAAAAAAAACAGATCATGACCGGTTTTTGACACATTGACCCACGTCAGCCATTGCGAAATAACCCTTGTTCTCGACCACCCCACGATCCTTCACTACTGCCGTGTATTTGACGACCCACTGCGGCTCGACATCACCCTGGATACCGTCGTTGGCATCGGGCGAGGAAGCCAAAATGCCCGCACTTTTCTCTGCAGGACCGAGCAGTTCCCGCGTTGTACCGACAGGAAGAATATCATGGCAATCGTTATGAGTGAGGAGTTGGATCTGCTCTTCCTTCGCATAGAGAATCAAAGACTTAGGCACAACACAGCAGTCCTTAAGATTGATCTGGTCGACCGACGGCTTAACCTGAGTATGGGGCAGGAAACGGGCGAGTCGGTCACAGCCGAACTCAGCAACGCCAAGTTGCGCGATCATGCCCTGCTCGTGAAGCGACTCCAGCACCCGCCACGTCTGCACCATGCTGTCGAAATCGTCTGGTTGCCCGCTGCTTGCATTGTCTTCATCTTCGCTGTCGTCGTCCGCGTCAAACAGGATTCCCGGGAACGACACGATCAATAGATCGATAGACTTCACATGTAGTTCCTTCAATACCAAATCAATTGCTTCCCTAGTGTGTGCGCAGCGCCTTGAAGCCGGGATCCCGGGTAGATAGAATAGCTTCACTGTGATATCGTATTGGTCGCGCTCTTCAGCCAGTCCGGGCTGCGAGAAGTCAATTGCGGGGATATAGAGTGCATCTTCGCTCTGTTGGGTCCATGACGGGTGGACATCAGAGTGTCCATTTGAGTGACCGTTTGCATGCACACCGTTGGGAGATTCGGCCTGTTGCGAGGCAAGGAAATTCGAGCGGAGCGAGTTGATCAGTTCAACGTTGGATTTTTGTGTAAGCGGATGGCGGATGACGGACTGGCGCCCGCCTTGCATAATATTCCTGTCGCGGGTTAATCCTGGCTAGGCGCGCATTCAGTGATACTTACGAGCTGGATAGAATCAACTTCATGGTGACTCAAATAGCAAAATTATGACTGGGTGAATCTATCAGACGAAATCGCAAGAGAAAAGTGGATTGGCGGCGATCAAAAGCCGGAAGTTGACCCCGCGGCTTCTGACAAATCTACTCTTCCTCCGGTTTCTTCTATAACATCAAACATTTCAAGTCTTCGATACTTCAACCCATTTTATATGTCTATATATCTACTAGCTCTAATATAGACCATTCAATCCTCATCAACAGTCGGATCCCAGTCCGTGGGCTCATACTCCCCCGTATCAAGCAACGTCATATCCTCCGCCGTTAACTCAAAGTCAAAGACATCGGCATTCTCCCGAATGCGCTGCGGGGTAGTCGACTTAGGCAGAGGCACGAATCCCTACCAGTGTATTAGCACTTGAAATCAATTCAATCAATTCAATCTCACCATCTGCAAACTCCACCGAATCAAAACCTGCGCCGGCGTCTTCCCATACTGTTTCCCAATAGATGCCAACACCGGCTCGTTAAACCGGGTTCCGTGCGCAAGAGGTGAATAAGCCTCGACAACGACCTTTCGACTCTGTAGCCAATCCACAATGTCCGAGTGGTCCAGCCATGGGTGCAGTTCATACTGACCGACGTCGATTTGGCCGCCTCCGCCGCCTTGGATGTAAGCCTCCAATTCTTCGAGGTGATGAATCCCGTAGTTCGATATGCCTATGGCTTTGGCTTTGCCTTGTAATTGTGCTTCCACAAGTGCGTCCCAGGATCCTAGGCGGGCTTTCTTGCCGCCGTAAGGTGCGTGGATCAAGATGCTGGGTAGGCTGTTAGCCAGTGACCTCTGTAGAGATCTGATACTGGATGAGTCCGCGTATCTCGATCTATCGATATCTCGTAGCTTACAGATCAAAGTAATCTTGCGCCGCTTCGCGTAGACTCGAGTTGATAGCTCGTTTCGCTGACTCGTAGCCCATCGATTCGGGTGGGATCTTTGTTGTAAAGAAGACCTGGGATCGATCCAGCTTGGAGTTCTGGATGGCCTTTCCGCATGGTTTCTCGTTGCGATACATGATCGCTGAATCGACCTGCTCACTATTTAGCTTGTGCACCTAGGTTCGATGGGCACTCCATACATGACGGAACCCAACATTGAGGGCCTCGGCAGTGGCTTTCTCAGTTCCGGATGAGGGACTGCTGGCGGTCAGTTGCATTCAATTTACATTTTGGAGTACTGAATGGAACACACATCATATAGACCTATTTAGCATGTCAGCTTTGTTGAGAATGTGCTTGCGGGGTAACTCACTCCATATCCCAGGACTGGGATCTCATGGCCCGACAACAGCTTATACTTGGATTGAAGAGTCAGTTTAGCAGTCATTTTTGGTGTTTGCTAAATTGAAAAATGAAAATGCCGACAAGATAGGTATATGAGGATGATGAGATCATAAGAGTGGGGACCCCGGGATATTGTTGCGACCCAAATCTGGATTTGTCTGTATCAAAGCACCTGGCGAAGATAATCATGTAGGCAGTTTCAAGTTAATCTATTAGATATGATCTTAATATCACAACTTGTCACCGCTATATACAATAATGTATGACAAGTGTGAGTCAAACAATATTTTGTATAGAATCGTACCATTGGCCCAACAACCTGGCTATATGTATGAACTCTTCAAATGTGCACTCAACTCCCAAGATAATCATTATTAATGGAACCTGCAGGGGTTTTCAAATTCAAATGGTCCAATTACCCCACTCAACGTTGTCTTCTTTGTTTCTACAAGACTTGTGCCATATATTATCATTGCGTCCGTTGTTCTAGTAAAACTTTGGAACAAGCCAGGGCCTATCTACATATTGATAACGCTATACTTGCCTACATATGTACCTACTTTGTATTTACCGATGTACAGATATATCCAATATCTCCTCCTCTCCCGGTCTACTTCTGATTGGAAACACCTTCCACGCACCCTCTCAGGCCTATCGCCAATACATGGCACAACAGTATGGCGAGATATACCGTGTCCGTCTAGGAATGCTGGACATTTACATGCTCAATTTCCCACAAGTATTGAAAGAAATACTCGATAAACAATCCGCTGTCACATTATCGCGGAACTGCTGCATGATCCTTGACGTAAAACAAGTCTAGCACCAAGTTCTATACGTATATCCGCCGATATACCGTGTCGGTCCTAAAGGCTTCAAAGTATGGAAGGATAGTTTCGAGATGGGTGAGTCTGAATAATTTAAATCCACGAAGCATGAGTGCATAATAAAAATGGGAATGCGATGATGTCTGCGACATCCACCAAATCATGAACAACTGCTCCTAGGTGGCCACTCCCGGAAGATATCTCGCCGATGTATTTCCGAGTTTGGCGAATCTTCTTCCAATCCAATTGCAATGGTGGTGCAGATCCCTCCATCCAATGCTTGAGCGACAGAAGTCCGTCTGGATGAAGTTCTGGTTAAGTCTGCAAGCACAGCTGGAGAAGGGCAAAGCACCCGAATGCTTCGTCAGGTAGGTTATCGAATCTGATTCTCAAAAAATGGGTATCACAGAAATGCAAGCAGCCTTTGAAATTTGTGTTTCGTAGTCGGGATATCGGGATGTTTTGAAGAGGGAGTGGGAGGTGGCGCAAATAGAAGGGTATATATTGATGGATATCAAAGTTGATGCGGCAGGGGTAGTGGTAGAAGGATCTAGCAATTTCTGTGTATGCATCGATGTCAGTTTGCAAACGCCCATCTATGCACAGACGACTCCAGGTAGCTGTATTAAATTGTTTTGCATTGTTCTCTCTACCTGGGCTATATATTAGTGGTTCAAGGATCTGGAATGTGACCACCCATATATGTGCATAAAAAAGGAACACCATTTGGAGATGCAGTTATTGCGTGGGTTGTCTCTTATATATTGATATTTATCTACAAAATTTGAGCCTCTACATATATGGACTAAGAGGTTAAAGACGTGGGTCCTTCCAAAACAGGTGGACGAATTAGCGGCTCTAGATCAAGGGCAGCGGGAGAGTGCTATTTTAACGACTTGCTTTTTTTTATGGATCATATGGCGTCTTGACCTTGGGAATAGTAAAGAATGAGGTAGCCGTCTTACCATATAACCCATGCCGCTACCGCGTATTGGTCTGTCTCACCATTCTGAATATATATTTTCTATGTATCTTTTGTATGGGGCTTACATATAAAAGGTACGTGATAAATATGTTTAAGTATCTTATAACATAAAGCAGATTAGAGTAATTAAACTAGCCTATAGTGTCAATGTAGAATTTCTATTATGTTTTAATACTTTGAATATTGATTTTGTTCTAAGATGTAGGTATGTATGCTTTAATGTTTTGTTTTCGAAGGTCGAAAAGAGCCTCCGAAGAGTATTCGCTTTTAAGAATTAAAAAAATTCTAATTATAGCATATTAAAACGACGATAGGATAGTTTATCTACTTACAACTACTTTATATTATAAGATATATAAGAATGTTTATTATGTACCTTTTTGTACCTTTCAATACTTAACCCCCATACAAAACTTTGGAGGAAGATACCTAACATCTGCACATTCAGAATGGTGACCCAGAACAACGCGCGGTACGTCATATGGTAAGACAGCTAATGGGCAGAATAGTGCAGGTGATTACAAAAATTTGTATGTGTTGCTAACCTTCTGAGGCCTCTCTCTCACACTTCCTACCACTTCTTCAATTCTTCACTTATTCCCACCTCTTTCTCCATTTCCCCACCTCCACTTCAGGAGTTACCTTTTCAACCTCTCGTATCAACGAGGTTTTGAATGTGACTGCTACCCCTCTTTCTTTCTTTCTCTCCTTCTTTCTCTCCTTCTTTCTCTCCTTCTTTCTCTCCTTCTTTCTCTCTGTCTTTCACCAGTTTCATTTGCCAAGATGTGGGAATGCGCTACTTGTTATGACGAATTCTATGATCGATCTGACTGCGATGAGCACATGGATGATTACGATCATTGGCGCGAGTGCGAGACGTGCCCTCGTAAATTCCGCAGTAATCAGGCGTGCAATCAGCACATGGATAACTTGCAACATTGGGCTCCCGAGTTTGAGTGTGAGACTTGCACTCGTACATTCTCCTCTCAGAACGCGGCCAACCAGCACATGCAAGCCACAGGACACTACGAAAACTACTGCCGTGATTGTGATCGACATTTTCAGAATGAAAATTGCTACCGCATGGTATGCGGCCTAGCGTTCTGGCCATATGTCGACCTGACTGACCATGTTTACAGCATATGAACTCTAAGCTCCACCGCGGCAAAGGCGTCAATTGCCCATTTTGCAGTGCTGGTTTTGTCACGGCGAGTGGCGCCTCCCACCACCTCGAGAGCGGTGCCTGCCCTGAAGCTGGAAGATGGAACCGTGACACTATTCACCGCGCGATTCGGTCACTCGACACCAATGGTATCATCACAAAGAGACAAATCGAATGGCATGGCGACGAAGATGTCCAGTACGAAGCTACTCACGCCGCGTTTGATGGCGACTTCTGGAGATGTTACATTTGCCAAAAGGGGTTCAACATGGTTCACTCACTGAACGCGCATATCAATTCTCCCGTTCACAAATCGAGGATCTACCACTGCCTTAACAAGCGTGGACAGTGTAACAAAGAGTTCGTGTCTCTCGCCGCTCTGTTCAGTCACTTGGAAAGTGAGTCGTGTGGATACACCCGCTTTGAAAACGTCCAGAATGTCCATCGCCGATTGCACGACGCCGTCCAAGGCCGCCGAATGATCACTGGGATTTAGGCAACAAGTCTGGATACGACGATATGACATGATTTGCTTTGACAGAAGATCGAGAGTCTCGCGGCCAGATTGGTTTCAATTGGAAAAGAACATTGAATTTTCACCATCCATCCCAGGGGAGTTACCACCCGGGCGCCTACATAAACATTGCGATTATTCAATATAGGCAAAATCATTTATTCAACGTGACAAAGTACACATTTCTAAATCCAACAACCCACCTCTATGTATACAATACAGAAATTCTCAAAACCACCTAGACCTTCCTCTGCTGCTCCTTCAAAGCCTCAGCCTCAACCTGCTCCTGCAGCTTACGGTCTGCCTCGCGCTTAAGCTGATCAGGACGACGAACAGCGATATCCTTAGGACGGAAATCACTGAACAGGTGCTTGAGGACATTCTCAATGATCCAGCAGCCACCGTAATCGAAGATCATGAGCACGGTCAGAGTCATCTTGAACTCGTTGGTGAAGGGGACGAGGCGCAGCTTCTCGTTCAGCTCAGGGATGAATTCGGTGGCGCAGGAGAAGGCTACACCGGAAGCGGCGACGAGACCCCAGTACATGGCCTTGTTTTCGCGGATGGACTCACGGAAGGGACGGCCTTGGTAGTTGATCGAAAATGTGGAAATTTGCTGGATCAGCTGAAGGAGGTAGATGGCGCTGTTCAGGAGGGAAGGCTCAAACTCGCCCTCGAGATCGATATCGGAATCTCTCCTTTTTTGTGTGTTAGTGATGAGTAGACAAGGAAAAGGTGGGGGCATCGCAGCTTACGGCTCGTGTTTATAGACATAGTTGGAAAGGTAGATCAAAGTCACAATGTGGATAGCGAACTGTCCAAGCACGGATCCAATGATGTAGACGTTGAAGATGTTGGGCTGGGGGCGTTCCTTGGAAAGACCCTCGACGGACTATCATCATTGGTCAGTAGAAGTATAATTTCATTTGATTGGAAAGCACATACCTTGGCACGAGAGATAGACAAGAAGCAAACACTCATCAGCATACCACTGATAGTAACCTGTCCATCACCAAACTTGATACCATCCAAGTAGATGACACTCAGACTGTAAGCACTGATCAAGCAGTTCAGAGCAAGAATCTTGTACATCTGGATAGTAGCAACAAGTGTGCAACGACCTTGACGGAGAATGTTGGGGATAGCAATAACATTAGCCAGCTTGCTAGTGAACGGAGCGGCGACAGAAGCATCACCCAGCTTAATAGTGGGAGGCTCGCTATCATCCAGTTCTTGTTCCATCATGGAGGATGTAAGCTTGTCAGCAAGACCAGCCGCGGCAACCTGGGCCTGCTGCTGTCTTTGCTGCTGGGGGTTCATGTTCTGTTGCTGCAATGCCTGGGCACCAGGGGATGTAATAGTTGGGATAGCTTCGGGTGCGGCAATTGCGCCGCCCTTTTTCTGCATCTCGCGCTCCATGGCCTTCTCGTAGTGAGGGTTACTGGGACCAGGGGGATACAGGTGGGCGATCTGGACGGGGACAGGAGGAGAGGGCTGGTTGAATCGTAGCATCATGGAAACCTGCTTCTCGTACAGCTCCTTCATCTTGGTGTTCCGGTAGTGTTCAGCTATCTTGGTGAGGTCCTCCTGCGAGCCGTTGAGAAGAGCAACACCGACGTGAGCTTGCTTGAGAGCGCCAACATCGTTGGTACCATCACCGCACATCAGAGTGGTGTACCCAGCATCCTTCAGACCAAGCAGGATATCTTCCTTTTGCTTGGGAGAAACACGAGCGTAAACCCAGGTGTGACGAAGGAGATCGGGAAGCGCCTTCTGGTCCTTGAATTTGGCCAAAGCATATCCAGTGATACAAATGTCCTTGGTGTTCAGAATCTCCGGGTCGAGGGGCTTGGTAGGGTCCACTTCAACATTAAGCTTGTCATCAACGGTACGCCAAACAATCTTGGTTCCAGAGTTATCATGCTCCGGGGCATCAAGAATGAGAACTTCACGGTCCACAATTTCAACCTTGCGAGCGACGTGCACAGCAGTCAACGGGTTGTCACCGGTGATCATGACAACACGGTGGCTGCTCTCGTTCAACATGCGGACAGACTTGATGGCGTCATCCTTCAGAGGGCACTGCAAAACAAGGAAACCAGCAAAGATCAGTTCGGACTCGACCTCTTCACGAACGTAGTTGTTGACGCGGTTTTGGGAGAGTTCGGTTTCAGAGGAAAGATACTTGTAGGCAAGAGCAAGAACACGAGCACCGTTACGGGTGAAGTGCTTGAATGTCTCTTCGTAGTTGGGAGGAGCGTTGACCAACATGGTGCGGATGGTCTCGGGAGCACCCTTGACACCCACAAAGGTAGACTTGATCTTCTTGGAGGTCTTGCGGTCATTGGCAGTGATAGTAGCGATAGTGCTTTGGCGCTTCAGGGCCGAGGAGAACTGGAATCTTCTCTTGATCTGAACGTTCTCGACGTTGCGGCCAGAAATCACAGGTACATTGCTCTTGGAAGACAGGGTATCATTCTTGCCCAGGGTCCAGCCAAGCCATTCTAGAGTAGCTTTTTCCATAGGGTCTCCAACAACCTCACCTTCGTCGAGCTTGACCATGGCATGTGCACTGGCGAGAACAAGAGTGGTATTAGCACCAGCGGCAGAGGCCTGGGCCAATTCAGCGTGGGCGCCATCAGCTTCAACCTTAGATCCAGGCTCGCCCAGAGTAAGTCCGGCAATACCATCCACAACAAGGTCCTCTCCAGTCAGGGTACCGGTCTTGTCGAAGCAAGCCACGTCAACACGACCAGCAAAGGGAATGCGGAAAGGCTCAGTGCAGAAAATGGCAAACTTGCTCAAAGCAGCAAGACTGGTGTTAACAGCCAGGCTCAGTTCCATGGGCAGCTCAGGAGGCACGACACTTGTAACGATAAGAACGCAGTCCAGCAGAAGCTTGGAGCGCTTGCGGTCCCGCACCACACCCTCTTGCCAAACATACCACGAAGCGGCAATTGCAAAAATCAGGAGGAAGAGAATGAACAGCAAAGCCTCAACGTTGTTGGCAGAGACTCGCTCGGTCGAGTAAATCATGGTTCGTACAAGGCTACCCTGGCTGGTCTCGAAACCAGTCTTGACAACCACACCCAAGGCGCCGTTATCCGGGGGCAGGGTGACGCTGCTAGCCAGGTTGCTCAAAGATGATTCACCATTCAAGTTAGGGTGAGTAACCTGGAGAACCTTGGTTCCTCCGTGCACAAACGAGAGCTTATCCAGCCCTTCCGGCTCAATCAAGTCATCACCGGGGCGGAGCTGAACGGAGTCCTTGAGGAGAGGTGTGCTCTCACCAGAAAGCATGGCCTCGTTGACAATAACGCTACCCTCGACCAAAAGAATATCACAGGCAACACCGCTGTCCTCCTTGGTGCGGTTCACTGACATGAGGTCACCGGGGAGAAGCTTGTCGCTAGTAATTTCCTGCCATTTGCGTTCACGGTATACCCAAACATCGTAAGGCTTGATGCTCATTCCACGGAATTCGACTAGAGTTCTCTGACGTTGCCACACAACAGTACTCTCAAATGCGACAAGCATGAAGAGCGTGAAGAGCGAGTAGTACCAGTATTCATCCAGCATCCACAGTCCAACACAGAAGATCTGGAAGACGAAGAATGGCGCAACCGCATGCTCCTGGAAGAGCTCGACAAATCCGGGGACGGGAATATCGAAGGTGTTGTCGCCATAGTGGTACTGGATACGATCAATCTCGGCCTTTGATGTAAGACCCTCGCTCAGCTGGAAAGTCTTGAGGGCCGGCTTGGGTTCGGCATCGAGAGCGTAGGACAGGGGCGCGAATGTACGGGTCTCCGGGTAGAAAAGGAAGCGGCGCTTCTGGAAGAGGAACGAAAGAGTCTTCTTGGGGCCGGCGGTTTCATTGATCAAGGTGCAAATCTCGGCAGAACCGGCATTGGTGATGGGAACGACTTTGATAAGGCGAGCAGTGTCAATGGACTTGGCTTTAGTGGTAGTGAAAAGAGTGTTGATATCAATATTCCACTTGGTCATCAACCAAAAGAGCGACTGAAAGGTGATGATGGACCCCGCCCAAACGAAGGTCCATTCCTGTCCCTGAATGTATGTATCATAGCGCTCGGGGGAGAGGTAGAAAGCGAAGAACACGGGCCAAGTAATCAGGAAAGGCCAGACATATGTGTGCAATTGCCAAGGGAGCGGGTTATGCAACGAGGCATATTGAATCTGAGGGTCGTCTACGAGCTTTGCCCTGTATCTATGTTAGCTTCTGCATGAGGATGGGGGACTTTAAAACGTACATGATGGCAATTCGGTGACCACGGGTCAGGGTCAAACAGAGCAGAAATCAAAGACTCATAAGAAAGAAAGAAAGTAATGAGAGAATCCTATCAAGGAAATACCTAGATACGGGTTGAAGAAGCCACCTTTAGACACTTTCGGTTCCATAGGATTCGCCTCGATGCACTATTATGTAATCATTTTCTCCCGATCTTTTTGGCTTATGTAGCATAATTTGTCCTGGTCCTTCAACAGCCCATTGGCCGGGCTAGCTCAATCGGTAGAGCGTAAGACTCTTAATCTTAAGGCTGCGGGTTCGACCCCCGCGTTCGGCTCTTCCTAAAAACCAACAGGTCTTTAAGATTTCTTTTTTTGCTATCTTTAATCATGTCGTTGTTATATAAGTGCGCTGTTCGTGAAAATATGGAAATTTGGTTGAGTTAATAAAACCGTGAGAGAGTACCTAGGTATACTCATAAAGGTTGAATTCAATCAACTAAATAAATTTGGGGAACAATATTTTTTTGAGTGGTAGATATTCGGAGACCAAGGTGTGGATATATGTTTGCTAGATGCTTGCCTCATCCACACTCACATTCTTCTCATTTTCCTGAGTCAGTCCTTCAACCATCTTTGTCAAGATCCTAATTTGCTCCTTCAGCTCTCGGATTTCAAATGTGCAGTTGTCAACCTTGATGTCTGGAGTGGAATGGGAAACCTGCTCTTTCCAAGTGTCATCAAGATCAAAATCAACCTCATGGGCCACATGCTCCCATTCTTGAGCACAGTCATCGTCATCTTCCCCGTGACGGCGGTTCCACTGGATCCGATATGCCTCGCGGGATTCAATCCAGGCAGTAAATACAAGAAGAGGAGAGTAAATCACCCCCATGATGAAGTCGTTTAATCTAGCATATGCCTCTCGTGAAAGCCACCATTCAAATGGAGCTACTAGGAACAAGATCTCGACAAGATTGAATGCTAGCACGAATGCGATTAGCTACTTGTATACCACGGGAATTGACCGAATACGTACGTGGGATGAAGACATTCTCATCAGGGGCGCGAACAAACTGCATGGTCTTCTGTGCAAAAATTGCCATGTATTCGTCAGTTGCATTGCCAGAGATATCTTCATATGCGCTGTTGTACAAGGCGATAAGAATATTCAGGAGAACTGAGAATGGTTAACATGACCCCCAAAACAGCCAAAATTCGAACTTACCAGTCATGACAATGAAGTTGAAAACGTAGTAGAGAATGATACCGAACGGAAAGGCAAACTCCTGGAAAGTGTCGAAATCAGGACTTTGCATGATACTGTTGACCATGCCTTGGAGAATGTTTCTGTGAATAGGAACATCGGCGTCCACCTGGGCCATGCCGATGAAGGCCTGGAAGAAACCAGCCATGACCACGAAAAGAAGAGCAAAGAAGATCAAGCTCTCCTTCATCATGACGCGGAGAACCACGAACATGGCACCGAAAAAGCGAAATGAGTCGAGATAAAGCATCATGCGCATCCAAAACATGGGACCCGCGAAAGCCAAAAAGTTGTAACTGAGCTCATTGTACAGTTGCCGCTGCTCATCCTGGGTAGATGACGAGTGTGCGAGGGCAACAAAACGCAACACAAGCGAGACAGCAAGGATGGTGTACAAGGTTGAGTTGAATGCATTCCAAAACTCAAGGTAATTCCACCCAACCTTCCAAAATTTGATCGCCTCATCGCAAATGAATGCGAGGGTCATGCCGTAAAGGATGCCTTCAGCTATATCCAGATCTCCAGTCGGGTTCACGGTATTTATAACCGCCGTGTAAACCGCAAGATATATTAACGAGAACAATATCTGGCAAACATTCTGGTAAAGAGGAGTCCTCATCCTGTCAGGGTGGAAATGAGACCAGTAGCTCGTGTTGGACTTTTCATTGTAATCGACGAAGTTGGTCGGATTACCCTCTTCCTGGCAGATCCAGCCTCTCCATAGATAATCGATGCACCTTTGATACCCAGCGGAGCTGATAATCCTCAAGGCATGTAGATCTACCGAGCGTTCAATGACGTTGGCGGGATCAGTCTCTACACCCTCACTGAAGATGGAGTATCGCTTGAGTAGGATCTCTCTGAGCAAGTAGTCCTGGCTTTGTTCGGTTTCAATACTGTATAGTTGTGTCAGTACCGAAAGAGAGAGAAAAACCATAAGTGTGAAAGGGGTCATACATGCGCTTGGCGATGACCTCGCAAGCCACAGCCCGAACGTCATGGAGATCGGCATCCCAAAGCTCGATCGTGGATTGAAGCTTGAACCATCGCAGACAGACGAGAAGACAGTAGACAACACAGGCCTTGTAATCTTCACCACCAGCTTGTTTGGCAGTTGCAACCACGTCGTCCGTGATGATGCGGCTGTTAGGGTCGGTCAGGACGGTTTCCTCCACCTCGCAAGACACAACCTGTTCAATTTGATACTTTAGTCGAAGAGCGACCTTGGCAATTTCCTTGGAGGCATCGGAAGCCTGAGATTCATCGGCAGCGTAGGCCGGGAGAACTGCATCTGTAATTAGCGGTATCACACAACTGCATCTTTGGGGATGACGTACGCCGACGACGTTCCACCTCCACACGATGCCGAACTCTGCCACCATCTGAACGAAAAAAATCCCTCCAATGACCCATACTGTGCAAATATTTCGAAGGATGAAGAGGGAAAGTTGAGATCAGGGGGTTCACCAATCATGAGGGGAAGAGAGAGATCGGCGATAGATAAGCTCAAGCTCTTTCCCCGCCATTTGGATTTAATTGAGAATCATCGAATTAAAATGAAAACTGATTCAATATTGTGTATTTAGTTACGCATCTACAAATGAAAATATTGGCATCTAAAAGCATCACTGGCATTGAACGTCTCGGTTGCATCACAAACATATGTACATCAGAACTTGCACCCCGTGCGGACCTTTCCGGGCACGACGAGGATTTCGACCGCAGTTGGCACGCAGCGCATGAACAGGCGTGGACAATTCATCCCCAGACCCGAGGCGCAGGCGACTGCCTCTAAGTTGAAGGGCGAGTTCTGACAGCAATCCTGCCCATCAGCACACTGAGCCCATTGAGCCCATCTCCCAGAATGTGCAAGCTATTTTTTCTATCCGTTTTTGCCCAACTCTCCTCTGGCGGTGATTCCGGCTTTGGATGCCAGCGCCGATGAACGCTGTATGCCCCTCGACTCGGAGTAGTAAGCCGTTTACTCGTCATCTGCCTCGGAGTCTTCGTCTCCGCTGACCTGCATGTTCTCACGCTCACGCTTCTCCATAAGCTCCTGCAAGATAGCATCATCTTGCTCAGTGACGGCCTTCGGTGCCATCTTCACGGTGCAGTTACCGCCGTTCGCCTGGATGCGCTCTGTGATTCTCACAATGGCGTCCTCCAGTCCCTTGACACCAGCGGTCTTATCCAGACATTGGCTGGCCAGGACGTACAGAGGAGGAGCAACAAGCTTGACCTTGATCTGGCTCTCGGGGGTGTTCTCGGCCTCGGCGGTGCGAAGGGCGTCTTTGACAGCATCGATTCCCTCATAACCAAAGCAGGTAACCTCGATATCGGCACGGACCTTAGTGGGGTGGGGAGTGAGCTTGCTGCTGATGTACAGCTGGAGCTCGTTCTTGACGGCGTCGCTAGGGAATGTGATCTCATCCCAAACGGAGGGGTTTCTATAATTTGAGTTGTTAGAGACTCAACAATCACTTCTGAGTCGGAGGAGAAAAACCTACGTGATGGAAATTTTGAAAGCGTCATGCGAGTGGCCATATTTCTGGTTCAGGGGCCAGCCGATAGTCTCGTAGAGGGTCTCGAGGGGGGTTTGAGTCGCCTCTGCGACATGGCGCATGATGGAGTGCACAGCCTTGCTCTTGTTGTAACGCTCCTCACACTTGATCACATCCTCGGGGGAGACACGGCGCTTGGAAAGATCAATGTAACCTTCGGGTTGGCAAGTTAGCTATGAGTTCCTCCGAACCAAATGGTGTAACCTTGCCTTTCTCCTTGTCGACACGGAGTACGATAACGACTTCGTTGCGTCCGATACGGATGAGCTTTTGGATACTGCGAATACGTCTGCGGGATAGTTCTGAGAGGAGGATCATGCCGTCGATGTTGTCGTATTCAAGCAGCTTCACATATGCGCCCATCTCAGCGATCTAACTCATTCACAAGAAGTCAGCCCAGACCCAAATGCTTCACGTCTCATGAGGACCCAGTGATCCATATAATCCATACCTGCTTGACATTGACCATGACAAAGCTGTCCACCTCCGGGTACTTGTCCTCATAAAACCGACAGTTCGTTAGAGACATGTTGGCGGGGTTCTTTTTTTTCTCGGGGAAATATTAGGTTAAAAAGTGAGAGATGTATGGCACGGTCCAGACGACTAGTACTGTGGCAAATATAAAAGGAGTGAGCGAAATATCCGAGCGACGGAGACCGGAGGAGAAAAGCGACTTGAATGGAGGCACAGTCTATCTCTTTGTGGCGGAGGACTTCAAAACCCACATTGGGTTGTAGCGGTCACGGGACTGATATCACGTGAGTGGGTTTCACACCGCCCATCATATCAATTGTTGCTGACACATCGGGGTATGACGTCCGAAGCCAAGGACCAGACTTGACTTGAAGTGTATACTTCTTACCCAATAACTTCTAACTCTACGAATCAGAAGGCAACCGGATATTATGCTGACCATGCTTTACTACCGACCTTCCTATTGCACAGTCGGTGATCTGCGTTGACCTTATGATAACGCTCGTTTTCCCCGCTTATCAGTTCCTTAGCGCGCCCTTGCGTAACAATTTGGTCCCTGCGGCATTCGACTTAGTTTCTAATTGTTTTTGACCGGTTTTTTCTTTATTATTTTATTTTTTTGGAGCATATATGGCGGGTCACCTGGCGTCTGTGTCCATCCACTAGCAGTACCCTACCGTTTCCTTTCTAGAAACAATGTCCGAGACAAGCTCATCACGCCCTGAAGAGTCCGACGGGCCTCGGACTCTTCGAGATCGTGTTGTCGATGCGTTCCGTTCCGCTCCTCAAGCAGGCCTTGGGATTTCGACAGTCGGCAATCAAACGGAGAACACGACCGAACCAGATGTGACAACGAGGCTCCTTGATTCATACAATCATGTCGATCCTGCTTGCGGTGAGAGACGTTGTAGCCATGGCACGTTCTCTCCGCAAGTTGAAGAAACCGCAAGACAATCATATATTGAGAGCTTCGACGGATTCGGGTACAATGGAAATGCTGTGCTGGCCAGTGCGGCCGGTCGCCCTAGAGGCATAGACGACCACCCGGAGGAGTCTGGCCCAGAATCGGAGGCTCCGTCACAGATGAAGTCCTCTACACTTTCGGCAAATGATACCAGAAAACAGTATGGCGAATCTCACACATCTTACAAGTAGTTTGTAGCTTGCCTCAAATCAGTGACTGACATCGCGATTGCAGGTACATATCTTACTACATCCCTCTGCTCAATTGGGTTGGCCAATACCATTGGTCATTTCTCCGTGGGGACTTTATGGCCGCGTTGACCGTGGCTTCTATCTACATCCCGATGGCCCTTTCGCTCGCTTCGAATCTTGCACACGCGCCACCCATTAGCGGTCTTTACTCTTTCGTGATACACCCATTGATCTATGCCATTCTGGGAAGCTGCCCCCTCCTGGTAGTTGGACCGGAGGCGGCAGGCTCACTTCTCACAGGCGCAATCGTCAAAGCAAGTGTTATGCAAGGAAACTCGGGCGAAGATAATCTTACGGAAACCGCCCTGGTCGTAGGAGTTGCCACTGCGATGTCCGGAAGCATGATCCTCATTGCCGGATTGACCCGACTAGGATTTTTGGACAATGTTCTCAGTCGACCCTTTCTGAGGGGTTTTATCACTGCCATTGGATTCGTGATCTTCGTAGACCAGCTGATCCCGGAATTGGGTCTCGCTGACCTGGCCAAAGATTCTGGTGTCAGCCACGGCACCAGCGTTTCCAAATTGATATTCATCTTCCGAAATGCTGGCCAGTCCCATGGGCTTACTGCTGTAGTTTCGATTGTCAGCTTTAGCGTCATTATGGTTTTTAGGTATGAATCCATCTCTAGAGTCTCAGCTCCAATGCTAACCCACTACAGAACATTAAAAAAGATGCTTGTGCCACGTATCCCTCAAGTAATCTACTTCCCAGATCGCTTTTTGGTTGTTGTCTTGTCGGCTGTTTTGGCTTGGCACCTGGATTGGGAATCTAAGGGCCTCGAAATCCTCGGGTCCACAGAGGTTGCCTCTGGAGGACTATTCGCATTCAATTGGCCTTTCCAGTTTGCCCACATGAAGCATGTACGCACAGCAATGAGCAAAGCGTTCATAATTGCGCTCCTTGGCTTCTTCGAGTCGTCTGTGGCGGCCAAAGGACTGGGCGAAGGCAGCTCAGATGGAATCAAGGGAATGCATATCAGTGCGAATCGTGAGATGGTTGCACTAGGCGTTGCCAACGTTGTTGGGGGTTGCTTCTCAGCTCTCCCTGCATTTGGCGGCTACGGAAGAAGCAAGCTTAGCTCCCAGACAGGAGCACGCTCGCCCATGACCAGTGTTTTCTTGAGTCTCATCACCTTTGCTTGTGTGATGGTTCTCTTGCCCTATCTGTATTACCTGCCGGTTCGTAATCACCATGCTACGTATTGCATATTTCCGAAGATAACCAATGCTAACCCTGTGATAGAAAGCAGTTCTGTGTTCCATGATCTCCGTGGTAGCGTATACCCTAGTCGAGGAATGCCCTCAAGACTTGATGTTCTTTTTCCGCCTCCGCGGCTGGACAGAACTTGTCCTAATGTTCCTTATCTTCACTTCAACAATATTCTACTCCCTGGAACTCGGCATGGCAATGGGTATGGGCCTCTCGGTGATAATTCTTATCCGACACGCAACCCAGCCCCGCATCCAAATCCTAGGCAAAGTCTCCGGCACAGTTGCACGCTTCGACAACGCCGAACTCCACCCCGAAAACGTTGAGCTAATCGAAGGCGCCCTTATCGTCAAAATCCCTGAACCCCTTACCTTCGCCAACACCGGCGATCTGAAGAACCGTCTTCGTCGTCTGGAACTCTACGGTTCGAACCATGCTCACCCTTCCCTGCCACGTATGCGTGCCGCAGAGCACAATCAAAATATCATTTTTGACGTTCATGGTGTCACGAGTATTGATGGATCTGGAACTCAAGTTCTTTCGGAGATTGTGCATGCGTATGCAGAGCAGAAAGTAAGGGTTTTTTTTTGCCGTTTGCCGAATAGTAATGTCTTCCGCATGTTTGAGCGGAGTGGCATTGTTGAAAAGTGTGGCGGATTGACGCATTTCGTCCCCAGTGTTGATGAAGCGCTGCGACTGGCGGGATCTGAGGATCAGACGCAGGAGATCTAGAGGAGATCTTGCTAAAATTGGTGAAGTTTGTTCGATATGTGGATATTTCTTGTGGAAATATTATAATTCTGTTATATTGATGCATATACTACGCTTTTAGAATCTGTTGTTGGTTGACACCCGCATTCAGGCCTTCATTAGAAAGAGAATGGAATTTTGAAACAGAAAAGAATATGGAGTGGTCATAGCAGTAGCTCTGGGATACAAAGGCAAAATTTAAACCCTATTCCACACGCCATCATCATCACACCCAACTTGAATAATCAAGAAACGCACCACGTAAATAGAACGGGGATGGACGGCGGGAAGATAAAGCGCCGTACATTGTATTTGGCAATCACACTCATTGTACGCTCCTTCAAATAACCGAGTTAACTCTTACCACTGGATTTTTTCATCGGTGTTCCTTGCACCGACGCCAATTGAAACATCTCATAATACTCCGAAGCTGGAGAGAATGAGTAAAATTCAATTGATATGAAAGATGAAAGAAGCTTACGCCGAAGCCTGAAAACCGCCTACGGCAAGGTTCACAGCCATGTAGTGATTGCCGGATCAAGCGTACGGGCACTCAATGGTCACCACGAGAATTGCAGTGAATTGCTGCTGGCTTATGAAGAGTGATTGATCGTCTCGGTGCCGCAAACCACCAAACATTGTTTTTGTGTCCATTGAATGGCTATGGCAGAGTTGCTAGCGCATGTGATCTGGTCACTTGCCATGAAAGCGCACCCACAGTGATCGAGGAATTTTGGTTGCATAGCAAATCTAGCGGGCCAGTGGGCCGGCGAGGCCAATAAATTTTATCGCCAGTTGGGAGTACAGAGCCCATGCTGACCCAAGGCCACAGACATTGTAACCTGTGCAGAGGTGGAAATGAAATCACACAGTAGGCTCATGTGGTCGTTTGATCCCCAACAACCGCCCTCCGAGCCACAGACCGAAGAAGCTCTTGCCCAGCCTCCAAAGCCAATTTGTGCTTGTCACTTCGAGCCCGCTCCGCCGAGTCATCTCCACCGTCCTTATCAGCTGCCACAACGAGCTTCACGCGGCCCTCACCACCCAAGACAAAAGCAGCACAAGTAACCTTAGATAGCCGCACATGTTTCTTGGAAGCCTCATTTGACGACCCGTCCAGATCAACATTCATAGCGAGATGGGTCTCCAGATAAGAAGTAAGATTGGCAATCAAAGGGCTCCGCAATTTCTGCTTCAGAGTACGCTTCGGCGCTGGTCGCGACTCGCGAAGGAAGTCTGCCAGCGCGGTACGGGATAGATTGACATTGAGTGATCTCAATGCTGGCGCGATGGATGGCGAGAAGGAGAGTGTAAGCTGGAGTTCTTTGACCACATCTTCGACGGTCTCGGCCGCACCTGGCTGAGAGCGCAGGGCGTCGAGATACGTCTCTAAACCCGCACAGAGAAAACTCGACGGGAGTCTCAGGGGCGAGACGTAGGTGTCGAAATTGGCAGACAAAAATGCGAGAAAGGTCTGCCGGAGAGCAGTCGGGAACCTGGTTAGGAGGAGAGGGAGAGATGTGGATCCCTTGCGCTCATTGGATGTTGCTGAGGTCTCTGCGAGCAGAGCGGCCTTGTAGGTGATATTTTCATATTCCAGTATCACTAGAATTCCAGAAAATGAGGTATCCCAGGATCTGGGCGTTTCGTCGCCCAGGGATGATTGGAGAGAGATTGGGTGCCACAGACAATTTTTGAGGGCGCCAGTTTTCGAGAGCGCGTCATCGTCTGCTGCGCCCGTACTTGCTTGAATCCCAGCGAGAACATCGCCTGTGAGATGGTCACGTAGACGTGTTGCGTATGTTTTCAAGGCGACCTGGTTGTCTAGGAGGCTTTCACAGTCTTTTCCATGATGGAGAGGGGAGAGACGGTGGATGGTCCAGGATACATTGAACAACTGGCGCGGGTCCGCTGATTCCATAGCAGAAGCCAGTGGATGAATATCACGATGATTCTTTGGATATTATGGATAAGCCAGATTTGAAGCACATCGTCGAGTGAAATTGATACTTGCCGATATATACAGCAACAACGCGTGCCGGATGCAAACAAAACAAACAGTACCAGCAACAGTAACAGCAATATTTATACAAAATAATTGAAGGTGAAGTAATAAATTTGAAGTGTAAATGCATTTTGCTCAATTATCCAAACTCCTTTCTATTGTGTATTCCCAATATAAGATCCCATTACCCAATCCCTACGCCAACAAAAACACCTAGTACCATCATGCCTGCCAACCTCTCGTGCGATGGCAATTGCGACACCCGAAAACAATTGGAATGCCATTCCAAACCCAGACATGCTCAACATTATGGGGAATAGCTTGTCGGGCCCTCAACTCCGCCTCAGCAGCAGCGAACCAAATATCCTGCACCGAACCATGCAAGTTCTGCGCCGAGGCGCGTGCAAAAACAACGGAATTCATATGATCCTTTTCATACGTCGTCATGTCGGCATAGAAATTATACATAAAGTCTTTGCGCTGTGACCTTTGGTTTCCCCCATCGCCAATCTCCGCGGAGAAGAATTCCACGATGCGCACAAACGGCGCTAATGTGAGCAACGAGCTGATCCACGAGTCATCTACCTCTGTCTGTGCCTCTGGGTTCATCGTGATCGTGTGTCGTATGTAGGAAACAAGCAAATGCATACAGTGGTGCGTCGCAACCAGCGCCGCGGTGTTAGTGAAAGGAGGGCTTTGGAGAATGCGGGTTTGTAGCTCGCGGTACATTCGCTGGCGGATCTCGAGGGGAAAAGGCACGGGTAATTTCCCTGCCTCGTATTCCTGCACGAACTTATTCGTAAGTTCGCGCCTGGCGGATGCGTAGGATTCGAGGAAGTAAAGCGTGTAGTACCTAGAGAAGTCAGTAAAATTGCGCAAAGTGGCAGAACTCGGGTGTCGTACATAAGTGGTGCAAGATGGAACCGTATGCTAGCTATGCCTTGTTTGACAAGGGCGTTGCGCTCATTGCGCTTTGCCGGAAACGAGGCTTTCATGACCGCGGGCTCGGTCTGAACGAAACGATCGAGGATGCGATCCGCCAGGTAATAGCAAAGTCTCGAGCAGAGCATTTGCCGCCGCCTTAGCCCGTGCAAATACTTGAAGGTATAGAGATGCCCACCGCGGGCGCTTTTCGAAGGTGGGAACAGGTCCGACAAGAGCACGACATCGTCCGCGGGATTTCGGGTGTAAATGCGGTTATCGTCGATTGGGGAAGGGAGGGTACCGTGACGACGAAGGCGGAGGTACTGACGGACGATTTCGTATTCGTTAGAGGTGAGCAATTGACAGAAAGCCTTGCAGACAAGTCTTAGAGGGTGGAAATCGGTGATGCCGCAATATGCGAAGATACGGATTTGGATCTCGACGGGGAGGTCCCACGGGCAGGAAGATGGTAGACCCGCATGGTCTAGTCTGATATAGTATTTGAGTCAATGATTGTACTATGTTGTACCTCCTAGAGGTGACTTGTAACCTATCACAGGTTCTCAAAGGTTCAAAATTGTTTACCTGAATTCGGCTCCACGCTTGTCCTTGGCACCTTTCTTTCTGTGGATCGCGGCCCGAACTCTTTGAACTGAGAGGGCGAATTTGGCAAAGCCAGTCATCCTTGAGCCCTCACATTGGCTTCCGACAAAGCGGACCTTGAAGCTCACTTGAAATCGGATTCTTGATTCGAAGGGGGCCTTTAAATAGATTCCTGACTAAGCTGGTCCACCCACCTGGGCACCTGGGCAGATTGCAGGCTGGGCCGATCGAATGTTAACGATGATCTCGATGTTCACGATATGCACGAACGCTCGATTTCACCGGAGATCTCTATCGGGAAATGCGAAATACGATATATGCGATACATCGAGACACGTCAATTTACTTGTAGATGGTAGATGGTCTCAAGCGCTAGCATACTGCAAAGATGTTTAAGATGTAAGCAGCTAACCTTACCTAGGTAGACATACGTAAGTGCACTGACTATCCTGTGATATGAGAAGATCCTTAATATAATCGAGTCATCTGATTTCCAACTATCTAGACTCTATGCATACAATATGTACATGTATAAATAGTTATTGTATGCAAAACATCTGAAGTCGAATCTCAACTTGATTTGCCATTAGTTACGTCATTCTTAATGCGCCAATGGCGTGCTGTACGAAAGAGGGCAACACCTGGAGTCTCTCTCTCTCTCTCGACATCTATCGTCTTGAAATATTCTAAAATGCCCAATATTCTCATCTTAGGCGCCACTCGAGGACTGGGTGCCTCACTACGGACACTATACTCCACCAAACCCAATAACCATGTTTTCGCAACATCAAGATCATCGACTCCAGAGACAAGCCCAGGAGTCACATGGTTGACCGGAATCGATGTCTCCCAGCCAGATGTAGGACAGAAGCTAGTTTCACAGCTTCCATCTACGAAAATCTCAACAGCAATCATCACTGCCGGATACTTTGGGTTTGAGACATTTGATTCCCCAGACTGGGAGAAGCAAGTTCAGATGTACACGACATCAGCCATTGGTCCCGTCTTCGTGGTGCAAAACCTAGTCAAAGCGGGCTTGTTGGATCAAAACAGTAAAGTCATTCTCGTCAGCAGTGAGGGCGGCAGCATCACGTTGCGCCATGAGAAGGAAGGCGGCGGTAATTTTGGTCACCACGCCAGTAAGGCTGCTCTGAATATGGTAGGAAAACTATTGAGCTTGGATCTGAAGCCGAAGGGTATTGCGGTTGGGCTGGTGCATCCGGGATTCATGCGAACTGAGATGACGAAGAGCGTTGGCTTTGATAAGTACTGGGATGCTGGTGGAGGTGAGTTACTATTTCAAAGACAACAAATTACGGATATCGACAAGACGTGCTCATAATCGGAAAATAGCTGTCACGCCAGACCAAGCAGCGGAGACGCTCGCTTCCTTCATTGATGGATTTGATATCAGCAAGACCGGAGAATTTTGGGCACCAGCAGGGCCAAGGTAAGACCTCGATCGTGTGTTATACAAACAAAGCTAAAAAATCTAAAAAGAGATATCGGCACGGCAGAAGATGTTCTCGGGAAGAACTTATCGACTCCTTTGCAACTTCCATGGTAGGGTGGAAAAATTCGGGGGAGCATAGCACATGGAAAATCTAAAGTCAACTTCTATCTCGATTATTAAACGACAGTCTGACGAAATTTAACTCAAATGTCCCCAAACGATATCTACGCATGCGGTCTCGCACACATAAATACCAAATCCCTCCCCATATCTTCGCGCTTTTCAGTCCCAATAACACCAACCCCCAACATCTTCCCATAAAACTTTTGCATGCGCACATCATCCGTAAGCAACATGATGCGACGTAAATGAGGCATATTCTCCTTCGAGAACGTCTCCGCGACACAACCCACAAGCCAATTCCCGAGTCCATTGCCTTGGTACTTAGGCAGAATATAGGTATCCGAGATATAAGCAAACGTAGCTCCATCCGTGACAACGCGACAAAGTCCGATTTGCTCAGTATTCTTTGGAGAAGCGACAAAGCTAGAACTGGGCTCGGCTTGCGTCTGTCTGTACACGCCGAAACTCAAGGAGCCGTGGAGCATTTGCCATAGCACGTTTTCCGGAAAGGGCTTTTTGATCCAGTACACGAAATCTTCGGAAAATGCAGCGTTGACTGCTTTCACAGAAAGGAGATTTGGGTCGGTTGAGATGAAGAATTCGGATTCATTTTCCCGTGTCCATGTTTGAACGGGTAGCCCACTTGTTGGTGGGGCAGAGGACATGATCAAGATGAGTTCTTTTCAGCTTTGGGGGGCTCTGCAAGTGTTTGGTGGGCACAAAATCTCGAAGCAGGTTTTGGGGTGATTCTATGAGATGAGGTTCCAGTGTAGTTGAAGAGCAACGGAGATAGGTTTAAGTATCCGGTTGACTCATCGCTAATGCAGCTGCCTCCAGGGCTCCACATTCGCCTTATACATCGGATATTTCCAAGTCTTCTGTAGAAGTATAATGAATATCATTCGATCAACGAAAATGAGATTGAAAACAAAGAGAGTGTACATTAAACTATTCCCAAAGAGTGCCCATATCCCTCCCAATCGACCTCCGATTCCATCGACGCCGCTATACCATTCTAAATTTTCTTCCCATATCGCTCATAGCTGACTGAGATCTCATCAGTCCTCTCGATACCAGCTGCCCCTCGCAGGATATTCTCATCACTTGAGTTTCTAGGGCCATGCTTCATAACGGTCGTCTGATAAGGACTGTCACCTGGCTCGATCGAAGACTCAAGATCAGATCTTGAGAACTTGCCCCATTTGCGATTGCTGCCATACATCGGCATCTTGTAGGACGTGTTTCCCGAAGATGAGCTGCTCTTCCCATCTTTTCCGTATTTGATGCGAACGTAGAGAGGACGCAGGACGGGAATAGACGAGCACATGATGGTGACGCAGCTTTCGGTGGCCGACCAGATGAGCATTGGAACAGTGTCGTCTAAAGTTTGTGAGATTGGAAGTATGAATGGGGTTAAGGAGGCTTACATATATACTCCGAAGCATTCAAGCCAGCCAGGGCTTTGGTGCGGATGATTCCACAAATTCCAGCACTGGTGTACATCAATTGGAGAATCAAAGTAAGTGGACGAGTCGGACTCACAATATTCCAAGACTAAGACCACAGGCGACAGTGAATTTCTCCTTCTGTTTCATGTTGAGGTCCCAGACAACAAACCAAGGGAGGATCGCGAAGGCAAAGTCGGCGGCCACGAACCATGCTGGAAATTCAATCTTTAGCAATGCCGAATTGCAACACGATCTGAAATATAGTACTCACATCCAACAGTGTAGCCAACGTTGGAAAATTCGAGCCAGCAATGGCCCGGTGTAGTTGGATTCCAAGACTTTTGGACAGGAACACACTGCACTATAACGGTAACGCTGGCGAAAAGGGTAATAAAAGCAGTAATCACGAGACAGCCCCAAATGATCCAGATCTGGAACTTATTCCGCACAATTCGAAGAAGAAACAATCCGACGGCTCCCTTGCCTACGCCGATAACCATGAGTCCAGCCACCTGGCTGAAGAGCTCATACTTGACAGCCGTGAAGTATATGACGGGATCGCCAACATCAGCGAATAGTCGGCCTAAACCGTAGGCAGTCGCTACAGTAACAAAGGCAGTGTATAATATATGGAGGACCTTGATTTTGTCAGTCTTGAAAGGAACAATCAGATTTGGAGATCTCACTAGTGCAATGATTACTAGATAGTCGTCAAGGCCAATGGCGTTGAGAATGTACTTTCGCGTATAGAGCCTGAGCCCCGCGAAAACTGCAAACACAACGACCTCTACCCACAGGACCGCATTGGTCATAGGGCCTCGGCCTCCATAATAAGTCATGTCGACTATAAGTGTTGAGCTCAAATACTGAAGAGATGTTGATGTGACGATAGAATGAAGGAAGGAATGCCCATTTCACGAGAATAAGTGCCCTCTGTGTATTGCTATAGATGATTATATGCTATTTGCATTGCGATGCATCAATTCCTGCTCGTTATCAAGAACACAGGTATGGCGGATCTTCAGGACTCCCAGGAACTTGAATCCTACCAATGATCCCAAGGAACGACACACCGTGAAATTTCGCCTGAAGCATTGTATAATTTTATTAAGGACCCACGATAGACACGCCATGATAATTCCCCGAGCTCCACAACGCGCACAGTGCATTCTTCGAGCTTAGGTCCACGGGTATATGTGTAAGTAGTGGACTGTTCTACGCCACACCCCCACCGCGATATTACATGCTAGAGCGAAAACGGCGAAGGCAATGCAGATTATTTCATGAACATATTCAGTATGCAAGACCTGTCATATAGAGTGGATCCAGAATTAAGGTAATCAAATCCGGAAAGGAGCGTGTGGTCAAGACTCTCGGGGGTTGACAGATAACGGTTAGTGGAGCGCACAGGCAAGTTGGTTGACAGGTGGCTCCCGCTTTCCTGTTTTAGCCTCGTGGTGGCTGCAGCCGAAACACGGTGATCTTTTCTAGATCGAGTCACACGAGTGGGAATTATTTGCAGAATGGATCTATCACAAATCCATCAAAGTCTAATTGAGTCTACTGGAGTCTAGAGAAGGATTTCAGTCCGATACGAGGAGTCTAGCTCCTAAGGACGCCGTTAGTTTTGTAGGTCCGAATAAGGCAATTGACTTGACTTTAGCTCTGACTAGCGAAAAAGGCGGAGGTCAATTCGCGCAGGTTGAGGCCCCTAGTGTAACGTCAGATATGGGACTGGCATTTATACCGTTGCTGGCGCCGGGTAAGTCTAATTTGGTCTCATATCCTAATATTATCTTACGAGTCGATTTCATACCCCTGTCCTTGCGGGTCAATTCTATCAACACAATATGATGTCTCTAACAGAAACAATTACTTCATTCTACACAGCTAGACTGAAAGGGTTTGGCAGCAGCAAAGTGGAACATCTGCACACTCCTGTAGATCCTGTCTCAGCTCAAACCGAACAGATCAATGCTTCGCTCGATGCTGTTCGACTGGAGGCATTCGGCGGCAATGAAGTAGAGCGTCTCAAAGTACGAGCTGCAGCTCGTCGACTACTTGCTAGAGTGGAGACTCCCTATGAGCGTGCATGGGGTTTCTGCTTTGAGCAGCCGGTGGTCTTTGCCGCCCTGCAGACCTGCATTGACGTGGGGCTTTGGAGATCCTGGACTAGACTCGGAGGGGAGAAGTCTATTGACGAGTTGGTCAAGTTGACCAGTCCGACTGTCGACACAAATCTGCTGCGTAAGTCCTCGTCATCCAGTTGGAATTGCTCGAGACTTATCGAACGCACATAGGTCGGTTGTTCCGTTTGCTAGCGGCTTTCAATGTGGTCGAAGAAACAGCGGAAGACAGATTCAAGCCCACTCCGTTCTCGCTTTCTATCGGCGATGAGAGCACCAAGGTCCGCGCCTCGCTTCAAGCTGCGTAAGAAAACCCCAAGCCATCATTTGCAATTTGTGCTGATCTTTCGTCCTCTAGAACAAATCAATACATTGCAACTAGCAAAAACTTGCCCACCTACCTAGCCAGCATATCCTACCAAGAACCACAAGATGTCACCACGAACAACCATTCAAGCTCAGACCCCGAGGGCCTGAACTTTTTCGGTCGATTGCAGAAGACCCCCGCCTACTATGAAGCTTTCACCGGCCACATGGAAGCATGGACAACATGGAAGACTCCATGGACCAAGGTCGTCGACACAAACCAACTGTTGGCAGGGGCCAACTTAGACAGCGGCTCACCATTCGTAGTTGACGTTGGTGGAAACACCGGCATTGACATCTCCCACGTCCTAGCCAAGCACCCAAACATCCCCGTCGGGTCTTTAGTCCTGCAAGATCTTCCTGAAATAATCGCGACCGCCCAGGTTGACAAGAAAATCACCACTATGGCTCACGACTTCTTTTTACCACAGCCCGTGAAAGGTAAGAGATACAACCGACGGATTGTGGTTGGGCCAACGCACTAACGGCTTACAGGGAGTCGAGCTTACTTTATGCACGCGGTGCTTCATGACTGGCCAGATAAAAAAGCCAAGCAACTTCTAGAAAACACCAAAGACGCAATGACCAAGGGGTACTCCAAGCTCTTAGTCTACGATATTGTCCTTCCGCCTACTGGGGCGAGTATCAGCCAGACAACCATGGATGTGCAGATGATGTCGCTGTTGTCGGCTTCTGAGCGGACCCAAGAGCAATGGAATAATCTTCTCACTAGTACTGGATTCAAAATTGTCAAATTTTGGCCGGATCCTCAGCAATATGAGATGGTCATTGAAGCTGAGCTTGCGTAGGTTTGTCCTACTAGTGAGGCTCTTTGTTTCTGCTTTATCCATTCTTGGAGTTCATGGAGTTTGTACATTCTTTTCATGTCTTCAACATTGACATGGATATTCTCTCGTTACCACAATGTTCGGATCAGTCTGTTAGGCGACAAATTGCCATTTGCCCAGGTGACAGTTGGAGTTAAATATGAATTTCAATACTATTTCATAAGCAAAATGAAGACCTCGGATATTACCTCCTCTATACAATTTTATATCAATCGGCCGAGATATCTAGCGAATAGGGTTCATATAAAGATCATACCCCAACTCCAAATGGCGTGGGGAGTGGAGTGGATGTTGACAACCCGCACGCCATCATGGACCGCGATGATGTTAGCAACATCAAATCAACCACTAGAATATCTCCAAATGACCGACTATCCGATCGATAATTATGGAAACACCAAGACTGTTATCGCATGTTTGAGGGGCAGAATTCTAAATGGCAAGTGGCGTGTGAAACGTTCCGCATGGCGTGCAGACCCGGAGGGTTGTCTTGAAGTCTACAAGAGCACCACATGTCCACTGTACAGCTTTGTGCAAGATTTTCTAGTCAATTTTATCTTCATTATGGCCCTCGTGGAGACCCCTATCGATCTGCCAACTCACATCAGTCATGCGACTGAATTTAAGGGTCCATTGGACTCAAAGTCAACTACCGTCACAGTAGAAAATGACATTAATGGCTCCATCTCAGATAAGGCCGATACACAGTTTGAGTTGGAGGAGCATCCAGTTGATGTTTTGCGACCCATCAAAGTGGGTATCATCGGCGCCGGTCTTGCAGGTATCACGGCAGGTGTGATGCTACCTGAAAAGTTGCCGGGCCTAGATTTACGAATTTACGATAAGAACGCCGATGTGGGAGGGACATGGTAAGCTTCAAATTCAGTTTGTGCCATAATGAAGTCCTAACAAATTGGCAGGTTCGAGAATACCTATCCCGGTGTTCGCTGCGATATCCCTGCACATGTCTACCAATCTGGGATTACTCCTAATACTCAATGGACGGAGGAATTCGCCCAAGGAAGTGAAATTAGAGACTACTGGCAGGGTGTTGCACGTAAACACAATATCTACCAATATCTCCGTGCCGGCCAGAAAGTACAAAAGGCCGAGTGGCAGGCCGAGAAAGGCAAATGGAACGTCACCATTGAGCATGTGGATGGGTCAAAAGTAAGAGATCATAGAGATCCAAATGCCAGGAGAAGGCTTACATGGAATAGATTTATGAAGAAGAGCTAGATGTGGTTATCAACGCCATTGGCCACTTCAACGCCTGGAAACTACCAGACTATGAGGGAATCAACGACTACAAAGGAATTTTGTTTCATTCTTCCAATTGGGACCACAATGTCAACTTGAAAGGCAAGCGAGTGGCTCTAATCGGCAACGGCGCTTCCGGCCTGCAAGTGCTACCCTCAATTCAACCACTTGCTAGTCATGTCGATCATTACGCGCGAAACCCTACTTGGATTGCAGATTCATTTAGCAGCGGAAACGTAGGAGTCCGTCGTCTCGAGCCAAATTTATTCACCGAGGAGCAGCGGGAATCGTTCAAAGACCCCAAGGCATATCTCGAATACCGAAGGGACGTCGAGAAAAATTACTTCCAGCGTTTCGGGGCGATTTTCAAAGATACACCCGAGAACCACGCTCTACGCGACAAATGGACCAACCTAATGCTCCAACGTATCGGAGACAAGCCCGAACTCGGCAAAAAGATCCTGCCAGACTTCCCACCCAACTGCCGTCGTCCCACTCCAGGACCCGGCTACCTCGAAGCCCTATCCAAAGAGAATGTCGACTACATCCAGACACGCATCAAGCGATTCACCGAGAAAGGCATTGTCACCGAAGACGGCGTGGAGCGAGAAGTTGACATAACAATCTGTTCAACAGGCGCAAACGTAGATCACGCCCCGCCATTCTCAATAGTCGCCAACGGCGTTGATCTCAAAACTGCCTGGAAAAGCGACGGCCACTTCGGCTTCCCATACTCCTACCTCGGCTTCGCAACACCAGGCTTCCCAAATCTCCTGTGGATCGGCGGTCCCTACTCTTCCGGACACAGTGGAACGGTCCCCAACAGCGTCGAAAACCAAGTGACCTACATTGCCAAGGTCCTTCGTAAGATCCGCAGCCAGGGCATCAAATCCATAGAGCCGGCTAAGCAGGCAACTGATGATTTCGTCGAGTACTGTGACCAGTTCTATCCGCGCACGGTGTGGACGGAGAACTGCAGCTCGTGGTATAACGGTGGCAAGCCTGGTTCGAGGATTCATGGCCTTTTCCCTGGTAGTGCTTCGCATGCGAATTACATTCGGCGAGATCCGAGGTGGGAGGACTGGGAGTACACTTATGTCAATCCTAGTGGGAACCGGTTTGCTTACTTTGGTAATGGCTGGACCACTAAGGAGTTGACTCCCGGTGCGGAGCTGACGCCACATCTGAGATTGCCAGAGGATGTTGATTTGAAGTCTTATATGGAGGGGTGGTGGGATGTTTGAATATGCACTGATAGATGAGGTAGTGCAAGAACTTTGTCATAGAGTTCGATGAGCCAAAATCTTTGCATAACTATAAGTCTAGCAAGAACTGTAGTCATGTTGAGAGCGATAATTGAGACCAGGATTATAACGAAACACCTCCAGACTCCACAGCTGGTGTTACGAACCACCCATCTTTCACAGGTTAGAAAAAAGATCAAATTCATGTATGAACTACACGTGACTTCTTAGATTTTTTGACAGTTCAACTGGGAAAGAGACCTATTTCCCAACCTGCCAGTTTCGGAATACCTAGGTAGGTATATCTATCTTATTTGTCATCGCTAGCTGAAACGAGCCACGAAGGGACGCTACATATCTTGACAAAACTTGCTATTGTTTTGTGGAAGTTTCAATCTCGACCCGCTTCGACTCTGCTATTTATAATTGGCCGTATAAGGATTCATAGTTCTACCTTCTTATATGGAGTATATCACAGGCTTGAGGAATTCATATTCCGCTTTGTGACTTCCCATCCTTTTCAGAAGGCCGAAATGACCATCAAGAGCGCTCCAAACTCCTTGCAGGTGGATTTCGCAATCTCAGTAATCTTTGGGTAATATCTTTGGTTGATCTGGGTATCATTTTGGTTAGATTGTTCATTTCCAAAGGTAAGAGGTACCCACCTGCGGGAAGACGCGATGAACACACTGACAGTTCAATGGTTCGGCCAAAAAAGTAGTGATTAAGCTGCTCTAGATACGAGGACCTGGTTTTGTCCAATCATAACCTAACCCTCTCAAACAGAAATGCGGAGCGAGCGCCTCTATATATATGAAGCACATTGATGGCGGGGAGAGCCGTATACACGAGGCCTGGTGAGGTCGTCGAACAAAGATAGGGGGTCTTTCCCATGCAGATAATGCATTTGCGCAAGTTTCTCTGCTAGCTTTTGGTCATGTGGCTCATATCTGAAGATTCTAGGCGCTCTGGATAGCCGAAGAATATAGACAGGTACTTTGGTTAGAAATGTATGAGCAGATTCATAGTCATATCCGACATTGTTGAGGTCAAGCACGAAAAATGAGTGGCGCCCTTCGAACTTGTTCACAGCAATCCAGCGAATTTCAGCGTCTGGGCGGCATGTAGTAACGGTATTTTTGACCTCTTCGACGATCGTTTTGATTGACTCCAGATACTTGGAATGATCAAGATTGCTGTTAGGTGTGTCGCCAAGGATTCGAATTGGCTGAATTAGTGTCGAGGAGTCATATCCATTCGTGAAGTTCCTCATGACCGAATTGATCTGCCCAATGATCAAGGCACGATCTCCCATGCCTAATGGACAATCTTTGGTAGTGATATCAAGCTGAGCGAGGTGATGAAATCAAGCGGACGAATAAAGTCAGGAGTCTTGTAAGATAACTTGGATGTCAACAAATACAACCTTGGAAAGGGCTCCAAACATTCCAGGGGTAGAGAGGGCGGGCAGAGATGTGTTATTTATTTTTTTGCTTGTAGCAGATTTCCAGGTGATATGCTAGATTGTCGAATGTAATAGAGAATTATTTCGACGATATTATCAATCTGCATTCCTTCGGTTCTTTTGTTATATCATTTTATGCTCAATTATATTAGGATTTTATTCTCAGTAACATCTTTAAAGTGATAAGTAAATAGCTAACTACTTATTTCCTTTCCTCCAAATTCCTTTTATGAACATGATCATGACGCAACAATATGAGTTCAAATTATTGCTTGCTGGCATCTTCAACCATAACAGCTTCAATGCTCTCCTTCTCATTCTCAACCCCAATCGGAACTTCGTCACCGAACAAAGCATCCATCTGCTCAAGAGTCTTGCCCCGAGTTTCAGGGAAAAAGAAAATATAACTCAACATAGCAACCAAATTAAAAACAAAGAAAACATAGAAATAGCGGAACCCAATAGACGACAGCGCATTTGGTGAGAACTGTGCGAAAACAAGGTTGATGGTCCAGTTCGTGAAAGTGGTAATCGAATTGCCCTGGTTGCGAATATCAACCGGGAAGATCTCAGCAGGATAAACCCACGAGATGATTCCAACGAAGGTATAAAAGAAACTGAACACGAAGTTCATAGCAACCATAGCCCGAAGCTGATTGTTGTTGCCCTCATCCCAGTGCTGTGACATGGCAGCATTGCAGACTAGTGCGCCGGCCATGCCAGCCGCCGAGAAAATGAGAGGCTTGATTCGGCCGACGCGCTCGAGAGCCCATAGACCACCGGTAGCATAGACGATGGAGAGAGCACCCGAGATGCCGATGATCATCAACGAAGTCTGTGTATCGAATCCGAGTGAGGCGTAGATGCGGGTACCGTAGTAATTGATAACATTGATTCCGGACAACGGACCGAAAGCCTGCACTGCACAGCCGAGGATGAGACGGCGGCGCCAGGATGGCTTGCGGAGAATAGAGGTGTAAGAGATTTTTGTCTGTGCACGCTCAGCTTGGATAGTCTCGCGGATCTCTTGGAACTCCAGCTCAATGTACTGCTCTGTTTCGGGTGTGCCGTCGCCATGCAGACTCTTGAGTGAGGCGAGGGCTTCTTCGTGGCGGTCTTTCTCCATCAGCCAGCGGGGTGACTCGCTGAGGAATAGGACGCCGCTGATTAGGGCTAGACCGGGAACGCACTGGAAAGCGAGAGGAAAGCGCCCTGAAGAACATTAGTGAGACGTTCAAACCCACAGGCCTCAAGAAATTGAAACAAGCACTCACATTGGAAGGCTGTCTCATTAAATGAACACCCATATCCTAACCACTGCGCAACAAAATACCCCCAACTCAACATCCACTGCAACAGACCAGACATCATGCCACGAGACGAAGACTCGGCGATCTCACCCGCGTACATCGGAATAACAGAAGTAAGCATTCCAACGGCAACACCAGCAATAAAGCGACCAATAATGAGCATAACCATATTCACAGCGCCGGCCTGCAACGCACACCCAAAGCAGGAAATACAAGCACCGGTGAAAACAGAGCGTTTTCGTCCAAGTCGATCACCAGTGAAAATATTGATAATTGTGCCTAGGATAGCACCACCCTGGAAGGCAGAGACAATGCCACCGGTCACGGTATCACTGGGATTGGAGAAGTATTTTACAAATTCGGTTTGGCCGATTGTCGATGTGATGATACCGCTGTCATAGCCGAAGAGGAAGCCTAAATGCGTGAGAAGCAGAGACTATCAGGATAGAAGTGGGAGAATTCACCTCCAGTGGCTAGGAACATAGCAGTCAACAAAGTCTTGAGCTTGGCCATATTGAAGATTATAATGTGATCGAAGAAAGAACTTCAGACTGATCTGAGGTTCTTCCCCGTGGGGATATGGAGCACTTTATAGACATTGAGCTGTAATGCCATGGAACAAGAGCGACAATTAAGCTAGACCAGAATGGCTTTAATTTTTTTAGTCAACGTCTTTTCTCCAAGTGCCGGGGTAGCGCTTGCGTGGCGGGCCTTAGTTCCGTCTGCGGAGTTCCCGAGTTTCCCTTTCTAGGGGCAAGGTTTCAGGCCGAGAAATATTAAAGCACAGACTATTCGGTCTGATCTTCCCCGAAATCCTTGCTTAGGATGTTGATTAGAGTCATTCGGTTACTAGGCAATAGTTGCCGACCGATTCTTGGTGCCCTATGTGGGGGCGGGTGGAGTATAGAAGAGTGGCAATGCATGTAGGGCAGTTGGTGGTTTCCCAGGGTATGGAGAAATATCTCGGGTGTTTGAGGAATGTTAATCTATGCGATTCAATTCAAGTGGCATGATCATGAAGGTCTATATTTCTATTCTTTGAAAATCTAAACTTCTCCCTAAAATTCTCCCTTCTATAGCTGAACAGATACAGTATGCAATCCATGGCCAAGCACCAACTCTTTCTCTGTCACAGAGATATCTTCCTTTCCAAGACAGATAGCCCTCTTCATATCAGCCGGCAGCTTAACAGTCGCCTTCGTACCAAACGGTACTCTCAGATCCAATCTGACAGAATCTCCATCACGCTTGAACTCAATCTCAATCAACCCATAAGGACACTCCACCGAGCCTTTAACGAACCCAAACTCAGACTCATACGGAGGCTCAACAGTAAAGCGTCTGTAAGCCTCATCAACAGGCTTCAACCCCAACACAGCAGCATAAAACCACTCGTAGATGGTGCCGAGCATATCATGGCATTTACTCCGGCATTCATCTTGCCAGAACTCCAGCAGTGTTGTCTCACCGCGGCGCAGGAAGCGCATGTAGGAAGGGTGTTCTTCCTGTCTTGCCATTTTCAGAACGAGATCAGGGCGCTTCGCATCAGCGAGGGTGTTGAATAAGAAGCGGAGACCGATTTCGCCGGCTCGGATCTTGCCGTCTGCCACGTCGTCCAGGAATGCGGCCATGACATCTTGTTTATGAGATGCGGGTACAAGGCCAAATTGCAGGGCCATTGCTTGGGCGATTGCGTCGCAGTCTCGGGTAGGGTAGTTGTCGAGCGAGGTGTAATAAGCGTAGGGCCGGGTCGTATCATCTGTGACCAGAAGATGGCGGTTGTAGATATCGTAGATACGAGAAGACCAGTCGTTGAATCTCGCCGCGTCTTCGAGCTTGCCGAGTTCGCGGGCCATCATTTCTACGCATTGGAGGCAGCGATAGTAGATTGCCGTTTCAATATTTGCTTGATTGTTTCCGAAAGCAATGCCTCGGCCCCAATCACCGAGTCCGTGCTCGATCAGGCCGCCCTTGCGCTCTCTTGTCTGCATGTATTCCATATACCGGACTGCTGCTGGGTAGACTTTGGGAATGACGTGGGTAGACCCGTAGTACTGGCGCAGAATATCAGGAAGGAGACACAATGCGCAGCCCCAGGTGATAGTGTCATGCAGGGGACCGCACATGTATCTGATCTCGGGTGCCATTGTTGGCACAAGGCCACTTGGCTCTTGGCTGTCGAGGATATCATCAAGGATTTTTGTGTACAAGGACTCCATATCGCGGACATATTGCGTGGCAGGGGCGAGCAGGTGTGTGACTTCCAGCCAACCAAACTTCTCAATCTGAGGGCAATCCGTGTGGTAGCTGAAAAGATTGCTGCTGAATGTCCAATATAGCGCATTCAGTAATGAGTTGACGTCTTCTTTATCGGTTGTCATAGTTCCGAGCTTTCTCGCTGCTGATGAAATGTGGCGACCAACAACGGAATGAACAACTGGCAATCCATCATCGAGGTCCAAGGAGACGCCCTCCACTTGAATATATCTTGCACTCGTGAAACTGAAATCAGGCTCCCAGATTTCGGGCTGGCCAGTACCAGCCAAAGTGATTTTAGAAAAGACACCGGTCTCAAACTCCTTGAACAGTGGATCGGGCATCAAAACAGTGCCATCTTCTCTGACAGTCTCAGAGTATCGAACGATGACCTCTGATCCTGCCGCTCCTTCAAAAGCAACCTTGACCATGATAGATGAATTCTGACCCAAGTCATAACATACAATTCCCCTTTTAGGACTGTGGACCTTGACAGGCTTGAAAGTCTTATGCAGCACAACCGGAGGCTGGGTCTGATAATAAATATGTCCTCTAGGGCCCGTCAAAGGCTTGACAGACGCCCATTCCGAATCATCAAAACCAGCACAATCCCAGCCGAGGGGATACAGCCGGCAATCATGATCCTCAGAAGCATAAATATTCGCCAGAGTAGTCGCACTCTTCTTCACCTTCCACTCAGCATCCGAGATAAGAACTTCATGCTCCCCGTCCTCATAGAAAAGATGCAACTCTCCAAAGAAGCAGAGCTCATTCCCGTACCGCACATACGTATTATCCTCATACATGGGCCAGAAAAAGCGCCCATCACCGCCTTTATCACCCGCGTAAAAGCCATTTCCAAGATGAACGCCCATCGCATTAAGTCCTGCATCAAGACGATCCGTCACGTCGTAGGAAGTGAACTGGACCCGGCGGTGATAATTGGTCCAGCCGGGGTCGAGGCGGTGGCTGGAGGCAAGCTCACCATTGACGGACATGTTGAAATGGCCGAGTCCGGAGGCGAACAATATCGCGCGGGAGGGCTTGCGGGGTAGAGTGAAGGATTTACGCAGATAGATGGGTTTGTCGCCTCCGTCGCCGATCCATACAGCTTTCCAGCGGTTGGCGGTATCTTCGAACCAGGATTTGAAGATCAAGCTGGTGTGCGGCATGTAGGTTTGGTTCATGCTGTAGGGCGGAAGGAGATGGGACCGCGGGTAGGCCGTGAAGAAGTGATTCACTCCACTGTGGTGGGCATTGTTGTTTTGGTCCCATACTGTGATTCTCCAGAAATGGCTGGTGGTGGATTTGAAGCCATCTTGGGGCTTGCAGATGATGTTCCTCTGCGCATTGCTTTCGATGCGCTGGGAGTCCCAGACGACTGAGGACCCGGGGTTGTTGGATATGTCTGAATTGGTAGTTACCACAACACGATAGGCGAGTTGAGTAGCGTCTTGGTCATCGCTCTCAATTGTCCAGTAGAAGCGGATCTCGTCCGTATCGATTCCGAGCACTTCATGGAAACCATGAATGCCACAGCGGGAAATCTGCATGGTGTATAGATGGGAGATGCACAAGCTCGAATGACAATGTTCAATCGAAAGACATCCTTTTCACCAAGTTTTGCCACGACAGCATCGGGTTGTCCGACCGAATCACATGAGGCAACATTCGCTAGCATCTACACCGAGAAACCCCGCAAACACGAAATGAAACATGGAGATGTGATCAAAGTCGGGTAGACTAGAAGGCGGCGATTGACCAATAGGAGACCGAAAACGCCGCAGATGTGGAGTCAATATATGGACCGAGCGCTAGTGTCAGCCGACACTAGGAAAACGGCACTTTCGGGCTGCGATTTCGGCTTGTGTGTCCTGAATCATGAATGTGCATCGGGAGAACACGGTAAACTCTTTTTTTGTACTGAGCTATGCTATAATATTGTACATGCTACTTTGACTCTGCTAATGCATAAGGAGGCACCTCTTCGCCCGCTTTCCAGAAGAACTTGGCACCAGGATGCGCCTCAGGGAGCCTGTTCTGACCCTTCTTCCCGTACATGTTCTCGCGGAAAGTTCCACCCTTGACAGCATAGTCCGACCAGAAGATTCCACGGCGCTGCAATTCCGGCAGCAACAGACGGATGACATCGTCAAAGGTATCCGGCAGACTAGCATAGCTGAAGTTGAACCCATCAACATCACCAACGCTAACCCATCGCTCCAATTCATCAGCAACGGTCTGTACACTACCAATGATCTTCACTCCGTTACCACCAAGAGTCAAGTACTCAGCAATGGTCCTCTTGTCCCATTTCTGGCCCTCAGTTCCAGGAACCGTACTCGCCCAGTGGTTCACCATACTCCGAACAGCAGGCTGTTCCACAAAGCGGAAGTCCTGATCGTCAGAGTAAGTCGACAGATCGTATCCAGTCCAGCCACCGAAGAGAGCAAGTGCCCCTTCCCGATCGCCGTACGTCTTCAGCTCATCGAACTTGGCCTGCGCCGCCTCGTCCGTCTCACCGACGATGACCAGCGCACCCGCAATAATCTTGATTTCTTGCGGATCGCGGCCAATCTCCGCCGCCTGCTGCCTGATACTGTCGACGGAAGGTCTGACAAGCTCGGGCTTCTGCGCATGCAGGAAGACAGCCTCGGCGTGCTTGGCTGCAAAGGCCTTGCCGGCGGTTGATGTGCCAGCCTGTAAGATGAACGGCGTCCGCTGGGGACTTGGCTCGCAGAGATGAGGACCCGGCACTTGGAAGTATTTGCCCTTGTGATTAATCTGGCGGACAGCCTTTGGATCCGCGTATCCCTGTGTCTTGCTCTGGATGCCTTGTCTCCAAGTGACGGCGTCGTCTCTCCAAGATGCCTCCCACAACTTGTAAGTGACGTCAAGGTACTCGTCTGCGATGCGATAGCGCTCATCATGCTCGACTTGGGTATCGAGACCGAAGTTGCGAGCCGCGGAGTCAAGGTATGAGGTAACGATGTTCCAGCCGATACGCCCGCTGCTGAGGTGATCGACGGTTGAGAAGCGTCTTGCCAGGGCGTAGGGGGAGTCGTAGGTTGTTGAGGCGGTTACACCGAAGCCAATGCTTTCCGTAGCGGCTGCCATGGCCGGGACGCTGTAGAGAGGGTCGTTGATGGGGAATTGGGCGCCGGCTGGAATAGTCGGGTCTAGATTGGCGGGACCTCTGTAAACATCGTAGCCTCCCAGGACATCGGCGAAAAAGATGGCGTGGAATTTGGCATCCTCAAGCTTTTTTGCGAGCGCAATCCAGTGTTTGATGTCTTTGTAGTCTGCACCTTGGTCTATTGGGTATCGGAACAGTCCTGGGTTGAGATGACTGGGCGAATGCATAGCAAACGCATTGATTATGAGCTGCTTCTTAGCTGAAGACATGATTGAGTCGAAGATTAGAGAAAAACAAAAAGCAAGCCCTGGAGTGCATATGTCCTGCATATAAACACAACCCCGCGCATGTGTGACATTTGACGTGCAGTTGGAGACCTATGGCGTCAGCACAGGGACCAATGCCATTCGCTCTTTTATCCATAATTTACAAATATTCATATGCTCTCGCGCGAGAGATGTCTACATATATTTGAGTGTGAAGATATTTGAAAATAATGTGAACATTCGCTAATCGCTAGATATGCCCCGGGGCCCCAAGGGCTCAAAATGCTCAATGTAGGATCAACAAACCCAAATTAACTCCAGACAATAACAAAATCCTGTAAACCCGAAAAGATCTGGAAAAAATGCCCAAGCCCAAGCTATGTACATAGTAGCGGTCCTAGGCATAATTCAAACATAGAAATCTTCCAAATTTCAATATCTACGCCCAATTCTCATTCCGAAGGGAGGACCGGGCCGGATGTACTTTCAATCTTCCCAATCATCGTCAAATTTCAACATTAAGGCCCAAGTCTGATCTCGAGAGAACGACGACCACAAATGTGTTTTCAAGCTTCATAATCATCACCAAATTTCAAACGACGCGTGATGAATCATGTAACTGTTCAATTATTTCGGATAAAACCACATCTGCGGAACATAATCAGGATCCGCACGCTTTTTGTCGAGTTCCTCCTGGTAGCGGAGGTTGAACCTGTGTTGCTGGTTCTCCAAGTGCTGCCGGTCCTGTCGATGGGGGTTACTGTTGACCCACTCAACGACATCCTCGTTGATGAAACACGAAAGACGTTCGACCCATCTATCAAATTCTGGCCAGATGATCTCCCGCAAGTCCCCAGTAGGACATGCTTTCGCCAGCGATGTTTCTCTCATCCGACGACGGCGAATGGCATCTTCGGAGTTATACATCAACTCTTGCTGGAAACTTGAGCCACCGTGGTTGGAACTGCTTGAAAACCGGTGGGCTGAGCGCAACCGACTTGGGGTTTTGGGTTTGTATTGTTCAGCCTGATCCCGAGCCTTCTTGAGAAGCTGACGATCTTTCAGTCCAGTCAGACTGTTCTTACTTGCGGCTCCATGGTGAGTTGCTTTGCGGGCAGGTTCAACATTTTCAACATTTTCAACATTTTCAACCGTAGTTTGGCCAACGGGTGCTCCTGTGGGGTTGGGACTGAGTGGAGTGGTTCTGGTCGACGAAGCGCTCTCAGAGTTGGAGGACCAACCAGGGGTCTCAAAGTGACCTTCGTGATTGAAGTTGGCAGGTCTTTCGACGCGTACTCTCTTGGACACACGATCCTGTTCTTCCGGGGACTTTTCGGTTATACGCTTGGTAGGGGTGGCGTCGGGGTTGTCTCGCTCCTGATCAGTCCAATCCTCATCATCATAGATGAAATAGTCGTCATTGATCCCATAGCTGCAGCCTGGTGGGTTCGGAATCACGTCTGGAGATTGGCGTTTACGCTTTGTCGAACTTGGCGCTCCAGATTCCTGCAGTGGAGATCGTGGTGGATCGCGGTCGTCTGCCGAAGATGGCACTGCGTTCGACATCCAGCGCGCACGTTGAGCCGCATCATAGCCCCTGCTAAACAAATCATAGTTCTTGCGAATTGTGCGGGTCGATTTCGGGGTGGCTAATCGTGTCGATTTTTTGCTCGAGGTGGCCGTCACATGGGTCGCCGGAGTGGGCGAGTCGCCAGATCGCAAAACGGCGGATGATTGGTGAATAGTAGAGGATGGGGCAGTCACGAAGTGCTCGTTCTCGGATTCAAGGCGACGTTCAACTTCAGCTTCCGCCACAACCTCCTGCTGTTGAAGCTCGGTAACTAAAGAAACAATGTTAGCAACTGCAATTTTACATGATAACCTGGAGATAGCTACCATGCGAAACATCTGCCGCTTGGGGTGAACTTGTCCGTCCCAAAAGGCCGGTCCATCGTCGGGAAACTCCATCAAATATCCATCGACCCCATCCAGGCGAGTTAGTTGGTTCGGGGAGGGAAGAAGGGAGGGACGATCTGCGAGACGGGGGGACTTGACCGGAAGCAGTAGTCTGATCATTGGTACGAGAATCTTCGGACGCGGGTGCAGACTTCGCATCTGCATTCTGCTGTGCCAGAAGCTCCGGAAGACGGAGCATGGTCCGATGGATTCGTCCACCCGATTCTGCTTGGCGTCGTCGCGTGCGGTCCGCATAAGTTGTTCGTGAGCTGCCCCGAGGGCGAATGAATGAGCCAAGGGGAGTTGCCGGTTGTGCCGATTTGTACCTTTTCATTGGGGTCTCATGTTCGGCATGTCGGTCGCGTTTCCTGGATCCATCTTCCGGAAGTGTCAGCTCAATTTTGGGTGTAAAGTATGCGTCAGAATCCTCCGAATTGTTCGGGAACAGAACGAGTCCACCAGGCAAGCCAATGACCCCGGTCGACAGGTATAGACCGGGATGATTGGGAGTATCAAGAGACCAAGGTACTTGACCAAGGGCTTGCGCCTGGGCGCGAGGGAGCGGGGGATAATTGTAGCGGAAGAGCCGATTCCGGGGTTTAGGCTCCGCTGGAGCCCGGTGCGTTGGTCCCTTGAGAGCCGCCGCCAGAATTTCACTGGTAGAGCCATATGCGAACGCTCGCCTTTTTCGGCACTGAGGGGGATGGGCCAACCTACTTTGATTGTTGAGCTCAGCTGACGGGCCAACTGATGGTTCGATGGTTGGTGCCTCGATGGGTGGTGACCGCAAAAGCGAGGGTGTGATCAACGGAGAGGGCGCGGGAGACAAAGAGGAAACCGCAGCTTCCTCAACTACTGAGATTGCCGGGTTCGTTTTCTGAACGTATTTGTTAGTTCTACATGACTTGGATGTCTAGATCCTAAACATACCTTTCGACCCTTCTTGGCGGTTCGGCCCTTACGGGCTGGTTGAGCTGGAGTTGCGTTTGTTGGCTCTGTAGCAGACTGTGTGGCTACCTCAGTCTCAGGCTGGGCTGAGGCGCCCCGCGTACCCCGGCGGCGCCGTGGTGGCTGCCATTCGGAAACGGGCTCCAGAACGTGATTGGATCGTAGGCGCATCCTGGCTGACGCGCAAGATGTAGGATAAAGTAAGTGGCAAGGTGGTTTGAGGATAAGTAAATGGAGGAGATAGGCAGGTTATCGATCACAGATGCGAAGGCGCGGACGAAATGATCCAAGGGTCTTAAAATCAAGAGATTAAAACCAGAGAACTATGATGATGGGTTGGTGAATGATAAGGAGGGAGAAAGAATAAGAGAAGAAATTTAAACAAGAAGAGATTATTATGGTTGTCAGGCAAAGTGGGCGCACAAAGGGAAGGAGCAGTTGCCGTACCGATTTCGCCTCAAAAAGCTGTAACTTTTTCAGATGCGGAAGTCGCGATGGGGCAGAATAGCTTGCTTAAAGGCGGTCAATAAATCCACATCAACATACGAAGTACTTCGTACAGAGTACACAATGGATTATTTAGGTTCTATTCACTCATTAAATGTCCAATCAACTCAATAGCTACTCAGCAAGGCAACAATTAAATCAATACTATTGTTCAAGAAAAGGTATATTCTTCCTTGCAGAAACTAAATACCTCACATACTACGTAGCTGTATTCTTAATTGACTAATTATTCGAAAAATTATTGAGCTAACCCCGAATAAATTCACAAATAATGTACGGAAGCGCCTACCCTGAAGTACTCGTACACTCGATCGCGGTCGCTTACTCGCGATCTTTGGCTTATAAAAACGATCGCCGACCGTAGTATTCAGTCCTTATAATAATCTTCGCAGTCGCTAACTATTAGTCCTATCGCGAAACTTTTCTTACTTAAGTTATGAATATTTTCGGAATCAATGCCGTATCGGAGGATAGTTTTTTGACTATAAAGAAACGATTCACCGATGATTGTTAGGGTTTCGCATTTCGCGCGCTTTTAATTATACCGTCTGAGAATTGGAGCAAAAGGAGAGGATGCCTTTTAACGAAGTTTGTAACCTAATCTAGCCGACTGTTTGAACAGGGAAAGTTCCGCGTATTCGAGAAGATCCGCTATCTCTCGTACGTTAGAGGGCCGGGGCGGCACCGCGAGCATCTATGAAGGCTACAGGTCAAAGTTTGCCACAGCCACATGAAAGAAGAGAATCTCTATCGCATGCAGATGAGGCTGGGTGATTTCAAGTCGTTGGAAGAGAAATTTGCGGCTCTGTAGACACTGGGACGGTTGGCTGATCATTCAACGTCTTCTGTGCCGTACTCGCTGACTCGCCTCACCATTGGCTTTCAGAAATGTTACATCTATGAAGGAGGGTGCTGTCAGGCAAAGTCATTCATGGCACAGCGTTTGACTCACTGGATAATGCTCCAGCCACCGCATAACATCGCACAGAAAAGTAGGCCTTATCTCGAGTAATCAGATCAGATCTTATGGACCTAGGTGGCGAAATATATGGTGGTATTTAGGGTGCAAGTTTTTGCCTACGGAGAGATTGGAAGGCATGTATCTCGATCTTATACATGAATATGACCACATAATTTGAGAACATAGCCATGACCCGGTACGTAAAAATTATGTATTATCCCTCTCAAACATACCACGGCGAGAACCCACCAGTCGGGATTCCCGAGAAAACTGGATACAGATAACATCCAATGCCTGCAGTGATGTTTTGGGCGGTATCTCAGATAAGCTCGATAACATCCCACTTTGCTACGGGCTTGTCTTGATTGTTCCATGGCTAGCACAATGATGAGTATTTAGGCTTGGGAGCTGGAGCCGAGAGGTTTGAGTCTTTCAGCTGCCGAGCTGTCGCGCACATGCTACGATTTTTGAAGAAGCGAAAATATAAAAAGTGCAGTGATTTATTGCGGACGATAAATCACGCGTCCTAATGATTCCTCGGTAGAGGTATTTATAGTAACATACGGAATGCAGATATTCCTTCCGGAGAACGTAGTTGATCTGTGGAAAATGGCACGATGATCACTAGGATACACCAGGAATCAGCTAAGCGCAACGCAAACAATGATTATAGGAGCATGCAGAGAGCCACGACAACGCCATGGTATGACCAATTTTGAAACGACCCGAGAAAGTTGTACATTCAAAGAGATCCACGCGCTTTTGTTTAGACCGTCCGGAAAGGCTCGCAAGCACTGGATCGATAGTCTTGGTCGATAATGGGAATGTCGTTGTGGTAGAGGGGAGAAGGGTAGGATGTGTCGCCAGCGTGCTCGGAAGTATGGGGCTACCGGGTGCCGTACGAATGCGGGACTGTAGCGCCGAGAAGCTCGTAGGTATATGGGGGCTTCTCAACGATGACGCCGCTGTTTTGGCGGTCCATGCGACCGTAGGGCGAGCAGCCGGAGCAGCAGCAGGTGCTGAATACCCCGAACAGAATGCTGCCCAAGAAGAAGAAGACAGCGAGCCAAGTAGCAACATAGAAGGTCTTACGCATGTAGGCCACCATACTGTAAAACTTGACGGCTTCGTCGAGGGATCCCTTTTTGATAGAGAAGAGCATCCTTGATGTCAGGGAGATGGCGGAGATCATAGTGGTGACGCAGCTGCCCTAGCGACCGAAGATGGCAAGAGTGCTGACCAGGATCTGGGCACAGGTGGTGATGAATGCAACTTAATAGGCGACGAACATCTACTTGGAGACGGCCGTGTAGACCTTCATGATCGTCATGAAGTCACTGCCGAAGAGATCATCTATTCTCGGGACGGCCCAGAGGGTCAAAGTAGAAGTCAGCCTCGGGCTTAGAGCAAGAGGTGGTGTTGTCTTTGTTGTTGGTTATCTCACCCTCACAGTAGCCCAAAAGGCCGATGTTGTTGTAGTCCGCGATATCGGAGTTATCCTGATGGATGCTGATTACAGCCTCAACATCGTTGGCGGTGGTATCGGAAATGCCATTACCACCGAAGATATTCCCTATTCGAAGGTCTCTACGGAAAGAGGAACCAAGATCGTAAAAAGTAGATGCACGGAGACTAGAAAGTCTACAGAGCTAGTAGAAGAGCATATGAGCGAGCGATGATCATATGACCATCAACATTCTCAATCGTTATCATTTTTTAGACTCTAAGCTAATGTTTTGTAAGTTGAGATGTAGAAAATGAGTGTTAGCAAATGGTCCCGGCATCTCGTTAGAGAGCAATGAACTACTTATGCGCATGACGTAGAGATAGTACAAGAGATTTGAACTGGCTGTTGTGCAACTCAATCCGACCATAATGATGCAGATCAATGACTTAATGGTCAATCCATAGGGTGCGAGGATACGCGCGATGTGGCCGGCTTTTCCCATGACGAAGGAGTTTTAATGGATTGGGGGATAGTTGGATGAGAGGTGAATAGCTCAAGGGAGAGATCAGGGGATGCGGATGGATTTTTTCCTTCAAACCTTTCCATATGATTGAACGAGTATACAGTAGCAAATATCGGCACTAAAAGTCCCGTAGGCATCAGAGCATGGTGGCGTTAGGGCTAGCAAATGCTACTTTGAGACGGATTCTGAGCTATGACAACCATGAGCTGAAAAGGCTGACCTACCGACCATTGAGGCGGCGAACCACCAAAGGAACAGGAAGTCAAGACACCATGGTATTTTGGAGACTTTCCATCTCTCCTATTCTATCTCGTCAGATAGCACCAAGGTCGAAATGCTATGGCTATATGCCAATTACTTGAAACAATCTCCATGAAACAGTCTCCAACAAACTGAAAAGCGACAAATGACTGCAAATAGGTCGCCAGGAAAGCGATGTAAGTATTTGAATCTACTATTTAACCAGGGCGATACTGGCGGCAAGAAGATCAAAAAAGCAGAATTGTGAACCTTTATTTCTGTTCTCCAAGGCATGAGTAATGCTTTGAACATTCAAAAAGATAATTAAATAAATTTTTGCGCTAGCGGCTAAGACCCTATAAGCGTGACGCTAGTCGAGGGGTGTCTTGCAGCCTATTTAGGCAGCTAGCAAAAGGATGTGTAGGATAGGGCAGAGCTCAGAGAAAAATCAAGGAAATTGATGAATAATTATCAGAATAAGATTAGAATACATATGAAAAAAGATTCACAAGAGATCAAACCCCCCTTAGCACTAGCAAACGGTCATAATGGAACCCTAAAAAGTTCTACTGTTTTACTTAGATGCATTAGTTGGACTGTGACTTGAACCATCTTTTTGAGCTTCTGATCTACACCTATCAGCTCCTCCCCTCCTTTCTTTCCAGCGGATGTTTTTCACCAGCCTCCTTGTGGCTCGATTCTATCAATCTTAAACCTCCGACGTTATCTTATTCTAGGCCTTGGTTCTTGGTGCTTATTCTCCGTGAAGCTCAAGCAAAGCGCTATTTCTTATCCTCTCTCCTCTCTCCTTCTAAGTGTCTCTAAGAGTGATCGCCTCGCCCTCCACCAACACTTTGCTCTAATTCCGATATACACCATGTACTCCTGCGCAAACTATTCTCGCGGATGCCGAGGCCGCGTCAACAGACAAGGAACAAAGTGCACTGACTGTATTGTATGTTTCTCTAGTCACCTCATTTCACTTACGGCTCAAGAGAAAAAAACAGAAGCAAAAAGAAACTCAGAACTAACCCTTACCAGTCTCTGAACTTACGCCGTGCAGTATTTGCTTCAAAATTCGCCCAACCACGCAAACACAAGTGCATACTGTCCCCAGAGCTCTTCGATAAATCCTCAAGCAAGCCTGAATCCCTACTTTAATGAGTAGGAACCACTCGGGGACGGTCCGGAGATTCGCCCAGCTTGTCGCTAGTTTGCGTCCTGCCGGCTAGGACTGAATTTTATGATCGGCCACTTCCTCTGTTCTTTTTTTGCTCCAAATTTCGTGTTTACCGCTCCAAATCATTCTATGCATCACCGAGATCTTTCTTATCGTATCCGGCCGTTCGATTTTGCCTTGATCTCGCAATTCCAATTCTTCATATCTCTTTATCTTGTTCCATTGAACTTTCACGCGTAGGCTGGGCCGATATGTGATGTGCGAATGTCCTCGAATCTCGAATCTGAGATCCCAGGATGCGTGATTGTGGAAAATTTCCCTGTCTCTCGCTCTCTCACGCTCTCTCACGCTCATTTTTAGGAAGCTAGGACTTTTACTTTTCATCTTACATAGAACAAAGATCGCATTTTCTACAACTACCTACGAGCAGATCTGCCACTGGAGGGCAGTGGCGCAGATTGACTGGGCTCTTTCGACTCAAGTTTATCGGTGATCAGATCAGCCTCTTCTTTTCTGTACCCATTTACGTGCTTCAAATCTCTACTTTTGGTTCTGACTTTAAGCCCTGGGTTTGGTTTCATGTGGCTCTTGTTCATCCGATGTAAACTTTTCTTTTGCATTGTTATGCCATACTCCCCTTTGCCCCTTCTTGAGCTTACTATCACATGGCCATTCCCCTAGTACTATATATTTATATATGGCATTGAGATTTTTATGCCATTGCTTCTACTCTTGCTTTGTAATTCAAACCGATAGCCAATCATCCCCGACGGGACTGAGTCTCCAATTTATCTCGAAATTAAGAAACTCGATTCACTACTAACCCCTGTTATTCATTAGAGGCTAGACTGCTAGACACTTCATGAGGGTAGCTATGAAGATATTGGCATGTAACTATTCCCTGTGACAGATAGCGAGATAATTGTATGGTGTGTAGATCTATGACAGACAGGTTGAGCAATATTGTTATGAGTCAAGGAATGATTGATTGATCATGATTTTGATGAAACTCAAGAGGCTATACATATAACGTGTAGTCCAAGTTGATTGAAAATGGGTTCATATAGGAAGTGCGAGGAATTATATCCCTGTTCAGGTCACTTTCCACGGAACAACTGACCGCCCGTTGACATTACTATGGGCAGAATCACATTCTTAATTTTCATACAATGGGCCAGACTGAAACCTCATTGCATGTGTTTGTACCAAATTCTGGGGGTGGGGTGAGAAGAGATGAATGATGAGACGGAATATCACAGGTCTGGGAGACATATTGCAATAGGAAATAGGGCCTGGAGGCCTTGGACATTACAAGCCCCCTTTCTCTACTCGTTGGCTATATTTTATCTCCTTTTCTTTATCACCCTCGAAGCTCTTCGTCAATATTCGGAACGCAACAATGGTCTTATCATTTACAAGACTGTCGCTGAAATGCCGACAATCATCTCGGTGGCCTATATCTATGTACCAGTCTCTTTGGCCGTTTTGGCAGTGACTCTGTGGAAGTTCTTTATATCCGATGCCCTTCGATTGGAATCGTATTTTCAATTGGCCAGATCAGAGGGAGTGCCTGCAACAATCCTTTTCACCAACTATAGCTTCTGCTACGGCGTCATGGCTCCCTTGGTCGCAGCTCGCAATCGCCACTGGCTTATTCTATCTGTCTCCAGTCTGTCCATCGTTTTCAGTGCTTTGCTCCCTTCCCTGCTTTCAGGGCTGGTGGTGTTGACCGAAGCTTCTTTGAATCAAACAAAAACAGTATCCACCTGGCCCAAATTGCTCGAGGAAGGTACGCAGAAAAACTGGTTTGTCGCCGAGGCTCGTCGTTACACCAATGCTCCAGTAATGACAACCGCCGATGACTTTTTCCTACTCCGATCCTCTGAATACGCCACGGCATCGGTATTAATGCCGCTTGACGAAAATGAAACTTCGATCTTATCATTGAATCAGACGGTGTATTGGGGCGAACTGACCTGTCAGGACGCGGCGCTTGACAGTATCACTTTGGAGAGACGTCTTTCCACCGATATAGAAAAGGAGCTTGATAGCGGCAGCCTTCAAATGCGGGGCACAACGAGTTTCGAGTTCCCTTCAAGTGGTAATGACCATCCTTGCCGTGTCGACTTCACCCTAAACATCACCACTCCCGCCTATAGCAGCTCTTCCCAAGTGCGATACTGGGAGCCGATTCGTCCCCAGTCTGCTGTCGGTAATGACTCAGCGTTTCAGACCACCGACTGTGAACGTTACGCGTTGGTTGGCCTGCTCATTGACATCAATGAAGATGCTGAAAAAGCCACTGATCATGTTTCCAATGCGACTGCATTTGCCTGCACTGCGACTTACCGCTTGGCCGAGGCCGAGCTCAGTATTGACGTCAATACCTCGATTGTTGAAGCCAGGATTGATTCCTCCAGCCAGAGAGATCTGCGGGAGATGGAGTTTTCCAGTTCAGGCTTCCAGAACCTACTCTACCACGAAAGTCGTGGACCCATAAATTCGGCATCTCAAGTATTGGAGGATGTGACGAACGTTTCCGTTAGTCCCAGATCGTTGTTTTCTTCTGGGCTTAATCTGGGTCTGGTTCCAGAGAGCTTTTCTGCTCGGACTGGTGTTCCTGAATATCAGAATGCAATCATGCAATTTTGGAAGTCTAGATTCATCATCACGATCAACAAGTTCTTCGACACGGCTGCGGCTGCGACACCGCTGAAAGCCAGCCAAGTCACGGTTGTCGTGGCTCTCGACGTCCTATCAACGCCCGCTATCATGGCGGAGATTTTGCTCGTCACTACTGCTATAGTACTAATGTCGCTTGCAGCTGTTTATCCGCGTCGTGCAAATTTTCTTCGGAGCGACCCTGGATCAATAGCAGCCCAGTGCGCACTCATTGCAGATCTGTTCACTGCGGATAATCCTTTAACTCAATCCAGTGAAAAGTTCAGTAAAGCCACCTCCCGGCAACTTCTTCTATGGGCTAGAAATTTCCGATGCGAATGGACAGATCTCTCAAGCGACAAAAAGATTGATATTGTTCCAATTCCTTCCAATTCCTCCTTTGCGCTACCGTCTGCCCGGAGAAGCACAGATCGGAGACCCCATTTTGTCGTTCTCCCCTGGTTCCTTATGGAGTGTATATTGCTGATTGGGATCCTGGTCACGTATGGCTTTGCCCTGAATTTCACGTCCTTTCAGAATGTAGACACCGAGTCAAGTCAACAACTCGGGCTCATGATATTCTTACTATTTGGACCTACACTTATTGCCTCTTTGGTCAGCTCCCTGCTTGCATCGATTTTGCGAAATTTGAGCATCATTGAACCGTGGGGACGCCTTCAGAAGGGCAGGTCCCCGGTGGGAATGTCTTTGGCAATGAACTACGGATCACAGACCCCAATCACTGTTTTTTTCCGCAGTCTTTGCCGAGGGCCACTGCTGCTTACAGCTTTGTCTATCATTTGCACCTTGAGCTTATTGCTTAGCATCGTCAGCGGTGGAATGTTCGAGCCAGAAACAAAGCATTATCACACGCCAGCTACTGGACTGAGTTCCCAATATAATGGCACGCTGTTTCAACTTCCCAATCTTGACGTGCAATTCGATGGAAATGGCTTAGTGCTAAGCAGGATGAATCGAGTCACCCCAATTATCCCCTGGCAGTATGCGAATTACTCATTTCTCCCCTTGACCAACAGCAAACTGGGAGCTGACACAGCCCAGAATGTCAAATATGCGGCTGTCACGACTGGCATCGGCGCAAACCTGGACTGCCAACAAGCCCTATACAATCAGTCATGGATTGATCACGAGTCCGGGAAAATGAGTTGGAACTATACAAGCCCCTCTGGCCTCACCTGCACGATGGAAGCTCCAAACAGAAGAGTGGAAGATGGCTTACTCAAAAGATCCATTTCGTATCTCCAGCCAAGCGAGGAGTCTTCCGCGAGATCCAGGTGCGAAGCATCATTCTTAATCTTGGCTCGCTGGGAAACATTAGCATCTTCGCCCATGAATCAGCAAAATTCTCTAGCGCTGTACTGTGAGCCTTCTATGGCGAGTGAGGAGTTTGAAGTTGTTTTCGATCCACAGGGTATCATATCTTCCTATGAACCCAAAGCAGATTTAACTGCGCATGGTCAACAAGCGGCACACAATTTACCACAGGGTAGCCTGGCGCACTTCAACCGGGCAATCATGGCTTTTGGCAAAATTGATAATCCCCAATGGAATGTGTCGTTTTCCCACTATGACTGGTTAGGAATGCTGACTGAAGTCATCTACGACCGGCTCCATCCCAGTGCGCGGCCATCTTTTGACCCCGCAATGTTCCTACGGGCCGCTCAATCCACATATCAGCAGATATTCAGTACATACCTCACCCTTAACCGGGACATGTATTTTCGAAGGTATCCAGAATCGGCTGCGCCAGCCGTTGAAGGGACCGTGATTGCGAGCCTCTGGGGGCTGTTTCCCTCGATTCCCTCGATGGTCATCGCGCTGGTCCTTCTGTCACTAGATATTATGATGTTGACTGTTGTCTTTGCTACACGCTTCACCTATTTTCGCGCGCCCCGGATCCCCAAATCGATCGGGTCATTGATCCCATGGATTGCCGAAAGCGAAATGATCCCTGATTTTCGAGGAATGTCACGTATCGAGAAGAGCGAGTGGCAGGGTATTATGGAGCGCACGAACAAATTTTATCGATTTGCTCTAACTCGCTGTCCCGATGGTCACGAAAGGTGGCTACTTGACTACGAACATATAAGTATACAAGAGGATGGTAATGACCTGACCGAGATGCCTGATATCACCCCGGTCCGGACCCTTCATCGTGGCCAGTCTTTGCCAGCGCAGAGTATCCGGGATCTAGCGGTCACACCGCCGAACCAGCCACCATAGTCTATTCTAGCAACATTTCAATGCGCAGCGAGATTCGCAGTGAGGCGAGCAAAATACTCACAATTTTCTCTATCAATAATACAGCATATATCATTCGTGGAAGCCTATACTCCTTATTCGATTTGCACACAAGTTGCAAAATTGGAAGGAAAACAAGTACAAGGGGGCCAAGGATAGACATGCGTTATAAATTAACAATGAACAGCATGATATGACCAGCAATGTATGGGAAATCCGACTACCAAATGTGTTCAGATAACTCAAATCTTTCACCCTCAGCTGGTACAGTAGTCACCATTCTTCGTCCGATGGATGCGGATAGCAGTAATTTTATGTTATATAGGCGAGAGCCGTCGAGAGGCTAAGCAGAGGTCATGTACTTTTCGCTTAGCAGCAGCACTCGCAGCACTCAAAGCAGAGCAGACCGGCACAGCTGTTGTGGAGATTGCATCAGCATTGTAGCGCAGATACCGCGGGGAGGTTTAGGGATATAAGGAACTTACATTCCGCAACAGGCACCACCACCACCACGGAGTTCCATTTGTACGAATTCTTGGGATTTCTTAAGGCAGAAGTTAGCCTGCAGTGCCGTCAAACAAATTGGATATAATTATAGGGACACGAACGGCTTGTTCAATAACGACACGCTCGGTGGAAGGTGCAACGGGGCTGGTCGGCTGCTGCATCTCCAAGGTCATGGTATTTGGGTTCCAGGACCCTTCCTTGGGGTCCTTTTTGCTGTTAAGTTTAAACCAATTGAACATCTTGAAGGCTTTGGTTGCGAATTGGAAAGTTCGAAAAGGCTTGGGTGGATGGGACGAAGAGAGAGGGTCATATGGGACTGATTGTCCATGTCGGGATAGTGAAGAAAAATGCTTAGGGGCTTTAAAAATGGGTCTGACAAACACCCTATAGCAACGATAAGGGAGCAATAGCTAGCATACGACAACCGAGGTTCAGAAGTCCACCGGTGTAGATTCCAATGAGCAATTAGGTAGCGCAATTAATTCTGGAGACTGCCGTACACTAGTCATGTTCTACATGTCTCGACGAAATGACTGACTGAATACAAAAGAGTTAGCGGCAAGAAAACATATCGTCTATACCATTCCACCTTTGCAAGGACTTTCTCGCGCTAAATACGCGGGAAAACAGCAGTGAAGGTTCACTAGCTCAATGAAAACAAAACCAGACAGCCACCACAGAGTACTAACTTCAATGTGCCCCAGAGTTCTAGTAATAATGTACGAGCTGTTAACCTTGATTGAGACATAGTCCATAGTCCAAGTATTGCGTGTATTATTCTTGAAGCAAAGAAGTTATATTTGGTGCACCCAAAAAATGACTCTCTGAACGAGGAATCAATAGGTACCAAGGCTCTAGTTTCTCGTAAGTGATCCTTTAGGCTGACACTTTTAAAACTGCAAGTCACCACTTGTCTCTTCGTGGGCCCTGGGACCCACTTATATAAAATGTGTGTGCATATAAAGATAATATAGATGTGGGTCCCCGGCGGCGAAAGGCTCAATAAGAACAGTTCGATTTGCCAGCATCGGCTATGCCGAAAGGCGTTTACCTCGCAATGTTGGACTATTTAGTAATAGCTGCAAAGAATATAATGCCCACGCACTAGTTCGTCTATATGTATAGATTATGAGAATCATAAATGTCTGAGCCTGGATGGGTTGGGTCTACCTTCTTAGTATTAGATTCTTAATCCTAGCCATTGGTAAGCGAGGAGGAGCAATGTGCTCTTGATACACTGTATCCTTTTGTCAACAAATTTTCAAATCTCAGCTTTGCGCTGACCTGGTCGAGATCAAAAGAATGTCTGAAACGAACTCTGGTCACTGTCAAGTTGGTAGCTGCTTTAATAAGCTTGCCCAACAAAACCTCTTCCGTCACGTATATACCAAACAAGATAAGCCCAATCCACTTTTTCCCACTAAAAGTGTAAGATGTAACACTCTGGGTGCCAAGCCTGGAGCTTTTGTGAACTCATTTTAGGTGACAACCGGTTTGAAGATAAAGATGAGGATTACCGTACCGGGAAGTCGTGCCCTAATCAGGCTTTACCTCAAGCGGAAGGCTAAAGTTTCTAGCTATCCAGCTTGCACAGCATGAGGTGGAGCCATTAGTGAAAGGCTCCCATTACTCGCCCCTATCGATTATTCTATTTGGTATCATAGTCTACCCCGGTGTAGAGAAATTTTTCCAATTCTATACAGCCTGTAGAAATATTTATTGCTTAGTTGGAGGTCTACGCTGGAGGACTTCCGGCCGGCATGCTGATTCCTAGCTTGCACCGGATTAAACGAGCATACAATGTGATGAACTATTGTATTCAGGGCGGCAATTCACGAAATCAAGAACGAAGATCGTTGATTTCTGGAGAAAGGCCACCATAGTGCTATACATATAGCATCATGAGAGAGCATGGCAAATGGCCTCACGCAATGCAGGCAAGGACATCAAGGCATGAAGGCGTGAAGTTCTATCATGATAAACTCACCGTCACCGCTAAGGGTGATGACAGAGGAAACGGTTATCGAGAACAGAGAAGAGCACCAGAAAAGAAAGGCGCCCGTCGCCTCCTACAGGCACGGAGACTTAGGCAACGAAATTAGAAGATGATTTACATTGTAGATTATCACTTTGCAGCGGGCTCATCAAGCTCAATATAGACGGTCTCTCCGAGACAACACAAGAAGGAGAATTCTGGAGCCTAATACTTCTTAAGTGTTTTGATATCTATAAATCACATTCCATCCTGTATCCCCAACGGAATACAACAGCTTTACAAGCCCAAGACTGTCATTTTCACTGTTCAACTACTTGTTAGCATGCGGCCTACCCTGTTTCTAGGCTGGATAGCCGTTGCTGTCTATGCATATGGTGAGATTGTAACCCTCCGGCCTCAATGGCCTTTATATTGACCTCTTCTGACATCTGACTATTGGTGGGTTAGAGCCCGACAACAACCATCCGACGATCAAACCAGAGGCCCCAGACCTCATCAACCGCGCTCTCCCTAATGCCCCGGATGGCTATGCTCCGGCCAAGGTTGATTGTCCATCCCCGCGACCCAGTGTGCGCAGTGCCGCGAAGCTGTCTCCAAATGAGCAAGACTGGCTCAAGCTGCGACAGAAGACGACTCACCAAGCCATTAAAGACTTTTTCGGTCATGTGCATATAAACGATTTTGACTCAGCCGCCTATCTCGATAAATTCGGAAACAACCTTTCAAGTCTACCTACCATTGGTATTGCTGTTTCTGGTGGAGGCTATCGCGCTTTGATGAATGGTGCCGGAGCCCTGAAAGCATTTGATAGTCGCACCGAAAACTCTACTGTATCAGGTCAGCTTGGTGGTTTGCTCCAGTCGGCAACATACTTAGCGGGCCTCAGTGGGGGTGGCTGGCTGCTAGGCTCGCTCTACATGAACAACTTCACCTCCGTCTCGTCTTTGCAAACCAACACTCTTGGGGCTCCATGGCAGTTCTCTAATTCTATACTGAAAGGACCAGATGACGGCACCGCTCTCTTATCGTCGGCAGTTCACTACTATAAAGAAATATCAGAAGCTGTGGCAGCAAAGGGAAAAACTGGTTTCCCAACTACCTTTACAGATTTCTGGTGAGCGACATCCCTGAGCCTACGCTCTTCAACCGTGTCCGTCTGGCTAACGAGTTTCACTTTTTTTTCTGGGTCACAGGGGGCGCATGCTGTCATATCAGCTCATCCATGCTCCAGAGGGAGGCATTAACTACACTTGGAGTTCAATTGCAGCGACAGAACACTTTCAGCGAGCTGAGATGCCCATGCCGATTCTCATCGCAGACGGTCGCAACCCGGGAGAGCATGTTGTCGGAGGCAACGCAACTATTTACGAGTTCAACCCCTGGGAGTTTGGGTCCTTTGACCCTACCATCTTTGGCTTTGCTCCTCTGGAATACCTGGGCTCCAAATTTGAGAATGGCGTCGTGCCACCCAACGAAAAATGTGTCCGAGGGTACGACAACGCTGGCTTCGTGATGGGCACCTCGTCCAGTCTCTTCAACCAGTTCTTGCTCAATATCAACTCCACTGATCTCGGGGAAACAACCAAAGACATCGTTCGCAATCTTCTCGCCGACGTTGATGAGGAATCGACAGATATCGCCAACTACACCAATCCCTTCTACAAAGCAACGACCGCTGATTTCTACGCCCAGTATCCGTATCTCGCCGTCGTTGACGGAGGTGAAGACCTGCAAAACCTCCCTCTTCACCCCATGATTCAACCCGAACGAAAGGTAGACGTCATCTTCGCCGTTGACTCATCTGCCGATACCAACAACTGGCCTGACGGTACCTCCCTTGTGGCGACCTACGAACGCAGCCTGGAGGGCAGAATCAACAACGGCACCGGCTTCGCTGCCGTTCCAGACAGAAATACCTTCCTCAACCTGGGTCTCAATAATCGGCCAACTTTCTTTGGCTGCGATGCCTCCAACTTTACTGGCACTCAATCCCATTCGCCACTCATTGTGTACATTCCCAACTCACCATACGTGGTATCTTCCAACGTCTCGACGTTTGACATGAGCTACAATAATACACAGCGAGACGCAATAATTCTTAACGGTTATAATGTTGCCACGATGGGTAACGGGAGCCGGGACTCGGAGTGGTCAACTTGTGTCGGCTGTGCTGTTTTAAGCCGCTCACTGGAGCGTACAAACACCACCATACCAGCTGCTTGCAATCAATGCTTTCAGCGCTATTGTTGGAATGGGACAATTGACAGTCGAACGCCAGCCACTTACGAGCCGGAGCTGTTTCTGGCACCAATTAGGCTGACTGGCGCAGCAGGGCTGGCAGTTGTCTCTCCCAGTTGGTGCCATACAACTCTGCTATTAGCTTTGTTAGTGTTTTTGGTGATCTAGCTGCAGCAATGAGCGGAATCTCGATCTTGTGGAGGGCATTTTGAGAATGTAGGGACCGGGGACAACGACGACGACGGCTTAACAGGCCTCACGGCCATGGAAACTGGCATGGAAGCCGACGGGTATTGATCATTATGTTCACAAAAATACTGCACTCATCAAGAGAATTCGGAATTGTTGATCACCATGCAAATCGGTCGGTTAAATCTCGGTCGCACAAATCTCACTATAGCTAGAAAGCAGAGCAGATTGCGCAGGGAGTCTCAGTATGAAGGAAGGCAGTGGGCGGAAGCAAATTATGAGGAAGAGAAAAGGGGTGGTCTAAGGTGCACTCCAAGCATTCATTTTTACTGCATTAGCAACATTTTTCTTTGTTTGAGTTGATGGTTTTCAGAAACCGACCTCTACTACTAGATAGACTCTACTTGATTGATTGACTATGTCTAATTGATATTTGGAGATAAAGAAAGCCGGTCAAATATGTACAGACACTATGATGCTTTGTTGGCCAGTTCATCAATCAGAGATTGAAATTATGACCCTTCATTCTCATTTAATTATCACGCTTAATCAGTGCAATGAAATGCAGTCAGCAACAACTTCATATTTTACGAGGGGGGCTCAATGACTCATCGATTTCTCAATTTCCATGCCAGGTTTGAGAGAGTGATCTTTCATTCTTTCAATATGTTGTCCCAAAAGCGATTCAACTATCAGAGGTCTTGTTGAAAACTACCCTTTCTCCTGACCCATCAGATTCCCCACTGGTCTTGCAGATTTGGAACGCCGGCTTGGTCCTTTAAGGGAAACACAATAGAAACATAGGTCATCGCCAGGTCCTCTAAGTCTCTGTGTATATACTGGGTGTCTACTGATTTCTTCTTTTCGACGGAAAGTTCATCTTGAGAGCCAAACGCTCTGGTTAAATCTGACCAGTTGCGGTCCTTAAGATAAACTGTAACAGTGTTAGCGCGCCAAATAGTTTTACACCGAAGTATTGGACGATCCGTAGTCGTTTTTAAGTTATACTTAAGTAAATAATCACCGAAGCTCTACAGGTATAAATACATGTTGTGGTGGCCGTTGGCCGCCAAGCTTATCAGCTTATCAGAGCACAGCCACTTATTATCAGTCTGAGATAGTTTCTTTCCTCTCTTTCTTATGAATTGAATCACTTTTCTGAAAATCTTCTTCGTGGCTATTCAACAACAAGTAATATTTTAAAGACTAAGAACTAAACTAAGTATAGACTGCGCCAAAACCCGCGGATGGGTGGAGATCCTCCACCCAAAACCCAACAGCATCTGCTCGTGGCATGACTAAGCTGTCAGCTGTGCCCGCCTATAACAGTAGTGCCATTATGATCCATTCAAATGGCCTCCTTTCACCATCTTTCCTACGCCGTAAATCAATGTGGAAAAAGAACAGAATGCTATTTGTACAGATGCTCTATAAAGAAAACATCAAGATAGAAACATGGACCAACAGAGTACCCCTCGCTAGCTCCTGAATAAATGATACAAGGTGACACGCTGATGCTTTGTTCAAAGCCAGCAAATGACAAAAAAGGAAATAATGTAGAAAGCAAGAGAACTCATTAGAGCACTGCCCTTTATAGGGCAATCTGTCCCTTCCAGGCAGCGTCAGACAATCCCAATGTATCCATCAAGTTCTGCCACCGGGGACCTCCGCGCTCCTTTCTGCGGAGGTATTTCAGCAGTTTTTGGCGCTTGTGGACGAGGACTAGCAAGTTGCGTTTGTTGTGCTTGTCCTTGTTTGCAGATTCGAGGTGGCGGGAGAGGTTCAGGATCTTCACTGTCAAGATCGCGGCTTGCACCTCAGCAGAGCCGGTATCGGGTCCAACACGCGGCGCGCGTGTCGGATGAATGGGAGCCGATGCATGGGCCACAGCTGATGGCTTTGGTGGAAGACTTGAATCTGTGTAGTGTCGACCGAACGTCTCAATGCACTTAGCAATGTTCAGGCGCACCCGGTCCTTGTTGTTTCCATTATCGAGGTTCACAATTCTGTTGATCGCTTCTTGCGCATTGCTGTGCTGGTTGTTGTGCGTTTCAATTGCCTCCTGTTCGGCTTGAGGATCGGCTGTGTTGCGATCGGGATTTTGGAGCGGTTCAGTCAGGTTCTTGGAGAAGCCCAGGGCGGCGTCCAACTCGTTGGACTTCAAGTAATGGTTAAGATCTTCGGTGATAGAAGACGAAACAAGCGGGTCGGTTTGTATCGCTGTCATTTCTCGGATAAAGGGTGTCGGTTTGCTCTTCACGGGGTCACCAAGCGAGGATTCCCGCTCCTCCGCAAGCACTTTTTGGCGGGACACATTGGCTGCCTTGCGCTGGCGCGCCTGAGCCATCATAAAGGGATCATGCTTTCTGCGCACTTGAGCCTTGCTAGACACGGCCCTGATGGAGGAGTAAAACGCATTGGACAACGGACCGGGGACAGATCCTAGACGATCGTTGGTTAGCACGGTAATAATCAACCATTTCTGGGATTGAATGCTGTACTGGTCAATGCCTTCAGGGAAGACTGGACTGAGAAGCGCGGAGGCATGGTTGTCGTAACTAGCGAGTGAGTGCTTCGATAGCAACAACTTCTTTTCCATAACTCAACCTTTCACCGGGAAATCTTGTCGCCGGAAGCCAGACACGCTAAAACACTTTTGGTAATATTTTGCCTCAGGCATAAACTTCCCCAACCACAGTCTCAACTACAGTTATACAAGTAATCTGCTATGACTCTGGGGCTTATACTGCGTCTAACAAATAGGGGTGTGATAATACTGTATTGCCTTGAAGCACTTCTATGCAGTGTGGTATCACAGTTACTAGAATCTACACACCCCCCAATAATCTTTATTATGTCCAAATCTAAGGCATGATGTACATTTCGAAAAGTACTATTTTACCCAGCAATCAATAAATGGGAATACAACTTGGCCTATAGTTCTCTGTCCATGAGAACGCAGGTCTTGAATTAGTCGACATGATACGGAGATGGAAATTTAAGTCAAGAGACAAAAGCCATGTAAAATTAGCTGAACAGATACAATCGAACGCATATCGGGACAATCCAGTTCTAATATCTGGTCCATAGTCGTTTCTCCATCGTCATAATCGTTCATATCGGCATATAATTCCTCGTTCCGTGTTGATCTATTGAGTAAGCATGCGGGCCTGGTTAGAATTGGCAATTTTCTGGACCAGGCACATAGCACATGACGCTGCTTCCTCTATTATTTTCTCTCTTCATATGTCTCGAAATTTCGTCTGGCTATCCGAAACTGTAGCTCTTAACCGTTGGGGCTGGCATGGAGTCTGATGATCTTCACCTGCCGCTGCTGCATGATTTTGAGTATGAGCGCTTGGGTGTTAGGGTCTCTCGCATTAATGGCTAGCTGGAGACTGACCTTCTCTGCTTGTTTGGCATTACAGTACAAATAAAATGTGTCCCTGCTGTAGACCGGAAGGCGGTAACGTAGAGAGCCCGTCAGAATCGTCAGAATCGTCAGAATGGGTTGGGGAAAGAATGAGTTCATTGGGCAAGCCAATGACCCCGGGTGAGAGGTAGATTCCGGGATGGCTGGGAGTGCTCAAAGACCAAGGGCCCGACCAAGCTCTTGGGCCTGGGCGCGAGGGGAAGGGGGGTAGTTGTATCGAACCAAATGGGTCCGGGTCGAGGCTCAGCTGTTTTGGGGTCCTTAAACTCCTGCGCTGCCAATATTGCACTAGCGGACCCATTTTCAAAGGCTCGCCTTTTTCGTTGGAAGCCTAGGGCGGGGAAACACTTATGTTTCTGGCCAAAATCGATGGGCCAACTAGAAGTTGTTCATTGTTATTATCGTTTGAGGTTTCTTCGGCACTAGTCATCTTGTGATCAGCATAAGGAACAAAGATGTTCTCGGCACAGGATATTCTAAAGACATTGAGGAAAGCATGGGGCTGATTGTGATACGGAACCAAAGGAATTGCCGGGATTACTGGGGTAGGGAGACCTTCTGATGGTCGGTACTTCTCTCAGACTGATTATGGTTTGATCAGTAGAGAGACCTTCATTGCTCTGTGGTAAGAGCCCAACGAGCCAAGGTAAGACACGGGACCGAGCCGAAGGCACATTAGAAGTTCATCGCGAAATGACGCGATCACAAGGTGGTTGTGATAGAGCTTGCGCTTTCGATTGGCCATGGACTCCATAAGGGCCATCGAAGAACTCATCAGCATCTTCAGGTCAAAGCAGCCAGGGTATTCCTTTTCCAATGACCTGATGATACCCGTCAGTTCCGCTTCACTTCATCAGTATATAAAATGTAAAATGTACATTTTGAGCAGGCAAGGCAAGCAGCTCGAGGGGTTCCTTTGACTCCTGCTCACGGTAACCACAGATGAGCCGTCTAAAAAATCAGTTTCTATCCCAAATTCACTTATCTTATTATTCTGTCAGGTAATTTCACCTTAAATGAACTCACATGGTTAGCTTATTTGACAACCTCATAATTGACAATTCCGGGCACTTACAACAGAGACAATGAGGGAAGTGGCATGTGAAAACAAATGGATATATTTCTTTCAACTGGTTGGTACTTGCACATAATATGCACCAAAGCGTAGTCCCTGCTTAGGGTAATACATATACGAGCAGATCTAACCAGCGCACGCATCTAGAACATTTAGTGTAGATCCAGTCACTTCTGCAGTTCCTCTTATTGCCTCCTTGCTAAATTCATGAGTCCATGACTTTAGCGTACATGACAGTAGAACTGGGCCGTTAACAAATAAGGTCATGGTTCAGTATTGTCTTCTGCACTAAATTCTGATTTAGTACGCCTTAGGCTCGGTATATTCGCAATTTAATTGCGAATTTTGTTGTAGTGTAAGACTTTGTGCTTGATCGAGGACTGTGCAGCTTACGCTATTGATGTAGGGACCGAATTTCTCTAAGAATGAGCATCTAGTGCAGTCAACCATCTTTGGTTAAAGAAGCTTATCTTGGCAGACAATTTAAGAGTTAAATGAATGTAAGGGGATAGATCGAAAGATGCTTCTGATATTGAGATCTTTTAATACTATTACTTCTCATCAGGGACGATAAATGTTGAATTTGCTACTTTTTCTTGCAACTAGAGAAGATTATTTGACAAATAATTGCTTGTTTGGCCTATGCGTAGCATGTACGACTCTGAGTTCATGGATGAGGATGACTTGATAACGCTCCTTTGTATGCATTTGTGGAAATTCTGCTGAGGCAAGAGATATCAACTTGGAACTCACTATTTATGACAACTAAATCCTGGAGCAATCTACTTTCAATCTTCCATTACCTGTCCTTTCCAGTGAGTGTTGTAAGATTGGATTGAAGTATAAAAATGGGTCCACGGAAGGCCTCCGGGTGGGTCCAAGCACTTTTGTCACACTGCACTTATGGTCTAAACGGTTTGCCGTGTCTATGTCACGTGCTTGTTATGTAATATTTCCAGCCCTAGCCCTAGCGCACGCAAGCGAAATTCTCCCGAATCGCGGGATTGCAACAATTTTGCGGCTTGGCTTTGATCTTTTTACCTCCATCACCACGACAAGAGCCAGACGATTGATCTTTCACCTCGTCAATCCATCAATCGCCCGACATGGCCCCTTCCCAGCTCCCCCCGGTTTTCAACCCTACCGCGCAGGACATTGAGATGCTCCTTGCCGCTCAGTGCCACCTTGGTTCTAAGAACCTTCAGGTGCACATGGAGCCTTACCTCTGGAAGCTCCGCGCCGATGGTGTCAACGTCCTGAACATTGGCAAGACCTGGTATGCGAGACTTGGAAATTAACTTGATTTCTGGGGAATTGGTGTCTAATCCGTATTACAGGGAGAAGATCGTCCTGGCCGCCCGTATCATCGCCGCCATCGACAACCCCGCTGATGTTTGTGTCGTCTCCGCTCGTCCTTACGGCCAGCGCGCTGTCCTGAAGTTCGCCCACCACACCGGTGCCACCGCCATTGCCGGTCGCTTCACCCCCGGTAACTTCACCAACTACATCACTCGCTCCTTCAAGGAGCCCCGTCTGATCATCGTGACCGACCCCCGTACCGATGCCCAGGCTATTAAGGAGGCTTCCTACGTCAACATCCCCGTCATTGCCCTCTGTGACACTGACTCCCCCACCGACTTCGTCGATGTTGCCATCCCCACCAACAACAAGGGTCGTCACGCCATCGGCCTTGTCTGGTGGATGCTTGCCCGTGAGGTCCTCCGCCTCCGTGGTACCCTTGCTACCCGCGAGACTGAGTGGGACAGCGTTGTTGACCTCTACTTCTACCGCGACCCCGAGGCCGAGGAGAACAAGGAGATCGCCGATGAGGCCAAGGTCCCCGGTGCTGATGAGATCGGTGCCGGTGCCGTCGAGTCCGGCTTCGCTGGTGAGAACTGGGATGCCTCCGCCCCCGGTGCTGGTAACCCCGGCACTGCCTTCGCTGCTGCCTCCGCTGCCACCGCTGCTGGTGCTGCCAGCTGGGAGGCTGAGGGTGCCGACTGGGCCGCCAGCTCTGCTCCCCAGACCACCGAGTGGGCTGACGCTACCCCCGCCGCTGGTGAGGCCAAGTGGTAGATTGCTTCGTGGTGACGAGGATATTCGTTGAAAGGGGGGAAGTTACGCAGAAATCGAAGAAGGGCTCTTGTGTTTTCTTTTTTACACCATCTACCATTTCACAACGATGGATTCCAATCTCCCGCAAATTCCCTTGACATGTCTATCCTAGTCTCTGTGCGCAATGTGCTAAAAAAACCAAAAGAAACTGAAAACAGCAAAAGAAAACGAGCTTTCACCGGGAACCTTCAATCTTTTGCCTCAGTGGTGTCTCAAACCAGCACTTTTTTTATATTTTCATGTCTTGCATCGGGGAGGAATTGTCATGCCAATCATTGACTGGTGCTTATGAGGGAAAGAGATCCAGTTGCTTTTTTTTACGAAGCTTCTGGGGGAAAGCCCTGTGCTGTCAATTCACAAGGTGGACTTAATCGTTACCTTGGTTTCTCCCTGTTGTGTTCTAGTAATCCGAAAAGGTTGTGCTTGGTATCATGTCCAGTAGTCTCCGTAGCGTAAGCGTATACATACCTTTGGGATGTAGATTCGGCATGATTTTACCCTGAACCTTCGGAGAGTCACTCAGGTCATCGTACTCTCTCTCAGTAGTGTGTTAACGTCACTTCTTGGGGAAACAGCAGGCTGCTCTCGAATAAGGTACGGGTGCTAGTTGAGATCTTCATGTCTAAATGGTGTGTACACGCCGGCACCCTCACACCACATGCCACGGTGTAGGTAACTACTGGTAGATTTCGACAATGTCACCGTTCTACGGTGTTTCTATCCTATTCTGGCGTTACTTTGAGATTATGAAATGTCAAGCATTGAGGTATCTATCTGGGTATATAGTCTGGACATGAGATACATGACCAGTGATTGCACAGCTACAGAATAACGCAAGTAGTACCAGCACTCTGGCCACCTTCCGCAGTGGTCGTCATCGCCGCGAGTCTGGCAAGATCTTCGAATGTCTCTGCAAGCAACTCGCCCGTGACAGCCGAACATTCAGCATATCGATCACAACGAAGCTCCTGGGCAATACGATAGGCCTATAATATCGGTCAGTTATGCTCCATAGTCAAAGCTCGGTGTGATCATTTACCTCTTGTGGATATATGATGCCTTCGCCTTCTCTTCGTAGATCCCTCTTCAGACCTAACAGCATCACCGGCAATCGCTCGCCATCGCCATACTGGAAGTATCGGGTAATATCATTCCGCCACTATAAAAGGGTGCCGATGTCAGCATGGAAACTTCCTTGGGATGTAATGATGATGATAGTACCGCTGTTAGTCCATCTAGCGTGTTTCGGTTGGAAATATCATATGCCAAAACAACCACGTCGGGTCGCAGACTAGACCAATGCTGGTTTGGATTTGCTGTATCGTAAAGCTCTAAAGTGAATTTTCTTCTTGAGAACCGAATATCGTAAATGAACGGCTGGTCTTCATCTCGTAATGGCACGATGGTGTGAAGAGCACTACCAGGTTGTGCGGATAGAGATGACCTTCCACTCTTGAGGCGACTACATCTCATTAGCCGGTGTAAATTGCCAGAAGGTTTTCATGTTCATGAATAGTTCCAACTTCCGGCGATTGGGCATCCACGCAAGAATTGACGGGCAGTTAGGGGACAGAAACTCATGTGCACTCACGCCAGTAAGGTCGATTTACCACATCCTGAATCTCCAAGTAGTAGTAACGAGACTGATCTGTCGCTATCTGGAACAATATTGGCTTCCGCCATGCTGGAATTGTGGATTCGACTTATCCGTGGTTTTCTCAACCGCTGGTCAATTATCCAAGTATCCTTAGGCTTGTCAAATTTTGATATATCGCCAAGTATATAATCTGGTCGATGCTGCTGGTATTTTTGTTTGATAATTCGTGCAAGTACCGACTAACAGACAGGCATGCCGTGCCACGTCGTCAATGGTGAAGGCGATAAGGTTCTCGGTTCGGCCAAGATCTATACCAAGATATATATCGCTTTCAATATTTCAGGCACCATGCGAGTTCACTATCATTAAGATGTAAGAGGGCCTAGCTGCTCTAATTCACTCAGATTTTAGATATCGCTGGATTTATTATAGACCAAAACCTCACCAAAACCTCAAGATACACCATAAAACCACATATTGAACTAACAACGTGGAACAATTACACTACAATACAGACAACCAACTCATAAAATACGTAAAATACAGGTCCGCGGACTTTTTCAATTTCGACTGGTCTCCAAATTTGACACCCACACCGAATTCAAACCCCACCTGTTTGCATGAAGTGGTATGTGGAAGCCACCAGCAAGGCTCTTTTCACTGAGTTGCAACCTACGAGTCTTCATACAAACAAGACACCTGTGCCAGTCCCGCACCCCAACACCGCAAACAATGGAGGGTCCCAAGGACCGGCCCGATTACTCGACCTGGAACCACTCGAGTTTGATCGCTCGCATTACAGACCTCGAGCGCCAGCTTCACTCCCACACAACGGAATACACAGCGCCGACCGAAACCCTGTCGCACCAGACACCGCAACCTTCTGCGCCCATCTCTGATGGCCACGAACCTGGGATTCCACTTCCTGACTCTGCTCAAAACCCGAAGAAGCGCCCACACTCCCCTCCCGAAGGCGACATCACTAAATTGCCTGCGCCGGCGCGATCAGTCAAGAATAATACACCGGCTAAAGTTGAGCGTGCTTTTGACCCCACCAAATACTCGACGCGCTACATTGCGCTCAAGTTTGCATACCTGGGCCAGCAATACAATGGTCTCGAGCACACCAATGGCAATACAACCCCGCTGCCTACGATCGAGGAGATCATGTGGAAGGCCTTGCGCCGTACTCGGCTCATCTTCCCCCAGACTACCTCGGACCTGGAGCCGACTGAGCGCGGTGAGCGGGTCCCTTTGCGCCCTTACCACCTTTACTGGGATGGATGTGAATACTCGAAAGCAGGACGCACGGACAAGGGAGTAAGTGCCTTCGGGCAAGTTATTGGTTTGAGAGTTCGCAGTCAAAGGCCTAACCCCAGGGCCCCCGTTGAAGGCGAGGATGAAATGCAGATTGACTCGGAATCTACTGAAAAGGAGTGGGACGACGTCGCGGATGAGATCAACTACGTAGCTGTTTTGAACAGAGTGCTTCCAGAAGATATTCGAGTGCTGGCATGGTGTCCTAACCCGCCACCTGGATTTGATGCCCGCTTCTCTTGTCGCGAACGCCGGTACAGGTACTTCTTCACCAACCCCGCAATGTCACCAACTCCGGGACCCGCTGGTTTCGAGAATCGTGCACAAAACGGAAAAGGTCCGCAGGCCGAGTTTCGCGAGGGCTGGCTCGATATCGAGGCCATGCGCGAGGCTGCCAAGCATTTCGAGGGAGTTCATGATTTCCGGAACTTCTGCAAGCTGGATTCAATGAAGCAGATTGATAACTTCGAGCGCATCATCCATCACTCCTCCATCGAAGCCGTCAACCCTAAGACCAACCCACTGGGCTATGTTGGCAAAGCTGGCTACCAGGCCAAAGAGGACTCTATTCCGGAGCCGGACTTGACAACCCCCGACACTGTGTCTCAAAGCACTCCTCAGGTGTATTCGTTCAATCTCCACGGATCTGCCTTTTTGTGGCACCAGGTGCGACACATGGTTGCGATTCTGTTCCTGGTCGGACAGGGACTAGAGTCCCCATCTATTGTCCCTGAATTGCTGGATATTTCCAAGAACCCATGCAAGCCGACTTACGCGATGGCTGATGATGCTCCTCTAGTTCTTGAAGACTGCATTTTCCCTGACATAGCCTCTGGTAGCCGCAAAGATGCCTTGAATTGGGTCTATGCTGGCGATCGGGTTAGCAATTCCAAGAACAGTGCCAAAGGCGATGCCAAGTTTGGGTTGCGAGGCACCGTTGAAACAATATGGACGGTTTGGAGACAGCGCAAGATCGATGAAATTCTCGCAGGTGCTTTGCTGGACTTGGCTGTCAATCAGGGTAACCAGAGCCCCGAGGACATGGACAGCAAATGGAAGACGGCGGGCTTCTCCAAGAGATCGAACAGAGGCTCCAAAATATGGTATGGTGGAAATGAAGCCGATGTTGGTGGAAATTATGTACCTGTCAACCGCAAGCCCAAGATGGAAAGCGTGGAGGTTCAAAATGCCAAAGGACTCAGGGCTAAACACCGAAGAATGGCAAGAATTGAGGCCGCAAAGGCGCCACAGGTATGAGTATCATTTTCCATAGACACTTGCCAATACAATATTGCCTCGGAGTCTCACCAGACAACCGATTCATGATACCGAGTCGTGTGGCGATCCCGAAACATCACGACTTTGCATTTGCATCGTAAAGACATCGTCTTGAGCCTCTCCAAACCTGCTCTAAGATATCTCGTTTGGGAAGCATATGCTTACCACCAAGTTAGCTTGAGTGTTAGAATGGGAAAACACCACGTACCGGGAAGACCACCAGGGCATCAGGCTCGCCTTCGACGATGACTGCCAAGTAAAAGCGGACCTCGAAGCCCTTGAAAGCTTCGTGGATGACAATGTCTTGGATTTGTGTGGTAGGAATGAATCTGGTCGCAGCGGAAGACAGATAAGTGGATGACGATGTTGAGGTCTGAATGCCGAATCCTCGAATGACCAAGAGCGATTCCTCTACCGAACTCGATCAGCCATGCACTGACTCAATTCCATTCTGTAATATTCAACTCACCGGTATAACCCCGTCTGAAAACGCCGTAGATCACTACTGCACTGACCACAGCGATTGCCAGCGGGTTGTATGAATCCACGAAGCGACACAGCTTGGACCCGAGCGCACTTGACCATACGGCTGACCAGCTTATTCTTCCGCTATCTCCTTTAAAGACAATATGTCTGAGAAGTGCGACGCCGACACTTACAACGCATGAGAACAAGACTGCACGCAGCAATATTTGGAGACCGAATAGAATTTTGGCTGGGGAACTTGACCGCTGGGGCGCATTGGATACTGTGAAGGAGACAGTCGTCGGAGAGGGACGTTGAACTTTGAGTCGACCGGGCATTGTGAGTTTGAAATCAAGCAAGTATGGAGAGACTGATTTTAATTGACAATTTGCATCATGGCGTCTATAGATGAAAGTACTAAAGGGTTGCAGGAGAAGTCCAGGAGCTCCAAACCATCGCACTAGTCCATTTCGGGTATAATGCCCCCACCCAGATTGGCAGCTGTATCTCACGTGCCGTGCTGCGGCGCAGCTTCTCCGTTGAGAATACATCTGGGCTGTCGGGCACCCAACACAACTTCCTATTTCATCCATTTACAACCATGGGTGATCGATCACGAAGCAGGTCTCCTTGCGCAAGAGATAGTGGCGACCGAGACCGCCCTAGAAATAATAGAGGAGGCTTTCGGTGGAAAGACAAAAGTCGCACCGACGATTCCCGCGGCGATGATCGCAGATTAGAACGAGGATACCGAGACCGACCACGATCCCCCCGACGTGACCGAGAGGGTGACCGCTACGGAGAAAAATCCAGAGAAAACCCCAGAGACAACCCCAGAGACAACCCCAGAGAAAAGCCGCGTGATGATCGCGATGCGCCGCGCGAAGACCGGGAAAAGAAAGTAAAGAAGGAAAAGAAAGAGAAGAAGCCGGTCGCTCCGCAATCCTCAGAACCTATGATTGTGGTCCATGTCAATGATCGTCTGGGTACTAAGGCTGCGATTCCTTGCCTCGCTTCGGACCCAATCAGTATGTCTTTTTATTTTACTTCTGATGACACCAATCCATACTAACCCCCCCGCAGAATTGTTTAAGGCGCAAGTGGCTGCTCGCATTGGTCGTGAACCTCACGAGATTCTCCTCAAGCGTCAGGGTGAACGACCATTCAAGGACCAACTTACACTGGAGGACTACGGCGTGAGCAACGGAGTTCAGCTTGATCTGTGAGCCTCAACCCCCCTTTCAGAATGGCACTGAGACCGTTATACTAACTATTCCATAGGGAGGTCGGAACAGGCGAATGATAGAAGTTCCCGGAGCGAACTGCACTCAGCGGGACATTTATGCCAAGCTCTTTTATGTTTTTTGTTGTTCTTTTCTTAGTATCATGGGAACCGGAGCGTGGGAGTCACGCATGAAAATGACCATTCTCTTTTTTGTTGTCTTTTTTTCTCTCACTTTCTGAGTCGATATTCCTTGTGATATTGAGCAGAAATCATGTATATCTATGGCAAAAAATGCGAAGATGTACAATTCAAGGGGACTGCTGACCATGTACTGTGGCCGTTTTCTGCGGGGCCTTGCGTCGTCACGACATGCGCTTTACCCGATACGGCTCAATTGACACCTGAGGCCTCGAAAGCAGGTCCGCTCCACTCCAAAGAGGCTTTTTTTCCATCGCGGGACTCACAGCTACGCTTTTTTTTTATGTCTGTTCGAAGTCTTGATCCTCGCTCCGCCATGAGGTAGCTGCTATCCTCTTCAATCTCAAGAAATTACATACTTCTTTTTCCCTTACTTGAACCCATACCTCGACGGGCTCACCGGTCAAGATCGCCCCAGATTTTCCTCCCCCTCAACCGAATCCCTCCAATCCTGATTTCCTCCACCGGATCGAGCGGTTTCGTTCTCAATCCCTTCTACTTCAACCCTGGCAACCGGTATACGTACAAAACAGAACACGATGGTTCGCAACCTTGTTGTCATCGGGGGTAATTCCCACCCTCAGTTGACTCAGAGCATTTGCAGTGTCCTCGGCATTCCTCCTGCAGAGGTTCTGCTCTCTAAATTTGCCGTTGGTGAGACCCGCGTCGAAGTTCAAGAGTCAGTCCGTGAGAAGGATGTCTACATCATTCAGTCCGGCGGTGGAAAAGTCAACGACCACCTGCTCGAGCTACTCATCACCATCTCCGCTTGCAAGACTGCCTCAGCACGCCGAGTCACCGCGGTCCTTCCTCTCTTCCCTTACTCCCGCCAAAGCGACATCCCTTACGACAAGGCTGGTGCCCCTCTGGTCAAGGCCACCGTGCCAGGCAAATCCTCCAATGGCTACACATTCGAGAGCACCCCTCCAACTCCGGGTCCCGGAAAGCCTGAAGGCCTCGGTCTGATGAATGGCATGGACAACCTCCAAAGGAGTCTTGCTAAGGCTCAGATTGAGGACAGCACCGGCAGTCCCGTGAAGCGGCGGGGAAATGGCCTGCCCCGCAGCGACACAACAGACTCCCTTAAGTCTCTGACCAATGCAGCCGATGATACCGCCAGCAATGCCTCCTCCAAGATCTCCTCCTTCCAGCCGCGACCCGGCTACAAGCAGTGGGTTGCGCAGGCCGGTACCCTCGTGGCAGACCTGCTCACCTGCGCTGGCGCCGATCACATCATCACCATGGATCTGCACGACCCGCAGTACCAGGGCTACTTTGATATCCCAGTTGACAACCTCTACGGCCGACCCCTTCTGAAGAGCTACATCCAGCGCAACATCCCCAATTACAAGCAGGCTGTCATTGTTAGCCCCGATGCCGGAGGCGCCAAGCGTGCTACGGCAATTGCGGACCAAATGGGTATAGAATTTGCTCTGATTCACAAGGTTGGTTTTTGAAAGTTTAAGATTACGCAGTCTCTAGTCCTAGTCTAACGGTTTTCTAGGAGCGCCGCCCCACTAAGATCACAGACCGCCAGAATGCGACCATGATGTTGGTCGGTGATGTTCGCGATCGCATAGCAATTCTGATTGACGATCTGGCGGATACCTCGAATACAATTACTCGCGCCGCCAAGTTGCTGAAGAAGGAGGGTGCATCTCAGGTTTACGCCCTGGTGACTCATGGAATCCTGAGTGGGGATGCCATCGACCGCATCAATGCTAGTGCTCTTGACAAGGTGGTTGTGACCAACAGCGTGGACCAGGTTGATCACCTGCGTCGCTGTCCTAAGCTCGAGGTCCTGGAAGTCGGCCACGTTTTCGGCGAGGTGAGTCTAATTCGCTCGATTCTTCGAGCATTATAGCTGACATATACCTCCCAGGCCATCCGCCGCGTGCACCACGGTGAAAGTATCAGTGTGCTCTTCCAGTATGACTGATTGCTGACACGATTTTCTTTTTTGTTCTCTGATATCCGAAAATTTCATCCTATTTCTCCAATACTCGACTCAAACCCCCCTTGTTATAGATTCAGGCTCACAGTAGACTTGGTACCCCGAAATTGTTTTTGGTATTCTGTGGTTTCTGCTACTATCGCTTGCTCTCCTTGGCTCTGGCTGGCTATTTCTGTTTTGTTACATTCTGTTAGATTATCCCTTGCCACACCCTTTGCCATCTGCACATATGAGCCAAATGTTGAGTCGAAATTGAAAATCTTGTTTTTCCAAATCTAATCGTGAGCAAGGGCCTTAGGCTAGTCTCTTCTGCTTGTATACGGAGTCCGCGGAGATGTAGGATTTGCCCGAGGTTGAGGTTGACCCATGTCTGGATTTTACACTCTTGGGCTCTGTATCCTTGTCCGTGAGTGCGATCCCTGCCTAGCGTATCACAGCGTTTGATTGGGCTACTGCAGCGAAGAGAAATTATGCTACAATGTTCGTTATACATATACCAAGTAATTGAATCTTTGGTGTGTTTTGTCCTCATTTATCACAAGCATAAGGCCAAGCACATGCTGAACGCCTTGTACATACGAATGAAAAAAACCAAGATATCCGAAATGAAAGATGACCGAGTTGCCCCGATCAGAAAAGAGGTTGATGCGCTCACGTTAAAGAACAGATTGGGTACTCGATACAACGGGAATCGGCTGGCAAGTACAGCAAGATACCAGCCAGAAAAGGGTAAATACAAAGAGGTAAGAGATGGAAAATCACGCGGTGCTTTAGAACTTAGAAGACGGATATGAAGTTTCCGATTCTCTCCTTTTGGTTCTGGGCAATGCATTCAGAGATCCAGGTCACGTTGCGGATTTCCTACGTCATGTTAGTTTCATGCTTCAAACCAAATCAGCTCTAGAGGACTGCCTACCTGTTCCTTCAGTTTCATCCAGCCATAGACTACCGCAGGCGTAAATTGACGGGTGAAAACCAGCTTTGACAAATCCATTTCTTTTTGATAAAAGAGATCCTCCAGACTCTTGCCATCTGCTGGACCACCGCCCATACCACCCAAGCCCCCGCTGCCTTGACTCAGGCCCACAGCATCGAAGAATGCCTTGTAATCACCCACAGCACTGACAGCGAGGGCCACGCCCTCGACATCCTCTGCACGGGACAGCATCAAGCTGCCTTCCGGGTAAAGCTTACCGAACTCGGGGTACAGCTTCCTCCGCTCAAGCTTGGAGAGCTCGGTGCCGAAGGAGTTGAGGGTGATGTTGATAGAACGGCGGTCAGCCTCGAACTGCAGGATCTCGGCCATGACCTCTTGCGTTGGTGACCCACTGAAATCGGGGTGCGTATTGATGAATTTGTAGAAATCTTCGAGGTAGTTCTTGTACAAGGTGTTTCGGACGATTTCGATATTCAGCTCATCCAGGTCCTGGTGGCTCAGACTGTCCTTGAAGTAGCCGGCCAGTGGGGTCTCGATCAGCACCGAGTTGTACAACTCTTCGATGTTTGTCGCAACACACAGCACAGGAAGTGTCTCGAACCATCCTAGCGGGTGACAGCGCTCCAAAAGTTCCCGAGTGTCTCGTTCGTGCAGAGTACCGGTGATCAACAGGGCGATGTTGTCGATCATGTATCCATATGTCATATATTCCAGGAACTTGGCAGATGAGCCTGTTGTTTGTGCAATGAGATACTTGAACTCCGAAACTAACTTATCGGTCATACGGCCGGCGAGGTCGGAGGTGGAGGGGTTGGGGGGAAGAGAGGCAAGGAAGTCGCCATATGAAGGTGCAAGCTGGAGCTTCACATCTATTGGGTAGATTGTTAGACGCCCCAAAAAATAGTATATCTACAATAGAGTCAATGGGATCAATAGAGCGTACCGTCGATTGTCTCGCATTGAGTGAGGTTGGAGTAATTCTGGCCGCTCAACAGGCTATTGCGATAGCCACGAACAATGCCCTCGACATATCTAGGAGAGTCAACAATCGCCTATTCAAAACTTATTGTCAATTAGATCACATACCCGCCGTTAACATTAAAAAATAGGCCCTCCATGGTGAAACGTGGAGAAGATGAATAGAGAAGCCCAGCTGTAGTAGCTCTATTCGGCCAGGGCCACGCACGGGCTTAGTCAGCCACAGCCACAGGCGCACCGCCACACCACCATGCTTTCGAACTTTTTTCTTCCTTCCGCCGTGCAAAATTTCTATCTAGTTCAACGACAACGGCGGCCGCCCAACCTACGCCTAATTTTTTATCTTTCGTTCCATCGGCTCGGTTTTTCGTTCATACTTATCCGATCTCTCTTTTCTGTTATTTTCGACCCTGAACGCCGTGGCCGCCGACCATGACGCTTTTCATTCTCACCGAGACCAGCGCGGGTTACGCCCTGCTGAAGGCTAAGGACAAGAAGCTCCTTAAGCGTGATGATATCGCCCAGGAGGCCTCCACCGCCGAGGGTGTCTCTAACCTGTACGTCAATTGTGTCTTTGTATCTCGCCAGACAAAAATTCTGAGTGGGGATGCACGATCCCGTTAAGCGGGCGCAAAAAAATTTGTTATCGGCGACAATGTCACTAATAGTGTCTTTAGTCTCAAGTTGAAGAGCTTCCAGAAGTTCGACAGTGCTGCTGCAGCTCTGGAGGAGGCTGCCTCCGTCATGGATGGCAAGGTTACTCCCCGTCTCGCTTCCCTCCTCGACGGCATCAAGGAGGAGAAGAAGGTTTCCCTGGCTGTTGCCGATGCCAAGCTCGGTAGGTGATTCTGGCCCCATGTTCTCGAATAGCTTGCTGACTTTTGAATGTGAACAGGCAATGCCATCAGCAAACTTCCTGGTCTCGACATTCAATTGATCGCTGACTCCAGCACCAACGACATCTACCGTGCCATTCGTGAGCACCTCACTACTCTCATCCCCGGTCTGGCTCCCAGTGACATGTCCACCATGTCTCTTGGTCTGTCCCACTCTCTCGCTCGTCACAAGCTCAAGTTCTCCCCTGATAAGATCGACACCATGATCGTCCAGGCCATTGGTCTTCTGGATGACCTTGACAAGGAGCTGAACACCTACGCTATGCGTGTCAAGGAATGGTACGGATGGCACTTCCCCGAGCTGGCTAAGATCCTCAACGACAACATTGCATACGCCAAGCTCGTCCTGAAGATGGGTATGCGTACCAACTGGGAGACTGCCGATCTCGCCGAGATCCTTCCCGAGGAGATCGAGAGCGCCGTCAAGACCGCCGCCGATCGCTCTATGGGTACTGAGATCAGCCCCGAGGATCTCGAGAACATCCAGGCTCTCGCTGAGCAGGTTGTTGGCTTTGCCGACTACCGCTCCCAGCTCGCTAGCTACCTCACCTCCCGCATGAACGCCATCGCCCCCAACTTGACTGCTCTCGTTGGCGACCTTGTTGGTGCCCGTCTTATTGCCCACGCTGGCAGCCTTACCAGCCTTTCCAAGAGCCCCGCCTCCACCATCCAAATCCTGGGTGCCGAGAAGGCCCTCTTCCGTGCCCTCAAGACTAAGCACGACACTCCTAAGTACGGTCTGATCTACCATGCTTCTTTGATCGGCCAGGCCACTGGCCGCAACAAGGGCAAGATGGCTCGTATCCTCGCCGCTAAGGCCTCTCTGGGTATCCGTGTCGACTCTCTCGCCGAGTGGGATGACGATGCCACCGAGGAGGACAAGGCTGCTCTTGGTACTGAGGCCCGCTTCAACCTTGAGCGCAAGCTCGCCGGTATGGAGGGCAAGCCCATGAAGCCCCGCGGTGTTGCCATCGCCCCCAACGGTGACGCCCAGCCCGATAAGTTCGACCTCAAGGAGGCCCGCAAGTACAACCCTGACGCCGATGCCATCGCCTCTGAGGAGCCCGCCTCTGCCAAGAAGTCCAAGAAGCAGAAGAAGCTCGTCGAGGAGGTTGAGGATGAGGAGATGGCTGATGCTGACTCTGACGCCGAGGACTCCGATGAGTCTGAGGATGAATCCCCCAAGAAGAAGTCCAAGAAGAGCAAGGGCTCAGACATCGAGGCCATGGCTGCCAAGGCCGGTCTTAGTGTGAAGCGATACGAGCGCAAGCTCGAGCGAGGCGAGATCACTTTTGATGCGGAAGGCAACCCTACCTCTGTTAGCAAGAAGGACCTCAAGAAGTCCAAGAAGGATGCCAAGAAGGCCAGCAAGGACGATGGCAAGAAGCGCAAGCGTTCCGAAGATGAAGATGAGAAGAAGAAGAAGAAGAAGTCCAAGGGAGAGTAAGCGCTTGTTTTCAAAAGTTTCTGCAATGTGACCGGATGGCTTTCCTGGGATCTGTATGATATCACACTTTTTTATTTCTGTTGTTTTTTTTTGCTATCTTCCTGTCGCTCGCATGTTTGGGGCATTTAAAGGTTGATTACCGGTCTTTCACTGGCGCAGAGGGTGCTCGTTAGGAACAAGGCAGTACAGTTTTAGCTGGAATAATCTGTTCATACTTCAGTAATGAATCGTAAAATTTTAGGTTGTAGTATCAGTACCTAACGTGCTAGATTCTATGGGTTCTATCTCTATTTTACCATAGCTATATGTGCTTGTACTCTGCGGTGCATGCATCTATAAAAGCTCACCGCGATATGTTGCAAAGATAAACACACCGCCCAATTCTGCGGGCAGTTCAAACAATTTTCCTTCCTCCAGTTCAAATCGCCATTTCCTCCAATCCATATATCCCTATCCAGCAGACAAAATGAGGGTAAGACCTCTCTTAAGCCATAGCTCTGAATTAGCGCTGACATATTACATAGATCATCGACCCTCAAACCGCCGTTCTGACCAATGTTGAGGTATTGGCCTATCTTACCTCCAACCCACCCCGCCGACCACCAAACCCGCCGCCAGGCTCGCGGAATTGGGTACCGAGTCCGGATCTCAGAGACCATAATACGGTCGTAAAAGAGGTGAGAAATACTCTGCAGCTTCTACCATCCATGTCCACTGGGTACCTCGATATTGCGCATCTATATAACGATCCCACTGGGCCGGAGTTGAAGATCAAGCTCCGAAACTAGACATTCGGACATGAACCACAAAAAACACCTCACTGACTTCCCTGAAGATTCATAACTATGCCAGCCGTCTTTCTCCTCATCTTCTCCGATACCCCCGCTATACAGCTCGCCCCTCATCCTCCCAGTCGCATTTACAATCACAAGCCGCAATGACCAGCACACTACAAGCTTCAAACTCAGCAATAGACTCAGAAGCTTCTTCCATCCCGCCTCCAGTCCCTTCTACAGAATCAACACCCATGGATAACGCCCTCCGGGACCTAGTAATCCGCTTACAGCCCTACGGGCTAACCAAAGCCGAGGTCGTCATGATTTTGAACCTCGGTTTAGGGTTAAGCAACAACCCCAGCGCTGAAGCGGAGGGTGGAGAAGAACAAGGCACCAATGGAGATGGTGCTATGGAAGTAGACGAGCAGAATGGGGAAGGAGAGGCTGCTGAAGAGGAAGGATCTCAGGCTGATTACACCGCGGAGGTATTGCTGGATGCTGTTGTTGAAGAGCGTGAGCTCCGCCTCTCTGATGATGACATGAAGGCTATTTTTGCTATTATCCGAGATACGCTTACGGCGGATTACGAGAATGTGAAAGGGTGAGATGAAAGTTGTTTTGTTATAGATACTTGATCTCAAGAGACAAGAGCGATACCAGTCTGCTTCGACATAAATGGAAACACCATTGAAACCTCACTGAATTTCCACTGAAAACGCTGACATGTTTTAATTTCGGGAACTTTGCGCTGCACCGACCATACTACGGATCATGTATTTCTGAAATCCGTTTTTGGGATATTCTGCTTCAAGAAATTTATTCCTTGCAGAACAGTGCGTGCAATATGCAACTTCTAACCTCCAAGCGAGGTGCGAAGAGATTAGCAGGGATTGCGATATCACGACTTACTGGGTTATATCAGAGAATGAAACCGGGGTAGGCCCATCCGTGCCTTTAGTATATTTTATATTGCAAATTATGCATCGGGTCTAACCGATTAGAAACAAAATGAATTCAAAACATTCTCATGCAGCAATAAAAGAGGCCATTTAGCCACTATACGCACAATTGAAAGGGCATTGGAAATCCACTCTACAGGAAGTTAAGAAAGACGCGAGAAAAAGACCAAAGCCATCTTGGCGACTCGGGGCACAGGAAGGTTATGAGTCTCCACATAGCTGCCGGCAGAGCCTGTAGGAGTGTAGGAAGCATTCATTGCGTTTCGGTTCCGGCATATGTCTTCGTGACACCATATTTGATAAAGAAGCCAAAACGATACCTAGTTGTTGACAAGCAGCATAGTGTAAGGTCAGAAGACCTTGGATAGCTTTGGGTGAAATCTATCATGAAGTGACAAGCACTGTTTTCAGCGCCATTTAGTGCTTTGCTGAAACCAAGAGTAACATACCCCTAAGCAGCCGAAGATAGCCCCTGCTGTAGCAATCGAAGCAATCGAAGCAATTCATCCTTTGGTCTTAGCATACTCATACTCTGTCTTGAGTATGAAGACCAAAGTCCCTCATGGACTTTGTTTGCACTAATGCCGACGCGATATCACCTGGGGTGTTGTCAGTCTCTAATAAACCCAGAAAATGGGCCATTACTTTCCTTACCCTCATCGAACCCTTGAGAAAACCTAGAAAAGGCAAAGTTGATAGTGCATATAAGCACATATCAATTGAAAATGCCCTTAGAGGCATCTCGGATGGCTTGTCTTATGCTTATCTCAGATTTATAGTTAAGAAGTTTACCGAGATAATTCACGTTAAGAAACACCCAAGGCTGCCTTTTCATACTTCTCAATTACACAGCCAAGAGCCCAATAACCGAGGTAAACCTGCCGTTTCTGCTACTAATTGATGCAGATCATGAAGTGAGGATCTGGAAGGGACTTCGGACATTTCCCGCTTTGTACTCCAACACATTGAAGGTATAGAATAACTATTGAGAGTTCTCTATCTCTAAGCAGTAAGAACCAGCTATGATTTGCCCGTCTCTACTAATTGGATCTCCTGTGATGAACGTCTACTCAGTTCTTTTAGTCATCTAGGCTGAGATCTTGAATCGAATTTCGACATCAATGCGATGTGGTGGACAGCCTACAGATTGGTGTAGCGGATCTGCACTTCCCGCCATAGATATTTTCTTGCAGGGTCCTGTCTACAGCAGCGGCGATCTGTATTTGACCGACATCCCATATGGGCGCATTCTCAAGAGGCCGTGGATGCCGGCTATTTTGGCCATCATGGCGATTTCGTTGCCGACCATGTCTTTTATGGACATGAGGGGGGTTGTCTCGCCATTTAGGATTCGGGTCCAGAATGGGTTCGAGATGGGGTGGGTTGGTTCGAGATGGAGCCCATGGCGCAATCTTAGGTGGTTTGCAGTTACGATGGATTGAGTTAACAAGGAGAAGTATTGTGTTGTCTCACGTTGCTTTTGTGGGTATGTCAATTTGGTCTATCATCATCCAGCGCTCTATTTATGTGCTTAGCTGTGATATGCTGCGGCGGATCTCCGATGCTGACGGCGGATGTTCGTCAAAGTGGGTATTTCAATGAGGAGTCCAGATGGGCTTCATACGTTGTTCTGACAAGACTAATCCGTAGAAGGATCCAAGTAAGCACCGGGAGAGTCTTTTCCCATGCTGAACCCCTGAGAACGATGAAGTTGAGGCAATTACTCTTCGTCCAGTATTACGTTTTGCCTCGGTCTATTGCACTTTTTAGGGCTATTATCGTGACAACGACGATGATAAGTCCATCCAAATCATAATACTAAGATCGATTGTAAATTATTGTCAACGGGGTATCTTTTGTTCTCATGGAATGTACATAGGCTTCATGCCCTTCATGCCCAGCCTGCTAGCGTCCAACTCGACCGATCACCACCAGATCTCAGGCCAGATCGGCGATCAGGAACAGGGTGGTCAGTATCTCGTGTGGCTCCAGCCAATCCATGTTGGAGGAACTTCTCTCGTTCTATCTCCACCATTCCCCGGATTTTGAGACTAGTCGCTAAGCTTGCACCAGCCCAAGGACCAAGGGACTCAATCTCGCGGAGCACTCCTTGAACAGGCACTGGGATCTCTTTGTTCAGTCGACGTAGCTTTTGTTCCACAAAGTCGATCTCAGGCACTTCCTTCGAGGGATCAACTATATCGCCATCGGTGGATGACGCCTCTCCATTGGTTTCGGGTTTTTGGGTGTCATCAGGGGGCTTTGGGGCCGAAAGCTTCAGCTGCTCCAACCTCTGCCGCTGTCGTTCGAGGGCTTTTCCTCGAATAGGACTCCATCCATGACGGTCGATCAAACCTGAGACTTCTTTGAGGATGCGGTGTCTTAGGCCTGGGATTCGAGAGCCACCACCCACAAATACAATGCGAGACATGCAAGTTCCCCGGGCATCAGGAGGAAGAGCGAGAAGGGTATTATAGACAAGCAGAGGCAGTGATTTTTCCTCGTCGTCCAATTCATGCTCTGAGATACCCGGCGCAAACATCACCTTCTCGGTGGGCTCAGAGAGACGTGAGAACGGCACATCCATGTACTCCTGCTCCGGGTTTGCAGGTGAAGGAATGGCTAATGTCTTGCTGGCCTCGTTAAAAGCTTCGTGGTCCTCTGTCTTGCACCAGGCAAACCTACTGACAACTTCTTCGCAATACGCAAATCCGACTGAAATCTCGTGGGGGGTCTCCGTATCGTGGCCAGCATTGGAAGCCAATCCAGTAAGGAGTCGTCCCGTTTCCTGCATCAAAGTTTTCATAGACCGTGTCGTCCTCTTCGTAGCCATTTCTCGATATTCATAAATTGCCGTTGCCGTGGTCTCAGCCCAGCCGATATCAACCACCAAAGCTGACCGCAATCCTGCGGCTGTGGCTGACATGGTTGCGCTGGATAAAAGCGTCACGCTCGGGAAGCGCCAACGACTAAATAGAGTCGATAGCAATGATGACAACAGTAGATGTGGCATGAGAGATGGTAGCACAAGTACCAGTCGAGAGGTGCCAGCATCTGTCAACAAATATTGGTTGTATGTCTCTCGAAAAGAGCGCTCTATCTTGTCCTCGACTAAGCCCAGATCAACTTCTCTTGAATCTGGCCGCCAAAGTTCATACGCTCGCACCCAATCCTCCGCGTTGACAGGCTGCGGGAGTCGTGCAGCACCTATGCTGCCTTGTATCCATCCCCGGTAGTCGCCCGCTCTCCTTGATTCTTCGGGTCCAAATCCAACCACGCATACGGGCGCGCTGCTTCCTTCGAAGCCTGCGCGTAGCCATCGCGCGCCTATCTCAAATATTATCGCATCATCCTCACTTCGAAATGATGGGCTGGGAGATGTGTTGCTGGCGAATGATGTGCTTCCCGATCGTGTCGGTTGCTGTGGTGTGTGGGGTAAGGCAGGTCGTGCTGTCTGATTATGCCGCGGGCTGGAGGTCGCAGAGGTACGTTTACTGGCACTCATTGAAGCGGTCTCGTTTGTCATGGTGCTTGAAAGAGCTCGGGGGTGTTGCTCTCTTTTCTCGGATCAACAGAAACGACGAGGGTTCGTAGCGAAAAAGATTTTATCTACCGACACGTGGGTTGGAACTTCGGCGCCATTAGATTGATGAAACAGAAAATGAGGGTATCAGAACATCATAAATCCAGATATATGAGCTTCATGGATGAGACTGGAAGCTTAACTGGGCCGTTGGTAGACAACGGATCTACATCGGGCCGTCTTTATTTACTTCACATCAACAAACCTCCACTCTTAACAAAAGCAACCACCCCGTCGCTAAAAACGTATGGGTGGGCGCAACGGTTCATTTTTAATTTTTTGGGTTGATTAATATTGAGGCCGGCATCATGGGTATTCCAGGGTGAGTGTGATCTCTCGGTGGTGTGTCTCAACAGCAATATATATATCCCTGCGGATCGTGACGCTTTGTGTTGATCTAGCCGCGCACGAGAACCTGCGGCTCAATTCTCCGAGTTTGGAACACGATCACTAATAGTGAAACTAGACTCATCAATGCCATTGGCCCAGGAGAGCGTATCTCTCTCGCCAAGTTGGCTGTAACGCATCTGGAGCGGACAGCAAGACCGATGCGCATTGCTGTCGACATTTCCATTTGGCTGTTCCAGGTCCAAGCGGGCCGGGGTGGAAGGAATCCAGAATTGCGCACTCTATTTTATCGCCTGTTGAAATTACTTGCATTGCCTGTGCATCCTCTTTTTGTTTACGACGGACCACAAAAGCCCTCATTCAAAAGGGGCAAAACAATATCAGCACGTAGCTACGGGAGTGCACCAATTATCAGGCGATCCAAGGATCTCATCGAGCGATTCAAATTCCCATGGCACCAAGCGCCAGGCGAGGCAGAAGCCGAATGCGCACGGCTGCAGCAGGCTGGCATTGTAGATGCTGTCATGAGCAACGATGTCGATGCCTTGATGTTCGGGTCATCCATGACGATCATGAATTTTTCCAAAGAGAGTGGAAGCGGGACCTCATCTGCAACTCATGTCACCTGTTACGCGATGGGACAAGACGGACACCCTTCAAACATACCCCTTGACCGGCCAGGGATGATTCTGTTTGCTATGCTTAGTGGAGGAGACTATCTACCATCCGGCGTTGAAGGATGCGGTAGTAAGCTCGCCGCCCAAATCGCCAAAGCTGGATTTGGCGAAGATCTCCTACAAAAGCTAGCATCGCCCTCAGAAAGGAAGACACATTTGGGTGAATGGAGAGCACGACTCCAATGTGAATTGGATGAGAACACGAGTGGCTACTTTGTGAGCAAGCGCCCGTCTGTCAAAATTCCAGAGGCATTCCCCGATCAAATAATACTCGAGTACTACACTCAGCCGAAGGTTTCCAGTGATGACGAAATGGAATTTCTGAGAATTCGTCTAAGACAAGCTTGGGATCAAGACATTGATCCCCTAGCCATCCGTACGTTTGCTGCAGATCACTTTGAGTGGAACTATCGGACTGGGGCAAGAAAAGTGATCAAGCTATTGGCTGAACCCCTTGTCTCGTACAGACTACGCCTCCAGAGACCAGTTGCAGGTGTCTCTCCTGGCTTTTCGTTTGTGCCCGATTGCCCACCTAGCATGCAAAAGGTATACAAAAACCGCTCGAGTTTCGGTACGGATGCAACGCCAGAACTTCAGCTCGACATGCTACCCGCAGATGTTGTTGGATTGGATCTTCTTGCTGAGGAACCACCCCCACCACTTCCAACCCCGGAAAGTGTGGCATCTCAAAACAGTGTGCACGAAGACGCGGAAGATGACGACTTAGAATTAGCTGCTGAAACGGCTCCTTTGACGCCATCGAAGCCGCGGGTAACTAAACGATTCGATCCGTTTTCGTTAGAGAAGGTCTGGGTCTTTGAGACTGTCGCAAGACTTGGAGTTCCGAATCTTGTGAATAAGTGGGAGAAAGACCAAGCCGAGAAAGCCGAGAAAGCAAGGGAAGCTGCGGCCAAGAAGAAGACGAGCACTCGGCGCGCGGCTCCCAAGAAGAAGGGGCCAATTGACGCCGGAATGAAACGCGGGAGTATCTTGAAATATGGAACTCTCACCAAAGAAAGATCCGAGTTGTCAACGTCCAAGCAGGCACACTTGCTAGAGGCTACTACTTCGGGGACCTCAAGAAAGAATCCACTTGCCAGGCCTGGTGTTGAGTCTGCTTCTTCCTCGCCAATATGTCTCGACCAAGAAGATGATCCCTTCTCGCCAAGTACGTACAGCCAGCATGGTGCCTCCCCGACAATGCGATACGTCTCCCAGCAAGTGGATGATCTTCTTGAGAGCTTTAACTCGATGTGCAATTTATCCACTTCTTCAAACACCAAACGCCACCATATCACAGAGCAATCTCAGCTCAAATCTAGGCGCGCGGCCGTGGGAAATGGTGGAATAGACATCGAGGAATTAGAGATCCTAAGTGTGGATATCAATGATTCACCAACTCGGCCAAGAAGGCATAAGGGGCTGAAAATAAGCTACTCAAGCTCAGAAATGTCGTTCAATGAGCATTCTGACATGGAACTACTCGCTCTCCCTTCTCTGACCAAAAAGACTCGTGCCAAGCCAACTAAAGCCGTCAAGGCACAGTTTGAGGAAAGGGACAACGAAGTACAGAAGATTGAAAAAGCGATTGACTCCCTTTCTTTGTCACAGAAATATGACCACAGCCATGACGAGACAACTCCCCCCAAGAGATTGAGTCAGAGTTCGCCGAAAAAGGCAGTGCAAGCAAAAAAACCACGCACTCGTTCCTCGAAGACTGAGATAGCTGAGCCATCTACATCTTCCAGAAAATCGAAGTTCAACCCCTCTCAAACATCAAGTTCAATCGATCCAACGCCCCAAAAAGAATATGCATTTGATGAGCACGCAGAGCCGTCGGGCATCAAAACCTGCAAGAATAATGACAAGCAGCAAGTGATCAAGTCTATCAAGTCTACAAAACAATACACAAAACAGACAGCAGCCTCGAATCCTAAGTATGAAACTAAAGGGCACCTGGAGAACATCACATTACACGACGGTTTCTGGTCGATTGACCCATCACCGCCTGCACAAGACTCACATGGGGATACGACCAGGACCAATGACCAAAGCATAGCGCGCAGACATGCCCAAGGTGGCAAGAAAAAGCGAATCTCGCGTGTCAGCATTATTGATCTTGTTTAATCTCATTCACATACCCTCATTTTGGATTAGCGGATTAAAACGGCGTTTGGCATGATCTGAATCCTTTTCCGGAGCCTGGAGTTTTTGAATATTGAACTTGTGCAAAGCATCATCAGGCGTTACCTAGGTACCATAGGCATTGCACAAATCAATACTTACTGCTATTTTCTACACAAATTAGAGAAATAGTTGTTCCATGAACCATTGAATTTAAAGGAACTATGTAGTCTTGTCTATGGGATAAACCCCCAATCCACACAAATGCGTAAGGTATAAAGAAAAGCCAAATCCAGAAGTTGAGCACAAAGTACACATTGAGGAGTATCAATTGGAGAAAAAGTAGAAGATGTCATGGACAGAGGCACACACACCCAATAGACCCTATCTATAACAGAATCCCAATCATGACTTGATGCAATCCCCGAAAGTAACAAAAATAAGAAGAGAAATGTCCAAAAGATTAAGTGCAATCCACCTGAATAAAGTATAGAAAAAAGAATCAAAGAGTAACATGACAAATAGTATGCATGCTGTGCCACAAAATCAAAGATATATCGTTTACCCATCTATCCAAAGACCTTGAGGAAACCCCAAAGTCCAACTCCACTCAAAACAGGGATGGTCAGGTTATCATCCCAGCTGAACAAATCAATGAACTCGCTACCGGCAGCAACAACACCAGAAACGAAGCTCATGACGCCAAGAGCCAAGGGACCAGTAATAACAGCCGAGTCGCTGGCTTCCCAGCCCAAAAGACCGCGAAGGCAGTTCGGGAGCAGGTTCAAGCGGCCCGTGAACATGAATGCATCCTCCGGGTCATTGGGGAAGGCACCAATATAAGGCACAAACCAGCCCCAGAATGCTGCGGCGGTAATAACGCCCACGAACCAGGCTGCCAAAGTGCCAGCCAGACTCTTGCCCGGCCGCAGGCGGGGGGTATAGCGACCATACAAGCGGCCGAATGTGGAGGCGGCGGTGTCACACCAGCTAAGGAGTAGTACGCTCATTACGCCGACATCCTTGGGGAAGAAGCGTAGAGCCACATACGCTCCGAGCAGATACCAGATCACGCCGTTGTAGCCGCTGACCTCTGTTTCGCGCATGAGGGCGCCCATGCATCGGATGTATATCTTGTTGAGCTTCTCGGAGCGGTGACGGATTAGATCTGTGGCTGCTATGGGCACTAATGCGGTGAAGAGTACTGGTGTGATCTGCAGCGTTTGGATGCCTCGGGTGTACAGAGATAAGGTGAGGAAGCCGATTGACACGTGTAAGACCTTGCGGGGGATTTCATGGCGGTGAATGAAGCTGCGGTAGCGGGAATGGAGGGGGATGAGTCCGAGGGGCGAGGGTGATCTTGACAAGTCGCGCAGAGCGTCCGGGATGCTTAACGGCGATAGGTAGTCCTTTGAGGCAGTGCCGTTGGGCGAGTGCGGTGGTGAGGCGGGTATCATTGGGTTCGACCGGCGATTACGCGCGGAGGGTGCGGGTGTGGTGGGAGACCTTGATTCTCGCTCTGACCCAGAGCCTACCCCTGTAGATTGTGGTTGACGCTGTCGGCGCGCTGCTGACCGTGTTACTGGTGCGAGATATCCATCAGGCGTCTCTGACAGGTCAGAAACAGAGGGTGTCGGGGAGATCACACGAGGGGTCGCCGGTATGGCATTCGACGAGGGCATGTCTGCCGCTCTCAAAGAAAACGAAGGGAGGGATGCGACTCGAATGACACCTGACAGTGATCGTATACGGCTGTCTGCGCTGTCACAGGCAAGTATCCCACAAAGTATCAACGGACTTGCGAACGAAGCAATGATGGGCGATTGTTATGAGCACGGCACGGTGCCTTGTCGACAATTAAGGGTGGAAAAGCTGGAAGAACGAGGCAAGCGCCCAGTGCATGATGAGGCACTCTTTATATTAAACAAAAGTATACAGCAACGCCGAGTTGGATGGGGAGAAGATCGTGTTTCCGCCCAAAGCCGCAATCACGTGCTAGGTGCCTATCTAATCGATAACGGTTTTTTTTTTCTCGTCTGCGATGACGGCTCGTGCAATTCAATAACTTCCGAGTATCTGACGATAAAATGCCTCCTAAATCGTCTTCGCGGGCGTGGGATGCCCTTACTCCCCCGCTCTCCAAATGGACCCTTGACGCTGTGAGCTCAATGGGCTTCACGCGCATGACCCCAGTCCAAGCCTCGGCCATCCCTCTGTTTATGCAGCACAAGGATGTGGTGGTGGAAGCTGTTACCGGAAGTGGAAAGACATTGTCGTTTTTGATCCCAATTGTTGAAAAGCTGCTTCGCCTTGATGAGCCCCTCAAGAAGCACCATGTTGGAGCAATCATTATTTCTCCCACTAGGTGAGTAATAGGCAAATACAGGTCCTCGGAGCTTGTTGCTAATGGTGAATGCTCAGGGAATTGGCCTCGCAAATCCATCAAGTCCTTCTTTCCCTCTTGGAATTCCACCCCGACTCAGCAGCAGCCATCAAGCCCGCCGAAGAGGGTGCTCCTCGTCAGAAATCTTCGACAATGAAAGTCGTCCCGCAGCTTCTGTTGGGCGGTGGAACATCGCCCGCGGAGGATCTGAAATTGTTCCTCAAGAATTCGCCAAACGTGCTTGTTGGTACTCCTGGAAGATTGCTAGAGCTTCTTTCGTCACCTCATGTCCACTGCCCCCAGTCAACCTTCGAGATGCTTGTGCTGGATGAGGCCGACCGACTGTTGGATCTTGGATTCAAGGAAGATCTACAGAAGATCTTGCGCCGTCTGCCCAAGCAGCGCAGAACGGGATTGTTCAGTGCTAGTATCAGCGAGGCTGTTGATCAGATCGTTCGTCTTGGTCTACGAAACCCCGTCAAAATTGCTGTCAAAGTCAAGGGAGCTGGTGTCGAAGAAAAGCGCACTCCAGCAAGTCTGCAGATGACTTATCTGACCACACCTCCGCTCCACAAATATGCCATTTTAAAGCACATTCTTTCTTCGGTTCAGCCTACGCCCCAAAAAACGATATTCTTCGTGTCGACATGCTCCAGTGTTGACTACCTCGCCACAATACTACCTATAATATTAGGAAATGACTTCGTGTTGGTACCACTCCACGGAAAGCATCAAGCCAATGTCCGCCAAAAGAACTTCACTAAGTTCACCACCTCCACTACCCCTTCCATCCTCCTTACTACCGATGTCGCCGCTCGCGGTCTAGACATTCCCTCCGTCGACCTGGTGGTACAGATCGACCCACCCTCAGACCCCAAAACTTTCATTCACAGGTGCGGTCGTGCCGGCCGTGCAGGCCGCAGGGGTCTCAGTATCGTCCTCATCCAACCTGGCCGCGAGGAAGACTACGTCTCATTTTTGGAAATCCGCAAAACTCCCGTCGCACCATTCCACCTTACCGAGCTCTCCGACGAAGAGGCTATGGCCTCCATAGACAAGGTCCGCCGGGCTGTGATGAAAGACCGCGCCATGCACGACAAGGGCCAGAAGGCATTTGTCAGCTGGCTGCGCAGCTACAGTAAGCACCAGGCAAGCAGCATCTTCCGAGTCCAGGATCTGGACTGGGAAGCTCTGGGCAAGGCATGGGGTCTCCTCAAGCTGCCCAAGATGCCCGAGGCGCGTTCATTCGAGGGCGATAAGACATTGGGCATCAAGATGGATTGGCCGAACTATACGTACAAGGATAAGCAGCAAGAAAAGCGGCGCAAGGAGGCTATGGCCGAGGCTGCCAACGGCATGGGTGCCGAGCAGGGGACCAAACGTCGGGCTACGGAAAGTGTGGCTTGGAGTCAGAAGACCGAGGACCGAGAGCAAAGGCTCAAGAAGAAGGAGTTCAAGAAGGCTCGTAAGGAGAAGGACCGATGGGACAGTCTGCCGGAGGACCAAAAGCAGAAGGCTCTGGAGACTGAGCGCATGCTGGAGGAGGTTCGTGCAAAGAATGAAGAGCAGCGGTTGTTAAGACTGGCTGCCAAGGCGGAGGAGGCTGCAGGTGGTGTGAAGGGTGATGAGTTCAAGGGCTTTGATTAAGCCCGCTCTGACGATTGTTGATTATATATGTTCATATTGATACCATGTTATTAGAGGGATCTCCGGCTTATCGTTACCCTCCAGGAGGAAACGATCATATGCATGTAGATCGAAACCATCCTTTTCCTTTGAACTTCTCACGAGTGACCTGACCGTTGACCGCTACTCTGGTGTCAGAACACACACACACACACACACACTCTCTCTCTCTCTCTCTACAAGAACATATGGATAATCAAAATGCACAACTTGGAAATACTCCATTGATTCATCAAATCGATCATTGTCCTGTCTTGTTGAGAGGGGAATCCTACGTTCCGTGGTCTTTGCTCTTGTGTATTATATCTCGCCGGGATCGACAAAGACCCAGTAATGGGACAGATATTCCTTTCTGTTGGCTTGACATAATAAACGAGTCTGTAAAATAACCGGCAACTGTTGAGCATCGATTGCATTTCATTCAGAATGCGCCGAGTAAATTTCATGCCAGAGGAAATTCCGCCATGCGCAATGATTATTCTGATGCGCCTGCTATTGCAAAGGTGCCACACCATGCCTTAGGCGCTCGCATTTCTTATAGAATACGAAGGATACAAATTCTCTCTCTGTCCCTTTCTATTTCACATTTCATTGTACGAGCATCTCCGACGGTCAATATGGTCTTTCTATGCTGGAATCAATCACCGTAGACTACAAAGATATTCCGGAGCTGATTGCTTCCTCTAGTTCGTAAGTATGAACTAGCACGAGGCTTAGACCTCGTAAGTGTGAGGTCACAGCCTTATACAATCCCACAGTAGTATTTAACACAGTTTAGGGGCTTGAGCTACACTGTCGTCCACCACTTAGATATGAAGAGATCAATAGAACGGACGGTCGCGTTAACGACGCTAGTCCTTTTTTGATGGGAAAATGGGAGCGTGTGTGTTCTCAACTTTATATTAGCGATGTATCCAAGGATGCCGGCGATAGACTACTTGAAACGAGTCCTTTCTTTTCTCCAATCCGTGCTATGTCTGAGTCTGAAGATGATAGAACCCAATTATAGTCCAGAGCCAGAAAAAAAAAAGAAAAGAAAAAGAAAGTGCATCATCCGTGAATCGAACACGGGCCTCGTCGATGGCAACGACGAATTCTACCACTAGACCAATGATGCTAGTTGATGTAATGGGTGGCTTAGTTAAGCACCACGAGGCTGATAGTATTCCTCCGAGGCTATTCCTTCACAACATGATCAATAATTCCCTCAAATGAAGCTTTCACCACCCGCCGGGCGCTAGGACAGCATGTAAAACCTTGCAAGGCGCATAAATTGTGCACAGCCCAAACGCTATAATGCTCGGTTCGGTGTCTGCACTGCCACCTGGGTCCTAGCTTTGGGACCAAGTAGGGCCAAGAGGCCAAGTCTATAGTTGTTGGGGGCCAAAGGTCGTATCGTCAGACAAGACTGAGTTTTCTGGTTCTCATAACGAACCATTATCCATTGTTGCCCCCCAAGGTTGAATGGTGGTACGTTGGCGTATTCGCTTTCGTGATGACAGCTCATGTGGTACGCCCGAACTTGGCTAGGATCTCGGAATCTACCTCCACTGACGCCCTGGTGGAGACATGGAAGACGTCTAGAAAGGATACAATAATAATGACCATGTTTAGGCATACCAGATCGAGAATGTACGATACTGTGTGGGAATGTGAATGGAAGTTTTTTCTTTTATTATGCACACTTGTTCTTGGAAAACCTTCATATATACTCATTAATCAATTACATAGCTACATATGTATGCAGTATATGCTATTTGAGGCTGTAAGGTAGATCACAGGATAGCTTTGACACATATCCCACGCAAAGAGTCATGACGATCCATTCGGCTACCCGGCAATTACAATATTGCACGTATAGGGACTATTGCGCCCGGAAACAGACTCAGCCCTTGAGGCTTAGAAAATGAAATAACGATCCATCGAAATACAATGAGTATCCAATGAACATCCAACACTACTTACAGCTGATGTAAACGAAAATGAAAGTAGTGGACTCCAAGTGCGGAGAAGGTGCAGCTCTCGCTCTTGTTTACTTCGAATTATATATAAACCCTTGTCAACCCCCCTTCCTATCCCTTAATCCACTCAAATCTCCAACTTGAACGCTTTTCTTCAAACTTCCAAATTAATTACAATGTCCACAAACGGTGCAAGCACCAGCAAGGCCCGCGAGGAGCCTGTAGTCGATCGGAATGATCGTCAACAATACCTGATCAATGTTCAACCCGCCCGCCCCAATGAACTGCAGCCTAAGTACGCGCAACGCATTCAACACGATGATGACAACCCTGATGCGCACGGCTGGTATGCCGGTTTAAGTAAGTTGCACAAATCTGATTATGCATGAGTTTCATCCTAATACCATCTAGTTCACGGTCTGGGTGAATGCATCGGTTTCTTTGGAGCTATCCCCTGCTGCTTCTGTTGTCCCAACCCCTTCAAGCCTGTCGAACAGGGTGCAGTCGGTCTGATTTCACGATTTGGACGGTTAGTCCTCTCCAGCCCCTGATACTGAAGTCGCATATCACTAACAAGGTCCTCATAGTTTCGAGCGATCGGTCGATCCCGGTCTGGTCAAAATCAACCCGCTCAGCGAGCACATCATTACGGTCGATGTCAAGATTCAGATTGTCGAGGTACCTCGCCAGGTGTGCATGACCAAGGACAATGTCACTCTCAACCTCACGTCAGTCATCTACTACGAAGTGGTCTCTCCCCACAAGGCTGCTTTCGGTATCTCCAACGTACGCCAAGCCCTTATCGAGCGCACCCAAACCACACTCCGCCATGTGATCGGAGCCCGCGTCCTCCAGGACGTCATCGAGCGCCGTGAGGAGATCGCCCAGTCAACATCTGAGATCATCGAGGAGGTAGCCTCCGGCTGGGGTGTCAAGGTGGAGTCGATGCTCATCAAAGACATCATTTTCAGCAATGACCTGCAAGACTCGCTCTCCATGGCTGCGCAGTCCAAGCGTATCGGTGAGAGCAAGGTTATTGCGGCGCGCGCGGAGGTCGAGTCTGCCAAATTGATGCGCCAGGCTGCGGATATCCTGTCCTCGGCTCCGGCTATGCAGATCCGGTACCTGGAGGCGATGCAGGCCATGGCCAAGTCTGCTAACAGCAAGGTTATCTTCTTGCCTGCCATGAACCAGACCGTGCAATCGCAGCTCAATGTTGCTGACAATGCCGGTGAAGGGCCTAGCAACTACGGCGCCACGTCTCAGGTGGATGATGGATTCCAGCGTGCGATGAACGCCCGCGTTGTCGAGGACATCTAGATGTGCTGATGTTTTGGCGGATTGCTCACCCTTTATTTAATTGGTCAATGTTCCTCACGAAGTATGCCTCTGTTTGTGATTTATCTTGCTTTTCGCTCCGAAGTGGACATTGTGAGAAGGTTCTCTGGTCTGCATATTCGGGGCTTTACATGTACTTCTGTATTATGGTTGGACGCGATTGGACCAATGACGATACCCACCTTCGTTTGCTGCTAATGTGGCAGTTTAATGTCTTTGCTATTTGCTTCGAGATCTAATCACGAGGCTAGCTTAATATCAATGCAATTGCTGTGTATTATCTTTTCCAATCAACAACCATAGCCCACGGAAGGCTTCCGCCTATATTATAGACGCGGAAACTATTGAAAGATAACCCAACTCTACTCTACCCTTGCCACCTCTCATAGATACACAACGATGTGAACCTTGTCAATGCGGGAGGCATACCAATGGGAAACTCAAAACTTACGGTAACAAAACAAATGCTCACAGTACTGGTAGTGCGTTGACCGTAGTTAATAGGGGATCGCTGGTTGGAAGGGCATCGGGATCATCCTCGGCTGGGGTGATGTCGGTGGTCAACTCAAGGCCAAACATCGTGGGTGGAGTCAAGCCAGAAGAGAGGCTTCTCAGCCATACTGTAAGGACGTCTCATTCTCGTGTATAAGTGCGTAACGGACATGTTTACTAGGGGCGGTAGAGCCCGGCTGGATCTTCATCAGGAAGCGCACGTGGCGTGACTGCAGGATTTGCGTCATTGGCGCTAGCTGCTGAAATAGATGGCTCGATTGTTCAGCCTACTAACAGAGCGCCTCTCTATGCACTCAAAGCAACGATCGGGCTCATCCCAACGGAGGAAACGGCCCCATGAAGCTCACTTACTGACAGTATCGGCAGGATGGCTCGATCGCCGCCGATCTGGCTGCGCTCATGAGTACTTCACTAATAACACTGAATTTTCTAGTTCCCTTACTGGTTCTTGGGAAGGACAGCGTATTGGATTTGTGAAGACGACATTCTGGAGTTTTGTTCCCTCCATCTGCGATCTAGAGCTTGCCCTATCAAGCAGCAGCGGAAAGGGCTTAAATAAGATGGTGCCAAAGCCATCTCTCAAGGTGGTGGCACTGTCGAGCAGCCCTAGATCGTGATTGTAGATCACGACAGAGAAAGCATGGGATGTGTACTTGAAGGGCTACGAAGGCACTAAAATCCATTCCATTCATACATATGTACCCATAATCGGGGAATTTGTGAGGCTGTGTGGTTGTTCAAAGGTGCTATTATCGGTGATCTAAGAGTCTAAACGAGGCTATTCAAAATTATGACCATCGGTATAATTCTGACCTAGCCAATAAGAATATGCGATCATTACCCCTATTTCTGGCAATTTATATGGGGTTGAATATGACCAATGGAGGAAGAGTGGACCGTATTGGCGGATTTTACCCGACTTTGCGGATCTACATTGTTTTGAATGATTTTATTGTTTTTTTATAATATGTCTATTAGACCGAGAGATCTTGGGCTTCTAGTATTTACAATCGATTAGGCCATTAAGCATGAATCAAGACCAATAAAGAAGAATGCTAAATTTGGCTAGGGTTTAGGGGGCAGTGTACAGCGCACGGTGAGGCTTCGCGATTACTAGAAGGAAAAAATCAAGAATAAGCACTAACAACAACAGTGGGGGCTGGAAATTACTCGCGCTATAACTACTCCGTAGGTCAAAAACAAGTCCTTTTCCGTTTGGGGGCCAAAACGCATCTTCAACCCTGCTTCACCCATTGTACAGCGTATAGTGTCGACTGAGCAGGTATCTGCAAGCATGACATCCACTACGCCGACTCTGGTCGCGAGGGCGACGACTGATGCGACGGATACCATCACCACCCTGGCTATGTCCAGTCGCTTCACGCCACCCGCTTCATGTTCGAGCTCGTGGACCTACGAGCCATCAGGAGCAAACGGAATCGCAAATGGTCTGCTACTACAAAATGCCGTTGCTAGCGACAATGCCGATCCTGCATGTTTCCCGTCTGGATACAGCCAATATGAGAGAGTTGAGCCATCTATCGTATATAGCCCGGGCTATTGCCCAGTTGGTTACACCTCAGCCGATCTAGTCATTCGTGACCCAATTACCACTGCTATCTGCTGCCTTTCGTATGTAATAACCCAAAAACCAAACAAAAGACCCGTCAACTGACACCGATGTCGCAGAAACTTCGATTATTTAACCATACTCACGAACGGGGGCAAAACATACGCCGGATGCACAAGCATGCTCCCAAAAACAAGTTCGACCATCGTTACGGTTCGCCAAGTCACCGGTGAAAGCACACAAGTCTCTGGTCCGATCACCATGTGGGCGCAACCAATCCAAGTACAGCTCCAAGCATCAGACTCGAGCCTGTTCGTCTCCGCAACTACAACATCAGGATCAGCAGGCGCGACACGCTCGTCCACGCAATCTGGAACAACTAGTACATCAAGCTCAGGATCGGGCGCCGCATCATCGGGCGCCACATCGGACGCAAAATCAAGCGGGTTGTCAACAGGAGCAAGCATCGGCATCGGGGTGGGTGTCGGCTGCGCAGCGCTCATTGTAATTGCCGCACTGGCATTTTGGTTGTTCCGCCGGCGTCAGGCAAAGAAAAACCTTGCCGCAAACCCCTCCTACCAATCTGTTCACCCAGAAGCCAGTGAGCTCGGCGGAAGCTCGCAGGCTGCTCCATCACAAACTGCTCCGTCCAGCACAATGGCCAATACGACTGCGTCTGAATTGGAAGGAACAAACGGACCCAAGCCCATCCATGAACTTTATGCATAGTTTGATTTCTGTATATAACTATACCCCTTTCTCGTTCCTGCAACGCTTCTGAATCGCAAGTGCCAATCGGGTCCCTGCCTCTGTACAGCATGGGAACATGTCAGTCCAACTAGGGAGGCTTGGCTGCATGGGATTTTGTCGCGCTCGATTTTGGTTGAAGTCTTAGGAGTTTTCCCCTGCGGTTTTCGGCCCCGGCCCCCAACTCGAAGTATTTATTGCACAGCCGCAGAATTAAAACATTTATAATATAGCTTGTTTACCAATATCTAGGCCCCTCGCCTTTTTGGTTTTATTTTGTCTTTGACCGAAAATATATCGAGACCTGTTGTATAATGCAGTTGGATGTATAGAACGATGAAGAAACCGCCAAATCCAGGGACACAATTCCCCTTCTCTTTCCTTTGCACTTTTATATTCGTCAACCTAGTAACATCTGTCTGCTACTACCCCAGCGGAATCACCGCGCTCAACCCCATCTACCAACCATGTATCTCCATCAGCGGCACGACGAGCATGTGCTGTGCCAGAAATCGCACAAACCCAGCTGGCGGAGATAGTGCGGACGGAACAACCTCGGACGAGTGCCTCGCGAATGGGCTGTGCAGGAACGTACTCAAATACAACACCAGCGACGGGCAATGGTTGACGAATACCACATACTGGCGGAATCAATGCACGAGTGAGGATTGGACTGACAGTGGCTGTTTAAATGTCTGTACCAAGACTAAGGTATGTAGCATGCAGGCTGCTGGAATTTATTTTGGAATGAATATTGTTGATTTGCATGGTTGCATGGCGGATAGCCCGAGTGGAATTGGCTGATTGAAGTTAGACACCAAATGGCGGATCGGACAACACGATCAAGATGACCTCTTGCGACGGAACGGATAACTCAACGACATGGTGTTGTGGAGATAATACTTCATGCTGCAACACGACTTCTGCAATCACGATAGCTCAGAAGCTGGGCGAGCCCACGCCAACATTGTCTTCAGTTTCGAGTTCAAGCTCCACCTCGATCTCAAAGTCAAATTCCACGCTTGTGTCTAGCTCCACCAGTACTTCGACACAATCGACCGGTTCATCTTCTTCACATCTGTCATCCGGTGCCGTGGTCGGGATTTCTGTTGGTAGCGTTTTGGGAGCCATAGTGGTCCTTGCTGTGATTACCGTCTTTCTTATACATCATCGACGAGCGATGGTAAATGGAAATGGGAGTGGGTTGAAACTGTTATCGAAAGGCCCTAGGTCGAATGCTCAACTCCAAGAGCTGGAGGACCGTAGTCGGACTGTTGCACACGAAAAGGCGTCTGGTCCACAAGATATAAGAGCTGAACTGCCAGGCCATTCGGTGCAACCTGGAATTAATTGAAACATTGCACAGAGTGCGAAAAATATATAGGACATGCCTAGAGCATAATGATCATTTATCTCTTTGTTTACTTTGAATATATAGATCTCATACCTAAAGCGGTTAGAGCTACTTCCTAAAAGGGAAACGCGTTATATGGGGAAAACAGAAGGCGGTCGGACGCGGAGATATCGATTTGTCCCCGCGGAGGCCAGCTCTCTCTTGGGATTTTGAAGATATCAACAAGCAGAATAATGACAACACAAATGTCTAGCTCGACACGTCGAGAGGGCTCTAGATCTTCAAACCAGCCCGCATCTCCCAACTTCGCCGACCCCAACTTTGACCCAGCCGACTTTCTCAACGACTCTCTATCACCTTTGACTGTGGCATCATTACAACCTAATGCCTCCCGCACACAAGGATCCGTATCCTTGACGGAGCTCTCCGCACAAGTGCAATCTCTCCTCTCCCAGATCAACGCCCAGAATGTCCGCCTCTCGAGCACATTATCCCAACTCACGGATGAAATTCTTCGAAGCGGTGGAAGGCTAGCCTATGAAGTGGAGGTGCTACGGGGCGAGACAATTAGCCTTTCGGAGACTCTGACCGAGGTCTTGCGCGATGACATAGCCAAGTTTGTCCCAGAGTCATCCCCGGACGAGCGCAAGTCAGAGCAACTAGAGGATGCGCCAAACGAGGATGAGACGGAAACCACAGAAGAAGAGAAGCCACCCGCCAACCCGACCGACCCAGAATACATAACAAACCTCCGTACACTGAACCAAGTGCGATCTCGACTCGAGGATGTGGTACAGATCTTCGGCGACGCAATGGAATGGCCCCTCCCTCCCTCCGAGATCTCCTTTTCTTCGTCATTCATCTCTGTCTCAGGACCGGATCTCGGAGCAGATGGACATGACCGTGAAGAAAAGGGCCAAGAAATGATGAAAAAGCTCCGGACGGAGGTGACAAACCTACTAGACAGCGAAGGTGGAGGAAGCGCCGGGTTGGAAGCTGCTAACCGTCGCGTGGAAGCCCTCCGGGTACTAGCAACAGTCTGGAACAGCTCGGCGGAGGAGAAAGCTCGCAATCGGTTCGTGGATAGTCTCGCGAAGATTGTAGAGGACCGACGCCGCAGTCTGGACCAGGCTGCCGAACAGAACCAGCGCGCCTCGTCCAAGTCTAGGCCTGAAGCTCGTCGGGATAGCGATAGTGGTGCACCAGCCGGTGGGCTCTTCCGGAACTTGCAGCGCCTTCGTGAGGAGATTTACCTGGAGTGAGAGTCGAGGTGTACATATTTGGGTTTGAGATATGAGCTGGTTCTCTGTAGACAGAGCCCAATTGTATATATAGTATTACATTTTTAATCAGTACGGATTTCATATCCACCGGTATCTACAATAGAAAACATTGGAACCCGTAATTAAAAGGTAAGTGGTATGAATATCATGACTATCATGACTGTCATCTTAATGAGGTAACTGTAACGACCCCGGAAGCGGCAGCCCGCACTCCACCTGTACCACTGCGGTTATTTAACGATTGCGTATTTCCCGCGTGGCCTCTCAAATACTTATTTTGTTCCTGATTCATTTCAAAATGTTCCATATTGCTTAACTCTATATTTGAAGAATTAAATTCATGATGGCGTCGGTCGGCGCGCCACTGCCATTTCAAGATGCCAAGGCAACAGCTTCGACGGTGTTGTCGCAGGTCTTCCACCGTCGCCCACGTACACAAAGAACCAAGGCAATTGCGCTATCAGTGATCGCATTACTATGCTTTCTTTTTATGCTCCGCTCTTCTTCAAAGGTAAGCGCTGATCGTTCCTTGCTCCACCACGTACATACCGCGATCGTCAACAGAGCTGACAATCCAACCCAGCGAGCCAACCCTGACTTCTGGACCAAATTTCCCTCTCGTCACCCTTTCCCCGAACGACCCGAAGATGCCAGGGTCATTTTACCTCCCCGAACCGATATCAATGTCAACCATACCCTCCCCCATGATCTGGACAAGCCGAACCCGCGCCTCCACGTCCTGATCCCAGCCTCGCAGGGCTCACGCGGTGTCTGTCGAACAATCACCTCCGCCATGATCCTGGGGTACCCGCCGCCGACATTAATTGGGTATGGGGAAGACTCCCCCGGAGCGACTGAGGCCGAGCGCATGGTGGATCGGATCACTCGCGCGCGCAATTACCTCCGAGACAGCAAGACCGTGCATGACCGGGACTTTGTGCTGATGGTTGATGGCTTGGATACGTATTTCCAGTTACCGCCGCAGGTTCTGGTGGAGCGGTTCCAGAGTATCATACGGGCGAACAACCGGAAACTACGCAAGAAATTTGGGGTTGTGAATGTCGAAGGGCAAAAGCCTGGCGCCCCGTTGGAGAGGATCCAGAAGTACAGCCAGCGGGTTGTTTTTGGCGCAAGCAAGATATGTTTCCCTGGGTTGCTGGACGACCCTGGTTGCGCGAGTGTTCCCGAATCATCACTTCCCCCAGATGTATATGGCTGGAAGACAGACAATTATCCGGATGGCTCCTTTAATCGACCCCGGTGGTTGAACCCGGGAGCGGTGATTGGGCAAGCTGCTGATTTGCGTTTGATCTATGATGAGGTCTTGCGGCAAGTTGGACAGCGCTCGAATAAGGCTGGAGACTACAAGGCTCTGACAGAGATGTACGGGCGACAGGAGGTGATTCGAGAACTGGAGCGACGGCGAACAGTCAGCGTATTCAAAGACTGGATCTACCAGATGGTTGGCATTTCCGATGCCTCGAACATCACCGGGATTAGTCTCCGGCTAGAGACAGGCCATCGCTATGAGTACGGCATTGGCGTCGACTTCGAGTCCCAGCTCTTCTTCAACCAAATTATGTCCCGCAAGGATGTCGAGTGGGTGAATTTCAGCAATATCACCAAGATGTCCATGCTGCAGATGCAACACGGTGTCCCGCGCGAACACCGCCTATTGCTGCCGCAGGACATCGCAGCTCTCCCCAACCCATTCAACCAGTCCCGGTTCGCGAAGGAGTCAACCCTGCGCCCAGTATGGAACGCCACACTGGACAAGCTGCCCAATCCATACGAGCATTCCTGGCACAACGTACCGCTTATGACAAACCCGCACTCCGCCTCTGTGCCCGTGCTGGCCCATTTAAACGGTGACGCCAAGCTTCGCAATACCTGGTGGGAGAATATGTGGTTCTTTCCCTGGGGCCGCGCCCTTCTGCGGAAATACGTGCGCGGCGCACACGGGTTCGATACCGCACAGTCCTCGCTTCTGGGCGGGCAGGATTGGCTGGAGGTGCGTGGGGGTCGTGGAGGGATCTGGACTGATAAGGAGATTTGGGTCACCATGCACGAGGTCTGCAATGGCCAGGAAAGAGATCTCTTTGATGATGGCCTTGGTCTTTGGGCGAAGGAAAACGACGACCCAGACGCTCCGGTGTATAACCAGTATGGCAGTCTCATTGCCGGGAAGGAAGACCCTAATGCAAAGGAGGACAACCTGTGGTTCTAGTGAACTTGGTTACGTTGATTTGCATCGCCAGGGAAGAGGAATCTTGGATTCTAGTTCGATTCTCCTACTACACTACCCGCTTGTTGCCACACCTCATTGGGCCCAAAGCTATTATTTCGGACCTCGATTTGAAGGCTTTCCCCCGGCCAGCTTGAATAAACCCACCATGAAAGGCCGGAAATTTCATGGATAGAAGAAGTGGCATGTATGATTATGCCAAAGCGCTGACTTTTCCCATTTTGCTATTTTGCATGAAAGATAGCTGTGCATTATTGAGATTGAGATTGGCTTGCATTCTGCAGCGATGCAATGCATCACATATCACTCGACTGGCGTTTTTGGATATGGATATTTTTGGACTGTTTGATACCACCAAGCTAGACGCAACCTCAAAAGAAGCTGGTCTTTTGCCGAGACCTACGTATATTGGAATAGAATGAACAACTTGCACAATTTCTGCATCTGCAATACCCACTCAATTTCAACTCAACGACTACTGCAAAACTCCTTTCTGGCTATGGGTATAACTAGAACAGATGTTATGAACAGGGTGGTATTGTATTTTCATCATCTATTGAGGTATACTGAGTCCCTTGAACTCAGCAGTAATGTTTGCGATTGCCTTCTCGACAGGAAGTCTCTCCATGGAGCTTGCACCATAGAAGCCATGCAAGCCACGAACCCTCTCAAACATGAACTTGGCATCAGCTGGCGCAGCAATTGGACCGCCATGGCAGAGAACAATAATCTCCGGATTAATCTTCACAGCCGTATCCCTGATAGCCTGGACCTCTTCGACACACTGCTCAAGCGACTTCCCAGTCTTCGCACCGATAGTACCGGAAGTCGTCAAGCCCATATGAGCAACGAGAATATCAGCCCCAGCATTCGTCATAGCAACCGCATCCTCAACATTAAAAACGTAGGGCGTAGTCAAAAGCCCCAGCCGCGCCGCCTCTCGAATCATGTCAACCTCCTTCGCGAACCCCATCCCCGTCTCTTCAAGATTCGCCCGGAAAACACCATCAATCAACCCGACAGTTGGGAAATTCTGCACACCCGCAAAGCCTAACTCCTGGAGCTGTTTGAGGAACCGCGGCATCAGTCTGAAAGGGTCTGTGCCGCACACGCCAGCTACAACGGGTGTGTCCTTCACAATGGGAATCACTTCCGCTGCCATTTCAACGACCACATCGTTGGCATTGCTGTATGGCATCAGGCCTGCGAGACTGCCGCAGCCGGCCATGCGGAACCGTCCGCTGTTGTAGATGACAATCAAGTCGCCGCCTCCGCTTTCTACGGATTTGGCGGACAGGCCGATACCTGGACTGGTGAGCTCGGTTTGTGGCTGAATTTGGCAGATAACTTACCTGCTCCGGCACCGACGATGGGCTTTCCGGCTTGGATGTGACCGCGTAGGCGGGCCAGGATTTCTTTGCGGTCGGTTGGTGGTGCCATGTTGTAGTTTTGGCTGGTGGGCTTGTGGATAGGATGTATAAGGCTAAGTTTGTCGAGATGGAAAAATTTTAGGGGAGTCAGCCGAACTTATAAAAGTTTCAGTATGAGTTCTCGAGTCGGAATTGAAAAAAAACCGGATCTTCAGATCCACTAGACAACGAAACGCAGTCATTCATGCACTCGATCATGATGTCGTGCGGCAAAAGGCGGAGCGGAGCGCGGAGTTAAGGCGCGGGGTTTCTGTGCGCTTCACTTTCACCTTGCAATTTACGGTCTGATATCAGAGCGCTTGTTGAGGAATTATTTATTACAAATCCAAACATTCCAGTACTGCCATTATTACTCTACTTTGGCTCTTTGAATCAGATATCGCGATAGAAAGACATGGGGCTGGTATTTTGTGTCATGAATATCGCACTATGACTCTCAGATAGATCCAATAAATAACTTATGTACAATGTATGTATATGAAGATTTAAGAGATGGTTCCTAAAGATGCCATAATCACATCCCATTGATCCCAGTCCATGTTAAGCGGGTCTGTCCATTGTTGCGGCTCTATGTGGCGAACAAGACTCGAAAAGTCGATAGGTTCCTGGATATAAGAGCCCACGCTGTTACTATCAACCAATGGTTGATCGATATTGGCACTGTGGTAATCTGGGAAGATGGAGCTGGCGTATTCGGAAACCGGAGCTGATTGTCCAGTCTCAACTGGCATTGCGCTAGCAGCGCTCATCACTCGGCTAGATCTGGTAGCCTTATCAGATCTAATGGGGCCGACAAGAGAAGGAATTGAACTTACAGCATGTGGCGGAGCATCGTTGCCGTTCGGGCACATAACCGGCTTTGTGTCTGTGAGGCTTCGAGTCGAGCATGGCATTCGTGAAGCAGTCGAACTACTTTCAAAGGGCAGGTATTTTCGGGCTCAAGGGAGACAATAAGGAACAGGACAAAGGCGGCGTGAAAAGCGTAGAACGCGCCTCGGCCACGGATATACCAGTGAAAGGGCGCAAAGTGGGGTAATTGTTGGAAATCGGCATGGAGTTCCAACACTCGCTGCGCGCTCTCGGTGCAGCATCTTTTTGACCATTCATGCTGGGTCAAACCAGAGGTTGCGTCATTCAGAATACCACTATGCAGCAACAAAACCAGGTGATGCGCCAGGCTAAGTAGCAAATTGAAATGAACAACTGATGGATCGGTTCCCACCAGTGCAGCATACTTCTGCTCCAGTGGATCGAGCTCAGTACGTATGACCGCATCTAGTCGGCGCCGAATGGCCAGGTCATCTGGCCGTGCTAGAAGTACGGGATCACATATTTCGGATGATACGCGAAAGAGACGGAATTTCCAAATTAGATATGAGACAGGCGTCATCTTCGCAGAGTTCTCTATTGGTTGCTGTCGTCCATGAACGATGTCTTCATCCCAAACCCCCGCGGGGGGCCGAACGCGCGACGAAGATACAGTCTGGTTCATATCGAATCCTGTCATCGATGTGTTTTGATTACAGAGCAGCGTGATAAGGGCTAGCCAGCAGCGACGCCGCTCTTCGGCAACAACAATGTCCAAATCAAACGCAGCCGGATCAACATGACAACCAACCGAGATTGCCAGATGATACGCCAGCCCCAGAAGAGTCCAGGAATGTCCAAGGCTATGCTGGATACCATAAATGAGGATGAGAAGCGTTTGCAGTGTTGTTATATTGTGCCGCCAGAGATAGTGATCTGCCTCAAGGCATTTCATCGCAGCGGTGTAATACCGTCCAGATAGATCGGTAACTCGGTCCCAGGGGGTAGTTTTGCGACTCAAAGTCTCAAGAAGACGACTATTATGGCCTAGTGCAAGCACAGCAGTCCCTAAAATGGTAAACAGTAAAGCAAGCCATTCCAAGGGTGCCTGATCTGGATCCCGAGAGAACCGATCGTACTGCTCGTGAAATGAAGTGCTATGTAAGACAGGGTAAATCTTGGTTTTCTTCTGTCAGTATTTTAAGACTTCCATACAGAGGTAGGAAACTCACTGGCGCTAACGATTGAAAGTAAAGATTTTTCAACTTGTCACAGTACTCAATTGGGGGAAGTTTTGCCAATAAATTGGCTCGGTTTTCAGTCTCGTGCTCGCCAAATGGAAATGGCCCACTTGGGGTATCCGTAACAGCACTTTCTCGATCAGGAAATGGAACACCCTGAGATTCTCGGTGCACCAAGCGCCAGCTGGAAGAAAATGGAAGAAATCGCACATGTCCAGAGGCCGATGGGATGAGCGTGCCTGTCGCAAAGGCTGGTAATTGTCTCTCTGAATCTTCCAGAGATTGAGTGGGTTCGGGTGCCCGGGGGGATGATCGTGTTCTGTCTATCCCATGGTCTGCGCGCAATAGTCGTTCGAGATGTTCAATGCGAGATAGAAGGTGAATATTGGTGTCGTTTATTGTCAGGCGATCGGGCTGGGGTTCAAAAAGCCGAGAAGTGTCCCTCACAGCCCTAGAAGACGCATCATCTTGAATCCGAGGTCGTTTATTGACGGAAGGCTGTGGTTGATGTGACGGTCTATCAGAACTATAGACGCAGCGCTCGGCGGGAATACCACGCCGCACGCAAGTACTGCAAGGTGGCGCATCGCGGGAACAGCGGATCTTGCGAACGCGGCACGCCTCACATGAAGCCGGGATACGGCGACGTGATCGGCTAGGAGACGGCCCGACATTAGTAGTTGAGCTCATTGTGTTAGGATGGAGATAGGCGAGAGTTGCGCGTGGAAGATGGCGGAGTTAAGATGTCGCGGAGCGGAGATGGCGGATTTCATGTGAACACCCCCGCCATTTGTTTTGGACTTTTGAATGGTGAGAGGATCTTGATGATATCACATCACTGCCAGTTAATTCTGTCACTTATTATACTTTGATAGGACACTTCAAATTCTTCCTTCAAATTCACCCCTTGATATCGTCCAACTATGCCACACATTATTCTTCTGGGAACGCTTGATACCAAGCATGAAGAAGTATTATATCTATACAACCAGTTGAAGAAGACTGCTTCTCGCTTCTCTCATCCACTTCAAATCACACTCATTGATTGCGGTCGTCAACCGATCGCTGACGATGCCATCGCAATCACCCATACCGATTTGATGACCAAATATGCAGGCGACAACACAGAAATTTCGAAATTATCACGAGGCGAAGCAATCGAATTTTTGATCGCTTGTGTCGAAAGCTGCGTGAGAGATCTGTTAAAAACAAATGACATCCACGGTATAATAGGCACAGGTGGCAGTGGTGGCACGAGTCTGATCTCCGCGGTGATGAGGGCAGCAGCACCAATCGGGTTGCCCAAGTTGATCGCCAGCACAGTTGCATCCGGAAACACAGGACCAATCGTTGGAGAATGCGACATTACCTTGATGTACTCTGTTGTCGATATTGCTGGAACCAATCAACTCTTGCGGGATATACTTGACAATGCTGCTGGCGCTATCTTTGGTATGGCTTCGGCGTATGAGCACCGCCTCGAGGACCAAAAGGCATCGGGTGCCCTTCAAAAATCATCTGGGCGCAAGACACGGGTTGGAATCACCATGTTTGGCGTGACTACCGCGTGCGTCGATTGCATACGAAACCACTTAGAAACGCAATATCCCGTGGAGGTGTACGTGTTTCATGCAACTGGCCATGGCGGCAAAGCAATGGAGCGTTTGGTTGAGGAAGACCGCCTAGACGCAATACTGGATATCACGACCACCGAGATATGTGATCTGGTCGCAGGCGGTACCATGAGTTGCGACACTGATCGGCTCGAAATGATGCTGAAGAAGGGCATTCCGACTATCATTTCTGTTGGAGCCACAGACATGGTCAACTTTGGTCCAATGGATACTGTACCACTTCAGTACCAGAAGCGCAAGCTTCTAGTTCACAACCCCACTGTAACCCTGATGAGAACGTCCTCCGATGAGTGTCAAAAAGTTGGAGAATTCATCGTCCAGAAAGTGTGCCAGTTTTCCCGGGATCCAGCGAAAGTGGAGGTTTGGCTTCCTCGTGGTGGAGTCAGTCTTTTGGCAACCTCGGGGTCAGAATTTGAGGATCAACAAGCTGATGCGATCCTTGCGAATACTGTGCAGCTTGGGCTGAAAGAAAGTAAGACGCGTGTGGTATCGGATGATCGTGATATCAACGACAGTGGGTTTGCCATTGACATTGCGGACCGCCTAATGGCTTTGATACCTTTGATGAAACAGTAGATGGTTTGCCATTAAATAGGTAAAGGACCAATATGTTCTGAGATGATCTCGATCGTCTGAGTTAACTATTTCGAGATACTATACCTATGTGCTACTGCTAGATTTCAAAGAGATTACCTCTGTTTTTATGCTGTTCAGACTCTGCTTTAAAAGGGTGATTCTTAATTAAAGCGAGTTTAGTTGTATATATCATTAAGTGATCACGTTCTTACAACTAAGAGCTGTCGATCCCTTTGGTCGCAACATTGCTTGATAAAGCAAACCCGTTTGGTGGAGCTGGGATAAGAGGGAGGTGGTAAAATCCAAGAAGAACCACTATCTCTGCCTATTCATCCATATCTTGCCCGAGAAAATCTCATTTATCCATTTCAAGAGCTCATGATTTCGGCACTCGGTCACTCTCGGCAATCAAACGCGGAGATCTGAATCGAAATTGCGGGGAATCAATATCACAAATTCAAACAAAGAGACTAGAGAACCTCGATTAAATGGGTAGAAAACAAAGCAGTAATTCTGGCTGCAATAAAAATTGACATGGAAATCCCCAAATTTCGCAATCTGTCCATCGAGAGGCGCGGCAATGTATTCGTTCTTACCATGCAGAAGCCACCGGAGAACCGGCTGAATTCATGGTACTGTCAGGAGATGATCAGGGCATATCGAACTATAGAGAAAATTCTGGGCTCCGACTCTGAGGGAGCAGTCATCACAAGGGGCAGTGATGCAAAGTTCTGGTGCACAGTGCGTTCAACCCAACCTCGCACAGCGAGATAGACAAACACTGACAAACTATTCTAGGGACTCGAGCTAGATGAGGCAGACTCCAATCCATTTGCCAACACAGATGGATTTTATCCTGTCCGTATACCCCAAATACTGTTTTATCATAGTCACAAAAACGCTTCTGACAAGTGAAACAGCTCATCCATACAATTCTCGACTTCCCATTCCCAACAATCGCCCTACTAACCGGCCACACTTTTGGCGGTGCATGCCCACTCGCCTTGGCCCATGACTACCGAGTAATGAACTCGCGCCGTGGCTTCATCTCCATGCCACCAGTGAATCTGGGGTTGCACTTCGATGGAATCGGAGCTTTGCCTCGCCTCAAGCTGCGGCCACAGGTTGCGCGCAAAATGCTTCTGGAAGCACACAAGTGGACAGCACAGGAAGCATTGGAGGATGGGATTGTGGATGCTGTAGCGGAACCGGAGGATATGCTGAATGTTGCTTTAGAAATGGGACAGAAGTGGGCTCCCAAGGCGAAGATGGGGTGGGTAAAATGTGCAAATCGAGATACACGAAGTAACGCTAACGGTGCTGTAGGGTTTACGCTTTGCTTCGACAAGAGCTTTGGGGGGATGCTATCAAGAAGTTTCAGCGAATCAGTTATGTCCACAGCCGCATGACTTCGGCGCCGGCTAAGGCCAAGATTTGAGAGCAATGTCTATGAAAGAATGACAAGGAGCCATTATTCTCAGATGAAGGATATACTGGAACTTCAAAATTCAATTCTGTAACTTGTTTCGACAATTATATATGTTCTGAAAACCCTACAGCCTCGCCTGCTTCCGCTTGTTCCATACTTGAACTTCAGGCAGCTCTCGGTAGTTGGGTGGAAAGAATTGCGGCCCCAATATTTTCTTTTGTACTTTGCCAGTTCCCGATTTGGGTAGCTCACCCTGTATCACACGAAGGATAGTCGGCATTTTGTACCCATCTATCTTGCTCCGCAGGTCTCGTCTTAGCTTAGAAATTGTGAGATTCTCAAGTCTCGCCTTTTGATCTCGCTTGAGGCTGACAGTAGCAGCGACTCTTTGTCCAAACTCCTCATCTTCAACTCCAACAACCATCACCTCCGAGACATAGTCTAAGCCCAAGATCTCTCGCTCGATATCCAAAGCTGAAATTTTGTATCCACCCGACTTGATAATATCGATAGATGCACGACCGAGAATGAAGTAATACTTCCCATCCCGACGAGCAATATCGCCCGACTTGAAATAACCTTCGGAGTCATGTGCATCCGCAGTGGCTTTCTCGTCGAAAAGATACCTGGCAGTGAATACATGTCAGTGAAGCTACCATGTAGTCCTATAAAGAGACCAGACTTACTTGGAGAACATATAAGGACACTTCACCAAAAGCTGGCCATCCTCCGCGAGCTTAAGTGAAACCGCCTCAGCAACACGCCCAACACTATTTTGTGGGGATCCATCAGAGTCAAGATCAGTTTTGATAACCGCACCAAACTCAGTGGCTCCGTATCGAGTCAGGATCGGTTTGCTTCTGATTTCATGCCAAAACTGTTGGACAGGTCCCGGCAGTGCTGAAGTACCGCACAACATGGCCCTAATCTCGCGCGCTCCAGCAACATATTCTTCTCGGACTTCAGGCGTCTGATGAGCAATATTCTCTTCAAAGTACCGCATCATCCGCATGTATATGGTTGGGACAGCAGAGAAAAATGTTAAGCCTCCCTGTCGCCAACGCTCCCATGTCCAAGCCGAGTCGAAGCTTCCGCTTCGGAACTCAATACACGCGCCAGCTGTGAGAAACGGGAGAAAAGTCAATCCTACACCGGAGGCGTGGTGTACTGGAAGAACGTGGAGTACAGTATCTTTATCCGTGATCTTGTAATGCTCGGCATCGGCTTCCCCACTACCGGCTATATAACTGCGGCGCTGGACAGCACCCTTGGGAGGACCTGTCGTGCCGGAAGTAAAGATGACCAACGCAGCTCCATTCATATCCGGGACCAAGTCAGATGAGATAGTCGCTTCGCCTGCCGGGAGAAGCGTGGGCCGAAGATACGATGCAATTGGAGATATGCAGGGGATATGCACTGCCCTACTATCGCTCATAAAGCGTATCACTGACTGCGCTGTTTGTTCGCTTGTAGTGCTTGCTACCAAAGCCACACATTTTGCTTTTGATAGAAAATATGACGCTTCCTCTGCTGGAATTGTGGCAGCTGCAGTTGTCAGTAATGCGCATCTGCCCTTCGGGATTGATGCTCACCCATAGGAACCACTGCCGCGCCGATTGCAAGGATGGCAATGAACCCGACGGTATATTCATACCCTCCTGGGGCAAGTAATCCGATATATACTTCCTTGTCAGCAGCAAGGTTCTGTCGAGCTTCATCACTCAGCGAGTTTCCCAACACCTTGCGAAAAGACAAGACATCCGAAAGAAGGTGTTGATAAGTTTTTTCAAAGCCGGTGTTCAAGTCTCGAATCGCGATGGGTGAAGGATTGCGTTGTGCATATCGCAAAAGTCGATGAAAGAATGGCAGATTTGGTAGAACATTATCTCCGGCGTGAGCTGGTATGAACTTGATGCGGTCTCCGATTGTCATTGTAGAACGTAGCTACTTGTTATTTCTGGGTGGGCAATCTGACCATCTTATTCTAGTCATTCCATTCGTCTGTATACAGTCCCTCACAGGTATCGGAAATCTTACACCTATTTAATGAGCCAATGATCCATTGCTATGCCCTGTTTGTTCGGCTACATCCCCCCACGATCTCTGTTTACCCCGCGGGGATGATCTTCTGCCGAAATTCGGCACTCGGTGATTTAAAGAGTGTGAAAATGAGCCTAGGTTAATTAATGAGGGGGTTCTTTTATGATGGTCATTATTATGAGCCCATAAACGGGATGTAGAGTCTCAATTCCGACCAGTTCGCGCCGTTTTGACAATGCCTGATTTCACCGACAATCTTCGCCCAAGCCAGCCTGATGGGCCAACTACGTTAGCACGAGAGCGTGGCAAATCAGATGTCTCAACTACTGAACTGGGACAGCATCTACTGGGAAGCAATGACTTTCTAGAGCGACAAGCCCGCATTTTGTCAATCGTACAACAGGAACCACTTCTCTCCAAAACCAAGCAGCAGAACCTATCCCGAGTAGAGCGCTTCAAACTGGGACTTGCCAGAGCAAAGCTTTTGCGCCGGTTGGCTGACAAGCATAAATGGAGCAACGATGACTCCAAAATGGCAGAGTACCTGGTTGACGATGTGTCGCCGTATTTTCTACACATGGAAATGTTCATTACTACCATCCGCGAACAAGCAAGCGAACAGCAACGCGCATACTGGCTGCCTCTGATCGAGTCTTGGAAGATAATTGGGGCTTATGCACAGACTGAGCTGGGACATGGTAGTAATGTCCGCGGCCTGGAGCTTGAGGCACAATGGGACAGTCGGACTCGGGATTTCATCTTACACAGCCCGACTCTCACGGCGAGTAAATGGTGGAATGGCAGTCTAGGCCGCATTGCCAATCATGCTATTGTTGTTGCGCAATTGATGCTTCCGAAGAACGGGTCAACAGACCAGCTTGTTTCACATGGTCCCCATCCATTTATTGTGCAAGTTCGGGATATGGAGACGCACCAGCCTTTAGATGGTGTCATTGTAGGAGATATTGGGCCAAAGTATGGATATATTACCATGGACAATGGATACATGCTGTTTGATCATTTCAGGTATGATAATTGTATTTCCATCCCGGGGCTTAAATTTGCTAAAATGACGGCCAGAATCCCATATTCTGCTATGCTATCCAGATACGCTAGCGTGGACCCCGATACAGGAGCTTACAGAAAGCCAGAACAGCCAGCATTGGTTTATGGCTCTCTAACCTACGTGCGAGCAAACATCGTGCACCATGCGAGACTTGTTCTCGCGCGAGCAGTCACTGTGGCAGTACGCTACACTGCAGTGAGACGACAATTCCAGGACCGAGACGGCGACAAGAAAGGACCTGAGATGTCCGTGCTTGATTATCCGACTGTGCAAATCAGGATCCTGCCTCTCCTTGCAGCGACATTTGCACTGCACTACACGGGTCTTGCCATGCGGACAGTGTATGAGCGTACACGGCGAGATGTCGAAAAAGGAGACTTCAATTCTTTGGCCCATATGCACAGCATGTCCTCTGGTCTTAAGAGTCTGTGCACCATGCTTGCTGCGGATGGCATTGAAACGTGTCGACGCGCGATGGGTGGACACGGATTCGGTGGTGGCAGTGGTTTGATCCAACTAAACTGTGACTATCTTTCTAAGCCGACTGTGGAGGGTGACAATTGGATGATCACGCAGCAGGTTGCAGCGTATTTGATCAAGAAAATGACTGCTGCAGCGGAATCACCCGATACTGTGGCTAAAGATAAAACCGATGCGCTGTTCACGGAATTTATTCGCGGAAAGAACAATTCCCAATCAGGCACGGAAGGATATGACATTTTGAACGATGATCGGAATATTGTTAGGAGCTTTGAGCTTCGAGCCACTGCTTTGGTATGGGGCAAAATATATATCTTGACACATCAAAATAGATCGATCTGGGCTGACAGTTGAAAGGCATACAATGCATATGAGGAAAGAGTTGTCAAGAAGAGAAGCTGGAACAGCCTTCTCGTCCAGCTCCATAAATTGAGTCGAGGCAAGCCATCCCAAAACGATACAGGGTGATACCTATACTAACCCGCGATAAACTGGCAGCACAATCTCAATCGATCATAGTCGCGACCTTTTTCCAGGCTCTATCCCTTGACAAGACCCTTCCAGTCGCCACCAAGGCTATTATGTGGGACTTGTACCGCCTGTTTGCATTGAACACCATGGAAAACGAAGGCTATGAGTGTAAGCTGGTAATCCTCCCCTTTGAAAACTTCACCATTGACAAGAAGATTGAAGTTTTCCGGTGCCATGCCGTGTCCCAAGCGGATCTCGATGTCCTCCCAAGCCGGGTTCAAGAACTCATGTCACATATTCGTCCACACGCCGTGAAGTTAGTAGATTCATGGATGATTCCGGATTATTTATTGGATAGGTAGGTGGCAGGAAACATCATGAGCGACACAAACTGACTGGCTGCAATTTATTATAGTGCGCTGGGTCGGTATGACGGCCACGTATATGAAGATCTGTTCAATCGGGCGCATCGACTGAACCCGTTAAATGAGATAACATTCAATCCAAATTATTGGGAGGATGAGATAGTTAAGGGGACAGGGGACAATGGGTCAGGTCTTTGGTCTAAGTTGTAGATGCGTCTTGCAAGTTCCTCCAGCAATGCGATGGGTTCTGTTTTGTCGCTGTAATTCACGTAGTAATGAATCCGTGAATACCCATGAATATTGACCTTGCAGATGATATCCTGAATACACATGTAATCATGTGTGGACAGGGAGAGAAGGAAGGAGAGAGAAAGCCAGAAAGAGCGTTCTCAGTGCATAGGATACTATTCCCAAATTGGAAACAGCACATGACACATCCAGATCTCACAATTTCTATCGTTCAATTGTTTCGCTCGCTCGCTCGCTTACTTCGGCGAAGAGCCGACAAAGGAATCTTACTCCACCGGAGTTTTGCCATTGAATTACAACAGGGTTATTCCGTGCCGTCAGTGGCAAACGCCTCTTTGAGCTTGACTGGACTTGACTGGATCCACCCCTTCGAGTTGCATCCCGCAAAGCCTCCGGGACAGGGGCTCGGATGTTTCCCCTCACTATTTCCACTTTCCAGCCTCCGCTTTGTCCAACACAGCCTCGCTGCATCCAATGGCTGACCTGCATTTTGATCACCGCGGATAAATTTTCACAGAGCTTTACCCCGGCTTCCGTATCCCCCTAGCGTCAAGCCATGCGGAGGTAGGTTAGCGTAATTTGGGGAATGTGTTTATAGGAGCTTATAAAATGCCTGCACCCCTCGGTTGGGTCCGATCTTTTGTTTGCCCGGCCCGGATCACGCTTCGTCTCCTTCTCATCTTCTCCTTTTTGTTTCTCTCAGTTACCACTCTTCTGGGAATCAAAATGCATCTCAAGTCTTACGTCACCGCTGCCCTTTATGGACTGCCTGTTCTGACATCCGCTGCGCCATCGGCTTCTTCCTCGCAGGCTGCAGCTCCTTCGTCGTCGGCTAGCTCAGATACTGACCACTTCAAAACTTACACCATCAAGGCGGAAAATATCACCGCCAAGCTGATTCCGTATGGTGCGCGTCTCACCTCCTTGCTAGTCCCAGATCGCGACGGCAAGGTGCAAGATGTGGTCGTCGGATATGATGACCCAAAAGAGTACCTGCATGACAGTGAAACCAATCGCACTTTCTTCGGTGCGGTTGTCGGTCGCTATGCCAATCGCATTAAGAACGGCACTTTCACCGTTGATGGGAACACCTACCACGTTCCTGAGAATGAGAACGGTGGTAAGGACACTCTCCACGGTGGCTTCATCGGCTATGATATGCGCAACTGGACTGTGACTGCGCATAGCGACTCCGCTATCACTTTCAGCTTGCTTGACCAAGCCTTTGAGGACTTCCCCGGCGATGTTGTCACCCATGCTACTTTCAGTGTGTCTACCAAGAAGAGCCCTGGGAACCCCAAGGGCCTTCCCCAATTGACTTCCAAGATCGTGGCGCTCTCTCTCACGGAGAAAACCCCAATCATGATGGCTAATCACATCTACTGGAACTTGAACGCGTTTAAGGAATCCACTGTGCTCAACGATACAACCCTGCAGCTGCCCCTCTCCCAAAGATACATTGGAGGCGACAGCATTCTCATTCCAAATGGCACCATCTTGGACGTCGATAACACCTTCTCGGGCGCTTTGGACTTCACCAGTCCCAAGCTCATCGGCGAAGACATTAAGAAGACCACCGGCCTGTGCGGCGGCGGCTGCACTGGTTACGACACCTGCTTCCTCGTTGATCGCCCATCTACTAATTCCGCCGACTCAATGACCACCGCCCTCCGTGCATCATCCAGCACCACGGGCATCACCCTCGAGGTCGCAACCAACCAGGCCGCCCTCCAGATCTACACTTGCAATGGACAGAACGGCAGCATCGCGACCAAGGAGTCGCAGGCCAAGCGCAACAAGGCGAACGGCGGTGACGCCGGTGCTACCCACGTCAACAAGTACGGTTGCTTTGTCATTGAGACCGAGGACTGGATTGATGGCATCAATAATCCCGAATGGGGCCGTCGTGATTATCAGGTCTTTGGCCCCGATGATGGCCCTGCTGTCAATATCGCCACATATCAGTTCGGCAATCTTTAGATACCATAATCCTTACAATGCTCTCTTTGCATTGCAATTAATCAAATCTCTGCGTGGAACTTGGCACGCACATATCATTTGAAACTTTTCTTTTATAAATACATGTTTCTGAGCAAGCTTAACCTGGTTCCACTATTTAATTGTGACAAGCCCACGATTTTTTTCTTGATTCCAAGCAACTGAGACCTTTGTAAAGCACGTGAGAGCTGTTCTTAACATGCACGTACATATCTTGTCTGTATGTTTGTAGATTTCCAACAGGTCCGCAGGTGTACTACTTTCCTTTCCTAAATGACTTCAATTCCCCACTTAGCTATATTTGTCCACGGCTAATTGGGTTCATCTTCGTTCCTTTATCATATTCTGTCTTATCATCCTAGCCTTTTGGTGACAAGTCTAAAGGATCATTGTTCATTTCGAATATCATTATCTTCACTACCTCTTCAAAAGAAAAGCACAACCAAGACAAGAAAAAAGAATAAATGAATTATTTTTTCTATATCTCTACACGTTCAAGGTCATGATACTTCTCATGAGATGCATCATCACCCTATGATAAAGTTTATCAAGTCTCGTCAAGTCTGATTGATTGCCATCCACTCTTATCGATTCCCATCAAGTCAGATCAATCCTCATTAGATAGGCTCACTCCGGCACAAGACTCCTCCGCGAGGGCCCGGCTACCCAGCTAGTGGAGCGTTGGTCCCGTCACTTACCTCTGCCCTAACTTCTCATCTCGCTTCCTCGGAAGGAGGTGGGCAAGCTTGCTCTGGGTCGATCGCTGGATCCCCCACGCTGTCGTCGGGCAACCTAAGTCTGTCCATAGTGTGCATATTGTGCCCATGACGATCAAATGCTTTGATGGATATGGCAATGTTTGCTTTGTGCATTCACATGGTTGGCTTATGAATGTTTGTCACGCTTCCATAGCTATAGATAGAGAGCTTTTCTTCTCGGAGATCCCATAATACCATTTTCTTCATCATCATTCTTCTTATCCACTATTCTACACATATCCAAAGGAAGCTTGAAGAGAGGGTCCAATCTTAAGTTACTTAAGTTACCCCTGCCAGCGCCTCAAAATAAAATTTTCAGTGATTTTGACGAGGCCTTCTTCAATCAACACGAGTTCATCTGGGGTGCCTGGATGACCCTTTCCGATAGGAATGATCATTGGCCCCGTGGTGGTAATATTGGCGGGTAGACCGTACTGCCCACTGTGATTTTCTTTATCGAACTTGATTAAACCACGACCCCAAATCACCGACTCAAAAGCCTGGTCCTGATCAGGTCGTCTGAACGCCTTATACACTACCCAGCTGATGTGACTTTGGTTTTGTGGCGCATGTAAACAAATTACTGCATTGATCTCCCCTTTAGAATACCGGATATAATCGTCTCCACGGCTTCTTAAATCTTCGACTGATTGCGAAATTCCAATCTCAAAGACGATATGCGGAAATAATGGCAGCCTTTTTTCACCTACCATTGAATAGAGTGCCAGGTCGGGCTCGACAGTGCACCCGTTTTCAAGTTTAAAATCGCCTCCGTTAAGAAGCATCCAGTCGTCATCGTTCATTCCGACCTTTGTCATTTGCTGTGTCAAATATCTAAAGATCACTCCCTGGGCAGCAAAGAGAGCACGGATTGGCATCTTGAGGATGAGTTGTTGTTTATCTAGCGCATACTCAAATATTCGAATCTTTTCTCGCTCTATTATAGCTTCGTGATGACGTAGGAAGTCATGCTCGACTTTTGAAAATACTAATAAATCGAATCCGGCCTGCTCGGCGCAAGGCTTTTGGTTATTAAAGATATTCAAAAAGTTTTCTAGTTCATTATAGACAAAATGGATCGCCATGATATAGAACTTTAATTTCTTCACAAGTTGTTGGGTAAAATATGCAAAGGAAAAATTGCGAATTCCAATCTTGTTGGACTTATGTACCGGTGACTCCACGATGATGTAAACTTGCGCTCATTACTGTCGGCCCACTCTGAATATTCCGCACTTCGCACTGTACACTGGGTCACTTGTGAACAAGTGGAAGAGTTGTATTTCTTTGGCCTAAAAGCCAAAGCACTACGTACGAGAGCACGGAGGAAATCAATGTAGATATTGATACTGAGGATGGTTGAGAGGAGAAAAAAGAGAGCCAGCTAACATGGCAAATATGCCCAACAGGACAGGCAAGAGAACCATGCAAAGAGTATTGTCCATGTAACTTTTTTGTTTGGCTCTCCGTCTTCCTCATCACACTGTTGGGCAAGTTTTTTGTTGCGCTCTACCTGTAACCTCGGTCATTTCCGGAATTCAAGTACATACATTTCCCACCGACAGGGAGGGAGCTCTCCATAAATCCAAATCCACTTCACCCTCCTGCCTTTCCTTGGTTTTCTGGAGACTATGAATATGTTTGAAAATAAGCCCAATATGTCACATAAACATATTGAAGGTTCGATTTCTGGTGACATATGCGTTGAGATGCCCTTCATGATCTTGCAGATGTCACCTCTAGCAACTTTAAGCGCCTTCTCTGGTTGCCTTTTTATTGAAATAATTTGCCGTCCTTCGATATCTTTTGGCACGCTGGTGAGGCTGACTCCAAACCTTCACAGTTGATAATATACACCATGTACACTCCGATATATAATCTTTGGTTTCATCCATTAAGAAAATACCCAGGTCCAGAGTTATATGCAGCAACGCGCGTGCCGTACACGTTTAGTCTCTTGCGAGGTACTATAACTCAACGAACGCAACGGATGCACCGAAAATACGGTCACGTTGTCCGCATTGCTCCTGATACCCTCTCTTACACGTGTAGTGAGGCTTGGAACGGTAAGTGTCCGTAAGATAGGTAAAGATACCTTTACTAATCATGAACGATCTTCAAGATATATACAGATTGAAAAAAGGCAGCATGCGCGACAATTTTTCGAAGGACCCGAAGTACTATATCAGGTCTGATCGGGATACAAGCAACATTGTAAGAGTGACTGGATGCTAAGGTGACTTGACACAGCAGGACAGCTGATTGTTTTCTCAGTCTAACGCAAATGATCACGACCACTCTCGACTGCGCCGAGCTCAAGCGCATGGCTTCTCCTTGAAAGCGTTGTCTTTGCAAGAGTCCTTCGTGCAAAAATATGTTGAACAGGTCATCTCTCGCTTAGGTGAAGAAGTAGTATCCACTGCCAGAGGTGCTATCAATGTGGTCAGATGATTCAATTATGTCACTACAGCTGGCATTTGGCGAAAGCTTTGGCGGACTTGAAAACAATGAGATGCACCCGTAGCTCGGAAATATGTTTGAGACTGTGAAAATATATTCATTTTCCCGAGAACTGTCGCGCTATCCCAAATGGGTGGCACATATCACAAAGATGTTGATATCCTCTAGAAGACAGCAGGTACAGTCAAATAAGACGGTCGAATTTGGTGCAGAACAGGCACAGAAAAGGATGAAGCGTGGGATCGAGCGACCGGACTTCATGTCTTACCTTTTACGACACAATCGTAAGCAAAGGTCAATTATCAATCTAAAGGATGTCAGGTCCTTTTTTGACGTCTGTATTCTAGACTATCTGAAGCTGAGATCGCTGCCTCGTCAATCACCTGGATTATCGCGGGAAGCGAAACTAGTTAGTGACAATCTCGATCTACATTCAAGATGACTTATACTAACCAGCAGAGAGACAGCCACCACTCTACTGTCTGACTTGACCTATCTGCTTCTTAAGAACCCCAGGACATTGCAAACAACCACTTCGGTCATACGGGACGATTTTCCCGATCCGGCAGGGTTGACTTTCCAAGAGCTCCAAAGACATGAATATATCAATGCAATTCTTTCAGAAACTCTCCGACTCTACCCTCCGGTTGCAGATAGTCTGTTCCGTGTATCACCGACCCAAGGTGGCATTGTTGCCGGTGACTTCGTTCCTCCAGGAACGAGTGTCACAGTCCATTTGTTTCCTGCTTTCCGTTCCCCATTAAAATTCCGACGAACGGATGAATTCCTCCCTGAGCGGCGGATGAAAGATCGCCTAGTGGAGTTTTGGTCGGATAACTGGAGCGTATTCCAGCCTTTTAGTATCGAGCAAGGAATTGTTTAGCCAAAAGTAAGTACACATTTCCTCCTGCATTGTCCGTGTCCTACTTTTGATGTCCCATATTGGCCAAATGTGTCGTTTGAAGACAGAAAAAAAGAACGAAAAAGTCTAATCCTCTTATAAGTTTGGCATGGGCCGAGATGCGTGTGATCTTTGCCAAACTTCTCTGGCATTTCGACCGAGAGGAGCTTTTTCTGGATAGTACAAACTGGATTGAGAACAAAAGATACACATGCTCTGGGAAAAAGGAGATCTGGATATTAGAATGAGCAAACGACATTGAATAGGTCAACGTGGTATCCAGCCTGGATGTTCGGACATGCCTTCATTCTCTGTATTTACAACATGCAAGTGCGCTCTCGTCATAAGATTGCCTGCAGTGAAGGCCAATAAACATGTGTCTGAACTATAGATAGGGCAATTATAGTCAAAATGGTAGATTAGCTGACCAGGATTGATAAAGAAGCATCAATTTTCTTCCATGAGCTTCAAACCGGGAACATGAAACATCCACCGAAGATTATTTTACTGTTCGTAAATTCGGTCAGAACTATCATATCAGCATTGAAAAAATCAGGCTGTAAGTAGAAAATTGGCAATGTACTCTGTCTGTTCCTTGAAGCCAATGTTGGTGTGACAGCAGCTAGGGAAATAGAGCATTGATTAATCTGATTAGGTTGGTGTAGCGGGGAAAAACAGCAGGAGATCGAAGGAAAACCAGAGTAGAGAGAGAGAAAAAGGAGGGATAATGAAGGAAGACAGAGAAGAAATAGATATACTAGCTATCAAAAGAAAAGGCCTGACGCCCAAGACTTCCATCACATGAGTCCATAACAAGGTGCAGGCCATCGTTCTATATTGACCTTGATCAACCTATTTCTTAACTTATTGAGAAAAGTGATGTTGACTTCAGATATTTTGTCATTAGTATCAAATCATGTTACTTGGTTGTATTGTCATTAGAGACAACGACACCTTTAGTCAGAGAACGAGTTTGAGATCTAAGCCGGGAAATGACCGCATACCTCACAGCTTCTTCCGGAACTGTGAAAGCAGCTGAAAGAGCCGCCGGGTGCTACACGAGACCGCTGATGAGAAACGCCAGAGATGGCCATCGAAGCCCGAGGCAGCCTAAGAGACAATATGGAGGAGATATCACGATTTTTAAACGAGACCAAGACAATTTATGTTATACATCAAAGCAATTCGATTAGGTAGCTGTGTGGTGAGTTTTTTTATGGTAATCTCGTTTGCTTGGTTTCATTTCTGTTCCATGATATATCCCATGGTCCAAGTAGCTTGCTTTTCTTGCCTTTTCTCAACATCCACATCTTGATCTTTCGTGTGGTGTCGTACGAAGTACTTTGGGTTTAGCCCAAAGAGACCTTAAACATGAGATGTTCCATTTTTTCCATTCAGGGGCAATTGGTGTTTCAACAAAATGCAGAAGGAACTGCCTTCATTCGTGTTCGTTTCGCAGTCGACCCATCCGTACTCGCGTTTTTCGAAAACTGTGGATCAAATACAAATCCACCTAAGTCGCTGGACTGTACCTAGACCCATGCTAGTAAGCTAATAATATCCATGGCGGACACAAACTTCTCGCAAAATATTAAAAGAGCCATGCGAAAAATTCTACATAAGATTAGGAGAAGCTTGACTCCACGGATCCATTCAGAATAAAAATTTCATCTTCAACTCTTGCCAGTATTGCTTAGCCAGGCCAAAATGCAGGACAATGCGACTTCAACCCATTCCGAGGATGAAGTGATATTCGCGTTCTATCGCTATTACCCCAGCATGGGCGGTGCCGTTCTTTTCACACTACTTTTCATCGGCACGACTTTCTACCACATGTTCCAGTTGTTCAGAACCCGGGCATGGTATTTCGTTCCCTTCGTGATAGGAGGAACTTGTATGTTTAAATATGCTCTCCCCCTCTATCTTTATGTTAATATAAGTAGTTGAGATCTTCGGATACATCGGGCGTGCCTTGTCAAGCAAACAGAGTCCAGACTGGACGCTTGGTCCCTACATAGTGCAGACACTATTTCTGCTCCTCGCCCCAGCTCTCCTGGCAGCCTCAATTTACATGTTGCTCGGCCGGATTATCTTAGTTCTACAGGCAGATTCGCATGCAATATTGAAAAAGAAGTGGCTTACCAAGATTTTCGTTGCTGGTGATGTGATGTCGTTTCTTCTGCAAGGCGCGGGTATGTATCACCCGGACAATTGAATGTCAGAGGCCATCAAAATCAGATCATTTATGCTGACTTCATGTCAAGGTGGCGGCATTCAGAGTAGTGGGAGCCTTGACGGTATGAAGACCGGCGAGCATATCATTATTGTCGGCCTTTTTGTCCAAATCATCTTTTTTAGCTTCTTCATCGTCGTCACTGTGCTCTTTGACTTGAAGTTACGCAAATACCCTATCCCACGCTGCTTTGATAAGGGGGTCCCCTGGCGTAGACAACTCAATATACTGTACACGACAAGTGTATTGATCATGGTCCGCTCGGTCTTTCGACTTATGGAATACATACAAGGCAACGATGGCTTTCTTCTGCGTCATGAGCTTTTCTTATATATCTTTGACTCACTGCTCATTTTTATTGCCATGGTTGTCTTCAATGTCGCCCATCCCCATGAAATTACTCGACTTTTGAACACTGTCCCGGACCGCGAGTTGACTAGCATTCGAGATGAGCATGTTGTAAAGCCAGGTGGAGTCTATAATGGCGTGTGATGACCAGTCTCACACGTTCTTCTCTGCCTTGTCCGCATCACTTTCTACCGGAGTTCATCCGACAACTCACTTCTGTCTACTTATCTCTCCAGTTGCGAGTCTGCCATTTTTATCCGCTGTCTGTTTCATTCTTCTTGCATAGACTCTTTCAGTTGACAAACAGTCATCAAGACGCTTTTTGGAAAAAAAAGATTTCATACGCAGCTTTCTTCCAATCGCCTATCCATGTTGTCTTTTCTTTTCTGTCTGCTTTCTCATTGTCCTTCTATATCTGTCGTGTCGCCCAAACCTCACGTTTAATGTCTTGTCTGGCTTATGGGAGCGTTATATATTCCTCTCTTCCACCCAAAAAACAAACAAGACGAGCAAATGCACTTGAATCTCTTGTCTCTGAACAATGAAAACATTTGTGGTCCAAAACACCGTCGCTGTTTTTCGCTGGTGATATGCCTGCCTTGTATTTTTCACAATGTAGTGTGCATTAAATAAGAGGGACTCTCGTCAGCACTCACACCTTTTAAGAAAAGTGGACCTATGAACCTTGGCGGAGCATAATGATATAGAACTACCACCGGCAAAAATGTCTCCATTTGCGTTTGGTTGTGTGCGATAAACAGAGTGTTGACTGTGCTTTGATTTTTATCACTTCTCTCCCTTCCCCTTTTCTATGATTCGCTCATCCCTATCGCCTGATTTCCGTATCTTACATGTCTCTCTTCATCTCCTCGAACCATCATCTATCGTAGTGCCCAGCTAAGCTCCCAGCTTTCCAAAGTGCTCCAATCCCTAAGAAGGAACGAGATCTCCATTGTCAATCTCCTGTGCAAGGCCGGTATATCTCCACCTTGAGATGTACGACTTTGTTGATCCCTTTCCATTATTATTAGTGGCATAGACACCCACCAAAGAGCCTAGAAACTGCAAGTTAGCTTGAAAAAATATTCAATATGTGGAAGTAGGATATGCATACCAGTGAAAGGACCAGCTCCACCACTCACGATGGTGGCCGGAGCTTGCCCGAGCCTCAAAGCATCCCACGGGCGTGACATTGGAGCAGCGAAGAATGTATAGTGTGTTTCACTCTCTGCGCGGATCATCAAGCGAATGGGATGATGCAGCCAAGATTTTGGAACGGGTGTAACAGAGGGTATTGGTACTCTCTTCGCATTGCTCTGGATACCGCTGGCAAGGAAGCGGAAATGAAGCGCCAGTGGTGAGTGTGTGCCGTTGGTGCCATTTCCTGGCATCATCACAAGGCCAAGGTTGATGTTTTGAACTTGATTGAGAAAAACTGTGACTCCAACTTCCTCATCCTGGGCTGTCGGCGCAAAGGATACGTCGACACTATACTGAAACAATGTATCGGTCTGTCGACGCATAATGAGGGTGAACTCGTTACCATCGTACCCGGCCGTATAATTTTCGTGTCCAGCCGTGATGCTTGCAGATGACGACCTCAGCTGCAATGTGCCTGGATGACCCGGTGGCGATATGATATAGGAGTTCATATTAGGCCACCTCCAGAAAGCGAAGTTGCGGGGGATGGTGGAATTGGGCTCGAAATCAACAACATCCGGGTCACTGACAAACGGACCATCTCCAGGGATATTGTGCGAAGGTGGAAGATACCATCCATTTTGGATACCACGAACTGGAGCGAAAGAAGGCCAATCTCCTGTCTTCCAAATTACAGGGCTCAACGCCATTTCTCGGCCCATCGGGTAGGTCTGTCCATCTGGACCTGAGCGCCAGGTCAAAGCGCAAGACCACCAATTGCCATTTGCGTCGTGAAACAGATCTGCATGTCCAACATTCTGGAAGTACTCCGAGGTACCTCGGTTTGTCAAAACAGGGTTGTTCTCGTAGCCTTGATACGGTCCCCAGATATGCTCTGCTCGAGCCATCGAGACCGAGTGATTGAGTCCGGAGCCGCCTTCGGCTGTTAGAAGATAGTAAAAGCCGTCCTTTTTGTATAAATGAGGCCCTTCTAGGAAGTGTCCAGTGCTGCCATTCCAGATCCGGCTCGGTTCCCCTAGGGCACCAGATGTGACGTCCAACGTCTGGAGATTGGTCCCAGCAGTTGCAACGTACGCTTGACCGTCGTCGTCCCAGAATAGATCTGGGTCAATGGAAGAGGGTTGATACTGGACTGGAATATTCCAACGATCATCGCTAAAGGGGTCTGTCGTGCTGAAGATCAATCCCGTGACCTTGTTGAAAATGTTGTTTTTGTAGATGACATTGACGTAAAAGGTTCCCTGGTGGTATCTAAGGGTCGGTGCCCAGATACCGTCGGTCTGGGCGAGAGATTGGTTGTAGTCTGGGTATTGGCTCTTGCGCGAAAGGGCGTGACTCGCCAGTTTCCAATTTGTGAGATCCTTGCTGGCATAGATTGGGATTCCAGGTGTCAGGAGAAATGTTGAAGAGGCACAGAAGGTGGTATTGTCTTTTTCAGGGACAAACACACAGCTGGGGTCACTGTGCCATCCAGGTATTGCAGGATTGTGGCGTATCTGAGTCTGGGGGGGCAGGCTAGAAGCCATGTTAGCTACTGCAAGCAGACCAAGCAGAGCTATAAGCGAGTATGTCATGTTTGTATGGTTCTATAAGAGCTGTCTGCATAGGTAAAAAGATTGAATCAAGGCAGATGAGACGGATTCGTGCAAACTTAAATACGATATGTATATATTTCGTCCCACAAATATGGACCAAAATATATCGTGAATGCGAAGTGCCATGAACGGCTGTGTTCGTATTCCTCTGGATAAGAATACGGGTGGGTCCACAGCCTTAATTCCGGACCTCAATTGTTAGCGCTTTGGCAGACCCACCTTTTACCGAGACGATATTCGTATAGACAAGTCTATGTTTAAAAGTCTGATGGACCCAAAATTAGGCTACACAGTATTGCCAATGTATCGAAGCTAGTAGCATTTGAGATGCATCTTCCACATGTCTCTCTCCTTCCATACGATCTTTTGAAGAACCTCTTTGTGTATTCCTACCTAGGTAGTTAGGTGTTCTTGCAGCCAGGTCTATGAGGCCAGTCAATTTACAGTGTTGACTCTGCTGATATAGAGATACTCGGCTGATCATATAAATTCTTTTCTCCAACAGTACGTACGTTCCCTCGGGTTTCCAAGGGGCCTTGACTTGCCACCAGAGCTTATATCCATCAGCTCATCCAGGGGTGAATCCTCACTTCTCCCGTGAAGATCTTTCTTCCTTATTCAATTTTCCTTTCACAATTTGCGGGACCTAGCAAGGAGATCTGATTTTCCCCCTTTTTTCCTTTCCTGTTGGTTCCCTCATGGCTTCATCATGCATACACTTAGAGTAGTCAGTGATATTGACGTCTCATGTACAGTGAAGAGATCTTGCAATATCAAAGGACTGAGCATCAATAATAAAGTCTTCTGTCAAATTACCTAGGCAGCTCCAGGGTTCTGTTGTCAGAGTAGGCAGAGGCCCAGAATAGAGACCCGTTTTTGGGTGTGGGTCTCTGGTTTCTGCCGGTCGCCCTACAAGCGTCCTTTTCGCCGCATTCTACTTAGCCTGACATAGTTGCCAAACATGGTGGCAATCCTCTATTCCCTCCAAAGACCCCCAGCATCCGAACAATGGACGCGCAAATGGCAGATTGTGTGGCCTCAGACGCCGCTGCAAACGAACAACGCATTATGAGAAGACATCGCGCCCGCCACACCAAATCGCGCAATGGCTGCTACAATTGCAAATTGCGCCGTGTCAAAGTATGGCCACCAAGCCCCTTTGAACCTTTTTTGAGCACCAGATGCTGAGCTCTCCAAGTGTGACGAACTTCAACCCGCCTGCGGCACATGCTCTTCCAGAGGCGAACCCTGCTCTTACCCCCGCCCACGCGCCCCTTCGAAGAAACCCCCCAGATCAAGAAAAGAAAAGCCCGGTGATGACGGCGTATCCCCGATACCGGATTATTTGACGCCCTCTGATGAACGTCCACCGCTTGGTGCGATTGAGCTCTCAGTGGCAAACGCGACATTACCAGCGATTTTCTGGAATCAACCTCACGATAGGCCGAGGAGCCTGGACATGGATGATTTGAAACTTCTCCAATTTTTTCATTTACACACTGCGAGCCAAATGTCATTACAATCGAGGAGAGTCACGGTCTGGCAGCGCATTATCCCCGAATTTGCAACTATGAATCGCTACCTGATGCACCTGCTTTTAGCTCTGGGCGGCATTCACATGATCACACAACAAGTTGAGTCCAGCAGCAATGGGGGATTTGAAAACTCAGATACGGTTGATCTAGCGACCATCGAGGAACACCACCAAAGAGGGTTAGAGGGTTTCAGGGAAGCAGTGTCTTGCATCTCTCCGGCCAATGCTGATAGTGTTCTTGCGGGCTCTCTGCTTCTTGTTGGATTCGCATTTGCATCTCTTAAGGTTCAGAAGCTGAATGCGGTTACCGAGGGGCCCGAAGAGATTCAATGGGCCTCAAAAAGCTCTTCAACAATCGATTTCCTACGTCTCAACTGGTTATACCTTAACCGAGGTGTGTCATCTGTCATAGGGGACAAATGGAATGTTTTGAAAGCCAGCCGGCTTCGGCAGATGGTGGTCTTTCCACATAGCGAAGAATATTGGAATAATTTAGAATTCGATGCGCGATCATCTCGACTGTCTCGTTGCTCGTCCCGGTTATTGAAATTTGCTGAAGGTGCTGGTCAAGCAGTCGCCAACATCAAGGCTTCCTTAAATGCGCTGGAGGCCCATAAGGATGACTTATCCAACTGCTCGGGTACGCCGACGTCTCAATCTTCACCGTCAATGACTTCAGACTGGGTTTTGGACGCGAATTTGGAGGCCTTAGGGATTCTGGACAAGAGTTACTCACGCATTCTCGCCGTATTACGATGCGCAGCGACCCAGAATCCTGTTGACACGGAAATCCAGATGGACTTTGAAGAAGCTGCGATTTTGGCCTGGCCAGTCTTACTTCCAAGTCCATTCTTGTCGTCCCTCCAGGGGAGTGAACACAACTTTCTTCATGGCCACTCACTCGTCCTGCTTGCTCATTTCTACTTGGTCAACACGCTAGTTGATTCATGGTATTTGAGAGGCTCTTTTGAAAGAGAGATAGCCAAAGTGAACGCGCTTATCGGTGCACTGAATGACAACCTACTCTCAACATTCATGCTATGGCCCAACGAGGTCGTGGCAATGTCACCGTAATCCACTTAATGAAACGGGATCTTGATCATCGGCGAAGTATTTTGTTTACTCGACAACCGAAGTCTACTGAATGTGTATTCAAACGAGTGGAAGATATTGCGTGCCACATCAGCTCAATAGCCCCAACATGCAAGGCAAAACTCAAAATTTAGGCCATGTTGACCATCCCTTCTTCAATCACTTACCTGATCACCTGCTTTAGGATCCCATCCACATTGATACAAAGTTCAGTTTCCAGATCATCACCACACCATCATTATCACTAGTCTCCACGAAGAAGAAACTTTCAAGGCGGCTAGATGATACTGTTGGTCTTATCGATTGAACCATTGAAACTAGTGAGATACTGCATTTTATGCCGAGTAATAGCTCATGTACCCAAATCAGCGTGGGTGAGGCTTTACGCTCGGCATATGTCTCATCATCATGTGATGTAGTAGATATCTTGTCGGGCCTCTAAACAGAAAAGTACAAATAGCAGGGCGCATGATCATATCGGCACTTGAACCAGGTGTTATCCGTGGACGGTTAGAGCTGCTCAATAAAGATTTGAGCTAACATTGATGCCTCGGCTTGATGAGCTCCGCCTCACATAAATAGGGGTTCAAGCTCGGCAAAAGACGGAGAATCCGAATACGGGTGGGTCAGATTCCAGAATTTGCCAGATTTCAGACTTTATCTGGTATATCTAGTACCTTGGATACGACGTGCAAAATGTGAGGCAAAACCCCTGTCAATTCAACCGCGCCAGCGGGCTCGGTAGATAGTAATGATTCAACTCTTTCTCTTATTTAACACGACAAAGTTTGAATAATTTTCTTTCTTCTCTGGTCTCGACCACCCCTCTGCCTAAGTATATTTAGCCACCTAAGTAGTGGGTTGACTCACTTCCATCGCCTATTCACCATGGTATCTTCTCGTCTGGAGATGTGGCAGGAATGTGCTGTCAACCTCGCACCCTATAGAGTGACTATTGTGACCGAGAGCGTTGTATAAAGACAATGCTAGTGGGTAATGTTTCTTTGCTTCATGTAACAGGCTTGGCATTCTAATATGCTAGCACCTGTTGAACTGACTGTCGTGATCATGCTGACGTTGTATCAGTTAGAGCGAGTGATTATCCATTTCCCGACGACCCTGGGTTTCAACCGCATAACCTCGAACCCGAAGATAAAGATTCGCAATATGCCCCCACTCCAGGATACTACGGTCGCACGCAAGCGTCAAGCTGTGGGCTCAGCCCTTCCCCTGACTATCACTCCGAGCATGATATGGAAAACCTATCCCAACGCCAACCCGAAAGACCTAGGCTGCTCTAGCTATCCGAGTGGCACGATGGAATGCCAAGTGACGAGCTTCAGGAAAGCTGCATTCAGTATACGATAGAGTGGAAAATTACGGTGAATAAGAAAGTGTTCTCACGAGATACTGAAGAGGATCCATATAGCCCTAACTCTAAGTACTTACTGACCGATGACCCTAAAGGGTAAGCTTAAGAAATTGTTAGAAGGGAAGATCCCCCGCAAAGGAAGGGTAAGGTCGAACGATACGTCGATCGCTATATTGGTGAATGATCGCTCCTAACGCGACTTGATGAAACGGTTTAATCATCTCGACATCGATGAAATTACCGTTAAAAAGCAGCTGCTGAGGTGGGGTGAACTATTTCTTCGAGGCAAGAAACTAAGGCTAAGTATTCCTATGCTCAGTGAGCAAGGGAAATGATTCTGGGTAGAAGATCCGGCCCCCAGAGGGGGGGGAGAAGGTAACAGGAAACGTACGTGACCTTACGATCTCGCAGGTTCCTGGGAGCTTGGGGCCCATCTCATAGCTGCCAACCTCAAAAAAAGATGGTTGCTAGGCTGGAAAGGTATGCACTAGACTTGGCATAGCAACAACTCTCGTATCCTATGATGATATTTCTGCTGTATTACACCACTTGGTTGCCATTACAAGGGCCAAATCTGTTTTTTAATATTGCCGTTCCTGCAAATTTTCCTGTGATAAATTAGCTGTTCTTGCCCTTTAGCATTCTTTGGTAGCTGATAGCGTAGCTCTCAACGTCCGCATGTGTATAATGCTTCAACAACCATGCGCCCTCGGCGCGACGTGCCTTGAATATGCTCGTTTTTGTCCTGAAGTAAACAGCCGATTTTAGGCTCTTCGCAATACCAACACCAGGGTATACTATAACACCGAACATAGCGCAACCCGCTTTAGTCGTCATATTTGCCACGCCCTTGCCAATGCCCGTCACAGCACCCTTTGCACCATCCTTTCGGATGCCTTCGTACGGCTTCACGACCAAATCGCTGACTGCCTCCACCATTCCCAGAGCGAAACCTGTGCCGCCAAGAGCGAATCCGCTTTTGATACCAGTAACGGAACCGTCGTGCTGTGGCTTTTCGCCATATAATCGAGGGACGTTGCGCATTCCCTCCGTCATGGCAAGTGGGATGTCGACAGTCATGCCTTTCAGCGCAGTCGGCACAAAATTGGCAAGGCTTTTCACTGAAGCTCCGACCATCCTCCCTGCAAGCCTAGCACTATTATATTCATAGGCTGACGATGTATCTTCTATAGAAGCCATACTTTTTGTATCGTCAGCTCCCTCTTGTGTCTGTAGGGAGCGGTTTCCGGTAGAGCTGCTTATAGGCCGATGTATAGCTTGTCTCGAGGCACTCGTCAAGGGCCGATCCCTGTGGCTTACTTGGTAGTCTTTATATTCCTCAAAGGGTTTGTAGAACAACCCCAAGACGGAATCAAGGAGATCTGTCGTGGTTCCCATAACGGCAGAAGCTCCGCCTGTGATAGGGTCCCATCGACGATTCTCGATCACAACGGGCTTGATTGCATGTCTGAATATTGGTTAGTTTCGTAGGTCTATGGGACCAAGAGTTTCACATACAATTTTAGTCGTTTTGGATTAATCAACTTTTGTGCGACTAGCGCTGCTGCCGCAACCTTTGACAGTTTTACGTTGATATCGCGTGCGGAATAAGACCACACTGCTGGTACCCCTGGACATATATCACAGGAGAGGCGCTCCAAGGGAAGATGTGAATGGAAGGAAGAGACGGCTGCTTGGACTCCTGTTTCAGAAGCCATTTTGACCGCAATTGCAGAGGCTGCAGTGATCGCTTGGTTCGTGAAGCAATATCGAATTCCTTCAGCTAAAATATCGGCATTTAGCTCTCGGTGAGGGATGGGGACAGGACCAGCGCCCGCTGCAGCCACCATAGCACCCCAGAACGGTTGACTAAAAAGTAAGTCTCTAGGTCATTTGAATTACTATTAGGGGCCAAGTCACTCACTCTCCGAAGAACGGGACAATAATTGTAGGTTTCGCATTCCGCAAGCCACAAGCTGTTGTGCCAGCGCCTCCATGATGTACCACCGCCGCCACGTGTTGGAACAGCCACTCATGAGGGCAATCTCCGATAAGATATACGTTCTTGCTTTTGTTGCCGCCCAAATTCGACCAACCCTTAGAAATGATAACCCTCACACCAGCAGCATTGACCGCATCAAGAATGGCTGCATTGATCCTAATCGGATCCTCAAGCACAATACTCCCGAAGCCAATATATATCGGCGGTGGACCAGACGATAGGAAGACCTGAAGATCCGTTGGAGGATCGTATGCTGGGACGTCACGGAAGAAGAAGCCGCAGACGTCTACATATCATGTCAGCCGCTTCTATCGATAACTAGAGAGCTCCTTCGTGAGGCACTGACCAATATAAGGCGGCCAATCCAACGGTTTGGGTACAAGAGCTGGAGACCAACAGTATGTGAAGGGGACTTTCAGTATTTCAGCAAGATGAGGACCTTCAAACATGGCCACTTCGTCTAGATCAAGCTCTTTCCGCCATCGATTTACCACATCCCCAACCCTGATAGAATGGATTAGTACGGTGTATACGTGTTCAATTTCAAATGGAACCATACCCTTGCCATGTGAGCCAGTTGACAAGATCGTACGAGGCCTGATTTTTGAACCCCTGGTCTGGACCGTCGGCCTTGAAGTTGGCCAGGGGATGTGGAAAAGACTTGGTACTGCTCCAAGGCATGGTGAATATCAGATGTACCGGGATGCCGAGAGCTTGAGCACAGTGAACATGTGCAAAGCTCGGTGGGTTGGCAATGATAGCATCCGCCACGAATGGGTGGCCTGTTACCAAATCCGGCTTGATACATGATTCCCAACACCCATCTAGCATTTCCCGTATCATAATGCGCTTGCGACGAATCTCGCCTGCTCGAAAACTCTCCATGCTTGGGATGAGCCCCGGAGTCTTGACCATGTATGCCATCAGCTCTCTTGGATCGCCTCCAATTGGGTAAAACTCTAACCCCGATTCCCTGACGAAACTTTCAAACATGTCATGTGTGGCTAGACGCACGCGATGACCATATCGCTTAAGTTCATTTCCGAGGGCAATGAAAGGTTGAACGTCACCCCGACTTCCCACTACTTGAATCACAATGTTCAATTTGGCGACCCAACCTTTTGCAGGTTGCCGACTTGGCTCGAAGTGTCCCGACATACGATCGGGTCTAACGGTCGTAGACTCGGCATCTTGCGTCGGTAGTTCAGAGTGTTCAGGAGGCTGTGCATAAGATTTCAAGAAAGGGCCAGTGTAGAGCTTCGAAAGACTTCGTACGACCTTTGAGTCCCAGTTGATATCAACGCGACCCTCATCTATTTCTCGCAAGTCATATATCAATAAATCGAACATCTAGTCTAGTATCAAGATACCCTTACGGCGAATAAAAAAGGATTAGAAAGCAAGTAAACATACCATTCAAATTGATACCACTCACACCAGTAACCGGGGGACTAGTGGTAGATGCCTCCATGACAGGTTCACCAGGTAGCTCGAAAACACATCCCGAACGGTCATTGCTAGCCATATTCGCTAAGGCGGCGGCGTCTGTTGTAGAAGGATCAAGTGAATAAGATGATGTCCTGAGAACCAACAAATATGACCGAGAGTAAAAATGTGGCAGACTGGACGCATCTGGAAATGAGATTTGACCATTGAATTACGACATTGGATTTTGATCCACTTCCAATTAACGAATACGGCCCGGCTTCTTCACTTATTTGGTTGAATTCCAGCCTGAGTTTAAGCTTAACCCCCAAAGTGGGGCGTATTCGTATACGTTCAACCAAGTTTTTATCGACCAATCGCCAGGAAGTCTTTTGTGTTTGCTCTGGGAATAAGTGGCGAATCTAGGCAACCTCAAAAGCGATCTATCCGTTTAATTACCTCGGCGATCTACTGCCACCGGCTATGGAACGGGTCATCAATAGTATTATCTCTTTTGCTTTAAAGTTCTCTATTTTGCTTGAAAAGTGCTAGTTCATAGGTAATATTGGGGAAACAGGTGGTTAGTGGTGCGATAGTTAAGTTTATCTACAACTAGAAGATTTACGAATAAGAAAAATCCCTAGTCGGTTTCACCTTATATCAATGGCGAGTGGGTCTGCTCGTAGATCCTGGAATCATATACGTTTTCGGCATCGGCTTAGGCGGCTCCCATACTGCCGCGCTTCTTCCACTATTGTATGCACTGGGCGTTGGAGTTAAGTGGTTGCTTAAACCAGGGACGAACTCGTTTGCGTATAGACCTAGCGTGTTCGTTCCTTGCTCTGACATCGCAGTAGGCATCACACCACGACGTGTCCCGGCGTTATGTTATTGCCTGGTCAACATTTTCCCAGCTATAAAGCCGTTGGATCTGCCACGACAGTCTTGACAATTCACAAAAAGTTGAGTGCCAAACAGACAGAGAATATATCGCAGACAAAATCATGAAGACCTTTGCCACAACAATCATCACCGCGCTCATCGTTGCTGCCCAAGGAGTCTACGCGTTTCCGAGCACTGGTACCACACCGCTGAGGAACGAGGCAAGCAAGCAGGATATTCTTATTGGGTCTGGAGCGATCAATCCGATGTACCTCAATGATCCGGAGTTCGCGGCTGTCCTTGCCAATCAATTCAACAGCCTCTCTCCCGAAAATGAGATGAAATGGTCGTTCATCAACCCGACCAAAGGGCACTACAACTGGGATACGCTCGACCGCCTCGTGAGCTTCGCGGAAGATAACAGCATGGTGGTCAAGGGACACGGGCTCATCTCGAGCTGCTGTAACCCTGACTTCCTGCTCAACATCACTCACCCTACAGCCTTCCATACTGCGATGAAGACTCACTTTGAGGCGATCATGCATCGATACGACGGCAAGATAGATCGGTGGGATGTCGTCACCGAAGCCCTGAAAACTCAGGGAGGCGGCCTGAACAACAATACCTTCTATCAAGTTCTCGGACCCGGCTACATTGCAGATGCCTTCCGCATCGCCCGAGCAGCAGCCCCAGACGCCAAGCTATTCATTAACGAAAATCTCGTCGAGTCACTTCCCGGCAAGCGCCAGGAACTTTACAACCTGGTCTCCAGATTCGTGGCAAAGGGCGTCCCAATTGATGGAATCGCCCTGCAGATGCACATCACTGAAGTAGCCCCGAAACCGGGCGTGATCACGGAGATTGTCAACTCCTACAAGGCGCTCGGATTGCAGGTGGCAATCGCTGAAATGGATGTTCACACGCTCGACAGCGCGGTCGAGACTGATATCTACGGCGCCGTCGTCAGCGAGGCTCTCGACGCAGGAATCACCGACATTAGCTTCTGGGGCTTTACGGATAAACACGCTTACACCTGGGTACAGGGCGCAAAGCCATTGATGTTTGACCAGTGCTACAAGCCCAAGAGTGAGTTTTATGCCACTCACGCTGCTCTCGCCAACTTTGTCAACCGTTCCTAAGGAGCTTGAGCGCCATCTAGCCACCAGAGATTGCGCTTTACAAGTCTACAGACTTAGCCCTGCGAGATTGACCGTAGATGTGTTTGAAGAAAAAATGTCGACGAAAAAAGGGTGAAGATCTTATTGACGCATCCGAGGAATTTTCAACATTCCTAAATGCCTGATTTGTTCCATATTCATAAGACTGTTAAATTTTCCCAAGGCACCTTACATCATTATTACATTAAGCCCAATTCTCCTTTATCGTGTGTTTATATATTATTCAATGATCCACACTTAAGTTTCATTTGGGCTAAGCCCATACTAGTTTGTATTGTACTGACCCTGTTCCGACAGTTATGAGCCCAGTTAGCCCAGAGTAACGGCTGAGACCCTTCCCGCAGGTACAACTGGACCCTCCGCCCGACCCTCCATGGTCAATCAACTAATCAATCACGTTTCTGTTAAGTATTTGGAGCCTAGGTTAAATCGCAATACTATTTTTTCCAAATGAAACAAGAGCCCGTAATCCGCACCTCTGGTCATGCTTTCATTGTACAGAATCAGAGGCTGATGTGCAACGAGAGCATCAAGATGCCAAAGCTCAGTCCAATATAGCAAGCACAAGACTATAATTCCATTTGAAACTACTCTCTATAACCTGAAATTAATTTGCTTCCTTGTTGTAATGCCGCCAAATCTCAACTTCTCCTCCACCGCGAATCACCCCAACCCTCATCGAAGAAAGAAGGTTGTGAGCAGCATTAGAGTGCATATAGACACCACCGTTGAACAAGGCAGTGGCATCCTTTCCAATAGCGGATGCAATAAGAGACTTGCCACCAGGGTGCTCCTTGATAAACTCGGTCACATCGTGAACAACACCAGCAATAGCAACCAGAGCTTTGCCGCTTTGAGCCTCGGCGAGATAATCGTCCCAGTCTACAACAGGCAATTGCTGCAAAGGAACGCCCCAGTCGAGCTTGGCGCGTTCCTGGTCGACCTTCTTTTGTAGTTGTTGCACGCGGCCCTTTTCGATTTCGTTGGCGCGGAATTGTTTGAGGTTGGTTGCGAGACCGAGTTGCTTCCATACCCAAATAGACCACTTGGTAGGGTCATACTGCCACCACTCAATCGCATTGCGGTAATCGGAGGGGAACTGAGCAGAATGGATGAGTGAATGTCAAGTGAGGCTCAGTGGGGACGCTATGCTCACCTCGTGATGGAAGTTGTGGTAGCCCTCGCCTAGAGTGACCAGCGCAGTAATAACATGATCGCGAGGGGAGTTTCTGTCGTCAAATGGCTAAAGCTAATCAGCATTCCGAGACTGGGCTTTAGGAAGATAATGACTAACCTGCTCACCCAACCAGTGGGCAAGAGAATTGACACAGAAAGTCGCTTGCTGGACAAACAAAAAGCGAAGAATGCCTGCATATATCAGACCACCCTTCCAATCACCCCAGCCCAATCCAGCTACGATCATTGGAAACAACATTCCAAAGGTCAGGATCAGATATCCATAATTCCGGTGCTGCCACACAACGACAGGGTCTTCGTTCAAGTCAGAGATATCCGTTCTTCCATTGTTCTTGGGGTTCTGCTTCAAGACCATCCACATAAAGTGTGCATACCAAGCCCCCTTCATCACGCTATAGGGGTCCTTGGCCGTGTCTGTCCATCTGTGGTGCGCTCTGTGCTTGCTGCTCCACCACCGGATCGACCCTTGCACAGCACCGGCGCCGCCACATGCCAAGAATATCCTTAAGGGTAGACATCTGGAAAATTCACAAGTCAGCCAAACTCGATTCCAAAGACCCTAAGAGGTGGGTGTAAACTCACGCTTCGTACGACCGATGTGCCCACAGACGATGGTATCCGCCAGTGATGCCTAGTGCGGTCCAGAAGTAGTAGAGAACTGCCCAGGCAGCAGTAGCTGCCCGAAGCTCTGTGTAAAATGCCGCGAAGCAACCTCCTAGAGGCACAATCAAGATGAGAGTTGTGTTAACCCAGTTGACATGCTGGTGCCAGTTACCAAGAGTGATGGCTTGCTCTGTGATATGCAACTTCTGTTCACCTGGCTTTGCCTCAGCCATTCTGGCAGGTTGTGATGTCGAAATAACAAGACTAATTGATATGAAAGTCCCACAAGTTGACGAAGGGTTTGAATAAGATGTTAAATTGCTGAGAAGAAATAGATTCCGGATAAAAGATTGATACTACTATTTAACAAAAAAGAGTCTGCTTACATGTACAGAATGATTCATGCCTGCGGGTGTGCTTCTCTTCCCAGCAAGAAAGTGTTGAATTCGTTGGGAATATGTCAGGCAACGGGTGTGCCCAGTCAGTAATGTATGGTTGACCTGGCCCACCGGGATTCATCCGAACGCCGAGCCCTAAATAGCCAGCCATATGTACGTTGTAGACCCCATGAGACCTCACTAGTCATTCTAACCCAGTGTGTTCTAGAATTTTGAGTAGTTTTTCAAGTATCATTTCAACAATAATTAGGTCATCTCACTGTATCGAACCCGATCGGGGCCACTCCAAATTTGGCTATGACGAAAACTGAGAATTCCACGTGTAACCCGGGGGCCGTATGATTCTTGCTCAACAACTTGAAGCGAGGAAACACCGACACAGGAAACGATTAAACAGGAAAGCATAGCTGGGGATGGGCGTGGTAAGTTTGTACAACATAATTGCCATTAGCTTTTGATGGTTCTGGCTGGTTATTCAGACATTATACTATGTAGATCACTACATCCCATCTAAAAATCTGGCGACATTTCCTAATCAGGTATTCTGCCTATCCATCTTTTTGCCAGTCTTTTTTCGGATCTTTCTAATGTTCTTTCGAGGTTATTTTGATACATCAGTTTATAGCGGCTGAAATTCCTATGAAACCGTCTTGTTGGATGACTTTCGATATGACTTCGATATTTTTTCAGGCCATTTAGCATCGTGCATGTGCATATTTAGTTAGCCTATTGAGAACATGAATGACATCACTGGCTTAGATCGGTGACAGATTGCGATAGATGTTCAAGTCAAAGGACGAGAATAATTAATTTTAGTTAAACAAGTTGTTGAAGATTTTCCTTACAGAGTAATTTATGATACTTCTGTATGATTGTTCCATCTCTATCTTAATTGTTTCCTTTCTCCCTGCTGCTTACCTGGATTAAAGCCATAGGCTTAGGATTGCACCGAGGCTGACTGGAGTCCGTGCGCTAGACCTCAATCCTGTCGCCTACGATTCTCTGAGGCTATTCAATACTAACTTGCCATCATTTGTGTCACCAAAAAAAGTTGCCATCATGTAAGGGAGAACGGGTCCCTTGTTTTCCCCCCGTGGCGGTCGTGAACTTGTTCTTCCAATATTCATGCTGACATCATTAAGGTCATCTGCACCTGTCGAGGACAGCATGCGCCTGCTCACTCTCATTCCTTCAATCAAGCAGATATGCAAAGATGAGGGCATCTCGGGCGTTTCAATCGGAGTTCTTCACCGTGGGGAGACCCTGTGGACTGAAGGGTTCGGATTTCGCAATCAGGCCAAAACAGTACTTACGGATTCAGAGACCTTGTATGGGATCGGAAATCTCACAATGTCAATGGTAGCTGCCGGTATTGGAAAGCTTGTTGACGGTGGAAATTTCGACTGGAATACCCCTGTGAAAGAGATCCTTCCCGAGTTCTGGAATGTTGATACGACATTTGCCTGTGAAGTCACCATCGCGGATCTGTTGTCACATCGCTCTGGGCTAAATGGGAATGCAGAGTTTCGTTTGGCTTCTCATGGTAATGGCGAAGTGTTACTTTCTCCTGATCAACTGTTTGAAGCCATCAAAATCATGCCTTGCTTGGCTCCGATACGCTCGACCTGGAAAATGTGCCCATGGGGATATTCGATAGCTGGGCATATTGTTACCAAAGTAACTCAACAGCCACTCCATGAATACCTCAAAGATCAAATATTCGGACCACTTGGTATGGAGGCCACCACGCTGAGACCGTCATTTGTTGAACACACGAATTTGGCCAACCCAGACACTTCATTAACAAATGTGGATACAAATCCATTGGCAAACCGTCTACAATCTGAAGACACAATATTTCAAGGCTCATGTGGTGCTTACTCCTCAGTGAACGATCTTCTCATATGGGCCAAAGCAACTCTGGCTGCAAGCGAAAGCATACAAATCGATGCTGCCTCAACACTGAAACAAATTCCTCATATCGTTAGCAATCAAATCGCCATCGCAAACCCATCGTTGCTGGAAAGATCGTACGGATTTGGATGGGCTCGAACTCAACTTCCAGGAAGAGTTGGCCTCACCGGTGATAACAAGGACCTCTGGGATATTTCCGAGCAGCCTGTCTTGGGAGCTGGAAGCCAGTCGAGACTCATGATTTATCATCAAGGTGGAGATGCTGGATATTCTTCCTTCCATGCTATTTTCCCCGAGACAAAGTCCGCTGTCGTCGTGCTCACTAACACAACATCCGTAAGCGATGCTGCCGATTGGATTGGGAGAACTCTCATTGATGGTTTGTTCAACTTTTCCAATCCTGTCGATCATGTAAGTCTGGCAGCGCAGGCCAGAATACGAAGGATTGAACAATTTCGGGCCCTGCAGGAAACGTTGACCAAAGAACGCAACAATGGAACAACCCCACTCCCTCTTGGGTGCTATGTCGGCAAATATATCAACAATGACTACAAGTTCATGCTGGAAATCACTTTGGACCCTAATTCGGAGCGCGATCTCATTCTTTGCTTCCAAGGTCGCCCCTCTCAAAGTTACAATCTCCGTCATTACCACGACCACGTCTTCGAATGGAGCCTGTCGTACGACGAAGTGAAGAAAAGAGGAAGGCCCAATATCACAGACCCTTCGTATTACAAAATCCAATTCGAGATCTACCCCGACAAACGAGCAAGCAAGATCATCTGGCAGTTGGAAGACTCGTCGCTACCAAAGGGGTTGACGTTTATGTGGAAGGACGAGAAACTCGCGGAAGCATGGCGTGCAGTGCACAAAGGTATGGAAAAAAAGCAAGATGATTCAATAAAATTTGCTAATGATTTGTGGTGCCGTAGATATCGTTACAAGTAGCAGGAAGCTGTGCTGAGTTTATTTTAGTGCCTTTCTCTTTGGCTATAATGTGTGGCTTTGGGTTTAAGTGGCTCAGTGCACTATGATCGTTGTATTTCGTAGTTTATTTTAACTTCACACTTCGAGGAATCCTTTTTTGACTATATTTTATCCGAGATTCAACGCACTAACGATAAGCATGCCCACTCTGCACATAATAAACGAAAGATAACGTATGATTCTCTATCTTCTCTTCTTCTTCAATCGTAAATGCACAAAGTTTTATCTAGTTGCTGAGCCATTCTTTTTTCTCGGACCCCAACTCCATGGGCATAATGTCCCACCCAACATTGACCCCTTCAATGGAAGCAGAGTGTCTGACTGCAGTCATATCTCCAAATCCAGTCTTTCGTGTCTCCAAATATTCTTCGGGCACATCTTTGGGAGACGTATAGTCCTCCGTCTGGAAACCAGTATTGCCTTCGAACTGCCCAAGAGATCGAAGGTACTTCATTACACCAGCCAGAGAAACATCGACTTCCCATGAGCCCCCTTCAGTTGCCTGTTTATAAACCGCAGCCATGATACCTGCGGCCAGGAAATAGCCGCCTGCGTGATCCAGAGCCTGGCATGGTGTTGGACGGGATGCAGCACCGTCGCCGAAATGTTCCGCTTCGGATACATTCATTCCAGAGCATGTCTGAACAATAGAGTCAAATCCTCTCTTGCTGCTCCAGGGACCATTCGGTCCATAGGCGGACATGTTTGCGCAAATGATTCCGCGACTTTGGAATCGCTTGGCGAGCTCGGCGGGTGAAAGGCCTCGCGAAGCAACGCTTCCCGGTCTGAAGCCTTGGACAAAAACATGAGCCCCTTCGAGAAGGTTTGATATGTCCTCGCGGCCCTCCTCTGATGATAGGTCTACATGAATAGATCGTTTCCCCCGACCGAAATCACGATCAATAGCTGGAAGATCAGGGAGATTCGGACTAGTTACCCAAAGAACATCGGCGCCATGAGCTGCCAGAGTTTTACCAGAGAGTGGAGCAGCAATAACCCGTGAAAGCTCAAGAACTCGGAGCCCACGAAGACACTTGTCTGCGCCAAGAGACTGCATACCTCGCGGCAAACCTGGCGGACTATCACCCAGTTTGCGCAGTAGGATGGGGAACTCAGAGATCGCGCGGGCTTGTGGAAGAACGTCCCACTCCGAGTATTTTCGCAGAGCAGAAATTACGATATTGTAATCAAAGGCAGCAGACTCGAGGTCGATGGAGCGCCATGCGGCAATTTTGGAGCCCACTTCTTCGCGGTCTGCATCGTCTGAGCAGCCCAATAGTATCTTTGCTCCATCGCGATGGTTGGGGAACGAGTCATGAAGACGGACATGGCCATCTGATGTCTTGTGCAGACCACCGATAGGACCCCAAGGAGATGGCTTAGGTTTGCCGTCTAAGATGTATAGTCGCTCTGACTTAAACTCAATCACCGCATGTTGCAATGGAACCGTTACCAAAGGTACCGGGATGGAGTTTCGGTGTGCATGGATCTGTGCAGCGAGAAGAGCCGATAAGCCGATCGAGGCTTGCGCCAGATGCCCAATCTTGAATGAAGATGGCAGGCCTAGGCCCTCTCCTGTGAGGTTCAGAGATTTAAGGGCACTGCTCGGGAATCCCAACTCCTTCCAAATATAATCGACACTATCTGTGGCGGAGAAACTCGAGCGGTCTTGGAAAGGAAGAGATAATCTCTCCTCGCCGTCTTTTGGAACCACGATGGTCAAAAGGGGCCCATGCTGCTGAGTTCCCAAGGTATCTCTCTCCCCAATGGTTCCCTGCTCCCAAGGGCGGCGAATGGTGCATTTCCAGGCCAAGGCAGGTTCGAAGAACATGTTGGTTATTATATCTTCGTCTTTGAGATGATAGAGCCTCTTCATGCGCTCGTTCGTGAGCACATTTGCGTTCTTCACTCGTCGATAAGCTTCTTCACTATCGAACAAGATGTCAAACGTCAATTCAAAGGGCCCCGAATTCTTTGAACGAATTATCTTTGCAATTTCTAGCATCTTGCATTTTCCCTTCGGAACAGGCTTGGTTGTAAGTGGCTCTAAGCCCTTGGACAAAAACTTCTCCCTTTGTTCATCTGTAAGAGTAGGTGATGCCAAACCCCGACTGGGGTTCTCGATGGTGTAGAAATTGATTGGGAATAAATTGAGTTCTTCGCCAGGGAGAAGGTCGACAAGATGATAGAGATTGAATCGGAACACAGGGCCTGCTGCCGTCTCATGTGGTGAGAGGGGGGACGCAAAGTTTCCTGTCGTAGCTACTTGACCCCTGTACGGCATGTGTAAAATGGATGCCCGTGCACTGTTGGCAATGGTATATGAGCGCTCCTGAGTCGGGGCTACTACTTCACCGAGAATTCCTAGCTCATGGCAGATATCAGTAGCCGAGTTCGGCTCGAGCGGGCCCATGGTGCCATTTCGGCCATAGATATGGAATGTAAGCTGATATTCCGGGGACTTATCGGGGTCGGTGAACCGATTTTGAGTGAAGGCTCGTACCTCGGCCAAAAAGTCATCGATTTGACTGATCAATATGGGGTCTCGGATTCCGCCAATAAAGATAGTGCGGTATCCAAGCTTCTCAACTCCTTCTATTTTCACTTGATATGTCGGAGTTGGAACAAATTTTGCACCTCGCACGCGTACCGTCTTCTCGGTGATTTGTTCGTACGATGCATCGTCCAAGACAAGGCAGCCTCCCGGCCCTGGGAGGCGATCTGGCCGTGTTTTTTTATATAAGGTATGCGCTGCAACAGAAAGCGGTGTGCATCTTTCTTCTGATGCCAATGGTGTGAGATCAAAAGAATCCTTGCGAATTGTAGCAACCATCAAGCGTCCTTTGGGGATGGCGCAAATCCCACCACATTCCATTATCTTTCCCATGTGCCAGGCAACGCCAGGTTGTGCCCCATGATACATTGCAAAAGCCGCAAAGGGAGCTGGATCATACGACCGGCCCCCGATTATAATATCTGGCTTCTGTTTTAGAGACTCCGTGTATCTATTGTCTAATCAGAATTGCCTCGTCGAAAGAAATGAAGATGCATATCCAAATCAGACATACGGCTCTTCGCCCATTTGAGCGACAATACCAATTGCACGTTCTACACTTTCCAGTGTCAACTCCTCCACCGGACCGCAAGGAGAGACCTTCTGGTTAGTGATGCGCTTATTCAAAAGCTCTCTGTCAAAACCAGCAGCGATGGTGGCCACTTTGAACGAAAATCCTTCCTTGAGAGCGATCTCTGTAATGAAGCCCAACATTTCTTCGACGTGCTTATCACTCCCATCTCCGCCAGCAGATCCAATGAGGACTTGGATCTTTTGGTGAAAGCAGGCCTGTAGAACAGGCGTGAGGTCTTTGATGTACGACTCCTTCCCACAAGTCATCTGGTTCAGTCCAAGCTTGTATGGACCCCCATCGGTAGAGCCACTGTCAACTATGATGGCTTTGGGTTTGAATTCCTCAATTCCATACCAAAAATGCTCATGCTCGTAACCGTAGCCGAGCATGGCATTAGGCGTGAGGATATTGAACTCGACCGACATTGTCGCGCCTGTCAACCTTAATTGTTTCAAAAACAAAAGTGAGAGAACGTTTGGTTGGACAAGTCTTTGATTACTGCGGCATCTGATGAAGTTTTTAAGCGATTTTTCGTTCACCTATCAAGTCGAATATGGTCGGAATGTTCCCGTGAGGAGAGCTACCCCACTCAAGAGGGGAAATATCGACACTTACAACGTACAACGTTCAACGTATAATAATGGTAAGAACTACTCCGTAGCTAACGGCCAATTTGTGAATGGCATGATGCACAAGCTAATATTTTGCTAGATCTACTTTCTGTTTTTGTTTTGCTGTATGTCCTGCTGAAATTTGGGATGATTCCTGTACTTTTCTTGCGGGCTAGTGCCAGATCTTGGACTTATAGAAAGCAAATAGATATATATCTTGAGTTTTTAAGACGCGAACACAAGTCACACATAGTATGAAGAGAATATAATGTCTTGGACCTCGTAGAAGGTTAGCCGAGATATACATATGATCGAAGAGGAGTAGGCAATGCAGACCGGCATCTTCCCGCGTCGATCACCAACTACCAAGAGTCCAACGCTACCTCAATGTAAATCCAGGCCCCTTTCAGGCATTGAGACCTCCAAACGTTGAGTCGGGCTCGCGAGACTCCACCATAATGGAGCATAATGAGAAGGGTTTCGAGCTGTTCAACATTGGCAATGATAACACGAATAACCCACTTTCGATCGATGATATGCTTGCGCAATATTCAGATGCAGAGAAAAGTAAAGCTTTCCAAAAGTTGTATTATCATCTAATACTGCTGTTTGTCTTCCTTTCTTCGTTTTATCGTGTCATACATGCGAACACAACACTAGCAGCTAAAGCCTCGGCATTCTTTACTTGCTATCGTATATTGATCGTGGTAATGTTGGAAATTCTTACACTACAGGCATGGGAAAAGAATGGGGCATCACATCAAATCAATACTCTTGGGTGATCACCGTCTATTACATGGCCTACATCGTTTTCCAATGGTTTATTCTGCTTGGAAGGTGGTCTCACTCCCAGTATGTCAGCATCTTGATATTCCAATGTCCCATGGATTAAAGCTGAAAAATACTAGGTGTGGGTCGCTTTTATGGCCTAGGCTGGGGCTCTGCTAGCATGCTGCAAGCTCAATCAACAACTTTCCGGGCTTGATAGCGCTTCGTTGTCTGCTGGGGGCATTTGAGGCCGGTTTTGCTCCGGGTGTAGCGTTCTATCTTTCCTTTTTCTATCGTCGGTCGGAGATGGGATTCAGATATGGTCTTTTCATCTCGTTTTCCGCCATTGCAAATTGCTTCGCATCTGCACTAGCATCCGGAATTGTTCACGCTGATGCATCCATTGCGAATTGGAAGCTGCTGTTTATCATTGGTATGCTCCGAGTGCTTTTTAATTCCCGGCCCGGATTCTGCTTCTAACAATGTTCTTAGGGGGGATTCCTACGATTCTAATCGTACCTTTCGCCTGGATATTTTTGCCCAAAGGACCTGGGGAATGACTTTTCCTCACGGTGCGAGAGAATGAGATTGTCCGCCTTTGTGCCCTTTCAGGTTGCGGTTACGAAGGAAAGGGAAAGTTGAACATGGGTCAGGATTCCGCTGCGTTATTTGACTATAAGAACTACTTCCAAGCAATCATCATTTTCTGTTTGAACGTACGTGATGATGTTTCCAATGGTCTTTCTTCTACTGACCAAGTCAATAGTCTGCATTTGGTGCGCTTCCTGCGTTTCTACCCACAATTATCGAGGAGATTGGATGTTCCTCAATCCAAGAGCAAGGCCTATCTGCGCCTCCTTATCTGGTAGCATACTGTATCTGCCTGCTATCTTCCTTCTTTTCTGATCAATTTGGAAACCACTCCATCTTTCTCAGTGGATCAAACATACTTGGAGCAGCCGGATATCTAATGCAAGCGCTTGTCAAAACCGACGGCGTGCGATACTTTGCATGCTTTTTCATTTGATTTGTGGTGGCATTCTCCATGCGGTAGCATTAAATTTCACATGGGTCACAGATGATGGCGGCTCGGCGTCCAAACGTGGTGCAGGTCTGGTGATATTCGGCATGCTTGGCCAGACTGGCTCTATCGTTGGATCGCGATTCTTCCCTAAAGAGGGGAGTCCCTGCTATATCAAAGGTATAGGTATTAGTGCTGGCTTGCTGTTCTTTGCCGCAATCCTCGCTCAATTTTTGGGATTATTGATGAGGTGGGAGAGTCATAGTCGAGATGCTATTCACAGTCCTATGGACAAGGATAAGAATAGCGAGGCCATGATCAACTCTGGAGATGACCACCCTAATTTCCGATTCATTTTTTAGTTTCAAGGGTACTTTTTGAAACCCTCAGGAACCTCTACATATTCATGGTTGGACGAGTTAGATCTCGCGACCAACGGTTTTATCGCTGGCGTGGTCAAGTTCCTAACATTATATTAAAAGTGTATAGTAATAATAGTGGTAATTTCTGAACACGCATGCAATATTCACATGTTGAAAGTGTAAAAAGCCAATCCAATTAGTCAAAACCCCGTGCTGATATGTCCTAAAATGTCTTCTTAGGCTGAACCTGAACGCTTACAACCAACACCGTAATTTCAGTTGAAGTTATTCGAAGGTCGTATGACCCTAATCTATTATCAGTTCACAACATTATGATTTTCATATTGCTTTTCTTATAGTCCTATTCAATAGAGTTTTATTCTCCTTGATGACCTTCCAAGGTTGTAAGTATAAAGTGCACAGTTGGGTCTGTCGGTTCTCCCATCCGAACCATCGAGGTCATCTCCGAGGAAGACGCAGACTACATACTATAGCCAAGAAGGCTGGCAATGCGACCATAACAATCATGCTCGCGTCATGGGATGATTGAAAACAATATATGCGCACAATACTGCAGCGCTCTTTGCATTGTTCGACCATCATCTAGATTTTGGTTTTGGGGTAGAGGGTATCACATGTGGCTTGCTCCTGTCAGATCGTCAAGTACTCGACAACCTGGATACAGAATTGGTTGTTTTGCCGCCGATGATTGGTCAAGACTTGCCGCGGATGACATACTGGCATATTCGAGGAATCAGACTATTAGGGATATCCAAAGAAGAGCTGCAAATGGTGATGGATTGTGTACATTTGGTGGTTGAGTTTTGCGGTGTGACTTTGGATCGACTAACTACTGTAGATGTCGTCGAAGCTGATTTGTAAATGTTGTCTGTCAGTATAATTTTGAAAACAAAGAACAAAGACTGAAGCCAAAGAAAAGTGTCTAAGAAAATCCAAGAATAGACCTTCAAAGGTTCGAAGTTGTTTGTTTTGCTTACCTAACCACCTTGAGGGCGGTTTCGCATCAACTTGCCCGATGTTTTGATGCTTGCCCCGCGGTGTCTGTGGTTGTTCTTGCTATTTCAAAATCTATGTGACTGATCTGTTATTCAAATACTCGTCTGTACATTTTCATTGCATTCCTCAGGGTCCTCTTTCCCAACCCCCTTGGCGGCACGCGTGCCTCCCGAGATTCCATCGCATGAATCTACCATGTCGACCTCGCCGCGCAGCTACAGCTCCTCACCCGATATCCTTGGACCACCAGGAGATGCTCAGTATTTGATTTCCTCGCCTATTAAACCGTTTGTCGGGCGCCAAAGCTGGATGTCTCCTATGGTGGGAAAATCCAAATCCCGAACTCCGGCCAAACGACCGCGATCGCGCGTCAGTCTGAGTCCTGCGAAGAGCGCGCATTCAATTAAATTCAGCGATGTTATACTGCCTGGTTCGCCAACTATGAAACTCAACGGAGGTCGTCAAAGGTCCATTTCGCCGGAGAAACTTCAGCAGGACGGAAATGTCAGCCCGTGGCGCATTCGACTCACGCTCGAGGCGACTCAAGATGAAGAGGATGAGAATCGGGGAAGCCCTTCGCGCAAACGAATTAAACCGTCGACTGTCACAACAATGATACCATTAAAAGATGAAAGGAGTCCATTGATGGAAAAAACACCCTTAAGGCGGCGAGGTCGTCCACGCAAGTCGGATATGACTCTTTCTCCTTTTTTGGGGGCCCTGGGAATACTCCCCGGCCAGGGAACACCCCTGGTCCTGGTCATACCCCTGGTCCTGGTCATACGCCTGGGCCAAAAGTTGAAGATTCTCAACCTCGAAAAAGAGGCCGACCACGGGGTACGCCGAAACCAAAACAGCAAGATTTCGAAATGGTGGAAGACGAGCCAACTCCGACGGTTGAACACACGGAGCCTTTTAGTCCGATGGATATTGTTCTGAATAGTGAAACCAGTTTAGGTCATCAATTCAGCCCAATGGACACCATCACCAGTGAAGCTGGCCTGGAGCGACAATCCAGTCCAATGGACACTGGCAGAAGTGAAGCTGGTGTGGATTATCAAGCATTCAGCCCGTCGAACGCCATTATGCACGAGGCTGCTTCCTTTCAACGACGCTACAGTCCAATGAATACCGTCAACAGCGACGCTGACAGGATCCAAGAACAATTAAGTCCGACGGATTCTTTTGCTGGAAGCAACGCCCACGCCAGTCCAATAGACTTGGTTGGTGATGCAGTAGCCTCTGACGACGACTCCTGGGGGAACTCTGAAATGTCCATTGCGGATCTTGGTGATCCTACCGAACTCATCACAAACAACACCGAGCCCCCGCGCCGTGAATACGGCAGAACTAGCCTAGATACACCTGTAATTGGAGCTACAGAACACCACTTTCTGGACGATGAAAACATTCACTCTACTCCTTCCAAGATGCCTTCACCTACTCGCGAACGAGCAATCCGGTCATCAAGGTCTTCTCACGATATGGCCAGTCCACAATCACGCACCTATCCTACTCCAACCCCTACCTCCTCGCTTGCCGACGAAGAGAGCCAAGCCCAGGAGAATGATGTTGATCAGCATGCAGGGACAGATGTTCAGCCTGCTGAGGCCGATGCTGTGGATGATCCTACAGACGATCACGAAGAATACGAAGAATACGACACCATCATGGAAAGTGAAGGTTTCACAATGATCTCACTCGATACACTCCCATCTGCTAAACAGCACGGTTTCGGCTCCAGCGCCATGACCAATGGAGGCCCCAAGCCGAAGGAAGTTGGAGATCGCTTAAAACGCAAACTCCCGGGAACAATCGAAGACCTTCGCAGTGATTCTCATGCCCGAAAGTCCTCTAGTCCCCTTTCTACGAACATGGTACCTGGATCGCATGAGAGAACTAAAACTCATATTTCTGATAATCTCGCTGCAAATGCAAATGCTCGACCTATTGTCAACCATGTAAAGGGCGTCACTTATCCCGAACTTCCAGCAGTGCCTTCTCCCGCTAAGGTGACGATTGCGCCGAAAAAGAAAACTTTCACTAGCCTAGCAAAACTTGTCCGTGTTGCTCTCGCCCTGCAAGGTCCCTTTCGTCCACAAGGACATGAATGGTCCGGTCAGAACAATGTACAGCACAAAAGGCAACGCCTACAGGGCCTTTTCAGCACGTTTGGCATTGAAACACGGCGGGAATTGAGCATTGCAATGGGTCTGGGGCAGGAGATCGCTGTGCGGCGCATGATAGAAGAAGAAGCAGCGGCAGCGGCGGTCGCAGCTGAGCGTGCAGCAGCTCGTTTCGAAGAGCAAGAGGAACCCCACGACGATGAGTTTGACGAGCTCGAGCTCGACCAGTCACTGGAAGGCGAGGTGGAACAAGCTCGCCCCTTTGCAAATAAAGCAGAGAAGCACAAAGACACGATGCAATCCCCACATTTCAGACCCAACAACTCCATGCAGCAAAGCCCAATGTCACAGCAAAAGCGACAGCGGGAGATACAATGGCAGCTCGAGCGAGAAGCCGTCAGCCGCCAGGCCCAGATGGCATCAGCCTCGAGGTCGGTGGTCTATATCGACAGCGATGACAATGTACCAGAAGCGGAGGAAGCTGATGAGCCTGGAGCTGGACTTTCATATGACGACCAACCTCAGCTAGAGCCCAAACTCAAGCCACAACCAGCCTCACATTTGGATCCAGAAGTTGATAATCAGCCAGATCCCGTGGAGGATGAAGATGATGGCTATGATGATATCTGGCAACTCGAAGCCAATGAACATAGCTACTCTCAACACTCCGAGGACGACAACATCCAGTCCCACCCTATAGAACCGCCAACCCCTCTGGGCAATCTCTATCCAGCCCCCGCAGGTCGGGAGCGATTGAGCTCATCCCCTCAGGCCCCATCGGAGCATGATCTTGTAGCGCGTCTAGGCCCGTCCAAAGTGCGCGAACTCCGTGAGCAAAAGGTTGATCTATCTGCTTTGTTAGCGCAAGAAGATACGCCTAATCGCGCCCGATACTACAATGGGACGAGCACTCCTCGCAGTGTACTGAGTCGCCCATCAGGGACACAACATTTGCCACTCAACAGCTCTGTCGTGAAGCAAACGGTGTCGCGTACTCCAGCACATATTAGATTGCAGCCACTCTCACAGTCCAGTCCTGAGATTGGCAGTCCACAAGTCTCGTTCCACGAATGGGAAAACTCTCAGGCCATAGAACAAAGCCCGGCTGAAGAACTACCATTAGAAGATGCCCATGTTCGGAGCTCTAGCGCGGCTCGCAGTCCTTCAAATCCTGCTCAGCCGCACTCTACCTCTACCCCGGGGCCCCGTCGGCCCAATGAGGAGGCTCCAGGATCCTCCTGGTTCTCGAAGATCACTAGTTTCACTCCTCAATGGCTGAAAGCCCCGAAACATTTCCGCAGCTCGAGCGTCACTACTATCCCTGAGGAGCAATCTGACTCTGAAGGCGAGGAGGATCTGGCCGGCATCGAGTCTGCCAAAGAGCTCAACGAGCAGCTCCATGATGAGATGCTCTCAAATCAAGGGCGCCAATCGCCCGCAAGTCATTGGCAAGAAGCTTCTCACTCTCCCCGGGCACAGCAGCATCTCCATCCTACAATGGAGGAAGAGGAACAACCCATTTACGAGAGAAGCTCCTCTCGGCATCTTATGGACGAACACGAAGAACCAGGGTCTGAGCGAGATGATTTACAAAACCTCTCGGAAGATGAGGATGCAGAACCTGTCACCCACCAAAATGAGGCGTCTCCTGGGCCACGACCACTTGCTGCGTTCGGATACTTCTCCGATGAGCATTATGTTGCTCTTCGCCGAATCTACCGGATTGCCAAGCGTTATCCCGAGCGCTTTGAATACTACGATGCCCCGGGGCGGGCTGCCATCATCGGTGATTGGATATGGACCTCGGATGGCCATCACGGGGTACCCATCACAGAGATCCAATTTGCTATCATCGACCGCTTTGCTCAGGACCTTTCTCGGGCTGACATCCAATATGGTGGCAGTGGACATATTGATTGGACCGAAGCTGATCTACACCGGCGATTGATTAGCATTATCATTGGCGAGCAGATCCGAGATGAGAGAAAGGCCAAGGCTAACCGGGGTGCTTCCGTGGATACATGGCGATGAGCGTTTATCTGTTTACCTCTTTTATCTTTCTATTTTTCTATCACTTTTTTTTACCGTTTTACTATGCTTTATATCCTGTCCCTGGCGAGAAGTCACAGTCTTGTTTGGAATATGTCTATTCTTTATTTTATGATTCCCTCACGGTTGGCGAGTTTTCTTACAGAGTTGGGCTGTTTTGGGGCGTTTGCTGTGCCTCTCCCTGTTTTGGGCCTGTCTGGCCTCATCTTTTGGACATGAATTTGCATCAGAGTACTATAAATTCCCAGATTCCAAGTACCAATGTCCCCATTCCCGGAAGGGGATCCTTGAATTACAACTGCGAACATCCTGTAGCCAACCCAATATTGCAGATCGCCCATGGGTTTCTAGCCAACCACGGAAGTCTCATGCAGTCAGTTCCCTTGTTTTCCCGAGTATTTGATGGGGTGGCGATGGATTCATCAGTCGCATATCGGATGTCTAAGATCTAGAACATCTTCTGTCTAATTGAATCAGGCTGTTGAGTAGAATCAGGAACGGCTTCGCGTCTGTCTCATCCTACTCACATTGTGCAACCAAACTTTCATTGTATACGTATATTGTGTTTGTGTTTGTGATAGTTTGAAGTTTCGACCAAACCTGCAGTCCTCCATCTGGGCCAACCAGGCCCACCAGCGCCTCCTGCACAATCGTGTCTTCTCGCGTGGCCAGCCAAGCAGAAGCCGGAGAGCCTCGCATCCCCCACCTCCGTGCGAGGCGCCCCTGCACGCATTATCGTCCTTGGGTATCGGTCTGGCTGGGTCTCGAACTACTACCAAGCAGATTGATCCGGGCATTATAAAGCAGGGATGATAACCTTGGAAGTCGACCTGGAAGAAGTCAGTTTCCAAGTGAACACATCAAAACCATCGTATCTATTGTTCCTCTTCTTTCACTTCCACTATTCTATCCATCTGAATGTGTTCATGATCAACACCATGTCTGTTTTTACAATTGTTCACCGGGCCATACCACCCCTCCCCTGGAAACGACGAACAAGTCTAAAAGGCAAATCCCACCTCAAAGTCCACGAGATCGAGATCAGCGAAAAGAACGACATTCCAGAACCAACCCCTGAGAGCGACTCCGAACCCTCCATGCACCGTGACGTCTACAAGACCGTGCAGATAGCGGTGAGGAACGATGCACGCGAGGACCCCATCCGATCCCAATCAGCACCCCCCACCCCGGAAAATAAGCCAAACCCAGACTCGGCTTCGGCACCCGAGAGCCGGGCGTCTTCCAGTGCAGCTCCCACACGGGCACAGCTCACCCGTGCTGTCAGTTGGGCGAGTATTGTCCGCAGTCGGGACCGGTGGACTGTCGAGCAAGAACGGGAGCTGGTGCATGCCCAGCGACAATTGGAGAGATGTCAGAAGGCGTGGAGTTCTGAGCAGGAGGTTTGGTTGGCTTATGTACGTTCATTGTTCGTTTCTTTTGGCGCTGCATGTTTGCTTTTTGTTTCAATGGAATTATTTGATGCAGTTCATTTCAAAACCAACCCCGCTTATACATGCAAAATTGGCTATATAGAAACTAACGTAATACTTCTGACTCAGGTCGAAGCCTTAACCGAGGAAAAAGAGTCTCATACAGATTTCCTCTCGGCACGTCACAGACAGCAAGGCGAGGAGCAGCATCAATTCCGTAAGGCGTGGAGACGTCGACGATCGTCGGGCGAGGAAGAGGTACAGCAGAATGCGATCGAGACCGCGAATCGATTGGGGAAGTTACGTCGCTTACAGCGCTATGGATATTCAGGGCAGCGGTTGGGCGCTGGATCGACGGCTTTGGCGGTTAAGGGGTAATTGATGTGATGTAGCTTTGATTATATAGTAGTAATTGAATAATACTTGTATATGTGCTTGGGCATCTCTCTTTTTTGCCACCGTAGGGTTGGGTTCATGTGTACAAGTGTATTCTATTTGATATCACATTGCTGGTGGCATAACACTAGGACAGACTAAACACACTACACAATTTCATTTTCGGCCATGCTCTCTCATAGTCTCCCCCGGTGCTCGATTTTCGGTCTGCCTTTGATCAAATCGAATATGACTTTTGGAATCACGATCTGTCTTTTCTCTAATTTGGAAAAAAATAAGAAACAGGTGTCGGGAAGCCACAATGCTCGTCCACTATAACCCTCCCTTCTCTCCTCCTTTTCAACTTCCCTTTTGTCTTTCTCTTCTTCCTGTATCTAATTATCTTCATCCAACAGATTATCTCAGCAGTATGCAGTGTTAACAAGAACAATTGAGTATCATTATATGTATCTATTGTATATGAATAGTAATATTGGAATCAAGCAACCGTAGAAGTCCCACCAACCCGAATTACACCCCAAATCTACTACCCCTTCTTCCTGCCATCAGGCCGCTTCCGAAACAAATCCGTCAAAGCATCAAATGGCACCGTAAGAAGACCAGTGACGCTCCCAAAAGGCGGCTTAACTGGCGCCAACGGATGCGACCCCGGATGATATAGTTCTAGCCCTAATTCGATATCAAATCCAGGCACAAAACAGAATATTTGATATTGAACGTGATCTTGATCATCCTTAACACATACAATAATTATTGTTCTCTGCCCAAAGACCAAGCCTTTACCGCAATATTCCCCCTCCCCTTGACCCCAACAATGGTCCTCTCATCCCAAAACGCCGTGTGCGGCACCCATTACCCAACCCCCAGATCTCGGCCCGCACTTAAGCAACAACCTCTTAACACAGGAAGTCGACTTCTGGGTACAAGGTTTCGCGGAGTTGGCCGGCTAAGGGATATAATATATTTGATTCTCGGTCATTTTCGAGACGTAGATAGGTTTGATCTAGTATGACAGATGCGGAGACCTATGAAGGTAGAGACAGTACAAATGCAAAAACACAATGCTTCCACAATGCTTCAACGATCGAACTCTTTTATATGTTCTCAATTCTCTTGAATGACATTGGTCTGGTATACCTAGACTCAAGCCATGGCGTACCAAATCGAGTAAACCGACCTAAGGATGCGTTCATGATCTATCCTGACAGTTCGCTGGGCATTTGGAAGTTGACTGCTGGATCAAAAATGTAAATTATGCTCGCCCAAATATAATAGGGGCATCCATAACTCAAGTACTATGTGGTTGTAGCCCATCAACAGGGGCCAACATCCGAGAACAATAGACACAGAAAAGAAGACAAATACCAAACTCCATCCCCCACAGCTAATATGATCAATGACAAAGTGTACTCCGTATCCGTAACCTATGGTGAATACCATCCCATCCCGTCTTAACGTACATCCGAAAGTTCATGCAGGCCCCTTAGTTGTTGCGGGTACGCTTGCGACTGCGTTCGCGCTCCATGGCCGTCGGAGGAAACATTTCCAAGCCAGGGTTGTGAGCACCGGGGGTCCAATCGATGCCCATGGATGGTGAGAAGTCGGGGTGCAGCTGACTGTAGATAGCAGGGTCAGGCGGGTGGCCGTCGACCGGATCTACGGAGGCAGGAAGGGGCGCTGCGACAAGTTCGACCAGCGAGGAGTCGATCCAGTGGTTTGGCTTGGATGTGAGGCGACTGATGCGGGCACAATCGTCGTCGACTTCCTCGTTCATAAGGGCAGTCAGGGGTGGTGCGTTGCCATTTGGTCGGGCGTGGTGGTTGGATAGGACGTGATAGGGCAGGTTGGGGCGAGTAGCAGGCTTGTCGGCCAGGTCGGCGAGGGCACTGAGAGCACTGTGCGCAGCGGTGGTGCGGGTCGAACGGGTGGCGTGGAAGTTGTGACTTGCAGTGCGCATCATGTCGGCGGCGCTCGGAGTGCCATTGTCTTCGTGACCGGTGCCTTCGGGGGTGTCCTCAGCGTCGGTATTGTTGCCATTGGTCACGGCGCCAGATCCGTGGTCTGGGCGCTTTGAAGTAGAGAAGAAGTGGACCGCCGCAACATGTGCCTGGTTTGCGTGCGCACTCAGCTCCTTGTCGGTGAAGAGAGAATTGATGGAGTAGGTAGGGGCCATCTGCTCCTTTGCGACATCCACCTTGTTGCGCTTGGCGGGAGTCGCATCGCCCGCGTCCCGCGGGGGCGATCCAGCTTCCTCCTCGGGGGCCTTGCGCTTGCGCTTGTTCAGCTCCGAAATGACGCCATTGCCTAGTTCGTCTAGGTCAACGCGGTGGCGGGTGTGTCGGGTTTTGCGGTTGCTGTGAATGCCACCGGGGCTCGCAGGGTTGGTGATGCTGAACTGATTAGGATGGAGAAAGAAGGCATTGGTATCGGCGATATCGAGCTGCTCCTTTTCGCGCATGAGACGAGCGCGCTTGCCCGAGATACTCTGCATCAATCGCTCGCGGAGGGTAGAGGACAACTGGTTGAATTCTTCCTTGGCAAAGTAGACACGAAAATCATGTTCTCTGCCCTGGCGTTCCAGGATGTCGTTGTAGCCGTTCTGTAAAAAGAGAATTGCCGATTAGAAACCGCCCGGAGACGATAAGACGATTTACTCACCATGGTTGAAACAAGCTCGGCATCTCTCTTTTCTTTGATCTCATTAACCTGTTGCACGAACCGAGAATACCAGGTACCAGCAAGACCAGCCATCTCCTTAGCAAACTTGCTGCCGCCACCAACAGTGTCCTCGATCAGCGCAGCGATGCTCTCCGCGGTGTCCGAGAGCGGACCAGTAGTGTATGGATCAGCATTGTTTATTAGGGTCATGTCACACTGGAGAGCGTGCAATTGCTGGCGGAACTGGACATCGCGGTTGTTGCTGAACTGCGCGGTCAGTTCCTGGAGCCGCTCCTGGAGTGCAGTGCGGCGCTTGTCGCGTTTTGAGGGTGCACCACCAGCCCCGCCACCGGGGCTGAGGGGCGGTGGATTGGAATAGGACATCGTAGGTGGTGAGAGTGGGCGCGATGCTGTGGTAGACTGCATCGGAATAGTGATCGAAGGAAGATGAGAGGGGTGGGTCTACGGTCGAATATGGATGGCGATTTGTTTTTCCGTTCCGAGGTAATGGTAGACGGAAGTGATGGGGAAGTAGGAATTGAAAGTTTTTCACAACAAGAAAATGGAATAATGAAAAGGATACTCAAGTCGTAGGTTACTGAATTAATCGAGAACTAATGAGTCTTTAATGGTTCTTGTCACAGCGTAGCCCATAGTTGCGCGAACTATATACCTCTCCATGGAGCTGCTCCCACTACAATATTGTTTCAACAAAAAGCCAACCAAACGACCAAATTGTCCTTGAGCCAACATTCAATAACTAAAACAGCATACCGAGAACAATACCAGACTCATAAGGTTTAACAGCGGCTCGAATCCTAGATACAACTACAACCTTGGAAGCATTCCAAGGTTGGACCCGGTGTTTGAACCTAGGTGCAATAATCCGCAGATGCAGCTCACTATCCCCAAAAGAAGCAAGCGCCTAGCTAGCTTATCATATATAATGACGAAATGACTAGGATTTCCAAGATGACATACATAATCGCGAATGCTTGCATTAGGAATACCGGTGATGCCTAACGCGAGCCTGAGATAGACCGGCTGACCCAGCCCCTTTTCTTACGATCGATATTGTTCTACTCGACTCCATACGGAGTACTTACAAAGCAGAAGCAAAGATGCTGTTTATAGCTGATATATTCCCACTAAATTGTGTATATCTAGATCCATCATCAAGACAGAAAAAAAAAGAGTCATAAAACCCCGTTCGCCAACCACCAGGGTATTCATAGTTCATTCAAAAAGTGTCGTGGGAACAGCCCAACGAGTCATGCAAGGTGCGAAACAGGTCGCACCGGAAATCAAAATCCAACACCGGAGACGCCTCCATGAGTCCCATTTTCTTTTGGGGGAAGGCCGTTTGTTTAAAATATGCTATAGGGGAATAAGGGGCAGAAGAAAGGAAGGGGTGGTGAGGATCTAATTCGATCGACGGATGACAAAAACACCAAGCTCGACACCATCACGAGGCTCGTTGTCCTCGCCATAGCGTCGTTTGCGGATGCCGTCGAAGATCTCGCTCAGAAGGCCCGAGGAAGTGACTTCCTTGCTGCCCATCATGCCAGAGCCTGAGCCCATGGGCTTGTGGGGCCGGCGGCTGTTCTGCCAGTATAGGCTGAGAGTTTCCTTCATGCGGGCTTTTTCCTGATGGATGAACCATTCAGCCCAAAGGTTGCGGTCGAGGTGGGTGCTTCCGCGACCGGCATCAGCGACGTGGAATTTTGAGGAGGAGGAGCTGAGAGACTCGCAGAGAGCCACGATGTTGGCTTTCATAGTGGCAAAGTCGTCCATTTGGGAAACGGAGGAGAGTTTGCCGAGGAACCGGCCCACATCTGCAGAGAGCTCATTTACCACGACAAGTTGGCGGAGGAGAGGGTCGAGAATTGGGCCTAAGTATTGTGACTTGAAGGTTGAGGCGCCTTTTTTGGTGGGATACACGAAAAGGAGAGTGCCGCCGTTTGGTGACAGTTCGCTCATGCGGTCGACGAGGAAAGATGGACGGGTGGGGCAGAACACATCACGGTACTCTTGCGCGGAAGGTGGGGGGAGGTAGCGCTCGAGGACGGAGATGTGGACGCTGTGAGGGGGGACGATGGGCATTGGGGCGTGGGACATTTGCCGTTGGAGGGGGCCGCGGTAATCATGGTAAGCACCAACGACTGCCGCGCTGGAGAAGACGGTTGCATTGAAGTATTGCTCTGCAGCAGTTGGGGAGCGAGGAGTGCTGGGAGGAGAGAGTGGCAGGTTCGAGAGACTGAATTGCTCTGGGACTGCGTGGGTGACATTGATATAAGGAGATTGGCCAGGTCGTAAGTGGTTGTGGACAGCTTGGACCATGGAGGAGAAGACACTGCCGGTTTTTGGTAATGTCACCGACTGGTCGGATGTCCTGGGATATGGGAGAGTTTGGGAGACGATTTTAACGGCCTCGCCTCGAGGGTTGGAGTGAGCGAGTGATGAAGCTGAACGAAGACAAGTTAGTAATCGTTCGGCTATAACAAACCGTTTAAAACTTACCAGTCATGTTGATGCCATGATCCAGCCATGAACCCATATCCTGCTGACAGTCCATTTCATCGCGAGGTCCAGGGCTTCCCCCAGAGCTGGAAGATCCTCTGTGAGATAGCCCATCCGATGGGCTACTGAGAGTATCTGAGGCACCCGCCGCAGAAGAGCTGTCCACACTCGGGGATTCGTCCATCATAGGCATAGAGCCCGGATGGTGGGGTGCGTCGAACAAAAGCATCTCGGACTTGGGGTTCCAAGCAACGGGAATGTCTTCCTCTGGTGGAGTGGGGGGTAATATGGCGGGGTATTCACCCTGATATGCAGGTGGTGAATTCCAGGAAGGGGAAGCACTCAAATGTCTGGTCAACGGTCTCGGCCCGCGAGAAACAGTGGTTGACAGACGAAGACGTGAATCGACCGACCGGGTGCGAGACTCGGAACGAGACGATGGCGAGGAGCGTTGTTCCCACGATGGAAAATTCACTGCCACGCTGCTCTTCGAGAGGAAACGAGAGACTGGCGATGGTCTTGTGCGGAGGGATCCTTGTGAGGCTCGTCGACGAAGCTTAGCGGGGTTAAGTGTTTCTTGGGTTTCCGAATTGTATTGGGATTCGTTTTTTACTGGTACATGCATGGTCTGGTCGTCAGAAATAGGAGAGACGGGCCAGTTTCCATTGCACTGATTCATCCAGTCTGTGTGATCTAGCGGGCGAAGAGAGATAGCGGTCGGCATGGGGTAGAGGCCGAAACTCACGATCGAAGGAGTGACGGCTGTGACGGATGTGACGGGGATGGAAAATTTGGAGAGATGGAAATTAGGGTGAGGGAGAGAAGGATGAGTATTTGAGAGAGAGAGAGAAGGGATAGACAAGGAAAAGAAGCAAAAGAGGGAAACCAAATGGAAACTGACGGATGGGCAAGTGGTATTGGGTACCTGGATTAATTATGGAAAGATAGGCATAAGTTCAGGTACTGGGTACTAAAAAGATTTGGGGCCTAGACTCTTCGAGAGTGGGCAAAGTCTGGACTCACAGAGTCATGTACATCATCGAAACAAAAAGTAAGGGATAATTATTATAATTTACATAGTTATGTAACATATGTAGTTACTTCATTTTGAATTTCTATATGTTATATATTATATTATATTAAATAATTTATCTAGAATTAAAACAATAAGAATCAGACACCAGTTTAACAATGTGTTATGTATTATGTATATGTATGGTTCTAAAAATGTGCACCTGGGCAGACCGGTCTGGAGCCCTGGAGTCTAGAGCGACTGACTTAGCTCCACTTAGGGGATCATCCATCTGGGCATGGATTTTCGGTTATGAATCGAGTTGATGAAGTCGCTAGTTAAGCCATATTACCTCCTCATTACCTGAACCAGACTCTAGCATATATCTGACCACGCTAGATCATCTTAAAATTTTTTTAGTCGTCTAGAGTATTTTGTGTGCCGCTTTCCCTGATTTCTTCCCTACATATGTATATTCATACATGTAATCAGCCTGATGCGGTTTCAAAGATGCCTGGTACCATAGAATATCCGTGGGCCTAGATGGGGTACTCCATCAAATAATACGTGAGCTTGTGCATAGGCCGGAAACGGGACTTGCCACTGAGAGGGGTTGGGCAGTACAACGTAGGTATATACTCGTAATGCAAATCTAATTTGTTACCTCTCCTTTTTCTTATTTATGCCAACGCATACTTACTACAGGTTAGGTACATAAAGTATGTAGGTAGCCATGGAATAATTATTGTCTTGCCATTTGTCCTTTACGTAGAGTCTAGCCCTAATCTTGGCCCACCATCATCAAATCGGCATTCGTTATCTCTAGTTCGCATGAAGTTCGCATTCTGAAGACCCTGAACTCCGATAAAGTGGCATCTGACAGGCCCCATACCTAGGTATTCAGATCCAGTCCGATCATCTAAGTCGGACGTTAGGACCGTTTTAATTTCCACTGTGCGCCCAGATCTGGTTCACTACCCTGTTGTATCTCCCACTTGGTCCACTTGTGTCGAATAGAGTGTTTGCCACGGGCCTTAGATTAACCTGGGGCTGTCAGTGGTGGAATACATAAGTCTTGGAAATTGTGCAATATCTATCCTGCACGAAATTTATTTCTGACAATGTACGTGGATATGTACACGCGGACTGAGAGTCTGGCTCAAAGTTACGGGATTTCCAGTGGCAACATGCATTATGTGCCTAGGTATGTAAGCTTCGATGGAACAAGTATAATGTGTAACATATAACATATGGTACATGGTAGTTGGTGGAAATGTAATATGCTGATGATAGGTTGATGGTATTAAGATTAAGATTATGGAGCTAAATCTGAATATTCACTTTCGCAATCGGACAAATAGACCGACGCAACGATCTTCTCGATCGGAGATGGAACACTGGGAAGCTTTTCCCACACATGGTTGAGAAATTGATTGCATCATGGCAAAGAAGCTCAGATGCGTGGCGACCCTTGCATATCGAGAGTCTGGTCTCGGTCGCGTGCTGGGCCATGCGCTGGCATCGGGAATATATCCCGTGAAGTTACCGGGTCGCTGAGATCCATAGGTCTTTCAAGACACTTTCAGGGATAGCGAGTGGCATGACAGTGCGCTGCTCTATAAGCCGACCCGGTCGGTTTTGAAAACCGGAGTGTAAGGGGAGATGCATATGGCATTGATCATGCCATAGCCCGAAATTGCCACTTCAAGAGGTCAGCGACCGGCGCCGAGACTGAGTCGCAGTGGTACAACCGGCCAGCGGTTGCCTCATTTCCGGGAAATTCCACAGCGAAGAACGGTACCGCTGTTCCTCGCGTGTGAGCCGGACCTGCTTGCGAGCGAAGCTAGAGGGCTTCAATGGGATGGTACAGGAAGCAGAGCGGTTGGCGTAGACAGGTGAAGCCTTAGTCGAAGCATGGGGGTTTTCCATGGTTGCAGTAAGCTCATAACACTGACGGACGAGCTGGCGCACGCCATCGGTCAAACGCGAAGCGCGTTCCTCAATATCGGGCCAGAACGCTTCTCCCCAGAACGGGTCTTCGCAGACGGCAGTTTCCAGCGCGTTCAACCAGCATTGGAATCCAGAGCGGGCGCCTGCAAGCTGCGACGCAACAGTAACGAAGCGGATAGTCGGTTCGGAGTGCAACACATGCTCCACGATGCAGGCCGGGCAACGAGCTTTGAGGTACCAATCGTGTTCTTCGGTGAGAATGCAGTTGAGCCAGGCGAAAGCGGAGCGAGCTTCGCCGCGGAAGACACGCTCGGGTTCGGCGCCTTTCTGGCTAGGGAGGGCGCGGGATGCGGTACGCTCGGCTTGATGGTTGATTAGAAACAGAGGGACGAGGAGGGTGTGGATGATATCGCGGTGGAGACGAAAGGTTTCTTGTTCGGCGGTTGTGCAGGAAAGTCGGTGGCCGGCGCAGAAGCTTGGTCGCTCCATACCGCATTCTTGGCGGCGAAGTTGCTCGCGCATAGTGCAAAAGGATTCATTGCGCTCCAATTCGACCAAGTCGAACGGGGAGATGTGAAAAGGGGACGACATATTTTTTGCTTTTCTGTTTTTCTTCTTCGCAATTTGTGTATATGATCGAATTATAGAACCATGTCGTGAGAAATATTCAAAGGTTATAATGAAAAATATCGAAAATATAAAGGGTCTCAAAATGGCCGGAAACAGGATGTTATAGTTACTTTTAGCTCCTCCTCTCACTCTCTCTCCCCCTTTGCGGAAACGTCATGGGCCACACACAACATAATGTAGATCCAATGAACTTCGCCTCCCGTTTTGGGTGCAAGTTCAAAGGATAAAGGAGGTGATCTTAATGGTTGGGATCCACTAGCTGACGAACACTTTGCTGGTAATGGTTATCATTGGCGGATTCGTCGGAATGCAATGGAGGAGTGGAGATTGGAGAGGAAGTCTGGACTGTTACTGTTACTCCAGAGCGGTTTTCTTTTTTACTCCAGGTTAAGTACCTTGTATACCTTAGGGCTTGATACTTATAATTGACAATATACAATATAACATATACCACCTTACTATGTGTTTTTCCTTCCTCTTTCGTTTCCATATGTCACTACACTATAGCACTGTCCCTCCCAATTCAAGATAACAAAATAAAACCCAACCAACTCCTATCTTCGCAAGGACCTCGTTCTAGCCCCGTGGTGACCGCCGAAAACCGCCCAGTGGGGTAACGTGGCTGTCTCGTGGCCCTTTTAAAAGAAGAGTTGATCGCATGGCGTTATTCCTAGCGTTGTTTAGATTATTGAGATAATATTGAGTTTCCAGTTTAGGGGTCTTTCTATATTACATTATTGTTATGTTTGATATTCGCCCGATTGTAGCTGCCCAACATTTTTCCAACAAAGAAGCTCGAAATATTTCTCACCGCGATAGAATTTTCTTTTTCCTTGAAATTTCATATCTGCCGATCGATCATCTGCCAGGTTTCAAAGGATTATCTTTTCCCGCGTGAAAATGAGAGTGGGTATCAGAGGTCCGCGTCTAAGTCCAGAATAGCAGTGATTGACAGGGTTTAAGATGGGGTTAATGGAATCCTTTTTGTGCGACAATATATAATCTAGATAGTAGTAGGTGATCAAAAATATAACTTGACCGGTGGCAATAATACAATAATAGTTAGTTGGGTAGTTGGCCACCTATTGAACATGTCTCAAGCCTCAGTCATATATTTTTGTATTCTTTATTTATAGTACCAAAGATCGTATACAAATTGATGGGACTCGGTAAATTCCGGCGCAGAAAGGGGGCCTTAAAACAATTACCTTCATAACCTTTTGGGGAATCCTCGAAGTTAATATGCAAAAACAAATCATATGTCAATATTGGCGCATATCTGTCAGTCTACTTGTATGGAGTACTGTAGATGTAACCTGCAAGCCACAAGATGTAGTGATACTATCTATCTGCGGTGCATCAAACTAGGGCTAGACCCCAACGGTTTACTCCGCTAATGGAGTAAACAGTAAACAGTCACTATTTTAGAACCTACCCAACTATGTAGAATGTAAACTATATACATAAGTTCACTCTCTACGTGTTTACAAACCACTACATATATATGATTATACTCTCGTACTTCAGTCGGAATGAATCTTAAGATTGAACTTATCCCTGGCATGTTGCGTAAGATGGAGCTAGGAATGAAGCGCGCTAAAGAACATCGGCCTGCAGATAATTTGGTTGCTCCAGTCCCAAATCAAGGAACCGTTAGTTTCAAAATTCTCTGTGTCTTCGTTTTTTTCTCTCTCTTCACTTCGTAGGGTTTCCAACGTTCTTTCTTTTTTGTTTGTCATTGATTGGTAGTTTCCCAGTTACTGCATTGGATCTTTGGGCAAGATAAAACTGCATATGAGAGAGAATTCTAATCCCAATTGTAGCTCTTTTCTCTTCTCTTCTCCAGTCGTTACTATTTCGTCTCTCAACATCCCATCTTCTACTTTACAGAATTAATCATGTTTTCCTCATTGGCACTTTCAGTGCCTTTGCTGCTCGCCGGTTTACAGGCCACGGCGGTGGGCGCCATCCCGAGCATCTCGGCTGTCGGATCCAAGTTCTTCTACGCAAACGGCACCCAATTCTACATCAAGGGTACTTACATTTTTTGTCATTGTTTGATTTGCCGAGTACTTGGCTGACCCAGACAGGAATTGCTTATCAGCTTACCCCAAGTGACCCGCTTGTCGATACTGCCCAATGTAAGCGCGATATCGTCCGCATGTCTGAGCTGGGCACCAATGCTATCCGTGTGTACCACGTGGATCCCAATGCGGACCACAAGGGTTGTATGTCGGCTTTCGCGGATGCAGGTATGGTTTCTTTGTATCACATCTCGAAGACCAATATTGATTGTCTTAGGAATCCACCTGTTCGTTGATCTCGATACTTTCACCACTCAGATCGAGCAAGTACGTGGCCCACTTTATTGATGTAGATCGTTTACTGACGATCACAGACCTCACCTCACTGGAATGAGACCCAGTTTGATCGCTTCAAGGAGGTGCTCGATGAGTTCCAAAAGTATGACAACACTGCCGGTGTTCTGGTCGGAAACGAAGTGTTGACCACTGCCGATGGCTCTGCTGCTGCTCCCTATGTTCTGGCTGCTGCTCGTGACATCAAGGCCTACCGCGACCAAAAGGGCTATCGCGAGATTCCCGTGGGTTACTCCGCAGCTGACATCGCGGACCTGAGACCTATGCTGCAGAACTACATGGCCTGTTCCTCCAATGCGTCTGAGCGCTTGGACTTCTACTCGCTGAATGCCTATGAATGGTGTGGATCTTCCAGCTATGCGCAGTCCGGGTACAGCGAGCTGCAGAAGAACGCGACCGACTACCCAATTCCCATCTTTTTCTCCGAAACTGGCTGTAACACCCCTAAGCCCCGTACCTTTGACGACCAGGCTGCCATTTTCGGCGAGCACATGGCTGATACTTGGTCCGGTTCCATCATCTATGAGTGGATTGAAGAGACCAACGACTATGGCCTGATCAGCTACGGAGCTTCCGTCGACCCTGCTACCGCGACTGGCACTCTCATCGAAGATGGTTTCACTCGCCAGGGTACCCCAACCCCGGTATCACCCGACTTCAGCAACCTCAAGTCCCACTGGGCTACTCTGAACCCTACGGGTGTTGCCATGTCCGCTTACAAGAAGAGCGCCACCAGCGCCTCCATCGAGTGCCCTGCGTCGACCTCTGGTGGCTGGGCTGTTGACCCCAGCTCGCCGCTTCCTACCTTGGGCCAGACCTATAAGAAGGGCGGATCTGGCTCTTCTAAGACCACCAAGAACAGCGAGGCTACCTCGAGCGGATCTTCCTCGACTGCATCATCCACCAAGGGTGCTGCTAACGGGATGACCGCCAGCTCGCCAGTCACTGAGCGCTTGCTCGCTGGCTCGCTGGCTCTGTCCGGTCTGGTAGGTGTTGTTGCATTCTGGTTGTAAGATTACGTTATTACTCGCATACCGACGACACAAGTCGTTCGAGTCATTGTATTGATATGCATCAAAATTTGGGATAGACGGGTTCGGCTAAACGGCACATGTTAGAGTCGGCGCGCGCATACAGGTTATGCTATCTCAGGTCTGTCTTTCACGAAGCGCGAAATGTACACAAGAAACGAATTATTAGTAGTGCTGAATAAAGTACCCGGTCATTAGACCCTTGTCAAAACATAAGATAATATACATCTTCAGCGATTGAAATCATTAAACGTCAATCCTTCAATCCCAGTAATGTTCACATCCAACTCTGGCAGGTAGAACTGCGGCGAATCCTGCTGGATTCGTATATCAGGTTCGGATTCATACTCGGAATTATCCAGTTCCTCTTCGGGATCCTGCTCTTCTTCTCGGCCTTGTCCATCTTGCTCATGTTTCTTTTTTTGAATCACGTCCCGAATCTCAGGTTCATCATCCTCGTCTTCATCTTCAATATGACTTTCACTCCCACTCGCATCCCCAAACCCAAAATCAAACTCTGAAGCCGACTCCGAAGGAACAACAGACGGCGCAAAAGAAACAGAGCTCCCCATGTTACTCCCCATCCCATTCTCATTAATAGCCTCCAACCCACGCTGCTCCTCAACCTTCACCACTTTATTTTCCTTCTCCCCACCCTTCTCCTTCCTCCTAATACAATGAAGCGCCAACGGCCCCTTCCCCCCAACCCTCTCAACAGCCGCAGCAAAACACCTCCTCACCCTCCTAGCAAGCGGCCTCTTCCCGCTCTCACAATCAAGCATAGCCCGGACCACAATCAACATCCTCGGCACCGCCCAAAAAGCCACATCAGACCGCCTATCACGACGACACCTCTTTAGCGCATCGCCCTCTAAAAGCGCAATCCAACTTTGTATCTGCACTGCATTCCGCGGCAGATGGAAACTCGCATCTGCCATGCCGCCGCCGCGGCCGGCAGAGCGGTTGCGCGCGCTGCGGTGCGAGGCGAAGGACTGTAGCGTTCTTTTGTGCAGGGTTGTGAGGATGTCGAGGGTTATGGCTGCGAGGGAGAAGATATCTGCTGGGGACTGGGGCGGGCCGGGTGTTTGGGTTGCTGGGTAGGGGGGTGTGATGGTTGGGTTTGAGAGGGTTTGGCTGGGGGTCGGTGGGAAGAGAAGCTTGGTGCTAGGGACTGGGTGGATTTGGAGTGACGGAGGGAGAAGGGGTTTGGGGACAGGGAGCGGGGTGGGTTTGGGCTCAGGGGGCTTGGAGGGTGGAGAGAGGAGGGAGAGGGGGATGGGGGGATGGAGGGTGTTGAGGTTGAGGTTGCGGAGGATGAGGTTGAGGAAGTTATTGAGGGGGGACCTTTGCGGCGAGACCAAAAGGCGGGGATGCGGTGTTTCTTTGTGGTGGTTGCCTCTGTGTAGCCAGAGGAAGAGGCCGCTGACGCCGCTGAGGACGAAGATGACGAGAAGGCGAGAGAGAAGCGGGACGGTGAGTTTGGTAAACCGATGCGGATAACCGTGCCCTTCGAGGCGGCGGAGTCTGGTCTTGTGTATTCTGGGGAGGAAGGCGGGCTCTCGTTCAATGGAGCCAGGGCGAGCCGGGCTGGCTTTTGTCTGCGCTTTGTGCGGCCTCCTGAGGCTTGGAGCGTTGGAGTTTGTGGTTGCGGCTTTTGAATGACTGGGGCTGCAGTGCGAGTCCAGCGCTCTGGCGCTGAGTAGTTGTATGCCTCGAGGTCATTGACATGAGGTGGCGTGAGGAGGGAATCGAGGGCCTGGAATTGACCCAAACAGATATGGAAATTGGCGTCGACGAAGATGTTGGAAGGACGGATTGCGCCATGGGAGTGGCCCCGTGCATGCAGCCAAGAGACTGCCGATGCCAGGCAGTGTGGCCAGGTAATCAGAATCTGACGGCGCTGCTCTTTGGTGAGCCGTTTGAAAGATAGAGGCTCATCTGTGAGGAAACTGTGGAGGTTGCGATCGGCCGTGGCGCCGGTGAAGAGTACGCAGACGCTGTCCTCTTTGAGGTATGAAGCATAAACCGAGACGACGTGCTCGTGTGACAATTTTCGTAGCTTGCGGATCTCGGCGAGGACCTCGTCCGCCGAGAAGAAATGTGGTGCACCGCCAATTTGCACTTGAGTCCGCATCAAGACTCGACAGACGGAGCCCGCGAGAACCACTCTGTCGACAGTGTCGTCACGACCGTGGATCCCGCTGTTGGTGTTGGTGCGGAATGCCTCCACAGGGACGCCTTCGTTCTCGGTATAGATGACATGCTCTCCCTCGGCAATTCCACGGACCAGATATCGCCATTGAGCGTGGAAGAATCGAGTATCTAGAGCGATGTCTTCCCCATCGGGCGAAAGGCGGAGTAGGTCAATGCTGTGCTCGGCGACGGGGAGGTCATCATCGTCACACGATTCATCGACTAGCGCGAAGATCCGATCAGGGATTCCAATCGCCTCGAGGATCAGAAAGACACGGCCGGCCTTCAGGAGGATCCATTCCATATACGTTTCACTGGTCAAACCTTCGCCCCAGTCCGGTAATTCGAAGAGCCGCGGGATATTCTCGGGTCTCAGGCGACTGACGATATATTTAGCATCGAGGATGGTCTTAATTCGCTCTTCTGGCCACCACAGTGAAGTGTATTCTTGTAATTGAGACATGGCATGACTTGTACAAAATGATATGGAAAAGCGAAAGGTGTTTAATATAAGCACATATAGACATCTCCGAGATGATAATCGGAGCGTTTGCGGCTGTCAGCCCCTGGCTCCACTTTCAACGCGTCGGTAGAAGGAAATTCTATTGGAAAGATGAACGCCTACTGGCGGATAGAAGGCTTATCTTGCAAGGAGAGACCATTACTCTCTCAATAGTCTGGGTGTCCGAGAATCATATGGAAAAAAAAGCTAACAGGGGTATGTTATATAACTCATATAACTAATACAACTAGTAGAATACAAAGAGATGATGAGTAGAAAGTTGTGCAGTATCCCATAATCGACATTGTTCATTGACCAATCTAGGGCTTTGGGCTTATCTCTGCAGTCTTTTACTAACGAAAGATAACGCGGAGATCACCTCGCACGGACTTTTTATAGGCTGTCAGATCATTCCTTCACTTATTTTCCTGCTAACTGCGGCACTATTGATTACTATGTCTTGCAAGGAGATGTTCGATTATTGGTTTTTGGTTTTGGTGAGTGACATGGATCATTGAAGATTTTCATGCATGAAGATCATTGCGGAGAGTTTCCGTCTATCTGCACAATAACCTCAAAAGTAAGCCTCGGGACACTTGGAACTGGTGGCGTTTGATAATAGCATTGACAATCCTGGTACTCTCCATAGATAGCCCTTCAATAATCGGAATCCGATTCAGCGCCGCTCCCATTCGCCTCGACCGTTTCACGCCCCATAAGTCTTAGTGGATGTCGTACATCATAGCCACAGACTGCCCTGGACCAGAACATCGGGTCGCATGGCTTGGATGAGCCCAAGCGGAGTATCTTCGGCGAACAAAGAAAAGTAGTCGATGAAGGCCAACGCGGCTAAACCATGTGCGTACTCCACATCATGAACGATGGGTCGAGTGGCCCCTTTCAGTAACTGCATAGATGTAACGGAGCTGTGACGAGCCGATCGCCGCGTAAGCGGGTACTGGAGATAGTCCAAATCTCCAAGGCGGAGAATATTGAATTATCTATTTATGTCAGAAAACTTTGCAAACCCCCGCTTAAGTAGGTGGTAAGGTCTTATCTGTGAGGTTTGGTAGGTCAATAATCTTCAAGAGCTCGGGGTCGTGTGCCTGAATGGATTTGCCTTTAACGCACTAAGACCCACTGCTCTCGTTCCCGAGTTTCGAGACGACACCACCCACCGGCTAAATATGTAGAATTGCCGGGTCGCACGCATGAACAATCAATTATGAATGTGGTGCAACGTGATAGTCTCTTCTGAATCAGGTTCCTGGTTACTATAGAGATATAGGATAAAGAGACACAGGTAACGACATAACAAGACTCAAGAATTTAGGGAAATGCTATGTATTTGGTCAAAAGTTCAACCTTTCAATAGCTTTCTGCCCAGGTGTCTGAAACTGTACCGGCGGAAAGGCTGACGCTGTGATGCACAAGGTCAAGCTAAGTACTATGCTCGAAAGCTGATCGAATCTTGATGTTAAAGGTACCGAGTAAGATCCAAGCCTCAGCTGTGGCTGGGAAGGACGAAGATTTCTTTGTTTTGCCTTGTATTGATCGATTTTTTTCTAACTTCAAAAGTCAAATTTAGTCTTGAGCAAGGCATACTTGGACCTCTTCTCTAGATGTCGTATATGATGCAAAGTCCTTTTATACAGTAGCACATTATGTCCACAATACTTGTCTCCGTAGCTGTGACTCTAACAACATTCCACCTTCCTCGATTCTGTGTGAGATAACGCCACGGGATGGTGAGTGGGTTTCTTGAATAATGAACCAGCAGGCGCCAATTATAAACATCAAGATATGAAACCTTCTAGAATGATCTGTGATACTATAAATGAGGCATTACGCCAAAGGTAATCTACATCACATTGTTCGCAAATTCAGCAAAGAGTAAGCCCTGGAGAAGCTTACTAGCGCCCAGGTGAGAGTTCAGTCGAATTATACGTAATCGGCATTGACTGCAAAGCATCTGACTGAGTGTCTACGTACAATTGGTTCAGTATATACAGGCTTGTTTGATGTTGGCATATTGAATGTAATGGATGCGTGTCTCTACTCTCTCATCCTGTATAAGCTTCATATGTCAGGCCTAAATTGAATTGCGCAATTACTTGATCATATATGAGCCGCTGAGCAATTCAGCCAAATTCCAAGGCAAGTTTGAATGAATTGTGAAATGTTAATGTAATGGGATATATGCTCTTCACCTTTCAAGCTAAGGTAAACACTAAATCACGTCTTAGATCATGGCGAACAGTTAGCCCTATATCCAGCAACCCACCGTAGGTGGCGCACCTTCTCAATTTGATCCCATTGGGGAAAAGTATCACGTTGGCCCTTTCCGCATCAACGTCAATCTTTATATTACTCCGGACTCCGTTGACCCTCTCATCACAACTGATGTTGATCTTCCTCAGCCCATCACTACCAATTGTGACACCCAGTTCAATGCTTCTGAGATCCCTACTGAACCTATAACTCCAGAGTCGATTTACGAACCGTTATCTGACAAAATGATTGTCATCACTGGTGGTGCTGGCTTTATCGGTTCTAACCTAGTGAAGGAATTCAATCACCGTGGTCTTACCAATATCATTGTCGTTGATGATATGACCGATGGATCCAAGTTCCAAAAACATTGTTGATTGCAAGATTGCTGACTTCATCGATGCTACTGTCTTCCGTGAGATGATCCGCACTAAGTCGTTTACCGCTCGCCCTCGCGCTATTTTTCACTACGGTGCCATCACCACGACTACTTCCACCGATGGCAAAGCCATTCTTGACATCAACTACACCTACTCGAAGGAAGTTTTCCACTGGTGCAAGGATCAAAGTGTTCGTTTCATCTATGCATCCTCAGCTGCTGTTTACGGAAAGACTACCAACTTTGACGAGAATGCCGGCATGGAGGCCCCTTTGACTATTTATGGATACTTCAAGATGCTGCTTGATCAGTATGTGCTGCAAAATGTTGATCTACGCTCCCCCCAGATCGTTGGTCTGCGCCTCTTCAGCGTCTATGGACCCAACGAGAATCACAAGGGCGACATGGCTAGCCTGCCACAGAGTTCAAGGCCATTCAACTACTCGGCGACTACGATGGAGTCAAAGGGGGAGAGCAGAAGCTCGACTTTGTCCATGTCGAGGACGTCGCTCGCCTCAACTGTTGGTTTCTCGATCACCCCGAGATCACTGGGATCTTCAATGTTGGCACTGGAGTTGCGACCACCTTCAACGAACTTGCCATTTATGTGGCGAAGCATTTCGGCAGTCCCGAGGGGTTCATCAAAATAGTCGACTTCCCCGCCGAGCTGAAAGGACACTACCAAAGCTTCACTCGCGCCGACACATCCAAGCTTCGCCGCGCAGGTTCCACCCTTCGCTTCCGGAGTGTCAACGAGGGCATTAAAGAATACATGGAGTGGCTTGAGCAGCATGATCTTTTGACCAAGGCCGCCGCCAAGTCCTTGGCCAAGTCATCCTCATCCAAGTCTCCTGTCAAGACTCCGGTCAAGGTCTTGTCCACCTAGTCTTTGTACCCCAAAGGTTTCCTCGACAATCCCGGTGCATCAGACGACATGGCCATGGTTTTCTTTTGTGATATATCCCTTCAAGCCTTCTATTGCGCGTACCTCCGTATCAATGTTCAAATTCGACCAGCGACAACAGAAAAGTGGTTAAAACCAGGAAAATACCAAAAAGGAAGGTTGGCGTTTCCGTTGTGACTCTCGAATGGATCTCATCTGCATTTGGATTGCATATCTTCCGACTCTTCATTGATTCAGAGGTTGATCCATGTGAAAAGTGCAAATAGAAAGCCCAGAAAATACCAAAAGAAATCGTAAGGGGTGCTTCCATCGTGGATGTGTCTTATCTGGACATGAAGTTTACTAAGATGGTCCTGTAAGCAGAACTGCTGTTAGCCATAATTAACTATATCAATGTCGCAAAATTCAAGTAAATTTTTGTATAAAATTGTAGCCGATCTCCTTGTAAGCGATCATCGGTACAAGTTAACTGTCAAGATACAGCCGCAAATTCCACAGGGGTCAGTGAAAAATTGACATGCTTTGCAATTGATAAACCTCTGGAATCGAATGAATTTCGGATACATCTTGGCAATGCCACAGAACCGACGAAAATATACAGATTCATGAAGTACAAGGCTGTTGTAGCTTACGGGCGGGTCTACGGCCCTGAGCGCTTTGTCGGTCGTGGTCTAATAGTTGTCTCGAGAGAAATCGATATGATGCTTCAAATTGTATGCTGATTAGGTACATTGAATAAAATGCATGCAGGAACATAGATATGTAAGCCTGTGGTGATTGCGAAAGAAAGGGAAGACATGAAGTTCAATTTTCATATGATCGACGCAAAAAGTGTGAACTATAGACTCCTCAGGTCTCGTCATTTGATAGTGGTTTCAACAGAAGTTCCATCTTTCCATAGACCCATAATGTTCGTTTGATCTATTTGTCGTCTAACGGAGTTGTAATTGGTGGTTGTGGGTGTGTGTTGTTCCAGTATCTTCCGAGAGAGTAACCCGATATTCGTCGCAAGTCAGAACTCCAGGCCCCGACCCGCGCCATGTCCATTGCGATTTTGCCGAGCCTGGACATTTAAAAGGTGGCAATCAAGGATGGCATGACCCCGAAGATGGCAGATATCACATGGAGGGTCATATCTCTCGTGTTCGATTTCGGCAAAGCGACGGATGAGAGCACCACAATATTCGTTGAACCTATCGAGGCTTAGTTCGTACGTGTCTGGAAAACTCTGGAGGTCTTTGAAGATCTCCGCGACGAGGTTCTTCAGTTGAATATCTTCTAGCCGAGAATCTTCAGTGGAGCCGAGAATCTCCAACAGTCTCATCGTTCCATGGTATGGAGCCCCAGCGGTGAGGGCGCCTGCGCTGGAGACTTGGCGTTGGATCTCATGAATGAGATCAATGGGGTTGCTAAATACAGACTGGCGGAATTCGAAGTCACAGATAGACCCGGGCACCTTGGGTTGCTGATTCGGGTGATTCATGGTGCATGGCGTTGTCGAGCAAAGTAGGGAAGACAAGAAGGGAGAAAAAGGAAAGATGTATATCTCAGCGTGTGATGAGAGAGAGGAGGAAGGAGGGAAGGCAAATACATAGGAAACTCCCCAGGAGTGGCCTCTGGCTCTCAGTACTTGGAGTTGGCGGAACTATCATTTTCTCCTGCTGTAAAAATGGGATTTTGTATCCTCAACATGTCAAGCGGCGAACAAATACCATACAAAGCAGAACTATGGAGATCCCCACAAAATGAATTTAGCTACGATCATAAAACTCTTCGGAATTCAGAATCGTTGTATAAAGAAAAAGCGAGATCCATCGCATTCAATTAGGGAGCGGATAAATAAAATACAAGAGCTTCTTTGAGGACAGACGACAGTCAATTCAAAGCCTGGACAGGACCTCGACCAAAATTCAAGTCCAATCACACAAGACGATGAAGACGAGCAAATTTCAACAAAACTTCGACCAATCCAAGCTGCACTGTGCGTGCAAGTTTATACTGTTCACTAAACAAAGAGAAAAGAAAAGTGAAAAATGGTTACATCATCAAGCTGAAGAAAGCAGCTAGAGAAGCCAGCACCAGGCTGGAAGCGACAGACAAGCTCGACGCGGAGTTGAAGATCGGTGACGAGCTAGCACTCGGCGAGTGTGTCGCGGAATGAGATGCGTAGCCGCTTGAAGCGGTCACAAAGGTCGCCGAGGCGGGAACGGGAACCTTCCCGGTGTTCGCTGGGGAGGCACCGCTGGGACCGGCGGGAACCAGACCAACAGTTGTGCTTGCACCTTCGGCGGTGCCAGATCCGGTCACGAAGCTGACCTGAGGCACGGTGACGGTGTAGGTCGAGTAAGTGATTGTGGTGCAGGGGATTACAGGGGCGGGAGTGACAGAGGCCACGGTGCTACCGGTGATGACGGCGCCGGTTCCAGTGACGGCTGCGACGCCGGAGGGTTGAACTGAGGGAGCGACGGTTGGGACCAAGGTGATGGTAGAGGGGATTGCGGTCACGATGCCGGGGTTCTGGGGAACCCAGGCGGCGCAGATACCAGTAAAGTAAGAGAGAGCAGACTGGACCTGGTCCTTGGACGCACCCCAGGCCTGGATGCAAGAGATGACCTTTGTGGTGAACTCGCTGTTGGGGCAGAAGCAGGAAGCATCGCTGTTGGAAGTGCACTTGGGGACGAGGCTGAGCCAGGTGTTGATACACTGCGGAACGGTCTTAGGGCAAGAGGATGAGGGAGCGGGGCTCGAGCTTGATGCCGGGGAAGTTCCGGTGGCTACAGCAGATGTGGCAGCACACTTGGTGCAGATAGTCGAGACGGAGGTCAGGGTGACTGTAGACACAGTGTTGGAGGTAGTCACATAGGTTGATGAATCAGAAGTGATAGTATGAGTGACAGGGCAGGTGGTCTCGGTCACATAAGTCACAACAGTAGTGGTCAAATCCTCGGGCACAGCGGTGGTAGAAGTAACACCGACACTGGAGCCAACAGCACTGGTGACGGCGGGGCCGGTAGGGGCCGGGCTGGTAGCATATCCAGTCTCAGAAGGGGAAACAGTACTGGCGGCGCCGACAGAGCTAGGATAGTAGGGCGTGTTGGTGGACGTCAATGTGACAGTTGAAACCGTGCTGGAAGTTGTGAGGAAAGTTGACGACCCAGAGGTAACGGTGTTGGTGACAGGGCATGTGGTAACAGTCACGTAAGTCACAACGGTGTCAGTCGTACCCTGAGGCACCGCAGTTGTGGACCCGGCATTAACGCTGGAGCCCACAGAGCTGGAGACAGCGGGGCTACTGGGAACTGGACTGGAAGCCTCTCCTGTCGCAGACGAGACAGGACTGGAACCCTCAGGAGTGCTAGATGGAACCGAGGTAGAAGTCTCACCAGGTCCAGATGGATTGGCAGTGCTCTGTCCAGCAACAGAAGTGGCAGTAGCAGAGCATGCAGTGCAGACAGTAGCGGTCGAAGTCAAAGTGACTGTAGAGACGGTCTGTGATGTAGTCACAAAGGTAGAAGAGCCGGAAGTCACAGTGTCAGTCACTGGGCATGTGGTCACAGTCTCATAGGTCACGACAGTTGTTATCGTTTCGCCAGGAGCGGAGGGAGTCCCTGCGGGAGATGACGGTGCAGGAGTTTCACTAGCAGAGTATGACCAAGAAGACGAAGAGGCCCAAATTGAGGATGATGCTCCGACTGAGGTATCACTTGGTGAAGGCGATGCAATCGTCGATCCAACAGGCAGGACGCTGCTGGGGCTTGGGACTCCGGGCAAAGACGAAGTACCTGTAGCAGCAGTGGTAGTCTCAGTGACAGGGCACACAGTAGTCGAGATAGCGATGGTCGAAGTGACGACGGTGGTTGAATCAGCCGGGCAGTCAGTAATGCTAGCAGCACAGCTAGTGATGGTAATCTCGCTTGTGGTATACACAGTCGAGGTAGTAAACTGGGCAGGTGTGGTGATGGCTGGAGTCGAAGGTGCAGGTGTTCCTGTTCCAGCAGGTGTCTCGCTGGCGGATGAAGACCAAGCGGACGAGGAGACCCAGACCGAGGACGATGCCCCGGCCGGGGTCTCACTGGGTGAAGGCGATGCAATCGTCGATCCAACAGGCAGGACGCTACTGGGGCTAGGTACTGCAGGCAAGGACGAGGAGCTTACAGCGGCGGTAGTCTCGGTGACGGGGCAGACAGTGGTCGAGATAGCGATGGTCGAAGTGACGACGGTGGTTGAATCAGCCGGGCAGTCAGTAATGCTAGCAGCACAGCTAGTGATGGTGATCTCGCTTGTAGTGTACACAGTCGAGGTAGTAAACTGAGTAGGAGTGGCGATAGCTGATGTTGAGGGTGCAGGTGTTTCAGCAGGAGTCTCACTAGCAGAAGAAGACGAAGCAGATGATGAACCCCAAACAGAGGATGATTCTCCTGGAATTTCACTAGCAGAAGAAGACCAAGCGGACGAGGAGGCCCAGACTGAGGATGATGCTCCGGCCGGGGTCTCGCTGGACAAAGGTGATGCAGTCGTCGATGCAACAGGCAGGACGCTGCTAGGGCTGGGTACTGCAGGCAAGGACGAGGAGGTTGCAGCGGCGGAAGTCTCGGTGACGGGGCAGACAGTAGTCGAGATAGCGATAGTCGAAGTCACGACGGTGATGGAATTAGCCGGGCAATCAGTGACACTAGCCGCGCAGCTGGTTATGGTGATCTCGCTGGTGGTGTAGACAGTCGAGGTTGTCATCTGCACCGGAGTGCTCACAGCAGGAGTGCTCGCAGCGGGGGTAGTCACAGGCAAGGCCGAAGAGCTGGGAACGGAGACAGAATGCACAACATCCGATGTGGCAGGAATGGAGCTGGCAGCCGCCGGCGCAGTGCTAGTGGAGCCAGGAGTGCAGTCAAACCCAACGCTGTAAATCCCGAAGCCGCAGCTCTCGTGCTCACTGTCATCAGGCAGCTCAAAGTGGACAGTCTTGGCACCACCACACTGGTCGTTGGTCACCGTGGTACCGCCTGAGTTGCAGGATGCTGTGTTCTTGCAAGTCGAGCCATCAGACATGGTGTAGATGATGTGCAATTCAGTGTCCTTCTCGGTGGCAACGTGGAAGTTTGTCACGGAGAAGCCAGTCTCCTCTGAGCCGCAGGAAAACGAAGGGGCCGAAGAGCCCGAGCTGGCGGAGCTAGAAGAGCTGGAGGAGCTGCCTTTGGAAACCGTACCGGAAATACATTTCTGGGTCTATTGTATGTTCAGCATGGGTACATAAAATGAATCAATTAGACCTTACACCGCGCTTGCCAAGGCTGGAACCAAAGCCATTGCCACATGTGAAACCAGAGAATGAGAAGCCACCATAGTCAGAGAAAGAACCGGCAGCAAGATCAGACCAGCTGAAGCCGTCTTTCTGATAGTCATTACACTTGTTGGGTGATCTTCCTGGGCTAGAGTAACACTCATCGGAACCCCAGTACTAAAGAAATTGGTTTTAGCAGGCATCTCATCGACAAGATAATGGGTAGACATACCGCTCCGGTGGCTTGACCAGAAGCCAGGAGTGAGAAAAAAGCGATGGCAGAAGAGACCTTCATCTTGGAAGGATGTCGATAACGAATGACACGAAAATATAATGAACAAAAAACGATCAGAATATGGGAAAATGGAGGAGACAAAAGACGTTCGAGTGTTAGAAATAATTTCAACAGGCTAGGCTGCGATGGAGAGAACGAAACGAATATTGCAATAAGCCGCAACTGTTAGAAGTAAGCGATGTAAGAAATAGATATTAGCAATCAAACGAAAGAGGGCAGGACAAGAAGAGTCCAAATCCCTGAAAGAGCGAGCGTCTTTGGTTGCAGATTAACCAAGTAGGCCAAAAGCCAAAAGGAAATGAAACAATGACAAGAATGAAAGTCCAGGGTCTGGGCAGAGTAGCTCTCTTTAAAGCCTTGTTCAACCTTTCCAGGGTCATGAACTCTTGCAGACGAAGAAGGTTCGACAAGTAGAGACCCTCTCTCAGACCCATAGCATATTAGCATCCAGGTAAGACATATTGTCAGAGAAAATGGAAAATCCGCCAATCGGCAAGATACTGGAGGTGCAGATGAAACGGTGGCTCAAAAAAGGACAGACGAGCTAGGGATCCATCCAAACCTCGGCGTTGGCTAGTGCAGGAACCTGCTCAAGAGACTGCAGAAGAGCCAGTAAGGGTCTGGCGTATTCGAGAACGGTTTACCAAGGCGCTTGCGGGGAGGACCAATAACATTCATTGTCTCATCCGCCGGGGGATGTGACTGTGCTTCGGGCGACATACAATGATTGACTCACCAATCAACACTATAATTTACATAGTTAAAATTGGAACGGCGCTTGATCGTCAGAAGCTTACATTGTCGATCGAAGGAGAGCACAACGGTAGACCCACGTATAGACTCAATGTTGATCTTTTGATGTTAACGCTGTTAAGTCAAATCTCCCCTGGTAACGAACACGTATAACGGTTCAAGTTGATTTCGGCATTTGGACAAAGACCCGGATGCGACCGGTCAGAAAAGATTTGACGCCGGCGTCTCGCCCTGAGACGTTCATGTCAGAGATTGGGTGTTCGTTCTCCACTTTCTGTGTTTGTTGTTCCTTCTTTTTTCTTCTTTTTCTATTATGTGACTGTCAATGCCGTCCGTGCTTACGATCCCTATGATCTTCACGTTCTTCAGGTTCATCATAGGCCCTAGCTACATGTATCTATGATCATCCATGCGAAGCGCCACGATGCAACAAATCACAAAAATTAACATTAAATTTTGTACAAGCCAACATTCTGTGTAACATGCAGCTGGAACCGCATTTATTCAGTGCTAAACCCCCTTCCTAAAAGGTCGAACAGGGGTCCTAAGTCGGCGCCACGGGGTAACTATGGCGTCGGGTACCTGAACGCCCAGCTCTTGATTTTGGATTTGTTTTGCCAAGAGTACAGGAGTAGAAATTTGGGCCCGATGTTTCCTTTATTTGTTCCTGCTATGTATGATGTATTGAGCTCTATAAATGAACATTCTACGGAGTAGGCCCTACCAAGCCTAGAAGCTATCTGCTCTATCTCGGCATCGTAGCATATTCGTAAAAATTTTCACATCTTCTGTTTTTATTCTACATCTCTTTGCCTAATGTTTAAATTATCTCAAAGAAGCAAAAAAATGCCAATCATATCTAAATCTGAATCTCTCAGCGCGTGAAGGCCTTTGTTTGCTTATGTCCGGTCTACCGTGAAACGCCTAACTAAAAATACCGGCGAATCAGATTGTCATGTAGTAAATGCTACGCTGCACCACTTTGGACTTGTGTGATCGTGACATTGATGTTAATTTATAAGCCAATCCTCTAATCTATTCGCGGGGGTTATTTGGCAGGGAACTGGTAATGTTGTGGTTGATTAAGTGTGACAGGACTACGGAGGACTCCTTCCAGACATTTCCTGCTTTATTATGCCAAGACTTGTTTAACCAGTGTTGTATATTCTCGCTTCCTGATTCCTTGTTTGGGAATCATATGAATATTGTGAACTGTCAATGCAAGAATATGTTCTTATTGCCCCTTCTTAATTCAGTATTCTCCTCACATAAACAATTAGCCTGGGGCATTGGACTGACATATATATGAATAGCAGTGCGTGCACCCACCACGTACCCACCACCCCGAAAGTATAAATTCGATCCTATCGGGGAGAATTCATTGCGGGGGACTTGCACAACACTGAAACCTTGGAACGGCATCAATGTAAATACTGGGGAATAGGTGTGTGATACTAGAGCATTCGACTGATACATATCAGCGTGTTCCATTCGCATTTGAAAAGCAAGAATTAGTTCCAGGTGTATCCATATGTTCAATTTTGGTTCTCTCGAATGCAGAGGTTTTATTAATTGTTTATATTTACCTAGGTATCAATGTCCTCTTGACCAACTGTTATAGAGGACTTTCAAGTCACAAATAACAACAGAAAACGTCTCACACAAAGAAAATTTACTCATGACTTGATAAAGTCAAGCAGGTCTTTTTAACTTCATCAACATTGATGTTGTGAATAGCGTGGGATTTCCCCTTGCAAATCTTCAACCTGCCTTGAGGAAGAAGTTTTGCTGGCTTCAGTCCAGATGCTTCAATAGGAACAACTTGATCATCATGCCCATGAAGAACCAGCACGGGAATATCAATCTTCTTCAGATCCTCTGTGAAATCTGTTTCCGGGAAATCCCTGATAGAGTCATACGCTGACTTGAAGCTGGTGTTCATTCCCTGCTATCACCAGCTACGAATCTGTCCTTCATTTTCTGTGCACCAGATTGGTTGAACCCAAAGAATGGACCGCTGGGGACATCCAAGAAGAATTGCGCGCGGTCTTTCAACATAGATTGTCGAAATGAATCAAAAACCGACTTTTCTGTCCCCTCGGAGTTGACACTGGTCTTCACCATCAGAGGAGGCACGGCGCCAACAAGAACGGCTTTTTTGAAGCGACCTGTGCCGTGCTTTCCAAGGTAATGGGTGACTGCCCCCTCCTCCGTGAGAATGACCAATCATCACTGCGTCCCGCCTATGGCCATGTCCTTCATACAAAAAGGGAAAGGAACGAGGAACTGCCGGAGTGGATGATATGGCATCTGTTGAGTTTGTATGTTGAGGCTCCTTTGTCTGAAACGCACACCTAGGCAACTAGAAATACTGACGAATCAGATTGCCAGATGAAAATGTATAGCGAACGTTGTGCTGTATTTTGGACTTGTAACTATCAACTAAAGCAGCGAGGCAAAGAATTGAAAAGGAAATACGAACCAATCCATAAAGTATAATATTCTGACTAAACAGCTATCATCTCAGGACTGCTCCTAAGCCGGCCTCACTTGCCTATAACAAATAACAAGAATGACTCGTCGGTGCCTTGTTGGATATGTCGGATGATACAAGCACTAGTAGTTTATGAGATCTCTTAAATCGTTTCATGATTAGGAACCTAGTCCTGTAAATTTTTGCACAAAAAACTAAGGTAAGGAGTTGAAATTTTGAATGTTTGAATGTTTTTTTTTGGAATTGATAAGGTAATTTAAGCAACTTGAAACAGCCATCACTCGTTAGAACGCAAACACATTTTAAACTCCGCAATTTCAAGGTATCACCAGTCCCTGTAACTAATAGGGAAGAAAATGGCCAGTCAATATGACATAATAAAGAGACAAAAAGAGACAAACGAATGAGAGAATATGAAGAAAAGAAAGATACCAAATGCAAATGGCATAAATGGATCGCTTTTGGGGTTCTGAGAACCAACATTGATCTTTCGCAAGATGCTTCAACGTGCATGGGGGATGCACCTCGATTCTCGAGGGCAGAAATCTCCAATGGCGTGATGGTAGCAATGTACTATGTGGTCAAAGCGAAGCAACGTATTTGTGTTCAGATAATGAGATCCATGGATAGATGGTCAATGTTACAAAGGTACTGACAACCGAATCTGTCAGCAGTTGGAAACGGATAGAACAAATTGCGGCCGTGTTTATCGTATGATCCGGTTTTAAATCCAAAAAGTCGTGCAATCGTAAAGGTAGATGGTTTAGAGCGGCACTTGAGTGCGACGTTGCTGGGCGTCCATCAGCTTACGCCGCACAGCTTCGCCACCAGCAATGCTGTTAGACTTGCGCTTGCGGGTGGGGGTGCGCTGGTCGTTGTTCTTAGCGTGTCGGAAGACACTTGCAGGACGCGCAGGGGAATTTGCGGGCATAAACTCGCGGTGTTGGGGAAGACGAAGAAGGGCCTGGTAACGGTTATGGTTGCGACGGAAGGCTGTGACAATGCCTTTGTCGAGGTGTTCAAGGAATCTCTCCTCATTGTTGGGAGGTTGTGATTCAGACTTGCGTGTGGGAGTAGGTGTGCCCATTGACTTGGCAGGAGGAGCAGCCATGGGAGAGACTTGGACAGACTCATCGTAGTGCTTGTCCATGTCCTCATCTTCGTCAGAAGAACCATTTCCAAAGTCGATGAAGTCGTCGACATTCAGAGCAGCCTCGGGGTCATCATCTTCATCCTCTTCGAACGAGCTGTCGATGGTGAAGTCTTGAGATGGATAGAATGCTTCGGGAGGACCCATAACCTGGCCTCCGGGTGTGAGATCGTTGCCCAGGGCAGTCATCATGAGATTGGCACTTGACGCCAGCATGGGGCTGAAATCAGTCTGGTTCGGGGACGCAAGTGCGTCTGTATCACTCTCATCCACCAAGTGAAGGGTGGTCTGGCGGGGGCTGGTGTTGGCAGTGCCGGGCATACTGTTTGCGGCGGAGTCCAGCCAGTCGTGGCGAGAGGAGGCGTATGCGGGAATGATTACGAGGTGCTTGCCGGTGCAGTCCACCAAGGCGACTGGCTTATGGGGATCAGCCGTGAAAGTCCCCATGATAGGTCCACGGCGACGAGGAAGACAATCGCTCTTGTCATCGCCTATAGGAGCCAGGGAGTCGGACGAATCACGGCGGAGAAGGGACCGAGGGTGGGTGATAGTTGCTGGTGGGGGGAGATCTTCATCTGTAGTGTCGCCATCATCGCCTTTTTAGATGGGTTAGCAAAATTGAAACCAAATTCGAGCAACTAATCATCATACTTTCATAACCACTCAAGCTGCCCTCGGAGGATCCCTCGGACTCGACGTGGTAGATGTTTCCATGACCATAGTCAAAATCGCCAAACATCTCTTCTGATTGTCGGCGGTGGCTTCTTTGATAGTTCTCATTGTCGTTTTCGATCATACGACGTAGCTGGGGATCCAGACTATCCTGCTGCAAAAAGTCACCAGGGATATCATCGTCTGTGTGGGAATCACTATCAGAAGACGAGTCGGATCGCTCCTCAAAGTGAACCCGTCGGGCAACTGGAGTTTCCACAGCCTCGCTGGTGACATCGGGCTCTCCGAATGTATCCATGGCACTGTACAGGTGCTCTTCGTCAAAGAAAGATGCGGCTGGAAGGAACATGTTATCGTCGAAGGCATGAGCCGACCACGACTCATCGGCGAATTCAGAGCTGGGAAGAGGTCGATGGGTCTTTTCTGACTCCATAATCATCAGTTCTTCCATCTTCTCCATTTCTTGTTCTTCGTCTTCATCTTCAGCATCGGTGATGTAGTCTACAGCGGCGTACACATCATCTGAGCTTTCAGAGTCACTATCATCACTGCTGTCGTTGGTCAAGACACGGCGTCTTTTATTCATTGTCGCTTGACGCCCCGCCTTATTGTCGCGGCGACGACCATAAGACGGGGCACGAACAGCTGGTTCTTGTTCATCATCCGCATCTTCTTCCGAGTCATCTACCTCACTCAAATCCTCGAGGGATGAGACAGAGGAGACACTAGATACTGAAGACGACGAAGCTCTACGCTTCCGGTCTGATGATCGACCACTGTCGGACTTCCTAGGCTGGTTGCCTTTGGGTGACATATCAAGATTTCGCATGATATTGGCTTCGGGGGTTGAAGGGCGAGGATGAACGTTTTTGGCTGAGGTTTTAGGAGCCCGTTTGGAAGAATAAGAACTTTGCGGCATTTCGAAAGGGGTATTGGTAGTAGGTCGAGTAGTTTTTTTTTATTCGAAATTCTTTGGTCTGTGATTGCTTGGATTGAACAGGCCTGATCCGAAGATGCAGTGGGTAGCGAAGAAGAGGGGTAGATCTTCCGGGTATGAGAGGATATTCGTAATCGGGTCGAAAATAGGAACAATGGAAAGGGAACAGTCGAGGATGGGTGGGACTGGGTGGAGAGGATCGGAGAAAGCGGAGTGGAGGGGAGGAGTCCAAGGAGATTATTTTTTTCTTCACGAAAGCACCTGCAGTCCGCTGCGGATGCTCTAGTGCGCCTTCTTGGAGTTTGCTAGGGGGCAATTCCAACGCTTAACGAAAAGCGTCGAAAGAGAAACAGATATCGTCAAGTCGAATTGAGGATCGGAGCTGCAGGACTGGGGAGCCTGGCACAGGCTCCCCAGCGAGGCATTTACAGCTCAACGAAGGCCATTTGGCTGATCTCTCGACGATATGTTATGAAGGTATTCGAAGGTAAGTCTGGGAAATAGATAAAACAAGTTGAATGGCTTGAACGTTGGAGGAGAACTGATATGGAAATGGGGGAGAGAGAAGAGAAGGGGACGACTTTTTTCCCTATGAAGCGGGGGGCGGTCGTGATTGGCCCCGGACCACGACCGCCTATTCGTTGGCACAACTCACCGCTCATTCGAACCAATCAGTGAACGACAATAGGTTGCAAATGGTTTTGATGACAACTTCTCTTGCATTGGGAATTATTATTAACTATATGTTGCATAGAACATTTAAATTTAGTGTATGTATTTAATAGTTTCTATTATTTATTGTAAAGAGCTATCCATTGGCTATATACATATGTAGACATGTATTCCATACGAGGAGAAATCTGCGGACAAAAACAAAAACCTAAAACGTCATTACCAAACGGTGCAAATCTCTTATCAAAATTTGCATTACGGAGTACAGAGTACAGAAACGAATTTAATATTCGTTTCACTCACACGCAATATACCTACCCCGTATATATATATTCACATATCTAGGTAACTACTCCATATCATTTGGGCAAACCCCCAATATTGGTATATTGTACTTCGTAGGGCCATTTTGAAATTGAATGTCAATGAACTCGGTGCAGCAACTGACCCGTGCGGTATGCACGATGATGGGCGATGATTCATCCTTAGATCGGATTTTCATTTTCATCTATGACACATCCCGAGATGAATCATATTGTTCGTATTTTGCCTTGAGAATGACATTTGAAAATTTAATCGAGACTAATGGTTTGGGCTACAGATTCGGCCACCGTTGCTTCTTCCGTTTTTCCTTTTTTTTTCCCTTTCCCAGTGGCAAGATCTATGCTCCATTCCGGTCGGCTTGGCAGAATTTGCCGTCCCAAGCCTCGGGAACCTGCAGGTCTTTGCCCCAAACTATGGCCCATAGTCTGCCTAAAAAGATCACAACTGGCGGTAAGGAGCCAGACAACATGGTCACTGCATAGCGCTTAGGCTGCATGAGATATATCAATCTCTCTTATCTTCCACCATCGGTGAGGGGACTATTCAGTAGTTACAAGTTTGTAGTAACAAAGTATGAGTATATCGTATGAATATGAAATTGAACGTAGAACATTGCCAGTCATGGGGCAAAGAACGGAATACCTTTCCGTTTTTCTTCTTTGTCCCCCCAATCTGCCCATTCTTGCCCCTAGATGTTTTCAGGAACATGCGAGATCATCTCCCTGCCCCGCAGTGGCTGTGGAAAATTTTCAACAAAAGCCAATTAAAATTCACTTTCTATATTATTGTACGCTAAATTATTTTCAGTCGATCATTATTACTCTAGGCCATTTCGTCGGACTTCTAGCTCAAAATCCCGCCACTTCATCGTAACTGTTTCCCGTTGCCATGCTTGGGCCGAGGTTCTCTAAGGATATAAATATATACAATGTTGTGTATGGATAATAAGATGTCTATATCTGTGCTTAGAGGTTTATTATTAAACTTTCTAAGCAGTGATAGCGTAAGACCTAGCGGTCATTGAAAGCACCTCATTTTTTGCTTCAATTGGTGACGAAAAATAATCACCAAGTTTGGTGTTCAATAGTTTCACAAAATTTTCATTCTTAGGGTCATTTTCCCGACTTATTGGACCAACCTATGATCCGGTGGCAAGACGATTTGTGTCTTGACACCCCACCACACCTCCTCCCCGGGCCGTTTATGTGGTTATAGGCGGGAAAGGCCACCGAAAAAGATATATTCAAGCATCAGCGCTTTGAAATAAAGTCGCGCAGTCGAAACACCAGATTGGATTGAAGTTATAGGCTAGAAACGGGATAATAAATAATCTGAGCAGTTGATATATATAAATTCGATCTTGCCGGAACATACATAATTTATTGACCTATTTCACGCGGAGTTTTTATATTACCTACCTAGGTTCACAGCGTGGTAAACCAATTAGTCTTGCAAAGCTTTTCCTGTATCTTTTACCCCTCCCTCACTCTTATGATCGAACGAACCTTTCCTCCCCCGGTTTTAAACTTGAAAGATTACATACGTAAAGATTCTCGAGAATCACACTTGCTTTTGGTCATGAATTAAAAGTCGAGGACAAAGCAATTCAATCGCGTTTCCCGGGTGTGGGTTGAATTCCTCAAGGAATCGTATGCCCGCCTCCTTACACCGTTGTCGTAGTGGTACCAGCGTTCTCTTTCCCCCCAGGTTTGTTGCCTCGTTATTAGTAGCAATCCATCGCCCTTGAAGCGCAGCACAGGCGAGATGTGGGTATTGGAATCTAAAAAAGCGTTAAGTTAATTGACAAAGGAAAAGTCAAAAAAACATGTTTAGGACAGTATAAGTTGTTTCAAGGTAAAAGAATGTGTAGGGTGGGCTCCACAGCCATTCGCCGATACTCGAGACTTTGCGCCCTGTTGAGTGAGTATATGAGAGAGGATGAGGCAGTCAACTACTAAACCAGATATAAGAGAGGGGGATAAATATGACAAGATGACTTGGTTGCATTATGTGCACGCGTTGTCAACACGCCCTACCTGCCGTGAAAGCCCGAGTAGGCACCCGAAACAAGGCTCGGGCGCTACTTAATGGTTGGTAGGGTTCGGGGGCTCGAGTAGCCGCCGCCTAACAAATATGGTGTGGTGAGAATATCACCTGGATACGCATTCACTTACGATTTAACCAAATTCTACGATAAAAATTTCCAAGGCTAGCATAGATTATTCTGCCTTTCGAGGGCTCTATAGCGCTCGATTCTGGGTAGGCATTGGTATTTCTTTATATATGTTAGGCTACGGAGTAAACATGCTCCTCGGGCCTTTTTCCAAGTTGAAGTAGATGGAAACGACGATTCCGGTCAGCCATACACATTCGGAGAAACCTGCGTATTGAGGACTGTAACTGATATAATTGAATACGACGTCTTGTTGAATGAGACTCGACGAAATTTGAGGCACGAGAGAAAGAATATGAAAGTATGAACATTTGATGTGTAACTAATGATGTTTGCGGTAACATTGCGATGGGCTCTCGGATCATGAGGTGAGTTAGTGACCGAAGTATCTAACCTGTTCGCTTACCCCGTTACTCTCTCTCTTAATGAGCTCCTTCCCTTGTTTTACTCTAATATCAGCCGCGCTATTAGTAGTTGTTCTCAGGAGTAAATCTAGAGACAACGCAGTCCTACCACGTCGCTATAATTTTGATACTTGGCGGGTAGAGCCTCATAATAAACGCTTTCAACGCAAGACCTATATAACCTCTCATAGTCTCTTCCCTGTCCGGAACCTGCAGACCTCCTCTCAATCACTAGTATATTGTGTACACCGAGCGGTATTTGAACAACGTTTATACTCCATACGTATGCTACATACTGAATTTTGGTACGGTAGCCAGAATGAAATAGCACGAATCGATAATCCTTTTGAAGTGCTAAGGAAGACTTTGGCTGTGTCCACTATGGGTGGGAATTATGCGAGCCTAGCCTTGGACTTGTCTGGCTTCTCTTGTTTTCTTCTTCTTTCTTACCAGAAAGTGCTGTATAGTATTCCTGTTTCTTGCGAAACGTAGGCGTCGGCAACTTAATCCCGGTATGTCTCCATGGTAATTTAGTTTGATTTCCCATAACTACGAGAAAAATACTATAAATGTTCACTGGGATTATACCACTAGTGTGAGCAGATTTTCCCAGGGGTACATAGTAAACTACTCACGTATGTATGTAGTAAATTATACAACCAATAAACGCATAGTGACAGGCCATTTAGCTTCGGCGACAAGCCATTGGAAACCCAATCGTTACCTAGAATTATACATATTTTATTCCATATCGAGCTATGTTACGATCCAAAAGAGCGAAGATCATGATTGAGAGGCTGGGTGAATCTACTACCAAATTCTGCCCTAAGGCTTGGGCAATGCACGAATTGTACTAGATTGGAGAAAACAATTATCGCAAGTAGATGAGAAAGTATGAAACAAACAACCTATAGGTTCCAATTAAGATCTCTTAGAATCCGGGCCCCCCACTTGAGGCCAAGGTTCCTTGGATTATCCGACCGCAAACCTTGGTACGCCGTGGAAACAACATCGGGTATAACAAAATCATTTCAGTAGTTCAAGTCCTCGGTTTAAGTCCCCGGGTAGGGGGAAACAGTATTAATGACAGGTTCTGTCTTGGCCCGACCGAAGATGGAGAGTCGAGATTTCGACCGGGCGGGCATTGGCGGCTTTTGAGAAATTTCGCTCTGAGCATCCACTGGAGTAGGAGTTCCCGAAGGACCTGCGCGGGCCTCTTCTACCTTTCTGACTCCTTCGCGAATCTCCTCGGCAGAGGCTCCTTGGGGTGCTGTGGTTGTCAATGTCTCGGTAGGGCGAATGAGTCCCTCCGAGGTGTCTTGATTGAGCTTTGTGATCTCTTCCTCCGTTACCAAACGTTCGTTTTCGAGACGAACCTCACGTCCACGCTTGTGGCAATACCACAAAACAAACAAAAGAACTAGAGAAAGTTCCAGTCAGCTAAGCTATATTCGGCGAGATACAGTTTTACTTACTGAACAGTGCTAATGACCAGAGCACATTCATCCCCAACACGGCAGGGAACCGAGCCCGCAAGAACGCCATGATTGAGCGCAGCATACCCACCAATGCAGCGGGCTTCGAGACAAGTTCCTTCAGGCTTGGAATGTTGAGGCCCATCTTTTCAGCGGCCGCAGCTGCTTTGCCCACATTTTCCATGTTGACGCCACTCTTGCCAGCGCGATCGGCAGCAACCGCGAGCATCTCTGGCGCCAACGTCTCGGTCCAACGCTCGGGAAGCTTCTCGATAAGTTTCTGCATGGGGCCGGGAAGCTTTGTGTATGTATCTTGCAGTTGACGGTTTCCGTTAGTAAGGAGCATTTCCAAATCATGATAAGCAGTTGGGACTCCATTGATCAGGTCCTTGAAGATAAGCTTGAACTTGCGCAAAAGCTCTTGTGTTTCCTCGCTGACTGAGAAGACGCGGTTATTGTCCGCGGCCAGATTTAGTCTTTCGAGAATATCTGTCATGTCTTCTGCATCTTTATCTTTATCTGCGTCCTTTCCACTGGCCAAGGCATCTGATGCACTCGTAGAAGTCGAGGTATCGATTTGAGATGCTTCAGCGGAGCTAGCATCCTTGCCCTGTTTATAGACGTCCGTTTGTTAGCATAAATGAAGTATTGCGTAGGCGTCTTGGCCTACCTTATTCTTTTTCCAAAACATGGCACTCCAACGTTTGTTTTTTTGTGGCGCCTTCAAAGTTTTCGAATTCAGTGTTTCTGATCCCGATACATTTGGCTCAGATCCTTTCCGCTGTTGCCTTCCCTCCTCGCCGAGCTCCTTGCCAAACTCCTCCACTGGCGATGTAGGCAGTGGGATGTTCTCGGCTTGTTCGCTCATCGCAGGGGTTTGAGATTCTCTAGCAAGGCTTTCGGCTTGGATTTGATCGATCTCATCCGCTGGGAGAGGTACGGATCCTGGATGGGCGGTAACTTCCCGAAAATAAGCTTCATCCTCGGGGGTCAGGACAGGCTTCGGCGTGCTGATCATCTGAGAGGAACGCCGCCGGCCTTTAAGCTGGTTCAAGTATTGCATGGCCATTTTGACTGGTTACAGGATGACGAAAATAGTTGTATGAAGACTGAACCTTTTTCGTCGACTAGATCTGGGGCGCGAAAAAAAGTAGGCTGAAACGAGGCGGGCGCGTGCAGAAGGTAAGGGGATGCGCGCTATGTGTCTTTCGTGATATATCGACTTTTCCAGCCACTTGGTGATATGTCAGATAAAAGACTCGATCACCGGATCCTGCAGCTCTCAAATTCGCATAATGACAGATACCAAGCTGTATTTTGTTCACATGCGTTGTTCCTCGTGATGATGATATCACCTGTGGCTGTGCCATATGGGGCCCCGCAAGTGCCACAGCTGCGCCACATAATCAACGGCACCGCCACATTACATACAAAGTGTAATTATCTGGAGAGAGTTTCCTTGATAATTAGTATTCATAGCTATTGAAAATTATCTATTGCTACGATATTAACGCCTCATGATATCGGCTAGATATCGATTTAGACTCTGTCTACAAGTGAGTTGGGAAAGAATATGTTCGATGATGACATGGTTCATGTTTGGAGCTAACATTTTGGGTGATGTGTTCTCTCTTATGGAATATGAAGATATTGATAGATTAAATGGTCATATTTGTGACCACTTGCAAGTCGAGACGACGGGAAATAATTCAAATCAGGGTGTGAACGTCGGATCTGCCTCTTCGAAGAGCCGCGTCACCGCCGTTTAATGATGGGATAACCCATAATGACATCATGCAACCCTGTGTTTAAGATTTCTTCTTGGATGATTCCATTAGTGGTTCTCCATTCCATCACGGACCCAGCGGCCCCCAGGTCTCTCTTGGAGTCGAGCTTCTTTTGTTCGCCATCATAAGTGATGCCAGTGGACACCGAGGCATTGAAAGCATGCCGAAATAGCAGTTCAGAATGATGCCATGGGATATTGTAGTCATCCTCCGCGTGAATTATCGTAAATCGGTATTTCTTTCCATTGGTGACAGAATTGGCACTGTCCCTGCCACTCGATACGTTGAGACAAGCATCGCAACGTCTACGAATGGGCCAACGAGAACTATGCCCGCGAAAACTATTTGTGGATCTTGGATGGCAAGCTGTGTGCATATTTCAATGCTGACGGCTGTTCGTTCCCATGGATTGACTGAACACTAAAATTCGGGATGGAGGGATTCCGGCAAAGTTTATTGCCCAGTCCATCACCGCAAGGGCCTGTTTCGGATGGCGAACCGCTGCTTTCTCCAAACCCACGGTGATCAAACGTGAGAACATGGGTTTTTCCGGGGTTGCCTGCGGATAGTGCTTGATAATTAGGGACTCTATATCCTGAGGCTACGATTCCCCCGGCGCCGTGCATGTCGAGAATGAGCCGAGCACCAGGGTCATCTCGTAACAACTGAAACACGAATCGAGACTCGATATTCTACACTAAACCGACTGACTCATCAAGAAGATCCAGTTCATGCTTTCGATACAATTCTACGGGAAGAATATGCCAAGCGTAAAGTCATTCACCGTCTGTGGTGTTGATAGAGAAAGGGGTCACTTGGCTTTTTAGGAATCCAAATGGTTCAGGAACATTCAGGTCCTTGAACCATGCCATCTGGATGGTGTGAAGATAAGCGACATTTGATTGGAAGGTCGAGGTGGTCAGCAAGCCAAGGAGGATTGCATATAGGACGACTGCGAATGCAACAAGGATTGACGCATACTTGAAAAATGTTCCATCTATTTCACTGGATGTCATAGTGATTTAGGCGAGCGTCAAATACAAGTAAGATTTTTTTGTATCCCAAGATAAGACAGATGTGTCAAATCTCTTATGAATCACATAGATTTTATTATGAACAATAAAACTCAAGGAAATAACAGTATCCTAATAAATAAACTCAGTCCTAAATCGGTTGAGATCAGATACATGTAACATCAGCGGCTATCCTTGCGGTTTGATTGGATACAATTAGTTAATATGCGGTTTAGGGCTCGACGTCCTTGTTTTCCATTATGATTTGTCCCGCGAGTTTCTTGTTCTAAAAACAAACATTTCCTCTTTTGCCCATAATTGATCATTAGTTTTCTAGTCTTGCGTCTGTTTTTATGCATGCCTTGTTACTAAGATCTTTTTAAACATACTGCAACCTCTCCTCTTCCATCTAGCAATTGAAGATTCAAACCAACTAACTCTTTCCATATCGTTAGAAGGGTTTATACCGAGCGTTTCTAGTGTCCTGGTCATGTAGATGTTAGTATTGCTATTCACTCTAAAGGCTCATCAAAAAAAGTGGTGAATTCGAAAACTCTTCGACATGTTGTGACTACGGCACCAAAGGCCTTTTCAGCTGCGGAAGAGCCCGCACAACATGACGCTTGAACCAGTATGGCGTCTTAGTATAGAGTTATGTGCGAGTTGTTAGTTGTCACAGGCTCAAAGCGATAGTGAATGTGGAAAGGACAAGCTCCATTGATCTACGTGGACCGAGTGAGGTTAAAGTAGACATATTTCCTAGATAATTTTAGTTCAAGCCCCACATCACAAAACATTTCTGGTTACCCGTCGGGCGCTCGGGTTTGCTTCCAAGGTTCATTGAGCGAACCATCGAACGTACATCACACCAATGTGTGCTTCCAAGGTTTCGTTCGCTGAAGATCAGAGCTAATGCTCGAAAAAAGGCAAAAAAACCAACTCAAGTAATAGTCAGTGGCTGCGCCGGGCCCGGCAAGACCTGGTCTCCTTCTTCTCGGTCTATGTACTCATATTTGACGCACAGAATTGACTTGCGCAGATAAACTTGGGGGAAAATCTAAGTTAGTATCCAGCGTGATAAACGCCGTCCCAACTTGGAAGATCACCAGGGTCGGGTACCAGATGGCCTTTTTGTGTCGCGTCTATCCGCACATGCACGGACCATTCAACCTGTCTCGCGGCTGCCTTTGAGCGCCACACAAGTGTGTTCTATACTGATGCCAAATCACGAGTGCCAAAGTAATGGACGAATGATTCATTCCAACAGGGAGAAGTCACAGTAGGTATTGTTGGCTTTTGATAGCATATTCATGAAACATCAACCGGTTTACTGACCATTCTCAAAAGAACTTCAAGTTAGTCGTGACCCGTGGGATCTTTAGACATGTTCTGCAGGTGAAGAACGCGATCAGGGCTTGGTATCACTGCGGGTCTTTGTAATCGCTTAGGCAGACAGGCGACTTTGGTGAATGACCGACATAGGGAAGAAGATCCTTGTGGAGGCCGAAATGTCGACACCATTCCCCGTGATGTAGCAGTAATAAGTTCCTAGTGGTCTCCAAATTCCAAAACATTTCCATTTATTGGAGCATTTTTTAATCAATTTGGTAAAGTTACTCATGTATCAAGTAAGCTTCACATTAACAAGCTTTTGATACGAAGCTGAAACCTGGTCAATGCTGCCTCGTCCCAATTTACATTACAACAAAAGCACCTGGGCACCAACCTAATCATCAATGTATTTTCAAATGATTTTTATATCTCACACCCCGTTAATCCCCGATGTCTTCAATAGAAAACCTTTTCCTGTCCCTCCGGACAGGCATCGATACTAGCACCCGCTACTAATCGCTCTACAAAGTGCCCAGGTACTCAGCATTACATATTGTTGCTACTTGTGACCAATAAGAAAGGGAAAATATTATCGAGGGTTGCATGTTTTCAATCCTTGTAAAGTTCTATACATCAAAAGTTCCTACGAGAAGCAACCCCGCAAAGCCAAGCACCTCGGCCCCAACTGCCGAATGTTTAAGTGCCGATGCCTTTAAATCAAACATTAAGATTTTATATTGGTGCGCTGGGGCCACCGGGGAGGTTCTCCGTTACCAGAAAGCTCAAACGTGGCGTACGAAATGCATACTCGGACACACTCGGGATGATATCCAGGTCCATAATTTCACCGTCTGCAATGTAACGTGGCGTGTCAAGGGTCGTAGAGTTGAGAAGGTTGTTTAGGGCCAAGGATCAGAGACCAGGTAATCTGACTATCAAAATGGTCAATCGATCGTAGTCAGCATGAATAGCTAATACGGTGAACTGGTCAATACGATAGAGCAAAAATCCCGCCCAAAATGACCCTATCTAACGTTTTCGAAAACTTCGGATGCTTCAATTCAATTACCGATCTCATCGATCACCTGTGCTTCGTTGAAATTCTATTGGCCTCCGCTGAAGATTCTTGGTTCTTCGCATTCGGTGATGATCAACAGTCCGAACTTTGGTATATTAGAACCGAGGCTATTGAAGCCGAATCAGTCTCCAGATGACCTATACACCGATATAGCGCCAACAACGCTTTCCCCGCATATACTCAAGTGGCTAGCTTGATTGCCAAGGCGCCACTAGTCGCCTGCATATTCTCAGCATAAGCCTTGTCGAGTTTCCCCATCATTACTCATCACCAAATTTGACTCCCCATTCGCATTTCGCATGTTTGTTCCCATATCTGCAATACAGCTTAGAAGCCGATTGATGTCTTTTAATCCGATTGGCAAAAGAATTCCCAAATACAAGTCATGTGTGAAGTTTTAAGAACAAAAACGGCAGGGTTCTACTAGTTTTAAGTCTACTGTTACCATTATAGCCGCCTAATCAAGGAGATACCAAGAACGCCAGAACGGGGCTTCCCCCAAATGGGTATGAGTGCATCTGCAACGCAACGCATTGCACTCTTTTCGTCTCGTTCAACTCGCTATCCAGAATCAACTCTGATGCACAGACACTGTCGTATTTCCCTCGGTATATGTTCAGAATGTATGATGAAATTGAGGCGGGGAACCGAGGTGTTCAGAGTATATAAAGAGCAAGCTGACCAGCTCTAATTTTTCTCTATTCATCTCAAAATCCCAGGCAGATAACTCGATTAGCTCGCAATCTTGCAGCAGAAATCCCCACAGCGCTCCGAAAACCTGCTATATACGTTTCAAGATGATGTTTTCCAGACAGAATTTGGTAGTGGCAATTTGTTTGATTGCTCAAGCCGTTGCTATCCCAATTCTGGAGCCAAGAGCAACTGTGGGTAAGTACATACTTGGACAAGTATCAAAACCAACAGTGGTTGACAATGATAAAGCCATATCTGCCTTTCCCGATCTTCAGCGCGCGGCAAAACTCTCTTCTGCGGCCTATTCAGGCTGTATTGGAAAGGCATTTGACGTTTCTATCACCAAAACAATATACGATGCCCTCACAGATACCAATGTGGGTTCTCGCATGTCATTACTCTGTTTAGTATACTAATTTTCTAGGGATATGTTGGCTATTCCGACAGCAAGAAAACAATCGCGGTTGTGATGAGAGGATCTACCACCGGTGAGCTTTTGTGATGTTGATACTGTTGCATTCCACAGCACTTACTGAATTAGTCACCGACATTTTGAACGATGTCGACACTACTCTCGTTACACCTTCCCTGTCAGGTGTGAGCTTCCCATCCGGAGTGAAAATCATGAGCGGAGTCAACCGACCTTGGTCTGCTGTGCATGATTCTGTCATTTCGGAAGTGAAGAGACTGGTTGCCAAATACCCAACATACACTTTGGAGGCCACTGGTCATTCGCTTGGTGGTGCTCTTACGTATATTTCGCACGTGGCTCTGGCACAGAACTTTCCAGGAAAGCAATTGACCAGCAACGCTCTTGCTGCTTTTCCTATTGGCAACTCGGCTTGGGCCAGTTTTGCCGGCTCACAAAGTGGTACCTTGAACCGTGGAAACAATATTGCCGACGGCGTTCCTGTGAGCTTTGATTGAAACTTTAGAACGTCGAGATACCTCGCTAACCTCATATATAGAACATGTACGTCAGCGGTATTTACAATTTTGAGCACTACGGAACAGTAAGTAATACTATCCAGTTTTAAGATACTGTGTATCAAGACCTAGGTATTGGATCATCAAAGTATCATGGCTTACTGACCATTACCACGAAATAGGAATACTACAGCTCTGGATTGGCAACAACCTGCCTTAAGTGCCAGGGAGAGCGCGATCTTGCTTGCTCGGCAGGAAATCTTATGTATGGTGTTACTGCTGGCCATTTCCAAAGCTTTGGTATCGGCTTAGGCCTTGCTGGTTGCTTTTGAGCGACGGACCAGTGAGACCTAGTATCGTCACATCAAATTGCATGGGTTGTTCATATAGTTTACTTCCAAGATTGCTTCTGATGTGAGCAAAGGGAACAATGAGTCGGTTTTCTTCGTGGCTGGTTGGTCATTCAACATAATCAACACCATGTAAGAAACTAACGTTAGGAATGTACATTTTTTCTTTGAACCTATAAGTAGTTGCTGTAACGGAGAGCAGCCGTAATTCTGAGCCATTATTTGGTTATGTTGACATATATCGAGTTTGTGTCTCGTATCAAGCACGTTTACTACGGTCAGGTTGATACAATCACATTAGCGCTGTCATAAGCAGATTTCTAAACGAACCACCGACCAGATGGTAAATACACCTCGAATCAATCAACAGGTGACTTCGTATCTGGTCACATTTGATATCACCTGACCACCCACATTTAAACCCCCTCTTCCCTTTCTTCTCGCCCTTTCTTCTTTCTTTCCACGCCTGCCGGAGTCGATAAATTTTCGCCTAGAGAATCCATACAGATTCTCGAATGCAAAGTCATCCCAGAACTGTATATTCCTTGTCTTTTGACTAAGACTCGGGGATATCAGTTTCTGTGGAGAGCTTCCGAGACTCACATGCTTCGTGTGCATGATCAGCAGCGTCAATCAGTCTTTCTCTCGACCAACTCAAATCATTCCTTCTAATAAATAAAGGTTTCAATGTTGCTTTTTGCCGATATGTTCAAACGCTCATTCGTATCCAAGGACCGGGCGGGAAAGACCGTCAAGGTTGCCAGAAAGAAGTACACCGAGCAGGCAAAAGAAAAGATGAAGCAGAAAGCAGAAAGTTCCTCGATCGGAAGGTAGCATTCTCTATTATTGCTTTAATTTTAACTTTGGTAGGCATCAATATAACTCACACGTTGTACAGTCCTCTTACGAGCCCCATCATAACAATAATTGTGGGTCGGGATCGACGTTTGTTCGCCGCCCATGAGGATGTACTTTCTGTATCATCGTACTTTAGCTCTGCTCTTGAGCTGGAGAACGGCGAGAAGCAACTGAACTTACCTGAAGAGTGAGATGAGTTTCCATTACTAGCTTAATCAAAGCTCATGATTTTTGCAGAGAGCCCGAGATTCTGTCCTGCGTTCTCGAGTTTTTGTACAAGGGCGATTATTTCCCCCGCTTGCTTCATGGCAAGCGTCGACACTCTTGGTCTCTCGAAAACGCCGAGGATATCAACGAAACCGGTGGCCGCGGGTCGAGTGAGGCGACAATGTTCCACTCTGGAGTTGGAGATATTGTTCTCCGGGACACGGTGGTATACTGTGCTGCCGAGAAGTACGACTTGGAAGGACTCAAGCGCCTAGCTCTTCGAAAGCAGGGGTTGCAAAGTGGAATTCCAGCCGATGTCATTCTGCGATCCGCTCGATATGCATATGACCACACTCCCGAATCCGATTCCCGACTGCGCGCTCATTATCTGGCTCTAATAATCCGGAGTCGAAAGACTTTCAAGCAAAGCGGGACACTACAGATGGAAATGGAGAAAGGTGGCACGTTGTTTTTTGACCTGTTTGTGGCAATGTGCAACCACATGGACGACCTTTCAGCGCTGCGGTATGATTCATTCCCTATCTTGATTCCACCTTCGCCCTCGCCCTTTCCCTCACCCTCTTCTTCGCTCTACTCCCCTACCATGGACGCTCCTTTACATCATCAGTCCATTTAAGTGCTTATGCCATTTCTATTAGCACAACACGATCGCCGAGGTTCTTCTAAGCGGTTCTAACATTTCCTTTGTGATGGATCAAGCGACATACATCATGAAATGAAACAAGTCGGATAGGTAACTTCCGACCCGAATGGCATTTTGATGATGTACTTGCCCTGGTCTGCAATTTTGGTTTCACGGCAGATTGACCTTCGCTTCTCCCGAGGTTGGCCGCCCATTTTGGTTCGAATACGACCCTAAACCTTTTAATTGGATATCTGGCTTATGTTGGTTGACGTGTGTTAAACTACTCCACAATCCTTGTCCTCGAGACGATGTATGCTTAACATACCGTTTGGTTGCTTGCAATCTTCTTTTCTGATTTGGATATCTCGCCATTCTGATTTTGTCTTTGCACCACAACTCGGTAGTATTTTGCTACCGGATCACTTACTACTGGCCAGCGTGCCTATGGGGATGAGAAACAGAAATTGAGAAATTCGGCCACCTCAAACATGCTAGCCAAAGTGTAATTTTCCAAAACGTAGGATTTTTTGATGAAACGTGTATTCGGTGAGATAACTACTCAGTTTACTTTTCCGCTTATAGATCCCAAATTATCCTCACTCTTCAAATATCTTGATGATCATTTCTCCGTTGTCGGTTCGATGACGGCTCGAGTCCCCTCTCTCTTCTATTTACCTTGCTTCTCTCAGCTAGTTCAATTTGACCTTACGGCCCATGTCTCTAGACAGTCCAGTTCGTTGGTTAACCTTATCTAATGTTAACACAAAGCCCTAGTTTGGATTCACTTAATCATCCCAAGATCTATAGTTATAGGGTATATCTACGGGCTCAATGGTGTATGGCGTAATGATAAGGCAGATAATCGAGTATTCAAACAATGTTACAAAGTTATAGAACAATATCATAAATCTTTCGAGAAATTTTCTCGGCACCTAATTGCATTCCACTCTGATTCTCAAATCTTATCTATCCCCATTCAAACTACTTCCCATCGAATCTTTGACTACTGTTCACTTTAGTATCAAGATTGTGTTTATCTACTGCCGGCTCATCTGATTATTGAGCCCAATTCTTCTTCGGTCGACGATTTCCTTTTCAGCTCAAAACCGCGATACGTTTACCTTGTCGCCGACCTTTTCAGAAACGCCAGTCGTGACTCGTAAGCCCCATTTTCTATAGAATAACTTTGCCGTCAACCCCAGTGGTCAACCCCAGTGGTCAACCCTACTCGCTCTTTCTCTCTGCCGATTCATTTCGGCCATATCTAGCTCTTTACGATCTTGTCACTTTCCAATTGCTCGAATCCTGCTTGAATCGTGCATTCTGCTTTATTCCCATAGATCTCATCGGCAATCATGTCTTCTCTTTACAATGTTTTTATCTTCTTTACATATCACCTAGGTCGATTGATTTCTAGCCCCACTCTTCAAAAAGCGACGTGGAATCACCCATCTTCCCCTAAAGCAAACGCATAGTTCACATCAATTGACGTGCCTTCATACATCAGCGACTATTGCTTTTGCCAATCGCAGCGCAACGTCTCATCTTCTTCTATCCCATCCAACTTAAGCCATCATTTGCCCAATCGCAAAACACAAGCCAGATTAACCAACTCCTCTTGCTCGATTACATCTCTCACTACGCCTTTTGTGGTTACGGTCTAACGTGAACCCAAGCTGTTGATATCGTCCTTTGGCAGGTCCAAACTTTCTCATCTTCAACAGTCTATCTTTCAGTTTTTGCACCGAACGCAGCGTCTAAATTAACTGATCACTGGTGAGACTCATCTTCCTTTTCATGCAATCTTGCTACTATTCCTCTTTCGGGGGCTTTGAAAGCCTTGATTCACTGACAAGCCTACGGATCACGATTTCAGCGAGATCTCAACGTACTCTCAGTGAGTGATACACATCTATCTCTTCCCGTGTGGAGATAATCATCTCATATGACCGTTTCAGTCAATTCTTCCGGGTTTGGTTCAGCATGTTCTTCACCAACCTACCAACGGCTAAACTGTCTTCTTGCACCCCAAAAAAGAGCATTATTCACCTGCTTTCTTTCTCGTTAGATCACGCTCATAATGGTGCCTGTGCTTTGCCTCACAGCTGGGCTGCGCCATCTGCCAGCACCTCGTAAGCTCAAGGCGGGTGAAGTGGCTCTCGTCAGGTTCAAAAACGTCCTTCGCGGCTACAAAACAGATGTCTGGTTTGGGGTGGTTCTAGCCCATAAGTTCGGTCCTGCTAGGCACATCAATCGCCGCCCAGTGGGTGCACAGCCGAAAGAAGGAGAATGGCATACCCATTTGCGGGACCGGGTATACCCAATGTATTTGCCTGCACGCAACATGTAGTAGGTTTGATCTCTTTTTTGCGTAGCAAAATAGCCCTCTATATTTTGCCCTCTTTCAATACAAAACTAAAAGCTAACATTCATCAAGTCGGTGGACCAATCTTCGCGATATGTTTCTCTTTAATGAGAAGACAATCAATGATATGAACAGAGCTGACTGGCAAGATGAAGGATTAATTTGGGATCAGCTAGCCAAACTTGTCCATAAAAGCCTGCTCTACAGTTCTGGGAGGACATGTCAATGCACGAGATGGGCTCGAAGGGGAAGCGTGGCCGCGAGCTACGAGTCATTATGCCTAAAGAAGACGGGGACGAAGTGAGCGATTCCGAAGAACAGAAAGATGACAATGAATCCGAAGAAGACGAAGGAAATTTCCAGTCATCGACTCTAGGGACCTCGAACGGTATCAGTAATGAATCTAGCACACGAAAAGTGCATACAGCAATCAGCTCATTCTCTGAATCACGGGAGCAAGGTTTTCGTTTTAGAAAGGCATCCAATGTGAATAGGAATGAGCTGTATAAAACGACTCATATTTCTTCTTCTTTTCCGGACAAAGCAGATGATCGGTTGCTGAACTCGAACGCGCGAGCTTGCATCTTCAATATCAATACCACCTTTAATGTGTGCCCTCTAGAGGACCTCCCTCAAGTTGATCCCATGCTTCTTGATACCTCCTGCTTTTTTGTGTCTCCCAACTCCGAAGCTATGACATTGAACTCCAACCATCCCCAAGCCAATCCATCCATCAAGATGGAGAATAGGTATTTCTTCTTTGATATCATACGATCCTCTTACACTAACAGTGGGCTTCATTTTACAGTTCCAACGTCCAGGTAACTACCGCGCAGCAAAGCCCTAAACCCTCGATCTTTGATATGACAATGCGCCAGGCTTTGGCTCAAGTTCTCCTTGAGAGGCCTGAGACTGAGGATGTGCTTGCCTTCTGCCGAAATCTGAATTCTGTTCAAAGCAGAGCAGAGATTGTGCAGCTCCGTGACTTCCAGAAAGAGAGAGAGTTTACCCCTCGTCTGCTCCAACCCGACTATCTGCCTTCCACCATGCCAAAGTGTGTTCAGATTTTCGACGAACAGGGTCAGAAAGTCCCTTATCTCCTCGGTGATAAGATGCATATTGGCCAACGCCTTCGCCTTGAGGGGGTCGAAGACAGTGCAGGTCTTCGAGATGGTGTCACTATCCTTGGTGCTTTGTATGATCAGGCTAGGAACTTCGGGATCAAAGATCTTATCTACTGTATTACCTACAAGCTGCAAGTCGCCTGGAATTCCTACATGGGTGTTGGCCAGTGCCTTCCTTTCCTCGGCGTTGCGACCCTGGCCTTCAAGAACGACTACATCCGCGAGGCCAGCGATTTTCTCCAGACATGGTTCATTTCATTCCTTGCAGAGACCTACGATCTCTTCGTCAACCAGTGCCACGACAAGCTCTTGACTCTTCTGCGCGCCAACCCCAAGCTCCAGGATGCGGTCCTCGAGCTTCGCGCTAAGCTTCTCCTTCGTCAGCCGGAGGTATTCTCTGACACCCGTGCTCTTCTCAGGAGCCGCGGAATCGGGCAGCTGTAGATCCTTTTTCTATGGCGCCCTACTAGGATAGCGGACCCTTTGCACCGGCTCGGTTCACCGTGGGTTGCATCCGTTGAGTTTGCGTAGAGTTTTGCGTTCATTTCTCTGCACTGTATTTCTGCGATTCCATCGGTGTTTTTCTTACGTTTGCCCTTTGGGGATTTGCGTCGTTGCACGGGACATAATGGGGGATTGTTCTTTGTTTTTATTTGCTTTGCGGATTCTGACCCCACGGTCAGATTGGATCTGGATAAGAATTGAATTCATGTGCCACGAATCTGTGTTTTCTCCGTAGTTTTATCGTTCATTCGTAGACTGCGAGCCACAGTGGTGTTTCATTCACGTGCAATAATATAATAGCCGAGTGAGGAGCTAGTAAAACAGCTGGTGTAAGAAATTTTGTATTTATATCTTCGATTCCAGGCCAGAGTAATCGGTTCGTCCGTGTTGATGATCTTTGCTACGGGGGAGGTGAGGCCCGGAACCAGCCCCGAACCCTAACACCTAAACCCGAAGTCGAAGCCCGGATTCTATCTCTAAGCCCTGGCCCCCTCCAACTTTACTGGGTGCCTATTGTGTTCTTCATTACACACGTTCCATGAAATCTGTCATCTACTGCCATATATCTGATATGGAAAGCTTCTTTAACACGAGTGTGAGGCGACCCAAACTTAGACTAAGTCGAATGAGCATCATCCTGCCTCTTTTTGTAATCATGGTTGATCAGGCAGAACCTTGTGTGCTCCTGGAGGACGCTGTATAATTCGCGATGCTAAGCCCGTATTAAATTTGGATATTGATTCTGAGGCTGGCTTGTAACCGTCTTTCTGTACCTAGCACCGTTATTCTTTGTCTGATATTCTATGTTCTTTTGACTGGCATTTGGCCTCTTCCAAAAAAAACCCTTCCAGGTCAGGTATGAGTACATCGTGCCGAAGTCCCCTTCAATATTGTCACAACGGGATATTTACAATATTAACTGTTTCCAAATCTTTCAAGCACATTTTTTCCAAGTTGACAGACACTTATATGAGCCAGATAGAAATGCCAATGTAAGTCAATAGGCACAATGGGGCAGCCAATACATGCTCAACCAAACAAGGTGCATGGTATGTCACCAATCGGCAATTTTGATTCGCAGTGAAAAGATTGACAGCCATCTCTAAACGAACTAGACTAGATGTCGCCCTCTTTAATGCTGTACTGGAACGAAGATTCCAAGCAAGGGCCGCATAGAGTTGTTTAAACGAAATGAACATCCAAGTTAGCAGCTGTTTGAGTCCATAGCAGAATTCAACCATATATTCTAAAATCCTAGAAACAAACCTCTCTTCTTCGCAGTCTTTGTCAGTGGAGCGATGGATGATGTTCTATCATTACACTACCATCGCAGTAACAATTGACCATATGTCAGTGGTCAATATCCTGTACGCTATCCTTACTCTATTCTGAGGTCCTACTAGTTTCTTTTCCTTCTTCTTTTGAACCTCTTGGATTGAAACTAGTATCTTGCAGGCTATTCCATAGTAAGAAGGTCCCTCATATCAATAAAAACATGGAACTGCAGATTCGCAAAACTCCACCGCTAAGGGGAAACTAAGCTCACAACGCCCGAGAAAAAAAAAAACGATTTGCAAACAAAAACGTATCCCGGTTGGGACAAATTTCAAGAACAGCAACGAGATGAGGACAGATCACGAAAGATCTGAAGACAATAGCCGGCGACAGATCAAAGAGCAAATGCGACCATGTGTCAAATACTAGAAACGAAAGCAACAGTCTTCGAGACTGGCATGGACTATAAGTAATGAGCGGGCTTAATTTGCCCCGCCAGTCTCGACCTCAACTCCTGCGGTACTCTCGATATTCTCAGCGAAGGGCTCGGCGGGCTCATCAACGATCTGCTGAGGCTTCTCAACCACGTCGGTAGTAATGTTATCGGCAGGCTGGTTGGTGGACCGGGTGGCATCTTCCACAATGGCATCTGCAGCTGCAGCGTTGTCCGTTACATTGTTGTCACCGTTCTTGCCATTAGGAATTTCCTCGGTAGCTTCGTTGGTCTTTTCCTGAGTAGTCACTTCGGTAACCTTCTTGGCAGCTGGCTTGCGACCACGCTTGGGCTTTTCCTCGTGGGATTCATTATTCTCGTTCTGCACAGCTTCTTCAACAGCCTTGGTGGCAGCTGACTTACGACCAGCACGCTTGGCCTTGGGCTTTTCCTCGGTAGCCTCGTTGGTCTCTTCCCGGGTAGTCTCCTCGGCAACCTTCTTTGCAGCTAGCTTGCGACCACGCTTGGGTTTTTCCTCGTGGGATTCGTCGCCCTCCTCCTTTGCAGTTTCTTCGACAGCTTTTTTTGGGCCTGGCTTGCGACCACGCTTGGTCTTTTCCTCGGGGGATTCATTGTTCTCATCCTGTTCAGCTTCTTCAGCAGCCTTAGTGGCAGCCGACTTGCGACCACGCTTAGGCTTAGTGGGGGATTCATTACCCTCCTCCTGTGCAGCTACTTCAGCAGCCTTGGTAGCAGCTGACTTGCGACCACGCTTAGGCTTAGTGGGGGATTCAGTACCCTCCTCCCTTGCAGCTTCTTTGGCAATTTTCTTGGCAGCTGGCTTGCGACCACGCTTGGGCTTTTCCTCGGTGGATTCATTGCTGTCCTCCCCTGCGGCTTCTTCGGCGGCCTTGGTGGCAGCCGATTTGCGACCGCGCTTGGGCTTTTCCTTGGGCGATTCATTGCTGTCCTCCTTTGCGGCTTCTTCGGCAGCTCTGGTGGCAGCCGATTTGCGACCACGCTTAGGCTTAGTGGAGGATTCGTTGGTTTCTTCCTCGGTGGCCTGGTCCACAATCTTCTTGCTAACACGCTTGGGTTGAGCATCCTTCTCAGTCTTAGAAGCATTACCATTGGTTGCCTCGTTGGACTTGACGCCACCCTTGGCCTTTGAAGCAGGGGTTGCCTTAGCACGAGGAGCAGCCTTCTTCTTGGCGGGCACCTCCTCCTCAGAGACATGATCTTCATCAGCATCTGGCATGTTGGAATCGCTGTTATCAGCAACTTTCTCTTCAGCAGCATTCTTAGTGGCTGGCTTGCGACCACGCTTCTTGGCCGTGCTAACATCCTCATTTTTGTTCTTGGGACGACCGGGGCCACGCTTCTTCTTCACAGGCTGCTCTTCATCGTTGGCAGAGCCTTCGGCATCGCTCAAATCGCGCTTCTTGCTAGCGCCAGAGGCCTCGGCCTCCTCGGCTTCTTTGGCTTCCTTGGCCTGTAGTCATGTTAGCCCGTTACCCCAAGCATAGACATCCAATATCTCCACATACCGCCTTAGCAGCCTTTTCTTTGCCCTTGAGACGCATACCAGTTTGACCAGGGCGGTTGCATTCAAGGTCCTAGGTTTTCGTCAGTCAAATGTCATGGCGGTTTGATTTCAGGCAATGTTGTTTGGTTAATTTATGAACAGGTCGTAGTACTTACACCATTCCATTCGTCATCTTCAACATGGCCCGCTTGAAGAGCCTGGATAATCTTGGCCTGGTGCTCATCACCTAGCTCGTCCCAGCCATCCAGCATCTCGAACTGCAATGTCTCGGGCTCACCCTCCTTCTGAATGGCGGCACACATGTTCTGAACCATGCGAGGGGTGAAACATCCCCTGATAAAGATCAGTAGGTGAGTTCATTCTATGTTGCACCCAAACTTACCAGTGGCGCCAGCTCCAGAACTGGCGGGATTCAGTGTCAATCCAGCTGCCAACCCGGAGTTCACCCTTTCCTATCTTGACCTGTTGGTCCTTGCATTCTTTGGTTTGGCAGCCTGCGCGGCCAGATTTAGCGAGCTCTAGGAATTGGAGTCAGCTGTGGGGTCACCAATGTTTCAAACGACTATCGAGACGCGAAAAAGAAGCATAGGGTTTAGACAGCAGTAGCATCCAGCACATTAGAGTCAGATAATAGGGTAAGATGCTTCATTGCCGGGTGTGCACTGCAGTCCATTCATTGTGAAAAGCACTCGCGCTTGAGGTACAAAAGTACGAGAGCGGGAGGACACCTGGGTATGGGAAGTGACTTCTGGGTATGGGAAATGACTTACCAAACCGATACGGCATGTCGACTGAGCGTAGTAGTAAAGGAAAAAAATAAGAAAAGCCAAGAGAGCGATATGTGTGGATGTGACGTTTGTGGAACGGGACACCAGCTGGGTCGCGGGTAAACAAAGGAGAGAGAGAGAGGATGGTGGTTGAGATAAGTTTGCTTATGAACCTGCAAACTCGCGTAAATGTAAAGTAAGAGGGAGTTTACAGGGTAAGAGCGAAGGTAAGAAAACGCGAGACGTCAAAAATAATAAACGATTCCCCCCGATCAGCGCAATTGGTACAGAACATTTGCTCTTTTAAATACTTTTTGCTTATCAACAGAGTACTTCTTCGTGATCTGTACTGAAAACCCTTTCTTTTTGAGTCCTTTTCATACATACTTTTTAGTAGAAAAAAAGGATCCTCGATCCCGCTAGATTTCTACTGTGAAGCGGCTTATTTTCTTTCAATAATGAGTATTTCCAGACTTGGAAGCATTGTGTGCCTCGAGAGCCGTTGCCAGTTGATGAAACCGTGGCTTAACGAACAGGTCATGAATGGTAAGACTAACACTGGATATAAGGTTGAGTGAATTTTGAATCAAATTCCTAGTTAACTAGAATTATCTCAGTCCTTCGAAACAATTTCTTAGAATCATAACAATATGCTTCATTTCTAGGTATCTTTTGTATAGGTCTTCAGAGAAAATGTACATGGCTTCACTTTTCCCTTATCTCGTAACCTCCTAACCAGGGATTTGACAAGTAACGCTGCAAGATTTTGATTCATGAGCATGTAAAAGATAGTAAAGCACCCAGCCTCACTCTGAAATTGACGATATGTACCTTTTGCGCTCATCATCAACAAATGGTCAAAAGAAAAGATGATACCGCTAACCGGATATGGTTAGGCCCATTTGAAGGTCTTCTGTACTTCTTCAAATAATGACTGAACATGACTGAACTTGCCAACCTACCAGGTATACTGCTGGATAATTCGATAAGAAACACAAAATCGTGAAAAGCACCCCAGCACCAAACCCTCTGCAAGAAACCATCAATTGCACCCGCGCACAAACCATTTCAACGCGGTCGCATTACACCCGCAACACTCTACAATGTCCGAGCCAGGCCCCGAGTCCCTTCCAACAAGCGCCGATCCGCGCAGCAAGCGGCCGACCAAGCGACGCGCATTGACACCACTCTCCGAACACGCAAGCCAAATTGAGACACTGTTCAAAGACCCCAGCAAGGACATCCAACTTCCCGCAGCATCCATACAGCGCTCAGCGTCGTCTTTGCTAGCGCCGCCGGAGATCGTCACCAATGTCCAGGGTTCATCCGCTGGTGCGGGATCTGGCGAGTTCCATGTTTACAAGGCCAGTCGGCGGCGCGAATATGAGCGTCTGCGTCTGATGCAGTCCGAGGTGGACCAGGAGAAGGATAATGCCAAGTGGGAAAAGGAGCGCGAGGAGGCTAGGCGCAAGGATGAAGAGAAGACAGAAAAGAACCGGCGGAGGAGGGAGAAGAAAAAGAACGCGCGTGGGAAGAAGGGGGGTGACAAGATGGATATGGTACGGCTCCTGTGAAGCCTGCGGCCGCTCCGGGGACGATGGTAAGCGCGGAGGGAGACAAGAATGGGGTTGCTGCGGATGGCCAGCCTGCTCAAGAAGTTCCTGGTGTTATTTTCCACGATGATGATTAAACGGGAAGGCTAGATTTACTGCTGGCAGTGTATGATACGTAGATACCCATCCGGAATTTGTTGTTTTGTTGAATCTAGGATATTCATACAGAAGGAGGATAGCCAAGAGGCGAATCGTGTAGCATTATGTACGGACCTCGAGTCCAAGGATCATTCTTTTTCTTTTCGTCTATCAATTATTCCTCGCCGCCACCGCCGCCGCCGGCGATCTGTTGGGCGGACTTTCCACTGCAGATATCGTCGACACGGAGAAGCAAGCATGCAGACTAAAGTGAAGTAGATTGTTAGTATATTGAAGTGAGGGTGTAGACGTAGATGACTTACCTCGACAGCGGTCTTGATGCTCTGGAGCTTGACAGCCTCGGGCTCCCAAACGCCGTATTCCTTCATATCAACGAGCTTACCAGAGTCGCCGTCCAGACCCCAGGAGGTGTGGCCCTCAACGTGCTTGGCACGGAGCTGGGTGAGAACACGGATAGGGCTGGCGCCAGCGTTCTGAGCCAATGTACGGGGAATGACCTCCATGGCGTCGGCAACCGCCTTGTATGGCCACTGCTGGACACCCTCGATGGAGCGGGCAAGCTGGCTGAGCTTCACGGAAACAGCCATCTCGACGGCACCACCACCGGGAGAGAGGCGGGGGTGGAAGATAACGTTGCGAGCAACGGACATGGCATCCTGCAGATTGCGCTCGACCTCGTTGAGGATATCCTTTGAGGGACCGCGCAGCAAAATTGTGCAGGCCTTCGGGGACTTGCACTTGCGCATGAATGTGAAGTACTCGTCACCAATCTTCTCGATCTCGAACAGTCCACATCCAGTACCAATATCGGACTCCTGGATGTCATCAACACGGTTGACAATAGTGGCACCGCTTGCACGGGCAATACGGTTGTTGTCGGTCTTTCGCACACGGCGGAGGGCTGTGATGTTGGCCTTCATCAAGAAGTGCTGTGCGAGATCTAGTAGTTTCAATCGTTAGGATATGTCATCAAATACAAATTGAGTCTTTCAGTCATTCGTGTAGCTGCTTACCAGAAACACCCTTCTCGGTGATAACGACGTCAGGCTTGAAAGCAACAACGGCCTCACACATGTGCTTGACCTGCTCCTCCTCAATCTGGAGAATACGGTTCCAGTCATCCTCCTTGGAGATCTCGATGTTGGTTTGAGACTCGCCCTTCTTGTACTCCAGTGGGCAGTCGAGAAGCAGAATGCGGGGGTTTTCGATTCTGCGACGCATCTTGGGATGTGTGATATCCTTGTTGACCATGACACCGTCGATCACCTCAGAATCCTCGATTTGACCACCGGGGATCTTCTCAATACGAGCGTAACGCTTGATATCAACTTCCTGCTTGCCACCGCCGATGTCGAAAGAAACAGTTCGGACAGCGACCAGAGCCAAGCTACACATCAGCTCTGACCACCGGTTGACGAACTTGGTTCCGATAGATGACTGGATGAGGGAGTACATGGCCTTGTCATCGTGAATATCGACCGGTGTGGAAACCTCCTCAATGATCTGGAGGGCATCGGCGAGGGCGCGCTTGAAAGCCTGGATGATAACGACGGGGTGGATGTTACGTTCGAGCTGGGGGATGGCCTGGGCGAGCATTTCTCCAGCTATTTATGGGATGTCAGTTCCTGGCCACTTTTCCAAAATAGATATTGCCATACCAAGGATGATAACAGTTGTGGTTCCATCGCCGACCTCCTCGTCCTGGGTACGGCTAAGCTCGATCATACTCTTGGCCGCCGGGTGCGACACTTCGATTTCTCGCAGGATAGCGTGCCCATCGTTGGTCAGCACAATACCACCCATGGGATCAAGCAGCATCTTCAACATCGCCTTGGGTCCGAGACATGACCGGATGATATCCGCAACACTGGTGTTTACTGAATTAGCATCGAACGAGAAGAAGAAAGGAGGTTGAAGGATATCGTACGTCTTAGCCGCGGTAATGTTAGACATCTGCGCCCTACGGCCGACCTGGCGTTCACCGGAATTGGTGTCTGGATGACATGTTAGGAAGTTAAGGGGAGCATTTCAATGGGGGGTAACGAACTCATCACCACCACCGGAGCCTGCATATCGGCGGTTGTTTATTGTAGTTTGAGCGGGAAGTAGAAATAGGACAATCCGATAAATCACTTCCGAGTATCAGAAAATATTGAAAATTGCTGATAATCGAGGAGTTCCGACTTCAACGCTGTTCGCCCGCATTCCATCAAATTTCCAGGCGAAGTGGGAGCTCCCTCACGCTAATCTAGATACGGTTAGCGTTTACCCCTGACAAACCAGGCAAACATCTATTATAGTTAGTTATCTACTTCTGAGCAATTCAACTACTTCAATCTCGATAAGATGCACTGTTGTTTCATTGTGGGTTGCTCAACCCTGATGAGTCTTGAGAGATATCATATTGTACAAATGTAACCAGCCTCGACAAAACTGCGATTTCCAGCTTCAACTTGACGGTATAGAAAAATGTTTTCAACACAGTCTGAATGATGAACAAGCCAGTGAATTCCATCACAACAAGCGAAATGTCCATGAGAATAATAACAAAATTGATAACCAATAGCTGGTACATAATGTTGGTTTTTCGTTGGCTCCTCGTTGGGTAGCTGTGTAACAAATTGAGAGTCTGTACAATGAAGATACTTGAGATGACAATCTCTTGTACAAAAAAGCCCGTGAGTTGAACCTTTTCCCAGGTGTCGAAGAATCGACCAAATGCCAGATGGCAAGCATATATAACACCATAGGAAGCAATGATCTGTGGGATTTGCAGAATGATTGCGTCAATGATAATCATTGCCAGGACACCGCGTAAGATTCTTTCGTCGCGTAATATGAGGTGTAGCCGCGAGTATAAGACCAGTGAGTGTCCCGTCACCATTATGCTCCATCCCGCGGTGGATAGTGTGACTGGTATCCAGATGGGTGCCAGCTTGAAATATTTCAACAAGAGACCTAAAGCATCAGGAATGACGCCAAGGAGGCCAGTGATGAGGAGGCTCCAAAAGTAAAGGCCTTTGTATACGCGGAAGATCGAAAATACTAGAATGATGAGTTCTATTGCATTGTAAAGAGCTAGCCCGAGAAGGCTGGCAAGAAAGGCCTGTAGCGCGAAGCTATTTCCGGTGTATGAGCCGACAATGCCCTGGACCGGAGCGGAGCAGTGGGCCATGATCAGGTAGAAACGCCCTTATGTGCAAACATCATCGAAATACATATGTTCATTATGTTGGTGATATTTCCATATTCTCCAAATTCTTCGGGAAGATGTAGAGATGAAGTCGTCAGCATTTTCCTTCCACGTGACGAACCATCCATGGTACTTCGAAATGTTATTTTGCTTCATGATTTGCCAGTACTTCGTAATCCCTCTGCATCATACTGGATGCGGTATCTAGGCTATCGACACATGCAATAACCATAGCGCTGAAGCCACAGAAGACGGAGATGACGAATCAAAGAGAATTTGGCCAAGATATTTACATTGTCTGAATCTCGTCTGAAAAGATTATTGACTGGCTGAGTGGTGGGAGTGGCGTGGACAACCCTGATTTACATTATTGGTTCGTCGCCAGCTTCGTTCTCCCTATCATACACCTTGATCAAAACTCTCGGCTCTCCCCAATATCACACACGTCAAAGACACCCTCTTCCGGAATATTGTGTTTCTTCAGCGCCTCCTTCAGCAGTCTGGGAGGTTCCAACACATCCTCCTCAGTTAGTACCCAAGTGCCCCAGTGCATACCCAATGCATTTTTGCACTTGGTGTCCTTGAACATACGAACAGCATCATGAGGGTTAGCATGGGCGGAACTGAAGATATGACGAGGAGAGTATGCTCCAATGGGAATCAAACCAAGGTCAAATGGTCCCCGGAATTCGCCCACCTGCTTGAAGGCAGGGCAGATAGGGAAATTGTACTTAGAATCGTAATCGTCCTCTCCCTCGGGTACCTCATCCACTGCTCTGTACCCAGAATCCCTATATTGACAGTTAGCAAACGATGATATTAGACCACGAGGACTTTCAAGTATATCATACCCAGTAAAATACACCTTGCTACCGCCAGACTCAATGGCCCAGGAAGCCCATAGTGTTTTATACTTGTCGAAAGGACCACGCGCAGTAATATGCTGGCACGGCAAGCAACTGATACGCGCCTTGATTTCCGCAGCGATAGAAGCTTCGCCCACAGGCTCAACTTGCGCTTTCTTGTCGTCCTTTGGTGACATTGCGATGTCACGCTCATCCCACCAATCCAACTCTGTTACATTTTTGATGCCTGAGCTGTGGAACCAAGCCTTGTTGCCAAGCGGCGCAAAGAAATGGGAATTGGGATGTCTCTTTGCGATTTCCGAGACAGTGGGGTATGACAGATGATCGTAGTGGTTGTGTGAGATGACCACCGCATCGATGATAGGGATGTCCTTAATTTGGCACGGAGGCTCGGTAAAACGCTTAGGACCCAGCGTAAATGGTCCACAGCATGGCCCGCAACGCGCTTCAAAGACAGGGTCGAAAAGAACTCGGAGGCCGCTTGGGAACTCAACGTAATAGCATGCATGTCCAAGCCATGTCGATCGGAGCTTGGAAGTCTCTCGAGTAGGAAGGAATTCAGGCTTGCGGACGGTGACGGTTGGCGGAGTGGTATCGGGTGTGTTGCCTTTGCCGCTTATTCGGCGCGAACTGAAATGGCGAGGTCTGGTTAGAGAATTAACAGCGTCAAGTGACGAGTGGACTTACATCATCATTTGTCCAATCTCTGAAGTGCTCAGATCGCGAAAGGATCTACCAACAAAGTTGTTCGTTAGTCACAACAATGAGGGGAGACCGGCAAGTAACGATTGGCATACTCCCAGGGATTTCTGAACCCCGTCTTTGTATGGTGAGACTTCTCCAAAGCATCTTCTGGGCTAGGTCTGATCGGGGAGTTACCCACGGTCAGCGCATATAGCACAGCTGCGGTGTTCATGTTGCGAGTTGGCCAATGGGGGAAAGTACGCTGGTATAATGCCCGTCGAGAAACCGGGGAACAGGAAAGAAGGCGCATGGGAGTATCGAGACTTTATAAAAAGCAAAAAACGCCCCCCTCGGCCGAATACGAAGACAAGTCACCAGCTTATGGTCGGAATGTGGGAAGCAGAAACATCTTATAATCCCGTTAACTCCGGCACGGGCTTATGTTTCCCGACGGCCCCATTCGATTGACCGACAACTGAGCCTCAACGTTCATATTTCAAGATCAACTACCAAAATGCAGTTCTTGATTCGATGACGCACCGAGATCTGTAGATCTGTCATACGCGGGTGAGGGTGAGCAGACTTGGGTACTTCTTCTCATTAGCTGGTTCCATTTACCATTTACCGCTTTCCGCTCCGCTGTACAGTAGTACACATATCATTTTAATTTTTGCAGTAAATATGATGCCGATAATACAATAACTACATATCTATATTCGCGTATGTGTTGTAGACGATAATATGACGAGCCTGATGTAGAAAAATTTATGACACCGGCGAAGTAAGAAAGAAGTTCAGAGATGTGTTCTATAACTAGGGCGCTGTTGCCAAGTACTGGCCAGAAAGAATAGAAATATTTCAAACAAAAGAACTGCAAGGCTTAGCCAATTATCAAGGAGTCTACATGTAGATGAAGGTACAAAATGCATTGTCGCTATACACGTGTAAATATATACTCCGTGGAGTGGACTAATTTGGCAATAAGAGCCAATCAAATGTTAATGCTCGGTCCGCTGTAACTCCGATATCTCGCTCTTATCGATCTTCTGTCTCGATTATTCCTCTAGGGCTGGTTTATCTTCACGACATTTGTGATTTGACTGGCATGGAGCCAAATGGGGTCGCTAGTTCTACGCCATCTGCGGGCGATTTGATTTTGCAACAAAGAACCGAGGCTCTTCAGTCGGCGCAAAAAAGCGATGGAACCCTTCTGTCGCAGCTGACCAGCAATCCCTTGTTCACAGCGGTATGAGACCTAACCCTCGCTTCATGATTTCAATTGGTATGCTAATGTCCTATCACTGCCAGGGCTTTGGTCTTGCCGGCTTGGGTGCTGGATTGACTTTCGCACAAAAAGGCGTCCGACATGGTGCAGCTCTTCTCCGCCGACGAATGCTGGTGGATGTTGAGATCAGCATCAAAGATGACTCCTATCCATGGTTTCTACACTGGATGACTCTTTATCAACAATCACAGCTCACCGCGACCAAAGCTGCAGCAAATAGCACCGGTTACATGGATCGATTCCTCCAAAAACTCACCCCCGGCATGCGCCACCTCTCCATCCAAACGCAAAAGCTCGAACATTCGAATGGAGCCATCCACACACATTTCTCATTAGTCCCCGGTCCCGGTAAACATGTTCTTCGATACAGAAACGCATTTATCTTCGTTAATCGCATGCGCGAGTCAAAGTCTCGCGACCTCCAGACCGGAAAGCCGTGGGAGACAATCACCCTAACCACCCTTTACTCCCAACGTCACATTTTCGAAGACCTCTTCACCGAGGCTCACGCATATGCCGCCAAATCACACGAAGGCAAAACCACAATCTATAACAGCTGGGGAACGGAATGGCGACCGTTTGGAAACCCCCGTCGGAAGCGCCCCTTGGAGTCCGTCGTCCTCCAAGAGGGTGTGAAGGAACGAATTGTGGAGGATGTGGAAGACTTCATCTCAAGTTCGTCTTGGTACAATGATCGTGGAATCCCATATCGGCGAGGATATCTTCTATATGGCCCCCCTGGTACAGGCAAAAGTTCATTCATCCAGGCACTGGCAGGCGAACTAGATTACGATATTGCCATTTTGAACCTGAGCGAGCGCGGCCTAACAGATGACCGACTAAACCATCTTCTTACAATTGTACCCAACCGCACACTTGTCTTGTTGGAGGACGTTGATGCCGCATTTTCAAACCGCCGCGAGCAAAGCGACTCGGATGGTTACCGAGGAGCCAATGTGACTTTCTCGGGACTACTCAATGCCCTCGATGGAGTCGCAAGTGCGGAGGAACGGATCATCTTCCTCACCACCAATCATGTCGATCGCCTTGACGAGGCTTTGGTCCGACCTGGACGTGTAGACATGACCGTTCGTTTGGGCGAAGTCACTCGCTACCAAGTCGGCCGTTTGTGGGATCGATTCTATGAAGACATTGATACCAATGGAGAGTACCGCACAGTGTTCTTACAACGCCTTCAGGATCTTGGCTTGATCGAAGATGAAGCTGGTAACAAGGCCGATCGATCCCTGAATATCAGTGCTGCGGCTCTGCAGGGATTGTTCCTGTATAACAAGGGTAACATGGAGGGAGCGATTTCCATGGCGGAGGGTCTCACCTATAGTGCACATACTGAGGCATTGGGCCAAGACCAAGGAAAGAGGAACTAACTGTACAATACTATGTAAATAAGATCATTTAAATATAAAAGACACATTGAACTCAACCAAGCATTACGAAATGAACCTTGGAGCCACTGCAAATCAAGTCGGGATCACTAGGGGCAAATCTCGGGGATTTACATAGATCGGCCCACCTTTTAAAACACAATGTTTCTCTCACCGAGAATAATAATGCACACTGACTCAATTGATTTGTTGTCCAGGCGCTAGAAGTTATTTAAACGTCAGAGAGTCCTTACTTAACCCCTCAGTTCCCCTCTATATTTCGTCCCGCACCAAAAAGACAAACACAACATACATACATCATGGTTTACACAATCGTCGTCCGTACGTGATCGATACATATATGTCTAATTATTTCAACCTTTGACTTTTCTAACAATTATAGACCTCCGCGCTAAGTCGGATGAGGAGTCCATCTCCAAGCTCAAGGCCAAGCTTGTGGAGGCTTCTAACGTTTACTCCAACGACAAGGAGACCATCTCATGGTTCGTCATGCAGTCTGTCTTTGATAAGCAGGACTTCACCATCGTCGAGCGTTACGAGAAGGAGACATCTCAAGAGTATCACCTCAACAACCCATACTGGAAGACCTTCGACCCTTACGTGATTCCCTTGCTGGAGAAGGATATGGACATGCACCGCTTGGAAGAGTTGGAGGGCTCTACTATGTAGATAGTTTGATGTGATATAAACTGTACGAACAGAATTGCATTTTGCATTCACCAGATACTTCTTTTTCCCTTTTTTTTCCTTCGCTTCTCCTCAAGAAATGCTCGGGCAAATGTTGGAAAGATTTTCGGTCCATCAACCAACTTTCCGAGATATAATAAACCCATGGTTCAGTAAGCGCCTAAGAGTATTATCCAAGATCTCCGTTGCAGTGGAAACATCCTTATATTCATGTCATAGTTCTTTATGATACTATCTGGAACCGGTACATGTTGCACATACAATATTTGTTATATGCAACAGGGGTCAAATGAGCTTACTCTCCGATTTCTTCACAAAATTAACAAATATAACCAGCTAATCAGATACCAGGATTGCGATAATCATAGAATCTCCAAGGTCCAGCCACCAATCATCAAGTTCGATCAAAGCGCCGCTACTGCAGCCCGAAGTGACCATTCCAGGATCACGACCAATCATGCCCGATATCAGTTAAGCGCCCACCCTATATACGCAGGTTGGTCACAATGTCGGTAAGCCATGTCATCTGCTTGGTAGATGAGCTTTTAGACTTTCCATCGGTGAAAATGGGGTATATCTCACTGATGGTCCCCTGGTCTTTTATAGTATATCGCTTTGTTTATGCCGGTACTCGATTCACATAATGAGTGACAAGATGAATCAGTTCAATTTATTTCCTGCTCCATCCCCTCCGGTAGAAAGATCCAACAACCCATTTCGCAAAGCGGGCAAGAAACTAGCCGACAAGACAGAGTCAGAGTCCCCGATCCCCCTGCAAGAGATCAAAGATCCCAGCAAGACCGAATCCTTGCTGCTCCAGATTATCGAAGATACTCAAAAAGCTTTACCACCGCCACCACCTAAGAATGAAAGCTCCAATTCCTCACCTGTACAGGGTGGAATGGCGGGAACATCCCGTGATGCGAGATCACCTCAGTCCATACATGATCAAAATCGGCAAGCGAAGAGATCAAATCACCAAGCTTTGCCCTCGCATGGTAGTCATAGCAGCAGGAATAGCAATCAGACCGCGGCTTCAACAATCTCACCACAATCTTCACAGTCTTCAGTATCCCCAGTTGCAATGAGGTCAATATTTCCCCAATTCGACCCGAAACTGCCTTTGAATCAGCAAACATATCTTCCGCAGCCCTCAGATAACCCACTGCCTCAATTGCCTCAACCGTCGCAGTTCCCGATAAAAAGCTCGACAAAGACTCGAAAGCCTCCTAAGCTCACGTTGTTGACAAGTACAGAGATTGACCATGTTCTCGGACCGAGGACCGTGCCTGCTAGTGTCCTTGACTTTCCTACGAGTGAATCTGAAAGTGTTGAATATTCATCAACTGAGGAGATGAAGATGTTATGGGAAACGGCCAATGGACAAATACCTCGAGACTTTGTTGGGTCGTTGAATCTACGGATGATCAAGTACGAGTCCTTTTGTTCTCTATTTGATATTTGCTACGTATATTTACTAACATTTACCAAAGGACTGGACCGGCCACATTCACCCTCGGCAATTGCCAGCAACCACTCTATACATTACAGACATACTCCACCAACGAGCTCTCTCTTGGCAGAAGTGACCCTTCCAAACCCAACAACGACGTACCTATCATGATGATGAGTCTCGAAGACCGCATTCGCCGTGAGCATCCCAACGACGGACTTGTCACCCTCCTTTTCCCCAGACTCGCTGCCATGCTGGCAATAGACCAAGCCGGGGAAATAAGCAGACGGTACCACCTCTCTTACTCCGAAGCAGCAGAGGTTGAAGCCGATGCTCTCAAACGCGCTGCAGACCAAGAATCCTGCCGACTCTCCTGGAACCGGGCCCAACGACTCTACGAATTTAGACATCCATCCCTCTCTCGACACAACCCACCCGCTCTCGTCGGCACCGCAGGAATCCCACTGTCCCCCGTAAGATCCCAGTCATCGGGAATGCTTCACATCACAGTCTGCGCGCCATCCAACAATGTCGCCCCTCGTCAACCACCAACGATAATCGTCACCGTTCCGTCCTCTTCAACGGCAATGGAAGCCGCACGGCAAGCTGCAAATTCACGAACCTCCACTCTCCCAATCCCAGACCACGACGAGCCACTCGCATCCTTGGACTTCGCCACTAAGACACTCTCCATCTCACCAGCAGCCGTGATCACCACCATCCCATCCCTGTACGCTATCGACTCCCTCATCGCAGCGATGTTAGCAGTTGCCGTCTCAGACGAGGCCACAAATCCCATATTAGCAGACATGGCCCTGGGCTCCCCGAAACCATCGCGGCCAACCACTTCCCACAAGCCCGGCTCGTACTCGATGCCCGTGTTCCAGGGTAAACTAGTCACGACATTAGCCGAGCGCGCTGATACAGCAGAGAGCGTGCAGTTAGCGTCGCAGATTAAGTCAGCACAGAAGAAGTCAAAAGGCGACAATGGGAAGAGAAGTACGTTCAAATTTTGGAATCGAGCTCCTTCTACGCAGACTTCGAACAAGAAGCAGCAGGTTGTTGTTGAGGAATTCGATTTAGAGAGTTATGGTCGGTACGGGCCTAGTTCCTCGCGGGAGGGAACGGAGGTGCCTGGCATTACGCGTATGATACTGCGGATATTGTTCTTTGGCTTGAATTTGATTGTCAAAGGGTTGACTCTTGTTGTTAAAGTCTTGGCTTGGCTGTTGGTTAACTCGACTCGGTGTCTGACCAGTGAAAAGTTTTGAAGAGGCTTAGATCTTGACAGTTGGTTTTTATCTCTTGTTTCATTGTTTTGTTTGTGACTTCGACGTTCTGGAAGCGATCGAGGGACTTGGTTCGGTGGATTAGTTATACCCAATTTGATATATTTGCGGCAATCGTTCGTGCTTTTAATAACTCTAGTCATTCTAGCACCTACATTTGAGATATATATAGCTTCTAGTCATGCAAATAGAAAAAATTCAAAAACGACCGGTGGTTTACATTTTTGGCTAGTTGGGCTTCTCTGTAACCTTAGCTTTCTGATATATATTGGCGGACAAAACACTCTTGCAAAACTTCATATGTACATGTGTGGTTCTCAATTGTCCATTAAAATAACACAGAGACAAGATTTATCAGGCTTACGACCTAATGTACTCGCCTGTCAATTGTATGTACTTCCACCAAGGTAGGCTTGAATGATGAGCATACGCGCTCGTTTTTATGGGGCTCTAGACTTTTGTTACTTTAGTGTTCTTTTATACCTAGGCATCACATTTTAACTTGCTTATCTTGTTTCCAAATCTGTTTTTATTTGCTGACTGGTATATCTTGCTCTATTGTGGCTCTATCCCAGGGTTGTGAAGTATTAAGATAGCTGTAGAAATTATCAGTATACCTAACAATCTTAGTCACAGAAGCTTCTGAACAGAGAAGCTAGTACAGTATTTCGATGAACTAAGACCAATATGCGGAAATGAATCATGCAAGATCGTAATGGGCACGGGCATGCTTTTCAGTATTGTTGCTAGACAGTCATTGACTTCAGCAGGTCGAAGACCCTGATTGTCTGAATCAATATTGAAAGGATGTAAATCAACAGAGATTTTCTCTGAACACCAACGAGGGCTCAAATTAGGAGTGTAAAGATGAAAATCCTCCTTGAGTGCCTGTTGATCATTCCAGACCAAACCTGTTGCGTGTACGTTCCGAGTGTAACATCGCCGCACCGCAAACCACGATGACATTTCAGATGACATGGCCAGAATAGCATTTGAGCATGTGTTTGAATATCATATCGAGAAGCGGTATAATAATTGATCTTTAATCTGGAAACTCTTGATTGGCACTGCAAGATACATTTCGAAGTTCATCTTAAATATCACGACAGCCAAATCTACCCTAGCGCAGGGTTGACTCTCCATTTCCAGGACTAATTATGAAATCTCCTTCAATCCAGTCTCTACCCCGGGCAATGAAGATCTTAATAAAGCACAATAAGACGGTTTTTTGGATCTCAGAAAGTGCATTCCGCGGAGTATAGGTCTCCAGGGGTAAGAAAGGGAACCGCCACAGGGACATGGCAACTGGCACATTCTTGTGTCATTCCAATACAATCAACAGGGGCTTTGTGCAGTGAAACCCCAAGGACGTAATCGAAAAATGTCACCTAAAGCCTATCATCTGCCTATATACCGTCCCTATATCGAGCTTCCGTCCACAACGAGAATGCCTACACGTCATAATTCCAATATACCCACCTCTTAGGGGATCAAGGGATGTATGTCATTTCGAAGCAATTGTTTACTCCGTAAATGACTAGTAACTCAATTGTACATAAATCCTCGAATGTTTCTCGAGCCCGCCACTCGGATCCATACCATTTCTATCTATACAAGATTTCACCTTTTGGTATCAATTTCTTACCATAAGCTCTATACCTCTTCATCAAGAACCACAATAATCTACTCATAATGCGTTACTTCATTGCCGCCTCTGTCCTGGCCGCAGGAGCCCTTGCTCAGTCCGCCACCGACTACCTCAAGTGTGCTGTAAGATCCTACCATGCACACAACCCTTGCCAACAGCCAAACTAACAAAACAACAGAGCGCCACCTTTGGCTCAGCCGATGTCTCCGCCTTCAAAGACTGCGATGGCAAGTCCGCCCAAGAGTGCATCTGTGGCAACAAGGACGCACTGTCCACTCTAAGCGACTCCGCCGTCAGCGCGTGCGACGGCGTCGATATCACCTCCCTCACAGACTCCCTCTGCGGCAGCTCCCGCGAAGCCGCACCAGCCCGCCACGCCTCCAAGCCCATGGAGCTAGCAGACAACATGAAGCGCGCCTTCGCTCCCCAGGTCGAAGCCAACTCTGCTGCCCCCGCTGTACCCCGCGTCGTCTATGTCACCGAGACCAAGACCGACTGCAGCTGCAAGAGCACCCCCGCGCCTAACGCGCACATGGCGCACATCTCCCAGATCCCAGTCGATGTCCCTGCTAGCTCCAGCTCCATGTTCGGTATGGCTGCTGCGTCTACACCCGCTAGATACTCGCACGGTCTGATGGGCGCCGCTACTTCCTCTGTTCTCTTTGGCTCGCAGGCTTCCGCTGCTACTCCTTCGCCCTCTGGTGCTGATGCTCACCGTTTCTCGGCGTTCCAGGGAGCTGCTGCTCCTGGTGCCTCTGTGAACACTGGTGCTGCGGCCGTCGGTGTCGCTGCTGTCATGGCCTTTATGGCTGCCCTGTAAGCTTGGCAAGGTTTTGTTCTTCCAAAGGGTTGAGTGAGACGTGGGGTTCTTGTTTCCATCTTCAGCTTGTATGGTTATTGGAGTTTATATTGGAGTATTTTCTTTTGGTCAAACTAAACCAATTTGTTGGTTATTGAGATTAGTTATAATGATAAATGAAACAATTATCTGAATCGAATATTGCCAGAATTCCAACATTATTTCCATTAATTAATACAAGTGTAGTCTGTCTGGATTAAAGTCCTGTCATTGATAAACATGACGGGAAAAGAGCGAATGTACCAACCATCCATTCATCGTTATGTCTGCACATAATGAAGGAACATTTGGGTCCCAACATCGTTATAAACGATTTGTCCAGGTAGCTTATGCGTGAACCGCCTGCTGCACATGGGGATATAGCTCCACAAGCTTGTGGTAGATCTCCGGGTGGTCATTGATCATGACCTGAGGATCCCAGCCCATAGCCACAAAGATAGTCTCAACGCCACTACTGATTGGAGTCATGAAAACCTGGCAGACCTGCAAACCAATCAAGAAAGCGAATGCCATAATGACAGCGGTGAAATCGCCATCCCTGTTGTATTCTGGCTTGGTGAATTGCAGGTACAGGTAGGATAACAAGGCGCAGACATACGCAACGAAGGTCGAGCCCATGGTCAGGACAGGTCCCATAAGGCAGTCCTGAACAAGGGCATCAATGCCTCGGTCGCGCATCATAGTCCAGGTATCCTTGGCAGCAGGAATATACGCCTTTCCATATAACGCAATGTGGCAGAAAGCGTAGCGGTTGAACAGTGTGACCAGCCAGTCGAGCAGCGAGATGAAGCACCCCAAAATCCAGATGAAGATGCTACCAATGAGATTTCCCTGAGCGGCCTCCTGTCGCTGCGCGATTGAGCAAGCCTGACGCAACATTTGGATGATCGCAATGATCAAACTGCCCAAACTGATACTGCCAAAAGAGTAGGTAGTCGCGCGACGGAACGCACCACGGGTCGAACCCTTGGGCATGCCGCCAGCAGACTTGCTCCAGAAGTACCATGAGCCGTACACGCCCGCAATGGTGGTGTGAACCGTGTTTTTGATCCATTCGCTGAGCCAGTACATGGCGAAAGTCACGTACACGACCAGGCCGATCACCTTCGCTGTGCTACAACCACCATCCTTGCATGATGGGTTGGTTCCCGTCGAATCAGGCTCATAGGCAACATAGATCGAGACGAGGGTGACGGAGAACCAGGCCGCAAAGGCGACAGTGACAATTCCACCCAGAGCGCTGACCAGGAAAATGTGACCGTAGCCGCGCGCAACATCCATGGCGGTTTGCAACATGAATGCAGTGAAAGGGATGCGTGGGATCCAACTGATGAAACAAATGATTGCGAAGACTCCGAATAACAGGAACACGATTCCACCTCCATATTGCTTGCGCGCGATGTAGTAAATGCCTGTTGCGAGGGCGAAGACAATGTTGAGGATACCAGTCGCCCAGATGAAGGTTTTGGTGAAGTATCTAGCACCCATAAAATATAGCCAGGAAAAGACGAGAGCGACCGCGAGGACGAATATGAATAGTACGAGGGTGTTGGTGTCCAGCGAGAAATCATTGGCCGAGTCGTAGATGCCCCCTCCATTGAAGCCCTTGTTGGTCGCATACTTGTGAATGGTAATACCGGACACCGCAGCATACCCAAGGAAAACTGCGATCAACTGTAATAGAGTCAGCTCTGACAGGGCATTTTTGCACACCGTCGCGACACAAACTTACCAAGAGTCCTGCCCACAAATCGTTCCACTTGGGCTTTTCGATCTTAAAGGCCTCATCGAAGCTGTACCCAGACTGCGGGACATTTTGCTGATATTGGGGAGGTGGTTTGACTTCAGGTGGAGGTTGCTGATAGTTCGGTTGCTGATATGGAGCTTGGGGCTGTTCGTAGTTCCCATAGTTCCCATTGTACCCATAGTTGGGTTGTTGCTGGGGCGGCGGGTGGGAATAACCCTCGTTATTGTAATAGCTGGCAGCCTGTCCACTCATGGCAAGACTGGGAAATTAGCACAAAAAAACAAAATGCGAAGGAGAAAAGCAGGAAAAAGTCCAAAATGCCAGGGGAATCAAGGAGATTTTATTCCGCATTGGAATCATGACGCCATGGGGGAGCTACATACAGGGTCTGAGGTGAACCACGATCGCCAATGATCAGCCCTGTAGGGTCTTTGATCTCAGCTTTTACTTATGCGCTAGTAGTACACTAAAGCAAAAAAATTTTCTCTCAAAATTGAGGCCAAGTCGGTTGCCTGCTTGGCATTGATTGTTCAAATATGTGCATGCAAGTAAAATTGCTCTCTAAATGTGATACTATATGCTCCAATTTCGCCTTTAGAAGCCAAGACGCCAATAATGCAGTGTTACTCCCCCAATTATGATTACAGACATTAGATCTTTTGTCCGAAAATGCCCAATATGCGCGGAAATGGTTCGCTCAGCGGAATGCATGTTGTTTTAATTGCCGCCAGGAATCAACCACTCGGTGCTCAATGCCTGGGATTGGTGTACGAGATCGACCAGTGAAATCGTCGGTCCCCGAATGAAGCTGGCCTTTGCTGAAGGCGACCGATCGCCGCAGCTTTTCTTGGCGGACGGCGACCCGCCGCTGGGCTCGGAGCTCTTCAATACGACCTTGTCCCACCCGATGACGACGCACAAAACATTCATCCATCAACGTGTTGGCATCCAACAGCTTTTTGGGGATTGTTTGGACGATCTGGAATGCTTCCATAGGATCTGTGACACCAAGAATATCTCGTTCGCAAGCTTTGAAAATTGCTAGAGACACGCGGAAAAAAGTCTTCGAGCCTTCGTAGAAGAATACGTCCCATACGCGAAGGGTGGTTTCCAGAGGCAAGGTGCCGATGAAGACTGACATAAGCCAGTTGGTCAGTCCCAGGGTGATATCTGGTAGGCGAGAGTTGACCGTCAGTGGAGGCATCTTACCCCGTCCAGACGGGGTTCCTCCCATGGCGGCGATCTTAGAATAGATGCCTGGCATGGAGTCCCGGAGCAAGACCATGAGGATCCAGAGGTCGATGTTCGCACCCTCTAGACTGATCTCATGGGTTCCAGGCAAGTAATCTGCGGCAATGATGTGAAGCATCCAGAACGCCTTTTCTTCCGAGAGGAAAAGGAGAAGCATGCCCGTGATGAAATTGAGCGATTGAGTGTATCCGATCTTCGGATTATGCAGCGCATAGGCGTACAGAACTCGGCGAAGAGACTGAATCATCTGTGTCTCCGTTGTGACATTAGAATAATTCGGATTGCTGCTCCCAGAATGCTCGGTTTGTGCAGGGACTTCTGGTTTGAAGTGAAGATTGTCAGGGAACGTGCGGTGGAGATCGCGCTCAATGTGCTCTTTGTCATCGTTGCTCCCGGAGTTCATAGCAGTCTCCACGAGTCGGTCATAGTGGCCAAGGTTCCGGTTCAAAAGCTCGTACCCGCCGGCATAATAGAACCAAGCTGCACCTCGGAACTCAGGAGGAATTCCTTTGCGAACAAATCGCTTGACCTTGTTGGACTGCGGTGGAAATTTTGTGGGCTCAGATGTAGGAAGACCGTGTTCCTTGAGCAATTCGCACCATTTGAGCCTCCGCTGCGCCACATGGCTGGAATATGGTCCCTTCCAGGCTTCATATTCATCCAGGGTGACGTATTGCGTGGACTTTCGGAACCCGTAATCGTCCCGAGGACCGTTTCCAGAAAGAAGTTGCGGTGGCACCAATCCAGGAATAAACACTTTCGAGGGCTGGCGTTGATGTGCGGGTTGCACTTCGGACACATCGGCCACTGGCGAATCGGGAGTGATTTCAGGTGGCGGAGATTCCGGTACAACAGGGTCTGATAGTTCGGCTTCTGGTGGATGTTCCACAGGTGTGGGTTTTAGAGGTGTGAGCTCTGGCGGGGATTCGGGGAGTATTGGTTGTAATGGTGTGGGTTTGGAATAAGTCAAGTTCGGGAGAAACGTCAGGTCCGGCAACGCGGGCTCTGGAATTGTGTCTTGCACAATTATAGAATCCGAAATTGGAGGGATCGGGGGAACGTCGCTCAACGACGCAAAGTCCGATGCCGATGGGTGTAGGTCGTCCAAGTGAGTGTCGCGTGATGGCGGAGGTGTTATTGACGGTGCTTTGCTTCCAGTGTGAGATTTTGGCGAGCCAGGCTCTTCGGTCACATCACTGAAACCATCAAGATACATAGAGATCGCGTCTTCAACACTCATCCCATTATCCATTCCATAAGGCGCGTCGGGGGTATCAGGTGACAAGTCGGTAATGGAGCTGCTTTTGGTCAAAACACTGCTACGCTCTGTGCCACTTGCTTGCTCAATGCTAGAACGCCAGGTCTCAGACGAATTGACACTTGATCGGGGAGCATTTTCATCGGCAGGCCCGTTGTTTGGGAAGCGCGGCAGAGGCAATTTTTGTGGGCTCAAGTCCTGCGGGTGGCGCTCAGTGGATTCTTGCGTTTTTGGTCGTCTGTTGTTCAGCCTGGACGTTGACATGGATATACGGAGCCCGCCTCGCGCCAGCGGAGCTTTGCGGGGGTTCGGCCGTTCAACCTCATTGTCTCGCGAGGGCCATCGAGGTGTATGGATTTCCGGAGGTGTGGCATAGTGATGACGAGGAGCAGTTGATCTAGGGGAGTTCCAATCACTGGTTGGACCCTGCGAGGAGCCCGGGTAGGGCTTGTAGGCCTGATATTGCGAAGTTGGTGGCCACTGGTAGTCGCTGGGAGGGGCGCTTCGCGGAAGAGGAGAACGCGATCGCTGGGGAGGTGTAGAGTGTGCCGAATGAGGGGAAGATCTTGGTGCGGGCTTTGCATTTCGCGCAGCGCGTGGATCAATTGTCAAAGATTCCAGCCGGGGTGGATGAGGAACTCTGCGCCGGCCAGGAAGATCGAAGTCAGCCGAAGGCGGATATCGAGAGTTTACGTTTTCTGTGACCATGGCCACGATGTCGCACCCAGTTCCCGCTGGACATTGGTTATCGTGGCTAAAGAGGAATAATTGGACGATCGGTCAAAGACCATGGGTATCGAAGGCTAAGGAGAGTTCGCGTGGTCCCCCCAACAAAAGGAAGAGAATGAACGACACGAAATTGGACTTGCAACTAAACGAATGAATTAAAGAAAAAAGAATGCAGACCAAATTCTGGGGGACAGCCTGCCAGAGGACAGTGGAAAAAAAGAAACGAAGGGCGCAGTTGAGATAAAATCAACAAGCCCTGATTGGGTCTAGTGTCATGTGACGTAATATATATAGGGGCAAACAGGTTCAGTATATAGTGATTTTGAACGATGTTAAGACGGTGGTTTCAGATTCAGTAAAGAGCGGAACTATTAGCCGTTGGATATATCCAGTCTTTTTTAGACTTTCTATATAGCATTGTTCTAATTTGATTTCGAAAGGGAAAAAAGAAGAAATCGATAGGTCTAAAGGAAGATCGAACGGCTGGATCGCCGATCATGGACTCTTCATACTCGGTAGTTCTACAACGGTTGTAGAAACCCCTGAATAGTAACTTCCAGGCACTTTTGTGACCACCAACTCTTCATGTTATTTTTTTCCCCTGCTCTTTCTGGCATTGATTTGATCAATGTCTAAATACATATGTATCACAAAAAAAACCAACAGATTAACATTACGGTGGCTGGCGGCTCGAACCTATTCCGTGTTCGGATAGCCTTTTAGGGTTTATTCCCGAAACAGACATGTCAACTTCCCATTCATCTTTCGAGCTCATGTTTACTTACGTTTTCGTGTTGGAGAATTCCTTACGATGCCTACTTCGGCATTCGGTATTCTCAGTATGCTCTCAATAGTACTTATGTTTGATATATATCCAGGGGAGCTGCAGCTGCATTGCACTATCGACTAGTACGACTACTATGCACTCGTTCGTTCAAGATGGCTATTGTCGACCCGACGACCAAACAATCCCCAGCTTACATTCGTTCTACTAGTTGGGCAGATGTATGCATTATCTCCCCCCTGCGTGCCGTCAATGTGCCACTAACTCGCTTAATCTTTTTAGGGCCTTCGAGGAATTGCCGCTCTTTTCGTTGTCGCTAGCCATACCTGTCTCTCTTTTGCAACCTATCTGATTCCGCCATCCTTTGCAGAAACGGGAAAATCTATTTTATTCCAGCGTCCTTTCTTTCGACTGGTCATACAGGGCCAGGCCTGGGTTGCTGTTTTCCTTGTCTTACTTGGATTCGTGAATGCCCTGAAGCCTCTCCAGCTAGCCCGACGGGGGGCTACCTCCGATGCCCTCGCTACACTTTCGACAGGCGCATTCCGCCGCAAGGGGCGTCTGGTCTTCCCCGCTGCTCTCATAACCTTTTTGGCCTGGCTCGCATGTCAGTTTGGCGTATTTCAATTGGGTCGAAGGGTAGATGCATACTGGCTTAGAGCGACAAGTCCTAAGCCAAGCCCATCTTTAATCACAGCGGTGGCAGATTTGTTCCGCCAAATTGCGGGTACTTGGATGTATGGCGAAAATGCTTATGACCAGCCGCAGTGGGCGTTGCTCCACCTTTTCCGAGGCTCCCTGTATGTCTTCATGACCTTGCTGGCCTTGGTAAACACCACGCCACTGTTTCGCCTTTGCGCCCAGGTGGTCTTATATTCTTATAGCTGGGCAACTCTAGATGGTAAGCATGTAATGAATCCTTTCGCCGAATTCGAAACTGACGATGGTTTCCAGGGACGATTGGGACCAATATTTTCGCCGGCATGATACTTGCCGAGCTATCATTCTACAACCTGACAGCCCTTCGACCGCGGGCATTATTCAAAGTCCTGCCTTACGGCCTGGTCACCCTCGGTCTTTACATTTGCTCATACCCAGACCAATATGCCGACCAGACCGCGTGGTCATCTCAACTTGCAACTCTTGCGCAGACTATCTTCCCCGAAAATGCCAATGTTAGCCGTTACTATGCCAGCCTCGGCGCGCAGATGGTATGCTTTGGGGTGATGCTTTCGCCCTTGATGCGGCGGATACTCTCCCACCCTATTTTGTTGTGGCTAGGATCTATCAGCTTTCCGCTCTACCTTGTCCATGGGCCGTTGATGCGGTCCGTTCTGGTGTATTTGGTTTATCTTCCGATGACCATTGGGTTCAAACCGGCATTGGGGGCGGATGGCATGCCTGATCCAGAGTCGTATATTCCAACACCAAATCCATTTCGACTTGGGGTGATTCTGATTATATTCTTTGTGTTCCTGCTTTATGTTGTCCAACAATGGACCGTACACGTGGAGCCAAAGATGGGCGCGCTTACAGCTGAATTTGAGAAATTTTCTCGCTCTTGGGGAAAGACTGCGATGTGGACCTCAAAAGAGAAGGATGGGATATTGCCGATATCCTCTGTAAAGGAAGTATCTGCATAATGTTTTGGTTGTGAACGATTTCTGCTTTTTGGAGTCTGGGGTTGAACGGTTATACCACTGGATTTTGTAGAACAAATTATATGATAGTGCAAAAGAATTGATTACTTATCTTCGGGGCTTAAGCACCAACAATCTCCCATTCTGCATTCAGACGATTTAATACAACATAGATCAAGGTTAGATTCGCTCTTGTATTGTGTCGAAACGACGACCTATTAAAGATAAGGAGAGTTTCCCGATGATTGTGCTTAATTTCAGGCGTCCTCAAACTCATCTTCTGCCTTGGCATTAGAATCACATCGATATCTTAGGTGGGTAGCTCAGAGGTCGGCACCATGTCCTCTGTCTCGAAGTGGGTGTTCCTCGTCATCCTCGAAGGGCCTCATTGTCACCTCTAACACAAAATCAAAGTTGGAGGCATCCTCAAACGTGGCGATGATCTTACTCCAACCAGCTCTCCGGGCATCAAGTTTCCCCCGGCTAAGCTTCTCCCCTGAGCTTCCAGTGATTTTCCATTTGAGATTGAAGTAGAAGGTTTAAGATGCAGTTCCTTGCAGTTCATGACCAGCTGAACGTAATCTCGGGGTTGCTGGCCATTTATGAACCCCAAGGGGTTTTTGTCATGGGGGTTTCAGAATCGGTGATCCAAATATAGTATTTGCGTCTTTCAGCCTTCAAAAGTTCTTTGGTCTCCTTCGAGGCCTCACTATCGCCTTCTTTGTCCCAAAAAATCCTCAAATCCATGTTCAGCGGTGAACAAAGTAGTTTTATCAATGGGTCTTCATCAAACAAGTTCTCCCTCTTTTTCTGCTTCCATTTAGAAAGGTGGCACTGAAGAACTTTCTTTCCTTTGTCCATGGCTTCCACAGATGCCATGCGTGAGTTCCCAGTTTGTCGCTGAGAGCAGACCCGATAGGAAATGCAGAATCTCCCATCTTGGTAGATTCGCCATGTACTAAAGAGACAATAGTAATTTTGATGGAAGTCACACCGTCCAGGAGATCTTGGTTGATCGTGACTGAATGAAGAAGTCGAAGAATAAGTAGTATCTGTAAAAGAACCGTACATTTTACTTGTTGAAACAGATGAGCTATGAACCTTTTACATACATATTTGTATCATTAGGCCTCTCAACATAAGTATATACAGATACAGCCAGATATAGCCGTTTTTAGGTACGTATTAAGCAGAGTTTTTGGGGTCGTGATTTATCATGTTTGTTTCCAGCCGGCGTTTGACAGACAGACTCGGATCCTCATTTTCATATGGGTATCTCCCTTCTCTCCTGTGTAGTACATATCCAAAGTGTCCTGAGAGGTCCTTCTATCTTGGTAATTCCCTTCACCTTCATTTGGAATTTCCAATAACTTACACCGTCTCAGTTGGTAGGAACAAAGTTCCCCCAAATTTGATGCAGCCTACGATCTCACAATGCATCTATTTAAGCGAGGCTTCCTGGTGAGTGTGGGGTTTTTGCTTCTGGTTCTGTTGCTTACTTTCATTTTATTAGGTACAACATGCCTGGCAGTATATGGATGCGAGCTGTGCTCTGAATCGACTAATGAATGCCGCATTGAATGTCACATGCCGTCGACGTGAACACCAATCGGCGAGGAGTGATAATACCCATCAGCATAATTATTATGATATGCCGATAGTTTGGGTCAACCTTCAAAGGGCACGAGCAACCTTTATGGAACTTCGAAGGCAGGTTAATGTTGTTTTGAATCCAATGAGCCCATTGGATATGCAAGCTTTATGGCAACAACATTACTGGGATCTGCTTTTCTCTCTCGTGCATGTGCCCCATTGGGATCCTGTCCTGGGTAATATACGTGGACTTTGGCCACTTACTAGATTGGTTGCTGGGCTGGGTGATGGGCCATGATGGGCCGGATAAGGGAACAACTCTCAGTTTGTTGATTCAGTTTGGCTCTTGGCCTTCAAATCATTATCTATTTAAACCCCAAAGGCGCAGGCTGTGATCGTTAGTTCCTTTGCGTAGAAGTAACCTCGGGATAGGTCTATGTGTCAATCGTAAATCCAAAGTGATACGCTGCACATATAATACTCATCAACACATTTTCAGAAAAGAAGTAGATCAAGGTCACGAGACCATACTGCAGATTACAGAATGTTCATTATTATTAGCCTTGTGATCCGAGTATTACGTGCTGCTGATTAGAAGTCGGCTGTCCTTTCAGACTTGAAAGTCCTTTCTCATACCATCAAGTGTTGAAGTTGTAAATGCAAGTGAGACTAGAAAATTCAATTACATATGTATATTGTATCTATAGTAATATACTCCGTACAAAGTGGTTTTTTGATATGGGTCGGAATCCCTTTCTAGTCCCCTTTGGGTTGTTCGATCGGGTTTTGCCGATGCAGGGTCCATCACCTGACGTATTTTTACTCATGCGAAAGGTATTTAGGGCGATAAAAATAGCCCTTGAGATTAACAAGATACCACCACACTTTGAAGAATATGTAGTATTCAAAACCCACTGGAGTGAATTTCCCAGGTTTGTAAAGTAATGTGAAGGAGGCCTCAGGCAACGATGTAGAAAACAAAACAAACACAACACAACACAAAACGCACAAACAATTCAAACCCAAAACAAGAAAAAGTGGCACACGTACCTACATGACCCAAGCAGTGTTACAATCCAGCTATCGTAATGTTCCAGATTATTTCTACAGATGGTGGCTGATTGGTTGACCATTTGACATACTGTGGCGGTCTACCAATGGTGTGGGTGTGGATAAGGTCAAATGGAGATAGGTGAAACGTGTTGACGCCACGAGGAACGCAAGCTGGATTGACGCAAGACACAAATCTCAAGAGCCGTGGAAAAGGAAACTCTGCAAAGTGGCTCAATGAGGTAACTCTTATTATGATTCTCTCCAGGGACTAGTGTGGCTCTTAACGTTGATCAGCGACAATCTATTGGAATCTAATAATAACCAGGCCAGGCCTCCTCCAGAATCCACTTTTTTTCTTTCATTCCTAGGCCATTAGTCTTGTCTCACCTCCGCTTGCTCGATTTTCATCTTTTCGGGGTTTCTAGTGTCAAACTCTCTTAAATCCTCCCTCCCCATACTCTCCATGCTGTTCTTTTGATTCCTCCCGGTCCCTCGTTTATGCCGGATCACTCGTTTGTTCGATATTGACGCAATGGATCTGCATAGCATGAGCTTAGTCGCTCGAGCGGACGGGGCAGACACTTTGCTGGATCTTATTGCGAATCCCTTTCGCTCTGCAGTTCGTTGATGTGGCTCCCAACGTAAAACATTGTATACTAACAAGATAAAGTTCACAGTTACAGCTATTTGGGCCTCGTTAGGCACCTCGATCGGCGTCACTATCCTTCTCGCCCTCCTGTTTTCCCTCATCCGACCCCGTCACTCGCTCGTCTATGCGCCCAAAGTTAAACATGCAGACCTCAAACATGCGCCGCCTCCGGTAGGGAAGGGTCTCTTTGCCTGGCTCAAGCCAGTGATCCACACACGGGAGGCTCAGCTGGTGGAAACGGTCGGATTGGATGCTGCGATTTTCCTACGTTTCGTCAAGATGTGTCGGAACATCTTTATCTTTCTCAGCATCATCGGATGTCTTGTCATGATACCAGTGAACATCACACAGAGCTCAAGCCCGAGTGACAAGTCGGAGTCTTCCACCTTCAACATGATGACCCCCTCAACATCACCAACCCCACAGCCATTTGGAGCCAAGTTGTATGTGCCTGGGTTTTTGATCTGATTGTTGTGTACTTCTTATGGAGAAACTACCGGGCTGTTCGAAACCTCCGGAGGCAGTATTTCCAGAGTTCTGAGTACCAGAGGAGCTTACATGCCCGTACTCTCATGATCACGGATATTCCTGTAGCTGATCGTACCGACGAAGGAATCCTACGCCTCACCGACGAAGTCAACCCCACGGCTGCTCTGCCACGTGCTTCCATCGGCCGCAATGTCAGAGACCTCCCCAAGATCATCAAAGAGCACGAGGAAGTTGTGCGAGAATTGGAATCTGTTCTCGCCAAATACCTCAAAAATCCGGACCGACTCCCCGCCAAAAGACCTAAAATTCGTCCGCCTCGCTCACAGCGGAGTAAACATCCAGATGGCAAGGTTGATGCGATTGATTATCTGACTGTTCGGATTCGGGTATTAGAAGAGGAAATCAAACACGGGCGAGCCTCGATTGATCGCCGAAATGCCATGTCCTACGGCTTTGCTAGTTGGGAAAACATTGAGCACGCCCACGCGGTGGCATGGAACTCTCGCAAGAAAAGCCCCAAAGGTACTACCATTACTCTTGCGCCAAGGCCTAGCGATCTTATCTGGGAAAATTTACCCCTCACAAAATCGGCCCGCAAATGGAAGCGATTCATTAATTCCATCTGGGTCACATGTTTGACTCTCGTGTGGATTGCTCCTAACGGTCTGATTGCCGTCTTTTTGTCCAACTTGTCAAACTTGGGCCTTGTGTGGCCAGCATTTCAGACCTCTTTGGAGGCCAATCGAACTGTCTGGGCTGCTGTCCAGGGTATTGCCTCTCCTGCGCTCACATCGCTTGTGTATCTATTGCTTCCGATCATCTTCCGTCGACTTTCTATCCAAGGTGGCAGCAAAACCAAAACATCCCGAGAACGTCATGTTCTTGGGCATCTTTATGCATTCTTTGTTTTCAACAACCTTGTTGTATTTTCACTCTTCTCCGCTGCCTGGGGATTTGTGACGATTGTGATCGACAAGACCAACAATCATGAAGATGCTTGGCAGGCCATCGTGGAAAGTCGGTTGTATGCCCAGATGGTGAGTGCTTTGTGCACTGTGTCGCCGTTCTGGGTTACCTATCTATTGCAGCGCAACCTCGGTGCCGCTATTGATCTTGCCCAACTGGTTACAATGGTGTGGGTATGGTTTGCGAAAACATTCCTTTCGCCAACCCCTCGACAAGCTATTGAATGGACTGCACCACCAGCTTTTGACTACGCTAGCTATTACAATTACTTTTTGTTCTATGCGACTGTGGCATTCTGCTTCGCTACTTTGCAGCCCATCGTGCTCCCTGTGACAGCATTGTACTTCGGAGTTGATGCCATTCTGAAGAAGTATTTGTTGATGTACGTGTTTGTGACCAAGAACGAGTCGGGAGGCTTATATTGGCGGGTCTTGTTCAATCGCTTAATCTTCGCCACCATTCTCGCCAATGTGGTTATCGCCTTGGTTGCTAAGTCTCGCGGTACATGGACTATGGTGTTCTGTGTGGCCCCTCTCCCTTTCTTGATGCTTGGATTCAAGTTCTATTGCATGAAGACATTCGACTCCGACTGCGAGTACTACAACCGCGCAAATTTGACAGACGCCGAGGCATTGGGTGTACAGAAGACCGACAAAAAGGCTGCAGAGCGCTTGAACTCCAAGTTCGGCCACCCCGCTTTGTACAAACCACTTTTGACTCCTATGGTGCACGCCAAGGCCGCCGCAGCACTGAAGCAAATCTACCAGGGCCGTCTGGATCATGGTGATATGGCCGGCGAGTACTCAGACGTTGCCATGAACCCGATGCTCCCAGCCCAACCTGGCAAGTCGTCTACCGACCCATCACCCTTCGAGGTCGTGCCAGAAAATCACCTGGATTTCTCGTACTACAAGAACCGTGCCGATTTCCGGGACGAATTCGGCGGTGGTATCTATGGCCGGCCCGAGGACTTGATGACAGAGCGTTCCCATACCCCCCGCAGTCATTTAGGAGGCGAATGGTCACCTAGCTCATCACGGGCCTCATCACCTGCACCTTCACTCCCCTCAATAGCGCCTTTGAGGATGAACGAAGGCTACGAAAACTCCGATCCAACAGGGTTAATCCACCCGGCCTTCCGGGTTCCCCTGTCTCGAGGCGACAGTGGCACCTCGGTGCCGGGGCTCTACTCGCACGGGGACGAGGCCGAATCCGGTCTTCTACGCCATGCACAGGTCCCTGCACAGACAGATCCCTCCAACCCGATCGATCGCTGGCGCACCCGTGGCTACGGTCCTGTTGAGCAAGATGACGAGCCTCCGTATACCTCTTATGACGCATACCGTGTCCAGCGATAAACTGTCCATACAAGGCTCTTTAGGCCAAAACTTGCATATAGCTTTTCTGTACTTTTTACATGGCATGGCGATTACTGTTTGTTTCTGGGTGGTGTCAGCGTCCATTTTAAACACGAAGTTCACGATACAATATATTTGTCCGCTCGAGCGGCATATTCTCTGCCAATAATTCGTGTAGTACACACTGTAGCTATAACTGAATACATATTTACTATGCTGCAAAATCACTTATTAATGTTCCGAATCCGAAAATCTGCCGTATTTATCAAAATGAGACATAATCAATCTTAATCTTGCACCCATCCGGATGCTCATCTCCTTCTTCCACCCATCACCAGACTGCATATTTCCCAACGCTTCGAATATCCGTGACTGCCTGCGTCATTTGCGCCCCTGAACGAGAGCAGCCACTGGGGCCAGATACGAAGATTCAACACCCCGAGATGAGTAAATATCTCCTGTGACAAACCTCTGTGGCTCCTTTTCCGTTGCTGTTCCAGGTTAGTCTCTAGTCACTCAGAAGTTCAGACACACATATCCTGTCTTGTATGTTGCGAGAGGGTCAATCTCGGTGTGGACTTGGCTACAGGCTAACGATATCCCTCTGCCTGAAGAAGGCTTGCATAATGGTTGGCCAGCACAGCTCATTGTTTGTGAATTAGATAGATCGGACACTTAGGCCCCCTTCTATAGGAGAGCTCTGGTTGGGGATTGCCGTGGTGATGGCATAGCCCACTAGGTATAGCTATCATTATATATAGTGTACTTGCATACATTGTAGGACTATTATTTCCGATAAATATCTAAAAGAAAAGTGGGCTACAGAGGATTTCGGGCATATATATTCGAAAAAAAGTGGTCAGGCAAAATCAATGTGTTGGCACAGTGAGTTTGAAACAGAAAATACACGCAAGGCGCAAGTGGTTGTTGTCCAGGGCCAAGTCGCAATGGCGTGTCAACACAGCTCCAACCTAGCTCCAACCCAGCTCCAACCCACCAGCAACCGCAACTTCCCGAGGCGCAGCATTCTAAATCCACCCTCCACCCCTAATGGCGTGGTACTCCATTCTCCCACCGGAGCTCACCCACCTCGAGATCTGGGCAGCTCGCATCTTTGTACGCCACCTTTGAAACATGATCACCCGTCGTCCGAGCTCAGCCCCTTCTCTATGACGCAGTCACTAATCTACCCCGGATTCCACAGTTCGTCCTCGGCCTCATCACCATCGGCCCTTGGGCCTTCCTCGTACTCCTCGATGCGACCCTATGGCTATATCGAATGATTCTCTGGGAATTCCCTCGGATCGGCGGACGCGCACGTGGTCGACAACGTCCTCGCGCGCCGACCTTGAACGAACGGCCGGGCGGGCAGAAAAGGGCGTTTGGGCTGCGCGGTGTGGAGACCGAGAATGGTGATAGCGAGGGAGCCGATCAAGATGATATATCAAATTCCGCGGGGTCGGGGTGTCGCGATAACGCTCACAAGGAGAATGTGAGCCCTGTTCAAAGATCGAGTTCACAATCGAGTGGGGAATGAAGTGTTGAAATGAAAGGGCTTGGGGCAGATATGACCCTCTCATGACCCTCTAATCCCGTTCTTGTTTGTCTGAAGCGATTTTTCTTATGGTTTTGGTGTTGTTGTTCTGCGCATCTGGAGTTCCATTCAGGGTTCCAGGGTCTTGGAGTTTGTCCTGATTTTCATTATACCTTTGCCGATATTGGCTGTCACTTTGTCTTGTTATTATCATTCTGACATTATTTGAGCATGCATATATTATTCCTGATGTTTGATCTCGACTTTTGTCACTGTTGTGAAGCATTGCGAGTCGATATTCGGGGTCTACCTAGGTACATACCCCTCACTAATCCTCCATCTTCAACCGATGATTGTAAGACGGCTGCAAAGTCTCCTATATCTATTTGTCTGCTCGGTGTTATCTACTTGTATCCCAATTCTAATCATCCAGTGTACCTACCCCACCGAGTTATCATGGCTTTGCGACTCAATCGGCAAACAGCGGTTGATCCCGCCAGTCAAAATGGAGAGGATTACGATAAGCTCCAAATGCTTCGTGCGGAGTCCATGCGGAGTAAACGGATTCGTGATAAATCACTGCCTTGAATCAAACTTTATGTTGCGCATACATCTTCAGGGCTTGTGGATGAGTGGCACATATTCGTTGTATACTCTGAACTGAAATGGCAGCGCCTGTACACCACACAGTCGATTTCAGTGGACTATGGCCTCTAGGGCCTACTACATATGTGCTTGGCATCCTCCTGTTGGGACTGACAGCGGGGATGTTGGTAGTTCGACGATATCACATTTCTATCGCAAAGAAAAAGACCAAGTCAACTCTTCCAGACCATAAAGAACCGATGATCATCCCCCTAGAGGAGTTCGACTGGGAGAAGACCGAGCCATTACAGTTCCGACCATTCCAAGGGAAAGACAAATACAATTTGACCATGGGTGAGTTTGCTGGCGCTTGATAGGGACATCCGGGTATTCGATTAACAAGGCTCAGCGCTCGAGAACCTGAACCCATCGGATCTCATACAAATAGATAAAACATACAAGGATCGGATTGCCCTTCGGATATCGCTACTTGAAAGACACCATGATATCGTAATCGCAGTCAACAATGATCAAGATCTGCGTGTTCAGTCCGCCGTTAGCGAGCTATACACTTTTGTGCTGGGGAAATACCTCCCAACTCGATATCCAAGCATGTTCCAAGTGAACCTCGAAGACTCGCTCTTCCAAAACTTAGTGACAGGTGACACTTGGCCAACAAGCCTATCATCGAAAACTTCCACCATCCAAGCCCTCGAAATTCTAACACAAACCGTGGACGAAGACTTCCTGATCTTATTGCCAGAACTCTCACCCAAAGATAACGATCAACCAAAGTACGTACTGCAAGCATACACAACCTGTTTCCCGTCTGGCTTCAATCCTCATAAGAAGCTCGGTCTACGCTTGGCGGATATACACGGGCCGGTGCCTGGTTATCATGATAAGCTTGAGCGTAGTATGGACCGATTTTTCGCACGCATCGAGGTTGGGAAATACGTCAAGAGAGTCAACTGGAGCATTACTATCGACACAGAGCTGTTTGCTGCTTTTGGTGGGACGCACGCTGTATCGGGCGAGAAGGAGGAAGCTATTGAGCCTGGGAAACTGAAGGTCGATCAGGTATGTTGACTGGATTGTTTGATTTCAAGAATATTGCTGATGCTAGTCCAGACTGTTCTTCGCTGTGAGCGGCAGACACTACATCGGCTGCCGGTCTCTAAAGCTCTTGTTTTTGCAATTCATACTTATACATATCCGATTAGCCAGATCAAGGAAGAAGGCTTTGGTGAAGATCTTGCAAATGCGGTCGATGGACTGAAAAAGGGCAATGTACCAGATATGCACGCATACAAGAGGGGGGATGTGTGGGGAGATGCATTGAAGGAATATTTAAGAGGCTAGATTTGAATGTAGGGGGAATGTTGCCATCCGAATCAAATCGCTTTGTAAGGAAATATGTGCTACTTTGAGGTACTTTGTATAAAGCCAACTAGCAAACCACGAGCAATTTCTAGAGTAAACCGATGATATATGTGCTGTGTCGATTCCGAATTTTATTTTTGGAGTTCTAAGTTCAACAATCTAGCGGAGGCGCTCGACGACCTTGATCAGGTCGGCGGAAACACCCATAGCAGTGACATCGCCACCAGCACCGGCACCCTGGACAATCAGAGGATTGGCACCGTAACGCTTGGTGTAGAAGCTGATGATGTTATCGCTGCCCTTCAGACCAGCAATGGCGCTATCCTTGTCGAAGTACTGCAAGCCAACCTTGACAGCTTTGGAAGCGACATCAATGCTACCAACGTAACGGACAACCTTGCCCTGCTTCTCGGCAGTCTCCTTAACATTGGCCATCTGGGCGTCAAATTCGGGGAGACGGGTCATGAACTGAGAAATGCCGTCTGCGGAACTGGGAAGGGATGCAAGTTCGGCGGGAATCAAAGACTCAATGGGGAATGAGTCAGGGCGGGAAACCTCCAGACCAGCAAGACGGGCCAGAATGGTGAGCTTGCGGGCAACGTCCATGCCGTTCAGGTCATCGCGAGGATCGGGCTCGGTGTAGCCCAGCTCCTTAGCCTGGGCAACAACAGCACTCCACTGGGCATCGGAAGACCCTGATGCAGGAGCGAAGTTGTTGAACAGGAAAGAGAGCGTGCCAGAGAACACACCCTCGATACGGGTCACCTCGTCACCGGTAGCCACAAGGTCCTTCAGTGTCGACAGGACGGGCAGACCTGCGCCCACGGTGCTCTCGTGGTAGACGAAAGCCTTACCCTCAGCAGCGGAAGCAAAAATATCCTTCCACAGAGACAAGTCATCGGAGAATCCCTTCTTGTTCGGTGTAACCACTGAGATACCCTTCTTGAGGAATGTGGGGTACTGGCGGGCCAGGTTAATGTCGGAGGTGTTATCGACCAAGATAGCTCGGCCAGGGGCGGAGGCAAGATAAGTTGCAATTTCCTCGGCCTGAAGAGCGCCGCTCTTGGTCAAAGATGGTGCAGCAGATGCTGTGGCCCAATCGGCGGCGGGGATAGCCGGGGAGTAGGCCGGAGTGGGCGCAAGGAGAGTCTGGGAGGAACGGGCAAGGAGGACAAGCTGGGGCGCATTGGGCAGACGAGCGAGCTGCTGGAGGAACGAAGTACCAACGCCTCCGACACCTAATACATCAACCGTTAGAACTCTTCAGGATGTCCAAGGTTTGTTGTCGAGGGGTGTTTACCAATAACACCAAGGAAGATAGGGCTAGACATGATCCTGAATTGAAGGTTTTGAATTCAAAAGATCAATTGTAGTTTCTGATCTCAACCAAGTGTTCACTATCAGATTAAAACTGCATCAATTGAGTCACGGCGCGATCTATTGCTCGGTGGGGTGCTGCCCCGCTGCGAACATCGGCCTTAGTAAGCCGAGATCGCTGGCAGAACCCATCTGAGCTGGAGGGCGGTATAGATCGGCCTGCAGGGCTTATCGCGATAAGGCTTTTATCGATTGCCGTAAGATGTCCCTTTCATCAAGGTTGCTTCCTTCTTGACTTCACGCTTTGCTTGTGTTCATATCGCCATGCCTGCTGATCAGGATTCCCTCTATGGGAAGCCTCGTGCAAAAAAGAATAACAATGAACAAACAGCTTCAAACCTTGCTTTCTCCTCCCAACTCTCCTCGCTGATCGCCCAAGGAACAAACACTGCATCCTCACAAGGGCGCCAGCGTCCCTCCAAAGCCCCCAAATCAGACATCTTCTCAAAACACAACAAAGGATCTTTGAAACGTGCTGCAGCCGATCTTGCAGATGACAACCGGGCACTCAAACAAGTCCACAGGAGTACCCTGGACATCGGCTCCGTTGATACCGCCACGCTGGGCCGGTCCCGCCGTCACATGGAGGAGAAAGTGCAGATTTACAATGACATGAAGAAAGGACTTCATCTTGCTGGCGATAGTGACGATGATGATACTCCGCCTCATCCATCCGACCCAGACGCTTACCTGAGGCGACTGCGACGCAAAGAGAGAGAGGGATTGGTAGATTTTGATCTCAAACACGCAAACGAGCAAGAATCTAAACAGGAGGAAAGTGATGATGACATGGCTTCGGTCATTTCCTATGAAGATGAGTTTGGCCGTTCCCGTCGTGGGACTCGTGCGGAGGCTGCTGAAGCTGCTCGTGCCAAAGATGAGGAAGCAGGTGGCAAAGCTGCCCAGGAACGCTGGCGCCCTGCTCGTCCCGAAAATCTAATCTACGGAGAGGCTGTTCAGACCGAGGCCTTCAACCCCGATTCCAAGCTGGCGTCGCAGATGTCCCATCTTGCTGCTCGTCGCGATCGCTCGCCCACCCCACCAGAACAAAAGCACTATGACGCTGAGGAAGAGGTGCGCAATCGTGGAACTGGATTTTACAGCTTCTCCACGAACGAAGAGGAGCGCAAAAACCAGATGGAAGAACTCAAGACTATGCGGGAGCAGACGATTTTCAAGCGGACCACCGCTGAGGAACGAATGGCGAAACGAAAAGCCAACGAACAGTGGAGATTAAAAGAGATCCGAAAAGAGTTCGAAGAGTCAAAGGCGAGATGTGATGCCGCGGATCGCGAAAGGGAAATCAACCCCCCTCCTCCGCCTGACCCAAACGACCTGCCAGACCCGGAACTTCACTTTTTGCCTCTCTATATGCAAAAGCCGAGCTACGTGCCTCGGTGGGAGAAAGACCCTTGTCAATTGTTTAAAGTAGTTCCTTGGATTCCTGCACCGAAGAAGCCAGCGGCTTGAGCTCGAATTTCGACATGTTCCCTTGCCTTTTGTATATTTGATACCCCCCATGCTCGAAGGAAGCTTGCGATCTTTAAATTCTTGAAAATTACATCTACTATATATGAGGTTTCTTCGTGCGTAGCTAGCTACATGAGTTCGAGAACCCAATAAGAGAACGCAATAACTAAATATGGATATATGTCGTTAATTCCGTTGCTTTGGGATATATCTGAAAGGTTCTGGAGATATACGATGCAAGTTAACCGAGCTACCCAGGTAGTCACACCAAACTATGGTGTATTCAGGTATCAATTGAAACGATAAATTATAAGAATATTTAGCTAATTACCACAGATAATAACTAACCCTCCTGGCTTTTGAAATCTTGATCATTGCAGTCATCTCAGCATTACTCGTCACCTGTCGTCCATCTATGATGGATGCCCGAAAAGGATTACCAAGCACCGTCCGTCTCAACTGGGCAGTCAACTCATTACTCAACGAATGGTTTCAGCCAGTTCGTTCATAGCGTCCAGGAACTCATTGGCATCTAGTAAGTACACAATCAACAATTCAGTCGACCAAAAAAAAGAGAGGCCCATTCACGGCTAAGTACTCACCTCTAGAGGTTTCAAACTTCAAAATATGATACCCCTGGGTTGTCTGCTGCGGATTATAATCTTCCGTGGACATATATACCACGGGCTTGAGATTACGCATAATTACAGTCTGAGGATCAATGGACTTGATCCAGTTCCGCCTGCCGATATTATGGGTGATAAAGGCAGTCCAAACAGGTGTTCTGTGGTTGTTAGCATCGAGTTTAATACATTATGCTATCAAAGTTCAACATACCGGGTCATCTCGCCTTCATGCACCGATGCTTGAAGCCTCACTGCTCCACTCTCCACATCCTCGTATACGCGGAGTGCATGTCCGTATCCATCATCCGTAATAACACTGGTTAGAGTTAGTTTTCACAGGCTCCCATGCTCATTGTATGGCTTAATTCACCCTCCATATAGCTCTTCTTCGCCGTCCAGCTCATAGTCTATAAATCCATCCACAGGGTGGCCTGAGTCCTGAGAGCGTAAGGCCAGGAAGGTGTTGTGAAAAATCACTAGGTCTATTGAATGGGGTTCGTAAGTACATCGGATTAACATCAAAGACAAACTGCTTAAAGGGCAATACCAACCTTCCATACTCGTGAACTTGAGCAAAGCCCAAAGAATAAGCACTGTGCCTTTATTTCGCCGTCTGCACAGACGAAGAAAAGGGCCATCTCGCACAGCTTCGAGCAGATTCAAGGGCAAACAAAAATACTCACTGGGCCTCGTGTGGTGTGGAATTTTGCAGAGAATACGCACGCGGTGATCTCTTTTTCGTAGATAAAATGAAATGCGCATGTCGGATTCCTCCTCGAGGGATCTGCTTCATGTCAATTATATACTGGAACGAGCCATATTCCACGACTCACAATTGAAGAAGCTCCTCAAATTCCATTTCCTTGAGTTGTTGCTTGATACCGACGTGATTGTTCCCCTCACAGCGTGATCTATTCCGAAACCGTCAATGGAATTCTATCAATTACCTAGCCTATGCATTACTCACTTATGTGGTGATCTCGGCAGGGGATGCGAGCCAGCAGTATTGAACACTGATTTAGCCCAATGCTCTTTAATAGAATCGGATGTATTCGAGAAGCTGGTGGCGGTTGTTGCCGTTGTAGAAGTCATCGGTGAGCCTGGGGTATCTGAGATAGATGTCGGGATATCCGAGAATACACCAGAAGAAGGAGATAATGGCGATGTCGGAGATAGATGTGCTGGGCGAGTACGCTCGTACGACCTCCGCCGTGATGTTTTCCGGTCATCAACAGGGCTGGGTGGTTCAGCAGCATTGCCGCTAGAGGAGGGGCTCCGGTTGAGTGACATACGCTCTAGTTGTTGAGCTATTCGACGTTCCTGTACAGCGAGCAAACTTTTCATGCCATTTCGAAGGCCTGGGAGGATTGGGGAGTCTTGGTAACCACTAGCAAAGATCACAGATGAGTATACGACTGCATTTGCCAGTAAATCGCGTGGGATACCTACTCTCTTGCCAATTCAGTCAATTCTCTAAGCATCGTCCTAAACTTGGCTAGGCGGGTCGCTAGGCTATAATGCGATTCGTTCCAAAAGAACTCGTGGATGTTCTTCCATGTGCGCTTGTAATGCGCCGGGCTAGATTTCCCGCCATCAAGGCTGCGAAAAAAGCCGAAAATGTCCTCGAGGGTATATTTAAGACTGATCCGCACTAACTCCAAGTCGGGTTGAATGAGCGAGAAATTGCGCCTATAACGAATGTCCAGGTACAAAGCATCCAAACTAGCGAACAATGAACTGATGCTGTATAAATCGGCGATAAGAGAGGTAACTTCGGCCGCATGCTCGGGAAGAGGGTCACGAAATGTAGTGAACCCGGCTGCAACCTCCTCAGCGTTCACAGCAGATAAGCGCAGAGCCATGGAGTCCACAGGTCCAGCCCATATGGGTGGGAATTATCGGGGAGGGGGATGAAATAATAGAGGGGCAAAAGAGAAATTTTGGCGTGAACAAAGCCAATAAGCTCACATGCAAGTAATTTAAGATTATTTAAGCCATCAGACTCAACGAGACATTGGACGGGATTGGAAATTCACAGAAAAAAGTCCTCACGTGTGAGGCTCTAGACAGGGTTCTCCCTTGCGTCCGACAATTTGACGTGTTCACGCGGGAATGGCGGGGCTTCTGCGGTGGAGTTTGTGTGTTGGCCATTTCGAACGGTGAAGGTATGGACTCGATGATTTGGTAAAGATCTAATATCTTTTGATCATTGTAGATGTTTCTGATGTAGATTATATCTCCATACATTATATATGATCCAGGACATCGAATACCAGATATCAGTTACAAATGTATGTTCCATGGATTTCGTATTCCACCACAGCCCTAAAGATGGGGAAAGCACTGGGTTCTCTGTCTCTCTATTAGAGACAGCCCCTGATAGATAGACCAATCATACTGTGAAATTATGTCTTTGAGTTACGCAGGGAATTAAAATGACCGATAAGACTCGTGTTCCTAGATCTTGTAACCTGTCAGCATCGAAGTATATTGTGCATCCACGCCGTGAGAAAGGTCAAAGGGAAAGAATATGTGGCAACGAAATCACAGATTATAGGGTAAAATTCACATCTTAATGCATGGCTTGAAACCACAGAAATGGACAGCGTCCAGTCATTTGATAGCGCCCCACAATATCTTAGAGCCTCATAATAACATGAAATTCTATTCCTAGATCACCCCTTACAGGAAAGTAGAATGAACTGCAAGAATATATAGAGTTATACTACATCCCACCCGCATGAGAATTACGCTTAGAGTTACTGTTTCCAAATGCTGAGGCCTAATACTGAAAATGCTTCCTCTTATAGATTCTGATAGGGGATGGCCCGAAAAAGATCCACTGCAGAGACTAATCGTCATCTGTTTCCTTTTTGTTCATTTTAAGCCGTGTTGTCAGAATACATGGTGAAGATAGAGATAGCGAATTAGCCCAAGATAAATGTGACCTATTTGTAGAGAACTGCCTAAACAAACGTGTGACTGAGATACCAATCGCCGGTGCCATGCAATTCATGAACTGGCACCACAAGCGGCTTTGTTTCGGCGCTTTCTTGGCCATGCATCAGGCTTGCTTGTCTCATCGGCTGGTGAGACATCAGTACCTGTGGTCAGTTTCTCGAGATATGAAGTTTGGTCAGCTATGTTGAGGTTCAACACACCAAACAACGACTAGCTGTGACATTCCTATGCCGATGATGTGACACCACGACGATGGAGAATTGAGCTGCGGTTGAAACAGCGTTGAAAACGGCGAGGCTCAATCAAAGATTGCGTTAGCGTGTCGTCGTTGCATCATATTTTAGAGCTCCACATCGTCGCCACCCTAGATCGCATCAAAGACCCGGCGCAAACGTATCAAGATGCCATCATACTGGATATGTTAAAGCCTAAAACCGTACCTACACAGGTACATATCAACTCGTCGTCGCCTGTATTGCCAAGGGTCTAGATCGTATTGAAAGGCACAACTGATGCACGTCATATCGCCACACATTGCATATATCAAAGGCCCGGGCCGGGCCGACTTACGCAGGTGTCTAACGAATCGTCGTTGCCTCGTATCTTCGAGGGCTATATCATTTCGAAGGCCTGGATCCGATCAATATAGCCCTGAGTTGTATTGTTCGCGTATAAATCACATCACCAGCACCCTAGATCGACTTACCATAGATCGCATTGTCTCCGTCTCCGAACGCACCTGAGTTCTATATCACGCCTGAGCACCGGATCTCAGCCCGCTGTCAATGTTCACAGGCACCTTCGACCTTCGACCAATGTTCCTGGTATCGAATTTGTTAATCCCAGTTGGATTTGATTCCGGTCTGTGCATCTTTGCTGCGAGATGTGTCGGGTTTGTATTGGTCCTGTCATGTGTATTTGCCCTAGACAATCTCTTAGACTCGACATTCGAAAAACGTCGTCGATGATTTTGGGCCTGGTGGTCTAAGTTCTACTTGGCAACCCCAGGCAGCGAAAATTCCCCCAATGGCCCGGAAGCACGTTGTCATAGCTGGGAGCATCTTGGCATCCGATAGTCCGAGTGATCGCGTTTCACGAAGCTTTTGTTGGCTCATCTGCGAACTTCAGTCCCAATATAACATATCTAGCCAATAGTAAGGCAATAATCAGAAGCTCGTCAGTAGAACTTGGAGTGAGAAAAAAACAAACTCAAGGTTAAACTTCAAGCTTCGCCCCCGGATTTTAGGGCGGTGAATGACGCAGGCGGTCAGCCCCGCCCCGATTTTGTGGGTCTCCAGCTCCGGAGAGCTACCCGGAGCTCCCTCAAGACTCTGCAGAGAATTCAAAGCTCAACCGAGGCAATTTTGAAGCAATCCTCAATTGACATCGAAGTGTTCAGGATACTACAGCTTCAGCTCGAGTTAATCTACGCTTTTGTGAATAAGGCTAAAAGCAAAACTGTGTGGACATGTCACACTTGGAAAAAGTGTTTTCCCATTGCTAACTTAATACCCTTCAATATGGGCAAAGAGAGGAACAGATCAGAATCAAAGAAACCCCTCCGTCCATCAAACCCAGAAGCCGTGCACGAAACCATCCGAAAAAATAAAACCAGAGGAAACCATTAAAGAAACACAAACGCCTAAAGGCCGAAGACGAAGTGAAGCTAGAGAGGCAATTTAAGAGGATTCCTCCTCCTCATCATCGTCAGGCTTAGCAAGATAAGCTGCCTTCTCCTCTTCGTAGCGCTTCTTGTCCTTGGCAGCCTTATCATCGTAGGGCTTGCGGTCGGTCTCGCTCAGAGCCTTCCATCTGTCACCAAGCTGCTTGCCGACCTGGCCTGTAGGGTTGTTAGAGATTTCCAATTAAACACAGTCAAGTCACATACCGAAGCTGATGCCGGGGTTCTCCTCGCGAACCTTATCGCGGTTGTCATTGGCAAAGAACATGTAGGCGGAGAGACCACGCTTGGGGGCGTTGGGATCTGTTTAGCAAGTCAGTTCCATGAACAGCGCGTTCAATGATTTCATGAGATAGACATACCCTTCTTGCGGCGAGCCTGGCGCTTCTCGGGGGCCTTGCGGGTAGACTTCTCCTTAGGCATGATGACTGTTGAAGATTAGACGCGATCGAGGAAGATTTGTGGTGCAAGTGATCTATGGAGGGGAAATATAGAGGTGTAATAGTAAAGAGTAAGGATATTTCCGCACAATTGATATGCGTAGGAAGAAGATAATTGTTGTTATGGGGAAAAGTGAGAAGGGGGGAAGACGCGACGAATTGGTGATCAGTCGCGTTGCGCGCAAACCCGAGCACTTGCGACCGCGGGAAAATGCAGAATGGAGATGATAGGGGTGGATTCGACTTACTTGAATTTGACGTTCAAGATATTAAATGTGTTTGTAAAAAAAAGAAACTATTGGTTTTCTGTTAGTGAGCTGAGCAAAAGATATGTAGCTTGACAGCGCGACCGCGAGGTTGCGCATTGAGGAAAAAAAGACATTGACAATGAGATGGAAATAGAAGGCTCTTCAGGTCAAGAAGATTTGGTAAAAAAAGGAAATGTGGTGGTGGTGGAGGAAATGCGACTCAATAGTGTTGATAATGTTTATATAGAAGGGGATATGCAGTACCTTTTTTTTGTATGGGAAGAATTGTATGGGGAGTTGGTAGTGTAGGAAGATAGTAAGAGAGGAAAAGAGTAGAGGGGGGAGGGCCGTAGTAGTAGCAAAGAGAGGGGACGCACAGCAAGGGCCATTTCGCTGACTGGCTGAGGGAATGTAATACTGGTAATTTACAATCCCTCTCCTAATCATCATAGAACCATGCCGATTTCAGTCTGATTTCTGCGATTGATCTCTGAATTGGCATTGATATCATTCGAGTTTTGGCTCATTGATCTATTTACTCTTTTTCCCATACAAAAACTATGCTCAAGGAGCCAAATGAGAGAGACACATAAATACAGTGATATGAAATGAGCCCATCATTCCGGACTCTATGGTGGAGAATTACGTCTCGCTCCGTCTTATTAATAAACCGCGCAAACGTACTGAGTACAGGTACACAGTACGCGGTATTTCATAGTAGCCTTGTTTCTCCAGCAGGTATCTAGTACTTGGTATTACCGGCCTACAGTCCCTTAATGTGCAGTCTCCCATGGTGATGCTGTATTTATTATTACTTCTCACCCCCATTTCAATGAAATGAATATTTGCCAACTTAAACGATATCAAAGACAGTATCAGTCTTTATACCATGACTTATAAATGAGCTATGATGTATGAAAGGTGATGGTACAATATTAAACATCGTAAGTGACCTAATCGGCATGAAAAAATAGACATGAAGACAGACATGAAATAAGATCAATGAAATCCACATAAGGAAGAGATGCCGAACGCGAAATTTTTTCTGATTAGGCATCTTTTTGAACAGATCCTTGCTAACTATACCAAATCAGCTCGTTTAGGTAGCCAAAAAAGCGTGTGATGGCTCTAGTAGTCCTCCGCAAGGTCATGTGTACATACTTGTATAAGTACCTTTGCTCTCTTAGAAAAACCAGGTGCCAGGCCAACATCTTCGGTACAGTCCCATGCCCTCAAGTTGAAAGATTTGGATTTTCGCAAAAAAACGTCTACTTAAGCTCTCGGTGTCAAAGCAATAGCTATTGTTCCAGCGATTTGTGTAATGGAGTAAACCCAATCATAGAGCCAAGGTGTGTACTCCGTACATAGCGGTAGTATCTTAAGGCAAGGGCGGACGGTTGCTAATCATGAGCGTGGCGTACCCTTTTAGCGTAACCACTAATTGGAAACACGGCCGGAGAGGTACCAGAGTAAATCCACGGGTATTAACATTGCTTACTCCGTACCCTCTTGCGCACTGTAGATTTATTCTGATATGTTATAGTTAGATCGAGAGGGGTGGACAGATAGTATAGGGCGGCTATGTTTATCGTTATCCCAGATCAATACCAAATTACTAGTACTGCACCAAGTGAGACAAGGGAAAACAGGCTAATAATATTGTATAAGTCGATCTTAGACTCCTTCCTTACAGAGCCGGATCACACCATCATCACAAGCTAATTAGAGTACAAGTGTATGGACATCATCTCCATGACTAGACCGTATCACATATTACACCCCTACCCCTTGGGTTGTTAGATTAGAAGTCAATAATCTTCCAGATGGTACTCCGCACTAGCATGCAGCCTAATGCAAACATACTCTGTACGACATAGTCCAAGGGAGTCGATAGATCAAGAACAACCATTTTATTTATATTCTTCCATAAGAGCGCATAGGCCACATTCCCTATGTATGTACCTTTCACTTAGTTACTTACCACACTCACTACAGTACGGCAGTATCAATGTTTGAACCCCACTTGTATTGATGTTCCTACCATTCCGAGAGGAGCGTCATAGAGTCGCGTCTGTATTCTGAATATAAGTACTCCGTACGGAGTTAAAATAAGTAAATTTATGTTGATTTTGCTTGGCAGATGAGTTAGGCTCGACACACAGAGCCCTTACTTTACTAACGAAATCTTACATGCTGTTCTACACCGACATATGTGAATAATTGGAGTGATGTACCTAGGTAGACGTGGGTCAGCCTTTGAAATTATCATCCAGTCCACTGATCCAATTCTAATTTACCATGTAATAGACAGAATTAGACAGAATTAGACAGAATTAGAATGTTTCAAAACTTGGGTATTGTACGCGATTTGAAATAAAGAGCCGCGCGAAACAAACGCGTTAAAAAAGAAAAACAAACATCTCAGTCATCACTTTCATCTATCACCAACGCGCGAAGCATGTCGTCATCAGCCCAATTCAATCCACTCCCAACTACCACTGCGCTTGCAATATTCTTCATGGTTTCCCACTGAGCTTTGCGAGACTTTAAATCCACTTCCAGCTCTTCAAGTTGAAACAGTTGGGAATCCTCAAGCTTCTCTCTCCAGGATGAATCTTGTTTCGTGAGCTCTAGTAGCTGGCGCACTAGTTGCTGATTTTCGCGGTTGATCTCTAGATTCTCTACTTCAATGTCGGAGATCTGCTTAATCACCAAGTCATGTGCCGAGGCAAGATTCTCATGGGCGAGTGTAAGCACATCGCGACGGTTCAGTAGATGAAGAAGTGCCCTATCGTATTTCTCAATAAGACCGTGGTCTAGCCCGGGGATTTTCGGTACGTACCTCTCGGCAGGAGTAGTAGCCTTCAGGTGAACGGCTTTAAGGATCGGATCAGTCATGAGGATCGTCTGGACGGCCTTCCTCCTGACCGTGTACGTAGATCGCGCCTCCAGGAGCTCACGCTCCGCGATCGCAAGTTGCGCTTCGGCATCTTCGCCCGAAAATGTTTCCAAGTCTAAAGTAAGAAAATGAATTAGAAAGGGATCAATAAAATCATAGACTCCATGCCATACCTTGTTCGAGAAATGCCTTTTCCAGTTGCTGTTCCTGTATCTGGTTGTAGAGCTGTAGGACCAAAGCCTCTTTGTCAGATAAAGGCACAATATCGCGAGAGTCATCTGCAGCGTAATCAAGTAGCGTCACCTCACCCGCTTGCAGGTGAGGCAGTGACTGGCCATGTTTTGCAGCCATAAACGCCAGATCCTATGATGGTTGGCGCATCTTGTGATGAGAAGGGCCCGGAGGCGGTGGACAAGCTTTCCCCGGCACAAGCGTCGCTCCGCAACGCTTACCATCGTCCAAAGGCCAGCCTGATCGGGGGCTTCAGGATTCTTTCATTTTATTTGATTTTCTCTCATATGTCATCTTCTTTGAGAAAATCACTTCACATTTCTCTTTTACTTTCACTGAAGCGGCGGGGGGTATGTCGCTGCACATCTACATTGCTCACACGGGCGAGCATTTCCTGGCAGACCCCGTAGCTTTCGCCTCGTATGTCCATTCCTGTATCATCTAGATTTGAGTACCTCATTACTTCCGCTTTATGGTACTATGTGATCACCAGCTGACGCAGTTCATTGTCTCTAGTCCCGATGCTTTGAAGTTATGGATTGTTCGCCATACTTCTATCCCACCGCCACGGCAAATTTTGATGACCGCCCGGGGAAAGAATGTGAAAATACAAACTCTCGCTACCGAGGTATGGAGTGATCGATGTGGAGATTGTGATTCGGGCTTGAACTAACATAAAGGCAACCACTGCAGAACGAGATCTTTGTATACGACCGACAATATATTAGCGAACCAGGTGACGTCGAGTTTCCAGAACTGCCCCCGCCTGAGCCATTTCAACCTGGTAGTCCTCCAGCAACTCTCAAAGACCAAAACGACCTGCAGGCATGGCGAAACCTTTATATGGCACGGCGGAACTGGGCACTGGATTTGTCTAGCCGCTGTGGATCAATTGATAAGAGCATCCGAGAACATAACGAGCGGACCGATATTATCAACCGGGCAGTTGGCGTGGCTCTCGAGAATCTCAAGTCTCATGTCGGCAACTTAGAACATCGGTTCCAAGAGGCGCAGTCATGGGCGAACAATCTTTTGGAAGAGCAGCGGGTGGCCCTGGATGGCTGGCAGCAAGCTCTTTCCACGTTGGACAACATACCAGCGCGCAAGGATTTTCCGCTCTTAGGACGTCCGTCCACCCCTAAGATGGACAAGGACCGGTCAACCGGAACACTTCGTGACTTCGTTGACGTGGACGAGGTTCAACGGGCTGGAGCAGAGGCAGCGACTGTGTCGCCGATCTTTGCTGACAACGTCCAGGGCATTGAGGACACTATCGGCGGTATTGCTTCAGATACTCAGCAATTGGCGAACGAGGCACTTACTCCGGATTTTGAAGGGGTGGACGGACTCCTTGAGGAGGTAGAGACCATCGCCAAGAAGATCGGATCAGATTATGAACATGTCCTTGGTCTTCCAAACAATCAAAAGACGTTAGCCAATATATCACGGCTTGCATTCAATCACACCCAAGACCTACTTCCATCCCTGGCAGAGTTCGGGGCAGAGCTTCAAGCCGGACTAGAGCAGGCTGTGCAGCGCCGAGGAACCGCGGAGAGAACGGCCATCGAACACATGCGCACGATTTCCTCCCTTGAATCCAGGCTTGCCGATGCTCATGGGCGACTAGTCAATTTGGATGTGGATAGCAACGCCTTCGATGTGATCTACTCTGTTTTCCAAATGCCAATGGTTTATGGGTCCATTCTCATTGAATCTGTGCGGCGACGAGAGTGGAGCGAAAAGATCAAAACCGACTCTTTGACTCTAGCCGAGGAGATGGCGATTTTGAGAGATGAAGAACAACGCCGAAGAAAGAAATGGCTGAAAAATATGGGTGACTTCATGACCGTCACGGATTCCACTACTCCAGGGATCGAAGTGAATCTTCAGGGCCAAGATGACCAGTGGCCCGAAGTAGCTAGGAAAGAGATTGAGTATTATATTGACGATTTAAAGACGACTCATTCCATGGCAAATCTCGCGGAAGAGCTGAGCCAACAACTCAAGGAGCTGGATTCACCAACTCGACAGCAGAGAAGGCGAGCCAAGGCGTTCAAACAAGGCAGTGTTTTTGACTTGAGCCGCAGCTCTATATTACGTGCGGATGACTCCGTTCGAAGTCTGCAAGAAGAGAAGACAAAATTGGAAGAGAAACTCAAAGGGTCTGACAGTCGCGTCCGGAAGTTGGAAGATCTTCTACATCGCCAAAGTCAGATGAGTCGGCCATCGAGTGGTAATTTTGGCCCGGACTTCCCTGGTTCCCCTGCTTCTCCGCATCCCGATGCACTCTCAAGGCGATCCTCCGTCTCGTCAAGACGAGTCTCAGCAACCCAGTCTTCCGAAGACAAGGCACTTATTCAGCGTATTGTTATCCTCGAGGCGGAATTGGCGCGGCTTCACAACGAAACCCACGCCGAACGTCAAACCAACTCAGATAAGTTCCAAGAAGCCCAATCTACCAAAAAAGACCTAATTGGCAACCTCGAAGCTCGCCAACGCGAATTTGAAGATGAACGCCGCTATATGGACGCGGAGTTGAAGAAATTTAGGCTTCGTACGGAGGAAATGGAGGAAGAGCTCGACCGACTCATGGATAGCCGAGAAAATGGCACACAAGAAGCTTACGAGCGGATACAGCAACTCGAGATCGAGCTCCAGGAGGCGCATGCCAACTCTACCGAAGACAGACAAAAGATTATTGATCTTAATGCAGATATCCAGACCAGACAGGAGAAAGAAAAAACCCTGCTTTCCAAGGTTCATGATCTTGAAAGTCAGCAATCGGAGTTGCAGCAAAATCATCAAGACAATTACCGGGCTCTCCAGGCTGTTTTCATGAAACTGTCACCCGGAGAAACCGCGCCCGCCGAACTTTCAGATATCATCAAAGCCATCAAGGTTTTGTCTGAGGACCTGTCAATCCGCGCCAAAAGCGCAGAGGAAAATGCGACTCTAGCAATTGCTGAGAACAAGACCTTTGGACAGCAGATTATCAAATTTGAGTCCGAAGTAGAAGAGCGGACGAAGAGCTTGGAAGAATGCGAGTCTAAATCATCGAAACTGGCCAAGGATCTTTCCGATGCCTTACATAACAAGATTGCACAAGATCGAAAACAAGCAGACTTAGCTCAGAAGCTGGTCGAGGCCGAGAATCAAGCTCTGGAATTGAAGGACCAAGCCGCTGAGTGGAAGAGAAAGGCAGGGACCCCTTCGGAGACAGAGCAACAGGCTGTGGCGCGGTCTGAGGCTCGGGGTGCCAAGTCATATGAGCTCTCCAAACAATTAATCACCCAGGTTGAGAAGCTAGGTCGAATGCTCGAGCAATTAGGCTTCACTATAATTCAACAGGAGGGCCAGCTTGTTGTGCAGCGTGCTTCAAAGCTCACCGCTTCTTCAAGCCTGGGTGAAAGTCTTGCTCAATCAGGCATTGTGTCCTTGAAGCCTGACCCCGCGCTTCTGGGCTGGATGCGAGCCGAAAGCGTGGAGAATGAAGAATCCCTTTTCATTGCTTTCATGGAAAGCTTGGCTCAATTTGATGTCGGCGTTTTTGGTGATGTTGTTGTGAAGCGCGTGAAGGACATCGAAATCCTGGCGCGCAAGTGGCAGAAAGAAGCCAGAGGCTACCGTGACAAATACCACCGCATCCAGAGCGAAGCTCATGACAAGATTGCCTATCGATCTTTCAAGGAGGGCGACCTTGCTCTCTTCCTTCCCACTCGCAACCAGGCCATTCGCTCTTGGGCAGCCTTCAACGTGGGCGCGCCTCACTATTTCCTCCGCGAACAAGATTCCCATAAGCTTCAAGCCCGAGACTGGCTCCTCGCTCGCATTACCAAGATCGAGGAGCGAGTTGTAGATCTTTCCAAGTCAATGAGTGGTGTTGTTCCAGACCGGCGCTCCCTCGGAGACGCCAGCGACGGCGCCTCCCTGGATGACGAGAATCCGTTCGAGCTATCAGACGGCCTACGTTGGTACCTACTAGATGCCGTGGAAGAGAAGCCCGGTGCGCCTGCTACCCCAGGTATAGCGAAGAGCACAGTTGCTTCGGCGCATGTTGACGCTAAGGGTAGCATCCGTCTCAAGCGTGGTACAGACGAAGGTGGCGTGGCCAAGACCCTATCCAGGAGCCTTGACAGCCGCCGCGATAGCTCGAATTCTAAACGCGGGACCCCAACACCATCACAGCATGCCGTGGAGTCCACCACTGACCTAGTTCGGCCTGCCGAAGGTGATGCCGGCTCGCGGCATAGGGAGGCAGCTCCGACCGACGAGGTTCGCCGTGACCAGCTCTCCGGCCCGTGAAAAGTAGGAACCGACTTACTTGCCTTCCGTCTTTTCCGGGTCTGCTTTTGTTATTCTTTTGATTGCGAAGCTAACGCGCTTTGTCTGGCCCAGGGTTCTATGTCTGCCTCGCCTCAACCCAACATAAGTGGCGCCGCTTCCTCGCCATCAACACCCGGCCGTCGACATAACAGTCGATCTCGCCCCTGGGAGAAGTTGTGGTCTTTAGACTATCGGCTAGAGGGCGGCACGTCATAGACTGTTCTTAAAAACTTTTGGCCATTGGTTTTTCACCTGCCATGCTACCAGGAGTTTCATTTACTTGCATTTGTCGTTTGAAATTTGTTGTTTCCAAGCTATTTCCAGATACCCACCAATGCAATATATCCTTGAATACCCTCATCTATGATATTGAACTAGGTCGTGCAAGGGCGCGGTGTGCGGACTAACAAGCCCATCATTGCCCAAAGCTACCCAGAGTAGTTTTACATAAGTATATAGCAAGACACAGCAATAGTGGATGAAATGAGTCCATGAAACTATAGACAATTAATCTAATTGTTCCATGCCACCCATGTCGTCCCAGAAACGACTGAAGTCCACGTTTTCATCTTCGAACATCTGCTTTGCTTGCAACATCGCAGACCGCTGCCGCTCCGCAGTGAAGCCACCGGGCTGTGAGCTCTCCCATTGGATTAACTCAACCCAGCGGAGAAAGAGATCCTCCTTGCCCATTTCGGTCAATTTCTCCTTGAATGCGAGAATCTGGTCCCGCTGAACGGAGCGTGTCTGGCCGGCGGGGGTATTCTCGTCCCCAACCCGCCAGATCAACCACCCATCAGCATCAGTGTTGACCAGCACCGCAGTGCGGAACTCGTCAAGCTGCACACCGTCACCCCGACGAGTACGATCAACGAGAGCGTGAGCGCGGATCATGGCAGCATAGTCAAGGTTCCAATCCTCATCAACGAGCAAGTACCCAGTCTTGCCAACGCGCTCAGGAGTGACGGCGGCAACGATCTTGTCACGGCGCGCCTCATCTTCACGGATCCACTTGTTGCGCTCGAGGTTCTTGCTCCAGCTGCGGTGGCTGCGACGGACGATGACCTCACGCTCACGGAATCCGACCGCGCGGCGCCAGCGCACGGGCCCCTTGATAAAATTAATTGGCCATGACAGGAACATGGTCACGAGCAAGTAGTCGAGAGCCAAAGTTCCAGTCCGCATAATAACAATTTGCGCCGCTTCTGTCCACGGGGTTGCGGCCGTGTCCACGGTCATAGAGCTTTGTAGTCCGATCAGCGTTGCCACGAGGGCTGGGTATGTGCTGATGCCCATGTACACGCGCCACCCGATCACGGCACCGACTATCAGGTTGACGATCAAGGGCACAGTAAAGGTCTGCCGTTTCAGTTCTTCTGCTGTGGTATCGATGTGGACCAGATATACTTCGTTGGGGGATAACGGTTCGACGAAGGGTTTCAAGGCTTCTGGGACTTTTGTGAATGGTGGGATGGGACCTGAGGATGCGGAGTTGGGTGTTGAGGCGCCAGAGGATGTTGGTGTTTTGCTGCGACCGGATCGCCGCGAGGATTTCGCCATTGTGAGGATGAAAAGGTGAGAGTAGAAAAGGGATATAATGAGTTGTCCTGGATACCATTCAAGTAGGTGTATGAGAAGAGACGGGACGCGTTGCTTTTATCGAAGCTTTGGGGTATATAGGGTCGATGCAAATAGACTTGTCACATGCCCGAGGTCATTTGGATATCAATAAGGTTGTTGATACGGAGTACTCTCCTGATATATTTTGCTGAAACAGAAGAAACCGTTTGAAGTTGATGTAGATGTAATGCAAGATTTCGGAACCTAACCACATCGGGGAATGAGGGATCTCCATATTTACCTTCACTTCTTCAGTGTCACATCGCGCTTCCCTTCCTTATTTTCAATACATGTGAATCCTCTGCAAGGGGCAATTTTGCCATGTCGTTCGAAAAAAATTCTGCTTTTCGAGACAGACAACCACCATCACCTTTCCGATACGCGTCGAAATACGATAAACTTGATCTACATGCGAAGCTTCCATCACCGGAACAGGGTGGCGTGCATTCGAGACATGCTATCCGTCCAAGATCTCTAGCTCAGTCTTATCGAGACGCATCCAGACAAGTCATGGCAACCGCCGACGCAGAATCCGCATCAGTGACGACACCAAGTCCGCGACAGCAGCGGCAACCACGTAACGCGTTCGCTCCGTACCAGATCTCACCTCCTCCCTTCGAACTTCAAGACGCCTATAAACGAATCCAAGAAGACGAGATGCTGCTGTCCGATTACGTGCGCGACGATGACTCGGACAGACAGCGCATCGCGCGCCGCCCATCAAGCCGGAGCCACCAGGCGTCTTCTCAAGCCAATGAGACGAATAGCGACAGGGAAATTGCCAATGGGCATCATAATTTTAATATGGACTTTGGCGGCGACCTCGGCGACTATAGAAATCAGAAGAGCAGAGATTACACCAAGGATGAAGAGCGCCTCAAGCGTGCCACAGGCCAACCTTCGCCGGTTTTCAGCAAAGCTCAAGTCGGTCGAGATGCCTCGAGGGCAGACAGCTGGCGAAGGCGCAAAGAAGCGGAGGCTGAGGTGGACAATGATGTGCCTGAGAATGACGGTAACCTTGGTCCTTCCGGTCCCTCGCCGAATTTACCGTCTGGTTGGGGTTACCGGGCAGGTCACCGGCAAGAATGGGAGCGCAAATTTAGCCCTCCTACTGCGCCCCAACAACAGGAGGAGCAAACAGTAAACGGTCGCTGGTCAGGGCCTACCATGAGAACGGCGTCCGATCCACCCTCTAAGCCTACGCGTACCTCTGCTCATTCACCAGCTCGACACAGTCTTCAAGCACGGAATGCTCTCGAAGAACGTATTGCCAATTTTAGCAAGCAGACAACACAGGAAGGACTGGGAATCAAGGAAACTCGTCCAGTGATTGACTCTGTCCCCAATGGCGGGGAACAAATCCCAAATTCTCCAATTACCATCTACAAAAACTCGTCGTTCACAAGACCGAGTCCCAGTAAGCGCGACTCACGGGACTTACTACGCAGCCTATCCAGAGCCGAAACCCATAAGGCTGAACAAGTCCAAACTCCGGAACCAGCGAAGCTCTTTGAGCGCAAAGTCTACGACAAAACTCCCCGCGTCACAGGTGCCTGGATCGATACTCCTGTGACCCAGCGAGTAGCTGAGAAGGTTGAACTCCCTGAAGATCTGACGAAAGACATTGTCCTTCCGCGGGCGACTAAAGAGACCAAAGAAACAGCACCTCCTACCCAGCCAATAGACAAGACAGCATCGAAGATGGAAGAACCGAAACCGGTACAAAATGCTGAGGAAAAGCATCTGCCCCATCCTCAAGCCGATAAGGAGAAAACATCGAGACCTCCATTGCCTCGGCCCCATCTACCAAAGAGTGCTCTTGAAACAGTCATTGAGGACGCCAGCTCTGGGAAGGACATTGATTTTGGAGATGATACTATCGAGTCTCTGCAAGCAATCATGGATGGGCCAAGTGAGGTCAAAGCCGAGGAACAAGAAGATGATGAAGCCTACGAACAAGCCGTTCTCGCAAGTCTCGAAAAAGCCGACTCAAAACGAACTGATGGCGTCAATTTCAATTCATTAAATGTCAAGCTGAACTCACTGATGAAGCACATCAATGAGGTGAAGCGAGGGCTTGACGGCCTAGAAGACCATGTTAAGCGGGACGTCGAAATTTCATCTCAGCCGAACTTACCAATCAAAGCAACCTCACCGACGCATCTGCACACAGGCGAAACTTGCAAAGGGTGTGGCACAAATTCTGATGGACGGGTCTACGCTGCCGTTCAGATTCCTCGCTTGTTAGAACGGAGTCCTCGATCTCAGCGCCTTCGACCGACTAAACTTTTCTGGTTCATCGTCATTCCACTCTGCTGGTGGGTTATCGAATGTCTGATGACAGATCAATTCAGCCATCCCGACATCTCCGAAACCTGTGAAGGCTACTGCCTACGCCCTGACGCACCTGTTTATCCGTGGGTCACCGTGACAATGCTGTGGCGCTGGTCTCGTTTGTCGACGATCGTCACCCCCATTTTAGCCATTTTTGTTGCCTTCTCTAGACTAGTGACACAATTATTTGGTTTCTCGGATGGTTATGTGGATGATCTGCCCGAGCTTAGGGATATCGTTGGCGAAATCCGCATCAATGGAACTCCAGTCGCGTTTCCCTGGCTGTCGGCACCGACGGCTGCGAACATTGAGCCTCAGATACCACAGCCACAGCTCCAGCAGCCTTCTCAAGTCGAGCAACCTCCTCAGCCCGCCAAGCATATGCTGTGGCCACCTCCAAATGCTTACATCCCACGGCGGGATTCTGACATGGCATCGATGGAGGAGGTAATGGATGCCGATGAATATCTTTAGTCGCCAGGTATACACTTAGGAATTTCCAGCCTTTGCTTTTCTCCTTTGGTATGCTGAAGAGTATTTTTTTTTATGATCTTTATTTCCCACGACTTTAGCGATCGTCTAATACAATGAATGTAGTAATTTATTTACAAGGAAACTAGTTCTCTATAACAATCATTAAATATACAAGGTCATCTAAATCAGTAAGCGCCTAGTGTACACGGCTCGGAAACCGTTCACCGTGGGGATTGCCTGAACATATGTCAACGGGGTATACCGTGAATACATGATGCGAAAAGGTGGGAAAGAAACGGGCTAGCATCACTCATAGTTTTGCTTTCGCATGCCACTCCTTCAGCATCTCGACCTCCGTCTTCAATCGCCAAGCGGCATTTCTCTGCATGAGAGTCTGCGCCTGTTCATCACTGGTTGCACAAGCTTCCTCAATCGGGATGTCCTTGGACGACTGCAACTTGAAGCTCAACCACGTGAGAGTGCCGGCCGATTTCACACGACCGGCAACCGCATCACGACAGAACCCAGAAAATCCCTCGAAGAAGCGGCGGCTCGCCGGGGTTCCCAACATCAGCAGTCCATGGCAGTGCGGCATGCCCTCGAACATTTCTGCGACGAGGGGCACACCAGCCTGGTGAAGACGACGCGCCACAATAAGACCTTCATCTGTGAGGCCTTCCTCGCCAAGAGATATCCAAATCGGCGGCGCATTCTTCCAGAGTTCAGCCGGGGCTGCGAGCGGAGATACCAATGGGTGGCAGATGATACTGGAGTTACAAAAGATGTCCGCGCGAGGCGGAGACACGGGCCAGACGTCGTCTGGGACGAAGGGGATCGTGCTGAATGGAGTATCGTCGGAGGGTTGAGATGGGGGTGCGAGGTAGTCGAGGTATGCGTTCTTATAGCACGACGGCATGGAGCGCGTCACGTCACACCATGGCGAGCTGGTTGCCACGCCTGCCGGCAGTTCGATGGGAACGTCCTTGCCATGGAAGCGAATGGTGTGGGACGCGCGGTCAAGGGTCATGAGTGTTTGGAGAAGAACGAGAGACAGGTTTCCGCCTGCGGAATCGCCAGCGAAGATGATCTTGTTGGCTGGTATGGGCTTGTGGAGCGAGCCCGGGGGCGGGTGAAGGAGAGAGAGGTATGCAGTGAGGGCGTCGACGAGGGCGGCCGGGAAAGGGTTCTGAGGCGCAAGACGGTATCGGACGGAGAAGACGGGGGCGCTGGTCAAGCGCGATAGGTGCGCGAGGGGCACGCGATGGCTGCATGGATCCATGAGGCTAGTGATGCACGTCAGTGGATTCTGGACGGAGAGACGCGGGGGCGTAGAGATACACTCACAAGTATGCGCCTCCGTGGAAGTACAAGACCGTCATGTCGGATGGGGACTCCTCGCGCAGTCTTTCATACTTCACTTCTTCTGAGAGATCGGGCTCCGCGGTATGCTTTCCCACTCCAGCGCGGTACCCTGTCCATTCGCCTTCGACGGGGGTGGCTTCAGGAATATCATAGGTCTCGTTGCCGGTCTTCAAATCTTCAATGGCGCGGAGGACTGCATCGCGGACGTCATCCTCAGGCTGCGGGAGGGTCACCTTGGATATCCACATGGGACCCTTGACGCCAGGGTCACGTATGCCATCGCTCTGGGTTTTGCCAAGCGGTACCCTGGCTGACAGGAATGAGCGGATGATAGTGACTGTCAACTCGGTGCGGAGGTCCTGTTTCCCCTTCACGGGGGACATTTGCGCGCCATGTAGAATAACGGTCTTCAAAATCAATGGAATGCTAGCCAAAATCGCCTTCAGAAGCGCGAAATGACTTTTGGTGGAACTCATGGCAGAAAACCCTAAAAATGATTAGAGAGGACAAAGATCCCGAGAGATCTAAGGCAATCTAATCATTTAAAGATTTCCAAACCGGATTTACTTACTACGTAGTTCCTGAGTGGCGTGCCGAGGTCCAGACAAGACCCCACAGGGCTTATTTCCTGTTTGATCTTTTAAGGTTTTTGGCCGATTCTTCTGGATTTTGAGATCGTTGCAGAGCCCAATTTATTGGTTGATGAAGAATACATATGTAAGGTTTATATCGCATGGAATACAATTTTGTATACATTTAGACTTTGGTCTATGCATATACTCTGCGTATATGTATCATACGGTTAAGCGTGTTTAAACAAGAATGAGATATGATAGCTCATCCATCACATCGAACTACAACCAAGAGAAAAGAAGTGCAGAAGGTCATAAGTCTGATATTATTAGCGTTGGAGTCTTTGTGGGGTGAAAGTTAAATTGCTTACCACTCACTGTTTAGAGTATAGAAAATATTTATTGACCGCGTGCGCCCATGTATTACCAAAGTGGCCAACTTGTATACATAATTTAGGAAACACAACTTTGGGTAGAATGCAAGCCAACTACTGGGCTGAAAATAAACCAGAAATTGGCAGAGCGTGGAGAAAGCTGGAAGCAGACACATAGGCACTATCCTGAAACGTCACATATGGACTCAGTTATGATCAGAACTTGGGCCGAAATTATAACCAATTAGAGGCACTTTGGCGGAGTGGTTAACGCGATGCCCTGCTATGCATTAAATTGTTAGTCTAGGCATTTCCTTCGGGAGCGTGTGTTCGAATCACACAGGTGTCGTTTTTTAAATTTGTTTTTGTCTTTATTGTCATATCTCTGTCTCTTCCCCCTTTATGTTGTCTGTTTGCCATCAGTAACGGGTCGCTTGCATTGTTAAATTTGAATCAAACTAGATGATGGCTCATATATAGTCGGTTACCTTATTGGAATCGAGGGTTAGCAAGCACAAAAGTATTAGGGTCAACCGGGGACTACTATATTTGCCTGCCTTGCGGCTATCTTGATCCCTATTCCCTTCGTTTTTTCTTCTTCTTTTGAAGAAATCATATTTGTGCGCGGGGAGGGTGAAGCAAGTATTCTGGATAGACTTTAGAATTGGTTGAACCCTTCTTTTAATTGAATATGTCTAATCGAGCCAATAAATTCAACTATTGTCAATGTACCATGGGTGTCAATAAGTCTTCACCCACTACCCTCAGGAGATCCTTTCTGTGATTGCCGAGGATGGAGGCTTACGGAAAGAATCTTTGAATAAACTCAAGCTTCTTACCAGTGTGATAAGGAGAGCCAACAGCTCAAGTCGGCCAAAATTGGTACCGCAGACCTTGAATTCTCTGAGAAGCACGCAAGTTTGCTGACAATCTCATTTATTAGTACCCATGGGGCACACAGCCACTAGGGACTTCAATCTGCCATATGGGACCAGAATCGCTATAGGAGAGACGCTTCTGAATCCCGCCTACCAGCTGTGGGATGAGTCGGTCTATCCCAACGCCGATCAATTCGTGCCGGATAGGTTTTTGAAGATGCAGCAGACCCCGGGATCGGAGGCCTACCACAAGTGTGTTTCAACCGGTCCCATTCATATAGGCTTTGGCCATGGAGTTCATTCGTGTCTGGGTCGGATTTTTGCTGTACAAGTCCAACAGATTACCCTCTGTCACCTTCTGCTGAATTAGGACTTGCAGCCGGTGGACGGAAGGCCAAGTCCCGAACCGTTTGGGGTGATGATGATCACTAAAATGATCGGGAAGTTTATATGCGTCGACGCCAGGAAGATGCTCCTCTATGAAGAGAACGAATCGTTCTCGAGAGGAAGTGCAGTGCGGCTGTCAGGGTCAAGACCAAGATGCTGGTTCAGCGTACATCTCTCATCCGTGTACTGTCTGGCTTCTGAACAGTGACCACATCCACCCTTGACAACGTGGCGTACGTTCTACCCGCCCATCTTCGTCTCCGACACCGAGCACAGAGTACTATAGCCAGACTCCACACCTTGTCGCGAAAGCATCCTATCTGGGAGGCCCTACTACGCGCTCACAGGCGAAGGAACATTCTTGGGTCGTACGTACGCTTTCCACTCGCGGATGCCTTGAAGGCTATGAGCTTAGAGAGACTTTATAAGATAGAAATGATTGACCCCACTCCGCTGCCTCCTTGGAGACTCTATATTGCTGTGGCGGCAAGCCCCAAAGTGGATGCATCTTCTTGATGTTTCTGTTGAAAAGGTTGTCGCAAAACTTAAATACATCAATGCAAGCGACCCTTTCCTGGTGGCGACCAGACAATATGAAGGTAGGGGGAGAAAAAAATGACAATAGAGAGAAAATGAAAAAAAAAATGAAAAATCGACACCTGTGTGATTCGAACACACGCTCCCGAAGGAAATGCCTAGACTAACAATTTAATGCATAGCAGGGCATCGCGTTAACCACTCCGCCAAAGTGCCGTATTGCTTATAGTTGTGGTCTCGCGAAGCATACATATTTGGCCAAATGTGTGACATCTAAGTCCACCTCTCTCCAGTGATTTTAGCTACCTACATATGTAAATTATACCTATAGAGGACAATATTGGAGCCCGGAGTAATTATCGTACCTAGGTACGAGGCTTGCAAAATATATAACGGGATCAGCATATGGTGTGCAGATCTATTTGGATTCGATCACCTGGAAATTAATGCATGACAAGGAGACTTCCAGCTGCTTCTTCACGATCTTTTATGGTTGGCTGCAGATATATATAGGGACCGTGATCTGCCATCATTTGAATGTTGGCTTTAATTTCTACGAACCACAGCCATATGGTGCGCGATTTGGGGCTAGACCGAGATTGCGTTATCATTCTGTGAATGACCCCGAGAGTGAGGTCTTTTCCTCTACTGGCTGAATGCCGAAATTGAACCCATATTAGGTTTCTTTTTACGGGAATGCCGAAGATCCACCCTCCCTTCAGCGTAACCGGGGACCCATAAACACCGCAGATCCCGCCAAGACGCGGGTGAGGTTTCGACCTCAGACCCCAAACTCACTAACCTTACCTACATATAGAATAGTTATATAAGTATAATAGGTATTTCGTGACATCAAATGGGTTTTATAGTATTAAACCTGTAGGTTTGTAGTATATAGGCTCGTTATTCCCTTAGCGGGTAGGGCACTACGCGACCCACCTAGGCATAAGTACCCGAAAAAGGAATATGACAAAGGCATATATATATATATATATAGAAACACCGCAACGGGGTGCAATCAGATTGTTCTCATTATTCATTGACCGCTGATCATTTGCACTTGCTATGCAAAATCGATATACAGAACTTCATATTGTTGACCTAGAGCGTCCATTACTAGCCCAACTAAGGTTGAAAGTCCGATCAAAGAGGTAGAGATGTATTATTGGCTCTAAAATATTAACCCATCGGGGGGGAATGTTACTACGTATATTATTAGACAATGATAGGGGCGCTAGCATTGAGCACCTGTCTCGTTTTCATCCAGTTCTTTACACCGACGGTGGAAGTCCTCCTAAATTAGCAGCGTTTTGATAGAACTTTATAAGATGTTTCCAAACGATACGGGTAGCATATGCCCCCGAGGTGTGCTCTATCGCTGTCTGTAGCTTACCTCTCACCCACATCTACATACACTTGTCTAGAGCCTCAAGAGAGCCCAGTATCCTTGCTGCCCTCACCATTCCGGATTGCTGATCAACTGTGATTAATCCTGCCGAGCCGATAACTCCCTCAGTATACCGAGAGTAAGAACGAGAGAAAAAGTATCACAGACTAAACTAGTGACATCTTGCAGTAAGCGGAAATACTGTATGCGCGGCCTAAAAAGACTCGGATTCTAGGTTTCGAGTACGAGAGTCAACAATTTCCCTTCGCCCGACTGCCTACTTCGGCAACATTACGAACTTGTTAAATCCACTAGTACTAGTGCTCATTGCTACCCTACCAAATATCACGTAATGGCTAATGTCAATATTTCGTTAGTTTTGGCGTTATAACCACCGGCATCTTTCGGTTGTTACTGGAAAGAAACTGCGTTGGCGGGTGCATCACGCTACCATGCTCCCTGGGATGCGAGCAAAAGCTTCACAAATCCATTACATAAACTAGAACCCCTAGATTCGCGACCTTGCCAGGGAAAACGATCGAGCATCAGAAGAAACTCCTGGCTTCACTAAGACTTAACTCAATAATTCGTTTTCTTTACGTCGCTTGTCTTACAGGCTTTCTGTATTCAAGTTCTCATCGCTTGTCAGAGGCATGTAGGTGTTTGAAGATATAGATGATGACTCACTAAAGCTAGTTGCAAATACCTACTCCACGGGTACAAACCAACTACGAAGTAACTAACGTGATATATCACTGAGCTGGCCGTTCTACGTGAAACGCATCCATGAATTAGCACTTTTGTTCAACCCCCCACCATGCCACCGATTCGCCCCGAAGCTCTAGAAATCTAGTAGTAGAGCAAGAGGGCGGATTGTACTAGCTTATCACGTTTAAGAATTAATAATCAGCTCTATCCGCGACCCGCTACTAGTATATATAACCTCGGATGCTAGGGCATATAAGAGAGGCATGCTGGATGGAGAAATCAGCTAGTTGAATTAATTTAATGGCATTGTGGTTGGGAGAAATGCATTTAAGATTGATGTTGGAGTGGCTAGCTCAGTGGTATGAACTAGTCGATTTTAACGAGGCACGAATATAACTAAACAGAGCGTACGTGAAGGGAGCAGAGATATAAAAAAAACGACACCTGTGTGATTCGAACACACGCTCCCGAAGGAAATGCCTAGACTGACAATTTAATGTATAGCAGGGCATCGCGTTAACCACTCCGCCAAAGTGCCTTGGATGGTAATTTTGAAAATCCCATGGATATATTACGTCCCATCGCGAGTCTACTTTGGCGAGCAAAGAGCGGCAAAGGTGAGCACTAAAGCGGATATAGACACTAGTTAAATTAGCTCAATACTAACTGTCTTTTTCTACCCTTAAATTCTACCTTCATTCTTACAGCTGATTATATAGTCTGCTTGATATCTACAATTTCACGTGTTAGTCCATATTACTCGAGCCGCACTCTTTTTTTTAGTAAAAAGAAAGAAAAAAGCAAAAGATACCTAGATAGTCCCTTTTTCAATAATGACATCATAGGACAAATCATCTCAGTACCCGAAGACATGTTCAGTGTCAGAATAATAACTATTTCAAGATACGTACATTCGTAGAACAATAATATCAAAGGACAAAAGAACACAGAGACCAAATCCGGTGGGCTGATTCGAATGCGGGTCAGTCGCCAGGTTGAGAGATGACTAAGAGCCAAGTAACAGCCTAAGGCAGATACGTATCATCAATCCTGAGCCTAGATTAACGATTTGTTTCATACAGTTGATTTGGCATTTGATGTCGTATAACCTTTGCACGCCTCAAGGCGACACATTGATTTAACGCAACAACAGCCCTCTCATACATGCTCATCCTCCATGTCCCGCCCACCACGCCCTTCTTACCCCCACTGAATTTGACCCGCGATCCCCCAGACCTACGCATGATCAAACGTCAATTATTTTGAGCCATGGAGGAGAGTAATCCTTTCGGCGAGGATTTGCCGCTTCCACCGGCCCGGCTTTTTGAACGTTTAAGTCAACTGTACGGCTATACGTGGGACCAAGCGATCGAACCGTTTCATTCGACATACAATTACTGGCATATCTCAGGATATCGTCATGCCTTAGAGTCTGATCGATCGACCCCTCTCGCAAACTCCTCCGGCCCCGCCTCCTCTGGACCGTCGAGCCTCACTCGCTTCTCTCCTCGCACAGAAACCCGGCCGTCAGCTCGTGCCTTGCGGAGATTGAGTGCAAGCGAAACTAGCAGTGAGGTTTCACTTTCGAACCACCATAGTTTGGAGGCAGAATCAATATGGATACCTGTCGTCGCGCGTATTTCCACGAACATCATCCGGCTCGAACGCGAGTTTCACATGCTGAGATCGATCGTACAATCGTCAGATCCGGATTGCAATCATACAATACGACCGATCGACCTGGTGCGATTGCAAGCAGACTCCGACCAGTCGAAAACGCTCTTGGTTGCCATTTTTGAATCGCCTGGACATGACAGATTAAGAGATCTGGTCACATTTGGCCCTGCCTCATTTGCGGCGGGGTCCAGAGGGGAAGGGAATAACAGTACGCCCAACGAGCAGGTCTCCTTACAAGCATTCTTTGACTTTGCGATTGGCGCATGTGATTGCTTGGAGATTTTACATTATGGCCTCAAAACAGTGCACGGTGAAATCCGAGGAGATGCCTTCCATTTTTCTGCCGAGACTGGCGCAGTGAAACTTGCAAATACCGGCAACGGTGCTAGATCATTTGACAACGTTCTCAGCGATGGATGGTCTTCAGTTTCGCGCGAGCTTGGAGCTAAGTATAAGCTGCAGTTCATCGCCCCGGAACAGACTGGAAGGATGCCCACAGAGCCCGATAGTCGCACTGATATCTACGCCCTGGGCTTGTTTTTCTGGTCCATGCTGGTTGGAAAATTGCCCTTTGAAGGAAATGACCCAGTCGACGTTGTACAAAATGTCCTAGGCAAGAGGTTAATACCAGTATCCGGAAAGCGAATGGATATTCCGGACGCCCTCTCGGCCGTGGTTCAGAAAATGACCCAAAAGGTCGTCCATGATCGCTACCACACGATATCATCGGTGAAGAGAGATCTGACAACTATTGTAAAATTGCTTGGAGATGGTGACAGTGAAGCATTGAACAATTTCCAAGTTGCGCAAGGAGATGTGTCTTCCTTCTTCACCCTTCCAACGCAAATGTTCGGTCGGCAAGAAGAATACGACAAGATAATCAATGTCATAAGAAAAGTCAATCGGCGCCAGGCGGCGGCCCTGGCCAAAGCTGGAGTCCAAAGTCCTGGTACAACGCACGCCCTCACGTCAGCTTCGTCCATCTCCGAGGGCCGCGTTGAAAGCTTCGAGTTTGCTTCTGTGTCCAGTGATTCTGGATCTTTCCATCTGCATCCTCGATCGATGTCCAATGTCACCAGCCATCACAACTCACAAACCAGCAACCATGAATCTTCACCGGGTAGTGATACATCGAATTCAACCCCAAAGAATGGCTCAATTCATATCCCTGATGTGTACGGCCAGAGTCCAAGAGCACAGTCGAGCAGAATGAAAAGCCCATCGCATTCCAGATCTTCGCATAATACAGATCCCTCTGTTGGCCACCAGAGTCTACCGTCCACCAGCTACAATACCGGCAGTCAAACGGATTCATTCCATTCCATGAATAAACATAAAACTGGTCCTAAGTCTCGCCACCATGAGCGCTGTGAAGTAATTACTATCAGCGGTGCTGCCGGCATTGGGAAAACGGATCTCTTGAATCGAATCCAGCCAACAGCACGCAAACTCGGGTGCATAGCGATTACTCGTCTTGACTCAGCCAAACGCGTTCCATTTGAACCATTTGCCAAGCTACTGGCGAGTCTTTTGCGCCAAATTTTCTCCGAACGTGATGTGACCACGGACTACCACAACAGCGTTCGGATGGCCTTACGACCGATGTGGCCGACTCTCCACAGAGTCTTGGAACTCCCCGAACAGTTGATGTCTCCCGGTGCGAAATACAGACCCACTGATGCGAAATCTAACCTGTTCCTGCCAGACAAGGGCGAGCCATCCAAACACGTTAACATTCCCGGGCTGGACCAGGGCCAGAGTTCTCTCGATTTCTTCTTATCCAATGCTGCCTCAAAGAACATGCGGCTGATGGAGACATTCCTTGAAATTCTGAGAACGCTGTGCCAATTCAAACTGATTACTATATGTCTGGATGATCTTGAACATGCGGATGATGAGACGTTAGATTTGGTATTGAAGATCATCAAAGCACGACTCCCCTGTGTGGTTATACTGGCAAGTCGCAAAGATGAGATTGCCTCTGAGCAGGTGAGGTCTTTGTTCGATCAAGAACTACCCACGATCACTCGAATTGCACTTGAGCCGCTAGAAGAGCAGCATGTGATGGAAATTGTGGCGGTGACTATGCATCAGCAACCCAACCAAACACTGACTCCGCTTTGTGCGGTCATTCAGGAGAAGAGTCGAGGAAATCCTTTCTACGTCCGTGTAATGCTCGAGACTTGTTACAGAACGAACTGTATTTGGTATTCATGGAAAGACTCGAAATGGTTGTTTGATCTCGATCGGATTTTCACGGAGTTTGTGGCGCCAGAATATGGGGAGGGTCTGGGACTTGGGTTCCTTACCAAGCGTCTACAAGGCATTCCATCTGCCGCCCGATCAATTATGGTCTGGGGAGCACTTCTGGGCAGTCCATTCTCGTTTTCCTTGGTACAAAAGCTCTTGACGAGTGAATTTCTCTACTCAACCGATGAAGATAAAGATACCGATCTCACGTCACCACAAAATTCTACACTACTCAGACAATCCGAAGGTGATATAATTGTTGGGTTGCAATTCTTGGTTCAAGCAAATCTTTTGAACGCCGGGAAGACGGATGACGAGTTCAGGTGAGATATTCCTTTCGGTACATTGCTGCATCTCAAATTTTAACCAATTTTTTAGATTTGGCAATGAACGTCTCTCACAGGCTGCTCTCTCTTTAGGCGAGAGTCAAAATATTGAGAAGATGCATTTTATCGTCTCACAGGTGTTGATGAAGTATTATCATGATCATCGCAGTCTTTACTCAATGGCTCATCATGTGGCACTGGCCTCACGGACAATCAAAGTCCGCGTTGGCAGGCGACTCGAATACCGTCGCATCTTATGGGATGCTGGACAAACTGCTTCTCAATCAGGCGCGCGGACCTCCGCACTCTGGTACTTCCGTCATTGCATTGCTCTACTCCAGGATGATTTGTGGAATGACCGCAAGCCCGACGTTTATTACGACGAGACCTTGCGGCTGTTTATCGCGACTGCCGAAATGGCGTGGTCTCAAGGGCAAAGCGAAGAGGCTATTCAGTTGATCGACGAGGTCTTTGCTCATGGCAAAGACGCCATAGGTAAGTCCAGAGCCTGGATCATCAAAGCCAAGATCTTTGCCCAGGTCGGCGATCATCACCGCTCCATGGAGGCACTCCTCACTTGCCTTGACGAACTTGGTGTGCATCTTCGTAAACCCACAACTTATGACGAGTGTGATGCCGCCTATCTTCGCCTGAAATCTTATCTTGAGACTGCCGACTTGAGCTCTATCGCGCAAAAGCCAATCTCTCAAAACCCCGTTGTGATGACCATTGGTTCAGTGATGGCAGAGGCTATGACAGTCACTTACTGGGACGACGCATTGACATTCTATCGGATGGCAATTGAGGTGATGAACATTCATATATTTAAAGGTGGATTCACACAGATCGCAATTGGGTGCTCCCATCTCGCCATGATCTCCATGAGTCGGTTTAACGATGTTGAGTTTGGCTCTAAGCTGAGCGATCTCTCCTTGGAATTACTTGAACGTTGCCCCGAACTTTGGACACAGAGCCGAGGTTCGATCGTCCATAACCTCTACGTCAGCCATTTGCGTGTTCCTATGGCGTCGACACTCCCAGCTTTGGAAGCCTCCCTCGAGGCGTCTTTCTCGATGGGCGATCCTTATCTAACTTTGATCAGTATCTCTTCCATGGCTATGACACGACTGTACCTTGGTCAAGACATGGCCCAATTGGAAGCTTTCTGCATAGAGACACCCGAGGAAATCCCCATGTGGCAACAAGATACCCGCGGCGGAGCTAGTCTCATTGCAGTTCAACAAGTTGCCCGCGCGCTTCAAGGCAAGACTGGTTTCCGGTCTGCTGATGATGTTATGTCGGACGCCGAGCACAACACATCCGAGTTCATGGTGCACCTGGATGCCCATTCCAGCAACGCCGATAGACCTCGCGACATCTATTGGGGTCTTGCGATGATCCCTCTTTTCTTGTTCGGCCACCACACCAGAGCTATCGAAGTTGGCACTCAATTGCTGTTCACACGGCACCGACTTTGGTCTGCGCGTGTGTCTTATGTGATTCAGTTCTATTTGGCGACCTCTCTCCTTATGCTTCACAATGATAACCCTGCCCAAGGATATCTTGATGGCAAGATGGATACGGTTCTAGAATACAAACGCGTGATTGATTTTGCTCGAAATTCCTCAGAAGCAAATTACGGAATGTGGGCTTTGATTCTGGAAGCCCTAATATCTGAGGTTCGCAATGATCACAGCGCATCTATCCAGAATTATGAAGCTGCGATCGACCATTGCCAAATCCATGGTTGGCCACTCGAAGAAGCATTGGCACTTGAGCTGCAAGGCGAGTTTCTGGTTAGACGTGGAGCGAAGAGAGCAGCTCGCGCTGTGATCCAAGAGGCCATTGCTGCATGGAGCTCCATCAGTGCTACAGGGAAATCAACACAACTGGCCGAGAAGCATGAATGGTTACTTAAGACAGCCACCTCGGCAAAGACTGTTGACGTTGGCTGTCAAACCATGGATTCGCTGCTTGAGATTGGCCGTGAGGTTGCACCGGAGGAGATATTGATTCCTCAGCAAATGGAAGAAGACGAGAGAAGACACCAGTGGATCGAGCAAAATGGCGTTGCGGCTGGAGAGCGGTCTTTGGACATATCAAGTGTCGGGTTGGATATCATCGACTTATCCAGCATCCTCGAGTCTAGCCAAGTCATGTCATCTGAACTCCAAATTGACAAACTTTTCACAAAAATGCTTGAGATTATCTTGGAGTCATGCAATGGCTCCGACTTTGCAATAATTGCCACTGACTTCGATGACAACGGCTTCGCAATCGCCGCAGCTGGTGATGCCGAGAAGGGACAAAAGTCGTTCCCTGAAGGTCTGCCATTCTCTGAAATGGAGGATCGGATGGCCTTGCACATCTCGCATTATGTAATGCGAACAAAGGAGGAAGTTCTTGTTCACAACGTACTCGAAGACGAACGCTTCTCTAATGTCAATGAGTCCTACTTGGCAAATTTCCCGGCGGGTCGGTCTGTCATAGCACTGCCAGTCGTGCAAGGCGATCATCTTCTTGGTGTCATTCACTTGGAAGGAAAGCCCCACTGGTTCACACAGCGCAACGTTGTCGTATTGCATTTGCTTTGCAATCAAGTCGGCATTTCGTTGTCCAACGCTTTACTTTTCCGTGAAATTCGTAAGGTCAGCGCCAAGAATGCTTCCATGATTGAATCTCAAAAGCGCGCACTGGCGCTGGCACGCGAAGCGGAACAAAAGGCAAAAAATGCTGAAGCCGAAGCTAAGCATAACGTGAAGCTCAAAGAAGATGCGGCCAGGGCCAAATCAATTTTCCTTGCAAACATCTCTCATGATCTGCGTACGCCCATGAACGGTGTTATAGGTCTGTCAGAACTCCTCAAAGGCACACCATTGGATAAAGAGCAAGATGAATATGTTGAATCAATTCGTGTGTGCGCTGATACTTTGCTCACCCTCATCAACGACATTCTCGACTTTTCAAAGCTTGAGGCTGGCAAAATGAAGATCTCAACAGTCCCACTCAACCTTAAACAAACCATCTCAGAGGTCATTCGTGCTCTGCGATACACGCATCGTGACAGAGGGCTGGAGACCATCGAAAATTTGGACAAAGTTCCACCGGAGCTCGTTGTTCTTGGAGACCCTGTCCGTTTGCACCAGATCTTCATGAATCTTCTTAGCAACAGTTACAAATTCACACCTGCCGGCTCAGTAACGGTCAGGGCCCGGGTTGCTCGTGAAGGCAAAGGTCGTGTTCGCCTTGAATGCTCCGTTGCCGATACCGGAATTGGTATTCCAGACGAACAAAAAGCACGCCTCTTCCGACCATTCTCACAAGCCGATCCATCCACCGAACGATCTTATGGCGGCAGTGGTCTTGGTTTGTCAATCTGCAAAGCTATTATTGAAGATGTTCTTGGCGGAGCTATTTGGCTTGAATCAACTTCCGGCGTAGGAACGACCGTGACATTCCACCTCGTTTTCAACAAAGCGCCCAAGAAGACAGTTGTACAAACTGCATGGTCTCAAGATCTGAACGAAGCCGAAAAGAATTCGCGCCGCACATCAGCTCGTGATCTCACTCAGATCCCTCGGGATCAGATTCGAGTATGCATTGCGGAGGACAACCCGATCAATCAAAAGATCGCCGTCAAATTCGTCACCGGTCTCGGCCTCGAATGCGAAGCATACAGCGATGGCAAACAAGCGGTGGATGCCCTGCGCGCAAGATCCGCAGAGGGAAATCCCTTCCATGTGGTTCTCATGGACGTGATGATGCCCACCCTTGACGGATACAACGCCACCCGCGAGCTACGTCGTGATCCCGATCCAAACGTGAATGAAGTCCTAGTCATTGCCATGACTGCCAGCGCCATTGAAGGCGATCGTGAGAAATGCCTGGAGGCCGGCATGAACAATTACCTTCCGAAACCGGTTCGCTCGCCCATCCTGAGCGAACTTTTAGACACATATCTCGCCCCCGTGCCCTCTTACCCTAAATCTCGTCTTGCCATTCGAGAAAAGCGCTCCAGAGCAAGCATGGATGCTGGTGCTGGTACACCTACCAGTTTCTCCTCATCGGCCTCAGACGAGCCGAAGCCCTTGTCTTTGTCTCTGGAAAAGAAATGATTCTACGCATTAATTTATACCCTGATTTTTTTTTCAAGATAGAATTTCGGCGTCGTTGGAGTGCATGATTCTCTTTTTGTTTACTTCTTACTACATGACATTCGTTTGGTACTTTTTGGGACTCTCATTGGAATCAATTGTGCTTCCTGCTCATGATCATGATTGGACTATGATAGGTCTGCTTTTTACATATTGCCTCCCCTTCTGATCTAGTCTTTTTGTGTATATATTGGCATTTTGAAGATAAAAGAACTACAGTATCCTCCCAAATTTGGCCGAATCTAAATACAGAAACCGCTCATCCACAGACCTCCGATATAATTCATTATTTACGTCTAGAACACTGCTATGTACATTATTCCATGGTAACACATCCAAGCTCAACCGCGGCGACCAAAGATGCGGAAGCGCTTGACGCCACCGTCAGGCACAAGGGTCAGCTTGACATGACTGAATACTTGGGTGTCTGTCCCACCAGCAGCAAGATCACCCGCCTCAAAGACGTGTTCGGTGTCTGCCTGGCAGGGCTTGTCGCCCTTGACAATTTCAACCCAGTGGGGATCATCAGCCGAAGGCAAGCCGTCGTCAGCAGTGCCAGAGACAAGGCCGTGCACGCGCACAGCCCGAGGGAAGTTTCCACGGAAGTCCTTGGTGTCCACGACAACCTTAGCGACGGAGCCAGGAAGACCCAGCTTGATGACAGCCCAGTCTACGTGACCAGCGCCGCGCGAGCGGGCAGTTTCCCACCCGTCCCCCATGTCCTTGCCGCGACCAGGAAGTAGGATATTAGAAGACGGTGTGAAGTGCTCATCGGAAGCGGCGAGCGCCAAACCGCCATTGAGAGCGGAGGAAAGTTCCTCGATGGGAGCCGAAGCAGCTTGAAGGGTGGGGGCAGAAGGGGGAATGGCGTGGCCATAGAGGCGCAGACGAGCGAATCCACCGTCCGGGTACATTAGAAGACGGACATGGGTATAGGGGTCCTGGCTGACTTCGATGGGGAATTTCCAGCCATGCCGCTGAGATGGGCCACAGGGCGAAGCGGGCAAAAGGGTCTTCCAACCAGCGAAACTAGGATCTGCGATTTGGGCGTCTGTGATCCCGCTGCCTTCCTGCGCATATGTTGCCTGCAGCTCCGCTTTCTCGCCATAATTCCCCTTAAAGTATGCAGTATCCACTTCAACACCATGAATTGAGGCTGCGGCCACACCCAGCTTGATCACAACCCAGTCATAAGGTTCTGAGTTGTGTCGGCGAGTTTCCCAGCCATCATACCAGGCACCGGTGTGAATGAACACACCAGGACGTGAGACGGCGAGAGTAGGAGTGAGGAGGTTGTCAGCTGAAGCGAAATAGTCGTTTGAGCAGGCTAGGACCTTGCTGTTCAGGTTGCACGAGGCGAGGTTGGTGGTGTGAGCAAACACTGGGTCGATATCGGTAGTGGGAATTTGTTCCATGGTGAAATATGATATTCAGATCTCAATGGTAATAATGGTGGAAGATGTATTTGCAAAGAGGGCAAGCACTATACTTATATAACTCGGAGAGGACGTATAGATAAGAGAACTCACTTTGTCCAATTGTTTACTTGACCCATTTTCTATTCAAATTGTGTCGCAAAGCCAATCAGAGCCTCTTGATCTCTACAAAGGTTCTTGGTCGTTGACTGCGAAAAGAAGGCCGTTACGGGGGATTTTGAAGTTTATATCGGAGTTGGACTATTTGACCCAACGATAGCAGACACTGGAGAGATTTAGACAACATAGTGTTAGTTATAACAGTTATGACACTTACTGCTTGTTGAGGAATTATTGCGGAATTCACTAATAAAAATCGAAATTACCAATAATCGTGGAAACTCTTCACATGAGAAACCCCGGAGCTCGGAATCACAACGACTCGCGTTGGGAGTTTCGATTGGTCCTGCTTTTGAAGGTACTGCGCATTTTCTCACCTCAGTCACCGTGTCACAAAGGTATACAATGACGCATTGACCGACCCGACGCTGATGTCCCCATCTCCGGAGTATCTTTCACCAAATTGAATATCCAAGTTGACCAAGCTGAGTACACAAGTTACTCACTGCTGCAATATTGACCGGCCTACTTGTGCGACAAAGAAATCTCTTTCGAGTCAGATATTCTGAATCGAGTTGGGCATTTGTTCCATTACTCCCACGCATGATGCCTAACAGCCATAAGAAAACACAGCAAACAGTGCCACTGACTATTGGTATCGAAGAAACCACCGGGCCTTTCCAAGCTACAAGGACGAATGTCAGATGAAAAGTCAAAGACATACAATTTGTGACTGCATCAATTAATCTGGAAAGCTTCGGATCAAACGCCAGCAATGCCTTTATGTTGGTAAACAGCCAATTGACACAAATCACAGAAAGAAGAAGAAGAAGAAGAAGAAGAAGAAGGAAGAAGAGGAAGCTACAGAAAAAAAGAAAAAGATCCTCCCAAAAAGCACTTTTGTCGTCATCTCTTTTCCATATCCTTTGTCGCGGCATTCTCCAAAGCCTTGTATCTCCATTCAAACTGTGCAATTGCTCTCATATCGCTTGCAGAGCAACCTCCATCCTTGCTTGACATATCCCTAGCCTTTTGCATCTGTATCTCCCATCCTTTAAGGATTCGAGCCTGGGCTTCCGCAATCGATAACAAATTTGTGTTGTGCGAGGCCAATCTATCATCAATGGTAGCATGATATGATAGTTTTGCGCGGAAAAGAGCCATTTCAGATTCGTCGTACTTCAGTCCTTTCGCCTCGGGCATCATTGTGTCCTGCGTACTCGTCGGGGGCATTTCGGATTGAGCCAAGAGAAAGAAGAAACGATTGTCGGTACAGCCGGCAACAAATTGGCGTTTGAGCCTCAGGTAACTGGGTGGGTTGGTTTCTAATGAGAAAACAAGGCAAATATGCAGAGCGGTATCGTTCTCGAGAAAGAAGCAAGTATATAGGTCCAGCAATGGTGAAGCGAATGGACCAAACGATGTAACTCCTACTGTGAACACATATAAAGATAATGACGACAAAGGTGAATTTCAAATTAAGTATCGACAAATTCCAATGCAAGTGCGAGGAAGATGGATTATATCATGACAAGATCATGCCCATTGTCATTGTGCCTCGCCATTCCAATACCCGAAACGCCGGTATCACACTCAATCCACTCCAAATCTGCAGCGCAAAAGGGAGGGGGGCAAGGCCACAGTCAAGCCAACCCAGAAATAGAAAGAATGGAAAGACACATGCACCAACAAGTATACCAAGAAGAATCTCAACAAACCCAACCGACCTTCTCCCAAAATTCTTATTTACCCCTCTGAGACCGACCAAAGGGCCCTGCGCATCCCGTGTTGAGCGGCGATGACCCGTTTGCCTTTTGGCGGCAGTACCATCTGCCTCGTGATGAAAGCCACCGAGCCAATCGATCTGACTATCAGGTTTCCTAGTGCCAACAATGGAAAAGCCATTGTAACACGATGTTTGAATTGCCAAACCGCACAAATGGATATGCATGACTGAATGAACTTTGGTCGAAGGGTCGAGCGTCAATCGGGAGGTGCAGCAGTCCCGTCTCGGTCCGTATGGCCGTGCGTATAAGTTTGTGTATCAGGGTCTGTATAAGTTGAGACATATGTACGTTAGCTGTGTATCTACGTACTTTTGAAATTCTACCCAAAGGCCATACAACAGATGGTTGCCTACGCTACATCCAAGCTGTTCAAGATATATTTAGCGGAGAGATATCAATCGAATACTGAGACTTTGTATACTATTGCCACGAGGGATAATTGGACCTTCCAGACAAGCAACCAGATTACACCAAAATAGAGTTGATGTAGCCTGCCCGTCATTTTACCCATTTTCTCCGGTACTTCATGCTAATGAAGATATCGATGGAGCCCACTGTTCCTCAATTTACAAAGCTTCGATACCTGCAAAGAAGATTGACGCGTTTTCACCATATATCTCCGATTCAACGTTCCTTAGTGTAAATACATGCCGTGTCTGGCCCAAACCAGAAGTCATTACTGTTTGCTGTTGGTTCATCTAAATTTACAACAAAAGCTATGTCTATATTATTTTCAGTGCGAACGAGAAAACTCAACAAAGAAATTTGCTATTTACCAATGAAACTGTATGGCTCAGTCGCGTTATCGCTTCTTTTGCCTTTCGATATGCGTCACCATCTACTTTTTCAAGGACAGTCATATCAGGGCCACAGAGCACCGCACTGGGTCGTCTGTAACACCTCAGGCTGCAAGAAACCCATTGACCAATCTGGATTTTCCCCGTGAAAGCATATGAAAATCGAGAATACGAATCAAAAAATAAAATATTCCCAGGAAGAAAGATGGATTGAGAGTGATTGGGGCTGGCGTTGGAATGCTCTAGCTCGGTACCTGATTTGTTTGTACAACGCTGCAACCCGAAGTGTAGGGTACCTCTGTGCTGTGATTGGATTCTGGACCGGTGGCAACGAGTCTCGGAGAAAAAACAAAGCGATACACGCAATATTCAGCTGGTAAATGATAATAGTGTTGAGTATAGGGAAGTTTTGCTTAGGGCTCGTAAGGTCATCTGACGTTAGAGAATTAACTCTGTATTGTAGATCACCGTACAGCTGAACTTACTAGCTGCAGGAAAGGAAGTTAGTAGGGAGCATGGGGATTTTAATGCTCGTGTTCCTGATGTCTCATATACGTTTGAGAAGGTAAAACCCGGAAATCGTGTAACAGAACAAGCACCCCTCCGACGGGTAGACACAGGGTTATATCGGGTCCGACGTGTTTCAACTGTTCCACCTGTGCATTTGCCTTGTCAGATCTATGTGCAATTTTAAATTGATTGAAAGCTTTTACACATTGATAAAAGCGAACATTTTGAGATGATCGACTTAGAAAGCGTGGAATGAAAAGGTCAAGTCAGAGTTCAAGGTTGAAACAACACATCAAATCATTTAATCGTTCCCGTCAAGGAAGCAGCTGAAGAGCTAGATACATTACGACTAAGCTATAGTCCAGCACTGACCTCCTCGTCCCGTCCCGCGTCAGCTCTTGCTTTCTTGGCCTTTTCTATATCCAACGACATCTTTACCGGGTGAATCCCCGGAGTTTCAAACACCGTATTGATTTCCTCCAGCGATAGACCGCCAGTCTCTGGGAAGAAGAGATAGGATAAAAGGAGCTGAACAGAGTTGTACACGATGTACACCACCCAAATCTTATACCCAACCTTTTCGATTCCAACCCCGATTCCATAAGATTGCGCAGCCCCAGCACCACCTTGAATGAGACTGTATAGTCCCATTCCTTTTGCTCGAAGAGGCAATGAAAGAATCTCAATCGGATACAAGTTGTGCATGGTAGCAACAAAGGTCGCTGAAAAAGTCTGATAAAGGAAAATCCAAAGGAGCGTGAGTGCTGCTGTGGCGGTACTAGCATGAAGAGCGTACTGCCATGATGTAATTGTTGTAGCCGTTTGGAACACAATCATGCTGATGAGACCAACGAAGATTAAGGTTCTTCTGCGGACCTTGTCGACTATAAGCGATCCAACACCCGTAAAGACAAAGTAGACTGCAGTAGTGCCAATGGTCACGCCAAGCTGCTGTTTGGGACCATTAATGTTCAACTGCTGTAGAGAAGGGACCAACTAAATAATGTTAGTAGCCGAGTTAAACTACCTTTCGGACAACTCACATAATACGTGATAATACCACCGCCATTCCATTGTTGGAATAGCGAGTATAGAACTAAAACGAGCAGTCGGTAGCGAGCTACCTTGGTGAAAAAGACTCGGTAGTCCCAGAAAGCCCTATAGCCTGTCGAATCGTTCTCAAGAGACTCCTCAATCTGTCTAACTACAACCTCAACAATTGGCTCATTGATGTCCGTGCTCGTAGTGTGATACTTCGCTATAATTTCCTTGGCCTTTTGACGGTTACCGTTGAGGACATAAAACCGTGGCGACTCAGGGGTCACCAAATATATTCCTAGACAGACAATTGCCGGGAAAAGAGCCTCGAGAATCAGAGGAATACGCCAGCAATTGTTGCCCGGTAGATTGGTGAGTCCAACCATGGCGCCAAGCATGACGAGACTTCCGACTTGGAAGCATGCACCGAAAACGCCGACCATGCGACCACGCAGATGGATAGGCGCAACCTCACCAATGTATTGAGAGCTGGACATGAGCGCGGTGCCAAAACCCATAAAGAATCGACCCGCCATGAACATAGGCAGATTTACTGCGAGGCCTTGCATAAGCGATGCAAAAATGACAATGGCGTTACCAGCGAAGTTGATTCCACGACGACCGACCACATCCGCTAGAGCCATGAACGGTGCACCGCAGACGGTGCCAATCTGCATCAAAGCATTCATCAAGCCGTATGTGCCGCCACTGGTATTGAACTCAAAGTAGTCGTGCCATGGCTGCATGGAGTTGATACCGCCGATGACTCCCCAGTCGACTCCAAACCCGGCTTGATTGCAGCCATGAATAAACATGATAAGACCAAGGCGGAAGCCTGTCCACGACCAGAGGTTCAGAGAATCCTTCGATAGCTTCCATAAGTCCTCCTCTGTCACACGAGCCAGCGCTATCTCTTCGATATGCTCCCTAGTATCGCCCTTGTCCACCCCAGCATTCGTATACGCAGTGTCTGATTTGGCCATGGTGCAGTGAGTCGGAGGGGATGAGGTGAGGTGGGTAGGGAAAGATGCGATCGTCCCAAAAGTATGGGCCGAGAACCCCAAAGTTGCAGTGAGGCCAAGAGGGCTAATCTGGGGTATTTCTGTTTTGTTTAGTAGAGGTGGCACGAAGCTAGGCGCAACAACCACCGGTCGGCATCCATGTTATTGACCTATTCCGTCACGGAGACAAGGTGAGCTTGCGACGAGATTAACTTACAGTGGCACGAGATATACCCACCAAGAAGAACACTGATTGGTGCCAGGCAAGATGGAAAATTTTTTGGCGGTAGTCACGTTGTCCATTCTTTGGAGGCATCCTTGCTGGATTTGCTTTTTCGTGGAGCGCCGTCTTCCTCCCACTGAGATTTCCCACCACTGGGATGAGGATGTGGGAACTAGCGTCAGACAGACCAGGATATCACAAGCTTAGATTGACTTGGTGCTAACGCTAGTCTATCTGGGTCAAGCCAAGTCTGGAGAATGTTGACGTGGAGATGTATTTAACCGGAATCTGGGGAAGCGCCGCCGGGCAAAGAATTAGGGCTGGATCTTGTTAGTGGGAATCCTTTGCACTGGGCAAATCACATCTCTGTTTTTGATCAAGTGAAATTGTTCTCGCAACCTGACAATTTCTGAACTCGCCTGGTTAAATCTTTTCGCTGGTTTGTTAAACATTGGCGGCTGACGGACCGAAGTGCCGTCAACGCATGTTGAACTACCTCAGTATATCAGGCAATCAAATCAACAAAGAAAACAAATCTATTACATTTCGCGATTATGTCGGAAATATGGTACAAAAAGCCGGCTGGTGACTGGAACTCGGCCTTGCCAGTCGGCAATGGGCGCTTAGGTGCCATGGTATATGGACGCACCGACACGGAAATGCTGCAACTCAACGAAGACTCTGTGTGGTATGGAGGTCCACAAGATCGCAATCCAAAAGATGCCCTCGAGCATCTTCCGCGTTTGAGAGAGGCTATACGAGCGGGTGACCATGCCAAAGCCGAGAAGATAGCTAAATTGGCATTTTTTGCCAACCCGATGAGCCAAAGAAACTACGAGCCGCTCGGAACCCTCTTCTTAGATTTCGGGCATGACCCCAAACAAGTCACAAATTATCGGCGGTCGCTCAACTTGGCTAATGCTGTGGCACATGTCAGCTATGAGTACCAAGCCGTTCACTTTGAACGAGAAGTTCTGGCCAGTCACCCTGACAATGTGATTGCGATCCACGTGCGTTCGTCTAGCAAAGCAGAGTTCGTGGTTCGATTGACCCGCATGAGCGACTTGGAATTCGAAACGCATGAATGGCTTGACGACGTCGGCGCCGACAACAATTCCATCACTATGCACGTTACGCCTGGTGGCAAGAATAGCAACCGGGCATGTTGCATTATCTCCGTTCGATGTATGGATGCCGAGAGTAAGATAACCAAGATCGGAAATAATCTGGTGGTCAATTCCAGTGATACTCTGCTGGTTATTGCGGCACAGACTACATTTCGCCACGAGAATATCAATCAGCAAACTAAGACAGACGCAGAAAATGCGCTGCGTGTTTCCCCGGATGATCTAAATGCCCGCCATATATCAGATTACCAATCTCTGTGGAATCGAATGGAATTGCAACTTGGCCCAGAGTCTCCCGAAATTCCAACTGACCAACGTCTAACGTCTTCTCGAGACCCGGGCCTTATAGCACTCTATCAAAACTACAGTCGATATCTTCTGATAGCATGCAGCCGGAACGGAGACAAATCTTTACCAGCAAACCTGCAAGGTATTTGGAATCCATCTTTCCATCCGGCATGGGGCTCCAGATTCACCATCAATGTAAACCTGCAAATGAACTATTGGCTATCTAACTCGTGTAACCTATCGGAATGCGAGTTGCCTCTTTTTGATTTACTAGAGCGCATGGCCGACTCTGGCCGGGCTACTGCTCGCATCATGTACGGATGCCGCGGTTGGGCAGCTCATTCTAACACGGATATCTGGGCCGACACAGCTCCTGTTGATCGATGGATGCCGGCGAGTATTTGGCCCTTGGGTGGCGCATGGCTGTGCTATCACATTTGGGATCATTTTCAATACACTGGCGATGACAAGTTCCTTCGACGTATGTTTCCCACCCTTCGTGGATGTGTGGAGTTTCTTCTGGACTTTTTGATTGAAGATGCGGAGGGCAAATATCTTACTACCAGTCCATCTGTTTCTCCCGAAAATTCATACTATGACCACGTGGGACAGACGGGGGTCTTATGCGAAGGATCAAGCATTGATATCCAAATCGTGAGTGCTATTCTTAGCGCCTTCGAGTCTTGTACCATGAGACTTGACATTCAAGATGATCTTGTTCCAAAAGTACAAGAGACAATGTCTCGTCTCCCACCGATGCAAATTTCGGATGCAGGGTATCTGCAAGAATGGGCCACAGACTTCGCTGAAGTCGAACCTGGACACCGTCACACTTCTCATCTGTGGGCGCTACACCCTGGCAACGCAATCATACCAGAACACACACCCGAGCTAGCAAAGGCCTCTGGAGTAGTTTTACGTCGTCGTGCAGAGCATGGTGGTGGTCATACTGGTTGGAGTCGTGCATGGCTAATCAATTTGCACGCGCGGTTACTCGATGCCGAACAATGCAATGAACACTTGGACTTGCTGTTGGCTAAATCCACCTTACCCAATCTTCTAGACAGTCATCCCCCCTTCCAAATCGATGGCAATTTTGGCGGTGGTGCAGGCATTATTGAAATGTTGGTCCAATCCCATGAGCTTGGCGTGGTTCGGATACTTCCAGCATGTCCGAAGCACTGGAGTGGATTTATTCGGGGGGTCCGGGCCCGGGGAGGATTTGAGCTCCAGTTCAAATGGGAAAACGGCTATGTCGTGGATAAGGTAAAGATTAAGTCGAATTTTGGGAAAAAGTTGCTTGTGGTCTTGAATGGGGCACAATTTGAGATCACGGGCCATGGGGAGCATACAATTGAGGCTCCATAGATGTGTATCAACAATAGCAACGAGACATTACTCTTCTTAAAGAAGATGAGAAACATATATATAATAAAACTGAAAGTACTTTCGCAAGTTTCCAGGAAGCGTTTAATCTATTTTGCAAAATTTAGCTCGCTATTCCCTCTGTCTCTTTACTCTAAAGCACCTGATGATATTTTAGTTCTCTAATTGCACAGAGCCTATGTACCAAATGAAGGATGATCTAGTTGATAAAATGTAGAAAGAATATTGAAGATTCATTGAACCAAGAAACGATTAGCTATATTTCATGAAAATAGGCGTAATCGACCATGAAAAAGTGATTTGATGGCGTTGACCTAGCTACTGACGCATTATCCCTGTTCGGGTTTCCTGATCCATCACGGAGCTACAGCCCGCATATCCCAGACTATGGATAAATTGAGAAAGTGCATGTTACAAATTATCCAGATTCCTGCGGGGTAATTTGTTTTGTTTACTCAATTACCTAGGTCAAGCTCTCCAAGCTAACCCAGAATAACTTGTCATCCTTTTTGACACAATCCACAAGTACGGACCCCGACGAATATGGATCTCAATTCGGTGCAAGATCTCAAGAATGTCTTGCGGCCGGACTTTTATCATGGGTACGCCACAGCAGCAGCCCAAATAGAAGGTGCCTGGAATAAAGACGGCAAAGGAGTGTCCATATGGGATACATTCGGACATACGCCAGGCAAAATCGCTGATGGAAGCACAGCCGACGACGCCGTCCGGGCTTACGATTTCTACCGCGAGGATGTGGCGCTCATGAAGTCATATGGTGTCAACGCCTACCGCTTCTCTCTAGCTTGGTCACGAATCATTCCCTTGGGGGGCCGCGATGACCCCGTCAACGAGCAAGGCATTCAGTTCTACTCCAATCTCATTGATGAGCTTCTTAAAAATGGAATTACACCTTTTCTTACCCTCTTTCATTGGGATATTCCCCAGGCCTTGGAAGACCGATACGGAGGCATGTTGAACCAAGAAGCATATACGCCTGATTTTGTGCGCTATGCTCGTGTTTGCTTTGAGCGTTTTGGTGATCGTGTCAAGCATTGGATCACATACAATGAACCTGGTGTGTATACCCTTGCGGGGTACGCAGCAGGTGTGCATGCGCCTGGCAGGTCATCTTTCCGAGAGCGCAATGCCGAGGGCGATTCATCTACTGAGCCATTCATTGTTGCACACACCGAGCTCGTGTCGCATGGCCATGTATCAAAGCTGTACCGAGAAGAGTTCCAGCCTCAGCAAAAGGGTACCATTGGCATTACTTTGCACGGGAACTGGTCTGAGGCTTGGGACGAAGAGGACCCACGCGATCAAGAAGCTGCTGAACGAGCACGCGAATTTGAGATTTCCTGGTTTGCGGATCCATTATACAAGACGGGCGATTATCCTGCATCAATGCGGGCACAATTGGGGGATCGGTTGCCGAAGTTCACGGCCGAGGAATCCCAACTTGTACTGGGTAGCTCGGAGTTCTACGGGATGAACAGCTATACAACCTTTTTCGTGAAGCATACAACTACGCCACCAGATATTAATGACCATAAAGGAAATGTGGATATTCATGATGAGAACAAGCAGGGTGTGCCTCGCGGCGAGGAAAGTGATACTCCTTGGCTGCGAGCTGCGCCTGGGGGTTTCAGGAAATTATTGAACTGGATATATAAGCGGTACCAGACACCTATTTATGTCACTGAGAATGGAACTACGGCAAAGGGTGAGATCGCGCCCACCCCTGAAGTCCTCGATGATCAATTCCGCATCAAATTCTTCGAGGGATATGTTGGAAATGCGCTGGCACGGGCTGTAAAGGAAGATGGAGTTGACATTCGCTCTTATTTTGCTTGGACATTCACTGATAACTGGGGTAAGTAAGCGTCTTTGCTGTCTTCGCAAAACACTGTGACTAATTCTTTTTAGAATGGGCCGCTGGATATGCGGATCGTTTCGGTTGTACGTTCATTGACTTCGAGTCTGAAGAGAAAACTCGCTATCCAAAGCAGTCTGCCTATTATTTAGACAAGCTGTTTAAGCACTTGATTCAAGACGCATAGAAAATTGCCTTGAAAAACGGTCAAATAAATTGAATTTTAAAGGAAGGCATTCTAGAATTCTCTGACCAACTTACGAACCCGGTATACATATTAATGAAAAAAGGTGACATCTTGGAGTCAATTGGAGTGATTGACTTCCGAGGCAAATCATAATATAGACCTTTCCGTTTGAAGCTGATATATGACAACTTGGCCAGTTAGGGCAAGTCTTTGCGAATTCTCATCGCTTTGTCCCCGCTTGACTCCAACTGAGGGGGTCAAGCTCGGCTAATGGCAATTAAATTTATACAAGTCATAATGGAAACCCTTGAATTCATTCATAAATTTTGATAGCATTTATTGCAATCGCCAAAATGCTGTCTGAAAATGATCCGATCAAGCTCACACTCAAGGGGACTCCTCAAGAAGTAGGTTCATCTACTGAATCTTTATATGTCATATAAACCGACCTCGGGAATGTTTTGAGCTAACCAATTCCAAATCTGATTAGATCGGATTTCAGCATGGTCGCGCGTTGAGTGAACAAATTCGCAGCCAAATATCTATCTACGACATCATGTTTCAGCAAACTTCAGCACTGACCTGGAAGGATGTGCGCGAAGTCGCAAAGGAGTTTCAGCCAACATTACAGAGGTTGACGCCGCATCTGCTGGTAGAGATGGAAGGAATTGCCTCGGGTGCTGATCTAGATGTGCTTGATATTATAGCCCTCAACTGCCGAAGTGAGATCGCGCTGGGCAAGTTCTCTGATGGCTGCACGACCCTGTGTTGGAAGAGAAGCGAAGGAGCACGAGTTCTCTCGCAAAATTGGGATTGGACGGCCACCGTCAAGAAGAATCTTGCCATGGTTTCGATTGAGGAGGTTGGAAAGCCTACTATCTATATGGTAACCGAGGTTAGTTATATTTGCGCGCGTCTACACGGAGCATGCAGCTGAACGTTACCAGGCAGGAATTGTTGGCAAGATTGGGTTCAATTCCAGTGGTGTGGGAACTTGTCTCAATGCTATCCGTGCAAAGCCCATGATGAGTAGCAAGCTACCAATCCATGTTGCGCTCCGGTTGTGTCTAGAGAGTACATCTGTTCAAAGCGCCGTGACAACCCTTGAGTCTCTAGGCGGGGTTGCTTCCGCTCAGCACATTCTCTGTGCAGACTATACAACCAGTCTCGGACTTGAGTTGTCCCCGGTTGGAGACAAACATATCACCGAGAATGAATTAGGAATGATCGGTCATACCAATCATTTCATTGAGAATCGCTATGTTGATGAGCCACCGTGGTTATCTGGATCGCCTATCCGGCTGAAGCGACTGGGAGAGTTGACACAGGAGCTTGTTCGGATTGGCGTTAAGGGTGATAATATCACCGCGAATTTGCTAAGAGAATCTATTTTCTCTGATACATATAATCTGCCACAAGCGATATGTTGCCAGGAAGATCCCTTGCGACCTATATCTAGCAGGAGCAGCTCTTTGTTTAACATTGTTATGAACTTGGACCCGCAGAATCTAGGAGCAGAGGTGGTCTTTGGTCGGGTGGGATCTGGGGAAGAAGGCCCGGTGTTGAAAATGCCTTGGTAAATTAGAGTGTACACTTGAACATGTTAGCAACAATTCCATACAGTGCAAGTAACGTTACAATTTCCTCTTGGATTCCTCTGTCAGACTTTAAGTCATTGTGATAGATTCGAGTCTCACATCGAGTAGAACAGTACCAATCCCGCCTAGTTGGAGAGACAAAGAGTCTAATAATGATTAATGTGCCTTTGTACTTTTCTGTTTCTTGAAAGGGCCTATTCCTCGAGGATTGGATCAAAGCAGGAATCGCATAAATAGTCAAAATACCACCATGGTTCTGGACCTCCCTAGGAACCCTTCACACCACCGTCCAAAGACCTTCGGTAAGCCGATCAGCCCAACTTACTCGACCATTTTCAATTTCAATCAGAAGTCACAAAAAATGTCTGGGCGACCCCGTCACGGTACGTATGAACAGGAGCGTAGCTATGTCATGACCACTCTGCACGCTCAGATTGACATTCTCAAGGACAACTATCCAGGAAGCCGACAGATGTCCATCAATAGCCTAGGTAATCTGACGAATCGCATGAACGGATTGAGAATGACTGGACAAGTCAAAAACAATTACGAGCCCAGCTGGACAGAGAAGTGCAACCATCTGAGTTCAAAAATCTCAAACTGGCGAGAGCAACTCATCCTGGAGTCGACTTGCCCCATCAAGGTGGCCAATGATATCGAAACCACGATGATGTTCTTGAACTTTTGTTTTCCCGCTGATATGCATAATCGGAATGGTCTCAAATGGATATTTGGTTCCAGGAGTTCGGATGAACCACGACGAGGCGATCGAAGTGGCGCCCCGTCACCGGAGCCCAGACAGCACAAGCACTAATATCTAGATGGCCATACCAATTAACTCTTTTTCATTAGTCTATTCCAATGGCTATATATATCAATCCAAAGGCTTTTGTTAGTAGATAATCAGACAAAGCCCAGTTAACTTTCACCAAGAATGAGGAACAGGTACCGAAATTGTCAGATATTGTTTCATTGTTTCATGTTCTCATCTATATAAAGTTTAAACTGGAAATTACATATTCTTGTTCATCATCAAACGATAGGCCATGACTAGAAGAGCCATGAGAAACCTTTAGTATAGATCTTCTTCCACCCAGACATGTTCTGATTTTCAATGATAGCCATTGCTTCAAATTCAGCCTCTTCACGATCGATCTCGGCCTTTCCAGTCCAGATATCGGCGTTGTGGGGCTTGATCAGCTCCGTTTTCTTATAGAACTTCCATCCGGTGAATGCCATGACATAAAGTGGAATTCCAATGTATGATGTGATAAAGGTTTTGTAGTCGAAGTTTCCATAGGTTGCGTGGTTGTGGACAAACACACCGAAGCTGCGAGTGAAGGCAACCAAGACGCAGAAGAAGAGGGCGACGGAGGAACCGATTATTCCCAGAGGAGCCTTGTATGGCAGAGTTGTCTCGTCCACACCCTGTGCACGTCGGGCACGTATGAAGAAAATATGAGTGATCAGGAGCGAGATCCATGTCAGCACTATCACGTAAAGTTAGTAAATGAATTGTCCGCGGTAATTGAGGGAATAACATACATCCAAAGATGGACACCATATCGGTGAAGTAACCAAAGACCTCCTTTGAGCCCTTAGATACACTCATGAAGGCGAGTAGACAGAAAGAAGCAGATAGCGCGAGAGAGTAGATCGGAACACCAGCGGCGTTGGTGCGAGCAAAGATTCCAGGTGCCTTCTTCTCACGAGCAAGACCGTAAAGGGTTCGGGTCGCGATGTAAAGATCAGAGTTGGCAGCTGACAACACAAATACGAGAATAGAAGCGTTGATGATGTGTGGAAGAGCAGCCACCTGCTTCATAGCCACAACAAAGGGCGATGCCGCAGCAGAGCTCTTGGCCTTGGTGGCGAAAATCAGGTCTGGGGAGTTATAAGGGACTAGCATACCAACGAAGAGTACACTGAGGATGTAAAACACAATGATTCGCCAGAAGGTCAGCTTGATAGCCTTGGGGATGGTCTTCCGGGGGTTCTGGGCCTCTCCGACGGTGACACCAATGAGCTCGGTACCTGATTTGGAGAAATTAGAATGATTGTCGAAGAGAATGAAGTTTGATCGCCTGGGACGTCCTTACCGAGGAAAGCAAAGGTGGCCTGCACCATGGTCGACCAGAATGCAAGGAACTTTCCCAAGCCGCCTTCAACATACTTGTGGTTGAAGGCACCGGGCTCTTGCCAGTATCTGAAACCTCTTCTATCGTGATCAGGACCGCCACCCATCGCGAAAATGAAAGAGCACAGGATGATTCCCAAGATGACAATGATCTTGAAAGCCGAGAGCCAGAACTCCAGTTCACCAAAGACCTTCACACCGAAGTAGTTGATTGCAATGATTGCCACCATGAATATGGCAATCCAAACACCCGGATTGACGTTGTCTGCCGATACTCGGGGCCAGTATGTAATGACCAGGGCGGCTGCAGTGAGTTGCGTCGGTGGAAGAATGATGTATTTGAGGTAGTAGCTGGCATGCAATCAGTATTTTTTTTTTTCCTTTTTTCCCTTGCGTTGGAAATTAAACCTACCACCATCCAAGAGTAAAACCGAGAGCCGGATCACAGAAACGACCAGCGTAACCTGTGAAACCAGACGATAGGGGTAGCCAGGCAGCCATCTCACCCAATCCGCACATAACCGTCCAGACGACGAGACCCATGAAGCAGTATGCAATAAGCAAAGCGCCAGGCTAAAAGTGATGGTCAGTGACTAATTTTGTTAATAGCTTGGATGAATTTGCACATACTCCGGCCCTAGGTTCAAGTTAGCGAGGGGATTTAGACAATTGTTTCAATAGAGATACTCACGTCAATGCACTTCCAGTGCCAACGATCAATCCAGTACCAATTGCACCACCGATAGCAATCATGGAAATGTGACGAGCCTTAAGCTCCCTCTTGAGCTGCGTTGGCTCATCTTGCACCTCTACTTTCGAGTCATCATAGTAGTTGGGTTGTGCCTCAAGGGCATTTATCTCATCAGGGTGACCCATTTTGATGTGAAAAAAAACCACAGATGAGGATGAGAGATATTTCACGGCCCTAGCCCCCGGGGGGAAACGCAGACTTAAAGGCACGAACGGAGCGCACAGTCCATAAGCGAATCCTGGGGTCAAACTCTCCAATCTCTGACATTTCCTTTGCCTCTCCAGTAGTGGATATAATCGCGGAGAGGTCTGCAGGCCAAGAGTCTAGTGCCTGGCTGGCCGACAAGCCAAGACTCTAATATACAGCTACCACGTTTTGCGGACTAGGACCAACTTGGTAGTGGCTGACCGGTGAGCTTACCGGTGAACCAGTAATCTCTTCATTCTCTATCTGCACCGGGTGAGGCGTATGTTTGCTTCTAGACCGAAGATCATTCTATTCTAGAATTGCTTGTTGGTTGTTTCCTACAATGAAGAATTGACGATAAACACTCATTGCCCGTGATAAAGTGAAACCTAGATATTGACATTTAGATACTAGTAAGATATGGGGAAATATTCCCCATGCAATGACTAACAGTAATTGATATGGTTGGCCCCCCATAAATTTCGAACCTCCACGTGAAACCCTTTTGCCTTAAATACCGAGACCCGGGGGAATTTTCATTCTAATATTGATAGATAGGAAGGATGCCGAGCCTAACCATAGCTAGCCGCTTATTGGTCCAAATCAGAGGCTGACGGGATCTTGGCATCGCTTGGCCCTCCTTGGCCAGATGTTTTCTTGGGAAATATTACCCCTCGCCTCGGCGCTCGTTCGGAGATAGAGAATAGAACCTAGATAAATGATTGGTGTTTTTTTTACCTAAAGTTCCTTGGTCAGCGCAGGTGGAATTGTAAATAAAGTTCCCCAATATACCATGGAAAATAAATCTGGGGTAAGTAATCTTATATCTGTTCGAGGTACGCATTACCCTAAGAATTTGAGCTTCTCTCACTTAATCTCATTTCAAAGATTGAAGTAGCGAACCTCACTATAGAACTTCCTCGTGACAAAGGAGAATCTGATCAGAAAATTTTCTCTTATAAATAGGAATGAGAGTTTTTGTATGCATCTTGGATAGGGTTCAAGAGGCTGCTCAACGCCTCCCGTGTCCTTCCGCATACCCCTCAATTATGATATGAGCTTGCCTGACTGGCTGATACCCCCATAGTCCCCTTGCCTTGCTTCTCGGTTCGCGGTTCGCGGTTCCCGGTTTTTGGTTTTGATGTATAATGGGCGCCATCTTCAGCCCGTCGTTGGTCAGGGATACCGACCCATTTATTAAGCAAGCGCTCACCCCTGTGTATGAACACGGGCTTATACATCCTTTTTGTTCTCCGCTCCAGTGAGGATCTCCTGGGGCTGGGGCAAATGAGCCATTTATTGAAACCCTCCAAGCCACCCTGACGCTTTATCTTATCCCCTGGACAAAGTCTTGATTGACTGACATTCCCGGGTGGCAATTTCTATACTTCTTGGCCCTCGGGAGTGATTCCCCGTACTATTGGTCTATTTCAAGGTTTGGTCAGATCTCAGATCTGCTTCTTGACTGGAGCATGCTTATTATTGTTGATCTACGGCTTCCCCCAGGTCTATAGTTAGTCATTCGTACCCTGCTGATAAATAGCAAAGCATTCATTGTTTATGCAAGCAAAAGGAACATACAAATCGCAACTTCAACTTGTTTTTAAGATAAAGATCTTGTATATATGCTATCCCAGGTCAGTAGCAACGTTATAGAAGACTTTGCAACTAAACACCGCAGCTATACAAACTTGGCCGAGGCTAAACACGTAATTCACATCTAAAATGTGACGACAATCCGCCAACCTATCTCTCTATTGCTAATTACATAGCTTCTCAGGGTCTTTTGGTCGCGGGGTTTCCGGTCTCTCTTGATATATTCTGTGCAACCATTCCATCTTCTCCATAATTTGTGAATGTACAGTGACACCTTATCCTCGGACATGGATAGAGCGCAATAGTCTCATATCAAGTATTTTCAAACCTTTCGGCAGATGTCGACATATATTCTTAGCAGCTCTTGATCTGATAGCAGTTAAACATCATGAAATTTTGAACATGAAGTTTTTCAATTAACTGGTGGATTAGCTTGGATGTCAACCTTAGGAATGCGTCACTACAAAAAATGAATGAAAAAGGAAACAAGTCAGTAGAGATAATATTGCTCACTAGCTGAATATGATGTATGAAGTGATGCATGCATATGTACTCGAAGTCACATTTCATCAACCGAATAATAGATGATCTAGGCCTATAGATATTTGCTTTTTCAGAGCCACAGTGACGATTAGCAATTAAAGCCGGCTGACTGGTATGTTCAGCTCCACCAGGATACATTCGATCGTCATGGGAACTGAAGATCACGCCAACTGAAGAACTCGAGTGCAACGTACTTTTTCCTTAGGTATGTATCTCGAGTGATGTGATATGCAAGGATCACTACCTTGCACATTTGATTTTTCTTTGTCTTTGTCTGTCTTTGTCTTTATCTTTATCTTTGTCTTTGTCTTTCTCATTTCCCCCAACTTCACACACCATCAGTCAAAATGGCATCGACAACTGGAATTCCTCAAGATCACCCAGCAACCATTGAAGCGCGCGAGGATGAGCCACTATTAGGAAGTCCAGGAGATGTAACACAAAAACCTGATGAGCGCATTTACCGAAACCTCTTCACTGGTGAGATATTGTAATCCCCATCAACCCATCAACTACCCATTAACTTCAGACTTCAGGTACGGCTAGTGTCGCGCAGGCAGGAATCTGGATTGTGAGGCTTTAAGCATAAGCATGAAATCCCACATCGGATAACTAACACACTCTTTAGCTGGCAGCACTGGTTTGGAAGGGAATTCTGTCTCAGCCACTCTCACTTTTCACCCCGCACCCAGTAGGTCATTCAACATCGACGCTCAAGACAATAACTAACAGGACTTTCAGCTACTTGCCATCTCTGGACTTCTTCTGCAAATCCAAGCAGCACTCATCTTGCAACCCACAGCTACCCCGCAACAGAAGCTTACTGGTACCCGCATCCACTACACGATTCAACTACTCAGCGTGATCCTTTTCATATCCGCCTTCACCATCATTGAGATCAACAAGGGCTCCCATCCGCACTTTGTTTCCCCACATGGTATATTAGGTCTGATCACTATCATCACTATTGCGCTACAAGCCCTAGTCGGTGTGATCCAGTTCTTTGTACCTGTCACTGTCCTCGGTAGCGTCGACGCAGGAAAGAGGATCTACAAGTATCATCGTTGGAGCGGCTATGTTTTGTTACTGCTGGAGATGGCGACTATCGTGGCGGCGACGCAGACCACGTACAACCTAGCGGCGATCCATATTCCTCTATGGGGTGTACTTGTTTCTGTTGTTTTGATTCTCTCTGGCGTGGGAGCGAGGATCAAAAAGCATAAGCTGGGTCTATGAAGGCTATGGAGGTTATGAAATTGAAACCAATCGAGGGGCTGAATGATCGAAATTGAGCTATTGATAGCATTGGATATATGAAATTGCAGATTGATTCTAATCAAATTGTATACTGTAGACATATGAAACAAGCGTGAACTAACTATGTACAAACGTATGTAAGTATGCCGATCCCAAAATGGCCGAGGCGGGAGATCCACATCGATGTTGCCTGTTCTCCATTTCTTTCCTTTTGTCAACTCTCCATGGCGCTCACTTCATACGTCTGCTTCAATTGCAGAATCTCATCAAGATTGCCCCAGGTCACATTGCGCCACTTCTCTTCCGCCCGAAGCAATCTCGACGTGTTACGACCCGCGACAGCTCCGAAGCCCACGCCGGACGTCAAACATATCCGCCAGAATGCAGAGCTCTACGCGAAGAATTGCATAGATCGCAATTATGCAGCCCACTCTGTGTATCCGTCGCAAATACAGCAATTATCAGAAGAGGCGAAACAACTCGATCACGACCTCAAAACCCCTCGATCGCGCATCAAGCAATTAGAAAAAACGATCGCGAAGCTACATTTTGCTGCGACACGGCAGGACCAAAAGAATGGAGAGAAAAACGAGAAAGGTCTTACTCCCATTGAAGAATTGGCCGAATTGAAATCGGAAGCCCAGCGGTTGAAGGATGACTCCCAGGCGATGACGGACCGCAAAGCAACCTGCACCGAAGAGATCAACCGACTAGCCCTCGCCCTTCCGAACCTTTCTTCCACATTCACACCCATCGGTTACGACCCAGCCCTCGTATCCTACATCAATTTCAACCCACAAGAGCCCCCATCGTGGACCCGCCAGTCCCCCGCTGAGCTCCAAGCACGGTCGCACGTCACCATCGGCACGGAGCTCAACCTCATAGACTTCGCCAGCTCCGCCACAACAACAGGATGGGGCTGGTATTTCCTGATAAACGAGGGCGCCATGCTTGAGCAAGCCCTTGTCCAATACGCACTAGGCGTAGCAAGACGCCGCGGATGGCGCACTGTGGCTCCCCCGTCAATCGTCTACTCCTACATCGCCGAGGCATGCGGGTTCCAACCACGCGACCAGCACAATGAGCAGCAGATCTGGTCAATTGAGCAAAACGAGCGCGATCGCCATAGCAAGCCCCAGCGCTCGCTGACCGGTACTGCTGAAATCCCCCTCGCGGCTATGTACGCCGGTCGCGACATCAATGCCGCCGACCTACCGATTAAGCTAGTCGGAGCAAGCCGGTGCTACAGAGCCGAGGCCGGCTCGCGCGGAGTTGACACAAAGGGTCTCTACCGAGTCCACGAGTTTACTAAAGTCGAGCTCTTCGGTTGGACGGACAATGTGGATGCGGAGTCAAAATCAACGACTCCCACCTCCGACGACATGTTCGACGAGCTGCTGGAAATGCAAACCGAGATCTTAACTTCCTTGTCCCTTCCCTGCCGAGTGCTTGAAATGCCAACAGGCGATCTGGGTGCCAGCGCAACCCGCAAGCGCGACATCGAAGCACTCTTCCCGTCGCGTCTTCGGACTGCTTCCAGTACCAGCTCCACCCCTGTTGACCCGGCGATCCACGAGCTGGAGTCTGCTTGGGGTGAGGTGACTTCTGCTTCTATCTGCACGGATTACCAGAGCCGGCGATTAGGGGCTCGTGTCCGTGGTGCGGCTAAGGAGTCGCGATTCCCACATACAGTCAACGGTACTGCTATGGCTGTTCCCCGTGTGCTGGCTGCGATCTTGGAAAATGGATGGGATGCGGAACGCGGTGTTGTTGTTATTCCCGAGGTTTTGAGGCCTTGGATGGATGGCATGGAGACGATCGGGAAGAAATAGATGAGAGTTACGAGCACTTGGTTCGAGTTCTCCTCTCTTACGCAGGACTGTATATTATTTACTTTTTAAAAAACTCTGCATATTATGGATACATCGCATGTTTGCTGTGCAAGTCAATGACCATTTTAACATTGTTTTGCATTTTGTCTGCCATATCGTATCTTTCAAGAAAGCAAACACTGCCAACAAGGATATCTATGAAGACTCCTGACCGAGGTCCCTCGCAAGGGTACATGTCAGCCTGAGAAAGAGAATAATAAAAAGAAACAGAGGTTGAAACAAGCAGTACAGACATTCATGACATCGTGAACACATAACCAAAGACAAAACATAAATCAAGTAAACATCACATCGTGGGAATCCCATCAAAAAACACAACACGGTCTGATCCCTTTCAACCAGACAAGACCAGCAGCCTGGTCAGCATGGGAGCAGACAGCCAGCCCAGAAAAACAAAGTGAAAACGCCACGAAGCATCCAAAAGAGGGCAGAAATATCGCCAAAAAACATGATTAGGGTACTGAGAGTCCACAAAAGGGCAGTCGGGTTTAGTTCCAAGGCAAATCTGACTCTTCAACACGGGTGCATGTCAAATACGGCAATCCAGCGGGCGTCCCCTCACGAGGACCAGCAGGACCAAGAGGCTGATCAGACGGTCCTTTCAGCTCCAGCTCGAGGAAATTGCGCATCAACGGCTTGACGATATCTCTCGCCAACCGCTTAATTTCATCCATTTTGCGCTCGAAGCGCTTCAAGGTCTCGCGCGTGTACAGCGAGCCAGCGGACGGCGTAGGGTGAAGTTTAAGAAAGCGCTTCAGCTCGTCGTGAGGCAGGTATGCCTGTGCGGACGACGAGCCGATCAACCTATAGATGCGCGCAGACGGGTCTTGGGAGGCTGGCCGGGGCGCGCTAGCCGGGTGCGAAGCTGAGCCAGTGGGGTGAGTGGGGCCATCGCTTGGCCCTGAGTTCTTGAGAATGGGGGCTGGCGGGGGAGTGGTGCTTTCTATTAACCATTGGCGGAAGAGGGACACAGCAAGCCAGTCAATGTACGCGTTGGAGGGGCCGACGCGTTCCCCTCGAGAGGTGGTGAGAGATAGGCGCAAGAGCTTGGATTCAACGCGGGCTTTGAGATCACCGAGATCTTCCGCTTTGTCTTCGATCAGGTCCAGGAGCGATTCGGGTAAGGGCGCGTATGATCCATTTCGCATGCTTGGTAGCGCGGCGGGCCACTGTCCTACAACATGGATCAAGGCTTCGGAGAATATGACTCGGCTACGCGCCAGGTAGCCTAGCTTCAAGTAGCTCGGTGGGTATTTGGCGATTTGTTTGAAGAGTCGCGATCCAAAGCCGAGTAGGTGGTGATCAACGCGGGGCCCTGTTACGGGAAGCGCATCGTACATATCCGCCAATGCAAGGAGGGATTTACACTCTGTATAGGCAGAGGCAATGTTGACACTGTTGATTATGGGTGGATGATTGTAGAACAGCCGTAGTAAGTTGTCATAGTCGCGTATAAGAGGGTCGACAGTCGCTCCATGGTCTCCAGTCTGTGGTAGGTGGGCTACTGACTGCATCCCCGTCAGGTTCGCCATCGATCGAAAGAACCCCGCCTGGGCGTTGGATGGCTTGGTCATTGTCGAGGGGAATGTACTTTGGTCGCCAGTGAACATGGGCGCATAAGTTGGGGGCTGCTCGAACGCGCGAGGTTAGCATCGGGTTGAAAAAGTATGCGCGACACGCCGGCGCAAAGCCTACCTTTTGTACCAGTATCACCTCTTCATCCTCGGCGCGATTCTCCCAGTCTAACTCGTAGCGCCAGCGTCTCTTTTCCCCTGGTCGCGTGGGAGTTCCATGATCCGAGGGGACCAGTGTTGACCCATTGGACAAATAATCATCCTCGCTCACTCGGGATAATGTTCCCTCCGGCTTGAACGCACCCAAGGTCGTCTGGCGCGACCAGTCCTCATTTGTGCTCGCTTCAAAGAAGCCCGAACATTGCGCCAATATCAATCGGTGGAGTAGATAGCGCCTCTCTTGCGATCCGGCGCGAATCACAACCTCTGTGTCGCCAGTGTAGGTGAAAATGGGGAAATCGTTTGAGGAGGAATGCGAGCCGCCGTGGTGCGATCGACCAGATCGATGCCGTCTACCGGAGGGACGCGACACCAAGGACGCAGTGCTTTGAGCCGTCGAAGCCCGATCAACGATTTGAGCTTGAGAGACCATGGTATGCAGATGGTGATTCAACACCTATCAGCGCAAGGGACCGTCATCCGCGAAAGAAAGTAGAAGTAGAAAAATGTTAAAAGAGACATATAATAAACTGGAAACTTGTTTTTTTTTCCCGCGCCAAAACAATAGACTATAAGGAAATAAGCGCGAAAACAAAGGCAAAAAGAGAATAATAGGATAGTCCTATCCCTCTATAACTATTAGTCAAATCCCAAACAAAGTAGTTTAGAAGAGTAGTAACTATAGAATTAATAAAAAGGGGCCAACAGAAACGTCCGTTCTCCATCGAAATCTAAACCGAAAGCAGCTTCAATGTAAACGGCCAATTACCAATGCGACAACTTCTAAGATTGTTTTCGGTTGAAATAATTAAATGCAGACTTAAGTATATGTATACATATATGTATACAATATGTATATTCTACGGAGCATGAATACTATAAATACTACATTATATACAAATACTACATTATATACTACGTTGTATAGTATAGTACTCGGAGACCTCGGGCCTTTTACTGGTTTCTTTGCCTCCACTTTATTCTCCTTTTGACCCATATCGAGTTTCGACTCTACTTTTTTTAACCTCTTCTCTTTTATATATTTATGAAAAATATATAAGCATATATACCCTCGTTCTTTGTACTTCGGGTTCTGTGAAACCCGGAAGTATACAGCCTAAAAAGCAAGAAAATACGAGATCTATTTTTATTGCGACGCGAATCCGCTCCTCCCCTCCCCCCCCCCGCGATCACTCAAAAAAAAAAACTGGCCCTGGACACATCTTCCCGGGACAGCTTCTATAGCTGTCCCGATCTGTCGTCGCTGCAGATAACTTCGGTTCCTGCAGATTTTGACAGTCTCGACGTCAGAACCGATCCCTCTCGTTCACCTTCTCCTTCCTTCGAATCTGCCCCGCACAAGAAACGTTCCAAGGCCCGATCAGTTTCAAGGAAAGCCCGCGGTGTGATCGGCAAAGTGAAAGCATTCCAACGGATCGCTGCCGCAAAGATGACGCATCCCACAATCAAAATCGACACTAGTGTTCAGACGACCAAACGCGGACTGCCCGAGAATGACGATGCAGGCCTTGATGTCCTCGGTGGTGAACAAGACAACCCCAGGTTGGAAGCTGGGAATACCGAAGATGTTCCACCATTTTTATGTCAATCCGTTTCAGGTGGGTGCATGAAAAGCCTATCGGAGGAAAAAACAGAGTTACCCGCACGTGGAATGTGACTGACCGCTTCTTATGCAGAGATCCATGAGAAGTTCGAGGACCTGGAATGGATGCAGCGCACGCGTCTGGCTGAGGGTATGCTAGCCAATGATCTCTCGCATCCGTGGGCCCTAGAGGCCGACCCAAAGGTTAAAGAGAGAAATCGTTATTTCAACGTCCAGGCCTGGGCAAATTGTCGCATCCATCTGCGGGTGGCCGATGGCGAGTGTGATTTCATCAACGCATCTCCGATCCGACTGGAAGACTCTGTGACAAGGGAAAGGAGGCAATACATAGCGACTCAGGTGGGTTGCGCGGTTCGTGATTCTAGGTTCATCATATCGCTGACCATGACCAGGGCCCGAAACTCGGACATCTTGCAGAATTTTGGCACATGGTCTTCCATGAAAGTCAAGAAGTCGGCGTTATTGTAATGCTTACCCAGACTTTCGAAGCGGGCCGGGAAAAGTGCGCTCAATACTTCCCATTGGACACCGAGCAGGCTTCGATGGTCCTGTCAGCAGATGAGTCGGACATTTTCTTCGATGAGAACGATCACACAGAACCAGGTATATTGGGTAGAGTCACTCTTTTGGAGTCGACTTTCGATGCTCAATCCCGATCTGAGATTCGCAAACTCGAGCTTTCCATCGGTTCCAAGTCAAAGATTGTGTGGCATTTCCTATTTGCCGGTTGGGCAGATTACTCAAAGCCCGAAGGGAGCGATCGCCAAGCCCTCCTCGATCTCATCAAGTTGTCAGCCTCCAAATCAAACCCGGACAACCCGCGTATCGTTCACTGTAGCGCAGGCGTCGGTCGGACAGGAACCTTCATCGCGCTTGACCACTTGTTATGCGAGCTGGAGTCAGGCCATCTGTTGGATGTGACTGACCCAGAGATCGATCCCGTTTTCGAGACCGTTAATCAGATGCGCGAGCAACGGATGATGATGGTTTACAACGAGATGCAGATGCAGTTCATCTACGAAGTACTCCGCGAACAGACTGATCGCAAGCTGGGAAAATTGCTAGATTGGAACACGGACTCGCCTAATGATAACGAGGAACGTTCTGCCAAGGTTCCCAAGCTGGATGATCAGGCCGATTATTTGCCAACTGCGAAGCCGGAGTTGGAAGCCATCCCTGATCATATTCATACGCCGGTGGTTTCTGATAATGAATGAACGGTCCACTTGGTGTTCTCTGACTCAATGGACTTTTACGTCGTTTATGTTTATGTTGCATCACATGGAATCCGGTGTTTGTTTTCAGGTTTCTGCGGCCTTGTCTTCGATTTCTGCTTTGTTCCGGCCCCATGCTCGTTCCCCTCGTTGAAATACCCCCGTTATGTCCATTTGGTTTTGTCTTATGCGGTGTAGTCAGATATCTTGTTATTGACTTGCCTCGGCAGTTCCGCTATAGAATTACTGTATATTAGCAAATTGGTGATCTCATTTGCTTTGCGGACTGGCCTAGGACATCCTACTTTCAACTAGTAGCTATTGCGATGTTGTGTATTTACACTGGATATCATTTTGTCTTACATGTCTCGAAATTCGTTATTAGCCTTTATATGCCATGGATTTCAAGAAAAAGCCACCACTGCACACCACTGTACAATATTTTGAGGGAAAACAGGAGCGCTGCCGGTCACTCGATGATATACCGAATGGAGCTGCAATTGAAGCTTTCCCCCAAGCATCATAGAACACACATTATAAACAATTCAATGGAATCAAAAAACGGAGCGCTGCACGACGTAATCGAGAGATTGGTATCAAATCGACATGATACGACACATAAAACCCATTATCATAACACAGAGGTGGAAAAACCAACTGGCTAGGCGCAATGCCGTCCCCCGCGCTAGAAAGCATATTTCTAGCTTTGGGCGGATAGGGATAAACCTAGTCATTGCGTTTCACTCCGGCTGGAACAGCTGCAGGCCCGCCGACGGGGCTAGATTCGTGGTAACTGGGAGGCGTAGTTCCCGGCGTTGGGGCTGGACCATCTTCAGTATCCCAATTATCAACTGCATTCTCGTCCCAATTGTCCACCTCTTGCTCAAGAGACATTACACCAGATTCCTGTGGGCCCATTACTTCCGATCCGCGACGAGAGTTTCCATCGACGCCACCGAGCTCGACATCCTCAGTGCCATCTTCCATCAATCCATATCGACTTTGTCGACGGCGCTCCATCATGCGACGGTGGTACCAGCTGCAAATACCAACAGCGCCAACGCTGCCGACAACATTGGCGACAATGTCGAATGGATCAAAGTCTCGACCATTCGGAAGGAAGCCCTGAACGAGTTCAGAACCAACCCCAAGCCCTAATGTGCAAACCACGAGGGTCACGTGCAGCGTGCGGCGACGGGAAGTATCCAAGATCCAGTAAAATGTCAAAGAAAGCAGGAAGAAGGTAACAAGATGGAGGAATTTGTCATTCGGTTGGAGATTCGTGGGTATCGTTGAAGAGGTGCTGTGTGGAAGAAGACCGATGTAGCCGGCTAAAATGAGCAGGAAGATGAAGGCACCTGTGGATGTATGTCAATTGGAGGATCGCCGGAATCAGAATGTCCAAAGCTTACCTGCGAAAGGATAACGGATGCGCATGGTGTGCAGGTAGTATTAGGAGGGACAAAAACACGACAGGAAGCTTGTGCTGGGATTCTTCTTGAATACGAGGAGAGTCTGGTCTAGTCCTCGTAGCTGTCAGACGTGGAGTTCGGCCCAAGCTTGGTGGCCTTGTGCGTCATATGCCGAACAATGGGTGTTCGCAACAATGAAAGCACTGAACCTGACATAAGATTATGACTTTGCCAATGAGAAGTGTTTGAAGATTACATCAATGAGAAGAATTCAAAGGAAATAGTTTAACATACAAACACAAATCACGACTGATCTCAAGCAGTTTGGATAGTGACATCGCAAGGGATCTGCCACCGCCTTCATGTCTGTACTTCATCCCCATCCAGAGAAACTTCCTATGAAGCTCCCCTCGACCTTCTTCATCAAACCTCTCCCCCACGCTATCGTTTTTCGCGTTTTTGACATCGTCAGTCGATTGCTCGAGGGGTCTTTTATATCTCTATGCCTTTTGTCCTTCCTCCGACCACCGCGTCGCGTCCGATCGGCCCGTAATCCTAATCGCGGAGAATCGAGTCTCGCCCGCCCCAAAACCGGGGTTTTGGAGCGACCATGTCGCTCGGCCACAACGCCTGGCCCCCGGGCAATATTCGGCCTCCAGATGATCTGCAAGACTCTCCCCGTCCAGTCAATGGCTTAGTAAAGACTTTCTCTGGCTCCTGGACGCCTCAAAAACGCGGTTCTGTCGGCGCCGAAGGGCCGAACCCCAGCTCAACATCGGAAGCTGATATCACCACTGAAGAAGACCCGCGCATCGCTCAATTCCGTGAATTGTATCGCCGCAGTGAGGCGAAAATAAGTGCGCTGTATTCTGGAGGAAAACTGGACGATGGGCCCGTCGCGGATGCTATTGCAGGGGGGATCCAGAGCCGCCTGAGGCTGAGACCACCCGCGTCGACAATATACCACCCCCTCCAGCAGCGCCGCAGAAGTCTGCACGAAAGCTTGATGATGACGACTATGATGATTACGACGACGAAGATGAGGAAATGGAGGACGCTGCCGAATCACCTCCGCAAGTAAAGGTCGTCGTCGCGTCGCAAGACCTTAGCGCCTCGGGATCTACCAGCGCAGATGGGACGAAAGAAACCAAGAAGGAGACAATGGAGGACCTTCGGAAACAACTCGAAGAAGACAAAAAAGCTACAGAGGAAGCTGCGAAACGAAGCTTCCACACACTCTTTACACCCTGGAAAATGATCGCGATGCCATGCTTGACCAACAGCGCTTGGAAGAGTCAGAAAGACAAGTTGAGGCAGAAATCTCCGGCCAGGCCAACATGGGCGGCAACACTGCCCAAGGGGCTTCCAATGGCTACAGCTCCTTGAGTAATACCAACTTGGGAGCTTCTAGTTTGACATTGAAGAACCTCATCGCTAGGATTGACAAGAAGCGCGATAGGGTCCAGGCATCTGATGCGGAGCTACGAAGCTTGCTGAGTGAGGTTCGTAAGAACCGCAGTAAGTGGGCAAATGAGGACAAGGTTGGCCAAGAGGAGCTATATGAAGCTGCGGAGAAGGTTCTCAGCGAGCTTAAAGCTATGACCGAGCACTCAACTGCCTTTTTGACCCGCGTTAACAAACGTGATGCGCCTGATTACCACACTAGTAAGTCGTTATGTTGCGTCAATGATACTATGGATTCGCTAACCATCACCAGTCATCAAGCACCCAATGGACCTCGGCTCGATGACCAAGAAGTTGAAAGGGCTGCAATACAGATCCAAACAAGACTTTGTCGATGACCTCACCCTAATCTGGGCCAATTGCTTGAAGTATAATACAAACACTGAACATCCTTTGCGAAAACATGCGCTTTACATGCGCAAGGAGACCGAGAAGCTCGTCCCCCTGATCCCCGATATTGTCATCAGAGACCGAGCTGAAGTTGAAGCCGAGGAACGTAAACTTCAGCTTGCAGAACTTGATGGTGGGGAAGAAAGTGACGAGGAGCCTATCATGGCATCGCGAGGCAGAAAGGCCCCTGGGAAAAAGTCTTCTAAGAAAGGAACAGCTCCCTCTCGCAATACACCCAGCGGCTCTGAGGGCCCGGCCGGGGCGCCCAGCACTCAGCCACCTGCACCAGTCCGCGCAGACTCTGATGGGACTGGAGAATCGGCTCAGAATGGATTTTTAACTCCACCTCCTGGGTCCCATACGCCGTCCGACCCTTCTGGCCCAGGGGCGATAGTCACAGGGAGCCAGGATGATGTAATGGACATCGACGGCCCGCATACCTCGGCAACTGTACTCAGTGCGCTGTCGGTTCCCGGCGGGGCAGAACTGGAAGACCCGGAATACAAAGTATGGAAGCAAGTAACCAAGAAAGACCGAGCACTCATTGCTGCGGAACGACACCGTCTTCTCAGAGGGGACAAGCTTAACCCCGAAGAACCGGCTCTGCTTAGAACCAAGGCTGGCATGCGCCGATGGCTTCGCCATCAGAAGCAGGCCACCATTGAAGCTGACAAAAGTCGCGATACAAGCTCCCATGCCATGGAACCTGAGATCACAAGCGAGACCCTTGCAGAAGGTATCGAGGTTGAGGAAGACCAGATGGTTCCCTATTACTATGATGTCATGTCTGGGGTTCCTGATATTCCCGAGCGGCTACTGTGGAAAGAAGATGGGCAGGGCAACGTTGTCGATGCCTCTGAAGAGTTCTTGAGGATGCTTCCCAAGGGTTCTTTCGTCCAACCTGATAGCAAGTTGACCCAAAAGATGAACTCGAACATGCGGCAGATGCAAGAGACTCGCAAGATCTGCTCGAAAATCGGTATTGTCAAGCAGATGCAGCTTCAATCCCAGGTGAGCCCATATTTACATCTCTATAATTCGATCTTCTGGCTGACTTAGAAATTCAGATGTACCAAAATCAATTTCAAAAATATCAACCAGAGCCATTTGTTGAGCAAGATGCAGAGCCCCATGTTTTGAACGACAACGGTCCTGTCATTGCTCCTTGGGCCTGCAGAGCTGCGTTGCAGCGGTCAGTCGCCAAGATTTTTTATCATACTGGCTTTGAGGAATACCAGCCATCCGCGCTTGAGTCTGTTACAGACATTGCCGCCGATTTCTTCCAGAAGCTTGGGTCAACAGTCAAGTCTTACATGGAAACACCCAAAGTTCCGACCACCGAAACCCAGGACCCTGCCTCTTCGTCCGCCGAATGGAAGCCTGCATACACGGAACCAGAGGTAATTCTACACACTTTGTCTTCTGTCGGGGTGCACATCGATGAGCTAGAGTCTTATATCAAGGATGATGTGGATCGGTTAGGGACTAAGCTCAGCACAGCTCATGACCGTCTCAAATCGCTTCTGACTGAACTTCTTCGCCCTGCTCTTGAAGGAGGCGAAGATGGCTCAAATGCGTTCAACGATGGCAGCGAGCAGTTTGTCGGTGGCGACTTTGCTGAAGATATTGACGAGGACTTCTTTGGCTTCAAAGAGTTGGGATTGGACCGAGAGTTCGGTCTCTCCACGCTTAGTGTTCCTCTGCATTTACTTCAAAACCGTATGTTCAACGCGGCCAATCCGCAAAGCGCCACTGTTTCGCAGTCTGTCACTCTGTTCGCCCCTCCACCCCCATACCCTCGCATCTCAACAGAAAATCTGTCCAACCAGATCGGGCTCCTGCAAGCATTCTTCAAGGGCAAGTTGAACTCAAACCGCAATGAACCTCTTGTGGAGGATCTTGAGCTACCACCTAAGCAGAGGCCCATGTCCACCAAACCCCGTCTGCCAGCCTCCGGCAAAATTCCTCAGCATGGTCTCGCCGGCCCTACATCCAGCCCACAGAAACGTGCTGCTCCGCCGGCTACATCTAAGCCTGGTACCACAGAACCAAGCAAGAAGAAAGCCAAGAAGAACAGCGGACCTATCGAAATGCCCAAATTTCATACTGATGGTGAAGGCGACCAAGCCTTGGCAGAATCAACGAATTCCAATGCGCAAGTCGATGATGCTGCGGATGGTGTTGGTGAGTCCATGACTAACGGGCTGTGATGTGTGTGACCTTAAAAGCCATCGGTTATTACGATCCTGTGCTATCCCTCGCCTAATGTTGGAATCTCTCTTTTGTATTTCTTCCATGCTTTCTTCTTTGCATACCCCGCATGCATCTTCTTCTCTGTCTGTTCATGTTTCCCCAATATCTATACCTTGAACCAAGCAATCCATGTATCCACATGGTATGATGCCATTTACGAAAATGGTGCGAGCCCTGAGTCCAACCCTTGAACCCAGACTCCTGCTGATACATAATCTTGTCTTTGTACTTTAACAATTCTTTCTTGTTACTCTTGTGCCGATGTCCGCTCGTCTTTGGGCTTGGAAGGGTATCGGATAGTTCTGCAATTCTGTACTCATCGTGAAAGGGCATGATTTTGCCTCATGTACCATACCGGCTTGTGATAGCTTCCTAGCAAATCAACTGTTTCCAACAATACGTCCTGATGCCTGCTGATTTTACTGCAAGGACTTGTACTGATAACTATAATCAACCTAATAATTGGTTGACCTAACCAAGCTTGTTGATCTATAAAAATTGGGATTTATATCGACCTAGAGTCTACAGCGTCATACCAAGTGGTAAACAAGAATTGTGTATACAAGGGTTTTTTTTGGTATTTTCGGGTTATCAAAGTGGATAGACATGTAAGAAAACAACTCTGAATGATCAGACCAGCTCAGATTGCATCGGTCAAATTCCTCATCGAGCTGTGGCCACTAGGGTCCGAAAACCAGATCGAGCAATATTTGATAGTTCAATGCACCCGTCAGCATAAAAACAGAGAACGAAAAGGAATAGGGAACATTGGCCCGTGCCGATGTTCAAAATCAACAGGGGACATACAATTGAGCCAGTCTTTCGTAAAGACAATAGCCATCGTAGCCCTATCGCTTATGTCGAGCCATCTTGATGAGCAACAATGCAAACGAAAAGCAATACGAATATCAGCTTGAAAGAAAACATAGTACCGTAGTTTCAAGCATGGGTGCGCTTGAAGACAATGTCAAGTTGTCAAACAAATCCTTCCCCGGAGAGAATGGACAGAACGAACAGAATTATTGAAATTCTTTTTCGTCTCTGTGGAGACTTCAAGTCCTAATGGACTTAAACATACCACATACCGAGAGTCAGTCGGTTCGAGGTGCCCTCAATAGGGAGCAGTCTCTTTGCTCGAGGCTCTTTCGGCTTGGGGTTGGTCATCTTCACCTCTGGACCGCTCTGGGAGCCGGAGGTAATAGGAATGTCCTCGTGGTGTCGAGCACGAACAGAGATCAGATGTGCGTAATAAATAGCGGGATGAACAGAAACCGATGTGGTCGAGCGGATGTACTGGTAGCAATGATCGTTGATCATATTCTCAAGGTCATTCGGCTTGAGGCCAATGTCATCCTGCAAGACATGGTAGTGGACTGGACGGGGGTTCCCTGTAAAGCAACGTGCGTATAGAGCAAGAAATCCCAATCATGGGGACTTGTGACATCACGATCAATCAGAGTGCCGGGCAAAGGAGCACCATTCGGGTCCGAGGATGCTCGATTTTTCGGGTCAGGGAATGCTCGAAGGTGATGGCGTTTGTTGGCGACCACCACACACATCTTTCCACTCCACACCGGTTGACCACAAGCATGTGCGATAGCAGAGCGGATCGAAGGGACTTCCTCTTGGATAATTCTCTGGTACTCCGATGCAGACACACCATCGCGGAAGTAGTAAACGTACTCTGGAGGCTTGCCATCTCCGACAGTAGCTTTCCATTCAGCAACCATAGGATGCAAAATGTACTCAACAACTTTGTCTCGGATGATCTCAATTCGGTCACCATTTGTCTCGCATCCTCCCATGTAACGGGTTGCAGTGGAGTTTGCCGAAACAGACATTGCCGCCAATGATGGCGTCCACACACCCATCATCGGATGGGTGACATCTGCTCCAATGATCATAGAGCCTGGGCGCAGACTTGAGCCTTTTGTTTTGGGAACAGATCGAGCAGTTATTCCGCCAAGCTTTGCATTCACCTTCATCAGGACATTTGCGTGGTACTGAGGCTTGTTGCTGATGCAATGGGCAGATTGGAGAACTTGAGAAGGAGTTCCATATCGGCAATCGGCAGATTTTTTAATACGAAGATAGACCCAAGAGTCCTTGTCGGGAACAATGAAAACCATGAGCTGGGGCTCGCCATCTAAGCGCGAGGCGATCTCGTCATACAGCTTTTTGACACCACTGCCAATGTCCTCGCTCAGAGCCTTCACGACGGGGCGACCAGTGACCTCGCCACCCATGCTCTTGTACATCTTAACAAATTGCTCAACCCACTGCAGAGTTTGGTCGTGATTTATCGACTTTCGGTGCCCGGCAAAAAAGCCGACACCCCAACGCGAGAGTGCTTTCTCATTGCCTTTGTAGAACTTCTTTCCTCGCAAATCCCAGCTACCCGTGTGTCCTGGGTTGTGTTTTCGATTGCCGCCGAATTGGATCTCCGGGCTTGGAAGAAGACGTGCCTTAGTTTTGATCATGTTTTCACTGATTTTCATTCCGTAAAGTTTTAGGATTGGATCATCCTTATGCTGAAGCATCTCCTTGGATTGACGAGCGTTTGCCAAGCGTGTAGGAGGCCTGGTAGCACACCACTTGATCATCGCTGCGGACTCTACGTCACTCAGCTTATACCGGTATCGTTGAAGACCCTTGATGGTCAAGAATTCGGCTGGATAGTGGACATCATCCTTTTGCATTTCAACAAGAAGCATGTTTGGATACTCAAGACGGATGTTGTATCGCTTCAAGAAATATTCCTGCAGGTGCATTCGGGTTGAGGTTCCCGTGGCCTTGTCAATATAGTCGATAAAGTAGTCTTTAGGCCGTGCTTGAATCATGCCTTTGACAATGAATGTTTTCATCTTGAAAGGACACCCTTCATAGTTGGGTGCCACTCGAAGACCCTGGATCTTTTTGTTCACTTGTGCAAACCATTTTGACTCTTTGAGATGTCCAGATTTGTCGCGTTCAGGCTGTAGTCTGTTCACTAGCATCGGCTTGTCGCTGAAGTTGCTAGAGCTCATCATGTAACCCATGAGGCTAATGCGAGAAAAGAACACACAATGGGCAACATCGACATTCAGGATTAGACCGGTCTATGTGGGAAAGAAATGTCAGTTTCCGAAACTCTGTGTAAAAAAAAATGAGAAATAAGAGAGGTCCTACTGGAGTCGGTTTAATAGCTTGATAGATGCCTCGGTAAACGGAAGCACCCATATTCGCAAGAGGCTGGTAAAACTCCTGCTTCAAGTCTTCGTCATCACCCAGCTTGTCGAAGAAGAAGGCTCGCTTGATAGCGGCAAACTGCTTGGTGGGCCATTCGCGAAGCAAATGGTCAAGAAAACCTTTTGAAGTCAGCTTAATGTAGGAGAAATAAAACGAGAACATAAAAGTAAAGTTCACTTACTGAGAGATTCAATCACGAGTTCGTCCAGATCATGCCGATTTTGCAGCCAAGAATGGATGACCGAGAGATTGATTCTGCGCTTTGGAATCACAGACATTCGGAATTTGGGATTTCTCTTGAACTCTTCGACGCTGGCAAGGGTCTTCATATCCCGGGATAAGTCCTTCTTGAAGACGATTTCCTCATTCCAGTTTTCGAACTTTCGCAGTGACCTGAATTATGTCAAACAAAAATCCCAAAGATTCTAGATTTTATAATTCCTTACCAGCAAATTCTTCCACCATCCCAGATGCCATCAGGAATGTGTTCCTTTCGAGTGTCACTGTTCCAGCACTTTCGGAGAACCCGTTTATCGGTCTCGTTTTGGTTTCCATGGAGAACGTTGATCTAGAAAGGATTGTTATCGAATGATATCCACAAAGAGCTAGTTGTTGAAAATACCCACCTCGTATTGGTACACAGCCTTTGCCGGAAAGGCCTGGATGTGATATGCATTTATCATGACTTCGATCTCTTTTCCAGAAGTGTTGTATCCAACACGCTTCTGAATCTTCGCAGTCTCGGGGGTGACCTAGAAACCAAAGTTAGCACATATGACTATCCAGTAACATTAAGCCTCAGCAGAATACCTACAGAGGAAGCCCTAACTTTGAATCGATGCCAAGGAATGTCGATATTCTTGCACCCATCCCAGGCAATCGTGACATAGTCCTGGTGCTTAACAATCTGGTCTTTGTTGAGTCGATGTTGCTCGTAAACTGCCACTTTGACACCTTCCTTTGTCAACTTTTCTGCGTTTTGTTTTTCCTCCTCGGTCCAGTTGGCCGGGAATCGTGGAGGGGATTCGACCCGACGGATAGGAGAGTCACTGCTACTAGAGCCAGTGCTCTTAGGCTTTTTCTTTTCGCCTGTTTGAGGATTTGTTCCGATCCTGCGCATCCATGCAGTAGATTCCTCGGTCTTCTTGCCTTCGGCTTCGCTCTTCAACTGAGCTTTGTGTTGATCCCACTCTTCCTGCTGGCGCTTGTCCAAAGGGACCGGTGGGACATTGCCACGAATGGGAAGTCTGTGGCTAGACATTGAGGAGCTAGGGGATGCAGGTAAATACTGATGTTTGGATGAGGTCTTCGAAGCAGGCTTGGGAGTGTTTGTCGACCCGTGCTCTGAGCGAGACTTATGATCATCGTCACCCTCCGGCAAGGGCTTCCTAGATCTCGGAGGTGCCATGGCTGAAGTCAGCACTTCTGTCAATAACTCAAATGTCAGTAAACAGATCCTGTTTCTTTTTATGTAAGCACAGTAGCAAGCTCATCAGTGGGACAATAAAGTAGTCTAAGGATCTCATAGAATAGGGGAACAGATCAATCGATGCTGCTTCGCAGTGTTAACAATCGAAGAGATGGCAAGTAAGCAAAGTATACAGGAGAAGCCTAAGAGCAGTTGTTTTACAATAAGATGAAGTGGGAAAGAACCTTGGAAGAAAAGTGCAAAAGGCGAAGCGAAGAAGCCACGAAGCGAAGAAGTCACGAAGCTGGCTCACAATGTAAATTCAATGAAATGGCGACAAATTAGAAAGGAAGTGAAGAATGAGGTTCTGGAGGTGACGATCAAAGAGAAGAACGAAGTAAAAATCGATCGAGAGAGTGAAAATAACAACTTACAGCGTCAGAAGTGTTGAGTGAGCCGAAGGTAATAGTCATAAATGGATGTTGAATCAAGGTAAGGGTAGACACGTCGAATTTGTTTCAGTGCGTAAGATAGTAAATTTTGAATTGCGCTCAGATGATCTTTGAACCTGGATCTTGATGGCAAGCCCGAATATACCAGATTGGTCAAGAAGTGATGACAGCGTAGTAGAGGCAAATAAAGTAGGATGAAGAGTGCAGCAGAACAGCGAGGGAGAAGAATGAGGAAGGAGAAGAGGAAAAGAGTAAGAGAGTAGCAGCGGCAGGTGCGCGATAATTTTATAGCTACATGTACATATGTACATACATCAATATTGCTTTCTTTTAGGTCTTTTAATATGTTACACCATTCATACCTACATACATATATATATTTACATATATACAAACTGTCTATAATACATTGTGATGCCATTGTGTTATATCACATAGACAGCTAGAATGAAGAGACCTAAACAAGTGTCACAAGTATCGTCAAAGTCCGAGCTATGTGAGCTTTAGGTACATTATTATATTTGAGAAACCTTCAGTAATGCTAGGTACTAGCAGTTCAGTTAACTCGCACTTTGCTTTCAACTTTAATCAAACTTTTGTATGTATATAGAGAACATATAACCATATCAACTGCCTATAATACATTTTGATATCATGGTAATATATCAAGTAGATAATTAGAAAATAGAGACCTACATAAATGTATAAACTCGCAAGTGTCGTGACAATTCGAGCCATGTAAGCTTTGGATACATTCCTGTGTATAAAACTTATAACAATGCTAGGTTGTATCATGTTACCTACTAATTCATTCGCGCTTTCAACTTTAATAAAGCTTTTGTTCTTTAAAATAAATATATATATGCGTACATGTAGCCCAAGTCCGAGCTACATGGTTGTCTAGGGTATATTGTCTGAAGGGGATCTGGGCTCGGAGAATCTCAGTGGAAGTCGACCAATATGCTGCAAACATGCCTTTGTTGATAGGAAGCATCATACTATTTGTGACCAGGGCAGGGGAGGTGTCAGCGATAAGGATGGGGGTATAGGGGCCAGAGAGATATACATAGCAAAGGGAAGTTGACGAAAGTACTCTATGCATCCATCATTACTGGCAATTTCAAAATTTCGGACTTGTATCTTGCATGGACATTATATGGGCTGGTTCCATAGGTACTCTTTCAATATTCTTGTGCTTCCTCTTTGCGGACCCATTGATCCTGACTAAGGCGTTTGGCTTTGGGTTCTTGCTTCAGCTGAATAAAGCGCCTGCATACATATTTATACGCCACTAGCTAGACCACAGCAAGTTGATTGTAATTGAATCTGATTGATTGCTTGTCTCATAAAGCTGGAAATCTTGTTCTGAGCCTGGATCCACTGTCAACGCTAACGAGAACAGCCTAGGCTAAACACAAAGATGATCAAAGCTTGGACTGGACTTGGCAATACTGAATATCTTCCACTAAGTCTATATATCTACCAAAATGTTCCCAAATAACGACATTCTTCTTCTCATCAGTAAATACGTCAACAATCAGGGTGACAGACTTCGGCTCCTACTGGTATGCCGTAATTGGTACTCGTTACTTCTGCCGAAAGCCCACGAAACAATCTCAGTTGACAGCCATCAAATTTATTTTCTTGCTCGTTCTGTTCAACAAAATCCTAAAACCGGAGCTGCCATTCGGAACCTGCTCGCTTCATGGAACGGCGGAGCGGGACCTGGGGACCATTATGAGGTGGACACACTCAGGAACAATCTGAGACAGACAAGCGAGCCCGACGAGAATCTTGACCACTGGGAGGCTGATCTGCGGACAGGATGCCCTGATGCTTGGCTCGCTGTGTTCATGCTGTCCCTGGAATCTGTCAAAAGTATAAACCTGAAATTTTCATATTCGCCATATTTCCTGTCTATGGTGGCGCGAATTGCCGCCGACAAAATCCATTCAGCCCGAAACCAGTATTGCAACAATTGAAAAAAGTGGTGCTTTGGACAGATGATATGAAGGATTATTATCACGCGCGTGACCTTCTTCCATTCTTCTACCTTCCCGCGATGCGAGTGTTCAGTGCGGGTGGGGTCTGTGAAGACGAGCCCATTCTCTCGGCACCCAAAGCCGGTGACATCTGGGATCAGGGAAATTGATCTCGGTGGCCATCATAGGAATAACGGGAGCCGGGGCATGATCGATGATATCACAGCATGCTCTAATCTGGAGGTTTTCGAATATCAACACGATAACAATGCCATTTGGGGGGAAAGCTATATCGACTTTTACCCTTTTCTGTTCTACAATGCGTCATCTATGCAAAAGCACAGCCTTCGAGAGCTTCGACTGAACAACAAAGGGGAATTTAGGCCTGTGGATATTGATGACGAAGGGGATTTGAATACCTTTGGATATCTCATTGAATTCCATCAACTACGCGAACTTCGCATACCAACACGCACCCTTTTACAATTTGGTTCAAACGACCAGCCAAGAGTCTCTCTTCTAGAGATTCTCCCACCAAGCCTAGAATATCTCAATCTCGCATATTGTCGGGAGGAAGACTTCGATATTATCATCAGGAATCTTCGAAGCATGCTGGCGAAACGAGAGAAGCAGTTCTTGAATCTCAAGAGACTTGAAATTGGGCCCGATGTCCTGGAGATGAATCCAGGTGCTGAATATTATCACTCAACGAATTTCGCAGTTCCAGAATCGACGCAGCAATCATTTGCATCAATTCAGTTAGTCTGTCGCGAAATGGGAATCCAGTTCGGGTTCAGAAAAGATGGAGATTGTACGATTCGTAATTGGTAAGATAAAGGCGCACGCAAAGAGAGGCACAAATAAGCGAGGATGTGTATATACCAAGTGCCAACACCAAGTGCCAATATAGAGTACCAGACCATGAACATCTACTGACAGAATGAATTACTTTACTCTATTGGGATAGAATTGGTTCGTATCCATGTAGTTAGACGGCAAATGGAAGGGTTCATTGAACAAGCAATCGCATTGGCCCTTGGGGTCTACACTAGAGGTACCGATGTAGGTGCAAATTACTAGTTTGAGGGTAACCAAGCCGCCATTGAAGATGTGCCTAGAGATCTCGCTAAATTCAATAGTAGAATTCTCTGCGTTGCTTGTTCAAAACTGTACAAAACATGACTGGGCGCGAAGACCCAATCAGCAAGCAAACGTTGGAGCCTGAGCCCCATTTGGAATGATGCCAGACAGCTCGACGCCGATGAATGCAATAGGGTTCTGGGCAATCGCAGAATCTCTGATCATGTGTCATGGAATGCCTTCGAAGAGAAAGAAAAAAGTTGTTGAATCATCAATGTCAAAGACAAATCGGGATATTTTGTGCGCCGTGGAAATGGAAGGTATTGATTGCAAAGCAAAGATCGATAGATTGTACACAGAAAGCGGAAAGATGGCAGTTCCTCAAAGAGGCGCAAGCACCCATAGTTCAACGGTAAGAGCCTTAGAGCATGTGAGTACAATGATATCGACAAGAGGGAGGAGCCGATTCAACAGTCAACTTACCGGAGTATTGGGTCATTCCCCCGCCAGAATTTTGCGGTAGTGGTATTTGAGCAGTGGTGGCAGGGATATCAACGCGGCGAAGAAGGTCAATCATTTTCTCTGGAGACAGGCGTGAAATGTTGTATGCGTGGGCGGGAGGGATAATGCTCAGTAAAGTGACCACTTCCCGGGGCAGGGGTGTAGGGGATCCTTGAGGCTTGTATGAAGTGGTTTGACCGTTTAGCTGCTGCACCCGCTTTGGCTGGTCAAGGCGTCGAGTTTGCCCAACCTTCATTGGGGACTCAGCGCGAGCAAATTTGCGCGGACGGTTGTCATCATCATCATACTCGTCGGCAGGATACGGTCTTTTCGGTGAATTAAGCGAGACATCCATGTATCTGGGTGCGGGAGAACCTTGCATCTCTGTAGTATAGCCTGCCATGGTAGTAGTCTTTGGTCGTGTCTGGGATGGCGACAAGATATGTCGCACAGATGTAGGATCGAAGGTGGGGATGGCGTAACGATGAGCAAATTGGTCCAAAGCAGGATCATCGGGATAGAGCTCGCGCATGCGAGTCTCCAGGTTGATCACCTGAGTGAGATCGCCGTATCGAGACTCATACCCGTGAAGGAAGGAAAATATAGGCTTGGCCTTGTGAACATTCTCGGGATTTGATGCTAATTTCCTCACGGTCGTTTCGAACACAGCTCTGGCATCTGATGGTCGTTGTTAGTTAGGTTTTTGACATTTTATCATGGCAAACTTACTGATGACATCATTGATGTCGAGCAGATGTTTCAAATATTCGAGTGCAAAATTCTCGTCTTCTGGGAATAGTTTTGCGCCCCTCTCAAATATCTTGGTGGCGGCGGGGTCCTTGTAGCAATGGTATTCCATCAGAGCGCTGGCAATGTAAACGTCGCTGGTAATCCGACCGCGCTTTCGGGCTTCGGCAAAAATCTGTCGAGACCCAGCCAATTCGCCAGGCTTTCCTTTGCCCTGGATTCGACGCATGGAACGCATCAGTGAAATCCATGCGAAGGAAACAGTCCTAGAAAGAAGGTTGATCTGAACGGCATGGGCTTTGCGGACTGCATCAATCTGTGCTGTTTTCGCCGCTTCTCTTTCCTTTGCTTCAGGGTCATCTTCGTCCTCACTTTGAGGTTGGCTTTCGGTTGTTTGGGGGGCAAAAGCCTCTTCGATCTGTGTAACATCTTGTGTTTCCCGGTTGCGGGCCTTGTTGATCAACTCGTACAGTGCGTCGAGTAGTTTATCGTAAGGCTCCCGGACCTTGGCCGCACGCTTGGTAGAATCTTGCTCGGAATCAGAAGTAACCTCCAATCTGTCCGCGCGTTTGAAGGTCAGCAAGCAGCTCTCTGGATTTGCCTCAAGGCCCTGTTTCAGGAACTCGGTGCCTTCGCTCTCCATGTCGTTCAAGAAGCAAAACTCAGCAGCATCAAACCATATCTCGGGCAAAAAGCTCATCGCCATGAGAGCCTGTTTGTAGAAGTAGATCACACGAGTTTTGAAAGCAGCAGCGTCGTCCTCCTTGAGCACCAAAGGATCTTCCTTTTCCCAAGCGATCCAACGCTTCCAGATGTTCGCCTGCGCCGAAAATTCAGCATCACCTTCGGCTCCGGGCATTGGGGGCATCTGAGGGAGCGAGGTGCGGACCAAATCTCGTGTGATGTTGTGCAGCTCAGTGTAGGAGCTGCGCGCGGTCATGTAGGACGGCGAATGTTCTTGCAAGAATTTTCGGCCCTGGATAAGAGCGTTAGCACAAGACTGGTGGACTAGATGTCACCCGACGTACCGTGAGTTTATTCAGCCCCATCTCAAATTGATCGTACTCCTTCCACAACGTATTGACGGCTTGAGTGGGAACGCTGATAGCACGCTGATAGGCCTTTCGCAGTAAATCCATCTTTTGTTGATCCTGCCAGCCGGATCCTCCTACACTCCCTGGCCCAGAACGGATAAACTCAATGTAGTCCGTCCAGATGTTGCCGGAATCCTTGTCCATGCCGACGTACTGAATGGCCAGGTCATATGCGGACGAGATGGTTCTTCTTGCCTGTCCAGAGGCATCCGTGGTCAAGGGGTTACGACGGCGGACGTAATCAAGGTACACAGACCAAAGATGGACGCTAGGAATCGTCAAGAGTGTTCGGTTGAAGATCTGCTCTAAGCGAAACAATTCGTTGAGTTCGGACTCCATGTTGGCGTATGCCACCCATTGGTCAGCCTGGAGAATGTCGAATTAGCAATCTTGCATCCTGCTGAGTGAGGGTAAGAAGTAAACTTACCGCCATGGGGAACAACTTCAAAAAGCGTTCGTAGGTTTCTCGAGCACTGTCTAGTCTGCCACGGCTTCTGTGTTCGGCAATTAACTCCAACCATGCAGGGATATCTCCTCGGGGGTCCTCCTCGATTCGATCTTCCAGGATTCCCACGCGGTCATGGGCAAGACGTCCCTGTGCGGAAGGAGAGTCGGGTACAGGAGTAGGGGCAGTACTGTTCTGCATAGCTGTGGATTGCAAATTCTGCGCGGGCCAGTGAGATTGGCCAGAGACAAAAGAAGAATCAATATTAGGAACATGAGCAGGAGAATAAGAACTATTTGAAAGATCTGGCCCACTGGCAGGTTCCTGCTCAGCTTGGTGTGATGGTACATCAAGGGTGGAAGTGTTTTGAATTGCATTTCCTGAACTGAGATCTTCAGAAACTGTCACGGGAATATCATCCTCGTCCTCAAGTACAGCTGGGGGCTCATAATCCGCATCACCCTCTTCATCTTCGTCCTGATCAACCTCAAATCCACCAATTATTCTGGTCTTGGGCTGCACCGCATCACCGGAGGGTGAAGCGGCCGTTGAAGTCTGAGACTCAGCGCGTGAGGGGTTCTGAGAAGGATCAAGAGCGTCGCTTGCTTCGTTGTCCGATGTGATGGGTGGATTGGGGGCGGAATCTTCGATATCATCCGGGGGAGAGTCACCAGTGGGGCCATCATCAGTTTGATGAGGATTAGAAAACGAGGTTGTATATTGATCCCCCAATGCCTGTGATGGATCGTAATCATCTGAATCCGAGCTATCGGCATTTTCCTCGATGGAGACTTGCGGCTCAGTACTCAAGGCTTGTGCCTGGAAGGAGGCAGCTTCGGTCTCATCGTCCGCCATGATAGACGATGATACGCGATGATCGCAAAGTGAAGAAAATGGGTGAAGCTGGTCAAGTTAGAAGTCAAAAGTCGCAAGTCAAAAATTCAAAGTTTGCGCAATGATGGGATGAGGGTGTTGAAGGAATTGATATGAATCTCGCGGATATGAAAGTGCTCAGGTGTGACACAGCCACTTTAAGATAACCCTCAGCCGCAAAGATAAAAAGTAGCTGGGTTTAGCAAGGCTACCTAGGTAGATGACGAGACTTGCGTAGGTTGCCCGGGTAGTGGAATTGAGATCACGTGCAGGCGGTGAAGTAATGCGAGGGACGCGAAGGCGCGTCGATCGATGGGCTCCTCGCATTGTACTAGAGGGGTCGAGAGTTAATTGCATTCTTGTGGACCTGTTTGTTTCTCTCCTTCACTTATAATTTTTGACCTTGACTTCTTCCCCCCTGTCTATATCATCCTTCACTTCTCCCAACCTCTTCGATTCTCAAAACCAAGCGTACATACTCACATATCTTATCATGTCTGTCGTTTCACTCCTCGGGGTGAAAAACCTCAACAACCCGGCTCCTTTCACCGCCTCTTATCAATTCGAAATCACCTTCGAATGTCTAGAGCAACTCCAGAAGGGTGAGTTCTGACTTGTCTTCCTTTGCTTTTGACTGAGGTCTCTAACAATTTGTTCCTAGATCTGGAATGGAAACTTACCTACGTCGGATCCGCCACCTCGTACGTTGATGCTCCAATTATTGTTCTCTCCATTAACACGGGTTCTAACAATCAAAAAGCTCCGAGTATGACCAAGAACTCGACTCTTTATTGGTCGGTCCCATACCGGTCGGAGTGAACAAGTTCATCTTCGAGGCCGATGCGCCTGATGTTAAGCGCATCCCCACCTCAGAGATGCTGGGTGTTACCGTCATCCTCCTCACATGTAGCTACGATGGCAGAGAGTTCGTTCGGGTCGGCTACTACGTGAACAACGAGTACGACAGCGAGGAACTGGCAGCTGAGCCTCCTGCGAAGCCTATTATCGAGCGCATCCGACGCAATGTCCTCGCCGAGAAGCCCCGTGTGACCCGCTTTGCAATCAAATGGTGAGATCCCTTGTTTCGTTTGTTTACAAAGTGAACCCGTTGTTGACACTATCTCTTACTAGGGACTCTGATGACTCTGCCCCCGCCGAGTACCCACCTGATCAGCCTGAGGCCGATGGTCTTGAGGATGACAGCGGTGCCTACGGTGCCGAGGAGCGCGAGCTTGAAGCTGCGCTCCTCAAGGAGTTGGAGGAATCCAACAAGCCCGCTGATGGCGAGGATCACGAGATGGAAGGCGCGGAAGCTCCTGCTGGCAAGGAGGATGAAGACGAAGATGAGGTCTCTGATGCCGAGAGTGAAGATCTCGAGGCCGAGAGCGATGATGATGAGGAAGACCTTGACGAGGAGGAGGGCGGCGATGGAGATGAGGATGTTGAGATGGGTGATGACGCCGAAAAGGATGAATCGTCTGCTAAGCCAGCTCACCCGGCTCAACCCGAGGTCATGGTGCACTAGACTTTGTTGGCGATTCACTCTAGCTCCCAGTTTCTTGCTTTCGCTTTTCTCCCTCTACATGCTCTTTTATGATAGCCGGAACGTGATGTTTACGACCCTAGGAATGGTTTTCACCTTCCAACCCTAAATGGACATTGATTATAGTCTATGAAATAGAATCGACCATAATTGAATTTTGCACTGCGTGCCCACACGCTACATCCATTGAGCCTGCATGTGTATTACCATTAGTGCAAGACTATGCTGTATCTCCATTGCTATAATGTACGCTTCATCGCTGCCAGGTGGCAATAACCATCAACGGAACAACATTGGGGAACAGCAATCTATCCCTACATACATATACGTGGCGAGTATGTATAGTCGCAGGCAATAAACAAAGAATTTTCTAGACATTCAATAGAACATAGCCACTTGACGATTTTGTGTATTCTCTGTAACGCTATAAACCTAGATGGAATATGTCTTACCTGAGTCTTTGTTTTGTCAATTGTATTTCTTGCATAGTTGGATTGGTGTCATGTTTCGGAGCTGAAAGAGAATAAACTCATGATACGCATTGACACAAGGGCCACGTCAGACACATGGAACCTCCTATCTACATTCATTCAACCGCATTAGAGCGGGGATTAATAGAAAGCTTCACTGGGCAAAGTGGAGTAACTAATGTACTTGTAGCCAATATGATCTGTCACATCACCAAATCAACCTGAAGCCGGAGGGAGGGAGGAATTCGCCAAATGCTGTAAATAGGCCGTTCAAGTTGTGTGTAGCGAGACCCGGCGAGCACCGACTAAAAACCAAACTTTGAACCAAGAACTGTGTGAAAGACCGGTCAGCGTCAATCATGCAAGGGGGTTCACACTTAGGCCAGTATTGACGATCAACTTACCGCCCAAAACAGCCTTCTTCTTTTGTGACTGTACGAACTTGCCGACATCGTTAGCGAAGCCGCTGCTGTTTTCCTCTAGTCTGTCCATGCTGTCCCCTGCGATCCCAAGGCGCTCTGTGCGTTCCTGAACCATTCGAGTCATGTCAGACCAGTACCCTTGTCCACTGCCACTTGCCTCCGGTGGAGGGGCACGTCCTTCTCTTGTGGCTTTGCGGCGTTCTTGGTCTTCATATTTCATCTGCTCGACCATTCGCTTAGATGGTGGTCTGTCTGGGCCACCAACTGTATCTTATGTTAACAAGATATACACATCGAAAGTAGACACTGGTGGGGATAACGTACTCAGAATGTCCATGTCGGCTGGTGATATGTATTGTGTGCCGGAAATCCATTGGATGTTAGTGATAGTAGGACGCTGAGGAATAACTGCCTCGGGATTGTAAAGCTTGTCGTTTGAGGGATGTCTGCGAATAGTCTCAGTATCGTTCTTCGGCCAAATCATTGGGGAAACCTACACCCTGCTTCCATCTCCCCACACATTGAACAGCCCGATCTCCGAAGGACCGACCCATGTCATAACGGTTCCAGTTGGGGTAATACATGCGTCTGAAAGCCGTCGCACATCCGCGATGTGGTTGATCTTAGTACAGCCAATATCTCGAAGGGCAGGAATGGAGAATGCCCGAGCGTTACCATCACCGAAGAGACCGACTAAGCTATAGCCCCGTCCTTCGGTCTTGACTACCGCGGCTGAGTCACAGAGATAGTCTTCCCATGCTTTGTGAGCACCCTTTGAGGTTGGAGGCTTGAAGATTCGACACCCCAACGCAGTCACGGCAATGACGACACCATTGACCTTTGCGCCATTCCTCAACCCTCCGACAGCACTAGGGGTAGCCAAAGCAAGGCCGCCAGAATCTGCGTCTATTGGAATGACACTAACGACGCTATCATCAACTGAGGTTGTTCCTGCGAAGACGGCTTCGTAAGCTCCATTGGACGCAGGAACAATCTTGAAGGTTGCCACGTTGCCTCTGTTTGTGCCAACGAAGCAGCATATGCTAGAGTAATCTGGAAAAGGATTAGCGCTATAATTCATTTGAATATACCCTTAATCATGCTTACCATCGCCTTCCAACGTCATCACACCGAATTCAATTTGAGTAGGCCATTCTGGCTGGGCATCATCCGAGCCCCGAGCCTTGCGGAAGCTGGTTCGTTTCGGTGCCTTGATAAAGTCTGACATGTGCGCGGTGTGTATTATTGCGGGTCCCCGCAAATCAATAATGACCAAAGAACCACCTTGGAACCCGGCCGCCACAAATCCAACCTGTCCATGCTTCAACGCGGTTACTGGACCTTGCTGCATATCCAAAAGGGTCAAAGGGAGCAAGCCTGTTTTGAGACCAGGGTCTGTTCTCCGGGCGATGGGAGTCAGCTTTCCTGCTTGGTTTGCACCCGGGGGCTCTTCGCGTCCATAGGAAGGATTGTTCCCCCATCGAAATATGGCAAGCTCTCCGGTCTTTAGTCCGATAGACATCTCGCCCGACCCACTTGCAAAAGACATTTCGGTTACTTCAATGTTGCTGACACGACCAATGGCACGGGCAAGATCAACTTGGATCACATCGCCGTTCTCAATTTCATCATCGTGGCCACAATCCCAAACACGGACGGTTCCGTCTGCGTGTGCCATCGAGACAACGTTGCGGTTTTCGAAGCGTTTGAGGGGATTCTTCGCCTCTGCACCTCCCATTACAAATTTCGGGCCTTGCAATCGGCGCTCTTTCAGACCGAGCCACACAGAACGATCGACTGGTGTAAGTACCGATTTGTTCACAAACGGATGAACAAGTGTGAGGAATGGATGTAGCATGTTAGTTGGAGTGATTGGATGCCCACTAGGGAAACTCAAGGTGAGAATTTCACCCGATGAGAGCATAGCAATGATGGCAATCGGATCATGGGCACCGTTGAAGTAGGGCGAGGACCTTGGAATGAGGCAAATATCGACAACCTTGGCTCCCTGGGGGACTGGAAGGTTGATTTGTCTTCGGAAACGTTCTAAGTAGGTCGACAAAACCTGCCAAGAGGAGGTCTGGTAGTTGGGAGTAGGGCCCATGTCCAGGAAAGCGAGCCCCTTGTTCGAATCACCAACAGGTCGACCACCGGCCACTAGCAGACCTGTATCATCAGGGTTTTCTTTGGCACACCAAATAATCTTTGTAATGGGCTCCTTTGGTCCAGCACTCTCGTCAGATGGACCAGATCTACCAGTATCTGGCTGATCTACATTGGGGGTCTGGACTGTCCGTGCATGGAGTTTACGGCCATCTTTTGTATCCCAAAGCACCATACTTGCGTCGTCATGGACGGTCAAGATGAATATTCCATTTGGGTGCCAGATCGCGTTAGTCAACTTGGGTCTGCGCACTTCGTGCGTTGGCAGTGTGTCTCCGCCTGGAGCCCCAGGAGGGACCTCATAGACAAAGTATTTTTGCGCAACATTTTGTTTAAAAGTGAAAGTCACTGCTCCTTCGGGATATCCCACTAGGATTTTTCCGATGTCCCGCGGGGAAAATTCCAGCGACACAACGGGGAAAAATCTTGCGCGGGGGTTGCGCTCCAACCACAGATTAGGAACCCTGAAAGGCGTCAATGACTCTCGGTCGAGATCATATGCAATGATTTCACCTAATTATAAAATTAGTATCCCTATTTGCAATTCACCTAATGGAAATGAACCGACCATTCTGCAAGCCAATAAACGCATAATCCAAGCTTGGGTCCGTTAATAGAGCCGTCACTTGACCCGGTGGTGCATAGGACACCACTATGCGTCTAGTTTCCAAGGAGAATACACTAATCTCATTTTTAGAGTCGATACTGATGATTTTGCCGCCACAAAACTGTAAGAAACGCGCGGACGCCTTGCGCGGGAACTCAAACGTCACATGCACCCGTCGTTGGCCAAAGATATAGATCTGCCCACTTCCGAACTGGGTATCACTGGTGCCGACGGCGATGAGGGACTGAACTGGATCGTAAGCGATAGCGCTAATCTGCGAATTCACACCACATCGTGCAAACTGGAAATGGCGGCGTCAGTTGCGAAAAATGAGGAAGCCTGGGATGCCAAGACCTACGTCGTCCAGAAGGAACAAGTCCGGGGATAAACCCTCAGACAGGTCCTTTTGGATACCAGCTTGCTTTCCACGCAAGAAATGAGCCATATCCTGCGATCGGAAGCAAAGTTGGGGAGAATACAACGTTGTACAAATCAAAAAAGTGAAGTGTGGAGAGAGAGATACGTAGCTAACGGATCTAAAGTGGAGTCCTAAAGTTGTGATCAGTCGAAGTCCGCCCTATGATTCCGCGGTACTTGGCGCGAGCCAACTGCAACTATTTTATGTTCAATCAGCTTTGTGTGTTTATTTTGGGAATTTTTCTTCTATTTTGGTTTTTGAATAATATACTGGCTTATAACTGATCGAAAATTTTGAGAGCGCTTTGAATCTTAAATAATAACACAACTCCAAATCACATGCAACTATATATAAGGCGCCGCTGGAAGGAAATTTCGCTATGCAAGCACGAAGCACACAGTCTAATGATGACACCCTGGGTGTCATGTCGAACACGCAGAGCGCCATTCAACATAATCTAACCCTTTATACTTATTCAAGCCTCGACATTTCCGCAATGGTAGTTGTCAATCGCCTCCGGGCATCAAATTCGCTTGTCTCGTCTCGGTTTCGATAGTATTGGACTGTGATTTGTGAGACCAGCCGGTAACAGGCATATCTGTGTTATAATAGCGTCAGCAAAGAACACATCCATGGATAAGTAAAGCAGTATTTCCACACATACAAAGCTAACCGAATCTTTTCCTCTCTCGTTCTGGACAATGCCATCCCTGCCCCCTGCAAAACCGCCGGCGATGGATTTGCGAAGATCTCGGCCATCAACACGTCTCCCCAGAGAGCGCTACTAAAGTCCACAATGCCCGACAGTTGTTTGGACTCTTCATTCAATAAAACGTGGGAGGGCCGACCAAAATCCACCACTACCAGGCGTGGCAGGGTGACAGTTTCAAGAGCAGGTGCCAGACGACTCAGCTCCTGTCGAATCTCCGAATATGGTAAATGGATAAAAGTGTCCTCGGCGTCACGAAGAATACCCTCAAAAAGAGTACAGAAAGCGTCTCTCCAGGAGGGCGTGCTGGCGCCATATGCCACTTGCTGTAAGGATCCAAACCCCGGGGCTGCGTTTTGACCTATCGTGCTCAATAAGAAGCCCAAGTGGCGATCAATATCGTCTCGCTGCTGGGGAGAAAGGTCGCTGTCCATTTCCGACAAACTCCTTCCTTTCATGTACTGTCGGATCAAGTAGGCAGAACCCCAGAGTCTTCCATGTGGGTCATAATGATAGAGTTGAGGGATACAAGGATTTGCACTTTGTCCGAGAAGTGCGAGGAATTGGGCTTCGGTCTCAAGGAAATACCGTTCACGGCGAAGAAGGGCAGTCCTTGAAGAAGGAGAGCCCTTCAACAGCAGGTGTGTTCCATTTGACAGCCCAAGAAGGCGTAAGGTGTGGACGTGTCCTGGAAGTAGTTGTGAATGATGCACATGAACCGTGGAAGGAAACAGCAGGGAGAGTACAGCATCCAGTCTGAGGGATTCGTCCGTTTCGGTAGCATATGACTGGCGATGGAATGAATTACCACGGATGTTTGTTCCTCCGAGTGATGGCATGGCAGACCATGTTTTGAAGTCGACTTGTTGCATTGGAATCAATGATCATAAGGAATTGCGAGGGGGCTATTTATAAGCAAGGCTCTCACAACTCATGAACCTGGGCAGCCACGGGGGTGGATATTCTTCTGAGAGTATTCGGCCTGAATCGCATACTTTCCAGGAGTATATATGACAAAAACTTCAGGGCTTCCAGAATGATGGAATCTCGCCAAAGAGTCCATATATGGAGACATCAAGCGTATCAAACAAGCGATCATCAGACCGCCACGATTGCATGCTCACGTAACGCTCTGCGTTCAAGGGAAAGTGGCCACGGGCCTATTATTTTCAGCGCCATGACTCGACTAGGTTTAACGAGGCGAGATATGAACCTGTCGCTTTTTCAGAAGGTTAGTCCAAGCATTGGTTATCCGAGGTTGACGAAATATCGATTGCGGAGCATAATTAGAACAAGGTGTTTCGCTGAAGCAATAATTGGCAAGCGAGATACTCAAAAATTTCTACAGTCACATTGGTTCAATCTGAAAATAAGTAATTAAATGGAAATTAAGTGAAGCCGTCTCGCCTAACCATCCCGCTCTAAGAAAAGCGGCCATCCGAGCACCCGCCTCCCACCAATCACAGTTGCGTCTTGCCGAAGTCTCCATGGATCGCTAGAATCAGAGATGTTCGATTTGTTCTTCGATTCTTGGAATCTCCTTTTTTGACGGCTTTTCTATCATTTTGTTTTGATTTTCATTCTGTTTCATTCGTTTAGGTTTGACTAGTCCCTGCTTGTCTCTATTTCCGTGATCAGCAGTCACTTCCGATTGCTCGAACCGTGAGAACAGTATACCCTTTCTGCTTCTCCACCAGGATATATGCAAGCCAGCGGAGATTTTTCTCTTAAATACTGAAATGCATGTCATCTTCCCGAGTCGGTTTCCTTCGTGGCAGGTCTTCACCGCGGGCTCGGGCCCCTTAGATCCATCGATGGCTCGCCCCAGGATCGTTTCGGATTTTCCTTTTCGTTTACCTTTTTAAGACTAAATGGAACCCTTGTGTAACATAATAATAACGGTCTATCTTCTCCAATTCTTTTCCCCAAATAGAAATGCCAAAGCCCCAGTGCGGGACGGCTTGTGGCTGCATGAACGCGGACGTGGTCCGAGTATTGAATCCTCTGGCATAGCAACATCATTGTACAAATGAGACACATCAATCGGAGTTCTATTGTAAATATGCTATGGATAATGGCTCATGAAAGAGGTTTCCAGAAGATACATTTGTTTAATATGAAAGTAGCAAGGTATCCTTGCATGAAAATAGATTGGTCCTATGCACAATTGACACTAAGTCATGGACTCGGTGCGCTTAGATGATGGGGTCTCTGGTCCTCCCTTCGGGCTGGGATTATAGATTTCGGCCAAGTTGAACCGTTTCAGCTTATCATAATCACCTCCCACGACACTCATACCAATCACATTCTGTGAGAAGTCAGCCAATGATTCAACGTTCCAGTACTCAATAACTTACTTGGGCGATATCCACCAGAATCATATGATCGTAGTTTGTGAGGTTGACAGGATGCTCAGGGCCAACAACATCGGCCACGACCTTGATGATAACATCTCGACTGAGCTTCGAATTTCCTCGCACAGTAGGCCGAATAGCGTACTAAATTGACAGGTCAGCGGTGTTCAAAGTACGTTTTCCCCTCTCGAGATGGGATATCGGGCATTTTCCCAGATCAGTCGACCTCCGGTTGCCCAAAGGGGAGCCTTGCACTCACCGTCTTCGGTGGGCCACCGGAGTGGAAATGGGGCTTGAGAATCTCTCGGGCAAAAGCCTCCAGATCCACGCTCAAAGTCTTCCGAATCGCCGTGACTGGATGCATACGCTGAACGTATCGGCTCTTCTTGGTGTTTGGATCGGCATATGCCTCGCTACACAGACGATGAACTAGTTGCACTGGCTCTATTGAAGGATCCAGGCGCACAAATGTCACTGTCAGAGATTAGCCAATGCTCTTTGGGCGACCGGTCGCATAAGCGAAATGGCGATTTCTTTTGTTGTTGTTTTTGCTTTTTCTGTAATCATCGCAGACTTACCACATGGCATGTCCAACTGCACAGGTTTGAACCGACGTTTGTTTTCGCTAGGCTGTAAACCCTCCAATTCCCTTTTGATTTGAGCCTCAATGTCTTCATCATCAGTATCTTGTTCCTCTTCCTCTTCCTTGTCAGTTCCCTCAATGGCCTATATCGGTAGTCAGTGAGGCCGCGGAGATATCAAGCAAAGCGAATAATCTCACTTGAGAAAAAAGATCGATTGCTTCATTAAGACACTTTTTTTCTCTGCCCATCTCGCATGTCACAAAGACACCCACATCACCAGATTCAATAGGGGTGCGATTTGCCATCTGTTGCCATTTTCCACTTTTTCCACCACCCTAATCCAAGCGGTTAGTCGCTTCTCGAAATTGTTGCAAGCCTCACATCAGAATCTCACCTTTCTTTTCTTTGAGTGGTTTGATCCTCCAGGCATGGCTCTTTTTTCCCTGCAGGTTTAATATATCAGAATGTGGTGGGGTTGTCGGAGTTTTGTGTGATCGGCCCGGAGATTGTTATGATTGGATTTAAGCGGAGATCGCCCCAAGGGAGAGCTTCATATTTCATATTTACTTCGTATACTACAACTTGAACTTTTGCATCCTTTTATTTACTGTTTAATATGTCGAAATACATATTGAGCGATTTAAATGTTAGAAAAAATCTCTTATCTAGCACTATAGTCCAATTTTTCCTTGCAAGGTGGGACAATTGCATGACATCAATACATATAATCCATGACGTATTAAAAGTGGTCTCACTCATCCGGTTGAATACGTTCCGACTTGTTGTTTAAAAGGTTGCGCAACGCACTTTTTCTCTTTCTCCATCATCTCCTCAAATCTCCTCAACTCCATTCATTTCATCATGTCGTCCACCGATATCGCTACTAGGGAGCTGAAGAATCCCATCGATCTTACGGAGTATTTATTTCGGCGTCTCCACGAGGTAGGTATTCGCTCAGTGCATGGCTTGCCCGGTGACTACAATCTTGTGGCCTTGGATTACCTGCCCAAGTGTGACCTCAAGTGGGTTGGCAATTGCAATGAACTGAACGCTGGTAAGTCTACAATGATAAAAATGGCGAATATCCTATCTCTAAAAGTGACTTCATGACAGGTTATGCCGCCGATGGCTATGCGCGTGTGAAGGGTATTAGTGCCCTGATCACTACCTTTGGCGTGGGAGAATTGTCTGCCCTTAACGCTATCGCAGGCGCGTACTCCGAGTTCGTTCCAATCGTCCACATTGTTGGCCAGCCCACCACCAAGTCTCAAAAGGATGGAATGTTGCTACACCACACTCTTGGAAACGGTGACTTCAATGTCTTTAACAAAATGAGTTCTGCCATCTCGTGCTCTGTCGCTCGCCTAAACGATCCTCACGATGCAGCGACCCTGGTCGACAATGCCATCCGCGAATGCTGGATTCGCAGTCGTCCGGTCTACATCACTTTGCCAACTGATATGGTCGCCGCGAAGGTCAATGGTGATCGCCTGAAAACCCCCATTGATCTTTCACTGCCTGAGAACGATACCGAGAAGGAGGACTACGTGGTCGATGTTGTATTGAAGTATCTTCATGCCGCGAAGAACCCCATTATCCTGGTTGACGCTTGTGCGATCCGCCACCGCGCATTGGAAGAAGTGCATGAGCTGGTAAAGAAGTCCGGCTTGCCCACATTTGTGACTCCCATGGGTAAAGGAGCCGTGGACGAAACTCAGAAGAACTTTGGCGGTGTGTACGCTGGAAATGGATCCAACCCTGGAGTCAGTGAGGCCGTCGAGGCCTCCGATCTCATTCTAAGCATTGGAGCGATCAAGTCTGATTTCAACACCACCGGGTTCACCTATCGCATCGGGCAGCTGAACACCATTGACTTCCACAGCACCTTTGTTCGAGTGCGGTACTCCGAGTACCCTAACATTAACATGAAGGGTGTGCTGAGGAAGGTTACTCAGCAAATGAAGGCTCTTACCCCTGCAATTGTTCCTCCGATTAACAACCGACTGCCCGACAGCGAGAAAGCTTCTACCGAACAAGCTATCACTCACAAGTGGCTGTGGCCAATCGTTGGACAATGGTTGAAGCCAAAGGATATCATTATCACAGAGACTGGAACTGCCAACTTTGGTATTTGGGATACTCGTTTCCCTGCGGATGTGACTGCCATCAGCCAGGTACTTTGGGGTAGCATTGGTTACTCCATGGGAGCCTGCCAGGGTGCTGCTCTCGCTGCTAAGGAGCAGAAGAACCGCCGTGCCATTCTTTTCATTGGCGATGGAAGTATACAACTGACTGTGCAAGAGTTGAGCACGATTCTGCGCAACAATCTGAATCCTATTGTGTAAGTGCCCCTTGGATTCAAAATTTAACAGTAACATGCTTATAAATGCCAGATTTGTGATTTGCAATGAAGGTTATACCATCGAGCGATACATTCATGGTTGGGATGCCGGATACAATGATATTCAACCTTGGGACTTTGCCAACATCCCCAAGGTCTTTGGAGCCAAGGATAACTACCAAGGCTACCGCATCAAAACCCGTGATGAGCTCAACAATCTGTTCGCCGATGAAACTTTCAATGTCTCGGATAAGCTTCGGGTGAGTTTCTTTTTCAGCCCAACCAACCTTTGACATCTCCGCTAATACAATATCTAGCTGGTCGAGTTGTACATGCCTCGCGACGATGCTCCTGCGGCTCTGAAATTGACTGCCGAGGCTGCTGCCAAGCGAAACGAATAGATTCGAAACGCGACAAACCATTATGGGTTTACTTTTTTTTTTGGCACGATGAATATGAGAATAGCATTGAAACGATGTCTAAAGTCTCGACTCCTGGGGTCTCAGCCTTGACATATCTTTTTGATTTTTGACGGCGTTTGTTCTGGAAGGGATCGGGATCTGCAACACCCTGGTAAGGATTTAATAGCGTTTAGTTTTCGTCAGTGAAAGCAGCATCTTCACTCTTGATTTGAAATTGATATACGATAATCTTGCTACGAGCTTCCTTGGTATATCTCCTATTCCCCGTTACAATAAGGGCCTATCCTTTATAAACCAGCAAGCTTCGTGTTGTGCATCGAAGTTGTTGCAATCACTAGACCTAGCAGCGTTTTCAAATATTCCAACATCAACATCATCTCAGATGTCATATTAGCAATGCACTTTGAAAGCTAGAGAAGGTAGAAACAGTGCGAAGTCAATGCAATGGTGTAACATTCTTGCTAAAGCCATACTACTATTCCATTTCAAGCGATCTAGTAGGTAATGGCGTCTTCTAAGAATTAGCTTTTAGTTTAAGATAAATGGGAAATGATCAATCTTTGGCGCCAATGAGATATTGAGATTATATATATCGCTCTAACCGTAGTCGATGCATGTGCAATAAGATATTTGCCTACGCCAAGACCTCTAGGCGCATGCAAAGAAAGTGAAACCAAGCTAAATAAGGTCCTAAGCCAAGGAAAAAGATCATCCGACCACATCCCGAGGACTGTAAAAAATATACTCCGTACTCAACCCTGTGATTCAATCAAACTAGTACTCATGGTACCACCATAACATGATCACGGTAAAATTCAAACAGACAATTATAATACTACGGAACCTTGGAATGGCCCGCAAGCCTAGTGAATAACAAATTCGTATGTTAAAAAAGCGAGTGGCAAAAGAAAGACCTATTCATGGAATGACAGTGCTTTTTCTCTTCATATGTGAGTCAAGGCAAGCTTGTTTAAGGCTGTGGAACAGTGACACTGCGACCTAAGCAATTCGTTCAATCAGATAGAAAAAGCAAAGAACCAAAAAAAAACGATAATATCAGCTGTTATGGCAAACCCTGGATCCGAACCACTAACCAAAACTGCAGTTTGGGGCCAAGTCAAAATCCCTTTCGGTCAAGGTGGATCTGGAAGACTAAATGAATTGAACTTTGATGAATCTGATAAGATCTGAGATATAAAAACACTTGCGAAGAACCTGCGGACTAACTACAAGTTGAATCAAATAATCCGTGTTCACTTTCAAGTCTCATTGATAGATTGTAAAGTGATAAGCGTGTTACGGGAGAGCTACTGAAATTTGCATGCCGCGGATGACGAGCAGGTAGCTCCACTGCCTGAAGTGGCTTTTTCACCGGAATCCCCGGGCTTCGGCTTTGTCTTTTATTGCATTAGGCATCTGAGCCTGATTTCAACTCTTTTGAGGGTACCTCCTAACTGTTTTATTACATCAGTACACATATGGCTATCAGTCAAGCTAGCAGACTTGCTACAACGAATAGGATCTTAACATAACAATATCGCGAGCACTGGCAACTGACGCTTTTTTTTTCTTGTGGCTCTTATTGCTTAGCCAAACTCTGAGCATGATCTCGACGGGCCCTGACCCATTCCCTAGTTTTGAGCGAATCACTGCACGATTTTTTTTCGGTATATATGAGCCCAACTGCCATTGGCAAATTCTAGGCCTTTGTTGAATTCGGGCGTGACGGAGCAGCCAATAATCGGTCTGTTCTTTGAGCCTATTCCATGTTCGCAGTTATCTGATCCGCTTAACTCGGGCAATCCGGCACTAATAGGAAATGATTAGATTTATTTATTTCTTTTAGAGGAAAAAAACTGCAAAATCCTTGCTATGCCAAATTGTTTACATAAAAGCGTACTCCCAACGCTCTTCCCTCTACTTTTCTTTTCTCTATCACTCTCAAGAACTTCCACAGAAGCGGCGGTACCTTCAACCTCACCATGGGTGTCATCAACCTCACTCGTGGTCGTAACGACCGCACAATAGTTGAAGATCTGCGCCCAGCAGAAGAGACTGAGACGAAGAACGATGTCAATGTGGAGCAGAACAGATTAGGCAGTGTCATCAGTAACCAAGGTCGTTCCGAGAAGGAGATCAAGGAACACCCTGACGGGGTAAGCGCCAATGCTGCCCCGGGTGTGCGCAAGGCTGAAGCTGTTGCTCTAGTTTGGGGCAAGAAGACTGTCTACGCCACATATGCCTGGTGAGCATTATGAACTGATTTAATGCCGAATCAAACGCTAATAGCAATCACAGGATTTGGATTTGTTTCTTTATGCTAGCATTGCATTCCTCTATTGGCTCCAATGTGCTTTACTACGCCTACTCTAACTTCCAAGATGCTTCCCAAGTCAGCACGGCGTCTATCTTGGCAAGTATCATCGGTGGAGTCCTCAAACTCCCCATTGGAAAGATCCTCACTTTGTGGGGACGTGCCGAAGGCCTTGTAATTTTCACGGCGGTCTATATCCTTGGTATCATCATTCTTGCTGCTTGCGACGGTCCCAACAGCTACGCTGCTGGTTATGTCCTCTACTGGGTTGGATATGATGCTATTTATATCATTTTGGATATCTTCATCGCCGATACTTCCGGCATGCGCAACCGTGCATTTGCATTTGCATTTGCCTCGACCCCCTTCATCTGTACTTCCTTCACCGGTCCATTGGCTGCTACCAACTTCCTCAAGACCTCCGGTTGGCGTTGGGCTTATGGCTCATTTGCTATAATTATGCCATTTGTTTTCTTGCCTCTGGCTGCTGTTTTCAAGTACTACGAGAAGAAGGCACGCAGAATGGGCGTCTTGCAGCGCCGGGTCAGTGGAAGGACTACGGTACAGTCCATTGTTCACTATCTGCACGAGTTTGACAGTAAGTTCACTCATTTCCCCCTTCACTTTCCAAAGACTTAGTACTGACCAATCAAACAGTCGTTGGAGCTCTCCTTTTGATGGCAGCTTTCATCTTGTTCCTACTTCCGTTCAGCTTGTTCAACTATGGTCGGACTCAGTACAGCGAGCCTGCCTTCATTGCTCCCTTGGTGATTGGTTTCATCCTCTTCTTCGTGTTCGCTGCCTGGGAGAAGTGGTTTGCTCGCACCCACTTTATCCCCTACAAGCTATTCAGGGATCGCACCGTCTTCGGCGCTTGTGCTCTTTCCGCCATCCTGTATTTCAGTTTCTACTCATGGGACCTATACTATTACTACTTTGTGATGGTCGTATACAACCTGGATGTGACAAAGACCGGCTATATGACCGCAATCTACACCGTCGGCTCATGCTTCTGGTCTCCTATTTTCGGGATTTGGATTCGCTACGTGAAAGAATTCAAAAACACCTGCTTGTTCTTCGCTCTTCCCTTGATGGCCTTGGGTGCCGGTCTGATGATCCATTTCCGCGGCTCAGACGGTGATATCGGATATGTTATCATGTGTCAGATCTTCATCGCTTTCGCTGGTGGTATGATGGTCATTGGAGAGCAAATGGCTGTCATGTGCGCCTCTGACCGTGAGGGTATCCCCATGATGATCTCACTAATCTCTCTGTTCTCGAGCTTGGGTGGTGCCATTGGATACGCTGTTTCCGCTGCTATCTATGCCAACACTTTCCCCCAGGGATTGCGCGATGCCTTGCCCGCCAGCTCCAAGGATCAATGGGCAGCCATCTATGCCGGCGGCTATCTTGCTCAAATGAAATATCTACCGGGCACTGAGACTCGTGACGCCATCAACTTCGCCTATGGATACAGTCAAAAGTACGGCTGTATTGCTGCTACTGCTGTCCTTGTGCTTGCCGTTCCCTGTATTGCCATGTGGAAAAATTACAAGGTTGATCAAGAGCAGAACAAGGGTACTGTGCTCTAGATCTGAGGAAATCGTTCTCTTTATGCTAGCTTGGAGTTGATTCTTTATGTAGGGGATTTATGGCATCCGATGTACTGATTGGCGGATTGTTGTTGATAACTTAAAAAAGAAATTTGTTACATGCATGACTATGTGAATTTATGAATAAGATCACTTTTGTTAATTCGTTTCAGGTAAAATTCTTACATGATAGATCATTTAATTCAGCTCTTTTGTTAGAGGGGGTAGGGTTACTTATGTAGGAACTTGGGACCTCCCCGAGGTCGGGATAGAAGCCAGGTTACGAATGAATACGGACTATGCTAACCCCAAAGGCTCTCTTGGGACTTGTTTTTCGAGGTCTTGAATGCCAAAATGCTTCAATTTGTGACTGTCAACGTCAAACTTCATTGCCATTTAAATTTGATACCAAGTCAACATCCTCCACCAAAATAGATTAGGGAGAAATTGCCCGACGCCACACACTGTTGATTGCGTGTATCAGGTGACAGGTCACGGGCCATTGTAAGATTAGGGAGATTCTACCCTGTAGGATTTGAATATATGTGTACTCCAGTGCCTAAGTCACATTTGGTCCGAAGAAGTTCAAAATTTATTGTTCTTTGTATGAGCCAACAAAAAGGAACAATTGAAAGTTGATTCTAACAGTAGATCCACAGCGGGGACCACGTGATGATCTTTAGGATCATCAAATCTTATTCGGTGAGTGTCCTATCTTGTTTCTTTTCCAGAATAACTCTGGAAGCAAGGGGTTGCGTGTTCTTAGGAAATTCTCATTCGGAACAGGAGCTTCTTACTGATCATGCGTTGAGTTCAGTCTTCACAATCTAGACGTCACCCTCTCTTGCGAAACTTGGCCTGTTCCGCAATCCCAGCAATAGCGCTGCGATAAACGGGGACGACAAGCCGAACTATGTCAATCTACGCACCGAGAATTTGAATTCAATTTACACCTAAATAAAACCTGATACCAGGATTCACCTCCGAACCCCGACCACTCTTTTATTTGCTGGGAACCCCCGGTTACGATGCGCTAATGGTCCCGAACGACCTCGAAAACACCGCCTGAACGCCCAAGAGGGCGTCGCAACCGAGCGAGCGAGATATAGTCACCCTCCCAGACCTGCACCGTGGGTGTATCGACATTTACGATGGACAGTCGACAGCACTATGTCCCGGGCCCGCCTTTCCTACCACCACCTCCGCCCCGACATCCATCGGGCCAAGCTCAAACACTGGTACCGCCTCCCCCTCCTGGTCCACCCCCGGGGACAACCTATGGAGGACAGGCATCGTGGCAGCAGAGCTGGGGAAGACAAGCCTTGACCCCGGGATTTCCTCCGCCCCCGCCACCCCCTCTTGCCTCCGCGCCAAATCAACATTTGGCATACGGCCGCCCGCCGGCTCAGTTGTCGATAGCTCCTCCACGACACGACCACCCGCCGCTGACATCCGCAACTTACATTCCTGGGAATGATACTATTGGCGTCGGTATTCCTGGATTGTTCGATCCCCATGGACACGCTCCGTATGATCCTTATGCGCATACCACTGCCGAGAGACAACGATTGGGTCTCACTCAAATGCATGATCATGTCAATACTTCAGGCCCATACAAAACAGACCCAAACCTTCCGCAGACTCCAGGGGGGCGCACGATCGCTCCGCCCTACGCTCTTCATGGAAACGTCCACGAATTGACGTCCAACAATGACAGTCCACAACCACACGCGACTCCACAAAGTACCGATATTGCTAAGTCTTCAAGCCATCGCCACAATAATAGCAATGTATCGCTAGGTGGATTAACTCCCAGCGAGGCTGCAATCCGGTGGCCTTTGAATGAAGTGCTTATCTGGCTGGAGAAAAACGGATTTTCCAAAGAATGGCAGGAAACTTTCAAATCTTTGGAACTCCAAGGAGCCGACTTCCTCGAGCTCGGTCTAGGAGCCGGCGGTCGGGGAAACCTTGGGAAAATGCATCAAGTGGTTTATCCCCAATTAGCCAAGGAGGTTGGCTTAAGTGGCAAAAAATGGGAACCTGGCCGGGAACGAGACGAAGGGAAACGCATGCGCCAATTGATTCGCGTAATTCATGACCACACAAATGACAACACCGCTTCGACACCACAGAACCAATCGCAGCCGCCGGCGTCTGCATTCCCCGAAAGTAGTACTGGTTACTTCTCTAGCCGCTTCCCCGAGCCACGCTCTGCTGGGCCTGTTCCAGGTGTCAACGATGTGAGCCCGGAGCATTTGACTGCATTGAATATGTCATCCAATCAGAACTCAAAGCCGGCTGGACAGCGCTCGGTGACAATGCCACCCCCAACTACTCATGACTCGCCGAGATATGATTCTCCAGCACAAGAAACTCAAACTTGGGTCCGGTCTGACTTTTCCCGAAATGCCTTGGCAGGAATCAACGTTGACCATCGACGCCAGAGCCCATCTATTGGTAGTGAAGCTGGCACATTTCAGTCATCAACACTCCGGCCACAAGAGAGCCCGCAAAGTGGCAGCCCAGCTATACAGCAAATATCACCCAATTACGCATCATTCTCTTCGTCTGCAGGAGATTTAACATTGAAATATGACCATTCTCGGGGCAACAGTACGGACTCAATTCTCGGTTTTGGTCGAGGCTCCGCGGGACGGTACTATGATCCTCGTAGACAAGGCCAAGAAGGCGCTCGTCCCTCGCCTCAGGATACGCACAGTCGGCAATGGATCGGTGAACCTCATTCGTATTCCAAAGAACATGGCAAAAGCTTCTTCTCTAATCTTTTGAAGAAGAAAACTAAGACCACTGACTCTAGCCACCCATCCCCCGAGCAACATGAGGATTCATCGCCAACAACGAGTCCTGAGACTCGCCCGAACGATGCATATCTCCCCTACTCAAAACCTGGCTACAATGCTAGTGACATGTCGGTCGGTGAGCGTCCATATACAGCGTCAATCAAAACGAAAAAATGGGTCTTTGTGACCATGGATGGTTCCAACTTCCGCCTAATTGACATTTCTGAAATGGACTCTTTTGAGGCATTGCGTGTCGGAATCTGTCAAAACATCGGGGTTGACTGGACTAGCGCCCAGATTTACCTTACAGAACCAGGTCAAATTGATCACGAGGATCCCATGAGCGACAAAAACCTCACTCAAGCCCGTCGAAGCAAGTCAGATGCCTATGGTTCTCTAAAGCTGTTTGTGCGAGGGACCCCTTTACAGTCTGTAGCACCCAACACCCCCCGATTCGATGGCCTCGGGGTCTCATTCCCAGACAAGCCAAATATGTCCCCAACGGCAACCCATCATCAGGTTCACAGGAAGCCACTGGACGAAGAAGCCCTCAACAGGATATCGCCCCATCGCACTATCCCAGACTCCCCGGTATTGGGCTCTCGGCAAAGCACGTTGAAGGCTTTAGGTGGAAAGGCATGCCCAGCAGATACCACACAGGACGCAACCCAAGTGCTTGAATCTGACCCATCTGATTTGCTCGCTCGTCATGAGGAACATATGCGTGAAGTTGAACGGAAACAAAAACAATATCTCCTTTCTAAAATGCCGCAGTCTCAGCAAAACAAGAATGCCTACGGAGAGACTGGGTACAGGAGAAATGAAGTCATTGATTTCGATTCTCCTCGCATCTCGCCTTATGACGAGAAGAAAGGGGAATCGCTGGTGCCACTTCGCAAGCCCCCAACGGCGCCAATCGAGTCTAACACCCTCACCAAGGTTAACTCTCTCAGCAGGAGGCCTACTACTCGTGAATCTCGGCCCCAGCGGTCTGCTCCAAATCATGGTCTGGGGGCTGCGATTGCCAATGTTGGCCGCATTACAAGTGCCATCGGCACACCGTTGCCTTCTGTGCCAGCCCCTTCTACTACTCCCGGCTTTGATAGCCGAAACAGTGCAGGCTCGGAGTCTGATCGGCCAGAAACACTTGACTCTACTGGAACAATGTCAAGTAGAACAACTCTAGGTATGTGACCCAAATACCCACCACACAGCGAATTGTTGCACTTTTTCTAACAATGAAATAGACTCTTCGAGGCCCTCTTCAAAGCATCTCGCAGAGAACGAAAAACAACCGGTCTCACTCGCCAATCAACCGCCCGAGAAATCATCTGATACTTCTCCAAGACCAGGATTGCAATCCCGCAAGTCGTTTGGGCCTGAATTTGACTTTGAAGAGAACCAAGTCTCTTTTCAACGAACTCCTAAACCCCAGAAGGACTCTGACGATGACTCGGATGATGACTCCGACGATGGCCTATTCCAAGTCCGGCCTTCAAGGGCTAAGGAAGAAGAACAGGCCGCACTAAATGAGCCCCAAAAGAAGTCAGACAGGCCATCTCTTACGGTGAACACAGATAACCACCTCAAACCGACTCTCTCTGTCAGGTTTAAATCACCGAGTACCGCCGGCCACAGTTCGGGCGGAGAGGCCTCTGATGGAAGAGAACCGTTATCTAGCACCCGTGGACCCGTTTCACCCGAGGATGAGAGGCCTGGACCCCGGCGAGATTCATTTGCCCGAGACGTCTGGGCCAGCAGACCTGCTGTTGAAGGCGTCATTGACCATCTTGATGATTTCTTCCCTGATGTTGATCTTGACGCTCCTTACTTGGATGAGCCTGCGTCACCAAGTACCAGAGCAACCAATCTTCAATATGACGCAGGCTTCAAAGAAAAGAAGGAATCTTTGCCGGCTATGCCACAGCCAACCACCACTGCTACTAATCCATATGGGCCTGATGCAGCTACCGCGAGGCCATCTGGCGCCAGTATTGTCGCTCAACACCATATCACGCGCGGCGGAGTTGGTGGTGGTGGCCTGTCCCGCATGAAATCCATTCGACAGGTGGCCCAGGGAGCAAACCGGACGAAGAGCGTGAGCGTTGCTGGACCCCAAAGATCGGGTGATCTTTTGCGCCGAAAGAGTACCAAGATGTTCGGCGCCAAGATCATGCAAATCAGGCCCCGCCCCGGTAGTCGCATCAGCCAGCTCGATCCGATCCCACAAAACAGCAACCAGGTGGTGCCGGCTACCGGCGCTCTTCCCCAGCGTCAGCCCACTTTCCGCATCATCCGTGGTCAGCTTATCGGCAAGGGTACCTATGGCCGAGTGTACCTAGGTATGAATGCGGACAATGGTGAAGTGCTAGCAGTGAAGTTGGTAGAGATCAACCCGCGAATTGCAGGCACAGACAAAGATCGTATCAAGGAAATGGTTGCCGCCCTGGACCAGGAGATCGACACAATGCAACACCTCGAACACCCCAATATCGTACAGTATCTGGGCTGCGAGCGTGGCGAATTCTCCATCTCCATCTACCTGGAATATATTTCCGGTGGCTCTGTTGGAAGCTGCCTGCGCAAACACGGCAAATTCGAGGAAAGTGTTGTGAGATCACTGACCCGGCAAACGCTTGGTGGACTTGCATACTTGCATGACAAAGGCATTCTCCATCGAGATTTGAAGGCAGACAATATTCTCCTGGATCTCGATGGAACATGCAAGATCTCTGACTTTGGTATTTCCAAAAAGACAGACGACATCTACGGCAACGACTCGTCCAATTCCATGCAAGGCACTGTTTTCTGGATGGCCCCGGAGGTCATCCAGTCCCAAGGGCAGGGATACAGCGCCAAGGTTGATATCTGGTCCCTTGGTTGTGTGGTGTTGGAGATGTTCGCGGGTCGTCGTCCATGGAGCAAGGAAGAAGCAATTGGTGCTATTTTCAAGCTTGGTAGTCTAAGTCAGGCCCCGCCGATTCCTGATGACGTGTCTATGAACATTAGTCCGGCAGCTCTTGCTTTCATGTACGACTGTTTCACGATGTAAGTTTCCATCCTATATTTGCCTCTCTTTCGCGTTTTGTCTTTCTGACATTTTATCAGTGACTCGGCTGAACGTCCTACTGCGGGAACTCTACTCACTCGCCATCCCTTCTGCGAGTCCGATGCCAACTACAATTTCCTAGACACAGAGTTATATGCTAAGATCCGCGATGTTCTCTGATATGCTTTGGTCTAAATGCACTTATCTGGTTGCGATGTTGCGTTTCCTATGAATCGTACATACCCCTTTCTGAAATTCGATTGAAGCGAGAATTGCCGTTTGGATGGTTTCCTGGGTTTCACGGTCAGCTGTATATATTTTTCTCACGTTCGGGATGAACCTCTTCGCTTTAAGTTGTCTTCTCCTCAGACTAAGATACCTTTAGTATTTGTGGTCGAATTATGCGTTATATTCTTAGGGCTTATACATATACAAAACTGCTTAATTCCACATGGTATCTATGCTCAAGGTGTAAATGCCTAAAAAAGACTGAAAAGGAAACGGCATCCTGTGTCTATGAGCTGGTGCTTAGAATATCATCATCATCCTCGGGAAGATCAGCCTGCAGGCCCGCGACACCGACACGGAACACGCCCTCACACCATTCGGCAAAGGTGTTTACGTCCCAGACGGCATCGTCCCGGCCCTTCCCCTTTTTGCTGACGTGATTTCCCTTCCCCTTCTCTGAGGAGGTATACTTCTCGAAGAAGTCCTCATAGATTTGGATAGTGCGATCCTGGACAGCACCGACAAGAGTCTCCTTCATGCGCGTGTCATCGATATATTCATTTAGTACTTTCCGTAGTATAGGGACTTCCTTCTCAATTGTCCGACAAGAAGGGAGTATAAGCTCGCCACGCTGCAGGTTGCGGGTATCCACAAACTTGGCGGGGAGAGAGGTAGTCATGCGTGCAGCGAAAGCGTTGATGAAGTCGTTGATGACTGTGCGGAGACGGCCATCCAGTTCGACCTTTGCATCAAGCATATTCTCTACTACGCGAGGGATGAGGCCATGGCCAACGAGCCGCATTAGGTTGCGCGGGTTGAAGAGACCGCCGCGTTCGCGGAGTTCCCAGAAGGTGCTTGTCACGCCGGAGAAGTCGAAGGAAACTTCTGGGGCTACAAATTCAATGTCGAAGGCAACGATTTGTTGTTTCAGGATTAGGAGGTGGCTCATTAGGAAGAGTTGGCTGTCGGCTGGTGTGGCTTTCGCTGAGATTAGGGAGCTGGCGTTTTGGAGGGAGAGTGTGGTTTGATGCACTATTTGGTGGGCAAGGTCATCGAAGACCGTGGACTGCAGTTTTTAGCATTGGTGGCTATTAGGGTTGATGAGAGGCTCTTACATTCACTAGGCGGTAGATCCTGCTCAGGAGCCAAATTGCTTTGCGCAAAGTCGGGTACCATCCTTTGAGGGCTGTTTGGGTCTCAAAGTCCCATTTGCCGTCTGGATCTTGTGGCGTGTCACCAGCATCGTCACCTTGTTTGGTAGTCATATCAATCAGGATGTCCGCAGAGGTGTCTTTTTTGCCCGAGATCTGTGTATCTGACACAGTCAAAGATACCTGTCGATTGCGCATGGGGTAATCTATATCTTCTGGTCGAGGTTTGTATTTTTCAATTTCATCTCGCAGGACAGCCAGTGCACGGAAGACAAGTCGGGCCTGAACGTCTTGTAAAGCAGGCTGGATCAAGACAGAAAAGTCAAGATGATTCGTCTCGGTCTGTTCCTGCTCTTCTTCAGGGTCGGAGAAGTAACGTGTTTGCAGTAAATTGCAAAGTTGACATAGCTTCACAATATCTGACTCGTGGATGATTCGAGGGCGAAGATGATCGTAGAGCGGTTCACATAGCGTTTCGAGGAAATCATATAAACCGCCTTGTCCATGGAACCATTCTCCCCACAGGTCATATTCATCTAGGCATAACCCGCGGATATAACTGATGCTAGCTCGGGCGAAGGAAACCAGGTCCTTGGATGAGCTAGGCGTTTGTGTAATTTCGATCAACTTTTTGCGGGCGAGCGGTACAATCAGCTTTGCACGAATAGCAGAGTAATTGCTGTGCAGCTCGTTCATCAAACTTTGATATTCCGCTTCGTTGTTTTGATCTTGGTTCAGCGGTGGCACAGCTCTCTTCTGGATCTCAACCCCGATTTGCTTCAGCTCAGGTGCTCCAACTCTAAACTTGGCATACAAGAGAGCCGACAATGCGGTGTCGTTCAATTGCTGATCTGAAATCTTTTTCGAGACATTCTGATAGACATCTTTAAGCGAAGATACAAAGTTACCTCGGATGAGCGTTAAGGCACGCGTTAACAGTAACCGATATCTAGAGCGGTAGACCTCCGCTTCTTTTTGGTCCGTCTGCATGGGCAGTCAGCAATGCGCGCATAACCTTCCGGGTTCAACTCTCACGTGGGTTTCCATATAATCTAAACACACGTCCAAGCGTCTCAGCATATCGGAGAATTCCTTGTCGCGGACAGTGTTACCCGCACCTGGCGCATTGAGTCGCCGTGACGCAGGGTCCAAGAAATCGTAATAGTGCAGGTTGGTCTGGATCCCATTTGCAAGCTTTGTGTCACGTTCTTGGATGGACAGAAGCCCCTCACATTGCTTTTCGAAGTTTGATGTTTGGGTCTCAACTGATTTGAATGATTCAGACAGGCTGGAGAGGTCGTCAAGGAGGGTCAACGTATTCGTTAATATTTCGTCAATGTGATCTTTCGATTGCTCGAGTTCGTCCAAGCAGTTTCTAGAGACCAAATAGTCAGTAAAGCACGAATTGCCATCTACTGTCGATCTTACTGATACTCGTCATAGCTCTCCTCAATCAGGTCATCCTTGACCCCATTGAGCCACTGTGAGAAATCAAGCTCATTGTTCCACCCCGGCACTTTCCATTCGGAATAATTTGGCGCCTTCTCCTCGACTGCCTTCAGGCTTGCTTGTGTTTCATTGGTGTTGGGTTTGCGCGGCGGCCCAGAGGGAGCGGTCTGCCGGCGGGCACGCTGCTGCTTTGTGGAAGGCATGGTACAGTCAAGGCCCGGGAAATGTAGTGGCTATCAGCCCAAAGGTCATTTCTCTTTGCTGACTTTCTGCTAAGCAAAATACGTCCCGAGTCAAGTGTTGAAGCCGAACTGCGATGTGGTCAACTCCGGGGTCCCGCTGTCGATGGGTTCTGCCGAGAGCTCCCGCCTGGGTCTGATGCAACGAATCACGGGCGCGGCTTTCTGTATTATTCGAAGCTTCCCCGGATGCAATCTGATTTCTGCAGCTTCGACATGTTCTAGTTGGTGAACCGGCCATCATCCAAAATGCTGACAACTCGAATTCGACGGCCTGCGACGCACTCTGTCCTTGCGCTTCGCTCCTCCAGAACCCCGATAGCCCGGTCACTTAATGCGCCATGGTCCCGATTCGCCAGTAGTCAACCACAAAGCCGAGGCCCGTCATCGCACTGGCTCCGAAACTCTCTCGGTTTTGCTGTGACTGGAACTGCAGTCTTCTTGGGCTACTCATACTACGCTAATGGAGGAAAGGAAGCTTGGACGGCTGTTCCGGGGGGCCAAGAAGGAGGCCATTGATGTCAATGACCTTCGTGCCCAGTTTGTCCAAGAAAAGCGGAGTCTCAAGAGCTCTGCCGTCTATACATGGGGCTCAAATATTTATAAAGTGGTGGATCCGGGATCCAAAGACGCCGACATCAAGACTCCTCGGCGCTTCAAATACTTTGACGGCCAGGTGCTGAGAGATCTCAAGATCGAAGAAAAGTCAGGTGCGGCAATTAACGAGAAGGGAGACCTTGTACAATGGGGGCAAGCATTTTCGGAGACGGACTTTAAGCCTTCAGAGACTCTGACAGGCAAGAATCTCGTCTCACTTGCTCTGTCTGAAAGTCGAATCATCGCGCTATCTTCAGATGGGACTGTCTACTCCCTGCCTTTGTCTAAGACCGAGCAAAGCACGGGTCCCAAATCACGGGAAAGCTCGTGGGTTCCCTTCTGGGCCAGCAAATCCAATTTGAGCTACCGTGTGCTCAACCCATCATTGAAGCTGGGTGAAAAAGTCACTTCAATCAGCGGTGGACAGGAACATGTGCTTCTTCTCACAAGCTCTGGCCGGGTTTTCTCCGCGGCGTCATCTACCGAAAATTACCCTTCCTTGGGTCAACTTGGCGTTGAGGGGCTCACCTGGTCCACAAGACCCAAAGGGCCAGCAGATTTCTGTCACGAAATCACGGCTTTCAAGGGCTCCAAGATCGTTAAAATCGCAGCTGGTGACTACCACTCATTGGCCCTCGCCGAAGATGGTCGTATGTTTGCATTCGGTGACAACTCATTTGGCCAACTGGGTGTAAATTATGACCCAGAGCGCACCTTTAAGGATACCCCTTTTGTTGTGAAAGTGAACAAACTTTACAGAAGGGGCATTTATGACGCAAAAGTTACCAGCATTGCTGCGGGAGGTGCTAATACATTTTTCTCCGTTGATTCCACGCGCATCTTAGGATCCGAGGAAGAAACTGCCGATGTTCGTGACCTTGGCAATGTTACTGCGGACACGTGGTCTTGTGGTAGAGGAATATGGGGCACTCTCGGCAGTGGCAGGTGGGTTCATGTGCAGGATTCACCCACCAAGATCAAGGCTTTGAGTGGAGTGAGCGAGTATGACGAAAAGACAAACCAAATCACCCCTATCCGCATCCGTGCCATGTCTGTTGGTACAACGCATGTTTCTGCTATATTGGACAACAAGACCAATATCAGCAGGAATACCAAGGATACTTTGGACCAGTCCAAAGATTGGGGTTATGATGTCGTCTGGTGGGGAGGCAACGAGCATTTCCAGCTTGGAACAGGGAAGCGAAGCAACCAGGCCAAACCGATCTACATCAACGCACCTCCTGAGACTAAGAAACAGGCAGAGGCACGGTTGCAGATCATGCCTCGTCATAAGGGCAAGGTTGGGAAGCGCAATGTGAACATGGAACAGCGTGTGGAGTGTGGACGCCATGTATCTGCGATATATTCTGCAGTGTAAAAGAGCAAAGGGAAATTGTACATTAGTGATGCCATATAACATCCATTCTTAATATATCTCTGCTCAATTTTGATATTTAGTCGGAGGTGGTTGACATTTTGCACGCACGCTGAGGCTTTCAATCTGCGCATGTGTTCAATTGAAGCACATTCGGATAATCAAGGCCCTATTCTAAGGTTATCTACAGGGCTCTCATGATTACGTTGCAAACAGAGCAAACATCTATCGCCGCGGAGACGCTTGGACCACCGCTTATCCAAAAAAAAATTCCAGCACTTCAGTCACATCTCTCTTCACAACACAGCGCCATAATGCCTCGTGAACAGCAGAAAAGAGGCCGCAGAGCCGAGAAAAAATCCCAGAAAGATGATTCCAAAAGAAAGTTTGAGGAGGCGGCCGAAGCTCCGGAAGCGAAAAGAATGAAGTCCTCTACCGACGACGCCGACGCCGAATTCCAAGAAAATGCGGATTACATTCCCCTCGATCAAGAGGAACAGCAGGAATCCCAGGGCCCTGAAGATAATGGCGATATGCCTTTCTTTGGTCTTTTGGATGAGGAGGAGTCAGAATACTTCCAGCGCGCCAATGAAATGCTGGAGCTGAACCAGTTCCAGGACCTCGAGGAGCGGAGCTTGTTTGTCGACAGTGTATACTCGGAAGCCAGTGGCAAAGAGTTGAAAATTGCTTGCAGTCAGGGTTGTTCAAGACTAATGGAGAAATTGATCTCCATGTCAAACGCTCAACAACTGCGCCGGATATTCAGCAAGTTCGTGGGTCACTTCCTTCACCTGGTACAGCATCGATTTGCAAGCCACTGCTGTGAGACACTTTTTATCCACGCCGCGCCTGCTGTGATGCAGAAGACGAAATACAACAAGAAGTCCGACGAGGAAGATGGAGAGGAGGAGCCGGAGCTCTCGATCGCAGACATGTTCATGGCTGTCATTGAAGAGTTGAAGGAAAATTGGGGATACTTGTTGACGGAGCGCTTTGCGTCGCATACAATCCGAGTGCTACTTCTGGTTCTTGCAGGAGAGCCTGTGGATGTCACATCAAACGAGTCATTTGTCGCAAGTCGCAGTAAGGAAAGACTTGAAATCCCAACTGTCCAAGGCGAGGAGAAGGTGGATAAATCCAAGTCCGAGAAGCACAGTGTCCCAGAGACCTTTGAGCCGGCACTCAAAAAGATCATGACCGATATGGTTGCCGGTATCGATGACACTTATCTCCGCGCCATGGCCACGCATCCCGTGGGCAACCCAGTGCTCCAAGTGCTTTTGTTCCTGGAGCTCTCGCATTTCGGCAAGTCGAGTGCCAAAGACCCCAAATCTACCATCCGAAGACTTGTTCCAGATGAGTCGTTCGAGGAAGATTCGGAGAGCGCAATCTTCATTCGTGGCCTCCTATACGACCCAGTTGGCTCTCGCTTATTAGAGACAATGGTGCGTTACCTTCCCGGTAAGGCATTCAAAAACCTCTACAGGAACAACTTGGGCGAACGGATCGGGTCTCTCTCTCGCAATTCCACCGCTGGATATGTGGTTCTTCGGATGCTGGAAAGACTCGGCAAAGACGACTTGAAGATTGCCATGAGTAACATTGTCCCTGAAGTTCCGGGACTAATTGAGCGGTCGAGACTCATTGTCCCCAAGATGTTGATCGAGCGATGTGTCCACCGTGGCGTTGATACTAAACCTCTTGCTGAAGCACTTGAGGCTGCTTATGACAAGGACCCAAGCACCAGACTACAGCAGATGCTCAAGTTCAACATATCAGAGACCCCAGCTCCTCAATCTGAAGACCACGATATGGATGGTGACAGCGAGGAAAAGGGCCGGAAGCCACGTGGTCCACCTCCGATTTCTGCGGCTGAAAAGGCAGAGAAACTCCACGCCTCTCTGCTGGTGCAAGCGATGCTGACAGTTCCGGGCCCACTCAGCCAACTGGTCTACACGGGGCTACTTGCACAATCACCCGAAACAATTGTTCAACTTGCTCAAGAACCCACCACCTCCCATGTTCTTCAACAGGCCCTGAACTCCGTAAGCTCCACTGCTCAGATCCGCCGACAGCTCACTACTCGGTTCCAGGGTCATCTTGCAACTCTTGCCCTGAGCCCCAGTGGATCACATGTAGTGGACGCACTATGGTCAGCGACCAAAGACATCTTCTTTGTTAAGGAGCGCATGGCGCAAGAGCTTGAGCAAAATGAGCAGATTCTCCGCGATTCCTTTGTGGGTCGTGCAGTCTGGAGAAACTGGTCTATGGATCTATACAAGCGTCGGCGAGGCGAGTGGACTCGCAAGGCCAAGGGCCTTGAGGAGCGAGCCGCGAACAATGAGGGCGCCGAGCGTCCCAAGTCTAAAATTGAACAAGCACGCGCTCGGTATGCTGCTGCCCGGGAGGCAGCTGAGGCCGGGGCCACCGGTGCGAACCAAACTGCGGTGGCTAGCAAATGAATAGCTTCATTGAGGGATACCATTTAGAAATATATCGAACAAAATACACATGTACTTATTATCAAACAAAAAGCGTGGTCATATAGTTGGTGATGTCTCATTTATTGCTTTTACACAATACTAGAAGTTCCCGTAGACCATTGCCTACTTGCCCATCATTTGTAATATTATGATATGTTAGGAAACATGAGACAAGTTGGAGGTAATGTGATGTATCAAATATAATATCAAACGGGGACTAGAGACCTCTGGCAGTCCGGGTTCCTGCAGATCTCGCCCAAATCTTAATTATCATACTACCACCCAAGTCAGTATGTGTATCATCTTGACTATATTTTGCGCCTCTACAATATATAACTCAATTATCCTATAATTGGGAATATGCACTTGACTCAAAAATGAGTATAGATAATCAACTCGTGAAACTCCCAAAGATAGCCGCATGATGTCAGGTTTTGCGGCATTGTCGCCATCTCCGAGATCGCCGCATAGGGAACTTTTTTTTGCCCGCCTTCAACTTCCGCCCATTTTCTTTCCTTTTCCATCTGATTTCTTCCGGCATTGCTCTTGTTGCTTACACTTTCATTTCTGGAGCATCTACACCAATGTCTGACACTGCGCAATCTGGCCGCGCTGAAGAAGTGCAAAGCGTAAGTCAAAGTCATTGTGATTTGCACCTCGCCATTGTGTTTTCTTTTAGAGGTTTTGATACTAATTTCAATGGCTCGTTTAGCTTCTGAAAGCAGTTGAGGGCCTGCTTATTCCTTTCATTCGGTCCGCGGACCAGGATACCTCCGTATCCTCTTCAAAGAAGAACGGCGCAAACGGCGCAAACGGAATCAACGGGGCCAACGGACACACTGGATTAGTGGGGAGCTCACTTGTAGACTACAAGAAGCCTGAAGAACTCAAGGAGATTCTCCAACTAGAGATACCCGAGAAGGGCACAAAACAGGAAGGCCTCATTCAGGTTCTACAGAAGGTCCTGAAGTACTCGGTCAACACCTGGCACCAGGGTTTTTTGGACAAGCTTTACGCCTCAACTAATGCCCCTGGTGTAGCTGCAGAACTCATCCTTGCTACCTTGAACACCAATGTTCATGTTTATCAGGTGTCACCCGCCTTAACAGTAATTGAGAAATATACTGGTCAGCGGTTGGCAAACCTCTTCGGTTTGGACGGTCCCCGGGCTGGAGGAATCTCTGTGCAAGGAGGGTCTGCTTCGAACACTACCTCCGTCGTCATTGCGCGCAACAATCTGTACCCGAATACCAAGACGGATGGTAATGGAGGATATAAGTTTGTACTTTTCACCAGTGCTCATGGTCACTACAGCGTTGAAAAGGCAGCCCAAATGCTTGGATTCGGTAGCAATGCCGTATGGCCTGTTCCTATTGACAATGTAGGCTGCATGATTCCAGCCGAGCTCGAGAAGTTAGTTCAGAGAGCCCAAAACGAAGGCCGGACACCGTTCTATGTCAACGCAACCGCTGGTACAACCGTTATGGGCTCTTTCGATCCCTTTAATGAGATTGCAGCAATTTGCCAGAAATACAACCTTTGGTTCCACATTGATGGATCGTGGGGTGGCTCGTTTGTCTTCTCTCAGAACCAAAAGCATAAATTGGCCGGTGCAGAGAAGGCAAATAGTATCGCCATCAATCCACACAAGATGCTTGGTGTTCCTGTGACATGCTCATATCTGCTTGCAGCAGACATGCGTCAGTTCCACAAGGCCAACACCCTTCCAGCCGGATACCTATTCCACAACGACGAGCCAGCCACCAATGGTGACGCAGGCGAACAATCCGAGTTGGAAGTGGAATCCCCGGAAGTGTGGGACCTGGCAGATCTCACTCTTCAGTGCGGTCGACGCGCAGATTCCCTGAAGTTGTTCTTGGGATGGACATACTACGGAAACGAAGGCTATCAACAGCAGATTGACTCGGCATGCGAAATTGCTGCACACCTGGCCAACACCATCGACCAACATCCCGACTTCGTTCTTATCAGTGAAAACCCACCTCCATGCCTGCAGGTGTGCTTCTACTATGCTCCAGGCAAGGAGTTTGTGTACCCACGCGGTGTTGTTTCGAACGAGGCTCAACGCGCAAAGAACAATAGCAAGGTCACTGAGCAGGTGACACATGCAATTGTGCCCAAGGGCTTCATGGTGGACTTCGCGCCTCCTAGCGGAGACGATAATGCGGTTGGGAATGGGAAATTCTTCCGGTGTGTAGTCAACGTCCAGACGACCAAAGAGACCGTCGATTCCCTTGTCCACGCCATTGAAGAGGTGGGCCCTGGCATTGTTGAGGGTTTGAAGGGAAACAACTCGGTCCTCCCGCAAAAGAGGCTAGGTGAACATGGACATGGGCCTGTTGTTCATCATGTTTGAGGGCGAATGACCCATGATAACATTGCACATAGACTTTTTCAGATATGAGAGATGGAAATCCAGGTATATAAATAGGAGACAGAGTATGAATAGAAACGATTCATAAACTTCCGGAGTCAGATACACAAATACATCGAGCTGTTCCCTCGGTACATTGATGTCAAAATCTTCTGGGGAAACTTGGTCTCATATCATATGATTACAAGAACCTTGGAACCTGCTTTGATTATTTCCAAAAGGAAATCGTAGCTTATAGAACAATCTGGGCCGTGAGAACTAATATAGGCGGGATAACATGCTGGTGTCCAGGGATAAAATGTATTGATGATCCAATATCATGCAGTGGCACTCCAGGGCTGCACTGTTTTTGCACACTAGTAAATGGCACATCGTTACTGTTCATCTTGTTCATCTTCTTCAGCCTTCCCATCCTCAAGACTAGTGCGTTCCATCTGTTTCCGCCATAGTAGCGCTAAATAATCAGATGTTGTAGCCTCATCGATTGACTTGTCCTCGCGGACCTTCAAAAAGCGCGGAAATCGCAGACTCAACCCGCGCTCCTCACTGACCAACCCAATGGCAGCTGGGTACGTCGGGCTGAGTGTGATGTCTGCAAAGGCCATTTCCCACACTTCCTGCGGTTCAAACCACACATCCGGCGAGCCGTTGTATTCCACATAACTAGGCCGCGAGATCACGTTTGTGCTACCTTCCGCGTACTTGTCTTTATTGCCCTGGTAGAATTTGTCTGTGAAGCCAGACATGCATTTTGTGACAGCTTCTAGACTTCCAGTTTCTGGATTTCGGACTGCTAGAAGAATTGGTGACCACCATTTAGCTTTGCGGCCTTGGCCGTGCCAACCAGCTACCGGGATTAGGTCGAGGGTTTCTGAAGATGCGTTGTAGTCTTTCTTTACTTTGAGCCAGGATTCGAGGCGCTTATCGGGTTCGTAGGTTGAAAGGAGCGCCTTACGTCGAGTGGCCTTTTCTTTTGGTTTCGTATTATTCTTTTCGCAAGTTACTTGAACGGATGGCCCGTCTGGTTCGTCGAGGCCATTGTTTTGTTGGATATCAAATTTGGCCTCATTGTCGAGCACTTTCACCATTATGCCTTCGCATTTAACATCCGTGGCGGACTTGAAAAATTCAAGCACATGTTCAGAATCAGTTGATGTTGCATCCATACTCTTTACCCAGGTAAAGTGCTTGGAAATCTCCACAAATAGACTCCGGAGTAGCTCGCGGCGTTCTCGAAAAGGTCGGTCTAGTAGAGGTTCACCATTGAGATACATAAGATCAAACGCGAAAAGACACACGTTGACTTTGATCTCTCCAATTTCCACATTTTTCTTTGCACGATTTGTCAAAACTTGAAAAGGCTGCAAGTCGCCAGTCTCCCGATCCACGGCAACCACTTCGCCTTCCAATATAAAACTGGACACACCTTCTCCTCGAATCTGTGGGACAAGAGATACAAGATCTGGATACTTATCCGTCATGAGTTCAAGATGACGTGAGAAAATAGAGACTTTCCCTTGCTGATCACAGTGAACTTGTGCACGTTGCCCGTCGTATTTGTATTCACAGCTGAAGGCCCTTCCTTGGAGCTTCGTCAACATATCAGACAGATCACGCGTGATGCTACCCAGCATCGGCCTCAATGGAATGTGCATAGACAGACCGCACCTAACCAAAATCTCTGCAGTAGGCCCAATCTCCAACAAGCAAGGGACCAAATCATTGTAGTCCGGATGTCGAGCATAAGACGCCTTGACAATTTCTTCCGCATTGCTGTAAATCTCGGCAAGCTCATCCTTTTTCAGACGGGCTAATTCGTGCCGCGGTCGGACTTCAAAATCCGCCCCTATCGGTTTAGAATAGAGAACAGCTCGTGCAAGGGCAATGAGCATCGTCGTCTTCACCGCGCCAATTCGTAGGTTCTGGACCAACGTACGAACAATATAACGACTCTCCTCAGCGCCTCGCGCATCCTGCAGGAGCTTTTCGACAATTCTCTGCTTGGTCTCCTGGCTGCCAGTTCCTTTGCTTGTGGCAATCTTTGTTAGTGACTGGAAGACGCCTTTGATCCTTAATGGTTTCGGCTTGACTAATGTGAAGGACTGCCGTTTTTTGGCCTCAAAAGCAACGTCTCCTGCATCACCGTGTTTATCGTAAAGTGTTTTGAGACCTGAGTTATCAAGGCCGTAAATCTTTTTCAGTGCCTTCGAAATGGAGGAACCCCCTAGGCCTAGCTCGAGCTCATCGTATGGTGGCGATATCGAATTGGTTGCTAGCCATACGGCAGGCAGGACACTTGAAGGATCTCCTTCAATTAATATTCGAAGGAAATTAACTAGCGTATCGACAATTTTGATTCGACTCGTTGTTGCATTTGCGAGAACAAATGCTCTCGTTAACAAAGCGTAAGAAGCATCTCCGCCTTGGGTCATCCAATGCGACCGCAATTCTGCTGCCCATTGAGTTGCATCAAAAGTCAAGGGGCTCTGGTCCAAAGGAATCGCAAGGGATATTGTATCCTCTGTGCCAGCTGATGATTGTAGCGATAGAGTATTCTTCGAGGCCACTGGAGCTACCGATGGTGGAATGGACGGTATTGGTATAGATGGAGCTACATTGCTCTGCGAGTCTGCTGCTGTGGCTTCTGTGGGGGAATTGTCATTTTCTTGTCCGTTCCACTCAGCTTGTAGCTTGCGCGCAAAAGCTTCATCTGAGAGTGTTTGCTCAGTGACGTCGGGCTCTCTTGAACTGAATCGTTCAGTGGCTTGTCCTTGAAAAAAAGATTTAATACTGCGTGTCGGTTGTTTTGACGAGTCGGGACCATTTGTCTTTCGCTTTTTAGCTGGACTAGACATTATTCAAGGTGTGATAGTGTGCAAGATCACATTGCCACCGCGGAAGACGTCAGTCCAAAAGGCGGAGATCAACATTCGCGACACCTTGCGCTTCCGCAATAACGCATCCTTCTCCAACAATGGCACCTCTCACACTTTTATCTTCGCATGAGCGGACCCGAGTGGAAGATTATTTAAATGACAAGATTCAGGTTTCTGCCGATCTTGAGAGCCTGGATTCACTGCTATCCAGCCTTCGTGCGCAACAGGAGCTTCAGCGGAAACAGGTACTGCCCCACGCAACCCCGGTTTTGCCTCACCAAATACTGATCCAAACTCTCACACGACCAGCTAGCTGAAGCCGGGGAAGCACTCTCGAATGCGACAAAAGCCTCTAATGATCACGCCGAAGCCACTCGAAGGCAAGCGGAGGCTTTCACCGCGGAGCAAGATGACATCGACCGACGACTGAAAGCCATCACGCAATCTGAAACCAGTGATCAAGCGGCTAAGAGCCTTGAAAATAGTATGGAGAAGCTTCAGCGGCTTGAAATATCCAAGGGATATGTGGAGCTGCTCAACCAAGCTGAAGAATTGAGGTGTGTCACAATTGCCAAAATGCGGACTTAAGCACTGAGACACAGACACAGCAAAAAAGCACTGAAAATCATTGCTTCCGAACCGCGCGCCGCTATAAAGCCGTATTCTCAGCTACGAAACATCGTCGGGTTGCTCAAAAATGCCCAACCCGCCGCCGAGGGAGCAGCTCCTCATCTTATTAACTATACGGACAAACTGGCTTCAGCGCTGAGACAGGAGATGAAGAAATATTTTGGGGATCGGCTTCAGAGGACATTGGAGGAGTTGAAGTGGCCGTCACGAGAATTGAACGTCACTGATCAGGTTTTGGCTCGGTGGAAACAAGATGTCGAGTTGTTGCTTGACCTGCAAACACCGTATGTCCGTTTTAACCGGACCCCGATCCATATTCTGATCTTTTTTTTTGCCCCAGTGAACTCCAGAATCGCGATTCGCTCGCACCCGGCGTAAGCCTTCAACCGCCAGTCTTGTTCCCACTAGAGGTCATGGTGCATCATTTGGATCTACGGTTCCAATATCACTTCAGTGGAGACAAACCGACAAATCGGCTTGACAAGGTAAAATTATGCTCCCTCTTTATTATAAAATTGGCGGTGTTGTCTAACATAGTTCCAGCCTGAATATTTCCTGTCGCATATAATGGACCTCATCAACCAACACAGCGGGTTTTTCATGTCTTATCTGCAGCCCATCTTCGATGAAAGGGCCAAGGTGATTGGACCTAGCCTGGAATGGAACTTTTACAATGCATCACATAGTTTCATTACTGCATTACTTCCTATGTTGACTCAAAAGATCAACGTGTTTCTTCCTCAAATCTCAAATTACCCCCAATTGCTCAGCCATTTCATCCATGAACTGATGAATTTTGACAATGAAATTCGAGACACCTGGAACTATATGCCAGATCCATATGCGCAGGATAATTGGAAGGGCATGACTTGGGACGTGTTAACCAAACAAGGTTGGTATGACCGATGGCTTCAAGTCGAAAAGGACTTTGCATTGGCGCGATACAAAGATATTATCGACACTACAAACAGCGGAGAAATCGATTACGACGGCATGGAGCCTACTGCAACGAAGCCAACCAAGGCTGCAATTCGTGTTAATGATCTTCTCGAAACGATCACAGAGCGCTATCAGCCCCTGTCGTCCTTCAGCCAGAAGCTGCGCTTTCTCATTGATATCCAAATTACAATCTTCGATCAATTTCACGAGCGTCTTCATTCTGCACTAGAGGCCTACCTCGCCAGGACATCGACGCTCGGTCGTACTGTGCAGGGAGCCGACGGACAAGCCAGTGTGGAAGGTGTTGCCGGGCTGGAACGGCTTTGTAGGGTCTTCGGCAGCGCCGAATATCTCGAGAAGAAAATGGAGGATTGGAGCAACGATGTGTTTTTCGTCGAGCTTTGGTCCGAGCTTCAAGATCGCGTGCGACAGAACCAAGACGGTGGGCGAAACGTGGCTGGAACGATGTCTGTCGCGGAGGTAGCATCGCGTACCTCCCCCGCTGTGGCCAACAATGGCACCCACACCGAGACCTCGTCTGATGGTGCCCTCTTTGACGAGACAGCATCCGCGTACCGTCGTCTCCGTCTCCGCTCGGAATCCATCATTACATCCACCCTGTCCTCCAACATTCTTACAGCCTTGAAGTCGTATTCTCGGGTGTCCACTTGGGCAACGTTAGCAACTCCCTCCACCGCAGCCACCGCAGCTCCACTCTCGCCTACTTCAGATCTCGCCCATGCAATGCGTGTTTTGTCCATGCAGCTGTCTTTCCTCTCTCGCGCACTTGGAACCGCCCCCATGCGACGAGTTTCACGGCAGCTTTTATTGTCCATCCAGTCCTATATATGGGATAGCGTGTTGACAAAACACACCTTCTCTGCTAATGGAGCGGCTCAGATTGCCAGTGATGTCGATCATCTCTGCAGCGTGGTAGATTCTGCCCTCGGGGCCTCAAGCTATACGGGATCCTCAATGCAAATAATCAAAAAACTCAGCGAGGGCTTGCGTATTCTTTGTTTGAGTGCGACCGAGGAAGGAGATGTCTCTTCTCAGAACGATGGAACTCTAAGGTTGATGGATGTGGAAAACAGGCTGTTCAGAGATAATGAGAGCGCACGAGGTGTGTTGGCAGAACTGGAGATTGAGACATTGTCAGAGGCTGAGGCTCGATCTGTTCTGGAACGGAGAGTTGAGATCGGGAATTTATAGATATCATATCATGATAATGTCATTTCTTACTTTGCATTGCTCTATCATGATTGATAATAGAATCATGGATATTATATCTAGGGGGACCGAGACTGGTGGCTCTTGAAGGTTGAGGGGGGTTGCACTCTTGGCCACAGCACGCCTTCCCAAAGCAGATGCATCGACACCATCCCCGTGGAAGGAAGCACCCAGTCGGCTTTGCCTCGGGATGACGTAATATTTAGTGGCTCCCCTATCCACGGAAGAGCCTGTTCAAAGTTTTCGTGCCGTGCTTACCTCTACTACGTCTTATGATTGGCTACAAGTCTTTGGATCTGCGACGCGAAAGTGACGCGAAATAACGCGACCAGATTGGGTGACGCGACAATGGGTAAAATGGCATCAATTGGATCCGCGTGGATCAAATATAGATAGTCAGATAGTATTGTAGAGCTGAAATCGAATACCCCGCTCCGGGGCTGTGTATGTGGCGATCTAGGTTCACTTTTATAGGAAGGAGGAATGGTGCTCTGAGATCGTCAAAATTATGATAACAAGAATAACAAAAAAGAGGAAATGGTGAACAAAATCAACGTTCAGAGAGGGCAATAGCACAACCTCGGATGGAAGAAACCCATCAAAGTTGAAACAGAGGTACATTATAAATGTCTGAAAGAGCAACCCTATACATTATGAGAATGAGCCAGGGCTAGAAGCTATGGTCGCATTCTGACAAGGAGATCATTCATGGACAATATACTGAGTATGAACCAAAGACTTCGTCAGGAAAAAAATATGATTGTAGGTTCATTTAGGACCTGTAAGATTGACAACATCTAGACTCACAATCGAAACATTCGAGTCATGCCTTGCAAGCGTTTAGTAAAAGTGGAAGGATCAAAATTTATCATCAAGGCATTATTGGTGAGGGATCATAAACAAGATATGCAACAAGTAATGAAAGATGATATGGGGTACAGTGAGGATACCAATTTGACAGACAAAGACAAAGAAAATGACCAGACAGACGACTGGCGTGATGAATGATAGAAAATTCAAAACCGTCAAAGCAGAACATGACAAAGACAACGCCTGGGGATGCAAGCCGAATGAGGCTCATTCGCAATGAACCATCAATCCGGGTATGACGAGAGCAAATTACATAGGGGATGAACACAGTGTGTACATAAATGGTGATCATGAGGAGTTCGTGAATGAAGTTTAAGAGGGAGATAAAGCATAGATGAACAGAGAAGAGAAGATGAGGAGAAACAAGGGGTTTCAAGGATGCAATTCGCCGCCGAGCTGCAGAGCAAGCCCAATTTCCTTGCCACGGAGCCGGTTGTTGGAAGTGCTTGGAGGAGCCAATGCATCAAAGTTCAATCGCTTCCTGGCATCAGTGTTGACCAGTGGCGTGCGAATCGGATTACCGGGGGTGCGGCTTCCCCAGGCGGGTTGCGCCGGGCTCGGTGTCACGTTCACAAAATCAGCGAAATTGAACTGCTGGTTTGGAGTACTCATGTTGGCGAACATGCCAGCGTTGAAAGTAGGAGTCATGCCTGGCAGCACCGCGTGTTGACTGGGAGGGGTGGAGGGTGGGAAGGCTTGGTTTCCATTGCCCCTTGCAACCCGAGCGGGGGTAGGGGAGTTGGCCAGGTACAAAAGTAAGTCCGCACCGTCCTCATTCGTTTGCGATCGGTTGCCTCGGGAAATGCGCATGTTTTGAGGAGGAGGGGTTCTTGGAGGGGAGGAGCCCACCATTGAGCTCATATTTTGGAAGCTGTGAAGTGGAAGATCGGGATCAATCTCTTCAGACGGCCTGCCGTACACAGGAGACGAGAGTTCTGGGATTGGAGCCTCAGACATAAAGGGTGCCTGAGTGCGTCGGTTTGAAGGGTGTCGACTCATGCCAGGAGAGGATTCTGGTAGCCGATAAGAACTCTTCCATGAGGTCCGGGGGGCCTTGGCAGGACGTTCAGAATCCGAATCAGACCGAAGGCGCTTTCGACTGGCAGAGAGCATTGGCTGCATGACTCGAGAGTCGAATGTGGCTGCATGTTTGTTGCGAGCGGATCGAGGTAATTCCTTGGAGTAGGTGGAGGCTTGGAGGGGAGGGGAGGTGAAGGGAGTCTCGCAGCGGCTGCGTGAGAACTCAGATGAGGAATCGGATGGCTTGTCGATGTCAAGGATGGGCCTGCCATCACGCTGGTTCGGGTTCAGGCCATGCAGTCGACCGTGCTGGTACTTGAGTTTGGCAAGACCCAATCGATCTTGCAGGCTGAGAGAAACCTGTTGGAAGGGGAGTCCAGAGTCAGCTCACTCTACCAGTAAAAAAAACCCCCACTGGAAATATTTCGAAGCAGTCATAACAACCATACAAGACTTGGCCTCAAATTCCATCTCGAGGGTTCAATCTCGATTTTCTTCAGTTCTCTTACCTGGGCAATGTCGATCTTGCGGATAGTTTTTTCTGCCGACCCCGGCTGTGATAAAATCATTCTGATAAAATCCTGTTCAAACGGAAAAAGGAAGTAATTGACTTGAAAGTATGTTTCGAATGTGAAGTTGAGGGTGAGGGTGAGCAAGGGTGAGATGGAAGGGTGAGAGACCAATTGACGATCGAAATCCGCCCTGGAGCCGAACACGATCTGGAGAAGGAAGTACACTTGAACCAATTAGGAATTTTGAGCAAACGTCAAAGAATTTAGATTTTCTATGTGTCTAAAGAGCTGAAATCGAATATCAAACGCTCTGCTTTTCTTTTCTTTTTTTTCAAACAAAAACGGTCCCCCCATATCTTGTTCTCTCGCGCAAATCTCATTGATTCATTTCTGCAGTGAATGTACATATAGAATTGATTTTTCGCGTACTCCTACATTGTGAACATTTAAACCCTATTTACTTGTATGTTTTGATATGTTTGAAGCTTACTTGGGGTTAGATAATTTACTCTTCTGAAAGGCGCTAAACATCAAAATTTGACATCTGTCTACACTATGCTTCCCAGCCTCTTCGTTCTTTATTATTGTATAGTCGATCTGATTCTTGGCTCTATCCTCCTAGCTGTCACTTATAGTTTAATTCAAATAGCGTGGATAGCTGAACCCCTTTCTAAGCAATATGTTTTCTTTTTGCAGAATTCGGGATCTCCATAGAAACAATCAGACATGCAGCATTCCGATCCACTTACACCGAGAGTCGTTAGATCACATCTCACATGGGGAATGTGCAATGTGCAATTTTTGCTGTGTGTGTTATGCTAGCCTTGACCGAAAACAACGGTTTGGATACCTTATTAATTTGTAAATGTCTCAAATTTGTAGATGGCTGTTTTGTCGATATTGGGGAAAATAGGCGACACATGGAAACCCACATCCGATGTCCACACCGGGGCTTTTCTTTTGGTGATCAGTAAGAATTTAATTGACATTTGAACCAGCGTACCTGGACATCATGCAGCCATGCAGGCCTGATAAGAAGCAAGTTTCAAGATTTTGATATCGTTGCCTATGGATGTACCAGGTACATATGTCGAAACGTGTCCATGCGGGTAATGATGAGAATGAGCCACCTACGTAGTTATGCGAAAATCGGCAAATCTCTCCTAGCGATATGAAAATGTAGCATAGCAGGGAATTCATAAAAATTCAATTATAGTTAGTATATCCATTATAGTGTATGTAAATTCCAAAAGCCTTCTGCTATATTCCGTAGTTCAATCAATCTATACCTATAATGTATAACTACATGTATGTATTAAACTTGTACATACATGGTGGTATAACGCTTGATTCGATATGTACCTAGGTACTAGCACTTAGATCTAAGCTAAAGAAGAACTAAATCAACTAGGATCCACCGGTGAAACATTACGACTCTTAGGCTTTTTGTTAGGGCGTTGATATCCCAAATGTCTCTCTTACTGGGGGTACGTAATACTAGAAGAATTTCTAAGTATAGCTCTCGATATTTTTTTCTTCCTTTCGAGATCAAGCGGTTACCGATTTCCACCCCTTTAATCTCCAATTATTGGATTATCTGGCTGCTCCAATCCTATTGACATTGAATGATTATCTTGCCTGGTTGTCCCTTTCCCCTGGAAAACTCGTGGCGGGGCGACTCAACCGCAAACGGTCGCGTATCTCGCCCCCCCGTTCCTGACAATTGACCCAGAAGGGAGAATCTTCTCTCTTACTCTCACCAGCCATGTCGTTCCTCACATTCAAAGAGCTACGACGCCGTTCAAAGGCCACTTTTCAGAAAACCCCATCGCATAGCGTGGAAGAGGTCGCCGGAAAGTCATCCTCCACGATCGACACTTCCTCCCACAGCTCCATCACTCCACCGTCATCGATCAAGCCGACCCTCTCAACTCCCAGTCTTCCAGCTCTCAACGAGTCTGAGACCACTAGCGCAACAAGCACTCCAATTGCGCTCCAGCGACCGGGCCCATTTGTCGCCAATCCTCAACGAAACAGCGTCATTGTACGTGTCCATACCCTAATTGCCTGGGAATAATCACTGATCATTGGGGATACAGGGCAGTAGTGCATCGTCAGTTAATGGCGTGTACCGGTCACAGGCGCCCGTCTCGCCGTACGCCCCGCGAATTGTGTCCGTATCTGATAATTCATGGGTATGTGCCACCATGGCAGGCTTGGAGGAACATGGGTTCTTTTAGGCATAATGACAACGTTCTAATAGAATTGCAGGTCAATCAGAAGGTTCTACTCGTCTACGGCCAGATCGGCGACCCTCGACAACATCCGCTGGACGGAAATGTCACCGTTTACCACCACCAAGATAATTTCCCGTCGCTCGGCTGGCCCGTCACGGCGTCGCATTTCAAAGCCCTTGTTCATCTAGTTCCCGGTCCTAATCGCCTCCGTTTTGACTTCGTTTCACCTAAACTGTCCACCGGCAGCACCCACCCGGCTATTCACTCGGCATGGATCTGCATCAACTACCTCCCTCTGGTCAACACCCCGCCTTTACAATTGGTCGTGTTGCTCGGGAAAGATTCAGATGGCACATACGACGCAGTGCCAGAGAGAGCGGAACGCGAGGGAAATGATCTCCAAACAGCGATCCGAAAGTATCGAATGGCAGCTTACCTTTGGCAAGCCTTTACTGGTGAACAAATGTTCCGGAACAACTTCGGGCGGCGATGTTTCAGATTCGAAGAAGAATGGCAGTCTGGTAGCTTGAGCCGACGCGATTTGACTCAGGCTCAGATGCGCAACGAGGCCAAGATTCATGTTGTTCGCTCCGAGAAGACAGTAGCCGAACTTCGGGATCTCAATATCGCCCAGCAAAATGAAAAGGCTGAAAAGAAAGATGAGCTGTTTAACATTGCTAAGGAAGCTGTGCGAAACCATTTCCAACCTCAGCCCGGCCAAAAGCAATACGTCTCAGTCCTCTTACTCGATTCTCATTGGGACACTGAATCCCAAATGATTACGGGACATGCAGCCTTAGGATCTGCCGATGACGATATTAAGATGGCGATTTTTGGGTCTCACTGTCTCCAGAGCTACCCGTCCTGTCTGGAGGAAGTTGTGGATGCTTTCACGGACTGCACTCGAACGGACATGAACTATGTTGCCAATGACTGTGGCGAGGCAGGTTCCAACTGGGAGGCGGCAAATCTAGGCATCGGTGCTCACCTACATGAAGTTGGCCATCTGTTCGGATGCCCTCATCAGGAATCCGGGGTTATGCTTCGCGACTATGTCCAGCTGAACAGAACATTCCTGACCAGAGAGCCGTTCTCCACGCGCACCAAGGCCCAGGGCTTGAAAGTCTGCTTATCGAACGATGAGTGTGGCTGGCACCGCCTGGATGCGCTACGATTTCGATTTCATCCTAGTTTCAAACTTCCAAGTGATCCCTCTCCCAATTCAGATGACAGCGTCCAGGTGTGGCCAGTAGAGAGTGGAAAGATACTGTTCACTGCTTCATCTGGAATTGCATTCATGGAACTGTACGCCGAAGGTGATACTTTCTGCCACAAATTCATCGAGTACCTGAACACCGAATCAAGCCCCAACGGGCTTCCGCGACAAGTCACCGTGACTGAGAATGAGCTCCGTCAGCGTGTGTATGGTACTGAAAAGGAAAAAAAGAAGAATATCAAATTGGTAGTTTTTTCTGGCTCATTGGGCAGCTATACCGTTGAGAATATCGGCGACCTGAAGTCTAAGAACTCACTTGTCAAGTTGCCCAAAAGTCAATCTGGATTCAAAAGCGGCAGACTTGGCCATTCAGCAATGGAGGGCAGTGAGCCCGAACAGCTGTTGCTGGAATGTGCCTTCATCAAAACAAAGCTCTTGACATCGATCAAAGTCTACCATGGCTATGCCTTGGATGGTCTAGAGTTTTGTTACGAGGATGCGACCAGTCAGCTGTTCGGCAAGCGGGGAGGAAAGCCTGGAGGAGATGAATTTGTTCTCGACACCCGACGTGGTGAAATTCTGCTTGGGTTCTATGTCCGGGCTGGTCAATGGATTGATGGCATTGAGATCCTCACAAGCTTGGGAAGGAAATCAGGGATCTATGGAAACGCCCTTGGTGGCTCTGGGTAAGGATCGGCGATTTATTCTAATTATGAAGTATGCTAACCATTGGGAAACAGTCACACTTTGATTCCACCTTTGGGCTACAAAATTGCTGGAATTGCCGGCTCATCTGCTTCATGGGTTGATGGTTTCTCATTGATCATCCAGCACTGAAGCATCTTCGCATTTCATTCTCTACCAACAGTCAGTCCCATTAAACGCATCCAGCCCTTGGGACTCGTCATCTTCTATTTCATCTCGCAATGCCACCCGAACATCAGTTCAATTATATGGCTTAGTTGAACCTCGGACAATCTTGAGACGTCTGATTTTCAGCCTCACGCGCCGGAAGGCCACTGGGTCTTCCATATTCTTGCCTTTTTTTTTTACCCTTTCTTTCCCCCTAATACAGGGATAGGTGAATCCGAGTACAGAACCGGCCCTTGGCCACTGCATACACGTGGTTCTGTCAGGATTTGTCTGTGTCCATATGTTTTTTTCTGTCTAATCTTTTATGTCACATGGTGTCATGGGTGTTATGGGTGTTATGGTTGCATATGTGCATGGTGATTCTCTCTCTCATTGGTCTTAGATCTGGTTGATTGGGTTCCAGAGGCATCATGGATAACACTAAAGTGCGTAATCATTTGGCATGTCGATGGCCACGCCATTTGGGGGCCATCTTGTAAAGAAGACATTCTCATTGATTGCAGGGTTCATAGAGAGGTAATATCATCGAGTGACTGTTGGTATTCATGAGTGGTGATCAAAGTAAACGAATTCGTATCTGGCCATGATGATAGTGATGAAGGTAATGTACCCAGATCGCTACCTACGCACATACATATGCATGTACTAGAACAACAAGCAAGTGTATGACGAGAGCCGCGAAGCGATGTCAGATCTTCGAATCAAATCGAATAACCGACCTCTTTCGGGCGGATATGAGGAGCAATGCGGACAGACCATCCTCCTTAAGTAGTAGTCAAATTTCCAACTGAAACCACCATCCCGGCTACTCCAGGGCTGCAACATTCTCATGTGTACCAGATACTACTTAGACACTTCTCGCCTTGAGTAATAAAAAATAAATAAAAGAGAAAAATGAAAATAAATAGATCGTACAGGTATAGCCTAGAACATTCCCAATCAATCTGTCCAATTAATGATAATTACGGAAATTTAATTGTTCGCCATAGAACTCTCTGCGACGTACGGAGTAAACGTAGCCCATATCATAGAGTGGGGGGATTGAAATTATATAGTAGTGATCTCATCAATAATACAGTTTGATACTGCACATATCCATGGTGATGATTACGACCGAATCACGGCTCAGAATCGACAACGGCATGTTCCACATGCCGAGCTTTTCTGGGGGAGAGAAGTCTTGGAAGGTCGTCATCGATTATCTTGTACCGTCGAATTTGAATTCGTAGTTTGAATTCGACGGATGCAGCAGCCGGGAGTCAAAAGTTCCAGCTACATTGTAGGATATGCTTTTATAATGCGTTATAGAGAGCTCGTCATAGAACTTCTAAATTTTGCTTTAATGTTGCTTGGATACAACATACGATAATACAATACCTACATATGTACATAGATCCATTTTTGTCGTCATAAATGACAATTTTGGAGAGGATGGGTAGAACATCCGACCAATGAGCGTGAGCATGGAGAAATATCGGCAAACCCATCCATAACACGTTGTACAATATTATATAATTGTGGATAAGATTTACGTGGAGGATATTATTGTAAAGTCTGAGATTCCTAAGAATGCCTAGAGAATCCTTTTTCTGATAATAGCATCATAAGCGATACAAAATAGTATGGTGACATCTCATTCAAAGCTCTATACAATATCATACAATATCCCCGAATAAAGTCAGAGTATGTTCGCCACACTGTTTCCATGATATCAAATACCATTGGTTGTGGATAAGCTTAGACAGTTCCACCGGTTCCGCTTCCCCCCCCTCCCCCCTCCCCCCGCAATTCCTCTAATTCGTGCTTGACTTGGGCAAAGACGGGAGTATGCGCCGTATAGAAATCGGATGATATTCCTGTGGCTGATGCAAAGCTGCGTAAGCTGGTTCAACTCCACAATTCTCAAAGACTGCGGATGCCTGATACCGAGGTGGCAAGACCGTTTTTCGGGCTGACTGGCTAATCGCCTTTAAGCCACAAGGGTCGATGAGTCCCTATCCATATTGATCTTAGTGAGGTACCTACATTGGCCCTATAGTTATTATGCGCATATACAATGATTATATGTGTACATATGTAGGTATCACTCTCATGTACTTAGTGCAGAAACTTAGCCGCTGACATATTCTACGCGCCCTCCAGAATTGTAACTATTAAATAACTACTTATATGTACTTTCCACTACGTTGTACAACATAATCCTAGATGCAAAAGATCGTCGTTGTGAGACATGAAACACTCATCTAAATGGTCACTCTGTTTTCACAATGTGCTCCTCAAACACGAAGATTACAGTACATTATGGCTCAGCGGGCTGATCTGATATACTTGTCAAAGCTCGATCGACCAGTAATCAATGAAAATCTATCTGACTGCTGTTTTCGATCTTGATCAACAGATGACTAAAAAAGACAGGGATATCCAGTCACACCCGATTTCAATTTTCTTTCGTTCTGATGTGGGGTTCCAGTTTTCTTAATCCGACTGGTGGCTAGCGCCACATATTGGCCCTGTCATATCACCAAAAATGTCTGCCATGACGGGGTGGCGTTTATGCTGTGAATAAGCAAAATGGATATCGACCAGTTCGTAGCGACACCTAGGTATTGTAGGTTTGAACTATCGGACGGAGTAGTTAATATATATATTTATACAACGTATTTGTTTATATTCATGATAGAAAACGCCCTACCTACGTAACATTGCATGAGATGATGTAGGTGGAGAAAGGGGTTCCTTTATTTACTGGCGTTTTTTGCGTGATTTGATATTGTTATGAACGAGTCTGTATTTATATCTTGTACTGTCCTATGTATGTATTTACATTCGTCAGTATTTTACTTTTGAAATACAGATTTCATGCCTTAGCTTAATAGCTTAAAATGATAGCTGCACGCTAGATGCCTATACCTATGTACAGAGTACCTAGAATAAATAGAATAAATATATTATTGTCAATATAATTCAAGACATTTTGAATCAGGAGGAACATGTATGAACAGTTCTTGGCATTCTAGGTATATAACTGGTGTATATCTTCTTAACCTTGATTTTTATACATTAGAGGCACTTAATTAGGTATCTAGTTATCAGGACGTATATCTATGACTAGGTAGTATCTAACTTGACACGTTGTTAATCTTAAAAACCTCTCTGGGCGAATATCAAGCTTAGAGCAGAGGCCGAATACTAACTAAATCGCATTTTCACAGTAAGATAGGTGTATATAGTTCAACGTACCTTCTTTGCCTGAGGACAACAATTTACATGCTTTCTTTATATAGTTACAAAGCAGTTACAGGATACACATTCTCGTCGAATCAGTATTGTATGAAGACGTAACATGACTCATGGCACGTGCCCTGCCTGAACATCCGAGCGCCAAGATAGCGTTTTGATTGGCGGAATCTCGTTCCAGTGCAATCAATGTGCTGAGTTTGTTTTTGCCCTGGTATGCGGCTGTTAAATGTTTGTATATTATACCCCAGTATCGTAATTTACGTAAACGGTACCATTACTTTGTCTGTAAATGTTAGTTACATTGTGCATAAAATACTGCAGATTGTGACCGACGCTACTAGGATCACGGTGATTTGACTCCCTAGTCTACATAGCTTGTTCAGACGATCGTATGCTCTTCAACCTCCTAAAGCTTACCTATAATTGTTATATACTATAGTTATACGTTGTCAAATGTATAACTAACATTGTATAGGTATCTTAGACCAAAAATGATGTCATCCTAATTGCTATCATGGATCCAATTGATTTGATTGACACATTCTCGGGCCCAGCCAATCCATTCCAACCGAAGGAACTTATGAACATTAGTTCGGGCATAGATTGATTTACCTCGGTAGCCAGTATGATCAATCTATCACGCCACAGTCTCCTAGCATTGTATGACGAATTCGGTTAAAGTTTCAGTATTCTTCGTGGCTAAGTGAGTTGTACCTCTAGTATGAGGTCAGGTCATAAACTTTGTGGCTGTGAAGTTGTGCTCTACCCTCTTTGATGGTATGTACTTAAATATTGAATAGCTGTTAGTCAGTGGTATAGGTGGTAATCGAGTTCAGTCATACATAACTATAAAGAAATTGTAGTATATCTAAGTATATGATTGACAATTGTAGCTTCGATTGAGTAGAGAGGAGAAAAAACATTATCCGGCCAACGTTGATTTGCGGCAACACAATGAAAATGTTTGCATTTCGTAAGACATCTCCTACCGTGTACCCGTGGACGCTGTAGCCCCATAGAGGTCTCTAATCCATGGATCAAGGCTACATATATCACCTGTTTACACTGTCACACGCTATAATTGGTCCTGTAATCGATTAAATAAAAGGTACGAGAACTTCTTTTTCAGAGGCAAAACCATTGTTCGGTATCTACCTACGTAACCATATCACTACCCAGACGTTGTTATAATGTACGGAGTACATATGTAGGTACGTAGAATAGTTCACTAGTTAGCTCGAAACGTGGCGAAAGAAGCATGGCGAAAGAACCTTAGGATATCATACGTAATGACAGTATATATAACGTATATTGTATACATACATATGTACAATATAATATAGTAGTTAATCTAGCTAGTTAGACAGAACGTAGATACAAATAGTGAGATGATTGACAGAATTTAGTAATTTACTAGTTATACATGACTACGTAACTACATGTAACCTAGTTAGCTATCAGTTTCTATTTTCGAGTTGATGAATTTTATACTGAAACATACATACCTACCTACATACAGTATACTGATACACAATAATACGCAAGATACCCTCGCACTGTTTTTTTCGTTTTCTTATTTTCTATTTCTTTTTTATTTCCCTTTTTAGTTTCCCCCACCGAGTCCCGCACGGCTTTCCGTGGAAGTATTTTAATTTTCTCCATAATTCTTGCCCCTTTACCAATCAATTTATATATTGAAAATAGAAACAGAAAATCTTTTAGAATGTTGAGCCTTAGAGAAAGAAGAGGAAAAAAAAAAAAAGAAAAAAGAAAAAATAGAAAAGTCACTTTAATACTTTCATATTCGTCCATGTGCCCTTCAGGTGGCGACCTTTCCCTTCTCTCTTTCTAATCTTCCGAAAGGGCCCCCCTTGAACTTTGTGGCTCAGTGGATGTCACTTTTTTGTGGGATCTCATAGATCTTTCGTTATTGGAGGCTCCATGAACCGTACCATCCTTGCCCTTCTTCCTTCCCTCTCTTTAAAAAAGATCGTCATACCTCCGCTCCCCTCCTTCACCCCTCGTCTCTCCAACTACATCATATAACTTTTTAAAAACTTTTATAAACGACATTTCCCAGCATTATTTTGGTCTCGACTCTTCCGATTTTGATCGATCTTACCATTTTTCGACCTATTCCCGCGACCTTCCGTTGATAGCCTTGAAGGCTTCACCATCAACATAGTTCCCAGTGTTGCCTTGCCCACTACGCCTTTTTCAGAGGATTCTGATTTTCGAGACCGAGATTTACGACGCGAGGCCCACTAGATTATAATTCAGGAGATTTCGAGTTGCACGCTTTTCCGAATACCAGCACCCGCAAGCCGAACGAGACCTCGAAACCTCAATTCTGGACCAGAGCAAACCAAAATTTACTCACAGTGGTCCCCGACCTCACAATTACCTCGACTTTTTTGTGCAGTGTGGATTAGATGTTGCATACTAATTTGTGGTCCTCTTCCCTCCTTTTCCACACCTCTCCGATTACCTACGCTCTCTCCGATTAAACAGCGTTCGCAAACAATACCCAATGTTTAGTAACCGGTAAGTCACTTTTGCTGGATCTGTTGTAGCAGCGTTATTTCCAAATCGCTAACTCAAATTTTCTTTACAGTAACAACACCCAGAAGCCTGATGGTGAATTCATCAGTCGCTTCCAGCAAGCATTCTCAGAAATCGTTCCCCGAAGGGACAGTCACGGCGCGCAAAATGAAGAGCTATTCGGTGCAAGAAACTCTATGATGCCCCAAGGGTATGTGTTTAATCCACACATCCACATATTATGTTCAAAGAACAAATCTAACAACAAACTACATACAGACTGGCAGATAACACCGATATGAAAATAGAGAGTCACAATGTCAAGTTTTCTATGAATAACAATGACCGTACGCCTCGAAACATGCATGAACTAGGCTTGACCCCCTCATGGATGGAACCTGGATCATATTCCATGATGCCTCTTGCCAACCAACACCCTGGATTTTACACCCCCAACTCCGGCGGAATGGGTGCTATTTTCCACAATCAAGCCGGTGATTTACACACTCCCACGGGGATGCATACGATGACTCCGCTTTCTCTTTCGGGCATGTCAGGAACGAACCACCACCCGCATGCAAGTGGATTTGAGCCCTTCAACCCGCATCTCTTGCAGTCAATGCAAGAAATGAACCCATATTCCCAACCGCCTTCATACGCCCCAAGCGCTTTCATGCATCGGGACACCGGATACGATGCTATGGATGATTCAATGGACAATTCGTCTATCAATGATGTACAGATTGAAACAGCGTCCAGCGTAACAGCTTCAACAGATTTTTCAACTCAAATTAGCGGCGGTGACACGTCTTATACCAGGGGTGAAAAGTGAGTCGAAAACTGACATGATCACCCGGCTGTTCATGCTGACCATGCCACCAACTTCTAGATTCCGCTTCAATGTTTCTTTACGAGCACCGACAGCAATGGTAAAAAACTTGCGCGAAATTCCCATCACTTATCTCAATAAGGGACAAGCATACAACCTCACGATTATGGACTCAAGTCCCCCGATGATGACCCACGAACCTATTCGGTATAGAACATGTGTTCGCGTTTCGTTCGAAGAACAAGAGCAAAGGGCGAAACCATCGACATGTTGGCAGCTGTGGAAAGAAGGAAGAGGTTCCAGTGAAGCCCACCAGCGCGGTGGAAAATTGTTAGCGGTCGAATATGTCGACCCACTTCAAGGCGGTGGCGATGCGCACAAGCACCGACAAGTCCAAATTGAGAGCATGTCTGTCGACGGATTCTGCGTGACTTGGACTGCCAACCCGACCACTGGCATCGCCGATTGCCATGTTCCCGTTCGATTCAACTTCCTCTCAACCGATTTCAGCCATTCCAAGGGCGTTAAGGGAATTCCGGTCAGACTTTGTGCCAAAACCGAAGTCATATCACCAGGCGAGGAGATGGGCGTACCGCGCAGCATGGAATTGTCTTACTGTAAAGTCAAGCTCTTCCGGGATCACGGTGCTGAGCGGAAGCTTTCCAATGATATTGCACATGTCAAAAAGACAATCGATAAGCTTAAGCAACAGGTTTCGCAGGCGGAGATGGGCGGTGGCTTCGGCAAGCGCAAACGCGGCAATAATTCATCCACTGCTAAGGGATCCGAGCGAGCTATGAAGTCTTCGAACCATAAGCGCGCTTGGTCGATGGGCTCAGATGATGGCCCGCCTGAAAAAATCTCACTCGAAGATGACCTGCAATCCAAGCTCTCTATAATGCAAGAAATGTTTTCATCCACTCGACCGGTGAGCATTCTCGGTTTGCGTGGTGACGAGGCCGATGACCCAGACTTGCATCCGATTCGACTCGATGGCGATATGGGCAGATTCGAACAATTGAGTCGACAAAACTCGAGCGTTATGCAGACTGGGGAATCGATGATACCATCTCCAGCCAACTCCAATAACTCTTCTTCTAATTCGCCTTCTTCCCTTTCCCATTCAACCAGGCTGTTGACAAAACCGACTACAATTCAACGAATCCCATATCGTGATCAAGAATCTCGAGGGTTCATTGAGGCTGTTGGCGTGGACCCAACATACCGACCCCCTACAGAATGCCCACCAAAGCCAAGTAAGCTATCCCAGATTCACCCCGTCGTTGAAACTCTTTCTAACTTTTCTTGCAGTTGCATGCTTCTATATTCGTTTCAGTGGAAACGACAAACACTCACAAGATTACTATCGTGCGATCTATCTGTCAGAGCGCACTGTTCGAGATCTCATGAAGCAAATTTCAGAGACTCATCACGTGGATCAGTCACGAATCTCTAACGTCATGCATGTCAATAAAAAAGGCTTGCGAATTTTGGTCGACGATAACCTGGTTCGCCAGCTTCCAGAGGGCCAAGACATGATTGTCGATATCTCTGAACCGGCAGGCTCTAGTGGCGGTACGCCTGGCATGAACTCATCTGCCATTGAGATCCGTTTAACCTTTTAAAACTGCATCGCATGCCTCCCAAGACGATGCTCGCTCCGTTTCTCGTTATCACAACATCCAACCTCCAATGCCTTGGCTTGCTGGCAACCGCTTTCTCCCTTCGCATGATCCGCAGTGCACAACCCTTTTCACTTTTGAGCGCATCAGTTGCAGTTGGACCGTGTGCTGGACATGCAAAAAACCTGCACTCACTTCTAATTCTTTTCGTTATCTTTCCTTTTATTTAAATCTCATTTGTCCTATGGTTGGCAATTATTATTACACGGGGCGTTGAATCCGGGGATAGTACACGAGTCTCCGAGCAATGATACCCTGTTAAACTATGTTTCTCACTTCGAGTCTATGCTTCTAAGCTTGGCGTTGTTTTCTTTTCCATGACAATACATGTGTCGATGGACTATTGGACTTTTGAGATACACACTTGTCCTTTTGTTGTTGTTATTTCGATCTGGTCGAGGGCCGAGCAAACGACGTTGATACCCTGTTCCATATTTTATTCCAACCTATCTTTTTCTTGGCTTGATCTATCCTCTTCCCGGTCGGCTAGTATTCCCGGCTACCGATTATCACGCATGTTTCCAATGTTCTCTACACCCTCCGCATGTATATAGGCTTGGAGTGTCCATCATAGATAGTCACTAAAGTATGGCAGCCTCATTCTCAAATCCACTGTTTCAGACCCCAAGCTAAGAGATCACTTTCATCAAATCTCGTTGTCAACCTTCGACCTGTAAATTCGTAGCTCGTATAGCATAGTATGATGCTAATAGCAAATAACGATATATCAAAATACCTACATATGTATAAAGTCAAAAAATCGCGAACATTTTCAACTTACAATTGATGCTTGGCATTAAAAGCCAACACGTCAACCGAAAAATGATTGGCATGTAGACTCCAAATCGGGCCGACCGTGCGAGCAGGCAGAAAAGAAATATTGAAACATCGGTTATCAACCCAGTGGAACGGGTGCTGTGGCTTGCGCAGCTTCAACAGCAGCCAACCATGAAAATGTAATTTACAATATTTAAAGGCTCAATAGATATCCACCCCCAGAGCCGGTCCCAGTAACCAGGTAAAAGATACAAGGCTGTTGGGATGGTTTGGGTGAGGATCCCATGGACCGTCTTTTCGGGATTCTGCTGCTACTATGATTGGCTGGGTTATCAAGCCTGTGCTGTCAGCGAACCAATATGAGGTTCGGCATCGGGGAGGAACTGTCTTCCCGAGATTCTCCATTCGCAATTTCGGGAAACTTCCAGGTCGAATTCTCAATATGGAGTAGCGCTAATCACACTGTTAGTGGACGTTGGAAACTTTTCTTCTCTTCTCGCTTAGGTCTCATAATAGAATTCCAAATGTAAATATACCTGGTAGATTGTAATACACTACATAACTATGTAGTTTTGTTTAAGTAGAACAATAGTCCATTCCTTGGTGTAGTTCGCACTTTATCTACATTATTGCAGTAACCAAAAACTGACGATGTATTCTGTAGGATTATTAATGGATATCTCTCAATTCTGTTGCGTCATCCCTTTTTCCTCTTCTTTATCCTCTCTTATCGCTTTGTCTCATGATTCAATCTCGCGACCCAGAACGGTCTCCTGCCGATCTTTTCATTTTATTTTAACGAAAACCCTTACCTCTAGCTCATCCGATAGTGGATCTAGCTTGAGATCGGGAAATTTTTCAGTATTTACAAGTATTATAGATCACAATGCTGTTCATTTCACTACCACATTGTATCTCATATAACCTATGTCAAACTGCTCGCATATTTAGCCCTAGACCAACTAATAATATGTATGATGTAAGATGTAGCCCTGTTCCTTGGAAGCGGGGGCCTTGGAAAAATACATATGTTCTATGCGGGTCGTCCCGTTACGACCGCTCTTTTGGGTCTAGTCATGTTACTTACCGCCAATTTGGAGGGTATTGGGTTGGAAATACTGTATAATGTATGTACAAAACAACGTACATCGTATTTGTATATCGGTATTTTTCGGTCGGTAGCCGAATTGATCTCTTAACGTTAGGATCTCACTTGGGCACTTACTTTGATCGATGCCATTAATTGGACTGTTGATCTTCGGAATTCTCCATTTTGCTCTAAATGAGGTACTTGCGGGGGGTATTTTTGATCGGCATTTGTTGCATCTCACAATGGGGAGTAAGACCGTGCAAATAACCACTAGAAGCAGAGCTTCGTCGAGCTAGACTTTGCATGAAGCTAATATGAACATGCAATTTGTCAGGATTTTGGAAGCAGAGAATGCAAGAGCCTCAATGCTTATGTTGTATGTCGTGATCATGTTGCAATTTCACCTGATAGCCCTGCCATGTCCCCCCTAAGTCGTGTCACCATCATTCTCGACTTCTTTGTATAGGGCTGAGTGTTCACTTGTAACCAAATAAATCTAGACTTTCCAATAATGGGCAATTTCACGGCCTAAGTGATCATATTCATACCTGATCATCTTGCAGGTATAAGCTGAATTTGGGTTGCCATGTTCGTGTGAATCGTTACCTCAGACGTCAAAGATCCTGGCTAGATTTTGCTACTTTGTCTTGATTGTGAAGTTAGAATTTGAATTTATTGCCTAACAGACTAACACCAGAGTGGCGGAGCATATGGTCTATTTTTTATTAGCATCTTTCTACTTCACAGTCTGAATGAGGTATGACGTTAATCAATTTCTATGGTACCCCAGCCTATTCATAGGTCTATATCGGTTATTCCGATACTTCTATTTATGATTGCATCAACCTTAAATTAGTATTGACCGCTAGATGTGATGATTATATATGTTCTTATGTACAGCCCATCAACGATACAACTACTCCAAACCCTCCTACCCTACATCTTGCACATCATTTTCAGTCAAGGAACCATATTTAGACTGTCTCACTCTATTCATACAAGTTCAGTTACCAGTACGTCCCAAATTTGAGTTTTTATTCAAGTTGTACAGTGGTTGTTGTTCAATTTATATGGAAGAGGTGACTCCATACCAAGTACTTCAATTTAGCCCTAAGCGGAAGTCGTTACTTCCTTCCTTGTGTACTTCTTTCTGTTCTCATCTTAGAGAATAAAAAAAAACATACACACACGTTCCAAGGTTGTCAAGGCGATCAGAGTTCTTTTCTAAGTTTGTTCTTTTTTCTTGTTTACCTATCTACTTATTTCACCTCCCATCTTTTCTTCCCCTTCCTCTTCTCTTCTCTTCTTCCTCTCCACGCTCGCTCAACCTTTTCTAAATCACCTTCCTTCTCATCGATTGCTTTTTGAATTCCGTCAAGTGATCACATTACATTCTTTTATCCATTGGGAATTTGTCACGATGGCGACTTGGGCGCGTTTCAAGTTGCTTCTACTCATGATCGCCACGCTAGCGACCATGGTCGTTGCTGAGGCTGGTCTGTCTTGTCCTCAATCATCTCTTGCATCCTTATCATCAATCACTGACATTGTCTCTGAACAGAATGCCACCACCTTGAGACTGTTTTACTTCAGGATCCTACTACTGGTGAACAGTTCTCGGCTGGTAAAGGTAAGGCGAACATCTTTTCTATGCTCATATCAGAATGTAACATTACTGATTGATTACTTGACACAGTCAACCCTCTGCCTCGTTTCTTGTTTAGTCGTGCTGCTCGTCAGTACCACAGCCTCAGTAAGTTTAGGCTCCTTGCACTTCGTGCAAACATCACATCTTCCGCCCCTGCTTTTCGTGGACCAATGACTAACCATGTCCAGTCACTGTGACTGTCACCGAGATTACTTGCGGTCCTGACACTCAGGATTCTACTACCACTGTTACCACAGACGTTCCTTGCACTACTGGTCACACTACTGTTCCTGTCACTGTTGAGACTACCATCTCAGTATCAGCTCAAACTCCTGTGCAGGTGGTTTCTCAGACCACGGTGCCAGTTGCTCCTCATACTTCTGTTTCCAGCATCCCTAAGGCGTCAACGCAGACTACCGTGCCAGTTGCTCCTCACACTTCTGTATCCAGCACTCCTGAGGTGGCTCCCCAGTCTTCTGCTTCTGACACCACCCTGGTGACTTCTCAATCTTCTGCTCCTAGGACTCCCAGTGCTCCTCGGGTGTCCACTGGAAGTAGCCCTGGTTCCTCCAAGGTTACTGCCACCACTACTGTGTCAGGCTTCTCTCCTTCTCCCCACGTTACCAGCATGGCCCCGGTTTCTTTCACGACTACTGAGCAAACCAACTCCACTGCTGCCGTTTTTGCTACTGCTTCGGTTGCCAAGTCAGGTTCCTCTTCCAGTCTCAATGCTACCGGAATTTTACCGGTCCATGCCACCACTGTTGAGGACTACACTACCTCCACAATTCCTGTGTCTGCTACCGAGGTGACTACCAGCATCGTTACCTCTTCTCGTCCCTCTGAGTTGATTCCTGCTCCTGATAGCACTGCAATCACCTATACAAACTCGACTGTACCCCAAGCTCCTGGACCTGTGACCGAAGTGACCACTGATTACCTCACATTTCCTTGCACCGAATCTACCGAGTTGGCTCCTACCCCATGGACTACTGTAATCACTGTAACAGTTGAGGTTCTTTGCACTGAGACCACCCGGTGCCTCACCACAAGCGTTCTCACTACTAATACTCTGTTGATTTCTAACACTACAGCCGTCCCTGCTGCTGCACCACATGTGGCCACTACCACAGAGATTCAGCCGGTTGCCCCAACTCCTGAGAAGACTATCACCGTCTCAGTGACTCCTATTCCGGCCACTGTCCCAGTTTCACACCTCACTACTGAAGTTGCGACCACTGTCATTCAGCCAACTCTTCCTGCTCCCCTTCCTCAAGAGACCACCAAGCTTGTGGCCACTGTTGTTCAGCCAAATGTCCCCGGTGCCCTTCCTCAGGAGACCACAAAGGTTGTGACCACTGTCATTCAGCCAACTGTTCCTGCTCCTGCTCCGCACACCACTACTGGGCTTGTGGCCATTATCATCAATCCAACTGTTCCTGGTGTCGTTCCTCAGGAGATCACAAAGTTGGCGACGACTGCGATCAAACTTACTGTTCCAGCTCCCAACCCGCACGAGACCACTGTTGCCAAGCCCACTGAGCTGATTCCACTCCCCGAGGCCACCGCTGTCGAAGCTTCTACCCAAGTAAAGGCTCCTGCTCCACCTACTCAACAAATCACTACGAAGGCGGAGACTACGGAGACCAACCCGATCGCCGAGGTTCCCACTACACTGGCTACTACTGTTGTGCCAAAGCTTCCGGCGACTCAGGCCGCGGGTGGCAAGCCCGGCTCCCAGCTCCCAGCTCCTATTCGGCCAATCAAGGGGACTGGTAGCTCGGCTCCTCCCAGGCCTTCTTCGAGCCCTATCTTCAATGATGCTAATAGTGCTGGGATTGTGGACAGCCGTCTCTTCACCATGAGCATTATCATTATGTTCTCTCATATTGTCCACTTGGCGATTCAATGAGAATTACATACATGCTTCCCGTGTTCAGAGGCAAGTCTAGCCGCCTTTGAGTGTAGGAAAGATAGCACCTGACACGATGAATTCGTCAAGATTGAGTTTTGAGGAACCCATAATTTGCATGGGTGGCCTTTGTTCTTTTTATGGGATGCCACGGCTCCCTTTAATATTGCAAAATTTTATCAGTGAACTCATATTTTAGTTGAGTTTTAGCTTCCTAATTCAAGAGGTTCACTGTTCAATGTATCTACATGGTAACGAGCTTCAAGTAAAATTTAATCCAACAGAGTAAGGAAGCTATCATTACAGTTGCCCCGATAAGATGTTTCACTGATGGTGTCATTAAGAAGTGATGTACACTTTCTTTTGTATGATTTCCATGGCTTATTTGTGATGCAGTAGGTTCAAGCTGGTTCTAAGATTTGATGATAGAAACTATGATATGCAAAAGCTTACAGTCAACCGAGGACATGGTGCTAAAAGGTAACGACCAGTGCAACGACAGTAGGTATGTAGATAATGAGTTCAACTTATCGCGCAATTATTGAATGGACAGGGGCCATTACGTTTAACAATCTCACAGGATGGATAGCATGCGTAGCTCGGCAAAAAGGGTATCTCAGATAACAAACGAGAATGCATAGGTATGTGCACATGAAGTATACACAGGGCAGGTGAATGGCGCAGCGATCTCTACCTTCGGGTAATTCAGGATTCAGCCTCGCCAAGGGATTCAATCTGTCTTGTCAAAGCGCAGATCCGACATCCATCGCCGATCTTATCACGCAAAATTCTTGCTGTCGTGACTTTAGGACCAACGATGCGAGAAGCAGTGGCAGATGTAGATTCGTCCACTGGGGACATGGGTCGAGGTGTATGGTCTGTAGATCGGTCACGACTGTTGGTGCCGGATTGCCCATCTGGATGCAGGTGAGATAGATGGAAGATATGACCACAAGCAAATCCAACAAGGATTTCTCGTTCTGCGATTTCATTTAGTATTCTTTCAAAAGACAATTCTGGGATTTAAAAACATACCATTTGCACGGAAAGCGGCGTTACAGCCACCGCATCTTCCTTGTCCAGGGCCTGCGAATTTCTTTGCACCACTGGTCTCGGACACTCGATCTTGTTTTTGAGATTTGGTTGTCAGCGTCAGGGTAGAATCTTGCTCTCCGTCTTCGAGAACATCGAATTTGATTCCACGACGCTGACCTTTGCGTAACGAGTCCATGCCCAGGGCAACTTCACTTTGCATGACCCTGGCCGCGCCTTGGCTAATACTAGCCTGCAGATCATGCTCACGAATCAAACGTGTGAGACCTTCCCTGAGGCCTTCAATCTCCAGTCCGCTTGGAATCCGGCGCACAAGTTTGATCGGATCGACGGCCGTTCCAGCTTCAACCAGGAGGCCATGGATGAACTTCGGCTTGTCCATTGAGTAATCAAGTAGATCCTCCCATAGGTCGGGGTCTTCCTGTGATTTAGCAAATGAAATGGCCTGTGAAACGTCCTTGAGATCTGACAAGATCAGGTTCAGAGCACGCTTGGTCTGACCCATCTTGGAAAGGAGATAAATCAACTCCGGGGTAAAACTATGCTCTTCACAGATGTATGTGGCTTTCTCGAAAGAATAGGAGATGCTGTTTTGAAGGAATTCCATCAATAGAGGACGGTCATAGTCGGCAAAGACCTCAACGGTCGTATCGGCAAAGTTGTCAATTAAAGCTTTGCCCTCGTCGGCAGCAAGCTTGTTGGCTGCGTCTCGAGCATGGGCTCCACGTCCTCTGCGAGGTTTGGATGCTTCATGCGGTAATGATTCGCCTCGCCAGAGCGCACGGAGATAGAAATAAAGAAACAGGAATCGGTTTGCAGCGATCAACTGCGACACCACCATTTCTGGAAGAACAATCCCCGTGTATGCTTCGCTAACAAGAAGCCGTGTAGACTCAGAAGTCAGCTCCTCCAACTCAGACTTCGTGGCTGACTTCATCTGCTCTTTGGAAACCCGGATCATGATGAAGGCCGGTATATCATCGGTCACTGCATCAAGCAAGCGGTGTTCACGGACCAAGGACATAGCTGCATCTGCATCCTGGAGTCGAATGTAGCAACGCAAAGCTTCGCGGTAATGCCCTCCAACCAGGAACAACCTGGCGAGACAATCCGTGAGTGTTCGCCATTCCTCCGATTCAACGCGTACAAATTCCGGTTTAAGTTGTGCTTCAATCGCTTCTGTGACCGTATTCGACTCGAATAGATCAGATGGCCATGTTTCGATCAATTCTTTGAATTTGGCCAGATCTCGAGACACGTAGTGAAGTAGAACGGTTTCGTAGATCACAGAAGACAACGATGGATGTAAATCAACCGGAATATGTGGAGTAATCTCATCCAGTCTATCATTGTTGATAAAGACCCAGGCCCAGTGTTCCCAACGCGGAGCGTTGCGAATGACTTTACCACAGATGCTCGCAGCGTCAACCCACTTCTCCTCATTTACAAGCTGTTTGACCCAAAGTTCCCCAAGGCGAGCCTTTTCTTGTTCAGCGGCAGAGATCTTTGGTCGCCCAGCCGTTGTGATGGATGATCGATCATCGGCGAAAAAGTCACCGAGACTGGTCTGTGACCTTCCGGCAGCTTCGGAAACAATTTCGCTGATATCAGGTATAGAACCCGCAGCTTCTGGGTGTTCATCCACAAGATGCCATGCATCCGCGTACTGGCCATGCATGTCTAGCCAAGACAAACGGTCCGCAAGATCCCTTCTTACCGCGACGACACAATCATATGGGCTGTGGACAAATATTTTAGCACCAGGAGCACCTGAAACTTCCTGCACCTCTTTGGGGAGAGAATCTTCAGCCGCCGACATTTTGGATATGAACGAGGGTGGGGCTCGGCCTGAGCCTTTGTCGCCGCTACTCGTGGTACTGCGGATGCTGGCACCAGAGCTAAAGAGCCGCGCAGAGTACATGGTAGCATCTAAAAGTCCGTACCCAAGAGCTCCCAGGGCTCCACGTTGGACAACTTGTCCTTCCGGGGTTTTCCACGGAGGTAAGACACTCAAATGATAATCAGATGCCGAAAGACCCTCAAACCGATTTATCGAGAGAGTATCGGCACTAATTTCTTCCTTAGTCTCAATGTCGATAACACGAAGTTCAGGCTCCAGGCCTTTTTGACGATTATGTCGCCCGGTGCTTCCTCCATTTTGTTGATTTTCGCCTTCGGTTTCCATATATGCGAGAACGACAAGAAGACGGGGGTGTACAACGAGATGCCAGATACCACACAATCTGTTCGTAATCTGCGGTTGCAAGGTCAGCAGTGAGCAAAAAATCATAGGAGAATTTGAACTTACATTGTAACAACTTCTGCAGATCCAAGTTTTTCCCCCTTGGAGGACTTGCTTGCTCTTTCAGGGTAGACATCAATGACCCAAACAGTGCCTCCCCATCCGACAACAAGCTTTTCTACGTTTTCAGTGGGCACAGCTGGCTTCGTCTCCGGGCTTTTGGTACTGTCGTTCGGATCGAGATTGTCTTGGCTATCCAAAGCAGATTGATCAATCCATTCCGCGCGGGCCTTCCAGACACTCGACATTTCATCCCAACCGGGACGGTTTGGGCGATCAATGTGGCTGATTCTTTTCCAGGCAAACTCGGTCTCTGAGGAATCTAAATGTAGGTTGGACCGCATGATTTTGATGCCTTCTTCGTTGACCCAAGCCACGTATTTGCCAGATAAAGACCATCTGATTGTGCTAATAGCCCCTTCACCGCTGTGCATGATCGTGTCTTTTCCGCTGTTGGATGCCAAACCCATGGATCCAAGCCAACTTGACGCTGTTGCGGCAGCGCCGCCCATCGTTGTAGAGTTAGAGGTCGCTCCAATGCGACCACCAGTGGTGAGTATCAATTCACCCGCACGCCCGCCGGACAGGAACGTCCTGTCATTTTTGTAGTCCGGAGATAAAGCAACAGACTGCACTGGCCGGCCAAAATTGCGCAGCATAACATCCTTGGGGTCTACCAACGACGAGACACACACGTTGCCGTCGATTGAGGAGGTTCCAATGTATATCGAGTTTGATGGTATGGGAGGGACAGACAGGTGACTGCCCAGCCTTTTTTGACCGCGAATACTGCCTGTGTTGGTGGAGGATCGTGTGGGCGGCCGGGGATCTTCTGTGGTCTGCTTGCTGAATGCGTCTTGCTTTAAATTTGGAAGCGGAGGCGGGAAAGGCGATATGGAGATAGATGTGACACTTGCTGAGTGTGCATGGTATACGCGGAGCGACTGTAGAAGAGGCAATGACAGGACATGCTTGGCAAGGTCAGCTTGTGGGTTGAGGGGCGCAGGTGTAGTTGACTTACGACGTTTCCGTTGTGCGTTCCGACTATCTAGACACACTGTTAGCCCATAATATATGATGGGTCTACGGGAGGATATACCATCTTGTCCCCTGCTACGAGGAACGAGCTTGTCGCATCCCCGTTGCGGTACACTGATCCCAAGTGCTTTGTGAGGTATGCGTACTTCAGGCGGGGCTCCTCGTCCTCCTCGTCGGATTCTTCCTCATCCTCAGCCTGCTGATCATCTTCTTCGTCATCGCTGCCACTAGAACTGTGGGTGTTTTGTTGTAGGCCTCCATCTTTAGTACCTTGAGTTGTGTCTGTAGATGATCTGCTTCGTACGCAAGTCGTCTCGTTGGGAGTACTGTGAACGGCACTTTCGTCCGGCGGTATCGCGCCAAGCGCGTCCATGGCGAATCCCTAACAACACCTGCAGCTCCCAAACTCGTTGAAGTGAAATGCGACAAACTAGAAGCAGGATTATGTGGTTCTACAGTTGAACCGGGGTATGCCAGGGCTCCCCGGGGCCAAGAGCTTGGCTGACTAAGCGGATTTATCTGCAAAACGATGTCATCGAATCATTGGGAGTTTATTGTCAACACATACATGCACCATGTTTGCAAGGCCATATGTCTGTTCAAGTTGCAAGCTCTCGACATCGAGGCTTCTCACGCGAACACAGAATCAATACCTCCATGCCTTCCCTCCATTGACATCTCCGCGGCGGAAGGATTTCTTCTCATCCAACGCCCACCTAAAACAAAAACAGCAAATCAAACTCGATGAACCAATTGAGCCATCTTTTGATTCTCAAAAACAACGACGACGGAGTGGCAGGATACCAGCAGCCCCTACTTCCTTGCGACGCGTAGCGGTTGAGGCACAAAGATCCAAGGACGGTTTTCTCTCGAAAGCGCTTCTCAAAGAGCGGGGATTATATCGGACTAAGGTGGTCAAAATTGAGAGCCTCCGTTTACAAAGTTCTGTCACTAATTATTCTCGTATCTATAGACGGTGACTGCGTACGCCGTAGCCGAGCAATTCAACATCCGCCGAGTCAGAGACATATTGCAAGAAAAAGGATACGAACCAGATCCATTGGAGACAGGCCTCTTCCCGCAGGTCGTTCATGTTCAAATACCTATAGACTCGATCCGCCGCGTGACCAACCCTTCCAGCACGGATCTACCATCCGACGAAGTGGGCGATGTCTTTGTGTTCCCTTCCGGCACAGTTGTAGCCTGGTCGCTTCCTGAGGGATTTACCTCGTTTCTTGCAACAAGAACCCTTCTACCGGCAGCAGAAGGTGCTCATGTGGACGATCTGGAAACCGAAGATCTCGAATTCGTGGAGGACCCGAACCGAGAAAACAGTGTTATCAAGGGAGACACAATTATCTTAGGGACTAACTCTGGCGAAGTAGAAGGAATGCCAGCAACGCAACAATCCGTGAACACAGTGTTGACCAAGGTTGCATTTTCATCGGGTCTCGCTCGAAGCACAAAGCTGGCCGTTCTGGAGAGCCTCCTTTCAAATTATTTCGAGTCGACTCGGCCGATACCGACTCTCCTATCAAAGGGATCTCGTCTTCCTTTTACACGAGACTTCATTCTCCGCAAAACTGGGCAACTCCTCAGCGTCCGGGCACAGCTCAATTTGTACTCCGAGCTCACAGACTCTCTTCCTGATATCTTCTGGGACAGTCGGCATGAACTTGGCTTGGAGGGATACTATGATCAAGCCGGTAGAGCATTGGATGTGGGAATTCGCATCAAGCTTCTGAACGAGAAGATGGACTATGCGCAAGAAATCGCAAGTGTACTTCGGGAACGCCTAAGTGAGACCCATGGTCTCCGGCTCGAATGGATTATCATTCTCCTCATTGCTGTGGAAGTTGGATTTGAGGTTCTGCGGTTGTGGAAAGAGAGAATCCACGATCAAGAGGAGAATGCACGCAAAAGCGGGCTAAAATCGGACGCCCAATGAAGTTGACATTACTAGAACGTAACATTTATGATACCCCCTTTTGAATAACAACCTTACTCTGAATGACCTTGTAAAGCGTGCCATGTACTAAATTTGTGCCTGTTGTACGCACATGACCTTGTGTATTTATTTGGGGGCGTTATCCTAAGCGTCTGCAGGGTCGGTTTCTCCGCCCTCGTGCGGAGTCAATCTGGTCAGCAGCAACCTTCCACTTGACTTGACCCTTGTGACACTTCTTAAGTGCAATTATTCTTAACCTGACCAGGAAACCTCTACGCGTCTCTTGAAATATCTCGTCTATTCCGATTTCACAATCCTGCCCCTCTTGGTATCCCGGCAGATAACCACCAACAAACGATGCGGGGATCATCACAGCAGTTCATGGGAATCCCCGGACCCCAGAAGATCCTCCAGACATTCGGTTCCTTGTGGCTTTCACAGACGTCGGATGAAAGACCATCTCCCGGAGCTTCATCATCATGCCCTGTATCCGAAATCAGTTGTCAGGCCAACTACCACGGCCAAGATACCTGCTGTTTCAACTACCCCGGCGGCCAAATGCTCCAAACACAATTTTGGGACGCAGACCCTGCTATTGGACCTGAAGATGCATGGACTATTCATGGACTGTGGTGAGTCTGTAATATTTCATTTGACCGGGTGAATGAACGGCTAAATCATCTAGGCCCGATCACTGCGCCGGTGGCTTCGATCAATTCTGCGATTCGAAGCGCAAGTACAGCAACATTTCGCTAATTTTAGTTGACTCCGGTCGCGGAGACTTGCTCGAGTATATGAGCGAGTATTGGAAGGATTTCCGTGGAGATGATTCTAATCTATGGCAACACGAGTGGAACAAGCACGGCACTTGCGTCAGCACCCTGGAAACGCATTGCTACGAAGAATACTTGCCACAGCAAGAGGTTGTTGATTACTTTGACAAAACTGTGGAGGTTTTCAAGGAGCTTCCCTCGCACGAGGTACGTGTGGCTCTCTGCGCACCTTTTGATTAAGTTAGGTCTCTAACTTCCAGAAAGTTTCTGGCGAATGCTGGGATTGTGCCATCTCAAACACAAACATACAACCTAGTGGACATTGAAAATGCACTGGAAAGCGCTCATGGGAGTCCTGTAACTGTCCGCTGCAGAGCTGGCGCCCTCAATGAGATTTGGTATTATTTCAACATTGCAGGAAGCCTGCAAAAGGGAACCTTCATCGCCGCAGGCCCAGGTACGTCCAGATTCTTGTCTTTGTCTTCGAATTTTTGTTGTTCTAAACTCATCGGTTGCTTTCCCAGATGGTCAAAAGTCTAACTGCCCATCTAAGGGCATCAAGTACCCACTGAAGCATGCTCGTCACGAGCCCACTCAGACGACAACTACCGGCCACTCTGAACCCACAGCCCCAGGAGCTCCTTTTGCTGACAGGGGTAACTTGATTGTATCTACACTTAACCGAAAACACGGCTGTATCATAAGCTACGGAACATGGTTCTCGTCGGGGACTTGTGCAACTTTCCGGTCTGAGAGTTTATCAGGTTCGTATATGATCTATGCATACAACGTCTCCAATGTTTATCAAGTGCTAACATGAAGCGATTGGAATATTGCAGATGGTAAATTCCATTTGAAATCTAGCAAGGGTCCTTGTGCCTTTGAGCGGGATGCCCTTGCTTGCGGACCCCATGTCAATTCTCCTACCGAATTTACAGTATGCAACTACGTTCTTTCATGTATCACTTGCACTGCTGACGCTTCATACAGGCCAAGGATGGTAAGCTCTCTTACAAAAATCAGACTACTTTCTTTGCCGACCAGGCACCCAAGGGGCGTACACAGAGCAATGTGTATGCTTCGCAAGGGGGTAGACCTGTTGCGATTGAGATTACTTGGACGTCGAAGTAGACTTATGGCGTCTGGATATTGCTGTATTACTGAAAGTTATTCGTCGGGCGAGAAGATTGGTCTCTTTGAATAATATAGAGTTGGAGATCATTGCAGGAATGGCGTGGCGATAGAATACCCTGTTATCAATTAGAATCTAAGCCACATGCGCACCATGTTTGAAACGATACCTTACAGGGTTTTCCAGACAATACACCTGCCCGGGTGCTGAACAGTGTGCCAAATTTATAGGTAGACTTCTTCCAGTTTATAGGGGTAATGTAAGTGCCAGTAGGTAGCACCATGAGGTAAACAAATCTTGTTGATAGGTAGGTACAGGAAAGATCCATTGAAAGTGAAGACATCAAATACATATCGCATCGTAAAGTGTAGAACATAGAAAAGAAGAATAAACACCGGGAAGAAACAATATCTTGCCAAACCACGTCACCGTATTATCGAACATCCTCTATCAGATGAGATAGACCCAAGAGACGCGAGCAAGAATACTTGAAAAGACAAGTAAAAAAGACAATAAACAAAATGAGGGAATACAGGGCGCAAAAAGCAAATGACCGCAAACACCTTAAGACCCGCAAAGTCGTTTCAAGTCCCAAATGTGCAAAGAAGTAAGCGCCGAATTTTAGTGTCGTGTGTCATTAAGTGTACAAGGTCGTCCCGTATCGTTGGAAAAAGTATTTCGCCGTGAAGAAAATGTTGGCAGTGCCGCGTATGTAGCCATACTTTAGTATAAGTCGCATCCGCTCAAGGGTCGACAAGGAATTCGCTAGACAAGCAGTCGATTGGGTCTGCTAGGTCATCGTCGAGACTGGAAAGACCGGAGAAAGACTTTGTGGGGTAAAAAGACGAGCCAGAGGCGAAGTCTGTGGTATCAACGAATGAGTAATTCGTGAATCCAGAAAGACCAGACTGGGCAAGATGGCCGAACTCCTCCCGTAAGTCATCAGAAGGGTCTTGCGTCATGAATATATCAATCTCCGAGCCAACTGATGACTCTGCTAGGGTGGGTGCCGTGTGTGGGGAGGACATCTCCCGAGGCGAAAGAGCAGAGTCACTGTAGAGAGATTCCTGCGAGTACGTGTGGGATCCGAAGTTGGACCCATACTGAGCCATTGCCTGCTCATATCTAGCATGAGCGAGTTGGGGTGGTGACAATGGCAGCATATCATCCTCGACCTTGGAATCGAATGAATGATACGCATGGGACGGCGAGGAGATGTTGTAATATGTCTCTCCAGGGGAAGCAGGCGGAGTGAATGACGAGAGGGCGGTGGAAGGAGCATAATTGGGGGAGTTGAACACGGGAGCATCTTGCAGGGTTGGAAGTGTGGGAGCAGAGACGATCGATGTCACTTTTTCAGCAACGCGTTGACGAGTACGAGTTGATTTGGCTTGGCGAGTGTCGATATCAGGACGGTTCTTGTTTTTCTTTGGGGGCCGACCTCGCTTGGTGGTTTTCGGAACGACACCAGTAAAGCCGCCGACGCACATGTCACGCTGACGGTGGCGAGTGAGGGCGTCCTGTCTGGCGAAGCTAGCACCACAGGCGCAAGCAAACGGCTTGTTTCCACTGTGTGTCTTCAGGTGACGCTTGAGATCATGGCCACGAACAAAGTGCTTTTCACAAATGTCGCACTTGAATTGACGGTCTCCCAAATGTGTCTGCACGTGGGACTTGATGTTTTCTTTGCGACCAAATCGACAGAGGCAGTCAGTGAAAAGACATACCCATTTGCCATCTTTGGGATCCGGACCGGAAATGAATTTAGCGATCTCGTCGGTTGAGACACCGGTCTCCTGGACCGATGCCTTGACTCTGGCATCAAGGTCCCCATCGCGGGCAGATGGCATGCTTGGCGAAGACACGGTGGATAGCGATCGCTTCTTGACTCTATCGGCGGAGGCTGGGGCTGACACAATGGCCTTCTGAGGCGTGACTCCATAGGAGTTTGGCGATGGCATATCGACAAGCTCAGTGAATGACGACAGACTTGGGGAATTGGCGGGAGAGGGCATTTGTTGCTTCATCTGCGAAGGACTGACACAAGGCATTCCTTGCAGAGACTGAGCTCTTTGCATCTCAGCAGAGACTGGTGTATGGGGAAATGAAACACTTTGGGACTTGCAAGGTGTTGGATCATTGCTGTACATGGAATAATCAATGGATCGTTTCAAAGGGGTAGAATCGGGGGTTAAAGGGGAATTATCTGCGTGATTGTTAGATTTCGAGGAGCCAACAACAGACAGATTAAATTCTTACAAGCAGTAGAAATTTGCGACAAGATTCTAGCAGAAGGAGCCTTGGGCTGAACAGATACTGGATGCATTGGGCCAGCATAGGCCGTCACCGGATCGCTTTTAACTATTGGGATATCGCGTTGAGGAAACAACTCCCAATCGGCATTATCAGAAAATTGTTGGTGCTGTTGACTCGAGTATTGTTCTTGCTGCATCCGGTGCAAAGCTAGCTTCAATGGTGTGTTTTCGGAGCTGTCGCTAGCTGACCTTGACAAAGCTGGGGCACCAACGGACGACGGCACAGGGCTGTTAGTGTGGATCGCCTGCAATTGATCTTGTGTGAAAGCCTGGCAATCAGCACCGAGCGAGGCCTGAGTTTGATATTGATAGAGCTGTTGCGCCGGTGGGAAGTAAGACTGCTCGGGCTGCTGGGCATATAGTTGATACTGCTGAGCATCCCGCTGTTGGAATGGGTAACCTGATTTTTCGTTAAAGTAGTCTCGCAGCTGCGAAACCGTCTTAGGCATATATTGTCGATCAATGGCGGCCTGTGAACCAAAGGAGCCGTAGTCCACAGTTTGGCCGCGACGATGTGACCGACGTTGGTGCATGATTGCCGATGTGGGGACCTCGTATGGAGCCGGGGTAGAAATTTGACGGCGATGGCGGCCGTTACCCAACGCGTTCGAGGCGGCAGGAATCATGGCTGTATAGCCGATTGACGGTTGGTCCTGATGAAGTGTCAGTATGTGAATATGAAAGTAATTGGAATACGCGAGAAAAAGAGAGAGAGGGAGAGAAAGTGGAAGTTCGCTAGAGCCTCAAGTAGCTAGAGCTTTCAAAATTTGATGCAGGTCACACAATTCAAAGAAATTCTGAACTGAACGACAAAGCTTAAGAGCAGAAACGCGAATGTATGAAGGTTTTGGGTCTGGAGCTGGAGATCTATGTGACCCGCGGTTCCCATCAACAATCTGGGTGTTGGCATAGCAACGCCTAGCAACACACAGGCACTCGGCGTCTAGGAAACCACAGACTCTGACCCAAGGTGGGCCCATCCCTGCCCACTTTTAGGTGCATTTATTCTTATTCTTTTTGATGATCGAAGCCTTGCTTGCAATTATCCTTCGACCATTTACTCATCCCTTCTGCAAGGGTGATTTTACCTGCGAGGGAGGTTCGGTTCAACGTATATAGAACCTTTCGGAGATTGACCCTCGATCCGTCTCCGAGGAGATTCCATATAAACAACTAGATAAACAGTCGATCTGACGGCCCTTCGGCTCCATAGATGGGGCTGTGGTTCCCATGGCGTCACAAATTCGATATTCGACCTGTCCAACACGGGATATGCGGCCTCAGGCATTAATTCTTTCCATTTGTAAGTCACGTGGTAAACCCAGTAGCCGCTGGATCAATGTTGCTCCGAGAACCATGCATTTTCTCGACGCTAGTCCACTTATGGTACGACCACGTGATCACACAACGATTTTAATCGCCAACCCGCTCGGCGCACAACCACTTTCTTTAATCTTGCAAGGTTGAGGAAGACACAACTGTCGAGGTGAGTCTACAATATTCAAGCAGATTTGAATCTGATGAGCGTACACGAATAGCCTGCTCTATCTTTCCTTTCTGGCTTTCCACTTATTTTTGTCGTCGCGAGCATCCCACTGACTTTTTGCAGGCCTTCATCAAGATGCAGATCTTCGTCAAGACCCTTACGGGTAAGACTATCACCCTTGAGGTGGAGTCATCCGACACCATTGACAATGTTAAGTCCAAGATCCAGGGTAAGCACTCATCGCCCTAGCGTGCGCGCACGCACGACTCTCGACGTTTCGACACAGATACTAATATTCGACCCCGCACCACAGACAAGGAGGGTATCCCCCCGGACCAGCAGCGCCTGATCTTCGCCGGCAAGCAGCTCGAAGATGGCCGCACTCTTTCGGATTACAACATCCAGAAGGAGTCGACCCTTCACCTCGTCCTTCGCCTGCGTGGTGGTGGTAAGAAGCGCAAGAAGAAGGTCTACACCACCCCCAAGAAGATCAAGCACAAGCACAAGAAGACCAAGCTCGCCATCCTCAAGTACTACAAGGTTGACGGTGATGGCAAGATCGAGCGTCTTCGCCGCGAGTGCCCCGCCCCCGAGGTATGTGACTATCACTCTGACAACCCTTCATATTTGCAATACATGAACTAACATTGTTTTCTTTTCAGTGTGGTGCCGGTGTCTTCATGGCCGCTATGCACAACCGCCAGTACTGCGGAAAGTGCCACCTCACCTACGTCTTCGACGAGGCCAAATAAATGGTCTAAGTCGGACTGTGGTGTTTCGTTATCGAGTTCCAGCATGGTTATGCTAGGCTGGGGCAAATAATCGGATGTCATGGTTGATGATGGTTTTTGGTGTAACCTTGTGCTACAGTCAATTACAAAAAAATAACAAAATCAGGCGCCTGCCAAAACATGGATCAACTCGTAGCACTGTACTTAGGCTCGTACCTCGGGTCTACTTACTACACTAAATATAAATCCACTTGATTTTGCATTTTGGAATGTGTAAAATTGATTGCAATGAAAATGCTTTGTAACTGCGCTACTCGTCTGGGAAACAAGATTGGACATTGTCATACTTGCTCTCCGGGTAATGGAGGGCATTCTCTGACTGATCTAGCGCCTCCTCGCCGCCAACACGGTCGACAAAGATTCCGATCAAACTGCCATCCGCAGGGTTGGCTTCCTTGTCTCCCTTGTCGCCGCTGCTTTCCCACCACATACCACCACCCAAGCCGCGCTGGCGGATGTAATCTGCTTTAACCTCCGCCATGTAGGGAGAGTCATAGGAGACCATCGTGCGCGATTCACCATCATAGCACCAGGAAGCGCCAGTTTCCGCATCGAACTGCTCGTCAGCTCCGGGTCTTGGTAGTGCCTTGTAATCCCAGACACCGTTTTCCCAACTGCCCTGGCCGACTCCCGAGAATGGGGCACCAGGTCCGTCAGTTTGCTCGAATGTACGCCCATATAGCGGCATGCCCATGACGATTTTTGACGGCGGTACTCCCCCGACGTTGATGTAGTGATTCAGGGCAGCGTCGGCCGAGAATGGGGTCGATGTAGGATTGGAGTTTGAGGGGACAATGTTTGCCTGGTGGCCTGCCTTGCTATCCCAGCTTCCTGCAAAGTCATAGGCCATGAGGTTGTAAAAGTCCAGCACCGGAGTCATGTCTTGGAGCTTTAGCTTCTCATAGTTGCTTGATCCTGCGGTTGTCTGTTAGACGGTTTGGTTTGTTTAGTGTTCTTGTTGTTCAATAGACATACCGGCGGGACAGGCGATTGTCAAGTAGAAGTGGCGATCAGGACCAGCCGCTCTGTCAAGAACCTGCTTGGGGTCAGTTGGTCCAATAAAAGCTGAACTAAAAGTCTATGGAGCAAACACATACCTCTCGGCACTTTTGGAGCAATAGAACAAGGTTATCAGCCTCGGTTTCATCTGTTTTCTAGATAAGCCCACGTCTTTTTCTTTTTCCACTTTCGGGTCATTCCAATGAACTCACCTTTGGGGTATTCCCAATCAATATCAAGACCTATAAAAGAGTCAGCTATCATCCAATACAAAGCCCTGGGGATACAACATACCATCGAATCCTAGATCAAGAACTAGACGTGTCGCTGATTCGGCAAACTCGGTACGGCCCTCTTCTGTGCTCGCAGGCTGCGGGAAATTGGCCGAATATGTCCAGCCACCAATCGAGAGTAAGACCTTCAGCTTGCGGTTTTGCTTCTTGAGCAGGAAAAGTTGCTTGGCACATCCATACACATTGGTTCCAACGTCATTCCAGGAGTCTGTTTCGTAATGCTTCTCGATGTCGGACCAAGTGTCGGTCAAGTATCTGCAGGTTTGTGTCAGGCTAAACTGTACTCTGTAAGGTTCAGTGGTTGATCTTACACTTCTCCACTTTCTGGTCGAACATTAGCAAATGAATAGAGGATATGTGTCAACTTCGTCGCAGGCAAATCTTGTGGGTTATAGTTGCGGCCGTAGATTGCCTAGATCATAGATGTTAATACGAACTGTTTCTCGTTTGTTTTAAGTGTCACCAGTAATTGCGATCATTCAAAGCTGAGTGCAATTGAAGTGAAAAAAATGTATAAACATACCCAATTCACAAAGTAGGCCACGGATCTCATTTCGGACATGGTTTGGGGATTAGTGCAAGAACGGTAAGCGTGTTGCACAAGAATAGCCACAAGCACCACGGAGAAAGTGATTAAGGCAATTGGCTTGAAGTGATAAGCCACAATTCGATAAACTCCTAAGATTTACTTGTGAATTTAGGTAAAGGGCAACTATTTCAATGGAGGGGTACTTTATGTCGCAGCCTAACTGTTAGTGGGCTTTCGTACTAGGCGTCTGGGCATGTTTATCATGTTTATAAATAACAACGCCCCAACGTCATTAGTCAAAACTAAAGGTGGCGGTGTAGGCTTACCAAGCCTTGGCAGTGTGGCTGAATATACAATATCAATGCAGTACACTGCAGAGTATGAGTGATGAGAACTTGTTATTTTGGGCAAATTTCGAAACAATTCAGGTATCCAAATTAGTTCTAGATTGCTAGATTTATATTTGTATTCACCAAAGATCTCTACATATGTATGTCACAAAACATACTGCGTGACATCTCCACCAGCAAGATCTCTTTGTACAACCTGGATTATCATTCACGCTTCCTACGTATAAGTAGTTATTGGAACTCTCGCAGAATAACTTTATGGATTAAAGTATTTGAGTCTTTCTACTTTTGGAGTAAAGTAAACAAGCGAGTATCAAGGGCTCGTGATGCCAACATGTGTACATATGTATGCATGTAGGAATGCATTTTTGGCAAGAGTGCTATCTATCCCACATGAGCGAAGGAGCAAATGTTTCGAATTATCACTTGCAGGTCATGAAGCCCGCTGCCGAATGCTACTAGCTGAGCTTAAGAGGCCTTGGATAATTTTCAAATACGATGTAGATCCTATGATTGGAATTATATTTCTTTGTTGCTTTTGATCTGGAAGATCGGAGAGCGAGCACCATCTTACACAGATTATGCATAAACTCTATTTAATCCCGCTGATTTTCAATATGTAACCTATGCAAGGCCTTGTTAGATGACGGAAGCCTCATCTCAAACATGCCAATCCTTCTGTGAATTTGAAAGTGAACTAATTCTTTTCTGCATTCAGTTATCAACACGCATATTGGTAAATGACTATAATCTAAAACCCAGGATCTTTGGAACCCTAACCTTGGAAGTGTCTCACAATAACATCCGGGGCGGCTTTCGAAATCAGGTGCAAGCACTAAGCAAGCTTTTATGTTTGCATACATATTGTATTACGCACTTCCAAATCGATGGCTAGCCTCATATCTTCTCAACGATTCGTTGTCTTGAGGAAAGCAAATAACCCAGAGGCTTTCAATTGGTCTGATAGCCGTGGCATAATGAATTTGGAGTATCTATTCTATGGTTGCCCTCCGCAAATAAGTAAGTCCATCCTCCCGATTTATTTTGGCGACGGAAGAACGAAGAAGATCCAGATATATCGTCAAGTTCTGCACAATTTGCCATGCCAATAGGTTCTTCCACCAACATAGGTATGGACTCTTTCAGCGGTGCGTTTTACTCCAAAGCAGCGGCAGGCTTGTATGCCTCCGCCTCGACGGCCTCTTGCAAGTCAGGATTTGGCAAGTGTGACGACCGGCATGAGGTGAGATCACCGCAAGAGGCTTCTGTGACTCCATCTACTATCGATGTGGATAGTTGCAGTCTACGCAATTGCGTTTTTTCACGCCATTAAGGAACAGCCTTCAAGCCCATCGCCCTGTACCCCGCTTATCAGGGCCGAGAATCCGTGCACTCCTGAAACTTGCTTAGTGTGTTTATGCACAACTGCAGAGTTTCATTAGCCTCTAAGGATCTTGATTTTGTTGCATACAGCAAGATGTCCTCAGCAAGAAGTCCTTCTTGTTCTTCTCTAGTATAGGAGTAAGAGGCTTGAAAAGTAGAAGGTGCACTAGACGTTCTGTGACCCCTTTTTCCTTTTCGTCAATGCTAGAAACATTATTGGGGCTCTAGTTCCGAAAACCAAAGCTTGATTTGTGGACCCGGGCGTCTCGCTTACCGGGGTAATCGTGTCATTGGGCTAAAGAGAAGCAACAATGACCCTGAAAAAGTGCCAAAAAGGCACCCAAAGCTTGCCTCCCGGCAATTTTTGCCAGACTAGTTGTAGTGCTATTTGTTTTGTTTTTTTGAGGCGGCTGGGCACTAAGGCGTCTCCCACATGTTTGTTTGAATACTTCGTTGTTCTCTTCCCTTCTGTCACCCGTTACATTCCTACACACCAATCTGTGAAGATGCGGTCCACGGCGTTCATTGCCCTTTTTCTTCTCACCCCGGCTCTGGCCATACCCCAAGCTACATCTGTGGCTTACTCTGGCTCATCGAGCTCCTCTGACTCCTCTGACTCTTCTGGCTCTTCCGACTCATCAGACTCTTCGGACACCATCGCGAGTGACCCCATCCCTGCCGACTATATCAGCGTTCTCGAAACCGCTGTTCCGGCTTCTTGGGAATATGAGATGATGAACTCCGCCTCCGTAGCTGCAGTCGTGAGCGACGCTGCGGCTGGCATCTTCCCATCCTGGTATAATGACCTGCCTGCCAGCATCAAGGCCATTGTTACCTCCCTTGGCGGCTTCGACGCGAACATGGTCGGCGCAACTGGCTCGATGACTGCGACTGTGAGCCCCAACTCAGGGCCTGCTACTGAGACTGCTGTAGCTACCGCGGTTACTGGCTCAACTGGGTCAGCTGCCACGGAGACTCAGGCTTCCACTACCTCAGGCGCTGCTTCCAGCACGAAGCTGACAGCCTCTACGTCCGTGCACTCGACTGGTGGTGCGCCCATCGCTACTGGCGGTGTCGCTCTGAGTGTTGCTGGTGCTGCTGGTCTGCTGGGCCTTGCTCTTGCCCTGTAGATTTCTTCTCTTTAGTTTCGTTATCCGGTGACGCAACTTGAGAGCTAACTATGTTTGTCTGTGTGCATAGATCGTATGGAACTAATACTATCACATGATTGTGTCTCTAAATCCCCTACTTACTAAGCCAAGCTAGACATCGAACACGGTGGCATCAGTATAGTACTTCCGCAGATCGGTGTCACTGACACTCTCTGTTTCTCAAGCCCTAATGTCAAGTTGTTGAATAGGTACAATACAGAGATTGCCCAGAAAACTGAAATTTTGTAGGCTCAGTAGTAGCCAAAAGAACTGTATTACATACAACCTACGTACCACGACTGATTGTAGAAAAAAAAAGTGCAACAGGACGTGAGGCATTGAGGCAATTTTCCAGCCAAAATAAGTAAGAAACACGGGTTCTCTTCATACAATTTCGGTATTGCGTGTTACCAAATCATGATACCAGGTCCACGGATGGATCAATCATTTACTACTCCAGAGAAACATTTGAAGTTTAAAGAAACTTGGCATTGGGGTTTGAGAAATGATCTAAAAGTGCAGGTGGTGACAATATTCATAGTTAAGTACTGAACCTTGTAATTTTCCCACAGAGCATCCAGAGCATCCAGAGCACCAAGAGCACCCGTATAACCTTAGAAGCATGCTTTGAACAACAGACCATTTATTTCCAAATTGTAATTTGCAGATTCAAATCGGCTGGCAGAATGGACTTGAGACAGTAAGACTCAATGCTATACGTGGAAAAAGAAATCCTAACTTACTTGGAAGCTTGGTATTGATACCAAGCTTTGCATGAACAGCTGGCTCTTATCCCCAACAAGGGTTTACCTATATCTGTAGATAAACATAAAAAGCACAACAACTTACATGAGAGACAATCAACCCATGATCTGCTATATTAGACCTACAATAATGTAGAGGGAAATAATTATGTCCCTAATGTACAGTCAAATTACATCGTGATTTTAATCAACATACAACACAACGTGACAGACAACGACCCTGAGGTAGTAGAAACGGCTGTAAAAGAAGGAGAGACCTACCTGTGCACGGGTGGAAATTGATCCAAAGGACTCCGGAGATCCACCGGCATTATGAGCACTATGACTGACGGTAGAAATAATGATATCAATAGAAGCATTACCATCTAATAAATACTACTCCATACATAACCGAAAAAGGTATCGGCTTAGTGTTAACTCCGTAGATGCTTTCTGAGAGAAAGAAAAAAATCAAACCAAGAAAAACCAGCGGTAGCTGAACTCGAGCCGACACATGGCCGTCCGTAGCACCGATTGGTATAACGTGCAGGAGACTAACGCTTTAGCCCCGGATCCACCGAGATTCAACCCGTCCCTACAAAATATATTGACGCAAATCCGTTGAAGATCCACACTGATCTTTGTGAAAACGTTTCTTTTTATTATCGTTTCAATTCAACCCTGAATCTATGACTCGTGGTTAGATCTATCCTCGTATACTTTAAGCTACCCGTATACCTAGGTACTGTTAGGGCATACTACTAGATATAGAAACGATGGACCTGAGGCAGAAAGGGGATTGCAAGGGACTAACTGATTGCTGCGTTTACAGATGGCATTAGATTTCATATGCAGATGTACCATGGTTCCTCTTTTTTTCTTTTTGTTTCAGCTGGTGCCTCTGCCTCGGCGCCCTAGGTGTCTAGTCTCCGCCTATGTGATTCGTCAATGGCACATGCCGACAATACTGATGGATGCTAGGGGGAATTCCGGCGCTTTTAGTGTGCAGGATCCATACGAGATGGAAATTTTACGGGATTTACCTGTGAATCGTGCCGTGTGCCGGGAGAAATGATGAGTAGATTCAACGGACACGTACTCTTGACGCTGGACACCCGGCGGGTCAGGCCATTGTGGGGACATTAGGGTTATCAATCCAGTTGCGCATTATTAACTGACAGCCTGGAAAATTCGGATCTACGGTAACTTGGATTAACACAATGTGAGGGTGCACTTGGATAACATCTGTAAATGGATTCCTAAAACCTACACGGTAGGCATAATGATAGACGCACGAAATTCATGCCCGTAACCCCTTATGAGAAAGACAAAAAACCCAAGTTCGAAAAAGAAAACAAGAGGGGGATATCGTAGCTATAACTGAAAGCACACAGTAATTCCGAACTCTGTTCAGAAGGCGGCAAAGACCGCGACCAGCGCGTTTCGACCGCTCTTTGCATGGCATCCCGTGTTATGCCCCTCTCCGTTGACAAAATCATACAATGCCAATCAGACCCGCAAGCGCTTGAGGGTAGAATGCAAGACACCAAAACACCACTCCATGGAAGATGCATCTGTTTCCGTTTCGTACACTCATTACCGGCCCCCGACCCAGCGACGGATGGCTTCCAAAGAAGGATCATCATCAAGCCAGTGACCCGCCCGCACATCGGCAGCTCGGAGATCAGAGACAGCGTAATCGTCCGTGAATCGAGCCAGGTCTTGATAAAGTGCATTGGCAGCATTCTTCAAAGCTGTGGTATGCTGTGCTGTTGGGCTTTGGCCGCGCAAAGTATTGGCGCGGGCCATGGCCCATCGCCGGGCTGCAGCGGCGCGCAAGTATATTTTGTGGGCTTGGAATCGGCGTGCGCTGCTGTCAAGTATAACTCTGGGAGAGATGTTAGAAAATGATGGATTGACTTGACTAGGAGTTGAGGTAAATTTACCTTTGAAGTTCGGCCTTCTCCGTCTCGACGTTCCCTTGCCCGGTCACCGGACAGGGCTGGTAATTGGCAGACATTAGGCTCTGGGCGGAGGCCAGGGACTCGCGGAGCACCACGAAGCCTTCCTCCCAGTATTCTTCTTGAGATGGCTCGACGCTTTGTTGCGAAATATGTAGCAGAAGAGTGCGATAATCGTTGATAATCTCGGCGACTCGCATCGCACGAGCTTGATTGACTGTAAGGGTCCCAAACATAAATTAGTACTTTGGTTCAAGATCAATTGGTCCAGTAATTTTTTGGGATCAACCTACGTCCGTCCGACATATCTGTGGAGGGTTATTAAATGTATAAGAAGATGGAACAAGGTCGAATAAAGGACGAGCAGTAATGTGGTATAGGGCAAGTATAAAGAGATGACATCAAAGATAACCAATGGGAGATTAAAGAAAGGCAACGGTCATAGGAGTTGATGGTCCATGGAGTCGAGAGTGTCAGGGCATCCACAGTTCCGGGGGATGGAGGATAGATATAAGTCTTCAATGTGACACGATTCCACTTACCCCATACATGACAATCTCTAGAGGGTAAAAAAGAAAAACGGTATGGAAATAAAATATGGATTTATCAGCCCGTGGTAGCGGAGTCGATGTCAGGAGGATCATCATCAATGAAGACGAGCTGCACCAATAGACGCTGAAGATCCAAGATCAAGGAGCTTGGGTCGTTCGAGTACAGCTGGGATGTGGTATGGTGGACCGGGCCACACTATAGTTCCCGAGAAACCGTTTACGGCATGGCCAGGACCATCCCTGTTCCCATGGGAAGGGATCCGGGAGTGGAGAGGGACCATAGAGGGGCATGTTCCATTCGTTGTAGTCACTAAGACAAATGTTGGGACCAAGCTGGGAAGTGAAAGTGGAGAGCGTTAGTCCCGCACATAATGAGATTAAGTTCCTGTGAGGTCGATTTGGGGGGTCAAGAGGAGAGAGATGGCGTTTCATGACTATGATTGGAGAGCGCTGACCGAACTACTCGAGGACCATGTGTTTCTGGATGCATCACTGTGGAACCTTTAGAAACGAGTCTAGAGACCATAAAATTGAGGCGAAAAGGGAAGCGCTCAGCCCTGGACCTGCATAGACAAGATCTTGGTTCTTGTTCGGACCTGACTGTGGATCTGACATTTTTAGGGTTTGTTCAGCTGGACTTTGCCACACTTATTTTAGTCGATTTTAGCCACTTTTAGTAGTAACAGCAGTAGTAATGGTAGCATACAATTCTTTTTCACTAAAGTGGTTACTAGTTATCACTAGTTAGTTCATCATAAGAATTCCTGATGCATCATTAGGCGCTTATTTTGTGAACTGTCAGTCCCAGCCACTGCCGAGCCACATGTGGCGCCCGCACAACAGCTGAAATACTGGCTCTTAGTAGTAGTATGCCCGTCTCTCCTTGCTGTTTTTACGCAGTGTGATATATCGTCATTTTTCTTTCTTTTTGGGTGGCGGATTACATAGAGTTGACAGCTGAGATCTCGGACCACACAGTGACGCTAGAGTTATGGGGACACTAGCCTTGGAATGTATATACACGCCAAGATGATGTTGATTGATGCAAGATTGCACCTCGATGAGCCCCGAGATATGACCGAAACAGTCATCATGCAGGAATCATCATGCAGGGAATAATTGAAAGTTATCATTCATAGATCGTCTGGTTCTCTAAAAAAGAAACACCGGGGTCCTTCCATTCTTGGTGTCTTATCTCCATTGCTTACAGGACCAGCTCGCTTAGTCCTTTTCGGCTATGGCTTGCAGCCGTTCATCGATCTCCTCTTCCGTCAGGGCGCGGAACTCCGTAGTGGTTCCCTCCTGACCGTCGGCCCGCGGCCCACCAACAACACCAATCTCAATCTCGTGCTTCTTGAAGTCAACACTTAGAACGTTGCTCAGAGCTGTGATGCCCAGCTCCACAACTTCCTCCCAGCTGCCTGCGGCCGCATCCTTGTTCTTCAGCTTCTTCTCAAGGTAGTTCAACGCCTCCTGCTGCTTGGGACCAGATGCTGTGGCTTTGTATCCAACGAAGTAACCAGCGGGGTCACACTTGTACAGCTGTGGGCCACTCTCGTCATCGACAGAGATCAGGGTTGTAGCGACACCGAGTGGTCGCATGTAAGCCTGCAAGTTTCAAAGAGAACCATGTCAGTCAATTTGCCTCCACAGGGGAGTATTCTTAGGTGACATTGAGACCTACCCTTTGTGTGTAGACCTGGTTGATGTTTGCCAGTCGCTTCGCCAGGACGTCGCAGGGCATCTCATATCCGAATTTGTAGCGGAATTCAGCAGCCTCACCACGGGCACGGTCAACGGATGCTCGAGCATCTGCTATGGAGCCAGTCATCACACAGCCTACGGAAGGCGAAATCCGGAAAACATGTGAAACGGAGGATGGGTCGATCAATTTATCCTGGGAGGTGGATTAGTCTAAGCGCACAACCCAGCTCTCAACTTGGACGCAATCTTACAGCGACTTTCTTCTGCGAGAGCACAACGGCACAATCTTTCCCCCTCACACCGATGGAGGTGATGTTGGCGGCGGTGATGGCCTTGAAGGCATATTCTGGGAGACGGGTGTTTGGTCAGCGGCTATGATGACAGCGCATCGATTGAGGTAGTCGGGAAAGGGAGGACCGAATCATTGAATGAAATGTACATACCGACTTGGTACAACCGACCCTGGTCAGAGAAGATAGTGATATGTCTGTCGTAGGCACTTCCTGCGGAGAGAGCAAAAGGTCAGTCGGGGATGAAGTCATGGGGCAGACAGGGCCATAGGCGACGATGGAGCATACCAGACATGATGGCAGATATTGATCTTTTATATGAAGATCAACAGAAGCAAAGGAGATAAATGGAAAATAAGGGTCTAGGTGAATGAGACGATGGGGGTTGATCAGTGACGCGTGCCAGAGCTGCCTGTTCAGGTGAGCTCAAGCTTGAGCCTCACCGCCTTCCGGCGCATCCACTGTATATGTTTTCAATTTGTAAAAAAAAAAGTTTACTGATAGCTGATGGGTCTAATAGGCTTGTGTTCACACTAAATTGGAAGCCTATTGCTTGTTTGAGTTGAGTTGCACAGAGTGTCAACACCAGCAAAGGGCAGAAAGCTACAACCTTCCAAGGTTAGAACTATATGAAGGCATACCTCCATGCATTACTTACTATCCAGACTCTACACCTAGTGCTTCCAATAAGTATTTCATGGACGACTTGGTAAACTGACTTTTGTGACTATAAACATATTTACACCGTCCCTTATGCTATGTGAGATGCACACCCGAAATTTAGATAGCAACTCTGAACCAGGTCATTAGAACTAATCGCTATCACTTTCACTGCTTGAGATCTCGATCTGAGCAGTTCTAAGCTTTCGCTTCTGGGTCCTCTTGGGCACCGCAGGCGCAGCCTTCTTTTCAGGCACAAACTTCTCCTTCCTGGCTTTGCTGTTCTTCTTTGAAGACACAAACTCACTGGGAGCAGAAGAAGTCGGTGCAGCCTTTTTAGCAGGGGCGGGGGCATCAGAGTCCTCGCTGTCACTGCTGTCGCTGCTGCTGCTGCCGCTCGATGAGGTCTCGTCATCACTGCTATCCGGTGCAGACTTGCTGATCGTCTTCTTCGAGGCCGGGGTATCATCGTCACCGTCGCTCTCACTGCTGCTGATATCGACAACCATTGTTCGGTTCTTCCGTTTCTTGTTTGCTGGGGGTTCGGTAATTTTGGGTTTCGGCTTTGGTTTCGCGTCCTCGGCGCTGAAGAGCTTGCCAGAGAGAGCGAAAAAGACCAGCTCTGCTCGCAGCCTCTTTGGCAAACGCTTCTGAGCGTCTCCGTTGAGTTCTTCAATGTTGGGAGTGTCCAGATTCTCACTGCCCTCGGTCAAACGTTCCCGGAACGCGTTGATGGCTTCCAGGTAGCCAGGGTTTGTAGATTCCTCTGCCTCATCATCCTTTGGCTTGTCAAGATCCATGTCTGTCTTAATCACCTCCTCTCGCGGCATCGCTCATACGTTGCTTGGCAGCGTCACCCTTCAGTCCCTGGATGTAGACCAACAGAGAAGTGTTGTAACGAGCGGGGACATGCTCAAGCGAATACAGATGCTTGAACAAATTGGTTTCGCGATTCTTTTGGAACTTCCATGTCGCGCGTGCTCGGTGGTAGTGACTCAAGTAGGAGAGAATAGGTGTCTCATGGATCTGCCCTTCGGTTGAGGCAGCACCGGTCTTTCTTTGCTTCTTCTTCTCCCGCTTGCGCTTCTTCATCTCTTCAAGCGCCTTGTCTGCCTCTTTGTCTTCGATGTCTGCCTCGGCTCCGTCGGTAGTGGCAGCCTCATTGCTGTCAACGGCGTCAGAGTCGCTTTCAGAGTCGCCGTCATTTTCTTTTGTTCCGGGTCCAAATGAGACTCGCTTCTTCTTTTTCTTGTGAGATTCGGAATCCTTGTCCTTCTGGTCATTTTCGTCTTCGGTGTGGCGGCGCTTGTTCTTTTTCTTCAATTCGCTGTCTGTCCCGGGTGTCGCATCATCGGAAGTTGACTTCTTGCGCTTCCTTTTCTCCTTCTTGTCGGACTTGGTGTCATTTTCGGTGGTGGTAGAGTTTTCTTGCACCTCTGCACTTTCCACTCCAGTAGAATCCTTCGATTTCTTGAGCTTCGACTCGAGCTTTTTCGACGCTGGAGATTGAGCGTCGGCGTGCGCCATTATTGCTGCAGGTGGAATGCAACGGGGTACAATAGAGTACAATAATATAATCAAAAGACGTGCGACACTCTCAAAGGGATAAATTGTGTGGTTCAAGCCTGATGCGAGCTCGAGTCGTGCTGAAACGGGCAGACAACTTTTTTTTCTGCCGATCAATTGCGCCGGCCAATCGGCCAATCGGCCAATCGCATTCTCCTCTCTTTCTCCTGCTGCATCACTGCTTGATATTGCTCGCAGAACAACTGAACGCAGTGAAACCTTGCAACGCATATAATGACTTGCTTTAATCGTATAGTATTTATCATATTTGCCATTCCTGGCATGGGTTTTTCTGCCTGGCTCCAAGCTTTCTACAATTTATCATTACAGATAACTCTCCCTCCCCGAGGATTTCAGCACTTATCGAGGGAAATAGCATGATAATATGCCAAAACTTTACTGAGTAGTTCTGGCTCATAAAACCCAGATGTATCATTTGCATTGATCTGGTCATTGAGTCTGAACATCCAAAAACCTTTGGCTCCACATTAAACCCCATCTGGACATCCTGATTGTTTGACATGGCTGGCTTCCTCTCACATTTAGACTACAGGAATTGCAGCCGTGATTTTTCCAAGGGCCAGGTGGTTAATTGCATGAATTCAGTATCACCTGGGCAGATCATACGCTGTATTTCGAACATAGAATGTTGTGGGCCCAAGGTACCAGTATAACTTGGTATTACAACTGATAGCGTGAAGTATATCACAAAATAGAACAAACAACCACAGAAGTAGGGTTCGAAGGCTAATATTACCACGAGCAGAACAGCGTAGATCCTCCAAAGTGCCCTTGAAATAAGGCCCTAGTCATCTTTACAGGCTGGCATTTTATCTTGGAGTTCACAATCATTATATCCTTGTTCGAGGAGAACAAAAGCTTCCAACTGTCGTGAAGGTCGTCGGATTTATGATGGAAAGCAGTATTTTCCTAGAGTCTTATCATTTTGTAGCAAATCTTTCTCTACAAATTTGGTAGACTCTTTCCCTATGCTGATGTGAAACTCAATGCATTGACAAGCACAATAATTTATTAGCCTCAGGCAATCGATTTTCTCGAGCGATGAAAATATAGTGGTCGAATATACATCTAACACTGGTCGGACGTCGTTCACCAACCCGGGGGGGGGGTTAACTGTTAACAGCATGCTTTCCAGGCCGAAGGGAGCAAGTTTTGAGTATTAGAAGCATCTAAACTAATATTTTGATATTATCCTCGAGGCTGGTAAAGTCGCAAAGGAGATAATGAGGCTAATAACTATCTTCGACAAAGTTTTAATACTCTGTACAATGTACAAACTCATCATGACAATTAGCTACCGCATCTATCCGTGGGACCAACTGCCTCCGTTTTGGTTAATGGGTTAAAATCGTATTAAAATGAGCCCTTAATCGATCAGTCGCTGATTTTTGCATCTAGGTAGCAGCTGATTTAACTACATTGGTAGTAACGGTCAAGGTTGGAAGCTTCCATAAGTGCGAGCGACTATAAGCAGGCTTTAAACTGGCGATCCTTCCAAGGTTAGAAAATGCCATGCGGGAATTTAAGCTTAATCCATGTGTCGTGATCTTTGCTGTCACGGAACCCCAGAGTCAAACGTTATCAGCTATCCGTGTATCAAATTTGTAAAAGTTATCATATTGGTAATGGATTCCTGTCACAAAAAAATGAGTATATGCATGTCTATGTCTATCTAGATATCTACAACTCTATCTACAGCTCTATCTACAATATCTGTACAAATGCTTTTGTCTAATAACACAATGTCCCGGAGGTCACCTCCGGACTATCAAGCGTGCACCTCTCACGGCGAACTCCGCCTTTCGGTCCAGAGTGGGTCCACGAAGTAGACAACGCCGTGACCAACGGCGGCTGCAAGTGGTCCAACCTACCGAAGATTAGCAAAAGAATATCGGCAGAAAACATTCAACGACTCACCCAGTGAATCCAATGGTAGCTTGGGAAACTGGATGCCACGTAAGCACCAAAACAACGGGCCGGGTTCAGACCTGCATAACAGTAATTTATCAACAATCGCTCTTCCGCATCAGACGCTCCCTACAAGAAGGTAACTATATAACTCACTGGCACCAATATAGCCCTCACGGGTGAACGCAGTGCCCCAACTCGTGATACCAAGAACGATACCCACGAACCACGGCGCAGTAGCATGCCCAAAGACTTTAGCCTGTCTTGGATCGAGAGCAACACCGAAAGCCAAAAAGATCAGAATCAGGCAGGCAAAGAATTCAATGACCAATCCGTCACTAACACCCACCATACTTGTATCGATATGGCACCCACCAATAGTGATCTCACGGCTACCGTACGCACTATGCAAAGCAAACCCTGCAACAGCACCGCCAAACGTCTGGGCCGCCAAATATAAGACCATACGGGGGAAGGAGATGATCCGTGCGAAGAATGTAGCTAGCGTAATCGTCGGGCTAATATGCCCCCCACTGGATGGGGAAAAGGTATAGATCAGAAGTGGGGTGAGAAGCAGGTTGGTAATTCCACCGAAGAGGGGCGAGAAGAAAGTGACAGTGTGATAGACGCCAGCCTCGGTCTTGGGCGAGGTGGTTTGGGTAAGCGGGTGGGTAGTCACCCAGCAGGTGATGAAGACATTCATCAAGCTGGCTATAGATTCAAAGATGAGCATTAATATGTGAAGCAATGGGAATCAAGGGCCTGGGCCAAATTTTCACGAGGCTTGAACGGAAATTTTGTCCACTCAAGTGCAAGGGTAAGGCGTACCGACGAATTCCAGCATGGCGAATTTCCATAGATCTGGACTTAAAAAGCCGCGTAGATCAAAGATCTCACCGAGGCTCATGCACGGCGCAGCATCGGGCACCTCTTTCAGGACTTCGACATTCCTCGGATCATTCCGATCAACAATGAAGTCCTGATTTCCGCCGAGGCGCCCCGCAAAGGGTGGAATAGCGGGCTCCAGATACTTGTGATCTTCATGCTCTAGCTGGGGGAGATAAGCGGCGACCATTGTTCGATTGAGTTTCGGTATGGCGCTTGAGGAGTTTGAGACAAAACCTTGGCAGGGGTTGGCCATTGTTGTGTGTAACATACTGTGTTCTGATTGGTCGATTAGCTGACTCAGCGACACACTTGGCCCAATCGGCCAACGTTCGCCGAAGATTCTCCTGCAGTCTGCCAATCATTGCTGCACTTGTTATTAATATTATGTCAATATTGTATTGTTTTTTTTTTTTTGAAAGAGTTTATTTTGTTGCTTTTTCTTTACTTTGTAGGTAGATTCATTGAGTATTCCCTACACTATTGTACAACGTAAATGTTCGTCTACATGGTAGACTAAATTACGGAGACTAGGAAAAACCCTAAAGATAAGGAAAAGGAAACAATGACCAACCAAAATCAACGCCATATCATCTCCTGATAACAAAAATAGGTAAAGGGAAATTAGGAAAGTAAACATGAAAATCGTGGGACTCGTCAATGGCATTAATATGGCGACCTCACAAGAGGACCCTATAGGTTGAATTCTATGACCCGTTTCCATAAGCCTGCTCATTCGTCCCAGTATCTCTCCTTTCTCTTCGGACCTCCTTTTGAGCAATGCTCTCGGTCCCAGAACCTGTAGCGGCCACTGATGCTGCAGCTCTTCGTTTCGCCTTCTCCTTCTCCCTCTCCTTTTCCCTTTCCTTATCTCTTGCGCTCGGGCCAGCTGCCTTTCGCCTCTTAGGAAGTTCATAGACATCATTGAAATTCATCACAACGCCCAGGAAACGCATATCCACATCCGGCTGGTACGATAGATCACCCAGAAGAACAATAAGACGGGATCTGAATTCGGTGGAGAGTTCGCCCAAGCGAACACGTAGCGAGGCAAGCATGTTGTCGTCAGCTGTGAGGTTCGGACCTGAGAGTGACAGCGGGGTGTTGACGCCGTCAACGCCAGCACTGTCAGGTCGGATGTCAGGAGTCGATGCCATAGATGTTCCACCTCGGCTGTTGGACTGACGAAGATCCCGGTCCGTAGCGCCCCATTGACCCTGAGCGGCGCGGGTTTCAATCTTGGCGTTCATCTCCTGGCGGCGAGTGAACTCCGCCACAGAGAAGGAGTACAGCCCGTCCACGGCGTCCTTGTAAGCAAGCATGAACTTGAGGATCTGGTGGAGCTGGCTGAGAAAGCTTTCTTCAGGTTGTTTGGCGGAATTTGAGGTTGAGGTGGCGTAACGTGAGGAAGATGCAGATCCCAATAGGCCCTTGTGGGTGATAGAGTTGAGGTATTTGGTGTGTGCTTCGATCAGATCGTCCAATGTGCACCCAGGTTTTCGGGTAGCTTCTAAAAGCTGTTCCCAGCTGGACTCGATGACCTCAAACAAAATATAATATTGAAGCTGGTTGACGAAGTGTATCATTTCTGCGATTACGCATCGTGCTAGCTTCCAGTCTGGTCCGACTTTGTCTTCCACATTGCCGAGCACTCCTCGCGCGCCGGTCATGCATCGTCGCCAGGTGCTGTTCAGTGCAAATTCAACTCGCTTGATACGCCAGAGGAAGTTGAAAACTTTCAGGTACTGAGTCGATGCCCAAGGTGTGATGACCACGTCCACAGGGGCATCGATTTTGTATTCGAGCGTGAAGCAGTCCCACCCAATCTCACCATGGCTCAGCTCGAGCATACGGGCATCAAGTCGGCGTAGCACTTCTGGGGTATCGTATTGTGCATTGGAAGCACGGATAGCATGCTCCAATTGTGCGGTCAAGGTATGTCGGTATTGAGAATTAGCTGGTCGATCCAGGTTGGAGGCAAGGGACTCCATGAGCAAAGCAATGAAGTCTCCTTGGCCCAGCAATAAGTAGCTCTTCAGTGCTTTCAAGTGATCGAAGAGATTGAACTTTCCACTCATCAGGGAAATTAATCGAGCCATTGTTGTCTTATATGCCTCGTCAATGGATATTTCTAGAGTGGCGGTATCACCATATCGTAGCTCCTTGGAGGCTTTCTTGGAATAGGCCTCCACCCACGCGGAATCACTGCATCCATAGCGAATAAAGTTGAGAGATTTTCCAATCAGGAAAATCTTCTTTGAGAACTCCTGTGTAATGATTGACGGCACCATATCATCATCAAGCTTATATTTATCCTCCCAGACACTTGTTGCAATTCGTCGGGGATCAGTCTTCGGCCTGAACTCTGGATCTGCGACAAAAAATTCCTTGTATGGATCCGACAGCTCACCGTCGTAAATCCATAGCCGTAGCATGTCGTAAAATGGACGAGTCACATGTGCGAGAAGCTTTTCGGCGAAGGCACACACGAAAGGGTCTCCATGAGATGTAGAAAAGCCATGTATCAATGAAATCAATTGGCCGCCTCTTTTACCTGCGATAACTATCAGCCAAAGATCCAACGCAGTCGATCACAAACATGCTTACTTTGAGCCTCTTCCACAATCAAACTCATCAGTCGGAGAGCCATTGTGGCATCTCTCGTCCATACCACGCATCGTTTCAGAGTAACACTGCCCTTTCGTATGCCTTGGGACTCGGTTCCATCTCCGATTGCGGCCAGCGCCTGCCGAATTTCCGCCTCTAGTGTAGCCACTAAACTGAGATACGCCCGTAACTCAATCGCAATGGAAGCTCGCAGGCTCTGGTTCACGAGCCCCCCTTCTTCGCTCTCAACGAATACTGATAGACCTTTATATAGTAAACAAGGCTCCGCCAACGAGTTGAGAAGTGAGATTATTGGCGCAGGCAGATTTGAGGGCAATTTCAAGCTCGATGGGGAGCTGAACTGTAGGTTTGATGAAGACAAGCCTTGCAAGTTGAACGGCAAGTCGCGCAAAAGTTGATGTTCAATTGGCCCAGCAGATTTGATTTGGCCAACACTTGAGGGCCGGGGTGACGGGACACGCGCGCGCTCATCATTATAACGGTCGTTTGCGCCAGTGTCAACACGACTGACCGGTCTTTCTGTTGCACTGCGACTAGCATCGTTTACTTCATCACGATCAATATCATGCCGCAAGGAGCTTTGCTGTTCCACTTTCGCCGGTGGTGCTCGTTGATATACTTGCGAGGCCGAAGAACTAACAGCCGGCCCCTCATCCTCCGAGTCAATCGCCGTGCCCCGTCTGGGTCGTGCACCACCCTTTCCCAGCATATTATGCAAATGCGCCTCATCCAGCAATGGACTGCGGCTCCTCTCCCCGCCCTCCGCCGGCTCATTCGAAGCCGATAACTTGTAAAGCAAGAAAAGGATGCCCCATTTCTGCGACAATACAGGCTGCGTCAGAAGTCGGGAATAAAGATTAGAAAACCGCACCGCCTTATCTGGACTTTCATTCTCACGGCGCAGTTTGCGCTTAATGAGGTCTGGCGCGTTGTTGACACTCTCTGTTCCCGAAAAGCTTCCGCGGCGCCCTCCCAGCCCCGCTGGCGATCCGGGGTCGGGGGCATTGGTGGTGGGATGGGTATCAAGAATTCGCCAGGCCCGCTCCATGAGAACATGGTGTCGGCGGTTCTCAGCGGAGGCGAGGGCTTCTTCTTCGTCGGAGTAATCTTCGTTTCGGATCGCGGAGATCGGGAGCGCGGGGGTTAGCCCATCGACCAACTGGGAGAGGGCGTCATCTAAGCGACGCCCGCGCGTAGGGTTACGGGCCGAAGTCGACATTTTATGCCCAGTGCCCTATTGGGCGAATTGTTTGGTAAATTGTATTTAATCGCTCGTGGTTGTCGTCCGCGGGTGGGTTGTCGGGGAATCGTTGGGCAAGAAGGAACCCCGATCGGGCTGGGAGTTCGATGGAAAATATCGCGTTTGGAGCCGAGTACTAGGCTCTGGGTTTTTGACACAAGTTTGCGACGAACCTTGCTAATTGCATCTCAGTCAAAGCAACGCGGGCTGAAGCTTGAAGCTTGAATGTTTATGTTTGCGATGTTTGGTATATGTTAATGCCTTGTTTCTAAGGTATCAATATCTTATCAGCTTTATCTCTTATCAGACTTATCGCTATCAGACTTATCGCTATCAGACTTATCGCTATCAGACTTTGGCTATTCCGCCTTACCGGTAGTTCTCAGAACCCTGTTCGACAGAGTTGTAGATTTCCAAGGTTGTCTACAGCGCACAAACAATAAGAACAATGTATGTACTTGGAATGTACGGAGTAACAGATTTATACTTGCCAGCTCGAATCGCAATTATCCCTGCACTTTTAGCAAATTAGGCCACAGATCCAATTTGACAGTCCAAAGCAGATATAGAAATCTCACACCGAACTCCACCACAATTTTAAAAGACCGGTTGAGCATGGACTTCATAGGCCCAATCATTGGCCATATCTCACGATCTTGATTCTTTCGGTCACTATTTCAATGACCGTCAGGCCGAAGTGCATCAAGAAAGCCTTGATTTTGACCATATGGAGCATGACCCGCTATGGTGACGTTCGCGAGTCAATGAACTTTAAGATTAGTTTGGAGCCCCATTGTAATAGCCGTCTTTTTTATTTTATCATTTTCTTCCTTTGTCTCTCTGCCTCTGTTCCATTTTTGGTTTCTCTTGCAGCCTTGTCCACTTTGATACGGCGAATGGGCGTCGATCTCCCATGATGCGCACCAGCTCTGCGACCGCATCATCATTTTTCAGAGTCTTAGTCAATGCAAAGTTGAAATTATTTGCTGTTTTCTTGACGATTACAACTATTCTCCTTCTTACCCTATATTCGGAAAGCTTGTCTGAAAAGATCTCGCCTGACGCAAAAGACGTATTAGTGGACGAGAAAGACTACTGGACATGGGAAACGAAAACCCAGTTTCGGAAATCAGCTCCTGGCGATGATCATAATGTACCGAGCAATGAGACAGCATGCGACACATTCCCTTCGGACGTGCTATCGCGCATCCAAATCATTTTGAAAACCAGCGCAACCGAGAACCCCAAACGAGTCGATACGCATATGGCCTCTGTAACTCGCTGCATTTCCAACTTGCTGGTCGTCTCCGACAAAGAGACACAGCTCCACGGTCACCATGTATACGATATTTTGGCCGATTTGCCTCCCTCTGCTCGGGAGAAAATTCCCGAATTTGAAGGATACGATGCATTACAACGTGGAGAAACCAACATCGACGGCACAGCGGGCTGGAGGCTTGATCGGTTCAAGTTCTTGCCCATGGTAGAACGAGCCAAAAAAGTGAATCCCAGTGCCGAGTGGTATGTCTTCCTTGAGACAGATACATACTTTGTGTGGGACAATTTGTTCCGCATGCTTGAACAGTTCGATCCATCGTTCCCTCTATATATGGGCTCACCCGCGCCGGGTCGCAATATCGGGGAAGGAAAAGTGAACTGGTTCGCCTATGGTGGGTCTGGGTTTGTGCTCTCCAGGGCAGCAGTCGATACACTGGTCGCGCAGGAGACTGGTAAATATGGGCAGTTTACTGGGCAATCGCTCAGCGAGCAATACATGCAGGTCGTCACCGATGACTGCTGTGGTGACTCTGTGCTTGGATTTGCGCTTTATGAAAAAGGGATCACATTGTCTGGAATGTGGCCGATGTTCAATGCGCACCCGCTGGACTCAATTCCCTTCGGAAATGACGACCATTGGTGCCAGCCTGCGATCAGCATGCACAAGTCACAATTGAGTGATATGTTTGGGCTCACACAATGGGAAAACAATCGGGACAGGACGGTATGACTTCTCCTTGCCAGGCATGGTACAATCGCGCTAATTGATATTCGTAGAAACCGCTACTATACGCAGACCTGGTTGATTACCATCACCTAGGAACCTTGCCGGAGCGCAAAGGATGGGATAATGGTGCCTGGGGCGGTGTCATTGAACAACCGCAAACTCTGCCGCAACATCAGTCACTGGAAGCCTGTCGTCAGGCCTGTCAAGATAAAGATTGGTGTATGGCTTACACTTACGACACGGCTGGAGCCTGTGTGTTTGTTCGAACCATACGGCTTGGTGCTCCTAGCAAGCCAGATCTTGTCGACCAGTTCACAGCTGGATGGGATAACTCCAAAATCCAACGGTGGCGGGCGAATCACACGTGTGAAACACCGACTTGGGTGAAACCAAGTCTCACACGAATCTTCTAGGCGGTTCAAACTAAAACTATACGTAATTGAGTTTTGAAGAATCATATATCCAAATAATGTAATGAGAGATACAATCGTATGTATGGAAAACACAGCGATAGCCTTGATTATAGTGCCTCTACTTCTGTGAACCCTCCAAGATCCCCTAGTATGGCATGTTTTCATGGACTGCAATTAAAAACGATTTGAGCTATTGTATACGAATGATAATGATATCTACGCTATCTGGATAAAACACTTCCAGAGCGACTGTCGATTCATTTCTCAAACATTTGGTTCGAGGAAATAGTCAAAACAGAAAAAAAACCAACAAAGCCATCCGTACGCCAGGAATCATGTAGCTCGACACAAGCAACCCTAAGCGGGGAAACAAAAATGCACCTGTGTGCCCTCAAGTATTAGACAAGCGAAAGGTAAAAAGATCCTCTGAGCCATCAAGAGGATAATTAGAAAAAGAACAATGGGTAAAAAATACAACAGCGAAACGTCATCAGAAAACAAAAGCAATCAATCTCGAAGCAGCCATATAAAAAATATAAAAAAAGAATCTCATACGCCGGATTGACACGCCCTCAAAAAGGGTCATTCCAGACCGCCGAGTTAGCCCGTCCAGTTTTTTGAGTCGTGAGGATCATAACACCTGCCCATGCCAAAAGTTCCGGCAGAGGCTTGCCGGAGAAAACAAAGTGTGAAAATAAACTCCCAGGAAGAGAGCCACCGCCGAGTCTAAGCGATAACTTATATTTCCCGCGCGCGGTGAAGCAAAATAAATATCTCAAGATGAGAAACAGAGTCAGAATCCTTGCTTAGCGACGCATACCCTGGGCAGGGATGCCACCGGGCTGCATGCCCATGTTGGGGGGCATGTTGTAACCGTGATGTTCGTATCCGGTTCCCATACCATTCATCATAAGGGGACCGAGACCTTGAGCCTGGGAGACCGGGCAATCTTTGTGTGCTAGCAGAAGAGTCTTGAGGTTGACGATTTCCTCGCGGAGCTGAGTCACTGTGGCAGTAAGGGCATCATTTTCTGTGGTGAAAAGCTCGACCTTGGCCTGGAGGTTGGCGAGCCACTGCTTCTTCCGTTGACGACACTTCAGAGCCGCAACACTATAGTCCAATTATTAGCGTCTCAAACCTTACAAATGATCAAGGCGTTTATCATACCGATTGCGCTCCAGGAAGTTGCGCCGCTTCTCCTCATCCGTCATTTTCTTGGTGTCCATGGAGAACTTCTTATCGTCTTCATCATCCATATCATCGTCATCCATATCAGATGGCATATCCACGCTCATTTTGCTCCGTTTGTTGGGGCCCTTCATGTGGTCTTCAGCCTTGCGGCGGTTGTTTGCAACAGGTGCCTTGGGCGCATTCCTCTTGCCCTTGCCCTTGGCAGGTTTGGCAGGTTCCGCATCGGATACATCTTCTGCGCTGGTACCGTTGGTGTTCTGGGACACACGGCGATTAGTCGCAGCTCGGGTGTCGTTTTGCATGGAGGATTGGTTCATTGCTGAATTATTCCCCTGGCCACCCTTTGCCAGCATGAATAGTCCGTTTGCTGCATCAGCCGCATCATGTTGAGTAAAATCGGCAGGCCGAGGAGGTTTAGCGTCCATGTTAGCTGCAACACCTTGATCCTGCTCGTTGGGGTTTGATGTGGGAGCATTCGCGTTGTTCTTCTTTGCTGCGAGGGCGGTGCGATGGAAATCAATGGTTGAAGGAGTTGCGCCACCGTTCTGAAGTTGTTGCAATATAGCCTGGGAGTTAGGACTAGGGGCCGGGAACATCGAGCCACCACCCCCGGGGGTTAGCCCAGTACGGAGGGAAGACTCGTTCGGTGTAGGGAAACCGCGACCAATACTGTCAAAGTAGTCATTAGAGCCGGTGGGCCCTGGAAGCATAGCCGGACTAAGAGGTCCCGAGCGAAGTGAGTTGGACCAATTGTACCCGTTGCCAGTGTTACTTCCAGGCAACGCCGGGGAGGTGAGTGCAGCCACAGAGGGCAACAGTGATTTTCCCGGTGTATCGTTTGGCTGGTTTCCACCACTAAACGACTGTTCAAACGGGTTCGGCTCCAGCGAGAAGGGATTGTGCATAGAAGTGAAATAGTCTGGGGTATCAGACGCAGTAGGCGCACCCGGTCGCGGAGGTGGCGCCAACGAGGTCTGAGTTTCTATGTTGGATTTCTGGTCCTTTGAAGACGCGGCCTGCGAGTCTAGCAGGAGGTTAAGTTAGCTATGACGCGCCAAGAATTAATGCGATCGCAAATAGGTACCACTGCGGTTCTGAGATCGAGTCGGGTACTTCATGGTGTGTCAGGGTATTGTGGTGGGGAGGGAAAAAAATCAATGACGCCAGTCGGTGAAGTCATCGCGACGGCAAAGGGCTGATTTAAGGATCGGGGACAGTGGCGTATTACCAACCCCAAAAAGGGTCTGAAGTATAATGCAGGTAAAGGGGGAAATACGACAACAATATTCATAGTATAAATCACCAATGTGAGATATAATTTGAAGCAAAAGTACTTCAGAAAAATTGCGCGTAAACGAAAAGAGTGACACAAACCTTCTTTTTCCTTCTTCGAGTCCATAGGAGAAGACATATTTTGGAGAGTCGACACGGAGGCGACTGCAGCAGACATTGCCTTAGTGACTTTGATATTGTATAATGATATATGCGCAAAGCCTAACAAGCCTTGGAGTTGAGAGAGAGAAAGAGAGAGAGTGACGTAGGGGGAAGAGGGATTATGATGAAATTTAGGGATTTTGGGATTTTTACTTTACGTAGGGTAATAAATACTGTATCAGTATACTGTAATTTTTAAAAAAAATTATGTATTTATGTCCAAGATTGCATGAACAAAAACCTGGTAACAGAGATATGAAAATATTTGTATGTAACTTCAGGTTCCATCTCACTAAACGTTCGGCCTTCATTTCCCAAGATTACCTAGTTAGATTGTAGTCGGAATATTTCTGGTTTACATTCGTCAACCCAGTAGTTCCGAAAAAAAAAAATCTAACTGTGCTCGTGCTATCTCTCAACTGTTATATGTTGTATACCATACACCTGGCCTCGACACAACAAAGTGGAGACTCGGTTGAACAATTGAACCAATATAAGCCGATATACCCTTCCAAGAGCGGAACTAACCTTGGAACCCGCTTCAACATCACTCCAGAAAGAAAAGATTTCACGATGCAAAAAAATAGATCCTTCCAATCAAATATTGCTGACCATAACAAGTTGTAACAACTAGATGCTTGCAACCTCGAACCCCTTTGAGGGTCACAAAAAAAAATTACCCATTATGTCACGGTGACGACAAGAATTTCACCCGCTGTGGGTCTTTAATACAACAAAACCAATCACAATACAGGGGTCCAAAAATGCCAAGGCATAAGATTTCACGAAACCGAAGAATGCAGTGAAAGATGACGCAATCAATACACGTGAATATGTATCTTGCTACTATTACTACTACTACTACTACTACTACTACTACTAATCTGATATCTATCATCAGGCAAATAGAGAAAATTACCAGAAAACTTGAGAAAATGTAATTTAATAGGGACAGAAATTCTGATGTACTTTTGGCCATTTTGCTGATATTTTATCGAAAGTACGGAGCGAAAAGATAAATGAAAAAAGTTCGTACGACCTATTACCAACTTCGAAATTATTAATCAATCCTAGTATTATAGATGCCCCTAGGGCCAGTACGCGTCCTGTAACTATGCATTTACAAATTATATAATCCAGATCGCGTCCGGCACTTCGCAATTGTAAAATTACAGGCACGATGTTGTGATAACTTGCATCCACTAGAGTGACGATCACATGATCCCTCTGATCGGGACTGAATGTCAAGGATATTGGACGAATATGAAGTTTAGATGTTCTAAGTTTAGCCTGATAGCTAGTAAACAGAATTGAATTCATTAGGTGGTAACTGCATATGCACACGTACCACGTAACTATATACTACTTAGCTACAACTCCACCCATCGTAGGCACACAATGTGCTTATTATATACCGACCAGGTAAGTTTTGCTTAGGGCACACACCTACTCGTGGGGCAATGGGGTGCTCCATGAACGTGCACAATAAACAACAAACTGAGATTTGAATGGACGATTACATACTACATATAGCTATACCTAACTGATTGAGGTTGATCAAGTGGTCTGGGCCGAATTAGCCTTATAATCGCCATAACACCATTCGACATGATATTTTGTCGATCATTTTGATATTGTTCCCACATCACTTTGTGGAGAGCTGTTTGAGGTTTTCTCGCGGTCTTGGCCCTGATAAGCTGTGGTTGAATGTAGTAGGTATTTACAGGTATCTTCATAACTACCTACAGTGTGGGACTACCTAGGTAGCATGTAACCTCCTTTAAATTAGAGAACACAGCCACATAATATTCAAGGAATATTCTATATATAGGTTTCAGATACCTTGGTTATTTGATATGCACAAAGAAACCGATCGATTCGATACCTAGGTACAAATCGACAGATGAACAGACTAGTCCTAGATGTTGTAAAGTTACATATGTAATCAAGTTTATTATGTATCCGTATATGAAACATACATAGGTACGTTGTATGCAACATATATATAGTACTATACGAGACGATCCTCACATGAGTTCCGTCAACAAACGAAGACACTCTCAAGTCGACATTTTTTATCCTCGATAAGAGCGTATGTTTCACATCGAGTCAATTCAACTACATATCTTACCCATATAGTTGGGATCTTATACATCCGGAAGAGCACCCGAGCCACATCAACATGTTACCGAGCCAACGCTATCTTCAAATAGCCCGGTAGTAGTAGCTTACGTAGATGTTTCGGCCTTCAAGATGACGCTGTCGCTGTCGTTGCTATAGAACCACCGGACTCTCGCATCATCGATGTCGTCCAGATTGGCTCAAAACATGGCAATCCCGATATACGGAAAATGGCTACAAAGGAAAGAAGCTTCTTCCATACTGTCGACTCAGCTCGCCAACCAAATGGAAATGAACGAAACCATTGCCCGGAATCAACATCTTCTATTGAACTCGAGCAGATGGTCGTAGAAAGCTGTGCTTAGAAAGAGTTTCAGAGGTTCTACGTCTAATTGAGGCAGGTATATCATCAAGCTGTAGTGACTTACGCTGCATTGGCTTGGTCCCGCTTCGCCAAATCCGATTGCTATAGGAAAAAAAAAAAAGATCACTAACAATAAACATACATCGAAAGGACTTGTCACAGCTACACCACAACCACATTCCCTATCTATCTACTTCGACTGAATTAATCCAAAATGCAAAAAAATGGGGTGAGCCGGGATCGAACCGGCGACTTTACGAATAAATGACTGTGTGCTTCAGTCGTACGCTCTCCCAACTGAACTATCGCCCCATTAGATGTGAAGAACACCAGAAAAAGTGTTTATAAAGCTATTCTGTATTTACAACGACAGGTCAGGGTAAATCTTGAGGGATAGCCCACAAAATTGCTCACAATGTACAGATGTATGTATATTATCTTTCACCTTGCACTTGGTTCATCCTTAGATTATTCTGCTAGCTACCACCAGTAGGTAGGTAATATACCGACTTGTACCTAGGTAGGGTCATTGTAGGTATGCGCCGCAGTCTCCTATCTCTTGATTACTTCATAAGCTATTCCCGTCTGGGAGAATATGTATGCACAGATGTACTTTTTCTCACTCCACATACATGTATGTAAAGTCCCTGAAGAAAGGACAAATATCGATGTTTAAGATGTACCATAATTTCACGTTTAGAAAGCACAAATGCGATATAGGCGGAGGGCGTGGATTGAGGATTGACATATGGAGTATAGTTCCCTTATCAACGATGTGGGGGGGAATTGTCATGTTTACAACTACCAGATCATCTTGCGTGTAAATATATAACCCTTTATGAACCCCGGTAAGTGGAGTAGTTCCAAGGACCCAGCAGAACGGGCACATGGTAGTGGCGCCATCCCTCCTCACCCTCACGCCCACGACCCTTAACAGTGAACTTGACCTCGACCTCTGGCCAGAAGCTCTCAACACCCTGGGCCTCGTACCAGGGGCCAACGTCAAAGCGCACAGACCAGTTCGTCTTGGTATCTGCTGTATCAAGCCCAGCCAAGATAGCAGGAACAGACTCCTCAGTGGTTCCAATGGGTGTCCAGTTGGCTACACGGCCATCGGCGTTGGTGGTTGCACGGAATGTGGCTCCGTTGGCAGACGCGGGGCCGGAAAGGAGGGTCAAGGTCACTGGCAGATTTGCGGCCGGTGTACCTGAAAGTGTGTTGAGGCAATGACAAGTGATGGGGTCACGGGCAGCCATGGTTGGTTGTTGGTTGGTTCTTTCTGAGTCTTTGGAATTTTTGGAGTGCAGGGTGGGGGAGATTTGTTGCTGATAGAGGGCGAGGCGGTCGGTGACGCGGTCAAGTTGAGAATTGTTTCGGGGGGAATCCATTCAGAGAGGAGAGGCGAAGCTTTAAACAGAAGAAAAGTCCATTAAGTTGAGCAGTGTGCTTTACATTTCTACTTAGTGGTAGTCATCGGAGGCTACCGATGGGTGCGGAGAGTGCCATGCAGCTATCAAGGTTCCGGATAATTGCACATTTGTCGACTTGATTTCTTCTTCTTCTTCTTCTCCTTCCTTTTTTTGCCTTCGGGTTTTTCTTCCTTTTGTTTTTCGATTAGTTCAAGATGATAAGTTTCTTGAAATACAACGTTATCGATTCGATTCTGTGAGGTTCAAAACTGGTAGTAGTAAGCATGGTATCATTGCAATCAGACATGACTAGGTGAAGACAAATAGATATTACTCGATAAGCTTGGAATTGATCACAAAACATGCATATAAATAATTGAATTAAAGAAACAACTCCAGGGCGCAAAGAGGGTGTGTTGTGTCAAAAACCAGACCGTCTTCCGGAAAGTTCGATTTGCGGGGCAGGCCAACTTTACAACTCGAACACCACACTTCACCTCTCAACAACCACACACACACACAATGTCTTCCGCTGTGGTGAATGGCGACGATCTCGATATGGATCCTACGCTCCAGTCGGTCCTCGACCAAAAGACACTTCGCTGGATCTTCGTGGGAGGCAAAGGAGGTGTGGGTAAGACCACTACATCATGCTCGTTGGCAATTCAGCTGGCCAAAGTCCGCAAGTCCGTCTTGCTCATTTCCACCGACCCCGCACACAACCTGAGCGACGCTTTTGGCCAGAAGTTCGGAAAGGAGGCCCGCCTAATCGATGGCTACTCCAACCTTAGCGCTATGGAGATCGACCCCAACGGGAGCATCCAGGATCTGTTGGCCACCGGAGACGGTCAGGGCGAAGACCCAATGGCAGGATTAGGCATGGGTAACATGATGCAGGACCTGGCCTTTAGCGTAAGTGCTCATGCTGCCATCACACAGTCTATTACGTGTCATTCTAACTCTGGTGGCGCCAGATTCCCGGTGTTGACGAAGCCATGTCTTTCGCCGAAGTTCTGAAGCAGGTCAAATCGCTATCCTACGAAGTGATCGTATTCGATACCGCACCCACCGGTCACACCCTCCGTTTCCTCCAATTTCCCACTGTGCTAGAGAAGGCGCTCGCAAAGCTCTCCCAGCTGTCCACCCAGTTTGGTCCAATGCTCAACTCGATTCTGGGTGCCCGTGGCGGCCTCCCTGGTGGTCAGAATATGGATGAATTGCTGCAGAAGATGGAGTCGCTGCGTGAGACTATTAGCGAGGTCAACACGCAGTTCAAGAATCCGGACATGACCACCTTTGTGTGTGTTTGCATTGCGGAGTTCCTGTCGCTCTACGAGACAGAACGTATGATTCAGGAATTGACCAGCTACAAAATTGATACCCACTCGATTGTTGTCAACCAGCTGCTGTTCCCCAAGGAAGGAAGTGACTGTGACCAGTGCACTGCCCGGAGAAGGATGCAGAAGAAGTACCTCGAGCAGATCGAGGAACTCTATGATGATTTCAATGTGGTCCGCATGCCTATGCTCGTTGAAGAAGTGCGCGGCAAGGAGAAGTTGGAGAAATTCAGTGAGATGTTGGTGCACCCATATGTGCCTCCTCAGTAGAGGAATGTCGATGCAAGATATGCAAGATACACTTTTGTCGCTTATGTCGGACGAATTATGAAAAGACTAAAGAATAATGCATGAAGCATGATCGGCTTCCAATGGATTTTTAGTGAGATCAAGAGCGTAGAAAATTCATGGATCTATGCAAGACATGCGGAATGGGCGGGCAAGTTGTCACATCCTAATTAACCTGTATGATGAGCCCAGGGGTCCTAGAAAGGGCTCTTCTCTTATGATTGACTTTCGGTCGATCGGAGAAAAATACAACGCACAAAAGCCTTAGACGAATGAGAACCAATACGATTAATGTATGCAGAAACTACTCCGTAGAGAGGGCGAACCAAAGCTCTCTCCATTTGCCATGTGTTTCGGCATGAAATCCAAAACCCATAGATATTCTTGGCAATGTGACTGAACAAAAGAATTGATGTCCAAAAAGCGAGAGCTGCAGATTTTCTCACTGCAGGCTAGTGGCTCAGCGGTTTAAGGCGACAATCCGTGGTGCCACGACATCACCGCAGCAAGAGCCAATTTGGCGCTGCATTTGAGAATCTGCGGTGAAGGAAAAGTTGGTGAGAACACCCATTCGCTTCGCTTTCCCAATGCTATACTTTAGTATGCATCTTTCAGGGATTGCACTCCATTCTTATGCGCTCTTTGGATTGATTTGAGACCAATCCTTTGCCAGCAAGCCTCACTGTTATCTGCTGGGTGCTCGATAGCAAGGGGTGGAGATTGGGCAGAGCAGCCAGTTTAGTCAAAAGTTATAAATTGACATACCGGAAAAAAAAGGGTTGGGCATCGTTGTCTGACACAGTGCGGCGGGTCGTTCTTTTCTTGTCATCAGTCGCCCGAACGTTCCGACATGAACTATCCTCTCACTAGGACACAGATCTGAGCCAATTCTAGTGATAACGCCGTTATATGATTTTACCTCCTCTCATCTCCCGTGGAGGCGAACTTGGGAGTTGCTGGGTTTGTGGACAAGCGGTTTCATTGCCCACAACCAGTGGCCTTGTGGATGGTGCACCTGCTCTGAACAGAGGGTACGCGGTCCCCTTTCCCGTTGATTGTCCTGTAATATCATATTCTCCGAGGGATCGGACTGGCCCTTAGTGCACCTCCGCTTAAGAATTGTCTTTTTGATAGGCACAGAAAGGGTGTCGACGAATCTATTTATACCCATGACCTGTCCGCCAGAAAGATTGTCAGAAGTCCTATAGCAAAAGCTCGGATAAGGACCTTTTGTCAGTGTCGACTGGCGTCAAACCTAACCTTTCATTCGCCTTGCCCCCCTCGCTTCACCACTGAGTTCTGACAATGTCTCCCGTCCAACAATATTGGCTTCCAGGCTATGGGCTGTCCCGACACATTGTCTTGGGACACATCCAGTATTTCCTTGGGCCATCTGCATCAGTCAGACCTTATAGTTACCAAGTATGTCATACCGCTGCTTTCTTATCCCCCTTGCCCTAGAAGACCCATCTAACATGTGTTACAGGGACGCGAAGGTTACCTCATCGTCGGCATGCCTCTCACGCGGGTTCGTGGTCCCAATAATATTGAGCTATGGATCAAATTCAAGACGTATAAAAGCCGGATCTTGCTGACTCTTCCAACAAGGAGCAAATCGATGATCTGGCCGCAATGTCCCGAGAGTACGAAAAGCAAGAAGCTACTCGAATGACCCAAAACAACAGTAACAGCTCGGCATCCAGCCCCAACAGCGAGAACTCGGCACATCAGTCCCTAGATGAGCCCTATATCAACGAAATCATTCCAGTGAATGTGTCCGGACCACGTAGGCGTGCAGAGCCAGACTCGCGTGGTGGTCGTTGAGACCGACTTTCCTTACTTCCCGTTGGACTTACGGTTTCATTCTCAGCCCCTGGAAAGACCTAAGGTTCCGTTGGCCAACTAGTAATCTCACCAGCTGTATCACTGTTTGGTGCTGCTCTGCCCTCGGATGTCTTTGCTTGCTCTCCCTAATTCCGAGAGGCCACAACCCGGATATTGGAACCAGGATTTCGTTGAACGCATCGTCCCAGTGACCCTTACGAAATGATCAGTGGAGGAATTGAGCCCATTCCGGGAATTGGAACTGTTGTTGTCGGCAGTTGTCGTGCAGTTTTGTGAATGGATAGCTATCATTGCAGAAACTATAATGGGATAACAATCTTGAACTTCTGAAAAGGTAGTATATGGAAGCCTTGCATGTCATTTGGAGCACATCAAGGAGCCAGGTTACATGCCACTGTCTCCTGACATAGTCATTTAGTTTTTATCCGGATGGTGGAGAAGCAAGGAAGTTGGGCTTGAATCTACTTTAATTTAGGTTCGTGAAGTCCTGAGAAATAGGCCTCTTTGCTACTTCGATTTTTTCATAGCCATATTGGCGGTTTAGTCTAATACACAGACGGTATTGGCTTTGGAATGTGATGTTTCATTGTGAAGTGCTATGGTAGAGATTCACCGTTTCCATGTCACAGGGTTTTCTCCAACTCTCTCGGGTTCACTTTGTCGTGTTCTTTGTTAATGATTACCGACTTAGCATTGTTGATTCCTCGACTAAAAATACCATGGACTCGACAACATCTCACCCATGAGATGCTCCACGTTGTCGCGGATCCGGTTCCGAATAATGCGTGCTTCATCCAGGGTCTTACCAGCAGGGTTGGGGATCCCCCCGGTCGCAACGGTGCACTCCGGCGAAGAAAGGGCAGGCATCAGGACATTTGAAAGTTATAAGAACGTCGCTGCTTCGAATAACATCGGTGGTAAGAGGCTTGGGCACGTCGCCAGTGAGATAGACTCCATCTTCAATCATAACCTCGACGACAATAGGGTCGATGAATTCAGCTGGAGCTGGCCCGGCCGACGAGGCTCTGATGTAGTCGCGAGAGAGAAGTTTGACGTAACCAGCTGCAATTTGGGAGCAGCCTGATTTGTCGTGGCAGACAAACAAGATTCTGGGTATTCTCATGGTGTTGATTGGACGATTGTGAAGAGAGATGTTGGAAGGGAGTGATGTAACTGGGATGGCAGTGTCTGGTGGCTGCTGTGACGCCACGTATAAGAGAATTTCTGGTATCGGTGCATGATCGCGTGTAGATACACATGTACTCGTGGAATGAATTTATGGCCTCAGGTGATCTGACTACAGGCTACGATTTTCAAAGTTATTGGGACCTTTGCTCATCATGTCTTTATGCTTGGAACGCTCTTTCATGGATAGTCATATATGAAGGAATCTATTGCTTAGCTGGTCCAAATGAACAAATTAAATGTAAAGATTAATTTTCTCTGTGTATATCCTGTGACTGGGTCGATGGCAACTAGCGATAGTTACTACTGGAACGAAAATAAGGTCAGCTCTCGAGCAGGCCTGGTCTTCATTATTTTCATAGCCAAGGCCCTAAAAGTGGATATCGCAGATCAAGTTGTAACAGTCTATAAGCAGGCTCGATCCTCTACCTAGGTACGCTAGTATATACACAGAGCGCTAATTGAAGCCTTTGTTCAGGATTGCTTTGTTCTGACTACAAGCAGTATACCCCTAGGGTGTCTCCAGCTCACTCTCCACAATCCATCAAGAAGCTCGTTCCCTGGGCAAACAAGATGAGAGAAGCTTGATATTTCTTTTGGGGTTTAACCTTTTTTTATTTAAAAAAAAGCAAGTATTTCATTTTATGGTCTTGACTCTGTCTAGTATTATTGCCCCCAATTCCCAAGTATCTCGTCCTTTTATACATATGTAGATGTAGACAGTTCAATGTACTTAGGATATTGGATGTCCACTTTTTAGTCTTCGCCTACTCGGCTCAATCTAGCCAATCAGCATTCACCAGTGACATACTTCTCTTATACAAAATGTCTCTCGACATACTTATCACCACTTGCGTTCATTTTGTCTTCTAAATGCAATCTCTGAAACGAGCAAGGCCAAAGTTAAGGTCAAAGCTTCCCCGGATTCCTCCACTGGGTCAACGTTTGCCAATGCATTCTATTGCTAAGCCAATGACTACAAACATGCATGCTCCCTACCAATTGGAACTGGCCCTAAGTGAAGACGATCCGGACATCCGCCAGAAATATCGGCCATTCATCCTCAAAGACAACAATGCTGATGACTGGATCAACAGTCTGGAATTGGAAACTGTGTCGGACATGGCCCAGCAGAATCTCAAGACCACAGGCAAGAGACTCAAAGTTTTGGTGCTCTACGGCAGTCTTCGAAGAAGGTCCTACTCCCGGCTAGTGGCACTGGAAGCATCACGCATCTTATTTCGACTTGGCTGCGACGCCCGTGTCTTTGATCCCAGAGGTCTTCCGGTAAAGAACGACAGCGATACCGAACATCCTAAAGTACAAGAGCTCCGCGAGCTTAGTATATGGAGTGACGGCCAGGTATGGGTTTCTCCCGAACAGCATGGAAACTTGGTTAGTACCTTTTATACCCTAGTGAGCGCCAATTGAAGACTAAGCTATTTATAGACGGCTGTTTTCAAAAACCAAATTGACTGGATCCCCTTGAGTACTGGTAGTGTTCGTCCTACCCAGGGCCGCACACTTGTTGTTGCGCAAGTATGTGGTGGATCACAATCCTTCAATGCAGTAAACTCCCTGCGTCTCCTCGGTCGTTGGATGCGAATGTTCGTTATTCCAAACCAATCTTCGATTCCCCAAGCATACACCCATTTCCCTAATGAGGGTCAGCCAGGGGATCAACGGCTATTGCCGAGTGGCAATCGAGATCGGTTGGTGGATTGCATGGAGGAATTTGTCAAATATACTATTCTCATGCGGTCTCACGTTGGGCTTTTCGCTGATCGTTTCAGCGAACGCCAGCAGAGGCTCAATGCGACAAAGTAGCTTAATACATTGTGAAACTTGTAACAAAATTGTTCAAATAATTGCAATGTTCTCATGATCTGGCATCAATCATTTGATCATTTGATCCTTAGAAGAGATCATCGAGTGCTAAGAGAACCTACCATGGGACCATAAAGCCTATGAACAGAATTATTGTCAAAAAAGATATCATCTTTCACTCATCTCTATAGACCATTCGTAACAGCATAGATCAATCAGACCCCAAAAATCGAGGAGTCTACTACATTCATATCTCCATCTCTCTTCTTTTTCCCCCTCCAACAAAAAAATGAACAGGGGGCGCCATGTCTTGTGGCTGCCTTTTAGGGCCACCTCCCCCCGACCCTCGGGCCAGATATGGCCAATACATAAAGGAGTCAGACAATATATCTGACATAGGGACAAGTGATAATATAGGGAGGGAGAGAGCGTGCATAAGAACTGCAAGATGACTAAAGAGATAAAGAAATAGGTAAGGTGGACCACCAAAAAAACGCCAGCCGGATGCCACTCTGCATGGTGTCCCATCCCTCAAACAACCGTGTTGTGACCTACACGGGGAGATCACTAAAAATGGGTAGGCAGAAACAAGTTGAAAATCACATAACAGAGAAAAGATCAGTTTTCGACATCAGGTCATGCGGATGTTTATTTTGCGACAGCCGAGCTAGAAGAAGTTGTTAGCAGGTGAAAGATATAAATGGTTCGTTACTGGGTGTGCATACCTCAAGACTTGTGTGCGGAAGAAGGCACCCTTGGTCTTCTCAATGACTTGCTGATAAACAGACTGGGGAGGGTGGTTCATGATAACAGTGCCCTCCTTGTAGTCGATCTTGGCATCGACGCGGGTGTCGCGGATCAGGTTGACAATCCACTTCTCACCTTCATCCTGGCTTAGACCGAGGCGAGTAGACAGGTCGCTAAATAGAGTATTAGCCTGCTGGTTCGGTCACTTTTTCCGTCCAAATTCAACTTACTTGATGTCAATACGCTGGTGGATCTTGCAGTAGCTCTCGGAAATGAGATGACGGGCAGCATCGACGAAAGCATCAGCAGCCGACACAAGGAAGAAATCGCTGCGGAGCACATCCTCTGCCTCGCCAAGCTTCTTCTGTGCCTCCTCGAAATCGAACTCGACGTAAAGGGCCTTGACGAAATCGGTGATGGGGTCTGTGTACTCGTAGTCCTCCTGGCGCACAACGCGGATCAGATCCTTCAATTGCTTCTGGTAGACACCGGAGTGCTTGTGGGGGCGGCTGCGGTTGGTGATGACGGCGGCGGCGAGGTATCGCAAAACCCAAGGGCAGCTGGTTTGGATAGTGTTGATGTAGGCGGGGGAGAAGAAAAGGTCGGTCAGGACGTCGCGGGCGGGGTCGTGGTTGAAGAAGGGGAACAGCGACCAGTGAATAAGCCAAGAGCGGTTGGTGAGCTGAGCCATGGGATTGTTGAACAGGCGGGTCTCAATCGAGTCCTTGACCTTCTGAACCTCCTCCATCGCACCCTCCCAGTTGGTGGTCAGAATCTCTGAGGCGAGCTTACCCCATGTAGCAGAGGCGACCTTATCGTTGTCGGTGGACAGAACGCGGAACTGGTAAAGCAACTCGGCGGCATTTCCGTAGCTACCGCAGCTGTACTGGAACCGTCCGTAGTCATGAAGGCTGTTGACCATGTCGTTGGTCACACCGTGCTGCTCCTCGAGGAACCGCAAGTTAGCGGCCTTGTCGCTCCGCAGGTTACCCACAACCTCCTCATCCTGCAACAACTCGGTAATCTTCTCGCTCTGATCCTGGTAGTGCTGTAGCTTGGACAGAACCTCCTCGCGCTTCTTCACAAACTCGTCGGGAATGGTATCGGAGTTGTTGATCTCCTGCCACAAGTTGGCGACGTAGTCGGTCATGTTGGTGTGCTTCAGGAGCTCGTACTTGGCCCGGGTGATTTCTTTGTCCTCCTCATCGCCGGTAGCGCTGAATTCGAGCAGGGGGAAGACCAGGTGACGGTCGAGGTACGGGATGAGTCGGGGGAGCAGATCATGCTGGGAGGCGATATCCTCGGCGGCCTTAGGCGGGTGAGTAGCAGCGCCGCTGAGCAAAGTCTCAGCGGTAGGCGGGGCGTTGTCTGCCATGATGGGTCTATAAAGATGGCAGAAAAGGGAGAAAGTCAAGAGGGGATAACAAAGGGCCAACCGCGATCAATGGAGAATTTGCAGATTGTGCGGGCGTCAGTGGCCCTAAACCCTTTTTGGAAGTGGGTGTTAAGAAGCGGTGGCAGAAAATCTGAGCAGAGCGCAGAGCATCAGATGTTGGTCCGCGATTCCCAGTCTCTGCCAATATCCCTCAATCTTCAATACCTGGGGTTTTCTCTCACGGTCCTTTAGAAGACTCAAATGGCTTCTCTTCTACACTCGGGATCGGCCTCGTCAGCCATGCGAAAGCAGGTTGTTACTCTTCGCGTCAGCCCTGGACAGTCCGTGGCTTCCGTCCAGACATGTAGCTCATTTTCCACATTATGTCCTCAGGCAAGGTTGCAAGTTTCACGTAAGTGTCTTTGGATTTCAATACTTCTTGATGTTTTTATATCATACAAAGCATACATCAGGTTTCCCAAGCCTGTTTCATATCTTGCGATCAACATACAAGAGAGAAAAACATGAATGCAGATCGTGTTGGACTCAATTTGGGCTTCATTTTGCAAGTAGAGCGCGTGGCTAAATTTTTACTTCAGATCGTCCTCAATTTTCTCTACCAACCCTCCCTACTCGCCAAAGCCGCACTTTCCTCACCCATCTCCGTCATCAAGCCCAAGCCCTGAAAACACCCCCTACACCCGCCACATCAGCGAAGACGCCCAGCCCTGATCTGCAGCTTACGAATCTTCCTTATTTCGTCCGTCGTACTGCCTCCAACACGCTCCCTGTCTACACCGATGTCAAGGCCGGCGGCACTAAGAAGCTCACCAAGATTCAAAAGACGGAAGGTGATCTGGACGCACTCCGCAATGACCTGGCTCTTGCGCTGGGTGTTGCTGATGGAAACAAACCTAATCCCGAAGTGACTCTCAACCGACTCACTGGTCACATCATTGTCAAGGTATGTCTCGCAACCGCTGTGGTTTTGTACAGCAGCAAATACTCATATATCGTACAGGGCTGGCGCAAACCCGAGATTGTGAAATTCCTACAGGAGCGGAGATTTTAAGTCATCCTTTCTCTAATACCTATCTCTTCTACATTTTCGCGAACAAGACCTTATAAGGCTCTACTCGTGACCAAGGCTAAACAGCAAAAAATTATGAGCGTACCCTTATCAGAGGCGTATGTTGTAGCATACTTATCCAAGAGAACGAGAACCCAAGTGCGTCGAAAGCAAGGGAAACAAAGGAAGAAATGAATATTGAAGGTGGCTCCTGATATGAATGGGTAATCTCCATTTTCTTGGATTTGTTTCCTCCCCTTGGGCATATCTCAATCTCGTTACAGGTTGTTTTCTTTCTTCTATTTCTTTACCTGTTGGTGTTTGTGTTTTGTCTGCTCGGTCGTGTCTTCTGGCGTGCACCTTTGTCTTTTGCTTTTTTCTCCTTCATGTTCTTCTCTCCATCTGTAACATTCCTACCCTGTATATTTTCGACGACTGGATGGGTGCTAGCTCTTGCCTTTTCTATTGCATGACTTCATAAAACGATGCCATATCACTAGAAATACACTGCTTCACCTGAATGATCTGGGTCTGAACCCAATGGCAACGCGGCAGTATTATCTGGTTTTCAATTGCACGTTGAACTGTCTCGTACACCACAAGTAGGCACCTTGACGTAGGTATTTTCATTCAATGTACTCCAGAAATTCTTTCCTATGGAGATCTGTGTCTATTTGATGGCATGGACCTAATCGATGGTTTTATGGGAGATGTCATTGAGATTACAATCTCATATGAACGCTTACAAATTCATCCCCCTAGGGGAAGGAGTACGCAGTAGAAATAGCCAATTGGGGTTATCATGCAGGATCACTCGATTTCCATCGAGGGTATTTTGAGATTGTACACTAAACAAGCAGAACGCTATCTCACAAGTGAAGAAGAAACTAGAACCCCGTTGCCTACCAGCGCCCAGAAAGAAGAACAAGGAGACAAGACCATTGGCATGAGTACAAATGACATGAGAGAATTTCAAGATTGTCGTATATGCTGGACAAAAAAAAGAACTAAGGCTGCTCAGAGAGGTGTAGCCGGTTAATCTGTTCCTGGAGCACATTGGATATTCATTTCGGGACCATTCTACTCCGCCAATCGAGCATAGCTGAGCAGCTGGCGAACGACACCTCCGTCGATGTTAGGGAGGAGCAATGCACCCAGCAAGCTCTCTTTTCTGGGAAGGATTCCTGACGGGATGTTGAGGGGAGAGGTATTGTCGACTTGCTTTGACTTTTCTGCGAGCCGACGGAGGATTCCTAAACCACGATTGACGATCGAACTGAAGGCATAAGCATCTGCCTCGGCTTGATTTCTTTGGCGCATGTTGATTTGTGGGATTCGTTCTGTGCAAAGAGCGCAAGAAAGTCGTAAGAGGTGGACGGCAAACCCATCGACTGACTCAAGCCATATCTTGGCAAGAGGTCCATCAGCGAACGTGGTGAGGACATCTGCTGACAGAAGGCCTTGCATCAAGAATACCTTGCGCGCATCCACGACTGCCATGGGCTTTTTGTCGGGTACACACGAGATTGCAAGACCAAAGGCGCGGGTCAACAGTTCTGGCTGAGGAGGTGCAGACCCATCGCCAGAGAAGATGGCTTTGAAGTAAGTTCGATTCGGGTCGTCTCTCGCCAACATCTTCGCGAGACCATCGACGGCGGCTGGGGTGTATCGATCAACGGCGGAGTTGAACGCAGTAAACATCACTTTGCCCGAAGTCGAGATGGGCTCAGGTTCAGGCGAGAATGCAAGCAGGAAAGTCAAGAAATACAATGCTTCCTCTTTGCCAGGAATCTGGACTACATGTGCCAGGTTGCTCAGCAATATCACCGCATCCTTCATGAAGTCCAATGTGTTGTGGCTTGTGCGCAGGAAGTTCTTTCGAGTCCCCATGTAGCGGAACACGGTAGCGAACAATTGAGCAACAGGAGGAATGCCGAGAGGGGGGAAATTTGTCTCGCTGAATGAGAAGTTTCGCAGAATAGTGGTGATGCAGATGAGTCGATCCACGGTCCGGTCTAGTTCATACTCGAGGGTTCCAAATTTGGCAATCTCTCTGAGGGATGTATTTTCAACCTGGCAGTCCCGTGTGACCTGGTCATACGAACGCAAAGCCATTGTATCTGTCTCATCAACGGTGTGCTCCGCTAGCATCTCGGCCTGGTCTTCAGCGCAGTCGATCAAGCTCTCTACCAGATCATCACAATTCTCCAAAGATATTTGAACGGAGGGCTCCCCGGAGAGGGTAGTGAGCGTGTCGAGAGCAACCCGAATTTCTGCTGTCATGCCAGACTTGAGAGCCATCGTCAGCGCATGGATATCCACCACGCCTAATTCCGCAAATGTCGGTACGTCTGGCTTTAGCCTTGAGATATCCTCGCCAATTTGGTACATCTCATCAACAGAGATGGGTCCATGCAAACGGCTTCCTTTAGAGACCATGGGCTTGAAGGTTTCCTCAATAGGTCGCTTCACAAACTGCTCTATTTTTGGTTCTGGTTGTTGCGGCTGGCCCGGGCCTGGAGTAGCCTCCTTGCCAGGTTGTGAGGGAGAGGGAACAGGGAACTGTCCAGTCGCAGGTTCTGTGGGTGGAACTGGTGTTTGCGAAGGTCGCGAAAGACTTTGCCGATGTCCGGCCTGAGCTGGTCTGCTTTGGATTCGTGCATGCGTGGGTGTGGCAAAGCCATTCACTGGGTTCCCCGGGGTATTATTGTGGACTGGTGTGTTATTCTGAGGGGATTGGGCTAATGGCTGCGGTTGCTCAAAGCCTGTATTAGGTTTCACCGCAGGTGAATTGAATTGACTAGGCTGCCGTGGCATGCCTCCTTGTTGCTGCATCTGCTCCGCTGACTTTTGCTGAGAGCTGATGAAAGCTTGTTCGTAAGGACCCAGGTTCCTTGCGTGGTGGGCTTGAAACTCTTGGGCGGCCATCGGATATTGCATCTGGGGGAACTGCAGCTGATGCGCGACTGCTGGCCACATGTTTGTTGCCGTTATCTTTTTCGATCCTCCCATCTTCATCACCGTGCCATAGAGCTGAACAAGGTTGATTGGGCGGCCACTGACAGTAGGATTGGGGTCCAAGGGGAGGTTTTGGCTCATCATGAATTTCTGCAATGATCGCAGGAAACCTTCTGGGTTGTTAGGTTTTGGCATGTTTGATTGCATGTTTGGCTGCATTTGTCGGAGTTGTCCCATGTGCTGTTGCTGGGAATTGGCCATCGGGTTTATACCACCTGGAACTTGCCGCCCCATAGGAGGGTTGGGATTCATCCGCGTCTGCTGCTGCTGTTGCATGGCATGCAAGCGCTGCTGCTGATTCGCTAGCGCTTGTTGATAACCCGGAGGTATTTGCGGCATGCCACCAAACTGCGCTTGCATCGAAGACTGAGCAGCAGCTGAGGTCATTCCAGGTCCTTGCGACATACCACCAAACTGCTGTGCCTGCATAAAGTTGGGATTTTGAGGTGTATTTACACGGCTGCCATGGTCTGATTGTGATGGTGACATGTGAGGGCCAGGGTGTGGGCCAGCGGGCGAGAAGGGGCTCGGGGAAGCCGTTCCCATACGAACGCTTTGCTGATCGAAATCTTGCATAATAGGCGACTGTGTGACATTGGGAGACGCTTGCTGGAGATGCTGGTAAGGGGTGGGGTGTTGTTGAAATTGTGCATTGCCATTGGCCGATCCCTGATATCCAGGATATTGAGGGGTCTGAGAACGTGACCCCGTCACGCCGCCTGGGGCTGGCCTTGGTGACATAGGCATACCATCTTCCGGTCGTGTCCGCTTGGATGGAATCACTTGGTTCGGGTTGTGGAAACCCGGGGATGCGTTGCGCGGCACGCCATTGAACATGCGTTGGAATTGAGATGGATCCTGAGGAGTTGGGGAACCGTGGAGAAAAGCCGTGGATGGATCTATTGTGGATGGATGGAAAGCGCCATTATCCTGGCCAGGCATATTTGAGGCGTCGGCAAGCCAGGCATTCATGTCGAGCGGTTATACCAACCCATCTACCTAAAATGAGGAGTCAGCATATGCATATTGGTTCACGCGCCATCTTGAGAAGTCGCGCAATGATACAACATCAGACTATATATATAGAGATACCATAATGTCTGGTACGATGATGCAATGATGGGACGCGTCGTGTTGAGATGTTTGGGGGAATCGCGCGCAACCTCGGTCGCGACACGAAACAAAGGAAGGAACGACTCATTGAAATAAATTGAAAGATTATTGTGGGAAGGGAAGGAATTAAGGTACATACCGATAAGGCTGGATTGACTTAAATTCCGCTTTGCGAACGGATGACTGAGGCCGGGTCCCGGAACTGGCAGTTGGGTGAAGGGACAGAGGTTGGCCGAAGTGGGTCACGTGGTGCGGGCCTAAGGCGACAAACCACGAAGGAGGCGTGAAATGGGGAGAGGGTAAGAAAGGCTGAGGGTAGCGGCTAAAATGTTAGCAAATCAAAGACAAGGAATATCACTTTCGATATTTAGGGCCAAGAGAATAATAAGGAATCCCCATAAACCATAATCGGAATAAATGAGCTACAGGGACGCAAGTGTCAAAAGGGGTCTGAAAAAGGAGTGCGTGGCCACAACCCATATGATAGACAAATAATGGGGGGAAGGGAAAAAGACCAAAAAAAAGCAAATGGAGCAATCAGAAGGCAGTAATAATGGCGTACCTACCAGTTCACAAGAGCCGTTCAGTCTGATGAAAGGGGAAGTGGAGAGAGAATGAGGGAAAATTACTGCAAGTTTCGACGACTGATCTCACCTAGGGGGAAAAAAACCATGTAATCCGGTTACTTGTGTTACTGGGAGATTTGGGTATATTAGTTTCGATCATTTCTTTTTGGATTTCTCTGCTGTATCTTTTGGGAGTTTTCTTTTAGAGGAGTTTTCTCTGTTTTCCTCTTTTCTCTTTTCCCTAGGGGAGGAGTTTTTTTTGTTCTGTTCCTGTTAGTTTCTCTTATTGGCGTTTTGTTATTCCCGGTCTTTGAACCCAGCCTCAGTTTGCATAAGAAAGAGGTACACCAAAGATGGGGGAAAATAGAAATATTAGTATCAAAACGATGAAAGTGAGTGAATGAAGCAATCTCTGGAGAGAAAGTAAAAATATAAAAACCCCCATCCTCTCGAAATTCGTAAACCGTCTAACCGATGATCCATTCCAACGGTCTGGCCGAGTCAAGTTAGATCATATACCCCGAGGAGCCGGTATGGTCTGTTGATGACCACGACCACGGTAATTAAATAATAATGCGACCAAATTCCCCAATTCATGAACCTCATGGTACAGGAGAGGAGGCAAGGGGAAATAATTAGCAAGGGAAGTGAGAAAAAAAAAAGATCCAACGCCATGACGGCCAGCGGGCGGCTCTCCTTATATAAAAAGCTCGGGCTAGCGTCTGATAATCATGTCGATGCACGCCCAATCCTCCGAAACCACCAAAAAAATCGAGGTTTGACGATTCAGAGTGGATGACCCAGGTTCCCTAGTGAACCTCGTGCAAGGATCCGACTCGATCCGCATGGGAAATCATCATGGCTTTGGTGCCTGTCCCACCTACCGTGTCCCGGACTACTCCACCACTACAAATGATTGGATCAATTTTTCTTCATTTCCCTTCTGTAGGGCTTAAGGAAAACTTGAGGTCATGGCTTCTTCCAATGGCAAGGATGCCGTATTTGTCTCAGGCCTTCGCACACGCCCAATATGCCATTCTCCCAAGTCGGACTTGATCAGGTGTCCCCAACCCGAGTTGCTTCATGCAGCCTCATGTCCCTACGCCTCACTAGTTAGGCGGAACAAATACATCCATAGTTTGAGATCGTCGTAATTGGCCAAGGGCTTTGCTGAGACCGCGGCAGCCCCTAGCGGAGATCATAGATTCGGACTGATAAACTCACGGGGACAAGATAGGCAGAAGAGGCAGAGGAAGCAGCAAAGGAAATTTAACACATTTGTATGGGAATCTCTGTGTAATAACTATCCTAGTTACTTTTCTTTTTTCTGGGTGAGATTAGTCGTCGAAACATAACGGGCGCTTGATTTATGGTAGTGCCCGCCATACAATCAACCAATTACCGCGATCTTCACTGTCTTAGGGGGCTTTGTGTTTACAGATTTTTTGAAAATTACGAGTAGTCAGCGCCATAGATTATAGATTCGAGGTACTAAATGTTGCAACTTAGTAACTATTTCGAAGAAAAACAGCTGTTGATCAAATGGCTGGTATCACGTGACTGGAAGCTCCCCGATGATATCGAAAGCTCCAGATGGCCGACCTCCGAACCCTTCACACAGCGCGTCATTTACTACCAACCAACTTCAAGGTCTCTTTCATCACACCCAGTCTATCAGCATACATTCTCTTCATATATCATCTGTCGTTCACGGAATTCATCATGGGAGACGTTGCCGTCGAGAACCCGGCGAACAACGTCACGCCTCTCGCTAAGGCAAGCGCGCTCGACGCCCTTGCCAACTTGGATTCCCTCGATGGTACAGGAGTTGATGGAAACGATGAATATGCTACCCTGAAGAGGCTACAGAGACATCTAGAGTATGTCTGGCCACGTCTGTGTAATGAGCCCAATGGTCGGTGCTGACGTCGAATCCAGGTATATCCAACTGCAAGAGGAGTACATCAAGGATGAGCAGAGGTATGCGTCCAGAATACTTTCTTTGAATTGTGCATCAATGGCTAACCATATTATGCCAATGCAGAAGCTTGAAGAGGGAGCTGGTGCGGGCACAGGAAGAGATCAAGCGCATACAGAGTGTGCCGTTGGTCATCGGACAATTTATGGAGGCTATCGATCAGAAGTATGCATTCATATGCTTGGGCAGAAAAGATACCACTTGACTAATGTATTTCACATAGCACCGGAATTGTGCAAAGCTCGACTGGTTCTAATTACGTGGTCCGTATCCTGTCCACGCTCGACCGCGAGAAGCTGAAGCCCTCATCATCGGTCGCCCTGCACCGTCACTCCAATGCACTTGTCGATATCCTTCCCCCTGAGGCCGATTCCTCTATTGCGATGCTGGGTGAGAATGAGAAACCCGATGTAACATACGCGGATGTCGGCGGTTTGGATATGCAGAAGCAGGAGATTAGGGAGGCTGTTGAGCTGCCCTTGACCCATTTCGAACTCTACAAGCAAATTGGTGGGTAACGATGGATGAAGACAGACCAAGACGCCGCTAACAATGTTGCAGGTATCGACCCTCCCCGTGGTGTTTTGTTGTATGGCCCCCCTGGAACCGGAAAGACCATGCTGGTGAAGGCTGTGGCAAACAGCACAACCGCTAGTTTCATCCGTGTCAATGGATCAGAATTCGTCCAGAAGTATCTGGGAGAAGGACCTCGTATGGTCCGTGACGTTTTCCGCATGGCGCGCGAGAACTCACCAGCCATTATCTTCATCGACGAAATCGACGCCATCGCCACAAAGCGTTTCGATGCCCAAACCGGTGCCGATCGTGAGGTGCAGCGTATCCTGCTGGAGTTGCTGAACCAGATGGACGGTTTCGAACAAACCAGCAACGTCAAGGTCATTATGGCCACCAACCGCGCTGATACACTGGATCCTGCCTTGCTGCGTCCTGGTCGTCTGGACCGAAAGATTGAGTTCCCTAACCTGCGTGACCGACGTGAGCGTCGCTTGATCTTCACTACCATCGCAGCGAAGATGTCGCTCTCCCCCGAAGTCGACCTCGATGCTTTGATTGTTCGCAACGACCCGCTGTCAGGCGCTGTCATTGCGGCTATCATGCAGGAGGCTGGCTTGCGGGCTGTACGCAAGAACCGCTACAATATTATTCAATCCGATCTCGAGGATGCTTATGCTGTCCAGGTCAAAACTGGACAGGATGATGACCGGTATGTAATCCCTTGATCTTTGGCTTTTTTCTCTTACTGACTATTTCTCGCAGCCCTGACTTCTACCGGTAAACTGTTTGGTCTCTTTGGAACGTGGGTATGAGTGACACATGCTTGGTCTTCACCAGTTGTATTATCAATAATATGCAGGCCATCTGTCACAATGTTTGGACGATATGTTGATTCTGTAGTTTCCATTTGGCCTTTAATATTGTAGAACGTTACATGTGGCTATCCTACCATTGATTGATATACGGCTCTTTGCTCGTGTAGACTCCAAGTACATTCGTATGGTGTCCACGGGTCTCTGATATGTAAGGTACAGAATTATACAAATTGGTGCCTGCCTACACCGTCTACCTAAGTAGGTAAATGTAGAATGTACGTCCAGAAAGACCCCCAAAACCCGCTCTGGAAACTGAAAAAATGGCACAAATACATGAGCGGAGCTGTTTCTTGAAGACGCTATGTGGCTTGCTTCGATGACTCAAGAATTGAGTTTAATTTGGCAGTTTCCTCGTGTTATATATAATGAAGTCATTAGATGGTTGTAATACATGCAGATTATACCTTGAGATTCAAATATTTAGGATTAGATATGCGAGCTATTTTCTATAGAGTTCTTATCTTTCTCATACATAGAAACCTATAACCAACTAACATACTATATAACCAATGCTCTATTTATATCCATGCCGAGGTTATGAAAAACATCATGCTGTGGAGTAGTCGATCAACAGATCACGGATGATCTACCTGGGTAACATGATCTATGTTGTGAAAGTTGACTCTCACAATACATGGATGGAGACTCACAGAGAAGCATAACTTGAGCTTTGTTTGTACAGGCGACTCTTTGCTGTAGGGTAGCGAGTATGTTGATTAGTTGTCTACGGTTTCTGAGCCAGATGATGGACTTCTACAGCTAACACATGTTCGATGCTTACACGTATAGAAACTCTATGGCGTAGCACAATGTGGACACGATACTTAATTATGTAGGACCAAGCTGCACACATATTAAACAAAGCTGTTTTTCGCCACTCAGCCTGCTGCCAGGTACAGCGGGAGGGTTGTCTTCCGGCCAGTCCGACCATTCCGTGATGGCGCTAAGACGAATTAAGGCCCGAGGGTTGCCCATCTATTTTTGATTTGAACAGTATGGCGAATAAAAGAGATAATAATACTTAAGATAGAGATAGAAATTAAACAGGGATTCAATAATAACAAAACAAGGAATAGAAGAAGGCTGGACTTGAGTAGAAGTGAGGGTCATGAGCCATCACCGAAAGGGGTTAAGTGTGACCAACTCCCGCTTCCGTCATCGTCTCCAGCCTCCACTTCTCCTCCCCCATCTCCCTTATCTCCATCTCTCCTCTCTCAACATTACATTCTCTTTCTTTCATCCATCATTTGAATTCTGAAATAATGAAGTCACTCTCTTTCCTGGCAGCTTCGGCGCTGTTGGGCGGTGCTGCTGCCGAAGTGCACAAGCTCAAGCTCAACAAGGTCCCTTTGTCTGAGCAACTGGTAAGTCTAACTCAATCATGGAACATGCAGCAAGCTAACCAACTGGTAGAATACCCACAACATGGAGGCCCACATGCACAACTTGGGTCAGAAGTACATGGGCATTCGCCCCGAGAAGCACCAGGATCTGCTTCACGACACTTCCATGAAGCCCGCTAGTGGGCATGACGTGCTGGTTGACAACTTCCTGAATGCCCAGTGTATGGCCCCATTCAAATAGATATCACAAGTAATTATGCTGACTTAACCAGACTTCTCCGAGATTCAGATCGGCACTCCTCCCCAGACCTTCAAGGTTGTTCTCGACACCGGTAGCTCCAACTTGTGGGTTCCTTCCCAGCAGTGCAGCTCCATCGCTTGCTTCCTTCACAGCAAATATGACTCGTCCGCTTCGAGCACATATGAGAAGAATGGTACCGAGTTCGAGATTCGGTATGGATCCGGCAGCCTGAGCGGCTTCGTGTCCAAGGACACTCTGCAGATCGGTGACCTGAAGGTCAAGGGACAAGACTTTGCTGAGGCCACCAATGAGCCTGGCCTTGCCTTTGCTTTCGGTCGCTTTGATGGTATTCTTGGCCTTGGCTACGACACCATCTCCGTTAACAAGATGGTCCCCCCTTCTACAACATGATCAACCAGAAGTCTGTTGATGAGCCCGTGTTTGCCTTCTACTTGGGTGATGCCAACAAGGACGGTGATAGCTCTGAAGCTACTTTCGGTGGTATCGACAAGAGCCACTACACTGGCGAGCTGATCAAGATTCCTCTCCGTCGCAAGGCGTACTGGGAGGTCGACCTTGACTCTATTGCCCTCGGTGACAACGTTGCTGAACTTGAGAACACCGGTGTCATTCTGGACACTGGTACCTCTCTGATTGCCCTGCCCTCCACCATGGCCGAGCTTCTGTAAGTCGATCTCCCTCTTTTGTTTGGATATACTCGCTGACCTCTTATAAAGGAACAAGGAGATTGGTGCTACCAAGAGCTGGAATGGTCAATACACCGTGGACTGTGCCACACGGGACTCGCTCCCCGACCTCACTTTCACCCTGGCCGGTCACCCCTTCACGATTGGCCCCTACGACTACGTCCTGGAAGTCCAAGGTTCCTGCATTAGCAGCTTCATGGGCATGGACTTCCCCGAGCCCGTGGGTCCCCTGGCTATCTTGGGTGACTCCTTCCTGCGTCGCTGGTACAGTGTCTATGACGTTGGCAACAACGCCGTTGGTTTGGCCAAGGCCAAGTAATTGCTCTCAAGCCTGATGGCCCAGTGAGCTGTGGATATCAAAGAACCAGGTAATCAACCAAGAGATTGCTTCGTATATACATACGACTTACCTGTGTGAGCGTATGATCTCCTCGTGTACCTCATGTGCCAATCGTTGCCTGTAGCGTGCCGATTATCTTTGTATTTGCTCGCACGGCCTGTTGTGAGGCCTACTTTTCACTCTTACTGCAAATTGATATTTTTCCGAGTTAAGACCGACTTAATGCAGTTAACCGATGTACCTATGGGGTTGTCGTCTCATATAGCCGTGGCCATTGTATGGATCTTTCCAAGGTTGTAAGCTTGTGATACCAAGGTATATAAATTCAATCGCCCAAGCAGAATTGGCAAATCTGATGGCAGCCGCAAGGCCTACGACAATTGGTTGGAGCTTATGCTGGTTAAGGTATAGGTCTGCATCAAACCGTCAAATTTGTAATACAATTAGAAAAAAATGACAGTATGTAAAAGTTTGGGGTCAAAAATTCAAAGAGATAAAGTCGTATTAATGCATTAAAGGCATTTGATGGAGCCATTGCATCAGCCCATGTGGAAAAACACGATACTTGAGTTCAAGTAGATCCCACGTCAATTATAGGGGGCAGTACCTGTCTTCAAGTACCTGTATGACATAAGCGGAAGTAGCTCTCAACCTGGATCGAAGGAGTCCCCGCACAACTTCAATGAGCTTCCTATTTCTTTGATTGCAGCCTGCTTGACTCTTTCCTTTTCAACCATCCGATTTCAAGCTACTCAAATCGCCTGGTGTGTGACTCGTCTTCGACTTCCACGCCAGGTTGTGCTAGGCGCACGGTTTTCTTTCACCTGCGCTTTGTAGTGGCGATTCCCATCGCGCTGCCCAAACCGTTCTTTCCATACATTTCCAACGCCAGCCTGGACCACGGAGCTGAAGATCACGCATTACCCATCGAAAAACAACATCAACACAGCTTTACACGCGTTGCGTGTCGGTGATGGCTTCGTAGCCGGAATCGCACGCGATCAACTATCAGACCCACACGTCCGCCTTTGACGCGCCGTCAACAAACGGAAGGCACGGAATAAGTCCTGGGACGTTAGAACCTAAATCGAGGATCAGTGCTAGTTATTGCCTAGGGCACACCGAGAGCCATCATGCTTCTCCGTTTGCCGACTAGCCTGCACTATCCGATCACCGTTACCTCGCTGCTGAAACAACCCGGCGACACGATCAAGAGGGATGAGGCTCTCTTTTGGTATGTTTACGAGACTACCGTCACCGAGGGTGACGGGCTGGGAAACAAAGTCGACGTGTTGCGCAAGTTCCCAGCCAAATTTGAATCGACGGCGGATGGAGAGATCGTTCAATGGAAAATTCAGAAAGGAGACGTTATTGATGAACCGTGAGTGGACTAGCCTGGTACCTAGCGTTACTCTTCTAACTGTTTGTCAGCGTCAACGTTGTTGAAATCGATGAGCCTTGCGCGCACGAGGTCCAGTGGGGAGACCTTTGCGCGGAGTGCGGAAAGGATATGACTGAGTATGTGTGTTCTTGAATAAGCTTTTGAGCCCACCTAATTCATTTACAGATATACATACAATACCGAGATCACAGATGCCATGCGCGCCCCCATTTCCATGGCCCACGACAACACCATTCTCACGGTCAGTCCAGAGGAAGCAACCCGCGTCGAAGAGGATGCAAAGCGTCGACTACTTGCATCGAGACGCTTGACTTTGGTTGTTGATCTTGATCAAACCATTATCCACGCTACTGTTGATCCCACCGTGGGAGAATGGAGAGAGGACAAGGATAATCCAAATCATGAAGCCGTGCGGGATGTGCGACAGTTCCAATTGATTGATGATGGACCTGGAATGCGTGGATGCTGGTACTATATTAAACTGCGGCCAGGACTAGAGGAGTTCTTACAGAACGTGGCAGAGATCTATGAGTTACACATCTATACTATGGGTACTCGTGCCTACGCCCAACATATTGTTGATATCATTGATCCCACCCGGAAGCTCTTCGGAGACCGGATCCTCAGTCGTGACGAGAGTGGAAGTTTGACAGTCAAGGACTTGCAGCGGCTGTTCCCCGTGGATACAAAGATGGTAGTCATCATTGATGACCGCGGTGACATCTGGCGATGGAGCCCCAACCTCATCAAGGTTTCCCCTTATGATTTCTTCGTCGGCATTGGTGACATCAATTCAAGTTTCCTACCAAAGAAGCAAGACATTGGAGCGAACAAACCCCAGATCGAGCCCAAAGCACCAGAAAAGACCGCGGAGCATCATGTCAACCGTCAAACGCAAGAAGGGACGGAAGTTTCGGCATTAGAACAACTGGTGACCATGGGAGGTGGAGACAGCCCAAGGTTACTCCAAGAGCAGACCGATGCACAAGAAGAGACGATATTGCACCAAGTCGAAGATCGACCTTTGCTACAGAAGCAGAAAGAGTTGGACGCAGAGGATAATACCAAAGACAACGAATCACCAACTCTTGAAGAATCTCAGGAATCTGCCAAACACCGACATCATCTACTCGTGGACTACGATCAAGAACTTTACCAGCTGCAAAACCGATTGGAACAAGTTCACATGCAATTCTATGAGGAGTATGACAAGAGGCGGACCCTCGCACTTGGGGGCCGAGTGGCAGCTCTGCGAGGGGAGAAGGTTCACTCCAAAGACAAAGATGTGGATCTCAAGCTGGTCCCCGATGTCAAGGATATCATGCCGCTTATCAAACGGCGCATCCTTGGAGGTGTGGTTTTAGTATTTTCAGGCGTTCTCCCTCTAGGGATCGACTTCCAGAATGCTGACATCTCTCTTTGGGCCAAGAGCTTTGGCGTGGTGATCTCGTCCAGGATCAATGCACGCACAACACATCTTGTGGCTGGCCGCAACCGCACTGCTAAGGTGAGAGAAGCCACCCGATACCCAGGCATAAAAATCGTGACAACGCAATGGCTTGTCGACTCGCTGGTTCAATGGAGACATATGGATGAAGACCCCTACCTCCTTCCAGTCCACCCAGATGACCGGGGAGAACCCATGTCCCCGGGCTCGTTAGAACTAGAGACATCCATGCTCTCATCCACAGATGAGGATATGACAGGGTCCCAATGGACCCAGGAGGATGACGCCGAAGATCTTTTCAAGTCCTCCGGTCTGGATGAGACTTCACCCATCGGCTACGGAGCCGATGAGCAAGCTGCTGTCCATGACGAATTGAAAGACTTCCTCGGCAGCGACGATGAAAGCGAAAGCGACAATGAGTCGTTGCCAGATGAAGTATCCGCAGGCACGAAGCGAAAGCGCGGTGAAGGAGCCGACAGTGCCACTGACGAGGAAGAATCCGGAGACGACGACGGAGAAGACTCTGAGAAAGGCTCACGGCTTTCCCAACGTATAAAACGATCCTATGAGCGCAATACCAAGCTACGAGAAATCACCTCTGCTCCTGCCCGAAGTGATGAAGCTTCCTCCGAGCGCCCACAGCCTTTGATTATGGAAGGAGAGGATTCTGAATCTGAGACAGTGGGAGATAACAGCCAAAAGTCCGGCCATCCTGAAGATCCGGATGACGATGAGGATGAGCTTGAGCGAGAAATGCTCGCTGCATTCGAAGGCGGCGAATATGACTCTCAAGTGGAGGAAGATGTTGCCGCTGAGAACGGGTAGATGTCTCAATTATCTCATTGGTTGCTCTGTTTCCTCGTTTTGGGTCCTCTGTATGTCTCATTTCTCCTATAGGTGTTTGCAGTTGCAATGTGCTCTTGGCATAGCGACGGCGTTTATTGGGGTCGTTTTGATTCTGGTTTGCCAGCTAGAACCTTTTGGTCTGGTCGGCGCGATCATGTTTCCTTCTTGTGTGTAATTCTCACATGAACTTGTGTATGTGTGTTTGAGAATAGGTATTTGTTTATATGTATGGATTTAGTTGTTGGATGCACTGCTTGTCTTTGGCTTGTTTCAATCTAATCTGTTGAATTAGGATGTGACCAGGTAATTAGCAGCATAGGCAAAGGTACCATCGAGCACACTGTATGTGTTCTGTAGCCGAAGTACTTGGAATCATACCATTGGTATCTTCAAATGTTTTCCTAAAGAATATAGATTAAGAGTGAAGGACATGAAAGTCAGGGACTAGAATTATAAACATGATCACATCAAAATAAAGAACAAATGTAGTATCGCTCGATTTAACGCCATGTTAGATGCAAAACAGACAAGATAAAATAGGTATCACAAGTATCACAAGAAAAACGAAACAGAAATGCAAATCAATCATAAACATCACGATTAACCTGCCAAGACATGACCATCATCCAAAGATAGAATATTGTGTTAACAAGCTCAAGGGCGAAAGCGGTTTTCCAGCAATTACCTAGAAAGGCAGAAAGTCAGTACAACAGACAGCAAGCGAGTGACTGTGTAGGGCAGACAGAACTCACAAATCGTGCTCTGCGTCAACCAAGCCAGGGTATTGATATTGTTTCCCCATGACTTGTTATCCGCCACATAGATCTGGCAATTGTCATTCACATTCCCGACAACACCATAGAGCTGGAGCGAGGTCTCAATTAGACCTGTCAACCATAGCACCAGGAGTATAAAGCTGCCGATGATAATAATGCCCGGTAACAGGAAGTGGCGAGAAGCGAGGACAAGAACGAGGAGTATAAAGCATACACCCAGAGTACTGCTGACGACCATGTAAGGGAAGAGCCTGGATCGTTGTTAGTACAACCCTTTCACCCGATATGCCTGCAGGGGGGTGCGGGCGACATAATAAACACATACCATGGTGTGCCGAGATGCATTTGCGTCTGCACGGTCATAAACCACGAGAAGATCCCCAGACATGTTGCCGAGCAGGAGAGCACAATCATAATCCAAATGTTGAGTTGCAGCTCGGGCCAGTGGTATTTGCGGCGCACTTCATGGCGCGCGACCATTTTCGCCATTGTGGGATTGTTGCGATTCGATTGAGAATCAAGATAACGTCTGAAGGAAGTATTTTGTCTTTTGTATTCGGTTGCGATGGCGGAGAGGGTCGCTTGTCCCCGCTTTATACCAATACCAGTCTTATCGGCGTATACAGAATGCCCGATTCAGGCTTCGATGCGTTACGTTGTCTTGCTGCGGGTCTTGGACACGGTGAGTGTCAGATCGTGTGCGAATGAGACCGTTCAACGGCACGGTGGACTTGTCGTTTGATCGTGAGACGAGTAAGGAGCGGACAGCGCATTGGGCGCTATTGAGGCCCTAGTATAGTCAACTCGTGCGACGTAAATATGTACAATTGCGCATGAATTGCAGCCAGATTAAAGAGAGAAAAGGCCAAGAAAAATGGTAAAAATGGGAAAAATAAGAAAGAGGGAAGGGAAATTAGAATGGCTGAGGGGGATTCGTTTTGCTGATCACTGAAATTGAGGTGGCAGGGGGATTTGGTCTATGGTCACTTTCAGCCTCGCGTACTTCTTTTTGATTCTTTTGATTCTTGATTCTTTTGATTCTTGATTGATTTGATCTATTGATCTATTGATCTAACAGTGGATAATTTTCCTTCCTTTCTTGCTTTCTTGTCTTTTTTTTTATTTCCGTTACAGAAGTGTATCACCCAATGCGCTACGCACCAGTGAGCACCCTGCGCGGATAGTCTCAGACGCACCCTTGGACTCCAGGCTAGGGTTCACCTCAACCAAGTCCATTGCGATCAGGTTTCCAGTCTCGTGCACAGCCTCACAAATGAAGTCTCCCTCACGTAGTGTCAATCCACCGCGGACGGGAGTACCAGTACTAGGTGCCCACTGGGGGTCAAGCGCATCAACATCGAATGACAGGTGAATGGGAGTGTCATTACCGATGTGAGCCAGGGCCATCTCGACAACGCGACCGATACCATGACTAGCAGACAAAGGTCAGTAAAATAATACAACAATAGAGCATAACAGAGCAAAAAAAAGGACATACCGGTCGATATCGTGCATGCTGAATGCTTTGATACCATTGTCGCGCAAAATCTTCTTCTCTCCACGGTCAACATCACGCAGACCGATATAGACAAGCTTTTGCGTGTTCACAATGTGCTCATCCTTCATCCAGCCAAAGATATCTTTCTGCTCCTCCCGGGCCAGCCGGGTCAGGAACGCCATAGGCATACCGTGGATGTTCCCGCTATCGCTGCTCTCGGGGGTGTTGATATCGGCGTGGGCGTCAACCCAGATAACAGCCATCTCCCGACCCAGGCGCTCCCGGATCGCCTTTGCTGTGCCGGAGACGGAGCCGATGGCAATGGAGTGATCACCACCCAGCGTGAGCACAAACTTGCCATCTTTGGCGTAGTTGTGGACCTGTGAGCTGAGCTTCTCTGTCACGGCGCTGACGGCGCGGGGCTTCTTCATGCCGCGGAAGTCGGGGTCTTCATCGGGGATGTCCTTCTCGTAGTAGTGGACTGTGTCGTCGTGGTGAACTTCGTAGTCGAGGTCCGAGCTGAGCTGGTCCAGGAGTCCAGCTTCAATGAGAGCCATCGGGGCTGCCTCGACGCCCTTCTTGCACTGATCATTGGGTTAGCTACGTCATACTCTATAACGAGTAGCTTCTCCATACCTGTCCGCCATTGAAACCAACTGCAACAACACCCAACTGGTGCGGGTTCGAGAGGAACCGCGAGGTAATTGTAGAGGGGGAAGTCATAATGAGAGTAATGTACAAAGATAATCGAGTTGCGTAGAGATGTGAAGAGGCGATCTCGGAGATAAGATCGACAAGTGGACTTGATAAGAAAAGTCGAACAGGTTGAATCAAGAAAGAAACTGGGTATAATATCTGTGAAAGAAAGAAGAGTTCAAAGAGGAATTCAGCTTGTCTTAAATAGTTTCAACTCCTTTGATAATTCCCCGAGTTCAACCGGAGCGGTCTTTTCATTCCTGGCGCGTTGCACACGAAAGTCGCTAAAAACTGCTTTTAGCGATCAGAGCGACTCCGCCAGACCTCCATCACTTCCGTTAAGTACAGGTCGAGGAGAGCTCCCCCTTTTAGGGCCATTTGGTGTTCCACATTCATTTAGTCCGGTTTTATTGAGGAGAAAACGCGGGAATTTGTGCAGTTTCGTGAAATTTGATTTATCCTGGAGTTTGGAGTCTGGGCGCTGATGCATGAGGCTCAGGCATAATTCAGGCACAATTCGGGCAAAGGTACATGTAGGTACAACTATGTAACTATGGGTTCTTCCAATTATATATATGTAATAGTTACTAGCAGGCGCTGCATATGGTGTAGTCATAAAAGGGTATCATCGATGCTACCACTATAAAGTACATTTGATGCGACAGTGCACAGTATTATACAGCTCCAGACCCCAGAATGAGTTCTCGGAGGATTTCCTCTGCCTTGAGGGCTTCCACCCGGCCCTTTTCACCAGCGCGCATCATCTGCCCTACGAACCAGCCCAATTTACCCAGATGATTCTTGCTGCGGATCTGCTCAATCATTTGCGGGTTGAGAGCGATGACTGACTCCGCCAGCGCAACGTATTCCTCCCGCGAGAGAGGGCGCAACAGAAGATTCTCTTCCTCCAGAATTTCGGACACTGACCGACGATCACCGTCAAAGATAGTGGCCAGGACCTGTTTGGCTGTTGGGCCGGTGATACGCTTTCGCTGTAGCTGGTCGATGAGGTGGGCCAGGGACTCAGCCGGAACAATTTCCGCATCCCATTCTCTCTCTGTCTTGGTGAGAAGGCCACCTAGCTCATGTAGAACCCAATTGCCTGCTACACGCCCGAGGCCGGCGCGTGTTCTTGCATCTTGGTCTTCTTGGAGAATGCGAAGGGCATCCACCACATCGTGATAATACTCGAGGCGGGCGCCATTGTCTAAATCGATTAGTGGCTTGGCGTCGTCAATTGACAGTCTGTGTTCCTCCCCAACCAGCAGCGTAATGAGTGAGTCTGGTGATATTGGGAGGGTACTGTTGAGGCTAGAGAGCAGATCTTGTCCGATGACAAGTGGCGGAATGTCTGGGTCGGGCATGTAGCGATAATCGACCTCGCCCTCTTTGCCACGCAGCCTGCGAGTTTCGGTGCTACCGATTGTCCATCCGCGCGTCTCTCCTTCTACCACACCGCCGCTCTCGAGCACCGCGATCTGGCGGTTCTTTTCGGCAATGATGGCATCTTCCACGGCCTTGAAGCTGCTGAGATTCTTGATCTCAGTCCGCTGGCCCAATCCGCTGATACCATTGTACTGGTGTTTCCCAGCTGCTTCGTCTCGCCGCCGGACCGAGACGTTCACGTCTACACGAAGACCACCCATTTCCATTCCTGTAGTCACCGCACCACATGATTGTACAATGGCCTGGAGTTTCCGAACGCATGCTGCGGCGGTTGCAGGTGTATGAATTTGGGGCATAGTGATTATTTCGATTAGAGGGTGGGACACACGGTTGAAATCCAAAAGTTGTGTTGAAGGCGGGTATTCCTGAGATTTGGCCGTGTCCTGCTCCAATTGGAGTTGTTTGATGTCAATACGGACCCGGTCACCGTCTTCCGGTGCAATGCCGTCATAACCGAAAAGGTCGACATAACCATTTCGCGCAAATGGTTCTGATTTTGGTGAGTATGGTTCACATTTGGAGAGAGAGACAAGTGCTAACCATAGTATTGGGTGATTTGATACCCCGCCGGTTGATCCTGGTAGAAATAGTGTTTCCTGTCAAACCGACTAACAGGCTGTATCTCACAGTTCAGGGAAATAGCGGCGCGTAAAGCAGGTAGGAGTGTTGCGATTTGAAATTCCTGTCTTGAATCAGCACGGGCCCTATTTCACAGTATTGTACAATAAATCACTAACCGGCTGGCTACCCGGGAACGCCAAGTCGAACAAGGCAACATTGTAATTTGGAACATCACTCGTTGAGGTCGCGGCTCCTATTTTGCTTTTGTGAGAAAGGGTTCCCCAGAAACCAGAAGAAGGGAGGCGTACGGGAAAATAATTTGGCTTCTGTGTCTAATTGCGCGTGTATCTCCAAGCCAACTGTCAACTCCCATTCTTGCCTTGATGCTTCCTCGTCCTCCTTGCGTTGTTTCTTATGTGACCGAAGCGCTTTGGCTTCTTGCTTAAGTTGTTTGCGGAGGGGAACGCGATCTGCGGAGGAGCCCGGCGGTTGGAGATAGCGGTTTGGCGCGGTGGAGAATCGGGCGTTACGCGCAAGTGGAAGCAAAGGATTCAGGCGTTGAACACGTAGAGAGCGGAGTATACCGCTGCCGAGCCATGACCGAAGCATGAAGAATTAGATTGAATTGAGGTGATGTCGACCCTCGGTGAGAGACATGAAGCGGGAATCGAGACTCTGGGAATTCTTGGCGATCTGCAGATCACTGACATCAATTTCACTGTGTCTGCCATACAATAGTTATTGTCACTAGTGCCTAACTAAATAACTATCTAGTTAGTATGAAATATATTTACTTGGGCTATCGAAAGTCAACTGTACTAGTCCATAAGTTAAAATATTATCATGTACTTCCGGGGCTACATAAAGGTATGTCTGCTGTTTCATGGCTATAGATACCGTATATATATATGGCTTCAATACCATTATATCTACTCCGTATAGTTCATCACCTAAATAAATGTGTCCACATATAATTTCTAAAATTACAATATAGAAAGGAAAAACCTTGTAAATTCCCTACAATACATTCTTGACACTTCATCGACTGCAAGACTCACGCTTTTTCTGCATGAAATATGGTTTATGTGCAGCCAAGTTATCATGACTGCTCACAAAGTTCCATCACATTCCCCCGCTTCAGCCTGACCGCCAGATTGTGGATGCAAGGAAGATTGATCGACCAGCGCATCGAGGTGTTCTAACTCGGTTCAGACTCACATGCGTTTGTATCGGATGCAACAGGGTGTCATCTGATTTGCTGTGTGGTCAACTTGTGGTCCACACTATTGAAGTTGTCCAGAATGTTGTCCCACTAACCTTCTAACTAGTTGTTTTCGTTGGAGATCTTTCTTTGAAAATCAAAGGACTCAAAATAATAATTGATAAGCCCCTCTTATTCGATAGGGATCCCCAGGAGTCCTCCCTGCCAACACCATTGTCATTGGCCGCCGATCTGAAGCCCTCGGCGCTTCCAATTTGCTTCAGACTGGCCCCCAGAACGTACCAGTTCGCATTGTGTGACGAATTGCATTACTCCATTCTCAAAAGCAAAACACATCGGAACCTTTTTTGTGTTCAGCCGGCAGCTGACGCGATTTCCCAACTTTGGGGCTGACGTCCATGTTCTATATTAATCCCCTAAGGGTTTCATACTTTGTGCCTACTCCCTGTATCAGGAATGTTTGATGGAATTCGCGGGGAAATTGGAGTTATCATCTCGGTTTGGCTTTTATCTTTCATCATCATTAGTACCTTGGTACCCCCTGGATTCCATTGATACTAGACTCGATCTGAGACCTGGAATTCCTCCCCCTGGGCCATGCCTCGGATCGCCATACTCCTAATTCCATTGCGATTGCATGATTGGGATTACATGGTCTCCCATTTTCCTACATCTATCGCGGTAAAGCCAAACTTGATCATATCTGAAGTATGAACCGGAGATAGATTCCGAACCTCTACGATCATGCCCCTCCAAACTAGAAAGGCAAAAAATGATGGAAGAAAAAGGACATACTCTTTGGTTTCCAACACCAATACAAACGCACAGGCTGGTCCTGTCGCGAGTATCAAAACCGTCGAGAACAGTTCACCTTCAGCGCAACAGGTCAAAGGCCCAAAACAAGCCCTAAAGTCTACCAATACGGAGCCCCAACCTCATAATCCTACAGAGCCAACGAAACACGTACCTAATGTCTTTGAGTTTCTTGATGAAAATGACGAGCCAACCTCGAGCTCATCTGGATCCTCTGACTCCTCGTCCGAATCGGAATCGGAATCTGATGGTGAACGGCCAGAGCCCCCGCGCCTTAAACAAACCTACCCCAAGATCCAGTCCCCCAAGCCGCGAGTGAATACTATGCCGCACAAGGTTTTGGCGCCGGGGGAAAGCACACCTCCAAAACAATTGACACGATTGCCCCCTGCCGTCGAAAGCGCAAGGGAACCGCCAAAGCCCACACCATCGGTTCCTTCTCCGGACACTCAATTGGTCACCCGAAAGAGGCAACCCACTAGAAAGCCTAGCCCAATATCTACGACTAGTATTTCTCCGTCTTCGGGCAAAGGACAGATGGAATTGTCTCGCCAACAGACATACCACGGACCACGAGACACCGGCGCGATTCACAGACCGCCGCTGCCACCATCTCCCCCAAGAAGTCCAGAAGAAGGCCTTCATCGTACCACACCAACAAAGCGCAGAAACTCAACTAAATCGCAAGTCTCATCAGGCTATGGACTTGTTGCATCACATCTTACCAAGTCAGCATCCGAAGAAAACGGCGCATTCTCTCCACTTTACCGACGCTTCGAAAGCGTGAACCACCGTGTTCTACTCCACCTCCAAGATGAAATCTCTCAAATGGAAGAAGATCTACACGCTCTTGATGAGTACGAAGAAATGCATCGTATAGCCACAGCCGAGCAAGAAGGCACTAAAACCCTGCCTGCTTCACGGCGCCGAGACTCCCAGGCCCAGGCCTATTCATCGCTACACTATCGCCGCATGGATCTCATGGCCGCTTTGATTCAAAAGACGGAGCAATATAGTAAGAAAGCACTTGCAGCATAGCCCTCAACAATCCCCTAACACGTCCTAGATAATGCCCTCAGCGCCTACAGCAAAGTGCTACAGACCCTTCCACCAGCCTCAGAAAACGACATCGATGGCTACCGCAGCTGGATGAAAAAGCGACACCCAATTGCCTCCGCTGAATGCCGCTTTCTGGACCACCGCACCGACCTTGTCTCCCTCACCCCGCGAGTGGCTGATGTTAATTCCACCGCTGCGGCTCCCGTTTACGTTGCCATCATTATTGCCTCTGGGGCACTTCTGCTGCCGCTTCTGGCATTCAACATGATTGCGGAGTTCTCGGGCCGCCTTGTTGTTGTGACGGTTGTTGGTGGGGCCGCAGCTGCTATTGCGGCCAACTATTCTGCTGGTGTTGAAAATACCCTGGTTGAGTCCAAGGATGGTTGGCGATGTGCTACCATGTATGACTCCCCTTTCCCCCTCATTCTGTCTGCATCGAAAGAGACTAACCCTTATTTAGATACTTTGGTTTCATGACCTTGGCTGCTATGTTCATTCCTTAACTTCATGCTATCTTGTCAGTGAGCTGAAGGTGTTCAACTTATGATTAATGATTTTTTTTATTTTTGGTCGTTTTAATGTGACTTCATGTGAGCCACATCCCGTTGTATTTATTCTGTTCTTTTATTCTTGTTTTGCAAGGGAATTCTGTGATTGTAACCACAATTGCAGGCTGTACCTCCCTTGACAGATGAAAATCTCGGGATAAGAAAGAGGCCTTCATGTCTTGTGGTGATCGGTCGAGTACTTCAAACAACACAGATGGATGGATGCCTCGGCAGTGGCATGGATTATGGGCATTGGGAAAGGCTGACAAGGAGGTGTTAATGGGATTTTCATTCCACTATGTACTATTTATGAGATATGATTCTAGATTAGCTTCCAAGCTGGTTTCCATTACTTGCTAAGTCCAAAATTTCTAAATCAATAAATCCACAAAGTGTGTAAACATGCAGTATAATTTGTATTGCACCGAAGCAAGAACATAAGCAACTGTCTAGAGAATAACGAGTTGTATTGCAACGGCAGCCTGGACCGTCCAGGTCAACCTGTCATAAGAAACCATCCGCGCCAATCGCTCGAGTTAGGCCATAATACACCACCAAGTTAAGTAAAATCATACAAAACCACAGGAAACGAGGTTCATTAACAACACATTTGGGGAAAAGAAGAAATTGGAAACATAGATCATTTCCAACACTTGGAATTTGAAACGGAGAATAAAAACAAATGCAACTCCCAAAAGAGCAGAAGGCTGGTTCCGCGTATTCGTCTGAATAATTGTGGACTTTTGAAACACCGCCTGCACGTGCTGAGACAAGAAAAAACAGAAGAGAGTATCACGTTGAAAGAGGTGTGCCGTTCTGCTTGCTTCCTGGGGTCGTACTGCCCTCTTGGGAGGCACGGGCATCCAAACCTTGGGGCTGGGGGTCGAAGGGCTGTGACGGGTCTGGCGAGCCGCTAATTGTGCCTTATTGCGGTCCATCAGCGCAGCTTGTTCCGCGGCACTGCGAGAGTATGTGGCTGCAGCGGCGGAATTTACGTAGCCACCTTGCGTAGGTGTTTGATTCGCAAACGGAGGTCGCTGAGACGAGTTCGCAGTTGCGGTCGCGTAGGGGGTGCGGCCCTGCGGTGTGGCATTAAAAGCGGTTGGCTGACCTGGTCGCGGAGTGTAGGGCTGAGGGGATGCTTGGGCAGATGCTTGTCCTTGCTGCCCACCAGGGAGATATCCGTTGGAGGCCGGACGCTGGTATGGGAGTGCCTGGCTTCCTTGGCTATATGGTGGGTTATTTTGCGAGTACTGAGGGGTGTTGCTTGGACGTTGACTGGGCGTGCTTGGTGGTCGACCCGCACCATAAGCATGTGTGTATGTAGCTGGCACTGAAGGTTGGCGCGCGTGTTGTGGCGTAACCTGGAACCCGGGCTGGGATTGTGAGACTCGGGCGTTGGCAGCGAAGACACGTTGATTGTAGCCACTGTGAGATCCTGGGAAGGTCGGTCGTGAGCTAGAGGGCGTTGAAGTCCGACCCGCGGCATTGGCTGCTGCGATCAATGCTGCGGCCCGTTCTTGAGATAAAGTGAAGTCGTCCTTTTCCATGGTACCGTTATAGTCTGGGGTATCGACCAAAATCTTTTGGCTGATGTTCAAATCAGCAAGTTGGTGGCCGTCCAGTTTAGCAACAGCATAAGGTGGTAGGTTGCTAATGATTGCCACAAGACTTGACTTGAGGGTCTCATAAACACTAAACTCTGCATCGGATGGTGTGTTTGAATCACCCAAGTCAAGGGCAGGAGTTTCATTTGACTCAGGGCCTTGTTGGCCAGTCGGGGGGGAATTAGAAGGAGGGTTGAGGTTCCGGAGACGTTGATAGGAGCTGAGAGTGTCGAGCAGTTCAGAGATATCGCGAAGCATGTCCTGGACGTCTTTTGTTTCTGGATCAACGTCGCCGTTCGCGTCGGGCTCTGCAATATTCATGGCAAAGTCTTCGGACTTGAAAGACGCAACCATTTCATCCAAAATACTTTCATCAAGTTCGCCAATATTGCCAGGTTGAGCAATTATGGAAGTGTCTTCATCGCCTTCGCCTTCGTATGGTACCGACAGCAAAGTGCTCACGCGGTCCGCCCCCCGTTGGCCCCACCAGACCATATCCTTTGAAGCGAGCTGAACAATTGCCCCAGAGCTATCATGAGAAGGTGCAAATGAAGAGAAAACGCCCTGGAAAGCGGAAGAGTCAGGGCCATTCCACAAAGCAGGATCCCCATGGATGTGAGAGATGTCCGGGTCTCCATGTTGCTTTTCCACACGGTCCCAGTAAGCTGGCGATGAAGTGACCCCGCCATACTGAAGCCACTGCGTAGATGGCAGGGGCGCAAGGCAATAGTTGCCACGCTCGCCCAAAAAGTTTTTGACATCGAAGATAGCATCGAATCGGTCCATCCACGTGGTCGCACTACCCCGGTGCGAACGTTTGCGGGGAGGTTCCAATTTCAACAATGTTTCACGTGGGGCAAACACATCCCCGAAAGTTCGCTTTGATGCTTTTACCGCGGCAGCAAGGTTATAAGGAACAACTTTAGTGGCTGTGATGCCGTTAGGCAGACCGGCCTCGCGCAATTCCTCTTGCACTTCAACGAACTTTTCAGGACCCGAATGGGATTGCAGTGGCACTTTGACCGATTTCTGGAGACTCGAAAATAGTTGCTTAGGATTCGATGAGTTGCCAAACAGTGTCAAAGCATGTTTGTCCTCTCGAGTGCAGACATTGGTTGCAAGAAGCTCTGCCGAAGAATCGGTGTCCTCCTCCAGTGTCTCGGTCTTGACCTCAGGCTGATTGACAAAATTTTGGCCAATCAAACCGTTCATGTGTTTTTTGAAAGCTGCGATCCGGTTGACTATCTCAGTTAAGGGGGCCCCGTCGACTTTTGCGCCATTGGACTGGGCTTGATTACGTTCAATAACGGCAGCTGATGCCCTTTCGATGTCGGAAAGAAACTCCTGCAAGGTATTGTATCTGTCCGAATTGACTCGTGTTCGTATGTTGGAAGTTTCCTGATCGCCGGAAACCTTTACGCGCTTTGTTCGAGGCTTGGTGGTTGAATTCGGGAAGGGGCAAGAGAGAAGCTGGAGTTCAAAGTCATGTCTACCAAATGTTAGGACAGCCCAAGGAATAAGTGTGGAAGCAAAGCTCACTTGAGTAAAAGTTCAATCAGATTGCGAAGAGTTTCATGGAGATTTGCTCGATCGCGCGACGCGGAGGCACTGGAGTCTGTGCTTGACTTGTCGTCTTGAGTGGATCGCTTTCGCTTTCCAGAAGCTGCAATTGCAGTAAGATCAGAATGATCACCGTTTGCGACAGACATCGGGGTTGTGTCTCCGCCCTCGTCAGCGCTCATGGTTGCGATGTTGCGCCGGGTCGAAACTTGACGGTACTTGAGTTGACGCGGTCCCCTCCAACGTAAATGGATAGGGCCCACAAACAAGAAGGTTTAGAACGAGGACCGAGAGGAGGCGACTTTGAAATAAAGATTTCCCTGTGAGATGATGCTGAGGGTGATGCTTGGTTCACGAAACAACGGAGGTCCAAGTTGTACTTGATGGAATCCTCAAGGACGATGGGTTGTTTAAGAGCGTAACAAAGAAAGGTAAAAAAATGCCTCCTCAATACCACAATAGAGAGGTGTGATATTGGGCTGAACGGAATTGTCAATAAAGTCCAAAGAATAAAGACAATGGACTATGTAGACAAATGGGATCTTGTTTTGTTAAGGAAACCAGGACTACAAGTCTTGACGGCTCTGAGCAGAATGCGCGCCATCCCGAAAAGCGCAACCCGTGACGATCCATCACGTGATCCAATTTTCTGCCAACTTCAACGCGAATTGTTTTTTTCCCGTCTTTCTTTTGGGTCAATTTCCGCAATAACTACTTGAGTTCTATTGAATGGGTCTGTGGCGTCCAGGCACTATTACCCATGACTACGTTCATGGATGTCATCAGTCCTCAATCATGCCCGAAGCCTTTCGGGAATACCGCGGCTGAGACCATGTCTGCTTGTTAGCAATCGTTTAGCCAAGGTAACCTCCCTTTCAATGCCTTTATTTCTTGGGCTTTATGCTGAATCTTACTCCGCTCTGTAGCATAATTCCAGTGGGACCAGGTTTTTAGTACACTATCCGCGCACTTGTTCTCTATCTGGCTTCCCAGCTAGTCGCCGTTCGTTTCAATCGTCTGCGCTGTTTGCGTCACCTCCAATCGATATTCAAACCCCGCAAGTCAATCACACAACCAATGAATCATCGGCCAGTGGCTCAATTGACGGATTTGCAACGATATCGCATGTCTTGGCGAAGGCGCATGGCTTAGATGGAAAGGCAAAGCCTGTTGAAACCACCCCCAAAATCAGAACCCCCAAAATCAGATTGAAACCGAACCCCGCCGAATATCTTTCCAAAGCTTTGCGAAATGGTGGACATGCCCTTGGATATGGACAAGCAGTTGGACTTGATCCTAACCATGCCCACCGAACTCACACTCAACCAAGGACAGTTGGTCGACCAAAAAAGCCGTCACTACCGGTTATACTTGGCGAGTATATCCGAGAGGTGGATCCCTTACTCTTGCATATCTCGCCTGCGCATTCAGATGATGATCTAAATATTGCTTTGAAGAATGTCTTCAGGGAAAAGAACCTTGAATATCTAACATCGCGTGGATATGCTCCCACCGATGTTGCTGCTTGGGCATGGATCATGAAGAGCCGGAATTCTCATAACGCGGCGGTGCGATTGTTCTTATTTGAAAGCGACAGAGCCAAATCAGGCACCAAGAGCCCGAGTATTCCGCCTTTCATTACGCTTCATCTTCTGCGGCAGCACAACATCGATGCACACGCCTTCCGTTTGCTCCTGATTCACTCTTTACATCTGATGAGCGGCCAGCCGCTTCCGAAATACGACAATCCTGCCGAGTTTATTGAAGATGACACCCAGCTGCTCCCAGTTGATTCCCACACCGAGCTGGATTCTGGAACTTGCATGATTCTGGCTGTTCGCTTAATCCGCCATGCGCGCCGCGTGTGGCCCCAAGCCCTCCTTACCATTGCACGTGCATTCGCCCACTTCTTCACTGCACCAAGGGCGAATGAGGCTGAGAGATCAACCCTAGAAGCACGACAAGATGATCGCGTCAAAACCAACAAGTTCAATGATTGTCTCTGGCTCCTTTCTCTGCCAGCCAAAATATCCCCCTATCGGTCAACTTCCATTCAACAGCAAGCTCAATTTGAGCTTCTCAGAGCTATGGCTACTCACAAGCCCGTCCTTCCTGTCACTAGACAAGGTTATCGTGCAATCATCGCAGTTCAATTAGCCCATAAAAAAACAACAGAGGAGCGACAGTCTGCTGAGTTGAAAGCCCCATCATGGCCCCCTTGGAAAGAAGAAAAACTTGGGATTGATTCTTTGCGCGGTAATGAAGGGATGTTCAGCCGTGCGATGCAAGTACTTTCACAAATGAAAGATGCTGGCTATTCCCATCGTCTTTGGGAGGAGATTTCCTCGATTTTGGCGGGCTGGGACACTGATCATAGCCCGACGGTACAGACAAGGGCTATAATGCGTCGTCCGCAGGCTTTGCCGGATACGCATACATCCAAACGACATCATCACGAAATATGGGTTGCCCGGATTCGTTCAACGAGGACTGTTCGCGAAGCCTGGGCGTGCTTTCTATCTTACCAGGATCATGGCCTCCCTCCCAAGGGAGCTGTCTACGCCGCAATGGCTGAAAAGCTGATATATCGAAGAAATGCAATTGAGTGTACCTTTAATCACACAAGCCACGCTCTTCCAGGTGATGGCCGTGAGGTTCATCCCGAACCGGCCTCTGCGCGTGATATTATTTATGTGCCTACAGAGCCACCTTCGTTGGATGAGTTCATTGACCAGATGCTCTCACAGGGGGTGCGGCCTTCAGGGAGATTTCTGGGTTTACTTCTTCAGTCGGCAACTTCTATGCATGCAGGGCTATACTATCTTCGACACAGTGGTCTAACGGATGCTCAGGTCGCGGCTTTGTCCACTGTGCGAGCTAACCCACGAAAATACCATAAAGTTGACATGGAAGCCTTTCAGACAGTGCCTGATCTGGTATTTGCTTCATTTATCAAATTTCTGTGTGCACATTCAAATATCGTCGGATCAGAGGTGGGAAGTCGGAATATCCTCACGGCTGATAGTTTCCCGGCTCTCGCAACTCATAGGCATTCGAGCGGACCCACTGTCGATCTTCTGACATACTTCGAAGAGAATCCAAGAGAGCATCACTATCCGCGAGCGTTATGGCATGCAATTCAACTGACAAAATTGAGGCGCATTCCTTACGCTCCAGCTTGGAAGCACATCTTGTCCTCTTTGACTCGTGAACGCCTGAACGGGGTCCATGGACCAAGAGGCCGAAGTCTTCTGCGCATTCTCGCATGGCATCAGACCCTCAAAGCTCTGAGCTGGATGCGCCAGCATAATGTTGAACTTGGCGAGGAAGGGTTTCAGACCCTCTGTGTGGCATTCACAAAAGCCATCGATGCCGCCTTCAGACATCCAGGCACTGCTGAACAAAGCTTTGTGTTGATTCATGCAGCTCGCAACCGTCGCCTCAAACCTAAAATCGAGGGCGGCCATGACGACTTTGAGCATTTCCTGCAGCATGCGCTTCACGTTCTGAAGCACCAGTTTGACCATCTCGTTCTTCCAGCCTCCAAAACATCCGAGCATGCGGAGCGGAGCGTTTTCGCCTCAAATGATACGTCTGATGCACAAATTAGTGTGCCTTCGATGCTTCATACACCTTCACCTGCTACGCTGCATGCATTTGTTCGCGCTTTGGGTTCCATCGGAGATGATGATGGGCTGTTACATGTACTGCAGTGGATGAGCCAGTCAGCTGATCTACTCAAAGAAGCTGCAGATGAACATTCAAATGGAGACAGGATGATGCGGCGGACCCTTGTGGCGATCAGGGTATTCTTGGAAAGACGACAACAACGAACAGTCGACAATCGGGTACCATCGGACATGGTGCAGGAGGCATACGACCTTGTCAGCCGGACAGGCTGGGACTGGCCAAGTGATGCGGAGGTTGAAGAATATTGCCAGTGATATTCATGTATAATATTGTATTTTTAGAGGACTTTTGTAAATGTAAATGATACCCCCAGTTCATACATCAAGTCCTACATTGTAGAGGTTCTATGAAGAGCCCTTGATTGTAGCTTCGGTAATCGTCGGCCCTGACCTCGGGAGCTTTCCCCACATCCGAACCCCGGCACTTCTTGCCCGAGAACTTTTCAGCTTCACCTCATCGTTATCTACCTACTACTGTTGAACATAAGTCTACCCAATCCTTGAATTGATATAACGCGATGGCAGCAATCATGTCATCGCGTCTCGTGCGCGTCTCCGCACCCCTCGCCCACCTCCGGATAAACGCGGTTCCAACTCGGGTCTTCATCTCTCGATACAGCACCAGCACAGAGGAAGACATCATTAAAACCCAGCAGGTTCCTGCCCCAGGCTCAGGACATGTGCGCGTTCTCCAGTTGAACCGACCTAAAGCACGCAACGCCATCTCGCGCGACCTGCTCGACAATTTGTCGAAGCAAGTGAACGCCATCGCCGCAGAAGGAGGCAATGGACCAACGCGGGCATTGGTTATCGCCAGTAATGCAGATGCAGCATTCTGTGCTGGCGCAGATCTGAAGGAACGTGCCAATATGACTATGGCCGAGTAAGTAATCTGTCTGCCGGGCTTAACTAGTACATCATAGCTAATCATTTTCCTCTTCAGAACCGAAGACTTCCTCCTCAAGCTCCGCGCTACGTTCAAAGATATCGCTTCTCTCCAAATCCCCACTATATCTGCCGTCTCATCTATGGCCCTAGGCGGCGGCCTCGAGCTCGCGCTATGCACTCATCTCCGCGTGTTCGGCTCATCCAGCGTCGTTGGCCTCCCCGAGACCCGCCTTGCAATAATTCCCGGGGCAGGTGGCACCTATCGACTGCCTTCTATCGTTGGAGTGAACCGCGCCCGGGATATGATTCTCACCGGCCGTCGGGTGACAGGTCCCGAGTCCTACTTCATCGGGCTTTGTGATAGACTTGTTGAAGTGTTGCCCGAGGAAGAAGCGCAGGAGGGTGTCGCACGTGAAAGAGTGTTGCGCGAGAGTATCAAGTTGGCACTGGATATCTGTGAAGGTGGTCCGATTGCTATTAAAATGGCGTTGCAGGCTGTCGATGCTCATGTCCTTGGTGAGCGCGCGGAGAATGCTGCATACGAGGGAGTTATTGAGACAGAGGATCGGTATGAGGCGCTGCGCGCTTTTGCCGAGAAGCGGAAGCCGGCGTTCCGTGGTAGGTAATATATCATTTCAAATGGGTAATGGGTGATCGACGCTATATTCAGTGACAAAGAATAAGGAAATACAATGTTTGTAACATCACGAATCTCTTCTTCAAAAAATGGAAATGCGTTTATATGAACTACATGTTTCGCAAAGTGTTTCGCTGTCTACTTGTGTGTTTGGAGATGTCATGTGGACTTTTTGATCATGCGTGATAAAAGCGGCAAAGCAACCTGGGAAGTTCAGGTGCATGATAAAACTACATAAACAAGCTTCTCATTGCAAATGATCCACTGTGCATAGTGTGTTATTGAATGTTGCCTGTTACCTGTTGCCTATTGCATCTAAACCTTAGAATGTCGATGTAGCGAATAGTCACACTGTAGATCTGGGTTATACATCAGGTCACAACTCTTGCATCAAATAGCATTCTCCTTGGTTGTTTACTTACTCACCGCCGTCAAGAGTCAGATTCGGATGATGCAGACCCAAAAAAAAAAGAAAAACCAGTCTCAATAGTTGGTCTCATATAGGCTAACCCTTGGGATTCATCTCCAAAGTTTCCCACGGTTGAGGTCCGTGACTCACTCATAGGCCACCATATTCGAACACCAGGGCAGAAACACATTTTTAAAGATCTGAGTGGCACGGTACCTGGGCAAGTTGCCGGATCTGACAGGGCTGTACAACCCCGGGTGAAGTTGGGCCCAATGAACTTGATTAGGACGCCGAATTTCACAGGCCACAGAATCGAGAATCTGCACACGGCCCGTCGCCGGATTACTCTGCCGATGAATAAACGCCATGGATCTACATTTGTAGATCAAAATAGCCCGGGTGACCTGGGTCAGGGGAACACTGCCCCAGGCTCTCAGTCACCCCCAGTCACCCCCGAGTCACCTGGATCATGCTTATAAAACCAAATCAGATGTGAGAAATGCTCTTTCTCTTTTACTCCCATCTTATATCTTCAGATAATGGCAAAATAAGCCCGAATTTGTGTGTTCATACATCTGTCCTACTTGCGATGACTGAACCCGGTCCCCCTCATATCAAGCAATTCGGCTTGACTCAGATCTATGCTCCACGCGATACACCTACAGTCGATATCGTTTTCGTTCATGGCCTAAACGGCCACCCTTACAACACTTGGACCAGCAAGTCCACTGGTTGCTTTTGGCCCGTCGATCTCTTGCCCGACATCCTTGCTGTACAACGCCCACGGATTCTCACTTATGGCTACAATGCCAATGTTACGGCGTTTACAGATGGAGTGTCGAGGGACACCATTGTGAGTCATGCTGAGACACTCGCATCAAGTCTCGCTGCCAATCGATATGTAAGTAGTCGCTTCATCTGTGATTGCGTCTAAAGACTAACAATGTCTTTCATAGCTGCGAAACTGCACCAATCGTCCTATCATTTTCATTTGCCACTCACTGGGAGGACTGGTTGTGAAGCGTGCCCTGATCTTCTCACGCAGTCTCTCGAATGAGAAGACGGAGCACCTACGCTCTGTCTACGTCTCTACCTTTGGAATTCTCTTCCTCGGCACCCCCCATAATGGGTCTGATATCGCAAAGTGGGGCCTTTTGCTGAACAATATTTGCAGTGCAGTGCTTCCAAAGAAGTTTATGGAAACTTCTCCGCAGCTCATCAAGACGCTAAGGACCAACAATGAGACACTACAACACATCAACAGTCTTTTCGTCGACATCATGGGCCGATTCCACATCTACTTCTTTCATGAGACCCGATCAACCGATGTACATGGTACACGAGAAGTGATCGTAGATGAGCACTCAGCAGCACCATACATGGAAGGAGTTGAAAGGATGGGAATTGAGGCCGATCACAGCCATATGTGCAAATTTGACGACGAGAATGCTGCAGGCTATGAGGCCGTGGCAGAAGCTATTCTTCGGTATTCCCGCCAGGCTCCTGTTGTGATCCTAGACCGCTGGGCAGAAGAGAAGAGCGTCCGGACCCAGGAGAAAAAGGCCAAGGCTAGGGAGATCTATGATGGTGAGAGCTGAGCTGCATTTTTCAACTTCTTTGAGACGATTGGACTGACTATTCTAGCACGGATAGAAGACCCAGCGAACCAAAGCATGCCCAATTTGAACAGAGCTGGTAGGAATTCACATCTTCTCCCAGCCCCGGATGCATCTGTCACGCTCAGGGACTACGAGATCGAGGAGCCTCCCGTTTGATGAATTTTTCTGGCGACTTCCCCTTTGCTTTCTGCTGTGATATGCGTGAACTAGCTGACATCTCACTCTACCGCGATTTTTTTTGGCTATGATCCTTTGCCCGCCCTGGTTGCTACCAAGGCGAGATCATTTATCTTTGGAAATCAAGTCCATTTGTTGGTGCACGCTGTTATTTTTCTGTACTTAGCTTGATAGTGTCGTCTCCGGGGTGGCTCCCATCTCATGTCTAAATAGCCGACATTCATTTGCTCAATCGAACATCGCTTTCCCTTTCAGTCACACCTGCTGACTTCTTCTTTATAGGCCAATCCGTACAAAGTTTACCGCGTGCTCCTGCATCAGAGGGCCGCAGTTCTCCAGTTTCAGATATGGGAAACAGTGGAATTCTCCAACTCTCCCATTATTCTCACAGTGATAAGAAACCACTTTTTGTCGCACCCCCTGGCTTTCATCCGAATGCTACGTTTTTTGGCATGCAAAAAGAGCTTGAGATACTACACAACCGCCTCTTCAAAGCCAAGGCACGTGCAAATCGGGCCATGGCTGTGTTGGTCTCTGGCGTTCCAGGCTCCGGAAAGACACATCTAGCACGGCAGTATGTGTTCACCCAACGTGACTGCTATCCAGGCGGAATCTTTTGGATTGATGCCAAGACTCGCGACGCCGCAGACAAATGCTTCTGGGAGATCGCAGTCGCCGCCACTTTAACCGATAACAAGGAGACTACGGTCACTGAGTATCAGCAGGCACCGACTTACGTGGCTGAAGTTCGTAAATGGCTTCAAAACCGCCAAGATTGGCTTTTAGTTTTTGACGGAGTTACCTTCGATAACGATTTCGACATCAACAGTTTCAAGGACTTTTTACCGTGGAACAAGCAGTGCAGCATCATATATACCTCAGTTGACACAACACTACGGAAAAAGCAGCGATTATACGAGCCGTACTGTTTGATGATTTCCCCATTGCATGTTGAGGATGCTTGCAAGCTTTTGTTCAAAGATCTTGGAATCACGCGACCTACCCACGAACAAATCGCAAAGGCAACTCGAATAGTTGAGCACTACGAGTGTCTTCCTTTGGCAATCCACGCAATTGGCCATCGTCTCAATGCGACGGGCAAACCAATCGAAAAATATCATGTAAAAACCCAAGTGACATACGAGAAGCTCGCAGAGCCATTTTTGAGCATCATGAATGATCTACTTCGCTTGAATCACAAACAGGCCCTTCACCTAATCAACCTCCTCTCATTTCTCGGACACCAGGTGCCAGTGGGCCTGCTGAACCTAGGACGGGGCATTATGGCTGCTCAGAATTTGGATATTCAGACCAGTGCCCAAAAGGGAGAGGATCCTGATCTCGATACCACACTTGGAATTCTCATCCACTATGGGTTGATTGAGAGAACCTCAGATGCAGGCGTCTTTCAGCAGAGGTCGTCCACTCAAAATTCCGATGGCGATGAGATGAACTTGGATACAAAGACTACCCCAGATCTCTCAGAATCTTTGACAGAAAGTAGTCAGGAAGAATTCTTCTCCAATTATCGACACAATTCAGCAGTTGACGTTATCAAGATCCATAGCGTGGTGCAAGGGTTCTGCCGTGATGAACTGCGAATCAGGGATGAGGAGCAAAAGGAGTCTATGAACAAGGACGATCCGGGGTTCTTCGACACTTGGTTGATTGTTGCCACTCGGTTTCTCATTCGGTCATATGAAGTAGCCAAAGAAAGGATGAAGAACTATCCGGATTGTGGTCTTGTTCGAGACTATCGAGAGTATGAAACCCATGCTTCCCGACTGGCGGAGCTTTTCCCAAAAAAGCATTCAATGAATCTTCATGCTTCAATCCTTCGAGAGACACGAGAAAACTTACGCTCATTGACCAAAAGCATAAGCCAGCAGATTGAGAATATATCCCCAACCTCATCCCTGCACTCCATTCGACACCAAAAGTCAGTGTTTGACCGGTCAAGCAGCTCTTCGTCCTCATATCGGGAGTCGTCTGCAGAAGGGGGTCTATCTCGACAATCTACTTTCAACTTCAGCGATATAGGGTCGGCACGGGCGGAATCCCCCGAACAGATGGCCGTGCCACCTCCTCGCTTCAGATTGGAGCTTTTCCCACCCCATATATTCAGAATGGCGGGGAACGAATCTGAAGAGGGCTATGAAACAGACGGAGAAGCAAAAAGTGGACTTCTAATCTCTCCGGCATTGTCGCAAATTAGCCAAACTACAGTCGAACCTAATCCGCCTCCTCTACCATCGAGCCCACCAGGTCTCTCTGCTCTGTCGGGGTGGCAAATAGTCAACCGACACCAGAAGCAAAATCCTCCCAAAGAGCGACAATCAAAGAGAAGAGGGAAGGGCGCCGAACAAGGCAACAGACGACTAAGAGATACTAGACCCGATACGCCATTGGTCGAAGTGTCTTCTATCCAAGGACATGGCTCATCAAGCCGCAAACCCTCTTTCGAAGAAGAAAGCGGCTCAATACTAGCCTCAGAGGCCGAAAGATTACTGGCTGCAGTGCGCCGATCTAGTAGATCTCAAGCATCATCCGAAGTTCCAGAACCTACAGTCATTTTGCCGATGAACCAAGAGATTCTTCCAACGTTGCCATCATATGCAAGTGTAGCTAGTCGACGCATATTAGAAGTCGAGTCTGCGTTCAAGCGCCCATCATCGGTTCCGGTGACTCGTACGCTAGATCACTCGAGCGGTCTGCAAATGAAGCCTTCTGTGGAATCTCTCGATGACCAGCCGGGCCATAATTTTGCCTCGCCTCTATCTCACGAGTTGAAATCTCACGAGTTACTCCTCGAACCTCTGAGTAGTTCAACTTACAGTGAGCCTGGAATTGAGTTCTCCGACCAACCAATGAGTGAGGTGGACTTTTATACGGCGCCTGGATCTTATGATTCTCGACGTGCTTCTCTCCCACAGCTTGAGACCCCACGAAGCTTGTCTGCAAGCGTTCCTGCTCTTATTTCATACCCTCCACCGCTACCATACGAAGAGGACATTTCGGTCACCCGTCCAAGACGCAGAAGATCAGCTCAACTTGTGTCAGGCTCTATAACACCCTCTCATCCATCTGCAATAATGCCTGGTGCATTACCGCTTCCATCCGATCTCAACATAGTAATGGGCTCTGCCCCAGAGCGGCCTCTATCAGTTCCGCTTTCCCGTGGCTCCTCTGGATTCTCTCATCAATCGTGGGCGACAGAGCCGGTACGGTATCCACCACGGTTCTCGCCTATTCCCAGTTTCACACAACCTCCGGAGGTTGTACCAAACACATTGACAAGCATGCAGCAAGAACAGCAACAACAACTTGCGGGGACCGGTGGTTGGACAAACGATCTATCTATAGCGGGCAGTGCCCTCCAGTCAGATCCGGCTTATCTCGTACCACCACCACGTGGACGTCTGAACTCGATGGACGAGCGACTGAACTTTATAGACCTGGGCTGGGACCCGGAATATGGCACTGCACAATATCTAAATACTGTCGGACATCGGGTTGATGTCCGGGATCCGCGCCAGAGGCTGCATGAATCTTCTCGGCTTCAGGCCCCACAGTATCAACTATATCATCCCAATTTGTCTGGCCCTTTGATTCAGCATGACGGTCATCTATATGCCCCCGCCCCCCCGTTGGAGGTATATAAGACCCGTCCGCGGAGTGGGAGCTCACCTTCACATGCAAATTACGCTGGGTTGGGTGTGCGATTTCCATGATGATAGTTTCGAAGGGTAATCTTTGCTATCATTCTCGTTGCTTTGTTGTGTTTTATCAGGGCATTTACATATACGGTCATTTTGTTGCATTCTTCATTTTGTATTCTTGCATCTTTTGCATTTGTGTTTGGATTGACTTAGGGGTTTTCTCACTTTCATGTTCAAGTGATACCAGAAAACGTGGCGTTTGATTATCTGGAGTTTTATGTCAATTGATCGACTTTTCATAGATTGTTATGGCGTCTAGGAAACTTCCATAAAGTAGGGTGTTTATGCTTCAACTTTTTTCCAAACCATAAATCTGGAGAGACCTAGATAAACGCTACTCATTATGCAGGATATTGCTGTCTTATCCAAGAATATTAATGTCCTATTTATTTTTAAAGTATCAATCATGCTCGCTTCCAAAATCGAGGATTTCCCTTCCAACAACCCCCATATATCGTTAACACCGTTAAAAATAACTCTTCTCTCCAGGAGCTGATTTAGTAACCGACAGGGCCCCTTTCTCAACAAGACCCGGGGTCACATCAATAGCATCAATAGTGAGATCATCAATCCCGGTCAGATCCTCGTCCTCCACGTAATCACTCGGCTCCATCCAACCACTGGCTTTCTCCATTCCAGGTGGAGCAGAAGCCAAACAAGTCAAATAGTAGACAACAAACGCGACAATCAAACCGGTAGGATAAGCAATGTAGTAAAATCGCTGGATGCCCTGGGGCGCCTTAACACCCATTTGATGGAGGAACCCATAGAAGTTCGGGGCGATAGCAATGACATAGGCAATAAATGCTCGAGGATTGAAGCCATGGAAGTATCTGTAGGGGGTTGGCTTTGAAACGTACAAAGCCGGGATATTGAGCAGTCCCCGGCGGATGAGATAGTAGTCGCATATGAGGATTCCGGTAATTGCCGATAAAAAGATTTGATAGGAAGAGAGAAACGTAATGAATATTGATGCAGTTGAAAGAAGGTACCAGGGGCAGATCGCGTAAGAGAGAACTGGATAGGGAAGTTGTTAGTTCAGAGCTCATGGACGGGAGATAATGCAAGTATAGGGTGGCATTTTTCGTACCTGCACAGATGAAGAAGCCCCGTTTGATGGATATGTATTTTGGTAGTAAAGCCGCGATATCGTTTCCCGCACTGCGTTATGTTAGTTATAGCTCTATCTAGTTCTGGGTAGAAAGACTCTTACGGAATTGAGTTCTCGAAAATGGCCGAGAAGACCGTCGAATAAACGAATGCAAGGGCGATAAAAGCACAGGCAGCTCGGTTGCCGTGAGTGTATCGCTCTCCTTCCATCAATTTGTCCAAGAAAGTCAAGGGATTCCAGATGAGCTAAAAGTCTTGTTAGATCGATATATCAGTGGTGAATATTGGTGAAACAAACCTCTCCAAATATGGCCTTGCTTGCCGATGCGATGAGATTTCCCAAAATAGCGACTAGGAAGTTAGATACCGGAAAACTAACGATTTGGCCGATGAGAACATCATTCGGCTTGGTAGCATAGCGCTGGAGATCAGAAGCATTGGATATAAAGGTTCCACAGCTTGCGAGACCCAAGAACAAGAACTTGAAGATGAGATAACTCTTTTCAGTACCCTGAATTTTCGAGGGTACATTAAGGGATTTCAAAGAGCCTCCAGCAAGAGACACAGTCCACCCCAGCATAGCAAAAGCCGCAGCAAAGTAGACAGCCACCTTGACATAGACCAGAGACTTCATTTTTGGTACGGGCACTATCAAGAATGCACAATTGATAAGCCTGAACAGACAGGTCAGCAATAGTCAAGCACACAGTTTGATCACTAGTAACTATACCAATATATGAAGAAGCACATCATTTGCGCTGAAGTCAAGGCCGATTTGGAACCCATCTTATCGGGGATATTCTCAATAGAAGGGAATATAGCATGGAGGAAGACACTAAAAGCAAAGGTAAATAAATGAGCTCAAAACATCTCCTTGCGCCGTAAGAGAAAACAGCATGAGGAATTGTACTTACTACAGGCACTGTGCGCCTTGGACCGAATTGACACCATTCCATACAATTGACATGGCTGCACGATTGAAAGTAGGCCACAGTGCTCCCCAGCTACCAAAGCTGGAGCGACAAAGAACAGGAAACGGGATACGATACATAGCACCAGCACGCCCATTCAGGGCCATCAAACAACCTGCAAGAATTTGTCCGCTGAAGGAACATCCGATCGCTTCCCACATAGTAAGCCCCATGGCCATTCCCGTGGAAGCAGTATACAAGTTGCTGACGTTTGCCGTCGCCGAGAACCAGAACATGATATAGGTGAGCTGGGACCATGTCCGATCCTTGATTGGTGTCGGTCGGATGGAGTCATTGTCAAGCATATCAACGGGGCGCGCGATACCATCTTGATGAGTTCTTTTCACGATTAATAGCTCATGGAGCCGAGATAGTTTGGACATTATATTGAGAAGGTTGGTGAGAATTATATAAGAATGCAGGTATTAGCCAATTGTGGTTGCTTAGTGGCAAATTTTCAAGTGAGTTTAGCAAAGGAAAAGGCGACGTTTATGTGAGCAGTGCCGGGTCGTGGTCTTTTAGGGCTATTATTTGACCTCGAGAGTTGGCCAATGGTCTGATAAGGCTCGTGTTAAAACGGTCCACTAACAACGTTCAAAACACCCATGACTTTCAAGAGAAGTGTGAATGCTATCTCCCCCGCAAAGATAGAAGTAAACAAATGGAGCCCGTGGACGGTCTATCGGCTTATCACAGCCAAGAATGTGGGCGTTTTGGGTACTTTGTCCGCTGATTCCCGTCTTTTTCTCCGACGGTTAGCGGTGGGATCGAAGATATCACCCAATCTGGAGTTTCTATTGCTCCATTGCGGGGGGAAATCACCCTAAATATATTTCCTATGCCTCGCATTAGTATTACTTCTATATCTCGCAAGGACCATGGCGACCGAAGTCGAGTATACCCATATTGAATTGCTCACCCTCAGCGGTCCAGATTTCCGTCGGGTATCAACTGCGCCCCCGCGTCCTCCTACCGATAATGAAATCCCGGTCATTGACTTATCTTCTATTGATGGAGATCTAGAAGCGAGGAAGATCATCGCATCCAAAATTAGGACAGCAGCCGAGAATACAGGCTTTTTTTACATCGAAAACCATGGGATCCCAGAAGAGCTTATTCAAAGAGCTTTGTCCCAAGCACAAGCCTTTTTCGCCCAATCCGATGAAGCAAAAGAGCTCGCATCGAGTAAGAGGTCAGCGGTCTCAGAAGGGTGGCATGGGCTTGGAACTACCCAAATTAATAAAACAGAGACACTAGGTGAACAGCCCCCACTAAACATGGCGTATTAACAAAAAGCTAACAGTTATCCAGATCGTAAAGAAACGTTCTCAATCCGCTACAATTCCAAAAACGATCCAACTATTTCTGACCCAGAAAAGGTTCTCGCCGACTCGGGCAGGCGATTCTCTGATATCGTCGAAATCAACTTTCCATGGAGCGGAACAAATCATCTCCCAGGATTCCGTGAAACAACAATTGAATTTTATCAGTCCCGCCTCGCGCTCGCACGTAAGATGATTCGCATCTTTGCTCTTTCGTTAGACATGCCGGAAGACTACTTTGATTCGGTTACCACAACCCCTGGTGCAGATGGGCTCTACGTCCACTATCCTGCCACGCCAGCCGATATGCTGAAGAAAAACAATGGAAATATCGATGTCGGCATTGGCTCACATACTGATATCCAGTGCATCACTCTGCTGTGGCAAGATATGTCTGGGGGATTGCAGGTTCTTTCTGCCAGTGATGAGTGGTTGGATGCTCGACCCATACCGGGAACCCTGGTGGTCAATATTGGAGATTTCTTGCAGCGTCTCTCAAATAATAGGTTTAAATCAACCGTGCATAGGGTTTATAACCGTCAGTCTACCTCCCGATACTCTATGCCCTTCTTCCTGGGGTTCAATCCGGATTCAGTCTGCAAGGTTGTGCCCTCGTGTGTCGACGAAGCGCACCCTGCGCTTTATGAACCTATCTCTTGTGGACAGGTAAATATATTCCTTTTTTATGCTTTTACTGCTCATTTCTAACTTCGTTATCAGTGGCACCGAAAAAGACTTGAGCTTGCTACAGTCAAAACCACCAACACATGAATGGAAAGCCGATAGTTTCGAACAAACTTGTATTAAATGTCTGCCATCAAACAAATACTATTGCCTCAGAATTTGGGATTTATATAGCTCTTAGAAGTGTTGCATAGACCCGTTCATTCCATCCCATTCAGCCGCAGGCATTGAATCAATAAAACGAAACGGTGCCCATTCTGCGACGGACAGTGGATATGAATAAAAGTTGTCATCAACATTGATCGACACAGTTGAATCCAAAAGATCCCTGGCTTTCTTTCGCACAACGTTCGTTGCCCAACTGAATACCCCCTCTATACTTCTAGGGATTCTGGCCTGTGTCCGAACATTCTCCATCAACGTATATGTTGCGTGCACGTCCGGTATACTTGAGCAATATTCTGCTAAAGTGACGCCCGCATATGCAGCAAGGAGGTAGTCGTATGTCGGTCTAACAAATGCAGTATTGGAGGAACCAAGCACGAGAATATCTTCCAGCACCAGTTTAGCATGCCGAATGACCGTTTCAGTCAATCTGTTTATGTGTCCACTGCGATTTGGCGAGTTCGGAGATATGGATTGATCCTGCTTTGCTAGCTCCCATCGAGACAAGATGAGAGAGGCGCAAGAATGGGCCCATCTCAGTATAGTGTTACCGTCTGTGTTTAGAATTTTAGTATCAACACGTTTACAGAACAAGCCTGCTTACCTGTGAGAAAGTTGCGTCCCCACCTGTTGACCATATCCCAGGCTTTGCTAACCGAGCTAACAGGTTGATAGATTGCTTCGTAGAGATTGATATAAAGCTTGAGCTCTGCTGCAATAAGATGGTCGAATGGCTCAAACCCAGGGTATTTGACAATTTCCGTCCACTGATGAAGACGCTCGCACCCAACCACAGATGGTCGACCTGTTCCAATGGCAAATCTTAGAAAATGTCAGCATTAATATTCGCATGAAGAGAACGCTTATCAGGTTGAGGCCAATGGATGCATACTTCAAGTGTACCAGCGATGCCTGTATCCACATTCTGCACATGTTGCGGCTTGTTTGATCATAAAACCCAGTGAGAGAGCTAAGCTCAGGTAGGGGAAAGCTTAGCATGCAATGAGTAATGGTTGTACTGCTCATCAGCCAGCTATCAATGTATCTACCACCAGGTATAAGAGGTCCAAAGCTCCAAGCGCTGAAGATCAGCATGGCGTGGATGGTAGAGAGATCGATAGGTGTATCTAAGGTCTTCTTCCCCAAGTGAGTTTTGACCAGTGCATGAAGCGTGGTATGGAGATCAGAGCGATTAAGACCCTCGGTTGCTCGAATGCCTGCTAGCAGACACATTGCGAAGAGCAGCGGATGATCTCGTTTGAGATCTGTCAGTGTCTCATGTGGAAAAGGATACCATGAAGCTATTTGCTCAAATCCATGTTGGAAAACCCCAGAAAAGTTTTGCGAGTCCACACCCATCTCGGTCATATGTCCCAAGAGCGAGTCGTTTTCTCCGATTGTCACGGGCTCCGTGATCAAACTCCCAACGTGACGGACAACTGTGATTGGCGCAGGCTGGACTTCAATCGTTGCTTTAGTATCTGTGTTTGGAGACACGACCATATCATGTTCACTATCATTGGTATCTTTCGCGGTGTTCGATTCATTGTTCCCTCCCGGAATATCAATTGTAGGCCTTTTTATTGCGGGCTGGGTGTCTCCGAGAAGGTGGGACTTAAGCAACTGCTTCATCTCAGAAATTGAAGCCTCAATGGCATCAAGCCTTGGATTCATCAGCTTGTTACCCGGGCCATTGTTTATACAAGGTGAGATAAGGATTACCTTTTTGAACAATGACAGTCAATATGCTGGCTGGAGATCCTCTCTTGTCTGCCAATCTGTGATTCATTCTGACTCGGAATGGCAGATGTGGCAGGGAGAGAACATTGAAGTCTATTTAGTGTCAGACATGTGCTAAAATGATGGAACTTTATTGAACTGCGCACCTCAGAGATATGCACCGAGCACATTGTTTTGACCCAGGAGGAACCTCACATCGGGTTTTCAAACGTCGGCATGGCTGGCATGATAATACTCGTCTCTTTGTCGGCATTATATAGAGCGTGGAATTTCCCGTGGTGATAATGTGAAGTCAACATGGACTTGATGTTCTCCGCTGCTTATCTGGGGTTAACGGGGGCGCTAACTCGAATTCGGTTAGCCGATATTTTAGGGTTATCATCCGATAAGCCGGTTGGCTTGAACCTTGGCATGTGATTATGACCTTCAATTGCGTACTTCAAACGTGAGTGACTGCTACTGCGTACAAGTGTATCTAATAAGGAAAAAAGAAAAATAGGGATGGAAAAAATGTATATTTTGATTAAGTGACTGACATAGAGATAGCCTCTGTATTCACACGAGGGTATAGGGAAAACAGACAATTTCATCTGACAAAAACCCACACCAAGGCCACCAACATGATGAAGAAGAGCACAGAAACCAGGTCAGCCTTTTGTCATAAATGATAGCACCCTATATACGCTGATAAATTGGGATCTGGTGCTCTTTCTGTCCATTCGTTCCAATCTGAAACTTAAAGCCAGTTCTAATTAGATGTTAGTGATCGTGTAATCCATATGATAGAGAGTGTCCATACAGGAATAATGCCAGAAGCGGCACAGGCTTTGCTGACAATGTTACCAGCGGTAGCAAGAACACCTCCACGTCCGTACTTGGTGGCGACACCTTCAATACAGGTCCAGTAGGAACAGCCTGCCTTGCTGCCCTCGTGTCCGACGTTGAAACCGTCAAGGAATTGATCAACACACTGGTGCCATTCCTGGTACTCGGCCGGCGAGTACTTGTTCTGCTGCTGGGAAGGGGCGGAGTATCCACCACTGTACTGCTGCTGCTGGGGAGGGAAGGGCTGGTATTGCTGGGGCTGTTGACCGTATTGGTTCTGGCCCTGACCCTGGCCATATTGGTTCTGACCCTGGCCGTATTGAGCAGTCACAGCAGTGGCGAGCACAGCGAGAGTGGCGACAGAGAACTTCATTGCGGCGGATCTACCCTGACAATCAGTATTGAGTCATCGAAAGCTTCAATGGCTGAGCGTACAGAATTTATTGTTTTCGTTGGAACGTTGAAATGTTTGGAATGGCTTCTTGTTGATTGGAGCTGATCAAGTGAGATGAGGATGGAGATGGAAGATTAAATTGGGAAAGATCTAGGTATTTATAGGTTTCTTCGCTTCCTAAGTTGCCTCCTTCGCGTTACGTTGTCTTTTTGTTGAGAATCACACTAGGAAATCCTGCAGTTGATCTCACCAATATTGCAGCTATGCTGCGGGTGAAGCATGTCTCAGCTCGCCACTGCTTTCAATAGCCCCTAAATTGAATTTATTCTTACCAGCGGGGTAACAAAACATTCTTTCCATTGGTTCTCTATTGGGATATCCTCGTAGGCATCGGTAGGATGATCATACAAGTTGACCTTTGTTACCAATAGATTCAGTGAAGAGGGTCACTATTCATCATAAATCCCTCAAAGCCTACATGATACATGCCGAGCAGAGAAATTATGCCGTTCGTCGCAATGATCTGCCAGAATAATAAGAGCAATCAGTCAGCTCAAGGGCCCCTCACAGCCAGAGCTGCATACATAGCTCGCCAGCATCGGAGTCAGCTCGAGCATGACATCGAGTCGTTCTCTTGCTAAATTTGTTACAAACCAATCAAAAACTACTTTTATTCCATGCCAGATGATCGTGGTGTGGGCCCCAGATATTGAATATTGCACGCCGTCAAATGTACTACACCGCAATCTGACAAATGTTCTGATTATTGGACTTGTTCGAGAAAGATGGAAGGTCTTGCGAACATCATCTCTCGATATTCGCTAGCCGCTACAGTATCTTGTTCTCAACAGCTCAAGATCCTCCCTACTTGATTCCAACCTCAGAGCTAAGAGCCAAAGTTCGATGGTTCTCATATTTCTCAATTCAATTAACGGTGTACATGGGTTAAACGGTGAACGTCAATATGTGTCAACTCAAGCTGAAGCTGCTGCAGTGTGATGTCGCAAAGCCAGTGGTACGCATAAAATCAACCGAAATACATGCTAATATTACTCATACTTAGATATCGGTCTACGGTGGGTGCGAATCCTCGGATTAACTTCAATCAATGATCGCTGGGGGCTGAGCTGATTACCATGCAGATCTATCGATCAGATATGCAATGCCGGCATGTATTGTCTGGGGAAATTGCTCATGATTGGCTACTAGGGCCGGGAAACCCCACCTGGACTGGGCCGTCCCGTTACACAACACTCTTTCCTTTTTGGGAGCTTTTCTTTTTTATGAATTGCGTAGATCTTTTACCATGAGAATCCCACGTTGAAATTATATATTGTCTTTAAACATATCCACATATCAGATGGATCTAAGTATCTATATAGATTGTTTCAACCAGTGATATACTGCTATCTTTCACTACAATCATCTCGAACATGAACACGATCTCTATTTCTGTGGAGTCACTGAGACCCACCCCCTGCATGACCTGTGTGCTCCAAGCCTGCGTCTGCACAAGCATAATAAGGGCATGAATGAAGGGAAAAAAAGAAAAGAGTAAGGCAACGTTACACCAACCTCTAGAGCCGAGCTCGACCGAGTTCCCTTCTCTTTTGTTGATCGGCAAACATGCATAAAACCTGCAATGCTGGGGTAATCTAGCTGACGCCACTGCATCAGCTATGGTTCTTATGACCCATGAGGGATTTTGAATGGCATGGAATTGCCAATAATCCTTTTTTCTGTTTATTCTACTTCCCAATTGTCCTGTGCGTTTGGCCTAGATGCAACAGAGCATTTGTTGTATCCCTTCCCAGATCCAATAACTCCGTGGTAGACAACCTGCCGGGTACCTGTACGGCAAAAGGAGGTCGTTGTTGACATCACAAGACGACAGACCTTGGACACCAACCAAGGCCATTGTTGCAAAAGCAAAATAGAACGTGAATATAAGTACTTGGCTATATTACCCCACAATGAATTCTCTTACAGTCATTCAAATCTCTCTAGAGCATCATGAAGAAGATTCAGACCGCTCTCACTGTGTTATTTACCGTTTCTGTCTCTCATGCTCAGCTCATTACCCCTGGCCAAACTGCCCTCCGAAAGTATACCCTCGATGACATTGTGCCCACCACCGACCAGACTTCTGGGCATGTGAAATGTTGTCCCTCTGGCACAGAGTTTGATGGCCAAGGGTGTACGCTGGGTGCTCCCATCTGCCCTGATGGCAGCTCTCGCGTTGGAGACAAGTGTATCTTCCACACCACCCCATCTTGCGATAAGGGATATGAGCTGAAAAACGGCCTCTGTGTTACGACCAAGCCCCCTAATTGCGAGCGCGGAACTATCCCAAGTGGCGATCACTGTGTTCTTGAAGGGATTGCCAAGTGTGGGCCTGGATATCTTTTGCAAAACAACATTTGCGTATCCCAGAGCCCTCCTGTCTGTCCTGACGGTGAGCACTTCAACGGAAAGTCTTGTGCCTCGCTCATTGGACCTAAGTGTCCGGATGGAGCCAGACTCATGAATGGTGTCTGTATCGATGAAAAGCCCCCTGGATGTCCTAAGGATACTTTCTTCGATGTCACTGGCACACGATGCATATCTGAACAAGTTCCAGGCTGCCCGGACCAAGCTACTCCTCAAAACGGGCAATGTATCTCGGGCACTGGACCTCAGTGCCGTGATGGCAGTAAATTCAGCCCTAAGTCCCAATCATGTGTTATTGTTGACAAGCCCCAATGTCCACCCGATACTGAGTTGGTCGATAACAAATGTATCTACGATGGCCAGTTCCAGTGTGAGCCTGGTACAACACTTTCCACTGACAAAGCCGACGGTACTTCGCGCTGTTGCCCAGCTAACATGACCTGGGATGGAAAGCTTTGCTCTGCAAAGGTCATCGACGGCAAGTGTCCTGATGGAAGCCCTGCGATCAACAACCGCTGTGAGAAGCATTCCAACCCCCAGCCACACTGCCCACCGAATTTCAAGCTGGAAAAAACTCGCTGTGTTCTGCAAGATTCCCGCGCAATGCCCTCAAGATTCCTATCTTGACGGCAATCAATGCACTCTCGTGGCGAAGGCCGAATGCCCGCAAGGGACAGTCTTGGTCGGCGCCGACTGTGTGCTTCACGGACCTCCTTCCTGCCCCCCTCATACCAATATGGAAGGCAACAAATGCATTAGCTATGCTGAGCCAACTTGTGATGAAACGGCTAAATGGGATGGCAAGCAGTGTGTGGTCACAGGTCGCGCCGAGTGTCACGAGGGGATCCACAAGGGTGACGATTGCATCACTGCAAGCCAGCCAAAATGCAAGGAGGATGCCGGATTTGATGGCACTCGATGTGTATCGAAGACAACACCCCAGTGTCCCCAAGGGTCTGTGCCCAATGACGATGGATCGTGTCTTACTTCCACGGCTCCTCAATGTCCACCAAATACCAAGCTTCAGGGTGGAAACTGCGTCTACGGTACACCTAGCTGCGCTCCAACCCAGCGTTTTGCAAATGGGCGCTGTGAAAGTGTGGAAGGTCCCAAGTGCCCCGAAAACTTCCTCTGGAAGGGAGGAAAGTGCACTCGCATCGTTGAAGAGCATTGCGAGGAGGGATTTGTCCTCAAGGACGGTCATTGCATCTCCGGCGCCAAACCCGATTGTGGAGAATTTGGATTCAATGGCAAGGCATGCGTGAGCGGAAAGCCTTATTGCCCCGACGGAACCCACCTCGACGGAGAGAGCTGTATCTCAAACGTTGATCCCCAATGCCCCGAAGGATTCCAGTTCAACGGTAGTAAGTGCAGCGCTTACGAGGTCCCTCAATGCCCACCTGGCACCAAGCATGATAAGATCAACCAAGATTGTGTGTCCGTGGTGGAGCCTCGTTGTCCTCCTAAGCAAAAGTTTAATGGAAAACACTGTGCAATTGCCTCCGGTGAATGCATGGAATTCCAGTTCTGTCCCACAGAATCTTACGGAAAGGGTTGCCAACTTACCCCTGATGGAGTCGTATGCGATGGCTCCACATTCCACCAGCAACCAGATATTGGGACTGTCGGCCCGAACCCTGGAAAGACAGAGCACTTCAACACTGGAACCTCTGGTCAGATTCCTGACCAGACCATCCACCAGGGTACTGAGCATGAGCAGCCTGGTCGGCAGACAGAGGGGCAGCCGCAGCAACAGCAGGGCGACACTGGAGCCTGGCGTCAGCAGCCTGGTGGATACCAAACGGGATGGCAACCGCAGCAACAGCAGGGTGATACTGGAGCCTGGCGTCAGCAGCCTGGTGGCTACCAAACGGGATGGCAGCCGCAGCAACAGCAGGGTGACACCGGAGCCTGGCGTCAGCAGCCTGGTGGTTCCCAAACGGGATGGCAGCCGCGGCAACAGCAGGGTGACACCGGAGTCTGGCGTCAGCAGCCTGGTGGCTACCAAACGGGATGGCAGCCGCAGCAACAGCAGGGTGACACCGGTGCCTGGCGCCAACAGCTCAGTGGTTCCCAAACGAGATGGCAACCGCAGCAACAGCAGGGTAATGCTGGGGCCTGGCGGGCACAGCCAGGTCGTTGAGTTTGCACACGCAGCTTAGACTGACTTGATCGAACTGGTAGGGAAAAGGCAATTAAGTACCTCAGCATGCCAATGGATCAATTCCATCAAAGACCCTTGCGTCAAGTCAGCCACCCTAACATCTCAGTAGTTGTGGACTTTTGGAATGAGCCGCTGATCATCTGGGAGCTCCATCCAATGGTCGCATCCGTCTGCGAAATCTGTTCTCTTATGTCTGCTTACCGTTCGCAGTTGCGACAAAACACTGTCCTTAGAACCTATATGTATTTAGATTTAGTGTATCACTTGATACTTCAACAAATCTATTTCCATTAAACCATGACTCACTTCCCTCCATGAGTTAAACACACGGAAGCAAAAAGGTTCTACGACCCCGCGATAGTGCTGTTGGCTTTATCATTTTCAAGAACCCACCGACGATAGCCCAGGCCCAGTGTTCTCAACACACAAATATAAGCTGCTACAATATTGAAGGATGATGATGCCTTCAAGAAGTTATTTGATTCTCCTTTCCCGTGATTTTACATAATCTTGGCTGTTATATTCCAAGGTCGGCTGATAAGAGCAGCTTTATGATGAACAGGCATATACAACACACATTTTTAGATAAAGACAAAATGAAACAACGATACAACCACTAATTTATTCCATAGGTGACTGCGCGAATTCATGAGCTTCGGAACGTCTCCCTGTGACTTGGCTCACTTGCCGACTCGCACGGAACTTGTTTGACCATAGGACTACAATTCGACTCGCACCTTCAACTTGACATTGGGTGCAGAGGTGAATATTCTTCATCCACAGGGAGGGCTAAGCCCAGGCCCGGGGCAGTTGAAGAAGAAAAGAGAAGAAAAGGTAGGGAAGGGAAAGCTGGGGTTATTTATACCCTAGGAAGGTAAGTGACTTTCCTATTTGGGAAGATCTTTATTTCCGCTCACACCTCAATAACTACATGTTCATTTCATTGTTTGCTATACTACTGTGCTTCATTTAGATCTTCATTTAAATTCTTTCTTACAAATCAAATCTGCAAGCTTGATATGAACCGAGTTGAATTGTTTGTTTATCTATAGTAGATTCTATTACTTTATACGTTAAGTGGGGATTATATTGGAAGGCCACCAATGAACAGGATGAGAGAATGGGCTTAGTAGATCAGGCGGCACCTGCTGCAGCAAGGTTTTTACCCTTGACGCTCTTCCACTCCACAATTGCAGCACCAAGGATACTGATTGAGGCAACGGCTGCACAAACCATGAATGTTTGTGTGATTGCATCACTGTATGCAAGTATAAGGCCCGGCAAATCAGCCTTATCGACGACACTCTGGACGCTTGTGGCGCCAGTCCGGAGAATCAAAGCTGTATCCAAGTTCGGGGCATATTCGGCGAGATATTGCACAAGTTTGTTGCTGAAAACGTTGTTTCCAATGGAAACAAAGAGGGCACCCCCAAGCGTCTGGGCAAAAACAATGATAGCCGTGCCTGTAGGTACATCAGCAATATCAAGGACGACCTGGACAGCAATCATAGGCTGTTGCATGCCAAAGCCGACACCAGCACCCGCGATAATTTGATAACCGATCCAAACGGCTTTGGGGGTATCTGGATGAAACATGGTCATGAGACCGTAGCCAATAGAGATGAACACAGAGCCGATGATCATGAAAGGTGTATAATAGCCAACGACTGTAACGATGATTCCCGAAAAGACAGAGAGAACCACGACTGCAATCAACATGGGAAGATTCATGATGCCGGAGTTGACAGCACTGGCACCTTTCACAGCCTGGAACCAGATTGGCAAAAAGTAAACAGAGCACAGGAAGGCAGCGCCGAGACAAAAACTAAACAGGCAAGAAGACCAAACGGTACGCTTGAAAAAGATGCGAGGTGGCACAGTGGAATATTCTTGCTGGTACCATTGGGCAAACACAAAGAGAAGAATGAGGACAGCAAAGAAGCAGAACAGGACAATGACGCGCCAGCTGCTCCAGGCATAAGTAGTGCCACCCCATTGCAGCGCTAGCAACAGGCAAATAATGGCAGGGAGGAAAAGAGCTGTGCCGATGGGGTCGAACTTCCTGATGCGCTCTGTCCACGTCGAGTCCTTGATCTGGCGGTTTGGAGCCGGGAAGAAGATGGCGATCACAACGACAGTGATAGCGCCGATAGGTAGGTTGATGTAGAAACACCAGCGCCATGTCACTTTGTCGGTGAAAACACCCCCGAGCAGAGGCCCGGCTACGGATGCAATGCCGTACATACTTCCGATGAAGCCACTATACATGGGACGCTTCTCCAGGGCAACCGAGTGGGCTAGAATGATGAGGGCACCTGAGAAGATTCCTGCCGAACCAATTCCAGCAACAGCACGGCCCATGATAAGCGTCAAACTGCTGTTGGCCACGCCACAGATCAGACTTCCCACCTCGAACAATCCAATCGCAATGAGATAGACCCATTTGATGCTGAAGAAACTGTAGAATTTTCCAAAGAGTAGCTGGAGCGAAGCGGTGGTAAGGAGATAGGCTATGAAACACCCGACAAGTCAGTTCACGTCTATTGGCCAGTTCTCTCGGAGTTTTACTCACCACTTCCATACCAGCCAACATCCTCAAGACTGTGGAATTGATCAGTAATCTTTGGAATTGCTGTAGCTATGATGCTATTATCTAAACTCATGAAAAAGTTATCCACATTAGCCAGCCAACCAAGCTTAAAATTAAAAGTTAAAGGACAAGGAAAACATACCAAGTGCGACAAGGAACACACTCAAACATAACGCCAGTGCAATCAACGCTAGTTTGAGACCTGTTGGGTACTCTGTCCCGTCCTCTCGTGTAGTGGAAGCCTTGAGTGAGGGGTGTTGATTGTCGGGCTCAGCCGTTGCCGTCTGAACAAGTACGTCTGTCTTTTCATCTGGCATAGACGGAGTGGCGCTTATTCTCCTTTCCTTCTCTTGCTCGGAAACGGCGACATGGTTGGGTGAATTCGTAGGCTCCATCTGTTAATCGTTATTGAAGACTAGGAATCCCCAAGAAGAAAAACGTATCGAGACCGCTATGCAGCAGAATGTACTCTGTGAACAAATTTGAATGAATCTATAGTTATGTCCTAAGTATAAGAGGAAGAGAACTCGGACAGCCGAAAGAAAAGGCAGGAGAAATAACAATTCAAGAGTCATGGTCACGGGCCTAATAAAAAGACTACAATCATCCCAAATTCCGCGCATTTCGTCCGCAACTCCGAGCAGGGTCAGAGCGGCCACGCGATTTTTTTTTTGGCTTTGACACCACGCTAGACTCTATAGGCTTTGAGACCATGGAACCGAGTTGGGCCTATAGCCTGAAACAGTTAGTGCTTATTCATATACGAGACAACTCGCGACGGCTACCTAGGTACATTTAATTGAATTTCTTTAAGCCGCAAGGTTCATTATTCAAATTGGTTTAGGCTCCCATTCCCATTGTTACAGAAAGTGCATGCTTCTCCTGATATATCCTAGCATCAATTGATACTTTGTGCTATTGTATCGTAAACTGTGTCTGAAACCTTCAGATGTATCGTTGCCCACATTGGGTTGGTTTACTCAGGGCTTTGATATATGTATTTTGCTTTAATGATTACTATTCACGATCATAGCATAATGAGTTACCAATCTATACTGGACGATTATTTCTATATACTACTCGGGTCAAAGCCGCTTACCAGAAGTCCGGGGCCCCGTGCAGAAGTGGCTGAGTCATGTTGGTAAGACAGGGGCCCCGGGAGCTGTGATCCATGGATGTCTACTTTGGGTAAGTCAGTCGTGAAATTAGCGCAAGGAGATACTATAGCTACATTTTGACATAATAATTAAGGGAAGGTGAATACAGCTGTGGACTGTGGGGTACAGCAAATTCCATTAGATTAAGGTTATGCTTGATGGCCGTTATCGACTACAAATACAATGGTCGTAGTCAGATTTCCACTATTTCCACTACATATGACCAAAAAACTATATAGTACTACTTAAGTAGTTGATTCAAAACCTGCTTTCAAAAGAAAGTCTGTGACCAATTGCGACCAAGAACTAGAGGAAACCTACCCAGAACCAAAACTGACGTGAATCGACGTAAGAAATGGACTACATACTGATGACGTCGTCAGTGCCAACTACTAGTAGGAGGCGACCAAGTACAAACCAGTATTTATCATTAGCTGGGATTTTGGAAACATTATTTAATAGCTTGATTTTGTACATCAAAGCGAATCCATTAAAGATTTTATCTCATTTCAAATAAATCGATCAATTCCGGCTATCAATCTTCTACATACAATATTCTTTATCTATTTCTACAACCATGTCTGCCGCACGCTTCGCTCCTCTCCTGAGAACTAGAGTGGCAATTCAAACTGCTCCTGGTTTCCAGGCAATCCGATCTATCTCTGCTACCGCACCATGCAACAAGGGACCTGTCGACGCGACTAAGGAGACACTCAAAAAAGCCGATCGAACCGTTTCTGATGCCGCCGTCAAGGGCATTGACAAGGGTGGTAAGTTGTGATGCCACTTCTATGAACTCACTTCAACAACAGCCTGATGCTAACGTGCATCTTTTAACAGAACAAGCTGCAAATGTGATCAAGGAAGCTGTTGGCACTGGGGCTCAGCAAGCGAAGGCAAAGTCCGGGGAATTGAAGGGCGAGGCCGCTGAGTATGCAGGCAAGGGCAAGGGCAAGGCTGAAGAGGCATTGGGCGAGGCCAAGGGAAAGACAAAGGAAGCAGCGGGCGAAATTGAGGGCAAGGCCAAGGAGGCTAAACACAGCCTTTGATTCAATCGAATCTTCTATGTCCAATAATAGCGTTTCCGAGGTTGCATGACTTATACTTGCGACTTGTATTATTATTTTCATGATGCTCATTTAATACATTGAGGTATATTTTCCAATGCTTGCTGAGAAACTTGCCGAGTTTGAAGAAAGGCGCTCAAACTGGGGGTAACATGAGCACGTACTCGCGCGAGCTTAGTCCAAAGCGAATTACATCCTTGTCCATAACTTCAACGTAGCGACCAGCGGGGATCGCCTCTCCATTGACACTAGAGCCGTTTGCACTCTCGAGATCAAGAATATAGGGCTTGACCTTGCCGATGCGATCACCAAATTCATTGCGCTTCTCAACAAACCGGAATTGCAACACAGCATGCTGCTTCGAGCAACTGGGATGATCGAGAGGGAAATCTACCACCATTCGCTCTCGGCCGATCAACCAGCAACTGCGCTCCACCAATTCGACCGTTTCCAGCAAGTCTTTCCCCTTGAACACGTAAATACGCCAAGCTTCCTTGGACGGTGGCTTGCGTGCCTCTGGAGGCTCATGGTATTTCAAGACGATTCCTCCACCGCCATCGACTTGAACAGTGTTGCTTTCCGCTGCCAATCTACCTGTAGATTTGAAGTTTGGTTTTTGCTTTTCGGGCGCAAGTGCATCTGAAGGGTTGGCCACAACCGTGAAGGCGTCGCTTTGTGAGGGTAGCGGGCCGCTTCGTTCTAATGCTCGTGCTGGAGGGCTGCGTGATTTCCGCGGAGAGCGAGAGCGTGATCGCACATCACGATGCCTCCGAGATGACCGTCCCTCATCTTCACGGCGGGTATCGCGGTGTCGGTGGCTGCTGTGTCTGTGTCTGCGGCGATCATCGCCCGCCGAACTTGATCGTTCTCTGCGCTCGTGTCTGGGCCGATCGCGGTCACTTCGGCCGCTAGTCCTTTCGTGTGGACTGCGGGATGACCTGTGTCGGGGGTTGTCTCGGCGAGAATTCCGACGATCTTCGTCACGCCGTCTTGAGCTTGAGGGGTAGTCGTCTTTGGGTGCATCTTGTCGCCGACGCTCGCGGTTGGGATCGGAGGGTGAGGTTACAGAGCGCCGCCGGCGTTCGTGGCGTTCATCGCTAGACCCAGTCATTTTTTTATGTATAAATAAACACAAGGATGAGAAATGTGTAGAGCTTGAAGTAATTGTGTCCTAGATCTTTGATCGAGCTCCTACAGCTACACGTGACCAGTTCCGAAGCCGGTCTGCGCCAGCGAGCGGACAACAACCCTTTCACTCCCCAATCAATACAACTTCACTAAGAGAGCGAATCGGGGACTTGTACCGGGCTCTCTTTGAATTAAAACCATGTGACCATGTTGAAGAGAGCCAACCAGATTTGTGGCCGAGGTTTGCAGCTGCTAAATCCAACTGCAGCCTTACCACTGTTTCGCTATAGCACCAATATCTTTCCAGATCGTGGACCGCAGACCGCATATACAAGCAAAACTTATGCTACTGCCTCGAATTTTCCGCACCAAGATTACTCATGGCCCAACGCTTCATCCCTCACTCCATATGACGTCTTAAACCTACCCCGCGGCGCTCCGTACTCGAAAAGACACTACTATGACCTCGTGAAGATTTATCACCCGGACCGACCCTTACATGATCATCCACTCTTTCAACAGTTGACGGAGGAGACTCGATTGCACCGCTACCGAATTGTGGTAGATGCACATGAGCTTCTATCCGATCCTAGCAAGCGAGCAGCCTATGATCAAAGTGGCGCTGGCTGGAGCCACATGGTACCGGAGACAACAGCCGCATGGGATTCTGGTGGACCCAGTATCTATGCAAATGCTACGTGGGAGGACTGGGAGCGATGGAATAACCGCCACCATGGCCCGCAGCAACATGTTGTCGACCAGCGCACCTTCACACGGCTTGTAATTCTTCTGGTGTTGTTTGGGGGCGCTCTTCAAGCATCTTGGATCGGAAAGCTGAACACCGGCTACGAAGATCGCTTGCGCGAGGTGAATGAAGAGTCCGCGCGCTTTTTACATGGCCGCAGAGAGAGTACTGTCAAACAAATGAACTCCAACGATGCGCGTGTCCAGGGTTTCCTCATTCGAAGAGACCCTACTGGAGCGGGTCTGAAGGATGTCGAGAAATCTGTTTACCAAAAGGAGTTGAATCCTCGCCGCAGTCTGGATGAGACCACCAAGGCTGACAACCAGCATAGACCAGAGTCTGTTCAATCGGCGGAGAGGATCTCAACAGGTACAGAGATCTCTTGATTGGTGCACATTAATGATTATATGGTGCATTTTGTTGCTTTCACCCAGGCTACGTATTTTGTTTTGTATCCAAATAATGTTGGGGTCCTGGAGACTTGCATGCATTAGTCACGTTACATGTTGAACATATTCACCCGGGACAACAATGGCTGATCTACGGGTAGTAGTAAGTACAAAAACCATATGCCTGTTGTTTGATAAATGTTATTTAATGAAGGCTCTAAGAGATAAGTAAAGAAGTTTTGGATATACTGTACTTGTAAAAAGTGTAAGAAAGGCCAGACGTCCCACTAAGGGAGCCAGTCGGCATTGCAGGAATGTTCCAAGTTTATATATGCCGCATGACGACAGGAGAGAGCTGATGATCTTCACGAAAGGTCAGGAATATTATAAACGGTACTCCGTATTCTACATCCAAAGTTGTTTAAATTTAGCTGAATATATCTCATGAAACAATCACACGGCAAAATGCACCTGTTCTTCAAATTTCAGAAAAAGGGGGGCGTTAACCAGGTAATCTAGCCCAGATCGAGCCAAGTTAGCGCCACAAGAAATCCGTTGACGTCGGCGGGTCGATTCCCTCGTTTCCAGGGGGGTTGGACCTATGCACAAAAGGCGTCACGACGCATCTGGCCTTTCTAGATTCCCCATTCCCCGTGAATCTGAGGCTGATCAAGGGGGATAGGGGTGTATTGTTCATGGTCTAGACCACAAGAGATTTTTGATCTGAAGGGGTTGTTCTCTTGTTCATGTTGATTTATTTTGTATCGCTTTCGACTGTAATTTTTGTTTCTAGTGATAACGATTAACACCAAGTGGTTGGTTACTTATATATCTTTACGTGTATTTAAGGCACATTTCGAAATTTTCAAGGCAGGCAATTGTCGGATTTGGATTCGAATGTTTTAAATTCAAGATATTAGGTACTGAATACTTGTAATAGCTTGAAGCATTCAGTTTGGTACCGGGTACCGAGAACAACAGGTACCATGTGTGGTTCGATCGAGATCCCGATTCAAATAGAAAGAGAACAAAGTGAGAGATATACATATGTAGACATGACCAGATGATATAGATGTATATAGAGATATACTTATATGATAAGATTATGTTTAACGATGAAAAAACAAAACTAGTCATACAAAAAAAATAGGAAACCCCTACATAATGTAGTTTATGTATTTTTTTTTCACGACGTCATCGCATCGGAGAAGATAGTCACCCACTTTTTCCACCTCTCAAGCCAAGTCCCCATCCACATAATCCCAAATGGGGTATGAGATTATTCTCCCAAACCTCCTGTTCTTCCAATACACCGCCTAAACCTTATTCGTCTCATCTATATTCCTGATATTTCTGATTCTAAATCGATCTGACTCTCACTTCGTTCTTGGCATCATCTGTCAATCCTCCCCCTTCCCTTTGCGACCTTCTCGTGGTTAAGCCATAAAACACCTTTATTTCGCCCTTGTTCCGCCTGCCCGCCGTGATTAATTCTTTCCTTTCCCTCCATTCGCGGAGGAGCGAGAATGGGGGATGTCCATAGTCGGAGGAGTCCTCCATTCCCCTCGCCAACCGAGACCATATCACCTGGAGTGCCGCAACCTCACCTGCAGCCTCTCCGATCGCCTGGGTACCGTGCTCAACAGGCACAGCAAGCACAAAGACTGGTGGACCACCTCGCAAATAGGGTCGACGCTCTTGAGAGGTCGTCACTTCAGACAGCACGTTTATCGCGTGGTGACTCGGCCGACCAGGTGATTGGCCTGACACCGATCACCGAGGATCCACGATCGGAAACTGAACGACAAGAAGATCAAGTACGGAGCAATCACACCCTCAAGGAACTGCGGAGACAGATGGAAGAACTGCTTGTATATCAGCAGATGCAACAAACTCAGCCCTCAATTCCGTCTCAGACCCAATCTTTGTCCGCCAATTCGAATGATACTCCAAGAAAGAGGCGACTGTCAACTTCTCCTATGGATATTCCGATTACCGTCGTGCAGCCCTCCACGGGCTCAACAGAGTCAACGGGCACAGTCACAGGCGTCGAACCCGCTCGCGATCGCGACTCACAACAGACCCCATCATACCCTTTTCCTCGAATGCAGAATCAAGCGGCTAAAATGGGACTCGAACCGATGGGACGAACCGGACAATTCAGATTGAAACTCCCATCCGAAAATTTCCCAGCTTCAATACCGGAGGACCAGTATTTGCCTGAAGAAACGAAAATCGCACGGAAGCAGGCAAATTTCCTGCCGGGTCAGCACAGTCCGGGTCAAGAGGACCCGAATTTTCCTAGCCCAGATCTTTATGATTTGACGCTACAGCTGAATGCAGATTCGGGACTCGAAGCATGGTGGTCTAACCTCATTGATATCATGCAGACTAACTATGGAGCCGAACGTATCTCGCTCGCTGTCCCAGGGGATGTAACGGATCTAGAAAATGTACCCTGGGGTCAAAAGGCAGTCTTCAATCAAAATGTCGATACTTCATTGGAAGAGCTCCAAATACGCCACCGGGAGAAGGGTCGATCAACAGATACGTCCCCCTCATGCACGAGCCACGTACAAAAGAAACCCGCATCAGGACTGCAGGAATTGAAAACACCTGCGTCCCCTCGACCGTCTTTACTATCACGTCACTCCTTCGCTGGTTTTGACAAGAACAAATCGCATACCCAATCTGAGAAGAAGCACGTACAAATTGCGGATCAACACCAACCATTTGCGAGTTACTCGAATGGACGAGAAACCACCGATGCTGCAGATGACAGTCTCAACGCTATCATTGGTGATATGCGGCAGGTCGTGTTTCCAACAGCTAGGCCGTTGGAGATGGAACCAGACCCTTTAATCAAGCGTTCAGGCGTGGTGAGATTGTTTGGGCGCACTCGTCCCATTGTTTTAACTCGCGAATATTCAGGAGGCTCGTCGCAATATTCACAGCCCTGGGCAGACCCTGTTCAAAGCCCAAACGAGACAGTCCAGGTCACCCCCGATATCAATGGTCCAGACGTGAGGGGCGCTGGACGTGCACCGGTACATCATGGAATTGGTGCCTTTGGGATGAGACTATACGACGAATATGAACAAGTTCCACAGTCTCCCTGGTCTCAATCTCCTGCCCCCTCGCCTGCTCCCCGCACACATGCAGATCAAAACCCATTCTTCACGGATCATTCGGTCGATGAAGGAGCCTTTTCCAAAAATCCGCCCTCACATGACTACTCCAATAATCTGCCACTAGAAGCAATTGGAATTGATCAGTCGAAGACCGTCATCCACATTCCGCTTTTACATGGTGGTCACTCGAAAAGAGGCCCCTCATCAACCTTGAGATTTCCCGTGGCGATAGTCTCAATGCTTTGCACAATTGTACCTTACCCATCCAATCTCAGGCAGTCTCTTGCATTTTTGATGCCACATTTGACGACTTCATTCTGTTTGGCCCAACGTTATAGCCAGCTTGAAAGGCAGCTTTCGTCAAAGGTGGAGAGCCCTCGCTATGGATATCTACTAGGTCTCGGTGGAACCTTCTCCGACGAAAGCAGTGAATTGGAGCTCGTGGCAGGACTAAGCGGTCATGTCAGCTACTCTGTTGGCGACAACAACCACCCAATTTCAACACACACCAGTATAACTAGCCCCAGTGATCGTTCTTCTGCGAGGTATAGTCCTGCCATATCTGCCTTAGGAACCCCAGGATTTGAACTCGGACACGCCGGATTTGGATCTGCTAATCAATCTCCGGCATTGACATCACGCTCTGGCGGAGAAAGCTCTGACAGCTATTTCAATGTTCCGCAACACAAACCATTTCGAGACAATCCCCCGCAGACTAGACCCCGGCTTCCGAGACCAAGAACCCACATTGAAACATCGACACCTATTTCCCCAGGGAAATCCGTTGCAAAATCGATTGCTATCGAGGATTACAACGCACAAGATTCTTTTGTCGCTTCTCCGCTGCAAGAAATCAGACCACCTCATGCTCGGTCACCAACTCAGCAATCATCTCGCCAGGCCTCCACGAATTCGTTGTATGCTCAATTGCAGCGGGAGCTCCCGCGTCCGTTCTCTGACACGATAGCCCAGCTGATGCTTAATTCAATTCCATTGCATCTATTCTTGGCGAAGCCGCAGAGTGGTGAGATGATTTGGACTAATTCCAAATTTGATGCCTATCGAAGGAGCCAACCCCAGGAGCAAAGGCTGCGGGACCCGTGGCAGAACATTCATAGCAGCGAGCGCGAGCATATCAGTAGCCAATGGGCCAACGCCTTGCTTACAGGTGCACAGTTCACTGAAAGAGTACGGGTACGAAGATTCAATGATGAATCCGCATATCGCTGGTTCATCTTCCGGGCCAACCCCTTGCTATCCTCAACAGGAGAGGTGCTGTATTGGATTGGGTCTTTCCTTGACATTCATGAACAGCATATTGCTGAGCTCGAAGCAACCCAGGAAAGGGAGAAGTTTGCTATTGATGCAAAATATCGCGCGTTTTCCAATTCCATTCCGCAGGTTGTTTTCGAGGCGACGGAAAATCGTGGCTTAATTTTCGTCAACGAGCAGTGGAATCTGTATACAGGCCAAACACTCGAGGAGGCACATGATCTGGGTTTCGCGAAACATGTCCATCCCGATGATCTTGAAAAGTGTGGTGGGCTGTCTCTCAATAGAGCAGTCCACAGCCCAGATCAAGATGATAGCAAACGTTCTGAGTTCATGGTTGGCTCAGCCCTAGACGAACTCGTCAGACGTGGCGTTGCTTCTTTGCAGCAAGATGAGACTGGACGCGTCTTCTATTCCACGGAAATTCGCCTTCGTTCTCGAGGTGGTGACTTCCGGTGGCATCTGGTTCGTCTGGTCCGTGTGAAGACTGGCAGTTTCGGAAGCGAAGAAGCCTCCTGGTATGGAACCTGCACCGACATCAACGACCGCAAGAACCTTGAAAGAGAACTCAACAAGGCAATGCAACAGCTAAATAATCAAATGGAGTCGAAGACAAAATTCTTCAGCAATATGTCGCACGAGATCCGGACGCCGCTCAATGGAATCCTTGGTACCATTCCATTCATTCTGGACACGCAGCTCGATAGCGACCAGAGACGAATGCTTGACACCATTCAAAACAGCTCTACCAATCTCCGGGAATTGGTGGATAATATCCTTGATGTGTCACGCGTTGAAGCCGGCAAGATGGCAATGGTCAATTCATGGTTCCATGTACGGTCGATGATTGAGGATGTAATCGACACCATCGCCTCACGAGCGATTGACAAAGGCCTCGAAATCAATTACCTGATAGATGAGAATGTCCCATCGATGGTGATTGGAGATCGGTTCCGAATTCGTCAAGTCCTGATTAATCTCCTCGGAAACGCGGTCAAATTCACTGCGCAAGGTGAAATCCACATTTGCTGTGAGATGCAGCGTAATGCACCTCCTGGTTCCAACGATACCCAAGCATTTATGAACTTTGAGGTTGTAGACACCGGGAAAGGATTCAGTTCTCAGGATGCGGAACGATTGATGCAACGATTCAGTCAACTTGGCGAAAACGGGTCTCAACAACATGCAGGCAGCGGCCTCGGACTTTTCTTGTCCAAGCAACTTGTCGAAATGCATGGCGGCAAGCTCACACCCAGCAGCGAAGAAGGCCAAGGAGCAAAATTCTCGTTCAACGTCAAGGTTGATGCTCCTCCACCTCCATCGCCCTCCGAGCAACCCAAATTGATGCGTCAAAGTTCCACTGCTTCAAGACGACCAGTCAATTCCAGGACGACTTCTTATCAACAAGCACCGCCTCTGGCTCCCAGACACTCCGACTCGTCTACCAAAAGCTCCGAATCACGCCTTTCCGCCTCGTTCTCGATTACATCCTCTGCTCTTCCTACGCCGGATATTGGCTCTGTGCCCTTGCCGCCTCCGATGGATCAGACAAAGGCTGTGTCGCATATGCCAGATGCGGTTTCGGATTCACAAATCCAACCCGCCATCACCAAGCCCGATGCATCGACTGGGCGGGGTTCGCCTTTATCCCTAGCATCTGTATCCCCAGGCATATCGGGTGGGGCTGTACCAGTTCCATCAAATGGTCCTTTCTCCATCGTCATACTATGTCAGCTTAAGCATTCTAGAAAGGCCATCAAACAACACATCCAGCATGTTGTGCCTCACGAGATCCCATTCAAGGTGAAAACATTGCCCGATGTCGATGAGTGGAAAGATCTGATGCATTCCGCTTCCGATGCCCCGCAGTATACGCATCTAGTTTTAAATCTCCCAACTGATGATATCCTGGAAGTTATTAAAAGCGTATCTGACTCCGCGGTGGACCCTGCGCCTGTTGTTGTCATCATTGCAGACCTCTATCAAAAACGCCAGATCAGCACCCAAGTCAAAGAGCTGGCCTCTCTTGGAAAGCAAGTCTTCATTGTGCCGAAGCCCGTCAAGCCATCTGCTTTCTCGGCCATCTTTGACCCTGATAGCAAGCGTGAGCTGAGCAAAGATCGCAACCAAGACATGGCTCGGGAAATAAATAACAACTTCAAGACCGTCTCCAAGATGGTCAAGGAAGTGTTGGGAAATAAGGGCTACCGAGTCTTGCTCGTTGAGGATGACGAAACTAATCGCGATGTAAGTTGGACTGCGCTCAGCCCACCAAATTCAAATACTGACCGATTCCATTGCAGGTCATGTTGAAATACTTGGATAAGATCAAACTCATGTCGGAAACTGCTTCGAATGGGCTAGAGTGCACTAACATGGTGCTCTCTAAAGAACCAGGATATTATTCTCTTATTATTGTGGGTTTTCTTTGCCGTTTCCCTTTCCTGGCATGGCTAACATTTTCGATTCAGTGTGACATTCAGATGCCTATCAAGAACGGTTACGAAACCTGTAAAGATATTCGTGACTGGGAACAAAGGAATCATTATCCCCAGATTCCTATCATGGCTCTTTCAGCAAACGCTATGACTGATCAAATTGAAAATGCTGCTCGCGCTGGGTTCAATGATTATGTCACCAAGCCCATCAAGCACAACGAATTGGGCAAGATGATGATGGGACTTCTCGAGCCTGGTCGCCCACTTATGCTTCTCCGCGATCGTCTTGCTGCAGAGCATCAAAACTCTGCATCTGCCCGCCGCTAAGGACCTTACATGGTCCTAAACCTTCTACCTCCATCACTCCGGTCATCTTTTTGACCACAACCTTCTCGCTACTTACCTGGCATGTCTCTTGTTATATTATTATTGCTTTTCGGCCCTATATCTTCACTGGTTCTTGCATTCGAGTTTCTCACGACAGATCACGGAGCGAGCGATTTGCTGATTAGTTTTGGACGAACTGTGTTTTCGGATTTGGCGGTTTGCACCGAGGCATTTGGCATTTGAGCAGGCACATGCAGGCACACCTCAAATTTCCGCCTTTTGTTTATATTGCTCACACCTGGGCTCCCCATCATTCTGGGGACTTTTTGCAAAGTTCCAATGCCCTCTTTGCATATGTGTTTGGTCTTGAGCCGTTGACACTAGCCCCCAGCATTTGCATAGGGTCAGACGGACACTTGTGTTTATATCATTTTTTTTTTCACTTTGGTCGTTTACGAACCCAGATCTCTCCCAGTCTGCCCTCCGACCCTATGCATCTTGGCGTCAGTGCTATCATTCTTCCTTTGCCTTACTTTTGCAAAGGAAGCGGGATTTCTTTTTGCTCTCTTTTTCTGTGTTTTTCTACATTCCTGTGATACCAGATGTTATGAGCGTGTGACACCTATCTATATCTTCTGGATCTGTGTTTGTTAATAATTCAATCATTTTTTTCTTTCCGCTTACCTTTAATTCATCCTTTTACTATGGAGTTTGGGGCATATCGTACATGGGATACGACAGATCTGGTAGTATATACATTCACTTAGTTATGAGACGTTTAGAGTTACATTAATCTAACTTGCACTCGTATCAAGATAAAGCAGACATGATCTTAATGACATGCATTCGAATTAACGATCCTTCAATTTTTACATTACTCCCATGGATCGTGCATGGCTAGACTAAGTACTAAGGCCAAACACTCAAGTTTAGGCCAAGCAGACTGGAAAATACAAGGCATTAGGCATGAAACAGCGCATTTTAAGTCCATGTACCCAAGCCAATCGGATCGACGAGCTTACAGTCATGATTCAACCGTTGCAGCCACCAATTCTTAGATTCGAGTCGTATATGAAATGGAGGTTTGATAACAACACATATGCCTAGATAAGTATCGTATAGTAACTATAGTGTATATCCACAGAATAACATTGCAGAACTATGAAGAAAAGTGACCTAGAAGAATAAATTGCACAAGAATATGCTCAAAGAGGAATAGTTAGTATGAGTTGGCCACGACCAGTCAGGGCGCTGCATGTGGCGGTGAAGCCTCAACCCCACTTGTGCGTTGGAAAAAATAATTTGACATGGGGGGATTGGGATTGCGTTTATTGGAGTTAGAGTTGGAATTGTCGATCTGTAAGAGTTACGGCACATTGAAGCCATCGGCAATAATTGAGGGTCAAGTGGTCAATGAAAAACTACGTGGTTTTCGAATATTCGGACCAAAACAGTGGGCTCGTGTAACCAATCCAAGAGAAATTTGTTGGCATGTATTATCGTAAGATAGCCTTGATGGGGGGATCAAGAAGTTAGTAGAAAGACTGTTATATTGTGAAGTAAGAGAATGTGGCCTTTCCAGAAAGTTTATGTTGTGCGTCATTTGTTGCCTGTCCGATGTCAATCTGGCTAAGCAATCGGGCTCAATTTTCGCTGATTCGAAACGAATGATACGACTGTGAGATTCTGAGGGGTTGAGATTGCAAATGAGAGTTTCACAGGGCTTGGTAGCATTGTGTTGGGTTGACGGGGCATATTGTGAGTCGTCAGGCAAGGCATGCATGCTAGTCAGGCTTTTTGAAAGTGAGGTATTAATAATGGACAAGGGCCCGAAGAAGGGCAGATAACAAGGCAGATCCAGACTAAACATCCGGGACTCGAAGGGTATGCCCTGTACTCTATAAGGAAGAGCCTTCTGGTTCCCAATGGTATCCCACCTCGTCGGGACTGCATGGTATTGATGTCAGCAAGTATCTGGGACCAATGAACAAGGAGTTCCATGCGGCACGTAATTTCTCAAATTGGATATCGGATAGCTTGCAGAGAGATCCCGATTTTTATACATGCCCCGTAGCTATAAGCAAGTCATCGGCCATCTGCATAGAGTGGGGAGCCATGGTATTTTCCCACGTTCATGGGCGTCTAGAGCGCTTGCCAATGCAGCAATATTCTCTTCTCTGGTATCAGAGGTCTTGACACCCATTGGTGGACCCATAGGGGAGGGGACTTTTCTTCGTGTACAGCATAAATAGCCGCATCCAGGCGAGTAAATGGATCAAGGGTCAACGGCTGGTTGTTTTTTTAATATTTTTTTTCTCCTTCGTCTTCTCGTCATTCGACTAGGACATCTCACATATTCGTCGTGCATGTAGGTATTTTGCTTATATATTGCCGGGATGATTCTTGTTGACACCTTGCACCACGAGAAGCATGGGCTCACGCATTCAGCTGTAGGAACAGTGCTCCCTTCGAATCATTGCTCATCTTTCCACAGTTCTTCGGTTCATGCAGTGATGTCCAACATTGATCTTCCGTGTGACCCTACTCCCTCGTTTGTGCAGCCGATCCTCGTTTTTGGGCTTTTGGGCTCCGAAATGATGTAAGGCCGTAAGACATTTGGTTTTTTTCCAACTTTGCGGGATGAAAGTCGGCGATGAATTAACCGCTGTTGAATTGAACTACCCATTCCATTGTGAGTAAATAAAATTGAAAGGTCACTAATGATATCTTTAGTCTCAAACAATTAGAAGGGAAATATATGTCATAGCCACTTTGTAGTTCGCCTTATCTCGGAACGTCTAACGAATCAATCCTGATTGTCGAACCAACATCTTCCCAGCCACCGAATTTCCGAAGAAAAAATCATATGTTCAACGGGGGCATGGTTGACAAAATGGGAACTGAAAAGTGACAGGAATCGCAGAGAAAAAAAAAAGAAAATTTCAGAGGAGCGAGGACCGGAAAGCCTATATTTATACCTCATCTCTCTTCCCCCGACTCCACTCAACCTACCATCCTCAAACCCACCCTTCATTGCATTTCTAGCCAATTCCTGAATATTATCAGTATGCGCTTGGGCCTGAAAAGTTAAACCAAATGGAGACATGTAGATCGAGACCGGTTTTGCACCAAGCCGCCACGTTACGGCGGAAACCCTAGTGGAGGATGGCTGGCCTCCTCGGCCAGACATATTGAGCCTTGTTTCCGCTCTGAGCGGGGTTAAGGCGGTCCAAGAGGCAAATTGGCGGGCAGATACGGAGACAGGTGCAGATGGAGCTCGGGGATTGGGAGCACAGAGGAGGGGTGCGAATCAATGTGCCCCAAATGGCCCAATGGCTCATTCGAGGCCTTTACATCCTTGCCAGCACACTCGCCTCTTCTGTCAGAATGGGAACGTCCGCCGGAGAGAAGACTTCCCGCAGAAAGTTATAAAGTCCCCCGTTTGGCCCGAGCGAAGTTGTTCTTCCTTTCTCTTCCTTTCCCATCACTCCTAGTTGGGCTCGTTTGCAAATTCCTCTAAGACATCTTCACCCACCTTCTTGCTTCACCTTATTTCACTGAAGACTCTTGAGGATCTTACTTCCTCTTTGCTTCATTATAAACTTGCTATCATAGCAGTCAATTAGCACCATGGCCACCCAGCATTATTACCAGGCTGATCCCTACCTACAATACCAATCCAAGGCATCAGCACCAGCGGCAAGCCCACCAGCAAACTACCCATCGTCAGCATATCGCCCCTACTATCTGTTTGAAGCTGGGAGACCTTCGTCCCCTAGTCTTGTTTCGTCCGGCGGACACACTTTCAGCTCTGCTAGTGGCTACCATGAGTCCAGCTCTGCATCCTACTCTGGCGTCGATCTCCGCGGGGTTCTGAGCGACCGCATGCAAGATATATATGATCCAATACCGTTGGACAAAGGCCTGGCAGAACAGGCACAAACGTAAGTGTCTCTGCAGCAAAAGCACTATTGGCGAGTTTTCAGACCGCCGATCATCATTCGGAGATTCTCAGTGGAGAGCGGGCCGGAAAACCCTCATTATTGGCGATCTTGAAGCTAACGACGTTATAATATCTAGCTCTGGTCGGCTAAACGCAAAGCAGCAAGAACTGCTTGAGCTCCAAGCTCTAGCACAGCGAAGACTGAAAAACGTGCGCTCAAATTTCAACGAAGGCCTGAAAACGGCACGAGAGACAAAGCGCGATCTCGAATGGACTGAAAAGCGCGTCAGGTAAGCATGCGAACCCCTAATTTCCCTATTCCTAAAACGATGGACGTGCAAGTTCCGCTCCGCCCGCCACAGGGGGCTTCCGCTCCGCCGGGTGAGCTTGGCACGTGCGCGTCGATCAGCGTTGTCCCTGCGCCGTTAGCGCCTTGTGGGGCTTTAGAAGGCTGACAGACGCGGCCCAAAATAGTGCCCTGAAGACTAAAGCCGAGAAATTACACCCGGAGGAATACCGTCGGTCTTCGAAGAAGTACACCTATGACGGATACTAATCGGGCTGATCTGGCGGGCTTCTTGATGACTGATAAGGTGATACGAACAGACAAAATGTGGATCTTTGTGACTGGGATGGGAGGGATGGCTTTTTCTTTGTTACCACTTGGGTTTGGTGGGTTTCTGCCTTGTTTTTCTGGGTTTGTGTATATTTGGATGGGTAATTTGTGTATCTCAACGTATAGTAGAGAGAATTTTATTATGGTACTGGGTTTACCAAAGTTTCTTTAGTATGGACTATCAAGGTTTTGCTTGTAGACGTGTCATATCAGACCCTTCAGTTACTATAGCAATGTAAGAGGTGTAAGAGATCTCGTTCTTTTCGAAAAACATGACATGCTGGTCTCAATAAATCGACCGGCTTTGCTGATTCTGCTATGTCACGAGACAATTTGTTGTCTACATTGTAGATATACTTCTTATCGTAGATCATCCTTATATGCTTATATGTAAACCTTTGATATAAGCTTCTCATTCCTTTATGAAATCGTCCGTAGATTTAGTGTGTTTACTGCGAGTGTTAACCTGTTTCACAACCTTAGGTTGAATGCTAACAAGTAGCCACTATCTTACTCATAGTGAGCAGTAGTACTAGTTCATTTCCTTTATGTTGTTAATGGTCAGTTCATGTATTTTACTATCGATAAGCCGTTAAATTATAGGGCTCTTAGCCTAGCTTCAATCAATGCGAACTAGCTACAGAGTATCCTAATCATCACTTCCTGTTGATTTAGGTTTAATCTTGGATAGCGCGAACGATCTACTTACCCGCTGTCTAACCTCTTTAGAGGAAGGTACATTGCTAATACAACCAGTACTCTAATATATATCCCTTTAATTCATCTCCGCCCCAACGATCATTTCGGCAATAAATCTGTTATAGTTGGGTAGCTTACTAGGTCTATCAAGGATTCATATTCGTATGGCCTCTGATATAGTAGATAACGATGGAGATAAATAAAAGTAGTAACGCAGTTCACAAGCGAGCTGCGCAGTTGAATAGACATTGAATACGGAATATTCAATAGCCATATCTCAACGAACGCACTCTTGGTTTGTGCCATTGCTCGTCGATAGAGATGTATGAGTATTTTTAGTATTAGGTATTGAAAATTATTAGTTTCCTATCGATCGAAAAAATAGATTGTTGAAATACTTAGATGTGGTTCCTCGCATTTACGATGTGTATTGGACTGCGTAGCTTACTTGTGAAATAGGTTAATCAAATTACTATAATGGAGATCAGATACTTGATGAGTCCGGTAATACTTAAGATCCTACAGAGTCGACAAATAGTAGACAACATAAAATAATAATAGAAGACTTACTGCTACATAGGGGTTTGATCAATACTTAAAGTAGGGCTTCATAACTTGATGAAGCTTGGGATAGCCAATAGTACATACGTGATACCAACATGTCCAACAACGGCCTCTTATGTCCATATGTCATCATAGATCTCGAAATTAAATAGTTGATTCATCTTTGTATAAGAGAATAGTTCATTAGGGAGACCTCGCTGGAGCTAAGTCAATTGAGGGTTGATTGTTTATGGCCGGAAGCGCGATCTGGAAAACTACATGTGTCTAGTAGGGAAGTCAAGTTAGAAGTCATCCAGACAACGTTGAAAGTTTAGTTCTCGTTCTAAAGTTAAGGATTTGGTTTGTTTTTCGCTAAGGAGTACGGAGTATACACATGCATAAATGGTTTAAATCTCTTAATAGGCACTGGGCTGTCCTTTGGTTTCCTTCCATATGAGTATTTTAAATGTATATATGTATTACACAGTTCAAAACACCATACGAGGAGTTTGTGATGCCTGGAACGCCTATGTCCTTTCTTTTTGGCTATGTTTTCAATATAGGAATAGGCACACGGAAGCAGTTGTTAGTTTCTCATGTACGCTATTTGAATATTAAACTATAATCCAAATTCTAGTAAATCCCACAGAGAGGTTATCGAGACATCTTATTTACTGAAAGCTCTGCTCTTCCTCAATAGCACGGTTGATAACGCGAACAAAACGGCCGACCTTGTCAGAATCCTGTTTGGCGGTCTCAATACCCAAAAGAATCTTCTTGATACCAACGCTTAAGCGGCCGTCATCTGCGAGGCCACCGACCGACCCCAGGGCTTGCGCAATCTCCTGCGCGTCAAAGTCACCCGATTGCTCCATGACATGGCGAAGTTCACCAAAAGAGCTGACGTTAGGGACCATGATATCGGAATTGAAAGAGTTATAGATATCCAATTGCTTCATCAAAGCACGTTCAGTGGTCGTGGCGAGGACCAACAAACGACGTCCGTGTGTAGGTTGCTTCCTTAGGAAGACCATGAGAGTCTGCAGCACACTGTTGCTGAAGCGAGGCCCAATGGGCACCCAATCGATGATTCGCTCGATATTATCGATAACAACGATACTCGTGGTACTTTTATAGGCACTATCAAAGATTCGGCTGATGTGCGCGATCTTTGCTGCCTCATTGAAGCCAACCATATCCTCTGGGCTGATCAACTTGATGAAAGGGAAGCCAGAGTCAATGGCGATCTGTGCCGCCAAGGCGGTCTTGCCGCTGCTAGGCGGGCCATGGAATAGGACAGAGAAAAGCGGTGTTGATTGAGCCTTGCCAACTTGCTTGACGAACAGCTCACCTTCCCGCAGAATTTCGCTGATGTTTTGAGAGTAGTGCATGATTCCATAAGCAATGCGACTGGACAACTCCTCTTCAGAGACACCAAAGGCAGGCTTGACTTCATCGAGAGATTGAAGGAAATCAGCCCGTTTAACCTTCATGTTGACGACATCGTCATCGATGCTAGCCATAGTACCGACTTTGACATGGCGCGAGAATGCAAAAGATGAGGCAGATTTAACCAGACCCGCGATTTCAGCACCGGAAAAGTTCTTGGTCAAGTGAGCAAGTTCGGCCAAGTCCACATCTGTATCCATGACGTTGTTGTTTCGCATCTTCTCCGTGTGAATGTTGAGAATTTGGCTTCGACCGTGCTCGTCTGGAAGCGAGATTTCCATGTGCACCTCCAAACGACCGGGACGCAGCAAGGCCTCATCAATCATATCCATTCGGTTAGTCATACCGATCAATAGAATGTTGTTCAATTGATCGACACCATCAAGCTTCGAGAGAAGCTGGTTGACCACACTATCACCAACACCGGTACCACCGCCGGCTCCACTGCCACGCTGCTTGCACACTGCGTCAAGCTCATCGAAGATGATGATGTGGAGGCCACTTTCGTCGCCCTTTTGTTTATACTCTTGCTCGGCATCTGCAAACAACTTTCGGATGTTCTCTTCAGATTGGCCGACGTACTTGTTTAGGACTTCCGGGCCGTTTATAATCTTAGGCTCTCTGGCATTGAGCATCTTTCCAATTTGCCGAGCGATCAAAGTTTTACCCGTTCCCGGTGGTCCATAAAGCAGAAGACCTTTGACATGCTGAATACCAAGTTTTTCAACAAGTCCGGGAGGGAAAATTCGAGACGCAAAAGCGCGGCGGAAAATTGTACTAAATTCAGCGTCCAAACCACCGATACCCATATCCTCAAACTTGAAGCCGGGTTGAATGATAGAGTTGGCCGCTGGGCGGCGGTTAGATGGCTTCACATTGATGCCCGTCTTGGAATCCTTGTAAAAGTTGAACTGAGTGTGTCGTGTAAGGATACCCCTGGCTGTGGGATTCGTCTCGACATCGCCAGAGCTTTTTTCTGATGTCAGGTCAACCCGTTGAACGGTCTTCACCTGTAACAAGAGTGGAATGCTCTTGTTATCCATCAAAATCCTCTGTCCCGGTGCGAATAGTTGGTTCTCGAAGTTCTGGGGCTGTCAGCAGGAGTTTCTCACGTTCAAGAAGTCAACTTACTTTGATGACAGCCTGTGCCAATTCATCCTGATCATAAGGGGTTTCGGGCCGCTTCTTGGGCAAAGAAGATGCAAAGCTAACTTCGATATCTGCGGATCCGAGGTAGGCTTGCCCACCCTGACTGAAGGGATCATAGATTTGTACCTTTACGTCATCTCTAATTCCGATATTGGCCCATGTTCGCTGAGCATCAGACATGCCGATGAAACCAGGAGGACAGCCTTCATTAGGGCCAGAAGGTCCTTCGAAAGGGCGAGCGGAAAAGACGAAGAGGTCATTGACAAGAAGAAAGATGTCGGTGCCATCTCGGGTGGGTTTGAATTCCTGGGATGAAACAGCAACGCTGAGCTGTATGTTAGCAAATGGGAAAGATGTAGACAGGGAATACCCACAGGTTACCAAAGGTGTAGTATTCGTTGGGGCTCTTTCTCGGGTGAAGAGTCCAAGTCCGGGCTGCGCCATTGTGTCCGGCTGGCATCCTAGATGGCATTTGCTGGGGCGGCGGGCCTCCGTGTCCACTTTCATCATCAAATTCATCAGTCATCGATACATCGTCACCGCGGACAGGAGCCGCATAGCCTGCGCTGGAAAGGGGGAAGCGATCGCTGTCATACCGTGGGGGGCCTTGGTTGGGACTCGAATAGCCCTGCGTGGAGGGTTGTCCACTGGAACTGAACGGGTTCGGAATATTTCCGCGATTGAACATGGTGAATCTTTCGGACGCAGTGAATCGAAATGGTTGAAGTGAGGGCTGTCAAAGCTATTTTAGGCCACTGTGTCGGGAAACCAGCAGGCAACTAGGTAAGCCGTTCCTGTGCAGCGCAGTCACCTCAGTGTCAATTATCCAAATGTTATCCTGAAGGGTTCTATCAGCAGATCGATACCCAAAGTCAGACGAATTTATAGAGAAGGTAAGAGAGTTGCATCTGTAAAGCTATTGGGGGGCACTTTGGCCACCCGGGAACAGCGTCGGCCCGGGACGTCATTATTGATAGCTCTGCTATCGTAATTCAACTTCATTCAAGGCTCCACCATTTTCAAACATGCCTCTGTAAGTAGATGTTTCCTCAAATTAGTTCTGAGAAAGCTAGCTAATACTGCTATTTTAGCCATCTCCTTGGCAAAAAGTCCTGGAATGTCTACAACTCCGATAATGTCGCCCGCGTGAAGCGCGACGAAGCACAAGCGAAGGCTCGCGAAGAAGAGGATGAACGTCTCATGCAAGAGGTTGATGCCGAGCGCAGGATAAAAATACTTCGCGGTGAACGACCATCTACACCTCCACCGCCGCCCTCCCACCCATCGTCCGATCCAGCGCGTGTGCAAGAGCGGACGACCTCGGACGACACAAGGAATTATCGCAAGAGAAGGCGCATCGCCGGGGAAAATGACACCGATCGAGATATACGATATGCTCGAGAAGATGCGGCTCAAGCAGTTGCTAAACGTGAGGAGCTCGCGCTAGCCTCTCACAAGGCTAGTACCGGTTCAGCAGAGGTACCGATCATAGACAGCGCCGGCCATATAAACTTGTTCCCATCTACAAGTGCTAAATCAAATAAAAATGCCGAGGCTGAGGCCGAAGCAGCGCGGAAAAAACGCAGCTATGAAGACCAATACACAATGAGGTTTTCCAACGCAGCCGGATTCAAAGAGACCATTGGCCGGAAGCCATGGTATTCCTCTACAGACCAGGATGTGAGAGCCCCCGGATCAATGCCCGATAAAGATGTGTGGGGCAACGAAGACCCAAGGCGCAAGGAGAGGACACAGGCCCGCATGAGTGCGAGTGATCCACTTGCAGCTATGAAGCGGGGTGTCCGACAATTGAAGACATCAGAGCAAGAGCGGAAGCGCTGGAACGACGAAAGACGTCGGGAAGTAAAGGCTTTGAAAGCCGACGAGGAAAAACAGTCTAACCGTCGACGGAAGCGATCTGGATCAATAGATAGCCTTGATGGCTTCAGCTTAGATGCGCCGGGCAAAAGAGTCAACAAAGATCGAAGAGCTTCTGATGGGCACCATCGCCGCCATCACGATCGCAGTCATGATCGACCTCATCGTCGGAATCACGATAGAAGTCGAGAACACTCGCATCGTTGTTCTGAGCACCACTCTTCTGATCACAGCCGTCATTCTCGTCACGACGAATCTCGTGAAAACTACAAACGTTGAAACAATCTCCCAAAATTAATGATCGTTTCTGATTACTTATGCGACAGAATCATGACTTTAAATATTACCACGATACCCAATTGCGTATCTTTTTGAATGCAATAACATTTCTATATCCATTGGGCTACAAGAGAAATACCCAAATAATCCTTATTTTTATGCAAGTAGTCACATGCCTTCCTCAATTCATCAGAAACGTACCAATAGACCGCAAGGGACTATTGAAGACTCCAAAGTTGGATGCCCTTCTCGCCGGCGTCAGACTCCCACTGCACACTGATGTCCACTCCCCGAGAGCCCTTCTCAGTCTTCTCATATCCGACCTTGCCGGTGATGACCTGACCCTTCTTCAAGGCCTGAGAACCTTGCTTGGCGTTGTCCTTGGCATGGTCAATGAGAAGGATGGTCTGCTGCCAATGAGTCTCAGTCCCATGAGGTCCAGTGGTGAATGAAACGACGCCCTTCTTTGACATTTCTGAGGGAATGGCATTTTCAGGAAGGATAGACTCTCTGGATGGCATGAAAAAGATGTCGAACCAGATGGCCCATCCATCTAATGCATCAATATCCTGGTCCAATGTGACCTGGAATTCCTTCAAGAACGACAGTTCCTCGACGGTAATGGTGTGTAGCGGGAGCGTCAAGAAGATTTGGGACTCTCCGACAACAGTTGCAGGCTGGTTGCTGCGGACCACAGCTTCGTCGTAAATCTTGTGAAGCATGCTATCCATCTTGAAGCCATAAACATTGTTCCAGAACGAGATATGCGATGCGATAAAGTCTGGATCAGCGAAGGGAGCAAGGCGCAGTGTGGCATGCGAGGGGGCCATGAGACCACCTGGCACAAGGTAACGATCTCTGGCATAGATGACGGAATCAAACATGGCCTCGAACAGGAGACCGTAGCCCATCCATTCGGAGATAATGATGTCGACCTTCTCGACAGGAAGGGTGACCTCTTCGATCTTGCCACGAATACAGCTAGAGTATAGTCAGTGCTGGAATCTCCGAGTGGAACATATGCAAAACATACGTGATAACGTCACCGAGCCCGTTATCGTGAACAATTTCCTTGGCTCTATCAATGATGTTCGAGTTGTCCACGGCGATAACCTTCTTTGCGCCAGCCTTGGCGCAGAACATGGACAAAATACCAGTTCCACACCCGACGTCGAGGACCACCTTGTCTTTGAAAACATGCTTGTTCTCATATACGAAATCACGGTAAGAGTCAGTGCGAACAGCATCCTTGAGCATAGACTCGTGAATGGCTTTGGTCTATGTTAGCAGTGAGTCCATTTGCTCGGTTAGACAGTGAGTCTTACCATTGTAAGCGTACGAGACGAAATAACCATCATCAGCCTCCTGAAGCCTGTCAATGGCATGGGCCGAGGGCTTCGGGGTAGCTTCAGCAAGCTTCTCATCTTCCTTCGACAATTGGTCGTCCATTGACTTCTGCACAGCAATGCGGTATTCGGAGAATTGGTTCTGCAATTGTTCCAGCTGCTCCTGGAGCTCAGTAACTTCTCGGTTTGTCTGGGCACTAGGGGTAGATTCTTCGCCCTGTTCTTCGGTAAGATCATCCAAGCTGTACAAAAGAGCATCGTCCTCCAAAACGGGCTTCAGGTAGGCATCATCCTCAAACTTAGACTTGGAGGACACATCCGGGGTTTTGTTTCCGTTCTTCACTTCAGTTCGGACATAATTGACCAGTTTAATGCTATCAAGAAAGTCCAAATCTGAAGAAAACACGTTGTTAGCATCATAAACTTGTTTGCGCCTCGACGGAATGTCTTAACGTAAAACCGAAGACTGGACATACCAAGATCTTTTTGGATCTTCAGCAAGTCAAAGTTGAACTTTTCCTTGCATTCCTTGAGCATTGAGCGCGCATCTGGGTATTCATGGTCCGAAAAGAGCCCAATCACGGGCTGCGACTCCTCCTCGGGTTCAACATCTTCCCAACCTTCTTCGTTGCTGGTATCGGATGAATCGGACACCGAGTGGGAATCGGGGAAACGCTCACCCACAGGTGGGTTCATGGTATTGGCAGCAGACATAACTGTCTCTAATCAATGGGGCAGAATTGTTGGAAAAGGCCAAAGAAACGTGGAGGGGGAGGGGCAGAGATAGTAATTTCGATAGAAAAAAAATCCGTTATCAGTTATCGGTGGAGGCCTCAGGCATGAATCCCGTTGCCCCGCCCCAGGTTTGTTTATTCCTTGCAGTCGAATACATCACATTTGTTCCTATGGAACATCGACTCCGATCCTCCCTTCGGTTGGAATTGCAACTTGATTTTATGTCACCTTGATCTCCAGTTTCTTTCTCAATCTCAAACATATTCTCGTCTCGCCATGGCTTTCTTTTTCAACCGCGGCCGGTCGCGCCAGCCCGCTGAGATCGTCCGATCAACGAAGGAATTGTTAGTGAGGATCCATGATTCTCAAAATGCCCCAAAGGTTCGTGGCGGTCTCCCCTTCGAAATGATATTCAACTCACGGATTGAGTAGGCCGAAGAAGAGCTCGCCAAGCAACTCAGTCAAATGAAGGTGATGGTACAAGGAACCCAGGGTCAGTCTCTCAGAAGCCTCGATAAACATCAAGGAGCTAACCATTGGATTTGTTCGCTTATAGAGGTCAATACATCACCTGAACAGGTCCACGCTCTTGTCCAAGCGACCCTTCAAGAAGACCTGCTCTTTGATTTATCTAAAAGCATTCATTTACTCCCGTTCGAAGCCAGAAAAGATACGCAAACAATATTCTCCCATATCCTTCGCTTTCGACCTGTCTCATATGCGAGTGATAAAGATCCCCCCGTCATTTCATATCTCGTTCATCATCGGCCAGAAATTATCGTAGAGCTATGTCGAGGCTATATGCAAAGCCAGAGTGCAATGCCATGTGGTGTTATCCTCCGAGAGGCATTAAAGTTTGACGTGATCACCGCGATCGTGCTATATGACCAGTCTAGTGAAGGAGAGTCCGCTATACGACTATCGGAGGTGAAACCGAACCTCCCACAAAGAGGAGATGGCGTGTTTTGGCGATTCTTCGACTGGATTGACAAGAGCAATTTCGAAGTGAGCGCAGATGCATTCACGACTTTCAGAGTAGGACTTCTCTCAGAATATCACGACAACACTAGCTAATTTTATCTTCAACAGGAGATTGTCACTCGCCATAAGAGCCTCGTGACTTCATACTTGGCCACCAACTTTGATCTTTTCTTTGGGCGATTCAACAACATTCTTATCCATTCAGACTCGTACGTGACCAAACGGCAGAGTATAAAGCTCCTAGGAGAGATCCTTTTGGATCGTGCGAATTACAATGTTATGATGGCATATGTGGAGAGTGGGGACAATTTGAAGCTCTGCATGAAGCTGCTGCGCGATGACCGCAAGATGGTCCAATATGAAGGATTCCATGTTTTCAAAGTAGGTCTACCCTCAAATTGCAAAGAAAATAGGGGCTCGCTCTAACAAGACAATAGGTATTCGTGGCCAACCCGACCAAGTCGGTACCGGTACAGCGGATCTTGATCAACAACCGTGATCGATTGTTGAGATTTCTGCCTAAATTCTTGGAAGACCGGACTGATGACGACCAATTCACGGACGAGAAAAGCTTCCTGGTTCGTCAGATCGAGCTGCTACCCAAAGAACCTGTGGATCGAGCTCGACCCTCGCGCGACTCGCCATCTGCTAGCACGGCAGCTGTGGCTTAGGTCGAATCTAATGCTGGGTCATTGGATTGATATTTTCATGCCCTAATGACACCTTTATGCTGGTTTTGTGGTTGTATTCCGATTCTAATTGCATTGACTGCATTGACAGCTGATGGCCTACGAGTTTTCTTAGCCTCGGCTACTGGAGTTCTACGCGTTTTGTACATTTTGAGGCGTATAGCTGGGAGAATTAGGGTTTCCTTTGCATCTACCCAGGGTAGTAAATAACTTTTTGGCTCCATTGTGCAGCTTTCTACAATATTGTAGTATATAGTATATAGGAGGGAAAAGAAGACAAAAAAACACTGAACAATTGTCCTTCAAACCTTTCAGCCTAGATCCCCCTGGGTACGTCCATGACATTGTTTTTCTTAATTAATCTTAGCACAATACTTAGCGTACTCCACAATACTCCTTGTCCTTGTCTTGATCCACTGCGACGCGGCCCATGAAAAAGGTGGGATGTGAAACTCCCCTCGATATTTAATTTGGTCTATTTTGAGAGATTGACATACGAAGAACCTTTGAAAGAGTAAATTGGTTTATTAAAAAGAACAATAAAAATACTAGTAAATTCAATATGTTAACTACATCCATTGTATGGTATATGTAACTATTTATACTTCTGAAATGATATAGTCTAAGTGCCAAGACTCCCCCCAAATATACTCCACTCTTCCTTACTCTCCTGGACCTCAATTTTAATCTTGAGCCTTTTTGACCCTGAAGAGGTTCTCATTCTCATGCTTGTTGTTTAGCATTTGTCACTCCTTTGTTTGTCTTTCTAAATATTCGTTTAACCTTTTTCCCTGTCTTCGCCTTCGCTCCGCCTCTCCCTGCGCGCACTCCTTTTTGACCCTTGCGATTCTAGTATCCCCACGCGACGATTCGCAAGCCATGCCGGGATAATGGTGAATGAAGTATATGCATCGTTATCACCCGACCGGTCGGAATCCCAGACAATTCAAGCGGTGCCCTTCGAAGATACCGTCGTTGTTGGTACCCCTCTTGCGATCCGGTCGGCCTCGTTGCCCACTCCAGCCGATGCGCCAACAGGTCCCAATGGCAGATCTTTAAGCACGAGCGCTGCGTCAACTGGCCCGTTCAACAATCTGGCACCCGCACAATCATTCTCACGGCTTACACCATTCACGGCTACCGGGGATGAAACCCGAACGATTAGATCGGAGGGCCCACCCTCGTTGCGCAGCGTGCCCAGCATTGTTGTTAACGAACCAGAACCCCGTCCTAGCTCTCGGCCAGGCTCTCGGCCAGGATCTCGCTGGTCAGAACGCAAATGGGGTGGATTGAGGAAACGATCGATGGAGATGGACAGGAAATTAAGCTCGGAGGGATCGCCTCCGCCGGTGCCTCAGATCGGACGCTCATTTGCTGGCATTCCCCTGGATATACCAACGTCATCCTTCGATGGCCTAGACAAGTCGATGAAGTTTTCCAACCGCGGAAGTTTGATCAAGAGTGAATCTAAACGTCCACGCCCAAAGACGCCCAAGGAGAAGCTAGAAGAGCACCCAGATCAACAGCTAGATCAAGCACTGCAATCGCGGAAGGAAAAGTGCCATAATCAAGAATTAGATCAACTGCCGCAGGAGAAATCGGGCGATAGCCCGGATCGACAATTGAATCGACATACCCCTGAGTTGATGCCGTCTCCTTCCATCACAACCACTCAGCCTGAGGGAGAGAATAGAGCACCAACAGTGGTGCCGCGACGCGCAAACCCCCATAGTACTCTTCGCCCAAGACAGACAAGTCTTCCAAGCAGGGCCATCTCGGCAGACGAAGAAATGTTGTCGCGGCGAGTTCGATTAATGTACGAGAAGGGTGAAGAAAATGTCACTGACTCCGAGGTCGCGAAAGCATTTGCATCTGAGAATGGTGTTTTGTGGGAAGAGGGTGCGGTTACAGACAACGAGGCATCCGAAACACCTGTCGCCCAGAGAAATGAGGCTGAGACCGAACCAAAGCCAAGAGCGTCAGCCGAAGTTGAGCGTCGTCGAATTAAGAGAGAAACTCAGGAGTTAGCAGGGGGTGCTGAGTACTGGCAAAATGTCACCGCTGAAGAAGTTGACCGTTATGGATTTATTCGTCCTGCGACAAATTCGAAAGGCTCTGAGATCAACCCTCTTCAACGAGTCACAACCAGCCTTCTGTTGGCTTCCGAGACACCTCGACGGAAACGCTCCATTCGTCCGCCAACCGCTCCGGCCAGCAATCGTTCTTTTAACGGACCTTCTTTAAGACGCAAAATATCTCAGAACTCTCTGGGCAATCGCCCCTCTTCGTCACAAAGCAATTATAGTGCGCCCTTGCGTCGCTCAACCTCTCGTCTCCGAACTGCGACCAATCGTCTCCCTCATAATCGCGATCGTAAAGCCAAAGATGAGGCGGCTGACATGCTCACTTTGCCCACCGATTCTGTTCCTGGCGAGAAAGAAGATACCCCAGCCACTCGTGCAACACGGAAAAAGGAGTGGCAGCGGGAAGACAAGTGGACTAAGATGGCTAAACCAACCAAGAAGACCAAAGACGGCGGCGGTATGACTTTTGAGTTCGACACACAAAGCTCAAAGTTGATCGAGCGGACATGGAAAGGTATTCCAGATCGGTGGCGGGCAACAGCGTGGTATTCATTTCTTCAGGCTAGTGCCAGACGCCACGAGGGCAGTCCGCCAGAGGATGAGCTCATTGTGGCCTTCAATGAGCTCCAGTACATCTCATCGCCTGACGATGTTCAAATTGACATCGATGTCCCGCGAACCATATCCAGCCATATCATGTTTCGGAGACGGTATAGAGGTGGTCAACGATTACTCTTTCGCGTTCTCCATGCTATGTCGCTGTATTTTCCGGACACTGGCTACGTGCAAGGTATGGCGGCTCTCGCAGCTACTTTACTGGCATATTACGATGAGGAACATGCTTTCATCATGCTTGCCAGGTTGTGGCAATTGCGCGGCCTGGAGGAACTATACAAATCCGGTTTCGCTGGTCTAATGGAGGCTTTGGCGGACTTCGAGCGGGAGTGGATGGCCGGAGGCGAGGTGGCCACAAAGCTGGTAAGTGAACATCCCAAAGCACATGAAATAGGTTCTAACAACTTGTCCTCCAGAATGAGGTTGGAATTCCACCCACGGCTTATGGCACCCGTTGGTATCTCACCCTTTTCAATTATTCAATTCCTTTCCCGGCTCAGCTTCGAGTCTGGGACGTTTTCATGCTTCTTGGAGACGCCGAAGACAGTACTGGTCGGCCCGCAACCTCTTCAGGGAAGAACAAAGATTCTTTTGACAATCCAAGGACATTTGGTCAAAGTCTTGACGTCCTGCACGCTGCCTCTGCTGCCCTTATTGATGGCATGCGTGACATTATCCTCGAATCTGACTTTGAGAACATCATGAAAGTTCTCACCAGTTGGGTTCCCATCAAAGATACCGAGATGTTCATGCGTGTCGCCAAAGCCGAGTGGAAGGTCCACCGCCGCAAGAGACATGCTTAATATCCGTGGGCACTGACACTTGTCCTTGAACCATTCATTAATTACTACCCTACAATGATTGGCCCTTTGGGTGTGCTATACCCTAATGATCACAAATCGCACCCTGGGGCATACAACCCTAATGCCCTTCAATCTATACCCTATTCATTGGGATTCGAGACTTCTCCTATCCAGGTGGCCGATTTGTCTGAATACCCTTCTTTGGCTTTCCGTCACTTTACGTTCCTTCCCCAATTTTCTACCACATTCTCCTGGATACAGATATATTTGATGACTATTGATTCTCTGTCTGGTTTTCTTCGATGATACCTATCCTCATGCCCTTTCCTACTTTCTTTTGGGCTTCCGCCTTTGTTCCCCTTTGTCCATTCTCGGATACTCATGTACATTAATTTGGCGACTAGCTCCGCTAATTCTTCCTCCTTGTCCCGAATCTAGCTGGTCTGAGGTGTGTTTTATTGGCACTAGGAGGTTTTGAAGCTTTCCTAGCCAATGAGATCAACTGTTAGGTGTTGATCGTGATGGTCCACCTCATTCCCATATAATGATTAAGTGTAATATCCCTTGGGGACAGCTTATCTGCTACCCAATAATCAATCAATGATTCCAGTTGATATTATCTTCTCATAGGTGGTAAAACCAGAGCTGAAGTCTCAAAAAGCTTTTATGAAACAGTTTTGTAGTACAGTCCCTAATGGCGGTCCATCATAGTATCTATCCCAGTAGCCCCTTTCCAGATTTGGCTCCCAGGTTGCCCTTATCGACATAAGTCTCTTTCAACCAGTCCCTAGTAGTGTTATTCAAATCAAGCTGCTCGGTATACACGACTTCAATAATGTGCACAGTATCCAGGCCAACAGTATCCATCATCTGAAAAGGACCTTTGCCTACCTTGACCCAACCTTTGAACATCTCATCAACAGTATGGCCATCGCTCACACCTTCAGCGAGAACAAGCAAAACCTCTCGCTTGATTGATGCTCAAATTCGATTGAAACCCAAGCTCGTCGATTCAACCTTGGCATGCACAGGCTTGAAACCCGCAATCTTAGCCTTCCCCATCAAATAGGGAAAGATATCCGGGTCCATCTCGCCACACGATATGGCCTCGTAGTAGATCTGCTCAGGCGGCATGTAATAGTGGCCGTTGCAGATGCGGTAGTTGTTCTTCGTTGTGACGATAACCTGGCTGGTCGGCAGCGACGACGAGTCGCTGGTAATCACACAATCCGGTGGAGCGATTTGATCGATCTCAGCCAGGACCCCTATCTTCATCTGTAGCTTTTCAGGCACGGCTTCGATGAGTATCCACGCATTTCCGACGGCTTCCTCATGGAATCGGTGACTTTCAACTCTGCGGTTTCGGTGCCGAGCTTGAAGGCTTGCTCTTTTTGGTTTGCCATGATTTATTCTACCACACTGTCGCTCTCCAAATATTTCTCGCATAGGGTTGGTTATCTTGAATCCTGCAGAGATCCACATCATGGAGATTCGGCGGCCCATCACGCCGGCGCCAATGACGGCAATTGGGCGGGTAATTGTGTCGGGCTTGGTCCACGGCGTTGATGGCATGGCTCTTTTCTTTATTTGGGGATTGAATTGGAGGATTTCCGATAGGGATGAATAAACCTTGTAGATAGGCCGATGTTGAATGGTAGCCACTGTGTCATTGTGCCGAATGAAGTGGCATCAAGGAGACATGAGGGTCCTATGATGCTACAATGATAGAATATTCGCGGATTATTCCCGTATGAGCGATGATTCAACTCTGAGGCCAGACCTCACGGCTACGGGTGGCTAAGTGGCTGGACCTTCCATAGATTTGAATTCAAGACGCTATGGGCCTTGAACCCTTACTACTACTGTAGCTATGTACAATGTCAACATGTATTTTCGGACATATATCTACACATACACATTCTACAAGGGTCATCTAAGCTGAATGAGAACTCAACTCAAATAAAGCTTATAATCAATACGATCAACCCCAGAGTCGTAAGAATAGACGAAACTATTGCGTAGACCTGCCACTCCCAAAGTCAAATGAAATTTAGAATCCAAAAGGCTGGCAATGATAGGTCATACAGTTCAAATGCCAAGGAGATACCCCCAACCGTAATCCCGTACCCCCAAACATAGTGGCATGAGGCTGGTATACCCCTCAGTTGCCAAGTGACGATCACCCCAGTGTTCGGACTTACCCCGGTCTCCCTTCTTTCAGAATGTGGAGAGAAGTATAAATACTCTTCACGGAACGATGTCCATTCAATGTCAGCTCTTTATTTCTTTCTCTTCTTACCCATTCCCTTGTTAAATCACTATGGCCGAATCAAATGGCCTAGAGAAGCCCCTTCATCAACAACTGGAGAATGGCGCAGATTCCAAGCAGCATGAGAAATTTGCAGATGCCGAGGCATCTAGTCTTGAATCACCGACCTTTGAAGGCGTTGATGAAAATGCTGTCCTCCGCAAGATGGATATCCGTCTGATTCCTATGCTTAGTATACTATATCTACTAGCATTTCTAGATCGAGGCAATATTGGCAATGCGAAAATTGAGGGGCTTGTAGATGACCTCCATATGACGGGGCCGCAGTACAATTGGACTTGTATGATTTTTCTTGTTGTCCACTATCGCTCGACTTTGTAAGGAACATGCTGACCGCATTCTTTCTTTCTTTTCTCTTATCAAATAGTGACCGTCTTCTTCTTCACATACTGCGTCTTTGAATTGCCGAGCAACCTACTTCTGAAGAAACTCAGACCGTCCAGATGGCTACCATTGATCATGGTTGCTTGGGGAATCGTCATGGTGAGATTGGTTTCGGGGAGCTGTGTATGAGCACATCTGATAAGGAATATATTGAAACAGACTTTGATGGGAGTTGTCAACAACTACGGTGGACTACTTGCGACTCGTCTTTGTTTGGGCGTTGCAGGTACGTTGAGACATGCCCTGTCTTACAATGTTCAAGCAGATACTTATCTTTGATTGCAACCATAGAAGCCGGTCTGTATCCCGGTGTCGCTTACTACATCACTCTCTGGTACCCGCGCCATCGAGCACAATTCAGACAAGCCATGTTCTTCAGCGCGGCCAGTGTAGCCGGTGCATTCTCTGGACTTCTTGCATACGCCATCGCTGTGGGTACCTTCCGTTCTTCGCACCGATTATCACCTTGCTGATGCCTTTCTCTGGGTTTAGAAAATGGACGGCGTTGGTGGATATGCTGGCTGGAGATGGATTTTCATCCTCGAAGGGCTTCTGACTGTTCTTGTGGCGCTTGTAGCCCCATTTGCCATACATGACTCCCCGGAAACTGCTACTTTCCTGACTGAAGCGGAGCGTCGGTTTGTGCTTCACAGTCTACGGATTCAAAATTCGTCAGATTCGCATGAAATGGTTACCAAGGATGATAAGTTCCAATGGCGCTATGTCTTCGACGCTTTCACTGACTGGCAGATTTGGTTGGGCTTGTTCAGTAAGTTATGCGTGACTCCATCTCTATTGACTCGACGTATCATTATCGCTAATTGGGGAAAGTGTACTGGGGTATCACTTGTCCGCTATACGGTATCTCACTTTTCCTTCCCTCTATTATCAAGGATTTAGGTTACAAGTCATCGACTGCTCAGCTCCTCACTGTGAGTGTATTTTGTTTTTTTTTTTTCCTTATCATCGAAATAACCCTGACAATACCTCCCTAGGTACCGATCTATATCACGGCCGCAATTGTGGCTGTCATTGCAGCGTGGGTTTCAGACAGACGCAAGCAGCGCTCCCCATTTGTTCTATTCTTCATGGGCATGATTGCCATTGGATTCATCGTCTGCCTTGCATCCACCGGGCGTGGTGTGCCTGGCGTGATGTACTTCGGAATATTTGTCGCGGTAGTTGGTAAGTACAGGGGCAATGCCCCGGCTTTATTGACGCTATAGCTAACTCAAACGTCAGGTATCTACCCTGCATTCCCTGGAAATGTCACATGGCTCAGCGTCAATATGGCGGGCGACTACAAGCGAGCCGCTGGCATGGCCATCTATATTGGAATCGGAAACTTGGCTGGAGGTAAATACATCACACCTTAAAGATTCAGTCCAAACTAATTCGCAACAGCTATGTCGTCAAATTTCTACCGCGCTAAAGACGCGCCGAATTACATTCTTGGTCACTCTCTTGAGCTGGCGTTTGTTGTCGTTGGCATGATAGCGGCAGTCATCTTACGACTGACATATCAGAGTATTAACAAGAAGCGCAATGCTATGGATCCTTCGGAGTACCCCTTGGATCCGGACTCCTTGGGTGATCGCTCTCCACTTTTTAGATACATGCTTTGAGGGAAGTGGAAGGTATGACAACCAATCGAAGAGGTGAACTTTTTGCCGTCAAGATAGTTGCAGATAGTACGTTTTCAGAATAAATATATGATTCAAAGAATATAGATCCAGGTGGCTGCATAACTGTTTGTCGTTATTAAAATACGAAGGACCTGCAATTAGTTTTCATGTCTGGCCCAAGAAATCGCCAATCTCTTGACCACACACCTGACAAGAGGCGCAGAGCATCCATGCTTTTGTTCTGTCGTTGGTTACAATAAAATCGATACCACATGTAAAGTTTGAATGCCTACCACAAAGCTCGAAGTATGAGGTAAATTACTACAATTGGAAGCCCTTCAGTTCGTCCTACCCATCAATGATTTTGACTGCATAGTGTAAATATAGGATTGTCAGGATGATTTCAACTACACATTAACAAACTTAATTTCCACCAAACACACGATATAGTCTGTCCTCACAATTCACTCGACAAGGGGATTGATATTCAAGCAACAACTCCAACAGTCTGGCTGAGCAGCGGTTGAGTTGCACCCAAAAGAAATCACACCAAAGTCTCTATGCGTGTACCACTCGAGAAGGGGACTCGTGAAACTAACCGCGGTACATACATTGACGGATGGAGGAGACTGCAAACGATTGGTTATGCCGATGAGGCAGGGCACTCAAATTTCGTATAGTGATAGAACAGGCTTATACATACGACGACTGGAGCTGCACAGAGGAAAGCTGCAGGGAGACAGCCTTGGGTACAGAGCTGGTATTTATTGTCTGAAGGAACTGGGATGAAATAAGGTATCGCGAAGTTGGGAAGAGAATTGTTTGCAGGTAGAGACCAAGCTTGATTGTATAGCAAGGCCAGGGCAGATGAGAGGTTTGCAAACATTTCTAGGACAAAGAAAAAAGTGGTGACTAAGAGACTGGATGGGATTTGGTCAAATTGAAAGATGGTGTCATTGAATGGGAGGAAGAATCACGAGGGGCCTGGTGAGCTCTTATGCTAGAGCAAAGTTGTTAGGTCGCCATTGTGCTACCAAAATATGCTTGTTTAACCTTCATTTCACACTGGAATCACTGGCAAGAAACCAATTGAAGCTTCGACTTGGGCTTGATTGTATGCCGCAATCTTCAACTTGAGATCCGACTGGGCAATACTTTGATTGGTGTTGTCAATTGCCAATATTCTAAATTTGATACTATTGACTCCATGAGTTTATGGTAAAATTTGCACACAAGGCCCATATCCAAGAGAAAGTTGTGTCTGTACTGGTTGATTGATATAAAAAGTGGGTTCAAAGAAGGTTGCGGCTCATTCATTTCACCGGGGTCAACGGGTTGTCGCTGTTGATCCCTCATGTGGGGATGACAGGTCTACCTTCATCATAATCAGCCCCAAGACAAGAGCTGAAACGATGCATTAAACAGAGATGTTAGTTGGGTGGCCGCTCGGAAGCGCCTTACAGGCGCCTTGGATCCATACTGGCCTAGGTAAATGTCACGGATTCGCGTCTGCCTGGTGACTGATGAATTCCTTCTTGAGCTCAGAAGAGAAATCTTTCATCTTTCTAAACAACACACATTTGAGAATCTGTTGATACCATTCTGAGTCACATTTATTGATACTTTGATCCAACTATTTATTCGTTGCTTCCGTTGTTTTGTTTGTTTCGCTCTTTGACCGCCCTGGAGCCGCGTACACTTGGAGTCTGGACTCTCCGACACCTTTTATCATCCGTGATTCCTGCATCTTCACGCCTTAGACCATAATTTATTCTCTTTGAGATCTATCTGCTAGCCCACTATGACGCTGGCCGAAGAGTTCCGCTCGCGCAATTTTAGTATGTACCCGGCCGAAGCTCGCCACATCTGACTGCGCTAATTTTGCTGATCTTTTCTAGGCATCTATGGTCAATGGTTAGTCGATCGCATCGCAATCCTAAAATTTGTGCTCTACAATTGTGTTCAATGTGAAGTTGGATAGTGTCGCAGGGGAGCACCGTGGCTGAAGCTTGCGCTGTTGCCTGATGCCTCCTGCGGCAGGAATTGCTTCCGTCGAACATCAGTTCGGAGTGTACAGGAATGAATCTAACCGAGTATCTAGGACCGGTGTGCTATGCATTATCCTTTGCCTTGCGCTTGGAATTGCCAATATCTTCTCCTTTAATGCGATCCTGATCATCTTCAGTTGTCTCTGCATGTGAGTTGGATTTCTTCCCTAGGCTATTGTAAGATCTAACCTGGATCAGTGCTTCGGCATTCATTATCCTCTTCATTGAAGTTCCCTTCCTCCTCCGAATCTGTCCCACGTCTCCCAAATTCGACTCTTTCATCCGTCGCTTCACCACGAACTGGATGCGCGCCGCTGTCTATACCGTACTCAGTGCTGTCCAATTTGTCAGCCTAGTCACCAGGGCCTCTAGTTTAATCGCCGCTGCCGTCTTCCTTCTGTTCGCTGCTTTGTTCTATGCCCTCGCAGCTCTCAAGAAGCAGGACTTTGTGGGCAGCAAGACGTTGGGTGGCCAGGGAGTTGCGCAGATGATTGTCTAATGCATGACGTTAACGCTGAGCCGTCATCCCTCACCTCTACTATACCAACCGCATCTTTGTCTGGATTGATTCTATTATCGAAATGGTTGGTGATACGATAAGATGCTCGATTCAGACGTTGAAAAGAATAAAATGCCACTTGGGCCACGTGCATTGGAACGCGCTATGATGTGATTTTGTGTTTTTACTGTCCTGTACTTTTATGTCTCTGGCTTGAGTTTGCCCTGCTAAGCATGTCTTTGGGTTCAAAGTCGATGAGCGTTTCTACAGCTGTTATATCCTTGGTTTTCTTTCTTTTTTCTTCGCGGGCCGAGCCTGCCAGAAAAGGTGTTTGTGCTTGCAATTTCAAACGGTGTAATTTTTACCAAGCTCCCAAGGTTGACTTTGACCTATTCATGAGGTGTCCCCTAATCTTCCGTTGACAGTAGCAAGTAGTAGTAGCCCAATGTACTTGGGCCTCGAAGCGGAGGCAAAGCTGCGCTTGCGCCCTTAATCCAAGTTTAGATGGCCATGTGGCACATCCTCAACTTGAGCAATAGGAACCTATGGAATGGAAAACGTGTCATAAGTTCCTGTACTAGCCCTATCGGCTATAAACCTGACCCGAGGTAAAGTGGATCGATATAGTTTCCATTGTACAATGTATGGATGGACTTCGAGTCATGCATATGTAATTAGTTATCTATTCTATCTAGCTGTATTCTATCTAGCTGTACCTATGTAGCTTAGCTTACTTTGCATCCATGACAGCACCGAACATGGCAAAAATGAGCAAGGTTAGAACAATGACCAGCCTTGGTCACAGGATAATGATTTACCCCACAAAACCTTCAACTTAGGTACTATTCTTATTTAGAAGTGAATTTCAACACCTCTTCTTTGGTCAAGATGATGGGTTATATTGGAGCCTAGCTATTCTAACTGAGTAGTTTCATATAAATTTACCTACATTCAATGATATACTGATTCCCTTGAGAAGCACTGAAAGGTATACAACCTCCTATGATGCAATGTGCGGAGAACCATTAACAGCTCACCGCCTCGGTGTAGTTAACCAATCCAACACAAGAGAAATAATCTTCTTATCTGTATTCCGTATTCCCCTTGGAAGTTTCAGTCCTAGACGTAGCTGTTTGATACTTGCATTTCTACATGTAGGTATTTATAGATATTCGATGATGAAACATATCATGTAGGTAATGATTGGATATAAACCTTAGTGTATTCCATGATATATATGAGGCATTTGTAGAAAAAGAGAGAAAATGGCTCAATAATGGAATCCCAAAATCAAGGCCCTGATTCAAATACTTGTTACATATGTACATTCCAAGGCTCTTGTGCACTGTAATGATACAACACACGTAACTATAACCAGTTATAACTAGGTACTGAATGTAGTTACATTACAGTAAGGGCCCTGGGCTTAGGCAGATCTTCAGCCTAATGTAATAATACAGTATAATTACAATACGCTGTGGTCCGAGCACGTCAGGTGTGGCAGAAAGGACATACATCATCGTCTCTCCCCAAAACTCAGTTTTGAAGATTACTTCGATATTCGCTTGCTCCAGGCAATTTGATCTTTGCCGTGAAGATCTAACCATTTGATTCACGTGCTATTGGACTGAAAAAGGTTCTCACCATCTCTGGGTAAGTAAATCGGTCTCCATCTTCTTATCAGCTGCATGGACCCTTTGTTCTTGACATTCTTGCATCAATTGTGCATTTAAATTAGCTTTTGGATACTTCAATCCCTGCAAGCTTTTTGGGCCCGTGTCTTCATTCTAGAGCGTCAATTGCCAAGCATAGCGGGGGGAATCCTGTTGGGCTGCCGCTAACTTGGTGAACAGCTTTCAGTACTTCATCATGTCATCTCAACCTCCACCGGCCATACCTCCTCGGCCAGCTCGCTCTCCGCAACCCTCATCGTCTTTGGATATGCCGAAAATACCCCCACGTCCAGGTAACCGCCGCAATGATCGTTCTGTCTCGCCGATGCGTGATAGCTATGCACCCTCACCCCTCAATGAATGGACCGGCCCCGGAATGAGTCGTACGGTCTCAAATGACCTGCCGCAACGCCCTCCTAGCGTCACGATACCGTCTCTTGGTGAGGAGGGTATTGAATATGCCGACCTCGATCCGGGCAATATGTCGGATAGCCACCATCAAACCCCCGCGGAAACCCGCAATGTTAGCAGTGATCTGAAGATCCATGCACCGAGACCCTCTTTGCCAAAATCAAGTGCTGAAGCAAAAGTGCAGGCTGTCACTCGCACCGATTCCCGCCAGGCTGCTGCGGTCGGTCTGGGCCGTGGACTTTCACCTTCCCGCGAGGAACAAGACCGCTCCTCACATTCTCGGGCGAGTGGATCGCGTGCGGGGTCAACTGCCTCCAATGATCGCCGACACTCTGCCCAACTGACAGATGAGCAGGGCTTCCGGGTGCCCATGTATCCCAATGCCGGTGACGTGCAGGCGCCCTCTCCGAGTCCCTATCTCGATCAAGGCTCGCATCGATCGGGTCGTAACCACAACCGTACTCGAAGTGCTCGGGATTCTTCGCTACCTCCGGGTAGCTACGGATTGCATGGACATGGTGTTCAACAATCCGACAAATTCGAGAAGGCTTGGTATGAAAAGCATCCTGATGAGTTCGTCAAAGAGGAAGGGCAATATGGCCCCGGTGTTGGCACTCCGCGCCCTGATTGGGCAATGAGCAGCGATGATTTGAACAAGATTGTCCGGGGCTCTGCGCAGACTGGATCGGGCCTTGGTGAGTATTTGGAGCAAATATGTCTTGTCACTTGAGAGCTAATCGTAGCTAGGTACTTCCCCGAATGTTGTGGGAACCCCCGAAGAAGAAGTCGGATATATGGCATCCGATGAGTACATGCATCGCATCGCATCTCCTCCGCCTGACGCACGACACGAAAGCCAACCAAGTGTTGAATCGCCACTTCGGCAAATGAGTTTCCCCTCGGAATCTGCACAAAAGAAACCCATCGCATCTCCACTGCGTCATCGTAGATCCAGTTCGCACGGTCACCATGAACGTGGTGTGATCCACGTTGATGATCCAAAGCATCCTTTGCATCACCCAGACGGATTTTCTGCCACCCCAGCTGCAGAAGAGAATGAGCCAACGTATGATGAGGCCGAGGAAGAAGAAGAACCGATTCTGGCTGCTGATCAAGTGCGTCCTGAATCGGCGTACCTTCACCCCGCCATTTCGCCCACATTTGATCGTCGGCCAAGCTTTGAAGATGACGGCCGCAGTCGCACTCCCAGTATCACACACAGTCGTTCAAACAGTCGATCAGCGAGTGCTCAGGGTCACCAATTTCCCGTGCTTTCCCGCTATGATTCACGGGAAGATACGCATACACCCTTGGAAGACGTCGAGGAATATGAGCCGTTGTTCCCCGAAGACGATCACAAGAAGGAGAAACCAAATTTGGTTGCGGATCGGTTCAAGAAGCGACCCGACATGATCAAGCACAGATTCCCTAGCCAGGATATCTGGGAAGACACCCCAAATAGTCTACAGCTTCACGCTACAGTGACCACCCCAGATCTTCCCATACGGGGATCCTCCGAGACTTTCGAAACACCCGAGCAAGAGGCCGTGCGCAGGATTCAAACCACCAAAGTTGACTCACATCAGGTTGCTAGTCATATTCTGGAAGGTGAAGGTGCGAGGGAAAAGCCCACGCGACCGGAACCATTCAAGCAACGCTTTCCCAGTAGGGATATTTGGGAAGATGTCCCTGATAGTCAGCGACTAGTCACTACAGTTTCGCCCGCAAAGGAAGAAGTCAAAAGTCCCGACGTTCCGTCCAAGCCTATCATTCCCTTGCGCCCACAGAAACAGCCTCAATCGACCTCACCAATCGAAAAGCGACAGCCACCGGGAATCCCCGAGAGACCGAAGCCCCAGGTCCCCACGCGTCCCGCTAAGTCTAGCTCCCAGGTTCCAGCAGGCAACGAGGAAGCATCAAAGGAGGCCCCCGCTGTGAAGGCCAAGCCTGCCGTACCAGCTCGTCCAGGTGGAAGTAAAATCGCGGCACTAAAAGCTGGGTTCCTTACCGACTTGAATACACGTCTGCAGCTGGGCCCCCAGCAACCCAAGCCCAAAGAAACTGAGCCTGAGCCACCAGCCGAGAAACAGCCGTTGAGCGATGCTCGCAAGGGAAGAGCCCGTGGTCCTGCTCGTCGCAAGCCTGCCGTTGAGAAGTCTAATGTCCGCCTTCCCACTATTCCTGAAATCAAGATCACAGAGTCCTTGAACGTCTGGCAGGTTGGTCAAGATGGAAACCTGGTTGTTGGAGCCGGTAAGAGCGCCGAAAAGCCACCAATTGCAGTAAAAGAAACCCCCGTGCCTTCTGAGCAGTCCATGGCTTCTCCAATCGCCAAGAATACCGCGGGTGGATCTGTGGACCCAACGCCCGAATCGCCCGTCTCAGCAGATGTTATCTCTCCACAAACCACAACATCAGAGGTCGTGCCCGCCGATATCTCAGCAGAGACACCCGAACCGATTGAACCCTCTGTGATAGCGGTTGAACCCGAATCTCAACAAGAAAAGGAAGAGAAGGGAAAGGAGGAAGAAGCGACAGAAGTGCCCGAGTCTGCGATCACTGCCCCGGTGGCCGAAATTCCTTCATCTTCACCCAAGCTGGATGATGCTCTTGAAGATATGACAGCGTCCGCGGATGGAAAGAAGGAGTCAGATGGCCACATTCATGGTGAACAATAGTTGGGTCTCCGAATCGCTCCCCCTTCTAGCATTACTATCGTGCTGTGTATGGGGTTACAACATTCGGATCACCAGTTCCATCCGATCCACCAGATCGCAATTTAATCACTATTCACTTTTGTTTGTTTAATAACTGATTTTTACTTCTTGTTGATACTCAATCAAGTTTATTTTCCTGCTCTTTTTCTTGGTAGTTCATAGTGTAGTTTAGGTATATTAGGCCTTTGAATGTCCAAATAGGCAAATACTCAATTTTAGCTTCCGATACAAATAAGCATAGCTGCTGTGTAAAATCATAATCACGCGTTGCATCCTAAATGCTATCATATAACTTACATAGTTATATCTTGTGTCAAGTCTGTATCCGAAAGCACGCATAGCACCGGGAACAGCATTGACGTGATCAGCCAAAGGCGGTCGCCAATTGACAACCGCGGCTCGGTGCCGAACGCCTTAAACTGACTCAGTCACTTGTGAAGCTGCCCACTTCATCTCTGGGGGAAAATCTTCCATTTGTTTTGCATCATCTTCAGAAGATGCTGAGCCCGTTCCTCAACACATCGAGCCCATAGGTATCGCCTCATTTTAATTTCGCTATCATGGCGTCCGTTCCAGGATATTCTGCTGCGGGCAGAACCCGCTCCTCTGATGGAGCCACCGCCGATGATGTGAACTCATTTCAAGTTACATCGACTGACTCAACTGACTCAACGGAGGATACTGAAACTGTATTTCTCAACAAGGACGTTTCTACCCCAAGTCATGGGTCAGATCTTTCCACCAAATCACTCGTTGAATCACCGAAGTCTACCCACACCCTCACCGATGACGACGAACCGCGCAAATGCTGGATCTGCTACACAGACGAAACAGAAGACTCGCCACTGAACCAGGAATGGCGGTCGCCGTGCCCTTGTGCCTTGACGGCCCATGAGGCATGTCTTCTCGACTGGCTTGCAGACATGGAAAACCCTCGGTCGCGCAAGAACACCGCCGGCGGCGTAACGATGCAGTGCCCCCAGTGCAAAACAGATATCGTGGTCACCCGTCCGCGAAGCTACGTGGTTGATGTTCTCCGATTGGTCGAGCGGGTTGCTGGACGACTTGTACTTCCAGGCATGGTGTTTACGGTAGCTGGCACTGTGTGGGCGGGGTGTTGCGCGCATGGAGTTTACTCTATGTATTTTATCTTTGGAACAGAGGAAGCCAAACACATTATGGAAGAAAGCATGGAAGGCCCGTGGAACCCTGGTCTAAACATCGGTCTACCACTGATTCCACTTGTCTTGATCTTCTCGCGCACACGCTACGCCGAAGGTCTCCTCCCTGCTATACCGGTGCTGTTCTTCGCTGCACACAACCCGGGTCAGGAACCCGATTTTGATTTGTGGCCTCCTACGCCTGCTATGACGTTTGCCGCGCTGCCTTATGTCAAGAGCTTCTATGGGGCAGTCTACGAACGATTGTTTGGCGGCTTGGAACGAAAATGGATTGCTGAGGTACAGCCTCGGGCGACAGAGGATATCCTTGACGATGCACAGCAACAAGACCAAGCCGAGGGTCTCAACCGGTTCGGTGAAAATGGGAACGGACAGATTCTCATGGAAATCGACCTTGAGCTGAATGTCGGAATGGGCAATAATGACGAAGTAGACCACGCTCAGCCCGGGGTTGAGGAAGATGCCGATGCTCCCAACGGACAAGCTCAGAATGCCGGGCAAAATAATAATCCGCTGGGACTTGGACGACGACAGAACGAGATTATTCACGACACTAGCAACCTGGCAGATGTTGTGCTCGGGGCACTTGTCTTTCCGGCGATCTCAGCTTCAATGGGCGGTCTGTTGAAATATCTCCTGCCTAAAACGTGGACAACACCGTCCTCGATTTTAGAGCGAGGTCGCCCAGGGCTCCTTCAGACCCGCTGGGGTCGCAGTGTTGTTGGCGGATGCATGTTCGTTCTGTTGAAGGATGCCTTGGTGCTTTACTGTCGGTGGAAGCTGGCTCAGACACACCGCCGCCGCAAGGTCTTGAATTACGACCGGACTAAGAAGCATCACGCCTCGAAGCGATCCACCGGTTAGCTCTAAGCAGCCCCGGAGTTATCCTATACTTTGTCTTGAGACATTGACTCTCTGTTTTCGTTCGGCGCATTGATTGCATTCCATGGCGTTTTTGGCATTCTCTTTCACGGTTGTGGTGGGACATTCACATATGATGCCTTTTTATGAACCTATATCCTGCCGAATACCATCTCTTATCTCTCGGTTCGGCTCTACTGTCAGTCAAATCGTGATCTCGCAAAAGATATGGATTTTTTTTTCTGTAACTATTGTCAAATTTTAAGCACAGCTTTTTTCCCAGCCCTCTGACCTGGAAACTTCAATGTCTTCATTTATATAATTCTATAAAAGTACAAGTTGTGAATACTCTAGAGCAGATTTGGGCGACGGCTAGTAATCTCGAAATTCATGACATTAATTAAGCTCAATGCATTACATTCCATGGATATCAGCGAGTAAGTAGCAGCTTTGTTCCTCGCCGGGGAGATGGGGAGAGCTTATAAAGGGCATTGAGAAAGACATGGAAAAGGACCCATGGACAGACTGTAATTTGGTATCTATAGAAGGGAACAAAAATGGGTTACAATTTCAGAACCATCGCCAGGCTTTCTAGACCTAATGACCTAAATAATACATTGGGGATGACGATCGAAATAAGCGCGCGGTTAAACAGGCGCAAGAGGCGGACTGAATTCTGGGTTCTGCCGTCAAGGAATTATTTCCCCCCGTGGACCGCAATTGTAATTGAGCCCTTTCCACTCCTTCCAGCTAAGAGATACCCAACACAATGCGGTCCTTATCACCAGCCCTCGCGTCCCTCGCCAATGTATTCAAGATTCCGATGTCAATGGCACCGATTCGCCCGTCAATTTCCCGGGCGTGCCACGAGACCCTGAACCGCCAAACACAACAGCCCGGCCCCGTCACAGCAGCCCTGCAATCAGCGTCATTCTCGACGACAAGCGCATTGGCCAAGAGAAAGAACGCTTCTGGAGTTGACAAGCGCATCAGTATGTTCCACCCATTAACCGCACCGAACCCAAGGCTTGAGTTTCGAGTTTCGAGTTTCGAGCCTCGATCCCATATAACCACCAACCACATACGATCTCGAACAAAAAGAAACTAACGTTCTCAATTCCATAGCTCTCATTCGTTACTTCCTTCACCACCCTCTCACCCCTCGCCCTCTCCGCTTCTCCCGTAACCGTTACCTCCGTCACTGGACCATCCACCGTGCCTGGCAATTGTTCCAGGCTCAACAGCGCCGCAAGCACGAGACCGAGAGGATGCGCCAGTACCAGAGTATGCAGGACGCATGTGAAGAGCTTCGCACCGGCGCTGGTGATGGCGGCAAGCTGTTCCGTGTGTCGATGAACAAGAAGGGTATCTTCACTGATATGTTCCCTATTGAGTATGCTCGCATGCAGACTGAGTCCCCTGCTTCTGCTGGGTGGAACCATGACTGGAAGAGGCCCGGGCAGAAATAGGTTATCATGGGGGTTTTCTCTGTTAGATATAAAGTTGGGCTGAAGATTCATTGGTCTTGAGGGCCCGGGACATGTATCATTTTGGCGCTGGTTATGTATCATATGCATTCATCTTCTTTTCTTTCAGTGTATCCTGCCTACCAGGTTGCATATTATTATTTTGGTTGAACGATATTCTCACGGTCTTATGTGACTTATTAGTAACCATAGTACGGAGTAATAGTAGGCTTATTTTGGATGAAACACGACAGATGACATGCCAAAAGAAGATAGTTGATTAAATGGTACCCTCACATGGTTATGGGCACAACGTATAAATAATGCGCTGAAAATGAAGCAAGTTACTGCATGAGAAGGCGACATAATGAGTGAGATCGCAATGCAACTTCCGAGAGATGGATAATAACAAGGAGGGGAATCCAGAGTTGCATATGCATGAGACAAAAAACAGAGCTATGGAAAAAAAGACGCAAAATGTACGCAATGAGAAAGACGGCCGAAAATAACCGGAGAACAGACAATCGTACCCATGTCAATCGACCGGGTTAGCACAAGAACCTCCCAAACGCCAGTAATGCATGATACAACAGAACGTCAACGGATATCACCAAGGCCACAACCAAGTGTACCAATTGACCTCCAAGTCAAGAGAAAAACCGAGCGCTGGCAGAGAAAGATTCAGCATGTTGCACGCTCCAAATCAGATCAGATAACTACACAGCATGAACTTTTCCGCTTGTCAAAAGTGAGAAGCGCAGCACGGGTAGCTGCCTCAAAGACATCATCAACACCCTCGCCGGTCAGAGATGAGCATTCAAGATATTTGCGAGCCCCAATTGATACCGCAATATCATGGCCCTCTTTTGTCGTCACGAACTTTAGAGACTTCTTGCGCATTTCTTCAATAGCCATTGGGTCTTCGCGGAGGTCCTTCTTTAATCCAACCAAAAGGATCGGCACACCGGGGCATCGCTCGTTTGCTTCATCGATCCACTATATTGCAGATCAGTACCACTGTGACCCTTCAATTTTTCTGAGACGTACCTTGTGTTTCACGTTCTCCAGTGAGTCTGGAGTATCCATTGCAAACCCAATTAGGAGGACATGAGCCTTCGAATAGGCCAATGGTCGCAGGCGCTCATAATCTTCTTGTCCTGCTGTATCCCACAGTGCCAATTGGACTGAGCGGCCGTCGACTCGGCAATCCGTCACGTAATTTTCAAATACCGTCGGCACCTAACAATCGGGGATATTAGACATGTGATTTCGGGAATATCGCGAGTACTCACATAATGCTGTGATGGAAGTAAAAAGTACAGGTTAGCCACAGACTCTTTTTTCCGACGGGATTGTTGAACGTAAACTCACTGTTGGGAAGTACCCGAGGGTGAAGACACTGAGGAGACTGGTCTTTCCACAAGCACCGTCACCAATAATCACAAGCTTCCTGAGGGAAGGTTTGGATTAGCACATGTAAATATCATCATACGCGGATGACTTCAATCCCACTGCCTAAGTTGCAATGGTATTGGAAGTGTCGGGGCATCACTGCCATCCGGGTTCTCTCCCGATGGCGTGGGGGTGTAAGACACCACACACCACATCAAAACCGCACATACCTTCGCATGACATTATCATCCTGTTGTTGCGACATTATGAAGGTTGTAAAATAACGGCGTTGGTGATACAAAATGATGGGAAAGCAGAGGATATGAAACAACCAGATGTACCGAGTCAGATCTCGAGGCAATCGATTACGAAGGCGACACGGATTAGAAGTAAAGAAGGTCGCTGGACAGACGGGCAGACCCTGCGATACGGCCCGAACAGTTTACGGGGAGAAGAAAATGGGTGGCCTTGAAATGCACGCAGAGTGACGTGACGAATCGTTGAGGGGGAATGTGGTTCTGGGGCTGAGGCCGGGGTTTGACGATAATGCCGAATTTGACCACGTAAGGGTAGAAGTTTTTTTCGGGTTAAAAAAAAAAGAAAGGATAGGAGTAGAAGTAAAAGTAGAAGTAGAGTTGAGCGAAAGTGTAAGGGGAAAAAAAGTGAAGCTGAAGAGTGAGATAAGAGGGAAAGGCGCTTACAGTCCAAGCGGAGATTTATTAAGGCTCACGCCTAGTTTGACTATAGGGACTAGGTACGCAGATGGGTATCTGCTCCGTCTGATCGTCCTATGGTACCGTTTTTTTCTCATTAAAAAAAGTCGTTAGCTTAAGAGATATTTTTAATTAGCGTTGTTGTCTCACATAGCTCAGTGGAGTAGAACAGTGTTGTCCCCTTGTAAACGACTCATCACTGCGGACAAGGTATACCGCCTTTGTTGACAGATACTGCCGGCAAATAAAGAGCGGACCATGTGTCACGTGGCTTGACTCGTAGCAATCAGCATGAAGCAGTGACTGTCATATACTTTTGGACTGTTGAAATTGAGAAATTACTTGAATTGACAAGAGGATACAACTAATAACTTGTTTCTCTATCATTCGGCAACTTTGTATGTCAATCATATTGGAGGATTGTCCCTGAAAGTATACAATTCGAGATCTCAACCTGACGATTCAGGCACTACCGCTGCAAGCGAGCTATCCTATCCCGTTGCGGCGGCACGAAGGCCCATCACTCCATCATTTCATTGGTGTTTGATCAGACGTTTCTGAGGTGGCGCTAACTGAGTCTTGATATTGTGCTTGGTTCTGGCTTCAACTCATTGATTGTTTCTTTCTGGTGTCAGCGCTTCCAGGCCCCGATCATTCACAAGCGCAGACACGTCGTGACCCGCCGGGATCATTGTCTTTCAACCCCCTCCTCCCGTGGTCTTATCCTACCTCACCCCTCCCGTTTGTCACTACAGAAGTTTCTCTTTGAGTGACAACAAAGGGCGCGACGGATTCTTTGTGTTTGAACAAGCCAAGGGCAATAATTCCGGTGAGTTGGGCACCATACCGTGGATTCGCCGGAGCTTTGTTGGTAGGGCCCTTTGGCTCTTCCGTTCTCCGCTTTCTATTGATTTACCACCCACCCTCGTCTAGAATTGCTTCTCTGACTCTCATCTTGTTCTGTGTGTTTTAGTATGCTGCCGAGCCAGCCCCTAAAGCTCATTTCACCTCTATCATGGCGACTCACATGTCAGCAACTCCGCTGCCAGCAACCAACGGCCAGGCCCACGCGCCGGGTTCCCAAAACACCACATCAACCGAAACCCTGGCGAATCCTGCACCTACTGTTAATCGCAAGAAACAGAAGCGCCGACAGAAACAAGCTGCCCGCTTAGCTGCGGAACACCCCGAAGCTTACGCCTCTGGAAACGCAGATTTGCCAGCAGTAGATGAGCAGCGCTCCTACGACGATGACCACGATTCCGATCACGAAGATCCCCACCACGTATCCGCCGCTTCTCATTACGGACATCCCTCATCGCACCACCCCCGCGGCCCGCCCACGATGAACGGACCCCACGACCACCATGCTGCCTCGGGCGAGATATCGAAAAGGAAGAAGAATAGGAAAAGCCGATCTGATTCTCAAAATTTCGGCGATGGCAGCTCAACCCCACTCTCTACTCCGTCTGCTACGTTCTCGCATCCTCCGCCGCCCCCGCAAACCTTGCCATATATCAACCGTTTCACTGGAAAACCTATGAAAACCAGCAGTATCTGGAATCAATCATCTCTGGAAGAGCGCGAAAACATAAGGACTTTCTGGTTTGAACTTGGCGAGGAAGAACGACGGCAACTTGTTAAAGTGGAAAAGGATGCTGTTCTTAAAAAAATGAAAGAGCAGCAAAAGCACTCTTGCAGTTGCACGGTTTGTGGGAGAAAACGAACTGCGATTGAAGAAGAGCTCGAGGTCCTATACGACGCTTACTACGAGGAGCTCGAACAATATGCGAATAATAACCAAGGCGCATTTGAAGAAGGAGCTCCCATTATTCCTCCTCCTCGATTGTACCAACCGCCACTCCGACCACGAGGGCAGCACACACGCACGCATGGCCAATATCATCCGTCTCGGAACCGTGTACAAGAACTGCCTGAAGAAGGAGAAGAGCTAGAAGAAGATTACGATGAGGAAGAGGAAGAGGAAGAAGACGAAGATGACGAGGAGGAGGATGATGATGAGGAGCTTTACAGTGATGAAGACCTCGAGGACGATGAAGCCCGAGCAGCCCGAGCAGACTTCTTTGCGTTTGGTAACAGCCTCACTGTAAAAGGTGCGTAACTTGTCTACCTGACTAATACTACTACGGCTTTATGGATTTGACTTATGACTTTTGTTTACAGATGGCATACTCACCGTTGCAGATGATCTCTTGAAAAATGACGGCAAGCATTTCATTGATATGATGGAACAATTAGCAGAGCGGAGAATGCAGAGAGAAGAAGATACTCAGTATGGAATAGCTGCTGCCCATCAATCGTTCCATAGGCATAATCATGGCCCTTTGGACGATGAGGATTACGATGACGAGGAAGAAGATGAAGATTACGATAGTCAAGAGGAAGAAGAATTCGATGAGGATGAGATGGTTCGGTTCCACCGTCTGATGTTGCTGAATCTATTTACTAATAATAGTACTAGGATGCTATGACGGAAGAACAGCGCATGCAGGAAGGACGGCGGATGTTCCAGATATTTGCTGCCCGAATGTTTGAGCAACGAGTCATGACGGCATATCGAGAGAAAGTTGCCGAACAGCGTCAGAAGCAGCTCATTGATGAACTCCTCCAAGAAGAGACGTTGAATGAGCAACGGAATGCCAAAAAAGCAAGGGAAGCGCAAAAGAAGAAGGACAAGAAGCGATTGCAACGACAAGCCAAGGAGGAGGAAAAGGCCCGCCGGGACGCCGAGAAGGCTGCGGAAGAGGCTACTGCCAGGGCTGCACAGGAGAAAAAATCAGAGGAACAGCGGCTGAAGCGTGAAGAACAGCGGAAGAAGCGCGAGGCCGAGAAGAAGGCGCAAGAAGAAGATCGTGCTCGCAAAGAAGCGGAGAAGCAACGCCGACTCAAAGAAGAACGAGAACGACAAGCCGAAGCCGAACGCAAGCAACGGGAGCAAAAGGAAGAAAAGAAAAAGCGAGAAGAGGCCAAACGCAAGGAGAAGGAAGATCGTGAGGCCCGGGAGAAGAAAGCCAAGGAGGAACTCGAGCGCAAGACGAGGGAAGAACAGGCGCAGAAAGACCGAGACACAGCGCGCGAGCAAGAAATTCGAGATCGTAGTGGCAGGCGCGAACACACCAAAACAACACCACCTCACACCTTGCCCGGCGTCATCCCATACACCTTTCAATCCCAAGCTCCTCCTGGTTTCGTGCAATCACCGCATCATACGATAGCAACACCCGTCATTCCTAAAGTCTCTACTCCCGGAAGACCTCGTCAACCCTCCTATCATGGCTCTTCTACATCTTCCCCTCACTCGCAACCTAACAGCGCCGATTCCTCCCACCACCCTTCCATTTCCCCGCGCTCCATGGGCCACCCGCAGTCAGGGGCAGTCTTTGGAGCCAGGCAAGGCTATCAACAACCTCCGTTGCATCACCCTCAGCCTTCCGCCCCTCTTTCACCTCTTGGACGAACGAATCCTCCAGGTTTCTCAGGCCTCGGCGGTCTTCCATTCAACCCCCCTGGCATACCAGGAATGGCCCCGCGCTCGACTCTCCCACCAGAATCAATGTATTCGAACAATGGGGGGTTGATGAATTCTTTGCGATCATTCAACGGATCCGGTGGAATTGCTGCGCCGCCTGGTATGAATGGTGTTCGCCCTATCCCGCCGGGTCGTGCATTTCCACCAGATCCTGGACACGGTCTTGCGTTTGCCGGCAACCACGGAGTGCCTGGTGCATTCCCTCTGCAGCAAACAGGCCTGTCTAAGGCACACACCAGACAACCTTCGACTTCGTTCGACCGCTCTCCGTTGGAATCGGGCACTCAGCCATTCCCCATCACAAGACCAAGCCCTATCAAGCGCCCATCCAGCTCAGCCCATGACGGACAGGGTAATGGCAATCCTTCGGTGCAGCGAGAGGTAGATGGCTTGAGTGCTCATCTTGGTAGTAGTGCGCTCCTTGATGACACTGATGCAACATATCCATCAAATCTGTCTCAGTCATTGCCTGGTGCCCCCGCGCCTGGACCCTTCCCAGGGCCGACAAGAGCTAGCTTTCAAGGAGGATCGTTGTTTGCGGACCCTCTGGGATCCCCGCAGGCCAATCTCGCCGTTAGTTCCCCGATGAGCAACAACACATGGGGCACGCCATTCGGAAATTCCGCGTTCACCGGTACCTCCTCCACTTGGGGGCCTGCCCCGATTGGGACTGGCGGTTGGCCTCAAAATAACGCATTCGCAGCCAGCAGCCTTCACCGGCCGCACACCTCGCGACCCGTTATGATCCGCCTGTTTGTCATACAAGCCTGCAAGCAACTAAACTCAATGGCGAGTCCACACAAAGGTGGAGGCTATCACGATGTGAACATTGTCCTTGCCCTGGTAGATCAGCAGCGCAACTCGAAGGATCCCTCGATATCGCTGGATGAGATGCTCGATATCTGTGACACAGAAGGCAGCCCCCAAAATGGCGGGGGCTCTTTCTCAATCAAGGAAGGCCCTGAAGGCAAGTCTGTCCGGTTCGAGCCCGATCCCAACAGTGCAGTTTCCGGTCATAGGGGCAGCATCGTCCCCGGCGATATTGGCAGTCCGGTCCCTAGCAACAGCCACCCCGCTACCTTCGGGTTTAGCCATCCTTCCGGGTTGCGAAAGTTCTCATCGCCTCCGACTGGGCTATTTGGCGGGGCTCCTTTGTCTTGAACATAATTTGCCAATCCGGCCCTGCGAATCTTCATCTCACCCCATCCACATTCTTGCTGGAACGACTTTGAAACGCCCCCATCTTATTTTTCTTTTATGGTCATCCTCTTTCATTGAAGCGTCATGGATTAACGTCACACATTTATCTATCCCTTCCTACTCGGAGGGGAAGGTTGCTACTATCGGGTTTGTTTGGTTTATTTTTCCCAACTGGTTGAATGTTTTACTTAAAGTATGGCATCCGGATTTGTTTTATGTACGGTATGAGTCTCTGGCCTTTCTACATTATGCAGCGATATCCGTGGAGATAGGGTTAGTCTCCCGCTCCGCTGTGTCTTTTGACCAATTGCATGATCGAAGCTTTCTTCGGCTTTTATTTCCTGGTTCTCGTTGTAGAACGTAGTAGCGAATTTGATCTAGCTTGCTGTTTATCCCAAATTTGTGTAGTATAGGCAGGTTCGTCGATCATACGGATTAAGTCAACGAATCCGGCCAGCCAGAACAAGCTGCTCAAACCGCTGATGTAATTGTTACATCCTATAGAACGACCAGTTATCTCTGAAGCGTGTTTTGAGTGCGCAGTACGCTTTACTTAGTTCCGGTGTCGGGGTGAATCCAATCGGCGTTATCTTCGGGCACAGGTGCAGGTTATCCATCTTCCGTTGTCCAGACTAGTCGGAAATGGCCAAGTGGTAAATTGCCAACGCGTCGATCTTCTGATGAGATATAGGGATCGAGCTGGAGAAAATGGTCTGGCATCTTGGAAGTTGTGGTATCGAGAAAGGGTGGTAATGCTGCGAGGATGGGGTTGACGGGTTGCGAGCAAGATACTGAAGAGGAGCACAAAGACGGCGGGATTTTATTTCGCGCTGTGTCAAATCCCAGCGAAGCTAGATGTTTCTACACTGTACTGGCCACAAGAGACGAAAAGACATAGTCTGAATCGAGATACAATTCACGTCGAAAGGTATGGTGCTTCCGGAGACAATGGTACACTTGTATATACTGGGCACGAAAGAAATTCGAGGAGCAATAGGACGAAATAAGCAGGCTTCCAGGAACGAAACAAAGAAAAAGGGTCCAAAGGATTAGAAAAAAAGTACAGCTACCATGAGTATAAAGCAGAAAAAAACACTTGGCGTATCATATCCTCCCTGGATATCACCGATAGCTGACCAAGATGCTCTAACATCCGGCAATTACTTAGGGGGATCGGTGACAATGCCTTCATACTCACGTGACCTGATATACTCCAGCGTGCGTTCAAAGTGACGCTTCGGGCCGTCGAGACTCGAGTTCGCCTCTTCTTCACTGCTCTGCAGGTTAGAGTGGATGAGTTCGATAAGGCCGTTCAGATACTTCGTGGTGACGGTCTCGTTCTGCTGGTCGAAATAGTACACGTAGCGATTGAGGATTTCCACGAAAAGTTCAACGGAAACACCCGTGTCCATGCAGGCATCGGCCACGCGGAGGGCACGCTGCAGGCACTCAAGAACTCGTTTGCCGTCTCGGTAGAGCTGTAGGTTTCCATGTCAGCAAAGTTATTATAGGGTAACCACGAAACAAAACTTACATCCTTGGGATCATCCTCTCCACGCTGGGGGTTTTCAACTACCCACCAGAGATGACTTGCGAGATACACTGCGCGGCATTGATCAGGCTTCTTGAGGAGCTTGCTTCCATGCAATGCAGCCTTAGTAATGAGTGTGTCGTAGTTCTCTTTAGAGAATCCACGACTCCCGTGCAAAGCACCTGAAATGATACAAACAGCCTGGAACTGGGCGCGCGAGTCACTGATCGCATCTTCGTAGATGGTAAATGCCTGCGCGAAGAACTCGTAACTGACTTCTTCGAACCCTGTCTGGTCGGCAACTTCACCACACATAACGAATAGTCGCAGTGCAAGATCGGCACAGCCTGGATTTACCCGCTGGTACAAGTTGTTGATGCTCTGGTGCATGAACCGGTACAAAGCCGACGATTGAGATTGCCAATTGTCGTCGTAATGCTCGCGCGACTTCAGTTTCCGGGCCAGTCGAATCGATGCCGTCACAATTGCAGGGGTGGTATAGCGGATTCGCTCGTTTCCATCAGTGAAAGCCTTGCGTGTTGCTTGGAGAAGCTAGCATAGACTGTTAGTTGGTCAAATTGGACTGCTGGAAAATAATCTTACCTTGAGCTGAGTGTCGTTGTCCTTTGCTTGAATCAAGTGCACTAATCTCGCGAGCCATCCTTGCTCTTCAACCGTCTCATCGGTTTCGCCTCCTCGTCGCTGTGACTGTGCGCCGGGGTATCCAACAGACTGTTGCATGCCCTCCTTGATCAATACTCTCGCAGCCTGGAGTACACGATCGAGGTTTTCTGTTGTGGATACCAAGATCTTGTTTCTCAGAAGGCTGCGAAGGATCTCACTTGCTACAGCCCTCCTGGTGGGGTATGACTGTGAGGTCAAAAGCGGCAGATAGTGTGGCAGTGCCAAGGCTGTGAAAATAGAGATGTAGGATTTGAGAGGAGCGTTGAGGAGATGAAGGATATGCTGTTGGGTTGGTGCAGAATGCAAATCGGCATGATCGGTGTACTCGGCGGTCTTTTGCGTTGCAAAATCCAGAACCTGGTCAACATACTCCAAACGGTCTGGGTAGATGTTCAATGCCAGGTTGACAAGCGATACCAATAACGCCATGGTATCTTGGATCGGCAATGCGCGCGTCTTGATCAAACTGACCACCTGATCGTAGAAAATGTCATACAGCCTGACTTCCGCTGGGATGCCAGGCTTCGTGTCATCCCGATTCTCGACTGTACTCTCTTCCTTCGGTGGCTCAGAAGTCTCAGCGCTCTCTGCTGCCGGCTCTTCGGTGCCGTTCTCAGTAGCATTTTCTTTGGAGCTTTTGTTAGCACTGGCATCCTTTGCCTCTTGGGCTTTGGTCTCTTTAGCAAGCTCAAGCTTCTCCAATAGACGGGTGACAGCTTCTTCCTCGCTCTGTTTCTTAGCTTCTGGCTCCACTGCCGCATCTGCTTCCCTTGATGCGTACGAAGATAAACGGTCCATGAGCCCGATGACGATTTTCTTCAGATCGACATGCGGATTGAGTCTAGCAATAGCGGATAATAGAAGGTCCAATGTATGCAGATGGAACTCATCTGGGAACACCTTTGTGATGACTATGATAATATTAGCAACATGTTCCATCAATTAAATTCAAGATGATGGAGTCATACCTTCCAGGAGATATTCTTGCGCGAGGACATCTCTGCATTGTACAACCTGCTCCAAAAGCGCTTGCAGAATGCCATTTTTGTATCCTTCGAGATCAACAAGCTGACTGAGTCGAACAACGTTACTACCGACAAGTAGCTCCAGTTCACGTCTTTCTTGGATCCGCCTCTCCCGTTCTCGTGAGGGGCCTTGGTGCTGAAGCCGGACCCAGAGCTTATTCATTTCCACGAAATTCGTCAAAACAAAATTGATCGAATCTTGCATATTTCCCTCTGGACCATCGCCGGTTCCTGAGGGCAAGTAGTCCCTCGCTTGACCAGAGAGGTAGTATCGCAGGAACAAACCACGGATCGGGTGTTGGACACCTCTGCTCATCTCCATCATGTCCTTCATGATTTCCTTGACCGGCGCATCTTCGACGGACATATAGACGGTGCCGACAGTAATCATTAGGTACAATCGGGGGACAATATTGCCGGCATATTGGACGAGCTCGTATAAGTCGGCTAGGTGGTTGACGGGGTGGTTCTCCTTTAGGTAGACGGATAAGTGTCGCAATGCATCAAAGACGGCCATGTACAATTCGTAATATTGTTTCGGGCCAAGACTAGGGGTTCGTAGTTCGGAGACAAGAGTCGAGCTATAGCACGTTTGACCAAGCTGTTAGCACATAGCCGCGCACGTTCCGAGGTCGCTGCCTGGAGCGAAACTCACCCGCATTTGAGCGCATCCATGAGCTTTCCAGGAGTCTCTAGACATTTGCGCATCAGACTCGACTGCTGCCTCACCACCCCCAATGCCTCTTCGAGGAGGCGGTTCTGGTCCTCGGTGACGGGTGGTGGGCTAGCCATCGTGGGACAGGTGAGGGGCGGAAGCTAGGAAGCTGAGGAGAAAGCAGGGCGAACACATGCACTTCAAATACAATGATCTCGCGAGTGTAATCCGATCGAGTGATCAAAACGGTGGAATTGGGAGTGGGGAGGGAAGAGCGGTAGGAGGTGAGGTGGAGGATCAACTGTGACACCCAAGCTTAGGGACATTCCCCGAAACGTCACTAATTACGGCAACAAATAGCAACAATCTGGTCAATTATCTGCAGTGGCTTTTTATGCCCATATCATGACATTATAACCATTTATTAAAGTATTCAGGTTTTGGTAATAACCAATGTGTGGCTTACGGTATATTGAACTTTTAAAAACGAACGTGAAATAAAAGGCACAAATGCTTTCAGAAACTAACTGCTCCTATTTAATGGAACTCAAACATATCAATTTCCCAGATCCCATCGAGGGATCCGAGGCGTCAATGATTATATACAGGAGAGACAACCTGGCAAGAGAAGACCCGGGTGCGACAAACGAACACGTGGCGAGGCATGATGTTATCCATGCAGTTCACCAGGTGAGCAGATATCGTCACAGACATCACTCTTCATCAGCCGCGCAGAGCCCGGGTGTCGAACTTTTCTGCCAAGGAGGCCCCCCAGGAGCAATCTTGTAAAGGGATTTCTTGTTTTGTTTTCAACAGATTTTGCCCCAATCGCTTTTGGTGAACCAGCCAAGAAACGCCATGGATATCAAAGTACAGAAATATAATGGTCAAGGCGACTTCAGGGGGTCACCTATTCTTTCCGAACGTGGAAGTCCACGTTGCGCTCGCGCATCAGCGCCTTGCGCTCCTGTTCCTTGGCTGTGGAAGTGCGTTAGCAATGTTTCAAGTATTTGTAAATTCGGGATCCGCATACCTTCGTCGTAGACCAAGAATTCGTGCAGACCGCGGCCGGAGGGCACCATGGGAAGAACGGGGACCTTGCGGTCGGTGATGACCTCCAGGAGAGCAGGGCCATCGTGCTCGATCAGCCACTTCAACTTCTCCTCAATCTCGGAGGGCTTGAAGCAACGATCGGCAGCAACGCGCATAGCCTTGGCGAGAGGAACGAAGTCGGGGTTCTGCTGGTGGGTGTGGGAATAGCGGTCTTCGTAGAACAGATTTTGCCTGAAAGAAGTCAGTGAGAGAGCCCGGAGAATATTGCATACTATAACTTACCATTGGGTAACCATGCCCTGCTCCTCGTTGTTAAGCAGGAGGACCTTGACGCCAATGTTAAACTGGGCAGCAGTGGAGAGCTCAGTGAGAGTCATGTTGAAAGAAGCGTCACCGTCGATATCGATGACAAGGCAGTCCGGACGGGCCACCTTGGCTCCCAGGGCGGAGGGAAGACCGTAACCCATAGTACCGAGACCACCGGAGGTGATCATGGTACGAGGGTGACGCCAGCGGAAGTGCTGGGCAGCCCACATCTGGTGCTGACCGACACCAGTGGTGATGATGGTCTTATCCTTCATGTGGGCAGTGAGGTCGCTCAGTTTCTCAATAACAGCCTGGGGCTTGATGGGACCATCGTCGGTCTGGCGATCGTAGAGCGACAGAGGGAAGCGCGTCTTCCAGTCGTTGATTTGCTCGAACCACTCAGGCCGCTCGGAGACTGCCTTGACGTGGGGCAACAGAAGACGAAGGTTGTCGGCACAGTCACCCTCAACAGCCTCGTTGGCCTGAACAACCTTGTTGATGTTCTTGGGCATGATCTCGAAGTGCACGATACCACCACGGCCCTCAGCAGCGGCAAGCTTGGCCTGAGGGGCGAACTTGGGGATACTGAGAGTCACACGGTCATCGAAACGAGCACCAACAGCGATGATGAGATCAGACTCCTGCATAGCCATGTTGGCATAGGCGGACCCGTGCATACCCAACATATGAAGGGCCTTAGGGTCCAACTCATCGAAACCACCAAGACCCTGGAGGGTGGTGGTGACGGGAATGCATGCCTTGTCGGCGAACTCTTTCAAAATCTTGGGACCATCAGGGCGAGCAAGAAGACCCTGTCCAACATAAAGGATAGGCTTCTTAGCGATGTTAACAAGGTTAGCAACGCGGCCGATGGTGCTCTCGAGCTGCTTCTGGCTCATCTCACGGGCAGCCATGGCAGCTGCGCTAGGGAGCGAGGGGACGGTGCTGTGCATGGGGATAGGGTTGCGGAGGATGCCAGCAGTAACATCCTTGGGCAAGTCAACAAGAACGGGTCCGGGACGACCGCTAGTGGCAATCTCGAAGGCCTCTTGGATGCGGCGAGGCAGCTCACCAACGGACTTGACCATCACGTTCCACTTGGTGCAGGCGCGAGAGATACCGATGACATCGGCTTCCTGGAAAGAATCGGTTCCAATCGCACTGGTAGGGACCTGACCACAGAACACAACCATCGGGGTACCATCGGACATAGCATCTTGCATGGGAGTAATGACGTTGGTAGCACCGGGGCCGGAGGTAACGAGAACAACACCGGGCTTACCAGAGGCACGAGCGTAGCCCTCCGCCATGTGACCGGCACCCTGTTCGTGCTTGGGAAGGAGGAATTCGAAGTGCTTTGAATTGTAGATGGCATCGAACACGGGGAGAATAGCACCACCGGGGTAACCGACTATTTTTCATTAGAATTGATCTGTTGTTGCAATATTATGCATGGAATACTCACAGACGTGCTTCACACCCTGGCGAAGCATCATCTCGTGGAAGATTTCTCCACCACTCATTCCAACCATTCTTTGTACCAATCAATCAGTTCTGGGTTGTTCAAGTCAATAAAAGGGTGACCTACGAGTCATCTAGCTCGGGAAGCTGACGATGTTGCAAAGGAGAAATCTCATTGCGATGGGGCTCCTGGTTGAAGGCAGGACTAGGCACGGGTCTGGATTCCCTGACAATTGGTTAGATCTCATCCAATCTGTCATTTCTGTGTGGTGCTTGAGTAGGACTCACGAAGCAGCGGTAGCTGTACTTTGACCACGCTTCTGGACAGAAGAGCGGTGGGGCGAAGCGGCCGAAGCCACAAACGAGGACGAGAATGGCCTGCGTCCAGCAATGTGCTTTTGGAGGCGGAACGCGCGCAGAGCGCTTTTTGATGGTCTTAAAGGCATCATTGTGAATGACAACCAAGCCAGGAATGTAGAGGGGAGAGTGGCTAAAAAGTAAGGAAAAATAAGTTCCAATTGACTGAAGATTGCCGTGACTCTCTGGGGATCGAGAAAACGCCTTAAACCCAAATGGTCCCACCGCTCTGAGTCAGTCAATTCAGCGCTTCTAATTGGTGAAACGCCCGTCCGCGCCCTCCGACCTCGGCCGTTCTCCAGTCACCTGATTTCAATTTTCGTATTTTTCCTCGGCAGGAAGGTCAACCTCCCCGGCACGCAGATATATGGTCGGTCTATACTTGCATCTACTATAGGAAATTTTGTTAGAATCACATGGATTAAACTAATCTACCTATTTATTAACGACTTTGTACTGCTTCACAATGAGAAACAGACCTTTATACTCTCCAAACCAGGATTGAAATCCGTTGCAGCCTTAGGGCCTGATTTAGATCCCGACCTTTTTTCGGTCTAGTGGGTCTAGATCGGCACGGGGAATCTGGGCCAAGCTTCTCTCTGTACAATGTAAGGACATTGTATAACTTTCTTTTGCGTACAACGTAGATCCCTTACTGCAGTGTTCCACTTGGCCAGTGTATCATTTTCATGAGGCTAGGTTGCACAGGGAGGATAGCATGATCTCACTATGACATCGTGCTTTGAACAGCATACTGTGTGGCAAGACCATTAATCTTGCTGCTATCATGAAGATCGGGTCGTGAAGACACACAAGGCAAAAGAGACTCCAATTTGTAGTAGTTGTAGTAGCGATGGGACCATGAATTGAGTCTTCGATAACCTAGGTACATGGCAATAGACGAAGAAAAGCCACCAGTTTTGGGACACTACAGGCTAACTGGTATATACATAGGTATGTTGAGGTATGACCGACCTGAGACTAGATGAGTCATTTATCAATACTTGATATTTCCAATGTTCATATTTTTACCAATCGCCGTCCTGTTTTTCTTATCTAGACCAGCTCGAGCGGACGTTGTATCATTATCAGAACTCCTCAAGTCGCTGTTTATATCTCTTTGTAAAGTATAGTTATAGATACTTTTTTACGTAAGAAGAGTATAAAGAGGTACCATTTGATATATAATCTGACCAGGGCCTTATATTCATTACTGTTCTCTGTAGACCTTGTCTATTAGTTCTGATTTATATCAATGAATGTAAATTTACCAAGTTCCATGGCTACGGAAAGGTGAAGGAGGCCACTCAAGACGCGGTCAGCAAACCTTGTCTTATAACTAAACCCAGGATATGTACAGCCCTGGAGATTTTAATGTTCTCATTCTACTATAGTGGCTGTACGTACCGCGTCCTATTGGGCATGGCAGCCACCCAATAGCATTCATCCATATACACTTCTACATGTCTAATATTTCTCACTTTACTTGCGACGAGGTACAAATTTAATAAAGTCCTATCAATTCCAACGGAAATCGCCTATACTTCTGCATAAAATGGCGCAATAACGCCGGACGATGAGGAAGAGGGGCGGGAGACGTTTTAGCTCGGGGCCAACTAAGCCCTAGGCGATCCCCACGTCCTTACTATTGGTGTAGACATGTCCGATTGCGCAACCACCCATAGACATTAGATCTAAGTGTATTCCAAGAGCTTGATTCGGATTATCCGGAAGGTTTTGTGCAAGCTTCTTAATCGAATCTGGGGCTAGTTCCTGTTCTAGTTTTGTGGGGCTTAATGACAGGTGCATGCGTATAAAACCTTGCTTATTGTCATTTTCCAGGGGTTTACAATCTACTTTCACTCTTTCATAATTCAATCCATACGCTCACCTTTAACATAATGGGTGACACAGCGAAGAGACCGAATTTCCTGGTCATCGTTGCTGATGACCTCGGCTTCAGTGACATCTCTCCTTATGGAGGAGAAATCAAAACTCCTACACTTGCTAAGTTGGCCAAAGAGGGTATCCGAATGACAAACTTTCACACTGCGTCTGCATGCTCTCCGACTCGTTCTATGCTATTTTCTGGGACAGACAACCACATTGCTGGGCTTGGTACTTGAACTCCGATGTTTGCTATCTCTTTCTCGACTGCTAACTTCTTTCAGGACAAATGGCAGAGTTCATGAGGTCGTTTGGTGACTATTTCAAAGATAAGCCAGGTTATGAAGGTTATTTAAACTGGCGCGTAGCAGCTTTATCGGAGATTCTACAGGATTCCGGATACCACACAATCATGTCTGGAAAATGGTGAGTTTCCAATATTTCACTTCAAACGTGGATTCATTTCAACTAACTGTACTTATGTAGGCATCTGGGAATGACAAAGGAGCTGGCGCCTTGCTCAAGAGGATTCGATAAGAGCTTTTCTCTCCTCCCGGGTGCTGGCAACCATTACAATTATGAACCGCAACTGGATGATGGTGAATTCCAAGCCCCGTGTTTGAACACGAATGGCTTTTGGATGGAGGGCAACGAGCATCTTGATAGGTCAACAGATCTTCCCAAGGACTTTTACTCAACCCGCTCATTTACCGACAAAATGATCGGTTTCCTGAAGGACCGCACGGAGGACGAATCGCAAAAGCCTTTTTTTGCCTATTTGCCCTATACGGCACCGCACTGGCCTCTCCAAGCACCTCGAGAGATTGCCGAAAAGTATGGTAGGTGACATCGAAAGCCTAGTTACCTACCCATTATTGACTGTTCTCAGCGGGAATGTATGATGACGGACCTGATGCCTTGACTCAGAAGCGACTTCGCCGCCTCAAGGACCTGGGACTGGTAGACGAGGATGTGGAGCATGCTTCCCCTGTTGGAGTCCTTGGAAAAAGCTGGGAAGATATGTCACCAGAAGACCGGAAGATATCGGCACGGAAGATGGAAGTTTTCGCAGCAATGGTTGAGCTACTCGATGCTAACATTGGTCGGGTCATTGACCACCTTGAATCGACGGGCGAGCTGGACAACACATTTGTCTTGTTCATGTCTGATAACGGCGCTGAAGGCGCAGCTTTAGAGGCTCTTCCGGTGAGTACTCATGAGTTCAACGTACTGATCTTGACTAACGTGTCATCAGCTCATGGGAGGTGCACGAATGATGGGCGACATTATCACCAAGTACTATAACAATTCCCTGGATAACATTGGTGAACGTGACTCATTTGTTTGGTACGGTATGTACTGCAGGGAAAAATCACCAAACTTACAGCCCAAGATTCCAGTCTAACAAAGTTTCACTAGGTGCTCGCTGGGCATGTGCCGCAACAGCTCCTTCCCGAGGCTTCAAAGGCTGGGTCACAGAAGGCGGCATTCGCTGTCCTTGTGTGATTCGCTACCCTTCTTTCCAGGCCAACCAAGGGGCAATCACAAACTCTTTCACTACGGTCATGGACATTCTCCCAACCATTTTGGAGTTAGCCGGGGTACCCCATCCAGGATCACAATTCCGTGGACGCGAAGTTGTCACTCCAAGAGGCCAATCATGGGTCTCTCATCTGGATTCTGGTGATCTGAAGAACACTAGTGTGCATAAGGAAGACGTCCACATTCATGGATGGGAGCTCTTCGGACAGCGGGCTATCCGCGAAGGAAAATGGAAGGCCGTGTGGATTGCCAAGCCCCGTGGGAAGGAAGAATGGGAACTCTTTGATATTGAAGCTGATCCTTCCGAATTGAACGATCTCGCCGAGAGCAAACAGGATGTTCTTTGTCGATTGATCCAACATTGGGAGCAGTATTATGCGGAGACAGGCATGGTACAAACGCCAACTTTCGGATCAAGGGGGAAGATGTGAAAAGTAACCAATATCTCTTATTTTCTCCCTAGTATTCTACGTACCTTTTGTATTCGCTTAGTATGATTCAAATCCCTTTGCAACTAGGTCAACACTGAAGGTTTCGTGAGCCCACTGTACCTGACCTCCACGTGGGTTCATCGGAACACCCGTCGGTAATTCTATGCGGGCCGATTGGAAATAAGTCGGGATTATCCGAGTATCAAATTTATCATGGACAGAAAGTAAACATATGCAAATATGCACGACCAATCACTTCGTAGAAAGATGATCATTTTGGCTATAAGCTTCTCCGGACTAGAGATGAACAGAAATGAAAAATTGCCTATTTCGTCGAGTTATAGCGTCATAGCCTAATCAGGTAGTAAATGCCCGCGAGCGGAAATGCTAACGACCAATGAGAATCTTCAAATGGAGTACAATACAAATAATATCGAGAGGAGAGACCCGATGTCACCCCGCAGATTATCTGGAATCGGTCACCGGAATCAATATGGCTGAAATTGGTCTATACGCCGTAGTACCTACTCCATAGCACTGACACTTTACCCGGGGTTGGAAACTGGGGCAAATTCTACGGAGAAATTATTGTTCTACATAGCTTGACTTTTTGTTGTTTTCCTTTTCTCTTTTCTCGTTTCTACCTTATTCAATCCTCTTTGCTTTCTCACACTACCCCCACCATGTCATCCCAGGAGCTTGTACCACAAACAGAATCCATTGCGGAGGTCTACGCCACAGATGACGCTTCATTTAACTCAGTTGCACCAGAGCACCAGCAGCGATGGACAAACCTCATCACTCAATTCAATAAAACTTATAACCACCGTCCGGACTTTGTGGCGCGTAGTCCCGGCCGCGTGAACATCATCGGCGAGCACATCGACTACTCACTATACGATGTCTTGCCGACTGCCGTCAGCGTGGACGTGATTATGGCTGTCAAGGTCGTCCCGGCCAGCACCACGGAAAGTACCATCACGATCGCCAATGTCTCGCCGGAGAAATTCCCCACCCGTGAATTCAGCGTGTCACACGATAAAGATGTCGAGATCGACCCCAAGAAGCACGAGTGGGTGAACTACTTCCGCGCCGGCCTGTCCGGTGCCCTCAAGTTCCTGCGCAAGGAGAATAGCTCGCTCGTCCCTGCCAGCATGCAGATCTTGGTCGATGGAAATGTGCCCCCAGGCGGTGGTATCTCCAGTAGTGCAGCCTTCGTTTGCGCCAGTGCTCTGGCTGTCATGAAGGCCAACAACCACAACGTTTCCAAGCAGGATCTGCTAGACCTGGCTGTTGTCTCGGAGCGGGCTGTGGGTGTCTACTCGGGCGGGTAAGCAATAATAACTTAACTTCAAACCGACACCAAATTCTCCGAAAGCTGACAACCCGTGTATATAGCATGGACCAAGCAGCATCAATCTTCTCCAAGCGCGGCTACCTGCTGTACACCGCATTCTACCCCCAATTCGCCGCGCACCACGTAGCGATCCCCAAAGCCGCCGACGAAATCACCTTCCTCATGGCACAGAGCTTCGTCACCTCCAACAAGGCCGATACCGCCCCACGCCATTACAACCTGCGCGTAGCAGAGTGCACTCTCGCCGCCGTGATCCTCGCCAAGCACCACGGCGTGACCCTTCCAAAGGATAACAGCTCCCTCGGCTACAGCCTGCGCAACTTCCACAACCAGCTCATGACCAAGGAAGGCCGTCTGGGTGATCCGCTGGAGTACCAGATCGACTCCGTGATCCAGGCGACGCAAGACCTCTTTACGAAGGAGGAGGGCTACACTCGGGAAGAGATGGCGCAGCTTCTAGGGCTCAGCGTATCGGAGCTTGAATCGACCTTCCTTTCAGCATTCCCCGTGCAGGCGGAGCGATTCCAGCTCCGACAGCGAGCCTTGCACTGCTTCAAGGAAGCACGCCGGGTCCTTGATTTCAAGGCCTGTTTGAGTAACGCGAAGGAGTTGGACGAGAAGCGCATTCACTATCTTGGACAGTTGCTCAATGAATCGCAGGAGTCGTGCCGTACAGCCTATGACTGCAGTGCGCCGGAGGTTGATGAGATATGTACCATTGCGCGCAAGGCGGGCACTTGGGGCTCACGGTTGACTGGTGCCGGATGGGGTGGCTGTACTGTGCATATGTTGCCGCAGGGCAAGGTCGAGGCTGTTACTGCTGCACTGAGGGATGAATATTATCTCAAGAAATTCCCGGATATCAGCAAGGAGAAATTAGAGCAGGCTATGGTTATTAGCAAGCCGTCCAATGGGTCATTCTTGTATGTTGTCCCTGTTCTAAGGTGTGCTGAATGAAGCTAACGAATCTACAGGGTTACGGGAGCTGCTATTGACCAGATCCCTCTCTAAATGCATTTTTTTCTCTGGAGGAAAGGCTGTATGGAATGGGCCGTTGATGATATTCGATTTGAAAATTCCAAAATCAGTTTCATCCTTCATCAAATCTTCGATAGTATACATGAGACGGCATGCAAATGCGCCGATGTAAGGGAATGATGCCTCACAAGATCACATGGGAAAAGGCATCTTCCTTCCAGAGTGTAGGTTAGAAATCTGCCGAGAATGGGTCTGTTTGTAGAACGCGAGTCTCTTGGCTCGACCTCCCTCCTTTGCTTGTGCCAGCAGTCCATTGGACCTGGTCAATAGACAAGAGGCCAGACCAACTTGTCGAGGAAACATATTGGCAGAACCGTCGACTGCAGATCATGCCGGTGGTGCTTCGAAGCCAGACAGGCGTTTGACCGCGTAACACGCGGCCATATTATAGTTCCGTAGGCTGTGCGCCAAGAGCCTCAAGTCTTTTTTTTTGGGAGGGGCCTTGGCGAAGAAAGAACTCATCTTCGCCATTCCAGTTGTGTTCACCTTCTTCAGGTTCTTGACTGCCTGGGACTCCGCAGCTTTGGTCTTTTTCTCTTCCTCGTCCTTGCGGCGCTTCTTTTCGGCTCTTGTGTCCTCCTCCTCATCATCAAGACCTCGCTTCCTTGTGAAGTTGGACATGTCACGCGAGGCGAGGGCTTGAGCACGAAGCTCCGCGATTTCCTTGAGACGGTCTTTCAAGGGGTTGAAATCGAGGGGGCTTTCTGCGGAGGCGAGAATTTCATCTATTCGCACTGCCATAGCAGCGGGCAAATACGTTTCCTTCATGAAAGACAGTGCAGTAGAAATTTGGAGTAACCGAGTGACATGATCTGAAAACGTGGAGTCTTCGCCAGCTGCCTGTGGTGCAGGTGTGGATTCTCCCGCAGGCGTCGAGACCGAAGGCGTAGTAGCCGTTGTCAGAGTTGATGGAGAATCTTGTCTTTCCTCAGATGTGGAGACTGATTCACTCTCGTTAGATGGCTCCTGGCTGATCACTACGTCTTCTCGCTTAACTGCCATAAGCGGAGTAGCCAGTACCTGGCGAACAAAGCGTTCCTCCAGGCTGACAGGAAGTCCTCGTTCCACCATACGTTCTGCCTTTGCGATCAATTCCCTAACAAGTTTCATCTCACTGAATCGGAACATCTTCTCATCCCCGGCTTCGACCACATCGCAAATGGCTTCAACCCGCAACAAGAGGGAGGCTCGGAACACTTCATCATAGAGAATTCGACGTAGATGTTTGGGCATGTCGTCGTGCGAGTCGATGATGTCGTCCAATGGCTGGAAAAGAGAGGGTCCCGATTTCGGTGACGATGCCAGCAATGAGACCATGAAGAATAAGGCATCAATTGGTGTTGCTATTAGTAGCTCTGCCTTCTTCGTAATTAAGCCTTGCGCAGATGGCTTGACGCTGTCCTTGTCTTCGCCTTTCGATAGTATCGCCGTTTCGCGCGATTGAGGGGTGAAAAGTATACTGCGCGCCATATGTGCTGGCGGCGCAACAACTGTGAATTCATATATGCCACGTTTCGGACAGAAAAAGTAGCGGGCTAGCTTCCCCGACTGGGGTTCTGGCAGGGAGAGTAGTCGTGCATTTTTGCTTGAGGAGGACGGGAGGATGAACGTTTTGCTTGGTTTTTCCGATGAAACAAGGGTTTTAGTTTGGGTCTGTTCTGTGGGCTTTGCCGATTTAGAGGCTGGAGCTGATCTGGTCCTCATGGTGTGAAGCTGTTGGTATAAGCGAACTTGTAGAAGGTAGTATAACGTAGAGTGGAAACGGAAGGGGAAAACCGCACGACGCGCCAGAACGCGACTTCCCGGCCCAATCAGCTACGAGCGCGATCCGTCACTTTCCCTTGCATTAGCGAGTTTCAGCCTTCAGCTTCGGACATTATTGATTGTATTCTCCTTCTATTTTGATTCTTAGCACTTGGGCACTTGGGCACTTGATTCTCAAAATTCCTATCCACAACAACTCTTACTCTACCGGAGGGACCTCATCGCCGCATGGAAAAGTGATTACATCTGAACCCTCTCATCAGTAAGTCGCTACGAATCCCCGCGGAGATTGATTTCTGACATTTCCCAGTGGTTGAGCCCATGTGGCCACCCCAATCGCCTCGCGCAGTCATGTTGAGTTCACCAGCCGGACGCCGGAAGTATCAAGACATGCAACGAACCCGAGAGAACTTGACTTCGCCCTTGAAGCGCTCAAGCACCACGCCCAATTTACGATCCAAAATCAATCAATTGTTAGACGAAGATGACGCCGAGGAGGAAGATGAAGAAACGCTACAGCTTCAATTAGCTGAGATCAAAGCGCGCCTCAGATTGAAGAAACTCCAGCAAAAGAATCGTGGACGGTCGAGCTCGATTCTCGAGGAGGAGGATGCACGACCCACCTCTGCCATCAGTGCTTCACGGATAGAACGTACAGAAAGGACGGAAGATCGCAGCCACGCACCCCGAAGCGCAAAAGCCATCATTCGAAAGACCAGCAGTGATGCGATCCAAGTTCCAGCATCCCCTACGAGGCGCGAGGCTCCTGTCAAGGACCCCATGTCACCTCGGAGATATTTGATGGGCATTGACAAAGGTTGGAAGGCCAATGATGTATCGTTAAAGCGACCCCCGAGCTCCAAAACCGACCCTCGACCAAGCAGTCACATGGGCTTCCGAGATGGCGCCACACCGCGCGCTAATGATTTGTTTTCTTCTCGACCTCAGACTTCCCCTGGAATGGGAGGGCTTAATCGAATCAAGAGCTTCAGTGAGAGAATGGCCGAGGGTAGGGCGGCCGAAAAAGCCGAAAAGTCTCGTTTGGAGAGAGCAGAAAAAGCCCAGGCCAACCGCAGTTCGGCCTTTCAAGTCGACAAGTCAGAGCTGGAGACTTTTAAAGCCGTGGCTGCGGAGCAAAAGCACACGCCTCCACCTTCTTCATGGGAGCGGCCGGTTGAAAGCTTCAGCCGTGAGGATGTTCTTCGATCTATGAGTCAATTTCGACAACCTGGGTTACAACGTAGCAACACGACCCCAAACCTTCGGCGAACCGAAGGCAATGGCCACTGTGAGAGACCATCACATCTACACAGGCGAACTAATACAGCAGACCAGCAGCCAGCAGACAAATCGGACGATGCTGTGGTGAAGGCACCAGACTCTTCCAAATTCGAGTCATACTCGTCACTACATCTTTCAAATAGAGTCCTCCCCCACTCCTTTTTGAGCCGCACACTCGCAGACAAAAGAGTTCTGCGCATCCCTGATCTACTCAAAACAGTCAAGGCGCCTGCATTCGAGCTTCCGGATGATATTGATGGAGACTTCGTCCTATTTGGGATTGTTGCGTCCAAGTCTGATCCCAAGGATAAGAAAACTTCAGGCAACGCGTCTGCGAAAGAGAAGGACCCATATGATGATGGTCTGAACAACTCGGGCAAATACATGGTTATCACCCTGACCGATCTAAAATGGACGATTGACCTCTTTCTCTTCGACACTGCTTTCCCTCGCTATTACAAGGTCTCAGAGGGGACGCTCATTGCAATTCTCAATCCTACAATTATGCCTCCCCCAAAGCATAAATTTGACACAAACAGATTTAGCCTGTCACTGTCATCGTCTGATGATAAAGTGCTCGAAATTGGCTACGCACGCGATATAGGGTTCTGCAAGACCGTGAGGAAAGACGGAAAGACGTGTCAATCTTGGATAGATGGTCGAAAGACTGAATTCTGTGACTTCCACGTCGATGTCCAGATCAGACGAACGCAGGGCCAACGCTCAGGAGTCAATGCCGACACTGGAACGCTCGGCCCTGGTGGGTCGCGCACCGGATTCTTCGGCGAGGGAAGAAAGCGAGGCAGTTCTTTCAAACAAGGCTTGAAACATGAAGGCCCTCAATATGACCAAGGAACTGGGTCACACTACTATGTTGCGCCTGCAAGGAACCGTGGTGCTGGTCGGACGTCTTACAATCCTGCTGGAGGGTCAGCGGCTGGGTATGACGACCCATTTGTCGCCTCGGGCATGGTTGGTCGCGGTGAAAGCAAGGAAGAGAGAATGCGCAGACGGCTTGCGACCCAGCAAAAAGAGCGTGATATCACCCAAAAGCTGGTTTCTGGTCGTGTCGGTGGTGTAGGTGCCGAGTATCTCCGCACAAGAGCCGGAAACGAAACTCCAAACAAGCAGAAAGGCCCATCCACCCCCGGCGTTCCCAAAAGCCCTCCAAATGTCAATGGCATCGACATGACCACTTTTGGCAAAGCAAAGAACGTCCGTTTGAGTCCAATGAAACGTGCTCATGACAAGCCCCATGGTAGTGGGGTCAAGAAGACACGGTTCATCACTTCCAAGGGTATCAGGGAGGCTGGCCGGGAGAGCCTGGGAGCACCAGCTGAGGTCACTGCTCGGGGTAGGCAGATAATGATGGATGAAGATGACGACGATGACGAGCTAGAGTTCATTTGATACTCTTGATTGCCCGCCCATCCGTCATTTCATCTCAGACCTTTGTCAATGGGAGTCCCTTAACGCTGTTACGAATTCAAAGCATATCCTGGTTGCATTGGGTGGATTGGTTTTTGTTGGAGTTTACAAAGAGCGGAGTGGCTATAACACCTGCCTGAAGCGGCTTGATGGTCAATGTACTTGTACTTTCAATCCAGGAATTTGTTGAGCTTGTCCCAGTTCGTAGGCGTACCAAGAAGTGGAGGCCGAAAAGTAGAGGCCAACAAATTCCAAGAGATGATCGAGGGACTACCTATTTTCAAAATTATAAGTAGCAAGTAGTTCAGAAAAGATTTGTGATTTCATTGTGTTGTTTCGCTATTCTTGCTAAGTTCCTCCCTTGAAGCGATTGTCAACAATCCCAGGCAAATAAACACAAACGCCGCTGTCCAGCCAATGTTGTCGTTAGGTATCCTTCAAGTGTCCCAAATCCAAACGCCAGTTGACGAAAAAAAAATTGAAAAAGAACGCATAGAAAGAACTCCAGACCGCGCGAATACATGATGATCATGGGGACGAACAGAAAGAAGAAAAGATGAACGCAAGCTAGAGGTGTGTTATGCACACAAAAGAGAAAGCAAAAAGATTGCTGCACACCCAGCGCCAAGCCCAGCGCAACGCAAACGTGAAAGTAGTGAGAATAATTTAAAGCGCTGAAACAACCATGGAAAGTGAAAATGAAAGAACTGTGAAACCGAAGTGAACAACCTAGACATCGGTGCTGGGCGCCTCCTCGGCTGAAGCCAGGGCAGCAGAGGCCTCGGCGCGCTTGGCCATCCGGGTGCGGGGATGGGGACTGCCGCGGGCTTCCCGGTGGCGCTTTGTGCGGTCAGCGGGGGTCTCCAGCTGGCGGGCCCGAGTCTTCCTGGCGGCTGTCCAGTAGTCAAAAAGGCTTCCTCCAGTGCCGGAGCCCTGGGAATTGGCACGGAGTTCCCGGGGGAAAGGAGTCACACCGGTGAGGGATTGGCTCAGTGTAGAACAGTGGGAAGGGGAACGAAGGTCCTCGGAGAAAGGGGTTCCACTATAAAGGGACGCAACATCGCTACCAACCGAAAGAGGGTAGCGCAGGCCGCTACCACCACCAAGGTCAGAGCCTTCGGGCTCCACAGGGTCGTTGTCATAGGTGTAAGTGGCATGGTTAGGAGAGGGAGATACGACCTCGTTGTCCTCGACATCGGTAACATCTTCTTCGTTTTCCAAAACCTCGGCGTCGTTAAGAGGCTTGTCATCAAGACGGAAGAGAACTTTGGGCTTGATGTCGCTACGTTTCAAAGGCTTGATACCCTTCAAGCAGTCAGAGTTCTTGGCTAGAAGGTCAGGGCGACTAGCGAAGAGGCCGAGATCAGATTCATCTTCGCCTTCATCCTCCATTTCATCAAAGGGCCGGTAAATCTTCTTGCCGCGGCTGGGAACTATGTTAGAGTGCATGGTATATCAATTATAAAATAAGGATTTACTTACCAAACATACCAAGCTCCCTCATCGTGGGCGGTAGTCGAGCGAGTCGCTGGTCTTCTAGCAGCAGAGCTTTCAGGCTTGGTGAATGGGTTGCCCTTCGAACTATCGGTCACGGGGATTTGATCACGTGCATCAGTATGAATGGAGATGGCAGTCGAAGAAGAGGCACCACGGCCCAATTTCTCTCCCAGAGCGCGATCAGAATGAACTTTGAAAGGCTCATACGATAAGGGGTGGGGCTCGTCCAGTTGATCGGAAGATTCCATCTTTCTGCGCTTGGAAGTAGAGCTTGGAGGGAAAAGAGCACGAGAAGTAATAGAGCCAGAATTGATTTCCTTCTTCCTTGAAGGAGTTTTCGCAGGTGTGGGTAAAGCCCGTTCTGCAGATGAACGGGAAGACTGGTGTGCAGAAGTGCGGGGATGTGAAGGTTCTGAGTCGAATGGAGAGACGCGAGAGGAGGAAGATTGATGGGTGCGGGCAGCTTTTTTAGGCGAAGGTTTCACAGTCCCAGGCGAAGAGGGCGAAAGAGTTCTTTTAGCTGTTCCAGTTTTCGTAGATACGCTTGGGTGGCTTGGTGGTGGCGTAGTCCGGGGAACCTTTGCCATGCGTTGATTTGCAAGTCTGGTGGAAGAACGTGTAGGATATGGTTCATAATTGTCATATTTAGGGCCATGGCGCGGAGCTCGAGGTTCCCGAAGCATGGAAGGTGACGGCGGCGGTGGTGTTGATGCCATCTTGACTTGAACCACGAGTGAACGACCGGTAAACGAATTGAGATCTTCAAAACAACAATGTCGATGGTATACTATTCACGATTGAACTTGGCGTTTTTTTCGGTAATCAGCAATCTTATTTAGGCGTCGAGGATGGGTGTTCGTTGGATCAAGGGTGGAACGCGTCCAAATTGAATGACTTCCGATGACAATGATAGAAAACTCGGTGATGATGAAAATCAGAAAAACGACCCGACCGAAGAACTGTAAATAACGACGTAGACGATGCGGCGAGAACAAAGAACGATGTTTTGGGGACGAAGGAAGGGTGAAGTTGTTGACAAGGGCTAGACGATTGTCGCCCAGCCACCGACTTGTCTCACCGCCTCAAAATTGGGGTGGCTGAAAAACCCCCGCGTCAACAATCTTTTGACCTAAATTGATCTGCACTAATACAATTTGTATTAGATGCTTATTTTCGATTGCAAGCACTGATCTCAAATCTAATAACTATCATTCGCTTCTTACAATAATTTGATCAAGCTCATTTCATACGATTTGAGAATTGATTCATCACCTCTCCATACATTGCTGCTCCAATACCTTCTGCACTTTCAACATGACCTTTCGCACCACAGCAGAAGAAATTGAGAGACTCCAGCTATCGGATGACGATACGGAGGACCTCTGGAACTCTCCGTCGAAGCAAAATATTAAAAATAAAGCTTCTGTCCAGAAAGCTACGCCTGAACCTCAAGCTTCCCACGACGATGGTGATCCGCTTTATGATAGTCATGAGGCACGAGAAGCGGCCCTTCGAACCGAGTTACATGGCGTGCGAAATATCAACCAGGTCATTGAAGGACTTCTAAGCAGTCTGGACTCTGCTAAAGGAAATATGGAGGTACGGCATCCATGTCAACATTCATTGAGGACTCTAGCTAATTGTTCTACATAGACGGTCTCCCAGACCGTTACCTCAGCCTCAACTCTCCTAAATACATGGACTCGCATCCTCTCCCAAACCGAGCATAATCAACGACTAATCCTCAATCCGAACTGGCAAGGCGCTACTCAGGATGTGGCCGATATCGAAAACGAGGCGATTCAAAGGCAACAGGCGGCAGAACGACGCGAGCTTGCACTCCAGCAACAGAGAGAGGCTGCAGCGCGGAAGGCCGAGGAGATTGAAGCTCGACGAGCGCAAGCCACACGAGGCACCCGAGGCACTCGAGGAATCCGAGGGACCACCAGGGGCACAGTTCGAACCACTGGTCTGGGAAGGACTCCCAGTGTGAGTACTTCGCGGACAGCAACACGGGGATCGACAACAACTCAGCGCCCAGCCAGTGGAATCGCCCGTGGGAGTGGAATCGCCCGTGGCCGTGGAAAGGCCTAAGTGGACTTTGCACTGTAATTTCATGTACAAAAAAATACTGTCAACCAATGACACCAAGATAGACAATATGATATGATACCCATTTCTTTGATGCATTTTCGCCTGAGGCCGCAATCACGCGTCCGATATGATAGCGATAAGGACCTACCCCGAGTATTTATTCCCCTGTTGGTACAGCGTTCCAACCGTTCCAGGGTTGTAATCCTTCTTCCAAATTCCAAAAACACAATGAATTTCGCTCCATATCAAGATCAATCACCAGAGCTTGAGCGCGCTCTATCGCCTCCTCCTGCAGAAGGCCACCGAGTAATATCCCCAAACCTCCGCTCACCACGAGCTTCGGCCGACCTATCCTCCCCAAGTCACTTTGTTCGTGGCGGACATGGTAATACAGGATTTGGACGAGAGTTTGAGGGTGGGCATGTGAGTCTCGGGGCGTTTGAGACAAGTCTTCCGATTCGTATGGATGTTGAAGCAATGTTGGCATACTTGCTTCTGCCTCCGGCGGGGGGTGTATTTTTACTACTAACTGAACACAAGAGCGATTATGTGCGGTAAGTGATTATACTTGGATACTTTGCTACATTCAAATTACGGATGCTGAACCCTGCTGTAGATTTCATGCTTGGCAATCAAGCATGCTGTTCGCTGCTATGTTTGTGAGTAGTTGTCCATCTTCATCAGTCTCGCTCACACACTGATATGACACAGATTATTCACCTGCTCTTCTGTTGGTCGAGCTTCCTTTCCTGGACATTTCTCCTGATCGATCTTATTTTGATCGGCTTTCTCAGCATGCATGCCTATCAAGATGGTGAGCCCTGTGTTCCAGGTCGACTATTTATGTTTATAATTGGCAAGCTGATCAATCTATCTGTTTCAGTCGAAACCTTGGACCATTTTGAAGTTCCATTCTTTGGCCGCCTGGCCAACTCTTTTGTTGATGATGAGTGAACATAAGTAGTGCCTTTCTTTGGGATTTGATGCACTTGAATTGAAACCGCGAATAACGTCTATTCTTCGTATACCCCTGTCTAATAATGATTGCAAGCTTTGTTTTTTTTGGTTCTTGCGCAGTCTATGCTTGGATTTTGTGGACATTGCTGTTGATTACAATTTATTGTAAACTACGGACGTATTAATTACTGCACCTAGTTAGTTTTGCCAAGAGACACCACGACATAAGACTCGTCCTAGCCCTTTCTTGTCCTTATTTGAGACCATTTTAGGAGAACACTAGTTAGTATCTCAGATACAGCTCGTTTGAGCAGGTCTGACTAAAATTAAGTTCTATATGGTGTTCGTGTATTTTTGGATATCGATTTTCGAACAGACCTTGAGAGACATTTTATCAACGTTCCCATTGAGTCCAAGGCACGACAATAACACTAGAAGTGCAATCAAGTTATTGATTTTTATAAAATCATATATGCCGATGGTCGTTCATGGTAAATCAACAGTTGTAGTGGTCAGCCACCAAAGATCTGGTGCACCGGTCAAACCAGCGATAGCAATTGGAGAGCTTGAATCTTGAGTGTGAGCTCGTTCAGTATGTATATTTGGTCTGTGTTCATAACAGGGCAATAGGTACTCACGCGCCCTGGGCGCGTTCTAAATAGGCGCGATAACGTTGCCAGTACGCCTCAACATAGATTCTGCAGTAGGAGCAGGTGCGAATGAAAAGATTGGAATAATGAATCCAGCCCTCAACATTAGACTTAGGCAAGGAATGGAACAACTGTGAACCGCCATGTCATCAGATCCGGAGTTTGATATTAGTCACCACATGTGATGGCCCCCAGCCCTAAATGCTCATCGAACTACATGTAGTACGAAAGTCTGGCAACATGTCTTGCTCCTAAGCCTCCAATCTTGACCTGGGGCTATGGACCTCAGGGTATTTCATACTCTACTCCGGAAACCACAGCCCCATACTCGAAAAGCAGATGACCGGCCCTGGAGATATATTCTCTTGCTGCAGAATGGAAGAGAAAGACATTGAAAAAGACTAATGGGAAGAATGATGAGAGGACTAATGAGAGGACTGATGGAAAGACCTTGATAGTTATATATGAAAAGATAATCATAATAAAAGGCCATAATATGTCGCTAGACTTTCCACATCTAATAGAGGGTACATACGATCCTAGATGTCCACTAAATGCAATTACATCTTCATTTGAGGGAGCAAAGTCCAAAGTCCACTGACATCCATTTGTTTGGCTCCATCACTATCGTATCCATACTGTTTACATGAAACCATTCAAAACATATCACAACAAGAAAAGGCATAAATTAGAACAAAAAGCTTCGTTTCCTCCATAACAATTGAGCGAGTGTCCAAATCCAACTCAGGGAAAGGGGCGGGAACAAAACATAAAAAAGGGGGAATGGAAAAGAATTTCAAAAGACCACCAAGTTGAACCTTCACGGCCCGAGATTGTTCATCATACAATCTCGTTTGAACAAATCTCCGAGATGACAAAATTCACAGGAAGCGCAAGATCATAAGATTCCCAGAACCCACGCTAAATCATTCAAAACATCGATTAGAACAGAGAAATAAGATTCAACAGGCTGTCCAAAGATGTCAAGACGGGACTGTAGCACCATGGTGAAAACGAAAGAGCAATAGAGGTAGAGTAAAAAGAGAAGATCGTCAATGTGCAGAGATGGTCGACGGAAAGCATGGTATCTACGTGAGAACATGAGAAAGGATATCTCCGTCAGGACGAGTTTTGCAAGGGTCGTAGCGGGTCGTGAGATCAAAAGGGTATTTAAATGATTTGAAGGTAGTTGCTTGGCACAAGACCAGGATGGCCACGAGCATTGGTGACTTCAGCTTCCCACCATCCGTCATCTTGGAGACGAAGAACGGCAAGAACATCGCCCTTGCCAAAGCCGAGCTCTTCGGGAATAACAGCATTGTACGTGTACATGGCGCGAGCTAAGAGAAATCGAGTAAGTATAGCTGCACAAATCAATAATCGGGGGAATGCTTACCGAAATGCAAGATTGGGCGACCATCGCGGCTGAATTTGCGTCCAGGCTCCGCGACAGCCAGGGTGCGACTCCTGGATCGTCCAAGAGGGGGAGCACCATCACCATAGGTCGATGATGGGCGGCCACTTGATCGAGTTGAGCCTGCGTAACTACCTGGGCTACTGGCTCCGTACATATCATGGCTACCTGACAGCTGCAGCTCCATGCCACCAGCACTTGAAGGGCGGGTTTGCTGTCTGAACTGAGGCTGGGGAGAAACTGCACGGTGGCTCATAGCCGGCGAGGGCCTGCGTGCAAAGTCGTTGGGAGAGTAGGGTGGATCTTGGGTGCGACGGGGAGTGGGTGATTGGCTGTATTGGCTTCGCATGCTGTTCGATTGGTATGTACTCGGGCTAGGGCTTGGCCCTCTGCCACTGTTTTGGCTCATCCGAGTATCCACACGAGGTGCAACCTGGGGACTAACGCTCCGCCTCGGTGCGGGTGCTGGCGATCTAGCCCGGGGAACTTCTTGCGGTTGACCACTTTGCCGAGAGCCCATGCTGTTGTTGGCCCCTCGAAGCATACTTTGGGTTTGGCCAGTGTACTTCTGGGTTGTTTTGTGCATTTGCTTTGCGGTGAATGCTGGTTGAGGTGCACCCAGTCGCTTGACTGATGGATCATTGTATGCAGGTGGAGCGGCAGCACCAGTATTGCTGCCACCGTAAGTGGAGGAGGGTGCCGATGGAGTGGGCGTAGAGATACCATGGTATCTATCCGCCGATACTCGAGTAGCTGACTGCTTTCCGCTTGTCTTCAAGTCGGCTAGAGCGCGCGCAATAGGGTCCAAATCATCTTCGGCTCCCTGTGCTGGCTGCGTTGCTTTGTTAGGATTGTTCTTTTCAGGGGATGCGACATCGAAGACATTGTTTCCAACGTTCAGCTGGAAGTTGGCCCGGGGATCGACAGGTTCCGGGCTTCCAGAGAGGCGACCAGAAGGGTCTGCCGTGGGTTTGGTTGGGCTGATTTGCTTTGTTGGGCTGATTTGCTTTGGTGGGCTAACCTGCTTGGGTGGACTGACTTGCTTGGGTGGACTGACTTGCTTAGGTGGGCTAACCTGCTTGGGTGGGCTAAACTGCTTGGATGGGCTAACCTGTGTGGATGGGCTAACCTGCGTGGATAAGCTGTCCTGTTTGGGTGGGCTGACCTGTTTAGGTGGACTCATTTGTTTGGTCGGGCTCATTTGCTTGGTTGGCGAGTCCCAGCCTCCGCGGGGAGCTGAGGTTGAAATGGTCGGCTGCGAATAAACAGCCGGCTGTGAAGAGATCGCCTGCTGTGAAGGAATAACGGGCCTTTCTTTATCATGGCGACTCTTGCGACGGAAGGGGCTGTTACTAAAGAATGCGCTCTTCTTCTTGGGCGATTTGTCATCCCCAGAGGTGGCCAGTGGTGCACTGTTTGTTGGCTTCGCGATAGACTTCTTGGTGGGAGTTGCCTCAAAGCTGGATACAGAGGTAGGGTTGGAGACTTCGCTTTGAGAATCACGGCTGGATGGACGATAAGCGCTAGTTGCCGAGCTTCGCTCCGAAGGTGGTCCTGTCCGACAAAACATTGTCATGCCGTCTGTTGGGTAGGCATTGTGAGGAACAGCGTTGATCTCTCCATGGCGCTCTGGGTCATAGTTTGGAGGTGGTGCACCCCCTCGGCGGAAATCCAAAGGCGCGGGCTGGTGCGGCTGTGGTTGATACTCCTGAGGTTGCTGTTGGGGTTGCTGTTGAGGCTGCTGCTGGGGTTGCTGCTGAGGTTGCTGCTGAGGCCGAGACTGAGACTGAGGATGTGGCATCTGAAGTGGCATCTCCACAGGTGGCATCTGGGGCTGCGCATTGGCAATAGGAGGTGGCGCTGGGTGTCCCATTTGGGCCGCCAGGTCTGATTGTGGGTCGTGGTGCGATTCGAATGTCGAGGGCTGTGGAGAAGATGTGCGGAATGCAGGGTTCATGGTTCGCTGGAACTGAGCTACCGAATATCCGTCGGCTTCGTCCATCTCAGAGCTCGAATCATCGTCTTTACAAAAGTTAATGAACCGGGGAGGGTCTGGAATTTCTTGACCGGTTCCTTGTTCCTTGATGAAGAAGAGGATATCTTTCTCCACTTCGCAGGCTTCCAAAGACAAGCGAACTTTCTCACAAGACTGTACCAAATGTTAGTGTGGCAAAGGAAAAATCGATAGGAGCAGATCTCACAGCATCATCACTGACGCAAACTGTCGAAGCAATGTTCGCATAAGTCCAAAGACTGCTCTTTGTGAAATCCAATCGCTCCTCTTCCAAGTCCTGGAATTTGTCGCACGCAGACTTCCACTCCTTGTTCCAGCGTCCAGTGGTCTCCTCGAGTGTCTTCACAGCGGCCTCATACTCATTGCTGTTTGATGCCATCTGGATTTGAGTCTTCTCAAGCTTTGCTTTGTTCTTTCGCTCTTCCTGCCCCATCACCATATGTCCCTGAGCAAGATATCCTTTGATGCGAAGGCAATCCTGTTCGTAACGATCGCGTGTCTGTTAAGTCAGCATCTCTCCCCTGTTCACCAAATGAAGGTTCCTTACTTTGTTGACGGCCTGTGTTTGTTGCATTTTTGTCTTATGCAGCCGCTCGATGCACTGTTGGATAATCTTTCGTCGCTCTTTCATACCACTAGCAAATGCAGCCAGCGGTTCTTCCAATTCGGTCTTCATTTGGGCAGCAATCGCGGCGTGGGCTTTCGCAATTGCTTCGGTCTCACCGCGCACCACGTCGAGGGAGGACCTGAGTGAACCTATTTCGCATGATCCTAGTGACTTGCGACAAAGAGCCTGGAGTTTGCGCGCATATTCATCTTCAATCGAGGCTCGGACTTTCAAACAATTAGTATATTGTTTATTGTATTGCACTGGTAATGTCTATAACATACCATTATAGAAGACCCTCAGCTCCTCATTTGTGATTTTTGAACCATGTACACGGTCCAACATTGGTTGAAGTCCTGCATCATCTCTGCCCCAAAAGTTGTTGGCAACTATAATACTGTCAGCGCGATCTGAGTTATTTTCGCGTGGGATGGCGTACAAGACATGGAGACCGTAGGTCCATCGGCCACTGTCCCAGGCATTGTTATCGATATTGAGCCTCGGTCGGCTTTTGCTCATGCAAGTGAAGTAGGTTGTAAGCACAATAACAAGGAAAGAAAACAAGAACAACGAAAGTGTTGGGTTTCTTCAAAGAAAAACGCAACCACAAGAAGACCCTTGGAGGTCACAATGTGTCGAGTTGTTGAAGGTGGTCAGAGGGATGTACTGTTTACAGGCGCGTCTCTCGGGGCAACCACCGCGCGGTCGCCATGCACCACGTTACTAAGCCACTTCCTGGGCCCCGGGGCAAAGTTGGAAACGTCACAGGCAGAAAGGAATGTTAGATTATTTCAATGGAAACATTTGCGAAAAAGAAAGCACAACTTTAGGCTTGAGGGAGGACTTTGTTTTACAAAAAATCCAATTGATTCATTCGTTTTTGGTGCATTGCGCAACCATTCTATGTAACATTGTAGCAGGCCAAGCCAGAGCACAAAAAAAAAAAAAAGAGAACAATCTAACCCATATTGACCAAAAGAAAATCATACACATGATGAATCGTAGTTTTTTCAAAACAAGATCTCATCTAATAAAACGCCTGTCGAAGATGCGTCCCCAGAACCGTAATGGGGATAAACCAAGTCATTCAAAGCAAGTCCCTTTTGCAAAAGAAGAATAAGTACCATACTTCGTTGTTGCAATCATATCGATTTTTAGATCGAGGATTTCGTCAGTTCATGGAAAACACATGAAGAGCATACTCGTGCCTCGGCACGGAACAAATTTCCTCAGGCGTCTTGTCTTAGTAGGCCGCTGGAGTCGCCGAAATAGCAAATGTGCTGGAGACAGGAGAAGAGGCGCTGGAAGAGCCCCAACTGCTGTGGCTACGGGCCAGTAAGGTAGGGGAGGCAGAAGGAGTAGCAATGGAAGAAGTTCCAGGGACGGAAGAGTACCAACTCAAGCCACGGGCCACAAGTGAGGTCGTAGAGGCAGAAGCAGAAGCAGAAGAAGTAGCAACAGAAGAAGAGCTAGGTGCAGGAGAGTACCAGTCACGGGCCACAAGAGGAGTGGAAGAAGCGGAGGCACCCAAGCTCACAGAGGAGGGGGAGGCGGAGGCGGAAGAATACAAGCCACGGGCCACGAGCGAGCTTGCAGAGGCAGAAGCAGAAAAGGGGGCAACAGAAGAAGAGCTGGGAGCGGCAGAGTACCAGTCACGAGGAGCAAGCGAGATACTCGAGGCGGAGACACTCAGGCTCGAGGATGGGGAGACAGTAGCAGAAGGATACCAGTCGCGTGCAACGAGGGAGCTGGCCCAGACAGATGCGCTGGGAGATGGAGAGGCAGTGCCGAAAGCAGAGGGGTAGTAACCACGAGCGTTGAGAGATGCAGAAGCAGATGTAGAAGCAGATGCAGAGGAGGTGGGATGGTCGCGCACCCAAAGAGCAGAGTCAGCTGGAGTAGGATAGTCGCGGGCATAGACTGAGGCGGAAGAAGAGCTAGAGTAGTCGCGAGCAAAAATAATAGGCTGGCCGGCGGCTCTCAGACCCCGGCGGAATAAAGAACCAGCGGTTGGGAGGGCAATTGATGGAAGAGGGATATCATTGCGAGCCGATGGTGTCTCCAAGCATGGGGTTGAGCTAACCACGGCAGTCGAGGAGTAAGGGATACTCGAAGGAGTAGCAGTTACTGTGACGGTGACAGGAACTGGGTTAGCACCGGGAGCAGTCACTGTTGATGTCTCGAAGACAGTGTCAATTTCAGGCGCAACAGAGCTGGAAGATTCTCCGTCGACATTGACCACCGAGTAGATTGCCTTGCGGCGAACAAGGTCTTCACTCTCCAGGTTGGCGAAAGGCGCCGCGTAGGTCAAAGTAACGGACGAAAGGGCGAGAAGAGCGGCAGTGGAAAAATGCATTGTGTAAGAATTGAAGTTTGTAATAACAATGAAGAGAACAAAAGGCGCTTGAGATTGATGAAATGTTGAACTGTAATCAATGGAAGTATGAGAGGGAAAAATGGAGTAGACAGAGGGAATTGTATAATTGAGTGGATTGGAAAGAGAACAGAAGTCTCAAGCTTGGGTTTAAAAGTCGAAAGAAAAGATCGGCCATCAATATACAAATTTATTCATCTATGGTAATTACTTCTATTGGGCCAAAAATAGGCGGCTGGGATCTACGGTGGCTGGGTCTGCAACAGTCCAGCCATGGCTTTTGTGTTTTTTAATTGCCCGATATTAAATTTGATTGGTTGCTAGCAAATCAAAGTAAAGCCCCACATAGCACATGTGCCAACCACAATATTATGGTGGAGTTTCCACGGGGATGAGTCAGCAATTGTTGTGGCTGGGGGCTCCACACTGACACAACTGAGATGGCAGACTGCGTTTCACTGTCGCCTAGTTTCTTTTCATAGATCAATTATGATGTCCAAATGACCGTGATTGACGGAGAATTTCAGTACTTTCCTTGATCAGCATGTCAATCTACGCAGATCTTTTGATTTATCAACATCTGCCGCCTGAGTGCTGCATTGGCAGGACGTTACATAGCGATATCCTCCACTCTCACCAACCCACACCCCAGCGCAGCACTGGCCCATCCTGCACAGCAGCGGTTGGGGTTCCACCCGAGTGCTGTGACATGGGTACCTTCTTCGTAAGTCGTGGAAGTGCCCATCCCACTGAGAGGCTTTGTGTCGGTTGTATGGTATTTTGCCAATTTCTGATTCTCCGCCCGAAACCCGTCATGGAACCGACTGATACCAACAGATTCTGATGATGAGCTGGGTATCCATTCATGTGTGAACCATGTTTCCTGCCAAATTGCCTCCTTGTTGTAAAGAACTCTTCGAAAGGGGTTTGTTCCTGCGACTTCGCCTCCCGCACTGCCGAAGATAGCACAAGGGTGCCATGGACTGGCAGGTGCCATGGCAGAGAGATTGCTAGACAACCTCGCAATATTGGTAGTGGTGAAGAATCTTCGAATTGGAATCATGCGACCAAACTCGTTTTCATCTCCAGCAACAAAGCACTGCATAACCGGGGACCATGTGATGTACGGGGCAGCCGCTCGCATACGGACCGTCGAGGTAATTTCACTCTCAGGATCGATGAGCGAGCACATCCGAGTCTCGCCGTCCATGGATACAGTTGCAATGGTTTGAGGGTGGGCCGGGTAAGCGGAGGTGATGGAGAGTATATATGTGCTGTGGACTGGCCGATAGAGTAATGGTAGAGGGTCTGTCGCACAAGAAGTTGCAATGTTCCAGACCGCCACAAATCCATTTCCGCAACCCACCGCAAGATCACTAGGAGATAGCCAAGTAACACATGTTGAAACCGTTGATGGTGGTCTTGCTTCAAATGCAGCCGACTGTATCCTGACTATGTGCAATGTGTCAGCGGGTATCGTTTGAGGTTCCGAATCAAAACCACGGACCGAAATCTGTCTTTTGTGGCCCTCGACCTATCTTGATATCCATAACTCTCACTCCCCCATCACTCCAGATTGTTGCAAGCAAGCCGATGGATTTTTGGACTTCTTCGTCATCCTCCTCTCGCTTGGCACGGGGCATGGTACACCAGGCCATGCGTCTCAAATCTCCCCAATCAGCACAAATTACTTGTCGCAATCGCGGTTTGTAATCCATATCAAGGGTCTTGATGTCGCTTTGACTCTTTCTGGCTTTGAACTCCCAGATCTGCAGAGCATTTGAAAAAGACTCAGAAGGATGAAATGCCGAGAAAGGCTCACTATCTTCTGATCTATGTTCGTTTTTCTGGTCTTCGGTGAGCGGTGCAGCGATGGCAAGATACTGAGAAAGACCATCTTGGTTGGGAGCCCAAGCCATGCAATTGGTTTTGTGGCCAATGTTTAAAATCCAACCTTCTCGGACTTTCTCTGAATTGCTCTTTGAACTTGCTTGACCCCAGGCCTTTCCAAAGTCAAAAGACTCATGATAACCCAGGTCGAAAAGGTCTTGGTTATTGTGCGGCCCCAAACGAACGCGGTGTTTTCGTTCATCTGGCCGGGGCATGTATTTCTGTCGTGCCACGGACTCTTCAATAGTCTCAATACGCTGTCGCTTACGGAATCTTCCCCCGGTGTCCTCGTCATAGTACCAGTCCCATCCGCGAGTGCTTTCTTCTTTAACACTGTCCGGATGGACGCCAAATGTCGGCCCATACAGAGAATGATTTTCCTCGTCCCCTCCTTCCAAGGCCGATCGAGTGGGGAATGCTGAGTCAATGCCCTTGCTCCATTGGAACCGAGAGTGGACAGCTGACATCAGGTCTCGTTCGTCCGAACCGAAAGTTAGAGTGTAGTAAGTGTCTTTGGACAAGTGCTCTTTGGGATCGATGATGCCACGAGAGTGCGTCTCGTCTGCAGATGGCACAATAATTCCACCGGCTGCTCTCTTTTTAAACTGTGGCTCACGTATCTGAAAGGCCGAACTTTGTTTCTTGGAGGGACTCTTGATGGTGTCGCTCTCCATTTCGTCGATGACAGAAGCATCGTCTTCCAGATCTGATACTCCCTCTTCTAATTCATTTTGAGCTTGATCTTCGCTCCCCTCTTCATCTTCAACTGGGTCGTCGACCTCATCTCCAGAGACTGCGACAAATTCATCATCGGAGGAGAAATCTTCTGTTTTGGCAAGCTTCCCTTTCCCCTCTGGGGAATTTGCTCCTTTTTTGGCGTCATCTTCATCACTGATCCCAGCGGCTTGAAATGGATCGTCAACGTAAACCGCTCGGGGACCTGTGTGGCGTCCAGACCTGCGGCCGGGAGGCATCTTGCCCAAATAGGACGCGCTGGCAATGGCAGCCAAACACAATGGGAACGCGGGAACGCGCGTGCACAGTCAGGTCGTTGAGATCTCGGGTCTCAGCTGATCTAAGCTGAAATTGTTTTAATTTTTGTGTATTTCAAGCGTCCACTACCTGGTTTGGGATACGGGGAAGTGTGAAGCTTCAGCAGGGTCAAGGGCGGTGACGCTATACCACAAATGGCTAGACTTTCTGCCTTGAGTTTACGGCCAAAATATATTTACTTCAATAGTTAATTAGCATACGTGCATACATAGGTACGTTGTTTTGTCTTGTGAGAAGTTCCGGCAGGTTACTCCAATTTCGTTTTTTTTTTAATTTAACAAGCACTCTTCTTCACCTTTGAGCTCTCTCAAAACTATTTCTCTAGACCTTGGTTAAAATCCCGTGTGACCATAGTCTTTGAAATTGTTTTATACCAAGAATCCCAATTCACGCTAGAACTTTATCTATAGATCACTGTCCAAGTGGTGTGGTAGATCATGCACATAACACCTTCCTAAGTCAGAGGTTTGATGACCTCATATGTCACTCTGTTTTCACCTTTTGTGGTAGCTTTATTGTTTGACAGCAGCAACCTAATCCAGCCTCGAAGCAATCTTTATGTACTAATGACTGAAGTGGCATCACTACTGACATGTAATCTGTTGAACCCATCCCTATATGTTACTCCGTCGATGCAACAGTGGAGATGACAAGAATGCCACAGCATGACTATTCTCGCAAACCTTTGCGGGAGCAATTCTGGGCAGAGAATTATCACCATCATATATTAATACAATTGTAGGTTGTAACTTTTTAGGCACTGTGGCAGCACAAGTGGCGTAATTTGTGTTCTAAGGTGGGAACTCTCGCATTTCTGGTTTCAATATTCTTTGACCGTAGTGCTCAGAGACTGTGAAGGTATTTTAGAACTCGAGCAATCAAGTCCTGCTGGCCTTCATCCTTGACATTGTGGCTTGCTCCAGTGATAACCCCGCTATTGCCCGCATCCCATTCGGCACCTCCCGCTTCTATGGCTTGTTGCCACCTTTTCAGCAACTTGAGCTTGTCCACCCAATGTGGCGCATACTCGTCTTCTCCGGAATACAAAAACAAGATCTTTGATGCAACCATTCCCCGGCTGCCTATCATACCAAATGTTTCCTGCAAACGCTGATCGCTCAAGTCAGAGCTAAATAGATCATCATCGGATGGGTTGTCAGGGCTTTCAGGGCTGACTAGGCTCAAGAATCTCCGGGCACTTAAAGGCGTATCGGGAGGGTAAGATAGCTTGGCAGTCAGGTTCATCGGGAGGATAGTATCGTTATTGGCCTCTGTGTATGGCTTCTTCTTGGCAAAATCCACAAGCTCGCCGTAAACATTTTTAATCTCGTCGGCCTGATCAGAGGAGTCGATGATAGCCTGCAAGCCCTCCCTATCAGATACAGGCGCTTGAAGGATAGCACCATCAAGTTCGGGGCGAACCATATGGTTCAGTCCAAGATCAAATTCCTTCTTGGGCACGGGGTTCGGCGAGTAAAGGTAATGGAGCACGTCCTGACTACCAGTCGAGTGGCCCATGATGACAATCTTTCCACCCTTTGTCGGTGCGCCGGGTTGACGTGACGCCTTCAGATCGCGAACAAAACGAACACACTGACCGAGTTCTTCTACATCGCGATCGAGGCTTCCAACTCCCCATCCGCCATAAGAGGACGAGAGCAGAACGGAAAAGACCGACCATTCGCTGCTTTCAAGGGCCTCGGCTAGTTTGGATACGTAGGGGACAGTGCAGAATCCATCTGTCAGTCCACCCACGAAAATCAGACTGTTGATCTTATTGACACCCTCTGCGGGTGGGGTGAACTCAAATGCCACAAGTCTAGGAGCCTATGAGAGTTAGTCCAACCTTGGAACTTGGATCGGATTACATACATATTCGTGAAGGACACCTCGATGTGACAATCCACGATCGGCATTTGATGACATGATAAAAATGGTACCTAGGTAGTTAGATAGCTGAGAAGATGAGATCCGGAAGTTGTCGAAAACCACGGTGGGCGATCAGCAGTTGACGTACCTGATTAGCAGGTGGGGTTTGCCTTGTTGACCTTACATTGACTACTCCGTACAGAGTAATTGGTAAATTTAACACTCTCTGGTCTTCCAGGCCTGAATAATTCCATCTTGGAATATACACATGGGTTGTACTTATTTGAGAATTTGCAATTTTCAAGTATCAATGGCCGTAGCATAATACTGGCCGACAGATCAGTGTGGTATGGATGCTTCTTTTTTAATATTTCTTTATTGAGAAATCAAATGACATTGAATTATGTAATTGATTAGTATAAAACAGGAGAATTTGTCAAAATTAGATCATTTTTATAGTGAGGATACCTCCGAAGTAGTCGAAACAACTGATAGATCGCTTCTACCTACACCAAAATAAAAATATACTGGGAACACAACAGAAAACATTGAATTTATATCAACAATAAAGAGCTCATCCAAACACCACCAGAAGTGCACAGATTCAGAACAGCAGAGGTCAGAATGGGGTATATCACAGTACAGGCAGTAGACAGTCCAAACATCATTTCATGCGAAACTTGAGAGAAAAAGATGAATTGGGCCATTTAGGTACCAAATTTCCAATAGCAGACTTAAACCTTCAACCACAAGCTCAGCACACCCTTGAGGTATTCAACAATCTCGGATCCACCGAGCTTGCTTTCACCGTAGAGGCGGTCGACGAAAGTAATCGGACACTCGTCCACCTTGTATCCCATTGCCTTGGCGCGAACCATCATTTCCATCTGGAAACTATAGCCCTTACTTTCAGTGTTGAGAATGACCTTTTCTAGTACTGATTTCTTGTACAAGCGGAAGCTACCAGTCAAGTCGCTCACACCGGGCATCAACATAACATCTGCAATCAGATTTGCAGTGCGCGAGGTAAACTTGCGGAACAAGTCCCAACCGTAGACACCTCCCTTGATATCCCCACGGTTGGCATATCGGGTTCCGGTCACAATGTCAGAGTCAGTCTCCTTTTGGATTCTAATCATCTCGGGGATGAATTTGGGGTGGTGGCTGAAATCGGCGTCCATGATGATAACAAAGTTGCCGGTAGCGTATTTCAAGCCGTGGACGTAAGCAGTTCCCAGACCAAGCTTTCCCTCGCGGGGCTTGAGGATAATATGTTCGGGGCCATAAAGCTTCTGGAGCTGCTTCGCGATCTCGAGGGTACCGTCAGGGGATCCGTCGTCAACGACAATGACCTCCCAATCAAGCTTCCTATATTTGAAACGTTAATGTTGACATTGGCTCGCTTTTAACTAAATTAATTGAGGGCTTACTCCTCGTTGAAAGTCCTTTGGATCAACCAAATGATGATAGGGAGGTTCCTCCGCTCATTGTAGGTGGGAAGGATGATCGAGTACTTGTTGGTCGCACCCATTTTGGAAAGACGTAATTTAATTAAATATAAGGAGCGGTACAAGATCAGAAGAAAAGATCAAGGAATCAAAAGAAAAGAATAAAAGTAGGGAACGTATGGCTGACAGCGTGTTGCATTCGGCAATGCCAGGTCGCGGCCAAGTCGCCAGATCCGGTGTCCACCGCCCTGGCAAAAACCGATAGCTTATCGGGTGTGTTTAGACTTCAATTAGAACTTTGGAAGACCCCAAATGCTCTTGAATGTTTACACGTCAAAATATTAAGAATGGATTCATTGCCAAACAAACATCATCGTACTATCTCCAGGTGTATGCACATACTTCGTCTCCAGTCTCCGGCCGTCCCTTACTGATTGCCTTGCAGCTTCTCGGCCCCGCAGCTCGACAAGAGGTCCATTAGATGCATCAGATGAGTGAGCATTAGACGTGGGCTCCCACCGCTCAGTTCTATTTCTGACGCTATACAGCCCTCTCTTACCCTCCAGCTTACCCACTTCACCCACCAAATCCCAATCGATGGCTGCCACCGATAGCTTTACCGGGGCGTCTTTCCATGAGTTAGATCCATTGGCTCCAGATGATCTACCGGAAACCCTAGGGAAAGATCTCTCATTCCTTCTCCGACACAACATCTTCCATACGCTCTCTCACCTTGATATTCCTCCGCCACTACGCTCCGAATTTCTCATTCTACACCCAGGTGAACCTCTATCATCTGCTTTGGGTACACTTGAAAAGTTATTAACCGAGGGTCGATTCCTCGTTGCCGCACATTTTTCGGCTTCTATCTTGACGTCATCTTTAATATCTCCCACAGATATCAAAATCATCTTCTCATTGTTTTATACGCGCCTCGCCTGCCTAGAGCTGTCGGGCAATACTGTTCTCGCGGCACAGGAATCAAAAGCTTTGGAAGATTTGAGCTCTGCATTTTATTACCTTGATGTTGGGATACCTGGGGCTGAGAACGAACATGACCCTGAGCATGAACCTACCAATGCAACTGAACCTCGTCATATCGTTCCATGGCCACTTCGCGTTTTGGCAGTGAGACTTCAAAGCATTGGCTTTGGTGATTCCCGCCGGAGCATCGGAGGGTTGTACGAGATTGGACTTGAGGCGCGCAGGGAGATCATGAGAAGTGGAGCTAGTGAAACCGAGCGGAATGTATGGAGGCAGAGATTGGCTGATTTAGGGATCAGGAGCATCAATGCACTTGTAGAGATGGGCGATTTTGACGCGGCCAGACGATCACTTGGGAACCTCCAGGTATCTGGGCCCGAAACCGGGATTGAAACCGGGACTACAAAACTGAGAAAAGCACTTCTTCTTTTGCGAATTGGTGACCTGGATGCTGCGGGACAGGTATTCGGTGATGCAAATGATGCAAAAGAGGCTGCTCTATTAAAACCTCTTATCAGCATGTCAGATGGTCGATATTCTGATGCAGTAACACAGTGGCGCGTCCTTGGAGAGGACAGGACAAGGACGGATGGGGCTCTGGTTGCCCAGAATCTAGCGGTGTGTCTGCTGTACACAGGACAACTGGATCAAGTATTTATCTCCCGCGCATTAGTACCTACACATATAGGTATAGCTTTTCAGTCGGCCCAGCTAACCTCTTACCAGGCCCGCAAGCTTCTTGAAGCTCAAGTCTCCGCCAACCATTCATTTGGTAGTTTGATTTTTAATCTTTCGACAGTCTACGAGCTTTGTTCTGACAGCGCGGGCTATTTGAAGGGGCAATTGGCTGAGACGATCTCAAAACAACCTGTCACTGGGCAGACTAATTTAGATCGACCTAACTCAGATCTGAAGCTTTAAACCCTGTAATGAAGAATCGTTTGCCCTGGAGGCCACGTATCGTGCATTTTCTAACTAATGAATCCTCTTATGATAACAATCTGCTAATAATAATGAAAGAAATCTTCTTTTCTTTCCAACAAACTCCGTACAAATGAATGAACACCACTGAATGCTTTTGTCCAAAATGAGGGGAAACGCCTAGCCCAATGTGTACTCATACAGTTGATGAGCTTGTCTCTGGTTTTGGTAGGGGCCTTTGTTTCGGTCTTTTAATGATAATCTTATCACCTTCTCGCTCCCAGCAAAGATTCTCTTTCTCAGCCAATTTCTCCCACGTCCAACTTCGATCATCTCCCGTGCAGCCGCCCAAAATCCAACTAATATGCACGTGGAGGTAGGCACTGCCGACGGCCTTGAGCGCGTGTCTCCGGATTCGATCTACGGCCCAATTCATCACTGCGCGGATATGAGAGTCCACACTGTTGTGAACCTGCCAGAAAATCACCCAATCGTTGTGAATCAATGCAGTGAGAACTTTGTCTATGGTCTGTGACTGAAAGGCCAACTCCTTCCGCGCCCGGGCGCGCAATTCGAAGGCCGCAGCCATGTCTTGCTGTCGGCAGGCATAATCGAGGATCATGTAGGTGACCAATTCCTTGGCTTCAGGGAGCGGATGGGATGGCGAATGCAGTTTGTCCAGGATGTATCGCAAGGAAGGAAAGTATGATGGTGGGTGATGTGCAAGAATAGAAAGTCGGATGGAGAACACATGAACACGATGAGAGAACCCTGCCGGAACAGTTTCCGACGTTGCTAGGATGGCTTCGCGCAGTTTACGAAGTGATAGAAGGAGTGTAGATAACTCTGTTGATGGTGGCGGGATGCCCCTCCGTGCGGGGGTTGCATCCAAGGATGACCGGGTAGCGGGCGGGTTGGATGTTGCATCACTAGATGGGCTTGTTGGAAGTGAAGCATGTGCCGCATCAAGGTCTTTGGAATGATCGTCACAAAACCGCATATATCGACCGGCTATAGTGTCGAAGTATTCAGACTGGACCTTATGGTCCAACAACCTGCAAATATTAGTATTAATGCTATATGAGATGCGTATGTTCGTACTTCTTATCGCCCTTTGAAACGAATCCAACATTTTGCAGAGAGTCAGCTATTGGCCGTAAGCGACTCATCTTTTGGGACTTGCATGTGTTGGCATATGAACGACCGGCTAGAGTTGATAGATGTAGATTAACATGTTGTTTGCATGGTTTGTATCGTTTGCTCGACCGAGGCAATGCCAACACGGCGATTTTGCTGGTCCCCAACTGCCCAACATTCAATCTTTCTCTTTTTTTATAAAATAAATTTCAATTTCATCCTTTTTCTCTCTTTTTTTGAATATAATTTCAATTTGCTGACTTGTCATACATGTTCTAACTGTGGGTGACCTCAAACCAATTGCTCATAGCCTCATACTTGCATATCACATGTGATGATGCCTCGCCAGCGCCGCCCTATTGAAGACCAGAAAGAGTCGGCAGACAGTCAGCTTGCAGGACTCACTTCGATCATCGGGGAGGAGCCTCCTAAACTTGTAAAGCGACTTCTACATTGGGATGATCTACCTCATTGGCAACGAGACAACCATCACATCCATACTGGATATCGGCCCGCCTCGTCCTCTTTTTTGAGTTCACTCCAATCACTGGGTTACCTTCACAATGAAACGGTCAACATCTACACCCACCTATTGCCAGCGGTAATTGCTGCTCCGGCAGCATACGGACTCTACCATTTGCTTGCTCCGCGGTACCGGAATGCAGCCGATTCCGATATCCTCGCTTTTTCCTGTTTCTTCACCGGGGCTGCATTCTGCCTTGGCATGTCGGCCACCTATCACACTATATCGAATCATTCTCCTGTGGTTGCACGCATTGGAAATGCGCTAGACTACATTGGGATTGTGGGACTCATTGTGGGAAGCTTTGTTCCCAGTGTCTTCTACGGCTTTTACTGTGTCCCCGACCTCCAACACAGGTATTGGGCCATGATCTGTACTATTGGAATGGGCTGTGTTGTCGTCTCCGTTCTTCCCCGGTTCCGCACACCCACCTGGCGTCCCTTTCGCGCTGCCATGTTTGTTGGGATGGGCTTGTCTGCCGTTTTCCCTGTCGTCCATGGTGTTATCCTATTCGGTTTTGATCGCATGCGACAGCAGATTGGACTTAGTTGGCTTCTCCTCCAGGGCTTTTTGTATATCCTTGGAGCAGGGATCTATGCGGCTCGAGTACCCGAGCGTCTCATGCCCGGGAGATTCGACATCGTGGGGAGTTCGCATCAGATCTTTCACGTGCTGGTTGTCTGCGCAGCGGTTGCTCACTTGACAGGGCTGTTGAAGGCATTCGATTATCGGCACAGCGGGGCTGCCGAGACCTGTCAGATTCCACGCGGCTGAATTGGGGTCTGGCGCAGCACAAGTCGACGTTGGACAACATGCTCATGGCAAATTCTTTTATAAAAGAAAAGAGGTAGCATGAAATGAAATGAAATGTTTATGTAGCGTACGTGGCGCGACTCATGTTCAACAACCTCTCAAGGATCAAAGATCCCCTGCTGACGACTCGGATCAGTATGTGCAACAATGACGACGGGTATAAATGAAGCGGTGTGCAGGCAATCTGTCTCCAAGGACTAAATCCGGTCAGCTGATGGATAATTGTTCTTTTTGCTTCTATTTCACATGATATATGATGCCCAGCGCTATCCCTTCAAAAGGATGGTACCTATGTCCCAGTGGCAAAAGGAAACAGGGCCCTAGCGGGATAAGAACCCACTGCCCACGCTATCCATGGATTAGGTTCGTCAGGTTCTTCAAAGAAGCCATAAACTTAACCCCGAAATTGGGCGTTTGCGATGTTGCATCAGGGTGTGACGACTTTAAACCAAAGGACCCCCTGGTGGTGTTCTCTTGGGAGACCCTGTTCGCTCTCATATCACGAGCAGTGGTCGAAAATAGGGAACGCTATTCAATTTGAGTGACTTGTCTATTTCCTTATCAGGTTGTGTCAGACTTATGAGTGGAATTTGAGGTGAATGCTTGTCTTTAACCTTAGAATGGCGGTCACGGTTGGACTCTCTAGCATGGTTGATCAGATGAAATCATCTGGGGTTTCACAGCGGCTGACCTCTGTATGCGGCTTCCGGTACTAAATTCCAATACCAAATGCCATAGTGACATTTCAGTTCACTTCAAGCTTGAGTTAGGTTATATATAGGTATCCAAAGGGTGTGGGGGTGTAAACCTTGCATCTGCCTCATTGGATGCGCAGTATTAATAAGTATTGATCACCCTAGATTTTGATTTTTGATTCCCCTTTTATTTGTTTGCCTTATTCCTTTTCTTTTACATCTATATATCACCGGGGATTATAGTATCGGTGATATTGCATTCGAACTTTACTAGTCTTTCGTGTACCCAGACCTGGGGACCATCTAGGCACCAATGCTCGCAGAGTCCAATGGCAGTCCATATGCCGGTGGAGATACACCCAAACTCCGAACTGCGTGTGAAAATTGCAGACAGTCCAAGGTGAAATGTAACCTGTCTGGCAAAAGTGTCTGTACTCGTTGCCTGCGTCACGGTTTACAGTGTCAATACGGATACGCAAATCGATCTGGCAAACCAAAGGGAAGCAAGAACCGAGCTACCCTTCGCAAACTAGGTCAACTGCAAGAAGAAAAGCCAGCAATGCGTGGGTTTCGCAATAGCCGGCTTGTTGCTCCTGTGGCCGATATGGAACCACTTGGAAATAGCTATGCAGGTCATATTCCTGACCCAACACTCGACGAAGATGTAAGTTCTCGCAGTCATCCCTTGCCTTATTTCCTTGGTAAATATCTGACAATGTATAGGTTTGTTTGATATCAAATCAACCTGGCTTCTGGGAAAGTCCCCGGAGTTTTGCCCATACGGCAACCCTAGAATCCTCCGTCTGCCCGGGGCAATTGACAACGGTTGAAAGCTCACCATTCACCGACCTCGTGGATTCATGCTCTTCTATCCCAGCTGGTATGGGATATCCACACACGCCGGTGACACCAACATTTCTGTCAGGGGAATCACTGCCTGACGGGTTAGCTAGTCCTTCACTGGCAGGCTCTGTGGCATCACCCTATCCCCTCTCACCATGTGAGTGTTTGGACATGCAGCTGTTTCATATGAACCGCTTGAATCATTTGCTTGCTGGATCAATGCCGCTGCGGCTTGACCATAGCCTGCAGTCAATCAAATGCACATTTCTTGCCTGTCAAATGTTCTTACAGTGTAATAAATGTGCCAAGGACAGTCCTAACTTGCTTCTGACCATCTCGGTGCTTAATCTCACCCTTCAATTATTTGAGTACTGGGTTTCTCGGGAGGCATCTCGCGCACCACGACCAGAGCATGGGGTCGACATCCGCTATGGATACTATGAGATCTGCCACGAAGAAAACAGACAAATTCGCAATTTCTTACTTCGAGGTCTGTTGTTGCAGTGCAGAGAGGTCTTGCTTACTCTCAAAGGTACTGCTAGCATCGCTGTTACTCAAGTTCCCAAAGTAGGGGACCACGAAGGGACAGAATCAAAGGCTCCAGATGACCACTCCAGCCAACACTGGATTCCATCAGATCATATCGGGTTACTTCCAGAGGACACTGGGCTCTCGAGTGGTCCATCCAGAAGCGAGGGTCTTTTTTCTATCATCGCTGGCTATGAAGCTACCGTGGCGGCATTTTTGCAATCGACTTCATGGGGGGAGTGTATCTGTGGATCTGGACGAGCCATGTACGACGAGTCTCTTTAAATGATACCCATATGTGGGAGGTTCACTGTTTTCTATTGCTATGATTGTACGCTAGGTGGTAATGAATGTAGAAAGAATGTGTGAGTAAGTAGGAGAGAAGCAAGAACTTGATTTATAGGCTGGACAGTAAACGCACATCGGCCATCTCAGAAATACGCAGATATGTTAAAACCAAATCGCCTATATCAATTTGCTGTGAAGTTGTCGAGTGTAGTTGCATATATGTACCCCACACTTTTCGGGCCGCAACCAAGCCTACAAGCCTCGGCAGTGATTAGCCGAGATAGTTATATGTGACTATGTGACCTTCCCCTCTCATTTTTTTGATTCAAGCAACTCACCAACAAAACATAATGGCTCCTTCCGATCGTCTTAACCAGGTCAATGAACACCTTAACTATCCGGCCGGTCTGCTAGCAGGTCAAGTCGCCATTATCACCGGCGCGGGCCAAGGCATCGGTGCCGAAGCAGCACGACTATTTGCAAATGAAGGCGCCAAAGTCGTGGTCGCTGATATAGATTCTAGTATGAAGTCCTCATTTACTAATTCACATTACTGGTATATCTAACGGCCAAACAGCAAAAGCGAATGCCGTCGCTGATGCCATCAACTCGGCGAAGTCCGGCCGTGCCCTCGCTGTCGTCGGCGATATCCTCGATGGAAATTATGTCACCGAACTGGTGAAGAAAGCGGCTGAGTTCGGAAATGGCAAGATTCATATCATCGTCAACAATGCCGGGTTTACATGGGATGGTGTTATTCACAAGGTGATTATAACTTCCGCTTTACATACAAACATTCATTTTGATTGAATCCTTCTAACTCCATCCAGATGACCGATCAGCAATGGGACACCATGTTGGCAGTGCATAATACAGCACCATTCCGACTTGTGCGTGCCGCGGCACCCTACTTCCGAGTGAAAGACCAAGAGCCTCGAGTAGTCATCAATATCAGCAGCACAAGCGGAATCCATGGCAACGCGTATGTGTCTTAGTCCCAACCCCCTTGAGCTATAAAACCAATGCTGACCCCATATAGAGGTCAAGCCAACTATGCCGTCGCGAAAGCCGGTGTCGTCGGTCTCACTCGCACAATCGCTAAAGAATGGGGTCCATCCTTCGGCGTGCGCTCCAACACCATCGCCTTTGGCTATGTAACCACCCGCCTGACAGCCGCAAAGGAGGAAGGCGCTTTCATCACGACGCCCGACGGCACGAAGGTTGCTCTGGGTATTCCGGGAAAGCAGCTGGCCAGCAAGAAGGGCTCGGCTGACGAGGCGATGAAGGCTGCCGAGGCAAATGCTTACCCTGACATTCCTTTGCGCAGACCTGCTAGTCCTGTTGAGGCTGCTAGGGCTATCCTTGGGGTTGCTAGTCCGTGGTTCTCCTATGTCAACGGAGAGACAATTCGAGTTACCGGCGGGCGGAACATGTAGATTTAGTTAAATCTGACTATTGAATGCTATGTCCACTTTTCGGCTTGTTTCTTTCTATGCCCCAACCCCGCTCAAGTTTCATGTGAACCGAAGTTCAGGGGCTACGTTAGATGTATATTTATATATGTCACTGCATACATTGATTACATATAAATTAGAAGGACCTACAAGTTGTGCACAGGGTTGACATTGTAAAACCCCACCGAACCTACCAGGGCCCGTCTACCATTAACTCGGAATCCATGGATGGATCTGGCACGTCTTGCGTCTCACCTGGCCACTAAAGGGTTTCACGGTAGTACGACCCCATCGCACGACTCAACACGAAACATCAACCTCCCAATACCCGATCGAGTCTCGACCGTTGTCAGACTGTGAGACATTGGACAGCAGCATACTGGAAAAAGTCTGCGGCGTGGTTGAAGGGGATAGACCCTTATGTAGTACAAGCTAAAATTGGCATTGAGAAAGTCAAGAACATTAAGATATAGATGCAAATATGTATAATTGTGAAGATGTTTTGGCCTTAGCCACAGGTATCATATCGTAAATATCAATCAGAGAGAACAAGTCCCATATCCCCCCAATGCGAAAAGTCTATGCACAAAACCGAAATCACCAATAGATCGATCATAATAAACAAAATATGTCCCAAAGAAAAAAGTTCCAAAAAAAGACACCATTGTTAGGTCAACGCCTTCGAGTCGAGGAATACACCAATCCAAAACAAATAGAACCTCCATGCTTCATCAGCCCTCCCAGGGGCGTATCTCTTCAAAAAATCATAGTTCCAAGTGTATGTCACGCCAGAAAATGAGAACGTAAAAAAAAGGTCCTCCCAGTATGTACGGAAAAAAGGTCGAAATATTAAAACAGTAGAAAGGAATTGCAGGTGCGATCGGTCCATGACAGGAGTCAGGATCCATGCAGTCGAAACACGGTCGCTAAGCCAGAAAGATGCCGTCCAGGGGTAGTAAAAAAATATGTCAAAAGGAAAAGTGAAGCTGGTGGTGGCCGGGTTCAGTGGATCATGATCAACGCGATCGACTTTTGTTGTTCGGCAGCTTTTAGAGAATCCGCTCGGTGACGGAAGGAAGTGTAGACCCGAAATATGCATAGTGAACCCCCGGAAGAATCCGTTCAAAAATGGAAGTGGAGTGTAGGGGGAAAAGGGCGTGAAAAGGTCATGCAACATTAAATGAGGATCCCATCGAGAGCAAGGAGCATTCAGACGTGGGCCTCGAGCGTCTGCATGTTAGGGTGGATGAACCCATAGGAGAAAGCATCCGCAGGATAAAATGGCTCCGCACAGGCGGAGGGGAACATAACCTTGCCATGTGGGATGTTCTCCGAGATTACAGGCGACATGGTATTCACATCCGAGTAGTCCTCGGTAATGGAGGTATCATCTGAGGCTGCTTCGGAGAAGGCCGAATACTGCGAGGAATCCGACGAAGAGCCAGAGGGTTGGGCATGTAGGGGTTCCATGGGGCCCACGAACAATGGCATCTGGGGAAGAATGTAGTCGATATGCTCCGGCACCCAGGGGGTTTGGGCCATGGGATTATCCGTGAAGCGGGGGCACTCCAGAATGAGCTGGCGCAGCTCAGGAACGGAGATGCGCTTACTTGGGTTGAGCTCGAAGACGCGACTTAGGATACAAACCATTTCGTCGGAGAGAGGTAGAATGGTTTTCAAGAAGAATGGATCCTTGAAGTATGCCTGGAATGTGGAGTCCTCCATCGATGCACGCTTCCATGGATTGCGACCGCAGGTAAGATTGACTAAGATCACGCCCAGACTCCAGACGTCATTGGCGGCGGACATGTAGCAGGACATAGGGCGAGCGTTCGATTGTTGGCATTCTGAAGGACGGTGAAAGTTAGCCATGGCCTTGACAAACACAGCAAGCTCAAAACACTCACCAGGTGACATGTAAAATGTAGAACCACATCCAAAGTCCGAGGTGAAATAATCTGTCGTCGCCAGGCCAAAGTCGGCAAGCTTGACGGTCATCCCCTGGTCGGTGACTAGGACATTCTCGGGCTTGAGATCACGGTGGTAGATTCCCATAGAATGACAGAATTGTACGGCATCCAGAAGCTGAAGGAACACGCTCTTGGCCAGGTAATCGTTACCAACAAAGTTTCCCTTGTCAGTGATGTTGGAGAACAGGTCTCCTTCCGGGCAATATTCCATGACGACGAAAGTACAATCCGCGGAATCTAGGATACGGACTAGGGAGACCACATTGGGGTGTTGACTGGCCAGGTGGTGTAATTTAATTTCGCGCTGCTGGAACTTGATTTGGCGAGGATCCAGGCCATGCTTGTTGAGTGCCTTGACGGCATAGACCTGGTTGGTTTGGATGTCCACGGCAGTATAGACGACGCCATACGCTCCAACGCCCAGGACTCGGGTGAGTTCCAGCCGGTCGGCCAAGATGAGTCCTAAACGGTCCTCGGCAGAATGGCAGTGGGGGATCGGTGAGGGTGGCGGAGTTGGCAGCATAGTTGGATACATTGTCCTTGGTGGTGTGTATAAGGGATCCAATGATCCCTTGAGAAAGAGAGAGAAAGCGCGCAAACGGAGAGGGTGATCCAGGGAGATTATAAGAGTCCTAAATCCACGGTATATTCAAAAGGCATCCATTCCAATCCAAGGTAGTTTCAAGATGGTCCGATAGTCCGTTTAGTCCGGGCTGGTTGTGTTTGAGATCGAGAGAAAGAGGTTGAGAGAGAAAAAGGAGAGTGTTGCACAACTGAACAAAAATAATCAAAAATATGAAAAGGGAAAAAGAAACAAAAGATAGCCAAATAGAAGATAATATGTAGGTATATAAGGATAGAAGATGAAAGTATAGCAGGCGACGGAAAGATTAATATAGAGGGTTCAGGCAGATGGCAGCCTCGTGGAGGAGAGAATAATAATAAATAATAAAGCCAAAAAGGAAAAGTAAAAAAAGGACACTCAACAAGAAGGGATAGAAGAAAAAAACAAATACAATATAGGAAATAATGAATTACTATTTAATTGTATCTCCACTATTGATCCACTTATTCTTCCACTATTCCCCTATCGATGATGCGTTGAAGACTTAATATGGGAAAGATGAAATTAAATTAAAAATAAAATGTCTAATCTCTGATTTAAAAATAATAAATTCCTAAATCATAAAGCAAAAAGAAAATAAAATTAGAATCCATGTGTTTACACGAAGCGGTGTGAATACACTTTGGTTCATCCAATCATAATTCATTTTGAGAAATCCCTCGGTCTTTGCCTGCAGTCGCCACAACTTATGATTGGTTCTCAACACATAACGATCGACTGGAGCTGCAGAATCCCCCCCTAATTCTCCTCTCTCACTGCCACTCTCTTCCGCTTCTTCTCTCTTCTAGGCTTTTTGACTTAGTGGCAAGCCCTTCCACGTATCCGCTCCATAACGGCTAGGTCTCTGCCTTGAAACCTTGAAACCTCCTGACACACATTTGCCAACGCACCCGCCACCTCCCAGCCCCCGCAAAGCTATTTGAGTCATCCGGATCCGGCCTATGCCATACATGTGGATCGGATGTTTGTTTGCGGGAATCTCGATTCTGGACTCTAAGTGGACTCTCTACATTTCTGGATTACATGTACATTATACGAAACACATTATATACATTGTGCATTGAGTGATGATCACTCTCTGTCTGGGCTACACCGTTCTTCTGGCACGGACTTTCAACTTTATCCCGGGTTCCACCTATCTAGGCTGACTCGGGTCTAGAAGGGACACTAATCCCAGTTTAAACAGTGAGGCGGATGGATGGAGGGCCGCTATGGCCAACCATTTGCTCAAACTGTGTTTCTTGAGAACTCCCTAGTGAGTGGGTTGGCGCTTTCCTACTGACTAGTGTCCTCTGCACGGACCATACACTTCATCTTTCTCCTGGCGCTAATGTATGTGGACTATCTGGGAGATTGTTCTATATTGTACACTTTCACTGGTGTGCTGCTGATCCTGTTTACTTTTTTTTTGCTTTTCTGGTCATCCATATTAGCACAATGTATACGGAGTACATTGTACCTTTTACATCGTACACACATTTTTCTAACTTTTGGTGGCTGGACTAGCCCGTCAGCATATTCGTAGTGTCCAGCCCGGAGGCAAGAATAACCCCTGCAACCCTAATGTCGCCTCGGCGGGCCTTCAATCTCACCTGGGCACCATCCTTTGTCCATTTCTCTCCACATGCGTCATGTAGAGGCAAGGGTCATGTATCCATCTGAGTCTGTGGATGCTTGAGCTAACTATAGTGTACGTGGTAGTTGTCTAGCGACAACGTATGCTGTTTCGCCCCCATTGGCCCCTACGATCTACTCCGTAAATGGGTGCCAATACACCTGTACTCTACCAGACCTATTGCGGTGAGCGCAAAATCAATAATCTACAATATCATGGTACTCCTAAGACTTTCAGATCGGCCCTCCAACCCGCAGCCAGTCCAATCACCTGATAGGAGAAGCCAGCCGATTCATCACATTGGGTATCGGTACTGGATCCGAGACTCTTGCATGCTGTACCATAGTTAGCGACTACTAGTAGCATGTACAGTTATGTATGGTGCACGGTATAAGGTACATTCTCGAACAGCGTGATATGATATGTGACGGGCCACCCGTTTTGCACGAATCCCCTTTCATGTGTACTGTGCCCTACCTATCGGATAACTAACGATTAATGTACCCCAGGATTGGCAATGCAGCTGGCTCGTCCAAAGACTAATTTTTTCGGATCCGAGCCGTGGGGGGTTTGCTTTTCTGAAGCTGTGTTCAGACGTGTGCCTTCTCTGGTCTCGGGTCTACACCGCTAGAGGTGATACCAGATCTGTCATACGGGATACCTAAATGGATCCGGACTCGCACGAAGTGTAAATTGCCCAACTTATTGGAAACCTACTGTACAGTCTGGTATATACTCAGCTATGATTGCCGACCGCCATAGATCATCCATGTCCACCCAATGATAATGTATAATCCCTTTTTTATCGATTCTTTTCAAGGTTATCTTTGCCTCTTAACGCCCGACAGCTATAGTATGTAGCCTAAGGTAGACAATTCGGTGACCCGCAGGTGGCGGGATCCACATTATAAACACATCTCGACATCATTACTTTGAAGTCGATTTCAACCCTCGTCTAGACAGACCAATCCTGATAGAGTTGACTAAAGTCGGAGATAAATTATTGTCCCGTCTTGCGGAATCTTTTCCCACGGCTGGGTTGCCATTCTAGCTTTTACTGTACAATATACACACGGCAGACTCGTCCTACCGTGGGTTTCGCATCCCGGGTGGCAAGGGGCTTCCTCATTCCAGCTTGATCGCCGTCGCTTTCTGGAATACTCCACCCCTACAATGTACTATGTAATCATGATCAGGTTCACGGTTAGTTTGGTGGTACGTGTTACATGTGAAGGCATCTTCACAACGTACCAGGTACGTTGCACCACGTTGGATACTCATGCTTGATTGTACATAGCAGACAATCGATTGCTCCGTAGACAGCTATCTATATTCACAACATAAGAAGGATCAAAAAAAATCTCATTATTCGAGTTAGTCGACACGGAATACTATTCTACCATTGCTTTTCTGCTGTGTTTTTGCTTTCTGTTGCAAGCCGAACCCCTAAGGACTTATCAGGTCGACCTCCTAGTTCAGGTAATCTAGCCACCCCAAAAGCAAAAGAGTAATCCAATCGGCAACTACCCAACCAAATCCCGACCTCATCACGCTCTTATTTGCTCATAATTACTACGCTAGACCAATGGTTGACAGCCACCAGGAAACATGAGTGAAATGCCCATTTTCCGATGGCAAGGCGGGATCTACTTGCCGAGAGGCAGCTTACAGTAGTTACATGCTAGAGAATCGTTGGCTAGTCAGTTAGCTAAAACAACAGCCACTTAGTGTACATGTCCGAGAGCATTTTGCCCGTCTGTCCACGGAAGAAAACTATTAACCAGTAAATAACGACAGACGGCGCCCTTGAAAGGCGGAAACATATGTACATAATGTACATAATGTACATAGCTTTAGTTTTGATTAGTTTGAGTATAGCATTTGGTACACTATATAATTTGATAGTGATAGTGAGTGATTATGTCCACTTCTTAAAGTATTCTCGCCGCGCTACCTGTGTACTGGGTGGCATTCAAAAGATGGAGAACCTCATTGAAGACATAAATGAATGTATTGAAGACAAGGAACGGCGAATCGTTGAAATGGAAACAGGACTGTCAGAGCGCACATTAAATGGTTTAGAGTGATGTGCAACGGTGAACCAATATCGAGGTTCAAGTGCAGCCACCTGGTATGCGATTTGGAACAAATTACCATAGTCGATTTACGTTAGGTTAGCCTCGTCAATGGGAAGAGCGCGATTTCACCTAGAGTGGATTGCCCTAAAAAGAACAGAGGATGATCGTGCAGGAGGATTTCACACGATAGTAAAGGGAATTTCAGAGGGGAGACAATTAGACGCAGAGGAAGCAGTCGCATAATATTCAAGTCACCCTTGTTCTGAAAAGATGATTTGAATATGTTCGCGGGTGGGTCTTGGCCCCCCAATATCTTAACGTTGGAGTGTGATTGTACAAGTTCCTACCTAAACTACTCCGTAATTCAGAGCAATTTGACACGTAGGACTTAACTAGGCTTAGCAAACCTTGCAATATTTCCAAGGAACCTTTCTTCCCCACAACCCAAAAACGAGGCCCGGCAGGTTGCGAATGTATTTCCAGGTCTCCGGATAGCGCGGCTACAATCCATGGGTTTGTGCTGGGCTTAAATCGAGTTTGGCTTAGAGGAAATCTAGAACGCCGCTATAATGTCCGGATCCGAACTCTACTGTAGTGTTCCAAGGTTCGAAGGTGTTGCCATCTCTAAGCTGGGTCCCGAAGGTTTGGGTTCTTTGTTCTTGTGGGATTCTAGTTTCCATTAGCTCGAAAATAAGGGGTTCATCGGCTTTTGTGCTTTCGGTAGGAATCACTTGTTGGATTGTGGCAGTGAGGAACTGTATCCACTTCTTAAGGGGGATTTCCCTCCACGCTACCAGTTTACTGGGCCGGTCTCAATAGATTTGTTTTGTTTATTTTGGGTACAAGTCGCTGGTATGCTAAGTGGGAGCATATGTCATCAGTAGCCTTATGGTGTACGGAGTAGTAGGAGGATCTTGTTGAACAGGTTGGACAAGTCCCAAGCCACCCAAGCCACCCTCGGCAACTGGACCCTAGGAAGCAAAGAAAGGGTGATTACTTTGAAGTTCACGGACTTGCATTCGAGAATGTAGATGATAAGTTACTGTGAGTAATATGCATATGGACAAAAAGGAAATCAATAGATCAAACACCCTAGAACGCCATTCCCTCGATGTCCCAGCTGAGACAACGGAACATGTGAATACAGAAAGGTCGAGATGCATTCCATCAAGTAAAAATCCTCGTCAGGCCCCCCACTACACCCTGCGCGCCAGGAACGGATGTTTCAAAGCGTCGTTCGGCGTGATCCTTTTTTCCGGGTTGAGACTCAAGCATTTGTCAAGGAAGTCCAAGAACGAGGCCAGATCTTTGGCTTCAATGTCCGACATCCCGCGCGTTCCTTGTCCCATCAGCCGAGTCTTGAGATCGCGTGTTGGCTTTTTGAAATCCACAAGCTTGGGTTTCAGGACTCCTGTGATTTTGTCTTGCTCGAGGCTACAAAAGTTAAGCTTTTCGTCAAAGTGATGGGGAGTCAGGGCCCCACGGCGAAGAAGCTTCGGTGGGTATTTGCCCCGACATTCCATAATCGCGCGTAGCATCTGGTTGTTGTCTCGGCCGGTGAAGAGTATCTTGCCAGTGTAGAGCTCGAAGAGCGTACAACCAATAGCCCAGACATCAATAGCGTAGTCGTAGGGGATACCCAGCATGACTTCCGGTGCACGGTAGAACCGACTGACGAGATATGGCGCAGTCGGGGTGTCGGATGCCAGGAACGCCGAGCCCAAATCACAAATTTTCAGAATATTACGTTGTTCGTTCACCAGAATGTTATCTGGTTTTAGATCTGCATGCAGGATGTTACACTGGCGAAAGAGACTCAGCGCGAGGAACATCTGTTGGCCGTAGGCCCGAATCGCCCGCAGGTTCAGACCGACATCTCTGCCAAACTTTTTCAGGAGTTCACGTAAGTTCATGCTGAGGTTTTCAAATACCAGGCACAGGTGGCCCTTGTGCTCGAAATATCGGTCAAACTTGATGACATGCTTTTTGCCCTCTGGGTCGGCCTCTTGCAATTGCTGCAGGATCCCGATCTCCTTCATACCCTCCTTGCGCATGGTATCGTTCTGCCGAATCATCTTGACGGCTACCACACCCCCTGTTTTCGTATCGGTCGCACGCACGACGGCGGAGAAAACTCCCTTGCCTAATGTTTGCTGGACATGGTACCGTCCGTTGATGAGCTCACCGAGTCGAATGCTGTAATAACCTTCTGCGTCGTCCCAATTATCCAGCATATTGACATCCAATTCCTTGCCCTGGGGCGCGGTCATGTTCGAGGAATCCGCTGGCTGGGTGTCACTTGTTTCCTCGGCAAACATGTCGTCGTCGTCATCTGCAAACATATCGAAAGTATGCGTCTTTTTGGCTGGCACTGGCGCCGCATCGAGAAGTGGAATGTCCTGCTTGGCAGTTTGAATTTCATCGTATGCCGCAGAAGAAACATCGTCTTTCTCGATCTGTACGTTGCCATGTTTCTGCCTTTCTTCTTTCATATCAAGAGTAGGATCATAATCAGCAGCAGATGGCTCGTCTTGGCCAGAAATGTTCACAGGAGCACCCGAATTGGCTAAGTCTGTATCTTGTCCAATACCAAGACCAAGAAATGATTCATTGGACTGTTCGAAGGGCGAGGCTCGCGGAGAGTCTGAATGAGAACACGTCAGATACGTTGATGCACAACTCATTCGAAGATGAAGAATACCTGATGTTTCCTTTGCGCTAGTTGGCTCAGTGCCAGGCGTGGAGGCATCTGTCTCACTTCCACCAACGTTCAGGGCTTTGAGGTGCAGCGGTGTCGCTTGACTTCGGTATTTCGCCCGAATGGCTTCACGGCGCTTCCGGCGAGCTTCAAGCGCATCTTCTTCGTTGACTGGCTCAGCTAGCACTGACTCGTGCTCAGTATCCGCGTTAGGGGCACTCCCTCTGTAGTGAATGTCAATGATAAAATCCCGTGGACGAGGAGCCATAGCAACGTACTCATTAGAAACAGAAGCCTGAGGTTTAGAAGAAGCCTGCACCTGGTTCTCTCGTGTTTCAGCACCAAGCTTTGAATCTGGAACGGCAGAGGTCTTTGCTCGTTCGCTCACTAATTGATCAGCAGGATTGTGTCTTTCGGAATCCGCTGAAGGTCTGGCAAAGTCCACCTTCGAACCATGTTCATCACCTGAGTATTGCTTGGGCTTTCTCACTTCACGATAAGGAGAGCGGCTGCGGGTCCGTTGCCGCTTGTCCTTGCGTTGGTCGAAGTCATCACTGTATCGTAAACCTTTTCCGTATGGTTCTTCGTGGTCATAATCGTGGTATGACTTTGGCCGACGGCTGGGAGGAGCTCGGTCATGATGTCTATCGCCGTGCCTAGATCCGTAGCGTCGCGAAGGGTCGTATCGAAGATGACGGTTTTCGTAGTCATCATGGGCATCATCATGTCTGCGTTTATGGCTCATGCTGTCACGATACGGAGAGCGAGAGCGGGATCTCGATGGGGACCTGGTCCGTGAACTCCGACGGGGTGGCGAGCGATGGCCATCGAACGATGCGGGAGATCTGGACGCCAGGGTTTGGCTCGCTCTGGTGGGACGGTCAACGCTAGTGCCATTAAGAGGAAGTTTTGACGCAGTTGCCTTCGTCTCTGGGCCTGATTCGACGATCTCACCCTCAGAGGGGACCGATGGGGACCTCGACCGGGGATGCGACATTTTTGCGAAGTTCGAGGAATTCGAATAACGCGTTCGTATGGATGATTGTTTTTCTTGCTGTTTCCACTTCACTCGGCCTTTGGAGGAGGCTTCGACAATGAATGCGCAGTTAGCGAAAGCTCCAGCGACAAGCAAATCTTTTAAAGGGTTTGTGAAAGTCCAACCGGCTGAGAAAGGCCTGCCTTCACACCAAAGCCTCGTAAAAGTGCTTGGATTCCTACGCGCATAACAAGCCAAAGAGAAAGGCTTGATAGGTAAATGAACGCGAGTTCAGAAGATAGTGATGAAAGTAAGTGATGAGTAGAAGAAACCATCGCGATTTGATGGTCGATGGAGTGAAGATAGGGCAGATCTGGACGCTAGTCCATGTGTGGTAGGCGGTCGGCCCACATTTCCTACATGATAACACCCCTCAATCTTTTTTTCCCGCCACTGTCACGATTATCCAGACACTCTATCTTCGTTTCTATTTCATCTTTCACCCGTTTCCACGGTTGTCTCATAAAAACAATGGGTGGCATCGGAAGAGAGGGTGGGAAAGCCTTCACATTGCTTTGGGGGAAAAATCACTCACTAACAACTATGTTCTGTAGGTGGCAAGGCCAAGCCTTTGAAAGCGGCCAAGAAGGAGAAAAAGGAGTATGATTCGGAGGATGAAGCTCACCTGGCCAAGCTGAAGGCTGGTATGTGTTCTATTCACTCAATTTTGTCTTCCAAATATACTGATTTTTCATAGATGCCCAGGCCAAGAAGGCGATGATCGAAGCGGCCAAGGGCAAGAAGGGACCCCTCAACACCGGCCAGCAGGGTATCAAGAAGTCCGGCAAGAAATAAACGGATCGAATGCTTGCCGGCGGACCATGTGCCAGCCCCCATAAAGAGCCTGATAAAACCTCCCTCAAGTTCATTTTTACGACCTACACGAGCCAGCCATGTTCAATGAGAGAGCGAACGATGGATGGGTGGCTTCAAATATGTGATCGCCCCAGCATCACTGCCCATACGTCTTGATGAGTGCCTGTATAGCTTTAGCCACCAATATTTATTTCGCACTTTATCGCATTTTCAATCCGGATTTTTTGGAAGTTCAGTTCATTGGAGTGGAACAATTAATACCAACTACACCAACACAAATCCCTGCCGAATAGCAAGGGTGTCATCCTGCCTTGCAAGTCGCGCAGTAGGGGGAATCAAGCGCTCAAAAACATAACCCATGCCCCAATATCGAATAGGATCAAGCAAACCTATCCCGGAAATTCCATCAGACAACTACTCCAACAGATGTGCAATAGAAGTAAAAAAAGGACCATAAACATCTGCGCAATGATCAAAGCAGATCCAAATCCGAGCCCATAGTCCCATTATCTAACTTGTGACGCGCTTGACCCAAAGATTATTTCCATCGCCGGCATTTTCCTTCTCATCCAATCGACGCCAAGCCCGCGTAATCTTCATACCAAGATCGTGCTCCTCTTTCTTGATGTCCGCAATCTCGTTCTCCATACTTGTGACACTTTTCTGAACTTCATCTTTGGCAGCCTTATCATACACAACAGGAGAGTTGGGTTGAAACACCTTCATCAACTCAGCAATGACAGTCTCAAGAGTATACCTACGCCGAGTAAGTTCGTCTCGCTTGTCCTGCATAGCCTCAATACGACCATGGGCATCCATTGGCTCCTCGGATGGAGGCAGAGAAGACTGTACAGGCAATTGCTTTATCTGCTCTGCAACCTGGGATGGGGTGGGCTTTCGGACTGGTTTATTGTTGGCAATTGGCTTTTTGGAGGTCGGCAAGCCAACTGGGGCAACGGGACGGCGTCGGCCCATGATTGAGCTGGTGGAGAGATCATCTGTCGACCGAGTGTCGAGTTGCATACTCTCTCGCGGGCTCGGGTTTTGGCTGTTGGGCTCGGTTGTGTTGTACGTCGTTGCGCTGAAACGGCTCATGGGCTCGTTACTCGGAAGCATCATGCTGATAACCTCGTCGTCGAACTTAAATTCTGGCGTGTCTTCGCGTGGATGGCTAGGCGCACGTTCGGTTGCCGGTCTTGTTGGAAGTGAAACCGCCGGGCCCCCAGAGGTGATTGTGGTCACGGTCGTAGAGGCAAAAGTCAAGTTGTGTAGCTGAGGGCTCGCGTTTGAAGTACCGTTGCGCTTGGCGGAATGGTCTTCTACTGGAAATCCACGTGATGAAGATCGAACTCTAGTTTCTTTTGGATAGTCTTCGGTCTTCGAGATACTGCTGATCCGGTTTCGAGCGGCTGTGAATGTTTTTTTGGGATGGAATTGCTTGAAGATATTTGATGTATGAGAAGTGGTCGGTTTGTGAAAAGGCGTATTGCGGGGATTCACTTGGGTGATTCGATCGACCTCATTGGTAGTTGGCTCGCCTAAGAAATCATTTTCATACGTGGGTTTACCTGAAATGACTCGTCTGGGTTCTTGGACGGGTTGAAGTCGAGGTTTGGATTGAATGTCGACGTTCTTTTCCCTCAATATAGGAGTTGGTGACATAGAGGGCGGATAATGAGGAAATTGATCTCCATCTCCGATGGGCGAAACACAAAAGCTACTTTGGCTGTCTCGCCTATCATGGTGTGGGAGCGGCGAGCCAACAGGTGAGACGTCCGAGTGTGTGTTACTCGTCATATCATGTTTTGACTCGAGCTGCAAAGACGTGTGTGAATCGCTGATATAAAGTTAGAGTTGCAGCATGCTACATCATACCAAGTTACTCACTTAGGCAACGCTGGTAAATCTTTGATGTACTTGTCATGCACTGGGTCTGATGTAGTGGGTGGGTGCGGGCTGTTGATTTCTCTTGTGGGGTTGTTAACGGGCCGCCGAGGCCCTATGAAGGGTCTTTTGGAGAACATATCGTTTCCCACGCTCAAAGCGTAGCACAGGGCTTGTTGGGGCGGAAAACAAAATGCAAAGCTCAGGCACCTGGGCAGTACACTGAGGAGATTTGGATAAAACAGCAAAGATGATTGGGGGTGAAAAGAGGAGACAAATAGTTTCAAAGGGTGCTGTTTTTGCTGGCCACGGTACAGCCTAACTCGGAAGGACGCGGATTAGGGCAGAAGAACGCAAGAATTTATATAGATTATAAGTGAGAACAGGCACTGAATTAATCACAGAAGAGAATAAGACTTCAAAAATCAGGAAATTTCATCTAACCAGATGGCTACTAATAGTTAAAAGTGGGCAACAAATTAAAATGGGGGCGAGATTCCCTGAAACATTTTAAGGGACTTGGGCGTTTTAAGTCTGGAGTCCGAGGGCTTAGCATTGGCGGAGGAAGACGTACTTTCCAATCATTTCACATGTCAGATCAAAAGTAGCTAGAGAATATACTAAAATATACAAAGAAAGATCCTGAAAGTTTAGAATCAAAGAGAAATAGAAATGATGTCCATGTCATATAGGGCCCAATCACGTGGCAAGATGTCATTTCCCGACTTTCCGAACCGCCACTTTTTTAGATATCATTGGAATCAACTCTTTAATCATGGCTGGTATGTGCCACGTTGCTCGTGCTCTTTATATCTCGCTAACATGAAAACAGACAAGTCCGTCCCACAGGCTGAAGTGTTCGTGTCCCATTCCCATCCGTTGGACCAACCAGCACAGCACCACATCAACAGAGCTAACTCTCAACATGATAGGATGTCCATCGCTTCGCCAATCAACCTGATCCTCGTCTCACTCTTCGTGGTGCTGCTCTACTGGCACTTCCGCCCCAAGGCACCTGTCGAGCTTCCCCGCGGTCCCCCACCAACCGTCTTCAAGACCTACACCCCCAAGACCTTGATTGAATTTAATGGCGAGAACAACCGCCCCGTCTATCTAGCCGTCCGCGGCCGTGTCTTCGACGTCTCCCCGGGCAGAAACTTTTACGGACCCGTATGTACTTACTGTGAAATATGAACACTACAGCGCTCATTAAGTTGACGGTCTAAATAGGGCGGACCCTATGAGAACTTCGCTGGTCGGGATGCCTCTCGTGGTTTGGCTCACCAGAGCTTCGATGAGGATATGCTGACCAAGGACCTCTCGGCTCCGTTGGATGAGCTGAAGGATTTGGACGCCGAGCAGCTGGAGAACTTGCAGTCGTGGGAAGAACGCTTCTCTGAGAAGTACCTCGTCGTTGGAAAGTTGGTTGCTGCGGGAGACCCTGAAGCTCCTTCATCGTGACCGCGAAAATGAATTAATGTCCTGTTGCATGTACGACAATGATCGATGTCTAACACTCTTGAGCTGGCATGAGCTAGCATGGCAAATTTTTTGACATCAGATTAGAAGCTACGCGCAATTCAATTTCGGGTTTAATTGTTTGTAAAATTGAAATTTGCCCCGAGCCATTGTATGTGGATTTCAAGCTGGTTTTAACTAATGTCCCCTCTGAGAACTCACTGAATTATTGTATTGACAAACTAAAGGCTGGGACTGAATGACACACAACCCAAAATCCTAAATGTCATAATCTTCGTAGCCTAAGATATCACAAAACCAAAACGAACCCCAATTTTGCAGAAGAAAAGAAATAAAACAACAAAAACTTGAATTTGAGAAAACTTTACAGTTCACCACGCAAGCTCTCGGTGTGCTCAGAGACCTTCTTCTGGACCTTCTCGGCAGCCTCGGTACCCTGGGCCCGGCCGCTAGCAGCGCCGATCTTCAGCTGCTCCACAGCCCAGTGGAAAGTATCCATAATTCTGGCATAAATGGTATCCTGAGGGTTTGTGGTGCCGTACTTGAAGTATTGGGCATTGCGCCGAGCTGCGGCTCGGAGTTCGTTGATGCTGGAGCCCTGGTAGGTAGGAATGCCGTAGTTATCCAGATATTTCTTGAGCTCGGACTGCGACCACTGGTCGAAGGTGGCATCCTTGGCCGTGCCAGTTACCTGTGCGAGAGAGGCAGTTGCAGATGCGTACTGTTCGCCGCCAGCTTTAGAAGCCTTAGCATAGTACTCTTGAGCATTTTTAATGAGCTCTTCGCGCGAGGCACTGGCCTTGTTGGCAGCCTTGTGGTTCACGGCAGAGAGGTATTTCCTACGCAGGTGAGTCAGTGAGAGAACGACCACAGCTAAGGGATGTGCTTACAAGAGGTGTTCCTTGTCCCAAGTATCAAAGTTGTACTGGTTCCATCCACCAGCAGCCTTGTGGGCGTTGGCGCGAACTGACGCAATGAGCTCATCACGCTTGCCATTCTGAGGAACGGGGACACTGCGGGCATCAAGGAATGCCTTGAGGCGGGAGTCAGACCAGCCATTCAATGCGGTTTCAAACCCATCCTCGATCTTTAGTTTAGCATTGTCAGTGGCGCGTGCATACTCGTTGCCGGCCTTGGTGGTAGCAGCGCCGAACGCATCTTGGGCAGCATCAGTCGCACTTGAGGCTACGCTCGAGGCCCGGTTAGAAAGATTGTAGCGGTGCTTGCGAGCCAGAGCGATAAGTTCATTCCGCTTTGAGCCCTGGGGAACCTTGACGTCATGCTCATCGAGGAACTCCTTCAGCTTGGAGTCGGACCAAGCGTTGAAAAGCTCCTCGCTCAAGGACTCCTTCGCAGCCTCAGCCTCAGCCGAAGCAGATGCAGCGATACTGCGTGCCTGCAAGCTGACGATGCGAGAGTTCCGTCGCACCGATGCGATGAGCTTATCACGGGTGGAAGGCTGGGGAGCAGGCCATCCACGCTCATCCAGCCATTCCTTGAGATCCGAGTCGGACCAGTTCTCATACAACCAATCTCCGGGGTAGGAGGCCGCCTCACCAACCTTTGTAGCAACCTTCTCATAATTCTCGCGCGCGGTCTTGATCAGGATGTCACGCTTGCGGGGCTGGGGGGCTGGAATACCATGGCGATCAAGGAATGCCTTCAATTGAGTGTCGGACCAACTATTTCGATCAGCTTCTTGTCGCATTGCCACAGGTCTGAGCCAAAAAATAACTTACGTATCAAAAATCCACTCTTTAGCATGATGAAGCTGATCATTGGCTTGGTCAGCAACATATCCAAGAGGCTTCTGCACTCTGTTATCCCAGTTGGTTTTGACTAGGTTCTCTAGATCTCGGCGGTCGGCAGGACTAGGGTGGGGAATATCTATATAACCTTGTTAGCAGACGAAGCTATTATAAGGCGAAGATAGATCGCACCATGGTCGGAGAGCCATCGCTCCAGCTCTGTTTCATGCCATTTGTTGTAAACTGATGTTGTTAGCCTAAAAACGATCATATCCTTATAGATAACGCACCAGCCTTGCTCCACCAGCTCGAAGCAGCCACAGCTTCAGTGGAAGCGAGGAAGAAGATGAGGCCAGTGGCCAGATTCAACTTCATAATGTCTTATTTCTTTGGCAAAATGATAGATGTTTGCAACTTAGTAGCTATTGGGATATGAGTATTATGAGTATAGAAGCTCGAGCAATGATTGATAGAACTCACCAGGTTGACTTGAGGCTAATTTGAAGAAGATATAGGGTCCAGGCAAGATTTTAAAGAAAACAGAAGGGCAAGAAGAGCAAGAAAGCAAGAAAGGCAGGATGATTGCGCAATGACGTAGTTGGGGAATTTGCCTTGGAGCTGTGAAATGCATGATTCATTAGTTATTTGTTTCTTATTTTTAATAACCACCTAGATAAAATTATTCTCTGCATTCTAGTAACTTTGTTTTAATAATCAATTAGGTATGTAACTACAGATGTATATGTATATTCAAAGAATTCATAAGTAGTTCTGGTTCTATATAGTAAGTAAAAGAGGTTATCACTAGTGCGAAGAAAGGGTATGCTGTCATTAAGGCAACAAGGCAGCAAGGCCAACGGGAGCCCAACTCTCTGGGCTGTTTATGCGGGGATTCCCATTACACTCTTTGTATATGTTATTCAACTTCCTAACACATGATTCCTAGCACACTGACTCTCTAGAGTCTTTGATTAATTTATTGGATGACGTATATTGACAGTCACCTGCTAGTCACGAGCTCCAATCAGTGAGTGACCTTGGAAGCTACAACCTCCTTCCAGCTTCATACCTACATGTAGGTAATTGACATGGACCCATTAACTCCCTATTGCCGCGAGCTGGCCTCGCCAGGCATCTTTCAAACTGTTCTTTCTATGTATGTCCTTTCAACTTCCCAATAAACCCCAATCACTAATCAGGTATAGCTTGATCATCTTCGGTATCCTCATCTCATACCTCCCCCAACACCTCCGCATCATCTCCCGCCGAAGCTCCTTTGGAATCTCCCCATACTTTGTCCTCCTTGGAGTCACATCGGGCACATCGGCCTTTGCCAATATCCTTGTATTTCCATCTACCGCTCAAGATGTTGCCTGCTGTCAGGAGATTAGCGGAATCGCCTGTTTCGCAGGTCTCCTAGGCATAGTCCAGATGGGCATGCAGTGGCTTTGCTTCTTTTCAATGTAAGTTGCAAGTCTGGGGGTTTCCCGACCGTGTATCTCATCTCAATTCGACCCCGTCTAATCATACCTAGTCTCTTACTATTCGTGATCTACTTCCCGCGAGCTACATCTCCAACAGACCCAGTGAGCGCCGTTTCCTCATCAGCCAGTGGGCCGACCTACCGTACTGCGCTCGTTGTAACAGGAATCTGTCTGCTTCATGCGCTCGTTACAATCATCATTTCCATTGCCTTTGAACTCCGCCAACCCGCCGCAGTTCCAGCTTGGGCGAACTTCCTCGGTGTCTTGGCTGCCATCCTCGCTTCGATCCAGTACTTCCCTCAGATCTATACTACGTTCCGACTGAAGTGTGTGGGGAGCTTGAGTATACCTATGATGTGCATCCAGACACCGGGCAGTCTTGTCTGGGCTGGTAGTCTGGCAGCGCGGAAGGGATGGAGCGGATGGAGTATTTGGGGTGTGTTGGTTGTCACGGCTTGTTTACAGGGCACTTTGCTTGCAATGGCAATCTACTTCGAGTACTTTGGGCCAAATAACAAACGCGAAGGGGGCCATCATGCTATTCAGGATGCTCCCGACGGACCCTCCCTGGGCGAGGGGGCTCAGCAAGAGTCTGCATCTGTGGGTGGACCTTCGGAGGAGACGCCATTGCTTCAGAGCCAGTGAACCACTATCCCAGATGGAACGATCGTGTGATGATGTTATTTTGTAGCTTGAGATAGAAACAAATCCTACACAATTTTAGATTGATCGGGCCAAAATGAAGTTGTTTCATTCAGTATCGCAAGTCGAGATTGATCTTTGCGACCAAACATCTGATATTTAACGCGGTCGCCCGTGATATTTTGCTCAAAGAGCACATCCTCCTATCATTGCATCGTCGTATTGGTTTCGGCCTGTGATTTAGGCAGGATAGATCAAACGGAAGACATCGTTGAGCACAAAGTAGCTGCCGGCACCATCGGGTTGCAGCTTGAAGCACTGGGAGTAGTTCATAGGCTTCTGTTCCTCATCAACCTATGCAGAATATGATATTAGCCAGGGGACAAAAGAGGTAGATGCTCGGACATACGAGGAGGGCACCGGTGACGAGCACAATAATGCCGTTCTCACTGGAGGGCTGGGCATCAAAGGTGGCGATTTGATGCACGACCTTCTCGAAAGGGAGACTCTGTATTCATCACAAAGTCAGTAATCAAAACACTTGTTACGAGCCATCATAAAACATGAGAATTGACTAACGGCTAGCTTCTCAACGATGGCTTGAGTACCCAGAACCGAGCTTGTCTCAAAGGTGAGCATAGAGTGATCACGCTATTTGTTGGAGAAAAGAAAAGACAGTCAGTACATCTCGGGAAATTTGTCTGTTCGTAACGTCCAGAGCGGGGCTTACGTAGAGACCACCCAGACCTTGACGGTTGGCGTCGAATGTCTGGTAGTAGAACTGCACAAACTGCTCTGCAAATAGATGATGCGTCAACAGTGCTCTTTAGGTATAAATAATATCATCCATCTCATGGGACATGGGTTGCAACTATATGTATCATCGGAAGCGGGCGCGTTGCTGAATCGGCGGGGGGAGAGAGCTTGAGAGCAGTGGTAACATACCAGCGATACTGTTGAAGTCTATAATGAAATAGATATGTTAGCCAAGGTGAGTTTCTCTTAGGCTTTCTCACTTGGTCTCCTGTCACTGCCATAGGACCGCGACAGTCACATATTGTTCAGGCCCAAACGATCAAACCCCTCCGTCTCTGTCGCAGAGATATGAGAATCGAGTTAGAGAAGAGCACATACCAGCCATTTTAAAGGGGTTGTAGGGATGAAGAGGGTAGAGAGAAAGTAATGCGATTGTAATTTAAGGGTTATAGAGAGTTCAGCGCCAGGATGCAGGTATTTGTTGATGAGGGGTTGTGGGGCAGAAAATGTTCTACGGATGATGCCTGACTGCCTTATTAATTGATCGCCCAAGAGCCTCTCTGCCTCACAAATTCTAGGTACTATATCTACTACATAGGCGCCTAAATGGGATGATTTTTATCGTACTATTATTCGTTGCAATTCGTTATCTTCCGCCATACTCTGTACATTTACATGCCTAATTTCATTCCTAAATCACTCCGAGTCGGATGCGAACATGTCCTCAGCTTTGGGCCGTGGCCTGCGTCGCCGTGTCTCTGGATCTTGATGCCCAGCTGGTTCTTCGGGCTTCTTGGGTGGTTCAGTGGGCTGTTGGGTTGATTGAGTTTGGATGTTTTCATTGCCCGATGGCAGTTGGACCTTGTCCACAGGGTTTCCTTCATCGTTCTCCAATTCGTGGTCACTGTCTTCCATTGGGACACCATCGATGTCGCTCATTGATTCGTCCTCGGTGAAAGTGGATCGGGCTTGTCGGTTGCCATCACTCACAGGGCGAGTAGGGTCAAACTTTCCAGCCAGCCCATCTTCGTCAACTGTCTTCCATCGATTTTTGCTCTTGGCAAATGCAGCAGCAGCTTTTTCTGCCTCGACTTTTTCTTCCTCTTTGTGGGACTCGGCGTCGGTAAGCGGTGGCTTCTCGAGTACCTGAGCGAAATGCTCCTGGTTCAGTTGAGTGAAACAATTCGTCAATTCCCACCGTTCCAAAAGATAACCAACACTTTTCTTCCAGTTCCGAGCTTTCAGCCGTCCCCAGTTGAGATCTTTATCGAGTCGACCAAGGTGTTCAAAAACCTTTCGAGTACGGAATGCGTTTTCAAACAGATGGCGGTATCGCCAAGAATGGCGCACTCCACTGTTGTTTGCGGCTGAGAGAATATCAGAGATGACAAAAAGACCAACTAGCTTCGAGCCGGACGGATCAAATGCTTTCTTGGGTAGAATATCTTTCTCATCAGTAGTCATTTCCGATGATTCTTTGGATGCCGGGTCGTCCTTGTTTTCTGCGGTTTCAGATGGTTCTTTGGTTGAGGCGGACGCCTTCTCAAGTTCACAATCTGGGTTCGCCCCAGTGTATACCAGTGGGTTGAGAACATTCAGAACAATCATATCCACAATCTCCTCTGCGCCGGATTCAACGTGCTCCATGGCAAATGCCGTTATACGCGCAACATCACCTCGTCGAAGTGTTGCTTGGTGAGTTGGAAGTCGTGCAAGAAGATGGGTGAGCTTGGCCTTCTTCATGGGGTTCATGTAGCCAAGACCATCGCCGTATCCGTCGATCCCTTCCGAGGGTGCTCCACCGCGGTTACGCCGTTCATCTTCTCCATCCGAGTTTTCTTCGTCAGAGGAGTTGTAATCCTCATCCGAAACAAAATCTTCTAGCCGAGTGGTGTATTCAAATTTGAGATCGCTCTCTGGGGGCATCCAGGTCGGGCCCCCTTCAAATATTATCGCAGGTTGGTGGGCTTTGGCCTTTTCGGTCCTGGGGTTCGTGATCACTTGCCATAGTTTCCAGCGGTAGTACACACCACCTGTCGTCCTCGCATCCCATAACCAAGCCCATTTTTCGTCCTTCTGTACCTCTGGCCTGCTCATCAATAACGCCTCAAATTGAGGGCCGTGGTTCAATAAATGCTCAAGCGTCAGGTGGATAAGTCTCAGTTGTTTGATGTCTGACGGTAATTTCACCTCCACCACAGTACTTGGGCCGCTTCTACCAGCATTGGACCCATATGAGCTCGGAGGTGCGAACCCTCCCTGGTGTATTCCAGGTGGGGGAGCGCGATTCAGACTTCCGCCAATGTTTGGTTGAACCTTCTTTGCGCCAAAAGGTAGAGAAGAGCTTGATGAAAGACCGACAGGCAAAGGCATATTCAAGCTGATGGCAGCAGAAGAAAGATGTCGCGAGATATTCAAGTAGTAGCCCCACCCAAGGTACTTGTTTTGGAGAGAGCTCACGGTGGTGTCGATGTCCGAAGCGGCTGTGTCGCTTGCAAGGATAATAATGGCAGCAGAAGATCTTTTTTCTGTTGTAGTCTGTCCGGGTGGTTGTAGAATCTTGATATCGTCTACGGCTAAAACAGAGGGCATCAAAGCTTTGATGACTGATGGAGATGTCCCGGGAGGAAGTGACGCAAGGTATAAGGTTGGCTTAGCAGCAGCTCTCTCCGCCTCCTCAATTGTCTTGTCAGCCTCAGGGGCCCCGAATGATGGAGTGGGTCCAGAAGACATATTCGCGCTTTCAAATCTTGGCTGATCACGATGTGAGGCAGGGAAGAAGCCTTCGTGGGGACGTTTGCGGGAAAGTGTTGGAGGTGGGGGACCCAAAGTTCCCGGGCCACTGTTGCGTGAGGTAGATCCTGTGAAGTGTCTTTTGGAAGGTATTCCAAATCCACCACCCCTGCCTCCATGTGTATTCAACCGTCCATCGGAGGGCAGATGTCCAGCGGGAGCCTCATCATCAAAAGATTTAACGAAATCCTCCAGTGCTGCGGCATTTTCGGCTTGCTCTCGGATGCGTTTCGCCTCGGCCTCAGCCTTTTGACGCTCAAAGAGCGATTTCTTTGGAAGCGCGGATAGTTTTGCGGAGACATCAGGGAAGCCCTTCCCCTTCGGTCCGTCAGACATGTTTAACAGCTGCTGCAAGAGCAGCGCCAGTCGCTAAACTCAGACGAAAGTAAGATGATGGTGTCCAGAAAATGGTGTAAGAAAACGTCGACCTAGAAGAGGTTCCATAGCTAGAGGTCTACAGATCAGTGAACTGCTACATGATAACATATAATGTGGGCGGTGATCAAGGCGGTGACGATGGCCCATACAAATGGCATTATGTTGCCGATGACGAGGTTCCCCCGAGTCTTCAGCCGCCTTGTGGGCCCGTACATATGCACACATGTAGGTGCGTCACTAAAAGAACTTCAGCTTTGCCAGCGTTCCATCGGTTTTCCATATTTAAAATGGCTACAGAAGTACCGGATCTTCTACGATTTCTTTCGCAAGATGCCAAAGTCTCACTAGCTTTGGCAATGGGCAAGGTTTTAGAGCTGCAAAAAGCCCATCTGACCAAGTACGCCATGACCAGTATGCAAATCTCTTAGTTACCACTAATAATTTCTTAGCAGTGCGAAAATTGCCAAATCGGACTTGGAAACTCTTTTAGGGATCTTCCAAGAGAAGAAAATAGCCAAGCAAGTGCTTAATGCTGCTAAACGGGTCTCTAAGAAACGAGAAGCTCCATATGATGCCGGATCATCAACCCAGAAGCGAGCCAAAGGCTCCATAATATCGAACAAGGACTTCACTCCATTTGAGATTGAGTCAGCACTCAGCTTGCCCAAGTCTTCTGCTGGTGAAGACGATCTGAACAGTACTGTTCTCGTCACAAACCGGGCGCCGCTTGTGCTTGCTTTTGCAGTGTGTGTTCTAAAGTACACCATGCCCGAACAACCTTTATCCAGTCGACTGAGTCTTGCCCAAGCTGTTGTCTCTGTCAACAGTCGTGCCAAAGCTATCAGTCTAGGAATAGAAGATGGAAGGCCTGCAGACCAAGAGGGTTGGGGAGCAGGCCATCCTGTGGTCAAAATTCTTGGCCGCGATATACATGTGTTGAAGAGATGGGATTACGATCCAAATGAAGGAGCACCTTCAGCCGAAGTCCACTCAAGATATGAGGGTGAAAATGTCCATGGGGAAGAAATCCAGATGCCCCCACTTTGGGGTGTGGATTTAGAAGCACTCCGGGGCCAGGATTCTAAAGGCAGCACATCTGATAGGCATCCGAACTCCGATATTAGTAATGCACTCGCCATATTCAGGCCAGATTCTGCACGGTCATATCTATATCGAGCATTCTCCAGGCCGGCAGAAGAGAGCAAAATGCCTTCCAAAAAGAAACCCGCTACGGCTATTGAGGACGAGAAGGAAGAATCTCTTGGTCGGCTGTTGTCTGCTATTGATTTGGTCTGCCAGTCATGGCTTTCAGCGTTAGACAAGACCGAACTCGACAGGCGTGCTTGGTCTTGGTACATTCGCGTTAGGCCTGATGTTCAGAGTGGAGCACGAGGCTGGGGTGAAAAAGGACAGGTGAAGCTATCCGATGTTCTTGCTCTTCGGCGAGGCATTTGATAGATACATGTAATCTCGTTAGGCTACTCAATGTGGAAATTTAAATGCTAGAATTAATGAACTTGTTAAAGATAGCCCGACGCAGTCCCCCGCTTGCTAAGGTTGCCTCTCGAAATTGATATCGACTTCGTGCGTCCAGCAAAGTATATTGACATGTAGTTACCACTCTGTCTTCTCCGTCCTTCTGGACTCTTCATGAAAAGACAGAGATCCCAATGGGGGCCAAACTTCTTGAGCCAACTGATCAAGCATTGTGTGTTGTATCTTCAGTGGCTCCGACTATCGCAGCTGTGGGCTTTCCATTGGAGCCTTCTTCGAGAGCGATGTCCTTCTCCACTGGTACAGTAACGTTGAGCTCAGTATTCCGGTGACCATCTATGACATCTTTATTGAAGGTATTCATATATATAGGAAAAGCCATTGCGAGAATATAGCCCATCATCGGGATTGCCATGGCAATATGGGCGTTTTGATTCGTCTGCAAATTATATCATCGCTAGTTTTTATATCCAAAGCTTCAAAGCTCCCGAGAAGGAGTTGATACAGCGAACCACGATAGCCCCCATCATGGGAGGAAACACTATGCCACCAGAAATCGCAGCGACAAGAAGGGATCCACCGCGCTTTGTATGACGGCCAAGACTACGAAAAGCAAGGGAAAAGATGGTTGCAAAGCAACACTGGTGAATGACCCCGTTAGTTATAATGTCTTTTGATAATTTGTCGTATGTCACATTACTCACCGATTCAAAGCACAGAACAAAAATGATCATTGCCACTAGTAAACTTTTGTAGTCATGGCAGCTATCGTAAAGATGATGCAGAGAATCAAATAAACTGTCAGTATGTACCGAGGCTTGAAAGCCTTCATCGTCATCAAGCCGGTAGCAGACAAAGCGGTTGAAAGCATAGAGACACTGCGCAATGGCAAGCAAGTCCGCTAAGATAATTTGGCTAAAAATAACGTCAAAAAAACCTTGTATCACTTACATGGCTCTGCGGCTGTTTTACCAGCTTCTTTGCAAAAGTTCATAAAATATCCGGCGACGGCCACTTGTGCTCCCACATAACAAAATTGACTCCAAACTCCAAAGAACAAGTTATATTGCTTTTTGAACGGGCCGCTGTCTTCGCCGTGATCAAAAATTTGTGCTTCCAATGCTTCTTTGGTCTGCATCTGTGATCGCGGAAAAAGGAGTTGGCCAGAAGAGGATGATGAGCAGGGCGACGAAACAAGCCACTCCAAGATATGTCCATTGCAATTTTTAACCCGGCATCGTCGTCCACAGTATTGGCAAAGAACACACGAGAGGCCAAAAGAGGCGCAACAAAGGTTCCTACTCCCTGGACGGCTTGGCCTAAATTCAGACAAATGTCGCTGTATTTCGGGGGTCCGCAAATGGAAGGGAAAGGATCGGCTGCCGTCTCTAGGGTGGATAGCCCAGCGCCAACAACCTGGTGAGATGTTAGAGCGATATGGGCCACAAGGTTCTTTTCACGTACAAACATGCTACCGCAGAATCCGCCAAATGATTTCTTCACGCTACTGGGCCAGAAGAGGAGACATCCGACTGCAAGCACGGCGAGACTTAGTTCGTTGGTAATGAGTTAATCCATGCAAATGATCAAATGGACAATATCTCTAACAAGTGAGTGAAAGTGACTCGGAATCCATACTTGCGGGCTGTCCATCTAGAGATGGTGAGCGGACAGATGAAGTAGGCACCGAAGTATGAAGCCTGCAAGCCACTGTATTTGCTAGCGGTGATATTGAGAGCAGTTTGGATATGGGAATTCAACATATCTAGCAGGCCGTATGCAAAGCCCCACAAGAAAAAGAGAATTGTAACTAAGAGTCCAAGGTCAGAAGTATAGGACCAGCAGCCTAGATACACACATACCCAATGCATTTGGAAGTAAGGATGGCCGCAAGGTCAGGTGGATAGCAGATGTGACAGCATTATCCTCAACCGTGATGTTCCGTTTGAAGATATCAATACTGGCTTGCGAGGCTGTCGTTCAATAGATATACCCGATTTGTACTTTAGTAAGTCTGCAATCAAACCAGACTACATGGATGTAGACGACAAAAGGGGGTATGTCCAGTGATTTGAATCTATCAACAAACCCCATAAAATGCACAAATCCACATGTCAGATGAAGAGGGAACCGGCACCGGCATAGAAATAGCGATGTCAACTGTTATTTGACTCCGGATCACTAGTAAAGGAGGCGTTTCCCGTCAAGCAATACTTGCCTTCTATTGAACGCGAAATATACAGACCAATCAGAATTCCCAGCGGAGAACATCATACCCCGAAGTAAGCTAGTTTAGGTACAATATTTCCTTCTAGCTAGTGGACTGAACACGGCGTCCAGGACTGCGCAGAAGGTGGGGAAGTGGAGGGCATTTGGGGCCGAGAAGCCATTTTCCCCGCTGAATATGTAAAGAACTTACAACTTTCTACACTACATAGGTAGGGAAGATCATAGCATGACTTGGTCAACAATGTGGTCCATATACATATTTATGCAGTATGCGCATTGCTAGCATGGTAGCCAAAATTTAATTTTGTCTGACCAAACTCCTCCAAGTGTCATTGACTTCGATCGACTTGCACGTTTGAATTATATACGCGTACTCGTGGTTTGGCTTACTAGGAAGTACACATCCTACCCGATGAAACGCCCGATGATCGCCCTCGTTTGTCAAGAACCCGCTGGCTATGGCGCTCTCAGACCTAAAACGGCCATCATTAGACCGACAAGCCTAAATATACGTCCATTTTATAGCTAAGCAATTGTTTAAGTTCTCGATTGGTTTTATATCTAAGTCCAGGGTCTGAAACACTGGGTCGATTCCACATTCTTAACTGGAAAGACTGGCGACATTCTTGATTCTCTCTTTATTCTTCTCTTCCTATCCTGTTTCATTATCCATGATAGTCTCTATTTACGGGCCTGTTCTAACATTCTTTAGGGTTAATTCTCAATCACCTTTCAATCATTTATACATACAAATGTATATAGTAGCTGGCTTTGTTGGTCTCCATATCCTTGCTGCGAAATACTTTTGATATAAGCAGCTTCTAGACTTGGATGTAATCTAGCACATGGTAAAGTTCGATATGCTCTACTTATTATGAATATATACATCTTACCGGTAAGCGGTTCTTCCTATCGTTGGTTAAAAAGGCCAACCCATGGCGTTCCTTGGAAGCCAATACACAAAATAGACAGCCTATCTTCCAACATTGTATCTGATATATGTCTGATAGTTATCTACTATATACCCCGCGATAGAGTTGGATCTACACCAGGTCATCGCCCTTACTCCACATTTTGGGGCCACGAGTGGACCATCTTTGACATTGTATATAAGATGGCGACTAACATCGCGATATATAGTACCTGAAAATTATGCATCAAGAAGGTTGTTTGGGAGGCGTTACCTACCCTTCTAGTGTACATCTGTGTTCAGGGTCATGTCGACTTCGCAAGAGGTACTCAAGCCTAACGCGGGTGTCATGCGAGCAGGTAGGCTGTTGTGTGTTCAGCCTACCAATCAACCTAATCAATCCACCAATATTGGACTACAATCAAATTTGTCCAAAGCTCTGCCGAATGACTAGTACGAGAACCTAGCACATCTTACCTAGGTAGATAGAACGAAGTGATAAGTAATACCTATGTATAGAAGGTAGACCTAGTAGAATTTTAAGGCAAAATGCCGGGAGGTTATATGTACAATAATCAGAACCCATCACCTTCAAGTCAGCCATGCTCGTGTAATTGTATTCATCTTGAGATTTTCTTTGCTGAGTCTGATAACGAAGTCAAACTTTAACCTTCAGCTCGGTCTTTTGTTCCTGGGCCATTTAAAGTAAGAATGAATCTCTCATGCTATAAAGATGCCATCGAGATGGAATTTTTGAGAGGACGTAAGGTAATTGTATAGATAACTTTTTTTAATGGCTCGAGACTGAATGATTCAACTCAAATGTATGATGACTATCTTACAAGCTTACCGTTGTAGACAAAGAAGCAAGCTGTTCTTTCACAATGTGGAACTGATATTCGGTTCTAGATCTGTAGCTACTAGATGAGCCAGGTCTAGAACCGAAGGACCCCAAGTTTTCTCGAAGAAAAATTATAATGTTTTATGGACCTAGAGCGGATATTAGGGCCGGTCAGCCCTGAAGTGAGTAGAATGGGAGCATATTGGAGGCTGGATGGATCCCGTTACGCACGCAACCCCGCGCTCAAGCGGAGCCCTTGAAACGCAGAAGCCGTCGAGGGCAACCGAGGGGAACCTAATATCGTAGCCATTATTGGCAGGAACATACAAGATTGTACACTGTATACCAACATTGCCCAAATTTTTTGTAGGTCTTCGATGGTATATCTTCAAGACGCAAGTATAAAAGAGTTCAAAAAAGTAACCAGAAGGTATCCGAGAAACCTCTCACCTCTCGGAAAAGGTTCCAAAAATCCGGAAAACCCGCTCAGCCCAAATTCGGTTTTATTGTCTTTATTTGAAAACTGGTTTCGGCGAATCGGACGATGTCATAGTCATATGCTTGCTCTGCCTAAGACCTAGTGTTTCAAAGTAGAAAAACGGAAACATAATAATAAAGTACAAAAATGCAAACGTACAAACGTACAAAAGTGCCTAGAGTGCCTAGAGTGTATAAATCATAATAATAAACAAGTGTAGCTATACTAGGTACTACTAGTCCGCAGAAAATAGAAAAGTGGTGGCGAAGCCCAAAGGTCCACTGATAAAGTCTTAGTAGCGTACGGAGTACAATAGAGGAGTGATACGTACTCCGTAGATCGTATCCAGACCCTTAGGGTCCTTGTTCTTTTATGTTTCCAAAGGGTTAAAATATGTATAAAGAATAAAATAAAATATAAAACGCAACACAGAATAGAAATCCAAGAGATCTTTCAATTGAAATACAAAAAGCCAAGAATTTGAGGATGGTCCGAGTTTTTTTCTTCTTTTTGGTACGGAGTAGAACTTCTCTTTCTCACTTCTCGGCTCCAGCATCCCCGTCACACTAAAGGTCTCAAACTCTCCCCTTCCAACGTCCCCCCCCCGCTCCAAATTCTTCTCTATCGAACAACAACTCTCAAGTCATCACGTATATAATCTTCCTTTCAACGTCTTCAGGAAGTGTTTAAATATATTCATCGCTATCGCTAAACAACCCTCCCTTGCCCCATCTTCGGGTCACTGAACGGATTGAACGAACAGCGAGGTGGCCCGACAGGGCTGCCAAACCGATAGGAAATGTCGGGTCATATTTCATCTGAGCATTCTCGCTCTGATTCACAATCCTCCCAGACCCCACGACTCTCCCGGAGCGATTCGATGCCTCGTCACTCCTTCGGTCGCAACTCTCGCGTCTCTAATCCCAATGTCTTTGCGGACGAATACTCGTTAGAACCCATTGAGTCCGATCGAATCGAACGCCCTCATAGTCCCTCTTCTATCGCCTCCTCCGCCACCCTTCGTGAAAATAACCATCAACCAAAGACTGTCAGCACGGCAACAACTGAGAATGAGAATCCATTCGCCGATGACGCTCGGGTGTCATTCGATGAACCTCATCGGTCAAGTCTGCCCCAAAAGGGTTTAGGTTTCTCTAACAACCGCAATTCTACAACCTCTATCAACTCGACTCCTTCCCTGATCCAACGAAACCAAAGTGTTTCTTCCCGCTTCTCGATTCCCCGTGCCCTCAGCCCCTACACCGGAGCCACCGGACCTAGCCATCCGTATGGTATGTATCCTCAAGTCGGTGTTAGTCGATCGCCTAGTGTTGGCAGTACCTCAACGATACGGCCGATTGAACGACCAATCGAGGAATCGACTGGTCCTCAGCATCCCTATGCGATGTACTCGCAAAATGTTGTCGAAGAAGGAATGGATGATGATATCATTCCGGTCGGATTTCCAGGCCACAACCCACCGTATCAACCTCCCGCTGGCCGTCAGGATGATGATGTGGGAGATATCATTGGACCAGATGGGCACACAGAGCCGCTACCACCTTATTCACGATACCCAACAGGCGTCATCCCCAAGCCTCCAGGGGCTGAGACGATGGCCGATCTTCACACCTCACCAGAGGAGCATCGTCTCAACAACGAGAGCTCAAGAGTGCTTCCTGTGTCAGAAACCTCATCAAGGGCCTTAGTGCCTGAACATTCTGGCGAAGAAAACAATGATCGAAATGGGGAGGAAAGAGCCGTTGCGACCACAGGTATCATGGCTTTTGAGGAAAAGCTCAAACGCAAAGGAAAGCAGACCGCATGCTGCGGCCTTCCGGTATGGACGTTGGTCCTCATCGCGACTGTGATGCTCATTGGAGGATGCATTGGAGGTGTCATCGGTGGTGTTCTGGGAACTAAGAGAGCTGCCGAAGCTGCCAAAGCAGACCAAGAAGCTCAAAAGTCACATGGCCCACCGATCGTGACGGTAACCGCATCTGCTCAGATGGATGCATCCATGATTTCTACACCCACAAACATCAAATCTATACCTACTGGCCATTATATGGTTCCCTCTGGTTATCAGAACGGTTCGGGGCTTTGTGTGGATGAGACGACCTATGGGAAATCCTGGAAGTGCTTGCAACCGCCAAGTAAATTTGAGATTTACATAGGCGAATCTCGAGGTCATCATTCCATTGTTTTTGACTACGGTAATCCAACCCCGACCTTCACCTATGGTGCTCAAGCACCATACTGGTCTTCTTCGCCCACCCAGGCATTGAGCATGGCCGTTGACACAACTGACCTTGGCATGGGACCTGCTCTCTTCTTTATTTCTGCGTTCGACAAGCTCGTCATTGTCCCCGAAAATGACTTTTCTCTCAGCACTCTTTCCAAGCGCTCCTGGGTGGAAGATGGATGGGCACAAGCAGAGGCCTATAAGAATTTCAAGCAGACCGCACAAGTCGGTGACAAGCCATGGTTCTGTTGGTGGAACAACACTATGATGGAATTTTTCTTGTACATCAATCAGTCGACTTCAGCATCCTCGAGTACCACTGCATCCGTCGACAGCAATATGGCGGCAAGTACGGCTGGAACATCAGTTAGTTCCAAACGTGACTCCTCCACCGCCGATTACCCGCGGCGGATCAAAATGGAGGAGCGTCGGGATGACCCCAAGCGCGAAGCTCCTTATTGTCAACAAATGCAGATTCGCAACGACGGCGGTTTGGCCCTTCTTTCCGGCCAAATAATCAACATCAAGGAGAATGAACCCACGCCCACCACCACCTACACCAATTATAACGGCGGCACTGCTCAGACATATACTGCCCAGGCATCTTATGCTAGTGCGTGCTATTGTCAGTCTCTGACAGACTAGTCGGGCCACCTGATCTGAAACAAAATCCTTTATTCATTGTGGTCCCTCTGGGTGCGGACCTTGGCGTTGGCGTTGGATCGGCCATGGAACTGGCCTCAGCTCATGTGCACATGATCGTCTTCTTTTTTTTTCTGCCTGTGTGATTTTATCCTTCCCCGCAATTTATTGACCTTGAGGGATGTTTTCTTTCTCGCATTATCAGTGACAATGCCTCATTTCCCCCTCCGACTGCTATTGCGGTATGACATGATTATCATTATTTTGCGAGCTTTCTTTATCTCTTCCTGGGTTACATTCGGTCTCTCCCTTGGTATTATTACTGGTTTGGACTCTGGCGTTCATTGGATTGGTATGGCTCAGGTACTGCAATATGTCTGGCCAAATATTGTTATCTACTACTTTGTTCTCGGGATGCTGGATTAAGATTAATCCTGTCACTTGATGGAGCTGCAGTTTTATTGACACCTCTCGGTCATATTGCAAGATATAAGATTCATTTTGATCTACTCGTGTGTAGGATGTAGGATGTAGGCTGGTTGAAATTGCAAATACTTTAGAGAAGCAGCTGTGATAACACATTTTAATACTGTGCTTATCAGCGTTCAAAGTATCTGAAATTGTGCTCTTAGGGAACAATCATTATGAACTATCACTTATCAAAGGCTTTCCAAAGACGACTCTAAAATCATGCAGAACATGCCCGGCGCAGGCGAGCTGCGTACAGCGAGCGCCCGCCATAGCTGAGTCATCAACATCACGTGACATCAAACAATCCGGAGGGTACATTTCTTCATCACGTGACACTATTCAACGGCGACATGCAGATGAGGAAATCAAAGACGATGAGCGAAACGAGGGAAGCGACAAGACATAAACATCGATAATTGCCTTTCAAGCCCAATCCAAAGTTGTATGCTGTAAAGAAATAGCAAGATGGGTCCTATTTTCCTCCATGGTGCCCGATTGGGAGCTCCCGCTTGACACCTGAGGCATATCACACTTCCGACAACTCGCACCTTGCACCCCATTCCTCCTGCAACCTCTCTCATCGTTCCCCATCCATTCCTCTCCCACAATCTCATCCTCTTTTCTCTATATCCTCCAACTCTCGATATCGCATGATTTCATCCACAATTTATTGATCTGCTTTATCGAATTTTCTCGTTTCTTGCGCTTGTGACTCTTAAAAATCTGTCCTTGGACCTCCAGATCAAATGATCGCGTCTCCTAGATGACCTTCCCTCCCCCTCACCCAACCGCCCAATCGTCGATTGCTTCTGGCACCGATAAATCTTCTTCGACCAGGACCGATATTGGTGCTTGGGGTCGGTCCGTGTCGCAGTCCGGCGCACGTCGTGGGTTGACTCCACTCGCGACTAACTTATCCTCCGCCGCTCCCCCCACGACCACCCGGGGTTTGGACGCAGGCCTTGGGGCTTCTACACCTTCATCCTTCTCTGCCGTTCTGAGCTCTGCCAGGGGTCTCACCGGTAGCAGTCCTAAACCCACATCCTCGCCATTTACCTCATTGCAATCTGGCTCACAACACCACGGATCTAACCTCTCGTCTCCCAAATTTCGATCTCACACCCCTTCCGTAGGGTCTCATTTGGCTTCTGCTACAAGCTCCACTCCAGGTGGAGGAGGTACTGGGGGAGGTGGTGGGCCGGGATCATCCAGAGGCGTTTTCTCGCCTCTCTCGTCCGGAACAACCGTGAATTCTCCCACGGGCTTCGCATCTGACAAGCCGGGATCTGCAGCCGCCCACTCGAGCCAATCGTCGCTCACCAAAATCTCCATCGCGCAGGTATTCCTCTTGTTGGATTCTATTACAGAGAAAGAAGGCAAAGAAAAGTGGGAAACGAAAGCTGCTCAGATACACAAGGTTAGTGGTGTAATATTCCCCCTCCCTCAGCCTAAAAGAAGCTAACAAAAGCAGCTTGTAACATCCAACGGAATGGAGGTCTTTTCCAAATACTTTCGCCGCCTCTTAACGGGCAACGCGCCACAAATTTTCCCGGGCGTGAACAAGTCCGTCGAAAATGCGGGCAATTACCCTCTCCTTGTCCAGGAGCTGCAAAAAGTGTCAGCAGACATGGACCAGTCTCAAAAAATCGCCGAGACAGTAGATACTTCTGAAGGAGATATCTTCCGTGACTTTGACCTTTCGACGTTCCTGGATCACTTCCGACTTGACCCAGTCGTGAAGGTCGCGCTGGCTTTAGCGTTTAAGTTGACCAGCAAGTCGGACCTTCGTGCTAAAGGTATATAGTTGTTTCCGGTCACTTTTGTTCTAAAGCTAATCCATTCCACTAGCCGATGCCATCCTCTCCAACTCAGTTGCCCCCTTCCTTCAAAGCTTGGCAAGTCCATCCGAAATTACGAAGGACTACAATAATTCTTTCCTCGGAATGACCATCGAACGATTCATCCTCTATCCCCCCCGCAATTTCACCGACGATGTCAAAGCGAAGCTCGTATACGCAGCGAACCTGCGATACCAAAAACTTGGGTTAGATATGCCATTCGAAGTCTCTTCCGCTCTACAAATGTTCAATTTTGTCAACCCTCAATACGGTCTTGTTCGGCAACTACATGCCAAAGGCGCCCGAGCCACTGCAAATATCGAAACAATAAGCGAAATGATCAACTCTGACCCGAAGAATTGGAGCGAGGAACATCTAGCAAGTGGTCTTCTCTTTATGGTTTTGTCACAATATTGGGAACAATTTTCACTGGAGACTTTCATAAGTGCATACACAGATAAACCGATCAACTGGCCTCTGGTTCTCCGACACTTCGATCGTGAAGGCCTCCGAGTGGACCCGAAGCAATTCGCCAAGCTTTACAATGTTCTCTCTGTCATGTCGGCCGAGAGCTCGACTTTGGATGTGCAAAAGCTTTGGGGTGGAGACTGGGAGCATCGCGACACGCAGATGTCATTCCTGACAGCGTTCGTGGCATCTCGCATCGACCCATCCCACATCCCCAACCTTCGTGCAACCTTCCCCGCCGACTTCTTCCAGGATGCCCCTGATCTTGTTAAACTGCAAGGCGAGCGTGCAGCGAAGTCCCCACTGCGGTCTATGGACGCCATGAAAGCCATTTTTGACCTTGCCTTGTTCTCTCAGGCTTCTTGGGCTGCGACTGAAAGCCAGCTCCTTATCAAGGCGGTCGTTCAGTTTGATCTGCCAGTGTTCCTTTGCTCCGCGCTTGCGATTCCACAGCCGTGGTCCAGTGTACAACAAAGCTTTGTGTTGCGCACATTTATTGTGTTTATCTCGAAGCAAGAGGATGGATACCAGCTCGCTCTTCACGGAGCTTGGCGACAAGACCGACAGTGGGTTGCAGACCAGCTGTTCACTACATTTAACCAGGACCCTACATCCACCGCGGTGATTTACGAGCACGCTGCTGCGTATGGCTGGCTGGAGGATCTCCTTGGGTTTACCAACGGACTTCCTCTTAATGGACTTGCTCTTGACCTCGCATGCTACTCCCACCGCAAAAATCAGTTTGATCTTGAACAATGGGTTCAAAATGCTGCTCAAAAGGGCGCCATTGATATGGGTGGGCTGCTATCCAAGTTCCTGCGAATCAAAGCAGAGGACGAATTGCACGTCCAACGCAAGGAACAATCCGCTCATCAAATGGTCAGCCTTGCAGTGAAGACGGTGTACACTCTTTTATCTGTTCTGGAGGAATATGTCGGAGACCGTGAGAATCTCACACCCGTTCAACGCATCTGCATTCAGACATACCCTCGCCTAATAAATTACGGTGAAGGCTTCGATGATATCATTGACCTCAATGGCGAGAACGGTAACAATCTGCCTGAATCCATTGATAAGCAAATGCAAGAGCTCTTCGGTAAAATGTACCATGAAGAACTCTCGCTCCGAGAGATGTTGGAGTTGATGCGCAAGTACAAGTCTTCCCGCGATCCCATCGAGCAAGACCTGTTCTCCTGCATGGTCCATGGCCTGATCGATGAATACCATTGCTACCATGAGTACCCGCTCGAGGCTTTGACTAAGACTGCAGTTATGTTCGGCGGTATCATCAACTTCCGTCTTGTTGACGGTATTACCTTGAAGGTCGGTCTCGGTATGATCCTCGAGGCTGTCCGTGAACACGAGCCCCACGACCCAATGTATAAATTCGGCGTTGAAGCAATTGAGCAATTAATTAACCGTCTCCCTGAATGGGCTGGTTTCTGCCACCTGCTTTTCCAAATCCCATCTCTGCAAGGGACCCCCATCTACCAAAAGGCCGAGGAAGTGCTTCGGGAGCAAGGAAACCAAGTTGGTGAAGCCGAGGCTGGACCTTTCGATGGCATGGTTGCTGCGCCTCTCACCAATGGCAATTCCACCGACTCCCCGGCTGCTGATGGCTCTGTACGCAAGTTCCGTGCTGTTCAGCTTGATCCCCCTCTTCGATCTGAGCTCTATGAAGATCCAAATGAAGACATCCAGGACAAGATTCTGTTCGTTCTCAACAACGTTTCCGAGCAAAACATTGACGAGAAACTTCAAGATCTCCGTGAAGTGCTGCGCGACCAACACCATCAGTGGTTCGCCGCTTACCTGGTCGAGGAACGTGCCAAGCTGCAGCCTAACTTCCAACAGCTCTATCTCGACCTTCTTGATCGTATCGGCGACAGAATTCTTTGGGCCGAGGTCTTGCGAGAGACTTACGTCAGCGTTGCCAAGCTCATCAACTCTGAGAACACATTAACCTCATCTACTGATCGTGGCCATCTCAAGAACCTTGGTGCTTGGCTTGGATCGCTGACCATTGCGAAGGACAAGCCCATCAAACACAAGAACATCTACTTCAAGGGCCTTCTTCTGGAGGGCTATGATACCCAACGCCTCATGGTCACGATCCCCTTCGCCTGCAAGGTTCTTGTGCAGGCTACCAAATCAACGGTGTTCAAGCCCCCCAACCCCTGGTTGATGGACATCCTAGGTCTTCTTTTGGAGCTTTACCACTTCGCTGAGTTGAAGCTCAATCTCAAGTTCGAAATTGAGGTCCTGTGTAAAGACCTCGATCTCGACCACAAGACAATTGAGCCGGCTATTGTCATCCGTGATCGCTCTGCTCATGTTGAAGAATCACTGCCCACTGTCAACCCTCCGGAAGGTCTCGTTGAGCCATTTGAAGATCTGTCTCTCAGCGCCATCAACCCGGCTATCCGCAATGAGAGACTCTCTCCTGCCGCTATTATGTCAACCCTGCCGAGCCTTGACAAGATCCTTGTCCTGCCTTCCTCAGCCAGCAGCATGGTAGATCCCAGTATCCTCAAACAGATTGTTCACACTGCAGTGGAACGTGCCATTGCCGAGATAATTACCCCTGTTGTCGAGCGCTCTGTCACTATCGCGTCAATTTCCACCGTCCAGCTTGTCTCCAAGGACTTCGCCATGGAGCCCGATGAGGAACGTGTGCGCCATGCTGCGGGCATAATGGTCCGTCAACTTGCTGGCAGCCTGGCACTTGTCACTTGCAAAGAGCCTCTCAAGGTTAGCATGACCAACTACATTCGCATGATCCAGCAAGAATATTCTGAGCAGCCTATGCCAGAAGGCTTGATCTTGATGTGCGTCAATGACAACCTCGATGCTGCTTGTGGTATTGTCGAGAAGGCCGCAGAGGAGAAGTCTCTGCCAGAGATCGAGAAGGTGATTGAACCTCAATTAGAGGCCCGTCGCCGTCACCTGGCCAGTCGCTCTAACGACCCATTCATCGACCCTTCAATGAACCGCTGGGGACTGTTCATCCCGGAGCCATACAGACAAGCCCCTGGTGGTCTCAACAAGGAGCAGCTCGCAATCTACGAAGAGTTTGCCCGTCAATCGCGAGGCCCAGCACCATCCGCTGATGCGTCCGCCGGTCGTCAACTTCCCGATGTCCTCGGGGAATCCTACCCCGCCATTCCTAACCTCTCTACTCCAGCTGAGCAACCGGCCATTCCACACAGAACACCCCAGGCGCAACCTGCTGTATCGCAGATGCCTCCTGTGCACACCAATGGATTCCTCGATGCTCAAAGCCCTCGAGAGCGAGTGGAAAGCTTTGTTTCCGATCTTCAGCAGTCTGCTCGCAACGCCTCGGAAGAACACGTTAAGGATCTCGGCAGAGACAGCGCAGTCCTGCAAGAATATAACCAGGCATTGCGCACGATAGTCAACTCCACCAATGGCGAGGAGCTAGCCCGACTGACTTCATTGAAGGTCTGCACTCTTCTGTACTCTCAATCACATGGATCTCTTGAGATTGAAGTTCTTGTACACCTTCTTGCCAAGCTCTGCGACATGTCCACACTAATTGCTCGGTACACATGGGCACTTCTTTCCGATGTTGATGATGAACACATGTTCAATGTGCCGGTCACTGTTGCTCTCATCGATGCTGGTCTCCTTGACATTCGCCGGGTTGACATGAATCTGACTCGACTGATTGTGCAGAGAAATGTGAGCGCCCTGGAGTTGCTTGACAACTTGATGGACCGCGTTCTCTTCAATGAAGAACCCTCTGCTCTCCGGTCGGACTTCTCCGGCAGTCTGGAAGCTATGAGTCAATGGCTTTCCGAGGATGCAACTGTTACTGCTGGCCTGGATATCGTGCGCAAATTGCGCGAGTCTGGTATTCCTGAGGTTGTGAACTCTCTTCTCAGCGATCAAGCCAGATCTAAGCGTGACCAGATGGAGTACATCTTCAGCGAGTGGATCGGTATCTACAAGGCCCCTAGTGCTACTGACCGCACCTTCCAATCATTCCTCCAGGATCTTCACAACCGCCAGGTGATGAACAGCCAAGAAGACTCCGCATTGTTCTTCCGTCTGAGCATTGATATTTCTGTTGCCATGTTCGAGCACGAATCTCAGAACCCCAACGGCCCCAATATTGATGAAGCATTCCTCTACATTGATGCCCTCGCTAAGCTGGTCATCCTCCTCATCCGCTTCCAAGGCGAGAGCGCTGGCGCTGTCAGAGCCAACAAGGCCACCTACTTCAACTCTATCCTTTCTCTTTTGGTGCTGGTTCTGAACCACCACCAAGTCATGAGAGGAGAGGCATTCAACCAGCGTGTGTTCTTCCGTCTTTTCTCCAGTATTCTCTGCGAGTACTCCATGAACGGATTGCAGCATACCGAGCAGCACCAAGGCATGATCTTCGCCTTGGCCAACAAATTCCTGTCTTTCCAGCCCCGCTACGTGCCCGGTTTCGTTTACGGCTGGCTTTGCCTAGTTTCCCACCGGGTATTCATGTCGGACATGCTGAATATGCCCGATCGTGCCGGATGGGCGCCTTATTGCGAGATCATGCAAGCACTGCTCTCCTACATGGGCGAGCAACTCAAGGCAGCAAACATTACATACGTTGCAAAGGATCTCTACAAGGGCGTTCTTCGTATCTTATTGATTCTGCACCACGATTTCCCGGAGTTTGTTGCGGAGAATCACTTCCAGTTCTGCAATGTCATCCCTGCTCATTGCGCACAGCTCCGCAACCTTGTGCTCAGTGCTTACCCCTCTTCGTTCCAAAAGCTTCCCGACCCTTTCCGAGAGGGATTGAAGGTAGAGCGGATCGAGGAGATGCGGGAGGTCCCCAAGATTGCGGGTGACATTGTTGCTCCCCTGCAGAACGCCAACATCAAGGAGGTTATTGACGATGTGCTCAAAAACGAAAGCATCTCCGAGAGTGCCATTCAGCAGCTTTGCGGTGCTATTCTTAACCCCGAGACCAAGGAAACTGGCTTATTCTTTGTCCCAGTCGACGTGGACATTGTCTTGGTGAACGCTCTTGTGCTGTATATTGGACAGCAAGCCGCAGTGGAGCATGCTTCGAAGAGCAACACCCGTAGTGCCTTTGAGAACTCCACTCACGCCGCTCTCTTGGATAAGCTCGCCCAAGTTTTGCAGCCCGAGCCTCGTTACTACCTGCTCAGTGCGATGGCCAACCAGCTTCGCTACCCCAACAGCCACACCTACTTCTTCAGCTTCACAATTCTCCGTCTGTTTGGCATGGAATACTCCGAAGGAGATGACACGGATGTCCGCCAGCAGATCATCCGCGTGCTGTTGGAGCGGTTGATTGTCCATCGCCCGCACCCGTGGGGTCTCATCATCACCCTACAGGAGCTTCTCCAAAACTCGAGCTACTCCTTCTTCCTCCTACCATTCATCCAGGCGGCACCCGAGGTAAATTTACTACGTTCTCTTCCCAGCATCGTAAAGCTAACACCTCCCCAGATTGGCCGCCTTTTCGATGCCCTTCTCCAGCATATCCAACAGCAGAGCCCCCGGCCCATCGCCTAAGTAAGCTCTAGCTTCCTCTCTTCTCTATCTCTCCTCAAGTTCAAGTTTATTTTCTGGTAACTCGGGTGGTACAGGAGTCCTTCGCATGTACTTTTCCACGGGGTTGTTACAATTGCTTTTCTTTATTTCAGTCTCATGTTTCGGCAGGGTGCCGTGGAGATGGCATGCATATTTATTTTTCTTTTTCTTACGAATTCCGCATGACTTGAGGTTACATGATATTCTTTCTGTTTTTGCGTCTCATGCTGCCCGTGACCTGTAATGATAAGATTGTAAAAGCTGGAGTTGACGGTCCTTTCTTCATCATTCGCATGGGGTAATGCTAATTACTATTTCAATTTTGGTCTTGGAGCTTTCTTCTGAGGGTTGTGTTTGACAAATCTTCTATTGTAAATACTCTCGATCATGGTATACTTTGCCTACGTCATGAAAGCCCGAAAGGCCCGATGTTCATCAAGTCACTTTTGATAGATCGTGGATTCAGTCCTAGATACGTTCTCTGATATAGAATGAATTTAGTTTCTTTCAAGTTTCCATCAAGGAAGAGACTGATCTGATATTTCCTAGAAATCCCTATAGGTCTGAAAGCCTCGGTAGAGCGATAGTGATAAGCGCTCGGGCGCAGACCGCACCTTCTCTCTACCAACTCCCCTACAATGGCGGATTCCGATTTCACAGATGACGAGTCAGAATATGACAGCCGGTTAACTTTCAGCATCAGCATAATGGTACGTAAGCTTCTTCCTTCTGCTAATTGCAACTAACACAAGGAAGGAGAGGGTCCTCGCGCCATTCCGCGCGCTGGTTTCCAAGTCCGCCCTACGGATCTACCTCAATACCTTGCTATTTATGGGCGCAGCATCGCTCCTGATTGGTATATCCGCAATTGCATACGGAGTGTTCTATCTCAAATTCATTCCTACGGTCGGGCTACAGCGCGAAGTTCATCTACAATTCGGGTAAGCTTGCTTTCACAACAAGCCCCGCTAGACAACCACATCAGCTGACTCGTCATCAGCAATGGTAACCCCTGGGGCACTGCTCATTTTGACTCGGAGCTCGTTGCTCTCCAGCCATACGATGTGTCTGTGACGCTTGAATTACCGCGCACGCCCTCGAATATCGATACCGGCAACTTCATGCTCGACCTCACCCTCTTCTCCTCCCGCCCTGCTTCGCTCGTCCTTCCTGGTCCTGCAAATACCCCCATCTCGCAGGCACGTCGTCCTGCAATCTTGACATATGCATCGCCGATGGTGGATGTTGCCCGGAGAGCAGCGCGCATGCCGCTCTATGTTGTTGGCTTGCACCGGGAATTAGAGAAGCTGGAAGTTCCAATGATGGAGCAGCTGGAGTTTGCCAAAGGCGCGCGAAATCTACCACAAAGCCTGCGGCTCGAGATCCAGAGTGATTTGAAGATGCAGATCTACACCGCGCGCGTCGAATTTCGAGCTAGACTTACGGGGCTTAGGTATGTGTTGTGTGAAAGACTGAGTTTATTTACACGCTAACTGTTGCATAGGTGGCTGATGTATCGTTGGAAGATTACCTCTCTTGTGGTCTTTAGCTCTCTGTTCTGGTTTGTCTCTATGCTCTCTGCTAGCTTGACATGGCTGGCGTTGACTTGGGTTTGGGGGACTACGCCTAATAATGAGATCAAGGAGGAGCCGCTTGATCTTGCCAAGGATGAACCAGATGATAGGATCTCTTCTGAAGAGTCTGTCAAAAAGGAGGAATCAGAAAGTAGTTTGCTTCATATTTATCCAGCCGAGGGTGAAGCGATGGGCTCTGGGTTGGAAAGTGCAAAAGCTCGTGGAGTGCAGAAACGGCGGAGTCATACCCAAGCAGATTAGCAGAGCATCAGTCCAGAGTAATTGTGTTCGCATTTCAGTATATCCCTACATATGTAGACAAATTAGCCGTATGGTCAGATAAAAGATCATGATATCGCAGTGGGTCATTTCAGGTTCCGATTGCGACAAAGCGGGGGGAACTTTTCCCCTCCATTCTTCACATCAACCACACCACCTCCAATGCATATTCTAGTAAGTATATACTATGACAATGAGCTGTTGTACTTGGCTTATCTCTGTATAGGTTACTAACGACGACGGTCCTCCGTCAAACCAATCATCACCTTACGTGCATTCGCTCGTTCAATCGCTTCAATCCGCAGGTCACACGGTCTCGGTCATCCTTCCGCACCAGCAACGATCATGGATCGGTAAAGCACACATTGTAGGCGCATCGGTGAAGCCTACCTACTTCCGACCCGGCACAATTCACCAAGAAGATGGGACAACACACCACCTACCGCGAGGCAGCAACGGCGACGAAAGCGAAGGCGACGAATGGGTTTTGATTGACTCGACTCCTGCCAGCTGTGTTCAGATTGGTCTTTATCATTACTTCCAAGAACGAGGCCCCATCGATGTCATTGTCTCCGGCCCGAATTATGGCCGCAACACGACTGCACTGTTCGCATTGTCGAGTGGAACTATTGGCGCAGCGATGGAGGGTGCCTGCTGTGGCAAGCGCTCAATTGCTCTGTCATACGCTTTCAGCTCACGCAATCATGACCCCGTCATAATCGCAGAGGCCTCAGGTCATTCGGTCAAATTGATTGAATATTTGTGCGCAAATTGGGCAGATGGCGTGGATCTCTATACCGTCAATGTTCCTTTAGAGCCTGGCGTGAGTCAGAATAAGGTTCTCTACACCAATATGCTGGACAATAGATGGACCTCCGGAAGTTGTTTCCAAGCTGTTGATCCCATGCCCGCCAATGACCCCGATTTGCAGGAGCAGCAGCTGCGCAGCGAAGGCGAAATGAAGGGCAAGAAGCCCGACCAGAGTGTTGGCGCAAACATTGGCGAGAAGCCCTCACTTGGTCCTCGGCTTCAACACAAGCATTTCAAGTGGGCGCCCAGCTTCCAAGATGTGTATCGCAGCGTGGAGGAAAGCGAGCCTGGAAATGATGGGTGGACTGTCAAGGAGCAAATGACTAGGTTCGTTCCATATATTGTTTTTGTTAGGACAAAAGTATGCTAATTTGTGTAGTGTCACACCCCTCAAGGCTAACTTCAAGCCTACCCCCGGTATCTCGGGAGAAATCAAGCTGTGAGTGGAATTTGCGCGATGACGGCATGGTATGAAGGGTTCGACCTATACATGTGGCATTCAACTTAGATATTTGGTTTAGCTGATCGATATTTTATCCCCCACCCCTTTCTGCCTTTCGAGTACATGGACTCTTTTCTGATAGATGGATATGCTGTAGATCGGATAATCGGCCTTCACTATATTCCATCGTCGACTGCGATGATTCATACGTGCAACAGATGGTTGACCGAGCATTGACTCGTCGCCTGGGAAGTGCCTCCAAGCGGATCTCTTCAGTGTCTGATCTGCCGGATTCCTCTGCGCCACTCTTCCAATACCGCGAATATGAGCGCATCGACTTTGAACATGGCATGTTCAATGCTTCAACGTCCCTTTTGAACGCATACATTATCCGGAAAGCACTGATCCGGAAGCACTACCTGTCGAACACTGTTGCCGGCTGGCTTTCAAAGAACCCAGACAGCATCCTGCGTCACCACTTCAAACCTGCCTTTGACTTCGAACTCGACTATGCCGAATTCCTCGACGATGCCCTACTGGAAGCATACGAGCTCAATGACAGCTTGGCCAAGAATGCAGAGCTCCCAGACTCCGAAAAAGAATGGTGGATCCTCAAGCCTGGCATGAGTGATCGAGGTCAGGGAATCCGCATCTTCAATAGCGAAGACCAACTCCGTGAAATCTTTGAGGAATGGGAGGTCGACTCAGACGAAGAGAGTGACTCCGAGGCAGAAGACGAAAATGCTGCTCCTGACACAGGAATTGTCACCTCGCAGCTCCGCCACTTCCTCGTCCAGCCCTACATCGACCCTCCCCTTCTGCTCCCTTCATCCTCCAACCGCAAATTCCACATTCGCACGTACGTCCTCGCCTCAGGCTCCTTGCAAGTATACGTCTTCAAGGAGATGCTGGCTCTCTTCGCGGCAAAGGCGTATTGCGCACCGCACGAAGAAGAAGATGACGTGGCCGATCTCGCCCGCCATCTTACCAATACCTGCTTCCAAGAAGGCGGCAGCTCAAACGAAGGCAGTGTGCGCCGCTTCTGGGATCTCGACCACCACGTCCCTGGTCTCTCGGATGACTGGAAAGAGAAGATCTTCGACCAGATATGCTCTGTCACAGGCGAAGTCTTTGAAGCCGCGGCGCGAGGCATGATGGTTCATTTCCAAACTTTGCCAAATGCGTTTGAGCTGTACGGTGTTGACTTCCTTGTTGATAGCAATGGCTCGGCATGGCTGCTGGAGCTCAACGCGTTCCCTGATTTCGGGCAGACGGGTGAAGATTTGAAGGAGGCCGTGGTTGGAAAGTTGTTTGAGGAGGTGGTTGATGTCGCTGTGAAGCCGTTCTTTGGTCTTGGTGAGGTTGTTGGTGATGGCGATTTAAAATTGGTGGCGGATCTTGATCTTGGGAGGAAGGCTTAGACAGAACGGGGGGTTATAGATATACCACTGGGTGATGTACAATAATAAAAGAGCTTTGAATTTCCACATCTCACAGTCTTCTGGGTCTCGGATTTTTCTCTTTTTGATATTTTGCCTAGAAACCCTTACGACATTTCTAATATCAGGATACTATCAGCCTCCTATGCACTTCCTAGGCGTTCTTCTCTCGGCTTTTCGAATCATTCTTAGCATTATTTGAGGTCTTTTTTTGAATGCTAGATATGCTCTAATATAATTACAGCAGACTATCTCTGACGTGAGCCGTTTCCGGCCATAAGACGGGCATCAGCATGCTTAGGCATCATTCTTCCAGAAAATGCGCCCCTCGAACAAACGGCGAGCAGTACGAAACACAGTAGCAGATTTCAAAGCTCCATCGGCACAAAATTTAGCACCAACCATGAGATTCCCGCTCGCATGGCCAATTGTAATCCCAGCACTATCAACCTGCTCTTGATTCACAACACCAGCAACTGTACTCCCAGACACACGAGCAGCAGCAGCAAGAGCCAAAGCAACAGTAATAGGAACAGCCTTATGAGGCTGTCCCACGGAAAGTGCCCGCACAAGAAGATCAACATGCGCAGACGTCTGCTTCTGCTCCACATCTCGCGCATCAGTAGAAGGCGAAGCCACAATACAAATCTTAGGCACACTACCAGGAACAGCATCGGGCTCATTTGCAATGCCCATCTTGATGCCTGCCTGGCGGCGAATAGAATCCAAACGCTCAAGCAAACCAGGGTGAGTAGTGATTTCGTCAGGCGTCAGATTACCCTGGACGCCAAGACTATGGGCCTGGACGAATACACACGGATTTCCAACATCGATGCATGTGGCTTTCATTCCGTCGAAGGCATCCATGGCATTTCCTGTGGGCAATAGCTTCCCCGTGACCGAGCCAGCGGGATTGATAAAATCCAGTTGGACGCGGGCAGCTGTGCCAGCGACTCCATCGATGGTAAAGTCGCCACTAGACGCAGCTTCACTGTCGACTACTGGGAATGACGAATGTATGATTTTGCCGGTATTGGTGTTGTGGATGCGAATCAAGGCTGAATCGACATTTTTCAAGGGGAACAGCTGCATATCGACGGCAAAGGGGCCAACGGCTGAGCTCATATTTCCACAGTTACTAGAATAGTCGACATCTCTGTTCTTGATGCCCAGTGAGATAAATGTATAATCGACGTCGGCATCACGGTGTGTGGATGAGCCTACCACGCAGACCTTGGATAGACTGGAAAGGCCGCCTCCTAGCCCGTCGAGTTGTCGCCCATAAGGGTCTGGACTGCCGATTACACTGCGGAATATAGCAGCCCAATCTTTTCTATCTTTTGGGAGGTCCTCCTGTTTGAAGAACACTGCGCGAGAAGTGCCGCCGCGGTAGTATGCTGCTGGCAGGGAGTTCTGCTTTTTGGTTTGGAGAAACCGACGGCCACCCGACGAGAATTTGGTCTGTGTGAACCTGGGTAGATAGAATAGCGATTGTTTGGACATTCTTGGTTTCTGCTTCCAGGCATTGTTGGAGTTCAAGTATCTCGATCTTAGTGACTTGGTCAGGACCACTCCGATGCACGGCGGTGTCGGACCGTTCCGTTCAGCGGCTATCGGATGTGCCGATGCTATACGAAGTACTATGTAGATACGGAGAATGGGAATGCTAACTACATCCTGTCAAACGTATATGTGAGGTGGAGGAATCAAACGACCATATTAGCTCCAATATAGATGGTTATAACCATCTATACATCTACTTGTCCTGTAATCATACTACAGGATTAGTCTTCCTCGCATTTCGGACACGATGTAGTTATGTTGTGTTCATACGTGACATACTAACATAGAACTACCTACATATTTAATTTTAGATATAGTTCGAGGAAAGGAATACATGGCCCGACCACAGAGATCCTAATCAAACCTCGCAAATTCAACCAAAGCGCTGTTTGGCTAGGGCTTGCAAGAAGCCCATGGTCTCCTGCTCTTTCTGTCGATACTGTTGCATCCGTTCTTCTCGTTCCGCTGTACGCGCGCGAAGAATTTCCTCTCTCCGAATCTCACGCTCATTCTTCTTGCGCTGGTCCTTCTCTTTTTCCTGTTTTAAAGCGGACAACTCATTGTCTCCACCCATCAGATCTTCCTCTCGAGCTCCATCAGGCGAGTCGCCGCGCCGGGAATCCGCAAACGCGCGATTGCTCGCAGCTACTTCTCGGCGCTTCTCAAGCTGTCTCTCCCGTGTGCCTGCCTCAGCGCGCGGCGCAATCTCGTCTTGCACATGACGCGTTGCAGATTTGTGGGAACGCAGTTCAGCACGATATTGATCGCGTGACTCGCCGCGGGCTGCAGCAGCATCTTCAATGGCGGTTTCTAGGGGGTTGTCAGGGCCGCAATATTGACAAACATGGAGCGGACAATCATACCTCTTTTAAGCTCGAGATCTTGCATATTTGGGATTGTAGGCCCCAAATATCCGCCTCTTGCTGATCGAGCTTGCGGCAATATTGGTCCATACTCATCTTCATCCTCTTCATCCTCGCCTACTGGTTGATCCTGCTGGGCTTCTCCAGCTGCTCGCTCGCCTTGTGTGTAGTCAGGAGATTCACGCCGACCTCTTGGTTCAGCTGGCAGTTGTTCCTCCGCATTTTTGCGTGCCCGAATGAGCGTAGCTGGATCATACCAGCCCTCTGCAAGTTCACATCGATTCCTGGGATGTCAGTACAACCACATCAAGCGGAAACTGTAACCACCTACCATTTTTGCGTAAAACTTTTCCATCGCCCTTTGATCTCATCCTCGCTTAGATCTTCGATAAATTTCCCCTTCTGGATATCCAAGTACATGGCAAACATCGGCTCATACGCCTCAAGGTCGCGCCTGGAGAGCTCACGCGCCTGGTAAGGTAGGATCACCGGCTCTTTCGGCGTATCTCTGTGTCTACGCTCATGGCGACCGCGATCTTTGTCTTCGCCGTGTCGATTATGGCGGTCTGGTTTGTGCCTGTCCGATCGGTGCGGAGAGCGTGAGCGTGAGCCGTCTCGGGGCCGGTGGCGGTGGGAATGGCCGTGACGGCTACGGTGGTGGCGGTGACTTGAGCTCGGCGCAGAAGGAGATGTAGGTCGGTGCGAGGAGCGAGTTGGGGAGGGCATTTTCACTATTAAATTGTTCTTGGTTGGTAGTCGGAGGAGTTTGTCTGAGGTGAAAGATAAGGATAACTGTGGTGAGCTTATCTCCCACTAGACGACTAGTTCCCCGGTCAAGACCTCGGAAGGCCCACAGGTCCTTTATTATGATTTTCCAATATAAGTTGAGATTCACATGTGAATTTGGATAATAGAGATAGAATACAATATGACACAAAATTCCGGCAATTCCCTTGGTTGTAGCAAATAGATCTAATCAGAGGTATACAATGAACATTCGATAATCTAGCGTAATCAATCCAATTACACCTAATTTGGAGGAGCACTTTGCTCCTGGCTTGGGCTGACCGTTGAATCAGCACTGGCTGCGGGTGTTGCAGGCGCACTCGACTGCGAGTTGGCCTTGGACCGGTTGGCTGCGGCCATCTGCCATGCGGGAATGGAGGCAGAGCGGCCGAGCTGCGAGAGAGGGTTGCTGTCCCCTTGACGAGTGGTAGCCGAAGGGGCCGCCTGGGTTGTTGGCTCCTGTTCCGCTGGGGTCACAGTGGCAGCGAGACCATTTGTAGGAGCGGGAGCGGGGGGAGAAGGGCTGGCGGTGGTCGCTTCCGGTGCCGGACGAGGAGTGCTGGCAATGGGAGTGGATCCAGCGATTCGGCCGGCCACAGGGCTAGCTCCGCTACCACCAAGTCGGTTACCTAGCAAAGTCTTCAAACTCTTAAGCTCTGTTCCGAGGTCCTTCAGGCGGTTCTCGTTGCCTTCCCGAGCACCTTCGAGGGCCTTAGGGATCGCATCTTTCAATGACTTAACCTCATCACTGATACGACGAGTCTCATCATCTCTCCGGCGAGATGAGTTCTTAAGGTCAGCAACTAGGCTTTCCACATCCTTAAGGGCCACGTCTAAGCGCTCGGTACGGGCTTCTTCGGCAGATTTTAAGGCAGCGGTGTCGGTCGAGAGTTGCTCGATAAGAGTAAAAGCACGTGAGAACTGTTCATCAATGTTTTCTTTATCCTGCTCCAGCTGGGGTGGGGTTGGAGGGGCGATCAAAGGTGAGATATAACGCTGTAGCGATTGGTCAGCACCATGAGACTTGCACTCGGCAGTGACCACCATATACCTTTGTGACGAAATACAATCCATAACCAACTCCTCCCATAACTGTTGCCATAATAAACCAGTCGCGCCAATCTCTCTTAGGCGGCCTTATCATGCGATTAGTAACGAACTTTACGCGGCAATGGATATCAAGACATACTCGGGAGGCGGCTGCCATTGATTATATGGGGGATATCCATATCCCTGAGGCGGTTGGGGTTGCCGGTAAGGAACTGGCTGTGAAGAATAGCTAGGCGCAGGGGATGATGCAGCTGTGGCTGCAGCCGCGGCAGACGGGTCTTCGCCCACTCGAGATAAGGCAACATCTACCTCTTCTTGGGTCAAGTTTTTGGACTGAAGAAAAGCAACTCTTTTCTCAATTGGCGATGATGCAACCGAGGGATCTTGGAGGACTAGATGAAGTCAGCCATAGCTATAAGTTTGTTAAGGTAGTTGTTTCATACAGGTGATCTAGTAAAGATGAGTTAGCGGGAGCCCCGAAAACGGACGAAAGCAGACAATAGGGAGATAGATAACTCACAGCTGAAGAAATCAGCTCCTCGCGGGGAGCCATGATGATAGATGTCGACTACCAGTGAGGGTAAGGAGGAGGAATGAATTAGGGAGAGATACGACACACCCACATCGGCAATGGCCGTCTGGACCTCGGAACTTGCGCCACGCCAAGCTTCCCCAGACCGGAGTCTCGTGATTACTCGGCTAAACTATTTTTCCGATATTCTCTTTCCCGCTATACACCGCCTTCCTAATCTGAAAGTGGCACGCATTTGTTTACATCTCTCCAAATCCCTCGTGCCTGCCAAACAACAGATCAAACCCCTCTTCTACTCAAAGTTTGTCGCGCGACATTTTTGGGACTTGACCTACCAATATATGATTCTGTACAGGATTTAGTCTCCGTGAAAATAGTTGTTTTGCAGATTGCCGCCTTCGCGGCTTGTTTATCACAATGTCGCAAGACACTGGATTGTTCAGTATCAAGCGCCCCCGAGAAGTATAGAGGCCCTCCTATTACGCGCAAGTGACGCTCAAAAACCAAGCTAACCCTGTGATGAAGACTCTCGGAAGTGTACAGAACTTTTCTGCTATTCCCCAGCCCGCATCGGCTCTGAAGCGCACAAGCTCGATTGGGTTCAACAACCCCCCTTTACCTCACAACACCACCGAGCCTCCTTGATGGGCTCAGCTGGGCGACCACAACAACCAAACTTTACGCGCATGTCCATTGGCGGACCGTTTGGCGCCGATGCGGGCTTGTCATCTGTCCGACGCTCTGTGTCGAGTAACATGTTTAATGGTGCCAGTACCAGCCGGCAGAGCTACGCCCCAGGATCTATTTCGTCCAATCAGGCACCACAGAATCCACAGCGCAGAAGTAGTGTATTCTCGCGACCGTCTACAGGAGGCGGCCCAATGGGACATCAATCTTTCTTCACCCAGGTCCCCACTGTAGCAGGCGTTCCAAGAGATCCGCGCCCTCTCAGAGACCGGTCTTTCCAGGCGCGAATTGGACAAGAGCTGTTGGAATACTTGACGGTTCATGGATTTGAGTTGGAAATGAAGCATTCTTTGGGACAGAATACTCTTCGCTCACCGACCCAAAAGGATTTCAACTATATCTTCCAGTGGCTCTACCACCGAATCGATCCAGGATATAAGTTTCAAAAGGCTATGGATGCCGAAGTACCCCCGATTTTGAAGCAACTACGATACCCTTATGAGAAAGGAATTACAAAGTCGCAAATTGCTGCCGTTGGTGGCCAAAACTGGTCGACATTCCTCGGTATGCTACACTGGTTGATGCAACTGGCGCAAATGATGGATCGCTTTCAGGCTGGGGAGTATGATGATGCCTGTGCCGAGGCGGGTGTTGATGTAACAGGGGATCGCATTATCTTCCGCTTCCTAACTCAAGCCTATCATGATTGGCTGCAGGGTGGTGAGGATGAAGATGATGACACCGCGGAAAAGCGATTGATCCCGCACGTTGAAAACATGTCTCAAGAGTTCGCTCATGGAAATGAGCGGTATGTGCAGGAAATGGAAGCACTGGAAGCGGAAAACCGGGCTCTCCGTGACCAGATAGAAGAAGTGGAAAAGAGTGCTCCAGATATTGCCAAATTGGACAAACACTTCCGCATCCTAGAAGACGACAAGCGGAAATTCGAGGATTACAACCAGAACGTCAAAGGAAAAATTGACAAGTATGAGACTCGCATCAAGTTCCTCGACGCCGAAATTCAAAAAATCGATACCGATCTCCATGCTACTGAATCCGAGCGTTCCGAGCTTCAAGCAAGTGTCGACCGCCAGGGCATCACTATTCAGGATATCGATCGCATGAATTCGGAAAGAGAGCGTCTGCAAAAAAGCTTGGAAGATACTGTGGCTCGTCTAGAAGAGACCCATGCCCGTGTCATGGAGAAAGAAGCGGAGGCCAGCCAGAAACTGGAAGATCTAGAGCAGATTGTGAAAGCCTACAATACTCTCGGCTACCAGAATAGCTTGATCCCTGCGGCTGCGGAGAATGCCAAGGGCGAAGACTATGAGCTTAGTCTGAACATTAACGAGAACAACTTCTCCGCCAGCCAGATTGGTGGCCCTCCAAGTCGCATCTCTCCTGAGGGCGATCGCTTATTGGCGGAACCTTTCACTGGGTACCATCCGGCGCATTTGCTCAGTCTAGACCTTCGGGGCTTTGTCCGGAACAGCCTACAATCTCTCCGAAAGGAGATCAATGAGCGACGAAAGCAGGGTATCGATGATGACCTTGATCGGCGCAATCTACTTGACAACATCAAGGAGGCAATGGATGAGAAGCGAAGTGAAGTCGAGGCCCTGGAGCATCGACGCCGGGCAGCAGAGGAAGAGTTTGAACGTACTAAGGAAATTACTACGACTCAGAAGACCGCCTCTGATGCCCAAATTGAAAAGATGGAGAAAGAATTGGCTAAAATGCGCGCTACTCTTAGCGACAGTGTGCAATTGATGGAGCAGCGCGAGATGAACACCAACATCGAATATGAACAATTAACCCTTCGGGCAAATTCCCTTCGAGAGGAGTTACACACCAATGTTGAGACCATGTTGAACGATGTGATTCGCTTCAAGGTACATGTTCAGAAAGGTCTTGAGGATTACGAAAGCTTCGTTGTTGATGAAGTGGAGCAAGAGCTCGGCGGCGAAGAGCTCGAAGAAGAGGAACTATGAGGTTTTGTGCTCACGAATGACGATTCTTTGGTGTTTATCAATTTAATTGTGTTGATTTTCATGTACAATACCCCCTTCAATTCAGGAATACTCTGGCGAAAAGGACGCGCAATGCATACATTATTTGTTCACTGTAAATGGGGGAACTTCTCCTGGAATTAGCTTTAAAGGTAATTGGCGTTCTTAGTGTGTTTCTTATTGCGCTGACACTCGTCCAATCTTTTACCAGAACACCATTCTCTCTTCAATCTGATGCATAAGTGGATCGATCGACAGGAGACATGTGTCTAATTGTGAGCTGCCATTCGCCAATTTCATATAACCCATTTTCTCTGAAACAATTCAACCGCAATGCTTTCGTCGGCCATGCCATACATCCACTTCGGAAATTCCAGACCATCTACAATAGTTGCTGGTCCCACCGCATTCTACCCTATTGAAAGTGATAGGGCTGTTTTCGCATTTTCCACAAGGATGATCGGCTATGAAACGACTCTTTGGGCACGGGATGTGTATTGCGTTCTGCAGGATGAGACTTGCCACCCTGCAGATTTACGCCATCCGTGCCCCCTCATCATCCAGCACTGGACACATAGTGGTTTCGGTTGTCTTTTGACGGCTGGACCCATCATTTTGGTCCTCGATTGATGAGATCAGAAAGGATATATAACCAGCTAAGTTTTTCTCTCTGAGGTTTTTCTTTCCTCCAGCAGTGCTGTGCACCTCCATTCTTTTCAACACCTTTAGATCTTTCTTTACATTGCTACCTAGCATCCATTCATTTCCCACTTTACTCCTTATCAGTCCATCATTCATCATGAAGTTCACTATTGTCTTCGGGGTCGCTGCTCTTTTCATGGCCCCTTCTGCTGTGGCTTGGAAGCTTCCTGTGAGTATTGGGACTATACAAGTCCGCTTCGATCATCCCTCACTGACATTCTCTCCACAGAATCTCAACAAAGTCGACATTGCTGCCACCCCAACTGAGCAGTCAGCTCCTTCAGGTGCTACTCCCGCTGGTGGATTTGATGGTTTCCCCGGCGGAGGATACCCATCAGGGTTCCCTTCCGGCACCGGATTCCCATCTGGACTCCCTTCTGGATCTCCCTCTGGTCACCACCATCACCACGGTCATGGAGGACCTCACCCTACCGGTGCTCCAAGCGGCATGCCTTCTGGCTTCCCCGAGGGCCCCAGTCCCACTGGTGGATTCCAAGGTGGTGAGGCTGGTGGTGAGGGTTCCTTCACCATTCTTCCATCGGCAACCCCTACCCCTGGTGCTGTGGAGGGAGAGGAGCAGGAAGACTTCCGCCGCCTTCATGCTCGCCAGATTCGTCCTGTGGTGTTCTAGATACCGCACTGTGGTTTCTTTCGCTGCAGTATTTAAGATAGATCAGTGTTGTGTTTTCCTATAGTTGCTGGATCAAGTATAGGAAAGAAGATTGATATATTGCAATTTCTTTGCTCTCTGAGTCATAGCTGTATCCATTGATCAAATTGAAATAATGAAATTATTGTAGTCTGAATTTGTACTTCGTAACTCCGCATTTTAGGGCTTCTGATTGGTTCTGGGAGCTGTATTTTCGGAGATGACCTTAGTCATCCACATCTCGGAAATTCTCGAGTCGCGACAACACATTTGTCTCAATCTCTTTCATCTTCGTTAATCAACCTTTTGATCCGGGCCCATTGACACTCATTATAGCGGGTAAACCTCGTGGTTAAAACAACATGTACAAGTCGTGATCGCCTCGACATGTATCGCACCAATCTCATACCAATCGAGATCGTGAAATTCATACAGCCGCCTTCGAGGCTCGCGGTACCATGAGCCAATGTTTGCGCTTCGGCCGTATCCTGCCATTCGGTCGCAGGCCCACTGTCTCACGTCCTTCTTCCCAACCATATAGAACCGTGTCACCGTTCTCCCGACCAACATGGAGTAATTATAACCGCCAAACCCGCAAACGTCAAAAGGAAACGAATTACCCAGATGAAATCACCTTCCTTCGCAGATATAATAACCTCGCAGAACCTCCCCTCACTTACGCCCAGACAAAGGACATAAATGAGTGGATTTTATTGCTGAGAAGATATGTTACAATAAAGTCGCCCAATGTTGCCGAGCTTGCGAGCCAGCCTAGACGGCTTCGACCACTCCGCGAATCTCACAGCGACTTGGATCGGATCCATGCTCTAATGGGCTGCCTCTGGGCCGCACGGAATCGACTTGGGTTCGAAGTCCTCACGCACCTCGGTTTCGAGTTGAAGGAGTGGTCTACGGCGCAGTCCCTCTTGAACAACATGATTGACACCTATGAGTTGCTACAACCTCACATGCCGCCCAAATATCCTTCGCCTGGATTCGACTGGAATCGACCATTTCGCATACTTCGCAAAAATGAACGAAAAGACTCATCTCATAAACCTTCCGATGCTAAAGAATCTCCACTCACCACAAAAGTTTCCCTCGACAAGCTTACCGGGGGGACGAAGGAAGGGTCACCTTGGAAATGGACTCGTTTAGAGCCCGTTCCAGCAGAGAACATTTCACTCGATACTTTGACGGTGGCACCCGCCGTGAGATTTTTTGGAGATAGGATCTTGGCTGAAATTCTCGCAAACCTCGGCTCTTTAGTTTTGACGGCAGCAGATAGCCAACCAGAACAGTCCCAGCTTGCAATGTCCTGTGTATTCCGAACACTTGCTCGTCTACATCATGCAGGCATGATTTCTGACAGGGTCTATCAATATCCGACTCCAGATGCTAGCCAAATTGTGTACCGGCCTCCGGGACTTCATCTTTTATCGAGCCCCATCATGAGCGTTCTGTCCGATGCAGCATGGCATGAACATCAAACTGCGGTGGCCACTGCGGCCGCTGATGCGGGAGAGATGTCTCCCTTCATCCCCTATAAGATGGGCATTCGAGAGCTGGGTCCAGAAATCTGGTTAGAGCTGATTCTGTCGTGTTGTGTGGAGCATGGTTTCTGCAAAACTGGAGCATTACTCGTGCATCGGATAGCTAAAAGCACTGGCAAACAAGCATGGAAGGCCGAGAGTTGGACACCTCTCATCCAGGACCTCGATACAGTACAGCAAACTAACATCAGTATCGAGAAATCTTGGCGTCGACCAGGCCAGAGCGAGAACCCTCAAACTTACACGGGAAAGATCAAACCACCATTCAACGGACTTGGGAGTAGAACCATCAGTAAAGAGGTAGTTGCTTCACTGCGCAGTGGCCTGGCAAACAAGGCTTACGTTGGATTGGGAGAGCGTGGATATCTTCCTGATGAGCTCGCCGAGCTATCAACCCCTCTGACCCAATTTATTGATCGTCCTGTATCCACAAGTGAGCTTATGCCCACCAACAGGGATGTCAATTGGCACATTCTACGAATTCTTAGCTCAGGCTGTTTGCAGCCGTGGACTGATCCTGTTTCCTTTGAATCGCTCCTGAGGTCTCACCCTAATGTTGTTCCTCCGTGGGCAATGCACGAGTTGGAGAAGCCACAAGAATTGGGCTCAAAAACGCGGGCACAGATATATGATGAAACCGCCGCCATCTTCGGTATGATCGAGTTCAACCTCAATTACCATGCGCGGTACAAGCAAAGTGGGCGTCTCTTCCACGAATATGCATGGCTTCAAAATATCGCCGACGCAAGCAAAGCGCAACACGTCCAGTCGTTTCTCGGCAAGCTCAGCCAAGCACGTGATGGAGACGAATACCTTTCGTTCCTTGAAACCAAGCCTGTCTCACCCCAATCGATTTACCAAAGTTCAATTCCACAGGTGTCATGGGTTACACTTGCCAATATACTTGATCTTGCTACCACGGCACATGCGTTTGACCTTGGTCGTCAATTGCTACTGCAGAATGACATCGACGGCCCTGCCATTCCAGAAAGAGCATATGGCAATCAGGCTCTGGCGCCGTCTATCCTCCGATTTGCAACAGCAACCAACGATGCTAGCCTTGGTCAGAAAGTCATCGCCTCACTTTCGGTCCCTCTTTCTCTCAACACCATTAAAAGCTTGATCAGTTACCACATCTCAATGCAGGACTGGGACCGCGTGGAGTTTATGCTCAAGTTCATGACCGAACACCGCGAAAAGTCCTGGGGTTATAGTACTTTGACCGCAATCGCAACTGCGGTGATTCGGCATGAGGCAGCTCTTCGACAAAATAAGGCTGCCGGCACTCTGACCAGGGCTCACATAGAGAATACAGAGCGTGCCACAGACATCTTGTTCCGCATTTTTCGCGGGGAGTGGTCTGCTAGCTCAACTCGCACGAAAGTTCGGCTCTTTCAACTCCGCACACTATCTCGTATGCACCGCGTGCTGCTATCCATTCCGGGCCCTCTACCGGAAGTTTTCAAACGACTGGAAGCGCCGAAAGAAATCACAGATCGTCATAAAATCGCACTCATCCCCCCAAACTCTTTCCACGAGATATTTGCCGCCATCGTGGAAACACAGGGTGCTATCGTTGGCAAGCAGGTCTGGGATCGCCACTGCATTGATTTGCTATCACCCAAGCGTGGACGTCAGGCCCCAGGTGGTGTTCCACGACTTCTTTTCAGCGATGAGCGGCGCAAGGAATTAGGCGATCCGGAGTGGTCTGGCCAATGGGCCAATGAGATTCTCACAAAATCAACACTAGCAGACTTGAATACTGTCCGCGTTCTCGCTCGAGCCGCTGTCCGAGAATACGCGGATCAGTCACGCGAAAGGTATCACGCAAAAATATTCCAAAGCGAGACCGACTACTCAGCCACACCCTCATCCTCATCCTCGTCCTCATCCTCCTTCATTTACGACCCCACAAAACCTTATGTCCCTCACACCACCCGAGAGGAAAATCCCTATCAACGAGCCGGCGGCAGGCCACCCAGATCAGAACTTGAAGCCATCCTCGACTTCTGTCTCGAACTCTTCATCCGCTTCGGTCTCCCAGAAGACCAGATTAATATGGAAATTCCAGGTCACCTGCACCGCATGCAGGAGAGAGGTGCCATGGCTTACCCATTTTCCAAGCATATTAGGCGGCGGATTCAATTTAACAAAGCCGATCGCTTCATGGATTCCTCCTGGAGGGTGTTCCTGAGAGGCGATTCACCAAGCGACAATACCACTATCTAGTACCCAGGCTTCGGGGAGCCGTTCCCCCCCCTGGTTCTTGCATGTACCTTCATACCAAGTGAAATCCTTGGAATGTATATAATATTTTTTCTCCCGGTCATTTACTAAATTACCATAATTGAGACATGATATTTCTCAATGTAGGACTGTAATCACATTGTAGCTTTAATGTATGGATCAAGGACAGTGTATTCAAAGTGAACAAAGAATTATGATTTGAGACCAGGGGTACCAGTCTTATGATATACTTACTGGTATCGATAAACATAACACTGAGGAGAAGCCCAAAACAGTAATCATGAAAGATACATATGTAGAAATAGCCCACCCATTCTGAGTCCAGCTCTTGTTGCTCGTATCAGTCCCTAGTTATGACCGCCAACATAACCGTGCCAATAATATAAAACCCCAAGCCAAACACCAACAAACTGAATACATCATAGATATCAAGCTGCTTTGTTGGGGTCCCGGTGCCAGATTTTCAAATCAAGACTAGTGATACAACACCATCAAACATCAAGGACTGGAATAACTCCAAACAAAATAAAAAAACGCATGTAGTAAGTCAACGTTGAGAGACAGAAAAATGTGATTGAAATGGAGTTTGGACGGGAAAAATAAAAGGGATATGAGAATGGGAAGTGGCATTTGGTGTGTGAATGGGAGAGGATAATGAGGCAGGCTATTGATATTTGGGTGACCGGGTTATGGGGACAATAAACAATCAGTTGAGATAATAGGAAATTCGTATGCGTTCTTTTCGTGTTCCGTGTTTTTTTTTTTAATTTTTCACTGATCCCAGTTGTCATTCTCGTTGTTATTGGGGAAGAAAGACCGCATGAACTCCCCACTGATAGGATCATAAGGGAAGTACGAGTCTTGGGCCTCAGCAGTCAATGAAGACATCAAGTCGGAGGTAGACATGCTGGGGTAGGCGTAATGGTCTTCACCAGGTGTCGGCCCCGGAGCTGACATTGGAATGTGCCCCAATTGCGGGCCCCAATAATCGCCAACAGGATGAGGCAGTGGACCGTCCTGCGCAGGCCCTGACCCAATAGTGGTAGTGGGCTCCGGGTTGTAGGGGTAAGTAGGCATGTCGCTGATGTCATATTTCATACCCTGGGCCAGTTTGCGCAGGCTCAGGTCACAGAGCTGCCAGGCGCGTCGTGAGGCGATGCTCTGTTCGGACATTGCATAAAGCCAGCGAATGGCTTTTTTAGATAGGTTGATGAATCTCTCTTCTTCTTCTGGCTTATGGACAGTACCAAAAGACAGCTCCAGGAGCATGACGGTTACAGCTTGCATGAGATAGTGAAGGACACACCACCATGGGGCGATTTGATATAGCTGGATGGCGTTCGGCTCATCGGGAATGAGATCGAGCATGTGACAGGCAGAGTCCAATGTGATCACGGCCATGTCATGGCTGAAAGATGGATTCGGGCCTTTTTGGCGTGCATCACGCCGGCAGAGACAGGGACGACCTAGTGTGATCCTCGCACTGTAGTAATGTAATGCCAATGTCAGCTTACACCGGAGGACATCTGGCCCAGCGTCATCTTTGCGTCTGAAGTCAAGGCCGGGCGGAAGGCTGGATTGCCACATCTCGGTGCGAGACTTGAGTTCTCCTATGCGATTCTCGATGTGTGCCCAAGGTACGATCACGCAGTCCACCGAGTAGACTTTGTTGACAATTTCTTGCACGACGACTGCCAAGTCGCAGTAGTAGAGATAGCAGAGCCCGTAGTTGATAGGCAAGTTCTTGATCCATGAAGTGTCTCGTGTGTGAGTATGATTACTAGCCTCTTTACCATTGACCGGGTTAAGCGGCATTTGTCTGATACAAGAACTTGCCAACACATTGTTGATTCGCTCGTCTCGCAAAGTCGAGTCTGCAAGTACTTCGAGAGCACCAGGCTCCTGCAGCTGATCTTCTTCAAACGGAATCGGGAAGGGCGAAGTGCACACGCCATCTTGGATACAAGTTGCGCGGCCAGTCATTATTCCGAGCATGTGCTCAAATGTATACAAGCACCACCATACTCTGTATCGAGCTTCTTTTGAAAGATCAGGTGTAGTTGGAGCACTGCTCTTCATGTTAATGCCAAGTGTGATCGCAGAACGCACTGCCAACGCCGAAATTCTCCAAGCCCTTTTCGATACGTTAGCTTCATTAGAATAGAATAAAGTGGATGCTCTAGAGAGTATGAATCAGAACACTCACCGATTGATCTGATCAGACGCGAGAAGGTAGAAGGCAATTAAGCCTTCTACTTGTACTTGTTGGAGATCAGGATGGCTGAACAGAACGTCACCGTTCATACTGAGGATTCTGGCTCTGGTCAAATATACCAAATGATCATTCACATCCCCGCGCCATGGTGCGTCAACGAGATGACCATGTTTAGCACCGATAGCGAAGATCATGTTCAGGATAGCAAGCCATTTGTCACCAGGTCGCGCGGCGCTATCGAAGAATGTTTGATATTGCGCAGCGAAAAGAGGTCTGTTGATGATTGGGTAAAATGGGTGTACGGTAGTTAAATAAGCATCGAACATATGATCTGCCATCTGCCGTGGAGGCATGGCATATAGTTGTACCGGTCCAGGCACGGAAATGTCCAAGTCATCGAGGTGATAGTTGACCGCGTGGAGAGATAGTGCATCGTCAATTTTCCGGTCCTGACCAGGCTCCAAGCTGCCCGGGAGTCCTTGAGCACGTTGATCTGCTTCTCTCTGCAGTCGCTGCATCCAAGTAACTTCTGAGTTCTTGCCCATGTAACCGGTTGCTCTGGTATGTTCAGATCGGTTAAGATCCTCCTCAACTCGATCAATTGCCTCCAGGGAGCCTATAGATGAAGGTGAGGATGGTTCATCATTGTCTTGGACTTCATCTTGAGGCGTTGCCGAGTTAGATTGGTTGGATGAAGATTCCACTTCCGGGCCATGCTGTGATCGATTCATCAGTAATAGTACATGATCCAATTCAGGATTAACAAACCTTGTCCAGCAAGTTTTTGATCCGGTCGGCAGCACGAGACTCGACAGTATTCCCTAGCTCCTTCAACAGATTCTCATATTCTTGCGCTTTCTCTGATAACTTTTCGACTTGTCTAATCCCACCGCCACATTAGCATATATTCGCATCTGATAGCCGATTTGTTTTGGTATAACTTTTGCTTCGAAAAAAAAATACAAACTCGGGTGGGCTTACTTTTTTGTCTTTTCTCTCCAGCCTTGAGGATAATGACATGTAGCTCTCAACTCACGACACTGGCGACAGACTGGAGTATCGCCACTGCATTTTGTCTTGCGGGCTCGACAAGATTCACATGCGCGGGGTACTCGACGATTATAGCGCTGGGCGATTGCAGCCCGTTGACGAGGAATCGCTACTTTAGTTTGGGCGGCAAGTGTCTTATTCGAGAGGATTAAGGTGGTATTGGCTTGTTTTGCGCCGAGCGTCGAGGCCGAATCTGCGATAGGAGGAGGGTGGGATGTGGCAAGGGCGACGTCTGGATCTGGTCGCTGGAGGGCTTCGCCTTGTAAAGCATTCTCCTCGTGGTCTGGTTGAGGGGGTGCTTCGTTGATGGTCATAATCGCGAAAGGGTTGTTTAAGGAAAGTGTGGAGGTCTGTTCTGGTTGATTCAATCAGTGATATCAAGATTGCGTTCCTGGTGCGGGACTATGCGCTCAGACATTAAATGGCGACCAATGATGGTGCTAGATTTTCCTATGGGAGACTCGGTCAATATGTGTTATTAGTCTGAGGATATGTTCATTGGAAAATCAAAGGAAAGTATGCGCAGAGATCTTCGAGAGAGAAATGAAGTCGCAGGTTTACCACGGAAAGATCTAAGTGGCGGAACGCGTAGTAGCCATGCCGAGTGTTTGATTGGACAGAAATGCTTAGTAACCCCATTTAGGACCCGTGGACGAGGACGTTCCGAGGTTCCGTGGATCCCTGAGGATGTGGAAGACTATTGAGACGCCGAAATATCAAAATACAATCTAGTAACAAAGAGATGAATTTGGGGAAGAAACGCTAGATTTGATTTTGACACTTTTGGTGAAGCCAGTCCTCCAGCCTTGAAATATCCTCCCAATCTACCCATCCAGGGTGAAAAGAAACCAAAATAAAGTATATATACAAGAGAAAAAGAGGCATTAGCAATAGGAAAAGAGGTAGAAGGTGCGCCAGGTAATCGGTAAACATGTACAAGCAACGTATAAGAGGCGGAGAGAGCACGTAGCAGGTCGGGCCTGCGAAAGGTGCAGAAGGAAGCGGAGATCATAACGTGAACCGGGAAATATGGAATCAATGGTTTATAAGGGTTTAGATTTCGCCAAACATCTCATCAAGCTCATCGACTTCCACCATCTCCGGGTTTTGCAATTCACGCCATGAATCAAAGATGGGCTCTGAGTTCATGGAGATAGGGCGAGGTGTGAGAGTGAGTCTCTCGTGCGACTCCGTCAGATCTGACATCTTCAAGTCGACATCGGGAAGGCCACTGTTCAACATATCAAGCGAACGCTTGAGGGTTGAAACCGGAGCGGCATCCGGATCCACGGGTAGAGTAATCTGGGGAGGGGCAAGTTTGCCAGCGAGTCCTTCGCTATCCGCGCCAATATCAGCCAAGCTCGTACCAGACGAGATAGAGGATGCGATAGAGGTGAGAGAAGGTGAGGGGGAAGTGCCGAAGAGCGCGGAGGCAGCAGCCTCATCGAGATCCTGGACCATATGGTCGGCGGGCATGTGGGAGAAGTAGTCACTATACTCTTCTTCAGACATGCCATCGCCGTGGAGGGAAGGAGACATCGAACCACCGTTCACAGGTGATTCGGAAATTCTCGCGTTACGGTCCTCAACGGCGCTGAGGCTCTCAGATAGAATGGACTGGCTACGAGTCGATTCGCTGGCTTTTTCCTCGGAGGCACGCTCACGCACAGCGCTGGCGGTCTGAGTGAATTCTTTCTCATCACCCTCCAGGGGCGGGGAAGCTGCACGGTTGGAGTGCATGAGGCGGGTGAGGTTACTGGCGGAGGAGAAGCGATCCGAAGAGCTTCCATGACTGGCAGAGCTGTTCAGATCTTCGAAATCTGGGGAGGAAAGGTCCACTTCAGGACTGGGGCTACGTTCCCGTACCATGTCTTCCACATCCTCAAGACTGGACACACTGGGTGTGATTTGCTTGCCACCTACGGCAGAGACAATATCGTCAGTCTCAGGGATGGGTTGATGAGGGAACGTAGTCAGGTAGTAGTACACTTTGCGCGGGTGAATTAAGATAAGCTCCTTGGCGATAGGGCACGGCGCGAGAGCCGTCCAAGAACGCTTCATATAGGCAGCCAACCGAGACGACAGAAGTGCAGCGGGATTAGCAGAGCTAAAAGATTGAATGTTAGCAATTGAAACCTGGTTCATGTATAGACGGAGTACTCACTTTGCGACGTTCACATTCAACGCGATCAAAACGGCGGCAAGTTCCTTCACTAGATGAGGCCGATTCCCGGTCTTCTCGAGCTGGTTGATTACAGCCACAACGATATCGTCATTAATTCCTTCTGTGTCGATCTTCGGCACATGCACACCATCCATCGGTGAAGGAGGAGGGGTATGCTCAAATAATCCATGTCGACCGGCGCGCGCAAAGGGAATCTTTTCGGATGGTTCGGGTGTTAATGAAGATGATCCGTGTGATCGCTTGACTTTTTTTGAAGAGTGTTCATCGGTATGCGCTTTGGATATAGAGGGAGAACGACGAGACGAGTTTGGGAGTTGGATTCCCAGGGAGGGAAGGGATAGTGACTTGCGACGAGTGTTGTACGGCATTGTGAGATAGAAATGAACAACGCGATAATCAAGTGTGATAAAAGGAGAGTAAGACACAGAGAGACAGAGCGATAATATAATAGAACAAAAGGATATAATAAACAAAACAAGAAGAATAATAATAATAAAAAAGGATTCTAATGTGTAGAGAAAGGGGATGGGGGATGAGGGAGGATAAACGATAGCGATGCGACGGAGAGCTGTTATGGCAAATTACGCAGTCAACGGGTGAAGGAAAAAAAAAAAAAAAAGAAGAGAGAGAGCGATTGTAAATTACAAGTATTGTAAGTATGATTCTTGATCTGGCAGGCTTCCGTACAAATTAAAGTGGTTCTGATTGGCAGAACCACTTTTAATCTTCTATCTTTTTTTTTTTCTTTTTGCTTTTTGGTTTATTTATTTTTTTCTTTAATTTTTATTAGGAATGCAGACACTCGACCATGGAAATGGGTTCCGATATACAACCCATATCAATTATTTTCGTACAGAAATTGTTATATACATATACATATGTATATTCTAAATTACCTGATTCAATATGTACAACTTACCCCTATCACACCGCTATATCAAAGCTTCAAGGATGCACATGCGACTATGCGAAAGGCAAAATCGAGAATCTAGGTGGAGATTAGCCCATACCCCTTCAAGTCTTAGCATGAAAATCTCATAGTTCTTCCATTCTATCCTCGGCTTTAGCGCATACTGGGCAACAGGAGTGGGGTCAGCCATGTGTTCTACGACCCGACTAGGTCCAATTTTATGCTCCAGTCTTTCTATTTACTGTTAGCCTTTGAACAAAATGGATCCGGCTAATCACAGCTAGATTTCGTGAATAATAATAAGACCTACCGATCGCTTGATTGGTACGCAGTGTACTTGGGTAGTGGATAATCTACAATGAGACGGGTTTGTCCAGCTCGGGGCCTTCATGCTGGTACTATTATGCATTCGATCTGTCAATTCGTTGCTAGGTGACGCCTGACCGCTTCTGACCGATCAAATGCTCACCTACATATACTGTGATACAATGTGTTATCTTCATATATATTTGTTTATTCAACTCTTAAATATATACTCCCTTTGGAATATACGACTTACAATGTACAGTAGAAAGTAAAGAGCCGAGTGCTCCGGAAACACCGAGACCCAAAACAGCCTCCCTAGTGCAGCCGTTTTACCAAAGAAAAAGATTGAAAAAATAGAGCCGACCACTTTAAAGTGGATCTATGGACCCAATCGACGGGACAACGATCAATCAGAGTCGTGGTATCGTATTGTACATGACACTAGTAAGGGATGCTCGCATTAGCGTCTCGGGGAGAAAAGGAACAGCTTTTGCCACCATGATGGAAGAGCTGAGACACTGGCGGTTTTTGCATACTTTTTAATCTGACCCTAGTTTTTTTCTCTTTCTTTTGTTCGGATCTATCAGATTTCTATTGCAGTATTCTACAATAACTATACAATTTTCTAGCTATATCTCATTTCAAAATAGATGTAGGAGTGGCAATGTCATGAATCAATAATGATGATAATAAAAAAATAATAATAAACTAAAGATTTTCAAACGTGTATATGATGACATATTCTCTGCTATCCGGATTCATACACTTTTTACCTTCGACGTTGTAGTGATATGATGATGATCAATGGTCGATCGGGAAGGTAGGTATTTGGTGGGTTATTCTACGTTGTACGGAGTACATATACTCTAATCTAGACAGTTCACACCTCGATCTCATCTTTGGGGAGTCTGCAGTAAGGGGCGGGATATTAGCATTACTGTAAAGTCTCATACGTACCTTGTAGTATGCAATGAGGGGGAGATCATTCCTTGAATCTCATCCCTGTCAACGAAATTCTGGCTTACCCGGACCGTAGCTGTGATTGGCTTTGGGGGCTGATCTCCGTTTTCATGACATCGACCATTTTGACCCAGAAAATCGGAAGTATCAACCGTGGTTATTTGCCTGCTTCAATATTGTACTTCGTACATGTTATTAGTCTATAATAAAGCTATGACAACTCTAAGTGATTGTTTGCATTAAGCCCTACATTGTACATTGTACATTGTACATTTGCATTTTAATGTAGTATGCAGGGGAATTCTCCGTATCTCCACAGTTGAATACCACGCATAAACACGTCGACTCCATAACTAGTAAGGTACAATGTTTTCTTCTTTCGACATTACTACAATCTACGTTGTATGTACATTTTTGTCTTAGCCGCAAGCTGATAGGGTACAATGTATGACTACGTTGTATGTTGATTCTAAGGGTTTCAGCAAATCAAGGTTACAACCAGAAATAGCTGTGGCACCCAATATGCCCCAAATCTAAACAACGGGATTGCATGTAAACTTAGATCTACCAATGAAGTCCTGTACCCCTCTTCTATAAGCGATCAATATCAAAACCTTACCTGAAGCCATTGCCCCATTACCCCCGGATCCATGTTTCCCAGCCTCATTTGCCCCAAACCTTGGACCATTGCATCACCAAACAAAGAGCTAGATGACTAACCGCATCCAAGATACCCATAGACGGAATGACCCCTGTAAGGATCTGCATCTTGCATATAAATCGTTGGTGGAGATTGGACCAGGCTTAGCCTAAGAGACTGGTGTCATTTATGTAACTGGATGGATGTCAGAATCAGCCAATACTACCTGTCCAAAAAATGGTAGATTGTATCAAACCCCAGCTAATTCACACACTAGTACGGAGTAGTATATTGACCTCATTCATACCTTCCCGTGTTGGTAACTCTCATCCGATAGGGACAGCCCCTCCTCTGAATATATAGCAGTATCAGGATATTGTTGAGAGGGAAAGCGGACTCGATTTATCCCGAGGTCGTGGCCCAATCTGATAAATGCTTGTTCTCCTCCATCAACATGTCCTGTCGGTCATTTGCCAGGGTATATCAAAGCTTGCTTCCAAGGTTCATATAAATACAGTGTGCCCTGATAAACATGATTGCGTATACTCATCAAGTGGCTAGATTAACGTTAAAAGGCTTAGGCCATACCGCAAGTAGTCATACTTACTTCATTTCATACTAGCAAATTACAACTTGCATTCTGAAGGAAGACTTCCCGTGATGAGAACTACACTTGATTAATAGACCAGACTTGAAACATCCATTCCAAAACACTTCAGTCACCATGGGTTGCAGATTAGGATGTCATGAGATGTGGAGGGGAAAGGAAAAGGAGGGAGGTGGGTGAATTTACGCTCCTCGGTCAACATCGCGCTTCCCCAAGACGGTACTTCCCGGTCACCTACATACAAAGCACGATCTAAACAGCCTGACCTTGCTTTCTTCTGGTAGTACCAGGTGAAAGAGCACTAGTCTTTATGGAGAGTTCATGGATGAGAAAAAATTTCGAATCAACTTAGCTTTTGAACTCTGCGATTAGATAGTATAGCCATTCTACAGGGAAATATCACTGGTGTCATTCTTGAATATCTAGGTCATCTAATTCCTGGTAAATAATACTCTTGATAGGCTCTTCTGCCCAGCACATATCCACCGCATTCCTTGCAAACTGCACCATTTCGATTTTGCTAAACCCACAGTAAGTATAAACCTTCTGCATATTCCCATCGATCCAAACATCGTGCATCAAAGTCGGATCATCACTATTAAAGCAAATTTTCACACCCTTCTCCCACAACCTCCGAATCTTAGAGAATAAGACCTCGGTTGCTGTTCGCCGGTGATAGGCATGAGGACACAAAGTCAATCCAATCTGCCTATCTACTAGACCCCGCCACAATTCCTCCTTGTCCTCGGCATCCAACCCATGATCAATACGCTCCGAGCCAACTCCATCACACACCCGGTAGATAGCCTCCTCCAAATGCTCATGTGTATCTTTTTGTCCAAAGTCACAATGCATAGTAACATGCAGGCCATCAGCGCGCGCCAGCTCAAATCCCTCTTCAAAAAGCATCGGCGGTCGCTCGTAGGCATTACTAGCCAATCCAACGGCATGGAAAAGACCCTTTCCACCATCGACAGTCCCAGCTGCCCACGGTCTTGCCTCACGGTACGCATCAAGGCCTTGTTCCACTGGCTCATCGCGTAAGAAGCACAAGATCCAGCGCGAATGCACATTCAGCTGTGTGGCGGCATCATGTTGCGCGCGCAGGTAGCCATTCAAAACTGCAGATGCGGGGACCCCACGGCGAGTATGCGCTTGGATGTCGAAAAACGGCTCTGTGTAGCGGACATTCATGTCTGCGCAGCGATGCAGGTAGGCCATTGCTAGATCATAGAAGTCGGCTTCTGTGCGCAGAACTTCGCATCCTGCAAAATAAGCCTCTAGGAAGGTTGGAACACCGGGTTGGCGGCCATTGAGCTCTGGTCGGTGGTTGAGGGTTACGGCATAAGAGGCTTTCAAGTCTTCAAAGGTGGGGTAGGGCAATGTGATGTTGTTGCGGTGGGCTAGATCCCAGCGTAGAGCTGGAGTGAGAGTTCCTTCAATGTGAACATGCAATTCGACTTTGGGTAGATTGGCTATAAACGAGGTGATAGAGAGGCCATTCATGGTTTCGAAGTTTCCAAGGTTATTGGTAAATGCCTCCAAAAGTTTGCCAGACAAGAAATTTATGTTCAATCTCGGTCGAGGTGATAGGAAAAGTTCGAAATGGGGTAAACAGAGGAGCTCCTCCAGTAAAGTATTCCAATCTCCAGCTACTAATTGCGACCGTGTCATTAGTCTTAGCCCTAAAACACTTGGCTCCGATTTCTCCAATCGTTGCCCATTGCAGGATCCCTACATCGGCGATAACATGCATGCTTGGGCCAACGGGAGGTGCGGGGAAAGATAACAGCGGCATGACCATGTGAATAAGAACAGACAAAATGCCTGTTAAATTCATGTGACTTGTTTCGATTCTTCATTCTGTACCTATTTCGTCCATGGCGGAAACAATCACAGCTCCCGATGGCGCATTGGAACATGGAACGAACCATGCCGTGGCGAAAAGAGTACTGCAGAAGATTGACAGAAGACTAGTGCCACTGCTTTTCACCACCTATATGCTCAATTTTATGGATAAAACCATCTTGTCAAGTGCATCAGTTTTTGGGTTACGCGATGACACGGTAAGACATGCCAACGAGAAAGACTACCATGGAAAGAACTAAGATAATTCAGGGTTTAGTTGGTCAGCAGTATAGCTGGGTATCCTCAGTCTTCTACTTTGGCTATCTAGGATGGGTATATCCGACAACCTTGCTCATTGCTCGTCTGCCCGCCGCCAAATACCTGACAGCCAACACGCTTTTCTGGGGTGCTGTGGTAGCACTTACCGCAGCCTGTACTAACTTTGGTGGCCTCATGACTGTTCGAATTTTGCTTGGAGTTGCTGAAGCAACCATTACGCCAGCATTCATGTTCATCACTTCAACTTGGTATACGCGCGATGAAATTCCAACTAGGACTGGTCTATGGTTTGCTGGAAATGTGATTATATATAATATCCCTTGATCCAAGACAAAAGCTGATCTCGTATTCCAGAGCGTGGGCGGCATCGTTTCAAGCCTCCTAGCCTACGGTCTTGGGCACGTTACTGACCAAGTCGGACCTTGGAGGTGGATGTTCATTGTCCTTGGTCTCGCAACGTTTCTCTGGGCATTCGCCATCTGGACTCTACTGCCAGACTCAATCTCCAAGGCCAAGTTCCTGACAGAAGAGGAACGCCAATTTGCAAGCAACAGGGCCGTGGTTGCCGGAACAGGTTCAACAGAGGAGACAGCTTGGAGATGGGACCAGGTTATTGAATGCCTGATGGACCCTAAGACCTGGTTGGTTTTTGGTCTGGAGCTTTGCACGCAGATTCCCAATGGAGGCACGCAGAACTTTGCCAATCTCGTTGTTGTCTCATTTGGATTCACAAACTTGCAATCCACACTACTCACCATCCCTTACTCGCTTATCACTGTGGCGACCATCACTGGAACAGGGTGGCTTGCAGGGCGTTTCCGCAAGCTCAACTGCTTGCTTATTGTTGCTGTGGTTCTCCCTTGCGTCGTCGGAAGTGCAATAATTTACTCCCGTGCCCACATCGTTTTGGGCGTGCAATTATTTGGTTATTTCCTCCTATCTACTGGACCCGCGGCAATGCCTCTAGCCATGTCGCTGGTACAGGCCAATTACCGCGGTGTCACCAAGAAAATGACGATGACTGCAATGCTTTTCCTTGCATACTGTGCTGGGAATATTTCAGGGCCTCAGTTCTTTCTTAGCAAAGAAGCACCGACCTACAACACTGCTTTCCGCACTATTATGATTTGTTATGCCCTGTCAGTTGTGCTAGCATTAGTCCTACGCTTTTACTTGCAGTGGACTAATGCTCGCCGTGTGCGCCTAGAGGGCTTTGAGGGCAGTTCTGGAAATGCAGGCGCTGTCGGTGGCGGCAAAGTGTTGGATGTTGATCACAATTCTCATAATGTGGTGGATATGGTGAACCAAGTGCAATTGGTATCAAACGACTATGAGGATGTCACAGACTGGAAGATACCGGGCTTCAGATATCGGTATTAGAGATATAGTTACAAGAAAGGAGTATGTATAATTAGGAAGGGCATGTCTTGTTCACGACACTTGAGCATTTAAGTAAAACAATTCGAGTACTGGTACTATATGGTTGATATATTTCTACATAGTATGCTCCTAGTCTATTTCTCCTGCTAATAATATACTACGATGCGTAGCTAGAGATGAAAGAACATACCCAGGTATATAGCGTACATATAAAATGAATGAATCTTTTATCATAGCTGTAGCTAAGTCCAAGTCTATCACGTCAATATTCATACACCCCCCAGATTATGTACAGTTTGAAAAACCACGCGCAAGAGCAACAAACTCGAGTCTAAGACTCAAGACCTCAGGGTCTGAACATTTTGTTTCGGTCGCAACACATAGCGCCATGTAGTTCCCAAATGCCAGCGCTTCGCCTCCACAATCTCCAACCCACTTTCACGCACAATTTCTCCAATATCACGGTTCCACCAACACCCGTGGCGATCCGCGTGGGCTGGAGCAAGATTGTCTAGAATGCGATTAACCCAATCATAATGAGATCGACCGTGCTCCAGCAAGAGAATTCGACCATGAGCAGGCTCAGTAACAGAGCCAAGGTGGCGCAGTGTCGCAACAGGATCGGGCATCGAGCACAGCCCCATAGTCTGCAAAACGGTATCATAATACAGTGGCAAATCCTCCACCGAACCAGAATGCAAAATCGTCGGTGGCTCAACAGACCCGGCATCACCAGCCTGGAATGTAACTTTCCCGAAGGCAGGATGTAGCTTCTCGAACTTCTCCTTCGTAATTGCAACCATCTGCGGACTCAGATCCAAAAATGTAACAGATCGGCAACCAAGAACACTTGAACGGCCGTCTTTATCCGTCCCACGGCGCTCACCGAGCTCGTAAAACGGCAAATTGCGCCCTGTACCGCAGCTGACTTCGAGGACATTTCCACGCGCCATCTCGACCAAGTCGCGGCGCTTCTTGCCTAGCCCCATTGCCTTCTCAGAGAGCTCGACATCTGCGTCAAATGTTGGCGCTGTGGTGTTGTAGCGGTCTGAGACGTCGCGTGGCACGTTGAGTGTCTGCGATTTGCTGACTTCCCGCGAGTATGATGTATACAAGTAACCACAGTATGTGCTTATTGTGAGAGCTGTTATTCCCATGAAGGTAAGGGCTCTAGCAGGAATTCCATGGCCGGACTTTCCAGTGCTGCCAGAGTTGACGGCTTTTGCTTCAACGCCGGCCCTCTGGGGGCTGGAGTGGCGTTTATATTGCGGAGTTGATTCTCTCCGTTTTAATGCCGCTGGCTTTGGACTGGGAGCAGTTTAGTGGAAAAATTTAATGACCAGGGTTGAGTTACACACCTTGTCTTAAGGGGTTGGGCTGCTTTGCTTGATGCACTGCGGCGTGGTATGATGGACTGCTGTGCTACTAAGGGCACTCTGCGCAATTGCCTTGCGTTCATTTTGGTATGCTTAGCAGATTATGCCGCCAAAGCTTTTGAGATTGAATACGTAGATGCGTTCACGAAGCCCAATTGAATGTTTTCGCGACGTCAGCCTTGGCGAGAAAGCCAAGGAAACTTGGAGGAGTTGAACAATAGCGATATATGCAAGATGGCGACAGAGCCAAGCAGTTATCTCATGTACACATACAAGTATACAGGCCTCGGAGTAATAAAGTCGACCCCAGACTCGGAGGAGGAAAAATCGGGTCGGGAGCCGGGGCCGCAGATTGACTAAACGCCGTTATCGGCTATCAATTGAATACCCCCCAACTTATCTCCAATTGTTGTGTTAGCCCACACACTACACATATTTTGCACACAATGCCATTGCCGCGCAAGATTCTCATTGTAGGAGGGGGTGTCTTTGGATGTAAGTATAAAAACCACACAGGGCACAGTAGCCAATGCATAATATCTACACACTTACCATACACCATTACCCCAGTTCTCACCAATTGACCCCATTCATATTGACTCACCTGCTAATACCCCACAGTATCCACCGCCCTCTCTCTGTCAAAGCGACACCCTGAATCCGAAGTAACGGTAGTAGAGTCCTCTCCGATAATTCCTAATCCACACGGCTCATCCGTCGACACATCACGGATTGTGCGCGCCGACTACGCAAACGCAGCGTACTCCAAGCTCGCAGCAGCCGCCATTGAGCGCTGGCGCAACACAGAATGGGGTCGCGAAGGTCGTTACACCCAAAATGGGTTGCTCCTAGTGTATCCCGCCGACAGCGCCAGCGCCAAGGAGTATGCCCGTAAGAGCTATGCCAACGTCCGCCAGATCGAAGGCGTTAACGTCGAGTTCCTGCCCACGCAGAAAGATGTGCTCAAGGTTGTTCCGGCCTATGGATCGGAACTCGACGTCGCCGGCGGGTACGTGAACTGGGGATCTGGATGGTCTGATGCAGCGGCGAGCGTGAGCTATGCGAAATCTCTCCTCGATGCCGACGGCAAGGTCATCTTCCGCACCGGCGATGTCGAGCGTGTACTCTACTCTACTGCCAGTGGCAAATCCAAGGCTACTGGCGTTGCCTTTGCTGATGGCGCAACGCTTGAGGCTGACCTTGTCGTACTTGCGACTGGCGCGTGGTCCTCGAAGCTTGTCGATCTGCGCGGACGGGCTGTTGCTACCGGCCAGGCAATTGCGTACATGCGCATCTCGGATGAGGAGCAGCGCGAGTTGGAGAACCTGCCTACGATTCTGAACTTTGCGACTGGTATCTTCATCATCCCGCCGCGTAATAAACTGCTCAAGATCGCGCGGCATGCATTTGGGTATCGGAATCCAACTGCGGTGCCGGTGCCCGGTGAGAACGAAGGTCGTACTATGGAGGTTAGTTTGCCCGAGAAGGGGGTTCCTGTTCCTCTCGAGGGACAGAATTCGTTCCGAGTTGCACTGAGGCAGCTGCTGCCTCGATTTGCGGAGAGGGAGTTTGTTGACACGAGGGTTTGTTGGTACACTGATACGTGAGTTTGTCCTCTAGCATGACTATGTAAATTGGTACAGTGCTAATCTGGCGAGTAGGCCCAAGGGTGACTTTATTATTTCCTACCATCCTGACCATGAAGGTCTATTCCTTGCTACTGGTGGTAGTGGTCATGCGTTCAAGTTCTTCCCCGTTATTGGCGACAAGGTTGTCGATGCGATGGAGGGATCGCTTGACCCTGAGCTGCGTGAGATGTGGACATGGGCCGGTGCTGCTGTGTCTGATGGTGAAGATTTTGACGGTGATGGCAGTCGCTCTGGGGAGAGGAGAGCGAACTTGAAAAACGAGTTGGCAAAGACGAATAAGGCCTCGCGACGCAGCGTGCTATAAGACGGACGACAAGCTGTTGGACATGAATAACATAGAAACCGACAGACGTACAAAATGACATTGACATGCATACTAAAGTACGCTATTACACCGATACAATTAGGGAAGAGAGTTTTTTTGAAAAATTTTCATTTAACTACCTGAAGTAGTATCACGGCAAAAGCCGGTCCATCAATATCCCAGCCAGCGCGGGCAAAGCAAGGACTGATCGAATGTAACAGGCTGGCTTTTTTTTTTTGCCCACGGCAGAAGAGTGCTCTTCCGCTCATGGATGAAACCATAGAGCAAAATAGAAAAGAAAAAAAGAGATTAAAACGAGGCAGCGATCGACCGGCGCACAACCGCCTCACTGCTGGTCGCAGGAATCTAATGTGTAAGAACACGCGAAATGGTTTTGAAGAAGAAAAAAACCGGGGGATCATCCGAGAATCGCTAAAACGCCCAACTATGCTTGCATGAAAGAGATTCGGAAGAGTCGTAAAGCAAAAGAAAAGAAGTTGGAAGATGCACAGATAGACGGGAGTCAACTGAGATCCTCAAAAGGGAAAAGCAATGTTAGTACAGGGGTGAAATGCGTATGCATAAGTGATCTCCTTGGGAGCTTCTTTTAAACCTTGCGGAAATCTGGGGGCAATTAGTCAGTAAAGGGTCCAAAGCAGTAACGCGGAAAGGGAAAACAAACCAGAAAGCACAGGGTAGATCAGCTCGAAAGCCTGATAGATCTCCTCGCGGACTTTAGCACCAGTCAGGACAATTTTGCCACTGACAAAGATCAACAGAACGATCTTGGGCTTCATCATGCGGTAAATCAGACCAGGGAACAACTCAGGCTCGTAGGAGCTGAAGTTGTGGTGACGAGAGGCCAGTCCCTCCAAACGGATGGGGAACTTGATATCGCAGGAGCCAACAATGTTCTGGATCTTGAAATCGGTGAACTTGGCGTTGAAGCCAAGCTTTTGGATGATGCGCGCGTACTTGCGAGAGGCGAGCTTCGAGTCATCCTCAGACTTGGCACCGGTAACGACCATCTTGCCTGAGGCGAAGATAAGAGCAGTTGTCTTGGGCTCACGGATACGCATGATCACGGCAGCGAAACGCTAAGTAAAGAGAACCAAGTTCAGCCACACTGTACCCTGATTGTGTGCTTTTCAGGGAAGATGTGGAGAGATAGTTACCTTAGGATTGTACTCGGCGTTGCGAGCGTGGAGCGCAATGGTCTTGAGATCAAGACGGCAGTCAAGGTTGACGGTGGCCACGATATTCCTTTTGGTAGCAACTAGTTCAGCCATTCTGGTCACCCAGAAAAACGTCTAGAGTATACTCACTGCAAAGTGGGCACGATGCCAGAGCTTCCAGTAGTCGCAGTAGGGGTCGCAGCGGGGGTCGCAGGAGAAGCGGGAGTCACCCCGTTGCCGTTGGGGGCATTTCCAACCTGCTGACTATTGACACCCTGAGCCATAGCCTCCTTTTCGGAGTTAGGAGGAGTCAAATCTCCAGCCCCGCCGGGGAATGACAACGACGAGGTAGCCGTGAAGGCACGAGCCTGCTGCGCGTTCGATGGGTGAGTGGTGAGAGAATCCATGATGAATAATCAGGTGACCACTTGATTGATGGATACGAATGAATATAGCTGTTGGAGATAATAGTGAGCGCCAGATCACGGAAAGCTGCGTAGGTGCAGCAGTCACGTTGAAGTGAAAGAGTTGGCACGGCTGAGTAAAAAGGAAATCACATGAATGCGGAGGGAGATAAGAGACAAGCAGAAGAAGAGCGGGGTGGAAATCGATGCGGAAGATGCGGAAGGAAAGTGCAGAAATTTGCGACAGGAAAGAGCTTACCTGGGAGATGGACAACTCAATGTATCCCCCTACGAGGTATTCGCAAACAACTTCTTGTGAATATCACAACAATGAAAGCAGCGAAACCAACGCAGTCGATGGTGAACCGAATTCAAGAAAAAAAAAAGCACACTGAAGTGTTTTTTTTTTCAAGATAGGCGACGACGATATTATGGACGCGAGGTAACCTTTTTTTTTCCTTTCGAATTTTTGTTTTTTTTTTTTTTGTTCGTTTTTGGAAATGGGATTGTGTCTATCTGCGCGATCTGAAAAAAGAGAGTGTGTGTGGTGAAGTGAAACCTGAGGCTCGTTCTTCTATGGTTATTAAGTCCGTGGACGAAAAACCGTGATTTTCCCCTAAATGAAAATAAGGGTCTTCCCGGAGATAAAAAAAAATCAAAGATCAAGATAGATCTGATTAGTAAGAGAAAGCGAGCAGATATAAAGCTGCTACTTTGGGAAGGGAGGAAGAGTTTCCGAAATAAGATCCGCCAAGACCGAGACTGGAATCCCAAAAGCGAAAAATGGGGGGAGGTTGGTCCCTTTTATAGTGCTGAGTCACAGCTTACCGGTCAGGAGAGGCTGGGCCCCGGTGGCGCTTAAAGCAGCAAGACTCCCTTCAACCGTGGGTTCATTGACTAGCGGCTCTGAAGGCCCCTCTGTTTGCATTTGTTGATTTTTATTGGCTCATTATTTCAGATAGCCCCGCTACCCAGTCGATAATGGCCCTTGAATGGCTGAACCACCCTTGCTTTTTTTCCTCCGGAGTGGACTGTTGGTGTCCATCCTGCAGCTGATAGTCAACAGCGATCCAATCATCAGTCATTATCTATCCTCGGCGGCTTGGTACGACGCGCTATCCTCTTGCCGCTTTAACAGATGGCAACTGAACAAAAATCCTCTGAAAATTCTGAATTTTTTTTTTGCCTTGTTTCTTTCCCTACTTTTCTGTGACCTCACCATATATTATAATGACCAGGGGTATGGTATTGATGTGACATATATGAAAGAATATCTTCACTGACTTTGCTATACTTTTCTAAGTTTGCAATTTTTTTTTCGAAACTATAATCCCCCTTAAAACAGGAATTTCCATCTGGACAGGTGGCCGTTTGGATTCTGCCTGGCGGTGGCGCTTTTACGTTGATCCACCTGCCAAGAACTAGATGAATCTCATGGCATGCGCTCTGGCGATCAATCACTTTCTTAGCCTCGACCTTAGAAGGGTCCGGAGGTATTTCCATCTAACTTTCATGATAGCTATGTAACTATGGATCATATCATGTTACAGTGCACCCAAGTATCTCTGTAGGTATTATTACAACGCTGTACATTTTCAAGGGACTTCTGGTATGCTGGGTATGTTGGGTATCCTGAATACCATAGCGGAAGCGGCATAATCGTCACATTCCAACAGATGCAGTAATAATACGGAATACGGAAAACCGCACCGCAGGTCCAGGGCTGTCAATACAATAATGTATGACACTGACCATTTAAGGTTGTTCTTTGGCATATACATCTGCAAGGTCAAGGTAAGCCAAATGATGTCAACATTTGGTTAATTTCGATACAACACATCTGGGGTATCGAAGAGGTTTAGATGCATGTGATGCATGTAATCAACATGAGACAGGTCTTGACCATACAATAACTAACTCTCAACTGGTAGTTATAATTGTTGTAATGATTAGAATAGGTCACTTATTCTAAACTTGGAAGTTATTGAATTATGCATGCTCATAGAAAACGTTCACTATTAATCTTTCGGTAAAAGAGTCCCGGATTAGAACCTTGGAAGGCGATTTCCGTTTCGAGACTTCTGCCTCAGGCATTAAGGATAATCGCCGACTTCCCTATTGGCTGAGAGCTAATGCCGAGGGTAGGCGGTTTTTCGGCGTTCTGTCAACTCGGCCTGAACATCGGTTACTCTAGGACTCTGGGGATTTGTACGATCTGAAATATTGTGCTACTCCGCATTAAACCTCTCGATCAGGTCATGCCCATTGTTCGTCAATAATAGGTCTCATCGCGGCCTCCGAAAACCCTTTACCATGGCGTCTAAAAATACCGTCTTGCCTTTGTTGAGGCGTGAACTACGATCTTCCACTCGATTCCCACGAACTTCCTCCATCTCCGCCATTGCCACTCCAGCTCGTCAATCAGCCCCATTCACTGCCTTCGGGGCATGGTTAGCGCGTCGGACGGTACTCTTCACCCCACTTACCCAGACCCGAGCTTTTTCGCAATCGCTATCAAAACGCTTCACCGATGAGAATGGCGACTTTGACCCTCGGTCATTGGATCGCGAGTCAGACGATGTGGATGTATGCATTGTTGGTGGTGGTATGTTGGTGTCGTCTTGGTTACTCTAAGCAACCTAACTAAATTCGGTCATAGGTCCCGCCGGTCTTGCTGCCGCAATTCGTTTGAAGCAACTTGCCAACGACGCTGGCAACGAAGAGTTCCGAGTTATTTTGCTGGAGAAGGCTGGTGAAATCGGCGCCCATATCGTTTCTGGGAATGTCTTGCAGCCAACCGCTCTCAATGAACTCCTTCCCGACTGGCTGTCCGAAGACAACCCATCGCGCTTCGAAGGTGCGACCCCCGCTAAGGGTGACAAGATGCGCTTTTTGACTAAAAACGGCTCGTACCCACTTCCCACGCCACCGCAAATGCACAACGAAGGAAACTACATCGTCAGTCTGAACGAGTTGACCAAGTGGTTGGGAGAGCGCGCCGAGGAGGTCGGCGTGGAAGTGTACCCTGGATTCGCGGCCAGCGAGATAGTCTACAGCCCTGATGGTGCGGTCAAGGGTGTTGCAACAAATGACCTTGGACTCGGACGGGATGGCAAAGCCAAGGACACATTCGAGAGGGGAATGGAGTTCCACGCCCGTGTTACGCTTCTCGCCGAGGGCTGCCACGGCAGCTTGACCAAGCAGGTGATGAAGAAATACGATCTCCGACGCGACAGCGACCCCCAAACATATGGTCTCGGGATCAAGGAAATCTGGGAAATCCAACCTGAGAAGTTCCGCTCTGGTGAGATCACTCACTCTATGGGATACCCCCTTCCCAAGGACACCTATGGTGGAGCCTGGATGTACCACTTTGGCGACAACATGGTGAGTATCGGTCTGGTGGTGGGCTTGGACTACCCGAACCCTTGGCTTTCGCCTTATGGGGAGTTCCAGAAGATGAAGCACCACCCCATGTTCAAGGAAGTTCTCGAGGGTGGCAAGTGTATCTCATACGGGGCCCGAGCTCTGAATGAGGGTGGTTTCCAATCAATCCCAAAGTGTGCTTTCCCCGGTGGTGCCTTGATCGGTGACACTGCTGGCTTTTTGAATGTTCCAAAAATCAAGGGTACTCACACTGCCATGAAGTCGGGTATGTTGGCAGCAGAAGCCACCTTCTCGGCGCTTCAGAGTGAGAACCAGGGCACTGTCTTTTTGTTCGACTACGAAAAATCTTTGCGGGACTCATCTATCTGGAAGGAGTTGTCCGAGGTGCGCAATATTCGACCCTCATTCAATTCTCCACTCGGGTTCTTCGGTGGACTCCTTTACTCTGGCCTGGAAGCATATTTGTTCAAGGGAAGAGTGCCGTGGACCCTCAGTCACCACGGTACCGATGCAGCGGCAACCAGGCCCGCATCTGAATACGAAAAGATTGAATACCCCAAGCCAGATGGTGAGATCAGTTTTGATATCTTGACCAGTGTGAGCCGAACAGGCACCAATCATGAGGAAGACCAACCGGTCCACCTGCAAGTGGAGGATTGGGATAAACACAAGGACATCGCATGGCCTAAGTACAAGGGTATCGAAAACCGGTTCTGCCCTGCAGGCGTCTACGAGTACGTGGAGGACCCCAGCAAGGAGCATGGGGTTCGGTTCCAGATCAACTCTCAAAAGTAAGTTCTATCTCGAATTTTCCAAAGGCATTCAAAAAGCTGACCTTTTACCTAGCTGTATTCACTGCAAGACTTGCGACATCAAGGTGCCAACCCAAGACATCAACTGGCAGACACCTCAAGGTGGAGAAGGACCGAAGTACATCATGACGTGATTCGGCACAATTTCCAAGTTCTTTTTTTCAATATGTGTTTATAATAGGCTTTAGAATTCGAGGCTGTGTATATAAAGAATCTACCTATCATTGTAGTAAGATATGTACATACATATGTACATGAGGTATAGGGTACAAGAAGTACTAGAACCAAAAAAAGAACCTTGGAACAAGACCCGCGCCCCATATGGGGTAGAACCGTGGAATGTCAGTGGAGAGTCCCTTACATCCAACTTATACATAGTAGATTTACTTTGAACTATAGATTCTATACTAGATTCTATACCTAGGTATTTTGAAACATTATTTGATATCACTTCATAATCCTAAAAAAAAGATACTTGTTCATCGCTATGGTGGAACCACGTGGATCTCAGAGAAGGAAAAAAAAAGTGAGCCGGCCAAAGTTTCTCAGTCCACCGCCAGATGGTACTTTCTCTTTTCCCCTCTCTCTCTATCTCTTGCATTGCGCCTCTTCTCTTTTCTCTGTATTTGATTTCTTTCATCTTATCTTTTTCGAGCTCTCATTAGTTTCTACCCTTCCGGTCGATTTGTTTTGATTGGGGGGTTACGCGCTTTCCTGCATCTTGCATCTTCTAGCGCCTACGGTTTCACAAGGACATTTTGATCTCGATCACCCTCTGGGAATTCCCTGTGGCCACATCTTCTTCTTTATTCCCCAGGATCAAATCAACAATCTAGACCAGCCATGACTGAGGTGTCGTCAACCCGCCTTTATCTTGGGAACCTTCCCCGCAACGGTACGCTGGCACACCTGACTTGTCCCTTTTCCTGAAAATACGCACCACCATGCATGATCGGATTCTCCCAAAATGGCCACCGAACTCCCGTGTGCTCTGATCCCTCGTATTTCCTGAAGGCCACCCTCGACCCACCCGGTCCGCAGCTGGGAGCTTCAGCCAGATGGACCAGCCTTCGCCTCGGGATGCATGGTCTAGCTCATGATTCCTCCTATCTCTGATCGTGTTAGCTAACATATGTCGTCTTATCACTTCTTACAGTAACCAAAGGTGACATCGAAGAACATTTCAGCAGCCATGGCTCTGGTAAGATCACGGAGATCAAGCTGATGAACGGCTTCGGCTTCATCGAGTATGACGATCAACTTGATGCCAGAGATATCGTGCCTGGTAAAACCACCCACCGTCCCGTGTGTGTGCGCGCTGACTTGCTAATTCGATCTTTTCGTGCAGCGTTCCGTATGCTCCCATGACTTGCTGACCAACATGACATATCGCTTATCAATACCACAGATGGCAGCGATTTTAAAGGCGAACGACTCACCGTTCAGTTTGCGCGTGGCCCTCGCCGCAAGGAGGCCTTCCAAGGACCACCTGACCGCAATGCTGTCCCTCGTCCACGTCGTACCGTGTTCCGGATGCAAATTTCCGGTCTTCCAGAAACAAGTTGGCAGGTTAGCAGCCCAAATCCATTCCTTCCTGGGGTTTCCGGCGGAGATTTCATGAGCTCGTCTCTCCTTCCAGTCCGCACATCCTTCCACCCCATTTTTTCAGGGCCATTGGTTGAGCCAAGGGTGCTCGAGCACTAAATCTAGCAGCACTCGCCTTGTGTTGACGCGAAGAAGCTTTTGACTCTTTTTTTATTGTTCTGCGAGATTTGAGAACCCCTGAATCCTTGCATATTCACCACACCTTATTGAACCTCATGAAACCTTTCCTGGGGACTTTTGGAGGCCAACATAATTGGCCATCTTGGATATTCCTCCCTGGACTGGATATGGACATCTTCTTCTTTCTCTCTCCACATGGACACGCCGGACACCTTACTTTTCCTGGACCTGGACTCACCATACGTTGAATAGGACCTGAAAGATTTCGCCCGCCAGTCTGGACTGGACGTCGTTTACTCCGAGACTGGCCGTGAGCAAGGCAGAGGGTGGGTTATTGTGTTCAAAGAAAAGATCATTCCATTCCATTAACATTTGACAAGGTTTGTGGAGTTTGAAACCGCCAACGACCTAAAGACTGCCGTGGAGAAACTGGACCAGCGAGAGTTCAAGGGCTCAACTGTCTCTTGCGTTGCCGATGTAAGCGTCCAACCTGGAAACCCGGAGGAACAACCTCTCACCAATTCCTAGATCCAAAGCTTTGAGGAACGCCCTGTGCGCGACCCATACCGGTCTCGCTCCCCACCTCGTCGCCCTTATCCAGCCCCCATGGATGAATACGACCGCCGGGTCCCTCCTCCTCCTCGTGGCTACAGTCCCCGGGACCACTACCGCGAGCGGTCTCCAATCCCCATCCGCCGGGATCCCTACTATGAACGGGATGGCTATGCCCGCCGGACCCCTCCTCGTCCCCGGATGGAAGACTACCCTCCACCACGTCGCCCCTACGAAGAACACCCGTATGATGCTCGGCCTCCCCCTCCCCCCCGTCACTATGATGATCCTTACCTAGCTGCGCGTGCCTATGGTCGTCCTCGCTCTCCACCCAGAAGTGACTATGTCCCTTACGACCGCCCACGCTACTGGTAGATGCTGGATCTACGGGTTCAACGCATATGTCTCCATTTGTCTCGGTTGCTTTCTTTTTCACTTCCCTTTGGCCCAATACCCGCAATGTCTCGTACTGATTTCATGGTGCCATGATCTTTTTTTCAACTGCCGAGGTTTCAGCGTGTTCTCGCGGCCGGATTTCTTACCTTCCTGGCGACTGGACAGCGCGAGGTCTTCTTTTCTTGTTCCTGCAGATAGCTCGGGATTGTCTGGAGCACATGGGGTCATTTCCCTGTGGTCATGGGAAACGCCTGGGCTATTGGATCTGTGTTAGCATCTGCAATATTAATTCTTCTATCAATATTCTTATTTCATGTTACCGCAAAATCAGTAATATATGACGAACAAGGGACATTCAAATTATCGTACTTGTAAATCAGAATATATATCTCTGGACAATTTGAGGACTATAGGCTACTCACCTAGTTACGGGACCTCAATACCTCATTCTTGTTCCCCGTTGAGAAGAAAGGTAAACATAGAACTGGAAAAAACAACAAAAATTCAATAATTGTCAGACCTATGACAATCAACAATGGCCATTGCAGTCGGGGTTCTGATTTTGGCGTCATGATCTGCACCCGAGAGCCCCGCTACAAAAAAACCCCAACATTTCCGCAACATTGCTCAAGTCGTTTCCTCAATCCCTTTTGCATTATTTAATACGCAATAATTACAACCCAAAAAAGCAATAAGATGACTGATTCGAGTATCAAAATCCCGCCGCGCCCTGCCTACCTAGACAGTGTTCGCCTCCGCGACATCCAGCTCCCCCTCATTGCCCCAGAAGCATGGCACCGTGAAGGAAAAACCCAACCCTGCACGGCAACCCTTAAACTCTCATACTCCTCCATTGTCGGAGCTGCCGACTCAGACAATGTCTCCCTCACACTCGACTACGGCAAGCTCTTCCGCCAACTAGAGACCAACGTCCGCACCTTCTCCAACCCGAAAGAAATGCCCGACCACCTAGCCTGCCAAATGATCAGCGTGGAAGGCACCCATCAGAAGAACATGTTGACCGCGGCTCCGGGCCAAGATCCGCGCGTGACGGCCGCCCTTGTAGCCGATGCGGGGCTGGGAATGTTGGATCAAACAGCCAAGAGCGTCAAGGCCCAGGAGAGCTCTGCCGTTTCAGCGAAGTACGGCGAGTGTGAGGTGGAGCTACATCTACCTAAGGCTTTACTGCGCTCCGAGGAGGGTCTCCGGTATCGCAGCGTTACGGCCTGGGGGTTCACGGATGCGTCTGTGCGACGCCCGGTTGTCCTGGAGGAGGAATATCGCATTGAGGGTATCCGGTGCTATGCTATTTTGGGAGTGAATCCCCATGAAAGGGTCGAAAAACAGGCTGTCATTGTTGGGCTTACTTTCCAAGGTGCTGGGCAGCTTGATTGGGGGTCCAAGGTTGTTGAGACGTATCAGGCTGTGACGCGGGCTGTGGCTGAGGTTTGTCTTTCTTCTACCGGTGCGTTCGCGCTTGCTAACCTGTCTCGATTTGTAGAAAGTTGATCAGACCACCTTCCAGACTGTGGAGTCACTGGCTACTTTCATTGCGCACATTGTTACTGTCGATTTTGGTAACGAGCGTGTGACTGTCAAGGTGGAAAAACCTAGTGCGCTGGCATTTGTTCAGCGTTCAGGCGTGGAAATCACTCGCTCAAAGGCTTTCTTCGATACTCACAGTCTTCCAGAGCCGCGCGCGTGTAAGTAAGTGGCAAATGACAGGTGCAAGTGTACCATTGAGACAGCGCTTGAATTATAGATTGGTAGCTAGATACTCGATCTTACGTATATATAGATATATAGATATATATAAAATTATCTATATATCTATAAAATATTACGATTTACGAGAATACCTTCAAATGTACGGAGTACGGAGAATAGATTTGATCAATAAGATCATTCTAAGGTTGTACTGTCAGCAACACGTGAAGACCATATCGAGTTTAGTGCTCAGCCCCCGGATTTGCATCTGAAATCGGATTTTCTGCATCTCTTTGTTTGACCATTGTTCTCACTTTCCGTGGGAGAATAAAAAGACGATAAACATATTCTTTCGAAGCCTTGAAAACACTGCATTTCCTCTATGTGCCCATCTGCGTCTTCGTCACTGCTCGCCTTGACTTCGCTTACTGGCTTTGCCAACTTTAACCCATCCCTTTTGAAACTCCACGACCCTGCTCCTGACATTTCCGCCTTGTCAGCACACCTTGCACCCGCTCCTTCCACCCTGGCTCGCGATTTCTCAGCCAACGAGGTGACTTGTGTAGGGGTCCCAGGTCCGTCCTGAAGAAGGGCGGACGGTAAACCTGCTCGAGAGATTCGAGGTCTGGTCGCAAACCAGTTCAAGCATTCGAAACCGTGCTTGATACAATCAAATCTCTCAAGTTGAAGTAGGTCTTTCCCTTCCCTTCCATCTATTTTTATTTTATTTTTCAAATTTCTGTTACGTTTTACCCTGGCTACTATTGGTGGGGTGTGGGTGAGAATTCTCTCACTTTACCCCTCTATCCAGTTTTACAGTTCAAGATAGAGGAGATTGAGGCTAATCTTGGATTTCTATGGGAACAGTGACTGCTAGATAAGTATCTCGAATACTTACTACCCATTTATTCCACTGCGCAAGGTCAATTGTCCTACCAGCGGTTATCATCGGCGCTTACCTGAACCGATCGGAGTGTGTCGCAAAATTCTAACAGGAAATACAAAAGCAAAATGCCTTCCTCACACACCGATGACTTGTCCGTCGGGGACGTGTTCGCTCCGCAGGCGGATAGCGAACAGTCCGTCATTGACATCCCGGCCAATCACCGCCTCCCTAATGCACACATGGGCAAGATGTCACCCCCAAAGGTCAAGGGTTTCAGTGGGCTTGCAAATCCCGCCCTGAATCAAGATCTTCTGCCAAAGTCGCAGCGACGCAAGAACAAGAAGAAGACCCATGCTCCGGCCGCAGCTTGCGCCACCGTTCACGGGTTTACACCTCTGGCCTCCGGTGACGAAGAATCAGATTTCTCTGCTGCCAGCTCTCGTGCTCCTTCTCGACCTCCTACTGCACTCGGCGGGGCAAGCCCTCCAGTTCAACCATCCGCAGGTCATGGAGTCAGTGCGCTGAAGCTTCAGCTAAGCACTTTGAACCTCTCCGACACCACGGCTGGTCCCGGCGGACTTATTTCCCAAACTCCCAGCGTTGCCAGCTACTCCGACAGTGATCAGACCGAGATTTTGACTAGCTACGAAATCCCCTTGGATCAAGACTTCGTTAGTTCCGACGCGGTACAACCCGAGGATCGCAATGCGGATGTTTCCGGGATGAATTCAGATCTGCGCAGCCAGCTATGCCGAAAGATGACCGCAGCCGATTTTGTTCCTCTCCTTTGTTTAGGCAAAGGTTCATTCGGAACGGTGTTGCTAGTACGCCATGTCCTCACAGGCAAATTGTATGCTCAGAAACAGTTCCGAAAGGCATCAATAACCGTCCACAAGAAACTGGTTGAACAGACTAAGACAGAGCGCACGATCCTGGAAAGCGTCAACCGTCACCCCTTCGTCGTCAAGCTCTTCTATGCCTTCCAAGACCACGAAAAGCTCTACCTAATTCTCGAGTACGCTCAAGGCGGCGAATTATTCCACCACCTCGCCATGGAACGCATGTTCCAAGAAGACGCAGCGGCATTCTATATGGCAGAGATGGTTTTAGCCCTCGAACACCTGCACCAAAATGTCGGTGTCCTCTACCGTGACCTCAAGCCCGAAAACTGTCTTTTAGACACCGAAGGCCATCTTCTTCTTACAGATTTTGGCCTCAGCAAGATCGCTCTTGGCGACGATGACCGCTGCAATTCTCTCCTCGGCACAATCGACTACATGGCGCCTGAAGTCATCCAAGGAAAACCGTACGGCAAAGCCTGTGACTGGTGGTCTCTCGGCGCACTAGGTTACGATCTGCTCACTGGTTCGCCACCCTTCCGCGCAAACAATCACGCAAAGCTCCAAGAGAAAATCGTCAAGCAGAAACTCGTGCTCCCCTACTATCTCGGACCGGACGCGAAAGATCTCCTCACCCGGCTTCTCCGCAAGGAGCCCTCCAAGCGCCTCGGCTATCATATGCAGAAGGACTTGCAGACGATCAAGAAACACCGTTTTTTCCGGAAGATCGACTGGGTTGCCCTTGAGCGGCGCGAACTGGACCCGCCCATCCAGCCTATCGTCACCGACCCGGCGCTGGCGGAGAATTTCTCTGTTGATTTCACGCAACTCCCGCTTAGCCCGACGGTTACGGGGACTGGCTTTGATGAATACTATGCCAATGGGAAGGATTTCCCGGAGAAGGGAAGTCATGATGACTTGGACGGGACTGAAGGCGAGAGCAACCCATTTGGTGGATTTAGCTATGTTGCTTCGAGTAGTTTGCTGGATCATGGGTTGGGGGTTATGACTGCTGGCTATTGACTGAGAATGAGCAAAGGAGATACATGTATCTTTGTGGGCGTTTTATTGTTATTGAATCTCGTGCATTACACTGTCCTTTGTTTTTCAGCTTTAACCTGACTGTACTTAGCATATTTACTTGGAGTTCTTCTTCACTGGATCCAGCTTTTAGAGATAGATTTACATGGTCTTAGAAGTCAGGGCATATTAAAATTTTTTGACATTGTATTTCATAAAAATTCGTCTTCGATCCCGAGACACGGGACGAAGTACACGCCTGAAGCGCATACTAAAGCAACAGTCAAGGCAAACTGAGAGCGGCTTTGTATATCGAGATTCTTCCCACACATATCATCAAGCTTGCGAGCTCTTCATATCTCCGGCAGATCAATCGCCCGAGCCAACCACAGCTCAGATCTCGCCTTCCTCACTTCCCGCATCTTCGACCGGTTCGCTACTAACTGGCTTTGGAGTCTCCCTAGCCTTTTCTTTCTCATACTCTGAAACTTCCCCTTCTTCGGCACTTGAGTCCTTGGGGTTTTTGGAATCTGGGTCTGCCAGATCCTTCTTAAAAAGATTGAGTTCGGGTTGAAGCGCAGATTGTTGTGGCTTGAGCGGCAATGCCCCAGCAGGGATGCGGGAACGAGAGGTTGTGAGCTGTGTCTGATGCCCTGTAGGGGGATTTGCGTCTTGAGAGGGAGTTACTGTTCGCTGACGCTTCGGTGATCGTTCAGCGCCATTCCCATTGACTGGTAATTGTTTGTGCGGGGAAAGAGAAGCTTGAGTATTGGGCTCAGGATGTGATTCTGGCTCACGCGAGCGTTTGCGGCCATTTGGAGCCGTTTCATCGCCGGCAACAGAGAGAGAGGGAAGGGTAGGGGCTTGATTGGATGTAGACTTTGTGAGATCTGAGTCAAAGATGCGGGTTGGGTCGTTGGGGATGGGCTCGGAGAGGACAAATTCAGGGTAGTTTTTGCTGCGATTTTGTTGGACGCGCTCATAGATTTTTACGATGGTCGAGCATGCGCGGATAAGGTCGTCGAGGCGAACATCGAACTGCTCCCACCATGAACGACCTTCTGCGTCGTCTGGGAAGGCGATATTGGAATGGCGAGCTGCGGCGTATAAAGCGGCTGCTGCAATGACGCGGGGTGGAAATTGAAGACATAGGATGGTGTATGTGGAGTCATTTAGGAAAGCCCAGGAGGAGTGTTTCAGAGCGCGATTCTCTTGAACACCGAGATAGCAGCTATAATCCCAGAGAATGCGGTAGGGCGACTCAAGTTGTAGATCGAAACAGAGGAATTCCAGCATGACGCTCTCATTTTGCAAAATTAGATCTCGCCATTTCCAGTAGTCCTTAGACTGCTCGTCCACAATCAGGTTCGATTGCTTCATGGCAACGCGACAACATGCAATGACAAAGTCCTTCATCCGGCGCATGGATTCATCCACCTTGAACGCGACAAATAGCGCAACTGCAGCGATCACTTTTGGGTGCATCAGCTCTGATCCCATCTCTGGATATTGGCCCATCAAAGAATAGCGCATAAGGAAGCGGTGCATGTAAACCGTTGCGGTCATAGATGTCTGCGGAGGCATTTTCAGCATCAGGCTAACCTGCCATATGAATTCGACAGCTCGATGTCGAATATAGTCCTCTTTCTCCCGTTCGATGTTATCATGGCGCGAAGGTGTGCGCTCAAATTCTTCTTCTGAAAATAGCCATTTGTGCTGCTCGGCTTCCACAACGGGATTTGGAAGGCCTGGAATACGGCGCTTCGACATTGAGGCCGCGGAGGAGTCCATAGTGGGCGTAGAATGAGGGCGCGGTGAGGATAAAGCGAAAGAGCCTTGGTTCTTGACAGTGTGTTTTTTTCAACAGGTAAGACGATGATGAAAGCGCGCCCGCGCGCTTACCCTCTAAGCAATACTGTTGTGTGTGTCCAGCCGTCGCGCGGTGGTCAGGCCAAAAATAGCATGGCGGATCTTTTTGGGTTCGGAGATGATGTCGTTCGGCAGGTGAGGATCGGTGCAAAGAACCAGTGTAGAACAATGAGAAGTGAAAGCTAGGCAAGACAACACTGACTGAATAGAGGAAAGGATATTCAACAGAAGAATAGAGGAATAGAAGAAAACCTATGCAAGGTCGCAAAAGATCTCCGGGATCCATGGATGCAAGTCCTCAAGGGAAGCTTTCAGTCGGAACAATAGTTGTTCCGACTCAAATTCAAGCTGCTTCGATGCGCATGTTCAATCGTTGTCTAACAACAGAGAGCTTTACACCGTACAATGTGAAGAATAAAATGATTTGGAATGGCTGTAATTTCATGCATGTAGCTATTTAAATGATATATTACTACCTTGAAAAGTTAAACAATTGGTATCTTGTAGTTTGGAATCAAAGTCCACCCTGGCGCCACGCTGATAGATGCAATAGACAAATGTCCAAACGATCAATTACTCCTCTTCACTGACCTCACTCTCATCATCACTGGGAATGTATTGCCTGGCTGCTGTTGGCTGATTATATTGGTGGCGAGCCTCTTCTTCCCGGGCACTTTGTTCAAACGCGGCCTCCATCTCTGCTGCGAGAGCATCATCATCTTCAACCTCATCCTCTTGAGTAGCTGTATTTGTATGAGTTGATGAGGTGGTTGGGCCAGTATTGCCAGCTGGAGAGGGCAGACTGAACTCCCCAATATCTTCATCCCCGTCGCCGTCTGCGGGTGTGTTATTGGACGAGAAGTAGGCAGGGTTGACTACGAACGAGCGCGATGGAGGCGGAGATCCCATGTCAATAATTAGATCCCCGTCAACAATGATGTTGGATCCCGGTGACTGGGCTCCAGTTTGTTGGGATCCCGTGCCTGCATCAGATGGTGATGAACGGGGTTCCTCATGCTCGAGCGGCTCAGGTTGACTGAGAGGCTCAGGCTTCGGTTGAGCTTTGGGTTGTGGTTTTGTCGGCTTCTTTTGTCGCAGCGGGTTTGTTTGTGCTTTGGGTCGAGGCGCTGGGTTAGGAGCGGGCCGAGAAGCAGTCATCAATGATGTGTCGACTCTGCTTGGGGTCGGCTCTGGGGTGGTATGGCTGGAGATAGGCTTGTCGTCTTCCTTGCGATTCTTGGGGAGGAAATGTCGGAAGTCATATGGATTGCTGTCATCGGCCGGTCCTTCATCCTCGCTGGTGCTTCCTATGTGGCGGTCTTCCCCTGAAGTTACAGGTTCATCTCCATCCTTTATCTGGAGTTGTTCGTATTGTTCGCGAACTTGTTTTTCGGTCTTCCCTGGCGCCGACCGTAGATTGAAGTTCAAGGTTGTCGAGACCGGCTCGAGGACAAAGACTTTTCGCTCCGGGTCGAATATCAAAATCAGGCTTTGTTCGCTCGAGGGATCTTCGCTACCTTTGTAGGAGTAGGCCAAGGTGTGATCGGCGTTCGGGGCCTTATCGGTGACGGACAGTTCGTAAAGGTCGGAGATTTGGGAGTGGGTGATGGTCGACCGTTGTTGGGATGTGGCGGACTTGGATTTATAGTTGTAGTTGATATTGACTAGCCGGCTTATGTCTGGGTTCTGAGAAAGCCTCTCACCCAGCACAATTGGATATTCTGCCTGCTTTGTCGGATCTATCATGGCAGATAATGTTGGGGTTGCCATGATTGCGAGACTCAGACAACAAGGAAAACCAGTAGGATACTGCCTCGGGAAATCAAATCGAGGTTATGTTGCACGATGCAAGGGAGGGAACAGAAGATCAGAAACGAAAGTCGGGGAAAGGTTGAGGTGGAGAAGGGCGAATTAAGGAATCGGCCCAGTTCTCCCGCACGCTACCAGAAACCCGTTGGAAGACTATTGGAAGACTATTGGAAACAATAATCCCAACATTCAGGTGATCTGTGTAATGTTTCAGATTCTTGCTCATGCTCTGATTCTATTAATTCTGTTGATTCTGTTGGTAAAATAGGTATATACTCCGATTTCTGTGCTACATTTTACGCAGGCTCTCCGACTTCGGCATCTAGATGCCAACCCGGTCCAAATTTAAATATCAAAGATTCATTGAGTACATAAAGCATCGTAGTTCCATTAGATGATAATTACTAGCCGAGGCATAAACAAAAGCGGCTTGCAGGGATACAATGCAGGAAAACAGGGCAAGAGAGGTATCCAAATCAAAACAAAGAACATGAAGCGTTAAAACAGTCAAAGGCGATTATCCGTAACGTTTACAGCCATCTAAGAACCCGTACCACCAAGAATAAAACCTGGTATCAATGGACAGGTTCCGAGGGTGAAGGTGTCTCAAGTCGTCTACTTGAGCTTCTCCTTCAGCTTGCCAAAGAAACCACTCAGGCGGTGCTTCTTTTTCTTCTCGCTCTTGTCACCATTAGTAGAAGCACCTTCGGTGCTGGGAGATTGCGCGGGCTTTGCGGAGTTGGCATCCGAAGTCGCAGGTGTTTGGGACGAATCAACTCCAGTCGTCACAGTAGGCCCCGCAGGTTTGGCGGTCGTGGTTTCGGCAGTGGAAGTGGTCTCAACGCCAGTGGTTACAGAAGGTCCAGCGTTATCAGTGGATTTTGGCTGGGAGGTTGGAATGGCTGTACCAGCGTTGCGACCTGGTGGAGGAGTCGAAGTTGGCGACACATCTGCAGAGTCCACGCCACCAGCAAGAGTGAGATGGGGCGCAATGGCCTGGGTGGCTGCGGTGACAGTGGGCGCCGGGGCACCTGCTGACTCCTCCACGTCGACCTTCTTCTGTAGTTCCTGCTCCAATTCCTTCTTCTCGTCGACTGCCGTTTGGCTAGCGGCAGCCTCGGGATCCTTATGGGCTTCAGCCAGCGAATCCTTCACCACCTGAGGGACATCGTCAACGGGAACGTTGCCATTAGGTTGCTTGCCCTTGGACTCCAAGGGTACGTTGGCAGCCAGTGCAGCTGTGGTGGAGGTGGGACCGGCGGATTGGATGGTATATCCTGGCTCAGCCGCTGCTGCCTGCTGCGCGGGACCTCCGGAATAGACCGGCTCGGTGTCGCTGGCGGCCGCTCGTTGAGCGGGACCACCAATAGGAAGGCTGGATTCAGGAATCATGTTGTTTGTGACTGGGGGGATAGTGAATGCGAAAGCATCGGTGTTGGGATCAGTGTTCCCTGTGCCAACAGGAAGGGTTTGGCCCTTCTCATATGACTCCTTGTCCAAATTCACTGTGGAGGCAACGGTGTTGTTGTGGAGGTCACTGTGATGAGGGACCTTGTCACCCGGGTTCACAGTGACGGGGTTGCCATAACCCTCCGAGGCTGGAATAGGATTTACGGAAAAGGTCTGTTCGGATTCCTGTCCCGGGGTATCAGGAAAGGTACCAGGCAAATTTCCGTTGGCCTCCTTGGGAATGTTAGCAGCCAGAGCCGCGGTCGTTGAATCAGGGGTTACGCCAGACATGGTGGGGGCAACGTTGGTGGAGTTATCCGCAGAAGTTTCGATCTCTTCGGGTAGAAGTACGTTGTTGATGTTATTATGGCCGTCTTCTTCCTCGCGTACGTTGGTGTCTGTAGTCCAAATTCCGTCGACGACAAACTTTTGTTTTTTTTCGAATTAGCGAAAAAGTAAGGAAAAGGTGCGACTTTAATAAGAATGAGTTGGGGCGGCACAGAAAGTGACGTCAGCGGAAGGATGTCATTTCCCGGTGCCTAGATTAATGCCTGTATGCCTGAGTGCCTGAGGCTGACCGCCAGGTGCCAATAATCTACAGGAAAAATGGGGCAGGCGCAAAGGAAAGGCGCAAAAGAGAAGGCGCGAAGGGGAAATCATACCTTGTAATGAACTTTTTTCACAGGGGAAATGGTCACTTTCTTGACGAAAATGTCACCCACTCGATCTAATTTCACTGTTTTACCCCAATCATCGAAAGTGCCTGTGACGAACACCTCACTCGCAATGTAGGGCCTGCGAGTAACCGTCCAGTCAGCAATGCGGTACCACGGGATTCAAGGTCGTTCTCTCGGCGCAAACTCTAGAAGTTAGAGATCGAAACATACCATTGAAATGTAAAGGTTCCCATATCTGCGTAGATGAGCTCGGGGGGAAGTGAGAAAATTGGAAAGAATTGCAAGTGGTTGGGGAAGGTGATAGGAAAAAGGCGATCTTGGAGAATTGGGACTAAAGCAGTGGGGGGGTGTGACACAGACCGTCAGTACCTGAGCCCAGGTCAAGGAACTTGTTGCAACTTTTTTTTTCTCACTTCGTTTTTTTTCTTCTGGTAGAATGGACTCTTATCGTGACTATACCCGAGAGCAACCCATGGACCTTGGAAAGCTCTAGACCCAATGACGTGAGCCTTGAAATTATTTTGAACTATGTACTCTTGGACTAGCAATTTACTAACTAATTAGTTATAGAGTACCTAACTAGGTGACTAGTAATTGAGTAATGGTTCACTAAAAGGTACTAAATGGTACTATAATATTGATTATTCTCTATAGTCCCCATGATATAAGCCCCTATATATGTCAAAGCCTTACATTCCCCACAGAGACGACATCCAAAAACGGATATCCATGACATATGAGATTACAATATATAAACTTCGCCACTTTACAAGTGGCGAATATGCAATGATCATATACTATTTCAATGGAGGTTTTCTAGAAGGCACTTGGAAAGGGTTTAACGAAGCTTTCTTAATAGGGCTTCCTTGGTCCATTTCTTAAGGTCGTTAGATATCATTGGTCTCTATATAAACTCACAATGATTATATATTGTATGGTTGGCAATTAGTGACGTCGATCACTATTTTGAAGCCTTTGGTTTTTTTTTTCTTCTCTTTCTTCTTGTAGAGCCAATTGTATATGATCGACGAAGCTCAGACTATTAGTGCTTTGCCTCCCGTCTACCCCTCTTCAATAATATCTAATCCCTAATAATCTTCCAATATTATTCCACTTTCCTTCCATCCATTGGCACCGAAAATAGAACATTATTGTACTACGGGGGAAATAAGTCGCTTGACCTTGGGTCCATTCTTCCTTAAGCTTCCGGACTGAGCTTCCTTAATTTTGTGGCAAAAAGAAAGAGAAGTAAGTCTCACTTGTTTCGGTTTCTTCCTTTTCCCTTTTTGTTTTCTGTTTCCTTTCTGTTTCTCTATAATCTACTTCCCGAGACATTGGAAGAAGCAAAGAAAAGAAAAGGAAGACAAAAAATAAGAAAAATAAGAGACAAACGCATGGAAGGTCATGCAAGATCCCACCTCCAATTAGACTCCATCCAATCCCCACTTCGAGAGTCTCTCTGCCCCTCCTGTCTTTATTACCCTACGACATTCCCTTTCTTTTCACCCCCCACCCAATGCTCAGTTTAAATCCTTCACCTATACCGTTACCTGACTTCTCCAGAGATCAACATAGTATCTCTGCTTTACTGCCACACATCCATCTTCTTCGCCGGAGGTACGGCATCTCCGAACACGTCATGGCACAGAACTCTTCCCCGGGTTTAGCCCCAATCATCAGCAAGCCCACTGAGAACCCAGCTGGCACCCCAAAAAATTCCGAAGACGAGGAGTTCGAGGTGACGTCACCCACAGATGTGACCTTTCGACAATCAAACTCAGGTGCGGCACCGTCTGGCACCTCCTTGTTCGGAGGTAGTGCATTCGCCGAAACACAACAAGGAAGATCCCTTTTCAGCCGGAGCCCTTTCCAGGAAAACACCGAGGAGGAAGATCAGGACGAAGGGGAGCTGGCCCCTCTCCCCATGCGATCCGCACAACAAGGATTTCCCAGCAACTACGCGCTGGGCCGACGGACTTCTGTCTCCGCGGAATCACTAAATCCCACCGAAGCTGGCTCGGATAGCTGGACCCCCCGCACCACCCCAAGACCGAAGAGCAGGTTTCTCGACTCAAGAGCGCCGTCAGCAGCAACTTCCTTTTCTCCCATCTCGACGATGATCAATTCACGACCGTTCTCAATGCCTTAGTCGAAAAGCCTATTCCTGCCAAGGATATCAAGGTTATCTCTCAGGGTGATGCCGGCGATTACTTCTACATTGTGGAGAACGGCAACTTCGACATCTATATCCACTCTTCTGGTGCGGTGCAGCCTGGCCCCGATGGATTGGGCAACAAGGTCGCGTCGACTGGACCGGGTGGCTCCTTCGGTGAACTGGCTCTGATGTACAACGCCCCACGTGCCGCGACAGTCATTTCCACCGACTCAAAGAGCACCCTGTGGGCCTTGGATCGCATCACCTTCCGCCGCATCCTCATGGACTCAGCATTCCAGCGCCGCCGCATGTACGAGGCTTTCCTGGAGGAAGTCCCCCTACTGTCTTCTCTAAAGTCGTACGAGCGCTCAAAGATTGCCGATGCCCTGGACACGATTAAGTACCCGGCCAATTCCACCATTATCCATGAAGGCGATCCTGGAGATGCTTTTTATTTGTTGGAGTCCGGTGAGGCCGAGGCTACCAAAAACGGAGTTTCTGGAGCTGTTAAGAACTACCATCGGGGTGATTACTTTGGCGAGCTTGCGCTACTGGATGATAAGCCTCGCCAGGCGAGTATCACTACCAAGACGGATGTCAAGGTAGCGCGGTTGGGTCGGGATGGATTCAAGCGGCTTCTTGGGCCCGTGGAGGAGATGATGAGACGGGCTGAATATGAATTGGATGCGAGCAATTCTCCAGTTTCCAAATGAATGTGATATCAAATGAAATTGAATCCAAGGGGGTTTTGATCATAATCTAGACTCATCATTTGGCGAGCCCTAGCTCCTTTGCCTGACCATTACAGTAACTAGTGGTCTTTTTTTTCTATTCTTGTTTATCTCTTGTCTGACATCCCCTTTCCCGCACTCATACATTCTTTACGGCTCTCGACTCCTTGACTGTATCTACAACTCCTGTTTATCTTATGCGTGCAGTGATAAGGACCTACTATCGTCCTTCTCCCTGTTGTTCTTTGCTGTGTGCCCTCAATTGTACCCTACAATATTTTACAATATTTATCTAAGTAGGATCAAACAGAATGACTAGAACATGTGTTTGTGCTTGATACTCAACTTTTCCTATGCATGCACGTTTGCACAGTACTGGGACGAAGGAGGCCCCTGGCTTCGTCTAATATCAGCTTTTATTACAATGCCAACGTCCTTCGAGGACCAGTGCTTCTAAACCCCAAATATATCACATCAACGCCAACCAATTAATCACTTCTGGACTACTAGATCACTCCTCAAAACCCACTTCTCCCCACCGGTAACCTCCATCCCCTCATGCAGCATGCAATGATCCCCATGGCGATGCAAGAGTGCCATCCCAACCTCCGGCGCAACAGCTATCGGCTCCGGATTGCGGTTCGCACGTGTAGGTTCCGGGTAAAAGACTGTTTCGCCACCTGTGCATGAGGTCAGGTAGACCAGGAGGGTCCATGTCGTGCGGGCAGGTACAGCTTTAGGTGAGGAAGGTGGAGTGAAAGTTAAGTTGTTTGTTTCGTCGTCTAGGACGGTGTTAGTTATCACCTTTTATACCGATGTGCAAATCCATTGTATCTGGGTACTAGAAATCTTACAATGCTGCCCGAAGAACTGCCCCGTTGAGTACCGATAGATACGAATATTAGGATTCAAGCCTAGCGGCTCCCCACCCCAGAGTTGATGCGCTCGCTCTACAAGTTCTGCAGGCAAGCTGGTGCGATCTTCCTCGTCATCTTCTTCCTCTGCAAACCGGGTCGTTACAAGCTCCTTCAAAGCCGTCGTACCCCACAGCATCTCCGCAAATCGACTATCGTCAATCTGGAAGCGGTCATTGACTCGCAATGCTTCATCCTTCTTTGGTTTCCCCGGGGTTGTGGTCAGCGGTAGCGAGGCAAGAAACGAGACGTAGCTCTTGCATAGTGTGCCCGGGAGGAAATTGCGGATTAGGTAGATTTGGTTGGTGAGGAGAGGGGTCAGGGATAGATCGGCGGCGGGGAGGAGGGGTCGAAGGGGAGGCCAATTGGGGGAAGTTTTTGGAGTTTGTTTCTGGGATTTCAGATCTGGTTTTTTTGGTTTCGGAGCCATTATTGTATTTGATGCGCAATAGTTGTAGGAATGTTTGAAGGTTTGGAGTACTTTATCGCGATAAGAAGCATCCTCGGCTCAACAGAGTTGCCGATGTATACAAGCGTAGTCTTTTCTTTTTTCTTTTTTCTATTTACTTCGCTTCCTCCACAGTATTCAAGTATATCTGCATGTATTGGAACTTGGTCTATATATGAATGTATTGTATATATATGGGAAAAATTATATTCAGTTGCTCTAATTATAAGTTGTATATCTCCCCTCACTCTAATACATATCATCCAATCCTCTAAGCACGGTGGAGACAAGCCACCAAATATCAGAGAGGGGTTGGCTCAACTTCCAATGGTGAGATCAAATCAAGTACTCACTTTTTATAGCCAGGGATTTGCAGATTTACCTGTCCAAAAACAAAAAATAGCAACTACAATATGTAGGATAACTTCATAGATCTAGGCCTCTAGACAAAACCGGTGAGGAACCCAACAAGTGGAGATCGGAGAGAATATGGATGGGCGGGGCGGAAAAGAAAATTTGTCCCGAAGAGGATTGTCAATTTTCTTTCAAGGATTTCCCCTGGAACCCATATTGTATCCCGGTTTGAAAAGGTGCGTTACCTGTCAAAAAAGAAGAAGAATAAGAAGAAGGAAAATAAGAAAGAAAGGACCAAACATGGCGAGTCAGCGGTGATTACGGTCATCTGCAGCGACCAACTCGGCCATCGCTCACCGCCCGGCCTAAAGTGAGAACTTCCGTTCTTTTGGAACTTCTTCCCTTTCTCCTCCCCAGCACCAGCCTGTCATGTCGTCGCAGACCATGATTGCGCCAGCCGTGGGCCATCGACCGCCTGATCCAGGCCCCGATAGCCCTTTGTACGACTATGGCTGCTCACCGAATGCCACACCCCCTTCAAACACTCGAAACGACTCCGCAATCCGCGACATGCAGAAGAATTCTGCCCCGTCAACCCCAAACGGCAGATCCGCCCCAGAGGTTGGAATTAAGACAGAATGCTCAGATAGTCAGGACCTTTCTGCAGCGCAACATAAAGATGCGAATACACAAAATGCCGCTAGTGCGCTGCTAGCTCAACTCCTTGGCAATCAGTCGGCGCCAAATTCTGCCCCTACCGCGATAGAACAATCTGGACAACACGGCGAGGACCAAGATCTCAATATGGATATCAAGATGGATGATTCAATTTCTCAGCCCTTCGACATGGCCGCTCACAACGCCCCGCCTATGGACACAACTTTACAACAAGACTCCGCGATATCTCGTGAGATTCAAGATTTGCTGAACGGGAAGGCTATGGGCGATGAGCTTATGGTTGCAAATTCTGCCCAGGACATAAGCCACGCTGGTTTCAATACATCTGATGCGATGGATACACTCACAGATCCCCTTAACCTCAAGGACGGTGTGGAGCAACCATCTCTCCTGCCGCCTTTGGACTTCACCGCCGACCCGAAAAATGCCTTCGAAGCCCTCCATCAAAACGAAATGCTCACAGCCGATTTTTTTTCGCAAAACACCGATCTATCGGCCTTCGGATATCCGGACGGAACGGCTTCAATCGCTGGGTCGGAGCCTAAGATCCAAGCATTCGCCAAATTGGAGTTTGACGACGGTCATTTCTACGTCAATACCTACTCTTTCATTCTAGGGCGAGACGTGCGCGCCGCTCGCGCGGCCCATCACCGAGAGTTCCAGTACCGGCAGGCCGTGCGAAGCTCTCGAGCAAAGAGCTCGAGTGGAGGAAACACAGCACATACTCCAAACCGTATGAAACGGGAAGAAAGCGCTGCGATGATGGGCAGTGTTGTCAGCGATCGTGGAGGTATTATGGGCTTTGATCCCGATGTTCCTTCGCATCTTCCGGGCAACATGGCCCCAAGCCGACGCTCATCAAAATCCTCGTTTGATGATACTGTGATACCCCTACATGCAAACCCAGCTCAATTGCAGTCAACGACTGATTACAATGCGCTGGCAATGCAATCATTACAAGATGGCAACGGGGAGGCCAAGCCTGTTGACGCATTGGCTCTTCTCCCGTCTCCTGATTCTTGTCCAACTATCCCAATTCATCCTCCGACGACTGTTGACGGCAGTGCTGCAGGTCATCGAGGAATCTCCCGCAGACATGTCCGCATCTCCTACAATTTCGATCGCAATTTGTTTGAGATGGAAGTCATGGGACGCAACGGAGCTTTCATTGGGGCTGATTGGCTCTCGCCGGGGCAGGTTCGCCCTTTACACAGCGGCGACTACATTCAAATTGGAGGCGTACGCATTCGCTTTTTGCTGCCAGACGTTCCCATTGGCGAAACAGGAGCCGATCGGATGGAAGAGAAGGTGGCAGAGGAGGCCGAACAGGAAGAAGACAAAGATGCTCGCGCTTCAGTCGAAGTCGACGACGACATGGATGAATCTGAGAGGCTTGGAAGCGACAGTGGCGAAAGTCGGGAACCTTCTAGCAAAGCGTCTAAGCTCATACTCAAGACCAAGGACTCCAAGTCTTCCCAGACAATGGATTCGATCGAGGATAATGACTCGCAGCCCGCTCGCCGCCGTGGACCTGGACGCCCGCCCAAGGATGGGATCATGTCTAAACGCGAGCGAGCAGAGCTTGCCCGTGAACAAAAGCTTGCGGCTAAGCGCGAGGCCAACGGAGGCGTTACGCCGCCTCCGCTCAAGATGCCTCCTAAGGCCGGGAAGACAGTCGCCAAAGAATCTGTCGTTCCCGAGTCTCCTACAAATAAGCCATCAGAGAAGCGGAAATACACCAAGCGAAAGAAGACCGACGGAACACCAATGGATTCTCCTCTTCCCTCGACAGAAGGTGGCCAGATGTCCGCAGAGCCGCGGCAAGAAGAATATGTCAAACCACCACCAGTCAAGAAACGCAAGCCATCACGGTCACCGTCTCCCAACTATCCTCCGGAATCTGCTTACACGCCTGAGGATCTGGCGAAGCCTCCATACAACTATGCCGTTCTCATCTTCGATGCGTTGACAGAAGCCGGCACGCCAATGACATTGAAGCAGATCTACCGTGCATTGAAACTGAAGTATCCCTACTTCCGCTTCAAGTGTGAGACCGAGGGTTGGACGTCTAGTGTGCGGCACAATCTCAACGGCAATGGCCACTTGTTCATGCACGCAGAACGAGATGGCAAGGGATGGTCATGGCAACTCATTCCAGGCGCGTCGGTTGAGAAGGAAAAGAAGCGACGTCCCTCGCCGCCTCCACAGGTTTCTCATCCTCCTACGCCTGCTCCCCAGCAATACATGCCACAGCTGTCACACTCGTATGCGCCTCCCCAAGTCCCACCATCAGTGCCGAATCCTTCACAGCATTTCCAATTCCCATCCATCCCGCCAGCTCCTTTCCCAGCATCTGTATCTGTGGGAGGGCCCCAATCTCACTCTAGTCCTTATGCACCTCCATCGAAGGCACCTGCTCCTGCTCCCGCTCCTCCCCCTGTGCCTCGGGCTGCACCGGTTCAAGCTCCAACGCCGGCGCCGGCGCCAGTCCCTGCTCCTGCTGCTCCTCCTCCTCCCCCTCCCGCTGCTGCTGCTGCTGCTGCTGTTACTGCTCCACCCCCAGCCTCAACGCCTGTACAGGCACCGGCCCCTGCTCCCGCCCCTGTTCCCACCCCTGTCTCTGCTCCTATTCCGTCACCTGCACCGACGCCTGCTCCGGCTCATGTTTCTACGCCTGCGCCTACTCCGGCGCCAGCAACAGTTCCGGCTCAGGCGCCAATCAATCCTGCAGCATCTTTCCCAATTCCCAGTACCATCCGCAGCAATCTTCCAGCTGCCTTCGCAGCAACCATTCCATCAACGTACACTTCACCTTACGCATCCGCTCCTACCCCGCAGGGTGGCCAACAGCAGTCACAACCCCAACGGCCTCCCCAGGGACCACCTCAACACCATTCTCCTTATATGCAACAAAAGCCGCAACCTCCTCAACCACCTCACACCAACCCGCCACCTCGAGCCTTCCCTCCATCCGGTGGGCCTCAATTCCAACAACACCAGCCACCGGTGCCGCCGCAGCCACAGCCACTGCCGCATCCTCAGCAGCATCATCCCCCACCGCAGCATCAGCAGCACCAGCATCAGCACCAGTCTCAGCATCAGCCCCAGCACCAGTCTCAGCATCAGTCTCAGCATCAGCATCAGCCACAGCACCAGCCCCAGCACCAGCACCAGCATCACGTCCCTTCTGGACTCCCGCCTCACCCTCACCATCAACAACAACATCCCCCGCAGCCAAATCCCCCACCGGGGCCACCGGAGTCATCTTCATTCATTGACCGAGCTAACAAGGCCATTGATGACTTCGAGGCTGTGTTGATGGAAGACTACGAGGATAAGAACTACATCCGCGAAGTCCTACGCAGTGCGCGTGCCCGCGTGTTGGGCGATGCGCCAGAGAGCTCATTCCCAGGTGGCGAGCCAAAGGACGAAGCCGTCATTATGGATGTGCTTCGCAATTTGGTTGGAAGCTTGAAAGACGAATGAACGGTTTCCAAGTTAAATATAAAACTGGCCCAGATGCCCAGTCCCACCGCGACACTAGCTTGGGCCTAAGGTTTTTGGTGCAACCCGACCTATTCTGGCCAATGGATGTCGGTCAAGTTGCCTCTGGATCTTCTGGCGATGAAACGGAGGGAACGGTTTCCCCCTGACGACTTATCGAGTATACGAGTCTTATGGTTTTGCGTTTTTGTCTATTTTCTCTCTTTGTTTTTTTGTGTGCAACATGTCTAGATTCTTTGAATCTTAATGATATCCCTCTGTTCTGTCAGGCCTTTGCGCCTATCTATTTCGTCCAGACTTCGTTTTCTTGGCGGGCTCATCACCCACTGTTTGACAATAGGGCATGATATTCCAGTGGAATCATCCCTATTCTTTTCGTTCGATTTTCTTTTACTTTCAAGCGTGACCTGGGCGCCTGACATAAAAGCGCAAAAGCTCAGCACGATAGAAATACCAATCACATTGACCGGACTGAGCAGCTTGTAGGCAACGTAAATCAATGTAGCTCTATGGAAGAGGGAATAACACCCCGAAAAGGGAAAGAAAAAAAGACATGAGAAACGTGTCCGGCCCTCTCCGTGCCTGTTATAGACATTAAGATCGAGATACTAATGTACGGAATGCTTCGAATGGAATTCGCCTCCCCCGCCCCGTGCTTTTCAAAGAAGAGGGGTGTCCATTAAATCCCGAATTTTCCCTTCAAGTTACGCAGCAGAAATTACGGTTTAGAATTTCCTCCCCCGATTAGGGAATGGGTGTAAGTGCATCATTGGTACTTTCAGGGAAAGCTGCCGAATGTAGCCGGTTGGGCACTAATCCTTTGATCCGATTATCTATTCTTTACATGCCCGGGTTATGTGTTGTCTTGATTATCGAGGTATGTCTATCTAGTTGAAATACTGAGATAGCTCAGTGAAAGCATCTACAGTGCTTGATAGGTAAATGCTGGGTGAGGCATCATAACTAACTAGAATGCCAAAGCAAAGAAGCAGGGGAACTGCAGTGACGAAATCCAATAATAAACCTCGTCGAGGCACGAGGCACGAGGTCCGAGTAATTTTCTAGAATAATTGGATACATTTGACTATTGTATCAAGTATCTATAGTGTTTGAAACAAGATTAATAATTAATAATGTGATACTCCGTACGGAGTACAATTAATATATTTTTCCCACACGACATAAAACGTAGAACTAAGAAGAAGTAAGAAGCAATATGCGGGACTTTTCCGGTAAGGCGGTTACGGTGTATGCGCCTTTTAAGCAGATAGGCACACACATACAGAGGGGCTGTCAGCGCAAGTCGGCTGTCAACTGGATGGGCATCCTGCGACTATTTTCCAAGCTGCAGGGATCGGCATCCGCGTCGTTGAGTCAGAGAACTCAACCAGTGAGGCTGTGTCTGACATGTCAGAGGGAGAGACATTGTGTTTGTTGTCAGATGGTCTTAGATGCCCTTGCTTGGTTGTACGGGGTAATAATGGGCGTGTGATCGTAGCCTTGGTGAAGCGAAAGTGATGCAAGTAAGGACAAATTGGTTCTTGTTAATGCTATAATGTGTAGCTCTCTAAGTATGTACCTACATACGTTTGTTACCTACGACGTAGTCTCTACATAGTTATGTACTATACCAACATACAAGATTGTAGGGGTAGACCGGAGCAACGGATGGAATGCGACAGTGTTTGATAATAGATTGTATAGCTGTCATTTGATATTTTAAGAACTAAAACAATATTATATTAATGTTAATAACCAACATCCAACATTATGTTTATGTCTTTATATACTCCTGATTTTTAGTCAAGCATATTAGAACTTGGAATACATCAAAAGTACAGAGAACCAGTGACACGGGGGTTGCATCACCGGATTTGCCTTAAGGGTCTAGGGCCTTTCTTTGATACAATACGCTTCAATACACTCTAATTACACAGTATCCACTTCAATGACCCGTGCTGAGAACAACTTTTTATTTCCCACAGAGTTTTAGTGAACTAGTCGAGACTTAGTTGATTTAGAAGGACAGTTAACTACTCAATTTTTGATGGTCACAATTAAGTATCAATTTAATATGTCTATCCTAAAAGTACTGGTTATCATAGATGTTATATAAAATTATCAATATAGCTTATTTACTTATAATATATACCCATATCTATAAAGTTTAGTATTGTAGTCTAAAAAATACCTAGACGAACTAGAAAAAAAAAAATTAGATCCCTTTTTTAAATTTAGAATTTCCTCACAATACAACACATGGTGTATTGAAATACATGTAAAATTACCGGGGCAGCCAACGGTCTTTTCCCACAACGCCCCTGTTCAACTTTTCCTTCTTCATCCTTCTTCCCAACCTCTTTTCTGTATCTCATCCTCTCCCGTGTCAACGAGCTTTTCACTAAGTGTCGTTGCTCACCTCATTCTTGTGAGATTTGCGCGTGGAGAAAAAATTTCCTTTCAGTGTTCCCACGCTGAGCGCGTTCCCGTTCACCCATTTACGTGGGCTCTTTCAATTTTGCTTCGACCTGGTTATTCGCCGCTCAAGCACTTTGAATTGACTGGATTGTGATCACTTCACTGTTCCTCACAGGCTGCGTCATTCCGACAACAGCGAGAACCTTGTCTCACCGTCCACCACGCTCCTTGAACTCTCATTTACTCATCTGCCCGTTGGATCATTGAATACACCCCATGTCATTCAACTAGAGATTGCCACCTAGGATTATCACAGAGCAACTCGCTCGCTGAGCAACGCTCTTCTCCCAGGATCAGGCTCTGGTGGAGTAGACGGTTCGTCCCCCGTTTTCTTGAACTATTGTCTCTCAGTTCAACTGGCCTTTTCTCTCTTGCCTTGGAATCTATCTGGAGGCCTAGTGTGCTGATACTCTTGTCTCTGGCAACAGAACACGTCTAGCTCCCCGTCCTGAACTGGCACCTCGCCCCCTCTCCTTCTCCCAAGATGCCGTCCTTCTTCGCCCCAGGCCACCATGGCCTGCCTACACCTCCCCATGTCAACGGTGGTCGTATGGAAGACCCATCTTTCTACCCGGTTGGTCACGCAGGATTCCCTCCACGTTACCACCAAAGTGGCAATGAGTTCATCGAACAATACTCGCAGTCTCTTTGCTACGCCAAGCCGACTTCGATGAATCTCCACCCCCAGGCCGTCCACCCGATGAGCTCTGGTCGCGACATACATGCGATGAACCAGCATATGTTTAACCCCATGGCCGCCACTGCGTTGCCTTCGATGCGCAGCAACGTTCAACTTCCACCCATGGATACAACGATCCCACACCAGTACCGCCGCCAGGACCCTGCTCCGATACAGCAGCCCGAACAACCCCGCAAGGAGGAAAAAGCTACTGGAGGTGTCGCAGCTCACCTGGATTACGAGATGGATCGCATGTCCGACTTTGTTGCTGAGATGGCTCAGGGAATGTATGATTTGTTCGAGACCAACATCACCCTTGCAGATATTGACCTCGCGCGAAGCATTCACCCAGGATCTCCGGTTCCCCCACAGTTTCGGAAATACGTCTTCCAGATTTTGTCCTCGACTCGCCTTCCAAGTTCCACCATTCTGCTCGGTCTCTTCTACCTGGCCAGTCGCATGCGCGTGCTGTCGGCCCAACGGTCTGCCAAGGCAAGTGGTGGCCAGGTCCACCGCATGTTGACTGTTTCTCTACTGTTAGGCAGCAAGTTCCTTGATGACAACACCTTCCAGAACAAATCCTGGGCTGAGGTTAGCAGTATCCCCGTCGCTGAGTTGAACCACATGGAACTGGAATGGCTGTTCGCGTTCGACTGGAAGATCCACGACCGTATCTATGACAAGCAGGATGGTTTCGCTTCATGGCGTGCGCACTGGGACACTTGGCGTGCCAAGGCTACTGTCAAGGCTCAGGAGTCTCGCCAGACTCTGGCGCCTCTTGAAACCAACGTGGTCCGCAGCCAGGCCGTTTCCAAGCCCCTGATGTCCCCCGAAGATGGCCCCATCCCGCCGCAGTACCAGCGCAACTCACAAATCGAGAACTCCTGGCTCAACCCGACCGCTTCCGAATACTCGCCTCCATCTACCCTCTCCAGCAGCCCCAACACCCCCGGCTACTATTCAGTTGGTCCTTGGGGCTACGCCAACCAGCTTCCTCCCCCACCGTACTCGCGGGGTTGGAATGCACCACCACAGTACATGGCTCACCCAGCACCCCGATCCCAACCTCCATCCTACCACCACACCCCGGCGTACGGTCTGCCCTTCGCACAGAGTCTCTGGACCGGTCATGGTTCGTCGTGTAGCTGCAACTACTGTGCAAAGCATCTTGAGCACTACATGTGCAACAATGCATTCCCCTCCATGCATCAGCCGATGATCGCAACCTAGTTGACGGGACTTGGTGATGCCCTCGACTCCGTTCGCATCGGACGGTGTCAACGGCTAAAGACCCCAGTCTTGCCGTGTTTATTCCATTTTTTTTCTTACTGCAACTTTAGACTTCTTTCGACGTTTGTTTGGGCAACTCGCATGGGATTTACTTCGACTATGTTTCTTCTGCTTGACTTGTTTCAACGCTTGCGCCTTTTGACCTTTTGTCTCGCTAGCTTACTTGAGCTTGGGCTTGGAATTTCTTTCGCTTCAAATTCGACCTCACTCCAATCTTTCTTTGGCACAATTTGAGCTTCAGTCTGGCCTCGCTCTCGCTTTGCAGTTGGCATCACCCGCTTCCGAGCAATCGGCCTGCCGCGTCACCCGAAAAGTACTTTTGTTCTGCGTCTGCTGGTTCTCGTTTGACAAAGCGAAAAAAAACTCAAAAACACGCAAAAAAAAAAGAGGAAAAAAAAAACGCTCCCACGGCGGACATTGATGTGCTCTGGCGAATCAACGGTGCAAAACTCTGATAATGTTTCGACATACATTAAAATTAATGGAGTCTCGGCTTTCCATTGCACCGTTGGATCATTTTTTAACCTTCTCCAAGGTTGCCGGAGCCGCAGTCACGACGATAACGAATCCCCAAAATCTGACCTCTTGTTTATTACCCACGACTTCCGTTCATATTCTCAGCCTTTTCTGTTTTATGCTTGGCATTTGTGTCTCGCGGTGATTACTTATAGAGTGCTTTTTCCTCTTCATGTTGGTACATTATTATTCCCATTCGTCACGCTACACGCAGTGCCCGGCGTTAATCATTTTTCACTTCTTCAACTTCGAATTTTGTCCATTCACTGTTTTTTTTTCGGTTCCGATTTGTCTACCTTTCTCTTATGCCCTTTTGTTCTCTGATCAACACGATCACCAAATCGAAACTTTCCAAACCCTTCTAGCATGATGGAATTTCTTCACTCCCTCTCCCTTCGGCTCCCAATTCGACATTCTCGACGGCTGGTCTTGGTTTCCCTTCTACCTGTGATATCTTCTCATTATCGGAGGCTGGCACCCCTTGATCCATCCATGTCCGACATTTCGGGAGCCCAGTCTGTTCCTGTCCACTGAGGCCGACTGATATGTAGTCTACTTGACTTTGTCTTCTTTTCTTTTGCCTTGTCCAATGTCCCCGGCGAGCAGAGTCTTTGCCTTTCCATGCATTGATTTGGCTCCTGGCGTCTTTGGTAGTGGGCGTTAGTTCATATCTGAAGATCATTTCCAATAAATTTGCGGCAAACTATTGTCTTTGTCCGACTGCAATGATTTTTTGGTCTTGAAGATTTAAACCTTATAACTCGTAGAATTGGCCTTTCTACATAGGGTGTGGAGAGCAAGCTCGTACTTTGACCTTATGGGTCGATATCAAGAATGCTCAATACCAGGCAGAATTAGTTGAATCTTTGAAAAGCTTTGAATTTAGGAATGTCGTTAAAGGTCACTTGAATAGAAACACCGCACAATGGGATGATAATTGATTTCAACCTAACACTGAAGAGGGCAACGGGCCCCGACAATTAGAACTGAACATGAAAGCAATATGCAGATGGGAAAATGGGTAATTGAGATTCATTTAGGCAGTCGTTGCGGGTCATGATATGTCGAAAGAATTGATGGCAAGAAGAGTATGCAGCAACGCAGGCATCAAGAACAACCGAGATATTAATAGACGCTCCCTCGGATACTCTGGTCTTGCTGCTGTTGTTCTTCCAGGGATAATAAGTCTTCATGGCTGGAGTCTTCCGGTCTTTGTGTGTCTGAGGGATTTGAGGACTCATCGCCATCACCAAGGATATTGGCCATGCGGTGTTCAGGTTGGCTTGCGGAAGAAGAATGGTGATAGTGGTGGTGATGGTGGTGGTGGTGCGGGCGAGATTTAGTACACTTTTTACTGATGTTGCCGCTCATCTCATCGTCACCGTCGTCTTCGACTTCCTGTGATGGAGTGGGGCCTTGGGTTTCGTGAGGCGGGAATTTGAAATGCTGCTGGTTCGCGTGGGATAAGCTGCCGTTCTTAAGGCTGGAAACTGTTGGTATAGAGTGTCGATGGGGGTCGTGTTCGTCTCCCTCGTCGTCAGATGGGGCAAGACTGTTTGCTCCGCTCATTGAACCACCACCATCACGACCTCCGAGGTGCAGGAGGGCATATTTGAGATGGGCCGAGGACGAAGAAGAGGCTGTTGGAGGGTGGATAAACTGGTCTTCACTCTTGCGGTTGATTCCATGGAGAGTGGGTCTTTTATTCGATTGTAGTGGATTGATTTTTGGTCGGGTCTCTGGACTGGAATCGTCGTCCACTGTGAGCTGCGAATAGGAGACCTGCCGAGAGTTGGGTGTACGACTGGGATCGTTCTGGCTTGCACTATCTTCTGAAGACGATGCTACCTCATCGATAGAAACGGATTTATGCAGCTTGGAGCCAAAGTGAGTATGTTCATCAGGGTGCTTGGGTTGAGAATGGCCATGCGCGTGGTGCATGGAATTTAGCAGGCCTGGTCGCAATGCTTGTTTCCCATTTGAAGTCATGCCATGAGTACAGCCATCGGGACAACCACCCCACTTTCGCCGAATTGGGACATGGTCAGTCTGACCAGGAGATGCTGTAGATAGAGATATCTGCTCCTTGGATGCATTTTCACGCTCCCTGTCTTTTCGAAGATCTGACCAGGTACGTAACTTATTCTGCAATGTATATTTCCCGTTGTCTGGGTTATGCGTCAAGACCACGAATTCGCAATGATTTATGTTGCGAAGGTCCTCGAAGTACTCCACGCTCCAGTGATACCATTTCATAAGAAAGACTCGTGCCATCAGACCGTGCGTGACAAGAACACAGACATTTGCAAAGTCATCTTCACCAAATAGGCGCCAAAGTGATTCGTTGAACCCACTCACTCGGTCATATGCATCTGCCGCAGACTCGCCGTTGGGAATTCGGTAGAAGAAATGTCCATAGTCTGCCCGTTCCATCCACATGCGTTCCATTTCTGTTGAGCAGGGCTGAAAATTTCCAAAATCTTGTTCTCGTAGCCTAGGTTCTTCATAGACCTTGATGGTGTGTCTTGGGAAAGGCGAAGGAGACGGAGTGTCGGAGGTCAAGGATTCAAGGATCCCCTCAGTAGTCTCTCTTGTTCGTCGATATGGGGATGTGAAGAAATGAAGTTTGTCATCCGGATGAAGTAGGTCTCGGAGACGACGACCTGCATCTTGTGCTTGTCCACGGCCTTCCTGAGTGAGTTTCACGCGGTGGTCAGGAATGGTTTGGTGGATATCACGGTTTTTATTGCCTTCTGATTGTGCATGGCGCACCAAAATAATCATCTATAGATAAATGCAGGTTAGTTCAACGTAGTGCCTTCAATGACAATCCAAAATAGAGACTTACTCGTGGCTTCCCCATGATGGAAAGATCATGGGGATGTAATGAACTGGGGATGCGGGGGAGGCGGCTATCGGTTGTATTCAACTGCAACGAGAGAGACAGCGAACAAAAAGGTCAGATACGAAGGAAATATCTGTCTATCTAACAAAGAAAAAAGTTATTGAAGTCAGAGGGTTTGTCAATCGAAAAAAAGAGAGAAAAAAGTTGATTCCAGTCGATACAACTCAGCGCACGGGCCACCCGGAGGCGCTCCATTCAGCGCGCTTCTTTTACACAACTTCCGAATAGCATCAATCCGCCATGGCCGACTTGCTGGAACTATTAGCTCCATATCTACATCCAAACATATCCAACGACCCAACTGTTGACAAATATCTTGACCGCTTGTCAACCTTGTCCCTCGACGCTCTTCAGAATACAGAACCTCCGTCTCTTGCCCAATCCTCACACTCGACCCTCCTTTCCCTTCAGGCTTTATCGAACCGTTCACACCGCGCATTTGTCACGTCGTCTGACAACCTTTCCATACTATGCACGTCTGCCCCTCAGCTGACCCGGGAGGCACACCAATTGCGCGAGGCCATCCCTAAACTTGACGAGGAAGCAGTCAGCTTCTCCACCAAATATAGTAAGATCACCGACAATGCTGCACTGGAACGACGGAAAAAGGCAATGCAACTGTCCCGCAATGTTGACCGACTGTCTGATATCCTGGAACTACCAACCTTGCTGTCTACGGCCGTATCTGCCGCATCTGTGAACTCCGGCACCGGAGCTTCCTCTACTACCTACTCCTCCGCCCTCGATCTGCATGCACATATCAAGCGACTACAAACACTATACCCCGAGTCGCCACTGATTCACGATGTGGCTTCCCAGGCAGAAAATGCCATGAAGGACATGACAAGTAACTTGATCACGGGGCTTCGCGCACAGAACCTTCGACTAGCAGCTGGCATGCGAACTGTGGGTTGGCTGCGACGAGTAGCCCCGGACCTTGAAGCATCTGCTGGGTCAAATGAGGGCATCCTTGGGGCTATTTTCTTAGTCTGCAGACTTGCGCATCTAGTATCGACGCTGGAAGCCCTGGATCCCCTCCGCGAGCTCGCAGACCAAGAAACCCAACGAAGACTCGAAAGGGACAAATCAGACACGAACACGTGGTCAGGTGGTCAGCAGACCGACCGCTACTTGAAAAGATACATTGAAATTTTCCGCGAGCAGAGCTTTGCGATTGTCTCTCTATATAAGAACATCTTCGGTTCCGAACAGACCGAATCCGAACTTGCCATATCAGGATTACGAGGCCCAGATTCCAAGGCCAAGCCAAAGATAACCCCGTCAGATGATCCTCTGCAACGCGTTCCCCCGGCTTTGGCGACCTTCCCAATGTACCTCGTGCAATTGCTCACAGATACAATGCGTGCCTATCTGCCCAACGTCCGAGATCGGAGCTCGAAGGAAAGTCTTCTCACTCAGCTTTTGTACTGTGCCGCAAGTCTAGGCCGACTTGGTGGTGATTTCGGCATGATTTTGACCGAACTGAGCGAAGAAGACGACGAGGATATGGCCCAGGAATGGGAAGAGGTTATGCGCAAACATCGCGCCTTGGCAGGTCGTCTAGAGCAATTGACCAGCCGTGTACCCGTACATTAACATACATACATATACCCAAGTGAAATCAAGCCATTCCCGAGATGATAATAGTACCAGGCATTTGTGTACAATAAACCTAAGCGTTTTTCAATCTCTTTATCAGCAAACTCAACCCATCAAGCTGGCAGGTACAATCGCAGCTCCCTGCATCATTACATCGATCTAAAACTTACATTTGGATATTCGTCACTCAGTTATGAATAGCAGAAGGTGACAAAAGCAAGGGGATCACTTATAACAGAGTACTTCAGTAGCCCTTTTCAATTCATCGCAATAATGTTCTAGGTTGGGTTCCGAATGATGATTATGATACTATCAAAGAAGTGACCCATAATATGAAGACCAAAGGGCTTGAAGTTGTCAGTGTCCGAGATCATTCCCCTTTGATGATCTCGATGAAAGCGTCTGAGGCATTGTTCAAGTCGGTTTACCCAGGTAGTTATTTTTGCCTATGTAATAGCCAACGTGCTCAACATGTCATTATATTATAAATTGGGGCCGGTTGTGCCATCAGAAAGGTCTTCTAAGGCTTTGTCACTTTCTCCGTCTACATCTTACCCCTCCTGCAATAAGTTTTCAATTTACATATGGCGAAATAAAAGCAAGCACAAATCGATATTACCAAAAATTCTCAGGAGTACAAGGCACAGCAAGCCCCGGTCCAAGGCTGATTTGTTTGCTTACTGAGCTCTGCTAAAAGAATGGGGTCTTTTAGAGATCTTAAGGTTTTCTTATTCATCCCTTGATTACTCCGTACAAGAACTTCATTATACAATAAATCAGGTTAGTAGTGTATCCACTGTAAACTGTTAGCTATGAGATCTGTCTCCGCATCAGACGTGTAAAGACTTTCAATGCTTTGAAGACAGATTTGGTATGGGGGCTTTCCACTGAGCGCATTGTTCAAGCTATAGCACGTCCGGAGGCTCAACGAGAGGAGAAAATTGCAAACAACCCTCCATTTGCATAATGTTTCTACCGTATGTTGTTTTGAAGACAGCGAGATTTCGGATCCACTCTACAGCTATTGGTTATGTTCCATTCTTCAGCTCCAATCTAAATCCACAGTGGGGTAGAAAGGAAAGAAAAGGAGCGGCCCGTAATCCCAAATCGCGTGCACATGAATTTTTTGACTCTCTCTCTCTTTACAGATTCTAACAATGTTGAGAAGACACAGGTCTTGCATTGTGGTTAGGTTAGTCTCAATTTCAAAGAGATAATACAATTAGCCTAATGAATATACACAAAGTGCTCAATTTGCAACGCTGGGGAACATGTTTGTAAGCCAGGGCAAGGTAACCGACTAAATGTTAGTGTTGATTCGCATGGCTGAACTATTTCGTGCTTATGCACCTTCACCTGCATGTACAGTATAGCAACCCAGCCCGTATGCAGATCGGGTTAATTTGCAGAGTCACATTGAATTTTCCTTAAAAATGGGACCACCTATGGCATGCGAGTTTGTGGGCTAATAGGGGTCCGTGTTTCTGTATAACAGCTTACTTACGGAGGTCCATTAAAAAAGATTTTTGATGTTTGCTTATTCTTGTAACACTCAAGTTTATGTTTTAGGGGAGTTTTTCGTACGACAAAAAAGGCCCTTATCACTGCTAGCTTCCCGAAACTGCCGCTAAACGTCGTGCTTTAGAGGCATTAATTAAGTCCTAAGAAATCTGAGTTAGAACCTTAGCTTCGTAAAGCTTAGGAGTTAGAGAATAGTCTTTAAAGACTAAATCTTCGGTAAATACCTAGTCGAAAGCCTTAACAGCGCTTTAATCTAAAGACTAGTAAGCTTAGAAAGACGAAGTCTGAAGGTGGAATTGTCTAGTATCGCTATAATACCATAATTCTTATCCCTAAGCTTCTTCTATTCGCGTAAGAAAATATGCTTAATCGACCTGATACACTCGTCTAGGAGGATAAAGCACCTTCCCACGCTCATCAATTCTAGTAATATATGTTTGATATTTCAGGGGTTCAGCGACTCTTATGGCTAGGTAATTCACCTGATCTGAATGCTATTGAACCTGCCTAGCTATGGTTGAAACGATATACCACTACAAAGGGGGCACTGAAATCGCGAGCAGAGGCAATTCGTGTGTGGGGTTAAGCATGGAAAGCGCTGCCATAGGAGCGAATTTAACATTGGATTAAGCGTTTACCTAGGCATATAAAAGAAATCATAGCGCTGGAGGGGGGTAACGAGTATCGAGAGGGTAAAATCATGTAAGGGGTGTATAGTGCGTAGTGTGAATGTGAATGTGAATGTAAATGGGAATGTGAATGGGAATGTGAATGTGAATGTGAATTTGAATGCATAACAGTGTGAATACAATGAAAAAGACAGCTAGTTCGAATTAGGCATTTAATAAAAGAGCAAACATCAAAAGACTTTCTTAATGGACCTCCGTACCTCGAAAGACTACCTAGGTACGTTGTATATTGCGCAGAGGTGATTTGGAAGCAATTTCAGTGTTGTTTAAAGAGTTTGCCTTGACACCAATGTAGATCTCTCGTAATGAGTAACAATGGCTATAGTTTTTTTGGGTCTTCTGGTCTCAACTTGGTCCATAAAGATAGTTACAGACCAGAGCTCCATCTACCTGTATTGCCAAGATGTGTTAATATTCAATAGCGTCGTGTATCGCGAGATGGGTAAATACAACGTACAGCAAGCCTCCTTCGAGCTGAAGATCGCCGAAGATCCTATGCCTATAAAAGAACTCTGTCGCCCGTGTTCATCGAATATCTCCTAGAAAATATCTAGCTTCATTCACCTTTCGCTATGCATCTTTCAACTTTCAGTCTGCTGCTTTCCGTCGCTCTGGCGGATGCCGCATCTATCATCACACCCAATAGGCACCAAAAGAACGAGGTTAGTTTAAGCACAATTCTTTAATCCCACTGGCTACGATATTCTTAATACTAATTTTTTTATAGGAACCCGATTACCCCTCAAGATGTTATCCTGACCCCTGCAAGGGTGTAACCTACCAAAACTCAACCGCTGTCTGCGGTGACCCACGACTGGGTCCCAAAAAGCTCCCCGGCTTCTTCCCACTGTCCAACGAGCTTGAAACATACTCCCGCTTCGGCGAGCTCTGTCCATTTGAATTCCTGGATAAATGGACCGTCAATGCCTCCAATCCGAGCGCGTACTGGATTTATCCAGATAGCGATGGATTTGTCACCAGCAACGAGAAGATTTCTATTCTTGGAAACGTCACACTCCGTGTCGGTCAAAAGGTGGATAGATTCGGGCCTGAAACTGGCAAATTTCTGGCACCGCTCGGGGCGCCGTATATCGAGCGATCCCTGCCACCATCAAATCTTTTTGCCCCGGAAAACAGCAGCTTCCCATACAACTATCATGTGTACGAGGTGACCAAGGAGTTTGACGTTTTGCTAGGACCCATTGCCTCGTGGTTTGAGCAGCCTGGCTTTGGATCGCAGATCTTGGCCCTGTCGAGCGTGGCATCTCTTTTGGATGGTGGATTCTTGAAACAGTTGGAGCTGCAGGATTATGATGAAGCAGATGAGTACTCAGCCGGTTATCTGCCTGATCCCAAAGATCCTAAAAAGTCTTCTACCTAAGCATGCCCTTGGGTAGCATATAGACCGCAATTAAATCCGCAGGGCAAGATCAATAGACTTTCCCGGAGATCGCGCTATAATTTATATGCTAGCTTTAATGTCAATTACCATACAAATCTTCGAATCTCTAATCTGCTTGAAAGCTCTGTTGTAGCTCTGCGAAAAAGAAAACGTGGACAGCGTTCATTTTGTGTGGTAGGGGCAGATTGGTGACAGTGATATTGTCCTTAGTCGGACCAAAGATCCACGAAGCAATATTACAGAATGTGTCGATGCCAGTTTTTGTCAGACAAAAGTTAAAAGCACACCCTGGGTACAAGATAGCCAGGGCTGTCTCGCATTAGCAATAGAGACAGAACTGAATGGCCGTTGAAGAGTGATGCGGACTGATGGCTGAATTGTCACATGGAGTTGGGCACACCCAATGTGTATGTTCGATGGACCAGTGTAGACTAGCTAGGGGCTACATACGACCAAAAGGTATGAAGAGCTTGAGAAATAACCAAATAAAATTTCAATTCAGAGTCGTTGTGCTTCGATAGGTGCACATGTCTACATGGAATGTAGAAACACAGCAGGCGCTTCCAACTGCAAAGCAATCTAACACAATGCCCATAAACCTCCTGTTGTGCAAAGCAGTGTATATTATACTGACTTTGGTCTCAATGGTCTGTTTCTCAGCAGCGGGCATATCAGAATCGCAAGGTCAGATGGTCGATAACTCCACGGTGCATAGGCACATTCAAAATTCCTCTGACGAGCTCATACAGGATTCTGGATCAGTTATCAAGATAAGTCTTTGTAGGAATATCGGTCAAAAAGAAATCTCGTGTTGCTCCATATAATGGCATTAACACTTTGCCCACCGGGTCCATCCACAGGGGCGCATTGTAACGACGACACATTATCCTGAAGATAGGGGACTTCCAAGGCACAGATTGGGATTCCAGGCAAATGGGCATCTCGTTTAATTTTACCTTGTCGTTTTGACGCGATTAAATGCAGCCTTATTGGTTGGGCCTCACTCACCAGACTCGTCTCAGATTGCCGTTTGGAATAGCTAGTGGAGCCAGCCTTTCTACATTGATTTCTGTTTCATTTACTCCGTAGCATCGGCTTTTTTGTAGTTATTATTAAGTTTGATGGAATATATGACTAAAGGCAATGCCTCGGGACCTCGATTTACAAATCCTACCTAGGTATCAAAGTAAAAAAAAAGCTGGTTCTGCATAATCGGCTCTAGTCAACCTCAGCACTTCAGTACAGCTCGGCGTGGCCGATTTTTCCATGGTGGCTGTCAATGAGTGGCTGAACGCCTCGGTTATCTTACCCTAAAAAGTGCTATTTGTATATAGTATCAACCAAACACGACACTTTGGGGTGCATTCAGCGAGGACAAACAGCCCTGGAAGTATATATAATCATGAAGGACAAAGGAATATGCTATGAATCTCTCAGTTTATCAACACAGACTTTACAATGGCCGAGCCAACTCGTGTGCATCCCTTAGAGGACGATTTCCCGTTCGAGATTGTCTCCCATCTTGTCCCTGTTGTTTCATTTCGCGAATATCCCCGTGCAATAATTGACGAGCAAAATGGCGTTCGCCTAGCGGTCAAGCAATACATTCCCCGACACGATAAAACACCAAAGAGCAAGACAGAGCCCATTACCATCATCGCTGCGGGAGGTCTTGGCTTCTTCAAAGAGCTCTATGAGCCATTTTTCGCCGAGTTCCTTCACAGAGCCCACCGCTCCGGTGTGAACATCCGATCAATATGGATGGCGGACATGTTCAACGTGGGGGAGAGTGCCGTAGCCAACAAAGACAACTTAGGCTGCGATCCAGCATGGATCGACCATTCTCGTGACCTGTGGAGTATGATCAACCACTTTCGGGCAGAGATGCCCAAACCCATCATTGGCCTGGGTCACTCAATGGGTTGTAATCAAATTGTCTGTCTCTCCTCTTGGCATCCTACGCTATTCCATTCTTTGGTCTTTATTGAGCCCGGTATCGATCCTCAGTATGGAAGGGCAATTGCCGCCCCGTGGAGATTCCATACTCTGAGACTCCAAGAATCCTGGTCGAACCGAGAAGAAGCTGAGGCCCGATTAGTGAAGTTTCACAAGGCCCATTCCTGGGATGAGAAAACATTGGCCAGATTGAAGCATTATGGCATACTTAGAGCGGAAGAGAACAAAAGTGATACGTGGAATTTTGCTACATCAAAACATCAAATTGTTTCATTGCTCGGTCGACACAATCCCAAAAATATCGGTCTTGGTCCAGGCGGAGTTAGTGAAATGACGCTGGAGGAGCGCGAGTCGATTCCTGACAGCGATCCGGACTCGTGGAATGAAGATACCTTCTACAAACCCGAGCTGAAATTGGCTTGGGAATACTTGCCAAGTGTCCGACCATGGGTACTTTATGTCAATGGAGGGGATTCTCCTGTTTTTGGCTGCCCACTGACTCGAGATGAACGGGCAAGACGAACAGGGACTGGGGTGGGAGGCAATGGTGGATTGAAACTGGGGGCTGTCAGGCAAGTAATCATTGATGGCGCAGGCCATAGCATGGTTTTCGATGGTGATATATGTATAGTTGCAGAACATGTGGTGGAGTGGCTAACAAAAGAGTGCGAGCGGTGGACTGATGTATATAAAAGACGGTTGAAGGATTGGCAAAAAGAAGGATAGAAAAGCAGCAAACCGTGGAGGATGAATATGCAGCCGCTGTGAACTTGGTGATGAAACAAGAGAAAAGGACAGGAAAACTTTAGAATGTCTGTCATGATAAAGATGCCCTTATCTCATATTGCTTCATAGAGAAGTATGTGTATTTCATGTGTCCATGCATCTTATTAGGCCGAGAAAGTTTGGCGGCATTGGACGTCTATTCAATACTATATTGCTATGCACTTATGAGATATTCCATTACTCATTCAATGACGTCTTTCTTGTTGTTCTTCATAACCCTATTTAATACCTAAATGAATAGAACAGCTCGTTATTTTCTAATGTGGATGTGTTGCAATGAGTAGAATTCCAGGTATTCTCAGACTCAACGGACGGAAACATGGCCCTTTCATCAACCATGCATTTGAATACTGATGTCTTGAGGCAAAAGAGATAGCAATTGCCTACCCCATGAATTGACAAAGATAGATTCGAAATAGGAGATGAAATGTGAGATAATAAATCGGGGCCCGCTGTCAACTATAGAGCATTTGCCGACGTTTGAGAAGAGAACAGCATCGGAAACAGGCATGAACAGGAGAACAGAGCGAAGGCGCAATTTTTGGGGACCGGCCCTATATCAAGAACTGGTTTATGCAATCAAACGTAGATCGAACGGCGATAAGAGAAATGAAACAATATGTTCAGTGGAAAGTCGTGCAGAAGAAGATTTTCGGAGTACCTGGAGCGAAACCAGTCAGCACCACCACATGGAAGCACATCTTCGGACCAGGGCGACACATACTACTTGCGCTTCTCAGCTCCATTCTTCTGGTCAGTGGAAGAGGAACCGGACATATCCCAAAGCCGACTCTTGTAAGCGGGGAAAGAAGTGTGGTTCCACATGTTGACCAAGACACTAGATAGGAAAAAAAATGATTTAGTCGGTTTGCGACCATAATAAAAAAAAGCAAACATACCTCTGGGTCTGATCCTTGTAGGCCTCGTCCTTTATTTCCCTTACTTGCACCTTCATGCCATCCTTGGTGAAAGCGATGTTCTTACGCTCCATTTTCTCGCGCGTGTTCTTGCTCACATCCTGCACGATGCTGTACACGACATACCCGACCGCCGCAAGGATACCGACAAAGACGAGGAGTAGGATGAGGGGGACAATATTGCGGGCGCCCATGGTGGGGTTGTTTTGAGTATGATGGTTCGAGTTCAGAGTATTGTCAGGGTATTGTCAGGTTTAGGGGGGAACTGAGTCGAAGATCTTAAAACTAGAACGTTGCTGTGGAGGTGGAATCGTGGGAAGAAAACGAAAAAGCAATGGACTATATGCCAAGAGTGGATGTCGTGTGCGCAAATATGCTGCAGGCTTAGTGTCTAGGCACCGTTGCTGCCTGGAGTAGTGGATCTGAGGAATGCAATTCAGAAGCCGACGGGAAGGACTGAAAGTGCACGAGACTCAGGGGTCTATAATAATGTGAGATACCGTTGTTATTTCACTATTTCGATTCATCCCCTGGAGAAGTGACGTTTGATTCGTTTGATTTGTTTGATTCGCGAGGGGAAACTGCGCATTGTGGCTGTGTCGAACCAACGGCCCAGATGTGGCATTAAGGCTTAATGCTGAGTCACTAGCCTTTTTAAGACTTCCAAGGGTGTTAAGGCTACAAGGCTGAACTTCAACATGAAATGATGTCTGACTTTTTTGAGACTAATTTGTATATAGTATTTTATGTACCATGACTTCATTACCTTGTAGACCTACAAGACTGTGAACAATACAAAATTCCCCCACCTCCAAAAGAAGCAAAACAGGACGATCGGTAGATCTCGATCTCATTTGCGTCATCATGATAGAACCACTCAGGCGGTGAATCTCTATCTGGGGAAGCTGTCTTTTTTTAATATCGTGAAAGGAGCCCAGTATCTTCCCTTAACCGAGCTTTCATACTTAATTCCAGCTAAATTAACACCATGTGTGACGTCCCTTTCTTCCCGATCTTTCCAATCTGCTTCCAATGTGGCACAGACCAGAATCCATGTCATTGTAAGGTGGTCGGACCAACACTCGGTAAGTTGCTTCTCTGATGATGTGAAACAACTGAAATTTCGATTTGTATCTGACCATCTCCCAAGGGTTTTGTTCAACAATTGTGGCTGCAGTAAGTAATTTAATCTTCCTTCGGTAGACAACGTAGAAGCCTCTAGCTAGACTCGAATGGACTTGGGCTCACTAAGGTATCTCAGGTGTTTTGTTGGCCTCTCTCAATCTTTTGTGGCTGTGGTTGTACCAAAACTGGAAAGGAGTAAGTCCTGCTACTTCTGCTTCGATTACTGAACTGACAAACAATAGCATGCTGGGATATCCTGTTAAACTAAATGGGCAAGTCAGTAATGCCATTCCTTTCTGATGCTGGATTGTGGGCGTTGTGGGTTTCAAATCTTTGTCGTATCTAATGATCTTTGTTCGTAATTTTCGGGAACCTAGCTTTGGTATGGATGTAAATAAGCAGCTTGCTGCAAAGCAACTTGATTGGATTCTCCTTTGGCCCGATAATTAGGAACATAGGTTATGCAGATGATACCTTATGTGATAGATGTGAAACCATCCATAAAAATATAATCTCTTCAGAGCCTCCTCGAACTGAGCACTATAGTGGCCGATATAAGCCATACCCATACTTGTCTCAAGAGCCTATGCATTGGCTTCTGCATGAAGACGAGCATGATAGTTCTCGTTCTGGTGCAGAAGGAAGAAATGATCCGGTTCTGGCTGTCCACTCCCACCATCCAGATAGGTTTAATCAGCTTCTTTGGTGTGCTATCGCGTTTCTCACCCAGGAAAACCGAGTCATGGGCATACATGGTACATTAATCATGGATGAGAAGGTTTGCCGGCACCCATGGTGAGATTATAAAGGCAGGACTTTATGATCGGAGTGAGCTGGGTTCATCGCAGGCTTGGAAAAAGTTGAAACTCATACCGTATTCCCAGGCGGGTGAAGTAATACGTAAAAGATGACTTGATGACTTGCCCTTGAATACAATACCATCTTCGGACTGGGGGACAATAATCGGAGTCGGCACATGACCGAGAAATCTACCGTGCTTATCAGATTTAATGATCAATACGCTAGATTCGAGTGTCAGTACCCATGCACAGGATAGAGCAAAAGGTAAACCAACGAATTGTCCCAGTGTTTGGAGCGGCGCAGCGCAACATACTAGTGCTTGACCATCTGCTCTCCGGTGACCATGTTGCTAGTAGGATGCATTGATACAACTGTGCAGCATTCTGGGTTCAGGTAGGAGAAAGACGGCAGCGTGCCCACTTTCAAATCGTGGTAGAGCTCAGTCGCGTGAACGAGCCAATTCATTGCGTAGTCTTGTACCCACTTGGTTTGGTTATTGGTTGCGCAGAGATGAAGAAGGAGAATAACAAACCACCAACCTTGTACACAAATGCATCGAAGATATTAGTCTCTGCTATACTATGATTAGTCGTATCTTACTATAATAAAGACATGTCCGATCTCACGATCTTCCAGCTGATGCATTTTTTGCTGAGCGCTTCGAGGATTGACACCGCGCATATTGTTCCAGTGACATTGTTCCAGAAACCAGCGGACTGGTTCGTGTTGCCAACAAGGCCACAGGACGAGCCCAAGGTTGCGAATTGGCGTTTAGCGTTGGTAGGGCCCGGGTGCTCGCAGAACTATGTCGGGTCAGTCCGATATATCCAGCTAGAGCATGAGAAGATAGACTCATATAGGAATCAAAGAAAGCAAAGTTGCTGGTCAGCTCGGCTAGAGTAGCCGCTCTTCTCTGGCTCAGGGCTTTGTGATCAAAGCCCGAATCTCCTGGAGCAGCATTGTACCGTTCCGACTGCCGCTCAATGAAGCCACCCATATTGGGGACATCAGTCTTAGACTGAGAGTATGAGGCTATATAAGAGCTACTACAAAGATAAAGAGGGTATATGAGGGCAAAGGAGAGAGAGAGAGCAAGAGGGGAAAGTACATTCTTATTTTCTGGCTGTCTCTCACTTGCTACATCTATTACACCAAGAGCACCTACGCCACAGAAGTGAGTGCAATATTTTCTAGATATGGGAACTCATTCGAACTCACCAACTTTCATTGCGCTTTGAAGACTCGAATGTAAGTTTAATCCCGGTCCTAGTAGGTCATACCGTGAGACTCAAAAACATCTCCACTATCTGCAAGGAGGAATAGATGATATCCCAATCGGACACGTGCTGAGATTATGTAGAATTTACTAGCTTTGAAGTCAAGCGACTAACAATTAATCAATTATCAATACACTAAGCCCAGATCTGGACAAGTGTATATTCTGTGTGCATTGGGAGGTTCAGTATTGTATATTTTGATTTGAGGGCCGTGCGTAGTCCACCCGATTAGAAATGGTTGAATATTATTGGCTCCCGACTATATGTTAAGCAGCTGGTGTCCCACTTTGATGGCCCCGCCTTACCGATGCTTGTCCAATCAGCATTGCACGTGCCTCTTCATGAAGGGGCATGCCAAGCACGTTGTCTTCCCAAGTCACTCGATAGGCCATGTATGATCAAGTGTGTAGCTGATCCCTACAAGCATGGGATAAGTCCATGACTTGTCCCGAGCCATGTGCAACTTTTAAAAAAGCTTTCTTTCTCAACCTTGGAAATTTCCTCTTCCATCTCTATCCGTCTCTGTCAACATACCATCTCATTCAAGGGGTGTTGCAGGGGGTTTTTTTTCTCAGTTTCAAAACCTTCATCATGTCAATCAACTCCTTCACCGGCCTGATGTCAAGCTATTCACCCCTCGCCGATCGCAGTCCCTCTTCGGAGGATGAGAAAGACATCCATGCTCGTCTTCAACCTGATGTCGAGGTTGGGAATCGCCAGGATGGCTCTGAACGGAAGTCTTCTCGCTTCATTGACGGCCGTACAGTCTCAGATGCGATCATCGGTCTGTCAGATGGCATGACTGTGCCATTTGCTCTAACTGCAGGGTTGTCTGCCCTCGGTGATACCAAAGTGGTTGTATTTGGTGGACTTGCAGAGCTTATCGCAGGAGCGATTTCGATGGGACTCGGTGGATATCTCGGCGCAAAAAGTGAAGAGTACGTTTTCTCCAATTTCTTCACCTCTACGGGTGTACCCAGGTACATTGCGAGGTATGACTGTCAAGATCAATCATTGACATATTTGCAGGGAGTCATACAAGGCTACATTGCAGGAAACCAAAACACAAACAATGGCAGATCCCGCCTCGATTTCTGAAACCATCTCTGATATCTTTGAGCCCTATGAGCTACCCTGTGAACTTGTCGCCCAACTCAAAAATCACCTCTCGTCTTCTCCCATGCTCCCGTCATTCCTCATGAACTTCCACCACACCCTACCCGAGCCCTCAGGCTCACGAGCTGTCACCTGCGCTTTGACCATTGCCCTGGGATATTTTATCGGTGGTTTTATTCCTCTCCTACCATACTTTTTCGTTGGACCGCACGATGCCTTCATCGCCTTGCGTTGGTCCATTGCCACTATGGTTGTTGCCCTGTTCATTTTTGGATACGGAAAGACGTGCTTTGTCAGTGGCTGGCGCGGTCGTCGAAACGTTCGCAAAGGTCTTATTGGAGGGATACAAATGGTGCTGGTGGGCGGTATCGCCGCTGGTTCAGCAATGGGATTGGTGAAGGGCTTCCAGATGATGGCTGACGGTCCTAGTGATCACAAGCATGACTAATTGAGCCTTTTCCCCGGGGCCTTGATTTTTTTGTCCTTTTTAACTCATGGTTTGGGCGTTGGCCGGCATTTCCCTCAATTTACGATGACACATGGCGTTGGGAGTTTCTTATCTTTATCGGATCATTTGACGCTCAGTCCGGCAAAAGTACTGGTTGCCCAAGATGCATTCACCCTTTTTTTTCGAAAGTTGAAATTCTATGAAGATCAAATCATAGCGTACTTCAAATCCTATCACGTTGAAACATTTTCCATGTGATTATGATACCTTTAATCTCTTAACCCGTGACGAAACTATTTGAATATCCAAGAGATTCCATCATTGAGATATCTACATCATTGTGATATTGCAAGTGTAGATGCTCACAATTGCGTCATGGGACCCCTGATAAGAGTACGTTTTACCCCGGATCTAGTTTCAGTGGGAAACCCTTACCACGATAGGTCCATGTGTACATACACATGGTTATATGTATTTAATATTCACTTAGACAACCCATCTATCTTAGTCCGGCTTACCTGATGGACGAGTCATGCCAAGTGAAGTTCTGTCATGTATCAAGTTATCCACTGACCGCATTAGGATTGCGGGGATGTAACATGATTGTCGTGTAGGATCGACAACGCAGAATCGTCGATCATATGGTATTGCAGGTGAAACGAGCACTGGTCAAACTGTAAATAGCAAATTAGATACCGCTCGTATTGTGATTATTTCTTTAGTATCCAAGTGTGCAGTTCAGACTGGCTGTGCAATACCAATAGCTTCTCCATGGCCACATCATACTGTACACGACGACGAGGTCTACTCGTAGAGTGTTCTAATAATATTGGACCGAATAAGCAAGCACAGCCCAGGACGGTACAGTAGAATAGCTCTACATTCTCACTATGACGTGCACCCAAATCCTGATGTGGTAATAGACAGCGCCCCCAGCCCTGGAGGCTCGGAAACTTGATCGCAACTTGAGCTCATATGGTCCCATGCGTCTATTTGTGTAATCTGTGGCGCAGCGACTGCCAGTTGTTTGAGCAAGTTACGCAGCCTCGCATCAATTTCTATTTAAGCCCGAACGAACCCACTCCCAGGCAACCGCCCAGACAGAGAGCCCTTGGCCCCCAAGACACGAATACGAGTTAAACGGTGCGCTGTCCAGTATTACACCGTATCCGAAACGTTGTTGAAAGATGGATACAGGGGCGTGCCGAAGAGCAAATAAGCCACGATGTCTCTTTAAAATTAGAGTAAATATAGCAGGAATCCTACTCCGTGTGCGTGTAAAATGCCTGCCTATAATGTCTAGCTTTGGCGCAGCATTAGCGATATTGAGTCTGATTGGGCCCGGTCGCGCGACGCTGAGTTCTGAAACTCATCCGTCCTAGTTTTGAAGCACAATCACATCTGTGCCGTCTTTGCATAATTATGGTTTGTTTTGTTTTTACGCTTGGTGTTGGTTTCTACAATAATGGTTCAAATTGGGAAGGTTGGTTATCCCCTGAAACAATTTTAGATTTGATGTAATAGGACTGTGTACATCCTCATCTAAGCGCTGGGCCCGTGTCAAATAGTAGAATGCGTGAAATAGTTGACTAGTTAAATAGTACCCACTATCAGCGCTGAACGGTTTAGCTCATGTGCAAAGTAGCTCTGTTCGTCACACCTACCATCAATTTTATCGTATGACTGTATTCAACATATGTTCTGTACCTGATCGTGGCTGAGCTGTGTAACTAGGGATGAGCTAGATATGTCAAAGCTGCCTAATATACTCCGCGTATATAAGTACAGACGTATACAATATATAACTAGTAGCCTGACATGGGTCAGCTTCAAAGTTATTACCTAGGTAACAGGAAAGATGTGAAGATCACAATAATCACGGCACAGTTAATGGCCGACAGGCCGGTTTGTGAATACGTTCTGTAAATAAAATACGGTGCAACTAAGCGAAATTGGGCGGAGATCTGGTGAATTTTGTTGGATCCCGGCTTTGAACCATAGCGCTAAGGGACCGTCAGCCAATCGGCCTCCGTTGATGGATCTTATATGGAAAATTTGCTTGAAAATTTTGAGTTGAAAAGTTGTAAGACAAAACCCAAGGTTTAAACATAAAGATCTATATAGCGGGTCTAGTTTCCTGCATGAACGTTGAGGATTTGTATAATAATGAAAGAAAAAAGGGAAAGAAACTACAGAATATGTAGTTACAATAACATACCTACATCTATGTAGGTAGGTAGGTATGTGTATATAATAACATACCTATGCCAAGGTCATTTCGGTAGTCTCGGAGCTTCATGCATAAGATTCCTAACGAGTCGGACCATTGAAATAGCAAAGTCCGAGATATGCCAAAATTTGTGACTTCTCATGCACTTTCCGATCGGGCTCCGTGGCTTCCGCCGCTTCCGCCCGACATCTTCAAATCTTGAATCCAGATGACCTTGTATTAAAAACTGCCGAGAGCATCCGGTCAGAATTGCAAGTGAACATCATTGTTTCTGTTCTTTGCTATTCATATAGTACAGATAGATTGCATTGAATAAACCTCAGATATTGTGAGTATTTTGTAGGTAGTAATAGTAGTGCCTAACCAGGGTTATAAAGAACTAAACCAAGACAGACTTAGTGACGACATGGATAATCAGAAAAAATCAGGTAATCAAGTACATAATCAAAAAATACAATAATACCCTCAAAAATCGGATACTGGTAATACCGATACCCAAGAACTTTGGGTCAAATCCAGATGCTTTTCCTTCTCTTCTCTTCCCATCTCTTTATTTTAATTCTTAATCCATCCTTTCAGGGCTTCAAGTGGTCTCCTTGGTTTTCTCGAGTTCTGTTTATCCTGGGTTCCCTCGGTTGCACCCTTGCTGTCACCTTGCATCCCTACCGACACCCTTGTCAACGTGACCTCCTGAATTCCTGGGACGCACGCCCCTCGGCCCTGACAGACCTTCGCCTTCCTATCGGCCCATCTCAATTCTCATGAACTTCTCCTCTGGCCGTTGAAAAAACCCCTTCCCGCTACGCGACACCATTCCGTCTCGCCTCGCGGCATTCTCGAACTCTCAATCCCCCCTTTTCAAGTTCGAGTAACCCGGAGCCTCCTGGAGGACAGTCATTGTGAAGATGAGCGCCTCCTACCCATCATGGAAAGATCGCACACAAAATCAGCTCGGAAAGCTTCAGATCCAAGTACCATGGCGCTCTTTCCAGCTCCTCGTGCCGCATCGCATGCGCCGCAAGCTCCGGTCTAAGCTACGGAGTCGCCTCTCACCTACATCTTCGATATCGACTCTGCAAACTTCCTTTTCGCCAGCCGATACTCTCAGGTCTCTACAGGCTCACCGGTGGACGGTTTATGATTTCCAGTACCTGTTGCTGCTGATTGTGGGCATATTTTCTCTAACGATCATTCAATCCCCCGGCCCACTTGGAAAAACTGCCATTGCCACTGGGCTTTTATGCTCTCTTCTCATGCCCATTACAAGGCAATTCTTCCTGCCCTTTCTTCCCGTTGCTGGGTGGCTTATCTTCTTCTATGGATGCCAGTAAGTTTCTCTTTCTTTCTCTCTTTCCCCTGCACGTAGTTGCAACAAATGCGCCTGTGATCGCCTAGTGGCGTGAGCATGATGACATGTGGCGTGGATGTGGAAAGCACAAAGATGGACTCAAAAGTAGCAAGGGCTAACAAAATAATCTATAGATTCGTTCCAAGCGATTGGCGACCTGCCATTTGGGTTCGGGTTTTGCCGGCCATGGAAAACATTCTGTACGGCGCTAACATCAGCAATATCCTTTCTGCACACCAAAATGTGGTGCTTGATGTTCTGGCGTGGATTCCTTACGGACTGTGCCATTACGGAGCCCCATTTGTCGTTTCGCTATTGCTTTTCTTCTTCGGTCCCCCAGGAACTACTCCACTTTACGCCAGGACTCTCGGCTACATCAGCATGACCGCCGTCTTCATTCAGTTGGCTTTCCCATGCTCGCCACCTTGGTATGAAAATCTGTACGGTCTTGCTCCAGCCGACTATTCGATGCAGGGTAACCCGGCCGGTCTTGCTCGCATCGATAAGCTGCTCGGCATCGATCTGTATACCTCCGGCTTCAAGCAATCTCCCGTGGTTTTTGGTGCTTTCCCTTCGCTCCATGCCGCCGATTCAACCTTGGCAGCATTGTTCATGAGCCACGTCTTCCCGCGGCTGAAGCCCCTTTGGGTCACTTACACTCTGTGGATGTGGTGGGCAACCATGTACCTTTCTCACCACTATGCAGTCGATCTGGTCTGCGGTGGTCTCCTTGCCACAGTAGCATTCTACTTCGCGAAGACCCGTTTCTTGCCCCGAGCCCAAACCGACAAGATGTTCCGTTGGGACTACGATTATGTCGAGGTCGGTGACAATTCTCCTGAATTTGGGTACGATCTCGCCAGTTTAGACGGCGATTTCAATCTGGACAGCGATGAATGGACCGTGGGCTCTTCCTCGTCTGTTTCTTCGGGCTCTCTGAGCCCTGTGGACGATCACTACACATGGGAAAGCGAACACCTCACCTCGAACCACGATATCGAGGCCGGCCGTTAGTTCCACGGAGATTACTTGCACACACTCCTCGACCATCCATTCTTGCATCTACTACTTTTGATCCGGCGTTATGTTTGACGACAATGTTTGGGAACATCTGCATCGAGCAATCTTCGACACCTTAAGGTTTTTAATTCACCAATTGGAAACTTTCCGTTCGCGCGGCATTTCCGCCCCGAACCGATGGTCTTCTTCACCTTCTGGCTGTACATGCCTCGCCAACTCCACTTGGGGTTGGCAATATCCGTCTATAATATTAATACTGGTGGTGGAAGGGATTGGGTCTGTCTGCCTGCCTACACTCGCCAATCCCCACCCCCGCCACCTTTGGCGACATTCGCTTGTACACATTCGGTTACCCCCTTGGGGCGACCATTTTTATTCTTCTGACCCATGTCTTTCGCTACGACTTTATGAACTGGGCGAGCCACTTTTACCTTCAGGCTCGTTCAGATGAACAAACATTATTATCTTTCGCGTCGCTCGCTCATCGCAGGCGCTTGGGAACTTTGTAACTGCTTTTGGAGAGATAAAGGTTTCGGCGCCTTCTGCTTGCACCACACTCGCTGTGCAATATAAAGAAAGATCTTTGAATATTATTTTTATGCGACATTTTGCATCGGCACAGGATGGATTCGTCTCGACCTACCTTCCGTGTCTCATACGCCTGGCAGGTGATAATAGGCGTCGGCACTTGTGTGAAACCTTCCTGTGTGGACTTGGCAGGAAGAATCGAAAGAGGAGGAACCTGAAAGGCCGGTGCTCCTGTCTCCACAACTTGAGTGCCCATGGCAGCCTGGTGCAAAGAATTGTTTCTTTGACGGAGGTCAATCTTTGCGCTCGAGCTTCGCCTATTCTCTTCGCTTCTAGCTTTCGAGGATGAAGCTGATCCGACATCCTAATGCGTGCATTTCCCGCAACATCCTATATACGACTTATTCGTGTCCTCGCTTTCGGGCTAGAGTCGGTTTGGGTCTTATGCACGCCTCCTATCGTTTCCTTCGGGGCGATGGAATTCCGTTGGATATTTTTAGCATTATTCTTAATTGCTAGCATATGAGTTAATGAAACACTGTACATTATCTACATTTTCGGCCTTGTGGTACTTTGTAAACCACATAGCACAGCCATATTCCGATTTGGACCCTTGGCACAACTAGGCCTGCAACTATACGAACCTCTTTTGCCAACAGATATCTGACAAGAGGTGAAGCGTTACCCTATGGTTCCATAAAATTATATCTAGGTAATCTATCCTTCATCCTAGAGATGATGATCCCCGCTTGTTGGATGATATTGCCGCCGATCATACGGAACCGTTTGCTTGTACGACGTACATTGTCGTCTGTCTCTACAATGTTGGTCCGTTCAAGTGAAAAGCCGTTGTATTTGATACTAGTGCGGAGTGCCTGTACTGGATCATTTTTATGCACGGGCTTGGCAGGTCCCGTCGTATTCTTGTACCACCTGGGCTCTTTGTGCACTCTTGTGTAACTCATGGACTTTGATTACTCCTAACTCTGAGGGTAATGTATGTACTATTCATAGAAGCGCTCGTCATTAAGAAGAAATATACAGAAATGATGGATATCATAAACAAAACACCCGTCCCGTCTAGTGAAATCCAACTGTCTAGAAAAGAGATGTGTGTATCAAAACGTGAGCATAAAACAAACAGTTCCGCACCAAATAACAAGGAGCCACGGGTGATCGATTAGTCGTCAAAGATCTTTACACGGTCCGCATACTCACGGATGTTCGAGTAGAAGGTCTCCTCGATTTGGTCACCTTTGCCGCCGGCAACGCGGAGGAGAAGGTCATTGAGTGAGGCACGGCCTAGAATATCGACATGGTCGCCTAATAAAAATGTTAGTTATCTGTGATGAATATTGCTTTGCGGTAGATAGAATGGTGAGCAAGAACGTACCCGTGTTAGGACCACCACGGGGCGAGAAACGATCAGGCTCATGGGGCATCTCAAAAACCTTGATCTTGGAGCCAGCCGGGTTATAGCGCTTCATGCGCCAGCCCTTGGCACACATATAGCCCGTACTGAGCAGATTGACGGTGCCATCACCCTCGCCCATAAGAACCCCATGGTCAACACCCTCATTGTTGGTGATGGTCGTGTCCATGCTGACGTTGAGGTTGACCAAGGGATCAGTCTCTTCTTGGTAGAAGTAGCTGCGCTCCGTAGGCTTTCCCACCCCGTAGAAACAATAGATCTTCATGTCCGGGGCAAGGGGTAGACGAGCCTCGAGAGGGTTCAACCATGTGCGCGGGTCCTTCTCGTTAGCCTCCACCTCGCGTTTTGTATGTGCTACACCATGGGAGTAGCTACCCAGAACCTGGTTGCGGTACCAAGGCTCGCTCTGATCCAGCAGGTATTGCAGGCTTTCTGTGGTGGTGAGATTTCGGCGCGTCCAGGATGAGTTGGTCTCGTGGAAGTTGAGCAGATTGCCGAAAGTCAGAGGCTGGCCGGGCTGGTCATCTGGGGCCCAGGTAGAGTTTCCCCATACAGCGTCGCCACCCTTAGGCAGCATGCTTGAAATTCCAGGCATCGCACGGAAAATCTCCGCGCGTTCCTCCTTCGACAGGAACTTTTCTAAACCGTATACGGCAAAAGCATTTAGCTGAGCTGTATCTCTCATTTCACCAGATAATACGGCAGTTAGTCCCTTGACGGCACCCAACATGCAGCCACTGATGTTAACCCATGAATCGATGTGTTTGTTGACCCAATCTTTCCCTCCATTGCCGTGTTCTTCGCTCTCAACCCACTTGAAGAAATATAACACCACCTGGGATCCCATACTATGAGACGCTAGTGTGATCTTCTCGCCTTCTACCTGGACTGCGGTCTCGATGTAAGACTTGAGTCGCGTGAAATACTTATCGCGAACTTCAAGATTGAGATATGATAGTCGCCAATCATATGCAGCCGTGAAGGCATTGGTCGGATCATACCCAATGGAAGCCAAGTTCTCTAGAATCTTGTTCCAAATCCAGTATCCTGTGATGAAGAAATCGGTTGCGTCGAATCCCTGCGCCGCACGAAGCTTGATGCCAGGCGGATCGAGCCCTGTGTCCCGGTCGAGCATGACATGATTCTTCCACTCTGCCTTGTCCATGACCAACGCCCTCATCATGGTCCAACTACCCCACAACCTTGAGCGGAAGTATTGTCGAGAGCTCTCCCCTGTGCCCCAGCTCTCCAGGCCGGTTGAGATAACGCCAGGGATCATGACGACGGGGTGTTTGGCGCTGACGCCCTGGGACTGAAGGTGCAGTCCAACGGAAAACGAATCATAGCTGACAGTATCGCGCTCGTGTTGCTGTTACCCCATCAAAGGTCAGTCAAATGAACATAAACAGGTCTAGAGATAAGGAAGCTCTTTCCTTAGGGACGTACCGAAAACTCCTTCACGTCGCGCAGAATTCCCTGGGGAATAGCATCCATTAAGGAATCAAGATTCAGGTCCATTATTGATTCCAAGCTAATGACTTGATGCTGGTTCGCGAAGAACAAGGCGATAAAGATGCCGAAGATCCCGCCCAGCATGAATATGAACCCATTGCGACGCTTGCTTCTGGGCTTGATCACTAGCTGCTTAACTTTAGCATCGCCAAATTCTGCACGAAGCTTTTCTTCGTCGGCCTTGGAGCCAGCATCGGTAGCTTTGTCGGAGGAGACCTTGTCCTTGCCCGTGCGGCGGCGGAGCATTGTGGACCAACCGCGAGCGACCGCGAGGAACGAGAAGGAAATTGAGGAGAGTGGTTGAATGGGAGATTCGAAATCTAACAAAACCACAAAGCTTCAAGGAATAAATGTAAACAATAGGAGCAAAAGAGAAAAAAAACGGAAGTGCACAACTTCCGCGAACGGACGGATCGGCATCACATGTGCAAAGTTGCGTAACTTTCTTCCCCCCCCCCCCCAACCTTCCCCCTCCAGTACTTTGTTCACCAATTCAACCCGTCAGCCCACATTTCAATAAATAAGTGATGAGCAGCGATGCTCCATCCGAACTCCGCTACGTGCGGTATGACAACTCGCGTGAAAACGAGTATGTCGCCGCAATGCGCCAACTGATCTCCAAAGATCTGTCTGAACCTTATAGCATCTACGTGTACCGCTACTTTCTTTACCAATGGGGCGATCTTTGTTTTCTTGCGAAAGATGATAAAGACCAGATGGTCGGGGTCGTGGTGTCGAAGCTGGAACCTCACCGTGACGGCCCGCTGAGGGGGTATATCGCCATGCTGGCCGTGCGCGAGGAGTACCGAGGCCGGGGGATTGCAACCAAGTTGGTACGCATGGCTATTGATGCTATGATTGAACGTGATGCAGATGAGGTATGTACATATGCAAATGCGTTTTGTCTCGGTGGCACTGGAGCTGACTTGGGCGTGTTTGAACAGATCGTCCTCGAAACCGAAATCACCAACACCGGTGCAATGAAACTATATGAGCGTTTGGGCTTCCTTCGTAGCAAGCAGCTCCATCGATACTATTTGAATGGCAACTCGGCATATCGACTCGTTCTCTACCTCAAAGAAGGTGTAGGCGCGATTCGGACGGCTCTCGTTGATCCCTATGGCTCTCTTCCACCCGTGCCCGGGGTACCCGATGCATGTTCTGGACATTCTCATGCGAATATGGGATCATTGATGTAATTTTGCATTGTTAGCAACGCTGTGAAGCTTTCTTTGCCAAATTGTGTTAGCATGCCATGTCATGATAATTTATGGGAAATGACCAAATTAGATATACCCTCAACGAGCTGGATTTCTCGTGGTACGCACCAATATGGTAATTACGCTGGTTACGCTGTCAAAAATAACAGACACGACAAGGTTAGGGATATCGTCGGACGAAGCCTACATAATGTACAGTTACGTATTTAGCTGAATGTCACGACAGGAATCATGACCTCTCTGGTACGTGATGTGATACAAAGAACGCACTGTCCCTATAAGGCAGAAGCTTTCTCCGCCACTGACGTACACTTTATGCCGCCTCTTATTTTATTTTGTGCGGTGTATACAATGTACTATACACATACTATATTATATTGCTAAAAGAGATATAAAATATGATTGTTTCTTGGACAAACGGGTCATGATCTCGGCAGATGATATGGGCTTCTGGAATCTATATGTGGAATCTATATAAAGATCAAGCCTTTCTACAATATTCTATTACTACATATGCAGTAATATTGGAATATTGGAGTTAACATTGTAGATCGTTCCCTGTGGATGTGTGGCTGTGTGGCTGACGGTCAATACCATTGGTGGGACACGATGTGACTTGAAGTGGCGTTTACATGATCTTAGTCAAAGTTCAAAAAAGGAAAGTTAGCAGTGTTCGACCTAAAACAATTTTAATGCACGATACCTATGTAGGTACGTGATCAACATTCTATAAATCGGTTATAGACGATGATTGGCGGGAATACAAACCGGTATGTGAACCTTTTCCTGTCTCTTGGCCTTAGTAATCGGGCATTCGATTCGCCAACAGCATTTCAAGGGAAATGGCATCACATCTCCACTAAAACTCCCGAAACAGATATTGTGGGTTCTGAACCCCTTACGTCAATGTCATAGATTGTTGGATCTTATAATAACGTTCTATAATTTGCGGAATACTTATTGCCATTATGTCGATCGATCGTCTTAACATATTTCCGGTTCCAAGATTCAGGTACAAACTGAATTTTTTAATTTATATGTTATAGATTCCAGTGTTCCATTTCTTCTTTTTTTCGATTATTTCTATATCTACAATACATTATAGTTTCCTTTTATAAGACGGTATCACTTTACTTTGGACATATTTTTATGGCTTCTGCAACATATCAAACAGCAAATTTCAGAAATCTTGAGTATTGATAGCCTTGTCTAGGCAATCACTCACTATGAACTCGGATGATCACACCGCTGGTCGCCGGGCTCGCGAGGTATATCGCTATTTTCGGCCCGAGAAACTCGCCCCGATAGATGAAGATCAATCATTCTCTAGTGATGGACCTCTCATGCGAAAAGCTGCAACCCGTGCTATTTCCCCTACACTATGTCGCTCATCGTCCGGATCTTCAACATCGCCCGGCCCATGGACCCCAGAACCGCTGTCTCGTATGCCAGATCCTTTGGCCTTAGGCGCCTCCAATGATACATTAAACTCCTTTGCGCAATTGGCTGCGCTACGTTTGAATATGGACCGAGTCTTCATCAGGTAATATGATAGTGGCTCCCTTAAAATTGATCTTGTTTCGCTTACCGCTTTTTTTCTCTTACAGTGTTTCGGACCGAGACTCTCAGTTCATCATTGCGCAAGCAGCTCAAACAAAAGAAGGAAATAAAAAATATCATTCTCTCAGTAACGGGGTCTATGATGGCTGTTCCACACTCGACGCCAGCTCTTGGATACCTTGCCAAGTAAGTCACCTTTTCCGCTCATAAGCTTACATCCCCGGTCAATTGAATTAAACAGTGCGGTTGCAAATTACAGGATACTATTGCTTTACCGCACCCCAAAAAAGACACCACAAAAGAGCAAAAACAAGACCACTTCTTAGTATCTAATGATATGACTCAAGATTCACGATACAAAGATCTGCCTTTTGTGAAAGGGAAACCGAACTTTCGATTCTACGCAGGTACACCACTAACCACAGAGAGCAAAATTAATGTCGGCTGTGTGTTTGTCCTCGATACAAAGCCACATGCCGAATTTAGTGAAGAGGATAAAGAGATAATGAGCACCATGGGAGGGCTCATTATGAACTATCTGAAGGTCAACCGACAGGCCTCCGAGGGTCGTCGTGCAGCCCGATTATCCCATGGCCTTAATTTCTTCATTGAAGGAAGATCTAGCTTCATGGATTTGATAGACGATTCAACAACCAGCCCCACATTACAATATAACACGCCTCCGATTTCGAAAACACGAGAGAGTCACTTCTCCGGGTCTAGCCCCAACCGCTATCGCCATTCCCGCTCTTGTAGCAGCGATGCGAGCTCGACAAGCTCGGCGTCAGAGACAAGGCGCGATCAGTCTCTCTCTTCAAGTGTTGATTCTAGCGTCGACTCTCGCCTTACTGGATTGAACACCGGAAACAAGCAGGATGAAGATGATCACAAGGGCAATGCCTGGACTTTCCAACGAGCAGCGAATTTGATCCGAGAAAGCCTAGAGTTAGAGGGAGATGGTGGTGTTGTCTTTGTTGAAGCTGGAAACGATGCTGCGTTTGATGTCGACACGGGCAGTCAGGGTGCGAGTTCCCAAGAGACTGGCAAACTTGCATCTATCCTGGCTATATCTACAAGTGATAACTATTTTGGACCGAAGACGGGGCCAGTTTCGCAGTACCCAGTTTCCGGAATAGATGAGTTTTTTGTGCATGGTCTACTGAATCGGTATTCCAAGGGAAAACTTTGGTCCTTCCACCGGGACGGTCTGCTTTCTAGCTCAGACAGTGACGATTCGCCCCGCGAAAGCCGGGCCCGGACACGGACTCAGTCTTCACGCACGAAACGATCAAACAAATGGAAAACCACGGAAAATACAACACTCAACCGGTTATTTCCAGGCGCTACTCAAATCATTTTCGTACCTTTGTGGAACGCCGCTAATTCTCAATGGTTCGGTGGCTGTTTTTGCTGGAACCATGTCGAGAATGTTGTTTTTGATCCGGCAGTGGAACTGAGTTCAATTCTGGGATTCGGATCCTCGATCATGGCTGAATGCAATAGAATTGAAGCACATATCTCCAACCGACAGAAGGAAGACTTTCTCGGCAGTGTTTCGTAAGTCGCATTTATCATGGGTTTATTGACCTTTTTCCTTTTTCTCTCCCAGTGGCTAATTATCGCTTTCCAGGCATGAACTACGAAGTCCACTTCATGGAGTCTTAGCAGCAGCGGAATTGCTTCATGGCACCGAGTTTGATGATTTTCAGTGCTCGCTTCTCGAAACCATCAATGCTTGTGGTCGTACATTGCTTGATACGATGAATCAGGTTCTTGACTATACCAAACTCGTTTCCTTGCAAAAGGATCTGCGCCACCTGAAAAGAAATCTAACCTCTCAAGTGGACATTGAGAACATACAACGCTCTGCTGGTCACTTGGATGAATATAGGGCTACCGATGTCTCCCTTTTGTCCGAGGAAGTGGTGGAAGGAGTCTGCTTGGGTCATTCGTACAGTCACCGGCGCACAGCCTCTATTGATGCAACGGGGGCTTTTTCAACTACGACTAAATCAACACAAGCTCCCGACATCCCTCAACTCCATGTGGACGTGATATTGGACATTGCACAGAACGATTGGACCTATTATACACCACCAGGTGCCATCCGACGCATTGTCATGAACATCCTTAGCAACGCCGTCAAATATACTGATTCTGGCCGTGTTTCCCTGCTCTTAGAGGCAAGGGAAAACCCCGGGAGTTGGCCTCACCACCAGGGTCCAAAGGAAGACCTGGTCACCCTGACAATTTCAGACACTGGTAGGGGTATGTCTGCTGAATTTTTGCGAAGCAAACTATTTGTTCCATTTGCCCAGGAAAACAGATTGTCTGTCGGAACAGGCCTGGGTCTCTCCATTGTCCGCAGTCTTGTTAAATCCTTAAGCGGGAGTATCAACGTCGAAAGTCGTTCAGGTGAAGGTACAACTGTCAAAGTGACGCTTCCTTTGACTCGCCAAGAACAACCGGATTATGGTGGCACTACTGGGGGTATTCCTGGCACTCTGCCATCACCCCCGCAAGAAGATTCTGACCCCATTGGTAATGGAGTCCGTCTTTTACGGAGCACTTACGCCGGTCGAAAAGTTGCCATCCTTGGTATTGAGCCCAATGATGCCCGCAAACACCCATTGTGGAGAACTATCTCTCAATACTTAGTCGGCTGGTACGGTCTTGAGCTAGTCTCGCCTTCATCTGGCAGTCCCATCGATGTCATTCTGGCCAACGAGCTGCCAACTAAAGAGGTCATGAATGGGGGCTTCAGGGACCCAAATCAGGCCGTCCTTGTTGTGAGTAGCAAGTATGTGGGCCACGATACTATTCGAGCAGAATGGTCTTCATTCACCACGGCTATGAGCATAATAAGTCGACCATGTGGTCCCCACAAGCTTGCTAGATTGCTGCAGAAATGCTTCGATCAAAATTCATCCATGTCACTTGCTGAGCCAATGGCGTCAACTGAAACCCGACCAAAGCCTGTCGAAAACACCATTTCGATTGAACAAAATGAACAAAAAGCCTCAATCGACGGCATCAAAACTTCAAATCCAGATAATATCCCTTCCACTCAACACGAAACTTTGGTCCCTTTTACTGGAAATACAAATTCTCTCCCGCCACCTTTGACAACCAACAACGCAGCAACATCCCAAGAGCCTCGCAAACCTCGAGTGCTAGTTGTTGAAGACAACAAAATCAACCTGAACTTAATGCTCGCTTTCCTCAGAAAGCGAGAACTGGTGACGCTAGACTCCGCCGAGAACGGACAGAGAGCAGTTGATGCAGTGAAATCATTGCAACACGGCTACGATATCATTTTCATGGGTAAGCCCTTCGTACTATTTTCCGATCAGATGAAAGACTGACCAACAAAACCAGATATTTCTATGCCAGTCATGGATGGCTTTGACGCCGCACGATCGATCCGTGCCATAGAAAAACAGCGCGATCAGGATTCTCCTAGATCTATTATCATCGCGCTGACGGGGTTGAGCGGTTCCAATGATGAAGCCGAGGCCCTCGACGCAGGGATGGATCTATTCATGACGAAACCCGTGACACTGAAAAACATCTCCAAGATCTTGGATCAATGGTCTGAGAGAGGCCTGCGAGATGATTGATCGAAGCTCCATCTTCTGGGACATTGGTTGTACTCTTTTATTTGGGTGTTTTGCGTTGCGTTCTACTTACTCTTCAGCGGAGTTATTTGGGAAAGCATTTTCATTGTTTATACTGTATATGATTATGAGGCATGAGCGATACCCTTTTGTTCTTTGTTTTACTTTTGCTTTTGCTTTTGCTTTTGCTTTTAGATATGGAATTGATACACCCACCCACGTTTTGTTAGACCTCCCTATACCTGCTCCCCTAGGCTTTGGCTAAACTATATAGTGTATATACAAACAGAATAGCAATGCCTAAGCAGCCTACCTAAACCTTCTTATGTAAACCGCGTACACCAAATTATCTCTATCCCCATTTCACTATATGACATTCATATACTCCGTAGCCAAAACTTCAACATCAAGATGCCAGACAATTCGATGTTACAATAACAATCTTGCAGTATTCCTTTTGGCCATCTTTTTAGTGCTTTTGATACCTTTGCCTTTTGGACTAGTAACTTAGAATTTTAAGATTTTTAGATTGTACAAGTAAGCTCAGTCCGTGAGACTGAGCAGTGGGAAAGGTCGGGTTTGAAGAGGACCAATCGTATATGCCCATTGATATGTGCATCTCTTATATCAGAGTTCTATGTACATTGTATACAGTTGTAGTATTTGCCACTTCCCCGTAATTTTAGCTCGGTGATGGAGCCCCACTCAATTAGAGTTAACCAATCAGATGTTGTCCGTAAAAAAACGTGCCGGACACCCGGACCCTTCACCGTTGATATCAAGTCACATGTGAGATCTACATTCCTGCCAATCCCCTATTTGTGTGTATCTTCAGCATATCACCATGGATCTCTCTGCACTTCGAAGTTCGGGCATAACCAAATCAAACAGGCAAGGTCGTCGACCAGGTAAATCAGCCTGCACGGCCTGCCACATCCGCAAAAAGCGATGTGATGCTGCCCCGCCACACTATCAATGCACATTCTGTCGCAAAGAGGATCAATTGTGCATACCCCGTGACTCAGTTGAAAGGTATGGGGATTGGACATCCAGGCCCTATATTATTCTAAGAATAGGCAATGCTAACAAGTCATGAGTTGAAGGCATACCCGGGACCGGATTCTCAACCGCAACCCCAAAACAAACCTCACCAGTTGCACAATAGATAATCAAAGCCACAAAGAAAAAGTTGCTCCTGTACCGCTAGGAATCGACCACGAGATACCCCGCTGGAGTGCGTTGTACTCGTGCTACTCGGAGATGCAGCGGTTGCTGCCCCCTTCCGTCTTCCCGTCTCCCTCCCCTTCGCCCGAGATCGAGATCGAGGAAGGCAATCCACCCGCCTCGTATAGGTCAAATTTCAATGAGAAAGAGGCACCGGCCCCGGAGATGAAGTCTGCAAAGCCCCATCCACCTGGGCTGAAAGGTGGCTGTGCTGATGAAAGTCATATGAAGAGAATCAACAAGCCAGCTTTGCAGACTCGGAGTGTATCTTCACCATCTCGGGGACAGGTATATTCAAGGCAGACATTGAGCGCGGCTGATATTATGCACGGCGAGAGTGATAGAGACATTGGCATTGCCAATGATGTTTTTATGAACGACCTTGATGCATTGCTTAGATTCTGACGATTTCTTTGTGGGCTCGAGACGAAAAACATCCACCCACAGTTGGACGTAATTAAAGGAGTTTGTCTTGGGCATTACAGTTCTATGATTCTATATTCAAATAATGTACAGGATAGTATAAGACAAAGTGACAGGGCGTGGACATCCTAGTGTACATAACAAACCAGTCAAAACAAGCCCGCCGGGTGGAATATGCATGCAACACGCTAGCGTCAATCAGACCAAAAACAAGTGGCACAAAAAATGCAAGAGAGGAGGTGTAGGGGGTTATTGGTCTTTGCGGATGATAGGGATGTGGATGGCGTTCTGCATCTTCCACGTTAAAGGACGCGGTACATCATGCCATTCGGAATCCAAGAAGGCGGCTGCATCCAACATGAACCGGAAGGGATGATTAGGCTTGTAGAGAGGACCCAGTTTGATGTCACGCTGAATCAGGGCATTGGCAAGACGGATTTGGTGAGCTCGCTCGCTGCCTTCGGGTTTCCATCCGATGAGAAAGAGGAGAGGATTGTGTCGGAACTCTGAAGGAATTTCGTCCAGAATGGAATCTGCCATGCTGTAACTTTCGTGGTGTAAGTCGATACCGACAATGACTTTGCCAGCATCGATGTTCCACAAAGTACTGAGCTCATTGTTCTTCTTAGCGAACGCATTGCGACACAGAGAAACCAGGACAGTCTGTTTCATCTTCTGGGTCACGACTCGATACATGCACGCGTATCTCCATAATACCAGGCAAATGTTGTAGTGGCGGCGCTTGAATGCAGCTAGGAACAAAAGCTCCCACTGCTCTCTCGATGATTGAAACCAAGGGACGTCGAGACATTTGAGAATATACCGCACAGCGGTGAAAACATCTGACCGGAACACTGTCACAATTGCGTTCATCGCATGGCCGTCGAGGGGTATTTTTCTGTCAATGCAGATTTGCACTAGCCGTTTCAAGGAGTCATGATCCTTCAACCGAGCGAGCGTACTGAACATTTGGCCCATTAAAGAAGAACTGAACCAATTGGCCCCGTAGGTGCTGGCCATGAGGTCAATGAAGGAGTCTATATCTTTCCCAGATTCTAGATGCACCAGGAGCGAATCTTGAATCGTCTGTTGGAGTGCGCCCTGGATAGTATTGATGTCGGACATGTAACCGCATTGTACCATATGTCCAATGAGCTCAGCCTTTTCACTAGGTTTAACCAGAGCGCTTAGCAAGGTAAGCCACGTCTCTGAGTTTGGATTGAGATGTGCGCGACCCATCTCGCGTATGAGGTGACGAAAAACCCTCACATCTTGACGCTGTGCGGCAATCTTCAACATGATATTGTATGTGTTTGCTGTGGCCACCTGCTCTGCGCGAGAACACAAGTCCCGAGCAGCAGAAATCAATTCATGTTGGCAAAGGAATTCCAATGCAAGATGTAACGCAGCAGTTGATATGTACTTGTGGTGTGTATCAAATAACTTCAAGATATGTTTTGTGATCCGCTCTATATCAGGAGTCTTCGATGGATTCATGGCCTTCTCATCGAGGTATGGTAACCGCGATGATGTGACATCCTCGACGTGCTCATTGAAGTCCTTCACTGAGTTGACAATAGGACGAGCCATCATGACTTCGTCAAAAGTCAGGCGGGATTTCCAATCTTCCTGGAAACACCAAATCCCTCGAACCAATGGCACCGGGACCTTGGAGCGCTCCATAGCGCCTCGCGATGAGCAAATCGGAACCAAAGGTTTGTGGATATCCGCAAGAGGATCGCCTGTCTCTTGTGAGTTCTGTGCACGAGTGAACTGCCCTTCCACCAACTCCAAAACACGATCTGTACCAGACAGAATAACTCGGCGGAGGAGTCCTTTGTTTTCACGTGCAGGTAAGACTTGCACACGGCATCCATTGTTGATCGGGACGTGCCAAATATTTTCTTGGAAAGTATGCTGGTTTACACCAGCGAACAGAGCTAGGGTCTCCTCTGCGACATATATTTCCTTCTGCTTTGTGCGAGTCCTGACTCTTATCCGGACATTATGCTGAGTCTCCTCTATAACATCCTTTGTATCAAACCAGGCCTTATCAATATAGGGCCATGACCGCTTTCGATACTGTTTCTTCATATATGCCCGAGCCCGGAGCTTCTTTTGATCTCTTAGAGATGTGTGTTGATTGTAGCGTTGCGTCGGAGTGAGAGTCGAAGATTCACCACCCTTAGGTCTGGGTTGCTGTATACTCTTTTGAATTCTCCTCGCCCTTGTCAACGCAAAACCGTGTAGCGCTCTTTGAGAAGTGGTGTTCTCGGCATCATTGAGGGAATTTCCCGACTGCTCTTTGTCGGCGGAGCTTCTATCTCCAGCACTCCCAATCAAAGCATCAGAGCTAGTCACATTTTTCGCGCTGATTTGACGGTTTTGTTTATTCGAAGAGGGAGGAAATTCCAGAGTTGAATGAGGAGTTCGGGCGGAATTGACAGAGATCCATCGGCACGAGTGTCGAGTGAGCGAAGGACAAGGGCGAACCACGGGGCAAAATGGAGCACCAGAGGCCTGGCATTTCTTGACCGGGCCTTCAATTGGATTCAAGGAAGAAATTGGCCGTCGTTGCCGCAAAGCAGGCGCAGCCCAGCGGGGATAGAGGAACAGAAGAGGTTCATCCGGGCCGGTGGCAACGGTGTCTAAGACGGCAGAGAGACGCCTTCTCAGACACGGGCGGCCACGCGAGAGCATAAGGATCGAAGCTCTGGCAGCACCGGAGACATTAATCAAAAAGGAACGAAGAAAGATTGGGCGCGTTGCTGTTGAGGTGTTTTTAGAATTGTCCGTCCTTTTTGCCCCGAAAATTGATGACACAAAACCGGCAGGCGGTGGAGCGTTGAAATGTATGGGCTTCTATACGTTCCTAGAGCAGCTACTCAAACTGATAATGTATGTAAAAATAATGAATGTGGCTATGCAAAGTTATAATACATTAATAGATGTGACCTTCGCGATCAATCTCGGCAGCTTTTGGGATGCCCCTGAAAACCTGCCTCATTGAGTGTGAACGTTCCTCCAAAACCGGCCGCTTAGACAACAATGTATCATGCTTAGCTGCCGGTGTTAAATCAAGAAGTTCAGTTGCTGACTCTCCATTGTCATTCTTAAACATATCCGGACCAGTAATATGCCGCTTGCAGGCTTCCACTGCACGAATAAGGTTATCTTTCTTGCGTTGAATGGCATCGGCATCTTTATCGGAAGCTGCGGGTGTTTTCGATAAATCCTGAATGACACCAGAAAGATACGTGACAAACTGCCACCGGGATGTTTGAAATAAGAAAGTCGGCATAATATCCAGTATCTGCTAGAGTTAGACAATCTTCAGATCATTAAAGAAGGGACGAAGCAATTGATGCGGCCCACCTTGTCGTGTAGATAATACAGCTCATCGCCACCTCCTTCGACGAATTTCTTTAATGCATCAATTCTCTCACGGTCAATGGATGACAGCTTCAGGGCATGCATCAAGCTGGGAATATCCCCAATCTCATCAACATGTGGCTCTTCGTCAACCGTCATACTTGCGCGGTTCAAGAATCCAGAGTCTACCCGCGGAAAACCAGCAGCACTTTGCTCTCGGCTTCTGGTCTTGAGGGAATGGATGGTAAAATAATCCTCATTGAGCATGTGGGATTTCTCGAAGTCAGAACGGCCACGCAGATGCCGGTCAGGGATCTTCGTTCGTAATCTAACCCACCGCCTCCTCCGAACAAAGGAATGGAACCATGGCTGTGTACCATGCCATGTAGAAGAAGAAAACGAAAATGAGTATTGCCATCCTTGCTCGTCAGTATCGCCTGACATGTCGACATACCATGCCTTCCAGGTCCACTCCCAACTCGGGTCGGGAAGTTGGGCATTTGTGATATTAACAGGGCTGGTACGGCGGTCCTGTGTCATCCAGGCGTCGGGGTCAAAGTTCAAGAGGGAGCTGTGCGAGTATCGTGGTACCCCAAAGAAGAATGAGCCTCGCTGGTTTTCGTAGAGGATGTCCAATTCCGAGTGCGGCTTTGCGTCGTCGCGACTGTTCCTTGGATCTCCAACTCCATTCAAGTCGTTGCCAATTGTAACAGTTTTTGATATACGAGGCGGCGCGAAGTCCGTTGTATCGACATCTCTGGCTCCGCTGCCTTCTCTGGTAGGGCTGGCTGAGATAGATTCCCCGCGCACTTGGGACGACTCCTGGCTGAGCGAGTCGCTGGCGTCAGGGGCAACTCCCAGTCTATCAGGTTGCCATTTTGCATATTTCCGCTTTTTGATCTGGCTCTGGACGGATGCTCGGCTGAGATGTTTGGTCAGGCTTGCTTGTCGATCTAGTGTGGATGTCCGTCGTGGGGTCCCTTCGTCGGTGGGTTGTTGTGGGACGGTATTATCCACCAGAGAAATGGACTTTGAGTTCTCCATTGTTTTGTTTCGAGTATTCAAGTGTATTTTGAGGTGAAAGTGGCCCAGAATATCACCGAGTGTGCTGTACTCGCATTATCTAAAAGAGTTGTATAATTCGAGAATAAACAGAGAGAAAATAATATGTCGGGTATCTTAAAAAAGGAAAAAGTGTAGAGCTGAACAAGGGAAGGGGAGTATAGAGAAGTTATAAGGAAAGTGAAGTGTACACTATCAAGAGAAAAAGCAAATGCAACATCGATGACATCGTTTGCGGGGATACCGCCAAGCCCTTTCAACTATCGCGGAAAAGAAAAAAACAACACTCAACAGCCAACACAACATGGCAGCGCCTCACTACCGAAAAGTCGAGCTTCAGTCTCCAGCAGACTTCACCTATCTATATGCCAACACCGTCGCGTTTTCGCGACAGAAACTCGACTTACACCTTCCCCCTTCCGCTTCAAACAATGAAACGCCAGACCCGATGCGCGAACGCGTTCGGGAGCTGGTAGACGAAGTAAGCTCCTAAATCCAACTCTTATCTTCTGTATTCCGAAGGCGATGTTGATTTCATATGATTTAACCTCAAACAGTACATAAATAAAACCTTCGACACAGCCTCGGCCTCAATCAGCATCAACGGATTAGACTCCTCCTCACCACAATTTCCCTTCCCAGCCGCATTCACTGCGCCAACGGAGCAAATCGAGTACGAGGTCTACGACACAGAGCTCGCATCACGCGTCACATCCCTCTATGCACAACTGGAATCGCTCAACACGACTGTTGCACAGCAAAGACGGGAAGCGCCGAGACGCGCCGCGAAGGAATATGCGGCGCAGTTGAAGAAGATGATTCAGGAGGAGGAAATCTACGAAAAAGAGCTCGAAATCGAACTGCAGGGAGAGAAAATCAACAATGAGATGGATGAGTCTGTGGATGGGCAGGCTCAATCGATCGAGGACACAACGCCTGGTCAAACAGCTGATCGAATGGATGTTGATTCTACCGAAGATTTCGGATCAACTCCAGCGTCCTCTCGGCGCAGAAGAAATATCGATCCAACTTGGACATTGCAGGCTGCACTTGGGACGGAGGAGGAGCAGGAACGGTGGAAGAGTGGGGATATTGCTGGTGTCTATGAAGATACTTTGCGTATGCTGCTGCGCTTGCAGGGCGAGAGCGGTGCTACTCCCGAAGACGGTGCAGAGGGTAATGCGTTGGCGACGACAGTTGGCAAGGTTGAGCGAGCCGGACGAGCTGCTGAGGTTGTGGAGACTATGATGAAGTGAAGCCCTCTAAGGCTATGGGTATGTTTAAGTAGTGTTTATTTATTCTTTCATGCTTAGGTTCTTTGCGAAATTGGGGGCGTTTTGAAGCCCTGGGCTTTAGTTGGGAATAATGATACCATGTCTTGTTTACTCTTGATTTGTTCAGCCAGAAAGAAATCTATTTGTTCCATGTCTACTGCAGACATTGTTCTTCGCTATTCCAAATCTCACAAAATATGTACCATTAGTGGCAGGAAAAATCCTAGACATGATAGCTACCATTTCAATATGTGCTTGTTCGTGTATACACACCAGCACTATATTTGAATAAGAACACCAGCTATTCACCTTAACACCAGCTCACTTTTAGATTTCATCACGTCCTGTTCCTTCTATACCAGGAGCAGCACATGCTGCGCATCTTTAACAGGTGAAAAACAAACGGAACAATAAGAAACAAGCTCTCCATGATATCTAGATCTGAAAAAAAAGCAACACGCAAATAGCGAATGTAAGGCAAGGAATCCAAGGATTGGTGGATGGGTCGGCGAAGATGTGTTGAAACCACCGGAGCAGATACTCCAGTCTGCCAGGGGGATTTGGCGTCGGATGGGACCTTGTTTATAGGTCGTACCACCTTTGATGTTTTTTTGTTTCTGTTTTCAGTCCCAGCACAAGCCCGGGGGGTGTACGTATATCGGTTTAAGGAATGAATGAAAAGCCATCAGCTTAAGCGCTGGTCTGAACACCCTCCTGACCCTCGACATCCTTCTTCTCATAACTGGTCTCCTCGTTCTGCACAACAGGCTCGGCATCCTGCTTGGTGGCCTCCTTCTTAGTAGCCCACTTAGGGGGACGAGTCCATTCAGGCTCCTGCCACGGGCCCATATCGGAGAGCTCACAGCCACCAGGGCAGGTGCACTTGCCGCCGAACTCAACGGGCAAGTTCTCGGCGGGAACCTGGGACAGCAGCTCCTTCTGATATCCGCTGCCGAGGATGTTGATCTTGCTAGCAGTCACGGGATCGAGGAAACCCTTGATGGCGCTGAAGGCGGTGCTGAAGCCCCAGGGGGCGTTGATCAGGTACAGCTTTCCGAGACGCTCAGGGTAGTGGTTTTGCGAGATCTCTGAAGCCTGCTTGACATATGTGTAAACAGAGGAAATGCTGCTGATGCCAACTCCCTTGAGATCCATGATGGTGCAGCAGGTCTCGAGCAGCTTACCGGCCTTGCGCGAGCAGGCAGGCAGGCGCGGGTCGGCCAGCTTCTCATACTCAGTCACCAGGTTCTTCAGCATGCGATCGGCGTTGGTAATCTTGTACATCTGGTTCAGATCGATCTTGCCCATCTTCTCGATATAGACGGGACGGCCATCCTGTTGAACACAATGTCAGTATCGAGATTTTGATAAACGAACTACGATAAAACATGAGAAACCAACCTTATCCGTCTTGTGATAGTACTGAGGGTAGTACTCGAAGACCTTCTCCTTCTCCGGGTATTCGAAGTTAGCTGCCAAATCATCGGTGCCGAATTCCTTGCGCCATTTCTCGCTGTTCGTAAACCTGCAAAAATCCGTTAGACCATTAAAGCTCATGGCTGTACCAGCCGCCTGCGTAGAAGGCTTTTGAGCAAACAAAAATTTCTACAGCTGCGGGAAGGATCGAGCAACGTACATGGCCTTGGCAGCCTCGATGTCGAACTTGCGGGCACGCAGGAAGCGTAGGAGAGTCAGAGTGTCCAAACGCTCGGTGTAGCCGAGCTTTTCCAGCTCGGCACGGAGCTGGTGAACCTTTGCATCCTGCTCCGGGGTGGTGTGGCCAGGGTGACCAGGCTGTGACTCCGGAGCGGTGGTGGGAAAGTCGTACTGATCGTACTTGGGGTCGGTGGGCAACTGTGACTCTGTGGCCGCCATTGTGATGGTGAGATGTTATGGTCGAGGGTGTAGGGAAGAGAAGTTGTTTGTTCAGGAATAAGGGCGGGAGGCGGAGGGGGAATTGGCGTAAGTGGCCACTTTAGGATAAAAATATTAAAAAGCTTCTAGGTGATCGTCCAAAATTATTGAATTCATATAACACTACAGAGTACTGATGTGATATTCATTTTAAAAAGGAAATATATTGTATAGAAGGCTATTGTGTTATTTTTTCTCCTTTTAATTATAACTCTCTCCCGTTTGATGTTGTCAATGTTATTGAGACCCGCAAACGGTCGAGGTTAGTTATATACATGTACCGAAACCAAATCTGTCTATGCCTGGGTTTATATATAGAGTAAAGGATCAATTGGTGCAACAATTGAATAACAATTTCGACTATACAGGAAGTTTTTTTCAAAGAAAAAAGACCTTAAAAAGGGGCAAGGCGACGAGGGGCAAACGTGGCGGTGTCAGTGACGAATTCGCTGCCATATTGTAGAGTGGACACCGGTATTTGACCTTCAACGCGTGTACGGAGTACTCCGTAGTCAATTCAAACGTTACACACATAGCAAATTCTGGGCGGTGATGGAAAACTAAGTGAAAAAGCCACATAAAAACAAAACACTTTACGAAGTACAATGACGGTCCATAAGTTTCAACACCCTTTTGGATACCGCCTTCCTATAATAGTCGCACCGCCTACTTGGACAATGATACCGCTCAATGGATTAAGCTTTTGGTTGTTGAGAGCAGGCAGAAAACAGGGGTGCTGAAACTTATGAACTGTTACTGAAAGCTATGTATAATAATATTAAGAACGATTAACATCAGTTTCCTATAAGGGCAAAAAATTTGCATGATGCTCACACCCGGGATTGAACCGGGGATCTTATCATTTCATTGCAGGTACGCTATCTAAGGGTTAGTAAGAAGTTTAGGTAGACAATCAAATAAAGATTTACTAACAGTGATACGCGTTACCACTACGCCATGCGAGCATTGCTGTCCTTCGGCTGCAATATTTATAATAGTTAATAGGAGGAAATCTATAGTACATGCGGTCATCTAAGTGGCTGTGTCCTTGGGTAGTTGCCTTTTTAGCGTACAGTAATTGTTCAATACTATTTCAGTGAATAAATAGTCCAATCGAAAACGAGAAAGCCGAGCATAATAATTGAAGTTTGCTTAAACTGAATAGGAGCTTGCTTCTATAATTTCCACCTAGTAACTAGTATGTGGTTAATGACTAGTTATGTACTCCGTACTATAACTAAAGCTGATCTGCAACGATGAACCTGATTCCCTGACCCTCTCTTCCATTAACGTGAACGTAATTCCCAAGCGAGCTACGCAGTCCAATACACATAATAAATGTGAGATATCCAAGTCATATATCAAGAACCACAGTCTTGGTTTATTTCATAGTAAATTTAGCTCAGAAGTATAAGCTTCTAGATGATGTTGAATAAAGCCAGTCACGTGTGTAACGCGGGATCAGGACGAAACAACTTGAATCCAGCTTGGTTGATCGCGCTTTATTATCAATACATTGTTTCGAGGACCACAAATAGCAACTCTTCAAATTTCCTCCTGTGTCCCTGTTGTGCATTCGAACCTCCGAACTCCTCATCAAGCGATGCGCGCAAGCTAAACGCGGACCGCCTGAACCAGCTTGATTCATGCACCCCTTTTCCGTCCTCACACTTGGAATCTTCGTCGCGGGCTATATTACCGCCAGGTGGGACCTTGTTACCCGTCTATACGAATTGGCCATCTTTGCCTGGGATCACGGCGTTGTGGTATGTCTCCGACCATGGGTCTTGGCCACCCCTCCGCTTGCGACTTATCAACTCGTTGGCAGCATACGTTGTCGAAGGATAGCGCTAACTATACACTGTCTAGACACGAACTGCGAAGGGTTTCTTGTTTCTGTCCATCTTCTTTTTCCTACTCGTCCTACCAATCAATCACCTCGCGTCCAAGGAGGGTCAATTGGTGAGCAATCCTGGATCGACCAGATGTGTTCGACACCGGTCAAACATATTGGCATTCTGTTGTGGTCTGGAGCTATATACTGATGTCCTGCCGGATAACAGCACCCGCGCCACGTAAATTTCGGCGTCTCTGCGCGAGAACAGTTGCGCCGTCGAGGTTCGTTCTGAGACCTGGGTGGAGGATGACAATATGCTCATGAGTGATGGATTGTTACGGGTATTTTGGCCATATGATCTCCCGCGATCTTCGTCATCCGGTGTGATTGTCGGATGGCGGAACTCAGAACTTGATCTATTTGTGCTCACAGTGCTGGAAGAAGTCGAGGTAGGCGCTATCTTTCTCTGTGACTAGCCTGAGCTCTATAGGCTAACCACCTTTCTATAAATCAGCCACGCAATGTCGACAATGCTCTCCGCGCCGGAATCCTGTTCCGCAACAGTCCCCACCCGATTGGGCGCATGTTCAGTCTCTGTGGCCGCTCTCAAATGCATGTTCTTGGCTCGACCAACTCATCTGTGCCACCTACGTCCTTCAACTCTTCTCACCTTGACGTGACTTTGAACCCACCATCGAAGGCCCCTCGAATCTTCTGCCCACCAGAGGCGAATTTGTCAGTGCAGGTTATCATGTATCACCGCCCGCATCCAACGCGCATGGAATACATGTCGCTTCATCCAATTTCTCTGGCACTGGGAGATAAAGTGACAAAAACAGAAACATGGGGCCCCTCATCTGACAAGGTCGAATCAGAAGAAGGTGACAAGACCGGGTCCAAGCTTTTGGTCGAGAAGCTCAAGCTCCATTCGGTTGTAAAACATATCCCATCTCAGAAGGAGCAGGCCCTCCCACTAATTATAAACCAAGTCAACTGCGCATATGAGATGTCACAGCTCATGCATAAAAACAGCCATTTGATTGGCATTCGTGCGAAAAGAAGCATGAGCGTTGGTGAGCGGGTTGTGGAATCAGCGACAACTCTATGGGGCTTTATTGTTCTCTGTATTGCTCACGTTTTCTGGCAATGGCTGTGGCCCGTTGTCACTCGTTTATTTGTCATTGGGCTTGTGGGCCATCGTTCTGTTGCAGAAATCGTCTTGCAAGTTCTCGAGTGGCGCGCTCGGCCTGACGCTGCTGCTCTCAAGGACATTTCGGCAACTGCTCAACAGGTTGATATACGTTTGCAGCAGTTTTGTTATTGGCCAATTCAATATGTCAAGCTTCGACAAAGAAAGGATAATTGGGAGAGCGTGACAACCAGTCATCCGGATTATATCCGGTTCTACAACAGTTTGTGGCTGGTTGCTAATGATGTGATCATTGGAATTGCTATGGGTTCCTACATCATTGATAACGCGAACTGGGTTGCTTCGCAGATCAACACTGTCTTGACTGGTTGGACCGTGGAAGGATTACAGCGTACCATATCCTGGCTTATGGATTGGCCAGCTGGTTTGAAATTAAACAACGAACTTGCAGCCTTCCTTGGTGATTTGTTCCTTTGGGTTATCGAGAACTGGGCAGCTTGTATCGCCAATCTTCAGCCCTTCCTTCCTGCTATCATCTATGTTGTTGGGTGCTCTAGCTTTGCAGGAGCCAGTATGCCAATTGCTCTCTTCTCTGACCTCCTTTCGATCCTGACGGTCCACATTTATTCCTTCTATATTGCTTCCGCGCGGATCTTCAACTGGCAGCTCACTATCATCATCTCCCTTTTCCATCTGTTCCGCGGAAAGAAACGCAACGTCCTCCGCAACCGAATAGACTCATGCGACTACGACCTAGATCAACTTCTACTTGGCACCATCCTTTTTACGGTCCTTTTCTTCTTACTTCCTACAGTCGTGGTCTTTTATTTGACCTTCGCATCCGCCCGGATGCTAATCATTTCAATGAAGGCAGGGTTTGACACTTGCCTCGCATTCTTAAACCACTTCCCACTCTTCGCGCTGATGCTTCGCGTGAAAGACTCCCGACGTTTACCGGGCGGTATTCGCTTCGAACTTCGGGATGATCCAAATAAGAGTTACTGTAGCACAGATTTGTCTGCGCGGGTCTCCTATATTCACTTAGAGGTATTTCCACAATCAGTTCATCAAAGTCCAGGCTTCAAACAGCAGCTAACGTTAATTTAGTCCATTCCCCTTCCGCTACGTGCAATGTTCGACCAGTACTTCCAACTCGGCCATCGGCTTCGGAAACACTACCTCGCACCTCGTGTCATCTTCTGCCTCATGACTGGCCGGTTTGTTCCACCCATTCACCGCCGCAACCTCTATAGCATGCAGTATAGCATGCTACCTGCCCGTCGTGCTGGAATGGCAGAGGTGTGGTCATTACTCACCCAAACCAAGAAAAGCAACGGAGGAGGTAGTGGCGCTGGCTCTATGGGTGGGGGTGTAGGGGTTCCAGGCAACCCAGTGCCTAAGGTTCCGGCGAACTTCGGCCAGGGTGATCAGCGGAGAAGGGGTCACCGTTGAGGTCATTACTTCTTGTACATAATACCACTAATGCTTTACCCGGAAAATATATATGTCTTCACGGCCAATGTAGGAAAAAGAGAGCTGATTAACAATAAGAAAGTATTTGCATGGCCCAGATATCATTGGGAGCTTTTCAAATCCCTTATCTTTCTATTCCAAGATTTACTATCGTTAAAAACACTATGATCTATAAACAACAAGCAAGTTCTCCATCGATTTCAGCTGTACATGGTTAACCAGATTTAGGTATCTAGCCATATTGACTTCAAAGGGAGAATTTGCCAAAGCTCAGACTGTGGTTGGGGCCTAGAATCAATCAAGAATATGTGACAATTGAGAGTGATGTATATGTTATGAGATGAGATATGCTAGTATATACATGATGCCAAACCCACAAGGCCAGACCAACTCCTGTTCACGAGAATAGATCGGATGAAAGATGCATGCTATCGCTGAAAAGACCAAATGGCGCCAGTTCCTTGAAATAATGAGCCCCTAGACGGCCAGCTCAAGTCCCCGTTCAAGACTTTTTGAGAAATTCTGCGTCTGTTTCGCTGCTGCCACTCTTTCGGGCATCATCCACCATGGTGTCAATGCCTCGTTCCTTGAGAACTTTCTATAACCATGACAATAGGTCGATTAGACACAGTGTAAATTGTAAGCATATACTAGGGCAAAGTATAAGACTCACGTTTAAGCAGCCCTTATAATTCTGAAACAAAGCTTCACAGTCATTGGAAGAGGTGTTGCCACGCAAATATTCTGTCTTGGAATTAGCACCTTTTGCGTACATATAGGAGGAAGCGGCAAAGCTACTTACTCTCGCTGTACCATTTAAGGAAGCAAGTGTCATATTTCCTATTTAGATTGTTAATACATTCGATGTAGATGCCGGGTGTTCTAGAACTCACTCCTTGATATCGTTGCATTCGGGGGCGATGGAGGCTGCCATGATGGATATAGTGAAGACAAGTCCTGAAAATTTCGAGATTATTTCTTGCTTTCTCTTTGGTAATTGAAAGCTCTTATCGTTTTTTCAAATATTGTAGTAGATTAGAAGGAATGAGAGAAAAGAATGTAGCGACGCTGAGGCAGTTCCATACAAACTCTCACCAGGTTAGGCAGGCGGTCAGGCGGGTCAATTGATCCTGCCGCGATCTTTTTTTTCGGAGTTCTGGATTTCCCTTTGTTCTATTTCTCTTGTTGTTTGTTTCAATCCACTGAATTGGAGCTCTGCTAGTCACCATGGACTCTGCAGAATTTGCCCCATTCCAGGCGGAATTGACATCTGCTCTAGTCCAAGTGACTCGAACCGTTGGACAGCTCTCGTCAGAAGATCTGAACTTCCATCGCACCTCCAGCGCGAAATTTTCCGAGTCACTAGATGAACAGAGCGAGCGAATCATTGCGCTGACCTCGGCTGTAATCAAAGCTGCCTCCGCTGGCACCGATGTAACCGGACCGACCCTTCACGATGAGGATTCAGTCGAGGACAATTGGCGAGGCGTGGTGGATGTGATTGATTTGCTGCTGGAAAAAGCGGACGCCTGCTTGGATGAGTTCACCGGTGTGATCAAAAAACTCAGCCCGTCACAGGAGGAGCAAGCTCCTGTGGTCAAGAAGGGCCCTAATTTCCCGACTATCTACGATTACGGCCCGTCTAAAATCCCCAAGCCTCAACTGGATTTCGAGCGCAAGCCAGATAACACAAACGTGGAACCATTCAAACCCCTCCTCAAGTCCAAGCCTCATGCGATTGTTCCGTTGGAGAAGTGCCTGAAAATGAAGAAGATTGACGGCGCACCAGGCTACCCTCATCCATATGAGACTGAGATTCGCGAGTCCCAGTACCCGAAATCGGTCTATCAGATTTCACCTCCAATTGAATACCTGCCCTTTGAGAGCACGACCGCTACGTTTGTTGATACTTTGGACGGGGTCAAGGAAATGCTGAAGGAGCTCAAAAAGGCAAATGAAATCGCCATTGATTTGGAACATCACGATGTTCACTCATACCACGGTCTTGTATCTTTGATGCAAATCAGTACCCGGGACAAGGATTGGGTTGTGGATACATTGAAACCATGGAGAGAAGAGCTGCAAATGCTGAACGAAGTTTTTGCGGATCCAAAGATCTTGAAGGTCCTACACGGTTCCACCATGGATATCATTTGGCTGCAACGTGACCTGGGTCTCTATATGGTTGGAATGTTTGATACTTTTCATGCTGCATCCGCACTGGGCTTCCCCAAGCGGAGCTTGAAGTTCCTGCTTAGCAAGTTCGTCAACTTCGAGGCTGATAAGCGCTATCAAACTGCCGATTGGCGAGCTCGCCCACTTCCAACTGAGATGTTCGATTATGCCCGCTCTGATACCCATTATCTTCTTTACATTTACGACCGTCTGCGAAACGACCTTATTGAAAATTCGACCGAAGAAGCGAGCCACATCGATTACGTCAACGAAGGATCGAAGAAGGAAGCATTGCAACGCTATGAACGCCCTGTTTACGATGCCATCAATGGCCATGGCCCAGGAGGCTGGTACGATCTGCTATGGCGTAACTCAAGTAACCTCACCAAGGAGCAGTTCGCTGTTTTCAAGGCAGTCCACCAATTCCGGGATGAGGTGGCACGCGCTGAGGATGAGGGCTGGCAATGCGTTTTTCCCAAACATATGCTCTTCAAACTTGCTCAAGCTATGCCGCTTGACCTGGGAACTCTATTCCGAACCCTGTCACCTGTGACTCCCATCACAAAAGATCGGGCGCCAGAACTCTTAGATGTTATCAAGCAAGCCAAGCTAGCCAGCATTGATGGCCCAGAATGGCGCGATGTTGCACCCCCAAAACATTTTGCAAAGGCGGGCGAAGCTCTTCCCTTGGATCTTTCTAACGTTCCTATCGCTGGACGGTTCGAGACATCTCAATTTTGGGGCGATGTTTGGGAGATCAAAGAATCGCCTCTTCCTGCAGAATATTCTCTGACCGCTGGGGCAGAGGCCCTGCGTCTTTCTCTCCCCTTGCCACCCATGCCAGCAACCGTCTCCCAAACTCGGGACCACCTCGGCGCAGCAACAAAACCCGCTGCCTCCCAACCCACAACTCCCCCTCTCCCAAGGAGCCAGAGGCGAAGAAGTATTTCACTGTCAAGGATCTTGGTGGTCCACGCAAACGAAAGGTCACTCCAGTCAACAACCCAGCACAGGCCCTCTCCACCACGGCCGACCTAGACGACACCAGTAACGACCCCGATTCCGCCGAAAAGAAGAGCAAGAAGTCACGCAAGGAGAAGAAAGCAAAGAAGTCGAAATCAAAGTCTCAATCCGACGAAGCTCCCTTCGACTACGGCGCCGCCGATGCCGTTCTCAACGCTCCTTCTGCCTCCACAACCCAGCCCCGTAGAAAGACTTTCAACCCCTACGCCAAGGCCATGGAGGCTCCTTCAGGTGCGCGGAAGACTAAGCGAGACGAGGCCGGCAAGTCTCTCACTTTCCGCCAATAGATTGGAGATGTTTTCCATCTTCGGTCTCAAAAAAAGCATTACGGGGTTTGGGTGGGCTCTTCGTTTTTCACGGTTTTTTGTGTTTGATCAATTAGCATAGCGATACCCGTAAGTCAGTTGGAGGCTCTGGGATTCTACTTCTTGTGTGTACATTTAGAGAACATCAGGTTCTCATTGGCAATTAAGCTACATCATGTTTACCCATATACTATTTAACGGTATACCACGTAATGTACTCCATACTTTGTACCTACCTAGGTAGATCAGATTAGATTTCCTCGATGCCAAGTATAGAGTGGATTTGAGCAAGAAATAGGTATGCAGCAGCTAAGCCTTCCCCTGGATGCAAAATGTTACAAGTTGAATGTGGGATTGATCTTGTCCAAGGAAGGCAACTGTTTGATGTAGATAAATTAAGTAGCGGCAGATTTAAAGGTTAGGAACAGCCAGAATATGCGGTAAGACAATAGTTGACTGAACACCTGCGTGTCAGTTGATATATAGAATGAGTAGGTCTCAGCCACATGCTTCTATTTTGGCAATGTGTAACTTTGTAGCTGTGAAACACATACTTATCTACAAAGGAACAAGGTTGGTCAATACTTATACTGTACAATATACCTAGTAGGTAAAATGTACAACGTCAACGAGATTGTATATCCGCATTGAGCACCACTCCCCGCTACTTACAAAAAATGAGGGGGTAAAGGCCAATCAAAATAAAGTTTGATGCTTTGCAAATTACAGATGCAATTACAATAGAAATGGAGATTCTTCAACGGGGCCCTAAAAGGGTAGGATAGGGGGACGATCCTATCGCTTTAATGGCAGGACCTCGGGATAAGACAACCGTTAATAACAATTGTGGCCACAACTACACGTAATTATACCATATTGTACCAACCTTACACGTCCATTGCCGATCCCTAAGAGAGATCATACAACGTTGCGGAAGGATTTCCATCCGACAAAAAAGTGTTACTCGGAAGGCCGGATAGCGTAACCCAGGGTGTAGTATGGTTAAGTTCATTTAGTTCAGGTTTGATATGCAAGTAACCTTGGAAGTATACATACATATATACCTATCAGGGGGTTGGGAATTGATCTACAAAGCTTTGGCGCGTTTCATGAGGGGACGTATGGCCCGTGTGGATGATCTGATTGTTGGCATTTAATTTTTGGCATTCAATTTTTGGATTTTTGGATTTGGATTTCAGTTGCCTCTTGAGTGTACCTGCAAGTACCAACAAACACCTATAAGGTGCCTCTATTGTACTGAAGTATATGTATGTATTCGCCTTACGCCTCCGCATGATTTATCCATGGATGCGCGTATTAAACCCGAAATTCGATAAGAAGAAAAAAGGTCAAGGACCCACTTGACTCTCTCCACTCTCTCTTTTACCCCTGAGAGAATGGGACCCAAGTGGTACTCCGTACTCGGAGAGAACTTCAGTGTACCCCATAGTTTGCTTTAGAATATAATTATGATTCAATTCAATTCAATTCAATTCAATGTGATTTGATTCAAATTTATCAAATTCCATCTATGGAATACATTTATCTTAAATTCATTTCATTTCATATGTAATCAGGGAACACTTAAACTTTCTTTGTTAGGAGGTTGTCTCGGTCCATTGGTACTACAAACCCTAATGGACAGGTTCAATCATTAGAAGTCAAACTTGACCGTTGCACTGGAGTACAAGATGAGAGATATAAATAATATAATATAGAGTAAAAATGAGAGAATACCTAGAACAGAGAGAGAGACCTGTATGTCGGATACAGCCGAGAACCGCTAAAGTTATCCAAGACATTCGTGCATTGTCCATGCAAGATGATTTGGTTATGTCACAGCTAACAGAAAGGTCAAAAGTACTGTAACTATAGTGAATGTTACAATAACAAGAAATATGAAAGTACACAAAGGTACCAAGCACTCCGTACAGGATGCACTCCAGTTATACAATATTGTGGGTACACGTGTACATACATAGTCAATCAAAAGGTGGTTTCTAATGCCGATATCTGAATCGATATGAAACCAAGTCATTGTGTCGAGTTAGATAACTGGATAATCGAGTATTCGGTGCATTTCTCATTCTTCATATGTAGTCCAACATTCCCACACATCCACATGGAGGTCTCGTGGTCCTAGCCCAAATGGTCCAAGTAGTTTGTTTTTAGACGCAGGTACCGAACCCCCCTGCAGACATGAGACCGTGTGACTTGCCTTGTAACGTTGGTATTTTCTTTTTTCTTTTTTCTTTTTATTTGAAAAAGAAAAGAAAAGGACCAGGAGAACATAACATAAGTGTATGTACAAAAAGTAGCATATCAAGTATAATATATATTTTCTTTTTACCGTTGAAAAAGATCTGACGTCAGGTATTTCGTGTGAAAGATTATGGAGTCAAGGCGCATTGGCCAAAAGAAAAATGTCGATCGAGAGATCTACCTATTACCGTGAAGGTCAAGTTAGAAATCTTTACGGAGCACGGTGTGCGGATAGAAAGGAGAAAGTCCTTAGGGGCCGAGTGGCGACAATGTGCATTGGGCCAGGGGTAAAAAAGAGAAAGATAGGCCTTTTTCCCCTTGCATAAGGAATATATGTATCATTCTCTTTTCTTTTACAACGTATAACATACATCACTATACTTATATGAAGAGAAAAAAGCAGAGAATGCGAGTCAAATAGTAATTATTCATAATATATAAATATAATATAATTAAATACTATGTTATATTAAAAAAAACCCCTAAAAAGGAAGATGTAAATAAAAAAGAACTAAAAAGTACACGGCAACCCACATCACTTTTCCCCAGAACCGCCCTAACAGCAAACTAACGAAATAATAATCTCCCCTCCCCCTCTCTCTGATCCCTTGATTTCTATCTCTTCTCTCATTCTCTCTCTCTTGTTATTATCAGAACTTGTACAGAGAGCACAAGACAAAGTGTGTTTGACACCTGGTTTTCTTCGGCCCAACGCATTATTACCTAACCGTGGTTCTCTATCCGCCCCCTGTCGAAAAAAAAAGAGATCGGCTTTACCAATTATTGAATCTCGAGAATTATCCAGTCTCTGGTGCTTTTAGTGTCCATTGGTCCAATCGTCTGCAGTGCGCTCGTCTTGACGACTGCGTGTTACGAACCTCACAATGTCCGTTGCGACGATGCTTCAACCTGCGTCTAGACAATCTCGGGCTTCTTCCTCCTCTTCCTCCTCGTTTCAACCTGTTGCACGACAAAACACAATGTCGTCACACGACACTCGGTCGCTCCGCCAATCGAAGCGGATGTCAGTCACGGCCTTATACCTGTCCATGTCCGCGAAGGACAGGGATCTGGAGATTTCCGATGACTTGGCACGAGGTATGTCTCTGTGCCTTTTAGGCCTTTCGGTCTTCGCGCTAACCCCCCGACAGCTCAAAAGCACCTACGAGACCTGAAATCAAGGATCTCCTCACAATCTAAGAAAAACTTTGTGTTGGAAAAAGATGTGCGATACTTGGACTCGCGGATCGCATTGCTCATTCAGAACCGAATGGCGTTGGAAGAAGTGAGTGTTTTGTTTCTTGAAATCCGAAAGGCACATTGACTGACGTGTATGTTTTTTTTTTCAACCAGCAAAATGAAGTCGCTAGCCACCTTGATGATACCGCAGACCCGCAGGAAGGGTTCTTCCCGAACGATGAACGAACCCAGAAATACGGCAATCTACTTTTCCTCCTTCAATCCGAACCCCGCCACATCGCTCATCTTTGCCGACTTGTTTCCATGGCCGAAATCGATTCCCTCCTCCAGACTGTCATGTTCACCATCTACGGAAACCAATACGAGAGTCGCGAGGAGCATCTCTTGCTCACCATGTTCCAGTCCGTTCTCACATACCAATTTGACAACACTCCAGAGTACTCGTCCTTGTTGCGCCAGAACACCCCCGTTTCTCGCATGATGACTACATATACGCGCCGTGGTCCCGGTCAGAGTTACTTAAAACAGGTTCTAGCAGACCAGATCAATGCTCTGATTGAATTGCGTGACGTCGATTTGGAGATTAACCCATTGAAGGTGTACGAGAGCATGATTAAACAAATTGAGGAAGAAACCGGTTCCCTTCCGGACTACTTGGCCCGGTCTGTGACTGCTGAAGATGCTGCCGAAAATGCACAAGTACAGGCCATCATTACCCCACGCCTAAAGATGTTGACAGATATTGCGAATGGATTTATCACAACCATCATCGAGTCGGTGGACGAGGCTCCCTACGGGATTCGCTGGATCTGCAAGCAGATTCGAAGTCTGTCGCGCCGAAAGTACCCCGATGCCCAGGATCAAACAATTTGTACCCTCATTGGTGGTTTCTTCTTCCTGCGTTTTATCAACCCGGCCATCGTTACCCCTCGTTCCTACATGCTGATTGACGCAACCCCAACGGAAAAGCCGCGCCGTACCCTCACGTTGATCGCAAAGATGATTCAAAACCTGGCAAACAAGCCGTCCTACGCCAAGGAGCCCTACATGGCCACTTTGCAGCCTTTTATTCAGCAGAACAAGGAGCGTGTGAACAAGTTCCTGCTTGATCTGTGTGAAGTACAGGATTTCTATGAGAGTCTCGAAATGGACAACTACGTGGCTCTGTCCAAGCGTGACCTGGAGCTCCAAATTACCCTCAACGAAATGTACGTCATGCACGGTCTCTTGGAGAAGCACAGTGCGGCTCTTGCTCAGGACCAGTACTCTCACTTGTCTGTGTTACTACAAGAATTAGGTGGTGCTCCCCCTCAGGTTCCCCGCAAGGAGAATCGAACAATCACTGTACCTTTGTTCAGCAAATGGGAAACCGCCTTGGATGATTTAACAGCCGCTCTCGATATTACCCAAGAAGAGGTGTTCTTTATGGAGGCCAAGTCAACATTTGTCCAGATTCTCCGATCTCTACCACAGAACACATCAGTCGCTCGTCGCCCATTGCGCCTCGACCGTATTGCCGAGGCCGCAGCGACTCTGAAAAACGATGCTGTGATGGTGCGCAAGGGCATCCGGACCATGGAACTGCTCAGCCAACTGCAAGACATGGGCGTCATTGACCGCTCCGATGAGTTCAGTCTCCTCCGCGACGAAGTGGAACAGGAGCTGGTGCACCTAGGTTCTCTCAAGGAGAAGGTATTAGATGAGACGCGCAAGCTCGAGGAGGTTTTCGCGACAATCCGCGACCATAACGCTTATCTGGTTGGCCAACTGGAGACCTATAAGTCTTACCTTCATAACGTGCGCAGCCAGTCTGAGGGAAAGACTCGCGGCGGCAAGACGCCAAAGAACCAAGAACTTGGACCATACAAGTTTACCCACCAGCAACTTGAAAAGGAAGGCGTCATTCGACGTAGTAATGTCCCGGAAAACCGTCGTGCCAACATCTATTTCATGTTCAAAAGCCCATTGCCAGGAACGTTCGTCATCAGCCTTCATTACAAGGGTAAGTGACTCAAGATGAACATCATACAAAAAGAATCATCACTAACAAATCGCTTTAGGCCGAGCCCGTGGATTACTCGAGCTTGATCTCAAGCTTGACGATCTCTTGGAGATGCAAAAAGACAACCTTGAAGACCTCGATCTGGAATATGTCCAGTTCAATGTCACCAAGGTGCTTGCGCTCCTCAACAAACGATTTGCACGAAAGAAGGGATGGTAAATGCATCTTGCCGTGGCTTTTCCAGCCGCCACCACCCTTTGATGAATGATGAGCTCGAACAGAGGCTGCAATAGCCCTTCTGAATTTCCAATCCGCCATGTCCGGTGCAATCCTCTTACGATGATTGACCGTACCCCAGGCGCTTAATGTGATGATCATGGACGCCATATCTCTCATGTACCTTTCCATTCCCGGCACATGATGAAGCAGATGACTGCTTTATGCAATGATTTGGATCTGCCCGTCCATGCAGGTCGGGCGAACTGCCCAATGTGAATGCTGCCGATACACGAACATACCCCATGGAGGATGATCAAGGCCCTCCCCGCTGGTACGGGATGTCTATGATCCTGTGACTTTTTGTTATATTTATTTTCTGTGGCCAATTCCCCTTCCCACTTGTTTTTACCCTAATCCTTTTTACCTTTGTCTCTCCCTTTCCATTCCAATTGTGGGTTAATATCGTGGTGGTTAACGTGTCATAATATAATACCGAGGTTACCGTACGGATTCGCTTAGCGATGTGTTTGAATCTTATAACTATTTGATGAAGTCAATTTGTATCGAGCAGAAAAACTTGTATACCTAGATAGTATTAAGTATGGTCAGACGAACGAAAACATGGGTGAAAAATGACCTAGTGTATTTCCCTAGCGAGTGACGCAGTCCAATACATACAACGTGTGCGATGAATCACATCTTTATATGGTCCATATCTCTTTTTATATCCACCCTTAAGTATACGAGGGCATTGAAACAAAGAGAGGAAGTAGTTGTAGAATTTGATTCAACATATCTGGTAAAAAATGAGTACGAAATAATGTCCTTTCAGCCCAATGCCTCCATTAACGCCGAACCCCGTGAGAAACCCACATAGCGTTTTCACATCTTTACAGAGCCTTGATGCCCTGGAAGACCTTGTTGGCCTGCAGTTTTTCATCAGCCTGCGCTAGATCACGCATGACTTGTCGCTTTTGCTCTGCTGTCATCTCCTTGCCCTCGGTTGCTGCCTTCCATTTGAGCAACATGCCCTTGAGGAGGGCACTGCCTTCCTCAACCTCTTGCTGGGAGTACTTGTCCAGTGAGGGTGCAGGGGGTTGTGGCTGTCCCTCTTCAGTGGTTGCTGAGGTGAAATCTTCCAGCTCCTCGGCCTTTTGACGAGCCATGTTGACGACCTTGGTGGGGAAGCGAACGAGTTCGGCAACATGGATACCGAAGGACTGGTCACAGATTCCTGGCTCCACTTTGTAGAGAAGAGTGACTTGGCGTTTCTTCTTCTCTTCAGCTTCGGCTTCGGCTTCCACTTCAGCCCCATTTCCATCTCCAATGAAAGCTACGACGTGCAAATTCTTGACGGCTTTCTGATATCGATCTGACAAAGCAGTAAGTTCGTGGAAATGGGTAGCAAAGAGACCGAAACAGCGAATTTCAGTAACGATATGCTCTGAAATAGCCCAAGCCAAACCGAAACCATCGTATGTGCTGGTTCCACGGCCAAGTTCGTCGATGATGATAAGGGAATCTGAGGTCGCAGACTTCAGAATGTTGGAAGTTTCAAGCATCTCAGCCATGAAGGTCGATACACCCTTGAGCTGGGAGTCACTGGCACCAACTCGGGCAAGAATACAATCGAAGATGGTCAGCTCCGCCTCGGTACAAGGGACAAAGCAACCTGTTTGGGCCATGAGTGCAATCACACCGATCTGTCGGATGTAGGTAGACTTTCCACCCATGTTGGGACCGGTGATGATGAGGAAGGATGATTCATCGCGGATCAAGGAAACGTCATTTGTAATAAATGAGATGTCATCTTGCATCTCCATACAGGGGTGTCGAGCCTCTTTGAGAATGGTGTTGCCAGTTCCGCGGGGGTGCATCTTGGGGCGGACGTAGCCCGAAGGGGCATGCATTGAAGCATGGGCGAAGCTCACAATGACATCGAGGTGAGCCAGCACACCTGCGAGCTGTTCCAATACTGGACAGTACGAGGCAGCAACGTTGACAACCTCGTTGACCAGGCCAGTCTGGGTTCGGTTGTAGTTAGAAGAGAGCTGGTCATGCTCTCGGCGAAGGGATTGCATGTTGGATGTGGTGAAGTAAACGCCGTTCTTTTGCGTCGAGCACTCCTGGTATTCCTTTTTGTTGCGAATGCAGCCCGCCTCGTTACGGGTCAGACGGAAGCACCAGCCGTGAACGCGGTGGTTCTCCATGAAGAGCTTCTTCTCCATGTCCTGGTGCAAATCCTTAGAAACTCGGCGGTGCTCCGCATCCATGTCATACCGCAGCTTGTCCAGCTTCTTTCTGATGACTCGCAAGCCATCATCAAACTCGGGCTTGATGATGAATTCGTGATTCTCCAGAGCAGCAAGGTCAACGGTCGTTTCCACCATTTCCTCAAGCATAGCCAAGCTATCTGAAAAGCTCCGAAGCTTTGAAGTATATTCTGTTTCTAGAGGTGTCTGGTACTCCTCATCCATCACATCACCTAGAGCTCTGACGAATCCGGGCAGACGAATGGCAACCTGGTACGCGCGAACGACATCCTCTAGGTTTGCCTGCTTCCGCTGGAAGCGTTTTGCCAGCCGGTATAGGTCCGGGATAGAACGCAAATGTTCCTCCTGCATTGTCTGACGAAGCTCAGTGTTGACAACAAATGCCTCGACCAATTGCTGGCGCTGTTCAATTGCCGCCAGATCCATCAAGGGCTGTTTCAGCCATTGAGCTAGCAAACGACTTCCCACAGGTGTTTTACAGTGGTTCAGCAAACCATACAGGCTCATGCTCTTAGACCCGTCCCGCGGACCAGGCATGAGATTCAGCGCACGAAGTGCAGAAGCATCAAGCTTCATGTACTGCGACAAATCATGCTGGTAGAGCTGGTATTGACCAAAGTTCGTAGGATCGGTCATGACGTGGAGGTATTTGATCAGCGCGGATGCCGAGCCCATGGCCAGCTTAAGCTCCGTTTGGGGGAGCGTACCTGCAGACCGCTCATCTCTCAGCAGCCTTGTAAGGTCCTGCTCGATATCTTTGACACCAAAGTCTGCAAGCGGCCTCTCGGAGATCGCAATCCCACAGCTATCAGCAATAGCGCGGATCTTAGCCAGCTCAACATCCTTTCGTGTCGTGTCCATTGTCACAAGGCACTCTTTAACACCAAGTTGAATGACCAGCGACTCGAAATTTGAGTAGATATCGTTGTCGAGGAACTCACTGACGCCAAGCTCGCGCACGCTCGCATCCGCAAAGCACACTCCGACATTCCGCGCCTCCGCCGCGCGAGCGGAGATTTTCACGGCTAGAATGATAGGCGATGAATCCTGCTGGAGCGCGCCCACGCTACCAAGCTCCTCTTCCACGTCTTGTAGGTTTCCCGGGCTGGCTTGCTTCGCCAGCTTCCAGTTGCCCTTACCTGGGCCGCCCGAGGCCCAGATCTCGATCCGCTTGTTGAGTCGGAAGAGAGCTTCCCGGAGAAAGTTTCGGAATACAGTTACACTCATTGTGACAGACGGGAGGCCGCCTGTCTCGCTGCGTCCTAGGTTGCGTAGTACGGAGGTCGTTTTGTAGACAGTGCGTGCAATGAATTCAGCATCGGAACCGTGCGAGGAATACCAGTCACCTCGATCAAATACGCGGATTGTCTCATCGTTGTCGGGTACGGGGAGAGAACGGTAGAAGCCAATGAAGCCGACTTCGTCGTCGACCTGGTTGGTTGGGTGTGCGAGTTAGTGGGTGCTCAATGGAAGGGTTTAATCGGGGTGCTTAAATTCATACCTTCAGGTCAGGTCGAGAAGACATGGTGTCGGTTGATGCAAAAAAGGAATACAGCAAAGGACAATGGGAGTGGCTGTGTTCCAGGTGGTTTGGACGAGTCCAATTCGACGCGTCGAGGGAGCACGTGATCGCGTCGCGCGTTAAGTGGGTGGGATCTACTCTCTACTATGGAGTATTCTGATCCAGTTTGAGAGTTTCCCAGTACTTTTTTCTCTACATTAGAAATACATTCAGATTCAATATTATTGTTATTATGACTGGGTGTCCGAGGACCTAATGCTAAGTACTACCTAAGGTAGTGGTAATGCCAAAAGACGAAAGTACAGGGTATCGAGCGCTGATGCAAGACCGCGAAAAGACCGGCTCTGCGGATGAGAGGTATAGAACAAGAAACAAAAACAAAAAAAAAAAAAAACGATAAAAAGTCCTTCAAACATTCACAGCAGAAGTCTGTACACAGGTAGCAGACTTATCCCAGCCAGCCTTCAGCTGGGTAACTCGGGCGCCGATATCTTTGGCAGAGACGTCTCTGCAAGACTTCAACACAACCGACTTCATCTGTCCAACAGTGACAATACTGATCCAGTTTCCAGCCACACTGGGTTCGCACAGAATATCAAGACACATCTCCACCTCATCGAGGGCAATCTCGCTGCGGAGGGAGTCGCGAATATGCTGCACCATCACATCGAGCTTGAAGGGCTTGCGCTGAGCAGCGAACATTGCCTTGATACCGTGGCCCACTGTTCCAGCGGGACGCAACATGGCGAGAATACCAGCAACCTCTTCGACGCGATCGGCAGCTGCGTGGCGTAAGAGCTCATTTTTGGAAGGTGGAGGAGGCAGCTTGGATTGGCGAAGCTCCTTGCTCTTGATGCGATCTAGCAGTCCCTGTCGGCGGCTGGTCGTTGCCTTCCGCTGGAGGGGGGTTATCTCTGCTGACTTGGCCTGTTGTCTCTCGGCATTAAGGCGTAACAGACCACCCTTGAGATCTTGGAGTCGCTGCTGGCCCTTTTTAAAAGTCGCAAAGGGGGTGAGAGACTCATGGATAGTGGCAAGACCGAACGACTCAGTGAAAAGGAATGATTGATCTTCTTCACTGGAGTTACGAAGAGAGTCTGGCGCCTTTTCCCACAGTAGATCCAGGGCTTCCTCGAACGAGTCTTGCAAGGCCGGAGGTTGAACATTAATATGTACAGTGCGTTCGACGCAAATCTTGCCAAGGCCGTAATTGGCCAAGCGATAAGAAACACATGTTGCCTTCGTGCTCTGGTCCCATACCCAAAATAGACGCTGCAAGTCCTTCGTCTGCACCTTGCGCTTGTTCCAGAGACGGGTAACGCTACCAAGGAACTCTCGGAGGTCTGCAGGGGTATTTGCGCCATTGTGTGCCATGTGAATGGAGAAAGCTTGTACGAATGACGAGTGAAGATTGAGGATATCATTGAAGAATGCTGGTCGCTCAATAATGGGGGTCTCTTCGTGAACTGCAATAATCTTGTCAAAGTTCAGAGTTCTCTGCTTTGAAGGGGTTCCAGGTGTCGAGGGAGCAGTCTGGGCAGGGGCACGAGCCCGTCGGCTCGGGGTTCTCTTGGGTGAAGCATAATGGCCACTGCGCGGTGAGTTGACAGACAATTCAGCGAGTCGCAAAGTTTTCGACGGTGTTCCTTCCTCCTCGATTGTTTTTGGGTTGCCGGAGTCGAAGTTTTCGAGTTCTTGCAGTTTTCGTTTCTTGGAAGGCGAGACCGGAAGCGATGTTGTCTTGGTAGGAAGGGTAGTCTTCTTAGCAGGCAGTTGCGGCGTGATGCCTGCCTTGGTTGCTCGAGCGAAGGCTTGGATTGCTGGCTGCTGAGCAACGCAGCTCGACCGGGAAGTGCGCATGGTGAAAACTTTTTTCTGGGGCAAGGGCGAATAAATTAAGAGAGGGCGTTGCAAACTGCAATATCATACACGAGGTAAGAGATACCAAGAATATTTTCAAATCAATTATAATAAGTAAACAATGGGAAAGTGCAAGGGAAAAGAGAAAGTGGGAGTAAGTGCCGGTGCAAAGGAGATTTAGAACGCGTCGAGAGTCGCGTTGAAACCACACTATACCTCTTTGGGTCAAATTGCGACGCGTGATGTGGAACTAGTACACGAACAATCGAAAACCGTATTAAAGACAAAAGAGATGAAGTCTTAGAGTCTTTTTAAGATTTTAAAGGACTGAGACTATTAATATAATAAATTGGAAAAAGTAGAAATGTTAGTCGTGTATACAAGCGGGGCGCACATTCTCGTCACTATGGTAATACTCCGGCATTGGAATGCCACTGCAATCTTTACGGGCATTTCTCGAGACAGCATTGGGACATATTCATTCGCATTTTGTCTGCTAGCATATTCAAGAGTAATTAGAGATCTCCAAAAAAAATTTACCTCGTGTTGGGACCTCGAGACAACGAATACTTGACAGAGAAGATGACATTTACAGGGAACAGGTGCACTGGACAAGTCGTACTCCGTAAATATTGATTATTCATAATATTCTCGAACCAGCGTGATAAATCGTAATATTAAATCGCCGAGTATCGACGATGTAGCTTATTTCTTGCTAAACCAGCCAGAGACCGCGCCCTTGGCCTCGGCCGCCTTCTGCTCAACCTCGCGATCCACTTGATCCACTTGGCTGTTGACCTTGTTCAGACCGGCATTGAAATTGGTTTTCGCATCGTCACGGAGTTTGTCAAGCTTATCTTTGCCTTCTTGGGCGTATTCGGGAATCTTCTTGCCCTCAGCACGGGCTCGGGCGATCTGTAAAAGGTCAGAGTCAGTATAATTCTGGTTCAGCGACCCGAATTTCGGGAGGACTTACGGCGTCATCGATATTGGAGCCAACCTCCTTGCCGACATCTTTGCCAAACTTCTCGGCGTTGTCTTTGCCAGGGATCTTCTCGCGTGCCTTTTCAGCGTCGACTAGAAGAGATGTCAGATCAAGATGTGCGAGTCGAAATGTAGTGATGCATACCCTTGATTTGGTTCTTTGCTGCTTCAGGATCACCGCCCGCATTGTACAAGTAGTAACCTCCTGCGCCGGCTGCAGCGAAACCCAGGTACAATGGCATGCGACTTTTCGACATATTGAATGTGTGTATGTGTGTATGTGTGGAGAGGTGGTGTAGGTAGAATGAGGAGTTTGATTAAAGTCACGAAAATGTTCGCGGACTTCCCTTTTATAGCTCCTTCCACTGGGGGAAGATGGGGGTCAACTATGACGTATGTCTCTCCCCATCACTTTGTTCCCACATTGTACGAAGCAACTACTTTCTGCTTCATGTATCTAATTTTTTTTTATTAATTAATTGCTGATATTGAGCTATCTGTGAATTGTAAACATTATTATGTTCTACCCAATAAAGATTCTTGTTGGCTTATATGTATACTCAGTTTCTGTTCAATTCTTCTAAAAAACCGAATTGTACAAGGTTACAGTGGGAAAGGTCTAGAGCTAAAGCCCCGTCGACGTCACCTGCAAGTCATGGCTGCTTCATTTTGTTCCAAGGAAACCTTCGCAACCGGTTCTTCATTTTGATTATTTTAATTTAGTTTTTCGACTCTGTTTCCTATCAATTCCAGGATTGGTTCGTTCCAAGGGCATTTATTGCGGGGTAAACGTCATTGGCTATATCTTCTTCAAACATCCTTTGATTACTTAGTCACATACAATATTGCCCAGCTGTAATCTGGTCTTTGCATATGAAAATTTATATACGCCTGCTTTCTATTGCAGCTTTAAACTGAATCCCGCTATCTTGATTCTCGACGCTGGGATGGCATGGTAGAATTGAGAGGTCCATAGGTCCATGTGTTCGTATAAACCGGGGGAAGTACAGCTTAATTTATAATTCATTTTGAACCGATAAAACATGTTTAGGATCATGCACTCTTAGAAGATCATCTCAAGCAAAGATGCGCAATACAGCGTGGTGTTATGAATGCATTCCAGTCATATTCATATCCAGATCATAAGAAAGTTATCAAAAAATCGCATACTTATAGATGTTGAAAAAAACAAAGACGAGATCCACCAAAAGAATATAGTAAGACACAGAATGAAACGAGATGGCCAACGTAATCGGGATGACGAAATGCTACGGCCGAAGCCACACAGACCATAACCGAAGATATGAAGATGAACCAAATGATCGATAGACAGGGTATCGTCATGCACATGACTCCACTCATAAAAGCTCCCCTCACACACGAACGCCAGGATATGCAGCTCAAAGAAGACTAAGAACTGATCCAAAAGAAATCCATCCGGTAAAAAACAAACAAAAACAAAAGACTCCCGAACACACAAGGAAAAGAAAGATGGGTCACGTTTCTGGGTCGTGTATCAGTCGTCGTCAAAGTCGTCAGTTCATCAAGGGCTCACTGCCATACATGGCAGGCGCGAGAAATCCCGAAATATATAAAATATAGAAAAGAATTGAGATGACTCTTGGGAGGGTCATGGGGTCGAAAGGATGATCGGAAAAGAGTGATGGATGTGACTGGGAGTAGAAGAAGATGGGTGGTATGCCAGATGCTAGTTATATGACCGCTCTCCGGCTAGGAGGGTAGATATATGTAGGGTGGTGTAGAAGGTTGTGAGAGGTGGCAAAGTCTTCTGTCCAAACAATTTACAGAAACAGCTTAGCTGCTCCTTTGTTCTCACTTGTGGCGACGGCAACAAGAGCTTCGAGACGGCCCATGCCCGAGTTCCGGGCAGGAGAGTCTGCGAAGACGTTGGACCTAGGCTCCCGGTCGTTGGTGGCTCGGAAGTTGTCGGCGTGTGAAGCTTGTCGGCCACAGATCTATGACGGCATTAGTAACCAGGGCGATAGCCGTCCGTTCGAACAGGAGTTCCTACCGGTGGAGGATGATCCGAGGGTAGCGAGGAGTCATTGGTTTCGATGTATCCGCTGCTATGTACAATCGCTGGATGATACTCTAGCGACGCAGTGGATGGGGTGTGAACACCCTCGCTGCTACTAGAATCCTCGGGGGATGTTCGTGCCGGTCGACTACTTGTTGAAAGACTTTGACGATGACCCCGGTACTCTTCGGGGCTCCTCTCAGCCGTTGGTCCAAATGCGGGTTGGTAAGATGACGATGGACGAGAAGAGACATTCTGGAGTTCGGCAATAGTTTGCTGGCTCCATTGAGATGCGGATGCAGTCGAGGGGCGTCGATCTCGGATATCCAATCCGGTCAGATTATGGTGCAAGGACATATCCCATGACACATGGCCTCGTCGATGGCCAGGGCCGGAGATGGGTGGCGGCGGACGGTGAGCCGGTTGATTGTAATTGAAACCAGCACCAAAGCCATGGTTAGAGGGGCCTGGGGGTGGGCGATAATGGCCGTCAATCTGCATGGGGCTCGTTTTCCGAGTTGGAGGAGTCAATGGCCGCTGCTGAGAGACCACCTTGTCAAAGCTCTCGATACCGGGAAGCCGAGGCGGATTCTCTGCGGATCCATTTGCATTTCCACCAAATGATGCCGGCACGGTATCGGGCGTGTGATAATTATTCAAGCCACTCGTTCCAGGGCGTGAAAATCCCGTGTAAGACGAAGGGTGCCACGTTCTCCTACGCATCTCTGCTTCGGCTGCGCTGAGTGTACCTTCATCCCGGGATACAGAATAGTGGGTGCTTGTGGGGCTTGCAAACACCCCAGCAGCGTTTGGATAAGCCGCACCTGCGGGGATGGGATAGACCGGAGGATATGTGCCACCATTCTGAGCGAGGAACGGATTGCTGCTTGTCGGTACCGAGAGACGACGAGCAGCCGTTCTACCTTCCCAGAACCCATGTGACGTTGAAGACATGGGCGAAGCAAATTGGGGACTTCCACCTCCGGCGGCAAACATGTTCGAAGGCGTATATGGAGATCCCGCTGAGGGGCCGGAAACGCCACGGATCTGGCCTGGGGGTGTACTCGGAGGTTCGCCCATGGAGTCCATTGCCAATCGGGATCGGGCTGCGGGATCGTTGGCCATAATTAGAGGTGGGGGACGCCGCCGAAGTTCTGGAGGTTGGCTGAAATTCGAAGTGGTTGACGCAATACTCGAGGTGGACAAGTTCCTGCTATGTCCCCGGCTATGCCCATTTATACTGCCTGCTGTGCCTGCCCGCGCTCGGCCAGGTGGGCGCACTCTATCTGTACGGACCTGACGCTGAAAACGTGTACCCGTGGCCGCCAGCGAGTCCCCGGGTATTTCTTCATTGACATGGACCGTCTGGGCGTGCTGTCGGAGGTTGTCAAGTCGGGAAAAGCGGCGAGAGCAGTGGCATTGGAAGGGACGCTCGCCGGTATGCTTTCGGATATGGCGGGCCAGATGTTCGCTTCGGGTGAAGCTCAGGTTGCAAGGAGGGAAGTCGGTGCAGAAGAAACGTTGGCCTTTCTTCTTTTTTGAGGGCGGTGCAGTACTCCCTAAATCCTGGTCGTGGTCGGAATCATCTGGCTCTGCATCGGAATCGTGCATCGGTTCGTCAGACATGGAGGGTGTTCGGACGTGGGTTAAGGTCGTGCGGGATGAAGCGTCGCTACCTCGGCTTGTGTGGTGTGAACCCCCGTCTGGATGTTGGTCCGTCGTTGATAAGCCGTCCGGTGTGACCGGCACGCCGTTGGGGGTCGCACGAGGTGTAGCTGCTCCATCCATCGCGTGGTCTTCGGAGGTGTTGACAGGGAGGAAGGAAGCCATGACGGCGACGTAAGAGGGAGGCAGAAGTGATGTCAGGCCCGGAACAACTGCGAATGTTCCTAACCACCAGTGATCGCAAAGCCGGTAACTCGATCACCCGGAAAATTCACCCCAGGGCCAGTAGGGGTTCTATATGGCTCTATGTCGAATCGTAGGAACCGCAGTGCTACGGAGAATTCGGAGGGGAGTAAGACGCGGAGTCTGATGGCCAGATTGACTGTGAACATTTGCGCAATCTCAGTAATCAGGGCACTACAGGAAATCGACAGAGAAGATCGAATATGAAGAAGTGCGACACGTACGATTTGGGTGCGCTTACTCTGTCACTCTCTCTCTCCCAATAGAGGGAGGGGAGGGGGAGGGGGAGAGGAGGCGGGGGGTGGGAAAGAAAACAGGCGGTAATGGAATGTGCGGGATTTGGTCCAAATGGACGCAAGGAGAGAAATGTAGAAGAAAAAGGGAAAGAGAATTAGCTGATCGCGATCATCTCTAGGGCACGTTCCACGATAGCCAGGATAATCAGAGACCCTGAAGAAGTAAAAGGGAAGGAAGGAAAACAAAAAAAGGTAAGATTAGTGAGATCCGACCAGCCGGAAATTGAATAAGAAAGAGAGAGAGAGGGAAAAAAGGGAAAGGTAAAAATATCTGAAGAGGTTGCAAGGATATGTATGTATAGAAAAAAAAAGAGTAAATGTAGTTGGTGAGTAAATGGTAGTGTAGTAAGTAGTAAGTTAAAAAAAAAATGGTGACGATGAGAGAGAGGCTTATCGGAATCGGAAGCGAGGGGCAACACTTCTTTTTTTTTACCAGGAACTCGAAGGGACTTCCGGGGCTACCGATGCGAATCATGAAATGTTTCACCAGATAGCCGCGTGTCTTTATTCAAAAGGCACCAGGCACCTCCATGATTCATTAGCTACTTTGTTCTATACTACTTCCTCGCCTATTCTTAACTTTGGGGGTTCTAGATCTCTTCAATTTGTGAGATATATCTCTAGATCGAATCTGTTGAGAACCGAAGATCAAACAAAAGAGAGAGTCCTTGACGTTAACACATCTCATCCGGACCCTGGAAATACCTGGAAGCATGAACCGCCAAGCCTCGACAGTTTGGTTCTTGGAGAAGGTCGAGACTCTTCTCTGTGGAGATATAATAGGGTTATGTTCTCCCAGGGCTATACCTCCCCTTGCATCCGATGTATCTTCATTTTTGTATGGTTACGCAGTAGGGGAAAGAGTTCCGAATGGTCCGCCCCGATACGAAGAACATCTTTTGATTTGGATTTACGTTTTATTTGTTTTACACTTTGCTCGAGCCTCTGACATGGGACATGGGAGGTACGATCTTAAGTACGGTCCGAGCCCCATGAAACATATGGTACATATGGTAATTATAGACTGCGGGGGTATGATAAGGGATACTTACTTAGGTAGATCTCATTTGCATACCTCGTCGGTACATGTATATTGTATAATACTGCAGAAGTATAACTTCAACTTGTCGAAGCTTTTTTTTGATACATTATACACACACAGAGAGAGAGAGAGAACACAAAAAGAACTCGTCACCTAGTTGATCCGGCAGCTCCGTTTCAACCGCATTCAGGCAAACTTTTGAAACCTTCAAAACCCCCTGGGACTAAGCCCGGCCCATTGTGCCTGCGTCTAAAGTTTCCACTCCCAGTTTGCAAACGGCAAAGTCAATGCTGTACAACATTTCAAGATCCCATGGTTCTTTCTTTGATGCTTCAAATGTTCTTTAACAAAGAGGTGTTTCATTTCATTTCGGTTTTCTATTTCTACATACTTGGTGGAAACCTACCTGACTAGTACATATGTACAATGTTGTATAGATCGAGATGTGACGCCACGCTAGATGTAGATGATGTGCTTAATTGGTTGGTATTTCGGGATTTCTACAAAGTACATGTAGGTACATATTGTGGGGATGAGAATGCGCCATCGTCTGGTTATGATCCAACGAATACGATTGGTAGGGCAAAAAGAGGCGATATGCCCTAGAGACATGGTTGCCCCCCCTTTTAAGTAAAATTCATTAATCCATAGAGAATATGATTTGATGTTGAATTGACACTAAAAATTAGACGGGAAAAATAAAAAGGTTGATGGGGCTCCCGTTCTAAATGATCGACAAATTAGTTGACATTGCCCAGGTTTCTTCCCCTCCTTACCCCTCTCAAAATTCCCTAACGGAGAAATACATACATTGTACATGAGAGAGGGGGGAACAATGAGCAAGGGTGAAAGCAAACGACTATCTTAGAAGTATGATTGGAGATCTTATCCTATGTCCCAGCCCTAGAGGGCTTCTAGAGTATCACGAGTCACACGGGTACCTGTGAGTACATCTGCAGGGCGCCACTGAGGGCTGACTAGGGGCGCACGGCCAAGTATAGTAAGGTACCGACTGCAGGGCTCTTATCGATAAACCTGGATCAAAGTCCGCCCGGATCGGCGGGACTGACGTCTTTGACTTGATGTACATTATTATTGTACTGGGGTAAACTGGTTCAACGCCAGTCTAAGTCTTCTATTGGATGGAAGTTCTATTCCTACTTGTATTTTTGGCCCTTTGTTCATCCCGCCCCTGGGCGATCTGTTTGCCTTTCAAGCGGTCTGTTTGCTTATCTGCAAATGACTGGTCATTACTCGTGGCGTCGTGGATTTTTCTATTGATCAATCCAATCATAACGCTTAGCTTGCATTTCAAGGCCTATCCATGTGCCTATTTATGTGTCGCTGTACCTGGCCACGTAGATGAGCCGCCTTAGAATGGGACTGAAATATGATACTTGGCGTATATAGGCTATTGTATGAAACATACAAAATTTGATACGCTAGCATATTTTTATTTTTATATTAAAAGCAATTTAACAATATTGCGATTATTATATTTGATCAATATTCGAAGAACAAAGCCTTTTATAAACTTTATTTGAATAAACCCAAGTACTCATATTGTACGTTGTACACAGAAGAAAAAAAAGTGCATCTACCTGCACACGAGGCTGAGAGTCAATTCACATGTAAATTTTCAGACCGGACAAAACGGACAAAGCACAGCGCACTGCCTTCTCCAAGTCCCCAAACCCCGATCTGTGCAATCCTATTGGAGCCCAACCTCTTCAGCGACGAGTTGCATCTGTCTGCATCCAGGGCATATTGACTCACCATGCAGTGCGCAACGCCAGCTCCCAGCCACCTTCGAAATGGCCTCCAAGACCCCCACTGCCGTGCACTTTGTAAGAGTCATATGACTCGAGCAAAGACCGTTGCTGATTATCGATCGTGTACGGTAGCCTAGAGGTACATGCGGATGTAGATCTTCTCGCTTATCGACGAGTATATATGCATGCCACATCGAATTTTCCGAAGCTCGGAGGTTTTGCTTTTGGATCTGTGCGATCTGACCAATTTAGTCCCGATAACCTGGTGTCACGGCCTGATGTAGAAGTCTCTTTGTTCCTGGTCAGGTACACTAATTAGTCGTTACTTGGCATTGGGTATAGTGGTCCTTGGTACCTGGGACTTGAGCCTCGGGTTCTTCCTGTTCCCCAAGGATATGTTGCCCATGGTGCGACTTCAAGGTTCCAGTAGAGGAGTATCAACATGGGACGACTACATACATGTATCTCATATTTTTGTTTGATAGGTGTACACAATACTAATTCTTAAACAGAAGGTAAATCGTTATTTTTGTAGATGAGACTGTGAGACAGTAAGCCTACGAAAGGTTGCTTATTAAAAATAGACACATTTGAACTTAAAGTGGGAGTAATAAATGACCTTGGACGCTAGTTTGGATATGTGAAAAAGAAAGTGTCAGTGTCATTTGATCTAGCATCTTCTTTCAGACAGCTAGACAGCCCAATGCAAATGCAAGGTTCTGATTGTTTAATTGAAACTGAAGCTGTCTCCGTGATTGGGCTATATTAGATCGAATCTCGGATCATGGAAATCATGCATTGGAGATTGTAAGACTACGTACCCTAACGTCCTAGCGGCCCAACGACAGAGCTCACCATCACGGCAGCTTCTCGCTCCCAGTTGCCGACAATAACCGTGTCAGTTCCTGATCGGCCTTTCTCAGCCAATAGACTTGTGGCAGAAACTCTTGACGCACGAAGCACGCACTCTTTGATTTCAATCCTCAGCCGATCTCGGTTGGATCGCAGCGTGCGCGCAGACACACCTCCTCGGTTGACAATTTCTTGAACACGAGAAGTGAGAGACGATGCAAGGGAGCGCCAATAGTATGAAGGAAGGGATGATGTGTCAAGAGCATGGAGAAGAGGTTGCAGGAGATTCGAGTTGGTTGAGGCTGCTGCTTGGGTTTCGGCAGTCGGGGTAGATGCTAAGAGAGGATGTGGCGGGGGGCGGAGAGTTTTGAGGCTTGCCTCAAGAGCAACAATGTCTTGGCATCTTGTGGAGATATCGGCAAGGGTTCGGTCCATGGATGGGAGCTGAGAGAGAGCCCGGGCAAGGGAATTCACAGACGTCATGATTGCGGTGTGCATATATCCTTGCAATGTCGATAATAGGAGCTCGGGCTTGTAGTCGACAGCGGTTGTTGATGATTTTGGTTCAGGTGAAAGGAGATATAGAGTAGTGGCAGCCGTTGCCAATCGGGCTCGCGCATCGCGAGCTTGCTTATAACCAGATGATGTAGATGACTGGCCATTGGATGAATTTGCTGAGTTTGAGGAGAGTGAAAACCGATTGATGGTCTGCTGCGCTCTCGATTTGATCATATTTTCGGTGGGAATGACAAATTCTCCACGTAGAGTGCGAATCACCTTCACCCGATCCAACCCATAGCCTTCTTCGTCCTCTGCCGCGGCCGAGAACATTTCACGCAAACTTAGGATTGTGTAAGCAGCTCGCTCCAATGCGCGGAAACCATCTCTCCCAGCCGACGGTGATGCCCCATCCACTCCTACTGAGGTGGCTGCCCCTGTTGCGCTCCGACCTGTGATCTCGGCAACCTGGCTTTCCAGTTGCTTACCTAGAGTTAGGCATCGGGAAACAGCCCTTGCCAGCCGAACTGTTGCAAGCGAGTTTTCGGCAGCAACACGAGCTTCATCAGCCGCTTCCCACTTTTGCACCACTTCCTTTTGGAGACGCTCGTACCCTTGGGTCACAGCTGCAACCTGCGTACCGGACTCTTTTAAGATATGATCAGCAGCAGCTGTCTGATTCTGGGTGTGCGACAGTAACGGGAGTGCTGATTTTGTCGTCAGTGCATGGATGTGTGTATCGATCTCCTGAAGATCAAAGAGTACCCGTGACAATGGGGTGGATAAATCCAATGGGGTATCCGTTGCATTGTTTGTACTTGTCACCAATGTATTGGCAAAAGATGACGGAGAGAAATCTGGGTCAAGGAAGGCCTCATAGTCTATGTATGACGGGTCTCCTTCTGCCATTTTGATTTCTAGACACGTCCAATGATAATCTCAGTGGTGCCGCATACAAGCAAGAGTGATGATATAAAATCAGGTAATAGTCGAGTAGATCCGTAATTGGCCTGGGTTATTGGAGACCCCGAAGCAGTTTGGCTTCAATTTAGCCTTCAATGGTTTGATAGTAGATGTCTAGATCATTGGAGGAGGGAGGGATATTGGCCGAGCGTGAGATAGCCCTGTAGTCCACATGGCAGATAACGGATCACGTGCTGATAGATTAGTCATTTTGCATCGACGCCGCCGCGGGCTCAACCTACTAGAGACAGACATCAAATATCATGCAGCAAATCACTAAATGTTTGAAGCTATAGACTATGTCGTCGGAATTCGAAATGAAACTTTTCGAAAGATTCTACTCTGACATGATTCATCTCATCTTGGAAGAAGCATTGCTCCCGAGCCATCAAAAGATATCTGAAGTAAAGACAAACTGAACCCTAATACGGAGTATAACAAGTTTATTATGCCGTACTTGAGGAATCATTCTGTTGTGACCAATTATATTCGATGTATTCAATTTCCATCAACATTACCTACATGTAAGTAGATAAACCTAATATGCTGTCCGCGCCTTCCAACGACAGAGCGGGGATTTCCCCAAACCCCACACAGATAAGAGTTGGCCGCCTATTTGCTGCATCGGCCGGACTCGAAACATTCAAACTCCGTTATCTTTTCGAATATCTCTAGTTGAAACATAAATTCCAGGACGTATCACTGCTTTGAACATACCATAAACCCATCTTAGGAGCCATGTCGACTTCTACCACCACTACTCAGCAGGCCGAACAGTCGGTTCGCCTGACCAGTGAAGACCAATTGCCCCCACTCCCATCTGCAGCCGACGATGCATCGTTCCAGGGCCTTGCACGTGGAGGCCGTAACGGGACGTTGAAGCTGCGTGGCATCCCCACATTCTCAAACTTGCTTGAGAAGCGCAAATGGATGAGAGAGCACATGGCAGCGGCTTTCCGGTACTTTGGCAAGCTGGGTTATGGGGAGGGTGTCTCTGGACATATCTCAATGCGAGGTATGAATCCTAATTCTTGATTAGGCCGAATGTACATGTAGATTGTGTTGGGACATCAATTTTGACGTGGCTGCAGATCCTATTCTCAAGGACCATTTCTGGATGAACCCATTCGCCAAGCATTTCTCAACTATCAAGGCTTCGGATCTTGTTCTTTTGGATGCTGATGGATTTGTTGTGGACGGTGGAGCTCAGCTGCCTGTTAATGAAGCCGGGTTCCTCATTCATTCCGAGATCCACAAGGCGCGCCCCGATGTCGTCGCCGCGGCGCACACGCATGGTATCCATGGCAAGACATGGAGTTCTTTCGGGAAACCAATTGAGATGCTTACCCAAGGTGAGTTTCGGCTTGAATGTTCATTATACTATTCCTAACGAAATCAACCAAGATGCATGCAACTTCTTTGGTCGACTGGGTGTTTACGAAGACCACGGCGGCATTGTTCTGTCTTCAGAGGAGGGACAGGCAATTGCAAAGGCACTGGGCCCAGATAACATTGCGTGTATCTTGCAGAACCATGGGTAAGTTCTACCTCGGTATTGATGTTCCTGGTTCTCGACTCAGATAGCTGACCTGGGCTTGTATCTAGTCTTCTGACAGTGGGACGAACTGTTGATGAAGCCGCAATTCTTTACTCCATGCTGGAAAATGCCTGTCAGTCACAGCTCCTGGCCGAGGCAGCGGCAGCCAATGGTCTTCCCAAGAAGATTATTGCAGATGATGCTGCCAAATTCACTGCTCAGGCGGCGCAGAACCCTGTAAGCATATTCTATGCCAACTTGTGGAAGTTTGAAAAATGCTTTCTAACACTTTTCAGCACAACTTCTATACCGAATTCCAGCCCGAGTTTGAGTTGATTGTCGAGGAGACTAATGGAAGGGTCCTTCAGTAAGAGCTGAGCCACTACCTATCGGCCTTTAGTGATTCAGGCCACTGCCCTTCCGATAATCTAGTTGAATTCTTTCTCAGTGTCTTCTCCAGCTGTAAATTTCACTGGGGTATAATATTTGACCAAATTGTCGAAAGCGATTGGGAACCTTGATAGCCTTCCAAGCCCTGGAGGCTGGAATTATATTGCAAAGCTGCTTTCAAATAAATTCGTGCCATACACTGGACCCTGAGGTAGATCGACAGCAACAAATCGAGATTTATATATTTGAAGTCTGACTTGGAAGAAATTAACTAAGACTATGTGTTGTTTCGAAATCAGTGATTGTACATACAGATTTCATTTTCGTTAACCTTGTCAATCTAATTGACAACGAGAATAGTATACACCCCAGAGGTATTATTATAAGCAGGTATCGTAGAATGAAAAGAAATCAATTCCTTCAAAACAAACGCCATCTATACAGATGCAACCGCCGCAAGGGTATACAGAATAGAAAGAAGGCATGAAGCGGTTCATGGAAAAACCAGACGTAAAGAATATCGAGGAAAAATTAGAAAACAGTCGTTCATAGCCTCATAGGGCAACACCAAGAAGAAAGCAAGGGCTCATACAGCACGCTCGCCCGTGTGCTTGATATCGTCCATTTCATATTCTTGCAAGCTGCGCTCTCGGCCGCGGCCTCGACCAAAGCTAGACTCCTCTTGGCCATCGCCGGCGGAAGGCTGGGATGAACTAGCTTGGCTGCTACCCCCGTGTCCACCGAACTTGATAGGCTCCAGCTCTCTTCTTTGGCAGGCCCACATGCCCAGGAAAGTCATCATAGCTGCACTGGCGAATTGAAGACCCCACCAAAGAAGATTTGAGGGAATGGAGTGGGTATAGAAGATGGTGGCGACGAGATGGAGGAAATGGATTGTGAGAGCGAAGTCCGGGATGAGTTTTGAGCGGGACACAAATAGAAGGAGAAATATGACGCTGTGAACCCCCGAGAGATATCGTTAGCCGCTGTCTCAGTATCGCAACATTCGGCCAGGCGTTTTGACCAGTGTGCAACTCACCTGACGAAGCAATTCAACATCCACACCAGCCCTAACATCCACCCAATGGTTGTATCACCGCGCAGCGAGTCCCAGCCAAATACCAGATCTAACGAGAATGGTGCGCCGTATACGAGGGTCGTGAACAAGATAAGCACTGTGGCACAGGCATAGTATGCAAGCTGCAGCAGGAGAATCTTGCGAATGATCTTCAGCGGGGAGGAGTTCGGTGCGCGACCCCGCTGGTGGACGCCGGCGCGCCGGCATCAACTAAGAGAACAAGGGGGTCTTGTCACCCTCGCTTATTCAAATTTAACGAAATGTCAAGGTGGTCGTTTCAAGCTTGGAGCTCGGGTCGTGGATATGAGTGAGCATGCGAGGGTGGCCAGCTAAGTACAGTGGGCAAGAAAGCAGAAGCCGGTGTAAATAGTGCCCTTCCTAGGACTGTAAGAATATGTGCAATTAATTGAACGTGGAGTGTGTAGGGAATGAAAAGGGTCCTGAGATGGCGATCGCTCTGCCTGGATCAACAAGTCTTGGCGGTCACTGGCCCGACCCGCTAACTGCGAGTCTCCGATACCTTCTGCAACTGCACTTGGATACGTCCTGCTCTACCACCTCAACCAACTTTACCCGAAAGGCCAATTATTCGAAAACCTCACTCCATCTTAATATCACACAACCTTCAACATGGGCTGGCTCCCTTGGTCTTCCGGCGATTCAAACAAAAACGCAGCCGCCGACGGCGGCCGCATCGCTCCGGACCGAACAAGTCGCGCGCGCTGCTGGGAGGGCCGCGATCACTTCTTCGCCTGCTTAGACAAAAACGATATCTTGGATGGAATTAAAGAGGATGGGAAGGCACGACAGAAGTGCGCGAAGGAAGTTGCAGAGTTCGAGGAGGCATGTTCACAGAGCTGGGTACGTACTGGAATCTTTGGTCTGCGCTCAATTTGTTGTAATTTTAGACTTGAGAACTACATAATTTCTCTAAAAAGTGGCGCTGACTCGGGCTTTTTGAATTTAGGTGAAATACTTCAAGGAAAAGCGTGTGATGGAATACAACCGGGACAAGACGATTGAGCGGATTCAAAAGGAGGATGCGGCCAAGGTGAAAGACTTGAAGTCACAAGGATGGAACTCCAGATGAGAAGCCAAGGAAAATTGGTCAACGGACGTCTTTTTGTACACTATGTAGCATATCCACTCTTATCACGTACCCTGATGACCACTTCATTCAACTGCATTCGGGCCTGGACAGATTCTAAGAGATTGCGCTGTACACAGTACAAAGACCAGACTTGATATGGAGATCCCAAGGCCAGGTTGTGTCTTACTTGGCCTGGTGTTCGAGGTAGGGATGTGAGGCTCAAAAGCTGGACACTGCTACTACACTACTGGATATAACGAGCAGACTCAGACATAACATAGATACGTCAATAGGTTAATTGAAAGGTAATAGGTAAGCAATGCCGAGAGATAAGAACTCATTTGAGGATTGAATATCTACATTGTGTCCACATGGAGCAAACAAACAGATAGTCACAATGAGCAAGGAGCATAAAGTCCAATGTTCAAAAAGGCAAGTCAACTCCATCCTAGACAGCGCCTTGCCCGTATATCTAATATCTTACTGCCATCCGGGCCCATGACAAGCAGAAGAGCAACGAACGCCTGGTTTTGCACAAGCTAGCCTGTAGCCAGCCCAAAGAAAAAATCAAACGGAAAAGACAAGAAAATTGGATGAAACCGATGGAATTCACCGATCATAATGCGAGAACGCCAAGCTCCAGAAATGAAAAACCGCGAAATGAACCTTAAGTCCATGTGAGAATGATGAATGGTAAGAGAATCGTAAAATCATTGCTTCCATTTCGCAAGGTGATGCATCAGGTTCTGTACCTGGGGGCTTGTAGGCGCCTGGCCTTGCTGTGGTTGTCCGCCTAGGCCTTTGGCCAAAAGCGAAAGTAGGGTTGGGTCTGTAACGATAGGCGCATTTGGAGGCTGGAGATTAAATGGTGGACTGGGGAGGGGTTGCTGGTGGGTATTTGGGATGGGCGGAGGCCGTTGTGCGTTGGTCAGAAGACTGGCTAGGTCAGCTGGGGGTGGGTTGGGTGAGGAGAATGGTGATTGTGTAGCAGACATAGGTTGCGAATGCGGAGGTCGTTGAAGTGCCGACAATAGGGACGAAAGGCTAGGGCCGTCCAGGGAGCCAATGAGATTTGCAATGTTGGGAGGATTCGAGAGAGTCGGAAGTGGCATGGCCTGCACGGGAGGGACACCAAAAGCGGGATTAGGTGTAAATGCAGTCGGAGCAGCTCCTCGCTGCATTGCCTGGGCCTGGTGACTCAGGAGTTCAGCGGACAAGTTGGGCTCGAGTTCCGGGTAATCTATCGTAACATGAGCAAATTATCGATAATAAACCAAGTAGCAGTGGACTTACCAAGGAATCGGACGTTATCCAACCCAGCCGTTCGGTCAAACAGCTGTAAAGGAATCTTACGAGAAACTTGGTTTGGACGAGAAAGGCGGACGACTGCCAGAACACCTTCGATGAACTGGCGATGAACAGCTGCGCCAAGAGGAATCCGAGGGCCAAGCACCAAGACATCCACACGCAATCCACGATTACGGAAAGCGTTTTCTACATGAAGAACAAAGTTTCTATGAGATGTCAGCAGGTTTGTCTAAATAGACTTTGGGACAAGCGCAACCAACCTGTCAAGTTCTTCCAGCACAAGGAGCTGCACCTCTGGTACATCTCGCGGAACTCGACGCGGCACTGGCAAATCTGCTTCACCTTCATACACCCCGCGGGGACGTGGGCTGAGGCTGCGATAGCGTCGATCTCTTGAGTAGGGAGAGCGAGGGGAGCGAGGAGAGCGCGGCGAACGGGAGCGTCTGCGCTCGCGGCGGTCGAATCTCTCTGGGGTTCTGTCGCGCGACCGATAACCGTCTCTGGCCCCCGGAAAGGAGGTCGAGGCGAAGGGGACCGCGGCCGATAATCGTCACGCCTGCTGCGATGGGAAGGTTCATCACGGAAATCGCTAAATGGCAATCGACTTGGCTCATAGGGTTTCGGCCGTTCGTAACGATCGCCTGGGGCTCGGACATTGTTTCGTGCAGGACCGGAACGGCTGAACTCCGGCGACCGTGAGCGACGGGGCGGGGGTGCACGGGCGGCCTCTGATGCTTGAGCAGGCCGGGTTGATCGCTGAGGCTTTGAGATTTCAAGATCTGACAGAGTTAGTTTTAGAAAAACACAATAAAAGGCAAGTCACTAGGTTGCCGATTACTTACGTATCTTCCTGCCCCGCACGATAGCGCCCTGTTCGACACCTAGAGCCGCATGGCAAGAGCTCGCCTCCAAAAATTGTATGAACCCGTAAGCCTGCTTGATTGAAATCTGAGCAAGTTTTCCGTATTTGTGGAATATATGGAACATGTCTCGTTTGGTCACTCTTTCGGTAGGGAGGTTGCCTATATACATATCAAAACTGTCAGAGCATGAACAAAAACGAGCGGAGGTAGTACTGACCAACAAACAGCCTGGACCCCATTGGGAATCGATCCCAAAGACCCTCGGTCACATAGATCCGCTCATCGTGCAGGAACTCGTCATACTTCTTTTGAACCTCAGGTCCCCAAGGCGAATCATCGTCGATGCCCTTGATTGGTCGGCCCTGTTTATCCACACGGCCTTTCTTGAGTCCCTGCACAGAGGGTTCTTGGGAGGAGCGCTGAGATTCAGGTCCAGTAGATGGGGTCTGGAAGCCTGAAGTGGGAGGGAGTAGATTGTTGCCAGCCGAGCTCGTTCCGGCAATGGAATACGGCTGGGACTGGCTCTGCGTTTGGGTGTTACTGTGGGCTGGGAATGCGTGGGGTGCATTGGCGGCGCCATGGGCTGATGGAAGTTGTTGATATGCCACCTCGTTATGGGTGTGATGGGGTTGAATAGATTGGGCTTGGGCATGGTGGGCAGAAACGCCCTGGGATTGGCTAGGCTCGTCAACTGGTGCTTGGTGGAAGGACGAGGTGTCAACTGGAGGAACCCCGGCCATGGTTGCACCAGGGTCAGAGTGAGAGAGATTGTCAAGTAAGTTTTGGAAATTGACTCCGCCCGTGGTAGACCCCGAATCCTGTTCATCATTTAGGCGCCCCGGCATTCTCGACTGCGCCGAAATTTGGGTGTTCTCTACTTCGCTCGCAGTGGCAAAGCCTTGGGATACCGGATCGACCGGAGCAACGTAGGAGCAAGAGGGATCGGGGAGAGAGAATCCGGAGTTCAGATGGCCAGAATTTTCGGTCCCCGACCCTGAGTTTGAAGGGTAGTATAGCGCAGAAACATTTCCATATTGCGCATTCAAGCCATGAGAACTACCTGAATCCTGGTTCTGACGTGGTCCTCCCTGACCATGTAATCCTCCGTGCGACCATCCATGTGTTGCCTTATGTACCGGTTCATATGTCGAAGTATCGTTGAAAACAGGATCCATTTGGTTCTCTAGGACTGGAATATTGGCTGGCTCCGGAATATGCAGCGGTCGAGGGCTTTCCGGAGTCAGAGTCTTTCCGCGAAAGTGAAGCGCTTCATCGGGACTGGGCGTCATGTAGACTGGGCGGACGTTTCATCTACAAGTGGGAAAAGAATAATAACAAGTTCAAAAAGGAGGGTGTTAAGAGCGTCAGGATTTTTCACAATCGCAAGCTAAGGTGGGGCGATGGGAAAAAGATGGGTCGGGTTTCTCGGGCCTAAGTACCCTAGAGAGTAGAAAAAAGGGGGGTCTTTTCCAAAATGAAGGAAAAATAGGCGAAGGAATATGGGGGTTCCTGTCAAAATGGGGAAGAACTAAAGTAAGCGTGGGAGCGAGAGAAAGAAAAAAAAAAGAATGATGGTCAGGTGAGATAAAGTAGCTTGAAGGGCGTTTAACGGAGGTACCATGGGATCGGTATAAGTTTTACAAAATCTGGATTCTGACGCAAGTCAAAAGTGATCAGTACCTACCTAGTGTGCAATTATTATACGTAGTCTACTAACAAGTTTGAACATACTCTACATGTATTGACTTTTCACTGATCATTGAATAATTAAAGAGAAAGTCATAGTTGAATCTTTGAATCAAAATTACTCCGTACATTCTAAACATTACCTTTTAACAAAATAAAATAAAATAAGGCTTGTTACCTTTAAGTTCTTAGTTACACTAGTGGGGGGGCCAGACTGGGCGAGTAACGGACATCTTCCTTTTCTATGCCCGCAGGTGAACTAAGTGCTGTTTTTATTAGTCACATGGCTCTTTGACTCCTTCTCATTCTCGGGGTTACTGCGAGTTCTGCCAGTTCTGCGAGTACCTGCGAGCTTTTTGTTTGCCTAATAATGCATTATCGCTCTTGGCGCATACATAACCTCGCGTTGTCTTGTCGGACTTTCGTTTCTCGGGCTGACCAGGATATGCAAATTGCGAGGGATTGGCTCAAGTCCCTGAATTCCAAAACTGTCCCCCGCCACATCTGTGAGGTCTCGTTCAGTCGATCCAGCGGTCCGGGCGGGCAAAATGTGAACAAGTCAGTGACTCCACTTGAAGATCAATTATGTGGCAATCCGCTGATCGTGATTTTGAAGAGTCAATTCCAAAGCCACTTTGAAGGTCCCACTGGGCTCATTATTGCCCTTGGTGCCCCGGGTGATACACCAGCCGCTACGAGATTCTCGATATCTCGCCGAAAGAACACAGTCTCTGGTGATTCAATCAGACGAAGAGCGGAAGCAATCTACCAATGTGGAGTCGTGCTTCGACAAGCTGTTCCAATTGCTACAGAACTCGGCTAAGGAGGCCATCCCTGGGGAAACATCCCGAGAGCAAAGAGATCACGTACACAAGCTGTATGTAAAATTTTCTGTTGCAGACACACCTAGGCGTGATCTAACCTAACCGTGATTTATAAAAGACAACGTGCACAGAATGAGGGCCGAATCAAGGCCAAAAAGCAGCACAGTGAGAAGAAGAGTGGTCGACGAGGAAGTAAATACGACGATTAGGAGCAAATTCGCCAGACCCTGAATTTTGGTTCATATCCGATCAACGCCTCAATGCTAAGTACAAATATACCCGGGTATGCTATGCTACTCCTGTGCCGCACGCTCCGCATTGCGGGCGGTAGCCGCAATGACCTGCTGCAACGAAGGATCCAAATCCTTGGTCGCCTGGATGGGTTGAAGCCAGTTCACCACCTGGCGGGCAAGGTCTTTGCCAAGGGGATACTCCCGAAGGCGGGCAAGCGAGCTGCCAAGCGCCCGCGGGAATTCGGCCGAGGTGACGGGAATTCCAGCGGTCGGGAACTTGATATAGCAGATTTGTGTCCGTGGGCTGGAAGGCTTGTTCACGCGCATGGTCTCAATCACATGTTCCAGAATCTTGTTAAGGCAAGGAACATCTTGGAACTCCCAGACCATATCGAAGAACTCCTGACTGAACCGATCATCGTTATCGAAGTTCTTTGAGGCGGTGTCGAAGATGGTGAGCGGAATAGCACCGCCCAGGGCAGGTGTGGAGTTTAGGTTTTGCAGCGCAACCTGGTCCACTCCTCCATCCTCTCCCGTGCTTGGGTTGATGTCCTCCGCTGTAAGAGATGGGAGGGCAATCATATCAGCATCGGGGTTATCAATTTCGGATTCAATTTGCTTGGGTTTTTGGCTCTCCTCATCGAGACCTAAGATTTTTTGACGAGCAACCAGCTTTGCAATGTAAATCAATTCCAGCTTTGCGTATTGAGTCCAGATTGTTCGCGAACTCTTGCAGAATCGTAAGCCGCGCTGCATGTAACTCCGAGCTTGTGTCATATCTCCATGGTCGTCGAGGACATGTTTCGCAGCGTAGACCCATAAATCGGCGCTGGTAGGATGTAGGCGCAGAGCGTCGGTGAAGATCAGGGAGAGTTTCTTGTGAGCCTTTTGTTTCCGGGCGTATTCGATGTATTGAACCCAGAGGTTGATATCGCCGTGGAACTTGCGCACGGCCCGGTCGAGAACGAAGAAAATGCGTCGCTGGCCGTTGAAACCTGCGGACCGAATCCCAAGTCGCTTCACCCGCTTCTTTCGCAGAACATCAAGGTTCATTTCGTATTCGGCGTAGCGCACAAAATCCACTGGCTGCGCACCGCGCGCATTGAGCTTGTGCTCGAAATCAGAACGTTTTTTGACGATTGAGGAAATTTCATCCTAGGTATGTTGATCAGCTGTCATTCTGCAATACAATAATCACCATCTGCGGCTTACTTTGGTGAAAATCTTCTTGCGCTCGTATTCCTTGAGCTCAGGCACCGACTTCTCAAGGAAAAATCGAGCCTTATCTGTTGCGGCCGACATGGTTGCTTGTTCACTGAAGAGGTTTGTTAAAAAAAAAGTCGGCATCCCGCATTGAAAAAACACCGATCCAGCCCCAGAGGACGCTAACCAGATTGGGTTAGCCTTGAGGACACTCAGAACCACCGAGGGATCCGAACATTGTTTCCCTTTCCTCAGGGGCCATTTGCTCGTGACATCTACTCTAGTCGTTCTCTTTTTATTTTGGTTTTCTTTTTGACACTCTTTTTCTTAACTTTCTCCTTTTAATTTTATAGGTGCAGAGATTGTTTTTCCTCTGCGCCGCCATGGCTCCCCGATACAAGGACGGAGATGCCGTGGTTGCCGTAAGTGCTGAGCAATTGAATACTGATAGTTATATGGGGACGCTACTGACTTGACACCTATGCAGATCAATGGCAAATGGATAGCTTGGATCCACACAGGCTTTGCCTACGCGGCGTTTCTTAGTGCGTTGATTGTCGGTATTGCGTTGCATTATCACAAGATTGTTCAGAATGAGCATTACGGCTACCCCATCGAATGGTTCCCCTCCGTGTCCGCGACTATCGGTGATCGTTATCCCGAACGATCCTTCTTCCAGGTTTTCATTGCCCTTACTTCCGGTCCGCGATTCGCCCTTGTCTTCTTGTGGTTCGTCCTCACCTCGCGCCCAAACTCGGCCCTTCCCAAGTTGGTCGCTGGAGTGGGCATCTTCCGGACTTTGACGTGTGGAGGCTGGACCTATGTGACATCTACCGACGATCATGATTGGCACGACATCTTTATGATCTCGTACTTGGTGGCTACCTTGCCGTGGACCCTTGGTTGTCTTGCGCTTAGCCCTAACAACCGCCGCGCCGTTAAGTACCGCAAGATCATGGCCAGTTTGTTCTTTGGGACATTGGTTCCGTTGATTTACTACTTTATTCAGCACAAGGTGCACAAGGTTCCTGGTGGTGAGTCAAGCATTTCATTACAGTTGTTAGCAATTTATCTTTTGCTAACCAGCCATTTTTCTATTCAGCTTACACCAAATACGCCTTCTTTGAGTGGTCCCTGGTTCTGTTCGATGTCGGCTTTGATGCTATCGCAGCAATCGACTTTGAAAGCTTTGAAATTGTGGTGAGGGATGTTAAAGGTGTTAGCAGAGGGTATGTACCGTGGCTTCCAAAATGACAATCACCCACGTCAAATGTATAGTGCCAAAGGCTATATTGGTTACGAAAGAAAAACATTGTCTAAGTTTGCTCTCATTAGGCAGTTGAAGACGACTGCAGACTCTGTCTTGGAAAAAGAGTGTGTACAAACCCCATAACCAGGTATAATCATTCCGGAAGTTGACATCGTAGATAGGAAGGGAAAGCCGGTGGGCAACACCTTTGGCGAAGGCTTTTTCTGGACTGAGATCATTGATGCTGCCTCGGATGTCTATAACGGATTTGTTTTCTGGACGATTGTGACTGCTCTGCCGGTTCTTGTCTGGTATTTCCCCCTCTGGCACATGGGTATCTCCGGCTACGAAGTCGCCATTGTCTCATGCACATCTCCGTTGCTTCTCTTCGTCCCATCCTTGCGGTACGCAGCCGTGAAGAACCTCCGCCTGCTTCACCTAGCCTCGCTTGTTGGCCTCTTGGCATACAAATTCCAGGATCCCGCCAATCGTCTCTTTGTTACCAGCTTTGCCCTTGCTACCACTTGCGTAGCTTGGACAGCCGGATTTTTCGCCGAAAGGGCCAACGCTCCTCGTCTTGAAGCCCGTATCATGGCCTGGGGAATTGGTTTGATCATGTCCACCGTCGCCAAGTTCGCATGCAAAACGAACAACCCGCTTTGGCCAATCGTCAATTCTGATAACGGCGGCTGGAATAAAATCGGTATCTTCATTGCTCTGTTCGCCGTTTTGAGATCTCAGAGACGCTCGAACACGACCGGTGATGGTTACTTGCCAGCGGGCGGCAAGAAGGGATCGTCGGTTTTGGCAGGTGTTGGATTTGGTGGTCTCATGTTCGCCATCGTTTCGCTCTTGACCGACTCGAGCACCATGATCTCGTGGGTGTGGGACGGATATCCAGTGCGCGGGCCTCTTGCGGCTCCTCACGGCGCCTTGACCATCTTTGCAATGGGAGCCGGTCTTGTATACGGAATCTTCTACCCTCGTGTCGCCGGGAGCTGGACTGCCTTCGGAGTCGGCTCTGTCGGCGCCGCCCTTCTTACTTCATACCACCACTGGACTGGATTTTATGGTGCCCTTGCCCTTGCATTTTACATCATGGCCGTTACTCCAGTCTTGATTGCCTCTACTGTCCGTCACTCTCCTGCGAGCACGTTCGGCATTGGCTTCATCGTTTATGTCTTCCTTTTGCTCTTCCACGTCTGGATTGTCGCTTATGCATTCGTGCCTGGTGGTCCTCTAGTTCGCGAGCACACTGATTGGCTCATGATCACCACCATGCTATCCATTGGTGCTGGTGTTTTCTCTGCAGCGACCTCGAATTCGAGTCGTTCATCTCGCAACAAGCCCATCAGCCCCAACAGCCAGAGACAGCGGTCGTACTACATTTACGTCCTCGCTGCACTGCAGCTCCTCTCTGTTTCCGTGGCTTACCTGCGTTTCCCTACCAACGACTATACCCCTCACCACAAGGAAGATAAGATTGTAACTGCTGGTATTTGGACTGTCCACTTTGGCCTTGACAACAACATGTGGTCCTCTGAGCGCCGTATGCGCGATGTCATTAGCGAACTCGAGCTGGATGTTATTGGTTTCCTCGAGTCCGACAATCAGCGTATCATCATGGGCAACAAGGATGTCACTCAGTTCATTGCCGAGGACCTTGGCTACTACACTGACTTCGGTCCGGGCCCTAACAAGCACACTTGGGGCTCCGCCTTGCTTTCCAAGTTCCCCATCGTCAACTCCACCCATCATCTCCTCCCTTCGCCTGTGGGTGAGCTGGCACCTGCAATCCACGCCACCCTCGACATGTATGGAGAGATGATTGACGTTGTTGTCTTCCACTCTGGTCAGGAAGAGGACCCCGAGGACCGTCGTTTGCAGAGCGAGTATCTTTCCAAGCTGATGGGCGACTCCCCACGTCCTTTGATCTTGTTGAGTTACCTCGTCACCAAGCCACTCGAGGGTAACTACAACACTTATGTGAGCGAGCGCAGCCAAATGAAAGATATCGATCCCACCGACTGGGACCGATGGTGTGAGTATCTGCTTTTCAAGAAGCTGCACCGTACCGGCTATGCTAGAATCAGTCGTGATACTATCACCGACACTGAGATCCAGGTAAGTTGTTTCTCAATCTATTTGTACACCTCTTTTCTCGGTCTCTGACTTACAATAACTATAGGTCGGCAAATTTGTTATTGGGGAGCCCGAACCCGAAAGTGAGATGCGTATTCCAGAAGAGATGGTCCCTGTTGGCCGCCGCTTCCCTGCCCTGTTCCGCGGCGAAGGAGTACGTGGACACCGTTATCACGTCTTCGACGAGCCCCGATACTGGCAGTGAATAGTACCAAGGGTTGCATGGAATCATACGATTGCGCCAAAAATTGCCTCGGAATAAATTTCATGATTTCTTTTATATGGTGACATAGTTAGGACCATATCAGGCAGATATTCCACCATCATTGGAATTGCCCTCATACCCCTAATGAAATGACCGCTGCATTCTACTTTTATGTTCTTCTGTCCGTATTTAGTTCTGACTCTTGCTTGGCTCTATGCTATGACCTCACCCCGCTATAGAAGAGAAGAATTCAGGCATGCCCATTTTGCACAAGACGGTAGGTCACTTATGTATGTCTGTCTATCCCTGCAATGCCAAGCTCCCTGTAGCGAAACATTTGCTGGTGGCTTAGTTATTCATCACCAAAGGGCTCTTCATGCCTTTGGAACGTGTTCCGGCGTTCTAGTCTTGTCAGTTGTCTGGGTCGTGAGATTCAGGTTTGCGAGTCCAATTCTCCCCATGTGAATACACATTTGCAAAATATGTCTCATCTTTGTTCCAAAAGTGATGTGAATACGCCATCTCGAACTTCCTACCGAGGGGCTATGTGTCTATGCTCACCTTGGCCTAGGAAAGTTTCTTTGAGATGATTCTTTGTTTTGTGTCGGGAAACATCTAAATATATCAATGCACAGCATAGAACCAATTCAAGGGCCAACCTAATTTCTTGGTCAGGAGATAGCAATGTTTTCTCTACGGCCTCACTGGTTCATCAACTTCAAACCCTCTTTGTCTATTTCACGACCGAGCGAGCACTTCGCTTTGTTTCCCAAAGAGGAAGGGGGCCACATCATTCATTTGGAAGAGAACCACCACTAATCCCTCTTTTTTCCCTCGGATTTACAAGTTGAAAGAATTTCAATGCTGTCTTCTCACCCTTTGCAATCGAAGTTGGTTTGAAACAAACTTAAATTTTGTGGTATAGCTTTTTCTTTATTGGTTTCTCTATTCATCGTCTCACACACATTAGGTCCAACCCTTTTCTTTAGGCTCTAACCTACTTACTATATCTACGTTTTCAACTTCAATATTATAATTTTATTCTTTTCAAGGTAATTATTTATATAATACTATTTAGAGTTATCTCTCCTAGGTAGTATGCCATTGATCAGTCTACTCAATGTGCTTTTTGTTCAAGGTACAAAATTTGAAATTCCCAGTTCTTCTGTACGCATCGGAGTGAACAATTGCCACATCCGATATAATATATGCACTTATTTCTGAATAAATGCATGTCTATCTACCTAGGTACTTTCAAGTCTGCTTATAAGCCATGACATAACGAAATTCAAAGTCAGAAAAAAGCCAAATTTTGCTACAAGAGAATAGACGCGCACTTTGTCTGGAGAATTTATTTTTATCTCTCTTTGTGTCAGTGAGTGCCCTGGATACTTCGAAGCTGTGCTTTGTCCATCGACAGGAAGAGGTGACTGGGTTGAGAATTAATATCGAGCCAACAATTTGCCTATATATCTGATCACAACTCTGAACTTGAATTCTTTTCTCAACATATCACTCGCCATTGCAACCATATATATCATGTATGTGTCATATTAAGTTTTGCTGTGTTGCATGACTAACAGGTCAAATTTCAAGTTCAACCTTGCATCGTATCATCCGTCAACCCGAAATCATGGTCGAGACACGAGCTAGGGCTAAAGGAGCACCCCCTCCGCCTCCAGCACTCACAAAAGAGCAAAAAGCTGCAGCTAGAACCATCAAGGCTAAAGAGAAAGCTGCAGAGAAGGCCAGAAAAGATCAGGAAAAGGCTGCAGCTAAGGCCGTCAAGGCTAAAGAGAAAGTCAGGAAAGATCAAGAGAAGGCTGCAGCAAAGGCCGCAAAGGCCCCAAAGGCAACAAAAGCCACGAAGGCTGCGAAGGGCCGGCAATTAAAGACCCCGAGACCAAACAGGGCCAAAAATATCAAAAGTACAAAGACCTTGCCAGATCCTGCTTACAGTGAGAGCAAGTCAAGCGATGAAGACCTGCAGGGAGAGGATGAAAAACAAACCTACCGCAAGAGACGGAGGATTGCGAGCAGCAGCTCTCATGCTTATGTGGAAGTTAAAGTTAGTAGACCAGAACCTCTTCGCATCAATTTCAAAGAATGGGATTACTCGAGAGAGCTACCTCCCCCTGAAGGTCTACATACCAAGCTCCAAGGCACTCTGCCGACCATCAGTGTGGGAGGCTCTGCACCGCAGCCTCGTTGGCTGGTTGGTCAAAACAAATTCATGCCACAGCCTCCGATGTATCTCTCATACACTGATTCCAAGCGCAAAGCTTCGAGCGGTTCCAGCTCTAGCGATTATGGAAAATTGATTTGGTATTTGGATGAGGGCGATTTCAATCTCTGGGGTGGGCTTACACACCCACAGCTCGAGGAGCTTGCACACATATGTTTTGAGAATGCACTCAATCGCCCTGTCCTGATAGACGATATTCTCCATTCTCTTTCCGATGGCCCACTGCCCCAGTCTATAACGTCTAGCGAAGCATGGTATCCGATTCTGCCGCCCCCGCCCTGTACGAGGTATTTTGCAAAATCCTCTGATATGGCTGTCTGGGAAAGCCCTGAGGACCCCCATGACTCGGGTTATTACTACAAGGACTACGAGCGTCCATCGTTGGCTGTCCAACAGCCTCGTTCTGCGCAGCGATCGCACCAGCACATCCTGGCTACCAAGTTGTTAGATCAAATAGCGACACCGTCAGATGCAAGCATTGCAGACTCAGACATGGAAAGCCCCGTATCTCCTACCGCTCTTGAAAGTCTGATGATTGAACAAACTGGTGAGTGATTTGATGATTGAACTTTATACCTGCATGTTCATATTTTCTGGCGGTCCAATGTCATCAAACAATGCAATTACGGATGTGAATGGAAGTAGAATGTGCAGGCCTCCAGACACAACCTTGGTTGTGTGATACAACATTGAACCCATACTTCCTGTATATTGGTCGTCAAGCCTGCTATGATAAGAGTTTTTTGCTCCGCATGCTGGTGAATGATAGCAGTTGCTCGGATCTACTTTTCCAATTGAGACCCATGCTAACTGATCGAATCTAGATAAAAATTCAGTAGAAACTTCTGGAGTTAGCTACAACTCTGAAGATGATTCTCAGCTTGAGTCAAACTTGGCCCATGAGTCTCAGGAACAATCACCCGATAGCGCTTTTTCCAATTACAGTTCAGACGGCGAGGTTAGCGCTCCCTCCAACACCAGTGCACCTCAACTCGATGACGCTAAAGATGTTAGCGCTGATTCGACAAATTCTTCGAAAATAAGCTCATCCGTATCGTCACATTATGGGCTCTTCAGCGCGAATCAAATCGATGAATATTACAACAAGAGCAAGCAAGCGAGATGTGAGTCCAGTAATTCTCAAAGGCATATCTCGTAGCGGGGCTAACTGTTGAGTCAAGTTCATCAAGATAAACTAGCAGGCCGAGAGCTGCCCGAAAAACGAAAATTTCAAAGAGAAGCCGAAGAGGAAAGAAAACGAGCGCGTGGGATAAGAAATGGCACACAAGCTGAAGAGGAAAATACACAGACCCGTGATCGACCTTTACAATGGATGGAAGGGCCGTATGTAGAGGGTGAGGAGGATGAGGAATCTACATGCACGAACGAACCCCTAGGAATATTGGATTTGAGAGATCCCTTCCTTGAGCAAGCAAAGGAAATATGTTTGGATAGAAAGGCGCGGCGAAGATACTTCCCTGACCCTATTGTTGTTCATCGAGCGCGAATGTGGGCGGGGGAAGATTTGAATAAACAAGACGCCAAACCTAACGTCGACGCTGCGCTGCCACCTTGGGCTGACACTCATCGGCCTTTCGGTCAGTGGCAAGATCCGGTAAGAGCTTCAAACAAGACTCATACGTTAGATTAGACATAACACTAATCTTCGCACAGGCCCAACCAGCCGAGCCTACTACAACGAGGTCACGAAAGAAAGTCAATCCCGCTTGTAAACGAGTAACAGGGAAGCATCGGGCATTGTCCGACTCGAATTTCTCGTCGTTTTAACTGTATCTTTGTCTTTCAAGTATATAGATCAGGCGTTGCATTACAGATTTTTTTCCTTGTACTTGCTTTCATTCTATGGTCTTTGTTATGCATGGAGTCCATTTTCAGTTATTCAGAACCATCACAATAACTGACATGTTTTCCCGGAAAGTGCATCATAAAATGATTTTTACCATGCCAGATGCTAAGTACTAGAAGTAGTATTTGATATGTTGTTCTAGCTAATCACAATACATATCTTGGAGACATGATTTCCGGCTTCGACGGTCTTGTAGGCTGCGAGAATGTCCTCTCGCGTAAAAGGGTATTCTTTCTCAACATGGAACCTCAATCTCTGTCTATCGACGAACGTCACCAAATCCTCCAACATACAGCGAGGGCCGATCAACACACCTCGAATAACGCAGTTTTTGAGCAAGGCTAGCAGAGGAACGTCGGGTCTCTGTGTCATGCCGCAGCTAGCAAGGTATCCAATTACGCTGATGATACCACCTGGTGCAATGGCTTGAATACTCTGTTCAATTGTACCAATTCCACCAATCTCAATGATGTGGTCCACACCTTTGCCGCCAGTGAGCTCTAAAGCCTTTGAGGCCCAGTCTGGGGTCTTCTTGTAATTGATGCAATGATCAGGTTGCAACAACGACTGAACAAACTTCAACTTCTCATCACTAGAGGAGGTGACAATAGTTGTCGCCCCAGCAGCCTTCGCCAGTACAAGGGCCGTCATTGCCACACCGCCGGTACCTAAAAGAACATCAGGTGAGCAACCTAACGCCCATAAAAAGGAATATAGGAAAGCAACCAACCTTGAACCAGGACAGTCTGACCGGGCTTGAGAGGGATATTTCCATACAGAGCATTCCACGATGTCACACCCGTGCAAACCAGCGAAGCAAGCTCGCTGTAGCTTTGTGGTGCACTAGTGGGGACCTTAACCACACTTGACCCCGGGCGAGCGATATATTCCGCAAGGACTCCATCGACACCGCCGCCCTGGCAGGTGAGAAAGTCTTTCTGGGGTCCATACTGATGAGCGAGATCAAAGGAGACAACCACGCGGTCTCCCTTTGCGAGTCCTCGCACTTCATCTCCGACAGCGACAATGTCTCCTGCAGCATCAGAGCAAGGGATTGGGTTATCCTTGACAAAGGCAGGATAATTTGAAGTAGCAATCTGAATATCCCTCGAATTCAATGACACTGCACGAACTTTGATAAGAACCTCATGCTTTGAAATAATCGGGATTTCCTCTTGGGATGAGACAATATCCTCAAAACTGTTGCGAGTTGGGAATCGAAAGACTGTATGCGTCGTCATTTTGAGCCGTTGTTCTGTGGTTGATACGGAAAGCAGAACTGTAGAGAAATAGATTTAGGACATATGTCTACTCTATTTATATTCTTGTTGGTTATGAACGTTCGTACTCATGCTCGAAATCATACCCACTATGCTTTGAAATCGTTATACTACTTAAGGGGGCCGATGGGGGTGTCTTCCAGAGCTTCCTATTGGTCGAGGACACGTCAACTTCAACAACAAAATTTATCCTAATCTAATTCCTGGCCTGTTGAGCGGACCAAAGCAATGTTTTCAAGATTTTCATCATCAAATTCCCCTCTGACGGCCAAGCGTCGGAAAGTCAGTCGGGCCTGTGACTTTTGCCGAGAACATCGCGTCCGTTGTGAAGCAGCCACACCATGTCCTCAATGCGTCGCCAATCACATCTCATGTAGCCGAAAGTCCCAGTCAAATCTACAAAGGCTGCCTAACAATGGCCGAAAACGGCAATCGTCGCCCTTGGATGTTGATGTTGACCAAGAAGAAACAATCTCGACGCTTGAGCAGACGTTGGCCTCTAGATCCAATGGCCCGCAAGACGCAACAAGCTCTGCTCAATTAACACCAGAGTCTCTCAATGTGCCAGATTCAGGCCAGAGAATGGACTCGATGCTTGGTTTTATTGCCCGCATTGATGCTTTCTGCTCGGGCGTCTCACAACTCACCACGTCCATGTCCCCTGAAGGTGATGCTCCCCCGGAGTCCACATCGCCCTTTTTATCGAGTAATTTCCAGGAACCTAGTCCAATGGAATGCAGTCTCACAGAGGTTCAAATTAGTAGACTGCTCTTGATATTCTGGACTAGACTATGGCCACAAGTGCCAATAATTCGTCATGAAGATTTGAGGTACCTTAGGCATTCATCGCAGGATTCACCGTCACCACTTCGCGATATGATCATTGCGTATTGCATGCAGTATGTCTATTACTCGGGTCTCCATTCCCGGATTTTGGGTCTCGAACTTCATCAATTCCAGCAAAACACACATGGGTCTATGATCGGCCTGCCGTACTTTCAACGATGTCTGCGAGCAGTCACCCAGTATAGCAACTTTTCACAGCCTTCTGTGCTCACCTTGCAATGTTATTGCTTCATGATACTCTATCTGCTTGATGCTGGGCAGCATGCTGCTGCCTATAATATGATTGGTCTTGCCATCCGAATCGCCCAATCGTTAAAATCTAGTGCAAATACCGGCGACCGGCCCCAAAATTTGCGCTTGGCTTGGTGGATGTTGGTTATTCTGGACTTCCGTTGTTCCAGATATCTCGGCAAGCCAGTGAGCATTCGTTTACAGGATTTGCCATGCCCCCCACAAGCCCGAGAATCGGAAGACTTATTGGGCTCAGAAAATGCTTTATACCATATTGAATCTATCCGGTTAACAGCTGCAGTCTTGGCTGTTCTCGACAAGACCGACTGCTATCCCATTAACTTCGTTTCAAATAACCATACCGCTGGAACCGAAGCCCATGCTCATGCGCTTTCTCACGCCTTGCACCACCTGCGCCAATGGAAATTGGAGCTGCATAATTTGAAATCGCTGAGACATATCAAGCTGGACGTGGAAGATACACCTGCTGATCCGAATGAAGAAATCGAAATTCAAGATGCTTATCTGAAACAGCCACCAATGGAAATTCTCCTAGCTACGCTGCTTGAGCTCCAATACCACAATGCTATCATCACCATTCATCGAGACTTTATCCAGTTCCCAACTCATCCCCTTGTTCCCAAGTCCAGTCCTCGGGGTGACGAGCATAGTGCCACTGCTCTGAATCATGCTTTGGCGATGATCAGGCTTACACACCGCCGGATGACGACTCATGACGCTATTCATGGCATCTCTGAGATCTACCAGTACATATGGAATGCAGTATTGACTCTGGCTGGATTTCTGCTGGCGTATCCGTATTGCTACAGGTGCCCAAGGGCTCGACAGTACATCCGATTGGCCTTGGAGATATTCGATTCTGCCGGTACTCAGAATACTTCCCCTCTTCGTGCAGCATCACTGACACGTCATCTATGCGCCAAAGTTGACACTTTGGTGCAGATTTTGAACATTGATCAACCTTGCGCATCCTCTGGGGAATCTGATTTTGTACTAAACTCTACATCCGAAACCGGGGCAGCAGGAGATATGTCTTCTTTTTCTGATTATACTGCCCTGGAAGTGGAGTCCCAACCACCGTCTTCCGCCCATTTGAACCTGAGCGGGGAATCACTGTGGTCCTGGGTTGATTTTATGAACGTGAGTGCTTGGCCAAGTTATTGCGACGAAGTGAGCGAAGCTTTTACAGACCCTACAAAAATGTAATTTCTCTTTAGGTTCTTAATTAATACAGATCAATCTCATTGTAGCCTCAAGACACAAACCGTAAAGTACTTTGGAATTCTTACTAATTTTATAGCATGTAGCCTGAGCCCTTGCACTGACTACATATGTATGCATACACGGATGGGGTTGAGCTGTGGGGCACACCAATAGCCACTAGATCAGCTAGGCCATTTATAGTCAGTTCCGGTTCTTCCCATTGGAGAATTTGCTTCGTACAGTAAATCACCGGAGACTATTGATGAGCGGGCCATGGCTTGGATGGACAGTACGGATAGGTACTTTGGATATAGGGAGCCATTTACGGACTAGATGGGGTGGTTGGGCCATTCGTAGTTGAGCATTGAAGAACGGGATCCTAAGTTTCCATTAAAATGTCCAATATCGGCCTGTCATCATGATATGAGATTACTGTATTATAGGACTTGCCATTGCATAGATTAGCCATGCAATCATTCGTCGTAAAAAAATGGAGATCATACCCAAGAACGAACAAAATGAAACGGGAAGTTCTAGACAAAAGGAACGAGAACTAAAAGATGCATCTATCTGCTACCAAACATATAATGTGGTTATGACAGCCCTTGTTCCTAAGCTTCGTCCTGTAGGATTACTTGATCGGACTCTATTTTGACTCTTCCATTACTGTCACGCAACATGGAGAGACTCTGCTGCTGCTGCCCGCCAAAAGTTAATTGAGCTGTCAGCTCGCTGGGTGGAGTTGGGACTGGAGGGATTAATTTCCAGAAAAAGGTGAACTTGGCTATACTCATCAATGTAGATGCATGATCCTCACTGAGCGCTCACGAGTCTCCACCATCTGCACAGAAAGCTGCTCGGCCTCCCTCCACCAGCCCTCAAGCCCGTATGAAAATTCCAACATGTTTGTGCTATTAAGGGCTGTTCATGCTATTTATCTGATAGATCCCTCTTTAACGCTGGTCTGTCATCTATACTTTTTGTAGGTTTTGTGCAGATTCTGAACATTGATGGATGTTCGCGTATGCGATGCTGATCGACTCTACTAGCGCCAGATAATAGAAGTGAATATTACATTATTATCTTAGTGTTCGACAGATTCAAGACACATAATCTTACATTTCTGGAATTTCTCATTGGTTACCGATCATTAAAGTGTACAGTAGCTTATATTGTTCGACTAGTACGGAGTATAGCAACCAAAAATGGCAATCTGCGTACCTATCACTTCACCGCCTTCGAAGGTCTAATACAAACCAGACAAACATCCCCGGGGCAGCTCACCCGCTGGTGGGCCTTTGTTCGCGACATTCAACTCCCGTACATGCTGGGACGAGGATGGATACCCAAGTCAAACTCACCTGAATCGATCTTGGCTATCTTGGCTGACCCGTCACGTCGCTGGTCCAAGCCAATCTCGGCTGCTAGATTTCCAGTTGAGCGCCAGTCAAAATGTTCACGTTCACTCCTCTCCTTGGCGCCCAATCGTCATCATCGAGGGCGTCGCAGTCTATTCTGGAGCTCGATGGGGGCATCAAGATCCTGGTGGATGTGGGTTGGGATGACACGTTCGATACCCTTGACTTAGCAGAACTTGAAAAGTGAGCATGCGCCGACTCAACGCGTTTCCGTGTTTGAATAAAGACGAACTGACAAGATTGACAGGCATATCCCTACACTATCTCTCATTCTCTTGACACATGCGACACCTGCCCATATCGGTGCGCTCGTCCACTGCTGCCGAACATTCCCTCTTTTTACTCAAATTCCAATCTACGCAACGAGTCCGGTCATCGCATTCGGTCGTACACTTTTGCAAGATCTTTATGCCTCCGCCCCGCTTGCCGCCACGTTTTTACCAAAGACTTCAGTATCAGAGCCAGCGGCTTCGGTGTCTAATACAGATGCAGACGCTGCTGATGCTGGCAGTGCAGGCCGAATTCTTCTACCATCACCTACTGCAGAAGAGATTTCTCGATACTTTTCTCTCATTCAACCTCTCAAATACTCCCAACCACACCAGCCGCTCCCTTCGCCTTTCTCGCCCCCGTTGAACGGGCTTACCCTCACAGCTTACAATGCCGGTCATACTGTTGGCGGAACAATATGGCACATCCAGCATGGACTGGAGTCTATTGTGTATGCAGTGGATTGGAACCAGGCGCGCGAGAGCGTCGTCGCAGGCGCCGCTTGGTTTGGCGGCTCTGGAGCCAGTGGTGCAGAAGTCATTGAGCAGCTACGAAAACCGACAGCTTTGATTTGCAGTACCAAGGGAGGCGATAAACTGGCACTTTCAGGTGGTAGAAAAAAGCGAGACGATCTTCTGCTCGATATGATTCGGAGTAGCCTTGCGAAAGGCGGTACTGTTTTAATCCCGACAGATACAAGTGCTCGAGTCTTGGAACTGGCATATTCGCTGGAACATTCTTGGCGCGACGCTGCAATTGGCGAGAAAGAAGATGTTCTTCAAGGGGCTGGACTATATTTGGCTGGTAAAAAAGTCACCAACACCATCAGATTGGCCCGAAGCATGTTGGAGTGGATGGACGAAAACATCGTGCGTGAGTTTGAAGCTGCTGAAAGCACAGATGTCACCAGCGGGAAAACCCCTGCCAATAAGGGTGCAGGACCATTTACCTTCAAGCATCTAAAGATCATTGAGCGCAAGAAACACCTCCAAAAGCTTCTGGCAGACCCGGGACCGAAAGTCATTCTTGCATCTGATACATCAATGGACTGGGGCTTCTCAAAGGAGGCTCTTCAACAAGTGGCCGAAGGACCTAACAATCTTTTGTTGCTCACAGAATCTTTCCGCAAAGATATACAACCCAAAAGGCAAACCATTGGAAGCATGATCTGGCAATGGTATGACGAGCGAAGAGACGGCGTAGCCCTCGAGAAGGGCTCGGATGGCGAACACATCGAACAAGTTCACAGTGGTGGACGAGAGTTGACTTGGAAAAATGTTCAGCGAGCCCCTCTTGATGCTGGGGAGCAGTTGCTTTATCAACAGTACCTCGCAACTAAACGTCAGCTTCAAGACACATCCCAAACACTGGGCCAAGAAACCCTGGACACTGCCGTCGATGCTCTTGACGACGGTTCAAGCTCTACCTCTTCCGAGGACTCAGATCCCGAACAGCAGGGCCGGGCGTTGAACTTCTCAGCCTCACTTGCCCACGCCACTCGCAGCAAGCTTGCTGTAAGTGATGAAGATTTGGGTATCAACATTTTGCTTCGGCGAAAGAACGTTTATGACTACGACGTACGGGGCAAGAAGGGCCGCGAGCGCATGTTCCCTTATGTGGCACCGAGAAAGAAAGGCGACGAGTATGGAGAATTTATTCGCCCAGAGGAATATCTCCGAGCGGAAGAACGCGAAGAGATTGATATGCAACAGCGGCGTACCGATGCCGAGACCAAGTTAGGCCAAAAGCGAAGATGGGATGATACTGCTAGCCCCAATGGACACAAGGCACTCGACGTCGCAGGACGAAAGCGACCTCAAATACACCAAAATGTTGACGACGACGACCTCAGCCTTGCCTCCGATAATGAAGGTGCTATCGACCAAGATGATGTCGAGGATGAAGCGGACATCCAGTCCTTTGAAGGACCTGCCAGGGCATTCTATGACAACCAGACCGTCACTATCAACGCCAGAATTGCCTTTGTCGATTTCATGGGATTGCACGACAAGCGCAGTTTGGAGATGTTGATCCCGCTTATCCAACCCCAGAAACTAATTTTGGTTGGTGGAATGGAAGAAGAGACCTCCGCATTGGCAGCTGAATGCCAAAAGCTATTATCGGCCAAGCCCGGTGCGTCAGGCCCTGCATTGAACTCGGCCGCCATCATCTTTACCCCAGCCAATGGCCAAGTCATCGATGCTAGTGTCGACACAAACGCCTGGATGGTTAAACTTAGCAACACCCTTGTCCGACGCCTCAACTGGCAGCACGTCCGCAGCCTTGGTGTTGTTGCTCTAACGGCGCAATTGCGAGGACCAGAGCCTGTCACCGCCGAAATCGGGGACAACGAACTTGCCGGCAAGAAGATGAAGCAACTAAAAAACGAAGCAGCCTCATCCGCTCTCCCTCCCACGTTCGAACAGGGAGACAACAAAGCATCCGAGAAGCTAGAGGTATATCCTTTGCTCGACACTCTCCCAGCCAGCATGGCTGCGGGAACCAGATCCATGGCTCGCCCTCTTCATGTCGGCGATTTGCGATTGGCCGACCTTCGCAAGCTCATGCAATCTGCTGGTCACATCGCAGAGTTCCGAGGTGAGGGTACCTTGTTAATCGACAAGTCTGTTGCTGTGCGCAAATCGGGGACAGGCAAGATTGAGATTGAAGCAACGGCTCAGTCTTCGATGGGTCAGTCAGGTCGTGGAACGGGGAGCTTCCTCGCGGTCAAGAGGAAAATCTATGAGGGGCTGGCCGTCGTTGCAGGCAGCTGAGCCTAATCATATGACATGTATTTCTATTTCTGGTGTATAACTATGAGTTACAAAGCACTCCTAGCCACTCCTCAAATCAAATAGGCAAAGACCTGCAAACTTCCTCGTGTTCAACATATCTTCGTACTAAGCTCGTATAACTTTTAAGCATGATTCACTTTGTATTGATGTACGTAGATAGCACACTTGTGATCCCAACGAATATCATCTATAGAACTCTATATAGACAAGACTATGAGTAGAACTTAAGTACATCTAAAAAAGCAATCGAAAACTAGACCGCCAGATGCTATCATGGTGCAGTGAGCGGCCCCTTTCTTTACCCTAAGCGGCAATGTCATCTGACTCTTCTGTGTCGTTATCACTATCCTCGGTGGGGATCTCTCGAATGATATCGTTCGTTTGGGGACCAGTATATTTTCTGCAGGAGACCAAAATCGGAGTCAATTTCTTCATGATCAACAGATCAGATCTCGAGATTCACTTACCCTCGAGCTGCAACCCACCACCACACCATAGCAAATGCAGCAATGAAACCACCAACACAGATAGCGTAATTCCTGTGGATTTACGTCAGTTTGCCTCGTACTTGAAAACTGTTCAATCTCCAATATATCTTACATGTTCGCCGGTGTCACAGGAAGTTGTGGCGGGAAGAACAGAACAGTACTGATGAAAATAACCCAAATGATAGCGATATAGTTGATACAAGTGCCCCATTTACCGAGCGTGAAAGGACCCTCGATGAACTTAACTTTGGACTTGTAAAGCTGATGCGCGAGAATAACGGACACATAGGATATGTCCAGTGCCGGGGCAGTGATGTTGAATATAGCGGTAGCGGTTTGCGTGGAGCCAATTGCAATACAGTTTAAGCAAATACTAAAGATGACAACGAACCACACAGCATTAACAGGAGTGTGGGTCCGAGAATTGATCTTTGACAGGAACCTGTACTTTAGGTAAGCTTTTGAGTCTTTATGTGGAGAGCATCTTACTTTGAAAATGGAAGTGCATCGTCACGCGCAAAGGCATAGGCCATTCTTGTATCTGCCAGCATGGCTGAGCATCCCGTGAAAAATTGAACTAGAATGGCAAATGCCCACATGATTGTGCCGCCTCGCTTTCCACCAGCATTGATGAAAATCTGGGCAGCGGGAAGACCGGTGGGAGAGTTGAGAATCCCCTCAAAATCGGTCAAGCAGAAGCACATGGAGACTGTAAGAAGCCATCCGAACACTCCAGATACCAGGACGGCTGTTTGGATAGCAATTGGCCCCTGCACGGCAGCATCATGGGTCTCTTCGGACATGCTATGGGATAGGGTGATGTGGTTAGAATAGACTCAAGGTGAAATTAGCTTCACATACTGTGTTGTCCCGTCATAATCAGTCATTGTCCAAGCAACCGACAAGAAACCTAGGAAAAACGAGAAGGCCTTTGAACCCCACCCCGACCCATCGGTAAAGTGACCAAAGACCCAAGCAGCTGGCTGCAGGTTGGGTGTAAGTGCAATCAATGAAATGCAGATGCAAATAGTTGCCACAACTATGAGGTTGTCAGCGCAAGCTCAACGTTTCAAAGCTTCCTGGTCTTTACTATTGATGGGAGCGAACCAAATAATGATTCGATGCAGAGATTTTGTAGTCAGAGAGGAAATAACCCCAAGAACACACAGGATCGCAATTGACACCAGTACGGTCTCCAGCGCCGTCCTTGAAATGATATCAGCGTGTGCATTTCACAACTAGAGCCTCTGATTTTCTTACGGCGCATATTTATATTTTCCATCAATAAAATCCGAGTTCATACTGACACATGCCAGCAGCATCTGACTGACCGTATACGCCACACTAGATACTCCTGCTGTCTGGCCGAGGAGGTTGCACCAGCCTTGTATCCAGGAGAAAACAGGAACCTGATCGGGAGGCACAACGTGCTTGGTAACAAAGTACATCCCTCCCGCTGTGGGATACGCTGATACCAGCTCTGCCACCGAGCTGCCTATACACATGGCCATGCAAGACCCAATCAGCCAGCACCATACCGCTGTCGCGGGGCCGCCAGCTGCCAGTGGTGCACCGAACGTTGCCGGCACGGAGCCAAGAACTCCCAGGATAGAGATTGCATACGAAATAGTTGACCATTTGGAAAGCTCCCGTCGCATTTCCTAGTCCGAGCAAATCGTAGTCAGATCTAGCCCCACTAAGATCGTCACCAAGACCTTGGGTGGGAATACCTGTTTATACCCAATTCGAGCCAACAAAAGCTCATCGTCATCATGAATAGTCGCCATTGATGTAGGAGAAAGCTGTGTACTTTTGGTTTCCTTTTTTTTGGGGTTGTGAACTCGATCTGGCGGCTTTACAGTCAGGTCCATGATAAAAGGAGGTATGTGGAGGCTGGTATATGCAAGGAGCTTTCTGGGCCAACAAAAGATAAGGGAAGAGAGAAAAAGAAGGGGAAAAGAATATATCCAACTCAACTTACACAGATCTACTTTACTTGTGTTATATCTATATTGTATTGGGCTTGAGGAACCGATCGAGGGGCAAAGGATCGCGAGCCCGCAATGTCGGGAAAGAGACGGTGAGATGAACACGCCTCAACAAAGATAAAAACAAGCCCGAAGACCTTGTCCCGGAACTAGAATCAGAATCTGGCGTGATTATTGGAGAATATGATAAGCGCAAAACCAGTCAGTCCCAAGGTTGATTTGCACCCATTGCCGATTAGGTTGGTGGCATGAACAAATAATTATGTAGGCAGGATGTTGATGCGAGGACGTAAAGAAGTTCAAGAAATAGACTAGTTTAGTAGAATGACATGTGTAAAAGCCACAGGGGACGAGAAGATATTATTCGGGACTTCACAGCAACTCGTTCCGAGTGGAATGGTAGCTGCGTCCGAATCGCTAGTCTTAAGAGCACAGATGATTTTTGCGCAAACGGACTTGAGACTTGATATTATGAAGAAAGAACAGGTGGAGAGATTGTATTGAAACTGAAGATTTTACAAACATTCAATGATATAGAACCGATTATTTACATACATATATATGTATGTACGTTGTACCTTGTAGGGCATACAACGTAGTTAGTGGAAAGTACACGGAGACACGTGGAGAACGGAAACACGTAAATCCGAGTCAGTTTAGGTGGTCAATCCGGTATATCGTCAACATGCGACTTACTCAATTATAACTTTCGTTGTTCTAATTTTCTACGTGATGATTCGTTGCTGAAATTGTACTTTGTTGCTCCTGTCACATTTTTTCGCTCTGACGTGAAAAACCTCCTTAACCCACAACCCCGCGGCATGATCCACCATGGCCAACCCTTCTATGTATAACACAATGGGCCAGGCATCTGGCGAAGACCCGTCGAATCCACAGTACATGGCTCAACAGCCGTCACCTCAACAATATGCAGCTGGTTATCCTCCTGGTGCCGCACCTCCACAACCAGGAGCCCCTTACGCCAACCCAGCTCCAAATCAATGGGCCGCTTACGGCTCACCACAACAGCCCGGATTGGCGAGCCCTGGCGTCGCATACAATGCCCCCCAGCAAGCACCAATTGGTGGAGCGGGGGATCCAGGAATAGCAGGCATAGCGTCTCAGATGAGTGGTTTGGGAATTGCAGCAGATGCGGGGGCCAGGACACACCGGAAGAAGCATCGCCATGCTCACCATGATATCGGAGGTGCTGCTGCACTCCCCGCCCAAGGGTTCAACAATGGAATGGATCAAGGAGGCTTGCAACAGCAACCATCGCAATTCTTGAACACGGGACTAAACCAAAATGCTGATCGGCCAGTTTCCCCAGCGGTGGGGTTGGTCTCTGGGCAGTCTGCTGCCCCCGACATACCTGGCATGCAGAGTGGTGCTGGTGCTGTTCCTACCTCAGGCCGAATTGACCCAGAACAAATCCCCAGTATCCCACAATCGCGCGACCTGCCTGCTCAGTACTACTTCAATCATGTCTACCCGACTATGGACCGACACCTACCCCCGCCAGCCGCGATCCCGTTCGTGGCCCACGACCAAGGCAACTCCTCCCCCAAATACGCCCGTTTGACCCTCAACAACATTCCCTCCGCCTCCGACTTCCTAGCCTCCACCGGTTTACCATTGGGGATGGTCCTGCAACCGCTCGCACCCTTGGACCCTGGCGAACAGCCGATCCCCGTGCTGGACTTTGGGGATGTTGGGCCCCCTCGATGCCGAAGATGTCGGACGTATATCAACCCGTTCATGTCCTTCCGAAATGGTGGCAACAAGTTTGTCTGTAACATGTGCACATTCCCGAACGATACGCCTGCCGAATACTTTGCGCCCTTGGACCCATCTGGCGCGCGCGTGGATCGCATGCAGCGTCCAGAGTTGATGATGGGAACCGTTGAGTTTACGGTACCCAAGGAATACTGGAACAAGGAGCCGGTGGGCCTTCAGACTCTATTCTTGATCGATGTCAGCCGAGAGTCAGTTCATCGGGGTTTCCTAAAGGGTGTATGTGAAGGTATCAAAGAAGCGTTGTACGGCGATGGGACTGAACCGTCAGAGGGCTCCGAAGGCGATGAATCGTCGCGGAAACTGCCTGCTGGCGCGAAAATCGGTATTGTCACGTATGACAAGGAGGTGCACTTCTACAACCTGACCGTATGTCTCTTCTAGTTTTGGGGGTACTTGGTCGTTTGCTAAACTGAATTACAGGCTACCCTGGACCAGGCACAGATGATGGTCATGACTGATTTGGAAGAACCATTTGTGCCTTTGAGCGATGGCCTTTTCGTGGACCCGTATAAGTCAAAGTATGAAATGGCGTATCATCAATCTTCTGCGGGAAGCTAACCTACCATCTCAGGTCTGTGATCACTTCACTTCTCAGTCGGATACCCAAAATTTTCTCTTCCATCAAGAACCCCGAATCGGCTTTGCTGCCCATGTTGAATTCGGCACTATCCGCTCTTCAGGCCACAGGTGGCAAGATAGTCTGCGCACTGGCTAGCTTGCCTACCTATGGTCCAGGATCGTTGTCCATGCGAGAGGATCCCAAGCTGCATGGAACGGACGCTGAACGGAAACTGTTCGCAACGGAAAATCCAGCCTGGAAGAAGACGGCAAGCAAGCTCGCCGAAGCCGGAGTTGGTGTTGATATGTTCATGGCGGCCCCTGGTGGCGCTTATCTCGACGTGGCAACAATTGGTATGACTAACGCGTGAATCAGTTATTCTGCATCGACTAACTTGATCTACAGGACATGTCTCTAGTCTTACTGGAGGCGAGACTTTCTTTTACTCTAACTTCCACGCACCGCGTGATCTTCTCAAGCTGCGAGCCGAGCTAGCACATGCCGTCACTCGGGAGACGGGATATCAAACCTTAATGAAAGTCCGATGCTCCAATGGACTCCAGGTTTCTGCGTACCACGGCAACTTTGTCCAACACGCCCTTGGTGCCGATCTGGAGATTGCCGGCGTCGACGCTGACAAGGCGATCGGCGTGCTCTTCAGCTACGACGGCAAGCTCGATCCCAAACTGGATGCGCACTTCCAGGCCGCGTTGTTGTACACTTCTGCGGACGGCCAACGGCGCGTCCGATGTATCAATGTTGTTGCAGCAGTCAACGAAGGTGGCTTGGAGACAATGAAGTTTGTTGATCAAGATGCCGTGGTCTCGGTCATTGCCAAGGAGGGTAAGTAAAATTTACTAAAGATCGTTGAGTTGTGTATACTGATGTTCGTAACAGCCGCCTCCAAGACACTCGACAAGACCCTCAAGGATATTCGGGCAAACATCTCGGAGAAGACAGTCGACATCTTCAGTGGATATCGCAAGATTTTCTCTGGTTCTCAACCACCCGGCCAGCTGGTTCTGCCTCAGAATTTGAAGGAATTTTCGATGTACATGCTGAGCTTGGTTAAGTCAAGGGCATTCAAGGGTGGCAATGAATCATCAGACCGGCGTGTACACGACATGCGCATGATCCGGGCGATGGGCTGCACGGAGCTGTCATTGTATCTATACCCGCGAATCATTCCCGTCCACAATATGCAGCCGGAAGATGGATTTGCGAACCAACATGGCCAACTCCAAATCCCACCCACTCTGCGAGCCAGCTTCTCTCGTATCGAAGAAGGCGGTGTCTACTTGGTAGACAACGGGCAGGCGGTCCTCCTCTGGCTGCACTCCCAGGTCTCGCCCAACCTGCTGGAAGACCTCTTTGGACCGGGTCACGACACGCTCCAAAATCTCAGCCCGAACATCTCATCGCTACCCGTTCTAGATACACACCTGAACGCACAGGTTCGTAATTTGCTGCAATACCTCTCGACCGTGCGCGGATCCAAGTCCGTGACGATCCAACTGGCCCGTCAAGGCCTGGATGGGGCGGAATACGAGTTCGCCCGACTTCTGCTGGAGGACCGGAACAACGAGGCACAGAGCTACGTCGACTGGTTGGTGCACATTCACCGCCAAATTAATTTGGAACTGGCTGGTCATCGCAAAAAGGAAGAGTCCGGCGAGGGCACATTGGCTAGTCTGACGGCCATGCGTGCTCCGTATTGGTAAAAGCCGGGTCCGGTAGTTTCCATCAGACCCCTGTCAGGTACCGTTTTCTTCCTACCTGTTCCCCTTGGCAATCTAGACCGCAGGCTGCAAGTAAGACGCAAGGGCGGAACGCGGAGGCGGTTAATTGGAGGGGGGGGTTGAGGGGGAGGGGGCCCAGTCATACCCAGACCAGGAAGGTCCACAGGTGGTGACGCTGACTTCAGTGGCTTTGTTGGTGGTGTGGAGCATCATGGATATCATTGGCGAGAGAAAGCACAACGAGGCAAAAAGAAAGAAAACAATACGGTTAAAAAAAGAAGATAATTATGAGACATCGGAGAGTTCATTTCTTGTTCATACCATAGTTTTTCTTATCATCATTGAATGTTCCTTGTGTCACAATCTTGATCTCTATATTGTAACCCACATGGTTATGTCTTCATACATTGTCCCCATGGCATACTGCAATAACTAGCTAATATCCACATGTATCCACTGAGGTACCAAACGGGGCCAAGTGGCGGTATGTATGGGGGTTCTGGAAGCTCAATACATACAACGCGTATATGTAGCCCACAAAGGTTTTATTCAAAAAATAAAGAGTTTCGGTGAGCTACAAAGTATGCAATATTCTAATAGTCCCACATCCCAATTAAGGTGGTTTTAGTCGACCTGCATCGGAAATAGCTAAAATCTATAGATACTTGACTTGATTACAAACGTAGAATGTTTACAAAGTTGCAGGATTCACCGTGATAATATGAAGTGCAAATTGCAATCAATATATAAATCAATATATAGAAATATAATCAATTAAATAGATTTGTTAAGTCATATTGTACGCTGTAACACATGAAATTTTCAGAGAAAACCCAGACTCGATCGCCAGGTACCAGGGTCCAGGTCAACGTCAGAGGCGGTGGGGAATGGCCACCATACTAATCCGTATATGGGTTATTGGCTCAGGGTCTTTTTGTTTTGTTTTAATTTATTTCTATTTAGTTTTTATTTTTTACTTGAATTTCTTCGTCTGAGGTGTCAGTGGAGATTCAATCCTTGATCACCTACTTGGTTTGGATTAGGGTTGATGAGATATCGTGAAATCTCGAGAAATATCAGAAAAACGACCCGTCAAATTTGTAATTGGAGCAATAATAATCATAGTGTAGACATCTCACTGGCTAATAACTCTCGCCATCTATACCTTTGCAATATTGTGCAATATCCAGTTGTCTGCTTGGTAATGTTTCTATCATCATCATGATGTTGATCTCATAGATTAATTATTCGATACTATTATCTAGAATATATTGGCATTGCCCCAAAACCTTCTAGACTGGTCAATTCTAGACCTTGGGGTCACTTCTATTCTATTGTGATTAGTTCCCCAATGTAACATGAGGAACACAATGGAAGAGTTCCATGTGGTGGCTAACACCTCATCCATAAAACGAGGCAATAAAGCTAGAATGGTTCCTGGCAAATATGTGTAAAGAATGTCTGTGCAGCCATGTTGCCGAGCTTCTTTGCCATGTTCGTTGCCATTGGCGTTCCCTGGTCAATTCATTTTTTTTTGGGTTTAAATAAAATTCTTCAATATGGTTGGGAGAACCGCGGAAGCAGCCGGCTGCAATGACGTGGGGTTCAGGCGAGGATGTGGGAGTTCTGGTTCTTGCTATTGCCACATTGTACAATATTGTAGGCTATGGCTCTCGGGCAAGAGTGGGGCAATTTGTGGTGGCATTTCATATAGACACGCAGTTGTCACTATATAGGCACGCCTTGACGTGCCCTACAAAGTATAACATGTCCCTTTGCAGGTAGGAGATAGCGGTGATGCCCTAATATAATAATTCATAGTTAGTACAGTAATGCGCAGTTGACCAGTCGAATCGATATTTCAGAAATGTCTAATTATTATCTCACATGTCTTTAGACATGGTAGCATTTATAGCATTATAGACTCTACCGAGGCGTCAATTGCATCTTTCTTGAACATGCCGGTCTGGGCTTTTGTTCGAATGAAACAGCGAAAGGGTCTCCCCCACTCATCTTTGGTTCCATAGTTTAGCCCTTATTCTTTTTCTTTTGTTCTTTTTTTCTTTTATTCTTTTTTTTTTGCCTTTCGCCTTTCGCCAAGGACCCATTTATGTCCCTGACCCGATCCATGGATCGAAGTATGGGTGGCTTTGCTCTCTTTCAGTTACCGGTCTGGGGGATCTATACTGTCGTGTGAAATCTATATAAACCTCCCTTTCCCTCGTGGTCTTTCTTTTTCCCAAATACAGTCACTTCAAAGTACAATAGTACATTCTTTCTTTATCATATTCTCTCTCTTCAATATCGAGATCGATTCTCGTTGCATTCATTACGTCTGTCGACCAGACCATACAAAGACCAACTACAACACCAGTCTCTACATCCTACCTTCAAAATGATGTTCACCAAGACTCTCGGCCTTGCTGCCCTTTTCTCTGCTGTTGCCTCCGCCCTGCCCCAGGACATGATGGTCCGCCGTGAGGGTATGGTCCGCCGTGACGGCGGTGGTGTCAAGATCACCAACAACCTCGCACAGGACGTCTACGCTTGGTCCGTTGCTGGCGATGTCGGCCCCATGCAAACCATCCCGAGCGGTGGTGGTGTCTACTCCGAATCTTGGCGCACCAACCCCAACGGCGGTGGTGTCTCCATCAAGCTGTCTCTTGACCCCGAGCAGCACGATATCCTCCAGTTCGAGTACACCGAGTCTGGTGACACCATCTTCTGGGATCTTTCTTGCATCAACATGGAGTCTGGCAACCAGTTCACAGACAAGGGCTTCTCTGTCCAGCCTTCTGATGAGTCCTCCACTTGCCCCAAGGCCATTTGCGCGGCTGGTGACACGGCTTGCTCTGCGGCCTATCTCCAGCCCACTGATGACCATGCCACTCACGGCTGCCCCATCAACACTGCTCTTGATCTGAGCATTGGCGCTTAGATTGATTGTATCGGTCTTTTATCTTTTTCCTGCCGGTTGAACCGCGCATCCTATCTTTGACTTGCTTTTTGCACCATTGAAACTCGTCACATCTAGCCCTAGTCGGCTGGTGACTTTTCTTTCTTTCACGTATCACCCCAGAGGTGATGCCTTTCGGATATATGATTGATGATTTTTTGTTATGCCAACATGTTCGGTTGAATCGACATGTCGTTTCCCCATCTATAGTGGGTTGATTCCCGCTGGGGCAGAATGTCTCATCAACGAGCTATGATTTACGCTATTTCTTTTGAGAATACCCCCACACTCGGATTATGGAAAATGGGAGTTAAAATGTGTTGGGGTTGAGGAATAGACTTGTGAATAGATGAATGATCATCAAATCTATAGAACTTTCATGAAATATTACGATCTACTTCAGCAACAAAATCTCTACATAACAAGTACAATCTTAAGTGACCGGGGGACCGGAATGCCTCCCACATCTTGAAAAGGCTGGACAAGGCGCAAGATAAAAACGAACGAAAATTTAATATCACTGGAAAAGTAAAACTCCCGGCAACAACCAAAAGGAAAGACCCCCGAAGCCACCAAGAAAGAAAAATCGTTAAGCCACGAGTGGAACCACGAATACATTGTAACCCTAAGAAGAAATCCAGATCTAGAACAAATGATAGACAGGGACCCTTAACAGACCCCAGCACGATTTTTCCTATTCGTAGGCCCGGCTCCTTATTTCAGGTCAGAAATTGACGATCCTCCGTCGGATTTGCGGATGGCGTAGCGCCGTCGCTGCTTGGCTATATATGGTCCCACTGAGGGGTCGGTGGCTTGCGGATTTGCGATTAGAGATTTCCGACCAGCGACGATCTGATTGAATTTTTTTCTTTTTTCCTTCAATTTGTTCTACGATATTCTAGCTAGGTCGGATTGGGGCGTTGAACGGAATTCAGAGCTATCATTCAAGTTTCCAAGACAGTCGCTATAATAAAGGGAATTGACACTGCATTTCGTCATAGGATTGGGCCTATATTTACGTTGTAACTTGGAAGTGTACCTGAATATGTTGTGAGCATGCTCATGGTATGAACTCATAGCAAACAGGTACATAACTCAAACTGCCGACTTACCCATTCCCATTTGGCAGAAATATCGCCACTGTCAGACTTGTTCCTAGGAGGCGACATGTCTCGGATGGTTGAGCCATAGATTTAGTCACAGCATTCCATGGAACATTCGGGTGAAATCTTCGGGAGTTGGGGTTGGAGTAGATTACTAAAGGTTATCCCATCGTCGGGGCCAATGGTAGCCTTTATGCTTAACTTAATGATTTTGCCGTTGAGTCTGCCCGAATCTTGCCCGAATATTAGATGTTTTTTGGTTCTGACTTGAACCGTCAAAAAATTTACCCGAAATGGTTTGCCATCTTCGCTAAAATTCTGTATGAGAAGCAGGTACCCCTAGAGCCCGTTATGGGTTGTTGCCGGGTTCTCTCGGGTAGACCTGTGACTCACACTCTTAACACGCTTCACCGTAGATGTATACCACTCAGAACCTGGTAAGTCACCTCGACACGGAGATCACGGTCCGACAGTATTCGATGAACCCTGTATGTGATGGCCGATAGGGGGGAAAAAAGGAGATAGAAACATGTGATCAACGCATTCACGTGAAATTAGGATATCCAAGTACACTGAGTTGAGATTGGGCTCAAAGTTCGGATCCCTTGGCCATGGCTCGAATTATTTTGGATGCTTGGAGCCAAGGCATCTAGACCTTCAGCATCAAATTGTTTGGATCTGAATTTCATTGTTGCCGATATTGAACCGCAAAGTGTTGCCTTGGCGAAGTGAATCCAAGGCTAAAGAAGAAAGAAGTCAAACAAAAAAGGAAAGTACAATCGTAGGGTATCTCAACTTCAAAGAACAAGTACCAAAGAAAATGTTATCAAGCACTTCTTTGAGCCCGCCACTCCCTCCACCGCTCCATCAGTCTACTTGTTCTCGTCGCCTTGAGAAATCCATAAGCAATCAATCGATACACGATCGTACAGACCCCTAGCGCCATAACATTCATAGGACCGCTCTTGTCTAAATTATAGAGTCTAAGCACCTGTTCTCCAGAGTCAATGGGACAGCTGCCATCAGCAAGCTGTTGTGCAACAGAACAATGGAACACCTGCCCGTGTAATGAATACGGTGCCAGGTTAGCAATGGCGTATTTGATAGGCGAGAGATGATTGAGCGCCTGCAAAACATCATTCACATTGAGACTCATGACACCTCCGAGAATGGTAGAAATAGACAGCAGGATAGAGGTCACGTTCACGGCAAAGCCGACATGGGAGAACAACGTGCAGAACACTATTCCCACGGACTCGCCGCAGCTAATGATGCAGAAGCAGTTGAACGCACTGATTAAGAACATAGTCACTGTGCGCTGCAGGTTGTCAGCGAACGCTGCCAAAGCGCCAAAGATCAGCGAAGAGACTATCTCAAAGGGGATTTCAATGGCCGTGTAGCTGAGTAAAAACGTCGAAGCAGTATAGCAATTGTCTGCTTCCTCGCGGTAGAACACGTCACGTTCACTGGGGTAGATAGCGATATTTTGAAGCATGCCAACAAAATACAATGCCGCAAACTCCTGGATAAACCCCATTCGAGATTGCACAGCCACATAGTCATTCTTTAGCGGTGCAAAAAACAGCGCCATGATGATCGCAATTCCCGGGATCTGCATCGACCGCGCCATGATCAGCGGTGGTTGGCGCCAGAAATTGACAATTGAGCGGTGCAACACGAGCGGAAACGTCACTCGGAATGGCAGCATTTGGCGCTTGAGACTGCCGAGTTCGGCAGGCGTGGCGATGTGGGACTCCTCGCGTCCTAGTCTCAGCTCGAGAGGGCTATCATGCCATCGGGCAATGAGGCCCTGGACGCGTTCCCGTGTGACCATCTCACGATCTGCTTGCTGGAGATCTATGGTGATAAGATCCAGTACAAAGTCCGCTGGGTTGGTTGTTCGCGGACAATCGTGCCCCTGCTCCGCAAAATGCGCGAGCATTGTGCTTCCTGGGCCAGCGTAGACGGGGTAACCTCCGCGTGCCAGTAAAAGCACCTGCGAGAAGTGAGTGAACAGGTCTGAGCGTGATTGGTGCAGTGTTAGAATAAGGGTGCGGCCCTCGGCCGCTAGACTGTTCAGGAGCTCAATAATTGACATTGCCGTAAAGGCATCCAGACCGGAAGTTGGTTCATCCAGCAAAAGGACTTTGGGATCTGTGAGAATTTGGATTGCGATTGTTACGCGCCTTTTCTCGCCGCCGCTTATGCCTTTGACCAAGTCGCTGCCGATGAGATTGTCTGCACACTCTTTCAGTCCCATTTTGTACAGAATCTCTTCTGCGCGTCGGTTCTTGTCTTCCCGAGACATCCAGGTTGGTAGGCGCAGGCCTGCCGCGAAGCGTAGACTCTCTCGTACTGTGAGAGAAGGCATTAAAGCATCATCGTCTTGTGTGACGAATGATGTCACAGAGCGGATAACGCTTTCTGAGGGTACAGCGCCATTGTATAGCATGTTTCCCTGAATGCGGTACTGTGTGCCCATAGACCCATGTAGCCTACGGGCTATGGAGTTCAGGAGTGATGTCTTGCCACTTCCTGATGGGCCCATGATAACGTTCAGCTGCCCAGGCTGGAACTGCGCGGTGATAGGTCTGAGAATCTGTAAAGTCTGCGCAGATTGCCAGGGAAAACGTCTCTTTCGAATCTCCAGCGCATATTGGTCGAGTGAGATAGCTACCTTGCGTGCCTCTTGAGATGGGCGGATCGCTATCTTTGCTTTCCCACTTGGTGATACACCCTCGCTAGTCCGTGCTTGAGCAACATCAATCGCGAATCGATTGTATTGCAGTAATAACCCAGCAAAGAGATAGTGGCCAAGGACAAACGCAACGAGCACGACGATGGGCCGCCAGATCCAATTGGATGGCAATCCCAGACTCTCCATGATATATTGGCCAGTGTACTCCTTACATCTTGGGTCAAGTGGATCTTCAGAATATGGACAGGCATAGAAATGCCCCGGTTCCGAGCCATTCACTCCAATAAACTCATTGGCACACAGTGCACCGAAGATGTAGAACGTGTATGCACACCACTTCAACCACCTCACGTAAACCGGAATTTGATTAGACTGGACAAAGTATCCGCATGCAAAGGATTGCAACGTGAAGGAGAGATTGCCCACCAGACTGGCGGCAGGAAAACTTCTTGCCACACTAATGGCCACCGCAGCAAAAGTCACGGCGATATAGTGCGTGAGTAGTGTGAGAACGAAGAAGATAAAGAATTGACCCGCATCTAGTCTGTATCCTACCATGAAGTAGAATATGAGTGAGAAAATCAGCGGCACAGGAAGATCCTCCAATGGCAACCGGGCTGCTCGCCGGCTCAGGAGGAAAGCCGGCACACTGACCACGCCTTCGTTGTGTTCTCGGTCAAACAGACGAATGTCAATTGTCAGACGATAGGTCTCGTACAGCAAAATGAGGTAGCCATTCAAGCTGCTGGCCGTGTATAAACTGCCCTCTCGCGAACGGATTCCCGACTGGCTTTCATCGAGCTGCAAGAAAATCCATCCATTGATAACAGCCATTCCGACAGCTTCAAGAAGACTGCCAGCAACACCCATTGGATCACGGATGGTGGTCTTGAAAGTGCGCGAGGTTAATACGTGGAATTGTCTGCGAAATGAGACCGTCTTGACGATCTCATTTTGAGGGTTAACCGATTCATGTGTTGGGACATTTTTCGGGGCCTCTTTCTCCCTACCATCCTGGTCCTTTGCAATCACATGTGCATGCTTTGATCTCCATACCTCCGTCAGTCGTTGAACCCTCACATTTGAAGCAGTCTCAAGCTCTTCTGTCCGATTATCAATAGCAGCTAGATCAATTAAGAACTCAGCCGGATTGACAAACGACGGGAGAACATGCCCGCACTCTTCGAAATGGACCAATGACCCTTCCAGAGAGCCACTGTACAGCGCAGACCCCCTCGCGAGCAGAATAACGTTATCAAAAAGGCTCCAGATCTCAGAGCGTGGCGCATGGATTGACACGACAACCGTCCTCCCATCCATCGCGAGACGCTTCAAGGTTCGAATAATTTGGAACGCACTGGTAGCATCCAAGCCCGTAGTCGGCTCGTCGCAGAACAGTACAGAGGGATTTGCAAGAAGCTGGACGCCAATACTAGTGCGTCTCTTCTCGCCGCCGCTACAACCTTTATGGACATTGTTCCCGATCCGCGTGTCGGCACACTCCTTCAGGCCGAGTTCAAGGATGACCTGCTCCACGATCGCGTGGCGCTCTGCTAGGGTTGTTGGAGGTGGAAAGCGGAGGTCTGCCGAGTACCGAAGTGTCTCACGGACCGTTAGAGTTGGGATCAGCACATCGTCTTGCATGACGTAGGCGCTGCGAATGCGCGCGATGTTAGGGTCGTCATTGAAGGTTGTGATTCCGCAGCTGCTGGTTCGGGAAAGGCTCATGCGGCTGGCCATCAGGTTTAATAGGGAAGTCTTGCCTGAGCCGCTGCTTCCAATGATCGCGGTCAAGCTTCCGCTCGGCATAGAGGCCGAGACACAATCTAGCACTTTTTTGCTTGTTTTTGGTGGCTTCTGGCCACACATGCGGCGCCATATCTGGGATGGCTTCGTCTCCCATATCGGCGGAGTGGTGTTAACTTCGAGTGATATATTGCAAGCATTGATATCTACTGGATTCACCGCACGCAGGGAAAGGTTGTATACGTCATCTTCCACGTCTGTGGGAAGGGTCGCCTGCTTCACAAGATTCAACTCGTTGATCGTCTCATGCTTCTCCATGCTGAGTCTGTTTGAGATGTGACCAGTAATTGGCTGCAACTTGTGCGACATTACATGTCATTTCCTGAACGTGTTCTTTGCATCTGCTATATGGTCCCAGAGGGTTGTGATAAGGCTCTGAGATGGCTGCAGAATGATGGCTGCAGAGTTCCCCAATCAAACAAACCAGAATAGTGAGAGGCTGTTCAGTATTGTCGACTCTACTCCGTACACTTCAGGTGCAATAAGAATAATCGACTGAAAATCCTTTCTCCTTACCTCGGACCTCCCCGGACTATAGTTAGCCTCCGACTTCTTGATTGTGATTGGCCCATCACTTCGTATACGTGGAGTCCTTGCGTTGTAAGCGAGGAGATGTCAGCCTTGAGACAATGCCCAGGTGATGGACTTAAACAGCATTAATTAGTTAATGTGACTGTTTTATAGTCAAGGATATGATGTCAGTCAATCAAAGCGAGGAGGAAGTCCAAAGTCTAGACTCGGTGAGACCCCTTAATACACTCTATTAACATAGAATACATATGTACATATTATACAATGATGAAGGCCCTGTTCACTATTCTCCAATTCAGAGAACACCCAAAAGAAATCGGAATATATACATGCCAGATCAAACAAATGTAGACACCAACCCTCCATGCATCACGCGTGAGATCATCAAGCTGATATCTCATCACCAATATCTCAATGAAACACCCCAGAATTTTGTTCACCCAATAAAGATTGTTTGGCAGTTTGCTTAGCTTGCCAAACAAACGCAAGCAGAGTATACGCCTTGGGCACGGAGATGCCGTAGGGCGCCAGTACCTACTTGCAAGCCAAAAAAATAATAAACACAAATGTAAACGTAAACCGCGGGATACCGTCGGTATCCAGGAACGCCAACAAAAAGAAAGGAAGAAAGCATCACAAACAAAGCAAAACGCCATGCCACATGGTACAGCCTGGTTGGAGATCTGATTATGTCCTAACAATTTAGGACAAAGGCGAGAAAAAAGTGCCTTTCCAATATGACAGTGAAAGTTGAAAGAAAAAAAAAACAACAAATAAAAAGAGGGGTATCAAAAGAGTAGGGTGATCGAGTGGACATAAGAGAAGGATATTCAAGTGATCAGAAAGTCCATATTCATGTCACGAATAATCTTCTCCCAATCCCAGCTTTCTTCCATTCGGGTATCCATAGTATCCCAAACGCGCCGAACGACCTTGAAAGCGGGCTCGATATTGCGCAAGTTTGAGTAGGACTTGAGATCTTCGAAGCCCCGTGCAACGCGCTCGCGCTGCTCGGTCAGGAAGGCTGAGCAACCGAGTAGGAACAGCGGCATCAGCACAATGCTGTAGGCGGCCGCATCCTGCGGCAACCGATCGAGATAGCCTAGACCATCGTCGACGACTTGAGCGATTTTATCGCTCGGTCGCGAGGGTCGGATTGTCCGATACAAATATACCCAGGTCGACTGGCGGTAGAGCTGAGCCAGGTACCAGTTCGGGGTGTCGGCTTCGTGGGAGGTCTCCCAGGCTCGAATGGCCGAATCGATGGAGACTGCCTCGCTCAGGGTCTGGTAGTCTACTGCCGGCTCGTAGCCTTCGCTGTAGCGTTCGCGGATACGGTCCCGCAGCTGAGTTATGTCGGAGATATAGTTGAATAGCCCGTCGAAGACACCGACAAACATGCCCGCCGATGCGCCGGGGACAAAGTTCGGGAGATGCGGGTCGTTGTGAAAGAGGTTGGGACGGCGGTCAAGCGAGGTAAGGGCATTTGAGACATCGTGATATTGGAAGAATTCAACGATGAATTGACGGAATTTCTCATTCCGGGGCTGCTGCGAAACCAATAGGTATCGAGCGGCATCCATGTGCGGTCGGTATTCGCCACTGGTCTCGCCTTCGCAGATGGTGTTCAGGCTGAGGGCGATGGTGGATGCGATGATCGGGTCCTCCACCAGCAGTGGCTCTCCCTCCTCGTCTGGGCTATGCTTGGATGAGGATGCATTAATGTTATCCTTCAAATCTTGGATAGCATGGTGAAAATGGAAATATTTTCGTTCCTTCAGCTTGGGCTCGGGATCCAGACCCGACAAATGTGACCCAGACAAGCACATGAGTGAATGCATCAGCCCCCGGTGTTGTGTCGCCATCGGAAGAAGGATTTCCTTGAAGGGATTTGAGTCATCATTTATCAGAGTCAGTACACGACTGAACCCATAGACAAAGTGATCTAAAAACCGGCGGTCGACTTCCGTTTCGATGCCGTCGATGAGGAGGGGCAGGCTGCGCGGTACAGCTGCAAGGGAGTGCCCACTGGATTGGGCTGCTAAAGGATGAATTAGTGGGTGTACAAAAAAAAAAAAGTGAAACAGTCGGAATCAAAATGCGCCTACCATCAGCCAACTTCTGTCGTCCACTCTTCCAAATTTCCTTAGCGGGGTAGCCTTCGCAAACGACCGCATTCTTCTGACAGTTAAGACATCTTATCCCTTTGTTAGAGACACACATATATCACATGTAAGGTAATCCACGGTTCACTCACCCAGGTTTTGTCTCATCACACTTCTTCTTCCTGCGACGACAGGTTATACAACCAGTCTTCGACCGACCCTTGGTGACCTTGGTCTGATTTCCAGAGACAGGTAACGGGTGTTTGCGCGGACGTCCACGTTTCCGTGGAACGGCAGCGGGAGTGTCCGTTTCCCCCACATCAGGCTTGATGCTGCTTAACAAGTTCTCATCAATTTCTTCCACCTTGGGTGTGTCCGTGCCACCATCTAATCGCGCTTGAACAGTCAAGTCAAAGGTATTCGCTCGCTGGTATGCCTTGAGCTGGGCATCCAGATGAACTGGTGGTGACTGCGCGAGCCAGTCTTGGGAATCCGACGAGGCATCGTCAGGGCTGGCACCAGTGCCGGTGCTGGTGCTGGGAGTGCTGGCGTGGAGAGGCGGACCGCCGATCCCTAGTAGAGGGTAGGTGGGGAGCTCCGGTCGGCCGTCGTGATCATTCTCCCGTAACCCAGAGTCATTTAATTCCGTGAAAAAGGAGGGATTCATTGACAACATTGAACGGGGGCCGCCAGAAGTATGGGCATCCGTTATCCGTTTTACCTATGAGAGCCAAAAATCTCTTTCACGGTGGTGAGGGAGGGGGACGGTCAGGTTTAAATGGAGGGGGTGAAGAACTAAGTACGAAAATGTGCTTGGTCCACCAGAAGTCAGCCGTATGATCAGAGCATACACTTTTTAGCCCAAAATAAGAAACAAGGACATAGAGGGGAAATAGGAAAATAGTACGGAGTAGGATATTAAAGAATATTATAGGCAGGTATAAGGGTAAGTATATTAATATATGCAAGTCAAGTCTAGCATTAGAGCTTGGGTAAAGCAAATGCGTAATGAAAATTGGAGCTACGTATTTTCGACAACAAAAATCATATTGACTCTACCCATTTGACCCATTTAGGCCCATTTAAATGCATTTAAATCCTTTAAATACATGTATTCAATTATTACAAGGTTAAAAGAATCGTCACATCAATCTGCTCAAAACTTTACATGCGGGGGAGGCTGCCAAGCATGTTGGATCTGATGCCCTGATTTGCAGCTGAAGAAGGTCCCCGAAAAAGCAATGTTGGGAAGGCCAGTGCTAGTAGTACTGATGTTTTGCTTTTTGTAATTTAGTTTAAATTTTGGGTTTTTCTTAATTTGTATGAGTTTTTTTTTTTTTTTTTCTCTTCTAAACATTAACCAAATACATATGTACTGAATAGTACAATTGGTAAATGATCCGTTGCCTTGGGATCGACCTGTGGGCCCCTACCAGTCAGTTAGTTACCTCATATCATGTCTGCATGTACGTTGTATGGGACCAAGTACTCCGTACAAATGTAGTTAATTGGTTAGGTAGTATGCAACTTACAAAATAACGTGGACCATTCGTTTTAGGCGTGGATTATATTACTCTACAGCATTATGTACAATGTAAATGTGTTGAGAATTAAGGTACAGATCAGTTAAGAATTAGAATTAGTTAATGATTATCTTTCTCTCACACGAACCATTTGGCGCAAAAGCCACTACCCCCACACTATGGAAGCTTTCTTCTTTTCTTTTTGTGTCTAAGCTGGTTTTTTTTTAGTTTCCTTTTTTTAATAGGGGAAACATACTCCGTAGAGAAGATCACTTTCCTATCGTCACTAGGGGGATTCGACAATCTCCACGTATATCGGGTCCAAGCGCCCGCCCATCCCCGTCCATATTAGGATTTTGGTTGCACAATATAACTATCCTTGATTATTTTCTTGATTTTATATTCACAATTATGTTAATTATTTTCGTGCAACGCAGACAATCTGGGGTAAAGAGTGGGCCAGAGCTTCTGGTGAAACCAGCACGGACGTCCGCTGCAGGGAAGTGACAAGGTTCGGAATAAGTATTCCTGATTTTATTACTATTATTTCCTTTTTGCCCTTAGTCAATTTGTTTCCGTTGGTCATTTCCCACAGCTTATTATAGTGACAGTTAAAAGGGGTGGAATGTGACGATCCAAAAGTACCTACAGACTGCGCAAGGCCCCCGTGGATCTGCCGGGAGACTAACAGGGAAACACACTTGTCTGGAGTTAATGATGGACTAGTGTTGGGGCCTCAGCTATTATTACCCTTTTAACCATTCCCTCCCCCCAATCAGCTGAGACGCGGGAAAGGGAAAATTTACCCTTGCTAGTAGTTGCCTAGCCATTTCCCAAGTGTAAGTTTGTTCGCTTAAAAAGATCTAATTGCTGACGCTTGGGGGATCGGGCTACCGAGTTTAGTAAGGCCGATCAAGTTAATTTTGATTTTCCATTACTGTTTCAAACTCGAGATCGACTCTGCAAATTCATTGATCTGACGTGGATAGACTGACAAAATTGGCCAATCGCTTCCGGTCTGTGGTACAAGTCATGCATTCTTCCACTGACGATCTCGCGTAAAATATGGGGAACCGTCCTGCAAGCCCATTTAGACGCATCGAGATCCCTGCCCTTACAGTAGCCTTGTCTTTCCCCTTCTTTGTCCTTCTAGTGCAAGTCTCTACAATAAGTGAAATCTTCAACCGAACATCACAGAGTATGCGCTTGAACTGAAGGGCGGGTCAGCGGTTGTTCCCGCTCAGTGGGGCCGAAGTATACAATGCAACTAAGGAGAACGAGCAGGGTTGTTCTTCATCAATACTATATGTTCCTGACAAATGATGCGACGCAATGGAAATAGTCTTGTAGAGATATATGGCTGCGGAGATGTACAAAAGGACCAAATTTCCCCCCGATCTCTCCGGTTAATCGCACTAGCAACGGCCGTATGACCTCTATGCTCCCAACACAGAAAGTAAGCCGAGCCTAATGGCCTAGAACTAACTTCTTTCTGCACTCTTCTACATTTGTACCTCTCCCCTCTCTCACTCTTACTTTATGGTCTTTGACCCCCCATACGTATGTGGAGGCCGATTCGCTTCCTAATCAAGTTACCCTCATTCAATCTCGGGCAGTTTCCGGGAAAGAGGCTGGACGCCAGTGTCAGAGGCACGAGGACAGTAAGACAATCGCTTTACTCCGTACCGTTTATAGGATGAGGGAAATCCCATCAGGCACAGGGCACCGGAGCGGCTGAGTGGCCATTCATCCGCCCAATGATAATGATGCTCAATGATCATCGAAGAATCCAACTAACGACTCTAGCTAGTCGTGCACCCGACTAGTCAGATCATAATTAAATAACAGTATACCGGCTCACTATCGATCTTCCTATTGGATGGAGAGACTCCATCCAGATGCGACCTATTCCACCTAACCCAATCAAACTACCCAGAATAAGCATTTACAGTATTTACGTTCTAGGGAATTCGCACATCTCGTTTTCCTTTGATCCACTTGCTTGGCATCGGCTCTATTCGGTGTCTGTCTTTCAGCCCCAACTGCCCCAGTAGGAACAATCGGAATTCCTGAGCTTTGATCACGAGGTCTCTTGATCTATGTTTGGGATTCGGCGTTGGACTGTGAAAGGGTGTATCTGAAACATCGCCCGAGATATTATGACACCAAAAAATGCAGCAACATAACCTAGGGGCAAACAAGCTCGGACTCCTCGGATGCAGGCCCGACATAGGTACATGCCAAGCATTTCAATGCCTCTGTGATCAGCTTCGCTTCGTAACTTAAAGGATTTTGACTGCATATACTCTGTAGTTCATGCAAAAATTATGATGAGTATGCGGATCCCTAGACAAGCGGTGAATCTGGTCTCTTTCTTTTTTCCCCTTCTATACTTTTATACAAACACGACACGGGGTAATAGATACAATATAGCAGTGGATCGGCATTGAGACCAGAGTCTGTGGATTATGCGCCTGAAACGATGTGGAGAGCATGATACTGTATTCAAGGGAAATCTCCGAGGCCTTTTTGTCAATTATTCACGCCAGCTGCCATGAAACGTCCAATCACAGCACAATTTATTTCGCTGATTTCTAGTTCGTATAGTCCCAAGCAAGCTCGGCTTCACACCGGGTTCTTTATCTGAAGAAAATGATGATCAGATTTCAGAAGATCCCCGCTCTTTATCCCGCCTGAGCCGTATGTTAAGCATCCAACAAGGACCCAACCGATCTTGCTTACTTTTACAATGGACGCTCATGAAGTTCTACAATCTTGGAAGAGTATAATACTTTCCGGAAACCTCTTCCTTCATCGATGGATCTGACCAGGATGACCAATTACAGCCCGGTTCATCTTGCTTACTTTGACTTGATGGAGTATCAAAAACCTCACACCATGTTATCTGTCTCCAGAAACTCAAAGTTTAACATTCAGTGGGCCTCTCTTCAAAGGTCCACACGAGTTATTTCTTGAGTTTCCAATCATAGCCCAATCAATACTGCTTACCTGTGTTATGTCGTGTTGTAGGGGAATTGAGGTCTTTGCCACCTTTTCGAGCGAATAACCTAGACAAAAAAGTATCCTGATTATACTTTTTCTTTCAACATCCACTCAAGCCGATTATCAGATATCCAATTACGCCCCATCCTATCTTGCTTACATCCATCAGGTGCACCTCGAATTTTCACATCGCCCTCTCCCTCGGATCTGGATTTCCGCTTTCGAAATTCTTTCCTAACACTAAGCAGGGCTCCATTGAATAGCTAACGGCGTGGATTTTCATTCTCGCAACAATTACTGGAAACAGATTCTATTTTCGGGCTCTGTAAGACACCTTTCTGGGCCGTGCATATTATGGCCGGTGAGAAATCCATCAGCGCCTACTTGTTAATGACACTCAGCTTGTCAAAACTAGCTATTCTGCCGGTGTGGGATCTCTTCGTGTCATAGTCACTTCCTCCCTAGTCGAAGGATTTTTATTGTCATGTACGAAGCCATTCATCCATCTTTGCAGGTAAATTGGAATGGATGAGATGTTTACATACACTTCATCAAGCAATGTCAGCCTCATTGAGGTAAAAGCTAGAAAAGTGATGTGTGAGCTTTATCTGCTCAATCGATCCTATTGTCTCCTATTCGAGTAGCAAGCCCCTCAACAGCTACGCCGTCAACATTATCTTCACGGAATAGTCTTAGTTCACTATTCCTACGATAATTTTCTTGCGCAGTTGTGTGCCTACCATGTTTGGCGATCGAAGGCAAGTCGGCAGCCATTCTTTGACCCATTTAATGCTTATGGGCTGCTTTTCTGCAGGGAACTGCTTTGGTAGCTCTTCAAACTCGGTGATGTGACCAACATGGTTCGCTCATGGTTCTTTAATGATGCTGTATCTGTATCTATTTCACAAGAGGCGTCAGTTTCTGCGTGATATTCTTTTGGGGGTAAAATCAGGTGCCTTGAGAGACAAATGAGGAATAAAATTGCTGGTCGAATGCCATGCAATCTTAGTGAAGGACAAAGATATACTCTTGGAATACTTATAAATCCCTGGATGTGCCATGGAGGGGAGCAGATGGAGAAGTTCTAAAAGTCAAAGCATTTAGGTAGAGATAAATTAGCTGAATTCCTCGATATTTCCTCTTGATGCAATCTACGTATACGTAGCCGTACAATTTACTTAATACAAGCACTCGAGACAAGCCAGATTCGATCTTGTTTAGGATATGTTTGGGACCTGCCCATCTTCCAGTCCTTGCCGAGATGTTTTGAATTTGTATTGCTTCCGCTCTCCTTGGAACTATTTGAGATGTACACGTTTTCAATGGGCAATTATATAGAGATCTAAAAGTATTTAACATATTCTTGGGGTACATACATATGCATATAGTATTGAACAAAAGGCTAAGGACAAATATGCCTCGCATCAAATGTTGGAGTACCTACCTAGGTACGAGAAGAGAAGTACATAAACCGCAGATAAGGTATATAAGAGAACATTCCATTCTTGTCACAAGTGATCTCTGGTTTGATGAATAAAAATTATGGGTGTGTTCTCTACGCCGTTCGAAATCAAGAGTTTAAAAATCTTGATCATAGGTCCGAATGAGAGATTTCACTTCATTACTAATTCCAGCAAGCAAAACACTCCACTATTCCTCGCTGATTGCGACATTGTCTATATCTATCCGGCGTCAACCGTTGACTGCTTTAGGTCACACTAGACCCTCAGACTCCCTTAAACCAATATACGAATCTTACGTACATATATGTTTCGTTGGAGCATAAATATATGTAGGATCAAGAGCCATGATCGTGATAGATGTAGGTAAACCGAGTATTGAGTCTTTTGTTGTTCATTTAATCAAGTCTGTGTCGCTTCGCGATGGTAAACGGATGGTTGTTTCGGGTTTTGTGCTCCCTATGGATTGAAAGATATTGCCCTCGATTGGACCAAATGCCTGGACATCGTCTTCCATTAGTTAATAAAAGGATTCAACATTGGAATATTGAAACATTGATTGAAAGAGACATGGAGCGAAAGGAGGGAGAGAAAGAGAAAAAGAGGGGCGAGGTTTATACTCACATTTCGCACCTTCAAGGCATCCTTCGGCCATATACCAAACTTAACAGGAGGCAGCCCGAACTTCTGATTGAAACAACAGTTCCGCATCTCTTTTCTTTTGCTCGCTAGATAAGTCAAGGATGGTAGATAGAGATCCAAAGCCCAATTCTTTTCGGTGGTTCGATGGTCGTAGTTGCATGTGCATCTAGATGCAATGTTTATTGACAGTCCAGGTCACTGGGATCAATAACTGTTTATGTTCTTCTAGTTGTTTGTTACAATAAAGTTTGTGTGGGGGTTCTCAAGATTGGCGCCCTGGACAATATGCGTGGTGAGGGAATTGGTGTGAATTACCGAATGAGGAAGTTGGCCAAATTAAATGCATAGGCTTGAAAAGTTGCCGTGTTGATTATTCAAGATCTTTTTTAGTAGTTTGGAACTACCTACAGCCAAAGAAAGCAGTTACAAAAAATTATATTCCTCTACAGAGCCATTTACACATCACCATATACGAAGAAGAGTGTGAACATCTGATAGAAAGAAGCAAGTCAATTTGCTGAGGCATGACTAGCCCCATGTTAATGACAGAAACCATATCCCGACCATTTCGACCCGATCCCAATGCAGAATATATGAACAGATCCCGTAGAAACCACAAGCTATGACCTGATCATACATAGAAAAATAGAATCAAACTGCCCCGACCCATGCAATATGCTAATAATGAGTAACCGAAATAGATAAAAAAAAGGAGCAAATAGCAATCAAAAGGATATCACTGAAACAGCACCAGGAACAAGACTTCTCTTTCAGAAGGGAGCCGGAACATATAGCGAAACATGGACAAGAAGATAAAATGTGAAGTTGAACTGTGTCAACCATGTGGATGGATCTAGCAATTGTCGTTCTTTTGTTTGCTCTCATTGAAGAGACTTCGACCCGGATGGCATCTTTACGCAATGAAAGCGCGATCTAGCTGGCGTAGCGCCCGCACATCCTCGCCTCCGAACCCTATCTTCTCATTTGGGATATCCCGAGGTCCTTCGGCAGAGGATGCCGGTGCGGGCGCTCCGTTCGGGCTTGCATTGGGACCTCCGGTGGTACCGGTCGACGAAGAAAGAGGAGCTAATGCTGCACCGTTCACCAGTGAGCTGATGCCGGGGACTGCATGCCCGGTGCTCGCCGGGTCCCCGGCTTTCGGTGACCTAGCGATGGGGTTGAGTGAGTGCAGCGCGGCGGGATGCTCCTGCTTTCCGACACGAGGGCTGTGTGTGTGACCGTTTGGTGCCAAAGACTGTACTGAGACCCGCGGTGATGCCGTGCGGGGGTCAACCAAAGCATGCCCGTAAATCGACGGGCTTCTTTGCTCATGTGTGGGGTCGTGTAATGATCGAGGGGACCGGTTCATGTAGCTAGGAGGGTGCTGCGGAGGTCCGCCAGGAGGAAGTACTGAGTGAGGAGGCGGAGGTAGTCCACCTGGATGTTGATGATGCGGCTGGTGGGGGTGTGGTTGGCCATAATGAGAGTGCCCATTCGCCGGTACTGGGGGAGATAGCCAGAGCCGGGACCGGGGCCATATTGCATTGAAGCAGTTGGTGGTGTAGCTAGAGGGGTGGGTGGCCATGCATAACCAGCTGGGTATGGTTGCGCATGAGTCGAGCGTGGGTAGGCGCCGATGGGGTGAGGGGTGATGGGGTATGCTGCGCCTGCCATGGGTCCACGAGTAACGACAGGGAGATTTTGTTGGTCATTGACGGTCGACTCCGGATATAGACCTTTCTGCGGCCGAACGTGGCGCAGTGCAGGATCCGACGTGGGTTGTTGCAAGTTGGCGGCAGAGGGGTGAGATCGGGAGTAATAGCTAATCAAGTGCAAGTGTTGGCCGTTGGACGTTGTGATGCTGAAAGACTGCTTCATCAGGCCATCTGGTTTGTAACGATATCCATCTGGGCCCTCGTCCGTTCCGTTGCCGCGGTCATCATCACTGCCATGACTCTCTGGTGTCTTGCCCCCACGCGATGCAGAACCCTGAGAAACACTGCCCCCTCCGCGCTTGCCCTCCATTTCACGGTAGGTCAAGAAACTCCCTGAAACACGGCTGGCACTCCATGATTTTCCATCGGTCCATCGTCGCATACCCGCTTCTCGCTCATCCCATACAAAGACTGATCCGGATCTGATTGATTGTCGTTCTTTTTCTGAAAGTCGCCGTTGCACACGAGGTAGAAGACCGATTCGACAAGCCTCAAAAAGAATGATAGCGTCCGCAGGTGTGCGAACGTGCCCGTAATATGTCTCCATCCGAATTCTGTAGAGTCGTTTGACCCTGTTTGTTTAAGAGGAAGGAAGAGAAGGTAAGATGGAGTATAGAGATGGATACTATCTGTCGTTAAATTTAAGATCCAGAGAAAAGAAAAGAAAAAGAAAAAAAGAGGTGGAGAGAAGACAAATAGGGTTCAGGTCCAAATATAAGAAGAACCAGGATCCGAGTCAAATGGGTATGGGGTACTAGTAGGCTGAGGGTAGGCCGGCGTTGTAGGTGGGTAAAGCCGAGCTTTTACGTCACCTAACACGGTTAGACCGGCTGAAAGGCGTATTTTTCTTAATTGTGTTTTTCACTTTTTTAACCAAAATGGGATAGAGAAACGCAGAGATTTGTTGTGGGGGTCAAGTGGGCTTGAGGGCGTAAGAATGCCGACAGGACAAGGGAGGGCCAAGGCTGAATACAAAAGAGAGAAACAGAGTGGACCTACAAGGTTTTTATTATGAGGAATGGCTCAAGCCTTCTGTCTCGAATATATAAAGAAGTAAAAGAGTAGAAAAAGAAGAAGAGTAGAAAGAGAGAAGATCTATATATATAAGGAAATAATATCTTTTGTTCAAAATGTCCCGGAACTTTATAAGAAACAATGAAGAAATTTGATTTAAGAAAAAAAGAAGGTTAAATAAAGGAAGCGGAGAGACAAGAGCGGGCCAAGCGATCCAAGCGAAAAGATCGGACGGAACTTGCTAAACGCCGAGATTCCAAGAATGACCAGAGAATTTAAACAATTTAAACAATTTAAACAATTTTAAGAAAATTAAGAAATTCTAAAAAAAAATTTGAAACGGTAATACCAAACAAAGTTAAAAGGTGGAGAGAGAAAAGCGAGAGTGTGTAAGCTTGAAAGATGGAACCAATGATGATCTTCAACTGTCTACAATTATTATACTTTATTTGGCAAATTCAGTCTATTTATGCATGGGAACCTTGGAAAAAGGAGATGAGTCGTTGTGGCGTAAAAAGTATATAAAAACAGGCTTCAATATTCACATAGCCTATTATAGAATGTATATTGTGCCTAGGTAGAATAAAAGATTACAAGTAGAATCACGTCAATGAGGTCCCTAATTATAGTATTATTATATTTCAAAAGAGAAACTCTGATCTTGATAATGCGCTGTAGTTCCTTTATAGATTGACATCCTATAAGGGGTTTGAAACAATATTCCGGATTAGCTAGAATCCCGATCCATGCTACTTGGAGTCATTCCACCACATTCTTTGCTTGGGAGCTCTTGGAAGCCTCGGCTTACGGCTTTACGGGGGGAACCTTGGAAACCTTGGAAGGTAGCAAGGCTAAATTTTGGCCCCCTTGTACATTATTAATGTAAAATACGTACGGAGTAGCTTCCGTACGTAGTATTGAATAAAGCATTAATATCATATTCCACAGAGTAGAATCAATAAATAACCCACATTTTTTGTGGAAATGTGACTGGGCTCATATTTCTTTCGTGTAAACGCTGTGTCAGAAAAGTGGCGCTCTGATCGCAAAAAAAGGTTAGTGCGGAACTCTTAAGCTTAATCCAACACGAGGAGGCCGGCGCTGAACTCTATGCTCGCTTACAGAGGACCTCCACTTCAGGGCTGGTACGGAGTATAACAAATTTATTTCACTCTTGGCACTTTGATTAATTTCTGAGTGTATTATTATAAGCGGATCTTTGATTAATGTTTAGATTGTTTTATCGTTCATTATTATTCAGAGCCTCGGTCGTAAATATACAGATGTGCACATATTACGTAGGCAATCTATCGGACCTCGGACTTTGTACTGAAAGAAACCATTTCTATGGTTACGGCTGTCGGACAAGAGTGTCCCCAGTTTATAGAGTACAAATGTTTTGTCTGTACAGTAACAGAACCCACTTGACTATCGGGATTTTAGCACTAAAATGCGACCAAGGAATTCGATCCCCCACCACTGATTAATAATAGCCTAAATAAGTGTTTGAGCGGTTCTGGCCGCTGCAGCCTTATCCTGTACAAGTGCACTCCGTATGCCGTACTCTATAATCTTTATTCCTTGGAAAACGTTATAGTCACATCCAAACAAAGCTGTTCTTAGCGAACTACTGGCTCGGAACATTGTCTGCATTGACATCTTAAATCTCAGAGGTGAAGAGAAAAGAAATTAAAATAAGCCACAGTGGCCACATGCTCGTGACTCGTACTCGTATCGGGTCCAGTGACGCGGCGTTTTGATTATAACTGCTCTGACTACAAAGCTTGACAAGATCCTAGTCTGGATTCAACTAGATATGCACATAATTAAAAGGAAGGGGAAAAGGAAGGGAAAAAAGGAATGCGGTGTACTGTGGATGTGAAAGATCGCTAGTCCTTGACTCCGTTGATCCATGTAAATTACAGCTTGCACGCGTAAAATTGATACGCAGCGAGAGCTAGGAAGCCACGTAATAGTATCGCCAACGAAGGCACACAACGTCCTGCTTCTGGTATATCTAACTATATCCGTACGACGTGTGTATTTTGGTTCTATGATTAAACTGAATCGTAGCTAACACATTGACTCAGCGATAAGGTTAGCTGGTCCAAGTTTGCGCTCCGTGCCGTTCACCGTGCAGCTAGCCTTGCAATTAGCCTTGCAGGTGGGTAGGGCCTCGCATTTTAGAACCAAAATTGGATCCCTGTGCCCACATCCCTCAATGTAAAACTGTTTTTGACTGATCGCAGTAGACATCATACTGCTAAATTGTATCCCTGCTTTCTATGGAACACGTTGTGCACGGGCCGAGTTCAGGTCAAGGGAAGCGTATCGTTAACAAAGTCCTGTTGCGCAAGGATCACTTTAATAGGCTTCGGAGGTGTTAGTCGGCGGCTGAGTTTTGTCCTTGGCTTCAAGCCCGATTTGGATTCGGCGGTGTTTAGAAGACTAGGGGGTCCATGTGCTCCATTCCAGCAAAGGGGCATGGCACGAGCGATCATCATGTCAGCTACATGCGTATCGCCTGCTTTACGTGTCTCACATATAATCCTTCAGTGTGACTTGAATATCGCCGTAGTGACATGGTCTTCCATATACCAGGTCTATGGAGTGTGCAAGGTCGCACCGCTTCTCTGATCTAGGTTCAACGAAATAAGAAACCAAGCTTGAGTGACTGGGGATGGTGACCCATGTTAATAGAGTGTATACTTAACATGCATGTTACAAGAATGTTGTGTTCGAGTGTCGCCACACACAAACTGTTTAACAGGTAATGATAAGCCCTCAAGATTTGAGGCTGGTTAGGTCCAAGTTTCAATCAGACCGGTGCAGCTGATCGTAGGAAAAGAGCTGAAATTGTTACATTGCCGCTTATGAAACAAGATCTTTGGTTATTGCCAAGATTATTTCTTGTCAACACCATAAATAAGCATAATCACCACATGTACCAGTTTCCTTGCGTTTGCGTGGAGGATACACTCATGTGTACGGTGATTTCTTACGATCGCATTAGTTGCTGAAGCTTTGACCTCCGTCGAATTTTGTATTTTTTATTTTTGATTATTATATGGTATTATATTTTTTAAGATCGCTTGAATCCACCTTTCAACAGCCGTGATCCCGCAAGTCTTACTGAATTAGGAAAAGGGTGGTGTCTCTCATTTGCCTCGAAGATCAATACAGCTTACCAAATACATCTGTAAGTACATAAATACATACACCTGGGCATGCATAGTTGGGTACATGGAAGTAAACAAGGCTGGTCCCTGATTTAAGCCAAAACAAGACTAAAGTAGTATAGTGACATCTATGTACGATTTTGTGGAAAGTAATGTGAAATGATTCCGCGTATATCCGGAAATTGCTAAGAGGACCCCCAAAGTCTACAATATTGTACTCCGTAAAATTGTATCCGATCATCCGAAGACTCCTTATTCCCAAGTGGATCCAGCTCCACATCTCGCTAACTATATCGGCCGCTGATAAAGTAAGGCCCTTGCGGGATAAGCCGACTGTTTTGCCGACCGTGGTTCGTGCTTCTGCAACTGTGTCAAGCCTTAGTGTATTCGCTAGTGGCCATGCTAATCTATTATTAATGCCTTGGAGACAATAGTGCAGTACATTTGCAGGTTTATTAGAAATGTGGTAGTATACATATGTATGCAAGGACCTATAGTATACATTGTAATATAATGAATATCTGAAGATAGCCACGTTATACTCTAAACTAACAAAGTAGCAAAATTACCTTGGAAACAAGTATTGTTACGCATTCGTTGCAACCCTGGAATTAAAGGTTGCCAAGAGTTTCTTTTGTGAAACGTCACACGAGCTTATCTCCACTAGCATAATTAAAGTATCCATTGTCTGGATCAATAGGGAATGTGCTGGAATGGAGGCTTGAAGACTATCATTTTTCAAATGTATTTTCCCTTTTTCCTTCGTTTTCGTTTATCTATATATATATATATATATATACATATTTTTTTTTTCTTTCTTTTTTTTTTGTAATGTTTCATTGCATGACTCAAGGGTTTCATTTTCTTTTTGTCCGTAAGACTTACAATGTAAAATTTATGATCTTCACGCAATATACATCATAGGGGTCCAAGGCAGTGCATAGAACGCTGGTGCCTACCATGACAAGAAAACCAAATATTTTGCCCCAAATCTTGGGGCCAAGACTTGTGCCTGGACCTCCCACCAAGAGGATGCCAACTTTGAGTGGTCCCCGTACCCATAGCCGGGCAATTGTCATCGAAGCCTAAAATCCAGTTTCCCCTTGCGACCCATGGAAATGCTAATGTGGCGGCTTTATGGTTAATGTCTACCTCTATTTTACTTTACTTTTATGTTATAGCATAAACCATGTGGCGGAATGCATTATTTCGGGGAGTTCTTGAGCCCGAATACGAGATTTGATCGCTCTCATTAAATAGTACTCCGTAACTACTCCGTATAGTCATCACAAAATTTTCTTGACTCTTATTTTTTTTCCCTTCCCACAATTATTGTTACTGTGTAAATCACATCGCTGCTATTTGCAATGTGATATGTCAGACAGGGATGTCTTGCTGCATGACTCGTACAAGGCGGACAATGCCCGAACTTCTTTTTGCTTATGCTTAACCCTGGTAAGGTTAGGGCCCCTTGGCTTGCTGATCCTGGCCCCCTTATTGGTATAGTTTAGTGCTCGCCTTCTCAAAGTCTATTAGATTGATTCATTGAGGGCTGTGCGTTCCCTTCCTGTGAGGCTTCGATGATCCATTTCATTCCTTTATTCGGGGATTTTATAGTTACTTTATTTCATTCGCTAGTTAGTTATAAGAATCGTTCCTAACAGCACTTGTTAATCAGAACAATAAGCTGTATAACTCCATAACTTTATAAACTGAAACCGGAATGCTCGGCATAAATAAGCGAGATCCGAAATAAAGTAACTGTCTGAGCCAAAATGCTCACCAATCCACTCGAGGACCACGTTTCTGCTGACGGAGTACTCCGGCCCTCGAATTGGCCGTTAATCAACTGGTTATATTTTAGCGACCACATCGCTGTCTGGTTTCCGTATTAGGACACTCTTATCTGTCCTTTTCGGTCTCGACTTTTCTGCCAGCATTAATCATCAAATCATACCCCCTAAGGCGACCATGTCCCACTTTTATTACAATCAGTTTGTGGACGCCTCCTACCCAGACCATAGTGCTTGGCTTTGCTTTGGCCCCGGAGCTCCGAAGCATAAATCAGAGATATGATCTGCTTTACATGTATCCGATGTATACGTAAATACCTGCAATAATGTACGTTCTGTCTAGCTGTATGCATGCAGACAGAAAAGAGCCTAGTTCATGCCTGCTATTAAGATCGTGAAACGATCGTCGGCTTCTGTTACGTTACTAATGTAGGAGGAATTATAGTCCTTCGTCTGCCAAGTCATAAAACACGGGCATCCCTTCATTTTTTTGCGTCCGTGCGGTGCGGTGCGCCTTATATGCTGTGTTGGTTGGCACTTTAATCCCTTTAAATCCTAACGCCAATGCCTAGCTGCTTGCTCCTTTAATGCTCAGCCTCGTAGATACATAAATATAGTCCCAAGTCAGTGTATGAAGATCTGATTCTAAGCTCGGTTCATTGTCCTCACCCTGTCGCTTGTGGCTGGATGAGGTGTACTAGATAAAATGACTATGGTCAAACCCGGCAAGCACGATTCCTGCATATGGTATTTAACGTTGGGCGTGTCGCCGGCTCCCGGATGTCTAGGATGATCACAAGGCTGAGCCGTAGGTACATAGGTAACTCGATATTAGAATCTGTTTCTCCTTTCCCAGATACTTATCTAGAAAAAGAGACTACTGTGGGCCTCCCAAGGTTCCAATGCTTATAGTACTGTAGCACGCCTTCATAATCACGAGGATGAATTGCTGTTTTTGGTCTATTATCGTATCATTGTTAAATAGGAAATTATTTAAAACGGGGCTCGGCGCTACCAATTACAATATAGTATGTGCAAGCTGATTTTTTAGTTTTGAGTAAGAAACTTGTATTCTTGCTAGTCGAAATTAGGCATATGGCGCGACGGAGGCTCCGCTATGCGGATGTCAGCGGATCGCTTCCCCTGTCCTTCTTGGTCCTTCTTGGTCTATCGGCGACTTTGTTGTTGACAACAATTGGTCTAATTATATGTAACTGCCCGCTTGATACATACCTACTCAAGGTCAACAGAGAGCTACACATTGCTTGTCCTAAATGGAAATCAAATTAAATTATGCCATTGTATGGGTTAATTGAATTGCCCATGTCCGAACATTCACAGTTCGTGCGCACTATAGTACATGTCTATGTCTTATCATACCCTGGCCAATCTATACATCTAGTGAGTCTTAGCAATCAGACCGACCGAAGTATCGCGGAAAAGATACGATATCTCGCACACTAGAGACGCCGCTCAAATACCCCAGAAAACGATCAAAGCCAAGCCCAAACCCTCCGTGGGGAGCGGAACCCCAGCGTCGGAGATCAGTATACCACTGTAGATGGCTGAGGTCCTCGCCTGGGGAAAGATTAGGATACAGCGGCTCGGCTGAGGCTGGTTCGCCGGACTCGGTCAGCTCTCGAGGCTTAATCAGGCCGTGTTGGCGCATGTTCTCGATGAGATTTGACAGACGATGCTCGCGCAGGGATCCCCCAGCAACTTCGCTGACCTCGGGGAGCAGCAGATCGAAACACGCCACCGTCTCCCCGGGGATGTTGCTGCAGTCAGATATCTGGGAGGGAGCCATGTAGAATGGCTTGACTGATTTCGGGTAGTCCGTGACAAATACAGGACGGCCCTTGTGTAGTACCTCGACGATGTACTTTTCGTGCTCAAGTTGTAGGCCTCCATCCCATGTCGGGGCATGTTCGAATGATGCGCTTTCTTCAGAAACAGCGCGTTGGAGCATCTCTACTGCTTCGGTGTATGTAACGCGGTGCCATTGCGGTCCATCCATCAGGTCGGTCCATCTTCGCCGTAAGTATTCCGCCTCTTCGGCGCTCGTTTCCTGCCCCGATTCGCCAGACCTCTTTGCGGACAAGATCTCTTGGCCCACAGTCGTATTGTACAGTCGACGCGTCAAATCGCGTAGCGTATGCTCTACCAGACTGGTAAGCGAGTCAAGATCGGACATGAAGTTGACCTCGGCCTCGAGCATGTAGAATTCGCTGAGGTGGCGCGGTGTATCACTCTTCTCGGCCCGAAAGACAGGTGTTAATGCCCAGACATTTCCCAGTTCTGCAGCGTAGGCTTCAAGGTGCAGCTGCGACGACACGGTGAGGTACTTGGGGGCCCTGAAGAAATGTTCGTTCTCAGCGCTAGGTGTAGCAGCACCGCGTGGTGCTAATGTAAACGTTTCCCCGGCACCTTCACAGTCAGACGATGTTATGATTGGAGGCTGGACTTGTGTAAAAGCTCCCTTTGAGTGGGAGTGGAAGACATTGCCAAGCTGGAAAATGCATTCAGATCGAAAGCGTGAGAGCAGGGAATTGAAGGGCGTTCGAATGCGGAGGTGGGGAATCTGGCGAAGAAAATCGGGACTATGATATTTCTTCTGGATGGGAAATGTCTATATCAAACGTATGTCAATTCCGGGTCTTGCAACGGCTCTGATAGACTCACCTCTGGATCCGATGCGCCAACCACGGTCACCTCCGTTGTTTGGAGCTCATGGGTTTGTTCTTTCCCCGGTGGGCAAGCTTTCCATATTCCTGAGATTTCAACTGCAGTTCCAGTAGACAGACTAGACGAAGAAAAGGCTCTGGTCAGTCTCAATTTGACAGGTAGATCTGAATCCGTAGCTGCGCGCGCACGATTGACTCACTCGACAGCTTGCGCAGGTTTTAATATTGCCTGCAATGGCTCCAAGGTTGATCCATCGGATATTTCTGCGAACGCAAAACGCTTTTGTTTTCGTACAGACCGAATGAATCCGTTGATTTTGACCTCTTGGTCCTCAAACCTGCAAGCCTCCCCAGCCTTGCTAGATTGAAGGATTTGCGCACATCGCAAAAGAGAGGGATGAGAATTTTTTATTGGGCTTCGGTTGAGTCTGGTAACAGACGTAGCGAAACTTCGCCGCCACATTTGCATTGCTGAAGGTGAGTGAGTTGGTTGAATGTCGGGGAGAACGAATTGCACCTTATCGGCGTTCTTATCGCTTCGGATCGGGCATTTTCTCGCCTTGTTCATTTCAAACGGACACTTTGTTTTTATTTCTATATCCTTTCTATATATGTCCATATGTATACTTTGAAGTCTTTCTATAATTGCAAATAAACTGTGAATATCTAGGAGCCAAATACTTTTCAATATCGATGTCACTAGAGAACACTCATGTTTGGCCAGGTGCTAGTTTCAAGATTTTGTAGACAGTGTTGACATTGATTAGAAGAAGAATATAATCATATACTCATTTGACTTGATATTTTGATCTAACCGTCATGTACACATATAATATATGTATCAATTGGTCTGTGTTGGGCTACAACATTGTCGCTGGAGGATATATATAACTACCTACTTAAATAGTTGACTAGTTGACCTTCCAAGGTTGGAATACATGCAATTGTGTCATGGATGCATCGACGTGGCATAGATAACCACATATTGGGGTTTATCAGACTAACACCTTTCGCATAGTTCTACCTACCTAGGTAAATCATATTCCGATCACCCCTATCTTATGACCCAAAGGCAAGAAATTCTTAGGCAACAGACTTGTAGATTATGATATTTAGAAGAGGTGAGATAATCATGCGCGACCGAGATCAATAAAGACTACATTCCAGCACTTCATATTGAATGACAAACAGCTTCAGCAAACAAGCAAAGAAAATTGGCCAAAATGAATGACTTAGCAATACTACATAATTCATGAGATTCTTGAGACAAGAGCGGCCACAAGATTTATATCTCACTGCGAAGCCCGTCGTTCATACACCCTTCTTTCTTCTTCAATCATATCAATAGCATCCATGAGACTACCGTTTGCAGCAGCAGCATAGACTGCCATCCTGGGTCGCCCACCTTCTTGTTCAGTTCCGTAGCCGATGTCGACAAGAGCAGAAACACATGCTTCAATATCTGCACCATCGGACCCACGAGCACTCTCATCGGTTTTAGTTGAAGTTGAAGCAAGCCTCATTTCTTCCGTTGGAAAGCTTCCAGGAAGCTGGGGATGAGAAGAGAATCCGCTTCGTTCTCCTTTAGATAGCTGTACCCCAGTGCCTTGTGCCACAGCGCCATGCGATCTTTCGTTTAGATCACGCATACCAGCATGACGGGGGGTTGCTTGATGAGGGTTATAATCAGTTGCTCGTCGCTTCAACTTGGCCGCAAGAGGGGCCTCGTTGGAGTTAGTCACCGGGGGACTGGCAAATAGCTGGGCTTCCATTTGTGAAACGGGCGGGAATCGCGACATTTCCAGTTCTCCTGCATGCGGACCCGAAGGAAGAACCTGAGTGTTTAGTTGGGCGTTATGCTGTGCGCCTGTCCCGGGTAGAAGCGAGGGGAAGCGGGCACTAAATGCAGCGTCGTCACCTGGAGAATCAAGCAGAGCAGACGATTCGGCCCGAGCATTACTAAAACCAGTACTTGAACTGCCAGCACCAACGAAGTTGACGCCGCCAAGTGGTTTGAACTTTTTGCTATCTTTCATGGAAGAGGATCTGGAGCTGGCAGCAGATGGGGAGGCAATGTTTTCTACAGGGCTGTAACGTTCAAAAGCAGTATCGTTGACATCGCTGAGTTCTGTTCGAGAGCTTTGGGTAACGACTGCACCTGCAGCATTGTATTTATCGTTGCTCTGCACCGGATGCACTCGTTCAATGGGAGGGTGATCCATATGCTCAAGGTTGATGGAATGGCCGTCAATGAGAGCACCTTGCAAGGCCTCCATTGCGGCGAAGGCTGGAGGATCTGAGGGAAAATGGACATAGCCAAACCCTGCATGTCTTCCAGAGGTACTATCCATCGGAAGATCGACATCGACTATGAAACCTTTCGAAGCAAAAACGCCTTGGATCATCTTTGCGGTAACCTTGAAGCCGACATTTCCAATGAACAGGGACTTGGTTTCCTGGTCCTGTTTAGACGCTTCAGACTCAGCGATTGGTACACGTTCGACTTGTGACGAGGCATTGAATGAAGGAGCCCTTGGCTCAGGTTGAAATTGCGGCTTTTGAGATGCTCGGTATTGTGCCCAATGTGCTCTTAAAGTTGGTGGCCGCTGGGGAGAGTTGGGGGCATAGTGAGGGAGATGGAGAGGTGAGATTCGAGGTGCATGAGGCGGCGCATTATAGGATTGGGAGAAATTCACGAATGGAGACGGAAAAGAAGGAGGTGCCCAGCGGTCTAGATGAGGTGGCAAATGGTGATGAGGCTGATCACCTGATGCGGTGCCTAAGGGACTGGGGGACTGAGCGCTTGCTGCAGCGCCCGAAGTCTTCGATGCATCTAAAGTTGATGACTTTTCGTTCGTGGCTGTGTTCAAAAAATACGCTGAATTCTGAGGGTAGGCAGGCTCTGGTGCAGCCGGTGCGTTGCTCGAAGCAGTGTTTGGATCCGTTCGCCCAAATTCGCTTTCAAACGCAGCAAACAAGGTTCTTCCGACCTCGTTGAATTCCGACGCCATCATACGGAAGCCGTCGGCGGCGTTCTCAGCAACAGGCCTCCCGGCTTGGAAGACATCTTCTGCCATTTGTCTTCCTCCATTTGGAATATTACCGAAAGCAGCTTTCATGTGAGCCTCAAGGTTGGCAAGCAATGTACGCAATGATACCTCCATATTTTCCGGCAAAGATTTATGTGCAGCTTCGAATTGTCTCTGGGCATTTTGTAGTTGCCTCTGTAAATCTGGCATCATTGACCTCCATTCACCTTGCACCATATTGGCTCCGTTGATGAGCTGATCCATGAGCTGCGTTGCCAGGATCTCCACAGGGTGAGGAGTTCGTTCCGAGTCTGTGCTGGCAGATGGGTTGGGGGTAGGTGGTGAGTCAGAAGGAGTCGATCTTTTCTCTGAAGTTTCGGCGGAATTAAGAATGTCTGCTAGCTCGGCTTCGAAGGCTTCCATCAGAGACGGAGGCTCATTGAAGACCGGTGGCAGAATTGTTTCATTAGAAGCTGGGGCTTCATGTTGGTCTTTGGAAAGAACAGATGGAGTGACATCAGGTATATCGCACTTTCCCTCATCAGTAGAGAATTGCTCGATAGAGTTGTCTTCATATCGTCTCCATAATTCGGTCACGGAGTTGGATCGACGGATATCAAATATGTGCATAGGAGTGGCGTCATCTTGAAGCTGCATGGATTCGAGGCGTGTGTCCATGTCTATGGACTCCTCAAGGCGCTGGGAAAGCTCGAGAGCGGATCCAACCTAAAAAAAACCATGAGACTTTGACACCATGAGAACCAACACGACAAGCTTACTGTAATCGTTTCCTTGCCATCCTCATCCTCATCCTCATCCAGGTAAGTTAGCCTTGCGCGTGGATAATTTGATGCTATCTCATCGTAGTCGGTGGTAGAGATCCGAACAATCCCCAAAGAATTAGGGTGAGTCGAAAGCTGCTCAATTTGCCGAGGTAGTCGGAGGTCTCTGATTTGAAAGGGTTTCAACATCGTAATGGTTGATGATAGGAACTGGACCCTGTGGGCCAGGGTTGACTGAGTGGGGAGGTGTTACAAAGCTCAAAGGTAAAATTCGACAACTGGTTAGTGGAGATGATAAAAAGATAAAGATATGGAAATAGCTTGGAATTATGATGCCTCTGGGGTTTGTTTGGATTGACAGAGTATCAACGAGGCAAAAAAAGAACAATGAGATTTTTATATGTTGTTGCCTGTGGCAAAAGATTTCATATTAGAAGTTGACTGTCTTGTTTTAAGATGTATGGATGGGAATTCTCCAAAAGCAAAGTACAGCACGGCAGGCAACAGGATAAGCGTCACCATGAAGCTGTCCCCGCTTTGATCACATGACTCGGGCAGTTGCCTTTTCACCGCCTTCAATATCTCTTTTTAACTACTAGCTATAGTTATGTACGTTATATACATACATGCATACAAGTTTACATATATAAATCTGTAGGATATGTTGTAGATGATCATCCATTAATTTGAGCGTAATACCTAATTGCAGAAGCCTAGTTTTAATGGGTTTACAAGTTCCCATATATTGATTTGAAAGCTGAGACTTTGAGTTTCTGCCACAATTTATCAGTTCTGGTCTTTAACACCTCCCGTACAAAGATTGTGTAGCCTGCGATTTGAGGCGTCGACTCATTTGAGTTGACAATGGAGGTCAATTGAGAATGATGTCCTCATAAGGATTCCTAATGCCTGCACGACTGATTATCTCCCCTTGTCACATGTACCTGAACAGCCAACAACATTTACCACCATAATACCAATGGCCGGACCATTGGACACGGCACCCTGCATGAAATTCATCAAAACCTAGCCCTACGACAATATCGATATCGCGTCGCTCAGCTCAAATCCCCATATCCATCAATGGCGACCTCCAAATCTGCACGACTGCAGACTCCAGTTGATCGAAACATTCAGAACGTTGTGCTGGGAGATCTTTTGTTCAAGCCTTGGAACCGATCAATCTACCCTGAGGACCTTGTCGCCAAAGACACCGATCGGCTCTACGTGTGTCGTTGGTGCTTTCGATACTCATGTGATGGGGATATATTCGAGGAACATAAACACGCTTGCGAGCATCGTACGACCCCGCCAGGCACCAAAGTCTACGACCATGGCGGGTATGCAGTGTGGGAGGTTGATGGCCAGAACCACAAGCTATTTGGACAAAACCTGTCTCTATTTGCGAAGCTTTTCCTTGATCACAAGACCGTCTTCTTTGATGTTGCCACTTTTCTTTATTATATCCTCACCTTTACCGACCCCAATGATCCCGGGAACTATTACGTGCTTGGTTTCTTCTCAAAAGAGAAGCTCTCGTGGGATGCAAACAATCTAGCATGTATCTTGATCTTCCCGCCTTATCAACACAAACAGCTCGGAAAATTATTGATGGGAGTCAGCTACAAGCTGAGCGGATGGGACTCCAACGGGGGGCCTATAGGTGGACCAGAGAAGCCATTGAGTGAACTGGGCCACAAAAGCTATGTCCGTTTTTGGGCCGAGCGAGTCGCGCGGTTCTTACTTCGTGGCAAACATAGCGGCAGCTCACTTAATACCGATTTACAGAAGCCAAGCTCGACCCCCAAGGGTTCTCGCAAGAGAGCCTTCCGGGAGACAATGACCGTCGAGGAGCTCGGCCTGGGAACTGGGATGCTGACTGAAGATGTGATTACTGCACTCAAGAGCATGGGGCTTTTTGACCCCCAGGCCACCCCCAAAAAACGTAAATCAAACCGTACATCTACATCCGTGGAGGACGATCCCACACCGGGCCAGATGGTCACCATTCGCAAATCTGACGTGTGGCAGTGGGCCAAAGCACATCACCTCCTGATGGATGACCCGGTCAGCGAATCAGGATTTGAGGGACTATGGCCCCCTGTCATAGCATCTGAAGAGGATTGTCATAGCATCACATCAGAAGACTAATTCTGCACAATGTGGAGTTCTTTTTGTATGATAACATTGATTACTTGATTTCTATTCAATGAAGATAACGAGAAGCAACATGAAGTTTGTGCATTTTTGAATAGATTGGCCCTTGTCCCCCGAGTTTGAGGGGGGATTTAGTCTTCAACCCTTTTAATGTTTACATGAACCGCCTGACTTCGTAAATAAGAAAGTGCATTACTCTTCCTGGCCACCGGGAGCGCCTGCCTTGCTCATTTGCCGAGCCTTGAGTAGCTCGTCACACAGGAGAAGGTTAGACGCGATACCCGTGCTGGAAGCGATGCAGTTGCGCAGAACACGGAAGGAGTCGAAGACACCCCCTTGGATCGGGTCCATGGGTTCACCAGTAGCTAGATCCAAGCCGACAATGTTACCATCAATCACCTCATCATGGAGAGCAGCCAACGAATCCTGAATATCATGGCCTGAGTTGGCCGCAAGAGTCTTGGGGATAATCAGGAGCGCATCGGCAAAAGCACCAACACCCCACTTAGCCTTGCCCTTTACGGTCTTGGTGAAATCCTGGGATTGCAGGTGTGCGGCACATGCGACTTGGAATGCACCAGCTCCGGGAATGACGCAACCATCAACGATTGTGTTGTAGACAGAGCGCAGGCCATCACGGACAGCATCCTTGACCTGAGTAATGGTGTGTCCGTTGGGACCCTTGATAAGGATAGTCACAGACTTGGGGTCCTTGACCTCTTCAACGAAAGTGAACTTTTCCTCGCCAAGCTGGTGCTCGTAGACCAGACCAGCCCACCCAAGAACATCCGGAGACAAGTCTTCGACACTGTTCTGAGCAGTACCACCACAGACAAGCTGCAAGCGCTCCATGTTTCTGCGCTTAGCTCTCCGCAGAGCGAAGATGCCATTCTTCACAAGTACATCCAGACTGAGAGGATCGATACCCTTCTGATTGATCACAACGAAACCCTTTTTGGGGTCGTTTCCACAGACCTCCTTCTTGAGATCCACGATCTTCTGGAGCTTCGCGTCCACGAACTTACGCTCGCTCTCGACGAGCTTATCTCTCTGCTCGGCGTTGGAGTAGTAGAATCCAGAGTTGATCTCCGACTTCTCATACTCCAGACTGACGTTCAGTGTGAGAATGAAAGCATTCTCTACCCGCTTCGGCATGTCAGGGTGTCTGGCACCGTGGTCCAAGGCAAGACCACGAATAAGCTGGGTATCGGACGAAGACCGATGCTGCATTGTCATGATCTCAACCATGTGCAGATCGGGTTTTTCAGGGGCTCTGTGGATGGCGAGGACGGCATCGACGATGTCGGGGGTAAGCTTCTCGGCGAGGGCACCGTTCAGTTTGGTGGAAAGGGAGGTACGGGCAACAGAAAGCAACAGCTCGCGGTCAATGGTGCGCTCGAGCTTGAAATTGTCGAGGAACTGTAGGGCAATGTGTTAAGATCCAATTGAACATTCAGGGATTCGATTCGTCCATAAATACCTTCAAGGCCTCGGTCTTCGCAATATCATAGCCATCGGTGATGACACGGGGGTGCAGACCTTCCGAAATATGACGCTCCGCCTGCTTCAAAAGTTCTCCTACCAGCAACACAACAGATGTTGTACCATCACCGGTAATATCGTCTTGTGCTGTCGCAGCACGAGCGATCATAACCTTTCCGATCATCAGCAAAATACAAAGGGGATTCAAGGCGATTTTGTCTTACAGCTGTAGGATTTTGGATTTGCTGTGAAATGTTAGCTCACAAGCTCCATATGCCGGGGATCAAAAGACACAACGAACCATCTCACGCAACAAAACGTTTCCATCCTTGGTAAGTTTGATCTATTATAGGGTGTTCGATGTCAGAAAATGTTGTTTCGCGTCGTCCGAGAGGGATATAGGGGATTGCATACTGCGCCTGCACCATCGACCAGCCTAAGTTTGTCAGCTCCATTGATATGATATGTGGGGTGTATTGAGGTGTAACTCACATCTTGAGTGTTCCCGAAGGACCTAAGTTGGACTTGAGAACATCTTGTAGACCTTCACCGGCGCCGATGTTGACCTTCAAGGCTTCTCCTCTCCGCTACGTTGAAATGTTAGTGTGCGGGCACATACTGAGGGGCCATCAGGGAATATTTTCCATACCCTCGACTCCGCCTTGGGGTTGAGTAGCTGAGTTGCAGACATCTCCCGAAAATGAATGACAGGGTATCACGTCCAAGAACCCAAAAATATTAAATTCAGGGATTGTAGAGCACTTGTTGAGTACTGAGGGTGAGGCCCACGTTAGGTCCGGCGGATACGGTGAGGATGCCACCATCAAGTTCGGATTTTGCCGGCAGTACTGCACAGTTGAATATCATAGTTACCTTATATCTAATTAGTTATGGTCTTAGGAGTAACTAGTCAGTTAGTTGTTTCTCTATGTTGCATACACATAGCGAACTTCTTTTTAGTTAAAAACCTGCATTCAGAATAGCTATAAACTATAGTTTGATTTTGGATATTTTGAATTCTTCAAGTGCGGGTCCGAGTCCTCGATGTACGAATACTCAGTACAATCAGCCGCCCTATAGTCGTGATTTCAAGAAATATATATGACCGAACTTGAGGATGTGTACAATACCTAGGTATTGCATAATAAACAGAAGAAGAAAAAACAATAGCCATTCTAAATATGTAGACTCAATAATGTACGTACACAGTTGTTAAAAAACAACAAAAAAAAATTGCCTAGGCGGTCAACTGACTATGGGAAAATCTGAACCGCACTGACTTGGCTTGGACACCCGGATTCGCACTAGCGGTAGCGGAAAAAAAAGCTCTTGATTTTCACTCCATTTCCAGCCAGTCGCCAACACCACCAGCAACCCATCAAATTACACCGTTGAGTGTTTTCTGGACGGTGTTGCAAGTTTTAATTGATCTCTTGTGATTTATCTGGTATTGGCCTTAGCACGATGGCTGATTTCCTACTTTTCGAGGGCCCTATGGGTTACTCGCTTTTCAAGGTCGCCCACCAGGGTGACACTGTCGGCAATGGTTTGAAGGAAGTCCAGGCCGGCATCAATGACCTTGCCAAGTTCGGCAAGATGGTTGAGCTTTCTAGTTTCCTCCCCTTCGAGTACGCTCTATCTACCAATATGAAAGTTTTTTTCATGTCCACTAACAGCGTGTAGGAACAACAAGCAGGCTCTTGGTGAGATCAACGATGTCTCTGAAGGTGTCGCATCCGAGACTTTGATCTCTTTCCTTGAATTAAACCTCCCCAAGCCGAACAAGAAGAAGAAGGTGGTCCTGGGTCTTGCCGACAAGGCTCTGGCGGGAAGCATCAAGTCCGCTTTCTCTTTCGTGGAATGTGAGACTGGTGACACCAGCGAGGTCGTTCAAGACCTTCTCCGTGGTATCCGTCTCCATGCTGGCAAGCTTCTGAAGCAGCTGCGCGAGGGTGACATGGACACTGCCCAGCTCGGTCTTGGTCACGCCTACTCCCGTGCCAAGGTGAAGTTCTCCGTTCAGCGTGATGACAACCACATCATTCAGGCCATCGCCATTCTCGACCAGCTCGACAAGGCCATCAACACTTTCTCCATGCGCGTTCGCGAGTGGTACTCTTGGCACTTCCCCGAGCTCGTCAAGATTGTCTCTGACAACCAGCGCTACGCCGAGCTCGCCCTGTTCATCAGGGACAAGAACAACCTGTCTGATGAACGCCTGCACGATATCGCCGCCCTTGTTGAGGATGATGAGGGTGTTGCCCAGAGCATCATCGATGCCGCCAAGCACAGCATGGGTCAAGAGATCTCCGAGGCCGATATGGAGAATGTCATCTCCTTCGCCGAGCGCGTTGTCAAGCTCGCCAAGTACCGCAAGTCTCTTTACTCTTACCTGGTCGCCAAGATGAGTGTCGTTGCGCCCAACCTTGCCGCCCTTATCGGTGAGGTCGTTGGTGCCCGTCTCATTTCCCACGCCGGTAGCTTGACCAACTTGTCCAAGTACCCTGCCTCCACTGTTCAGATTCTTGGTGCCGAGAAGGCCCTTTTCCGTGCTTTGAAGACTAAGGGAAATACCCCCAAGTACGGTCTGTTGTACCACTCTTCCTTCATTGGCAGAGCTGGCCCCAAGAACAAGGGCAGAATCTCGCGTTTCCTTGCCAACAAGTGCTCTATTGCTTCTCGTATCGACAACTTCTCCGAGACCCCCTCAACCAAGTTTGGTGAGGCTCTCAAGAGCCAAGTCGAGGAGCGCTTGGAATTCTACACCTCCGGCGCTGCCCCTACCAAGAACGAGGTTGCTATGGTATGTTGAACACTAGTTGCCTTGTTCCAATGATACATGTGTGCTAACTATTCACAGAAATCCGCAATGGATGCCGTTCTGGCCGAACTCGACGATGTTGATGGCGACAAGAGCGATGCCGAGATGGAAGACGTCGAAGTCGCCGAGGCTAAGAAGGAGAAGAAGGAGAAGAAGGAAAAGAAGGAGAAGAAGGAAAAGAAGGAAAAGAAGGAAAAGAGAAAGTCCGATGTCGGTCAGGATGTACCTGACAAGAAGAAGAAGCGCAAGCACGACACGGACGCCGAGCCCTCCAAGAAGAAGCAAAAGGCCTAGATGCGCAGTTCTTTTGGAATTGGGAGTCTTCGTCATGGCGTTAGGTTTTGCTTTTGTCTTCATGACTCGATGGGTACGGCTTGCAGGTATTTGTAAATTATTACCAGGCCTTTTGCCTCAGCAGCTCTGACTGTCGCTGCTCTGATATTTTCTTAAGTGTTTGAATTTGTTCATTATTATACAGAAACTTTCTCATCGACTAGATATACTTACCTATAGACCCTACTGTTTGTATACAACCAAGAAATCCGTTGGTATGTGTGGGCAGTGTAGTTAAGGCGATCATTCTACCCCACAGTCCGATTCAATGCCGAATGTCCAATGACCCAAAACCCCTCTCAGCCTTGATCTCCGCCCTTCCTGGGCTTTGCAGAATGCATGTATTTGTTTCCTGAGAGCGAACGACTTGGGTGGTGGATACGCTATTTATTGACAATTGAGATTTATCGGGTTGCTCGGTGACGCCCCCACTACGTCCGTTTTCAGTATGACACCGACGGGTTCGCCTTTTTCTTTCTCCCCAAAGCGCAAACGAGAGCCTTCGGAATCAGACTGCTATAGCCCATCGCCGTCACCCACATCGACAGTATCTATTGCCAGTCATCACGAGGCTCAACTCCGGGAGGAGGAGGACTTGGAAAGCTATAGCTCTCGCACTGCTGTGACTGGGAGATTCGGCGAGTTAGCCATTCGTGGCGACCTTCTGTCGGACCCTGGACCTTTGACTGGCGATTCATGGCGAACCTCGGTTGGCCATTCGATGCGGAAAGTATGTGAATCTGGCAGCTACGAGCCTACGAATATGTCCGACGCATTACCGGCTACTAGCAGCGAGCCAGGCGACCGCCAAACGCTGTTGCTTGAATTACCCGCAACGCAGGACCAGTCGTCTTCCATGACCGTTTCCAATTCTAAAAAGAATTCTGCAATTTGCAACCGAAAAACCCTTAATCCATCATCACCATCTAAACGCAAGCAACGACTTTCTCCTCCTCTAGCGGAGACACCATCTGAAGAAGACCCACTCGTATGGCATGATTCTGAAATAACAGGCCATAATCCATCCGATCCAACCGATGATGGCTATGGAATTAACGGCATAGGCTTTAAGCCCACTGCATCAATCGCCTGGGAAAGATCACAGAAGCGGCAAAAGCAGGTCACAGAGTGGAAAAACCGCGAAGCTCGGGAGGCTCGTGAAAGAAGACGAGAGAGGAGGAAAGAGGGACTTGAACTTGACAAATTGCGCGGCATACACGAAGGCGCAGTTCAGAAGCGAGTCAAGTTCAACGTTTAATATAAGATGCAGGGCTCACAAAATGCAGCCACATCCACCTACATTTGGATTTCTCCACTGGGGCGTTATTATTTAGGAAGGCTAGGACATGGAGTTTCTTTACCCGGGGACTCGAGGCCCAACAATTATTGGGTGAACAATACGAACTTTGCAGAGAGCTATGATACACAGAGATGACTTTATGACATGATGCCGACCATCGCCCGATCCGGTGGTCGCAATATACAGGGTTAAATATTTCTTATGACTCCACAACTCCTCATGAACCGGGAATGCTACCAGAATTTGTAGTTTGAGGGGTTCACCCAACTCTTCTTCTTCCTTTCCTCCTCGGCAAGACGCGCATGCAATGCCGCTTCTTCTGCTGCCGCATCCTTCTCGCGTTGCTGTTTGGCCTTCAATTGGTTCATGAGGCCGAGGGCCTCAGCCATGCCACTCAGTTCCTTGTTCCGAAGATAGCGGCAGTATTCATATGCCCCCAATGAAGTGATCGCAAACATGCCAACAGCCCAGTTTGCTGCGGACCATATATGATACCGTCCTGCAACACATCAGTCCTCTATCCCAATAACATAAATGCTCAGATCTGTTTTTGTACCTTTCAGAACACCTCGTAGACCTCCAACCCCAAATCCAACACCGATTCCAGTCATTAAGGACTCTCGAGCACATGGTCTTTTGTGAATGTTTGACATTTCGGATAGCGAGACTGATCCAATAACTTCTGAGTAAGACACATCCTTAGGATTCTTTCCCGGTGGTTTGTAGGTCGCTTTGGCGAGCGCGTTCGCAGGTTCCTCTGGGTTTCCGAAGGCATCCCATAGCTTTCCAGTTTGTGACCGGGATGGTTCGTGTTTCGGTCTGTTTGAATCGGCCGAAGCGTTGTGAATTTGTGTATTGTTTCCATTGTCTGGAAGAGCACCTGGCCCTTGTGTGTCCTCTGCCATGGTCGTGGAGCGAATTATTTTAGAATTTCCGCCTGCTTCCTTCAATAAGAGGATCGTCGATATCGGTAGATATTCCGGTGGTCAGCTAAAACGGATAGTTATTCCGGAAAGCTGACTAACGCCAAAGGACGCGTTCATAGGTACGCGAGCGCGTCGGGGACCATAGAAATCGATTTGATTAGAGCGGATCGCAGACGATTGCTAGACCCTCCTAGAGGCACAATTGACCTTTGATCACATCTCATCCAATTCACATTCTCACTTATTTCATTCCATATCTGTTCTGATATTCATCTAAAGGGAGATTTCATGTTATACATCGGACCCGTCCTTTGAAAAGTGGTACCTTAACAGCCCGTCCGGGCGAGAACGTCGCAATGCCTACACGAAAACCCAGCAAGTATGGAAACAAGTTTCGTTCAAATGCTGCATCCTCAAAACCCCGACGCTCAAAAACAGTCGAATTCAACTCCTTACGCTCCACCGAAGCAACTTCGCAAGATGAGAAATTTGAGGCCATTAGGTTGGCCAACAGCATTGATGAAACCCTTGGTTTCCCACGGTTCGAATCTGGCGAGGCAAGAGCTGGATGGCTGGTCAATATGCACAGTACATCGATAGAGGACTCAAACGTGCCCGGAGGCCGTGCCGGGGTGGATTACTACTTTCTGCAGGACGACGGGACAAGTTTCAAAGCGACTGTGGAACACGACCCTTATTTCTTAATTGCGGTCAAGAAAGGCTACGAAACAGAGGTTGAGGAATGGTGTCGTCGATCTTTTGAAGACATGATCAAGAAGTTTACGCGACTTGAGAAAGATGATCTCAGTCTTCCAAATCATCTCCTCGGCTACCGAAAGACCTACATCAAGCTCAGCTTCGCCAACGTGAGCAACCTTTTGGAGGTCAGGCGCACCATCCTACCTCTAGCGGAGAAGAATAAGAAAAACGAGAGCGCGATGGACGCCTATGTTGAGATGACCAGGTTTGTTACGCCCCCTCCCCCCTTCTCATGGGATTGGAACGATGGACTCATCGAATGGTTTTGACAGTGCGACTGCTGGCATCGATCTTTTTGACGACGAAATTATTAATGAGCAACGACCTAATGGGAACATACAAGCGAGTGATTTTATAATGGATATTCGAGAATACGACGTGCCATATCATGTCCGAGTCTGCATCGACAAAGGTTGGTGTATTCTATATCTGCTTTAGCGAGCCCTTGGCTGACATCTCAAAAGACATTCGGATTGGAAAGTGGTATAATGTTAAGGCAGATCACGGTGTGATATCGTTGACCTGCTTGGAAGATCGCCTTCAGCGTGCCGATCCCGTCGTTCTCGCTTTTGATATCGAAACCACGAAGTTACCTTTGAAATTCCCGGACGCTGCATTTGATCAAATCATGATGATTTCATACATGATTGACGGACAGGGATTCCTCATTACTAACAGGGAAATTGTTTCAGAGGACATCAATGATTTCGAATATACCCCCAAACCCGAGTACAACGGACCCTTCATTATCTTCAATGAAGCCAACGAAAGAGGAGTCCTCGAGCGGTTTTTCGAGCATGTCAAGATTGCCAAGCCCACGGTCATTGCAACCTACAACGGTGACTTTTTCGATTGGCCATTCGTGGAGACGAGAGCCAGTGTCAACGGACTCGACATGTATATGGAGATCGGTTTCCGGAGAAACAACGAGGACATCTACATAGCCGACAACTGTGTGCACATGGATTGTTTCGCTTGGGTCAACCGTGATAGTTACCTTCCCCAGGGAAGTCGTGGTTTGAAAGCCGTGACCGTTGCAAAGCTAGGGTACGACCCTGATGAACTAGATCCAGAGCTCATGACACCCTATGCGAGTGAGCGACCGCAGACCTTGGCCGAATACTCGGTTTCCGATGCTGTTGCCACCTATTATCTGTACATGAAATATGTTCACCCTTTCATCTTCTCACTCTGCACGATCATTCCCCTCAACGCCGACGAAACTCTACGCAAGGGAACCGGAACTTTGTGTGAGATGCTGCTCATGGTCCAGGCCTACCAGCATGAGATCGTCTTGCCCAACAAGCACAAGGACCCCGCAGAAGCTTTCTACGAGGGCCATCTCCTTGAGTCAGAGACCTATGTTGGTGGCCACGTCGAGAGTATCGAAGCTGGTGTTTTCCGAAGTGATATCCCTACACATTTTACCGTTGACCCGACTGCAATCGATGAACTTCTCAATGATCTGGATCATGCCCTCAAGTTCAGCATTGAGGTTGAAGAGAAGAAGTCGATGGATGACATCGCGAACTATGACGAAGTCAGAGCCCAGATTGCGGAGCGCCTGCTTGATCTCAAGAACAACCCAAACCGACATGAAGTTCCATTTATCTACCACTTGGACGTCGCCTCTATGTATCCCAACATCATGATTACCAATCGACTACAGCCGGACTCATTGATTGATGAATCGGACTGCGCCGCCTGCGATTTCAATCGACCCGGAAAGACCTGTGATAGGCGCATGCCTTGGGCATGGCGAGGTGAATTCCTGCCTGCCAAACGTGATGAATATAACATGATCCGACGTGCAACTGCGAACGAACGATTCCCAGGCCGCTTTAGTAATTCTCCAATGAGATCATTCGGTGAATTGAGCACCGAAGAGCAAGCTGGAGTAATGAAGAAAAGGCTGCAAGATTATAGTAAGAAGATTTACCACAAAATCCACGACAGCAAGACTATGGAACGTGAGGCCATCATCTGTCAACGCGAAAACCCTTTCTATGTCGACACTGTTCGAGACTTCCGTGACCGACGCTATGACTTCAAAGGCAAGCAGAAGGTTTGGAAGAATAAGACCGATAGTTTGCAGTCATCGGGCGCTTCAGCGGCTGAAATAGAGGAAGCCAAGAAGATGATTGTACTATACGATTCTCTCCAGCTCGCGCATAAAGTCATTCTCAACAGTTTCTACGGCTATGTGATGCGAAAGGGTTCCCGGTGGTACTCTATGGAAATGGCTGGTGTGACCTGTCTTACTGGTGCCCATATCATCCAGATGGCCAGAGAACTTGTTGAGCGTATCGGTCGTCCCTTGGAACTTGATACGGACGGTATCTGGTGTATGCTCCCCGGTGGTTTCCCGGACGAATTCAAATTTACCTTGAAGAACGGGAAGAAATTGGGCATCTCATATCCATGTGTCATGCTCAATCATCTCGTACATGCTAGATACACCAACCATCAGTACCAGGCACTTGTGGACCCGAAAACCTTCAAGTACGAGACTCACAGTGAAAACTCCATCTTCTTCGAAGTGGACGGGCCATATCGGGCAATGATTTTGCCGACATCTAAGGAAGAAGATAAAAACCTGAAGAAGCGCTATGCAGTCTTCAATCATGATGGCTCCCTGGCTGAACTTAAGGGATTCGAAGTCAAGCGAAGAGGAGAGCTGAAACTGATCAAGATCTTCCAGACGCAGATCTTCAAGTTCTTCCTTGAGGGTTCTAATCTTGCGGAGACTTATGCTGCTGTGGCCCGAGTTGCGGACCGGTGGTTGGACGTTCTGTACGAACGTGGTTCTACATTAGCCGATGAAGAACTAATCGATCTCATTTCGGAAAATCGAAGTATGTCCAAAACTTTGGAAGAGTACGGCAAGCAGAAGTCTACATCAATCACGACCGCACGACGCCTGGCAGAATTCTTAGGCGAGCAAATGGTTAAGGACAAGGGTCTAAACTGCAAATACATCATTTCGTCAAGGCCACGAAACACTCCTGTCACCGAAAGAGCCATTCCCGTGGCCATTTTCTCGGCCGAGGAGAACATCAAACGTTTCTTTTTGCGCAAATGGCTGAAAGAAGACCCTGGGGACATGGACCCCCGAACTGTGATCGATTGGGACTATTATCTGGAACGTTTAGGATCGGTGATTCAAAAACTGATTACCATTCCGGCTGCACTCCAGAAACTTCGAAACCCGGTGCCCCGGGTTGCCCATCCCGACTGGTTGCAACGTCGAATCAACACCAAGGATGATAAATTCAAGCAAAAGAAGATGACTGACCTATTCACCAAGTCGGAGAAGGCTCCGCTTTCTTCGATCAATGCCAATATTCTAGACCACCGTGTTCAGCATGCCGGTGACATGGATGAAGCGATCGCAGGCTCAACCCAGAAGCTCAAATCGCCCAGCAACAAGATTTCCCAAAAGAGAAAGCATCCAGAAAACACTTCAAAGACAGCCCTCGATCCATTCGCTAGCCTCCCGGCCTTTATGCCCTCAATGTCTGAGAACTACGAAGGATTCCTCAAATACCAAAAGCAAAAATGGAAGATTCAAAAGCAAGCGCGTATTCGCCGACGTCAACTGTTTGGCGAACGAACGAACGTTGCTTCGGACTCATTGAGTAATTTCTTCCGCAACCAAGCTCAAATGCTGTACATCAGCACATGGCAGGTCCTGCAGCTTTGTGATACAGGTATACCAGGAGTTGTGCGGGCTTTTGTGCTGATTGACCAAAAGATTCACGCCCTCAGTGTCAATGTTCCGCGGCAATTCTTCTTGAATTTGAAGCGGGATTCTCTCCCTGATGTCGACGTACCAGACTGCGATGTTGAGAAGGTCAACCATACTTTGCCTAATGGGCACCCCTCTGTCCACTTGTTCAAGCTATCCTTGCCAGAAGAAAAATATCTGGAGGAAGCCGACAAGATGGATATTCTTTTCCAGCACCCAAGTATCGAGGGTGTCTATGAAGGAAACATCCCGCTCAGCACTCGAGCCGTTCTCAAGCTAGGAAGCCACTGTACTTTCGATGAGCAGCAACGCGGTGTGCTCGGCGAAGGGCTGGACAAAGGATTCGATATTTCAACATTACTTCACGCTTCTTCTGACCAGCCCTATCTGATGGATTCGTCGTTGGTTTTCCACTACTTGTATCACATTGTTTCCGGTGACAGGCAGGTATTCGCGCTGTTCTCAACATCCAAAAGTGAGGCACACATCATTGTTCTCAATCGCACAAGGGACGTGCAGGGTTTGCCGAACGTGGATAAAATATACACCGAAATGCTTACCCGTAAGATGCAAGCTGCGGCGGGTGACGAGACGCTGAACGCGTTTGAATACCAAGACAAGATTCATTTTAAGACCACGCAGGTCATGACGCGGAGGAAAGCCCACCTTGAAGTGGGTGATATGATCAGAAAGCTTCGAAGTGATGAAAGCCGCCCCGCGGTTCTTGTCATCCAATCCCAACAGAAAGACCGCCTGTGTCATGAAATTCCGATCTTAAAGGAGTATCCAATTCTGTCTGTGAAACCCGAAGCATCGGACATGGAACTCCCACCCCTGGGCTGGCAGGCATTTGTTGCCAGACGTTTAGTCACGCGCTATCTCTACTTGTCTTCCTGGATTCAGCATTTGACCTTGCTCGCTCGTTACGGTGATGTTCCACTTTGCAACTTGGAAAGTGAGGACCCTCGATATCTCATCGATATCTCGTATGCCAGACGTCTCCAGTCAAATAATGTTGTGCTCTGGTGGTCCCCAGGCCCACGTCCTGATCATGCAGGCTATGAGAAGGATGATATTCTAGGTGCTTTGGACAAGGTCAACATGCCGTCAGTCAATGTGCCAGGTGCATACTCCACGGTATGCATGGAGCTAGAAGTTCGCAACCTGTCAATCAACACCATTCTCACTTCCTCTATCATCAATGAGATGGAGGGCAGTGATACTTTACTAGCACCCTCTGGAGATGGTGAAGACACTGGGGTTTTCTACTCAGAGAAAGCCTTTGCTTCTGCTGGTGTCGTCGTGCTCCGGGAAATGGTCAAGCACTGGTGGACAGAAGCCTGCGCCGGCAACAACATGGCGGACATCATGGTCCAGCATTTGATCCGATGGGTCGAAAGCCCTGTCTCCTGTCTGTACGATCGGTCCTTGCACAATTACGTGAGATTGCTGTCGCGCAAGTCCTTTCAGAGATTGATGGCAGAGTTCAGACGGGTTGGCTCGCATGTTATTTTTGCTAGCCCTACGCGCTTACTTCTTCAAACTACAAAGACTGAAGTTGGAAACGCCTACGCCTATAGCCAATATGTCCTCAAGTCAATTCGCGCCAACCCTTCATTCCACTTCATTGATCTAGAGATCAAGGAGTACTGGGATTACCTCGTGTGGTACGATGAATACAATTACGGAGGCAAGGGCTGCCAGGAGGTTACCGAGACCGATGAGCAAAATCTCGAAACCGCAATGCATTGGCAACTCAGTCGGTTCTTGCCGATTCCCATGCAAACAATCTTCCACGACTGGGTCGTCGAGTATATTGAACTTATGCATGGCTTGAAACGGCCAGAACCTCAAGATGGGGACATATCTTCGACACCCCGTCCAACACAGATCCCTATCGGACGGACCAACGACGGAGATGACGAAGAAATCACTGCCGTACTGGCAGATCGCTTCTCGAAGCCCTTGAAGAAGCAAATATCAGGTTTAATTCGAAGGCAACGTGATGAGATGCTTCATCCTGAACTTGCGTCTGACTATGCCTTCCCCGTGTTGCCTGGAGTCTTGGTCAATCCCAAGGAAAAACGCAACCCGTCTCTGGAATTGACAAAGCTACTGATGCAGGTTCTGAGCTTGTCCAAAACCACAACCTTAGAATCCCGCTTGTTGCGACGTGAACTCCTAGCGCTGTTTGAGGTTCGGGAGTTCAGCAAGGAGGGCCGGTTCGAGAACCCTAGTGCTAGCTTGAAACTACCTGAAATGTCCTGCAACTCCTGCTGCCTCATCCGAGACCTGGATCTTTGTCGCGACGAAGATGTACTGCCTGATGCCACTTCCGATGCCACCAAGTCTGCCCAGCCCTGGCGATGCCCTTTCTGTCATGCCGAGTATGACCGGCTAGCCACTGAAGAGTTCCTCATTGGTCAAGTCCATGGCTTTGTTGTTGAATGGCAAACACAGGATCTCAAATGTGCCAAGTGTGGTGGCCTAAAGATGAGTGAATTCTTGGAGCACTGCTCTTGCAGTGGTACATGGGCCGCAACGGTCGATCGCAAGGAGATTGAGAAGAAACTTCGAGTGTTGGAGAGCGTGGCCAAGTTCCACAAACTGCAACTGCTGGAAAATATTGTTGAAGGAGTGCTGGAGCGATTTTGATATTATTTCTGTTTTATGATACATATGTAAATAGTGACAAGCTTAGCATAGCATCCCATAATTTACGCCGTTTGGAGATCGTTGTCGATCCCGACGGGCTTTAATTCCACCTTCTTGACTTCCCCTCCATCCTAATCGTGAAACACTTTAGCGTCTTTTCAAGCTTAGATTGTTCATTTTGTTGTTTCGTCTGGCTTTTCAGTTTCAGCCCTGTCACTCAACCCCTCTCCCAAACTGCTGATCCCCAGGATTCTCGATCCAAACCCCTGCAGTCTCTCGGTCGGACAAACCGCACTGTGCGGAATTAAACAACCAGAGTATTTATCGCTGCCAATCATCGACCTTGTCGCTCAACTGTGAGTGTTTCTGTACAGTTGTCTCACCGTGGTGGGGGCTGAGCCGTATCTGCACTGGGCTCCCATGTCACTCCGTCACGCCAGGCTAACTTAAATTTCTGCAGGCGCATAGCCCTTTTCAGACGTATATAACACATCTCCCGTTCAAGTCCTCCTACCTTCTAGTGCAGCTCAATATTCAGTTGCCACACTACCTCCCACAACTTCTTCGGCCCCACCATTCGCATAACATACCCCGCTTCACCACTCGCAATGGCATCACAGCAGCCCCCGAAGCTGCCTAAGGTTCAGCCCTGCCGATACAAGACTGGAAAGACATTGGGCGCTGGCTCGTACTCTGTCGTGAAGGAATGTGTGCACATCGATACTGGCCGCTATTATGCGGCAAAGGTCATTAACAAGCGTCTAATGTCCGGACGGGAGCATATGGTAACAAAACCACAGCCACAAAGTCAATAGTATACTAATGGAAACTCCTGTATATAGGTTCGGAATGAAATCGCCGTACTGAAGAAAGTGTCGATGGGCCACCAGAACATTCTCACCCTCGTCGACTACTTCGAGACCATGAACAACTGTGCGCTTCGCCCTTGCTCTATCTCTACGCCCATCTACTAACTCGTCGTGACTTAGTGTATCTGGTCACCGATCTTGCACTTGGCGGAGAACTTTTTGATCGCATCTGCCGCAAAGGCAGCTACTATGAGTCGGACGCTGCCGACCTTATGCGCGCAGTGCTCTCTGCTGTGGCCTATTTGCACGGCCACGGGATTGTGCACCGTGATTTGAAGCCCGAAAACTTGCTTTTCCGTACGCCAGAAGACAATGCTGATCTCTTGATCGCTGATTTCGGCTTGTCGAGAATCATGGACGAGGAGCAGTTCCACGTTCTGACGACAACCTGTGGGACGCCAGGATATATGGCACCCGAGATTTTCAAAAAGAGTGGTCATGGAAAGCCAGTGTAAGTGATGTTCATGCCCTCATGGTCGCAGCCATTTCTTCTCTGTTGGCAACTGACAATCTCTCCTCAGCGATATCTGGGCTATCGGTGTGATTACCTACTTCCTATTATGCGGTTACACGCCCTTTGACCGGGACTCCAATCTGGAAGAAATGCAAGCAATTCTAGCAGCTGACTACTCCTTCATTCCATTGGAATATTGGCGGGGCGTATCGCAAGAAGCCCGCGACTTCATCAAGCGCTGCCTGACGATCAACCCTGAGTCACGGATGACAGCGCATGAAGCCTTGCAGCACCCATGGATCAACCCACCATACGAGAACGGCAAGGTCGGCTCCGGCGAGGATCTGCTCCCGACAGTCAAGAAGAACTTCAACGCCCGGCGCACACTGCACCGGGCCATCGACACCGTGCGCGCTATCAACAAGCTCCGCGAGGGTGGTGGCTTCATGATGGACGGTGTAATGAGCGTCGATCCCAAGCCAGAACGTGTCAACGGCGATGAGATTATTGAGGAACAAAGCCATAATATTCCTGAGTCGACATCTGCTGGTACTGGTGGCCCTGGGAGTGCGATGCAGATTGATAGTCGGGGAAATGCCCGTGGACAGACGGAGGAACAGATTCGCGCCCAGGAGCGCAGGGTCAAGGAAATGGTCGCTGGTTTGTGGAGCCGCACTCAGCGTTAGGATATGTCGGTACATAGCATTTCGTCTTTCGAGGTTTATTATATATCATGTCTAAGGTTGTGATGCTATCCAGTTCTCTGTAATTCCTGTATGGGTTGATCGCTGACTACTTCTCTCTGGCCTAGGGCGTCCTCTTCCTAGTATCTACACATGTATACATATCACACCAGGGTTACCACATACAACCTGATTTTTAAGGCTAGGCACATCATTGCCCAGGTGGGTTGAAAATGTTGATTACTATCTTTATGTGAGATCCTATCAGATGCCAAGGTTCTCGTGGTGCGCCATTCCCACTCCAGGTTAAACCTGATCCTGAAAGGTCGTCAATCTTGAATCAATAAAAAGAAAGCAGGAACATCATGGTCATTATCATCATTAATCCAAGTCGTCACGTTGACATGGGATAAAAAGCAAGGCGATCTAAGAAGCACTGCCAATCACTCCGATGCTCCCAAGATATCTTCTCCGTCATCTAAAGAGAGAACCCAGTTTCGCCATTCTTGCCATTCGGCATAGTCAGCACTTGCCGTCAGGCCCTGATATCTAACAGTCCGGAAATCCGAGACCTGGTCCCACGGTTTGGCTGCGCCTCTAAGTAATCTCCGTGCCGTGCTGCTACCACCGCCATCCCAGCCTGCCTTACGCATCAAGCTCTCGATAGCCTCTTCTTTGGTCCAGCCCTGCTCAATTGCCACATCGGGGAGATAAGTAGCACCATATCGACGGCCACGGTGGATGAAGGAAATGCGCAAACCGTGAGTACCTAGAGTCCAGTCCATGGCGTCTGTACATGACTCAAAGGAACTCAAAAGAGTGAGAGAGCACGAAAGTGAGGGGAGAAGAGATTTGGGGATAGGAGAAAAGCGTGTGTCATCAAAGGCCCTAGAATTCAGAATGGCTTGGGTTAGCTCGGGGTATGATATAGTTGTGTCGTTGTTCATAGCAAGAGAGGTTTTCAATGACAACTACGTACGAGGTCAAAGCGTAGGACTTCAACCCCGCTGCAAGTTCCTGCCCCTCAAACGTTCCTATGCACCCACGAAGAGACTTATGTCCTCGTGACAGGGTGTTCCATGTCACAAATAGAGGGTACCGCTGATCAGGCGATCTCAGCTGAGCCGAGCCCGGCGTGGTTATATTTGTTGAACTCGACTGCAGCGAGTTGGCAGAAATATTGGATGCAGACGAAGGCGTGGTAGCTGCACTGGACGAGGCGGATACTTCACTCTGGAGACGGCTGACATGGGGGAGTTGCAGCTTTTTGGACCCACTACTCGACTGGGGGACATCATAATTTTCATCTAGGAACTGCTGTTGATCTGCATATTCTTCGGCTGGATCTTCAAGACCCGACAGCTTCAGGGTTTGCTCGTGCTGCTCCCAGAGGGCTTCTATGGTAGCAAGACTGGCAGGCTCGCGGCCTTCAAATGAAGTAAAGAGGGTCTCGAAGCAATAAAAGCACTGGGCAACATTCGCCATTCTGATAAAGTGTTTGAAACCTTGTACGTCACCTAAAATATGCACTGCTCTAGATCCTTCAGGGAGATCACGACTCTGATGTATGTTGAAGCCCCTCCGCAATTGTCCGATAAGATACTGCCTTATCGATGGGGGCTTAGTGGACCCAGGAGAGTCAGACGTGGGGACAAATATTGCAGAAATAGAGCAGTGCAGTAACGAGGGACTAAACCATGGAGAAGACTTAGAATAGTAAAAAGAGCCGAAGAGACAAATGGGAGGGGAAGAGGGGATTACGGTGGCACGTGACGATGTTAGATAATATAACCATATTAGGAAGGTGCAGTATTAAAAGAAGAAAAAACAATCCTTTGGATTCTATAGATCCTTGTGTTGAGAACAGATTGTAGAATGTACATAGGACGTCCAATTAATATTGGACTTTTCCTCGAAAATAATTTGAGCTCGCTGTTGAATAAGTGCGAGTGCTCAATCGCCAAAAAAGAATAAGTGCTCGTTTCACATGCAAAAAAATCCCATATCCCAATGACCTCAGGTTGAAAAAACAGTCCGATATTTAACCCCTAAAAACGCACTCGTGAAAATTTTGTTGTACGAAATGATGTTGAACTCGTGGGATGCTGAAATCCCTCTTTCTTTTTCCGTACTCATGCTCGGCCGTATTCGATTTAAACGGGCAGAGGGAAGGCGCTGGCCCACTGGGCGATCTCCTTGCGGAGAGCCAGAATCTCGGGAACGCTGTCATCAGAAACCTTGGCCTTGAAGTCCTTGAGCTTGTTGGCCTCCTTGGGCAGCTCACTCTGGATCTGCTTGCAAAGGTTGATGCTCTGGTCGATGTAGCGGGCAATACGCTTGAAATCCTCCTCACCCATACCACGGGAAGACATGGCGGGGGCACCAATGCGGATACCGCAAGGAGTGAGGGCAGACTTGTCACCGGGGATGGAGTTCTTGTTGCAGGCAATGTTGATCTGCTCGAGAACGGCCTCAACACGAGCACCATCCAGAGCCTTGGCGCGGAGGTCAACGAGGACCATGTGGCTGTCAGTGCCGTCAGAAACGAGCTTGTGACCGAGGACCTTGAATTCGTTCTCGAGAGCCTTGGCATTCTTGATGACCTGCTCCTGGTACTGCTTGAACTCAGGGGTGTCGACCTGCTTGAGGGCAACGGCCAGAGCGGTGATGGTGTGGTTGTGGGGGCCACCCTGGTGTCCGGGGAATACGGAGAAGTTGATGGGGTTCTCAAGGTCGTACAGAACATCCTTACCGGACTTGTCGGTGCTGCGGACACCCTTGCGGAAGAAGATCATGGCACCACGAGGACCACGGAGAGACTTGTGGGTGGTGGTGGTGACAACATCAGCGTACTCGAAGGGAGAGGGGATGACACCGGCAGCGATCAAACCAGAGATGTGGGCCATGTCGACAATGAGGTAGGCGCCAACCTTGTCGGCGATCTCGCGCATGCGCTTGTAGTCGATGAGGCGGCAGTAGGCGGAGGTACCGGCGACCAGGCACTTGGGGCGGTACATCTCGGCGTTACGCTCCAGGGTATCGTAGTCGATGATACCGGTCTCAAGGTCAACACGGTAGGGGAAGGTCTCGAAGTAGGTGGAGACAGCAGAGATCTTCTTGGAGGGGGTCTGGTAACCGTGGGACAAGTGGCCACCGTGGGGGAGGTCCAAACCCATCAAGCGGTCGTGGGGACGCATGAGAGCCTGGTAGACCTGAAGGTTGGCAGGGCTACCAGAAAGGCACTGAACGTTAACGCCCCACTTGGCAGAGTCCAGGTTGAAAGCCTTGAGAGCACGCTGCTGGCAGGTGATCTCGATGGCGTCGATGTGCTGGTTGCCACCGTAGTAACGAGCACCGGGGTAACCCTCGGAGTACTTGTTACACATAGGTGAGCCAAGAGCATCGAAAACAGCACGGGAAGTGAAGTTCTCGGAGGCAATCAGGACGATCGACTCGCGCTGGCGCTGGATTTCCTTCTCCTGTACAAGTATGGAAATTAGCAAAACTACACCATGGTGTAGACGATGCATCCAATTGTAGGGCCAATTGATGCCGATGCCTGACGTACCATGATAGCAGCAATCTCAGGGTCGCTAGACACAAGAGTGTTGTGCATTTGCTGTCAAAAGAATATGAGTCAATGATCCATACATCTGTAGTTATCGGAGGGGAGTCAACGATAGTAAGAAAACTTACATCCCGGTGGGCTTCGGACAGAGCGTAAGAGGCAGACATGATGATGGATGGTGATCTGTCTTCGGATAAACAGAAAGGATGAAATTGAGTTGGATGAGGGGAGGGGGAGAGAAGAAGAAAAAAAGAAAATGGAAGTGGTGGGGGAGGGGATCTGCGGATGCCTCAGGCAGTAAAGTTAATTGAACGATATCGGAGAGTCAGACCGGATTAGGTTATTAGGTTATGAAATTTGCAAATCTTGCAAATTTCCTTAAGATGTAGATTGGCGGAACTTTCAAAGGTCTTGAGAAGGTAAGTCTTGTTTTGTTTTGTTTGAGAAATTTTATGATTTTGGTAGGTTAGAACTGATCGCTATAAACTCCGGGGTATTTCCTGTTTATGAACGCCGAAAATAAATCATGTCGGAAATACTGCTCCCAGCGGGCTTAAATTTCCCAGTATGGCCTTATTTTCCCAGGTGTATATGCCTTTGTGTGTGTGCGTATGTGTATGTGTATGTGAGAAACACAAAAAGAAAGAGAGAGTGCTTCATGCTTCCACAATCCCTGCCCGGGTCCCAAAGTCGGAGATGACAGAACGCAAACGGCTCACACGGTCCTCAAGCTCCCAGATTTCTCTTCTTTGTTCATCGACAGACCGATGTACATCTGGTAGCCCTTCAACGACTGCTCGAGCCTTTTGGATTCGAATCCTCACAGAGCTGGTTTCTGTGGGTAGGTTTTTCACATCAAGTGGCGGATGTGAGCTGGAATCGAGTAGGGATACTTCCGGTACAGCTTGCGAAGCTGTGGTAGACCCGTTGTTCAGGCCATCTGGTACGCTTGAAGATGGTTGTTGGTTCTGTGCTAGGCTGGGCTCGGCTGAAGCTCCTGTTGGGTTCCCGGGTGCGCCCGATGTGCCGGCTGAGGAGTCTTTGGGAGATAGCAAGCGAAGAAGAATCCCATGCAATGGTGGGATGATCTCAAATGTCTGGGGTGGGGGAAAGGGCACTATTTGGGGTGCTGTTGGCGCATCTTTCAAGGGTGTCTCAGGCGCGACTGAGGATTTTAGCAGCGGGGTGCCTACTGTCGGCGATCGAGAAGCCATTGTTGGAATTGTTGACCAACAAGATCCCGAGGCAAGATATCTGAAGAACGATTAGATCCCGGGCTAGGATAAAGATTTTAGGGAAGAGTCGGAAGACACTTTACGAACGGGCGGACTTTAATTTCATTATGTCAGCGCGGTCCGATGGTGACGTCCCACCTGGGTATGCCCCTCCTTCACCGGGGAACCTTTTTCTGCGATGGTCATTCTCCTTTCTCTTTTTCTCTAATCATCTATCTAAAGGTAAGTAGTTTTGCCCATTTAAGGCTGCTTTTTCCTCTGGCTCAGCAATTGATCATCGTTGTATTAGATCTAGTCACATAATAACTCCACTATGGCTACGGTCGACCAGAAAGTCGCTTTGAGTAAGATCGACTACCACCCAGGTCCCCAAAATAATCACGGCTAATACGGACCTTGCAGTTGTCATTGATGGCTGGGGTATTGCAGGCCCCAACTCCCCACCCCAGGGAGATGCCATCGCTGCGGCCGAAACACCCCCACATGTCCGGCTTCGCCGAGGCCAACTCCAAGACCGCCCAGGGTTACGCCGAGCTCGATGCCTCCTCCCTCGCCGTTGGCCTTCCTGAAGGTCTGATGGGCAACAGTGAGGTCGGTCACCTGAATATTGGTGCCGGCCGTGTTGTCTGGCAAGACAGTGTTCGTATTGACCAGACCCTCAAGAAGGGCGAGATGGGCAAGGTGCCCAGCGTGGTCAAGGCTTTCACACGCGCTAAGGAGGGCAATGGACGCCTGCACCTTTTGGGTTTGGTCTCAGATGGTGGTGTGCACTCCAACATCACTCACCTGTACGCCTTGCTCGATGTCGCCAAGGATATGCAGATTCCTGAAGTCTACATCCACTTCTTCGCCGATGGACGTGACACAGACCCCAAGAGCGCTGATAAGTTCATGCAGCAGCTGCTCAAGAAGACCCAGGAGATTGGTACTGGTGCGATTGCCACTGTTGTTGGCCGCTACTACATCATGGACCGTGACAAGCGCTGGGAGCGTGTTGAGGTTGGCTTGAAGGGTCTGGTCACTGGCGAGGGCGAGGACAGCTCGGACCCACTGCAGACCATCAGAGAGCGCTACGAGAAGAACGAAAACGACGAGTTCCTCAAGCCCATCATCGTTGGTGGCAAGGAGCGCCGCGTCAAGGGTAAGTTTGGTCTGACTGACCTAGGCAAGAGCACCAGAACTAACTGAACCTTGATAGATGATGATACTCTCTTCTTCTTCAACTACCGCTCTGACCGTGTCCGTGAAATCACCCAGTTGCTGGGCGACTATGACCGTTCCCCACGCCCCGACTTCCCCTACCCTAAGAACATCTCCCTTACCACCATGACCCAGTACAAGACCGACTACACCTTCGATGTTGCTTTCCCCCCGCAACACATGGGCAACGTTCTGGCTGAGTGGCTCGGCAAGAAGAACCTCAAGCAGTGCCACATTGCTGAAACTGAGAAGTACGCCCATGTCACATTCTTCTTCAACGGTGGCATCGAGAAGGATTTCCCCGGCGAAGTGCGCGACATGATCCCTTCACCCAGAGTTGCTACGTATGACCTTGACCCGAAGATGAGCGCAGCTGCTGTCGGTACCAAGATGTCTGAGCGTCTTGGCGAGAACAACTTCGACTTTGTCATGAACAACTTCGCTCCTCCCGACATGGTTGGCCACACTGGCGTTTACGAGGCCGCCATTGAGGGTGTTGCTGCCACTGACAAGGCCATTGGTGAGATCTACGAGGCCTGCAAGAAGAACAACTACGTTTTGTTCATCACCGCCGATCACGGGTAAGTTTGCTCCAGTGGAACACGAACAAACCTGAATAAGGAGTCCATAGCTAACACCCAATAAAAGAAATGCCGAGGAGATGCTCAACGAGAAGGGCACTCCTAAGACCTCCCACACTCTCAACAAGGTTCCATTTGTTATGGCCAACGCTCCTGAGAGCTGGAGCCTCAAGAAGGGCGGTGTCTTGGGTGACGTTGCGCCTACTGTTCTGGCTGCTATGGGCATCGAGCAACCCGAGGAGATGACTGGTGAGAACCTGCTCATCAAGTCTTAGATGAAACTTTTCGCACATACACCTTTGGATATGAATCAATGAATAGAATTTTTGTTAATATAGACACAACCTTCCTTCTGCTGTCAAACGATGACCGGGAGTTACACCAGCTATTGGCTTTTTCTGAAGGATTTTCCAGGTATTTTTTGGCGGCCTTGAATCCTCGTAGGAAGTTCAAACAAGTGGCAGACATGGGATATGCCCACTTAGGATTGCTAACTTGATATAAACCATGCTTCTTTAGACATACTGACTCAATTAGGGCTAGCTCCTCAATGCTCAACTGGAGCATCTCCCTATCTCGAGATGAGACATTTGTAGCAGTATGGTTAGGAGAGGAAGACATTGGATCCCAGTGAACCGATTGGGGTTGCCACATTATGGATTTCTTGGTGACATTCTTCTTTGGCCGCTAGATGAGATCTTGGGGCTTATGCAGAGGCTGGAACCTGGCTCTGCAATTGTATGATCTATAATTTGTTAGATACAATCTTGATTGATGTAGTGTCTGAGCCCTTGGGGTGCTACGAGAGCTTGAAGATAAGGGCCTTGGGGGATTCCGCGTTACCTCTGTGCGCTTTTTCTCGCTCTTCTCCTGTGTTGCATCAATCTCACTTTCAATTCGCTTGCTATAGCTCTAGTCAGCACATGTCTCGTTGATTGTTGGTGGCCAAGGCCGTGAGCACTGACATTTCCTTTTCAATGAACTCCAGTCGACTGTTGACGGCCATGGTCGCCTCAGTCTTATCCTGCTTCAGCAGCACCGGGCCGACAAGCTTGTAGATGTTGGATTCTTCATCCAAGCCGGCAAACTCGGTTTGCACGCCTTCGTTCTCTTGCTGCTGCGATTCAAGCTTCTGGCGTGCGTCTACCAAACCCTCGAGTTCTGGATACACGAGAAAAGTCAGTACTTGATGTTGCCTTTTTTATCTCTTTTCAGATATGTAGAAATACCAGTCTGGAGTCCTTGGAACTCATCTGAGAGTGCCTGAAGCTGTTTCTGGGGGTCCATGATGAACTTGGTGGTGAAGTGGGAGGAGGGAAAATCAATCGATCTGCCCGCCCGTAAACACCTTCCACTCTCCATATTCCCCCTCCAATTCCACAACCCTCGGTTCTAGACTGCTTGTTCACTTGCGCCCTTCGTCTACGTTCCACAATATTTATTCTTTTGTTCTCACTAGCCGCTGCGTATCCCTCCAACCTTGGCCTCTCGACGAACCCTTGCTGCCCTCTCGACGAACCCTTGCTGCCCTCTCCCCGCTTTATCACCTCTGCCTCCGCGGTCAACTTGTCACACCCTCTACCCCAGGATCAAGACAGCACAACGACAAATTGCCATCATGAGTAATACGGACTTTTTAGGTCGCGCGATCGATACGGTCAAGAAGGCGATCGATGATGACAACAACGGCGAGTACGAAAAGGCCTATCAGACGTACTACTCCGCACTGGAGTTGTTTATGCTGGCCTTGAAATGGGAAAAGAACCCTAAATCCAAGGAAATGATCCGCTCTAAGGCCGGCGAGTACATGGATCGTGCAGAGAAGCTCAAAAACCACCTAGCTGAGGATCGGAAAAAGCCAAGCGCAGTTGGCGCAAATGGGAAAGTGGCGCAAGGCAATGGGAAGGGAGGGTATGTATTGAACTTTTTATATCTGGATTGATCTAATTTGATCGGCGCTAACAACACTGGATCGCACAGGAAGGAAGATGACGACAACGGCGAGGATGCAGACGCCAAAAAGCTTCGGAGCGCGCTTCAAGGAGCTATCCTAACGGACAAGCCGAATGTGAAGTGGGAAGATGTTGCTGGTCTGGAAAATGCGAAGGAAGCATTGAAGGAAGCTGTCATTCTTCCCATCAAGTTCCCGCACTTGTTCACTGGCAAGCGTCAACCCTGGAAGGGTATCTTGCTTTATGGCCCCCCGGGTACGGGAAAGTCTTACCTTGCCAAAGCCGTTGCAACAGAGGCAAACAGCACGTTCTTTAGTGTCAGCAGCAGTGACTTGGTATCAAAGTGGATGGGTGAGAGTGAAAGGTAGGGCAATGTCTTTTCCACAAGTTTTCCAAGGCATACATACTAACCCACTCTCAGGCTCGTCAAACAGCTATTTAACATGGCTCGTGAAAATAAGCCAGCAATCATCTTCATTGATGAGGTTGATGCGCTGTGCGGGCCTCGTGGCGAAGGTGAGTCCGAGGCCTCACGCCGTATTAAAACCGAATTACTTGTACAAATGGATGGTGTCGGCAACGACTCAAAGGGTGTTTTGATTCTGGGTGCTACCAACATTCCCTGGCAACTCGATGCTGCAATTCGGCGACGATTCCAGCGAAGAGTGCACATCAGCTTGCCCGACGTCAACGCCAGGGTAAAGATGTTTATGCTTGCCGTTGGTTCGACCCCGTGTCAAATGACCCAGGCCGATTACCGCCAACTGGCTGATTTGAGTGAGGGTTACTCTGGTAGCGATATTAGTATCGCTGTGCAAGATGCACTGATGCAGCCAATCCGCAAGATCCAAGGCGCAACACATTATAAGAAGGTCCGTATACAACATCCTTTCCATTTTGTTTTCCGGTCGCTCATTGGCTTTATTTACTATAGGTTCTCGTTGAGGGTGCAGAGAAGCTCACTCCTTGCTCACCAGGCGATGCGGGGGCAGTGGAGATGAGCTGGCTCAACGTAGAAGCAGACCAGCTTCTAGAGCCACCTCTTGTCCTTAAGGATTTCATCAAAGCGGTTAAAAACTCTCGCCCGACTGTCAGCGGAGAAGATCTTACAAGGAATTCTGAATGGACTCAAGAATTTGGCAGTGAAGGTGCCTGATTCATCGTGCATATGATCACGTTGTCTCCCACTGTGGTATTTGCTGCTCCAACCTTTTCCTTCCCATTATATCGACAGCGTAACTATGGCATACCTGCCCATCCTTTTTGGATAAAAACTCAATGTCTCATGCTCATACACAGCTGCATTTTCCCATACGTTTTATTTGTGTTTTGTCAATGTTTGCTTCATTCCAATTTCCTGTGGTTTCTGGTGGGTTACTTTGAAGAGTTTGGTGTTTAGAAGCGTTTATCAATTATCTTTGGCCGGTTAAGGTGTTTATTGAGCAGATGTTTTGTCTAAGGTTCATTCTGTGCCAAGTCATAAGACCATGAACGCTACTACCTGTATCCTTATCTTAGAGGCTATAAATCTGATCTCAAAAGTGGAAGAGGAAGGAAGAAGTAATTTCTATTATATGATCTCTCAAGGGAAAAAACGACATTCTATATACGGGGTTGTTAAAACAATGATTTAATGTACACTATTTTCTACCCCGTTCTCTACTCCATTTCTCACACCATTTTCTTCAGACTTTCTCTACATTTTATTGTTACTTACTTGTTGATTAGACGCGCATGTGGTGTAGGTTATGCTCGTAATCGTGGACATAGACTCAAATGTGCACTTAGACATGGACGTGGTAATGTTGATGGTGGTGATAGTGGCGACAGTGAGGGTGCTTAATGAATAGATAAAGGCTATATAGAAATAGAAGGTATTGAAATGGTAGAAATAAGCATTTAATTATGTCTATAAAGGTGCACTTCTACTATGACTAGAATTCAAACCTGCAAAAATTAATTTCATGCCTGAGTTGTAATGTTTGTTAGGCATTGATATTACCGAATCAGGTAACGGGGATGTTTTATAAACAATATCCTTTATCTATAGCTAGCTAGGGGAAGCATGGTAAAGCTTGTATATACAATCAGCGAGTATAAACACAATGCCGCACTATTTCGAACGAAATGTGTATGAATAAAAATTAATTGGTATCAAGTTCCTCTGCTATGACTGTCAGAGTTGCAATCCAAATCGGGGCTCGAGTTCTGTACTGGCAGCTGCTACAAAAGATGACGGCAATCACTGAATCATTCAATTTCTCGCCGGGGCAACTATACACGAATGATCGACCCACTAAGCGAGTACAAAGCGAGTTCTAGAACGCCGCGGTAATGAATGGCAACTAAAGGAGAGACAGAATACAAAGCACATTGCACACAAAAACGAGTATACTTGCAAGACATGTCGGGGGAATCTCTCATAGAAGGTCGACGCTGGAAAAACAGAGACAAAAAACATAATGACATCAATGCAGAAGCCCTCGACTATTGGCCAAGTAAACCTTTGTTCGAGCTGTCGCGACGCTTGAGCATCTCGCTTTTAGCCCGCTTCAAGCCCTCACCCAGTTTCTTCGTTCGTTTCCAGTCGCTGCTCATCCGTTGCATGCGAACGGCGGCCCTTACTAGAGATATGGCGGATTTCAACTTGTGGCGAGGGGTACGGACAGGAGCACGATCACGGGCCTGCACGCCCATCTCAGAGATCATGCGGAGATCGGCATCGTTACTGATAGAGTGTTAGCTATATTGCAAATAGTGTTGAGGGTCGGTGGGGTTACGAACCATGCTACTCGGACGCGTTCACCAAGTTCCATCAAGCCCTTGCTCCAGGCAAGATCGCGTCGGAACTTTTCCTCTCGCTGCAGGCGCGCACGAAGCCATATGATTTCTTTTCCTAGACCTCGAATCTCTTTCTCGTGCTTGGTCTTATTGCTCGACCTCGTGAGGGAGTTCTTCTCCAAGATCTCATCGTGGCGTCGTTGCAAAGCATCGATGTTCTTATTTGCTGCTTCAGCCTCGCGTTTGTGTGCATCCCGCTCTTCGCGAATTCGGCGCACGTGTGTCTTTAATTCGTTGAGGCGCCCTTCCCGCTCGGAGAGCTTGAGGTTCAAGGATTCGGCTTCGAGCGTAGAGGACCTGAGGAGCTCATGGAAGTCCTTTTGGTCTTCTTCTTTCATTGCGGCGCGTTCAAGCTCTCGGTTCTTCTTGTTCACTTCGTGCAGGGATCGGTGTGCTTCGGCCACTTGCTTTCGTAGACTTCGCAGCTCTTCGTGCAGCTTATTAGACGGAGAGTTTTGCGGGGATTGTGAGACAAACTTCCTCATTGCTGTTTCGTGAAGATCCTTCTCCAACTCTTCGACTCGTAACTTGTAATTTTGAGCAGAAGATTTGTATTTCGATTCACGCTGGAGAAGAATATTTTCGCGCTTTCGAGCCTCTTCTAAGCTTTGTCGGAGTAAGGAGAGGTCTCCATGCGCACCAGATGGCTCATTTTCCACGACAGGCTGCTGCTCAAGAAGAGATTCGAGAGTTTGGACACGGCGCTCCAGGCGCTGTACCTTGGTCTTGGCTGAAGTGAGTTCTCGATCCCGGTTACCCGAGCCTGCAAGCAATTTGTCCTGAAGGCGGTCGATTTCAGCTAAAAGACGTCCTTCCTCTTCATTTCCTGAAAGAAGTTGGGTTTCGAGTGTGCATTTGGCATCTTTCAACGTTTTGAGCTCATTTTCGAGTTTTGCTACCATTCTACGTAGTTCGAGCTTGTCGCGGTCGAATCGAGTGGTATCATCCCCGATTTGGGCTTTCTCAAGTTGACCGTGGAGCTCGTCACGCTCAGCTTCAAGTTCCTGCACTGAAGACTGTAGTGCAAACAGTTGCACATGAGCCTCTGCAAGCTGATCCCGAAGCTTCTGCTTCTCGGCAACCGAAGACTCCAACTTCTTCTCCATGTCAGGAGTCGCATTTTGCCGGCCTTTGGCGATTTCTTGCTCATCTGCCAGAGTCAATTGCAGCACGACTATTTCATCTTCCAGCGCTTGTACTTTGTCTCCAAGTGCCTTCTCTTCGCGTCGAGATACCCGAATATCCTCCTTCGCCGCGAAAAGCTCTTCTCGTTTTTCATCAAGGTCACGTCTTGTTTTCTGGACGTCATCCATGAGTTCTTGGATTTGGTCGTTCATCATAGACTTCTCTTGCGCGAACCGCTTCTTCTCGCTATCGATGGCATCCTGTAGCCTTGATTCCTTGCCGGAGTAGGCACTTCCAGCGTTCTGTAGCGTATCGATTTCAAGCTTCAGATTTGCGATTTGCTCTTCGGCCCATGCTTTCTCTGATTGTAGGGCTCGCTTGCTGCTCTCCCACCGGCTTTTATCGACTGCAAATCGGCCCTCCTTCTCCTCGATCTTATGCTGGAGGTTCTCAATCTCCTCTTGCAGTTTCTCGAGCTCGGTTTTATGCTTCCAGTTGAGCTTGTGCCCCTCATCTTGGGCATGAGCTGTAGCGTCATGGACCGCTCTTTGAAGTTCACGGACGGTGGATTGTGCTCGATCGAGCTCGGCTTGCAGTCCTCCAGATTCATCGGTCAGAGCACGATGGCGAGTTTGGAGAAGTTCCTTTTCGTCCGATGTGCGCTGGAGTTCATTCAAAACCTCCTGTAGTCGAACGGAAGTCTGGTTGAGTTCCTGTTTGGCCGTATTAAGATCCTCAGCCAAATGGGCGCTGTCTTGCAGGCCATCTTGGATGGTTCTATGATGCTCTTCTAGGCGAATCACATGGTTTGTCTTGTTTTTGACTTCCGTTCTCAAAGCATCGTTCTCTTGTTGTAGCGTGCGTAGCTCTTCCTCGAGTTTCTCCATTTTTTCCTCCATTTGCCGGCTCAGTCCTTTAGTGGTGAAGGATTTATTTGACATTTCATCCTGCAACTCTCTCAAATCCTCCTCGGCGCGGTCCTTCTCTTCGATGGCTTGACTTCGGGCATTTTGGAGCTCTTGGATCTGCTCCCTAGCACGGTCGAGTTCATCCTGAAGCTCGGAAACCACACCATTCTCTTCGCTGTTGCGTCTGAGATCATCAAGCTCTTCTTCGCGCTCCTCAATAATTCGATCCTTTTCTCTCGAGCTTGCTTCCAGGTCCTCGATGTCGTCTCGAAGTTTGTCGGTCACTTGCGATTGAGTATCTTTAAGGTGCCTTAATTCGTCACGTAATTCTCGGACTTCGTTATCACGCGATTCAAGCTCTTCACGCATCATATCCATTTCTCGTTGCACCGTCTGATCGGCTTGTTCATGCCACCTCTTGCCTTGCAACTCCACGAGCTGAAGCTGGTATTCCTCAGCCGTCTGCTTTGCCTGCTGAAGGTTCTTTCGGTATCGGGAAATATCACGTTGCATTGTCGTTCGTAGTACTTTGAGTTCCATGTTTTCTTTCAGGGCTTCTTTGTTGGTCTCCGGGCCAATCTTTTGCAATTGTTCCTCCATGAAATGGATCCTCAGCTTCAGGTTGAAATTGTCTTTGCTAAGTTTGTCAAGGGCCTATGGAAACTGATGTTAGCTTGCGGAGTGGTTGACATGGGCTTCATTGGTAGACTGGGTATCATACTATAGCTTGCTCCTTCAGTGACAGGTTATTATGTCCATCGCCCAGGATTCCTCCGTCGCGGTCGCGTCCGGAGAGCCCAGGCAGTGGTGTACTTTGCGCACTGCTGCTTGCGGCATGCGGAACTGGAGTGGTCTCTTCCATTGTCCGATCTTCCTCGTATATGTCAGACATATCCATTGGGGGTAAACCAGGCGTGTGGGCATTGCTGCGGTAGGTCTCGCGCTGATACCCGGGGGTTTTCGGACCGTCTGCTCGGCTTGTAGACATGTTTCTCAGATAGTTGTTCTTTGTCGCGCTCTTCATTAACGGGGTGAATTCTCCCTTTTCTGGGCCCGCGCCTGGAAGGTGTCGCAACGCGCCTCTTGTCGACTTCGAGGCAGCACCAGCGCGGGGAGTGACGCGTTTGTCAAAGCCTTTTATCACATCATTGTCCTTAGACGGTGTTTGAAATGAATTTTCAAGAGAGTCGAGTGCAGATAAGTGGTGTCGTCCTGCGCTGCGATATCCGTTTGTTAGGTAAGTCGCGTTGCCGTCTATTTCCGTGCGTGGTGTGTCAATGTAAGGGAAGGCCATTTTGTCAGTGAAACACGGTGTAGGCCAGAACCATTCAGCGTGCAACCATCACTAGCAATGGGACAAGAGTGTAGTTGTTGGCTGAAAGTTCACGTTCAACCACAGACGTGTTTTGGTCGAGTTATCCCGGCCGCATTAGGCTTAGGGTGGGCATGTCTGTTGATTTCTAACTCTTTTGGGATTAGCGTGCAGATCACGGGATGTGAGTTTCGCCGCTTTTTTTCTTCTGGTCTTATGAGGTCATTCATAAGTTCTTCTACATTGATTAAATAAGATCGATCATGACTTCCGAGGAGGATCTCGCTTGGTTTCAATCAACTTTTCGTCCTATCCCAAAACCAGAGCTTCCCGATGACGCTGTCGAGTACTCTATCTATCATATTCCGCCCTCCCCCGCCCCCGCTGTTATCGATGAAGCTGCCGAGACTCGGGCGCGATTGCTTGAGGTACAGCGCACTGCAGCAGAACTGACTAAAGATTTGCTCAAAGATTACATTTGGCAACGTGAATCTTTTCGATTGGAGATTACGAAGGAAGATGGTATGGCAAAACATCAAGATTTACTTAAAGATCAATGCTAATTGCTGTGGGTGTTAGGAATCACATCGTTACAGGGTCGCACTAACTATGGTGACTCTATCGAAGACGAATGGGTTATCGTTTACTTCCTTCGTGAACTGACGAAGCGCCATAAAGATATTTGGGTCCAAGTGGGGGACAGTGATGGCGAGTTCCTTCTCATTGAAGCCGCAGGGACACTTCCTGCATGGATAGAACCAGATGTTGCAGACAACAGGGTGAGTGATTAATTTGCACTCAAACACAAATCCTAAAGATCTTATACTGATCAAGTCCGTCAATCTATCAGGTGTGGATCCACCAAGGAGACCTCCGAATCATCAAGCCTAAACAAGAGACGAAACGACAGGTCACTGAGAAGATATCACTTCCAGAGGCCCGAAAGATTCTTCGAGATGAACCTAGTCGCCTCCTTCGCTCGACAATTATTCAAGAAGAAGCCTTTTACCGTCTACGCAATTACCCTCAACAAATTAGCGAAAACCTTCACTCCGCCGTCATCACAATCCCTCGCAAGGCTGCGTTTCTCTTGCACCAAAAGCCTGCGTACATCTCACCCGCTGTGGAGGCGTTTTACATTCGTGATCCGATCGCCCTGCGACCCTTACGAGCGAAGGATGCCTCCGACCTTGTTTTCAAGCCTGATGATTTAGTGACCGTCAGTGTTCGATTTACTCGTGTTGGATATGCGCAACTCAAAAGCCAAGAGTTCCCTGTCCCAAGCACTTGGGCAGGCAAACTACCCTCATCTGAAGATCAAAAGGCCTATGACCGCGCAGAAGCAGGAATGAAACTTGCATGTGGACTAGAGATGCTGCTGTATGATCCTCAAAACCAGGATAAACCTGCGGTTAGGGAAATGAAGCTACTCCTCGAGGATGTGGACACAGGGGATGAAACCCTTCCCACTGATAAAGAGATTGAAGAAACATGGGACAAGCGTGAAGACGACGAAAAGTGGCTAGATATCAACTTTGAGGATCTAGAAACTGAGCTCAAAGGAAAGACTCAAGGAAAAGAAGCGGAAGCTGGTAATTTCGGTGACTCTGGTGCTCAGGAAAATCTCCAACGTATCGTGGCCCGATTTGAAGAGTTTTTGAACGACAACTCGGCAGGCTTCGACGGTGCCGACTTCATTGATGACTTTGAATCCGATTCCGACGTTGACGAGGATGACGAGGCAGAAGATGCCGACAGTGAAGGCGAGGACAAGGATGCCTCGTTCAACGAAGAGGAATTCGCTAGAATGATGAAAGAGATGATGGGTATGCCATCGTCGTCAGATTCCATTCGCAAGCGAGTGCAGGAGTTGGATTCGGATGGAGAAGATGACACAGAGCAAATCAAGGAGCTTTCCCGGCGAATGGAGGCCGAATTACAGGGAACGGGTGTGCTCGATCTCAAGCAGCGCCAGCACAACCTAGCCTCTGATCAATCCAGTGCATCCAAAGGGAAGGCTGCTCGGAGTTCAAAGCAAGATGATTCAGAAGATGAGGATGATAATATCAACATCAATCTTGCAAAGAACTTGCTGGAGAGTCTTCAAAGTCAAGCTGGAGTTTCTGGTCCTGCTGGAAATATGCTGTCAATGATGAACATGCGCATGCCCAAAGACGATCGCCCTTGAGGATGAACGATTTGTTCGAACACCTGTCTAAAAACACCACCCCGGGGGTACATCGACTTATCAGTCGATAGAAAAACTATCCGGGTAGTCTTCAGAGCCCGCGATTGATCTCAGCCCAGTCAAATCGAAGTTTTGCTGGTCAAAAACTGCTCAACTGACTCAAACCCGAGTGATTGCTGAAGTGTTGTCTAGTGGTCACCAGCACCCTGCGATATCTCTCATACATCAAGTAGGTATTTAGTCTGACAAGCTGTCGGTGTCAATGTCTCACGATCACAGGCACTACGACCACAGAGAAACAGGAAGAAAGTCTGTTTCATCTTTGGGGTGGGCTGATGGAATCATCTTGTATCCTGACTCTGTCTCCAGGGCTTTCATCCGGTGACCGAAGGTCGTTTATGGAAGGGTATTGTGCCCACTTACGTATGTAGTTGCAAAATTAGCGCTCATATAAAGATATCTCTCGTTTACAGTAGAGAAAACGATTTCAGAGCACAAATACCAATAAAATTGATCATAATCTTGATACTTTTACTCCACATAATCGCTCGTATATTCCAATATCATCACAAGATATGGAAATATACTTCCAAGATTCCGAGCAACGTGCTCATGTAACTAACGGCCTCGGGATGGGTTCAACTTATAGATACTCTGCCCATTTCTTGGTTCCAAGTTGTATATATAATGTATGTCAAAGGTACATATACTTATCCAGATCGCCGATCAGGTACTTTGCACGATCAAGTTGCAGAATTTCCACGTGGCCCGATTTAGATAAAAGGGTTTACGGCGATCGGAGATGAAACCGTCTAAAATCCGACCCACTACGGAGTAGTATGTAGTACCTAGTAAAATCGACCTTATTTTGAATGTGTGAGCACCTGCCAAAAGCAGTGTACCTACATATTATACCTACTGTCATTATTACTATTATATTTGTTGTCCGGAATAGACCGAAGGTGGATATTTGACACGAGAACCACTTTATATACCTTGGAGTGGAGGTAGTTGTGGAATTGGACGGAGTAGAATTGTGGACATGAAGAGAACCGGCAATTCAAAACCTAACGAACCTTTAGTTCAGAGTGGTTGTGTACAATAATAATAATTAATATCTTCGGAGAAAGGATGGGGTATCGATCCGCTTAAGCGGATACTCAGTTTCGTTCTATTGCGGTGACTGGACGGGTTTGCCGGTCGCTTCAGAGCCGACCATCTTTTTATTGTTTTTTAATTATTCTATATGGAGTTATATGTTTTACTTAAAATCCCTCACCTTAACAGGATTAGCAATCACATTTTCGGGTACAACAATAATAATTAAATTGGGTCTTCACAGTTCTAGCCTTGGTGGCTGGGAAAAATAGGAAATACTACATGTAGTAGGAACAATGCCGGGGATTCAGGATTACCATGATTTTTGCACCTGATTACTCTGTGGAGACAAGACTAATGCCCGGGGCAATTGCTCTTTCGGAGTCATCAATAATTTACGTCTTGTTTCATGTTAACCTGTAACTATCCTGGTCCGGAATGGGATCGAAAGTAAGTATAGCCTCCGTTTGTCCTTTAGACCGGTAAAGCACATATCAAATGAAATATGATTGACAAGTATTCAAACCCGAAGATGATTTGGAGCAACAAAATGTATATTGTAGATCATATAGAACCTACATACATAATGTACATATGTATATACTCTGCCACGAGGGTCGATGATGGAACGACTCAAGCCTCCGGGAATTCTTAGGAATCGCTGAGCACAAAGTTTAGATCCCTGTCGATTGGATACGGAAACGTTAATTTTCCCCCCGAGTTCCCACACCTTTCCGGGACTGTTTGGTGTCCCACTCGGGGAAAGATGAACATTCTCTGAAAGATCGTCTGAGATCGTCTTAAAACTGAACGGGAGTTTAGCCGAAAGGAAAAAAGCCAACCGAGTCAAATTCAATAACACGTTATATGCCAACAATATGATGACGTTCATCTACAGTATTGTTCATATAGAGAGTTCTTGCCCGGCAAATCGGAGGCCGAGGATTACTTTCCTTCACCTCCTTACCGTGCCCCTAACACGGAGTTATCTCCAGATTACGCCCCGAGGAAACCCGCGCTGATGGGTATGAGAATGTTGATCTGACACATGCTGATCTTGAAGTGAGATTAACGGGAGGGAGAAAAAAAAAAAAAAAAAGAAAAACGAAACAAACAAACACCCCAAGTGAATACCGGAGAAGGAAGCAGGCAACGCTGTACGAAGTACCCCTGATGATCTAGTTCAGGTGATAGATCATATAAGCCAGGATCAAGGTCTAGGAGATATGAACTTGGACTGCAATACAAAATGTCTATAACTACCCGGTACTCAGTACCAAAATGAATAAAAAGGAATTGACCGCATTCTGCAAACGATATAGCACATACATTAGGTAACTATATGTATGTATGTAACTATACCGATTGTATGTGTCTAGAGCCCCTGTTTGCACCGGTATCCACTGACACGCAACGGTCTCAAGGCAGATGGGAACGGCGTCTCGGGACACCAGACGCTAGAGATAGTGTAAAAACTTATTTAAATATTTCATTTGCGGCCCGATTTCTAGAAATGACTTTCACATGCAGCATTCCAGTAATTCCCAGTAAGGAGAGAATGTGACCGGAAGGGTGTAACTCGGAGGAAAAAAGTAGATTATAATCCATAATGTGTGTGTGTATGAATTGATTATCTACATACATAGACAATAATCCTCCGTGGGTTGTAGGTAGAGCAGAGTAGAATAGAACAAGAATATGCAAGACAGATAGAAAAAAGCCGAAAGGGATTAAAAGAGTGGAGTTGAAGTGGAGTAGTTCTATTTCTTCCATCGAAGGAAGAGAAGGAAGAGAAGAGAGGAAGAAGAAATTAGAACCCCCCCCCCCGGTCTTCGCCCGAGACCAATAATCATTTTTCTTTTTTTGTGGCGAAGAACGAAGAGCGAAGAGCCCCTTCGAGGCGCCCAGGTGGTCTATTTATCATATTACTCCACCCTTAAGTCCTTAGATCTCTCTTTTTCATTTTTACTCTTCTCTTCCCTTTTTTTTTGTTCTCTATTTCTTACCCTTCCCCCTTTCCCCGGGAACCTGGTCACTGTGTGGGCCCGCATACCAGTAATCTCGTCAGTCATGCATTGCGATGGTTGAAGATGGATTTTATTGTGAGAGAAAAAGCCTTGAATATCATGGAGTTCTAAACTCGAGCTAACATTATTAGCTCTCTTTAACGCACTTCTGTGAAGTGCATGGACCTACCTCCATCATTTGCTCGCAGGTCCTACCTTTTTCATGCCCGCAATGCCATACCGAAGACTCTCCACAAGGGACTCCCGCTTCGCAAGAGTCTCGCTTCGATGAAGTCCGATCTCAAAAGTCAGAAGGCTGCAAGTCACCTAGAATCGAAGATTCTCCTTATTTCTTAAAAGGACATCCCGCCTCGCCCGACGAAACCCGAAGCGGCGCCAATGGCGGCGACACATGCGCCAGTTGCACTTTGTCTCTACCAGATAATGTGAGCCGACAACTACCTCCCGGTGCGCCGGGCAGTCGCGACGCCAAAGGAAACAGCACTAGCCCTGTTCTCCGCTCACGCGAGGTCGTTTATTCCTGCGGCAGCAACCACTCGGAAATGGATGACGAAACCGATTATCGCACCCATGCCTCCCCTCCGGAATCCCTTCACTCCGCCTCAGTCGCATCCGACGCCTCATGCCACACACACATCCATACTTACCTCTCTCAACGCGGCCCACCGAATCCCGCCGACTACGCCCTCCTTCGACGCTCCTCTATCCGCACCCTCAGCTGTGAGCTTCTACCGCGGGGTCTCTCTTCGGGACCTATCTGTTTCGGCGACTCAATCGCCGGCTACACCATCGCATACATCTTCCGTCTTCCGGATCCCATGGCCCGCGGAAAGCGTCGCAGCTACGCATTAGTGGCACTGGCCGGAAGAGACGCCGGAAGAGCGTTCCGCGCATGCCCCATAATCTGGCGTGCATTCGGTCGCATCGCATCCAGCATTGTCAACGCCGCTGAGCGCTTCCAGGAAGACGAGAAGTCTCGCGACGAGCAGAACACTCCGGGTAGACAGCCAGGCCGTCAGTACCCTCCCATTTCTTCTTTCCTCACCGGGCGCGGCATGGACCCGGCTGGCCGGCGTGCCGCAGGCCAGATCCGTGCGCGCAACTTGGCCGAAATCGTGGGCAACGAATACATTTTTACTGAACTACATGCCCATTTCGTCGCACTTCTCCAGCAGCTGGGCTCAATGTTTGGCGGAATCCCTCTCAACGAGGAACGCTTTGTCTGCAGCACTGTCGGTGACGAACAAAGCACCAGCTCTGCTCAGCCAGTCCTGGTCTCTAAAGCTAGACCACTAAAGGACGGCCAGAAGTATGACGGCAACGACATCGACATGTCAAACCTTGAAATATCCACGGGACCCAAGGCGATTCCCATTGCGCCTCGCCGGCCCGTCATGGCATGAAATATTTTCTTACCATTTGCATAACCTCTGATTGAGATACCCGCCTGCTTTATTGCTTCTTGTTTCTTAGGCATTTTCGCTTCCACCTTGTTTTTTATTTTCAACTTTTTTTTGTGCTTGTACACGACTTGGCAAGATGACACGACCAACTCCCACGTCTCATTCTGCATACTGATTCGGGTTTCTTGCGATTTGGATATGGGCATAGATTATGGCGTCTCAAGATATGGATCGGAGTTTTTGTTTTTTTTTGTTTGTTTGTTTAACAGCCTTGATTATCTCTCGGTGATATGCTTTTCTTCTCTTGGGGACATCGTCCGATCTCTACGGAGTTCAGCGAGTCAAGCGCGTCTTTCTTGGAGCGTTGGCTCTGACCGAGATGCCACGATCCCACGAGGCATTCAAGAGACATGTATTTTATGTATTATTTGAACACGGATGAATCCATAGCCACGGGCTACTTTTCTTCAACGACACATATCCATAAAACTCCATTCACTCGAGCATATAAAAACTAGTTAGAGAAGAGACCAACGAGAAACTCAACATATCGATTTCTAACACGGTTCTTTCGATTGCAAAGCCAACAGGGAAAAGGAATTGATATACCAGTTGTTGAAGGTTACATAGCCAGGTAATATAAAACCGTCTGCATATACATTGCAGATTTCATCTGAGCTACAGTCCTCATATCTTGCGTATAGTCCGGAATAACCACGGAAGAGCTTACCACATTTGGTTAATCCGGACACAGGGCCACAATCAAAAATCCCACCAAAAAGAACATCCCGCAGATACAAAGACCCGCATCACCTCCCACCTACCTCTAGCAATATCAAAATGGTCGCTTTCGATAAGTGTGAGACCCGGCCTGCCCATATTGAGGCCATCCTCAATGGCCTCGACCGATACAACCCCGAGACCACCACCGTCTTCCAGGACTATGTGTCCCAGCAGTGCGAGGATCGGTCATTCGACTGCTACGCCAACTTGGCCCTGCTGAAGCTGTGAGTTAGAGCACTTTTCCCTAAAAGTATCGCGCTGCAAGAATTGCGGCAAGAAATCTCGCGCTATGGGTATCTTTCAAGCGTTATCTACTTCCTGACTTTCCCATAATGTACTTGGGAGTGTTTGATAACTCTTGTGAAAATACCGAGCGAGAACAGAATGCCATTGCATATCACCATTTGCAGAGCAATCTCTCCGTGCGGAGATGGCGACTTCAAATATGGGTGAACAAAGCTAACGAGCCGCTTTTTCCACCCTCAGCTTCCAATTCAACCCTCACCTCCTCCAAGCCGACACCGTGACCAACATCCTCGCCAAGGCTCTGACCGTGTTCCCCTCGCCTGCCTTCTCGCTCTGCCTTGCTCTGCTCCCTCCCAACACCCAGCCCTTCCCCACCACCAGCGAAGCGCAAGCCGCATCCCAGCAATCCGACTTCGTCGAGTCCGTGCAGAAGCTGGCCCGCCTGTCAACCCTCCTCGAGTCCGCCCAGTACGCCCAGTTCTGGTCCACCCTGAACTCGGACGACCTGTACGCCGACCTGACCGCCGACGTTGCCGGCTTCGAGGAGCTCGTCCGCATCCGCATCGCCGTCGAGGTCGGCAAGACCTTCCGCTCCATCACCGCCGAGAACCTCGAGTCCTGGCTCGATGTCCGCAGCCGTGATGCCCTCGACAAGTTCGTTGTCGACGTCTGCGGCTGGAAGGTCGATGGCGCCGTTATCCGCGTGCCTACCAACAAGGAGAATGAGGCCCGCTCCGAGGTCAAGAGCGAGCACGTCGGCATCGAGCAATTCGGTCGTGTGATCCGCCGCGGCTTCGAGCTGCCCGCATAGACTGTTCGTTTTTATTTTCCGAATGTTCGTTCATGTTATTCCTCTTTTCGTAACTACCTCATTTTTTAAAACACCAAAAATGGGTGCGAGGGAAAATTCGATTTTCATCCTTGGCATGAGTTCATGATTCCACCCCCGATCAAGTGACGAACTGGACCGACGGTGATAGATTTCGCATGGAGGAGGGGCTCGGAGATGAGTCGGGATCTGGCGCATCTGGCGTTTTTCTTTTCATTTTCTTTTCTCCTGTCTGTATTGGATTCTTTTTCTACGCCTGTGTGCTCATTGCACTGGGTGATATGAGAGAGAGAGATGTGATGTCCATACCATAACATAACACTTCAGCCGAGCCCATATGTTGGGCTGGCTTTGCTGCCAATATAAAAAGTCACACAGAGCTATGTCCAGATGTACCAACACGAATTTATGACCATGTTGTACTTGGAATCCTATTCAAACCAATTGGGTCTTGATGAGTTGGTATATATTTCTAATATGAATATAAATTTAGAGCGAAGATGTGATATTTACATCTGTATATTGTACAAATCCCGATCCATCCCAATGCTGTTAGTAGTATATAGTACATATGGTATCAAAGTCAACAATGCTCAATGGCCTTTCATCAGACCAGTCAGCTTAATCTACATCACGCTTGTTGTGAGCCTGACGAAGCTTCTTCTTGTCATTATGTTTCTTCCAGCTGGGGATATGCTGGCCTCTCTTCCTCATGGGGGCTACGGGGATATCCGAAACTGTGTAGTCTTCTTCATCCTCTTCACCCTCATTCTCCATCTCAGCCTCTTCCTCGGCCTTAGCCGCACGACGAGCCAGACGTTCCTTCTTGCCCTCACCATGCTTGTCACCAAGGTTCAGGTTGCGCGGGATACGAGTCTTTGCTCCCAGAGCCCACAGGTCTCCCCAGTAGGATTTGCGGGCATCGCGGTAGGCCTGGCGGCTGTAGGAGCGCGGGACAGTCCAGCGCTCAATCTTGCCGGCGGGAGTGCAAAGATCAAGGATGACGTGACCGCGGCGCTTCATGGGCGGGAACACTGCACGGGGAAGGGAGAGAGGGTGGAAAGATGGTTTGTTGGCGATCTCGGACTCCCCGGGATCCTCATGTTCAAATCCTTCGAAAGCGGCATCGGTGGCTTCGGCGGTTTGACGGATAGCCTGCTCCTGTCGAAGATCCACACCGCGCTGCACGGCGAGGTAGCTGAATTTGAGATCTTCGTGGTTGCGGTCCTTTGCTCCCATGATGCGCTGCAGGAATGGAGGACGGATGTACCGCTGCTGGAAGCTACAGTAGTCCCTGCGGCCCTTGGTTGCGCCAGAGGAGTTGTGCATCGGACAGGTGGAATGGTTGGTGCAGGGGGCGATGATCATTCCTCGCTCCTTCTCAATGACCTCGCGTTGATCAGGGTCTTCAAGGAAGTTGTCATATTCAGTAGAGCCGGGGCTTGCGATATGGCGCTTCAAGAGCATTTCACGAGCACCAGAAATAGCCTCGAAGCCCTTTTGGCGGCCTTTCTCGAGCAAGATGAGAACGCCCCCGTTGGGGTTCAGAAGAGACCACAGGTTTTCCACATGTTGCTTGCGCTCATATTCTTCCTCAAAGCCGAGAAGAGAATGCGGTGCGATGATAACATCGTACTGCTTGCGTTTGGGCGCTTTGCGCGAGTCCTCGAGTGTGGGTTTCTCACGCACATGAACGTAATCAGGAAGCCGGGGGAGGAAGCTGGTGTTTTCCAGCAATATGGAAGCGCGCAAACGAAGAGCATCGGAGCCTGTTAGCACGGCTGCCCTTCCAAAGGGAATGGGTTCTCCCTCGGGATGATCGGGAACCATGAGCTCCCATTCCGTGCGAACAATATCTCTCCAAGCCAGAATGCCGGCGCCGCCACCGCTCGCGTCCAGAACATTTGGTCCACCCTCCTGCGAGATCAGACTACGGATCCAATCGGAACCAAGACGCTTCCGAATCTCAACCATCACGCTGAGGGTTGATGCGTAGATTCCAGGGTACAATGCTGCTATGAATGCGTTTGCCTCCATCTCTCCCATATGGCGTTGTGAGGCATGAAGGGGGATGGGAAGCTGGGGTAGTTCGGCCCGCGGAGGCGCCGTTGTCGTCGAATGGGGTAGGCCGGGCCCTCCAAACAGACGTTGAGCGGTCTCGGAAATGTGCTTGTTGGAGAAATTCGACAGAATGACGGATATGGGACCGGTGAGGGTGTTCTTGGGCAAGTGAATAGTGGTGGGATCTGTCCCAAACTTTCCCTCGAGGGTATTTGGGTGCATCCGCGGCGCAGAGTCGGGGACTGCTTCGTTCTCGAACTCTTCAAGCATGATCTCGCCGCCCAGCTGCTCGGCCACTTCTCTCGTCCGCTGCATAGCGATTGTTTCCCGCTCCTCTGGTGGACTGTCCATGTCATACGCAACGGGGACAGCATCTTCGGCGATGACCTCCTCGCTTAACTCCACTTCTTCCCATCCTCCTTGTCCATCTTCGCGGAGCAAGCTCGTATCTTCGTCCTCTTCCTCAACCATCAACTCAGGTTCTTGTTGGAAGATCGGTTCGCCGTAGAGGCGGGCGTAGATTTGAAGCTCTGCATCGTCCAAAAGTCCTCCTGGGATCTCATCTCCAAACCGCTGCTTTATTGTGTGTACCCATGACTCGGCTGTGTGCTGGTCTCTTTGGCCAAGCAACTCAATGAGCTCGTCCGCATCGCCCTCGTCGTCCATTAGTTCCAGCTCTTCAAGGATTGCTACCATTTCGGCCTCATTTGCGCTGATCCGATCAATCAGGATATTGAGGTCGTCCGCTTCGATAGGTTCACTGGGTTGAGGCGACTCGGCGGATGCTGGGCCTGACACAAACCTCCGCTGAGGTTGGCATTTCGAAGTCGCATATTCGGAGGAGTTTGTTCGATTCGCAAGGGTTCTTGATGCCACCAGACGCGGTGCCTTTTGCACAAGTGTGCGTTTTTGCGTTGGCGTCAAGCGACTGGCACCTCCGCGGAGCTGTCGCGCCGCAGAAGGGCAGGTGAAGGTGCGAAACAATTCGCACGATTGGGACCGACTGGCCCCTGACACTGAAGACCTTGACAACATCGTAGAGCTAATTTCGACGTTGCTCAAAATCTGCCAGTTAGGGAATGAAAAAAAAAAAATCGTATCCCCGAAAGACCAGAAAATCGATGCCAAGCCTGCCATCCGCCCATCACAAACTGCGGACTTCTCATTGGCTGGTCCCTCGTTCCAGTGAAAAGGCCGGTTTAGCATAGATATAGGCAAGTTTTTCTTTGAAAAAAGGAATTATGATGTAAATTTTGAATTTGTATATTAGGGTATCATTGAAATTATTCCTCACTCTCTGTATCCTCATTACCCATGAGCACCTTGAGTGCATTCACACACCTCATCACCTCATGCTCAAGGGCCGTGAGTTTCGCCATGACCGCCATAAGACTAGGATCCTGGCTCTCTACGCGTACTTTCTCTTTCACACGTACCTCTTCGCCCTGCCATTGGAATGTAATACCGGCTTCATCGTGTGTTGGCGCTCGCGAGCCGAATATACGATCTCGGATGGAGAATCCACTTAGGGAGATATCCGAAGCGAAAGCAGTCGGCGCGTGGCTGAGGGAGTTGGACTCCAATGTCCTAAGAACAAGGACCAGAGCAGAGTCTGTGATAGATAGGTGGAAGGAAAGATGTGGCGGGAGCGGAGGATCAAACATCTGTCCTGTTAGCAAAGAATCCAAGCACAATCAATGGAAAGGGACATACGTTTTCAGTGGCGCTGGTATCCCACCATTTGCCTCGTGTCTCATCCCCTTCCCCCTTCAGCATCTGCCGTGCCTCGCTGATGGTCTCAAGCAATAGGTGTAGCTGACTGAAGATGAACCCGGCATTGAGAGGGTCCCCGGTCCATGTGCTGACATCTACAATATCCAGACTCTGGGCCACGAGATCACGAATTGACACAAGCTGCCGAAGGACCATCTCCGGAGCTTCGGGAGATTGGGACAGACTCAGCCGAGTACTAGGAGCCCCTCGAGAGGGCGGCAGTGATGCTAGACGAAGTTGGATATCCTAAAGACCGGCTCAGTTGTCCATCCGTTTCGGGTTGCATTGGAAATACGTACGCCCTTGACCACCTTAGTTCCAACTCTAGTCACGAATCCCTTGACATTTTCCGATCGTAACGATGATAATACCAAGGTTGATCCTGGTTCCTGGGGAGCTAGGAGGACACTGCATTCTTGGAGGCCTTCTTTCAACGAAGCAAGTGAATCCTGCATCGAATGCAGGAGCCATTCTAGCTCATGAGCCTAAGATAGTAGTTGGCATATAGATAGGATATGGGGGGTTCCACACTCCACCAATCTTGATAAAAGTCCTTTTACGTACCAGAGCAGTATCCGCTTCACGACCAATCTGGTCTGCAGGCAATGGGGGGTATGCCCAAGTTGCCATGATTGATACCGTAGAGACGAATCAAAGTTTTATTTTTTATTTTTTTTGCTTTCAATAAAAAGCCCTGATTCAGGCAGAAACGTTTAATCCACGTCACCAAGCAGGGCCTCACCGATGAGAAGCTGTAACGTTGTTTCGTTGGGTCAAATTCACTTCGTCATGGACCGACCAGGCTAAACCCAAATAGGCTTAGTGGATAGTGTAAAGTGTAGGCTAATATTCGATAACTCGGTCGATCATGTGCAACTATGACGTGGTCAATGGTTTCTTCTTTTTTTCATACCTAAGTATAAGGAAGAAATTGGAAGAAATGATGCCCATCATTATATCACTAGGGGTTCTCCCGGATACCCCCGGCTACTCTTATATCCTGTTCCAACTTCTCCATCTTCACATTCTGTCTTAACACAACCCTCCTTGCGCGCAGCTTCAATATCCAAACCCCCAAGAAAAGAAAGGTGTAGCTCAAACACAATGGGTCTCAGCAGTGAGTCGATCCTTCTGGTCCAACCAGCTCTAATAATTCTGAATCTAATCACATCGAAAAGGAGCGTCGCTGGGCTTTATGGGCCTGTTCTTTATGGCAGGCTCCATCTTGCTGATCTTCCTCACTCTCTTGGCGGGGAGTTACAACCACAGACCGCTGAACGAGGTCTATTTCCTTCAAGCCGACACGGGGAATATCCCAGGTGCACCGGCAACGTCGCGTTGGACCTTCTGGAACCTCTGTGGAGTCACTGATGGCGGCAAGAATGACTGCGGAAAATCTCACCCAGATTTCCCATTCGATCCCCCAAGCCACCGTAACTTCAACACGACCGACAATGTTCCTCACCAATTCATTGGGTATGTCAATCCAATCAATCGACTCGAGATGCGCTAACCATATATAGCACCAAGCACTACTTTTTGATGTCGCGATTCATGTTTCCGTTTATCATCATCGGGTTGTTCTTCGCCGTGCTCTCCCTCTTCACTGGCCTGCTGGCCATGTGCACTCGCATTGCCAGCTACCTATCTGGCTTCCTGGCCTGGCTCGCCTTGACCTTCCAAGTCATCACGACCTGTCTCATGACGTATGTCTCGCATCCCTTGTGTCCCCAAATGACATACTAACCGTAATAGCGCCGTCTTTGTCCAGGGTCGCGACGCTTTCAAGAGCAACGGACAAACCGCAAAACTTGGTGTCAAGGCTTACGCCTTTATGTGGACAGCATGTGCCTGTTTATTCCTCTCATGCTTGATGTACTGCCTTGGCGGTGCCGTTGGCCGGAAAGACACCGGTGGCTACAGCGGGCGCAAGGAGCGCCGCCGTGGTTTCTTCTCTTCCCAGCGTTCAAACAGCGTGAAGAGCCAGAAGAAAGAAAACACGACTTACGCTTGAAGTCATTGAACTAAGACAAGGCTATCTTGACAATACTAAGTCGGATAACCTGAATATCGACTAAAAACCTGAACCGTTGATCTCCGGGACCCCCTCATACGATTCAAGTTCCTACGTTGATATCCCTGGGAGTTTATTATCTAGGAGAAATGCTTGTTCTGTTTCGATCTCGCCATATTGTGCCTCGACATAACTCGGAAGATCAAACTGCCCACACTCGCTTGATGCTGTTACGAAAACGATCTTTACTCAATTTATTGTCTCACCACCTGACGTGCTACGCTACACGATCGATGGTATCGGCCCTACAAGGCGTGCAAGTTTGATTTGTTGATGAACCTCATGATTCGATGATTCGATTAAAGACTCATTCAGGAATCTGCTTTTGGTTGCGAATTTATTTAATTTAGTGTAATATAATCTCTATTGCCGTTTTCAACTTGATAATTTGTACCACTCAATACTGAATGTAGGGCCCAATGAAGAGTCTGCGGGAGATAGAAACCCTGGGATTGCTACCTCTGGAAACCAAAAAAAAGGGTAGGAAAGGGGAACCAATCGCTGTTGGTTGAGTCTATTTGCAAACTAGTAAAGGAAAAGACACCGTGATGATAACTGCAGTATAAATCGTGGATAAAAAGAAAACGCACAGCCTCTATCAATCATGCAAGCATCATCACACCATAAATAACCAAAGTCTCTTTTTTTATTTCTCAGAAAAAAGCTTAAGCGGAGCCGTTGACGGCGCCACGGACAGCGTTCTGGGAGCCGACCTCGCGGACGGCAATCTGGAGACCCAGATCGGGGTTGACGTGAACCATGACCTCGATCTTGCTGCCGGCCTTGACACCCTTGACGGCGAGCTCGGCAACGGGCTTCTCGATCTTCCAGACGATCTCACGGGTCTCCTCTTCCTCGTCATCCTCGGAGTCGAAGTCGGAATCATCCTCATCCTGAGCGGGCTTGTCCTCCTTGGCCTTGGGCTCGGGCTTGGTGACCTTGATATCACGGGCACCCTCGCACACACGAACCAGAACGTCACCACCCTCCTTGGGGGCGAAGTACTGGGCGATGCGGCGGGCAGGGAGGGCGGTCTCGGCGCCGAGGAGGGGCTGGAAGGTGGTCTCGGTCTGGGAGGTGAACTCCACGCCGATGGCCTTGGACAGGTGAGGAGCGACGGTAACCATGGGGTGGATGGACTGCTCAATGTCCTCGTGCTCGAACTCCTGGACGAGGGAAGCCTGGAAGGCGGCACCACGAGCAGAAAGCTCGGAGGGGTTGATGGCAGTGGTGGAAGAGGCAGGGGCGAGGATGGTGGTGGTCTCGGGGAAGATGTTGCTGACCAGGCTGGCGAGCTTGGGGGTGTGGGAAACACCGCCAGAGAAGATGACCTCGTCGATGTCAAGGACATCGAGCTCGGCCTTCTTGACGACCTGCTCGATCAGACCAGTGAACTGGCTGAAGACCTTGCTGGAGAGGAGCTCGAAACGGGTGCGGTTGACAGTAGAACCGTAGTCAACGCCGTCAACGAGGGACTCAATGCTGATCTGAGCGTTGCTGCTCAGGCTGAGAGCCTTACGGGTGGCCTCACACTCGAGCTTGAGCTTAGCAAGACCGCGAGCGTTCTCGCGGGGATCGGTCTTGTGCTTCTTCATGAACTCCTTGGCGAAGTGGTCGATGATGATCTGGTCCAAGGAGGCACCGCCGAGCTCATAGTCGTGAGCAGTGGCGAGGATGGTGTACATGCCACCGCGGGAGGCAACAACGGCCACATCGGAACGGGTGCCACCAAAGTCGGCAACCACAACCAGCTTGTCGGTCACAGTGGCTTCGGGGCGGGCATCGTAGGCCATAACGGCGGCAACGGGCTCGTGGATGAGCTGAAGAACATCAAGACCAGCGGCCTTGGCGGAGGAAACGAGGGCCTCGCGCTGGGCATCGGTGAAATCAGTGGGGACAGTGATGACGGCAGCGTTGACATCTTTGCCGAGGAAGTCAGTGGCGGACCGTCTCAGACGCTTGAAGTGACGGGTGGTGATCTCGGAGACGGTAATGGTGTTGGGTGTCTCGCTGGCGGTGTCGCGGATGGTGAAAGCGACGGTCGAGTCCTTCTGCTGGGGGTGGGCAGATTGGTGGCAGGGAGTAGGGTCAATCGACTTGAATTCCTTGCCGACGAAGTCGCGGAAGTAGGCGACGGTGTTGGCGGAGTTGCGAACGAATTGAGCCTTGGCTTGTGTGCCGTGGTACTCCTCGCCTTCGATATAAGAAAGGATGGTAGGAATTTGACGGTCTGAAAAAAAGATTAATTCAAGGTTCTCTAGGCGTGGGGCTTTGATAGTGCTTACCTCCCTCCTCGTTGGCAATAACCTCAGCCTTGCCCTCCTGAAAATGGGTCAGTCACTGTTATAAATTTCAAATGATGAGATCAAACCATACAGGCGAGATACGGGCAATTGAACTGCAAGAGTTACCAAATGAGATACCGATAGCAAAACGCTCCGCCTCAGCGGCACCGTTAGCGGCGTCACCCATGTCGAGATTGGGAATATGTATTTTCTGGAATTAAAAAGATATAATTTTCACGTCACGGCGTGAAAGTAGAGTCGGGGGTATCCGATGTATGGGGTGGAAATTCTCGATTGAGGGGATTGAAAAGATTTTGAGTCTGCCGCAAATGTGGCTAGTGCTTATCGATAGTAGTGTGGCGTTGCTCAATCACAAGCGATTTCCAACATTCTATGTTGTTGCTATATAAGCAATGATTTGTATATACAAGTCGAATATATGAAATTCTTCAAAAATTTAGTCTTGTCTTCCCCGATAATGTATATATGTCACATCATATTCCTCTTGAGCAATCTACATAGATCTCTAGATGTGTATCTATATCGTAGTCTGGTCACGTGTGATAAGACAACTTGCAGATCTATCGCTCAAAAAAACCCTACAATAAACCGAATCGAGCTTCGACTGTATTAACGCTGTTTTATCACCATATTGCTCTAGCCCAACATGAGTGCACCACTCGTTTTACTACCCAGCGATGAGGTACCTCGCGACTATCTCCCCGCCACCAACTCCAACCCTCTCCGACTGGGCCCTGGTCTCCGCATCCTATCACAACCCTCATCGAAGGCCACAGGCTCCAATCATGTGTTAACAGCAACACAGGCAGGCCTTCTGACCACCGACGCGAAGCGCAACACTGTATCGCTTCTTTCTTTCCCAAACCGCCGATATGTCCCCACTGTGAATGACCTCGTCATCGCCCAAATCCACCATTCCAGCATTGACTTCTTCCACTGCGTAGTGACCCCCAACACAGCACATGCACTTTTGGGTCAGTTGTCCTTTGAGGGCGCAACGAAGAAGACGCGACCAATGTTGAAGCAAGGCGAGCTGGTGTATGCCCGGGTGCAGTCCGTGGGAGTCGGCGCCGGCGCCGAAGTTGAGCTCACTTGTGTCAACCCAGCAACTGGCAAGGCTGATGGCGGATTGGGTCCTTTGGTCGGTGGGATGGTATTCGATGTCTCGACGGGTATGGCCGCCCGCTTGATTCGGGCAAGCTCCGCTTCCCCTGACAACACGGATGCGACTGAGGGACTGGTGGTTCTTTCTGAACTTGGAAAAAAGCTGGAGAGCTTAGGAGGATTTGAGCTTGCAGTCGGCCGCAATGGGAAGGTGTGGGTGGATTGCTCTAATGCCGCAGAAAGTGCGATCAAGGTCACTGTTGCTATTGGTCGGTGTCTACAGGAGACCGACCAGCACAATCTTCACCCCCATGACCAGAAGAAGCTGGTGACGAAAATCCTGCGGGAGATGAAGCTTGCATCATAGGGGCATTGGGCCTGGAGTATGTTTAACGACTTGGGATTTATTTCTATACCAGCATGTACAATACGAAGCACTCATGCAATCGCCAAAACTTATTTTCGAGTGCATCCACATGCACTCTATCAAATGTGTACACATACACACACACACACATATATATATATATATATATATATGTACACATGTATGCAACTATGTGCAATGGACATTCCAAGGTTGTAGGCTTATAGTCCGGGGTGACACACCGCCTTCCCGAACCGTTGTACATTCCAAATTTGATTTCCTCAAAAAAAGCATCTCTGTTCACACTCTGCGCTAGCATGCCTCTCCCATCGTTCTTGAAGGTTTTTAACATAGGGAGTACCTCATCACAATTTGAGCGTACTCCGAATGATTCTGAGTATCCTCAAGATATCAGTACGTTCATTGCGGTTGCTCTTTGCAGCGATACTGACATCTGCAAGTCCCCGAAACTCCGCATCCTCCAATTGCCAGCGGAACGAAAAAGCAAAAGTTTCCCAAAATTACCCAAAACGTATCGCCGCCAATCCCAGAAACCAATGGTACCGTGACACCTCCAGATTCAGACGCAGCGAATTCCTCCAAGCGCAAGCGAGAGGCTGAGCCGGAGCGGAAGAAAAAGAACAAGAATCGTAAGACGGACAAAGTTGTCGTCGAAGAGCCAACCAATGACTCTTCCAACGCACCGGCTTTTGAAATCCCGTCAACTCTGAACCAGCCTACGCCACCAAAGCAAAAGAAGGCTCGCAAGCAAAAGAACAATGCGCAATCTCCCACTACTCCCATTGCTCGGCCCGTGGCGGATATCCCACTTGCTGAGGAATCGGATGAAAAGCCAGCCATTGGCGCAAGATCAGCCCCAGGCACCCCCAAACACGATGGCAGCCTCACGCCAGGAGGCCGATCCAAAGTGCCCAGAGGCTTCCGGACCAGAGAGAAGGACAGCCTGAAAATCGGTTTCTACACGCCAGAGGAGGTGGAGAAAATCGAAACCTTCAAAATCAATTTTTGCACCTTGCATAACCTTCCTAGCACTACTTTTGACGAAATGGTACAACACTCCGAGCGTGGCGGCAATGGTGATTTCCCCGTGTCTACGGAAGTGACTACGAAAGGCGACTTTTGGAATGAGATCTATGGTCTTGTTCCGGACCGCGACCGACGATCTGTGTATCGCTTCATGCGCCGGCACTTCCAAGTATCGGCGCAGAGGGCACATGACTGGTCGAGAGAACAAGAGGAGGAGCTCATCAGTCTCGTCGGCCAGCATGGCCCGAAGTGGACTTATATCGGTAGACTCATTGGCCGAAGTGATGATGATGTCACCCAACGCTGGAAGAATAAGCTCGAGCACCAAGGCACCATGAATCAAGGTGCTTGGGACGAAGATGAGACACTGACTTTCCTCGATGCCATGGAGGCATCGTGGGTTAACATGAAGCCGCTTCTTGCGGAGAAGGCAGGAAAGGACTTGTACGACCTCGATGAGAAACTTGTCGCCTGGGGTAATGTTAGCCAAGCCATGGGCTACAGGCGATCTCGTCAACAGTGCGCGGACAAGTGGCGCAAGATCGTCAAGCAGGTCAAGACATTGCGAGCCAATGGCATGCCAGATGCTGTGTTTGATGTTAAAGCGGCTGTCAAGAATGTCGCCAATCGGAATGGAAGATTCAATAGGAAGAGTGCGGTATTTGTGGACGAAGAGGATGAAGACAACGAGGACCCAGAAACCACCAAACGGGACCCAGAAAACAACCCAGAACTTGCCAAGGTGTTGTCAAACCTTGGCCAGGCTAGAAATCAAGCAGAGCCTGAACCTGAGCTGCCTGATCCCGAGCCCGAATCAACAAAAAAGTCCAAGAAATCCAAGTTCAAGCGCAAGCGTGAGGACGCCGCTGTCCAGCTCGACAAGGAACCACAAGCCGAGGTCGGCGAGCCTGAGCTGCCTCCAACTTCCAACAAGTCTAGACTCCAACACACGCAGAATACTGTTTCTGATGCCGTTGAGGAACCCACATCATCACTTGCAACCAAGAAGACCAAGGCGGAACGTAAGCGTGAGAAGAAAGAGCGGAAAGAGCAGCAGGAGAGAGAGCATCAAGAGCAGGAGGAGAGAGAGCAGGAGCAAGAAATAGCTGAAGCCAAAGCAAGAAAAGATGCAAAGGCTGCACGCAAGGAGGCCAAGCGGCTGCGGAAGGAAGAGGCACGCCTCGCGGCCGAAGCGGAAAGCCCAGAGCCCAATAAGAATACTTCTAATAAGCCTAGACAGGTGGAGACTGGTGAATCCTCCCGTTCCGCCTCTTCTGAACTGCCTGCAGCGCTGGATTCAACGGCAGCGGAATCCGACCAGGATGGATCTGACTCGGATGTTGTGAATGAGAGCGATGTGTCGATGAAATACGAGTACGACTCGGACGAACAATAATGCAGATGTAGCCTTGCTTGAAGATACCCTACCCTGCTTTGCTTTTCTTAGCTGAGTCTGAATATAAATACAAATGTTCAATAAATGCTATCACTTGGTTTAACTAGAGCTCATCTTTCCTGTCAGAATCAACAACGGCCTGCTCGCCTGCGACCCGACTAGCCAAAGCAGCAATCTCATCATCATAAACCGTCCACTCGGGAACCTGTCTCCTTGCCCTGTCCAATTTAGGCTCCTTGGTAAGAGGGTTGTTGCACAGATCGATCGTCTTCGCTTGGCCCAGGTCCTCATCCGCACACCACGTCTCACACCACAGCCACTCCTGCGGCAGACTGTGGATGGGGATATGGTGCTGCATGTGGTTGGGCAGATCTTGGTCGAGGTTGCTGAGACTGTTGGGGTCTGACGAGAGCATTTGGTACTGTCCACGAAGACGGTCGCCAGCGGCAAGTTCGCGGAACCGTTTCAGGTCGACCACGTACAAGGCCGAGATGTGGTAGGGCTTGCCGCGGAGGAAGGTCGACCAGTAGCCTTGTTTCCAGAAGCGGAAGCCCTCCATTTCGGTGCGGGAGTCGCCCATCGGGGTGAAGCCGTAGGGTGCTCCTTGGAGGTCGTGGGTGACCAGATCGTACATGTCTGTGCGGACGATCTGGTCTGCGTCTACAAAGATGACCTTGTCCAGAGAAAGAGGGAAGAGCACGTCCAGGAACAGAATCTTGTAACCCCAGATCTCGCGTTGTTTTTCTTTCTGGGCGCGGAGCCAGTGCGGCCATTTGTAGGTTACCATCTCGTAGGAAAAGCCGTATTCCTGGGCGAGGGAGGGGAGGAAGGCGCGGAAGGAGGGGGAGAGGAATTGCTCAATGAACCAGAATTTGACGGTGTGCTTGGTGTGGCGCATGACCGAGACCATCATAATGTTGAGCATGCGCTCGTAGAGGTGTCCGCTGGCCACCGAGAAGATGTTGATGTCTGCGTGCTCCCCAGACTTGGAGCCGACGCCGACGCTGGACAAAACGCCCGATGCAAAGTTGAGTCCTTTGGCGAGATACTCCGTCGCTGAGCCTGGCTGGATTCCTGTCTCCAGGACATCCTCTTCCTCGTATCCCAGCTTGCGTGAGAGGCGGGGGAACAACGTCCGGCCGTGGAAGGACAGCAGAGCAACCTCCTTGTTCTCATCGCCCGTCTGCGGGCGGTACCCTAAAGCACCCACGCTATCGATATTGAAGAGTTTCTCGCTGCGGCCGGGCTTCAGATTGATTTGCCACAAGCCCGGTTGGGCCTTGAATTGGAAGTATCCCAGATTAGCCATGATGATCGTGTCTGTGACATAGTGGCTATTTTCTGTGCCAAGGGTAAGCTGAACACCCCTTGGTGGGGCCTTGGTGGTAGAATCACGGGAGTGGCCCTCGATCAGAATGTGTTCTAGTGCATAGATGGCGTCGATATCGGTACCTTTGACCGAGCTCAACTTGATGTTGTCCAGGTCGTATACCGACTCCTTGGGTGCCACCAGCCAGGAAGAAGGAACATCCATGGCCAAAGTCAGCAGTGCCTCGACCGGCACACCGGTGAAAGACGCTTGGGGGCGAGCCAGCGCCCCGTTGTCGGTGAACGATGGCTCTGATTCCAGCACATAGCGGTAGAATCGCTTGACGGGTAGCTCCTTGAGCTCCTCTTTCGGGTTCAAGAATATTTTGACCTGAACACCAGAAAGCTCCGAGAGAACCTTGAGAATGGGCAGCCATCGCTGGGCGACTTCAGATGCCGGGTCCAAGGAAACAGCAACGGTAATCGCGTGGTCATCGGAGTTGGATGTGGTGATGACGGAGAGTTTTGTCCTCCACTTTTCGGACACGCTCATTCTATAATCAGGCGTATTTTCGAAGATGCCCTCGGGGACATCTGAAATGGTGGAAAGGGCTACGAGCGACGTCAGTTTGGCGAAATCGAGAGTACTCGATATCTTGGTATCCAACCCAAGTTCGGCGACGGCCTGGGCAACGAAGTCGAGGCGTTTGACCCTTTCATAGTCAATCAATTGGCCCAGTTCGCTGACACTCAACGGGGAGTCTTTTTCGATGGGGCCAACTGCCCTTCCGTTAACAACGAGGCCCTCTGCGCCAGGTGGGAATCCAAGTTCTTTAGCTAGGTGCGATTGAGCAAATATCTCGTCTGAAGATTCGGACGGAGAGATCTGGGACAGTATTCGCTCGAGACTTTCTCCCTCGCCAAGCGCACGGGAGATTGTAATCAGATTATTTGACAGGGTTTCAGCATTGTGCAGCAGGAGTAGCTCCACATCAGTACGCTCCTTTCGAAGAGTGGCAGCATCGGCGAGGAGTTTCAAGCCTTCTTCCGACTCGAAGTTTCCCACGACGATCATATGAACGCTCTTTAGAGCACTCCGGTCCGAGGGAATGCGAGGAAGCGTGCTCAGTGCATCTTTGTTCGATCCAAGTATGTTAGCAATATCCACTATCTGGACACTCTTGGGATCTTCGGGCATGAGGAATGTATTGCGTCGCTCGAATGCGCCAGCTAAGAAGAACTCAGGAAGCCAGGCATCTTCCTCAAAGACACCTTGTACAATGCCCTGTTGGATCAACTTCAGGTCTCTGCTGATCTGCATGCTTAGTCCTTGCATCCAGTTTCCTTCACGGGAGACCGGAATACCGTTGACCAATAAATGAGGCACATCGCCGCTGAGACTCAAGCGGCGCTGGTACGCAATTGTGTAAGGTACTAGCGCACTGTACTTCTCGCTCTTCAAGACTTGATCGAGAGACAATGATTCATGGCTACCAACGACGGCGCGCTCCTTTGTCGCAGACTGGAAGCATGACTTGTCTGGGAATCCTCGTTTGCCCTTGGAGGCAAACTCTTCAAAGTATTGCATGAGTGACTCCAGGCCATAGGCATCAAACAGATAGTGTGCTACCTTGAGCTGTGCAATGGACTCTGATGATGAGCTGGTCGGTACCAGGCCGAACTTTACGGGAATTCCTCGATTGATGAACATTTGGAGGTTACCAGCGACAAGCATCATGTCTTCTGGGTTAGACAAGTCCACAGGCGCCACAACGTTGTGCAGGTCTCGTCTGACTGGAGGCAGCTGTCCAGGATGGACGCTGGAAATGTACGCCTCGAGGTCACTCGGCCAGGTCTCATATCTAGAATCTTGTTCCAGATTGTTCATCCAGATAATGGCCTGGTTCTCTTCCATGTCGTCCCGATAATCATACCGTTGCTCCTCCCCGCCAGCCTGGGCTTCGGTGAGGAGGCGATGAGACAGCAGCTTTACGGCATCGTTGGCTGAGAGACCCAGATCGCGGAATTTATCAATCAATTTTCTCTCCCGGCGCAGATGCTCGAGCAGGGAGAATGCATCGATCTGGCCTGAGTCCATCTGTACACCGTTGATCCACATGGCATTGTACCCGCCTGGTAGCATCTTCACTCGGTTATGCCGGATTTCTTGGGTCATTTCTCCTGAGTGGTCGTGGGAGGCTACGATGGAGGAATACTTGGGGAAATTCTGAGACATTTTGATCAACGTTTCCAGAGGATCAGCGCTGTCCATAACGTACGCCGCAGAGTTCAAGCCTAAGCGGGTCACTTCTGAGGCAGACAGAGGCCGGAGGTCATCCGGGGCTTCTTCCTTGACCGGGTCACCCGCTGGCTCAAGCTTCTCGGCATCACGGTCATCGATTACAATGTAATCCGTTCTCTTCAAAGCAAGCTCCACGCCGTATCCAGACACGAACAATGGACGGGGAATCCAGTGCTGAGGAGGTCGGTACCGCACCCGATACGAGATCTGTCCCTCTTTGGCCATGTTGGTCAAAGTTTCATGGAAATCCTTGAACGTTGGGGAGGAAATATCTGCGTATAAGACAGTTGGGGGGAGTGTCTCATCGCCCAGTACGCGGTCAAAGGGTAGTTCTCTAGGATCTCTGGCAGGAGGTTAGCTTTTAGCGCTACAAAATAGAAGATACACCCACAAATCCCCATCAATATCTTGTTGTGCGCGCTCCATTGCAGAAGAGCAATACTGCTTGCCCTCTGAGTGGACCCAGACCGGACAAACTGCATCTTGAGCAACCATCAACGACTGCTGGACGGATGTGTTGTAGAATTGGTAGTGGGCTTCAATTCGCGGCGCCGAAGATCGGACCGAGAGCGACAACTTGAAGGACGAAAGGCTCTCAGAGCTTCGCAAATGGCCATCGTCCTGGACGACGGTCAAGAAACGGTCGTAGAGTTCCTTCTCGGTGGTGAGGTCCTCGAAGGTGCCGTCGGCGATGCGATCCAGCAAAGGGAAGTAGGAGGTCGCGTTTTCTTCGGCGGCAGATTCCCTACGTTCGTTAGGATTCGTCTGATATTCTGGCTGGAGCGAGCGACATACAAGAGCTCGACGAGGTATGGGGCCGAGTCAAAGGAGGCTTGGAGCGCCACGTTCACAGCCGGGCTAGCATTCACAATACAGCCCGGTAGTAAAGCTCCAATGGCAGCATACCACCGCCAGGAGATGCAAGATCCTGTAGAGGCCCTCATTGTCATGCAATGGAGTGTGGGGGACGTGTATATGTTGTTTTGGTATAGGGGGCAGGTGGTGTGATAGGTTGATTTGGCATATGTCTTCTAATTCACAAATATGCAGGTTGATTCAACTGCGAGCATCACGGGCCAAATGAGCCAGAGCTCTTTCCAAAAAGACGGTAGTGAGATCGAGGATAATCGGCTGATCTGGACACTTGGAGGGTTTCATTATCTCTTATCGCAGCTTCTACGGCGAGCAAAGCGGCAACTGCCGCAATCTCCGAGTGGTTCTACTATTGACTGGTCTTCGTGGTACGGGATAGGCACTTAACATGGAAAATGATTGTGAAAGATACAGGTAAGAATAATTCTGAGCTGAAATCCAGCTATTGGAAAGCGATTTGTTAAAAAAAAGATAAGAATAATTTTGAGCTGAAATCCAGCTAGTTGACGCTATCATGAGGACATTAGTCGTAAATGAACACCCCCATATGCTTCCTTTCCGAACGCCGCCTGTTTCGAAGCAAACAGGGCAAATCACATATATGCAGTCCAGCTGGCTCTGTACAACAGAGGCTAGTACATTGAAGAAAAAAAACTGTCGTTTCATTCGAATTTTGGGCGCAGGGGGCGGCTGCGGCAGGAGTAAAGTGAAGAATCGGATGAAAAGTGATCAGGGGGGGGGGAATCCTCTTGTGTGTCGTGAGTTTAGATAGCCTGGCCAATGGTCTGCGCTTCCGCTTCCGCAGCCTCGATGGCCTTGCGAGCCTTGGCCTCCTCAATCAGGCGCCGGCGCTTCTCCTCCGTCAAGTCGAATGGCATTTTGTTGAATTCGATCGAAGTCTTGGTGCTGCCAGGGCGGCTCCTGATATCCTTGAAGGACTGCATCTTCTTCAGGCTGCGCGAAAACTCCTTTTTCTGTTCCTTCTGCTGCTCTTTCACGGGGTCCTTCTTCTTTCCCCAGGACATGCTGTGCGCGAATCGCTCCAGGAAGGAGCCGTGCTTGCTTGGGCCATCACTAAGCTCCGGGAAGTTGGGAAGAGGCTTTTCGGCATCCACAGAGTGGGAGCTGGCAGGACGGGGTCCGAAGCTAATACCGGAGTCGGTACGACGCTGGTGTCCGGACTTGTCGACCTGAGAGGGCTCATTGATCAATGCACAATCTTCGATCACCTCCACGACGGCATCCAGGTATCGAGACATGGCATCGTAAAGAGCAGGCCATGCGTTTTCTTCACCAGGTCGGGCGCCTTGAGCCATGACTGGTTCCAAGATCTCTGGGTTGGCTTCGAACCCGGTAATAAATCCGAAGAAAGCGTCACGGTGTTTCTCGAGGATCTTAGGGGTCAATTGCTTAGTGGGGGTAAGGCTGTCGTAGCGAACAGGAGGAAGCAGAGTGTTGAGAAGAGCGAGGCAGTTGGCTTTGTCGAATGGGTCTAGCATCATCTCATTGACCAAGACCCAGCGGCGAAGGCCGACATAGACCTGGGTATACAAGGCATCAATCGTGTATGCCTTTTTGTTGATTTCTCTGTACCATTCCATTACACCGGGGTACTTGCGAGCCAGCTCAGATTGCTGAGGGTCTCTGGCATCCTCGGGATTAACATTGAGACGTCGGAAGGCGGCGTCAATCTCCTTCTTCCAGCGGTTCTGGAGATCCTTCAAATAATCAAGAGCAGTCAAGGCCTGATTAAAGTCGACAAGAGACAATTCCAAGCAGAAACAACGGCGCACAAAAGAGACGATAAAGCTTGGAGGAAGCGAACAGGGCTGAGAAGGCAGCTCCGAAACAGTTCTGGTCAAATAAGCACGGAACTCGGCATTAGCGTCGTAGGAAGCCGTGTCGTAGGAAGAGCCGGAAGATCGGTTCTTTGAGTAGGAAGAGTTGCGCGAGAAAAGAGAGGAAGAGCGAGAAGTAGCGAAAGTAGAGTTCCCCATTGCGGCAGCACTTTTTGCGGGGTGGCAATTGAGTTCGTATGCAGCACGAAGCGAAATTTCGTAATTATCGGCGTAACGCAAGCAATGATCAAAAATCCACGTCAAAGCTGAGCCATCGGCACATTGTTCTTGAGACATGCTATTGCGTTGGAAGGAATTCGAAGGAACGTCGAGGCGAGAGCTTAGTGTTTGGTGGAAAGAGTGTTGCGATGAAAAGAGTGTAAATCAAGCCGTCCAAAGCAGTAGTTATGGTCGCCCGTGTTGACAGGGTAGAACCGTGGCTGGGATAGGTCAAAAACACCTCAAGGGGGTGCGGAGACCTGACACGCCCAAATAGGCCAGGGGAGCTGATAATGATGCGCACGGTTGGTCGGACCGAAGTTTGAGCTAAGACACCCAAGGAGGCCAAACAAAGAGAAAAGCTTTAGCGGCTGGCGAGTACTTTTTGTTATCCCTTGGGGAAACCAAGGTCCAATCAGGTTGCAAGATCTCTACGATCTCCTGCACGCCAGATCTGATGTATGCAAAAAAGAGTCGGACGTGGAAGCAAAGGCTAGCTTCCGACTGAAACGGTGAGACAGGTCTTAAAGCCCTTTAGCGAATGTGAGATGGGATGAAAATGATGAAACTGTGGTTGGGAAAGAAGGAGAGTGGATGATGGATTGTCGAGGATGGAGAGATTCGAAATGATGAAATGGAGGGGGAAACAACCCATACAAAAAGGCGCGACTGCTCGCTCTAAAGCCTGGACCGATCCGAATAGTGGAGTTTTTGAACACCAAATTTGTTTATTTTTTTTTTTCGTTTTTGCGTTTTTTCTTCTTCCTTCCAATTCTTTGTATTAAAAACCAGACTTCGGAGTACGATATTATAATAATAATAATATGACCAAGTCCAGATCCATGAATTCTAATTCTTTAAGGCACTACTCCACCTGCACCGACCCGTAAAAAGGTGAATTAGCTCCGATTGTATGCATTTCCATTGGTACATTTACCCATGTACGTACAGTAGGTATCCTGAAATCGCAACAGCCGTTGGCTTCCCATAATTTCGGGTGCCCCGCTAGTCTGCTTTTTCCGCTTTTCCTACTTAGGTAGGTTCTAAGCTGAACAAGTCTAGTCCGGTATTCATGATTGGGCTATGATCTACCTCTAGCTGTACTGTATCCTACTTGAGTGCACGCGGAACTTTACATTCGACCGGGAATTATTGGGGAAGCCGGGCAGCCGTTAAAATTAACAGAATTTTCGGCCCTGTCAGATTGATCTATGGCACTTTGTGTACTCCGTACTCCGTACTCCGTAGTACTTTGTGCAATCTTATTATGAATAGGACTGATCAATTTACAATAATCTACTCTAGCTAAAAATTTCAGCTTGTGTTGTGTAATGCATACTTTTGCCCCCCACAGATTGTGGCTTAGTTATGGCCACGTACTTTTTCATTTGCCTCTGACTAGAACATGGCGAACATGGCGAACATTGCCACGAACCTATCTATTTTGAGGACTTCTATGTCACAACAAATTATCGTACGGAGTGCATATTATTACTTTATCCACGATTATTCTTAGATTCGATTACGATTCTCGCTTCGATCCCGAGGTTATCTTTGTGGGGCTTTCACACGCAACGCCCCTATGAAACCAGCGTGACCGTTGGGCCGGGTCCACACACACACAAAATAAAAACACAAAAAAGAAGCTGGATCTGTCACAGGGGAAACAGGAGGACAAACTTGATACAGGCAAATAGCCGTCAGTATGGAGTATTCCTTTGAGCATTATATCAAACATCAAACCTTCTAAGATTGGAAAAATGGGAAAATCAATAAACAACCATAATTAGAGACCTTTCCATGGTTCAATTCATGTCACTTTCAGGGTTCCGCGGTCTGCGCTTGGTTGCCTGAGGCCCAAATTTATGTACTCATTGCACTCACCTACATGTACTCCATACAGGGTACTCCAGGGTTGCTTCTAAGGTTCTTTGAGGTTCGCAGCTGCCTTGTGACATTTCATATGACAATTATACGGAGTACTTAAATATACGGCAAATATGCACTCACCCGGTGGTACTTACTTCCTTCTACAGTAAGAAAGACACCCCCATTGATCGACACACTGCCTAACTTCCGGCACCCTTTGACCTTCCCAAAATGGGTTAGCAATCACCTGACCGGCGTTCAGCTCGAGGCACCCGCCGATCCCCCGAGTCCAGATGCAATGATCGTCGCCGCCTTTGTTTGCTCCATATACGCTGATCAGCCTCAGGGGAAGTGTAGCCAGATCGCTTGGAGTTCTTCGGCGATCATTTCATCATCAAAGACACGGGATCGTGTTACCCACCGGCTAATAGGGTGAACGCCGGACCAAGCTTCAATGGACCCTGGGGCCTCGGTACCGGAAATGACGCCAGTGATCCTTTTCATTTCAGAGCTTTCATTCGGATCTACATAATCACTCCTGCGACGGACTAGCCAAACAACGATCCTTGAGCTGACTCCTTTACACATCATCCGCAATGGAGTTTCCGTTGTTCTCATACTAGCGGTGTCAGGGGTTAGGGATCTTGTTTAGAAAAGAATTAAGTGTGGGTGTGTCTTTCCCACAGTTATATCTAGTCTGATGTGGCCCTTGAGTATCTAAGTTGATATTGCGAGGACAAATATACAGACCACAGCATACAATCGATTCAATTTGACTGAGTCGATACTAGACGACCGTGTGTTCAAGTAAGTGGTGAATATAGTAGGAACTGTATACAATCTGGTTGGACATAGTCTAGCACTTGCGCTTGTTCTCACTGATTATGCATAGATAGCTTTACCCTTGGAGACCAGTGACCAAGCGTTGTCCCTTACACCTTTTGGATGAATTCGTTCTTACACATCATCCGCTTCCTCGATAGAGTAGACCTCCAACTGTGCGATCATGGTGCGAGCGGGAATAGTCACACAGATCGGGAAACCACCGTAGTCGGGATCTTCATTCGGCATCATAGCGAAAATCCCACTCCTTGTCTCATCACCGTTCAAAACACGCAAAGTCTGCAACTCACCGCTCTCTTTACCAACGATCTTCTCTTCGAAGCGCAGAAACCCGGTAAAGGTACTGGTAGGTGATAGAGCGCGTGCTCGGACCTGGAATCCCCATCCTATCAAAAGGAACCTTGGCCCACCGAGGTGGATGACCATGCCAGCACCCGGTCCGGCCTTCCCAAACACAAAGCACCGTTCGACAGTTATCTCATACCCACCCCATTGCTTTACAACAGGCTTGGACGAGTCCGAATTGTCCTCATTCAATTCATCGAAATAGAACCCAACTGAGGAATTGGGGCGCGTCTGTGCATCAAGCACAATCTGGGAGACCGATTTCAGCAGCCCATAGTGCCGAGTAAACGGGTTGGTGCTGGGTTCCAATGTGTCGATTCCAAAAGGCGAGACACCAATCGCCTGGTAAGAGCCATAGGCAGTCCAGATCCGTCGCGCGCCGTACTCGTCCCGACGCTGCTCGGGGATGAACAATGGCTGGTTGCGATGTCGGTATTTGCGGCAAGAACTGGCATAGTCATTCAGGTAGACGTCCGGTGCGATAAAGTCCAGCGACGGTGCGAAACGCTGCCAGACGTCGAGGACATTGCTGGTGCCGCCGCCGGATGGGTAGTCGCCTGGTTCTCCGCCGCCTCCAACGACCACAGGGAAGTTGTTATCGCCGTCGTCACCGACATAGTTTTGCCAGACATTTGTGTACAGCGGAATGGGGAACTCTTTCTTGCCTGCTGCGGCAACCTTATTCAGGTAATGGGCATAGTTGTATGCCATGAATAGCTCGTCTGTGTGTGAACTCTTTCCAAAGACTTGTTCCCACGTTCCGCGAGAAATTTTTTGAGCCTTGAAGTGCTTAAGGTTTGCTTTGAGATCGACGTGAAGTGCTTCCCAGTCCTGGGCCAGGAATTGCACGAGATCTTCGGGGACAGATTCGTTGAATTGCTTCTCGGCGGCTGCGGATCCGTCGCGGGAATCACCTAGCAAGCCGGTCTCGTTCTCGACTTGAACCATGACGACGGTTGAGTGGGCTTCATCACATTCTTTAATATGGCGCAGCAGAGTAGAGAACGCTTTGGCATCGGCCTTGCAACCTTCCTCATGGAAGATGGACAAAACGTCGCCTGTCTTCAACACGCCACCGGCCTTGCGAAGTTTCGCCCGAGGGAATCGCTTGGTGTCTGTCTTGACCCATGGTGGCACGTATGTGGAGATGCCTACGTCGTTAGTGAAGATTGATTTGCGGGAGTCTCAACATACCATTTTTGAACGAACCAAACCACAGCAGCACAAGATGCAAACCATGCTTCCTAGCTCCCAAAATGATCTTGTCCAACTCAGAAAAGCTGAATTGGTCCTCTACCGGCTCAATGTTCTCCCAAGTGACACATCCTAAAACAGTGTTGACGTTGGTATCAACAAGCTTCTGCCATACGGTGTCCATATATTCAGCAGAGGTCAGAGAAGAGTTCTGTAGCTCCCCAGCAAGTGAAAGGAAGGGCCGGCCATGGACAACAAGTTGCTGGCCAGCGTCTGTCTTTCGGAGGTGTGGTATCTCAGTAGAGACGAGCATAGTGTGAGGTGTAATTCAAAACAAAAACTGTCAATGAACTGGGGAAAGACCCATGTCAGAGTCCTTCTTTATACTTACTCTACCCCTCATTAAGCTCCGGAGGCACAGCATGTTGTGCGAGTGCCATGATATCTGAAAGTCCACTGGTTGCAGCCGTTCGGCTTTGATGCCCGATAATTGGGACGATATCCCGCAGCATCATTCGATCGGCTCCAATCTCCCCGCACCTTGACAGGACGTTGCGGGAATGAATGTTTGTCATTGGTCGAAATCCCGTAACTTTAAACGTGGCGCTCCTCCGCAACACTATTTCTATTTGGGAAGAAATCCGGGGTGACTAGAAAGTATATGGCCACTTATCCCAGGCATTGAAAGGTGTCGGATGATACATTTTTAGAATGTATCATGCTATATAAGATTCTCTCGTGGCCCTCAATACTTTTGCTAAAACGAGTTTCTTCTAGCACATTCAACATGAGAAACTCAAACGATATTGAGACAAAGGCTAGTGTGGCCCATTCGGAGTTTGTATCTATTAGGCCTGCTCCGATGGAAGCCCCTCAAGTCACTTGGTGGAAGCATCGAGGCTTGCGCAAGCTTTACCCGATGATGCCTATTCTGTTTCTTGGGTCCACGATCAATGGGTACGATGGATCCCTCTTGAATGGGCTACAAACAATGGCCCCCTGGCAAGACTGTGAGTGTCAACGACCCTTTCAAATTTACATGCTGATACTCGAGAAGACTTTAACAATCCAAGTGGCTCTACGCTAGGGCTGTTCACGGCAATTCAGAACATTGGTGGCATATGTGCTTTGTTCTTTTGTATGTTGTTTACCGTGCCTCCTGGTTCAATCACTGACCTGGCAGCCTCATATATCGCCGATTTTTTTGGACGAAGAGCTGGTGTGACACTCGGCTTGCTGGTTTTGTTTGTTGGAACAATCATCCAAGTTGTCCCTTCCGTCAACTCCAACATGTTTTTGGCAGGAAGATTCCTTGTTGGTCTTGGGTTGGTACATCTTTTCCGATCATTTCAACAACACTAATTGTTAGATCCAATGTGAGCCAAGGATCTGCTCCTCTACTTATCACCGAGCTTGCCTATCCTCAACACCGCGGAAAATTGACAACCATGTACAACACACTATGGTATCTTGGGTCAATCATTGCTGCGTGGACGGTGTTTGGAACTATAAAATATACCTCAGAAGCTGCATGGAGAATTCCAGTTGGTATGCAGGCAGCCATGCCACTCGTACAGTTCATTGGTATCTGGTTTCTCCCAGAGAGTCCTCGCTGGCTCTGTGCCAAGGATCGTCCGGACGAAGCTCTGGATGTCTTGATCAAGGTATGCACATATTTCTCGTGGGTATCGACATGGCTAACTCCACTAGTACCATGGGGCTGGCAATAGAGACGATGCCTTCTGTGCATTCGAGTTTCACGAAATCCAACAGACAATCATGATGGAAAAGCACAACTCCAATTATGGATGGCAAGTGTTGTTTCAGACTCCAGGCAACCGAAGGCGACTTTTGCTTATCGCGTTGGTGTCTTTCTTCTCGCAGTGCTCAGGCAATGGGTTGGTGTCGTATTACCTTCATGACATCCTGGAATCGGTCGGTATAACATCTTCCTATGATCAATCTATGATCAACGGAGCCTTGCAGATCTGGTCTCTGTTGGTTGCCGTCGGCTTCTCCTCTTTTCTTGTCGATACTCTTGGTCGGCGGCCGCTGTTTATGATTGCTGGAGTTGGCATGTTAACCAGTTTTGCTATATGGACTGGGTAGGATGTACCCGATATTAACATAACGCACTTACTGACAAATTCCAGCTGCTCTGCGGTATACGCTCAGACAGAGAATTCTAGCGCTGGTTCTGCAGTCATTGCCATGATCTTCCTCTTTTATGGAGTTGCAGGATTTGCCTGGCCCGGACTGACCGTGGCGTATCCGGCTGAGATCCTTCCTTTCCACATTCGAGCCAAAGGCCTCGCTGTCGGAATGGCATTGACTGCTGCATCATCTGTATTCAACCAATATGTCAATCCCGTTGGTTTGGAGGCTCTACAATGGCGATTCTATTTTGTCTATATCGCTATTCTCATTGTTGAATGTTTCTGTATATGGTTTCTTTTTGTGGAAACCAAAGGCCCAACACTCGAAGAAATCGCTTCATTGTTCGACGGTGATGATGCAGATGTTGCAAGCAATGGACGTGACACCAAAGCACAAACCTCGGAAAAGTAGTTGTGTGGTCATTCTGGTCGAAGCATCGACAATGCATCTCGTGCATACTGCCCTCGTTCTGCAAAATCCGATCCCGCCGGTGTTCCTACTTGTTCTTCAATGGGCAATGCATGATGAAGCAGAAACTTTACAGTCCATCTGTCAACGGTATACATACTGTCCATTGACTGCATGCACATTTTCTGAAATGTGAATAGCCGGTCCATCTTTCAAATTAGCAGATAACTTGAATATATCAAAATGAACTTACCATTAGATCCACTCCAGGCCAATATTGTTTTAGTTTTAACAATAGCTCGAAATTGAAGCACAGCCGTTTTCGTGTGTCTAGAAGCTCATCTTGGCTTCCAAACAATAAAGTGTGCAACAGCGCAGAAGAGGACACGACAGTCATGTGGGCAACAATGAGATAAAAGGCTTCGCAATTTTCCGTCTCGTGCGATAATCTCAGCATGTCACTAAATGAAGCTGCGTGGTACTTGCATCGAGCAACATATATAGCGCGACTTGGTGTCTGGCCAAGCTGGGTATCAAAATATTGAAAGTAAAGAAGTGTAGCATAGTGGTGGTACCCCAGATGGAGTGCTATAAATGCTCGTCCAAGGTCTGCCGCAGCGTGAAACTTGAGGTTGTCCACAGTAAACTGCAGATTTGACGGAAGGTCGTCCAAGAATCTGTCAAGCTCCCGGGCCAATGATTCAGTGATCTCTTCCATATGCTGCTCATTCAGCTCTCCGTCTGCTAATCTGACATGGAGATCTTGAATCTCGCTGAATATACGCGCAAGCATGACCATATATCCCCAAAGACCGATCCCGAATTGGTAGTCGCTTTCAACTCTCTGTCCTGGTTCAAGACACCAGAATAAAGTTTCGGCCATTGGGAGGCGGTGGCACTCTTTGTCATGAATTTGGCGAGGGAGGTTGAGGCCTGCTGATGACCAAGTGTCAATCATATAAAGAGACCACCATGTTCGTATTTTGATCTCTTGCATGATGCTGTCATCGGCGGGTTCGGGTTTCGGTAAATGGAGGACATGTGCCATACGAAAGGCAACCCCTAAATTCATTAGTCAGAGAGCATCAATATCTTCAATGAGTACTTTTACCGAAAAACAAAGCCTCGCCTGCAGTTTCACCTTCTGCACCGCATAGATTCCCAATCAAGATGCTTGCGTGGATTGCATCAATGCTGACACTATCAATGTCCATTTTCAAGCAGAGTTTAGCAAGTTGAAAGAAATGCTTTGTCTTTTGTTGCACTTCTTGGTCGTCAGAAAAGCTGGCAGATGTCAGCTCCATTGCGCTTTTTATGCTGTTATACTCACCGTGCTGCCAGTGCCATGATGCTATATATAATTGCCCGAGGTAAATTTCCGTGCCGCAGTCGTCTTTTTAATGAATTCGGGTTGAACAAAGTGTGTGGTTTGTCATGGATGAGCCTCAAGTAAAGGTCCATCAATGATTCTGCCAACTCTTGGTTTGGTGTGTCTGTTGTTATTTGTGACTCCAAGGTAAGGCTCTTCTTACTCAAAAGAGTGGGAAGATTTTGGTGTCTTTGCGGAGATCTTTCGAAAGAACAGTTCTTATTCTGTTTCGAACATTGTTGGCAGGGTAAACCCACATGCTCCACGGTGCATTTTCGTTTACCAGCTCTGCACCGTATACAAGATGTGGGAGTCTTCATTGTAGAGCTTTGTTTATATCACTTAGATGCTATAGTCATAAGCCGGGAAGCCCAAGCGAGCAAAAGGAGGGGAACGCATCACGTGGGCTTATAGTTCGAGAGACTTAAAATGCATATGTATATATCATAATAAAGCGACGAGCTTGAGACATCACTTGGGCATCAAAGCTCAGTCTTCGCTCCCACCCAAGCACCACTTTCTTCTTCCTGGTTCTGCCACGATTGGAACATAAGAGTAGCCACATTCCGTCCCATTAGCGCACTAATCTCCATTGTTGATATGAAGCGCTCAATGCCACCCGTGTACCCTATACGAGGGGCTCATGGAACCAGCCAACATTGCATTTCGAGATATCTGCAATAGTCCCATTGCTATTTACAGCTTGGCTATCCAAACCAAGGATGTCTGCAATGAATCCAGCTATTGGTTGCTCTGGCGAGAATAACTTATAGACGTAATGGGATTGGGTTTCCTCGGATTGGGCGCTCCGCTCGCATATGTAATTATTAGTTGCTCTTTCATTTCCCTTCTGCGTGTTCCCACCCAAGTTGAACTCGTTGGCTGAAACTCCCCATACCCCCAGCTGCCCTGTTCTACATTCGTTCATATATCGTTAGAGATACCTGCTCGCAAGAATCATCATGACACTTCCTTCCAGAGAGAGTGACTTCGATGCCCGATACCTCCGTCGCCTGGTAGGGACTAAGTTCACTACCTTTTCTGACTTCGACCCCCTGCGACAGCCGTCTGATGTCTCTTTTTCCGCGTCTCCCATCTCTCTCTCTGCGGCCCGAGATGCCTACGTCGTTGGTGAAGATTGAATTGCGGGACTCTCAACATACCATTTTTGAACGAACCAAACCACAGCAGCACAAGATGCAAACCATGCTTCCTGGCTCCCAAAATGATTTTGTCCAACTCGGAAACTGTTGATGAACTGGGGATAGACCCATGTCAGAGTCCTTCTCTATACCTTCTCTGTCCCTCATTAAGCTTCGGAGACACATCTTCCAGTTATTCTGATAACCAACAAGTGCAACGAAAGACACAGGAATCCTTTCAAAGTGCCTTAGTGACTAAATCGAGGGTCCACACTAACGTCGTATAACCCATCGTGGTGTAGTGTTGTTGACTGGTCCCTGATTCAACGCTTCACACCCTATGTGAAAGAAACACTGTCTGCTAGAGACAACAGGGGGATTTTTTGCGCGCCTGTCGTATGTGGTAGACGATTGAACCACCGGAGAATACTCGATCCTCCATATGCCTTGGCTATTAACGAGCTGCCTTAGGAAGATCGTCTTGTGGTAGTCACTGATGAAACCATACACAGAGCCCAAACTCTGCATGTACCTAATTGGCTGAGCGAGTATGTTCCTTAGCTGGTGGTTGTTGTTGAGCTTATCGAACAGGAAGTGCTCGTAAACCCACGGTACCTTGAGCTCCCCGACGACCTTTAAAATGCGATTGACATCTTTCATGATCACATCAGGTGTGCCGGCAAAGGAAGACTGTACGCACTTGAAATCTGCAAAGCGTATTTCCTTTGACTGTGATGTGAAGATAGAGTTGAGCACGTCGCCGAAGTATTTGTGGAACCGGCCTTGGACACTAGTTTCGTCCCCAACCTCGACGTTCCCGTGAGTATAGGGGTCTCGTGTCTGAAGTGTCAGGCCTAGGACCTTATTGCGCCAGGTATGGCTCTGGTGTGTGGTCTGCACAGCGCTCAAAAACCCCGGCCATGGCTGAAGGTCACCAGTAAACTTGAGATCGTGTAGGGCGCTTGATTGTGTACGGTATAAACCGAGTTCGAGATTCGGCGCCGGGGACTCGACTAACTTCTTCGGGCCGATATGAAGCGCGGGACGAGGCATTTCGAGTGATCTGTTTATCTTGACGATGAAGGCTATTAGCAACATCCCGAGTGAGCAGGCTGTACTAACACATACCACAAAGAGTGTGTATGGAGTAACGAGTGAGTGTTGAGAGCTTAGCTTAAAGGCTAAGAGCAGGGCTATGCCAAATTGGTCCTTCCATGTACGTCCAGATCATCACATTTGGCCAGTCTTGTGCATTTTTGGAAAATGATTTGACATCTGGTTTGTGCTCATTACAGAGTTTCAATCAGGATCAAGTTCAGCTAAAAAGCAGAATTGGTTTGAGCCAGAAACTGTACAATACGACTTCAAAAGATCCAGTAGAGACCCTCTCAGTTTCTAGGTAGGAATCACAACCCCTAAAAATAAATGAAACCTTCGACTTGCATAACACTTTTGACGGAAAGTGGCAATCTAAGCTTAATCTGATACTCACTAATTGAAACTTTGTTAACCTTTTATAACTCCCAATCCTTCAGGCGAGAACGCCAGTTCCTATCATCGCGTGGCTTAGCCAGCGCGTACGAGATATAAAGGGTGTCTGACCATTGAATTGTATCACAGATTGGCCATCCCATTCGAAACCCCGAAATGCGACTGAACTCATTAGAAAAATTCCCAATATATGTAGAATCCTTAACGTACACCTTGCCAGTGGACTGATCATAGATGATCTTCGAGATTCTAGGCTGCTCTGGTTGTATACCGCAACGCAGCATCTCCCTGTTGTTTGTATTAGCGTTTTGTCTGTCTGCCATCTTGGGCTTGCGTAAACTGACTCATAGGCAACACGAAATTTGGCACGAATTTCCTCTCGTACAAGGGGACCCAAGCTCCAGAAAAATTCTTCTGTAAGAGGCTCCCCAGGCACCTTTTCCCATACGAGGTACTTAACATAGCCACCAGGAACGAGACCATATTCCCCTTGCATTTTTTCGCAGTAACCAAGGAAACGTGGAACAGAGCTACAGCCTCGACTCATCAATTGCTTAAACGCCTCTAGTTCACCACACACCTCATGGGGTTGGATTTGTTGGGATAGTGTAGTCAGATCAGCGTCCTCCGTCCCAGTGATAGGAATCTGATAATACATTCGCATAAACGCTACCTGCGTCGGATCCTCCTCTAGATGGCATAGAAACCTGCCAACTGTCATAGGAGACCCAACGCCCTTGTCGACGTCTTCCTGTACGAGATGAACAGCCCTCTCCGAGAGCTTTGCCGTGATGGTCCACGAGCGGCCGATCCTAGGAGGAGGCGGACCAGAGGTAGAAAGGGTAGGAGCCGTAGCGGAGGAGGCCGTAGTAAGTAAGGCCGAAGCGAGGAAGTCCGTAGCAAACGAGGCCGGAGGGGGCGAGGCTGCAGGAGGAGAGGCTGCAGGAGGAGAGGCTGCAGGAGGAGAGGCTGCAGGAGGAGGGGCCGCAGAGAGAGAGAGGTGATAGACGCGGAAGAACAGACATCAGACGGCTGTTGCAGGGGATCGAAGTCAGAAAAGGTAGTGAACTTAGTCCCTACCAGGCGGCGGAGGAATTGGGCACTCTGTCTGGAAGGAAGTGTCATGATGATTTTTGCAAGCAGGTACCTCTGGCGATATGTGGACGAAGGTAGAATGGGGCAGTTTAGAAGTATGGGAGGTTTTAGCCAACGAATTCAACTTGAGTGGGAGCACGCCGAAGGGAAGCGAAAGAGCAACAAATAATTACATACGCGAGCGGAGGCCAAGCTTTATAAAGTGGAGTGATTTACAGGGGCTAGTCCCGATTATCACGCTTAAAGTTGCAGGATTACGACCAATGACAGACATTCATTCCCGCAACATCCTCCAACTTGGATCATTATCAAGGTACCGGGAGTTTGGAGCCGATCGAATGATGCTGCGGGATATCATCCCAATCATCTAGCATCAAAGCCGAACATCTGCAACTAGTGGATCGTCAGATATCATGGCACTCGCACAGCATGCTTTCAGCTCTATTGCACTTCTTATGTTATTATACCTCACCAGGCTGTCAGTGCCATGATGCTAAATGTGATTGCCCGAGGTAAATTTCCATGCCGCAGTCATCTTCTTAATGAATTCGGGGTTGAACAAAGTATGCGGTTTGTCATGGATGAGCATGAAGTAAATATCCATCAATGATTCTGCCATCTCCTGGTATGGTGTCTCTGTTGTTATTTGTGATCCCTAGGTAACTCTCTTACTCAAAAGACTGGGGAAGCGTTTGGTGTCTTTGCGGAGATCTTTCGAAAGAACAGTTTTATTATGTTTCGCACATTGTTGGCAGGGTAAGTCCACGTGCTCCACTGTGCATTTGCGTTTACCAGCTCTGCACCGTATACAAGATGTGGGAGTCTTCATGATAGAGCTTTTTGGTGTCAGACAGATGCTATGGTCATGAGTCAGGAAGCCCAAGCGAGCGAAAGTAGAGAAATACATCACGTGGGCTTATAGTTCGAGAAACTGAAAATGCATATACATATATCTTGATAAAGTGACGAGCTTACGACATCATCAAAGCTCAGTCTTCGCTCCTACCAAAGCACCACTCTCTTCTTCCTGGTTCTGCCACGATTGGAACATAAGAGTAGCCACATTCCGGCCCATTAACGCACTAGTCTCCATGGTTGATATAAAGCTCTCAATGCCACCCGTGTACCATATACGAGGAGCTAAGAGAGTATCTTCAAATGTCACGCGCGGGTAGAGAACAGGGTATGGGTTCCACAGCTTCTCATGGAACCAGCTAACATGGCCTTTTGAGATATCTGCAATGGTTCCATTGCTATTCGCAGCTTGGCTATCCAAACCAAGGATGTCAGCAATGAATCCAGCTGTTGGTTGCTCTGGCGAGAATATCTTATAGACGTAATGGGATTGGGTTTCTTCGAAATTCGCGGTAGCATGATCCACTGTGCGAAGTGTGCTGATACTCCAGAACCTACTGGGTCCAACTCCTGCTGGATTCGACCCGAGATCAAGTCCCTCGGGGAGAGTCGTTAGAATAGTCTCGGGTACTAGATCATTTGAGTTTTGACCAAAGTACTGCGGCGAGATGCGGTGGGGAGATGCAAAGAGAGTAACGTGCAAATTCACATATGGAATGATATCTGGAGTGTGCTCCAAGGGAGGTTGGATTGAGATATCGGAGTACTGCAAAGGCCCGGCGATGACCACTTCATCAAATGTCTCATGCTCTTGGTTGGTAGCGATGTTGTGCTTTGATGAAATCGATACGGAGCCATCATGATTTTGTGCAATCTTGGTGACTGTGGTATTCATTCTGAGATCAGCAGCCGAAGCTGTCAATGCACCATCGAAAATGCGCCAATTCCCTCCCTCGATAGAGACAGCCCCATCCGTAGCCATACAGACAACCGACTCCAAACCATGAATCAATTGCAGGTTCTGGCCATAGTTGACTCGAGTGCTCGCCTGGATGATTTCCCTCGCAAACAGAGAGTCGATATCATTTACGTAGAGGAACTTTGCGCCCGGAAATGCAGTAGAATCCAACAGATCTGCTGCGGCGGCAGCCTCAGAAAGAGAACTAAAAGGAAACAAAGGTTCTTCGTATAGCCGTAAGAACCTCCCAACGATACTCTTGACCAAGTTCTGGGTGCGCAGTGGCGCCAGTCCATACCGCCAGAATAGCCGACCGATATTCCACCAGCTGTAGGAGTTCTTCAGCGTGAAAACAAACTGAGAGCCATCCCAAATCCCAATACTATCATCAGATTCTCTAGGCCGCGCATGGTCGGCGCTGTGAACGTTCAACCCAAGGTCGCGGGAAGCGTTGACCAGGTTGTAATTGACCTGGACAAATATTGAAGCGCCTAATTCGATGGGGTAAGCCGGGTCATCAAATACATTTACTGTTGTCGAACGGCCGCCAACATAAGATTCACGTTCATAGACCGTGATCTCGACAGGAGTATTTGTTTCATCCGCGAGCTTGCGCAATTGATACGCGGCAAATGAGCCCCCGGCCCCAGCTCCTATGGAGAGGTTTAGCCTCGGACAGAATGTGCGATTCATCGAAAAAGTTCCTACCAATTATCGCCACCCGTTTGGGAGGTGTTTTTACAGCTCCTCGCAACGGTTGCTGTTCTGTTGCATTGCTAAATGAAGCAAGCAAGACAGTGAGGAAGGAGTAAAATAAAAGCGGCATGTGCCGGGAGAAAGAAACCATTGTCATAATAACCAGCCGTTAGTGGGTTTTTAACTAAATGATAGAAGAATATAAGGCGAAATCTCAACCCTAAAGGTTGGACGTCAAGGTAGGATAGATCAATCGTAGTCAACCTTAGAAGGGAGGAGATGCCATGTAATAAGACCGTATTTTTACCATGCTGATACCACACTAGCCGAGTTGCGGACTAGCGTGGTTCCGTATCGCTTATCGCCATTTTTTTGAACGAGGGGTCTTTTGCAGATTCAATACCCAATTTACTTCGGCCTAAGCAATTGCACCAAAATGGATCCCTACGACAGTGATTCTAGCGGAGATGAAGACTTTGACGATACTGGTGTCCTGCTAGGATATGCTGCTGAAGAACTCATCGAAGACACAATCAGCCATCTTGGAGGCACTCCGGTACGTTTTACCACTGCAGTGTAGATGCAGTGTATAATCAGTCCAACTGACCGTCGCATTATTGTTTCAGAAATGGTTAGATGAAGCATCACCCGCACCTGGCGATTTCGCCAATTGCAAGGTCTGTCATAGCCCGATGCTGTTGCTCCTCGAGTTGCACGGTGACCTGCCTGATCAATTTCCCACCAACGAACGACGCCTGTACCTATTTGGCTGCCCAAGAAAACCCTGCAACCGGAAACCTGGCAGTATCAGAGCATTCCGCGCATCGCGCAAGGTCGCCATCGGCAGCCTACCGAAAAAAAGAGGAGGAGGCCAAGACAGAGGAAAAATCGCAGCCCAGTGCACCCGAACAACCCAAGCAGGACCTGGGTGCAAGCCTGTTCGGCGCAGCGAACCTGACCAGCAACATCTCCGCCAACTCAAATCCTTTCTCCTCCAGCTCCGGCCCGACACCCGCCGGAAGCAACCCGTTCGCAACACCGGCCTTGTCAACCCCAGCACCAGCAGCCGAGAAGCCCGCACCCTCCGCAAACAACTTGGCCGAGTCCTTCGCCGAAAAAGTGCGTGTCTCATCGCCGCCGCCCTCGGCTGCCACCAAACAAACGCCTGAATCAGTCACCGCTGCACCATGGCCCGAGCAGTCCGCATTCCCCCCGCCATACAAGAATTTCTATCTAGATGCCGAATACGAAACCATCTCGCGGCCATCAACACCTACAGTCCCGGATAATGTCCAAATGGAGCCTATGGAGGAGGAAGGCGCCGGCGGTGCCGAGCTCAAAGATACCTTTGAGTCCGAGCTCGACAAGGCCTTTATGAAGTTCTCTACTCGCCTTTCCCACAACCCGGAGCAGGTGCTGCGCTACGACTTCCGCGGTGCGCCGTTGCTGTACTCAACTACCGATGCCATCGGTGCCCGGCTGCAAGGGAACAATATCCCTGGGGCCAAGATTACTACCATTGGTGCGGGTAGCATTCCCTCATGCGAGTACTGTGGCAGTCACCGTGTCTTTGAATTCCAACTTGTGCCGCATGCTATTACCATGCTTGAAGAGGGCCGCGCTGGCGTTGGACTTGGCAAGAATGATGCGGGCATGGAGTGGGGTACTATCATCATGGGAGTTTGCTCTAAAGATTGCGCGCCGCAGGAGCTGGGCGTTACCGGCTGGCGGGAGGAATGGGCTGGTGTTCAGTGGGAAGAGATGAGGTAAAGAAGTCAGCGATTTTTTTTCGCATGGATGTTTTGCATAGATGAATGATTCATTACTATGTATATATTGATTGAGTTGCAGGGCCTGTTCAATTCATGAAGCTTGAGACGATAACTTAACCCAGCTCATTGACTTGAGGCCGCCTTCTTCAAAGATTTCTATCCTTATATCGGGATGGATAGAACGGCGAGGCCTTTGATATATCCATATCCATTGGAGACATACCAAGTAGCCAAGAATCAATTAATCTGGATACAACCTTGGAAAGAGTCCCAATAATCCAGGTACAACGTGGTCAGAAATAAATTGAGGGGATCGTTAATAAAACATCCTCATTCCTAAAAAATCATCCCTTTGGTTAATGGCACATCCCCCATTCCCGATTCGGTAATACTGATGCCTAGTATTGCACTATTTGCATAGCATCAATTATTTCTGCCACATTTATCCTTTGTATGAATTCGGGTTTACACACCGAACCGAGGACGCAGGTCTAACCGGAAGTGAGCCAGTCTGTCATAGCCAAGGAATTGGCGGGGTTAAACTCCAGGCATGTCCGTCGTGTTTCCATCAAGGCAGATATTTGTTGATTTGCAGATCATTTGCGCCATATCACTGGGCGGCCATGCTCTTTCTCAATTGTCTTTGTTTCTGCTGGCTTTGCAGCTCCAAGCGGTCGACTGCGAACTTGAGCCGCTCTTTCTTTTGCACCAGTCTCTTCAACTCCGCTGCTTTAGAGGCTGCACTGCCCGATGAGCCAGGCCCCGCCATGCGACCCCGCAGTGCGCTGCTCTGTGTTTGAGCCCGAGGGGCGGACGGTCGGCTCTCTGATTTTGAGGAAAGTCGTCCTTCTTGTAGATCACATCGCGCCTTGAGGCCTTGTTCCCGGCGAGCGAGTTTTTCAACGTGGTTGGACGATAATTTGAGGAGATGGGCGATGCTGGGGGTGATTTCGTTGAGGAGCGATTGCTGTGCTTCACGCAACGTTGGTTCCGGAAGTAGTTCAAAGTGCTACAGCGACAGTTAGACAGACCTCCGACTTCTTCATCAATTCTAGTGATGGTGTTTCGATACATACTCGTGTTGTAGAAAGGACTTTGCATAGGCGAGGGAAGTCGTTCACACCCGAATCAAGTGTGGTGATAGAATTGTCCAATAGTTGCAGTGATGACTGCAGCGATGTAACTGAAGAGGACAACGAAGCTGCCATGGTACTTGTAATAATTGTGGTGTTGACGGTGATTGTTGTTTACAAGCAGTCGGGATAGATCGGGCGGTAAAAGCGGCATGACACCGCCTTTAAGGCGGCGTGATCTCGGGACCGGGCAAACCTCCAAACCTCACTTCTCCTCTTCCGTCCTCTTGCCTCACCACCTTCCCGAATACCGAATTCACCTCGCATTCGATTCACCTGTCACAATGTCTCTCCTCGGAAAGAAGTTCCCCGGCGCCATGGGTATGTGCTCTTTGGACCCCAAAAACGGATCGTGGGAAACCGAATTACGAACCAACGACTAACGCATCGACTCACCTATAGCCAAGCCTTTGACTCCCTTCTTCGCTGCCGGTACGCATACACTTTGATATCTAATTGCCCTGGTCATCCGTGACTGATCGGACTGTCACTTGGCGATATCTCACCCTATTCGGTTGTTGGTGGAACATAACTCTGACGATTCTCCTGTCCAGGCCTCATTGTTCTCTACGGCGTCAACTCTCTCCAGAACGCTCTGTCCAACAGTGAGTCAATTCCCCGCGCCCATGCATGAATCTCGTCGACGAGATTTGCATCATCTGAGACAATATACACGAAACGACCCTCCGACGCTCCGAGCATCTGCGGAACTGTTTAACTAACCGTTCAACCCCCACAGCTGCCGAGTTCAAGAGCGACCCTCGCAACCCCAACGCCAAGCCCGCTGGCAAGGCTGATCACTAAATTCGGTCGACATTGAATGCGTTTTGAGATCCCGCTTGCCCGTGTGAGCAGCGGGACGAACCGTTGGGATGTGTGGGTAGACGAGGATGGCCCAGGCCATCGATGGTTGGCCAGTTTGCATCTTTTGCGATATCTGCGGGCAGTTTGCCCCTGTCCAAGCATATAGATTATACCCGCCTTGATGGGGGTGACTTGGATCAATTCAATTCACAAGCTGTACCAGTACCATTTATGATGTGCTCGTCTTTCTTTTGTAGTCTCTTGCCTATTGAACGTATTTCAACGCAAAGGCAGAAGTTCGAACCGAGCGTTCCGAATCATAGATTATGCTACAGAGCTATGGTATTATGAACTCTACCTTGATAGCTATCCGGTTCTGCGCTACTCACTCCGGTGTATACTCATACCGTTTTGCGACCGTAGAATAATTCAAGCAAGTGCTCGTTTTGGCTCAATACCATAGAATCTACAGACGTTTAAATACAATTATCAATGACATAGGTAGGGCTTTGATGCCGCTTCAGTGAAATCTTACACCAACCACGCTAAACCCGATCGGGCATCCAGTTTTCGCCAACTCCGACTCGCCGAAGAACAAAGAACAACCATTTTCTAACCTCAATCAAGTCCGCCAAAATGTCTGCACCAAACACCGCACAAATGACGGCTAGTTTATTCCGGCCTAAGAAGCTTAACCTCTCTGGCTTCGTTAACACCCGCCTGATTCGTGATCACAACAAGCGCATGGCATTCGAGAAGACCGAGCCCGAACGGTATGAACCCCTCCCTACTCACCACTTGACCGGTGATATCCCTTGGCTATGAAGTCAATCAATGAATGTGATAAATTTCTGACTTTGCCCCATCTGTCGCAACAGCCAAGCTCTCCGTTACATGATCCGCAACACCTCTCTCCCCGGCCGTGTACGCGTCCAGGCCCAGCTCCAATTGGCGCAGATGCACCCTTACACTCGTCCCACTCAGATTAAGAACCGATGTGTAGATTCAGGAACTGCTCGCAGTGTCTTCCGCGATTTCAGAATCAACCGAGTGAGTATACATGCCCTTGGGTTTCTAAAATATCTTTTGACATGGTCTTCCTCCAGTTCCAATTCCGTTTGCAGGCTCTCGCTGGCGAACTGCCCGGTGTGAAAAAGGCTTCTTGGTAATTTGAAAGCTAGTTGCCGGTGTTTCCTGAGATATGGGGAGATCTCCGGTTAGCTTGTTTGCACAACGGCGTTTTCTTTCCTTCCACTGGGTGGAAGTTTGTACAGTATCAACAATTTGCAGGAATTAACATGTCTCTTTGTCACTTTGACTTCGTTTTGTTAAACCATAATGTTTTCAGGTATCAGTCTGGACCTTGTGTTTGCCAGCATTTTGAGAAGAGGTTGATTTCACTAACTAATTATTTCCATGTCATACATTCCACATCAAGCTACCACACTCGACTTGGCCGATATCTCCATATTACTCTGGTGCAATTGAATATTCCAGAAGTAGGTTGAGCGCAGTGGCGAGATTTCTTAGCACATTCTACCATCGCATCGTCGCTCAATGAATCTAGTGATTACCTGAGTCGCTTCATCTCCATTGTCGCAGCACCCCGTCAAAACGCAGAGAGTAAAAGCGCTTCCTTATTGTCTCCTCATTCCTCATTCCACGCTTCTTTCTTTCCCCTGCCTTATTTGCGATTTGCGCATTGTGCTCTGACTTGCTTTTCATACCATATCATAATTTGATTTGAAATTTTGCCAAGATGCAACGCTTTGAAGAGATACACCTACCTCCTGACCCGGTATTTCCAGACGAACTAGCGGAGCTTGGGTAGGTCTTTCTGGGTTTCTCGTGGGATATCAGTCTCTCAAATTAACGGCACACCAAACACAGATTCTTTGTCACTGAAGATGACAAGATCCGAGTCATCGAGAGCCCTGGGCAGGCTCCACGGTACAAGATTGACCGCAATGATCGTGTGAACAAGGTCCATATTGAGGCCTTGCACAGTCAGTGAATTCTCAAATCCATACTACTATAGGGTATTGGTTTTCATGAGTCGAAACTAACATGTTCACAGGCGCTATCCACAGGATCATTGCTGACCGACTGACCAGAATGTCCATGAATCCTTATCCCATTCCGGCTGACGGTGTCGCTAAGTCAACCGCCCCTGTCTTCGTAAGCGACAACATCTCCACTGCTTCTCGCATCGTTGTTTTTATCGGCGAGCTTGTTGAAGACTTGGGTCTGTTTTCTTACCGTGAAGCCTGTGACGAAGGCATTTCATTCGGTTCCGTTCTAGACTTGACAAAGGCTGTGCTAGGCGAAAATCCTGAGAATTCCGCGAATGCCCTCATCTTGGCCAACCCCGGTCAGCGGGTCTGGCACAACGCCAGCGGTAGCCCCTTGACTGTTGAATCTTTCCGCAACAGGGCTCAACACTCTGCTGTTGTTCGCGAGCGTCCGATGAGCCTTCGCAACGCGGTGGAAAGCAACACCTCTCTTCCTGAACATACCAAGTATGTCTTCGAGAGGATATTGTTGCCTTCCCTTCCGCTCGGCGTTAAAGTCGATATCATCGGCCTGTCTGAGGGAGGATACGCTGCTCTTATGTATCTGAAAAAGAATTGTGAGTAATGACGGCACCCAACATCTTGGGCTGTACTTACTGATTTATCCCTAGGGATGTCCTGGTGGCCCCACATATCCAGCATCGGGCTAGTCAACCCAGAGCAGGTGGCCGACGTGGACTTTGACTTTACAGAGTTGAAGAACCCAAAGTCATTCGTTTCCTTTGTTCGAGAGCGTGGACGCGCCTGGGTTCTTTCCAGTCAGCCTCTTGGCGCACGTGAGGTTGGCCTGGGTATGCATGGTTGTAACTGCTACTCTAGCGGCGAAGACAAGAGGATTGCCTGCATGGTTTCTCGTGCTTTGGCTCATATCATGGCTTGGGCGAATCTCATGCATAGCATACCGTCTTTGGCGGAGGATATCGTCGTGGTCGAGGGTGAACCGAATCCAAGCAGCAAGGTGATCAGCGCCATGCTTGGCATGGACATTGATGAAGATGAGACCACCAATGGAGATGAGGATGAGATGCCCGACAATGCTATTCTTGAGGGGCTGGAAGGTTTCGTGAATGGTCTGGCGCTTAAGTCAAACTTGGTCTCCTTCGGTGCTTTGGCCGCGGACGATACAACTGAGGCCGGCGAAAACAAGCTTGTTTACGACAATGATGATATTATCGATGAGACGCCTGACGGGGAGAATTCTGACGATTCCGACGTTACGGTAGTCCATGATCCCCAACCCTCATTCAACAACATTGTCACTAGGCAACAACCACAATATGGAGAACCTGAAGAATCTCCACGACATTCGAGAGGACACTGACGAGGATTAATATCTTCTGGTTTTCTGGCTTCGATAGTCTTTATCAGATCCTAGAGCAATCGTTTTTAGTATGGATTTAGTTTACTGATCCTTTATGTTTCCTTGTTGCCGTGGCGCGCGTATTTCTACCAGGTCAACATATGGTTTTCCAATTCAAATTAAACTAATTAGTGAAAAATGAGTGCAAAAAAATGGAAGAGACATATTTCTATCCCATTGAAGCAGCGAAGTAAAATTATAGAAAGTGCTGAAGGCGACTATATTTACCTACGTATGGTAATATGCATGTGGCAAGGTCACATTAAGCATTTGCGAGGGCGGCGTTGCTGATCTTCAATGAGATTGCAGTACCATTCCCCGCAAGCTGACTTCTTCCCTTCCCCCCCCCCCCCCGGTTTGTCTGGTCGAAATATGACAATAAGGGTTTACTCGATGAAAATCTCGGAGTCCACCGCAATCCCGGGAAACCAAGGAGTCACAAGCCAACTCTTTGGGAGCGCTTTCGGAGACGAGATCAACAAACGACAAACGGAAAGGCAGTTTTGATCGAGTAACGGTAGGCCCACGGGTATGTTTATCCAACCCTAGGGCAGCGATAAGCGGATATGGAATTGCCCGCATTTGCATCGGAGGTGGCCGATACAATGCAAAGGCTTGGCTCGCCGTTCTATTCTCGCCCCGAGAACTCGTGGTCGCCCCCAAGGGGTTTTCGGGTACCATGGTTCATTGGTTCACGGTGTTATGCAAATTCAACACATTTGCATTCGTTGATCCTTTGCATGTTTGATATGTGCCCTGCAAACAGGAGCCGTGTCTCGATCTGGTCAGGACGTGTGGTAGAAGCCGGTTGGTCGGTTCAATTTATCGAGTAATAGAAACGCAGGGTCCCTGTGGGTATACACATCTTGGGTGAAAATTTATACCCCAAGGTGGACCATTCCCCAATATATATATTTTTTTAGGGGGAAGTGGGCGTATTTATATGGCGTCTCCCCCCAAGCCCTGAAGACCTCTTATCTTTGTTCTTAAGATAAGCCCCTCTCTCTTTATCTTTCCTTTTTTTATACTTCCGAGGTCTCTATCGCTTCTATTCTACCGTTCTTCTATAACCTCTTCTCCATTCTAGCGTCTTAAGTCATGGTGGACATTCCTTCTATTGCCGTGGTGGTTTCATCCCGCGCCGTTATCTCCGGCCGTTTGACCGCTGCCACCGTTGTCATTTCACGAACAACAGGCAAAATTACTGCCGTCTTCGATTCCGTGATTCCAGTAGCGGAATTCCCTGCCGACACACCATATACCGACTACTCCCCACATGTGTTACTTCCCGGCTTGGTGGATGCTCATGTTCACTTGAACGAACCTGGCCGTACGGAATGGGAAGGTTTCTACACTGGTACCCAGGCCGCAGCCTTTGGTGGTGTGACTACTGTGATTGATATGCCTCTTAATGCCATCCCGCCCACTACTACTGTTAACGGACTCAAAGAAAAGATCCAGGCAGCCCAAGGCAAGTGCTGGGTTGACGTCGGCTTCTATGGCGGTATCATCCCCGGCAATGCGGGCGAGCTCAAGGCCCTTGTCCAAGAGGGTGTCCGTGGCTTTAAGGGATTCCTTATTGACAGCGGTGTAAGTAATTTGAACCATCATGATTTGCTATATATTAACTCTGTTTAGGTTGACGAGTTCCCCGCTGTCACTACGGAGGATATCAAGAAAGTCATGGCTGAGCTGGCCGATGAGCCCACCACTCTTATGTTCCATGCCGAGATGGTGCCTCCCATCACTGCATCTGTGGGCGATGAGGTCCAGAAGTCTGATGCACCAGCCGCTCCCGTTGGACCTCTTGAAGCGTATGCCACTTTCCTAGCCTCGAGGCCCTCGTCTTTCGAGACGTGCGCCATCGAAAGCATCCTATCTTTGGCCCACCTTGCTCCCAATCTTCCCCTACACATTGTTCACCTTTCTGCTATGGAAGCTATTCCCCTGCTGCGGGAAGCTCGCGCCCATGGCGTAAAGATCACAGCCGAGACCTGCTTCCACTACCTGTCCCTCGCAGCGGAGGAAGTGCGCGATGGCGATACCCGTCACAAGTGCTGCCCTCCCATTCGCTCAAAGGTGAACCAAGACCGTCTTTGGGAAGAGTTGGAAGAGCACACTGGCGATGGCGTCATCAAGACCGTTGTCTCAGACCACTCTCCTTGCACTCCAGACCTGAAGATGCTTCCGGCCCACGTCCCCGGCCACTGCGCCGGTGGCAAGGAGGAGGAGCGCGGTGACTTCTTCTCGGCGTGGGGAGGTATCTCTTCTGTCGGACTGGGTCTGCCCATTCTTTGGACAGACCTCAGCCGCCGCAAGGGTCTGACTTCTGCGCCGGAAGACGAGAACACCAAGAATGCCCTTCAGGACGTTGTCCGTCTCTGCTGTGCCAACACTGCTGCTCAAGTTGGTTTGGAGTCACACAAGGGTGATCTGGCTGTCGGCTTTGATGCCGATATCTGTGTCTTCGACGACTCCGCCGAGTGGACTGTAGAGCCGAGCACCATGCTCTTCCGAAACAAGTGCTCTCCCTACCAGGGACGCACATTGCGCGGCATGGTCCGCGAGACCTGGTTGCGCGGTGAGCGTGTCTACAGTCGTGACCATGGCTTCGACAGCCAGTCTCCTCACGGCAAACTGCTCCTTGAGAAACGGGTTTAAGATACCACATTTTCTCTGCTTCCTATCCTTCTTTCTCTTTGTCCACATCTGTGGGGATATTTGGCACTCGGCAGTAGCCGCCCTGCCATCTTTTCAAATATTCTGTCACCTTGCATCTCCATCTCGACCCGAGGTATTGATCCCTCATTGACGAGCACTAATGACTGACTGCACAGCATCCATACCATTTAGATTAATGACAGCGCATCGTATGTAGCTTTAGGCATAGAATAGCCAAAGCCTTCATCGAATAAATGATCCAATTCTCTCGAACATGTAGTAAGTAGATCAAATTAGGAACATCATTAGGAGTAGTTGGTTATACAAGGGAAGTCAAGGCTCACGACTCTTCAGTCAGCCCATCCCTCTCTTTCTCCCATTTCTCCCTCACTCTCCTCCTAACACCCCCATTGACACCCTTCCCCCATATTTCCTCCTTCTCACCACCAACTTGAACCTCGCTACCCACCTTTGTATTAACATCTTCATCCCCAACCCTGCCAATAAAGACCTTCTTTTCTCTCTTTGCTCTCTCCTTGGCTTTAGCCCTCTCCACTTTCCCAAGGTACGTGAAGTACAAGAACGACTCAGCAACAGCAACACTTATTGCAGAGAAGAGCGCAAAAAGTACGCGCACTGCCTCACCAGCTCCCTGCCTTTGGGAACCCGTCACTTCCCCGCCTGATGCAAACCACCGCGCCACGACATCCGGCGCCGAGAACTTGGTCAGCGCACCGTATACGGCAAACCCGGTTACCAGCACCGAGATGAAGATACTTGACACCAGCGATATCGTCAGCGTGTCTTCTTCCATTGAGCCATGGCTTGTGTAGGGCGATGAGTATGGGTCGGCGTGCTCGGGGGCTGATGTATAGGCAGGGTTTAAGAGGCGATTGTAGGATTCTTGCTCTGCTGCAGCGAGGAGGCGGGCTTTTGAAGCGAGGTATTCCGGGCTCTAAAGTTTTGGTTGGATTAGTTTTTATCTTCGGCTTGTATGCGGGTTGTAGACTGGACAGCAGAGCCACCGCGTATAGAAAACGTACCGGTTCTGGCTTCTTGGGCGGCGGAGGGACATAAACTTTTGTTCCGCGAAGGAGAGAGCTCAATATTGTCGGCGTATGGGAGTTTTTCTCTTTGTATTCTGCATGGTTTTGTAGGTATTTGGCGAGCCGGATCAGCTGCTCATGGGCTATCGGGCCCTGCACTTCCAGCGCGGCAGGCAAGTCTAACTCCTCGCGACGCGAGATCGGAACGGCCTCAAACGCAGCGAGGATACGATCTGTAGCAAGAAGGAGGACCATGATAAGCTCAAACGTCCATCAAGCTCCTAGAATTGTGTACCAAACAGTTATGTCGGGAGATAAGAGGACAGGCGGAGAGCGGAATCAAAAAAAGTGGCTTAAGCTTCTCTCCCCACATCGTCATCTTCCCTTCTATCACATATTTGCGCTCAATCATGGCGGACTCTAAGAAAAGGTAAACCGTTCACTCTCAATTCTGAATATCGCAATTTGAATATTGCGTCTGTTCTTCACCCAATACCCCCTGCCCACCTCCAAAAAAGGCTGCCGACTGACCCCTCCAAACAGCACGGTATCAACACAAACCAATCCACGCGGAATTCCCGTCGCACCTTTCATCGACAATGTTAACGACTACGTTTCCTCCCGCGAGGAGGTCGAGCCTACCCTACGCAACTTCCAGGAGATGATCTCCAAGTACCAATTCATGGAGGTGAACACTCAACGCCGCGGCCAGGGACTCCGCGAGAAGATCCCAGATATCAGAAAGACTCTGGAAATGGTGCGATTCTTGAAATTGCGCAAGGAGGTAACTGATACCCATTGTCCTGCCTATGCAAACTAACGTCCATGAAAATATGATTCGTGGAAAAAACGCTGAGCATGTGGCATCAGGAATCAACCGCAATGATCACTAACGCCGTTCTAGTCAAACCCTGACGCCGACCTCGAGACTAACTTTGAACTCAATGACACCCTTTACGCCCGGGCTTCGATCTCACCCGCGGATGCTGAGGAGGTTTATCTCTGGCTTGGTGCGAATGTGATGCTGGCATACCCGCTTAGCGAAGCCGAGACCATGCTGGACGACAAACTTTCTGCGGCGGAGGAGAGCTTGAAAAACTGTGAGGAGGACTTGGAATTCCTGCGTGAACAAATTACGGTTAGTTTTCGACCTGGGCAGATATAGTTCTAATATTTTGAAATGGCGCTAACAGTCGTGGTCACAGACATTGGAAGTTGCTACGGCACGCGTGTACAACTGGGATGTTGTACAAAGACGCAAAGACAAGGCTGATGGGAAAGGGGATGAAGAGAAGCGCCCTGGTGGTGGCTAAGGAGCGGGATTTGATGGAAATATCATGATATCAATATTATAGAAACGTCGCCAATGCTATCCATTTGAAATCTCTATTGTATTGGTATTGCCTTGACGCCCCCAAAATGGTTTCGTTTAGCAGGTACAATGGGAATAAAGCATAGAAATGCATCAATCATGACGAAACGTAGAAAATCAATGGATATTAGAAACGCAATCAACCATCATGGGAAAACTTGGAGCTGGTGGCAATATATTACTGCCTTATGCAGGCAGGTCAAAAGAAAAAGAAATGCAAATCATGACTCATGAATAGGGGCAGTTAAAAAAAGCTCAAAGGATAAAGGAAACTGGAAAACGTTACACCGTCAACAAAATTGAGATCTCAATCAATCATTCAACTTAGAACAGATCATTAGAAAATTTGGAGGCTATGTTATCGACATCCGAAGCGGCTCGATCACGCATCCGCTTCGAGATATCGATATCAGTTTCGTCGCCCACAAAGGTCCATTCTTCAATGTCGTCATCATCATCTCCGTCTGGGGAGGTCGTAGCTGAGGGAGTGGGAGAGAAAGGGGTAGATGAGGCTAGAGACCTTTGTCGAACCAAGGTCTTAGCATATTCAAGATCACGATACAAGGCCTGGATTGCAGTAGCCACACCGTCTTGCTATAAGAGAAAGATATGTTAGCAATCTCTCACATGGACTGAACAGATGTTAGTGACGACTCACATTACGAATCTGGATGCCCAAATTGCGCGCCCTGACAATCATACGCTCGCTGTGCGTCGCCTCCCAGAGTGCCCTTGAGAACACACTGACATTTAGTTTCTTCATACACAAGCCAACACCTAGATCCTCCACACGACCACCGAAGAAGAACTGGTCTCCAAAGAATGGCTTGATTATGGTGGGGACACCGGCTCGGAGACTCGCACCGGTGGTTCCTGCTCCGCCATGGTGGGTTGCAGCGTCGATCTGGGAGAACAACCAATCGTGCGGCGCAGACTGAATTTGATGAATCTCCGGCGGCAGAGGAATTTCAGCTTTTGTGCTAGATGGGTCGCCAAGTCTATCAGACCAGCCCTTTGAAAGGATGCAACGGACATCTGCTTTCAAGACTGACTCAACGACGGTCCGCGTTAGGGCAGCCGGGTCTGAGACAACGATAGAGCCGAACCCGATATAGACGATCTTCTTGCCATCTGCTCGAGCCCGTGCAATAAAGTCTGATAGCTCGGCTGGAGGGGACCAATCTGAGCCCTCGTTCAGGAACCAGTAGCCAGTGATGCGAATCCAATCCGGGTAGTCGAGTGGCGGGGGTACTACCGAAGGAGAGTAATTATACAAGAAGGGAACTTTGTTTTGCTGCATCTTGTCCAAGGTAGTGGCCTTCAATCCCAGCTCGTTGTTTCGCCAGCGGTTGACTTGGCCTGCGATGGCTTTCCAGAAGATATTGTCGAACATGACGTACGTGATGTAATTGTACGCTCCGCCCATTCGGTTTTCCGGTACCGCGAAGGCATGTGGATAGGCTCGTGTTCTCGTCCATGGCATAGTGAAGCCGCGGAAGTAAGGAATTCTCAAAGCCTCTGCGATATGGATTCCAGCCATGGCGCTTGGCGACTCAATCAAAAGGTCGCTGCCTTGGCAACCCCTCCAAGCCGACGACAAAAGATCATCAATCCATCCTCTAAACTTCAGTGAAGCTTCCCTGAGAAAGGAATATGTGAACATCCCGTTTTCGACGCAAATACGCATCAGTTCCGCGGGATCGCCGTCGACCGGAGCAAAGTCAATGCCATGTGATCTGATCCAAGGCTCAAATTCAACATGGGTGGCAATCTTCGGTTTGTGGCCCTCTGCGATAAGTCCCTTGCAAAGCGCAATATACGGCTGTACATCTCCCCGGGAGCCGATTGTCAGACAAGTGATCCGCAGGGATTCGGTGGGTTTGAAGTTGATTATAGAAGCACGCGGGTCATCGAAGAAAGGGTGAATCTCAGATGAGTCTTCAGTGAGAGTTGGACGCGCCTCATGCTCCTCGGGACCGTCCAATCTCGCTTCCTCGAGCATGCGATGTTCAGCTTTGGCGGCTTCTACCTCGTCTCGTTCTCCCTCTGCTAGCAAGCCAGATTCCATCAAGTATTTCACAGACTCCAAATTCTGATGTAATGTGACGGCGCAGTCGTCTCGTGCATCCGAGGCATTGAACTCAAAGAAAAGTTCTTCATGGCCGCGAATAATGACAACAAGTCCATGGTAGCCGAAACGGAATCCTTTTTCCTTTTCAACATTTTCAATGTCTTTCAAGGGTAAGATCATCTTGGTCCGAGTGCCAGGGATCAAGCTGCGGAAGCAAAGCTTCTTTTGGCTTATATAGATCTTGCCATATAGCGGGAGCACGCGGTGCAAGTAAGCGTAATATGTCGCCTGCAGCCTTTCAGTTGACGGAAGAGCAAAGTGTGCGCGGAATCGATCTCCAAAGTTGAATCCACCCTCGTCATCTTCGGGGTCAACATTTTGGTCTTCGAGCAATGGCCCTTCCCGCTCTCCATAATGCTTTTGGCCCCCAGCCCACATGCCAGATACCTTTTCTATATAGCCCATTGACTCGGTTGCCAACAGACTACTCATCTGCCTCGAGCGGGTTTTCAAGTACCCCGCTAAGCCGGCAGCGCGTTGGAGAGGGTATGTGCCTGCTTTGACAAGGTCGTTGAGATGACTCAGGGAGCCGTGTGCTGATGAGTGCATTGGATCGGTTTGGTCGAGTTCATGGTGCAAGTTCTCTGGCGTTCCGCGATGCTTTGAGCCTACACCTGTCCCCAGGTCTAGTCGTGTAGAGGCAGAGGGTGTGATATCCTCAGAAGATCGTCGAATGGTCCCTCCCACATCTGACGGGCGTCTTTGAAGTGTACGCATAGTAGGTGAGTGGAAGACATCGCTCCTGTTCAAGATTTGACTCGCCGATTCGGTGGTCTCTGTTATCGACTGTACAATGTGCGAGGATTCCGTTCCTTGCTCCACAAGTGAGTCTGCCGAGTCTTGGTTTTCGTTTCCGACACTAGAGCTGCGCTTTCGTGGCGAATTTTGGTCTGAAACTCGAACGCTGCTGATTGACTGTCTCTTATGACCGGGCGGATCTTGAAGTTTGTGCTGATCTTGGGGACCTTCTTTCACTGCATCGCCGGTCGATGTTGCATTTACCAATCCTTTGATGTAGTTGAATGCGTCCTGGCCCGATTCGAAGAAGGAAAAGAAATACTGTAAACTGATTAGCAACATTCCTGATCATGATCGGTCTCAAAAACATACCTCATCAATCGCATATGTTTCTCCGCTGTCAAGAACTCGAATCTTGAATGTCTCGGCAAAATCGGCCATTGGGCTCTCCTCCAAGTCAATGATATTCGAGATGGGAAAGGATACTTTGACGCTGTCGCCTTCGTTATGCGTTCGAAATATGACTTTTTGGAGAGCCTTCACCCACTCCTTTGCGCTGGTGGCGCTTTCGGCTCTAAAGTAGTAGGTTCGCTGGTCGGTGGTGACTTGGAAGTCCTTCACATCGCTTTCTTTCCGCTCCGCAAGAGACGCGGAGATTCCATATCGAAGATCTACATGTCCACTAGGGAAATATAGGTTCGAAGGATCAGCGTAGTATGAAAGAACATCTCCCTTCAGAGCAAACCAATAGCGATCGTATTTGGGATTCTTACGCCCACGCTTGGACAAATACCCCGACTTGATCGCCACATTGGACTTCTTTGGAAGGTAGGCATAGAAACAAATATGACCCTCAGTCACATAGAGGTAGCCCTGAAGCAGCATGCTCTGAAGCAGCGAGCAAGCATACTCAACCAAGACCTTTTCAGGTTTGGCAAATTGAAACATCTCCATCAAGCGAGTAGAGAGAGCAGACGCCGACGACTGAGGCTGGTCTGCCATAGTTGGATGTGATGGTGAACGTGGTGTTGCGGATGCGGAATTGAAGTTGGTCTGCGCTTCAACCATGCGGCTTAGAATTGGTGCTGCTCGCGGCGTCGCACTTCGAGTTCGCCTGAGAGAAGGTGTCAGGAGAACCGAGTTGCTTTGGCTTGATGACTCGTTTGCCCCGCTTTCCGAATCCAGCCGTGGTAACCTTTGTAAAAGCTTGTTGTCTGATCTCGCCCTTTGGTGACGACGTCCTCTTTCCTCCCCGCCGAGTGGCTTTGTTTCCAATCTTTCATTTAAAAAGTGTGGATCCCGCTTGGACGCCGACGTGGAAGAAGATAATTTCTCGCCTATTTGTTTCGTCCGCGAGTGAATCTCTGTTTCTCTCTCACTGTCGCTTGATTCCTCAAACCGAGCATGAAAGTCCGACTTAGATCCAACAGCAGCAATCATGGAGAAGAGGGACTGCTGCATATAATGCACGTTGCCGTCCCGTGAACCCATACCTTGCGGCGGAGCTGTGAAGTCGATTTGAGCATCGTCTCCATCCCGAAACTTGTCTGGCACTCGATCTGAGAATGGGCGGCTGTCCGAACTAGGTCTCATACTTGCACTTGACTGCCGGTCTGCCCGGCGTTTGGCATCGTCTCTTAAAGGTCTCATGCTATCTCTGATATACTGACACGATATGTTCGGTGGGGAGAACGTAGGCTAGGAATGAGTGTGAACGATGCTAGGGTGTGGTGAATCACCAAGTATTCGGTCGGGCAGTCAGAAGCTCGAGCCAGGTGACAACTCGGCGCTGATAGGACTATGACGATCAAGGTATGGATGCACCAGTCAAACTAATACACATCGGGCAAACTAGACTGCAAGGTGACTTTGTCATATTAATACAGCGGTCAGACGATTAGTTTGACTAGAATGGTGTAGAATGGTGATTAACGCACGGGATACCACCTGGGCAGGGTCTAGGCCGATAAGCGCTTTGAAGCTTGGACGAAATAGATATCGGAGCTATCAAACCAAAGATCTCCAAGGCTTTCAAGATCAACCAAGCGCCATGTCTAGAAATGAAGACAAACTGAAACCAACTTCTTTAACATAAGACTTCAAGAGAATCAATGCACAAAGGGGAGAGATCATCACCTGGCTGATCTCCGCACGTTGGATGCATGTGACATAGTGATTATATCAGCTTTGTGTGCCTGAGGCAGACAATATCTGCAATATCTTGTAGTGATCAGTTCTTTGGTCAAGTTCAGAATGTCTTCTGTTGTCTTTGAGATTCTCTTATCTATTCCCTCAAATTGTATCAGAACCCATCCATGATGTACATACTGTTTTAGTCTCCTTCTTGTTCACTAAATGAAGACACAAAGGTCGTGGAGATCGGCATATGTAGAATAAGCATATAGATAGGGCTTCCAAGTTGATAGGGCAGTTGTTGATCGCAGAAGGCAGTGTAATACACAGAATAACGCAGTTCAATCTATTTGCCACCTCTTTAGTCCCTTAGTTTGATTAAATATGCTTGGGTCTATCAAGAGATCCACGTATATCTTTGGGAGTTCATGGTATGACCATTTATTTCTACTCAAAAGCAAGTTGCGTTGAAAATCATTTAAAACATTTATATTGATGTGATAGCTTGTAATATCTAGCTCAAGCTGCTAATTAAAGTAGAAGTCTGCCCGCCCTCGCTTAATTGTGGGATTTTTTCCGATCGTAAACATAGTTGATAGGATTATTGGCTCTAGAAGTTTGATCAAATTAGCATTACAATTGAGGCTTACGAACGGACGCGCGTTTTAGATCCTGTTAACGTCAAAAAAGAGCCGAGAGGCCAGGGATGATGGTCTGAGCGGTTGTAGTCTTAAGCCTTGAAGTCCAAATTGGGCAAAATACACCATCACTAAGCGTGAAGGCGTGATTCCATACATACTATGTGGCCCCCAGGTGCTAGAGGAACCTTTGGAAGTATACATCGGCTATCGGCTCTAACACCCAGCACGCAAAGATACCCTTGTAGCTGCTCACCATGAGTCTCAGGAAAAGGCTTATATGTCAACCATTGACCTTGACTTCTTGTTGGCTTTACATTAAACTTTTCTTTGACCATGGGGCTCTTCACTATTCCCGAGCTAAACACCCGCCTGGGTACTTACCGAGCGTATCATCTGGCAGCTATTGTTTTGTATGTTGATGCCATAAATTACTATCGAAATCATACAAAAACTGACTATCGTTATCTAGCATTTCATCCTTCCTGTCCGCCTATGATTCTGGTGTTGCGGGAGGTATATTGAGCTATAAGTCCTTTCAAACCGACTTGGGCTATAAAACAGCATCACAATCTAGGGTATCATCACTCACCGTTGGATTGTCTCAACTGGGATCGTTCATAGCCGCTGCAGTAGTCTACCCATTGACCAACAAATATGGCCGTAAGCTCACTATTCTCGGCGCCACGGCGCTATTTATCATCGGCGTGATTATTCAAGTCATCAACACACATTCAATTGCCGCCTGGTATGTAGGCCGCATCGTCTCTGGCCTGGGAATAGGTGGACAAAGTGTTGTTATCCCAATGTATTCGGCAGAGATGACACCCAAGGAAATTCGGGGTCGATGTGGTTCTTTTTACCAGTGGCTTTACGCCTGGGGTGTTTTCACTGCCTATTGGATTGATTATGTCGGTAATCTGTTGTGTTCTATTGCATAACCATGGGGCTAAAACTAATTAGGGCGTTGCCAAAAGCACCTCAATCTCAGGCACCTCAAGCGAGTGGCAGATTCCCGTTGGCCTACAGCTTATCTCTGGAGGCATCTTATTCATAGGTTCTTTCACACTTCCTGAGTCTGTTCGCTGGCTCTTGACACAAAATCGTACCGAAGAGGCCTGGAAGTCACTCACTTGGATTCGCGGCGGCGAAGACCCCAAAACACACGAGGAATTCGTCGAGACCCAGCTAGGGCTTCAGGCTGAGCGTGCAGAACGCGAGGGATTTTTATACCGCGAATTGCTGGAGCCAGCTAACAGGCTCCGTTTTGTTGTCGGTCCTTTACTCTTCATATTTCAGAATGCCACAGGCAGTAGCGCACTTGCGGTGTTCGCGCCACAGTATTTCAAGCTTATTGCTGGCAGTGGAACAAACAGAAATATGCTGCTGACGGGTTTATTCGGTGCTGTAAAGGTCATTGCCTGCACATTCTTCATTTGGGTACTCGCTGAGCGGATCAGTCGCCGCATGACGCTCACAGGTGGTGCTGCTCTTATGGCAATTTGCATGTTGATTACGGCTCTCATTGTCGTTTATGTTCCAACACAATCTGCGACAAACGTGACATCCGCTGGACGAGCAACGGTTGCTATGATTTATCTCGATATTATGGTCAGTCGTCGGACTTGACATAGAGTCACACATGGATATATCGCTAACTTATGCGCAGATCTATAACTGCTCTTGGGGTCCTCTGCCTTGGGCCTATGTGCCGGAGATCTTCCCAACACGGATTCGAGCCCTTGGTTTGGCAGTTAGCATGCTAGCTCACTGGGCTTCATCTTTCTGCTTCTCCTTTGCTAGCCCCTATATGATTGCGAACGTTGGTGCCAACACTTTTCTTATCTTCATGGGCTTTGATATTGTAGCTGCTGGCTTCTGTTGGCTGTTCGTCAAAGAGACCCGTGGAAAGAATCTGGAAGTTGCTGCTGGCACCGAGTGGGAAATTGCGGAGCGAACTTCCTCTGATGACGGCGAGAAGAGCGGCGTGTTGAATGCGGATGGTAGGAAAGTCCAGATTGTTCACGTGCATGAGAACTTTCATGCCAATCTCAGACAGCGTTCAGAGCATTGAGAGGTGATCTGGAGGAAATTTCTACCACAATAGGGTGAACTCTTGGCGCAATGTTCTTCTAGGCGAGAACCTGGTCCGCGATCAGCAATCATAAGACATGTCCACGCTCATCTTCTAGATGTAGATAGTAGGTCTTTTGTCACTGTCGATACATGTGATACTGGATGGTAAAATGGTAGATTGTACATAGTTGGGGCATCTTTAACAAGCTACTTTTAAACAGGCAAACAAACAGATCATGCCTTTTCAGACTTCTTTCGCTTTTTATCCTCCTTATCCTTGTGGGACTTCTTGGACTTCTTCCGGCTCTGCTCGTCGTCGTCTCCCTTTTCTTGTGAGTGCTTCTTTGACTTCTTCCGAGGCAACGCTGCCACTTGGGGTGCATCACCCTCAGCATCAGTGTGAGACAGCTTCCTCTTACGTTCTTCTCCTTTGGGAACCTTGAACGAAGGGGCCTCGGACTCCGATTCCGAACTGGAGCCAAAAGTTTCCGGGGCCGTACGGGCGGTTCCGACGGGCCGGAAGCGCATCTTCAAGTTCTTCGGCTGGGTCTTGGCTGGCTTGACGTATTCACGCAGCTTTGCCACAGCGGCATCAGTGTTTTCCGATACACTTGGGAGACCGATCAATTCCTGGACGTGATAACTGGGAACTCGATTGGCTGCATCGTGATATGTTTGTGACTTTTCGTCAAATAGAAATAGCGATTTGCTTGCTGGTTCGGCCTCAGAAAAGGCCTCGGGTGGGATACCGTAATTCACACCGTCGTGAGTGATGATCGGTTCACCCTGCATCAGCCTGGCCATAGACACTTCTTTGATTTTGGACAATGGGAGAGACGCCGGGGCTGTGATGTGGAGAACGTGTTTTCCATCGAGTTTGGACAAAATGGAGGATGCTTTAGAGGATGGCGGGGCCTGCTTCTTTGCAGACTTGAATCCCACTGGTGGTTTGAATGGCCGAGGACCGGAGATGGCAACTCTAAGGCGCAAGGATTAGTATGTGTCAGTGTCGAAAAAACAGTGCTCTCTTACTTCTTGCCCGAGGCATCTGGTTTCATTTCGTTGGAGTCGTCTGAGTCGCTATCCGAGTCTGAGTCTGAGTCTGAGCCTGAGCTTGAGCCTGAATCTGAGGTATCATCTTCACTGGACTCCTGTGCCTTGGAGAGCTTTTGCAGGTTCTTTGCCTGCTTAGTTGTAGGCTCGGGCGAGACTGATCTGCTCGAGCTGCTATCGCTATCGGACGCCATGGCGGCTGTTCAAAGTGTCGGGCGAAATCGCAAGCGAGACCGATGATGCTTTCGCAAGGATGCGCGGCGCTGGCACACCCTAGTTCGCAATTGAGATGGTACGAAAGAATTGAAGGAGTTAAAGGTAGTGTATGCGATCTTTTAGAGACCCCGATTTCGTAAATGTTTTGATTCAACGCTGAGTGACAATGTTGAAGTTCAACGGCCGATCTTTTTTTTCCTGTTCCGCGGGAGCACGGACCACCAGCCAGCTTTTTTTTGCTTATCGGATTGAGATCGCATTATCGAGACAGTGGTTTTTCTTCCGAACACAATTTCCAAGTCCATGAGCTTTAATTTTATGTTATGACGATAAAGCGAAAGGCAGAAAAACAGCAACCGGCTGGTAAGTCCATCATTTCGATTTCGCGCCTGCACTTCGAAGCTAACATGATCGTCAGGTCCCGTTAGCGCCGTCGCTGCTTTGGCAGCGCGCAGAGCTCGGCAACAACAAGCTCCAAGCGCAAATGTACCAAAGGCTACCCCGAAGCCTATAGTTCATAGCGAACCGCCCTCGAAAAAGCCGCGACGATCTCTTGAACCAGCTGAGACTGTTGAGACAAACGGAGATCGCCGTACTTCACGAACAAGGGCAGCCAAGAAGCAAGATGAGCCATTGCCTGTAGAGAGTTTACCACAGCGCCCAAACAGAGTCACTCGGTCATCCAAAGTGGAGACACAGCCCGAAGTGAACAATGCTCTCGAGGATGAGCAGTCTGTGGAAGACACAGCTGAGAACGTGGAGATGGACGAGAACGAGGTTGCGTCTGTTGTGGGTGATGCTGATGGCTATGAGTCTCCCGCAGAAACACCTGCAGAATTGCAAAACTTTACTCTATCAAAGGCTCGGCTCGACAAAAACAGCATAGTCTACAGTGATGAAAGCACTCTGTGCATTCGCCTTCAAGAAAAGACGGTATGGGTTGGCCCTTCTCAATGCTGAGTATAATACTGATTTTGTGCAGACCTTGGCCTTGTTAGGACACTATGATCTCTGGGTCAAAAGAGGCGTTGTTAGTCTGATGGGTGCTAAATTGCATCCCTCCTCAAAGTTGCATCGAGTTTATGCCCCTTCAACGCATTCATTGCCAGTCATTAAATGTGTCTCTGGTATTGATGGAGAGGCAGAAGTGGAGATTACGTCTTGCAATAGCGGAATTGCCCGCCTTCGTGAGCTTTCCCCTCTGTATCAAAGGATATGGACTGGCGAAAATACTGCCGCGGATAAACTTACTCTGAAAGGTGTCGGCAAAGACACTAAGCGGACTTTCTCAGTGGTATGATACCATCCATCCCTCTCTGGTATTTCAAGCTTGAACATAGCTAATTGGCATGGTAGTTGTACACATCGGCAGATGATTCCTTGAACAGACATCTCCGACCCCTTCATCTCGATAAAAAATGGAGTGCCTCGATGAATGCCCTTCTTTCACAACGTCAAGGTCGACTTCGCGTTCTAGTCTGCGGTCCAAAAGCATCGGGAAAGTCTACTTTCAGTCGCTACTTGCTGAATCATGCGCTCAGCCCGACACCTGAGACTGAGGGCGGATATGTGAATACTGATGGGGTCGCTTTCCTGGATCTAGACCCAGGTCAGCCTGAATTCGCCCCCATGGGCCAGGTCTATCTTGCACGTCTCCACAGTCCGTTCTTCGGTCCGCCTTTCACACACCCATCGCTGGACAACTCTCACCGCGGTGAGATAGTGCGGGCGCATCATATTGGTGCAACATCGCCCAAAGAAGATCCTGATCATTATGCACTGGCCGTTATGGATCTTATGGACCAATACCGCTCATTGCTGGAGAAGCATCCGCAATGTCCTCTCATCATTAATTACCCTGGCTGGATCTTTGGGCAGGGGTTAGAGGTCGCAACGTGGCTGATTAGATCCCTTGGTCTCTCCGATGTCGTCTACATGAGCGAGAAGGGCCCATCGGAGGTCATAGAACCCTTGGGCCTGGCAGCCCGTGAGGCTCGTGTCCCCATGACAATCCTGCCCTCCCAGCCCACTGATTTTGTGACTCGATCAAGCGCTCAACTACGAGCGATGCAGATCCAGTCATACTTCCACATGTCCCATCCGGCCGACCTGAGCACTTCGCTCTGGTCAGATGAACCACTTTCTCGCACAAGGCCTTTGACTGTGAACTATTCTGGTACGCGTCAAGGTATTCTGGGGATCATGGTCATGGGATCTCAGATTCATCCCGATCTGTTGCAAGAGACACTAGAAGGGGCCATTGTGGGGGTTGTCGCAGTGGAATCATCGAGTGCCCTCATGGGCGGAATGGTGCCGCCTGAAGCATCAAACAACGAAGATCACGAGGCTGGGTCAGAGCTTGATGTTGACATGGACTTAGAGAAGCCAGCTTCGGGTGGCTTCAAGCACACAATGGCTGACAGCATTATTCGAACACGTGAAGATTTACCGTACCTCTTTGTTGGCTCTGGCAGCTGCACCCCACTGGATCCCAAAGCGTCTCATTGTCTTGGTTTGGCTTTGGTTCGCTCGATAGATACTTCCTCACGCAGGCTTGAACTCTCCACCTCCATTCCTCCATCTCACATACAAAGCTCTATTGAGGAAGGTCATAGCCTCGTTCTGGTCCGCGGTCAGCTGGATAATCCGAACTGGGCTATCAGCGAAGAATACTATGCCGCACGTGCTGCAGAGCGGCGCTATCAACTGTCGACATCTGGGTCGAAGAAAGCTGGCGAACTTAATGAACAGGCACGTCCTTCTGACTCGTCTAATCACAACCGAACGCTTGCGCTATTGCGCGAGAGAGTACGACGAGCGAGCAATGTGCCTTGGATGACTGTCGTGGAGGATAACAGTCGCCATCAGCGTGAAGCTACTGCACGAGAAAAGTCACTCTGGAAGTTACGGAAGAAGGCATACCATGGAAGCGAAAATGAAGCTGACTATTAGCTTACGGTATATATTATTGAGACTAAATGTGACAACTGTACATACAAAATGGTTTCTATGGATGCCCCTCATTAGTCATATAGGCGGAAATAGTATCTGTCCAATCACAATCATCAATTGGTGGCAAAACGATGTACCACATTTTTTCTAACCTTTCTTATCGGAAAAGTTTACTTTTTTTGAATCTTGCTTATCGGATTTCTTTTCTCCCCTCGTTCCTACAGAACATTCTTAGGATTTCTCAACTTCATTGCAATCATGTCTTCCAACACCGAGGAGGTTATTCCTCACAACACCTTCGACACCATTCTGGTGCTCGACTTTGGATCGCAATAGTATGTTTCCCTGTTGGTGGGGTGGCCTATTGTGAAATGGTTTTTTATCAATTTCGTTAATCTAACCATTTTCATTTAGCACACACCTTATAACTCGCCGTCTTAGGGAGGTCAATGTCTACTGCGAAATGCTGCCTTGCACTCAGAAGCTAGCCGACCTTACCTGGAAGCCGAAGGGCATTATCCTGTCCGGTGGACCGTACAGTGTCTATGAAGAGGGATCCCCCCACGCCGATCCCGCGGTCTTTGAGTTAGGCGTTCCTATTCTAGGAATCTGCTATGGTCTCCAGGAGATTGCCTACCGTCTCAACCAGAAGGGTGTCGTCGCAGGTACCGCTCGCGAGTACGGTAAAGCTACCTTAAAGGCTAGCTGGTTCGGAGGCCATGTCGATAAGCTATTCGAAGGTCTTGAGGATCAAACTCCCACAGTTTGGATGTCCCATGGGGACAAACTCGCTCAAATCCCCACAGGTTTCCACACTATCGGAGAGACTGAGAACTCTGAGTTCGCTGCGATTGCCCACGAGTCTAAGCCGCACTATGGACTGCAGTTCCATCCTGAGGTTACCCACACCGAGCAAGGCGCCCTTCTTCTTAAAAATTTCGCTGTCGGCATTTGCGGAGCCGAGCAGAAGTGGTCTATGGCCGAGTTCATCGGCCAGGAGGTTACCCGGATTCGCAACTTAGTCGGTCCTACCGGCCAGGTTCTAGGTGCCGTTAGCGGTGGTGTTGATTCCACCGTTGCTGGTACGTTGAAAGAGTCGAGAATGACTTACAGATGGGACATGACCTATCACGTAGGTGCCAAGCATAAGTGTCTAATTGATTCTACTGACCTGAACGAATTGTACACGAATGCTTGGTATCATGTGGTTTAGTTATTGTTCTATACGGTCATCCTCCCCTTCTACGTATCTTATGCTAACGAACCTGCAGCGAAGCTTATGACGGAAGCTATCGGTGACCGCTTTCACGCCGTGCTCGTGGACAACGGATGTATGCGCCTCAACGAGTGTGCGATTGTCAAAAAGGTAATACTTTTTTTTTTGGTCGAAGGTGTTGGCGTTTGTTCATATCTTCTAAAGGCATCAGATGATGCCAGACCCCTGAGGTGTCATTATGCCGCAGGGCTCAATGTCCAAGGGCACTTGGCATGGTTGACATCAAACCGTTCAGTAAATTTCTGATTTTCTAGAATTGCAGCTAACAAAAGTTCTTAGGTCCTAACAGATCAGCTTGGCATAAACCTCACCGTTGTTGATGCTAGTAAGGACTTCTTAGACGGGCTCAAGGGCGAACATGACCCAGAGAAAAAGCGCAAGTTCATTGGTGGCAAGTTCATCGATGTTTTCGAGGAAGAGGCTCGTAAGATCGAGGCTTCGAGCTCTGGCAAGGTTGAGTGGTTCTGTAAGTTTGAACCGACATTGACATGATTACCACCAGCATCATTGTCCACTCTTGAACGAAAGTTTGCTAACACGCATTAAAGTGCAAGGTACATTATATCCTGGTAAGATCCTCCTTCTATATGCTTTTTGATTATTATTCTGTTTGCTAGCTCGCCACTAACCTCTTCTAGATGTCATTGAGAGTATCTCCTTCAAGGGTCCTTCGCAGACTATTAAGACCCACCACAATGTTGGTGGTATCGCCGAGCGTCTTATGAAAGGCCACGGCCTGAAGCTTATTGAGCCTCTACGTGAGCTCTTTAAGGATGAGGTCCGCGAGCTAGGCCGTCAGCTCAAGATCTCCGAGGAGCTTGTTGGCCGCCACCCCTTCCCCGGTATGCTAAACGAGTTATTAGAGTCATTGGTTTCATATTTCAGATCGTGAAGCTAACGTCAATACTTAGGCCCTGGTCTCGCTATTCGTGTTCTTGGTGAGGTCACCAAGGAGAAGGTTGAGATGGCCCGTAAGGCTGATCACATCTTCATCGGTATGATCCGTGAAGCTGGTCTGTACGACCAGATCGGCCAGGCTTACGCTGCCCTGGACCCCTCCCGCGCCGTTGGTGTCATGGGTGACAAGCGTGTATATGCCAACATCATCCTCCTGCGTGCCATCTCCACTAAGGACTTTATGACCGCTACCCCCTACCCGTTCTCTCACGAGTTCCTGTGTGAGGTTTCTACTCGAATCGTGAACGAGGTTGAGGGCGTATGCCGTGTTGCATATGACTACACCAGCAAGCCCCCCGGTACCATTGAGATGGAGTAGATTGTTTCTATCTGAGGTTTGAGCTTACTTATGTTGTGTGATTTATAATAGAAAAGTTCGTCATGCTAGTATCAATTTAGCTACCTGTAACTATATGTAGGTAGTTAGAATCTGGATGTAGGTCACGAATCCATGTGCATAGAAAGAACGCAAACTCATGAATTGGAACTTTCTAATTTACTCTGTGTAATTGATTTGAATTCTTAACTTATCTAAAAACCGCAACGTAATTGAACAAGGCAGCTCACAAGTCTTGACTCCCGATTAAGGCCCTATCCCATTCCCGCCCGGCAGAAAAAGGCAGATAAGACGCGCAGATATGATACTCTAATCGAACTTAACAAGTTTGCATTCCTGCACAAATTCAGATATGGGGAAGGGGCCGTTGGAGCGAAAGCTCAAATTTGAGAAAAAGAACAACGATCTCATCAGATTACCAACGCGTGAGAGGGAATGCTCGACTGGCCAATGACAAATATTGACTGAAACACAGATGCCAAGGTTGAAAAACGCCCTATACCACATGCGCCAATCGCCTCGCCCTATGCCGGTGCTTCGGTGCCAAAGGTTGTCTACATTTCAAGTAGTACACCGTTTATGAGCGCCGTCAAGCGCATACAGAAACTCCTCGCTCAAGCGGAGAAGCGCGCCACTGCGAACATAAACCTCGAGGACACACGCAAGAGCGAGAAACAGATACTGGACGAGTTATCAAAAGTGTCAGAGAAGCGGGAGGAGGTGTTTATCAAAGCGACGGGACGGGCCATCGAGAAGGCGTTGAATGTCGGCAAGTGGTTCGAGGAGAAGAGCGTCGAGTATACAGTACGCATCAACACGGGAAGTGTGCTGGTTGTGGATGATGTTGTTGAAGACGAAGAGAAGAAAGCGAAAGAGCAGAAACAGCAAGATAAGCCATGCGAGAGCAGCGCTGTTCCGCCCAAGTCAACGAAGAGGAAACGACAGAACTGCTCGACAGACGATGAACTTCCCGAGAGCCGGACACGGTGGGTCAAGATGGTCGAGATTGCCGTGACCCTCAAGTGAATTACGAGACGAATCCGACATACCCTAAATCGGTTATTCAAAAATCGAGATCCACAACCTCATATCCTTGATAGTCCGTTGTCATCGCACACATGACTATCAAATAGGCATGCTAGCAACACAATGTCTAGCTTGTGAGATATATGTCAGTGGCTACACCGCGACCTTCCGGCGCAACCCTGCAACACTGATGCAGTGCCCATTCACACACAAGGCAGACTCAAATCAAGGGCACTTTGTACAAGCTTAGGGACACTCAAAATTTCAGTGTTACCTATATGTTATGTATCTCTAATCAAGATTAAAACACCAGTGAAAATCAAATGACATGAATAGAAAAATATCACTAATGAAACTCCTTAATACGCTCACAAAGCCTTACGCTGGCACAAGAATGATAATGCCCCTCAAACGATTTCAAAGAGACTGCAAGTCATGAGCGCATCCTTATTTTCCCCATCATGTACAGAACAAAAGAGAGAACAGGAGATGCCAAGTCCCGCGGGCAAGAGGCTAATAGTAACACTGTAGGTAGAAAGAAGGCAAAAAAAAAAAAAGGAAAGAAACATTGAAAGAAAGAGAGGGTGGACGTCGAGGCGACCAAGGAGAAAACCCTGGGAAGGTAGTTCGGGAGTCATCAAAAAATTCGTGAAGAGGTAAGAGAGACAAGGGTGGGCTAAATGGACGAGCCTCCGAAGATAACATATTATCTTGATGGCATTCATCACCAGAGAGTCATTACTGGTGGGGACTGAGATTTGATGAAAAAAACAGGAGAGATCAAGCAATGCAAAGGGCCTATGCAAAGGAAATAGCCGAGGAACACCGAACCCCAGAATTAGGAAATGAGACCAAGGTAGGTTAGGTTTATTTGTCCATCTTCTGCCAACCGTTGAGATAAGCCATCAGGCCCACCCCTAGCAGTACTACACCGAAGATGGAGGCATAGGGACTTGCTTCTTCCACGTAGTTATGCCGTTGTTGTGCAAACGCGGTGGCTGCAGCGTTAATCCCCTTGTTTTTTGAATCCAAACATTGCACGGTCTTGGAATCCACTTTGTCGCTTTCAGCCGGCAAATTCTTGCTTGTTCCATGATCGGCATCGAATTTGCTGTTAGCTGCCAATGCCTTCGCGGCTCGTTCTTGCTGCAGGGTTTCAACCATTTCTGCCAACGACTTGCGAGCCTGAGTAGTGTTGTCTTCAGCCTTCTCAGCACGGTCTTTGAAGGTTGCCACTTGTATTCTCATTTCTGCCATTTCTTCCATCATGGCTTCCAAACGGACCTGAAGCTCAGAGGTCTTGTCCTCGGCGACGTCTCCCTGGCTGTCTTCTGAACTAGAGATTTCCGAAGGGTGAATGCCGTTGGCCTGCACGGTTACCTCTGGCTCCTCTTGCTCTTGCTCCAAGACGGCATCGTTCATCTCGATTGTATCTTGGCTCTCCACTGTGGGGCGGTTCTCCAATTCATGGACCCTCTCTTCTGCCAATTTGCGAGCGGCCTGCTCTTTCAAGAGCATATTTTCCAGTTCCTTGACCCGTGTGCCTTGGGTATCGATTTCCCGCTTTGCAGATGATAGTGCCTCGATGAGAGACAGAATCTGGCTGGAATCGCGTGATACAGGGGAGCCGGTGCCGCTTTTTGGTTTTTCGGTATCAGAGCGTTTCAAAGAAGAGAACGACTCTGACGCACTTCGGGACAGCGCATCGGGTTTCTCGGGCAGAGGTTGTTGAGGAGGAGGGGCGGGGGGATCGGAGAACCTTGAAAATGAGTCTACTCGCGGCATTTTAGGTCGCCCATTCATCTGTCGGTGGGCAGCACTGCTTTCCAAAGGAGATGGCTTGGCCAGCCTTTCTTTCTCTGCGTAACCCGGTTTCATGATCGTTGTCAAAAATTCATCAGCCTGAGCGAGATCTGTTGTTTGTTGCTTTGCGGATTTCAGTTCGCCCTAAATAGTCAGCAAAAAGTAGGTGTTAGGGGGGGGAGAATCCATACCGTCAGCCGCTTGACGACTTGTTCGATGGAGATTGGCGAGTTCCAGTAGTTCATCTGCCGTTGTTGGTGTAGAGCGTTGAGCTGAGTGCTGGCCACACTCTGCGTGCTTCGACTACTCGCATTGCTACCGGCTCGGCCGCGCATGTGAGAGAGCGGTTGGCTCAAAGGGGAAGGAAGAAGGCCACCTCCAGAGGCGGGATCCAAGTCCCCAAAGTTCAGGTCCAGGATACTAGGCGTGGTGCCATAAAAGCCTGCATGCTCAACCTTGGCCGAGACTTTGTGGTGGACGATGGTGTTCTGATCCTCGCTAACGATATCGATGCCAAGTTCCAGGGTGTCGCCTTCGCGAACCTCATGCGGTTCCGATTCGCGGTTTTCAGGCGACAATCTCTGGCCGTTGACAAAAGTACCGTTGGAGGATTTGACGTCGCGAATCCAGACTTTGCCGGACTTATCAGCCCATATCTCAGCATGCTGCCGAGAGAGGACTTTTGAATCGAAGAACCCATTGAGATGCGTGGGCACTGTTTTCGCGTTTGTTTGACGTCCGATTCGTAGAACCTCGGGGAAATATGGCACATTAATTTGCTTCCGGTCAAAGGTGCCGTTCATCGGAACAAGTATCAAAATTGCTGGGTTTTCTGCCGGCTGTCCATTTAATTGACGGACACCATTATGCTGAGAGGACTGAGGCATGTGCTGCGAAGGGACGATGTTTGAAGGCTGATGCATGGCGGACATGGTAGATGATGCGCTGGGCCCCGATGAAAAAGCAGGTACAGCCTGAGATCGTGCGTTTGTTATCCCTGATACCGGTTCAGCCTTGGAGCTCGGCCACGGATTCTTCGATGCCTTCTTTTTGGATGACCAAGTTCCTGATTCGCTGCCGGAACTCTGTGTTTCTTGCGAAGAGGAGGTTACGGTAGATGTGGAAGAGATCGAGGAATTCGACCCTAGGGATGAAGAAGAGTTCGATCGCTGAATGTGCTTCCGTGGCATAAACATCCGCGAGACGTCGTCCGCGTTCACTGAAGACAGGGCTCCTTGTCCTCCGTTACCAGAACTGTACCATCCCAAGCGAGACCCCGATTGTACACTAGGTGGAGATGCCACGGCAGTCATGGAGAAGGATGCGAATGTTTTTCGACAGGATGATGATGTCTACACGGAGCGCGTCAACGGTCGCAAATTGTAAAGGGGACCGTTGTGCTTTTTCCCTCTTGGGGCGGTCTGAAATAGGCGTCTAGTAAGGTCGGTTTATATCCGAGAGGTTGGAAAATTGGATGCGCGCAAGGGTGATTGCACCTGAGTCGCCCGACTAAAATGAGGACGGTCGCGTTAGTGCTGAGAGAGACAAATGAATTGGCCCCTGTCAAGGGTCTGAACTCGACCCCACAATGGGTCAAATATTAGCATCGATTGACAAAACTTACTTCTGCACTATAGAATGAAAAGAATTCTGTGACTGAAATGAGACTAAGTGCTGTCAAACCAAGTGGGCATGTGAGGTCTCCAATCGTGAAATCGATCGTTTGTCTCACGCCAAGGCAAATAATACAAGCACAAGACGGAAATACCGCCTCGGCGTAGGCTTTAAACAGCCCTCAAGAAGATGTAACGAAAAAGAAATCTGAGATCGGGGATAGTTGCCATCAAGGAACCCGGCAAGAACGAGGACATCCACCTTCCTACTCCCTTGACGACTGGACAAATCGGTCACGTGGCTTCCAGTACGTAAGCACGTGGACAGTTTAGCGCGACGAAGGCGGAGAAACATCAATCTGGGGAGCAAAAAGTAGCTGTTTCACTGGACTTTGACTAGATCCTCAGCTTAAAGTTGTCAACTGCTTTTTTCACAGTCAAACACTCTATCCTACTTCATACAATGCCTGTGGTTGCCGGTCCTCCTGCCCAAGGTGGCCCAGGGGGCCCTTCAACTTTCGACAAGAGTATGTCAATCATCCAAGCATGAGCAGCAAGCAGTGCTATGCGCTATGAAGAAACAAGCTGACACAATTATTTTAATAGTGAAAATGGGCTGCCTCATGGGTTCGAGTATGTAAAGCCAATATAATTGACCGTTTCATCAGCTAACACTCCTTAGCTGTTGGTGGTATCATGGGTTTCATTGTCGGTTGGTGACACCAGTTCCACAAGATTATCTTCAGAAGCTTACCACAAATAGGAACTGTGACAATCTTCCAATATGGTGCTGGGCCTAACGGTGTCATGCGGACTCTCGGCAAATACATGCTGGGTTCAGGTGCTACTTTCGGGTAAATTGAGCTTCTCGCCTTGCGCTTAATGACTGCATGCTGATTCCTCCTTTCACAGCCTCTTCATGTCCATCGGTAGTGTCATTCGCAATGAAGGACCTCGGAACGATGCCTGGCTCCGCGCTCGAGGACCCCCGATGATGCTCCCCCGTCAGAGCCCCCTCCAGGCTATGCGCCAATAAACACAAAATTTCTCGCAGTCTCCGGACTATACTCGGGAAACATGCGACATGACCACTCCCCGGCGACGTCCCTTGTACGATACTATCTCTATGGGCGAGAGATGCATTTCCTGGTAGTTTCAGAGCTCAGAAAGGCGCCCGAATGGTTGTCAGGCACAGTTCCATAGGTGCTCGCTACCCCAGCACGCGATGTACATAACCTTGCGGTACCCGGGACACGGAGGTCAATTGACTCCAATTGCGCCAATCACTCTAGGCTTGATTCCAGAATCCATAATCTTTACTTCTACCATCTGGTTGATTAATCCCCAAACAAAAGAAAATTTGTGTCGTTGTTGCATTGATTAAAGTCCGGCGGGACATGGGCTACGCCTATGGCCCCGAGACCTCCCGGGGGGAATAAGGACGGGCTGCGTTATAGAAAATTATGTACGTGAGATAGCCCATCAGCAGCCTTTCAAGGGGTAAGCTCATCGGAGCATGCTGTTGACAAAACCGGCCTCCGACCTGTGAAGCAGAAATAATGAAGTATAAGATAGCTGTCCAGTTGTGCTAGTGCGTTCAGGGCCTTGATGGCTAGTGATCGAGTGAGGGCAGACCCTTCGGGTAAAGTTTTGGCCTGCTTGGGCCTGGAGAGAGTGTGTTTGAAAAGGATATCAGGGAAAGAATGAAGAATGAGAAGAGAGTGCGGGGAAGGATTGATATGTGGTAAGGCGAGCGGACCAAGTCTGAACAGTGTCGTTTTCTTTTAAATATTCAATTCGAGTTGTTGTCATCTAGACCAGTTGTTGTAGTTGTTTCTTCCGCCTAGTCGTCGTTCGAGTTCCAGCCGCTTGCTTTTGCGTACCGACGCCAGCGGAGGGAGATCAATAGGGATGTTGGGTGAGAATATCTCAATGGCAGAGGTGGGCGGCTCAAGTGCCCTTAGTTAATGAAGTTTGATGTCTTATTGTGCGATAGCCAAGGAGGAGACCCGCAAAAGGGATGAAAATGAAAGCGCCGCGGGCTGTCTATTTCAATTAAGGCAAGTTTGGAGCCATCTGCTGGCTATCCCTATTATATAGCATAGGGCGACATTCTGCTACTACGATACCTTGCCACCCTGCAGCACTCACACCAAAGGGACCTATTTCACTCCAGAGTGAATATGCTGAGGGCCCTCCACGGTTAAAATTCGCTCGACTGTTCGCTAGGGACTGGCTCACCACTGATGGTTCTCAAATAGCAGGTCTACTGCTGACTTGAGCATTATCAGTCGACTTCGACTATTTGCATTTCGCAGGCTTCCTTTGCAGAAGTACCGAGCTGGCTATACCCTACAAAACCGCTCGATTGAGGCTCCCTCAAGACAACCCTCATTATCGCACAAAGACTCCTTTTGAAATGGAACAACCCTTTTACTGATCTGTCATGTTTTGCTAAAGGGCGATTTTGGTGACAGTTCGTGAATGAGCCGGTGACCGTGACATGGCTTCGAAATCAGCCCATCACCCTAGTGAATAGCTCATCGGATTGGAGGCTTGTCCAAGTTCACATGTTCCAAATGCTGGATTCAACGTCTCCTAGTGTCGCAAATTGGCAAATCTTGACGAGAAAACCCTGCAAACCGACGTCCTTGGCTAATATTCCCTTGTGCACTTGAATAGTATCAAGCATCAGTACTCTGATTCCGGCTTTGAATCAGGCTATATCACTACATTTTACGTTGTATGCCAAGTTTTCAACGAGGTGCACATGGACCCGTCCAGGTTGGACAACATTATTTTCGTTAGAAATATTGCCTTTATGCTTCTGAATAGGTGATATGATGCTTGGGGCTGGTACCTGGGATCACTTGTCTACGTGCAACAGCAGAACCCATCAGGATAGAAGATATCTCCCAAAAGGACTTGTGTATATCGACAGAGCCACTACGACGTTCCTTATCAAATCCTTCCTTTTTAGGTGACGCATGATATGATTCCTTTTTCATATACGTTCCATTACTCTACGTCTCTCCGACCACCTTCGCCTCCGACTAATTTACAACCAATCCTCGCTCGCTTCGAGACTCTTGATACGAAATGTGTTGATTGCAGGAAATAAATAATCATACAATATGAGGGCGTACTGCCAATATCACTATCAGGCTCGTCTTTTGTCTAGCCTTCATACGGACTTGTCCGAGTTTAAATATTGTTCAGCTCTCTCGAGAACCATCTAGATTCTTGGGGATCTGCTACAAGGTCCGGAAGCTATTTAATAGGTTTGTAGAAATGACAAAGATGCTCTCCAGAGCGCCTTTACCCCGAGAGCTCAAATTTAGGTCCTATTACTCATTTGATTTTTGCCTGGGTATCAAACAATTAACAGTCAGCACCCAGTACTTCAAGTATTGGCCATTCGATCCACCTGTGGTATTCTCGTGGAAGCACCGCTGCGACGGCTTTTACGATCTTCGCTGGAATTGGCTCATTCCACCAAAATTTGGGGGCATTCTGAAATAGTACAGAGAAGTGGGCGAAAATGATAAGCGCTGCTGGTCTTCGTTGCTCAAGAAGCTCCACAAACCCAAAGGGAATTTCAAAGAGCCATCTGAACGAAAGAGTGAGGTAATTTGAGCTGTCGAGCTCTTGGGGAGTGTGATCTCTCGACAGCTGAGGATTTTGGAGAGGCTCATTGACAGCTAGCCGGCCAGTGTCTGCCGTGGAATCATCTAAGACTAAATTAAATGCTTCAACCAAAATCTCCAATGCCCGTGAATTGATCTGATTCTCATGAATATCGCTCATTGTCGATGAATTATCTGTTTCCCATATTTTCGCAAGGTCTTGCAGTTGGTGAGTTTTAGTTTCTCCGTTATTTTCTTTCCGTGTTGGCGGTTGACATCTCTCGCCTAGGACATCACTCCAGAGAAGAGGAGCAACAGGGCCATTTCTAATCCAGTAGCCCTTGCGCTTGTAAATGTCTGATGTCCCTTGGTGCAAGCGGAGCCAGTCCACAATGGCGTCAAAGAAATGATCCTCCATAAAGGTGGAAGCGGGGTTGATGACAGTACCTGCAGAGGCAGGAATGTAGTATTCTGCAAGGATAGAGAATGCGAAAATGGCATCGCAGTTTTGAGATGTCATATTCTCCAGTTGAGGTCGAAAGTCTTTGAGTGCAGCATCTTGCTTAATGGCAGCAAGAATGGATAGACTTTCTTTCTCTTTCGCAATCAGATTGCCCATATGAAGAGCGGCGAGAGCAAGAATCCCTTGAAGAAGAAAGGGATGTGCGAATGCAATTTGGACAACCGCTGTGGCCCAAGTCCTATGAGCTTCTGGTCGATCTGATAAAGTCGCGCTTGTACAATTGGTAAAGTGATGCAAAAGACGCATGTCATCTAAGCTATAGCCCGGGCTGTCTTTGGCATCCTTGGAAGAGCCTTTCCGAGCGTCAAGCCTCGGCCTTCGAACGCTTGGTGAGTGCTGGTAGGATACTCCTGAGCCCCACAGGTAGGGAGTTGTCAATAGAAAGCTGCAACTTTTGTTGAGCTTCGAACAACTGCCGCATATTGGGCGTTGCTCATCACATTTGACTCTCCGAGTCTTACAATCTCGGCACCCTGTTCTGGATTTTTGACCAAGTGTAGTTCGCGGCATGATGGTGATTAATTGATGATGCCAGAAAGAAGCTATAACCAATAGCAAACTAGTCGGTGCGAAACTGCTAGGGATTGCAAGGTGACGTTGTTCCGATGAGGCAAAACAGGCCATTCCCGCTTCCGAAATTTCGGAAGTGTACTCAACTCACTCTAAGGCGATTCTTTAGGCACTTTTCCTCGGCAGCCGGATCGCCACTTGTCGATATCTGGACCCAATTGAAAGCTTAATGGGTTCTTGGTTCGACTCCTATTGTTTGTCTCCAGATTTTCGAGGTTGAGTTCATTGACCCACTCTACTTAGCTCGCACCGACAGCTTCATCATTGGCTCAACAGCATCAATGGTGTCAGGGTTCGTCATTATTAGAAACTGCCTCTTCCAGGTTATAGCAAGCTCGCATTGTGCATACCCTGATTGGAACGTGGTTTTGTCAAGATATTCGTTGGCACATGTACACCGCACATGAATTTCGGATGCGTCGGAAAATCGCTCTTGAGTCTTTTGCAGACTGAAGTATGCCGATGGAGCCGTGAATACAGGCAGTATCCAACTACTTAAAGTCTCTGGATCCCCGAGACGAACAGTATCATCTCAGCAATCACTAAAGCATTCTACTCAATCTACTTCTATATTTCTTTTCAAACCATCAACATGTTGGGCAAGATCGTTCTCGAGGAGGCATATGAGCGCGCCGGCAAGGAGGAAAAGTCCAAGGCCGAAGCTGCCTTGTACATTGCCCCTGAGGACCGCGCTCGCTACATGCGACAGATCCACGACATCAACGATGAGCGTGTTCGACTATCCAATGCTCACGGTATTGGCTACACCATTGTCTCCCTGACCGTCCCCGGTATCCAGGGTATCGCTGACAAAGCCCTGGCCGAGAAGACTGCCACTGAGACCAACAACTGGGCGGCTGATCAGATCAAGAACCACCGCGACCGCATGGGTGCATTTGCCTGTCTGTCCATGCACGACCCGAAGCAAGCTGGCCAGGAGCTGCGTCGCTGTGTTCAGGAGCTTGGATTCCACGGCGCTCTCCTTTGCGACTTCCAGCACTCTGGTCCCAACGGCGAGACCTATCTCTACTACGACCAGCCCGCCTACGACGAGTTTTGGAAGGTCCTCACCGAGCTTGATGTCCCCTTGTACATCCACCCCGCTGCACCTTCGGATGTCGTGCTAGAGAAGCTGTACGCCCAGCGACAGAACCTGATTGGACCCCCTCTGTCTTTCGCAAACGGTGTCAGCCTGCACACCCTGGGCTTGATCTCCAACGGAGTCTTCGACCGTTTCCCCAAGCTGAAGATTATTATCGGTCACCAGGGCGAACACATTCCTTTCGACTTCTGGCGTATTAACCACTGGTTTGAGGATGTGAAGCGGCCCATTGCTCAGGAAGAAGGCCGTGTCATGGCCAAAAAGACTATCTATGACTACTTCAAGCAGAACATCTGGATCACTACTAGTGGACACTTCTCAACTGCCACCTTGAAGTATGTCGTCAACGAGATTGGTGCCGATCGCGTTCTATTCAGTGTCGACTATCCCTACGAGACCATTGAAAACGGCTGTGGCTGGTGGGACAATGACGCCAAGGCCATTCAGGAAGCTGTTGGCGGTGTTGATGCCTATCGCCGCATTGGGCGCGATAACGCGAAGAAGCTGCTCAAGCTGGGCTCTTTCCACGACTCGGATGCTCCTGTCAACTAAGATATGGGTATTGAGGATTTTAGATATATCTCTCTCTGCTCGACCATATCTGGAGCACTACCTTAGAGATTAAGATTGCATATATATTGTCAAATATCACCAAACGTTGATCCTTGAATAATTTGACTATCTATGAGCAACACAGCAATTTATTGGAGCACCATGTTTGAAACCTCGGCAGTAAGAAGTAACTAACGGAGTCTTGTTGTTTTAATACGTGTACATGCGCCAGTCTGATCTCCAGATTGAAAATTACACATTTACCACGCTGGCTCGTCGACAATTAATTGGGTGTCGTGGATTTTGAAAAGGTGGATAGCAAAAATTAGTTCGCTGGACGACAAGGTCATCGTAAAGTAGGTTGTCGTTAGTGACATTGCTTTTCCACAAGGCAGGGAATGATCTCGAAGCCTTCCTGGTGGAACGTCGGGCTATTGAAGGAGATAAACATACATCCAGGCATATAATAAGATTGGAGTTGTAGCCCTCGAGCTTGTGCTGGGTGGTAGGCATCCCGCTAGAGGCGGTGTGTTGGGGCACCGTACATCATGAGGGCCCGGCAGACCTTCGTGATATATGACTGACTGGCACCGATAATTGTACCTTGCAGTGACAAGCCGCTCGCGGAAGGAGCAATGCTGGCTTGTGTGCTTGTCGACGGATGTTCCCAATGCGGGTTACCAGAATCTTGAGGACTGACTGCCGTCTTTTGATTTGCAGATGCATCCCCATCTTCCTCTCGAATCAGGTCATTGAAGCAGGCTCTCGCGTCATTGTTCTCTTCCACATTGAGGGAGAGAAAATGTACGAGGGACCTTGACATGTTGCAGCAGTGCCAGCTGTATAGGTGTTGCGTGTGCCACTCACTACAGGTGATTACTCATGGGATTGCTTGCTGACATTCTACCGCTGAGAGTGACTTGGAGCTCAGATGAGATAAAGGGTAGACCCGCATACTGGGATCTTTTGATATAAAAGCCATTTTATTTTTTTATAAATTACATTTCGGCAGCATGGTTCCTTTATCGGTTTTGGCACGGTATCTCTGACCAATGAAACTCCAAAATCCAGAGGGACTTTGTAGCCCAAGTGCACAAGTCACTGATCCAATTCCGGGCTTGTATCAGAAAAGCCGCCGAGAGGACCCACTTCACTTCCCTACCCGCTAATTATCCGAACGCCCCATTTGCCCCACAGCTGTAGAGAACTCATAACATCCGACGCTCATCCGCCTCCTTCGCGGGCATGAATATCAAATCAGACATCGATATAATTCGCACCCTCTGCGTGTACGCGAACAATGAAGATTCCATGACGACTGCTCTATACACAAGCTGCCGTGTTGTAACAGTACATCTTCATCATTTTCCAACATCGAATTTTGCGGCTTGCTTTTACTCCAAACGTAGCCATTGGGAGCTGTGCGTTCATCTCTCACAACACATAGTTACTAGATACGTTTATTGGCACTCTCTCTGATCTTGGGGGGAAAAGCCTCTCCTTACAATCTACTCATACATCATTATGTATGAGATAATCCAAAGCATGCTTCACCAAGGGTCTTATTAGCAAGCTACAATTCTAGATATAGAATTTGCTTACTCTGAAAACAATTAGAAGCGGCGGGGCTGAGAGCTGTAAGAATTCAACTCTTGAGATCATCGGGTTTGGCCGTGAACTAGGACACAAACTATGTCCTACATCCTGGATACATGGCTTGGTGGTGGCCGGAAACGGTTGCACAGTACGTCATTTAATATACCAAACCAAACAACTGAAAACCAAAGAATATCGCGTTTCGTTTTAGACGCGAGGTAGCTATGTAAATATCGAATGTCTGTGTATTTGATAGAGCGTTTATAGAGCTACACCTTCGTAGGTTCGATGCATGTCATCTTCGATTAAAAGGCATTCGCGGATATCACACGAACGAGCACCGGAGACAGTCTGATACTGTCCCTTTTACATAATCAGAATTAGGCTTGGCTGCCAAACAAGCCGGTTAATATAGATCATTTGATGATGGTCGGGAGTTATGGTTTGCCGACAGAAAGAGCGATTCGTTCCGATTGGCGAAAAAACCAGTGGAGAAGATATATTAATTTCTTCGTCGGAAGTTGATCAATGGCCCGGAAAAGGCAGGCTGCGGAGTGGCGGGGAGGAGGATGAAGGAGGAATTGATTCCAAGGGGTTTGCCGAACGGTACTTGTTAGAGAATTTCCCATATGAATTACCCTTTTGCGCTGCTAACCCTCACACATCGCCAACATGCAATCAAGAGGTATGCTAAGTTTGTCTTAGTCGTGCCTTTCAACTAATTCCCTGCAGAAGATATCAAGAATGCGCTAGGCGACATTATCAATCGCTACCGCCCAGAGCTAAAGCCATTCGAAGACATTTACCAACACATACATGCGCACCCAGAACTGTCAGGCGAAGAAAGACAGACTGCTCAGATAGCTGCCGATCACCTCACATCCCTTGGGTATGAAGTCCACACTAACATCGGCGGTCACGGCGTCGCCGGTGTCCTCCGTAACGGCGCCGGCCCAACAATACTACTACGGGCCGACATGGACGCATTGCCTGTTGAAGAAAAAACCGGTTTAGAATACGCTAGCAAAGTAATCGCTACGGACACCAACGGTAAGAAGCAACCAGTGATGCACGCCTGCGGCCACGACACCCATGTCACGACTCTTATGGCTGCATCAACCCTGCTACACGCCGCCCGCGATAACTGGAGCGGAACTTTGATCTGTGTCTTCCAGCCGGCCGAGGAACATTTCAACGGCGCACAGGCGATGCTTGAAGACGGCCTCTACGATAAGATCCCTAAGCCGGATCTTGTCCTCGCGCAACATGTTATGCGTATGCGCGCCGGAACGATCAGCCTCCGCGCAGGCCCGCTGCTTACGGCTGGCGATGCGTATGACGTGCGGGTCTTCGGCCGTGGTGGGCACGGCTCGCAGCCTCAAACGACAATCGATCCGATTGTTCTTGGGTCGTCGATTGTGACTCGGCTACAGTCTATCGTGTCGCGCGAGGTTACGCCGGGAAAATTGGCTATCGTGACTGTGGGTAGTATTCACGCGGGCCAATCGCACAATATTATTCCGGCGCACTTAGATCTACAGTTAAATGTACGCACTTTCGATACCGCTGTGCGTGAGCGTGTGTGCGCTGCTATTCATCGTATCATTGAGGCAGAGTGTCAGGCTGCCGGTGTGGAGCAGAAGCCTGAGATTAAGTTGACTTTCTCGACTCCGTCGACAATTAATGACGAGAAAACTGTGGGTGCGCTGAAGGAAACATTCCGGCCATACTTTGGGAAAGATCTGGTTAATACGGAGCTTCCGACTGCTAGTGAGGACTTTTCTTTGCTTGCTACTGCTGTTGGTGCGCCTTATGTCATGTGGATGTTTGGTGGCACTGATCCTCAGACTTGGGATGAGGCTGTTGAGAAGGGGACTCAGGATGCGCTGCCCAGTAACCACTCGCCTTTCTTTGCGCCGGTCATGCAACCTACTTTGAAGACTGGGGTTGATGCTTATGCGCTTGGGGCTTTGACCTTCTTGCAGAAGAAGAAATAAAATGTGAATAGGAATAGCATTGAGTACATTACAATAGAACCTTGGACAATTTCCAATTTTGACACAACTTGACTTAATATTTCATACGACCTTTGATGCTACTTAGACAAAGCATTTGGCGTAAGAGAGAACTATGGTGGGATTTGAATTGGCAAAATATTGACTTAGACACACTAGCTTCACACCACCTTCCGACCAAATTTTTTCTATTTTGTCGAGTGACAATACAAAAGGTTGTCCAATATTTGGGAAACGGACGAACAGGTAGCTTCCCGTGAGCTAAGCCTAATGAAACATCATGATTGACTCTGTGAAGTCCATCGCAACACAGGCTTCAAGACATTGCCCTCTTTCATGTCATTGAATGCTTGCAAGAAGTCATCGGAATCATAAACCTTGATCAACTTTTCCAGAGGAAACTTCCCCTCACTTTGCTTCTCGATCAAGTAGGGAATCATCTACTCGGTACATTAGTCTGCGCGCAATATATGACTGTAATCAAGGCACGACATACCTCTGTTGCAACACTGTCACCCTGGTGACAGCCAAGATATTGTCGACCCATTGTGAGATGCGAGAAAACTTCCACTTCGACCTTCCTTCCAGGAGCTGGCGCCCCGATACTAGCAGCTTTTCCGCGAATACCAAGAGTCGCAATCATAGTCTCGATCACAGGGATGGCACCAGAGCAATCAAGGGCAAAGTCCGCGCCACGCGACGAGCTGCACAGATCAGTGATATTTTTTCGGATGTCGGGGTCATCTCCACGGAAAGTGTGGGTAGCACCTAGCTCCCGGGCCAAATCCAGTCTTTCAGGCTGAAGATCCACAGCAACAATGATTCGAGCTTCCCGGATTTTGGCGGCCATGACCCCAGCAAGACCAACGCACCCCGTTCCGAAAACCACCACTGAGCTTCCGGGCCTCACGTTTAGAGTATTGAAAACTGCGCCGGCCCCGGTTTGCATCCCACATCCTAGTGGAGCAAACAGCTGGAGATCTGTGGTCGGTGGGACCCGTACAACTGATGACTTGCTGACGACTGCAATTTTGGCGAAGCAGCTCTGGCCGAAAAAATTGGTAAACAACTCCTGCTCATTAGGCAATTTCATTGTGCTAGAGCCATCTGGTCGTTTTCCGCCGAAGTTTAGCTGCAACAAGTTTTCGCAATAGGCCGGGTAACTTCTACTACACTGGGTGCATTCACCGCAGAAATTGTAGCTGAGCAGCACTTTATCGCCAATCTGTAGATCTGTGACGCCGCTTCCTCTTTCTAAGATAACCCCAGCACCTATCTCGTCTTAAGTATCACTGTATTGCGGAATATTTCGGTTCTTAGAGCATGTAGAACAAACCTTCATGGCCAAACACATTAGGAAACTGGACTGGAATATGCCCCTCCATACACGCCAAATCTGTATGACAAATACCAGTCGCGTGTATCTGAACCTTCACCTCGTTGGGCTGCAGCGAATCCAGCGCGACTTCGAGGAGTTCGGGTTTGGCCCCAGCAGACTGGACAACCAATGCGCTAGTATTGCATATCGCCATGGGGAAGTATCAGTTCAGGAATTGGTTATGCACAAAGAGAAACAAAAGTGCGGACTTCTAGTACCCTGCTATGGACCCCTTACTCTCTCAAAGTTATGTCATCAATAGTTCATGGATATACGGTACTCCGCAGCCCCCGCATTGGAGGTTCAACATCCGATGCGGGTTCCGTTCGGATGCCCCTTGGTGGAGCTCCTTCTCCCACTTTCCTGATACCCACATTACTCAGATAGGTTTAGACCTGTATAGTGTGTGGCGCATAAAGCATCAATTCTAGCCTTGGCAGCCACGCATGGCAGATAACCGTACCATGATATGAACCAACAGCTCATTGACTCATTGATCGGAAGCGATATCTAGTTTATTGTTATTCAGTTGCGCAGGAATATTGGATCCTGAGACAAACTTTGGTCCTCGGCAGATAGCCAGCAAGTCAGGAATATTCGGTAGTTCTTAGATAGGGTGGAGAGTGACAACTCAAAAATGTTACTTGATGATCATGCCGTTCTTCCCAGGGACATTTCGTGTGACCCCGAGTATTCATCGAGGTGTCAGAAGATAGTACAATTACGAGAATTGAAATCTTCGGGTGAGTCGTCCTTTTCTTTGCATTAGAAAACATTGCCCATCCCGTATGGCTCTATGGTTCATTGTCAAGACTACAGAAATTGAGAGGGTGTATTGTATACTTGATCCCAATGTATGCATTTATGTATGCATCCTCCGACAAGGTCCTTACAAATCCGGTCGTTGGTCTGCAAAGCCCAGCTCATACTGTACACAGAAAGATTTGAAAACTGATGTTCAATTTGCATAGATATACATTTGGATACTATTCGCTGGATCATTTCATGTTGAATACCAATTCTACTGTATTGAACATAGAACAAATAGTAAATTGATATGAAGAAAGAATTTCTATACAGTGCAAACGTATAGCTAAAAGAAAATCTCTGAGGTGTTCAAATCCTCTGGGCAAGCTGCTGTCGAGCATCCTCGCACATCCTATCAACATCCACATTGGCTATAATACCGTTTCGGTGATTGATTGCCTCTTCAATCTTTTTGAAGTCCCTTCCCACCCCCTCAGCCCGCCATTCATAGCAGTCTCCGACGAACCTGCTGCTCTGCACCAACCACTGTGTTCTTTCTCGGCGACAGAAGTCGAAAGCATCTACAGCATGCTCAAGATCTTTGTGCGTCTGCACTCGATCGTCTTCCAGCAATGCAGCCAAGACTGCCGTGTCCTCAAGGCAGAAGCCAGCCCCGGCGCCGTGGTGCGGCGACGTGGCGTGTGCCGCATCACCGGAAAGACAGACACGGCCTTTGGAGAATGTGGACAGAGGATGTTCTCCCAGGTCGAAAATTGCCCACTATGGAACGATCAGCATTTCACGACTTATGGAGCACAGTTGGTGTGGATGGGCTGAGGCTTACCACACTGAGTTCTTCGTCAGTCAACCTCAATAAATTGATCACGTTAGGCCCATATCCGGCGAAGTCGCGGAGAGCTTCATCCCGCGTGCCTTGTCGGGTTAGTCTGGGGTAATCCGCCCAGTTATCCGGACTGGTGTGGAAGGCAACAATGTTAAGCATCTTGCCCTGGCTTACAGGGAATGTCAACACGTGGCCACCGGGACCCATCTGTCATCATTCTTAGCCAAGCACTTTTAGTCAAATTCTCCAGTGCGACTTACATGCATGCAAGAATTAGAAGCCAATTCTTCCCCGATCGCCCCGATCGCCTGATCCATGGGTACCAGACCACGGTATGCATATTTGTGCGTATAGGTGGGGTTGGCAGACGGATGGTCTTCACCCACCATCAGCTGCCGAACCCGGGACTTGATTCCATCACAACCGATCACCACGTCAGTAACGTCCTCGCTGCCATCCGCGAACTTCAAGACGAGTTTTCCATCTTCGCGCTCGGTGACGTCATCCAGTCGCTTGTTGAACCGTGAGATGCCATCAGGGACCAACCGGATCAGTTCGTCGAGGAAGTGGGCGCGGTGAACTCCGGTCTGACCGGTGCTGTTTGAAATGGTAAAGGCAATGTCCTGGTGGCTGGCATTCTGGGCCGAGGTCGACGTGCCCGTGCTATGCCCATCAAGATAGTCGAACCAGACATTCTGCTTGGATGACCACATATTCCGTGTGCAGACCTTCTCGAAGGCCTCGAAGATGCCTTGGTGGCAGGTTTTCATCGCTGCGACGGCATTAGGTCCGAAGGACACGCCGGCGCCCACCTCGCCAAAGGCAGGTGCTTGCTCGTAGAGTGTCACAGGGATGTTGCGGTGGTGAAGAGTAATTGCCAAAGTCACTCCTGCAATACCACCGCCGACCACAGCGACGTGGAAATTCTTCTTAGATGCAGCCATTGGTTCGGGTTTTCGCGTCCAAGTTAGTGCATAATAGCCAGAAGTGACAGAAGACAGAGACAGCGGAGGAGGTTATTATCTATAAACCACACCAGTCTTCTCTACCGGAATTGCCGAAATCACACTCCTCGATCCGACAATTTAGTGAGTGTGGCGTAAGTTCGGATTTGGCGCAGCAATATCGGCTTTACGGCGACCTCCAACGAATAGTTTCGGATAACCGTGTTGGTGGGCTTGGCACGGCTATTGGGAGAGACGTGAAGTGTGGAGATCCCCGTGGGGCAAACTTTCTACATGTTCCGATCGCCTTCAAAGCCCGATAATAGTTGTAAAGAAGCTCAAAAGCAGTAGAGCACTTGAAGGGCGGATCAGACCACTCTTCCAGGGATAGGCTTATCCTAGAATGCCATGTGGGGAGGTTGGTATGTATTTTTTCTGGAGAAAGATCGATTTCTCCTGGACCGAAACGATATTAAAATAACACCCCTAAGGAGAAGGGAAAGGCGGCCGATTCGCACCAGATAGAATCCATCTTCTGAGGTTCCAGCTCCTCTATATTTGGCGCTGTCGTGTTGCACTGTAATAAATTGATTCAAAATGGTCGTCCCAATAGAATTGAGCAGTAGGTGTTCCTCACCACCAGAGTCCACCATAACCTTCGAAGAAGGCCTCCGTCGCGAAGGCTGTTTGAGTTAGCTGCCGTGCGGTGAAGACCAAGGATATTGCTAGTATGCTCGCAATACTGATCCAAGAACACGGATTGCAGTAGCTCTGTAAATGAGGCCCCCAGAAGCTCAACATAATAGCCGACTGGATCATGGTGACTTTGACTGTTTCATAGCCAACGTCAACGGTCAACTGGCTTTGGTGTAGTTATGTTTCCCGTGCCTCAAATCTAGAGTCGAAACCAGAATTAAAGATATGTAATGATTTTGTGGACCGATAAAGCTCCAGGGCTGTCTAGTTAGTTCAGGTGTCAGCTGTGGGGCCCAACAAAAATCTGGGGTTGACCTTTACCATCCAATGTGCTTTCAAAGCACCTATTATCCCGTCATGAATAACAGAAACTGTGCTAGACTACATGCAAGATACACAATCTCAAGATGTTCCTTTTATCAGAATCGACTTAGTTGTATGTCCAAGAGCAACTTGTGTGAACACTACACTTCTGGGCCCCAGGCCTCGATCCCCAGAATTCCCGCGACTTGCATATATGTACATACGAGGTCGGTGACTGCGCATGGCTGATGTTAATTTGCATTGATACGCACATGCAGGGTTCAATGACACATTTCTGTTCTTCGATTTCAAGGTTCGTGTGTCAACATATGATGTGGCAGTGAAGCCCACTGCATATCGGTGCAAGTTGCGGTCGCCTGATTATCTCCAACCCACTCAAGTTGGTGTTGGTCAGATAATATTGTCAGGGATCATATGGAGGCATCATAAAATAGATTTCGTTGCTCCTCAAATGAGTCACCGAAAGCACAGTCCGCTTCTATCGGTGTCGCATGTGGTTATACTCACAACCAATCAAAAAAGTTGGACAACTCAATTTTACGGTGTAGACGGCTGGATTCTGTTTTGATCTGCAGATTTTCGCAATACTGAAAGCCTTTTGGTCCAGACCAACAAAATTCACTGTTCCTTGACAGCGCTAATATTTGCCCAGCCCCCTTGACACGACAATTGCGCTGCCTTGTCCAATAGGAAGCTAATATGGGCAAGGCTTTTGAAAGATATAAGGTGAGGCTCAACTGTTCTAATAATATAAAGAGCCACATTCAAGGCACCACATCACAGTGGCGATGCAAAGTCTCTTCGTCAGTCTCTCTGTTCCACCCTATCCATCATGGCTACGCAGCTAGCCTCTTGGGCTCTTCACTATAGCTGCAGTCTGGTGGCCAGTCTCTTTGCTGTGACTTGCTTTTTTGTCAACGATAAACCCGCAAAGAAACCAACAAAGAAAAAGAGAAAAGCGATTCGCAACAAGCACCAAGTTCGAGTTCAGCTCGTCCTAACTGCGTTGATCGTTCTCACATATGTCAGTCAAATTGCTCTGATTATTGCCACCCAGGATCTGGACCGTTCCCAGCCGTTCCTCATGCATATGACCTCTCTGGCCGCCGTATGGACAGCGGTGTGGTTCCGACAACAACAAGTCCCCAAGTATGCATTGGCAGGAGCCTCCTCGGTGACCGCTGCTTTCGAAGTTCCACTCCTTGCGCTCTCCTTGTGTCACAGACCGACACACTGGGTGCCAATCGCACAGATTACCATTTCATCGGTTCGGCTGTTACTGCTTACTTTTGTGGCAGCTGCCATCTTATTGGAAATCAGGCAGTTATGGGAAATCAGGCAGCTGAAGAAAAATACTTCGGAAGAATCGCGCCCCTTTCTGAATAGGAACCACACCACTTATGGTGCAACCAATGGCGACGACCTAAATAACAGCAGTGGCAGCGAGAGCGAGACCGATGCAGCCAAGCCTATGACTGCTAGCGAAAAGCGGGCCAAAAAGCGCGATGAACAGCTGCAGACATTCAGGGATTGGTTGAAGTATATCAAAAGCTTTAAGATCATTCTGCCCTATCTGATTCCCAGAAATGACCGCAAAGTGCAGCTTTGTATTGCTGTAAGCGTGGCTTGCCTGGCGGTCGAGAGGGTTCTTAACGTCGCAATTCCCCAGCAGCTGGCAAATATTACCAACAGCATCTTTTCTCGCGAAACTCCCTATGCTTCATTGGTAAAATGGGGCTTCTTGAAGCTCCTCAACAGTGAATCTGGAGTGGGTTTGATTCAGACGTTGGTCAAAATTCCGATAAGACAGTTCGCTAATCGCCAGATTAAAAATGCTGCCTTCCGCCATGTGATGAGCCTATCAATGGACTACCACATTGAGAAAGACTCGGCAGAAGTGATGAAGTCGATTGACCAGGGTGAATCGATGCAAAATTTGCTAGAAATGCTTGTTCTAGACATCATCCCGACAATATTAGACTTGTTCATCGCATGCTTCATTTTTAACATGAAATTCGGCACCTACACTTCTCTGCTGGTGGTGCTTGCGGCGACTGCGTATGTTTCGGCGGAGGTCAAGACCTCGAACTGGAACTCGGAGAAACAGCGTGAAAAAACACAGGCCCAGCGTGACGAGACTCGCATCATGCATCAGGCCGTACAGGGCTGGCAGACCGTCACATACTTCAATCAACATTCACAAGAGAAAGACAGATTCAAAGAAGCAGTCGCTAAGAGACAGAAGGCAAGTGCCATTTGGAGTCGACGCCGAGCATTCGGAAGGGCACTCACGGAGACAATCAAGCCAATCGCATATGTCTGTTTGGCTTCTCTCATCGTGCGCGAAGTCTCCATGAAACGTATCTTGCCGGGAGACTTTGTCTTTTTTATCCAGTACTGGAGTTTAATCCTTATGCCTCTGGCGTGGCTCTCTGCGCAGTATCGCTATCTGGTCTCTAATTTAATCAGTGCCGAAAGCCTGCGCGACTTGTTCCAATCAAAGCCCAGTGTTACAGATAAAGAGAATGCCGTGGAGCTAGAATGTGGAGCCGGTCGTGTTGCTTTTCATAATGTTGAATTTGCCTATGATCCCAGGCTAAAAACCCTCAATAACATTGACTTCTCTATTGAGCCAGGAACGACAGTGGCTTTGGTGGGAATGACGGGGTCCGGAAAGACCACGATCCTTCGACTTCTTCTCCGCCTCTACGATGTCACCGGCGGTCGAGTTGAGATCGATGGCCAGGACATTCGCGATGTAACCCTCGGCTCGTTGCGGCGGGCCATTGGCGTCGTCCCACAGGACCCCATTCTTTTTAACGCGACGGTCATGGAGAACCTGAAGTATGCTCGGCCCGGGGCTTCGGATGAAGAAGTTTACGAGGCATGCCGCGCTGCCGCAATTCATGACAAGATTGAAAAGTTTGTGGATCAATACAACACTAAAGTCGGAGAGCAAGGTGTGAAGCTGTCCGGTGGCGAGCTACAGCGGATAGCCATCGCTAGGGTGTTCCTGACACGGTCTCCGATTCTTCTGTTGGACGAAGCAACGAGCGCTGTAGACTCAACCACGGAATCAGAAATCCAGGTTGCCTTGGACCGGTTGAGAGCTAAGCGTACTACAATTGTCATTGCGCATCGACTCTCTACTATCGTCAACTCAGATCTCATCATCGTTCTGCATGAGGGTCAGGTTCTGGAGAGTGGGTCACATCAGGAGCTGCTGACGAAGAAGGATGGGAGCTATTATAAGCTCTGGCATAATCAGTTTGGGAACAACACGAAAATCTAAGCCCGCCTTGTAGGTGACTATAAAGAAGACCAAGTTGTGAGGGCAGGTCAAAGCAACTTTTCTTGGTTATTTCCTTATACAATCCGGGAACGACATTTTTTTGCAGTATCTAGAGCGCCGAGAAGCTTCTGCTCATGAATATATATCTTACAGCCACACGCAAAAAGAAAATGTACAACGCCCGAGAGATGTACACATAGTTCGCAATTGAAATCAGCCGAGAGTACGAAAAGCCTCCATATCATGTAAATGGACGAATACGAGGTAGATAGGAATCGAATAATAATGCAGCATCAAAGTGTCGCTAGTTTGTCTAGACGTAATGTAGAACAAGCTCCCAAGCCAAGGCAATGCCAGGTGCATGAGAACAAACTAGGTACATAGGTATCAATTTAAGAATTCCAAGCTTGTAAGATATGTAGACTTATTCTAGACATGCATCCCTCGTGAAAAAACGTAAGCGGCGCACGCGGATTTGGCCAACACGTTGTCAGGCCTCTTTCCCAATCTCTGGAGCCCTACGGAGTCCTAGGGTAGTAAATTACGATATTGTCCTGTTGACCCACAAAACATTGAACGTTAGATCTTGTTGTCAAGCGCCGACTTATTATTATTTTCTCCTGTACAGAGTAGGGCTAATCTGACCCAACAAAAGCAAAGAGGTCAGCACTAAGCCAGAAAGAGACGACGGGCAATGAAGTAACCGACATGTAACCACTCCGTATAACTAGTCAGGTACAATAATTTTAATTTCGATCGACCACTTGATCTACAAACTCATCACATAAGGAGCCCAAAGAGTTCAAAGAAGTCCAAAGAGTCCAAAGGGTCCAGAATTGCTAAAGAGACCCAAACTCGACACCACATTTAGTAGGCCTGAGCGGTGATCATTAGTAACTTTCTGTTCCTGAATAGAACCACGGGTCTCCGATCCATGGACAAATTATTTTTTTCTTCCTTTTTTATTATCTCGGCTAATACTATCCTATACTGAACTCCTCCGTAGTAATGAAATCTGTTGTATTACAAAGGAATTCCAAGTATTAAAGAAGTATTAATAATAAAGACTGTTTCCGAGAGAACAATGCTTCGTATCACACACCTGGGCAGCAAGTCATAGCCGAGAATCGGGGTTCCTGCGCATGACGCCAGGGGTCCGGAACCGACGGAAATCTGCGAGGGTGTGATACAATGATGCCCGGTGAAAATCGTCATCTAGGGCAAATTAGGACAAATTAGGTGGTAAAAAAAATCTAAAGACGCTTTTGGATTCATAGACCGAGAGAATGATTTCGCCAGTGAATTCTAATCCAGACCAAGCTAGCTAGTTAAGGGCCAAGTATACCTACAGTGGCTGTATAGGATTTTCAGGGCGAAGAGTTCTCGTATTGTATTCTACTCCTTCCCTTGTCAAGTGAAGGGAAAGATTTCAAAAGGTTTCAGAGATTGACATTGACCCTAGATCATTCCCAATAAAACAAAGAATAAGATTCACCTTGTACCCCTGGCGTCAGAGTCTGTGCGGGTAGACCCTTCGTGTTCCTGAATCCTTGGCGACTTAGTGAAATTTAGGGCTTCGGGAAATTCATAGTTCAATCTTAGATGGAACCCCTTTCTGCCAATCGCGGACCTGGATTTGACTTAAAAATCAATATTAATATAAAGAAAAAATAATAAAAAATTGAAAAGAACCAAACAAACGGCGCCACAGGGCTCCTTTGAGAAAACAATTTGCCCTTTCCCCAGGTTCAAGGCTCGTTATTTAGCCTTGGGCATGCCACACCCTGTTAATTTTTCCCTTTCCTCTCTCCTTAGGCACTTTACACTCTTTTCACTCGCCCCCAGTCACTCGTTTATACACCTGTCCGAGCAGCGCTCCCCACGATCATTATACTCTTTCTCGACTTTGACTCATTTTTCAAAAGTCGAAACATATCTCAAACACACTTGTCTCGTAGTCGTTCGAGCCGTACAGCCATCTGCAGACTTCGCGCGCGCAAACTGATCGTTTTGCTCACTCATCTCATTCTCATCTATCTTCACTTTTGACTCAATCTCAATCGCAATGAAGTTCACTACTCTCATCACCTCTCTCTGTCTGGCGCTGGCCCCGCTTGCCGCCGCCACAGAGACCCTCACTACTATGACCTCTACGACCACCATCACCAAGACTCTGGTCCGGGTTAATTCTGTGACACCTACTCCAAGCTCTAGCATGACCACCATGCCTGCTTCTTCTACCTCTACCCCACTGTCCAAGACAGCTTCTACCACCTCGGCCATCGCTGCCGCTACCTCGACCGGTGCTGCCGCCCACGTTGGCGCGGGCATGCCCGCTGCCTTGGCAGCCGCCGGTTATATCGCTGTGATTGTGGGCCAGGCCCTGTAATCGCATATGCGACGCGACTTTGACAAGGCGCCATATGCGCAGGCAACGATCATGAACTGGGTCCATTGACAAGACTCGCCTATTCATACTGCGCAATTGATCCTTGTCCGACCTCGCCAGCCGTTCATCTTCAGCAGAGCCGGGATCTTTATATTCTTTATTTTTCTCTTTTATACTTTCAACCTTTTTATTCCTCTCGGTTTCTGAAGAACCCACTTGAGAGAGGAAACGGCTTTACGCTTTTCCAAATACCCCCTTATTCTTTTCTTTCACGACTTTGTGGACCGATACGAGTTGATGTTGTTCTCTTCTCCAAACCCTGTTGATTCGATTCGTCTGTCCATATTTACTTTTGTGGGTGACGAGCTGTTATATAACAGCTTATAATGACGGTGGCTTATCACGGTTTTCTAGCTTGGATAAGTCACCTTTAGGTCATCCATAGAATATAGACACTTTTTTTTTTCTCTCGAATGTCATCCAGACTCATGTGCTATATGTACTATATTGTTGTAAAAAAGTAGAGAAGATCATGACGATCCATTCCAGTGGAGATGTCAGCCGTGGGCTCCGGGGTCAACTGATGCCCGTGCGCCCACGCGTGTTTGATCTGATCTGATCTTATCTTTTGCTTCTTTTTTCCCCTTGTGTACATATATGATGAATCACAGCGAAAAAGATAAAAATCAGGTCAATTGATATCTATCGCCTGGACAGATCAGGTCTTATCTTGTCCATCGCGCCATAAGCGCGTTTGTTGACACCCGCTGTTATCTATCGCGGGTCTCCACAACCGCGTCGCGCATTTACTCCGCTCGAACGTCGGATGAAAAATACAGTGTACCTGATTAAAGGCAGGGGAGTCGAAAACAAGTGAATCACCCGAATCAGTCATTAAATCATGGACAGCGAGATACCCCTCCCTCCGCCACGGCGAATGCGGTACCGCTCGCCCGCAAATCCCTCAAGCACCGCCTCGTCACTCAATCGCACGCGACGACTGTCGCGATTCGATGACTGTTCTAGCCAACCATCCAGCGATCCCGCGCTATTCTCGAGTGATGATATCCCGGCCTCTGGGCTAGAGAATTATCACGCGACCACGCCGGGCTCGGGTCGCAAACGACGGTATCGCGGGACCTGGTGGGGTGAGCAAGTGTTGGACCCGAAGCGCAAAAGGGCAGGTTTCAAGGACAAGAGGAATGCTGACAGTGGTGTGTGGATGGGGAGTGATGAGTCCGGAGCTGAGTCGCTTTTGCCGTCCGAGGATGGTTCGGCATGGGGGGAGGACTTGCGCAAGTCCGTGTTGGATTCGAAGAAGGCAGCAAGCTCAACTTCTTTGGTAGTCGATAGCGAGAGTGCTCCTGTGCATATGCGCGGGGTGTTCAGGGGAATTGAGGAATCAGTGGAGCATCGATATGCGCGCAAGGTCGTCAATGATTGCCTTGAGAAAGGACATGAGAGCATTGATCTGGGGTAGGTGCTTTCATCCCATCTATCTAGCTTGTTTTTAGGTCCTGACCCATGTCTCCCATACAGTGACTTTCATATGCGAACGCTCCCACCGGGTCTATTGCGACCTCTGCAGCATCTCACTAAACTTCCATCCGTCAATGAAGCCCCGGTCTGTGAGGATGTATTCACGTCCCTCCAGCCATTCCTCAGCATCTATCTTCCTAACAACTCCCTGTCAACCCTTCACAACGATTTATTCGAGCTCAGCAACCTCAAGGTTCTCAGTCTGCGGAACAACAAGCTGACCGAGATCCCGTCTACAATTCGCAGACTGACAGCATTGCAAGTAATGAATCTTTCCGTCAACCGACTGACCTACCTTCCCTGGGAGCTTCTCAGGCTCATGCAGCAGGGTGAACTGAAGCACCTCACGGTACGGCCAAACCCATTCCTCCCAATCGAGGAAGCCCAAATTGCAGAATGGCACCACCCCAGCAATAAATATGCCGAAAATGAGAAAGACTCTTCCGGCCCGCTTCAGTCCAAAAACGACAATTCCCTCGAGGAGGTCTGGAGTCCCATTCACGTCGCCACAGGCCCCACAACGCTCCTAAACATGGAAGGTAACTCCATGGGAGAAAGCCTATGCCCAAACACACTCATGCAAACTGGGGCATCTGTAAACAACGCCCCGTCCCTACGAGAAGTTGCCCTTCGCGCAGTGAGCAAACTGCCTTATCTTGAGCAAGCCACCGACGAAGAATTGGCCGAGTACCCCGCGATGATTGTGCCTCTTCTGCGACAAGCGAAAGAGGTCCGGATTGCAGGCGGTCAACCCTGCTCTGTGTGTCAGCGCGAGTATGTGGTTCCCCGCACCAAATGGATGGAGTGGTGGGACTTTACCCCTTGTGAGAACGGGATGAAGATGCCTCGTTGCCCTGGCGAGAAGCTTCGACCTTTGCCTTTCCAGCGGTTTGGTTGTAGCCTGGCATGTGTGCCGAGATCGCGTTGACTGTGGCTTTACTGTGTTTGGGTGGATTGATTATCGGACTTTTCGGGATTCACTTTGTATCTATTTGGCTTGTATGTTTATATAGAATATGGCTATGGGGCTTGTATAGTTGCTAGCAGCAGTCCCTGCAAATCATGAAGCTGCATGTACTACCATCTTCTCAACCAGCCTATCAGCTGTGCATGCTTCCATTGCCCCATGACACCGGAGTTAAACCAACGCACCGATGATGGAGTAACAGTACCCCAACTTAAGGCTCGAAGAGGAAGAACGCGCACAGACCACCTTAACTCCGTACCCCTAAGTCCATCTTCTCCAATGAAGCAAAAAGACTAGGGTATATATCATGTAGGCTCCCAGGGGGTATAAAAGCCCATGTAGGACTCCTGCATTTATGTGTGTCTAACACCCACAGGCCAATCCAAACCGGATCTCAGACCTTATTTATCCTTAAATAAATCAACAAACCATGGCAGCTCCTACACCAACCTTCACCAAGCCCAACCGCCCATTAACCTGGCTGATAACCGGCTGCTCCTCCGGCCTAGGCTTATCCTTAGCACGTGCCGCGCAATCCAACCACCATATCGTAATCGCAACATCTCGCCAACCCTCCCGAACCCCCGAGCTGGTAACGGAGATAACGCAAAACGGCGGCGAATGGCATCCTCTGGATGTGAACAGTCTCACTGCTGCTTCTGAGCTACTATTGAAGCTCAAGACCGCCGGCCATAAGATCGATATCCTGGTCAACAACGCAGGGTACGCTATTCTTGGTGCCGTGGAGCAGATCTCGGACGAAGAGCTGCGCAGGCAGATGGAGACGGTGTATTTTGGCCCGAGTCGGCTGATCCGTGCTTTTGTACCGGGCATGCGGGAGAGGCGGTTTGGAGTTGTAGTCAATATTAGCTCTGGGGCTGGACTGGAGGGGAGGGAGGGTATGGGTGCCTATGCTGCGGCGAAGACTGCTATGGATGGTGTTTTCTATTCCTCTTCCCATTATACTTGACTGCCGTCCTTGCTAACAAGTCTTTGGTAGGCTTATCCAGAGTTCTCGCGAAAGAAGTCGCCCCCTTCAACGTCCGGCTCCTGACAGTGTGGCTAGGCGTGTTCAACACGTCATTCGGGACTGGCTGCCTCACACCCGAAAGCGCTTTGCCCGAGGATTATAGTGGCTCTGTTGTTTCCCAGACATTGGAGAGCATCCATACAGGAAAACTTGTTCTGGATGGCGACAAGGATAAAGCAGCCAAGGCGATCTATGAGGTTGTCGTTGGCGAGGGGGTTGGCACTGGACGTGAGGGTGAGCGATTTTTGCCTTTGGGTCGAGATATGATCCCTCGCGTTGAGCTGGTCCGCAACCAGCTTGTTCATTCGCTTGAAGTTTTTAGAGATCTCGCTGGTAACGTATATATTGATCGGGAACAATGAGGTTGAAGGGGTCTTGGATATCGTGAGCTGGTTATTTGCTCCGGTCAGCGTGTGCTTACATTGTTTAATCTGGCTCTACATCTCGAAGAATCAATTTGTATCATTTTTGACAAACGCACATATTTTCCAAGCTTGATGTCGACGAGTTTGGAAGGTTGCCTTTATGAATAAATGCATAATGAGTGTGCCGGCAGTAATCTGATAGACAGCACTTTTAGGGCGATAGGATGATTGAGAACGAGATTGTCATGGCATAGAAATAGTGCTAGAAAGCCAAGACTCGTTGATGGAGCATTGGTGTCTCCAAGTTCAATGAGCAAAAATTTTTAACGATTGACCCGCGGTATATCCTAGCCGCTTCAACAATGCTCGCAGGCACTTTACAACCGCCCAGCACGCCGAGGTGTTTTCACCCAACGCCAAGCAGATTCAAGTCATAAGGAATTTCAAAACGATCGCTAATACAGCATGCTTCAATACAAGGAGAGCAAATCCCAGGGACGGAGTGAGGAGGGGAATAGTGAAAAACAAAAAAAGGAGTGGAAAGAATATGAAAGTTAGCGGTTGCGGTCCGCACGAGCCTGGTGCCAAATGGTATCGCCGCTGAGGGCAGAAAAGCTCAGAGTAGCTAGGTTTCTCCAGCTTGACTGTGGTGCAGAATTCGCGTGGTCATCAAGTAGTCCTGCAGTTTGCTCAGTGTCAGAAGGGTCATCGTTGACACCTTCGATCAGTACCGGTGCAGAGGAAGCGCCAGCCCGCGAGATGGACTCGGCGGAGTGGATATCATCGCTGGACTGCGCATGATTCCCTGGGTCTCCTGGCTGGCAGCGAGTCATGGAGCGAACAACATCGCCCTTGCAGATTGGACAGGTCCGTCGACGAGTAGTCAACCAAGGGGTACTAAATAAGTTAGTGAACATGTAGGTACAGGAATATATATTGCTATCACTTACATGCATTCTGCGTGGAACTCATGGCCACATGGCAAGCTCATGACCCGGCTTTGACCATCGATATATTCCTCAAGGCAGACGACACACTCGACCTGTCTTCCCGTATATTTGCGTCGCCACAAGGTGGAGCCAGCCTGTAGGCTGCATTTCTCTTCTTTAGGCAGAGTAGACGAGTCCATTATAGTGCCACCAACTGTCTGTGAACGCGATCTGTTTGACCGGGAACCAGTCGGCCGGCTTTCATTACTGAGAAGCGGGGAAGTCGGTGACACAGGACCGGGACTCGAGGGACGTGTTGAGTTAGAGGATGAGGAGGAAGTGGACGCAATGGTGTGGTAGGTCCGTACAGGAAGTCGTTCAATGACCGACTTCGGCGCGCGCCATCGGCGCCGTCTGATTCGAGACCGGAGCAGCAAAAGGGCGTATACAACCGTCAACGTGAGCAATGGAGAGACAACAAGAACCAATAGGGTATCGAAGAAGGGACTGGTAGACATGCTGGTGGGTGTCATTGTGACCCAGAGACCTTCGTGTTCGGAAGACTCCACATTGGTCCGGTCCGGAGTGATGGGGCTACTTTGCACCTCCAGGTTTGTTGCGATATTTTTCTGAAGCGAGGGGAGCGAAGAAGGCCGGGAATCCTGCTTTGCATCGTTTCCCCAGCTGAAGTGACTCGAGAACCAGCCCTTATCGGAAGATTTGTTCTTCGCTTGAGCTTCGACGGATTCTTTCTCCGAGCCCTTGGCACCCTTGTCGTGAGAAGCGGCACCAGACCTGTCAATGCTTTGATATTCTCCACTTCCAGGTGTGATGCTGCCACCTTGCATGGTATTAAACAAGGAAGCGTCTTTGTCCGCACTGCCAGTCTTGGAGGAGTCCTTGCCTGTCACAGAAGTGCTAGGTGTTGGGGGCGTGCTGCTTTTGGCAGGCATCAAATCGGGGTCTCTCCAATCCTGAACTCCAATGACAAAGTCATCTTCGTCAAAGCTATCAGGAGACATGTCGGCCCGGTGACTGTCAAAAGTCACGTCCACCTTGCCCTGAGCACGACGATTGGTATCTGCTCTTTTCCCCGGGTTCATTTCGCTATCATCCCACGAACCGAAGTTAATCCAGTCAATGTTACCGCTGCTCGGCGGGCGGCGGCTGTCTTCTAGATGACCCGAGCCTCCGTTTTTGTTGCACAGTCCGAAGAACGAGCCTATGGTACGCCAGAATCCATCATTGGAATGAGAGGGAGCTGCAGGCTTCTCCTTTGCAGCCGAATGACTACTGACTGTCGGGCTTGGAGTAGCTGGTGACGTTGTGCTAGTCACAACTCGTTCTTTATCAGCCTGGCCTGCCGGTTTTGCCTGAGATGACTTCAGTACGTCTCCCAAGCTTGCAGTTCCTCCAGCATGTCCAGGTATCAGCGACGATAGAAGGTGGGCGGTAGTGTGCGAGGTAAACAATGCTGGGATCGAAACGTTTGATGTATCACCTCGGGCATACATGGTGACCAAGTTTCCACCCCGAGTATCATCACCAACGATCAAGGCGACCCCTCCTCGCCGTTGAGCCCACTTGACCTTCTCCAAAAAGCCGCACCCACCCCGACTCAAGAGCACTACTTTGCCTTGGATTTCGGCGGTTTCCTGTAGGGATTGAATATCGGCATGCGCGGAAGGCTTGTTTTGGACATAATCTCCATACTTTTGGCTCATCCCGGGGCTTGAAGCGCCAGATTCGGGCAGTGGGTGGTGCAGATGGTCATCAGTGCCATCGTTGGTCAAGAGCGGGGTGGTGGTATCATCTCGATCGCTCGCTGATGTGGTATCGGCCTGCGATACCGACCGTTGGCGTTGGGGCGACGGATCATTCACTGTGTTACCTCCGGAGAGACCGGAACTCTGCTCCAGGCTTCTAGAGGATTTTTCTTGTTTCTTTTGATTGGTGCCATCACCCCAGCCGGGAATATCAGAGCAGCCTAGTTCTCCTTCCACGCCGGCGGCCATCCCTCCTTCGCCGAATCCACTTCCCACCCATAGCTGTCCACTTAGTCCCTTTGTCGGTAGGAGTGGGCCAAATGCTGCAGGTCGGGCGAGGAAGAAGGTTGAGTTGTCATCGGTGAGACTGATAATGGCCGACGGTGGAAAAAGCGAGGAGGGTATGTTAAAAGAAAATAAAGCATGTAGCCCAGTCGTTCGACCAGCGAGCGTATTGGGTGTTGCTACTTTAGGCGATGTAAGCGCAGAGAAGAAGGTGAGGAGAATCGGAAAGAAGATTAGGCAGAAGAGAACGATGATTAGGCGTGGCGGTCGCATGTCTTCGGGTAGGTGTTGTTTATCACTTTGGAAGATGAGAGGTTTAATCGGAAGTCGAGCCGCGACAGATATCAAGTGGATCAAGTGAGGGATTGACGATACCAGTGGATCCGTTGTACCACAGTACTTTGGATGGGCTCTTTATGAGCAATCCAACGGTTAGCGGCAAGTGATCAAACAGCAACTCATTGAGCACAACGCATAGCTCCACGGCTGAATAAAGAATACCGCAGTAAACAGCCAGCGCAAGTTCACAAGAAGACGAAAGCGAACGAGGGAAGGCAGGGAATGAAGTCGGTCAGGCGGAGAAGGGGAGGTGAACGCATGATGCGGATAACCGGGTGGCATGCCCGCTCCAAGTGTCATGTGTTGGAGGCCTGAGGCAATATTATGGCCTTGGTGCCTTGAATCACCTGACCATTTTACAATATTACATTGTAGGACTTGCACGGTTAAGACGAGAGCAGAAAGAAAAGTGATGTTGGTCGATGATGTAGTAAACTAGTCTCGATCATGAGTATCTTGATCTTCTGAGAACAACTCAGTAGAGCGATATAGAGGATTCAATGGCAGATCCCACCAAAATTGCAAGAATTAAGAGCAGAACAGCTTTTCCTTAGCAATACACAAAAACAGCCAAAACCAGATGTACTATTGCTAGCTACTATATTTTGCTTGTCACCCAACTTTCGCAATATGTCACATAGATTTGCTAATGTGGTTTTTGACTCTCATTCAAGCCTACTGTACCTTGTAGGTACAGTGCCGATCATGTCATCATTGCTAGGCAACTACAAATCTAAAATCACATATTTGTTTTCTCAATGATATTTCGATTGACAGTTGAGCCACACCTTGCTCCATTGATATTCTAGAATATCCATGGATGTATGACCATATATGTCAATGATATACAATGGATAGATCAAGGAGCAAATTAAATATCAAAAAATCAAATATATTTTTGGAAATCGATAAGGCTAGACTCCACTAGCCATGTGTGGACCGGTGGGGCAAATATGACGTATATCTCGATCTTACTTTATTGAGCTCCTTAACCTTGGAAGTATTCGATAGTTGCTACATATGTGTATATTATAGAATCACTTGGAATTTGTATATATAGCTATCTATGATGTGACTTGTCTGATGTGAATAGTGATCCTTTTGATTTAACTTAGCTTCAATTAAACGGTGTGTCCAATTGTGGACGTCTTACATGACACTGGGAAACCCACTTAAGCTGAAACAACTGGTCGCACAGCTCAAGTCTGGCTCAGTGGCGTTATTAATTTTGATGCAGATCCAGGACATGACGATGAATGACACCCATAGCTCTTTATTTTCTAGCCAAGAATACTGTTGTGATGGAAAACCCGTTTGGAACGTCATGGCCATTGTAAAAAAGCCATAATCAAAACACTCCATCCATGTTTTTATGATGGTAATATTCGTATACACCCCCGCGTTATGGCGTCACTATGTATCTAGAAGTAACGATCTATTGGTGGTCTGATCAAGACAAACATCGACAAGACATATAAAAACTCAGAGATGACTTCTCTTTCCCAATTATTTTCTACACACAATCTACAATCAAATCATAACAATTCATTCAATTCCCATTCACATTCACATCTTCTAATTATGTCGAGCATTATCAACAAGGTCAAGGACGCCGTTAGCGGCCACCATGGGGACACTCATGACTCCAAGACATCTGGTTCGTATCATCTACTCATTCAAAACATTATAAACTAACGATTTTATGTGTAGGTACCCATGATACACATGGATCCTCCCACAACACCCACAACGCCAAGGACAACGTTCCTGGTCAATACACATCTACTGGTGCAGGATCTAACACCTACGGTTCTTCCACTGGGCCTGAAAGCTACAATACCGGTGGCTTCAACTCTGGCGCTCCTGGCACCCACCATGGCTCATCCACCACAGCAGGAACTGGATATGGCTCTGGCGTTGGCGTTGGCGGTGGCTTGGGCTCAGGTTCAGGTTATGAGACTGGAACCCACGGCTCATCAACTGGAGCTGGTCCCTACAGCACTGGTGCTAACAACACCTACGGATCTTCCACCACGGGCACTGGTATTGGTGGCCACAGCTCTGGTATTCACCATGACTCCCGTACCGGCCCTATCGGTGCTGGTTCCAATACTTACGGATCGGAGCCGGTAGGCGGATACGGCTCAAGCAACACTGGAACCTATGGCTCCAGCAACATCAATGCAGGCCCTCACGACTCCAAGTTGGCTAACAAGCTTGACCCCCGCGTCGACAGTGATCTTGGTAAGTAAAAGCTTTCCTTTAAGCTTTGAAAGAGTGTAACCTGACATTTTCTTGAAGACAACCGTGGAAAGCATGGAACCAGTGGATCTCAATTTTCCAGTGGTGGTGCCTTTGACTCCAACCCGAACACGGCCTCCACCGGTTACGGCTCTGGAAACCCCATCTCTGGAAGTGACAACTTCGGCAGCTCCACTGGCCACTCCGCTGGCCACTCCACCGGCTACGGTTCCAACCCCATCTCCGGTAGTGATACCTACGGCTCTACTGGCCGCACCACTGGTGGACTCTCCAACAACCCAATCAGCGGTAGTGACAACTATGGAGGCTCTACACACGGCCACGGCCCCGGCCACAACACGTCTGGTTTGCACAACACCCATGGCCTTGATAGCCGCACCGGCGAGCAGGGTTTCGGTGGAAACACAACCGGTGGTAGCAGCTACAATGAGAACACCTCGAAGACTGGCAAGACCACCGGTCCTCACAGCTCTGACCTCTTGAACAAGCTGGACCCCAGAGTCGACGAGAAGAGCAACCCCATCAGCAACCAGCGCAGTGGTTACTAGGCTAATTACGAGTTATGTTTATACGAAATTTCCCCCGCCTGTTTTCCTAGCTTTTAATTAGTTTATCATGAAGATCTCAAATTTTTATGTTCAATTTCTGTCTTTTCAACATACCATACTATGTCTAAGAATCCAATGCCGTATACGCAGATTGCTAATTGAAACAAACTTCATCCTTTCAGTATACACATAAGATGAGAAAGCCATCATAGCCCCCTTATCATAGGTCTCCATCAGTCCAACTTCCGAATAAATTTTGCAGGGACCCCACCAAAGAGACATCCAGGTCTAACATCGTGTGTAACTACAGACCCTGCCGCAATCGTTGAACCCGCTCCAATGTGTACGCCGTCTAAGATGGTAACCCTCGCACCGATCCAGCAGTCCGACTCTATAGTTATCGGGCGAGCAAAAGACGTGCCAATCGCTGCCCTCCGATCCCCCGAGGCTGTCTGGTGCGTACCCGTGCAAATACAAACACCTGGACCAACGAGGACACGATCACCAATTTTAATGAGTGCGTTATCATAGAGCGAAACCCTGCTGACTGTGAGACTTATGCGGAATTGATCTCGAGCAACAATGCAAACGCGGCGTACTCACTCGCGATTTATGTAAACGTTGTCCCCCATGAAAACATTACAACCCCATCCAACGAAGAATGGTGGCTCAATACTGGCACCCTCCCCAAGTTGGCCAAGCAAGTTCTTGGCTACAGTCATGCGCCGTTCTTTTAATGACATTAACGTGCTGCCGTCTGGAATGCTAAGGTCGTTGAATTCATTGAGCTTCTTCAATGTTTGGAGTTTATATTCCTGAAGTTCTGTCGAACGAGACGTCGAGAAGCTATGCATCTGTCAACTCGGATGCATCTTCATAGTGAGAGACAAAAAAACAAACTCCATTCCACTAATCATCCTCTCATATTCGTCACACCAAGGCAGTGGAATGTGACTTGCTTTGAGCTCTGATATCATCGATGGGCTTTTTGCTGAGGATGACATGGCGGGTTTAGTATGGGAATACGTAGGTAGTAGATGCATGGATGGTTCTTTGAAAATTCGACCTTATAGGAAAGTCGGGAAACAGAGTATTGGAAGGGTTAAGCTTGTGCACGGTCATCTCGGCAGTTCTCTTTGCGGGGTAGCTACCGTGGCAGGCAATAAGCATACAATGTACTTGATAACGAATTCGTTTCACGATACATGAACCGTACAAGGTAATGTCAGAAATATATATTTGCTAGTGTCACTGTATGAATTAGTCCATATTTCACTCCGATATTGTACATGGGTGTGCATTTGAGCAGCTATAATTAGAGACTCTATTGTCTATACGGAGGGTAATCAATACTAATGTACTTCGACGAGATATTAGGTTTGACGTGGGAAAACCACCAGAAACAAACTGCATGGACCTGAAAACACCTAAACAAGTTCACGGGTCAAAATTACTGGATAGTAGAGCAAACCGAATAAGCGAAGCCAATGCAATATTAAATATAAAGTCGACCAAGTCAATAGTCAATCAATTGCCAACGCCGTTAAAATTGTTCATTGGGTATGCAGGTGCATATTACAGAAAAGAAAATATTAAGACAAGAGAAAGGAGAACACACAAGCGCCAACACACGTGTCATGAACTTCATAGCTGGATTAGGATTAGCAGGACACGAGATTGACATGGTGATCATTCAACGCCGCACAGGCAAGCACAGTCCGGTGAGGATGGAAGGCTGTGCCGGCGATCGGGGATGATCGGTTATGATGAAGGAAGCTCGAGTACGGCTCAAATGTGGATAGGTATGTACCATCCACGTTGAAAGTCTTGACTTCGTGGCGATTGGTTCCCCTATGATTTGTTAGCTCGGTGTGAAACACAAGGAAATAAATTGGATCAACATACATGCTGAAAACTGGAGCGTGTTCGTGGACACTCAAGGTTCGCAGTGTGTCTTTGGTAGCATATATGGTAGAGATAGGACTGTCCATGCGGAGATCCCACAGTCGAACCTCGCCATTGCGGCCACCTGAAATCAATTCACGCAATCCGCCGCGTTGCATATGGACATTGGTGATCCATTGCTTATGCTCACGCCAAACCTTGACCATAGATGTGGTTGGCTTCAAGCGCTGGTCGAAGACTCGAACTGCACCATCACCAAAACCTGCAACGAAAATGTTGCCTGCTACTTGGTCGGATGTCAACGAAGTGATGCAGGAGCCAGATCGCGCGGGAATGTCCTGCAATCAATGTTGGTAAGTTCAACCTCAAATAAAATCAAAAGAAGCCTTACATTTGTACACACTTCGGTCGCAGCATTCCAGACACGAATGACCTTTACATCTCCTGCAACAAGAGCTTTGCCTTGACCTTGCTGCCAATCAAGCACAAGTCCTGCGTTGCGGTTGCTTGGGATCAGTTCAGGGAGCGCCCTGAAAGCCGTGACCACCTCGATGTCATTATTGGTTTCGTAGTGGCGGAAGAGCTTAATTACACCATCAGAAGAGCCAGTCATTAGGAGTGCCTGGTCGTCCTCGTTAATGTATCGAATTTCGTTGATTTTAGATCCGGCCGGGTTCCCGTTTGAGAATTGGTTGAGGCGCTTGTGGCTCTGCCAGTCCCAGATTCTACAAAATTGAAGGTTAGAAGATATCATGCATAGATGACGCAGTCAGAACGTACGCAATAGTATCCCGATCATCTGCAACCGCAAGATGGTCTTCAAATTGATGGAAGCACATCTTGTGAGGCTGGCTACTGTTGGACAGTAGAGCAACGGAATTATCCCACCGGCTCGCTCCAGCCTTCGCCTTGAGGGGTTGGGTCTCGGCAATGATCCTTTCATTGCGGCCGCGTCTCCAAAGACGTTGGTTGTAGTCCGAGCTACCCGGCTCATCCGGCTCGTTGGGCTTCATCTGGGGCTCCCGGAAATACTTGACGAACGACGGTTAGTATATGTGCATGATAATGAGTGTTGAACAGTTACCTCAGTAGACCAGTCAAGGAATCTGCTCTTCAAAGGGATGACCGGCACAACGTCGAATCCCTTGGGCTCAAAACCTCGGGATGTTGGAACAGGAGCTTGGTGGTATGTTGTCGCAGGCGCAACATGATCATTGACCTCTGGGGGTCGAGTCCATTCAATAGGGGCTCGACCGCGAGGGGTGATCGGCATACGGCTTGTTGAAGGTGAAGGGGGGTTTGAGGAGTCAGATGATGGGTCTCCTGCCGCCGAGTTACCAAAGGCGAGGTTTTTCAAAGAGGCAGCGACGCTGGCGGTTCGCTTGAAGCCCATTGAAAGATAACCTTCTTGCCTTGAGGTTGCAGCAGCAGATGTGGGTGGTGTTGAAGGGGGAGCGGTCTTCTTTGCTTCGTTTCGCTCATGAGATTGGACTTGGGATAAGCCTGTGATTTTCAAAATCTCTTTTTGAAGCTTGTTGGTTATGAATGCCATGGGGGACTCCAGCAAAGCCAAATGGATGTAATCGACAACCACAGCGGCATCCTGGGCGATATCAGGGTGAGGGTCAACCGAAAGAGCTAAAAGCTGCTTCCAAATGGCCCCGAAGGTGGTGTTACGGGAAAGCTGGGGTTGGTTGGAGCCAGAGCCTCCGGCCTGGGAGGTCTCGCCCTCGAAGCGTTGATGCAGAGACCGTTTTTCTTCCTGGAGTTCCTCGAAAGCCGCGACCAGGAACTTATTCTGGTGGCGTCTGACGAATGTCGACAAAAAGACAAGCAGCTCTTTCCTCACGACCACACTACCATCAGCAGACATCGGCAAGACCGCCAGGGCTAAAGTCTCCTCGATTTGTGCCACTTGATCGGTCAGATCAGGGATTCCCAGGAACGTGGTGACAGCGTGCAGCATGGCGGCGCGAACTTCAGGCACAGGGTCAAAATTCAACTCGCACAGTCTCGCAGGAGCCGCACATCGGATGCCCATCCATTTTGCTTCGGGGAAATCGCACCAGAGCATACTGAGACAAAGGCATGACCATTGACGAAGTAAAGGGTTTTCTACATCGCTGAGATGCCTGAGACACGAGTCAAACAGCTCCCCAGAGAGGCAAACATTCTGGCCCTGCGGGTAGTTCTTGCAAAATATAGAGACTATAAAGGCACACATGGCACGATGTTCGCTGGCATTTCCAACAGGAATAGGAGAAGTAGGGTTCAGGATTGAAATGAAATAGTGAATTCCGTTGTCTTTGAGCAAATCGTTTTGTACCGTGTGGTCGACTGCCATAATTCTGGCCCAAATGAATACCATAACGGGCTTCAGTTCTTGGGCTGCTGACTGCAGCAGCTTAACAACATAAGGGAAAATGCCAATACTAAGCGCAAGGTGGACGGCCCAAGGGCCAAGGTCCAAAAATTTGCTCAATAGAATTAAAGCCCGCAGCCGATGTGCTTGACTCAACAGAACCTGTAAGACAATGGGAAGCTGGTCTGGAGGGTTTCTTTCTGTGGGGCCAGACGAGAGATAAACTTCAAAGGCAGTGAGTTGCTCAGCGAAGAATGTTGAATGTTGGTATTCATACAGCCGACGCCCTTCTTCCTGATCAATCAGAGCTGGGAGCTGGGACAGTACCATCTCGACTGCAAGATCCCAGCTTTTCCATAGTGGGTGGTGGTGTGTTTCAGGGAGTTCCGGTGAAGAGATTGGATGGCATTTGTACGTGCGCATGATGCGCTCGCTGAGCAAGAAGTTGCGGAAGAGAGCAGCTACCATCAGATCCTGCCGAAAGAGTTTCTTAAACAACGCCCGTGGCAAGGTGTTCCACGCGATAGTATCAGTGATGGCAGTGAATATCCAGTTCAATTCTCCCAAAGGACTACGGCGATCTTGGAGCCGACCGGGTACCCGAAAATCGTCAATAGATATGTCTGTCCTGAGAGGATTCTGCAATATGAAGAATCGCAACGCGATTTCAATCGGCGTTGTCAGGCAGCAGGTGAATAAGTCGGCAGGGAGATCCGGGTTGGTGGGTAGAGATTCTGCCTTCTGGCAAGCAGCGAGTATGATACAATCACCATAATTTTGAACGATGGCATTCGGGTCTCTTTTCTTGGCTTCGACATTCTCTTTCTCGTGCTTCTCGACAAAAGTGTGGAAATTTTGAACGATGTTGCCTGCATGTGACACATCAAAGACGAAAAGACTAGGCCCGGCCAACCAAGATTGCAGATCATACAGTGGGACTGGAATGTACTGGGTGTAATTCTTGTTGAAGACCCAGATTTCGCCTGATTGAGTTGGCAATGGTACTCCGTGTCCATTGTAATGCAGGAGGACTCGCTCATCCTTGGCATTTCGGCGAAGGGAGATGCAGAATTTCTTGGTCTCATCAACTGATGGATCGAGATACTGCTTGTACCTAGTCCGGAGACTCAGAGTCTCGTATTGCTCCTGCAGCTTCTTGCCGATTTGCTCCATTATCTTGTTTTGGCCACCGCCCGTGGTCGAAGTGGGATCCACCCAGCATTCAAGCTTGGACGTTGGGTTTGTCTTGACAACGTCAGGAGGGTCGACACCGATATTCAGACAGATCGCCAATGCCGCAGAGACGGTCTTGAGGCGATCTTTCATGCGCCAGTCCTGACTGGGCCAGCTGCCGACCGGATCTCGAGGAATGCCGTTTGTTTCATGACGCTTTTCGGTGAAGTACATGTAGAAATTCTATGCCCAGCGGGTAGTCATGTTAGCCTCGGAAGAGATTCACAAGAACAGGTGGTTGCGCTCACCGAATGCAAGATCTTGAGATATTCGCTGGAAGTATATTCCTCCTGCCACCCATGTCGCATAGCGAAGTCTTCATCGTCATCGCCTGCTGCTTTATCAAAAGTTATCCGGCTTGGGCCATAGTCGCTCTTGGCCCTTTTTAACATGGCCGGTCGGCTGCTCTCAGATCTCCGAGGTGAGGGGCGGCGAGGTGGAGCATCTCCGATTGCAATATTCTCCCCGGAGGAACTTGTTGGTCTTGCTGGTGGTGTGAGGGTAGGCTGCCTGTGTTCAACCGTGGTGAGAGAACGATGGTGCCCAGCCAACGGGGCTGGAGATCTATCGCGGGCGGGGATCGTAGTTTCTAAATCAGGACCAAACGCAACGCGGACAGATTTATTCGGATTTCGACGCGAGGCTGTCGACCCGTTGGTCGTTTGTTGCGAGCTTGGTTCCATTTCGGTGGTGGGATCTCTCATGTTGTATTTTGGTTCATTGTGTTACGCGAGATTGGGAGAGTTAGAGAAATGCCGAGACAAGTGTCAAGGTAAGTGAGAGTTTCCTGTTGGCCAAACGATTGAAAACCACTGCTTCGAAATGGTGGTGAGAATCCAGTTATTACCGAATGAAGCTGGACCAAAGATTTGATGATGAAATAGTTAGGACAACCGAGAACTTGGCCGGATCTGGAGTGAACCGGACAGGTCTCAATTTGCGACTGTTCTGGAGAAATTCCAGGAGCGCTCGGAGAGCTCAGTACACAGCCTATGGATTCTGAGGCAAAGAGCTAACGTCCTGGTCTAGCTAGTGGATGCAGTTCGACAGGCGAGACTCCGATGCTCCAACGTCGGAATATAGATATTCCAGGTTCGGCAGATATTCCGAAGTCTTCCCCACGGATTATTCATGTCTTGGCATTTCCAAGGTTGGAAGTATACAACCTTGGGTATTATCATTGTGACTTTGAAAAGTCCAATCAGTAATTGAACTTTATTTGAAGTATTTATGACGCTGCCACTTGATTAGGCAGTCTAACATAATAAAACATCTCGTTATATGCTTGATATATAATGTACGGAGTGGTTGGACCTAATTGATATTTACAACGTACTATATCGGTTACATCATTGGAGTGCAGGAAGCCCAACATCCCCACTTGGGCACAATGTTGCAATCTGTTCTTGTAATTTGAAGGGGAGAATGAGCATGTGAATTCAATGTCTTAGACAGCTTTTGTGGGTGTTCGTGATGTACAAAAAAAGGTCTCACTGATGAAGGCACAGAAACAGCAGAATAACAGAACAACAGATAAATCAGACACGTCAATTTTCTAGTAAGACACAGCAAACAAATGAATGGCACAGATGGCGTTTATCCAATGATAATGGACTTTTGTAAAGCAAATTATAAGATTGCCCATCCCTTGACAAGACCTCGGGAAACGGGAAAGAGAGATCGGCCAAATTCTTATGATAGGGGGCATTATCATTTCTAAAATTCGAGGTATTGAACAGAGCTTTTTTTAATACATACATGTATATTTATTGTACAAATGAAAGCTCTTTAAAGTTTGCCAGATCAATTATATATATGTACATATTTCTCTATTTCCAATATTGTACATTGCAGACGCAGTCAAAAAGTGTTATACTTTCTCAGCACGTTGTGGGGAGTGGATCTGGAATTGCGGAATGCAGTGTCACGAAATATCATTGGACCTGCAGCTTCATAGGACGGGTTTCTCGATATAATTAGAGCCAGGTTGTGGTCTCGTAGGGTCAGTTTCAATTGTACATAGACATAGTCCGTACGTAGTAGGAATTAGAAAGTAAAGACATGAAACATATAAACACAAGAAGTATGACATTTACATCTAACCCCTTGTGGTTCGTTCTAAGCCGCATTATTGCTAAACCTTTTTTTCCCCCGCCGCTTTCTTTTTCCACCTTTTTGTACTTGGATATGCTAGATACTGCCATTGGAATGTGGCCCGTGATTCTTGGAGGCTGGAGCATTCGTACTCAAAACAATGAGAGTTGAAAAAAAAAACACAAAAAAAACAGAGATAGGAAATACCTAACTATAGTTAAGTATTGTAGGGGTCTAATTATTATAAGCAAATTTTGATTGTAGAGAACGCGCCCCTGAGTATGCATGTTCGATGAACTAAGACCAAAATGACTTAGAGCATCTTCCGCCAGGGAATTGAAACACCGACATCTTCTTCCTCTTTGACATCTCTCCCCTCCCCCTTTCTCGCCTTGACCTGGGCTTTGATTTGATTGTCCAAATAGTCCCATGCCCAGGTAAATACCAGAGGCGCTGTGAACGAGCCCCCTACCTTTTTTAATTTTATTATTATTTTTTTCTGGCGCTGAGCGGCTTGTGCATGGAACGTTTTATGGTTCCTTGTGGTTCCTGGTTCCCAACTCCACATCTGAAAAAGACAACTTCCCCTATCCACAACTCAACGTCCCAGACGCCATTCGTTTGATTCTTGTACGGGTGTCGGAACAAAACTGCCTTCCGGCGCAGCTTGACTTCGCGCCAGATCCTGTGATACGACCGATTACGACCCCATATTTACGATGGCTTTTTTCTTCAAATCGAAGAAGGCCCAGCAGGGGAATGCAGGGAACGCACTTCCCCCAGTCACAAGAAACGTTCATACCTCGGAAGGTGCTCCCTCTTCGGCATCACCTACTATGTCAAATGGTGCCAAAGGAGATCCCACAACTTCCCAAACCCCAACCCCAAGTGGTAGCTTCAGCAACTCTCTCAACACAGCAACAAGTCCCACGAGCTCGGATGCAGTACGACAACGGCAGAGAGCCGAATCAGAATCCCGGGTGGGTGTTTGTTTTGCTATTCCGCTGATACCGCTTTACATGCGAGGATAGAAATCTAACGTTTACAGGCACGACCGCAGGGCCCACCCAATGGCCTCCCGCCCCCGAGTCCGAACTCGTCCCTCTACCCATGGTCTCAACGCCGTTTGAACTTTTCTTCTCCGGAAACGAACCCATTCCCTCGCTATGGCGCAGCAATCAATTCAGTGGCCTCGAAGGAGGGAGACATCTATATGATGGGTGGTCTTATCGATGGATCCACCGTGAAGGGCGACTTGTGGATGATTGAGAGCAGCGGTGGTGGCTTGAGTTGTCTTCAGGTTGCGACGGTATCTGAAGGCCCCGGCCCAAGAGTGGGTCATGCGAGCTTGCTCGTCGGTAATGCATTTATCGTGTTCGGCGGTGACACCAAAATCAACGAAAATGATTCTCTAGACGACACATTGTATCTTCTGAATACCTGTAAGTGGAAAGCTCGTTCCAGGCTACCTAGATTCTGACTTTCGATTTCACTTAGCTTCCCGCCAATGGTCTCGCGCCATTCCTCCCGGTTCTCGACCTTCTGGTCGCTATGGTCACACTTTGAATATTTTGGGCTCTAAACTTTACGTATTTGGAGGACAGGTGGAGGGCTTCTTTTTCAACGATTTAATTGCATTCGACTTGAACCAGCTCCAAAACCCCGCGAACAAATGGGAGGTACTTATTGCGAACACTCACGAGGGTGGGCCTCCGCAAGGTCAAATTCCTCCAGCGAGAACGAACCACACAATTGTTAGCTTCAACGAAAAGTTGTTTTTGTTTGGTGGAACGAACGGAGTGCAATGGTTCAATGATGTCTGGTCCTATGACCACATCGCCAATAGTTGGACCGAGATTGATTGTGTTGGATTCATTCCTACGCCTAGGGAGGGCCATGCCTCCGCCTTGGTAAACGACGTGATGTATGTGTTCGGAGGTCGCACTGATGAAGGTGTTGACCTCGGTGATCTTTCTGCATTCCGCATCTCGACTCGACGCTGGTACTCCTTCCAAAACATGGGCCCTGCCCCTTCTCCTCGATCCGGTCACAGCATGACTGCCTTTGGGAAACAGATCATTGTCATGGCCGGTGAGCCTAGCTCAGCCCCGCGGGATCCCGCCGAACTCAGCATGTCGTACATCCTGGATACGAGCAAGATTCGGTACCCCAACGATTCGCAAACCGGTGCACGCGTCCCCGAAGCAAGCGGTAGGAAGACAAGTGTCGACAGGCAAGGACCTTCGTCTGGAAGGACGTCCCGTGAGGCGCAAAACCCAGGCCCCGAGCAACAAGTACGACGGGGACCATCACGCGAGAGCATGTCACCCGCCGCCGGTGTCGGAAGGCCGATGGAGTTCGGCTCTAATCCAAACTTAGGGCCAGGATCTAGACTTCCGCGGGCTTCAATTGCCCAAGCACCGTCCGGCCCACCACCTCCTGGGCAAGCTCCTTCCCCGGGACCCAGGAGCAACGGTCCTCAGCCAGGTCCTCAACAATCTGGCCCCCAGCCTGTCAGCAACCCTCGCAGCAAGACCCCAACTAAAAATGATCGCGGGTACACCCCAACAGTTGATGTTCGCGTGGCAAATGGCGAGCGCGGCGCAGAATCCCCAGTCGCCAAGGAAGTCGTACAAGAATCCCAAGGGCCCCCATCCGCTGGACGCCGAACCCCTACGCAACATCAGAAGCCATCGGCCAAGGCTATGGAGGCAGGTGAGGCTGCTCCTTTGATTACTACCCCTAGCCGCCAGCGTTCACTTCGCTCTCAACGGCAGCGCGGCTCCGTCGATAGCGGAGAAGAGTCTATTTTGGGCCGGCAAGCCAGCGTCGAGGGTTCCATTGAATCTCGAACTTACCGTAACTCGAAGACCCTTGGTGAAGAGCCCAGGTCTCCCCGGTTAACACCTCACCAAGAAGCCTTGATCAAGGAATTGGAAGCTACGAAGGCTCGAAACGCGTGGTATGCGTCCGAACTCGCCCTCGCAAAGAAGGGGGGCTATGTCCCCAACCCCACAAGTAGCCCTGCCTTGGACGATCGGACAAATGACGCGCTGAATGACGAAGATCGGCCGTTGCTCGAAGCATTTTTGGCCATGAGAGCAGACCTGACCAAGATGCAAGCCACCGTGGACCGACAGGCAGCTATTGCATCTAAGCGGGTTGCAGAAGTAGAGCATCAGCGTGATATGGCTCTCAATGAAGCCGCCTATTCGCGTGCTAAGCTTGCTGCCCATGGTGGCAGCCAGCGAGGCACGCCTCAGCCTGACGCTTCTCAGGACCTGGACGACGGGTCTTCGGAGCGGCCTACTGACATGGGCCGTCGCCTTGCACTTGCTCTCGCCGCTCAGTCTGAGTTGAAGAGCAAGTTGGAACTTCAGACGACTGAGCTTCTGCAAGAGCGCCAAGCAAAAGAATTGGCCGAAGAGACAAATGAGGCTACCCGCAAGCACCTGGCAGAACTCGAGATGCAAAGTAACCCTCTCGAAGCTGAGAATTTGCGTGCGGAGCTTCACACCGCGGAGGCTCTGTCCAGAGAAGAGGCATTGCTGCGCGCGGAAGCCGAGGCTTCCCTTCAGCAACTAGCCTTGGACAAGGAGGAGTTGTTGGCACAGATTGAGGATTCCTCGTCTCGTCTAAAGGAATTTGGTTCCATCTTTGGTGGCCTCAAGGAAGCCGTTTCCGCCTCAGCTGCAAAGACAGCCCTCGTCGAAAAACAGTTCTTTGAAGAGCGCGAGCGCCGGGAGGGACTAGAGAAGAAGTTGTTGAGCCTTCGTTCTGAGCATGAAGAACGTATCTCGGAAGTGGAGAACCTCACACGTCGTCTGCGAGAATTGGAGGAGCTGGCTGAGAGCCATGCTAAAGAAGCTGAAACCCACAAGCTGGCTTTCGTCTCCGGACTGGAGCGCGCATCTTCCACGGATCTGGACAACTCGATTCGGTCTCGTGCTGATCAAAGAGTCGCTGCCTTGGAGGCTCAAATCGAACGGTCTGCCACTCTGGCGAAGGCTAACCAGGCAGCCGCAAACTCGGCTGCCGATAAGCTTCGCCGGGCGGAAGAACGGATCGCCGGCCTTGAAGCATACCAAGAGCAGGCCAGCCGCGAGGGCTTGCAACTCCGCAGGCAGCTTCAAACCGCTATGAAAGAAAGTCAATCTGCGGCTACGGAGAGTCGAGACTTGAAGAGCCAACTCGAGTCTCAGCAGCGTGAGGCTGGGGCCCTCTCCATCCAGCATGCCGCTCTCAAGGATTTGCTCGGTGAGCGTGGTATAAACAGCGACACCAGACGGTCCCCGCGACTTGATTCTCCCGGATCGCGATTCGGCACTCCGGAGCAGAGCCGTTTGCGTGAGCTTGAGCAGCAACTATCGGCCAGCATCAAGGCCCATGATGACCTCAAAAACAGCTTCGAGACTCGTGAGCAGGAAGCTGATAAAACATTCCGCGAAAAACTCGAGCAACTCGAGAATGACTACCAGTCAGCTGTCCACTACGTGAAGGGCACAGAGAAGATGCTCAAGCGCATGAAGGACGAGTTAAGCCGTTACAAGACCCAGAATGCGAAGTTGCAATCTGATCTTGAAGAGGCTCACAAGAAGTCCCTTGAGAACCCCGACGGCCAGGCATCTGCATCCTCAGACGATTGGGAGACCGAACGGGCCAATCTCCAGAAATCGATCTCGGACCTCCAGGAACGGACTTCATCTTCCATCACCAGTCTAGAGGCCCAGCTTGTGCACATGAAGGAGGATCTTGACCAGGCTGCAGCTGAAAAGGAGCTTTCGCAAGCCGAGTACAAGCGCCTCAATCAAGAATTCATTGCTGCTACAGAGCAAATTAAGCAAAGTCGTGACGAATTGGAGCAACTTAAGCAAGAGAACACTCATCTTGAGTCCCGTGCTTCGGATGCAGAGAGCAAGGTCAACATGCTCCTGGAGCAGGTGCAGACCTCCGTTGGCCATTACCGCCGTCAATCCCAGCACGGCCCAGGCACCAATGGTATCTCTCGTACCCACAGTAATGCTTCTAGCAACACAGTCAGTGGAGGACACGGGAGGGCGCGAGCCGATAGCAGTGTCTCGCAGGAATCTACTTTCCCCGACAACCGTGGCTCCATGGCTTTGGACTCCCTTGCCAACGAGCTCGACGCTCTACGTTCTCACTGGGAAAGCACAAACCGCAACTACCGCTTGAGCAGCCAGCTGGATCTGGAGCGAACCCCAACCAAAAATGATAGTGAAGGGCCTGCATTAATGAGCGACAGTCTGGCAGAGTGGAGGAGGAGACTGGACGCGGAGGAACGGGTCGGTGTTCCTGTGAATACCCAACCCTTGAGAACTAGTTCTGGACACCCCGAGGGCTCCAACGTGATCTAACAATCATGTCTTCCGCTGTCTGCCGATCCACGAATACGTCTTGAGATATGTCGATTTGCACCGTCTGAGCGTTTTGCCCATGTATTCGCAACACTTTGTTCGTTCTTTTGTTTGATTGTTCTTTTCTGCTCCGTTTTTGCCTCGTCCAATGTATCCTGGATGTCTTTTTCCCTCAATGATCTTCTTTATTGTACACGGATGGATGGGTTTACATTTCCTGATTCTGTCTCGCCTGTTTTCGCCTGTTTTTGTTCTTCTCTTCCGCTCCTCCTTTTTGTCTGCCGCACTTCTTATACCCCGGTTTTCCGATGTTCATTGGACTCTGGCTGTACCACTACAATATTCCACGCAGTTTCCTTGTCCATCTATAGCCAGCAATCGTCCTAGTTGCCTCTTCGAGGCTCATAACTTTTTATGAAGACTATGTACTGTTGGCAAGGAGATATCCACACGTAATTTCCATCCGTAATTTCCTTGAGCCCCTTCCATGTGAGGTGACCCGTCACAAGCCCGATTCGATAGTTAGCAAAACTTACATCGCAACAATGCCGTGTTAGTTTATGATTGATTCTCGCATGGTACGCGCTTGCAAAAATGGTAGCGCTTGGCAAATCTAGCCTTACCTGAAATAAAATGAAACCATCTCCCCATTGGGGAAAATCGCGCATACTAGAGGATGTCAAGGACAATATTTCCAATATAGATGTTTACCGCCCTCAGGTATTCTGCCACTTTCTAGTTATACATTTTCAAAATTACAATTCCTTATATCTCTTTCTACCTCTTTTTATATTTCCTTTTACATCAATAAGTGCAAATCCGCCAATTTCCATGGCTATGAATAGGCGAAAGAGGCCACGCAGGGCGCAGTTACCAAACCTTGCGGTATCGTTGATCTACGGCTTGTCTACAAATAAGCAAGGACACAGTTTCATATGCCTATTTTGTTAGAGGGATGTGCTTACTTTCAATTTAGGCCCCATACTCGAGATCATCCATAACCCTAGATGTAACTATAGATGTTGCCTAGGGAGACTCAATGCAGGTTTACTATCCTGTACACATGTACTCCGTACCAATGATCAAATGGGGTCAGCTGCCTAAGTGAATTGCCACCACTACAAGCAATCATATCAAAAGTTATTGATCAAAAGTATTCATATGGAAAACAATCGATTTAGTGAGATTATGTAGAATTAAATTAAAAGTATTCTAACTATCCAATATTGTACCTCAAAGTACTTCAAAGTACCGAGGGTAAACAGCAGCCCAATACCAAAATTACCATACCAAGGCGCCAACAACCCGATATACCCCTGTAACTAACTGTCAGCCACCGTTCGCTAATAAAAAAAATACCCAGCTCACCGACTCCTACTTACCCGCCCCTCTCACCTCTCCTCCCCTTTCCCTTCTTCATCATCTCCCTCTAGCCCGTTATCCAAGGCTTTGCCCTTGGTTTATTTCCTCTTCCTAAAGTTCCGGATCTACTCGGGATCTTTATCTACTTTTCAAACTCTCGGGACCTTCAGTACGATCGGCAGATTCGATATCCTTCGATCCGTTATCTCCAGGTATGCCTTTATCGATTCTTGCACCTGCTTCAATCTTGATCAGCCGCGTCTTTCCCAAGTTTGTTTTGTACCTGTCTGTGTTCTCAAATGAGGCAACTACCAGCCTTCAACATTGTCTAAAGCTCACTTGTCATACCCCCTCCTCCCACCCATATCCTGTTTCTTTCATAAACGTCTCGTCCTCCCCTTCTTCCACTACGGTCTTTTTTTTGATACATTCAAGCTCTCAGCTATCGATTTCAATCGTCCGTGTTATTATTTGCAACCTAACAGACTCGGTTCCCTAGTCTCAAGTCATTGTTCACGGCTAAGCGCTGTGCCCCATCTATCCAGGATGACGACCATGGTCAGTGTCAGCCTCCCCCCAATCTCTTGGACTTTTATTTGCCTTACTCGATGTCAACACATCTTAGAGCATGGACGCTCTCTATTGGATACATCACCTCCCTTTTATCGTCGAAAATCTTTGGATTCTGCAGTATACTGACATAGTATCCAGGATTTGCGTGTCGGTAACAAGTACCGCATCGGCCGCAAGATCGGCAGTGGCAGTTTCGGTGACATTTACCTTGGTATGTATACCTCCCGATTTTGTTCCGAACTCTAACTCATAGCCACGTAGGCACCAACATCATCTCCGGTGAGGAGATCGCCATCAAGCTCGAGAACGTCAAAGCCAAGCACCCCCAGCTGGAATATGAAGCCCGTGTCTACAAGTCTCTCGCCGGTGGTGTCGGTATTCCTTTCGTTCGTTGGTTCGGTACCGAATGTGACTACAATGCCATGGTCATCGATCTCCTGGGTCCCAGTCTGGAGGATCTTTTCAACTTCTGTAACCGCAAGTTTTCGCTGAAGACCGTCCTCCTTCTCGCCGATCAGCTCATCTCCCGCATCGAATACATCCACGCCAAGTCCTTCATCCATCGTGATATCAAGCCCGATAACTTCCTGATGGGCATTGGAAAGCGTGGAAACCAGGTTAATGTCATTGATTTCGGTCTTGCAAAGAAATACCGTGACCCCAAGACCCATTTCCACATCCCTTACCGTGAGAACAAGAACCTTACTGGAACTGCCCGTTACGCCAGTATCAACACTCACTTGGGTGTTGAGCAATCTCGCCGTGATGACATGGAATCCCTGGGATATGTCATGCTTTACTTCTGCCGTGGCTCTCTCCCCTGGCAGGGCCTAAAGGCTGCTACCAAGAAGCAGAAATATGATCGCATCATGGAGAAGAAGATGACCACTCCCACCGAGGTCCTGTGCCGTGGATTCCCCAACGAATTCGCCATCTACTTGAACTACACCCGCTCGCTGCGCTTCGACGACAAGCCCGACTACTCTTACCTTCGAAAGATCTTCCGTGATCTGTTCGTCCGCGAGTCCTTCCAGTACGACTACGTTTTTGATTGGACCGTCTACAAATACCAGAAGAATGCTGCCATGATCGTGGACGCTAGCAAGAAGGACAAGGATGCCGAGGAGCAGCAACGCCGACAGGCCGCCCCAGCCGCCGGCGCCGCGGGAGCCAGCGCTGCTGCCAAGCCCGGTGCCATCACCACCCAGCGTCGTAGAGTCATTGACAACACTCCGGACACCAACCGTGCCGTGGGAGGTAGTGATAGGATGTGAGTACATGAAACCTGGTTCCGAGTAGGGAACCCCTTCTTTCTTTGACTCCTACGTTGAGTGATTTGCTTTTCGTGACGCTGGCGTGGAGGACCCTTTAGTTCCGAATCTGACTAATCGCATAGTCTTCGGCGTTAGGCTGCGTTCTGCCTCGAAAGGTGCTGCTTTAGGTTATGGACCTTCTGGTGGCCGTTCGAAGCGGGACGATGGAGCGGGGGACCAGTGGTACTAATCGTGTAATACGGCAGCGAGGCTATGATCTTTTTTCATAATTCTCCTGTCTGGTCACACTCTTGTCTACTAAGAAACCCGGGAACCTCTCTATGTCGCCTTGGAGCGGATCATATTGCACTCGACCTTTTCGGAAATTTCTTTCTTTTTTCTTGGATCTATTCATTCTGCACTCCCTGACAGCCCTCTTATCCCGTTTTCGATCTTATTTCGACTTCAACCGTTTCGAATCGCCTCTGTTCATCGCCTGCTCACATTCAATCCCTTGCTGACTGGGTGTTCAACATTTCATTGAGCTTGTGATGACTTTGTCGACAATTTTTTCTCTGTCTTTTCGGATTCTTGTACCCGTTCTGCGGGACAACCGATTATGCGGTCTCGAAACGTGCTTGATACAGTGGCTTATCTTTACGTCTTTGCCCTTTGGTTCCCTTCTACAACCTGACCTCTATGGTCATTCCAACTTGAGCGCAAGACTGAGGGAGATGCAAACAACAACGTCAACTTCGCAATTCTTCTACCTGATTGTTTGACTGCTGTTATTGGAGATCCTTGAATGCATCTTTGGATGCGCTGCCTATCCTTGTTTCCTTCCCCTTTTCGTTATTCATGAATGTTTTTCTTGCCCTTTTCTTTCTTGTTTCTGCTTTTTTTTTGGTCTGGTGATAATCAATTTGTGTACATCGACGCTTAATGGGGACGAGGGGTGACCGGACGTTTGGTCAAGTGATGGAGGTTTGTGGCGCGCTTTCTTCGGGGATAATGCTTGCAGGCCTTGTCAATTTCTGCCCAAGCTATCTTGCTAAAATTTCTGTCTGTTCTGGATGGTCTTTGGTGCAATCCCGCTCGGGGAAATCTGCTTCTCGTGGTGGTTGGCGACGGACATTGGTTAGGGTCGCTTCCGGGGTGGTATGCGTCGATTTGTGTGAATTCTTCTATTAGCTAGTTTCAACTCTGCACTTTATCTTTCTCAATCTTCCCGCAATGGGTTTTTGTAAGCCTGCTTGTAGGTCTTTCTACCGGTCGCTCCGGATGTTCTAAAATAATCTATTGGTCTTTCTTCCCAGCCTTCTTAACAGTTATTGCAGTGTCTCTCTCCAATCCTTTTTTCACAGTCTATACATGTATATAGAAGGACCCTTGATATAGGCTGTCTCTAGACCTCGATTCTTGGAAAGTAGACGAACAGTGAGATCATTGAATTCCCCATGCACGGACCAGACCAATGCTCCACTGTAAGAAGTTGGGAAGAAATTGATTGTTGAACGTTATGTATGTGCATCTGTGGTTTAATTCCATAACATACATATATGTATGTATGTATGTGCGGAGTTGTTGTTGCAATGATAGGGAGTATACTCGTGGGCGTCTGTGGTGCCCAAGTGTAAACGTCGAATTTGAAAGGGAAAAAAAAGGTAGATCCAATATAACTCCTCACTCTTCACCTCCACCTCCACTCGCTTCCATCTTCCCGACTTGTGGTTTTGTGTTGGACATTCAAATTTCGAGAAAAATGGATTACTCCTATTATAATGGCGCCAGATCGCAACCATTCTCCCTCTATGGGTTGCCCACCCCTGATCAGCAGCCCCGGGCGCAAGAAGATACATTCGTCCCTCTAGTGAGCTCTTTGTCCCTAGTATAGTATTCGAACCCCCTGGTTTTAACCAAATAAGAATAATTACGATCAAAACTTCCCCGGCTTTGACCCCTCATACCGGCTTGACCCCTCCTCATCCTTTGTCCCGCCACCGCATTCACCGCCAGAATCTTTCACCAAACAGTCTGTTTCAAGTAACGACGCCAATAATCCTACAGACCCTATCTCATTCGACGGTGATGAAAGCCAATTCGCAGATCACTCATTGGGACGCAGCAGTAGTGAGGAAAAGGACTCAGCGCCAGCGCAAAGCAAGCGCAAGGCTCAGAACCGAGCTGCGTATGTGATACATCCAACCCCACGTGTCTTGAGACAATCCAGTTCTCACAGTAGAACATACTGCTAACGTGTGCTGTTACATATATATATAGCCAACGAGCCTTCCGGGAACGAAAAGAGCGCCATGTGCGAGACCTCGAGGACAAAGTGAACAACCTCGAGAAAGCATCGGATACATTACATGCAGACAATGAGCGGCTAAAGCGCGAGCTGGCAAGATACACAACTGAGAATGAAATTTTGCGCGCGACATCTCAACACCCAAGCCGAGCACATGGAAATATGAATGAGCCCCCTGAGCCAACTGTCACCGGACCAATGCAGTACTCCCCCACGGACTTTTATTCATCGCTTGCGCCAGATGGATCGGCCACGCCTCGAAGCCCGCAGCACCGTGTCACTGTGTGCTCAGTCACCGGCGAGAAGCTATTGGACGCTGGTGCTACATGGGATTTGATTCAAGGTCATGAGCTGTTCAAACGTGGTCAGATTGACATCGGTGACGTGACTGAGCGCCTTAAGGGTATGGCGCAGTGTGATGGGCAGGGTCCTGCTTTCATGGAAGGCCAGATCCGTCGAGCTATTGAGGAGAGTGCGGCTGTGGGTCGTGATGAATTGATATAATGAACTTTGGTGGTGTTGACAAATTGAGCTTTGTATACTGCCGCTACGATTATGATTTGGAGTATTTTGGCGCTGGACTGGGATCAATAGGATTGATCGCGATTGTTTTATCTGGCTTATCTACCACCAGTCTGATATATATATGATTTGGTTGCTCTTACTTTCGAGTTTTAGCTTTTTTTTTATTATATAGATCGGACTGCCTAGTTACGTATTGTCATTGGAGATATAACTAGTGTCTAGACATCATGATATCATGAACACCTACGAAGCTTTTCTACCATGTTTTTCTGTAGCACCTCTTATCTCACTGTGCGATAGCCAAATTTAGATCGTGACCGGTAAACCTGGTATCTCATCTGGGCACATTATATTTTCAATGACTTGCTTGTCCTGTCAACAGGGGAAGGTGCTCATTCTGTTTTGGATATTTTCATAATATACACATGCCGTGATCGTGATATTCGCATTACTTTTCAATCGCAAGGGAATCAATCCCAGTCATCATCATAATCTTCAACGTTCAAATCATCATCTTGTTTGTAGTCGTCCTCGTCGTCCCGTTTCTTCAGACGAACATCACCTTCCTTCAGAGCACCAAGGTCAACGAGCAGACGCTCAATGTCTATATATTGGTCAGTATATCGTTTCTTGTACCATTACTTTTTCAGTATACCTTCGACCTTGGTCCGGGGACCCTTCAATTGCTGCAGCGTGATAAGCTGCCTCTTAATCTCGGTGTCCTTGTACACCAGGATTGTGGGCGTGTTCTTCTCCGGATATCCTTCAATACACATGTCTGCGCGAATTTCGCAGAACTTGATGTCACCGAATTTAGCTGCCAGTTGCCTCCAGAGCTCTGTCAATACGCGCGATTCAACATTCCCGCCCATTGAGGTGAGGTTGACCAGAACATAAGCACTGTTCGATGCCTCCGTGACCTCCCGGGCATAATCTACCTTTTGCAGCGGGTACACTTGATTGAAGAGGCTGGTCTTTTGAAGCGTGGAGAGTTCGGCGAGTCGCTTGTCCCTATTTGACCAGACCGTTAGAACAAATATACCCTTCGATGATTGATGGTGAATATGTGAATGAGCTCACCGATAGCTTGCAAGGAACTCTTCATCTTCTTCATCCTCCAGTGCGTCCAGCTCGTCGAGGTCCTTGTCCTCGAGCCGGTTCTCGTGCGCCCTGTGCTGAGCAGCGATCAGAGCCTCTTGAATAAGAGGTTCTGGATCTTTGGGTTTCTCTGGAATGATACCATGTTGACGGAGGATATCGTTCCTGAATTATATAAGACCATTTGTTAGCACACTGCATTTAGTTTATACCTTGCAGGTAGCGGGGGTATATGCATTGATGGTGGGCTTACCACTCAGTATCCTCCTTAGGGTCGACTTCAACCTGCATGATGGGTTTACAGAATCGAAACTGTACAGATTAAAAATAGTTTTCCAGCAAAATATGGAGAAAGTGAGGGGGAGTTGGAGGAAGACTGCGCTGCCTTCGATCATGATGCCACCTGTTTGCAGTGTTTGATTCGGGCCAAACACACGGAAGGCCACCTTCAACTTGTCCCCAATTGACAGTTCTGAGCTGGAGGGTTGAGATTCATCACCTTTTTTCTCTCTATTGCTCGCCTTTTTTTCTCTCTACCTCACTCTCGTTACGTCTTCAATCCCTGGGTGGCTATGCAAATGCTGTAGTTGCCTACACCGCCTTACCCTGATTCCGTGTACTCGACCCGTGTCCCAATTGCATCCACTCTACCTTTCTAAAGAGACAGCAACAAGTACTTGCGGGCGCGATCCCAGCTACTGGGCAAGATGAGCTACGTGAAGAAAGATGAAGACGCGGACCAGGTCATGATCAAGCTTGATCGGACCGCCGTATTCCAAGATGGTATGCAATCAACAATACCCCCTGGCGCCTCCATGCGCTTCACGAACTTGATACTGACTTCCCAATTCCTCTAGCTCGCCTGTTCAATTCCTCTCCTATCTCACCACGAACATGTCGGACGTTACTCACCAAGATCGCTGTCCTCGTGTTCACCGGGGAACAGTTCCCCACGGACGAAGCCACCACCCTCTTCTTCGGAATCTCTAAACTCTTCCAGAACAAGGACCCGTCATTGCGGCAAATGGTGTATTTGATCTTGAAGGAGCTGGCAGGTACCGCCGAAGATGTGATCATGTCGACAAGTATCATAATGAAGGACACTGCGGTGGGAAGCGATGTTTTGTACCGGGCCAATGCCATCAGAGCACTCTGCCGCATTATCGATGTATGTCGCCGACTGGAGGCTCATTGGTAATTGCAATTGCTGACAATCACAACAGGGTTCGACAGTACAAGGTATCGAGCGACTTATCAAGACCGCCATTGTCGACAAGACCCCTTCTGTGTCCTCCGCCGCCTTGGTCTCCTCCTACCACCTCCTTCCTATTGCGCGCGACGTTGTCCGGAGATGGCAGAGCGAAACACAGGAAGCTGCCTCATCATCGAAGTCATCAAGCGGTTTCCTCGGTTTCTCCTCGGGCTCCCAAAGCCACGCCATCTCCAATTCTAACTTCATGACCCAGTACCATGCGATTGGTCTTTTGTATCAGATGCGCTCTCACGATCGGATGTCCTTGGTCAAGATGGTGCAGCAATACGGCGCTGCGGGTGTAGTTAAAAGCCCGGCTGCTTTGGTTTTGTTGGTGCGTCTAGCGGCCAAGTTGGCCGAAGAGGACCAAGGCCTCCGGAAACCCATGATGCAGATGCTGGATGGCTGGCTCCGTCACAAGCATGAGATGGTTAACTTCGAGGCCGCTAAGGCTATTTGCGATATGCGCGATGTCACCGATGCCGAGGCAACCCAGGCAGTCCACGTTCTCCAGCTCTTCCTGTCCTCCCCCCGGTCCATCACGAAGTTCGCGGCTATCCGTATCCTCCACAGCTTCGCCTCGTTCAAGCCACATGTTGTGAACGTGTGCAATCCCGATATGGAGTCCCTTATCTCCAACTCGAACCGCTCCATCGCCACCTTTGCCATCACTACACTCCTCAAGACCGGCAATGAGGCCAGCGTTGACCGTTTGATGAAGCAAATCTCAGGATTTATGGCCGATATCACCGATGAGTTCAAGGTCACTATTGTTGAGGCCATCCGCACTTTGTGCTTGAAGTTCCCCAGTAAGCAGGCCGGTATGCTCGTTTTCTTGAGCGGCATCCTACGGGACGAGGGCGGTTACGAATTCAAGCGCACTGTTGTTGAGAGCATGTTCGATTTGATCAAGTTTGTTCCTGAAAGCAAGGAAGATGGTAAGTTTCGCGTCCAGTTCTGTACAATCCAAATGCTCACAACCACCTCAGCTCTTGCCCACCTGTGTGAGTTCATTGAGGACTGTGAATTCACCAAGCTTTCAGTCAGAATCCTTCACCTGCTTGGTTCGGAAGGCCCCAAGACTACCCATCCCACCAAGTATATTCGTTACATCTACAACCGTGTCGTACTGGAGAACGCCATCGTACGCGCTGCTGCTGTAACTGCATTGGCCAAGTTTGGTGTTGGCCAGAAGGACCCTGAAGTCAAATCTAGCGTCCATGTTCTCCTCACCCGTTGTCTTGATGATACCGATGACGAGGTGCGAGACCGTGCTGCGCTCAATCTGCGGTTAATGGGCGAGGAAGACGAGGCAGCGAGCGCTTTCATCAAGAATGGTGAGTCTTTTCTCCATGGCAGTAAAAGACTTTTGCTAATCCATTTAGACTCGATGTACTCTCTCTCCACATTTGAACACCAACTCGTCATGTACGTGACGTCTGGTGACAAGCAAACCTTCGCCACTGCCTTCGACGTTGCCTCCATCCCTGTCGTTTCCCACGAGCAGGCTCTGGCCGAAGAGAGAACCAAGAAGCTCACCTCAGCTACCCCCACCCTCAAGGCCCCCTCAGCTGGTCCCGCGAAGGGCAAGGCCGCCGGCGGCATGGCGGAGGCTGCGACAGCTTCTGCCACCCAGAAGTATGCCGAGCAACTTTTGCAGTACCCCGACCTCAAGGCGTACGGTGCTTTGCTCAAGTCTTCTGCTCCTGTCGAACTTTCCGAGAGCGAAACCGAGTATGTTGTTACGGCCGTCAAGCACATTTTCAAGGAGCACATTGTCGTGCAATATGACATCAAGAACACACTCCCTGATACCGTTCTCGAGAACGTCACCGTGGTAGCCACGCCAGAGGAGGATGACGTATTGGAAGAGGACTTCATCATTCCCGCCCCTAAGCTCCCCACAGACGAGCCTGGCGTCGTCTACGTGGCTTTCAAGAAGCTCGCCGGCGAGAACAGCGTCCCTGTTACCTCCTTCACAAATAGCCTAAAGTTCACTAGCAAAGAGATCGACCCCACAACGGGCGAGCCGGAGGACAGCGGTTACGACGATGAGTACCAGGTGGAGGATCTCCAGCTCACTGGCAGCGACTATGTCATTCCCACTTTTGCTGGAAGCTTCGACCACATCTGGGAACAGACCGGTGCTAATGGCGAGGAAGAAAGCGAGACTTTGCAGCTCAGCAACATGAAGGGCATCAATGGTATGCATGAATTTCACCTACCTATTTCAATCAGAAATACTTACAATCTCTACAGATGCCACAGAACAATTGATCGCTGCCCTGTCTCTGCAACCCCTAGAGGGCACGGATGTTCCTCTCAACAGCAGCACACATACGCTCAAGCTGTTCGGAAAGACCGTTTCCGGCGGCCGCGTCGCCTCCCTGATCAAGATGGCCTACTCCAGCAAGGCCGGTGTTACCACCAAGATCACCGTCCGAGCGGAAGAGGAGGGCGTTGCTGCGGCTGTGATCGCTTCTGTGTCTTAATCTCTTTGGTTTCTTTTTGTTGTTACGTGCTTAATCCTGGTTGGGGGGACAAGAGCGTGTGTTTTTTTTCCATGTGGTCTTGGTTCGTTAGATTGCGTCGTCCACCCCTCAAAACTTGTCAATGCAACATTTTTCCCCAGATATCATACAATATTCATGTTTACCTCGAATTTCTTCAGTCTCTTTTAATGCAGTAGTAGAAAATCTCTTTATGACCCTCGAAGTACCGAAGACTTTTCCTTGTTGTCCAATAATCTCTACTCACAATGTGTGAATATAATGCCTTTTCTAACGCCTAAAAGCTTAAGGCTAGATTCGCTCTAGACCGAGCCTATAATGTCGATCGAAGTTTTTAACGGGTTAGTTTCGATAGTAACTACTAATAAGACTTGCTAGGAGTCTCTGAGATTAATTTATCCACTAACGCGCTGCCTGCAGGCTTGTTTATAGTACGAGATTTTGAAAGAAAAGTAAAGTATTTTGGCTATATTTTTTTGTCACGATATGCAATTTCCTGGTTGGTATAAATCAAGGACGCAGACGTTGAGGGTCACGGGGGAACAGCGAGGCCAGGCGGACGTTAGGCAGGCCAAGGAAAAACATGACAATGCGGTTCAGACCAAGACCACCACCGGCGTGGGGCGGGCAGCCCTGGCGGAAAGCGTTAAGGTAGTCCTCAAAGCCCTCCTGGTTAGGTTCAAGTCCCTTAGCACGCATAGACTCCTCCAGCTCCTTGATATCGTTGATACGTTGAGCACCAGACATGATCTCCTCACCACGCATGAAGAAGTCATAAGAGTTGGAGAAGCGCGGGTCCTTGGGGTCGGCCTTGGTGTAGAAGGGACGCACGGCCATGGGGAACTTGTCCAACACGTAGAAATCGGTGTCGTATTTCTCGCGGATGATTTGGCCAAGCTGCTTCTCCATGGCAGTGGAGAAATCGTTCTCGAAGCTTTCCAACTCTGACACATCGACGCCGGCTTCCTTGAGCAAATTAACGCCGTCCATGTAGTTCAAACGCAGGGCCTTGCCGTCCTTGGGCAGCTTGAAGTCACCAGCCTTAGGGTAGGACTTCTGGACAATAGCGATCTGGGGAGCGTAGCGCTCCTTGAGCTGGGTGAGGATGAAGACCAACAGGTCCTCGGCGAACTCAAGAACCTCGTGGTAGTGGCCACGGAAAGTCTTCTCGAAATCGAGACCGGAGAACTGTAGATCATGTCAACATTTTCCAAGCTATGCGATAGTAAATATATATCATTCTTGAGTCTTACCTCTGTCAAGTGACGGTGAGTGTTGCTGTCTTCTGCACGGAATACGGGTGCGATCTCGAAAACATTGTCCATATCACCGGCAATACACATCTGCTTGTAAAGCTGGGGGCTCTGGGCCAAGTAAGCGTTGCGCTTGAAGTACTTGACCTCGAAGACACCACTACCACCCTCAGTGGCCGCACCGACCAGCTTGGGTGTGGAGATCCAGCGAGATCCACTCTTGATCATGTACTCAGCAAACAGCTGGGAAACTCCGCTAGAGATCCAGGTGATGGCCTGACTTGTCTCGGTCTGCAGATCGAGGACCCGGTTGTCGAGGCGGGTCTTGAGGGTAACGATAGGGGCACCGTCGGCATCAACCTGGGCACCCTCATCAGTGTTCTCGGGAGGTGGGCGTTCGGCATCTTTGACCTGCATTGGGAGCATCTGCGCGGCCTCGGAGATCATGTAGACCTTGCGGATGTGGATTTCGAGGTGGCTGATGGACGCGGACGAAATCGGGATCTCAGGCTTCTTCACAATACCGGTGACCTGGACGATGGAGTTGACGTTCAATCCACCAGTGTATTTGATCATCTGTCGGGAGATAGGCTCCGCGGCCGCGATAACAGCCTGCACCTTTTGTCCCTGTTGGCGCAACATCAGGAATGCCAGCTTAGCACTCTGGACACGCGCATTGTCCACACGTGCAACAACTGTCACTTCCTTCTCATAGTGCTCCTCTGAGAGATCGGCGAATCGTGTGGCAGGAGCGATATCTTCAGTCTCTGGGAGAGGGCCATATAAATCTTTGGCCGTGTCGTTGGCCTCCTGGGCAGCAGCTTGCGCCTTTTCCTGCGCTGCGCGCGCCGCAGCCTTCTCTGCCTTGGCCTTGTCTTTGGCAGCCTTCTTCAGGGCGTTCTTGCTTGCGTTCTTGGTCTCGCCTTCCGCGGCGGGTGCGGAAGCATCCTGAGTTTCCTCGGGCTTGGGACGGTGGGGCAATTCGGAGTCGGCCATGGTGCTGTAAGGCTAATTAGAGGGCAAGGATGCGGAAGTAAAGATATTATGTCCTACCTCAACGATATTCTTTCACGAGAAAGTTACAAAGCTTAACAAAGCAGGCTGATCGACTTTAGTCAAGCTGCAGATTGACTCACCCCGCCGGCCGTTGCCAAGCCCTAACCCTAAGAGGGGATGTCACATGACGTATAAGTACCTTCTATACGTATATTGCATACAAAGGATACTTCAGTATACCGAATTTCTGGATAATCGAGATCGAATTATAATATGATTTTATACTTGGGGCTAAATTGTATTGACAAACAAGTTATAACTTGGACCATGTCTATGATGCTGTACATCTGTCTAGATTGACCTCCGGGGGTTTTAGAGAGGCTTTTGATAATCAAGCAGCAGGCCATTTTGAGTTCTTCAAGGCCCACTGAACACCCTTGTGAACATTGTCCGCAATGGTTTGGGGGGTCCATGCGGGTTCACCACCACTGTACACCCCGGTCCGAACAAGAATGGAGTGCCAGCTACTGCCAAACCCACTACGGTAGGAGTTCGCGCCCCGGATATCTGATTCTGGGTTATCTCCAACCATGTAAACTCTTTCCAAGGGCGGGAAATCTGCAGAGTCGCCAAATGTTTTCAACCGGTTCCGAAGCAGTTGACGTTCCGCAAATTCGTAGGTTGGTTGATAAGGCTTTCCGATCACAGTCTTCTTCAACTCAATGCCTTTGCTGGAGCCTCCGGTAGTCGCAGCCCAGACTCCTTCAAGTGCCTCTCGGAATCCACCTTGCCCAAGACGGGGCAAAGGGTAAGCGGCGGCCCACCACAGATCTGGATTCGAGAAATAGAGATGGGGCTGGCCATCCTGCTGGTAACCGTGGTTGGGGAGGTCAATTCGGCCGTTCTTTTCAGACAAAGTGCCTATACGACCCTGCGACGAAAGAAGGAGGTCCATGATGACCTGAGTATCCAAGGCCCAATCCCGAGGATCATTATACACGAAGATGGCGTCTATCTTCAAAGTCTTCAATGGATCATTCAAATCGATTGGTTGCGGAAGTGGTCGAGCAAAGGTTTTGTAATAATTGTCAAAATTCTTGGAGAACGGCCAGATTGCAGGATTGGCCATGAGAATATCACCTGGCGTGACGACGTTCTTGAATCCGTATCTTGGAGTTTTGCTTAATAAAGTCCCTTTGGTAATAGAGAGAAGGTCATGAAACATACTGTTCTGCCACGCGCCGACAGTTGTCCCCATCACCTCCAGCCACCAGCACACACTTGTGCTCCAAGGCGCTCGCTTCGTCTGGTCCTTTGACCAGCTCCGCAAAAGGCGAATGGCTCTGTACAATATCTGTAGCATCTAAATGGACTTGTAATTTCTCGCTGATCTCTGCGACGCGCTCAGTTTCATGTTTACCGCCGCCGTTGGTAAGCAAAATGAAGGGGATGCCTTGATCCTTCAGCAGTGCCAGTGAGTCGGCGGCACCCGGGATGGGTTTGGAGGCTCGTAAAAGAACGCCATCAATACTAGAGAAACAGATTAGATCGAATCATAAGATGGGGTGTTGAATCGGCTTCTTGTTGACTCACTCAAATGCGAACGCGAAGTTTGGGATCGGTCGAGAACTGGCTGTTTGAATTGCCCTACGGCCAATGTGCGTGCACGCAGTCCGGCGCTGCAAAAGGCCGAGCGACCGCCATGCAGTTTGTAGTCTCATTGTGGTAGAAGGGAAAAGAGAGAGTTGTAGCTCTAGAGAGGTGTACGTACGTCATTGCTTCCGCACGGAGTGCCAAGATTGTTTACCACAGCGTGCCAAGACATTCTACATCCGATGCGCACTATAGGTGTTCCGTACGCCTTGTTTTAGTAAAGCCTACTTTTTACCAAATTGATGTGGGTGGAGAAACAATGTTCGAGTTGGATCTGTAGATAAATTACCTGCCGCTCCTAATAATAGAATATTTCCCTCAGATTTCACTCATTGTCAGTGATGTCTTGATGTGTTGTATGACACAGCAAGACGCGAAAAGCTATGGGTTATTATAGCAAAACAAAGAGACAAAAATTTAATAAACTTGCTCTGGGTCAAGGACATAAAGCCCCAGGTCAAAAACAGCATCCAATTCGTCCTCTGGACAATTATCGATGTTGTTCCACACCAACCCGTCAATGTTGGCACGCGAGGCTTGAGGTAGGAATCCAAGACAGTCAGGGCTAATGCCGATTCCACAAACTTGAGAAAGTTCCCCTCTTAAAGCCTTACAGAGGTGTTCGATATCAACCACCGCAAATGTTTCATCAATCGGGGAGGTAAGGATAAGTTCCCGCATTGACCGAGGTATATCGATCACATCAAACACAGGATTTATATCGACTCCAAAAAGACTATCAATGGGTATTCGAAGACGTCGCAATGAAGAAAAACGTTTAACGCCAGCAAAAGGTTCGTTCACAAGTAATTCACGGTGATAGGGCGAAATAGTCAATTCTTTAAGTGTGGCACAGAGTTGCTCGTTCATCGAGGCCACATCTAGGACTGTTGTTAAATATTCGCAGTCAATCAGAGTCAGGCCTTGCAGTGTTGTTGGCCACCTAAAACTCCGTGCTGTATGCGAATCGAAGCACCCGCCGACTTTGAGCCATTTTAAATTTGGGGGCCAATCTTCACTCGAACCGTCATCGGTAATGAGCATTGAGGGTGGTAGATCTAGCGACTCTAGTTTGTCAAGATGGCCGACGGCTTTTTTGAGATCATAAAGCGTAATTGGGTCAGCTACTAGGCCGAGGGAGAGATGGGTCATCTCTTTGCATTTTGATAAGGGTGCAAGACTGTTGATTCTGGTGTGAGAAGTCAGCCTACGTTTGGATACAATGGTATTAAAGTTGTCCATACGAGAAAGAAACCCTGGGTGCAGCGAATTTTCTGAGACTCTTCTTTACTCGGCCCAGCAACCGTGCCGTTAGGCTATTGGAACTGTGATGAACCAGGCCTGAGAGGTTCAAAACTTGAACCAATGATCCTAAATCCACTTTCCTTCCCCTGGAACGAATCGGTGGGCATACCGTGTTTGTAAATAGAGCGAAACTGTTTCCTTTGGCAAGCTGAGGACGGTGGTATAAGAACCCGATGCCAGCAGAGTACCACTGGCGAGATACCAAACAGAACTTGTGAAGTGTAGATTGAAAATCAGGAGAAAGATCTTCTGTCCACTGATCGAAAATCAAATTGGCAATTTGAACCAGGATTTCAGTAGGAATGTGGACATATCGTGGGGAAGTCCTAGCCTGGGAACGACCCATATATTTTGGCATCTTTGTAACAGTGGAAATGAAATAATAGAGCGGGGGATGCTTTAAGAAGTTGAGGATGAAAGTGGAAAAGAAATGACTGCACAAGAAGCGAAGTAGGTGAGTTCAAGCCAATTTTACTTGGTAAGACACATGTAGCAGGATAACTGATTGGACATTGAAGGCCATTGCAAAAAGATTTGGAAGGCGTAAATGAAGAAAAAAATACATCGAGGGTTTAGATTCGCTCATCTCTTATCGTAGACTATTCTGCTCGCGATAAATGATTCACCGCCTTTCAAATGCCCTACTTGATATATAGCTTGAAGTGCATTGCCACAAAGTCCACCATAGGTATTAACTATCCCTGGTGAACTAGAGGACCTCCTACGAAAGTGCCTAGTGGTTAGGGGTCGGATTGAATCATTTCTAGGATTGCTGTCGGAACATATGCCTTTTCCACCGCTCCATATGGCGTACTGTAACCGTTTCTCACAATCAAAAACAATGCACGGAGTATTTTGTACACATTAAAGAAAACCATTATCCCTTTAGCTATCTCTTTTCGCGCTCTTTTGATACCTCGTTTTACTCATTCAAGTATTTCAATTTTCTGCCAGACTTAGGTCAAGTATTCTTAAGCCGCGCGGGAAGTGGGGAATGGCGGTTTCCATGCACGACCCATGTATGAAGTGTTAGGCACAGGCTGGCAGGGATAAGGAAAGAAAACAAGTATTAAGTAAGAAAGCCCTAGTTAGAGCTGGTCTGATCTGACAAGATTGGCCAAGCTTCCACTCCCAACCAGGATCTAAACCCGTCCGAAAAGTGACCCCCTAACATCTAGTGCCACTACCAACTATTGATTATGATCAAATCATCCTCTTAATAAGGCTCTATCCTTATATGGTTCTTCTCAATAATGGCCATGGAAAATATCATGAAACCCACGGAGTGGGGTAAGTCGACCGAAGTTGAAGCAAAACGAATTGAATCTGTCGATGGTAATTTCAAAGCGAGTAAGTTCACCAGTGGCGTTTCTACAGAGTCACAACTTTTGCTGAATGAGATCAGAGTCACCTCCAGGCATTTTGAAACTGAAGATCAGCCCCCATTCAACTAGCTACTGGACAAAGACCGCTAGGATCTCAGCAGAGAAGGCAGATGGCCAATCGCGTAGGAGATTCTTTCTAAAGGCAAGCAAATATCACGTTCGTAACTTTCATTTGATACTAACCGCGTTGCTAGGTATCTCAAGCTAAAATGGCTGGGCATGATATTCGGGGAGCACGCTTCCATGGTAGCATTGTACAATGCTTTGCCCGAGTTCGTCCCTGCTCCAGTAGGTTACGGTGCATATGCGTCAAATCCAGATATTCACTTCTTCCTCTCTGAATTCTTAAACATGATGGGCGAGATTCCTGAGATCCGAATTTTCATCGAAACCCCGGCAAAGCTGCACACCAAGGGGATTTCGTCAGAAGGTGAATACGGGTTCGATGTACATACCTATAAGGGCCCAATACCCCACCCAATATACAGCTCGGCATGCATGACAAATGGGAAGAATCTTTCTACCATTCTCTCAAGTGGTTTATGACCGCCCGCTGTAAACTGGAGGCCGCAAGATTCAACCTCGTCTCATTCACAGTGACCTTTGGTCAGATAATACGTCGACGAAAATGATAACAATCTACCTGTAGTCTACGACGCTGCTGGCCTGCATGCTTACAACGAAAGTAAGTATTACAGCACAGAAAGTACAAGTTACGATGCGAACGAACTAACGGCTTATTTCTTCGGTGGAGATGTCGGTCTGGAGACCGGTTCGCCATTTGATTAAGTTCAATTATCTGTTAAGCGGCTTCGGTTTGTCTCTAGGTCTCGGGCTTTTTAGCGATATCTTGCCGAGAAAATCAAAGTCAATGGGATCTCAAAGCTTCGGCCTTGTTCCTGGGTGTTCTCCGGTATCGAAGGATGTAGGATCTGTTCCTTGGGATCTGATTGAATTTGTGAACGATATCTGACAGCATGATTGGGCGAAGGACACGATGAGGACCCTCACTGAAAATTGTCCGGATAGGATGAAGGCTAGGCAAAGGAGAGAGGAGAAGAGCCTGTCTAGCGGGTAATGTCTGAAACACCAAGGATTCCTGACGTATAGGTAGAAATCGTAGATGGACTAGACTGCGTGTCAATGATAGACAATTGGTGCAAACAATTACCAGTGGGCCTAATTCCCTTATCGAACAATTTCCTTATCGTATTCTACATACTAGGACCACGAAACAATGGCCCAAGCTCCTAATAATCCTAATTTCCTTCACAACTCACTATGCCTGACAAGAGGAAGGCCACTATGTCGGCCTCGTCTTCTAAACGCCCCCGGATATCTTATGACGATGAAAGTGAGCATTCTTCACCAGTACCCTATGAGCAACCCCAACAAAATTTTATCTACGGTCAGAGGGGCGCATTCCCGGGCTTGAGTGATGGCGAAGATGAACTCTTTTACGGCCCGGCGGATGATGGCTTAGAGTATCTGCGAATGGTTCGGTAAGTTCTAGTGTGGGATAAAGCCTTCTTTTCGCTTGCTAAATTCCGAGTCTCCCAGCTCCCCTCCGTCGTGTTTCGAGCTTAAACTGATTTTTGCCTGATAGTTCGGAAGCAAATTCGCTACCCACACTGTTCGTCGCGCCTGCTCAAACTTCAGGTTTCCCGGACTCGAAATCAAAAATCCAACATGATTCAGACCCATCGGTATCAGTGAAGCAACCCCTGGCGGTTGGTTTCTTCGCAGATGAGGCCGCCTACGTCGCTCCCGCGACGGACAAAAACACAAACAAGGATGCGCTCTCCCCCTCGAGTCTCGAAGAACGTTACCCCGATGCACAAAACTCCTACTATAACATTCTGCGCCATCGCTTTCTCCTCTTGAGATCGACCCTTCGATGCACTCCACCTGCCGACGCCATCAGTGCCCTCGACGACCTTCACCCAATTAGCTTACCTCGAAATGCCGGGTCCGCGCACAAAGAGTGGCGTCGGCTTCTGCAGGCAGTCGACCCGCACATGGTTCAAGTAGCATGCATGGACATGGAAAGTGTGCTGAGAGTACTTGAAATACTGGCCAGAATGGTGTCCGATGTCGTGCGAAGTGAAGACATCGAGCGTGTACGGCGCGTTGGTGTCTGGGCCTGGGCCTTGTTGGGGAAGTGCCGTGAAGTCGGAGAACTGGCAACTGAGGAGGTTGGAGTCATTCGAAATCTAGGGAAACGAGCTACGACAATCTTGTCCAAAGTACAGGAGACAGAGAGCTATCGAGCTCAGGAGGCCGCGTCGTCAGTTTCAAGTCCAGAGGCTGAAGACAATACTCGGCAGGACCCTCCAGTTAATGATGAGCAAGAGACGAAGCAAGAAGAAGTGCCGGAGTCCGCCGAAGCACGAGAATCCAACATATTCGATGCACCCGCGGAACAGGCCGAGTTAGAGGCGGCCAAGGCACGCTTGCAAGCCCGCTTGTTGGGCAACGATGAACCTGTTGAGACTCAAACCAGTTCTGATGAAGAATCTTTGGTGAAGCAAACCCGCGCCCTGTTGGACATGATCATCACTGTAGTGGGTGAGTTCTATGGCCAACGAGATCTGCTAGAGGCACGTGAGGTCTGGGTTTAGATGGATTGAATTTGCATCAAATTGTATGAGATACCCAATGTTACATCTGCACATATCATTAATTTCGTGTTATCTATAACGTGCCAACGCTGTCTTCGTGTACATCTGTAGAGCAAAAGGCCATCAAACAAGGTCGGGTGCCTTAGACCTGGTCTAAGCTTTGTGCGTCATGCGGAGCTGTCACCTCAGCCGCCGCTTTGCATCCTTTAATTCCCCAACTCTCAAAGAATGATCTTGCATTTTAAATATTAATTATGGCACCAACCGTTGAGATAACGATTCCATCTACTACCCTTTCACAGACTTCCCCTCCGCACACCGTTTACCACATCACCCTCCGCCTTCCTCTCCGCTCCTTCACGGTCCCCAAACGCTACTCGGACTTCTCAACCTTCCACAAGACCCTCATCTCCCAAACAAACGCCCCGCCGCCAGCTCCATTACCTTCGAAAACATGGTTCGTGAAGACTGTCTCGAATGATCGGTTGCGGGAAGACCGCCGTCAGGGTCTAGAGCAGTACCTCCGGGCGATCAATGAATCTGACGATGGCCGTTGGCGTACCTCTCCCGCGTGGCGTGCTTTCCTCAACCTCCCAACCGCAGTCGCATCGACCGGCAACGGATCAACAAACACCTCCACTCGTCTCCACGCAGCTATCACAGACCCAGCATCGACAAATGCACCAATCACAGACCCGACGCTATGGCTAGATTACTACCGCGACATGAAGAATTATCTCCATGATGCCCGACTACAACTCTCTCGCCGAGACCAGGAGACAACGCCACAGAAACAGCATGAAAGTTCCGCACAAGCGAAAGGCTGCCTTGTCCGTGCCGGGACAATGATCACCACTCTAGACGAAGGACTGAAGAATCTAGGACGCGGTGACCACAGCTCCGGGTCACAGGCAACATCCACCCTGGGCGGAGGCGAGATCCGCCGACGGAAAGACCTTCTCATCAACGCGCGCAAGGAGAAAGACGGCCTAGAAGACCTCCTTCACGCCATGGCAACAAAGAGTCGACTCGACCACGCCGTAGCATCTATTCAGGATAAAGAAGCGCTGATGAGCGCCGGGAATGCGGCTGGAGATGGCGCAAGCGGTGGGCGCAGGACGCCGGCTCGGACGGGCAGAGTCCTCGGCAAAGAAACGGAGCGGACGCGTGAGCTTGACAACGATGGCGTGCTTCAGTTGCAGAGGCAGATGATGGAAAGCCAGGATCAGAATGTGGATGAGTTGATGAAAATCATTATTCGACAGAGGGAGTTGGGCACGCGGATTAACGAGGAGCTCGAGGTGCAGAATGACCTGCTGAAGTTGGCGGATGAGGAAACCGATATGTTCGTCTATATCCTTTCATTGGTGGGACCTTGCTAACTGAATGTCTAGACTGAAATCTAAGATCGATGTTGGGAGGAAGAGGATCGGAAAGATCTCTTGATTCCTGGGATGGGTGAAACATATCTTTTCCATTCAGCATATCGCCCGTCTCTTTCTATCTATACCACTGAGCGAGTGTTTCTCACATAAGGAGTTTAGCGGGTTGATTTTTTGAATTTATGGAGTCTTGTTATTCGGTCTTTTGACAAGAAACCCCATGTGTCTTGCATATCTACATTATAAACATCGAAGAAACATTTCAAGCTTCCTGAACGCAGAATAGCAGCTTCTTTCTTGGTTTTATTATCCACGATAGGGCAAAATTAATCCGCGATCGAAAGTGCGTTTCGAAAGAGTATCGACAAAGCAGTAGTAACATATTTCATCAAGATGTAAAATTTAACTAAGCTCATGGAAGCCTTGCAACTATAAGTAAATCTGAGGTCGCAAAGAGTAAAAAAGAAAGAAAAACTAGTTCTCTATGGCTGGATATTATCTCTTGCACCAGATGGTACTACGAACCTGGGCAAAAGAAATACCATGTAGGTACATATGTATACACAAGCATTCGGCCTCCAGGGCTGAGTTTTTGCATGGACATCTGCATCTACTAGATAATGTTCAAGGTTCAATGGGTTTGTTGCACAACCCGTTTACATAATGACTCTTGCATGATAACATAGTCAGAGTTATTGGAATCTCAATTCACAAAAGGGTATCATGTATCATTAGATTGTTTATTGGCAAGCTCTCCACGCAGTGGGTTTGAACAGGGCAAGTGACGATGTCGAATGCTTCTAGTCCCATGGATGCCGCAACGAGATCTAGCCATTTGTCCGGGGACGGCAAGTCTACATGCGCGTTTTTTATTGCTGTAGATGCACGCGAGGTGTTTCCTGAACCACTGCGAAGCTTGGAGACAATTCGGAAAGGCAGGGGGTCCACAGAGATCGTTTGGTCTTCGATGGTGGAGCTATAATCAACTTCATATGCTTGAAGATAATCTTGCAGAAGACCGAGAAGAAATAGACAGATATCGGATCCACGAAGGACACTGTTCGCGAACTCTTGGGGAAATGTAGAGGGGATGGGCCCAATGAATCCAGCCTTGTCGTTAGGTTCAACGCCTTCTTTGCTCTCTGGCGTGTACCACTGGTACTTCTGCACTGCAGCGGCTAGCCGGAGATGAGCTGAGAGTGTATTGATTGTCTGGCTACAATGCAGAACTTGTCCTAAGAGCTGCTTTGCTGTCTTTTCTGGTTCGGCTGCTCGGTGTAGCCGACGAGCCTTGAAAAGCATTCCTGGGATCTTGACGACTTCGATGAAGATACTATCCTGCAAGTCGATGAATAACGCAATAGGGCCGTCAACTCGCTGATCGGTCATGTCTTCTCTCCGGACCTGATGAATGTGAGCTTGCCATTCAGATTGCTCAAATATACACTTTTTGTCATTGACAAAAGCTTCCGCGACAATAAAGCTCCTGAACGAAAGGTATAGGCAGCGGTCAAAGCCCGTAAGGTGAGCAATTGGACCTCGATGAGCCATGAGCACTGCCGTACCACTAGCATGCCGGGCCCAAGAGTCCGGGTTGGTGCGAGAGTAGGCCTCAAACAAACTGAGCACGATTGTGATGCTTACGCTTTCCCGGGACTTCATGGAAGCCTCGTTTCGAATCATGTCGCCAAATAAATGCAGCGCTTTACTGTACATCTCACGACTAGAGCGTTGCAGCTTATCGTCGACATGGGTATGGCCCATGAAAACCAGGTTCATGCTGTATATTGCTGCATCAAATGCGGGACTTTTACCGCCGTGTTGTGCGATGTATCCTGTCCAGGGCACATGCACTCGGTATTTGTTCAGTCCAAACCATCGTGTGAAAGCCGCCATGACGAAGTCGCCGAAGATGACAGGCTGCTGCTTGCCAACTGATTTTGTTACGAGCGATGGCTCGATACATTCGTCAATAGACTCTGGCTTTTTCTCTTGTTTTTCTTTCGTAAATCGAGCTCGTAGTTGTGGTCCTTCGTCCATGAACTTGCGGGACCTGACGTATCCGGGGCAATCGGTGCCGTATCGTTGACATTGGGAACACTCTGGCTGTGTGAGATCACACTTCACGGTGCTACATGATCAGTAATTTATTCCAATTAGTAATGATGATAGAGAACAAGTCCCACCTTTACCCGCCGTTGGATGCATGTCTGACATCCTTTGCTTTTGGGCACGCCAACCATGATGATAGTGACTCCAACAGTAGCCGCGAGTGAGGCATTCCCAAATTAGGGTTCTGATATAGAGTTGTTGATAGTGCCTGAGTAAATCCGACTTTTTACTCTGTTTTTTCAGTCACGTAGGCGGATCATCATGTGAAAGCAGATCGCAAGCATGCTAACTTCAGAGAAATTCTTCAATGATCAAAGTCACAGCACACAAAGGGTGATATTACTGTTGATGACCAGCAGCGATCTAGAGGAAGAAAAGAGATGAATATTGAAAGAAGGAGCTAGGACACGAGCTCGGCACCCCGCCTACAATAATATGCGAAAAGAGGTACACATAGTGTGGCTTCCACATTTTCTGTCAGATTGGTCAATATTATCTTTTGCTCTGTGCAGTTTCCCAATTGGCCAAGCCTGTATTACAGCCATCAGATTCCGGATTGGGTGCAATGTCATAATAATAGAAACACATGGAAAATGACAGCAACGGTGACAACGAGGCAGAGTCAGCGTAACGCACATTGTTAGAATGCGGCGTCCAAGCGCCCAAGCGCCCAAGTCGGTAAACCAATGGCTGAATGAGCTAAGAGGCCGACAAGCTTAATTTTCTTGCGCTTGATCCTCCCACAGAGGGGGCTTGGCTTTACGCGGGAAGTCGTCCCATGGATGAATCAATTAGTTGGACTTGGCTTGAGAAAAAGGGAAAAGTTAGACGAGACCACGGTTTATTGCGCTATCGGCATGTTGATCAATTGCCTATATAACTCTTTAGTGCCTATATAACTCTTTAGTGCCTATATAACTCTTTAACTCCCAGTCTACTGAGTAAATGAGCACTGTTTGATTCGCAAACCCTAAACGCAATCAGAATTTTGCCTCGCCCGTGCGCCAACACAAGTGCGCTAGGGATGTTTGCAGAAACTTTATATTGGACCCGATCCGAAAATTAATCGGCAACCGATTTTGCGCACGAACTGATGAAGATAATGTATCACTTGTGTATCTATCACTAGGCAGAATGTCGAGGAGAGGCATAGAGATAAATCTGCATTTCTGATCGTCGGCAAACTATAGCTCGATATAACCCACGTACCTGAATTTCTATAGTTATAGTTGTTATTCTTGTACTTATGATCTAGGTTTCAACCGGCCAAGATCTTAGATCGTACCAGGTCTATAGGTATCGGTGCATCAGGTCCCAGGGGGGAATAACAATATGTCTAGGTATCTACAGTATTACAAGGGATTCGGATCTTATTCATTTCTGGCCATACAGTGATATAAACAAACAATTTAGTGAATTTGAGCTAATAGAGTTAATTTTAGGATATCCCAGAGAATTTCGAATAGCCTCGAAACTGCCAATCTGGAGCTGTGTCTTGAAACTATTACCCCAGAAGAAATCTATATATAATGAAATTATGTACAACATGAAAAAGGGTTGGAATTACCAAGGTTTCTGAAGCCTTGTCTTCAGAGGTTAAGACCTGTTTTATAACCCTCACACCGTTCTAGAAATTGTCGCCTTGCCACTAGTTACCGGCTTTCACCACAGAAGTTGAAACGTCAACCGTCTTCGTGACCCCGATACCACCAAATTTCATCCTCGGGGATTCCCCTCGTCCCTCGCTGTCACCATGGATGACTGTTTCAACTTTAGGGTCTCCTTGTGCATTGTACATGAGTACGTCCTCGTCCTCATCCATCTTTCTCACACTCATTTGATTTTTGCTTCGATCCATTCCTGCATGATTCCGCATGCTGCCCAGTTTGTAATCGGATTCATAGGTTGCTTTGTTGCTGGAATACTCTTTGTACATGCGGATGAGGAGTGCCGAAAGTGCAGGGAGACAAGTGCAGATGACGCCGATAGAGACCTCCGCATTACTAAAAGAGGAGATCCAGTTAGCTTGGCTGCCGAGTCAATGTTATTGTCTTGGGAGAACGTACCCTAGCATGTTGATTCTCATGAAAGCAAGAGAAACATCCTTCGACTGTCCAGTAACAACAATCAATGCCAAACGAATGATACTTGCCGCAACAGCTAAGCCGCCCGCGCCCAAGATACACATGACTCGCATCTTCCTTCTTGTGTTCATTTGCAGAGTCAAAGTTAACGGGAGGGGTAAGAGAAGAACGATCATATCGCTGACCACACTGACGACGGCATCGGCCATAATGATCGAACTCTCATCTAGACATGTGCCATCAATTTTCTGATCCCAGAATCTAGCGATGGGGCTGCAGATTCGAATTTTGACAATAACAGCAGGGATGTAGTAGGCCAGCATGATCCCCATAAATATCCTGATAAAAATAACGCATTTTCGGAACGGACTGAAAACTCGCATCACGATCCAGAGAAGGCAGACTTTTGTGAGGTAGGCTGTTGGGCCGTACATGACCATCGTCACGTAGACAGTCTAGGAAATTAGACAATTTCGTCATCGTGGGATTGTCTAACTTACTTTTTGGAATGGTATCTTGTTCTCATCGGACACGTCTGACCAATGTAAACCTCCTCCATAATGTCCCACTGGCGTTTGGTTAGGTCAAACCCACGAGAAGGGGCCATTAGCACATACTAATTATAGCGATAATAGAGTAGCAGATCCCAAGAAACTATTCAAAACTTTAGTCAGTCCACTTTCCCGCACTTTCATGTTGTCTTCATACCGTTGCTATCAAACATGCCACTTCACATATTGTAAGCATTCATTTGGTTGTACTTGAGAAAATAACTCACAATCTTCTTTGCCGAATCCACTCAAGATGGAAATTCGAGTATAAAGCCGTAGGCCAAAGAAGACAGCCATTCCAATGATGCATAATGACTGACATACGAAGTTCCAGGTTTGAATACTTCGATCAATGTCCACATCCCCAGGGCTTCTTTCTGATAGCAGCGACGTAAGGGGATGCATGGCGGGACTATAGGGCTGGAATGAGAAAGAAGTCAGCTGCCGTAGGACAGTCGTCTTTAAACAATAATGCAATGGATCCTTCAGCTAAGACATTAGCGAATCGAAGAACCACAAATTAGGTTTGGCTTTGCTTTTCTGACATAATTTCACGACTTGCACAATGTAATCCAGATCTTTGGTTACCCACGATCGGCTCCCCTGAAACAAAAAGAAACATTAATAGTCAAAAAGGACTTTGTTTGATGCTACTAGTAATCAGTAGCGGACTGTCGGATGTTGGAGCATAAATGGATGAGGGAATATGCGGGCGAAATGCGTTCATTAAATCCTTTATTGTTTGCCAATCATTTTCTGATGTATGAGTTGATCTGCTTGTCTACTCCGTAGATACAATGTACTTGCAAGGTTGTTCATGCAGTCTACAATGCATGGATACAAGGTGGCCCCCAGCATCTAGTTAGTGGGGTGAAGTATAAATTACGGTGCAGGAATTTTTTGTATTATTTACATTGCAATATTGTAGAAATACATATGGATGTAGCTGCTTAGCTCCGGTATGCTCGAGGCACTAGATTTCCAGGAGAGTTATTTGATTACACACATCAGGTCAAGTGAAGTCGCCTTTGAGGGCAAGGCCAATTCAATTGTTAGTACTGATGTTTCATGGCACTACAATAGTCTACAGCTTTTGATATTGCATTCTGGAATTCTTTGTATTGGCGTACAACGTATGTTATCATATGATTCCCTTAAACCCTTAAATTTGATATGTATAACGGCATGTGGGTCCAACGGTCCCGTCTACCACTCGATTGCTCAGAGTATAATTTCACTGACCCACGGAGGCATTTATGGGAATCATAATTGATGAATGAAATTCGGCTGTAAAATAGCTGCGGGTCGAAGGATTCAGTCTTAATTTTAAGTGGAGACCCAGTCAAGTTGAACAGTCCAGAAGGAACACCGAGGCGAAGCCAAAGTACGAGACATTATCCACTAGGTGAAAGGATTGTTGTCTATGCTGGGTAATGACACCGCATATCATTATTCATAGTGCATGTCAGACAGGACGGCTTTCTTCAGCGCCACACAAAGCGGAATCTGCTCCCGCCCCGTTCGCTCCGGGCCTTTGGCCCACATTACGCCCACATACAAATTTAACTATGACATCTGTTCGTCCTTGAGTTGCCGTGAATTTTGCAAAAGTACAAATGCAGTAAGTACTGTAGGCTAGTGGGGTTAATATCACCTTTCAAGGAATTTGAACCAAGCGGAACCACCCGATGAAACAGGCGTAGATGGGACGGAAGGATTCCGGTGCCAAAGTACGTTGTAGTCTATTATACGCTTTATTTGATGTATCAAAGATTAGGTAGCATTGATTTAGAAAATTGCCATCACGTTCGGAGGCGAAGAGACTCCACCAGGCATGTTCAAAGGCACGGATGCCACGAAGAAGCTCCACCGTTGGAGTTCCTGGCATGTGCGCGCCAGTGCCTCGAGGTCGAATAGTTCCCCTGTGTATTCTCAGTTGAGATTTCGAAAAACAAAAGCAATGTTCCGGCAACTTACCGATTGGCATTCCCCATCCGGCAAGCACATACTCGTGGAGAAAGATGTCAGGAGATTGAGGTGGGTAAACCTGCGGAGATGTCAGCTGTCTTTTCTCTCTGATAGACTATCACATGCCGAGAAATCTCAGCGACTCATTTGGGGGTTCTCACCTCCCAACTGATAGCGTCACTGGCGATTGCGGCAAATCCGGTATCCCACAGCCAGCGGAGGACTTCTGTGGTAGCCTCTACTCCAGCGTGTTCTGGACTGGAGTTGTCCGAATAAGCTTGTTTCTGGGCATCCGTCATGGACGTATCCCACTCCTTAGTCACGCCCACGCGGACGAAAAGGATATCACCTTTTTTGAAAATGATGTTGTTCTCCTTAGCAATCTCTAGGATGTCGGCAAACCGCACTTGATGGGTTGAGAATGTAGTATATTTGATTCCTTTTTTCTCGGCCCACGTTGCGTAATCAATCAAAATTCCACGTCCTATTGAATTTCGTTAATGATTATTGAAGGAAGGTATTATACGAGCAATAATTATGATTACCTGCAATTCCTTCTTTGGCCCAGTGCTGGAGACCAATCCGGTCATTTTGGCGATCATTGATCTCTTCAGCTGTCGTTCCACCGTAGAACACACGCTCAGATTGACCAGGTACAGTCTGAGAAAAATGACGAAGACCATCCCATTGGCTGCTTTGCTCTGTTTGAATGTTAGCAATTATTTGGACGAGAGCAGAAAGTCAACAACTTTGTTAACTTACGTGGATTCATAGTATAGACATCATCAAATGCTATACCTCCTAGAAGCGGTATAATCTTATGATGACACGGCTGACGATTGAGGTTGGGATAATCGAGCTTTGTCATTTCCCATCCCATTGTTACGCGACGGCCACATTTGATCTCACTAGCAGATGCCGCAGCGACAACTTCAGGGGTAAGAATAGCTAGTTTCCCCAAACCCTCTTCGTAACTTCCGGGTTTTCCCAGCCATACCTGCTTGGGATTTGGAAGATCGTCAAACGGAGTGTCAAATGGAGATTGAGACATTTTGTTCGTTTCTCAAAACGGTCGAGTATGAGTATGAGGGTTATCGTATCTTACTAAATAGTATTTTCATATAGAGTTATGACGAACTCACATGCTGCGAATCTGCAAGCGGGGGGGGTAATTTCTGCGCTTAACAATCTCGGACTGACTCGGCATAATAGATTTTTGTAGCTGCAGCACCTTTGGTATCTAATTCGGCCGACCTGCAGATCATTATATCGTAAGTTTCTCGGTCTTCTCAGCGCCGTACAATGTTGTATTATTACCATAGTGAAATGTACACAAGGAATGTGCAATTATAGCCTGAGATCCAGCCTTAGCAATTCTGTTCTTTGCCGTGATCGGCTAGTCATGTCTTGTTAATTACTGTATGCTCTCGTCGCAAACTTAATGCACGTTGGTGGACCAACTCCACAGCGCGTGGGACGAGTAGACCCCCCTTGTTTCTCTCAGCTACAAAGAATTCAAAATTTCTCCCGGTGGTCTGAAGCTGCAGTGTCGAACTGATGCTGGCATCCTTTTCTTTTACCTTTATCATACATATTTTGAGCTTAATTGTGGAAGCAACAGAACTCAAAACTAGACATGGGTAGATTCGGGTCGCAGACCAGTACCTATAACAGGCTGGTCATTATTTTTGTGGCCATTGGGTCTATGGTGAGCTTTCTTGTTTCCCTGTAATTGTGACATTTACTCGTTCTAACCTACAACTAGACCTATGGATATTGTTCCTCCATTATTTCTAGTACGATCGGCCAGCCGGGGTGGTACGCCTACTTCAACCTCCCAGCCGATGGCGAGGCAGGATATGCCACCATCACCACCCCCGCGATTTCAACAGCCAACGGTGTCTTCAGTGCTGGTGGTGCTGTTGGCACAATCTTTATAATGTGGTCGTGTGATTTCTTTGGTCGAAAGGCGAACATTCAGTTCGGTGCCTTCTTTGCGCTATTTGGCGGAGCCCTTCAGGCGGGTTCCAATTCCCTGGCGTAGGTCACCTGTCTGATTGACATAAGCATAAATTAACAAATTTTAGCATGTTCCAAGCCGGGCGCTTTATCTGCGGTCTCGGAATCGGCATCCTAGTAACCGTGTGTCCTATGTATCTGTCTGAGATGTCGAGCGCCTTGCGCCGCGGCTGGCTTGTCGGTCACCACGCGATTTTCTTGGTCTTTGGATATATGCTTGCAGGATGGGTCGGGTTCGCTTGCTACTATGCAACAGGTCCTCTACCCGAATTTGGCTGGAGATTTCCCTTGGCTCTCCAATGCTTGCCCGCTTTGGTGCTACTTCTGGGATCTCCTTGGCTCCCGCGCTCGCCTCGCTGGTTGATTACAAAGGGTAAGTTTGACGAGGCTCAGTACGTCCTTGAACGACTCCGCGAATCACCGGACGATCCCAACAACCTGGCTGCCAAGGAGGAGTTCTTCCAGACCAAGGAGCAGATTAGACTTGAAGCTGAAAAGCTGGCCACTTATGGTAGTGTATGGAAGGCAGTATTCAAAAAGAAGACATACCGAAAGCGAATGGTCCTCGGATTCCTCACTCAGTGGGGCGCTGAATTTGGTGGACCTCTTATTATCGTAAGTTTGCAATTCCCTTCTTTTAGCTACACAAGACGCTGATGGTCGACTAGAACAATTATGCGGTTCTTTTGTACACAAACTTGGGCATGGAGGGCAGTATGCCTCTGCTCCTCAGTGCTGTCTGGCTGACTACCGCCGGTGAGTACAATTGCACTGGATCTATGATTGGCCTTAACTAACGCTGCTCAGGCGTGATATACAATCCTTTGGGAGCCTGGCTTCACGACAAGGTCAACTCTCGGCGTGGCATGTACATGACTGGCTTCGTGGGCATCGTTGTCACTACATCCTGCCTGGCTGCTATGACCGCCCAATACTCCGGTACTACCAACAAGGTCGGAAACGGATTTGGAATTTTCTTTATATACCTGTATCTGGCCTTCCAAGGGTGAGTTGGCCCCTACAAGTTTGCGTTGAACAAGTTTTATGAGCTGACACTGTCGCAGTACATTTTGTGATACTACCATGTATCTCTATGTGTCGGAAATTTTCCCAACAGAGATTCGTCCGATTGGCATGGGATTCTCTCTCTTCGGTCAATTTGCTGGTGAGCTTACTATGTAATGCTTTGTTTGAAGCATCAATCTAATATTTTTTAGCAACTCTCATCCTTTTGCAAACCGCCCCCATGGGCTTCGGAAACGTTGGTTGGAAATACTACCTAGTGATTATTTGCTGGTCTGCATTCTTCATTCCAGGTAAGAAGAGATCCACAAAGTGCCCTTTTGAAGCTCAAAGCAACAACCAGCTTACCAAATCGCAGTTATCTACTTTTTCTTCCCGGAAACCGCTCGTCTTACCCTGGAGGAAATTGCACAGAATTTTGGCGAGGAAGTGGCTGTTCACCTCACAGATGCCACTGATGAAGAAAAGACCCAGCTAGATCACCAGCTTGTTGATTCGAACAGAATTGTCGAGTCGTCCGTGAGCTCTGAAGCTGCCAAGTATGGGGCAAACGACGCACCGTCGCCGGTAGACGGGGAGCAAACTGTGACTAAGGCCGAATAAAGATATTCTGAGATCAGGTCTATCATAATGAAGACTAAATGAGCTGAGGTAATGTTTTTGGTTTAGTGATTGGATTGACACTTGAGTGACTCACCCGGGCGTGTCTACGGCGAAAAATAGTTTCCCCGTGTTCCATCGGATGGGGCCCCGGTGGCGGGGTTGTAACAATTTTAGCTTATAAACGTTTTTGCAAGACTCGCGTTTCTTTCTTTTTCCCTTCTCTCTTCCTCTGTTGCTATAGTTGAGCTTTAGATTACTCACTGAAATATGACAACGGAATTAGCCTCAAAAGTCACATTGATTCCCTGGGATGCCGACTCTGAGGTCCATCGGGAGTGGCTTGTGAAGCAACGGGTGGAATGCAGCTGGCACCAGGACAAAGTTCAAACAAAATGGAAAATCCAACAACAAAAAGGCGAGAAGTGCATCTTCTGGATTGTGGGTTTTGATCCAATGGAGCAAAATGAACATCAAGAGTGCTTACATCCAGCACCAGGTCCTTCCATCGGATGAGTCACAGGCAAGAGCTGATGTTGGGAAAGAGGAAAAGGTATGAAGTTCCAACTTTCTACCTACGTGTATGTAGGTAGCCTAGAAGGAATTTACTGAGCAATTATTACTACATGCAGGAAACACTTGAAGATACGGCTACCACCATCTATGCTGTTCCACGCCAACCAACAAAAGAAAGATTTGTCCCTATCGGCCATATCTCTCTGGATGCCAAAGATCCTGAATCAGAGAAAATTGATTTGGATATTCCTTCTGAAGGTGTTTTCTGGATAAAAACATTCTATGTGAGCCAATCTGTCCAAGGGCAGGGCATCGGAAGAGCTGCCATGGATGAAGTCGAGGCCATGGCAGTCCGAGAACCACTATCAGCCAAGATCTTGATGCTTGACACGGTTCAAAAAGATGACCAAAAAAGAGAAGAATTTGCAATCGCAACTTTTGGTAGTGTTCCAAAGGTATGGGAGGTGGTTGCAGTATCAGTGTCTTTGTCCAATTTACTTACTTTCTCTGCAGTCTACAAACGAAGAGTGGTACACTCGCCGAGGATACCAGGTTATCAAGACTGTACAAAACTATTATGGTGTTGCTGATAGAAATGGGAAGGTCTGGGATACGAAGACTGTTTTCATGAGGAAGGACATTGCAGGAGAGCAATAAACTATACCGGAGCTTCTAATTGATACATCATCGATAAGAGTATCTCGCTCAAATAATTCTCATCTATACACGAAGATTGAATTTATAAAAGATACTAGTTATAAGATATATAAACAAGATGTTGTATGTATTGAAGAGATGCCAACTTCCATACTTCTTTTTTGACACGCTAAACCTAATTGGGATGATTTCCACTCGCGCGTCCGCCTCATTCGCTATTCTTTCTCTCTCTTTTCCGAGACAACCGAGCTCTGTATATCCTAAGAGCCATGAGAAACGACGATGAACGACGTTCCCAATCGCCGGCAACACGTCGAAATGGCACTTTGCAGTCATGTGAGCCCTGTCGGAGATCCAAACAGCGATGTGACCATGAACGGCCCATCTGTCGCAGATGTGCTGCGAAACGAATCAGTGATAAATGTTTCTATCACCCAGCTCCAATGACTAGACGAAGATCCTCAGGTCCAGTAAACCCCGTGATTGTTCCGAATCGGTTGACAAGCCAACCAACTTCGAAGTAAGAACCCCCTGCAGCAGATCAAAGGCCAAAAATGCTAAAATGTAACAGTGCATCTAGCCCAGGTTCATTGGGTAATGGGCGTCTGTTTCTGCCACTTGAGCCACCCTCAGCATCACCTGGCTACTTGGGCCCAATAAGCTATTCAGCAGTCCTAACTGAACATCGTAATGATATTACTTTCGAGGCCGAAGAGAGCACAGATTATTCTGCGGGATTAGCAGTGGACCCCGATCGACTCCAATCCGGGGTTGATGTACTACGGTTTCTCTACAACCTGACAGTACGAGAGACATTGGTTGAGAAATTTTATCTACGGACATGGAACACCATTGTGCCAAAAATGGTCATGGATGAAACTCTGCGCTCAGTGCGCAGTATCTTTGAGAGTTTTCTCACTGATCCGACCACACAGCTGCAAGAACTCTCAAATCAAATCTTTCAAAACACATCTAGGCCGATGCGCACACACAAGGCCATGACTATAAAAGAATACATTGCTTCCTTCACCGGTCGCAATCTTCGCTGGGAAGCTCTCGGCTCTATATTTACCCTTTGTGGCCTGCAATTGGCTGTCACGCCAGATAATCACCCTGACATTATTCAAGGATCAGATGACCCGCGGGGAAAAGATCGCTTGTTGGAACAAGTTACTGTGATAAGTACAATGTGTCTAAATTTCTGTGACCAGGCATCCTCCGCAAACGAACTACTAGCGATGCTACAATTCCACGATACGATCCTGCGATCACTGCAATATGGCGATTCAAGTACGATATTCCTTGTTCAAATCTATTAATATCCCGCCAATAATGATTTCGATTTTACCTAGGTTACCAAGCATGGCGTCGACTGGGTGAGCTGGTATCCACGATCTATGCAGCTGGACTGCACCTAGAAAACGATGGCACTGAAAATTGTCCATTTTTCCTTCGCCAGTGGCGCAGGCGATGCTTCACTGCCGCATTCGGCATTGATAAAGAGCTCGCAAGCTTTGTCGGACGGCCTCCACTGCTAAACGGACGGTTCTGCACGCTCACTGCCCCTTTAGATTTGAGCGATGAAGTACTGGTTGCAGGGGGCGATGTCCTGGAGAAGGCTATCTCAGAACTTGATGATGCCGGCTGGAATAGGAATGGCTTGTTACACCAGGTCACCCCCACGCGCCTACGCTATCAACTAGGGACTATTCGGGAGGAAACCCTCGAGGTTGTACTGGGAACTCACAAGCAACATGATTTGATTCAGAAGTCCGAGTATGTATCCCGGTTATCCTACAAGGGGTCCTATCACTCACTTTATTTTCTTCATATAGGGATATTCAAGCCAAATCACGCGCCATATGGGCAGCAGCCCCAGACCAACTTCGATATGATCGACAGTCGAATGATCTCTTCCATCAGGGGTGGCTGACCATTGTTTATTTCTACTTGGATTATCTCTACACCTGCTTCCTGCTTTACCGAGCAGTTGTCAGAGACACTAATACTGGACAAGCCGATCTCTGCGACGTATCTCGCCGGGTGTTGGCTATTGTCATTCAGGTCAATTCTTTCCGAACTCCAATGGTTGATTTGGACCGACCCTTTTCTTGGATCGTATGATTTGCTTTTGTGGCATACGGAACACTGAGGTATACTGACGGATCCAGGTTCTCACATACGGTGTTCCTTCGGCTAGCGTTCTGTTGCTAGAACTTCTGCGCCAATCGCATGAACCTGGACCGCATGCCGTTCCACTCCCGCGTGCTGAACTTATTCGCAACCTCAGCGTGTTCGTTTCCTTTCTGTCTTGGGTTGCAGGCCCCGGCCATGGAAACCATTATACCTGCAAACAAGCCGAGCAAAAACTGTCTCGCATTCTGGACCAGCTATTGGATCCCCAGCCTGCACAGCAACATGTCGTTGACGATTGTACGTCGGGCCTCGATGACTTCCTGAGCTGGTCGAACTACAATACAATCTGGGATTTCAACCCAGAGGGTATGCCTCTAGACGAGGGGTTTACAGCTTAAAAACTGGCCATGAACACATGGAACCCCATCTCAAGACATGTTCGATTCATAACGTCGTTAACCTATCGCCGTCTCCCCTTTCTGATCGAGGATGGTATCTGGTCATACCATCCACACATAATCGTTGCGGGGAGGTGTGTCGCTCACATAGTAGGCGCGGTGACAGAGCGGACAATTAAAGTGGTCTCCCAAGAACCACTTCTCCAGGCATTCTCGGTGAAAGACATGCAAGCACCGCAATTCACGTATCTCCTGCGCGCGGTCTACTTGCTCCAAACAAACTGCGCTGCACACAAATTAACAGCTGCTCTTGTGATCAAACGAGCATGAACATACCACACAAATTGCCCGTCAACAGCCTCGGACAAACCGAGGTTTCCCTTCGTGGTAGTCCACCACTTCTCGAGTGTGCAGGTTGGCGAGACCTTATCCAACTTGCGCAAACGCTCACTGGGATTTTTTCTTGACTTCAGGAGTGACTGCCGGTCCCGGCGGTTTATTAGTATTGTCAAACTAGATTTTTCATCGGTTAGAAGGGAATGGCATGATTCAAGTAGTACCAACGGAGGGAACTTTTCCGGCGAGAAAAGTGCGAGGAATGAAACACCACAATCTCCAAACCACAGGACTCAGATATTACTCACATAAGACTTAACACAATCAGTAGCACGACTCCAAGCCCGATCCCCAGAACGATCGCCATATGGCTCTTCTTGAGTTTCTCCTCTTGGGCCATATTTCCGGGTTTGTCCGTTGCACGAACGGGGTGAAAGTTCGCAGACCAGATAGATTTGATGCTGGCTAAGGCCGAAAGCAAAATTAAATAAAAAGGAATCAAAATCAGAAGAGGAGCTTGGTGGTACGACCCGGTCGCGCAACTCGGAAAGAAGTGAAGGGTTAAGTGACTAGGTAAAGTAGGACAAGAAGTGGCGGGGAAAAAAGAGCTCAAGTCACGGAGTACACGAGCGAACGAGTACCGTATTCGAATGCTCTCAGAGTAAAGAAGAGTGTAAGAATCACCAAGGACCAAGGGTGAGAAAAAGCATCAACAACTCTTTGATCTGGGGATGATCGACCCGTCAGAGCGGGGAAGAGACAGCTCTTGTGGATACACGGTATTTTGCCTTTTGATCGATGAATTAGATCAATGAGAGGTGCCGAGTATCTTACTCCCTGCATTGTCGGGGCCAATCAGTGGAATACGAGAAAGGGATAAGCTGTGGCGTTGGAATGTTGATAATTTTCTAAGGAAAAAGGTTGCATTTTCTTTGTTATTGTTTTCACCCTAAGTCTTGTATTCTATTCCTACATGTAATATACACACTACTTACCTGTATATTTATTCACTTCTAGATAATCGAATAAAACCGTCAAAACCTGGGGAAATCCGGGGAAGTACTGCATCGCATGACTGCGTTTTAAAGTCGGCCAAGACCCTAATGCGCCTCCATTGCTCCACTCCCCTACTTTATCAGTGCAAGGGTTGTATTGCAGTATAACTGAATAGAATTGAGTGGATTGTATGCATTCCTCGAACATTCTAGGGTTCTACAACGTTACAGTATTCGAGAACTCCGAGTCTAGAATCATAAATTCAACTGGAATCGTGGCTGAGTCCGAACAGCCGCCCCATACCGGCTCAAGAACACTGGAAACATGCAAAATGCAAGGGCAATGAATGCCAATAAAGAGTTGCCCCAGCCCAGACCCAGTGCACTATACATCGATGGCCCAGCCAGCGGGAGAAAGGCACCAACCAGCGACCGGGTCACGGCATTGGCTGCCGTCACTGATGCAGCAAATTGAATATAAGAATCGACTAGATACGTATTGATGCATAACTACAGGATTTGTCAGTCAGAAGGAAAGTTTTCAACGAAACAAAAATAAGCATGGGAGCTGCAAAGCTTACAAAAACCGACATCAGTCCACAGCCAAAAATGGCCGTACCGATCAAAGCCATGATCCAATATACATGCTTCTCCGCCGACCACCCATACCAGAACAATCCAATAGGCAAGAGCCAACAAGCAACCAACATCGGGCCCAAACGAGACTCTGGCGTAAATCGGCCCTGCGCCGAATGCTTTGCGGCGATCTTATTGGCCACACTGCCTGTGACAAGGAGGCCTATAATGCACCCGATTCCGAAGCCGAGATAGGCAAGACCCGTCAGCTGCTGCGGCCAGCCATATGTGTCGATGAAGATGGCACTGATCGTCGTGAACATGAGATACAGGTATCCGTACGAGACTGCTCCAAAGAGGGTCATGATAAGCACAATGGGGGATAGAAACAGCAGTTTGAACGGCCGGACGCCGGCCATGTAGAACATTTCCTTTCGAGGCAGGCCCTTGTCGAATCGGGATCTGTAGCTGGCGTCGCCGGTCTGGCTCCGAAGACTGGCGGCTTTGCGCTCTAAAAGGACCGGCGCGTATGTTTCGCGGTAGCAGAGAAATGTCGTTGCCAGCATCACGCCCGTCTAAAATACGATCGTTAGAGGGGGTCCGGCTCGGTGAAGGACTTGATACTCACTGCAATGGCAATTATCCAGAATACCCAACGCCATCCGATATTAGCACAAACAAATGATCCAGCCACGGGGCCTATCACCGGCCCTAGAATGGGACCCAATGCCCAGAGCGCCATCACGCCAGCGCGCTTCTCTTTCGCGATGAGGTCGACTGCTGTCCCCGAACCAAGGGCCATGGGACAACTGCCTGCAACACCGGCAAGGAATCGAAACACGAATAGCTGCGGGAAGGTCTGTGCTACTGCACATGCGATGGTGGATACTAGGAATAGCGTGTTGGAGATGTGGTACAGAGGGAGACGACCATAGATTTCGGAGAGTGGCGCGATGATCAGGGGACCGACCATGTATCCGAGGATGAAGATGGACACAACGAAAGACCCAAGCATTGAATTTGTTGAGTCGAACTCACGAAGTACGTCGGCCTCACCTGGGGCGAACATTGAGGATGAAAGAGGTCTTTTGTATTGCGTTAGTGCAATTCAACCGACAAAAAGCCAAGCAGTTCTATCATTGTGCATCAAGGATTCAACCCACGTCAGAAAACTATTGAATCCCATTCCTGCAAGCTGGCGTATCTTTATTAACGACGGCCAGTTCATGGGAGATTTAGGGTCATCGGGTCCATCCCAATCAACCACGAAAAGGTCATGTTGCTCTGTTTTCTTTTCGGCTCCAGCCACTGCTTCTAGATCATGGTTTTGATTCGAGGTATTTGGCCCTTGTTGACTCGGCGTCGGACCTTCTGTTTCTCGAGCGACAGTGATCAGTGTTCTCATCGTGTTGGCCATGTGAAAGTAGTTTCTTGATATTCTTCTCAAACACGGCTGACTACATATGTAGGTTTGGGGTTTGGGGCTTGGGGTTTGTGAAAACGAATGAGAAGATGAGAACCAACAAGGCAAGTTGCTATGTATAGTCCTCTGGCGGTGGTCTACTTACAGTAGACAAGAAACGTTTTGTGGCCCCTGTATAAATAGTTCGGATAGAGACATCTCCGGAAGAACAAGCCTTGCCAAGTTAGTGGAGGCGAGAAAGCATAATCTAGTACACAGCATGCTTCTACGCCCTACAATAACTCGAGGGATTCGGGCCAAGATGAGAAATAAACCCGAGTCTCGCTGCACTCTTCTGCATAAGTGGGGCATCCGGCACATCGTTTGCCGGAAGAAGTCACCTTTTGGAGTCTCGGGATCGGACTCGTATAGCTCGTATAGACAAATCCGAAGTATCTTCTACATTGGTCGATATGCCTTCTTCCTTGTCGAAATTATGCATTGGCATGCTATCGAATCGTTCCATCGTCACTCCTTCATGCAGGCCCACTGTACGCCCGCCGAACAGCAAATCAATCTCTTCAAGGGATTTCTGCTTAGTCTCTTGGAAAAAGAAAAAAATGACGGGGAGGGAGACGCATAGGTCTAGATAATCAGCAAACCCCAATCGCCCACCAGTGGAAGTTAACACTTACTCCACGTCACAAACACGAAATAGAATCTCCATTGAATCCGACCCAAAGCAACGGGGGATATTTGATTCCAAAGTGTGGCTACAGCCCAGTTCCCAATGCCAACCGCAAAAGCGTTCCCTTTGCCGCGTATCTGCATTGGCATGACCTCGGCCATATAGACCCTGCAGCAAACAAATAATGAGCATTATCACTATCGTGCAATCAGGAATGAAAAATACTTACCAACTGCAAGGACCAAAAGACATTGAAAATATAATCGAGACTAGGAAAATAAAGAATACTCCGCCGATGCTATAACCGACACGGTTGCCCTCGGGATTCTGTGAGTTCAACGTCGCCTCACAGATTAGAGCAAGCGAGATGGCTACCGTGGCGAATAGCATGGGCCGAAGCCGCCCGACACGATCGAGAATGAATACTACAAAGAATAAATTGGCAAGCGGGCCGACACAGTTATAGATACCTGCGACAAGCGTGTTGCGGCTTCCTGTGATCCCAAGGGATTTGTACATGATTGTTTGGTAGTATCCAATCACGTTGATACCAGTCATCTGGGTGAACACCTGTACGGCAACACCGTGTCTGCAAAGTTGGTAAGTCTGGAACCAACTACACGAGGAAGTATAGATATGAACGAACAGTAATCGAGTCCGCCATTGGGGGACTGTGAACATGGCCATCCAGCCAGGTGCTGTGGTTTTCTTTTCTGCCTCGATTGCCATACGAATACCAGTATACTCCGACTCAATCCAGGCTGCATTCGAGCCATCAAAATGCAGTCTATGAAGAATAGTCTGGGCCTCGGCGTACCGCTCCTTCTCAATAAGAAATCGCGGCGACTCCGGCAAAAAGAACATGCCGACTCCCAAAACCAGCGCCGGCACAACCTGGAAGGCGAGGGGAAGCCGCCACTGCAATTGGCTTGTCGCTGGTGCATGGAGGGAACCGTAGCCCACCCATCTAAAGTTTGTATGATCAGCTTTGGTTTTCAATTGTCCCTAGGGTTTTAGTACATACGTGCTGACTATGAACCCCATGCCTATCATCTGCTGCGCCAGTCCCACGATCATCCCCCGAGACCGTGGGTGTGCACACTCCGCCTGGTACACGGGGACGGCCATGGACATCAGACCGATGGCCCAGCCGGCCAGAATGCGACCCACCAGGATCATCGAGAGATTCTGAGCAGCTGCTTGGAGTGTGGCCCCGATGAGACATAGGAAAGCGCCTAATTGGATAGTAGCTTTGCGGCCGAAGCGGTCCATGGTCAATCCACCCTGTAAGGACCCAATTATCGCTATTGAAAAGATGAGACTCTTCTCTTTGTCGGGTTTGCTTCGTGGGACTTACCTCCACCAGAGAAGGTGCTGTTGATTGCTCCGATGATAGCTGAAGTTTGCGTTGTGTTGAAATATCCCAGGAAATTGGGAGACTCGATCACATCAGTCATAACGCCCGAGTCATAACCAAATAAAAATGACCCTGTTGCCGCCAAAACAGCCACGGAGATGGTGAAGAGTCGACCCATTGGAGAAAGAAGAAAAGGAATCTCGGGATTCCGCGAATTACATTATGGTTTTGGGTATGAAAAAGAAAAAAAAGAGGCACTACGGGGGCCCAAGTATATTGATTTCTGCGTACCGTGGATGAGATTCCGCTTTCCCCAAAGTTCCCCCGAGTTTCATATTCCCCGCACATCAACAGTCAACAATCATCCCGTTTCATGAGATCCGAGGACTCCGATACAATATTGTACTCGATTCATATATCAAGTCGTCTCGAGTCATTGGCTGCGGACCCTTTTTTTTTGCTTTTGCCTTTCTCCAGTGTGATTTTCACCGGTGACCCACTAGGGCCAGGTAGGACCAGACCCTGCCACCCTTTGGAGATGGACTGCGACAAGATGCAACAAGATGCGACGTACTACGGTGCAATATAACATTCTTAATGTCCTGGTGCGCATTCTTGAAAATAAATTCCGATAGATCACACATTCCACGCGCACGTGAAGAGCTTCCTCGTGGGGTCACGTGAGGGCGCGTGGAGACGCGTTTAGAACCTTGGAAAGCAGTTCCAAAGTGTTTACATTGTTGCTTATATGTGCGGAGTAGCCCTGGAGGTGCTATGTGAGAAGATGCGACCAAATTGCCAATATTTCAATTGTGTCTAAATCACGAGAACGGTATATGTAATAAATACTGTACTAGCTGCACTTACTGCACCTACTGCACTATAAATTCTGTAATTGTATAGTGGGGAATACCTGGGAATCTAGATCATAACGCGTCCAAATGGCAATCAAAGGCAACATTACTAGGAGATAAAATTAGGACTTAGATCTAGAAAAAAAAGATCAATATCAACTATAAGTTTCTGTGCTTGGGCCAAAGTACTAGGTACCTCGGAGGTGCACTTGGTTACTAGCGCGGGCCACGTTCTTTCTACTCCGCGTCTACACCGCGACGCGATTTGAAGGCCTTTTTCTGCATTCTGTACCAGCCTCACGTTTCCCATCTTTTTCTTGTCTTCGGGGTTTGGGTGTTAATCACTTTTCTTTTCTTTCCTTCCGACCTCTCCATGCTCTCTTAACCTTCATTATGACTGACACGGAGCCTTCGGTGGCGATCTCATCTTCGCCCTCTCTCCCGGCCACCGACTCCAATCCTCTAAACTACGCTTTCCTCGTCCATTCCCAGAAAACCCTCACACAAAACCTTCCTCCGCGTGTTGACAATAAACTGTTAGCCCGCCAAAAGCGACGGCGAACTAGGTATGTATGCTATCTTGACCAACACGTGGTTGTCGGTCCTCGGTACTATGGAACGCGTCAATTGACCCGATTTGTACTATTCTGCAGCCCGGAGGACCACGCCATACTCGAATCCGAATACCAGCGGAATGCCAAACCAGACAAGGCAGCTCGCACAAGTATCGTAAACCGCGTGTCGCTCGGCGAGAAAGAGGTCCAAGTATGTGATGCCAAGCACTCACACACAAAAACCACTTCTAACTGACTCCGCACAGATTTGGTTCCAAAATCGCCGTCAGAACGATCGTCGCAAGTCCAAACCACTTCAACCTCACGAACTACTCGGCCCGCGGTCGGGATTACTTGATTCTTCCGGTCAGCCTTTGAGTGATGATAACGCGTCGGCGGAGCCGGGGTCTTCAAGTGGGGCAGAGCAGTTTGACACCAACGAACACCGCGAGGAAATGGCATCAAAATTGTGGCACGGGGGACTGTTGAATTTCTCCGATGATTCGGACCCGTTGACTGGGGATAAAGATGAGCATGAGTTACCACAAAGTACACAAACAAGCGTGGCGACAGAGGGCCTCGAGGACACACCCCCGACCACACAGGAAGAGTTTTCCCAAGAGGCGAACCACTCCTCGGAGGACTCTCTCCTACCGGTTCCCAAGAGAAAACGTTCCATGTCGGATATCAGAGGCGACGGTGAAAATGATCAGCAGGCAGCAAACACACAAACCACACCAACCAAGTCACCGCCATCGTTGAGACTGTCAATGTCCTTCGATGGAGAGGCCATGGTACGCAAAGAAGGCGAACTAACGCCGTCTCCACCCAAGAGCCGCAGTGCGCTTCGCATTGCGATGTCGTCGGATGGAAAAGCGGTAATTCGCGGGGAAAACGAACCCTCGCCATCAAAGAACCGCGTGGCAATGTTCTCAGTTCGCCGAACAAAAATGTCAAGCCTGCGACGGAGCAGCAGTGCTGTCTTCCCAGCTACGCCGCGGGCAGGTGTAGCTGTGGCCGAAAAGGACCGGGCTTTCGGTCGCTCTCGCGATCCCCGTAATTGGGAGTCATTCTGTGACACAGACGCAAGAAGCGCCCTATCAACACCGAGCAGTGGACCGAATGCTTTTTCCCCAGGTCTCTTCCACTCTCGCAGCCAGCGCTCATTACCACGCAGTGCTTCCGGTCGGCACGGCTTTGCCGCCAACGCCGACCTTACAAACACACCTATCTCCCAGTCCATGGGCGAAAAAAGGAGGAAGCTAGCTCGTACTGTTTCATCTATGGGGCGACTTGAGACCGGACGCAACAAGGCGAACATGATCACCTCCACCTCAAAACCGTCCAAACCTCTCTTCTCCAAGGCTGGCAAGTCGAACCTGGAAATGGACCCTGGTGACTCTGACAAGGAAAATTGGGTTCCGGGCACTCAGTCGGCAAATATCCGTCGCCGGAACACATCACATGCATCACGGCCGGTCCTGCGTGATGCCAACCGGAATCGCGGTCTCGGTATCTCAACCAATGGAGGCAAGCGCAATCGAGCACTGCAAGCCGGCTCGCAAGGCAAAGTCCCTGATATCAGCGCAGAAGTCTCTGCTTTTATGGCTGGTGGCTCGGGCGATAGTCAAGAAGATGATGACCTTGATTGTGTCCAGGGTCTGCTGTCGTTGAGCCAAGGGGCCTGGCGATAAGGAAGGGATACAAGATCATATAGACATTTGACATTCCGAAGCGCCTCCGATTGATTGCTGTCATCTTTTTTTTCCTTTGTGATTGAATTTCCCTATGTTCGGAGCCCTGTATCTTTTTTATTTTCTCTGACTTCACGATTCGCGACATGTGCTTGCAGGTGGTTCCTCGCCTGTCACGTGTTATCACTAATCCTGGAATGAGTATAAGTAACGACCTGAAATACCACTGATTTTAGTATTTTTCTATAAAGCATGAATACAAAGTATGATTCAACTGGCAGGTTCTACTATGATATAGAATGTAGAAAGTGTATTCGTGTCGTACGCATTTGTTCTTTGGATTGTTGCCTGAAGATGCCCTAATCTAGACCTTTTAGACCACTCTACACCAGACATTGTACACATTCCCATCCGTCATATTTAATGTTCTATCAGTGATAGCGTCTCTTTTCACATATTTTTCTACATATTCTATTAGGTATATTGCCATTCTACGTAGGAATAGTATCTTGTTAAAGCCATTCCTACCTCTACCTAGATTAGATATTCAATATCCAGGATCGAGCCTATAAGCTTCCACCCCGCTATAGCACTGGTCGTAACAATGTAGACTTTCATAGTAGGAATAAGTTTAGTTTTAACAAGGCTAGTTCCTTTGCTTATTGGATCTGTCATTATGTATTTCAATTCCTGAGTCTAGAATAAGATCTCTTCAAAGCATATATCATATGAAAAAAATGCATTTGACCCCTGGTCTCTATACCCCTTCGCACAACTTGAATCACTCGGTACAGGTACACTGCTTATAGAGGACCACCTAAAACACATCGCCTTTCAGTCCCACACTATCTACCGGTTCTGTTCAACTCATGAATATGCCCCCCAGCAGAAGGCAAAGGATCATCCCTCACCCCATCACCACCAACATCCAAACCGCGCCCCTCGCAGATCAACCTGGCAACCCTCTCCCCGCTCCAAAACGCACCAGTAGTCGTCCCAAGCGCAACAAAAGGCGCCGTATGCTCACCAGCAAACCACAATCCCCTCACCGGCCCAATCCCATCCCCAGACCTCAAAACCTCAATATCTCTATCCGCATCGACAACCCCAACCTGGAAATTACAATAAGATCCATTACCCGCATAGTCATCTTTCTGCCACTGCGTTGCGAGGAATGCCGTCGGCGTACAGTCTGCAGACTCCGCATCGTAGCCCGGCAGCCGGGAGTAGAAAGGTTGCAGGGTCTGGTTCAGGGTGTCGCGGTATTCAGGGGATGAGGGGTGGAAATTGGAGATTGAATTTATGATCTCTGCGCCGCTCTCGCCGTATGTATAGAACAACAGGGTTGGGTGGGCGTGTGGGGAGGGCAGGGCGGCGAGAGAGAGACATTCCTGGTTCCATTCTATGTGCGGTGGATGGGGGGCGTAGGTGGGTTCGAGGAATTGGGCGAAGACGGTTGGTTTGGTGGTATTGTCTTTGTCACTAGCTGTGGGTGTGTGCCAAAAGGCGCGCGGGAATGTTACGTAGACTTTTTCGAGTCGGCCGTATGAGATGCTGTTTATTGCTTGGAGGAGGCGGGGCGGGAGCTCGGGTGAGAATGCGCTTGTGTTTTTCTTGAGCCAGCCTAGTGGGCAGGTCACGACTACTTCGTCGAAGTCGTATGTGCCTGTCGTGGTTGTTACGGTCACCTGGTGGTTTGTTGATTGATTGCGATGGGGCGCTTTGATGCTCGTGACGGGCTCGCTGAGATGGATATCAGCTTGTTTTGTTGCGGTCTTTGCAACATGTTCTAGGATGCGTTTGTATGTAGACGCCACGACGAAGTTGCCTTGGTGGATGTTAGATGTTTGATAGAACTGAATGAATCCCAGCACTTACTCCCGTCAACACACTCCTCTAAACGGAAGAACTTCAGACTCTGCCTGTCGGCTTGATCGCCGACGTATGCGCCCCAGAGCTTGCATGCATCTAGACAGAGGTCTTTCTCTTCATCTGAGAACTTGGTCTGTTGGACTCGTTCGCGGACAAAGTCAAGCAAACTTTTGTCGGCGGGTATACTCTCTCCATGGCTATTACTATACTCGAATGCCTCCGATATAGTTGTCCACACAAAATCTTGCACTTTGGCACTAACGTCATCATGAATGGGATGGCCTTCTCGGGAGAATGAAACATGTTCGCCACCCTCGGGGTCATATATGACTGTCCCTGTCGCTTCCGCGATGGTCATAATGGGGTTCTCCCCTGAGCCATGAATCCAATTAGGCCCCCTAGCTTTGAGCGTTAACTAAATCCGTATTGGTACTTTCGTCGAAGTAATAATCCGATCAACATGCATGGGTACATACAGATCCACCACGTGGGCTCCAACTGTTGATTGGTGTACCTAGCCGACGAAAGTCAAACCATCTTAGCTTATGCAGCTTGGACCGATACTTGGGAGCCATACTCTACCGCCAATTCGATTTCTTGCTTCTAGGATTGTTACTCGGGCTCCATTTTGAATCAGGATGTCAGCGCAGCGGAGGCCTGATAGGCCAGCGCCAATGATTCCGACGTGGGGCTTTGAAGACATGGAATAGTTTTGCCTGACAATGCGACTTATATACTTGATAGGGTGGGAAAAGATGGACATTGCAAATTGAAGATTCTGGACAATTTCGGCGGGGCATGGATGATTGGTTCCCGCTTTATCACCTTATCTCCGTCCAGACTGACAGTTTTGACAGTTACGATGTACTTGATAGAGATATTGTTTGGTGTACAATATAGTCTTGAAACTTTACTGTGTCATTGGAAATCAAAGAGTTACAATGGTACACTCTGTTGACGATGGCACCGTAGCAAGATAAGAAATAGCTATGCAACTGGTCAAACGGCCTACAACATGAAGCGGAGACGCAATAGCCGCTATGAAACTCCGGTGGCAAAAACGCCTTTTGAAATGATGAGCAAGGACAGTGAAGAATATGTACGGACTTGAGGTTAAAGAAAGGGTATCAATGGAGTTCAAAGAAAAGAGCAAAGCGCCACGGAGAAACAGAAAAGGCCGATAACGGGTAGAGATCAACTCCACCAGGGACAATGAATGGTATGTAGCATGTGAGCTTCGGTGGATGCTCGGTCGCAGGGAGGATAGCCTGCATATGGGTACCGGATGAGATTACCAGGCACTCTAGTCTTCCCAGATGGTCTCGAGGTCGAGATCCTGCCGCCTTTCGGCACCGCAGACACTCCATCGCTTGCGTTTGTCGCTCCGAATTGCATAACCAGCGCCTCCCCCGCGGGTTGTGCCGAATGAGTTGGGGGCATCGGAGGTTCCCCGTCGTCGACTGGCATTGCTGGCCGCATCGGCTGCATCAGCGGCGGCCTTCAATTCGGCGATCCGGTCTTCTTCCAGGGCCTCGTTCTCAGCGTCAGGAACATCGGGGATAGTTTCCAATGACGAAATGCTGGGGCTGCGGGAGCGAAGACTGGTCGGCGTCGAAGGGATGGACATGGATGAAACGGAGGAGGCCGAGTTCAGCGGGTAGGATTCATTGTACTTTCCTCCCAGAATTGGAGGTGAAGGCAAGGAGGGGCTGCCGATCGAGTTATGGAAAGGAAGGGGTGAGGTCGGACGCAGGCGACCGATGCGGGGGAATGTTTGCGCCATCAGGACTGGAGAGCCTGGCTGAGAGGAGGGCGATCGTGGAACGGTTTCGAGTTCTGCATTTTCGGAGATTGTTTCTGAAATATTCAAGGACCCCATGCGGGTTTCGATGTGATCTTCAGTGCGCATCTGCAGGGGTAGGTTTCGCTTTGCGCCTTCGACGGGTGCCCGACCATTGACGAAAATGTATCGACCCCGGGAGTCCAGCCCTGGGGAAGAATAGGCGCGCGTCATAGACGGCATGCCCGGGATTCCCGCCAGTGAACGAGACCGGAGATGCGATCGAGTCAAAGGGGATCGGGTCCGAGGTGGTGCCGGTGGTTCGGCGGATAGGGAAAAAGTGATCATGACGTCCTCCTTTTTTGACTCCTGAATCTCATTCCCGCGGGGACGCATATCTTCGGGCTCCATTTTGAAAGAAAAAGGGGGGTTGAGGAGATTCACCCTGGCATCCTGACATAGAGCAGAAGTAGAGAACTCTTGAACCGGCCAAGAAAGGCCAAGTGTGAAATTCGTGTCAAAGATGAAGGAGAGAAGGGGGAAAAAAAGATGAAGAGAGAGCCAAGGCCCAGAACTTTGAGAACGTGCTTGTCGATCTGGCGCCCTACGCATACAATCCATTATAGAGCCTCGTAATCTTTTTCTTTTTGTTACTTTGTTTATCTCTTCTCCTCCATTGTCTCGGATTTTTTTTTTTCTTCTTGTTTACTTTATTCATGGAGATTCCAGTTCAATTATTTCATAAAAGTAAAATAATAGAAAAAAAGGCTTATTGTTAAAAGATATAGGGGGAAAAAGAATCCGAAATAGAGACTCCAAAATGACTCCAAAAATCAGTATACCTATAGTGATGTAGGTACGTAGATTAAAAGATCAGATCTAGATTCCGAATTAACACTTGGCGTCCCTAGTTGCTGGTCCCATCAATCTTGGCTCCTAACGTTGTAGATTCTAAGGCTACCGTTCGATCTAATTAAAGCACTCAAACGGCGGGTACCTCTTCCGAGGTTCCGAAGAGGTATCATTGGGAAACACAATGTCCCACATTTCTTGATGCCATTGAAAACAAAATGAATTACTCCTGTCGATGGAACGCGACTTGAAATCCTATCATCGGCGGCGAGCCCTGCACCTCCCACCACGCCTCACTATGACTGCTAGCAGTGGAAACAACATGTCGAATTTCGCGCAACCGGTTATCTAGCTGTGCTAAACAAAAATTGATCTCATTTTTACTATTTGGAACTACTGAGTTTTCTGATATACAGCTCTGGCATTTGGCGGCGGGAGCTCCCATCCATAAAACTACCCGTTCGAAGGGGCAAATCTCATCCTGAATGCGAGGATTTTGGGAAATTGAGTATAATTCCTCGCAGCATGCTCGCGCATAGGTTCTCGGAAACTTTCATCAAAATCCATCTCTTCTAGAGCATCCATTATTAAGCCTGCGCGAAAGAAAGGTGCAAAGAGCTCGTGCAAAGGTCGGTGGAAGCAGAGCTAAATTTCGTCAGCATGTGTAGAAGCATAGAACTAGAGAGAAATAAAAGATATTCGCACCGGTGGCTGTGATCCTGGATCATCAGAAAAGAGCAATTGTCTCGCTGGGGGCACATTGAGATAGCGCCTCAGAACAAGAGAACGGTCTAGTTGGCGTTGCCCAGTCGTCGGATCTTCACGCACTGTTATCTGACGATCCGCGCCCGAGGTGAAAAATAGCGGATGAAGCAGCGTGGCAACAAAGCTATGGGAGTAGAACCAACTAAATCAGATACTTTCGAGCGCTGATTGTACGTTATGGTATCTCACTGACCGGCCATTTTGCTCTAGCAGCTGCTTCACATATACCGCTAGAGGCTCAATGTCGTGGATATCCATGATACCCATGTTCATGGTTATGATGTCAAACTTCTTCGTCTTTTCGGGAGAAGTCAACACCGGTTACATGAAAGGTGAAGTCAAATCAGCTATGCCATCAAGGGATTCCACTGACAATTGGGCCATGGCTCGCAACAAAAAGCTCCCAAGATGACTGATCTGTCACATCCAGAACCTCGAATGATATTTTATCTTTGGGCAGTCGTCCTCGTTGGTACCAATCGCGAGTTCGGATACGAGCCTGCTCAGTCATCGCCTTCGAGCCGTCTGTGGCTACCACCGAGGCGCCTTCTTGGGCCAGCCACCGGGCAACCAGACCGTTTCCAGTCGCAAGATCTAATGCGCGATCTTCTGGTCTGGGAGAGACCAGTTTCTTTAGGACGGGTAACTCCAGCGCAGAGAAATATTGGTTTCCGTCGTCTCCCATGGTTTCATCCCAAGAAGCGGCGTGAGCCTCCCAAGGCAATAGCGACGGGTTGTTTGAGTGATGGGTTTCCATTCTTTTGTATATCTCACGACGAATTGCGGTTTCTTTTAGGAGGGCTGGATATATTTGAATGAGAACGCAGGTAACTATGCCGAGCGGGGTTTTCCTATTCTCCCCGGGGCCTGGAGGGTCCTTTAAGTCAGCTCGGCTGAAACTAAGGCGCTGATCAACGATAACTAATGGATCAAACTACTCCATACAGGCAACTAATTGATCAGGAAAAGTAATTGCCAACCTTTTTCAGTCACTGACACTCACCCTATGGTCTGTGTGTAAATAAATCACTTTCACCGTAATTCTTTTGGATGCTCGAGTTTGAATCCCACTGGGCTGCGGCCTATCATTTCTTAACTAATTGATATTTATGTAGAACGCAAAATAAACGGTGGATAATATCTATAGGTAGCTAGCTGTTACAGGAAGGATCGAATACAGTTTCACCAATTGCACACAGAGATCCTTTCTCGAACCCTCTTTCGAAACAAGCTATGCCTATAACATTTACTCTACCCCTGACTCCTTTTCTTGGCAGTATTTCAGTACAGTTGTAAATAACACCACAAAGTTAGCTGCCGTATTAGGCTTGTATGGCTTGTTTTAGGTGTCTAGATCATGTTTCCGCCAGCATGCCAAACAAGAGGGAGGCAATTGCCTGGTCAGACTACCTGGCCAGGTTTCATATTCTCTCCTTTAGTCAAATATCTCGTCCTATACGGGGAGCGGCCGCTATTGATGAGCGGAGAGTGCGATGCGGTATTGGTGGGATGACATCTTTCCTATGGTTTTTGCAACAATGGTGGTCTTCTGATTAGGGACTCAGAATCCGATGGACTCAGGGGCGACATTGTGCGGACGTTGAATTAGTGAGAGCTTAGATTAAGGACGATGACTGCCAACTCGTATTGAATTGGCAACAGATTACGAACTTCCTGAGAGCAAGACCCACAGTATGCCCTACCCTGGGATCCTTTGGTTGCACACCTGCGTCGAGATACAGCCTCAGTCCCTAACTTGGCCATTACACCCAGTTCGATTTCGGAGAATTGTCCCAATATCGCGCAGAAAGCCCATGGCTTTTCCGGCGCTCCGATAGCATAATATCAATGACGGGCTCCAAGCAAGCTCCATCCGGTGTATGATAGAGTGGAAGGTCACGGTGAACAAACAAGATATATCACGTAAACGGAAGAGGACGTAGCCCTACCTCCATGTGCTTTCTGGCCGGTGACTCTATAAGCTAGAGAAGTGAATGTTTGGGCAGAGCTCCCTTAAAAGAAGGCTACTATGGGGTCTGATGACAGCTTGGACCCACTTGAAAGGCCAGTCTTGAATTCTAGCATTCAACAACACGCGTAGCGTCCTGATCCTCTAAAAGCAACAAAGACTATGATAGTAGAATTGTTCAAAAGACTGGTCACGGCTGAAGAAGTAGTAGTTTTCCACTCTGGGCGTTGGCGTTAACACCTCGAGCCAACAGCATCTGCACCACCTTTTCATAGCCTTCCGATGCTGCGGCCCGGAGTGCATTGCCATACTCTCCACCCTGGGCGTTGACATCAGCACCTCGATCCAACAGTATCTGCACTACTCGTTCATGGCCTCCCGATGCTGCGGCCTGGAGTGCATTGCCACAGTGTCCACCTTGGGCGTTGATGATTTTAGATGACTCTGAACCCGTAGTGTCAATCGGTGAAATACCGTTCAGGACTAATTCTAGTCCTAATAACGCCGCGTAGTATAAAGGCGCTGCCATTTCAGCAATAGGACGATGCAAGTCCTGTGACACTCCAAGTCGGACGTCTACGTCGTGCAAGCGTATCCAAGAAACAAAAGCCTTCGTCTCGTCTTTAAAAAGCTTCCACGCTAGCTTTTCAATTGCTTCCTTCCCATCCTCTGAATTTGCATAATGATGAAACCAATACTTAGCTGCAAAACAAGCAAATGGGAACTCCGTGAGCTTTTCTTCATCAAATACCCCCTCAGAGAGAGTTGGCTCCAGGAGGTAGACGAGGCATAACTGGGCTATTTCTATATTTGCAGGCGTACTTCGCATAGCAAAAATTCTTGATTTTTGTTGAATGATCCGATCCGATTTTAGATACTCCTGAACCGAGAAATGCGCTATACGAGCAGTCAAGGTAATTTGTTGGCTGTCGTTTTCCGCGGCCACGAGCTCAATAAGTCCGAGGCAAATGTCGACAAGGTCATTCTGCTCGTACAGACGGCCGTCACGATCAAGCTGTGATGGCTCATTTAGGTCAACTGCGTGAGCGTCGATCAGCTCATTGATCGTGAGCGGTCGGGTGGAAAAGCAAAGCAGAGTCAAAACCCGCCGCACGTCCTCGACATCTTTTTCTTCAATACTGCACAGTATTCGCTCGTACGTTTCATCTAGATCACGGGGCAACGTGCGAAGACAGTCGTCAAGCTGATTCCGATTTCGCACCCGCCGAATCGCATTAAACTGACATTCAACATATCTGAACCTACATGTTGTTTTGATCAGAATAGCGGAGACTAGGATTTCTTCGTCGAAAACTTACACTCCTTGCGCACCAGTTGCCAATTTGGTCTGGATCTCCTCATGACGCGCTTTCCACTTCTTAAGTTTCGTGTCATTTTCAAGCTGATAGGAGACAAAGTCTGCGATGTCTTTATCCATTTCCGGATTCCTGAGCGAAATATCTTGGCCACGAGAAGGACCTAACGATTCGCGGATATCCAGCTCGTTACGACTGGTCACTAAAATATGGACACCAGGTATTGACCAGTCGCGTATCACTTGTATAGCCTTTAAGACACCTTCCCTTTTGCACTCTCGAGGGCTCTCATCTAGTGCATCGAGTAAAATGTAAGCATCGCGGAATCGTTCAAGGAAATGTCGAAGCGAGACAAGCAGCACATCTACTGGGGGAGACCCGGATTTATATAACTTATGTAGTTGCTCTAGGTCTCTTTCGCCGTCTGGTAGCTGTACTGATAGCTGCAATAGCAACGTGCGTAACATGCCGCTGTCGTCCTGTTTTGCCTCGTCACTAAATGAAAAGTAGAAAAATGCGATACCGACTCCATGTTCATCCCTCATCTCATTAAGCGTATTCTGGATTGCAGTTGAGCAGAGAACTGACTTGCCACATCCCGCGAAACCATTCAGCCAAAGGAAAGAATTGTGTTCCTCTAGCCAAGTCCGAAATTGACAGCCATTGACAAACCATAGACCTGTGCTTGGATGAGATTTTGCACATGTAGCGTTGTGATTGGGCGATGCATCTGGTGCCATAAGCCAGCAACGAATCGTAGAAGAAACCTGACTAGCATTTATTCGCTCGACGAGTGATTTGACTTCCGATATGCCATCTTGGATCTGAAATTGACTCTTAAGCTGCAGGACATCGAGTCCGAATGACAGATTTTCACGTATTACGGTCACATCTTCTTCCAGTTTCTTTAGGGTACTTTTCCGAAATGGATAGGCTGCGCGACGACCGGCAACCTTAACGCGATCCTTTAAATTGGTGGTTGAGTCTTTGCGGAATTTTTCGTACTCGCTCTGTAGCTCTGTGATGATTTCCTCGCACTTATGTACCGCTTTCTCGACTTCTCGGAGTAGATCTTGCGTGTTGGCCTGCGGTCGGCGTTCCTCTACTGCAGCATCGAGGGCTCGAAAGAGGGTTTGAAGATCATCGAGATTCCGCGTAACGTTCGCCAGATCCGTGTCTTGGCCTTTGTATGCCGTGTAAAAATTGACTAAGGATTGGGTGACTTGAATACCGAGCGAAAGCAACCCCGCAATCCCCGATGCGATAGAGAGTGGATCAGCCATTGTGATTGATAGTGACTCTTTGAGGTAGGGAGGGGGAGATTGGCATTCAGCTGTCAGCTAAATATATGTATTATCCGCTATCTCCAGAGCAAAGCTCCAACCTTGTCGAGTAGAGGCACAGCCGCTTTAGGTGATGCCCAAAGCGGGGCTGTGCATGGGCGATGTTTGCCCTCAATGTCAAGTTGTATGAGTATGAGTATTTCCAGTTCAGGGGATCTTTTATAATGTGATTTTCGTTATAATGAATTACGGGATCTTTGACAGGAGCTAAATCAAAAATGATTTTCGATCCATTCTGTACTAGAAGCCTCCATTTTCCTCGCCACAAAGTCGTCTACGTGTGTGTGAAGTAAATGGTATAGACAAATGTAGCCTAAAATAAGAGACTAGTACAGATTATGAGCCCTACAACCCGAGAAAAACCTCTAGGAGAACTCGTAAAATAGAATCCCTTGTGTCTATCTTTGAACTCTGTATAGCATCTTAGAGGAAATATTTTGAATAAACGATATGGATTCAATATTTATAGGTATATGCTCCCATGGTTGAGTGCTTGGATATAGTGGTTCAAATTATGCTGTTTGGGAAGCCACGTTGGAGTCCAATTCTTAAATGTCTCCTAGAAAAGCTCTTGCAAAGGGGATCAAGGTAGCCCACGACCACGAGAGAGAGAAGGGCAAGACGAAGAGGCTAGAAACCTTAGGAGACAAGCCCAAATCCTTGAAGCTGCTGCACCGCTGGACAACAGCTCACCGTTGCTATATTTGACAGATAGACCTCTAATTAGCATTGCTTTGCTCCAGGTTGCAAGTAATGAGATACTACCTAGATGTACCTTGTAGAGTTTTCTTTTGGTATGAGACGTTCCGTTGAGAAGATATTAGCTATTCATGTGGTAGTTTATAATACTGGTTGTAACCTGTGACATTCTCGACAGCCCTAGGTAGCTTCAAAACTAAGTATACATTTGGTATCTTCAAATTAATTATATATTAGACAGTATAGAAAAGAGCTGATGACATAGCGAAAGAACGGCAATAGTAAACATAATAGAAAAGATCGCAAGGATATCTTAGTTGACCTTCTTGGGGTTCTGTTCCTCCTCGCCCTCCTTACACTTGGAGAGATTCTTGCGGACATAAGTCTCACGCACCAAATCACCTTCATTCTTGTACACCACCCACTCACCCATGCCATACTCCTCAGGCGCAACACGGATGCCCCGACCACCACCACCAACAATCACATTGCCAGGACGGTACTTGGGATCCGCCTGCATGCGACGGAGAGCAGAAACATGGATCTCCGCATTGGCCGGAACATCTCGCACCTCACCACGAGGCAAAGGCCAGCTAATCGGCTTCCATGAACCATCAGACTGCAGATCCATCCGACGGAACGGCAACCACTCCATAATGCGCCAAGTGACGACCGACATAGCAGGTATACCCTGATTGAACATCAAACAGTCATGTATCAGCCCCTTGGTACTAGCACTGTGTAGCGCATGCCAGAAATCACGGCTAGCAGCGGTGCGCTCCTTCTCATTAGGCGCGGAGCGGAAAGCATCCTGATTATCAGCATGGGGCTCAAGACAGCGGCTCGGACGACGCGCATTGATCTCCTCCTGGATGGGCGTGTAATCGCCGCTGAACTCCTCCAGACACTGGAACTGCTTCATCTTGCGCTCGTCGAGCTCGAGTCCGGCCTTTTGCGCCTCCTGCGTCATCCACACGAGCGGCGCGTGACTGAGCGCCCACAGCTCGCCGTCTGCGAGCTTCCATCCGCCGCCGATGTCTGCGTGGCAGCCGGGGAACCAGATCTCGTGGATGTCCTGGTCGTCTTCGTCTTCGCTGTCGTCGTCATTGGCCATGTCTGGGATTTGCACGGAGAGGACGTTCGATTGCGCGCTGTGGCATGAATCTTTGCTTCGCACTGAGTGGAGGTCATCCATTGAGGCCTTTGGAACGGCTAGGCTGCGGCGGGGGGAGGGCGCGCGATATGCATGCGGTTGCATTGTTCCGGTTCCGGTTTCACTTCCTGCGCGTGAGTGTGTGCGGGAGTTTGCTTGCGAGGCTTGGTGGGAGCCGTGGTGTCCAGAGTGGTAGTATGTTTCGCCGGTGTGAGGTCCCCATCCTGGTACCTGGAACTCGGGCTCTGCCTTTTCGCTGTCTTGCTTCTCTTCTTCGGAATTGTCGTTAAAGCGGATAGAAGGGACATTATCCGGGTGGTCTTCTTCGGGTTTTTGAGTCTTCTGTTCCTTATTGTCCTGGTGAAAGAGGTGCAGATGATGGTTTAAATCGCGATGGCGATCCATATGGTGCTCTAGTGGATTCTTGGGCAGGTGGTGGCGGTGCTTGTGGTTTTTCCTCTCCCGGGGGCGCGGGCCAGAGATCAGATCCTGACGGAACTTGGCGCGGCGTTCGTCGATACCCACAGCGTGACGGATTACCTTGGCGGAACTGCGAGCCGTGTAGGGGAACTTGGTGCGCTGCATCCATGCGGACTCGAAGCGGGGCACGCTGTTGACGGTGTCGAAGAGACCCATGAAACGGATGCGCGAAATTGGACGACTGAACGTCTCACGGAAAGCCTTCATGTATGTGAACAGTTTTTTCTTCTCTTCGCGCTCTTCTTCGGTGTCGTCAGATCGCTGCTGCCACTTGGCGAATGTCTTCCAAGCGAAGCGGACCAATTCTTCGTTTCCAGCTTCAAGAAGACCTATATAGTCCAGCATCTCTGCAAGGAATCGCGCAATATATGAGCCACGACTGAATCCAATGAAGAAGATTTCATCGCCGGGGGAATAGTATCGCATTAGGAACTTGTATCCGCCCATGACATGCTCGTCAAAGGAGGAGCCGACCGCAGAGTCCTTAGCCTTTTGATATGCAGACTTGATACGCTGAAGTCGGCCATGGCTAGTGAGCGACTTTGATGTCACATATGTGCCAATGCCCGGTTGGTAGTAATGGTACTGGTGGCTTTTGCTGCGGTCAAGCATCTGCGACTTGTCAGCACAGCGTCGACGCTTGGCTCGCAGTCCCACTTACACGAAAGATCTTAAGCACATTGCTGTCGGACTCATCACCAGCAAACTTATTTCCAGTGCCATCGAAGCAAAGCACAAATTGTTTTGGCATGCCCGACGGGCCTTGGTGTCCATACCCGTGAGCCATGATGCCGATTGATGATACGGTCAGACGGAGAGTTATAATCAGCGACTTATTAAGGCATTAAGGAGACTATATATGAGAAGAAGGGAAAAAATCAAGCTTGTGAAGACGATGCAGGTTGCAACTAATGCAATAGACGAATCAGCGTCGTACGTCGGACCCAGATGAGGGAGGGGGGATAAGAATGTTCAATCCACTAGCCGATCTTTGCAGCTTTGCGAAAAGAATACGTCAAATTGAAGTGGGCTGACAGGCGGGCCGCACATTCCAATCACAAGATGGGCTCTAGAATTCTGCATGAATTTTTTTTCATTCTGGATTAGTTTAGTCTCTGCATATGTCTAGTGATACGGAGACTGCTTGATTATAACGGGGGGGGCATTCCATCCAATGAACACGCGTCGGATATGATTGCTAGAGATGCATCTTTCTTGCAACCTGGGCTGAATCTGACTCGATAACGAATCTATCTGCACGAAGGATGTCCGGCTCGGGCCTATGAGTGGATTTGGAATGTGATACCGGGGGCTGAAAAAGAAACCAAAAGAGAGACACACAGATTTCACAAAACCTTGTACACCCTAGTAATAATTGTGCTAGAAAGATGACGATCTGGTGTTCGGGGCATTACTGTCGATCAGCTCCTAGCCTTTGCCACGTAAGGGGAGGGAGGTTCGTGTGCCCTCCCGCCGCATTGGTTGAAGCGATCGAATCTTGGCGGATCCCTTACCCATTCCACTCTTTGACTGATTGACTAATTGTACAATGGACTTTTAGTTCCTCTATCTTGTTTCATTTTAACGTTCTAGTGACACAGACATCATCCTGGTGAACCTTGAACATCTTTGAATATCCTTGAAAAGTGGAAAACATACAACATCTGTATATAATTCAAGGAAATATCCCGTGTGGGACAGATGGAACAGCTGAAAACCATTCAACCCGAGGCGCTGGGAATAGTGGGCCGGAATCTTCAATCCTGAGAAAAAGGAGGTGAATTGCCTGAGCAACCCCATGGCTTCAAGCAAAAAGAGAGAGAAACTGCGTATTATAACTGTACAGTAGCTACTTCGTACAGATATTATTAATATAGTAGTACAATATATTCAATGGAGTTGTACCACGGTTATTCAATGCGGGAAAATCATTTACCCCAGAGAGGCAAATCGTCCACCCGTGGTTCATCGATCTATATAGATCTTAAATTTCACTTCAAGTTTTGCATTGCTTTAGTTTTCCTTGTTTTCTCCTCGCTTCTTCACATATTTCAGGGAAAAGAGGGTTCCATGAGTTCCGCATATCCGTCTTATCGATCAAAGCACCAGTGCAAGAAGGAAAATAATCAAATAAAAGACCCTTAGGGTGGGGAATCCCAGCCGTGAGATAGATCAGAATCTGAATAATTTATGACGATGACTAGTGGATTCAGCTGCCAATGACAGCAGAGATAATGTGGTTCGTGCAGGTCAGCCCGCTCGCCACTTAAAAAGCCCATAGTGAGTGGGCGAACGGGTGGGCCATGCCGATCACAACATATGAGCGTTACATGACTAGTACGTAGTAGTTACAGAGTAATCTATAGCTATAGTACGGAGTAATACTACTCTTTTTCCTGGAACTCAATTCTACATTCAAACTTTCAACAATTCCTATTGCATCTGGACCTTGCGTCGAGGGACCAACGTGTATATAATTATCTGTAACCCTGATTGGAGCAAACTCATGTCAGTCAGCTTCGAACAACTCGAGGTATGACAACACTCTATCATGATCCAGCCAGCCACCAGCTTGTGTAATCCATTTTCTCTTCATTATTGCATGTAATTTTAATTTCCAGAGTGAAGACCGGCCGACACCCACTTAGTGTCGATTTAGTTCGATCTTAGATCCCAAGGTGGAGCTATGACTTCTCGGGAAAAAGAAAAATTAATTTGAACAAATTGGACGCATGTTTACACCGCTAACTGTGGATTTGATACGTACAAAGTTGTAACCTAGTTGGATCGACCTCGTGTTTTGGGAGCTCGTGACGTCTACTCCGTACTGTACGGAGAGATCTAGGTCTATCCTGCTTCCACTTTTCAGCTCAATATCCCGGGTATACCATGCATGAATTATATTAAAATAAATAGATCATATTATACATAACATACAAGATGTAAGCCGTACCAGGGTAGACATTCATAATTGTTCCCCTTTTCTGAACAATACTAGTCATCATAACATGTTGATCTCTTACTATATTCAGTACAATCCACACTCCACACTCTGAGCCTGTGCCATGCGGGGCCAGTATACAATTGCTACAGGTTCAAGCAAAAAGTTCGAGCTAAGCACTCAAATCAGGTCCCTGCAGTCAATCAACTATTGGCGATAACAAATCCGCCACCTTTGGGACGCTCCACAGTCCTGCAGCTGACTTGCGTCGCCCACAGCTCGGTTTTAAAGACTCACGAGCTTCCTAATTCTTCTCTTAAACTGGTGCTCTGCATTTCTAACCTAATTTCTTTCTCGTTGTTCCCCTCTTCTTTTTGTGAGTATAATTATTTTACAATGTTGAGGAGAATCTCTACTCAGTTCAAGCGGTCCAAGGATCCCAAGGACACCAATGGCGACACTGAGCCCAAGGTCACCGACAAGAGCGCCGACAAGAGCAAACGGTTTTCCAAGGTCTCGCCGGTTCGAAAATCCAGCTCTAACCAGGAGGAGAGCAGCAACCGCACTGTGAAGCGTGCAGAAGTCATTGCGACTTTTGAGAAGTATGCGCAAGCCATTCACGCTTCACAAGAACCATTGCCTAACCAGACCGGCGATGGCACTTACTTGAAGCATGACAAGTCCTCTGGTTTGGTCGCAGACATCAAGTCCCTGGGTTTCCGCGATGTCAACACTGTCAAGGATTTGATCGCAAACAAGGCTTCCGGCGAGCTTGTTGATGATAAAACCTACCTGATGGAGCGTGTCATCCAGATGGTCGCTGATTTGCCCGGTCACTCCAAGAACCGTACCGAGCTCACCAATGTATTCCTCGATGAGCTTTGGAACTCAATTCCTCACCCCCTCTCTCGTAAGGAACTCAAAGATCTTGGTTCCGCAATTGTGGGCTAACGCTTCAAATAGTTACATGGGCAACGAGTTCCAATACCGCTCAGCCGATGGCTCAAATAACAACCCTACTCTTCCATGGCTGGGAGCCGCTAATACCGCATACTGCCGCACCATTCCTCCTCTGTCCATCCAACCCAGCGGATTGCCCGACGCCGGTCTTATTTTTGATACCCTTTACGCCCGTCAGGAATTCACCCCGCACCCCAATAAGGTCTCCAGTGTTTTCTTCGACTGGGCATCTTTGATTATTCATGGTGAGTACACTAGATCAGGAATTGAAGTCCAGGCGCTAATATGCTTTGTTCGAATATAGATATTTTCCAGACGGATTACCGCCAACAGCACTTGAACAAGACCTCTGCCTACCTTGATCTCTCCATTCTGTACGGTGATGTCAAGGAGCAGCAGGATCTCATCCGTTCTCACGAGAACGGAAAGTTGAAGCCCGATTGCTTCTCCGAGGGTCGCTTGCAGGCCCTTCCCGCTGCTTGCGGTGTTCTCCTGGTTATGCTGAACCGTTTCCACAACCACGTTGTTACCCAGCTGGCTGAAATCAACGAGAATGGCCGTTTCAGCAAGCCCCGCCCCGGTCTGTCCGAGGAGGATACCAAGGCTGCCTGGGCCAAGCGCGATGAGGACCTGTTCCAAACCGGTCGTCTCATCACCTGTGGTCTATACATTAACATCACTCTGTATGATTATCTGCGCACCATTGTCAACCTGAACCGTACCAACTCCACTTGGTGCTTGGACCCCCGAGCTCAGATGGAGAAGGCCGGTTCCACTCCCTCTGGTCTTGGTAACCAGTGCTCCGTCGAGTTCAACCTGGCCTACCGCTGGCACTCGACTATCAGCCAGGGCGATGAGAAGTGGATTGAGCAGATTTACTATGACCTCATGGGTAAGCCTGCCGAGCAGGTCACCATGCCCGAGTTACTGATGGGCATGAAGAAGGTCGAGGGTATGCTCGACGCCGACCCCTCCAAGCGCACCTTTGCCAACCTGAAGCGTGGTGAGGACGGTTTCTTCGATGACGGAGAGCTTGTCAATCTTTTAAGCAATGCCACTGAGGATGTGGCCAGCTCTTTCGGTCCTCGCAATGTGCCCAAGGCTCTGCGCTCCATCGAGATCCTCGGTATCGAAGCTTCTCGCCGCTGGAACGTTGGTTCCCTCAACGAGTTCCGCAAGCACTTCGGCCTCAAGGCTTATGAGACTTTCGAGGAGGTCAACTCCAACCCCGAGATTGCTGATACCCTGCGTCACCTCTACGATCACCCCGACTACATTGAGCTCTACCCCGGTATTGTCTCCGAGGAGGCGAAGGAGCCCATGATCCCCGGTGTTGGTATTGCCCCAACCTACACCATCTCGCGTGCTGTGTTGTCTGATGCCGTTGCGCTTGTCCGTGGTGACCGTCACTACACCGTTGACTACAACCCCCGTAACCTGACCAACTGGGGTTACAACGAAGCCCGCTACGATCTCAACATTAACCAAGGCTGTGTCTTCTACAAGCTGGCCAACCGTGCCTTCCCCAACCACTACAAGCCTGATTCCATCTACGCCCACTACCCCATGACTATCCCCAGCGAGAACCGCAACATCATGAAGAACCTGGGTCGCGAGCAGGACTACTCCTATGACAGGCCCACATACTTTGAGCCCCGCGTCAACCTGACCTCCCACCAGAATGCCAAGTTGGTCCTCGAGAACCAGCAGGACTTCCGTCCCACCTGGGGCAGCGCCATGTCCGAGCTCTTCGGCAAGGGCGAATTCGATACCAAGCAGCGCGAGGCTATCGGCAAGGCTCTCAACACCGAGGAGTTCCCTAAGCTTGTCAAGAGCTTCTACGAGGATATCACTGAGCGTCTGATTGCCGAGAAGAGCGGTCGTCTGGGCAAAATCAACCAGGTCGATATCACCCGTGATGTCGGTAACTTGGCCCATGTTCACTTCGCCTCCACCATCTTCGGTCTCCCCCTGAAGACCGAGCAGAACCCCCAGGGTCTGTTCACCGAGCACGAGATGTACATGATTCTGTCGACCATCTTCTCCGCGCTCTTCTTCGACGTCGATGCTCCCCGCTCGTACGCCCTGAACCGCGCTGCCTCTGCTGTTTCCACCCAGCTTGGCCAGGTAGTCGAGGCCTCCGTCAAGGCCGATACCAACAGCGGCCTCTTCGCCGGTATCATGGACAACTTCCATCCCCACGACAACGCTCTCCGCGAGTTCGGCACTGAGGCTATCCGCCGCATGAAGGAAGCCGGCTCCAGCGCCTCCGACATCACTTGGTCAGCCATTGTGCCCACCATTGTCGGACTGGTCCCCAACCAGGGCCAGGTCTTCACCCAGATCATCGAGCACTACACCAAGCCTGAGAGCAAGGTCCACCTGGCCGAGATCAACCGCCTGGCCCAGAGCGACTCCGCTGAAGCCGACGAGAAGCTGTACCGCTACTGTCTGGAGGCCATCCGCCTGAACGGCACCTTCGGCGCCTTCCGCGAGGCCAAGGAGGTCGTCACCGTCGAGGACAACGGCAAGACCTACACCATCCAGCCCGGCCAGCAGGTCTTCGCCTCCTTCGACCAGGCCAACCACGACCCCAGCGTTTTCCCCGAACCCAACGAGGTCCGTCTCGACCGCCCGATTGACTCCTACATCAACCAAGGCCAGGGCCCAACCACCGGCTTCGGCGAGCAAGTCACCAAGATCGCCCTCGTTGCCATGCTGCGCGTCGTCGCCCGTCTGCCGGGTCTCCGCCGTGCTGCTGGGGCCCAGGGTCAACTCAAGAAGATCCCCCAGGAGGGCGGCTATTACGTCTACCTCCGTGGCGATGGATCCTCCTACTGCCCCTTCCCCATGTCCCTCAAGCTTCACTGGGACGCTGCTCCGGTCGAGAACAAGGCTCCCTCCTCCTAAGAGGATGCTTTTGACTTGTTGGATTTGAGTCTGTTGTTTAATTCTGATATAAAATCCCTATGACTGCGGACATGCCATGTTATGTGGAGGTAATTCTCCAAGGTTGCGCGATGATTGACTTATGCCTTTGTTTTTGATATTTGTTTTCAGGGACTTCGGTCACCAGGATATCCAGAAATTGTTGAAGCTGTGTTTATATTAGTGTAGTGTATAGTTGATGAATTATTTATTCAAGAACAAGCATTCAAGTAGAGTTGAGCATTGCGCATTCTTAAACAAAGTCCGTGGCATTACATGTATTAACTAGCTCCAGATCAAAATCGTCATTGTTTAGTTTATCCCACCGCCTCACATATTGCCGCTATCATCCCGAAGTTATTTGATCGTCAACAACACCATTGTGACCTCCAACGACAGGAAACTTCCTCGATTGTTTTGAAAATGCCTCCACCAAAGGTCGCAAAGAGCGAATACATTGAAACCGTGAGCAACCCCCCTCATCCACGCTCTCGACGCCCTCGAACCACTCAAACCCCAAACAAAATAAACCACTAACCAACAAACCACAGGACACAGGCAACAAAATCTCCCGCCGGTCCCAAATCCACGGCACGCAGCACATCATCCTAGGCGGCAAAACGGTCATCCAAGCAGAAGCTGTCATCCGCGGGGACCTATTCCGCAGCGCCTCGACACCCGCAGACCCCAACAACCCCAGCCCGGCGACAGCGCCGAACACGCCCAGCGTCGCCATAAACGTCGGCCGATACAGCTACATCTCGAAGAGCGCGATCCTGCGCCCGCCTAGCCGTCTACACCGTGGCACGCACTCCTTCTACCCGCTCAAGATCGGCGACCATGTCTTTGTCGGCGAGGGTGCTGTTATTGAGGCCGCGCAGCTGGGAAACCATGTTCATGTTGGGAAGGGCGCGGCTGTAGGCAGTATGGCGATTATTAAGGATTATGCTTATGTGCTTGATGGCGCGGTCGTGCCTCCTGGTATGGTGGTGCCGAGTTGGTGTGTTGTTGGGGGGCGGCCGGCGAGGATTGTCGGGGAAGTTGGGGAGGGGTATGGGGTTGAAGGGGCGGAGGGTGGTATGGCGAGGGAGAGGTACCGAGTTGTTGGAAAGCCTTGATCGATGCTGGTTGGATGTGTCTTTGGTTTATTGGTCTTTGTGATACCCCCTTGTTACTCGTGAAATGTTATGTTTTTATAGGAAAAGCTTCCAGGTGGCATAGATTGTCTGGGTGGTATATGGGTATGGAAGGAAGTCTATTGCAAATTGGTATCTCTTGCTGCAGATAGATCGAAATGCCTTTGTAGACAAACCGTATCACCGGCGTTGTGCTAATGAAAGACTATGAACTAGCCCATTCTTTCAACCTGAACTGCGCGGGTCAATCGCAGCTCGTCTTTCCTGTCTGGAACTCCGGCCTCCTCGAATGCCAGATCATCTATCCAACGTCCATTGGGCTGCAGAGTCTCGCCGCGCGATAACTTGGCAGAGAGATAGAGCCAGTCTAGCGCACTGCCTACCGTACTCACTTCATCACTGACGTGATTGAGGCCGTACGTCGACATACGATTATACAGATCACCATCTGTCCATAGTTTAAATAGATGCTGCGCCACTGCGTCGGTGTCGCCAACGTCGACCAGAAACCCATTTTTCCCATTTTCGATCTGCAGCGGAATGCCACCAGCCCGGGTAGCAATCACCGGTTTGCCTTTATGAATTGCCTCCGAGACTTTGATCTCAAACCCTTCGGAGGTAGAAAGCTGCAGTGCAATGGTGGCCTTGGAGAGAAGGGCATTCAGGACCTGATCGACTGGTCGTAGGCGCATTACACAAATCAGCTGGCGGATATCGGAGACTTTGTTATCCAGGTAGTCGATTACTTCGTCGTATACACGGGCTCCGTCAGGGTCGTCCACTGACCCATGTCCACATAGCAGTAATTTGGGGGGAACCGCGTCGGGGGCATTGGCTATAAGCTTGTTATAGAATTTCTCATATGAAACCAACACATCCGAGATACCCTTGGAGGGATCGAATCGAGCAATTTGCACAATATATGTGTCTTTATGCATGACCATATGACTCATTAGATTTGACCGGCAGATACGAAGATTTAGGTAATGATTCGATCACTCACCCCCTGGGAATTGGATGGTTGGCATTTCAGCGTTCCGACAAGCTGCATTGAAGATACGACCGTAGTGTGCAATATCCCAGTCTCGCATATTCTTGTTCAATCCGTCCAACCTACAGTATGTCAGGGGAATATGGTCAATCTATCGAAGGCAAATCTTTACCAGTCGGTTGATGCAGGCATATAGCCCACGATCTCTGGGGGCACATTCCACGGCACAAATTCGTTCACAGGATGGCTGATAAAGATGTCGGCAAGTTGGATATTATTCCACAGAAAGTCCCATGCCTCAGCCTGTGCGGAGCCGGGCGTTGCGATCAAATCCCTTCGAATTTGAATGTGGCTTCGAAAGATGATGGGTCGATCTGGAGAGTGCTGTTTAGCAATAGGAATGACGCCTGGCATCTGGGGATCGTCGATGATTATTACGTCTGCGCCGCCTTCTGAAGGTGGAAGTAAAGGGCCGCCTCCACGGGTCCAGTACCTCCTCGCATTCTCCTCGATCCACTCTTGCAGCAGCTTCTTATTCTCTGGTGTCAAACGTTCACCGTGATGCGCAGCGCCTTGCAGGATATTGTGATTTATCTTAGTCGCCTGGAACACGTCCGGCCGTGGTTTTGGCACGTACCTGCATGTCTTGGGTTAGTATCGTGAGTTCCAAAGATAAGAAGGTGAAGAAAAACCATTTGAGGTCCGTTCCTAAGACATTCGAGAATCGTAACAAAGCATGTCGCATCAAGGCTACTCCGCCTCCCTGGGGCGAGGAACTAAAAAACGCAACCTTGACCTTGCGCCGTTTCATTTCATCGGCGTAGTGTTGCACCGCCGCCCACGTTCGATAGGAGACTGTTTTTTTGAAGTCATTTAGAGTTGCAATCCTTATATGATAAGCTGTGTCCACCTCCACAAGACCTAGAAACCCCACTTGCAGCAAGGGAGTGTTCTCTGGTCCAAATAGCCTGTATGCAATTAGCAATGTCCAATGGTTCCTATGCTTTGTCGCGTCCAACGAACCTGACCCCCTTTCTTGCCATAGATTCAGCCTGCTCGTCAATGGTCTTTACCCACCCGTCTGCTATATTAGCTTGTTCGTTGGAATCCTGTCCGACACTGAATCGATCAATGAGTGTTGAATTTGACATAACCAATGGAACGATATCGAGTTCCCCCCACAGACGAGAACAGAGCGTGGGGCAGTGGTCTGCGATATAACGAGGCATCGATAACCCAACTATCTTCTCCATATGCTCTTCTGAATAATTTCTTAATTCGGAAATTATAAACTCGGTGGCTTCTTCCGTGCACGCTAAGCCATCCTCGAATCGCTTTTCAATGAAATCCAATAAGTACGTGGTATCACGTAGCGCAATGGCTATAGTTGTAATATGACGGTCATCGAATTTGCTGGAAATTCCTCCGTAAATTGTCTAGGAGTGTTGTTAGTAAATGAGCTTCTAATATTCTACCAACCCATACATCTGATGGAGGGCCCAGCCAAGCTTTACGCTTGAATTGGAGAGCCAATCGACGCTGCTGTGTGATTGATGCATGGCGCTCGAACTTTTGAACTTCACCGGGCATGATGCTTTAAGTGGGCCACTAAGATCCTGTGGAATGAGGGTGGATATCATAGCTAGTGTAGCTATAGTCTAACAGAAGAGGCGATAAAGTACATAGCTATCGTATGAGTGACTTCATTCATGTCGCTGACGTAGGAATTCCACGACCATGGTCGATTTTTCCCCGGACACATGGAGTTATTCCGTTATGATACTAGAAAGCAGACAGGTAGAAAGATATCGATATATAGCGATCAACATATCAAGAACATGATCAACAGTATAACAGTGGACACAAAGGTGAAACAATCAACCCTCGTGGCTTATGTCAGCGCGAACCAGCCCCTTTTCCCCCGCCTCAGGGAAATTGGCTGCGAAAGCCGATCTTCATTTGCTTCTTTTCCTTTTTTTTCCCTTTTCTCATTTCTTTGCTTTGACGAGCAATCCCCTCCAATATTAATTTCCCCGGAAGTAATAAATTGCTTCTCCGCTTCACCCTTTGAACCCGCATATATTACGCGGGTCGCGATTCTTGATATCTCAACTCCAAATAGCTCCTGATTTCGCGAAAACGCGTCAAATTTCGCCATGGGTGGACAAGTATCCAAAATGATGGGCAAGATATTCGGCACTAAGGAGATGCGTATCCTTATGTTGGGTCTAGATGCTGCTGGAAAGACGAGTATGTGTTCTTGGTCCTACACCAATTGAGACCTTGGAGCAAGAATTGGCTGACACCTCTCCCTCTAGCTATTCTCTACAAACTTAAACTCAGCAACCAGGACGTTACTACCATTCCTACCGTCGGATTCAACGTCGAGAGCGTTACCTACAAGAATGTCAAGTTCAACGTCTGGGATGTCGGTGGTCAGGACAAGATCCGACCCCTCTGGAGACATTACTACTCCGGCACACAAGGATTGATTTTCGTGGTTGACTCCAGCGACAAGGCGCGTGTGGATGAGGCTCGCTCGGAGCTGCATAAGATCATCAACGACCGTGAAATGAAGGATGCCCTGCTGCTAGTCTTTGCCAACAAGCAAGATATCCCTGGCCGTATGTATCCCCTGTTTCTGGGATTCAACGACTCTTTCGCTAACCAAAATCTAGACCTGAGCCCGGAGGAAGTTACCCAACAACTTCAATTGACTAAACTGAAGGACAAGCTGTGGTATGTGGCACCCAGTGTTGCAACAGATGGTACCGGTATCTTCGAGGGTCTGGTAAGTTATTTCCTTGCTCTATATAGCAATGATCTCAAGCTAATTACTTGTTTAGGCCTGGCTCTCAAACAATGTCAAGACCCAACCCCAGAAATAAGATGCACCGCTGTCATCTCGAGAGGCACTCTTCGAGTAGCTTCGTTGTACAACATCTCGCATTATCTGACAAGTGTTTTCTTTTTCTCTCTTCATGTCCGTGTTTGATGACAAGATGACGCAGCATTTGGGCTTTTAATTTCTGGTCTTTTCCTTTGTCTGTTGCCTTTCTTACCTTACCTCGTTGCCTTTTTCCGTTGTTTTATCTTCACTTCTATGATATCCCCTCTGTTCTTATATGGGCTTGTTGGGTCCAATTCAATACTTTAATTACATTGTGCTCTCTACCTAGCGTTGTTGTTTTTCAAGCCCCTTTGCAATTGTGGATGCGATTTCTTATGCACATAATTTGATTACAGCAGAGACAGAGGGATATGTTCTGGCATTGGGTTAGATAGACAATAGAAATGAATGACATACTCCTGACTCAATTATGTGTGATCAGGTTCATGTTTCCACGGAACAGACCACCGAATTTGTCTATGAAAAACCCAAGACCCTGCATCTATTCCAGTCCAGTCAAGTACTTGGTTCATGCAAAAGTATGCATCAGCCTCAAACAATTCCGAAATGTATATCGTCAATATGATGATATCGGGAATACTTCCCTCACAATAGGGCCGTTATGGAACTGAAAATACATATAAAAGGAGGCTAGTATAGCTCCGATTCTTTACTTAGAATACTTTGACACATTTCTTGTTTGAAACATACATCGAAGCATCCCTGCTTGTACACAAATATATATACGCAGAAGACTATTGTGACGCGTCCAAAAAATCTCCTCATTAACCGGCATCATACTTCGATTTCCACGCCTGTCTCCGCGTATATCTTCACCAGCCCCAACATCAGCAATGCACCAATTCAAAGAAGGGGATAAAGTGAATTACAAACCTGTCGGTGGTATGATGAACTTTATATACAATGTATACATACACGAGCCACAAGCTAACCAGGCTACAACAGGTGCAAATTCCAAGACCAACAAAAGTGTCGGGGTCATCCGTGAAATTACGACAGCCTCGGACAACGAGCCGCGCTACAGAATCGAGAACATGAACACTCACAAGAGTTCATCTATCAAAGAAGGCAACATCGAGGGCCCGGCAGAGTAGTATGGTATCCAGGTATCAGAAATAGGAATTGTGGATTAAATTGTCAAGATAAATCAAAATCAATTTCTTTGTCTGATCAGATCAGGAGTTGCAAATTCAACACCCAAGGTACATTACATTCCGTATATTTCAAACACTTGTATGAACGATTTGTCGGTATTGTAATTATTTTACTTGTCTTTCTGATAGCGCACATTTGTAATACTTCCCATGGGACGATCGGCAAGTAGAATGAGCGTATTATCGACGATGAAGATGACAGTGAGATATTACCGTCCATTATATACCAGCTTGCTGTCTTTATCTATGCAACCCGATATGCTATGTTTGGTTACAGCTAATATGACGTAGAAATTCGACAAATGTCTGTCTGCACACGTACATAGGTAGTAGGTAAGCGCCTAGGTGGCTTGAAACCCTCGCCACCATATTGCAACTATGACAGCATTCCATCGAAGATAACGGCGAAGATTGTCCAATTTCAACGCATCATAACGGAGCCATTTACCACTATGAACTCATCTACAGCAAGTAGCGTCGTCTGCTAGTGAAATCCCCATAGAAGATGGCATACTAACTCCATCTTCCAGGAAATGAATGAATATCCACCCGCAGATATACCCAGCCAAACACGGGGTCTAAGAGAAGTATACCAGTTCGACGGCCGCACATTCCACCGCAGGAAAGGCACACAAGACTGGATCGAGGACCAACCCGAAGCCGAAAGCACATGCCCGCCTGCCGAATTCCCTCATCTCTATCTGTACCTTGTCCAAGAAGAGCAAGGCCCCGGGGAGCCCAACCACTGGGCACTCTTTCTCGCCGATAAAAACGAACCAGATTACGGCTATGTCCATCAGGTAACAGGAGACGCGCAATATATGACATATGAGCCTTCGGCCGAGAAAGTCAATATTTACGACGCAGCCATAACCTCCAATGTTTATACTCTGGCGGTTGTATCCAAAGATCAGGCCAAGGCGGCTCAGTTGGTGAAACAGGTCGCAGGGCAAGAGCCTCCGCCTCGAGCGGAAGATCGGAAATCCGTTACGGAGAACTGTCAAAGGTGGACTATGCGTGTGATCGCCAAGCTGGTCCAGGGGGGATTGTCATGCCTTAGAAACTTGGAATAGTAAGGTCTATGTTGCAGCCGGTCTAAGGGAGACCAAATAGTCAATCTCGTTCAGGCATGTATGCTAGTAGATAAGATGAATAAACGAGTTACAGTTGAGCGCACCTTATAAATAGTTCAGTGCACCTTACAATGTTAATAATCATCTCACTTTTCCCAATCGGGAAGGATATCTCAACTCATAGGCATCCCCCCAAACACCACCTTGCGCTTTATTAGGCCCCTCATTCTGATACCTAGGCAAATTTTCATCAGGGCCACGACCTCGGGATAGGGTTCGGGTGTTTGGGAAAAATAAGGAATTCAGGTACCTAGGTATGATTTTATTTAAGAGGTGCACTCAGCTCGAATAATGACGAATATCCTACTCCACAAGGTGCGCTCAGTCGTATGCCACGTCCCACTGTGGATTCTTGATCCAAAAATAAGATTATTAATGAGAATAACTCGAATTGACAAAAAAGAAACGTCCTCGGGAAGGCTCGAACTTCCAACCTCTCGATTAACAGTCGAACGCGCTAACCAATTGCGCCACGAAGACTTGTTGAGGACGAGTTCAAACATTTCTATACATGACCCCAAATAATTTTCTGTACGTTATACATGCTATTGCGCGATCTCGATTTAACAATAGGCTTTGGAGAGTGGCTCTGAATGTACGATAAAGGCAAACTTAAATATATATATAAAAGGGTACAATGGTTGAAATTATGCATATGTTAGGGCCGTGGTGCCCAGGTGGGCTAAGTAAATAAAAAACAGGTTGCGAATATATATATTGAAAAGTAGCGACGAGTCAGATAACGTACGACCAGAATATGTGTCAAATAGGGATTTGAAGAGGCCAGGTGAACGGCAGCAAAATTCTTCAAGAATTATAGGGCTCCTGCTATTCCACATGACCATGTAGGATGTATGAGTGAGGACCTTGTGGTAAGACTCTCACAAGGTCCGCTCCTAGGTGTGCATACTTGATGGTGTTGACCTTCCTCGCAACATTTGCTCAACTCAATTTCAGTCGATGTGAGACCATACATTCAACGTTCTCGGATTACAATATTTACACCTGAAATTATGAACCAAGAAAAGAAACTGGATTGAAAAGACGCTCGTTGACTGTATCCAAGAATAAAACGTTAAGTGGGCATTCAAAAAGATATCATAACCTTCGTCCAAAACCTTCCATGAAAACGCGCTGTGCAAACGGGAACTCCGAAACCCCGCTACATTTGTTGAAAAGCGAGCAGGGAAGCGGCATTCCCGGAGATGAAATGGGAAATCTCAAAAAATGTACAAGAGAGAAATTTTAAGTTCGTGAAGCTCAAACAAAAAGTCTAAGCCTGGTTAGGCCAGATATCGTTGGCAATATCACGCACAAGCTGAAGCTTGTTGATCATGCCGTCCCAGTCGATAGCATTACCCTCACGGTGGGAAGCAAACCCACACTGGGGGCTGACACCGACTTGGTTAAGCGCAGCATCGAGGGAGATGTTGTTACCCTCTGCGATGAACTTGGCGGCGTCAATGACACGAGTTTTCATCTCCTCTTTGTCCTCGAGCTTGGCGAACTTGCTGGTGACGACGCCCAGGATGACGTTCTTGTGGGTGGGGAGGAACTTGAGGGGTTCGAAGCCACCCGCGCGCGGGGTGTCGTACTCGAGGTAGTAGGTGTGCACGTTCAGCTCCTGGAACAGCTTGATGGCGATGCGGTCATAGCCACCCTCGGAGAAGTGGCGGCTGCCGACGAAGTTACCGCGGCACAGGTGGACGCCGACGTGCATGTCGGCGGGCAGGTTGACGAAGCAGTCGTTGTACTGCTTGATGTACTTCTCGAACATCACGTCGGCGGTGTATACGTTCAGAGGATCCTCCTTGAAGCCGTTGAGGAACTTCTCGGAGCAGAAGTCTGAGACAAATGTTAGTTCATTCTAACCTCATTGGTTGAAAGGGTTCTATGCTCTCTTACAAGCCAGGTTGGGGTCATCGAATTGGACGTTACGGCAGCCGGCATCATAGAGGATCTGGAGCTCGGCCTGGTAGGCCTTGGCAATGTCACCGAAGTAGTCCTCGTCGTTGGTGTACACGGACTTGGGGTAAGCCTTGCCCTCACGGTAGCGCAAGTGGTACCAGTTAGGGGCGGCAAGAGTGATCTTCAGGTTGCCGACCTCGTTGGCAGGAACCTGGCTGGCAAGGTACTTGAACTGATCAACGTAGGTGCTGCCAACGTGCTTGATCTTGCCAGTACAGATGACACTCTCACCGGGCTTGTGGCCCGCTTCCAGGAATGCGGCAATATCGGGGGCGTAGGGGCGGAAATCATCGACATCGACATCATTGACTTCCTCGAAGCCATCGAGACCGGGGAAGAAAGTACCCCAGAACACTAGAGCTGTCAGCGGTGCCCATGCCATGGATATACAGAGCTCTTACTGTGACGACGGTACTCGCCGTCTGAAATAGCGGCATATCCGAGCTTCTGCTGGGTCTTAACGATATCGTTAACCTCCTTATCCTCGACGGCGGTCAATTCCGCCTCTGGGATCTTGCCAGCCTCAAAAGCAAGCTTGGTATCCAGGAGCTTGTGAGGGCGCAGAAGCGAACCAAGGTGTTCCGCGCGGAATGGTGGGCGCTGGTGAAGTTGAGGGGCCATTCTGAAGGTAGTATGAAGATTGACTAATGCAAAGATGGTCAGCTGTTTCTCATATATTAGGAACGCGACACGAGCAGTCATACCTTGAAATCTACTGGAATCCCGAATGTCTGGGGAATTGTGAAAGGGGAGAATTCAGAGAAGACCGGATCAGTCAAAAGAGGGGCATTGAATGACCATTATTGTAATCCCATCCGAAGTCGCTATTTCCAGCCGTGATAGGCATTGCCCCACAGCAAAAGCTGAGGCTCTCCACATTTCTTTGGCCACCGACTTCGCCTATGAAATTCGTCGCATTTGCAGCTTCCGTTCCGATCTTCCCGAGTCCATTTAGGCGATCGCTTTTGGGCCGATTTTTGAGTCCATGGTTCTCACTGCCATATTCTTCTACAGCGCAACTGTCTACGATGTAGACGGCCATATGCAAGAGCCTCAGTCATGAATTTAGATGTCAATGCGGGGTTGAAGATTCTTGGCAGGCGATGCACTGTGCCTCAAACTCTTCAACCAGTCTGTTTCCGGGGCACAGATCCCATAAGAAGTACCTGGGTATATCCAAAGTTCTTCTTTTTTGATTGGCGCTGAAGTCGTTGTAAAGTGTTCTGAACGCCCCACATGGGGGTTTTCCGATCAACGCTTCTAGATCTGCTTGCATTCTACTTTGTTTCTTTATATTTGATATATTGATATATTGCTATATGTATAATCCAACGTAATTTTAAAGCAGAATCTGAATATCCTTCATATTCAACTACTTTTATAGTCTGATTGGAGGTCAATTGTATTTTCCAGAAGAGAGCATTAGCTGAGTAATAGATGACAAAAAGCCTAGTGGAGGGTCCCAGCGAATTGAGTGGGGAAAGTCGGCACTTCACCTTCTTTCGCTCAGCCGACGTTTTACTTTGTACAGTGTATTCTATACACTGTACGCATACAGAGTACAATATTGCTATCGAATTGAGTGCTAGATAGTCATGTGGAACGAGACCGGCATGATCACCCTCCAATGTCTCCACCGACCTCTCCTTTGGAGCTTCTTCCCAATGAACTCCTAGACCACATCATTTCCTACTTATCCACGGAACCACCATCATATGGACAATTACACCATGCACCGAGTTTACAACTTACTCATTCGCCAACGAAAGATCTAAAGCACCTTACATTATGCTCATCACGTCTACTCAAGCTCGTGCGACCTTGGCTCTTCAATCATGTCCGCCTAAACCTTCATGAGGAACGGGACTTCCATTTCTTCATCATTAACTCAAACCTCAGCCGACATGTACATTCCCTCGTGGCGATGGGGAATGATATCTCAGATCGCCCTGCCGATCCACTTTGGTGGCGCCAAGTTCTTCGTTATCTGGACCCAGGCCAGATGATAGTCATAGCGCCGCCTACATTCATTGGCAAAACACTAGGCACCCCGATCATGAATGCCCACAGCTGGGAATTCGAAATAGAATTGCAAACCCTGGTTTTGCAACGAGAGTGCAACGTTCGTGACTCGCACGAATTGCCCAGTCTCGAATCTTGCACGAGTCTTCTCGCATCGCGCCCGTGGACCTCAATGTCCTTCAATGAGTCTTCATCTTTGAAATCCTATCACCACTACGAATACTTTCTCTCAACCGTTCCGTCAATCCTGGGCGAATGGGGTGCCAATTTGATCCGTGGAGGAAGGCAGTTATTTCAACCCCAGGTTGACCTGCCTGCTCTACTACAACATCTGACATACTTTTCCTATACGGCCGTGTTTCCATTCTTCAATCACTCGCAAATCGTACTAGATGCTATCCTTGGAATGCCAAATTTGCAGCGTCTTGATGTACGGCTTGCACCTTGTCCCGGTAATCATGCTACCGAGGTAGAACAACGAGGGCCGATGGATCCTAATGATCCATGGATGGAACTCGCGACTTCTTATTCTTTGGTTGGATATACCGTCAACAAAATGAAAAGCTTGACGGAGTTTAGGTGCAATGACTTGCACGTGGAGGCCATTCGGGATGACCTCCTCTCTATTCTTGACAATGTGATTGGTGACGGGGGCTGGGTACACGATGGGCAAGGTGTTTGGAGGCGAAATTAGCTAGATTGTTCTCAAAATCTAACCGCGCGGTACTGTTCTTGTCCCAACAACTTTGTATGTATTCATCTTTTCGTTCCGTAATATACTTGATGGAAAGCGAGTCGAGCATCTAGGCCCAATTTGACTGGGTCATTATCCTCCATAAGCAGATGCGATAGGCAAAACTTACTACCCAGATATCCACTAGGGCGGTTGCACATATCAGGAAAGGTCTTGGGAAGCCTGGAGGGCGACGCACGGGTGGGCCAATCACATGGGTTGCTTGCTTGAAGCTTTCGAAGGTGTGACAAGACTACACTAGCAGGCCTAGTCAAAATCATGACAGAGCGCGCGATACGTATTGCTGCGTAGGGCTACACAAGGATGATTTGATGGATAATGATCGTTACGAAGGTGCGCTTAGGAAATAGATTAGAATGATGATTAAATATCTAAAATGGCGGCCAGGATGTTCATTATATGAGCATCCCGAGATGGCAAACACGCAGCTGCACAAACAAGCTGTCAAATTGGTGTATAATGCATCATGATCTAGATCCAGCGGCAAAACAAAGAACTTATTTATGCTGGTATATCAACCACACGCGATATGAATCGATTAGTTGTGACCAGGAAGGCCGAGAAAGCTGTAGCACGAGACAGCTAGCTAGAGACTACGAGAACTTATATGGTTGCAAGACATCACATTCGGTTACGCAGAAGAGCGAGGCATCAATTCAAATAATGAGATCATGAAAAAGCAAGCACATACGACCATAGGGTGTGGAAAACAGGGCTTCCCGTCCGCTCAGCCGTACTTAAGCCACACGCCGGTGAGTTAGTAGTTGGGTGGGTGACCACCAGCGAATCCTCACTGTTGTATGTTTTTTTTGTCTTTCTTTTTTCTTCCATTTTGATGCTAGTATTGCTAATCAGAAGCTTTTATTATTGTCTCTCTCCCCGAGTGTGGTGCAAGTGAACGAGTGATTACTTTTCTCATAAGCTGGGGCTATACGTTAATAAATCTTGTAACTATGGGTCAGAAATTGTTTATTGCGATGTGACTGGGCAGAAGGGCACAGCATTAGGTCCCATCTTGGAGTCCTCGCAGCCCAGCAACCATATTGTACCACGCTCATACTATCCTGAAAACAAAGTTTGCCAAGAAATAAGCAAGCATAAAGCCAAAACGAGCTTGGCATTACAGACTACTAGAATCTGTTCATCACTTTTTCTGTTATGGGGGACAGGAGCTGCTTGCCGGAGACCAGTCCGACGGAGCCGGATTGGCACTCTGGCATAATCTGCCAATTCTTTGCTCAATTCCGCTGCTGTAACGGCACCAGCTGCTCTTTCTCTCATGTAGAAGAAAATAATAGAGCAATGAGTAACAGCACAGGTACCAGTACCTCTACCCGGCAAAGCAACGCAATGCCGCAAGAAGACTCGCGCTCACGAATTCCCTGTCGACTTTGCTATGAGGAGCTTGTTTGAAGGACGAGAATTGTCATGTCGCATCAAATATCACAAGATATGCCAGAGACTATTGTGGAAGTGGAGGTATGTGGATGGCCGTACAGAAGCCCGTGGTACAAGCAATTGTTAACTCGAAATTAGGAAGATTTGACGCCTGAGAGCTGGTATTGGGAGCTCAAAGGCGCCTACCCCAATATACAACGGCGAGCTCTGTTGTTGATCTTTTCGCCTCGCTTGGCTTTGCTGTGTCAGAAGATTGCGTTCGTATCTCAGTACCAGCGGATAACGCAAACTGTAGTGTCGATGTGAGGGTCGAAAACTCTCAATTTGCCAAGCGTCTCTGCGCTCTACCAGCCATGAAGAAACATGATGGCCCCAGTGCGGTTCCGATCAATGCCCCCAATGCCCCAGACAGCAAATCGCATTCGAGTTGAGTCGAAAAAAGTCAAATGCTCATGGCACAAGCCAAGTCAGACGGCCTGGTTGAACTTTGGCAACAGAGACATTGCTGCATGTCATCAATACCCCATTACCACTCACCATGGGATTCATATCACACGCAACGTCGATTCAATCGAGTTAAGAACTTAGCAAAGTAATTGAGGGATCCTGACCAGTTTGTTGTCACAATTTCGGCGAAACGCGAGACATCTCCAACGAGTCAGTTCTAGAAGCATAAAAGTAGCACCGATCCATGGATAGACTTGTGTGGAGAGAGACTAGACCCAATCGGGAGTAGTGGATTAGCTTATGTCTGCCACGCTCCAGGGCTTCTGCAGAAGCTTTGACACATCCAACTAATGTTACCACGCCCAGTAACTCGCCATAGCTATTTCGATGGAGAGCCATGGCTTCCAATCCAAATGTTTATTCGGCAGACCCTGCATTCCCGGTCCTTGCCGATAGCTTGCTCCGACAGTCGGAGTCTAGAACTGAAGAACCAGCTCTGTCATATAATAAAACTCCCAATAGCAATACCAACTGGAGTCTTGAGGAAGACTGGATAAAAGGAATTCAACCCATAAAAGAGGCCATTTTTCGATGTGGGGTTGTCCTGGGTTTCTCCCGGCTGCGAATGAGAAGCAGGGAAAGTGATGAGTATATCGGACAGGTGAGGTTACCTCCACGCAATTGGTTATTGTTATTAAAGGCTGATTCGGTCAAGATTCCTCGATATCTCCTCACAAAGCACCTGCGGAGTATCACACCATCGCACGAGCCAAGCGCATTTATCATCCACCCAGGCAACTTCGAGGCCTTTGCTCCGAGAACACTGCTCAATGATCTGCAGTCGTCGTCTCAAGACCGGCCTGGACTTTCAAGGGAAGAGTCAATCCAAAAACTGGACTCTGTGCAACTCCTTCCGGTGCACAACGTCTTCCACGCCGCACAGGCCATCGGAAAGGTTTCCGACACATTGCAGGGGATCAAAGAAGACAGAGAGCAACCGACTGAATCCAAGCCCCCGACCCATGCTCCCATAGTTTTGATCGTTGCAGGCCTCGACTATCTCACCGAAGGCGTGATCCGAGCCTCCAACCCAGCAAGAGGCGCAGCTCTCTTGTCAGCCACACTACGCACCCTGACGAAGCTGTGTCGCGTGCATGCCTCCCATCTCTCCATCATTCTTGTTAACACAAACGGACTAGGAACCATGAACTCAGAATGGGACAAAGCCCCACAGTCGACTGGGAACCACGCTTATGGCGATGGGGCCACAAGGCAGCCCCTGGATGAAGGCATTCACTCCATCTTCAACTCTGACGTTCCTTCACTTTTCCCTACACTGCTCATGAAAACGCTAGACCAAGGAATCGATACCCATTTGTTAGTTTGCGATTCAAGAGGAGAGCAGGTCGTCGAAGTCATCAAAGATCGGGTGGGTACTGGATTAGGAAAATGGGGAACATGGAGCCAGTAATGAATGGATTCATTTGCTATGATGTCGCCAGAGCAAGAAGACCTTGATCTATCTCGATGCAATTGTTCGTACGCTTACAAAAATTTTCAAAAACATAAAATCTCCGCCCCTCGCAAAGCGCCGCGTTGTATGCAATCGGCCCAGAAAATCCACTGGGTGTCGACCTGTTGTATTATGTTCTGCAAAAAACCCAACTCCAGTCCATGAGCCATTTGTTTTTGGCTTTCCACTATCAAAGGGTATTAAGCTTTTATTGCCGTGCAATATTTTCAGACCGGGCAACTTGGAAACACTCCCATCCTGCGGCTTAAGCCTGCGGGTCGTTATCCTTCTGAGCCCATTGCCTCATCACACCCCGCTCCACCACCGATTGAGCCTCTTCCTCACACTTGGCGAGGTCCTGCTCTGCCGTTTCCTCCTCGAAGAGAATATCCTGCTGCTGCACCTTGACCCACTGCTTGTGTCTCTCGCAGCGTTTCTTCGTGCAAACACCACTCGTCCAGACGGCGATATCATCGTCGCTTTCGCCATCCATTGCCGTGTCGCCATCTGCGTCAGTGGGCTGGATGCTAGCAGCTAAAGCTTCGACCGTGCCCTCGGCGAGAGCTTTCTGTCCTGTTTCTGACAGGCGCCACTCGTCGAATTCCTCGTCCGACCACGAAAGCCGCGAGTCGAAGCCGCAGATATCTTTCCATCCGCCCTTTGGCTCGTGCTGCTTCAGTTTCTCCACGATGCCTTTGGCGCGCGGCTTGAGAAGCGATAAGAATGTGGTGCGTGCTGCGAGCATCTCCTTGCGATGAACGAGATCGTCTCGCTGTTTGCGTAGCTTTTCGAATTTGGCGATCTCCTCTGGGGAGTATTCTGCACCGCTGGCATAGATATCGACTCCCAACCACCTGCCACCGGATTGCGTTGATGACAGTTGTTTATCGTTCGTTTTCTTGTCAGTCTCTGGCGGCGGGGAGACAATGCGATCACCAAGCCTTCGGAATTCTTGTGTGGATTCCACTCGCATGATGGCAGCTTTCAGATCTCCAGCCGTGAGGATGCCGCCCATACTCCCCAGGTCCTCAAATAGACCATTTGCCTGGCTAGACCGTTCTTTCAGCTGTTCGGTTTGCCGGCGCATGAACTCGCGGCCATGGTCATCACAGCAGTATTTGCTCGGGGTCTTCCCTTTGGCACGGGCAGGTTGTCGGCACTCGAGCAAGCGGCACATTGGCTTCCAGGTTGTGCAACCCTTGCCCTTTTCTGAGCAGTTCGGGCCTATCGGTTTGGTTAGATCAGTCCACAACGAAACATTTCCAAGCAAACCTACAAATATACCGATCGATCAGGTCCGCGTCGCGAGGATCGATATTGACACATTTGCCATGATACCAATCGTCGCAGTCGGCGTCACATCCAATCATCCAAGTATGGTTATCAGGCCGGCGGCAGATACAGAAGACTGCGTTTTCATCGAAGCTGTCGGAGTCGTCGTTTTCCTGCGCTGTGGGCGCTCTGGGCCCTTTCTTCTTTTTCTTCTTTGGCGCGGGCTTTTTTTCTTCGGGCGCAGGTGACCCTGCTATTGAAACAGACTCCTGTTTCTTCCCTGGTGTTTTGCTGGTGCGGGAAATAGGTGTGTTGGAGCGGCGCCCATCAACGCTGTCTCCATCTGGGTCGTTGACCTTGCGCTTCTTGGGTGCAGGCTTCTTGGCGGGACCCTTTTTGGCCGCGGGTTTTTTATTTGCTGCCTTGACCGAGTTTGCTGGGGACGACCGGTCGGACGATGATGCTCTCGACGGCAATCCGTTTTTGAGGTTGGCAACTGTCCTCGAAGTAGGGTAGTCGTCCGCACCATCTGTGTTCCATGATTTTTCGTCATTGATGGGGAATCTGTCTAGTGTTGGTTCTGTTTTAACTGATGGGAGGGGTGTGTCTTGGTTTGCGACCAACGGGCTGCTTTTGCTGGAGTCGTAGGCACCATCGTACAGGTCTGTCCAAACCTTGCTCTTCTCAGAACTAGCCACGCCAGTTGGGGATGTGGGTTCTAGATTCCTGAAGAGTCGGTGGATCTTCTTAGCCCTGATGGTGCCAAAGTACCCGCATTGGCGCCAACCAGCAATCCCCACCACCCGGTCATCCTGAACGATAACGTTACTCGGAATCAAATTATTATGTGTTAGATGCAACTCGTCCTCGCCCTTGTCTGCAAACAGGATATCGAGTTCGCGGGTCTCGACGGAGGGTGGCGTGTGGGAATTGAGTTCGCGGGACACGTAGGAGGGTTCGCTGGGAGGGGGTCGATCGTTCCAATACACTGCAGGACCTGGCGACACTGGTTTTTCAATGCGTCAAGCTGCGCCGTGCTGAGGTATCTCCATGCGACTTCCAACGAGACACCTGCAATCCGGGACTCGATTGTCACATTTCTTCCTTCTATAGTTCCGCAAAAGTATATCACTGGCACTGCAACTCCAATCGCCCTGAGAGAGTCTTCTGCTTTTTGCGCCGCTAACAATTCGTTCGCATTCGCAAACGAGTATTTCTCGGCCGCCGCCCCTCCAGCCAATTCGCGGTCAACACGAATGATGATATTACCGGCTGCGAACACTTCCCTCGGTCCAGTGACATTGAGCGAGTGCTGCGGTGTGCAATACTGCTGGGCAACTTTCTCCCAATAAGTGTTGATGGCGGGATCACCTTGGTACCAGTGCATGAAGCGAGGGGCAAAATCGTCGGCGCGTGGTGCGTACCGACCATAGTGCGCGCTTTGAGCAAGAAAAGGGTCATCGGTAGGAATTTTGTCTGGATTTGTTTCGTAAGGATCGGTCGTGGGGTTTGTGGCCGCGGAGCCGTTCACGTGGTTTGCGCCGGCGGCCGCCTCCATCTCTGCCATGGCTGAAGTCGCGGAAGGAGCAGAATTGTACAGTGCACGAGTTCAAATCGAGGGTCCACCTTGGTTACCTGCGCGTGTGTAAGACAAAAAGCTCGTGGGAGCCTTTGGGATGTTCGGATCGTATACGAGCAAAGGGCGCGCGGGGAAAGCTAATTTGATAAAAGTTTCACCGAGACTGCGGGAAACACATTATGTGGATGGCATTGAGATGACACAGTGTTGGCGATTTTTCTTCGGAAATTCCCCGGCCAACGCGCGATCTGAGGTTAGAGGTGGGAACAGCGCGATGTGCTCGTGGTTAAGAGTGAAAACCCAGTGCTGGCGCGATTGCACTGATCAGAGATATAGATCTGGTCCAATCTCTCCACGTGGGGTTCTCGTCGGGGTATAACAATCAAAGAGTCTGAAAACTCCTCTTGAAGATGCAAATCTCCTAGTTTCGACCTGCAACATATCGGAGTTGCGGGCGGAGGTCGTAGGCGGTGGAGACCTGCAGATTCCTAAACATGCGACATTGAGATCCACCATCTGCGCTTGGTTCTTCATCTTTTCTTTCAAGTATAAGAATACAGGAATCTTCTTTGTGTGATACCAATCGACATCATTATTGGTGGCATTTGCCCGTATTGTCTCTATTGAAAGTGGATTATGAATATGTCTGGGCGAAGGCTTCGTTAACCCCTCGTTTGTTTAGATGCCCTTCTCTCGCGACCTACTTTTTCGAAAATCCACCGTCACAGATGATCTAAAGGGTGGATCCGGAACACATTACATGATAAAAGTGCTCTCTACATGATATCTGAAAGCCTTGAGCTCTGGACTGACTGGACTTGTTCGGAATTGATGACATGTGGGCTCGGGGTACCTTTGCATTGTAACAGCCTTGATTCAATTACATGTCATCTTGATTCTTCCAAGGTTTCTTTCCAAGACTGAGGCCACCCAACTTCCAGCTCACGTGCGCTCTCCTCTCTCCCGTCTGCTCAATAACAAGATATGCTGGTCTCATGCGCGGAACCCAGCACACTCGAAAGAAAAGGATGGCAGACATTAAGAAGACTAGTCTGCAGATCTCCACTTCCTTCTAATCTATTCTGGGCTTCTGAAAGTTTCAATGCCGCAGACAAACTCCAATGACAGTCCTAATTTCGGGCTGATCATTCCCTAAATTAGAAAGTGCATGTATATGCCCCAATCCCCGCACAATGCAACCTTGGTTCGAGCAAATGCAGCTACTATTTTACTTGAATCCTAAATATCTGGAATACAAAACGTGCTTCTCGGGATCAAGTTCCCTAGGTCTATCTTTACTACATTGCATTAAGATTTCAGTAGCCGTTGACGATCGGCAGGGCCCCATCCTGCTGGGTCAATCCTTCGAAGTCGGAGAATGAGTATATCCCGTGCAGTCCTAGCTCCCACATGGGTAAGAGTTGAGTACTTGAGGTTGAATCGACCCACGTGGACACCCCATAGTGGGACTGAAACTATGATTGGCGCGTACATTCTGCACTATGAATTTTGATGATCAATTGCCGGCCGTTTGGCTCTTGTCTATTCTATAAAAAAAGCAAAAGTTATCGGCACTGGCTCCCTTGTTGAGTAATGAAAGCTTCCATGCTATCCAACGTCTCTGTTCTCAGATTTCCAAGACATCAATATTTGCTGGGAGACTTGATGCAAATGGTAGATACCTTTGTTTCCATGTGAAACTTGAGCTACAGTGTAGCCCTATAATATATCTTCTTGCCCTAGCATTGTCATATCAGCTCAGGCATCGCCATCTTCCAGAGACCAATCTACCAGTACACAGCCAAAGAAAGGGAAGCATCTCCTCTAGCTAAAGCACAGTCGAGCAAAGCTTGGCTCTGATCCAGACAATTTGCCAATCGACAGAATGGCGGAAACGCGCGATATCCCGCTTCAGGCAAGTATATTTCTAAATGATGAAGGCCACATCTCAGACCCCGGGAACGGTGCGGAAGGATATTATTGGGTCACTGTGTTTCTTCCCGAGCGAATGTCCTGTCGTAGCCAAAGTGCCAATCAAGTAATGAGTCTCACAGTACGCGCGATCAGAGGTGGCAAAGCTACAATTGGCGATCGAGCATCACATAGTTTTGGGGGGGCAGATGTATCTCGCTGCCGGTTAAGGACATCCACCAGTTCGACAGGCGGAGGGTTCTCGATTCTGCCGCAGATATCGCGATGTGGTGGCTGTCGCAAATTCGAATTGATAGGGTCGATCTTGACCAATTCGGTGCTTTCAATGCTCGGGTAGCCTGCCCCGAACATATCAACAGCTTGTGGGATGTATCGCACGGACTATGCTCGATGTATATTTACTGCAGCAGTGAATTCTTATCTGATCCATCAATGGATGGATTTCACGTTATGTGACAAATCCTTACCGCGGGAGGCAAAAATAAACCTTGGAACCTTGGAAAGCGAAAGAAATTACTTAGACGAGAATTGATATTATACTAAACTGACAAAACCCGGGTAGGACCGATTTTTGTCTAATTTCTCATAATTTTTTGATCAATGTACGTTATACATCGCATGGAGTAAATTATCTCATTCCCTGTCATCCGACTAGTCCCCACATCGGGATCGGCAAATATCCAGGAACTATTTTGGGAGAACGGATATCCCGGAGACAGGATATAGGACTCCGTGAAGATATGACAATGATCGACCTAGATCATGCCCAAGAGGGTATGTCGCGGCGGGGGAGATTCAGTGGGGCGGAGCAATTGGACTCAAAGTTTCTTAGTTTCGATAGTGAGATTCCTTAATTGCTGTATACAATCTTGTATCTAGGTAGGTACCATGTGTCTTTCTAATATGCTTTTATTAAGGTGTTAGATGTTGATTAAGCCATGGATGTAACTAAATGTGACTAAAAGGTCACCTAGATATGTACACCCGAGATTATATTTACCTAGGTATAGCCTGACCAATACCTAACTATGTGGCTAGTTAATTAGATTGATATCCTACCACCATCCTAGACATTGTCAGCCCTAGCGTAATTTAGCCGAACTGAAGTTCAAAGTAGGTATAATAGACGAGAAAGACGATCAGCAAAGTTGCCCGATAGATAATAATAGTATACCGTTGTAGACCCCTGCAGGACCGCACGGTTACGATCGCTTATTTTTTTCAGCCCCCGCAAATCACATAACCCTATAGTATCGTACAACGTAGGTCGTGATCAAGTTGTCTCCTTGCATATGAGAAGAAAGAAGCAAAAGATGATCTTATCAGCTGAAAATGCCAAGAAAAAAAGAGAAACAAGAACACCATCGGAATCCGCCCGAGGACCTAAAGACCCTAAGTTAATTCAATTCATAATAAATAATAACAAAGATAGGCAAGTGCACGTTTCAAGTTCGCGTTAAAGTGTATGTCACTTTGTACAGCGCAGAACTGATAAAGTTCTCTATAATGTGAAAATTGATCGATTCTAGTCCAATAAAGATGAGAGATGAGGTCGCATTTCGTCATTTTCTCCCTATACATATAGGGGCACGTTCAGCGTTTCAGCTCGGTCAATCCATACAAATGATTACTCAAGCATTGGGGCGTGTTCTTATCCAAGTTTTGGCCCCCAAATCCCGATTTCTTACCTAGGTACATGATTATATTGTATGTAAACGGTCGACTATTGAGACCTGCATCCGATTTGCAATTTCTGACTCGTTCGTTTATAATCCACAACGTGTCGACCAGATTGCTGGAGACGCTATTCCACTTTAGTTTAGGTTGACAAAAATTAGGAAGAGAGTGGAGAGAATCGATTTGCCTTTCTGCTTATTTCTATACTCTTATATATTTTAAAAGGATTCTCAAAAAAAAAACAACGTGGTTGATTTAACTACTTTCCTATTGCTATATTTTCTCCTATGTAGTGGTTGAGGTCATTCTTTTTGGATTGTCCCCTTACCCCAAACCTTTTTACCCCCTACACAATCAATCACATACAAATTGGTCTTATTCTCATTCCCATTCTCATTCTCATTCTCAGGCTTCCAACTCCACTGGAGTGTCCGGGAAAAATGCCAAATCCTTCCGATGATGCGAGTTCCAGCACCGACGCACCGACTGTTCGGTGGCAGTTTATCGATTCTTCAAACAATAGTCGGACCAACTTGACACAAGTCAAGCGCCATGTTATGCAAGAGTATATGCGTCAGAAGAAAGGCACTCACCAAAGTGAAAGTGAAGAAGAGCGCCCGCAAGCAAAACGCGGGAGACCCAGGAAGCCTCGCGCAAAACGAACAGTGGGAAAGAAGTCGAGATCGGATAGCGACAGTAATGACAATCGCAATCCAACCCGGAAGAAAAATCCCGCCAAGAAAACGTCACATCTTCAAGAGGATGATTCTAACGTTGCAGAGATTCGCCGCGATATGCCTGCAGATTTCACATCCAACCCCCGATTTCATGGATCCGACGATGTGGCAGTATTTCTGCCTTTCCGGCCATCACCCACCCAATCGGACCTGGGCTTCTTCTCCGACTCATACGTCGCCGGATCTTCATATAGTTCCCAGAGTCATTCTCTGGATTTTAACAGTTTTTCGTGGTCATCAGCACCTACGACACCAAACCAGCTCATGCATTCACCAAGAACCATCATGAGTGCTGCCCGGACTGACCCATTTAACACACTGCCCATCGAGCTGGATCTGGATGGGCAAAGACTATTCGACTTCTACGTGAATACTATGCCAGCTTGCTCCTACGGATCCCATTTTCGGTCGGCCAAGGCCCACAATTGGTATACTGCTGTTTTTGTACCAGAAGCAATGAAGGGCGCTGTTGCTTTTCAAAACACTATTCTCGTCCATGCATCCAATACATGGTCTTGGGTGCGCAACGAGGGCCAGACCTCCAATACACTGCTGCATCGAGACCGTGCGGTCTCGATGCTACGAGAACACCTTTCTACAAACCCCCACGATATCTCCGATGTCGCGATCATCTCATGTCTCAGCGCTGCAGCTCTAGAGGACTTTGATCCGCGACCAGGACGGAAAGAAATCAGCTGGATACATATGCGAGCTGCACGCGAGATGATCCGAGCGCGCGGCGGCCCTGCTGCATTTGCGTATACCCGTCTCGGCATGCTGATCAACTGGCAAGACTATATCCTGTCTGGATACGAGACTCATGGACCAAGTTTCTCCTACGAGTGCGAACAGTCTCCGACAGTGACACACGGGACTGCAGCATACCAACCCAGTCATCCCCACTCAATGCCCTCACCACCATACTCCGACTCCTCTACCCTCTCCGAAATATCCCCCTGCCTAGAAACAAGAACAAGTCCAATCCCAGGCTCGATATCGCCAATAGACGAGATCAAGCTCCAATGCGAAGAATTCCTCGATCTGCTTCGCCGCTGCGAGCAAGTCGCCCTATACCAGCGCGACAGCCCCGACTCATGCCATCCCCGCCGACAAGCCGCAGTCCACCATACATCCCTCCTCTACCAAGTCCTCGCGGCACCCCCAGGCGCCCGCTTCTCTACGTCAGGCAACCGCAAACAGATGGTCGCCCGCCTAGCAGCCCTGATCATCCTCAATGCCGCCATGTGGGACTACCGGTACACCCCGACGCGCGCAGCACTATTCCTGCACACACTCGAGAAAGCCATGATCAACAGCGAGGTTGGGATGAGCGGCTCCATTGAAGCGATTCTTCAGATTCTCCTGGAATGCAACGACGGCAGTCTGGACGACTGCTCCCTCGGGCCGGATGGCATGTCCACGGGTTTGCTAGAGGATGCCCCTGACTACTCGCAGTACTCAGCGAGTGCGCCGTCGCCTGCTGCGCGGCCGTGGTTTGCTGGCCGGATGCTGAAGATTGCGAAGAGATTAAGCTCGGCGTCTTGGTACCGGGTTAGTGAGTTTTTGTTTTCGTGCTTGGCTCTGCAGGTGCAGGATTTAGGTATGGCGTTCTGGGAAGCGGATCTTCGGAAGGAGATTTTGGATGCGCCCTTGACGAGTTACCATATGCGTTCGTTGATTGGGTGATTGCTTTTATTGTTTGGGAATCTCATCTCCGTTCTCTGTAAATATAGATTCTGCATGATTGAGCGTTTAAAGAGTTTATGTGAAAGGATATCAATGAAAACGACTGATCTTTACTAATGTTATTCTCGGGACTATATACTTAAGTACCCTACTGTATAACGTCTTTCAAAGTCTCGCCGATAGAATCAGCCCCGCCGCCGCCACCGAGCAGCTTCTCGTTGGTTGCTTGAATGATAACGCGCCGGTAAGTAATCAGCGCAGGAGATCCGTTGTCCTTGACTTCCAAAATTAGGTGCAGCAGCTGCCCCCTTTGCATCGCCTTGCGGCTAATCAGCTCAACACAGCACTTCTCAGGCGGAGGCATCGTGATCTCAACAACACTACCAGCCTCATTGAGGGCCTTGATGCCCAACTCACCAACCTCGTAGTGAACAGACGACTGTGTGGCACTAGGGTCCTTATATTGGTACCACTTGAAGGCCAGAGAATCGTTAGGATCCGGATCATACGACGCCGAAGCATCCAGCGTAACCGTCGAACCAGCCTCCAGCTCAAGCACCAGCGGCGCAGGACCCCTAGTCCCATTCACCACAGCAACAGGATGGTGATTCGCGCTCCCCACATCCCCCGAAAGCGACCACTGCATCCTTGCCGCAAAATCCATCTGGAAAGCCTCGCGCCAGCGCCAAATAGTCGCCTGGTTAGACTTATACCCGCGGCCATCAAGCCCCTCCACCTCATCAGGCGTATCACTAAAATGCCCACCACGCCCATCTCCATCCCCAAACCGCCCACTAACATCCGTGGGAATATACCGGCCACCCCAAGATCCAAACTCCGGCCGTTCGGCCACCCCCAGCCCATTCTGCACCAGATACAGAAACGACGGCGTGTCGCCCTCAGGAATAAACATGAAATCGGGATACGTGCCGCCGAGCGGACCGATCTGGATATTCGCGCGGATCCACTCCCTGCTGATCGTCGCGGGGTCCGGCCCGCCCTTGTCAAACCCGTACCAGGCGTCGCCGGAGATGCCCGTCCACGCCGCCATCCCGTACTGGTTCCAGCCGTGTACGGAACAGATGTAGAATAGGTCCGGGTAGGTGGTGCGCAACCACAGGCCGCTGTCGTCTTGGTCGGAGATGGTGTAGATGCGTAGGTTGGCGCGCAGCGCTGCGAAAGCGGCAGGGGAGTGCGTTGTTTGGAGTTTTAGCAGAGCAGAGGCGAGCACGTTCGTGCCGCCCCAGCAAAGGATCCAGAGTGGGGAGGTGGATGGTGCTTGGATGCGCTGTAGGAGGTGCTCAGCGCCCTCGCTGAGGGGGATATCGGCGCCGACGGCGGTCATGCCGTATGTCTGTAAATGTTAGGGCTGATCGGTTGGGATTCATGCTTGGGACGTTTACCTCTGCACCTTTCTTGATTTGGGATCTTAGGTATTCGGCTGTTGGGTATGGATCGTCTGGGTGGGCATGGGCATTGAGGTTGTCGACAACTTTTTCATACCCGTCTACGATCTTGTGCATGTCCTGCGGACAGACCTTGTTCTTCATCCAGGTTGAAGTGCAGGCGACCAGCCCCTCTGTGTGGAATTGGTTGGAATATAGTAGATAGCGGACGAGCGACTCCGCATCATCCGGTTCATTGGAGATGTCACTTAAGATAAACACGCGCGGCTTAGAAGGAAAGGATTGAAGTTGATCTTGCGAGGCCATAATGGATAGTGAATATGCCGAGAATAAGTGAAACAGTTGGCCATTGAACAGTATATTTAAAAGGCACAGCTTGGGTCCTCGTCACGAGAACTCGCCAGGAATCGTAACTTGAGCCACTTTGGCCTAGATTGGTGTGGTCAACTGCCGAAGTTCAGCCGACGCAAAAATAGCAGTTGTAACCGCCATCGTCATTACCCGTCCCCACAAAGCTTGGATTCTACTTTGATCGAGGGGAAAGACCGGGAAAAGACATGCGAAGTTATTAGTCTCAGTTCCCGGAATCGGACCATGTCGTGCGGGGCCCCATGTTTACCCCGGAACTGACGGCTTCCTGTTGCTACTATGCACAACGCACGCATATAAGGCCATTATGCCGGGTATAATTCGATCAATCAGTCCGCACTGTTTGTACGTTAGACTCTACCTTTTCAATTTTCCAGAATGTCCGCCATCAAACAGTCCGCGCTTTACCAAGAGCTGAGTCCCCGCCTGCTCTTCATCGGGTGCTTCGTCTCCCTGGGAGCTATGGGCTTCGGATTTGACAACTCTTGGTGGGGAGGCGCTCTTGGATTAACGCCTTTTGCCCAGAAGTATGGTTCCTGGGATCCATCCACCAATGCTTGGAGTATACCGTCTGAGAAACAGTCTGCTGGCACGGGCACTGGCTCCGCTGGTATCATTTTTGGTTGTTTGGCTTCGCCGTGGTTGTGCTCCCGCCTTGGTCGTAAGCCCACGCTGATGGTTATGGCGGCTGTGTTGTCTCTAGGAATCGTTCTGGAAGCCTCTGCCGTGACTTCGTTCTGGCAGTTGGTTGTTGGTCGCATCGTTGTTTACTCCGGTATTGGTATTGCATCTAATGTGGTACCGATGTATCAATCTGAATGTGCACCGGCCAAAATTAGAGGTTTGTCATTTAAGAAGGGGTCGAAGAAACTGTTCTGACAAGATCTATGCAGGTGCTTTTTTGACTGCGTATTCATTCTGGAACACCTTTGGTGGATTCCTGGCTACACTGGTCGTCTACTTGTGTCAAAGTATGAAGACTGAGTGGGCATATCTGTATGTATAGATTTCAAGTATCTACCTATGTAGGTACTACTTGTCGGTTACTGACGCCGCTCAGAACAGTGATTCTATGCCAGCTTACAGTTCCCGTTGGGATTATTCTCTCATATCCCTTTCTTCCCGAAACACCTCGGTACCTAGTCTACAGCGGACGCTACGAAGAAGCCGAAGTAGCGATCAAAGATCTGTATGGCGCTCACTATAACGCCGCTGAGGAAGTCCAACTGCTACGCCTACAAGTCGAGGAACAGCGCGAGCTCCATCGCGCAACCAGCATCATGGATTGTTTTCGAGGCACAAATCTGCGGCGGACAATCGTCGCTATAGGCGTGCAGGTTCTACAACAAGCCCAGGGTGTCTCATTCATCAACAACTTTATTGTCACTTTCATGAAACAGCTTGGCTTCGCTGATCCGCTCAAATACAACATCATTGTACTTGCATGTGGTCTGGTCGCTAACGTCTTCTCTTTCTTTACATTTGATAAGATCGGCCGACGGAGCAGCATGTTTACTGGCGCATTCTTTATGGCAGCGATGATGATCGGTGTTGGCGGCACCACAGCTAATGGTTATAAGACACTTTCGCCAATGACACAGAACGGATGTGTCGCAATGTTGGTCCTGTGGTATGTCATCTATGCTCTGTCCTGGGGCCCTGGCGTGTGGATCTTAGGCGGAGAGATTGGAACCGGTCAGTTGCGCGAGAGGACTCTGCTCTTGTCATCTCTTGGCAGTTTCGTGACCTCTGTCCCGATCAATTTCGTCAACCCGTATGTTCAAGCCGAGATTGGTGGCCGGACGGCAATTATCTACGGTAGTTTTTCCGTCGCTGCTATGGTGTTTGTTTATTTCTGGCTACCGGAAACTAGAGATCGATCGCTGGAAGAGCTTGATGAGATGTTCCAGCAGAAGGTCCCGACTGCCCAGTTTAAGGACTATGTATGCACTGGTATTGGGGCACAGATCAGGCAGCTGGAGAACAGAGAGGGCGAGGAGGACTTAAAGACTCGGCAGATTGAACATGTTGAGGCTGCTATATAGCATTCTTCGGTGCGAAAATTTGTTAGCAATAGACCCTTTATGCTAGAATGAGGCTTCATAATCCGAAGTATCAGCTTCTATTTCATATCTAATCTTTGCTTTTATGGGAAATAGAATAGATCAATTCTTCGTATGCAGATTGGCCATATGGCCGATCCCACTGTTCCATGTATTCAATATCCCCAATGCCCACGTCCCCCATGAAATGAAGATATTTCCGCAGAAGACAGCCTGTCCATTTGGCAACTGCACCTAATTTCTCCTATTTCTCATCGAACCATCTGAGAAGTCTCTTCTTACCAGCGGGCAGTGCGGTCGACCGCATCTCCCCATCAGCACCGGTGCCCTGAGGCGTAGGCCGAGAATTGAGAGTGTCACCACTTGGCAGACTGGCCAATTCGAGGGCATGCGTCAAAATGTGGGGCAAGAGTTCGCTCTGGTTTGTCTTCTCAGTTTCCCACGCGGTTTGGATCTCCGAGCGGAGCGACTGATACCGCATTCCAGTTTTGGGATATGCCTGAGTATATGCTTGATTCGGAGGGCAGCCTCGGTGCTTGTGTGCACGCGGAACATCTCGAGGTCTTTGCTAACGTCGGACAGCTAAATCATCTCTTTTTTGCCCTATATCGATTGATATTTCTGCTAACCTCCTCCCCCCCTTGGCCTCTCACCACACAGCATACATTTGTTTTTCCACAACAGAAGAGACCATACAGAGCCAGAAGAAGCCTAGAAAGACCCAGAACGTCGTTAAACTCTTGATTAAGATCTTCCAAGGGAAAATCTACGAGTCGTTGATGTTAGGGCCCACGTCCGAAATAGGAAATTATAACCACTACAGGCAGTCAGAACCGCCAGCTTCTCAACAGAAATATCAGATGAAAAGATATTTAAATTACCTTTAAAGGTACATTTAGAAAGCATTTCAGATATTCACCCTTGACAAAAATGGCTAAGTCAACTATCACTCTCGCTTCTGGCAAAGAAATGCCTCTTGTGGGCTTCGGTCTATGGAAGGTTCCCAAAGAGACAGCCGCAGATACCGTTTATAATGTAACTACAAACTTCCACCATTACATACTAAGACTTACATCCCACAGGCCATCAAAGCCGGCTACAGACTATTCGACGGAGCATACGACTACCAAAACGAAAAAGAAGCAGGCGAAGGCATTCAGCGCGCCATCACCAATGGTCTCGTAACCCGCTCCGAGATCTTCATCACAACAAAGCTATGGAACAATTACCACCGGCGCGAGCACGCCATCGAAATGGCAAAGCGCCAAAGCGACGCCTGGGGCTTGGGCTACATCGACCTATTCCTAATGCACTTCCCCTGCGCGCTGAAGTACATCGACCCCGCCACCAGACAGTACCCGGTAAGTGCACTGCACAAACAGCACGACACAAGCTAACAGAGCAGGCCTGGTGGATAGACGACAGCGGCACCGTCGCCCCGGACAATGTTCCGATCCGCGAGACCTGGGAGGCGATGGAGTCGCTCGTCGACGACGGCATCGCGTGCAGCATCGGCGTAAGCAACTTCCAGGCGCAGAGCCTGTATGACATCAAGACGTATGCGCGCCACCCACTGTCTGCGCTACAGATCGAGCACCATCCCTACCTTGCGCAGCCGGAGCTTGTCCAGATGGCGCAGGAGAACGGCATTGCTGTCACTGCTTACTCGAGCTTTGGGCCGCAGTCTTTCGTGGAGCTGCCGCCTGCGTTTTCGAAGAGAGCGCGCGGTATCCCGCTGCTTTTTGATGCGGAGCCGGTCAGGGCTGTTGCAGGGAAGTATGGGGTTTCTCCTGCGAGGGTCTTGTTGCGGTGGGCGACTCAGAGGTTAGTGTTGTGGGGTTCGGATCATTTTGTGTTGAGGCTGACGGTTTTTAGGAATATTGCTGTCATTCCCAAGTCAAACAATCAGACTCGGCTTGCGGAGAATTTGGATGTTTTGGGCTTTGACTTGACGACTGAGGAGATTGAGGCTATCACGGCTTTGGATCGTGGTTTGCGGTTCAATGATCCTGGATTTTACCTGCCTGACTATCCACTTCGCATTTTTGCCTAGATATTGTATGCCGAGATAGAGACTGAATAAAACAATAGAAATTCTGGATTTGGGTTATAGTTATTTTATACCGCCACAATTGTTGTCGCCTAACTATTTTTTGGAATCCCTGTGTGCTTGGGTGATCATGTCCCCGCAACGCTAATGGTTCGGCCCCATAGTGGTTTTGCCAATGCAGTCCAGTATCAAGCACTTAGACCGAGAGTAGTTCTAGCAGACATCGCTGCATGGAATCAAGCAAAAAAGCCACTGGTTCTTCTGACAGGCAAACTTGGTGGCAGGTGGAATCTCGGGATGTTCCGTCGGTAATTGAAGATCTAGTGCCGTGCCACTATTCCAGGATAGGCATGTGGGCGTGTGGGCAAGTGGGCATGTGGGTTGGTATCAGACATCACCGATCTTGGCGAGAGTGTCCCCGACTTTATTGCATTGTATAATTTACAATGGACATTTCCAGGTTGCTGCAAATCAAGCAAATTGAATTCGAAGACGTTTCAAAGGGTCATGCAAAGTTGATGCGACGGTCCGGTCCTACCATGTTATAGACTGGAGAAGGGCAAAGTTTATTGAATATCCCTCAATGTATGCGGATGTGACAGAGACGATTACTTTGCGTACAATGCGGGAAATGCACAATCGTAACCGCTGTATGCGACCAACGTTAGAATTACCATTTTCTCAATATTATAGTCGAAAGTAGACACCGGGGAGAACAGGAACCATAGGGTCCGTGCGCGAGAAGTGCCCTGGATCATGCAAACTCAGTACATAACGGCTGTCCATGGGTTTCCAAGGTACCACTGCCTGAGCCTATATCGGCGACAGAGTAATCCTTTAGGGGGCACACTGATTAATTTTGTTACAAACAGAGCAAACCAGGGATAAAAGGCCTGAGGCCTGAGGCCAAAAGATCAAAGTGTTGGGAAATCCAGTTTTCACATGCAAATCGTGGGGCGGATTTGCATGTGATAGCTCATATTTGTTGGGGCCAATATAACCTCACTGATTACCACATTTTATATATGTAGTTTAGAAAAATATAGAGGAAAAATCAAGAGAATTTCGTGAAGTCATGAGTAAAAGAGGACAAATGTGAAGAAAAGAAAAGGATTAGAAAATCTACACTAAAAATGGCATAATACCCATGCAAACCTACATACATATGCCGGGGAAAACCGCGGGGGCGATAAGACACCGTTCCCGGAGATTAGGAAACCCTGGAAATTTCCCCGTCGACACCGTGTCTTGTTACTTGACTCGTACTAGGTAACATGAAGTTTAGTCTTCCTCGAACTTCTTGGAAGACTCAACATTTATCCGGGACCCATAGCTTGGATTTCTCTGGTCTTTTCAGTATTTTAGTATTTTAGCATTTTACATTCCTGCACTGTTGTCATTATTGTTTAAAGTGTCGTGATCCTAATGACCTCCTCACAATAAATCATACCTTTTTTCTTTTATCTGTATTGGAAGAGCGATATCGTCTCCTCGTCTCCCTCCAAAATGGCCATTCTCGATATCACCAAAGACCTACCTACACTCTTTAGGCAACAGGTACAGGCAACACCAAACGCCGTGGCGTTGGAAGATGAGACCACATCCTATACATATACCCAGCTCGACCAGGAGGTGGAGGCCCTTGCCACTCGTCTTCGGACCTATGGGGTCAGCCGTGACACCCTCGTGGGTGTGCTCCTGCCGCGGAGTGCACATTACGTGATTGCCTGTTTGGCGGCCCTTCGCGCGGGTGGTGCGTTCCTAGTACTGGAGTTGGCTTACCCCGCAGACCTCTTGGCGGATGTCATCGAAGACGCTAAACCTGCTGTTATTATCACTCACAAGTCAGAAAGCGAAAAGATCAAAGCCCCTCTTCCATTGATCAACCTCGATGAGCCAATTGCCGAAACGAACGGACACGCCAAGGAACCTTCTCCATTGCCGGAAAATGACGATCTAGACCGCCTGGCGTTTGTCTCTTATTCTTCAGGAACCACAGGCAAGCCGAAAGGCATCGCCAATCCTCACCGGGCTCCGGTACTGTCATACGATCTGAGGTTTGCCGTGCAGGATGTACAACCGGGAGATCGGGTGGCCTGCAATGTATTCTTCATCTGGGAGATGCTACGACCACTCCTGCGCGGAGCCACAGTCGTTATTGTGCCCGATGAGACGAGTTACGATCCCGCGGCTCTGGTCGACTTGCTCGCGGCCAAGAAGGTCACCGAAACACTCATGACACCCACCCTCCTCGCTACTGTCCTTTCCCGCTATCCCCGTTTCGGTACACGTGTTCCTGATTTGCGAATCGTTTGGTTGAATGGCGAAGTCGTCACCACCGATTTGGCTCGCAAAGCGAGCAAAATCCTCCCCAATGCTCGCTTGCTTAACTGCTACAGTGCATGTGAGACACATGAAATTGCCTGCGGGGATATCCGCGAGATGATAGATGATGAATCTCTCTACTGCCCCGTGGGCCCACCTCTGGACCCTACACATACCTACGTTCTGAACGAGAGTGGACAGGAAGTGGAGGCGGGAACATCAGGAGAGCTCTTCATCGGCGGTCCCCTGTTGGCTAGAGAATACATCAACCTCCCCGAAACAACTGCCAAGGCTTTCACTCCCGACACCTTTGATTCTACACCCGGTGCTCGTATGTATCGGACCGGAGATCTGGCACGCAAGCTGCCGTCAGGACTCCTCGAAATTACCGGCCGTGTCGGCGCAATGATCAAACTGCGCGGCTATTCCGTCGTACCGGCAAAGGTTGAGAGTGAAATCTGCCAATATTTGGCCGTCAGTCAGTGCGCTGTTACCGCATATGGTGAGGGCTTGGACCGACAATTGGTTGCGTACATTGTCCCCGATAAGGAGGCCTCATCTGACCGACCCTCTGTTGCAATCAACGAGTCTGGCCACAGTCCTTCGGCGCGTCGCGCCCTCGAAAATAGACTTGCGCAGTACATGATTCCCGCTCTTTGGGTTGCGCTGGAGGAGCTGCCCACCAATGAAGTATCTGGTAAGGTTGATATGAAGAGCCTTCCTTCGCCTCGCAGCTCTAGTCCCAATGGTAGTGAACAAAGTGCCGGCAAGGACCCGATCGGTATCAACGACATCGCGGCAATCTGGGAGGCTGTTCTCAAGGTTTCAAAGAGTTTGTTGAAACCTGAGGATAACTTCTTTGACCTGGGTGGTCATTCGTTGTCCCTGGCAGACCTTTCATCAAAGCTTTCTAGACGTTTTGGGTTCCGGGTTCCAATTCCCCGTCTCGCGGAGAATACTACTCTGACTGGTCACTTGGAGACTGTTCGTGCTGTCAGAGATGGCCACACCGAAGAAGTACAAGCAAATCTGCCGGCAGTCTTGCTTTCCGATGCGACGCTGGACGATGATATCAAGCCTACAAAAACCGCGATCACTTCGGTCACTTCAGCGGACACCGTGCTTCTTACTGGTGTGACTGGATTCTTGGGTGCTTTCCTGTTGAATGATCTGATTGAGAACACTTCAGCCAAGATTATTTGTCTTGTGCGCTTCAGTGATCCCGAGCAGGATGATCAAGCTGGAGGTGTGGCTAGGATCCGCAGGAACCTTCTCGACATGGGACTCTGGCGCGATTCGATCCTTGAGCGCGTTGAAGTTCTCCCTGGAAACCTTTCTCGTCCTCGATTGGGTCTGAGCCCGGAAGAGTTCGACAATATTGCGTCTCGTGTTCAAGTCATTGTACACGCTGCCGCCACCGTCAATCTTGTCTACCCCTACGCCGCGCTCCGAGGTGCAAATGTTGGTGGAACCAGGGAGATTCTTCGATTGGCCGCCAAGGGCGGCGCGACTGTGCAGTATGTCTCTACCAACGGTGTCTTGCCACCATCAGGCGAGAACGGTTGGCCCGAAACTACCGTGCTGGACGTGAGCGATGTCCCAACAAAGCTGCTCGATGGCTATGGTCAGACCAAATGGGTTGCAGAGCAGCTTGTTCTCAAGGCCGGTGAGCGCGGGTTGCCGGTCAAGATTCACCGATGTGGTACCATTAGTGGTCACAGTGTGACAGGCTCTGCTAACGCGTGGGATTTGCTGACTGCGCTGATTGTCGAATCGATCCAGCTCGGGTACGCCCCAGACGTGGAAGGATGGCGCGCGGAGATGACCCCTGTGAACTTTGTCAGCAAAGCAATTATTCACCTTGCTACTCAAACACAAGCAGACCAAAGCGTGTTCCATCTCGGCGATCCCAAGCCGGTGGATACTCGATCGGTCTTTGAGGATCTTAAGGAGCTTGGGTACCAGACGAAGCCTCTTCCATGGGATGAGTGGGTTGCCCTGTGGTTCGAGAAGAGAGGCTCTGCCAAGGGTGGAGACGGTTCGTTCACCGTCGACATTCTTCGCAGCGGCATGCCGACCGTGGAGTTCCTTCGCGACATTGTGGTCCTCGACAACGCCCTGACTCGGCCCTTCCGAGCTGTGATTGAGCGACCCAAGGTGGACAGCCTTTTGTTGGAAACCTACACTCGGCATTGGTTTGCCCGAGGATGGCTCCCCAGGCCCCCTTCCCGTCAGAATGCCCTCAACCGCCCCACTGAACCAGCCGTGAAAGGCCCACTCAGCGGCCAAGTGGCAGTGGTTACTGGTGCATCCTCCGGCATTGGTGCGGCGGTAGCAGTCGCTCTAGCGAAGCAGGGCTGTGCTGTCGCCCTTGCCGCTCGCCGACTCGATGCCCTTGAGGGTACCAAGCGCAAGGTCGAGGCCCACGGCGTCAAGTGCATCCTGCGATCCACCGACGTCACCAGCAAGGCCCAGGTCGATGCCCTCGCTCAGGCAGCGAGCGAGGAGCTGGGTCCAGTGGACATCCTGGTCGCCTGTGCTGGTGTCATGTACTTCACCATGATGGCAAACACCCAGATGGACGAGTGGGAGCGCACCGTCGATGTCAACTGCAAGGGTCTCCTGCATGCCCTCTCTTCCACCGTGCCCGGTATGCTCTCCCGCGGCCGGGGCCACGTTGTCGCCATTTCCTCCGACGCCGGACGCAAGGTCTTCCCAGGCCTGGGCGTGTACTCGGCCAGCAAGTTCTTCGTCGAGGCCACGCTCCAAGCCCTCCGCCTCGAAACCGCGGGCGCCGGCCTGCGCGTGACGAGCATTCAGCCCGGCAACACATCCACAGACCTGCTGGGCATGTCAACTGACGCGGAAGCCGTCAAGAAGTTCGGAGAGCCGTCTGGAGCAAAGATTCTCGATCCCTCCGATGTTGCCAACTCCATTGTTTACGCCCTGACTCAACCGGAACACGTCTCGGTCAACGAGATCCTGGTTGAGCCTCGCGATGAGCCCATTTGAGCGTTGCTTAAGCTTTTCCGGGGGCTGTACCATCTGCTGTCAATAAAGTTGCTCGCTAGCTGTGATTATGTTGATTTGATCCAGAGAAAACGCATGGCCACATAGAGATAAGGCTAAAGAAGATAGATTGTATAGTATAATATTTTTTCTACACTCGCCTTGCCCATGCACCTGGAACTGATCCCACAGAACCCGTAGTACGGAATCGGGCCTAGAGACAGCTATCATCTTATGTTGAGCTGATTTATCAAGCATCCTTAAGCCACGTACAAAAATTTATTGGATATACCAGTATAGTAATTAAGGATCTATAACTATATCATGTAAAAATCCAGAAGTTTTATATATACAAAACCAGGCCTGGAATCAAGAGTTAATTATTCTCCCACAATTTCCATTGGAAACCTGGACCGCAGTCACCGAATCCGTGAGTGTCAGCTTTCCATAAGTAGAAGAAGCACACACGGTAGTGCTAGCCAAATAGCAGTAATTAACGCCAGATGCAATGTGGACGAAGTACGACATAGCGCATTTAGAGCTTGCCTGACAACTGGCACAGCAGTCATACGCAGACGCAGTATTCCCGACGCTCAGTGAGTAGCCCGGGATGTTGCTGAACGTGAGCGAGTACACGTATTTACCTGCCAGCGACCCGAAGTCCGAGGAGAGAGGAGCACCGGCGATGTTGTTGGTTGCACACGCCGCGTACGCGGAGGTCGTGGTTACTGCGCCGAGAACGGTGGCCGTGGATGTGACTGTGGTTGTCTCGATGGCGGCGACGCTGGTCTCGGTGATGGTGGAGGTGGTGCTGTAGCTTAGGGTTGTTGAGACATCAGATGGGAGGACGATTGAGTTACTGGTGATGGTGTTTGTCACGGTCACGGTTGTCGTCGAGGCAGGGGCGGTGGTAGTGATGGGGTTTTCGGTGATTGTAGAGATGGTTGTGGCTTTGATGATGTTTCGCTCGTGGCACACAACCTTTTGGGGATATTTGAGATCATCCAGGTAAGGTGCACAATTATCGTCTTCCTCCTCCAGCAGGGAGCGCTTGTATACTGTCGGAGAGGGAGGAAGGGTGTCCGCGATTGGAGTGAAACCTAGGGAAGTGGCAATGGTAGAAGTGCTGGTTGAGGTGGTTGAGAGGGTGGTGAAGATGGTTGCGGTGACGGGGGAGGGAGTGAGAGTCACTGTTGCGGTGTCAATCTCAGTTGAGGTGGTCGAGAAGGTATCGGTGATAGTGGTAGCAGTAGAGATGATAGTAGTCGTCTCATAGTCCGTCACTGTGTCTGTTGAGACAGCAGGAGTGACGGTGACGGTATCTTGGGTCGTTGTCAAGACAACAACAGGAGTCGGGTCATGGATGGTGCGAGTGATAGTCGTGGTCGGCACAGACTTCACCGACTTGGTTCCCAACACCGTGTTGCAAGTTGCAATAGATACATGGGCCTGACTGCTAACAGGCGGGGAGCTTGCTGCGGGAGTGGTAGCAGAGACCCGACTGAGCAGTAGGCCTGCAACGAGGGCAAACCGGTGAATAGACATTTTTTTCCAATAATAGGAGAATACGGATAATGTTGAGTTGGAGTGCCCTCTCCCTAAATACTCCTTTATGTTGTGTTGGTTGGAGCTTCGGCCGGCTATTTTCACCGTTGTGTGCCATGACAGACGAATCTAGGACAAAGCCACGATACGGTGACCCAGGAGGCGTTAATGGCGTCAATAGTTTATTTGCAAGTCAGGCACAAAATCAGGAAATGGGGATTTTGATCCACTTAGGCTTATGTTTCGCTTTCAATCTTGTCGGCGTCTCCGTACCCTAACTTCGGAAACCCTAAGCGATGATGTATATACAGGGCCTTACACCTTCGCTGGCTCTATCTGCAAGTATTACATTCTTTCTCAATTCAATCCAACATTCAGCCATTCTTTTCTGTTTGTTGTTTGATTGCCACTCATTTTTCAATTCGTTATTCTTGCCCTTGCAGATAATCATTCCATTCTTTCGATTACTGCCAGTATGGGTAACCTCCTGGTTCAAGGATGGCTTCTTGCTGCTATCTTTATACAGAATGGTATTGCCGCAACAGTTCCTATTGAGCCATCCGTGGCCCTCACGCCCGTTGTGACTGCTACACCTAGCCCCATAGCGGACAACCACCACGTCCACCACCACATCCACCACCATTGGACTCACATCCCAAGGCCATTGCCTAGTCGCGGTCCTTGTCGCCCTGTTTCTTCGTCGGCTGTTTCATCTTCCAGTGCCGTTCCTTCATCATCGGTTGCTTTGGTCTCCAGTGTCATTGTCTCTTCATCTCCTGTTTCAACTCCTCATTCGAGACCAGTCCATAGCCATTCGCACCGGCCGCACTGGAGCTATACTATTAAGCCTTTGCCACACAGCAGCTCAATTTTGGCTTCGTCCTCTGTAGCTGCTCAGGCTTCCCCAGTCGTTGTTTCTACACCCGCTGTCGAGCCCTCCACTACCCCTGTTGCATTCAGTACTCTGCAACCCACAGGCTCCATCCCCAAAGGGACCCCCACTGGGCTTGTCTCAACAGCTTCTTCTGACCACACCTCTGCTGATGCAGCTTCTACCTCTGCACCTTTTGCATCCGGCGAACTTCAGTCGAACATTCCCTCTGGATCTTCCGCAGCGTCTTCACCCCTTGGAGGAATTCAGACAAACGTTCCCTCTGGGTCTTCCACCTTGCAGTTGACCACATCGACGGTTCTTTCTACCCGCACAGCTACAATCACTGCCTGTCCTACTACAGTCCCCAACTGCCCTGCCAACTCCAAGACAACCTTTGTTACTACGGAAACCATCGTAGTTTCCACCACCATCTGCCCTGTCACCGAGGCTGCCGGTGCTACCCAAACATCACCTGCCTCTCCATCTGCAACTGGAAATGCAGGTGGCTATGGCAATGGCAACGATGGCTCTGATTTCACGACGTCTACTGTCTACAGCACTCGGACTGCCACCATCACCGCCTGCCCTTCCTCGGTGACAAACTGCCCTCTGAGATCCAAGACCACCTATTTGACCACCGAAACCCTAGTCGTCTCCACCACTATCTGCCCCGTCTCAGAAGCTACTGGTACTAGTAGTGCCATTGCCACCAACCCCGCAGGTTCCGCTGCTACTACTGAAGCAGCCCAACAGGGCGACAATGGAGGTTCAGAGCTCACCACATCCACCATCTTTGCCACGCACACAGCTACCGTCCTTGCTTGCCCCGAATCTGTCACTGACTGCCCGCTGAGGTCAAAGACCCGTTCCGCAACGACCCAGACAGTAGCTGTCGCAACCACCGTCTACCCTGTAGTGGCAACTCAAGCTTCTATTCCAGCCGGAGTGACCGGCACAGTCACCGCTGTTGTTACTGCCGCCAACAACCAAGCCAGCGATGCCAATGGCTCATCCCAATCCAATGCAGGCTCGGACGTGGACGCAACTTACACTACCACTATCGTGGTCGAATCATGCTCCGATGACGATACGTGCACTGGATACATCAACACCATTGTGATGACCCAGACCGGTGCCGCCGCGTCCACTGCTACCCCTTCTTCCTACGTTCCTCACTTTGTCTCAGGAGCCGGAAACAACCGCACTGTCTCAGTCTCAGCCTCTTCGACTCCTATCTGGTCTCAGACCAGCCAGTCGAGTGGAATGGTCACAGCCACTGTGTCCAGCACTACCAGTGCCGTGAGCCCCTTGTATACCGGCGCTGCGTCTGCACGTGCTGGGTGGTCTATCCTGCAAATGGTGGGCTCGGCGATGGTAGTCCTGGCTGCAGCAGTTGTTGTTTAAAACCGTTGAATGGATCCATAGATGTCATGCTGCCACTGAAATTATTTCGAAATTATTTACTCTAGAATATATTAAATATGATTACAACCTTGCGGAGCTATGATACTATAAAATAACCGTGCTCCTCCTTATCGATGAAATCATGCTCCTATTCAGAAGTCACCTATTTAATCAAAAAAAAGCACCTTACGACGTGAAAGAAAATGTGAGCTGTCCTTTTAAAAAGTTCCATCGGCTTTACGGTGGGTAGGGGACTGACTCAGGTACACAGAGACAGACCCTAAGGTGGAGCTCCCAGCTTCACATCATTGCAATTTCGGGATCACCGATGACATCGAGCCCCTAGTCGGATCCGGGATTTCGAAGCGAACTGTAGTTCTTCGCACCTCTCCTGATTTGTCCGAGCTTGGACAATCGGCTAAATGTGCCCGTGCTACTAGATCCACTGTTGATCTAGAACGAGCCTTCCAGCCACATCAGATGAAAGAAAAGTACGTATTTGGAATATAAACTAGAGAAAACCCGCTCAGTCGATGATAGATATGGGGCCAAAGCCAATGCTTCGAATCAGGAGCCCTTGCTCTAGCGCAAATGGATCTCGTGCTTGCTGGAGTGGTGTGCCGGTTCGACTTCGAGCTGTTCAAAACCACGCCCGATATAGCACACTATAGGGAGTATGTTAGTGGTTTTTCAAAGGAAAGAAGGATTGATTGAGAGTGAAGTTCAGCCAAGCTTATTGATTGAGGTCTACTGAAGCAGCCATGCAATACACACTACAAAAAGAAGAATCGGCAGAAACAATACATTTATGTACTATGTAAGGAGCTAATTGCAAAAGAACAGATCTCAAACGCCAGATCGAAACGCCACCAGGTATCAACAGTTTTTACATTAGAATTTTGGGTTTCATAATAACATATTCTCATAGAAGAGCAAATCAAGCATTAGTGTTCATCCACTGAGTCCATTCGTCATTCGACGCCCCTTGGGCAGGTCGGTAGGCAGGATTGTTGCCGAAGAGATCATCAAACGAGATCCCCAAGTCCATGTTCATGCCCACGTTTTCATCCATGCCTACGCTGAAATCCGGCATTCCACCCTGCATCCGATTCGGCTCGGGGATGTCTTGTTGTTGCGGCGCGGACATGTTATTAGGGTTGTTGGGCTGGAAGCTGTATCCTTGCCATACGAAGTTCTGGTTCGGGATCGAGACTAGATCTGGACTGCTCAAGACTTCGGATGGAGTCTGGCCCTGAGAGATTGGGGAGTGGATGCGGGAGGAACTGCGGGAGTGGGAGGGGCGGAGGTGGCTTGGCACTGAAGACTTGATGCCGGAATTTAGTGGGAATTGGTTTGTGAAATCGAATGTTGGGGTAGTGACTCCAACGCTGGGAGAAGCCGGGCCCATGCCTGTGCCGTCAAAGGGATACTGTGTCGGAATTCCGCCGTCATGACGGAAGTGGTCGTCTTCCAAAGTGGACATAGGCTGTGTAGGGTACGCGAATGGATCGTCGGATGGGAACATCATGGGCATGAGATCCGGAAGATTGGCAGGGTTGGTAAATTGTTGTGCCCATGCTAAGCTCGATGACTCTTGGTTGGGCATGGAGGGATTCATGGACGAAGAAATATGTTCTGGGGTCGTCATAGTTTCCGTCAACAGCTCTGGTGTGGTGGACACCCATGTGGCGTGGCTACTAGTATCGGCAGAACGGTTGTTGATGTGTGCGTTGTCCAGACTCTGTTGACGGCGATTTCGTGGTTCATTTTGAGACATCATCTGTGCTGGGAATGTGCTCGACCTAAGTGGCAGATTCTTCTCTGCCAATGGCTTAGGCTCAGGCTCGGCATTGTTTGGCGCGGGCCGCTTGAGGTTGACAGCAGGTTTCGCACTCTGGCGATTTTTCAACAACTCGGGCAATGTCTTGAAGAGGGTCTGTAAAAGGTCAGCTGAGGGAATCGTATAACGACAAAAAAAAGGAAACAAACGTTTAAGCCCTGAGAACACCTATCGGCAGCCAGACTCTTCTTGGCCAGCCCGGCCAAAGTGTTCTTGCCCTCCATGGCGTCTTTCAGGACACCGTCCTTGGCGGTTGGAGAATCCGGGTTCTCAATGACAAAGAATAGCAAGGAAAAGATAGCGAAATAGGTCGTGTACATGGTGAACCAGAAGGAGCCATTAAGCAAACCTCTCTTCTGCATCCCAGTGGTGATGTGGACAATGTTTCGGGAAACACTGACACAAGCAGCCGCGCAAGCATAAGACCTCTTGTCCACCCCGCGTGCCTGTGAACCCCCAGATACATAATGGAGGAATGGGCGGTACATCACCATCTGTACATGGGCATAGCTAATACGCAGCAATTGTCGGACACTAAAAACATTAGTTAAGTTTTTGCAAAGTAGAATTGATGACTTACCGCTCCAGCTGGGGGGACACCTCTGTACCCGGTCGTAGGGCCGGAGGCAATTCCTCCATCCAGTTCTGTAGATCTCGCTCGATTTCGCGAATTTTAGAATGGCTGACCATGTATCGCTGGTCAGACTTGGAGCGATAGCGAGCATTTTTGACCGGATAGATGTATTTGACAACCTTCAAAATGATGTTCGAAAGACGGGTGTGCGCATTGCATCCTGCCATCAGCGGCGTATAGTTAGATGGTGGTTGTGTGATTCCTTCTGTCGTAATAAAGTCCCCATCAACCTCCATTGGGTACTCCTGATCGATGTCATCGTCGCTCAACATTTGAGGGAGACCCAAGAGTGTGCTGACGTATACGTCCATTTTGCGGACGACCCAGAAAATGCGCTTTCGAAGTTCTCGTTCAATAGGGTTGAAATCGGCCGCAACGCTGCGATGGAGACCTAATCGCAGCGCTGAACGAAGCGCAATTCCCACATAAGAATAACAAGTGCTTAACTTTGCAGAAGATTGAAGAAACAGGACCATGAAGCAAATCGCCTGGAGAGAAGGCAAGTCACGGCAATCAGTGATCTCGAGAAGTTGTCGTCCGGCCTTGAAGAATTGGAATCTGAAAGATATTAGTTAGGCTCCGGAGAAATTAAATGTTAGGAAACGCCTACCCCTGACCGATTGCACCCTCGTAGCCAGATAAATCCAGGGTGCCTTGTCCTGATCCATCATCCGAGAACAAGCAGCCAACCGCAATGACAATATACAAGAGCGGCAAAAACGAGTTTTCCTCATTCGAGAATTGTTCTGGGGGAGTGTCGTATATGCGCTCCAAACTTGCATAGAATGACGGCTCGTGCACAAATCTCATCAAGGAGCAGGCGTGATCGATCGCATTGTGACATAGACGGCGAGCGACCTCACGCGGAGGCAAATCATGAGTGGGAGGCAAGGTAGAGTCCTGAGGCGATTCGGACAACGACTTCGGGCTCCCGATCATATGCGCAGTGATCGAGGAGCGCGATCGTGCCATCGGACCCGTAAGTTCCGCCGCACCGAGCTGTTTGCGCAACCGACGAACGAAGATTATCCCTGATGTGTGTCCATGATAATCCCAATGGCCCTGATCGTCTCGGTCCAAGCAGCCTGAATTATCAACCATAGTCTCAAGCAGCCCCTCATCCCCCGCTTCTGGCGCCGTGTCTCCATATGCGGTCGAGGGCTTCGAGCTCTCGGTCGCTTGCTTCTCTTTCTGTGCTTCAACGAATTTTTGTTCAGTCGCATGTACGTCTAGTTGCGGGTCATCGAGGTTGACGTTTGGTAGGACAGTCCGGAGGAGAGCCTCGGCCTTTTGGAGGCGGTTCTCCAGGGCCTCGACATATTGCGGAGCGGGATTTCGTCGGCGGTTAGAAGGCTGATCGTACGAACACTCTACAAGAACAGTTAAGACCGAACATTTTGATTAAATGCACAAAAAGACTCTGCGTACCATAACTATAAACTGTGCAATGTGTGCAAGGCTGTTTGCCATCACATTTGATCTTTTTCCTGCGACACTCATCGCATGCACGACCGACACGGCGCCTCTTCTGGAGTGGTAGTGATTTAGGGTCTGCGGGAGAAGCATCTTGCGAGTGGTGATCGTCGTCATCATGGGAGTACTTGAAGGGGTTCAGGGATGGATCGTCTTCATTCTCGCCGGAATGAGGGCTTGTAGTCGCCATGACTGGATATCTGATGTCCGCACAGTGCACAGATTCATGTAAGGAGATAATGTGGTCTTGGCGGGCGATCCGTCGTGAATATCAATATCATGGATCGTCCCGCGAGAGCAGAATGAGTCAACTGAAACAAACTTTGCCTTACGAGTATTGAAATTTCGGCGCTTCGGCGGTTCGTCTATTAAGTTCCCGAAAATAGTTTAAGGGTCTTTTGGAGAGAAAGAAAGAGAGAGAGATTCGCGATGATGAAATGATTAATCCCGAAAGCGGTGAGTTTCGAGTCGATATCTTTCCAAAAGGCTTCAAGATTCACTTTGTATTGTAAGCAAAGTGAAGCAAGAAGGAAAAAAATGTTAAGATCAAGGTCATATTTCCCCGCCAGAATCAAACGAGTTTAGTTCGTTTAGTCACCCCCGGAGGACCCCCCCCCCCCCAAATGACGGAACGGGGGTTGACAAGGCGCGACACCGACATTAACAAGCATAAAGTATATGTGAGTGGTTTTTTCCAGAATTTTTCTCTCACGGAGATTTGCCCGGACTTCCAATATCCAATGAATTGTGCAGCTGCGGCTTTTTGCCGGTCTCCACTAGCTCCGATATATGGATTCGGCTTGTCTGTCAATATGCCGAGGCCTTGGACTTCTGATTATTCCCGATTTTTCCGCCGAGCCGTTATATTTTCTATTTCTGCTGTACTTCGTATAGGGGAGGAAAGATTGTATTCAAACATGTGAACAATGGAGTGATTGGGCGATAATGTTCCGTCTGCACCTTGCGCCCGCATGACTCTCGGGGTTTGAAATTGGGCTGCAGGTCCTTGTGGCATTGATTCCAAAGGATCGAGGAAAACTCTCTTTTACATAATTGTCTCAAAAGTCCGAAAACAACTGTTAACTGCGATTAAGATATTGCTACTTTCTCGAGTGGGATATTACTTTTATAATCTCAAGTTGAGAAGATTTTAGAGAAGATATACAAATCCGATATGCATTTGTTCTAGAACGCGTAAAGGAATAATCATTACGGGTTACCTGCCTCAATTCCTATCCTAGCCGAGGAATTGTATAATAATAAACAGGGTACTCCGTACTTATGGCCAGATCTTATATTACTTAATCTAGAAAATGGTATACTAGGCCTCCTACTAATCTAGAAAATGGTGTACCTAAGCCTCCTACTAATCTACTAATAAAAATGTTCAGAAATTGCCGAACCCTGTGTGTGGGTCTGTTGATCTTCACTTAGGGACTATAGTAAAGGCGTGTTCCTGTTGACGGCCCTATCAACCCTGGGAACAAACATTTTGGTCCTCGAAGTTTTCTTGCTCTCAAAGGCCTTGATACGATTTCTGGGAGCATATAAGCCGCTTCTAGGAGCCATACAGCTCCCAGGAAACTTGCCTTGGCTTTGGGGGCCTTCTACCTCCCTCTCCGGGAACCGAAGCCGCGCTCCTGTTCACAGCTCATCAACTCACGGTAACTGAAGTGCAGCTATTCGTACTATGATTTATCCTCTTGGGAATAATCCAATGAATCATGTCTATGTACTTCGAACTGCTGACGCTGAGCCAAGACAAACTCCAGGAATGAAGCAATCCCCTCAATAGCTTCTGGCTCTTTTGAGCTGATACCTTATTGGTAAGAGCATGAGCATGGATATCCTGTGCTCATCTGGATTAGCTTGTGGTTTACTGTCTGTCCCGGCTACAGAAGCATGTGTAGAACGACTTTTCAACAGTGCGAGAAATATTTGCCATTTCCGTCAAGGATCTTCAAATGAGTCAACCGTTCAAGACTTAATGATGTATATATGCTCGGAAAATCGTAACCTGGATAGTCAGTAGTTGAGCGGTCTAGAGAAATCGCCGATCGAAAACAGCCAAGAGATGCTTGAAAAAAGGAAGCTCTGAAAGCAATTGACGGAGACTTCGATCTAATCAGCGATGGTGAAGAGATCATTCACGAGGCGATTGAAAATCATGACGTGGCAGTTGAAGGGGCAGATCGGTTTTGTATAGTGGTGACAGGATCATCTCCTGTGAATGATCACGGGCAGGAGGTGAGCGATGAAGAACACGAAGATAAGGGCCATTGCTGCCACCTCCATTCATACAATTCAATGATAGATTTCAGAAAAGATCTTCTGGCAGAACAACATGGCCGTCTAGCAGACTGTAGGGTTATGAAATGCATTAGAGCTAGTCTAGAAAGAACAAGAAATAAATTGTTTTCTTTGCAAATTACCAAGCATAATAGATCAAAGTTCATAACAGGTTGAACTAAGCGAATACACTGGGGGATTGAAAAATGCAGAATAATTCGTTCAAGTAGACAGGTCAACCATTTTTGCTTTTGCGAGTTATAACGAAAACCCATTTGGGTCTTGGGTCAGGTTTTGGCGAGATCTAGATCTATATGAGTGGCTGCGGAGTGCCTGCCCGACAGCAAGGAGATGAGCTGCCGCAACTACAAATGGCGGATTCTTTACATATAGGTTAACAATCACCTCTACCTCACTCCAGGTTTCAACTAGACGAGGGGTCAGGGTAAATGAGCTCATCCATCCATCCATTCGCTGTAACAATGGATGTAGCCCAGGCAGCTTTCTTCCAGCTCCTGACTTACTGATTCAACAGATGCACGAAGAGATGACTTTTGCGGTCATGCTCCGAGAAGTCATTGTGAACCTGTGACCTGTTTACTGCATCCATCGAGGAAAACCAGTCAGGGACTCGAGTGGGTGCGAATAAGTGCGGTACATTAGATTGTTCCTATTTAGCGAAGGTTGGTCTTCTCCAATGATGAGCTATGAAACATCACAACTATTGCAATATAGGCTCGATATAGATAGTGTAGACAAGGCTGACTTTGGCCTCGCACTTGATTGCTTGCTTGCTCAACCTGCTCTGGTGTTAGGGAGAATCCGTTCGCTCGTGCGCTCGTGCGCGATATAGTATCGTCTAAGGCATTGACTGATTCACTTGCGGCATTTGTGATCGGCTTCGCTACGTCACAAGAATGGTTGACGTCGATAGAGCACGATGTTTTGCACTGAATATAACACCAGAGTCAGGATTTAGATCCCGTCGAAGCTGCCGAACCTTGTTGACATCATTCCTCAACCAAACTTCATGCGGCCCCACCTCTTGCCGCCGTTTCCGATAGCCTAGCAGTAAGGCTGTTTGGAGGTCGCTTCTCAAAATCCCATGGTAGTGCTCGCCATGGTGAGAAGCCGCATCCGGATCAGTATTGCCCCACTGGTTGACATCGATAATCATTTGTCGTCATTGGCAATACAAGCCATGCATAGCATATAAAGGGGTGCTGTACGCGCTGATGTTTATTCTCACGTTTGACAAACTTCAATTAACTCAACAAGAATAAAAGCCGCAATGGACTGTTTTCAAGACGATTTTGACTGGTCTTTCAGGGCGAAACATTCCTTGAAGGTGATTGTTGTTGAGCTGGTATTGCCGGACTTACCGTGGCACTCGGACTGAAGAAGGCTGGACACGACGTTCTTATCCTGGAACGGGTCCATGAGATCGCAGAAGTAGGTGCCGGCATACAAGTCGCTCCTAACGCTGCGCGGATCCTAGGGCGGTTGGGCCTCCTAAGCCAAGTTATGGAGAAAGCGAACGTATTGAACAAGAATTCCCTGCGTCGATACGCAAACAATGAGGAACTGGGAACTGCCCCTTTGATGCCCCAGGTATGATTTTTTTCTCATTTTTCCAATGAGATGACACTGTCTGATCAAATCTTAGATTGGCAAGAAATACCATGCCCCTCTGGCAGTCATCCACCGAGGAGATTTACAACGTATTCTTCTAGACGGCGTTCGGGCCGCAGGCATCGAATTGCGCACCAACTCCCGGGTAATCCGAGCAGCTGATGACTTTGAGGCCAACGTCCAGCTCGAATCAGGGGAGTGGATATCTGGGGATGTAGTGGTTGCTGCGGATGGAATCAAATCTGAACTTCGTCACCAGATTGCATCCCATCACGGAGTGACTGACACCTGCCAGCCCACCGGTGATGCGGCATACCGCATTATGATCCCGAAGGACAAAATGCAAGGCGATCAACGCGCCTTGGATCTTTTGAACAACAATGTTGGTATGCGCTGGATGGGGCCAGGAGGGCACATCATGGCATACCCTATCAAGAACAACACCGTTTACAATATGGTGCTGCTGCACCCTCAGAAGCAGGGTGCTTCAAATGAGGAGAGTTGGACTAATAAAGGAGATAAGCAAGAGATGATCGAATTTTACCGTAACTGGGATGACTTAGTGCAAAGTCTCTTGAGCTACGTCCCGGAAGGTGATGTCATGGAGTGGACCTTGAACTCACACTTCCCTCTACCCTCGTGGGTTGAAAATAAGTGTGTCTTGATGGGTGATGCTTGTCACCCAATGCTACCATATGTGGCTCAGGGAGCTGCGCAGGCAATTGAGGATGCCGGTGTCCTTACGTGCGCTCTGTCCCTGACCAGTTCAGTCCCTACAGCATTAGCAGTGTACGAGTCAGTACGAAAAGAACGTGCGGAGCGTATCCAGAAAAGTGCCGCGGTGACGAGGAAAGCGCTGCATCTACCCGATGGGGAGGAGCAGCGAAAACGAGACGAAGCCATCCGAGGAACGGGCAAGAACCCTGATCTATGGGCTGATCCTAGTTGGCAGGACTTTATGTGGGGTACGTATTACGCTATTATTGGTCAGAGCTCACATGGACTGACCATTATAGGGACGGATGTTATGAAGGATACGATCGAAAATTGGGACGACATAGTTGCGCACAGCCATGGCTATCATCCACATGCGGTGCAGGCAGTAGGATACTGAATCATATGGACTGTTTCAAACTTCTCAGCTGCAGCTACATTGATTTTCATTTGCATCAAACATGTGTCATATTAAAGTCAGTCTACTCGTATGTAGCATAATAAACTCTTTTATTGCATTTTTCCCCGGTCATACTCGCCGATCATCTGGGTCGGGAGGTTCTACATTCTCATTGGGCTCCAAGCTAAGCATCGTCACTGCATCGGTCATCAGGCGAGTTTCCGATACCCATCCTTCATCGGACATGGAATACGATTTCCCTTCCGCCTAACTATTAAATTGTGTCAGAAAAGTGTGTTCTTACATCACCAGCTTGCTCGAGGTTACAGCATTTATTTGCTTGCTCATTTGATGCATTATAGTTGGATGACCACCTGCCAAGCCATACACCGCTTGGTAAGCACACGTTGGGTCAAATATTCGCTGCATCAGCTAGTTCTAGAAATTACACTCATTCTATGATATACATCAGGCTGACCATTGGTCTATTGTAGAACTAGAGTGTACCGTATTTTTTGGAATCGACAGTACTGTTCCGCATGTAACGTGGTCTTACATCAACTTAAGTTACGTGACGCACCTACTCAACAATCTCTTTCTCTTTGAATCTTGTTTCTTAAAGAATGATCCGTGTTTTGGCCAACGAGAGAACAACATTGAAGGAACGATGAGATTGGCCTCGGTACTTCTGTGATACAAGCTTTGAATTGCAGCAATCGGGACCGAGTCTCGGCAGATCACGACGACTGGTCAAGCCGGTTGTGGGGCCCGAGGCTCCGAGAAGTCAATATCTATATCATAGAATCTTCAGTCTGAGCCATCCGGATCCGGCTCCTTGAAGTGTACAGATCGATGCGCCACAAAAACTCGATTTTCCACAAAACAAGAATACTACCAAGGGCTTAAAATATATAAAGTATGATGGTTTCCCTACTTTTGAATTCTGAATATCACACCGATCGAAGTCGAAGATTATAGCTTGCTTTGTTTTCTCTTTCTCCTTAAATCACCCAGCGGCAGCCCAAGCTCCAAAAATGCCCGTCCTTCCCTCTCTTGAAGGCTCTACCTTCGATGCCGACATTCGAGATCGCCACTTGATCTACGACTACGCAGCACAGGACGCCCAGGGTAACCCTGAAAAATGGCGATACGAAATGTGGTTCTACAACGAAGATCGCATTGTCTACGCTATCCACGGAGGTCCAATGGCGGGCCGAAAAAACTTTCAGTCGGCTACCTACCAATGCATTCGCCCTGGAGAGTTATGGCAATGTAACTGGCTCGAGGAGACCGGCACGATCTGTTCGCTCGTTTACGACATCCCCAACAAACGGATCTCAACTCTACTTGGGTTCTCCAAGGGCCATTGGACCCAGAGCGAAGAAGCGCACGGAGACAAGCGCAACCCACAAGATCTTGCGCGCTGGAGGGAATTGGCGAAGGTGGGTGCGACACAGGCCGATCGGGTACTTTTGAGCGAGCAGGCGGATATTTTGGAGGATTTCAGGGGGCCTGGTGATTTAGAACCGATCCGCATGGAGTGGCCGACATTATGAGATCTGTTCGGATTGTTTCTCGATGCCAAGGACTGAGAAGCTTTCATTCTTTGTATCTCTTAGTCGACTGCCTTCCAACAGTACGTCGGCTGTTTCTTTTTTTGGGGTAATCTTATGATCACGGGGTAATGCAAGCTTCGATGTATAATAAACAGAAAGGTGTTCGTCTTAGCTCGCATCTTCCATCCAAGGAGCTATTGCCATAATTGTACAAATTTTCGAGCGAACAAGTCTTCTCATCGCTTTGAACAGTCATGCATCATTTTGGCACGTACCACAGCGGACCGTCCATGAAGCACTGTAAAAGTTCTGTATCTACCATTAACATAGTAACCCAATTGACCTCCCAGTCCACACTGGTGTTAAGTTCATGGTTTATCTATCGGATTTGCCTGGCTCGCCACGCTATAGCGGCTTATTAATTATCCCAAACCCAGGCTCGTACATGTTCAACTGTTGAAGGAAAGTAATTGGCTAACTTTATTTAGGAGTTCGCTAGTGCGCTTACTAGCTTAAATATTCTCTAAAAGAGCATGTACGCCGCGAGTATTGCTGATCGAAGACTCTAGAAGATTATAAATGAAAGAGATAAGTATTGTTTGTATGATATTTATATAGCAGCGTTATTAGTATCCTTTAGTATGCTCACCTAAGTGTTTACAGATATAGGTTAAGTTCCTAGGAATTCTAGCTAGGTATTTTGTGTAATAGGATCTGACTAGGCGCACGGTAGGCTCCTAGGAATAAAGCGTAGTCCAAAGAGCTATAAATGTCCTACGGACATTGATAAGAAGTGGAGGATACGCACTATGAGTGACCTACACAGGGTTCTCTAGAACACGGAGGCTCCTTTTGTTTACTTTCCCGCGCGACGTCTTCTAGAGTCAAGGTTTTCCCGGCTTACGCGTAAGCGAACTTATACTTGGTAATTCGGATATCTAATGAAAACTATACGATCCTAAATGAATAAAAACAGGTGTTGAATTCAGTGTGTATTATGTTGCTGATTGTTGAATTCCCGACCAGACAAAAAGCCTAACGTATGGGTCTCTAGGGATCTTTATTGGTTTTCTCAACATATGTTATCAGACCCGTTAAATCCACGGATCCGCTCTATTATCATTATTCACAAGATGTGTGACATCTCTAAATTGGGGCGTTATTCCACAGTAGGTACTAGGGCGATCTTCCTCAGCTCTACGGGGGCCCCTCACTAGTGCTGACTGTTTTCTATTCTTATCCAAGCGTCTTATTCGTACATGTGTATATGTATACTTTGCATTATGTACAATATTGTGTGGAATCGATTGTATCATGCCTGGTTTTTCGGCCTTCGACGCCCTTGCGACACTACATGAAGGGATCATCCATGCAGAAGGCATTGAAACAGGGCACAATGCGTCAAAAATATTTCAACCGACAGCCCTGTGACGCGAGACACGTTAGAGAATGCAAACATCTAAATAATAATTAATTGTACGGAGCACTCTCGCGATCTATAATGTAAGTCGTGTTCTAACAATTGTCCGCTTTCGCTTTCAGAATCTCGTTAACCTTTACGCCCCCAACGTATATAGCGTCATTACCCACTAACGACCATGGTGGCGGATTATTGCTAGGCTATTGACTATAATATAATGATCTGAAACGATTCCTTCGGCGATCCCTCACATCTGCGCTGGCATTCCATTCGCGGATTGCCCCTGTGGCACGTCCCACTTTCCCCAAGGTGGATCGGCATTCTGCATCGCGACTTTCTGAAAAATTTAGCTTGACCATATATGGATCACTCTCGTCCTTCAATTCTACCATCGAGCCATGTAGCCGCGACGACATCACACCATGGCTTTTTATCTCGTCATTTTTTGCTGCGTTTTTGCTGCCCTGGGGTCATTCCTTTTCGGCTATGACTCCGGTGTGATTTCTTCTAGTATTGAGCAAGATGCCTTTCTGCGCCGATTCGGGTCCCCGGACGTGTCTGATGCCGCTGCTGGTGGAATCATCTCTTCTTATACCGGTGAGAGCCTAACTCGTCGGACCTTAGTGCGATCGGGATCTAATATTGGTGATCAGGAGGCGCGATCGTAGGGTCGGTCCTCGCCCCGTACATTTCTGACCACTATGGCCGCCGAATGGTGATATTTCTCGGCGGGCTTCTTGCCACCCTTGGTGCTGCCCTTCAAGGAGGTGCAGTTACTATCGCAATGCTTATCGCGGGTCGGTTCATCGCGGGGTTGGCAATTGGCCAAATGTCTGCCACTATTCCTGTCTACTGCGTATGTCCATGGCTGATCCCTCTGCGGAAACTGTATCTGACGTGAGCTTAGAGCGAGGTTGCTCCGCCACAAATTAGAGGCATGCTGGCGAGTATGCAGCAGTGGATGATTGGCTTGGGAATCATGGTTGCTGTAAGTAATGACCGGATCATCCTTGGTCCCAAACTGACAATATTAGCAATGGACGGGATACGGGTGCTCCCTCCGCGGTGGAACTTTCTCCTGGCGCTTCCCACTCTCTTTCCAAGTCGTCCCAGCTCTCATCCTCACCTGCGGCGTCTGGTTCCTCCCCGAATCACCGCGCTGGCTCATCGAAAAGGGGAGAGAAGCTGAAGGTCGATCCGTTCTCGCCCGCCTCCACCTCAACCGAAGCGCAACAAACAGCCAGCTCCTCGAAGGCGAACTCTGCCAAATACACGATAGTCTAGCATACGAAAACCAATCCACAGCACGATCCTGGCGCCAGATCCTCCAATCACCAAGCTGGCGACGCAGACTCCTTCTAGCCTGCGGCCTGCAGGCATTCACGCAGTGCTCCGGCACGAACGTAATCCAAAACTACGGCCCACGTATCTACAAATCCCTTGGTCTATCGACGTCCACCTCGCTGATGATAATCGGCGTCTGGGGTGCGCTAGCGGTCTTCTGGAACACGCTTTTCATGTTTTTCATCGACAAAGTCGGGCGCCGCAAACTACTCATCCCGTCACTGCTCGGCATGGGAGCTGCTATGTGCGTCGAGGCCACGCTCGCCCGGTACATTAATTTCGACGATCCACACGCCAACCCGGCTGCGCTGCGCGCTGCCATTGCGATGTTTTTCGTCTTCTCGCTTTTCTTCACGGCTCTCGGCATGATCTCCTGGATCTACCAGTCTGAGATCTTCCCGACGCCTATTCGCGCGCGCGGCTCGTCGGTGGCAACGGCCACAAACTGGAGCCTCAACCTGATATTTGCGCAGTGCTCGCCCATTGCTCTTACAAGTATCGGGTACAAGTATTTCTATTGCTTTGTGGCCTTCAATTGGGTTGGTATGGTTCTTGTTTGGGTCTTTTACCCGGAGACCGCGGGTCGTTCTCTTGAGGAGGTTGAGGAAGTCTTCACTGGCCAATTGATGGGAGAGCAGGAACCCTCTTCTGTCGCCGAGACTAATGTCATCGGTACTCCACGCTCACAAATTCGACGAAAGGGGCTACATCCATTGTCTATGCATCCTACTTACGATACTGCTAGTATCGAGAGTGGCCATAGTGTGTCTGAAAAGGGCATTCACGTCAAAGAGATTTGAGTCATATTATATAGGATTTTACGAAAGGATGACAATGACATCAATCTGAAAGAACTCATGAACAAAGTGCCTATTGTTTCTCCATCTATAGTGCGCTCGACCAGGAATTTTTAAGGTACACTGGTGTTCCTTGGGTCCTAATTCGAATCTCGAGAACGACTTGAATGGGAATCAAAGCACCCAGTCGACAACCGTATCTCCGATCTATTGTCAGGCTGTATCATCACACTCCCGGGGTCAATCAAACGAACCGACCGCTGTCCACCTTCGCACCTTTATTTTTCGACTCTATCGACAAGATCTACGAAAATGACGACCATCTAGATACCGCTGGATCTCAGGTCTTTGAGAACAGAGAGAAGCGGGACTACAGACTGGAGCTCGACAAGTTGCACCTGACCATTCGTCTGCAAGTCTACAATCAAATGAACAAATTTATGAGTTATATCTCATCGGATAAACTATCAATTAGGTCTATCTGAGAGGCCTCACGGGACACCGTTAGCATTACTACTCCTTTCTGTCCCATTCTTACTTTCACGCGTGGAAGTCGATACTTCAGCCCATCTAGGTGCACTGCGCAACTGTGCTCCGATCAAAGCCTTTACAGCTGTCTCCAGTGCTGGAGCACTGTATCACTTTCGCTAATGACAAAGCATGGGTTTATAGGGCAGCTTCAACATAAACGACTGGTTCGGTGACAAGTTGCCTTGACAGGGCCATGGGCTGTTCTCAAGGTGCATATTTGGTTATTCGCTTGACAGGTCTGATTCTGAAAACCAAGTCAATCAAAGTAGCCAAATCACGTAGCTTGCCTATTACATGACTTACACCTCCCACCGGACCCTGGGCTAGCACGATGCCGGCCTCGAGGGCCATGAGTGTTAGAAGGCTCTTGATAAAATGCATATCGGCGGAGATAGTGTCTTTGATTTGGTCATATAGCTGGAATGAAAAATGAGTGCTTAGCCTGTCAGGACGATCGAGATCAAGCTTTATATACTGCGCGGCCGACGATATCCTTTACTTCAACCACCCTGGAAGCGTGATACCATCATTCGCCGGAACTATGGGGCGTCCAAAATAGAAAGAATTAAACTGGGGTTTCTTCAGACTCGTGGGCTTAGAGGAAACGTTGGCCTCGTGTCAGATGTGTGGGACGCCTTCTTTCGTGTTACGTTCCATATCCTAAGACCCAAAACCCCAGGACTACAGCGCATTTCGGCATGACCAGACAATATCTCGAAGGCCCTCCACAATTTTCGAACCCAGGGGGTATACTTATGTTATTGTCTTTCTGGCGTAACAACATGCAGCTACAGGGGCCAATGTTTGTTAATCAATCCTTAGAAGACCTGCTGTTGTCAATGCGAAGAAGTGAAAGATTTGAGAAGATGGACACCTGTTACAATATGCAATGTGAGATACCAAAGATGTACCATATCGTTGTTGTAAAGAGATGGCTTGAAGCTAAGCATAGATTGCCTCTAGTTCCATACGCATTGGTGTATAGATGCCCGAGATGGAAGTCTGTCTAGCTGTGATCTATCTAAGTCCGATTGCTCGATTTAGCCCACGCATTTGTCCCTTGCCATCAGCCAAAGCTGACACTCCAAGTATCTACATGATTCATATCCTCGTTGATGTCAACTCTAAAAGAGACGTGGCTGCAGTAGACTGTATATTTTCTTTTTCAAGCCTCCACACATGCATGTAGGGTTGGATGAGGTCACCAAACTCTATCCAAGAGGCATTCAGATAGGTTTCAGCAAGTGTTTGCATTTATCTTTGCATTTAAACATTTGAGAGATGCCTTTTCACAACATTCATCAAGACTAGCGCTATATAAGCGCATAACTCTGTCGGAAGGGATTAGGAGACCCACATAGACACTTCCAACGTCCTCAACTTTTACCTTTGACACGGACAGAGATGGCCCTTTACAACGCCAGATCTTGCACATATTCTTCTTCAATCGTGTACGAGCCTTGAGAGAGAAGCCAATTGCAGCATCCGCGAGCATCCGCCCGGTCGCAGAAGCTTCATCCTGTACATTACAGCCATCTACAATCACCCAATGGCATCCATTCCGAAGCTTTCCACGGTCATTACCTGGGCTTTGTATTTCATCCCGGTATACCTCTTCATCGTTGACCCCTTACTACGCGGTTTCTTCCCGAGCCTGCTCCCAGATTCTCCAAAAAACAACGCCGATCTCTTCGATGAGAGCGGCGCCCCAGGACCGGGCATCAACCTCACCGACGACAGCTTCATCAGCCCTGAAGATGGGATTCCCTTCAACTGCCCCGATGCAGAGGGGTACCGAGTGCATTTACTGTCCCGCACACCGTTGATCATGTACATTGAGAACTTCGTGTCGGAGAATGAAGCAAACCATATACTAGAAATGAGGTAAGCCAAGCTCCGTCCTGAGACCGGCGGCATGGCGGTCTACCCACCAGAACTAGGCTAACGTGATCTAAATCTGCAGTGTGGAAAAATACACGCCCTCAATAGTCTACGACGGGCAGACCGAACGCATTGACCCGACAAAACGTCTCTCCGACCGTGCCCTCCTCCCTCGTGACGACACAGTGCGCTGCCTGGAAGACCGCGCGCGTGCCTTTCAAGGCTGGCGCCCGAACCTCTACATCGAGCGCATGTGGGCCCAGCGCTACAATGCCTCCGGTCACTACCGGCACCACTATGACTGGGCGGGTTCGCTGGCGAGAGGTGGAGACCGACTGAGCACGTTTATGGTGTATCTCGAGGCGGACTGTGAGGGCGGCGGGACGAACTTCCCCCGGTTGAAGATGCCGGCTGGGAAGGGATGGTGTCGGTTTTTGGAATGCGAGCAACAAGAAGAAGGTATCACCTTCAAGCCTATCAAGGGCAATGCGGTATTTTGGGAGAATCTTCGGCCTGATGGGACGGGGTATCCGGAGACGTGGCACGCTGCGTTCCCTGTTACGAAGGGGACTAAGGTTGGATTGAATATTTGGAGCTGGTACCAGCCTAAATGGAAGAATCGTTAAAGGGACCCGTTCAGGGTCCGGCGGTAGCACGTGGATGATTTGGGTTTGGGCCAAGCCATCTCCGACTCTCAAGTCTATTTTTCTCTCTTAAGGGAAGGGCTGGAATGTCAGGCCCTGATGAACCTACGTCAGGGACAATATGACTTGTTTGACCAGGTTTGGACCAGGAAGAGGGAAAGACTAGACTAGACTAGACCGTTAGACTAGAGATTGTGACATTGAGGCTTACATTAGTTAGATTACTCCACTTGTATCTCAAGGCTGGAAAACAATACGAAACCAACCGACTCATGCATAACCGCCGGCGAAAAGAAACCAGGCAGCTGCATTAATCAAACGATTCATCATTCATAAAGGGATAGTAGCGAGGGGGTACCAAGACCCCAAGACTTCGACTCTTGGTGTTCGGAGCGGGAATTATTGGCAAGAGGAATCACTTGGCTGCCAAGAGGCAGTGCCCCATGGGACATTTCCTTTGCTTGGCGAATTGGCGCCACTTCGAACGTCTCCAGTGGTTAACCTATTCGGTTTGGATTTTAAAAACTTGAAGGCTGTGCCTCGGATTGAATAATTATGTATTCCCGTATTCATGTGTTTCATGTGTGTACAATATTGCACACGAGCAAAGTAAATTTAGCTAAATTTAGAGGTAAATTACATTAATTTACCGTATCGTGTTTGCCTAATCGGAGGACTATGCATCCGTGCCTTAGTTCAGCACATCAGGACTGTATTATTATGAAGTAAATTAATTTAGTAGGTTACTTGAATAGCTTCTCTATAATTTTTTTTACATACTGTGTCTACTATGTGCTATAGTTGTGCAAGGATATCTATTCTCTACTCTACACTACTACGTGTTAGCCTTGGAATGCGAAATCACAATAACCCCTCGATCCTTTTGGTCCACCAGTAATAAGCCATGGCGCCAACGCCTCTCGGGTCTTGGAGGGTCCGCACCAACTCTTGGCCCCGGTCTTGTCGTTCTGCTTGTCCCTTTCTTGGTCACACTCCGCTCGGCTTAGCAAAGCGGCTTTTTCTGGGCAAAGGCTCGGCTCCTTTTCCTCTTCTGCGGAGAAACCCCCCCCCCATTTTCTCTTTCTCTCATTTTCCCCTTTATCTCTCCTCCAAATTTGCCTATATAGAACCTGTGGTGTTCCCAATATTTTAGCATAGTTATCGGATATCTGGTTGCTTTGATCTCCTCCTTTTGTTTGAATCCCCGTGTCTGGGCAGTCCGCCAACACCAGATCAATTTCTTGGCATCATGACGGAAAACAACATTACCCCTTCGACAGCCCAGCCTGCGACCTTGCCTACAACTGTCGCCGAGCAGCCCATTCAAGCAACCGCCACCCCGACCGCCTCAGTTACTGCAACTGCCGTCGCCGCCACCGCTGCAGTCAACAGCCCCTCCATGAACGGGGGTGGTGAACAGCTGCCTTGTCAATGGGTTGGATGCACTGAAAAGTCTCCTACTGCTGAAGCACTCTATGTAAGATCATCGCAATCGGTCTGGCACCTCAAAACTAGCCACTAACCTCCTACATAGGAACATGTCTGCGAACGCCACGTTGGACGTAAGAGCACTAACAACCTCAACCTCACTTGCCAATGGGGTACCTGCAACACCACAACCGTAAAGCGGGATCACATCACCTCACACATCCGTGTGCATGTACCTCTCAAGCCTCACAAGTGTGATTTCTGTGGCAAGGCGTTCAAGCGCCCCCAGGATTTGAAGAAGCATGTCAAGACCCATGCCGACGACTCCGAGATTCGGTCCCCCGAACCGGGTATGAAGCACCCTGATATGATGTTCCCTCAAAACCCCAAGGGGTATGCTGCTGCCACTCATTACTTTGAGAGCCCAATCAATGGTGTCAATGGTCAATACGCACACGCTGCCCCCCAATACTATCAACCACACCCTCCCCCTCAGGCTGCGAACCCCCATTCCTATGGCAACGTGTACTACGCCCTGAGCCAGGGTCAAGATGGCAACCATGCCTACGACCGCAAGCGTGGATATGACGCGTTGAACGAATTCTTTGGCGACCTCAAGCGCCGCCAGTTCGACCCCAACTCCTACGCCGCGGTCGGCCAGCGCCTCCTCGGCCTGCAGGCTCTCCAGCTCCCCATTCTGAATGGTCCTGTCCCTGAGTACCAGCAAATGCCCGCCTCTGTCGCGATCGGCGGCGGCGGCGGTTACAGCCCTGGTGGCTCCCAGGCCCCTGGATACCACCTTCCTCCCATGTCTAACGTTCGCACCAAGAACGATTTGATCAACATCGATCAATTCCTCGAACAGATGCAAAACACCATCTACGAGAGTGATGAGAACGTGGCTGCCGCTGGCGTCGCCCAGCCTGGCGCTCACTACGTACACGCTGGCATGAACTATCGCGCCACTAACTCTCCTCCCACTCAGCTCCCGCCAAGCCACGTCACCGCAACCACCTCCGCCCCCATGATGGCCGCCCAGGCTCACTCTCCCTCCGTCGGCACTCCTGCTCTGACCCCGCCTTCCAGCGCCCAGTCATACACCTCGCAACGCTCCCCCATCTCCATGCACCACGCCCACCGCGTCTCGCCTCCCCACGAGAGCGGCGCAGGCATGTACCCCCGTCTGCCGTCGGCCACTGTCGCCGACAGCATGGGCGCAGGCTACCCAACTGCCTCAGGTGCCGCCCCGCCATCGACTCTGAGCGGCGCGTATGACCACGACGACCGCCGCCGCTACACTGGTGGTACCCTGCAACGCGCTCGGCCGGCCGAGCGATCTGCTACCGAGGACCGCATGGACATCTCCCAAGACAGCAAGGATGATGGCGAGCGCACCCCCACCAAGGACCGTTCTGCTATGCACATTTCGGAGAGTCTGATTGATCCCGCTCTGTCTGGCTCACCGGATCCCGACCTGGAGGCTGCCCAGCGCACCGCTCAAGCTGCTACTGAGGTCGCCGAGCGAGATGTTAATGTGGCCTGGGTTGAGAAGGTCCGTCTGCTTGAGAACCTTCGCCGCTTAGTTTCTGAGCTTTTGGAAGCTGGTAGCAACCAGGGTGAAGCACAGAGCAGTTCGGCATCTCCCACACCGGGCCTCGATGCCATGGAAGGAATTCAAACTGCTTCGCGGGCCACTTCCGAACAACCCAGAGAGGAGGCCAAGGCCGAAAGTGCTGTCTTCTACCCTACATTACGTGGACTGGATGAGGATGGAGACTCTAAAATGCCTGGCGATGATGTGTAAATACACTTCCTTTTTTCGTCTTTTTTGATTAACGCCGTGACGACTTTTCCTTCTCTACTCCCCTTCCAAAGCTTTCGAACCAGTTCTATTTCTTTTTAAATCCGCACAATTCTTGTTTCTGGTTGTATGATTAGGGCTCAACAGTTCAAATTTACTATTTATTTACGGAAGTTGTTTGCAGTACCTCTGTAGATCTGTAATTTTGTAGACACAAGTTTGCAATGTTACGTGAGATCCACTTCAGGTCTTTTGTTGGATCGATTGGATCGACATGTCAAACCCGAAAGGGGGCAAAGGCAACATTCCCAAAGCTAAACTGCATCCGGGGGAGTGATGCAAACGGGTCAGATCTCATTGATCTCCATCTGGGGAATTCTACGGAAGATATTGCTAACTATGGATACATAGGTGGCTTAAGGTGGCTTTGATATTGGACAATATTTAGTTATAGAAGAATTGACAATTCAGACATAGAGGCATTAATTATGAGTATCTACATTACATGGAACAGTGTAAAAAGATAATAAATGTCCTATGTTCACTTCATGAAATATCGAGTAGAAGTATCATCACAATCCCACCTTAACTCTGCAATCGGAAGCATCTCCAATCCCACGCTGAGCACGTAATGGCAGTATTGGTATTTCCGTCACATCTCCGCCTATCGGTGAACTTCCCTTGTATGCATACGCCGTTATGACCAAACTCCACTGTTTATGGTTATCCTACACAACTTTTTTTGATTTATTTTCTTCATGTACACTTTGTTTTTCCCTCTTTCTCTTTTCTATTCTCTTTTCTACCCTCTCTCGTTGCTCTCTGTATTGGGTTGTGTTGTTGCAATTGAAAATTGAACTTTCCACGCGCCAAGGCGAGGAAGGCGGTCACCCCAAAACAGACGCCATATCGCGCGTGTTGATCGGCCTAGGGATTATCGATAATAACATCCAGCCACACAATATACCAACTTCACTTCGGCGGGTTTTGGGATTTTTGGAGGGAACCCTTGGACCATTGGATTTGTTTACTCTTGAAGGGTCTCTTTGATTACTTCGTGTTTTTTTCTTCCTTTTTTCCGCGGTGGCAAACCCACTCAATCTGTTGGCTGGCTCTGACGCTTTTCGTTCTCTGGTTCTACCTCTGAGCGGTCTTCCGATTTTGGGGCGCTGAAATCCGGATCCAGACTTGACTTTGTTTTTTTTCTCTCCCTCTGTTTTCTTTTTCGCCTTCAGACTTGCCTCATCTTATTATTTCGTTGCCCCGCGGTTTGTTTGTGGAGTACTTCGAATCGAACTTCATTGCCTGCGCAACCAAAAAAATAATTGTGACTCCGACGGCGATCATTCCATACTGGAGGAAAGTGACTGCCACAAGATATGCCACTCACCAACCGCCGCCGCGCGCGGCGCAAGGAAATTCAACTGCAGGAAACGTCCGATGCAGAGGCACCGGATTCATCGCCCAGCCGGCCCTCCGCAAAGAAGCGCAAGGTGAGTCAAATCGGTACTCTGAGACGAGATCTAATGCGCAAAAAACAATGAGCTAAGACCCGGTTTCTTCTTATCTGCAGGTTGATCGGCGCAACTCGCCTTCACGAAATGTCAAACATGAGTCCGGCGACGAGGCCGAGGACTCAGCAGGCGATCACGAACCAGCTACCAATCAAGATTTAGTCGATCTCGTCATCTCATACTTGAATACACCACGCGAAGAATTGCGCGTCTCCCGCGATCACTCCAACACTAAGACCGAAAACACACAGCGCATCCAGGCCTACGCCAAGATCGCCGGCCGCAACTGGACCTATTACGTCAAAACATTGCATGTCAACATTGGCCGCGAACCGGATCGTGAACCAAGAGCTACCGAACAGTCTAGCCCCGTGACAATTGCCGCTCGTGCGTTACCAGATGTCCATGTCGACTTGGGCCCCAGTAAATTCGTATCGAGACTGCATGCGGAGATCTTCTACGACGGCGAAGAAACACCCGCTTGGCACATTCGCGTCAATGGTCGAAACGGCGTCCGCTTGAACAACAACATTGTGAAGCGCGGTACCGATGCGATTTTATCATGTGGCGACATCATCGAGGTGGCCAACACCCAGATGATGTTTGTGACGCCCGGCGACGAGGCCAACATCCAGCCGAGCTTCATCGAGCGCGCCCAGCGCATTGCCAGTGGCCAAGAGCAAGACCCGGCTTTGGTCTCCTGGGACTCATCCCAACATGCCCATCCTCCTCAGCCGTCACAGGCCAGCGAGGCGGCGCGGCCCTCTTCATCCGGCGGTCCTTCGTTGGCACCTGCTCCACAGTTCCTCAAGCGACAGGTGACACCCCCGCCACGATCGCCTGATACAGTCGGGCAGCGCACAGCGAAACAGTCCCCGCTTTACAACCGAGGGATGATGATGGAGAGTACAGAGGAGATCGACTACAGCAAGGATGCCGCCAAAGACTTGAAACCGCCTTACAGCTATGCGACTCTCATTGCCCAGGCGATTTTCTCCAGCGAAGAGGAGAAACTCACCCTGAACAGCATTTATAATTGGATCATGGACAAATACGCTTTTTATCGCCATTCGCAAAGCGGCTGGCAAAACTCCATCCGACACAATCTGTCGTTGAACAAGGCGTTCCAAAAGGTTCCCCGGCGCACCGACGAACCTGGTAAGGGTATGAAGTGGCAGATTGCGGCAGAGTATCGGGAGGAGTACCGCAAGAAGCAGACCCGAAAGGGCGGCACCCAGTCTTCTGCTCCGTCGTCTCCTGCGACAAAGGAGCCTCCTTCATCAGCCGCGCGTGGGGCTCACGTTAGCAAGCTGGACACTTCATTCTCAGCCACATCGAAGAAGTCACCACCTGTATCGTCGCCTGGATTCAGCTCATTCCCCGTTGCCCCAGTGGAAGCATACACCCCGGAGCGCGGTTCCCGACTTGGACGTGGAGTAGGTTCCGACCATCCATTACGACACATGAACCCGCGCGACTACGATGAACCTTCACCACTCCCCGCACGCACCCACAATCACAGTTCTAGCGTGTCCACGCAGGTCCAAAACAGCAGCAACAACCTTGCCCGCGCGTACGGAATGTCCGACAACATCGCCAATTCGCCACCGGTCCTCTCATCATCTTACTATAATGAAGAGCCCTCTTCGATGATCACCCCCGCCCCACAACGCCAACAGCCCCGTCTCCCACCCCCAAGTACAGCGCAGATCCCTTCTAAATTCATGCCCATGAGCTCGCCCGCGCAGTTCTGGAAATTCGCTGATATCGGAAGTACGCCTGCCCGCCCACCACCGGACATGAGTCCGCTCAAGGGCGAGGTCGAAGACCGTATCATCGGCGGCTTCCCGAGCAGCAGTCCGCCCCCACCGAATCTCGTCAGTCCCAGTAAACCCGGGACGTCGAATGGACTAGGCTCGGGTCGCACTTTGCCGCCCATCAAGACGGACCCCGGGGATCTGGCTAATGATTCCCATGGGCGCAAGGAGGAGCGTCTGGAGGAAGAGGAGGAAGACGGTTCGGGCTTTGACCTTGCTAGGTATGTTTCTCGGGTTTATCGGTGTTCTTCTCTTCACGGTTACTAATGTTCAGCAGGGGATTCCAACCTATAGGCTCGTACCATCGTCAACTAAGCAACGCTGCCCGCGCAACGGCTACTTAGTTGGCAGAGTGTCTATGTACAACATGTCCACTTTCCAAAATGTTGATTGTTGATGTATGTGTTTACTGCTTGCTTATGCTTCCGCATTACGAATGGTGTTGGTGGCTTTGATCATTTTTATCGTTTTTCAGGTTTTCTCTCTCTTGGCCAAGAACGGAGTTTGAATATGTTTTTTGTTGTTATTTCTTTTCGGTGGACATTGGCGTTTTATTGCTTTTTGTCTTGCGTCATGGATAGATGGCTTTGTATGTACGGCTTCGAGCCAGATGTATGATATCACATACAATATTTTTACTTGCAAAACTCGATCAAGTACCGTAACGACCATTCCATATTTATATTTAAGGTCGCTGGAAAGCTCCAGTCTATTTAATCTAACGTACTATTCTAGATACACTATTTTTTCTACACAACAATCCCAAAGAGCAAAAAAAACAACTCACACAAGCTCAGGCCAGAACTTCTCCTCCAACCACACAATCTGCCTCCACCACTCCAAACACCTTCCACGCATGATCTCCGACTCCTCAGCCCCCTTAATTTGCCCAGCCATCTCATCCAAAACATCCCCAATCTGATTAACAAAGCCCTCGAACTCAACACTCGACCAATTATCGATAAACTTCCCCCTCAACGCACCCCCATCCGCATCCCCACTATAATCCCCGCCCCCATTTTTATTCCCATTCTCCCGCATACACCGCGCCGCATACCTCCAAGACCGAAGGTAACAAACCTCCGTAGCCCAAAGCACCGCCATCCCCTCCATCACCGAAACCCCCGTACTCCCGGCAGACATAAACATATCAATATACGCCCTAGTAGTCCGCGAAGCACAGAAGAAGAGCGTCCCGCTGCGCTCAAGACCAGTCTGTATGCCGCCGCGCACCGCTTCCGGCGCAGGCGTGCGCGCCCGACTAGCAGCAAACGCATCGTCGCTGACAGGCTGTGTATTGAACTCGGAGGGGACACACATGTCGCTGCCGGAGGGCATCTGACACTCGCCCTGGGAGACGCAGAGGGCGTGGCCGGTTGTGTTTTCTGTGCTCATGGGGCCGGCAATGTCCGTGTTGCCGCCTGTGAAGCCCGGGCAGCTGCCTGAGCCGCTGGTGGAGATGCCGGAGGAGGTGGTGATGTAGGAGCCGTTTCCGCAGGAGGTGAGGGCGCAGGCGCCTTCTTCTGCGGTAATGGCTGTTAGGTCTAGGGCATGGTCTTCAGCTGTTTTTTCGAAGAAGGCGAGTTCTGTGCGGATGTTGACGAGGGCGTCGATGAGGACGTTTATGGCCTTTTGTTCGCTTGTTGGCTGTTTTACGGCTGTTGAGGAATTTTGGGCTGGGAGACGGATTTTAGCTAGCAGGAGGCCGATGTAGCGGATGTACGACTGGGCGTAGAGACGGTCTTGAGAGAGCCATTGGCTTAGGAGAGGTTTGGGGAGGGTTCCGCGGCCTGCGGCGGCGAGGAATGGGTGGGTTGTTGCGCGGGTTAGCGCGTCTGGGGTGCTTGCTAGCAGGTAGGCTGTGAGGGGGCCTTGGGTTGTCATTTTGGGCAATTGGGCGATTGAGTTGAGAAGATCGGAGGTTGCGATATAAAACTCAAAGTAGGTGGGATGTGGGGGCGACAGTGGGATGAAGATGGTATGTCGTCAGAACCACAGCTTACTTTCTGTTCTATTTGTATATTTGTACTTATGGATTGAACCGTCAGTTTACATAGTTGGCAGAGATATTCATTCTCAACTAAACTAGGTCTAATCATACACGTCCCCTTTTTTTGTATTTTCACCTTTCATCTCCGCAAAGTTTGTTTCGACCGCAGATCCTATGGTCAACCCTCAAATTCTGGTCTTCGCCACAACCGTTGAGTTTCAAATTGATCCCACATCACTGGCATTAGTCGGACTTCCAAATTCAGGCTCTCGGGCTCCCAGAAGACTTGACCAGTGCTCAAGTCTCTAATTGGGAAGAGGCAATGGGATTGCGCTTCCATCTGGGTTCCGTTCGTAAGCACCCGGCTTCTCGCCAGCCACCTGAAGCATCAAAGTAACAAGAGCCTCCAAGGTATGATACGCGTCATTCCCCGCATTATGCAAGTGTCGTCCCACGAGTTGCAGTTTCTTCAACAGATTAGCGAGTCCTGGAGGCTGAGATTCCTCGGCATAAACTCGGTACAGTTGCGCCACATCGACAACCTCCTTGATGATGGGAGTGCTTGGGAACGGAAGAGACATGTCCAATTCGCGGAAAGTCTTGCAGCCTTTGCGCTGAAGAATCATGATGTCACTTTGGAGATTCAGGCCGACTAGAATCACCGTGCGCTTCTCTCCGGTGGACTTCAGTGGCGGGACTTTGAAGAATGCATCGTCTACGGCCTTTGCAATTTCCGCATTTGGGATAAACTCGCTCTTGCCATAGTCGAAATTACCGGGACAACCTTGTAGGTATTTCGTATTGACATAGTGCCGGTGCTCTTCGACGCGCAGATGGCGGGATTGAATTTTCGAGAGCCACATGTGGCCGAAATCGCCGGGAACCACATCTTGCAAGTTGTACATATCCAGAGTTGAGATCCCAACCTCTGTCAGGACACCATAGTCCTCCATCCACTCCACATCAACGCTGATGAAGATGGGCATATCATGAAACTTGAATTTTGCGGGGGTTAAGACATCAACAGGATCCAGTTGGCCACTGGTGAAAGAGGGCTGCTCAACGTTTTGTTTCAGCGCAGGTCGTAGCCCAAAACAGGCTTGCATACGACCCAGACACTGCTCTAATTTCTTCTTGGCAGCATCACGCTTTGCCTGCTTTGCCTTCTTCTGCGCAGCTCTGTCAGCCTTGACTGTGGCAACAGACGCTTTGATCTTTTCTTCAAACGCCTTGAAAACTGTAGGATCGACCTCCTTCAACGCATTTTCCCAGATTTCCGTGGACTTTGGAATAGCATCTATCAACTTGTTCTTCTGCCAAACAGTTTGGCTTTGGCCGATGAATTCGGGCCGGGGCAATCGGTCGTTGTCGAATTCGAGCACAAGCCCTTGCTTTCCTTGGCCCATGAGGGTCAAATTGATCCTCAGAGCTGAGTTGATCTCGTCCAGCAGTGCCTGAGCATGCACAGTGGGGATAAGAAGGAATGGCTTTTCATCAATTGACTTTGGAATGGGCAGAAAATAGCTGCAAAAGGTATTAGACATCTACTTCTGTCACAAATGCATAGCACATACAGATCCCAAGTTCGAGACCAGAATTTGTCACCGTCGTAGAATCGCTCGGAGACATTCTTGGACAAGTCACCCGAGCAATAATTGATGGCAAAACGAGCCATGGTCACAGCGGGAGTAAACATCGTGGGAATCGTGGGAGGGCGACATATATCTGGAAGTGGAAGAACAAGCTCCTTGGGAACAACAGGGCCGCTATCGTCCGAGGGCGTGGTCGACAACGGGCTCATCTCCGGGATAGTGCAACTGGGGGACCTAACATACTGATCGAGTTCGGTCAAATATCTGTCGCCTTCGACTGGGATGCCAATCACAAGGGTACGAATGTAGGAAAGTTGAAATTGTTCGTTGACAGGAATTGCGACGGGGGTAACGGGGTCGAAATCAAATTCACTTACTCCTTGCTCAGCTTGAATAGATGGAACAGGGGTGCTTCCTGGTTGGGCTCTGCGGGGATGGGCCTGGTGGTTCAAACGAGTATCAACATCCATGGATTGCATGTCTCCAGAGTAGAGCATGTTGAGACGCTCTTGAGGATCCATTAGGAGATGCAAAGGTTGAAATAGGTCTGAGATGTTTAGGTGAATATGGAAGAAAATAAGAAAAACAAGAAGAAGAAGAAAAAGAAGAAGAGGAAGAAGAGGAAGAAATTCAGGAAGCAAAACAACGAAAAAGACGCGACGAGAGGCTTTGTATAAAGTTCTAAATTGGGAAGGAACGGGGTCCAACTGTGGCGTTTCTCCCAGTGTTATCAGGTGTACTTTCTGTATGCACATGTCCTGCCTAGTACTCTCTAGTATAATCTAATGATGTTTCACTAAATTTTACATATATGTACATACGTATTACAATGAAAGATCTCTGCGTATCTCTATATCTCTACTCTCTCAGATTACATGTCTCCAACGGTTGTCACTTAGGTAATGAATTATGATCTGTCTCATTTCATAAGATTACTTTTACCTAGATATTGACTCAAATAGATTATTGTTCAAGTCAAATCAAATGGAATATGTATACGACTATATACAATACTGTACACTGTTGAAGTAGATATAGACCCACATACCGGTGAACGGCAAGGAACCCCCGGACGGGTACGGACTAACAGTAATCCGATGTTTAGGACGTGCAAGCATTCAAGCTCTTCTGTTATCTGATGCCTAGGCCCCTCGGTGTTCGCGTTTTCTCATCGCTGCTTTGCAGTCAGATATTTTATTAGCATCTACTTTTCCAAAGGGGAGAACACACCTTCCGTTATCGACCCGCGAACAGCTACCCCTTACCATGCCCATGACAGACGAGACAGACGACAGCGGAGGGGTCATCCTCGAAGGCCCCTTCGACCCAGATGCACAAGCCACAGTTACAGACTTTATTGACTATACTGAATATCTCCCGGCCGACCTTATCCGTTCCCTCACACTCATCCGTGGCCTTGACGATCGATACCTTGACTCGGCGCAAGCCGTGCACCAGCTCACACAGGTCTACGGCCAACTTCCAAGCCTTCCCCCCGACAATCGACCGGGCGCAATCGCACTGCGCAAAGATATATCATCTCAAGTGGATCGCGCCATCAATGCGCGTGAGTCAGCGTACGCAGAAGCCTGCCGACTTTACGATGTCGTAGATCGCCACTTCGATCGGCTGGGTTGCATTCGCCAGAAGCTCGAAGCACTGCCTAAACCTGCCTCGGAGGAACCAACACCGCCCCCACAACTGAAGCGCGCGCGCGGAAGCAAGAAGACCAGTCGAGATTCAACTACGCGTATCACCCTTCGCTTGGACAATCGCAATAGGAGAGACCCCAAGTCCAGGAGGCGCGTCTCGGCCATCGACGGGACCTTCGATCCAGATTCTCCGCTTGCTAGCACTGAGCAGTCGGATGTGGAGGGTGAACTCATCAAACTGGCCCCTAGGCCTCGACCCCCGAAGAAAGAAAAGGCGCGTCGCCCCAGCGCGGGTACAGGACAGTCCACGGCCCAGGCTCTTGCGCAATTGAAACCGCCGCCAGATGACGCGAAGTTGGGCAGTGAAGATCTACCATGGCTGCGATTGACCGAATGGGAGATGACCAGACTACGAAAGAAGATGAAGAAGAACGCTGTGTGGCAGCCCAGCGAAGTAATGATTCACCGTGAGCTGGCCTTGGCAAATCGTGGATGGGAAGCATACCGTGCGGCCAAGGCCCGGGCAGAGGACACGGGCGCAGAATTCATCGACTGCGATAATATCGAGGAGACGCGACGCGGTGAGGCTGCCAAGGACTTGGAGGAAACGAAACTGAGCAACCGCGGCATGAAATTGAACGAGGCAAAGAAATTGAAGCGCGAGCAACTGGCCCGTGAGCAAGCCTTGATGGAAGGCGAAGGAGGCGTGGGTGTATTACCCAGGCCTTTGCCAAGCCCGGCCCAAGCAACCCCAGCTGCGAATCGATCATCACGCAAGAGGAAAAGGGAAGAAGTGGCAGTTGAAGAACCAGAATCCATTCCCGCCGAGCCACCAACTCCTGTGCCTGTTGCTGCACCCGCCGTACCCGTCGCCCCTGTATCTTTACCTTCTAGGGCTGGTGCGTCTCGGCGTAGATCCAGCCGAGGAGCCGCCACAGACATCAGCACTGAACCAATCGCCCCGATCAAAACCCACGTTTCCCCTGCACCCGAAACAAAAATATCTTCACCTCTGCCCAGCCCAACGGGTTCCCGGCGCTCCAACCGATCTGTTGTTCCACACGTCACTACCCCAACACCACCAGTCACACGGCCCTCATCACGGCGCTCTATGGCCGCCGCATCAATTGAAGGAGGAACCCTCGGCAACATCCCCACAGCAGTAGCAGCAAGCGGGCGCGACCGCCGCATTAAGAGTGCCACGCCCGCCCACAAGACCCCCGTCCGCGAGTCGTCCCACGCACCAAGCGTCCCCGCTCCGGCCCGGCGGCGGAAACGTCCTGCGCCAGGACCCATTTCCAATGGCCAAGATGGCGGCGCGGCGGTCAGTTACGGGCGGCGCAAGGCCAAGCCTGGCAAGAAGCGAATCAACATCCGTGATTCCCAGGATGTCCGCGTGGACGAAGATGGCGTGTTGGAGCAAATTGACGCTAATGAGCCCCGGTATTGCCTCTGTGGGGATGTCAGCTTTGGGACGATGATTTGCTGCGAAAACCAGGATGTGAGTGGATATCTGGCCCTGTTATCTCAATTTAATACTAATGTTTCGCAGTGTGACCGCGAATGGTTCCATCTTGACTGCGTGGGCCTTGCGGAGGTTCCTTCGCGCACAGCCAAGTGGTACTGTCCCCAGTGCCGTGTCAAGCTGCACAAAGGAGAGGATGGGATAATCAAGGGTGGATCGCGACGTTGAATTTGGATCGAATGAATTGCTTGTATGATACCACGATGCGTTTGCGTCTTTTATTCTGCTTTTCTGGCGGGAGTTGTTTTGGTGTATCAACGGCGTTGTCTCTCTACCAAGTAATCACAACATTTCATTCTTGGATTTTTCTTAACTATTTTCAATCTCTAGGATTGAATCATTGATTCGTGCAGATACCTGCTCTCATCTTGTCTTCGCAGCTGGGTATGATAGACACACTTTCACCATCGTACTGTGGCATGGAGGTATGAGGTTCTTTTCAGGTCCATTCTGTGGGCGTTCTTTTGAATATTCTAGGAAGCAGAAACTCAGCAACCGATTCACGCATACGTATATTCCTTACTTCATGTAAATTCCACATTTTAACGCCCTGTCCTCCAAATTACAAAATTACAAAAGCGTCAGTACCAATTCGATATCCCAATATCGACCCAAAGACAAATGGCTACCCCTTGGGTCGATACGGGATATATCGCAAGCTGTCCTTCTCCCGCTCTTCAGAAACTTCCTCCATGGCAGGCAATTCCGAGCATCCCTTATCCATCCCCGCCTTAGAGTACCGATTACTCGAATCCGCCATTTCCTGAACATTATCAGAGCCAGGCCCCGGATGATAAAAGTCCGCCGGCAACTCCACAGCCACGCTCTTCCGCGCCTCATCCCCATATCTCGGCAGCGGCATGGTATAATTCTGCGGCCAAGCAGGTCCGTACTCCGACCCTGCCGGCGATCTAGGCTCCGACCCCGCAGACATAGACATCTGATCAGAGTATCTGCGCGAGCGGGTTGATCCCGACACCCGCAGCGGCCTACTGGAGCGATCAGCCGGATTGAACGTCTTCAGCTTTCCGTCTTCCATCATAGCCTCGAGCACGCCCGCGTCCAGTAGTTCCGCTTTCTTGATCAGTCGGTCGACGAGAATTTTGGACGCGGCTTTTAACTGGTTCCGGACGAAGCTGATTAGCGTGCGGTTACATTCGATCGCGATGTCCTCACGCAGATACAAGCCGGTCTGCGGGGCGTCGGGGTGCTGCTGCTCGTGCCCCGAGGGCGAGGGCTCGTCGGCTTGCGTGCCGCCGATGCGCCATTTGCTTTGCAAGTCGATACCCATCGGCGCGTACATGTGCGTCTGAAGACCCCACGCCTCATTCTGGAAACAGCCTTTGAAGCTGATCTTTCCAGAGCCTATCTTGCCCAGCCCCGGGATGTATTGTACGCGCTCGGTGATCTCGTACCATGTTGAGTAATATTCGTCTGCGCTGGCGTCCCGGGGGGCTCTTATTGGGTTGTGGGTGAGGACGAGGGGGTTTAGCGTGATTATTTCGCCATGGCTGTGGAGGATGTCGAGGGCTAGTTGGCGTGGGACGCAGGAGGGGATGGGTGTGATGTTTGTGTATACTTCTTTTCTCCGCATCATTGTGGATGAGGGGTGTTATATATGGTGCGACGGTGGATGTTTTGCGCTAAGCAAAGCAGGGAAGAGAAGCAGGAGGAGTTTAAGATAGGACTCGAAATTGGAAATTGCCGGGCTCGTATTCATCTTACAATTTAGGTTGCAACCATCAGCCTTTCAAGGCTGTGGTGGGGGTAGGAACCGGTGAGTAGAAATCCTGCAGAGATCCGACATCTGACACATGCCGATTTATCTATTTTGGGGCTGAGTCGGAAATGAATACCAATAAAAGACCATAATACAATTTCATAAACTTCTGATATGTAACATATTTCGAATTCACTGGAGTTCCCATTTATCGCCCTCGGAAATAATTTCCACAGGTCGCCTTTCATCAAGAGACTTACGACCGGCATCCAGAATCGCAGTGGTGGCAATCGTATTCCGCAGAGTAGGCAGCGGGCGGGCATCGAGCTGGTCGAGAGTTACTCGTCCCTCATTGACACTGGTGACAGCGTCGATAAACTTCTCGAAACTAATGTAGCCGTATCCGGTCTGCCCGCTAAAGTTCCCTTCCTCATCGGGGGCATAGCGCATGTAGAATCTTTAACAAAGTCAGCATGGGAACATAAGATACTCTTTTGATAGGGTTCTTACGGATTGAAGTGGACCAGACCCTGATCGTCACCAGTCACTTCGTAGCCCCGCTTGGCCTGGTTCACGCGAATCTCACCGTTGGCCGCCATATCTAATTGATGCGTCAGCAATTTATACTAGTTCATTACTAGTAGAAGGCCAAACTTACAATGGAAGTATTGGTTGGAGTGAACGCCCGCATTCTGAGGGGCTGTCCAGCTAGCGGTATAGACACCGGTGGCAATTTTCGCGGGGTCATCACGGCGGCGCCATTCAACCAGAAGGGTGATAGTATCCTCAGTCTCGGGAACACATCCCAGAGCCGCAGCGGTACCCTGCGATGCAGAAGCCGTGACCCGCACGGGCTTGTAGTCGGGCACCATGCTCTCGCAGACATCGATGTGGTGAGAGTTAAGGTAGTAAGAAATGTCCGAATCACGGCCCGCCCAGGCCTTGAAGGTCTCGAGCTGGCTCTTCGGCTGGCTCATATAGCTGTAGAAGTAATTGAAATCACCCAGACTCTTGGCTTTGGCTCGCGCGTCAGAGTAAGCCGGGTCAAAGCGCTTGTGGTGTTCGATGAAGACGAAGACGCCATTCTTACGCGCGGCCTCAACCAGAGCGAGGTGGTCTCCCAGGCGCTGGGTGGCTGGCTTGGTGATCAACACGTGGTGGCCACGCTCAATGGCGTATAGGGCAATTGGGTAGTGGGTTGAGTCGGGGGTGAAGATTGTGATGGCAGAGCCACGAGGAAGAGCATCGATGGCGGTCTTGTAGGCGTCGGGATCGGTCTGGTCGTCCGCTGGGAACGAGGTGAAGGAGGTGTCCAGGTTGTTATAGACTTGGGAGATATTGCGGTGCAGATGGTCACCTTGGGTTTGCGGTCAGCGTCTCGTTTCAATTGATTTTCACGAGGTTTTACTTACGGATACCGGGGAACTTCTTTCCCGATACGCCCACCATGCTCAGATCACCCACCTTGCCTCGTCGGCGCAGGTCAAAGAGTGTAAGGCCTACCACGCCGACCTTCTTGTCTGAGCCAGATGCACCACCACCGACAAACCCGGTGGTGTATTCACCGGTGCCGACCTGTGCTGTTAGCTCGATGTTTCATGCGGGGAGGTATCCTGTCTTACCATTAAAACGCTAGGAGGAGCCATGATGTGTGTATATAGGAATTGAATTCCGAGAACTGTCTGGGGATAAAAGAAATTTAAAACGAGAAATAGGAAACCGGGGTCTTTCAATGTCTTTAGATTGCTGGAGATAATTCTTCCGGCGTTTGAATTCCACTTCCCTCACTTCCTAATATTGCAAAGTCAATAGCCGTCTCCCCATGTATTTCTTGATATTTTGGTTTTTCGCTTCTCCTCAGTGCTAATTCATTGTTAGTATTTTCTGAGTACTTGGAATTGAATTGTTTATATTACTCTCATATGTTATCTTCTATTACCTTCTTAATTTATTCTAATCGACTACTCTGTAACGAACAAGTGCATTTAGCCGCCTTTTACCCCTCATATCCCCCACATTCAGCGCACATAACCTGATTGGCGGAATCAAATTCTCCATAAATGAAAGTGCATCGGGACAATCGCCGACGTGGGGGGAAATGATGGAATTACTATGCGAAGTGTCAATAATGTCTTTAATTGCTCTATATACCCCTCTCACAATCCGTGTGAATCACTTTGTTTGATTAATTCTAAAAAAAAATAACAGCATCAACCATAATCATGCCTCTCACCGCACTCCGTCCCGGCGTCTATGCGCCAACAATGACCTTCTTCGATGCCCAAACCGAAGAGCTCGACGTCGCCTCTATCCGTCGCCACGCTGTACGCCTAGCCAAGGCCGGCCTCGTCGGTCTTGTCACTATGGGCTCAAACGGCGAAGCCGTGCATCTCACCCGTGAAGAGCGTAAGACCGTCACTCGCGAGACCCGTTCCGCCCTCGACGAGGCCGGCTTCTCCGATGTGCCTGTTATTGCCGGGGCCAGTGAAAATAGCATCCGCGGAACCATTGATCTGTGCAAGGAGGTCGCGGCTTCCGGCGGCGAGTACGCCCTGATCGTGCCTCCCAGCTACTACCGCGCTGCCATGGGCAACGACGAAACCCTGTACGAGTACTTCACTGCTGTTGCCGACGGCTCGCCCATCCCTCTTATCCTGTACAACTACCCCGGCGCGGTCGCCGGCATCGACATGGACTCCGACCTTATCATCCGCATCTCCGAACACCCCAATATCGTTGGCACCAAGTTCACCTGTGCCAACACTGGCAAGCTGACTCGTGTCGCTAACGCTCTCGGCGCTATTACTCCTTCTTCTCCATTGGCGCCGGCCCAGCGCACCGCCACTGTCTCCAAGCCTAACGCTAAGCACCCATACGTTGCTTTCGGCGGTATCGCCGACTTCACTCTTCAGACCCTCGTCTCCGGTGGCTCTGCCATTCTTGCCGGTGGCGCGAACGTTCTCCCCCGTCTTTGTGTGCGCATTTTCACGCTTTGGTCTGAGGGTCGTCTAACAGAGGCTATGGAGGCACAGCAGCAGCTGAGTGCTGCCGATTGGGTTCTCACTAAGGCTGCTATTCCTGGTACTAAGGGCGCTATCCAGTCCTATTACGGCTACGGCGGGTTCCCTCGCCGCCCTCTGGCTCGTCTCACTGAGGCCCAATATCAGACCGTTGCGGATAAGATTAAGTCTGCGATGGATGTGGAGTTGACTTTGCCTGACGTGGCATAAATGCTGGGATGGCAACTTTTCAAAGCCAAGTAATGATTTCCAAAGTATATATTAAAGTTTACGATATCAGATCTATTCTTGGACTCCCTAATAGTTACACGTAAACGCTTCCAAGATTGCCATTTGCATGGATGAGCGATGACTTTATTTCCCTTCCATCTTTGGATGGATGTGATCATTAACTCAAAATGTTTATATTCGCCCCCAGTTTCGCAAAACTCTACTCTATATAGCTACAAACCTTCCAAGGTTGACAATTACGTTGGTTTTCATACTAAGGTACTAGTTTGATGACCCTATACATAGTTAGCGTTAGTATTTCCAGAACAGGGTCGGACAAGAGAGCTTCGCTGCACCAAAACAATGAACCGATTCAACGAATATTCGCTGCTATACCAAACATTATGCGAGGAACACTAGGGAGGCCGCAGTATCCACTGTGTAGAGAAATCGAGTCACATTGAGAACATCAAAGAACTGCTGAACGACACAAAGCGCAATAGGAACGAGGAAAATCAGCTTTTAAAGAGTGAGTGTCGCAAAGAGACGAAAATTCGGAGGAATCGATCAACACTTCACAATATGTTTGAAATGTACATTCCAAGCCCTCAACTATCCTTATCTACCTCCGATAAGAATTTGGACTAAATTTCTCTTCGAGTGTTCATTGGTGGAAAAATCCCAAATCGGAGTTGATACGAGACCAGGCCGTTATCAACTACGTAGTACGACAGTACACGAGTTTACTAGGTGATATTCTAAACACCACCCCACCAAGTCTAAGAACCCCACGCTGCCCAGACCTCTTGACATCGCCAATATCGTATTTGATTCTCGCACGAGACTGGAGACTCGATTCCGCGCTCTGATTCCTGGGCTTATATCCGTAGTTTGGCCGGTGGATCCAGTCCACGGGACAATGTCCGATTGTGGGGATTGCGGTTGTAGACGCAGCACCGCAGTGCTACGATAATGGATTCGAATTGGGATTATATCCCGCGTAACAGGGAAACATTTCGCGATCCGTGCTCGCTGGGAGGGATTGAAATTTCGTGGCGTTGATATACATCCCCCTCCTCTTCCCCTCCACCCCGCTAGTGTTGTTGGTTTCTACTTTTTTTCGCTTTTGCTTTGTCTGTCTTTCTGCCGTCGTTATACTGCAGATTACTTTGGATAAGACACAAAGACTTCATACTATCAATTGCTCATCCCTGTCATAATGCCTTACCCTGAAGAAGCCGAAGGTTTCCAGGTCGATGGACCTGCGAGCTTCACCCAGTTCCACAAGCGCTTCGTGAGTATCTTTCTTGGGGGTTTTGATAGAGAATGTGCTGACTTAAATCATGGAAAAGTTCAAGCTGAAGCCATTTGGCGACTATGGTGAGTCGTGATTTCTATGCTCTTATTGCTTTCCTATTTCTGACTGTGCATAGATGTCGATGTTAAGATTGAGGCCTGTGGCGTGTGTGGTAGCGATGTGCACACCATCAGTGGTATGTCGAGTTATTCTTGAAACACAAAGCTTAAGCTGACACACTCTATAGGAGGATGGGGTGAACAGAAGTTCCCTCTCTGTGTGGGTCACGGTATGTAAACCCGAGAAACCCAAGTAGCCAATGCCTCTTGCTGACAACTGCCTCAGAGATCATTGGCCGCGCAATTCGTGTCGGCCCCAAGGTCACTTTGATCAAGGAAGGCGAGCGAGTCGGAGTCGGCGCGCAGTCCTACTCCTGCGGCGAGTGCAAGCAATGCAAGAACGAGAACGAGACATACTGCCAGGTGCAGATGATGGACACCTATGGCTCAGAGTGGCCCGAGACCGGGATTGTCAGCCAGGGCGGATACTCGTCGCACGTGCGGACACACGAGCACTGGGTGTTCCCGATCCCGGACGCTCTGGAGAGCAACACCGTGGCCCCGATGCTGTGCGCCGGATTGACTGCGTACTCGCCCTTGGTTCGCAATGGTGCCGGGCCGGGTAAGAAGGTTGGAATCGTGGGACTGGGTGGCATTGGTCACTTTGGAGTCATGTTTGCTAAGGCGCTGGGCGCGGAGACGTGGGCTATTTCGCGGTCTCGGGCTAAGGAGGCGGATGCGCTCAAGCTCGGCGCCGATGGATACATTGCTACTGCTGAGGAGGGATGGGAGAAGGCCCATCTATGCTCGTTTGATTTGATTATCAACTGCGCTAACTCTTCTAAGGGCTTTGACCTTGCGCGCTATTTGTCCATGATGGATGTCCACGGTCGCTGGATTAGTGTCGGTCTGCCTGAGGAGGAGGGTCAGGTTATCAAGGCCCAGAACTTGATTTCTAACGGCGTTCTCATTGGCGCAAGTCACTTGGGTAGCCGTCGGGAGATGCTTGAGATGTTGCAGCTGGCTGCGGATCGGGGACTCAAGGGATGGGTGGAGGAGATTGCTATTGGAGAGGAAGGTCTCAAGGAAGCCATGGAGCGCATGAAGAAGGGAGATGTTCACTATCGGTTCACGTTGACCGGTTACGAGAAGATCTTCGGTTGAGGTGCTTTGAAAAGAACCATATTGTCAATAGTAAAACGGGTGGGGGTTGCAGGGGTGTTCTACTTCTTCATGAGGCTCTATAGAAAGTTGTAAAAATGGAATGATATCTCTTATTCGGTATTTTGTTTATTCATTATTTCAGAGACCGTTGTTTACATGTATGTTGTTTACATGTATGTTGTTTACTGCATGTATGCACATATGTTGTACAGCATTCTTCATGGTGGATCTGAGAAAGTCATACAAAGTGCCAAAGGAAATGTCCGATGATGTGTACTTATGACATAGATTGCCTTGTAACGTATAATACAATTCTAAAACAAAAAAAATTCGATGGTCTCCCAAGCAAAGAAAAGCCTGTTTGCCACCTGCTGATTTGAGGTACTCAGTACTTACTGATCTGCGGAGGATTACCGTGGCGATCTAGGTAGCGGTACTCCGCAGTTCGGTTCCTCCCCCATGATTTGCCCCCCCATTCACAATTTTCGATCCGCAGGGGGGCGAGTACCCAGAAAGGGTATCAGATACTTGACTTTCCGACTATAATGTTACGGTGATCTCAGTACCTGTTACTTGACTCTTGAACCAATCACTTCCCACCAATTCACCGCCCGACCCTCAGACCGGTTAGTTCTGCTTTCTGGAATTCTTCCGCCCTTTTTTTATCTCTCCTTGCAGCCTTCTTTTTTTCCCCTTTGTTGTATTTCTCTATCGGTCAATATTTCATTCATTATACTCTCTTTTTGTTCATTCTCTTAGGTTCTTGGAGTTCGCGAACGGTCGTTGAAATCTACACTTTGTTAGGCTTATATCTCACAGAGCTTCCCAAGATCACCATCGCATTGAGCAACAATATATTGGCTGGACTTACACAAAAGCGTTGTCATTCACTATCCCGACTATCGTCAATACCCGTTTGCGATCATCGGAATTGTCTAAATTTACTGTCTAATTTGTTTTCTACATACCAATCGCGATTTTGGTCATGTCGCCACCAAACCATACCGCCACCTCCACACGCCGACGCCCATCGGTGTCGTTTCGACCACGCCCACGAACTGCTGGTCATCCTGCCCCGATATCGAAGGATTGCGCTTTTGACATTTGGCAAGAGCCATACTTGACAGGGATATGCCAAGATGACCATGCACCGGTCGTGGAAGAGATGGACCCGTTCCCCGATGCGGTGCCTCGACGCCGTGGTGCCAAAAGTTTTTCGAGCTTGAAGCATCCTGTGGACGGCTTGGTGGCTCTCGGACGTCGCCTGTCCGTCACTCTGCGCCACAAACCTTCCAAGCAAAATATCTCTCTCGCCGAGAACGTTCACTTGGTCGACGACAAAGACCGAACTTATCACCATGTCCCAAGCCGCACACACACACGCATGGCCTCTGGCAACTGGGATGCCCGGACAACAAATGTCTACTCGCCCCAGGGCTACAGCGTCAACCGGCGCCCCTCTTTGAACAGCGTGTCCGCCCTGCACGGCTTCTATGCTCCTATTGCATCCGTCCCAGCCCCCATTCCAGGCCGAGGACAAGCGCCTCCGGTACTGCCAAATCACATATTCTCTGGCGCCGCAGCGCGTGCCGCGGCAGCTGCACAGAATGAACAGATGGAGGTTGCTAGAATGGCCAAGGCGGAGCGGGAGTCGAGCAAGATTATCGAGATGAGGGTGCCACAGGACTCGGAGAGTGGCATCGGAATTGACTTGCGTGATCGATCAGAGATATCAGATGCAGAGTTGCTGGATCTTGTCAGAATTGGTAAGCTTTGACGTGACAGAAGCATGTATTCACCGGCTAACGTTTTCACAGACCCCGTTGCTCTTCTCCCAACTGAAATTTCAGCCCACATTCTTTCATACCTGGACCCCGACTCACTCCTGAACTCAGAGCTTGTGTCTCGCACCTGGCTCCGGGCGTCCTCTTCTCATGTTTGGAAGCATGTTTTTCGCGGTGCATATGACCGACGGCCCCAAAGCGAGACAGCTTCCAAGCTGAGACAGTCTTCTGGTTTGGGAAAGTCAATCCCAAACCAAGATTGGAAAAAGATGTTCCTTGTCCGGCGGGCTCTTGATCGCCGCTGGAAGGACGGCAAGGCTGCAGCTATCTATCTTCAGGGTCACGAGGACAGCGTGTACTGCTCCCAATTTAACGAGTAAGTTAAACCCATTTGTTTGTTTATGGGCCTCGCTAACAGTCTCGTAGGAACAAAATCATTACTGGCTCCCGTGATCGGACTATCCGTGTATGGGATGCAAAATACCCGTACAAATGCCAGAAGATCATTGGACCACCCTCGGCTCGGACTTTTCGCCGTGGTCCAGTAAATAGCCCGACTTCCCAAGCCACGGGAAGCTCTCCCTTCATGACCATCACCCCGCCCTGGCCGACGCCAGATGAGACGACAGAAATCACAGCACCGATGGAGGAGGAGGGGTCGGTGTACCACAGCGCGTCAATTCTGTGTCTGAAATTTGACGAAGAGATCATGGTGACCGGGTCCTCTGACTATACCTGCATTGTATATGATATGAAGAATGACTACCGACCAATCCGCCGTCTTTACGGACACCAGGCTGGCGTGCTTGACGTGTGCTTCGATGATCGATACATTGTCTCATGTTCAAAGGACACCACCATCTGCGTTTGGGATCGCCACACCGGTAGTCTTTTGAGAACACTCACCGGCCACGTAGGCCCTGTGAACGCCGTGCAGCTGCGCGGTGATCTGATTGTATCAGCAGGTGGCGACGGCGTGGCCAAGATGTGGAATGTGATCTCGGGCCAGTGTGTCAAGCAGTTCCTCAGCAAAGACCGTGGCCTCGCTTGTGTTGAATTCAGTGACGATGGCAGGACCATCTTGACTGGCGGTAACGATCGCATAATCTATCAATTCGACGCTAACACGGGCGAGCTGGTCAACGAGCTCCACGGGCACACGGGCTTGATTCGGTCTCTGCATTTGGACAGCGCAAACAAGCGCATCGTCAGTGGCAGCTACGATATGAGTGTCAAGGTGTTTGACCGCGATTCGGGCAATCTGTCAATCAACTTCCCTGGCTGGACCACGAGCTGGATGCTGAGTGTGCAGTCCGATTACAGACGCATTGTGGCTACCAGCCAGGACTCCCGGACGGTCATTATAGACTTTGGATATGGTCTAGACGGGATCGAACTATTAGAGGAGTGATCCATCTGCAACTTATAAACCGTTTGTCTTTACTCTAGCGATTTTTGGGTTTCATATTGGTTCTATACATTGTTGGATCACAAGGAGTCAGATTTGGAGGTTCTCTCTTGTGTACAAATTGGAACGGGGACAGATATAGGCAGGATAGATCCTTGTTGCTTCTTTCGTTCTAACATATATTGGCATCGCGTTATTGGTACAGCGAATTTCGGAAGTTCTATCCACGTTTTTAATTCATTTGTTTTGAGACAACGATTCAATTATGGACATCATCCATTGTAATATATCTTAAACAGGGCGATGGAGAAAGGGCCGAACAGAGCGGTCAGTTTATGTTCCAATATATTATACGAATAATATGGAATACCTTGAGGCAATGTTGAATTATTACCCTTAGGAACTGAATATGAATTAGATCTATCGGTTACGACAAAAGTATCCTTCTTAGACATATAACTCCTGAGACCTAATAAATCATGCGATCAATCAATAGTTCCGACCACTATCAAGTCAAAACCGACACCTCAGGCCAATATAAGCTGACTAATCAGCATGTGATTCGCTGGAAAAAGTGGGTAGCGCCAGTTGTGATCCGTGGGATTTAGCATCAAAACAATCTCTCCGCTGTTTCCCATCAACACACAGGCAGAGACTGACGAGAAGTCCTGATCTTGAGGTGTAATATCTCCATTGAGTTCTTCTCCCGCTTAGCGCTCATCTTAAACTCGTTTTTCCTTTTAGCGTTTCCATTGACACTCTATCCTACCCCACCATCATGGGCGAATCCCGGTTCGGCTTTTCTCCTATTCCATATTCTCTCGCGATAGAACGGTCTTGCTGACGTGGAACATTCGATTCGTTTAGACAAGAATTGCTGGCATGGCTTAACAACCTGCTTCAGCTGAACCTTACCAAGATTGAGCAATGCGGAACTGGGTATGGACGATCAGCACCATCCCCTCTCAAACCACGTCCTGCCGGGCAGGCTTTTCTCTTGTAGATCGGATGGCTAATACGTTGTTGCTATACCTCTATAGTGCTGCGCTCTGCCAGATTTTCGATTCGATCTTCAGTATGTAACCACGACATGCAAACCAATTTGAAACCGAGGAGCGCTTGTGGAGCATATACTGACCGGGCTATCTCTTTGTTCAGTGGATGTTCCCATGTCCCGGGTCAAGTTCAACGTGAACACCGAATACGCCTACCTTCAGAATTTCAAAGTTCTCCAGAGTACGTTTGACACGGACGAATCGACCAACGGGGCCCCTTTAACATGATAAATCAGATGTCTTCGCTCGCCACCAGGTCAACAAGCCAATTCCCGTCCAATCCCTCACAAAGTGCCGCATGCAGGACAACCTTGAATTCCTCCAGTGGGTGAAGAAATACTGGGACCAACACTACCCCGGTGGTGAGTACGACTCCGTCGGCCGTCGCAAGGCTTCCGGCGCCCCCGCTTCTACCGGCGCTCCCGCAGCCCGTGCCCCCTCTGCAGGCAGCGCACGTCGTGGAGTAACCCCCACAACCGGCGGCGTCCGTCCCCGAGTTGGAGCGCCGAGCGGAGCGGCCACATCTGCCCTACAGCAGGAAATTGCGACACAGAGAGAAGCCATCGCCGGGCTGGAAAAGGAGCGCGACTTCTACTTTGCCAAACTCCGCGATATCGAGTTACTTCTGCAGAGCGCCATTGAAGCCGACCCCGAGATCGAGAAGGAGGAAGATACGCTTGTCAAGCACATCCAGGGTATCCTGTACTCGACCGAGGTTCGTTCCCTTGAACTATTCACCCAGGATTTCTCCCACTGACGCTGTCTTCAGGATGGATTTGAGATCCCCGCTGAAGGGGAGGAGGTTGTGGCTGATGATCTCGAGACTTTCTAGAAGTGGAATGAGTTCTGGGCCGGAAAAGAGGATCCCGTTTTAAATACCCCGTCTCCTTGATTTTGTTTCTGTGTCAAAATAAGAACGAGGACGTAGATATGGAGTGAATGCACAGACATTTTCCCGACCATTAATGATTAGGCTTAAAATAGGATGGAAAATAGATCGGCAGGTGATTTTCCAATAGTATGCCGGTTGGGATGTGGAGTTCCAAGGTTGTGCATGACACATTCCGGAGGTGTTTATCCGCTTTAATTTGCTTGGTACTCCGTAGTATAACATTGTATGTTGATTTCTTTTATACGCGTAAACTGTTGGATATAGTTATATACAGTACTATATATAAAATTTTAAATAATTACACCTGGACATCTATATAATTGTACGTAATGATAACAGTAGTAATATGTATAACGTATTTAACCACCGAGCCGCCATAACCCCCGAGTCGCCACATAATCTAAAACATGTCCATGAATTAGCACTTAATTAATTCAACCATCCACTATGACACCAATTCGCCCCCAAACCTCTCGGAATTCAGTAGAGCAGGAGGGTAGGATCTTATTAGCAATACAAGCTCTTAAGAAACAAGATATCGCTACTGTTTCTCTCGCTGCTCGCACTTTCAATGTACCACGTTCCACTTTACGCGATCGTATCTCCGGCCGCACCGAGCGAAGAATTGTACGCGCAAATTCACATAAACTCACAGAGATTGAAGAAGATTCCCTTCAAAATTGGATACTCTCTATGGATGCTCGCGGATCAGCCCCTCGGCCTTCTGCAGTTCGAGAAATGGCGAATCTTTTACTCGAATCACGCGGAATAACCCCGGCTCCTTCGGTCGGTGAGAATTGGGTTACAAAGTATGTGAAAAGGCATCCCGAATTATCGAGTAGATTCTCGAGGCGCTATAATTATGAGCGTGCAAAATGCGAAGATCCAAAAATCATCGGGGAGTGGTTTACTCTCGTCCAACAAACTATTATCCAATATGGGATCAACCCCGACGACGTTTATAACTTCGACGAGACTGGTTTCGCGATGGGATTAACGTCAACCGCGAGGGTTATTACAAGGAGTGAATACTATGGTCGGCGATCGCTTCTACAGCCTGGAAATCGCGAGTGGGTAACTACGATTGAGTGTATAAATGCTTCGGGATGGGTACTTCCTCCGACTGTGATTTTTAAAGGTAGAATCTATATTGAGGGATGGTTCGATAACCTTCCCGATGACTGGCGATTTGAGATTAGTCCGAATGGATGGACGTCTGATGAAATTGGACTTCGATGGCTTAAAAAGCTTTTCATTCCATCGACTTCTTTAAGGGTAAAGGGTCGATATCGACTTTTAATACTCGATGGCCACGGAAGTCATTTAACCCCGAACTTCGATAAGATCTGCGAAGAAAACGACATTATCCCAATCTGCATGCCTCCGCACTCATCCCACCTTTTACAGCCGCTCGATATTGGTTGTTTTGCGGTGCTAAAACGTTCGTACGGTCGGCTTGTTGAAACCAAAATGCGGAATGGGAGTAACCATATCGACAAACTTGATTTCCTCGAAGCCTACCCTTCCGCCCGCTCCGAGACATTCAAATCCGATACTATTATCAATAGCTTCGGAGCAGCTGGTCTAGTACCCTTTTCACCTGATCGAGTAATTACAAAGCTCAGTATTCGCCTTCGAACCCCGACCCCCCTCTCAAGTCAAGAGAGCGAGTGGGAACCAAAAACGCCTTCGAACTGTACACAATTACTAAAGCAGGCTACATCAATCAAAGCATTGCTTCATACGAGATCCCGGAGTCCTCCGAGCCCACTTAATAATGCGATAAACCATGTTCTAAAGGCCTGCCAAATTCAGATGCAATCGAGTGCTTTTCTGGAGAAAGAAGTACGCGGGTTACGAGCCGAAAACGAGAAAAAGAAGCAGAAGCGGACTAGTTCTCGAAGGTATATACCCTCGGCCGAGGGCCTCTCAGTTTTAGATACCTCAACATTAAATATGCAGGCAGAGGGAGTAATTGAACCACCTCCCCCTGGCCCTCACATAGCGGGGGAACCGGCTATTCGACCGCGGACGCGGCCCCCAGGGGGTGTGGAATATGCAGGTTGCCAGGGCATAGGAGAGAGACATGCCCAGATAGACCATTTCTTAGTTGAATAAAATTGATGGCGTTTTGGTTGAGATAAATGCATTTAAATTCAATGGGTTAGGCTGGGGTGGCGACTCGGGGGTTATGGCGGCTCGGTAGTTAAATACGTTATGGTCATTCCCCTTACTTTTGTTATATTGTTCCGTTGTGATAGTGTGTGTTTGTCATGTTTGCGCCAGCAAAAGAGGAAATGATTAATTAAACCTGCATGGCACCCTAAACCCAAAGCCGACTAGTGTCCTTGGCCAGAACTTCACAGACCCCCACCTGTCAGTTCTCATTCGCTGATCCCCGTACCTGCAGGTAACTTCACTTAGGAGTCTGCTGTTTTTGCTTTTCTTTTGAGCTCTCGAGACTCTTGAGAACTCTCTGATCTTTCTTTCTTTCTTTTGTTCATGATTCAATTGAAATTGAATCAATTCGAGAACATACCCTATGTAAAAAACAGATTCAATTCTAAAAAAAACTCAATAACTAGCCCCATCTATTTCGCGGCTAGTTCGTTAACACGGGTCGCCTGGCCTTAGCTTCAATAGGGGATTATTTGGTCCGGTCTGGGTCGTTTCCACCGTTTTTCCGTCTTTCGCTTCCTCACTTCCCTCTGGGTTTTGTATTTTTGGGCGCTTTTCCTTGACTGTTGAGGCCGCGCACACTGTGCTCACTGTCAAACACGTCTGACCCGCTTGGTGCGTTACGGGTTGACGCTGGGACCAGACTCCCTCTTTCCCTCCTCTCTCTCTCTCTCTCTCAATCTCTCTTTTGGTCCTAAGATACCTTCAAAATGGATTAATTAGTGAGGCCGGGCTCTGTTTGTTCCGCTCGTTCGTCACTCTTTTACCCTGGGTATGTGTGGAACTCGATCCGGTTCTTTCTTTTCGGTGGAGCTGTTTGTGATTTGTACTGACTGTGTTTAGTCAATCTCACCAAGTCACTCTTTTTCGATCACCCACTTTGATCAGTCGGTTCTTGTTAGATCGCTGTCCTGTCTCTTTGTGTGGCTACTGTCGCTGCTCATACTATTCACTCCTTAGCCCCGTCGCTGGCTGCTACACTTTCGCCGTCACTTATCATTATTCTCGACTGGGTCATTCATTCTTTGCCCAAAAATTCTTTGGTATCCCTATCTTACTTTTTTGCGCGCTAGTACGTGCTTTCTCTTGTATCAACGACACCCGACATTCTGTTCTACTATATCATTCGAAACTCAACCTCTGTGAGGATTCACAAACGATTATCCATTCACCCATTCGTCTGATATCTTACCATCTCTGTGTGGCAATTGTTGCGCTTGTTTGTAGCCAACATGGCCCACGGTCACTACCGCCACTCGCGCATTGGCAAATTACACAATGTTAGACACCGCCGGGAAATTGCACTCAATGGTGAAGATTCTGGCTCTGATTTACTTAAAGAGGTCGATCCTCTGCAAAAGCCTATTCTGCCCGCTACTGATGTACTATCAGATGAGGATTGTGACCCGCAAAACTCGATATGCCTTCAAAATAAGATGGGTGAATCCAATGCACTTGGAAAGCGGGACGACACAACCTCTGTGACCACTATCGAGACTGTGCTGCAGGTAGTTGATGCTAGCTCACACATCCTGTTGCAGTCGACTGTTGCGGGTTACCCAATGACGATTTCAGATTCCAGCTATGGCACGTTCACCATCTCCGGTTCAGAGAGCCCGACTGCAACTGCCTCTCTGGGTGTGACTATCTCTGCAGAGATCTCGTCAATGACATCGCCAACACTTGCCCCTGCTGTCCAGCCGACGATTTCGTCGCTGGCTGAAACTTCGCTTTTGACCTCTTCGGCTATTTCCACCCAATGCACGTCAAATTCAACGAGCCAAAATCCATCATCCACCAGAGTCTCTTCAACCATCAGCACTCCTGTAGGGACTTCGACCCCTCTCATCGCTTCCTCGAATTCTACGCGCGCTGCTTCTGTAACCTCACCTCAGGCGCACAGTTACTGGTCATATTCCATTCCCAGCTCTAGTAGCTCGACAACTTCAACTGCCAGTTCCACTACCAGTTCAACTAGCAGCGAAACCTACACCACATCCTCATCAGGCGGATTTGGAATTTCCGAACAGCCTCCCACGGCGACAGGTACTAATTCTGCGCCAGCCACAAGTGAAACGCAGGCTTCGGGGCAGGGCTCTTCGAGCAATTCTGACACATCAAAAATCGTGGGCGGTGTAGTAGGATCGGTCGCCGGTCTCGCTTTGATAATTATTCTTCTCTTCTACTTCTTGCGTCGCCGAGGATTCTTCATGGGAAACAAGAGACACAGAGCCATCTCAGACGACGCAGCTGCCGGCACTGGGGCTGGGGCTTTAGCAGGAGTGGGAGCGGGGGCAGGGGCAGGGGCTAGAGAAGTGGCCGAACGTCGTGCAAGTAACGATCCCCTCTTCTCAGCCTCCTATTTCGCCCCCGCCTTCATGAAGCGATGGCGCCAGTCGACCGCAACAATGCGTACAGACAGCACCATCGACTCCACCTCCAGCGAACGCGGCTTCCAAAAGATTTCTGGCCGCAAGCTGCCCCCCGTCCTCACCCATGGCGGCGATGGATTTGGCGGAGGCCTGGATGGCGATTCTCCTACCCTCCCAGGCTTCCTACCTACTTCGCCAGGGCCGGGACCAATAGGATCACCCTCCACCCATGCTCCGCCCCCGACCTCGCCATATGGCATGCCCTTGGATTCGAACTATACCCGCGAAATTGAGGAGCTCAATTCGCCCTCACGGCCAAACCCCGTCCACCTTCCCGTTTCAAGCGCGGTTAACGTGGCTCATCCAATCACCATTACGCCTGCGCACCCCATTGCACAGCCCCAGAGTGCAATCCCGTTCATCCCTCCGCGGCCGGACGGACTCGGTCGCAGTCTGCACAGCTACGACGGCAGTCGAAGTAGTCGCTTTACTGAGGGCATTGACATGTAATCGATGCCGATATGGACCATGTGAAATGATCAAACGAAGTGATGGGTGGGGACAGGCCTGCTGATTTCACTCCGGTGCCTTGTTGTTTTTATCAATTCTGTTCTGTTCGTTTCCTCTGACTTTTGTTGCTTCCCCAGAGCTTTCCTGTCTTTGATTGTCGTTTCTTGCTCTCTTCTCTTGCTGCTTTGATACCCCCCTTTTTTTCAATTATCTCTCACTTCTTGCTCACTTTTCTCTCATCTTCGCAAAAATTTTGTTTCCCTCTTTTGTCACTTACTCATCTATGATTTGGTAAATAATCAATGTAATATAATTGACAATCATTGCATATTGTGGATAGCAACTGTGTCTCCATATAAGTATCCAGCACGAGGGCAAAGTCTCCGCCAGCATTACCACGCCACTGAGCACGCCACGTAAAATGCCTCATGCCAGGCTTGTTTCGCTTCGGTAAATCTGGCGGCTGAAACATCGGTTATGTCGACCATTGGAGTCTGCTTGACCTCCTTGATTGGTTCCTCAGGTTTGATGGCTAGCTCGTCATCCGAATCGCTGTCGTGGGCTGGTGGGTCATTGGCTAGGTCTGTTACTAGGATAGTTGGTTCAGTGAAGGTAATGTTCTGGTAAGCTCTCTTCATAGCTACTCTGAGTTTATGCTTGACAGCAAACTCTTCTCCGCAGGTGTGGGCGTTCAGTGGGGGTCCGCAGCGGGGATGATACCCTGAGTTCTTCCACAACTGGCAAATCGTGGGTCACATATTGTCTAGCTTGGTGGGAGTGTAGGACCAATCTCCCAGGCGAGGGACAAGCATGTCCTTGTTGCGGGCCTCGCTTTCGCGGGTAAAGCGTTTGTCGTGTTCATGGGGTTTACCACTGTGAAGAATGAGTTGTCTCACCAAGGAACGAGGCAATGCGACGAAGGATCCTGGGAGACTAGGCTTTCTTTCTCGACACATCTGGCCAGGGCCTCGGGTTCCAGGTAGTCAGTGGCGGAGTCTTGCTTTAGCTTCCTCGGGGGTGGATCTGATTGCCAAGCGGAGACAAAAGTAGCAACTGCACGGTGACCTCGCAGGATTTAGACTTTTTTACTATGCAGTACTTTAGAGGGTAGTAGAATCCAAGCAAGCTATTGGGCAGACAGAATTTGACCATTTGTCCTAGATGAGTGGGTTGCATCTGTTAGGAACGCCTTGAGGGCTGTGTCTGTGACTTGCCTGTGACTTGTCTTGGGGCTTTCGGTCACATTCATGGTCCTTCCTGGTATGTTTCTTCGCCTTGGGTCTCAATCCATATGGATCCCTTTTGTAGATCTCTGAATTCCACTCTTATATAGCCCCGTTGTGGTTGACTTGGTCAGGGTACCAAGATAGTGCTTTTATTTGTCTTCTTTTATCAGTCCTTCGTCTTGCGTGGTTGCTGGTTTTCTGTGTATCAATGTGCAAAGCACAAATTTTTGGCTTCTTTGCTGCCCATAGCCTCAAATTGTAAGATGATGTGCTGTCTGCTGTCGTCCAAAAGACACCCCCATTGGTTTGTGTTTTTAGGATGAGAGGCCTTATCCTATTCAAAGTTGTTAGATTGAGCCACATGTCAATAGGATTGATACTGCTGATTTTCTCTGCTTTAGCCACGGTGACGTGTGCTCGTGTCCAGATTGATACCTATTTCCGTACAGAGAACTTCTGCCTAGATTCTTCAAATACCTGACTAGCTGGATTTGCTCTATTCCATAGCCATATACTACACTGCCCCTAACTGTGGATAATTTCTCGCCCAATGTTAGCAGGTGAAACTAGGGCTCATGAGCTCGATTGTGTCATAACATCTGATCGCACCGCCACATCTCAGAAAATAGCGCCACGATTACGCCACAGATGGCGATCTCGCCTCCCTTCACCCGGGAACGCCTCTCAATCTATTATGCCTTGTTTCAAAATAACCGAGAGCACAAGAATTTGAAGGCAGGCATTCATAGCTGACTCCACGGGTATTTTACAGGGATGCGGCATGCCCATCACGGTCACAAATTAGCCGCTGCCAACTGGATCACTTCCCCATTTCCCGTTTCCTCCAAAGACCTAGAACAGACGAATCAAGCCTCGTGACGCAGAAAAACCTGCAAATCCATCGCCTCATTACTTGGTCCCATCAATCAATTCATGATGCCAGTATACTGCCAATAGACTTGTTACAGCTATGAAAGAATCAAAGGTCATATGCAAGCTTATTGGATCATCTGCTGAGAATTGAGGCGCAGTCTTAGGCCTCTCCACTACACTAAACCCAAACTAACCACTCGGCGCTCGCATTGGCTGCTGGCACTTGGCATAGCGATATCCCAGGTTATACGACTGCTGATCCACAATTTAGCTATTGGGATGAAGAAATGAGGTTAGAGTCATTGAATCAGAGAGCGCTTACATTCCTCGGCTCACGTCTAGGATAAATGCCTGCCAGAGCGTATGAGCTTCGCCCTCGCAGGTACACGGTACACCCTGTTACATTTATGTTGCCGCCAAAGGGGGCTGTGTCGGTCTCCGAACGTAAGGAATATGAAGATCCTGGAACGTCTCTGAGCACGAGAGCAATATAATATTTTTACTTTCTTGTCATCACTTCCAAGTCTCAAAGGTTGGATATTATTATTACCGCTTTCTACTTGGCATTTTCATTTCGCAGAGAGCTTCGTTGCGAATTGCCGTGGAAAGTTAGTATCCAATCCTCGGCGTCTGGGCATCTACACAGCCCCAATCTTTTCCACCAAGAGGGGGAGATAACAAAGAGTCTCATCCCCGCGGCACACAATACAATTCTGAGACGGGGTCTAATATCAAAATCTGCATGAGCTGCTCACACAGTTTGATTCGCATAACCAGAGCTCGGGTCGATTATACCCAATGTCTTCATCAAACAATGATTCGTGCCGCCAGGGCTCCTTATTGAGCCCTGTTATAGTTACGGATTTTTCGGGTAGAGAGGTTTGTTTCCCAAGCCATCCTAAGACACTATATTTGAAAACTCCTGTGTTGATAACTAACATATTTCGCCACGTTTCAGCGATCAGCGTCTACAGCTTCTTCCTCTTGGTCAGGCCCAACAAATCTAAGTCATAGCCCAACTTCCGCCGTCTCGCCAGATATGGCGTGGAACCAAGATTCAGGACATCTGATGGTCGGTTCTGCCTTGCATAGACCATCGCAGTCGATCGACGGCGATACTTTGCGTCCGCGGGCGGACTCATTTGCTTCTTCTGATGCAGACACCTTGATGCGCTCACGGGCCAACTCAGATGTAGATCCGGCTCATGCTGTCAAAGCTGGCTATGACGACGTCTCGCTAGCTGATGCGTTGAAGCCGGATCCTCGCAACGAGACTGATTTCCAGGTGGAAGATAATCGGTTTGCGTTTTCTCCAGGCCAGCTGAACAAGATGCAGGGCCCGAAGTCTTTAGCTGCTTTCCATGCTCTTGGTGGCCTGGAGGGCTTGGGGCGGGGTCTGCGGACAGATCTCGATGCTGGGTTATCTTTGGATGAAGCCTCTCTAGAGGGTACAGTTGAGTTTCAGACTGTTGCACCTTTTGTTCAACCCCATACTGGCAAGTCATTGCCAGAGACCCATACACCGGCGCCGGCACCAGTGTCGTCTGGTAATGGCTCGCCGTTTGAAGACCGCATTCGTGTCTTCGGCCAAAATAAACTGCCTGCTCGAAAATCATCCGGGTTCTTGAAATTATTCTGGATTGCTTATAACGACAAGATTATTATATTATTGACTATTGCCGCCATAGTCTCGCTATCCCTCGGCATTTACGAGACCGTGGATGCCGGTTCCGGTGTCGACTGGGTAGAAGGAGTTGCCATCTGCGTGGCGATTCTCATTGTGACTGTGGTCACGGCTGCGAACGACTGGCAAAAAGAGAGGCAATTTGCCAAACTCAACAAGCGGGTAAGTGGCTACTAGTCTCTGATGATATAATATAGCTGACATCTCAACAGAATGACGACCGTGAAGTAAAAGTCGTCCGCTCAGGCAAATCTTCCATGATTTCAGTTTATGATCTCATGGTCGGCGACGTCCTTCATCTAGAAGCAGGTGACTCCATCCCTGCAGATGGTATTCTCATCACAGGTCACGGGGTAAAATGCGACGAGTCCTCTGCCACCGGCGAATCAGATCAGATGAAGAAGACTCCGGGCCATGAGGTCTGGCAACAGATTGTCGCCGGCAGGGCAACTAAGAAACTTGACCCATTCCTTATTTCTGGCAGCAACGTCCTGGAGGGCGTGGGAACTTATCTGGTTACTAGTGTTGGGCCTTATTCTACCTACGGCCGGATCTTGCTCTCATTGCAAACTCCCAATGACCCCACGCCACTTCAGGTAAAGCTGGGTAAACTGGCTGATTGGATTGGTTATCTGGGTACTGCGTGAGTATATCATCAACTCTTGGCTCCTGTCGGCTACTAATGAAACTTTATAGGGCTGCTGGCGTCTTGTTTTTCGTTTTGCTCTTTCGATTTGTCGCAGACATTCCTAACCACCCTGAGCGAAATGGTGCTGTGAGGGGCAAGGAATTCGTCGATATCCTGATTGTTGCCGTAACGGTTATTGTTGTCGCTATTCCAGGTAAGAACATGCATCGCACAGCAGAATCTTGTCACCATACTGACCATTTTCTTTGATTAGAGGGTCTTCCACTGGCAGTAACTCTAGCCTTGGCTTTCGCTACCACGCGAATGGTCAAGGAGAACAACCTTGTCCGTGTGCTTCGCGCTTGCGAGACTATGGGAAATGCCACAGTAATCTGCTCCGATAAAACAGGCACACTCACACAGAATAAGATGACTGTTGTCGCTGGAACCTGGGGCTCAGATCGTGGCTTCAGTCAGAAAACCGAGAATGAAGACTTGGACAGTTCAATGTCAACATCGGAGGTCTCCAAGCAACTCTCAGCTCCTGTTCGGGATTTAATCATCAAAAGCGTTGCCTTGAATTCTACTGCATTTGAGCAGGAAAACGAGGGCCGCAAAGACTTTGTTGGCAGCAAGACTGAGGTCGCACTACTTCAGCTTGCCCGTGATTACATGGGCATGGATCTTGTTTCGGAGCGCGGATCTGCCGAAATCGCTCAGCTGATTCCTTTCGACTCCGACAGGAAGTGCATGGGTGTAGTTTACCGCGTCCCCGGTTCAGGGTACCGACTACTTGTCAAGGGTGCATCTGAATTGATGGTCGACACCTGCACTTCGCAGATTGCCAACGTTGAAACTTCTAAAGAGGCAATTGATATCGAGCAGCTTTCTGATGAACAGAAGCAGCGCATCCTGAACACAATCGACACTTATGCTCACAAATCCCTTCGGACTATTGGTTTGGTTTGCAAGGACTTTGCCAGCTGGCCTCCTGCAGAAGCCATAAATCCTGAAGATCCCAAGTCAGCGAACTTCGAGGACGTCTTTCACACAATGACGTGGGTCGGAGTCGTAGGTATCCAAGACCCTCTACGCCCTGAAGTCCCACCAGCCATCCGCAAATGCCATTCGGCAGGTGTACAAGTCAAGATGGTGACCGGCGACAATGTCGCCACAGCCACAGCCATCGCATCTTCTTGTGGAATCAAGACGGAAGGTGGACTCGTTATGGAAGGACCCAAGTTCCGACAATTGTCAGACGCGGAGATGGACGAAGTGATTCCGCGTTTGCAAGTACTGGCACGGTCATCCCCCGAGGACAAGCGCATTCTGGTTGCACGGCTTAAAGCCCTTGGGGAAACTGTCGCCGTCACTGGTGACGGAACCAACGACGGACCGGCTCTGCGAACTGCTGACGTCGGATTTTCCATGGGTATTGCTGGCACTGAGGTCGCCAAGGAGGCGAGTTCCATTATTCTTCTTGACGATAACTTCCGGTCTATTGTCACCGCGATCGCTTGGGGCCGAGCGGTTAATGATGCCGTTGCCAAGTTCTTGCAGTTCCAGATCACGGTCAACATCACTGCTGTGGTGCTCACTTTTGTGTCATCTGTCGTGAGTAGTGACAACAAGAGCGTTTTGAGTGCGGTTCAGCTACTTTGGGTGAACTTGATCATGGACACCTTTGCTGCTTTGGCCTTGTAAGTCAACCTGCTTCTATATCAGGCTTTTGTTTGCATTATACTAACGTTCTTTGTTACAGGGCCACCGATGCACCAACTGAAAAGATTCTCGACCGCAAGCCCGTCCCAAAGCACGCTTCCCTCTTCACATTAACCATGTGGAAAATGATCCTCGGTCAAGCAGTATATCAACTGGCCATTACATTCATGTTATACTTCGCAGGCGACAAACTTCTTGGTGCACATCTCAGCTCCGAGCCCGCTGTCCGCGAGAAAGAGCTTGCAACCGTTGTGTTCAACACTTTTGTGTGGATGCAAATCTTCAATGAGTTCAACAATCGTCGCCTAGACAACAACTTCAACATCTTTGAAGGTATGTTCCGCAACTACTGGTTCTTAGGGATCAACGCCATCATGGTCGGTGGTCAGATCATGATCATCTTCGTGGGTGGCCAGGCCTTCGGTGTGACTCGCTTGAGCGGCATCCTCTGGGGTATTTGCATTATTTGCTCTATTGCTTGTCTTCCCTGGGCTATCGTTCTCCGTCTCATTCCAGACTACCACTTCGGTATTGTCTTCAACGCTGTTGTTGGTGCTATGGCTGTCGTTATGCGGCCACTATCCCGCGGATGCAAAGCCATCGGCCATGGCATCAAGGCCTTCTTCCGGCCTATGACGCGGTTCACTCGCCGCATCGTGTTGAAGGGAAAATCTGCAAACGAGGACCAGTTGGTTTCGCAGCCAAAAAAGTCTGTAGATCCCGAAGATCTTCGCGAGCAAGTTGAAATGAACGACCAAAAATCCAATGGGCGTCCTACTACACCTCCTTCTGTTATGGTGCCGCCCATCACGATTACGAGCTCTCCTTGATTGTAATTTAGCGTTTGTGTTATTAGCGTTGGTTGGCTGTTTGTATATTTTCTTATTTCGCTATTTGTATATACATCATCGGGTTCTATAGAGGACGCACATATAATATACACTACCTTCAAAAGAGCATTGTAATGTTGACATTAAATGGTCTTGTAAACAATATGTCAAAAGCTAACCTTGGAAGCAGTCACATCTATAAAATCCAAGAATATATAACTAGCAGAGGGCATCTCCAGGCAACGGGGTTGATTTTATTTGATGCCTCAGGCCAAACTGCCCATCAACCAAGTGTCCCAGAGCTTCAAGGCTCCATCTCCCGCTGACTCCCCAATTGAGACACCTTTGCCTTCTGATTAGCTCTACCACCTATCTGGGATCAGTTTAGTTGATCTCTATATTCCAAAACTACAGCATAACCGTTTTCACTATCTCCATTCAGCCCGCACTGCCCGGAGTTCATCCCACGTCACTAACCTCCCCGCTTCCGCCCACCGCACCGACACACCAAACAGAACCTTGACAGATTGCTTCTCTCAAAGCTGCATCTATACCGAACCGACTCGACTAATTTGGCCTGCAATTATACCCACCGAAGCCAACCCTTTCTCTCTCTCCTCGACGATCCCCTTAACCGCTACAATGTCGCAACTCAATTACCGCACCATCAACATTGATGCCTTGGACCCCGAGTCCTCGACCAACTTCCCTATGGAATCACTGCTCCCTGCCACCCTTCCTCAGGCTGTATCCGCCAGTGATGCCGCCAACGCTGCGACACAGGTGCGCCAGATGCTGCGCGGCGGTGACCCGGAGGGTGCTCTGCGGACCGTCCTTGACACCGCGCCGCTGGGTGGCGACGACCGCGCCAAGGAGGTACAACTTGCAACCGTCATCGATGTGCTGCAGGGTATTCGACAGGGCGAGATGACCCGTATCCTGGAGGGAGTGTGCAGCGGGGATGGCGGGGCCGAGCGCGCGGATTGCTTGATGAAGTACCTGTACGTGGAGCCTGTGACCGTCAAGGCCAACCCTAGAACAGAATGGCAGAACTGAAATTTTTGGGTTTCAATGCTAATCGTTGACTATAGTTACAAGGGAATGTCTGGGTCTGCACCTGGTAGCGGCGCCCAGTCACCCAAGAAGTCGGTTTCGCCCCAGGACACTGGATTCTCTCAGATCCAGGCACGGAACCTTGGTGAAGGTGGTGGTGGTCAGCAGATGAGTGTATTGTTGAGCTGGCACGAGAGATTGGTGGAGATTGCTGGTACTGGGTCCATTGTGCGTGTCATGACTGACCGCAGGACGGTTTGATCGGATAAAACAGCATTGGATGGAGGTTCGTTTCTTATGATTTACTCTTTTTGTTATCTTCTTGGTAGAGGTTGATTTGCACTCCATACATCTCTATGGATTATATCCCTCCCGTGTCACTTGAAGCGTAGTTTTACATTGATTATTGTGACAATACATTGGGCTCTTCTTTTTGCCCTTTTCTTCCAGACCAATTATATATAATTTTGTGGGCTCATGGCCTCTCAAACTCTCCTCCTCCTAGAATATCCTTCAGATTCACATCGCCGCTGCCGCGCTTCAATGGCTGCGCCTGATTTGCACCTTCCTTCCAGCCGATCATATAAATCAGTCGGAAGGTCGCGGGAATACCAGGGGCATCATCCTGCATATGCAGCGTACGATAGATGGCTTCATTAGCAAGCAAGACATCTCGCGAAAGCGGCGCCGAGTCCCTGTTCATGATAGCATTGTTCTCGCCCATGGCTTGCAGGTCCTGCATGAGTGCAAATGTATCCGGGAATTCAACCACAATGTCTTCCACGTCAACAGTAAGCATCTTGAAGCCAGCCCGGTTCAGCAAGCTCCCCACATCCTTGACATCCGCCAAAGGCGACACATGCGGACTCACACCTCCTCGCCGCTCCATATCAGCCAGTTGCAGCGACCCGCGCAGCTCGTACAGCGTGTCACCGCCAAACATAGCAGCAATGAATGGAGCGTCGGGCTTGAGAATTGTGTTCACTTGCTCTAGGAGGGCAGGCAGGTCGTTGACCCAGTGGATTGAAAGCGATGACAGCACAGCATCGAAACTGTTCGGTGCGTACGGCAGCGTCTCCAGGTCTGGGATGACATCCCGTTGAATTTCGATATTCTTGTTAAATGGGAAGTCCTCGTCGCGGTGAAGTAAGGCGCGCGATGTCTCCACACAAGTCAGCTTCGAGATCTTGTCCGATAGTGGTCGTAGAACATTTCCCTCGGGCCCGACCACGTCGAGCTCTGGGTTTGTGATAGCTTTGGCGATATTGCAGCTGTTTGCGCCGAGATCGAGGACGTGGGGGAAGTTTCGTTTGATGTCCTGTTCGAAGCAAAAGAAGCTTTGGTCAGCAAGTGTGCTTTTCTACCTCCACGCTTGGTTTCTACCACTCCCATTGCTCAATCACTTACCAGTAATCGCTCACATAGTCGTGTGGCGACTTCATCTTTCAAGTAATCGACTTTGCGGCTTTCTTCGACATTCCGCGCTGCCCGGTCTTTCTGCAGGTGTTTGACCTTGCGGTTGAAAACCTCCAGCATTGGGTTGCCGGGCGTTTGGCTGGCATAGGTGCGGGTCTTAATTGACTGGATGACACATTTCCTTGAGAAGGTTGCGCGAAACGTCCGTAGAGGTATCATTGTGGGTGTAGAATGTGTAGAATCAGAATTCAACTATACGTCGGAGTACATTTTGCGGCGATAACGGGTGGCAGAAAATGGCGGGCTTCTGACGTCGATTGTTGACAGCTCCTTATCCACCAGGCTGTGGACTCTACAATTGGTGTCTTCGGGGTGTTTAATTTGGCCGGGAAAGTCTTCACTAATAAAGTGCGTGGTGATTCCAGCGCGAACAGGACCATTGCGACCTCTGGTACTCGAGTAAGTCCCCGCAGACGCGCTCCTTATGCAGGTCCATAGTCTCTGCTTTGGCGCAAGAGCGTTATATCTAATAAAATCGACAGAAATAGATACCCAAGCAACACGCGACTTTCGGCGTTGGAATTTGCCCCCAGTGCTTCTGCCGCGCCTCTCGCCATCCCAATACCAACCTCCACGGAGACGAAGAATGATTTAAAAGAAGCACGAATCTCGAACGCTGGTACATGTTTGCCTGCTCATTTCCGTACACACCAATATGTCGCGACCTTTCCCTTATACCTTTATTTCCTGCCCCTGTGCGGATACCCCGGTCCCTGACCCGGCCAGGAAGCGAAGATCGAGAGAGTCGCCGCAAAAACAATCGCCGCAGAAACCAGCACCTCAGCAATTAAGCACCTCAGGAGAGGGAAAGAAAGACACTGCAAAAAGCGAACAAGATGAAGAAGAAGAGGATGAAGAACAAACCTTTGACCCGCGGTGTTCGCGGTCAAACTTCTCTTTGTATCCCCCCGAACAGCTTCTCTACTGCGAGGAGTGCCATGAGATTAAGTGCCCCCGATGCATTACCGAAGAAATTGTGAGCTGGTATTGCCCAAGCTGCTTATTTGAAACGCCTAGCACTATGGTGCGAGGTGATGGTAATCGGTATGTGCTACCCAGTGTGGTGCATGCTATCTAGGTTCTTGCTAACATGCAGATATATAGGTGTGGTCGAAACTGCTTTAATTGCCCTATTTGCACAGCTCCGCTGGCCGTAAGTACAATTGAGAATGCAGCAGGCAATGGAACCCAGCAAGGTCCGTGGGTGCTATCTTGTGGATATTGTCTTTGGACAACGCTAGACATCGGCATCAAATTCGATAAGCCAACAAACATCCGCAGTCAGCTGCAGAAAATGACTGACGCCACCCCTCCGGCTGCATTTGATCGGTCAAGACAAGCTTCTCGTACTTTCGGGGATCTCAAGCACCCACTGTCTAGCTTCGCCTCGGTCGATGAGCAAGCAAACGCGCGTGAGCGTGATGCAGAGCAGTCTGCACCGAAAGAAGATCCAGAAGCACCTCCGATGGTCATGGATGCTCGATTCGCGGCACTGAAAAACTTCTACCGAGCACAGATTGCCGAGACATCTAACTCACCCAACGATCCCCTTAGTTCGGAGTTTGGCTTCTCTTCACCTGGCGCCTTGAACCGACTGATGTCCTTGTATACATCATCATCGCGACTTAGCGGATTGTATGGCGGCAACAAGAAACCTAAATCCAAGCCACCTGTCATGCGTGAAGCCCTAACGGCAAGCGAGGGCCTCCAAATTGCGCCAGAAAACGGCGAAACAGACCTCATTGCACGGCTCATATCCCCAGACTGCGGTTGGGACGGAGTGGCATCGATAGATCAACGTGCGACCCAATCACCAGACGCACGCTTCGTCGATGACCTCCTCCCCCTCCCAGTCCTCCTTCGCACCAAGCGAGCAAAACGCTGCAAGTCATGCAAGCACATCCTGGTGAAACCAGAGTCCAAGCCGCAGTCGACCCGCTTCCGCATTCGACTCATCGCCCTCAGCTACATCCCCCTACCAACCCTTCGCCCCCTGGCCCTCTCGTCGTCGTCTGTCCTGCCCGCCATGGCCCCAACCCCAGATCTGGACTCTCTCCCTCCCCTCCGCCCCATTCACGTTCTCCTCACGCTGAAAAACCACATGTTTGATCCCGTCCGCATAACCCTCGCAACGCCCCCCGTGACTCCAGGCTCCGTGGCTACAAAGGTCACTGTGCTATCTCCTCAATTCGAGATTGGCGCTAATAGCGATGTCTGGGACGAGGCGTTGCAGGGTGCGTCCGCGCCTTTGACTGGGGACTCAACGTCCATCGGTCTCCGCGGTGTACCAGAGGCAGGCAAGGTGTGGGACAAGGGTCGCAATTGGACAACTGTTGTATTGGAGGTTGTCCCAGGTACTTTGCCTGGGACCAGTGCTGAAGGCGGAGATGGGAAACCCGAAACCACTGATGAAGGTGTACTGGCGGTTGCGGCTTCTAAGAAGGATGAAGATGTTCTTGAGATCCCAGTCTTTGTGCACATGGATTGGGATGCAGATGCACAAATTGACCAACAGAACGTTGGGAAGGGGTCTAAGCTTGATGATAAGGTGACGAGAGAGTTGGCTTATTGGATGGTGCTTGGTGTGGGGAGAATTCAAGCTTCGTTGTAGATATATGGTTTTGATCTGGACAGTGGATTGTTCATACTCGCGCCGGCTGGTTGTTGTTTTGTATCTTTCATACCCCGAGTGCGCTTTCTTTTCTTGTTACAAATTTATGCAACGGCATTACTTTGCAGTTCGGTCGTATGGAATGCCACCACGTACAAATGCGAGTAGAACGGAGACATAGCAAAGCTTGGCCAGATAGCTTTCGAGCTAGGCCTGTCTAGGACTACCTGAATATAATTTACAATCCGGAGTCACTGCCCCCAATACAATGAAATCTACACAAGGGCGAGAGGGAAAAGTCGGAATTGTTGAATTGGAATACTATCAGGTATTCCATCCCATCCTCATTAGATCGGGAGAGAGAGAACTCAGCTCCATCACCTCACCCAGACCCTCGCCAAAACACGAGGAAGAACCGGAACACAAAGCAAGATGCAACCAGTGCCTGGGGGCAAAAAAAGAAAAGAGAAAAACCGTCAATGCATTTTTATGGAGATCATCTCTTTGGAACCCAATGGCCGAATCTAGCCACAATTCAAAGCTAGACACAAACCATTTTCCCACGCATCAACCGAGCACATTCCAGCCTCAGCCCCAAAAAAGTTATCAAAGTGAACAGAAAATTCTAAACTTGCATCTAGAACTCAGGGCCGCTCTGGGGGAACTCGAAGGCGACAGCACGGCCGGTGAGACGGCGGTAGACCTCGCCGTAGGCATCGAGGCGGTGGTCGACACCACCACGCTCCTTCTCGTCGAGGATGACCTTGAGGGTCTTGGAGCCGTCCTCCTTGGTGCGGACGCGCTTGCCAACGATCTCGACGGGGTAGACGAGGTCAGCGAGGATGGCGTCGTGGACAGCGGTCAGAGTGCGGGAACGGGGGCGCTTCTGGGTCTGGGTGGAGCGGGAGTTGACGGAGCGCTTGGGGCGGGGCAGGATGCGGCGCTGAGCAACGAAGAGGACGTGGCGGTCGGAGAACTTCTTCTCGAGCTCGCGGGTCAGACTGGGGTGTTGTTAGTTTCGCTTGTTCGGAGATCTTGACTTTTTTTCCCGTCTCGGTAGTGCGTGGAGCGGGGTTGATGCTTACCGCTGCTGGATCTTGTGGAAGTTGGCCAGAAGGGGAACGGGGACGAAGACGATGATGGCCTTCTTTCCGTGGCCGACCTCAACCTATAATGAAGAATGTCAGAGCGTGTCCGGATGTGTCGATGCACAAAAACCAAATCCCCCTGGAACGGCCTGTTGCTCTGCGAATCTTTGTTTCCGGTCGTGTGCCTTTCATTGCTGACGATTGTCCCATGTTGAGAATTTTTGATGTTGGATGATATGAATTGGAACCAATCCACAAATCCGACCAATTTACCCCGGAACATCGAAATCCCTCGAAAATTCGCAGGCGCCATTCCAGAAGAATTCAATTCGTGGGCCGTATGACTCGGGCAGTAGTTCTTACCTCGCGGGCAGAGACGAACTGCAAGGGCCGAAGGGTGGCCTTCAGGTCCTGTGTGTTGCTCTCGAGGTCGAAGAGAGCGCCGGCGATCGCGGTCTCCAGCTCGGAGGGGTTTTGCCGGGATGGCGAGTTGGAGGCGATCTTGTTGATGGCAGCCATTATTGCGAGCGACGGGGTGCTGCGGGAGGTGCTGGTGGTGATGTCGACGGAGGGGAGGTTCGCAGATTGAATCGAATAGGAATTTGCTGTGGGATCGGCACTTTCGCTTAAGGTGCGCTACTTCCTATCTGGGTTTAGTGTGTCCGTCTTAGGGCTCGTTGATCATTGGTTGACCATCGCTGATGATGGATCCACTATAATCCCTCTTTGATCCCAACTTGCGACTGTTGATACGGAATTCTAGTTTTTAAGGTCATTTGTAGGTTATTTGGTTGCATTTGAAAAAATTTATCAAAAAAAGAAATTTACACTCTAAATCAAACACTGTCGAGACGAGATGTCTCTCGGGGAATAACACACTGTAGACTATAAGGGCACGCGTTTCCATTGCAGCAGGTACAAGCAAGGAATCAAAAAGCACAAGAGACGCCTGTATCCATGGGAAATAATTGCAAGACATACATTTGGCAGCGAGATTGAATTCAGCAAGCGCAGCCCTCCTTGGCCGTCGCAGCATTGCGATCACCCAGGTTGACCCTCGAATCCTCGGTCGACCGGGCACCAAGCGAAGATTGTCCAGTTCCAGCACCAGTACCGCGACCAGTCTTCAGACTGCTTTCTGGGATGGCATTAGCGATTGCGGTGAAGACGTCGACGACATTGGTTCCGGTCTTGGCACTGGTCTCGAAGAACAAGAGACCCTCTTCCTCTGCATAGCCGGTAGCCTCCCGTGTGGAAACTTTGCGGGCGTCGCCGGAAACGACATCCTGCGCCTCGTCTGCTTCGACAGCGCCTTCCTCGTCCTGCGCAGCTGTATCGGTCCCACCGTTTGCCACGGCAGCCACCTCGGAAGCCTCGCCACCATCATTGGTCAAGTCCAGCTTGTTACCGACGAGGGCGATGACAATTCCGGGGCTCGCCTGGCGTTGCAGCTCGGCGACCCAATGCTTTGCCTTTGTCAGCGACGAGGGTTTCGTGACGTCGTAAACGACTAGCGCGGCTTGCGCGTTGCGGTAGTACATCGGGGCAAGCGAGGCGAAGCGTTCCTGGCCAGCGGTGTCCCAGATTTCGAACTTGATCGTGCGCGTAGGGAGTGAGCATTTTTGTGTGAGAAATGCGGCTGTAAATCTGACGTTAGTCGATCATCCTTGTCCATAGTGATTGTGAGGGGTGAGGGGTGGCCGTCGCAGGGAATTTGCCAATGTTGGACAGCATCGCACTGCCACAATGCTCCCCAGAAGGTATGATTCGTGTGCGAGAGAGCGACTTGTGTTTTGTGGGGGCTGAGCTCGTGGGGAATCCTTACCGCCAATGGTTGGTTCCTTATTCTCCTGGAAATCATTGTTGACGAAGCGAAGTACAAGCGATGACTATGAATGAATAAGAATAGGTAATTAGCCTTTCATGAACATGTAACATGGTGAATGGAGGAGTGGTACCTTTCCTACTGCGGCCTCTCCCAGCAGCACCAGCTTGACACTGCTGCTTGGCTTCGGGGCATTTGCGCTCGCTGACTCGGACATGGCTGAAACAACGAAACGAAAGCGATATAAAAAGGACAACCGTCAGGCCTTCCTGTGAATAAGTTCCCCGTGGATTCGGCGATCGGGCGACCGGATGAGGTGGCAGGTTGATTCAGCTGGTGACCGTATTTCAGGAATGGGGGCTGCCTAGAAGTAAGACGGGAGCAGGGGTACGAATCGCTGCTTTTGCGCTTGTATTGGCAGTGTAGTTGAGTTCTATTCCGAGAATGAGAATTGCAAAACTTATAGACGTTTACCGGATTTGATCCTGGAGTTGGAGTGGAAGCGGGAGATGATGATGATGATGATAGTTGGCCCAGATTAGGATTAGCGTGGTCATCAGTCACGGGGAGGCCTTGAAGTATAACAACTTTTTTGTTCTTTGGTTCTTTTGACCTTTCGTTGACATTTTGACATTTTCATAACTTTGAGATTATGTGCAGTTACTTTAGAAATTGCTTTGCCTCTCTACCTCTATTTAAAGATACTGACAAGAGCCAAATTTGACGTTTACGGGTTGTCTCTAGCCTTTCTCAGTTCACATCTTAGACATGCAGCACAATAGTGGCATGCAGACAACATGAACCTGGCAGACGGGATATGAAAACTTGGGAATACTAGTACACTAAAACACTCGTACTATGACTTGAGTCATAGTGATCCACAGCCAGACAAACATGTTCCTAGCACCTTTACAGCTGTTCAACCCAGTACAGACTAAGTAGTGCCCAACTGGCCTGCAAGATGATGTCGGTTGCCAGATAAGTACTCAGACCCTAGGGAGGATCGGGACATCACTATCTGCCGATGCACCAACCAGGCCCGCATCAAGAATCGGGCTGGCCGTTCCTGTCTCGGCATTAGTCGGTAAGCAAATCTGCCCGATGCTACCGCAACCGCAGTTGGTCAGGTACGAGGAGAGTACGAAATTGTTAGTGTGGATTTCCAATTTCAGGGTTACAAACTGGGTCTAGACTAGCTGGATAGAGAATATGGAGAGATAAAAAATCGATTCGCGCGAACACAATCTTTGTGCGCAAGATATAATACACAGGCATCAGCATCAAAAAAAGTACAAGGTACATATATAAAAATCCCACAGGGCAGTGCCCATCCCAAGTAAAGCAAGAAAAGCAATCATAGAGTGCGATAACCGTGAGGTTGGAGCTCTAGATTCTGGTATCAGCGCATGCATCCCATTGAAGATCCGTCCCGTCTATACCAAAACGCCGTGAAAAGATAGAGCCAAACAAAGACATAGGAAAGATAAAGCCAAAAGGAAATGAACACAAAGACTTTTTGGAGAGATTAGACAGTGTGGAGGAGTCGTGGCAAAAGATGTGAGGTGGAGTATGATGTGAGGCGAAAGTTCAGTCCGAAAAAGCGAGATTAGGCTCAGAGTTGAAACAATTGTAGAAGTCGAAAAAAATGGTGTCCACGCTTGGTATCCGAAAGTAAATGCAAAAGTTGAGCCGAATTAAAATGGGTATAAAGTTGCGCGAGGCCAGCGAATAGGTCACGTATGGTTCAGGCCATAAATAAAAAATAGTGTTACAGATATCTAGTTCGGTTAGTTTTTGGTGCCCAAAGGTATGCTCATCAGTTATGTCTTACCAAAATCAGGTAAAACTCCAAACGCAGATGCGTCAAAACTCCAGCCACTGTTGGGCGCCAGACAATCCAGAACATGACCGAGTGGTGTAGAAAGCAATGTTGAGTCAAACGATTCCGAATTTATTTTGGTGGTGGTGCAGTGGGCTTCTTCACACCAGTTGTGTCATATGCTCCTCTTCCCATGTTGGAGGCAGCTAGATCTCGCAGAATCATGTTCAAGTCTGCAGAGGTAATCATTGTTAGATTTCGACGTGGTAATGTGGGTGTGTATGTTTTTTGTGGTTCGAGTGAAGCAGCAAGTTGTAGATGCAGCAATGGCAGGGCGAGGAATGAGATGAGAGAACGCACCAAGTAAATACGACGTCGACGCCAGGATCTTATATAGATATCTGATCGGCCGAGGAAGCAAGTAGACAAACAAAGTCCCAATCCACCCCCCGTGTAATCAAAAAGAAAATTCGAAGGTCTGGAACCGGCGTTGGAGGCGATTGATGCAAATGCAGGCGGATCGGAAAATGCGATCCTTTTATGGACAACCACTGGGACAATGCGGGATCCAACAGATGTGTAGGGAAGAATGTGACGAAATAAGCCCAACAAATGAGAATTGGAGTATCTCAAGGAAGTAAAGATGGGTCGACAGGTCGCAGCTCTTTGCTTTTTATTTGATGAGATCCCAAAGCAAAATAATAATGATAATAATAAACGATTAAATCAAACTGATAAGCGCGAGGGTGGCTGCAGCAGAAAACCCATAAAAAAATCGCGATCTGAACCAGAGAACGGGGAGAAGGGATATTGGAGCTAAGTCGGCAAGGGAGCAAAGGAGAAGTGCTTCGGAATTGGCTCCGGTCGATCCGGACAAAGTGCAATTGACGTATCGCAAGGGAGAAGGGAGAAGAAAGGAGTGCCGGTAGGGGGTTGGATGTAGAAGATAGTAGAGTAGGTATGTCGAGTAGAATATCGAATAAGAAGGGGGGAATTGCAATGAGATATAGAGTAGTCTTGTTGGAGGGATCGATTATTTAAATGTAATTTATTACCTAGGTACCCTGAAGGAAGGCCAAAAAAAAACAACCCAATAACAAATCAATACTCCGTAAATCAGATGGAAATATTTGAAAATAGAAAATATCACGAAAATATTCAGAAAAATAATATAAACTAATAATATTAGAATATTAGAATATTGAATAAAAAAGGAATATTGTTAAATAAGCTAAAAAAATCCCAGTGAATCCACTTAAATCAAGAACTAAAACCAAAACCAAAACCAATTAAAATAAAATATTCTACAAAATGTATAAGTCTATTTTGTTCTTTGTTTAGCAGGCGGCTCTCCCGTCTTTGTACCGGGGAAACAACTTCCCCTTTTTTTATTTCTTTTCTATCACAATTTCTATGATAGTGTAAAGCTTTCACTTGGATTAGCCGTGACGAGGCGGGGGCAATAGATTTGAGATTCATCACAACTACAATCTTAGATACATCTGAACTAATGTCAGGTCCAAAAGTTCTAAACTATACGTAAATTTTGGTATATGTTATGTATCAAAAGAGCTGTCTCTCTCCACTTTAAAGCTAGGAACCAAATCTCCGGACAGCCTTCGTGCATAAGTGGAGTCCAGGAAAAAACAGCCTCAGGAACGAAAAAACGGATCATTCCGAACGACAGGGTATTTTCCAAGTACCATTTTCTTTTTAATCTCGCGTGGTCGGGCTCTATCGGGTATGATCTTGTCGTGCTATCGCACTAGACATAGACACCTAACCCTAATCACCAGAAGCATATGATGCCTAGGTACTCCGAACAAATGCCCTAAATATTTCAAAAACTACATGTGTACTCCGTAATCAAGGCCAGACCACCGGCATTTCACGCGGTTCCCCATGGAATAGTCGACATTTATTGCCGTAAGACCAATCGCAAACTTCACATCGAGGTTCAACCTGAATGAACCGCCGTTCTTCCTACACATCAAAAAAACAACCTCTCATGTCGCAATTTTGTCGCACTTGATTGCCGTCGTCCTTGTCGTAGGTTTCTCTACGCGCCCTTGGTCGGCTAGACCAACACCAAAAAAGAAGAAAGAAAAATAGACGAGGCGTTAATATCTCTGCGATCCTGTTGAGACTCCATCATAGGGGGTGGAGACATTACGCTAGACGAAACAGAAGAAAAAAGAAAACATCATTACGGAGTCGAACAAAATGTTGAAAACCCTGTTTCGGGTACGTATGAACATTCCTTCGAACTTCTAGTTCTTCCTTTCTTCCTATAGTACCGACTGGTATTACATATACCATAAACATTCTTGTATTCTGGAATAAAAAAAAGGAGACTCCACCCCCATAATTCGTAATTAAGGGTACAGCATAGATTCTGCGTCAGCCATTTGCCACACTGGAGCCGATCCCTCAAATGGCCGCCGCTGTATTCCCTTCGTAAAAAGAACTCCATTTGTGAAAGGTGCCTCGCACTGCACATTTACGAGCTTGTCTCTCTCTTGTCCAACGGGGACTCGTAGCCGTGTTTCAGCCCTTACCCGAAGGAGGAATATCTTTCATCGGCACTCAATCTGGCTTTCTTCCCTCGTGGAAATCGGGGCTGGAAGATCTACCGCCGATTGCAGCCTAAGACCGTTGGCAAGAGATCAAGACCCATTTCTAACGAGACCATACGGATAAGCCGTTACTTTGCCGGCTGGCTGGCTGGCTGGCTTGCTTTGTGACAATTTATTGTTTTTTATTAAAAAAAGAAGGATCGTGATATGGGATCTTCTTTCCGGTCTCAACGGCCCTCAAGTTCCCCCCGTCCTTTCCGTGTGCCTCCCGTGAACTGTTTCCTTACGCGCGCGGGATAGGGGAAGACTGGAACTGGCGATCATCATCGGTGGATCAGGGCTCCATTTTTCGCGGAAACCAAGAAGTCACAAGCATGGTATTTAATTCGTTGTATACACTAAATTTATACATGGCGTCTAAAAAAGTCTGGTATAGAAGTCTTCCAACGGATCTGTTTCATGGTATCGCCACCATGTTTGTGATAAGAGAAACCGCTAAAGAACCTTCAAAAGTTGGCCCGAAAAATTCAGTGATAAAAAGACATACAGAATACTCTGTAGACGGGATGTAACTATAATTGATACAAGTGGAAGGTAAGAAGAAGCTAGACCTCATCGTCAAGGGAAACGAGCTTCCTATTCTTCCATTGTGGAACCACACTGGTATTAGCCCGGGAAGAACCCGTTTCGATTGCAGCTACTAGAATGCCGCTAGAAACGGGAGAAAACACCGATAGTCCATTCTACCACCTTAGTCAACCTTAATGGGCCACACCCCCTTTTCTCCTTTAGGAAATACTACCTGGGCTGAGCAACTTTAGTATATTGACTTTGATTTTGACTTTTTTTTCTCATTACAATTATGATGTACAACGTCCATAGACCCGAGACCCAGGGTGGTGGTTCGTGATTATCCCGAGACCTGATTCTAGTACTCCGTACTCCGTACGTCTAGCGTACTCCGAAAGGTGCGTCTCCAGAGTTCGGCTGGATGCATTAGTTCGCAAAACAAGGTTACGCGGTTCGATTGCATGAACCGGCTTCCACTTCTTTCCGGAACGTCTTAGACTTCCCGAGACTGTAGCTCACCGTTCGTTTTTCGGTGTTTTTTGTTTTTGTTTTTTGTGTTCGATCTCCGTCTCTCGCTTGTTTGGATCCGAAAATGCACAGTTGCGTGTGCATATCTGTATCCACCTTGACAGTGGCGTTGGACAACAGGGATCCGAAAGAAAAACGGTCATTCCAGATCGATCGACAAACATCCGAGTTGGGTTTGGGATTCACCTTACAGTGCAGCTAGAAACGGCAAGGGATCCCTGATGCGGATGCATCTCACGCCAGCCGGCTATTTGTTCATCTGACAGGCGATGTGGATATGTCAACGCCTAAAAATTGGGTGGATATCGGCGGCTTACTCTGATATTGTTTGGTATAGACTGTGGCTGCTTCGTACTGATTGACGTTGTATTTGTATCTTTTAATTTAAATTGTTACTAGGCTTAAGGGGCGCACTAGGGCGCCGCAGATGGAAAGCCGGACGATCTTAGTTTTCAGATTCCCCCCTCAGGGCTCCATATACAGAAAATTCTGGAAGCACTATAGGCTCCATAGTGCTTGCAGTTTGCCAATAGTGGTGTCCACATAGTATTCCGCCTGTACTCCGCAAAGTTGAATTGAATTGGGTCGAATGGAGTCATAGAAGCAAGAGGAAAGCGAATAGAAAGTGAAAAACAAATTGAGTCTAGTTGACGATTGAAACTGGAACCGTCTTTCCCCGTCCCGGACCAAGAATAATGGATCGCTTTTTCAGCCGCCTCAATTCTTAGCTTCTCCTTTTTCTGATGTTTCGTAAAGGATTTACCGGGGTCCTGAAGGAGCTTACAATCTACTATGTACATATCTAGTTACTTCATATAATGCAAATCAAAGGATCCCGAGACTCACAGTTACAAGTATTGCGCCCAACAAAGAAATGGCAAAAATAAAAGTGGGCTTTTGGAGTTATCTGGACTCCAGACTCAAGAATGACAGGCCCAATCCACAATGACCCGACACCCATTCAACTTGCATGAAAAAGAAAGACAAAAAATCACGATCGCCGCTTCACCATTGTGTCGGGTACGATCGTCTCCTTTTTTCCTTTTTTTCTGTTCTTGGCTGGGTCAACCCCTGACTTCGGTACTTTTTTTTGTGATTGTCATGACATGACGCAGGAATGGGACGTATGACTGATCGAGCCATACAGAGCAAGCGAAGATAGCCCACGCCTCGATGGGTCTTCGGCTTCGCGTCAAGGGATCCGCGTCAACTTGGCGCATGAACTGTTAAAGTTTCCACCAAAGGAGGGAGATCAGCTCTCTCACGGTGAATCAGGAGCGATCAATGTACCTCTGCGTCACACTGCTTCTTTGTCCATGTACGTTGTATGTACACTCATGTACACTGTGCATTTGTATGACATGCTTTGATTTAATTTAAAAGGAAAAAGTAAATTTACCCAAACAATCTCATTCTGCAGTGTCGATCACTGTGACCTTACCCTTGATTGTAGAGACTAGAGATAATCTAAAGATTGATAGTCAAAATACGATGTACAAAAAAAAAAGAAATCAAATACAATGTTCAATATTCAATATTCAATATACACCAAACTACTAGCTTGCAGATCATTAGTACCATGGTTAAGTCTTCGATCTTCCCCGAAATTGATCGTCTTCGATCGCGATGTGATTATCACCCTTTCTCCCGTGTCTTGCAGATTGGACCGGGGAACTTCGAGTCAGTCTTCCCCCCGAAGCTATCAAATCCGACAACCTGGACAGGCTGGATGTGTCACATTGCTGCAGTAGCATCATCTTCTTCTTCTTCTTATTATTTTTCTTGTTTATTTTCATCGCTCACTGATCCACAACAAAGTAACCCCAAGCTTCCACTGGTATGCAGGGACTGTGTATCCTCAGGCCTTCTTCCCCCTACCTCATGTACTATTTAATGTTGCAACAGGAATGATTGATGCATTTGCATTGCATTGAATGAGGCGCAAAAATGACCAAGACCAAGTTCCTGGGATCGGACACCCTTCCCCATGTCCTGGTATTGGGATTCCCTCACAATCCGGACCTGATCCGTCGGTAAACTACCTGTCACCCCAGCCCAGCCACACAGAGTCCCCTTCAGTGGCAAGTGTCAAAAGGACGCAAACTATGTCACATCGAGTCCGATTTGGATTTTGCATTTGATTATTTGGAATATGTCACTTGAGTATGTACGGAGTACGGGGTGTACAGAAATAAACATGTTGACAACCTTAGAGAAGATATTTATCAATATTATCGATCGTATCTCAAGTATGTTCAGCAACCCTTCAACCCCCAACCTCCACTATTTACCAAAATCAACGTGGAAAAGAAAAAAAGCATCTCTCATGTCGATAAAGTCTCAACACCGCGAACAAGCGCAGTGGTACGCCATTTCAAACTACGTCAATCCAAAGTTAGTAAAGCAAAGTCAACAAGAGATAACCTATAACCATAATCATAACCTACAACCCCACAAGAGATCAAGGTCATAGTCAAGATTATAGTCCCTCAAGATCCAAGACAAACATACCTGTTCATTGGTCTGACAAACCAAAACCCGGGGCCCCTTGCCGGAATCCTGGGAAATATCCTTGACCGTCTCCCCATCCCCAGGCCCCTTGTCGTTAGCGGCATCATTAACAGCCAGCCCTAGACACTGGCACTTATCGATGAGCGTCTTCCGCAGCAGGGCGCTTTTCTCACCGATCCCACCGGAAAATACTACACCGTCTATCTGCCCATTTAGCTTAACGTAGTAATTCCCTATATAACCGAGAATGCGGTCAACAAAGATATCGAATGCAAGTTTATGCGCCTTGGTTGGTGGATTGGGTACGGCAATCTCAGCGAAATTGGTTGTTCCCGTGAGCGCTTTCCATCCGGATTGTTTGTTGAGGATTTCTTCGGCCTAGAGAAGCGTAGATTCGGTTAGTTATTTTATTTTGTCCTGTTGGTTCAGACGGGTGATCATTACCGTGCTGATATGCATTTCCTTAGTACTAGCTGGGCTTAACTTGCCCGCTTCGTTTGTGTAATGGAATACCAATCTAGATCCCGAGTCATCAGCTCAAATTCGACCGTTGTTTCAGTCCATAGTGGAAATCAACTTACGAAGGATCAATATCTCCACTCCGAGTCGCGCCAGGCAGTCCCGCCAAAGGAGTGAGCCCCATTCTAGTCATGATGTTAGTACAAGCCCATGATCGAAGAATGGGTAAATGCAATTCATGCAGCTGCGGTACTCACGAGGTATCAATGGATTGACCATTCTTAATCGCACATATCGAAGCTCCGCTCCCAATGTGCATCACAATGAGGCTCGTCTTCTCGATTGGTTTGTCTATGAACTGTGCCACAGACCGCAGAATAAACGAGTAGCTGATTCCATGGAATCCATACTTGCGCAGGCCGTTCGCCTTGGCGACTTCCTGGTTGATCGCGTATGTGCGCACGGGTTCCGGGATTGTGTGGTGGAAGGCGGAGTCGAAGAAGGTGATGCTCTTTACGTTTGGAAGCTCGGTTTTGCAATGGCGGACGATTTCCAGTGCGGAAAAATTGTGACTTTTCGTACATTGTGATCAGTACGAGCTCGGGAACCGGGTATACTGCGGAGCGATCTGGTTCCGGAGCATCTACAGCATATACTCTTGGGGTCGAGATAGATTGACTTACAGTGGCGCGAGGTCCTCGAATGATTCCAAACGGTGATATGTTTCATCGTTGATTTCGACTGCGTCGCGGTAGTCGCCTCCGTGGACGATTCGGTGGCAGATGTAGGCTAGGTCGTCGACGCTAGTGACTTCGGAGAGCTCGGGATCGTTGAAACAGCGCTTCAGGAGGTAATTGAATGCATCTTGGGGTGTGCTAAGCTTCTCCTTGATTTCTTCTTTGTGCTTCTTGTCGCCCTGTTGGTACTTGAGTGTGGGTGGAGGTGCGGTGATCCCAGAAATCTCCGCTTCTGCAATAGTTCTTGGCGGGTTCTCGAAGGTATAGAAGGTGATTTTTACTGAGGATGAACCCGCGTTGACAGAGAGAATGGATTTGGGCATTTTGAGGGCTTCGTTGCGAATGGAATGAACTATCTGCCTCAGTCGGCTTCTGAACAATTGGATCTCGCCTGGATTTTTTTTTTTTGTCGTGAGTGATGTCAGGATGTGGAGTGACGTCGCTGATACCTCAGCGAACAAGGCGGATTAACTTGGAAATATTCCAAGCTTACATAGCATGATCCCATACTTGTTTGGTGGCACCATCTATTTATTTAATATTGTGTTTCATTGAATTTCATCCCCTAACATTGGTATAGACAAGTATACATTTCTTTCATTCCTAGACTCCGGCCGATCATCCGCGCCAAGCTCTTATCTACAGCCATGCCTGGCGAAGTTATCTCCGAACCAAATCCGAAACCGCAGCCTTCACATCTGCCTGACTATGTGGAGAAATTGAGCGTGAAATTGGATCATGAAAACAAAGTTCTAGATCAGGATGTTTGTGATTCTTTGCTCAAATTTCGCCGAGCTGCTTCATACATCGCCGCAGGTGAGCACTCGATATAGAATATATATTCTGACTTCAGCAACTGATTGTAGTCTAGCGATGATCTTTCTCGACAAAAACACTTCGTTAAAAGAAGACCTAACATTCGACCATATCAAACCTCGGCTACTTGGTAAGTTGCCATTAATATATATATAAGATGGTGTTGTTAACATTATGCTTACAGGCCACTGGGGAACATGCCCCGGGCTCATCTTGGTCTACTCCCACCTAAACTACTTGATCCGGAAAACGAATTTGGATATGTTGTACGTTGTTGGCCCAGGGCATGGTGCACCGGCAATATTGGCCGCATTGTGGTTAGAGGGTTCACTGGAGAGATTTTATCCCCATTACTCGCGCAACAGCCAAGGTCTACACAACCTTATCTCGAATTTCAGCACACCATCTGGATTCCCCAGGTCAGTTCATTGTCTCCCCTAGACAGCTTCTAGGTTCTTTGCTAAAGCCTCAGCAGTCATATCAACGCCGAAACCCCCGGTGTTATCCATGAAGGAGGAGAGCTTGGCTATGCTCTCGCTGTGTCCTTTGGAGCAGTTATGGATAAGCCTGACCTGATTGTGCCCTGTATAGTGGGTGACGGAGAGGCCGAATCCGGTCCAACCGCTGCGTTTGTTGGCCGATTATCTGTGTGTAGACAATGCTAACCCTCGACAGGTCCTGGCATGCAATCAAGTATATTGATCCCAAAGAGTCGGGCGCAGTCTTGCCGATCTTGCACGTGAATGGCTTTAAGATTAGCGAGCGTACTATCTTCGGATGCATGGACAATAAGGAGCTTGTGGCGCTTTTCAGTGGATATGGTTACCAGGTTCGAATTGTGGAGGATATTAATGATATTGATACAGATCTACACTGCTCTATGGTTTGGGCCGTCGAGGAGATTCAAAAGATTCAGAACGCTGCGCGCTCTGGAAATCCGATTCTCAAGCCGAGGTGGCCGATGCTGGTCTTACGGACCCCTAAGGTATGTTGTGACACTTTCCCCTACCTAGTTACGAGCTGCCAATGCTGAGTAAACTTTTCAAAGGGTTGGTCTGGGCCAAAAAAGCTCCATGGTAAATTCATTGAGGGCTCTTTCCATTCTCACCAAGTTCCTTTGCCAAAAGCAAAAACCGACCAGGAGGAACTCGGTCTCTTGCAGAAATGGCTTTCTGACTATAAACCACAAGAGCTATTCACTTCGGACGGTGATATCATTGACGACATCAAATCTGTGATTCCCATTGATGATGCTAAGAAGCTTGGTCAGCGCATTGAGAGCTACAATAGTTATGTCGCCCCCAATCTGCCAGATTGGAGGACCTTCAGTGTTCAGAAAGGCTCCAACGAAAGTGCCATGAAATCAATCGGCAGCCTCATCAATCAGACATTCAAGAACAATCCAAATAGTGTGCGGCTATTCTCGCCAGATGAGCTGGAGAGTAACAAACTTGATGCTGTATTTGATTCCACTAATCGCAACTTCCAGTGGGATGAATTCGCCAATGCACGCGGTGGCCGTGTAATTGAAGTTCTCAGCGAGCACATGTGTCAGGGATTTATGCAGGGCTATACTTTGACTGGCCGCATTGGCATTTTCCCGTCATATGAGAGCTTCCTTGGTATCATTCACACCATGATGGTGCAATATTCCAAGTTCATCAAAATGGTCAGTCCCTTGCTCTCACTTTAGCATCGCAAATCGTGCTCACCGAAACTTTATACAGGCGCTAGAAACAGAATGGCATTCTGGGTTCAGCAGCATCAACTACATCGAAACGAGCACCTGGACGCGCCAAGAACACAACGGGTTCTCCCATCAAAACCCATCATTCATCGGTTCGGTGTTGAAGCTGAAACCAACTGCAGCTCGCGTTTATTTGCCACCAGATGCGAATACTTTCCTCTCGACTTTGCATCACTGTTTAGGGTCGAAGAACTATATCAATCTGATGGTAGGCGCCAAGCAACCAACCCCGGTGTACCTGAGCCCTGAAGAAGCCGAGAACCACTGTCGCGCAGGCGCATCGGTTTGGAAGTTCTGCAGCACAGATGACGGGATCAAACCGGATGTCGTGCTGGTTGGCATCGGTGTCGAGTTGATGTTTGAAGTAATTGCCGCTGCTGCACTGCTGCGTAAGCTTGCGCCAGAGCTGCGAGTGTGTGTGGTGAATGTCACTGATCTGATGATCCTCGAAAATGAGGGCCTGCATCCACACTCCCTGTCCACCGAGGCATTTGACGCACTCTTCACTCCGGACAAGCCTATTCACTTCAACTACCACGGCTATCCAAATGAGCTTCAGGGATTGCTTTTCGGACGCCCGCGTCTTGACCGCATTTCTGTTGCGGGCTATATCGAAGAGGGTAGTACCACCACTCCTTTCGATATGATGCTTGTCAATCGTGTCTCTCGTTTCCACGTTGCTCTGAGTGCTGTTCAAGGAGCTGCCAAGGTCAATGAGAAGATCCGGGTTCGTCAGCAGGAGTTGAAGGCTGAGATTGAAACCGAGATCGTCGAGATCAAGAAGTATATTATGGCAAACCACAAAGGTGAGAAGATCTCATGATCTGTAGTTCAATACTAACTTTGCTAGATCCTGATGATGCCTATGATACACCGAAATTTAACTAGATCCGCTACGCTTCGTGAATTTCAATCTGTTGGTTATTCTATGGTTTGTTTTAGCTTTTGGTATATGTAATAGAGCCGCCCTAACCCCATTGTTCTTCCATGATCTTCACATAATCCACCTTGGACTTGCTCATTATGGGTCAATTTCATAGATCACACAAGAACGCCAATCCGCACAAATGATTGATAAAACCTGAGCATACTAAGCCTTTACCATATCTCAGCCTGCAGTAAATCGTAAATGTGAGATCCTGGTAGACCTGCAATTTGCAGAACATCAAGCTTGATCTTGCCAAAAAAAAAGAACTCATGAGAAAAGCTCCCAGCCACGAGCTCTCAACCACAACCGCCTTTTTTCACCTGGTCTTTCTCCTAGGCCTAACATTTTCATATCGCAAAACCGTGTGTTTGTGTTCAAGATGACTACTCAAAGCTTTGCAGCCCCTGAGGCAGCCGAAGCAATCACCCTTAGCGAAGGAGAATCGGACCTCGTCTTTTTGTATGATGTCCTGAATATTGGACGCGTTCGGGCAATTGCCTCATATTGACTGTATATTACGTACCATATGCTGACAGCTGTGCTTGATAGATCAACTTCGAAGCCATCTGACGCGAACGTGGCATGGCAGAGCAGGAAGCGCGCGCGGTTTTCGCCGAGATCGTGGCCGTGGTCCAGTGGATCAGGGCGCGTCAGCTATGCTGAGGCATAGCCGCCACTAGACTTGTGAGAGTTTATAGCGGCGAACTGATGAAGGGACAATCGTTGCTGATGAGACTTGCAATAAATAGGATTGGCAGTCATCGATGCGGTGATCGGGCATGGGGCCTCGTCAACTCATCCCCGCTTTTGATCAGACTTTCGACAATGGATTTTGGAAGTTGATATGGTCTTCTTGCAGGTAAGTGCGTCCCTTTTCGTCTCAACTCGAGTTGCCGTTGTTGATTTGGCAGGGCTACTCTGGGCTGATCCAATCTGACCGAAGGTTACGATAGGTTGTGAGCGGAAAGTGAAGCACAGATCGAAGTGGTTTTTTCATCGTAATGGGCCAGTGTCGCAACTTATGCGAGGGTATCATGGGACGACGGACATGTTCAAATAGGGAAAGGAGTCACTGATTGAGAATAAAAGCAATTTTTACAGGGATAACGGCTGGCAAGTTCGATCTTGGGTGATTATTGATATTTTTTTTTTGCAGAATCGAGGGCATACCGGAAAAGAGCATGCAACAGGCTTATCTTTCTTTTCTGGTTGAGTACTTGCGCCTGAGCCGGCATCGTTTGCGCTGTTTTTCCATGGAACAAGCTAGGTCGTATTCGTCTGTATCTGCGTTGCGTCTGATCCCAATCAGTTCAAATGATATGTTGATACACGATCACCAAGTCCTGAGTTTTCCATTGACCTTATCTTATCCAGTTATGGGCCCACTGCGAACAGCAAGAAGAAACACACCCGTAACATGGTACTTATCAAAATAAGCCTTGACTTCAGGAATCCGGATCAGACTGGGGTTATAATAATAATATCCATGGATTGAGCTCACTTCAGACGGTGTGTTTCTCTAACCGGAATACTTCCGCGTTGTTTATATCTTGACCGGTCGGTGTGGCTTCATATCCATGTCGTTGACCATGCTAGGTGATGACTGACTTGGACGTATTGGATAGTTGACTGGGATCTTTGAAAATCGATCTCGATGGGATTGTTATCTGCCGACATCGAGTGTGAGAGGGTGCTGTTTCTACTGCAGTGAAACGACAGGCAAGTTATGCAGCTGGAAACTGTTGACTGTTTCTTTGATTTATAGCGAAGGTTAGTGAGTTAGTTTCTCAGGATCCTGAGTGAGTACAGCTGAGCTTTTTAAGCTTATGCTGTTGAGATTGTGAACATCAGCCCAGGCTGGAATCTCCAGGGCCTCCAAGGTTGTAAAATGGGTGAGCCAAGCAACTTCCGACTGTCTTCATAAAATAAACATACTTTGCATGATAGTTTTGTTTTGGCGCATCGAAATTGCTTTTTATACATGCTTCTATCTCACATGGGCTCGAAAGCAGTGCTACAACACGGTGTCGCTTTCAACATAGCATTTTTGGAAATACAACGGGAATAAACGAGATTCAAATCAGAAACAACATATATTGGCAGTGAGGAACTGCCGACCTGGGGCATGTGGGCCTGCCTCTCTTTTTCTCTCCACTTATCACCTATCACACATACATCCGCCGTCATCCGAGACCGTAGAACTACTTGATTTGCATCCGACACTCGATATCCCAGTATACCTTGGGGGAAATCTGTATCAAACTTGAACATTGCAATCAGATTTCTCGAGGGAATTTGAGAAAATATGTTATTCGCTAGTCAAATACAATCTCACTGCAGCAACAATCTAGCAATAATCTTGCAGTTGAGCCGCAGCCATGAAAAAAGACAGTCTAGAGGGGCCGTTTCGGGATCTGGCCCCTTGAAAGCCTCATAGCGGTCAATTGGGATGACTCAAATGCTCTCTCTGACTTTTCATCAAGTCATTTTGTCCGTCTGCTAGCAACGAACGGATCGGAGATAACGGTGTCTAGGGCTGAGGCGAGTTGGCGGGTTTGCGCTAAACCCGAAAGGGATTTCCTTGCGAGGGACGTTGTAGTTCGGCCCGAATTTCCCATATGTCGTAGATTTTTTTTGCTCCGTTTTTGCTTGGCTTTGATGTCATGATCCCTGTATCTGGTCTAATATTGGCGCGTAGGGCATGGTGAAAACAATGAAACGAAATCTGACAGGCCAGGAGTTTCCCGTCCTCGTGGCAGTCGGTTCGTGGTTCTGACCATATGCGTTTTTTATCCTTGTTTACTATACCAGCCGGAGCCGGCCCTTTTATCAACCCGCCCTGGATACTGAAAACTACCAGGCAGGCCTGAATCCTGCGGACGTCGGGATTGGTGCTCCGGTGCGGGTCTTTACTTGCTTAGATTGAACATGGTCGACAGGCACCCAAGACCGTGGCTATGGCCTCGCAAGCCCTTCCACGATGGTGGGGACTAGCTCGTACTCAGCCATGCTTGCTATTACTTATATGTATGCCATCCACTTAGATCTTGCAGCCTGATTTCCGTGTCCTTGTTGGTATCTTTGTTTATACACAGACAAAGGGTTTTTGTTGTCAACGCATGTTTTTTCAGTCGTTTTGAAAGCCGCTGCTGATTTTTACAACCCGTCCAACCGCTTCGAATCTACTCCTCTACGCAATTTTACTCTCTTTTCTCTCTCTCTTTTTGATAGCGGCGTTGTGACTAGTCCCTTAAGTTCGTTGGATTTCCTTCGCTATGGCTGACAGGTTAAAATTGGAAATGGGCTGCCCTGCCTATATCGAGGGTGTTGGTACTTCGTATGGATACGTGCCCTCGCTGGGGGCGGGAATTGCCTATTGCACACTATTTGGTCTCTCGATGATTCTCCATACGGTTCAGTTTACCTGGAAGCGGCAATGGTGGGCAAGCGTGTTCAGTGTCGGATGCCTGGGTAAGTGAAAAGAATAATCTAGGGCTTCAGAGCTTCAGGGCTTTCGGCCGTGACACACCAAACCCTAGGTTTAGGCAACACATCTAACAGCGTCAATAGTCGAACTAATTGGATGGGCTGGTCGAACGTGGTCAGCCAAATGTCCTTATAACTCAACTGCATTTCTCATGCAAATCTCCACTCTCATCATCGGTAGGCTTTTTCATCCTTGCCTGTATGGTACAGCTTTTAACAAATTCCAAGCCCCAACCTTCTTCACGGCAGGAATCTACGTCCTTCTCGGCCGCTTTATCCAACTCCTAGGTCGCGAATCATCGTTCCTAAAACCAAGTTTATACCTCTGGATTTTCTGCACTTGCGACGTAATCTCACTCGTCGTCCAGGCCATCGGCGGCGGCATGGCCTCATCGGAGGCTGGCAAGATCGGCGGTGACACCGCGACAGGCACACATATCATGGTTGCTGGCATTGTATTCCAGCTATTTTCAATCACCATCTTCGTTGTTTGTGCCGCCGACTTTATCCGTCGGACGATGCGTCGCCGTCTAATGCAGTCGCTGGATGGGTCCGTTACTCCGCTCTTTGGGGCCATGGTGCTTTCTATCGTCTGTATCTATATTCGAAGCGTGAGTGGTTTTCTATCCTAGCCGCTTGGCATCTCTGTCTATAGCCGACTGACTTTTCTAGATCTACCGTACGATTGAGTTGTCGCAGGGTTGGTCGGGTTACCTCATTACACACGAATCTTACTTTATTGCGCTCGATGGGGCTATGATGATTGTCTCGGTGGCCATCTTCAACCTGCTTCATCCTGGATGGCTCTTGCCAAGTACAAAGGCGTTCTCGATGAAAGGGGAGAGAACTTCGACTGATGGGCTAGAGATGAATCGGGGTCCTCCTCTTCATTGGTGATAGATTGCTGTGTCCTTCTTTCTTCTTTTTGGTTATCCAAGCTGGTATTGGTTTTTTATGCTGCCCAGAGACCATGTATCGATACTTATCTAAGGGCACTCGATGAATATGAATTGCGGTAATAATTATTGTTATAGATCTGTGATCAACTTGGATTCCAAACTTGGATTTTGCACCACGTATATGGTAGATATCAGATATAAAAAAAAACAAGAATCGGAATAGAACAAAAACAGAATGGCAATCGACGATCACCGCAAACCAGAAGGAAAGAACAAAGAAGCCCAAGGCCAAGGGGGGAAACCCCCGTCAAGATAAGAAATTGATCAACGCAAATTTGCCCCACAGCCGATCAGCAGAAGTTACACAGGCATTCTGCTTCTGCATTGGCATAAACATTAACATCGAGTGTGCCATTAACATTGAGAGCACCTGGATCACGGCAACATCACTGAAAGTAACAATAACAATTTTGGGACATCACTCCTAACCATTCCTTTATCGCATAACAAATCATACACCATCAACGGCTTCAATCCAACCAAAGGTTGCGCCTGTAATCAGCGCTGCAGTTGCCCAGACTGCTCCCCACGTAGCGGCTCCTTCAAGAGAGACATCACGAATCGTGCCCGCCACTTGAACGATCGTGTTGAGCAAGATACCAATGGCGAGAACAAAGGACCGAGAGATGAGGACCCTCGTCTTAGTCGACAGCTTGCCCCAAGTGGCGCGATAAACGACCGCGATCAAGTATTCGCCCTCACAGCTCGAAGACTGCTCGGCATTGGCAGAATAGCCAGTGGAGCTGACAAACAAGAAGTCACGCGCAGCCCAGCCAGCAGGAATGAGTGTCATGAAAAGCACAGGCAAGCCAGCAGGACCGGCATGCGCGGCGCTGATATCCGGGAGACCCTCGAAGTGCACAACCAATCGCGCAGGCAGCCAGGTCGCATAACTGGCGTACAGCACCACACTAAAGACCGAAGCAGCCATAAGCGTGGTGAAAACAGTGGTAATTTTATCCTGCAAAATAGCTCGATTGGGGATCGCACCGGCCGGCGCATGCGAAAGATCATGGACGGACGAGGGCCGGCGCAGGAGGGCAAATGGAATTGCCGTTGAGGCAATTGTAGTCCCAAAGGCGGCCAGCGCTGAAGTTGGGCGGATGCCGTAGAAGAATGACAGGAGAGAGTAGGTGGGCAGGTGGGTCAGGAATAGGAACGATGCCACATCGCGGCCTGTTTCGTACAATCGCAAGCATTTATTAGTCTGGGTATCTTGTGAATAGCTGCAGGAGCCTCGTGGAACAGCTGCAAGGGGTTTAGAGGCTCTCGGGATGTCTAATGCTGCTTACCATCAAATCCTAACACCCAAGCCAACCCAACTTCGACGGCCCTCCAGCCTATCAAGCCCCCCACTTCCCACCATTCCTCCAGGTGTTTGCTGATAAGCCCGAGGTCGCCCACTGTGAAGCTAGAAGTTAATGTGAACAGGGCCGAGCTCAGAACGAGACTGCTCAGGACAACAAGCATAAAGCGAGCTGGAGACGGAATTTTCGTCAGAGGAGAGGTCTGCGCGTCGGCCGCCTGTTCAGGCGCAGGTCGCGAGCCGTCGCTCCACGACACACTTCGCTTCTTTGGGGTCTTGGGAGACATGATGATCTTTAATTTATTTAAGATCGAGAGCTAGAATAACAAAACTCAACGCTTGGATCGAAAATTATCCGCGATTGCCTTTAGTTGAAGCTTGGAAGAGAAAAAGAGAAGGCTGGAACGTTTGGCCAGCGGTGAGCATGTGATGACATCATTTGCTTTGTACAAATTCAAGGATTCAACTTTTCATTGACCTTGAATCATTTTGATACATTGATTAATTACAGTGGAACTTCATGGTAAATTTGGCACTATTCTTCATCTTCGCCTTCTCGCTCAGCCACAGCAAATTCCACTGTACCACTCTCACGTCCACGGTTGTCTCGCACAATGACACGATATTTGCCGCTATCCCAAAGATCCTTGATGGTCAATTCACGAGTACGGCCGAGACTCTCAATATCTCCAATACGCTCCAAAGTACCTTCCAAGTGCTTGTCGAAGTTTTCGATGGCGCATATCTCTCGGAAGGCACGTTGCATGGGCACTGAATCGGCGCGTACCATTGCCCGTGAGTTAATAGTGAAGATATTCTCGTGATCGTAGGATTGAATAAAGTCTGCACGAGTCATAATCTCACGCGCCTTGTGGAGCGGAATCTCAGGTAAAATGTGTCCCTCCTCCGGGTGGTAATTTGACTCCATCTCTTGTTCCAGATCAACTAGAGCTTTCGCTAGGACCATAGCCGCAGACTGTATTGTACACTGTTTAGCTTGAGTCGCCTAGGGGACAGGTGCTCAGTATCGCTAGGGTTTTACTTACGGAGTACTTTTGCTCATCCATCACATCGTCATCCATTTCCTTCCCGAGGATCCAACACTTGTTCAAGAACCAAACTTTTTCGGCCCGGCAGATATCATCGCAGGCTTTTGTGACATTCTCGGATTTGGCGATGCGGTTCAAAAAGGATAGTCGTCCTCCAACTTTGTCGTAGATTTGCTCGAGAACCGAGGCAGGGAGGGACTCGTTGTGGAACTGTTCGCGGTATCTCTTCAGGGCGGTCATCGCCTTGTCCTTGGGCAGATCCTTCACAGGAATGACCTCCATGCGAGTCGCGTAACGCTTCAGGCGCTCATATACCCAGTAGTCATCACTGTTTAGGACTTTTCACAACATTTGTTAGCTAACACAAACAAACATTGGTCGATTTCTTTCTTACTTGTTGTAACAAGACCACTAGCAGCCCATTGTTCGGCGCGCTGCTGGATCATTTCAAGCAAATCCTGTCCATCGTGGTCATCTCTAACCAGATGTGTACTGTTAATGATCAGGATTAGAGGAGTAGAGCCCTCCCGTCTTCTGGTAAGTGCCACTTTCTCCAGCTTATTGAAGGCACGTTCAATGTCCAGGAGTGCGGTGGTATCTCTTGGTCCGCGAATGCTAAAAAGACTGCCAATATAGCTAGATAGAATTATCAGTATCAAGCATGGGAATGGATATTGATGACAATTGATCTTACTCTTCGTGGAACTCATAGTCCAAAGCTTTGCCCAGTCGGATACGGAAAATTTCGAGGTCAGCGTGTGCTTCGAACATCGCACAGCTATTGCCATTAATTTTGCGCATTGCCTCCAAAAGCATCGAAGTTTTGCCCGTGCCTTTCTCGCCGATCATGAGATAGTAGTGGCCACATAGTTTGCCAGATACAATGTCGTCAATTTTGGGTTGCTCGTTGCGAACTACCCAGTTTTCTTCATGGCGATACTTGTGCTTTCCAGAGACAACACCCGCAACTTCGAGAGCAGGGTCACCGGGGTTGAACGCATTGTCCATCTTGTCGAGGATCAGGTACTTGTAGTACTGGTGATACGAATATCCCGCCGCGCTTGGGAGAAGGTCAATCAACGTAATTCATGACTTGTGGGGATTTTGGCAAACCTACCCTAAAATAGCAATTGATGCTGCGGTGGTTGCCGCAGTTTCAAGCATCTTGAGAATCGTAGATTTGAAGTTGGGATCTGAGTCCCGGCGGCCCTGACCTGAACCCTTGCCTTCATCCGAGTCATTCTGATCGGTGGGATCCGGGGTCACTTGCCCTGTGTTCTGGGGGTTTGAATTAAACCGCTTGGGCATATATACCACAAATTGGTTATTGGGCCTTAGGGCCCTGTATAATCCCTGCCGGGCATAGCGCCCCACAGGCTGTCTAAGTCGGTTCAATTGCATCCTGATTGGAGTTCTTGGCGTTTGTGTGTCGGAGTGCCAAGTCCTTTAGTATAGGGGGGACAATGTAAGTCGATGGATACCCAGATGCACGGATTGTTTCTGTGGCTTGTGATGATAAAATAAAACACAATAGTTCAACGAGTGTAATGCTAGAATTCTAGGCTTGAAAAGATCATGTAAAGCCACACCTCTAGGGGATGACGCGTGGTCGATTGAAGGAAAGACTCTGCGTCAGTTATAAGAAAAACAAGATGAGAACAAAAAGCAGATCAATAAAATGAATGAAAGACTGAGGAAAAACGAAGGTCAGAAAGAAAGATTGGAGCTCGAGAAGGTGGCTTAGCCGCGTTGGCGCCTGAAATGTGTTCGCGTCTCAGGGAGTTGGTGCCTCAGCCTCGATGAACCAGGGATACGAAAGGCTTGGCAATCAAATCGGAATATCAAATTTCTACACACATTGGCGATGATGTACAGAGTACAAACTATGCCAATTTTTGAACGAGATATAGTTGGTTTGAGTCTACCTTAGGTATCTGGCATTGCCTTCCAAGAAGATTGTCTTGTAATTTTCAATTGCTCATCGGCGCAACAACGTTAGGTCAAAGCCATGAAGTGATAGTAACCTGCATGGTAGAACCATGAGGATACCTAGGTATTTGTTTTCTGCAGGAGTTTAAATAGAATAACTCGGAGAGTGTTATTTCTTTAAATTATTTCTGCATGTATATGATTTGAAAGACAGAGCGCACTGATTGACGTGTACCATACGTCTTGTGCTCTAACTCGCTACTACTGTATATTTATATTTTGAAGATAAAGTCTTGAATCACAACCATCAATGGCCTGGGCCTTTCAAGAAGCATGAACCCAGGCAAACCAATCTGAAACATGAAATTAAATTGGAAATCACTTATTGCCAATCAACTTAAAATGCCACCGTGTACACAGTCGCTAATGCACGTTCACGCACTTTGGTCAAAAACAATGACACCTGAGGCATCAAGGCAAACATATAGTTAGAAGAAATTCTAAGTAACTAGCTATATTTCCAGGTATCTGCCTCGGTACATCATATTTCATGATTAGTGTAGTATTTCAATCAATCTCTTTTATCTAAACCAAATACTTCTAGAAATATATACAATAATAAATATAAGGTCAATTGAGGTTTGTGGAGAAAAATATTATTGTGCCTCTCCGCTCACTTCCCCGAATCCACCGCCCGAGCACTTCCGAGGGTATGCCGCATCCGCGAAATTTTCTCTCCGGTTTCCCTGTTTCACCGTTCTTATCCATCCTGGCTTTTACAAACTTCGTGGGGTACGGGGTTTTTGTTTCTTGCTCAATTGCCCATTTCTTCATTGTATACTAAATTTCTGTTCTACCTGCCCAATCCCCGCAGGTCCTCAACCTTTTTTTCCCGTGCCATTTTCCCGAACTTGTGTTTCTCATCCGAAGTAACGGTTGTGACACTGGGGTTGTGTTCATTTGTCGAAGCTTTCTTTCATCACCAGCGAGACATCATGGCACAGACCAATGGGGAGTTGGAGCACTCGAAAGGTGTGTATTGGCCCTGGAACCCGGTGTTGATCAAGCTCCAATTGAACACATGGGTTCCGGGTAACATATGAAGCAGGGCACATAGACTAACGGAGGAACAGAGGCTCCTCAAGCTTCTCAAGAGATCAACAATGGCGATGCCCTCGAGGGCACACAGGAGGAGGACCTCTCAGGTGGTATGTTGGATACCCAGTCATCGATGTGTCCACCGTTTTACTAACTTGAGTATCAGGTCTTTTCCAGATTTCCGTGAAGCTTCCTCATGCGCCTCATAAGATTCAAGTGATGGTGGGTAACTTTTAGATGGAAGCAACACAAAAGACCGTATCTGACCCCTTTGCCTTCCAGGTATCCAACCAAGAACAGGTGCAGGATGTCCGCCAATCTATTGTCGAGCTACCGGGAACCTTCCAATACACTTGCTTCCACCTCGAGTTCAACGGAAACCGTATCAACGATTTTGTTGAGCTGTCCGAGGTCGAGGGTCTCGAGGCCGACTCCGAGATCGTTTTGGTGGAGGACCCTTACACCGAGAAGGAGGCCCGCATGCATGTTGTCCGGATCAGGGAGCTTATTGGTGCTTCTGGTGACCGAGTTGACAACCTGCATGGTATTTCCGCTGGCCTGTCGTTGCACGACGCTATTTCCGCGGAAGCTACCAAGGCCACTGCTTCGGAGAAGGACCACTCGCTCTCCTCATATGACTTGACTGGAGTTTCGTCCCTCCAGACTATCCTGCCTACCGCACAGGCTCCTCTACCCAAGACAGTGAAGTCAATTTCGTTGTCTTCGTGGAACCCTGTTCCTTACAACCTCCGCCAGAAGGGTCACTTGCTTTACCTCGTGGTCTCCACCCTCGAGGGTGAACAGTTCCAGATCACTGCTCATGTGTCTGGCTTCTTCGTGAACAAGAACTCGAACATCCGATTCGAACCTTTCCCGAAGTCAATTCACCCCAAGAAGGGCAGCGCTCACTCGCTGCTTACTTTAATCTCTCAACTCTCGCCTTCGTTCAGCGCCGCCTTCGAGGCTTTGCAGGAATACAACAACGAGAAGGATCTCTTGACCACTTTCCCCTTCCAAAATGCTATTCCCAACAGCCCCTGGCTCATCTCCCCTAGCACTGCCAGTTTGAACGCCCACCAGCCTGATATCACCCGTTCGCAGGAGAACTACTTGATCTCTGGTGTTGATAACGCCGAGACACTGCGTGACTGGAACGAGGAGTTCCAGACCACCCGCGAGCTCCCCCGTGAGTCTGTCCAAGACCGCGTGTTCCGTGAGCGATTGACTTCCAAGCTCTTCGCCGATTACAATGAGGCCGCTGCTCGCGGTGCAGTCTTGGTTGCCCGGGGTGAGGTTGCTCCTCTGAACCCCACTGAGGCGCGGGACGCCCAGATCTTCGTTTACAACAACATCTTCTACTCCTTCGGTGCTGATGGCGTTGGGACTTTCACCTCCGAGGGTGGTGACGAGGCCGCACGCGTCGCCGTGGGCAAAGATGTTCTTGGTATCAAGGCTGTCAACCAGCTTGACATCGATGGACTCTTCACCCCTGGAACTGTGGTGGTCGACTACCTGGGCAAGCGTATTGTGGGCCAGAGTATTGTCCCTGGTATCTTCAAGCAGCGCGAGCCCGGTGAGCACCAGATTGACTACGGTGGTGTTGAGGGTAAGGAGATTGTGGCCACCCACGCCGACTTTGTTCCGGTCTTCGAGAAGCTCTCGAAGGCGCTGCGCATCAAGCAGCACCCAGTCTGGGACAAGGATAACAAGCGCCACGAACTCGAAGGCAGTGTTGAGACCAAGGGCCTTCTTGGTACTGACGGCAGGAAATACGTTTTGGACCTGTACCGCGTGGCCCCTATCGATGTTGAGTGGCAGCAAGAGGATGGCAGCGATGCCTACCCTCACCGCATGTCCGTCCTCAGATTGGAATTGATTGAGTCTTACTGGCGCCACAAGATGAGCCAGTACGTCAAGGCTGAGGTCGAGAGCCGTAAGGCCGCCAGTGCCGAGGCGTCTAAGGATGGCAAGCCCGAGGAGGAGACCGCGGAACAGGAGCGGGTTGATATCTCTGGATTCAAACTGGCTCTTAACCCCGATGTCTTCAGTGGCCAGGTCCCCCAGACCAAGGAGGAGAAGGAGCAGTGGGCGCAGGATGAGCAGGAAGTCCGGGACGCTTGCGATCACCTCCGATCCAAGGTCATTCCCGATCTGCTCAAGGACCTTCACGATGGCGACGTCGGCTTCCCTATGGATGGCCAATCGCTGACCCAGCTTTTGCACAAGCGCGGTATCAACCTGCGTTACCTCGGAAAGTTGGCTGAACAGTCCACTGAGAAGGGACCCCGCCTCAAGGCCCTGTCTATCCTCCTGGTTCAGGAGATGATTACTCGTGCCTTCAAGCATATTGCCAACCGCTACCTGAGCAATGTCCCCGCTCCTTTCGTCGCTCCTTGCCTTTCTCACCTGCTGAACTGTCTGCTCGGCGCTGATGTCAACGCCACCCCCAAGGCCGAGATTGACGAACAGATGCGCAAGATCTTCCCCGAGGGTGATTTCTCCTTCGAGCAGGTCACCCCGGAGTCCCTCCGAACCGAGATCGAGAAGCAGGTCGCCACTCGCTTCCGCTTCTCCCTCGAGAAGGACTGGACCAGCTCCCTCAGACACTTGCAGCTTTTGCGTGATATCTCAATCAAGTTGGGTCTCCAGCTTGGTGCTCGTGACTTCGCCTTCGCCAAGGATCAAGTCAAGGAGCAGATCGTTGTCCCCGTCACTAACGGCGCTACTCACGAAGAGCCCAAGAAGAAGGGCAACAAGAAGAAGGGTGGTGACAAGCAGTCGCCTAATCGCACCCCTGCGCCAGCTAAGCCCGCTACCACTTTCACCGCCGATGATATTCTGAACGTCGTTCCTTTGGTTCGCGATGCCTCTCCCCGTAGTGCACTGGCAGAGGAGGCCCTGGAGGCCGGCCGTATTTCTCTCATGCAGAACCAGAAGCAGTTGGGCCAGGAGCTCATTCTGGAGTCTCTGTCTCTGCACGAGCAGATCTACGGTATTCTGCACCCCGAGGTCGCCAAGCTCTACCACCAGCTTTCTATGCTGTACTACCAGACTGATGAAAAGGAGGCTGCCGTGGAACTAGCCCGCAAGGCTGTCATCGTCACTGAGCGCACCATGGGTGTGGACTCTGCCGACACTATCCTGAGCTACCTCAACCTGAGTCTGTTTGAGCATGCCTCCGGTAACACCAAAACCGCCCTGGTGTACATCAAGCATGCCATGGATATCTGGAAGATCATCTATGGTGCTAACCACCCCGACTCCATCACCACCATGAACAACGCCGCCGTGATGCTGCAACACCTCAAGCAGTACACGGACTCTCGCAAGTGGTTCGAGGCTTCTCTCGCCATCTGCGAGAACCTGTTCGGCAAGGATTCTATTAACACTGCCACCATTCTCTTCCAGTTGGCCCAAGCCCTTGCCCTGGATCAGGACTCCAAGGCCGCCGTCGGTAAGATGCGCGAGGCGTACAACATCTTCCTCGCCCAGCTGGGCCCTGAAGACCGCAACACCAAGGAGGCCGAGAACTGGCTGGAGCAGCTCACCCAGAACGCCGTCTCCATCGCCAAGCACGCCAAGGACATCCAGGCTCGTCGTCTGCGCCGCATCACGATGAACCCTCGTGTGTCCAGCATGGGCACTCGCGTCCAGCCCCAGGTTGGCCAGGTCGCACCTGAAATTGCCGCACCTACTGGAACCGCCGATCCTTCCGGCCTTGACTCTCGCAGCATCGACGAGCTTCTGAAGTTCATCGAGGGTGGCGACACCGGCAGCTCTTCGCGCTCCAAGCAGAAGAAGCGTGCTGCCACCAGCAACCCCAAGCTTCGCGGCTCCAAGCAGTCCAACAAGGCATAAATGGACTCCTAGATCAGCCAGATCGGCTGCGTTAATTGGTTCATGTTCTTATTTTCTTGGTTATTACATGTGTTAACAGTCAAATACTATATATCTATATCCATTGTCATTTTGGGGATCGGTGGGCAGGCTTGATGAGCGAAAAGAACTGTTGTATTTTAGATCTCTCTCCTCTCTTATTTTTTTTCTTTGACTTCATCTGTTAGGTTGGGTTGTCTCGGGCAGTGCATGGAAAGGACTCGGCATTTCCTCATATCTGGTGCATTATGTGGTGATATTGTCTGGATTTTGCATCTTTGGGTCATTTTCTCTTTCTGGGTAAATCCACTTTATATACAAGAGCTTCAATTTGAATGGATATCTTCTTTCAGTTGAAGAACTACTACATGGTGTCTTAGGAGGCCAACAGCTAGGATTGAGGCTCTAGAACCGCTTTATTGATAGAAGGGCATACCTAGGTAGTGAGCTGTTGTGTATTGGATTCTTAAATCTCCCATTTTGATACCTACATGCGTAGGTAGGGTACCCTGTGCTTATAACGGACCTATACGGGAAAATGACATTCTATATCTTGCCTGGCTTCTCCTGGCTGTATAGGGTCTCTTTTGGTATCAAAAACAAATGTGTGCTGTGAGGCCAAAGCATCCTTTTCCCATCACACCCAGGTAGCGCTTAACCGAATTAGGGAATGTTTGTTTTATTTGTTTGCTGAACATCGCAACTTGTTATCTATCACTTAACGCGTCAGTCTCTCGGCATACATTAACCACATTGAATTATTGTTGTATTATTGGAATTACCTGCTGGTCGCACAATATAGTACTACCATGCATGATTGAGGGGCCGTTTGGGACCCCGAGGTTGGTGCTGAGCAATGAACACAGACTTGAGACCATGCTGATGCCGTTTACAGTTTTATGCTCCAAGCAAATATCATTATATCCGTTATTCTTCATGGAAGACGTCCAAGCTACCGCACGATGGGCGAAACGTGTTCTGCGCCCCTTGACCTCCATCTGCCGCCGAATCGAGAAGCACCAAGAATCGCTGTCTACCATCGCGACCGAGTCGAAAACAGCAGAGAATAAAGACATAGCGCCATTAAACCCCGCAAACTCGGCACAAAGGGCGTATGATTACTTGGGATCAGACGCCGACGCAGATGAGAACGACCCGGCTTGGGTTCCATGGGAAAAACAACCCGAGCGACGCCGGTCCAGGCGCAAGTATTCGACCAGAGGAGAAGATAATGGCGGGAAAAGGCGCAGCGGATTTGGAATACATAGCCCAGAACGCCCGCGCACTCTGCCTGGCGCCATTGAGGTTGCCACACCACAGATAACTGGGAAGAGATGGGAGATGCCCTCGAGTGCGCAGTCACAACGGTCGACCGGCCTGGATAATTTCTCTAGCCTTCCGCCGCCATCACCAGCCTTTCGTGTCCGAAATCCGCTGCGAAAGAGCCCTTGGCAAGAGCTTCTCGATCAGTCCGGTGATCCAATTTTCGCCGACATAGCCCACAATCTTGATCGCGTTTTCCAGAACTTCCTTTTCAATACCCAGAAATCAAGGCGCGAAGCGAGACCTTCAACGGATGACTCTAGGTGCGGTGCTCGATCTTTGATGTCGATGGTGGCGCGATGCCTCCCCAAGTTTATTGCGAAAGAACAAGAGCGACAGGACAAATTGGACGAGGATGGGGACGAAGATATGTGTGATGCATATTTTACAGAATTGGAAGCATTTTATGCGCCTCATGGTACGGGATGGAAACCGCTCCGTGAGGCTGTCCGCGCGCAGGGCATTCATCTGATTGCCAAAATGATACAGAATAGTTGGATTACAGATTCAGTTGCATGCGCGCTTATTGAAAAGTGTCGCTCTATCGCACCCGAAGAAGGCGATTATTTACTCTCTACACTGCTTTCTGCACACAAAAGTTATCCCTACCCCCAGGCTCTGAGACCTGCGGTTGATCCTGACGCTTCGGGTGACCCCATTCGATTGTTGCGCAAATACGCTCACCATGGCGTTACTGGTCGCTCCTACATCTTTAGTGAACTTGGAAAGCTGCTTTTGCGGGGAATGTTACCACCACAATGGATGGGAACCAAATTATGGACATCTTGGATGATTCGAGCAACACTTTCCTTCTCAAAAGAGGACAAGGACTGTCCCGCGGCTTCGCGGTTGATTGAGGCTGTGATTCTTTCAGCTAGTGATTTACACGTCGTCACTACACCTGCGGCGTCTCAAAGTTCAACTAAAACGGTCTCGCTGAAAGGAAAGGCCTCTCGTGCTCACGCAACCCGGGCGGCATCCACAGCATGGGAAAGTCCACAAAGTGTTCGGCCTTGCCCTATGCAGATAGAAGATGCATTGAGCAACCACGTCATAAGTCTCCTGGCAGCTTTGTGTGGCATGCACATCTCACGGTCTCGTGCCTCAGATCAAGTTGAGTTCACGACAAATTGTACGAAAGCGAGCCACATCATCGGCTATTTACAATTTGCTTTGCAGCGAGATGTCGACACGATGGCCCTCGCCCAGCGAAGCTATAATACCTCCTATCAATTACTACGGCGTGGTTGCATATTGCTAGCAACCAGCCTTGTACACTGTAATGATACACTTTTACTGAACAAACAGTACACTATGTCGTCAACGATCAACATGGATGAATGCGCGGATGTTATAGCCTCTCGTCCCGAGATCATCAAAGAGCTAGCATTTCTCGTGCGACAGGCGTTCCGCTGTTTGCGAGCAAGCCCAGAGGATGGAGCTGCAGGGGATGGACCTGACCATACCAGCGAAGAAATACGCCGCATGGTCTCGCAGCTTGCTTGCATAGCCGATACACCAGGTTTGTCTGCCCTTTTAGGGCGCGTCGCCGCAGAGGCTGCTATGGAGTTCGCTGAAGCTACGGGAGATCCAGACGAACATGTGTGGGCCGTAGAGGTACAAGAGGCCGTCGCCAACCGACAAGATCAGAGAGAAAAGGACCGAGAATCTTCAGAAGAACCCGTGGAATCTAGCCAAAAGATCACGAGCCAAAAGCACGGCTTGTTTCGCTGGGAAGATAGTATAGGCGAATGGGTTGCTCCTACACCAGTGTCAAAGAGAAAGCCAATCATCGTACAAAGGGCTCAAAGACCCATGCGTATGCTACCAAGCCCAGTTCCCTGTGTTCCCTGTTCTACGGATTGCAGCTCGCTTGGATCTGATTGCTCTCAAGACTCCGCCTCCAGTGTAATTTCGTCACCTCCCTCAGTGGCGACCAAGAGAACTTTCGAAGATATTGAGGTCGTGCGAGTGCGACCCAGCAGACGACGCGGACCAGATGTCGTGATTGACAATGAGAAAGACGACCTTCACGACTCTGCCACTAGTGTAAGCTCGTCTCCTCCGACACTGGCGACCAAGAGAATGTTCGACGACATTGAGGTCTCGATCTCGCGTATACGACCCAGCAAACGACCCAGACCCAATCCAGTCGTCGTGATCGACAACAAGGCAAGCAGCCGGAGAGAAAATAGTCCCACTCCGACTAGGTTCCATCCCACTGTGGAACCAGTTACTCGGATCCTGCGAGAGCGCAACTCCAACTTGACCAGACGGGCCGCGCCCACGAGACATGCGCGCAAGGTCGAAGTCGTGGTTGTCAATAACAAGGAAAATAGTGGAATTCATGAGACGCAACCCACGCCCGAGCGTGTCGAAAGACAAATGCACCGCACAATGGAGAGGAAGAGGCCTGTACGTACTCCAAATTTCGCCCCGAGATTTGTCCAGCGGCCGAGCTCCCAACGGACCATTCCCTGCTCTCAGGATGGCGACAGTGACGATGAGCTTAGCTTCCTTTGAGTGGGACCGCCTGGGCTTTCTCAGCTTGTCCTAATTGGGTCCTGGCTTGGCCCTGTTTTAATTTACGTGCCTGGGCACAGAGTCGTCGAATATACCCTGGACTTTTTGTACTATGGTTCTGGTGTCTATCGCGTTTTACATTGTGGATGGATCTCCTGATCTTAAAATTTGGATGTCTTGCTGGCGTGACCGAGAATGACTGAATGTGAATTTGATCTTGGTTCATTCCCCTCAAAGGGAACGGTGGAGTGGAAGTGATCAATATGGATGGGTGTTCCGCTTTATTTTTTTGGAGAACTCGGCGTTTTGTTTTGATTTGATACCCATGGCCTTGGATTGGTGTTACTTTTTTCCTTTTTTCTTTTTCTGTTTTTCTTTTCCATATTAATTCTGCAAAAGCCCTGCTTGTCCTTGAACTAGACCGCGACTACGCCGACGCCAATGCATAGATTACACTATTGGACGGATATTGATCCTATTTCGTTGACGTGGTGAAGTCCCACTCTATTTGGCACGTCAGATAAGACATCTTGTAGAAAACCGACAGAGCTCCGACGCCACTGCAGGATGAAGAAGGCTTTGATATACACCTGCAGGATGCAATGCAGTCTATATGAAGCGGATGAATTATTCCCGCGTTTCAATTGCCCAGCCACTATGACAGGAACAATGACAGTTGAATAAACATTCCATCTATAAAAGACGAGAGCTTCGAACCATAGTGCAGTTTCCAACAAGGGAATCCCCATCGCGGGAGATTGCGGTCTGATATAAATGAATTCCCCCGAGCGCCAAGCAATTCCCCCTGGATGGAAGATCTAAGATAACTTATTGTTAGATACTGTGTGGCTTGACGAAAAATCATAGCCTATCAAGGTTGTTTCACAATTCTGAAAATGGTTGCGATCTCCGAGGGTTTCGGGGCGCTAAGAAGAGACGTCTGGTTGCTCACTAGCAGTTACCTCAGCGTACTGTTGTGTCTTTGACCGCCGAGTTGCTCGAAATTCACTACTCCTCTTCTCCACAATGCCCACACGCAGATTGGCCCATCAAAAGCAACAAATCAATTCTCAAACAACCAGTCTTGAGCCAAGCCATGTGATGCGGATCTGGACCTTTGGCGCCTGTTGATTCTTCTGGTCAATCTCTGCCCACGCAATTGTTTCATCCTTGACCACTCACAGTCTTGATCGGTATCCCCCACCACAATGTTACTTACTCGCCTTCGACCTGTCGCATGTCGCGTGTCCCATCCTCTGTTATAGTTTACTATGGATATCTGTAATATGAGAATCCGATTCGATGCAATTCGAGATCGTCTTGATACAATGACATACATCCCTTGATCCGATCTGTGTGGACTTGGCGCTAAACCTCCGCTCTTCTCTCTCCTGAGAGATTGAGTTACTGGGAACTTCAGAAATGAGAAATAAAAATGGGTTGATCGGGTTGATCGGGTTGATCGGTTACATTATGACAGGCCGTGCAGGTCCAACCTTGCTTGGTTTTTTTTACATATTGGGGTGGCCCTTGTTTCATATAGTACTACTCACTCTTCTCGCTCTCCACTACGGAGTAGACTCAAGGGGAAAACAGTCCTTTCTTCTTTTCTATTCTACTCCTCTATTGTTTCCTTTCTTTCTTTTCTTTCGACTTTCTTGGTTCTTTGTCCTTTGTCCTTCATTTTTGCCTTCACAATCGACACTGTCTCATTTATTTTACCTTTCTTTCTAAGACACAATCCTCATTGTGTCACGGTGGACCAATTTCCATCTTTAGCCCTTTTTGTCGCTGTGACTGGCTCACCAGCATTCCTGTCGTTGCCCGCCGACAACGGCCTTTAACAAGCATCCTCGCTGTTTTCCGATCCTTTCGGTTCTGCTCTGACCACAATCAAACTGACAACTTTTCGACAAACGCCAGTTTTTCAAAACTACTACTCTGATCTCTGTACGCTAGATCAAGGCAGGCCCTGTACTCGACATCAGCCACCCAACGGTATATCCTAACCAACTGGATCGGATCCCGTTAACCCTTGCTTTTCATTTTCTGCGACAACAACCTGGGGTTGTTTCTTTTGTGCCAATTCAAACCCATATTCTCCGAGCCATTTGTGGCTTTGGTCCTGATATCAACTATCCCCTGTTCAATTCATCAATCTACACCTTTCCAGCGAGCTGGTCTTGCTGAATCACTAAGCCCAGGACTAAATATTTGACCTGTAAGGCCATTGGCGAGGCAATATGCACCCCTTTCTCTTGGCCGTCTCCCTCACTGGACTAGCCAGCGCATCGGATATCGACTCTCTTGGAAAACGATCTGGTGGAGGTTCCTCATGGTACTTCTACGAAGCCCTCAATGATGATTTAGCACGCTATTCAATTCTGGCCCTCGGCTGTGCCGCTGCCGCGTATTATATCTGGCAGCTTGCCTTTCATTTCTCTCGCCACCTTCGACGCCTTGCCAGCTTCAGTGATGACCGACAGCGATACTTCGTTGCTACGCACAACACTTTCGCGTGGATCAAGGAACATATCATCTATGCTGCTCTATTCCGCACTAGACACAACCAGGAGCTTCAGCTCTCATCCGCTATCAACATGGGAACCCTGCCCAGCCGCTTCCATGCATTCCTTATCACTGGCGTTGTTGCCATGAACGTTACGCTTTGCTGTGTGACAAGTCCATACGGCTCCAAGGAAGACACACTGGCCGGTGTTGTGCGTAACCGTACAGGTACTATGGCGACCGTCAACTTGATCCCTCTCGTTATTATGGCTGGCCGTAATAACCCGTTGATTGCTATGCTGCATGTGCCATTTGATACGTGGAACTTGCTCCACCGATGGCTGGGCCGTATTGTGGTCCTGGAAAGTCTTGCCCATGTGTTTGCATGGGCCATTCCCAAAGGGCAAGAAAAGGGCTGGGCTATCGTCGGAAAGGCCATGTTTGGCAGCAGCTTCCTTCTCACCGGATTCGTGGCTGCTTGTGCATTCACCGCGTTGCTGCTTCATTCGCCTTCTGCTGTCCGTCATGCTTTCTACGAGACCTTCCTTCACCTTCACATTGCCATCGCAGCAGTTTCCATGGGCTTCCTCTGGGTCCACCTTAACGGGCTCGTTGCGCAAAAATACCTGCTCGCCTCCATCATCCTATGGGCTCTCGAGCGCACTACCCGTTTGTTGATCATTGTGTACCGCAACTGCGGTCACCAGTCCACCACCGCAACCGTCGAGGCCATGCCCGGCGACGCTATGCGCATTACCATCCGCATGGCCCGTCCCTGGACCTTCCGCCCCGGCCAGCACATCTACCTTTACGTTCCCGCCGTAGGCTGGCTAACCTCGCACCCGTTCTCCGTCGGCTGGAGCGAAACCGAAGACAGCATGTCCGACGAGAAGTCCCTACCCATGACAAAGAAGGATCTTCTTAGCTCGCCACAAAAAGAAACCATCTCTCTTCTGGTCCGGCGCCGCACCGGCATGACAGACAAGCTGTTCCAGCGTGCCGTGAACGCCCCCGACTCGCGCGTCACGCTGCGCGCCTTCGCCGAGGGTCCCTACGGCAACATCCACACCATGGACTCGTACGGCACGGTGATGCTCTTCGCCGGCGGCGTCGGCATCACCCACCACGTCCCCTTCGTCCGCCACCTGGTCGATGGCTTCGCGAACGGCACTGTCGCTGCCCGCCGCGTCACCCTCGTCTGGATCATCCAGTCCCCCGAGCACCTGGAGTGGATCCGCCCCTGGATGACCAGTATCTTGGCGATGAACCGTCGTCGCGAAGTGCTGCGCATCATGCTCTTCGTCACGCGGCCCCGCAATACGAAGGAAATCCAGAGTCCCTCGGCCACTGTGCAGATGTTCCCTGGCCGTCCGAATATCGACACCCTTGTTGGTATGGAGGTTGAGAATCAGATTGGTGCCATGGGTGTCTTAGTCTGTGGTAATGGTGGTCTGAGTGATGACGTCCGCCGTGTGTGCCGAAAGAGACAGGCTCATTCCAATCTCGATTATGTGGAAGAGAGTTTCTCCTGGTAGACCGAGGCGATGCTGTGTAGCATTGATATTATGTCTGATTGGTTGGCATTCGAACGCGCTTGGTTTGGAAGGTCGCTGTCTTGGCCCAGTGAGGGGCATTATCACTGAGATCATACGATGGTATTTTGTTTTTCTTTCGTTATGTTCTGTTTTGCAGCTCGCTTTTCTTGTATACTTTTCTGAGCCTTTTCTCTTCTTTTCTTCGGGTAGCGACCTACCATGTTATCATGGATGTATATAGACAGTTGTACATATCCTTCCTGCCAAGTGCGAGGTGACAATGCCGATTGTTTCAACATTCTAAGCTTTTTTACTAGATTCCTGATTGAGAAAATTCTGTCTCTTTTCATGCCGAATTATGAGCATTGAATTTTAGGCGTAGGCAAAGAAACAATAACATATAGCTGTTCCATGAACACATATAAGAAACACAGAAGGCCTAGAGAATATGTCTAGATTTGACATGCCGCTGGACTTTCTAGACGGATGTAGTAGCATAACAAACACCGAGATCTCATAGAGTACGCAAGCCAGATTTTCAAACTCATTCTGCGCAATAGAACACGTCGGAAGTAGTCACCTCCCCCGACCCTGTATACCTCACACGCTGTGGGTAAGGACAAATGATTCTGCCATAAGTCTTCCCATCTTCCGGTATGTAGGTGACTGGAAGACTTTCAGGCGCAATTCCATTTTCAACCCAAGCAACAAGGCTATCAAACATAGTGGAAGGATATCCACCTTTAGTGCCATAGCAGTGGCCCATCATCGGCACTTCAAAGAGCCGATAAAACTCATGCACGCCGGATTCTTGCGCAGCAACCTTCTCGTAGTATGACCGTGTGCCTCTGGGAGGGATTACTTCGTCCACCTGCATCACATAGTTAGTATAGTAAGTATAGTAAGCGCCAGTCAAGATCCCTGTGACCAAAATACTATCTACAACTTACCAAACCATGATACGTAAGCATCTTGCCGCTAGCATCGCGGAACTTTGACAGATCTGGGTCGTTTGTTCCGAAAGCCGATGTCCACTGCTGGACAGACTTCCAAAAGAGACGGTCGTACTCCTTTCGTGTGATATTTGACAAAGTACGGTTGACATTCTGTTCCACGAATACTTGAGCCCACCGCTCATGCAGGTAGCTGCGTACGGCCGTGCACTTTCCGTCGACACATTCTGTGTTCGCCGGGGTGTTCCGTCCCGTCAAAGGAGTACCAGGCTTGAAGCCATACCACAGGAACCTGCCCTGTGAGTCTCGCGCGCCTGTCCAAGTAGCATTAACAATATTCGTCGTTACAGCCGAGATCTTCAACTCAGACCCAGTGTCGCTGCAGTAGATCTGTGTCCCAACCATAGTAAATGGATTGAAAATACATGAATTGGGATCTGAATTGATGCCATCCAGGACGCCATCAGCGCCGTCGCAAGCGAAGACTGCAGCGGCTGTCACAGTATTGATCTCGCAAGGAAACAGGTATTCGTCGAGGTGACCCATGACAAACTGGGCCCAGTATCCTCCCAACGACAGCTCAGGCCAATTGATAGCCGGTGCAGAAGCCACAACGCCGTCGTACGCGTTTGGGTATTTTTGCGCAAGAGCTAGGCCTTGTCGGCCGCCTTGTGAGCAGCCTGTCCAGTATGAGTATTTGGGTTTCGACCCATATGCGCTCTCTGTTAGGCTCTTTCCTATCAGGGCCGCGTCGTCGAGAGATAGGATTCCAAAATCGTAGATAGTGTCGTAGTCTGGTGTTCTGTCGTCGAGGAGGGCCCATTCTGCGGGATCGTCGCTTGTGTGTCCACCATCTGTTGAAATGGCGATGTAGCCTTCGGCTGCTGCGGCGATCATGCCATGTTTCGTTACGTCTGTGAGTCCGGCGGTGTATCTGTTTCCACCAATTCCTTGTGAACGGCCATTCCAAGAGTCAATAGGGAGAAAAACGCCAACGTTGATGGAGTCGTGTTTGTCAGTGTGTTTGTAGGTCACGGTTACATTGCAAAAGTTGAGATTCTGGGCTGCGATGCCGCCATGGTTGTAATAGTACCAATCAGGGATGTACTGTGTTATATTGGAGACTTGGGAGGCTTGCAGTGAGAGTACCTCGGTGCCGGGTATGAGAGGATAGGAAAATGTTTGAGCCGAGCACAACGATGGGGAGAGGCTATTCTTGATGGTGTCAGAACCAGCACTTTGGACAGTGGCCTTGGGGCAAGAAACTGCTGCATGGTTCTTGCTATCAATACAGGCCTTGGGTGCTCTGTTGGCGGTTATGTATTCGATATTTGGTTCTCGATCAATATGCGCGTATTTGGTGGTTACATAGGTAGGGAATCCGGATATCCAGCCACGGCGCTACCATGTTTTGAGCTGCTGAGGTGACTCGAGCCATATCTAGGTGCCTGCATCCAGCTAGATGAATTATTAATAAAAGAATTCAAGTTAAAGAAAAGGGGAACACTGTTCAAGAGGCAAAAGCTATGCGCGTATTCGACTTGAAGTGGGGTGTGGCTCGGGGCTCGCATGGCCCTTCAATGAATTTCGTACTAACTTAACTGCCTAGGTAACAAGCTGGGGGGTTTTACGTAGGATATCTCAAATGAGCTTCTCAACTAGGTTACAATTCATTGCGACAAATGAAACAGCAAGCAGAGGTGTGAAGAAAAATGTAGGTTATAATTCACTCAATGTACGAGGGGGTAAATGGTCCATCTAACAACCAAAAGAAACCTCAATATTCTATACACGATAGAATCAAAATCAAAACCAAAACGCCAAAAACAGCAAAGACTCCAAATAGCAGAATATTTAAACCTCGGAGTAATTATGTGCCAATGGAATGCTTCTCTCGGGGTTCGTATCGAGGCTCATCTGATCTGGATACCAAATGAAGAAGATAACCATAACAATTGCCATCGGCACGCTGTCAAAGATGTACATTGTCCACTCATGCATCAGCGGATATCCATCATTGTCCATAACATATTCGATGATCCGGAAGATAGAACGCACCAGGATCAGGGCACTGACGGCATACAGCATGTACAATGCTTGTTGCCAGGGGATCCCAGGCTTGAGACACTCAGGGGTAGGTGCACGACGAAGACGTCTCGCGAAGATAATGGCAGTCACCCAGAAAAGGGAAAAGGAGATAAGCTGAATTGCCAAACCGGCAACGACACACACCTTTCCCCACTGGGCGTATCCCAGCACGGAAAGAGAAGAGGAGTTGCCCTGGACGATGAAAGACAACACATCGCCCCAGACAAAGGTCTTGGTGAGTCGTGATACACGAATCGGTGAAAGATGTTCTCCTTGGACTCGGCGGATGAGACGACCTAAAGTCATGTAGATGGATGCGGCGAAGAGTGTGGGGCCTAGGAGGATGAACATGTTGGAGACAATGTATGGCCCCATAGTAGTGGTGTTGTTATGCGCAACACATCGACCGATATAGCCAATAATTTCGACTAAATCATTGTTTCCGTCAGTGTGTGTTCTTTGGGGAAGGAAAAGTAATAATTGCATGGGAAGGTTTCACGTACACAATCCGCCGAGAGTAAATGCTATGCAAAACCATGTTCTGGTTCTGAAAAGTTTCCAAAAATGAAAGCCAGTCAAAACCAGAAATATAAGCATAAAAATCACCGCTGCAGCCAATGAAGGAACATAGTTCCAAAACTTATACCCACGAGACACAAGTTCGTTCATCTTGAAGGAGTGTCTGGGCCGGTAGGAAGAGAAAAAAAGGGTATTTGAAACAGATTAGAGCAAAGTAGAAGATGAATTCGAATGCTTTATAAAGCACAGGTTCAACATAAAAGAAAGAACCTTTTTTTTTAGCTTTTTGTTCTTCGATAGATCGAAGGGCAGATACGCGTATAGAGTTGTCCCACATTGAGCTAAATTGTAGCCAATCATAGCTACTAAAATACTTGACCTAGTCCTATATTGGTATCACTCCCGTCAACCTAAATCTATACGCGGATACTAGTCTGTGGGCGAAACCATCGATCAGCGTGGAAAATAATGCAGATGCATCCAGGGGTGCAAGAGTTCATTGATTTTCTACAATAATAGCAACAGAGTAAAATTCTATTGTAAGGCAACAGCATTGTTCATCTGCCATCTTCAAACAAAGCTATCCTCGGCTTCAAACATGGGAGGAACGAGTGCCTTGGGAGGCCAGCCAGTCTGACTGTCAAATATTTTGCTGAACCCGTAACTCCCCGATCCTAGCCAATGCCCCTGCTCCTCCTCTCCAGACTGACTCGGCAGAATAACACGAGCCTTCGAATTGGCAGGCACGATCACCTCCAAGTGGAATTCGCTACCCTGTTTCACTTCCCACCTACACTCTAGCCGACCATATGGTGTTTCGTAAATAGCTTCCGCTGAAGTGACAGTGCCACCAGGCACCGGTTGTATGAGAATGTGTCGCCAACCAGGCTCCAACGGACTCACACCAGCGACAGTCTTATGGAGCCAGTTGATGATGGATCCTAACGCATAATGATTGAAACTCGTCATCTCCCCTGGGTTGATTGAGCCGTCAGGAAGCATGCTATCCCAGCGCTCCCAGATGGTTGTAGCTCCCATTGTGATTGGGTAAATCCACGACGGACAGTTCTTCTCTTGTAGCATGCGATATGCTAGCTGTGGATAATATGACTTTGTCAGAGCGTGGGCAATCAACGGTGTTCCCGCAAAGCCCGTGGACACCTGGAACTTTGATTTTTGAACCAATCGAGCTAGGCGCGCACCTGCCGCCGCTGCCTGTTTCGGGTCGTCAAGGAGACCGAAAACCAGGACAAGAGATAATGCAGTCTGCGTGTCTCCTACTAACAAGCCTTCTGGGGAGACATACTTTTCTTGGAAGCGAGATCGCAGTCCTCGGTGCTCGGTGCTGTATCGAGTTGCGTCTGCTGATTCACCAAGAATAGAGCTTATTTCCGCTAGTATTTTTGTAACATGCACGAGATATGCATCCGCCACAAGCGTTCCGTCTGTTCGTGCATTACCCGGCTGATCTGGAGGAGCGGTGGGATCGAGCCAGTCTCCTAATTGGAAAAGACTATCATCCCAGAGACGATCTGCTCCACGCTGAACGCCTCGATCCAACCAGCCCGTCATGCTAGGGTATTGCTTCCGAAGAATTTCAATATCGCCATAATTTTGGTATAAGGTCCACGGAAGAAGGACTGTAACGTCGTCCCAAATGGCTTGAGGAAATGTGGGCCACAACTCCTCGGGAATTACATTTGGAATAACAAAAGGAGGAATTGCGTTGGCGTTTTGAAGCTGCTCAGCTGATAGATCCTTCAGCCAGTCCCCTAGCATACCAGATGTGTTATACAGGAAGCTGGCAGAGGGGGCGAAAACTTGAATATCTCCAGTCCAACCTAGGCGTTCATCTCTTTGTGGGCAGTCGGTGGGAATAGATAGAAAATTTCCACGCATAGACCATGTGGCATTTTGATGGAGCTGGTTAATCATGGGATGAGAGCAGTTGAACCAGCCTGTGCGAGTGAGGTCTGTATGCATGACTTCCGCAACGATACCTTCCAGATCAGGGGCCCAGTTGTCGACTTGTACATATCGAAATCCATGGAATGAGAAGCGAGGAGCCCAGTCGAGCTCTTCGCCTGCTGATGTTATCTTGTCACTGCATTTCGCCACACGCAGGGGACGAGTTCCCAGCTCGTGGTCTTCCAGCACCTCTGCATGAGTTAGAACGATAGTGTCACCGCGTCCTACATTGAGTTTCGGAATCCGGACACGCCCGACTAGATTTTGGCCAAAATCAACAATCGTTTTGTGAGAAGGTGTGGTTATAATTTGAACTGGCTTGACAGTCTCAGTGACTCTTACTGGTGGCGCACTAGGCGCCACCAGCTCTGCCTTTGGAAATTCAATCTCGCAAGTTGGATTCCAGGATGGCTCCAGAGTGAAAGTACTGCTATTCCACCCGCTTTGCTCTTCCAAAGCATTGTAGATCTCGCCATCATAAATCTCACTGCTGATGATTGCAGATTGATGACTTTTCCAAGTTGGATCCGATGCAACAATAACTTGTTCGCCATTCTCAGATAGAACCTCCAGCTGGGCAATCAAGGCCATCTCATCACCATAGATAAATCGACGTCCACCGTGAAATCCCAAACGGGTGGCATACCAGCCTTCCGCGATTTCAACTGCGAGCGTGTTTGGTTCTCCTTGACGCAAAAGAGATGAGACATCAAAAATCTCATAGTTGAGGCGGTGATGATAGCTCGTCCAGCCGGGAGCCATGCAGTGATCTCCCGCTGGTACACCGTTGATATATGCTTGGAAAACACCCAAGCTGGTGATGTACAGCCGGGCCCGTTGCACTGCGGCAGAAGGAAGAGAGAAAGTCTTTCGAAAGCGGATAGGTCGCAAAGGACCTTCAGTCTGTTTCACGCTGCTGGTGATAGCGGATGCTTTCCAGTCATGCTTCTGTAGCAGGCCACATTCAACTATCTTCCAATCTGACCATTCGGTTGGCGTAAAGTCCGGCCCGCCATATGAGCGGACGCGAACTCGAGATATCCCGCGAGATTCCATGGGCTGACTTGGCCAGGGCACGAGAACTGATTTAGAGCTCTTAACATGATGCCTTTCTTGTTTGAAACCTTCGCGGGATATCTCAATGTCGTATGCCGTTTGCTCCCAGTTTTGTAGGTTTCCATCTGTCGTGAACCTCCATGAGATGCGAGGGCTGGATACGCCAATTCCAAATCCGGTAGAGTGCTGCTCAAAGGACACCGATGCAATTAACGGCCGTGGAGATGTCATGTTTACTCCAGAGTTTAGAGAGTGAAGGGCAGATTTTCAGGGACTCTAAAAAAACTACATGGCATACACACAATGAGGGGTAGAACATGCTCGGGGTGATACAGACCGAAGCCGAGACAATGCAAGTATACCTCGTGACATTCAATTTCGAAACGAAAATGGAATCCGTGACACCCAGTACCAAAAACTTGGATTTGATTGTATCCGGTAGCCATAAGCGTCATCCGAGGTTTAGCCGGGCGACTCCGGGTTTACTTCGGGTGATCAGCCTTGCCCCACCACTTGTGCTCATGTCAAAGCCGCAAAGCCGCGACACAAATGACGAAAGCTCTGATCATTGGGTGTTTAGGAACATGATGCCGACTCTTCCCATATCCACTCCAGCAATTGGCCGGGAACACGTAGCATTTTGCTTGTCAAACCCCCGGAATTGAGCCCTTTTAACTCGGATCTTGCTTTTCTGTTATTTCTCCTCGAAATTCACCTCCAAGCAACGCAATCATGGGCTCCCACATTACACCTAATGTAGACGCCATACTCAACCAGTTGACGCTAGAAGAAAAAGTCTCGCTGCTAGCTGGGAAGAACTTTTGGGAAACAGTTGACATCCCTGAAAAGGGAGTCCCTTCAGTAAAGGTGGGATCCTTCCTCACAGAATCTCGAAGCAGTGACCCATACTCACAAATTTGCATAGGTATCTGATGGGCCCAACGGAGCCCGAGGTGCGACTTTCAAAAACGGCCCAACGGCAGCATGCTTCCCTGCCTCTTGTCTGCTAGCATCAACATGGGACGTGGAAGCCGCAAGACGCATTGGAAATGCCTTGGCCGAGGAGACCCAGTCTAAAGGTGCTCGCGCACTGTAAGAATTCCCAAGCATCTCATTCGAAAATGCGAATCCTGACAATCCACCTAGCTTGGCTCCAACAGTCTGCCCCCACCGCCATCCTCTCGGTGGTCGCAATTTCGAGTCTTTTTCCGAAGACCCTTTGCTGGCCGGTAAGATGGCCGCACAGTATATACACGGTCTGCAAGAAAAGGGTGTTGCTGCAACGATCAAGCATTTTGCTGCAAACGAGCAGGAAACTTGTCGGTTCACAGTCAACGCTCACATTGCCGAGCGAGCTCTTCGTGAGATTTATCTCAAGCCATTCGAAATTGCCATCAAAGAAGCAAATCCTATGGCCGTCATGACTTCGTACAATATTCTCAATGGTCATCATGCTGATTCAAGCTCTTTCCTATTGAAAGACGTTCTTCGTGGCCAATGGGGGTGGAATGGTCTTGTCATGAGTGACTGGGGCGGTACAAACTCGACTGCCGACTCCCTAGAGGCTGGACTTGATCTTGAAATGCCAGGTCCCACAAAATGGCGGAAAGCCGAGACCGTTCTTGAAGAGATCAAAGCCGGAAGAGTCTCGGAAAGAACAATTGATGCTTGTGCTCGCAATGTGCTTGAGTTCATGGCTAAACTCGGCTGCTTTGAGGATCCATCTATTTCTGAAGAAAAGTCTATCAACAAGCCAGAGCACCAGCAACTTATCCGCTCGGTCGGTAGTCAAGGTCTGGTTCTTCTCAAGAACGAGGATAATACTCTCCCTCTAAAGAAGGAGCAGCTTGCCAACAAGAAGGTTGCTCTACTGGGCTTTGCCAAAGAAGGCTTGATCCATGGTGGAGGCAGTGCGTCTGTCAATGCTCACTATCGTGTAACTGCTGAAGAGGGTCTCCGTTCTGCCCTTGGTGATGCGATTGAATTTGACTATGCACAAGGCGCCCATACCTTCCGACAATTGCCATTGATGAACAACATGGTCGTGGACCGCGATGGTCAACCCGGGTGGACCTTGGACCTCTTCTTCAATGAAGATGCTACCGGGGAGCCTTCTGCTTCTCGGCACTCTGATGTGGCCGCTTATGTGCCCATTTTCGTCAAAGAGGCCTGGGGTAGTCTGAGGGCAACTGCTCAGTTTACACCCTCGCAAAGTGGCCGCCATTACCTTGGCATGTCAGGCTTGGGACGCTCAAAGGTTCTCATCGATGGCCAAATGGCATATGAACAGAAAGAGAACTGCCCTGACTCAATGGCTTTCCTACTGGGAGGTGTCAAAGAGCCCGAGGTCCAATGGGACTTTGAAGGGGGTAAGACTTATACCGTGGAAGTGACTACTCTCAAGCCCTCCAAAAGCGGCGGACTTTCTCTTATTGATGGGTACATTGGGTTCCGCGCTGGCTTTATGACCGAGGAAGAGCACAACAGAGATCTGGTCTCCGAAGCCGTGGAAGTCGCAAAGCGCTCCGATCTCGCTATTGTCTTCACTGGACACACCCCAGACTGGGAAACTGAAGGACAAGACCAAATCAGCTTTAGTCTTCCGAGCAATGGCTCGCAGGACCGTCTTGTGACTGCCGTCAGTTCCGTAAACACCAACACCATTGTCGTCAACTGCACTGGTGTGGCTATTGACATGCCTTGGCTTGACAAAGTCAAGGCAGTCGTTCAAGCCTGGTTCCCTGGACAGGAAGCCGGGAATGCCATTGCAGACGTCTTGACTGGAGCTGTCAATCCCTCTGGTCGTCTGCCAGTCTCATTCCCTCGTAGAATTGAAGATGCTCCCGCCCATGGCAACTTCCCCGGTGAATACATTGACGGGCAGCTTAATGTCACATACGAAGAAGGCATCTTTGTGGGATACAGACACTATGACCGGTCGGAAAAGCACCGTTCTCAGGTTCTCTTCCCATTTGGCTATGGTCTTTCCTATACTACTTTTGCCCATGCCAACCCAAGAGTCTCAATCTCTGAGAATGCTGAGAAATTTGACGTCACCATTGAGGTGACTAACACCGGCTCGTTGGCTGGAGCTGACGTCGTTCAGGTCTATGCCGGAGCCAAGCAGGCTTCCAGTGAGAACCCGGTCAAGGAACTGGTGGGTTTCGCCAAGGTTCAGCTTGAGCCGAAGCAAAGCAAGACGGTTTCTGTTGAGTTTGACACTCGTCAGCTTGCACACTTTAGCGAGGGTACTAGCAGATGGGAGATTGATGGTGGCGAGTATGAAATATCTATTGGACGGTCTGTACAGGATATTGTTGGCAAGTTAACATTGTCTGTTGGAGCTCAATCTTATAAGTTATGAACTTTGCTATAGTACAATAAAAGAGCACCTTGTCCTGTTTCAATGTCACAAAACGAATAATATCCTAAATCACTGAACAGAACTCACATTGTTCACACAATGTATAAGAATGTTTGCCTAGGAACTAAGCTAAGTGCCATTTGACATAAACCTCGGTAACCCATTTGAGCGTCTAAACTTGCACAGCAAGAAACGACATAAAAAAGCCGATTCCGATGTCTTTTGGCCAACCTATATTCTTCACTTTACTTTGAGACAGCTCCTCTTTGTTGTTGGGACGCCACAACCCGGAATAAATCCGTAAGCCCGCAAAGGTGAGTCAAGCCTAAAGCTCTCGTGGTCATAGTGGTTCACATTGCCGTTCCAGCGGCAAAACTTCGGGCCAAACATCAGAAAACCTAAAGAGGACAAGAGCCATGTAAAAAAATAAAACAGTCATGTGGATTGGAATCTGGGGTATGTAGGTAGGTACGTAGTGGCACCCCCCGCAGTTCCGGTTCTAGACTGTGATATGTAGAGTGTTTAGTGTCTAGTAGCATAATGAAGGCTTTACTAAGTTAGAAAAACTGCTAACTAATACCTATATAGTTAGGCTCCTTAAGAGATGTCGACAAATGCTATTCTTCACTTATAGTTTTTGCTTAGATTAAGTTCTACCGATCTGCTAATCTTTTCCTTCATTTTATTCCTTTTGCAACAAGCAACTCGGCATTTTTTGTGATTGCAGGCGCTATCTACTGGGAACTAGAATACGAACGTTTCTTATGGTTTATGGTCTGGCTCTATGTGGGCCAACTAGCTTAAGGAGAATACATCCTTACCCACTCCTATGATCCCTAGCAAAAAGTGCCAATTTCAGGCCTATTTTTCTCCACAATTTTGTGTTGTAATTATTTGTAGATAATTTTCAATAGAATTTTAAAGAAGTCTGTCAAACAGGTGAATTTCATTTAGACTGGCGTGATAAGTGCGAGTATTAAAGGCTATGTATATTTCATACGTATTGACAAAAACAAATTGTCCCTATGTTTCGAAAAACAGTCCAGCAGCGGCACAAAGCAAGGCCATTGGGCAAACACTTCCACTGCCCCACATGACATTGTGATCTCCCCTGTCGAAAAGATATGGGAGGAAACAAGGGGCGTCGATACTGCTACAATATTCGGGCCTCAAATTACTGCATTCCTCACCGCTTCACACATTGAAAACCAAACCTTTTGAGCTTTTCTCTTGCTGCACTTTCCTAATTCCACGAAGAAATTATCCAATAATCTGAAGCAAACACTCCATGCCCAGTTCCACAATGGCAAAATCGAGCTCAGATGTCCTCATGAGCATTAAACCCGAGCACATGCGCAATATCGCTTCTGGCGCGAAGAACCATGAATATCGTGGTTATCTACTTCCGCAGAAGGTCCACCGTATTTGGTTCTACACCACTCTTCCCGTCAAGCAAATCGCATACGTCGCTCACGTATCCCGAGGGAAAATTCCAGGCGAAGTCCCGGAAAACGGCGGGATCGGCAATACAGACTTCAACGAGGGCAGGAAGAAGTCCAAGTATGGCTACGAGATTATCAAGCTGTGGATGCTGAAGCAGCCTATTAGCTTGAAGAAGGCTATCCTGGAAGGTTTCTTGAAAGGTGCACCACAGAAGTATTGTTGGGTGCCAGTCAGTCTTTTGAGGAGCTATCCGCTGGATGAACAGGTCCAACTGATTTCAAATACACCGGAGGAGCTCTCAGTGGAGGGGAAGAAGGAAGCCTCCGTGAAAATTAGATTGGAGAATCAACACGTTACGGTAAACACCGATGAAGGTGCGGTGGCGGGTAAGCAGTCAGAGTCATCCATGGATGTACCGTCTTAAAAACTAAACAGTACTACTCAATTTGCGCAGTCCCATGCCCCGTGCAGCCAGTTGCTTATCAAGATAAACGAGAGTGTAGTTCCTAAAGAGCATGAAAGGCCTTTCCACCCATTCCTGCACTTCAGAATAAAGTGCTTCCAGTCCATATTCGATACTCAACAACAATTCTACATCCAGTAGGTACTGGCGTTCAGCTTCGCGCAAGTATGCATAAGCGCCTCTTTTGACATACAAGCTTTTGGAAAGTTTGGCCCCAGACCAGTCAAGAATTTGAGGGGCATAAAAAATAAGCGGCGCTTCCTTCAGGCACGGCAAAAGCCGCCATGTGAATTGCTCTTGATAGAAGCCAGCGTAGTCTGATCCAGTACACAAAATCCACGACCTGTCCACATCCCTGCCGCTGATAATTGCTCGTATCAGGTTGCGAAGAGGTGTGTTAAACTCCAGACGATCTAGGTCGGTGGGTGAACTGAGATCGACGTGGTGTTCCCCATGATTCGGACACAGGAACGTGATACGTTCGTTATGGTGGTATTGATTGTTTATACCATGCTTGTCCGCCATTCCGCATCCCTCATGCGGGCACGACGCTCTTATAGCCAGCTTACCTGTTTTGGGTGAGAGATGAGGCCCGAGGGTTTCATGCTGAGAAACGAGATTTCGAAGTACTTCAGCAAAAATGGGATTTGTCCGCCAAAAGCTCTGTGTTTCAATGTCACACGGCACCCCGGAAAGGTTCGATAATTGAGTGAGCGTCTTTTTGAACGTATTTTGGTTGACTTGAAAATCCCCGGTATATTTGAGACTCTTTTGGTATGTGACTCCATCTAAAATGGACTCCTGGCCCGGGGCGGGGGCACTATCAACATAGATAAATTTGACTCGAACTGTGCGAGAGCACAGGCTCCTCAGTGCAGAAGCAAGGGCAAAGCCCATAGCGAAAGTAGTGGCATTCCCAATATGCGGGCTGCAATTTGGCTGTGACCCAAGATGAATCGCGATTTCTTGCTTGGGACATTGATCACTAAGATATTTGATAAGATGCTCTTTAAAATAATATGAACCTCCGCCGAGGGGGTGATGAACGACATTATCGTGAGAATCCATGGCGTTGAAAACAATCGAGCTAAGTAGAGGTGGAATTTGCACACGTTTATAAAGTTTCTGTTTTCGAGTACAGCTGAACAATAGCTGCGCTTTGATCACTCCTTGGCTCCACTATTGTGAGCGGAGGGTTACTTGTGGTGCTGGCAAAGGCGCTAAGGTGGGCAACTGTTGGCAGGCCAAGTGGACCCCACCATCCGTAGAATGCATAGCAAGAAGTGTGGTGACGGAAGAAACCCCGCAGGTTGATCAAATAATACGTCGCATTCTCGAAGTTGATGTCGATAAAGGAGATAGTGTGAGTATCGCTCTTGGGCCCTGTCCCCCTGCGCCTCATGGTGAACGAGTGGCCAGGATTAGGCACACTGCTGTATTTTAGCTAATATGCCCTGTTGAAGTTAAAGTACTAAACAGGAAAGGATACCTGCCGACGATCCTTTTGGACCCAAGAGCTTCTTCGCAGTATAGAAGCCTCAGTTCCCAGGAACGCTTGGGGAACGGCTTACCTAAATTATAGCCAATCGCGCTATAGTCACCATTTCGCGCCACATGGCTCCCCCAACTATCCTGTGATGAGACGAAGCAAGCTGCATGCCATGGTTGTGCCAATGGGGCTGAAGGCAAGCTGTCTGATCTGTCAATGTATTGCAGGGTTTAATCGTCCTTACGCTTGAGCAGCTGATTTATTTACCTTACATTTTTTCTACGGCCTTACTTTGCAGGTATACTGGATATCTCAAGGCCGCTACAGAAGGCCTACTGGATGCTTCGGATATTGCACTTGCTTTGGAACCACCACCATTGAGCATGACAATATGATTAGTGTGTTTTCGAATTATTGGATGGGATGGGCTGAGCTGAGCTTACCAATCTGCAAGCCGCACCACAAAGGCCAGGAGTGACTTTCATAGAAAATTACAAGGCAAAGATCCCCGCTCTATGCAATGTGACAACGCTCGAGTTAACACAGGGTAGGTCGAAAAAGTTTAACCACTTTACTCTACAGTGGTAATTTACGGTGGCTGTGGGGCAATCCCCGGAGCCATAGACATGGACATGTATCGTAGCATGTGTAAGGTACCTAGATACTTGTGCTGTTGTTGATTTATGCAGATTACAGTCTCGTAATATACCAATGCATACATATGCAGATAGTGCGTATCAAGATGACAGAATAATACCATCAAAACAGGTGCTCCGATAATCATGTGACTGTTATGTGATATTATTGCCGTTCCAGCGGCAAAACCTCGGGCCAAGAGATCCGAAGACAACCAAAGTAGACAAGAACTAAATACAAGTAGGAAATAGTAGGTGGATGGGGAATCTGGGGTACGTAGTGTGGCGTTCCCCGCAGTTCCGGTTGTAGACTGCGACATGCAACTAGAGCGTTTAACGCCCAGTAGTGTAATGAAGACCTCACTATGTTAGATATAGATATATTGTACTAAGAAATAAGAATGCCTAGTTAGGCTTTTCAAAATATGTTGGCGCAAATATTAATATTCTTTACGGACATTTTTAGCTAGAATTAAGTTGTACCGATCCCGCCAATCTTTCCCCCATTTCACCCCTTACAACCAGCAACTCGGCATTTTTCGCCTGGGGAAAAGTGACATGATCTTTCTTGCCCCCACATTATATCCGGGGCAAAAGCCAGTGCAGATGCAGTTATGTTAACCGCCTGGCTGAACTCCACTTCTGGGCTCGCATCTCGGGATAATGATATCCTTATGATCAGAGATAAAAGGGAACATCATCACCCCAATTATCTCGATCAGCGATCTTGTAATCCATCCAACTTTTAGGGAGACTGTCTATTCTTCCCCTTCACTTCCCCCTTCGGCTCCTAGCCAGCTTGAAATATAACAATGGAGAAGCCCAGCACCGACCAAGTGGAGCATGCAGATGACCAACAGCTCGGCCATATCGCCAACCAAGAAGACCACGAGCTAAGCAAATGGCAGAGCATGAAGCAATATCCATGGATCTTTGCCTGGTGCGTCTATGCCGTGTGGTGTGTTCTTCTCGTTAGCTTCGAGAACCAGGCTTCTGGCAATGTGACCGGTATTCCCGAATTCCGCAAGGACTTCGGGCACTTCTATGAGGGGAGTTGGGTCCTCGAGGCGAAGTGGCAATCTGCCTTCAGCGGCGGGCCGGTAGCATCGGCGGTCGTCGGTGCCCTGTGCTCGGGTCAGATTGCTGATACCATTGGGCGCAAGTTGACCATTGGCATTGCTCTCTTGATTACCGTTGCTGCCGTCACGTTGGAGTTCGTTGCGACGACGAACGAAATGTTCTTCGGTGGGAAGTTCCTCAATGGCTTTGCTCTCGGTGCTTTGGCTTCTGTTCCTATCACTTACGTCGGAGAGGTACGCAGTCGCTCTATAATTCTCATTCCTCCTCAGCAACCATTCTCACGCACTTTGTGCTCTAGATCTCCCCCCTTGCCCTTCGCGGAACTCTAACTTGCTTAACCGCACTGGCCTACTGCATCGGCCCTTTCGTCGTCGCTCTTATCACAAACACAACGGGAACCTACACAAACCGCTGGGCCTACCGCGCCGTCTTCGCAGCACAGTACGGCTTCGCCGCAGTGGCACTTGCATTTATCGCCTTCATGCCCGAGTCTCCATGGTGGCTAATGTCCAAGGACCGCCCCGACAAAGCCCTCAACAGCCTCCGCAAGCTGGGATACAACGAAGACGAGCGAGTCAAAAAACTAGCTCTAATCAAGGTAACCCTGGACGACATCAAGCGCGAAACCGAGGGCGTTACCTATCTAGAATGTTTCCGGCGGTCTAACCTCCGCCGCACGATCATCTCCATCGTCCCGCTTAGCATCCAGGCGCTGTCGGGTGTCGCGTTTGTAGCCGGGTACTCGACGTACTATATCCAGCTGGCTGGGTACAGCACGGCGATGAGTTTCCGGTTGCAGATTGCGCAGCAGGTTGCGTCGCTGGTTGGAAACGTCATGTCTTATTTCTTGATTGACCGACTTGGTCGTCGAAACCTGATGATCTTTGGTCTGGGTGTTCTGACCATCATTCTCATGTTGACTGGTGGGTTGGCTGTGCTTGGCTCTGACACCTCGAATCCTAGCTCTGGTGGTGCTGTTAAGGGCACTGTTGCTTTGATTCTCATTTATTGCTGGTGGTATAATATGACCATTGGATCGGCGGGTTATACTATCCTGGCGGAGGTGTCGACGTCCAGACTGCGCATCAAGACCATTGCTATTGGTCTGGCTTTGCAGAATGCGCTGTATACCATGTGGTCTTTTGTCTTGCCATATCTTTTCAATCCGGACCAGGCGAACCTTGGCGCTAAGGTTTCTTTTCTATTCGGCGGGCTTGCGGTGTTGTGTCTGGTTTATTTGTGGTTTTATCAGCCAGAGACTGCGGGTAGGACTTATGCTGAGCTTGATGAGATGTTTGTTAAGAAGGTCCCCGCGAAGAATTTCAAGAGGTATCAGACTGATGCTGAGGCTATGGGTGTTGCTGTAAAGGATGAAGATACCAGTGTATAGGGTTTGGGTCTTTAGATTTTAATTGATATCAATGTTTTATTTGGATTTTTGATGTACGAAGATGGCACTATGAAACTGTATCTAACAAAAGAAACGATAGTATTGATTCATTCACTCTTGTCCTGGATTTCCCCCTTCCAGAAATTTGAAGAAGGTCAGGAGATTCCCGTCATTATCCTTGATTGTGAACTGTCGAAATCCCCATGGTGTATCCTCGATTTCTTCTGTAATTTCGATGCCTGCAAGTCTTCCCAGATAGTCATAGTATTCATCCAGCTGTCGTGTCCCTAGTGCAATCATAGCATGAGATGGGTTGAAATCTTCATTGCTTGCCCTTGAGAAGTAAAAGTTGGCATCCGCTTTTTTGCCAATGAACAGAGAGCAAAATGTCGCTTGAGATGATTCATCCTCGGGCTTCACACTGGCGAGCTCAAATCCGAGCTTCTCAGTGTAGAACTTCACAGTAAGAGAGATAGAGCGGGATTGAAACATGGGGATGACCTTCCATGCAGACTTCAAGATTTCAAGAGACATATTCAAGAGCCAAGGGTTCGAAGTGAAGGGTAATGCGACAATCTTGAAGGAGAGAAATTTGCAAGATCATAGCATGATAGAGGGGTAAAGTAACAATAGACACATAGCACGTCTGCCTGAAGTATAACCGGAAAAAGGTTGATCCAAGACATAGTCTTGTCTCTCTTTCAAACAAGGCCACGAATGCAGACTCATTTTCTGATAGCCAAGGCAGTTGATACTACGGACTTCTCCTCAAGGTCAAACTGCGAAAGGATATCGGCCAATTTGGCATAGATTAGTTACGTTTTGTGAGGGTTTACCGTGCTACCCTCGATACGCCTTGTGTTCTTGGTGTGAAAGTGGCCACGGCGATGCCAGGTCAATGCCGGGCCGATAGCCTTCATTTCCCAACGCCGTTCTGCCTTCCGTTCTGCCTTTTTGTTGTTATGGCGCCTGAATTTGGCTGGGGGTTCCGGATAATGTAGATCTCAGATGACTCCACCATGAATGCAAGAACATCATTGAGTTCACCATAGGTTGGGAAGAAGTCAATTTCCTCAAACAAAGCAAAATTTTTGATTTCTCCAAAGGGTAGAAAGTCAAATTTTCCAAGCAGAAGGTTGATATGCCGGCACCAAGATAAAATGTGTCGATGGTTGGATCGAAGCGACGCCTAAAACCGTCGCACTCTCCTGCTTTGTTGAGATGTTTCTCGCTACCTTGTTGGCGGGCCCAGGCTAAGGCAACTTTGCGTGCCTCGTAGCTGAATGAACTCAAGGGTATCCGAACTGGAACTGGGTCCAACATGTCGTGACAAAATGGATGTTTCATCTCACGTCCGGAGTAGATGGACTCCGGACGAGGAGGAAAATCTATGAAATATTGCTCGTGCCAGCAGCCTCCTTTGTAGCTAAATAAAGCTGGGTCGTCTTTTTCGGACATAGCATACCACCAAATCATCTCGCGGATCTCTGGAGGTAGCTTAGGAAAGAGGTAGAAGCTTGGGTTGATTATAGTTGCTGTCATTTGATGTGGCCTTTGAGAGTGAGGCTAAACTGAGATGGAGAAGACAGGAAAGGGAGAAGAAAGTGGTTGCTGATCTCTGAGAGGAAATATGGCCAAGAGAGGCATTAAAAGCCTGCACAGTGAGCAGATGATGAGAATTTGCGGAGTCAAACAAGAGATGTTTCTACAAAGAATGTGTATCCAAATAAGGAAGAGCATTGTTTCTATTGTTACCTTCCGTGAAGGAACTAGTTACACCTTCATTTATTTTTGGTGCCGACATGGATGACTATATGACTTCTTTGGTCAAAGCTATGTCTCAAAACTAATCATTCAGACTATCAATAACGCGTAGTCTCGGGACTCCTTCCGGGCCAGTATCAGTTGAGTGTGCAAAAACTAATTTGAAAGACTTGGACTGAAGCCAACAGCGGCAAGCTTGATAAGAATTCAATCTAAAGACGACAAGTCTGGTATGGATTGAGGGGGAGGAAAGAATATCACTTTTGAACAACAGATACAGGCTATATCTTGAACTCCAAGTCAGGGTATCTTTTATCAGGTACTCACAAGCAGATTCTTCGCTTCCTGGCTGTGAGCAGACCTGATCAGGCTAGGCCATCGAGTCGACTTGTGTTTTGGAACCGGTGGCTCTGACATCGGCATGAAAGGTGACTCATTTTCTAGGGTATATCCGTGCCTGAATGTGTTTTCGGGACTTCTTCAGGCAAGTACTCCTGTGATAATCACCTATCAGAAAGCTGGATCTCAATGCTTACCAGGGTCATAAGCTAACAAAACTAACGGCGGACTAGAGATTCAACCCCACCATGAACTTGTCAAAGCTCACTACAAGGGGTATGACACGTAATCCTCTTTCTAGCAGCAATTACAGAGCAAAAGAAAAGTGTTTCAAAAAAGCCGAATGAATTGTCGGATTATCCGTTGTTACATCTAGCATCTGCCCGACCCCTATATCCATATGTCTCCGGATCATAAATTTGAGCTTTCCAATCACACAGATTAGTTGAGATTAGCAAGAAATAAGAAATCAGCCCGAATGCGCCCTGTAAGTAAGGGAATCTGACTCCGTTTAAGTGGAGACCTGACTCCGGAACCCCGCCGAGACCAGTAGCAAACAAGAGATCGTAAGTTAGCCTTAATCATGTCCGACTCAACAGAAGTAGCGAACATCCAAACCACGCGACCAGAAACGCAGAGTCACATTGAAAACACTGAAACAAGGTAAAGTTGAAAAGTTGAAAATGATTATAAACCACCGGAGAGTCGGGGAGAACGTTAGAACATTCGGAGCGAGCTTATAAATCCAAGTGGGGGAGCTCAACACGATCTCAGCCCATACTTAAGTCGACCCCACCCAGTCCAATGTCAACATTCATATACCGCATATTTACCAAACACTACACTCCTCTTTTATCATCTTTTCCAAGTCTGTACTACTATCCAATCAAGATGAGCCAACCAAACATCACCCTCTACACAATGCAGACGCCAAATGGCATCAAGATCTCCATTGCACTGGAGGAGCTTGGGTATGATCCATGGGTAGCTCTTTTGACTATGGAAAATGGAACTGACAATCTGTAGTTTGCCATACAAGGTTGAAAAAATCGACATCTCGAAGAACACCCAAAAGGAAGAGTACGTGCTCGAAGATTCACGTATGCACAGATAGACTCTAATTGCTACACAGGTGGTTCCTCAAAATTAACCCCAATGGCCGCATTCCTGCCTTGACAGACACATTCAGTGATGGCAAGGATATCCGACTGTTCGAGTCCGGCAGCATTCTGGAGTATCTGGCAGAGCAATACGATACAGACTACAAGATCTCCTTCCCCAAGGGGACACGAGAATACTACGAGATGAAGTCCTGGCTGTACTTCCAGAACGCAGGCCTGGGGCCTATGCAAGGCCAAGCCAACCATTTCTATCGGTATGCGCCCGAGCGCATTGAGTATGGTGTGAACCGATACATCAATGAGTCACGTCGTTTGTATGGCGTGCTGGACAAGCACCTCTCTGAGTCCAAGTCTGGGTATCTTGTCGGTGATCACGTCTCCATCGCAGATATCGCACACTGGGGCTGGGTAGCTGCAGCGGGATGGGCCGGAATCGACATTGAAGAGTTCCCTCATGTCAAGGCGTGGGAGGAGTTAATGGCACAGCGAGAAGGTACCGAGAAAGGTCGCCATGTCCCTACCCCTCATACTATCAAGGAACTCCTGAAAAATAAAGCGGCGGCAGAGAAGGAGGCTGCCGGCACTCGGTCGTGGGTCCAAGATAGTATGAGTGCCGATGCCAAGAAGGCTTAGAATGAGCAATTATGAGAGCTTTTTAGAACAATTAAATCACAATGTAAACTTCGTTGAATACCAAATTAAAAGTGAAGCACTGACGGGCTCGGGCGCCCGGGCGGGCTGATTAACGCCTTACATAATCATGTGCAGGGTCCACCTAGGTGGCCACCTCTTTTCAAAAGCTCTTTTCACCTTCATCCTTGTATCACTAACCAGATTTATCTTTTTTTGTTCAAGGAAACAGTAATGGCTTGGCGCAATCAAGGAATCACCGGTTCCAACAACATCCCGCTGGGGCGGCGACGCATGGGCGATGAGGAAGGAGAGGAAGAAAGTCGTACTGCGACCCCTTCGTCTGTGCCTCCGTCCATGGGACCCGATGGCCCCAAACGTGGCCGTAGCCCTGTCAGAGGTATGTCACGCAAAGCGTTCGCTCTCGGAAAACCGAAACTAACTCCATTTCTGTCCATAGCCGAACCTGTTCTCGCCGCCGATGGCTCAAAGAGGCGCAAGAAGCGCAACCGTTGGGGTGACCAGCAAGAGAACAAGGCTGCCGGCCTTATGGGCTTGCCGACCATGATTATGGCGAACTTCACCAGCGAGCAGCTTGAAGCATACACACTTCACCTTCGTATCGAGGAGATCAGTCAAAAGCTCCGGATCAACGATGTAGTCCCGGGTGATGGCGACAGGTATGTATTTTTCGTCCTATCCATCTTTTTGGAGACTGATTCTGTCCTCGCAGATCTCCTTCTCCCCCGCCTCAGTACGACAACTTCGGCAGACGTGTGAACACCCGTGAATACCGTTACCGCAAGCGACTCGAAGATGAGCGTCATAAGCTGGTCGAGAAGGCCATGAAGACCATTCCTAATTACCACCCGCCCTCTGACTACAGACGCCCGACCAAGACCCAGGAGAAGGTCTACGTTCCAGTGAATGACTATCCAGAGATTAACTTCAGTATGATAACTAACCCTCTAACTCCTAACTATTCTTTCATTGTGTCTGTCATGAGTCCCTGCCCGATTCGAGTTGATGAGACATACCTCTGGGATGTCCTCGACTCGTTTCCTGTCAAACCTTGGTGCTTAATGCTGCACATGCTTTAAAAAAAATCTGGATCACTAACACTTAGCTCTTGCTACTTTTTACAGTTGGCTTACTCATAGGACCTCGTGGAAACACCCTGAAAAAGATGGAGACCGAGTCCGGTGCCAAGATTGCCATTCGCGGCAAGGGTTCCGTCAAGGAAGGAAAAGGCCGATCTGATGCCGCCCACGGTAGCAACCAGGAAGAAGATCTCCACTGTCTGATCATGGCGGATACCGAGGAAAAGGTTAACAAGGCCAAGAAGCTTGTCCACAACGTCATTGAAACAGTAAGCTCCCCTATATATTTCAAAACACTTGATACTAACGCATTTGATTAGGCCGCTTCTATTCCCGAAGGCCAGAACGAGCTCAAGCGCAACCAACTGCGAGAGCTGGCTGCTCTCAACGGTACCCTCCGTGATGACGAGAACCAGGCCTGCCAGAACTGTAAGTGCTCATATTTTAACTTTTTGTTTGGGGAATCTGTTCTAACCACATTTCTCATTAGGTGGCCAAATCGGACATCGCAAGTACGACTGCCCTGAGCAGCGTAACTTCACTGCCAACATCATCTGTCGTGTCTGTGGCAATGCTGGCCACATGGCTCGTGATTGTCCTGACCGCCAGAGAGGCAGTGACTGGCGGAACGGTCCTGCTCCGGATAGACGTGGTCCCCGTGCTATTGGTACTGGCGATGCGGTGGATCGTGAGATGGAGGTAAGCTCCCTTATTCCCATTGTTCTTATCAAACCTGATACTGACGTTCTACTTAGCAACTTATGAACGAGTTGTCTGGTGGTGCTGCTGGTGCTGCTGGCGAATACGAACCCCGTCGTATTGAAGCCGGCCCCGACAGCGGCAGTGGATACCCCGATGACCGTGATGCCAAGCCCTGGCAACAGCGTGGGCCACCACCACCCCAGAGTGATGTGGCTCCCTGGCAACAGCGTCGCGAACAACCTCGTCGTGACGACTACGCACCCCGTGGCGATCACGGCAACCGGGATGACTATGGATCTCGCGGCCCCGGTGGTCCCGCCCCTTGGGCTATGCAGAACCAGAACCAGGGCCGCGACTACGGCTATGGCGCTCAAGGTGGATACCCTCCTCCTGGTGCTCCTGGTGCTGCTCCTGTTGCCGCTCCGGGTGCTGCTCCCTGGCAGCAACCGGCTCCTCCTGGTGGACAACCTGCCTATGGAGCATATGGCGGGTATGCCGCTTATCCTCCTGGCATGGGAGCCCCTGGTGCTGCCCCTCCCGGCATGGGTGCGCCTCCTCCCCCTCCTGGTATGGCTCCGATGTACAGTTACGGATCTGCTGCCAGCCCTCCCCCTCCGCCACCTCCTGGTGAGGCACCACCTCCTCCTCCTCCGAGTGACCAGCTTCCTCCACCTCCTCCTCCCCAGTGATGCAGTGATACAGTGACAAAACCTCTTGAAATCGTTCATGCATGATTAATGCCGTCGTGGATTCAAATGACAATTTAATTAACATTAGGATTGGTTTGACATGCCCACGGCTCCCCTGCTAACAATTGTTCAAAAAAGGCCATTCGTGGCGTTCTTCTTTTATATGTGTTGAGTAATACTTCTAACGTTTGATTCGTTCTATTTTTTTTCCTCGTATGCAAGCATATTATTCTGATGGACGTAGCATGGAATGAAATGGTAGTAAATGCCTTCGCCCCACATAGAGGTCTTGGCTCTTCTCTCCAACTTATTTTCTCCGCAAATTCAAGCACCTTCAGTTACGCCCCAGAGGCCGCCCTTGTTCGTCCCTCTCTTCGAGTAATTTGGAAATATTCTTTCAAATCCAGCGGTCCGTAATTTCATGCTGGCTGCTCTGCATCAAGGCCTCGTATAAATATATCACATTGCATATGAAAGCATCATCATACGGGGACTTCTCCCTCCCGGAACCTAACATGCACACTTCCGCTCAGCGGAAACCTTCTTGGCAGTCGCAGCGACTACCATCGCTACGTTCAGCGCGATCAGGGACAGATGGTCAAGCTTCGACGCGTCAATCCGAGCCGCTGGCAGACCACCAAGACAGCACTCAATCTCGTGACTCACAGACCCGTACATCGATGGCAGCTTCTGCACAATCCGCCACGTCAAAATGGTGGCATGTGCACCTGTTCCGTGGAATGGTCAATGACGTGAAGCGCAGAGCACCCTATTATTGGAGCGATTGGACAGATGCTTGGGACTATCGCGTCGTGCCTGCAACAGTCTATATGTACTTTGCCAAGTATGTTCTTCCTGGCTTGATAACAATCACGCTTTTGTTTTAGTCGGGCTTCTCAGTTGCTGACAATATGTGTAGTATATTGCCAGCTTTGGCTTTCTCGCTGGATATGTTTGAGAAAACGAGCCAAAGCTATGGTGTCAATGAGGTTCTGCTTGCTTCTGTTCTTGGCGCAATTGTGTTTTCGCTCTTCGCCGCTCAGCCGTTGGTTATTGTTGGCGTTACTGGTAATTGTTTTGACTTGGGTCTAAAGATATGATGCTGATGTTGCTAGGTCCCATCACTGTGTTCAACTATACTGTCTACGATATTATCGCTCCTCGGGGGACGCCTTATCTTGCATTCATGTGTTGGATTGGCATGTAAGTTGGGACTATAACACTCGGCAACCGTCCTCGCTAATCTCAGTTGTAGTTGGTCTTTGATTATGCATTGGATACTGGCCATTACCAATGCCTGCAACGGGCTTACCTACGTCACGCGCTTCTCTTGTGACATTTTTGGCTTCTATGTTGCTTGCATCTATCTCCAAAAAGGTATTCAAGTTCTAACTAGGCAATGGGGCTCTGTGGGAGAAACCTCTGCCTACTTGAGCATCATGGTTGCACTTCTTGTTTTGATGAGTGCATGGATTTGTGGGGAACTGGGGAACAGCAACCTATTCAAGCGGGTCGTTCGAAAGTTCCTCGAGGACTACGGCACACCTTTGACCATTATATTCTTTACTGGCTTCGTGCACATTGGTCAGATGAGGGACGTCGATGTCGCTACACTGCCCACTAGCAAGGCTTTCTTTCCCACACTCGACCGCTCCTGGTTGGTCAGGTTCTGGGATATCAGTGTAGGGGATATCTTTCTTGCTATCCCATTTGCAGTTCTTCTCACCATTCTTTTTTATTTCGACCATAATGGTTAGTACCTGACACACACATGAGAAACTCACCACAATAAATGCTAACATGCTTCTTTAGTATCATCCCTGATTGCTCAAGGAACTGAATTCCCTCTCCAAAAGCCGGCTGGTTTCCATTGGGATATTTGGCTGCTTGGTCTAACGACATTCGTCGCTGGGATTCTGGGAATTCCATTCCCGAATGGCCTTATCCCCCAGGCTCCATTTCACACGGCTGCCCTCTGTGTCACTCGTCAAGTCGCAGATGAAGATGATACAAACAAGGGTAAAGCTATCAGGATAACAGACCATGTAGTAGAGCAGCGAGTCAGCAACTTCACCCAAGGTCTCTTGACTCTAGGTACTATGAGCGGGCCACTCCTCATCGTGCTCCACCTAATTCCCCAGGGCGTCATGGCCGGTCTTTTCTTTGTCATGGGTGTCCAGGCCCTCCAGGGTAATGGCATTACCCAGAAACTGATTTTCCTTGCCCAAGATAAGAACTTCACGCCTGCTTCCAACCCTCTGAAGCGAATTGAGCGCCGCGCCGCGATCTGGGCATTTGTCATTCTTGAACTGTTCGGCTTTGGTGCCACTTTCGCCATCACCCAGACTATTGCTGCCATCGGTTTCCCGGTCATCATTCTTCTTCTTATCCCTGTGCGCTCGTTCCTTTTACCTAAATGGTTTACCAGAGAGGAGCTTGCAGCACTGGATGGACCAACCGCTAGCCCGTTCACCATGGAGAGTGTTGGAGGTACTCATGGGGTAGAGGAGGCTGAAGCGGTGGCTAGCGGAGCTCATGAATCTTCACGCGGAGGCGATGGCGTGTTGAGAAGTAGGGTATCAATTTCCTCGGAATCTGCACTTGAAGACAATGACCTAGAACGAGGCGAGTCGTATGAACTTCCTTCTCGGGTTTCGCGCAGGAGGAGCACGACTAGCCGGTTAGACTAAACGGTTTAACACCGGCCGAAGTTGCAACCAAAAAAAAATTTAGACCTGTTGAAATGGTTTGATTGGATTTTTGACAAAAGATATTATTCGATCATTAATCAAACTGATTTATTGAACTGAAATCTCCATCAAATTGTATACATGCACGTGACATGCTCAATGTGCCTTGTAACCCAGGCCGCCCGCGCCCCACCGCCTGTTGGAGATAACTTTTCTGCCGCAAAATTATTTTGACTTGATAGACCAAGTCGCAAACAGAATGGCGCCCCCGAAAACAGATAAAGCGGAGCTCGAGGACTCGGATATCTCCGATGTGTCTGATGTTGAACGGTCCGATGTCGACGACCGCGCTCCCAAGCGCCGCCGTCTCTCTGAGTCTTCCAACGACTCGTATGTCGCACCTGCGCCGCTCCCCACTCTCTCCCGTATCAAGAAGAAGGGAGAGGTAGTGGATGAGCCTGAATCGGAGAAAGATGAACCGGTCACAATTGCCGATGCCATTGAGCTCGGTCGAACTAGCGATCATTCTACATTTTCAACTTTGGATGTGGCTCCGTGGCTCGTCGCTTCCCTGTCGACAATGGCGATTAAGCGGCCAACTGCTATTCAGAAGGCTTGTATTCCTGAAATTTTGAAAGGAAAGGACTGTATTGGCGGTAGTCGTACTGGTTCCGGAAAGACCATGGCTTTTGCGGTCCCGATCATGCAGCAATGGGCATTGAACCCATTCGGTATCTACGCTTTGGTGTTGACCCCGACTCGGTATGTTATGCTATCTTTGGATCCTTGCAGATGATGTGTTTTGGTTCCCATAATTAATTATATTGTCTCAATAGTGAGCTTGCACTCCAGATTTACGAACAATTCAGAGCCGTCTCTGCTCCGCAAAATATGAAGCCCATCCTTGTCGTCGGAGGCATGGATATGCGGCAGCAAGCTATCGACCTTGCAAACCGGCCACATGTAGTCATCGCAACTCCCGGTCGACTAGCCGATCACATCAAAACGTCAGGAGAAGATACTGTGGCCGGCCTCCGCCGTGTCAAAATGGTCGTTCTCGATGAAGCAGATCGTCTACTAGCCAGCGGACAAGGAAGCATGCTGCCCGACGTCGAAACATGTCTCGGGGCCCTGCCACCATCCTCCGAGCGCCAAACCCTGCTGTTCACAGCCACAATGACCGCTGAAGTGCGGGCATTGAAGTCCATGCCAGCAGCGGGCAACAAGCCTCCCATCTTCATGACCGAGATCGGCACCGAACACCAAGGCAAGATCCCGCCAACTCTCAAGCAGACATACTTGAAGGTCCCAATGACGCACCGCGAAGCCTTCTTGCACGTGCTCCTCTCCACCGAAGAAAACATCACCAAACCAGTCATCGTCTTCTGCAACCATACCAAAACCTGTGATCTGCTAGAGCGCACCCTCCGCCGTCTCGGCCACCGCATCACCTCTCTCCACAGTATCCTGCCCCAGTCTGAGCGCACAGCCAACCTAGCCCGTTTCCGAGCCACCGCTGCCCGCGTCCTGGTCGCTACCGACGTTGCCTCCCGTGGTCTCGATATCCCTTCTGTAAGCCTGGTCATCAACTTCGATGTTCCGCGCAACCCGGACGATTATGTGCACCGTGTTGGCCGTACTGCACGTGCTGGACGCAGCGGTGAGGCCGTCACGCTCGTTGGACAGCGTGATGTCGAACTCATTCTTGCGATTGAGCAGCGTGTTGGTCGACAGATGGATGAGTTTGCTCAGGAGGGTGTTAATATTGAGAGCCGTGTTGTTCGCACTGGCGTGCTGAAGGAGGTTGGTTCTGCTAAGCGTGAAGCTATGGGTGAGATTGAAGAGGGTAGAGATATCCTTGGAAGAAAGCGTAACAAGTTGAAGAAGGTCCGTTGAAGCACTGCACGTTGTGGCGGTGCTTGATGCCTTTTACTTAAAATCAATTGATACAATTAGCGGTTTAATTCTTGAATCTGAAGTCATGCATTGGCAAATTATTAAACCTTAAACCCAGTAATGAGAGCCCACATGTATACTGTGTTTCAAAAAGCTGTAAGAGATATGTTGAGTTTAAAGAAATTGAACTAAACACTTTGGAGACCCGACTTCGTGTATATTTTAAATATACAAAGGCATTGTTCTGCGTGATATACCTTACTAAGCGGCAATACCACTACTTTTGCTTATTTGCACAAAGCATCTAGGTCAACCCCTTTTCTTAAAACATAAATTGTAAGGCGTTAACTAGACTCAAGCAGGTGATTTTTCCTTAAACTAACCCTAGGCCGTGTGGGGTCGAAACAATTTATGGAGCCAGAGACGCGAAGAGAACGTGAATATTGAGTTGTGAGGGAAGTTATGATGCGGTTTTTTGTACCAATGAGATATAATTGAACTGGACAGAATGTTAGCTACAAGTACATTGAATATCATACAGATCCCAGGGTAAAGTAAAAGTACACAAGTCAATTGAAGTCAAAACCATGGACGCGTGCTCAACACGATGTGGAGTCAACGTCCGTGCTCTATACAAGCTAGTATCACTATACGCGATCGACGCGCAGAGACCGTTTTATTTTCTTGGAATCTCAATCTTCTTCTCTCTTCATGATTCCTACTGTTGTTTATATTCTTGTGGTATATTCAATTGCATCTTGCATCCTGCATATTGACTTGGCGTCTGCATCAGAGCATCACGAGACCCCCGCAGTCACATTCGCGTGCTACTCCGATCTTTTCTCAATATTCCCAGCCCAAGACTTTCACAATGAACTCGACTTCAACGCGATTCAGTCCTGTCAAGGACGGGCGTCGAATCCTCGGAGAGAAAGATTCCAACGCGTGTCTGTCACCCGCCACACACAAAAAACCCTCATTCCCCGTCATTGGAACACCCGTTAAGCGGGCATCAATTGCAACCTCACCCAAGAAACTCCTCCCTTCTCCGATATTTGCAGGTCATAAACGGACAAGAGACCAGGTAGATGAGACGGAAGAGAACATCGGATACATGCAGTCGCGGGATTCTTCCCCGCAGCCCAGCCAATCCGCGGTCAATGATGATATGCAACGCCAGGTATGCTATGCCGGGAAGACAAGGAATATCAAGAACGAACAGCCAAAAGCTAATTATCTAAATCGCGATCTTAGGTCACCAGAACTCCCGACGCGATGGACTCTCATATCCCAACACCACTAAACTCGCAACCCGAACGCGACGAAACACACGATCAAATGGAAACCGACTCTTTCAATGCCCCCAGCACACCTGAAGAAGAGATTCGTAGCGTTCCAGCGGACTCTGACGCGCGTAAAATGTTCATTCAAGAAGTATGCAGAGCGTGATATTAGTATCAAAAACTTTCCCAGCAAGCAGCTCTAACAATAGAACAGAAAGCAAGCCTCCTCCGCTCAAGACTACAAAACGCGATGCGCAACGTGACAGACCACCAATTCGACCGCCGGGTCTCCGAACTAGAAGCACACAGTCGCAAATGCCCGCGCCTCTCCCTCTCCGTTCTCTCCACACCACCCCTCTCATCCCGCAAACACTTCACATCCTTCCCACCTTCCTCATCTCAAATGCAGACCCCACGAGTTGGCACCGCCGGATTCACGTCTACTCCCTTCCAGAGCACCCCCGATCTCCCAGGCCGCCCGTCACCACTGTCTTCCAGCATCGTCCAACCCCGCACACAGAAACACGCGCAGCGAACACCGCCTAGGAATCTTGGATCCCCAATGCAGCTAAGCAGTCCCCCGGCTACGGTGATCCGCCATGGCCAAGAGCGGAGCATGGGCCCCAGGGCCGAGTTCATGGCGGGCGACATGTCTCCTTCGCAGCGGGGGGACGCGGTGGACGGGTTACTTAAACTTATGAGTACGGCCGGGAACCAGAGCTCGGATTCGTGGACTGGATGAATGATTTGGCGTGGCATTTTTTTTCTTTGTTGATATTGTGCTCGGATGAATGCTTCGGGAAGCATGTTTGAGTGATCCATATTCCATTGCATGCTTAAGCAATGCAAAGCATGATGCACAGGACCAAACATCGAGTATGTATAGACTCGTTCCGTTGATATACTTCACGTTTTGGTCCTGTCGACAGCGGGTTATAGCTTTTTGGAAGCATGCATAGCATTGTTAGAATAATCAGGCTTTACACTATGATCAATGATACCATTTGTGCATTTAAGCTGGTCTGATATTTCTAGCCTTTATAGACGTTGGATTTAACGAGATTGAGTCCTAGCATTCAGATTAGCAGTAATTCAGCCTATTGCTCATTTGATTTAGATCAACACAATCATTTCCACGTGTTGACATGGTACATATGTAGTATGTAGAATGTAGTTTCCCTCGTGCAGCTGCAGTGTGACTACTCTGCCCCGAATCATCCTTCTGTAGTTCATACCCCCAAATGGCTCTCCATGGCCTTAAAGATTCTGAACAAACCAAATCTCATATATTAATTTAGTTGAAATGAAGTTATAGCAAAGAACGAAATGTAAACTGCATATCAAAATGGTGTAGACTCTCTCCGCATGACATCATCGACACAACGTGATGAAGATTAGTTGATCAAAGCTTCTCTAGGGAGATTGAGACTTCTTTTTGCTCTATTACTGTGGCTGTCGACTTCTCTCTGCTTCTCCATTTCCTTGGTGTCTCTCTTCTGTCTTCTGTCACTCACTTCCGCATCTACCTTGGGCCAAGCATTGACTTCAGGTAATCCTTTCCCCGCATTTTGGCTCAGCTTCCCATCTAAGAACATCACTTATTATAAAACCACTCGCTCTTCCAAACCCTGTCTTTCATACCTCTCTTCATATCAACTACTGTTTTATGTAATTTGCACCCTTTAGGTGATTATTCCCTAGCAGATAACACTTCCTATATTCATCCCTTGAGCACTCCAGCTTTTTCCTACCTTTCTCTTACGTCTTCTGACAATATTTTAGTACTTTTACCTTCGATGCAAAACTTTACTCGCCTCGAACACTCCTAGAGCTCGATACATCACCAGTTCGTTCGTTGTAGAGAGCTACAATGAAACTCTTGCCCGTCGTTCTGGCCGCTGTCTTTCAGGCAGTGGTCAGTACCGCATCTACTCTCACTCCACCCGTCATTCCCTTGGCTGTTCGAAACCCCTACCTAAGCACTTGGCTGGCGAATGCCCGAGATGTACCCTGGTCTCGCTGGCCTATGTTTTGGAACGGAGACGATGTCGGCCTTGCGGTGATGGCTCACATCCCGAGCAAGGGGGGCCGTCTATCCTCTTTTGGGTAGGCCGCAGGACTCTTTACAGTCGAAGGCCAGGTATGAGCCCCAAGTCCTCATATTTCCTGGTATATTCGACGCTAATATCTCATAGCTACAAGATCAAGTTCCCAACATATCTCGGTACCACATACGATGCATCGACAACTAACCTTACGTACCACATTGATACTGGCTCCGTCGATCCCCTGAACATTACCATCTCATTTCTCTCGCCAATTACCCCAACTTCCACTCTGCGCCAGTCGATTCCAGCATCGTACGTTACAATCGAAGTTCAAGGCGATGTTGACGTGAACGTTTATATGGATGTCGATGGCCAGTGGGTCAGTGGAGATGTTACAGCTAACATCGAATGGAAACGGGACAGACTTAAGACCGAGAACGAAGAGCCTCGTCTTCAACGGTGGCAGGTGCGCAGAGAGACGGAGCAGTTGCTATCTGAGCATAATGACCATTCTGAATGGGGCGCCCTCCATTTCACTGGCCCTACAGTGAGTTTCCTTGTGCCGAATGAATGAAAGCACGTTGACAAAAAGCACAGGATTTGAGATATGAGTCTGGATCAGATCGTGATGTGCGCCGGGGCTTCGCCAGCACTGGTGCGGTGCGCAACTCCAATGATAAGAAATTCCGCGCTGTTCACGACCAATGGCCGGTTTTTGCGTTCTCCCAATCCTTCAAGCTTGGTCACTCGCACAAAAGCTATGCAGACAGTGTCACCTTCACTCTTGCTCTCATCCAAATTCCCGTTGTGCAGTATGCTTCCTCGCGGGGACTCACTTTAATGCGACCCTTGTGGGAATCATGGTATGGGACTGCTGAGGAGCTCTTGAACTTCCATTACAACGATTTCGCAGCTGCTAGCTCTATGGCAGCCAACTACTCACAGCAGCTCGCGGATGATGCATACCTTTCAGGTGCGAATGATTATGTTGATATTGTTTCGCTTTCTGCGCGCCAGATTATGGGTGCAACCGTCTTTGCAGGAACTCCTGATGACCCCATCCTGTTCCTCAAGGAAATCTCCTCGGATGGAAACCTCCAGACAATTGATGTGATCTATCCAGCATTCCCATTCTTCCTATACACCAATCCCCGGTGGTTGTCATACCTTTTGGAGCCTCTGATCGAGCATATGCTCAGCGGACAGTACCCTAACACGTATGCGATGCATGACTTGGGCACGCACTTCCCTAATGCCACTGGTCATCCTGATGGAAAGGACGAGAAGATGCCGGTGGAAGAATGCGGCAATATTCTCATTATGGGGTTGGCTGTTGTGAACTCGCTCCGATATGAAGTCTCTACAGAGTCCTCATCTATCTGGTCAACCTTGGGCTCACCCTCATCAGGGATTGGAAGCAAATCTCAGGGATTGTTTCATCTCAATGACCAACAAGTTCTCGATGGAATTGCTCATCAAGATAGCAAATGGGGTGGTGGCAAGGAAGGCCAGAAATTGGCCGAACAATGGGTGAAGCGAAGCTATACCCTTTGGAAACAGTGGACCGGGTATTTGGTGGATTTCGCCCTTATGCCTGAGAACCAGCGTAAGATGAGACTTTCATTATCTGGCCTTTGATTCATCTATTCTAACACTGTCAACAGTCTCCACTGATGATTTTGCCGGTCCCTTGGCTCTCCAGTCAAACCTAGCACTTAAGGGAATTATTGGCATCAATGCTATGAGTAAGATTGCTGCTATCGCTGGAAATCCTGCCGACGCCGCATATTACAAGGTATGAAAGAAAGCTCTTGTATCCATTCTCTTGGAGATCTCAACTGACTCAATACAGAAAATCGCTAGTGACTATATCGCAAAATGGGAAAAGTATGCCACATCTTGGGATGACACCCACATCAAGCTTTCTTACGACTGGGCTGGTTCTTGGACGACGCTGTACAACCTCTACGCCGATGCCCAACTCTGCTTCCACCTCGAAAACACCGATACTAACTCCCCTGGCTTTGTCCCCCGCCACATTTACCAGAAACAGTCGGTCTGGTACGACCATGTCCGCCAGAAGTTTGGTCTTCCTCTCGACAGCCGCCATCTATATACCAAGACCGACTGGGAGTTCTTCTCCATGGCCGTTGTCGCCAAGCCTGTCCGAGCCGAGATCCTCGACGCTGTTGCCCTCTGGGTTAACCAGACCGCCAGCAGGGGTCCCTTCACGGATTTGCACGAGACTGAGGGCACGGGAGATTATGCTCAGGGTACGCAGTTCCGTGCTCGGCCTGTGATTGGTGGCCATTTTGCTTTCCTGGCATTGGAGCGTGCTTGTGGGGGTCGAGCTATGCCTGGCCTTGGTTTCCTAGACGATGTTCAGGATGAGCTCATGGCCACTTGGACCAAGAGTGCCCAGCTCGCTGCGGAGGAGTTTAAAACCCCTGCTGGTCATCGCCACAGGGAGGGAGAGCTGTAGATGGCTTTTTGTCTCAGCAAACTTAGGGCAAAGGGGATTGCCGGTGGCAGTCGATCTGACCGTCCATCGTTCCCTTCATATATTCATAGGCCGGTCCAGACTTTGGTAGGTTTGGCCATCTTATCATTAGTATATAGAGCTTAGTCTACACCCACCTCATAGCACCTCAGGCTTGGCTCCATTGATTCCGTTCATTCCCATTAGATTTCTTAAAGATGTGTTTGCAAGACAATGTTAAAGGCAATAGTAAAAGTAAAAGAAGCAGACATGTCCCGTAATTCAATTGAAGATTTTGCGTTCCTATTTTTTTGTTTGACTTCTGAAACGAATCAAATTACATGGGCCGTCGAATTCAGTCATCCAATTCGCGTTTGCTCACCGAAGGCAAAATGTAAACACACACTCAGATATATGATCACCCCCGGAATACAGTAAACACAGTAAAACCGAGCGGTTTTTGCATCCATCAGAGTACGGAAACCGTTACGTCAAAACTCCCCTCCAAACCCAATCCCGAAGAAAAGAGGAAATAGAAACCCATCACAGATGAAGCGGCATTGCACACTCAGCAGAGAAGGAGAACAAGAGGAATCGGAACGAAAAAGTAAATCCGGTCTGGGAGCACGATTTCCCAACAACTTCAGGAAATTTAGTTGCCGCCGAGGCTGGGGAAGTTCTTCTCGTCGACGGTAGGGCCGGCAGGGCCACGGGCGTTGGCACGGGGAGCACCACCGCGAGCAGCGGGGGCACCGCCGCGGGGGGCGCGGTCACCACGGGGAGCACGGTCGCCGCCACGGGGGCCACCACGGCCACGCTCGGAGCGCTCGCCGCCACGGGCAGGACGGTCACCACCACGGGGGGCGCGGCCGCCGCGGGGAGCGGGGCCGGAGCGGGGAGGCTCGACGTAGCGCAGGTCAACGTCGAGGAAGTTCTTCTCCTTGCGCTGCTTCTCGCGCTTGGCCTTCTCGGAGGCACCCTGGATGTAAGTCTCCTCCTCGGTCTTGGAGAGCTCCTTGGCAGCAGCCCACTTCTTGTCGAGCTTGGTGCCCTCGTTGGCGCTGCGCTCGGGCTTGGCGGCCAGAGTCTCCTTCTGAGCCTTCTCGGCCAAGTAGTCGGCGAAAGACTTGGAGTTATCGGGCTCCTCGATCTCCTCGGCGGGAGTTTGGGGCTCTGCCTCCTCGCTCTTAGCGATCTTCTCGCCTTGGCGCTCGTCGTCCCAGGTCTTCTCGCCGCTCTCGGCACCCCAGCCCTGCTGGACCTGCTTGCGGGTGTCGCTGGATATCGGAGTTCACATTAGTTTCGTGCTTCGATTGCTTTTCCCGCATAACTTTTACAAATCATGTCTTGAAAAATATTTCTGTTCGAGGGGTCGCTTACGTCTGGCCAGTGCGGGACTGACGATCACCACGGCCGCCACGGCCACCGCGGCGGGCGGGCTGAGCACCCTCCTCAGTGGGCTTCTCACGGTTGTTGTTGCGGCCGGCGTTGCGGTCACGGAAGGCTATGTGCTCGTTAGTCCGAGTTGTTTGTCAAAAACCGTCATTTTGAAACGTACCGGCCTCGTTGCCGTTGTTCACGCGGGGACCACCACGGCGAGCATTGGACTCAGTGTGACGAGCGGGCTGCTCCTTGGGGGTATCACGCTTTCCGGAGCGATCAGTGGGGCGGTCGACAGCCTTCGCGGGGGGAGGCGCGGGGCGGCTGGGGTCGAGCTCTGGGTCGTTGCCTGATTTAAAAAGCACTGTTAGCTACCAATTCATTGGCAAGCCGAGTAAAATCGAGCTGGTTTCGGTGTATAAAGAGCGGGTTGTTGTCGGAAAAGCTAGCCGAGTATTCAAGGGAGGGGGAATTTACCCAGAAGCTCGTAAAGGTTCTAAATTTCAAAAAATTCAAGTTAGTTTCTTGTTTCCAAAAATAAAATGAACCTCGGAATTTCCATGATCGCATTCATATCGCGGCTTTCGGGAGATTGCGTCGCCAGCTCTGCGCGGGAGAGCTCCAATTCAGCGTACCTTTGACCGGACGTCAGCCATGACGCCTGATGTGATGTGGAGGCCTTCCGGTGGGAGGCGCTCAACTTTAGACAATCGGTCTAGAGTGTTTGACGGGGGCACAAGGCAGAACCCAAGAGATCCGGCCTGTCAGAATTGATGATGATGATAGAGCAAGGTGAAGAGAGGTCCACGGTTTGTGGTTGCTGGGTGTAATGTTACTAATCAGGAAAGGCGGCTTCTGCTCCTAAGCGAATGTGTACGGCGACGATGATTGGCTGCCCGCAGCCTAGGGCTTAGGGTATCTTACATAATGATGGCGTCAACTACTCAAGTATACCTCTATACAAATATCAAAGCTGTTGATTGCTTTGGGGTTTAGAAATAAATATCTTGTGAATAGATATTCATGTTGATACAACATACCTACAGCTGTGAGATTTCTGGTGGAGCTTGAAGGGATGTTCATTTGAGTGGACTACACATGTCGGTGCGGCACCAGCCCGCTACTGTTTGTGGCCATGCAGAAGCTATGTAATCACACCCAATCCATCCATGGACACAAAAGCGATGCATAAGTTCTTAGGATTATTGGATTCGTGGACACCTCTGCATATCATCTGGCTAGTGACTGACCCCACTGATCATCTTCCTCTTGGGAGTACACTCCCCCGTTTTTGATAACTTGAGCTTCCATTACCATCCACTTACCCTTAGCAAATACAATATCTCTATAAATACGATTCCAGATAACACACAGCCCCATATACCAGGCCCTTAATTACGAACATGAACTCCGGCTTTGATATCTTCCAACAGCTTGGGGCCAGCAGGCACCCAACCAAGCTGCTCTTGATTTATCTACCCTGAAGTCGAATTATAAATTCCCATAACCAAGTGCAGGATACCGCCGAGGTCTTTCGCTTCTTCGGAAGTCCTGGAGACAGTCCCAAGATGCAGGCTTTGCCCAATTGCTTCAGCAATGTCCTTCATGGCGGTACCCTCCTCGGCAACACCATGGTATCTACTCCCAGCAACGCCCTTCTCCAGAGCGAGTCGATACAGACGAGAAGCGTCTTGGCGATGGACAGTAGGCCACTGATTGAGTCCCTCGCCGATGTAGGTAGCTTGGCCCTGCGTAGAAGCCAGCACAGTCATCATGTCAATGAAGCTGCGCGTGTCCTCTTCGCCATGGAGAGTGGGAGGCAGGCGAATGACGCATGCACGAACGCCCTGTTTGGCAAGAGAGTCAACAACCTGTTCGCTCTGGGCGCGGAGGGTTAGTGGCGAATTAAAATCAATAACATCGTCTTCGGTGCTGAGTTCATCCTTGGCAAGCGCCAGGGTGCCACAGGTGGTGATCAATGGCTTGTTCGTTCCGATGAGGGCGCCCAGCGCTGCAATTGCAACTTTCTCATCCCTGCAGCTCTCTGCGATTTGTCAAAGTCTAAATTGAAGGCGAGGTTGATCACACGGTGGCTTTCTTAGCTCCCCGTTCGAGGATCACCGGGTCTTTGATCGAGCCGCGGAGAACACTGCAGCCGTTTTTTCTCAGCATAGCAGCGGTTTCGTCTGATCGGGTAAGGGCTGTAATTGTATGACTGGCAGAGATGAGCTCGTTGACTAAGGCTTGGCCAATGAATCAGCTTCCACCAGTGACAAAAACGTGCATTATGATGACGGCTGCAATGTATATCAAGCTATAAGGCGAGAAGTGCTAGTTAGTAACCCAAAGGGAGATTCTCGAGGTCTCTTATAGATCTGACAATAGGCCAACCCAACTTTACACAGCAAACGGAGTTCACAAAATACGTGTTGGTTTAAATCCACAGTGCTCTTCTTCGCATCTGTTTCCCCCTTCGTGACTTGAGTGACATACTTCTTGCATGATGTCAAAAACAAAATACGAGAAAGGATTAGCTCGATCGTAGTCCTGAGCCAATGACATCGTAGTCTCGGGGTTCCGGAGTTAAGCAATATCAACGTCAATCGTAAAACCCCGGCTTCCCATCTCTAACGCTAAAATACCTTCTAGAGCCTCTGATACAAACATGCAAATACCAAAAAAGTCAGTCCCAGTGGGACGAGGGTCCCGCAAACGCCGAGCACATACCAAGTCTCGGCGCGGCTGTGGCAACTGTAAACTCCGGCGAGTGAAAGTAAGCTTCTTTTTCGCTCCTTTCCACAGCAGAAAGGATTGTGTTGATTGACGATAAACAAGTGCGACGAAACTCGACCGCAATGCCAAAACTGCCTTCAATACAGCGTCGCCTGTAACTACACCCCAGGCCCAGACCTGCAAGTAGCATGGCAAGAAGCGCAGGGCATGCAAGCAAGTCAAACAGTCTTAGTCTTCAACGCAACGCCCGCACCGAGGACCATCAATGTCTCAATAATGGTAGGAGAAGGCTATGGCGCCTTCCAACTAAACCTAGAGAGCCAAGCGCGCTTATACCGCTTCTACCACCGCACGCTTCCAACCATCAGCACGCCGCGCATAACAGAAGTATACCAGGAATATACAACAGGACTAGCATTAGCAGTAAGCTTCTAGAACTCCCGCCGCTCCGCAATAAAAAGTGTACCATATCGCATACCCTAACGCTAACTCACCCCAGCACCCATTCCTAATGCATATAATCCTAACAATAGCCATAACGCACGACCGCCACCTCCTAACCCCCTTCACATCCACCCACCAACTCGCAACACCCCAAGAATCGCACCTCATCCAAGCAGAATCCCAGCACCGTGCGCAAGCCGCAAATCTTCTAAACAGCAAACTCTCCCGCCCGATTCGCCCACAAGACCGCGACGCCCTCTGGGCCGCAGCAGCCATGCTGGGAATCTCCGTGCTAACAGCCACGGAAGCACCAAGCGTGCAGGACTCGTGGCCGTTGAGGACAGAAACAAACACCAACACCGGCACCAACCACCCTAAAACCAGAACTAAAACCACCCCCGAACTGCAGTGGATGGACTTCTCAATCAACAAAAAGGTAATTTGGAACGTGACCGATCCGCTGCGCGAGGATAGCATCTTCCACGTGCTGGCGGATAGCTACCGCGAGTTGATGCTGCAGCCGCAGTTGTGCAGCGCAGAGGAGGTAGCGGGTGAGTTTGTGGTGCTGTGCGGGCTGGGCGAGGCGGGCGCCTCATCTTTTCCTGCTTTTGGCACGGATGCGAATCCTTATTCCAAGGCTATTTGTATGCTAACGCGGATGCGTGGCTCTGGTGGTGGTGTGGCGTCCAGCCCGGAGATGCTGTGTGCGGAGGGCGTTATGCCGCGGGATCTTGCTTTTATTGGGTTTATGGAGGCGGGGTTTAAAGCGTTGCTGGGTGAGCGGGATGCACGGGCGCTGCTTATTCTTGCATTTTGGTATGCGCCGCTTTGTGAGGGTGTTTGGTGGATTGCGAGACGGGCGTGGATCGAGTGTCGGGCTATTTGTTTGTATTTGGAGAGGTGGTGTGGTGGAGATGAGTCGGTTAGGCGGTTGTTGGGTGTTGTTAGGGCTCGGTGTGGGCTGAAACTGGATGATCGGATGGGGGCTTGAGGCGAGGCTTGAGTTTGGTCTGTGGTCTGTAATAATTTGTACTTGGTGATGCAGATGCAGTCGTGTGAAGATTCGATTCATATACAAGACGTAATATAGATATGAGGAAAACCAAAAGAGAACGTTGGTATCAAAACCCTCGCAAACGCCAGGCAATGCTCAAATCAAACTTTTAGGAAGATATGATCATTTACCATAAGATGAACAAGATATAAGACAGAGAAGTGAAAGCATATTTTTGTGCCGCTCATTGCCGCGAGTTACTGTGCTCGTAGTTGAACGGGGTTGGGAAGTGCATGCTGGCGCTCAACCCAAATGGATCAGTATCCAGCATTGGCTCGTACTGGCCGAGGAGCTGATTTGCATTACCGAAATCGCTAGGCGTCCCTTCGCCCGGTGGTTGGTTGAAACCGGACATATTGTGGGAGCCTGATGTGATGGACTGTGGTGTGAAGCCCGGTACGTAAGACGCGGTTGTTGACCCATCGTGATCGTCATCGACCATGTCGGCCTGGGCATCATACTCTTGTTCTGCTTAGGAGGTCAGCTGAAAGGGTCTAGAATTCGGAACAAAGGTGACATACCGAGTTGGTCGTAGTGTTTCTGGAAGGGAGAGGGGTAGTAGGCTGCCGCTGCGACCCGCGCACCGCGAGGACCCATGGCTCCTGCGCCACGGGGTTGAGGTTTAGAATCTGACGGATCGGTCTGCGGCATGCTGATTGCCGGTGGCGAGGCCTGGCTGAAGCTCCGGGGTTGAGGGAGCAGCTGAGGTCGTCCTTGGGACTCGACACCGGCGGGGGACATGGCCTGGAAGCCAAACCCTGGGGACTTGGCGTGTGACGGGGAGGAGACGTGCGAGGTTGGCGTGGCCTGGAATTGCGGCGACGGGATGCCGTATGCGCCTTCCCGTTGGGACATGCCGAATGCTTCGGACTTGGAAGCAATGCCTGCGGGATGGCGTTGGTTGCGGGCCCCCGTAGGCGCTGCCTTGGGAGGCATGTGGTTTGCTTTGGGGGGAGCGCCCGGCGCCCCTGTCTTCAAGCGTAGCTCGGCCTGTACATCGATGCCTGGTATGTGTTAGTGATGAGATCGGAATATTCAGGTCCGGGTAAAAAAGAGGTCGTACCCTTCTCGAGCAAGATGCGCTCCAGCAAAGAGTTCTTGTACCGCAACATTAAACATTCATCGGCGGCACTGCGGTGACTCTGCTGCAGGCTTTGCAGAGACTCTTCATTGCGCTTGATGGTAGTCTCTAGTTGACGAATGTATTCGGTCCTGCGTTCACGGAAGGCCGCCTGGGCCTGCCGATTTCGTTGCTTGCGTTCTTCGGAGGTGGCGTAGATCTGACCAGGTTAGTTCGGAGATATAGATAGGAAGACGTGATAGCAATATGATATGACAACAAGTAACACAAGATGATAGGTATGAATGCGGGGCCCCAGATTTGAGGAAGTTGTTACGTACAGGTTTCCTGCCTCCTTTCCTTTTTTGAGTCTGCGCGGCATCCTGGGTCATCGGTTCGGCTTCTGGATCAGGTGTTGACACCGATGAACTGATTGAACCATCAGGACCAGGTTCATGTTTTGGTACAATAGGGTCCATGACCATATCATTGTTTTCCACCATTGAAACCATTGAGTTCTTTTTTTTTGTTGGGATCTTTTTTTATAAAAAAAAAACCAAAATTTCAAGCCTGTAGGCGGCCCTCCGCACACGGAAGAGACACAGCCAGTTTTCCCCGCGTTAGACCAGGATGGCCTAAATAGAAAAATAAAATAATAAAATAAGGAATAGGGAAGCAACAGGCACAAACGCACACGCGCGGCTAAGCGTTTAGAAGGGGACGTGCGAGACTCGTCACAGAGAGAATTGTGACATAAAGGAAACTGAAATTATGAGAAAGGAAGAGTAAGAGGAAACGAGATAAACGAAATATTGGGGAAGAAGAAAAGAAAGAGTTGTGTAAAGCAATTGAGTAAAAAGAAAGCGAAAAAAAAAGAAAAAGTAAAAAAAAAGTCTGTCCGGTCAGGAGGGTACCTGGCAGCCTTTTGAGAGAATTCTTTTTATTATTTCTTTTCTTCTCTTTCCTTTAACTCTTTCGGGGTCATTTGGCTCCACGTTTTGAACTTGAATGGCCTTGTATTGTCCGAATTGATCCACTACCATCCAGAGGTCCTTGCGGTTAGTGGAGTTGTGGCCTCGTTGGCGTGTATAGATGTGTCTGTGTGTCTCTACTATGTCTCTACATTGTCTGTCTGTGCTGTGTACAACGTCGTTCACTTTGAATATACTCCCAAAAGTATGGGAAAAAAAGTCCTAGGTTTGAAACCTTCAGTTGTCCGCGGAGAAGGTCACGCAATACAATGCACGGGTAGTAGCCCGATACCGGCCACTCATAACGCCATATAAACGACCCCAATTGCCCATGCACTACTCAAACGCCCTGCTATTGACTCTAGCCTCTAGCAATCCTCGGCGTCGTCCTATACTCCTTACGGTCACCGTAAGGCTTTCAGTTCTTATTCCAGCTCACCACATGACCACTCTGTTCAAATTCACCGAACTCCTCGTGCAGGGCTGTTGTTGTTTCAGTGAATTATTGGGGAAAATTCAATCACGCGGACGCCACCCTCCTTGTGCACCAATAAGGGATGATCATGGAATGACGCATCGCCTTCCCCGGACTTTTGGGAATGGCCGCATTGCAGATTTTTCATCGCTTTCCGCCCCCAAATATGCGGGGGGGGTTGGTTGCCAAGGCACTTTCCAAGGATGATCATTGAAGGTGTTCATCGTTCATCTCTGGATCTCATTCCAGGTTTGCCGAGCTGACCATGTAGCCCGATCTACAATATGCCCATATTATAGGTAAAAGACTGGAGTACATCGATTTACTCAAATTATAGGTGATATATTAAGTACATGGGCCTAGATCTGGAATCCATGCCTCAGGCGATGACTTCAGAGAAACTTTCTTTATTTTATTTTATTATAAAAAAATATCGAGACATGCCTAGTGCTTCGATATCTTTTTCTTATGTCATTCACATTGAACTATGATGGGACGTGTAGAATTATGTAGAAGACGAGATAACTCGAAGACATGTCGTCGAACCTCGGCGACGGCATTAATTAGTCCCCCGCCAAAACATCACATGTCGGACTTATCCAGACTTACTCTTCGCGAGATATCTACGCGATTGCCAAACTTTCACGCCGACCTCTTTAATCAAGACTTCTTCATCAATTTCTTCGCGCAATAGACATGACCACCTCAACCGAGAGTCCGCCCGAGCTGGCTTCGGAGGCTACTGTGACTCCCACCGCGGCCACCTCGGCCACCGCGCAAGACCACACCCAAGAGCAAGCGACCTCAAACACAGAGTCCACGCCCGCGAAGACACAATTGAAGCCAGAAGTGGCTGAAAACGACGACGAAGACTCCGATTTTGATGAGCTAGATGGTACATACCAATCCTCCACCCCACACACAGATTACTTCCACGTGGAATGAATGACACCCATACTCACCCCCACATCCAGATGTTCTCGATGATTTCTCCAAACCCAAACCCGAACCAACTCCCGCAGTACAGCCCGCCGCAATCCCCGATGCATCAACAGGCATTGCACCACCCGACTTCGACGAAGATGCCTTCCTCAAGCAGCTCGAACAAGAAATGGCCAACATGATGTCCGGCGGCGCAAACGCACCCAACACAGACCCCAACGTCCAATCTACGGTCGACCAAGGCGCCGAGATGTTCGCGAAACAGCTCGAGGAGAGCGGAGTCCCACCAGGTGATTTCCTCAAACAGCTTCTTGCCGACGTTATGGCCGAGCAAGGTGGCGCGGAACCAGGCGCTTCCCTCGAGAGTCTTACAGCCGCAGCTGGAGCTTCTAACAATGGCTCCTCCGCGGCTGGCCCCGGCCCGGCTGCATCCAGCGAGCAACCGGCGGACTCGTTCAACGAGGCAATCCAGCGCACGATGGGCCGCATGAAAGAGAGCGGCGATAAAGCCACGGCTGCCGCTAGTAATGAGGATGATATCTCGGACGATATGATTGCGCAGCTATTGAAGGCTGTTGAAGCTGGTGCGGATGGTGCGGGCGAGGACGGCGATTTGTCGAAGATGTTTATGGGGATGATGGAACAGCTTTCGAATAAGGAGATGCTGTACGAGCCGATGAAGGAACTGGATGTGAAGTTCGGGCCGTGGCTTGAGAAGAACAAGAACGGTGGAAGCGTCCCTGCTGAGGATATGGAGCGGTTCGTGAAGCAGGCGGAGATTGTCAAGCAGATTGTAGGCAAGTTTGAGGAGAGGGGCTATTCCGATGATGATCCCAAGTGTCGCGAGTATGTGTGGGAGCGGATGCAGGAGGTAAGTCTTATATCTGGTTTTTGTCGTGAAGTTGTTTACTGACTTGATTATCTTGCAGATGCAAGCAGCTGGTAGCCCGCCCGAGGAACTCGTTTCGAATCCGCTCATGGGGGATCTGGGAGGTGCCGCCGCTGGAGCTGGAGTGCCTGATTGCCCGCAGCAGTAATGTGAACAAAAACTACGCATCTATGTATGACTGGATCTTGAAAGGAAAACATCGTCTTGATGCCAAAGAGTCCTCTTGACGTGGATACATTCATCCGTTATACTGTACATATGCTCAACTCCCGTCGATACCCTTATTTACTTCCATATCGGATTCCGTGATCCAACGAATTAACAACGCCGCCCAATGCAATGCTTCGCAAGAAAACAGCACACACAAACAAACTCGAACCCTAGTCCACTCACGACATATCCATATCCTGAGACTGCTCCTGTAACCCCATAAAGATATCATCATAATCATCATCACTGAACGGAACCTCATTCCCAGTCCCAGTCGCACGCAGCCGCTCAACACTCCCATGAACTCCAATCTGCGCCTGCGCCTGCGCTTCCCTAAGCTCCATTTCCAAAGCCTCCTCCTGCGAAATAAACTCATCCAAAGCATCCCCATAATCTACCACAGCACAGTCAGTAACCATCCAGACACCAATGAAAAAGAAACCGCAAAGAATGCACATAACATACCAGGAAGCATATCATCCTCCTCCGCAATCTCCACCTCCCCAATAACCCCCTCACCCTCCCGCGCCATGCTCTCCTCCCACCGCCGCCGATCAGCAAGATGCTCCATATGCATCATCTGCTCTCCGCGCGCCTCGAAACGCCCCGCGTCCCGCTCCCCCTTCACGCGATTGAGGAACATTTTGCGGGTTTTTGAGCGCGCGAGGCCAGCCGCGTCTTTCATGGGGTTTGAGAGGGCTGCGTAGCGCGCTTCGTATTTCGATTTGGGGTGGCGCGAGGGAGAGGTCGGGGAGGAGGGGTGTGCGTTTGGATGTGACGCGAAGGGCGCAAAGATTGATGTTGGTGTTGTTGAGGCTGAGGCCGAGGCTACGTGCGGCATTGGGACTGGGGAAGCGTGGTTCTGCGCGTGGCGTGGGATCGGTTCGGTGCGGATGTTGAAGTGGATGGGATTAGTATTAGGATTGTGGGTGTGTGGCGGTGTCATTGTCCATTGTGGTGCTGAGATGCCGAGAGGGGATGGGTGGGTTGGTGTGTAGTGGCGTGTTTGGCGGAATGGGGTTTGGGGGGATGTTGCGAACATGGTTTGGTTCTTTGGGTCGGATGCGGAAGTGGGTTGTGGAGTGTGGTTCTTTCTTAGTCTGGGGTTCTTAGGGGTTTGGGTGATTGGGCTTTTAGTGGTTAATTGAAGAGTTAGAGATAGGTTTTAAGATTCTCGCGAAATAAAGTAGTATTAGACTTGGGGCTGGGAGTCCTTGCAGGATGTCCTATCGATCTCGCGTGCTGGACGCGTTCTGGAATGCGTCACGTGAACGAGTCTAGAAGTACGAACTGGAGGATATCATGCCATATTATTCAGGCAGAAGTATAAGCAGACCCACCTTCCTAATTGAGAAGTAACTGTTCATATCAAAAGCAAGAGTAGTAGATTTTCTAACGTTCCAATGAATTCAGTGGTTTATTGGGCATGGGGTTTATAAAAGCCTTAAAGGAATGATCGGTATAAAAAAACTTCGCCGAGCCTGCCCAGAAGGCCGAGGTCAACCCAACTCGATTCCCGGCTTAGGGGTTTCCAGCTTGTTTTACCTTTTGCTTCTATCGATTATCACCATTTAGAATGTCTATCCTGATAGCTGGTGTGAATTCTTGTTCATTATCAAGCGTGTTAGATGTGTTGGGAGATAGAGTAGTGCCGTGGAATGTTCACACGTACGGTTGATCAGATATCGAGTCTATCTGGTTCGGGGCCAATGAAATAAGACTGTTTAACATGAATCTACTGCTAGCCTGATTTAGGCATGAATCTTGAGCCGAGTATCTCGGACACGGAATGTTCCACTTTCGATTTGCATACAATCCTGATATCAGAAACAAAGGATTTCCTAGGCAGACAAAGAATGCTGACAGCAATTAGCCTAGAGCAATTACAGGTATGGTGTAATATCAGACTGAGAAGAGGAGCCTGGAGCAATATAAACAGCTGAGAGTATAATCCAAGGTAGAACTTATTACAAAGTAGGTAGAGGACCATAAAATCTGAGGACTTTTGCAGCACGCTATACAATTTTGAGATCTAATGCTGCAAAAGGTAGAGAAGAGAAGATATGTCAATACATAGTGATTATCCACAGGAGCACACCAAGCGCATCGACACGGGGAATCAAGAGTTGACGGGGAAGAACCAAAGGATGCCGAGTTTTGTCAGTCGCGCAAGGATCGAGCTTGGCGATCGCAGGAAATGAATGTGATGGTTGTCGAAAGAACGCTCAAACAATGAATGTGCAGTGCCTGCATGAAGGAGAGGCTGGGCCGAATAGAACGCCCTGAATAAAAGAATTTCGCAACCAGAAAAGAAGAAAAAAGCAACCGTCTCGCCTGTCCTGTCCATAGCGCCTGGAAATAGCATGATGATCGTATAAGTTTTACACTTCGACAGATGTCGAATCCACGCAGTACACTTAGAAGTTGGCTGCTGCGTTGACACGGCCATTGTTGTGGTACTGGTCAAGTGTATTCTTGAAGGGGGCGCCGGCGGTCGGACTAGGGGCCTTCTCGCGAGGACCGGTGCCGACAGCGGTTCCACCCATGAGATCATCCTCGTCACCGAACTGCTCGTTGCGCTTCTTGTGGAGTCTCCAGTAGCCCAGGCCGAGGACACCGATGAGGATGGCACCGCCAACACCGACCACGACACCAATGATGATCTTCTTGTCAGATGAGGACACGCCGCTGGAGCCGGAGCTCTTGTTTCCGTTCAGAGATGGGGAGCTGGTCACGACAACGGGAGTGGAGGTGGTGATCAAGTTGGCAACGGTGGAGCCATCGCTGGTCGCGTATGAGGTGATGGTTTTCACGACGTAGCTCTGGGATGTGATTGGGGCCGTGGTAATACTGGTGCCTTCGGAGCTCGTGGTAGCAGCGGGTTCCTTGGTGGTGGAGGTGGTTTGGGCAACAGTGGGCTCGGCAGACGGTGTGGTCTCTGCAGGGACAGTAGTGGAAGAAGTGTTGGAAGTAGTCGAAGATGTAGTAGGGTCGGCAGATTTAGTCGGGGCCTCAGAGGTCGTCGATGAGGTAGAGGATGTGGAGGAAGTTGTTGATGATGATGTAGATGAAGTTGTTTCAGGCGCTTGGGAACTGGAGGATGAGGAAGTGGTTTCACTTGTTAGATCCTGCACGATGTTGGAGGCACCGGCACTCTGGGCTGCGACCGCAGTCAACAGGAGTGCCTGAACGAAAAACGAGAGGCTAGAGAGACGCATGGTTGAACGAATGTATTCGGTATAGCGAGAGAATAAGACCCGAAGTCAAGATGTCAAGAAGTTAAAGAGAAGGAAAGAATAAGCAGAAAATGAAAAAGGAGTCAAAGCGACGGTCATCCTTGGTCCGGCGAAACAAACACTGCTTGGCCCGAATGCACTAATCCCCATTGGGTATACAATAGTCTCCACTAGTCTCAGTCTAAGCCAATCCATCATGAGATCCATCACTCTGATTGGCTGCAATTTCAATAGAAAATACGTTGGACTGGGTCGCCTGGTCATTTTGCTACTTTGAGAACTTTACAATGTTTTGGGTTTCTTTCGTTTTTCAATTGATATAATTATAGAACTGCTTACCTTCAAAGATAATTCTTTCTTTTTGCAGTATTGGCAATCGAAGAGTTGATCTTAATAGAAAGAAAATCACAAAATTACTAGGAAACACAAGACTAGGTACAAAAAAACTCTGTGTGGACTGGGCCTTGTGTGACGAAGCCTCTTCCCCCTCGCATCCCGGGTGGGAGCCATATTTAGCAACAAACACCATTGCCTATGATCTCCCAAAGATCTCCCATATTAGCATGCAGCTGCCGTATGATTGACATGCTACATCCAAAATGCTACCGTCACCACTCCGTACAAATCAACCACATTAAATGGCTGATGGTCTCCAAATATACGTGGCTGCAGAGTTTTTCGTTTTATCTTCATGTCGTACTAATCCCTCGGGTACCTGGACCCCCCTTTCAACGCCATTATTATTTCGAAAGAAGCCGACACAGCCGGATGCCTAAAAATTGGATTGGTCCTCTCCTCCTGCCCCTAGCCCCATTATGTCCAATTGGCGTGTCGATGACAGCCTGCATTTTCGGGGTTCCCGCCTGTTCTGGAACTTTTGAGGGCTAGGGTGATGCTCTTATTATTTTTCAGAGTGTCAACATCCACACCTTGGAGGTACTAGGGGTAGATGGGAATTTCAACCACGTAGATCTTTCATTGTTAATGTCGTCACATTATTGATATAGACCCATCGCAATCTCAGAAGGTCATGTGCGAAATTGCGGCCCACGAGTTATTATTGTTGTGCATTGTGCCGGCCAATTTCTTACAGCATGCTATTGACCGACCTGCGGCGGGTAGGTTGTGTTGATCCTTTTCCTTTTTTTCTCTTGCTATTCTCTGCTTTAGGTATACTCCCACGCCTCCGGATAAATAAGCATTCTGAGTGACTGAGGCTGAGTGGTCTACATTGTACATTGCTGCGCTGTTCTTTGAGGCCTCCCACTACCAATTATCTCAAGCTTCGTATCTATATTGTACCTCGTGCTGTTTTGTCCACTTCGATGCAACCATAACGCACCGCCTCATTTACATTGTCACTTTCGATGCTTCTAATCCCGTAACATCTATCCATAACGAGCACCAGGACCGACCCCGAAGGTGGCGTTGTTACAGGTCCCGCTTTGCAATATGCGCGATGTCCGGCCAGGTTCCGAGAGAGAGAATAAGCGAAGTTCGCTGGAGCGTTCAATTGCTATCTATTCAGCATCGATCCTGGACGAGTGAGATGAGTAGGAGTCACGATTAACTGCACGCCCTATACATTCAACATTCAACCTAAAAGAGGCCTGCTAATATCCATCCGTATGTATGTATTATCATGTGTGCCCTAAGGTGTGAACAGACAGTAGAGAGTACAGGCCTTGCTTGGTACAATTACGATTCTTATCCGGGTTCCGAATGTAATTTTTTGTTTCTTCTTCAAGTAATATTAAGTCAAATATTTTCGCTATCTCTGATTTGTCTCTTGGTAAATTCAGCACTAAATGGGTAATCTGTATAACCAAGTTCTTCCGTGGCCGTGTAGAAGCTAGACCGGTCATACCGGTTAAGAGGAAGCCGATGTTGAAGTCGGAATGGCAAGTCAGGGTTCGCAAGGAAATGCCGACCAAACACAACAGCAACATCATTGTCTTTGTAGTCTTCCTCGATGACTTGAACATTGTCTGGATTGTATCCACCTGCAACAAGTACAGGTGACGTTCTGCCCCAGATATCGAGGAGGAAGCTGATCCCCTCTGTGTTTTCACAGTCCACATTGTTGATCACGCGAGACTCAACAACATGGAGATAGGCAATTTTGAAGTTCTTTAACTGCTCCACAAAGTATGTGAACTGGGGGACTGGATTGTCCATCTTCATGCCTTGCCAGGTATTCCAAGGACTGAGACGGAACCCAACTTTCTCAGGACCGACTGCGTCCACTAGCGCCCTGACTACCTCTAGGCCAAAACGGGCACGGTTCGAGATACTGCCACCCCATCGATCATGTCTTGTGTTTGACACATCTTGCAGGAACTGATCAACCAAGTAGCCATTAGCGCCATGAACCTCAATACCGTCGAACCCAGCACGAATTGCGTTTTTCGCGGCAATCGCGAAGTTCATGATGATGCTCTGGATCTGCTCCTCCTCAAGCTCCTTGGGAGTTGGCATCCCGTCTTCCATCCGAATGGGACTGGGCGCGAGAAGCTCGTATCCTCCCTCCTTCTGTAATTGATGTGGGTCGGCGGCCCGGCCGAGGGCAATCAATTGGCAGAACATGTAGCTTCCTTTAGCGTGTACGGCGTCGGTGATCTTCTGCCATCCTTGAATTTGTGCTTCACTCCAAATCCCTGGGCCGTGGGGAAGTCCACCCTCAGATGCCGAGATCTGGGTTGCTTCAGCTATGATCATCGTTCCAGGGACAGAAGCTCGTTGTTCGTAGTATGTGGTGGCCATTGGAAGAGGCACGTGTTCGGCATCGGCGCGCAGGCGAGTGAGAGGGGCCATGACAACCCTGTGTTGTAACTCAACATGGCCGATATGGAGAGGCTTGAATAGTTCGGACATGAGAATTGTGAAATGTGCAGCTGAAACCCCTCGTTGTAAATAACTCCTATTAATTCGTATCTTAAAACACATAATCCATCTAGTTTAAATAATGCCACTAGCCAAGGTTGATTGGTAATAATCTCCAATCCGTGATTGAATGCCTTTTCATGTTCAGTGGAGTGGTTTTGGAGATGATTGTGGGTCGACATTTGACAGTTGCAGAAAACATCTCCAAGGGCCTCCAACCACCTCCATAGTGCTTTATATAAGGTTGCTGCCAACAATATATCAATTTAAACCATTTTGAATAACACCCGAAGGCTACTTTTCTTTCATCGCTCATTCAATCGAAGTATCGACCAATTCATCCTCACAATGTCCGCTCTGATCTACATCAACGAAGAAGGTGCCGGCCAGAAGCACAGTGATCTATGCCACTACTCCCAAGCAGTCATTCTCGGGAACGTTGTCAAATGTGCTGGGCAAGGAGGATGGACAGAATCTGGAGATCTAGATGCCAACGATATCACTGGCCAGGTGGATCTCGCCTTTGCAAACGTGGACAAAGTACTCCGGGCGACGGGGCTACGGGGATGGGAAGACGTTTATTTGATTCGATCTTACCACGTTGATATGGACTCATCGTTCGATCATTGCGTCAAAACGTTGAAGAAACGCATCCCCGGCCACCGTCCTATATGGACTTCCATTGCTGTGCCTCGACTGGCGTTTCCGGCCATGAAGATCGAAATCGAGGTTGAGGCTATCAAACATGAATGAAAAGTTGTGAGATGCTTGGAAACTTGGACTGTATATAAATAAAATCGGAATACACAGGTATTCAATCCACAAAATAGGAACTACAAATGAACAATTAGATTTTTGTTGATAATATTAAATCCACCCACGATCCATATAACGCAGATATTCGTGCAAGCCATGTTATGACAAAAAATCCTGTCCTCGAAAGTCATGGCTAAATCTATCTTTTACTAGTGTGGCCATCAACATGTCGACAAAAATTGCTGGGTTGAGGTGCTATCTCCAGGGCTCCATCTCAGCGTGAATAATCTATACACCTCCAACACCTCCATACACCCTCGGGGACTTTCGATGCAAGGATTTATAATTTGCAAAATTGAATCACGACATTGATAGATTGATAGATATAAAATTAGCAGTCAGACTGGAGCTTTGTCAAGTATTGCGCTTGTTATCAAAATCTGAAGATCGTGTTAACCATCCAGTAAGCTTCAAAGTTTTGTTCAACACTGTTCTTCTTTCTAACAACAATAATGATTTACAGGACTGCTCAAACAGCAATGCCTCTCCATTGGTTGCGTGACAGCTTTCTTGGACAATGCTTGCGCCTATTCTACAAGTCGTCCCAGCTAAAGTATAACGAAGAGAGTCTTGATTTTGACTGGCAAGAAAACTTCCAATCTCATGAAAAGGCAATACCAGTCAAATGGTACGCGGAAAACGATGAGGAAAACCCTCAAAATTGGTCGGAGCCAAAAAAGGCCTTTGTTCTACTTGTCATTGGTGCTTACAGTTTCGTGGTGTATATGGCAGCACCAATATATACCCCGAGCGAGAATGCGTTCATTGAAGAATTCGGTGTTAATAACGCCGAAGCATCCCTTGGACTCGCTCTTTATGTGTATGTATAGAGCTACCCTGTTCTTTGGTATAATTTGTGATTGACTTTGGCTGCAGTTTGGGATATGGCGCCGGTCCTCTCTTCTTCAGCCCTTTGAGTGAAATTCCTCGCATCGGCCGAAGTCTCCCTTACGTTATTTCATTTATTCTCTTCTGCATTGTCAGCATTCCCACAGCACTGGCACCGAATGCAATTGGATTTTACTTTCTTCGGTTCCTTCAAGGGTTCTTCGGAAGTCCCTGCTTGGCTACTGGAGGCGCCTCAATTGCAGACGTCTACTCGTCCGACATTCTTCCTCACGCCATGACAACATGGGTGCTTTGTGTTTTCTGTGCACCTGCAATAGGTGTACTAGCATCTGGATTTGCCATTCCGGTTCTTGGTTGGCGGTTTTCCATGTGGGAAATTCTGATCGCCGCTGGTCCGATTCTTGTTCTTCTTTTCTTGTTGCCCGAGACCAACCCTGCCACTATCTTACATCGGCGTGCGCGACGCCTGGAGAAGAATGATTCAGACAAGTCGCGCAGCTATCATACTTCTTCAGATGTTGCACATGAAGGTGTCTCTTTTCATATGGTCTTGCGAGAGTCGCTGCTTATTCCGTCAAAGATCACTTTTCTGGACCCGGCAATTCTGTTCCTGAATTGCTACACATCTCTCACCTACGGTATCTATTATTCGTTTTTCGAAGCCTTCCCGATTGTATACCAGGGCATATACGGGTTCAATCTGGGGGAGATGGGGCTAGCATTCTTGGCCATTGTTGTCGGTTCTGTGATTTCATTCGTGATCTACAACCTCTACATATATAAGATCTTTCTTCCGAATACCAAGCAGGGTGGAGCTCAAAAGCCCGAAGATGTCTTGGTTCCTGCTCTATATGCGTGCTTTGGACCAGCCATCGGATTGTTTCTTTTTGGCTGGGCCGCCCATCCAAATGTCCACTGGATTGTGCCGACGATTGGAATTGTCATCTACCCGGCCTGCGTGTTCATACTGATGCAATGTGTTTTTCTCTATATCCCAGCGTGCTACCCCCAATATGCCGCTAGTGTGTTTGCAGCAACTGATTTCACCAGGAGTGGATTTGCCTGTGGTGCTGTTGTCTTTTCACGCCCACTTTATGAGAATCTGGGAGTAGGCCCTGGATGTAGCTTGTTGGCAGGCCTGACGCTTGGGTGTGTGGTTGGTATTCATGTGCTTTACAATTATGGAGAGGCATTGAGACTCAGATCAAAGTTTGTATCTAAGTGGTGATAATGAGCAAAGCCATTAATTAGAGTGCTCATTGTTCACCTATCAAGGCAGCGGTGAAGCTTTGCTCGCAGGCATCGGCGTATATATCAAGACCTTCTCCAATAACCTTCAATACTGCCCATTGTTCATTTCCTCTGATCAGTCGAGCCCATAGTTTCACAACAGCGAAGGCCAGGTAGGCACAATTGGACGATAGCGTTGGACGAGACCACAGGTCATCGTCGCCCGATGTTCTCCCTTCTTCAACTATGTCTCCTATCCAACTAAGCAAGCGGCTCTCATGTTCTAAGTGGGTCAGCGCATTCTGACCTTTTTGGATAGGAAGATACGTACCATCAAGCGGTCTTGTCTTCTGACAATTAGATATACAAAACAACCATTTACTAAGGAAGATTGCAAATTCCAATCCACAAAGCGAGTGCTGAATACTCCACACGAATGCATGGCTTCGCGCAACATAGTTCACCCCTAGCTTAACGGGTATACTCAATGCATGTGTGGCGTGCAATATTGCAGGAAGCAAATGAGGACCTGCAGGTAGCTTCGGCATTTGGAGCAGCCTATTCGCAATTTCTTGCGGATCTCTGGATTCAAGAATTTTGTATGAGCCTATGTTGAGAGCAAGTCTAACATATGCAAGACCTAATAATGCCGTGGAGGTGAAAGTCACTGGCCCGTTGGGATTTCTGGGGTCAAGACTTGATTCGGGAGCTCGTTGCCATTGAGATGTCCATGCATGGAGAGCGTTTCTGTGGAAGAATAAGTCAACTTGGACGATCACCCGAATCATGTAAACTCTTACCGGATAGAATCCTTTTGGTGATTGAGTAAGGTCTGGTCTTCGTCCATGTATGGGCCAAAGGCCTGCTGTACAAGCATGATTCGTTGAATTAAGGCGTGTAAAAGAATGTAATTTGCCAACGGAGAAGGCACAGGCTGCGAGTTTACTAAGTGAGTTTCGTTTGAGCCTTTCATCAAGTGTGATAGAGCTTCTTGAACAGACATCTGCTGCGCATTGCCCGATTTATATACCATAGCCCATCTTTCCTCATGAGGAGCAATCCACTCAAAACAGGAACATGGAAGACGGAGTTGTAGTTCGTCGCTGAGTATCACTGGTGGAGTGCTGAATGCTATACCATGGATATTTAGAAGAGCAAATGAAAAGAGCTTGACTCTTCTGTCCGATTCTTGCTGTATCCAAGAGTGCCAATTTGGGGTTTCTTGGTGCAATTCTTGTTCTTCCTCCAATTTGCCTTCTCTCACACATCTTGCAAGAAAGCTTTGAAGATTGAATGCCTCTCGCAGAATTTCTGGCTCACATTGCCACGTTGCAAATGCAATGAGGTATAAAGCGCACCTCGCTTCACGCATGACTTCCCGATATTGCTTGCTTTGGTAGTGCGATCTCTGTGTTTCACGAGAAAAGTCTCTATGTCTATCACCAGGTGAGAGACTTTTATCTAGCTCCCAATTTCCCCTTTCGATCGTATTTTGTTGTAATGTGGCTTTTGCGGCATAGAACAGAATGACTGCTTTCCGATGTTCATGTCGATATTGTGCGCCTAGCGCAGCCATAGCCAAAATGATCTCCGGTTCGCAGTCCTCCAGCTTGAACGTTGGGAGGTGAACAACTGGTATATGGGGATAGAAGCCATCAAAAAATCCATTGACAAATCTTGTAAGTGAGTGACAAGATGGAAATGAGCTTTTGGACACGGCCGTCTGAGACTGCTCAAGAGCCTGAACAAGGCGATTGCGGTGGTCATCAGTAACCCTCAGAATAGGTAAGGTTAATACCCCAAACTCAGCTAGTTTAAAACCATCAGCTTTAATTTCTATTGGGCAATTTATTGGGCAATTTATTGGAAGTTTTACCAACTGCGTCTCGCTCCACGGGAAGCTGGCTTAAAGACTGGTCATGATCTTGCTGTAGAAAGGGCCGCTCTTGGTGCATACTCCTGGCTGAGTCAGTGGATATAGGATTCAGGTTAGACTCTCCCGCAAATATTTGCACAATGCTAGGCTCAGAAGGAAGAACCCATTCGGTGCTGAGCCCCATGTTATGACTGAAAGATTCTAGGTCCTGCAAAACTAGGAGATCCTGAGCACTGAATAAAGAGTCCCCTAATCTAGTCAGAATATTCTCTAGGGGTTTTCTGGGTCTCCAATCGGGAAAAAAAAGAGGCTCTACCTTCAAGTGAATACCCCGGGAGCTGTCCTTGGCCAACAGAGCCTGCGGAGGCACCCGCGCCTTGGAGACCAGGGATTCCCCAAAATGATGGGTCAGGATCATGTATAGTGGAAGCTTCATTGTTCTGTGACTGGAGGCTCTGACTATCATTTGCAGTGGCGGGTGATGGCTCCTGCGTTAACGGCGTTATTGGAGAATGGCCAATATCCTCATGACGTTTCAATAGGTCACGGCGGCCAAACGAAGCACCACATGAACATTTATACGGTTTTTCATTTGTATCTGAAGGCTGTTAGTATTTTCAATTTTGCCCTCCCCCAAAAACCAATTGCAAGTGCTGGGCATACGAATCCGAATGTGCCGTTGGAGGTGCTCATGGCGGCGAAAATGACGTTTACAGTGAGGACAGGTTCGGGGCTTCCTCTTGCTTGGTGTAGATGCTGGGGTCTCAGGGGCTGGAGAATCCATGTTTGGTTTATTGATTGACCTGATTATGGAGATATGTGCGTTGGAGAAAAGTAGAAAAGTAGGAAAGTTGATGGAGAAAGTATTGAATCTAACTAGTGGAGGTACTATGGCCATGTTCTACGAGCCAAATTATTAAGCTTCATTTGAGACATTCAAGTCCTGAATGTTGATGAACTCTTTGATTGACAAGCAAATCCAAGAACTGATCATTCTTTGGATATATTGAAATCTTTTATCAATAAACGACTGAATCCTGAAGGGAAAAAAAAGTTGGACATGTACGTCGTAAGCACCTCCAAAATGCCAAGACTTGAGGCTAGGGGCACTGAAGACGCCAAAGATTTGAGGATGCCCTCTGAGAACGACGGTTGTTTCTGGTTCATTTCTAATGCTTAGATTAGACGGTCCAGGTATGATTTTATTGGACGGGTTGCAATGTGTTTTGATAATTATCAGGTGCAGTCCGGGTTCATTGAAAAGAAATTATGATTTGATAAATTACTATGAAACGTATGCAGCTAACAGTTTAACGAATACTAGATACCGAAGTTCATCAGATAGGAAAAGTACGCGGTTTTTTCCCCATCCATATACATGTGCCCCCGGTCCTAGTGAGCATTTTACTGGACCAATCCAAAGCTCGAGATATATATGCCCCAGTGATAGAATCCTAGCCTGATTGAATGAATAAACAGCTGGGAACAGTAGAAGAGGTACTTTGAGTCAAATGTTGATACTCAATGATTTCAAAATTCATTCTCCGGATAAAACAAGGAAGGCAGCCCCATGGAGCGCAAAGGTGCATCCCAATGTATACCGGGTGACCAGAATACCTGGCCGGAAGAGGGTAAACGTCAGATCTGCTGAAAAGCAGCGAATATCGCGTTCAATTTGGGTATCATTGGGTTTCATTAAACAAGCGCGAGGGTATCAATATGTGTTCCACGTGGTTGCCCTCATTTGGTCTTTCCCTTCATCTGGTCCTTGAATTCTTCCTTGAAGTGACCGAAGAATTTTTTCAAATCAAAACCTGGCAAACACTGTCAGCCATAATGTGACAACATAATGGTATTGTGCCGACCATACCATCTGCTTCGTGGTGTGACCCTCCCAGTTCCTGCTTCGGGGGAGGAGGCACTCCATGTCTGATGTGTTGAACTTTCTCGTGGACTCGGCCAACCATCCGATGGAAAATTGGACTTCGAAGAAGCTAGGCGAATGTCAGAATACAAGCCAAGATGTGTAGGATTCCTATGCAACATACTCGGAGCGTGAGCCAGACCTATGATGGGCAAATGTCAGCAAATAACGGAACCGCGGAACAAAAGAACATACTTCAAAGCCCCGGATCAAAAAGCCCAACACCATTTTGGAATTGTCTTAATGTTCGACCATAGACCTCAGACCTGTGAATGTGAATGTGAGCACAGAGATCCACGATGGCGAAGATCAAATCGAGATCGCCTCGGGAGCTTCAGTCTTAGTAAGCTACATGTGTCTTCCCCGCGAATCGTTTCCCCCGAGAATATTTTCTATGACGCTTGACAGCTGCCTTACGGATATTATTCAATTCCAAAGCCACTACTCAAACGGCTAGCAATGGTCGTGTGGCTTTGTCAACATCTCGCCACTAAATCCTGACCATAGCTGACGATGGCGAGTGGCACCGAACGAACATCACAAGTTGCTCGGTTCATCGCTACCCAGATCAGAAACGACGTCTCTTTCACAGCGCCCAGAGAATGACCAAAGGTTGCTACACCTGCCGACGACGTCGCATCATCTGCGACAATGGTCAACCGACCTGCCGGAAGTGTCGCGATGCAGGGAAGGAATGTCTAGGGTACCAAAAACCGCTTGTCTGGGTCAAAGGTGGTGTGGCTAGTCGAGGGAAGATGATGGGCCGCAGCTTCGATGATCCAGAGAAACCACCGAGCAAGCCGAAATCCCAGGAAGCCTCCAAGGCACACCATTCAACCGCGGCAAACCGCGGGTTTGGCTTTTTCTCTCTCGCCGAATCCCAGTCCCCCTCCGATGTCGAATCGCATAGCTCCGGGAATCAGCCTAGCCCGGAGGCCGATGGCTGGGCCTTTGAGACGGACATTGCAATCGTTGGGGACGAAATTGCGCAAATGGGATTCAACTCGACCGAAGAGCAGGATTCCGCAGTCGTTCATGTCCCTCGAGGCACACCCCCCGCTGATTATACTCCAACGCCGTGGGGGCTAGTAGATCCGCTTCTCAAAGATCTAAGCCAGTTCTCCAGGTATTATGTTCATCACTGTAAGAATGTCATTCAACCATTCCATGTGACTTTGCTGATTATTCCCGTAAAGATAATCAATATATGGTGAATGACTTTGCGCTCTACTCCCAGCACAAAAATCCTTTTCGGGATCTTACTGCGTTGGTTAATCACTCCCCAGTACTTGCGCACAGCATCACAGCTCTTGGGGCCCTTCATTACTCCCTTCTCTCGGATTCGGACTCCTCCCTACTACCATGGTCATCGGGTAACGTGGCCATGGCACATTCGAACTTGTCAGTTGAAGAAATTGAAGAAATCGTTGCCCCGGCAAGTTCTCGGAAACCCTCATCACAAGCATATCAGCATTTCTTGGAATTCAAACAGCGCGCCCTTCGCCAATTATCCCTGGACCTCCAGAATCCGGCAATGCAGAGAGACGGCAGAACACTAGCTGCTATCGTTCTGCTTGCCTTTTTGGACATTATTGAATCTGGTAGCGGGGCTTGGAGCTACCACATCGAAGGCGCGAAAAAACTTCTCAAAGAACGGCCTGAGAATGGCCTGGGACAGGGAATTCTTGATGACCTGGACGCATTTGCGCTTGACGGGTGTCTAATGTAAGATTCTTCCAACTCATAGTGATCACAAATAGTTTACTGACCGCCCAGAATGGAAATCATGGGATCAACGCTAGCTCGTCCAGGCGCACTCTCAAAGCCCTTCTACTCCTCATCCATGGGACCCTCCATCCTAAAACGCCTAGAAGAAAACTCCTGGGTAGGATGTCCCGCCTACCTCCTAGAAGTGATCTTCTTCGTACACGCCCTCTGGTATCCAGACTCCGAAGTAGCCGCCGCAACACCGCACCCAACAGCCCTCCCAACCTCAATCCAGCCAGGACAACCCCTCACCCTAGAAACCTTCGCTAGCCTCCTCCAGGGAATCCGCAACTTCGACCCCATAGCCTGGAGTCAAGACATGCAAAATGTATTTTTCATCCCAGACCTCACCTATCGTCTTGCCCTGGCAACCTCCTACCAAGACGCAGTCTATCTATACACAAGCCGGGTGCTATCCCGCTCGCGCGAAGGATTCTCGCCCCCATGGACAGACGTCGGCATGCCTGCCGACCACCGGCTTATAACTACAAACCTTATTACGCAGATCTGCCTCATCCCCGCCTCGGATCCGCATTTTAAGTGTCTCATTTGGCCGACTTTCATCGCCGGCGCGGAGTGCCGCCCTTCGCAGCGGGCTCTTATCCTTGAAAAACTGGGCTCGCTCTACGAGGCTCTTACCAGTGTCAATGTTCGTAATGCTGCGTGGGTGCTGCGTCTTATGTGGCAGAAGCAGGATCTTAAGCGTCGTGAGCGTGCGGGTGAACACACCCTTCCCGATGAGAATGCTAGGGCTGATGGTGGCTATGATAATGATGAAGATCTCATGTTTGACTGGATTGATGAACTGGATCACTCGCGCCTTGACTGGCTTTTTATCTAATTGGTGCTCGGCGAGGAAATTAGGCAGAACTGTCGCTTTTTACGATTAATGCTTGTTTGTAAATATACATATGTACCTAGCCACTCTTACATTATTCATTTTTGTGAATGTATGTCGTGTACGTCGTATTGAATCTATTTACATAGATCGTTAATTGTACGATTGAGAGTCATAGGGAGGAAATTTGGGTATATCATTTCTCTGCCCAACGCGGGGGAAAACTATCTGCCACGGCGACAATCAAAGAAAGTTCGAAGGTGTATCCAAAAGACACCAAGGGTTAAATGAAAATCACAATGAAATGAAGTCAATTCAAGACGCTATAAGGGAAAACAGGAAGATCGGTATGGAGACAGACACGAGGAGGACAGGGGAAGAGAATGGCTTTTAGTCCGGGTTCACCCCCTAGAAGATCAATACATAAGGGGGAATGAAAATGCAGGTATACATACTGTCTTGACTTCGCTATTCAGTAGTCAACCCTGTCGGCATCAAGCAGAACTTGAAAATTTACCAGGAACAGAAAGAGGAAAAAAAGACAAGCCAAGCAGAAAAAGTCTCGATGTTGTGGACAGTCGCTTCAGGTAATCAGGGATATATAACAGCGGACGACATAGAAAAGGACAAGAGGTGGAGGACAGAGATTCTGGAGAAAATGAGGCAAAGAAAGAACAAAATATGCGCATGCTCCCTTCCAAGTCTAGATGCAAGAAACATGGGACCCCAACGTTGAACACAAGGAAACAAAATACGCTCGTCACTGGAATATGCAAAAGGTAGGAAAACCGATATGCTGGGATGACATCCCATCTTTGTGCAAATGCCGGTATACGGAAGAGAAAAGGAAGAAGGAGAGCTGGGGATAGCTTGGAATAGCTGGATGTGGTGTTCCACATCAACATGGAATGGCGGGGGAGGCGAGGTGAAGCGAGTAGGACGGGAAATGAGTCGGCCGAGTACCGACGGGATTGAATGCGAGGCAAGACATGCAAGGGGCAGCAAAAAGCGAGTCAGATGTTCCGCGCTTCTAGAACACCGCAGCAAGACCGTTCTTGGAATGGCGCTTGCTGAATCGTTTCCTTCCTTTTGTTGACTCGGAATCGGTGGCCTGTTGTTTCACTAGGTGGTTCCGGCCCGATGATGGTGGACCTCTATCGTCTTTCTGCATGTCAGAGGTGCGGTCTAGTGTGTTGGCAGGGCTAGGGAAGCCAGAAGAGAGGTCACGGAAGGCGTCATCAGAGAAGCCTGCACTCTGGTTTTGTGCAGCCATCTCCCGAGACCTATCCAATGCATCCAGCCATTCTTGCACCTGGACTGCTGTAGATCCAATGTTGCTAGATGAAGGCTTACATTCCTCGAAAACGTAATGCTTATCTCTCTGTGGGCTAGGTTAGATACTGACTGAAGAGTCGAAGGTGGGATTACATACTGTGTCCACAATCCAGGAAGAAATCCCTTTGGAATCCGTTGTGGTTCGATAACTTGTCCCTGGGGCGAGAAGGGAAATCTCAAGCTTGATCTTCTTGTCGTCACCACCCGACGCAGCCAAAATGATCCGTCCAGACGACGTGACCATCACCAGCCGTTGGCGTTTCTTCGTGGCGCTTCCTGAGAAGAAGCGAGAGAACTTCCTGGGAGCTTCAAACTCGCCACTGCTGTTTTTGGATGTCGGGCTATGTGAGGCAGCCGATGAGAGAACTACCAAATTACCTAATTTCAGGATCCTTTCGTTGGACTTGCTGAGCACTGGCGACCATTCGATATCCAGCTGACTCGGAGGAGGAAGCTCGGTCACCACACGTGGCAGATGGCGGGAGCTAGCACTTGGTCCATTGGAAGGAGCTGTTGAGACGACCGGAGCCAGGTTCTCGCCAGTTTTGCTTTCGTTGAGCTTGATGGGGTCGCGTGCTGGGGGTACGTAGGCCTTTAAGCGAGGTGCTTTTTGCTTCCATAGATCCGGTCCCCATGCAACACCATCGAAGAATTCATGGTTCTTGATGTGTTCAATCTGGAGACGTCGTGCGGGATCTAGAACGAGAAGGCGTTCGACAAGATCACGGGCAACAGCAGGGAATCCAATGGGGAACTCGTAATCCAGTGCCACGATTTTTTGGAAGGTCTGGTACTCATTTCCTGCTTTGAAAGGCGGACGGCCAGCCAAAAGCTGGTATATAATGCAGCCAAACGCCCAGAGGTCACTGGCTTTGCAAGCGTTTTTGTCCGTCAATAATTCAGGGCTAACATATTCCGCAGTTCCAACAAAGGAGCTCGCCCGCTCCTCTTGGGGAATGTCGTTTGTATCAAGAGGAGGAATGCCGTTTGAGTTGGGATCGACTCTTGGAGTCTTCAAAATCTTGGCAGTGCCGAAATCAGTGATCTTGACGTGCATTGCGCTGTCAAGCAGCACATTTTCTGGTTTGAGATCTCGATGAATGACCCCGCGCCTGTGCATGTAATCTATCGTGTCGAGAATCTGGGCGCCGTAGAATCTCGTACACTCTTCGTCAAATGTGGTCATCCGCTTGAGAACACCGAGCAGTTCTCCTCCCTTGCACAAGTCCAACACAAAGTAAAGCGACTGTTCATCTTGGAAAGTATAATAGAGCCGCACAATGCCCGGGTGATCAGTCAAGCGGTTTAGTGTATCCTTCTCAATGTTCACATATTTAACCTTTCGCTCCTTGATGATGTGTCGTTTGTCAAGGATCTTGATCGCGTACTCTTTCAAAGTCTGTCGGTCCGTTGCGAAGACAACCGTGCTGTAAGAGCCTTCTCCGAGGGTATTCCCGAACGAGAAATCTCGCACACCCTTCTTGATGAAGCGGGAGACGGTTTGACCGTTAGCATCTATCTCCTGTCTCACCGAGACCGCAGCACCACGTTCCTTCCATTCTTCACTGCTTGCCATCGGGCCGTTCTCTGCCATGTAGGATGATCGAGGCGCGCCACCACCACCACCACTTCTTGCGTGTGCTCGAGACGGCTGCCGCATAACCACCGGGACGTTCCCGGCGATTTGAGCAGTTCGGTAGGACCGGTCGCTGTGGGAATTATCGCGCGCTGGAACGCCGGCTTGTAATGCGGCGGAACCTCCTCGTGTATCTAATCGCGCTTGGGAGCCAGATGCGGACGAAGCACCGGAATCGGTTCGAATACGATATGTGTTGTCACGGGGAAGAATCGAAGGTGCCGAACCATTCGCGTATACGGAGGAAAGGGGTCGGTTGGGGTTTGGAGGACTTGAGAGCGGTGGGGCCGCGTATGCCTGGTGCGGCCCTGATGGCACCGACTGTGTCTCTGGGGAGGCCTGAATGTATGAGGTTCGACGTTCTTCGGTCGTAGGAACTTCGATAGGTGCCGGAGGAAAGGCAGACGTTGTTTCGTAGGCGGAACTGTGTGTTGATACCGAACCGCCCGGAAGTTCGAACGGGTGGGAGGCCATTGACCCAGCGGTCGCATCCTCCGTTGGAAGGGGTGAATCATCTGGATTGGCTATCCGTAGTCCTCCCAGAGACTGGGATAAACTGAGATCCCCGTTCATGACGAGTGGTGGTTTTATTTTTTTTTATTGACAGCGACCGGCGATATCGTGTTGACCGCGGAACGTCGAAATGCAACAAAAAGGTAGCGAAAGACGGGACTATGACGGTGATCGGAAACACAGCGGATGCATGGTCCGATGAAGAATGAAAAAGAGTGAGAAACAGTTGACGTTGGAAAGAGTGAGAGAGGGGGGAAGAGAAAGGATCAACAGGAGGCTGTCTTAGTAGAAATTGGGTCTAGTGTTGAGGGGCTGAGCCGAACAGCTTTATTATGAGAGAGAAGGAGATTAGGGAATAGAGAGAACTAACAAGAAATATAACATATCATAGAATATATTGTTTTTAATTCGAATGCATCGCCACTAAGGAATGCCTGTCAAATTCTGATTTGTCCAGTTTCGAGTCACTTATAAGTTATTTACTTCGAATACTAATTCTAACTATATCAAGCATCACATAACTAACTATCACATTCAGTCTATATCGCAAGTTTGTGTACTTCTAATTTTATATCCATATATAGACAGTTACGATGTTCGCACTTTCCAAGACATTGCTGTTTCTATATATACTGCACATCGGTTCAAAACTCCACGGGTTCACGCTCCTGTCGTACTACTCTTGATATAGTATCATCTCTGACTCTACCCTGAAACATGATAAGACGGCCCCCAACACTCATTGCCCTGGAGGAAGACGATATCGAATCTCATCTCCAGCGGATCTATCTTCGTCATACCCTAACACTTAATTTTGAGCAGTTACAATTAGACGACTTTGAAGACCTCGATCAACTGATGGACGAACCCCCGAGCTCCAGCGTTCCTTCAGACTTCGATGGAGATTCTGATATCAACAATTCGGACCAAGAAGGATCCCCTTGTCATGAACACAATTCCCCCAATTCACCCAGAGACGGAATCTCTATGTCCACAGACGTAATCTCACAATTCGCCATGAAACCATGCCTCAAGTCCCCAATTTCAAATCTACACCGGTCCTTACAAAACCCAATCTCCTCGGCGAAATCGCGTTCAGCAGATGGATCAACAGACCCACCGCGACTGAAGGTCACTTTCGCCTTGTCACCGCAAGATCTCGAGCTCCATAGGGGCATTGCTTCAGTTCCAGAAGAGGAGACAGGTACTCCGCATCGCAAGATAAGACTTCAACTCTATCTAAATAAACTAACACTTTATTCAGTAGAGCGTTTCGGAGAAAATTACCCGACAAGCCACAAAGACATAGATACGCCCGTGTCCATTGACTCCCCAGCTTCGCCGCAGGTCTCATTCTTGTCGTGTGGTGTTTCTTCGAGTCCAGTCACTGCAGGTGTCCCACTCCGGGACCTAACTTTAGCGTCGACGATGTCTTACGAAGCTGTCTTGGCGGAGCAGACAGTCCCGCCAGCTAGTCCAGCAAGGATAAATGAGGGGCGCGGCTTTATCGTCATATAGGATCTCTATCGAGACATCGTGGGGAAGATGTCGGAAATTGGTGGCTTTTGTCCTCGCGGTCTGGCTGCTCGAGCGTCACCCTGATATGTTGAGGAGAATGCCCGGAAAATCTCCACGTATTGCTATCATGGCCTGTTCTTGACCTATACCCTTCTAGTACTGTATAGATATGAAGTTCTTATGCCAGGAACACCGAACCAGATGGTTATTGGAAGCAGGTTCGAGGCCTGACTGGTATGAATCAAAAACCTGAAAATTCCACAAATAACCTCAAACAAACACTGACTCGGCTTACGATGTCTCACCTTAAATGTCAAAGAATGCAATCTAGAATCGTCCAACATACTCATCCGAAACAGCGATCTCGGTAACCTAGTCTATCAATAGTTCAGTGGAGAGGAACCACAAACCTGGCTGCCTCCAGATCTGACGCGTCCCCAATAATGGCCACCCAACACCTGCACCTGCACTGCCCATTAACATTAACCGTTTAATCCCCGATCTGACTTGCTTACTCTGCTGACTCCAATGAGAATCCTATTCTTCCTTAGCGGCTCAGATATACGTGTATCACAGCACTTTGTGTATTTTGTACCTATCGATTACTTGATAGTTTCTACTGGTTCACGACTCACGCCTTTTCGGATCCACTACGCCACCGCTTGCAATAACCATTGTGCAAGAAGCCTCGCTTGTTTATTCCGGAACAGTTCCGTGTGTGGTTGGTTGATTCGGTTTTTGCCGAGGGTTTGATCGTCGGCTTGGATCCAGGGTTCTAGATAGGGGTAAGGGCTTCTGAAAGGACCATTGATGCGGTGTGTGGGTTTGCCTGGTTGATCTGCATTGTGGCGAGTGTGAAGGGGTGCGATGGGTCGTGGAGTGTCGAGGTGATATGCCACAAAGTGAATCCTCATTGGGAGACTGCTATATGTAGGTTGACGCCCTTGTTGATCCCTGAGCTGAACTTTGGCCTTCGCTTTTGCGAGCCTTTCAGAAGCCTCCGCTAGAGATGTGGGTCTCACATGAATAGCAGGTCACGTGAGCTAAAAATGTGCATGTTGCGGTTTGAGATACTGCTCAGGTCGATATTAAAATACTTAATTGTACGGAGTAGTTCTACAGTAATAGGCACAATGATCATTCATAAGCTGAGTCAATTGGAAAAAAGCATTCGCGCCGGTCAAGTCAGTCTAATAAAGTGTGTATCAAAAGAATCTCGGCTCTAGCCCAATGAAGAGAACAGGGAATAGGTCGAGATGAGAATAGGAGGTTTAAATGGAGTCAAGCAACAAAATGAAACGCCAACAAAGATCGATCATCTTACAGATGCCGCTTCAAATGCTCCTTCGTGTATGTTTCTTTCCATGATGGTATGAGCTCGTTTCAGTTGTATCAAAAAAAAAGTAAAAATCCCTTCACCACGAGTGATTGGATAAATTAGAAAAAACAAAGGGGAATTATTTACTGCTTCTTGGCGAAAATCTGGGCACCATCGACCAAGCGGCGCTCGGTGTTCTGGCGACCGTTGACAAAGTCGGGGTAGTTGAGGGTCAGCTCAACGGCACCGTTGACAATGTTGTCAACAGCCTCAACACCCAACATGAAGGAGTGGTCCTGGTTGCCGACCTCGTAGCGCCAAGATCCGAAACGGCCACGGGACCAGATACCCTTCTCCTGGAGCTTGGGCAGAATCTGGGTGAGGGCACCCTCACGCTCCAAGCTGGGGGTGGGGTAACCGTGGTCGAAGCAGCGGTGGTAGGTGGAGACGATCTCATCACCGGGCTTGAGCATCTCGGTGTTGACGAGACCCTGGATAGACTCGGCGAGGAGAGTCTCGTGGTTAACGGGCTTCATGGAAGACTCGGAAACCTCCAGCATGACGGACCAGTAGGGACCGTCCTGAGCCTCAGTGTTCTTGGGCTTGGAGCCATCGGCGAGCTGGAGAGTGGGCAGCTTCTTGGAGGCCTCGGGCTGGTTGTGAGGGGAGTAGTTGGAGAAGATGGTGGCACGGTAGAAGGGGCAGTCATCCTCGGGGAAGTACAGCCAGCACTTGTCACCGATGCGGTCGGGGCGGGCACCACGGATACCAACACCGATAACGTGGGTGGAGGAGTAGAAGAGCTGCTTGGTGAGGGGCATGAGCTCAGTGTCGTTCATGGCCTCGGCGAGGTAGTCGACAGCCATGGTGGAAACAAGCTTCTTGTAACCAATGGTGGTGCCATCAGCCAGGGTGACGGTCTTGTTGTTGGCGTTGACCTTCTCGACCTTGTTCTTGGGACCGTAGCGGGTGTTCTCCTTGGGGAGGGTGTTGGCAACGGCAATCCAGATACCACCGGTACCGTCGCGGGCGGGGAAACGGAAAGTAGCGTTGGGGCCCCAGTTACCGGCAGTCTTGTTGAGGATGACGTTGGTAGTCACGGCCTTGACATTGGGGGCAGCGACACGCTCACCGAGCCAAGCGCATTGCATCTAAACAAGTTTGATCAGGATTTGGTCCAATTTATCAATGCGAAGGGTCTCATATTTACCTTGGTGGTGGGAACAGCCCAGACCTTGAAGTTGTAGGGTCTCATGAAGAGGTCGGCGATACCGGTACCCATCATGCGGACAATCCACTCATCGAAGTTCTTGGGCTTGGTGTTGGAAACACGGGCCTCGAGGGCGGCATCGATCATGCCGTCAATGCACTTCACCTGCTCATCCTTGGGCAACATGGAGATGTTGTTCTGGAAGGGGTAAGGAACCCATTGCTCCTGGCAGCGAACGTAGGAGATACGCTCGTGGGTGAACCAATCCTCATCCTTGGGGAGAGCCTCGTTGATGCAGTCGTCGAAGTACTTGTAGTGGGAAAAGATAACGTGACCACCGACATCGTAGAGCTGTGAATCGGGTTAGTTATGCGGGACGTTTAACATCAGGACGAATTCGCAACGTACGAAACCCTCGGGGGTAACATCAGTGGAAGCGAGACCACCAGGAGTCTCGTTTGAGTCAATAATCATCCATGAGGCGCTGTTCTGTTGAAGTAATTAGCATTTTTGGAATCTCGGATACCCCTCCCCCTTTTTTTTTCTGCGGTGCCCCTCGCCCACACCGCAAGATTGAGGATAAGACTTACGATTTGGTTCAAACGCTTAGCGGCACCCAAGCCAGTAGGGCCAGCACCAATGACGAGAACGTCAACAGAACTAAGCAATTGGTCAGAAGATGCGAATTTTGACAATGAGGACGAGATTCTTACATGTCGGGGTGGGTCATTCTGCCTTGTAGGAGGTCCTGAAAGCTGGGGACTCGTTTAAAGGTCTTGCGGGCGACGTTCAGCATAGAAGCACAACTGCAGGAATCTGCAGAAAAGTGAGAGGGGGAATGGAGGGATAATAAATGGAGGAAGAACCAAAGAAGAAGGGGAAGTGGGAGGACAACGTGACAAGCCAAGCTAAGGTATCTAGACGCACCTGGTTCTATGGATAAACGGACCCGGCGGTGGAGACGACGTGCCTGTTTCAGCTTTACTGATTCGTATTGAGATTTAGATATTTTAATGGCGTTTAATCGCCTTTTATGACCTTTAATTTTACCTTAAAAACTAGTATTTTATATTATTATTACTTAGATTTCAATCTAGATCATTAAATTGTAAATTGTATTCAATTGACAGTCAGGGGGAGGCTGTGTAAACAACACGTAAGGCAATTTTCATCACATTGAATCAACAAGGTCCCTAGACAAAACAGAACATATCACATCTGTGCAAAGCCGTTATTGGGTTGGAGCTTATCATGATGCCTCTAAAAGCAGGGACTTGACAGTGCATAGAACTTGTTGCATGCGGGTAAAAGTTGATATTGAAATTCCCTTGGCGTCAACATTCAGGGTCCTGGAATGTCGTTATCATAAACCCCCGCCTCATATCGGAACTTAATGAACAAAAAAACGGAAAACGGCTGATTGTGAAAAAAAGGGGGCGATATGAATATGGATAGGGGCAATTGAATCTCGATTTAATATGGTCGGTCTAAAAACGCCACCGATGTAGGTACTGACACGTTGTTGATGGTTAAATTACTGGCGGCAATAACCTTGGGGTAGTTTGTATGGACCTCCATCATCAAACAACTTTTGAAGTGAGGCTATCTTACTGGTTGTACTACCTTTAACCATGTTGAAATCTGACTACATGATTATATAGTTAGAATATTTCTTACAGTTGCACTTACCTTGTACATATCATATGCATGGAATAGCCGATATGGCAAATGGGAAAACCCTGAACCCTCCCGGAGCAACATCCGCAGACCGCAGAGCTGATCTCCCATCTGGCGGTCTCCAAGAAAGAACGGGATTTGCGAAACTTCAGGGCACAGGCGTCTGGTTCCACTGATGGTCACTCCTAAGAAGGTAACGCAGCGAGGATCCCTCGCAGGAACAAGCGATCCTTCGCTAGGTGTACCATTGATCGATTCTCTTTACAAATATAGTACAATGATATACAGTATCGTAAACAAACATTCTCGAATCATTAGAAAACAAGTTGCCCTGAAACGCCCTCCTAAAAAGCTTAGGACTCCCCCACTGGTCCATGCAGAGATGGCAATGGCGTCAGAGGCAGGCTTTAGAAGGCGATCGCCGCATTCTCCACCCGTAAGGGACCGGATGGACCAGAGGGTCGTTGCACACGGGTCCTTGTGGGCCTTGGCTAACAGCTGCTTGCGTAATGCTCTGTTAATTTGGATCTGCGCTGTTTACGTCGGTCTTCTATCTCAAACCGAGTCTGATACACATTCTTGGACGTTTCCGGCATCAATTGACAGATAACAAGGTGTCTTTTTTCTCAATCATGGATCATATAATGATTGTACAGTGTTGTGGGAAATCCAGATCCAAATTAAGAATAAGAAAGTGCCAGGGCCTTAGTGGATCCAAAGTTCATATAACGGTAGTGGATGTGTTCCAAGTAAAAAAAACCAAAAAAACCAAGAGAAACACAAAAAGGGGAGACTCGCCACGAGTTACCCATGGCACATGCTGTAAATTTGGTATTCCGAATAACCAATCAAAACCACTAAGAATATCAACCAATCATACAAGCGAAAATTGAGTGAATCAGATGAAAATAAGAGGGGCTGGTCTGAAAAGAGTACAGAGTGGCCTTAGCATGTAACCGTAATTTCCGTATCAAATCTCCAGGCTGTTTGCGTTAGAAAGTGGACCTTTCTTGACTGATTGTTCCTGAACTGAGAAGTCTGGATGTTGATTCTATTTTCTGATTTACTGTTTTCTTTACAAAACTAAACAACATTTGATTTCCCTAATTTCCTGCCAAAAAACTCAACTTGCCTTTGGTTGCTTTCCTTGGTAAAAAAAACTATCAGTCCCGAAGTACGCACTCCATTCCATCCCTTCAACCTTCCATCATCATTTCTTCACATTCGTTTTCTTTATCGCTTTTGCTTTTTGGTCACTCGTTAATCGGAGCATTTTAGTGTTCCATTTTTAATTTCTTTGACACCCACATTTCCCCGTGGCTTCCTCCGCCTTTAATCAAGGAAGCCTCTTTCGGCCACGACCTTTCGAATTCAAACGCTTTCTTTCCGATCAATCGCAAACCTTTAAACCCTTCACAATGAGCGAAGGCGAGAAGGTCCGCGCCTCTGGCGAGACTCCCCGGGAGCAGTCGTTGCCCACTGTCAACCCCGCCGCTGAGAAGGAGCAGCCTAGCTCCTCCCTCCACCCCGCGGTCTACGTGACGTGAGCATCCAGAACCTTGAGACAATGCAGATGCGACAGAATCGCTGATATCTTACCAGTACCTGGATCACTTTGAGTTCCACCGTTATCCTGTTCAACAAATACTTGCTCCACACTCTCAACTTCAGTAAGTCCGATCGAAATGCGACATGCCAATATGCCCTTTAACACACGATGATTAGGTTACCCCATCATCCTTACAACATGGCACTTGACCTTCGCTACCATCATGACCCAAATCCTCGCCCGCACTACAACCGTTCTGGATGGCCGTAAGAAGGTCAAGATGACCGGCCGTGTCTACCTCCGTGCCATTGTTCCAATCGGTGTGATGTTCAGTCTGAGCTTGATCTGCGGTAACATGACCTACCTCTACCTGAGCGTTGCGTTCATCCAGATGCTCAAGGCAACCACCCCCGTGGCTGTCCTGCTCGCAACCTGGGGTATGGGTCTGGCACCGGCCAACATGAAGGTCCTGGCCAACGTCTCCGTCATCGTAATTGGTGTCGTCATTGCCTCCATCGGTGAGCTCCAGTTCAACATGATCGGTTTCCTGTTCCAGCTTGGCGGTATCGTCTTCGAGGCTACCCGTTTGGTCATGGTGCAGGGTCTGCTAAGCTCCGCCGACTTCAAGATGGATCCCATGGTTTCTCTGTACTATTTTGCTCCTATTTGTGCCGTCATGAATGGTGCCGTTGCCCTCTTCCTTGAATTCCCCCGCGTCACTATGAATGAGGTCTACGCTGTTGGTGTTTCGGTTTTGATTCTCAATGCCCTTGTTGCTTTCCTGCTCAATGTCTCCGTTGTTTTCCTGGTAAGTCACTTTAAAAAGCATGGCCTCGAACACTGGAACAAGATGGCTAACCTACTATGCAGATCGGCAAGACCTCTTCTCTGGTTATGACCCTGTGTGGTGTCCTCAAGGATATCCTACTGGTCGCTGCCTCCATGCTCATCTGGCAGACCCCCGTCACTGCCCTTCAGTTCTTCGGTTATTCCGTTGCTCTGATGGGTCTCGTCTGGTACAAGCTGGGCGGTGACAAGATGCGCGAGTACACTTCCGGGGCTGGCCGTGCCTGGGCCGAGTATGGTAATACTCGCCCTGCCCAGCGCCGTTTCGTTGTGTTCGGTGCTGCCGCTCTCATCTTCTTCCTCTTCGTTGGATCCCTGGCTCCTAGTTACGCCAACGATGGTGTTGACCGTGTTAAGGGCTACCTGGGTGGAGCCACTGCTGGTAATGCTTGATTGCACTTGCCAGAGTTTATCTGCAGTTCCTACAAATGGAAATGCCAAAAACACCAAGATTGATCTATTGTTATGAGCATAGACCCGAATCTAGTGAATCAATTCGGGTGTACATGAGCATGTAGCAGAACTTTCCTTTCCGTCTCTTGATAACCCGCAGAGACTACCCACTCTTGCTTTTTCATTGTTTTCGTGGGCCGCTTTGGTGTAATGGAAAACGAAGGCTTTTCTCTGGCTGTTTCACCATCAATCTTTTTTTTCCTAGCCGCATTTCTGTGATGTATACAGTGACATGAAAGTGGTGTTACTGGTGGTGTATTATTTTTCGACGAACATTGATTTAATGTTGGACTTGCACGAGCTTTGGTGTCGGTTTGCTTTGGAACTGTTTTATGTTTTTTTTTCCCTTTCATGTCTCTAGTATCCCAATAGACTACAATGGTTATAGCCTCGAGTGACCTTAGTTTATTTTGTTCACGTGGTGATTACATAATCTCTCACGGACCACACGTCCGCCTTAGGCGTAGACAGAAAAGCCAATGGGCTGCGGCGATCCAGCTTGCGCCAAAAGCTCCACCATTCGGAGTGCTTTGCAGTAGGCCAATCATATCTGTCAATTGTGTATGTATGAAAGATGTCACGGTGGATCGGAAACCCACTTATGGCTGGTGTATTACCGTTTTTATCTGTAAGTGCCCATGTATGATTTGCATCGATGCGCGAAACTTACTCTCCACTCTTCTACCCCAGGACCGATCTCACTTCTCTCTTACTTCTTCTCTTCCACTTTATCCTCTTTCTCTTTTTTACCTATTTTACCTTTTTCTCCTCCAATCCTTTGTCTCCTCTTTTTATCCCACCTACCTTCCCATCGCTTTCTTACTTCTTTGCCGAGACTTCTTTCTTCTACTCTCTTACTCTCTCACTTCCGTCCTATCCACAGGTGGTTGAAGTTTCTTGTGTCTTGCTCACCTAACTTAAACAGAACAGTTACCCTGTCTTGGACCCAAGACAAACCAAAATGTGTCCAATGATCCTCAATCGCCTCTCAGACGGCCCGGCAACGGTCCTCTCTCCTCCCCAGGAACACGCCTTCGCTCAGTTCCCGTCACAATCCTCTTTTCTCGATTCAGGAAGCTTCAACGGCTACCCTGCAAACTCCAGCACAGTCTTCAACAACGGTGCCTCTTCTCAAGCTGCTCCCTCGAGCTTCGACTTCGCGCCGGCTCCCGCAGCCTCAAAGCCCTCGCGCAAGAGATCGCGTGATGAGGCCACTTTCGACGAAGTGAATGCCCCCAGCGCATCTGCACCGCCTAAAACGGCACCTAAACCCAAGGTAGAGCCCATCTATGGAGAAGGAATGGTCCTATTGAACCCACAGACTGGCCTTGCGATCTCTGCCGAGAGCCAAACCGGCACTTGGTATGAACAAGAGTCTGAGACACAGCAGGCGGCTGCCGCTCCCATCTCCTCGCGTTCCCACGCGCTGCAATCCGATGCTGCCGATATCAGTCGCAAGTCTCAGCGCCTTGATAAGTCTGCCCCGGGGCTGGACGATATTGCGCTGTCTTCAATTCGCCAACGTCTGAACGACCCCAGTACCGACGACCAGCACCGCACTCTCAATGCCGGTCCCTCCCCTCCCGCTGAGCCTCTAGTCGATGATGCCACCCGCCTCCTTGGAATTGGCTGGCAGCGCGTCAGCACCGACGACGACATGGCCCCCGCCGTCCGCGGATGGACCAAGTACATCGACAACCAGTACTCGGCCCATTTGCACAGCTCACAGATGCTGATCAAAAGCCGCGCTTTGAATGCCTACCTTGTGGCCGCCATCCCAACCTCGGGAACCTCGCCTGCTTTCTACCTTTTCACCGAAGACCTCACACAAGGCCAGCTTGTTGCCTCCTCCTGGGAAACCTGCCTCCAAAATCTCCGCAGCTCCCCCATCCTCTTCGAGGGCGCTGCCCCCCTCGCCGCTACCGACCGACCTGATACGCAACCAATGTCCTTCAACAACATGGACACTGGCGTACCTCTTCTCCAACAAGCCTTGGCCAACCACCCGCCGGCACCACTGAGCGGAGGCGTGGAAATGGGAATGGAGATCGATTCATGATCAACATCAAACCGCTTCCACTTCTTCAATCCCCGTCCGATATCGATCGAGCCGACCAGTCCTCACTCGACGTCCAGCCATCCGCCAAATCGACCTCGGACCCTTTCTTTCGGCTATGTCTTTATTTATTTTCTTTCATCTTTTCATATTTAGTTCTGAGACCCACGTGCGCCTGACTGACCCCGTCCGGCCCAACTAAGTTCTCTTTTTTCCGCCCTCTGGAGGGTTTATGGGTTTGGGAAATATTCTCCCCAACTTTGGGGAAAAGGCCGGCGTCGTAATCTGGGAGTTTTTGACGTATTTTCATCACGCATGTTTCCCCCCAACGAACGTTATTTATTACGAAATTTTACCAAATCAAAAGGATTGAACTTGTGTCTTGGAGTCTACATTTTTATAGGCTGCTTTGTCTGTAGTGGTCAGGGATTGTTGTCGTTTATATATAAATCAAAACAAAGCCGCCTTTAGACTAGTATAGCCAACATAACCAACAAAGAGTATAGAACATACCAACCTCCAGGGCTTCTGCTACCTATAGAGCCTCATTGTTTTTCTTGTCCTCCTCGCACTTCATCATGACTAACACTCCCATCCGCACTCTCATCCTTACTCCTCATAGTAGCAGCCTCCACACCCACGCCGGCAAGCGCAGAAGGATGCCTCGCCCGATCAGTAAACAGAAAATCGATTTCCTCGAGCGTCAGATTCGCCGTCTCCGGATAGAAGAAATAAATAATCTAGTCAAGATTAGTCCAAAGAAATATAGCAAGCGGCATGTTCCTCGTAAAGATCTACTCACCGGCACAAAAACCAAGTTCAAACACATAAATATCAAATACCCCTTCCAAGCAAGGTCCTCAATTAGCGTCGGCGTAATCATGACCACGAAGAAATTCCAGAGCCAATTCGCCGATATACCAATCGCTTGTCTATGGAGAAGATATTATTAGTATAAGTGCAAAATTCCGACCAAAAGAAACAACACAGCACATATGCTAGCGTGTCCGGTGGGCTTACCCTTTCGCGCGTACATGCAGAGGCAAAATCTCTGGTCCGTAGACCCATGGAATGCAGTTCACTGAAGCGCCGAAAATGAGCATAAAGAGGAAGAAGAAGGCGACTGAGGCTGTGGCGGTTGGTTTTTCGACGGATGTTCCTGCTCTAGTTAGTATATTATATAAACCTCACGGGGGCATGGGTGCGCATTAAGTAATGCAATGTGTACCTTTGAACGAGAGCAGGATTGATATCATCATCATGGATATGAATAGTCCGAAGGATCCCCACATCATGGGCTTTCGGCGGCCGAATCGGTCGGAGAAGAAGGTTGGGTAGAATGAGCCTGGCGGGGGTGTTAGCTGGATTGGAACTTATATATTCGTGAGCGGGTTGATATATACTCACCGATTACAAACATGATTTGGATTACGCCTCCGAGGAGTAGACTCAGTTTCCGCGTTAGACCTACGTTGTATTGCAGGACTGGTTTTCTCTTGTTAGTCATGGAGTATTGGCCTTTGTATGAGACAGAACTGACTTACCTGAGGTCACATAGTACTTTTATACGAGAAGTGATCATGTTAGGATGCTGGTCAGAAGCTCAACTCAGACTGGAAACTCACAACAACCAGGTTGATACCACCCATCTGGTTCATGAACTGTATACCATAGGCTAGCAACACTCGCCTACCAGTCTGCACTTCATCCTTCTTGAGGATCTGAGACCACTTATATTCGCCATGCATGGTTTCCAGCTGAATAGCCTGTATAATACCCTCAGACTCTGAGACGACCTTATTGGCACCAGGCCCCATATCATAGATATCACAGAGAACCTGCAGTGCCTCTTCGGGTCTATTGTGCCGATAAAGCCACCGAGGACTCTCCGGTAGACTAAGTATACCAAGCGCTCACATCAGCATATTGATCTCGTTCCTCGATCCAGGGCTCAACTCACCCAAAGACCAATATAATAACCATGATAGCAAAGATCATCTGACAAGCCACAGGCAGTCGCCAGTTAATAGCACCATCCACATAGCTCATCCCATAGTCAAACCAATACGCAATGACGATACCAACGCCGACAAAGAGCGGCTCGCTGCACACGTATTTCCCGCGCTTTTTGGCCTCGCATAACTCGGACTGGTATACAGGTACGACGGTGGTTTCAATCCCTGTGCCGATACCAGTGATGAACCGGGCAACGAGAAGCTGCGCCCTCGAAAATGCGGTGGTTTGTAGTGTGGCTCCGACCTATTTCGCAATCAACATTTATACTTATGTACACGGCTACCACATCTGACTACATATATATGCGACCAGAGGCTCCAGGGGAATGATAATACATACAATAATCCATACCATAGCAAACCACATTGATTTCCGTGGCCCCATCTTATCACTAAATGCAAATGAGACAATTGTTCCGGTGAAACAGCCTAGATTGTAGATCGACACGATGATCCCGAGGATACCTGGGCTAGGATAGCGGACGATTTCGAGGAAGTCGTCGTTGCCAACGATGCCGGAAAAGACGCCCTGATCATAGCCTAAGATGATTACTTCCTGTCAGGAGTTGGGCTTGGTAAAAGCGGTGTTGAATGTGTTTTCGCACCAAAGAAAATAAATGCTAGCTGGCAAGTAAACATAATCGCCATTCGAAGCGACCGGCCTCGGCCGTAGACGTCGAGTTTTACCATCTTGCTGTGTTATAACGAATATTCAATGGCTATCAAGCTTGAAGCATGGCCTATAGACAGTAAAAGGAGATGTATTGTGTATTGCGTATTGGGTAAGGATGAATAGATGTTAGTAGATCCCGCGCGTCTGAGACGGCCATTCCTCTTCCTTTTGTACTACAGCGGAGCTGGGACACGACCCCTACAGCATCAAGAAAAGGAACAACTTAGAATAAATGCAGGTCAATGGCTAATCAATGTGATTCCGGATCCGGCATGGCAAAGCGCCAGCCGCCCTGATCTGTCGGTGTCAGTTCGAACGTCGGAGTTTCCCCGGGGAGGAAGGGGGCGGGGGAGAAATAAAGGAAGCAGAGTAGAGACTTGAGATCCCATCCAATACTTTACGAAGAATATGTCCAGGATTTCGGACGTTTGTACCCCTGTAGTTTGCTTTTAGTATAGATCGACGTTCGGCTGATTCAATAGACTGTGTATTTTGTGGAGATCTGGGGAATGGCGGGGAAATGGGTATCTCGGGCAGAAGGCCGTGGGAGCATTGGGATCTGTAATTTTCAGTGTCGCAAAATCGGGGGTAAAGTTGTCGCTTTAGGAAGTAGGCGCTTCTGATTGCTTGATGTGACTTTGTGCGTTGCACTCGACGGCGCATTGGTCGAGCGCTAGTTCGGAATGGTGATTAGCCTGAATACATACTAAAAGAATCTATGATCGCGATCGCCTATTATAGAATAGGAGAAAAGTAGTGATTTCGGTCCCTTGAAGTTTCGAAGTGATATTGGTAAAGCTTGACTATCTACGTGAAGCGGCAGAGTGAAATGAAGTGTTACCTTACCATGCCAGAAACGCCGCACTCATTGTTTCCACATCCGGAACCCACCTTCAACAAAGCTATCTTTCGCACGAGGCGAAAAGAAGTATGGAAAAGAAGTTCCGCAATACCTTGGAGAAAAAGGGACAAGACCATCTGTTCCGTATGTCTTAACCTAATTACTCAAGGTATCATAAGATGTCGATGGTCAAGGGGGGAGAACAGAGCCAAATGAATCGGCAATACCGAGAAATACCAATAATTAGCGGACTAGGTGAATGATGCTCTGAAGAACGCTAAGATTAAGGAAAAGGAAGCTTGATTCGCATCTTAACTACCGTCATTATTTAGAGATGCGGGGCTTAGTAGGGACAATTTGTTATTAGTTAGCGTTCAGAAACATTTCTGCTACATTTCTGCAAGCGCCTGACATGAAAGAAAACAAAAAGGATAGTTCGTTTCAAATATCAAACATAGACCAAGATTAGGCCAGTCAAGTCAAGCGGGACTGTCAGCCCAAGTCACCACCTGGGCATCTGCATTCCGCACCCCTCAATTCAAACAATTTCCAGCCCCGGTCTTGAAATCTGCAATCTACTCCACTATCGCCCTCAATATCTTATAGCCGCGCAACAGCCGCCAAATGACACCCTTCCCTCACCCAAATGCCAATCCAAATCTCCCTTCTCGTGTACAAAGGCGTGCCTGTAGACTTCACCAAATACCGACACACAGCCCTGCACGTTGTGGGAGCACATCCATTTTTCAAGTTCCAAAGAGATCCCCAAAACCCCATATCCGAGACTCCACTAGAGTGGATTCATGTATGCACGGCACGGCGCCTGACTCTGTTACGCGGACGATGATCCAGTTTGCATGTATGCAGACGCCTGTGCGTAACGGCAATGATGATCGAGACTGGAACTGTCAGAACTGGGTCGGGGAGGCTCTGTCTGTACTTACGTTTGCTTTTTTTGTTAAGGATGGCATGTTTTAGCGTATCGGCTTCGACTATTAATATGCTACATCGTGCGGAGTAATGGGGAACGCATTTTTGGTACTGGCCTTGGAGATTCTCTCGGGTTACTGGTAATCACTAATACATGTTCATGCGCTCAAATTTTATATACATATGCTTTACTGAAAAAGGTCTTCCAAGACTGACTGTACAAATATGCCATCACAGGTGAGTCAAAAGGTAAAACATCGAACCGGTCATCTTACTTCCAAACCTGAGATTGTTTTAGCACTCATCCAAGATACCGAGTCAACATGTCGCCCAAACCTGTCCGTCGATTGCTACAAGCCGATTGAAAAGCTGATTCCTCGTGCCCATAGCAGTAAGTCGGTATGTCTGCCCTGGTTTCTTGCCAGTGATAAGTAGACCATCCACAACTTCTTTACTACCAAGAGCCCAGCCAACCACAAGCTTCCCTTTCCAACCCATGCCACCCAGCTTCCTCATCTCCTGAATTTCAGTCACTGGCATGGTAAACAGTATGGATTCAGCCTTATGCTTCTCCACCTGCACGTCTCCATTTTGCGGTGTGTCAGTCGTGAAGTAGAGTAAAGGAGGCTCCTTGGTTGAGTCAATGATCGCAGTGCCGCGCTTGCCGTTGTATCGGGCGCCAAATGCCACAGGACCAATTGGTGTGATCATCTTTCCCTTTTGGCGTAGAACACCGACACGATTCTTGGCCTGGTGGGAGCCAATGGTTGCTCGCAGACGATCGAGTCCCCTTTTGCTTTCGACGCCACTTGCTGTGGTTCCCCGGAAAAATCCTAGGATCCCCGATGCTAGTGTCTTTTTGTGGCTTTTCTCTTGTGGTGATTTGATGTCTCGGACATGATGACCATCGTTAGGCTTGACTAGTGCGGCTTGTTTGATTTCATCGTCAGTAGCTCCCAGCGTTAGCTCTTCGTTGTGTAAAGAGGCTGGTCGTGAAGGTGCTTTGTCCTGTGATATTGGAGGGGGTGGCAAGGGGGACGCATTGGCCTCGCCGATGCGGAGAAGAGTGACAGCCAATTGAGCATTGGTTGGGATACCTTTGAGCAGGGAGCTAGGTAACTATTAGTATTTGTGATCTTAGCATATTCAGGCAATCTGGATGCATACTTTTGTAGCTCGATAATCTTCTGCCATTTCGGAAACCGACGATTCAGGTACTTGATCCCGCGTCTGATGACGGGGTCTCCAAAGAAGACAAAGCCAATCAAAAGCGTGCTTAGCTTCATCACAACATAACTGGACGTTATTGATGAGATCAGGCAAGTCGGCCCCAGCACCGCTGCTAGGCGCAGACGGGGACTCAAGCGTGGAAATGGGGCTGTTGCGGAGAGAGCACTAGAGAGAAGTTTAAACCTAGTGCAGTGAACAAGAGACAGAACCGTTCACTCACTTGCCCATCTTTTCATAAGTATCTGTGATATCATTGATCACCTGCATCGAAAAGTTGGCCGCGTCCATCACACTTTGCTTCATAGGTTGTCGGGTTTTGTCGTGCGAGTCCGATGGCACTCTGCCATGAGCAGCGCTTTGCGCATCGGCGGTATTGGCAACGATATCCATCGCATCCGGCACATCATCTTCAAAGGGTGCGTCTTCAGGAACGCCCTGATCGTGCTTTCCTACTGCGCTGCCTACGGCAACACTAGCGACACTTGCTACCAAGTTGCTAGCCTCTTGCTCAGCTGCCTCGCCCTTGAATTTCTCGGGTGCTCCAGTGATGCTGTCGTGAGAACCAAGAATTCCCGCTTTAGGCTTTTGTACGCCGCCTGTGTCTTTGTTGACAAGAGCGATTGGTGCCGGGGGAAACATGACTGTCCGACATGGTGGGTAGACCACCAAGGCAAGCAAGGTCGCCAGCAAGGTTGGAATGAGCAGATCAAGGAGCCATGATGCAAGGTAAACCTACACATTATCAGTAAGAATATAAGCCCTTATATCGTGCTTTATTGAAGTAGAGACATGCCGTGCCAAATATAGCTGTTCTTCGTGGTTCTTTCCAGGATCGCAGCCTAGCAACGTGCTTGACACAACTGGTTAAGCTGACAATCACGGTGACATAAAAGCGTTCGAGTGTTGCCCTGAGTTTATCCGGCGAGAATTCATCATCATCCGTTCGCGTAAGATCAAGTCTCTGGAGTGGAGCATCAGGCACTGCTTTGACTCTGTAAACTTGCTGTGATGCGGAGTTTCCAAGTCAGCAAAGCTCTTACGTATACCTGACCCGTAGACAAGCTGAACAGTTACAAACCTTGTCGAATCGTCTGATGAGCATCCACAGGTCTTCATTAGAAAGCCCGGCCACTAGAGGCTCCTCAATGGCATCAGGGGATTCCCCCCATCCGATATTGGTAATTGCTGCGGTCTCACCGGCTTTTTGGGATAGACCTTTCTCATCCTGGTCGACTTGAGACAGCACATGGCTGTCAGTTGGTCCCTCTGGGGTTTCTGGTTCTGCGGTGGACTTATTGTCTGTCTTACTTATGCCGCTATTGCCCATAGCGGGGACAGCCACCTCATTTGTAGCCATGAGAATCAGATAATGTTGGTCTTTCAGAGAATGGAACACCTGTATCTCGACATCAACCTAATGGGTGTTTTGAAGGAAAATCGAACCGGGCTAAGTGCATTCTTATTTGTTCGGAACTGTCGACGTCATACCCTCAAATCAGGGCAATTGTGGCAATCAACATCCAACGCATAAACAAACTATTCACAGATGTATTTCTTGGATTCGTAACAAAATGAATCGATCATAATTTGTGGTCTTTTCACCTCGCAAAAATTTGATACAAACGGAGATTGCTGCTGTATTTGCCTCGATGGGCTACATAGCGGATTACCAAGACACTGGATCCTATGTAATCATAGATTTCGAGCCACCGCTCAACACTTCCTAGCCCATACACCACACATGTAGTTGGTCGGTTTTTATGCACTTTAAGCTTGTGTAGTCCGTTGGATTGTAGGTTTAAGTAGTTGGAGGGAGGCGAGTAGGTGACACTAGGTCATTTACCAACTTCTCTAATAGTGCGGGCTTCCACATTATTCTCTACGCTGACATCATCAACCGGTTAATGATTTTTGCATCTATTACGATATTAAATCGATTCAGTCTAGGTACCCGGGCGATTCAGAGGATACCGATTCTTATTTTGCCGAAGTGGTTTAGCCTATCGTAACTGTTCTCGGAATTATTCTTATGAGCGGGGGTTAGCTAAGCGATGGTCTAACTCTATTACTACCGTCTAATCTACAGTTTTACAACGGTTCGGCGCGAACACATCATTGACATCACACCTTTCCTATCACAGCATACTTCAAGAACGGGCAACGGTGGGCGGACTTTCTACCCCTAACTATAAGTACCTACGTTCTCTTGATTAGGCGGATTTTCGGCAGAGAAAATCATCAATTGGCTATGATTATGGATAATATATATTTCCAGTCAACTAAAACACAGTCTGTGCCCCCAACCCATCTTTGTCTGTACTTACTCGTGGTCGCTATTGTTGGTCTCACCGGCAAGGCACTATCTACACAGCCATGTGAACAAGTTTTGTCTTTCGAAGCGAAGAAGTAAATTGGTTCTTGAAATCATATGTGGGGTTGTAGGTAGCGTTGGGTAGTCCACTCGCTTGTGAAGTATGTTACTTTTGTCGATCATTTATTTGCGGGCTTGCATTTCACTTCTGACGATAGTCAGTAACTAGGCACACCGACAAAGTTAAGAACTGAAAAGAAAGATGGCCGAAACACACGCTTTATAGGTTTGAAGCCTTGTTGTTGTCTCTTGGCTCATGTTTCCGGGCCTTTATCTTCAACGCTTGCCTTTCTGAGTGTTGACTTTGCGCCCGAGAATTTACGCAGAGCAGCCTCTCCCACCTCCCAGCGCTTCATCTCAGGACCCAGCCAGTTCACAGCTACATTCGCACACTCATTAATCATATAGTTAAGCCCATTACATCTTGTTCATGATTCCATGATACCTTATTTGTGGGAAGCCCAGTCTCCCTTCCACCGGAAATTTTTGTCTATTACTACATTGAGAAAGTGCCCCAAGTGACTCGAAGAAGAGCGAGCCGAACAACATAAAGAGCAAAACCATCATCTCATCCCCACTTTTCACCCCAATAACCTATCCAACTAGCTAGTCATAGTATTCCTAAGGGCACTAGCAAATCAATATGACATTGGCCGATGATATACATACAAATAATCAGTCCAACTGACCAAGGCTCCAATGTGTGGTGTTAACTCGGTCCAAGATACTGGCTAACAACTATGGAAGAAACCACGTTTAGGCTAGAACAGTCAAGGATTTTAGCATTGGATTTCGAGGATGAGCAGAAACATCTACATCACTACACAAGTACATATTACGTAGTTCTGAGACCCACTGCTGGCAGTAGGCCCCGAAATCAAGAGAAGATCACTAGCTATGTGTTATAGTAGGCGAGCAGGTACATGCTGGCTTATCTCTTATCTCTTATCGTCACGTGACAATCGCGTTCCCAAAATGGAAACATCACTTCGCGTCACGCTTGAATTTCGTTTGACGATATATCGCTCTAATAAATTGCTACTCGGTTGCAGGACAATTGACTCGCCATGAGCGAGGAGTGTGCAAATCCCCTATTGCTGGGGTGGATCAAAGAATGGCTGGATCAAGCCCGAGAAAGGAACAGCAAAGGCGTGACGGTGTTTGTACTCCACAGCCCTAGCTTGCATGAATGTTTAATCTGACTACTTCCAGGTACAAGAAGGCTTACGATTCAATGAAATCATGTCCATTGGAGTTTCAACATCCATCCCAAGCACTGCAATTGAACGGATTGGGTCCTAAATTATGTGATCGGTTGACCGATAAACTGAAGGCTCACTGTGATGAAAATGGTCTTCCTATGCCACAGCCGCCTGATAAAGGTTTGTGGTATCCGATATCGCTCCCAAATAGTGGCTCAACCAGGTAAAATAGGTGGCAAAAGAACATCCGGCGGCGGCGACGACGATCAACCACCAAAGAAACCCCGAAAGATCAAGCCGTATGTGCCAACATTGCGGTCTGGTCCATATGCTTTGATGCTGGGCTTGGGAACCCAAGATGAGGGCGCATCACAGGGATTGACAAAGGCCCAATTAATTGAAGTGGCCCAGCCATACTGCGACAGTTCATTCACAGCACCCCCGGATCCAACAAAATTTTACACGGCGTGGAACTCAATGAAAACACTTATTCAAAAAGATCTTGTCTACGAGCATGGTCGTCCACTTCGAAAATACCTTCTTTCTGAAGAAGGCTGGGAAGTCGCCAAACGTCTCCAAAAGACATTACCCGGTGCTACTCAAAATACGACATCTGGAACAACTACCGAGTCACAGCGGACGACTACATCTGCTGATCGTGATATACCCGAAGAAGATAATCCTTCTGTAGAAGCAGAAGACAGCCTAACAAATGATGACATAGCCAACATCACGCCTATCATGCTGCCACCGCAGAGTTTCACCATCCAGCTTGTTCTGGATACCCGCGAAGTTCGCACATCCACCGACCGCGACTACATATCCGGTGAATTGATGAAACAAGGGATCACGCCCCAAGTGCGCGCCCTGGAAGTCGGCGACGCAATGTGGGTAGCCAAGTGCAACGACCCCAATTTTCTCGCTCGCCACGGCGAAGAATGCGACGAAGTGATGCTGGACTGGATCGTAGAACGAAAACGTCTTGATGATTTAATTGGGTCTATCAAAGACGGACGTTTCCACGAACAGAAATTCAGACTCCGCCGTTCAGGCATAAAGAATGTCATCTACCTAATTGAAGAGTTTGCCGTCAAGCACCCTGACTCTACCAGCGGGAGCGCGGCACAATACCAGGAGATGGTTGCCTCTGCCATCGCCTCGACACAGGTCCTCAATGAATACTTCATTAAGAAGACGAAACATCTGGACGAGTCAATCCGCTACCTGGCGCGTATGACTCTTCTTTTGCGAAAGATGTACGGGGTTGAAGATTCGCCCTCGAGTCCAGATTCAAACAGCGATATCAACCTAAACAGCGGTCCTCCAACCTCGATATCAAGAATTGGCCTGATCCCCGGCCGCCGCCTCTCCACCGATTCCTATCTCACTATTCTCGACAATCTACGCTCTCGAGACCCATCAATTACCTACGGTGTTTCGTTCGTGACGTTCTCCGCCCTCACATCAAAATCGGATGTCCTTACTCTTCGTGACGTGTTTTTGAAAATGCTCATGTGTACGCGTGGTGTTACAGGTGAAAAAGCACTTGAAATTCAGCAGATTTGGCCAACTCCACGACATTTGATGGAGGCATACATGGCTTTAGAGCCCAAGGAGCGTGCGACGATGGTCGCGAAACGAATGGCGGAAGTTGTTGGACGAAAGAAAGTTGCCAAAGAGCTCAGCAAGCGCATTGCAGAGATCTGGGGAGAATCGAGCTGATTATACAAATTACAAATTATGCAAGGAGACAACAACTTTGGAAAACACTGTTCACACAGAATCCATGTATATTTTGGAGATGCAAATGTAACGCTAAAAGAAATCATATAAATGAAATCAAACCCCAACCGCTATTTCCTCCGTCTCACAATATTCATAATACTCTCTTTGTCAATTCGCAAGGCCAAACTGCTTGCAACAACAGAGATACTACTCAACGCCATCGCCAACGCAGCCCACACCGGACTGAGTCTCCAGTGTTCGTTGACCATAACCATCTGACCACCAATAGACTTTTCATGGTGGCCACTGACAATGGGATAAAGAACACCAGCAGCAACCGGAACCAAACAGAGATTGTAAACAACCGCCCAGCCGAAATTCATACGAACACGATTGAACACACGGCGACTGAGCATAACCAGCTGCAAGATCGTGCTGAGATCCGAATTCAGCAGGATAAAGCTGGCAGAGTTGATAGCAACGTCCGACCCAGACGCCATGGCGATGCTTACATCTGCCGCTGCCAGAGCGGGCGAGTCGTTGACTCCGTCGCCGACAAAGGCAACAATCGGACGCTGAGTTGTCTTCGGTGCATTGATGGGATTGGGCATGCCATCCGCGGCGCATTCTTGAATCTGGCGGACGAAAGTGGCTTTCTCAGCGGGCAGGACGTTGGCCATGACTTTGGCGCGGGGGATTCCTAGCATGTCTGCCACGGCGTGGGCTGTTGTTTGGTTGTCGCCTGTGCACATGAAGACATCCACGTTGCGCTTCTGGAGCTGTGAGATGATACCGACGGCCTCTGGGCGGATTGTATCCGAGGTGGCGAAGACAATGGCTGGGATGAACACGGAAGTTGCGGCGGATTGGGCTGGAACTCTGCGGAGTGATAATATAGCAGTCGACTTGCCTGCTGACTGATATTTTGATAGAAGATTGGACACAAAGTATGTGTCGGTTCCAGAGGAAAGAACGCTTTGTAGAAGACGTTCATTGCCAATTGCAGCTTCGTACTGCTCATCGTGTTCAGCTCCAGAGACGGTGAATGTTCCTTTCATGCCCTGGCCGGAAATTTCATGAACATCGGAGGATTTGACGGAAGAAGATGTTTGAAATTTGCAGAACTCAGTTATTGCCTGGGCGATTGGGTGATTGCTGCTTTCTTCCAATTTTCGAGCCAAAGCCCATGCGACTTTGGCCATTTCTCCATCGTTGGTCAGAACTCCGTGGTCAGATACTTTGAGGCTTCCGCCTTCCGTCAAAGTTCCTGTTTTATCAAACACGATTGCGTTCAAGCGACTGGCCTCTTGGAAAGCTTCACCGCCACCTTTGACCAAAATACCATGCTTCGCTGCTAGACCACCTCCGACGAATAACGCGGTGGGGGCTGCAAGGGCCAGGCCACAGGGGCAGGCTACCACGAATACTGCAATTGCAAACTCCAGGGCCCAGAATGTCCAACCGCCATGCGCAACATCAAGATATTCTGTGGGGAGCACACTCGAATGACCAAGAGCAAGCCATATGACAAAGGTGGAGATAGCGATCAGGGTGATGATGGGGACAAAGTGCGAGGTGAGAAGGTCAGCAACTCTCTCAAGGGGTGCACGTTTGCTTTGTCCTTCGCGAACCACGGAGATGATTCGATCAAGCATCGATGAACCACCGAGCCCGGTGATTCGAATTCGAGCCGGCTGACCAACGTTTACGGAGCCAGTGTAGACTATGTCGTCGGTTGATTTCTTGACTGGTCGCGACTCTCCCGTCAGAGAGCTTTCGTCGAACTGGTACGAGGCGCTATCGACAATGACTCCATCTGCAGGGGGCGAGGCGCCGTGCGGAATGCTGACAACATCACCAACTTCCAGGAGATCAATACTTGTACGGCTGATCCCATCCTCGGTAGTATCATCATTCAGGAGTGCTTCAGATGGTCGAAGCTTACCCAGAGATGTGACAGCATCGCCGGTTCGGGCTTTGCTGTAAGCCTCCAGAAATCGACCGGCAAGAATAAACAAAGTCAAAAAGACAACGGAGTCAAAATAGGTTGTACTGTGAGCACTTGACTTCGTACCCACAACAGCATCGACTATCAGCACTGCTAGAGATGAGACATAGGCAACAGATGTTCCCGCAGAGATCAAAAGGTTCATGCTACCAAAACGGTAGAACCTCCGAAGAAGCGGGACGCGACTCCCGGGTCGCCACAAGGCATGTATTTCTTTTAAGGCCCGCGTGTGGAACACATCAGTACCATAGAACATAACCGGTGTTGACGTGATAAACAGAGCCCATTCAATGCGAGTCACGCTGCCAGACCACATTGGTTGCTCTAAATACATTCGGACAGAGTTCTCAGAAGAGACCAGAGACATGAACACAATTCCGATGATGAAAGTTGGAATTGCGCTCAGAAAGACGAAGAGCAACCGTATCAATAAACGGCGCTGTTCATGATGCTGAATTGCACGCGACCGGTCTTCAATGCTAGGTGGGTGGTAGACGGTTGCGCGGAAAGAGTCATTCGCCGAGTGGATGGCCGAGATGATTGTGCGGATAGTAAGAGCAGGTGGCTGAGGGGTATAGGTGACTTTGAGAATAGGATGCTTTTCGGTCAGCGCCTCCTCGACAATGACATCTGGAACCGACTTCACAGCCCTCATAATGTTTTGTGGGCAATGGTGACAGAACATTCCATCCACTAAAATGGAGATTGTTCTAGCTTGAATAGTGGGCTTTTCTGGGCTGCCCATCACCGGCGAGATGATACTGACACTAGCATCGTATCCCAAGTCTTCGATCTTTTCTATAATTTTGTCGAGATTCTGCCGGCCTTCAAATTCTACCCTTCCACTATGGGACAGCAGATTTACGGCGACATCGTGGACAAAGGGCAACTCCTCAAGTCCTCGGGTCACACCCCCAACACAGGAGCCACAGGTCATACCGGTGATTGCGATCTCGCTGACGAACTTTGCTGGTGAATCTGCAGACGCTGGCGCTCTGGATATCGGGCCCACCTCATCAAGTGATGCCTCGAAACCAATATCGTCGATTTGCTCAAGTATTTTATCGACATTTTCTTGATGACCAATGTATATTAATGTTGCGCTATTAGTGAGAAGATTCACATTGACTTCTTTCACAAAATCTAGCTGTTGAAGTTGTGAAGTGATGGAGTTGACACATGATGCACAGCTCATCCCGCCAATGCTGATACGGGCTGTGAACTCATTCTCTGGCTCAGAGTCTGCCCCTGGAATCTTTTGCACTGCATTTTCCGGCGTCGATTCGAGTTTTGTAGCAGTGATGTCTTTCTCGTAGTTCTTGCTCGATTGTCGAAAAGTGGTCCGTGGAGACTTCTCTGTCAAAGATCCCAGCTCTGTCTGAGAAGAGTCACGGGAGAGGCTCGACGATTCTTCTTTCTTGCAGGCGTCGCAGTTGGCGATGTGTCGTTTATGCCTGCTGGCCTGGAGTCGTTCTTTGATGTTTGACGAGAAACTAGAAACAGAAGCTCGCGGCGAGGGAAACAATGCGGAGCCACGGTGATTCCAGGAAGATGTATCGAGTTCCCAGACGAGGTCTCCTTGTCGGTCAAAGGTTGTGACATATTGGACTTCAAATGCGGCATGAATGAGTGCGTTGGCGAGGTCGGCGGGCCGGACTGAGGAGGCATGACTGGCGCGCACTTCGTGGGTCAAGATCGTGACATCGATTTCTCTGACAGTAGGTATCTCGGAAAGTACTTCAGTGATATATGCGACACATGAGGCGCAGTGTACATTGCTAACAAAGAAGAGACTTCTTCGGGTATTCGATTCTTGACGGGCGGCCTCCAAATCTGGAACCCGATTCTTTAGAGAAGACATGGCCGGGCAAAATCTCTCTTTGGTATGAAATCTGTCGATCTTGGTGAAAGTGTAGTGTAGAGAGCTTAAGTGCTCATAGAGTAACAAGGTTAAGTATCACGGCGAAGGAAAGAGCGACCAGCGGCGATTTATCGTTGAAAATGTAATTTTAAAAAAAGGATATGATTTGAAATGTCATTACATGTTTCATAAAGAAAGAGAAGAAAGGAAAATCCTAGAAGTGAGTGGATGACTTGGAGCATGGCGAGGATGCGACATTTGTGCGCGAACCACGCACAAATGCCGCATTCCAGACATCTCGGCCATGGCCCCTATGTAGTATGTTGCTAGTGTATAGATTATCAAGAATGGTCTTGTATATCCCGTATAGCCAGGTTCAAAGCAGAGAGGTTCAAAAGAGAACTACCACGTGTATCAAGTGTATCAAGTCTGAGACCTCATGCTGTGCTCATGGTTGATCCAGGTACGCACGCGCCCCCTGGAGGGCATCGCAACGTATATGGACCCGCCTTTCTGACACCGCCTCCTCTAAAGATTATTGAGAAAGAGATTACAATACTTCGATCCTGTACTACCTTGGGTCACTTTTGTTAATCTTAATGAAATTAAACAAGTTGAACATAACAGGCTGTTTGGTAAAAAACTTCTAATTAACTACATAACTAGTTTTGATAAATAGTTAACTATGTAGTTGACTAACCTTCCTAGGTTACCTGGAATCTAAGGCATGATGACTAATAGATTTGGCAGAATGAAGAGGAAGGCGCGACCGAAAAAATCCCATTATTCCGCATTGAGCTAGCGTGTTTGGACGTGATTCATACAATGTACTTTGTACTTATAACTTCCACATGAATCTATATCGCATACTGTCTATTGTATTCTACTAATTCTGATTGTTGAGTAATAAAGCAATAGAACAATAGAACAATATAACAAAGAAACTACAATTACTTGCTTCTCACTTCAATGTCGTGAACCTTGACTTTCAACTCGATTACGTAAGCGGATGAATACTTCCAATTTCTCTCTCGGCTTCTGGTCTCGTCCTTATCGCTGACCGTGACCCATTGATACGAACTTTCGCGACCCAAAAAAAAAGTTACTGTCTATTACATTCACCAATCTCCGAGGCTGCGAGGACCTCGGTTCCTGACCGATCTCCCCTGTCTCTCATCCACATACTGACTTCTCTCATCTTGCAATTTGATCGCAATGTCGGCTCCCAGATCCGGCGTGCGACCAGTCCCTCCCCCCGCCGGCCAGTTGGGCGACTGGCCAGTCTGAAGCCCCCCAGCTCTACTTCTATCAAACGTCCAACATCTATTGGACGTCCTCAAGCACCTAAGCCGACAACGCATCCGAAAACTACCAACTGTCCGAACCCAGGATGCCCTGCCCCGCAAATCGTCGAGGATGGCGGAGTGAAGGTCTGCTCAGGCTGTGGTACAGTCATTAGTGAATCCAACATCGTCTCCGAAGTAACATTTGGTGAATCATCTTCTGGTGCTGCCGTTGTGCAGGGTTCCTTCGTCGGCGAAGATCAAACTCACGTCCGCAGTTATGGCCCCGGCTTCCAGCGCGGAGGTGCCATGGAGAGTCGAGAAATGACCGAGCAAAACGGAAATCGTTATATTACCCAACTATCTCGGGCCCTCCTCATTCCGGAAAGTGCGACCAAGGCCGCTGGTCAAGTTTTCAAGCTTGCTGTTTCTCACAACTTTATCCAAGGCCGTCGCACCAAAACGGTGGCGGCTGTTTGCCTATACATTGCTTGTCGTCGACAAAACGGAAATACAGTCATGCTCATCGATTTTGCCGATGTGCTGATGATCAACGTCTTCAAGCTGGGTCGCTGTTATAAGGCTCTTCTCGATGAGCTCCGCCTGGGTGGCAACGTCTTTCTCATGAACCCTATCGACCCCGAAAGTCTGATTTACCGTTTTGCCAAACAACTTGAGTTTGGCCCGGCTCTCATGGCGGTGGCCGGAGAGGCAGTTCGTATCGTGCAGCGCATGAACCGGGATTGGATGACCACTGGTCGACGCCCGGCCGGTCTTTGCGGTGCAGCACTGATCCTTGCCGCACGCATGAACAACTTCCGCCGAACCGTGCGCGAAGTCGTCTATATCGTCAAAGTTACCGAAACGACTATTAGTACACGTTTGAACGAGTTCAGCTCCACCGAGAGTGGCGAACTGACCGTGGACCAATTCCGTTCCGTCCAATTGGAAAATACCCACGACCCCCTTCCTTCACTCGCGGGCGAGAAGGTCGGAAAAGCATTGTCAAGAGAGTGCCCAAGACAGCGGCCGAAATCGAAGACGACTCCCCAACCGAAAGCGAAGCAGAATTTGTACAACCACATCGCGTAGATGCCGACGGTTTCGCTATCCCCAATCTTCCGATCGATCCTGCTTTGACAGCCGGTGCTCAAGGTCGACGCGCATCAGTAGTCGCCAAAGCCGTCAGTGATGTCATCGAAGATATGAAAAACGAACCGGCCAAATCCAAGGGCAAGGGCAAACGACAGCACGCACCCGAGCCATCTGCCGAGCAGGTTGCGTCTGAAGAGGCGCTCGAAGATGAAATGCGATCTATGCTGGCTCAAGATTCAAATATGGTCCAGAGCGCTGGTTCCGAGCCCCAGCGGCCTGTAGTTTCTGATAGCACTGAAATTGATATCGCGGAATTTGAAGACGACCCCGAAGTCGCCTTCTGTCTGCTCTCGCCAGCTGAGGTTGAGATCAAAGAATCAATTTGGGTCACTGAGAACAAGGAGTACCTCCGTACACAGCAGGCCAAGGCCCTGAAACGGGCTCAGGAGGAGGCAAATGGCGGACCAGCGCCTCGCAAAGCGCGCAAGCGCCGCCGTGGTCGACTCGGCGATGTCACCTACCTGGAAGGCGAAGAGGGCGAAGATGGTCGCAGCTCGCGCGCCTCAACACCCGCCGAAGCAACACGCCGCATGCTCGAGCACCGCGGATACAGCAAAAAGATCAACTACTCTCTTCTTGACACATTGTACGGCGGCGAAGGAGGCGACCCTAAGACAGAAAGCATGAGTCGTAGCCAGAGCCGCAGCCAAAGCGTTGCCTCACGGCGCAGCGTCAGCATCGAGCCAGAAGCAGCTGCCCGCTCTCGCCGCGCGACTCCAGTTAAGAATCGACTTTCCCGTCCTCCGTCTGCTGCACCGCTCCCTACGCCACCCTCGACTGCCCCAGCTGCTACTCAGAACTCTGCCAAGTTAAACAAGGCCGAGGCTGCTCCTGATATGGTCGAGGCGCCGGATCCAGATGACGAGGAGGAGGATGAAGAAGACGACAATGACGATGGTCTCGACGATGCATTTGCGGGTGGTTACGAAAGTGACTATGACTATGGGGACGACGACGATTGAGGAAGTTGCTCTCAGAAAATAAGTTGCATTCTTTTTGTCCTCTGGATGGTTTGGGAGTTATTAGGATGTGATTGTCATCCGCTTGCTTTTAGCTGCGTCTTTGGTCTTACGGCCTTCGAATGATACCATGTGAAATAGCGTAGGCATTGGGTTTCGTCCATGCAAAGGATACTACTTGGGTTTTCCAAATTTCAACTGATATTCGGTTCCGCCAAATCTAGTCTCTATAGAACCCTGCTAAATTTAAGTATCATATTCATCCTTAGACCTCCAGTACCTACCTCTGGTCACTCTACGGGGTTTGGTCCTACTTAGCATCTAACAAGCCTGGACAACTGGTGTGTCGAAAGTCTTCCAATGAAATGGCATTATGTAGATTTTTCATATCTTTTGCTCTTTGCAGTCTCCAGCAGCTCTGCAAATTTTGCGGCCTGGGCAAATTGTCGACCTGTATTCCACTGCAGATATAGAGTGACGATCTTACAGTGGAAACAGTTTGCAAATGTGAAGATGGTGAATTAAATACCTAAGAGCGGTCTCTAAAAAGAGAGGCTGGTGAATGTTGGAGCCGGCTAAGTAGCACTATTATTATAGGAGTCTGTTGTAGCTTCAAGATTGGATGAAGGTAAAGTGAAATTAAAGTGAAAAGGGTAACTAGGCAGTGAGAGGGTAGGTGAATACGTGTACTATCTATGGGAAGGTGTTGGAGTGAATTTATAGGCAAGAGCGAGGGAAGCATATTTAGACAGCTCAAGCCTCTACACACACTTACATACACACTTACATACACACTTACACACATGTATGTATATCTATAGTAAGTTAGACGTAAATATATTTCAAGGAAACATCTGAAGTTCATGCCCGCATTTCTCTCCGCATTCGCATCAAGTCCGAGGCGATCTTTGCCTGGTCCTCCGCACCGGACTTAGGCCGGCGCACAGCAGTGGATCTGTTTGCACGAATCGCCTTTGAAATATCTTCGTCCAGGGCCCTCGGGGGACCCTCTCTGACCCATTCTTCTCAATTGGATGTTGGATTCCGGGGTATGTAAGCAACACTCATGGGGATTGCCTAGGAAGAGGCTGTGCGCGTACAGTAGATGTCGAGTATTCATGGATTTCGAACAGTGTCTCTAAGTCTATCAACTTCAATAACAATGCTTATTTCGAAGAAAATTAACCAGAATAACAACGATGATTGCTTTGATCCGTGCCACATGAGATTTCGGGAAAGTCGAGTCCGCGGGGGTCAGAGTCACACATTGTTTTTGTTCTAACTCTTCCATTCTTGTATTCTTTCATTGACCTTTCTTACCTCATTTATTCTCACTAGAGTCGCATGTCACCTTGATCTGATCTCACCTCGGCTCAATTCAAGACATTGTACTCCAGCTCTCCCCCCACCCCGAATATTTTGCCCCTAATCCGCATGCCCGGAGCATCACCGATTCCTTCTCTTGAGCAATCACATCATGGATGCCGCAACTCCACTGAAGCGGTCATCCGAGGATGCAAATTTAGAGTCGCCCCGAGTAAACAACACACGGTCTGCGCCCAAGATCTCCAAAGCTCGTGCCTGTGAGTCTTCCCCACACCGTCTCCGACACCCACTCACTAACGTGGAGCAGGCGCCGAATGTAAGCGCCACAAGATTCGCTGCGAATTCCGACCAGGAGAGTCAAATTGTACAAAATGTATTCGCAGCGGTATTAAATGCGTTATAAATGACTTTTCGCAAAAGTTTGTCGAGGATGATGGGATGTAAGTGTGCAAGTCTGACCCCGCTCCTGAGTTTGGAGCTTCGAAACTACCAGCGCAGATGCTAATTCATTGGTCCTATAGCTGGAAATCCCAGGCGAATGCGACCATGCATCAGCTGCAGGCAGCTGTATCGCATCTATTGCAACAAGGCGGGTTACCTGACCTCTCGACCTATTCTTCTGGGGACACTGTGAATCTCAATGGACCCAGTCCCGCCACGTCGTCGCATCATGACCACCGTCCCTCAATCGATCGGGCGCAGACACACACCAGTCATCAAGAGGGACCCGGGGTCGTGATGGACGTTACTCGGGAGCCGTCGCCGGAGCAGGATCTCCAAAACCCAGAATTAGTTCCTGCTCCCATGCGTAGTTTATACGAGGTGACGAAATTACGAAATTTGAGGAACAATCATGTCGAGGCACCTAAGCAGACGTTGTTAGAGGAAGATTTCATCTCCCGGGGTCTGATCTCGCTCCACGAAGCAGAGGAATTATTCGCATACTTCAGTCGCACCATGAACCAGCTACTCTGGGGTGGAATAATTCTTGTACACCGCGATTTAACATCCGTCCGTCGCGCCTCGACCCTTCTTTCGGCTGCCGTTTTGACCGTAGCGGCACTCCATATCCCGAACCGCACCGAAACCTTGAACCGGTGCTACAGCGAGTATGTATCGCTTGTCTCCAACATGGCCCTCACGCGGGCCCACACTCTTGATGACATCCGGGGTCTCTGCGTGGGGGCTTTTTGGCTATCTGAGTTGAGCTGGAAGCTGTCCGGACACGCGGTGCGAATTGCGACCGAAATGGGCCTTCATCAAAGCTACCAGCGCTTGACTCGTGGACATACAGATCAGTATGAACGCGCCCAACTTTGGTACTTGCTGTACGTATGCGACCATCATTTTAGTATTGCCTATGGTCGGCCGCCTGTCATCCACGAAGATGTGGTGATCCGCAACCACGAGACCTTTCTTGCGCTGCCGATGGTTGTCCCCGGAGACATTCGGCTTTTAGCCCAAGTTGCTCTTTTTATGATTCTGACCGAGGCGTATCGGATGTTTAGCAGCGATACGGAGCAGGCATTGAGTGAAGAGGATTTTGGGCAGTTGCGCGTATATAACGTTGCAGTAGATCAATGGCGACTTCTCTGGCAACCCCGATCCGGTAAGTTCTCTATTGACTCATTATCCACAACTGTTCGCCCTAACATCCATTGGAATCCATCACAGCTGATAGTGCATATGTGCGAACGTATCCTTCCAAGGGAGTGGTGCTGCACTATCATTTCGCCAAGTTCCAACTTAACTCACTTGCTCTCCGTGCGCTTTCCCCGTCTAATACACCAGTGTTTTCTATGGATCGCAAAGAATCGGCAAATATCGCAATTTCATCGGCGATGGCATGCCTCAACATGGTACTCGAAGAACCTGACATTCGTGATGCGATTGTCGGAGTCCCCATCTTTACTCACACTATGGTTACATTCTCCGCCGTTTTCCTACTCAAGGTTGCTATAAATTGGAATACAGCTTACCTAAGTATCAATGCTCGCCAAGTACGACGACTAGTCGAGCGCGTGATTGAATTGATGAATTGTGTCTCTGCAGGCGAGCGCCATCTCACCCGACATATCGCACGAGGATTGGGCAAGATGCTCGAGCGGTTCGATTCCTGGGAAGCAGCTTGGCAGTTCCGGGGCAGCGCCCCTACAATTGAAGGGCGCGATGTCCCTGGGGGAGCCAACGCAATGGCGCAAGGATTCCCCCCGCCAGACTTGATTTATGGCATGGTCGGGACATATGGATTCGGACTTGACGAGAACCTGCTTGATCCGAGTATGGCGGATTTTGAGTTCTTGACGCAATGACAATGGAGAGATTTGAAAAGAACCTTGGAAGGTGAAACAGGTTGAATACCGCGGCATATGCGGAATGTAAATAACGACACGCACTTCTGCAAAAACCACGCATCACTCCTACGGAGTGTAAGCTATCATATCAACCCTAATTATCCTGTCACTCCCGTGTCGTCACCGTCACCTCCGCTTATGCCCCCTCCCTTCCTAGAGCTACGCAGTGGTGGCTCGCTCATTTTTCCCTTTTTTTTTGTCTCCCCCTATATATTTCCCGTCCCCCCAGCTTAGGATTTTTGCCAATTCACCGAACCCTCTTTCTTACACTATATTTCCATCCTTATACTAAGTTAATTCCACCTAATTATTTACTATGACCACTCGCAAGAGAAAGCAGGACGCCGAGGAGCTCCAGGCCCTCCCTAGCGACGAGAGCGAAGAGGAAGAAGAGTGAGTTATATCCTCCCTCATTAGCATTAGTCACGCAATCGCGAAACCATCGTGGCTTGAGACTCACTTCGCACGAGCTCTCTATCACAATTAGCCCTTGCTAACTTGACCGCGCAATGGATAGATATGAAGACTCCGAGCCTGAACTAGCGGAAGGAAGTGACGATGGTGAAGAAGAAGAGCCCGAGGGCGCATCCGAGTCAGATGAAGACGAGGATGAAGAGGAAGAACCAGCCAAAGACGAAGGTATGTTTCTCTTGGACGCCCTTTCCACACTCTGCCTCTCCCTCTCCCTAGCCCTATTCGCAATGTTGTCTCGTCCCATAATGATGCCATGTCCCATCTATCGCCAATTCCCGAGTTTCCTGCTAAGTGACCCTTCTCCAGGCCCGCCGGTAGCCAAGAAACAGAAGACCGCGCCCATAGTCGATGACGACGAGGGCGTCGAGGTCGCTGAGACTGATAAGGACGATGAGCCTGTCGAGGAAGAAGGCGAGGAAGAGGCAGCTGCTGATACGGCTAAGAAGAGCGGCCCTGCTGCAGCTGCTGTTAAGGAAAAGGGCGGCGTCGTTCCTAAGGAGTCGGATCTGTCTGAGATCGAGGCGGCTGAGGAAGAGGAATAATGTTGCGACTAGGATCTAGTTCCAAAGCAGAAGTATATGTCGTCAATGCTTCTGTTTGGAGGGTCGGATTGCTAAATGCGATAGTTTCTCATATTCGATGTTCTGCTGAGCGATTTAGGAGAGTAGATTTAGGCACGATGGTTCTTTTGAAGGTCGGATGTAGATGTTGGCTAGTGTAGGAAATCAGCCAAGTCTCCCTGTGGTCTTGGGGATTTGGCGATGTCATGCATGCCCACAAGCCCTGGAGTATTTGTCCAGGCTCATTGACTGGTTATGTCTGTGGCGTCTTTCCACTGTGGGGATTTATGCAGACCTTAAGTTACTAGACTACTTTATGCGAACCACCGTGATCCACTTACTCAAACGCACAACTCCAAAGCCGGGAAATATACACAATTAATCAAATTTTAACAACGAAGAGGGGGAAAGGAGACGTAATCAATCCAGGATGGTCATTAGCCCTGCGCCCCGCTTTCTATCTTGATATTCAGGGAAGACATAAAACACTATGGCCTCATAAAAGACGGCCCTTTCAACTCGTTCTCTGATTATAAGTTGCCTAGCTTTAAGTATCGCTGCCACTGCTGCGGAAAGTCGCACACAGTTGGCAGTACTGGTGTGTGAGATCTAGGACAGCTTGAGGCAAGTTCGTCGCTTGAACAATGCTGCGGACCTTCACGGCGCCCTCTTCTTCAATCAGCTTGCGAACCAAGAACAAGAGCTCAGGAGAGAACTGGAGAATGGTTAGATGCGGTCGAAATCATGGCGGAAGGGACACATACCTCCGAGTACCAACGATATTGCCAGGCGATTAGACGGATCAACGCGCCGAGCATGCCTCGGGTGTCATTTCGCTGCTCGTAGAGTTTCAGGACACCACGCATGGCCTTGGGCGAAAATCGAGCCGCAAGACAGTTTTGATATGCCTCGATGCTCTCATCGAAATGGTGGAGTCGCTGAGCGAGCTCGCCAAGAATCTCCCACTCAGTGGCAGACTTCTTGTACTCCATTGCTTGCTGATGATACTGGGCCATTTCGGTTCTCCAGATAGTATAGATGCGAAGGTCCTCAAACAAGACCATGAACAGGTTGTCTAGCCATCTTTCACAAAGACGCTTGTTGTGGAATTGTGTATATGAGCTGTGAGACGGATCAGGCTGTAAGACGATCAGTTAGCATGTCAATCTAACAGACTCCTGTACAATGTAACCTACATCCTCATTTCCAGATTTTGCAACCTCGGAGGCCACTGTTTGTTCCGGTCGCTCGAGGGGGCTTTGCGCGTGATTAGTCGCATCTCCATTGTGGGTTCCAGCCAGGGAGCCAGAGTCATCTTCAGTCTCAAGGCTGTTTCCGTTCGTCTCTGCTCCTAGGGATTGCGCAGGCTTGTGAACTTGTTTCCGCTCAACCCGGTACTCCTCTTCCATGACAAATACCTCACTACGGGCCTTCAAGAGTTGATCCCAGCCAATGGTAGCAGCGATCTTTGTCAGCAGGTTGTAAGCCTTCAAGAATGTACCTTGGTAGTTAGCGGCATGGATCTTGCGCAGAGAAGGGTGGACATAGTCGTGCGGGTCTCCCTGCTTTGGCTGGCCTTCGTCGAGTTCATCGAGAATGCTTTCAGCAAGGATTGGGAGCATAATTCGCGAGGGTTGGGGCATGCGAGGAGTGTCTTTGTCTTGATATGTGAACATGGGACAGGAGTTCAGAGTCAGAAGTGCCAGGTCCCATTTTTCCATGCTGACGTAGACCTCAGCAAGGCGAGCCCATGTGCTAAACTCACTGGGAGCCGCAGTCACTGCGCGCTTGGCGCATTCAAGCGCCATGTCACCTTCGCCCTTGCTCTGACAGAACGATGCTTGGCAATCAAGCAGAGCATAGTCCATCGGCACATCTTGCAAAGCATCATACATTAAGCGCACTGCTTGCACCTCCTCATCTGCCATTATCTGTACGCGAGCGAGGAGCGATGAAACTTCCACGTCCCTGGTGCGGAGTTTCTCAAACAAATTGATTCCAGATGTGTAGCGGCCGGTAGTACGAATGTATTTGAGAATTCCGGATGTGAGGTGGTTGCTCACGGTGTTGGGGACTTGTGTTTCGGGGTCGGAGCTCAATTGACGTCCTGTTACGTTATTAGCCCGAGACAAAAGAGACAAGAGGTTAGAGATCCATACCGAGGAAGAAAAGTTTCTCAGCAGCATCCAGGAACTTGTGCTCCATCTCTGTGTTTGTCACGGGGTTGAATCGTCGAACTCCGACGATTCTCTTGACAGCATCACCGCTTCCATCGTCCGCATAGTGATAGGCTCTCAGAACGGAGCAGAGGAAAGTTTCGAGCCAAAGAGCTTCAGTGGCAACCCGCTTGTCGCCCCGTTCATCAATGCAGTAGCTCTCCAAACTTCCGGGGATTTTGACTTCAACGCGCATATCGAGGTGGGAGAATGCATTGTAGCAACTGGATAACTATCAGCATATGAACAAAAGATTGCCCCAATTGATGTTCTCACCAGTATATGCCCGATACCACTTTATGTGTTTTATCGAGAGGAGAGAATGTGAGGGTGTTAACGTAGGCGGCTAAGCTAGCGGACGAAGAAGCATCAATTCCGGTGACATGATGATAAACGCCGGTCTATCATGGGGGGGAAATCAGTCAGTCGGTCGCACAGCGTCAATTGGATCATAGCAAAGCGATAAGCGTACCTGACGAGTCGAATTGGCCTTGGGTTGCTTGACCAAATAAACCAGATCTGGGGGGCCTAGTTCTCGCAAGCTCTGCAAGGATTCTGTGCGCGCATCGACCGCAACATAGATCTCATCCTCCTCGTGGATTCTAGATAGTGCGCTATATGTCAGTCATAATTCCTGGGATTTCCGCGGCTGCTGCTGTGATCGCTGTCGAGCAATGGCCATGTGCACGCAACCCGGGGAACACGTAACCGGGGGATGAGACATACTCAGGAACAGCGGGCGCAACCATGGCGCCTGCACAAGGGCGACAGGATCAAAGATAGGGGTATAAAAAAGAGAAATTCCACGAAAACCAAACAACTAGTCAGGGGTTGCGATGAGTGGAAAGGAATCTTGGTCTTAGAATACTCGAACGTTTGTACTCCGTACCGTCCCAAAATACTTCAGGCACCAAGGCGCTCAGGCACTCAGGCCCCAATTACACGATTGGTTCAACGCGTGATAACGTGTCCGCGATAACAATTTCATCATTACCATTATTGCCTGCAGGCTCTCAGTCTTTGCAGGCTCTGAGATGCGGTTTCCTAGTTTCTCTCTTCATCTAATTGTTTAGGGACCCGCGTGGGGCTCACACTATGTCGAGCTGGGTCGCATTGAATGTTGAGCCCGATGAAGCCATCGAGGAGGAGGTGGACGATACCAAGGAGTTGCAGATCGAGGAAGCTTTGAAGCTTTACTACAGTGCCTTGAAGCTACATTCACAAGGTCCAAGCTTCTATCCACAAGCCGCTGAGGCATACGAAGCTCTACTCAATTCGGAGATCTTTAAATACCCAGAGTCTTTCTCCGATTTCAAAAGGGGTGTATTCGACGAGGTGGAGGCCCAAGAGGTCTCTGACGAAAGTGTCACAGAAACTCTCACTGAATTCAACGCCAGTGACTCTGCCTCTAGCTTATTCCAAACGCTATACCTGTCCTATAAGAACCATGGCAAATTCGTCCTCGACTCAGTACAAGACTCTATACGAACGGCGCCTCAAACCTCCGAAACCGAACAAGAAGCACAAAGCAAGTTGTCCGAGGCATCCAGAAAAGCACTTATATCTTTTGGAGATGCACTGGAACGAGATGATTCGGACCTGAATCTTTGGAGACAAAGCGCTAGATTAAGCAGTGCCTTGCACAGCTATCGTCTATCTCGGTATTGCTTGGAGAGTGTACTAGCAGACGATGATAATCGGCTGGAATTGCGATCAGAGCAACTTGGCCTGGAGGAAATTTTTGCGGAGAAACGCCTGCGAAGCACACTTGAGTCACTTTTGGACCGGATGTCTGCTTCGCAGATTCCAGTCAAGCGGCCCAAAAAAGCTCTCTTAAAGTACCTGAAACAGCATGAGGATCCCTTTCCAACTCTGCCCGCTCTTCCAACCGATTTGCAGAACCTGGATCCGTCCAAAGGACCTCTTGCCATACACGCATCACGTCAGGAAATCACACCCGCTAATCCAACCTGGGAGTCAGTTGGCAAGGCACTTCTTCAGGCTCTCGATGATCGAGATAATGCCTCGCTTGCTGATGTCCCTAGCCAGTCTATACACATTGTTCTACCGGCCAGAAGTTCCCAAGATCCAGATACACTTGCCCTAAAGACAGAGGACACGGAGATGACCATCGATGCCGAGGGGCAGGAGGGTAAGGCTGATGAATCCGAGCAGCCTGATATGGTCCCGGCACAAACAACAGAAGACGATGCAAAGCCAGAACATAGCGCATCAGAGCCAGCGAAAGAGCCTTCCGAGGCAGGCGAAGAGCATTCATCCATTGACCAGAGTGCTGAAAAACAATTAATGGAGTCATTGGAACGTCAATCTGCGCAGCCCCATGACCAACAAGCGGAACAGGAAGAAAATAACCCAGACGACGCTGACCCGAGCTCTCCCACTGACTTTCGTAAAAGGTCGTCCGCTTCGGCAGCGAACGAAGAGCCGGAGGGGGGACGCATGAAAAGCAGACGAACAAGAGCTCGAGAGTCCAACGCCGAAGCTCTGGCACAACCCGAAGAAGTTGCTTTTGATCAGGAAAAGTACTATGGAGACCGCCTCGAGGTTTTCATCAATGCCGATGATTGGATGTTTAGCACAGTCGAATCCCTGTTCTCAAAGGTTGGAATCGAGGCGCTTGGTAGCATCGAGAATCTTAGGGCAAAGTGTACCGGGAAGAACGACTCATCCAATTCTCCTAATGACCCCGAGACACGACTGTTACAAGATTTCCGAGGCCTCATCAAAACATGGGATGATGAGAAGTCTCGCTTGATGCAACAAAAAGATGACCTATCGTCATTGAAGGACATTCGTGGCACAAGCAAATCTGGGCTCGCTGTGTTCCTGGAGCACTCAAGGAAGGGTGCTCGGAAACCAGCCGTCGAAGAAGAGCTTCCCTCTGGGGAACAGCTGTATGACTTCTCCAATGCCGTCAACTCCGACTGGCTACATCCTCATGATACTTCATTTGAATGGCTCAAATGTCTTCTTATGCCAGAGTTTGGCCAAGAATCCTCAAGCTGGTCCACGGCAAGATCAACATACATATCTTTTCTATGGCCGCAAGACCTCAAGGAGACAGTTGTGCAACTCTTGCTTCGGGAAGACGAATTTCTCTACCGAACTTGTGGTGAACTGATCGCAAACCTTGAGAGTCGAATTCTTGACTCGAGCAGTGGATTTCCTTTTGAATATCGGGCGAGAGATTTCTACGAACTTGGGATGATCCAAACCATTTACGAGCTTCATTTGGACATATTCTCTTCAGCTGAGAATGTTGCCAATGAGACAGTAGAGGAAACAAGTCTTGCGCAGCGGGATTGTTTGGCTCGCTGGGGCATGTTGGCCCGAACATCTATTGACCATTTCGTTGATCATGGTCCGACAGGCCAATGCCAGCAAGACCTCACTCTCCGTCATCTTTGGGCATCTGTATTCCATGTCAATCTTGCCGGGGATGCGCAGCGAGAACATGTTTTACTTTGTCTTCAAGATCTGAAGCAAATCCTTCAGTCATTTGGTAACCCGAGTTTCAATCTCGTCAACAATTCTATCATGTCAGAATTATCTGGTTCCGTGATAGACCAAGAGGTCTTGAAGCTTAAATGCATGGACTTCTTTGCCAAGGTGTTCAACTCGGATTCAGAGGATCCAGTTACTCTCATCGAGGCGATCGAGCCGATCCTTGAACCCACGTCGGTTGAGTACGCTGAAACACCGGTGGAAAATGATCTGAATCACCCAACGTCACATCTTAGTGAGATGGCCGCGTTTCTCGATAGAGGGGATGCTACATTACGATTATTCCTCTGGCGCAGACTTCAGGAAGCGTACCAAGCCATTGATTATCCGCCTAAAGTTGTATCTTGCTACTTGCGAAGCATCGAAGTTGTGATGACAGAACTCGAGGCAGCGAAGCACATTGAGGAAACAGATCAACATCGTCAAGTCTCTTTACTTGGCTGGCTCAAAGCCCTTGATGGCATCTTGGCCAAAGCGATACCACTGGTTCTCGACGAGTCGGACAAGGCATTTGAGTGCTTCGATATAGAGCATCTCCAAACCTCTATGTCTGCTGTAGCTCGTCTCATCAGGCTTCTGCACAGCTTTGTTCTATACGAAGACTCAGTGCGCGTGGGTCAGATTTCGGGTCGTGATTTCCGTGGGACGTTACTGAAAACGCTTGAAAACTTCAAAGACAGAATGCGAGAGCTATATGTTCGGTGTTGGATCCTGCAATACACCATGTTCATGGAGGCAATTACCCAGAACAAAGAACTTTTCGATGATCCACTCGAAGACAGGGTTCATTTCCTTCGCTCCGTCCATAACGCACTGGGTGTTCGATCAATGTGCAGGTACTCACAAAAGAGATTCTTAAAGCTTTTGAAAGCAGAACTCTTTGGTCTCGAGACTAAAGGAGACTATGAATTTGACATCTGTCAAATACTCCTGGATCTTCATGGCATCAAATTCTCACAGTTCGATGGTACCATTGACCATGGATGTCCTTCCGAGAAACTGGATCGCCCGACAGCAATCATGATGATCGATTTCGTTTTGCAGCAGGCCTACAAAATGAATATGAAGGACTTGTCCAAGTCTGAGTTAAAAATTACCATCGAAAAACTGCAGCAAGCAATCGGCCCCGCTAAGGCCTCTTCTCAGACACCCCAGCTGACGTTCAATCGCCGCATCGTCAATGCGTATCTCAAGGCTGCCCTTAACCCAGCAAATCTTCTGCGCGCTGTTCAGGGTATCACAGAGCTTTCAACGACAATTGTCCCTACCGAAAACGCTAAAATTGCTGCAAAAGGCTGGTTTTTCCTCCTCGGTCATGCTGCGCTCACCAAGTTTCGATCCCAAAAGCGTATCACCCCTGGTTCCACAACTGAACTTGACGACGCTATCGGCTTCTTCAGACAAGATCTAGATCACGGGACTGGAAGGTGGGAAACATGGTATCGCCTTGCCCAAACTTACGACTCAAAGTTGGATGAAGATATCACATGGACAGCTGATAAGATCAATAACAATCGCGGGGACTTGGCAGCACTGCAGCGCAATGCTATTCATTGTTACGCAATGGCCGTTTCTACTGCCATCAGAACTGCGGATCCGACGGCTGAGACTAGGGCTGTGATGTCAGATCTTTACTCGGACTTTGGTCTGCGCATATACGCCTCCTCTCGGGAGCCGCTATCCATGGGTGCCTTCAGTGTTACGGACTTTCCTCGGCATTTTAGCAGCGAAGAAAGCCAGCAAATGTACAAGGGAACGCCTTTCAAGGAGATGTCGCTGTATTCGGCATGGAACTTTGCTAGCAATCTTCTGAAGCAGGCAACTGGTGACAAATCCAAGCGATGGATGTAAGTGGCCGAATACTGACTGTGGAAACTTTCAAGTATGTTAACGATGAATAGGACTCATTATACCCTTGGCAAATGCCTTTGGAAAATGTTCAACAGTGACGATTCTTTGAGGACGACATCCAAGAGGGTTGAATTACAAGAAGTCCTGAATGCTCTTCTCGATGCTATCAATGCCCTTCCACAGCGAAGGGACTCCCGGTCTGACCCAATATTTGAGCCCCACTTCAAGCTCTTCTCTGTCGTGCACAAGGCGGTCCTTCGAGGATACATGGCGGTGACTGAAGGGAGCAAAATTCTCTTTGCAATTCCATGGGCCCGTAAAGTTGATGCCCCGGAGAACATGGAGGGGTGGAATCCATATATACTTGAAGTTCTCAAGAAGTTTAAGAGTGCCGACAAGTCCAATTGGCATCATCGCATGAGCGTCAAGGTATGTATCATCTTCATCAGTACTGTTGATAATTCAACGGGCTGACCTAGCTTTAGGCTGCGCATATCTTTTACGACGAACAGCAGAATGCGACTGCTGCTCTAGCTGCTAAGCAGGAACTTTCCCAAATATTCACCAAAACTCTCACCATTCAGGTTTGGCGACCAGAATTTGAACGTCCAGGACGTCATTTCGTTTACACAACTCGTTACGTCTACTTTTTTGTCGGCTTACTTGATCAACTCGATGATCGCGCAAGCCTGGATCAGTTGTTACGCCGCGTGAGAAAGAAGCAAGGCGATTTCTTCAACCACACCAAGCTGTGGGAAGACTGCTGTCTTATTTATGCGAAAGTAAGGATCCATCATCTATCGCAAGTAACTTCCCTAGCTAACAACAGTCGCAGTTGATCCGCCGCGCAGCCAAGATCAGCGAAGGCCACGAGGAAAGCATCTTCAAACCAATCGGCTGGGAAGAGTTCTCCACGAAGACAGCCCGCATGGAAAGCCTCCCACAGCTAGCTCCAGAAAGCCAGGTCGTCCTCGAATTAGTCCGGGACGCCCTGGAACTCAAAAAGCTCAACAACAACCTAATGAAGATCACCATGTTCGAAGACCTGATCGCGGACCTCTACGCCCGACTATACGAGATCAACGCCCCCCATCTAGTCGAGCAAGCAACGGACGAAAACAAAGAAAAGATGAAAGTCGACCACCTCCTCATGCTCGGCGACGGCCCAACCGAAGCCTCAACCTCAACCTCACCAACCACCCTCCCTACCTTGGAGACTCCGGCGCCCCGAGGCCGGACAAAGGGCATCGCCCGCCGCGATATCCAGAAACGCGCCGACACCATCGTCAACACGAAGCTGGCTCCTCGCGCTATCGCAAATAGACTCGCTTCTGCTGGCGACACCGACCCGCCTGCGACACCGCAGGGCCCTGGGTCAACGCCTGCGGGCTCTGCCTCAGCGGCTCGTGGCTCCATCAAGGTTGTTATTTCAGGTGGAGATACGTCGGCTGAGCAGCGTGATGAGCACGATGGCGGGGACGAAACTGAGATGAGTGAGGCTGAGGATACGAAGCTGGAGGAGGGGACGTCAGCGCTTTTCCCTCACGTTACTGATGCGGAGGAGATAGGGACTGGCGATGAGGATGCTGAGGATGGTAATGAGGAGGAGGATGATCATGAGGGGGATGAAGGTGAGGGTGTTACCTATATGGAGGGTGATGAGGATGATGAGATGCAGGATGAGGAAACGAGGTTGGAGGAAGACGACGACAAGAATGCCACTGCCGATCAGTCTGCCAACGAAGCTGAGGGTGAGACTATCAATGACAAGCAGGACGGCGGAGAACCGGATGCAATGGATATCACACCTGCTGAGTCTTGAGGGGTTCGTTTTGCATTTCAGCCTTTTTTTTTATGGAGGGCCTTAGTTTTTTTTTTATGGAGCACATGGGAGGACGTTTCCCTAAGAGACAGAACTATTTAGAACTGCTCGCTGGCGTTGGGAGACCGGTTGCTATGGATGGCTTACGAGCTAGCATGTACAATACAATATTCACACGTTCCAAAACTGGTATTCAGGACAGAAAATATCAAAAATTTTCAAACAAACATGAAATCCAAAACGCCTCGGCCAGGGGATATCTTCGTATCAAACAAAAAAAACAAACAAAGTGATTAAAAGTTTTAGTATCTTAGACATGGGGAGAAGAAGAATCAATCGTGAGGGTCGTGAAGGTAAGAGATAGACGGGAGAAGAAGATTAGATCTCATCCTCAGGTGCAAGGTCCCATTTCCGCGTCCCCATTTTCCTTGTCTTCTTGGTAGGCGATGCACTCGGGGACGGGGGAGCAAACATGGTATCAGCGAGCTTCAGCTGATCCATACGCTGCAGCGCATTCTCAATGTCGCTCTCGCGGCCATGAAGATTAGATCGCGCGGGCGCGACAGTCTTGGTCCTAGGTTTTCTGGTTGGAGATTGGCTGAGCATTTCACGTTCAAGAGCGGCTAGTTTGCGACGAAGCTGGTCGTTTTCCTGTTCGAGCTCGTCCATTCGTCCATTGGCATCGAAATCTTCAAAAACTGGGAATAAGGGTTAGTTTGACAAGCCCTGCCCTCCAATGATATTTAAGAACTCACTCTGAAATCCGCGGGATACAAGTTCAACCTTCTTGTCAATGTGCTCATCGTTGCGGCCAATCTGGGGAGAGTTAGAGTTGATATCGTTCGAAATGGACCGGATATGCTGACCTGTTCATCCCATGCGTTCTGCCACCGTTTCCTTTCCTCTTCCATTTTCTCGTCCATCTCTTCCCAGCACTCCTCGCGTACATCTTGCTCGATGATAAGACATCTTTCCTCGGCAGCCCTGAGCCTTGTTTCGACCTCAGCGCGTGCAATCTCTTCTTCCGCAAGCTTTACAGCGAGTGCGTGGCAATCGCGGGTGAGGCGAGTAATCTCACTAGCGGCCTTCTGGAGCTCTTCAATGGCCTCGAAATTAGGTGACGTACGGCCACTGACTGAGCGATGACTGCCAGATGCCGCAGAGATGATGGACTCGGAGAGCGAGGGCATCCGAGGAACGGTAACTTCGCGAGCCAACGCCGAATAGCGTAAGATTTGAGAGGTGGCATTGAAATCACCCAGTGGGTCGGCGGTGACTACCATGACTGCCTTTTGTGGGTACTGTCCCCGGGACATCTGAGAGGATGAAGGGAACGAATTCGAGAACAAGAGCTCGGTTAGTTTACACTGGCGGTAGGGAACAAGTGCAGTCTTTGTGGGTTAGCAGCTATTAACGCAACGATCAATGGGTGTTTCACATACCTTCATTCCATCCTGGATGTTGCTTTGCATCTGTAGGCATTGACCGAGATACATCAAACTTTCGTTGATTTTACCGGCCTCAGCTAGAGTGGCGCCAGCTGTCTTGGCCGTTCTCGCGCGCTCAGAGCCTGAATCATCAGCAATGGTCCTGCTATATGAACATCGGTTTACGTACCAGCAAGATCAACAACAGTGAGGGCATTTCCAACCCAGGTGTATTCCCCGGTGCGTTTTGAGTATGTGCGCTTCTTCACTTCCAAGGAAAAGAAGCCGTGACTTCGAGAGCTCACGCTATTCATTCCAGTACCAGTCACCTTGCGCTCGGTTAGACCAACATCCAAAATGGCCAGTGCCTCTTCATAGCTGCTGCAAGCGATTTTGCGAAGTCCTGCAACCAACTTGCGATCCGGTGAACCTTCGGTGGGCTTGAACAGCAAGGGGCGTCGTCGATCCTTTTGGTTATTTCCGCGGGACATCGTGTTTCCTTGACCAGTAACAATGGCGGGGGACAAAAGATCAAAAATTCGATCATTGTATACCTCATACATAGATACCAAAACAATGTAGTCAGACTTTGGATCCATATCCACAGTCAGGTGGCTCATATCCGGAAGTCTAGGTAGAGCATCAGGTCTTTCGCGTGCGTGGCGTCGGGGAAAGTTTAATGCAGGGCTCGGTTCCTTGAAGACATAAAGTCGAGATTTAGCTGATTGTGGCTCAAAATTGTGGGAGTGGGTATAAGGGACTGGATTAATAAATCCTGGGGTAATCCATCCACAATACTCAGTCGAGGTTTGGCCAATGCCAGCTCGATCAGTGCTAATGGGACTGGCCACAGAAGAGAATTCCACCTTGCGGGGGGTTCCAGCTTTAGATCTTGGCCTCGGGAGAGACGATCCAGGTGTACGAGCTCGCGGGGTCGGCGATCCATGGAGGGTTTTCAGGGCAAGGGGGCATCGTACCGAGAGTGGGGTATTGGCACGAGCCGGACTCATGGGTGTTTGCGCTCTTGAAGAACGTCCGTTTGGTTCGCCATATACAGCTTCCAAGAATGTTTGGGCAGAGAACAACTGGGCTTCCGATGCATCTGCAGTGGCCAGTGAAGCTAACATTACGGGAGTAATGCTGCCATCTTCGGTTTTAATTGTCGGCTCCAGGGAACGGAAGATTACGTCGAGTGCCATTTGGGTCATTCCTCGTTGTGTCTTGGATCCTAGAATGGTGTGGCTCTGTCATATCATTAGTTTTAGAATTGCAACAGGGTGAGATGCAGCTCAGACCTTTCCGCTGCCCGTTACTCCGAGCGTAGCAACTAGACCATCTCGATTTTCCTTCAGCACTCCCCGAATGATGGGTTCCATCCCAGTGTCATGGAAAATATCCAATTGCGAAGCGCTCTCGTCAAAGACCTTGGTGAAACCGAACCTCTCAATCGCGCGCTTTCTCGTATCATTAGGAGGCTGAAGGGTAATATGTGTTGAGCCTCGCGAGACAATTTCAGTTTCATCAAGTGAAGACTCAGGAGGCTCCACGGTAAGAAAACGCCCAGATTCATCTGGTTTCTGAGCCATCGGCGGGCGCAGGCGCAGGAATACTTGAAACAACGATGTCTGGGGCTGTTTAGGCGGCATTTTGGGCACTAGTCTCGTGGATATGTATGCAATTGCACGATGACGGGCGTTGAAGTTGAATGGATGCAATCAAAACAGTCAAACATCAAACCCGCAGAGTCCAGAACGCTGATCAACATTAAAGTTGCCTCTTTGGGGTTGCCAGGACAACCATATCACGTGCCAGATTTGAGGCTCCGGTGAATTTCTACTTGATCTCATTCTTTCGGTCTCATGGAAGACAAAGACAATACTGATCCGACTTGCTATATTTGCAACGGCTGCTACGACGAAACAGAAATGGGTCTAAGGGTCAGTGGTTGTTGGGACTCTAGCCAAATTGGTACATCTCGTATTTCCTTCGAGCCTTTGCCACATATTGAGATCTACAGACAATCAATAGAAGCCTTCTCGATTCTTATTATATTGGTTCATTGCAGGGCGTTACTTGAACCCAAATGACTTCGTATTTTGCTGTGCCAGGCCAAGCCACTCTCAATACGAAGCGTCCAACGCTCTTTCCTCACAGCCTTGGTGGGTACATCGGAAGGATCTTCGCGCTATAATTCGTCAGTCTAGTGTCACGCTTATCCTAATTAGGTAACTCGTTTTCGCTTACCTTGGGCACATGGTATAGAGTTGCAGCGTCACTGTCATCCAACGTAAAATCCACGAGTATATATACCAGGTCGTAAAGCCCCCTGAGACATAGCTATGTCAAGCATCATATCTTATATTCACTCCAAGCGTTGTTACTAAATCTTTATTGCAATCATGCTTGAGGCAAGATCGTCGTATCGTGAGTCGACTATCAAATCAAATTACCTCATTTGACCTAACATATCAAAGAGGAGGGAAGCTTGTGGTTCTATGCGCCTAACAAAGGTGCTGCGATAGCATTTGCCATCCTTTTTGCTGTCTCGGGCGGCATACATGGTTACCAAAGCTAGTATGTCACTTCTGTAGCAAACCCTAAGATTTAAAAACTAATCCAATGTACAGCAAATATAAATCCTGGAAAGTCACTGGACTTCTGCCATGGTCTGCCCTTCTGTTCACAGCAGGGTTTATCCTGCGTGCTATTGGAGCATTCGGGCAGTGGGGAAATCTCGGTGTATTTATCGCAAGTACTGTACTCCTCCTGGCTGGACCGTAAGTTATATACACCCGATCTTCCCTGAGATATCACCACTGAAGATAGCTCTCTGTGCTTTCTAGGCCAGTATACGAAGGAGCCAACTTCTTCATCCTCGGTCGAATGCTTTACTACATACCTTACCACTCACCCATCCACCCCGGCCGCGTATTTACAACTTTCGTCGCCCTGGGAGTGGCCATCGAAAGCATTACCGCAAATGGAGCAGCCCGAGTAGCAAGTTCAGACTCTACTGTCGCCTCACAAAACATTGGCAAGTCACTGCTCAAGGCAGCACTGATCATGCAAATTGCTCTTATGGTAGGATTTGTCAGTCTAGCTGGTCGATTTCACTACAATTGCTCCCGAGGAGGGGTATTGAATCACAAGATCAAGCGTACGCTGTTAGTCCTCTATTGCAGCTGTACGCTCATCACAATCCGCACGATCTACCGAACCGTGGAATACTTCACTGCGGCCAGCCTCAATGCTTACGGTGACCTCGAACACATAAGCCCTGTGCTGAAACAAGAATGGTTTTTCTGGGTCTTCGAGGTCGTGTTCATGTACAGCAATACCACTTTGCTGAATGTATTCCATCCGATGCGCTCGCTTCCGCGATCTAACAATATATATCTTGCGGAAGATGGTGTTACAGAGATTGAAGGGCCAGGTTACGAAGATCCCCGCCATTGGCTCCAGACATTCTTTGATCCATTCGATATTTATGGTTTGATTGTTAACCGAGGCAAGAAAGAGAAGTACTGGGAATCAAACGCAGCCCAAGGAAGCACAACTCTTTCCAAACAAGCTGTATAGTCAGTCACACATGTTCATGCCAATTTCTTGCGAAGTTTCTTTTGACAATGTATCTGATGTCTTATGTTCATCCAATTTCACTTCTAATTTTCATACTATCAACTCGACGACTCTTCAACTTTTCGACGGCATATATATATAGAACAAAGATTATTGATCACCAATCCTCCTCATCTTTACCCAATTCTTCCTGAATCTCCCAACTGTACCGAGCGAACTTGCTAGCCCGACGGATCCTTTCCCCGTAAAAGATAAACACAGGCGGCACGATACAGAATGCAGTGGCCAGAGCAGCCAACACAGACATAGCAATGTTGTTACCAAGCCCGTCGAACATTTGCGTTGTAAAGAGCGGGAATGCACCAGATAGCAGCGCTCGCACAAACGCAACTGCCGCAGTGGCACTTGCAGAATAACTCAGATAGCTATCTGAGATGTACCCATACAGCACGGTGTCCATCTCCGTTAGAGCATACCCCACCAACACAAGAGATATTGTGGGCACAATCCATGCAGTCTGAACATCTGGTGGAATAGTCCAAGCAAACCACCACAGACCAATTGCAAGGAATGGGCCACCTAGGCCCAGCCCAACGAGTTTGTACTCTGGCTTGATAGGCTGCCCCTGGCGGCGGAAGTAGTCAAGGATATAGCCATCAAGTATGCGGGTGAACACGCTGAGAACAGTTCCCAGTCCAATAGCGATGAAGATGAGGGATGCCTCGGTCTCTGCGAATCCCATCGATTCATAGATGGGCTGCAGGGCTTGCGTGAAGATATATATCAGAGACATGGCCACGGAAATCATCATTGAAACGATGAAGATGATGGGTTCTTGGAAGAAGAGCTGGACCGGCCGGAAAAGAGACTCCTTTGCAAATGTATGGAGATCTGGTATATGGTCATGATTAAGAGGCGGCGGAATCGACTTCATAGTCGTCATGTCTGTGACTTGCTTGACCTCATTGGCCAGCAACAAAGAGGGTCGAGATTCGCGAACAAAGAATAGACCGCCTGTGACTACAGCAATGATCATGGCGAATATATAAAAGTTCCACCGCCTGAATATTGCGTCAGCATCCAGCACAGATAGTGAGTGTTGAGCAACTTACCAATCGAGACCTGCTACGATATAGCTGCTCATGATAGGCCCAAGAATCAGACCGATGTTTGATGCAATGGTCCAATAGTACATAGCCCAGATTCGGGCTTGCGAGTTGAACATATCTTCAATGCTTCCACCGATAATGGTGTACGGGATCGCGGAGAGAAGCCCAGCGATGATTCGCATGATGATAATAATAGGCAATGGGCGTACAAGGCCAATGATCATGCAGCAAATTGCGCTTAGACCACTGCTGAAAATGTACATGTTCTTGCGCCCAAAGGCTTCTGACCATGGCGGGAACAAGATAGTGCCTGCCACCTGGCCGAGGAGAAATCTGTTCGATGTGAGAAAGGATAGTCATAGGCTATTGGAGTGATTATCTTACAGCGTCACAAAAACAAAGGTAGATAGCGTTTCACTCATGTTATATTCATGCTTAGCTTGTGCAGCTGCAGCCGACTAGAGAAACCATGTTAGCTTGACAATTCTTGATATAGAGTAAGTATCCACCTACACCAGCGGTGCTAGATGCTGTGCTGCATAGATTGTCAGCAGTCATCCTCAAAATATCGATAATTGCTTCAATCATACATGAAAAGATCCAATAGACAAATGAGAACAACATCATATGTCTTCCTCGCTCCAGACCAATTGCGAGGATGCTTCGGATGATCACGCAACCATCGCACATATTTTCCATCCGGGGTAAGCTCAAGAGAATGTTCGTGTAGTAACGCGAGAGGGGAGGCCTTAGCCTCATCCATCGACAAGGTCGACGCCGTCGACTCTGGTGAGATAGGCTGCATATCGAATAACCGCCAAGTAATTCATAGAAGTGACAAACGAAAAACAAGCCACCCTATGCACTGGTGGATCTGATTGGGGGTGGGATCTAGAGCTTTTATCATATTCGCAAATGTTCCTGGCTGGAAATTATTTTGGAAACTTTGCCCTGGAATGGAACCCCTTGCGATCTGCGATATTGGGTCGCTGGAGCTCAGTTCCTGATACACACGCGTCACCCACCTAAAATTGTGTCTGGAATCTGGCTTGTGATCGACGCCTTGCATCTGCGGACAGGTGATAGTTGAAGCTTAGCCATGCAGTCAAGCAGTCAAGCCTTTGGCTTAAATTTGAGTCTACTCTGGAATAAGCTGCGTGGATTCAGGTCCGGATCTTGGTGTGCTGCCATGAAACCTCGTCCAGTGACTTAATTTGCAGGGGTAGCTATTTCCAGCATTCCTCGTGGGAATATCTCCGCGGCATTGAAGATGAAATTCTATTTGGAGTAATGATCAGCCCATGATGTCAATCTATTTCTTCGCCTAATAATGCTATTTGCGATGCTATGAGCATATCACAAAATATAGAAACAAGCTTGGTATAGTGATGTCCGGCGTCCGGGGAGACGGAACAGACCCGCTCTTGTGGTGGTGACAATTATTGTACCTCTGCAATGCTTCGATTCATTACTGGATCAACTAACTAGCCTGGATACTTTGCGTACTTGGCGATCTAGTCATATAGAACGTCAGGGCTGACTTACAATTAGTGCTCATCTTGCCAATGTAAACCGTACTGTGACCTCCATCAACCCTAAACAACAAGCATTTTGCATCATCTTGCATAACCGCCAATGTGTGAAACAAATAGTTGTATGCATGTATCATCTTAAATTTGAGCATAGTATCAATACCAGGCAGCCAAATTGCATCATCTCATAATCAATACGTGTTGAAGATCCGAACCAAGCCTTCGGATGATCTACGCCGATCAATTGTTGACCCATGATGAGCTTCGCAGCAAGCACGCAGTCTTCAATCCCCACTTGCGGTCTGGATCCTCTTTCGACTCATAATATAGCTGAACACATCGCTCTCCACGTCTTGCAAAGTCGTAAAGCACGCAACTTATTTAAGCATTCAGTTTTCCTATGAGCCATTTCTGTAACGAAACGGGATTTTCAGGCAGACCCCTAAGTATAACTCTATGGTACTTTCAATCGGACATGTGTCTCAATCTGTAATTGCCGAGTTCCGTATACACATGCGTTGTTGTCTTTGAATTGAGACTGTGCGTAACATATATAATATTTCTTCGGTCTTTCGGACTTTTCAGAGGATATTGGCTTGAGTTGACGATATTGTACACGATTCAAGAATCATCAACACCATCTTTCCCGCGATTCAGAAGTTTCTAGCTAGTAGTATATGTACATATGTACTTATTATCGTGTTAGGCAATGTCGGTTGTAGATATCCAGCCGCGTTCCATAGGTTTATCTGTTCAACCAAATAGAGTAAGACTGACTTTGTTATCCTTTCTACTGGTGATAATAAACTTAGGAGATTGTCAACGTAAAAACCCCCACCTTGGTAAACTAGTTAATATCATTAGAGATGATATGAAATTAGCAACCTACAAAGTGTGATACAACAATACTTCAGTAGAAAGTGCACTTAGTACATGTCGATTAAAAGTGCACTCCGTAACACTAAATACGAGTTAAGGATATATTAGGAGGGTACGGGAGCGCAGCCGCTACCTAGGTACCCGTGGTGCTATCTTCATTACTAGGGGTGGGATCTTCGACCGAAGCCGCCCGCCATAGTGAGGCGAAGAAGAGCCTGGGCGCGTACTATTCTGGCCGTGATGGGCATGATGACATTATATAAAGCGCACTGATGTGTTGGACCGATAAATAGACAGACCTGACCCAGCCAATGGGAGATACTTTCTCTTCCAGGTTTCTGCACCAGATTACTACGCCAAAAATCGGCGTCTATATCATAATCTTCGGCAATTTTCAATTAACGATGAAGGTCTGATCTTTCCAGAAATCCGCATATAGTTATGTTTCCTTTTTTGAGTATCCCGAATACTGTCAATTACCATCTGATTTATCGTTTTACTTGCTCCTGTTATCAAAAGAAGATAGTCACTATCTAAGGATAGCTTCGCTACGAAGTTTCGCACTAATTGTAAGGATCGGAGAAAGTGTTTGGTACGTCTGCGGGTACGGAGTAGAGTGTAAGCACCTAGTAACTAGGGACTACGTTGTAGATCTGCGCCAAGCCGATCTCCGACAAGGCCACCTCTCCGCATCAATATCTCAGATCAAAACACCACCCAACCAGCCCAGCTGGCTCAAGAAGAATAGGTATCCCTCTCTTTCATTATATACAGCTAAACAGCTTCCCGGGAGATTGATTCTAACCCATCCCTATCCAGCATCACCCCCAGAACCGCCCTGTCTTTGTCCCGATCGCGAACCACCCATCATGCTGTCCTCATTGTCGTCGAGCATTTCAAATGCGCGCCAATCCATCGCCCAAGTGCTGAACTTTGCCCTTGTGCTATCAACCGCCTTCATGATGGTAGGCCCTCACCACATACCCAGTACCGACGGAGCATGAAGCTGACCAACACAAAGTGGAAGGGCCTGAGTGTACTAACAGCCTCATCGTCACCAATTGTTGTGGTTCTTTCTGGGTCTATGGAACCCGCGTTCCAAAGAGGTGATCTGCTCTTTTTGTGGGCGCGCAGCCCACGAGTAGAGATCGGAGAGGTTGTCGTCTGTAAGTTCGAGTTAGCTCTCGGGATCGAAGCCCAATTCTCTAATTGCAATGCTAGACAACGTTCGCGGGAAAGATATTCCCATTGTGCACCGTGTTGTCAGGACGTACCCTGAAGTGGAGGGACGCGCGAGCGCAAAGAAGGTGAAGGAGATTACTGTGTATGGGTTCCCCTTGAGAGAGTGTGACTAGTTGTGCTGATAGGAGGATTTAGTGATACAACACCCGAGTCGCATATGCTCCTCACTAAGGTATGCAATTTGCGAATTTTGTCCGGTGATGTGTTTCATTAACTGACTTACCGCAGGGCGATAACAATTTGTCGGACGACACCGAGCTGTACGCGCGCGACCAGGACTACCTTGATCGAAAGGAAGATATTGTAGGAAGTGTCAGAGGGTATATCCCCATGGTTGGATATGTTACTATTATGCTCAGCGAACACCCATGGCTGAAGACAGTCATGCTGGGACTCATGGGTCTGATGGTGATACTCCAGCGCGAGTAAGATGTAATATAAAACCGTTGGAAAGTTATAAAATGCATGCTCTATGAAGCCAACAAAATATAGAATAGACCAAACTACTAAACTACTACTACTTAATTTGCCAAGTTCACAATGTTACAAAAAAAAGGAAGAAAGCGTAAAGCGCTAAACCTCCGATATCCACTGACGTCTTTGGCCCCCCTCCGAGCCACTTCTACTTTGTAGCTCCTGTTTTACCATTCGTACTTTTCACTCAACCTCAACTACATACAACGTTTTCCTGAAACCTCTAACTTTCCATATATCTGTTGGCTTTGACCTGACAAATTCGGTGTTGTTGTTGTAATCTTGCAGTCTTCCAACTCCCCGCATCACCCCACGAAACCAGAAATCAATCACAATGGGCAGCATCAAACGCATATCCAAGGTGAGCGCCTGCGTCACACCCAGTGCTATTCGCTATACTAACCATCTATCCCACACCAGGAGCTAGGCGAGCTCACCGAGTCCCCCCCAGAAGGAATCACAGTCACACTAGCCGATGGAGAGAACGTCTACAACTGGAACGTCTATATGGATGGACCCGAAGACTCACCATACCACGTATGTCAACCCCGACATCCCACCCCTACCCTACCCTACAACCAGCAGAACCCGCCGTATCAAGCTCCAAGTCCCCAACCTCAAACCCCACCCCTCATACCACCTCTAACCTCACCCAGAACGGAAAATTCCTCGTCAAACTCACCCTCCCAACCGAATACCCCTTCAAACCACCCACCGTCTCCTTCGCCACAAAAATATACCACCCAAATGTCACAAACGACGACAAAGGCAGCATGTGCCTGGGCATGCTCCGACCAGACGAGTGGAAACCAAGCTCCAAGATCGCAGCCGTGCTGCAGTTCGCGCGCCAGCTGCTCTCCGAGCCTATGCCGGACGATGCAGTCGAGAGCAGGATCGCTGACCAGTACAAGAATGATCGCGGAGCTTATGATGCTACGGCGAGGGAGTGGACGCGGAAGCATGCCCATGCGAAGCCTACTTAGAATGTGGGAATTGAATTGCAATAAATTGAAAGGATGGTTGGGCGGCCGCGGCGCTGTTAAGGAAAGACGGCTGTATTATGTATTACCTGGTCGAAGCTAGACGGGCTGCATGGATGGGCTGTGGGTTACGAATTCAAAGCTGTTATGCCATTTCGTTGGCTTTGGTTCTTTTTGGAGCGGTGCGTTCATAGATTGGCGATGCTTCCCTGAGCTTGTAGATTGGTGTTAGGACCGGAGTAGCTTGAAGAGCATTGGATACCGCTTGGCTTCTTGCCATTCGTCGATCATGTTTGGTATGAAAGGCTGGCATGAACCGGATTCCAGAGAACCAATAGATAGATGGATGTGCAATTGGTCGGGAAATGTTACCATTGGCCATGACCTAGTTTGTCTATTCAGTGGGGCTTATGCGACATAACCAAATCAAGGCCACCTACGTTAGCTATCTATACTACATGGTTTAGCACGGGAAGTCTACATTGTATATCGAAAGGAAGGTGTAGATATTCTCAAAGTTCATATTCCAGGAGAGCGGTCTTTCGACCATGTATGGACATTCATTACAGCGTGTCAGAATACAACGCTACATACAACCGGGACGCTAACATCCCCAGGCGAACAACGCTTTTTCGGCAGCATGGAGAGAAGCTTTCGGGTAATCAGGTAAAGGAAAAAAGGGAATCAAAGGGAGCAAATGCTCAAGACATTTAAAGCTGGTTGGCAGTGTTGAAGTCCTCCAGGGCCTCCTTGACACGAACGCTCATGGTCTTCTCACCCTCGCGCACCCACACGCGGGGATCGAAGAACTTCTTGTTGGGCTTGTCGGCGCCATCGGGGTTACCGACCTGGGAGAGGAGGTAGTCCTTCTTGTTCAGGACGAAGTCACGGACACCGGTCAGGTAGGCGTACTGCATATCGGTGTCGACGTTGACCTTGACGACACCGTAGCTGATGGCCTCCTTGAACTCGGCCTTGGAGGAGCCGGAGCCGCCGTGGAAGACGAAGAAGACGGGCTTGTCAGACTTGGACTTGGTCTGCTCGGCGACGTACTTCTGGTGCTTGGAGAGGAGCTCGGGGTGCAGCTTGACGTTGCCGGGCTTGTAGACACCGTGGACGTTACCGAAGCCGGCGGCGATGGAGAAGTAAGGGGAGATAGGAGCGAGGGCGTTGTTGATGGCCAGGATGTCCTCGGGCTGGGTGTAGAGGGAGTTGTTGTCAACATCCTCGTTGTTGACACCGTCCTCCTCACCACCGGTGATACCGATCTCCTGTGAAGGCTGTTAGCACTAGATATATCAAGGGTTCTGCAAAGTAAAATGTGACTTACCATCTCGAGCCACTGCTTCATAGGGGCAGCGCGCTTAAGGTAGGCGGCGGTGGTCTTGATGTTCTCTTCAACGTCCTCCTCGGACAGATCGATCATGTGGGAAGAGAAGAGGGGCTCGTTGTGCAGCTTGAAGTAAGCCTCATCGGCATCGAGCATACCGTCCAACCAAGGGAGGAGCTTCTTGGCGCAGTGGTCGGTGTGGAGGATAACGGGGATGTCATAGGCGGGGGCCACGCTACGGATGTAGTGGGCAGCGGCAACGGCACCAGCGATGGAAGCCTTCTGGCCATCGTTGGAGACACCCTTACCGGCGAAGAAAGCAGCACCGCCCTGGGAGATCTGCAGGACAACGGGGCACTTCTGGTCACGGGCAGCCTCGAGGGAAGCGACAACAGTGGAGGAGGAGGTGACGTTCTAGAGGAATTGTTAGTTATAAGAGAACAATGATGAATGTAAGAGGCAATTGAAGAGACTCACAATGGCAGGGATGGCAAACTGCTTCTCCTTAGCGTACTCGAAGAGACGGAGGACGTCGTCACCGACGATAACGCCGGACTTGCGGTTCAGTTGTTCAAGGACACCCATTATGAAGTTTGTACAGATAAAAAATGTGAAATAGAAATCTGGAAGAAGAAGAAGAAGAAGGAGAGGTCAGATCCAATGGTACAAGTAGTAAAAGCAAGCTCTTTACCGGGAAACCGAAAGCGGGCGAATTTAAGTCAAGAGAGGGGCAATTTGGAGGGGCACAGCAGAAAGCGCGTCATCGGTGAAGACGAGCGGCTTAGTAGACAAGACACTCACCGGTTATGTGGATCTTTCCAGTGGAAACTTGAGGTCACTGAGGTCACTGAGGTCACTGAAGTCAGTATGATTTCAGAGGAAAAAAAGAAAAGGAAAAAGGAATGATCTAATTCCTCTTTTATGTATGGCCCGGTCCTCTGTAACCCGGGCCCCTCCGTGATAGCCCGACGTTGTTGAGTAACGGGAACGAAGCTCTATACAATTTAAGCTGTCGGGTTGATTTTGAGTCTTCTCATTTCGTATTGGATGGCATGTCCAGGAATCATACAATGCTATAAAGCTTCTCTTGGCCTTTCGTTCTCATTTTACATATTATAATAGCTATAATAACATTCAATTGTCTCCTAGAAGGCGTCGAACCAAAGCTCCTAAGAATTGACCCGTATTTTGTTCGTGGCGGGGAGCCGAGGAATTCGAGGCCATTCGCCGCTTTTCTACTTGTCAAACCGGTCACGTTCAATATTCCATCTAGAACCTGTTCAATCCGGTCTACAACGTATATAGTATTCAATGATTTACACAATTAACCAGTTTAACTATGTCGGGTACTCCACATTTATATCAAGTCAACAGCTGGACAAGTTCTTGATTATACAATATATGTATGTAAATACAATTGCTGTGACATCATCTTGGCGGGGTTCTATAACACCCGTTAATCGGAAGTAATTATTTCCCTCAACTCGAACGGAGAACTGTTTCGGTTGGGATTCATATGTTACCTAGGTAACTGCACTATCTGCACCAATTACACTAGCTTCATCCAAGATGGTTGGTCGGACTCCGTTGATATATCTCAATTCTCTGTATAGTTATTTTATGAATATATACGGGACGCCTGTTCTAAAAGAAAAGAAAAGAAAAGAAAAGAAAAGAAAAGAAAAGAAAGAGAAATCACGCCGGAATGAAATGCTATCAAACCCCCTCGGTAGGGTTCAGATCGGGCTTCTCCAACTCGTAGAATAAGAGGTACACCTCCCTCTGCATGCCCAGCACGTCGGAGGTCTTACATTCCTTGATCTTCTCATCCGAGATGCGCCACCAGCGATCGTTCGGCTTGCGACGGCGTCGAAGCCGCGAACTGACCCCCGTGGGGGCATCCTGGGAAGGGCGGGGTATGCTGCGGGACGGCCGCGGGCCAGAGCCACTCCAGCGACCCTGATCTGTCGCCGGGCTATCCGAAGTAGGAGATAATGTTTGTTTCGAGGACCGGGACGTGGTACTCTGGAAGGAACGTCGCGAGCCTGAGGTCGCGGGCCGTCCTGGGGTGAGCTGTGTTGCCGAGGCCGAGGCCGAAGCTCCCGATAGCGAGGCCAGCGAGTCCGCCGTGGAAAGGCTGCCGATGGCTTCTGGGTCCGGGCTACTGCGCGGTATGATCCGCGGGCTGGGTGCCGCGGACGGGTTCTCGCTCGCGGCACGGCTCTGTGCGTAGGAGCTGAAGGCCTCTGGCGTCGAGAACGGCGGGTAGATATGGTTCCGTCGGAAGGACTCGTAGTGTCCGCTGTGGTGGCTGCCTTTGTGGCAGACAATCGCGAGCAGCTTGTACCACTTCTGCGTGAGGATGCCGCCTAAGGGCAGTCGCTCGGGGAATGACACTTTGGCTGCGTTCTTGCTCGAGCTGCTCCGGTCGAAGATCGATCGCGACAAGTGGATGGCGATGACCTTGGGAAAGGCCGTGATGCGCATGTGGCGCGCAATCCTGCGCTTGGGGACGGTCTGCGACGGCGGGAACACGATTCCTTCCAGCTCGACCTCGGGATCCGTCTCTATAGCCTCGCGGAGGCGAGAAATCTCCTGTTCCAGACGATCCTGATCGTCCTGTGTCCGGGCACGAGCAAGCTCCTTGCTTTTGACATCTACAGCATGCTGCAGACTGCATCGATCGCAGCGGAAGTCCTCAATGTATTCAGTTTTCAGCAGACCGTCAAAGCACGAGCCCAGGGTCGTGGAGCTCTTTTGGGGCACCTGCAGCGTCAGATTGACGAACGCCGTCTGATTGGGCTTGTATTGGTAATGGCAGAACTGGCACTCGATCTGCGACTCCATTTTGCCCTCGAAGGGGAACCCAGACTCCTGGTCAATCTCCTTCAATTTCGTGTCAATGATAGCAGGCAGTCCATTGGGCGATCCATCATCAATCCGAACCTCGACTTCAGACGAGCTCTCCTGCGCGCTGCCCTCGGCCGATGTAGAAGCTGCCGCGCCAATGGCGCCCAATGCTCGCTGCCGCGCGCGCGCACCAGCATGGTACTCATCGCAGAGCCGCTCCAGAACAATCTGCAGGAATTCCTGCGCGTCCTGCTGATTGCGACTGATGCGTGTGCGGAACGCGTATTCCAGCGCCTGGATGAAGTCGCGAGCCGAGATAGTCTTTTTGTAAATCGGCCTCTCGTTCAACCGATCCAACATCTCCTTCAATGCCCGCGTAGTTATGCCCTGCTGTAACTCCCGCAACTTGTCTGACCGCGCTGCCGAGAGCTCATCGTCGCTGGCCACGACATTGTATGTTTCTGGCCCGTCCAGTTGCCGTCGGTGTAGTTCGTGGATCAGGTAGACCCGCAGATCGCCCAGGCCGGCGAGTGCCTGGAGCACTGAATTGATGAAGCAGTCATTGGCCAGGTTCGATAGGCCGACGATGCTTTTTTTGCGATTGCTGTCGTTCGATTCATCTCCGTCGATCGTGTAGTTCGGACCGAACACGTAGAACAAGGCAACAGCGGCTAGCGAGGCCCCGGCCGCGTAGGCCGCGACGGTAGTCGGCTTTTCTTGCATCAAGCACGGCGGTATAGAGGAAGGGGAGGTTCGGCGGTTGGTGGATCGGGGCAGGCAAAGTTCTATCTCATCGCCCCATCCTATTGCCCCGAGTAGTGGAGGAAGAAGTTGTCGAGGGGCGGCTGAGGGATCACGGAACGGTCAAGGTTGGTGGGAGTTATTTTGTTGGTCAAGGGTGTAGGCGCTGGTAAGCCGAATCAATTGAGAGAATTCAGAGAACGGGTTCAGCCGGGGAAGAGGGGATGGCGGGAGAGTGGAGCGATATCCATGCGGAGACGAAACAATCATTCATTAATATTCGTGCTCAATTTCGGAGGAGAAATTCAGATTAGCCACTTTATCAAATGGGGCAAACTCCCGGTCATGATCGTCCTGGACTTGGCTTGGAAGCTGACTTTCAGAACGTTGGTCCGGCATTCCTTCGTTTTCGCGGGACTCTCCAATAACTGGAGCATTCCTCTTGGCCCAGGCACCGTTGCAGTGAATGGGTAAAACCCCCACGGGCGGATTCTCCGGATGTCCGTCTTACATCTCCCCGCAGTGGTTTGACCCCGGTTACGCATAGTCTGGGGTAAGGAGAGCCACGTTTCTTGGGAAATAGACATGAAACGAAGTGCTGTAACGGCCTGATTCCCAATTTCTTTGCATCATCATGGTTAAGGTGACTCATGGCTATAACCCCCTTGAAATACTATTCTCTTCTTCAACCTATCCACCTGACAACACACAGCCTTTGATGGGATTCCAGGATATCAGCATGACTTGTGCTCAAGCCTTTAAACTATAGACTTTCCACATCACTCGATTGTAATGCACTTTGCGGGAGATACAAATCAAATGATTGGCTCACAATCTCAAGCCCAGTATTTAAACAACCCCTATAGTATCTCCATATGTATCTTGACTGGCTCCATCTTGCATCAGTGGATACGAGATAAGACACACAGGACATTTACAGTTGTTCTAGAAAGAGAAAGATATTGACGCCATATGCCAAGAATTGTCAAAGCAATTCATCTTTGATGTTCAAACATGCCACTATTGTGACTTTTATAATATTCCTTGTCCAAGCTTGCGTTTTATCAAATGCACCATCAAATCATGTAAACTTCCACATTGAAGACACCAGCGCGGCAGGCTTATGCCTGAAGCGACTTGGGCAGAGTAGCGACCTTCTCATCGAAGAGCTGCTCGGCCTGCTTCCAGACCCGAGAGTTGGCCCGGTCGTTAAGGGTGAGAAGGCTAGGCAGGAGGGCTTCGCTGAACATCTCGGAGCTCTCACGGGGGAGCAGAGATGGGAGGTGGTCAATGCTAATCACGCTCAGGGCTGGGCCGTCCTTCAGGCCGGTGACGGGGACTGTGGGCTTATCGAAAGTGGTGGTGATATCATACAGGGGAATGGGGTTGAAGGGGTTGGAGCTAGATAGGTTAGCGAAATACTAGCTTGTGGACATCTAGCGGGCAACTTACGTGTCGGCGCTCACGTCGCAGATCACAGAGAGGTTACGGCCAGGTACAGAGAGGGACTCGACGTTCACGAAGGCTATTCCGAAGATGTTAGTCGATTGGCCGGAATGACAGAGGCCGTACCCAGATGAACATGTGAATGGCACATTCATGGTGATGGGTATGAACAAGTTTGGGAGGGACAACTAACGGTTGATCTTGCTAGATAGGTAGATGCAGTTGACGAAAATGTCAGATTGAGCGATTTCCTCGAAGGGGCCACCTGCCAGATGTTAGTGTGACTTTAGTCACAAAGGCATGAGGATAACGAACCCTTCTTAGTCTCAGCCATATCCCACTGGAGAATGTTAGAGTCAGGGATGCCGACATCCTTGGCCAGATCAACGGCACCGCTGCCACAGCGTCCAAGCTATTGCACTGTTAATATCCGTACCACCGAACTCAAGGAAACAAAACTCACAGCTCCAATAACAAGAATTCTAGGGGCCTTGCCAGCAACCTTGATACCGGCTGCGAGAGACTCCTTCACGGACTCAATCAAGGCATCCTTGTTGGCGTAGGGAACCTCGCCAGGCAAGGACTCGTTGGGGTGAGTCAATTGCCACGCCCAGTTCTTCACAGCCAAAGCAGATCCTATTCCACGTCTTAGTATCGATTGTTTCGAGCAACGAGATTCGCGTGAAAATACCTGCGTAACCGGCGGACCATCCGAAGGCTAGTAGAAGAAAATTGTCAGCAAATCGAGTCAACATTAACCAGATCTATGGGTAGGGCTCATACCGGCAACACGACGGCCCGAATCATCAGTCAAAAATTCTAGGTCGAGCAATGTGCCCTTTCCTTGAGGCCAGCGGCTCAAGACCTTCTCCCAGCCACCCTGCTGCTTGAAGCAGTGGGCAAAAGTGACGTGGACATGCTCCAGAGGGAAGTCTTCCTCGGGGAGCTCCTTCAGGCCCAGAATGACAGCATCCTTAGGTGCGTCCTGGACCCAGGAACCCTCCGCAACGAGGGGGGCTCCAATCTATAGCAATTGGTATCCATGCCGAAAACGATTAGACCGAATAGAACATACCTTGGCGAATTCCTCGTCTGGAGAAAGTAGTTAGCCTATTGTGTTCGTATGTTGCAAGGGATGCGGAGGGTTGTTCAATTGGAACATACCATCGAAAATGCGCTGGGTGGACCGCTCAACAGTCACATCGTATCCAGCATCCATCAATGCCTTGCAGGTAGTAGGTGTCACTAGATAGCTGTTAGTCAATTGCTACCCCACCATTGCAGCATTGAAGTTCTCACGGGCAGACCGCGCCTCAGCGGGCTTGGTCTCAGCGCGCAACCAAATCTTTTGTCCAGCCATTGTGAAAGTAGTGAATTGGAAGTTGAAGACTAAAAAAAATACAATAAAATAATAGTGCTATCACCAATAATGACACACACTTTCCTCTCCAGTGATAGCGGGGATGGAGATGGTTAATCCGCTCCGGGAGATATGACTCAGTCCCCCGATTATCGGCCCCGTACATTAGTGATTTTGCCAATCGGAAGTTCAGGCAGTGCAGGTATTTACGGCTAAGTCCTTTTTACTTATGACGTGCTGATTAACTGGATTTTTGTTGGATTTCAGTTGTTTGGCAAACTATGCTATTTAGGACCGACCATTGGTCAAAATACATACGCAGTAGAGCCCGTGTGCATATCAGAAGTGCCGGACTTGGAAAGAAGTAATTCAAACCATAACAAGGTAGAAGAGCATGGCGAGGCTGCAATAATCTAAGCACCCTTGGTTCGACTGCGAGTCCGGCTGCCAATGCCATCTCCCGGAATGATCTTGTTCACTGCGTCCTTGATCTTTTCCTTCTTGGGTTTGTTGGCCTTCCTCTGTGCCCCTTCTTCGGTACCAGAAGGAGCAGCGGTACCATTGGACTCCATTGTAGGTTTCTCTTCTGTTTTTTGCTTCTTGGCTTCACGCTCCTCAGATGATACAGGCTCCTTGTTCTCGGTTGGGGCGGCCAGGGTTGAGTCCAGGTCGCGCTTCTCGCCAGTTACCGTTTCGTTTTTGGGTCCCACCGACGCCTTTGAGTCATTAACAGCGGAAGTTTCTGCCAGAGCTTCTGTTGAGGGTTTCGTCTCTGCGGCTGGGTTGGATGTTTGCGCAGCATCAGTGGGCTTCGGTGCTTCGGCCTTGAGTGGCTCGTTCCTTGCCTCAGGTGCTTGCTCAGCAGCAGCCACCGGCTCGGTTTCAGGCTTGCTATCACATTGGGTGGTGTTTAATGTGTTCTGGAATGCATGCGAATGTTCCCTGACGAGTTGAGCCGTGTCTATATTTCTGGTCAGCATCTAGTGTACTTCCTTAAGCAACCTATACGACAATAGATCAACTGGCAATCAATATTGTAACCTTATTGATCTGTTTGAACCAATTTTATCCATTTCCACGTACGGTGCATATGCAAATCGGGAAACATACCTGAAGCAGCATGGCTCTGCATAGAGGCTTCGTGGGTAGTAGCCATTGTAGATTAATGATGTCAAATTTTGGACAGAACGTCATAAATTGGGGGAAGTTAGGTGAGAGTAAGATCGCAAAGACTATACGACTGCAATTAACGATAAGAAAATGATATTTGAGGAAAAGAAAAGGCGAGAGGTTTTGGGGGGTGTTGAGGTCGCGCTGGTGACGTAGTTGAAATCACTGGAGACGCTAACGATGATTCGTCACTTCAGCTCTACACCTGGGCACGAGATTCTGTCGCACCACTCTAGACCACTTTGACCTTTACATATTCAATTGCCACATGTGCCCCGCAAAAAAATTAGAGCACTAATCTAGAGGAAATCAAATAGTTCCACCTGATTCCAGAGTGATTTAGAGTAAGGGGAGTAACCTGACACTCACATTTGTTATATATATATTTGGCGGGGACAAGACATCCATGGATAGAAAGACGATGGTTACAAAGACATATTCCCAGAATGTTCTCAAAGGTTGTACATATAGATCCTTATCATAAAGATGATATGGATGGATACCAACGACCAAAGATCCATTTCAAAAAATGAAGACAGACTACACATAAGAGTCGAGGCCATAGCATTTATGGCGAGCGTATAGATTGACAATCCGGCCTTAAAGACAATGACCACAAATAGCTCCTCAAGCCGGCCGCTTATGTAGATTAGATCTAAAAGCTTGGTGACATCCATGGACTTGCGAGTTTTTCTTCTTGGTCATCTTTCAGAACCTTATAATGATAAAATTACCTAGGTAGATAACTAATTGGCTGATATAAAGATATGTATGTACATATAGAGCATCGATATGGGCAAGACGTGACGAATAGCCACCGATGCATTGGCAATAGTAATTTAGAATCACTACCATGTGTAGGCATCGATAGGGCAGTAAGAACCAAGGAAGACCTCAGAGACTGCTTGTAATATCACCATAACGGGGGAAATTTTCTAGTGAAATCCCGATATAATATTGCAGGAGAGGCAAAACAAACGGTGAATGTTGCCACACTATCCAATTGCCGTTGAATTCTGCCAAATATGTTCACGTGAAAGTGAGATCGGATGTCTTCAGGAGTGGTATTTCTGATAACCCATGCCGCAATGAGCCCGAGCCAAGTTGGTTATGTTTTCACATTCGTGGAAGACGTGATATTGATGTGGGGAATGTAGCAGTAAAAGCTGCCCAAGGGTGGTGGGAGCAGAATATCTTGCTTTCTTCTAAGTGTCCACAAGTGTGTTGGGTGTTTAGAAGCTGACCGAATTGATGATCGCCATGCTTTCCGCTTTGAGTCAGTGCACAAACAAAGCCGGTCAAATAGTTGTTCGGCGGTGACAAGTGATATGTGGGTATATCTGCTAGGCATGGAAGGATCTGCTTGAGATCCAGTTGGTATTGGGATAGGGTATTGGATATCGTGTTCTCATAAAGGTGAGCCGAAGCGTCATGTGAAACTCCAGTTCAAACGAGCCAAATGTTCCTCTTCGGCTGATGCGTGCGATTTCTCAGCAGCGGCGGGAGGTGGTGACTGTTCTGGCAGCAATTCTGAGATGTGCTGCTCCAACCGGGAGATATCCCGGAACTTGTTCTGGTCGACGAGAACTCGGAGTGCCTCCGAGCCAATGTGGAAGAAAGCGTCACGTCTGTTGTCGTTCCAAGTCTGGAACTTAGTTGGAGACAGGTTCTTCACAAATTGGAGGAATGGGATAGCGTCGGGGTTTGCTGGATGGCAGATAGCCACAGATGCCAACAGCAGGGACCGGGGAGACAACAAAGAGACTGTTTCTTGGAATCGATTATAGACTGTTGCGGATGTTTGCTGATCCGTTGGCTTGTGCTCCATAGCTATACGGCTCAAGTGAGCACCTGCAGCCAAGAGCATCGGTTTCCTCGACTTGTGAGAGGATGTACTTTGGAAATGCAATTGGCATACACGTTGATATTGTTCCATTGCCGAGTCAAAACCATTCCCAAATCGGGTTTCTGCATCCACAAAATCGACAAGGAGATGGCTAAAAGTTTGCCGTGCGAGCCCATCTGCCAATTGGCCATTCTCGGTGCCAAGGTCATGGTCCATGAGCATTCGCAGCCATTCCATAACAGTACCATGCATCTCCTCAACAACCATGAACTTAGTCAATGACTGAGTTGCTGAGCGCAAACGCAGAAGCGCCTGTCTGGAAGCGCCATCAGATGCCCAGAACCAATCAACGATTCTGGATGCTGCCCGAGACGCTTTCATATGGTCCGGGGATTTGGAAAGGAGGAGCTGAGATTTCAGACAATCATTGATTGTAAGTGCAGTGACTGAGCCAGCGGCAGCCATTTGGTCGAAAACCACCATGGGTTGTTCGACTAACTGTCGTTGGCCCTCGACGCTTTGTAAGGTTGTTGGTTCATGGGATCTGGCGGGAACAATACGGAAGAGAGGATTATCAAGAATGGTCTGTAGATGCTGATGGGTTGCATGTGCTGATGATTCAGGGTTCTGGAGGGGTCCGGGTCGACCATGATTGTTGCCTGATGCGGGATATGCACCATCTAGCTGACGACGAAACGAAGATGTGAGGGCATTTAACAACTGTTGAGATTCTCGTGGAGTACGAGGTAAGGGTTGATGAATCTTTGGCCAGGATTTGAATTGAAAAATTGAAGTACCCTTCATGATGTCGGTGAGTACTAACTAACTGGGATAGTGGTGAACTAGTCATAAGTTGGAATTGAAGGTGAAGTGAGGACGAGGGCGGTGAAGTACGTCTTTTCCCCTTCAAAGGGGAGAGAGATGTGAATGACGAGTAGAACATCAGAATCCCACTTAATTACCATTTCTTCTTCTTTTTTTCTCTCACAACTTAATTTCAATAAAAAATAAATGCAATTCATACCCATCTATAACCACTTCTTTGATTGTCTATGAACAAATCTCTAATACAATTGCACCTTTTCTTAAAAAAGTACATAGATCCCTTTATGAGATTGTAACCCCCAGCACCAATAAGCGCCACTCGCTAAAAGCCAGAGCAGTGCCAAGACTTTGAGGGAAGCAACTCAGATTCCGTTAGTTAGCTTTTGATCCTTTCTTCAATCTTGCCATCTTCTGCGCATTCCCCAATTAATCTCTTTGATTTACCTCTTCTTTTTCCTTTTTGTCTAGTCTGGCCCTTGTGCCTGTGGTCCTGGTGCTGTTCCTCTTTCGCGAGGGTGCATCTCCGTTACTTTCCTCCCTTCCTACAGTTGCGACTCCATCGTAACCTCCTTCTCAATCTCGAATTCTCCATCTCACACATCTTCTTTCATCAATATGTCCGACATTCAGAACCGACCCTCCGCCTCGCGGGGCAGAGTATCCGCCCGTGGTGGCCGTGGTGGCTTCAGCTCCAGAGGTGGTCGTGGTGGAAGCAGCAGATCTGTAAATGACAACTCAGACCTCTCATCCTTTGAAGAGGGTGAAATTGGACAGATGAAGAAGAAGTATTCCGACACTCTGCCAACTCTTAAGGAAATGTTCCCGGACTGGAAGGACGAAGACCTGGTTTTTGCACTTGAAGACTCGAACGGCGAGCTGTTGGAAGCAATCGAGCGCATTACTGAAGGTCCGAATCATATCACCCCCAATATTCCTGATTGCATCAAAATATCTCGATTTTCTTGAGACTGTCAAGGCCCATGACTGACTGGTTTTCCTTTTTTGCAGGCAATGTTTCTCAGTGGGGAGAGGTCAAGAAGAAGACCACAGACCGCACTCGCCCTAAGCCCAAGGAGGCCCAGAGCACCTCGACCGAGTCGATCGCAGCTTCCGCTCGTGGAGCCCGTGGTCGCGGCGGATTAGAGACCCGTGGACGTGCTCGCGCAGACCGGGGTCGTGGCGGTCGCGGTGGCCGTGCAGGAGCCGCTACAAATGGAACTCGCACAGTTTCCAGTGCCGTAGAGACTTCAGCACCCATTGCTACGCCTGCTACTACATCTGAGCCAACTGCGCCCCAGGTGGACGAAACTACTGCAGACCCCGCGACTGACGGAGATTGGGAGTCGATTGAACATCCCAAGAGTAGTGTGATCCCCGAGGGCACAAAGAAGGGGTGGGCGAGCCTTTTCGCCAAACCAGCCCCTCCTCCGGTGCAGAAGAAGCCTCAGGCTCCTGCTCCTGCCCCCGCCCCCGTTGAGCAGCCCGCTGCACCCGAACCTGTGGCGGAACCGTCTGTTCCCGCCCCCGAACCTACTGTGCCAGCTGTTTCCCAGAAGACCCCCGTCGCCAAGCATACCCAACCCGTGATCCCCGCCGTTCCCACTACCACCGTCAACCCTCCCAAGGGCGATTTGACCGAGACGAACCTTGAACAAATCCCCGATGTCTCCGCTCCCGCTCCCACCGCGACTGCCGCAAGCACCATTGGCAGTGGCATCGACCCTGTGGCCGCCGCCGCCGCCGTTACTCCTTCCCGCTTTTCCTCTTCCGCCTACCCTCCCAGTGCTACCAAGCAAGGTCGTACCCCCGGTCTCCAACGCCGCGTTATGGAGCAGCAACAGGCCGTCGTTATGCCCGGAAACCACGCCGTGGACCGTGCTGCGGTCCAGTTCGGTAGTATGGGTCTGAACGGTGACGCTGTGGACATTGACGAGAACCGCGAGGAGGCTGAGACCCGTGCTCAACCCCCGCAGCACTCTCCCGTCGCCCCCCGTGCCTCTCTCCCACCTCCGACCCAGGCACCTCAATCGATGGAGTCTGGTGCCGCTGGACGCCCAGCCCCTGGCCTGCCTCCCGTTCCTCAGGCCTCTGCCGCCGACTCTTTCACCGACTTTACTCGTTACTCTGAGCCCCAGCAGAAGCCCTTCGATCCATTCACCCAGCAGGTCAGCCAGCCCCAGCAGCAGATTCCCGAGCCGTTCGCCAACCAGGCCCCCGCTCAGCCCACTGCCACCACCGGCAGTGAGTACTCCCCTTTTCTACGCTGCCGACCAGCAGCGTTTCCCCTACTACGGCTCCTACGGCTCCTACGGCCAAACCCAGGACGCCCCCACCGGCCCCCGCGCTGGAGCTGGATTCGGAGTTTCTGGTGCTGAGGCTCAGCCCCAAATCCCCACTACCCAACCTCCCAGTCGCTACGGCCCCATTGATGCCACCAACAGCGGCCACAACACCCCTAACCCAACCGTTCCTGGTGCCACCCAGCAGACCCCCGCTGCTCAGCACATGCCTGGCCAGACCGCGCAGCACGCCTATGGCTACGGTTACCCTAACTACTATAACAACCCTCACTACGCTTCTTACATGAACCAGATGAACCCTCAACAGTACAATGGCCGCAACCGCCCAATGTACGATGATGCTCGCCGCTACGAAGATCACTATATGCAGCAGCAGCAGCACAGCCAGCAATACGGTTATGGTAGCCAGTATGGTCCGTACGCTGGCAAGCAGGGGGCTGCTAGCATGTACGGCCAGCCCCATGGGGCCTTCTCCTACGACCAGCACTCGTCTTCCCCCGCCAACGCCGGCAGCTTCAGCCAGGCTGTGCCCACCCGTGACTCAGTCTACGGTCGCTCCGGCTCTGCTCAGCAGTCCGACAATCAGTCTGCCACCGGTGCTAACTCTTTCGGCACCGGAATGTCTGATGTCTTTGGCCGCTCCCAGGGCGGCTTCGGCCAAAATCCTCCTATCGCTGGACAGCCCCCCGTTGCCGGCGATGAGACCAAGGGCTTTGAAGCCCCCAAGGCCGGTGGCCCCAGCCCTTCTCTCGCCCAGAACCGTCCCGGATCTGCTACCAACAGCGTCCCCGGACAGCCCCAGGCACAGACTGGTCTCCCCCTCTCCAGGGCCAACAGGGCCAGCAGGCCTTCGGTAGCTACCCTCAGCTGAACCCCCAGTACGGTGGACTCGGTGGCCTTGGTCACCAGGGCACAACCAACCAGAACCAGGGCTCCGCATACGGTAACTACAGCGGTGGCGGTTTCGGCAACTACTACGGAAACTCTGGCCGCGGTGGTTGGGGTGGCAACTACGGCCACTAAAAAGAAATGAAGAAATGAAGGGGAGACATAACGACCCACCAAACACATATGGCGTTGCATTTGCGGTTGACTTGAAAGGGGTTTGGATTTTGTCCACATTGCAAGGGAAAGCAGAGCTTGTCTTGTCGAAAGGACAGACAGAACCCGGGAATTTCTCTTCATCTTTCTCTCCTCAACATGTGTGTAATCTCTACTCTCTTTTGAGGAGCTTGGCTGGTTTTCTTTACTTTTGGGGGATTGTCTTCTTTATGTTTGTTTTCGTCTGGTTTTCCCCTTCTACTCTTTTCTGCCGTCTTGCTCTTTCTTTGCTACTACTGCTCCCTACTGATGCGGTTCTGTATTAAATTCACCAATTCCTCTCTAGGTTCGACCTTATGTTCCTTTTTTTTTTTGTTTTGTTTTCTTTTTTCTAACCTAGTCGGTGTCTATTCGGGTTCGGTGTGTCACATGGTTTCCACGGACGGTTTTTCGCTGGTTTTTCGTCTCATTTCCCTCCCTCCTTCTGTTAACTCTGTGTCTTCTTGTTACCCACCTTGTGCAATATCGGTCGATGATTATGATGGATGGCTCACTGGGTCTGGTAAGAGGTAGATCCAATGCTCAGTTGCGTTCTGGGCTAAAAGTGTCATGAAATATATGTCCTGTACGATCCAGTATGGCACCTTTCTACCGAGATTGTCCTAAGCTTTGTATCTTGTAATGTAGTTGAGGGGCCTCGTTTGAAGTTCAGTATAATAACTGCTCAAGTGGTCATTGCTATATTAGGATTGGCTTATGGTATATGATCTCTATCATTCCATTCGTGCAATTTTACAATCTTGGAAGCGATTCAAACATAATTTGAAGATACCATATCATTAGATGGAAAGGCAGAGCCGTCAAGCACGAACGTACAAGTAAGTAAGCAGCTTCAAACCTGGACCGGAAACTATATACAATCGAAATGCAACGACACAGTACAAGAATAACAGGGATCCAAAAAGCCAATTCTATGTGGTGCAGTATGGCCCGAGACCAATTTAGATGAGCGGAAAGTCGTCTGAGCAAAGTATCAACTACTCAGTAAGACCGAGTCCCTCGCCGCCAACCTTGTGGTAAGGCGGCTGCGCACCAGCAGCCTTCTGAGCATCGAAGCGCCAGATGCCGCCGGTCTTCTCAGCCTCGAAAGCAAGATCGGCCGACTTAGCCAGACCCAGAGTCTGGGCGCAGTCCTCGCTCTCCGTGCGAGTGAAGAACCGGCGCTCCCACTCGCGGCCTTCTTTCTTCTCAGCGGTGCGCAGGTCGCGCTGCGCGTTCTCAATGCGTGACTTGAACCCAGACACGGCGTCCATGTCGCCCTTTTGGATGTTGGCGGCTACGTCGCTCCAGGCACGGCGGCTCTCCCACAGATCCTGCTGCTCGAGAGGAGCCAGGGTGAGCGGGGTGACTGCGTTCTCCTTGGAGGACCAGCTGTCGATGACATCCTTGGTGGCGGCGTCCTTGATGGTTAACTTGTCGGACCACTGGCCGTCGATCGTGTACAGGGGCTTCTTCTCGCCTTCGCTTTCCTTGTACAGGCTTGCGGTGAAGGTGTTCTTCTTGCCGCTCAACCAGCCCTTGCCGGAGTAGTCGATCTTGGCGACGTAGCCGCTGCTGCTGACGATCTTGGTCGACTTCTCCAGTTCGACGAAGGGCGAGCCATAAATTAAGGACTCGATGTGGAGGTTGGGTAGCGTGATCAGGTACTGCTCCTTCTCGTCGGATCCGGGTGGGGTGAGTGTGTACAGAGCATGGCCGATTTGCTTCACGAGAATGGTGCTTGAGAAAGAGGCTTTCTGCGCGTTGTAACCTTGCAGCTATGGTTGTATTAGTCTCATTCCAACACTCCGGTCTGGTAAATCTTTATCCACTCACCTCGACGCCGTTCTTCTCATTGCGGATCGCGTATGCAGTAGCCGGAGGGTGGTGGCTGTGATATAGTTAGTGATCCGGGGCCATATCTACCAAGGAGGCTCACGTACCTGACTTGCTCACTGACCAAAGTGGTCTCTCCCACCTCCGCGTCACCCTCCCATTTTCCAATAAACAGCTCTCCCAGGAACGGATTAAGAGGCTTCTTTTCACTGCCGAGCTTCTCGCTACGACTGCAGTATTGCTGGTGAAGTGTGCTGAGGAACCACTTGAGAACCAAAAGGGCACGCTTCGCGGGATCAGCCTCCTTGGCTGGCGCAACGAAGACAGCAGGGTGTTCGGCCCAATAGGCCGAGTATTCGGTAAGGGAAGTAGTAGAAAGAATGAATGGTGGAGCAGTCAAGGAAGATAGATCACCGTTGAACGAGGCGATCGACTAATGAATGTGTTAGCCTAGTAAACTTGACCGGCAGATGGAACGACGTACCTTAAGGAAACTTGTCCAAGAACCCTTGCTATGGGCGGGGACTTGGCTTTGAGTGGACATTTTCCAGGTTCAAATAAAAAAGGCCAAAAAAAAGAGTAGAATGTTAGTATTAAACTGAAACAAAATCTCCAATATAAAAAAGTAAAGGAAGGTGGGGGGAAAGAGAGGAACATGAAGTCGGTAAGAGATCAGATAACGTCATGGCTTTCTCTCAGGGGGGAAGCGATCTGTTTGAACAGCCACAATGTCTTTTTTTAGGTTGTGGAAGGCATCATAGTTAACTATAGTTAGTTGACTATTCATATGTTTGAATTGTTTTGATACTTTCTCCTGTCAAATGTCAAAAAAATAGTGACACTTTGTTTAGTGGACCAATTCCTCCACAATAACACTAGTGTGCTGGGCCTTTGTTGCAAAGTTGTATAGCGGCCAGGGAGGTCTGCGATAAGGCATCACCAGGCATCTTCAGGCATCAATCCTATGTACGTTTGCAGGCCATAAAAATGGATGCAGCCAACATATTTGAATAGCTGGGATTAAATTATTATTAACTATATTTTATAAAAGAATTATACTTACTCATTTTCATGTACTACTCCCTGTGTTTATCGCCACAGAGTACTTACGAATACGTACCCTCGGTACTAGCCCTCAGGTACGGATTCTTTTCCGCCCCTGGGCCCTACTCGGCAGCACTACCGGGGTTCTCCCCGAATCACAGTGTCCCAATGCCCTTAGATCGGGCATAATGGACCCCTAGAAGCAGATAGCAAGTCTGTTTGGAGGGCCCTATCCTGCAAACCCTCGGGGAACTGGTCTTTTCGCCGACCCTCCATGAGAAGAAAACATTCAGAATTCTCTCTTGTGACTCATGCTTCAATCTGCTATGCATACTGTCGTTGACTTATTTGAATTTGTTCATCTATACTCAATTGCTTGTTCTCCAACCCAGTCAACCGAAGGCTTCGTCTTCTGTTCTTCCATATCTATTCCATGAGCATGATCTCAGAAAGACGCCGAATGTGAAGTCGAATTTGAGAATTTCAGCCTTGCATACGGACTACTACACACTAAGTCCTAAGATATCCCCAATTCTGTAGCCAGTGGCTCGCAACTAGATTCTCGTCATGTCGCCAACCTCTGAAGCCTCCAGCGAGGAGGGACGACCACGGTCCTCGGTAGATGAGACCGAGCTCCGACGACCCCAATCGCATTACTCACAACGAGAAGGAGCAGGAAATGGCCTCGACCATGTGCGGAGCCATGTCTCTCATCATGACATGGCTGTCAATGAGGACTTCCACGAAGTCGACGCAGACCAGTACCTCCGCTTTTCACCAGCACGTAAAGTGATCATCGTCGGTGTATTGTCGTTCTGCTCTTTTCTCGCACCTATATCATCCACATCTATTCTTGCTGGTATCCCCGAAGTGGCGAAGACCTATAACACTACGGGAAGCGTTATCAACGCAAGCAATGCTCTATACATGGCCTTCATGGGAATCGCGGCTCCTTTCTGGGGTCCCTTTAGCCAGGTTTGGGGAAGACGCCCTGTAAGTAGCAGCACGAACTGATACCAAAGCCACAAGCTGATTAACCGCCTACAGGTTTTCCTTGTCAGTGCGTTCTTGTTCTTTGTCTTCTCCATTGGCACAGCACTGGCACCTAACTTGCCGGCATACTATATCTTCCGCGTCTTGACTGCATTCCAAGGAACATCCTTTCTAGTAGTTGGCAGCTCGGCATTGGGCGATGTCTATGAGCCCCGTGCTCGAGCAACAGCTCTCGGATGGTTCCTATCAGGCACTCTGATCGGGCCTGCATTTGGCCCGTTCCTCGGTGTACGTTATGTTATGTCCCCTCAATCCCGAGCCTCACTGAACTAACACGAAAAACAGGGCGTTATCGTCACATTCCGCTCATGGAGAGTAATATTTTGGCTACAAACCGCACTCGGGGGCTGCGGAACGCTGCTCGTGTTTTTCTTCTTCCCCGAGACATACCCCCACCTCACGAAAGGCGACATGAGTGAGAAAACCTTCCGGCAGAAAGTCGTCTTTCTGTGGCATCGCATCTCGCCACTCCAAGTCGGGATTATGCTCTTCAAGTACCCGAATTTGTTCTGCACTGCTATCGCTGCCGGCGCTCTAGTGTGGAACCAGTACTCCCTTCTAACGCCCATTCGATATGTTCTGAACCCTCGCTTTCACTTGACTAGCCCCATTCAATCGGGACTGTTCTACATCGCTCCAGGCTGTGGATATCTGGTTGGGACGTTCATGGGCGGCAGATGGGCAGACTACACGGTGAAGAAATGGATTCGGAAGCGTGGTGGTGTCCGGGTCCCGGAAGATAGGCTCAAGTCTTGTCTTTTATTCTTAGGCGGTGTCATCCCCGGTTGTATCCTGATATACGGCTGGACGATTGAGAAGGCTGTTGGTGGAATCCCAGTCCCCGTACTGGCCATGTTTTTCCAGGGTGTTGCTCAGCTCTTCTGCTTTCCCAGTCTCAACACCTACAGCTTAGATGTGATGCAATCTAGTGGCCGGAGTGCCGAGGTTGTCGCTGGTAGTTATATGATGCGGTACATTTTCGGCGCTTTGGGCTCTGGGCTTGTTCTTCCGGCTGTCGAGGCCATGGGCGTTGGGTGGTTCAGCACTATCAGTGCGTTCTTTTTGATTGCATCTGGAGTTGGCGTCTGGCTTACGACCGTCTTTGGTGATCAGTGGCGAGATAAGGTTGAAAAGAAGGAGCTACGCAAGGTTGAAGAAAAGTCCAAAGAGTTACAGCAAGGCGAAAAGGCTGAGGCTTGAGATTGAGCGTTGACACATTTATCGCGGATGTGTGTCGTGTGAGTATTCTATTCATCCATGGATGATGAAATGATTGATGAGCAAACAATGCCCCCAAAAGATAGAATGGTGGTTCCAGATATGCATATGCCTGAGTGGATAATGATAAAATCTTTAATGATCAAAAAGAATTCCCAAACCCAAAAAGATGGAACAGTAATGTCCGATTACAACAAGATGATCTCTCGACACCTTAGAACGCCTCGAGATGACGAATATCCCTACTCCCTCGCCGAAGTGTTCGCATGCCCAATTTCAGCCTCCGCGAAGTCGTTACCAACAGACTGTTTCCCTTTGGCGATGTCATCGGCATTTAAACCACTCTCTGCCACAACACGATCCACCTTGCGCTGCTCGGTAAACTTCCGACAGTCCTCACGACCTTTTGCAATGTCCACAAAGCAAATGACGATCATAGCACCGGCGCAGATAGCGAACAAAAATGGGAAACCCATCCAGCTATTGCGACTATTGTTGATTATTGCCTGTATGACATTGGGACCAATAATTGAGGACTAAGTGGTCAGCTGGGATACATCTGGAAAATAGACCGGCACTTACTGCTCGATTTGTAATTCCAAATAGAGCGAAGAACATATTGTCATAGCCGCGTGGCATGAGCTCACTGATCATTGTTTGGGCGTACTATTATAAGTAAGAGACTAGACGCCCAGACATTATGCGACCAACTTACTGCATAGTATGGAGCCTGGAATAGACCGAAGATCACATTGTAGAGATAAAATTCCCACTATATGTCTGTTAGCTATCAGGGCCTTAAGCGTCGGCCCTTGTACATACTCGATTGTGATAACCGATGCGATTAGTCCATAGACCCAGCATACCCCAGAAGGGGATTAGAACGGTGAAGAGATTGGTGAACAAAAACATGGTTTTTGTCTGGAACTTGAAGTACCGCTGGATATACCAAAACCCAAGGGTAGATGTGATCGAACAAGCAGCTTGCGTAATGCCGAGGTAGGTGATTTGCAAGAACGAAAACGAAACAGAATCATTTTGGATGATACTCACAAGAGTACCTATTGATGTCAGTAGGGTCTTTTATGTCATTTGAGCCAACTAACCCGTTGTGTTCAAGCCATCAGCAAGTAGGAAGTAGGCAAAGAAATAGAGAAATGTCTGGGGGAGAGATCTTATTTCTCGAATCGCCAACCAAATCTGCTTGAATCCAATGGTGGCGTAGCTGGAGCCTTTGGGTATCTTAGGACCTGGCCTTTTTTGCTGGAAGATAAACCACCAGATACCGAGAACCACCCAATCTGCAAAAATGGTTAGTGATATCCTAACTAATTGACTATGACAGATGAGTGAGAGATGAGAACCTACATGAGTTAGTAAGGCAAAGTGCCAAGTTGTTTGAAAAGCTGTTTCCCTGGAGTGGAAGCAAAACACTCAGATTGAGCACAAGGGTGAATAGATACCCGATATTGCTGTGTGCAGTTGATATGTTGCTGATTTCATCAGCCACAGTATACATAGACCCCGGGAGACAAAGAAAAGTCTCACCTAATATGATTTCTCTCCAGCGATTCAATGGCATCATACTCTTCCTGATCAATCTTGCCCTCTCTGAGATCTTCTTCCCTTGCTTTGCGCACATGCGGTGTATACCGCGCCAGCCGAGGAAAAACAGCAGCATAGAAAACTAGAGTCGCGCCATACGCGATATATGAGACAACGTACATTCCCATCGCTGCAGGCCACTGACTCGGGTGCCGAATGGACATCATCCCGTACTGCAGGGCCCAGCATACGACCGTCAACGAAAGAAGAAGCCATCGACCAAATGTACCATAGTCTGCAGCACTTCCCAGCCATACAAATATCACTGTCATAAATGTGAAGCAAAGACCATTGGCGATGAGAACAACGGAGGCTACGGACCGTGTGCTTCCCGCCCAAGGGACTACACATGCTGAAGAACCAGTACAAGCCTTGGGCGGGTTTGTGTCGGGTTGATGTCCGGCACCATTTAATGCCCATTGGAAGCTGTACGAAGGGTTAGTCTGGGGGTTGCTTCGTTTCCCGGAGAACTTACAGGGCTTGGCTGTAAGATCCCGGACCTACGCCATTGTCCCCTTCAATACCAAGACTATCAGCATTCTGTTGAACTTATAGGTGACTTTTTCTTACCATTATAATAGAGATAATATGCCCAGAGTTCCTTCCTGGTGGTTGTCGGTTGTTCATATGCATCCTCATCGACACCGAAAAGCTGCTCATATTCCTCCAAAGTAGGATGCAGTGTAGTTGTATTCACCGGACTCTTCGAAGCATCAGGGACCTCCATATTTGCTATGATGTACAATAAGTGAGTGCAGTTTGAAGAAGGGATAATGTCACATTCTTATCGGCAGCAACAACTACCCCGCAGCATAGTTACTGTTGCAACGAAGGGAAGTAACTAAGAGTTATGAACTATTTGAACGCTTACTGCTTCGAGAGTAGTTTGTTTAATCCATTGGATCAGACAGTCAATACTACGTTGAAACGGGAGAGTAATCCATTGTCTACATTTTGTACTGTGTTATATATACTGCTGCATATTAAAGTGGACCTGGGCCCGCGGGGGTATCGACTTCCCCAATCTCTTTCAACGTCACTTCATCTGATATTGAAAATACTTCAGAGCCATGACTGCACTCCAAAAACAAGTCGGGCAGGTAATTTAGTCAAACTCCCCTACAGATTTGTATCTCACTGACAATCGCAGCTCTTTGCGGTGGGATTCCACGGCTTCACCCCAAGCCCCGAAATCAAAACCTTGATCCACGATTATCATGTTGGAGGCATCGTCCTGTTTTCGCGGAACTTCGAAAATGCAGAGCAACTGCAGGTGCGATATCCGCTCCATTTTCGATTATTCAACTAATTCATTCTGGAGGCCTTAACACACGCTTTACAAAATGAAGCCAAATCAGCCGGCCACACGCGACCGCTGTTGATCGGAATCGACCAAGAGAACGGGTTTGTCACCCGCATTTCTCCCCCGGTCGCTGCTCAGGTTCCAGGGCCGATGGCGCTTGGCGCTACCCACGACCCGGAATGCGCCTATAGTGCGGGGAAGGCTACAGGCGAGACTCTGAGTTTCTTTGGTATTAACATGAATTATGCCCCTGTCTGCGATATTAATTCCGAGCCTTTGAACCCCGTTGTTGGGGTGCGCAGTCCAGGCGATGACCCTGAGTTCGTGGGTCGATTTGCAAGTGCCACTGCGCGCGGTCTGCGGGAGCAAAATGTTGTTCCTAGTGTCAAGCATTTCCCTGGGCATGGTGATACGGCTGTTGACTCGCATTATGGACTACCGGTTATTCCCAAGACTAGAGATCAGCTAGAGCGCTGTGAGTTAATTCCGTTTAGGCGGGCTGTGGCTGAGGGTATCGAGACGGTCATGACGGCTCACATCTCGCTGCCTTGTATTGATCTCACGCGCCCTGCAACGCTTTCATCGAGTGTATTGGATATTTTGCGCAAAGATATGGCCTATGATGGTATGATAATCACGGATTGTCTGGAGATGGACGGTATTCGTTCTACTTACGGCACGGAAGAAGGCTCGGTGCTGGCGTTGTGCGCTGGCAGCGATAGCATCATGATCTGCCATACCTTTGAAGTGCAGGTAGCTTCGATCAAGCGGGTCTGTGAAGCAATCCAGTCCGGAGACATCGATCAGCCACGACTAGCGGATGCTTGTCGCCATGTTGCTACCGTGAAAGACAAGTTTTTGAACTGGGACACAGCCCTTCGACAATCCGATCTTACCGGTCTCAGCTCGCTCAACAATAAAATCGCCGAGACAACCATGGATATATACTCTCGGTCGACGACTCTTGTTAGAGATAAAAATGGTATTTTGCCATTATCAAAGACCTCAATAATCATCTTCCTCTTCCCTGGAGGTAAAATTCCAGCCGGTGGCGCCGTTGATGGCGAAGGAATTGCAAGACAGGGATTCTTCCAGTCCAAAAAATATCTCGATGTGCTTCGACAACACAACAATTCTATTGCCGAAATCAGATATTCCAGCGCGGGTCTGACTGCGGAACAATGGCGGATGCTTGAAGTCGCAGACGTTGTGATTTTCACTTCGCTCAATGCCCGGGAGTCACCGTACCAGGAATTACTGGGGCTCGAGCTCGCCGAGCGCATTCAGTCGTTAGTCCACATTGCTGCCTGTAACCCTTACGACTTCCTCGACGCCCCCAGTGTCAAAACATATATCACTACCTACGAACCGACGATAGAGGCATTCTCAGTCGCTGCTGATATCATGTTCGGGGCTTTGATTCCAACAGGCGCCCTGCCGGTGGGATCCAATGCTCTGACGAAAACTTCTGCGGTAACCACCCCCTTTGACGCACAGAAGGACCTCGACGATGTGATCGGAGTCTGGACTGCCGCTTTACCAACCTATATTGTTCCCAGTGAAAGCCTGCGATCTCTTATCGTGCGTCCTTATGCCCATCATTTCATCGCCCGCATTGGATCGGAGCTGGTGGGCTTCTGTCTCGCCTATACCAACGCCCATGGCGAGCCAAATACCGTTTACATTGCAGTCCTTGCCGTGTCGCCCAGCTATCAACGCCAGGGTGTTGGTATTGCTCTTCTGGAAGAGACTCGTGCGCATTTCCGCACGACATTGGGTTTCAATCGCGTCAAGCTGGGCAGCTCGTTCCCCCGATTCTGGCCTGGAATCCCCCAAGACCTTCCAGAGACGGTGCAGCATTTCTTCATCCATCGTGGTTTCCGACTCAGTCCCCCAACTGCCCGATCCGTTGATTTGTACCAAGACATCCGGAACTTCCAATCGCCAGAGAAGTATATCACGCGCACCAAAGATCGGGGCTTCCACTTCGCGCCGCTGAAGCCGGAAGACTACGACGCTTGCTTGGTTGGCCAGAGACGGAACTTCTCTGACAAAGCAGTAAGTCTACTTTGCTATCATGTATGCCTTAGCTAACAATTATACAGGGGTGGGTGGAAGCCTACGTCGCATTACATCCCGAGAAGTATCCCGACAGCGTGATGACAGCCTTCGACTCAGAAGGCCGCCAAGTCGGCTGGACACTGATGCTAGGGCCGTCCGAAGCGCTGAATCACTCTTGGGCCTTCCCGCAAACGTGCGGCCCCAAAACGGGGCTGATTGGAGCTGTTGGAATCGACGAGTCCCATCGCAAGTCTGGCATTGGCCTGGCGATGATCTGCCACGCCGTGGAGAATATGAAGAATCGCGGTCTCGAGGGCGTTTTCGTCGACTGGGTCGCCCTGGACGGCTGGTATGAGCAGGTTGGCTTCCAGACCTGGCGAAGCTATCGTCCAGGGGAGCTTTGAGCATTTGATGATCGTATGGTATAATGGCTTATCTTTTCACACAGCCACAAAGCCCCTGAGGTTAGATTTGGATGGTGTCTCCACCTGGCTGTTTTAATAGTCTCCTTGTTCGTTTTACACAATAACGCCCCTTTCGTTGGGCACAAGCTGCCCAACCCTAGCATAGAGGGGTCGCCTAGAGCTAGAGCCTGACCCCTGCCAATATCAGATTCCACAGCACTAGTGATTGTCGAAACGTGCTAATGCGCGCCACTTTTTGAACAATATTTTCATGAAAAGCTTGATTTAATAATTGTGAACATGTAGTTTGCGTTATGTACGTCCTGTATGGTGAACGCTGAAAGAAATCGCTTGAAAACTCCCCTAAATCTAACAAAAATGCACCGTAGATCCCAAACGCTGCAAGACGCTGATAACCCAAGATTTTGAAAAAAAAGCGAAAAAACAGAAGAAGATGTACAACAGAAATATGTCCAGACATTAAGGCGAATAATTGCAGCGAAGATAAAAAGCAAGCCTTGGAAGCCACCAACTCAGAAACTGAACAGCCCAGTCCGCTTCTTGCCATATGGATAAACGACCAGCGCAGCAATAAACAGCCCAACAGTAATTCCAATGGCCACCTGAATCATACCAAAGCCAAGACTAGCAACCGACGTCTCGGAAAGCGCGCTCGTCGTCGAGCTAGTCCCATTCGTGTCCAGATTCTGCCGCACCTCATCCGCATACTGGATACCCGCAATCAAAGACCCACTAGACGCCAGCCCAGACGGAACAAGCACAAAGATACCGGGAAGAATAGCGGTCGCCGCGTGCCCATGCCATACACGGCTGTACAGGTTTCCTAAGACGCCGATGGTGAATGCGCCGACGGTATTGGCGACTTCAGACTGGGAGCCAAGCTTGGTGGTGCTGAAGTAGTTCGCGACGTACCCGGACACCGCAATGAACACCATGACCGGCATCTGCTTCCACTTGCCGTGGTTGACGATAGCGAGGAAAATGGCGTAGATAGCTACGAACGGGAACTGGCGGAGATACGTGGAGCCGTAGACGTCTAGTCCTGAGCATGTCGTCGCGGAGGTCGCATTCCCGTCCATGAGCCCGTAGATCGTCGTGCCGACTGTTATTCCGTAGCCGAGGAAGAGAGAGTAAATGATGGCGTAGACCATGCGGATCGAGCCGGCGATCATCTGGTGCGACTGCAGTTCCAGACTGCTGCATAGCACCATGAAGCCGGGCAGAATGAGAGCGATGGAAGACTGCGCCATAGCAGAGAAACAGAAGAGTTCTTCGGTGGTGCCGTTTCGAGTGACTTTGATGCTTCCTAGCGCACGCGCCAGGAAAGAGGTTAGCACTGCGGCTGTTACTTCGAAGACGTTGGAATAGAGGGTTGAGCGGGGCGCGATGACGTGCTGCATCAGCCCGACGATGCAGCCCAGACAGAAGATAATGGGCATGTCGATTGGGCGGGCTTGGAAGGCGAAAGGGCCGACGGTGGTACTGGCTAGCCCGTACATGAGCACCAGGATCCATTTGTTGAAGCGGGGCTTGCGCTGCATGATCTCGTCTAGTTCGTGGGTTGCCTCTTCGACGCCGATCAGGTCATGCACGACGTTCTTGTACACGTTGTGTGTGTCGGCCAGTCGGCCCAGGTCGACGCCTTGTACCATCCGCACGAGCTTGACTTCTGCGGTGCGCGTGGTCGGGTCGTCGAAGGACATGATCATACAGCCTGGTAGATACAGGAACTGGCCTGAGACCTCGAGGACCCGCGCGGTCATCTGCATGTATTCTTCCAGGCGATGGGTCGGCGCACCGTACCGCATCAGCGCGCGACACAGCTGCATGATATACCGCTGGCGGGCGATGATCTCTGCAATGTGCACGGTGACGCGGATTTCGTCTTCCAGTCTGGTCTTGCGCTTATTCCTCTTGCGTTTTCGTGGCGGGCCGGCCGCGATGTCAACTGCGCCAGGGAGACTGGCACTGCTGAGGTTCATGGAAGCGTTGACCAGCGACGAGGTCGACCGGTGTGCAGACTTCTTATACCACTTCAGCTTCTCCTTGCGTGGGGTTGCGGAGCCCGAAGTCGGTGCCGAGGGGGTGATAGTAGGGGAAAGGGATCCCTTCTTCGGCGTGGTCATGCCAGAGGAGACCTGCGTCTCGCTGTCCGAGTCATCAGTGATAACGCTCTCTGCGCGCGAAGAGCCCCCCGTCTGCGTCGCCTGCAGCCTCAGTAGCTGGGAGAGGATGCCGCTGCCGCCGCCGAAGCCGCTGGATCGTCGGCGCTGCGCAAAGTCCTTGATCAGGCCTTCGGGAGTTGTCTGGCCGGATCGCTGGTACGCGCTTTGGGGCTTGCGCTTGCGCAGCTGGTCCTGGACCATGGTCATGCTGCGGACGAGACGGTGGGCCTCTGCGCTGGGGGGCGGCTCGATGAGCGTTTCGCCGCTTTCCATTGCGCGCAGCCTGTCGGCGTCGTGTCGAGCGCGCCGCGCCTGCAGCTCTTCGAGCGGGATGCCGCTGTCAAAGTCATCTGGAATGTACGAGGCGTTCAGGGCCTCGCCTTCATCGGGCGGGCGACCGAGACGCTCGGTTAAGCGGACGGTTTTCTCGTGCAGGAGGTGACCGGCTGCTCTGAAACGGTCCCTGGCTGAGGTCGTGCGGTCCATGGTTGGCAGGAAGCCATGGGGTTTCTCTGATTCTGTTTCGGCATGGGATTCGTCTGGAGTGCGCACGTTGGCGAGGCCTGAGCCGTGCCGGGAATGTGTGCGGGCCGGCGGGGTGACGGTTCCGGTTAGTCGGTAATCGTTTTCTGCGGGCGGCAGCAGTGGGCTGGCTGAAGGGTCTGCGTCGTCCTGCGAATCATTTCGGCGTACACTCAAAGAGCGAAATCGTACCCGATTCCGGGGAGATCGGATTCGGGTATCTACTGGTTCGAGCCCGGCATCGTATTGGCGGGCATCGACCGTTGCTTCGCGTTCCAAACTTTGGCGATCGGGATTGGGCAGAGGGTCCAGGTTGTCATTGAGGATTATTGGCAGAGGGTATTCTTCGTATTCTTCATTTGGGCTCGGGTGCGGGTTGGTAATGCCCGACATGAATGATAGTTGAGCTTATGGAAGTCTCGTTCCTCGGAGAATATTAACCGAGCTGCAAGCCTATTATGCAAGGCACAAGAATAACGAGTGTATAATTTCACAACAGAAGAAGAAGAAGAAAGAGAAAAAAGAGGAAGAAATGGAAAGATAATTTTGTTTGAAAAAAGAATCAAGCCTAGAACGGCTAAAATGAGAACCACGGAGAATTAACTATGTCAACCCGTGGCAAAGAAAAGGATTGTTCAATTGTTAAACTAGGTTCGGGTCTAGAACGAGATCTGAGGAGCTTAGACTGCATCATTGATAAGAGAGACAGACACCACTAGTTATATACGTTGTGAGTGTTCTTTTTTTGTGATTTTTTATTTGTATACCCTTCAGACCCGCTATATCATCACCACCCCTATCACGGAGAATATCGTCAATTTACGATAATGTACACATACGTACTGCGTTGTGCATCAGTTAGGTGGTGTGGGTCTATAGGTGGCGATCCTATTGACACTCTCAGTGGGTGGATTCTAAGTGGTTCGTTGGTTCCTTGGAACTAAATTGACTGAGTTCTCGATCTTGTTTTCCTTTTTTTTACTTTGTTATACATACGGAGTACTGCCAATAGTATGGTTATGATTTTAGCGCTTGCATCTTACCTTATCTCGGAATACACTTTCGGACACACAAACAACCCCCTTAGGCCGCATTCGGGCCGACTGAAAGCGATGATCCCGATGCGCCGAGGCTGACTTGGCAATTGCACGAGGATAGAGGGTGGAGTGTCAGAGTGGAGTGGAATCCGTGAATCCCGTGAAATCCCTCGCATTGAACAATAATAAATAATCTAATAAGTAAACAATCGTGAGGTGAACAAATTTCTGCCTTGAACAGGGGTAGTGTGTATCAGAAAATGTTGCGAACAGACCAACGCTAGATTTATAGATAGAAATGTGGTGACTCCACTTAATGGATTTCCAGAATCACTGAGGCATTACGAATCGCTGAGAGCTTACCAGACGCCACCCGGTGGAGCCGATACCCTGGGCTAGAATGGCTAATAATGACTAGCATGAGAGAATGGAGCTAAATTGCGTAAAACGCAAATCTGTGTCCATGCACATGATGCTTCAATCAGGGGTCTGGGTTCCCACTCTGATACTTGATTTTTATGATTTTGATTATTTTGAGTGATATGTCCGACAAACGTCAAGGTTGATACGATATTCTCTTCTCACTCTGACCGCTCCTTTTCGCCAGTAGGAATCCTCCATCCATTGAGGATCCCACACCCGGCATTAAGATACGCAGCGTATCCCAGCCATGTAGCATAGGGAACCAGACACCAGAAAGCGGTCCGATCGGCCGACCACCAGTTGACCATCAGCGCACCCACGGTGCCCGCCAATAGGGTCAGATCGCCCAAAGCCACGGCCGGTCGGCCCAGCCGGAAGAAGAGGGGCATCCAGAGGAAGTTCAAAGCCAGCTGGGTCGTGTAGAGGGTCTGGGCGTTGGAATTGGCATCGCGAACCGCGAGAGAGAACGAGTGCGACGCGTGCGCAGCGGCGTGGTGCGAGGCGTAACCCATCAATCCGTAGAGAACGGTCCAGGCGGGTGCGAAGAGCCATCCCGGAGGACTGAACGGCGGCTGCTGGAGCTGCTTGTAGGTTTCGCGATTTTGTTTCCCTGCAAAGGTCGTCAGTGATAGTCGCTGTAATCGTCACCGATCGACGTACGATTGGTCAGGAGAGCTACTGCAGTCCCTGCAGTGATTGGGGTCGCAACCGCCAGATAAGGATTGGTGAGGATGACATGTGGGAGAGCGAGAGACCAAGGCATTTTGAAACAAATGTACGGAGTATCAAATGAGAATATGAGAAAAATGAGAAAATGAGAGAAAATGAGATGTTCTATGTTTTCTAATTCTAGAGATCGAAATATCAAAGAAGGCAAAAACTAGGCAAAAACTAGGCAAAAACTCCCTGAACATCGAGATCTCGGTATGTTGACATACGTCATTCCCTCCTTGCCTTGGCATAGCCACAAGCCACTTTGCTTATTATCGGAAGAAGAAATAGCCGTTATTCGTCTTGGTTTTGCTACTTTCGTCTTTGTATAGTTTCATGGAGGGTATAGTTCAAAGATAAGTGAAATGCAGAGAAAAGTGGAAACGGAAGAAATGTGACTTACACGGCCTGGAAAGTTGGATTGACAGATGACATTTCTGATCGACGTGTCTGTGCGACAATCAGCAGTTTCGCCGAGCTCAAGCCGAGTCAATATGCTTATCCCTCCACGGAGTACGGCGAGTATCAAAGCCCCCCCCCCTGGCCATTCATGCATGAAACAGAAATTGAAGGACTTCGCATCCTCCTTTTCGGTACTGGGCTCCTGCTCCAGGACGAATATAAAATGTCGGTGTGCTTGACTACCAAGGTACGGCAATCGCGGTTGATCAGTTTAATGTGGACACTTTTCTCTCGGCTCCATTTTGTACATCGTTACCACAATGCCCCTGCGATTGTTGTGTCTCCATGGCTGGGGAACGAATCAGAAGGCAAGCCATTAACACTGCTGATTGGGGAATCACGGAACTCATTTCGCTGTAGATCTTACAATCGCAACTGAGTATGCGTATCTTCTGCCATGGCGCAACACAAACTCTAACCCCAACAGGTGGACTGATGCAAGAATTACAACGGGATAATACCGCAACCTTCCATTTTCTCGAAGGGGACATTGATTCTGACCCGGGCCCTGGCATCGCCGGCTACTATGATGGCCCGTACTACAGCTACTACCGATTTCCACGAACCTTTTCGCTCGAGGACAATGACGACTCCGACATCCTAGAAGCGTATGAGCAACTCAACGAAACTGTTGCGTTGGAAGGTCCGTTCGACGGCGTTCTAGGCTTCTCCCATGGTGGTACCTTGGCCGCTGGCTTCATGATCCACCATGCTAAGATGCACCCGGATGAGCCTGCGCTGTTCAGGTTTGCTATCTTTATCAATTCCCTGCCACCGTTCCGCATGGACCCTGGTGAACTCCCCGTTGTAGAAGAAGGGCTGGAAGGGTACATCTCTATTCCCAGTGTGCATATTGCCGGAGCTCAAGACCCACTCTTTGACTATTCCGTGGCCTTGCATCGGATCTGTGCGGCGCATCGTTCCACTTTTGCAGTGCACGGAAAGGGCCATGATGTCCCCAGTGATCGAAAGAACGTCGTCATTATCGCCACTGCAATTCGCAAATTGCTCAATCAGATCTGGTGAAACTAATCAAAACAAGTAAGACATTCCAATTGTGTGACAGAGGATTGGACGAGAAAAAGTTATTCAAAAAGGGATAATGTAGTGTGGCCGCGCTTGTGCAACAGAACGTGTAAGCCATTGTTGAAATAGTATACTCAGATCCTTTGCGAACACAAGAAAGGTTGTTTCACAGCAAAAGACTTCATCAACTTTTGTTTTTATTTTACCGTTGAGGGTTGCACCCGGATACTAACCTCGCTGCGAGTGAGGTGAACCTTCTTACACGTCCCGATGTAGAAGGTTGTAGGACCAAGAATCGATTGACGCAAGATATTTGAGAATAGAGACCGAAATTGACCCAGTAGATGACATAGCGGCTCACTGCCTTGGACAAAGCAGAACATATTTCTTTGCGTTTGTCTGACATGTTGCATATACCTGCGCTCTCGGCCGGCACTGGCAAAAGCAAAAAGCAAATATGTCGACTGACGCTAGCGTTCACATGAAGGAAGCAAGCCAAGAAGATGATATGGCGGCTTTGGCCGCGAAATCCTGTACACCGATAGCCATTGTGGGGATAGGCTTTCGGGGTCCAGCGGACGCTAAAAACGTCCAGAAGCTGTGGGAGATGATAATGGCTGGTAGAGAAGCCTGGTCTCCAATTCCAGCTGAGAGGTGGAATAATGTAGCTTTCTACCACCCAGATAACGCCCGACATGGAACTGTACGTTGAACACCGTTTTTGAGAGGCAGAGAGAGGCTTATTCGCAATATTATGATAGATCAATGTGGAAGGTGGTCATTTCCTGGAAGAGGATGTATCCTTGTTTGATGCACCGTTTTTCAACATGACGAGTGACGAAGCAGCGGTGAGTTCGTGTCCGAAGTTTGTCAAATCAATCTAATCGTCAATCAGGCTATGGACCCCCAGCAGAGATTGTTGCTGGAGGTAGCGTATGAAGGACTCGAGAATGGTAGGCGCTTCTTTCGAATCACTTTCTCGGAGGACTAATAATTTTGCATTTCAGCTGGTATTCCTTTGGCAAACATTATGGGAACAAAAACATCTTGCTTTGTAGGCTCCTTCTCTGCTGACTATACGGATCTCCTTCTTCGGGATCCCGAGTGTGTGCCGATGTATCAGTGTACGAACTCCGGACAGTCCCGCGCAATGGTAGCTAATAGGCTGTCGTATTTCTTCGACCTGAAAGGCCCAAGTGTCACAGTGGACACGGCCTGTTCAGGAAGCCTTGTCGCATTACATCTGGCATGTCAAAGCCTGCAGACAGGCGATGCCTCGATGGCGATCGCAGCAGGCGTCAATTTGATATTAAGCCATGAATTCATGTCGACAATGAGCATGATGAAGTGAGTTGAGATAATCAATCCCTGGTCACTAGAAATTGTCTTTAACACACCAACAGATTCCTTTCACCTGATGGAAGATGCCATACTTTCGATGAAAAGGCAAATGGTTACGCGCGAGGCGAAGCAGTGGGCTGTCTCATTCTTAAACCCCTGTCTCAGGCATTACACGACGGCAACACGATCCGAGCTGTGATACGAGGGACTGGATCGAACCAGGATGGTCGCACTGCGGGAATAGCGATGCCGAATAGGGTTGCACAAGAAACCCTGATCCGAGGCGTTTATGCGCGTGCTGGGCTTGATCCTTTAAATACAGATTTTGTGGAGGCTCATGGGACAGGCACACAAGCGGGAGATCCGATTGAGACAGGCGCGATTTCGCAGGTCTTTGGCGCTGGACGATCTCCTGATAAGCCCGTGCGCATAGGGTCTATCAAAACTAATCTCGGGCACTTGGAGGGTGCGAGTGGAGTTGCTGGTGTTATTAAGGCGGTGCTGATGCTAGAGAATCGGATGTTCTTGCCGAATCGCAACTTTGAGAAGATAAATCCGCGTATTCTACTGGAAGATTGGAATCTCAAGGTTTGATTGTCCAACCAAATTGAATACCAGAAACTAACGTTCGAAGATTCAATTGTGTCCTGAGCCATGGGAGACAACGGGGTTTCGTCGGGTTTCTGTGAATAGTTTCGGTTATGGTGGAAGTAATGCCCATGTTATCATTGAGGAGGTCCAGGGTTCTTTAACCAATGTTGACCACAGGAAACGTGATTGGAATCCGTTGGCTGTATCAAAGAGTGCATCAGAAGAATCTCCCGGCTTCCCTCGAATATACTTGCTTTCCGGATTTGATGAAGTATCATGCGCCCAGCAGATGCAGGCCTTGTGCACATATATCCTTGAAAAGGGCACTCAAAACATTAATGAAGGATTCCTCGACAATCTTGCCTTCACCATCAACGAAAGGCGTTCTGTATTTCCCTGGAAAGTGGCTGTTGTCTGCGGTAATGCGAAAGACTTGGCTGGCTCGCTTTCCCAAAATATCAAAGCCAGGAGCGCGATTCGAAAGCCGAGGCTTGGGTTTGTCTTCACCGGACAAGGCGCTCAGTGGGCAGGAATGGGCAAAGAACTACTGCCGATTTTTCCTGTTTTCAAAGCTTCGGTATTGGCGATCGATAGACATCTAAATGACATCGGGTCTGGAATTACAGTGCAAGGTTTGCAAAAGTAAAAGTCTTCTGGACAATACCCGTGAGCTAAAACGCAAATAGAAGAGATTCAAAGATCCCCCAAGAACTCAAATCTGAACCACCCGAGCCTCAGTCAGACAGTGTGCACAGCGCTCCAAATTGCGCTGGTCGATTTGCTCAGTTCATGGAATATATATCCAGACTCCGTGACTGGTCATTCCAGCGGTGAGATTGCCGCTGCTTATGCGTCTGGCGCACTCAGCATGAAAGATGCAATATCGGTTGCATATTATCGAGGTCTTTTGGCAAGCCAACTTCTGGATGACCCGATTGGGGGCGCGATGATGGCAGTTGGGATGTCTATTAAAGATATACAGCCCTATTTGGACAGATTTGATCCCGGAGAGCTGGTGGTAGCATGTGTAAACAGTCCATCGAGTGTGACGATTTCAGGCGATGCACTAGCAGTTGACGCTTTAGGGCAGATGCTGAAAGATCAACCGGTGTTCAGTCGACGCCTTGAAGTCGGCGTCGCTTATCATTCACCTCATATGGAGAAGATTGCTGAGCAGTATCACGACTTAACAGACCATATTCAAGTGCTACAGCCGGCTGGAATAGAAGCAAACGGAAGCCAGCATCCAGTACCGAGATTCTTTTCCTCGGTCACTGGGACACTTTTCTCCCCAGACAGACTAAATAACGACTATTGGGTATCGAATTTGCTGGGGCAAGTAAAATTTGCTGATTCACTCAGAACACTGTGTTTTGAGACAGGTGGTCAATGTGCTGGGCAACAGAGATCGCCTAAAATGAAACGAGTTAAGGCTGCCCAGAAGGCTTCAGTTGACTGCTTGGTCGAGATAGGTCCGCATTCTGCACTCAATGGACCAATTCAACAAATAATCAGAGCCGATGCGAAGCTCAATTCCGCTGACATTGCCTATATCAGCATTCTTACTCGCAAAACCGATGCAGTTAGCACATCGATGGGTGCAGCTGCCACATTGGTATCATTAAATTACCCGGTCAACTTCGAAGAAATCAACAGACCCGAAGTGAGGAGAAAAGAACACACACCAGAGCTACTTATGGATCTTCCGGCATACTCCTGGAATCATACCAGGTCGTACTGGGCCGAGCCACGGCTGAGCAGGATGTACCGCAATCGACCAACACCACGATTGGACCTGATTGGCGCGCCAGACAATATGTCATGTCCATTTGAGCCTCGCTGGAGAAACCACCTCCGCACATCGGAGCTTCCTTGGCTTCTAGATCATAAGATACAGGGAAGCATCATCTTCCCGGCTGCGGGATATTTGACCATCGCCATCGAGGCAGCCAAGCAGCTTATGGAAACCAGAGAAGATATTCACACGTATCTTCTACAGGAAATCAAAATAAAATCTGCCCTGGTACTCAACGAAACCTCCGCGGTTGAGCTCATGGTATCTCTTTCGAAGTCGTCACAAGACCGGGGGAATTTACTGGATTTCCACATTTACTCCATCTCAGAAAACAATAATTGGACCGAGCATTGTACTGGCTTGGTTGGAGGACAAAAACACCCTAGTTCTTCTAAAGATGGAGCAGAAGAGGCCGGTGGGTACGCAATGGTTCCCTTGGGGACCGAAGTTCATGGAATATCGGTGATCGACGTCCAAAGCTTTTACGACAAGCTCCAAAACGCTGGACTAGAGTATGGTCCATGTTTCTCAAATCTTACGGAAGCACGGGTCACTCAGGATGGAACATGCTTTGCAGAACTCACTGCGCCAGATACAAGATCGATGATGCCCGCATCATTTCAACATGACCTCTTGATCCATCCTTGTACCCTCGACAGTATATTTCATACTGTTCTTGCCGCTCTTCCTCCAGGCATGGGGGTAGAAGAAGGACCTGTTATTCCTGTGTCGATCGAAGAGATGATCATATCATCTGGACTGAATTTCTTGGCCGGAGAACTGATGAGTGTCTGCACTCATGTGCGCCGAATGCCAAAAAAGGATGTCACGGCATGTATAGTCGTCGCGGACTGCAACGACAAGAAATTTGAAACGGAGCCCAGTCTCTCAATTCGCGGCCTACAATGTGCGCGCCTTGGTCTTCCGGAAACAGCGTCGACGTCTAAAGCGATGAGTGCGATATACAACATCGATTGGAAAGCCGATTCAAGCTTTCTTACTGGTGATAATGCATCGTTCCTGTTCGACAGGAGTGACCACGAGAAGGAATCTTTGCTTCAAACAGAGAGCGAACATTATGCAGCTGACTTCATAAGAGCTGCTTTGGAAGAAGTTGGTCCGGAAGAAGCGATGACACTCGATTCTTCTCACCGCAGATTTTGGTGTTATCTCCAAGATGTTCTCGAGAGATACGACACAGAATCAAAACCACACTTCGAGGAGTTTGATGCCGCCCCGGTGGGCCATCTTTTACAGTCCATCGGCCAAAATCTGGTAGGCATCATTCAGGACAGGATCGACTATTCCAGTGTAATCCAAGACGATCATTCGCTGGATGCGTTCTGGGATATATTTTCCACCGACGCCTCATACCAAGCAGTGGCAAATTATGTTGCGTTGCTTGGCCACAAAAAGCCAACTCTATCCATTCTCGAATTTGGAGTCGGAACTGGTCAAATAGCGGAAATATTCTTGCAAGCTCTTATGAAGATTGATGGACCATCTTGCTGCGCAAAATACATCTTTGTTCACGAAAGCGCTTCTGTCCTTGAACAAACCTCAACGCAACTGGAGCCATGGTCGGATTGTGTTGCTTGCAAAGCTTTGTATCTTGATAAGAGCTTCACTGAACAAGGGTTCGAAAACAATTCTTTTGATGTTATAATTCTGCCTCATGGGTTGTGTACCGCACGAAGTGAACAAATTGCTCTTTCCAATATTCATGATCTGTTGTACCCATCTGGCTGTTTGATCACAATCAATCCGTTCGACCCGAAAAGAAACGTCTTGAAAAACTTACTGTTCAGTGCCTTGCATTGTCTATCGGCGGATGAATTCTGCTTGGGCCAGGGTGGTTGGACAGAGAACCAATGGACCGAAACTCTGAGTGATGCGCAATTCACCTCTGTGGATGCTTTTGCTGAGCAGAACTCTGAAAAGAGTCATCATTTCATTGTGGCCAAAAAGCAAAGTTACGAACTGTCAAAAGCTAAAATCTCAATTATATCCGAAGACAAAGATGGAAATGCTACGAAGTATCTCGTCAGCCAATTCAAGAAAGCTTCATGTGATGTCATTGTTACGGACATTCACAATGTACATCCTAAAGATCGAATTTGCCTGATCTTGGATGTATGGAAATCGTCTATACTAGTTGCCCCTGATAGCACAGAGCTGACGAAGATCAAAGAAATTTTCATGGGGAGCGCAGGCGTCCTCTGGGTGACGAAAGGAGGAACGATTGAGCCTGTCAATCCAGATGCCAGTCTGGCTATTGGATTCGCAAGAACAGCCCGGGCTGAGTCTGGTGTTAAACCGATAATCACCCTTGACTTGGACGCTCGAAATCCCCTTTCTGACGCCCGAGCTGCCGAAGTTATCTCTGGTCTTCTGGTCGCGCGATTCCTTCGTGGAGAGCCTGATGACGACACGGAATATGCAGAAAGAAATGGGGTCATGTTGATCCCACGTGTCCTGGAAGATATGAACGCGAACAAGACCATAGAAAGTATTGATAATATCGAGAATGTATCAGCGCATTATTTCCAGCATATTGATCAACCTGTACGACTTTCCAGGAAGACTAACAAGCCTGGTTTTGTCAGCGACATCCAAATGTCGGAGCTCCCGATGGACTACGTCGGAATCAAAGTACATTCCTTTGGTTTGACCAGATGGGATAGCTCTCAAGATCTCCGGTATTGGGAAATGGACGATACACTTGGTCTAGAATGCAGTGGGGTCGTATACAAAGTTGGTGCTGGAGTCCATGACATTACCATAGGAGATCGGGTCGCATGTCTGGGCACTGGGACTGCAAGAAGCTTCTATCACGACCGGCTATCCACATTCCAGATCATCCGCGATGATATGACGTTAGAGCTTGCCTCGGCTATACCTCTGGCATATACAACTGCGTATTATGCTGTGAACTATCTAGCCCTCATTGAAGTTGAAGAATTGGTTCTTGTTCATAATGCTGGCAGTCTGTTCGGGCAGGCGATTATGGATTTGTGCTTGCTGAAGCAGGCCCGCGTCTTCGCAATCGTTCAGAAAACCACTGAAAGAGATTCGCTGATTGCTCAATATAACATTCCCGGAGAACATATCTTAGGGAGCGGACAGGTAGAATTTGTGAAGAGCCTGTTGCGGTTTACCGATGGCAAGAAAGCAAACACAGTATTTGCATTCGACGATGCAGAAGAAAACGAATTGAAAAGCTGCACAGCACCATTTGGTCGGCTTATTCAACTTCGAACAGACTTCCTGAAAACTCGACGATTGTCTTGCCCGCAGAATATGTCACTGTCTATTTTGAATATATTTGAGCTCTACAAAGAAAGAGCAGACCTTGCCGATCAGATCTGGTCGAAGGTAGCGCGGCTATTTCTTCAAAACCGACTCAAAGGGCCTGCATCTATTAATCTTTATCCTGTTTCACATATCCATGAAGCAATCACTACAGCTTCAGCCGAGCAACACGCTGTAGTTTCTGCAAAGCCCGATGATATTGTTCAGGTACGAATAGATTTGGTTCGAAAAGAGTGATCGCGAGAACGTTTTCAGCTGACGAAATTACAGGCCACTCTACCAAAGAATCCCCAGCCACTGTTCCGCAACAATGTATCCTACCTACTGGTTGGAGGACTGGGTGGTATTGGGCGGGAAATAGCGTTGTGGATGGCACAAAATGGAGCGAAGAGTTTGATTTTCATCAATCGCAGTGGCCTGTCAACTGATCAGTCCAAAAGAACCGTGAAAGAACTAATGGAGCGAGGCATACAAGTTACCATCAAAGCTTGTGATATATCTGATGAGACCCACGTCGAACGGATCCTTCATAACCTCTCCAACTGCACACCTCCAATACGGGGGCTCATACAATCAGCCATGGTTCTTAGAGACGTTCATATCGAGGACATGCAATTAGACGATTATCGCGATGTCATGGGCCCCAAACATCGTGGAACTTGGAATTTGCATCGACATCTTCCCAACGATATGGACTTTTTTGTCATGTTATCGTCTATCAGCGGAGTAATTGGAAATGCCACGCAAGCTGCCTATGCCGCCGGCTGCGCTTTCATGGACTCTTTCGCAGCTTACAGAAATAACCAAGGTCTCCCGGCAGTATCCATAGACCTTGGCGTAATCACGGACGCTGGGTATCTGGCAGAGAATAAGGAATTGGCGACAAGGATGGAACGACAGGGATTCCACGGCACGAATACAACGACCCTTTTATCTTTAATTCAGGTCGCAATCTCGCAGCCATCGAATGATATAACGCAGATGGTCACTGGACTCGGCCAATGGAGAGAAGGAGAATCCCTGGGAAATTTTGATGTGCCGTTGTTTTCGCATTTTCGCCGCAAGTTCGTCAATCACGCTGCAACTTCCGTTCTGAGTAACTCAGTGGAAGCATTAAAAGTCGAGCTAAGTGCCGCGAAAACAATCGAGCAGGCTTCCATCGTTATCGGTGATGCGATCGGCAGAAAACTTGCCTCTCACCTCTCTATTCCAATAGAAAACATCAACCCTTTGAACCCGGTTTCCGAATACGGGGTTGATTCCCACGTGGCCATTGAGCTCCGCAACTGGATATCAAGATCCATGGGCTGCACGATCCCCATTTTGGAGATTCTAGCCAGGTCTTTGATGGATTTGTCCCATAGGGTCGCCAGTGACATTATCAAGGACGAGGAGGAGTAAACAACACCCCTTTTGGCTCTCATAATTTCAGTACACATAAATGTAGGCCTAATCTCTTCAAATGGATTCTTCGGACATGGATGCAATTTGATTTAAAATGAGTCACATATGATTGATCATAATAGTTAGTATATGGAATCGGGGAGTTAGTCTGCCCGATTTACTTCCGTCAAACCTTCCTCTGAGTTTCAACTTGCGCCTATTCCGCTGATGTCAGCGGAAGTTCGCCCTTCAAACTTATCACCGATTGGCTACTTCTTTTGTGTTGAAGTCTTGGCATGTTTGGATCGAATCGTTTTCTTTTGGATTTTTTGCCCATTGTATAGTTTACATATGAAATGTGTGACTGTAGTGCAGTATATATTTGTAGGGCTCTCAGTCAGGTCATTGAAAGAACAAAAAACTGGAAAATCCACACACATTTAGGGCATACAACATTGTAGATGTACCAGATGGATTGTGCGCCATGTGGGAATATTCCGCTGAGTAAGCGGGGTTAATGAGCCTCGGGAGCCACGCGCCCTCCGAGGGTCCACTCTGACTTAGACCTAGACAAAGTAGTGGATCAACCATTCTGTTTGAGCGAAATCTATTCTGCGAGATCCAGAGCAAATTCTATTTTTTTGTCGCATTTTGGCTCCGTAATCAGATCCCACGGCGCCAATCAGATACACCGTTTGCTTCGGCCTCGGACTTTCGGTCACCTTTGATACCGTAGGCCCACCACGGCTTATTGCATCCCTGAACGCTCCGTATTCTCATAAAAGAGATGGATGCCCGCATTGAAGAGGCGCGTGCTCATCAGTGATTTTCAGCCTCTTTTCCCTCTGATTCTCTTTACAACTCTGCACCATGGAGGGGTCAGAAACACCACCAGGGTTCCATGGAATCCAATTTGACGCCGAAAGCGCCGTGACGGTGACAGGCGATGAAACTCCCCGCAATGATAGCCCTAATGTCAAGGCTAATGACTGGAGTATGCTGTCCAAGCTCCAGGAGGAAAACGACCGCAACCTGGCAGCCGGATTCAAAAAACAGGAACTCGGAATCACTTGGCAAGATCTTTCTGTGCAAGTGGTCAGCTCAGAGGCCGCTGTTAACGAGACCGTTCTCTCCCAATTCAACATCCCCGTCAAGGTCAAAGAAAGTCGACGGAAGCCTCCTATGCGCACGATTCTAAACAAAAGCCATGGCTGCGTGAAGCCGGGTGAAATGTTGCTCGTTCTAGGCCGTCCTGGAGCTGGCTGTACCACTTTGTTGAAAATGCTTGCCAATCGACGAGGCGGATACAAATCTGTGGAGGGCGATGTTAGATTTGGCTCCATGAAGCCCAAAGAAGCCGAAAAATTCAGGGGCCAAATAGTGATGAACACCGAAGAAGAGATATTTTTCCCGACCTTGACAGTTGGTCAAACAATGGACTTTGCTACTCGGCTCAAGGTCCCCTTCCACCTACCGGACGGCATGACTGCCTCTGAGTATCAACAAGCATCCAAGAAGTTCCTTCTCGAATCTGTGGGAATCTCCCACACTGAAGACACTAAGGTCGGCAACGAGTACGTTCGTGGAGTCAGCGGTGGCGAACGTAAACGTGTCTCTATTATCGAATGCATGGCCACCCGCGGATCCGTGTTCTGCTGGGATCAGTCGACCCGTGGTCTTGATGCCTCGACTGCCCTCGAATGGACAAAGGCTATCCGAGCCATGACTGACACTCTGAATCTCTCTACTGTTGTGACTCTGTACCAAGCTGGTAACGGTATCTTCGATTTGTTCGACAAAGTACTCGTCCTCGACGAAGGAGAGCAAATTTTCTATGGCCCCAGAGAGCAGGCCAGGCCATTCATGGAGGAGGCGGGTTTCAAGTGCATGGAGGGCTCTAACATTGCCGATTTCCTAACCGGTGTCACCGTTCCTACCGAACGCAGGATCCGGGACGGCTTCGAGAACCGTTTCCCTCGCAACGCTGAGGCTCTCAGAACCCAATATGAAAAATCACCAATTCATGCCCAGATGTCAGCAGAATACTCTTATCCTGATTCTGATCTCGCCCGCGAGCGCACCGAGGAGTTCAAACAGGGTGTGAACTTTGAAACATCCAAAAAGCTGCCCAAGGACAGCCCCTTCACTGTCGGGTTTGTTGATCAGGTCAAGATCTGTGTGCAGCGTCAGTACCAGATTCTATGGGGTGATAAAGCCACATTTATCATCAAGCAGGTGGCCACACTAGCGCAGGCTTTGATTGCCGGTTCCCTGTTCTACAGTGCCCCCGATAACTCCGGCGGTCTCTTCATCAAATCTGGTGCCCTTTTCTTCTCTCTTCTTTACAACAGCTTGCTGGCCATGAGTGAAGTGACCGAATCGTTCTCTGGACGACCCGTTCTCGTCAAGCAGAAGGGCTTTGCATACTTCCATCCAGCTGCCTTCTGTCTCGCCCAAATTGCGGCGGACATACCTGTTTTGCTCTTCCAGATCTCAATGTTTGGTATTGTGGTCTACTTCATGGTCGGACTCACCATGTCGGCAGCAGCATTCTTCTCTTACTGGATTATCGTCTTCACCACCACAATGGTAAGTCACCTCACCTTGTTTGACATGGCTATAAACTGACAAATATGCAGGCAATGACTGCTCTTTTCCGTGCCATTGGCGCTGTGTTCTCTACTTTTGATGGTGCTTCGAAGGTTTCAGGTTTACTAATCATGTGCACTGTTCTTTACACTGGTTACATGATCCCTAAGCCTTCAATGCACCCATGGCTGGGCTGGATCTTCTGGATTGATCCACTTGCCTACGGTTTCGAGGCCCTGCTGAGTATTGAATTCCACGGAAAGAGTGTGATTCCATGTGTCGGCACCAATCTGATTCCAACCGGTCCTGGATACGAAAATTCTCAGGCATACCAGTCTTGTGCTGGCGTGAGGGGTGCTATTCAGGGCCAAAACTTCGTCACTGGTGACAACTACTTGGCATCTCTCTCATACAGTCACTCTCACGTGTGGCGCAACCTCGGTATTAACTGGGCCTGGTGGGCTCTGTTTGTCTTCCTTACTATTGTCGCTACTTCTAGGTGGAAGTCTCCCTCTGAGGCTGGCAGTACATTGGTCATCCCCCGTGAATACTTGCACAAGCATGTCCAAAACAATCAAAAGGACGAAGAGGGCCAGGTCTCCGAGAAGAAGGTCTCCGAGGGCAAGAATGAGCCCGATAACCTTGACAACAAATTGGTCCGCAATACCTCCGTTTTCACCTGGAAGAATCTTTCATACACAGTTTCGACACCCACCGGCGACAGACTACTCCTTGATAATGTGCATGGATGGGTAAAGCCTGGTATGTTGGGCGCCTTGATGGGATCTTCTGGTGCCGGTAAGACTACTCTTCTCGATGTTCTCGCCCAGCGCAAAACCGAAGGAACCATCAACGGCTCCATCATGGTCGACGGCCGCCCCTTGCCCGTCTCATTCCAGCGATCAGCCGGCTATGTCGAACAGCTCGATATCCACGAACGCATGGCGACGGTCCGGGAGTCACTGGAGTTCTCTGCCCTACTGCGTCAACCTGCCACCACTCCTCGTGAAGAGAAGCTTGCCTACGTCGATGTTATCATTGACTTGCTAGAACTCCACGATCTTGCTGATACCATGATTGGCAGTGTTGGAGCCGGTTTGAGTGTCGAGCAACGCAAGCGCGTCACCATCGGAGTTGAGCTTGTCTCCAAGCCCAGCATTCTTATCTTCCTCGACGAGCCTACCAGTGGTCTCGATGGCCAGAGTGCGTACAACACCGTCCGATTCCTGCGCAGACTTGCAGATGCAGGCCAGGCCGTTCTTGTCACTGTGCATCAGCCGTCCGCCCAACTCTTTGCTGAATTCGACCAGCTGCTTCTCCTAGCGAAGGGCGGTAAAACTGTGTACTTTGGTCCCATTGGAGAGAACTCCCAGGACATCAAGAGTTATTTCTCGCGCTACGGCGCGCCCTGCCCTGCTGATACCAACCCAGCTGAGCATATGATTGACGTTGTTTCCGGCCAACTGAGCCAGGGTAGAGATTGGAGCAAGGTCTGGCTGGAATCACCAGAGCACGGCTCCATGCTCAAGGAGCTCGACACAATCATTGAAACCGCTGCATCCAAGCCGCAAGCAACCCTCGACGATGGCCGCGAGTTTGCTACTACCCTCTGGGAGCAAATAGTGCTTGTCACGAAGCGTACCTCGATGGCTTTGTACCGGAACTGCGACTATATTAACAACAAGTTTGCCCTCCATGTCTCGTCTGGCTTGTTCGTCGGTTTCAGTTTCTGGATGATCGGAGACTCTGTTGGCGATCTTCAGAGTGTGCTGTTCTTCATTTTCAATGCTATCTTCGTGGCCCCCGGTGTGATCAATCAGCTGCAGCCGACTTTCCTTGAGCGTAGAGACTTGTTTGAAGCGCGCGAGAAGAAGGCCAAGATGTACTCTTGGAAGGCGTTCACAATCGCCTTGATCGTTTCTGAGTTCCCTTATCTTGTTGTCTGCGCCGCTCTTTTCTTCAATTGCTGGTACTGGACCGCTGGCATGACTGTCGAGGCGAGCAAGAGCGGCAGCATGTTCTTTGTCTTCTTCCTCTATGAGTTCCTCTATACTGGAATCGGTGAGTAAACCCCTCCTTTCAATCTGACTCATATTAACAAAAGATTAAGGTCAATTCGTCGCTGCATATGCGCCAAACGCCCAACTAGCCGCCATGATCAACCCCTTGATCTTGGGTGTAAGTTCCCTACCTCGTCACCTTTCCCGAGCACATCAGCTAACAGTATCCAGACAATGATCTCATTCTGTGGTGTTCTGGTTCCTTACGCCCAAATTGTCAGCTTCTGGCGCTACTGGATCTACTGGCTAAACCCTTTCAACTACCTGATGGGCAGCATGTTAGTCTTTGGCCTTTTCGACCGAGAAGTCAAGTGCAAGGAGCAAGAATTTGCCATGTTCAACCCTCCCAACGGATCAACTTGTATCGAGTATCTCAGCGATTACATGCAGACCATCGGCGCCCGCATGAACCTTGTTAACCCTGAGGCTACCTCTGAATGCCGTGTGTGTGAATACACCCGCGGATCTGATTACCTGGTCACGGTCAACTTGAATGACTATTACTATGGTTGGAGAGACACTGCCATCGTGGCTCTTTTCGTGATCAGCTCGTATGGGCTGGTATTTGGTCTTATGAAATTGAGGACCAAGGCATCCAAGAAGGCCGAGTGAGGTGATTCGAAGTTTTGGTGTCTGTGATTGTCACCGATTTCAAAGATTTTTTTGTTTGGAGTTTGTTTTCCCCTGTGTTATGGGGTCCCTAGATATACATAAAACACCATAGATGTTGTTAATAGAGTCCTAATCTAATTTTCGAAGAATATAAGGGCTTGATTCTTCTGCTTCCTATTTCGAAAATGACGTCCTATAACGTGGGAGCAGACGCAGCCACAATACATATATGATCACGCCATCCATTAGAGTGGCACAACAATCTTGGTGCCACTCACACCACCCTTGAGCTTGTCCAATGCTGCGTTCACTCCGCCCAGACCACCACTCTCAATCTGGATAGCAGGGCTGGGGACTACCTCCCCGGACTGCAAACCGGTCTTCAGCCAGCCATGAAAGACCTCATAAAAGTGCTTCTTCCTGGCAATCTCATCCATGGATGGCATGTTAAAGGTGATATCCGTATTGTCGAGCGTAGGGTGACCTTCGGGGAGAAGAGGCGAGTGCGCAACCTTTGCCTTTACATCGCCTTTGGTCTCCTTGAGAACGTCCAATGTCGGCTGCAGAGCTCCATCAACCACGCAGTGTGCGCTGTGCAGCTTGACGCCATCCTTCTTCACGGCACTGACGATCTGATTGACGACATCGCTTTCCTTGTAATCGAAGACAGCGTGGGCTCCGAGCTTCCTGACGAGATCGTGGTGCTTGGGGCTGGCGGTGGCGTAGACAGTGAAGCCGAGAGACTTGGCCGATTGGACGGCAAACGAGCCTACACTGCTCGATGCGCCCCAGATTAGGACCGCCTGTTTGTCCGCGGGCGTGTACTGGATGTTGAGCGAAATGCCGATTGTGGTCCAGGCAGTTAAGGCAGTCAACACGGCCAAGGGGAAGACCGCGCCTTCCTCGAAGGAGAAATTGTCAGGGAGTGGAATTACAACTTCGGACTGAGCCAATGTGTATTTTTGGAAGGAGCCGTGGTCTGGGGAGCCGCTCTGGTAGAAAGATGTGGCAAGGGCAATGACTCGACTTCCTGGGCCGGGGACGGTGGTGACATTTGCGCCGAGCTTGGTGACGATACCAGCAGCATCGCACCCGATGATGGCGGGGTAGATAGGCACAGGAGGCATGCCATAGTCGCGCTGGAAATGGTCGCAGGGGTTCAAGGCAACGGCTTTGACTTCGATGAGGACCTCGTTTGGACCGGGTTCGGGGGTGGGACGCTTGCCAAGGGACAAGGGACCACCCTGCTGGGGGAGAATGGCGGCGTCGTGTTGAATGGCCATGATGGATGCTCGATGATTTGATGTCATGATTGCTGTTGTGGATGTTTCTCTGGTGAAAAGAAAATGCGGTTTAACCTCAGTAGGTTCTGAGAGATCGAAGGTGAGAATGAAACCTTGGAAGATAGAAGGTGAATCAATGGTGTTTATTTGGTGATGATAAAAACGAAAAGGAAGTGTGCAGCCGTGGTGAATTTATATTTTGATTTTCAGCCTGTGTACTTTAAATCCGATACATCCCCAAAGGCCGATTCTAAGGTTCTGGGAAAATTGAATGAGACTGGGATATGACCCAAGTGATGACCACGGTCGAATCAGATTAGCGATGCACAAGTAGCTCATGATTGTCGTTACTCCGTTGTTGGAGTTATCTGTCATTAAATCCGAATGCTATCGGTAGGATTCCAGACCGAGATTATGATGCCGTAGAATTCATAGTTAGTGACTTGCGATGAATACGAAATGTGGTTAGCGTCCTTTTTTAGTGCGAACCCGCAAAACCCCCTGTGAATCAGACACCGCGATCTCGCGATTTCGAAATATAGATCGTTACAGATATATTTTCATCATAAAGGAGCTAAACGACCACTGCCCAGGTAAGTGGCTAGAAAATTCGAAAGTTCTCATATTGGGGGATATGTTCCATCTCATCATCTCAAACACCAAAAAAGAAGTATCGGAATGTGTTTATGCCATTCGGCGAAAACACGGCCAAAATCAAGGTGAAGCCGGCATTGCAGAGGTAGAGCCTAAACACTCAACGTACGTGTCTCAACATAAAAGGTGCTATCTACCGAGGACCATCCATATCGCCCAGGGTTTGTTTTTGAATCTAGAGCAAAAATAAACTACCAAGCCGCAATACTAAATAAATCGTACGATCGCAACATACTGTAGGGTCTTACCCAAATGCCGAAGAGCATAATCCATGCTACGGGACCTCGGAAGCAATACCGGCTAAACACTGTTGGTTCAACATGCACGGAGGAAGTGCGAAACCTTTAAACCTTCCAACTTTCATTGTTTTGGGAGATGAGTGAGAGCAACAAAATGGATTAAAGTTTTGACCAGAGGGATCGGCATGGTTGAGTTGAAATACAATGACCACTCTGTAATCTCGCTGCATTTTACCTACGATTTATGTGTGTTCGACAGGTTTTTTCGTGCCTTCATTTTCCTTTTAGCTATATAATCGAATTATTTCGGCTGATACAACAAAGCCAAACTTCTTTAGACAAACTCACCTCGGGGTTAGGTGCCCAGATCCAGTGCCCAGCACTCATCATCACATCAAAGGAGAAGCGGAGGAAACAAGGTTAATCATAGACTCCACACGGACTTTGTCCGAGAGCACATAGCCCCAAGGCACGGACGGCACTGGGCCGCGAGTGTCATGAAGCCCGAAACTGCTTGGCAGCCGACTGGGACTGGATAAATGTGTATCTCCACGGCTTAATCTTGAACCAATATCATGATGAATATTTGCCTCCACCGTGTGGGGGTCCGTAAGTATCTCACCTATCATGACAAGTCAAATATCAAATAACCGCATATAACGTATCATGACACAATATATCCTCGTAAAACCTCCGCATTGGGTGGTTTCCCCGCAAATTGATTGGCGTAGACCCACGCGTGTTTCCCCCACGTTTCCCCAGAATTTCACGGGGTAAATGCGGTCTGCCAATATCTGCCAAGATCCCTGGTCGCTGATACTATCCCGAGTCCTACAGGTATTGTTTTGCACTAGTCGACTTACAGACTTTAAACATGACTTGGTCCATGCTGATCCCCGCAACATAAATGCTGCCCGCGCCCGTAAATATTGTGCTTTTATTTCAGTCTGTGTCTAAAGACATTTGCACTCAATCATGACAACTGAACATGCAATTACCGATGGGGAGTTGGGGGAGAAGATCGACTTGACCCATGAGGAGGTCGTTCATTTGGCCCAGTTGACTGATGAAGAGAAAATCCTGGAGAAAAAGCTGCGCAGACGCATCGACGCGCTGATTATGCCGCTGGCGATTTTGGTTTATCTGATGAATTATATTGATCGGTGAGTTCCAAGGTTGAAAGACTATACCACCCACCCATCGTCTATCGAAAGCTAACACGGCGCTAGCAACAATTATGCCGCCGCGAAGCTCCAAGGCCTCGAGGCGGATCTCGGCCTCGACGACACAAAGTACCAGACCGGTCTCTCTATTCTGTTTGTTGGATATATTTTGATGCAAGTGCCATCAAACATGCTTCTGAACTATATGGGCCGACCATCCCTGTATATCGGGTTCTTCGTGTGTGCCTGGGGCATGGTATCTGCATTGACAAGCCAAGTCTCAAGCTACGGAGGCATTGTTGCGTGCCGATTTATCCTCGGTCTGGTCGAAGCGCCCTTCTTCTGCGCTATCCTCTTCTACTTGTCCAAGTGGTACACCAAGAAGGAGCTGGCCTTCCGCATGAGTATCTTCTACTCCGGTTCTCTCCTGAGCGGTGCTTTCGGAAACCTCATCGCAGCCGGAATTCTCAACGGCCTTAAAGGAAAGCGCGGCCTCACTGCCTGGCAGTGGCTGTATATCATTGAAGGATCGATCACAGTCGCGATTGGATTGGCGATTTGCTTCATTCTGCCCGACTTCCCGGAAACATGGAAGCTGTTGAGCCCGGAGATGCGCCACGTCGCACAGAGACGACTTGCAATTGAGGCTGGCGAAGCCGATCTCGACGAAGAAGGTGGAATGAGTCAAATCAAGGGTCTGAAGCTCGCTATGACCGATATCAAAACCTACGCATTTGCCATCGCATACATGTGCATCACTGGAGCGGCTGGATTCCAGAACTTCTTCCCAACTTTGGTGAAGAGTTTGGGTTACAGCGAGACTATCTCGCTTGTGCTCGTGGCCCCGCCGTACCTCTTTATGGTCGCGTATTCTCTTTGCCATTCGCTGCTGTCCGACAGGTTCGGGAAGAGATTCTGGTTCTTCGTCTACCCAATCCCAATCACCATTATCGGATTCATTATCTTCATGACGACGCACTCATTTGGACCGAAATACTTTTCGTTCTTTTTGATGGTTTTTGTCTTTGCCCAGAACGGAACTCTATACTCCTGGCTGGCTAGTTCAATTCCTCGCCCGCCTGCTAAGCGCGCTGTTGGTAAGTGATACTATGCAGTCACCCCTCTGTATGTTACATGAGACTAACGTAGACAGCGTTCGCATTTTTCAATTCTCTCGGCAATAGCGCTTCGATCTGGACGCCTTTTACGTATCTTGACAGTGAGGCACACCGCAATTTCCCCACTGCTATGGGCGTATGCATTGCGCTCCAGGCTATCGGCGGACTGATGGCCGTCTTTTTGTACTTCAATCTACGTTCACTCAACAAACGCCAGGAGCGCCTTGAGAACGAGGAAGTGCAGCTAAGCGAGAAGGATCTCCGTCGGCTGCAGGCCACCGCTGACGTTGAAGGTATTGATATTGCCGCCGCTCGACGGCTGCAGAAGGGATTCCGCTATGTGCTGTAATGACATCATTTGGAACGGAAATATATCAATATTGAATCTGTCCACGTTGACCTCCGTGATCCGACCGTAGTGTAAGAGCGGCCATGGCGGTCTACATCAATTTAATACATCTAACGCGGCTGCACGCGGAAAAGGTTTTTGCCAAGTGCAGGTGGTACGACCATTTAGTCCTCTGGTAAAACGCGGTGCTGTAGGATACGCAAATTGCCCAATCATGATATCCCGCATCAAGCCATCCATCACCTGACCCGGTCTCGTCCCGGCATGAAGTCATCTACATATGTATGTTTCATTTAACTGGCAAACATAGCCGGTGATCACTTCCACACTCCAAATTATTTCTCACAAACCAAGCCATTATATATTCAACTTTATCTCAAGTACAGTAGTGTACAATCAAGCAGACAGCTCGATACTGGTCTCCACTGATCGACAAAACCCACCATCATGCAATCGGCGCTCCCACGACCCATTCTACGGATAACCACCAACCCAGCGCTTCTGCGGTCGTTTTCTGTTGCTCCGACCGCCATGGCTGCTGGTGATCTGGGGTCTACGAAGCCCAGAGGCTTCATGGCCGAGTATGCACTGTAACATAATGACGTCATTGATATCTGACCATCGGCAGGAAGGACTCCTTCACCAAACGCGAGGCTGCGCACGAAGCGATGTATATTAAAAAACTGGAAATGGAGAAGTATGTTCTTTCAAGTCTATTTGGTGATCGGATTTGACGCGGTGATAGGATCGAGCGACTCAGGCAGAAGCTGCAGGAGCAGCGCAAGCATATGGACGAACTTGACAAGCATCTGTAAGACTTTAGAACCTCTCCTGCCGAAACGCCTACTCGAATTCTGACAGGATATAGTGATGAGTATACAAAGAATCAAGGTGGCGAGCTCAATTAGTCCTGAGGTACGAAGAACTCAAAGTCTTGGTTGCCAACCATACAATTATGTCGCGGTGAAGAGAAACACACAACAAGTCTTGCACCATTTCTGTAAGAGCGCGTCTTTTATATTCGTTACGGTATAGGAAAATTATCAAATGCAATGAAACCACATCGTTTGAGTTTACGACATTTCTTCAATGTCCCTTCATGATTCATTAGATCTTCGCGTGCCACCTCCACCTGTAGCTCAAACAGGCCCATCTTGCCATTACGAACATCCCGAGCGCAACAATCAAGACACTCCCAAGATACGCGACCATGGCTCTCTTTCCGACTTTATCGAGCATCTCACCACCAATGGGGATACAGATCAGTGTGCTGGGATCTCGTCAGCGAGGAACTGCTATGATGTAAAATCAATAGGTGACTTACGCAAAGCTGACAATCGAATAGGTTAGCCCGAAGCGTCCGCCTACCTCACTGGCTTTGGAAATTTGCCCAATACAGGCCGGTGCTAGGCTCAAGAAGGAACCAGATGCCAACCCGAAGATAGCAGAGAATGCATAAAGCCCTGCCAGAGTGCTGCCAAATGGCAACCATACGACAAACACCGCGAATGCGCCCACGGCGATGAGTGCTGTTTGGGTGTTGATCCTGCCGTAGCGATCAGCTACACCTCCAGCTACTAATCGCCCTATCGTGGAGGCTCTGTGACAGAAAGGGTCAGTGGTTTCTTAAGAAGTATGCTGGGGCCAGTCTTATCACATACACATTCAGAACGGCGAGCAAAACAACACTATCATTGGTTGAAAAGCCTTGCATCACCACATATGTCGGGTAAAGACCCAGTCCAGCAAAGACCTCCAGTTCAAGTCCTAGCTTATAATCAGCAATGACGCCTTTCTTGTGTCTCATTTCCAGCAGTCTCACCGAATATACCAAGAGTTAACCAGGTGAACCTCGCATCCTGCAAAGATCGCAAGTTGACAGTCGACTTGCTTCTGCCCTTAGGAAGGCGGGCCCTGACCAAACTAATTCCGACCATGCACATAACTAGCACCACAAAGGCCAGCAACCGAATCGTCCACTTATACCCCAGTCGAGTAAAGCCGGATCTGAGCATGAATGGAAATACCACACCACCGAGCCCCGCCCCCGCCATTGAAATACCGATAGCAAGTCCTGCTTTTCGGTCAAACCACTGAGGCACACTGGCCAAGGCTACTGTGCTCAAAAAGGCCGTGCCAGTCCCAGATAGTACGCCCAGAGTCAACACAAAGTGCCAATAAAGATGACTTTCAGCCAGAAGAAGAAGACCCGTGATATAACACGCAGTACCGGCCATGAGGATGTACGTAGGCCCGTAACGGTCAAACATCGGCCCAACCTGGACTGATAGACTCAGACCGAAGAACGTGAACAAGCCTGGAATCCAGCCCACGGCACTCGGCGAATAGTTGGACAACTGGTGGGAAGCGAAGTAGTTTTGCAAAATTCCAGTAGTATTCATTACCCCGAACGTGCTCATCAAAAGGAAAAACGAACCAACGACAACACTCCACGAGCGGAGTCCTCCGTCGGGGAAAGCATCATCGGTACCATGGCCCGTGAGATGGGTTGTGAGCGTGGACAGGTCGGCCGGGGGCTCGACAATTGAAAATGCTGACCGCGGGGCCTCCTCATCGAAGTTGGGATTGTGGCCTGAGGAAAGGTTGGAAACACTTGCTGAGGCCGATTGCCATGGTTCTTCTTGCACAGACACGCTGCCCGACCTTTGCATATCAACGGGTTGGGACCTTGAGGATGGAGCCAGGAGATTGTGGAAGCTGTGATGTTAAGTTACACGGAATCACAAAAAGAGTTTTCAATGTCTGGTGAGTCATTACGATAAGGGCTTGCACTAGTCGCACACCATGATTCATGGCGGGGTTGTGGAGTATACATCGGCAGCGCCTTCCGACTGTGAGATGGGGAATACGGGGTGGGCAGTGGTCAATCAGAGTACGCCGCGTTGAATATACATGAGTACAGTTCTAGGCGAGTTAAGACCACCTCGCGTTTGATGAGTTCGATTGTCGAATTGTATGAAGAACGTGGCATTCTTTGCGGCCTAGATCGTCATCGGATGCCGTCCCGAGGTACATCGAGATGAGACCAGGGCATCCCGAAAGGCAAATGCGGGAATGAATCAATAATTGTGATGTTCAACTCAGATCGTGCCTGTATGTGAGCATCAATTCAATGCTGGGATGTGTAGTTGGGATGAAGATCATTAAATGGCATGACACCCGTCACCACCCGATAAAACGCGAGAGATCCCGATTTTCTGAAAAAGCCGAGTGGCATGATAGAAGATGGGCCAGCTGACGTCGAAATGACTATAGATATATTTCTTCAATGGCTTAAACCTATATATTGTATATCTTCGATCTCATGTTGTAAATCGCAGAAGATTCAAATCCAAAAGATTCATAACATCCATACCCACAATGTCCGCAACACAATGCACCAGACTCCTCACAAGACACATCCCTCAAGTGAGGAGAAAACGACAACTACAAAACCCACATGTCACCCTCGTCGGCAGTCCATCTCCAAGTCACAACCCAACCATTGACTCCGACCGACTCCCCTACCGACTTTACGAGCTCTCGCTCAAGAAGATCCGCAAAGAGGCACACGCCGCCGAGCCCGATCTCCGCCATGTCATTGCGGGAATCTCAATGCAAAAAAGTGTTTCTAGCGCAGTCCACGATGACCTCCTACACCAAGTCGATATGATCGAAAATGCCAGACCAGGAAGGATTCCTCTCCTGCCGGGCGCAGATGAGCCATGGGAACATGAAGAGGTCGTATCAAACCAGCCTGCTAATCCCAATGCTTGGGATATGCGGATTCTCGACCAGGCCCTCTGTGAGATGGAACGGGCTAGCAGAAAGGGAGAAGTGGCGAAAACGGTGTGTTTCCAGTTGATTAGTGAGATGTAAAATTACTAATAATTGATGATACCAATGAATATATGACATGTTTGAATGAGCCTCATCGTTTCGTGTGAAATAGAGTGTATCGTGAAGTATAGCGCCCCCATGTGCTTACTATCTCTAAGTGATACAACCACTCACGGTGACTTTGAACGCCCTTATAGAAGCGGCGGTAGTTAAACTAGGAAGATCCTACCTAGGTATCCGGTAGAGAAAATAATATGGAGACGCAACTGTCGCGTTCTTCTCAAAGCCATCGACATTTTCATCGACGCACGCGACCACCACCCCGAAGTTCTTCAATGGGGCTTTTGGCTGACACCAAAAGGACATCGCTTTATATCCAGACCGAGCGTGAGTAGGATTCGCTCCAGTCTAAGGAAGAAGCTGTGCGGGACCTATAGGGTGCAGTGGACATGAAGAATAACAAGGCGAAGCAAGTGGTCTTGGAGGGCAGCTTGGCCACCTTTTCGGATATCGATTGGTACGCAACTGCGGCTACAACTGCGGAACAAACAAAAAAGGAAACTATTTCTATATTAGCCGGCTTCGAAGAATTTGCTCGACATATAAGTGAGGATTTGCAGGTTGACCAGGACACCCGGAATCATCTCCACATCGTGCAGAGTATTCGCAGCCAGTCTGACTCAATGATTAGCCTTGCCGCCTGCGAGGCCCGGCAACTACCGGCTTTTGGGATGTGTGAATGTAACTAGATTGGTCGACGCCGGCATTCTCGAGGCTTTCTACTTATATGCCGTAGGAATCAGACCTGGACCCATTTTAACCATATGTTGTGGCCATCATCTTGAAAGCACATACCTAGGTGGCAAATGGTGTCCAATTATAGCTTAGCTTGATGCTGTAACTACAATTTAATCTGACTTCTATTATTGGTAGATGGGTATTGATAAGCATACTTGGAATATGTTGCCATGTTGTCAAATTCGAAGCTCGAAAGACTTGGATTGTTATTAATTGTGTTGGAAATAATGTTGTTGGACACCTGTACATCTCAGTGATTTGTGTTAGAGATTCACAACCTTCCTAAAGCGATCAGATACTATATAGAGACCGTGAGATTAGAAGGGAAAATCAGGGTAGACTCCGTTGAAACAGCAAGTCGTAATCTATCGCATTTGCTACGCGACATTTACTATATGCTTGGGAGATGGCGGCTCGCTTGTGGCATCCGTTATAAAACTGGATAGTTTTGCGATCTCGTGTCATTTTCCATATAATCAGTCTTCCTCTCCATACCTTTCGCAATTCAAGCCCGAGACTGATTTCACCACCTAAGCTCTTTTCAGACCCCTTCTGCGGACGAGAACTCAGCACTTGGACCCAATTGGTTTGACATGGCTTCTCTCAATAGCACTGGCCATGGTCCGCTTCAGGTCCCAGGATTTAGCTCAATCCCCCTAAAATTTGAATTGGCCCCCGAGGCCCGCTTTGCCCATAGGTTGGTTGAATATCGCCACTCGCCTCGATTGACCAAGTGAGAGATGGCTATGCTCGACTCATGTTACATATCACGGAGTAGCCTGTATGGAATCGCGCGATACTGGACTCGGATGAGACCAAGCTAGCGCAGTGGTACCAGGACGCCAAGGAAGGAACTGAAGGATTTCTTATCAGTACCGCCACATGGAATTGGTGCCTCGCGGAACTACGCCACAAAGCGGAGATTTGGCAGACAACGGGCCATCTCTTAAGTTTTAATAGCTCCTCCGCTGTGTGTCAGGCCAATTTGTCAATGACAGTGTTGCCGGAGGAATTCCAAAAGGAGGTTACCCGACTAGGGTCACAGCAAAGCCATGATTCCTCCCTTGTCGATCCGTCTCTATTTCCGCTAGTGAACGACCGTTCCAATGTATTAGACCAGGGTAGAGCTATTTCTTTGGATAATTTATAGGGATTAGTTGATCCGTTTACCAAAGACCTACCGATCCATCCGCTCGCCCAAACCGGAAGACGGCCGGGGTTAGGTGTGTTCCCCGAGCCTGCATATAGAGGGCAGGAGAGCTACTGGTCGAATCGGTTCCAATGGCTTCTCTGCGAAGTGCAGCTCAGTCCTCAAACGCTAAGCAACACGCCGATGTTCAAATTACATCATATGTGAATAATCTCTACCCGGACCACCATACGGGGCTATACAGACACCTTGAGCGCCTCATGGCAGGTGCGGTCTCTTCTTAGAACGAGATTCTTTTCTTTAGCAATACCCTCAGACGCCTTCCGCCACGCATCTTAGCATATGTTTGCCAGATCCACAACAACAAGGTGATCACGAGATATTTGACCTAGTGTCTGGATAGCTCACCTAGTCTATGCCGTGTGATACATATGAAGAGTGGCAGGAGCGATGTGACGCCGCTCGCGATTACATCACAGGGCCTAAGGTACCAAGATGGAAGCAGGCGTTTTCTAGCAAGCATGAAATTCTATTAGAAGACATCACCCTAGAGCAGTGGGACTGCCTAATAGATGTGCGTCGTGCCATTAATTCTAAACGAAGGCGGAGAACCTAGTTCAACTATCCTGAACCCGGCCCCTCATTTTCGTATGAGCAATAGGAATAAGGTCAATTTATAGGACGCGCAATAAACCCGCAGCGTGTTAGGAAGTGCCCGGATCCACTACACCATGATCGTATTCCGGTGAGACTGGAGCAGAAATTTCAGTATGACGGTTTCTAGGTCGTGGTAGAGATTACTCGCATCAAATTCACACTAGAGGATCCCGTGTATTCTGGAGATACTCATTTCCACACCGAGGGGCTCCATAACGATCATATTGTTGGCACCAGTTTATATGTATTGGAATCTAAGAATGTAGCCCAGGCCCGGCCTAACACTTATCGGTCGAAGTAAGACTCATTTCGCCTAAGGGATGTCAGTCAGCCTGGCAATATGACTCTTGTTAAGCTTCGTCTAGTCGATCCGCGCTATCGAGTATGCTCTACACGCAATATACCTCCACAGCAGCATGACTGGTGGGCCGCTGCAGCGCAGTAGGCATCGGATCTCAATAAGCGCTTTCCCCGAGATTTAGTACTTTCCGTCATGGAACAGGCAGACTGGTGGCCTGCGTCTGAAGTCGAGGCACGGCGCTTGCGGGAAGATTTCTATGGTGATCACGAGCGCGCGCGAAAGGCCATTAATGATTGTGTGGGGCACCATGTTGTGATTTTTCTTCCTTATGATGAATGGAAAGCTAGAGATGTGACAGACACGACTTGTTGCGCTGGTTGCGAGTCTTCTTAATATCTCTTATCGAACGTTTCATTTGCTTTGGACCCTGAGACAATTCTAGAGCGGCTATCTCCAGATAGGCTGATATGTTCATATGCACTGACTTCCCTTCTCAGGCTAGCATGACAGGGTAGATTCGCTCGGGGTCAAAGAGGTCGGACTCGGACTCGGAGTCCATTAATTACTAAAGACCGAGAGGCCATATTGATGAGATAAATGTGCTTAAATTGTTGGAAAAACGCGAAAGAGATAGTGCAAAGGTTGGTCGTGAAAGGTGAGAATTCTTAGTGTATGACCTGAGGGGTCTTGACAATTTTTTTTCATCTTTTCATCTTTCATCTTCACTACGTGCTAATAGTAGTGCTTAAAGGTACATAATCTTGTTTACGGATTTACATCCTTAGGTGTGGTGCATTTGCATAGAGATTAACAGAAAAGCGGTCAGCTGTTGCCTGATTTCTCAAGCAGGCAGTGCGGTTGCAACCAAAGGGGTGTGATAGGATCACTACCCTATATGTATGGATGGAGGCGTTAATGCTAGACAAAAAAGGCAATTTACACCCTTGCTGCTTTACACCTTCTTCGAGCTTCATCATAATCCTTCAACCTTGAACAAATGTTTGAATAACTAATCATAACGTGTTTTGCCGAGGCCCCAACGTCCAATGGCAAGAGCTCCATGCAGACCCGTTTACAATGGCGGGGTCACTTCCACCCATCAACACTCATCCACCTATCACAGCCCCTTGCCTGGACTAATGCCAAAACTAGCTGCGCCAACAGCCCATCAGAATCAAGTCGGCCCACCCTGAAGCTGGCAGATCTCGGAGGCCCCCTCGGAAATCTGACTCGCCTAAATCCTGTCGTGCCGTTGGCCCAGCATGACACTCCCCTTCTCCCCCATAGCATCCCATGCCGCGCCATGGTCGGTGATACGCGACAATTCCTCGATACGCGAGCCAGGAAGGCTCCGAACCGCCAGTCACGATCCTGCAAGGTCTGCCGGCTCCGCAAAGTCAAGGTCCGTATCGTGCTCAGATCGCCTAGTGCCGGCCCTTTCACCCATCCCATGCGTCTTGTCCCACTCACTGGTAATGTATCATCCATAATTCTGACGTCCCTGTTAGTGTGACCGAGTCAAGCCCTGCCATGCCTGCTGTGCACATGGCTATCCTTCAAAGTGCGTCTATGAGAACTTCCCCGATGAAGAAGCTCGCCCTATCAGTCAAGCGGAGGAGATCCGGAATTTGCGGGCGGAAATCCGAGACCTGCGATCGAGGATAGATGACAAACATGATGGTACGCATGTCACCAGGACCCGCTCACTAGAACGTGTCTCAAGGGTGTGGATATGGAACCGTGGCTGATATCTGTGCAGGAGATGGGGCCCAAGATCTCCAACGGCTGGATCGGCTCGAGAGCTTATTTGAGTCTATTCGATCCGCCCCCATACAGACTGTCGATGATATTGTTCGCGATGTTCGGGCCGCACATGCCGGTTTAAAAAAAAACCTGGTTCCTGTTGGACCGTGGGAAGGAAGGGAATGTATGTTACACTTCATTTGCTCAAGAATCACCGCTCTAACATGTCCAGCCTATGAATCCTATGAGTACCCTTCGCCCGCGTCGTCTACTCTGCCTATTCGAAGGCGTTTACTGCTCAATTCTCCAGCAGAGGATTTCAATAGTTTGCCGGTCGAGGATGATGATGACGACGACAGCGCTTTGGAGCGGATGTCGGTGGATAGCGGCAGTGGTTCCGACTCATCTGGAACAATCTCGGTGATGAACTCGCAACGACCAACTATTGATGTGTTTGTCGAGAGATTTGTGGATGCATTCAGCCCTGAAGTGGACATGAAGTCTGGACGTGCAGGTGCATTGCGAGCTGCCGCAGAGATTCGAATGTTTTCACCACTCATTACCGATGCGTTCGAGGCTGTCTCGGTGGCCTTCTTTGGCCGTTCCGTTCAGAACAAACAGATTGAGGCATCTGGGTTTCGACTTTACCCACGGGTGCTACGTGGGTTACAAGATGCGTTGGTAGACCCTGAAAAGTGTAAATCAGAGTCAACCTTGGTCACTGTGATTCTGTTGCTCGCATTTGAGGTGGGCTTTTCTATATGTCCCTTTCAGTATCAAAAGATTCTAACTTCAGCAGAGTGTTGAACGCACTACTCAAAGCGGCGTCTCAGCTCACGTTCGAGGAGCAGTACGCTTGATCGAGCACCGTGGGCCAGAAAACCACATGTACGGAGTTGAGCATCTTCTGTTCGCAGAGCTCCGTCCATACTGGGTAAGCTCCCAATATTCCAATAATTGAGAATCCCATCTCTGACAGCTTAGATTGCTGGTGCTTTGGCTGCTCGACAACCCTCATTCCTGGCTCGTGAAGAGTGGAAAACCATCCCATGGTCGGCAGGAACGACCAAAAAGGATATTCTTCACCATTTGCTTGACCTTGCAGCCGAGATTCCTGGTTATCTCGCACTCTCCGATGCTTACAAAGAAGCACAAGTAACGTCCGTGATGGGTGCACAGGAGATGGTTGTCAAACAGTCTACAATTTGGAACGGTATAGCTGAGCTCACAGCCAAATTCCACCAATGGTACCAAGAATGGGTAGTGACATATCCTGACGGAGCACCGCAAGAAGTCGAACAATTAGCCGATCAAGGATTCCCCGTCTTCCAACGCCGTGATCTCCGCACTGGGGCTACTTTTACCCCAACGCGATACTCCTATCCAAACCTCCTCTTGGCACAGACCATGTGTCTCTACTACGCCTTTCGGCTCGTTTTGTCCTCGGTTGACTCCCGGCCCCACGATCGTGTCTCACCTATGGAGCAGTACGACTTGGGATGCGGAATCTGCCGCACACTCGAATTTTATATCCTCACTGCCCCAGGCAACATGATTAATCGTCTTGCGTTCCCTACACGGGTGGCATGGGAGGCATTTCCCGATGGTGGCCCAGAGCGTCGGTTCATGGTCGAAGTGCTGCAGCTAGTTGAAAAACGCCATTCACTAGGACTATGGGGCAGCGCCATGCCCGAATTATCTACACGACAATCTTCACCATTAAACACGGGTAGTCCGTAATGTGGATGCCAATAAGAATCTCTTTTTTGTACGGATTTAGCGAGATATGCAGAGAACAGGAAATTCTGGCAAAAGATCGGAGGAAAAGAGGACCCTCAGCTCTCCACCTTCATCAATATTTCAAATAATGAATAGGCGAAATGATGTATCCAAAACAAATCTGTCAGACGAACGCTGATTGGCTGAAATAGAAAGATCAGCGATGGATCTATAACCGAATCGAGTTGGTGCCGGGAGGGGTTCATAAAATTGACCAATCACAGGTAGAGTGGATAGATCAATAATCGATAGTTCGGGGGCTGATGGAGAAAAAAAAAGAAAAGGAGATTTGTGAATAAATATAAGATCGGTGGTACCTTCAACGGAACGAGGTCTTTTGACAGCTGCCAAACCTTCGCTATGCCTTCCTTTACCCGTCTAGCCCTGTCTGCTCTCGCGGCCACCGCAGCCATCGCATCAGGAATCAATGATTTCTCCTGCGAAAGCTCTTCCAACCCAGTCATCTTTCTCCACGGCCTGGGCGCAACCTTCTATGAGGACCTGAACTTTATGCAGTACTGGCTGCAAAGCAAAGGCTACTGCACATACGCCAAGACCTACGGCGCATACGATGGCTTCCCATTACTTGGCGGCCTGAAGGCCATCAACGAGAGCGCCCCCGAGATCGCAGCCTACATCAAGGAAGTGACCGAGAAGACCGGCAAGGCAAAGGTCGACCTCGTCGGCCACTCCGAAGGCGCCTTCCAAGCTCTCTACGTCCCCAAGTTCGAGGGCGTCGCCGACAAGATCGATAAGATCGCTGCCATCGCCCCGCCTACCCATGCCACTTCCTTCGCGCATCTCTACGACCTCGCCTACGTGTTCGGTAACTCTTCGCGCCTGGCTGTCGGCGATATCCTCGATCTCGTTGGCTGCCCTGCTTGCAATGATGTCGGTCCCGATGGCCCCGCCATTAAGCGCCTGAATGATGGAACCCCCATCGCCCAGCCCGGCAACAAGATCACTATCATTGCTTCCAAGTATGATGAGCTCGTCACTCCCCCCACCACGTCTTTCGTCCACGAGGACGGCGTCAGCAATATCTGGATCCAAGATACTTGCCCACTTGACCCTGTCGGCCACATTGGCGAGGCTTATGATTTAAACGTCTGGCATTTGGTCAAGAACGTCCTGGACGAGACTCCCAATCGCAAGTTCGTGTGCTTGCTCGGATCGCCCGGCAAATAAGTGATTATTTTGTATAAAACTCTGTATTACTGTATATAATAATTAATCTTCGGTGATAGATAATATCTCATCTTATGCCTCCAAAGCTATTTTGTCCCCATTTCCTAAACAATTCGTGCATGTTTCTCGCTATCAATGTATAGCTTGATGTAGTGTGACCTTGGGAGCTCTGTAAATTGTGTCACAAGGTTTAGCTTATGGGAATCAGTGCTTTTTTATCTCTTTCGGAAATTTTTGCTCAACGCCCCGGCTTCCTTGATCCATGCTCTTTCATGAGGCTCAGATGATATATTCCTTTTTCTTTGTACTTCACTTTCTACATACGTATATAGGCAACCAGTCGATACTTGGGAGACCTTGTTCGCCTTTATGTCATATGCATCTACAAATGTATCTAAGGATCTCTTGAAGCCTCTACAAGTATTCCGTTCGGATTTGACCCCTTAAACAAGAGGTATGTACTAGCTATGCCTTCTTTTGACCACAAAAGACTGATGACATAAAGTGGAAGAAACAGTGTACAGAGAGCATCCTTGTAAACGGAGTTTCGGACAAACAAAGCGCTGCAATCTCTACCAGGATCTTATATGTTCTTCACTTCGCAAACGCTAAGGGACAGGTATCAGACAAAGAGCATCCGCGATCAAACGAGTCTTGGTGCAAAGCAGAGCGATCTCTACCGGATCTTTACCACACTGATAAGCTGTGGCGCTGAGTGAAAAGTTTCAAATAAAGAGCTCAGATTCTTAAAGCGATGTATTTTACGGGCGGTTCTTGTATATTTGTGCTTGCATTTATATGTCATCTTTACTCATAAATTCTTTGTTTGAAACGGGAGGCAACATGGTCGAGGTTCTCAGAAGTGAGAACCTCGGAACTATGCATGTTTACTTTTTCCCCCGATTTTCTTTGAGGGACTTTGAATTCTCCCAACAATAGTTTTCTATCCATTGCTATTCCTATTATTACCATTCATTCCATTGCTGTTGCGATTGCTACGTTGTATTGATATTGCTACCCGCGGCCCACAGGTCTTTCTGCACGGAACTTCCTTTTTCCGATCTATCTTATCGTTACGGGGATAAAAAAAACATGGAGCCCAAACTAGAATCCGTCAAGTCTGAACACGCCTCCATACCAGTGCATGAGCAATGGGAGCATTGGAATAACGTGCTTCCAAAATCCGATATGTCCAATCCCATTCCTGTAGCAAATGATCTGGAGGAGGAGATCCGCCAGGCTCAAGCCCAGCTAGCCCAGCTGAAGAAGCAGCGAGAGCTCATTGATATCCAGCAGAAAGTTGCCGAAGAGAGAAATAAATTGGAGCAGGCTCGATCTCGACTCTTAGCTACAACCAATGAGACCAAGATAATCTCAACTTTTACTCCCACCACTCCAGCTTCTACACCTTCCAGAGACTCGAACCCGAATAACAACGCCCATACTGAAGGGCCTCAAAAGAAGCCTTGCCTCGCTCGAATTGAGCCGCCCACTGCTCCCTCCCACCACCATGATCGCCGTTCCGCCGACCCTCAGACACCAAGGCCTACTCAACCGAAGCATCTTCAAGCGAAGCCGGCTTCCGCTCAAGGGAAGCCAGCTCAGGCGAAACCACCCCAGCCTAAACCCACGCCCAAGGTCACAAAGAACAATATCTCCAGTCTTAGTCTTGAGGAGCTGCGAGCACTGGCCGCCGCTAGTCGGTCTCCTGCTGCCCCCAAGGCCGAGATGGTCGAGAGTACTCAATCGCCCGTCCGAGCCTTCAACCCCCCAACTCAGCCAGCCTCCCATGCCTCTGCTCCACCAGTGCCCAACGTTGCAGTATACAATGGACGGTCTCTGGGGGAGTTCAAGAATTACACTATCGGTCTCGACCGACACTTCGATAAATATTCCGATTGGTATAGGGACGAAGAGAACAAAGTCACCCGTGCCCTTAAGCACATCACCCTGACTCTCGAGGATGACTGGAAGCGACACATACTCAATCAGTCCCCCGACCAAAACACATACGCCAAGCTCCGCACCTTTTTGATTCACCAGATCAACAAGGGATGTAATCCAGGGACTGCCAAACAACGCTACCTCGACAGCTTCCAGCGGGACGGCCAATCGGTGGCGGATTTCTCCAACTGGATGCAGCAGTGGGAACCCCATTTTAAGAACGACTTCTCCGAACGTGATCGTATGCGCCACATCTTCGAACATCTGAAGACCCGCGTTCGCAATGAGGCTGACAAGACCTACCTCGACTTCACCAATTATGATGACTTTGTCGACTACTTGGTGCGGGTAGAGGAGTCCGTCGAGCGCGGCGGTAGAGACAGCAACCCTCGGAAGCGATCTCGGCACGACTAAGCTATTCAATCCCCAAAGCTTTTTATCATGTATCCAACGAATGCTATTACATCTTTATTTTGCACACGGACTAGACCGAGGCTGGTTGGACCTTTTTTTGGCTATCCAATGAATCCGTTCAATTTTCTCTACTTCTCTATTTGTCTAGCCAGGCGTTATGAAACATTTAGTCCCTTTGCAGTGATTTGTCTTACGTTGCTTATTTATCCCCAGAACATTTTCTTTTCGCAGCCATACACAAAAGTCTTCTCAAACCTAAAGCATACTCTGAACACCAAGCGCTAGCTTTCTGGCCAGAGCCTCCTCAACCTGCTTCCTACTGGCCTGAGTATGACGCTCCCTTTCATCCATCATGTACCCCATGCTCTGCTCATCTCCCCAGAGAGTAATATACTCACCCTCTTCGAAGTAGAAAGCGTCACACTCATTGAAACCGTTCAAGATAACCGCGTCGGGCTCACCGCGACAGCATGCGCAACCGAGACTCTCGTTGTCAACAGATCGTACGACAGTGCCTTCTTTGACTCCCTTGGCGAGAATTTCATAGCTGGCAGTGTAGATCTTGTAGAAGAGGTCATCCATCGACTGGTGCATTAGGCGCACTTCGAAGAGTGCATGTTCTTTGTAGCATTTTGCTGCGGCGTCCAGGGAGCTCTTCCCAGGTCATTCAGCTTGGCTAGGCCTTCGTAGTTGGTGTGTTGCACCGAAGGCCTGGGTTCTGGGTTTGACGCGACTGTAAGCCCTGGGGTGAGGTCGGCCATCGCCTGAATTGTCTCTGCGAGAGGGAGAGTGCGCAATGACTCGATGTGATCTTGAAGTTTAGCCATTTTGAACAAGAGCTGCTGGGGTTACTTCGTAGAATATGGAGAGGTGGGATGTTACGATATTTTACAGAACTGGGTCAATGGTTGGACTAGAGAGGGTTTTATAGGTGATTGTGAGTCAGGCGGCTACATTTGTAGGCTGCGTCTAGGTAGAAGGCGTAGGTAGAGGAGAAGCCACGAATTCAGAGGTGGCTCAAACACTGGATTAGCCAACTACAGTTTGAGTGAAATGCTGTTGGTATTCTGCCCGGCCTTGTTATCAAACGCTTGCAAACGCTGGCAAATGTTGATGTATGTTGGTAAACGAAGACTAAGGTGTGTTAGAACAGGTGACCTGTGCACAAGCCCTCAAAGGGCTTGGAGATATGCGGGTGCACCAACCCATCAGCGGGCGTGTATTTCTCAGCGAACTTATCTTTGCTTTTTCAGCGAATCATCTGAACGAATCAAATAATGCTTCATCGAAGTAGAAGCAAGGGAGAAGGGAAGACTGAGTGCACGACAGGGCGCAGGCACAATCTTCCCCACTTAATCGATCGCCCCAAAATCCATGGATCACTTCCGCTTATCTGATGTTGTTTTCCCCTCCAGGGCTTCTTTTTTGTTTTTGTTTTGAGGTTGTCTTTTCATGGAGAAAAATCCAATAAAGGCGCGGCCCCAACCTGCTCGTTGGGCATTGGCCCTGGTGGCAGTTTTGGCCTTCTTGATTTGGCCCATCCCTCTACCCCAGTTTGGTGACTTATCGGATAATGCGGAAGCCCCAGTGACATGGGATGAAATTATTCCATCGAAATCACTGGAGTACCACAACTGCGGGGATGAGTTCCAATGTGCCAGGTTAGAAGTGCCGATGGACTATAACCGGACCGATGGAAAGGGTCGCACGTTCGCTTTAGCCGTTGTTCGACTGCCGGCCAAAGTACCTGTGACCGATCCTCGATATGGAGGCGCGGTGTTGATCAATCCCGGTGAGTCGGTTGGAATATTCTTCTGGTAAACCAAACTGACCGGCGGCCCCAGGCGGCCCTGGTGGCCCGGGAACAATGCAAGCATTTGTGTCGGGTCGCAATCTCCAGCTTATCGTTGATGCGGAGGCCGACCCGGCTGAGTCCAGCGAGAACACGATCGATAAATATTTCGACATTGTCGGATTTGATCCTCGCGGCGTGGGATCCACTACACCGCCAGTGATGTGTTTCCCAGACCCGGTGTCTCAGCGGAACTGGGAATTGCAAGTTTCCGCCGAGGGCATGTTGGGAAGCGCATCGGATTCATTGCTGAGGAACTGGCAGCGGACTGAGGCGCTGAATTCTGGTTGCTCCGTATACGACATGTCCCGCCTGGGAGCGGACGAGCAAATGATGTCCTATCTCAACACACCGCTTGTCGCACGGGATATGTTGACTATCATCGAGCGCCACGGGGAGTGGCGCGAAAAGGAAGGCCAAAAGGCTCAAGCAAATCATAAGTGTCATGGCCGGGATGAAACAAGCGCGGTTTTGGAACGTACTCGATGGCGCCGTGGAGAAGAGCCGCTTCTTTACTGGGGTCGCTCATATGGCACCCTACTTGGTACCACATTTGCCTCCCTTTACCCGGACCGGGTGACGCGAGCTATTCTCGACGGGGTCGTCGACATGGTCACGTACTACCAAGGTACAGGACCGAATCCGATTGCTGATGCGGATGCCATTTTTGATAGATTTGGTCATTATTGCAACGAGGCAGGCCCGGTTGGATGTCCATTCTATATAGACGGCGGTCCGGAAGCTATCAAAGCAGCGTACTGGCAACTTGAACAGCAAATTCTCAACCTCTCCCTCCCCGTGATGGCATCTGCGGCACGCGGACCCGAGGTTGTTACTTGGACGGACATCAAAGCGATCCAACGCGTTGCCATCTACCAGCCGCTTCTGGCATTCCCCATCTTGGCGGACAGGATGAGCGAATTGGCTGAGGGAAACGCTGTCCCCATGGCTGATTTCAAGCATGGCAATCACTTTGGTGCCTGTCCATCTAACAAATGCAGTCGTGCTGGGCCTTGGTCGCCAGAGTGTGCGACTACACAGGATAACATGCTCTACGCCATGTCTGGCATTTTGTGTTCCGATGCAGAGTTCATGACCACACTCAATGTATCACAGTTTGAGGCGAACTGGGCTAGCCTCAAAGCCGACAGTGCATCTTTGGGGGATTACTGGGCGCAGTTGCATTTGAGCTGTGTTGGGTGGAAGGCTAAGCCCAAATATCCATTCACAGGTAGGTCTCGCTCTATATGTGATGTATTCTTGGTTAACCGGGTTCAGGGCCTTGGGGTACTACGACTGCCCATCCTATACTGTTCGTATCAAATACCTTGGATCCAGCGACTCCTCTAAAGAGGTATGCATTCCGCCACTACTTGATTGTAAAAGCTAGCTCACAGTATCAGTGCCAAGCACATGTCCCAGATCTTCCCCGGGTCTGGACTACTTCAGCAAGAATCGGAAGGAGTGAGCTACTCTTGATTACAATTGATTAACGCCTTGTCATGCCGCTAATTTGCCTGTTTCAGCACACCACTCTTGCTGCCCCATCTATTTGTGTAGCAAAGTCTATCCGCCAATACTTCCAAACTGGTGACTTGCCTGTTGCAGGAACACTCTGCCAGGCTGATCTGAAGCCATTGGTTGGATCTCCCAATCAAGCCATGATTGTCAGTCAAACCCTCAGTCCGGCTGACCGTAAGCTCTTTGGGGCATTGTTGGCAGAGGTGCAGCAAGGACCTATTTTCCGTTTGTAACCTCTGGACTCGACTCTTCTAATGGCCATCGGTAGGTTTCGCCATTCTGATTACTCGACTATACCGACCTCATGTATTTATGACTGAAGACGCTGTAATTACTGATAACTCTTACCTCGCATTGCGCAGTTTGTTCCGAGCGACTCAATTTCGGTGTGATCTTTTTATCTTAGAATGCCATTTAATACTAGATAGAATAACAATCAGATTAGTGGTATCGTCAAATTTCATCACCATCTTGCATCCCAAAATAGCGGTCACAATGTCAACATCTCATAGGGCGCGGATATGATGCGGAGAACCTCGGTCCACGACGACCAATCTTTCTAAATTGATAATCAGCAACCCCGCTTCCACCTCTTTAACCGGTTCCATAACATCAATATTCATAGCGTCTGTTATCGCTCGACAATTCTCAACATCAATCTCATACACATCATGGCTCCCCCAACTGCCACTGAGACCCTTGCTGATACCGTCAGCATGCAAGCACCGCAGTCAACACACCCAGATACCGACAAGATAACAGAAAAGTTGAAACTTCCTGGCCTGCCCGTATTTGGTGATAAATATGAGGAGCGAAAGTATCTCAAAGGTCGTCTAGCAGCAGCATTCAGAATCTTTGGTGACAAGGGATATGACGAAGGTGCGGATGCAGTATCCCCATCTTTTTCAGCGAGTAGCTAAACGAAATAATCAATAGGTGTCGCCGGGCATATCACTGTCCGGGATCCAGTTGACCCGACAACTTTCTGGGTTAATCCGTTTGGCACAGCATTCAAGCTGATGAAGGCCTCGGACTTGATCCAGGTAGACCACGCCGGCAAAGTCATTGACGGAGGACCGAATCGGTTGCTAAACACCGCAGCCTTCATGATCCACTCCGCCATTCATGCAGCTCGACCTGAGGTCAACTGCGCTGCACACAGCCATAGTATCTACGGGCGGGCCTTTTGTTCGCTTGGCCGACCGCTCGACATCATATCGCAGGATTCCTGTGCCTTCCACAATGTGAGCTCTCCCCTAGTGACTTGCAAGGCCCACTCCCGGAGCTTGGCTGACGGGACCAGGACTTGGCACTTTACGACTCATTCAAGGGTATCGTGCTGGCCGAGGAAGAAGGTCGGAACATTGCCAAAGCCCTGGGCAATAAGAAGGCGGCTCTTCTTCAGAACCACGGGCTCTTGACTGTTGGTGGTACAATTGAAGAGACGGTATTCTGGTTTGTGAGCTTGGAAAAATGCTGCTATGCTCAGTTAATGGCAGACGCCGCTGCTACCGGACGTGGAGGTCAGACGGTGAAAATTGACGAAGAGGATGCCGCTTTCACCTACAAAGCAGTGGGAAGCGCGAAGGCGGGGTGGTTTAGCGCAAAGCCCCTGTTTGATGTTATCCATGCGGAGACCAAGGGTGAGTATCTGAATTAAGCCATCGAGCTAAAAGAAAGTCGGTCTTTCGGACATAATCACCCGTCGGTCCAATAATCCGCATGGCGAAACGAAATCCGAAACAGCCTTCTGGATCTTTCTCCACCATTAGGGTCTTATTTTATCTATTTCAGATTGTTTTAGTATTACGGTCAAACCGGGAGTGCCGGGCTGGGTCACTGGTACCATTCTAGTAGACTTCAGGTAAATAAATTGTCCACTTGCGGAGTAAAAATGCATTCTAGCGCCGTTAATAGAAATTAATGCGTCAATGAGAAATTGCGCCGCATTGGGGTCGGTCAGTTCCACTATTCATCCTGCTTCTAGACTTGTTTTAAGGTGAAACATGCAGGGCTTCGGGAGACGCTCCGTATCAAGTCAATCCCACCACCCAGGAACTGAACCCAAGGAGAAAGGTACCTAGGTATATATAAACAGGTTAATCATTTCGATATGCATCACGCCAATCAATTCTGTTTTGACTTTTGACATTCATCGGGTGCAGGAACGCCTAAGGATCATTTTTCGCCATCTTATCTTACAAAGATTAATTAACAACAAAAATGCATTTCAATCTCCCCTTCGTTGCTACCATCGGCCTTGCCAGCGCAGGTCTCCTCGAGACTGCCACCAAGAGAGATGATACCTGGGGTGGCAGCGTCTCCCTCGGACCCTCCAAGTCAACTATCATCAACGCCGTCACTACATTGATCCCCGGTGCTGCGCCCGCAACCCAGAACGGCGAGCTCTTCCTTTGGCCTGGAGTAAGTCTTCAAATTCTTCCTCACCTCTTCCAGAGTCTAATATTCCCAGATGTCCAACGGAACCGGTGATTTGGTCCAAACCACCCTTGAAAGCTGGCCTAGCAACGCCTGGTGCGGAGCGACAACCGGTCAGTGGTGTGTACGCGCCAGTGTCTTTGGAAGCTTTGGTCAGCTCGACGGCACAGGTTCCGCCGTCAGCGGAACTGACCAGGTGCGCATCGAGTACAACCTGGAGTCTGATGGACAGACCTGGAAGCAGTACGTATTGCGAGTTGAAGATAGTTGAAGTTGGACTATACATTGTAGCTAACATACATAGGACTGTCACCAATGGCCAGACCGGTGCCCTTCTTTCCACATACTCCCATGCCTCGGGACCTTACATGCGGGGGTAAGTTGACCACCAAAAGAAAACGTCGTATAGACATTTACTAACCTGTAATAGCTACGGAACCGGTACTGAGTGTGACGATAACTGCTCCGGAACTATCGCTGCGCAAAAGTACTTAAACACTGTTATCACTCTTGCTTCGGCTGATACTACCTTCGGTTCGACTATTGCCAAGGCTGGTGGTGCTACTTATAGCGGACTGAGCTCCAGCCAGGGCGGCAAGGTGTGGACTATCACTGAGATTGACGTACCTGCCATGGACTAAGCTTGAGGACCTGGGTTGGAATCATGGATAAAATGTCTTGTAGGAATGAGCAATGTGGCTGAGAGGTCTACTATAATTTATAGGGTGAACTCCCAGAGAGCATCCACTGTTTATTTTTAATTCCTTGATCATGTTAGAAACCCCTATAGATTACTAGAACCAGGGGCAGTAAAACACAGAGTTGATCGCACTTTCTTAATCGCTAGGCCTGTATAGCATCTGACATGTCACTGAGAGTTGGATCCCAGGTCACGTGTTATATATAGATCTATAGGAGTGTCTCCCTGTTAGGCAGACACTCAGCTAGGCAATAGGGAGATGAGCTGCCGCAACTACAAATAGCTGGATCTCTCCATAAATATTAACTATCACACTTGTATCTCAATCCAGGGTTTCAACTTTGGCGAGGTTCAGTGTAAATGATATCATCATCATCATCCTGTACTGTCATGCGAATGCAAACTTCCAACTACACTTCCCTTCTTTCCCAAGGTAATCAATGATCTCAAAAACTTTGTAAAACATCTCAAATGGTTATGTGTACATTGCTATGGCCTGGTGTAACCAGAACAGGGAGTATCTCGCTCAGCAATAGACAGCATTGGAATGAGAGGCGATTTAGAACCAGTCAACAAAATAAACTTGCAAATTAATGCCCAAGATATTTATGCGAAACATCAGATGGATTTGAAATCAACTTGATCTTCTCTTTGCATAAATAGTTTCATAGATTCCTTCTGAAATAATAACAATCAATCTTCCGTTGAAACACAGCAAAACTCTTTCAGTTGTTATATGCTTTTGATGGCTTATATCACTTTGAAAGTAGGTCCACACATCTTACCCTGCGTAAAATCAATGATGGCACAGACCAAGTCATAACAAATCTCCTCTGAGATCACGCTGTCTGCTTTATATGTCTTGTGGGTTTGGATAAAATGTCTCATCCACTTCGCCGTCGTCCATAGCTCCCCAGATGCCCTTTTCTCCACGAATGTCAAATAGCCATTAAGGACATCTCGAGTTTTTGAATCAACGTCAATTTCATCTAGAAAGGAATGGATTAGGGGAACTAATCCAGGGCCTCCCTGAGAATCATTAGCAGAACCACACACTATTTCTGCTACTGACATCTCTCTGTAACCCCTAGTTAACTTAGAGTCACTTTCTGACAGATAAGATGATGAGGAGTCTCCCGAGGCCTGCGGAAGAACGCATTCTCTGAACCAGAATAAACTCTGGTTGACAGCGTCCCTCATCACAGCTCGACATATATTCTCGCCCACAAGTTCCATGGGAATATACAAGCTCAGTTTGAAATGTGAGATCGCACGACGCATCAGCGCCATGAAAACAACAAAAGCGGCATTTTCAAAGTCAGTCACTTGAACCTCCATTGGACGAAATTCCACGCGCCACCCTATACCTGGATCAGTTCCATCTAATGGAGGCTTCAAGCGGATATCAGGCCAGAGACTGCCGATAAGAGCACGGAAATGGTATGTATCGGAGGGCGATTTAGGTTCCAGATGCTTCGAGTCTAAGATCAAGTGGTCGAATTTCAGCATATGCGAGAAGAATTCAGAGAGGTTCGTATCCATTCCGGCTTCTTCGAATAGGGCCCGAGTCTCTGCATTCCCAGTGCTATAGGATTGGTGTCCTTTAGGGATATGATCATTATGGCTAGCATATAGGGGACTGAAGGACCACCGCATCTGTGAAGTAACCGTGTTCTTTTCCATTCCGCTCTATAATCAACACAATCAGGATTGGTACAGATAATGGGGGGTTTTTTGATACAAACTTTACTCAGGATTTCTTCCATTGTTCGATCGTCAACTAGCGCATTTGTAACATGCCAGCGACTATCCGTGTCTACCAGGTAACCCTTATAGCAGGGACTTCCTGCTGTAAGGGCTAACATGATTGCACTCAACGGACAGAGCTGATCATGCAGCGAGCGTGCTTCGTCTAGGTTTTTAGCTTGGAAAGTAGTTTGTAACCCACAAGCTCCGCCACTCCACGCAAAATGGTCGAGTAAAACACAGTTTACGGATGGTGTAGGCAGTGGGAGTGATGTGTTTTCTTTAAATTGCCCCCAATCAACCGAGTCATCCTTCCACGGCCAGGCTGTATTGGCATCTCGAAAGATTGGGACATTGGCTTCAGCAATAATACACCTTCGAGCCCGCAGATTGTCGGAAAGCACTTTAGATCTTTCAAAATGGCTGAACAGATCTTCAGATATAACATGGGAGTATAGCCTTTTGCTAGTCATAAGGCCAGTACTCGTGAATTTCCCAGATGCTCCAAGCCGGGGAAACATAGGGATGGTGAGAGGCAGTTCATCCGTTCCCATGCAGGATTGGATTGCAACTCGCCTACAGAGCATTAGCAGCTTCCCTTAAACTTTACTATTTCAATAGCCCTACCGCTCTCTCATATTGTTTTCAACCTGCGACATAGCCTGAATGCTGTCTCCAAATGGGGGCTTAGCCACTCCTTCCACCATGAATATCATGGACTCGGGGTGTAGTTGGAATGCCATCTGGCGACTATACGATCTGTGTCAGCATGTATAGACACCCCCTACATAAAGTGCCGAACATACCCTTGGGAATATACTTCCCATTTCTCTAAGACATCTTGCTGTTTTAAAGCCAAAGTGGCTGTCTTGTTCTGTCGATCCAATGACACAATGAGGTATTCGATCTACAATGTATCATGGCAGATTCAGCTATCTTTGTCAATGAGAGCCCTGTAAATGAGAGCCACTTCTTCTGCATACCTCATCACCCCAAAGTGGCGGATAATTATCGAGATGTTTATACTGGTTCCAAAGCGAGATACATTGCTGTATGTTCAGCAACAAGAAATTAAAGGAACTAGACTCCTCACCTCTGAAGCAAGGCGACTTAGATCTCCTTGGTTTGCCAAGATCTCTTTCCATGAAAGACTATCGAAGTAAGCGCTGAGCAATCATATTCCTGCGAGAGACTTACAACTGTGCGTGACGATCTGCGATGGTACAACCCATTTTGAAAATAGCCAATACTAACAGAAAATATTATATGAACTTTGATCGTACAGTTGTAAGAAATCTCGCGGCTTCTGGTGCGAGATTGATAAAGTCGAGTTTGCTCACTGCGGGGTGCCCTCGGGGTGCCCTAAAGACACGTCATCTCCCTTAATGAACACCGAGAGATAAAGGAAAAATTATCTGCGGTATGAAGAATGGTCACTTAGACCAATCTCAAAAGAAGTGATTGGCCACACCATGACCAGAGTTGGACAGTGGGGAAGTTTTGGTACGACGGCAAATCTTTCCCAAATGAGCCGAGTGCATATGGAATTCGTGGCAATGAGTTGGAACAGCCTGGTAGGTGCAGTACCCATGCCGTTCGGTACCCGCAACGTCTATACTCATATCGTATGTCAATTAAGCAAGTAAATTAAGATTGAGGCTTATATAAGTAGTTGTTTTGAATCATTTCTCGCTGGAACTATTGAAAATCTCTAGCCTAGGCCTACATATGGCAGTCCTCACTGGGACCGCTATGGACCAATCGGTCAGTATCTGCATTTCAAGGCTAATGTAGTGGTTGCATATATGTATGCAAGTACATTTTAGGAAATGGACAACATGACACGAACAAAAATACTAGCAAACGAATATGAAGCGGATAGAAAGACAAAAAGAAAGGCAATGGCCACCTGGCATCTGTTTACTACCAACCCGTGGCTAACGGTGATGTATGCAACTATCAAAGTCATTTAAACCTACGTGGTGCTGAAATCCGATTCGCAGAAAATATACTACCGCCTCAGTACATATCTTCTCATCCTAAAATGTCAGACTTCACTACAATTCCGACGCTGGATCTCTCCTTGCTAAGCGACCCGGGCTCCAGAGAGGCCCTGCGTCTGCAGATGTTGCATATTGTTCGCAATGTGGGAATGTGCTACGTGACAAATCTTCCTTTTGGTCCAGAAATCCTGGACAAGGCCAAGATTGAATGCGAAGGATTCTTCAACCTTCCCGAAGAAGAAAAGAAGAAACTTGATATTGCAAATGTCCCAGGGTTTCTAGGCTACACGGCAGTAAGAATCCCAGCAGTCTCCATCCGGAAATATCTGGTGGTTGACAACACAGATGGGCACGGAGCACACAGGCACCAACATCGATACTCGGGAGCATCTCACCGTAGCACATCCCATTCCAGGTGAAATTGTCGGACCAGCATACCGGAATCTCTGGGGACCTAGCCAATGGCCGGCACCCTCAATTCTCCCGGATTTTATACCTTCTTTCAAAAACTACATAGAGGAAGTCGCACGCGTGGACAAGATGCTACGCGAGCTAATGGCTGAAGCTATCGGTATTGATGGTAAAGCTCTCAGTTCCCTGTTTGACGAGACCCAGCAGTACCGCATGCGCATGATCAAATACCCCGCTCTACCGGTAGCAGCAGAGGTGGGGAATCTCCACGCACTCGGCGCACATCAAGATCACGCATTCACTGTCCTAATCTACCAAGTAACTGAGCATGTAGCATTGCAGGTGCGAAATGGCAATGGTGCATGGATCAACTGTCCACCTAAGCCTGGCTCCTTAGTTTTCGTCGTTGGGAAGAGTGCCCAGGCAGCGACATACGGGGCTTGTTCGGCCGCCATGCACCGCGTCACGGCTCTGCCTCCTGGAAGTACGGATCGGTTCAGTATCGCTGTGGGCACAAATTTGCGGTATGATACGTCGGTTTTGTCACCGTCGAGTATGCAGGCCCTGGAGACTATTCAGCGAAATGTTAGTGCTCGATATCCTGGCATTGGGGGGGCACCGGATGAGTACCTGAGTCCGTTGGGGGCCCTCGATACACTGGGCATGAAGGTGCTGCACAATTATTGTGTCAGCCACCCGGAAATTATGAGGAGATGGGTAAGATCAATGTCTATGTTCGTCGATCTTGGCTAATCTACGTGCAGCACCCTTCAATGGCTCCCCCTATTACCAATGGTGATCATTAGAGCGGGTAGTGATCCTTCTGATCCACTTCTTAACTTAAGTGGCAAATTATAGACCACATTGTCAATAGTTGAGAAATCTGGAACTGCAGGTCATAGTCACTTCGTTCGCCAAAGCATTGTAAGCTCTATAGGTACTTAGTGGAGACCCTTGGTCCCTAGTATACTGTTGGTTGTGCTTTTCCCTGAAAGATATGTTGATTAAATGCCGAGAATACTTCTGGTTACGGAGTAATGGAATCTCATTTCTCCTCTAGGCCGATAGTGACGCTGTTTTGGACTATCTCCTGAGACCTGACCCAGATCTATTAGCTTCCATTGGAATGCCTTTTCCTTTTCTGCTTGCTTTTACCTCTCCTTAGCTTGATTGGTGGGTCTAACTAATCACCGTTGCACTCATTGCATCACCTTTCAATCCGAGTTAAATGAGCTAACACAGTTCCCTCCCCTGCGTTTACCCTGAGACATTGCCTGATCCGCATGTCTCCGCAACATCTCTGGATCTAGCCCATAGTTTGGATAGAGCGCAATACCCAGACTTCCACTGACGTTATCCAACAACACCCCATCATCCCAACAGTACGGCTGAGCGAACACCCGGTCCAAAATCCTATCAAGATGGGCCCCTTCAGCCTCATCACATCCTGTACACGGAAAGACAGAAGTACGGTCAGTGAAATCAGTGAAAAACTCAGCATCATCCTATACAATAACAAATTCATCTCCACCCAACCGAGCCACCACATCCTCCTGCCGGAAATTTGCCCTTAATCTCCTCGCTGTCTCAATTAACAGTCTATCTCCAATTGAATGGGCGTAAGTATCGTTTACAAGCTTGAAACCATTCATATCAAGCATGCCGAGGGCAAAAGGCCTCTGGAGAAGACGATCAGTCGGTAGCATCTTCTTCTCCAGGTGTTTGAGTAGGAAAGCTCGATTAGGAAGACCAGTTAACCAGTCATGGGAGGCTTGCCATTCAAGTTGTCCCACGAGTTCAACATGTTCAGTGATATCAAATGACACAGAGATGTATTTCACGATGTGGAGAGGCTTCTTGCACGCCCCTTCGGTCTATCGTGGATTCTTATGGCAGCGAGACGCTTCTGGCGCCAATATAGGAATTATTGTGCAAGAAATCCAGTACAGCGAACCCTCTTTTTTCTTGTTGCATATCTGGCCCCTCCAGACTAATCGCTTGGCGATGGAGATCCAGATGCCGTCGTAGAAAGTAGAGGGGTGGTGTTGGGATTTGACAAGACGGTGATTCTGGCCGATAAGCTAGCTCATACCTGGAATAACCTGATGCTTTGCAATATCCATCATTGACATTCAAAATAGTACCTGCGGTATCGGTTTCGGAAAAAATGGTGGAGGTATCGATGGCCACTTTGTAGAGGTCCTCCATGGTGTAAATGACGTGGATATTGATCAGTATGATGGAATGTGTACAAACGGGGTCAGTTTGGGGGAATGATTTCAGGGGTTTGCTATCTGCGCGGCCCTTCAGTTTAGTTAAATACGGATACATGAGGGGATTGTGGATCACTCAACGTAATCCCGAATCAGAAAAGCAAAAACAAAGATTGACAATGGAATGTTTCGTGCAGTACAGTAAGGAATTGTAGATCTACGATCCACTCACTACCTTTAGGAAATACGCGATGCTGTGTACTTGCTCGACTTCTTTGAGGAACTATCTAGTTGATATGCAGGTGGATTGTTGATATCCAAAACCAAGATCAAGTTCAAAGGGAGATGATCATGATGTACAATGGTCATCAATCAGTAACCGACATTATCTTGTGTATCGCACTGCCTGCGAAATTCCTAAATAGGAACTCAATAGATTACCTCGGGCTCTCACCGACTCAAAGTCACATGAATCAGGGCAGAGAAGCTGGATCGGCGTTTTGCCCTTGCGTCTGGAAATAAAAAAGGGAAAAAAGGAAAACAAAAACCTGTTTCCTTTCAACTCAACCAGTGTACCGCATGGTAAGTTATATCTCCAATTTTCAAGTCCCTCGTAGCGTCATTAGCTACTTGAGACTGCAATCTCAGATACCGAGTCTGATCAGCAAAATCTTCATCTAAATCGTTACCATTTCAAAAAGTAATAAAATTTGAAGACAATTGCACCAGTCAAACACTGTGTTGTATATCACATGTGTTTGATAATGTGCTTCTTCTAAGATCGCTTTGCATCTTCTGAAAAGTCAGAAAAAATACAGAACCCATGAACTCCAACTCCATGAGAAATACATGTAACTGTCCCAAAATATTAGCTCAGCTACACGGCAAGAACCAAGGCAGTGGTCTGCTATTGCTGAATGCTGGACAACCTGTTCTGCATGAAGGCAAATAACTCATTTCACACGCAAGCTGGCCACCTCAAAAACACATAGTAAATAGGATAACTTAAACCTCGATATCTTAACAACCACGTCCTCATTTGTATTCTAATGGTTGCCAATAGCATTCGGTAAAAATTTTAAGCAGGTGATATCAATTTTAATTTGATCGAATGACTATTACTACGATAACGAAACTTACAATGTTGAACCCGGCTATGGATATATATCTCAAATTTACTATCAGTAAATTTCTTGAAGCTTCTACATATGGCTAGATAATATATGAGCTATAGTTTATTCGCTTTCCTATGTGTTTTGGAGGCGGCCTGCTCGCGTGTGAAATATGTCAAGCAAACCCTTTGGGGTTAGCTACGTCACATAAGTAAGTAGCTGATGCACTGAATTTATACAACTTTCATCAGCTTCTGTGCAAGGTGGGCGATCCTTGACAAAACAAAACCCGATCTGGAGTTATCCTGATTGTAATGGAAATTTAATTGGCTTGATGGTGTTTCAATTTCAAATCACATTTTCATAAGTGTCATTGCTTCTAACAAGAGCAGTGCTATTGTTCATAGTCAGAGATACCACTTCTTCACTCACTCTCTTCCTCTATTATCGTTGTCCTCCCTCGCACATACTTGATACAGTTTGCTGGATATCACAATTCTAGCTTCGCTTCCAGTCTCATCAAGTACGTCAGTTTTGAGCTTCCACGACCATGTCAATTCAGTCAAACAAAGACGTTTTGTCCCTAAAATCGCCCTCCCCAGCATCTGTACCTGGGCCTGCAGCTTTTAAAGCTAAGGGACATACGGCGGAGCAACCGTTGACTTCTTTGTCTTCACCACCTAATGGAGGGGTTGTCGCCTGGCTCCAGGTAGCAGGAGCTTTTTTTTTGTTTTTTAATTCTTGGTAAGCTCGATGATAATGACTCTATTATCATATTTCCGATAGGCATTGTCTAACACGTTATTTTATAGGGGCGTGGTCAACACTTTTGGCGTATATCAAACCTACTATGAAGAAACTCTCCTCCCTGGTTATTCGGCCTCTGCCATCTCTTGGATTGGTACTATGCAGGGTTTTCTTCTTTTTCTCGTGGGAGTTATTGTTGGCCCTATTTTCGACAAAGGCTATCTTAAAAGCCTTATTGCCATAGGTTCGTTCCTTGTCGTATTTGGTTTGATGATGACCTCCTTGTCAACGAAATACTATCAGGTCTTTTTGGCCCACGGAGTAGCAGTGGGGACTGGATGTGCCTTTCTGTTTCTCCCGAGCGTAGCTGTCGTGGCTACCTATTTCACCTCGCGGCGCGCGATAGCGACAGGCATCACTGCTTCTGGTGGTAGTATCGGTAATTGTGCTCGTTAAAACAAACAATAAAAATATACTAACGGTCCGTAGGCGCTGTGATCTATCCTATCATGTTTCATAAGCTGATCGACCCCGTTGGATTTGGCTGGACAACTCGTATCGTTGCCTTCGTTGTCCTAGCCGGGCTATCCTTCTCGTTGGCCGTGATACAGATGCGCCTTGCCCCTTCTAAGGTGACTCGATCACAGATTAACTTAGAGGCTGCATTTCTCGAAGCTCCATATCTGGTTTTGAATTGTGGGCTGTTGTTTACCTTCGTGGGCTTATACTTCCCATTCTTCTACCTCCCAACTTACTTTACCTCCTTCCTCCAGTCCGATGCCGATATTGGGGTTTATAGTATCGCTATTCTGAATGCTGCTTCCGTTTTCGGACGGATTACGACTGGCCTTCTCGCAGACCGTATCGGATGCCTCAATACCATTGTTCCAATCAGTATCATCGCTTCGATCCTAGCATTTGCATGGATCGCCATTCGGAATGAAGCTGGCACCATCGTCTATGCCTGTATCTATGGTTTCAGTTCCGGGGCAATGGTCTCGCTCCCGCCTACTATTGTCGCGCGGCTGACCCCCAATGTCGGTATCATAGGCACACGATTGGGAATGACTTTTATCTTTACGGGTATAGGACTGCTGGTTGGTAACCCTATTGCGGGAGCTTTGTTAGACTTGGAGCACGCAGTGTTCTGGAAGGCACAGCTCCTCAGTGCTATTATGTTGGTAGCGGGGTCCTTATCTTTCATGTGGGTGAGATTACTTATGGGGAGAAAGGAAAGAGGATGGAAGATTTGATCTAGGTCAGAGAGGAACAGTTTCTCGGAATCGAGGTGCATCTTAGTCGTCGGATCTTTGGAGCAGTATACCTAAGCATCACTGATAGGAGCCAGCAATTAGCGCTGTATGTGAGGGACCGATGTACACTCACTGCAGTGAAAGGACAGATGTTGATTGAACCAATAGCAGCAGGCGGTTGATAGATCCGCAACTAAAAGCAAATGAATTTGTGAAGATAGCAAAATAGCGCAAAGGCTTGTCCTATGCAGGAATAATAATTGGATTAGATGATTAGATAGGAGTAGATATTGGATGCAAATTATTGTACATGTTCAGAGGCGTGCTTAATGTTACCCTGAGACAAGAAAATCGGCAAGAGGTGAGCACTAAAGCGGAAAGAGAAAGGTCTCGAGTGCCAGGCATATTCCGGTACATATGTCTGCGTACGTGTACGCCAGAGCCCACTACAACGTATTCATGACGTCAGCAGATTCACAACCCAATCACATCAAGGTCATGCTCATGGAAACCAGCTTGAAAAAGCAACAATCGAACCAGCCGTGCACCAGATGGAGCTGCATCATTGGCTCCAGCAACAGGCTTTCTTCGACTTCCACCGGACGCATGGAATTCATGTGACGCAGTATTCGCCGTTCGGCAACTCGAATAAAATCTATGGTTCCCGCGAGCAACATGGTCTGCTGGTAAATGATGATACCTTGGTCGAGATCGGAAAGAAGTACGGAAAATCTTCTAACCAAGTGGCTTTGGGTATGTCTGCCATTTTGTCCTTTGAGATGGAACTAACCAATTTTCGTAGCCTGGGGTATCTCACAAGGTCGTTCAGTTTTTCCAAATCAAAGTCGCCGGAACGAATCACACAAAACTTTGATATTGCCTTAGAGCTGGAGCCTTCGGATATTGAAAAGATCAATTCGATCGATAAGAAGATCCGGTTCAATGACTCGAGCAAAGATTTTGTTTACGAACTCTTCACAGACCTTGATGGGAAGCAAAAGTGAGAGATCTCTTGATTCAGGTATTGCGGTATCATTGGTGTAGTTCACATAGAGTCCAATTCTCGTAAGGCCTTTGGTCGGATTTTTCTTCAAATTCGCGAACAGATTTTACTTTCTCATTTTTCCTATGAAATGTGAATATTATCTTTATATTCTGGCAATGTATGTGTCCGCCTTTGACCACTCACCTTCATCGCCGGGCCGTATACCACATTAACGCCCTCGTCAACGTTCATCAACAAACCCGCAACGCACCCAAACACTCAATCTCTATTCGCTCTACGTTCCGATGGCAGATGCATTCTAATACGGCGGATGGGCTAGCAGGCTATTCCCTGCAGAATTAGATATCTAGGTGATTCTCACGCCAGTTTACCAGATATTGTAAAATGAAATTTGCAATCTGCAGACATAGCCAAGCATACCTTTACCTGAGATTTGTCCAGACTTATATGCAGTGAGTTTGTAAAGATAAATGTCTTGCCCAATTCCGGTATAACTAACTGGCCTTCCTCACATACTTGTTTTATTCGGCCATTCAGAATGAAAGAAGCGGGACATAGGGAGCTGCCAGTAGGGAAGCTACGGCTTATTATTTGTTTCATTGTACCCTTCAAATGAGGAATTACTAGTCGCTCGGAGCAGACCCGGTCCGTAAGTACATTAAAATTTCAGATCAATTGTGTGGTAAGGGGTCCGAGCTATAGATGAGTTTCCTCTGATTATGTATAGAGAGCCAACACAAAGGTCAATGTGATTAGGTAGCCACGAGTGATGTCGTTATTGTAGTAGAATAAGGTTATGGGAAGCAAACGAATGCTAGGCTATGTAGTTATCTCCACAGGAGTGAGCCAACGCCGAGCTTAGTTGGGGCTATCAGGTGTGATACAATCAATCAAAGGGTGGTACCTAGCGATCTACTAAGCTCTCCCAAATTCAGGGTCTCCAAGGTTTCTGCGTATTTCGTTTCGTAGCTGGGACCACCACCTCAATCTGTGCAGTGGACCCAAAATGGTTGTGTTGTGCTTTTCTTCTTTGTTCCTTCTAATCAAGCCACTCTCGACGGCTGGCGATAAGATGTTTGTAGGAGAATCAAGGGAAAATGTTATTCCGCGCGAAAAGAAAATATCGATGACGTCATTTCGCGCTGGCCGCCCAATTCAAGCCGGGTATATCTGCTGCCGCGAGAGAGATAGTTGTTCGTCTTCAAATATGAACCAAAACAAGCAACGAAACGCTTACACTTGAAACCACACCTCTTAAGGTAGATTATCCTGTCCCTGATCAATTTACTCTACCGATTATCTCTCAGCTGGCACACAAGACGTACTCACCGACTCCATACTACTTCTCTTTTGAAAGCCAGAGGTTCACCATCAACGGCACACATAAGATAAATATGGCTGCGGTTCCCAATTTGAATCTCTCTGCACAAGAGCTTGCTGATATGTTACTGACAGGGGTTGCATTTCTCAATCAAAATGACGAGTCAATCATGGTGAACCGACGTTTCCGGGAGCTCATGACCTGCTGCAGTGCTAGATCATTCGACTGCTGGTCAAAATCCATCCACCCAGAAGATTACGACCGCGTAGCCACTTCTTATCTTGAGACCTTACGCTCTAAGCATGCTTTGTGCATCGAGTCCGCACTCGCAGCCAAATCTCTCTCTGGCGTGTTCTGATGTTGGCTCCCTTAGATGACATTGATCTGCACCGGCTTAGCTTGAGCGGTGGCGGTTTTTCTGCACTATTGCAGACATTACCCAAGAGAAGACGGCTGAGCCGCTGCAAGCCGAAACCACCCGAGAAGCGCAAGGGGTCATGAAGTCTGGAACCCGTTTTTTGCTAGTTCTCATTGCACAGAGGGTATATTTGATGCCGTGAAGGACAGAAAAGTAGCAGGGTACCTGTGGCGGCCATTATTTTATCACACCCAGATTCATCCGTATACACAAGGTGGTACGATTTGAAATTCGATATAAAGTGAGCGTATTCATCACGGAGGTCGTAATCACGCTCCCTGGCCTTGACCCCGGGCAGTCTTTTTCGACCAGCGTTTTGATGCAAGGGCGAGGCTGATGCTGGACTTCGTAAATTTGATATCAAATTCATCCCACAGAAAAAGAACCATCTGAACCAGATACAGTTGAGGCTTTTCGAGTAGGTTGTCACAAAGGGCTTCCAGCATAACTGGACTGATACTTCGTGGCCTGCCTACCACCTTTATTGGGGGTGCTTTTAACAAAATCAAATGTCCGAATATTAGAAGAGATTCATAGGATGGAACGCTTGTTGCAACTAGCTGCCTTCGCCATCTGCGACATAGATAGTTCCCCACTGCGGGGCATGTCGTGTATAAGCTCATGCTTCGAAGGGGCTTGGCTGGGCGCCATCTTGGTGTGACCACCGGTGATTGATTGTTAAGATCTGCCCATACCAAAGGACGAAGGCTTATAAAGTGAAGTATCGAGGTGTCACTTGTATCAACCTACAAGTTAATACATCCCACCACATATCTAGAACACTCTACGTAAGAACCAATACAACTTCCACTGTCAGGGATACAAATCTTTTTGTCCCACTGTGGTTCCAGCTAAACTAGGTGCCTGTGGGTCGGTGCTCTCGGTATGTGAAAGGCGGCGCTGGGTCGTAATGAGCATGTCATACGACGACAAGCGCGTCCACTTGGGGCCTGGCAATTTTCTTTTTGCGGTGGCAACGATGGGGGCAGGAACAGCAGCAATTGTCGTAATTGCAAAGGTGAGCATGTTGCAATCAAGGTCAGCAATGCTAATGCTAAAGAGCACTTCGCAAGGATGCAATAATGTATGTTTCTACTCCACCCAGGTAACTATTCGGCTATACCACTGACCTACTTTCAGTCCTCAAAGATACTTACACGAAATTCCAGTGCTCCAATTGTACTGACTGTACCGACTGTTCATTCTGCAGTAATTGCACCAATTGTGACAAATGCAGCCACAGTTCGAACATGACAAATCGTACCAATTGCCACAATTGCGAAAATTGCTCCTACTTGAAGGTGGGCACGTGTCATGGAGTACGGAACAACAGTGACTGACTACCTTTGAATGATTAGGACCGAGACGGTACTGCGCATGAATCAGGGTAGACAGGAGAAAGCAATGAATGATGTTTAATGTGTGCAGATCATCATCGTACATGATTACTAACCTCTCGTTCCTAATCGGCGACCACACTACTCCTATTCCTGTCCACCCTCAGCGCCGGATTGTGCTTGTCTGAACGGATGATGTACATTGACCGCACGCTAGCCGGACCGTGGCGCTGGGCACGTAATGGCTCACGACTGATGTCATCATTATACGCTACAATGACTACTCTTCACCGCTCCAACAATAAAAACTATAACGTCGCCATGTCCCCTTCACCATCTGGAAGACGGCGAAAATGTGTTGCGCTAAAACCAACGAATCTCTTGAGGTCAATGCCGACGTTGAAGACTACACAAACCGGCCGCCATATTTGCTGCAACCCTTGCAGAGATTTGGCGAAACCAAGTGGCGCGCTCACTGCCAGTGTGGCCAGGTTAAATATGCCCTGAGACGTGCAAGAACATTGAACGCCAAATTCTGTCACTGTCGCCAGTGCCAGGTCTTGCACGGCGCGCCCTTCCAGTGGGCGGCTATATTTCCCAAAGAAGACATCCGGTTCGAGAACGGACCTGAAGGTTTGTCGTTCTATGCGGCCGGAGAGAAAAACCACAAGTACCAAACACCCACAAAGGTCTCATGCTCGATTTGCCGTACTCCTATCATGGATGAAGGACGCAATATGTGTCTGTTGTTCCCGCAGCTAATTGACTTGTCCGGCTCGCCGGACGAGCAGCGGCACCGGATGCAACATTTTTGCCAACGTAAATTTAATATTTTGACACGAGCAAATATTGGTAGTAACTAACCGTAACCGCTTGGTGCCACATTTTCTATGAAAGTCGATTAAGAGACATCCATGACGGAATTGCAAAGTGGTCGGGAATGGATGAGCAGAGCCAACAATTAGATGACGATGGCCAGCCGCTCAAGCCATAATGGGATGATGACTACATATGAGGTTGGGGTTTCTGTTCCGTCCGCCTGAGCGAAAATTACTGAAGTGTCTTGTCAAACCCAAACAGTAACTCGAGAGGCGCGTAGCGTACAATAAGTATATATTCAAATTTATGCGGTTGTCAAAAATGATGAGAACCTGTGAAGTAAAAAGAACAAATCTGGCGAGTATTCGTCCCTGCGCCGTATATTAATTACTGAATTGGTCCTGCGTCAAGTGAAGATCACTCAAAATCTCGAAATATAAGACAAGAACTTGATGCTCTGAATAAGAAGTATTGGCTACTAGAGCGCGACTGGTGGGCATACCGAAGCGGGTTCTCCGAAGGGCCTTGGACAAGGGGATTTAACTTATGGCGGCCGCATCCTCGATGGTATATGCATCGTGTTCTCGTGGACGACTGTGCTGGGAGAGGGGGCTGCTCTAGTCGGAAATGTGGGTGTTGTCTCCGCCGTCAAATAAGCCCAGCACGTAAGCATGGAGTTGGGCATTGTACAAGTGAATGCGGATGCTGTATGTATTGAGTCTCGGGGTTTTGCTCTCACTGCGAAGCAGAAGAAGCAGCTCTCTATACTGTTTAAGCTATATTGAGATATCAATCAATCCTTGGCGTATGGATGGACGGATATATGTTTGCTTTACATTGACCCTTCGCTGGGATATTCATTGCATTAAAAAGCGCAGCAGGCGAACGACAAACTTGAACCAAATATCCAAGAGACCAAAAAGTTTAGAATATTCCCCCACAGCTTTCTTCTTAGTCCTTGAAACATCTCGTCGTGAACGTATATAAATTAGTCTCTAAATTCTAGGCCCTGCTTACGGGCGCTAAATATGCCTCTAGATATTCCTCTTTTATGCCGCTTGTTTCTTTTGTGAAAATCGTATATCAGGGCATAAGCCGAAGAATGGCGTGGCTTAAGATGTTCGTCTTCAAGTAAAGTATGTATAAAGATAAGTGAGCACTCCGAGAGCTAACCCAAGAATCAAGGTTTGGGGTTTTCACATGTTTAAAGAATGCTTACGCATGTTCTTGTTTCGGTCGCTGCGTAGTACATGTACCAAAGCATACCTGTTCCCCTCTAAGTCAGTCCTGTCCAGGCTGCTGTAATAGATAAAACCGAGCCTCTTGTATCATCACCCATTTTCTGCAAGCGCAACGATGTGATTTCGACAAGGAGACGAGGAAGCTTTTCTACACTGAGCTCCCTATGGGCGGGTGAGCCCATTTCTTGATAGACCCCATAGTTTTTTGATAATTACTGGTTATCATTATTGTAAAAGGACATTCGACTTCACCCACATGGGGTTTGATGGTACTGAATTGCCCGGACAGCAAATTTTGACGAGACAGTAATTTAGGGGGGTTGCAAACTCAAATACAAATACAAACGCGCCTTAATGGAAGACCACAATAACACTATTGGATGTTTAAGCCTGTCGAAAGGAATGATTGCTCAATATGGGGTATCGTCAAATCTTTCAATCAGATTGCGCTGGTTAAGCTTGGTTACTGAAATGACAACAGCAGTGTCATCAGCTCTCACCGAACGGTAACAGACAATTTTTCGTCAAAGAAATCAAATATACTTCACATTGCGAGTAATGTGATTGACAAAGCTGGATTTCATTTGTCCAGAGGAACTTCGGCAAACTCCGCGCACTTTCAGGATTCGTCAGCTTACAACACCGACAAGCATATTTGGGTGCCATATGCGCATTGGGTTCTGAGACAGTGACAGATATGAGAGATCTTGAGATTCGCAGGTATTATCGGGGGCAGGTTGAGGACTTTGCGCGTGCTTGTGCGGAGCTGTCGGGCCTTGAAGATGAGATTCGTACGCGCATTGCCATGTTGAGACCGCATGTGCGTCGCCAATTTCTGCGACTCTATAGTGAGCAGGTGGACGAGGCTATTGGGTTCCCGTGAGAACAGACATATTCGGCTGCGGAGTTGGGTTGGGGTTTGATTTCCTTTGATTTCATGGGTCACAGTGTATCTTTAAATGTGAAATGCATGAACCAGACTTTCGGTAGCCCAAGTCGTTCTTTCAATAGGTATTCATGAGTTTTGCGGAGGTCTCATCTCGGGCATGGATCTCCGCTTGGTTGTCCCCTACCCTGGATGAGGGGTGTATGAGGACCTTTTCTACACGTATAGTATTCATTGCTGTTTATAGCTGTCTGTTAGCCCAGTCATTTACCGTGCACCCCTACAACCTGCTAGTATTCAGGGGGATAGAAACCCGGAGTTTTCATACTATCTGCTTATGGCTAGTGCATTAACTGTTCGTCACCTTCGGCTAAGACTACCATCTTTCCCGTGTTCTGACCTTCAAAGAGCGCTTCCAAAGCTCGAGGAAGAGACTCTAATCCGATCATTTCCGTCTCTAGGGGCTGGATAGCGCCCGAGTTTACCCATTCTTGAAGCTCTTGAACCGCCTTCGGCCACTGATCGATGAAGAGCAGGGGTTGATACCCCTCAAAACGGAGGCCATTCATGTGGATATGAGTGATATTCACTGTCCATGCTTTCTCATCATCAGCGTAGGTAGAGATCTGACCAACCTCAACGACACGGGCTGGGCGGCGCATCTGCTGCATGATGGTTTGTGAGAGCTGACCTCCCACCGCGTCGAAGTAAAGATCGGGACCGTTCGGGGCAATAGAGCGTAGTTGGTCTGCGAAATCCTCGGCCCGGTAGTCAAGAGCGTAGTCCAAGCCCAGCTGACCTGTCAAAACTTCTCGTTTTGCCTGGGTGCTCGTCAACCCTATCACCTTTGCGCCCCGGATCTTGGCAATCTGGCTAGCAATTGAGCCTGTGCTGCCAGCTGCACTGGAGATCACGACTGTCTCGCCTCTCTGGACCTGGGCGACTTCAATCATTCCAAAGTAGGCTGTGAGGCCAGTGATGCCGTAGACATTCAGCGCGTACGATGGTTTCTCGATTTGGGGATCAATGGGTGTTGGGCCCATGTCGTCTTTGCTGGGACGAGTGACCACATAATCTGCCCAGTCAAACCAACCCTGGACTAAACTTCCGATCGTCAAATCGGGGGTTCTGGTCTCGATGACACGGGCGACAGCAGAGCCGAACATAGGTCTGCCCACAACATAGGGTGGGAGCATCGTGTCGGTGGCCCCGGAGAGGAGAGTTCGTTGACAGGGATCCACCGAAAAGGCTAGCGGACGTAAGAGAGCCTCGCCTTCAACAATCTTCGGGATTGGTAGTATCCGGGTTTCAAAGTGATCCGGCGAGACGGTTTGGCCACTGGGAACACTCTTCTTGAGAATGATTGTTCGATATGATCTAGACATAGTGAACTTGAGCTTTTGCCAAAGTGTTGCGTGATATCGGTATGTGGATGTGAGTCTGGGGTTTTCGTTTCCTTGTAAGAACAGATGAACTAGCAGAAATAGCAGCAGGACAGGCCGCAATTTGACTCGGATGCGGCCAGTCCGCATATGCCACACCAGGAATTTATGTATGAGCTATTTGTTGGCCTACAAGACATTCTCGTTTGCAGTGTCGATCTTGGTCCTGCGTCCTTCTTCGGACTGTATCATGTATGGTCGATAGCAATGGGTTTTTTTTTTTTTTTTTTTTTTTTTGGTCTCCTTACTTCATACTAGCATTCTGCTATGTGAATAGACCTTAATTCCCACAGTAAGACTACGTAAACAGTGTACTTTTAGAGCAGTCATTTCATTTCGATATCTTGATTCTGTATATTTAATTGATAGTGGTACGATTGGCCTAGCCCCCCGGTGTTGAGCTACTATTGCGTGCCGACTGGTACTAACACCATATCACCACGCTTCTTGTGGACTACTATCACATCAGAGAATACAATAGTGTAAAGTTGGGTGATTTTGCAGCAACCTCTGAGGCTGCTTTGGACCAAATTGTGAAGGCTAAGTGGGATTTGTTTGCTCAGATATTTTCATCATTGGTTTTTTCACTATTGGCCCTTTTTATGATGATTTTATTTGGAGCTGTTCTCCACTTTGCTTAATAGCGACCCTTGACAACGAGTACTAGTACGAAGTAATATTTATAAATAAGTGAAACGTTCAGTTCAGGTAGGATAGGAATCAGGATTAATCTTCTATCACTTATTGTTGAAAGCGGCAAGTCTTATTAAAAAGGTCTAAAAACGGAGAGTTCTATTCATGAAGAAGGTAAGGAAGATGGAAGAAGTGCTGTTTGTTATACTGCTTCTTTTTAATTAGCTAGTCAATAAACTATTAATCAAAACAACTGGTAAACTGGTAAACTGGTAAACTGGTAAAAGTTTAATAAAGAAGGAACTGGCAAAGGGTCAACAATGAAGCTTCATGCATGACAAGGCTTTATTAATGCATGTTTGGATGCATGTTTGGTAACCGGGCCTTACAATTTTTCGGTAAAAATTACCAGACCCTCCTTCGGAGGGTCCGCCACCCACTTTGTAGTTGCACCCATTTTGTAGATTTTTCCAGGATTCAACCTCACACATTCAACCATCAATTTCTCCATCACCATGCCTAGAGATAACGCTAAAATTGAGATTCAGGTTGCTAAAGCAATGAATTCTTTATCCCAGCAAATTAAGCCTAATATCGCGAAAACTGCGCGTGAATTTAACGTACCTGAGGGCCGGCTTCGGTATCGATAGAACGGTGGAAAATCCCTATTTCAACGCCGACCTAATGGTTGGAAGCTTAGTTCTGCACAATAATCTGCTCTATACCAATTCATTGATTACTTCGATAAAGCGGGCGCTGCAATAAATCAGTCACAAATCACTGTCGCCGCGAATTCAATCCTCGAAGAAGCGCATACCGATCCCGTAATTCCACCCCCTAAGGTCGGCGACCATTGGACTCATCGGTTCTTAAAACGCAATCCTTAATATTATCGACGTCGCCGACGAGCCCTCGATATCGAACGAAGCCGAGCAATGGATAAAGGGGTAGTAGAAAAGTGGTTTGAAGAATACACTCGGATCGTCGAGGAGAATGGCATTTTACCCGGCGATATCTATAAATTTGATGAGACTGGCTTTCAGATTGGTGTTGGTAAAGATCAATAGATCATTACTCGAGAACCAAGGCGCAAAATCTTTAATGGTTCTGTCACAAATCGTGAATCCGTTACAGTAATGGAAGCAGTCTCGGCGGACGGTTTTGTATGTCCACCACTTATCATTTTGAGTAGTAAACAGATGATGCTACGATGGTTTGAGGCTATTCAAACTGATGAACACCTCGCTATATCCGATTCTAGATATATAACCGATGTCTTAGCATATCAATAGATTCAAAGATTCCATAAGTGGACAGTCCGTCGAACTTAGGGTGTTAAGCGACTAGTTTTATACGACCGGTTTGGATCACATTTTACCCGGCATTTCAGTGATTTTTGTGATAAGAATAATATTATTCTTTTCTTTTTATTGCCGCATTCAAGCCACTTCTTACAGCCTCTCGATGTCGGTGTTTTCAGTGCTTATAAACATTGGCATAGTGAGGCTATTGAGTCCGCAACAATGACCGGATGTCAGAAATTCATTAAGGAAGAATTCCTTTATGCGATCACCTCAATACGGGAAAAAACATCTCGGCTACGCACTATCAAACTCGGCTTTCGGTTAATAGGTCTTCGGCCTATCAATTTTAAGTTAATCACTGAGGATTTGGTTGATTATGACCCTTATTAACGACCATCGACACCATCAACTAGTAGCTCAGGCTATACAGACTTTAGCACCCCCAAAACCACTGAGAAAGTGCAAAAATTAAGCTTAGCGCTTAAAGAGAGTGAAGCCTATTCTTCCCGCTACAAAAGTGCACTTACAAAGATCGCAAAAAGTGCTGAAATGCATACATTACAGTTCGAACTAGATTCGACTTCAGCTATCGCGGCTACTCGCCGCGCCAGATATAATGCTACCCGGGCAAGGGCACATGCTACTGGCATTGTTAATGCTAGTGAATTAAGAAACATGAAGTATAAAGCATCTAATTGGACTGAGGCTGAGGATATTTCCAAACGGAAGCGGAAATGGACTAAGGTCAACACACAGATCAGAAGGCATGGACGCATGCAAAAGAAATGAGGGCGGGTTATGGCTATTGAATTCATGTAATTTAATAGATATTTAATTCATTTCCTATTTGAATTGCATTTTCGTTCATATATATGGCTGAAATGGGGGTTAGAATTGAATCCTGGAAAAATCTACAAAATAGGTGCAACTACAAAGTGGGTGGCGGACCCTCCGAAGGAGGGTCTGGTAATTTTTACCGAGAAATTGTAAGGCCCGGTTAGTCAATGCATACTACATCACTACACTCATTGCTTTTTCCGCTAGTATCTCACCTTTCTTTGACCTATCACCACCGGCATCTGATTCGTGTGTTCCTCATTTGTGATACGTCAGATAAATCATACCAGCTGAGGTAGAGGATCAAGACGAAATTCGGGCGTAGGGGTCAATTGGCGGTGTGCTAGGATCACACTGGTATTATGATGGTAGTAAGGAGTACGGGGTATTTAGCAAAGAATTATGATCTACGAGAAGCGTGGTAATATTTTGATAATGGAAGCCAGCACACTAGGAGTTTGATACTAGTATCTATTTGACGGTGGTGCGTGGCATATAAAGTAAGGGAGGGGACGTACATATTCATTTTAACCGTATTTCTAAATCGGCAAAGTGACCAAGATCGCCGAACAGAGGCATCTATCTACCTTAACAACTTCTTGACCTTTACCTACCTCATCTTATACCACTCTCTGCTCTGTCTCATCTTTTAGTGGGAACCATGTCTCGTTTCAAGGCAATCGTATTAGACCTGGGGAACGTTGTGTTCGAGTGGTCAACCCCATCCCCCGAAGTCGGCGCGACCATGCGGACTTTGATGAAGTCGAGCACCTGGTTCCAGTTTGAGTGTGGCCTCATCTCGACCGAGCAATGCTACAGGGACCTCGGGGAGCAATTTGATCTTGAGTCATCAGAGATTCAATCCATTTTCCACCAAGCTTTCGGTACACTGCAGGTTAATACTGCCTTGGTTGATCTGATCCGTGATCTCAAGAAGAAGAACAATCTGGCCGTCTACGCAATGTCAAATATTTCTCGAGGACATATTGACGAACTTTCCTCGTCATGGTCGCAATATTTGAACATATTTGAACAGATATTTTCCTCGGGTTATGCTGGAATGAGAAAGCCTGATCTTCCATTTTATCAGCATGTCTTTGACGAAATCAAGCTCTCGCCGGATCAGTTGCTCTTTGTCGACGACAAGCTCACTAATTTGGAACCGGCGCAAGGTTTAGGCGTCCATGGTATTCGCTTCACTACGACCGCGGAAGTGTGCCAGTTGCTCGTTGAGCTTGTGGACCATAGGGAGCCCTTGGTATGACTACATACACCCTACAAATCACACAACTAGTTCGGCAAGCCTCGCCGGAGGGAGCTCTTTGGGAATTGCTTGGCGTTTTATCAAACCTATTCACATAAGAGTCAACTGTTTTTATAAGCTACATATGAACCTGTGACGATCAAATGTCTATGTCTTCTATAAACGCTCTTTAGCCTATATTTGCTTAAATGATGCTGAGAACTTTGATTTAATAGGTTCTTGACTGGTCGGGGCTGTGCCTTTGATAGCAGATGTATTGTCCTCTGCTCTCTTTCTTCTTTATTCCCTCCCGTGCGCACTTCAGCTAGATCAATATCAGATAGACTTCACCTCCGTTTCCCACTGCGGCATCGTACTTCCGTCACCTTCACGCTTTCTTCTTTTCAGTAGATGGTACAGACTCGAGCTTTACAAACAAAGGACCTTTTTCCCAGACGATGTAGCTCTTACATTGATCCCATTGCTCACTTTCCTGCTCAAGACTGACATCAAAGTGCCAGAGAAGTTTCGCGAGAATTGTGCGCATTTCCGCATAAGCGAGACTACAAATGTGTTAAAGGGCGTTGGGAAAGAGAAGAGGGGAGGGGAACTGCTTACTTTCGGCCAATGCATGCCCGTGGTCCGTAGGAAAACGGCTGAAGTGCCTCTCGGCGATCAGAATGGAACGGATTGCTCGGATCTTTGTAGTCGATCCAGCGTTCCGGAAGGAAGGAATCGGGCTGTGTGAAGTTCGAATGCGCACGGAAGGCAGAATAGTGTGCCACAGACACCGAAACCTGCGAGATGTCAGCCATAATCAATACGATGAACACAATTATGGTCATACCCCTTCCGCCACATGTTTTCCATCGATCTGCGCGCCTCCCTGTGGGACGACCCGCGGTCCAATGGCCGGCGCGGGTGGGAATAAACGTAGGCTCTCCTCAATGACGGCATTCAGAATCGGTAGCTTGCTCGAAGCCAGGAATGTAATGCTTTCATCGGTGGGGAACGCGCCTCGTACTTCCTCGGTGAGTTTTTTTTGCCATTCAGGGTGTTTCTGCAAGTAAAAAACGGCGGCGGCCAGCACTGTGGCCGTAGTCTCGCTGCCGGCTTGGATGATGATAGCAGCGTTTAGATCCATCTCCTGTCGGAGCATACCCTTCTCGTCGTCGTTGTGTTTGAGAATGTAGGAGGTGAAGTCTGGTCTCGTAGTATTGGTTTGCAGCCTCTTCGTGACCTTATCCTTACTCATCTGATAATGTGCCAATCGTTTCTGGATAAGCCTCTTCGGCATTGCCTTCCGGATCAGAAGCACAAACAGCGGATAGATAGAAAAGGCGCGGAGGAAAGCCCCAGTTTTGATGCTCTTGAAAATCGTGGCGACCCAGGGATGATACTCTGATTCCTCGAGACAGCCAAACGGCTCTCCGAATGCCAAATCGCCGATGATATCGAACGTCAGAAAGTTCAGCCACTCCTCCAGGTTCAATGGCTGTTTGGCGTTGGCCGATGTCTGGAGCTGTCGGATGAACAGGTCGATATAAGACATAACCAATGACTCCTGTTCTCGCAGCGACTTTTCGGAGAACGCGTGGGTCAAAAGTTTTTTTTGGCGAGTGTGGTCGGCCTCATTTGCATTGATCATATGGGTTTGACCACTTGGAGCAGGAGTGAAGAATTCAGGATCTTTACAGAAGGGCAAGGCTCCTTGTTTGCGATGACCGTAGATATCCGTCCAAGCTTCAAAAGTTCGATAAGTAAGGGCATTGGGGCGGATGCGAACCACGCTGCCGTACTCATCGTGGAGTTCCCGAATCCAAGCATGAGAGTTCCCAGAGAGAGTCTGGTAGAGATACGGCAGATTTGAAATTGCTGCTAATTTGGGACCTGGATACTGCCGGAGGGGGTGAATCCAGAGTCGTGACAGCACCCGCCATGCTATGGCGGCAAGAAACTATCGAAACGGATTAGCTAGGCAATCGGAGGGATTTCAGAGGAACCTACAAGCCAGAGTATGATGAGCATATTGTCACGGATAGACGGGCTGGCTGTCCAGAATGAACTTCTTTGAGAAGATGGGGGGATGTTGGAGACCCATCATTCTTCTAATGCTCGTATTCGAGGGACCAATTTCAACGTGACGGGCTTAGCTGTACGGTGTAGCACAGAATCTTGGAAAAAAGAGATCGGCGAGAGAAGGCAGCCTGTAACCACTCATCTCATGCATCAATGTGGATCTCCCTGTGGCTACGGACCACATCGCCACTCGGGCTATTTGTGATTACGACGTATGTAGTCTAGTTTGAGCCATACATATGTAATTTATATGCAATGCACATGCATCCAGATCAAAGATTGCTGCGAGATATGTACGAGATGTTTTCCTACGAGGTTGTCAAAATGCAAGGGATGGAGATTTGGTCTAATTATGGTGATCCAGAATATGCCAGCATCATTCAACACCACGCGAAGTGTGCAGCAAGGAAATAATGGAACAAAAAAAGGAAACATCCTCAAAGGACTGACATGCCACCATCCACCGGCATTGTTGTCCCGGTCATGTACGCTGAGGCGTCCGACGCAAGCCAGAGCACCGCTTGCGCGATTTCATCGGGTTTGGCAAAGCGACCAAAGAGGCTCGTTCGACTGGCTTCGGAACTCTCAGTCAAACCCAGCGAGTCGAGCGTGGCCATGGTCAAGTTTGTTGCCACGCCGCCGGGGGCCAGCGCGTTGACCCGGATTCGATGCTTCCCGTTTTCGAGAGCAGCCGTCTGGGTCAGTCCCAAGATGCCGTGTTTGGCGGCGACGTATGCAGCCATCTTCTCCTGTGCTCGAAACACAGTGGCGGAGGCCATATTAATGATGCTGCCGCCCTCGCCCTGGTCAATCATCTGCTGGAGTTCCCACTTCAGACAGAGGGCGACACCGGTAAGGTTGGTGGAAATGACACGATTCCAGTAGTCTTCATCCATGGATGAAATCAATGTCGAGTCCGGATGCATTCCCGCATTGTTTACCGCGATGTCCAACCGCCCGAATTCCTCAACGGTCGCACGCACCATGCTCTGGATGCTATGCGATTGGGAAACGTCGGTGCGAACGAAAAGGGTACGGGCACCAGTCTGCTTCTGGATGTCTTTTGCGGTCTCTTGGCCCCCTTGAGTGTCGATATCGGCAATCACCACCTGGGCGCCGGCGCTTGCCAGGCAGAGGGCCGTGGCCTGGCCGATACCCGAGCCGCCTCCAGTGACCAAAGCGACCTTCCCCGAGAGTGCGGGTATTGTTTTTTGGCGGTTCATCATTGCGAATTGGCTGTTGTAGGTGGAGCAGAACCAGTGGGGTGAAGATGGGAAGACAGTGACATCGTGATATTCCGCAGGTTAAATTTGTTCCGTTTTGTGATAGGCCCAAAGATCTCACTGCATATGTGTGTAAGTGTGAGCGTATCGTATTGTTCTCAGAACCTTGGAAGATGTGGGGCTGAGAATTTATGATTTATCCAGGGCGAAGCCCCGTGCATGAATATTGTTTGTATGCAGCCAACATGCATGGTGACAAAATATTGGATATATACATGAGCTGACCCGCCGATCTTCATGCCTTCTTATCACGAATATCTCGATCAACCAGGTCTTTGATCTCCTGGCACGCTTGTGTCGTATCTTTGAAATGAATGCCCGCCATGCCAAGCTCCCGAGCGGTTACCACATTCTCCAACTTGTCATCCACAAAGATCATCTCTGCAGGAGGAACCCCGGTCGATTGGAAGACGTGTTTATAGAAGCATGCATCTGGCTTTCGCATGCCGAGGTACCCCGAGGCGAAAACCCCATCGAATACATCCCACATGTAGTCCGTGGCTCGTAAAGTGTCAAAATCTGGCCGCGGAATATTCGTCATCATGTAGATCAGGAGGCCCTGCGACTTGAGCTCGCGTACAATAGCCGACATGGTCTCATTCGGCGTGAGTGAGCCTGTGGTTTGCAGGAATGTTGCTGCAATCTTCGAAGGGTCCAGATTGAAATCACGCCCTAGTTGATGATAACAGTCGTGAGGAGTGACATTTCCGCGCTCGAATTCGTCCCAGAGATCACACTTGGTGATTTGGCCTAGACTTTGCACTGAGATCTCGGTAGCGGCCTGGGGATTCCAGTTGAACAGCACATCGCCCATGTCAAAGGCAATGGCGGTGTAGGGAGACATGATGAATGAAGTGATATGGAGACTGCAAGTGATTGAGGCTGGTGGAAAGTCTCACTGAAGATATTTATGTTGGCAGATACGGTCCACGGATGTTGCGGATGTGATGTGACAGCTCTACCTTCTACAGCATTCTAGACTAACACGTAACTAGTACGTTCGCTCTCCCACTGGCGAAAAGAAGAAACGTGTACCCCTTGCATCTCAATAAATTTAGTGCACATTCGCCTCGGTACTCCGTATACTCCGTAATAGTATCTGGTTTCTCTCCCCATCGTCGAGAGAGCAAGTTACAGGCCAAAATGGCTTTTCACGATGGAGTCGAGGCATCCCATGTTTATATCATAGGAGTGTGTGTAAGTGTTTTCTATGCAACGCCCCCGTACTCTCACTGAACATCAATGGACAGATTCTGATCCTCATCGGGACCAAAATCTTGTATAACATATATCTGCATCCTCTTGCCCGCTTCCCAGGCCCGAAGGCGTATGCTATTTCCTCCATTCCCATCGCCTGGGTCCAACTCAGTGGAAAGGCACATCATTCTATCCAGGCAGCCCATAGACGATATGGGCCCGTGGTTCGCATCAGTCCTAATGAGCTCTCCTTCATCTCATCCACCGCATGGAGCGACATCTACGCCCGCAACAAAGGCAACCCACCCTTGCCCCGGGATCGGACATTCTTCAACAAAATGCTGGTCGATCCTCAAACCTTGACCATGGCCAGCGATGTCGACCACACCCGTCTACGGCGGTCGATGAATCCAGCCTTCTCGGCACGGGCATTTCGGGAACAGGAACCGATCATCCAGAAGAACGTCGATTTACTGATGCAGCAGCTGGAGTCGCGTGCCGCGAAGGGCCTGAGTACGGATATGAGAACATGGTATAACTACACAACATTCGATCTAATTGGGGACCTCGCCTTCGGAGAATCTTTTGGTTGTCTGGCGACATCTGCGTACCATGAATGGGTGGAATTTGTGTTGAGTCACTTTTACACATCAACCCTCCTTCAAGTCGCGCACCGATTCCGTCCCTTCAACCGAATCCTAGTCGCATTACTACCCGCGTCTATGATGGAAAGAAGAGTGAAGCATGATGAGATGACACTGAAGAAGGTGCGACGTCGTCTGGACTCCAAAGCAGAACGACAGGACTTTATCTCCCAGATGCTGGATTCGGTAGATAGTGGTTCAATGTCGATCCAGGAGCTCGAAAAACAAGCCAGTATCCTGATTCTGGCGGGCAGCGAGACCACATCCGTCGCCCTTACTTTCGCAACATACTATTTGTTGCACAACAATTCATGCCTTGTCAAACTAACCGATGAAATCCGCCAATCGTTCCAGAAGGAAAGCGAGATCGACCTTCTCTCGGTGAATCGATTGCAATTCCTCCAAGCCGTGATCCAAGAGGCTATGCGGCTGCGCCCCCCAATCGCCAATGGATTCCCTCGGGAAACGCCTGCTGGGGGCGCTACGGTGGATGGGCAGTTTGTACCCGGTCAGGTAAGAAATGTATGCATATTGAACAGCCCATGAACTGACATATGCCTGTTTCATTAGACGACGGTAAACGTTCACCATTGGAGCGCCTACCACTCCCCGCAAAATTTTGCGCTTCCTGACGAATTCATCCCCGAGCGCTGGCTGGGCGATGACCGCTGCGAGAACGATGTCAAGACTGTATTCAATCCATTCTCCGTTGGACCTCGGAACTGCATTGGCCAGAGGTGAGCCTTTCCTCGTCTACCTTGTCCTTCATTCGCACTGACAATTACCCAAGGTTCGCCTACGACAGTATGAAGCTAATTTTGGCGCGGATGATCTGGCGATTTGATATGACACTCACAGACGAGAGTCAGCAATGGCTGCACAAGCAACCGGCATATGTTTCATGGCACCAACCTCCGTTGATGGTGAATCTGCGGGTGCATGAGGTGTGAAAGATGCATGGGTATCTGACCTTGGGTACTTCGGTCCAGGACCTACTACGGCAGGACCTAGTGACCCTCCTGCCACATCATGTTTTGCCGCTTTTGCCCTTTGCTGTTCTGCCACTTCCATTGATTCTTGATAATTGAGACATAATGTCTCCTTATTCTTGACCTGAATACTTACTTACTGTAGTGGGGAAACCGCGCGACTACTCGTCTGCGCCACAGGGCCTGAAATGGTAGTTTTTAGTCTGCAGTTTCATAGGATAGCAACTCAGAGACCTTCATATCACCAGAAAGCATTGTTCATTTCTCCATTGTACGCGTACAGAGGGCCTACTTCCTACTGATGACCCCCGTCGGGCACTGAGCACCCCTACCGTCTCATCTGCGATGTCAGACCGCCAGCGCGCTCTTCCTACTTCATTGCCTAGTTCTGACTTCTTCTCACCCTCTCTGCTCCCGATAACATTTTCAAAATGCCTTCTTCGTACAAATACTATTATATTACAATACCATAATCAAAATACTAAGTATTCAAGCCTAAACATTTGAGATCACATATTATTAATCATTACTACTCCTAGCATCTAACCACTGAGATACAGACGTCCAGGCATCCGAGCAGGTAGATAATCCCAAAATTGACTCTTTAACAATTACTACACAGTCTACTTATATACTAAAATACAATTGATATTGATCATATATATAGATAAAAGGATTTAAAAATAGTAATTTGTAAAATCATAACCTTGAAAATAGACAGTAGGCAAAGCAGTAGAATTGGAAATACGTAAAACATTGATGTGGCAGGAGGATCACTAGGTCCTGCCGTATACTCATGCAACACCACTGTACAACACAGTAATTTCCGTTATAAGCACTACAGCTACTTTGACTCAAGGCAGTGGGGGAATTAGTAGCAACGATAGCAGTACATGGCCCAGCACTACTTGTGCGGTGGGGTTCTAGCCGTGCATAAAAAGGCAATCAATAATTACTTCGAGTGCATCAGGGTGCAAAGCTAGCGTTAGACCCTTCTGGAGATCTTCAAATGTGATATCACTGCATATTAGGGTTGTGAGTATTATGATGACATGACGTGTTCAGTACCTGTCGAACGCTCCCACATAGGCGGTCAGATGTCTCTTATCGACAGAAGCATGCTATGGAAAGACCTTGTAGCAACCTGCACCGTCAAACACCCGATGGGACTTTTTTTTTTTCAAAGGCAAGGGCGCATAGATTTCAGCCAGCCCGAGTTTCTGTAGAACAGCCCGTTTGTGGGTGATAAATCTGCAATGCAAAGGAGTGGGAGTTCGAGGACAAGGAAATAGAGGCTAATGCAAGATGCGAACCTACTGTGGCGTCAGTAAGGGGTTGGACGATCCCGACCATCCTAATGAGATCTGTACCAGCATGCCCTAGCGTCACCGGAACCATGCAAGATGGAGTGACGGAAAACTTACCATACCGCCACAATTGACACGAAGAGATATCAAAACACGGATTTGAAGATCTAAGTAGTCAGTTTGAACGGGTCAGGCAGTGTATCTGAACATCTTGACTTCATCATGGCTCAACCGTCCCGTCCGGCTAAAGGCATTCTTATCGAACTGAGTAACATTGTGTTTACCTCGTCTTCCAAGGGCATCAGTTTATCACCGAACACTTTCAAATGGATCCAATACTGTGCAGCAACGACCGATTACATGTGTGGGCGCACTACCCTCGACCAATATTATGACCGACTGTGCGAGGACTTCAAGCTGTCTCGGGCAGAGATTGAAGAGACATTTGCCACCATCAAGAAAACTATAGCCGTTCAAAAGTCCCTGGTCAACTCGCTTGCTCAGCTCAAGGCACGTTTCGGCAAGCAGCTCAAGGTCTATGCTATAGCCAATCTCTCTCTCGATGATTATGCTGCCGTCAAAGCGCTGCCAATCGACTGGTCGATCTTCGATCAGGTCTTTATCTCCGGCGAAATGGGCATGCGAAAGCCAGAGGCGCGGTTCTTTAATTACCTCCTGGATCGCATCGACCTGCGGCCGGAGCAGCTGATCATGGTGGATGATGATAGTGACAATGTTATGATGGCGCTGTCCCTCGGCATGCATGGGGAGGTTTTCACCGGGACCTCCATAATCCAGAGCCTGATCAACTTCGTTGATTGTGATGCCGTCGGTCGAGGACGACGGTTTCTCCGCGATGGGGCCGGAACCTTTGATTCGGAAACGCACGACGGTGTCCGTATCAAGGAGAATTTTGCCCAGCTGCTTATTTACGAGTCTACTGGAGATAAGTGAGTTACACCCAGTGAGTCCTAAGAGATTTACTAACCGTTTATCCCAGGAGCCTGATCGAAATCGAGGATTACCCGAAGACGTGGTGTTTTTTCATCGGTGAGCCAGTTTTGACGGTGAAAAACTTTCCCCATGATTTTGATACCACGTCGCTGGGCAATACAATCCTCGATCGGCCAGCCGACGGTGTGAACATCGTGATGGACCAGATGCTGCAATATCTAAGCCCCGATAGTCTTGTGCAAACGTATTTCACTGACTTCAAAAATCGGGTGGACCCTGTCGTCTGCTGCAACGTGTTGAGTCTATTCTATAAACACGGCCGTGGTGAGGAGCTCGCACATACCCTGGCCTGGGTGAGAACCGTCCTCGAAAATCGGGCATATATGAATGGAACGAGATTCTATCCCATGCCCGAAGCGTTTTTGTTCTTTTTCCATCGCTTCCTTAAGCACATCCGTGGCTCGAGTCTATATGATGACCTCTGCCCTCTTTTCCGGTCTCGGTTGCAGGAGCGAGTTGGAGTTCCAGTGGATCCCACCAGCTTGTCAATGCGGCTCCTCGCCTGCCATGCAATGGGGATTCCGGATCCCTTGGGTCTCCAAGAACTGCTTGCTATGCAAATGGAGGATGGGGGTTGGCCACTGGGAACCGTCTACATGTATGGGTCGAATAAATTGAAGATTGGCAATCGAGGCCTTACCACTGCATGGGCTGTACAGGCTGTTGAGGCTTGTCAGACGTGGCCCATCCAGGAAGAGTTACAGTCTGCCATTGTTCCAACCGGCCAGTTTGTGAACGCCCTCAGGTGGTTAGGTAAATCTGCCTGGCTAGAATTTTTATTTGCTGTCCGCAAGCAAAGCCTAGCAGATATCTTAGCCTTGCGGTCACCGGTCTCTTAGTCGGTGGGCTTGGGCATTGAATAGATTTGTTCTTCTTGTCTCTTTCGGTTTGATAATACACAATTCTTACTTTTGACTTCTAATAACTGCTTCTTAGCTAGTAAAATTGGCTGCGATGGCTTTGGAAACCTTAGAATCGGAGTGTTGATTCATCGCTACCCTAGAAACGGAGCCCATCAGCCCCATACGGAATACATAGTAGCCCCATGCATACGACCTGCGAGATGATCCTGATTGACGTCCTGTGGGCCGGAATTAAGACTACCAATCCGCTAAGCACATTGCTCAGCTGGAGCAGCCGTGAATACCGCGCATTGCCTGGCATACAATGAGGTGCGAGCGCTTGACACAAAGCCTCACCGCATGAGTCTATCAAATGTCACCACCCCACCGATGCTGACCGACCTACTCCGACTGCATGATAACAAAAATGCCCAACCTAGTGCTTTCAATTTACGGAGTAATCTGGGCCCAGGTACTGAGTACGGAGTGAATGTCGGTGTGATCTCTGGGCCTATGATTCATCACATGTTGATGGAGGCTTGCTTGTACGTGTAGTGATGCCCGAAACCAATAGTGCGAACAATTCTGGCAGTGTCCTACCTTACCATGGGCCATGCGGACGGTCCGTTCTCTATCTCGCTGGTGGTCGCCAATTGATCCCGTCTGGGTCGCTTGTCTAGCAGACTCCCATTCGTTGGCTGGTGATGGTCAGTACAAATTGCCACACTTCTCCTAGTATCACAGATGACCTGAACACCCATTCAGCCCTTAAGGTCGCCAATTTGTGGATCCTATGTCTATCTATTGACTAAAGATCGCCACAATGCCCAAGGTCTGGGAATCATGGGGCTGAGAATTGTGGATAATACCACAGGAACTAATGGTAATACCATGAGAAAGGGGAAGGGAATTAGGGTCTCATTCCGAAAATTCATGACAATTCTCAACAAGCCCGCCGACGCAGATCAATACACCTGGGCATCTATAGGTGGTGGAGACAGAACGCTTCGACGAAATGATTGGACGAAGCTTCGGCCAGTGATCTCCGAGAAGCCGAGCCGTCCCTCTTCAGGCCTACCCGCAGCTCCGCCACCCGATAAGCTACTCTTCAGTCCCTTCACATATTGCTTCTATTGCATATATTTGGTGCTTTTGGCCGTATTCGATGATTAAACTGCCAGTTTCTGTGATCCTTCTGTTCCTAATCTCCGTCGCGCAGATCGAATCAGCGGTAATTGCCAGGTGGCTGGATTACCGGCCACATCAATAGATAGATCATAGCACACACCCGCATTGCATAATAATGATTTTTCATGCACAAGCAGTCTGCAAGCAACGTGCTAGTTTATGCACAGGTATGCATAGCAGCACAAGATCTAGCCCTTTAGTTGTGTATCTACTATCCTTCACCCATGCTTAAGGGAAAGCTTAATCGCTACTCCGTAGAGCTGCCAGATATGGCAATGAATGAACTGTGTGGATCCATTTTGAGAATAATAATAGGCATGATAAGTGTCTCCTCCGATGACAAGCATCGATAAGTTAGTGGTTGTCAAATAGATAGCATTGTCGATGTGACAGGTAGTACATGCATTGGGAATATTGGGCCCGTAATCGACGCTAGTCGCTGCTCAGAAGGCTGTTCTGTTTGCGCTCCCGCCCAGTCTTTATTTTTTTTGGTCCTTTCTGCAGGAGGAAACCTTGGAAGAGTTTTCGTCGTGAGCTGTGCCGTCGAGGTTGATGATTCATAATTATTTGGTTCCGCCACAGCCATAGAGTATATTTCCGCGTGGTATAGTGCAAGTTCAATGAATGTATTCAGAGATTAGCCCTTCTATCGCCATTCAAATCTATCGCCATTCAAGATGCCTTTAAAAACGCTCGACCCACTTCTTGGAAGCCCCGCACTCGAAGATTCGTTGGGCACGAGCATCGCCGCCACTCACCATGGGCCACACCCTTTCAAGGTAATCGAACACGATATACTGTATGAGACGGAGAGGGAAGCAGTGCGCGCGCAGGCCGTGCTTTGTCTCGCCTGGTCTCTTGTTCTTAATGACTATCAAAGTCACAGCAAGATTAGCTTTGGTGTTCTGAAGCACTCTTGTCATCATCGGAGCCTTAAGGAGACTATCCTGCCGTTCCATGTCGATCTCGACCTGCAATCGCCAATAGAGAATGCTCTAGCAGCCGTGGAAGACATGGGGACTACACTTGGAACGAAAAGTGGCAGTCCATTGGCAAGTCAGTTCCAAAGCGTTCTGGTGATCAATGAGGAAGAGACGACAGCTTGCCGAGAAAATGAACTTACGGGGTTCGGCGAGGAGGTTGCAAACAACGACGTGCATATGACGATAATCTGCCGTCTACAAAATGCCGGCATCAGGATCAAGGGACTTTTGCGCTCGACATTGAAGTTTCCCCAATCGGAAAGGATGATGATTCACCAGCTGGCCTATACCGTCAAGAGAATCCTCTCCAGTAGCTCTGACGCTCTTCTTTGTGATGTCAGTGGAGTTTGCCCCGAGGGCCTCGAGCAAATACTTGGGTGGAATGACCCCTATTCTTCGTCTGCTCCTCCTCCCACCAAGGACGAACTTGTGCACGAACATTTCGCGGCGATATGTCGGCAGCAGCCGGAGGCAACAGCGATTGACGCATGGAATGGGAAGCTCACTTACGGTGAGCTAGACCGAATTTCCACAATCGTCGCGTCGAGGCTCGCCCACAGTGTCCGGCCGGGAAGCTTTGCCTGCGTTCTCATGGAAAAGTCCATGTGGGTATCTGTGGCCATGCTGGCAGTCATCAAAGCTGGCTGCGCGTTTATCCTGCTCGATCACGCTCAGCCAGATCAGCGACTGCAAACAATTTGTACCCGTTCAGCGGCGGCTGCCATTCTGTGCTCTGAACAGCTCGAACAGCGAGCAGCACAGTTTGGAGTATCTTGTGTGCTTTGCCTCCCACTGGTGGAACGGGAATCGTCAGCGGCTGAAAAGCTATCGACTGACGACACAGCTGCGTTGCCTCCACCGGATGCGCTCCCACCAGCTTCAACCTCCTTGTTTGCCATTTTCACATCCGGCTCGACCGGTGAGCCGAAAGGGGTTGTGTGCAATCACACATCATGGTCCAGTGGAGTTGCGAGGATGTCTAGCGGCACATATATCACGAGGGAGACGCGGGTCTTCCAGACGGCGTCACCTTCGTTTATCATTACTCCGATCAATTATTTGACTGCGCTACACAGTGGCGCCTGTGTATGCGTGCCATCCGAGGAGCAGCTCCGCAACGATTTAGCAGGGGCAATCCGTGAGGCGGGCGCAACTTCGGCGATCATGACCCCCTCCATGGCCAGAGTCATGGACCCCCGAGATGTCTCGTCGCTGCAGACATTGTTGTTGGTTGGAGAAAAGATGACCAAGTTCGACATTGAAAGATGGCAAGGACTCCGGCTGCTCAGCCTGTACGGACTCTCGGAGGTTGTGGTGGCGGGCGCTATTTCGCACAAATTCAGTGTGGAGAGCGATCCGGCTGAGATAGGAAAACCGATTGCCACGAGATCATGGGTCGTCTGTCCTGATGACCATAATAAGCTGAAGCCGGTTGGGGCGTCGGGCGAGCTCCTCATCGAAGGTCCATCAACCTGCAACAAATATCTCAACGACCCGGAGAAAACCAACAAAACGTACATCACCGATCCCACCTGGTGTCGATTTATCTCTCCTGGGGCGCCTGAGCGCCGCTTTGCCAAGACCGGGGATATTGTCCGCTACGTTGGGCCGGACGGAGCGCTCCAGTACATTGGCCGAAAGAATACTGAAGTCAAGCTACGAGGCCAACGCATGGACCTCTCCGAGGTCGAGTATCATGTGCAGCAGCAGTTCCACGACGGCACGGAGGTAGCAGCGGAGGTGGTACTTCCGAAAAATGGGGTCTTGTCCGAGCATGCAATGCTTGTGGCCTTTATTTCCGTCCAGCAGAAGCAAGGCGCCCGGCGCGTAGTTGACTTTGTTTTGGCGCGGACAACGCCAGAATTCAAACGAAAAGCGCAGCAAGCAATCACACAGTTGAAGCAAAGTCTCCCCAGTTTCATGGTACCCACGGCCTTTGTCAGTCTCGAGCATCTGCCCTTGACGGCCTCGGGCAAGTTGAACCGACTTATCCTCCGTGAATCTGCATCCAACATGTCCCGCGAAGAGATATTGTCTTGCTCTCAAGATGTCAGTGCTACGAAGACCCAAGCAGCGACAGCCGAGGAGGCGATCCTCCAGAACGCGTGCGCACAGGTGCTGGCGCAACCAGCGGAGACCGTCGATGTCGAGAGCAGCTTCTCCACTTTGGGAATGGATTCTTTGGGTGCCCGGCATGTCGTGTCCATTTGCCGACAGCAGGGCTTATTGCTGAATGTTGCCGATGTGTTCAATGCTGCATCGATACAAGAGCTGGCGGGTACGTGCTCCAGCCGCGACATAGGGCAGTACAGCAACCCACTTACAGATGATCAATTCGGCTTGCTTCAATCGGACTTCCTGAGCAGTCCTCAAGTGCCTCTTGTTGGAGGAGCAAATATAGAGGCGGTTTTTCCAACGTTATTAGCTCAATCCAGGGCTGCAAAGGCAATTGACTATTTTTTGGTTCATCTGTCCGGCGACTTTGAGCAGGACCGGTTTAACCAGGCTTGCGAAACGCTAGTTCAGTCTCATGTGCCCTTGCGCACTCTCTTTGTACCATTCAATGACCAATTGCTGAACGTGGTATTCCGCCAGCTGGCGCCAGATATCAACCACCATGTGGTTTCAACCGGCACAGATCTCGCACACTGGGCCCGGGAATTCTGCTTGCAGGACCTGCACAAGCCACACCCTCCGCATGAGCCAGTAGTCAAATTCCTGGTAGGTGCACATGCGGATCTGCCTCAGAGCCGCGTCCTCATCATTCGGCTTAATCACGCATCGTTTGATGGTAGCTGTGTCTGGCGAATAATATCCGATCTGGGCCTTGCATATGAGGGCTCGAGGATAGAAGTCGCCTCCGACTTTCCCCAGTTTGCTCGCCAAACATTCCAGCAAAGAAAGCTGCAGCAGTCCAGCTCGAAAGTTTACTGGACGAAGCTCCTCACCGATGCTACAATCACGCCATTGCCCGTCTCGCAGGTGGCCGATAATCGTGACAAAAGAGCCACTCCGACATTCGTCACTCGACATCTACCAGTGCAATCCCCTCCACCACAGGGCATATCCATGGCGACCGTCGCCAAAGCAGCGTGGTCTTACGTGCTGCGCAAGCACATGGGCACTGACGACGTTCTGTTCGCCCAGGTCATCAACTGTCGTGACGTTGTAATTCTTCCAGGTGCAGAGGACGTCCTAGGGTCCTGCCACAACTTCTCGCCCGTCCGTGTCCGATACCCAGTGGCACCACAGTCACCAGACTCCATTCGAATCCTCCAGGATTTGCAGGAGCAGCACGCTCAGTCGCTCACTCACTGCTCGCTGGACTGGGAGGACGTTGCCAGCAATTGCACCTCCTGGCCGGTGAATACGATGCCCACGTTTTACTTGGCCTATCAGGATCTCCGCCAGTTCTCGGATCAAGAGTATGGCGGGTTGAGCATTCGATTTGGCGAGCACGTCTGCGACCACTCTCCGCCGGGTGAGGCGTGGCTTGCCGTGACACCGGTGGATAATGCTCTGCGCGTGGACTTTGGGACGATGAGCTCGGCAATGGAGCAGGAAACAGCGGAGATCTGGATTTCGGATTTCTGTGAATGTATTACGGCATTGTTGGAGGGGGTGCCTTTGAAGTAATGATGTTGCGTGGTTGAGAGTTTGAATCTCGTATAACTACGGAGTAACCATTGTTTAGTTATCAAATATCTCGTTGACAAAGACAATTCCGTTGATATGAAAAATTTAGTTTGCCAATTTGTGTCATTTTGTTTGGGAGAAAAAGGTGATTATACATGATAAGTGCTTCCTACAATATATCAGTATTACAGGTTGGGGTTGGTGTTGAGACCAGCCATTATTGAAAAATTTGCGCCTGCTACGGGAGTGACTTATTTTTACTAGAGATTTACATAGAAATTGTAGGTACTACGGGTGGACGGTGAATTCTGGAGAAGTTGAAAGTTGATAGGAAGGAAAAAAAGCGGTCAGTGGAAAATGTAAAATCAGGCCAAATTCACATTCACACAGGGGGTCACCCCTATGCAAAAGCCTTCCCTAATTCATTAAGCATCTCGTCCAGATCAAATGCCGTTGCCTCGTTGTAACTTTCGTCCAGAACCGGCTTCCGCTGCGCGCTCCGCGGCTTGAATGTTGCTGAAAAGGGCGCCGGCTTAAGGAGGGCAGACCCCTGCATCATCTCCCAGGGATCAAAAGAGTCATTCTCGTTCTCCCCCCGCCAAACGTCAAATTCAAAAGCCCACAGAAGACGAGGGATGATCAGGTCAAGCGCCATGCGCGCAAACTGATTCCCCGGGCACGCTCGTCGACCGTATCCAAAGGGGCTTGTATGCGGCTTGTTGGCGTTAGTTTCAAGCCATCGTTCCGGCCGGAAAAGGAGCGGATCCGTCCATGTTTCCTCCTCCATCTGCGCTGCCCAGTGACTGAAGATAACAGTGGCCCCCTTCGGAATGTGGTAGCCTCTATACAGATCGTCCTGCATTGTCTGATGGGGTAGCCCCTCGGGCCCGATTGGCCGCCAGCGGAGAATCTCGTCTATCACGGCTGACACGTACGGTAAATTTTTGATGTCATCTAGCGACGGGAGTCTCTCGGCGCCGACGACCTCGTCGATTTCTGCCTGTGCTCTCACCACGACGTGTGGGTGTGAGCCGCAGGTGGCGACGAAGAATTCGAGGACTGTTGCGACAGAGTCGACGCCAGCTTCGAAGAGCACACCGAGTACATGTTGGAGCTCGTGCGGACCAAGTTGCCGCAGGTTCTCGGGGGTATGGACTTCCTTGGTCCAGTTCCACGAGTTGCTCGCCAGCGCGGCTTGCGTATTATTTTCCAACCATGCCCTCATACGCGTGTAGAACTTCTCGCCGACTCTCTTCCACGGAGCAACACAGCTGGGTAGGTGGTTCAGCACAGGGAAGACGTCAACGGCCCATTGTCCACCGACCAAGGCTTCCGTGAACGAGTCTGCAATACTCAGTATCTCCTCGAACTCCGCTTCACAATCCTCCAGCCGGAGTCCGTAAGCTAGTCCAAAGATAATACTAAACAGATACCGATTGAACGTCTTGGCATGATCCTTGTTTTGCTCGAGCTCCCGGAGAACCCGGATAGTCGCGTGCCGCATAATCTCTTCATACAGTCGGACCTTGCGGGAGCCGATCAGCGATAGCTGGATCTTATTGTGTGTTTTCCACTGAGGACCATATGAAAGCAGAGACGTCTGCATGCTTTTGCTCATACACTCGCTCGCCATCACCATGCGCGGTCGGGAGCTGTATGTTTGGCCCCGCGAACCGAATAACTCTTTTGCGACCGAATGGTTGCCGATGATGATGAGTGTCTTTCCTGGTCCGAGTCGGATGCCTACAAGCGGGCCGTATTGTTTGTGCCATTTGGCGAACGTGATGCGCAAGTCCACTTTGGGGAATTGGTGCAGGTTCCCGATCAGAGGCAACCCTTTGGGGCCTGGGGGTAGTTTACCCCGCCCTGCTGTGGCCCATGGGAGAAGAAACGTCAGGCACAGAGCAGCAAGAGCTACGATGAAGACATACTGTCGAGTGTCCTCGCTGTCGCCGAGCTGAAACGGTGTAGCCCAAGTCATCGTGTGCGAGGACTGGTCTGGGCATTCGAGAAGGGAGGCTCTAGGAAGAGATTGATGAATCGCTCAGCTTGGTGCTACAGCAATCGATCTTCTAAGCTGAATTCAGAAAGTATTATTAATTGGAAAACAATGACACGAGAAAAAAAGCAGTGGCCATATTCTACGGACGGGACGGGACGGTGGCCTGTCTGCACTTATCACAATATGCACAGGCTTTTCTCTAGCACATGCGGTGTGCAGTATCACTTCATGCAAGGGATACAGATCTAGAGCAAGGGATGCACGTTGTCAAATGAGGTGCCCAAAATGAGATCACTCGTTTCGAGCCTTATGCAGCCTAAAAAGTGACATCACGTCAATAATTGGATTTCATTTATCCACATACGTGGGTCGTCCAGCCCGCAAGAATACGGAATACTCCGTACCTGGCGGTGTATTAAGGTCTTCGGGCTCGGCAGCCCGAGTTCGCTCCAAGACGAGGCTTCTCATACCGCTCGACTACTTCGTACGGAGTACTATCTTCAGATTAGCTTCAAGGCCAAATGGGTGTGAAGAGATAACCCATTCCAAGCTTAGATGCATCACCGCTAATCACTACCTAGTGTACTAAATGCGATTTTCGAGAACTCAATATCTCAATAACCACCTTTGTGCTTTATTTCATTGCTGGTCGACAGCTGTGTTGAAAGTCAGTCACGTGACCTCTCCTCGTTCAGTCCTCCACTCAGTGAGCGAATCAGATCGCCCATATGATGATCAGTGAGTGGATCAGAGTGTTCAGCGGCGTGCTCAATTTGACTCTGAGATAATAAAGAAAAGCAAGAGGTGAGCACTAAAATGGAATAGTAAAGGTCTCGAGTGCCAGACATTATCTGGTACATATGTACAAAAGCTCTCATTATTACCCCCGATAATCAAGCAGCACATCCAATCGCACAGGCCCAGGGGAAGCTGCACCCCCAATGCCATTTAGATGTTTCTTCGACTCAGTGTATGCATCCACGACCTTTTTCGCACCTGGGGTGATAACCGAGCACCCCTTACCATTTGCCTGACATATAGACATGCCCTGCACATGCTGCTTGGCAATCTGAGCCTGAATAGCAGAAACATCCCAGCCGGACCATCCATTATTTTCGCCATCGCCAAACGAAAACTCACCCCAAGTGCACGAATATCCGCCCCAGTGGTCCGTAGGAAGATGGTCACCGGGCGCAGCACCCCACGCACCCTCGGAGTCCTCGTCAAAAGCGACATAGCGGGTTTCGCCAGGCGGAAGAGTAAACGTCAACGCGGATTTCCCGTACCACCCATTCAACTTTCCATCGGGGCCGGCCTTGTTCCATACGATCACCGTCCAGGGCTCATCGTTGGACCCGCTGAACTTGGCCACGTATTTGTAGCTATGTGCTTCGGCTTCGCTGACCATGATGATATTGCTTCCCCATGGTTTGCCGATATTGCCCACGTAGTGGATCTCCGTGCCTTTTGGTACAGTTCGGCCGCCGAAACCGTTGAATGAGAACTCTCCTGCTGGTGGAATTCTGGTCCATTCCACTGGGGACGGGGGGTTGGGGTTGGGGCCTGGAAGGATTTCGTCGACTACCGGGATACCGGGCAGCACTTCGCTAGGAAGATCCAGCACGGCGTTGACTGGGCCACCCTTTGGCTTGTGTGGTGGATGGGGAGGAGGAGGAGGTCTTTTCGCTGGGATGGCTTTCTCTTCTTCCAAGGAGTTCTCGGGGAGTGTGTCCGCCAGTGCTGCCTTTTCTTCGTCTGAAGCAGTCCCAGGAGGCGCGTTTGGAGTTGGAATCAGACTCTCTTCCGGATAAACAGTGACCTTTACAGTATGTGTCGCAGTCTTGTGGATTGTTTTGGTCTTGAAAGTGGTTGATGTGGGCTCCGGCTGCATTGGCTTGGGGGCAAGCATCTGAGTGGGCTCAGGCTGCGGTGGGAACTGGTCCCATTGGGCCTGGAATGCTTCAAAATACCCATGTTCAGCAGGGGTCCAGTTGTGTGCCGGGGGATAAAAATCATGTGGCATAGGTGTAGGTCTTGTCGCGACGATTGTGAGCGTTGTGAAAATGGTATTGGTTGGCGCACAATTTCCAAAAACAGTGGAGGTGGTTGTGAGTGTGGTAGATTCAACAACAATCTCCTCTATGATATTGTCCACGTTATCGACCCTCGATTCCGGCTTTTCAGCACGTTGCATCAAATGATGATGACGGTGACGATGGGCATGGTGATGGTGCAGGCCAGCACAGACATTGTCAATAAGACCTGCAATCAGGAACGACGTAGAGACGCTCCAGCGCATCGCAAAAGAAGACGGCCCAGAAAAAGAAATTGTTCGGCGATGGCTTCGTTGATAGAAAATGTTTGACGCGATTATAAAAGGCGTCAATATGATAAAGTCCAAAAATTAATGATAGTAATAAAATGGTATGCGCTCAGTTGATAAGTGCATCCATGGTGATGGCGTGTCGTCGATGTTGTCGAATTGCTTCCTCACACGCGATGGGCAGACGCGACTTGTCTTTATACGACCCCTCTGGGCACCAAGGTCCGGACTCATTGTTTGGAATGCGGTCACACTTGGCTTGCAAAGGGCTCGCGAGGAACAGTAGTAGCCCTGAATTCCGGGGCTCCTTGGCCAAGGCTAAACCTCCGAAGTGGTACTTCTGCCTTTGCATTCATTGTATGCACACGATTGAGTGGCTGATAAAGTTTCATCAAGAGTACTTGTAAATTTGTCCTGTCAAATAAAATGCACAAAGATGTTTGTGTCGGGAAGAATTCATCAACGATTTTGTAAGTTCAAAATCGACCCTGTGTAGCCCCTCGCATCGCATTCCAGTCCTGGGATACTTTCGTCCCTTGTCAGTCTTCAGAGTAAAATAACTCAGTATGTCTTTCAAAATTCGAAAAAGAATAAAAAGTAAAATGCACTTGGAATAGACCTTAAAAGTTTCACCAAAATGAAGGAGAAAATCTTGTAAAATGTTTCAATAAAAGTACTATAAAGGGGTGACATATAAACAGAATATTATGGTAAAGCCCTATATCCAACCAATTCCAAAGTTGCAGTTCAGCGCCGAGTAAGAAAGGGTCCAGTTTTTCTCTCCATCTTTTCCTCACATGTTCTCTCTTTCTTGATCAAACGCGCGATGTGCATTGTTCCACCTGGATTCACATGCTGCAGGAACCTGAGACTTGGGTCTGGGGAGGTCCAACATCAACCAATCCATCACTGACAGTAGTCAAACTTTGGTCAATGCCATTGAACACACAAGTGACACCTGCAGTGGTCGATTGAATGTGAGAGATACTCAAGGGATTAGCTATCCGAGTTAGTAATTTGTGTAGAAATAGCAAAGATGTATATATTGACATACTTATTGAAATCCACTCGCCATTCACTGGGAAGCTCTGCTCAAACTGAGCATCAGCAGCACCAATGAAGATGACACTAACCATGCCTCCGGCGGAGTTATCAGGTGGAGTAGTGGACTCGGTTTCCTGGCTCCAGCAAGATCCAGTCAACTGGGTCTGCGGAGGGCCAACATCAACCGTCTCCGCTCCGCTGACGGTTGTAACACTATGGTCAATACCATTGAAGGTACATTGGATACCACCTGTGCTAGACGAGATGTGTGAGATACTCAGTGGGTTGTCTAAAGAAGTTAGAGCTGTTCCATACAATTAAGACGGTTGCTACCTAGGAATGGGAGCATACTAATCGAGACAACAGAGCCATCACTTGGAAAGCTTTGAGTGAATTGGGCATCTGCTGCGCCAATGAACACAATTTCAACATTGTCATGTCTTGGTTGCACTGGAATTGCGCTGGCAGTAGTGACAGCAATAAAGAGCCCGATAATTGTGGAAGCTTTCATCTTGAAATGATTATGAGGGGAATATGCAGGATGTTGGGGTTGTAGTATAAGTCTGTGTTGATTGAATTGTTATCAAGATATATCCGTGGGACAGAGAAGCAGTTTATATGTCTTTTCGTCCTACTTTGCTCTTCCAAGACAAGTTTGCATGATCTCAGCATGTACAACGCTAAGTTTGGATCGCAAGGCTATGCCGACACAGACATTGGCGTGATGATGTCTTCCATTTTGAGGAGAAGACGTGAATTTGGGCACTAGAATGGTCACATTGACAAGATTGTGTCTCAACAAACCCAAGGTCCTTAGAGGTTTATTATTTGGATCGTATGTCAGCTGTCAGTAACTCCATGGCTAAATATTGTGTGGCGCTGTCTTATCCAATAGAAGGTGGGTATTCGTATTCCATTTCAAGATGTTTGTTCCGAGTTTGCCTCATTGGTAACTTTGTCAAGGTTCGAGGTTCCATGGTGCCAATTGGTCCAAAACTAAATATAGTCCCGTCGGGCAGATCCGATCCTTCCACAGTGAAATATGACGGTTTATGGATGACGTATTGGAACTAGTCGATTATCTACATGGTTTTGTTGGCATAAGAGACATTGCCAAGGATTGGGATTGGAATACGAGCATATTGAATCCGAATTTGGTGGGAAAGCTAAGCCCGAATCCATGGTTTGCATAGAGAGCTCAATTCATCCAATCAAATGTATTGGAATTCAGTCAGGAGCTACATGTATGTACTTGGCACGTTTGTTTTTGTGTAATCTGAGTTCATTGCCCAAGTGTTGTGGGTGTAGAAGTAGAAATGAACCATAGACTGAAAACCGCAAAATGCTAGGACAATGTCTATGGCTTAATGTCAATTATAATGTCTTAAATTAGATCAAAGACTTTATATTACATAAGAACATGGGGTTGTTGGGAATGAATAGACTTCAAATCAATTAACCTCAATCAGCCTCAGAGGAGAATGCCCAGAGGTATTCATTGAACGCCTTCTTGTGTCAACTCCAATTTTATTCTGTTTTAGGGACCCATTGTGTGAGACAATGGCATGCTGCCCAGAGGTGAATTTGCATTGAGCATCGGGAGAATAGTGGAAAACAAGATCCTAGGAGTATTCATAGATGCATAGTACGGTTTCGCTTTTTGATATTTATCTGCCTCTGTTCCATCTGAAGAGGGTTGGATTCGGAGAAATTGTATGCATTCACAGACAATTCCTGGAAGTCAGAAAGAGCTCCTGAAGCGCGTGGAAACCTGTTAGTCTATTAAAACGACTCCAACCTCCAAGCCGCACCTATCTTCAATCGCTTATCCCTAATCGCTGATCCAACACCGCAACAATTTATCTTTGGTTTCTTCTGATCACGAACTTTTCTGGTTTCAAGCTCTTTCGCGATGGATTCTGGTAAAAGAAGGCCGCAAAAATCACGGAGAAGTGACACACGACAGAGAAATGACACGCAACAGAGGGATGATGCACGTCGGAGAAACGACACACGCCACATCAACTATGATTACTGGGAGCCACTCGGTATCGACTCGAAGAACGAAGAAGATCAAGCCGCTGTCGTTAAGCTCATACACCAAGCATATGCTCCTGTTCTGAACTTTTATCTCGACGATGGAGGTATGGAAGACGCCAAACATTTGTTCAAATCTCCATTCCGTTCCAAAGAGTTTCAAGAAGGTTGCATCTCCAGAATCCACCAGCTCCCACGGTACGTGAGAGCTCATGTACCTAACAAGGACCTTCTTGTAGATCTGCTATACGATATTCTTCGGCATATTCGGCAGACCGATGACACATGGATTCATCGCATGGATGGGCCCCCCGCCATATCTACGCCCGTTCTTGCCCCCAAAAACCCCAGAATACGACGAGTTCAAGACGATGAATCTACAAACATCCAAGAAACTGAAACCCCTGTCATGATTCCGATAACCCCAGAACGAGCACCAGAACCAGACGTACTGACTCACGTGAACGTCCAATCAAGACCAGGACCAGGACCAGGACCGGAGCAAGTGCCAGAATTAGAGTATCGGTCTTATCCTCGCATCCCGTTGGAGCCGCAAGCTCAACCAGAATATCTCTTACAGACATCCCCGCGCTCTCCTCGTCCTCTCCGTCCTATCAGAGGAACTCTAGAGTGGGTTGCCGAGTACCGGAAGAAGCTTATACCGCTGCGCTTCTACAACAGGGGCACTGAGTATGATCTCTTGGATCAGGATTGGGTGGTGGACTCTGATCCCAATGACGCTGATTACGGTTTCCGGGATCCCATCCTGGGCCCGGTCTTTGGCCACCCAGAGGAGCCTAAATATGCTGAGCATCCTTGGGAGAAACACCCCTAGAGCATTGCTCAGATTGTGACATCCACTTTACCGAGTGCGAGATTCAATGTAGGAAAAGATCTGAGCGACATTGAATGGAATGGTAATAACCAGTACTTTCAGTGAGTTGATACTCAGATGGAAGTTTGGAGTGTTCTATCAAGGGATCAAGAAAGCAAGGCTCACTCAATTTGTCGGAAGCCTGAGAAAGCAGGCCCACTTGTTTGTCGTGTTTGTTCATTATTCAGCAAGTAAATTACACCTATATATAAATTGCCAGAATTAGGGGTAATGGAAACCAGAGTTATTGACATCACCTGATTGGCCAGCACCAAGTTGTATTTCATAGTTATGAGCCCGAATAGCCATTTCTGAACCAGAAAAACACATCGATTACAGCAATCAGATCATCTGATAACCATAAATCGACCACTTGCTGGTTCAGAACCCCTTTTGAACCACCGATTGTGCATCTTCTGCAACGCCAACACACCCTTACCCCATCCTCGCTAGCAATCGATACAGCAAGTGATCACTACACTTCAGCAAGCATGGATGCGTCAACACTCTCCGCCATGAAGGGCGATAAACTTCGTGAACCAGCTCAATGGAGCACTTGGTATGCAAAAACCAGGCGCTTCGCCCAACTGCGCGCGGTTTGGGAGCTATGCAATCCAGAAGTCAATGAGGATGCACTCCCTAAGCGCAGTACGGAGCCGGTAGAACCAGAATACCCAGAAGACGGAGATGATAAGGAGACCCGCAAGTGGCGAGACCGCTTCGATGTCTATAAGCTTGCTCTCTCGAAGTATGAGAAGCAGACCAAGGGATTGAATGATGTATACGAATATATCTTTGCCACCCTTGACAGCAAGTATCATCGCTCCGTCATCACCAAAGAAACCCCGTATGATGTGCTTGTAGCGCTGAAAACACGGTTCGCAAGAAGCAACTCTTATAAGGAAGAGCTGCGCGACAAGTGGGAGCAACTTGCATCGCAGAAACCCGGGAAGGATGTCGACCAATGGATCGACAAGTGGGACACACTGCGGCAAGAAGTCATTAGCGTCGGCATCAGGGTTGATGATGAAGATGCAGTACGTTACTTCATCAAGGCTGTGAAGGAAGTCCTGCCAATGTGGTGGCAAGCGGAATACACTGCTGTCATCCTTAATGAAGAGAAGCGTGATATCAATCAGCTTATCGAGTCCTTTCGCAGTATCTACCTCGAAACAGGTGCTAAACCATCACTGTCAGCACCAAAGGCCTCCTTCTCAACCTGGCAAGGGCATGAGGAAGCTTCACAGCAAGTGGCAACAATCTCTGCTGCAAAGTCTAAGAAGCCAAAGCAGACTGCAGAGACTCCGTTTCACGAACGGTCCTGCCCATGTGGAAACACACACCCACGTCATAGAGTAGCAACTTGCTACTACATACGCCCTGATCTGATACCTTCGGACTTCACTATCAGGGAAGCCACGAAGAAAAGAATTGAGAAGCTTCTTACCGCAGAGCCAGAATGGCGCAAGTGGATTAACGAGGAAGTAAGGAAGGACAAAGAACGTTCAACGCCTAAGGAAACGGCGGATTTCACAACGGTACAGCCTGACGTTAGCGCTCATCCACCAATAGTAACACTTGCAACCATACAAGTGCCCTCAGCAGAGAGCAACCGGGTGCAGCAAGCCCATGCTGGCAAACCAGCAGAAAGAACTCCCATCTACCATGTCAAGCCAGTCGATAAGAGAATTGAGCAAATGCCTGATCTCAAAAACCGATGGATCCTTGACTGTGGATCAAGTGTGCATGTGTGCAACAACAAGGGCTGGTTCGAAACTATAACCCCATACCAAACAGAGTTAGCAACTGGCAACTCAATCACCAAGGGTGAGGGGATTGGAACAGCAAGACTTGCTGCAAGAGATCCACAAACCGGCAAGCAACGAATCATACGTCTTACTAACGCCTTGTATGTCCCAGGGTGCCATACCAACCTAGTTTCATATGCAAAAATGAGGCGACTTGGTGTGAAATGGTGTCAAGATACAGATACCATCGTCGACCCAAACAACCTGCAAATCGCGAAATTGCAGCTAGTGGACCTAGATCTGTGGGTATTCGACTTGCCAAGCCACAACAGTGTCAATGCAATAACCAGAAAGTCAGAGAGACCACAGAAAGCGAAAGGATCTATGGAACTATGGCATCGCCGTCTAGCGCACATCAGCACAGATGCGATTAAGCAAGCTAAGCAAATGGTAGATGGCATCGAGATCACAGAGGATAACAAGGATGAAGAAGTCAACTCACCTTGCCGAGTCTGCAACCTAGCAAGAGCACCTCGACAAATCTCTCGCCGACCAATTGGACGCACGTTTGGAAGATTTGGAAGAATTCATTTCGACCTAATACAGATCCAGCCAGCAGAAAACAGACATAGATGGATGTCACACTTCTATATCGAGGGAGTGCGATTTCACTGGATCATGACACATGAACTAAAGCCAGAGTGTCAGCTTGCTATCGACAAGTTCATAGCACTTGCTAAGAATTGGTGGAACTTGCCAATTAAGGTGTTCATGTATGACAACGAGACTTCGGCAGGAAGCACCGCCGAACGATCCATCTCCAAAGAGGGCATCATTATCCAACCTCTTCCCACGGCACAATCCAGCGTTTCTCATCGTTCACGAAGGTGGGTGTACGGTTCAGCAACCATACTGCAGCACTTGCTGCCTCTGGCCAGAGGCCTTTGGGCAACTGGCCCTCGACGATGAGCATACGCATACGTGTGATGATTGTTCCACCTGCACGCTCGCTGTATCCATTCATCTCTGGATGTCCCGGGGGAGAGTGATGGATAATGATGCCCTCTTTGGAGATGGATCGTTCGGCGGTGCTTCCTGCCGAAGTCTCGTTGTCATACATGAACACCTTAATTGGCAAGTTCCACCAATTCTTAGCAAGTGCTATGAACTTGTCGATAGCAAGCTGACACTCTGGCTTTAGTTCATGTGTCATGATCCAGTGAAATCGCACTCCCTCGATATAGAGTTATTGACATCACCTGATTGGCCAGCACCAAGTTGTATTTCATACAATTTGAGGTTTTGGCCTGATATTTCAGGGACCTAGGCACCAAGGCAATAATAAATATGCAATCCACAATCAAATTCATCACCCCTTTTTCCAATATCTTTCCTCATTTGCTCTATCATAATACAATCGCACTGAATGCCAATTTCCATGAGTTTGGGTAATCAACTTTTCGTATCATACTCCAAATCCCCGCTCTACAATTCACCTCCAATAACGCTCCACCGGTCTTATCGGGAATTCGCACACTAAACTTCTTAAGGCGAAAGTTGCGCGCGGTGGATCGAGTACAGCCAATCAAATAGTCCTTAGCAGAGCGCGAAAGAATTACCTAATAGAGAATAGACAGGACTGGGTGAGCATAAATGCACCGCCGTGTCCCTGCGGAGTGTGCCCCTCGTTCAGACTCATTCAAAATGGCGAGCCACCCTTTCGACCCAATCGCACCCGCGGAGATCCAATTGGCAGTCTCCATTCTTCAGTCTGCCTTCCCTGGAGTGAAGCTGCGCTACAAGCGTATCGACCTCCAGGAACCCGCCAAGCATGAGGTGATCCCATATCTTGAGGCTGAACGCCTAGGAAAAGTCCGCCCGCACAAACCGGCGCGCTTGTTGATGGCGCTCTTCCACCGTTTAGACAACGGGTCCTTCTTCAAGGCTCTAATCAACGCCGACACCAAGACCGTCGTGTCTGCCAAAGAGCTTCCCAAAGATGTCCAGGGACCAGTGGACGTCGACGAGATGATTGAGATTGAGGAGCTCTGTCTCAGTCACCCAGCAGTGAAGGCTGAAATTGAAAAACTGAAGCTTCCAGCTGGCCACACCGTCTGCTTGGATCCGTGGATCTACGGTACCGACGATGTCAAAGAAACCCGGCGGCTCTTCCAGTGCTACATGTATATTGTGGCCACGGACCATCCCCAGAACAACCAGTATTCGATCCCGTGCAAGTTCTCCCCTGTCTTTGACGGTATCACCCGCAAGCTTGTTCGCATGGACTACTTGCCTGGTGGTGGAGATGCCCAGACCACCGAGACGCAACCTTGGAAGCCAGTGCTTGCTGTGCAATATGCACATGACTTGCTGGATGAACCCTTGCGCACAGACCTGAAGCCCTACATTGTCCAGCAACCGGAAGGGGCATCTTTCAATGTCATTGGAAATGCAGTCTCGTGGCAGAAGTGGCGCTTCAGAGTGGGTTTCAACAACCGGGAGGGCCTAGTTTTGCACAATGTGACCTACGATGGTCGCAACACTTTCTACCGTCTATCCTTTTCTGAGATGACAGTGCCTTATGGCGGTATGTCCCCCCGTCCCCCCGTCCTCCCGTCCCCCCGTCCCCCCGTCCCTGTACATCGACATATCTAATATTTTAGACCCTCGTGCCCCGTACCATCGCAAGCAAGCCTTCGATGTCGGTGACGTCGGCTTCGGTATCACGGCTAACCAGCTGACTCTCGGCTGCGACTGTCTCGGGCACATCAAGTATTTCGATGGCTACCGCACAGACGCACAGGGAGCACCGATTCAACTTAAGAATGTTATCTGCATGCACGAGCAGGATAATGGCCTACAGCACAAGCACACCAACTACCGCAGTGGTGCGGCAACAGTCGTCCGCAACCGTCAGCTCGTAGTCCAGATGATTTGCACCGTCGCCAACTACGAATACATCTTCGCCTTCATTCTCGACCAAGCAGCCAACATTGAGCTTGAGGTGCGGGCAACCGGCATCTTATCGACAGTCCCCTTCGAGAACGAAAACGGCCAGACCGTGCCATGGGGAACCAACGTCGGACCAGGCGTTATGGCCCCATACCACCAGCACTTGTTCTCTATCCGTATCGACCCAGCCTTAGACGGCTATAAAAACACCGTCTACTACGAAGACAGTGTACCCATGCCCGAGGATGACAAGAACCCCTGGCTAGTCGGATACACGACAGAGCAAAATGTCATGAAATCGAGTGGCAGCGCCTTCACAAGCGTTGACCGCCACCGCGTGTTCAAAATCCGCAACGACTCCATCATCAACCCCATTACCCACCACCCAATCGCATACAAATTGCAAACCTCGCCGAGCCAGATGCTCCTAGCGCACCCGAACTCATTCGGCGCAAAGCGCGCTCGTTTCGCAACCCGTCCTATCTGGGTTACCAAGTACCAGGACGATGAGCTCTTCGCCGCCGGTGAATTCACAAACCAGAGCAAGCAGTCTGATGGTGTAGAGGTTTGGGCTGGGCGTAATGATGTAGTCGAAAACGAAGATGTTGTTCTCTGGCACAGTGAGTCACTCTATCTCCCCGAGTGAAGACGTAGCTAACCTTTCCCAGCATTCGGTCTGACGCACAACCCACGCATTGAGGATTTCCCAGTCATGCCCATGGAGAAAGTCAGCGTGATGCTCAAGCCTGATGGCTTCTTCACTAAGAACCCTGCCTTGGATGTGCCGGCGTCTAGCCAGTCGTTCAACAAGTCGACCTTGCACCCCGAGCCTGCTTGCTGTGCTGCTCCCCAGGAGCGAGGACAGGTGAAGTTATAGATATGATTTATGAGTTGGGGTACAGATGGAGATGCCTATGATGAGCAATTAGAACATAACGAATTCATTACAATCAAATGCACATATCTCATTGCCCATTTCATTGATTGTTTGCCTGAGGCGCTCTAAATACGAACTTTATCCACACTGGAGAATTCATTGGTCATGTATGAAATGAGAACACTAGCCATTGGAAGAAGGCAATAGGATTTATCTCCCTCGTTGGCAAATTCGATCAAGAAGTTGATGGAGCCTAACCCCACCGCCAGAGCCGGGGCGATCATCGGAGTTACTGGGGCTGAGCTCGAAACGGTAAATTGGTGAGCGGGCTGAGGTCTTGCGCCCCATCGTAGCTGCTGTGCTGGTTGGTCATCCAGGCGATGACAATAATGATGAACAAATCGGTTTCTTCTGCAAATGTTACATTTGGTTCCAGAAGAAATAGCATCTGCCAAAGAGCTGATACTTAATCCTTGATTTATGCATGGTCTATTTAGGTAAAACTATGTACAATGAGACGGGAGCCACCGCATCCCAGGTTAGCAAGACCTGGCTGCAGAATAGTGGTGTTATAGGGCAGTAGGGATTTAAAGCGCGCCACTTTATTCCAATCGAATGCACACTTTGGAAAAGTGCTTCTGTTGCTCCAAGTATCTATATGCCTCCTTGGCATCTTTAAACTCGAAAACCTTATCATCAACAATAGGCTTAATGCCCTTGTCCGTGATGAATTTGTTCATCTCATTGAACTGGTCACGAGTTCCAAGCAGAAGACCTCTGGCTGTGCACACGTTCATCAAGCAATCCATCATAGAAGGCACGGCGGCCTGATCCTCCGGCTTGCCAAGCATTCCTGTCACAGCAATGAGGCCGTCCGTGCGCACAGCCTTGAAGGACTGTGGGAGAGTAGACAGACCGCCTACGTCGACGACGATATCAATGCCCTTGCCACCACGCGTGAGACTCTTCGCAGTCTCGCCCCACCTAGGGTTCGTGCAGTAATTGATAACATGGTGTGCACCGAGGGATTTCAGTCGCTCGGCTTTGATATCTGAGCTGGTTGTGGCGATGACAGTCGAGCCAGCAGCTAGCGCAAACTGCGACAATATTAGCAAAATAACGAGTAAATTGTCCATACACATACCTGCAAAGCAGCTATCGCAACACCACCAGTGCCTTGCACAAGAACAATAGAGCCCTTCCGAGGCGCATGTCCAGCAAGCCCAAACAAGGCATTCCATGCAGTGAGCCCGGAGCAAGTCAAAGTACTTGCTTCTAGGTAACTCAGGCCCGACGGCATGGAAACCAAAGCTGATTCATGGAAAGTGCCAATAGAGCGTAGCGTTCCATCCAGGTGTTGTCCTAGCCCGGAGTTGATATCAGAGAAGCTTGGTGCCTGAAACGCAGGCAGCTGGGAGACGAGATGGGTGCAGACTCAGTCGCCAGGCTTGAATGAGCTGACCTGGCAGCCGACTTCTGTGACAATACCTGCGCCGTCAGAACCAGGGGTAACACCGGGCGTAAAGCATAGAAGTTGGGGTTCGCCCTGGTCTCGTTAGTACAGGTGCGAAATAGGACTTTTTGGTACTTTTGATCGTACCTTGGCAATTACTATGTCTCGGTAATTCAGCGATGCGGCATATAGCTTGACTAGGACATCGTTGTCGCCCAGAGTGGAAACGGGGTGGTCCTCAACTAGTTCTAGACTGTCGATGCCTTGTTGATCCTGTAAAACCCAAGAAGACGTTTTAATTGTCATGATATAAGCAATGAATACAATGGCTCTAATTAAAAGGAAGAGAAAGAAGAGAGCAATAAAATCCGTGATCTCGAATTGAAATTCAAAGCGCGAAGTCGTCCGATTTTCTCAGAATTAAACTGAATCATGGAACGTCACTGACTTGGTCCACACTGAGTCAGTTGCATGAATCAGTTCCTTTTCCCCATCTTTCGAAACAAAATCCCATTGAAGTCATAACACCAGTAGTGATGCAAATTGAGAGCAAATATTCAGGTCGTCGCATTCCCATTTAGGATTCCTTCGCAAGACCCTTCACCCATTTCTCGGCAGAAACAATCTGAGCTTTGTGTGCGAAGACCTTCTGCATCAAAATACGGTGCACCTCCTCATCCCGATCCATGCAGCAATCCTCGAGAATCGTAATGCGGTAATCCAGATCCATCGCCTGGCGAACAGTCGACAGCACAGCACCACTAGTGATCAACCCAGCGACAACGATAGCCTCGGCACTAGCGCAGCGTAGAAGCATATTGAGTTCGGTAGAAAAGAATGCCGACACACGGCGCTTCGTAAGAACTACCTCTCTGGCAGCTGGTGCAATGGCTGGGTGGACTTGGACCGAATCATCGCCATCGAGGTATGCACCGCGAGCAGCGACAGCAGTCAAGGATGAGTTGTTGGGGTGCTTCTCTGGGTAGCCGGGCCGGAATGAGGTCACGACATGCATTACTTTGATGTTATGTTTGCGAGCGGCTGTGACAGTTGATGCCAAGCGTTGTAGGTAGGGCTCTGTGTTTTCGAGGCGGTCGATCACCCCGTTTTGAACGTCGAGAATGAGGAGAACGGTTTCCATCCTAATGGTTGGATGATGTGAGTGTTAGAATATGATGGATTGAAATTGGCTTTGAGCTTTTGGAAGATGAATTTGGAAGTGAAGCAAGTTGATGTGTTTTGTAGATGCACAACAGAGGCGGTTCCGGCATTGGGTTCCCGGTACCGGGATGGGTATATCAAACCGATGTCTTTACTACAAAGGTGCTCTACACTTCTCATTTTGATATTAGTAGCTCTAACGAGGTGTATAGAACATCCTAGTCCTTTTGTCAACTTACTATCCTATTTAGAATGCACATCTCCCAATCCAGCCTAAAGGTTGTATGCGTGTTGGTGTTATATTCCCGTCAATCTAAATCCCAATTTTCCCAAGTTTCATGGATTACCAAAAGACGCAGCTGATGTTCGATCATGAAGAGAATACTGGAATAATAAAGCTTATGACTGTACTCCTGCACATGTTCTTCTCACCTGGTCAAATTCCCTGGCCTGTGATTGGTTGACAGATGCATTACGTCGATGCCAAAAGCATAAAACTACGCCCACGAACTTCCACTTCATCTCCTGATTCTATGTCCTAAGTCACAGTGGCTACTTCCTGGCCTCGCTCAAATGCGTCAGGCACTCTAATCTAATTATGGCAAAATCAGTCTCGATCACCCACGGCGGCGATAGTCAGTGTCAACCCAAGTATACCCTGGGGGATACTAACCAAATACAGATCTGTTAAGCTCGGTGGCAGCGTTGAACGGCCGCGTCTTTGACACCGATCCGGTCATTGCATACATGCTCCTAGACCTGTCCCGGGAAGAAAGACTGGCTTACCTACCAACATACTGGTCTACGCTAATCAAGTCCGCCTTGCTAAACGACGCAATCATCACCGAGGCAGATGGCTGGAAAGCTGCGTCTGTTCTTGTTCCTCCGGGTCGATACCTTGATAATGCCTGGACTCTTCTGTGTGCGGGATTTCTAGGCGTGCTGTGGAGAATTGGATATCCAGGTTGCAAGGTATGGAATGTTTTCACATAGACTTGCTTGCCACTTGTAACGATTATCTAGCGTCTCTGGGCTGAGTTCTCCGGCATGACCGACAACGCGAAGAGAATAGGGTTGCGTGGACATAAGCGATACTACTATGTCTTCAGTATTGGGACGGAACGTGAGCACCGCGGAAAAGGTACACCACTGTTGTTTGGTCTCTACTATATACCTCACAGGCATTTCGCTGATCCTTGGTAGGACTTGCGAAAGCCATCATGCAAGATCACCAGCGCACTGCCCAAGCAGCTAATCTCCCAATCTGGCTCGAGGCAACAACACCAGGATCGCGCGCTCTGTACCTCTCAATGGGCTTTGAGGAAGTTGAGGAAATCGTGCTCGGGAAAGGCAAGGTTGCCGCTGATGCTACTCTTCAGCCTGGTGGGCCAGGGATTCCCCTATGGGCGATGGTTTGGTGGCCAAAGTCCACTGCTGATTCTTCGTCCTAAGATTACTAGTCTCAATCGCATTCTTTCCGTCATCCATAGGCTCATACTCAGTACAATAAACTCATTATTACCAATTAATAAACAGGTGGATGGTTCTTAGTCCTCAAAAAAAACTTGAATCTCGTGGAATCAATTGTTGCCAAATGTTCCGCTGAAATATATACAGAGATCTAGTTTTACATCGAAGCTACCAAGAATTCAACACATAACACAGCAGTAAGCTCAGAGACGGGCTTAGCTGCAAGGATTCTGCAAACTGTTCAAATCCTTGGGAATAACACCGGCCTTGACAGCATCTGCAAGAAGTCAGCCCAACCCATACCCCAAAATCAGAAAGCACTTACCCTGGTAAGACCACCGATAATCGTTCAACTGAGCCTTCCAAGTCCAAAAAACCCATCCCTGCTGCTGCTCATAAGAATGAACCTGTGCCGCAAACCACTTGCCATAAAAATCAGTGTTAGAACTGGGATCCCAATCCGACGACCCCTCCACATCATCAGGCACAGCAAGACTCCACTCGCCAACGATATTCGGCGAATTGCTATCCCGCTTATCGTTGCACGAAGTGCTGATATAGCTTTCGTGCGACGCATCAACACTAGTATCCCATTTCAGGTACCGGTGATCGTCATAAGCCATATATGTCAAGTCATCGAGGTGCTCATTGGGATCGCCAGAGCCCCACGACTGATCCATCGTCTGGATATGCAGGTAGTCATTTGCGTTGATGTTGAGCTTTTTCTCCGCGGCACGGATACGCTACATAACCAATCAGCACTGTCGTCGGCACTTCCACTCTTCCACTTAAGAAATGCTCACCTCAACAGCTTGCGGGTAGTACTTCTCGCGCATGGACGAAGCCTTATCATTATCCTGAACCGGCTCATTAACAACCTCCAGCATCCCCACGTTTCTCATCTCATCAGTCTGATAGACCAGTTCTGTCATCCACTCCAACCACTTCAACGCACGCTCATAGTTCTCCTCAGTGTAGAACCCCGGCTCCTGCGCATTCTGCCCGGTAAAGGCATTCAACGGCGTCTGCGCGCCCGGCGCCCCATGTAAGTCCATGATAATATACATGCCTGCATCGCTTGCCCACCCGCAAACCTTTTTGACATACTCCAGCCCACCCCGCGGGAAATGCTCGCTGGCATCGACGAGGTCCTCACGCAACCAGTATCCCACCGGGATGCGGATCGTGTTCAGTCCGTAGCTGACCATCTCGGCGATGTCGTCCTGCGTGGTCCACGAGCCCCAGTGTTTGGCGAAGGCGGTGTTCGCGGCGTCTTGACCTAGCGATGAGACGCAGTCGAATTCGGAGGCTTGGCCTGCGCAGCCCATGTCGCTCCAGGCGGTTTCAGCGATCCAAGGCTCGAAAATGAATTGGGAGCCGAGGTTTACGCCACGGATTTTGCCATTCGAGGTCTCGAAGTGGTTCGTGCCGGTTGTTGAGTTGATGGATTTGTTGTCTTCTGGAAGCCAGGCGTGAGCCAGGGCGGCTAGCGTGGTGAGGGCTGCGAATTTGGAGATTGCGCCCATGGTGGAGGTTTGTAGGGTGCTTGTTGGATGAGTGGGAGCTTGGTGATTGGGAAGGATTGCAGGATTCCGCGGCATCTAAATATCTTTTACGGCTGCCATAATCTCTTCCAAGTACCTCAGGGACGTAGTCAAGGTATGATCCGCATTTTGCAGGTTGATAAATGACTTCTTGTCCAAAAGCAGACATTAAGTTGAGGAATTGCCCGTTTGGGAAACTGGGAGACTTTATTTCAAGTGTTTATAGGGCACTGGTCACTATTTTTGTTGTGCATAAATTATGAAATGAAGGAGGTTGTAGTGAAACTCATTAATCTGAATGTTAGCGTCCACCAGGTCTTGTTGCTATTGGATGCTGGTAATTATTCAAATACACCCCGTGGATGAAGCAGGATTTCACGTTGCAAATGCTCGCACTGAGTTTCCTTGTAGGAAGTCCTCTTCATTGATCGGCCTCAGACTTAATTCATTTGGCAATTGCACTTTGGTTTGATGCGATGCCAAGATGGGGGCCAGAGATCGACAGGGGCTAAATATAGATTGTTCGATTTCAGGAGATGCTTTGCAATATTGTACTCTGTAATAATTGCAAGCGTATGCTCAAGCAAATTGCAATACAAACCAAACGTTTGCGCTTCCACGACATCTTCTATAGGAACTACTCACCAACCTTTCCCTATTATCTTAGCTTAACTATAGCTACCCATCTTTCTATAAGTGGAATGAAGCATAATCAGACAATGTCAATTATCATTAAAGCACATTAAATATCATAATTGCGTCCGTAGCAATATAAGAAAATCATTAAATATAGATCCCTCACAGCGCCTTGAGCAATTCCTGGATCAAAGGCAAGAAGCCTGTTACATCGTCGATCAGGAGTGTTGTCTCATTGACGAACTTAGGAGTAAGGAGATCATGGGCGTTGTCCAAGAGCGAGCCAAGTTCCGAAATGGTTGATGGCACAAGAAGCTTCTTGACTTCGGGCATGATATCGGGCAGGTATCCAAGGACTTCCTTGAGCGTGCTGACCAGCGAGGGGGTCAGGAGGCCGTCGGCGGTGTCGATGATGCCAGAGGTCTCGTGAACGAAGCTGGGAGTGAGCAGGTTGGTGGCGTTTGTCACGATGTAGCCCAAGTCGGTGATGATGGTGGTGTTCAGCAGGGACTTCTGGAGGGTGGGGAGCAGAGGAATGACGTCTCCGAGGAGGTCCTTGAGGCCGTGGACGATGTTGGGGCTCAAGAGGTCGTCGGCGCTGTCGATCAAGCCGGTGGTCTCGTTGACGAACTTGGGGGTCAGGAGGTTGTTGGCGTTTGTCAGCAGAGATCCGATGGCCCCTACGGTGTTCTTGGTCAGGAGGTTGTTGGCGTTTGTCAGCAAAGATCCGATGGCCTCTACGGTGTTCTTGGTCAAGAGCGACTTGATCTCGGGAAGCAGAGGAGTGACGGCGCTGAGAATAGACTTCAAGCCAGAAGTGAGGTCGGGAGTCAAAAGGTTGTCGGCTTCGCTGACCAAGCTCATGGTCTCGTTGACGAACTTTGGTGTCAGCAAGTTCTCAGCGTTGCCGAGAAGGTTCTCGATGGAAGAGATCATTCCCTTGGTCAATAGCGACTTGAGCTCGGGGAGCAGAGGAATGACGGCGCTGAGAATAGACTTCAAGCTGGAGGTGAGCTCGGGAGTCAGGAGGCTGTCGGCCTCGCTGACGAGGCTGGTAGTCTCTTTGACGAAGTCGTCGGTAAGCAGCTTGTTGGCGTTGCTCAGAACATTCTCGATTTCGTTGATAAGAGCCGGCTTGAGAAGGCCCTTGAGCTCGGGCAACAGAGGAGAGACCTGGCTGATAAGATCTTTGAGGTCGGTGATGGTCGCCGGGTCCAAGAGACTGCTGGCTTCCTCGATCAGGAGGGAAGTTTGGTTCACGAAGCTGCCGGTGAGCAGATCGTTGGCATTGCCCAGCAGGGTCTCGATTTCCTTGACATTGCCCTCGGTGAGAAGGCCGCTGGCCTGGGTGATAAGAGGGCCAGCCTTGGTGATAAGCGGACCGGCCTGGCTGATAAGCGGACCGGCCTGGTTGATGAGCTTGCCGGTAGTATCGATGAAGCTTGGGGTAAGCAGCTTGTTCGCGTTCGACAGGAGTGACTCGATCTGGTTGACGTTGCCCTCGGTGAGGAGACCCGCGGCCTGGGTGATAAGGGGACCAGCCTTGCTGATAAGTGGACCGGCCTGGTTGATGAGCTTGCCGGTGGTATCGATGAAGCTTGGGGTAAGCAGCTTGTTCGCGTTCGACAGGAGTGACTCGATCTGGTTGACATTGCCCTCGGTGAGAAGACCCGCGGCCTGGGTGATAAGGGGACCAGCCTTGCTGATAAGTGGACCGGCCTGGTTGATGAGCTTGCCGGTAGTATCGATGAAGCTTGGGGTGAGCAGTTTGTTCGCGTTCGACAAGAGCGACTCGATCCCCTTGACATTGCCCTCGGTGAGAAGACCGCTGGCCTGGTCGATGAGAGGGCCAGCCTTGGTGATAAGCGGACCAGCCTGGCTGATGAGCTTGCCGGTAGTGTCGATGAAGCTTGGAGTAAGCAGCTTGTTGGCGTTGGACAAAAGCGACTCGATCCCCTTGACGTTGTCTGCGGTAAGAAGACCGCTGGCCTGGTCGATGAGAGGGCTGGCCTTTCCGATGAGGTTGTTGGTCTCTTTGACAAAGTTGGCAGTGAGCAAGGTGTTGGCGTTGTTGATCAGGGTCATAATCTCCTGGGTATTCTTCGTGGTCAAGAGGTTATTGGCATTGTCAATGAGGCCACCGACCTTCTGGGCGAAGTCCGAAGTCAGAAGGCTGTTGGCATTGGCAACCAAGCTTCGAATGTCATTGTCGACCGGTGGGGCCAAACTGGTGGAGAGGAAGGTGAAAGTGTCGGTGACGGACTTCAAAAAGCCCGGCGAAAGAAGACCTTCGAGGCCAGCAATTAGATCACCCAGACCACCACCACTGCTACCACCACCAAGCAGACCGGAGAGTGTGCTTTCCAAGCCTTGCAGAATGTTATCCGATGAGCTAGATGAGCTATCAGTGGACTTGGTAGATGAGGTGCTAGAGGAAGAGGCAGCAGAGGTTGTCTCAGCGGCAGAATTAGCCGCCTTGGTAGCGGTGCCAGCAGCGCTGGATGCAGATGCACCGCCGCCTAGAGCAGTCTCAACGCCGCCAACAAGAGATTCAACCGGGTTGGCCTGCGCCGTCGTTGTAGGGGCGGCATTGTTCTGAGCGGAGGCAGTGTCCTCCTCCTTAGCAGCAGAGGCAGTATCCGCTTCCTTGGGAGCAGCAGCAGCAGTGTTGGCTCCATTCACATTAGCGGCGTTTGCAGCAGCTGTAGTGGGGTCCGCAGCAGGGGTATTGACAACATTGGCATTAGCTTGGTTTACGTTGGCCTGCTGCTGGGTCGCCGAGGTAGTAGGCGCGGCTTCCTCCACATTGTTCGCAACAGGCGCGACAGAGGCTGATGCGGCCGATGGAGCCGCAGGGCTGGCTCCTGTCACGTTGACTGAAAACAGGAGCGCGGTAGCAAGGGTTGGCAAAAGACGCATATTGTCGGATGGGCCGATCTGGCGGTTCCTCTTCTAGTGTGGTATATATCTTGTCCGACCAGTCGAATTGGCGTCGATTCCCCAAACCTGTCGTTCAAAGGTTTGTTGCGGAACAGGAAGAGCCTTCAGGGAGATCCGGAAAAGAACCTTCATCCCAGAGCGCGAGCCAGGTCTTTATTTACAGAGGGACGGCGCCGATCAGCGCGCACCAGACACGGTCCTTCTCCATCCCGCTAACCGCAATTGTCGGTGCAATTGCACTAAGATCAAATTTTTGGTGTAGCCCCATCCTCACCGAGGAGATAGGGATCGACACCGAGGCAGGGTACTAGTAGAGTACCATGTGATGGGCAGTTCTCATCCCAACTCCACACGAAGAGGAGTCTAGCAGCTCGTCATCGGCCGTGCCTGGGGACTAGGTAGGGATCGGCGCCATTAGCTGCAGGGAAAAAGCAAAGGCTTTTCGCTCCCGAGGTACGGCCAGGCACATGTGTTTGCTATATTTTGGTGAGCCTGGGCACTGATCCATCCCACGCAGGTCATGGCTTGAACCTGCGTATACTGGCGTATAGGAACCAAATTATGCGGGATTTCGGCCAAGAAGAGCGGGAGCGGGGGTGCTCCTATTTCCCCACATGAACATAATTTGGTAACAAGAGGGTCAGTATGGGGTCAAAGAGCAGGTCTAGAGCCAATGATGACATGACTGAAGGAGTCAAAACCAATGTGGATGGTTAAAAACAAGAAGAAAAAAAAAAGAAAGAAAACGCAAAATGAGGGGTAGGGTTCGGCGTTGACCCTAAAGCGGTAGGGAACTGCATCAGATCCCTACCTCATTCTTCTTGTTTTCTCCTGCTTACCCAATTCACCTCGTTCTCAACTTCTTCTAATTGGAGATTGGCTTCAAATTTGCTTCAAATTTCCGAATTGTGCATATGTATGTGCTACCCTGGTGGTTTAGGAATTAGATGGTATTGATACTAGAAATTGAAGCATTGCTTCACATCGGTATCAAGGGTCTTGCTCGAAAATTGAGCACCTTTCGGAATCCTATTCTGGGAACCAATTGAGCAATTAATCTATACTCCGTATCGTATATCGTATTAATAATAGTAACAAAGACATGAACACTAATCAAGGCAAAATCGGCAGCTATTGCCCATAGCCCACTAAAGTTGAGATCGTCCAAATGGCTTAACCTGGAGTGGAAAGCTTAAGCGTTCATCTTCTTTTCTCCTTTTTTTCTATTTTGTTGGTCTCATATTTAGTTACTCTATTTTGTGATATTTGAGACTATCTCAACTACATACAGCATAACTATACAACATCGAACAATATCCATTGTCCTACATCGTAGATATTTGCATGCCCTATGCTCTATACTCTTATCGCCCCGGAACCCAAATATCATCCGACACGAACGACTCGAAGTCCAGCCACAAAATCATAAGCCTCGTGATTGGCCATGTTTCCCCGGAGTAAATTCTTCTTTGGTCTTGATCAATCCGGGTCCAGCCCAAACTCCCAGCAAATAACCCCGAGCCCAATGAAAGCCAATTCAATGCTGATCCAATCCATAATTTTACGACTAGTCATGTCCCCGGAAGGCAAGACATAATCATCCATGAGAAGACATGCGATCACGGAGCCGCATACTAAATGGATTCACAGCTTCCTGCGTCGTGTTCTGTTGATCCGCGCCTTCACTAATCCTTCCCATTCACTATAACCAATGGTCCACGAAATATAAGCACAGTAAATTGATTGACCGTGGACAATGTCCGGTTTAACCGAGTGGACCAGGACCCCAGATCCTCTATCTATTTTACTCTGTAGGGAAATGTTCTAGTCTGACTCGTGAGTCCCCGGTCGGACTGCGGGATAGACCAAATATCCCCCAACGGCACCCCAGAATCCCGCTCGACGATCAGAAAGCACCCTCGGTCCACTCTCCACGGTCGGGGTGGATAGAGTAGTATTGTTGTCCCAGTGGATGTAGATGACCTCATCACTGGGACTATCACACTGCTTGACCATCATATTGACTTCGAGCCGAGGGGCTAGTGGCCCCCATTCGCTGACCCCGTTCAATGAGGCGCCACTCTCGTACAATTGCAAGCTTTGCGCATTTTGCGGGGCCCCGAGGAGCTTGATGATGACATTGCTCGCTTATGCCAGGTCCAACATACCATAATGAGGGACCCGGGCTGGTTGTTAGTTTGGCAGTTAAATTAAAGGTCTCAGATTGATGGCAGATCTGGGGTTCAACCCACAATCACAAGATTGTGCTCGGTATCTCGACGGTGGTGTGTACAGCCTCACTTTTGTACGCTATGACCCTTGTTCATATTAAGATGATGGATCATCCATTTGGGAGGTGAATTGCGGATTCTAATTAAGAGCCGTTGATCAGATAAATTAAACGTTAGCACTGTATTCTATGTCGCGATTGTTCCTTGTCCTTCGGGTCAATTGGTCCTCAGCTTTTGTGCCTGGATGTTGCGCTTTGGTTGGTTATCATCGATCTTGTGGACATGAGACTACATGCAGTAGCTACTAATGCAGGTTGAATGGTAACAACATTGTACAATATTGTACTAAAGCAAGTGATTAGTGACAGGGTAGGCACTCCAGGGGTGAAAGATGGCTTTTAGGAAAAAACAAAATCAAATGCGTAAACAATTCATAATCCATTCGAGTTTTGTATCTTAGAAATGCTAAATCGTATAGGGCGTCTCAATGGTCTGGAAATAGGCGATGTTTACGGCATTCTACCACGACAGAATCAAGGGATGATTACGGTTGAAAGGGCACAGGAGGGAGTACGAAGGTGCATAGCGGCCACAGGGGCCGCATCAAATTATTTCTGAGGTTGCTTTTTACCTCTTGTTTATCTCTTATTCGCATCTCATTTACCTTTATTGTATTTGCCCCTCATTTACTATAAATCTCCGTTACAATGATTCAAGTATTTTTCCCCAGCCTCAAGTCAGACATCTTCAGGCAGCAATCCTAGACAAAATCCAATCCCCGGCCGCTATGCACCTTCGCAGAGGGAGACTCCAAAGAATCTGAAGAGAAATCTGACTGTTCTACCCTGCAAACCGCAGAGATAACATGCGATAATCGCAATCTGCACCATATGAATCTTGAAAGGTACCACGGTTACCTTCAAATTGGATCATGCGATTTAAACTGAGGCCCTTTTCGAATTCGTACAATCGGTCATACAAGTCCTTGCCAGTGAAGATAAATTCTTGGAGGGCTGATGGTCATCATCTGTATTAGTACACCTCTGGGCGCTTTTTGTGAATAGTGCACGCGGCCTAGTCTTAACGGGTCCAATGCCTGTCCTGACCTGATCTGTCAACCTAGAATTAACGAAGAGCTTCGGCACGCCGAACGCCGGATCAAATTTGCATTGATGGTGTGGCTTCAATCGCCAAACTCGCGGAAGGAGGCTTCAACCGCATATTGCAAACAACCTTCGATGATGGCTACACCGTGCTTGCATAGCTACCATGTAGTACTTCAAAACACAACGCCGTGGGAACCGAATATATTTTGCCCGAAAAAGTCGAAGGGGCGCTCTTAGGCGACCAGTGGTTTTCTACGGATAATAAGGTCCGGGTCAAAGTAATCAAGCAGATTGTTCAGTAGCTCACAAAAAGCTATTCCAATCTCTGAGCATTCTGATCAATGATGGCCAGATCAAATCTTCAGATCAAATCTTTATCGGCCAACTGCACAGCATAAATGGTGGTACCAGGAGCGGGATTTATTAGACGTTGACCGCGGCCCGTGTATGCTTCGCCTCGTATCGTTTCCCACTTTCGAGTATTGATCAGAAGTCAGGGGAAACCTTTACTACGTGCTTCGAAGCACCTGCCCGGCGAGAGATGGAATTCTGTGACCGCTACGGCCAGCCGCGCCTTCAAGTCGAGAGAATCTACGAGCGGTTTCAGAAGCGATCTCCTGCTCAGCACCACGCTCTCCTTTCTGAGTATCTGAAGTTAGCGCCCAACCCTCCGCCATCCGAACTTTTCACCTGATAACATATTAGTGAATGCGTCCAGCGATGTGGTGGGCATCATTGATTGGCAGCACGCTGCAGTCCTGCCCCTCTGCCTCTGTGCCGGGATACCGGACCATTTTCACAACTGGGGCGATCCATTGTCCGAAAGCTTGGCGCAAGCAGAGGTGAATTCACCGGAAAACTTGGACCGTTTAAGTCAGGAAGACCAAGAAATGACCGAGCAGACCATGCGAAGGCGTCTTGTTCATTTTGGCTATGTCACATTGACCAAGACGAGGCTGCAGGATCATTTGGACGCTCTGCGAAACGAAAACTCCATGCTTCGAGCTAAGCTATTCAGTTATGTCGGCGCCCCTTGGGAAGGCGACTCTGTTACGCTGAAGTACGCTCATATACAGGTATCTAAAAATTAGCCAATGAATCTCGATGAAACGCAAGCACATACAGAATCTGGCTTGTTTCCGATCCATTGCTCTGAGGAAGAGATTCGGCAATGCGTAGATAGTTACACGCAGGAGCAGGAGAAGATGGAAGGACCGTCCGAAATGAAGGATCTTATTGGCACAAACTCCCTTGGCTGAGCTGAAAATAAGGATGAGCTTGAAAGTCAAGGGCAGTCATCCAGGCCATTAAAGCGGGCTTGATGGAAGAGTCAAGCCCTGACATTGAGAAAACTGCGGTCCTGGAACATTTTCCTTTTGGCGACCATGCAGAACACGTATAACCATGAAAAACATGAAAAACATGTAGAAGACTTGCCTCTCGGTTTCTGGTCTGCTTATGGGTCTTGCTATGAGAGCATGCGACCTAATCTACTAGCCCTGGACGTGAGTTACATGTAGATGATATCCCAAAATAGAATTGGACATATGTATTTTGTCCACTGATCAAGACAAGTTGTGTTGTTGTCAGATACTACCCAAATAGATAACCTTGACTGATTCACACCAATCATCGTCCGATGAGTTCACAAGCTAATAAACAACCTTGGAAGGGCGCCGTTAGATAAAGTGGATCAAGAATAAACAGTAGATCAGGCAATGTTTGATTATATATATTCTATAATGCCCAGGAGAGATGTAATGGTCGAGACCATCAACCCATTTTATATTTTATATTTGTATTTATTTCATTTGACGGTATATCCAAGGTTCTTTGGAACCTCAGTTCTAGATAGAATCATCACAGATTTAATCCTTAACACAGAAGACTAAAGGTATGTGCATATGTCAGGAAGCAAAAACTCGTATACAAACTTTGGGAAGTGAAGAATAGGAGGCGCCGTGAGGCTGCCGGCCAAATCTCGGCCGGCCGAACCGCAACCCATGACTCCACTAGAAATGTTTCAATAATCGACCCCAATAGATCCAAACAGACCCAGACAGACCCAAATACACAGAGAACAGGAGTTACAGGCCGAGCGGCTCACTCGGGTAGTTAAGCCCTGTGACGTTTACCTGAATCACAGTACTTGACACGATCAAGTCCCTGTGTTGTAATATCCCGGAAATTTTCTACCCTGCTACTTCTTTTCTTTCTACTTTCTACTCTCTCTCTGAATCTGCAAATCTCATTTCCCAATGTTATTGTTTGGAGTCATGTATCAATAGCATTTCCTAGGGGAATGTGGATAGTGCAAAGTTGACCGCACAGGAAAAGCCCAGGTATCGTATATTTCCAAATAACCCCAAGCTCCGAAGCGCCTGTGCGTAAAACTACAGAGAAAAAGATAAGAGACAATTACGATACTGGCTTATCCCCACCCATCATGGGGAATAACATCACGTCCGACACGCGGTCCAGAATCATGCGCATACTCTGTCCCTCCGTGGATTGCGGGCCAGGGCCAGTGATTGCCGGTGACGGCATGCTGGAACTGGGACCAAGGAAAGAGGGAGAAGGCAGGACAAGAGGGGAGTAAGCCTCGGCCGAACTTTGCGCGGAGAGAGCGTCCCTGCGAGCGCTGAAGGCATCACGGATATCGCGCAGAGCGCGGAGAGAGGAAGAAAGGTGTTTGGCGGAATCGGTGCGATTGTTCTGCTCGGAGTCGCCGTCGGCATAGACGTGGTCTGCTAGGACGGTCTCGAGTCTGTCGATCAGCTGCCATGTTTGAGGACTGTCGTCGTTTCCGACAAGTAGGAATGCGGACGCGATGCTTCGTTGCAGACTGATCCAGGAGCGCGAACAGTGTGAGTTGATCTCGTGCAGCTCAACAAAGGCATCGACTGTGTTGATCAGACTACGCACGCAATCTTCGCGGATCATCGCACGACGCTGGTCATCTAGATGGGCGTGTGGGTCTAGGGAAACGCGACACAGGACGGAGAGGAGATAGGAAGAGTGGAGTCGCAGCTCCGTTCGCTCGATATGCTCAGCGAGGGTATGGCAGTGCTCTCGATACCGAAGATGAGGAGTTGTTTCGGTGAGTATGCGCTGAATCTGTTGTTTGTATTCTCGAATTTCATGGACCCGTAATTGAGAAGATCCAGGATACATGCGTGACCTCAGGACTTCCAATGCCAAAGACACAATGCGACAGAGGGTTTCAAAGTATGAACGATGCCCGGGCATCGATTTGGGATCGAATGGAATTTCGGGTTGGCTGACCATGGTGATGGACGGTCGGTCATAGGCAAGCGAGAAATGGCTGTTCTGGAAGGCCATTGTCCACCTGGAAAATGTGAGTTGTTGCATCAATGCAGCAAGAGAGCAGATACATACCAGACACGCCGTCGCACCTCTTGTTCTTCAAGTGAGAACCCTGTCGACTCAACATGAAGTCCGAGGACGAGACACATTCGTTCCGTCATGCCTGGAATCGGTCAGCTGGACTCTCTCATTGGAAACACTCTATACATACCGAGCAAAGTGTATGATGCGCCTGCATTCATGTTGTATGAAAGTACATTGCTAATGATGAGAAGGATTTGGATTACTTCTACAGTGGGTTGCGATACATAGTTCAACATCCGCAGACATTGATACGCACAGGAAACTGCAAGAGGTCAGTACAGCCCTTGCTATCCTCCTAGATTTTGACTTACCGTATACCCACGAAGTTAACTCACGGTCGCTTTCCGGGAAATCAGAGAGCTGGCAACCTGATGCAAGGACCGCAAAGAGCAAACTGAGAAAAGCTAGATCCATCCCGAATGGCTTCACTAACCCATTGGCATCGGGTTTATACACGCCCCCTGCTCGTCGTCGATTATCAAGCAGTCGTCTTGTCTGCCGTTCTAATCGTGGAATATCCGAAAGTACTGGGTATAGAACCGAACCGATATTTTTATAAAACCCGAGAAACCTGATGAATGACGTTAGTCACGCATCACACACCATAGAAGGGATCCGACTTACTCCAAACATTTCTGATCTTCCGGGAGTACCGCGCACACGCCGGCAATGTTGAATGTGTACGGATCAGAGGACCATAAATCAACAAAAGGATACGCAGCAGACTCGTTGCCCAATGCAAGTTCCGCCAGAAGATCCTCTTGAGGCAGCGCCTGCGCTGTGTCTTCCGACCTCTTCGATTTATCCAAAATATCAACCAGAGCCGACCGTGCGCCGAGGTGGACCGCGCCCGTCTTCAACACATTCGATCCGTAAACACCTTCCGACCGTATAGAAGCTTTTCGCTCATTGTGTTCAGACTCCAAGGGCTTGCGCGTGGAATGCGACTGGAAGAGGGAGTGCAAACTACCAAGTATTTGTTCCATTGCGACCATCTTGGTGTTGATTTCGTCCCACTCCGCTTGTGAGATATCGATTATGTCCGATAAGTCCGGATCGGCGCTCGTGCTCGAGGGATGATCGGTGGGATATGATCCATCACGGGTGGGTGCGGAGTGGGCATATGACGGGATCGTGGGAGAGATAAATGTTGATTGTAAAGGTGTGGAGGAGGCAGTAATGGCGGTTGTAGGGATGGGGATCTTTGCGGATGTTGGACGACCGTAGGAGCAGGTGAAGTTGCGTTTGGTACAATTGCCGCACGGGACGTTGCGATCGCAGCGGACTTTGCTCGCTCGACATGGCAGACAGGTCTTGCATTCGCGCGGTCGGCGACGGATTGGATAGGTTGGCATAGTGGGAATTTTTCACTTTTTTCACTACCGCCCCGCGATCGACAAAAGACAGATAGAAAAGGCTGCCTGCGGCCACCGGACAATAAGAGGGAGCGGCATATGCGTAGATCGTAGACGAGGTCCAAATTGGATAGCTCTCACTGGTCGAAATGTGTCTAAGAACGAATCGGTACAAAAGACTCCAACGGTGCCTATCTGCAGAGGTCCGTGAGCTGCCCTGGTTTTGTCTAGAAGAACAACATTAAAATCAAATGTGATAAGTCTCAAAAGTGAAAAAGTGAGAGGGAGAAAAATATACAAGTCCAGAGTTGAAGCAAAAGTAAAGCTCTTATTGTTTCAAGATCGAGCTTCTGCCCAGCCCTGACGTGGATGATTTCATAACCACATACTAGCAACACTCGATCCTCGGTTCGGGTGACAGCTACACTTTTTTGTATACAATTTACATATGTCTATGTTGTACTTTATTTTGACTGGTATGTTATAGGATTTACAGACTTATATACTATTTGAATATTAATGGATTTTTTTTTTAACATTCTTTACTAAAAAAACAGCGATTGTGGGTTGAATATCACCCTTGCCGTAACTAGTCATGATCATCTCTATCAAAGGTATCACTGGTAAGATTGACTAAAAGAAAAGGTTGGAAAGATTCGAGGCTTTGTAATTAAGCAGTGCGGACAAACCGTTAAGCCTTGGGCGTCTTCTCAGAGACCTGCGGCACCACCCAGTAATCATGCCAGCGAGCCTTAGATCCAACGTCAGGGACAATCACCTCCAAGTTGAGAGGCTTGCTTTCAGTAGATGCTGCCAATGCCTTCTTTACCACTTCAATAGCAACACTGGTTCCAATACAGGCACGCATAGTATCCTTTGCATCGCGCTTCCAGTCACCTTCAATGGCTAACGGTGACGTCGAAGTGGAATCGGAAGGATCATCAATGAACGCCCCATTGGCAAGGTTCGCCTCCCAAGCTTTTCGTGCCTCCGTAATTGCTTTGGAGGCACGCTCCAAAATGGTGGTATCGGAATCACCCTCAAGTGCAGCCTCGCGTTGATATTCCTCATATGGCACCAACTCTGGCAAAGTGATGGGAATAAAAGGCTTCATGCGAATTTCATACCTCAGTCGGTCGGAAGAGTATGCTTGAGGGGAGGAGGAGGCTATGGGGAGCACATTGTGTCGTGCAAGTACCACGTACAATGCATGCAAGGCGATAGCAAAGGCGTCAACTGCGATTATGTGCGTGGTAAGTCTCTCCAGAGTGTGGAATGATCGATGGAATGCGGCTGCTTTTTGAGAGGAATTTCCAGCACGGGTGTCAGTAGATATCAGGTCCCGTTTTCGCGCAGCAACAGTAAACGTGCGAATGCGATCAATGTGGCCAAGATGTGTGGAGCAAATATGAGAAAGATACCAGTACATTCCTGGTAATTCTTCGGGGGAGTAAATCGACAACTCAAAGCCCATTTGAAGGATGAGTCGGAACTGAACGAGCTTTTGGTGATAAGCCCAACTGCTGAGTGGGAAAGACCAAGTGGGTTCGCCGCCTTGGAATTGTAGCGGTGGCTCTGCACTCAATGTGCGAAGCTCGAGATCGAGCTCTTCAGCCTGTTCTTGGTCAGAACTACAACCTCCTCGTGCTAGGTGATGAACAAGCTAGGCGCAGAAAACACAAAACTGACCTCCATTTGCAAATTATCCCAATCGACAATAGTATGACAGAGTGTTCGGCGAATTCGACAGCGGTTGAGGCAAGCGCATCGCACTGTATCAACAAATGGCTAGATGATTTAGCACATACAAATGTCAAGATAATGGTGATCAACCAACCTGGGAAAATCGCTTTAGGAAGCCTTCCATCTTTTGGGCAATTTGAAAGCGAGGATCGGACGGCATTTCCACCTCATCGGTGTTGGCCTCAAGTAGTATATTGGCAGGTAGTACGAGCTCCGCGAGCTCGTCGTATAAAAATTGCTTCACAGGTACAGCACCGAGGATAGTCATGTTGCTCACAATCAACGCCTGGAGAAGGCAGCGAATATATATAGATGGTTGGGGTTTTCTAGAGAGCAACGTCCATACAGCAGTCTGTGATACAGATTAATATTCGACTCAAAATCATCTCCGCAAGCACATACCTTGAAGTTGCTTGGACCACGGTAGTCAAGCATTTGCTGCATGTCTATTGCGTCTTGGCACAGCCGTTTCAGATGTGCCAGCGCATCATCAGAAGTAATCTGGACCATCGGGCGAGGCGGTACTGTGCTGGCCAGCTTCCGCTGAATTTTCAAACTAAAAGCCTCCGGTACTGGCTTGCCTAAAGACACTGACTCTGTGAGAGGTCCAAGTTGAGATACACATGACTCAAAATTTTGGGTGGATCGGTTTTCAAGAATTTCAAGGTCCTGATCAAGTGCAGATAAGAATTCATGGCGAAACACCAGTCTGCAACGAATGGCGTCTTTGAGTTTTTCGTCAATATCGGCAGTCTCCGCAAGCCAAGCAGTCGCCTGGTCCAACAGATGGTGAAAGTGGCTTATATCAAACGCAGAAAGCAAGTTGCGGTTGTATAATTGACTGACAAAATCCTCTTCCTGAAAGGCAGATTACATTAGCGCTAGTCCAATTTTTGAGCGAGCGACTGACCTCGTAATAGTATTCTGTAGACACTCGAACATGAACGATGTCACAAGCTTTGACAAGTGCAAGGCAGTACGCCCGCAGGACAAGGCTGACTAGTGGCGACTCGCTTGGTATACGGTCGAACCGAGCGTCCTCAATAGTTCTCGGCACCGGCCACAATAGTCTATCAAGGTAAATTGACGTGAAAAGCGTCTGCGAGAGAGGATGTCCCTTGTGCCATGCAACCTGCGATCATATCAGAAAATCTGTTTCCTCTATATCGTTGATGAACATCTCTCACCTCGTGACACAGCAACTGGTCCATCAAGCCCACAACCTCCTCTGGTGTCAACGGTCGCCGTACATCGTAGTCGTCTTCAAGCGCCTGCGCAAGATTCTCCCCGGGAGCTATGTAGCCACTGTCCATTTTTGAATCCATAATCTATGTTGTTCGGATTGTCGTCAGCCGCGATTATCGTCGCACGTTTGCGAATCAAAAGACTGACGCACCTCCAATGCGCCCACCGCCTCGAATAGCGTGAACGTCTCATCTTTTACGAGCCGACCTGTGCTTAATTCTGCGGCGTAGATGTAAGTATGTTGTTCCAAGTCCTCAGGGTAGTCGGCTTACTCGACGCGGCTTCTGTAAATTCGGCCGTGATGTCGCGCGGGATTGCGGGCTGGGCAATCCGCGGACGAGGAAGGCGAACCTCATTGTTCGGCAGCATAACCAAAAAAGCCGAGGTCCTGCAGTCTAATGCTGTTATTATCGCACAGAGTTAAATAAAATGTCAAGCTCTGCAGGACTGGTTTGGGAGAAGTCAGCGAATCGAGGGGGAGGCGGGGGACAAGAGCGGAGGAAAAAGCGATTCGGTCAGTCTACTCGGGCCCTAGAGGTGACGTGCAACCTCTGACCGGTCCTCGGGCAGTATGTGGATTCTTACAACAAATTCCTAATTAATGTACGGATGCGTCGGGTGAAAACAAAGACGAGTGCGATTCTAAAGCTCTGCCCAACCAGACAGGCCGGTATTGCTACACATGTACATTTCAATTCCTCCCCGGACCTAAAAGTTGCTCAAGTCCGTCACACTCGGGTCCTGCATCTCCCTAAGCTCGATTCTCTCAATAGAATGGGCGAATGTAGCTTATTTCTCAGCGGCCTGGGCGAGGGCCTCGTTGTTGGCCTGGGCGAGCGAGCGGACCTCACCCTGCTTGCCGTTCTGTTCGTCGAAACAGCCAATCGTCAGTCCAAATCCTCCCGCTTGTGGTAACTGAAGAGTTCACTAACCTGCCACTTGGCGAAACGGAGATCCATCTGGCCACGGCGCTCGGAAGCGAGACGGGGACCTTCCTTGAGAGAGCGGCGCACGGTGCGGGCGGCGATGGCCAAGTAACGGTTGTAGCTGCAGGCGGAGTTAGCATTGTTGTATAAGGCGAAACGTGAAATCGTACGTCAAACCGGCGGCTTTCCAGGCGGCAGTCATTTTGAAGAGCGGGTGGGAGATATGATTTGATTGAAGGGGTGAAAACGGGTTCGGGTTTGGACATTCGACCCGGAGATTCGGGAGTTCGATGTTCGCCTGCACGTGACCATGGAATATGGTTAATCCGGTTCAACAATCACAACTCTCATATTCAAGGACATCCTTAACGAACCTGCGCACTACTTGCTACTTCGAAAATCTAGTTTCTGATCGAGTGGTGCGGCTTGAGGTCCTGTGAAGAAACTTTTCTTTAATTTTCAATCTTGTCCATCTTCCGGGGTTTCTTGCAGTTCTCGGTCTCCACGTGCAACTTAGTTATTCTCGCACGTACATTTCGTCTAGAAAATCTAGCGATACTTTTGAATGCCATTTTCGTTGTTATCTTGCTTTGTCCTGTCTCAAAATATTTTTTCTAGTCTCTTTGGAGGTCTAAACATTGTTTTGAGTCTATTTCCGACGTCATCGTAATCATGAACATATAGCGGCGACCTATGCTTCGATACATTGGGCCGAAGTGTCTTAGATACATTCCGTCAAGCAAGTCTGGCAGCCCTAGGTATTCGGTAATGCTCTGTATAATCTTTCGATACAGATTTCTCACACTTTTCCAACCTTTTTTTTTTGTTTCATTTTCAGGTCTTGCTTCCATTTCTCTCATCCAAGGGACCTCGCCATACACACAACAACACGAATTGAAAACTAGAAGAGGATTGTTCTTTTATCTGGCCAACTATAGAACTAGCATTTGATGACAAGGCTGATCAACGTGACCCCAGGGCCCTGTAACTTGTCAATGCGAAGTTGCTGTGCGGTGACTGCTTCCTGGTCTGTGTATGGCAAATACTTGGGAATGCCCAGGTTTCCCCTAGACACAATTGGACTTTAAGCTAGATCTTGTCGTATGTAGGCTAAATAGCAAGGAGCTCTGAATGAAACACAAGGAATATCTCACTGAGCAACAGCTTGAACTGTGTCACAGAATTCTACGCTCCAAGCTATGGAAAGATGGCCAAATTGTGTTCTGCGCCTCTTGACTTCCATAAGTTGCCGCATCAAGAGCGGCTGTCTACCATCGTGCCAGAGTCCAAATTAAGGAAAGTAGAAGAGATCAGCGATACAAGCTCAAGCCCCCTTCACCAAGAACGTGCTTTTGCTCGTGCAAGGCTTCAATGTTCCACCTCCGAGTTTTGCATAGCCTGTCAAAATTGCCATAGGGCCCAGGCGCGGAGGATAATAACTGGCTTGATATGAAGCAAACCAAGAGCGGAGTCATACGTGCTCACGCTCATGTACTTACATTCACCTAGGTTCACGGATATACGTTTCCGGAGCGGCGTCGGAACCAATGTTATTCCGGCCGAACTATAAATTTTCTTTAGAGTACAAAAACACGTTTTGGAGCCTAAAATGCGCTTAAATGACGCCAAAGTAACGCGCAAATAACGAGTAAGTGACGGGAATTCTTATATGTCACTATTTATCTATTTCTGGAGGTGGTATATCTGATGAATACGTCTGCTGCAGCGGCGACGGAACCTTGGGAATGTGCATACGGGGCATGTTATTCCGGCCGAACTATAAACCTTGTATGGACTACATCAACACATTTTTAAGCACATTGTGGTCTAAGCGTAGCTTGTATGAATATCATTGCATTATTAAGTGCAATGGGTATCCGTTGCGCATGCTCTGCTTATTCCACGTACTATCTTGACAAAATGGGTAGGTGGAAGCGCCTTATCAAATACATAGGGATGACTGACTCGACGCCAGAGCCTGCAATCGCAGAAAACAGATGATTCCGTCTCAAGTTATCTTTAGCATCTTGACCCGAGCAAACACGTTAGTCATAGGCTCTGCATAGCCAACTAGAGACTCGGAGACCTGCAGTACACGTGGATTGAGCCTGCAATTGCAGCAAACGAGTGATTCCGTGTCAAGGCCGGTCTGGCATTTTGGATTGAGCAAATAAATAAGTTATGGCATCTGTACAAGTGATTGGAGACTCGGAGACTTGACAAACACGTAGCCTGGCTTACTCGAAGAAGATGTGGGCTTCCCAACGCATGACTTCGGTTATATTCTTCATATTCGCTTCTCCTACGTATGTCGCGAGCAGTTCGAAAGCTGGATGTATAGTCGAAGGTGCATAGGCAAGCCACACGGTAGAGGACTCATGGGAGAAGGTTTGTTTGTCTTATCGAAATCGGACTGAACCTCTTTAAGTGAGTCCGGCTTATCGATATCAAACCCTGGCGGCGAATTTCCAACGTAACCTCTCTCACATTTCATTTACATCATCCCTATACTGGTTCTTTCGCCGTTGCATCTGCTTATCCTCTCGATCATTGATCTAGACCCAAGAATATTGAAACACAAGTCAGTCACATACCAATAGGTGAGTAGAGCTGGGTTTCTTTCTTGTTGTTTCAGATGTCCCCTGCGAGCGATTGCTATCACCCTTTGCCAAATACCCCGCAAGTTCCCTTCATCCGATTATGAGCCTTCATCGAGTGCTATAGAGCCACTGAGCACTTGAATGACATGCTGTATGTTGTGGCTTCGCGGGGGTGAAGGGAATCTCTGGGAATCTGATGGTATACGCGTCTGGAAATTGCACGGCATACTTCTGGCTTCTGGCTCTGGCTTCTGGGATCATTGGTCCATGTCCATGCTGGTCATTTGCTGTGGTTCCAAATGGCTTGCAGTCATGGCATGATGGATCACTGTGGATTTCACAGACAAGGAACTTTTGCCCCTAAAGCATCGGGGCCCTGGCTGCTTTAGCAGACACAGATGTCGACTGTTCCACATGATTCGGTCTCAGCCTTTGGCAATTGCATCACCCTATCCTCTCAAGGCAACGGGTTCACTCCATGCAGCTGTGCTCTCATACCTATCAGTCTGATCAGCATTGCGGTTCTTCATTCTTGCTGGAGTATACATGTTGGCCTGGCTGTCATCCATACCCGACCAGTGAAATGCAAGATCAAACTAGATCAGGCTATACCATTCTGGCTACTCGATCGGCACATTCATTGTGACAATCAAGCAGCGTCGTCTGACGCTTCCTTCGCTCACATTGCATGGGCTTGATCAAACATTCATTGCAAAAATCATCAGCCCCACTCATATCACGACATATCATCTGCCCCCTGGCTGCAAACATCGGTCGCAAGAGCCAGTGGATGCATGCTGGCACGGATTCTTTGGCCAATCCACCCCTACATCCACACCCACATCTGACTAAACCATGGATGACCTACATATTCATGTGTATACGGTTCCCAGTTGTCGGATACAACTTGGCAAACATGGGAGCAAGGCTAATGAGGAATGAGACTCAAAAGGCTATAAACCAACTCGCGATCCAGCATGACTCCTCACAAGAAGAAGAAGGCCCCGGGCGGCCAGAAACGCAAGCACGACGAGCGAGACGACACAATCGAGCAGCTCCGCAAACAGCTTGAGATCGCAAAACGGGGCAGTGATGCTCAGAATGACAATGCCAGCAATACCAATGGGGATCAGCCAAAGGCTTCTAGCCGGAAGGCCCGACAACTTGTGCGCTGGGATGGTATGCAGTTTTGAGACGACCCCTTCATCCATGTCTTGTCCTTTCTTTGCTGCGAATCATCGTTGTTGGTGTCGGACTGGGGAATGTACATTGATGGACAGACTGTCCCACTGACTTGCATTTATATAACTCATGCCTTGTTGAACTGTGCTAACGTTTGTTTGTAATAGCCGATATTGATATCCAGCTTCTGCTGGCTATCCAGTACGCCTGTAACAAGACCGGCACCAAGGTTCCATGGAAGGAGACTGCTGAGGTGCTGGGACCCAAGTTCACTGAAGGCGCAATCGTTCAGCATTTGGCGAAGCTTCGGACCAGACGTGAGGATCTGAACAAGCCATGTCCACCTCCTTTGAAGCGCGCAGCCGGAAATAACACTGCTAACGCTGCCAAGGCCGAGATGACTTCAAAGAAGACTCTACTGCCTTATGCTATGGAGGAAAACCCCCTGAAGCGCAAGCGTCCCGTCGCAAATCGCCGCCAGAACTCTTCCGATGAAGATGAATACCTCCCCGCTGGCGAGCGCAAGTCGCAGGAGCAGTGCAAGCCTACAAACCGCCAGAATGATGATTCTAGTGATGATATCTATACCGTCAAGCGCAAGGCGCAGTTGCGAGCCAAGAAAGGTGGTTACCCCGTTGGCCTCTTTCATGCTGGCAACATGAAAAGCGATGAGAACGATCCTAACCAGAAACTGATTCACGGCAATGCATCCTGGTTGAACGATGTGGCTGCTCGCACTGAATCAGATAGAGATGAAATTTCCACCACAGAATCATCCAGCGTTAGCCAGAGCACTTCTCAGAGCACTGTTCAAAGTGCCAAGAAGTCGAAGATGGTTACTCTGAAGCTCGAATCAGAACATCTGGCAAGTGTGGGTCTCAAAGAGGCTGGTCCTGCCCTGCGTTACGTTAACACTTTCCCTGAGCCGACTACACTCCCCCAGCCACCTCGGGTCATTGAAAACCAGCCGCCACGGCTGCACCCATCCCGTACTGCCCGGATGCGCACTTATATGCCCCACGACCTTGACGACATGGATTTCCGAGCTATGAAACGCAACACTGACGACCGTGATTACCCAGTTCAATTCCCTTCTAACAATCCTAACCCATTCGTTGTTGGCAGTCTTCTTAACCCGGGACATGGACACCCTCATCTCGCCCAGCTTGCTCAGTCCTCTCAGGCCATGCAGAATGATGTGGCTTCTGACTATGATTTAATGCTGGCGTATCCCCAGGTTGAGATTCCTTATGAGTTGGCTCGTGACTACTGCGATGATCCGTTCACCAACGAGCCTGTAGGCAATGCGTTCATGCACGACAACGTCTTCATAGGATACGACGAGGACTACTTTGATGGCGAGCTTTTCCCAATTGTTGAAAATGAGGGAAAGCCTGATTCGAAACATGAGGAGACCAGGGAGTCCTACTGATCATGCCAATTCGGTCGACTTCCGGCAAGATCATTCATTTTTCAATTTGCGTCTACAAGAAACCGTACCCCTGCGTTCGGTTTCATTTTTACTGATTTTTTGAAGTGGTTCCTGCTCCTAATCAGGCGAATTTCGCCTACTTTTTGCAAGACTGGGGGTGTTTTGCTTGCATTTTGCTTTTGCTCTTGCTCTTGCTTTTCTTTTTTTTTTGCGCTTTTTGAGGTTGACTGGAGGAAAGGAGGTGAGGTCATTCTCTTCATGGAATGGAGTCAAGTCCAGAAGGGTGCGCCTTTCTTTCATTGCGCGGGCATTGATCGTTGAATTTCTACGGGAATTCTATTTCTTACTCTAAGCTTTGCTAATAAAGTCTTTTGTTTTCCAAACAAGGTTATTTGTGAGTAGAAACAAGTCCACTTACTAATTGCATGTGTAGTTATATCTATATGACTGGCTGGTCATAGGAAATTGATATGCAAGTGACCCAAGCAGTTGATTTGGTCATCGGTTTTCACAAAATGGACAGATTCAACAGCTAACTTTTAAAATAGGCATAGCTTGAGCTATAAATATAGAGTTGTTCACGTCCACGAACACGGCATCAAATATGATCATGTTAGGCGACTGGGAGGTGTCGTCAAGAATGATTTTAGTACGCAAAGACGTCCAATTGACTCTGGTTCATGATTTATCATAATCTAATTGAGCTTATGGATGCTGTGCACAGAATCATCATACCAAGATACTCAGGTAGTTCCATTGTGAGGAATGTTTGTATTACATCCATGCCCAGGTGGCTTGGAACATATTGATCATGCCGCTTCAATACATCTATGGAGATGTACGTATGTACATAGATAGAAAGAAAAAAAGAATATATCCACAAGTGCATAAGTTTATAGATCGTGAAATAAAAGAGAGAGAGCAAGTAGTACAACAAAAATATATTCATCGCTAATCATTGCCCTACAAACCTTCAAACAGTTGCCGAAAGCCGGAGTGATGCTTCCGAAGTATCCATGTACAAACCAAAATATAATGATTGTAGTCGCATAAAGAATTAAGAAATTTCACTGCAGAGAATGTATTGAGAACATGCAGATTGAAAGGACAATTAGATTTCAATACTCTGATACCATAATTTGAGCTCTATTTCATATCATAGTCATTGTACTGTTGTATAGCTAGAACCTGAAGAACTGTCCCCCGTTCCCCCGATACCCTCGGGATGGTTCACGTGACACGGTATTCTAGCTCATTCTCCGATCTGGGGATGCAAATTTGCTTTGGCTTCATCTCTCTCCAGCTTTCTCCATCCTTTTTTCTCCCAACCCGTCTCCCTTTGTGTTGGGTTGTTTTCTTTATCTCCCTCTTCCTCTAATCCTTTTTTTTAATTTGTTTCCATAGCCATGCAGCGCGCTCTCTCTTCCCGGACTTCTGTCCTCTCCGCCGCTTCCAAGCGTGCCCCTTTCGCTCGCTCGACCCTGAACCTTCAGCAGCAGCGTTTTGCTCACAAGGTACGTTGGCTGATCAATTGATCGTGGACACATATTTTCGATAATTGGTTTGCGCGTTCCGTGCATTCCGATGCCGTTCTCAGTTCACTTAGCTAATAGCCACTAGGAGCTCAAGTTCGGTGTTGAGGCTCGTGCCAGCCTTCTCAAGGGTGTTGACACTCTCGCTAAGGCCGTTACCTCCACACTCGGTCCCAAGGGTCGCAACGTCCTCATCGACTCTCCCTACGGCTCCCCCAAGATCACCAAGGGTAAGGATTACAATTTGCAGGACATATGGCGGACAAAAAAAAGTGGACAAAGTAACTAACTATCATTAGATGGTGTAACTGTCGCCAAGGCCATTGTGCTCCAGGACAAGTTCGAGAATCTGGGTGCTCGCCTTCTCCAGGATGTTGCGTCCAAGACCAACGAGATTGCTGGTGACGGTACCACCACCGCGACCGTCCTTGCCCGTGCCATCTTCTCCGAGACCGTGAAGAACGTCGCCGCTGGCTGCAACCCCATGGACCTCCGCCGCGGCATCCAGGCTGCCGTTGAGGCCGTTGAGGAATACCTCAAGCAGAACACCCGTCCCATCACTACTGGTGAGGAGATTGCCCAGGTGGCTACCATCTCCGCCAACGGTGACACTCACGTCGGCAAGCTCATCTCTACCGCCATGGAGAAGGTTGGCAAGGAGGGTGTCATTACCGTGAAGGAGGGCAAGACCCTTGAGGACGAGCTTGAGGTTACTGAGGGTATGCGCTTCGACCGTGGCTACACCTCCCCCTACTTCATTACCGACCCCAAGTCCCAGAAGGTTGAGTTCGAGAAGCCCCTCATCCTGCTCTCCGAGAAGAAGATCTCCGCTGTCCAGGACATCCTCCCCGCCCTTGAGGCCTCCACCACCCTCCGCCGTCCCCTTGTCATCATCGCCGAGGACATCGAGGGCGAGGCTCTTGCCGTCTGCATCCTGAACAAGCTCCGTGGTCAGCTCCAGGTCGCTGCCGTCAAGGCTCCCGGCTTCGGTGACAACCGCAAGAGCATCCTTGGTGATCTCGCTATCCTCACCAACGGTACCGTGTTCACTGATGAGCTCGACATCAAGCTTGAGAAGCTCACCCCCGACATGCTCGGCTCCACCGGTGCCATCACCATCACCAAGGAGGACACCATCATCCTCAACGGTGAAGGCAGCAAGGACAACATCTCCCAGCGCTGCGAGCAGATCCGCGGTTTCATCGCTGACCCCACTACCTCCGAGTACGAGAAGGAGAAGCTCCAGGAGCGTCTTGCTAAGCTCTCCGGTGGTGTCGCCGTCATCAAGGTCGGTGGTTCTTCCGAGGTCGAGGTCGGTGAGAAGAAGGACCGTGTTGTTGACGCCCTGAACGCCACCCGCGCTGCCGTTGAGGAGGGTATCCTCCCCGGTGGTGGTACCGCTCTCCTCAAGGCCTCTGCCAACGGCCTTGACGGTCTCAAGCCCGCGAACTTCGACCAGCAGCTCGGTGTCAGCATCATCAAGAGTGCTATCACTCGCCCTGCCCGCACCATCGTTGAGAACGCCGGTCTCGAGGGCTCCGTCATCGTCGGCAAGCTGACTGATGAGTACGCCAAGGACTTCAACCGCGGCTTCGACAGCTCCACTAGCCAGTACGTTGACATGATCGCTTCCGGTATTGTCGATCCCCTGAAGGTTGTCCGCACCGCCCTGGTTGACGCCAGCGGTGTTGCCTCCCTCCTCGGTACCACCGAGGTTGCTATCGTCGATGCTCCCGAGGAGAAGGGCCCCGCCGCTCCTGGTGGTGGCATGGGTGGTATGGGTGGTATGGGTGGCATGGGTGGTGGCATGTTCTAAAGCCCCTCCGTCCCCGAAAAAATACCTCCCACGCACCTCTTTGCATCGTAGCCTGTTTTGATACTCGGATATTAGTGTAATGTCTTTTCTTTGTGTCTCTATTTTGGTGTTTTTTGTTTCCCATACCTGTATTCTTTTTGAACTGTTCTGATCTCTCCCCTCCTGGAACTTGACTGAAAAAAGATTCCTCTGTACTATATCATGGATTTCATCAATGAAGTTCTCTTTGATGCAATCTAACGTGTATTATTCCAATTCTCTCTTCACTGGTATTTATTCAGATCGGGAAAAGTATTATCCGTCTAAATTTGACAGTTGATCGGCTAGGGATCGACAATACTTCAAGATCCCCAAGATCCCCACGATTTAGAACTACTAAAATCTAATTTGTACTAGTACTTTTAAATATTGCTTCGATTGTATCACTCGGTTTATAGATCTCAAATTTGTCAAATATTCAGTACGATGTTTTCATATCATATTGCCTCGTATTTTCCCTAACCCATTAAACATTTTCATTGGCCTCTCGGGTCGGCTATCATTCCCAAGGGGTAAGCCACTTCAAGGTCTAGACTTAGATTGAAGCTATAACTCGGGAGGCAAATCACAACAATAGAAGAATGCAATGATCATAGGCCATTTGGTATGTCGTCTAATACAATAATAAATACAATAACAATAGGCTCACACTAAGAAAGTCAAGCGGGTGGGTACGGGGAACCTGTCTGTTTGAAACGTCTCTTCGACTTTCAACTTCTCGACGATTCAACTTCTTGTCTTAATTCTCTCGTGTCACCAGATTAACTCCGGCATTCCGGTTCTACGTTTGTCCCTTATTTTCCTTCCTTTTTTTTCTTTTTTTTTCTTTTTCACTGTACTTGCGGGGAAATACACGGCTTACCTCAACCATCACGGTACCTGGGTATGATCATATCATCCACCTGGCAGATTTGTTTACATTTACTAACTCTATTCCAGGATTTTGAATCAAAACCGTGGTCGCTGCCCATTATGGCAACCATGGTCGATGTTGTTCGACCGGCGCTGGTCAGCGATGCAGATCTTATGCAAGCACGAGCCGCCCTCCAACACCAACAGAGTCCCGAGATCTCCGTTCCCCGCGAATTCATATCCCAAATCGTTGAAGAACTCATTTACCGCCGCGATGCCCATTCCGCTATTGCTGAAATCGAACACGAATGCTCACATCTCCGTAAAGAGCTTCGAAAACATACCCACATAAATGAAGCATTTCAAAAGGAACTGCGGGAGATCGGCGAGATCATCACACAGGTCGCTCATGGTGACCTTTCACAACGGGCCCGCATGCATCCCCTGGAGATGTCGCCCGATATCGCGACCTTTAAACAGACGATCAATACCATGATGGATCAGTTACAAGTCTTCAGTCAAGAAGTATCCAAGGTTGCCAGAGAAGTCGGCACGGAGGGTGTGCTGGGTGGCCAGGCAAAGATTGAAGGAATTCAGGGAATCTGGCATGAGTTGACGGTTAACGTGAATGCCATGGCCAATAACCTCACAACACAGGTCCGAGATATCACGACGGTGACGACGGCAGTTGCCAAGGGCGACTTGCAGCGCAAGGTGCAGGCCGATTGCAAGGGTGAGATTTTGCTGTTGAAAAACATCATCAACTCTATGGTTGATCAGCTACGGGAATTCGCGTTCGAAGTTAGTCGTGTCGCTCGCGAAGTCGGGTCAGATGGTGTGCTGGGAGGTCAGGCTGTGGTTCACGGCGCGGAGGGCACCTGGAAGAACCTCACAGACAATGTGAATCGCATGGCGTCGAATCTTACGCAGCAGGTCCGCGAAATCGCCGACGTGACCACCGCTGTCGCACGTGGCGATCTTACGAAGAAAGTGACCGCAGATGTTAAGGGCGAGATCTTGGATCTGAAGCTTACGATCAATGCGATGGTCGACCGACTGAATCAGTTTGCCTTCGAGGTCAGCCGGGTCGCGCGGGAAGTAGGAACCGATGGCACACTGGGCGGACAAGCACAAGTCGAAAATGTTGAAGGTCGCTGGCGAGATCTGACAGATAATGTCAACACCATGGCCCAGAACCTTACATTACAAGTTCGGCAAATCTCAAACGTGACCCAGGCCATTGCGCGCGGTGATCTCAGTACCAAAATTGAGGTCCACGCCCAGGGTGAAATCTTGACACTCAAAGAAACAATTAATAGCATGGTAGATGGGCTGGGGGGATTCGCACAAGAACTCAAAGGTGTAGCGAGAGATGTTGGTGTCCGGGGTAAACTCGGCGGACAGGCGAATGTTGCGGGGTCCCATGGAATCTGGAGATCGATTAGTGAAGATGTCAACACGATGGCGGACAACCTGACCTCCCAAGTCCGTGCTTTTGGTGAAATTACCGAGGCAGCGATGAGTGGCGATTTCACCAAGTTGATTACCGTCTCTGCCTCTGGAGAAATGGACGATTTGAAACAAAAGATCAATAAGATGATATCAAGTCTGCGCGACAGCATCCAGCGCAACACCGCTGCCCGTGAAGCGGCAGAGTTGGCAAACCGCAGCAAGTCTGAATTTTTAGCTAATATGAGGTGCGTAAATTTCTTCGTAGGGCCGTTCCGGATTTGTGTTTGTCGGATTGTGCTGATAAGAAAATAGCCATGAGATCAGAACCCCAATGAATGGAATTATTGGACTCTCGAGTCTTGCGCTGGACACTGACGAACTCCAGGCTCCCGTGAGAGAGACTCTGAATATGGTCCACAACCTTGCAATCAGCCTTTTGACAATTATCGACGACATCCTCGACATTTCTAAAATTGAGGCCAATCATATGATGATAGAGAAGACGCCCTTCAGCCTTGGTTCAACTGTATTTAGCGTGTTGAAGGCCCTTTCGGTGGAAACCAACGAGAAGGCATTGGGTCTGGTCTATACAGTCGAAGGGGAAGTCCCCGACTACTTGGTTGGAGATGCATATCGGCTACGACAGGTGATGCTGAACCTGGTTGGAAATGCAGTCAAGTTCACCGATCATGGCGATATCAAAGTCGAGATCAAACACTTCATAGACAACAAGTGTGCTTCAGATGAGACAGCGTTCCAATTCTCCGTTTCGGATCCTGGCATCGGCATTGAAGAAAGCAAACTCGGGTTGATCTTCGACAAGTTTCAACAAGCAGACGGATCCATGACTCGTCGCTTTGGCGGAACAGGTCTAGGCCTTGCAATTTCGAAACGGCTCGTCTCACTAATGGGCGGCGATATCTGGGTCACCTCGCATGTAGGCCAGGGAAGCACATTTTCATTCACATGCAGAGTGAAGCTCGCCCAGCCCCCACCGAGCTTTGCGGATCAAATTCTCCCCCATCGTGAGAGACGCGTTTTGTTCTTTGATCACGGGCTCACACGAACCTTCCCGGTCGCTGCGGTGCTAAAAGAGCTCGGCCTAGACCCCGTTATCGTCACAGAGGAGCAGCTTGAATGCGGGCAGTTCCAAAGTGACTGGGGATGCACTTTCGACGCCATCCTCATCGAAAACCTGGAAATAGCAGCAAAGGTCCGAGCTTGCGCAAGCCTCCAGCCCATCCCACTAGTCATCGCCGCACACACTGTCTCTATAGCGCTCCGAGCTGCCGGAGAACTCGGCATCACGTCCTACATTACAGTGCCCTGCCGCCCCATCGACCTATGGCACGGAATTCTCCCCGCGCTGGGCAACCGCGCAACCAGCACGCCATCCGGATACACACGCTCGCTAGCAATCCTCCTAGCAGAAGACAACGACGTGAATCAAAAAGTCGCCGTACGCATCCTCGAAAAGTTCAACCATAACGTCACTGTTGTAGAAAATGGCTTCCAGGCTGTGAAAGAGTTTAAACAGCATCGCTATGATGTGATCCTCATGGACGTCCAGATGCCTGTTATGGGTGGGTTTGAGGCAACGGCCAATATCAGACAATATGAGAAGATAAACGGGATTCCGCACACGCCAATCGTGGCTCTAACGGCGCATGCTATGATTGGGGATCGTGACAAGTGCATACAAGCCGGCATGGATGACTATATGTCCAAGCCTTTGGATTCGGCCCGCATGATGCAGACGATCATGAAATGCTCCGCTATGAACATTACTTCTCTGCCTGCTATTGAAGGCTGAACGTCAAGTACTGCACCATACAAGATACGTGAATCCACATTGGCTTTGCGGTCGATTTTTCTCCTCTCGATTATTCTTTTTACCATCCTACCCCTACAGCTGCAGCTGTACATCAGTCCTGGCCGCCGACTTCTACTTCCATTCATTTCGTTTCTATACTATATTGGTCCGAAACAGCATTTTCTTGTTCGGGAATTATTTCCTCCCTTTTGTTTAATCCCGCAAACTTCAGACATCTGAAGTCTTGCTCATGGCTCGAAAATTTGCGATCAACTCTCTTATTACCTGGATTTTTACGCATCTTCAAATACCCCACCAGTCGAACAATCTGTTATGTTTTTTAAGAAATACAATTTCTTTTTCTGTTCCGGTGTTGACCTTGCCTTTCCGCAGTACTACATAAAGGTAAATCATGCCTCATGGCGTTCATGGTTCATAAGTATATATTATCTGTTGTCGCTAGGGTTTTATATATGTCTTCTAGTACACAAATCTTGGAATCCATATCAAAACTCCTCCTCAATAACATTAGAGTACAAATTAGTATGTATATACTACCTAGATGCGAAGACAACGCGAATCCCTTTAAAATGCATCAGCGCAATCAAAATGTACAGTCCATTAAACTTCCCCATCAAGTTCCACCTCATGCTTCACCCCATATTTTCCCTTCTTAGATTCCTTTTCCTTCTCTCGCTTCCCGACAAAAAGGCTATTTTCCTGCCACCGCTGCCAGATATCCTCATCAAGCTGCAGATTCCTGCGCCCATAGCCAAGGTACTCATCAAGACGTTTGCGCATCTCTGAGTCCTCAGGCACGACAATAGCTGGCATTTTACCCGCTATTGAATCCCAGTGTAGGAATGTTCGAATTGGATCTAGAACAAACTCTTTCCAAAAGCCCGCTGTGATCTTGTGCGTCTTCGAGACTATTTCGCGGAGGCTTTCACTGAATGCTAGTAATAGTGAGAGGAAGATTATTGCGAAAGAGGAGGGAGCTGTGGAAGTTAGTTTTAATATCCTGGATCAAGCTGTGTGTTAATGGATTCAAACATACCAGCAATTTCAAACATCTGACCTAGCGTTGGATTCGTCGGCTCGCCACTCCATTCCCGGGCGTTGATTCCAAACAGGGAAGTGAAGAACGACAGCGGCAGGAAGCTGGGGGATTATTAGATTTTTCTTTCTATATCGTGCACAAAGACAAGGGGTATGTGGACGTACACAACACTGAATATGGTGAACACCATCACCGCTCGAGACTGGGTCTGGGTGACCTCGGCCTGCCACCTAGCCATTTTGGCTTCATCGACGTTTGCCTGCTTCTGCTTTAGATCTAGCAGGGTTTCAACCTGATGGGTTAGTATGATGCAGTTATACTTCAAGAAAACGGGGAAGTAAACATACTGCCTTCTGTGTCATGTGGCTGTTCTCCTTCATTTCACTGATTTGAGTTCGATATACCTCAATCCGATCTTGCGCTATATCAAGAAATGACTTTCCATATCCTCTATTGTCGAAATATTTGACCATACTTTGGATCACGGTGTCTTGTTTATCGAGCAGTTTAAGAATGGTGCTTAGTTCGTCCTCGATGTCGCGAAGCTCAAGTAGAACCGATAGATCTTCACGATTCCGGCGGGCAGCCTGGCGCTCTCGGTGGTCACGCTGGGCTGCTGTCATTATTTTCCCATCTTTCGTGCGGTCGTGGTCCGCCGGGCGATTGGTGAAGCCTCTGTTGCGGAAACGTTTGAAGGATTTTGTGACGGATTCGGTCTGCCTTTATTAACAATGTTTCACGGGACGATGGAAACAAACGTCTTACCAAAATGCTGATTGACTCTTCGAATATCCGCAAGACCTGTAGGTCATGATGTAAGGTCTTGTCCAAAAGAACAGTTGTAGCATGCAACATAATCAGCGCAGCCAAATCACCGGCGGTCTCGAAGCGACGTGCCAAATCCCCATTCAACTCATTGTAGATACTGCTATGCAGATTAGACTGCTCAAACAACTTCCCTTCGGAGGTAGTAGCCTCTTGATTGGGGAAGAAAGTAACAACAGTCTTCTGATCAACAATCCAAAGCCAGAGCTGATCAACCATCAGCACATTCCCATCCATAAACTCGCCATGGTCCGAATTATCCGGATCATCCTGCGTAGACTGCAGATAGTCTTTCAGCTGCGCGTCAATAAGTGCAGGTCTGCGAGTGCGCTTCCATAGCATCTGGTCATCATCGCGGGCAACAGTCGAGCGCAGATTCGGATATCCGTATTGATCCAATGTGCGGCGGAAGTGCACTGGTGGCTCGCAGCCAAGATAGGTCCAGATAAGCTGGGCTTCTAGGCTTGCTTTGGAGATGCGGCCTGGTACGGGTCTGGACCGGCCTTGGTGCAGTCGGTCTTCAACTACTTTCCGCCGTTGGATGAGGTTGCGGTATGTGTCCCAGTGGAGCTATGTGTGTGTCAGTTCGTGGAAGGAAGAGGGCATGTGGTTAGTTTTACTAACGTAGGGAGCCTGCGATATATATGTTAGCGGTGCTTGTAGCGTGAAAGAATAATATAAGATACACACGTATAAAGCGAGCTGGGGGTCGTCCGAAAGGCTGGGTGTACCTTGCGAAGTGTCCATCTGCCTCGAATGAATACATGCAGGCTTAACAAATCGTGCATGAGGTTCGAGGTGACGAGCCCTGTTTAATCGGAGATACCAATTTTCGTCATTTATAAATTTTCTAACACTAGAACATAATCAGCACCGCAGAACATATCGTTGGGTCAAAGAGTGTTCTACAAATTTGGTTCTTGAGTATCCTGGCATGCTCGGCGAATTACCTGCGATACCCAACCGGTGTGAGTATAAGGCACATGGATCCACATGAGTTTCTCGGTATCAGGCTCAGGTCTATCAAAACGGGGAACTGCTCTAGGCACATCCGATGTCTCAGTATCCTGGCTGATACGGTCCCGAGTCGACTTGGGAATGGACAGAAATGCCGACTGTACTGGCTGCGAGGTAGAGCTCCTGCTGATAATGAGCTTCACTTTCTAACCAAGTGCACGAGGAAGATTGCTTACGAGGGTGGTCGCGAGCTACTTCCCTGAGAGCTGCTTTCGGAGGCACTCCGTCGGTGAGACCGCTTGAGAGGAATTAAACCTAGGGCTTTCGAAATTGAATACTTTTTTTCTCCTCCTGCGGTGGCGGTGGGCTTTCACTTGGCGGGCTATTGAAGTATCCATCCATATCTGCTTCAGTGATGTGAATCCGTGGAGACGGACCGGATGCATCTTCGAAGCTGGGACGGTATGGCAAAGGAGGTCGCAAAGGCCGTGGCTTCTCTGGAACAGGCACTTCATGATGGTCGTCAGGATCTGGATGAGAGGCGATGTAAGAAGAACGTGGGCTATCAAAACTGCTAATCGATGAATCGTCCAAGCCACTAGGCTGGGTTCGTCCCAGTCTCTCTCGAAGGCACGTCGGCGCTCCCCGAGCGAGGTAATCTTCTAAAGTCACTTTAGTTGACCACAGCTTCAAAGGACTTTCGTCGCTAACACCTAGTGCGGTGTCCTCGAAAAAGCCATTGATTTGCACCATGACTTTCTGCTCCACGCCCAAGGGCGTATCTTCGCGTTTTGATAATTCAACAGCAATACCAACGGCATCATGTAGTTCGTTCAAAAATTTCTCGCGTGTTGAGTCCTGACCGTGAAAGGTTGCAGTTCCCGCGTGGTCCGTTGCCATAGGCAGTTCTCGTTCGTGTTCAATGTCGAGTAATCCCGAGCGAATCGAAGTAATTGGGACATGAAACTCCAAGAGGTTGTTTGTTTCGGCGTCAATCACATGCATAGTTGAGTCAACGGTCTCTAGGAAAGACCATATTCTCATGTCTGCGGAAAGAGTCTTGAACTGATTAGATAGATGCCATAGTCGCTCCTGGCGAGGACGGAATTGCTTTCTGAGCGCGGCAGGAGTCTCACGCTCCAGGTGCAACAGATGGCGAATGCTAGCAGCATACTCATCTGCCGAGAGATAAGTTGAACCTTGGTGAGGAGTGGCAAAGAAAGCGATCCCATGGCAGCTGGATAGAATGGACTGGTTCGGCTCGGCCCGCGATGCTAGGGCCAGGGCTGCTTTGACAACGAGACCTCCAGTACTATGACAGAAGAAGAATATAGGACGTCGGGGTGGCTGTGATAATTTAGCAAATGTATACAGATGGTAGGCAAAGAAAAAAGAGATGAATTTACATGATGCTTCCTCTCACTCAGTAGTTGGTTCAATAATCGTTGACCTAACGTATCGATTTTATCATCCCCGAGCTCTCCGTAGCTATACAGGAGTACTCGTGCTTTGGGTATATGTTGCAGTAGATGCGTATCTAGCCAGGATGATCGAGCACCGTGTTCTGTCCATATCTTTCTATGATGCGCACCAACAGGTGGAACAGCGACAATACTGCGGAATGTGTCAGAACAACATATGAATATTTTGGATGAACGTACTCGACATTAGTATCTATTGCAACAGCAACGGGCTCAAATCTAGGCAGCTTTTGTTCCACGGGCGGTCGTGAAGTCATGTTGAGTCAAGTTGCATTTATTTAATTCAAGCGGGGGAATACTTTGGGGGCCATGGGACATTTAAATCACACGGATTTCAGCCTCTTCATGTTGCCTGGATGATCATCTGCGCCCCGATATCATTCACCCACTTGCCCATATTTGCCCGTTGATCACTTACAGGGGCTGTGTCATGAGTCAAAACAGAGATATATTACATTGTCAAATAATGTCGGGGAGATTTTCGTTATGTACATAGAAAATAAGAAATGCTCCCAAAATTGGTTCCAAAGCTAATGCACACACTCTATGACTCAAAGTCATGATCATAAGAGAAAAAGAAGAGAACGCCCAATTAGAGGTGAGAGGGAACGATCGCAAGATCGCATGCAGTATAATACAAGAATTAAGCGTCATGTCGCCGTCCGTTCACCTCCCGCGCCATACGCTTGCCAAGTTCATAGGTTGAAATCATGATGGCGCAGGCTGGGGCAACTTTAAGACATCGTGCTGTCCAACCACGGAATAGACCTGCGGTACCTTCTTCACGGAAAATGTGCATGAGGAATTTTGGCAGAGAGAGCTGCTCTGGCGCCAAGACGCCCGGGGGTAGCGCCGTGCGGGGAGGGGGGCCTGTGGGCACATGGTCGTCCATATGTCGGAATACTTGCTGACGCGTTTTGCCAACATCAAACGGTGTAGTAACAAGCGCCGCCAAAGATCCAGAGACGGCTCCAGATGTAAAGCTATCGAGGAAAGCCTGGGTTGTTGTTTCTTCCTCTGGTCCTGCGAGATGCTGGGCCTGCTTGCGGGTCGCGATCAAAACCTTCTTCACTTCCTCGTATCCCCACCAATAAAGACCCGAGAAGGGGACATCGCGCCACATGGTAAGAGTGAACCCCCGCCAGAGTGAACTGTAACCTTTCGCCTGAGTCATGTGATAAAGATCTTGAATAGTGTTCTTGAAATGATTCGCACCCGTCCCCGGCGTCGCTTGAAGTCTAGTGCGGAACATCTCGAGCGGACTGGTTGCGGCAGCGGCTGCGACTCGGGCAACGGAGCCTGCGATCAAGGGCGCATAGCCCGCGGGAACGCGTTGTTTGATGATACTCCGGTCGTCTGTGCGCAGCCAGTCGTATCCAGCAAAATAAATGACATTTGCTGGGATTCCCATCATCAGAGTTGGGCTCAGCCCTCGCCACAGTGTCAGTGTTCCTTCATTGCGCGCGATCTTCCGTAGCCCGTCTAAAGTCGATGTGAATGTTCGTCGCTGTGATTCCTCGACCGCACAATCGATCGCTGGGTGTGGATGTGTTCCAACTGCAGCAGCCTGAGGCCCTAGCATGCAGATCTGCGCATCATTTCCAACCCAGAAGACTTCGCGACAGCAGGAAGTTATGCCGAGGCTAGGAGGGAGGTTTTTCAAGGTTTGTGTGGTATGGGATGTGAATGGTGAGGTATTTTGGATTTGGGATTGCGACTGTAAACGGACCCGTACAACATCCAAGGGTGTTACTAAAGACGTTAATGTTGAATCAAGCAACCGGGGTGCTTTGACTCACCTAGTAATCCAGTCAAAATATTGCCGGCGGTCGCAGATATCATCCGCTGATACGGAGTGATATCGTCAACCGGGGCTGGGGCAGGGGTATTGGGTGCTGGATCAGTGGTTGTCCCTGAGGTAGCCATTGTTGAATCGTCAAACTGTGACGTCCATGACGTCCCTAAGGGAGAGTTGACTTCTGTACTGAATTCGTCGCCAGATTGACTGGGAGATGCGAAACTCAACCCGGTCGGCATTCAGTTAATTTGTAGAGTAACAAGATAAAAAGACAACGAAACAGTCGCCTTCAAATAGTTACAAGCGGAAGAAGGAAAGGAAGTTTTTCGGGGATTGGCGGGTGGCGGAAGGGCGGAGATAAGCCTTCGAGCGAACTCCAGGGTTGTTCAGCAACTTGATTTCTACAACTTCCAGTCAGATTTTCAACAAAACTTCAATGGCGCTGGTGATTTTAGGATAGTGGTGCCATCTTCATTTGATCTCTCTTTTCACTTCCTAAGTGGGCTTATCAATCTGATCTCCGAGGTCGGACCCCCCCCCCCCCCCCCCGCCATGGAAGACAACGCCGAGCTCGAGTCCTTTCGCCGACAGTGGCGCGAGGAGGTGAGTCGTCGATCAAGACCCAAGGTTACCCCTCTAGCTCCGACACCGACTGCCCCGCCTTCGTCTCGTCTTCCGCCAACACGCCATGAGGCCTCTCACCGCAATGAGGTTGAGGAGGAGGGTCCCCCTCTGGCTTCCTTCGACCCAGATGAGCTGGCCCAACAAGTCGGGGAGCTGACTGTGGAACAAGCACCAGATGATTTTTCACGTCGAGAGGTAGCAGAACCAACATCTGCTTTGGAACATTTCGAACGAGGAGTTGAGAAGGAGGCTGAGGGCAACTTAGGAGACAGTCTCTCACATTACCGCAAAGCATACCGAGTGAGTTCCATCACCATCCGGCGCCATTGTCATTCCAAGCTTATTGAAATCTAGCTGGATTCTGCCGTCGACAAATCTTACCGGACCAAGCACTATGCCCACGTATGGAACAGACCGAATCAACCCGCGCCCACACCTGCAGCGACAACCCAGCAACAGGCTGTAGAGGAGGCGAAGATCGTACCAACACCTGAGCTTATTGCATCCTTTGCACACCTTCCAATTCCGCAGGCGGACCCACTAATTGAGAATACACCTCCGCCACCATGTCCAATTGCTACCTTACCATCGGAGGTGATAGCTGAAATACTGCGGCATGTGGCCCTGGACGATCCTTCGGCATTTGGCCGAATGGCGTTGGTATGTAAGCGGATGGCCTACCACTTTGCACATGAGCAGCAAATTTGGAGGCGAATATGTCAAGCCCCAGAGTTTGGCTTCCAGGGGATGCATTATGATTTTGCATGCGACTTGAATGGGCTTCCAATCTACACCCTTGGTTCACGATACACCCCATTTCCCAAGGACGAACCGGCGGAAATCCCCAAGCCTCTGTCGTCCTGGAGCCAAGTGTTCCAAACCCTTCCTCGAATTCGGTATACGGGCATCTACATTAGCACAGTAAATTACACCCGGCCTGGTGCTACCGCTGCCTACTCCAATGTCTCGTGGAACAGCCCCATCCATATCGTGACTTACTACCGCTACTTGCGGTTCTATCCAGATGGATCAGTCGTTTCACTGCTCACTTCAACCGAGCCAGTCGACGTGGTCCCTTACATCAGCAAGGAGAACGTGCTCGCCGCGCACACTCCGGCGCACAAAAAGCACCAACTCCACCCCTCTGATCAGGGCCATTTATTATCTGGAGCTGCTGATCCCGTGCCAGCCGTTGCCATGAACACATTGAAATATGGCCTTCGAGGCCGGTGGCACTTAGCTTCTCCTGCCGACGCGTCTGAACCCTCGACTGAGGCCTGGAAACCGGAGTCGGGATCTGATCAAAAATCACTTCTGTCCGACGAGCGAGATATCGTTATCGAGACAGAAGGCGTAGACCCGAAGTATATTTACACCATGCATCTGTCTTTGCGTTCTTCGACGGTTCCTAAAGCTGCTCAGGCTGGACCAGCTCCTCCTAACCCATCAAAGAATACGAAGCTGATATGGAAGGGATTTTGGAGCTACAATAGATTGACTGATGACTGGGGCGAGTTCGGCCTCCGAAATGATAGAGCATTTGTGTTCCGCCGTGTGCGCGGTTGGGGACTAGAGTGAAATGATTGATGACTTGTTATGTGAATAGATACAATACAAATAAAGAGATTTGTGATATATGATATAGTCTATCTGGTATGCAGAGGTGTGAAAAGAGGTGTTAAAAGAAGGCAGGAGTTGGAGATTATGCCTTACCTAGGTAGAGTTTTATCTGTATGGATGCATCTTAGACTGTCATCAATCCTAAAAGAACAAATGCATTTGACCATAGCTGCTATACATTCGCACACTATCAAGATCAACACATCAGTCGATGGATGGATGCGACGCAGACTCTGAAAAGATCATATATCCAAATTTCTCAAAATTTTAGCAGAGCCTGAGTGAATTGAACTATTACACAATAATCCGCTTGTTTAAAGTTTGATCTGCCATCATTTCATTGTAGGAGCTTGTTACTATCATGTTTCTACGTCGACATGCGTTCATCTCTCATGCTTTGCAAACGCCTTTATGCTTTTTCCAATCAGCCTTCTGGCAGTCCCTCGAGCAGTACTTAGCTTCATGACAGCGCGAGCAGGTCATTAAATCCAAACCATCCGGCTGGGCGTGCTTGCCACAGATCAGGCAACTGTCTTTCTTTTGGACAGGCGCATGTTTGGCAGGGCCGAAGGAAGATTGATCGAGGGGATCATCAACAAGTGCCGAGGGGAACGAGGGAGATACCGCAACTCGAACAGCATATTTGGCAAGATCCTTCCATCCTGGGAAGTTGGGCATAAAATCGGCAGGCAATTTGCCCTCGCCGCACGAGCACAGGATCTTTTCGCCGAATTTGGTAGACAGTGGAAGTTTACCGGCGGAAATGTACTCACAGCCGGGGTTGTGAGACCAAGGTCGGCAGCGTTCCGTCCAGGCAGGAAGGGCTTCCTTCCAAATTTGCAGCTCGGCTTTGGGGGTTCTAATGGCCTTGGGGGCATGACTGCTTTTTGACATCGCTTGCAACGAGGGCAAAATGCGGGGCATGAGGTCAAGAGTTAATGGAAGTACTGCAGCATCCAACACAGCTGTGCGGTTGGAAAGGTCGAGTCGCATTCTTGACACGAAAAATATCATCTGCACTCCCTGTTCTTCAGCACAGTCGATGGCAAACACGGATGCCTTCTGCTTTTGTATTCCACTGAATCCTATGAACATGTGAAAGAGGGAGTCTTTGAATTCCACTCTGGCTCGTAGGCTCGGCGATGCCGGTAGTGAAGGGTTGAACTTCAGGGCACGTTCTTGTGCCGACCACATTGTTGGCAGATGATACTGGAGCCACTTCAGACGCACAGATGAGGAGTTGGTAACATCCATAGCTGGAAGAGAGGAAATGTTGAGGCGAGGCATGTTCCAAGGAGCAGGGACTCCAGAATCCAAAAATACCGGGTACATGAACGACTGGAAGGTTGACCAGTGGTTCAGTTTGGCAACGTCCGCCACGAGCTCAAGGTAGGACGATTTGCGTGCAATTTTAATTTTGACGGAGGACTCCAAGACTGGAACAGGGAAGTTGATTTGATAGGTTGGTCCACGTTCGAGAGATAGAGTGTAGTTGAACGGCGATTGCATAGAGCGCGAGACATTGCTTCCTTCTCTCAACTCGACCTTTGACTCCTCAGACAGAATCTGGACGTGGCTAGTGAAGGATGAAATATGGCCAGAATTCTTGTCCACGGTAGCAGTGACCTTTGTCGCTGAGTTCTCTTCAAAGTCATGTTCGTTCTTGGTAGTTCCTGGAGCAAAACCACAGATAGAGATGACTTTGCTTTGATGTGGCATATTTTTCGTGACGTAAACATTTCCAGCATTTTTCTGCTCTGTGGTGAAGATGCTCAGGTTAGGCCCCAATCTTTTAGCAAAGGCAGCCACTGTGTGAGGAGAATGTGGAATAGCTAGCGATACGGTAGCAGTTTGTGGCTCTTGGAGTAGAATCCAGCTTGGAACGTAGAATGAAACGAACATCGATGACTTCCCAGACCATCCCAGTTGATCTTCTTCAATTTTCAGCTCAAATGAGTCGCTGTGCTGAACACCTACAGTAGTCAATTTTCCAAACCCAATCTGGGTGGCAGCGAACATATTTTGCCATTGATTGTCTGCTTGAGAGGAGGATTGTAGAACGCCTTGGAGCGGCGGGGTAAGACCTATCTCAATCGACTCTTTGATAACCAGGTCAAGTTCATATCTTGGGACCTCAAGTGTAACACTGACAACGGCTGGAATGTTCTGCCATTGCTTTAGAGTCCCGGCGCATTGGTGATCAACAGAACTGCTCGGTGGGGTTTTCAAAAAACCAGCAGAATAAAGACCCATCATGTGCATCCAAAGATTCAGCTCTTGCATGTAAGTATTGGCTAATGCAAGACTGTTATCTTCATCCATATGTTGCAAGAACGCTTCCATTGTTTCATTCCAGTTGGTTTCAGTCCGCGACTTCACCAGACAAAGCAGAGCGACAAAGCTCGCCCGGTGATAAGTTGGTAGTGTTGGCCTTTTAGTGCCCTGGGCTGCCAACCTGGCGAGTAGCTGTGTGACATCCTCGTCGGCGAACATCTTTGTAAAGATTTTATACAGAGCATGACCCAGGTGTGCAGAATCAAAGTGAATGAGCACCAATGAATTGGATACTGTGCTGGTAGGATTCAACGGCCTTTTCCATGCGATTCTTGCGAATAGTTGTCCAGCTCTGTTTGATTCTGTCATACTTTGACATATTGCTTCGTCTCCCGAGGAGACAGGCGCCGTGTTCGTTGCAACCTCGACAGGGGTCAGGCCGAGGAGCGAGGAAACGGTAGTCAAGTCTCCGCACAGCATGTTGTCCAAGATCTCCTTGTGGCTTTCTTGAGTCCGAACGAGTTTCTCTGAGTACAAGGTAGCTGAAAAGTGACTGCGCAGGAGTGGTGAAGTAGCAACCAGAAGATTCAGCGCTCCAAGATGATCCAGCAGGTTAGATGTGTCGATGACATCAAACATACACGGTGCAGAGCCACCCAGATAGTCCTCATGGTTCAATTCCAGCGGTTCAAAGTGATAACGATCACGATACCAATTGGCGTGCCTTGACGAACCGGTGGCCTTAACATGTTGAAGCGTGTATGCGAACGCCACCGCATCTCCTACAAAGAATCGTAGCTTCACCAAACTAGCAACTGAATACGCCCTAAACGACGTCATCCAGGAACTGAATTCCTTTTGTGCAGTTTGCACGATCTCATGTGCCGTCGGTCTCTTGGAAGAATCGCTCGATAGCGGCGACGTCGATTCAATTGGAACGTAGGAAACACCGAGATGGAATCCCAACAGCGGGTCGGTGCCGTAATGTAAAAACATGTTCCCATCCTGGGGCGCGAACATGGGGTTGTATTCCACGGCACGCGACCGAGCCGCTGCATCAGTGTCGGTTGTACCGAAATGCCAATAGTCTCTGTACAAACCACCAATGTCGGGAATGGCTTCCAAGCAGGCTGGGGCAGCAGCACGGATGCCTGTTATCACGCTTGTATCCTTGCCTCCGTCAAGTCCGGTGACTGACTTCATGTATTCTCGAGACTTTTTCATGCCAGAATCAACCTTCATCTTGTAGCTGCGAAGAGCAGCACCTTCCCTCTTCGTCCCGTAGAAGCGCCACATTTCGCGTACCCGTTCAAGGGAGACGCTGTCGCAAATTTTAACACATTTTCCATATTGACTGGCGTGCCACAAATCAAGCGAAGCTGATGAAGACAACAGTTTGTCTGTCTGGCTCCGTAATAGATCAAGCGAACTTTGGTCGATCCGAAAGTGATAAAACAAATTCCAGATTGTGTTTTCTTTGACGCCATCAACATCATCTAAAATCAGAGAGAGCAAGATAATATTGCGAGCTGTTTTCGATCTAGATCAGTATCAACACTGAAAAGGAAGCCCGTCTCCGTACCAATCACAGCAGTGTCCACATCGCAGCAGGTGACATCCAATGGAAGTCTGTCGCGAGATTCCTGCTCATTTTGAATGGTGAATAGAATATGACGAACATCTCCACAACCGAGAAGAAGTATGTCGGCTTTTTTGTTCGATGGCAAATCTTGAGTCAGAGAGACAGCAGGGGTGTTTCCGACAGGATAAAAGAACTGGACCAAGTTGGCAATCTGCGGTGCCAACATTTTGACAGCTTTGAAAAGTCAGACAGGATATTATCCCCGTGTCTCAGGTTATGATAGAACTATGCCCAGTTTCGATCATGAGTGGCTTAGAAGAAGAAGAAAACAGGCGAAGATGGTGATGCGTGAAGAATCAAAGGTGGTCCCCCGCCAGTGGGGCGGTGTTTATGCTCCGAACAGATCTTTTTGATCTCTAGACTCCAAGCATTTTTCGAAAACAATTGAATATGAAGTTTAATAAGGCTTCATTCTATTATCCCTCTATCCAAGTATAAGCTAGTTCATGGTTATTTTTAGCTATGCGGGGGATAGGTACCCAGGCCTTCGTGCACCGTGGGGGCCCTAACCTTTAAGTTAATAGCTTGTATCTTTGTAAGCATCTCTCTTTATTCATGAAAGGAAGGGCAATATATCTAGATCGAACTCTGGCCATATTTGGTATATATTGTAGCTGCACTGTAGATTAATTTGGTGTGTTTCTAGCAGTGAGTGTTTTTTTGGCTGTAAGACACGTCAGATTTATATAGATGCAACTTAACACCCAAAGGAAAACGACATAGATGTGTCTCAAGCTCCTGATCAAAGCCCATATACGAAGGTGCACAGCGGCCAAGGGAAAATGCTGCCTGAACATATGGCTAATATTGACTGCTAGGTGTTTCCTTCGCTCCGTACGGCGTACTGTAACGATCAACAAAATCAGGATCCGTTGTATCTCTTTTTATATCTCCTTTTACGCCTCTTTGTTAGCCTGACGCCCGGCCGCTATGCACCTTCGCATCCATGGAGATATTGTTGCTTTATTGATCCTAGTTCCGATGATCGTGCATCTAGGCCCCGGCGGGCTTTCTCACGAAAGGCCAGGCCAATTCGTTACAACTTATGGGGACATCACGATTTGACATATTGGTAAACTTACAATGGTTGCCTGAAAACAATAAACAAGCAAACCTTCTTTATACGTAAGAGGATGGATATCCCCGGAGATCTCCCTCAGAGAATGTTGTGCCTTCAACCACTAGTTCACTATATAAGATGATGGGGTCGGCCAAGGAGCATAATATCATGAGCTATACTGAGGTTTGCCTTCATTTATATGACAAGCGTTCGTTGCTTGATGTGCAAAGTCACTAGTATTATCGTATTCACTCGCATATAGCCACACATGTTCGAATATTAGTGCTATACTGTGACCAGGGATTATCCTGCCACACAGAGGTGAGGATCTTTTTCATCATAAGTCTCTTTGGAATGGAGATTTGCCATTGATGGTCTGGTTTGATTTTGAATAGCATGTGCCGACCCGATGTAGTTTTATTTGATGCATTTAAGGATTAACACGAATATTGTGCTGCATCACGCAAGTAATCACATTCACCAGTTGATCGCGCCTGGGTGCGTTCTGTCGTCCTTCGTACTTGCGGTCTAATGAGCTGCCAGCAAGCACTTGAAGGCCCATTTTGAGCTGTGATTAGCTTGTCAATGCTACATGATGGGGTGGTGGGTTAGCTGTAAATAACTTTTTGAAATAAACGTACCCGAGATCGCCCAGGTGCCCGTGCGGTACTTTTGCGACGATGAACCTGGATCGTGGGATAGTGCCAGTAGATTCAAATATCAGTGGACCCCTGTCAAGGCTACGCTCCAACCTACTGCTGATAAATCGTATTGATATCAGAAATTTCAAATTGATTTGTGGGCTTTTGCGCTCTGACCAGGGGAAAAGGGGGAAAGGGGCATGCGAAGTAGCGAACCATAAGCCTATTTGCGAACAATGTAACCATCTAATCCAATTCTAATGGATACATCAAAATAAAGATCCCGGTAATGGGGTTCATAACCCAAAGGTCAATAGGCTGTCGATCCCCGAACGTCAAGCGAACCTTGAACCTATTCGAACTACATTTCTGCTGCACGATTGCATCACCGGCCAGATACCGATCCCGATCTCGTGGGATTTAGCCGCAATTCATCCATCGATCGATCTGAATCTCTTTTTGTTCTTTGTGACCTACCATATTGTCTTTGTCTTTTGTCGCACTTTGATCATTGTATTCGCTGTCGGCTCTCGTACTGACAGAAGGCCGCGGGGAGTCGATCATTCGATGCATCACCCTTAATGAGAATCTATAGGAAAAGGTTTCCGTCTATTAAAACGCAGTATGTTTCCTGTCTTGCGGTCCAGGTATTCTTCCTGTTCGTCACTTAGAGACAATGGCGCAAATAGATCTCCACGCCGGCCTCACCAGCCCCGATGCGGAATCCTTGCGCTCATTCACAGAAACACTTCCAGACGAATACCACGACTGGATGAGTGATTCTGGTAGAAGTTCAAGGTAAGGCATCTCAATGACGCGAATTCAATGCGCGCATGGTCTGACCAAAGCAGAGGTGAACAATTACTGGACGATTTCCCTCAACCTCCGCGGGCACAGAATTTAGACTCGATCTACGAGGAAGAAGTATATCCGACACCAAAACCTTCCATCAAAAATCTGCGCCGCCATGCCACCGCCAATGAACTTCCTCTCCTTCAACAACTTAACCCCAATGAAGGCGCCCCAGAGTTCAACCCCCTCATTGAAGAAAATGGATCATACGATCTCATTGCGCCCTATGATGGTGGTGATTTACCACAGTACAAACTGGAACGTCTCGCCGACATTATGTTCTCGTCGGAGCATATGCTTACAATTTTGAACAACCCGCGGTATCTGGGACGATTCCGTGATTTCCTCCTCGAAGAACGCCCACGGTCGATCTCTACCCTGACATACTACCTCAACGCAAGCAAAGCGCTCAAGGCAATCCAATATGCCAATGCGCTTGTGCGGCTCTCTGTCGACGTGCCTCCTCCTGCAGTTTCGACTAATGAAGAAACAGTCGGGGTGACAGAGAATCGGGTCTTGGAACAAAGGGTGATAGATGGATTGTTGGCTCTCACTGCCGAAGAGCTCCCTGCGTTTATCACCTCAAGGTGTATCACCATCACAAGTAAAATTGTGGAAGAGCGGGTTCGAGGAACATTGCCTATGAAATTCCGCGGGACTTCAAATGCCCTAGCAGAGGTTTTCTGTTTGACAGATCCTTCGCGGCCAGACAATCCTATCATTTTTGCGTCCGAAGGTATGTCCTTTATTTATCCTGATGTTTGAAATCGACTGACAAGACAAGAATTCCATCGAACAACGCAGTACGGTATGGACTATGTGCTTGGTCGAAACTGTCGATTCCTCCAAGGTCCAAAGACAAACGCCAATAGTGTTCGTCGCATTCGCGAAGCAATTCATGCAGGTCGTCATCACTCAGAGATGTTCCTTAATTAGTCAGTTCAATCACATTGTTTGAATGTCTTCTCTCAACCCGCTGACTAACATGAATAGTCGTCGCGACGGCTCTCCATTCATGAATCTCCTTCAATGCGCACCTTTATGCGATAGCCAGGGCCGTGTAAAATATTTCATCGGTGCACAGATCGATGTTTCGGGACTCGCCATGGAGGGCGCTTCAATGGAATCATTGATGGAGCTACAGACCAAATATCATCAGCCAGAGGATGGGAGTATAGCTGAACAGCCGATACCAGAAGAGAAGGACGAATTCCAGGAATTGAGCGAGCTATTTAGTCCTCGGGAGCTTTCGAGAGTTCAAGAACATGGAGGACACTTGTTCCAACCTGTCAAAAACCTGGTATCACCACAAGAACCTCGAACTTGGCGGGAACGTGGGGCATCTATAGAGAGCGAGACAGAGGCTATTCGCGTACGCGATATGAAATCGCCCTTTTTCCGAATGTCATTGGCCGGTGTCTACGAGAATGTAAGATGCCACACATTCATCTGGACTTGCCAATACTAATTAATGCAGTACCTCCTCGTCCGACCTTATCCTTCTCTTCGAATTTTGTTCACATCCCCTGCACTGCAGATCCCAGGAATGCTACAATCACCATTCCTATCACGTATCGGAAGTTCGTCGGCAGTGAAAGAAGACCTAGTACAAGCTATGAAGGTCGGCCGCAGTGTGACGGCTCGAATCAAGTGGGTCACTCGCTCGAATCCGGATGGGCGCAGTCGTTGGGTCCATTGCACGCCTCTAATGGCTAGTAATGGCCAGGTAGGCGTATGGATGGTTGTAGTTGTGGATGACGCAGACGAGAAAGCAGTTACTAGTTGGCGCGCCTAGCTTAATAACCCCTATTCATCCGCATGTATATAGTAAGCTTTGTGTATAGATCCAAAATATTATCTTTTTCAGCTCTTATACACTTGGATCAGCACTGCAGAAGCCTAACTGAACCCGTTCCTGCGGATCTCAGCCGCACCCATAGCAAAAGTACGGTCTAGCCAACTTTTCTTAAAAAACAGACCTATCACTGCGGAGTAGTATTTCCGATGAAAAGCTGTGCATAACCTATTGCATGCTCGTGCTCTTCGAGATGTAGGCTGTATCACATGTAAGAGGTCGCACGAATGGGCGGAATATTTGCGCCGCTACCTGCAGGTCGTCTCCCACCAGTAGAACTCGAGTGTGATGGGCTGGAGCGAAGTCCTACCTTTTGCCTCTCATTGTGTTGTATCGTCGCTCAATCCGAATTATCGAACGAGGCGAGTTGCAGATCATAAGCACATGCTAGTTGCTCGAGCAACCGAGCAATCCGGGGTGTAACTGAGACAGGTCAATTCAACGAGCAAATCGCACTACGACGCTCATAGCTTACCTCCCCACACCCATAAATCATCGTAGAACTGCTTCAATACCTATAGCACACCCTTAGAGAGGGAGTCTTGTGCGTCGAAAAAATATTCCGTGTCTACAACAAGGTCGCGTGCCTTCAGAAGCTCCAACTGTGGAGTTGGCATCCTCGTATCGTTCTTGGTGGACTTGGATTTTCTGGATGCAGTTGCTTAGGAAGATTGCTAGAGCTCAAATAAGGTCTGTTCAGCACGCAGATGGCTTGAGGGAAATGGCTTTCTGTATGTGAGCATTGATATAAGGCTGACCCACCACAGTCGATGCAAACCAGGGCATGTTCGACGCTCGTTTTGCGTACCAGAGATGCGTCAGAATTGAGTGTTGTCATAATGCCATCGAAGATCACACGAGCATTCTTTGCGAAAGTTGCGTGATACTTCGAATTTTGACTGACGGGCGCCTCGACAACGCTTAGATGAGATCTGTGTAGTTCAGCAAGGTTGCCTAATATAGGCCATCATATGGCCATGTATGCATCATTGTCAGCTTGCTTGTGCACACGTTTGCCATCTCAAAAGGCCCATATATATGGGCATCTAGGCCATTCACATAGATCTGTATCTTTGTTCATGTTTATCTGTCTGAGTCCTTGATATTGTAGATATCAATCATCACAATATCGAAACAATTTTACAACGCAAGTTGGCAATATGGATGATATAACCCTACAAGTAATATTCATGCTGCAATTGGCTCGCGGCCACTATGGCATCCTGGCAGGGATGCGTCCCGTCTCTAGAACCCGCCTGCTGTCCCCGTATCTCGCAGTCTTTGTTGATGCTAGTAGGCATGTAATCCGTAATCTTGAATTTAGCGTATCCTTCCAATCTGTGGATGCCTCCTGGTAAACATGTCTCTTCCCCAGATCTCTCTCACTTTCTTTCGCGTTGGCATCTCATTCCTCTTACTTACAGGATCGGTACTTTTCCCGTGCCACTGGCCGCCCTCTTGTTTTCTGGAGCATTATGCAGGACAGATCAAACAGCTCTGCGTGCGAAGATGTTCAATCACTGTTATTGGCTAGCAATTACCTAGCAGGTTGCTGCAGAACCTTCCAACTGCCTGCACAACTACTCCGACGTTTCACCTGTATGTCGCACGATCTCGGGGAGATTTATCTACTGGTTTTTGCGGCCATCTCAAAACCGGTCTTGGGCTGAACGAATGACACCGCCTCAGCCTTCCAGCCCAACTTTGAAAGTCATGCAGAACCCTCTCAGGTTTGCAGAATTGCATTCGTTACTAGATATCTCAATATGACAAGCTCAACGAAAAATAGACCCCTGAAGGCCTCTGATTTTAGTGGTATTCTTGGGCATGGAACCCTACGTGAATCTGGCATCCCCCGCCTGGTGACACTCAGACACTCAGTGGGCCGTTTTGACAGACGAGCCTCTACTTTCTGACCCTCATAAAACCATTAAGCTTCAGTTGACTCTAAAAAAATTCTTAGGAAAATCACACAAAACCCTGAGCGACTATACAGCTTGAACGTCTACGGCTTCTGGAGTGACTGGACTGGAAGTTGAACATTTAACTTTATTCCATGGTGGAGGGAATCTAGACTGAAGTTTGATAGATGTTTTGGTAAGGATATATGTAGAAGAGATACGACCGCAATCAACGGGCATCCACCAAGCCCAAACTACTTCATAAATTGCCATAAAGCTCTTATTGACCATGGATTAGGTCCGTGTTTATGTCTAGTACCAATTTCTGAATAGCCTATAGAAGCATAATCTCTTCGTTCTTCTCTAAAGTAGTCGGCATTATCTTGTATAAAAGGTAATTGATAGAAGTTGTAAGAAATAGTCATCACAAAGGTACATATCAAGCATCCTTGGATGTGTGGTACCCATTAGTGATGGAAGATGGTTGCATATGGAATATTGCGATAAGGTGCGCATGTCACATTTCCTCACAATTGCTTATAACTGCAAATATAACAGTTCCCCGGGGTCTTTTTTCTCATCCCTAGAGACTCAGCAAACGCCATCACCGTTGCCAATCCATGCACTGACACCCAATCCAGTACACCATTGAAGCCTGTTCCAACCTGGAAATGGTGATAGAAGCCCACCGTAGTAGTCTCCCACGCACAGGAGTTGCAGCGTTACTAGCGGAACTCGAAACATGAGGGGAGATACAGCTGCCTGATGGCTCAGTTATGGCTGTTGGTGTTGGCGACTCAGTTTAGCAGGTGAGTTTCGTTCAGAGCGTGCTCTGCTCACATCAATGAAGGAGATGGGCGTTGGCCTGGCATATCTGGAAGTTGAAATTCAAGTCGACTGTTCAATGCGCGACGGAATCTACAGAAAAATGTTCCACTCCCATAGAAGATACAGTTCGTGTACCACTTTCTTCGCACCGCAACTAAAATGAGATCCAAAACTATCGGCGACCACTATAACCTTGGCAATGATTTCTAACTCACCTTCATGGACAAACGATTCCGATTCTATACCTACACAAACCTATAGTTACAAGTGTATATATATATGAACAACTTTCAATGACATACATAGCGTATCGCTCTGCAAATCGTATATAAGAAGGCGTATCCTCACTTTTTTCTTTTTTACTTGCATTTTAGCCATTGTGATTGGATGTCTGAATTTTTTTTCCCGATACCCAAAGCTCGGTGTGCCGATCCTCATCTCTCACCGCAAGATTTCTCGCGATATATCCAATCAGCGGCTAGAAGATTTCCCCATCGAGAGTTCGTGCAGTTTGAATGCATGATGATAGCGGAGCTTAAGGTTTTCTCGATTCTCTAGTAAGATCTCACGCTATACACTGTTGAAGCAATGATCGATATGCGGGGATGTCATGAATTTGTACCCGTGAACCAAATTCAACGTACGATTGACAAAGTTAAAGTACAAATAAACTGTCCTTCTTGCCTTGATCGTGTTTTGTTTGCTCCACAAGTAAACAAGTGTTCAATCCAAGGAAATGAAAGCTAAAGTCGGGGACACAATCCTGGTGAAGTGTGCATATGGTAACTGATGCCTCTATTTATCTTCTCGAAAGACCTATTAACTTGGTTCTCACCACGCTGCAGGGACCACCTCTATTATAGGAGAAATTGTAGAAGTGCGTGGGGACGAGGGTTATCCACCTTATTTTGTAAGTGGCATCGCCAAAAGCAACTGACTGTACATCGCTCAGTCTTGAATCAGGTCAAATTTGAAGATGGGCATCAGACATTGATCTATCCGACACCGGATACCGAGGTGATTCCCGCTGAGACCAAGAGAAAAATACCTAGGAAGAAAGAGTGAAAGTTTTCTATTTTCTATTCAGGTTATCAAATTTCTTTTTAGGGTATGAAAGTGCATAGTCTGTCTGCATTTTACGTAGGGCACGTATCCATTCATGGATGGATTTGAGGCAGTGGTGCTTATCTCTTATCCCTTATCGATAACGTCCGAAAATTTTACGGACATTTTTGAGATTTGTCCCTTGACAACATTCTTTTCCCCACAAAATGCCGGAGAAGGTTCGAACCGTGTTCGCCGACTCAGGCGATGAGAAGGTAGTGACCAAGCCGGTCCTTGTAACACAAGAAGAGCCCGCACACAAGAAGAAGAGGAGTAAGAAGCGAAAGCTCGATGAGCCCGAAGCTCCCAAGGTCGCCGATCGCGATGAGCCAAGTAAAGTCGCTGCGCCTGTGAGGCAGGTAAAAGAGACAGCACCTGCGCCTCAAAAACAGGAAACCACTGCGCTTCGCCTCAATGGTGCCCCACCATCGAAATCAATCCCGAAGTCGAAGTCGAGACCCTTCGCAGATACCAAAACCAACTTCACACCTCTACGAGAAAAGGCCAAGGCCCTTCTCGAGACGCGGCGCAAACTCCCGGTCTTTGAAAATGCCGACTTGATTCGAAACTCCCTACGTGAACAGGACGTGATGCTTTTGGTTGGTGAAACCGGTAGCGGAAAGAGTACCCAGATCCCACAGTTCTTGGTGGACGAATTTTGGTGCCGACCTGTGCCTACGGAAGTCACGCGAGATGGAAAGAAGGAGAAAAAAACGGTCGGCGGGTGCATCGCTATCACACAGCCTCGACGAGTCGCTGCTATCTCGCTAGCTCGCCGTGTTGCCGAGGAGATGGGTACACCACTTGGAAATCACTCACCAGCCAGCAAGGTTGGCTACTCAGTGCGTTTTGATACGTCGGTGTCACCTAGCACGCGGGTCAAATTTTTGACCGAGGGAATGCTGCTTCAGGAGATGCTGCACGATCCTTATCTAACTAAGTACAGCGCTATCGTTGTTGATGAGGTCCACGAACGAGGTATCAATGTGGATCTGACACTTGGATTCCTGCGTAATCTTGTCTCTGGGACTCTCGAGGGCCGTGGTGGTGTGCCGCTCAAAGTGGTCGTCATGAGTGCCACAGCCGACATGGAGAGCTTGACGGGATTTTTCCAAGAAGGATACAAACTCCCCGAAACCGAAAAAGAAAACAAGACCATCGAAAATGGAGCCGAGGCCGATGGAATGAATAGCTCCATCTCTAAGGAGATTTCTGTTTGCCGCATCAAAGGTCGACAGTTCCCAGTCAAAACAATTTACTCGCCTGCACCGGTTCACGACTTTGTGGATGCAGCGCTTAAGACCATTTTCCAGATCCATCAAAAGGGAGCCAATGCCTGGTGATATTCTTGTCTTCTTGACGGGTCAAGAAACTGTGGAGGCCTTGGAACATCTTGTGAACGAGTATGCGATGGGAATGGACCCATCGCTCCCTAAGATTCTGGTTCTACCGCTATTCGCAGCGCTGCCACAGGCTGCTCAACAGCGTGTCTTTGCGCCTGCTCCACCACGAACTCGCAAAATTGTGCTGTCTACTAACATTGCCGAGACATCCGTTACTGTGTCTGGCGTTCGCCATGTAATTGATTGTGGCAAAGCAAAGGTCAAGCAGTTCCGCACTCGCCTTGGCTTGGATTCGCTCCTGGTTAAGCCTATCTCCAAGTCAGCCGCAATCCAGCGGAAGGGTCGTGCTGGCCGTGAGGCCCCTGGACAATGTTTCCGGCTGTACACAGAGAAGGATTACCTGGCTTTAGATGAGACGAACACTCCCGAAATTCTGCGATGTGATCTCAGCCAAGCACTGCTTAACATGAAGGCCCGTGGTGTGGATGATATTGTCCGATTCCCATTTTTGACGCGACCACCGCGTGAAGCACTCGAGAAGGCGCTTCTGCAGCTTTTGAATATTAATGCCCTGGAAGAATCTGGTACTATCAGCGCTATTGGTCTACACATTGCCAAGCTACCTTTGACACCAACTCTGGGACGAGTGCTTTTGGCAGCCGCCGAAAATGGACCAGAATGTTTGATTGATGTCATTGATATTATCTCATGTCTCAGCGTGGAGAATATTTTCATCAATACCAGCTCAGAGGAGAAGAAAGAAGCAGCAGAAGCAGCACGTCGGGATCTCTATCGTCGCGAGGGCGACCACCTGACGATGCTGACAACTGTACGAGTCTACGCCGCTGAACACTCCGACCGTAAGGCATGGGCGGAGCGCCACCTAGTCTCTCACCGAGCAATGCAATCGGTCATGGTAAGCGCCAACTCTCTATTTCTTTGATTATCATATCCATCTAACGAAAATGATCATAGGACGTTCGTAAACAACTTCGCACCCAATGCCGACAAGCCAAGCTTCTCACGAACGAAGCGCTAAATTCAAATTCTTTACACGACCCTTCGCCGATCCTCATCCTCCAAAGCTTCCTGGCTGGCTTCGCCACCAATACTGCCCGCCTTGTGCCAGACGGCAGCTATCGCACGGTCGTGGGAAACCAAACCGTCGCTATCCACCCATCAAGTGTACTCTTTGGCAAAAAGGTCGAGGCAATCATGTACAACGAGTTTGTCTTCACCAACCGCAGTTACGCGCGCGGCGTAAGCGCTGTACAGATGGATTGGGTTGGAGAGGCCCTGGCTGGGACGGATTAATCATTGGCTAGAAAGTTATATCATAGACAATATACCCCTGATCCTTAGCGCCGCAATGACTCGCACTACCTGACTCAACCAATGAGCCTAGATGGCTAATTTAATTTCAACCCCTGAATTTGATCATTGGGTCATCCATAGTAACAATCTATTATTGGATTCCGAAGGCCTCCATGGGAAGTTGGAAACTGCGACGGTGCTATGATGTCGAATAGTTGGATGTCGAGGCGATTGTCTCATCCTCTGCTACTTCCGAGGTCTGTACATGATCGGAAGATAAGCAAAACAGAAGCCTCGTTTTCTAAAATTAACTTTCAGCATTTTGAGATTAGAAATAATCAATGTTTAGGTCCCCAATCATGCCGTCTATAGCGCCCAATGACGGTCGTCATCTCTGCCCCTAGACCAGTTTAAAGAAGTCTCTCAGGGATTCATTCTAATTATACCGAATTCAGGCTCATAGATATATTCTTGGCCCCCTTGCAAATGATTATCTCGTTGCGTTCCATGATTACGCATGGTGAGACTGTTTGTTTTGTCGCTGTTGACAATACTGCCGCGCGGTTGGCCTCCAGGGCTTGTCCCTGCCCAGGTGAGGGTTTACCTGAGTACATATATTGGAGCTTCAATGCCTGCATTCTGGAAAAGACCCCATCAGAGCCCTGGAGTCAAACAAAGAAGCATTTTGGCTTCAACTGATAGCACTTCCATATACACAATCTTTCTATACCAATCCAACTTTCCTCGTAGATCTTAAGCCATGGCTCATTCTCTTGCCTCGCTAGCCGATCGCTGCCCCCTAGTGCAGAGCTATGACAACATAGTTGAACATGTTTTCGAGCCCCCAGCAGACATTTACGTTTCTGATGGCCACCTCGAAACTCCACTACACAGAGCGGCCTGGAAAGGCAGACTAGGCACTGTGAAAACGCACCTCTCCGAGGGTGCAGATATAAATATCATTGCAGGTCCCTTTGAAACCACTGTGTTGCAAAATGTGATCTGTCAGCCGAACACAAGCCTTGAATTGTTCAGCATTTGTTCTTTGCTGGAGAGAACCCCAATGTGAAGGGAGGTCGACACAGTACTACATTGCACGCTGCGGTCTTCCATGGAAGGAGAGATATTGTCGAGGTACTTATTTAGGCCGGTGCTGAGATTCACACCAGAGGCTGGAATCGGGAGACTGCCCTGAGGGTAGCATTGGGCAAGGCATATGTTTCCATCATCGAACTACTTTTGTCAGAGGGGGCTACGTTGGATGGGTGGAATAATTCGCAAATGACTGCAACAGGATGAAGCGGATATGAGATTCCTACGCTAGTTATTTAGTGATCATACGAACTATCACATTGGCGACTCGAGGGATATTGGTTAGTGCAAGCGACAACGCGATATGCGGTGTGCTTGGCGCCAACGCAAATGAGGTCCAGAGCTGTGAGAAGTTGTCATAGGAAGATTTTGGAATTCTTGCATAGATAATAGTCAATATAAAGTCGGTTTTTATTCAATTTATAATTTATCTGTGTCGTATCAAGCGTGGAGTGTACAGAGTTGAGGTGTGCAAATGTGATGGATAAATTCACACGTCACAATGTTGATCCCGGTGACTCTTGTCAGCTGATGTCGAACCAATTTGTATTTCTGGTTTTCCCTTTTTCTCCAATCGAAAGGATTCTGTAGTGATTTGCTTCTGACTTTGAATAATAATAGACGATCTTAAAACAAAATAGGAAAAGAGAGAAAAGTGGCCTCATTCCGATACCGGTTGCATCATTGGTGATCTGATCTGTCGGGCTGCATCTTCCCGCTTATCAGCTAATCTCAACGCATCATCACTTCAACTGCCCTTGCTTTGTTTCTTGTTTCTCCTCTCTTTTTATTTTTTATTATTCTATACTCTTTGATGCCTATATCTCATAATTTATTCTACTACTCATCTATCCCACTGACGGTTGTGATCTCTTGTGGGTTCAACCGTTAAACCCCACTTATCGGTTTTGCTATAAGATCAGGAACAAGATGGCCTTTCAGGTGCCAACACAAGTTTCCCAACGCAGGACTTCCTACTCTACTCCTCGACCACCAACCCTCGATATCCCCCCTTCTCTCCAGGAGCAACGCAACGACGACACCGCACAATGGGTCCTATTCTCCCCGACCGCTCGTACACACACGACCTCAACCGATCGCACTCAGACTGCAGGTGCCACTCGCTTGAGTGACTTTGGTTCCTTTGCTGCAACACCGTCTGCAAACGGTGTCGATGGTGAGGATACCAATACCCTCGATGACCAACTGGACGAAGACGGGACTGAGCTGGATAGCCTGGATGATGGACTGCACGCTTTTCGAGCTCCCTCTCTGGGCCCAACGTCCTTCACACGGGTGGACCAGGGTCCACCTGCTATGCTGCCAGCTCATGATGGACTAGGAAGTTTCCAGGCCTCTAGTCAGGCAGTCCAAAATCAGCTGTGGCAGCATGAGCAATACAACCCACAACGCCTGTCATATGCCCATCTACAGCATCGCCGCTACTCGAGCGTGCAACGGCACATGGATACTGTGGAAGAAAGCGAGGCAAATGTTGAACGGGAACGATGGCGGCGAATCGAGGAGTGGCGGATGGACCAGAGCAGGGCTTTGTTCCAGGAAATCGAAAGGGAAACCCGTCAGCGACGGACCAGTCGTAGCAGCCGTCTGAGCGTTGATCGCTCCGTGGGTCATACCACACAGCAAAGTGTTTTAGAAGCACCTCCAGGAGAGGTATCTCTGCCGGATGCCATATCGGAGGACGAAGAATCTTTCTGGCGTCGCATCACGCGCAAGGTGATCCGTGACCTTATTGGCATTGATGACGCCTTGCTATCTGTGATTTTTGGGGAGTCGTTGCCGCTGGACGTGCAAACTCCCGACCAGGAAGAATCCTTGGACATGGAAACGGTACTGGCCCGTGAACCGGAGCCAGAGTGCAACGATACGCCGCCGTGGCAGATCAAAGTCCTTCAGCATATCGCTCATGAGTTAGGTGTCCTTGTTCATCAACTCTGCGAACACCCGGGGGCATTTACGACTTATTATCAAATGACCAAAGATATATCGGCGGAATATGCTGGCATGTCCCTCAACCGTCTGGCGGAAAGCAGCACTTCACAAAGACCTGCTGAGTCTATCGCACCGACTGCTGTTGATACCGCTGCTGAGTCCATGCCTTCCCCACATTTCATACCCACTCTCCATGACTCCTCCAACCGTGAGCACGAAGCCCAATGGGGCATTGAAGATGACGACCCAACGGGATCTGATCCTATTCCCGAATCAACCAAACTTCACCAAGAATCGGAATACTGGGAGCGCGGACTTGACGTTATGATGGTTTTCCGTTATCTCCGCAACCGCTTCAGCCGTCGTGGATACATGCACAATGACGCGCACATCAACACACCCACCCCGCCTCGCCGAACACAAGATGCATCGCGTCGCGCTGCCATTATCCGGCAACACCATCCACTTGTGGCTCGTGCTCATACCAGATCTCAAACGCAAACACGTCGCCAGTCGCAATATTCTGGTGTTTCAAATCCTGTGGGCGTCTCTTCGCCGCTCCTCCGACCTCATCTCCGCCGACCCAGCTCAAGCTGCGCCAGTCAAAGCGCCAAGCTTTCGGCTATATCCAGTCGCAGGACCATGACAGGATCCAGTCGGAACTACTGGGATATTGGTGGTAGCGAAAGCAATAGCGCTATTGGTGTTGGGGCTGGGCTCGGCACATGGGGCGAAGTTTGAACATTGCATATCATACGGTGCATCCATCGGTTTCGATAAATGGAGCCGTGATTTCGGGTGAACATTTTAAGGTCATCATGTCTAGGCGCATTTTTCTTGTCATGATCATTTAACGAACGAGCAATGTCAGATTTTCCTAGTTTGTTTATACCTGTTTTGTGTGGTATTGTGGGGATGTTATATTTCGATCTCATTTCCTACTCATATCATGAATCTTGAATATATCCATACAGTCTTGTCCTTCAACACATATTTGTGGTAAAGGTATGTTACATTCCGTTTCGAAGAACTCGATGTTAGACTCGTTATATAGAGAAAACAAATACTACATCACTTTGCGGCGGCAACTCCCCATGGCAAAATATCCTCAACATTAGATTGCCCTTTACTCTGCGGCACGGCAACATCAAAATCCCATCGATCCGGTACCTCCAGCCCAGCCTCAATATGATGCTTGACAAACAGCAAGGAAACACCATCCCGATACAGCCAGGCATCTTCGGTCCTGCGCTGCCACTGCTCCATGGCTGCTCTCATCTCTTCCAGCACTGCCTGGTGTTTGGGATCTTTGGCAAGATTGCAAATCTCATTGGGGTCCGCTTGGATATCATAAAGTTCTTCCGCAGGACGGAAGAAGTAATTCTTAAAAGGCCTAGACCCTATCATCTTAGGGCTAGTTTCAGCATTTCGAATCTCTTCCCATGTAAGCGAGCCATAGATATCGGCCGCAAAGGGGAAGTCGAGTCTCCAGGCAATGTTGCGGTGGTACTTATAGCGACGATTGCGCACCATACGCGTGGGCCAGTAATTGGTGATCTCATGGAACGTGTGTGATCCAAAGACCTGGCCCCAGTCTTCGAGGGGACATTTCTTAGTGAGCACGGGAAGGAAAGAGCGGCCGATTCGGGCTGGATTCTCAGGGTTAGGATGGTTGGAATAATCGAGAAGGGTGGGCAGGATATCAATGTAGGACACCATGTTAGGGTTGACGATGCCCGCAGCTGAGCCAGGGCATTTCACAATCATCGGCAGACTAACGCCAGCGTCGTACAGCGTTGTTTTGGAGTTGATGAAAGGAGGCCCGTTGTCACTGAGGAAAATAATGAGCGTATCATCCGCCATCCCGGACTTCTTCAGCCCCTCCATCACCATACCAACACCCTGATCCAAACGTGAAATCGCCTGATAGTATTCCGCGAACTCATACCGCACACCAGGAAGATCGTTAACAAAAGGCGGAATCTCCACATCATCAAGCGAGTACTCGATCTTCTGCACGCGCGGATCGTATATACCCTCATTCCCAAACCCGGACCGCGTTAAATCCCGATGCGGATCGATGAAACCAATAGTCAAGAAGAACGGCTTCCCATCATCCCGGGCCTTATCAAAGAAAGCAGACGCCTGGTCTGCAACAGCCGCAACATCACGACTATCACTCTCGGCTCGCATATCCCACGGATACACGCCCGCCGGGCCAACGTGGACCTTCCCAATCAGGCCAGTGGCATAGCCCTGCTTTGAGAACAGAGACGGCGCAGTCTCGACGTGGTCAAACGTCGTGAAGTGATTGCGGCCATTGTGCAGCCCGTACTGGCCGTTCTGGTGCGTGTGCAGGCCTGTATAGATGACTGAGCGACTAGCGCTGCATGAGGCCGTTGATGTGAAGGCTTGGTCGAACTTTGTTCCTTCGGAGGCTAGTTGGTCCAGGTTTGGGGTTTGGATCTTGGTGTTGCCGTAGCAGCCAAGTTGCTTGCCTAGATCATCGGCGACCATGAGGAGGATATTGCGCTTGGCCATGGTTGCGGTTTGGGGAATTTCTTGTTTGAAATTGCCAGCCCGTGAGATTGGTATGCAGGTTAATTAAAATTTGAGTTCTCGTTGGGAAGTCTAGTGTCATTCTTATTTAGTTCGGGCCTGTGATGGCCGGATCTCGGCTCGTTCTTGGCTCAAGATGGGAAGATGCGTGGGTGTCGGATATCGGCTGGAACTCGCTGAGATCGAAGTACCTATTTTCTTGTGGCTCCACCATGGTTTCTTTCGACATAGAGCGAGGTGATGTTGTGATAGAAAATGAGTTGCGAGAAGATTATCCTTCAGTAAAACAATTGTAAGCAAAATACCGATTGTCGAGATGCTTGTGTTATGTACCACCAAAAGCTCTTGACTATAACCTTAATTCCTTTGTAAATGCTTCGCACTTTCAATACATTTGCTTTCTGCGGGGAAGTGGGTTTGAGGATCAAGCTTATTTGAACTATATAAATAGGGCGTTCTACATTTTGAAAGACAACCCTTGCCAGTGTGTTACCATATACATATTTATCACCCAATTTGAACAATTAAGACTTTTTACAACATCGCAAAAGATACCTCTGACACATTTTGCTCGTATACTCCATTATAGACTCAGCAGCCACGATTTCACCATATCATCTCCATTTGACGTTTGACCCATTGTTGACAGGAAGCTGTGGGTGCCGGCTAGATCCCCGGATATCGGCCCCGGAATTTATCTTATTGGGCGGCGAAAGAATCTGTCAATATCTGATCATCACGAGTGGAGTTACATAAAAGTCCGGGGCCCCAGGCATAGGACCTCTTGCTATACTGTGTGGTTCTTTCTCTTTATTGAACTGTATTTGAAGCTCGCAACGATGGGGAACTTACCCAAGCTCAACAATGTCTACATTGTCAGTGGGTTAGCGACCATCGGTGGCCTTGTCCAAGGCTTCGATGTCTCAAGCATGTCTGCCATCATTGGAACTGATCAATATAAGGAATACTTCCACAAACCGAACTCGGTTGCGCAGGGTGGTATCACTGCCAGCATGGCAGGTGGCTCTTTGCTTGGATCTCTGATCTCATCATGGACAAGCGATCGATACGGTCGCCGTGACTCTCTTTTTATTGCCTGCATATTCTGGCTGTTTGGCTCGATATTGATGTGTGCTGTGCAGGATGTTGCTATGTTAATTGTCTCGCGCATTATCAATGGATTTGCTGTTGGAATTCTCACCAGCCAAGGGTAAGATGTCTTGTGCAGATTTTGCTACCACTTCTAATATGCTGCTTTAGTCCGATTTTGATCGCTGAGATCAGTCTCCCCCATCAGCGTGGTAGACTGCTTAGCTTGCAACAATGGATGATCACTTGGGGAGTATGTTACCTCTGTTCATCTGTCGCCCAGGCATTGTGCGTGGCTAACCTTTTCTTCAGATATTGATTATGTACTTTATATCCTACGGATCATCATTTATGAGCACCAATGCAGCCTTTCGTCTTCCCTGGGGTCTACAAATGATCCCTGCTCTTGTTCTCCTCGCTTTCCTTCCTTTGATGCCAAGGTCTCCCCGCTGGTTGGCCACACAAGACCGATGGGAAGAAGCGGTGGAAGTTCTTGCACGACTACACGCCAAGGGCGATACCCTTGCCCCTATTGTCATAGCACAGACTGCCGAGATACGTGACAAGATTGAGTAAGATACGTACCGCTTTTGCTTCAGTCGCTTACATTTACTAACTGATCTAAGACTCGAGCGCCAATACCAAAGCACATCTTGGATGGAGGTGTTTAACTCTCGCAATATCATCCGTGTTCACTGTGGTATCTTCACGCATATTTGGTCCCAGCTCAGTGGAACAAATGCAATGATGTACTACATTGTCTATATCTTCCAGGTAAAGCTTGCACCCTACCAAAAACTGGTATGATGCTTACGAATATACAGATCGCTGGCCTGACGGGAAATAACGCCCTTCTGTCTGCGACAATTCAATACATCATCAATGTGGTCATGACCCTCCCTGCTTTGATATTTATTGATCGCCTCCCGCGCCGCCGCCTTTTCATTGCAGGTGCTCTTGGTATGGCCGTTCTCCAATTCACTCAAGGAGGCCTCATGGCATCATATGGCAAGTCTGTTCCCGGGGGCTTGAAAGGCTCCCCTACAGTTACCTGGCAAGTTACCAATGGCAAAGCCTCCAAAGCAATCATCGCCTGTTCTTATATGTTCATTGCTGTATATGCACCAACTTGGGGGTGAGTACTCCGGCCTTTCTGTTTACTCGATCATGGCAAACTCACATTGTTTCCCTCGAAGACCTCTAGGCTGGGCCTATCCTCCCGAGATTATTCCTCTTTATATTCGCAGCAAATCAGTCTCTTTGGCGACCTTTTTCAACTGGGCTTGTAACTTTGCTCTCACGTTCTTCACACCACCTGGGTTTCAACATGTTCAATGGAAGGTTAGTCTTTTTTGAATATTCCTTTTTTCCAAAAAAAAAAGAAAGAAAAAAAGACCACTATTGACTTCTGACCAGGTATATTGCATTTTCGGAACATTCTGTACAGTCGCCGCAATCCACGTCTTCCTGCTTTTCCCAGAGACATGTGGAAAGACTTTGGAGGAGATTGATGAAGTATTCAATGACCAAAATATCTGGGCGTTCAAAGCTAAACATGAGCCGAGCCGGTTAATCATCGATGTTGAACTAGCAAAGGAGGACTTAAGAGCCAGCAAAGTTGGTGTGATACAATTTGAGCAACCGAAATAGCAGATCAGCAGATATCATAGACTTTCTCAAGGAATGGTATGCGTAATAATTCTAATGCCAATTTCTTTGAAAGTTTGCAGGACAGTGATGTACCACTAGAGTACGGATTCCAGGTTAGCATAGACATTGCCTTGGGGCGGGTCTTGGTGGTACATACCAATTTCCACTCTCTCACACCTTTGCCTATATTATTTCGTTAAATTAGCTTCTTCTCCCAGTCCGTTCTCTATCACAACATCACCTTGCTCTATGGTGAAAGTAACCACTGCAGCTTGAGGTTAATTGAGTTTTGACGTTATTCCCCACCATAGCCGAGATCCAGCCGAGATCCGGTCTTCGTCGCTTCTATTTTTCATTTCCCGTCCGGTCCTTCTCGCCTTTGATCATCATCTCTGCGGGAGTCGGCATATCATGTTATCTTGGAGTGGAGATGGTGAATCTCCGGCGGCACTTCGGCAAGAAAACGCGTTGTCAAGCACGCGCAGATCTCGATCAGGTTAGCTCGACCTGTCATTCCCCGCCAAGAAATATGCAAGGAGTTTAACAGTCCTAGGCTGTTTTCTATGTCGTGCGCGCAAAGTGAAATGTGATGAGCGATGGCCAACATGTTTAAACTGCGAACGTCTCAAACTGGATTGCCCTGGTCATCCAAGTCAAGCTGGCTTTTTAGCAAGAACTCAAAGAAACGCTAGGCGGGACTCGACACTGACACAGGCTGGCACCACTCGCCATAGAGTATCTAAATCATGTTATGCTTGCCGCATTGCGAAGTCTCGGTGCTCGGGTGGAGAGACTTGTGCTCGGTGCTCCCGAAGAAACATTGAGTGCACTTATAACACAGGTCGTATATCGCAGACACAAAACAAACTGGCTTCTGCACTACACCAGAACGTTCGTGAATCTTCAAGCCCTAGTTCTGTTCAAAACCAGCCCCAGGCAAGAAGCTTCACTTCACAACTGCCTGCTGAGAGTATGCCGAGTCTTACATCATGGTACGGTTTTTCACGTATTGTTGCCGGTTGTCAGCACCACTAACAAGGGTAGGCTTCATTCTCCACAGCTACCAGATAAACAACGAATAATGATCTTGGTTGAAGAATATTTTGCTCATGTTCATCCATTGCGTTGTTTTGGATTTGTGCATAAACCGTCGTTTATGCAGCGATTGGATGAAGATATGGAATCGTGCTGCAACAACGAATCCCTTCTTCACATTGTCTGTGCACTGGGGGCAAAGTGAGTATTCAACTACGATAGATTGTTGAAGACTCCCTAACAATTTTCAGGTTTTTGGCACTTGACTATGCTTCTCAACTCTCTCCAGATTTGATTCTCACAGCCGGTAATGAGTGGGCGAAAGTTGCCAGAGCTCGAATGTTCACGGACTTGGACGATCTGAGTATTGAGAAACTGATGGTAAGATTACGCCAGGAAAATAAACGTATAAAGGGCGACATGGACTGACTTATTCAAAAGACTGCCATCCTTCTTTACGACCATGACCTTCGGATCGGAAGTTATGCTAGCGCATTTATTCTTAGCGGTATTACTGCGAGGATCTCACAAGCATTGCAGCTCAATCTTGAAAGTTCCGCTGACGTTCTCTGTTCTCATTCGAAGTCCAAATGCCCGATAACCAATGAATCCAAGAGACGTTTGATGTGGAGCTGCTATGTTATGGATAGCTGGGTGGGTAGCGGTGTAAACCAGCTCACTCTTCTAGAAGATAGAGACCTGAAGATCCAGCTTCCCTGTGACAGTCACAACTTCTCTCTAGGAACACCTTGCATTACCGAAATTTTGGAAGAGGGTAAAACTCTAGGATTCATTCCCCAAGAGCAAATCCAATACCAGCCTGCTCAAAACATGGGGATAGAAGCTTATTTCATACGCCTCGTGAGTATTCGCAAAAGAGTTCTTCGGTAAGATACATATCCCTAATTTGAAGATACGCCATTGCTCAAAGCAGAAAGCACAACAGATACGTGAAACATCTTGATACTTCTATACCACCATGGGAGGAAGATTCCGAATTTCAGCAATTGAAATTTGAGTTTACATCATGGAAGAGATACCTCCCGCAGAATTTGAGATGGTATTCAAGCGCGATTTGGGCACGTAAGGAGTCCTCTCAACTAGGTGCATTAACCTTGCTTTGGTGCACTTATCATCAAACCCTAGTTGATCTATATCGCATTGGTATGCCAACTCTGTTTGGCATTCGGCGTTATGTCGAGTTTCCATCAGAACAGCAAGAATTCTTAGATGATTGTCGCAGAGTTTGCTTTGATAGTGCTCGAAAGGTCTCCAAAATCATAGCCGAGGCTTCAAGACATGGAATCAAGGCCCTGGCTGACACTTGGCTATGCATAATTGCACATGATAGTACCAAAGTTATGCTATACTATTTGAACCATATTACCGACTCTGCGATTGCTCTGAGTACATCCGAGGCAGACGAGACAAAGCTTCTGGCGAAGAAGAATTTGGATGCACTGATGCAAATGAGACCTATCGTTGCGACCGCCGAACATTGTGTCAGAAATCAATCCTTTCTTTGTTTCCAAAGCTAGCACTAATCTTTACTGTCCAGTATCTTTCTGTTATTAAGATGATGATTGCGGCCGGTCTCAACCCACAGCTTGCCCATGCACCAGCACATGAGCAAGAATCAGCAGGAACCGACGAAACGTAAGATAGCCAAATGTCCATACAAGCTAAATCTGCTGACAACCCGCTTAGACACTCTAATCCGCAGTCACCAGTTCAAGAATCTCCAGAGGATGTTTTGAACCCGCTTGCAATCTATCGCATGGCGCGAACTGCCTTGCACGACAAGAGTACACGAGGTTCAAGCTCTAAATCTCCTTCAAGCATTGATACCGCTTCACCGGGCACGTTTCAATACAATGTGACTCGTCGACAATCATATCGAAATTCGCACTTGCCAGGATTGCAACTAATCCCTGGACAAGAACATTTACAGCAGTCACAGTTACCCCGACCCAGTGACAGATCTGCCGTCATACATTCTTTTGACAATGCACCACTCCCTTCAACAAGACCGGAAGTTCCGTTGTTGAACACCAACAATTTCCCACAGTTTCCAGCTTTCGCTACCACGGGCTCTTGGGATCCTGCTGAAATGGCAGTGATGAACATGTTAGATGATGGAATCGCCCCCTGGACCGCAGAATATCTTACTGATGGCCAGTCGGGCGTCGATCCGTTTTTGTTCCCATTCTAGACTCTGTATATGATTTAATGCTTGCCTATCTATTTGATACCTTCGTGATTGCCAATGCCTGAGCGGGTCACACAACCGATTTGCCTGAATGAAATCCAAATCCGAAAATCCGGATTTTGATGTCTGTCTGTCTCTAATGCTCTTCTCTATTTCCAGTAAGACGCCACACCTCAAGTTTCACACCCAGAGCAATCGTGTGGTTCCAATATATTTAGCGCGTGAGTAGACAAACAGTAAGCCGAGCCTCCGGAAAGTGCCACGGCATGGTGTGGATCTCCGCTTAGCAATTGGAAATCTGAGCTCCCAAGGCGCAATGTTTATAATATAGGGTTGAGCTTTATGCACACTTTGAATCGTTGGACACCCGTGGACTTGTGCAAACCGCCCTATCGCAATGGATGATTCATCTTTACCTATATATGATTTTATTGTCGTGGGTGGTGGAACCGCTGGGTATGTCGTCGCGGGAAGGCTGGCAGAGAATCCCAAAGTGAAGATCCTGGTCATTGAAGCGGGAGAAGGGTTAGAACTAAATTTATCGCTCATGTTCCGCTTGTACTAAAACAGAAATAGAAACCCTGAAGATATCACAGAGATTACAACGCCTGCTCGAGCATTCGAACTCCGAAACAGTAAGCATGACTGGGCTTATCGAACGACTTTCGTGGACAAGCCCGATTACGAACGTGTCGAGAAATCAAACACTCGTGGTAAGATCCTTGGCGGAAGCAGCAGCTTGGATCACTTCACCTGGCTCCGCGGGAGTAAGAGCACATTTGATGCGTGGAAGGAGTGCGGTGGAGATGAATGGACTTGGGGTAAGTGCCAACAATATTTTGAGAAGGCAAGTTGACAAGTTTACTGAGCAATCTGACTGAAGTATGTTGACAGGCCTATCTGTAGCCCGCGTCCTACCATGATGATCATAAGCTACACGATCTGCTCTTTACCAAGATTGGCTGTGATGGCCCATTGCATGTTGCCCATGCGAATTTGCTCCCAGAAACTGAGCCTTTTCGACATGCACTAACCAATGCGTGGACAGGCGAGGGCCATCGTTTGAGAGAAGACATCTATAATGGGAAGGTGGAAGGTTTGACCCATTGCATTAGCACACTATACGATGGCATCCGAACCAATAGCACAGTGTACCTGAATGGCAAGGATAATGTCGAGTACATGTATTCCAGCGTTGCGACAAAGATCAATTTTGAAGGCGAGGAGGACGATACAGCGGTTGTATCAAGTGTGATTGTTGTCGATAAAAGTCAGTCGCCACAAATCGTGTTGGTGAGAAAGGAGGTCATCATCGCCGGTGGTGTCTTTGAGACCCCAAAGCTGTTACTTCTCTCTGGCATCGGCCCCAGGCGTGAACTGGCGCGCCATGATTTGCAACCCGTGATACATTCTGAGCATGTGGGGAAACATCTCCTCGACCATCCGATTCTGCCGCATGTGTTCAGGCTGAAAGAAGGCTTGGGCCTGGATCATATTCTCCTTCGAAAGGGGCGTCACCACGACCACGCTGTCGAGCAGTATGAAAGGGGCAAGAAGGGTCCATTGGCGAGCGGGCTTCTTGAAATGGTGGCCTTTCCGCGCATTGATGAACGACTCAATAATTATGAAAAATATCTCATAGCTAAAGAGGAAAATGGTGGCAAGGATCCATTCGGGGCTGGAAGTCAACCCCATTTTGAAATCGACCTCATTGTGAGTGGATCGTCAATTCATTTGATAAGGTGTACTTGCTGACAATAGAAGCCTATGTTCTGCGATGCATTCCAGTGGCATTTTTCTATTCCCACAGAGGGAGACTGGCTAACTGTCATCGTCAATCTCCTTCACCCGCAATCAAAAGGTGGGTATGTCCGACTGAACTCGACAGACCCACGGGAACAGCCCGATATTAATCTCAAATACTTTGACAATGATCTCGATGTTCTCGCTTTGAGAGAAGGAGTACGTTTTATCGATGAAATTCTCATGGAAGGGGACGCAATGAAAGATATCATTGGCGAAGATTATCCGTTTCCCATGCCCCGTGAGTCGGACGAAGAAATGGATCGGTTCATATTGGATCGAGCGCAGACTGGATACAGTAAGTTAAGCTGTTTTCAAATTGCGAATTTTGGGCTAATTGTTTTAGATCCTTGTGGTACTGCTAGACTGTCTCCTGACATTTCCCAAGGAGTAGTCGACCCCGAGCTGAGAGTTCATGGGGCCAAGAATCTCCGTATTATTGATGCTTCGATCATTCCGGTGATTCCTGATTGTCGAATCCAAAATGCAGTTTACATGATTGCAGAAAAGGTATGTGATGAGTACAGAGTGCGTGGAAATTAATGCTAATTCTGCTAGGGGACCGACATGATCAAGAAAGCTTATCCAGACTGGTATGAACGATAAAATGTAATATTTTTGTTCGTTCGTGAAGATTTTAGTCAATGTCACCCTCTTGGATTTATTGTATTCAAAATTTGTTTATGAGAGACACATATTTAGAGAACACTGATTAGGAAAATCAAGCCTGAGTCAGATTTCAATAGAGAATACTATTTTCTAATAATTCCTGACAAAGGGGTCGGGAATCCCTACATATTACCGATGAACCGCGCTATCTACTGCCATATAGTAGATACGACCCTCCAAGCCACATTTTGTGAGACCTCTTTCTCCGCCTGCTCCAGTCTGGTCCACATCTCAGCATCAGTTTCAACCTCGGCCAAATATGTGAGTAGATCTAAGAAAACACCAGTGCCAATTGCACCGCCAATTACGATCATCTGAGCATGGCGAGACTTGATGTTTTGTTGACTTCCGGCTTCTTTCACAAAGCGCGGCGTCGAGGCGCATATCTCAGCTTTGGAGAAGTTCGCCTCAAGGGTGTCATCAGGAGCAGTCTTTTTGACGTCCATCTTGTATAATCTTTTGGATTCAATTGTCAAGACTCAAGGTTGGATGAAATTAGTTGAGAGGCTCAATCAATGGGCCTTAGGAAGGGGGATTTGTAAATTAAAGAAATGAACAAGATTGTTCTGACTGCAAGCCTCTCGAGTCTCGACATCACACAAAGAATGAAAGGCCATCACTATAAGGGGTATATTTGCAACTTATGGCTTATTTTCTTCGACTGGCTTATCATGATCCTGAATTCAAAAGCATGTCATTGTGGTCGAATCCCAAACGCCACTACTGTTGGATAGCCTGCTGTCTCTTAAATTTACCATAAATCTCATCATTCTCCTACTTTCTAAGGTTGTATATTGGGATAACTCAGACTGCCAAGAAGTCGAATATCTGGTCGAATATCAAAAGGAAAGTTTCCGCGTTCCGCGGCTCAGATAACGTGGGGTATAAACAGGAAAAGCGACTATGCCTATTGGGGACTGGTGTAAATAGTGGGCCCTGAGGTAATACGATGAGATGATAAGCTGACAGTCACACAGATGGTGGGTGATAAGTGGCCTGCATCTGCGCAATTTGACCAGGAAAGTTAGGGCGAAAGATGCCAAGATTTCTCTCTACGGAGTATGCTCGGAAGAATGTCCAGCGTGTCACGACTCCACTTGGAGTGGTGTTCTTAGTCTTTTGAGTCTAGAAAGATCAATACTCTCGAAGATTTATCTAAAGAGACCAAGACCAGGCTGATTCCTCTCAAGAAATCCCCCAAGGCCAATTTTTGACCATGGGCTCCGTTGACACTAAAGAACAAAAATACGACATTCTCATTGTCGGAGCTGGTCTCTCTGGTGTCTGTGCACTTTATAACTTCCGGAAACGCTTTCCATCTTGGCGTGTAGGAGTTCTAGAAAGAGCCGATAATGTTGGCGGCACTTGGTACTGCAACCGCTACCCAGGAGCAAGAGTTGACACCGAATCCCTGTCATATGCATACTCATGGGATAAAGATCTTTTGAACGAATGGAGCTGGACAGAATCCTTCTCGACTCAAGCAGACGTCCTCCGCTATATTGAGCACGTCTGCGCCAAGCACAACTTGAACAAGGACATACAATTCAACACCCGAGTCAAGACAGGCCGCTGGCAGGACAAGAGCAATACTTGGCTGTTTTGTGATGAAAATGGCACCTTCCACCGAACCCGTTTCTTTGTCAGTTGCATGGGTTTTCTGTCGACCCCAACCCTTCCTGCTATACAAGATATCGAAAAGTTCGAAGGCGAGGCTTTCCACACCTCCCAGTGGCCGAAGGACTTTGACATGAGTCGTGGCTTGGCCAATAAGCGAGTCGGTGTGATTGGAACGGGAGCAACCGGTATCCAGACCATCACTGCGATTTCAAAGGAACCTGTCAAATCATTGAGTGTTTTCCAACGTACTGCCAACTGGTCCGCGCCTCTCCGAAACGAGCCTATCAGTCCACAGCAAATGAATAAGCACCGCAGAGATTACAATGATCTTTTCAGATTATGCGCCGAGACACCCTCATGCTTCATCCACCAGCCCGACCCACGAAAGTCCCTCGAAGTGTCGGCTGAAGAGCGTTTGTCACTATGGGAGGAAATCTACGCAAAGCCCGGTTTCGCCAAATGGCTTGGTACATTCAGCGACACTTACAACAACCGCGAAGCCAACAAGCTCTATTCCGACTTCATGGCCAGCAAAATCAGAGCCAGAGTACACGATCCTGAGGTCGCCAATAGCCTGATCCCTCAAAACCATGGTTTCGGTACCAGACGAGTTCCACTTGAGAGTGGCTACTTTGAAGTGTATAATCAGCCTAATGTCCACCTTGTTGATCTCCAAAAGACCCCAATTCAAAGGGTCACAAAGGGCGGCATTATCACATCGGATGACAAAGAGCATGAGCTAGACGTCCTGATTTACGCTACGGGTTTCGATGCCATCACCGGTGCATTCAACTCCATCGACTGGCAAGGAAAAGACGGACGACCCCTTCTCGGCTCCAGCGATACCAAGCAAAGCGAGCAAGCAATTTGGGCTGATCACCGGCCACGCACATACTTGGGCATGACAGCTTGCTCTATGCCTAACATGTTCATGGTTCTGGGTCCACACCAACCCTTCGGAAATGCCCCACGGACAATTGAGCATGCTGTGGATGTTATTTCAGATCTTCTGCAATATTGCAAGGACAATAACTACACTTACGTGGAGCCCACCTCAGAGGCCGTTGAAGCATGGACCGATCACGTTATTGAGTGCAGCAAGGGATCATTGGCCAACGAAATCGACAGCTGGATGACCGGTGTGAATAAGAATGTCAAAGGAAAGACAGTTCGCAGTGTCGCGAGGTATGCTGGTAGTGCCATTGAGTATCGTCGGAGATGCGCTGAGTCTAAGGCTGCTGGTTGGAAGGGCCTAGCGTTTGCTCAGCTTTCAACTGCTGCTAGGCTTTGATTGGTTGCGTAATTAGTTGTTCATATTCTTGAATGTTCTCAAATTAGATTCCAATTCATATACACTTGACTCTGACCTTGATGAGTGTGCAGCGTGATCGCAAGGACTGGTGTTTCCCCGTGAACAACTACCAGTGTAGACGCATCTCAAAATACATACCCACAGCACATGGGCTTTCTGATCTGAGGAGAATGGCGCTTCAGATGTACAAATTGATTATGAGGGTCTCTTGACTGCAAGTGGTGATGACTGGCGTTTAGCTTAGAGTGTTGCTCATACAAAACTCCGGTGTAACGAATGATAATTATGCCAGACAATCGATAAATGGCAGGCCAATTTTCTCCTTAATTTCCCCAAAGGCCTGCAATAACTTCTCCTCCTCCAACTTCTTAGCAACAAGCTGCAAAGATACAGGTGCATCCTTCTGCTTTACTGGATCATAATGCTCGTACGCCCATTTATCCATTTCGTTCTTCGGGGTGTAAGTGGGGTCTTTGGCGTCTCTTTCGGGATCAATTTTCGTGACTGGAAATACAAGAGCCGAGTAATCGAGTAAATTGAACAAAGACGTGTATCCCCAGTATCTCGAAGTATCATGGAGGGGTGCCGGCGTCGGGAATGCAGGACACAATATGACGTCCATCTCTGGTGCGACTGTGTTCCATTCTGCCAAGATGTTAGCCAAGTCCGTTTCCTAAAAATCGGCTTGATGTACTGACCCTGCAAATAGGCGTAGCGGAAGAACTCCCGTTTGCCTGTCCAGTCCCACACACCCTGGTGGGTAAGCTCTTCGATACCGGGGGTATCTCGCAGAGTCCAAGCCTGGAGCGGCAGGAAGGGCTCGCCCGAAGATTCTAGGTGTCTAGCAAAGGCCTTGCCGCCATCTGGAGCATAAAGCTTCGTCTGGAAGGACTCATCAGCTACTGCAGTTCACGCATCATCAAATAGATGGAAACCACTCACAAGTATCTCCAATGCCTCCTTTTGCTGATACGCTTTCCACTCAATGACTTGGATGTTATCGACAGCTTCAAGGCGCTCAACCATCTCCTTCAAGGCTCTTGTCACCGCTGGGGCGGGTGTAACAACGTCGTCAGTCCACATTACACCCACGGTCAACTTCTTTCCACCTTTGTGAATGTGCTCTTCCTGGTCCCGCCATGGAATTGGAAGCATCATGGAGTCATTGACCCAAGGTTTCGATTCAATTACGGTCTTCATGAAGAGTTCTATGCCTCCAAAAGTTGGCGAGATAGGCCCAAGTGTTCCAAGCACTGTCTCACAACCGAGGACATAGGCGGAGCATCCAATGAGCGGTAGTCGTCCGGTCGATGGCTTCAGCCCGTAGAGACCACAGTTTGCGGCGGGGGAGCGAATGCTACCTCCTATATGTAAAGTTAGAGATTTATGATAGAACAATATAGTCGAACACAGTACCAATATCTGATCCAATTCCCAATGGACTGCCGTAAAGAGCTTGTAGGGCCGACTCCCCTCCAGAAGAGCCACCAGGCGTGAGGGCAGTGTTATGTGGGTTCGTGGTCGTGCCTGTGATATTACTGCAAGTCTCAAGCGCCATCTATTCCCAAAAGCAATGAGTCATGGGTCCACGAGTCTCAAAATGCAGGTCCACCCACCAGTCCCTGTGGCTCGGTTGTCCTCGCATACACAACTGCACCGGCATCCAGAAGTATCTTGACGATATTGGCATCACCCGGGCTGGTATGGCTCAGCCAACCGACGAATCCAGCAGCCAGATCTCGTCCTGTAAGACCTACATGTGCCTTAATGCTGATTGGTAGACCATGGAGGGGACCTGACGGTTTTCCATGCTCGGCAAAATACTTGTCAAGCTCCTGAGCGCGCGCTCTGGCACGTTCAGGGAGAAGCTCGTAGATACAGTTGGTCTATACGAGTCATAAATTTCTGAACATTGAAACAAAAGAGTTTTCTGGGGAAATGACCCCGTCACCCACCAACTTTTGAGCAATTGCCGCCCGCCGAAGAAAAGCCTCTGTGACTGCGGTCGCACTGAGTTTGCCCGCTGCAAGAGCAGTTACCAGAGCTTCGGCCGAGGTCTCTGTGATGATTTGTTCTGGCTGCGTGAGATGCTCCCGGGGAACATCGATAATTCTGCCAGTATATGTCTCAGACAGAGCAGCAATGTCGGGATCAACCTGCTTGATGGAAAGATCGCGCACCACTTGGACCTGGCGGGCGGATTCTTGCCAAGTGGGTTGTTGAGCCACAGTCATTGCCTCGTTTCTTGTTAAGTAATTGATGATTTGTACAATCTACTCTCTTTTCTTCCCGTATATTGACTGGGGGGCCGCCGCTTTTCAAGTTTATTGTATATGACGCTTTGACCCCTCGGGGCGAAAATAGGAAGCGGACTCCAGTTCGTGGCACCATTGTTGCATCTCTTTCAAATGTAAATTGATCATCATTTTACTAGTATAATGGTTGTATGCGTTCCATAGTGGGGCACCTAAATCCGAGTATAACATACTATACTGTATATGCAAAACAAGTGGGTTCTAATTGAGGCATTTAGCGCTCATGGATTTGGCCCCCACGATTGTAATTTGATTCCATCCCTACTATAGTTGTACAATCATTTGGATCATATTGCAATGTTGCACGATGGGGTTACGGTGCAGTAGTGTGAACCTTCAGACTGGGATCGTGTTGGACGCCTCGTCACGGCAGCCAACCAAACAAGGGTCGGCCCCACTAACTAACCGCGGTGGATCAATGATCTTCAACCATAGCACTTTTAATTTGTACAGCCTGGAATTTCGCATGCAGGTAAGATGCATGCTTCGAACCCATGAAAGCAAAGGCATGCAACCTATTTACGTTCATTCGGCCCCATATGTGCCTCAGCGCCGGCTGATCCTCGACTTGAAGTGAATTTACGCCGAGGAATTATTGTACATTTACTCCTTTTAATACGAGCAGAATGTCGACCTCTTGAGTTGGTTGCCTCTGAACTCTCTCCAATTATGACTGATCTCCATGAAGACTTTGGCCCAACGTTATGGGTGGTCAACACAGTCTTCATTGTGCTGGCCACCATGGCCGTCATGGCTCGTTTTGGGGCTCGACAGTTGAAAAAGTTACCCCTAGGTGCAGATGATTGGATCATTTGTGTTGCATTGTTCTGGGACTGGTTATTATATGGAATTTTTATAGGATGTGAGTGCTTCCATGGGCTTATCACCTCTACAGATACTAAACTTACCTTCACTCCAGGCCGAATCAATGGCCTTGGCAAACACCGAGACACTCTCCCACCAGAGAACATCGCCATATTCTCCGAGCTTCTATACTTCTTTCAAATTTTCTATGTGTTGGGGCCTCCGACTGTAAAGCTATCCCTGTTATTTTTATACAGACGCATCTTTGAGCACACCCGCTTCTTGCGCATGGTGTATGGCATGATGGCATTGATGATTGTGTGGGCGATTATCATGACTTTCCTCGCCATTTTCAACTGCAAACCAATTAGCGCATTCTGGACGATGGAAGGTACCTGTCTTGACTTCAAGCAGTTTGCTATCGGATATGCGATTGTCAACATCATCACCGACTTCACCATCTGGTTGATGCCTATTCCCAGTGTGTGGAAGATACAGCTTCCGAAGCCACAGAAGATAGCTCTCTGTCTCATCTTCGTTTTGGGCCTCTTGTACGAGAAACCATTTTCTTCCCCAAAGAGCATTCATGAACCAAGTTTACTGACCATCACATTCTGGTAGTGATTGCGCGGCCGCTATGGCGCGCCTTCTTCTCTCCATGCTCGTCTTGGGTGACTACGACTCCACATGGCTATATGCAAAGGGATACATGTGGTCTATCATTGAAGTATCAACCGGCATTGTCTGTACTTGCTTGCCGACCATGCGAGTGATCCTGAAAACAGCTTTCGGCGGCAAATTTGCAAAGTTCTTACACATGTCCAGTGGGAAGGCCAGTCATCCGCGGTCGAACAATACTCCGTGGTCTAAAACAAATGAGTATTATAATGATATCGGGGAGGACAGAGCGACGAACGTCTCTTCCGGTCGCACGGATAAGCTGTCAGGCTCGGATGATCCAGAGTGGGATGCCAGCTCACAGCAAATTCTAGTGACTCAGGAAGTGAACGTTGAGCTTCAGCCAGTAGTCAAAAGGATATAGCATTTGCATAGAGAATCTAATAGTTTAGCCACAAAAAAAGTGGCAGAAATTAGGTTGATCATGCCTCATATTCTCCCAAAAGCCGCCCGATCGCTAGTGAAAATCCGAATCTCTCTGCTTTAACATTTCCACCACCACCACCTCAACCATTCGACCAAATTGCTATATCAACATTTTCCATTGTACCATCTATCCATCCTAAAAAATGTCATCTGCCAAGGTCCAAAAAATCATCAACGACAATGGCGTCGGTACGTTCATACAGGCTTCAATCCCAGCACAAAAAAATAATAAATTACCATAGTCGTCTTCTCCAAGTCAAAATGCCCTTACTGCAACGAGACTAAGAGCACACTGCGGAGTCTGGATACAGAGTTCCAAATTCTGGAATTAGATCAGATGAGTATGTTTGCAATTCGTCCTTCGCCGCACTCAGATAGCTGATCTGTGACCATGACAGAGGATGGCAGTGATATTCAAGACGCGTTGCAGGAAATTACGAAGCAGCGCACCGTTCCGAATATCTTTATTAACGGAAAGCACATTGGCGGAAATTCCGACTTGCAGAAACTGTCTACTAGCCAGTTGAAGGGATTGCTGAAGGAGGCTGGTGCGATGTAATGTGGCATTATGATTGAATGGGATTTCGACTGAAGCTTCAATGAACTCACGAAAATTGGGTACTGCTTAGTCTAGAATGGCCTATTGGAAGTTGAATCGATATTTTGCCGCTTTCTACTTGCGCTGACACTTCTCTGCTGCTTTTGAGAGTGTCTAGTAGATATGTATCATCGTGCCATCGTCGAATTGGTCTCGGATTGGACTCTTCCAGAAGATGGCCTTTGAGTTGAAAGTTGATTGACAAAAGAAAGCCTTTTTCCAGAATCTTCTCGTTAGATACATGACAAAAATTCCCAGTACCCCTTCATTTGGACCCTAATTTAGCCAGCAAACTGGCAGGTGGTGCAAAGAATGTTGTCCCGGTAAGGGGCTTCGAAAAATCAAGTATTCGATCATGCAGGCCAGGAGGCTCCCCAATAAACATCCGCTCCAACATTTTTTCAATGACCCAGAGACGACGAGTATACCCAATGAAGTAAGTCCCAAACTGGCCGGATCCGGGCGACCCAAATGGCATATTGTCACGGAGGATATCATGCTCATTGCCATCCTCATCTTCAATCGTGGTGAGTGTTTTGTGAGAGCGTTGCCCAGATTCCGCATCGTCCAACTCTACATTATCTATCTTCGTGCGTCCGATGATTTTTTCCTGTTGTTCTGTCGAAAGGTCCTTCCATCCAGGTAGATCATGCGTGTACTTTTGTACAACGATGTAACTGCCACCAGACGCAGATGTATCTTCCTCTGCAATGAGCACGGAATCCGGAACCGCGGGACCAACAGGATTTGCCGTTCCGTCCACGAATCCGAGAAGATCGCGGACATCGAAGTAACGAAACCCAACTGTTTCATCCACCACGGAGACTGCGTCACCGAGCTGATCCATCAATTGACGCTCAAACTCGAAGCAGATATCTCGGCGCTCGGATCTAATATGGAAAAGCAGATCGCCGGGTGTAGATACTGCGGTATGTTTGGCGCCTTGAATTTCACGAAACGGGTGCAGCTCAGAGGGCCGCGGGAGACTTGTCAAACGATCCCAGATCCCACTTCCTATGCCGACAGTACAGGCAAATTGAGAACTTAGATCACGGATAGAGACATTTTTGGCCAGGCTGTCTAGGCCTGATAGTGTAGAACGGACTGTCTCAATGGCATCCGGCTTGTCGGTTACGGCTACGACAAGGAAAGTGGCTGATGCAGTGAGCGGAGCGTCAACACGCTGTGGCTCTATTGGAACCCGCTGGCTGCTCATATTTGCTTTGAAGTGGTTGAAATATCCACAATGAGCAGGATTTCGCTGTTGTCGAGACAAGTGGCAAGTGAGCTTTGGTGGGGTAAGATATCGATGTCTCAGCTGAGCTAGTCCTTTCGAAAAATGATGGCTTGTGCAGAACCCACGGGCAGACACAGTAGAAAGGTGAAGAGAGTTTGACACAGAAGAACACAGTATAGTATATCCAGATTTGATCATACTTTGGGAAGTAGTTGTGGGAAGTTAAGTCTTCCAAGATTCCCCAGGTTTACAGAACAGGCTGACGTAAGAACTTAAGGCTGCTTATTTTGCCGATTAATTGATTCGTCAACTTTTTTTTCCAATCTCTCAAAGCTCAAGGAGAAATTATCATGTCTTGTATTCGATGATACATCAAGCCCTAAAGTATAAGGATGATGAGGTCACATACCCGACGGACCCGTCAGACGGAAACCAGCCACATCCAGGCCTTTCAAGACTTGATAAACTTCATCTTGGTAATGAATTCCATAACTAAATTCAATTTATGTTAAAGTAACAAACTTCTACATTATAACTAGTTATGGCTTATCGGCATAGCTAATTTATCGCTGTGTGTACCCACCATCCACAAACAGAGCCGTACCAGTAACAAAAGAAGCTCTCCCTCCACTCAAATAGATCACACCATCGGCAATCTCCTCCGGCTGCCCCATTCGCTCCATCGGAACTGCATTGGCAACCTTTTCCTTCATAGCCGCGAGAATCTGAGGGGACTTGGTAGTCAAGGGTGTCTCCGTGTACCCCGGACAAATGGCATTGATGCGCAGTCCATCCTTAGCATAATCCTCCGATGCAGTCCGCGTCAACCCAATGACAGCATGCTTTGTCGCGGTGTACGCAGTTGAAAGTGCGATTCCGGCAACTCCCTGGATGGACGAGAAATTGACGATCGAGCCACGCTGCAACGGTCTGCCGTCGTATGAGGATAAAATAGGCTCCTGCTTCAACATGAGCTTGGCAGCAGCACGCATAACAAAGAATGTCCCGGTGAGATTGATGTTTATAATCCGGTTCCAGTCTGCTGTCTCGCAGAATGCCGCGCCGCCTGCGTGCTTCATTGCGATACCCGCTGCATTGACCAGGTAGTCAAGTCGACCGAAGGTTGAGGCAACTTCCTGTACGATTTGATTCACGCGGTTCTCGTCTGTGATGTCTGTTGGATAGATCTCGACTCGACAGATTTGTCCTCGTCTCCTTGATTGCTCTTCGATCTCGGCTTTAACGACTGCCAGAGCTTGCGACTTGAGGTCAATCAGAGCGATTCCGGAGGCACCATCTCGAGCGAATGTTTTCGCACAAGCACGGCCAATGCCTGATGCAGCGCCTGTAACTAGAGCGATCCCAGGTACGTCCATTGTGAATGATATGTGTGAGGTGGGAGGTGTATGTTTTGTCTTGATGAAAGCGACGAGGGAGGTGGTTGAAAAGAGAGTTTACCTGTCAAACACTATGAGAATGACAGTCCTCGTATGGAAATGACCGTTTAAATAATCATCTAAGACAACGCTGTCGTACAGAACATAATCCTCAGTACTACTGCTAGGATGTGGGGTTGTCGCGGAAACTTGCCTAACTCACCTCTTGTGATAACCCACGCAGCCCGTGACAACCCCCCCTCGTGCTTGCTTCCTATACATGCTGAAACTTACTGATTCTTATCGTTGCCAGCTCATCTAAATGCGGGGGTTTCGCAGCTGATCGTCACACCTCAAGATAATGGTCCCTCGCTTGCTCGGTCCGCCAAAGCGCGTACAAAGTACAAAGCACGATCGAGGTTGAAGCTGGTAGCCACATAATTAATGGGATGTGGAGGTTTGATAATTTTGACCGTTACTAAGTATGTGAAATAAAAACCATGATTATGATTATACAATGCCTCAATAATGGGCAAATCTAGTGAACAAATGAGCACCAACCCGGATGTTCTTAACGGTTTCTCTTCTCGTAAAACAACATGATATCATACTGTACATTAAAAGTGTTGTTGCAATGGCATAGTGCTCTTCATTAGATCTAACCAAGTCACGCTCTTTCCAGCACAACACTTCTCCTGCCAGATTTTCTGGATGTCTGCTAGTGTCTGCGTAAAGCAAGACAAGCCGCTCCGGCAAGCCGAATTCTCAAACCAATCTGCAAATGACGACTGCACAGAGGGGGTCTCGGCTTCACATGCCGCAATGAATGCAGGCCATATAAAACCTGCGGAGCCATGGACTACTGTGGAGTCTGCGTGCTGGCAGCGTAGTAGGCATTCCAATACAGCCACGACCTTTTGCTGTAACATGGAAGCATCCACGTCGTGGATTCGACGGTAAAAGTATATTGCCAGTGCATTTTGCATGGCATCAAGCATATTTCTTATAATTTCCTGGTCGAGTTGAGAATGAGTAAGCTCCAGGCTTGGTCGTTGTAGATTGTTGATGTACTCCTCGAGAGTCTTCGCCCGTCTAAGAAAATCTTTCAAGTTGAGGCAATTTGTTGCATCCTCTCCTTCGGCGACGTCCTTCTCTTTTCCAAGCCGGATAACTTGGGATAAAAGAAAGACCCACGATTCAGGAATACCGAAGATCTCGGGGTAGAGCGTGTTTGACCAGAAACCAGGTCTTTCGAGATGCAGGTCATTTTCTCCTTCCTCTTGGCCGCGCACTCTCATCATTTCCTGGTGTAAATTTTTCCACCCAGAAAGCCGAAAGGACAGGCTGTCAAGGCTATACATTCCTAATCCGCTGGATTCGACAGCTGTTCGCACACGATGGCGCTGTCCCGAGTTTGCACCACAGATAAACACGCTCTCGTGAATAATCCGTTCGAAGACATAACAATGATGTAGCAATCGGACCTTCCGCGATTTCTTGCGTTTGAGGCCTCTTAGTCGAATAAACTTTTCAGCTTCCAAAAAGTAATATTCGGATTGAATCCGGTTGCCCGAGAATATGGTCACCTGCACCATAGTAAGCAGGGCCATCAAGATCGACTTGTATTTGGCTACTTTGGGGACGTCGTATGCGGTCATGAGCATCAATCTCGCGTGTTGCTGGGCTTGTTGGTTGTATATAATGGCTTTCTCATTCCATGTTTGGGATCTTGAGACCCCTCCGAGACTGAAAGCACTTATTGCTAATGTTCCGTAGAATGCACAGAGACTGGCATCACTCATATCATCACCTAGCGCCATTGTAGCGAGACATGTTTTAGTGTGGGGGATAAAAAGGACGTGCCAAGGAGTTTTAGAATGACGAAGTGGTGTCATCAGGCTAATGACAGCCGAGGCATAGTGCTTGAGTAGAAAGACGGCGTCTTGAGGCACAGACTTTGCAGTACCCATAGAGGAGGCGAGTGAGGTGGGGAATACGGAATGGTTGTAATAGTTCTCTGGCATCAATGTTGGTAAGTACTCCTGGGGAGACGGCTCGTTCCTGATGCCATTAGAATTCATGGCGTCTAGAAAACCGGTGGAAGGTGGAACAGGAACATCCTCTGGTTGATCAAACATCAATTGCATTAGGCCCTGGGACCAAGGCGATAGAGGCACCTCTGGTTGGATTGCATATAAATCATTGGTCGGTATCACATGTTCCGGAGAGCTAGAGTCTATATTTTGGAGATCGCTCATGGGTGGTCCGCGAGATAGATCGTTTTGAACTTGGTTCAGTTTGAAAGCTCCGAAGGGGCCCCGCCGAATCTCGATATCATCTGACGAAGTCGCTCTTTCGCATTCATCATCAATGCGTGATAATATTCGAAGAGTTGTCTTTGGGGGTGCACTGGATACAAGCCATTTACTCATGCGCTCTCTCTCTTTCACTGAGAGCAGCGGCCGACGAAAGCGAACCCCGTGGTTTCCCGGTGAAGTCTCAAAGTCAAAGAAGATATCTTTCTTATATCCACTACAGGGAAGTCCAAAGTATTGGCACATTGAACATTCTGGCTGTCCTTCATCGCATTTGACATGCCGACTTCGACACTATTGACATAATCAGAGATGGAAGTTATCACCATCAGAACATCGTACTTACTGTGGCACATCCTGTAAACGATCTAGTGTGAGTACTGATCTCGTGTATACTTTCTTCAATTGAAGTCGCCATATTGTGAGTATGAAAAATGAAAGCATATGATGCCTGTACACTTCATTTGCGGGGAAAGAACATCGGTGGATCGCCGATAGCGGAAACCTTCCTATTTCGACGGCGCAGTCACTTTCCTATCACATCGCTTATCGTTTTGTTGGATGTATGTTAATTAGTTGAACATAATTCAAACCACTATGTGTTTCCTATGTTTGAGCCCAGATTCTCTCAATTACTTATCGGATAGTCTATTCGGAAGACGTCTTACCCATCTCAGACTCTATTGCTAACTGGTCTGGTCATTATCAAAACCACCCTAAGTGTGAAGATATGGCTTCTTTTGAGGGTAAAGTGGTAAGTGTTCCCTAATATCTGAGGGCATACCTTGAACTAATGGTCATGTTTTCCCTAGCTTGCCATCACTGGCGCGGCCTCGGGAATGGGGCTAGCGACAGCAAAGCTCCTAGCTACGCGCGGCGCAATCATCTCTCTTGCCGATATAAATGAAAAGGCTCTGGATATAGCCATCCAATCCCTCTCCAATAGCGAGAAGCACATATCTTCGGTTGTCGATGTTCGCAACAGCAAATCCGTGAACGAATGGATCCAGTCAACCGTCGAGAAGCTAGGTAAACTGGACGGTGCTGTCAACATGGCTGGAGTCATCACACCTGCTGCTTCAGTCGCAGATGAGACCGATGATAATTGGGATTTCACTTTTGCTGTGAACACCCGGGGTGTGTTCTTCTGTCTGAGAGCCCAATTAAATGCAATGAAGCCGGGAGGCAGTATTGTGAGTTCCGCCCAGATCTCGACTCTGATATGGCAATGCTCAATGTTTATGAAACAGGTTTCTGCTGCAAGCGTCTTTGGTCAAATGGGTGCTCCCGGTGTTTCGGCCTATTGTGCCAGTAAAGCAGCAGTCATCGGCTTGACAAGGACTGCAGCCAAGGAGAACCAGAATATCCGTGTCAACTGTGTCTCTCCAGGTGAGCATATGGCCTATGCAATCCAACAATGACTAATTAGCAATTGTTCAGGCTCCGTCAACACACCACTCTCCGCGAGTGAAGACCCAGAAAATGTGAAACGCAGTCTGCAGAAGACGGCACAAAAGCGACAGGCACAGCCAGAGGAGATTGCAACTGTGATCGCGTTTCTCTTGAGTGAGGAGGCGAGCTTCGTGACTGGCGCTGTTTATAACGTCGACGGTGGGTGGATGTGTTAATGGGTAACTGTTGAATCCATGGATGCTTCATATCATCCATAGGAGTCAGAGCCAGAAATTGGATTTTTGGCGCAAAGAATGAATGAATTGGGCTGTCTGGTGGTAAATAGCCACGATGAATTCAATAACGATTCGCAACTTAGACCAGTAGTTTCTAAGTTTCGCAAATCAAATTCATGTCAGCGAGCATTTGGAACGAAGCCATGTATAGTTGCTCAATTATACTTCAAACGGAGAAAAAAGCATGAGAATAATAGCTGGCCAATTCAGAACTGGGCTATGCCCATTCTCGAATCGCTAGACATGGCATCTAATAATGGACCAGCTGATTTTGCATGTTGCCCGTAAAAAGCCTCTTTGGACATAGAATCATGAATTATGCGATGTCCCGGCCAGCATTCTCCACGGCGAGCACGCCAACAAGAATATAGCCGGGACCTTTTGTAAGATGCTAGAAAACAGAGTAAACAGGTCTATGTCTTCAGTGCCTGGAGCAAACAGTCCCAAGTCGGGCAGACAAAAAAAGCGAAAACCATAACACGCCAGGACCAGCCAGGAATAAAAGCGGGTGAATCAAGAAATGCTCCAACTCGGGCGAAAACACATCATAGCCCTCCAACGCAAAATTTCCGTCTTCTTTCACATTTGTCGCAAGCCCTCTGCAAGACGCCGCTTGCCGAATTCCCAGGCATTCATTAGACCCTGTTCCGTGAGGTCGATGTTCTTCATGTTGGGTGCGTCTGCGGCTGGTGCGCGGCTGACACGCGAGGCGATCATGACAGGATCGGTCTCGAGGATGATTCCGTCGTCAATGGTCTCGTCAATGGCCAGAGAGACAAGGTCGTAGTTCTCGACGATTGTGCGCTTGTCGGTTGCGCCCCTGGTGAACGATTGCGTTAGACATAGTCGGGTACTTAACTTTGCATGGATATATCAACATACTTGAATAGAATTCCCAGAGCATCCCGTAGTGAGAGCACGACGTTGTACAGCAGAACCTCGTTCTCGTCCGCGCTTCCAACAACGTACAGCATGACGTCGCTCTCCATCTTGAATACAACGATACGGTTGTCGTAAAGAATCACATCGCTGGCGGACTTGTTGGTCTTTTCGAGGAGGCCCTTCTCGAATGCGCGCTGCTCCTTAACTGTGGGGTAGGGGTTGGCACCGGGGTAGTCAGTTGAGTTGGGTGCGGCGCCGGCGGGGGGTGAGGTGCCGAATAGTACTTGGCGAAGATTCGGGAGCCATCTTCAGCGGACATGACTAGGACCGCATTGACGGAGAACAGAGAGAGAGGACCAGGCATTGTGATTATTCTTGTTTTGGAGAGCAATTGGAGAATGCTGTGATTGTTGATGCCCTCGACGCCAATCTGGCCGGAGGCGGAGACGCACTAATGTTGTTCCGCTGTCTATCACAAGAGCTAGATCGACGAGTAGCTGCACGCACAAGAACTCGAATTCCTATTTGGAGTTCCTGTTTATTTCGTTGAGGGTCCATTTCATGCTGGTATGTATCTACATGAAGGTAACACTTTCTGGTTTGTCAATCAAAACGTGACCATCTCACGCAGATAGAGTAGAATTCACAGATCGCTAAGTAACCACAGGTCCTAGTTGCGATACTACGATACTAAACCATGGAACATTGGGAACGTGAAAATGACCTGAGTGGAAATATATCATCGAGAATGAGAAATGGGGGAATAGTATATATCAAGATTAAAACATGTCCGAGACTCCTTTACGAACTCAGATTGGATGAGGGGACATGATCAAATTGCGTCAAAGAGAACATGAAACATCGCGGTCCTTACATTGCAAGGCACACATCCCAAGGCGTGAGTCGTTTTATGTGCATGAGATGGGGTATGGGTATGTTGGAAAATTTGGTAAAGACCGAGTAAAAATCACATCAAATCATACTGCCTGGGAACCAGGCCTACTGCGGCGCCGGTTCATCGGGGTTGGTGCGGTTCAGCCACGGAATCCAGCTCGCGCGGTTAGCCTTCTTGCGTGCCGCTTCTTCTTCTTCCTTGATTCTGGCAGTTTCGCTAACGAGACGCAGGGGACGCAACTTGTCCTGCTGCATCACTGCACCGGTGTAATTATTCATGCCGCCACTAGAGCGAGGAGGGCTGGAGGTAGCACCGGTAGATGCTGTATCTGCGTGAGGGTCACTCGTGACGCTGGGAGAGCTGCTGCGGCCGGCCCGATCATGCTGACTAGACATCGATGGTGCACGGCTCATGCTAGAGATGTAGCTTGCAGCACTGGAGAACATGCTCTGGCGCGAACCAGGGCCCAAGGTAGATGGGCTGATAGGTCCGCCCGAGTTACGCCCACTGTACATCTGACCAACAACACTTGCAGCGCCCTGATCGACTTGTTCCGAGCGGCTACGGCGGTGACTGGCTCTAACGGACTGGGTGCGGAATGGAATACTGGGTGCAGTGTTGGGATTCTCATTGGGGTTGACCTGCGAGGGTGCAGGTGGAGGCATCATGCTGGTTGGCCGCGAGCGAGGTTGAGTTTGAGGTCGAGCAGTTGGACCGCCGACCACACTTTTGGCTCGTTGCAAGAAGGACGAGTTGGCAGCGTCATCCTTCTCTGGAGGTGTCGGGGGTAGGTCCTTGTCATGGCCTCCTGCTGGCTTGTCGGAAGCATCATCTTCATTCTTGTCCAGAATATGTTCGAATCCGTCGTGCATAAGGAGCCTGCTGATAATGCGTTCAATGTAGAGTGTCAAGGCTTTGTTCTGATCTTTGAGGGCCTTGACCTCTCCCTCTGGCTTGTGCTCGACATCAGTTTCGGGAGACTCCTTCACGGATTCGAGTTCGTCTGCCAAAGATCCCAGTCCACTCGCTGAGTCTTTGCCGGGGTGGGCATCCCGCATGAATTCACCCTTGGTAAAGTCGCCGGTAAGTGTCTTCTCACTGAGAAGAAGTTGGTAGCTTTCATTGTCCTCCACCAACCGGGCGTTGGCCATGCGGGCCTCAAGCAACTCCTTCTCCAGTTCCCGCTGTGCTCCGCCTCCATTCTCCATCTCAACGAGTTTAATCTGTGATTCAGCTAACTCGAGGCGTAGTGATTCGATGAGTTTGTCTTTCTGCAGAAGAAGGGTGGAGTTGTTCCGGGAGGGGCTTCGCTCGATGTGCGAGGAGGGCGCAAATTGGCCATCGATGTCCGGGGAAGATCGGTTGCGAAAACTCGCTATACTGGTGTCAGTCCATAGATCAAACAAATGGCAAAAGCGTGATAGACTTACAGGATCGGGAGACTTGGTGGCGATCCCCTTCTGCATTCATGCGCAAGTCCTTCTGTGCCATCGAGTCTTTCAGGCGCTGAATAGTGGCCTGCATTTCTTCCTCTCGGCTGGTGTGCTGTTCTTTCTCCTGTAGCATCGCATTGCGCTCGGACTCATGGTTTTGTTCCAGGTCCCGAATCTGACGACCCTGATCCCGAATACTATTGTTGAGGGTCTCGATTTGACTGTCTCGCTCGTGAGCCTGGTCCTCCAATTTACTTTGTTCGCTAATCGCTTCATCGAGTCGCATTTGCAGGACACCGAGTTGTTTCTGGTATTGTTCGGAGGCGGTTTCCGCCTTCTGAAGCTGCTCTCGCAGTTCCTCAATCAAGGTGGCATTCTGGGCCCGCGCCTCCTCTTCGGAGGGGTCGTTGGAGACCCGTGGAACGTTTGACATGCTGAGGTTGGAGCGGCCAGGTTTTCTTGCAGCCGCGCGCGCAGAGACGGGAGTAGAGCCTCTAAATGAGGGAGAACGGTTGAGACTATTGGTTGCGGTGCTGGGCGAGCGTGCATGCCCTCGTGTGGTGGGCCCGTCGTTTGAGTGCGGATCTGCGGGTGATGATTTGTTGGAACTGCCGGGCATTCCAGGCTTGCGAGGCGTTGCTGACATGGTGTAGGATCCCAAGTCCGTGGACTCTGGTGAGTGTAACAGATAAAACCTATGTATATAATCCTTCAAAGATATACTTCAATTGGGAGGAGAAAGGGGAGAAATCAGGGTGCAAGCCGCAATTAGAAGCGGTCAAAACCTAGTGGACACCTAGTGGAGAGCCGCCGCTTGTATCAAAGATTTAAGGCCAGGAATGTGGTGAAAGCTGTCACAGATTGATTGCGGGCCACATGGTTGACAGAAGCTGAAGACTCATCGAAAATAATCGCCGGGATGAGGATTGGAATGGGAAAGGAATGAGAAATGATGATTGCAGCCCAAAATATCGCAGTGTTATGAAAGCGGATCCCTTACTCTGTATTCTAAAAATACACTGTAATGGACTTGGGGGTGAAACAATACGAGAGGAAGACTTCGAGACGAAACAGTGAATAGAAATGAAACAGGAGACAAATGTTTAATTTAAGTTCTTTCTGGTTGTTAAATTAGGAACTCATATGTTGAGAATAAAGTCCTATGAAAGGATGAAAACATCACCCCAATGAGGATATCTCATTGGCAGATCGTCTTAGTGCCTTAGGCCACTAGAGGTTTGCTTAATTAACCCGTTTCTCGGACTAACATATCTCCTTTCTCCACATCTAGCACTCCGTATTGAGATCTCCAAACGGGCATGGTACATCCACTGCAGGAATTCCCGGGGGGGACTTTAGCATATAATTGAATTTCTGTCAGACACAGAATTTCTCGGAACTGATTACACCATTATTATCTCAAAGCACTTCAAAGATTTGAGTCATGTGCGCCACCAAAGACGGAATATTAACCAATCAGTGAACAAGCTCCTCACTCCTCGATAATCATGTCAGCCCCGGGCTCTTTAGGATCGACTCATCTACTTGTCGTCGAGCAACATCATTGATTTCTACAATCGATGTGTACAAGTGATCTGTGCAAACCAATCATGTTACAAGCCTCGCTACTTCTGAAGTCATGACATATGGTTACAGATCCAAAGAAAACCCCATTCGGTAAACTGGTCCGATCCGCCACCATGGCCACTCTCATGAGGAGATGTCCAACATATGAAAGGTGACAGCGATCATGAGCCCATCAATTCTCAATGAGGTCATCATGGCGGCTTGCTGCGAGGAACCCATACTATCCTTAACTAAACAACGGGCGGATATTCAGCTATCATCTTGGGTATAGATAGATTCTGTAGACCCCGGTCGCACTCTTGACTCAAAGCCTCAAAGGCACGGAGTTTTATGACTCACTCTCACTCTTGATTATGAACTTGATTTACTTCCAAGTTTATAGTAATCAATGCTTATAAACTCGCCGTATCGTAGAGTTGTTGCTCCGATTGGAAGTTGATATCCCAAAGCGGTAACGCGGGACGGGTTCTGATTGGCCCGCTCGGTAGGGTTAGGGCTATGTAAACCGGTTAGCGTTAGCACAATTCTGGTGCTTGGAAATCAGATAATCCCGTGACCCAAGGAGTCTTTTCTCTCTCTTTCTCCGAACCCTCGACACCATCGACAACCTACACCCAGTTCGCAGGAAGTGCCATCACCACCCTTCCAGCACTCAAAATGGCCCGTCGTCCCGCGAGATGTTACCGCTACTGCAAGAACAAGGTGCGTTTCGATTTCGCAACTTCATGAACATTTGTGTGGGCAAATGACGGACTATCTCGGTTGTGGGGAGTGCACGATGCTTCACCCACCAAACTCGCCACACCGGAATATGTCTATCGCCAATGGAAATAATAGATGTCATGGGCTTTTCGAAGAAACTTTTTTCACAAAAAGATGAACGGTTTCGCTAACTACGATCTTCAATCAGCCTTACCCCAAGTCTCGTTTCAACCGCGGTGTTCCCGACGCTAAGATTCGCATCTTCGATCTTGGTCGTAAGAAGGCTAACGTGGATGACTTCCCCATGTGTGTCCACCTCGTCTCCAACGAGTACGAGCAGCTGTCCTCCGAGGCTCTCGAAGCCGCCCGTATTTGCGCCAACAAGTACGTTTTCCCACCCGATTACAACTTCCACCACACTCCTGGACGCAAACTCATAATTATTCTCACAGGTACCTCGTCAAGATCGCCGGTAAGGAAGGTTTCCACCTGCGTGTCCGTGTCCACCCCTTCCACGTCGTCCGTATCAACAAGATGTTGTCGTGCGCTGGTGCCGATCGTCTGCAGACCGGTATGCGTGGTGCCTTCGGTAAGCCCCAGGGTCTCGTCGCCCGTGTGAACATTGGCCAGATCATTCTGTCCGTCCGCACCCGTGACGCCCACCGCGCTACCGCTCTTGAGGCCCTCCGCCGTTCCATGTACAAGTTCCCCGGTCGCCAAAAGATCATTGTCTCCAAGAACTGGGGTTTCACTCCCGTCCGCCGCGAGGAGTACGTCCAGCTCCGCCAGGAGGGCAAGCTCCGCTCCGACGGTGCCTACGTCCAGTTCCTCCGTGGCCACGGTCTCGTTGAGGAGAACATGAAGCGCTTCCCCGATGCCTACGAGAACCTTGCTTAGATGGTGATGGGTTATTCAGAATATGAAATTCAGAACGACAAAAATACTTGAATGTTCTCTTATTGTCTTTACCTTGTCCCACCTATCTTGATATCAAACTCGTGCAATCGCAATGATGGAGTTCTTCCATGGGTAATTTTTCTTTTGCCTTGTTTTGCACTGTTCTTCGTAATCCGTAACTTTCTTAAAGTTCTAGTACATGCCATTTTCTATATCTAACTATGTGCCTACCTAAATACACCTCTACACCTTGCGATATATGTGAACGAGCTAAGCATAACGTGGAGTTTCCCCAAAACCCAAATTGTTGACAAGCATATACCATCTACCGCGTAGGTGTTAGCCAGACCGTCATAATTCCCACAAGTCTAGACCGATTTCCATAGGGCTTTGATGATCGGGGCTAAAATATGGGGCACGTCACGCCTGCGCAGCATAGGGTTGGATTTGGCCCATCACCAATTCGATCTGCATGATTTGTTTATTGATTTTAATTAGTTAGATCTTATCTTCGAGCGTTGAGTTTGTGGTCGCCTTGTTCAAAGAAACCAATTTTACTGGCAGTAATCTCTACGTAAAAATTCTTAGAACTTGATGGTTATATATTTCATACAGTAACATTGAACGATATAGCCTCAACATTAGATAGATTCATCCGCTGAAAATACACATGAGAAGACAAAATTATTCCGAATGATTATCCCCGCTCCTTATAAGAAAACATTTTATGAATATCAAAGTATATATAAATCGTTTACTCCGATGATATCCCATCGCAACGCTCTTTGTGCAATTCTCCAGCGACTATGTAGAAGAACCATTAGCACACACTCCAAAAACAGGTAGACTTCCACTTGAAGCCAGATAAAAATGAAATGGAAAAGAAGGAAACTAATGTACCTGTTAGGTCTTCTGGGGTACAAGCAGCCTTCAAGCAAGCACCGAGTGTATCCTTGAACGCCGGGCTTGGGCAGGTGCATTTAGCATCAACAGACGATATACATCCTGCTACTGATGCTGCTTCAGAGAGGCATCGAAGCTAATTAGATAAAAAAAGAAACAGTTAGTCTTTTAGTCTTTTGGGGCTATCTCATATAGGGTGGAGACTCACGAGGCAAGGACTGGCATCATCTCCAGAATCTCCAGACTCAGCAACGGCCCAAGACAGGAAGGCAGTGAGCGGAAGGAAGATGGTGAGCTTCATTTTAAGGATTGAAGTATATTTCAAGTGGATGTGGTAGAGCGCATTCAATGATGGATGTCTTGGAGCGTAAGGACGAAAGTGTTGAGAAAGCAGGAACCTGGCCCGATTTATCAACAGTTGATCTATTCCCAAGCCACTATGACATAGTGTACATTCCTGGCCTTGGCGGTATTCAAGGTAAACAATGGTGGTGTCGGGGTGATCAGCGGAATGAGATCTCAATCTCGTTGGAATGTCCCATCCAGGTTGTGCCAGGACGTGATAAGTACTGCATCCATATCAAGAATTAAGAGATATAGCGGGACGAGACCTTTATTATTGTACAAAACGTATCTATCTCTAACAAAGTGAATATTACATACTTTTGCCCACTGTAGGCTATCCTTCTGGGACAAACTATCGACACCAGTATATACTAGAGTTTGACATACCGCGACAGATTCACGCAGAAGTACCGATGAACCGCTGCGATACTCTCACTTCTGGAGAAATACGTTGCAATGCTGATGTAAGCTCATCGGCACCCCGGAGGAGCGCATCGTCGGAGAGCGGCTCCAGTGCATCCAGGATAAAGAGCACACGCGTGGTATCATCGCTCAGCGCAGTGCGAGGACCCTGTCGCCAGTTCCATCGACGGCAAGTAACGCCAGTATCATCACACCATATAGGTTCTCCCGGGGCTGCAAGTTCTGTTGTGGGTTCCCCACTCGAAAAGGTCTGGAATCGTTCTTGGCCAGTGGCACGGATCAGAAAAGGCGATCCATTGTACTTGTCAAGGTCTTCGCCACCAAGAGGAATTTGATGCTTGATCGAGATCGCATTGTAGATATCGGTCAATCGATTCACACGAGGCAACCCGTTCTTTGCACGGCGCATCAATGCCTCTAAACTGTTTTGGGTTTTTTGCGGCTTTGCACCAAAGGCTTTGTAGGCTTCCCGCCATGCTGCAATATGTGGGATCTCGGTGGTGGGATACTTTGATAGTAGATTCTTGACCGAGGCTTCGGCTTCTTGCAAAAGGGCCTCGCTGGCATCATCGCTGGAACCTGGAGAGATGCCCTCAACAAGCAGTAGTATAACGCGATAATCCGGACGCAGCTCAAAAATTTCTGAAGCTACGTGTGCATTTTGCAGCAAATTTGAGTCGACTCGTGACTCGACCATGACCGGCAATAGAGTAAAGGTGCTGGATATATAGGAGTTTAAGTGGGAGTTTTGAGAGATTGATCAAACGGGGGGAGTAGACTTGCAGAGGAAATGAAGAGGAGAGTTGCAACGATTTATACTTGAAGATTCTTCACAAATTTGGCGACTCAGACCCGAAAAGCTCGTTCGTAGTTTACATTTTGTATACATGTACCCACCGGCATTGTAGTCAATAACTAGTTATATGATTGGTTCATGTAATCTAGGGTGGAGCTTTCTTCCGACAACTTCCATTTCAGGTTAGATCGCTGATCTATACCGAGTTTTGAGTAACTATCATCATTTTTCTCATATCTCCTTGTTAGCCACCTGTTGCCACTCTTGCTCAAATTTCACCGCACCAAAATATTCGACTTTAACATGGGGCCAACCAGTGATATACCAACATGAGTGGTCCTAAGAGTGGGAGATACTGAATGCTACTTGATATGACAGTCCTTTATTAATGAGTTTGTAAAATCTATCTTTGAAAAGTCGAGAGGGAGACTTCTGTTTCTAAGTCAAGTGAACAGGACACGGGAAGGAAATGGTAGATCACAGTCTCAGTCTGAAAATCTGACTGTAAACAAAGAAGCCGCCGGGTTGTCCAGGTATGGGCATCAGTTGGAAAGTCACGGAGAATGGAAGAGGCTTATCGTAGTTTCTATCAATCTTTTGATTTGAGACCTGGAGTTAGATGGGTTCGATCTTAGTAGTGAACATGGGATCCTTAGTGTCATATTTCAAGAACAAGCACCAGGACACCCTCTCCCGCGGACGGTGTGGCATCTAGACTGATGACCTGACTCTTCACATCTACTAGCCCGGGTTTCTATCCATGGATAGATTTTATGAGTCAGCCATGGGCTATTTCTAGAACATAGAGCTTGCCTTCTCGTGAGGGACTCACAGTCAGGGTATTTATGATGTCATCCGTGCCTTGGTGTCGCTGACTTTCCCAAACCCAACATTGACTCTGGGCGCTATTCTGAGGTAAGCTTTCAAATTTGAATCTGAAATATTGCGATCTTTTGGATTTCGTAACCCTGCCCCTCTATATGGTATTTACTAAAAGGATACGCACATAGATGGTGCGTAGGTTCGATCTTGCGCTATAATCATCAAAGGTTGTAAAGTAGTGCTGCACAAACGATGCTATTCAAAGTGAACTACAAGCAATTAGAAAATTCCTCGATATGAATTCCACCATGAGTGTGTGGAAGCATAAATGGTAGGGCTGCTTACTGGCTATTCCGTGGAAATCCATTGTTGCGATATACTGAGCATAGGCCTCGTTAGCATATGAGTCACTTTTCCTCAGTATCGAACGATGGAAAACATACAGAGAAGACCTCAAAATTCGAAGAAGACAAGTAGTGGGGGAATTTCGAAGGTTGAGAGTCAGAGTTAAACGAGTGGGTGAACACACCTCTTTATAGGTTGTAGCCGGGAATAAGTCACACACGAAGCACGGTGTATTGTAATGGCATGGATTGCAGGAAGATGCAGTGAAATAGATACTAAGAGAGCAAATCCTTTGACCGTCAGTGTTGAAATACACAAAACAGGTCCAGATTACATAGATCAGATTGAGTGACGATTAGTGTCCACTTTCGATCGAACACATCGGCCAATATTTCTTTGTTCTGAAATTCCCCAGAAAGGCTGCATGAAGAATTATTATCCATATGACACTGGCCAGGTATCTATATGGCATTTGTCTGGAAGAAGTCTATACCGTAAAAATCTCTACTCACCGGGTCTTTGACTTATCATAAAGTTCAGACATTGTTCGTAGTATTGAGACTGATGATATAATGTAGCTACATGACCAGTATACTCTTTATATATTCTGATTTCACATTAAAGCCATAGTATATAGGGGAAACTTCGCCGCTATATGCTAAAATTTGAAAGGCAAGTAAGGAACAGACTTTGAAAGCGGTCGAAGAAGACGTGCAGATAGTGTATGTAGTAATAGTGAAAAGGATTGCTAGAACCTCTAAACAAGATTTGTTCCTCTAACTCTCTGCCTATTCCCGCTAAAAGCTGATCTCCTTCTGTGGCCAACACAATATTACCAGAATAGGATTGACGTTCGGTTGATAGCGAGGATAGCCGGTATTGAATCATAAAATCATAAATTCACTTCTTCATAATTCCACTTCTCGTATACACATCTAGGGCAAGTATATCTACAAGATCATCAAATTAGAAAAGGCACGATTTCTTTCAATTTCTTTGCTAAGCACAAACTAGTCGGTTCAACAAACTGCCTATTGATAAACAAGGCGTCATTGAAAGACTGTAGATCACTTTGGTCTCCCTAGGTTTCCATTCCAAGCTGACATATCACTTTCTGTCTGTCAATTTGTGACATAGAGATTCTGTGTATAAGCCAAATATGTTTGGGAAACCATTGATACGCCAGACGGGCGTCTAGTCAATGTTTTGCACACAAAGTTGGAAGAATCTCAGCTGATAGCCAGGCTCATTGCATTCTATTTTTAAAAGACGCGAAGAAAGGTTGTAAAACAAAGCTTTTAACAGAGTCCTAAAAACCCTAGACCTAACAACGTACTACTAGGCCATGCATGGCTGAAGTATAGAATTAATACATCAGTGGCCGCTATTCCAAATTGAGACTCCGATGCTCCTGCCCCGCATACGTCACATTCGAAAATTCCTCTTTCTCCTCAACACCACCACCATGAAGCAGAGATTCTCGTCTTTGGACGTTAAGGTATAGGAAGATTCCACAGAAGGAGGAAATAAAGCTAACAGCACTAGGTCATCTCGCAGGAGCTGGCGTCGGAGTGCGTCAACCTCCGTGTGTCCAATATTTACGATCTTTCTTCGGTATGCTTGCCGCCCTTCCCGAATCCTACATATGTAGGTGATAATATCCGCTGAACTAATTTGTTCCCTGTCAGCGAATTTTCCTTTTCAAACTAGCAAAACCGGACCATCGCCGGCAACTCATTGTTGACTCCGGCTTTCGCACTCATGTCACTCAATACTCACGAACTGCCGCAACCACACCTTCGCCCTTTGTGACACGTCTCCGAAAGTACTTGAAGTCCCGTCGGATTACAGGAATCTCCCAAATTGGAACGGATCGCATCATCGACATCTCTTTCAGCGATGGCGCATATCACATTTTTCTCGAGTTTTTCGCCGGCGGTAATATCATCTTGACAGACCGCGATTACAACATTATTGCTTTGTTCCGGCAGGTTGCCCCTGGCGAGGGACAAGAGGAGATTAAGGTCGGATTGCAATACATCGTATCAAACAAACAAAACTATGATGGAATTCCGGATATTACAGCAGAACGAGTGAAGCAGACACTAGAGAAAGCACAGGCACTCTTTGCGCACGAGGGCCCTGCATCCAAGAAATCTAAGAAAAAGAGTGCGGATGTTTTGCGGAAGGCCTTGTCGCAGGGCTTTCCTGAATATCCTCCTTTGCTACTCGATCATGTCTTTGCGGTCAAGAATTTTGATACCACCATCGCACTGAATCAAGTTTTGGAAAGCCAGGACCTATTGCGACAGGTGCAAGATGTGTTGGAAGAGTCGCAGCGTATCTCCAACGGATTTGATACTGGGGACAGCCATCCAGGCTACATTGTCGCGAAGGAAGATACCCGCCCCGTTCCCGAGGAAGAAGGTTCATCCAAAGGCCCAGGTCTACTGTACGAAGACTTCCATCCCTTCAAGCCTCGACAGTTTGAAGGTAAACCGGGAGTGAAAATTCTTGAGTTTGAGCGCTTCAATGCCACAGTCGATGAGTACTTCTCCTCGCTAGAATCGCAGCGTCTCGAATCGCGTTTGACCGAACGAGAGCAAGCAGCCAAGAAGAAGCTCGAATCCGTTCGAGAAGAACACAAAAAGCGGATTGATGCCCTCAAGGATGCGCAAGAGCTTCACATTCGCAAAGGTGAAGCAATCCAAGACAACGTGTATCGAGTCCAAGAGGCAATGGATGCTGTCAATGGGTTGGTCGCTCAGGGAATGGACTGGGGCGAGATTGCACGCCTGATCGAGATGGAGCAAAGTCGGGGAAACCAAGTAGCGCAGATTATCAAGTTACCTCTGAAGCTGTATGAGAACACAATTACTCTCCTCCTTGGAGAGGCAGGCGATGACGAAGATGACGACGAGGAGTTTTCCAGCAGTGATGAATCAGACTCGGACTCAGACAACAATGAACAAGAGCAGACAGGGCGTGCGGAGCGAGAGTCTAAGCTACTGACCATCGACATCGACCTTGGGCTGAGTCCATGGGCAAACGCGTCGCAATACTACGACCAGAAGAAACAAGCCTCAGAGAAGGAGCAGAGAACCACCCAGTCATCTGCAAAGGCACTGAAGAGCCACGAGAAAAAGGTTACGACCGACCTTAAGAAAGGCCTGAAGAAGGAGAAGCAAGTCCTGCGACAATCCAGGACGCCATTCTGGTTCGAGAAATTCATTTTTTTCATCTCTTCAGAAGGTTACTTGGTTATCGGGTACGTGTCGCAACCACCGTTACGTTGTGGCGTCTGCTAATTTTTTCATAGTGCACGGGATTCCATGCAGAGCGAACTGCTCTACCGTCGTTACCTGACCAAGGGAGATGTTTTCGTCCATGCTGACCTAGAAGGTGCAACACCAATCGTGGTGAAGAATCGGGCCGGGAATACAGATGCGCCAATCTCTCCAAGTACACTCTCCCAGGCCGGCAACCTTTGCGTCGCGACATCTTCTGCTTGGGATTCAAAGGCTGTTATGTCCGCTTGGTGGGCGCATGCTCACCAGGTATCGAAGATTGCAGATAACGGTAGTGGCATTTTGCCGACAGGTGTCTTCCAAATTAAAGGAGAGAAAAACTTCTTGGCTCCCTCACAACTGGTCCTTGGATTTGCCATCATGTTCCAAATCAGCCTGGAAAGCGTCCGAAACCACAAGCAGCGATTCGACACATCCGATATTCCAGAATCTGCTATCACTCCTGGCGATCAGCCTGAACTTCCTAAATTGACTGACTCATCTTCTGTGGAAATTCCTGCAAAGCAGACAGAGCCTGTTGAACAGGCCAATTGCGATGCCATTTCAGATGAGAAAGAAGAAGCAGATAAGGAGGGAGAGGCATCCGAAGACGAGGAAGACGAAGATAACAACGCTGCAGCAGGAAACCCCCTTCAACGGGGTGATTCCGAGCTACCGGCTACCCAGCAATCGCACGAATCTGAGCCTGAGTCTGAGTCGGAGGATGAAGAGGAGCAAGAAGTCGCAGAGACACAGCTTGAAGGCGAACCAAAGTCACCGTCAACTCCAGGTCAGCCTGCTGTCTCTGAGCAACCAGAGGAGCCAAAACTCTCTGCTCGTGAGAGACGTACTTTGCGACAGGGCAAACCGCTTGATCGTCCCGAAGAACCAGCCGCGCCACGCATTGCCCCCACTCGGGGTAAACGGGCGAAGGACAAGCGTGCCGCTGCTAAGTACGCTCATCAAGATGACGACGAACGTGAACTCGCCCTTCGGCTGATTGGTGCCAACAAAGGCAAAGTCGCCAAGGCAGAAAAAGCGGCCGAAGCCAAGGAACAGCGCGAGCGAGACGCCGAGGCACAACGGCAACGCCGGCGAGCCCAGCATGAGCGCGCAGCCGAAGCTGAGCGCAAACGCCAAGCCCAATTCACGGAGAATGGTGCAGACGATTACAATGAGGAGACCGCTGCCGCGGAAGCTGCGGATCTTACTTGGATCCCAGCTTTGGTCGGTACGCCGACTGTAGATGATGAAGTTATTGCTGCCATTCCAGTATGTGCCCCATGGGCTGCACTTGGACGCTACAAATACAAGGTCAAGTTGCAGCCAGGTGCTGTGAAAAAAGGAAAGGCTGTCAAGGAGATTGTTGGCCGGTGGGTGTCTGAAACCACCACTGGCAAGGTCAAGAAAGAGCATGCCGAAGAAGTTGGAATCCCTCGTGCCGATGCGGAGCGTCTCCGGGAACGTGAAGGCGAGCTCATCAAGGGATGGAAGGATACAGAGATTATCAACACAATGGTTGTTGGTAAGGTGCGCATCATGACTGCAGGAGCTGGAAGCGGAGGAGGAGGTGGTGGTGATAAGGGCAAGGGCAAAGGTGGAAAGGGCGGTGGCGGTAGTGGAAAAGGAGGGTCTAAAGGTAAGAAGAAATGATCGATTGATATAAAAGTACAGTGTATATAGAATAGATGCTTGAATTCATTATTGTACATGTATCTATCGGTGAAGCGCTGATGAGACCAGCTGATCAGCCACAGACCCCGCTTCAAATACTTTATATCCACTGCATCTTGATATTTCATGATACTTGTTGAAGCATTTTGTTCCTCGTATATAGTCATTTGATCATCTCTTACTTTAGCATTTGCATAAGATCGCTGTCGCACTGGGCAGCCATGCGATGAGTAATCAATCCGACGTCATGCGGGCCCAATAGAATTTCTTCGCGAACTTCGCAAGTCGCAGCGACCTGTTATTATTAGCGACTGACGGCATCGTGCAGCATGTTAGTCACTAGATCCTATCATCTTTAGCCCTACAGAAGAACCATATTCATTATTTTTCCACAATTAGAACTCGGCCCCCTTGGGCATCATTTCGCCCCTCATCAAGCGCGCCTGAATGGTGCGTCATTGAGATTATCTCGAACACCAAGTTGCTTTTCACTCGCATTTTCGCCGGCCGCTGTCAGAGAAGTTGTGGCAGACTATTGACTACCATGGCTACATCCACGCGAGTTGTTTCCGTCCAGCGGCTCAGCAAAGGGCCCGGCAATTTGTCTCTGGCCGAATGGTGGAAACAGGAGCGCAATCAACAAACGCCCGAATCCAAGGCCATCGAAGAAGCTGCTGAACTTCTTCGTTCAAGTGACCTTCCTGTTGCCTTTCCTACTGAGACTGTATACGGGTTGGGAGCCGATGCCACACGCAGTGCTTCCGTCCAGGGCATCTACCGCGCCAAACAGCGGCCTTCGGACAACCCGCTGATCATTCATGTGGACTCACTCGACATGCTTGATCGCCTACTTAATCCGACTTACCAAAATAACTCCAACTCAACCAAGACACCGCCCATCGGCATCCCCTCAATCTATAACTCCCTGATTGAACGATTTTGGCCCGGCGCACTCACCATCATTCTACCTAATCCCTCCGGCTCTTTACTGGCTCCCGAGGTCACCTCCAACCTGACGACATTCGGCGTGCGCATGCCCTCTTCACCACTGGCACGTCTCCTAATTCACGCGACAGACCGTCCTCTCGCCGCACCATCCGCCAACGCATCCACCAAGCCATCCCCCACAACCGCGCAGCATGTATACCACGATCTCCAAAATCGCATTGAGTTGATTCTGGACGGTGGCCCATCCGGCGTTGGTGTCGAGAGCACCGTGGTCGACGGCCTCTGCGACCCTCCAGCCATTCTGCGCCCCGGCGGTATCGGCATTGACGAGATTCGCAAATGCGAAGGATGGGAAAACGTGGCAGTCGCCTACAAGGACGGCACGCTCGACGTGAAGGAGGTTCCCCGTGCACCAGGCATGAAGTACCGCCACTACTCCCCAAAAGCCCGAGTTGTCCTATTCGAGCCCACATCCAACCCAGTCGGAGTGGTGAAGCACGTCAATAAGGACCTGCATGATTCAGCCATTGGCGCACACAATATTGGTATTATCCGCACGCGCAACTGGAAACTGGGCCTGGAGCTTGCCCCGGAAGCTGAGGTTGCCGCTACCGTGAAACCGGTATCTAGTCCCATGGAGGCTATTGTCAGTTTCCCGATTCCCGTACAGGAGAATGGTAACCCGAGTAGCCGTACTAAGATGGCATACGATATGTATCTTGGTCCGGATGCCGTCTCCATTGCGCATGGTCTTTTCGCTGCCTTGCGCGCGCTGGACGATCTTGATGTTGATGTGATCTACGTTGAGGGTGTGTCCGATAGCGAGGGCGACCTTGCTGCGGCCGTGATGAACCGACTACGGAAGGCTGCTGGTGCTGAATTGCGAGCTTAGATGACTTATGAACATAGTTTACATAGAATTTTTAGTCAATATTAGATGTTCACAAACTATACCTAGTGTATATGCACAAAGTTGAGGAGAACGATTCTTATTGGACGATATATTAGACTTACCTGTTTAATCGAACCGTGGCTGTGCACTCCCGTTTTGGCTTTTCGACTTCTTTTTTCGGTGACCTCCGAGGCAAAAGCTTATCAAGTGGGTGGATTCCATTGTTCCAATTGATTCCGTGAATAACTGGGGCTTTTTGATATGGATGATTTTTTGTGACACCGGCGGGCGAGAATTGAAACTCATCCGGACGCTTCTTAAACTGATCCCCGCCTCGATCTACAAAAAGAAAACTCCTTCCCAAACAAAACCCACCTTCCATATCACAACAATGTGTCAATCCCCTATGCTCGAGTTCCTCCAGGGTCTCCCCAAGTGCGAACACCACGTTCATCTTGAAGGCACTCTAGAGCCTGAACTGATTTTCGATCTTGCCGTACGCCATGGCATCACCTTACCCAGCGACCCAGTCTACACCTCAGTAGAGACCCTGAAGAAGCGCTACGAGCACTTCAGCAACCTAGACGACTTCCTGCACTTCTACTTCGAGGGCATGGCCGTTCTGCGCGAAGAGCAAGACTTCGCCGATCTGGCGTGGGCTTATTTCCAAAAAGCGCACGCAGACGGCGTCCACCATGCAGAAGTCTTCTTCGACCCGCAAGTGCACGAAAGCCGCGGCGTGCCATACAACACCATTGTCGACGGCTTCTCCAAGGGCTGCAAGCGCGCAGAGACAGAGCTCGGCCTGTCAACGCGCCTGATTTTGTGCTTCGTGCGCCATCTCCCTGTTGCGTCTGCGCAGGATCTGTACGATGAGATGCTCGTTCATAAGTCTTTTGAGAATGGTACCATTCACGGACTCGGTTGGTCTTCTTCTGAGGTCGGCCCGCCGAAGGATATGTTCCGTGAGATCTATGCTTCGGCTAAGGAGAAGAATATTCCCCTCACAGCGCATGCAGGCGAGGAAGGTGATCCTACTTATATTAGCACGGCGCTTGAGCTTGGTGCCACGCGAATCGATCATGGTATTCGCTTGATTGAAGATGAGGAACTCATGAAGCGTGTTGCTCGTGAGGGAATCTTGCTTACTGTCTGCCCGCTGTCGAATGTGCGGTTGCGTTGCGTCAAGTCTGTGAAGGAGGTGCCTATTCGGAAGTTTTTGGAGGCTGGGGTCAAGTTCTCGATTAACAGTGATGATCCTGCTTATTTCGGTGGTTATATTCTTGATAACTACTATGCTGTGCAGGAGGCATTCAATTTGAATGTCTTGGAGTGGAAGATTATTGCTGAGAACAGTGTCCAAGAGAGCTGGATTGACGATTCTCGGAAAGCAGAAATTTTGGAAAGTATCGAGGCTCATGTGAAGAAGTACATGCACACCATTGCTGCATGATTTAAGTTGTTGATGTATATAGTATGATGGTCTGGTTTTGAGCTGCGGAGGGTTTGCATCTGATACCCTGTGTTTCAACACTTTTGTATATACCATTTTCAACTGAGGTATATATGTTGAGAGCGTGAGAAAAATATATTCACCTTCTAGATTTTAATTACACGAAGTATCTTGGAAGGCATTCTGAAGTCCATTTTATATCATTGGTGCCTTATAATGCTGGCATTAATCTATACCCATGTCCACCAACCCCTCACTTGGCCATTTCACGTCTGCCAGCTGTCTGCGAAACAGCATTTCATGTCCCGAGCCACCGTTCGAAGTATCTGGAGCCTCCCAAGGTCTACTGTTCGGCCCCAACTACAGTCCAAAGCATATCACACGCTACGTCCTGTACCATCAACAAGCCCAAGATATTTTCCACAAAGGACCGGACTATTATACCGCTCTCAATCAAATCAAAAGCTCATTTTTTTCCATCTGAGTAACAAGATGTCCACATCAACGGCCTCAGACCGCTACAAGCTAGTCTTCTTCGTCCCTACTGAAAACGCAGAAACCTGCAAAGAAGCCATCTTTGCAACAGGCGCAGGGTCATTTCCCGGTGGGAAATATACCAAATGTTGTTTTCAGACTGTTGGAACAGGCCAATTCTTGCCAAACGAAGGTGCAGACCCAGCGGTCGGAGCTGTGGGTGCTTTGGAACGGTGCGAAGAGGCCAGGGTTGAGGTTATGTGTCTTGGTCGGGATGTTATGCTGAAGGCAGTGAATGCTTTGATCGAGGCACATCCGTACGAGGAGGTTGCGTATGAGGTTTATAAGATGGAGAATGTTTAGTTTTTTCGCTGTGAATATAGTCATGTTGTTACGCGTAAAATATAAATGAAGTGACAGCTCGGGGATTCGACTCTATATTCACAGCATAAAACGATCAAATCCTTGGGCAAGGCCTTTCTAAGGGACGGTTTTAGAAGCTTGATGAATTAGACTCTTCAATATGGCAAGAATTGGGTGAGCAGTATCCAATTCTGTACGTTGGGGCTGATATAATGTGTGCACACATACGGAAACTACGATTGCACTGTTTACTGACACCGGCCTCCGGATTCTTTTGTTGCAACAAACAACTGCTTCAACAACCAACAATACTACAACAATTCTTCCGCGCCCATCTTTTTACTAACAAAAAACAGAGAATGCCGCCCATACCAAAGGTCCTCGAGTGGCACCACACGGTCGTAAATATCGCCGCTGGAGGATACACACTTGAGCTGGCAGGCCAGGCAAGATTGGATGGTGGCGGGTGCGGAGGATTGGGCGATGGAAGCATTGGGGGACATGGGTATTGATGATCAGAGGATAGATGGCAGCTTTTTCTTTTGGTTTTTCTTCACTCATATCATCCTTACCTCTCTCTACCATTACTTAGCCTCAGATAGACCATCGACGATGGGCTCACCCTTCTCCGTAGGGTCAGTGACTAGTAACCTTCGGGTGAAGCCAAGATGGGCTCAAATATATATTTTTCAGATCTCTTTTATGGCTCAGTCCTTACATCAATCATCAAAAAAACTGCTTATCGTCCATCTAACGGCTGATAGATATGTAATTTTGAAGAAGAACATTTTAAATCTCTGCCAATAGTTAAGCGGCTGTGAGTATGATCGTAAAAGTTGTATAATGGTGGTGTTGAAGTTGAAGGGCTATGGAACAGAGGATTGGTAAAGCGGGAGTAATATACGCACGCTGATTGGCCAGAGGATCCGCCCGCAAAACGCCTTTGTCCTCGAACCGTCTTCTCCAACCTCTAACCACAACTTCCACTCCAATTGACCCTTACTCATCGCTCGCGATGGCCTCTTCACTCTTCTCGATCCCGCGGGTCGGCCGCCAGCTGATTCACCAACTTCCCAAGCCCCAATACAGAGCCTTCTCCGCCGGTGTGCAACGGTTCAGCGACTCCCTTTCGGTGGTGCGTTATTCGTATCGACCCCTCCAGTCTTTTGGGCACGAAATGTGTTTCTAAACTGCAGGACTTGGAAGAAGGAATATACTGACAATGATTGCCTCGGATAGCACCGCAACACCCCCCACAACAACCCGAGTCTCCCGTTCAAGTTTTCCGAGCAGAACCTCACCCTCGCCGATGAGATCCTCAAGCGCTACCCTCCCCAGTACAAGAAGGCCGCCGTCATGCCTCTTCTCGACCTTGGCCAGCGCCAGCACGGCTTCACCAGCATTAGCGTCATGAACGAAGTCGCTCGCATGCTCGAGATGCCCCCAATGCGTGTCTATGAGGTTGCGACCTTCTACACCATGTACAACCGCGAGCCCGTTGGCAAGTACTTCGTCCAGATTTGCACAACAGTAAGCCACCCGATCCCGCGCTATTTCCAGAAAATTCTAATCTCCAATTCTTTAGACTCCATGCCAGCTCGGAGGCTGCGGTAGTACCGCGATCGTCGAGGCCATCACCGAGCACCTCGGAATTACCCCAGGCCACACCACCGAAGACGGCCTCTTCACATACATCGAAGTCGAGTGCCTGGGCGCTTGCGTCAACGCCCCCATGGTCCAGATCAACGATGACTACTACGAAGACCTGACCCCCGAGTCCATCAAGACCATCCTGACAGCCCTTAAGGACTCCGCCACCACCACTGGCACCATCATTCCCGCCCCAGGGCCGGTGAGCGGGCGCGACACCTGCGAGAACAGCGCCGGCTTGACCAACTTGACCGAGGTTGTGTGGAATCCTGAGACGATGATGCGCAAAGACGGTGCATTGGACGCTGCGCCCCAACAATGAAGAAGCAGAAAAATATAAAAAGCTCTTTCATTGCCGTGGGTCAATTGCGGATGGCAGGATATTATAATGGTTGTGTTTTTTTCGACTGGACGAGCAAAAGCCGCCTTGGGGCACCGCGGTCAGCACAAAGATAGAGGTTCCCGCACCCCCTGGCGCCCTGAATGATAACCACTCTTGAGGCGTCCGTTTTTCTTTATTTGCCTGTTCATTATGTACAGTATGTTCCTGATTCGTGTCTGTGATTGGAGCCCAGATGTAGATCTGGCCCAATTGTTGATGGAATATCGGCAGGACCAATCGCATTTTTTTCCCTTAGATTCGTCGTGCTCGGTCAGACCATTAGGGTATGTCGTAGGTGCAGGTAAACTCCCGTTTGCAAATTGCATGAAAGCCATGCATGAATTCATTAGCATACAGATGGAATCAAAACTCGAGGTACACCGAGTTTAATCGACTCGGAATCTTCTACATTTTGGTTATCCAACATTTCTCGAATTTGTTTGAACAGAGACATTGCATTACTATGGACATGAATATGTACTCGACATGATATGTACCCTCGTAGAAGATAGAGGGCGTGAGCCATTTCGCCTAACGGCCTCAAGTAGATGCCGGCCCTTAGGCGGGCAAACGCTCAGCAGAAGTTCATGATCTGGTGCCTATTTCGGGACACCATTGTGGTTGTTTGTTGCTCAGGAGTGCTTTGGGGGTTGAACCACACGTATCACGTATATGGTCTCGTCACCACGTATGCTCATCATCTTTGTGGTAGTAGATGCAGCGCATGGGCGGTTTCATCCAGCGACATCATCGGGTAAATATTCTCCTTCGAGCAGGGTATCGTCTTCTAGAAGAACCTGGTCTTCGGGCAACAAAGTCGGGACACCGCTGCGATCGACAAGTTTGCTCGTGTGACGCTTTTGGAAGATGTTGATTTCGCATGTATTTTTCACAAGCAGATGGTAGACATGAACATCTCGTTGCTGGCCGTAGCGTCGAGCACGGCCAATAGCCTGGGTCATGCCGGCTTCCCAGTCGTGCTGAGTCGAGACGAAGAGTGGCGACAAGAAGATGACATGGTTTGCGCATTGGAGGTTCCTGTAAATTAAATGGTTAATGAAATCGGTATTAAAAGGATGAGACATTCATGGACAACTTACAATCCGGCAGCCATTGAGCTTCCGAGATTCAAGATCAAAGCCTTGGGACGTGGTGGTACTTGTGTCTGGCCCTTCTTCGGTTTGGGACCTTCGATGAATTCAGTGATCACCTTCAAGCTGCTCGAAGTGACCATGCGGTGGTCGATATTCGCGGCTTTAAGGGCGTCTGAGGCAACGGGCATCAGGTGGCCTATCTGCACGAAGATCAGGGCGAGTTCGTCCTGTGGAATGTTGCGTATTATTTGAACAAGTCTGTTGAGCTTGGAGCTGTTGGTTGCTTGGTCTTCGTTGACTAGAGAAGTACCGGGGACGATCTTGGATTGCACAACCTGGCCGTCGCAGTCGCTGATGACACAGGACCTGTCTTTTTTGGCCATTGTCACACATTTTCCGCATAGGATATGGCCACAGGATTTGAGGGTGTTGAGATCATCCTTGTTGGGAACATCTTCTTTGCAGTTTTGACAAGGTGTAGTTGTGTTGGTTTGAATGGTCAAAAGAGCTTCGTAGAAGCGATGTTCACGATCGATCTCGCCGACTTGCTTTAGAAGAGAGATGATTTCGGTAGTCAGGGTTTTGTTAACAGCTGCCACAATCTGTGTGCCCCTGTTGGAGGGCCCTTGCGCGGACCTCTTCACACGTTTTGATGGCGGCTGCTGGGTTTCTTCGAAGGGTTCTTCGGTTTCTGTGATATTTGTTGGAAGCTTCGCTTTGGCTGCGGTGGCATTATCTGCTTTTAGGGCCTTTTGTACTCTTTCGTCAACCCGGTCACCGAGCTTTTTGTACTCTCGCGAGTTTGATTCAATCCATTCCTCGTGTGATGTAAAACAATCCGTCAAAAGAGAGGTTAATGCATTCACGAAACCGGTGTCGCCGAATTTACCCTTCAAGACGCCGACCATGCATTCTTCCCAGCCTTCTGGAGTGGTGGTTTGACGATACCAAAGAATAATTGCCTGTCGGCACACCAAGCGTATCTTTTCCCAAATCTCGGTGGATTTTGTTTTGTTGTTGGACGATCCTTTGCGACATTTTTCGATATTCCAGGGTGCCTTCCCGATTTGAGACGTTGTGCAGGACGTAATGAGGGCCTCTTCAGGGTATTGACTCTTGGACAAGATGTTATCCAAGGGACCGTCGATGCGCTTCTTGCTTTCCTTGAATGCTTGGAACAACGTGTTGTACGCCGCCTTTTCGGTGGGTATTTGGCCGATGATGTCAAGGTTCGTTATCAACTCAATGCGTTTGATCTTTGCCATGTTTTGACGTGCAAACCTATCCAGGAATTTTTGAGCGTGCAGTCGGCGGTTCTTGTACCATGCATTGCTGTGAGGGACCTGATACATCTGGAATGCCTCAACAGCTGTGTGATTCTTTCGAATAGTTCGCAGTCTCTTGTTCTTTGTGGCACGATCGCCATCATCGTCCACGCCAAGGTGAAGACCAAGATAACGCGCAATACTCTTGATGTCGGCAAAGTCATCGAGAGCCGGTGTTCCGGAAAGGATCCATTTGGAGCGTGCGTGCAGTGATAATAGGGAGACCTGTCGGTCTTCGCCTGCATATGTGTATTCATCGATTACCAAACGCTTGAAGCTGAAAGCGTGGACAAAAGCGGCTTTGACAGTGCGCCAGTCTTGTTCTTTGACATTTGTGATATTGAAGTCCTTGCGGTCATTTGGTTCAGATTTTGTTTTAGGTCCTTGTTTGTTATCAACGGACGCTTCAGCTGGTTCAGTTGATTTGCTATTGCGTCGTTTTTCTCCCGGACCGTTTTGTGGCTTTTCGCTGCGTCTTCGCTTCCACATATTTGGCCGGCCGTCAGAGAGATCAGATTCCTCATATCCTGAGTCGGACTCGGAAGACAAATCTTCCTTTGGTACTACCACATTGTGGTCACGAGCGGCATTCGCATCGGCAAACGCTTGGCCACGGAGACGTTTCGAAGGTACGTATGTGAAGTCGGCCTGTGTCTCTTGAACTCGGTGACGTCTGGCCTCCAATTTATGGAGCATCGCCTCAGGCCCCTCATTACTCAAAGTTTCAACACACTCCCGGAGGGAAGCGCTGGCGTCGTGGAACCAGCTATCGAAATTTCGGCCTGTTCCTCCGCCCGATCTTGCAGGAGCTTTGGGTGTGCCGGTAAATCTTTGAAGTCGGTTATAGTAAGTATCATTTGCCAGGACGCTCCATGACATAAGAACGATGTCGGCATCTTGGACTTGCTGAATAGAAATTTTCTTGATTGACTCTACTGCCAGGACTTGATACTTGGCTCCAACAAATTTGTCGATCTCTGAAACCCACTGTTTGAACACGTTGCTGGGCACAATGATCAGGGTTGCGTTGGTGGGAATCAATCCATCGTTTTCAGGCGGGATCTTGCAGTCTTCTTCGTATTGTGAGTCGATGAGGCCGAGTACAATGGCCGTCTTGCCATATCCAACCTCATCAGCCAGCACGCCGCCGCGAACAATGTGGGGTATTGTTGCTTTGACTTCAGCACGCCAGGGCATCAAAGGGAGAACAGATTCTTCAACTTCTTCTTCCGTGAAAGGTTCAATTGTTTCCGCTTCTTGTGAAATCATCCAACTCAAGGACCGAAGCTGCTCATCACGCAGATGACATTTGAAGTTGGGAGGCTGTGGTGACGGAATATCGTTACTGTTGCTCATCAAACTAAATCTGCTGCTAGCTTCTTTGGCCATGTCGTATGCATGAGGCAGAAGTCGCCACTGAGAAGTGATTTTCTCGCGGCTCGCGATGCCAGCCAACTTCCCGTGTGCTAGGTGGGTCAGTGCTTGAATATTGAGAGTGAAGCGCAGCTCTGCATCTCCGAATCCGTTGATTCGCCTGAAAATTAAAAATGGCGATGGTTGGGATTTGACGGCACGCTCATAAATGGCAGCTTCTTGTGGGTTCTCGTATGGAGTGATTCGGTCATTTTTGTCACGGCCCCAAGTTATACTGGGGGAAGGTGGATTGCAGACGTTGCAATTGGCATCAACGTCATGTTCGTAACTTGGATCTCCTGGGCAGATGATGTCGTTCCAATCTTCGAAGTCCGACCATGCCGCTATTTTCGAAAACAACCAAGCAAGACCTTTCAACTCTCTAGTAGAGGCCTCAGGATCCCAAGCTTGCCAGTGCGCCTCGACGTTAGGAAGCTTCAAAATCGCTGCTGGTGCTGATAGTGAGGCAAGGGTAATGCAAGCATTATGACAGTTCTGGTTTGCAATCGAGACTTGGATTCCTTGCTGCAAAGTGTCGCATTTCATCTGCTCAGGAGCACAGGCAATCAATTGTGCTTCCGGGGCCTTCACCCATCGACGGCAGAATGCTTTGACATCTTTCGAAATTGGTGTCACGTCCAACGATCTCCAATTTGGGGTTAACTCGGCGATCGTTATTCTCACTTCGTAACCTGGCAGGCGACTGTGGTCAATGGCGAACACGCAAGTATCATCATCAGGCTTCCCAGTCTTCGTTGGGTCAAGGAACAAAAAAATGGCAGGCTTATTTGCGGTGACTGGTCTTCGGTACAATGCACCGAGCGCTGTGCCACAGTCAGGAAGGTATTGATATAATCCGCGGACATCAAGATCAAGAACTGTGAGGTCCTCATCTGATCCTTCAACAAGAAGGGTAGTCCAGACTTTTCCTTCGGCGAATTTGGCGACTTTCAGACCACACTGAGCTTCAAATGATCGAACCTGATTATTTTGACCAGAAATTTGAAGTGAAAACGGTGTGCTCACGGGTGAACACACTTCCCATTTCCCATCGATCAACGATCCTTCATTTGGTGTCATTCTCGCAATCGGCTTTGCTAGCACTTCTCTGATAGTGCTCTTCGTAGGTGCAGACTCGGGTGGTTTTGCGTACAAAAGCCATTGGATGGAGTCCGGACCGATGTCAAGACACAAGCTTGAGTGTGTGCCGTTGTAAACAACTCGCCATTTTTTTCCACGCTTGATCTCTAAGAATCGAAAAGCATCTTGCAAAGTGATTTTTATGCGGTCGATGAAACCGTCCCAAAAATCGGGAAGGAAATCGGTAGGGTAAAGGGATTTGAACGTCTCGAATTCCGATTCAGATAAACCAGACAGTATGAGTATCATGGGAACAAGTCCCTTTATGTTCGCTATAAACTCTGACGGCTCTTGTCGGGAGAGGGGAAGAGGTGAATATGAATGCGTGGGATTTCCACGACAGAAATTGCAAGCGGTATGCCCGCAGAGGGTGCATTGGTGAATGTTATCTTGAACACCAGTCTGTCTCTCACAGGAACAACACAGAACACTGCTCGCTGCTTTGGCTTTGAAGACGTCGTGGTTGACGAGGTGGCATTCGGTTACTTGGAGGGTGCTTCTCGCGAGGCTGTAATCCTCGTTTGGATTGAGAAGGGGCTTGGCCTCGTCGTCGTCGGGTTGGGTTGAGCCCTCATCGTCGGTTCCAAGAATTGGATGCACGGCTATAAGACTAGCCAGCATAATCGCACAGACAACGGTGCTCGTCATTGCGTTTCCTGCCATATCCATCAATTCGGCCTGGGTTTCTCTCGTTAACAGCATGCGATCAAGGGGAAGACCTTGCAGTGCAAGTGCCTCCGTGCCAGATACGGGGCCCCCACGAGTGGTCACAAACGGTATACCCTTTGGCGTCAGGCAACCAGCGATCCCACTCCCAGCAAGACTGTCATTCCCCCGATCGACACCTTGAGACAGGTCGATCCAACGCCTGTGAGTGAAAAGTGAACGGTTAGTGATGAGATTCGGAGCTAAATCGATGGGAAACTAAGAGTTGACTTACTCTTTGAAGTTCATGTCATATGACTGAGCAAGTCTCTTCAAGAAGTTCATGTCCACCGTCTCCCATACTCTCTCCGGCTGTGTCTTCCAGAAACGATGCCAATAGAAGTCCGGTGCCTTCAGAACGTTGATTCCGGGCAGGGATCGAGTGATTGGCCTTTCGTTGCCTAGCTCAAGATCGTCACGGTGCCGTTGGTGGCGAACTTGGTATTGTTCCCAGCTGGTGTCGCTTCGGGAATCTAGGCGGGCTCTCATCTCGATGAGCTCGAGTCGGCGGTCGTCGTCATTCAGCAAAAACATTCCGACAGGCGCACTTGCTTGTCGTTTGAATTGGCAAGCAAGTTCACGAACGCGTTGAGCGACGTTGTTAATGTCGCTCTGATCCATGGAGTCTCTAATCAAGCCCGCTGCTTCCAAGCGGCGCTTGTCAATGACCACCAAGTACCCACGCTCGCGTGTCTGCGGGATGTAGTACTGCTTCGTGTCGACAGTGACTAAAACCGACAGGTATCCGAGCTCCTCCCATTTTCCCTTCATCTGTTCCCAGGGAGCATTCCGAACGTTCTCCTGGATCACCATTCGGGGTCGATATCTCTCCGCGTATCGCAAAAGGCCGTCGAACGTGGCCCCAGACTCGCCACATTGCTGCAGGGTCTTCTTGCGGTTGTTCAACGAAGAGAAGTCAACGCATGCGGTTCCTGCAACTACAATGTCTAGATCACCGGGAATCAATTTCGATGACCCATAGGCGGTCCGCCTGCAAGCAGTCAGTCAACATGTCAGAAGTCAAGGTGAGATGAGTGATTACATACGCTTTCTCGCCTCCAAGTTCGGTGATGTCCCGAAACAAGAGATGGGGGCGGAAGTTCCGCTCAATGTATGATTGTTTGAGCGGAACAATCTCACAGCTAAAAGCATGCGAGATCCGAAGTTGCTGGTTCATACCTAGACCTGTGAGGGTATTAGCAATTGGTTCTCCATCGCTTTTCAGGTCAAATTCAGACGAAGCGAAATAAAAAGTGAGAGATATCCCAATATCAAATGAGGAAACATATGCGAAACAACGAGAGATATGTGAAATCAACCCCAACCCCGATGCTGGCTTCCGGTTTAGGGCAAAGGTAAGTGGGTGCAACCATCCCGAAGGGAACATTTGACTGATGAACCAAGTAGAAAACAATTGACAAACTCACCCGTCTGGATCAATTCCAGGGCTAGAAGCGGGGCTTCCGTTCCTGAGCACATCGTCGCCACCCGAAGTGGTCGACTGCCGAGCCGAGAGAGGACAGACGCAAATCCCAGTTTAAGGGCGTTCGACGCCATGTCAGCGAATATATCTGCCAGCTTATGCAGAGGCGGGAGGTCACTGGCTAGATACCGGCCCCGAGGGACCGGATATCCCCGCCGCAGCTCCGGAATCTCGTTCATCGCCCCGGCCGCAGGCTCCTGAGCTTCCTTCTTCACCAAACCATCCGTCGACTGCTGCTGGTGTCTAGATCCCTTTGACGCCATGACCTGCGCTGGAGAAGGGGTAGAGGAGTAAGAGGTGGTCGGAGGTGATAATGATACAGACCAATTCACACCAAACAGAAAAAATAGCCTTGAGATCGAGGCGAAACTGCTAACAAATGCAACCACACGCAAATATGTTGGTGACTACTCCAAGGCACGTCAGAAAACATGCAATGGTGGAGGAGTAGAGAAGCGTGCAATGAGGTGAAGAAGAAGAACAAGAAGAAGAAGAGAAGACAACAAAGCTCCTAAGGTTATTATAAGGCATTGGAAGTTACAGCGTCCGTGATGGTGCTCGCCCGATTAGGAACTATTGACGCCCTATTGACCCGGCGACACGACAATACGACCGTAAAGTTACGGGCCTACGCAACCAGACAGTTCTCTTCTTAGACTTAGGGCTTTGAAAAACGAACATCTATCGATCGGATGAACAGAGGTTACATAGATGTAAGTATTGGTCCTAAGTTATACTGATCCAATTCCACAGATATATCAGACTGGAAATGTGCTTTTCCGTCGACAAACGGGTGAACTATGATTGCTTTCTTTGAATTACCCTAGAGGATCTATAGAAGTAGTGTATGCTGTCAGTGGATTCAAAAAGGATAAACGTTAGCTATCATTTTGCGGCTATTTGAAAGTAGGCTCTTTAAGCCAGTATGCAAATCAATGGGAAAAATAGAAATCAGGACCCCTACGCCACCTTTCGCCTCGTAGTATTGAATGAAAAGGGGAAAAAAATCAGAATATTGAACATGTCAAGCTTGCTCTTTGTGAACAGACCCACACTGCTGCAAGCCATAGAAAACTCCTTAGGATCCAAGGGGATTAATATCCCTAACGCATGCCACTTTGCATCAGTTGCTGGCGTAACATCATGATCTGGCCTCGTTCCATAGGAGGAAGTGCATCAATGGCAGCTTGTGGCATGCTCATGACTTGTTGAAGGAGCTCTTCCTGGCCATGCATCGATGGAGCGGGTTGAGCAGGCGGAGGTGCAAAGGGTGTGTTGGTGACAGGCGGCGTAGAGATCTGCCCAGGGGCACCATATGGTTGAAATTGTTGGGGTGGTGGTTGAGACACTTGAGGAGGCTGGGCAGCTTGTTCAACAATTGAGCCAAGCAACTGATATTCAACCAAGTTCATGAGAAGCAAGGCCTGGAAGATTGCATATGCAAGTTGGGGAGCTTGACGCAGCAGCTCAGTGGCACGGGCTGGATCAGCGACCGCGAGAGATTTCATTTGTGTCAAGACATCAAGGAGTTGATTCGGTGGGAGGGATGCGAGGGTGTGGGAGATGGCGTTAGGACAGTCGACGTGAGGCGGCAATTCCACACCCGGTGGAAGAGGCGGCAGCGGCGCTGAGCCTGGGATCTGTTGCTGTTGTGGGGGCTCTGGATTCATCATTGGTTGCGACTGTTGCGAATAGTCGGGGGGTACAGAATCCTTCTCGTTGTTGTGAGGCCAATCGACACGGATCTTACGACCCATGACTTCATGGTCGTTGAGGTTGCGCACAGCGGAGGCAGCCGCATCCGCGTCCGCGAAATCTGCGAATCCGTAGCCTTTGGGTTTGCCAGTCTCGGGGTTCATCATCAATCGGAACTTGGTGACAGTGCCGGCCGTACTAAGGATGTCTTTGACTTGCTCCTCAGTGAGATCTGAGATAAATTAGCGTTGCGCAAGGCATTCAGGCAGGCACATGTACATACTGTAGGGAATGTTCCCTAGGAACACACTCTTCCCGGTCCGATCAGGGGCCATAATTGTGATAGAGATAGAAATGCTAATGAGAGAAAGATCAGTAGTCAACGCAAGCAAAGAAGCGAAGCTGATTCTGCCCGACTTTGTCTCACCGCCAATAACCTCACCTCATCCACTCAAGCATCAGACCTAGTCTGTCTACATCCATCTCCAATCTTCTCCACGCACTTCCTCACACAATGTCTCAAAGTCAAAAAGAGGCCTGGGAGCGCCTGCAGGTCATGCTCTCGAAGCGCAAGGCTGGCTTCGGCGGTGGCTTCCCATCCGGGGGTGGCCGAGGCGGCTTTGGACTTGTCGGAGGTCTCATTCTGGCCGGTGTTGGCACCTGGGTCGTGTCAAACTCACTTTTCAACGGTATGCTACGTTTCAATACTTGGAGAAAGCATGTGACTGACGATTTTATAGTTGACGGTGGTCACCGTGCCATTAAGTACTCGCGCTTAGGTGGTGTCAAGAAGGAAATCTACGCCGAAGGTATGAAAACTTCCCAACTGAGCCAAATAGCTCTCTCTGACAGTCTGGACAACTAGGAACTCATTTCCAAATTCCGTGGTTCGAAACCCCCATCATCTACGATGTCCGCGCCAAACCTCGCAACATCCCTTCTCTTACCGGTACCAAGGACTTGCAGATGGTCAACATCACCTGCCGTGTCCTGTCTAGACCCCGTGTAGATGCTCTGCCTCAAATCTACCGCACACTTGGTCAAGACTTCGACGAGCGAGTCCTGCCCTCGATTGTCAACGAGGTGCTGAAGAGCGTTGTTGCTCAGTTCAATGCCAGTCAGCTTATTACACAGCGTGAGATGGTTGCCCGTCTGGTGCGAGACAACCTTGCCCGCCGCGCTGCCCGGTTCAACATTGCTCTGGATGATGTGTCCTTGACGGTATGTGCATTTTGCTCACTTTAGACCCAAGCACCTGCTAACCTATCCCTCTACAGCACTTAACCTTCTCCCCTGAGTTCACCGCCGCTGTTGAGGCTAAGCAGGTCGCTCAGCAAGACGCTCAGCGTGCTGCGTTCATGGTTGACAAGGCCCGCCAAGAGAAGCAGGCTTTCATTGTCCGCGCACAGGGTGAGGCCCGCTCGGCCGAGCTCATTGGTGACGCTATCAAGAAGAGCAGGAGTTATATTGAGCTCCGGAAGATCGAAAATGCTCGTCAAATTGCCCAGATTCTCCATGAGAACGGTGGCCAGAACAAGCTTTACCTCGATACCCAGGGCTTGGGCCTGAATGTCAATGCTCACGGCGAGGAGGGCAAATAAATTCAGTATACTTCAAACTTAATGGCGCTGCGTGAAGGAATGTGAATTATTGTACAAATAGCTGGATTAACAAGTATCTGAACTCTTCTCTATTTATTTTATTTCAAATTTCCACTTTGTCTCTTTAATGATTATTTCGTACATGGACGTTATAAGGCTGCGAGTATATATTCTCTCCCGCGGGGACGAAGGCGGCGAACGCGATTTTTTTACATTTGGAGGGGCACCACTTTGTTCTGACAACATCGCAACGGCTTTGATCAAGCATCATAAAGAAATTCAAATCGTAAGTGTTAATGAAAAAGTACATACTTACGTGGTTTTGTGCATTAATTAGTTGCACATAGCTAAACCCAATCAGACAATGCCTGAAATCACCGACGATACCCCAGTACACCTTGCTGAGGTCGATGTCGACCTTGATGTGCAAGAGATTCTCCTTGCCTCATCACAGCACGACATCACCAAGCTGCGCCGTCTACTTCGTACCCAATCTTCTTTGCCAGACGCAGCAAACGTAAAAGATACCGAATCCGGCTTCTCGCCTCTACACGCCGCAATCGCCGCCTGCGAACCCGACACAGAGACCAAGGAGACACAGAATGGCACAAACGGCGCAGTACCATCAGACTCAAACCCAAAGGAATTGGACACCGAAACTCTACAATCAGCAGTAGAGACAGTCAAGTTCCTTCTGCAGGAGGGCGCCATTTGGAATGACCTTGACGTGAACAACGAAACGCCCGGATGTCTCGCTCGCCGCATTGGCGCCCTTGAGCTGTACGATTTGATGGTGGACGCGGGTGTGCGCGCAGAGCTATTGCTGAACCGTTTGGACGCCTACGAAGAGCTATCCGATAGTGACTCCGAGGAAGAGGATAAGGAGGGCGAAACCGCAACCGCAACCGCAACTGAAACTGACCCCGAAACCGCACCCGAACTCGTCGATGCATCCGCTGAAATCGCAGCAGCACCCTCGGCCACACCCGCCAACCCGGAAGTAAGCAACCCGCAGTACCTGGAGTCGCATCTAAATATCCAGAACGACCGAATTCTCGATGCAGACCAGAACGGCGTGATGATGGCATGGGAAAGCGATATCATGCGCAAGTCTGCGAAAGCACTTCTTCCCACGCCGGGTCTGAGGGTGCTGAACATCGGGCACGGAATGGGTATTGTGGACGGTTTTTTCCAGGAGCAGCAGCCGGCGGCTCACCACATTATCGAAGCTCACGATGACGTCGTTGCAGAAATGAAGCGACGTGGATGGGACAGCAAGCCTGGCGTTGTAATTCACCAGGGACGTTGGCAGGATGTTCTCCCTGGTCTTGTGGCTGAGGGAGTCATGTTCGATGCTATCTACCACGACACATTTGCTGAATCCTATGGCGATTTCCGCGAGTTCTTCTCTGAACAGGTTATTGGCTTGTTGGAGCAGGAGGGTCGTTGGGGGTTCTTCAATGGTATGGGTGCTGATCGCCAAATCTCCTATGATGTCTACCAGAAAGTTGCGGAGATGGATCTCTTTGAGGCTGGATTTGACGTGCAGTGGGAGGAAATCGCTGTGCCCAAGCTGGAGGGCGAATGGGAGGGCGTGCGTCGGGCCTATTGGGTTGTGGATGATTACAGATTGCCGTTATGCAAATTCATGGATTAAGATGGTTGGAACCATCGGAATTAGATTCTCAAAAAAGACAGTGGATGTCTATGACTGAATGCAACGCCTGAAAATGCTATAGAAAGGCTAAAAGGAACTATGTACAAATCATATCACAATTGAATTAAATCCACCTCTGAGAAATCTGGAGGACTGCGACTGAATATTGTCCGACACTTGCCGTCTAGTGCCTGGTATTCATTGCTAATCCAGATATGTTTGCTGAATCGTTGGGTTCGGTAAACCTCGTCATCACTTACACCCAAATCATCGCGTGGGATCCAAACCACGGGCTGCTTGGCGCGAAGAGCCTCATGCTGGAAAGCACGTTGCACTAATTGGTCACGCTCATCTGGCGTGAGATCCTCGAGTTCATCGTTGATACCAGCAAAGAGGGCTTGACCAACTGTGTTGGGGGCTGGCCCTTGGGCCTCGGTGTCTTGGGCTATCTTCTCGCGCATGGATCGAATCGTTGGCGTTGAGCTTGGCGAACTAATACCAAAATACTTGGATTTCCGCTTCGATGAGTTGGTGGCCCATGATGGCCGCTTGTGTTCAAGTTTGGGTGTGGACAGGTGATCCGAATTGTGTCGGGTCTGGTTGAATCCATTGGTCTCTAGAGCCTTGAGCTCGATATCCCGTGGCTCTTGGTCTTGCTGGCGCTCCCGGCGTTCAGCTTCAGCCAAGCTATGCTCAACATCATCTTCGTCGTCGTCTTCAAGAGCGAGCCCGAGGCGAGCGTGCTGAGCACGTCGGAATTCACCATCCCGCCGAATAGCATCTTCTTCCAGAGTGATGGGCAGATATCGAATTAGTGGATTGAATGCTTCGTTCAAAAGGATTTGGAAGCCGACGGTCAGGACAAGGACCACAATCATACAAATGGCTTGTCCCTTGCAGGCGACATTATCATCCTGATCCCGAACCAAAAAGAACAAACCGATCAGGCAGACCTCCATGATGTATAGTCCAGTAAATAACTGGTTGATAGCTCGAGGGAATAGAAGACCACCAGTGTCAAAGCGGAATTTGGTGACGTAGAGCGTGTTATAGCGATAGACAAACCAGAAAAGGCTGAAAGTGATGATGTTGAAAACCAAGATAAGAGGTGCAACCACACAATAGATCAAACCTTTTGAGATGTCAGCGAACACAATCAATGAAATTCTTTTCAAAAGTAGAGCTTACCAATAGAGGCCAGAGTGGTATAAACCGGGAAGAAGGTGCCCCATTGCATCTGATTGAGGTTCGTTGTTCGAGCCCACTTCTTCCTCGCAGTAGAATCCAAGATTGGAGCCAAAATGAACCAGCTCACGAGACCAAAGATTTGTACCAGAGCACCTGCACTCACTGACATGGCTTGCAGAATCATGTAAGAGAAGAAGTAGTTGCTGGACTTAGGAATATTTGAAGCCAACAATTCCGGCCAGCTAGTCACATCGGTGAAGCTTTCAATGATTGTAGAGAAACTAGAGGCGATGGTCACAACCAAGAACAGCTGCACAAACAAGAAGGCAAAGTAATAATTTTGCACAGTGAGTTCGATGGACATGCCAGTGAAAATGCCTTGCGCGCGACTCAGGAAGCGAAGGATGAGGGGAAGAAGTGCCATCAGGATAGCCAAACACAGCGCGGGGAGAATACCCTGAACAGCTGAGATGAACCAGTCTGGTAACTTGCCAAGCCAAGCCAGCCACGTGAATGCGCCCTCAAGGTATGAAAGTTGTGAAAGGAGCCCAGTAAATGCAACGGGGAAAGCCCATCCAACAACCATTGCACAGACTAGTGTAATAATGCCGAAGGTACGCAGATATCGCTCCCACCATTTGATAGACATGTTGTCCCAAATAACATCGTCTGGTGAAATCTCCACAACTCGGGGTGCCATTTGTTTCGGGAGGTGGTGGCTGACAGCCTGACAGGCCATATGGGCAGCGACTTGATGATTGAACTGAATGAAAGCCGAGTTCATCAAAGGGAACCGCTCAGGGTGTTGCTGGTCGATCTCGATCTCTAAATTTAAACGAGCCAATTCTTTCCGGCAATGGTCAATAGTGTCGACCTTTTTGCCTAGAAGCCAGATCGAGGGCATCCAGCTCCAACCAAAGATGGGTAGACGCATGGTGTCTCGGTCCTTCTGCCGGATATACTCTTTCCACAGTGGTTCTCCGTAGTCTTCTTTATCGAAGTTTTCGTTGTAGGCGATGGGATATTCCTCCTCCTTTGCCTTTTCTCCCTTCTTGTGACTGTCTCTGCTTTTCTTGTCCTTCTCGGGTTTGGCGGAGCCTTGATGGGGTCCATCGGTCGCAGGAGTGTCGGGTGCGGTCAGTGGATATTCATCAGGCTCCGAGGCCTCCTGCGATTTCGGATGAGATGACATTCTCCTCCAGAATGGTGGCTGTTTCGGCGGTAGAACTTCATTGCGGCACATCGTGTCGCTTGAACCTGGCTCATCTGTTCGCGGCAACCCGGTAGATTGACGAGGCTCTGCAATATGGCTTTGACCAGAAGCAGTATGATTGTGGTTTGGCGTGTTTCCACGAGCTGGGAGAATGTCATCTGTAGTTGCAACAAATCCCCTGGTTTGAGTCAAAGTCCCGTCAAGGCCATGCTCGGCCCTTTTGATACCCCCAAGTACTGATTTTCCTAGCTTACCCACGCCTAGTCCAACGGCCCCGGCAGCTGCAAAGGCGGGGTCAAACACTCGACGGGCTCCGTTCTCCGACTTCTTCGCTTGGGGATCTTCAGTTGGGCCGTCAAGCGCTTCCCGGACAGTGTGAGCTTCGTGGGGGTTACCGGAGCTGACACCGGGGCCCATAGCCATGTTGGACGCTCTTTTTTTGGCCTCGTAGCTTTCTTGTTTCTCTGCGGCTGCTTTGCTTTTGCCTGCCTTTTTTGCCTCGGCCTTGGCTTTCTTGAGCTGTGCTTTTTTGCATTGTGAAATCAGACTGGTCTCTGCACTTTCGAGTTTGAGAGCCAGCTTATTGCGCTCTTTCACTTTCTCATTGAGATCATCGAAGTTTCGGTTGATCCAAATATTTCGCACACCTCCAGGGAAAACATCGAAAAGCCTGTCCAGGGCATCCACGTTGAGCCAGTCCTGTGGGATAGATGTCACTAGCACGGTGGTGGCAGATGCTCGGAGTCGATGCTGAGGAGAGGTCAAATAAGCCTGGCGCATACGGATATAACCTCGAAGCTCGTCGAAAAACACAACACAAATATAGACAATTGCAATGACAGCCATTACCAAATGAGCCCAGTATCGATTCGTGTGCTGGGGTTTCACATTACCCCATGCCAACTGATCTAAACCAGTGACATTCCATTGGTCGCCCGTTGTACCAGTCTTGTATGTGGTGCCTTTTCCGCCCACATGATTGAGTGGGAGCAGGACTGGCAGAATCACGATGCCCATAGGGAGAAAGATTTTTAAGAGCATGCGTAGATAACGCAGAAAAAAATATGCATCTAGTCCGCATTTTTGAATCAACTCGGAGCTGGAAGTACGGAAAACAGGACCAATCCAACTGAACAATCCTGGCGGGGATGGGTTCGTGCGTTCTCTGTCTGGTACTAGATAAGTTCGTGGTTGACTGAACTCCATCGTCAGTGAGTCCAAAGCTAGATTCAGTTCCACCATTTATGCCAAGAGACTTACTATATGCGGGTTAATTTGCCTTTGAGTAAGAGGAAGAGAAGAAATTCGATGACGAAGACAATAATGGCCGTCGCCAGCGAGGCCAGGAAAACTGAGATTGAGACACCTTGAGCGGTTTTCCCATGGCCACCACTGTGCTCCAGTGCGTCCTCCAAGCCTGAAGGCATGACGATCAGCTCGGATTTTACCGAACGAAAAATATCAAGGTAGAAAGTCGGCAATTAGTATGTAAAAAGGGGTGAAGTCGCTGTCACTTCAGGCATCACGGTCTCTTTGGAGTGTATATAAAAGGCGATCATTCATAGTCTGGATTTGCACACAAGAAAGAACTCGGTGATAAGGGAAAAAAATAACAAAGAGAATCCACCTGAAGGAGTCCACGGCGCCAACTTGATGAGGTGTGTGGGGAATAAGTAAACTTGAGAGTCACCTTGGATTCGCTATTAACGAATGACAGCAGTGGCGTGAATATCAAGTCGGTTGATCAAGAAATAGGGAACTTAACGAACAGGGATGATTGGAGGAATCGTGGGTACGCCGATCGAGAAAGGGATGACATCAGGCGCTTGGTGAAACAGCCAAGTCACGATTTTGATGAAAGAGAATGAAGCATTGCTTTGGGCAGAAGTTTTCATTCTATTTTTAATTTGAAAAGATAAGTGAATGAATACTCCTATCCCTACGCGTGGTATTCTTTCTTTATGACATCTACAAGTTTTTTGTACTTGCTACGGTAGTATTTTGAAGCTTTGGGGAAACTGTCCTGATTGGTACTTGCCCTGTGTACCTCAACAGTGTGGGGCAGCCCTGCCCTTTTTCATGTGGCAGTGCAAGTTTATATAATTGGGAAGCCACACTGTCACGTGTTGATGTGGCTTAAACGAAAACACGTCGACCCAAAATGGAAACCACTTAACGCGCTCGTCGCGTCGGCAGAAAACGCGTTCCCGCCCACAGCTTTTTGCTCTCCCTTTCTTCATTTGTATAATCCATCGAATTAATTCTTATCACCCACCCGACCACAGTCAGGTATCCACCACATTAATTCATAACAATGTCCTCACCAGCTCAAAGACGGAGGGGTCGTTCCACCAAAAATTCAACTGCGTCGCCCACTTCGTCGTCACGACAGGAACCACCTAGTAGCCCGACTTTTCAGGCCACCCCTCGTGCTTCGAGGCGTTTAATGGGAGAGGGAGCTGTGCCTTCTTCATCCCCGATCTTCTTCCAGTCATCTCCAACCAAGGGTAACAACAATGCTGAAACACCTGATGAGCGTATGGCCGATGCCAGCTCAACAATGGATGATGGAGAGAGAACCCCGCGAGGAAATCCTGGTGTGAGAGGTATTGATATCAAATTGATAAAGATCACTATTTTCATACATAACTAAACAGCTACTAGATTCTTCTCCCATTAATTACATCCCAAGTTCCAGCCCAACCCGAGGCTTCGGTCGCTCCGATCTTCGCTCAGACATTCGCTCAGACATTCGTTCCGATGCAGTCAGCACCAGCAGTGGACTGTTTGTCTCGCCCCGTGGACAGGGCCGACGTGCGAATAATCGTCGCAGCGATTTGCACTCTGGCGGCTTCGGGTCCACTCCCAATCGTCGCAATCGTCTGTTCGTTGATGGTAGTGGAATGCCTGCCGGTGAAGATAACACTATTCCTCGGTCCGATGCCACGTTCTCGAATATCAACCCCGATACCTCCGAAGCGGAGGCATTGGCTGGTAACTCTACTCGTGTGATCTGGGGTACCAATATCTCTATTGCAGACTCAATGTCATCGTTCAAGAACTTCTTGTATAACTTCGCTCCAAAATACCGTCTCTGGGCTGATGGTGCCTCAGAGCATGAAACTCGACTATTGGGTGAAGCTGCTGAAAGGCGTGAGTGTATCGCCGTGCTGAATGATATGCGGAGGCTCGGTGTGTCGACTTACAACCTCGATGCTGCAAATCTCAAGGCCTATCCATCGACTCGCAAGTTGTGGCACCAACTTACCGCATACCCGCAAGAGATTATCCCTCTCATGGATCAGAGCTTGAGGGATGTCATGGTTGATCTGGCCCTCAAGGAGATGGACGTTCTGCGATCAGAGAGTCAACGTAACGCTCAGTCTCGCGATCGCCGTGGTCAGTCTATTCTCACCTCAGATGCGGCAGTTCCTCCCAATGTCGATATTCCGGATTTGGTTGGTGAAGTGGAGGCTATGATCTTCAAAGTGCTTCCCTTTGGCTTGGATCAGACTGTGAACATGCGTGATCTCGACCCTGCTGATATGGACAAGCTGGTCAGCATCAAGGGTCTGGTCATTCGTGCTACTCCAATCATTCCTGACATGAAAGAAGCATTCTTCCGGTGCAGCGTCTGCAGCTATGGCGTTATTGTCGACATTGACCGTGGCAGGATTAGCGAGCCGACCGTCTGCCCCCGCGATGGTTGCAAGGAGAACAACTCTATGCAACTCATCCACAACCGTTGTAACTTCGCGGATAAACAAGTCATTAAGCTTCAGGAAACTCCGGACAGCATTCCTGATGGCCAGACTCCCCACTCCGTGTCTCTGTGTGCATATGATGAACTGGTCGACGTCTGCAAAGCAGGTGACCGTGTGGAGGTGACCGGTATTTTCCGATGCAATCCTATGCGAGTCAACGCACGCCAGCGCTCTCAGAAGGCTCTTTTCAAGACTTACATCGACGTTCTTCACGTGCAAAAGGTTGACCGTAAGAAAATGGGCATCGACATGTCCACTGTCGAGCAAGAGATGTCCGAGCGAGCGGCAGAGGCAGACCAGGCACGCAAAGTATCAGCAGAAGAAGAAGAGAAGATTAAGCGGACAGCTTCCCGTCCCGACATCTATGATCTTCTATCTCGTTCCTTGGCGCCCAGTATCTACGAGATGGACGACGTGAAGAAGGGTATCCTGCTGCAATTGTTCGGAGGCACCAACAAGACCTTCCAAAAAGGAGGTAATCCTCGCTACCGTGGCGATATTAACGTTCTTCTGTGCGGTGATCCGTCGACCGCCAAGTCCCAAATACTGCGGTACGTTCACAAGATCGCCCCGCGTGGTGTCTACACCAGTGGCAAGGGTTCTTCAGCTGTTGGTTTGACTGCCTACGTGACTCGTGACCCAGAAACTCGCCAAATGGTTCTCGAGTCTGGTGCGTTGGTTCTGTCTGATGGTGGTGTCTGTTGTATCGATGAGTTTGACAAGATGAACGATTCCACTCGGTCCGTCCTTCACGAAGTCATGGAACAACAAACCGTCTCCATTGCCAAGGCGGGTATCATCACTACCCTGAATGCCCGTACATCTATCCTGGCCTCTGCCAATCCCATCGGCAGTAGATACAACCCTAAACTCGCAGTTCCCCAGAACATTGATCTTCCACCCACTTTGCTCTCTCGTTTCGACCTGGTCTACCTGGTTCTTGACCGTGTCGACGAGACGGAAGATCGCCGCATGGCCAAGCACTTGGTCGGCATGTACCTCGAGGACAACCCCGAAAATGCCAGCTCACATGAGATTTTGGTGAGTAAACATTCCAGTCTTTTTTTCGGTTTGAACGGAAACTAATCGCTCTACTAGCCCATCGAATTCCTCACATCTTACATTACATACGCGAAGACCAACTGCCACCCCGTTATCACCCCAGCTGCCGGTGCTGCCCTCACCGATGCCTATGTGGCCATGCGTCTACTCGGTGACGACATCCGCGCCCAGGACCGCCGCATCACCGCCACCACCCGACAGCTCGAATCGATGATCAGACTGTCCGAAGCCCACGCACGCATGCGTCTGTCCCCCGAGGTAACCGTCGGCGATGTCGAGGAATCCGTCCGATTGATCCGCTCCGCCATCAAGCAAGCCGCCACCGACTCCCGCACCGGTCTGATCGACATGGGTCTGTTAACCGAAGGCACCAGTGCTACCGACCGCCGCCTGCGCGATGACCTGAAGAAGGCAGTGCTCTCTCGCCTGGATGATCGCGGTGGTGCGTCTGGTGGTGCAGTCCGCTGGGCTGATCTCTTCCGCGACGTGAGCGAGCAGAGTGACAGCAGGTTGGACCACACTCAGTTCAACGATGTGGTGCGGTCGCTGGAATCAGAGGGCTCAGTGAATGTCTTTGGTGAGGGTGCTCGCCGCAGTATCCGTCGGGCGGCCATGAGCCTGTAGTTACTTGCGATGATACCATGAAATGATGAGGTTTGCATGTCATCCCTGACCTCTGAGGGAGTCTGGCGTTGTGATTAGTTCTGTTCAGCAGAGTGAATATGAATAATGTTATGGATTTGAACAAAAACAAGGTAGATTCTCGTAGCGCCTTAACCAGACTTGTAATTCTATTGACATGTTCTATCTAGTTAACAATATATTGTACCAAGCAAACCAAGGGATCGACATCGAGCTCTGATATGAACCACGAATCATATGCATCTGCAAGTGCATACATATGTATACTAATGCGCGCAAGTGCCGTGTGGGGCCCGATCGACTGCAGGACCTTAGTGTCTCAACTCTAACATCAACCCTCTAACATCAACCCCTCAATATTACCGCTCTTATATCCACGCACACCTCCCTATTCGAGCCCCTTCCTCTCCCATTTCACCACAACTTTAGATTATTCGACAAGCTCTCCATCAAGAGCGACGGGGTGTGGTAACAGGAGGGGGTGTACGAGGGGGTATAGAAGGATTCACCTGAAGATAAAATTGAATGATAAGTATAGTAAGAAAGTGTTGAAGCTTTCATCATACCTTGAAAATTCGTTAGAAGAAGTTAGTTCATGGTAATGTCTGGCTGGTCAGAAGAGCGTTTGTATGGATCTTGTATTCATTAAAACCTAGGAGCGCATATATCTTATACAGATTTGATATTCCTGGTACAACACACCTATGGCACTTATCTTCAACTAGGCCAACAATAGTAATCAGCACCAGACGTCAGCAACATCGCCAGCAATGACGCCAGCGACAGCAATGTAGCCCCAGTAAGAGTCCATGAAGCTGGAATGTGAGCCAGTCAGCAATATAGCCAGCAATAGCGCCTAGTAACAATGGTCTTAGCAATTTTATAGGGCTGAAACGCGAGGCAGCCCGTTGGTGAGTTTTCTAGCTACTGAGATAAATGACTAGCAGGGATCTGCGTAACTAGACCCACGCGTAGTGATTTAATTGCTTTGTATAATCTAAGGCGAAAGCCCGAAAGCCACATTAGCAAGAGGTCAAGTCCCAGTCCTCTACCAGCACTAATCGTGTCGCCGCCTGGCGGCGTCCGTATGCCCTAATTCAAACACATATCTACACAAATTTCATTGAAGTCAATCTACATTCCCCCTTTATCAATATCATTAAGATCATCTATCTATTCTTGGACCACTCCTTTATATCTCTGCTTATTTAACTACCCCGAATCCGATATCTATATGTATCTATCGTTGTTTTATTTTTAAGATTACCGCTACCTCTTACTCACGCTGATAAGGAGTTAAAAATGGTAGATCTAGGAAAGACTAAGAGCTAATAGTAATTTCTAGAGCAAGTAACGATAGATGCAAATCGGCTGGCATGATAGAATGGGCGGTGCAATTACTGGCTTCGATTCTTCGAAAATCGTGCTATGGGCAATATGATTTCAATGCAATGAGAACTGGTGTAACTATGCGATTGAAGTAGGGATACTAAGGGGCGGCGACACGATTATAACATCACCGTTCTTATATCCACGTACCCCTCCCTATCCAAGCCTCTTCCTCTCCCGTACTCCTATCACTTTAGATTCTTCAAGAAGCTCTCAAGCTCTTAGGCTTTTTATTAGAAGGGAGTTTAGGCGTGGGTTTAGGAAAGGGTGCAGCCGAGCGGTCACCGCGACGACGATCATTCTCATTCTCTTTTTTGGGGGGGCATCTAAATATTAAATTGTATAAGTAAAGTATTACATTGTTTGACAATTATCATCCCTTAAAAGCAAACGTCACAGTATTCTGTAAGGATGAGGGTTCTTGATCTAGTGATACCATTGTGGTTAACATACACTCTGTGCGTAGAGTACTAACCCGTTTATACTAAGATACCTTTGAAATTGACCGGTCTTCGCTAGGAGTAGTCACCTAAATCAGGATTTGTGATTCGAGGTTGAAGGATGTTTGTATGAATCTTATATTTATCAGAATATAGGTATTTAGATATCTTATATAGATTTGAGAATTCTAAGACAACGAACCTAGACCCTGATGACTAGACAAAATTGGGGGTCAAAAACAGTAGCCAGCAACAATAGCCAGTTAAATAGCCAGCAAGATGGCCAGAAACACGAAACATTGGCCTTGTAAGAGGCTATATCGCTGAGATGTGAGTCAGCCAACAACAGTGGCATTATCAAGAAGCTATATACTATATAAAGCATATAAGGTGGCCCGTCGGTGACATCTCTAGCTAGTACTAAGATAAAATGACTAGCAGGGGTATGTAAAAGTGAGTGCTTGTACTATATATGATTCAAGGCGAAAGCCCCCTTGGCAAGAGGTCAAGTTCCTGTGAAAGTGAGAATTCAAAAATTGAGATATACTCCTACATAATTACATTATTAATTTTGACATTAAATAATTTTAGAATATTGCGCTCCGTATATAGTACTGAATGGGACTTTTATATACATATGTACTAATCAGGGCTAGGAACTACCGAAAGAAACTCGATCGAAAAGTTGCCCACGTGCGTTGGTGACTGGTCATACTGTTAACGTCAACTTGCGTTGCTGACTTATCTTTGTATTTAAAATACACAGTTACCATACCAGAGGTATAATTCGAGATTGAGAACATTTTGGATATCTTTCTGTACATGAGTTCAAGGTTGAAGGTATTTTGAATTTTTGAAACATTCAACAGTAAACTTCAACATTTAATGATATAGTATATGTTTCCATGATCTAAAAACTTCATCAAAAGCATTCAAATTCCCATGATTTACATCGTTTCAGTTGTAGTACTATCGACAATAATTCAACGTGGGGCCCCGTCACCCACTAGTCATCAGCCTAGCCGAGTTCGTGGCCCATGCTTCTGGCTTCTTGTCTTCGGAGAGCTACAACCTTCCGGCTCTTTTGGCTTCCTTTTTTTCCTGGGATCTTTTTTCTTCCTTTCCTTTTGCTCCATCATGAGCTTGGAATAAAATCCTTTACTAACCATATTCTCCCGCCCATCATGAGGTATGTGATTGCTCCTGCCCATTCCCTTCCAGCCACTCGCATTCCAATCCCCGCAATAGCCCAGTTGATTCTGTATTAACTCATGTGTCACAGATTCGGTGAATATCTCCGTTCTTCCATGATCAAGGAGTACTATCCCTTCTACATTGCCTACGACGACCTCAAGAAAGCTCTCAAGACTGACTTTGTCGACGAGCCGACCTCCGATAACACCAAGCCCGCCCGCAAAGAATGGTCCGAGGACGATGAGACACACTTTGTCTCCTTGCTCGAGAGCGAACTGGAAAAAGTCTTTATCTTCCAGAAGCGCAAGAGCGAGGAGATTGTTGACCGCATCCAAACGAGTGAGCTCGAGGTAACCGACGTCGTCTCCCGTTTGGACGGCTCCGCCGATTCTCGTCGCCAGAGTGTACGACCCTCTCGTCCGATCCCTACCGATGCAGATTTCTTGATGCTGGAGCAAGTTCTCAGCGATATTATTGCCGACGTTCACGATTTGGCTAAGTTCACGCAATTGAACTACACGGGCTTCCAGAAGATTATAAAAAAGCATGACGTAGGTTTTCTTGGTCTCGTCCTAGATCGCCATGTGCTAACAACCTCACAGAAAGAAACACAATGGTATCTCAAGCCAGTCTTCGCTGCTCGCCTCAATGCCAAGCCCTTCTTCAAGGACAACTACGACGCTTTTGTTATCAAACTATCAAAGCTGTATGACCTCGTCCGAACCAAGGGTAACCCGGTAAAAGGTGATGCATCAGCCGGTGGTACCCAGCAAAACTTTGTGCGTCAAACTACCAAGTACTGGGTCCACCGGGATAATATTACCGAACTGAAACTGGTCGTGCTCAAGCACCTGCCAGTTTTGGTCTTCAATGCCAGCAAGGAGTTCGAGGAGAAAGATACAGCGATTTCCTCAATCTACTATGACAACACAGACACTTGGGAGCTGTATCAGGGCCGCTTGAAAAAGACCGAAGGTGCCGAGGCGATTCGTCTGCGTTGGTATGGTGGCATGGAAAGCGATCAAATTTTCGTGGAGCGCAAAACTCATCGCGAAGACTGGACAGGAGAAAAATCGGTCAAAGCACGTTTCTCGCTCAAAGAGAAGCATGTCAATGCCTATCTGGAAGGAAAAATGACGGTGGAGCAAATCTTTGACAAGGCGCGCAAGGAGGGTAAAAAGAGCCAGTCAGAGATTGATGATTTGGAGCAACTGGCCCGTGAAATCCAGTACCGTGTCATCACTCGCCGATTGGTGCCCGTCACCCGTACTTTCTACCACCGCACTGCGTTCCAGCTGCCAGGCGATGCTCGAGTTCGAATTTCCCTCGACACCGAGCTGACCATGATTCGCGAGGACAACATGGATGGCCGTCAGCGCGCAGGGAAAAACTGGCGTCGCATGGATATCGGCGTCGATTTCCCATTCTCCCAGTTGCCTCCCGAGGACATTGATCGATTCCCTTATGCCGTGTTGGAAGTCAAGCTGCAGACCCAGGCAGGCCAAGAGCCTCCACAGTGGATTCGGGATTTGACGGCCAGTCACTTGGTTGAGGCAGTCCCAAAGTTCAGCAAGTTCATCCACGGAACTGCCACCATGTTTCCAACCCGCATCAACCTGCTTCCGTTCTGGTTCCCGCAGATGGACGTTGATATTCGAAAACCCGCCACTCGTCAATACGGTATCCACAGACCGCTAGCAAGTACGTCGATATCTGCCAACGATGAAGACTCCGATGACGACGAAACACCGGGCACGGATGAAACCACTATAAACAGTCACGCCACCGAGCACCAAAATGGATTGTTCGAGATCAATGGCAACGAACTAGATATCGAAGAGCGCATTGCCGCCCAGCCTCTCCCCGGCGACGAAGACTACCCCTTGTACGACTCTGACGACGAATCGGTTTATTCGGACGAACTAGAAGAAGCCCGCCGTATTGGTGGAGCATACTACGCCCAGCAATTGGTCAAGCATTATCTCTGTCGAACCGGCCACGCTGTTGCACAGGGTCTAATGGCAATCATCCCCCGCCCCCGTCCAACATCTCTGCCACCCCCAGAACAGCGTGGCATTGCAGTCATGGGAGCTCAGCGTCGCACCATGCAGCGCTTCCAGGCCCCTCCTGGTAAACGTAAGCAACCCCCACCAATCGTCCCGTTACACACAAACAAACAACTAACTCTTTCCCTCCCAGGCATTTTTGTCCCCGTCCGCGTCGAACCAAAAGTCTACTTCGCCGCCGAACGAACCTTCCTTTCCTGGCTCGAATTTTCCATCATCCTAGGCGGCATCGCCGCGACCCTTCTCAACTTCGGCGCAGACTACGCAACCCTCATCTCCGCCTGGGCCTTCACCATCCTCGCCGCCGGCGCCCTCGTCTACAGTCTCTTCCTGTACATCTGGCGCGTGGACAAGATCCGCAAACGCCGCGACGTCAAGCGCGTCTACTACGAGCGCTGGGGGCCGACGGTGGTCAGCGTCGGCCTGGTTGTTATCATTTTGGTTAATTTTGCGCTGCGCGTACGCGCCGGCGGATTCATGGCTGAGCCGGGCTCTGGATCTCCGGGTCGGGAGTCTCCGCATCGCGAGCTGTAGACTTGTCGTTCTTGGTTTGGAAGAGTTACTGCCTTTTTGGTCTTTTCTGTATCTGAGCGGCTTCTTTCGGTTTGTATTTAGGCGTCTGGGCGGCGTTGGATATTGTAAACCACGTATAAACTGCATGCATGCCATTGCAAATATGAAAATGGTACTTGGTACTATGATGTTTGGTTTTGTCTGTGTTTCTCTTGTAGGGCTCGTACCATGATATCGGATAGTTGAGAAGCAGTCGACAACAGAATGCTAGTTACCAGGGTACATATGTATTCATGTCTTCTTGTAGGGGTATCTTGTAGTAGTAGTTTCCAGTATCATATAGCTGCGCGAGCTACGTATTCCAAGCGCATATCACAAAAGGCCACTCGTAGCGTTCATTCCTCCAACTCGAACTGCATCTCTCGGTCTAGCTTGACTGTCAGTATATCTGAATCCAAGTCGCTGCAGGTACTCACCCCATATCTTATTCGCATGCGCAATTATCGTCTCGGCCTTGTCCTTCAGCTTCGCAGCGTATCTCTCTGCCTCGGTGGGATAGAGCTGGCTTTTCTGCGCTTTGCGTGGGTTTGCCTAGACACAAACAGTCAGTTCAATCAAGATTCAACAACCATATCAAATCGAAAAGAATAGAAAAGAAAAGAAACACACCATCATAAGCACAGGGACCAAATCTTTGGGCTCGGCCTCGGCCAAAGCCCTAAGATTCTTGAACCCATTTTCCCTCAAAAGTCGCGCAGTCCAGCTCTTAACGAAGGTAACCTGTGCCATCTCTAGTAGGTCCGCGCGGGCACCGGCCTCGAGTCGATCGCGCATATGATCCAGCACAGCAGCGAGCATACCCCAATTCATACGCTGGCAGAATTTGACGATACCGGCCGCGAAACCGTGGCACTGTTGGGCCAGAGCTTGGAGTGTGCCGCGGGGGATTTTGTAGCGGGTGGATATTGTCGAGAGGGGGACTTCGTTGCTTAGATCACGTAGCTGGAAGGCTGTGTAGGCGCGGCGGTAGATGCGGGCTTGTTTCATTTGGGTGGGGTCTGATTCTTTTAAAGAGGCGCCTGTTTGGACCCTGCGTGGTTCATGGGTTAGATAAGATTGCATAGGAGGTGCGCGTTGGAGATACGTACATTGTGTTAACGAAACCTGGTTGGACGCCGACGAATTGTAGTGCGCGGAGACCGCTCTCGTCCAATCGGTCGAGTTGGTCGCGGAATGTCTGCCAGTCGATTGATGTGTTCATGGCTGCTTGGAGGGGAGTGAACATGTAGAAGATGTGCATGTCGCCGTCCATGACGAAGGCTTGCATTGCGCGTTTTAGTTCTTCGTGGACGAATAGGCCGTCTTCGGGTGAGAAGGCTGAGGCCACGACGGCCTGTCCCAGTGGGGTGGCTTCGTACGATTCATCGTCTTTGAAGATAAGAAGTTCTTCGTTGACTAGTTCTTGAAGTGCGGATTTCATTATAGTGTAGGCAAGTTTCTTGTCCAGAGCGCGATAGAGCAAGGTGCACCGGACATAGTCTTGAATTGCTTCGCATCCAGACACCAGTCCCGTTGCTATTGCTTCTAACAACGCTCTTCAAAATATGAGCCGAACGTTCAAGCAAATAAAGGGAAATAACATACCTCTTGAGGCCTCTTTTCTCGGGTCCCAGACAACTTTCAATGGCCGGCATGTCTGCGTCTAGCAAATCACACACGGCTTGCATGTCGGCCTTGGCGCATATTAAATAGGTCTCGCCGGCTTCATCCTTGCCTTTGCGTCCTGCACGGCCGCACATTTGGCGACTGTTCTTATCAGCTTGTAAATTTCACATGAGGAACAAGAATGCTTACAGCATTGCCGGTCCTACCAGATCACGGCCCATTCTCGCGCCAATTATAATTACTCTCCGTGCCGGAAGATTAACACCAGCAGCAAGACTGCATGTGGCCACGAGGACTTTCAACACACCCTGGTCATACGCCTGTGCAATGAGTTCCCGCTCTTCTGCCATCATTCCAGCATCTGTGGCGGTTATTAGTGGGGCGGATGAACTCGTTTTGGGAAACAGAATACTGACTGTGAAACCCTGCTCCTTTGACGATTGTTGTCTCCAGAGCCGGGTCCAGCCCGCAGGAGAGACTTCGTAATTCCGCCAGAAGATCGAGGCGTTCATTTAACTCTTCGGGCTCCGCTGGCGGCATGGCTTCGCCAATAGTTGTAGCGTGGATCTGACATGCATGACGGCTGCCACAAAATACCAATGATCCAAATCCAGCAGCCGCAGTCTCGACTGCTAACGCTACCATGGCATTGGTGGAAGAGTTGCCGAGTTGCTTGAAGGTAGATGGCTCGATGATTCGGTGTGGGGGAATGGTGTCGTGTAATGAGGCGGCTGCAGTCAGCTTGGACGCTGTTTGGAACAATTGTCTTGAGGTTGCGGCTGGGTATATCCCATTCTCGTAGACCAAGTATTCGTCAATGGGGATAGGTCTGTAAGTGGAAATGAAAAATTTGGCATTCATCCACTGTGCCAACATCTCGGTGTTCTTTTGCTCGGTTAGGGTAGCCATCTCAAAGATAAGAACATGGACGTACAGAAAGCGTGGCGCTCATTCCAATGATTTGGATATCCTGCTGCAATAGCAGCAGCTTCGTCACCATGAGTTCCAAAAGATATCCCCGGTGCTCATCATCGAGCATGTGTAACTCGTCGAGAACCACGACTCCCAATTCTCCGATACTACACTCCTCGATCGCGGTATTTATTAACGAATTGGCCTAAAAGGATAAGATCAAAATCATGCACAGAATCTCGATTTCCAACAGTGCATACCTTCTCTATTGTACAAACAGCGATGTCGGTATCGGCCCAGGTGGCTGTCGTTCGACTTCCACCAAAGAACCCCGTCACACGAATATTTTTCTGCAGCCGCTTCCATCGCCTGCGAGGGAAGTTGGCGTCGCTTTCTTCTTCGTCGGGGATATTTTTCTCGACATCTTGCACAATGTGCCGCATCCACTTAAGCTTTTCTTGGACCAGTGCAACATAAGGTAGAACCAGAAGCGCCTTGCGCCCAGGATTCTCAATAATTCGTTTCAAAAGCAATACATCAGCAACAAGAGATTTGCCACCGCCCGTCGGAGCCGTATAAACCAAATGCCTTTCTCCAGAGAGTAATCCCTTGGCCAAAAGACAAGACGCCTGCCACGGGTAGATACTCCTAACCCCCAGAGCGGCAAAATTCGCGATCAAAGCCGGCGGCAGGCCATACTTTGGATTAGCAAGAAACAGCAAGGGGTTCTGACTCGAAGGCGGGGCCGACGCACCCCTTTGCCGATCTCCATCCTGGGCCTCACCAGCACCAGCAGCAAGACGAATCTGGCTGGCGGTAAAGCGCTGTACGGGGGCGGTTAGCAGATCACGAGCCGTCTCCAACGGAGCGGATTCCAGCAGGTCTTCTGCATTGGCATTTCGGCCACGGAAAGCAACCTGCTTTGCGACCAACCCGGGCGCCAAATAGAGCTGCTCTGAAGGTCGCTTCTGTCCTGCGACGGGCGCTACGTGATGAGCCTGTTTCCGGGCAATATCGATGGTGGTCTGAAACCCACGAGACTGATGACCCGATGTCGACATTCCTGAAACGATGTCAGGTCATAACACCAATAGGACCAATTGGATTAGATCGAAATTTCCGCTGTCATTTCCACAAACTTGAAAACCATGTTCATATTTTTCTTCATATGATTGTTATTCTGCGCGGATTGGTCCTAACGGCCTGAGGCAAGAGAGCATTATGTCAGCCTGCAGATCGCGTATATCCGCTAGTCTCGATCGGGAAATAACTCTCCAAGTGAGACGCGCTGCTGATCGCTGGTATTTGCGAGGGTGCTATGTATTTTTTCCTTCATTTTATCGTTTTGTTGCTCTTAGCTCATGCATGATTTCCCATGCTTTTGTCCCTGGTTGTATTTTCCGATGTGGTCCATGGGCCCCTTACTCGAAGATTACCACTCTATGAGATCGTAGGTGGATATGTGGAGGCAGCCGTTAAGTCTTATTGTGGCGCACAGTCCTAACACCTTTTATAACTGTTCATAGAAACCTGTAGATTTCTATAGATTTTTATGGATGCCCAAGCCTGAAACTGATTGTGATTGGAAGTTACAGGTTGTTTTCAAGCCGGTATATCGGAGCCGATATGGGTCGGCTGATGTCTGGTCTCTGGGGCGGCGTTCTGGATCTACCTTGAGCTAGCACCAAGCCCTACCATCAGTCTACATTTTGGAATGAATCCAAATCTACAGGGCTGCTGTAAACATTTCGAAAATGAATGATAATTTGGTATCGGGGAGAGACAGAGAGGAAAAAAAGAGAGAAACCGGGATCCAAATTTGGGTGCACATCCCGAGACCAGGTACAGAGTCTGAGACCCGATCGGGGTGGAGGCGTCATAACGACTGTATCATGAGTCGCGCGTACCACATTATGCAATTAGGATGAGGATTCGTAGACTTTTCATGAATTGATAGGATCTTGAGATTTCCCATACGTGTATCGGTGACACGGAAATCGGTTGATCATGCAAAGTTGGAATGTGATATATATCCCCTTGTAGAGTGTGGAACGGGTTCAACCTCCGGACATAAATACCACAGAGACAAAAGAACAAAAAGTGTCTATCGACCTCTGATTTATTTATATTTTATAACAAGCTTGATCATGGTGATTGGCATTCGAAGTGACATCTATTGTACATATTTGAATCCGTTGTCAGAGGTCTGATCGCCGTATATCCCAAACGTTAGTTGGCCTGATCCCACAACCCTAAGATCAAACAGATCAGCCAGACCAAATGCATTATTTTTGAGGAGATAAAATTTCGAAAAAAGTTAGAAAAGTTGAAATGTTAAACTAGATCTAATAATTTTGTTAGAATAAATTGTACATTGCCACGATTTTCCCGGGTTAGACCGGCACGTTATACCAAAGGGAGCTCAGGCCTGGACATCAATGGCTTCGATCATCATTGGACCAAGTGGGAGAAGTTTAAATTACCTATGAATATGAGAAATTTTGAAGGTAGCGTATTTTCTTCTCATATTATTCAGCTATTTGCCTCTTACCTACAACGTAGGTATGTTTCTCTTCTCTTATATAGCTATCTTTCTATACCTCGCCACAATATCACTCCTATCCTACTTCATCAACCCGGTGAACGTGTCTAGTCATGCTTAGATGGGTCCAAATTTATAGACCCCCTTTGGCCCTATGGAACCCGAGGTTCGCGGTGAATACGTAGTGTATTGTTTGTGTCGCACAGGATTCAAGACGAACGGGGAAAGAATCACGAAATAAAAGTCAACTCTAAAGGTACCGTCGTATATAAATGATGTATGCGTTGTATCTAGTAAATTTCTTACTTTCCAATAGATACATACAATTATGTATATATCAAGGTACATATATATGACAACGGCATGTTTTCTATAGGGTTTCTTTTTGGGATTTCTACAAGGAACCCACCGTTCTGCAAGAGCCCAAACCAGACCTTACACAACATACCATATGCCATATTTTTCTCTATGAAGTTGGAGATTACATGAGATTATACTACTCCAACATGCCAGCATTCCTGGAGGAATGAGTAATTCCCTATATCTCTCTCTCCCTCTCAAAATCACCCATTAGAATTGAACTTGAGCAAGGGGAATAAGAGAGAAAGTTGCTTTTTGGTTTCCCGTCATATTAACATATCGGGACTAGGGGCTGGTCGGGATCCTCGACGCTCTCTCTCTTTTTTCCTTTTTCCACATATCGCCTCTTTTCTCTCACTCACTTCCTCTCTCTTCTCTATTCCTCCACCCCCCTTCCCCATTCCCCGTTGGGCTATATCGTCTCTTTTCCCGCTAAATACCTTTTGACCCGCTCTCCCGATATCTACTCTTTTTCCTTTCTTCAACTCTCTCTTCCTTAATTACCTTGTTACTGTTTTAACGCTTAATTCTCTTGCCAATTCCCCCATACTGTATTTTGTTTTTCTTATTGTTTCCTCTTGTTTCCTGATCCCTATCTCTTTCTATCCCCTAGCTCGCTCCACTTTGGGCTTTCTTCTGTAAGTTCTTATTTTCTTCCCCTACACTCTTTTCAGAATTCAATCTTGATATCGGTGCCCAGAACCAACCCTTCTTCACCCCTGCAGAGAAATAAGATCTGACGCGGTCCACTCTTTGTCCTTCCCACTTTTCTTGATTTTTCCCCTTTGCTCAACTTCTTCTTTTTCGTATAATTTCATGTTCTCGCGTTCCACCATATTTTTCAAGATTTCCACTATTTCCCCTTCCCACCTCCTTCCTATTCTCATTTCCCACATTCCTCTCATTGATATTCTTCCCCCCATCTCGGAACAGCTTCGGATCCCCGTGGACTAATTAACCGCTCACAGCAAGCAACCTGATATTTCTCAACTCTGGCATCATCCATTTCAATCTGTGGATGACTAAGTTTCAGTTTCGATGACCACCCCCAACTCTCCGGAGGCAGTGGCCGATTCGGCTAATGGCTCCGCCACGTATGGCACGCGATCAAGAGGTCGCAATGCGCCTAGGCCAAATTATGCCGAGGATCGTGATCTGGAAATGGACGTCGATGCCTCCGCCTCCAAATCAGCGAAGCGTAACAGTGGCGTAGCCCTTAACAACATTGTCAACGGTTCTAATCCTGATGAGAAGACTTCGTCGGCGCCACGCAAGAGCCTGAACGGCAACGCTAACGGCGCTAATGGATCGGCAAAAGATGCCATTCCGGGAACTTCTTCATTTTCCGCCAGGCCGGAGGATGTGAACGGGTCTAATTTGAGAAAACGCAAACAACCCGCCAGCACACCAAATTCCACACCCACTTCGGGTAGTGCTGCTAAGAAAATATTCACATCTGCCCCGGGTGATTCCGAAGGGGGCTATTTTACCAATATGATGAGCTTCGAAACTCATGGTCCCTATTTGAAGGATGGGAAATTAATAGCTGACGATGGCACCACATTTGGTCTTAACGGTTGGTTGCCCACCACAATTTATTCAATATGAAACTAATCATTCCCAGACCACGTCTATCTAATCTGTGAACCTCCGGGTGAACCATATTACTTGGCACGAATCATGGAGTTTCTTCCTTCAAAAACAAAACCAGACGGATTTATCGAGGCCTTAAGGGTTAACTGGTATTACCGTCCACGAGACATCCAACGTCATTCTCCCGACACTCGATTTGTTTTTGCTTCGATGCATTCTGACACTTGTCCACTCCCTTCATTACGGGGCAAGTGCGATGTCCGGCATGTATCAGAGATCGAGGACCTTAACTCCTACAAGAAGACGAGGAACTGTTTCTGGTACGACAAAATGTTTGACCGATATATCCATCGCCTCTACGACGTCATTCCCACTAAAGATATTATTAACGTTCCCTCAAATGTCAAGAAGGTTCTTGATGAACGCTGGAGGTTCATTCTTGTTGAGATCGGTAAAGGGAAAGAATTGACCGGTGCTGTCAAAACTTGCAAACGATGCCGTCTTTACGCTGCGAACTCCGAATCTGTCGATTGCGCGGTTTGCCATTCTACTTATCACATGGGCTGTGTGCGACCTGCTCTGACCAAGAAACCCGCTCGAGGCTTTGCTTGGGCTTGTGCCGCTTGCAGCCGTGCCCAGGAACGAAAACTTGAAGCACGTAACACGCCACTGACCGGCGGAGCTCGGGCAGACGGGGAAGATATCATCATGGAAGAAGAAGAGGAGGAGGACCCTCATAACCATGCAATTGGTGCAGCAAACGGTACTTCTGTGAGCACTCCGGCAGCCGAGGAAGATTTCATGCCCCAACCTGCAACTGCGGAGCAGATGGCACAAGCCAAAATGTGGCCATACCGATACCTGGGTATTCATTGCCGCGTAGAGGACGCCCTGGATTACGATGATCGAATTTACCCTCGAGCAAGCTCACGTCTAGGAACGCGCCACCAAGCGATGGTGGCTGCGTGGCCCGGTCGCCCCATTGAATATGTGAAGCCACTCGATAAGAAGAAAGCAAAGGTTAAAAAGGATGGCAAGTCTAAGGATGCGCAGGCTGCACTGGAAGCCGCTAAGAACGAGAGAGCCAACCGACCGAAATGGGTTCTAGACGAGCCGACAGGTTACGTTCATCGTGGTCTGGATGAGCCAGTTTCAATCAACGAAAAAACCGGAAAGCAAGCGCGCACTGCCGAACCCATGTTCAAGATGCCTACCCCCAACCAGATTTCTTCACGAGGCGAAGACAATGCTCCCGGCTCACATTTGAGTGATGCTGATCGGGAAAAGTTCATCGACGATTACATGCGCCAAGCCAAGGAACTGGCCCCCGGTATTGGGGTTGAGAAGCACTCTACCAACTTCCTCGATAAAGCCCTTTCAATCCTATACTCCGAGAGCTTTGACGTACCAGCGGCCTTGGCTAAGCTGAAGAAGACCAACAAATACAAGGATCTCAAGGAACCTCATATTAAACCAGAAGAACTCAAGCTCTTTGAACAGGGTGTCGCCAAGTATGGATCGGAATGGCGCAACATTATGAAGCACGTCAAGACTGTTCCGATCTATCAGATCGTCCGATTTTACTATATGTGGAAGAAGACCCCGAGCGGTCGAAAAATTTGGGGCAGCTACGAGGGCAGGCGTGGGAAAAAGGAGGTTCGCCGCCACAGTATTACTTCATCGAAACTGCTCGACGATGTTGCCGATGATCATGATGATTCTGCTTTTGACTCCGAGAAAGCGGTTCTCGCGAAGCGTGGATTCCATTGCAAATTCTGCTCCACTCGCAGTTCACGACAATGGCGACGAGCACCTCTAGTTCCCCCAGGCACTGTCATCCCTGCAGAGCCTTCAAACAAGAAGGACAAAGGTCCTATGCTCACGGTCTCACTTTGTCTCCGTTGTGCTTTGCTGTGGCGGAAATACGGCATTCAATATGAGGATGTGGACGAGGTTGCGAAGAGGATTGCAAACAGCGGTAACAAGTCATGGCGTCGCCGCATTGACGAGGAAATGTTGGCGCAGTTGATTGTCGCTACTGAAACCCCGTTCACGATCACCAATGCAACCGCCGCCACAGCTACCTTGATGGGCATTCCGCTTGATACAAACCCTCGACTCATGCAGGATGGCAGAGATAGCAAGGACAACAAAGATAGCAAAGACGGCAAAGACAGCAAAGACAGCAAAGACGGCAAAGACAGCAAGGACGGAAAGGACGGCAAGGTCGATCTGGTGAAGAAGAAGACTAAGGAAACCCCCGCAACCTCAACTGCGACATCTGTCGAGCCTATGCCGAAGAAAAAGACAGGGATTGAGAAAGTTGTGGAAGTTGCACCGATTATTCCCGACCCCCCAAAGGCCAAGACCCTCCCTTGTGCGATTTGCAACCAAATCGAGCCTTCGGGCGAGGATCATCTTTCATGCCGGGATTGCCGTCTTACAGTTCATCGAAATTGCTACGGTGTCCGAGACTCGCGAGCTAGCAGCAAGTGGCTGTGTGATATGTGCTCCAACGACCGCACCCCGTCAATCTCTACAAACTACACCTGTGTTCTTTGTCCAGTCTCATGGACTGAACATGACCTCATGGAGACCCCCAAGAACCACTCCCGGAAGAAGACTGAGCGCGACAAGGAGAAAGAGCGCATGGAAAAAGAAATGGTTGCTGAGGCTATCAAGCTATATCGTCAGCGGCAGGAGGCTGTTGGTAAGCCCGTCGGCCCCCGAGAACCCCTGAAGCGAACCGCAGGCAACAACTGGGCTCACGTGCTTTGCACTTTGTGGACTCCAGAATTGAAGTATGGTGACGCGGAGGAGCTCGAGCCCGCAGAAGGGTTCGGATCCATCCCCAAAGAGAGGTGGCGCGAGACGTGTAAGGTTTGCAAGTCAAGCAAGGGTGCATGTCTACCTTGTAGCTTTGCTGGCTGCAACGCTCACTTCCATGTTGGCTGTGCTTTCCAAGCAAACTACCGATTCGGTTTCGATCTCACACCTGTCAAGAGCTCTCGCCGCGACAGTATGCGACCTATCCGCCTAGGTGACGATGTTGGAGCCGCCGTCCCTGCTGTTTACTGTCCAAATCATAGCGTGCCGAATGGACTACACGAGATTGGCGAACAGACCAGCCAGAACCACCTCAATGCTCTTCAGTTGTTCGCTCAGACCTATAAGCAAGCTGACCTGGCTCTCACTGGAACAGTCCGCAAGGCAGCGTACATGCAACAATCTGTTGGAGCCCCGCAGCATACTGTTAATAATACACACCGTCGGGCTTCGACGAGCACTGTACCGGCTGCTCCCAAGGATACTCCCAAGGCCGAGGACCCGGCTGACGATCCTATGGACATTGATACAGACGCTAATGTTGCGCCACGTCCAGCTGCTGTTGGTGCCGAGACCAACCGCAAATGTGTTCGTTGCGCTACTGGATTTAGTCCTAAGTGGTGGTCTCTTGGACGTCGACCTGATGTTCGGCCACCCATGGCCAATGGATCAGGACACCTCCACCATCCCCAAGGTTTCGCTCCACTTGATCTTGGCGAACAGGTATATGAATGCCACAAGTGCCGTTTGAAGAACCCAGCGCCTCCTCCTCCCCCTCCTGCTCCCGTGGCTGTGCCTGAGCCTCAAGCCGACCCCCGGCCCTCGCCTTACGCTGCTCAGCGTCCCATGATACCCACTGCACGAATGCCCAGTCACGGCCACGGTTTTTTGCCGCACCTACACCAGCACCCCCCTCCCCCGAGCGGTGTCCTTGGGCGACCAATGCCTCCAACTCACCCACACAATGGACCCCCCGGCTCAGCATACCCCGGACCTTACGAGCAACGTCCACCCCCCGACAACGGCATTCGCAATGGCATGTCGCCATCTCCTTACCCCTCAGGACCACCTCCCCACCACATGAACAACTACCCACACCCTCACCCCGCAGGGCCACCCCCACAGTATACCAGCGCAGGGCCGGTACCACCGCCACCACCCTATGCCACGCACCAGAGCCCATATGGCCCTGTGCCAGCGCGGTCGCCGCATCTTTCACAGCCACCGTCGCGCGCATATGCAGCCTCTGCATCCCCTCCAATTGTGCAGGCAACAACGGTTAACCGCTCACCCCAGACCTCATTGAGCGCGCTTAATGGTGGCCCGCCTCCTCGAATGTACTCTGTTGACCGTGGTCTTGGGGCACCCTCTCACTCACCGCCGGTGACCCAAGCGCGTCTCGACCCGCGCGGGCCCACTCCACCTACCCGGCCAGAAGATACACCACCTTCACTCATGGGCGGACAGCCAAGCACTGGTCGGCATTCGGGTGTCAACGGTACTGCTGGGACGGGAGCAAGCGCAAGCCCGTCGCTAAAGAACCTTCTCTCATAATGAAAACGAGGAGCTCTGACCCAGTGCTCATAATCGAGTTGTATGATAGTGATCTACGTCTTTTCAATTTGCTTTTACTGCTTCTGCATTTGCATGCCACGATATTTCCTGAACAAGTGTGCCTGGCTTTGGGATACCTTTCCCCCATGCTTTATCTTCTTTGTGTTTCTGGTCCAAGAGAACCTTTGGTGCCTTCGCTCGTCGTACACCATCTCTTGTCGCTTCGTTTGCACTTCTACTTCTACTTATTATGTTTCTTATGTCTTGTTTCTCGGCGTCTTTGATCACCTTGGGGTGTGTCCGTGGAGTCTGTTATAGGAGTGGTTAGGGATTGTGGAAAACATGGTTTGCATGGAGCTATTATGATTGATATTACCATTACTCATTGTTTCCGGTTAGAGGAAAGATTAGCATTGCTATCTGCGTTTAGTTTCTTTCTTCCATCGTGATCCCCCAAGAATATTCCGAGGTATTCGGTAGACTGGGATTATAAACCTCTTCACTTTCCGGGTAAATCGGCCCGGGCCATGAAAATGGCTGACAAATTACCGATGAGGTCAGTTCTGTAGTGCAACAAGTCGATCCACACTCGGCGATACCTATAAAACACACCTTCTGTAAATTTGTGCTGGAAACAAATCTCTGACACAGCACATATCATTCACAATGAGCGACACCATGCGAGCTATCGGTAAGTTAAAGCGAGGGTGAAGACCTCGGGAGCATGCCCAGATGCTGAAGGAGATCCCCCACCTGATATCATTGTTGCCAAGATACGCGATATCGATATATATCAATCACATCGCTATGCTTTTCTACGCCATTCACAGTTCCAATCTCGCATCAGATCGCAATGTACTCAAACCCGCGAAAAAAACAAACTAACAACGCGTAGGCATCAAAGGCGGCAAGGGCCCCGCATCAAGCCTCTTCATCGACCAGATCGCCAAGCCCACCCCCCAAGAAGGCCAAGCAATCATCAAGATCCGGGCCTTTGGACTGAACCGCATGGATTTGCTGCAGCGCGAGGGTCTGTACCCGCTTCCGCCGCAGGCACCCGAGACCATGGGCGTTGAATTCTCCGGTGTGATTGAGAGCTTCGGCCCGGACGGCCATGAAGACTTCAAAGTCGGAGACGAAGTCTTCGGACTTGCCTATGGCGGTGCTTATGCGGAATACATTGCGGTGTCCGCGAAAATGCTAGTTCACAAGCCCAAGGAGATTTCATGGGAAACGGCTGCTGGTATTCCCGAGGTAAGCACAACTCCTCTTATTCTATTGTAATAGCAATGGCAATGGCAGAAAAGCAAAGCCAATATCAGCGTCGGTGTACGTTACGCACACAGAACCTCGCTGACAAAATTCAGACCTGGATCACGGCCTCGCAGGCCCTCTTCTTGATTGGCGAGTTCCAATCTGGCCAATCTATCCTCTGGCACGCCGGTGCCTCCTCCGTCTCAATCTCGGGAATCCAGCTTGCCAAGGCCGCCGGTGCGAGCGCTATCTACGCTACTGCGGGCTCGCAAGAGAAAATTGATTTCCTGGAGAAGGAGCTCGGCGTGACAAAAGCCTTCAACTACAAAACTCAAGACTGGGCCGCGGAAATCCAAAAGGCCACCGGCGGCGCGGGCGTCAACCTAACCGTCGACTTCATCGGCGCTACGTACTTCCAAGGTAATCTGGACGTGGCGGCTCGGGATAGCCGCATTGTGCTTCTCGGTTTGATGGGCGGTGGTAAGCTGCCTGACGGAGTCAACATTGCGCCTTTGTTGTTCAAGCGGGTCCGGATCGAGGGAAGTACTCTCCGATCGAGGGATGTGGAATATCAGCGTAAGTTGAGGGATACACTCGTTGACCATGCTCTGCCGAAGTTTGTGGATGGGACCTTTAAGGTTTTTGTTGAGAAAGTTTTGCCGTTTGAGAAGATTGAGGAGGCTCACAAGTTGCTTGAGGGTAATACCACTAAGGGCAAGATTATCTGTGTTTTTGAGTAGGTGGGTTGTATGGTTGAACTGATGACAATGAGAATAGTAAAATGATATGCAGCAATGTGCAGCAATGTGGATTTTGATACATACTAAGACAGAGGGTACTACATGCACATATGTACGTAGCCTACATACATACATGTGTTTATATGTACGTCGCTATGTACGTCGAAGCTTCCAAAGTACCATGCTGTGCCAGCCTTTGTGATTGGTCATGGACTTACTCCAATCATAAGCGATCAGCAACTGAACCGTGGTCGGACACTCTGCAGTCAGCCACCGGACGGATGTGAAATTACATCGTATGTAGTCTGCATACATAACAGCCTAGCTCGGTCTCAGTATATACAATATTGTCGATATTTGTATATGTACTTGAATCTAATATACTTGGAAATACTTATACATCTGAAAGAAGTAGTTAATTTGGCAGTGGCGTTGGCCCCGCTCTCTGAAGAATACCTTCTAATACCTGCATGCATTCGGCTAATCAGCTGTTAAATGAAATCACTTCGGATTAACCTGTCTCCGTCATCTTGGCCCCCGAGGTATCCTTAATGTCCACTTGTTTCGGTCGGGGGTTTTTTTGTGGCTAAGTCATATGTATGTTGTATATGTACAGTAGGTGGGTAGTGGATACATTTATATATAGCCTTAGTATATGAATCCATTCAACTATGGATATCTCCTCAGAATACATATATCTTCAGTATGTATCTATACGGTATTTAGGGCCAGAGATACTCAAGATAGTGGTACCGAGTTACTCGTTACGTAAGCGACATTCTAGAAAGAAGAAAAAAAAGAGAGGCGTCACTGGGTCCACTGCTTGCGATCGGAGGCTCTGTTCGAAATTGAAAGAGAAAATATATGAAATAAGGAACAAAGAAAAAGGAAATGCATAGGTAGAATGAGGTTATTTTATATTGAAATCGATGAAAGATTAAAAAAATATATTTACTATATTTTTATAGTATCTCAAATCCAAAATATCACATAGAGAAAAAGAGGGAAAAAAGTACAAGGGTACATAAGATTACGCAGAGGATCATCCCGTCCCGCCCCAAGGCCTTCTGGAAGGAGGAAAGAAGCCCCTTCCCCGTGTTCGCCCCTCCAGGCTCTTTGGTGTTTTGCTTCGACTTCGCTTTCATCTCCTTTTTTGTTTAATAAAACACCTTTTCTTTGTTCTTTTAATCCTATACTCACCGCTAGACAGTCATGTCGGACTGACGTCCTTCCATCTCCTACATTTTCTTTCACAACTGCACAATTGAACCCCCTTCAGCCCTCGATATTTCTCACGTGTCGCTTCAGTCCCATCCCAGTACTCTACCCCGGGGTGGAAAGTGGGCTGCGCGCTTCGATTCATTCGTCTAGTGCGACACATAGTCTAGACTCTGGGGGTGTCTCGGAACCTCCAGTCCACAACGCGACTCGGGACTGCGTCGCTGCAGGAAACAACTCCATTGTTCGATTCGGCGCAACTGTCGACTGTCATTCCTTCTTCCTCCTTGGATTGATCTTTGGGATCCCATATCGCCCGTGTCCGCCGCTCGTTTTTTTCCCTCTCCCTTTTTCTCACTTTTCTCCTTCGACCGACCGACTGACGCTCGTCACCACCAACTTTCCCTCCTCCGAACATCCCTCCCCCAACTTCGTCATCTGAGCCATATGCGAGTCAGGATAGGTCCGACCGGCTCGTCTCCTTTTTCTTTCTCCGATTGAGTTCTTGTCGGTCTTGTGATTCCGGCAGAACAGCCTAATCGGGGTTGTTTTTTACCTTCCTGACAACATGGTGGACCGCGTGGAATGCTCGGGCGTCTACATCGACGACAGAGTGCGGTCGGAAAGATGGGTGCGCAGAAATTCTATAGATGAATCGACGATATCATCAGCAGGTTCTTTCGTGACACCCGAAGAGCCGGAAGCCCTGCAGGCCGATGTGGAGTTACTGCTGGAAGTGTGCAGACAAGGTAGGACTTTCTTTTTTTGCAAAATGCGATGCGTTTGATCACTTGCTAACCATCCGCTTAATAGTTTATCTCTGCCACACTGGATCTTCATTTGCCAATAAGTTAGCCGAGCTCAGCGACCGTGCGGGCAGCGACTGCAACCCAATATTCGCCTTCTTCGATATAGATTTCAGCGGCGAAGAATCAAATCTGGCACGTCGGAAAGCTAGCCGTTCCTCCTGGGCAGATAATGCTCCTCCATCACCAGGTTCCATTCATCGCACGTTCACATTTTCAACCCAGTCTGACGAAGCACGTGGCCTTTCGCTCCTATCGGGCATCTCAAATGATATACAAGCCCAAGAAGGCCCCAATCTGGTCATTCCAATCGCCGTCTTGCGCCTCCCCTCTTTGGATGCATCGATCGACTATGCTGGTACCGGCCCTACTAGTTCACCGCAATCCCAAGGACCTCTCACCGTGGAGCACAAGCAAATTGCGCGTTGTCTTGATGCCGGTTCCGTGGATGTTCTGACTACTCCACTAGATCGGGCACGCGTTCAAGGGCTCGTGGTCCATGCCTATCGCACCCGAAAAACTGCACAAAGAGAGATGTCCCGTTTCCTCGCACGTAGGAAACAACGGAAGCTTTCGTGGGTTGGAGTTCATGACGAGCAGCCTTATTCTTATCTGAGAGAAGCCATGGTCTCGAAACTCATGAAAGGCATCTGCAACCCGGAAGAGATTATTCATGAGTTCCAGGAGGTTGAAATCAGTGTTGATCCCGCACGCGAGCCTTTCATAAAAGAGCAGGTGGGCAGTTGGAATTTTTCGGCCCATGCGTTTACCGAGGATGAACTAGTGCTTTGCGCTTGTGAGATGATTCAACATGCTTTCACCATGCCGGGGTTGGACCATTGGCGGTTGACCCCAGATGAGTTGCAAACTTTCCTTCTTGCTTGTCGCGCTGCCTATAACTCCTTTGTTCTCTATCACAACTTTCGCCATGCTATTGATGTGCTGCAGTCTGTCTTTTGTTTTTTGGTACACATTGGTGCTTTGCCTCGTTATGGACCGGTTGGCCAAGATCAAGTTCCCAAATCCCCGATCGCATCTCTTCTCTCACCTTTTGACGCCCTCACTCTCCTCATATCAGCTATTGGCCATGACGTTGGTCACCCGGGTGTCAACAATTTCTTCTTGGTCAAGCTCAATGCTCCTCTCGCACAACTCTACAACGACAACTCAGTACTAGAAGCGTTTCACTGCGCCGCTTTTTCCCAGATTCTGCGTCGACATTGGCCGTCGGCCTTTAAGGATAAGCAGCTGCGCAAACTCCTCATCAGCTCGATTCTGGCGACAGACATGGGTGTTCACCAAAAGTTCATGCAGCGGATGGGTTCATTCCAAGAAAAGTTCCACGAAAACGGCAAATCGGTGGAAGGCTGGAAGCTGCAAGATGTCGACATGTACAAGACTTTGGTCTGTGGGTTATTGATCAAATGTGCCGACATCAGCAACGTCGCTCGGCCGTGGAAAGTTGCAGAGAAGTGGACTCAAATATTGCAGGAGGAATTCGCCAACCAGGGCGAGATGGAAAGAGAAGTTGGGATGGAAACCGCACTGTTTGGTGGTCCACCGGAGCTAGGGAACATTTACAAATTGGCCACTGGTCAAATTGGATTTATGTCAATCTTCGCCCTCCCGCTATTTGAAGGCATATCCGATCTTCTACCACAGTTGCAGTTCACTGCAGATCATATTCGTCGCAACCAGGCAAAGTGGCACGAACTGTCCAACGAAGAGCTGGAGAAGCAGGGTCTGCCAGTTGAGAAACGGGCCGAAATTACAGTCTCGCCGCGATCCCACAGCCCCGCAGCCCAATCTACCAATACCGAAAAACTGATCATTGACTCCGGAGATGGTGTGGCGGACCCAATCGGATCGTCTGAATCATCGTCAGGAGTAATCTCGGATGGGGCATATAAAGAGAATACCATCGAACCGGTTGTGTCGCCAGACACGGCAGGCCCTCAGATCGAAATTACGGGGAGTCCACTTGACCCGGCAGCTGAGATGGCTTCTCGCAAGTCATCCAGTGCCATGCCGCAGGATCTTTCGTACTTCTCAATTCCAGGCGCCCCGGAGTCGGCCCATGGGTCCATTGGAAACCAGCTGCACAGTCCTCTTCCCGAATCAACTAACCCCACGGATGATCCGGCTGTCCTAGCGGCTGTTTTGTATGCCAATTCTGCCATAGGCGCGAGTACTCCCCTAGGCACAGCGGGGCGTGACCATACACCTGAAGCTGTCGAGAGACCGAGCAGCTCCCGCCAAATCTTTCCGCACGGCTCCCAGCGTCACCATGCGCACCACAGCTCTTCTGCCCGCACTGGCTCGAACCGCAATAGTTGCACTCGGACGCAGAGTACTTACAGCAACAATATGCCATCCATATCTCCTGTGACCAATGCCACCAGCTTTTTGGCTGTAGATAGTGGTGACGAAAAGCGCGTTTCTGGCGAAAGTGCGGCCCAAAGTGATCTTGGGGGACCTGATGACAGCAGCACTCGCCCCAGCACAGCGGATGCGTATCCTTCGAACGTATCAGAGCCTGGGAATGGTTACAATCCAGGTCGCAGTTATGGCCACCGCCATGGCACATCTCGCTCCGAAGATGGCGCTAGCAAAGACTTCTCCAGAATGGCACCTAACGGAACCGGCAGCTCAGCTCATTCGACCACTACTGGTGAGAGCATCAAAAATGAAACGCCGCAAGTAGATGACTCTCATGGTGAACGCCGTAAGCTCCCCAAGCGGCGGAGCCGACTTCGACTTGCTTTCTGGAAGCGTCGCAATCATTCACACGAGGTCCATGGCGAGACATGATTTCTCTTCTTCCTAGCCGGTGCTTTTGCACTTTCCATCACCGGCGTGTGTATAATGCTGCCATGGTCTTATGAATTTCATATGAGACCCGAGGCCATATTGGTGTTCCATGAATTCACGACTCGACCAGATGAAGAGACTCAGTCTTTGGTCTTTCAATACATTGGCTCTCCTGGTCACGACCCCACGAAGTTGATAATGACTCCTACTGTTGAACGCCTGGCTGTATCCCAGACACGAAAACAAATGCAAAGCTTGTCTGGACATATACAGCAAGAAGACAAACCGAGCTACATGTTTATCCCATCCTCTCTCCTCTGTTCAAGGCTAGAGTCACGCTTTAGATTGTGTCCATTCCAACGGATACTGGCATTGGTGGTACATCTGTTCTCTGCATTTCTGCATCGGGCTCACCGACTTTTTTTTCTGTGACGACCATGAACATGTTCGCGTTCTTTTCTTCTTTTCCTTACTCTTATTTCTCATTCTTCATATTTCATTCTTCTCATCCTGCTCTGCCCTAGTGGATGTTTGGGCGGCTCTTTCGTCTTAGAGTTTGGTGGCGGCGTTGTGTCTCTATAAGAGCGGGCTTTCTTTGAATCGGGCCTCGACTCCATGGCCTTGGATATCCTTTCCCTCTCCTGTTGATGTTTGATTATTCTTTTTGTCTTGATTTGTTTCTGTATGGGCTTTATTGAGTAGACCTTTCCGCTATACGCGATAATGAATGTGATGTGAATAGTGAGACGTTCTAAGATTGACAAAGGTCGGCTTGTATAGCTCTTCTTCGGTCCCTATCCCGTCGACTAATTTGTCTTAACCCTGATACTTAGTAGTATGTTGTCTATCAAGGGTCATAATTCTATGTAGCCGTGCCTCAGCGCGTTCTCAAGCTTTCTCCGCGGAAGTTATATCAAGATTAGGGTTCGGAATACACCGTCCCTTGGTCCATACGCCCGGGGCCTCTTGAAACATAGAATCAATACTAATTCATTGCTCCCCCAGAGGGAGTTTAAGTTCGAACTCAGCACCCTTGATATCAAGATTCGATCAGCTTTCGAGCTTAGTACTTAGCTGATCTCGTGCGTCACAGCGTCAGCCATTCCTCCGGTTCGATCCCTCCGGTTCGGGGGTGTTTCCATTCAACCAGACAGAAGATTCTTGAAAGCTCTGGTCCATCGACTAAATATGTAGGAGCTTTCTCCTAGAATCTTGAGTCTTGTTACGCCGCTACCTATATCTCACATTCTGTAAATGTTCGTTTCCTGACATCCCTGACGTTCAAGTCTGTTCCTTCGCGAAAAAGACGATGATTACGTCGATTTTGCAGAATGCCTTGTGGAGAGGGGTTGCTCCTATAAGAAAAAGCTCCTGTTTTAGGAAGGCTTATGATCTTAGTACATGATGACGTTGGTTGGAGCGCCACGAGCAATAAGGAGCTTCAGGACAGCCACCACATCGGACTCGCTAGCTACTGCATGGTGTAAACCCTGCCCTTTTGTGACATCACTGCCACGACTTGGAAGAGAAGATTGAACTTTGGCAAAGAAGCGTGTTCGACCGCATGGGAGAGCGGCGTGTAATCGATGTCACATTAGCGGTTGGCGTGGGCCCCATCGTTAAGAAGCCAGGTTGTCATATCGAGATTGGTAAGAGCATTACTGTCAAAGATTAGAGGTAAATCTAGACATGGGCGGGTCGACCCACGTAAGAATTGGGGGATGCATTCGGCCCTTAGGCTGGTTGATATCCTGTAGGCCCTACCATTAATCCAACCCGTAATAGTAAATACTAAAGTTTAATTAAAGACATCGAAGATAACAGTATATAGCTAGTTAATAGACTATGTTTATTAATATTTACCGTAGATAGAAAGAAGGAGAAATACCTTCGGGCTAGGTATTATTTTTTAGAGGACTATAATGCCGTTTGCATAATGTTCGAAAGCAGATAACTAACACGTTAAGCAAGATCTGGAAGCTAACTGTTCCTCTAGATAAATAGCAGCAGTAAAGATATCGGTTCGATTATAGTTAAAGTACCGTACTGACAACTATATAACTAGCAGAAGCCTAGAGCAAGAATCTTATAGTTAACAACATTAGACCTACAGCTAGCTAGACATTATTTAGCTAGATAGATGACGCTAGGCGTAAGAAAATTGGATGAAGTACTTCTAAGGGCGATTCAATATTTTTAGGACCACAGAGCTATATTCTAGGTTTAAATATACTTCAGACGTAGATCAATGATGATCAATGATATCATAATATCTAACAAGACCTAGAGATAAGATAATCACCATCGTTAGAGATTGACTGAAAGATCGGCATGTTGTATACTCCACAACAAGATTTCAACGACAAGGTATGCCTTCATGCCCCGAGCACACCGTATTGCAATACAGGAAGAGGGTGTAGCATAATTCGAGAATAGATAATTGACTGATATTATGGATCACCTGACAATTTCTCATTCTTTCACCCTCAAGTTGATTGGGACCAAACAATGTGACCGATCATGCACATCCGATCTTTGGGAATTCCGATCAGACCAGTGATATCGCTCCATCGCTTGTCTGTTTTCATGAAGATTCAACTTCAAAGGTAGCCTGCATTACATTTGATGCATGTTGGCTCGTCCGGAACGGGTCTAGATTTATGGCAGGTCATGCTCAAGGGACTATAGTTGATATGTCCCGATGTAAAGCTAGATATCAATCAAGCAGCTCTATCCTTTTTGACCATATAAAAGTATAAGATACCCAGTTCCTTCCAAAGTTTCGCATCCAGCGCACAAACCACCAGTTTGACCCATCACCGCGGAGTTTGGGCATTGATTTGTATACGGCAGTGGCATCATACTACATCAGTACAGTACATATTTGGTTTCTCGCTTTTATTTTCAGTGCCCTCCTGTTTTCCAACGAGGACCATCTTATTTCATTTTGGTTCGCGGACACTCAAAGGACCATTTCAAGGACGTAAGTATTGACAATACCCTTAGCAGAGGCCTCGGTGGATGAAGGAACGGGGAGGGGCGGTAGTTCCTCTCCTGCACTAGCGCCATCTTTTCCTCTGGTCTTGATGTATGACTGTTTCTGAATCTTTCCAGCATTGTGGCTTGTCGTGATATATTGTGGGTTGTGCGGTCAAATACCTACCTTAGTACATTACCTTACATACAAATCAGCATAAATATACTAGAAGAGGTAATTCTTTTCACTGCCGCTCTTGATCACCGCTTCATAATCGCTTGGAAAATTGTTCCGTATCTTGATCCCTGACGGAGTATGCACCTGTAGTAGAACATTGCGCTATGCCCTGTGAAGAATACGACCCCCTAATCACTCAGCGGGCCAACAATCAGCGCACCGGTCGTGACACCATTCGTTTAGCTAAGCCCCTGACAAGAGCTAATAGAGTGTACTACCTTATGCAAGGTCGCGCATCATGTATATGCCTATTTTGCATAGCTCCGTTCCAATGGGCGGTTGGTCAACAATTTTGGTTTATTGCCATCATGGCGGCATCACCAAATAGAAATTCGTACCCGGTCAGTATGTTACACAATGGCGTAGACAATGCACATGGATCCAAGGATCGTGGAGGATCTCCTAGAGGTGGTTACACGATCACGTCCACGTTGCTATTTTGCATCGCCATGTGTTTATATCTCTGACTAATAAGCGATAAATCAAATTCGTTTTCTTAAAAGCAAGGCGCGTGGGCATAGTTGCACCCCAAACATGTCAATTTCCAGAGTGCATCTGCAACCTCCTCCTTTGAACCTCTGCCGGTCTACTAATTACCAGAAGACAGCGGAAAGCTCTTTCCCCTTGGTTTGCTTAGCAGATAATGTAGTAGAAGACCATTACTCTCTACGCGATATAACTAACGTTAGACTAGAACGCATCGATCTAGTAAGTTTCGTATAAGAATAAGATGCACTTGGCTAGGACCCGTTATTATCTTTTGTTTATAGGTGTAATATCTTGTCCGTGTTCTGCAACGAGTCTCCGAGGGCTTCGTTCTCTCCATCCTCGACATAATTGGGATTTAGACATCCTGGCAAAGGTCGTACCAACCCATGGGCTCGCTGATCGAACCCAAAAAACAGTATGAACGCCACCGAATTTGCCTCGGTCTAGCTGAAGGGTAGGTTTTAACATAACATATTCATAAACATTGATAATTTATCAACTTTATCTTGAATAACTTAGTGATTTCAAGACGTTCAATTGTATATATATTAATTTGGTAGTAATTAGCTATTTATCTAGATTTAGTAAGGTATAATATTAGGGTTGTGGTAGAAAAGTGGTGTAGTAGGAAGAAGCTTAGATCGTTATAGAAATATATACTTACTATAGAACAAAAGTAGTGTTTCCTATGTGAACGTAAGAACAAAACAGCGGGAGATATTATCATTCGGACATCGAATAAGGTACATAACTCTTAATTTACTATCCCTTTGCCTCTACTGTATTCCCTTTTTGTTTCACTACATTAATGATCTCAAATCAATATTCGATCCCTTTTGTGTTAAATATGATTGGACTGACTTAATGCTTAATGCAGATGAATGGCGCTAGATTGACGACCTAGGCACCTTTATGGATCACGAAGCCATTCTTTGATTTTACCCTTGAGCTATCAAAGACAAAGGACGCTACCACTGATCATGTCTTCAAGATTTATAACAAGCCTTTTGAACACCTTAAGTGTCAAAGGACTAGCGTAAAAGTAAAAGGTGCCCTAGAGAAAGACAATGCGCAAGGTCCTTAATGCTACACGGGAGAAGCTTGCTGGCCATCACAAGCAGACTAATGCAATCTGAGGAAATCTCTATGCGTTTGGAAAATACTCTGGCTATTACATAAGTTCCAATTCATGTTTACAAATGATTAGGACGATCAATGGCGCGAGCATATCGAAAGAGCTTTCGAAAAGCTTTGTCTCTCATCACCCTGTGCTGTGAAATACTCAGTGAGCAGAACCATGAGCACCCTCATAACGCAGCGGCACCCCGATGGGGGAAATGGCGACCGCGGCCTAAAATCCGGTAGATACTGATACAAATGTAGGCTCACGAAGTCGCGGTGATTCCGGAATTAGGTGCTTCTATACTTCTAGCATTACCGCACAACCATCAAGCCTGACTCTGTAACACGCCTGGAATTAGACAGAGTATTGCTGTGGATATTTCGAGTACCTAGGTTAGAGCTCCAGATTATGTATCAACATCACGTAGATTCAAAACTCAGTGACTATTTGCACAATTGCCTATAGGCAATCCTCGCAAGGCACGTCTTTATTCTCTTCCTTCGCAGTCGCAGTCGCAGCCGCAGCCGCAGCCGCAGTTGTCTTCTCCTTCTGCTCAACTTGTTGCGCCTTCAGGGCTCGGTCTGTATGACCCAGATCCCTCTCGGGGGCAATGACATTACGTACAAGGGATTTGAGAGCTTTGACTTCTGTAGATAGAAGAGCGTGGTTAGCTGTCAGACTGCGAAGTCTACAATCTTATCCAGTATCATTATCCACATCCATGCACGGATAAGGATGTGGATGTAGATATCCAGAAATGATTCAGTGACGAAAAAAGAGAACAATGAAGACATACCAGGGAATCCGCCGTCTCTCTTTCGATCCCACAGAATATTCTCCTGTGCCGAGTCCTGGCCGGCCGTATCATGCCATATCGTCACCGTGAATACACCCCCGGTCATAGGCACCAAGGCCACTTCACCCAGGTCGGTGCCGAATGTTGAGAGGAGTTCTTGGGCGAACTATAACTGTGTTAGTTTATTGTATATTCTGCGTTTCTATGGTATATGCATATGGTGATCTTTGCATAGGATCCCAAAGATTGATGTACAAAGTACAGTTGGGGTCCAGACAATATGATAGGTCACACAAGACATTGACTTACGTATGCGGCGCGTAGCATCCATCGACACTGGGTGCAAAATTTGATTGTGATGCGGGGGAGGTGGACGTGTTCCAGTGTAGTTTTCTTTTCATTGCCGGTGGGCTGAGCTGTTGAGTCGCCCATGTTGTGTGGAGTGAAGGTTATGGCTGGTAGATTCTGGCCCAGGTGGTAAATTTCAGGTATCGTTGATGGAGTGGCCTGATATTGAATCGATGTTCAAGTTCAAGACTCATGAAGTGGGACGATTATCTGGATGATGTCAGCGGGGATTGGCCTCCTGAGCTGAATTTTTATTATTGATGATAGCTGTGGTGAGCACAGTCGATACATAAGTTGACTGTGCTTATGGCTTAAAATAATACAATGCAGTGTGCAGATCAAAATAGTATATTACGACCTGCCAACTGCGAAGTTAAGGTTCAAAGCCCAAACACTGGTGAGAATCGATCCCAACTGTCGGGTCGAGGCAACCAAACACATTTTATGAACTTTGATAGTCATGAATCCCTCGGGAAAAAATAGCGCAAAATCGATTAGATCGGTATGATATTGGTCATGGATGCGAATCTATGATACACGAAAGGCAACCGAATCTCACGCCTAGAAGTGAGAGACTTTTGAAGAGAAACCGTAACAAGTTACATAAGAGAAAAAAGAAAATAAGAAAGGCCAATTCCAAAACACAGCGAGAAGGGGGAATGTTGCGATCCAGAGAAGATAACAAAGGTTAAGGGCGGAACAGGTGCATCGTCAAGTACACTGCAAGGATGCAAGGATAAGGGACCAGATCGAAAAAAAAGGCGACAAAACAAAGCGAAATCCATGTGTGATCTCTGGCGTTGAAGGTTTCGTGCAGGACCAGCAGACGATTCTTTCAGGCCGACATTTCGCTTTGTCCGCGCACAGTGTCTTGTTCAGGGGGTCCAAGGGGTGATCGTGAAGGAGTCCGGAATTAAGTAGAAGAAGAAAAAAAAAAGAGGGAGAGCGAGATATCATGGCGATTATATCCGTCGTGAGTTCCATTACATGACAGTGCAGCACCCTCCCTGCTGTTGAGGAGCGTAAGGGTCCTCGCGCTTATCGACCTATTTGATCCAATGTTAGATGCGCGCGCAAGCCATTGAGAAAACCCGGTCGCATACCTGTCCCCATACAGATGGCACCATGAAGTCGCGAGTATTGTTGCAGTAGCTGATGAGACTATTAAGAGGGTCAGTATTGAGTTCAAAAAAGGACAAAGAAATGGTTGACGGACGAGAGAGCTGCCTCGGAGACCTTCACCCGTGGGCGATCCAGATCCTCCTTCAGACGGGCATTGAGCTCGGTCAGCCGACGGTATTTCAAGTCGGCGACACTCTGCTTCTTGTTCTTGACATCACCACCAGATCGGAGTTCGTAGGCAGGCATCGTGGATGGGTTGAGCTTTGAAGAGTCGCGAACGGGGGAGAAAGGGGGGAGGGGGTTTTGGATCGGCAAGTCAAGGGTGTAAGAATTAGGTTAGGGTCCGGGTTTTCAGGGGAAACCGTGCCGAAATATGAGAATTGAGAAGAGAAGAAGTGAAAAAAAGAAGGTGAATGAGTAGGTCGAAATTAGTGAAAGAATGATACAAAGGAATGAAAGGCCGTAGGGATTTTCCTTTAGAGAAGAGGCACAGGTCCGTGGGTTTCCCTTTTTCTTTTTTTACACGTAATGTGTTTATGGGGGAATCGGGGATTTGGGGAGGTACCCAGTACTTCGGATGGATCGGGGTATACTATTGTGGTACTATTGACGGGTAATTTTGTTTTGTGGTACCATATACATTAACTTCGGACTGATGGATTCGTATAAGTGTCGGATTCGGAATAAGATCGTTGTAATTGAAATGGTTGTTTTTGAATTATAAATAGTTGATGATTATCTCATTCGATGTCAGATGGACAACTGTTATATAGGATTTCTATGAGAACACTACAAGGTATGTACAGTTATACATAATATGACAGGTATATTGTCCAAAATTTCACCTAGATCTACATACATATTTAGTTACCATAGTAAATTAATTTCATGTATTGTAATTTTGCCTGTACTATGCAGATAGTATTGTATATTGCTGCCTCAGGCCACAACACGTGATCGCCATCGCTTAGCCCGAAGTGGGAACACTGGCGGCGGGTTCCAATTTTCGCTGCTTCACGCACATTGTGAATCTTCCCCTCGTTATCGGGTCTTCGCGTGGAAGCACCTCTAATCGCAACCTTCAACGCTGCCCGTGTGTGTCACCGGGTTCTTGGACTTATTTTTACCCATTTTTCTCGATCCCAGTTCTCATCTTTGATTCATACCCCCAAAGGGGCATCCACCCATTATGCCGCCTCCTCCGCATATCAAGCCTGAGAATGTTCTCAAGGTGAGCTCGCCATCGCTGTCGCCCATACGATACAATACATCAGTTGCTAATAGTTATATCACGGATAGAGGGCCCAGGAACTTATCGCCGTTGGTCAGGCCCCCGCCGCCTTGACCGTCCTTCACGAACATGTCACCTCCAAGCGTACCCGCAGCAGCCCCATCGCCTCGCTCGAGCCGGTGATGCTCTTGTTCGTTGAACTGTCCGTCGACCTTCGCAAGGGCAAGGCTGCCAAGGATGGTCTCTACCAGTACAAGAACATCGCCCAGAACACCAATGTCGGCACTATCGAGGTTCGTGTCGATCACTCTACGGAAGAAAAAAAAAGTTGTTCTGGTACTAACCTAGGGAATTTTTTCATCTTTGCAGATCGTCCTCAAGAAGTTCATCGAGCTCGCCGAACAGAAGGTCACCGAGGCTCAGGCCAAGGCCGACGAGATCCAGTCGTCCCTCGAGTCCGCCGCCCCCTCCGCTAACGTTGAGGATCTGGAAGCTATTGAGACCCCCGAGACCATTCTCCTCGCCACTGTCTCCGGTGAGCAGTCCCGCGACCGTACTGACCGCGCCGTTGTTACTCCTTGGTTGAAATTCCTCTGGGAGACCTACCGCACCGTTCTCGAGATCCTGAAGAACAACGCCCGTCTCGAGATCATGTACCAGTCGACTGCTCTGCAGGCCTTCAAGTTCTGCCAGAAGTACACCCGCAAGACCGAGTTCCGCCGTCTCTGTGAGCTGCTCCGCAACCACGTTCAGAACGCCGCCAAGTACTCCTCGCAGATGCACGCTATCAATCTGAGCGATGCCGACACCCTCCAGCGTCACCTAGACACGCGTTTCCAGCAGCTGAATGTTGCCGTTGAGTTGGAACTCTGGCAGGAGGCTTTCCGCAGCATTGAGGATATCCACACTTTGCTGAACCTGAGCAAGCGCCCCGCGAAGAACATCATGATGGCCAACTACTACGAGAAACTTGCCCGCATTTTCCTCGTCAGCGAGAACTACCTCTTCCACGCCGCCGCTTACAACCGTTACTACAACCTCCTCCGTCTTTCCTCTGCTGCCCTGGCCAGCGGCCAGAGCTCCAAGAAGGAGAACCCTTCGGTCACCGAGGCCGAAATGACCAAGGCTGCCTCTTTCGTCTTCCTCTCCGCTCTGTCCATTCCTGTTATCAGCACATCCCGCTCCCGCGGCGCTCTGGTTGATGTGGATGAGGCTCGCAAGAACAAGAACACCCGCCTCACCAACCTTCTCGGCATGGCCACCTCCCCCACCCGTACCGTTCTGTTCCGCGACGCCCTTAACAAGGGCCTGCTCCGCCGCGTGCGCCCCGAGATTCGCGAATTGTACAACATCCTGGAGGTCGACTTCCACCCTCTGTCGATTTGCAAGAAGATCACCCCCATTCTAACCAAGATCGGTGCTGATCCCGAGATGGAGAAGTACATCGTGCCTTTGCAGCAGGTCATTCTCACCCGTCTGTTCCAGCAGCTGTCCCAGGTTTACGAGTCCGTTGAGCTCAAGTTCGTCTACGAACTTGCCCAGTTCCCCGACCCCTTCCAGATCACCCCCGCCATGATCGAAAAGTTCATCATGAACGGTTGCAAGAAGGGCGACCTCGCCATTCGCGTTGACCACATCTCGGGCGTCTTGACTTTCGACTCTGACATCTTCTCTTCTTCCAAGGCCATGCACGCTGGTAGCGGTGCTGGCTCCGCCGAGAGCGACGTGGGCTCCGTGCAGCGTCTGCAGCACACTCCCGCCGAGATCGCCCGCTTCCAGGTTGCTCGTCTCGCCAAGACCCTCCACATTTCCTGCATGTACGTCGACCCCTCGTACAACGAGGCCCGCCTCCAGGCCAAGCAGACCGCCCAGGCCCGCGCCATTGCTGGTGCCGCCCAGGAGCACGAGGAGACTTTGGCTCGCCGTGTTCTTATCGACAAGAAGAAGGAAGCAGCCACCGATGCTTTGCAGCGCAAGCAGCGTGAGGAGGAGACCCGCAAGCGTCAACGTGCCCACCAACTCCAGGAGGCCGAGAAGCAGCGTCTGGCTGATGAGCAGCGTGACCGTGAGCTCAAGCGCATCAAGGACGAACAGGATCGCATTCGCCAGGAGGAGCTCAAGAAGCAGATTGAGGAGCTCAAGACTGGAGTCAAGGGTATTGACATCAGCGAGCTTGACCTCGATGAGTTGGATGCCAACCGCCTGCGTGCTATGAAGTTAGCCCAGCTCGAGAAGGAGAAGAACGAGCTGAACGACCGCATTCGTACAACCGCCAAGCGTATCGATCACTTGGAGCGTGCCTTCCGCCGCGAGGAGCTGAAGCACATCTCCGACGACTACGAGGCCCAGAAGAAGGTGGATCGGGAACTTTACGACAAGCAGAACGCCCTCGCTCTGCAGGAGTCCAAGGAGAAGCACGCCGAGGCTGTTGCCCTCAAGCACCGCCTGGGCCGTCTGGTTCCTCACTTCAGCAACTTCCGCAAGGAGGTTTCCGAGAAGCGCCACGAGGAATTCGAGAAGCGTCGCAAGGCCGCCGAGCGCGAGTACGAGGCCAAGAAGAAGCAGCGTGTCAAGGAGGTGCAGGAGCGCCGCCGTCTCGAGAAGCAGCAGCGCGAGGAAGAGGAGCGCAATCGCCTGGAGGAGGAGGAACGTGCCGCTCGCGAGGAGCAGGAGCGCATTGCCCGCGAGGAGGAGCGCCGTCGTGTTATGGCCGAAGAGAAGGCCAAGCGCGACGAGGAGCGATCGTTCGTAATCCCTGAGCCCAAAATCACTTCATATTATGGTACTAACCTTGCAATTAGGAAAATGGACGAGATTGCTATCAAGCAGCGACAGAGAGAGGAGGAAGCCGAAGCCCGGCTGGCAGCTCGCAAGGGAGGATTCGGAGACAGCTCCGAGAGACCCCGCATCAACATCGCCCCTCGGACTGGTGCTCCTCCCTCCACCTGGAGAGAGCGTCAAGCCGCCAAGGAGGCTGGTGGTGCCCCCGCCGAGTCTGCTCCCACTCGCGAGGAGCCCGCGCCTGCCCGCAAGATCGGTGGTGGCTACGTGCCTCCTCACTTGCGTGCCGGAGCCTCCGCCAGCTCTGGGTCCGCACCCCCTCCCCCTGCTCCCCGCGAGGCCCCCACTGAACGCTGGGCCCCTCGCGAGCCCCGCGAATCCGCTCCCCGTGAGGCCCCCACCGAGCGCTGGGCTCCCCGTCAACCTCGCGAATCTTCCTCTCAGTCCCCTGCGCCTTCTTCCAAGCCCGAGGAATCCAAGCCCGCCGCTGGCGGCAAGTGGGTTCCCAAGTGGAAGCAGCAGCAGTAAACGACCGGGTCACGAGTTGATAGCTATGACTTTCCCATTCAAAAAGTATATCGAAGCTCTTTTCTCTTTGGCGCTGTTCTCATGACCCTTCTGCATCTTTGTATCATCGACCCCATGGGGTTTTATGGTCTGTCTTTTTTGCGTTTCGATGTCTCTAATTTATTCTCTTTTCCCGGAAGGATAGATGGCGATTTTTGCCGTCTTTGATGCCAATATCATGCTCGTTTCCCTGTGTCTTAGATCTACGGTATCTATGGTAGTGCTGCTGTCGCGGCTAGGTTATCATATAGATAGTCAGGTTTTCTCAATCTGATCATTCTACATTCACTTTATTCCAGCCGTAGAGCTCGGTATCAAGGTATTGTCTCCGTAGATATCTAGCAGTATGTATCTGATTTTAGGCCGTAATTACAATCTTCCCGATCGGGATGCCGCCGCTTTATAAGGATGCTCAGGGTCCTGCTCTATATCATGTTGAGTGTTGAGTTTATATAGCGACTCGCCATATTCCAAATGAGGACATTGATAATTTAAACCATGGCACAGCTATCACTCCTAAAATTATACTCTTATTTTTTAATACCGTAGATGCGATCCCAATTAAGCCGAGAAGTCTCCTCCTGGACGCCAAAACTAGCCATCCGTAGCCCTTGGTCTGAATCTCGAACAAGCTCCCCGAACTGGACGTTGAGTTCCTTTAATTAATCGGGGAAGTTCTCCTCGCCGCTTAAGCATCCACCCCTTGCAAACTTGTCCAGTGTCTCACTTCTGGATGTTGTTTTGAAAAGATGAAGGAATCCACCATCGGTAGCCGATACGCCATTTGCACGAAGGGCGTTAAATCCAAGAACCATACACATAGAGTACCTGCAAGGATCAGGCAGTATGGTATGATGAGATTGCCTTGATTTTCACATGAGAACGGAAAGGAGGTATGCTTTGAGGCTCCTCATTAATAAGAAGGCGATTCATCTGCGATTAGCACCTGGGCATTCGTAATATTGCGGCGCTTCACCGGATATCGTTCTAATATAAGGAATAGACCCATACATGGACCCTGAGAAGATTTAAAACAAAAAGGGAAACCGCAGCAGCACCGCTTCGGATCAACACCCCCATCACGGTGCTACAACTGCGTCCTGGAAATCATTATCCGAAGGGATTCTGCCTAGTATGCACCGCACGGGGACAGACTTGCCAGACGAGAAGCATGACCTTGGTTACCTTCCTGATCGGATCCCCTTTGCGGGACTCAGCCTCACAGAACGACGCCCGGGTGAAATGGGCGATCGACAGCGGCAATGCACCCAAAATAGGTGGGAGGACGGGAGATAATCTTGAGCATACCCCCAGAGACTATTTTCGAAGATGATTGATTCGAAATGTGGCATGAAGATGTAAGTGGCGAGGAGACCGATCAGGCTGGTGATCGAGAGTCACAAGGGTATGATGCGCAGAACCAAGATCGGGTGCAAACCTGGCTTAGTTCAGTTGAATAATGAAGTAATAACCTCTAGATGGTCCCTTAATACAAGGGCCCAAGAGTGAAAGTGATTGCGGCTTTTCATAATTAGTCAGGGCAATTGGTTCAGTCTCCCATGCATTAATTGTCTTTTTGTTGATACCAGGGACAATGGCATTTCAGCAAGAGCTTACCTACATGCTATACATAGAAATAGCAGGTTGATTCATTTACAACACGTAGTTGTAGACTTCAAATGGTATCACAATTTCGAGCCTATATGCAAGTAATCTAAGAAGCTCTTTCAATATGAACAAGGGCCCAGATAATGAGAGATGGCCCAGCAAAAATGAATATGGATATCTGACAAAATGAACAAAGAAAAGATAAGAACACAAAAGGAAAGCAGTCTAGTATCCCTACCAAAAGAAATATTAATCATGAACATCAACATCAATTTATGCTGCAGCAACCTCTGCATTAGCTCCAAATAGCTTCTCCCGCCACTCGCCACAGACAGCCTCAAATCCACTAACGACATCACCGCAGACCTTGCCAGCCTCGCGATCTTTCAACCGGCGGTCCCATTCACCCTTTTCAATCCATCGTGAACCTTCCTCACGACTCTCTTCTTCCCGTCGAATATCAGCGACAAGTTCTCGCGCAGACCGTAGTCTTCGCGAAGCAGTTGATGTCAACTGCCGTGACTCGTAGAGAGTGTCGCTTAGTCCGCGAAGTAACTGGGTGATTTCGGCAGTTTGAGAGATGAGGGATTGGAGAGACACGAGAGGATTTTGAGCGGATGACTGGGGGGTGACTGGCCTGGAGCCGTGCCGGGGATGATCAGGGAATGGATATGGGAGATTGGGCAACAGGCCTTCATCGATGAGAGGCATGAGAGAGTCGATGGCTTCTTCGGAGAGGAGGGGGAATGGAGAGAACAAGAGGGGGTGAATGAGAGATTGGAGAGTGCGGGTTTGGTGTGTCAAATGCGACGTAATTGAAGAATGGGCGGTAATAAGTCTACATTAACATCAGTGACTTGGATCCTTGTTCATATACTGATCGACTTACCTCATGGCACTGTTTTCAATCCCACTCTGCCCACCGAGATCCTTCAGCGATTCCACCGTCCGCTTAATGACATGGTCATTCTCGCTTCCATTATTCTCTATACCCCGTCGCACCAGACTTTCAATCTCAGCCATCTGATTCTCAAGTGCGGGAGAGATATCAGCGGCCTCATCGAGATCCGAATCAGGTCCATAATCCGAGCCATCATACTGTGACTCCTGCCGGCGGTGCTGTCGCAGATGGTTTGCTCGGTTCTTATTCCTGGACGGATGGAGAGAGTCTCTTTCTGGTGAGACCGATGGTGACCGGGTGCGCATGCCACGCTCCGATTGAAGGAATGTGTCTTCTCCATCGCTAACACCCATATGTTGTGACCCCGCGCGACTCATTTCCTGGCCTGACGCATACCCATACCCATCGTCTTCTTCTTCCCACGCATCGGCTAGTTCGTCCGCCAGGTTGCCCAGTCCTCCCCCACCTGCATCGGCGGTGCCGGTGAATTCGCCAGATTCTTGGTACCCGCTCATGGCGGTGGAATTATGACGGGAGGTAATGGGGGACGGTGGAGCTGATAGACGGGGTGTCTGCGGTGATCGAGGACTTGCTAGTGAGAACCCATTTCCTACTGTCCCGGGGGAGATTGGTGTGTCGTCGATAGATGATCGATAGCGGTGTGAGAGTTTCAGGGGAGACGGAGGGGCGGGCATTGCGTTTGGAGAAATTGCACAGGATTCTGGGGTGAAATAGATTCTGCCGAAGAGCTAGGATGGCTGGAGAGTATTGCAGTCTAGCTAGCGATAAGAATCAGGCCGTCTGAGTCCAGCTACAGGCGAAGAATAAGTTGTTGATTGTTGTTTAAGACACAATTGGATGTGCCGGTATCTCCGAACCGAGTCAATGTCGCAAAGTTGGGCGGAAAGGAACAGAGATAGAACCAGATTGGATTGAGACAAAGAAGAAATAAAACAAAAGACTTCTAAAAGGAGTGACTGCCAGGGTATATACAGGAATACAGGAGGGGTCATCTAGAAGACCCTCAAGATCAACAATATTCACCGCCGACAAGTTCGGCAAAAAAAGGAACAGCTTCAAACCCCCACATTATGTCTTTCAAAGGTTTGTGATAGGATCTGGTTTGATCAATTGATTCACTATGAGCTCCATTGAGCGCATGTCCCCTCTGGACCTGTTAAACCTGAACCAGACAAATCTCGACCCCCTGACAGAGAACTATGACCTTGGCTTCTATCTCAATTATCTGAACAAATGGCCGTCACTTTTCAGCACTGTGACAGACCGTGATGCGGGCATCGTGGGCTATAGTATGTACTAGCTCTCGATTTGCAACAGACTTCCATGAAAACAAAGCTAACCTCCTCTTTCAAGTCATGGGAAAGCTAGAAGAGCAACACCCCTCAATGCGACACTCAGAGCACTACACACCATGGCACGGACACATCACAGTGCTAACCGTGGCACCAGCCTGGCGTCGGCTTGGATTTGCACGCAGGCTGACCGAGCAGCTGGAGCGCGGATCCGATAGCAAAGATGCCTGGTTTGTGGATCTATACGTTCGGGCCGGGAATAAGGTTGCATACGACATGTACAAGGGCATGGGGTGAGTGCTACGCGAGGTTTCATTGAGTTTGATCTGCTCTCTGACTAATTCAATCAAAACAGGTACTCTGTATTCAGGCGAGTGGTCAATTATTATAGTGATGATCCATCGGGGATGTCGGAAACTGGAGAAGATGCGTTCGATATGCGCAAGCCGTGCAGTCGGGATAAGAAGCTTGAGCACGTGCGAGAAGATGGCGAGAACTTCCCTGTTGGCCCAGAGGATGTTATGTAAATTTACGATCACTGACATGGACATGCACGCTGCTTTATTTTTTCTTTTGGGGGGTTCATTACATGGGAATATTGCGATCGGGTTTATTTACTACTACCAAGCCCCAGGGCTATCGATACGATAAAATTATAAACCAACAGGCTCGCATTATTCCAAAATGCCTCTGGCCTCATTTGGCATCTATTTGAGACTTTGCGTTTCAGATCTGCTAAATATCTTTCATCTGTAATCTTCAATTGAATGGCAAAGAGAGGAATTTACATTTTCCTTGTCACAGTAATTCATAGATAGTCCAGTATGAATGGACAATCAATGGTGATAGTTAGTTGATGCTACGCAAGTATATGGGAAACATAACGCTGATCATTAGGCAAGATGGCTAAGAACAAGATCGACTACGTGTGTATGTAGCTTTAGATAGAACCATTTAGGAAGTCTCAAGGCAGAACCTTTGATCGAATGTCATCTAATTGCTTGCACGTTATGGATTGCGCCGTATCTCCTGTCAACCTCAAGAAGAAACAAGTGTGAAGAGTTGATACAATATGAAAACCCATGATATTATCAAAGATGCAACGAATGGGGAGATTATGGCAGTAGAGTGGGTATATGGATGGCATTGTCTCTTCAATGACATTGAGGTAGCAGATTGGAGGGCCACACTGTCCTTCAGGGATGAATGAAACTCTCGCCCGCGTAAAAGGGATATATGCATCGAGTATGTCGTTGGAAAATGTCATGGCAAATGAATTTTAAGCCTTGACGTGAAACTTGGGACCTGTGCGCAAGAACCGCACGCATGTCATGAGAACAGCAGACGTGATGATACAACAACCGGTAAAAAGCTGCACTCCAATATACTGGTTTGTTCTGGTCAAGATTGCACCGCCGATGGGAGTGCCAATTAGCAGGCCAATAGAAGTGATAGCGAAGACCATACCCATGCGTGTACCCAAATTGCGCACATCGGGAGTCATGCTTGCCATCACAACTGGGGGCAGAGACACAAACCCACCAGAAAAGAATCCGTAGAAGACAGCCAAGATGATGATTCCGGGGACGGTGTGAACCCGGATCCACACAAAGGCCAAAATGGCAGTGATGGTCACCGCGGGAGCAAGCATGTTTAGAGGGCCTACGTGGTCGGCAAGGAAGTTGGGAGCGATACGACCGAATGTTGAAGCAGCGTTTAACATGGACAGTAGGTAGAAACCCAGGTTTGAATCCACAATACCGGTCTCGATGGCATATGACTGCACGTAGAAAAGGAAGTTGTAGAAGCCCAAGAAGCCTATAAACATGGCAATGGCGAAAACAGTGAAGGCTGGTTCCTTCAAGGCAGACAATTGGTAAAGCTTGCGCTTCTCCTGGGGCTGGAATCGCTGGCGCATAATGCTGACTGATATACAAATGGTGCCGAAGCAGACAAAGCCAAGAGCACGAGTAGCCCAAGCAAAGCCAACCTTTTTCTGCAATTGATCAAACATGATTGGGTAGACCACACCACCAATACTGCTACCGCTAGCAGCCAAGCCGTTTGCCAGACCTCTCTTAGCGCGGAAGTATTGCGGTAGAATGGCCACAGATGGCACGAAGAGGCAGCCTGCTGCCAGTCCGATGCACACACCTTGGGAAAGGATCAGTTGCCAATAGTTGGTGGCAAGACTGGTCATCATCAAGCCAAATGGAAGCAAAAATGCGGCGAACGTGATGAGGCCTCGGAAGTGGCCTGCGTCGAACAATGGACCGGTGATAACTCCAACCATCATTAAAAGGAAAGACTGTAACGATCCAATCCAGGCAATGGTGGATGACGAAGTACCGACAAGTAATTCTTGCTCATAGTAGGTTTGATATGCACCCCAAGTGTTGATAATACCCCTGTTTGACTCATATGTTTAGCAAAATATTATTGAAACCGATAGAGAGAAAACTATACCATGAATTAAAAAAGAGGAAGAATGATCCCAATACTTGCAGCCATGTCTTCAATCCTGTATCGAATTCTGGCTCCGGCTCCTTGTCAGGCACAGGATCTACCGTATGGAATGAATTGATGTTTCCGTCATCTTGAGCAGGTTCACGGCCAGCAAAGACCTTTTCTACATCCAAATCGGTCGGCCCCATATCAGTTTCGCGCAGTATGTGGACAGACAGTGGTCAATGCGCAGTATAGAAGTTTTTGGCGGGGAGTAGTAAAAATGGAACAAGGACGAGATGGGGGAGTTCACCGATAGCTATAAATGTAATGATACAAGTCTATCCCAAACCTATCAAGACCAAGGGAACAATTTTTAGGCCGGAAATGCTTATAAACCATGGTAACACGCGGGGCTCAGCATGGTCAAGCTGCTCGCAGGGCGGAAGAGGCCGAACGACCGAAAGGAAAAAGACCATTCAGCATTGTGGAATAGGATCCACTACTTGTCCATGGGGTAAGTGGGTTTCAACTGCTGCAACTTGAAATCAATGAGATCTCGATATTGTCCAATGATTATTCATCTGCGTGCCGGTTATCCAGGCGAACAGACCAAGCTCACATTAGTGGATGTCTTGCAAAGTTGTTCCCGTCATGTCCCCGATCCACATATGGATTGTGACTCCAAGTAGTGTCTGCAAGTATAAATGAATTTGTATCGACACTGTGAGTCATGGAGCTCATTGGGTTGTTGACGTTCGAAAATTCATGAAGTTCGGGGTTTGATTGATTGGGGCAGATGATTGGCATTCCGACAAATGTGCACGTGGCTTGCATATTTCACCTGCATCTACGGAGTACGTATTATCGTGTCTAGAAATTCTAGAAACGGCTTCCATTCAAAAGTGTTCCGCTAGTGGATTGGAAATAGTTCCAACAATGCCGAAAAAAAGACCTGAAAAAAGACCTGTAGGATGACTGAAAGTGTAAAGATGATATTGTAGAGTATAACTGGACTTGATGTAATATTGCTTCTTCTGGGATGAATATTTACCAAACACTGGTATAAATTGAAGCGTCATATTATTTCTGGATATCTTTTTTTGTTTCTAGGCTGATGTACAAGGCATTGGTGTCCATGTTTCATTCAGGACATCCTAGTTGCTCTTTTTGACGATTTCTTCGAATCCCAAACTCCGAACGCTATGCTGAAACCCCAAATAAAGCAAAAAGACGGAAAGCGGGCCCATATGAGAATATTTGAGGCTTTCATAGTCCCTACAGCAGCTCCTCGCAAGTCCAGTCCTCATACCTGAAGTCGATTGTTAGATATAGCCCATCTCTCAGAGTTCGGCGGGAAAATGCTTACCATCCATCAGGCAGGTAGCGGCGAATAATCAGGGGAATCTTCTTCTGGTTCAACTCCTTCATGGCGATCTGCAGGGGATCGGTCTCGCCCTCGAGGTCGACAAGAACGGGTGCGTTCATACTACATCGAGTGTCAGCCAATCGTAGCATATCCAGATGGCAAGAGTTTGCAATCATCTGCACAGGCGACGTACCTGATCTGAAGAGCACGGGTACCCAGGACACGCGCCCGTTCGTACTTGGTCAAGTATGGAGTGGTAGTGCGCTGGTCGTTAGGAACCTTCTTCTCGCGAGACTGTTCCATGACCTTTCCGGAGTATCCAGCGTTGGGATCGCCTGAGACAACGACGTTATCCCCGTTGGTGGTGTGGTGATAGTCATCGCCCTCGTGATCCTGGCCTTCAAGGCCCTCCTGTTCCTCAGGCTCCACATCATCGAAAACATCCTCGCCGGGCTCGTAGTCGAAGCTGCGCACATAATCACATTAGAAATCATGTTTGTCTTAAGTATGCGCACAATTTTGAAGGTGATTGGGCGCAAAACAAAAGCAAAGGTCCTTTGCGCCCAGTCTCTGCTCAAGCTTGTTTCGGAGGAAGGTAGCTCTTACTTCTCTTCAACATCGTCGTTGCCGTAGTCAGACATGATGGCTGGGAAACGTGTAAAGGAGCGGGAGACAAGTAAAGCCGAAATGAGCGGTGATAAACCCGGAGGGGTGACAGGGGCGACTCAGAAATGGAGGTGGGATTTTGATGCTAAAAATCCTTGGAGCGGAAAAACTTCCTCTCGCGTTCGTCACCCACCGCCTTTTCGGCAGAATAAAATTATTTGTCTACGTTCACGTCAGTTCATCTTCCTCTTCTATGATTTGTTTGTGCATTCTCAATCGTCCTTCTAAGGACTTCTCATGATGGCCTTGAAGCGCAAGGCCTCTTTCGAAGGGGTCTCAACCCCAAAGCGACTCCAGAAGGATAATACCCAGGACAACATCGGTCAGTTTAATCTCCAGATAACAGCCGATAAAGCGACAAGACTGCTGACGATCATTCCAGACCTGGACATGATAAACGAGGACCTTCCCTCTGACGCCGATGATGCCGAGTACTCAGCTCCAGGTACTCCTAGTGTGATGAGCCACGACATGAACAATACCCCTGCGACCCCCATGTCGACTACCTCTTCACGGTACCCATCAGAACTCAAGACCATTCGCTGCCCATTTGAAGGCTGCGACAAAGCATTCAATCGCCCAGCCCGACTCAAGGACCACATCCGATCGCATAATAACGAAAGACTCTTCCGGTGTGACTTTGAGGGTTGCGATAAATCATTTTTACGCCCAACCCATCTTTCACACCACGTCAAGAGTGCCCATAGCGATGTCCGAGACTATGCTTGCGATCGTCCTGGCTGCACAAAGAGCTTTGTGAATGGATCACGGCTTCGTCGACACTTGGCTGCCCATGATGGAAGGGACCAGCACCGCTGCACCGAGTATCCACCTTGCAACGAGACATTCCGCAAGCACTCGACTCTTCAGAAACATGTTCTATCTGTGCATAAGAAGCAGAAACCATTCCCGTGTTTGAAATTAGACCCAGCCACTGGCGAGAAATGCAAGATGGCTTTTGACACTGCTGGTAATCTACGAACCCACGAGAGCCGAGTCCATATCGAGAAGCGATTCACTTGCATGGAGTGCTCCGAAAATCAACAGGAGCAATCTTCCGACATGAATCAAACCGACAAGGATGCCAGCCAGGACTGCTCATTCCCTACCTATACTTCTCTCCAAGAACACATCCGCACTGTTCACCCTCCTAAATGCCCTCAATGTCCAATGGTCTGCTCCACGTCAAGGGAGCTGCGGCGCCACATTGAGGTAGCCCATGGCGATGTCAGTCTTGAAGACCGAAAGGTGTTCCCTTGCCACTACGGCGGCTGCGACCGCAGTTTCACCCGGCAAGGCAACCTGACTGTTCACATCCGCACCGTACATGAGGGCGAAAAGCGATTTGTCTGCGGCGAAACAGACCTTTCAAAGTCCAAAAAAGTCACAAACTGGGACGGCATTGGTTGCGGTCACCGCTATGGCAGCAAGCTCGCACTCGAAGACCACATCCGTACTCAGCACATGGGTCTCAAAAACGCAAAGGCGACGCGCCGTGAACGACTGGGGCTAAAGGAAAAGTCACAGCCACAGCAAACGTCCGTTTCCACCCTGGCTGCTTTGACCGGCCAGGGCTACGCAGAAGAATCAGGACGACAGATCAAATGCCTCTACACCACGTGCCCCAATCGCTTCCATCGCGATTACGATCTATGGCTTCACATGACTACCAAGCATGGCTGCTCCGAAGACAGCGTCGAGAACATGTTCCTGCAGCGTGCCTTGCTTGCCGATGAAACCGGCACTGGAGGCAACCCACTCGGCATGTATGGTCTTGGATTTGACCATGACAGCCAGTACAACCACCAATCTTACATGGGAGGTGATAATTCGTCGGATGTCGCGTTTGGATCTCAATCCAATGATTCGTCGTCCTACCTTCCCGCCCAGCAGGGCTTGAATTCTGATTATTTGATGCAAGATGACATTTCCGCGCATACAAGCGGCAATGGCAACATTGATTCCATGATACCCAACTATGACGAAATGGCATTGATTGATCCTGTTATCGCTTATAACTTGCAGATGGAACAGTAAAGAAGAGGCATTTTCACGAATTTTATGATCATCCAGCGTCGGTGTTTTTCTTTTCTTTTCTTCCTTTGATATGCAGACCACATGATGTATTTTCTTCGAAGGCACCCGGAGCCCTTCCTTTACAAATTATTTACACAGCTTCGATAAATTCCTTGTGAATGTATTGCATTTACCAATTGGATCAATGATATCAAATTTCGATAAAATATGTTCGTAGATGTAGTTGCGTTTGAGTACATCACTTTGCTCATCCCATAGTACTTACTCATTTCAGTACACACTATTGAAACCTACGAATTGCCCCAACCGATCATCCTCGTATTCACCCACCCATAGCCCGTCTTTCATCATACCGATAAGACCCACGGAATTCACCTTTCCTCGTCCAGGAGAGGAACAAATCTAAAGGCAAGCGCCGGACCGTCATAATTGCACTCCCAGACCAGAGTTTGGAGGGGATAATCCCAGGCGATTGCATGGTCATCTCTGCACCACAAAGAGTGATCCGCCATCAACATATGCTCAGTCCCGCAGTTTCATCTGAGTGCTTCTCGGATCGCTTCTGCATTAATTTGATACTTCCTGACGTCGCTGATCAGGGACGGGAACAGCTGCGCCTGAGTTGTCGGATCTTTTGAAAATGATTGCAGGCCAGTCAGGTGCTTGCATAACTCTATCTGAACTGCGTTTGCCACATCCACGCCATAGATAGCAAAGAGGCGGGCGATGTCGCAGAACAGATGAACTGCTGGAAATCCTCGAGCTAATGCGAGCCATTGTGCTATCTGCAATAGCACAGCTATAGTCTGGTAGTCTTGAGGGGAAATATTGGTAATGTGTTGCAGCTCGAGTTCTGACGTCGTCGAAAGAATAATAGAAGGAGGCTAGGGGTTCAGTGGTGGTAGAAAGCCAAGTCTTCGCGCCGCTCTTGGGTTTCTGTCAATGATAAATTGCTTTGCATCTAGGTCAAATTGCTCTTTGAGTTTTCGACTGAATCAGTGATCCAGTGGATTGGCTTTGAGGTATCACGCAGTGGTTCGACCAAGTCTCTCAGCATTCGCAGCTCCCGAGAGAATAAGGATGCGTCTTGCTGTCTGCACCACTCGCCATTGAATGATGGTGGCTGCTGAGGCGCCCGCACAGCAGCACACTTTATATCGCCCGCCTCGCGATTGATATTTCGTACCTTATTTGCAAACATCGCTCTGTGGAGGTGTTTGTCGAAGAAGTCCGGAATGGTATGTAGGAGTTGTTGAGGCCTAATAAGCCCTAAAGCCCTAAGCAATACCTATTTGGGCTTTTCCTTTCGATCTGACAGAGCTAGTCGGATACGGAGTCTGTTCGGCTTGGGGGCTCCCGTATACCGCCAGGCAGTGTATGACTGCCAACGGCGTAAAAGCGGTAGCTATTCTCAGTTGCGCACATGGTACCACGGGATTGGAAACTTTCATTCTGGTAGAATAAAACAGAGCCAGCTAAATTTTTAGGGCTTGAAGGCATGCACTGCCTGTCACGATGCTTGAAGCACTTGAGCTATGCAGCAGACCCATTCCTATAATATCAAGCCCCAGTAACAGATATAGTATCAGACCCAAACTCCGTATCACGAATTGATACGTACATAGGCGATTTAAACGAAGTGCTGCGATCAGAAAATGCGGCTATTATAGAGCATAGTAGGGCTCATGATGCCTGACCCTAATAGGGTGGAGGTGGAGTCTACTGCGTACTTCGTACAATCATACAATATTGTAGATCCAAATAGCAATAGAGCTATACTAAGAATATCAAACTACATACATATGTATGCATTGATGTAGATTTGAGTAAACGTAATAATAAAGTTGAATGGAAAGATAGGAAAGAACGATAACCTTATCCCAGAAAGGCATAGATCCTGAATTAACCATGGGATGAGTTCTGTCAAAATGTAGAACGGAGCAATACTACTATATTTACATCTAAGGACATACATAGACAATATTTACCTCCATGTCCATAGTCAAAAGATGATTAATAAAGATCCCTGGAGAGGATCTGCGAAAGCCACGAGGTCCGATCTGCATTTCTGATTGTAAGGTATGACGCCATGGGTCTGATCTAGATGGAGCTACGCTGATCCCAAGCCTGCATGTCTGACCTACAAGTAGATCCATTTGAGATCTATCCAGAACTGCAAGTGTCGATAATTGGGAACCCTCAAGGTACTCTTATCAGCCGCTACTTACATATGTGTTAACTATCATGTACCGGTACCTAGCTGTGGTTTGCCCCAATATGCACAAGGAAGGCCTGAGCTTCGACATGAACCTAGGGAGTCCCACCTAACTAAAGTTGAGCACGAATGTGGAACTGCCGAGCCCAGGGTTATTAGTGGGGTAAAAACGAGGATAAATGAAGGAGATAATCAAAAGGGAAAGCTTCAAAGCCCGCAATGGCCAATTGGTACGGAGCAGATTTAGTACAATATAGGGGAAGGCAATATTATCGGTGAAGGTGTGTACGCGTCCCCAATTGACATCCGGGGGAACCAGTTGTCCATTTTGACCCGCAAGGCAAACGTGCGAGAATCGCAGTGGCAACCACATGAGGCGAAAACCGCCAAGTTCCCGGTCTGAGTCCACGTTGGTTCAAGCGCCCATTTTTTTTAGCCTAGAGTGGCGGGAGTTAGCACTTTGGTCACTTTTTTTAAAACAATAAATAATAGGGGATAAGAATCAGGGGAAAATAAAATTTTACAAAGTTGAAGTTCATTAAATTCAGGGGAATCATATAACATTTTATAAAGAAAAACTCATAACGAAGAAAACCCTAAGAATAGTTTGCATAGTCTACGGAGTACAATACTTAGTCTATGTTTCTCTCTCCACTGACGATCCAACACCTGGACAGGTCCCGGGATGACGCCAGCCTACTTCCAAGAAAAAAAGTTACTTCTAGCCTTTGTCTCAATTTTTTTAAGACAAATCTTTCCAAAAATGAAAACAAGATGTAAAAATAAATTAGTACTGGCTTGGCTTATAGTCACACAGCCAATTTGTTTAATATTTGTTTAATTTTGTTTAGGAATGATGAATGTTCTGTTGTACTCCATACCAAATAGTTGTACGGAGTATTAGTTTTCCTTATTGCCTCTCCTCTCTCTCGACCTGCCAAAGACCCACTGTCCAAAGCCCGCTTCCATTCTTGTCTCCAATTTCTACACTACTCTCTCTCTCTTTCTCTTTCTCCCTCTATCTCTCTCGCTCTTCTATTCTCTTCTACTTTCATATACCTACTCTCTCCCTATCTCTCAAATCTCTCTTTTGTGGAAAAACAATCCTAATCCTGGTGATTAGAACAGGTGCATCCTGTAAACGTCATCATTGGCGGAGCTTTCATTCCTAAACTCCGGCCTAACCGCTCGCTGTCTTCATTTTTATGCTGGGATCAACCTTGTGTGTTCCTTCATGGATTAGGTCTTTTCTCTCCGATTTTCGACCCGGCGCAGTCGCTATTTGACAGTCACTCGTTCAGCCCAATCGACCGGTTTCCTTTTAAATCCCTACGTCCCCTTACTTTCTGGGCGTTCCACAGTCTAGATCCATTGGTATTCTAAGACAAAAGTCAACTGAGATTCTTGTCCGGTGACACATCACGTTCCCACGTCATGGGTCGTTCGCGTGGTAAGTTGATCGTCTTCGGCTATGCCGGATAATTAACTAGATCCCGTTATTGACTTGCCCTTGCGTTTCCAACAGTCCGCTCGTTTATTTCGAGCTTTGGCGGGAGGAATGATTCTGGAAAAGAAAGCCGGAAGTCCTCGAGCAACGTTACTCCAGTGAACATAACCCCGGCAGACACACCACCTCGGTGGCAAACGCCTCCCCCGATACCAATACACCCTCCCCACCAACCGAATTATCCCCTGTTAGCGCTGGACCAAGAGGAGACGGAAGTGCCTCACGACCGGCATCCATGATCTTCTCGCGCAATCCGCCTCTTATGCAACAGTCGGGCGATACCCCGCCGGAGTTATCACCTATCTTCTCATTTCTCAACATCCACACAAACAAGGTCTACCAGGAGGGATATTTTTTGAAATTGAATGATCTGGACTCTCGTACGTGGACTATGCACCGATGGCTTGTGGGGAAATACTGACATATGCAGATGGGCGAGCTTGCGGTGATCGGCAATGGGTGGAATGCTACGCGCAACTAGTCGGAACCGTTCTTTCGTTATGGGACAGCGCTGCGCTGGACGCAGCAGGCGGAGAAGAGGTCCCGGCGACTTTTATCAATCTAGCTGATGCATCCCTTAAGATGGTAAGGATCTGATCTTTCTCCGGGCTTTAGAACATGAACTTACCAGCTACTTGTAACAGATCGAAACCCTCCCGATCCGAAATGGAACTGTGCAACCGTTGAAGAACGTACTCAGTCTATCATCCGCGGGCAAGAATCGATACCTTTTGCATTTCAACTCTTTCCACTCCCTGATCCAATGGACAGCGGCTATTCGCCTCTCGATGTTCGAGCACACGTCTTTGTACGAAGCTTACACCGGTTCTTTGATTGCGGCGAAAGGAAAACATCTCAACGGAATCAACTCAATCCTCGCACCCACCAAATTCAGATATGAGGACTGGGCGCGTGTGCGATTCGGAGCAGGAACTCCGTGGAGGCGATGTTGGTTTGTGATCAGCCCGCCTGACGAGAAAGAGATGCAGAAAGCGCGGAAGACGTTGAAGAAATCGGCATATGATCGCTTGTCAATTCCTGTCACCGGAAACATCAGGTTCTACGAGACAAAGAAGACGAAAAAGGCGATACCTATTGCAACTGTCACGCAAGTGTTCTCGGCACACGCGATCTATCCGCAGTCCAAGGCTTTGATCGATACATCGACCCTGGTGAAAATGGAAGGCCGAATCACCACCCATTTACCCGAATCATCTTCCGAAGGAATTGTTTTTATCATGCCTGAGCCGCATGCTGCAGTCTCTGGATTCGAGATGATGCTGCGCTTCCTCTTCCCCATATTTGACACCTTCAATCTCTATGGCCGTCCTACTCGCTTGGTCGCAGACACCAATCACATCAAAAGTATCATGTTTGCTTTCCCCAAGGAGCGGCGCTACGGCTACCTCGATGTTTTGGATATTGCTGGCCTCCTACAAACCCCTGGCAGCCTAGAATGGACCGAAGCTCAGTGGAGGAAACAACTCAAAGAGGCAACGCAGCGTCGAATCTCATCTGGCAGGAGTAGAACCAACAGTGTCACCAGCGCGCGGCCCCGTTATCGTTCCATCTCTGGACGGAACAGTGACGTCCCTATTGATCCTACACGCCGCCCGTTTGCTGCTATCGAGACAAAGCCCCAGCTCAACAACTCTACTGAGGCAATTATCCACGAAGTCCCGAAGGATGGCTTCCCCGTCGTGTACCACAACCGTGGATTTTCTGACACCACAGGCTTCAATTCTGGACCTAGATTGAGCAACGGAGCTCTGGCTGAGAGCTCACCCGATTCCTCTTCACAAGATCTGGCGCACCGCGGGACCCCGGCCGTAGCTCCTATTGCAGAGAGCACCGGCTCCGAAAGCGACCCCAATCTTGAAACTTTGCGTGGCCCGGCAGTCGAAGAGCAGCTTCCGCCACGAACCCCACCTGCCCCTGTTGGAACCCCGCCTGAATTTTCGCATGGACCCAGAGAAATGCCTGCCAATCGCCCGGAGGCGTCTTCGGAGCAGAGATTGGCCAACAACCGGATGTCTCACGCCACACTTTCTCAGCTCGCCTCGGTTGGGACTATGGGACTCAGTGCGGCGGCCGCTAGTGCTGCATGGAAAAGCCAGCAACAGCAAAACAAGAACAATCAACCACCCCAGGAAAGGAGTGCTGACAATGTTTATCTCCCTGGCCCTGTAGCATCTACCAAGTCACTTGGACACTCATCGAGTGACGAGGGTATCGCTCTTGCGCTCCCGGTTCGGCCTCCTGCGGCCCCGGAGCATCGCCCAAACACGCCCAGTACTAACGGCAGTCCATCCTCCCAGCCGGTTTCCTACCACAACTCCCCGCAGCGCTCTTCTCCCCAGCAGATGGGGCATGATCCCCAAAAGTCTGTGCGACGCAAGCCACTTCCGCAACGAGACCTCTTCGGGTCGCAGAGTCAACAGGATGAACCAAGCTACGACGACCTTCGCCATACTCTGGACGAAGATGTACTGAATTCAATTGCTCCCCACGTCACATCCCTCCCATCGCCAATATCACCAACCAGAAACGACGATGAGAGCATTTATGACAATGCGTCTACAGTCTCGCCTGACTACGCTAGCACACACGATTCTGTTTATAGCAAGAAGTCTGCTTCGTCCACGAAGCCCAGAATGGGTGTTATGAAGACCGTGGGGGTTCCGGCTGCTAAGGAACTTGTCATTGGAGATGCCCATTATACCATGGACAAGCCCCCGACATCGAATCCAGACATTCCTAGTGTAGATTTCGGCCCAACCATGACTTACATGCCTACCACTGGACGTCCAAACACATCGGACACCCTGCGAAACCACCAACGGAAAGACTCGGCGGGAACCAAGCTTTCTATTCCTACTCATCAAATGGACCAGGCTAATAATGCTCGGCCCTCCAGCCGAGAGGAATACCGACGCAGTGTGTTGTGGCAACCTGGAATGGCTTCTGGCCGCCCTGTCACTCCGGGCGGTGGTCTCACCCCGGAGCAGTATGTACAGCAACGCGCTGCACCCAGTCCTCCAATGCATGCCCACAGCCGTACTCTTTCCAACCCCATGCTAGCACAACGCCCGGCGTCCGGGGATTGGACTCAGTATGCCCGTCCGAACTCGCCCATGAATCCTCAGCGGGATCCTAATTACCGACCTTCATCTCGCGGTGCTCAAAGTATGCTCAACTACAACGATCACTCGTCCCATCTATCTGCCCGTGAACAAGAGCACGTTGCCCGCATGACTGGATCGTCGTTCTTCAATATGTCAAACGAGAACCGGAAACCGCAGACACAAGTGAACCCCATGGGTCTTGTATCGGCGATTGATGCCCGCGAGCGTGAGAAGCGCGAAATGAGGGAGGGTATGTCAAACCAGATGGTCCAACAGGCCATTGCCCAGCGCCAGCAGAATCTGAACTACCAACCACCCGTGATGCACCAGCAACAGTGGGCGCCCCAGCAGTTCTCACCTCAGCCAATGCTGCCTCAGCAGACTGGCTCTGTGTACCTTCCTCAACATGGTCGTCAGGAGTCCATGTACAACATGCCGGCGGCCAACCACACCTGGGATGCTCTCAACCAGCCGGCTCGTCCAGATGTGCCGCGCCGTTCATCGTGGTACGGCCAGCTATCCCAAGCACCGCAAACACCACCCGCCTACCAGCAAACTCAGGCTCATGCTCCCGATCCGCGGTATTACAATTATGCTCAGTGAACTGATCTTGACATGAACGTGATCGTCCCTTTCATACCTCTTTCCTTTGAATTTCCTCACCATTCTCCCAACTACTCATTCTTTGCACATCATTGTTAGTATCATTTTCATTTATGTCCAAACAGTCCTTCATGCACTCTCATCAATTCCAAATCTGATTCCCTCTGTCTCCCTTCGCCCTTGACCGCCACTCATTATTTTCTTATTGTTTTTCTATTACTTTATTGCATCACGCATCCAACCGGAGTTTCTGATTGGCGTGGTGAGGTTTTATTCGATTTTGCGTGCTCATTTACCTTACCATTATATCGGGGTTTTCTTCTACTTTTCTCTTTCCGTCTATTACCGTGAGGTCCTTGCATGTAGATCAATCAGTCTTTCATGCATATATGCGCCTGTGTGTACGGAATATAGATTGTCCACGGATATCAATTCAGGTGACTTTTTTTTGACGTTTCGATTCTTTCGGTTTTATTGTCTTAAATTGGGAATTTGAGAATTTGAAATTGTAGATAAAGCCTTCTCGCTCCAATGGAGATTTCAATAGCTATCGAATATAACTGTTGATAAGAAGAAATGGCATAACAATATCGAAGCCACCCGATTCTCATCTCCACCTGGGCATCTCATAGGTAGTTGAAGTATGCCTTAACTCCTTCCTGAAAGAGTCAAATGATACAAGATCCGAGGAGCCGAACTGTGGATTGTAGATCGACTGTCGATCTATGATCCACATTATTCAGCCATCGGGCCGCAGTACATACACACATGCATGTACATTTGCATGTATTATGGATGTAATTACATGTATATGTACTGTATTCCACTGATATTATCAAGTATACATAAGATGATCAAAATAGTTGCAATGCTTATTATTACAAGGTTGTCATTCAATACACTACGGGATCGAGTAGTGAGAGTGTCAGTCCCATGAAGAGCATTGCCAGTGCCTATGGCCATATGGAAATAAGTTACCGCGGATCTAGAACTACTCATATATTCATATCTCGGTAGAAGCGTAAGGATGGCTTTTTAGGGGTGTATGATCAATCCAATGCCTTTTTCAAAAGGATTGTCTGTGTTAGGACATTCAACGCGATCAAATGTCAGCGCTATTCGTGTAACGGTGTATGCGACCTGTGTCAAGGCTAATTGTCCTGTCATGCGCTGTTAGCAACGACCAAAATTAAAGAGCGTAAAAGGAAGACAAACCATCAGGACAATGTCGCGGGAACAGGGTAGGGGAACTATAGGAACTAGTTAAAAGAATCGTGATCACAGCCAGAGATCTTTCTACCAGAACAGAATTAAACCATCTTCCATTCAGTACATATCATGAACAATCTAGCTAGTAGGATGTTAAGGAATTATCTCCTTCGTTGCCGTCAGCTTAGCAGCAACTTCTGCAGCCAATTCCCCAATCAAAGATCCATCCAAAATCTTCAAAACAGGCATACCAACTACCAATTCCTTCACAACCCATGTCTGCAAGTCGACGGCAATCAACGAGTCTACACCCAATTGAATCAGCGACATCACTCCTTTAATTTCCTCTTCATCGGACATTTTGAGTTTGTTACGTAGTGGCAATGAAGGCTGCTTCGATAAACTCCGTTGCCTCTTTTTCACTCGTTGATGACTCCAATTGTACTTTGATGGAAATGCGGCTCCAGTGTTTTCACATAGTGTCATTCTCCATTCAATACGACTTATGGTCGCAATTCTATGGACATCTGGCCTCAAACTATGACAATTATCTTGTTGCAGTCTAGCAAAGGTACACTGAATAGATTGAAAGCTTCTGTTCTACTGAATGGAACGTCAACGCCATGTTTTGTCTATTTGTGTATGGTTCTTGCTTTCTATCATTGTATAACTGTTTCCATAAAGCTTTATACTTCTCTATATTCTTGTGACTTCATACGCACATCAGTCCTAATACAGCCCGGAACATAGCCATTGATACCCTCCTCCGATTATGGCGGAAGATGCATCTGTGAAGATATCGGCTTGCGAAGACGAGCAGAAGCGAAACAAAAGCCATTGGATAACAAGCCTCAAAATATTGGTCTAGAACCATACAATGAGCCTTTTTATTGTGCTGCTCTATCGATAAACAAGTGTTTCTTCATAGCCCAAAGAATGAAAGGCTTTTCCAGGTCCCACGTAAAAGCAGGGCAGCAACATTCACCCTTGATTTGAAACCCTTTCTTCAACCAATATTCTCCATTAATCTCCCTGACAACCTTGATCATGATTCGGAAATAAGATGTTTCGGCAAGCTGCGCAAGATTTGGCGTAAACCTTTTCTGAAGTTCCTGCTCACACGCCTTCACAAGTCTCTCTGCGATCCCCTTTTTCCTATATTTATCGCCCGGCTTCACAGCAACCATGAAGATTTCAAAATCCCCATCACAACTGGCAGGATCTGAGATAGTATCAATGGTATTAGATCCGATATTTTGCATAGAACAAGCCTCGTCAATGCTCTTTGTAGCAAAGTAGCCGTCTGGTTTCCAAACGAGACCATCAGCATCAGACACCCAATCCTTGACACTTGCAGTGCCGACAATTTCATTCAAATCAAATGCAACAGCTGTGAAGCCATTGGTACCGATTTCGTCGGCAACTTGGTTGTCGTGTTGAACTCGATCGCCGACTTTGCCTATGGGGTCTATATCATGGCCACGGTAACTGGCGTTGATGACTGTCCGAAGGTCCGGTAGAAAAGGCTGGGAGAGCAGATCACGTCGCGTGAATACTTTGATGTGATAGGAGGAGGATGAAAGCGTGTCATTTTGTACGCTTGCATTGGATTTGTTTGGGGCTGGCGATGAATCAAAATCGCCTTGTGAAGTCATTGCGCAAGCATATTTGATATCTTGAGATATATAAGAATTGAATGAATAGTTTTGTTCCCAAAAGCGGAATGAAATGACAGCCACGTATCAAACGAATAAATTCAGCAGAGACCTGGAATTATATACTAGGAAGACCGCGCAGGTGGATAGTTGTTATTACTCAGGGACATGTCAAACGAAGGGCGTGTTCCCAGTTCTCGGGAGCAATTTGATGTTACATATCATATAGATGTTGAGAACCCAAGGATGATAATTGAGCATGAAGTTATTGAATTAAATTACATGCATTGGAAAGATTTTCAAAATCCTCATGCACCAACCTAAGGAATTTCTCCTCGGAGACAACGGTACCAAAGCCGTCCCCGATATCACGCAACATAATCAAGACCGCTATGGCGCGCCGTCCTCATGACCGCAGACGAAATTGAGCAGCGTTCCTGGTCGAAAACTGGATTCAGTTTGCTGCCTGGGCTTGTAGATCCATTTTTGCTAGGCTTGCAGCTAGATCATTGCCGAGAATCAATTAATCAGATTACTTTTAGTACACTGGGGTGCTATTTCAATTCTTTCGGTTCTATCGTCTTAAAATGGAAGTTTGGGATTGTAGATCAATTCTTCTCTCTCCAATCATGATCACAATAGGTCTCGAATTGCCATCGGTAAGAAGACCATGACAACATGCATTGCACCCCGGCCTGATCTCCATCTTCTCATAGGTACGTTGAATTTAGGTGGAGAACGATAAACGGAAGAATGGGGATGACGTAGTGGGGCCGAGCCTCTCCGGATTGAAGATCAACTTGGGGAACAGGTTTTGCCCCATGTTCTAGTGAAAGCCTGGGGCTATTTGGTGCAATGCTGTATCTTTTCTGTCATTGTTTCCAACGTGATTGGTCAGATGTATATTGACCGATGTAAAAGCTTCCAAGGGCTCGGATATTTAATCGCCATGGATTGGTATCCTGTTTTATAGGGCATCCCTCGCATGTTTATAATTGGGTTGCCTCTTGGGAATAAGAGAAGACTATTTTTCCTTCCATTCTCATATCATTTATCTGCTTCTATACCGCTGTATACTTCTCTATATGTTCCTGTGACTTCTTACGCATACTGGCCCTAATACCCGAGAATATGGCCATTGATCCTCTCCTCTCTGAGAAATCAGAGGCCTTGGGATCCAAAGATCAAGCCCCCCTCCCAGACAACATACATAAACCAGAACGGGGTCTTGATTCCCAAGCCGAAAATGCCTCCGACTCCGACGTAGCAAGCCACGAAGACAAACCCAAGCTTTATACTAGCGGCAAGCCCGAACTTACAGAGGATGCATGCTACGACAAACTCGGCTTTTGTTTTCCAGCATGGAAGAAATGGACAATCTTAAGTGTGATCTTCTTGGTTCAAATGTCCATGAACTTCAACACAGGCGTCTATTCCAATGCTGTGCCTGGCCTCACCAAAGAATTCAACATCAGCGAACAAGCCGCACGAGTCGGACAATGTGTATTCCTAGTCGCATACGCATTTGGATGTGAGCTCTGGGCACCTTGGAGCGAAGAGTTCGGTCGCTGGCCCATCATGCAGCTCTCCCTATTCCTAGTGAACATTTGGCAAATTCCATGCGCTCTCGCCCCAAACTTCGGCACAATCGTCGTATGTCGTGTCTTGGGTGGACTCAGCTCGGCCGGCGGCTCGGTCACACTCGGCATGACAGCCGATATGTGGGAATCCGACGACCAAGGCTACGCCGTAGCCTTCGTGGTCCTCTCCTCCGTTGGTGGATCAACCGTTGGGCCCTTCTTCGGCGGTATGATCGGTCAGTGGCTTGATTGGCACTGGGTATTTTGGATCCAATTGATCGTCGGCGCAGCCACACAAGCAATACACTTCTTCGTGGTCCCGGAGACCCGGGCAACGATCCTCGTAGACCGCGAAGCCAAGCGTCGCCGTAAAGAGGGAGCTGATATCTGGGGGCCGAACGAGCTGAAGACACCCCGTCTAGACTTTCACGACGTTCTCCGAATTTGGAGCCGTCCGTTCGAAATGCTCCTCCGCGAACCAATCGTCCTGTTCCTCTCCCTGCTCTCCGGTTTCTCCGACGCCCTGATCTTCGTCTTCACCGAATCCTTCTCGCTAGTCTTCGAACAATGGTCCTTCAGCATCCTCGCCATAGGCCTAACTTTCGGCTCAATCCTCATCGGCTACATCCTCGCCTACCTAATTTTCCTACCAGACATCCACCGACAGATCCAAACGCGCCGCAAATCCGGTGTAGCAAGCCGACTTGCAGAGCGTCGTCTCCTTCTCCTCCTCTTCATCGCTCCCCTCGAACCAATCGGCCTTCTAGGCTTCGCCTGGACATCAACGGGTCCTCCAATCCCGTGGGTCGCGCCTTGTATCTTCGCCTGCCTGATCGCAATGGCAAATTATGCCATTTACATGGCGACAATCGATTACATGGTCGCGGCTTACGGGCCGTACTCTGCGTCTGCAACGGGTGGTAATGGGTTTGCGCGAGATTTCCTCGCTGGTATTGCGACGATGTACTCCACGCCTATGTACCAGAACATGGGATCGAAGTATCACCTGCAGTGGGCGAGTACGCTGCTTGGCTGCGTGGGGTTCTTGGTTTTGATCCCCATTTATGTGTTCTATTGGAAGGGTCCGGATATCAGGGCCAAAAGTAAATTTGCTCAGCAACTGGCTGCTGATCGGGAGAGGAATACTGAGAGTCGGAGAGCGAGTCAGGCGAGGGCTTCTGTTGGCGCTTAGCCCTGTGTCTGTTGGTTTGGAGTTGTGGCTTTTATGATATCCATTTTGTCTAGAATTGTGTACATATATAAGATATAAAGAACCTTTATGTCCTCTGTCTTACAGTACTAAGGTTTGATCAACGAGGCAGTCATATATATATCCATATCGACATAGCTTTTCCGGCATGTTCACCTACAAATGGAGCTATCATATATGATAAATTTAGGACGACCTCGGGAGTGGGTTATAGCCAAAGAGCGGTACATTATGTGAGCCTACAGCTTGGAGGAATTCTGAAATCACGTTGACCTATATGAAATCCCTAAAAGGCTCAATGAATGATATTGGTAGATGAATAGATACATCCCGAACCAGAACAGCAACCGCAAAAATATTGTATAAGGTATCCCAAAAAAACGCCACAAGTGCCAGCTTCCTTCGTTTCCAGTATGCCCCAACTCACCTCAATCGAGAGAAAGTATCTATCTTTCAGGATAGATTAAACATGCAGATAGATGTTTTGTAGCTCAAACGCTCATATCATCAACCAAATGCGAGATAGTCCAAAATCATACATAGCATTTAGTTGGAGTGCAACTTCTTGACGCGCATAGCGCCTTCGTAGAGACCGCGATCCAAGGCAGCAGCAACGGTCAAGGTACCACCGATAATTGCACAAACACCAGTGAGGAAGTTTGTGAAAGACTTGGGGCGAGCTTCGCGGTTGACAACCTTCATAGGAGAGATATCGTAGTTGAAGAAGACACCTGGAATACCGCCCCCAGCGTGTACACGCTCCTTGTGGCCTTCGGCGGCATCGTTGCCACCGGAAAGAGGGCGCTTATGCGAGGTAACTGAGTATTGGTGCGCCTCGATACTTCCCTGGGAGCCGTAGGCGAGGCCATGGGAACCAAGAGGGGCCTTGTCATAAGCGCTGTGGATAGAGGACGAAAAGAGAGGATCCCAACCTAACGGCAGGTATGAAGTCGAGACAACCTTCACGAAGTACATGAAGTTGTACGCGGGCTCCTCGGTCTCCTGCTTAGTATCGTCGAGAGGGTTGGTGTGGTGGTGGTCGGTCCACTGCCAGCGGTCCGCGAGCTCAGCAGGGAGCTGTGGGCCGAAGCGAAGCTCGTGAATGAGATGAGACATTGTGTGTTGGTCTGCTGGGGCTGCGTTCGGAGATATATAGGCGTCCAGATCGTGGACATGCATGTTGCCGGTTGTGAAACTACGTCCTGGCGCAATGTGGAAGTTACCCACCACCTTATTCACGCGGAGTACACCCTCGATCCGGCATCCCTCGCGACGCTGTTCGGCGAGCTTCTCTGCGTAGCCTTCACGCTTACACTGCTCGATGTTGCTGCCGTCGCCGAAGGCCCATTGCTTCTCGGCGTAGGCTTCGCGCACTTCATCGCAGGTAGTACAGCATCCGGGCTTGATCACGGTTGGCGGGGGCTGGGCGCCACCACATTCACCACAGTAGTCCGGAGCTAGGTGCTTAGCAGCGTCTGCTGGAGAGTGCCTGGAAAAAAAGAATGAGATTGAGTTTCATGACTGCGGGAGAAACAGCACTTACAAGTCCAACGCTTGGACATCAATGACCTTGCCTCCTTCCGCACGGGGGCTCAGGCGGACCTTGTTCACACCATGTGCGACGCCAACTTGTTGCTCGCCAGAGACATCCATGACATCCAAGGTCAAAAGCTCACAAGGCAAACGAGGGAATGTCATGTTCAAATGTATCTCCATTCTCTCTCCTGTACAGCAGAGATCATCAGCGACCTTGTCTTACACAGGCCAGATATTCCTCGTGGGGCTAAACTCTATTCATACCTCGCGATTTGTCGACGACGAGTTCGGGAAGCACCACAACTCGTCGGTATTCTGCCCATTCGCCCCATACCAGCCACATAACAATCAGCAGCGAGGCGATTGTGATGACACCTCCGGAGTTCGTGCGAATGCGGGCATCTTCAACGGTCTTGGCGAAGGCGTCTAGCCTTGTGAATCGCGATTTTGCGGGCATCTCGCCGGTCAATTGATGACCATAAGGTAGATCGCAAGGACCAGATGATGGGGGTTGGTGGAAAGTGGCAGTATCCTAAACGCCTGTACCATAAAGAAAACGCGAATCAGTTAACGCCGTGATCATTAGACGCGCGATCTTCAATCAGACCCCATTGGAATAAACAGACCAAAGAATCATCAATTGAACAAAGGAAATGGGGATAAGCAAGCATACCAACCTAAAAGTGATGCAGTCCGAATGAGTCAATTGAATCCTGCAATCAAGACAATCAACACATAGAGATAGGAACAGGCTGGCCAAATCAGAAGCATCCTGGCATACTTGACGATGTATGGGGATTACGCCGTAAGGACAGACGACAGCCTGTGATTGGTTGGTGTCAAATCAGGCAGATTAGTCATTACCAGATCGGGACTAGTGTCAGACAAAGCGCCTCATCACGTGCACGTCGTCGACCAAAGTGAAACTAAAGAAAAAGTGATTCACGGCACTATTGTTCTGGGACCTGTTTCTGGGTCTATTCATTTCTCTCGCAGATTCACTCCATTGTCTGCAAGCTTCCTTTCTATCCAGTCTTTTTTAGTTGGCTTTTCTTAACTCTTCCTCCCAACTGACGCTTCGCTCTGCGATTTCCCTGCATGCGAAGCTCTTTCTGTCTGATTTGAGGCGCATAGCGCACTGCTCGCTTCACAACCGCCGGTTTAGCTTTCAGTCACTTTTGACACTTCTTCGACGCTCCCTACCACCCCACTGTCTCCTCCTATCTTGTCCCCGAGCACTATGAAAACCATGAAGTCTCGCCGTGGCGGCAACGATCGTGGGGGTATCCGCAAGCGGGGCCCTACTCGCACCGACCGAGATGGAGATATGGATATGGATGCCAGTGGCTCTCGGTCTAAGAGAACTCGTCCTGATGGTGGCCGTTCCGCTTTGGGTGGCCGCGTCTCAGGTGCAGGCGCAGGTGGCCGAGCTGCAGGTAGTGGCAGCCGGACCCAGGCTCGCGACAAGAACGTGGATTTGATCCAACGGGCGATTGCCAGTACCGAGTCTCAAGCCAACATTAGACAAAGCAAAAGAAATGCCGGCAAGCCCAAGGAACAGCTGGAGAAGTTCAGTGTTCGTGGATGGAAAGAGAGCAAGGCCTCAACCAACAAGGACGAAGGTCGTGAGGCCCTCGTCGCATTCCTTGAACGACGCATGAACTCCTTCACCAAATCCGGACCCCGCATCAGAATTACTCAGGTAAGTCCTACAGTTACAATAGCGGTCACCAACATCAAACCTCGACACCCCTCCGCTTCCGTGTCTTCTCGTTTTCGAGGATGCTCCTCCTACAGAATTACGATCGACACTTTTTGAGCTTTTTGGGTTCTCCTCCGGGTGGCCGTGGTTTTCAAGGTTGCTTAGCACCTTGCTAACTTTCAAATTAGCACGACCATAAGAAAGGCAGCGACACTCTGGTGGTTTCTGTTCGACCCGATCTGGCAGAGAAAATGCTTCGAATCAACGGCAATACCTTCGCCGGTGTCAATATCACTGTCGCACCCTATAATGCCGATGACGCACTAGTAAATGAATTGGCGCCAGCAGATGCTACCCCGGGCTCCACGGCCGATACCAAAAGCAAGATGCAAGCTATCCTCAACAAACGCTACTACGCCCCCACCAAGCTCCTTGACATGTCAGATCTGGCAAATGACGCCGATTTGCAAGCGATGGGAATCTTCAACACCACTTCCACCGAGTCGAAGTTTTTCCCAGCTCTTATGAAAGTCTGGGAGATGCGCTACGCCAGCTCAGCGGAACGACGCGAGGCAGTGGAAAGCGCCAGTCTGGCGAACAACCGCCTCAACAACATCAGCGTTGTGACAAGTCTCGCTCAAACCGTTCCCGATATCAAGAACCTCGACCTTTCAAATAACAACTTCAAGGACGCACAGGCAATGATTGGATGGCGGTGGAAGTTTCGCAACCTTACCTTCCTGGACTTGACGGGCAACGATTTCAGTTCTCACCCTAACTTCAAGGATACCATGCTCAAGTGGTACCCTAAGCTGCAAATCTTGAACAACGTCCAGGTGCGGACACCAGAAGAGGTTGCGCTTCAGAAGAAAACCCCCATTCCAGTCCAATCACCTTTCTTCCATGACGATGCCCAAATTGGCGAGAACTTCGTCCGTGCGTTCTTCCCCGGTTACGACAATGATCGCAGCGGTCTTGCCAGCAGTGTTTACGACAACGAATCTACCTTTTCACTAAATGTCAACACTTCGGCTCCCAGATCGCACGCCACCGAGACGGCCAGCTGGGGCGAATACATTAAGAAGAGCCGAAACCTCGACAAGATCAGCCACCTCCCCGCGCGCATGTCACGATCTTTCAAGGGCGTCGAGCAGATTCGCGAAGCTTTCACCTCGCTCCCACCCACTCGCCACCCCGACTTGGTCACCAAGGCTGACCAATGGCTTTTCGAATGCTATCCGATCCCTGGTCTTCCTGATCCTACTGGACAGAGCGCCTTTGGTGTTGGTGGTCTCTCGCTCACAGTGCATGGCCAACTCGAGGAGAGCGTCGGTGGCAAGATTGAAATTCGCAGCTTCGATCGAACATTCATCCTTGGACCCGGGAATACCCCCGGTGGCATTAGAGTCATCAGCGACGTATTCTGCCTTCGGGCTTACGGTGGACACGAGGCGTGGACTCCCGACGCGCTGCAAGTCCCTCAGGTTGCAGCCCCAGTACCTGGCCCAATTCCCACTGCTACCCCCGCAGCCGCCCCAGGAGGCAATGCTGTCGATGGATACGGTCTGCCTCAACCTGGAAAGTCCGACGCCCAACTCCAGCAGGAGCAGATGGTAGTTCAGATGAGTGCCAAGTCGGGCATGACTATTCAGTACTCAGAGATGGCCCTTTCGGGCAATGGTTGGAATGCCGAAGCCGCATGGAAAAACTTCGAGCAACTCAAGGTAAGGGGACACTAGAATGAATTGTGAATCTACCAACGAATGATGCTAACGATTTGCTATGATAGGCCTCTGGTGCTTTACCACCATCCGCTTTCGTGGCTTCTGCATGAGCCCTCTACTCTCTATCTTTCAGCAGTTTTCATTGAAAACATTTGCTCCACTCTCATTTCTGTCGTTAGCTTGTTACATCTTTATGTTTCTCAGAACTGAATGTGTGGAAGTATGACGCATCCGATGTGATTCGATACTTTTTTTATTTGCATGGCTTGGGCGAATGGCACTCTGGTTTGATAGCTTTCGACTTGTACTCTGAACATGTACCTACGGGTCGGAAATTCTTATGAAAATACCAAAAATTCAAATATACAGTTTATCATAATCATATTATATTCATACAATTACTAGCAAGGAAATTCCTATGGTCTATATTAGAATATTTACAAAAGTTGTTACTTTGAACAGCTAGAGTTGCGTAAGATGCCAAGCTGGCGCGCTAGAGCCATGCGGGCCGCGATCAACTTCCTCGTTGCACCTCCCCATCTCCCATTCCGCATTGGCCTTACAATAACCAAGTGTTTTAAGACTAATGGCAGGATGATTTCGGCGAGCTGATGGAATGACCGCGACCACTGCCATGACCACCGGCCTTATGTCGCCAAATGAGGAACCAAGCCTAGATGCCTTGGATGCGGGTGCGAAACAATTGACCTCGTGCTCACCGGTGTGAATGCTAACATGAAAGGCGTTACAGTGGACTACGATCCGATTGAACACTTGAATGCCGTTTTCTCCCATCCATCCACTCTTTCCTCCGTTTCTCAGATCTCCGACGCCCTACACGAATGCGAAGATGAGCTCGATGATGACATCGGCATGTTGGTGGAGGAGCAGGTCACCTCCAATGCTGACAGCGTCGAACGCATTCAAACAGCAAAAGCGGATCTGTCCGAGCTGTTCAAAAAGATCGACGATGTGCGCGAGCGCGCATTGAAGACTGAGCAGGCGATCACCGATATGACCGCCGATATCAAGCAGCTAGACAACGCGAAGAAGAACCTAACACTGTCGATGACTGCACTCAAACGACTGCAAATGTTGACGACAGCTTACGATCAGCTTCAGGGTCTAAGTCGGACACGGCAATATGGAGATTGTGCACAGCTGCTGCAAGCTGTCGTCCAGCTTATGGCCCATTTCAAATCGTACCGATCAATCGATCAAATTGCAATGCTCAGTCGGAATGTGGCAGATATACAACGAGATCTTCAGGAGCAGGTGTGTGAGGACTTCGAAATAGCTTTCGCCAAAGGAGAAGTAGGCTCGAAGCGCGCAATGCTTGCGGAGTCATGTCTGGTCGCAGATGCTTTGGGTGAGCATGCACGGTCTCGACTGGTGACCTGGTATTGCAACACCCAGCTCCGCGAGTACCGACAGGTCTTCCGAAATAACGAGGAGGCCGGCTCTTTGGATAACATCTCCCGCCGGTATTCCTGGTTCCGGCGCATATTGAAGATTTATGACGAAGAGAACGCGGCCATCTTCCCAGCCTCGTGGAGGGTGAATGAGATTCTGGCCAACGTCTTCTGTGAGGGCACGCGGGAAGATTTTAAGGGCATCTTATCCCGGTCTGTACGCAGTGGACAGACAATTGATGTCAACCTGCTGCTCTCATGCTTGCAAGAGACGCTTGACTTTGAACATTCTCTTGAGCGTCGCTTTGCGCCTACTTCGCGTGCATCTACCGATACATTTGCCTCGACCGAGCCTCCTGTATTCAGCCAGTCGATTTCAGAGGCCTTCGAGCCATACCTTAGTGTATGGGTTGAGGCACAAGACAAACAACTCGCGGCATTGCTACCCAAGTACCGCCAACAGCCCCTCAAAGTGCCAGATGAAGAGTTCAATTCACATATCGTGATCTCATCGTCCACAGAGCTTTTTACCTTCTATCGGCACTCTCTACAACAATGTGCCAAGCTTTCAACTGGAGGCAGCCTGGTAGATTTGGCTAAGGTATTTGCCAAGTATTTAGACCAGTATGCCCAACAAGTTCTACTTAACTACATCAGCGAACGGCCAACGAGTCACACGCCGTCCAGATTGCCAACAATTGAAGAGTTGGTCTCTGTCCTGAACACCGCCGATTACTGCTACACGACCTGCACTCAATTGGAAGAGAAAATCAAAGGCAGGCTAGATGAGAACTTGAAGCAATCCGTTGATTTGCAAAGCCAGGCAGACTCTTTCATGGGCATTGCATCTGCTGCTGTGCGAGGCCTTGTGCGGCAAGTCGAGGTCGACCTTGAGCCTTCATGGCGTGAAATGCGAAATACGCCTTGGGCCAAGATCGAGGCGGTTAGTGATCAGAGCTCGTACGTGGGTGAGATGCTTTCCCGGACAAAGGAGAAGGCATCTGAAATCTTGCAGTTGCTGCATAAGCATCAATATGCACGTGCTTTCTCTGATCATCTGGTGGAGCTTATATCGAGTCAATTCATCGGCAATGTCTTCCAGTGCAAACCAGTCTCAGAGACTGGGGCCGAACAGGTACGATTTTGCATCTTCTCATGGATCTTCTTGTCTTACTCACCTTCTCTTAGATGCTTCTCGACTCCTACACCCTCAAGAGTGGCCTTTCATCTCTTCTCCCTGCTCCGGCGCCCGCTGGCTTTGTCAAGCGTGTGAACAGCAGCTTCTTCAAGATCGAAACCCTCCTCAAGACCCTCCAAGTTCGGCCATCACCACCTGAGGCTCTTGTCCAAGCATACCTCATCCACATTGCTGACCGCAACAACAACAACTTCCGTAAAATCCTCGATCTCAAAGGCATCCGCAGCCGCCAGGAGCAAAATCATCTCGTCGAGCTGTTCCAGGTTCACCGCGCATCAGATCGCTACGCCTCCAACCTTCAGCAGAGCAACCCTATTCTCGCTGCTCTCCAAGGGCCAATGGCCACCAGCACGGGCTCTGTTTCCCAGGGTCTAGGTCTTGGGAGTGCCGCCGCAGCCATGCCATCTCGTTTCGACGCCTCCATGCTCGGCTCAGCCATCATGTCCGCAGCCAAAGACGGAGTCGACCGCTTCGGGAACCCGAGTCTCAGCAATTTAGGTGCCGGTGTGGCTGGAGCCACTGGAGCCTCTGCGTCCGTATCTGGCATGACCAGCCCGTCCGGCACCTCATCCCCTGCCCCCATCGGTTCCACCCTACAACCTAATCACGCCTACACATTTTCAGAAAGCACTACAGGAAATCTCAATGAGAATCTGAAGAACATTGGTAAATTTTTCCGCCGCGATCTCGGTGGCTTTGGAGGTCGTTTCGGGCGGAGCACGGAGGATGGAGCCTAATCTTCAGTCCGCATGGTTTTCGTCGGTGTCCACTTTCCATTTTGAATATATCTTGGCACAAGCATTGACTCAGACATCTACCACTCGTGAACTCTGTGCTCGAGCTAGGTTGACTGAGCTATCATGCATATTCTGTAGCTGTTCTCGCGAAGAAGTGTCTTAACCAAGACCAACCGTTTTGTATCATGTTTCGCAGCTGTATACCACTTTGGCTGAAATATCATTCATCTTTTCCTCAATCTATCCACGATTTATGTGTACAAACTTCGAACCAAATGCATCACAATGAGTCAATTTCTTGGCAAAGATTTCTTTGGGTTCACGCCCTTCGGACGACATGTCGAGTTGCGGCTGAACAGAAGGTTTTATTTTTTGATATAAGAGACTTTCTCCCTTGAACGCTAACAATTAGTGTCTTTTTCATATCATTACTACCAAAAATGACCACCGAAATATCAATGGATTCAAAATTGTCTCCAACGCCATCCGCTGGATACACCCTCCGCACCCACCGCCCGGGCGACATAGGCTGGATCATCCACCGTCACGCAACCTACTACGACAAGGCACATGATTGGGGTCTGAAGATGGAAGGCCTCGCCGCCAAAGTCGGGGCCGACTTCCTCGAAAACTACGACGAGTCCACAGACCGATGTTGGATCGCAGAGCGCAACGACGAATTTCTCGGCAGTATCATCCTGGTCAAAGACAGAGACCAGGTCAACGCAGCCAAGTTGCGCTTGTTCCTTGTTGAGCCCAGTGCGCGGGGGCTAGGGCTCGGGCAGGCCTTGGTACAACAGTGTAAGCGGTTCGCGCGGGAGTGTGGATATGCGAAGATTCACCTCTGGACACAGGGTGTGCTGCTTCCTGCGCGTCGGCTGTACACAAAGGAGGGATTCCAGTTGGTTAGTTCGGAGGAGAATGAGGTCTTTGGGGTGAAGCTCATGGGGGAGTGTTGGGAGTTGGTCTTCTGAATACTGTGAAGCGGATGGGCTGTACATAATGTTTGTAGTTATTTCTTGCGAAAAAGAAGCATCTGGTCATGGAGTTTCCTCTATTTGATGTGCACCTTTCATTTGGTGAGCGTATATATCCATATGCTAATATTTACACTGAATATGTACAATCTGAATGGAAAATGTCCTTGGGATAAACTTGCTAACATTAAATGACACCTTTCGAGTGAACAAGCCCTGATAGACCTCTTTCGATGCTCATCCTTGTCCGAGGACATGAATCAAAAGTTAAAGTTTCCGGATTCACAAAGGTCATATGGTCTCTGTTCTTTGCCCACGCTGAGCTTCTCATACTCTCCAATCATTTCCTTTAATCCCGGGGAGGGAATGGACCGGGGATTTTTTTCCAAACTCTGGCTATAGTTCGTATCGCCTTCAGCTCCTCTGGTTTGATTATACCCGTGGCTCTGACTGAGGATATCCCTGAGCTCTTTTGGAACCTCATCTAGATTTTGCAGTCTATTGCCGTAGTCTCGAGACAGTACAGACAACTTGAAGAAATGGTAAAGACTCTTCCCGACTTGGGAGCGATTCGCAATGACTGAGAACGCGCTTGTCAAGCTCAAGAAGTCCGAGTCCAGAATGTCGAAGCTAGACTGCTCAAGCAGAGTATATAGAGCAACATTCACTGCGTACATGGCGAACTGGTGCACATGTTTCATCCCGTACTCTGTCCGCATCATCTGAATGATTTCGGATATCTGTCGCGCAGATGAGATAGCCACTTCACTGGCAGTAAGCCCACTTTCGGGGTCTAAGCTCATAGGTGCTCGTTTATCTGAAATAGAGAATGACGGGTAACTACCGAAATTGTCGCAGCATAGATTAATCATAAGTGCATGGAATCGCATTCTGTTGCAAAAGTTTGTTTGTTTAGCCACGATCAAGAATACCCATAGAGCTCACACAAACCTCAGTAGTAGAATATGCGGTGCTGGTCGCTTTTTGGGTATGAATATCTCGGGAAGATTTGTTTCCCATTGGCGAAGTCGATTGTATACATCCTGCTTGACCTTGTTAGGGTCAATGTCTTTCTGCTTTGCTACTTGCCCGCTCCGCGATATATCTCGCGCAATATAAGACAGATTGCACGATTCGTCAAAGTACTGGCCCATGTAAGACGGCTGGGTGCGGTCTGAGATCGGATATGGCATCCATGTCCCAATAGGGTTATCTTCGTCCCGTGAAAGCCGTTCTACACTCACCTCATGAACGCGGCTCGGTTTAAGGAAGTTTGTATGGACAATACTGTTTCGTTACAAGGTCAGCTTTAGTGTTGAGATAGAGGAATATTCTCGGGAAGTTACGTACGTGTCAATCTGGAAAAGACCCCAAGCCGTGCGTTTGATTGATGCGACCATCTCTTCAGAAAATTGAGATCTGTTCAATTCTCGATGGTCAGACTTGACAATCTTGAGATCTTCTGCCATCTCTATCGCACGGTGAAGCATGGTGTAGCCAAAATTATCATTGCCCATCACGGAGTATCTAGTTTTGGAAAGCAAAGATATTAGACATCAAGTCAAACTACTGAGCTTGTATTAGAACAGTACTCACCTCTCATACAATAGCAGAGTCGCTTGCAAAGTTGCTAGACGGATGCCAGCTCCCCTTTCAAACGAATGTATTCTCATGTAGCTTTCTGCTTCTGCTAAGAAAGCAGAACCCTTAGAATTTGTATCTCCTGCTATGGTGTAGACTTTGGCATATTGTGAATAATCCTGTCGTATTCAAATGATCAATACCCTATCAGAAAAAAGCAAGTCTTACACTTACGCATGCATTTGCAAGCAGTGCGTTAACAAGAAACGGACTACAAAAGTCCGAGTTCAGGTTTCCCTTCTGCATATCCTCAATGAATGACTTGCCGTCAAAGAAAGCATAGAAAGGATAGACCCATGTCATGTATAAAGATACCAGATGTGAGACTAGATCATCATCATCGGTGACATTTGTCCACGGTTTTGCAGGGACCCTGTAAGGGGCGCTTTGGCATAAATAGTTAATATCCATCATCTGTGACCGGAATTGCGGTGCATTTTTCCCTGGTGGGAATAGTAGGGCCATCGTGTGTTTGTTTCGCTTTTTTAGACCCTTCCTCTTTCACTTGTGCGTCTGGCAAAACCCAGTCTAAATAAACGCGAATCTGGTGAAGGGGAAGATGATCTCGAATCATTTGGAGTAATTCTTGCTGAGGACCTTCATCCGTTCGAATCACCTCAAAGACATCATGCAAGAGCTTGCGATAGTAACCTGACTGGTTGGCATCATCTGTGTCAGGTCTTTGCTCACTTGAAACCTCAGAAAAGCTGTGGTTACTCTGATTTACCTGGTTAGTACAGCCTGCTCCTTTCACGGGTTTAAGATTGATTTATAAGTATTAAGCTTACCTTTCTCTTGCTCGATTTACCAATCGAGTTAGCAGTTGGTTCATCATCCTGATTCGACATCGCATAAGTATGAGAAGGATATAATAAAAATTGAAACACTCATTTGCAAATGTACTGGTATACTTGGGTATTGGTGCATATGATTTCGACGATATACAGGCTTTGATGCAGCTATAAGGTGACGAGTTATGACATCAAAAAACCTCGCACAGACAATTTCTATAGAAACATCAAATTCCATCAGACAGCATCAAAATACATTGAAATTCAAAAAAGTACCTGGTTTTTATCTTCTAGAAGCACATATTGTTGGATATTGCCCCAAGCTCCGAACTATTCGAAGAACTATCGCGGCTTAAAACTACACGTGCATCTAAATCTATCATACCCAAGGACTTTTATCCTCCCGATCAACTCGTTCCAAGGTTGTCATTGTCTATTAAATAGGTTGTTTCCTACATCATGTTCTCCCTTTGGTGGTTATAGTTTCGGTGCTTCACGCGGATGTCATTTAACTCGACTTCAAAGCGAAAAGCTGCAAGAGAATCGTGATGTAAATAAGGTTATCTTAAAGACCCAATTCTCTCTGTGGGGTTTCTAGAAATTTTTGCCATGCAAAGATTGACCAACACGAACTTGTTGAGCTTGGGAGGTCAATGAACTTGCTTTGTACATGATCGCTCGAGCAATCGACTCCCAAGTAACCAACCAATCAGAGGGCTCATGGTCATCTCAAGGTGACCAATAGAACAGGGAGTTCCTCGAGCAGCTTAGCTTCCGCCCACTTGAGCTACTAGCCGCATATAGATCACACGGGCTAAGCGAGACTACACATACAAGCCGCTATTTTGATAATACACAAGACCATGAATATGTTATGGAAGGAGTTTTCATTGAGCGACTGGCTGTTACCGCAGTTGCACAAATCAAGATAGCGAACAGGATTCCCGTCAACCTCCACCTACACCACTGTCTACGTACAACATATCGGCACTACAATTGCAGGTCATATGAAGAACATCTGTAAACTGATCACAAGTTAGCAATTGTTTCAAATTGAACAGTCAAAGTCAAGTCAAAAGCAGGTGTGTGAAGTGTATGGCGTCATCAAAAAATTAGAGTGTAGTTGTTGCATTTTTTTAATCTTCAAAGCGACCCGGGAGGGGACGTAAATGCTCGGGGTTAAAAATTTATAATCATCCGCCAGGGTGATAGAGGTGTGCAAGGGGAAAAGAAGAAAAAAACGAAAACTCACCAATTCGGTTGAAAACGAACAATGGGCGCAGCTACGTCCATTATACGTGTTCTAGGTTTCCGATGGAAATCCATTGCCAAGTCATGATGTTTCATTCCCAGTCGCTATTTCGAGCGCCGGTTCAAGTAAATCTAATACATGGCGTTCGCATCCGTGAGAAGACGCGCTTAGTCGAAGAGACCGAAGCCCATATCCTCATCGGACTCCTCCTCATCCTCAGCGGGAGCAGCGGCGGCAGGGGCGTCACCACCGGAGGTGGCGGCGGCGGCAGCAGCAGGAGCAGCAGAGGCGTAAGCATCGGGGTTAGCGATGCGATCCTTGAGCTCATCAATCTCGGGCCAGCTGTAGTCGGTACCGATGGCGACAGCGAGGACCTTCTTGTAGCCGTTGATGAGGTTGTGGATAACGGCGGGAAGGGTGGGGTAGCTGACGGCCAGGGAGACGGCAGTGATGGTAGCGATGGCCTGGGAGAAGGTGGCAAGAAGCTGCTCCTCGGAGATGTCAAGGACATCGGCACCGAAGACCTGTCCGTTCTGGTAGACCTGGGCAATGGTCATACCGTAGGTGAAGGGAGAGATGTTCAGCAGGTTGAGCAAGGAAGCCTCGGAGGCACCGACCTTGCCACCGTTCTCAACAAGCTTGAGATCGGAAACAATTTCAATGGTACCACGGGCAATCTTGGTGGGGACACCGAGGGCCTGGAAGAAAGCGGTCTTACCGGGCTCCATACCAGTGTTACCTATGAGGTGTTAGTTATACTGAATCGGCGGGACGACGGTGACATGAGTGTGAACATACCAGCGGGAATCCAGACATCGACGGTAGCGAAGGCACCGGCCTTAGCAGGGGCAGCAACGCGGTTGGCGAGAATCTTCTCCTTGATCTCCTTGAGGTCACCGTTGGTGAAGATGAAACCAATGTTACCCTTGACGAAAGGCTGGAGCTTCTCGTACTCGGGGTTCTCGGCGACGAAACCCTTAAGGGCACGACGGACCATGGTGTTCTTACCCATCAGAACGGTGGCCTCGCCACGGAGGGCGATACGGATCTCGTGCATCTGCTGGGAGGAGACATTGTCAATTCCAACAATGAAGATGGAACTGTGAGTGTCAAGCAGGTGCTTGAGCTTCTCGAAGTAAGCGGTCTTGGTTGCGGACTTGCCCCCCATTTCTTCTTGATTTCCGTGAAGAGAGGTTGTTTAAGGGAAAGTCAAATGTTGTGGTTGTGAATGAAGAGGAAACGAAAGGTAGCGGAAATTCGGGAAGATTACTTTTTTTTGGTGCGCTCGCTAGTGGATCACGTGAGATGAAAAAGTAGACCCACCCGACTTGCCATAACGACGGGGGATGGGTGAATCCGATTTCAAGGACCTTTGAAGCTTTCAATTGTTTAATTGTTTCTTCTGTATATGTCGCATACCACTCAGGTATAATCCTGTGGTTTTTTAATACCAATTGACGTGGGAAGCGACCCATTATGGCTTCTCTCCAGCATCCGTTCCAGTGTCTGCGCTATGTCAACAGGCAACCGGTAGGCCAATCGGATATCCTTTTGGCCACTGCCGGTCAGAATCTATTCTCTTACGATGCTTCTAGTGGACAACGTTTGGATGTGTGGCCTCAATCCGTAAATGCGGCGAACACTGAAGATGAAAGTTCTGGCGCAGCTCCCGCATCTGAAGACCAAGCCCCACCAGAGAAGCGCAGGAAGCTTTCTTCGCCCGCCGAGGATCAGAACAACGCGGAAATTGAGTCCAAGTCTGGACCCGAAGTCAAGTCCAACGATCTGAAGAAGGGCGATTCCAATGCTTGGACAAACATTCCTCTTTTAACTGTGTCCCACGGCAAATATGTAGTCATCATGACTGCTGAGGACAAATGTGTCCGAGTTCTGAGTCTAGCTGAAGATGGGAAATTCCAGCAATTAAGTGCTCGGTAAGTTGTCATAACTCTATGTATAGGTTCCTCAAGCTCATCATGCACAGCACAATGCCCAAGAAGCTCGGTGCGCTCACTTTAACTCCCGACGAGAACACTCTCTTGTGCGGTGACAAGTTCGGAGATGTCTACGCTTTCCCAGTCATTCCCAGCGGGAACTACGTGAAGCCTCAGGTACAAGCAAAGCCATATGAGCCATCTGCCACGAATTTGACTGTGCACACGAAACGCAACCTGGAATCGTTGGAGCAACAGAAGCGACAGGCTGCATTGGCGAAAGCCAACCCTGAAGAACGAGTTGTGCTGAACTTCGAGCACCAACTCATCATCGGACATGTTTCGCTGTTGACGGATTTGATCTCCGCTACCCGGCCTGCAGACTCCACCGCTGGCCAGCGAAGCTATATCTTGACCGCGGATCGTGACGAGCATATTCGTGTATCCCGCGGTGTTCCCCAAGCGCATGTCATTGAGCAGTTCTGCTTTGGTCACACTTCATTTGTCAGCAGTCTTTGCGTTCCTTCCTGGGAATCCAAGGTTCTCATCTCGGGCGGCGGTGACAACTATTTGCTTGTGTGGAACTGGCTCGAGAACCAGATTCTACAGAAAGTCCCACTTCCTGAATCGGAGGCAGATGTCACAGTAAGCCGCATTTGGGATATCTCGTTTAGCTCAGCTGCAGGCGATGCTGCTTCTGTGAAGACTATTTTCGTTGCATTGGAAGGGTACGTTCATATAACCAGCCACCATAATTATTGATTTTCTAACATCGCGAACAGGTCTACAAAGCTTCTTTGCTACAGCCTCGAAAACGGCAACGCATTGATTCTCCAGGATACCCTGGAGCTCTGTGGCAATGTCCTTGGTTTGACTGCCATCGATCCAAGGGGCTCCATCGTTGTCTCCGTGGATACCGTGCGGCAACCCAACTCTACTAGTGATTGGAAGAAGACTTCCCAACCCCCTCTCGAAACTTTCCGAGTCAGCGCAGGAAAATGGGCTCCTGTTGAGGACTCCATGGTTCTCGCTATCAACTCCGAGGGCACCTCAAGTCTGCCTGAGACATTGGAGCAGAAGCAAAAGAACGAGTTGAATGATGCATTGTACAGTCTGGGCAAATTGCGCAAGAGAGATGGAATCTATGATTAAAAGTGAGCATGTTGTGATTAATGTACAGCAGATGATAGTATCAATTATACGAGATGATGATTTCCAAGTCTTCGTACGTTCCGAGCTCCTCTAAACACTTAATCCGAATATGTCGAATTCGCACGCCTAAGGCAAGCTGATTAAAGCAATATAAACACCTGGGCAACCTTCGAAGGAATCAACAATCAACCAAGCGTACGGGATAAGTGTCAGGTATAGCGCTCAGTCGTAGGTGACCGTGCCAGGTCCCACCATGGTAGAAAGCACAGCAACCCACTGAAGCGCCATTATTATGCAACGAGGTAGCACATTCTTCAACCGCATCAACGATTGTCTTCTTCTCGGCCGTGCTACCGCAATTTGAACCGGTAGTTGTCGTCTGGTAGGCGTAACCATAGACCAATCCATCACCTGCATCGGTGCCATAGGTGATGGCGCATGAACTCACATCCGCCTTTGACTTGATGATTCCAGCAATGAAGTCATAGATATCTTTGGCTGCTTTGACTGTAGCGATGTTCTGGGCACCGTTCTTGATGGTGGTCACGACCTGCGTGATGGTAATACCGGTACGTTTGTCGAGTGTGTTGTTAGCGTGTTGCCACGCATAGTCGGCATTGATAACGCCCAGGGTCACAGTCATGTTGGAAGAACCTTCATTCCACTCATGGTAGATCGGGTAGGTGATCACAGTTGTTGTTTTATCGTCTCCAGCAAGGCATGGATCAACAAGCCCGCATGCGAGAACGCCACACAGGACAGCGCTGACTTTGACCATGTTCCTTCAGTATATCTGTAGTAGATTGCGCAAAGGTCTAGAATAAGAATGCAGGCCAGATAGATCAAGTCCATGCAAACAGATTGAGATCCCGGGAGGACACCTAGACAATCGGTCAGTACACACACTGTCGGGATAGGCAAGATGGAAGATGTTACCTGAAGAGAACAAACTATTGGTAGGCGACTACCTATGAGATTGCTCAAAATTTCTTGGTATGGATACTTTTTTGTTTACAGCCAGGAAGTTGACTCTTTTTATACTTCAATTTCGGGATCAATCCCATAGCCCATACCTAGAATTCCCCCGATAGAGAATACAGCCAGCTTTGCATGAGTCCAATACTTCCTTGATAGATCGATTCATGCAGTCATATTGATGATATATCATAGAGGCAAAGGTAACCGATCAAAGCCTGCCCTATTGCGGTAAATGGTCTCCCATGATTGTCCGATGACCCTGATTGTTTCTATGCTCCAGCCCTCCGGATTATTCGATCAAGTGGAATTTAACGATTATTCATCTAGATAAAAATGTATGCCTATAAGCCTACCTTCTTTTGGATTATCATACCGTACTTGGCATATCCTTAAAATCCCCATTTGATGTTGAGAAGTTTGATATATATATACAGCCAAGCCTGATCACGACAACTATCAAGCATAGGAAAACCGAAAAAGCTTCATTCAATTTAGTAAGACACGAGTTTCCACTATCAGTGATAACGTTTAGCCCCAGGGAGCTTGACCGGGCTTTGCCCTGTGGTGTGGACTTGGTATGCAGTATTTGGGACATTGGTTCAGCCGTAGTAAGTCTTTCCAAATCAAGTCTAATATGCCGCTGCAGGGCACTAGTGCTGATTTTCGTCGATAGGAACAAATATTACTTTTTCTTTTGGTTCAAAGGGAATTGCTTCCTGAAGACAATTGGACCCTCCTGCCGGTGGTTTTTATTTAACTTGCTGTATCGTGTAGTGTTAGTGACACAAAGATCCCCAGAGGCTCTGGCCCCAAAGAGATGGTCCCCAGGACATCGTGATACGTAGGTCCATCACCCTGCAAAAAACTTGTTGCATACTTTAGGAACATGCTCAATATTACTCGAATAACTGCAAAGGATGCACTAGAGCGGAGATAGAAAGAAAACAAGACTCCTTTACCTTTTCGTAGCCATGAAACTTGATAAATTTACATTCTTCAATTCTGTGTAGTATATCATCGAGAAAAGAAAAGAAAAAAATCACCAAAAGAAAAGAAACGCCAGACGGTGGATTTTCATGTTGCTGTAGTATAACACCCGCCGTCTACTAAAGTTTCCGCTCCAATCGTGGGCCGCGGTAGCCGGAGAACCTTGGAATCCCACTTCCCCTCCTCCATCCCACTTGCATATTTTACCAACACAATGCAGGAGCAATTTGAGCCTTTGAAGAACGATCTGCTGCTAAGGGCCGCACGGGGTATGCCTGCTTGAGATTTTCAAATTGATCGGTGCTGACAATCGCAGGTGAGAAGGTGGAGCGTCCTCCCATTTGGGTTATGCGACAGGGTAAGATTCCTTCACGTGCCTTATTGATGGCATTGATCTTACTGGAATTATTTACTAACCTAACCTGCTCAATAGCTGGCCGATACCTTCCCGAGTACCACGAGGCCAAGGGTGGCCGTGACTTTTTCGAATGCTGCCGCACACCTGAAATCGCATCGACCTTGACCCTCCAGCCCATCGAACGCTATGAGGGCCTGATCGATGCCGCTATCATCTTCTCCGATATTTTGGTTATTCCTCAGGCTATGGGAATGGTTGTTGAGATGTTAGACAAGAAGGGACCTCATTTCCCGGAGCCGCTTGACTCACCCACCGACGGGCAGTACGAGAAGGTGATGGCGAAGGATGTCGATGTGAAGACAGAGCTGGACTACGTCTACAAGGCAATTTCCCTCACACGCTTTAAGCTGAAGGGCCGGGTGCCTCTCATCGGCTTCTGCGGTGCGCCGTGGACGCTGCTGTGTTACATGGTCGAAGGCGGTGGCAGCAAGCTCTTCGTGCAGTCCAAGAAATGGGTCTACAAGTACCCCGCCGAGGCTCAGGCTCTTCTGCAGAAGATCGCAGAAATTTGTGTGGAATACCTCGCGCTTCAGGTCGCCGCCGGAGCGCAGTTGGTGCAAGTGTTCGACTCGTGGGCTGGTGAGCTGTCTCCCGTCTCGTTCAAGTCCTTCTCGCTTCCTTACCTCCGCCACATCTCCGCAAATTTGCCCAAGCGCTTGAAGGAGATGGGCCTAGAGCCTGTTCCCATGACTGTCTTTGCCAAGGGTGCCTGGTATGCCCTGGATGACCTTTGTGATTCGGGTTACAACGTTGTCGGCCTGGACTGGCTGCATGATGCCGCTGAAGCTATGCGCATTGCCAACGGCCGCGTGACCATTCAGGGCAATGCGGATCCTGGCATGCTCTACGGTGGTCCCCCGGCCATCACTGCTACCCTTGAACCAATGGTTGAGGGTTTCAAGAAGGGCAAACAGGGATGGATCTGCAACTTGGGTCACGGTAAGTCAAACTTTAATATTCATGGAGTTGCGTATCCAAGCTGACTGTTTCAGGTGTCACTCCATTCGTTGACCCTGAGAACCTTAAGTTCTTCTTCGAAGAGATCCATCGACTGACCGTATAAACATGGGTCTTTGTAAAGATCAAGTTTGAATGGCTTCTTCGATATAAAAAACTATGTGAGATCTAAAAGCACATCCACCTTTCGGGTTATGAGTTTGTTCATTCTCTGGGTATAGGGCTATGATGTACGTAGGCCTTATGAAATTAGACAGCGATATCCTCGTTCCTGTACAGACACTACAGTTAGTAATGATGATCATGAAAATGCCAAGTCCTAATACAAGACTCCTTTGCTTTGTAAATAAAGCACTTATAACATACCATAGCTCAGGCTTCTCCTTCATGAAGTTACCCATCAGATCCTTGCACTCTTGGTTGTCCAAAACAATAACCTCCTTGCCACGGTTCTTCAGCAACTCCTCGCCACCCATGAAGCTCTGGTTTTCACCAATGACCACACGCTTGACCTTGTAGAGAATGCAAGCACCGGTGCACATATCACAGGGTGAGAGGGTGGTGTACATAGTAGCACCCTCGTAAGCAGAGGCTGGCAGACGCCCGGAGTTTTCGAGGGCGGACATCTCAGCCTTAAAAGTGTTAGCAGATTGTACCTCATGATTACACCAGAGTATTATGGCGATTGATATCGATAGATTATATATCAAATCCATATCAGATGGATTAGATCAAGAGTAGAGTCACTGACATGCAAAACGGCGCTTCCCTTCTGCACGCGCATGTTATGACCTCGGCCTAGAATCTTGCCATCCTTGGAGACCAGGGCGGCGCCGATTGGTACACCTCCCTCTGATAGACCCTGCTTGGCCTCTTCGACAGCAGCAATGAATCCCGGATCTTGTTCCATTTTGTGTATTGGGGTGAGTGTCTAAAGGAAACGGAGAGTTTACGATAAGAACGGCAATCTACTCCAAAATCGGAGAATGCCGCACCCCTCTATAACGATGGAACGAGTGGACCCGTGAAGAGCTTTTTTCCGTTTATCGATAAGAGATCTCTTTGTGGCGGTAGTTAAGTGGCGAAGGTTCGAATTTTTGTTTTATGTTACTGGTACGTATTGAATATCTTGAAGTATATAAATTTTATTCATTCGTTGAGAGAATTAGAAAGGACGTTGTGAAGCATGCATATAGAAACAATATTGATCAACTGCATCTCCATTTGTTGAAGTAATTGTACTTATACTATACCTAGGTATAGTTAGATTGAGTTATGTATGGACACCTGGGCAAAAAAAACGCTGAGTCAGCTGCAATCGATTCCAACCTGGAAGGTTCCAAGGTTGAATGGAAGCGCGGAGAAAAACTACGAAGAATGTCGAACGCCGCAGAATCCCGTAGAATCAGCGCTCGGGCCGTAATATACAAGATGTCACCAATAATAGTTGATTGAGAAGTAGTATGGTATTGCAGTTCTGGAAGAATCTTAGTTTTTTATCTCAAAAAATTAGTAGATTAGTTGAAGAGAGACAAAGAAAATCAGTAAAAAGATTATAAATGTTAAGTGGTGGCCCTGGTAATTTATTTGGTCATTTTACGAGCCCCATACAGGTGCCTGGTGTAAAAAAGTTACTCAGCCTTTTTTTGGCTTCGATTATTATTATCCAGACCCTCCTTCTCTTTTCCTCCCCTCCATCCAGCAAGGACATCAACCACCCTCAATTGTTGTCCATCTGGCATTTGTACATTCGTCAAGGTTTTGCTCAAAGACCTTTGTCACCCTTGTTTTCCGCTTCTTCTTGAATCCCAGACCTTACATTAACCTTCATTCGACGGCGCTTCCTATTCCCCCGCACATTCCACAATGGTCAAGGAAACCAAGTTCTACGACACCCTAGGGGTATGTTAAATCCAGAGACTGGCTTTTGAATAGGCTCCACAAGTGATGTCGATCTGACAAGATGGTTTGATTTTAGGTCTCCCCTACGGCTACCGAAGCGCAGCTCAAGACTGCCTACAAGAAGGGTGCTCTTCGGTACCACCCTGGTACGTGATCTCTAATCGATGATCGATATAAAGAAAAATAAACTGACATAGCTTTCTCACATATAGATAAGAACGCCGACAACCCGGAGGCTGCTGAGAAGTTCAAGGAACTCTCGCACGCATATGAGTGTCTATCTGACCCCGAGAAGCGTCAGCTGTATGATCAGCTCGGCGAGGAAGGCTTGGAGCACGGCGGCGGCGGCGGTGGCATGAATGCGGAAGATCTGTTCTCTCAATTCTTCGGCGGCGGCGGCGGCGGCCCCTTCGGTGGAATGTTCGGAGGTGGCATGCGTGACACCGGCCCAAAGAAGGCCCGAACAATCCACCACGTGCACAAGGTTGCCCTTGAGGATATCTACAAGGGTAAGGTATCCAAGTTGGCCCTCCAAAAGTCCGTCATCTGCGGTGGCTGTGATGGCCGCGGTGGTAAGGAGGGAGCGGTCAAGGAGTGCGCGGGCTGCAACGGTAGCGGTATGAAGACCATGATGCGCCAAATGGGCCCCATGATCCAGCGCTTCCAGACCGTTTGCCCTGATTGTAACGGAGAGGGAGAGAGCGTCCGTGACAAGGACCGCTGCAAGAAGTGCAACGGCAAGAAGACCGTCGTTGAGCGCAAGGTGCTTCACGTCCACGTTGACAAGGGTGTGCGCGATGGCCACAAGATTGAGTTCCGCGGCGAAGGTGACCAGATGCCCGGTGTCATGCCCGGCGATGTCGTTTTCGAGATTGAGCAGAAGCCCCACCCCCGCTTCCAGCGCAAGAACGATGATCTCTTCTACCAAGCTGAGATTGACCTGCTTACCGCTCTTGCTGGCGGTGCCATTCACATTGAGCACCTCGATGAGCGGTGGTTGACCGTGAACATCGCCCCTGGCGAGGTTATCGTTCCTGGTATGTTTCCTGTCCCCTACCAGCACAATCTTTGAATGAAACGCTAACAAGTTCCATCAGATGCCATCAAGGTTATCCACGGCCAGGGTATGCCCTCGTTCCGCCACCATGACCACGGTAACCTTTACATCAAGTTCGATGTCAAGTTCCCGGAGAAGGACCAGCTCCAGAACCTCGACCTCCTCGAGAAGGTTCTCCCTCCCCGTGTTCAACAACACACTCCCCCCACCGACGCCATGGTCGAGGACTTCGAGCTCGAGGACCCCCACAACGAGACCGACCAGGCCCGCGCTCACGGCGCAGCTGCCGCCGGCATGGATGAGGACGATGACGATGTGCCCGCCGGCGCTGAGCGCGTGCAGTGTGCTTCTCAGTAAAAGGATTTATCAGAAACCGTGGAAGAGGGGTTGAAGCCAGGCCAGTGATGAAAACTTCGCTTATGATACCATGTGAAGGGGGGTCGCCTTAGCCCCGATTGACACGGGGAACTTTTTTCGTTTTTTTCTTTGCAATGGCGTTTCCTCTTAAGACCTTCAAGATATCATTTTTCTTTTCTCTTTTGTCTCAATCCCAAACCTTTCCTGTAATCCTCTTTTTATCCCCTTCTCGCCTCAACCATCTTGCATCTTTCTCGGTCCTTGCTTGTCTTGCTTTTATTCGCTTGTGCTTTCGCTTTGGGAATCGGGGTTTGTGTGGCGGACTGGAGTTGCGCTGATGGGAAAGCGTCATGAACCGAAGACGGATGGGATGAGACCATGATTGCGAGCCCCGTGACTGGGCCTGGAAAACCTGCGTGCTCGTCAAGGGGCTCTTTGGCGTCTGCAAAGGATTCTGGCATGATCATATCACGGATTTCTTTTTCCTTGTTTTTTCTAGCCCGCACTTTGATGACCTTCCAATAGACATTATGTATTTCGTTTCAATGCATTGCTGACTGGTATGAACTGTTGACGATCTAAGATGCGTAGATGGTGGTAGTTGGTAGTTGGGAGAATACCTAGGTAGAAGGTGGAGTTATAAAAAGTCTCCGGCCTCCAAGTCCTCAAGGTCCCCTGCCTTCCAAGGCTAGTGGGACTCGTTTGGGAGCCTTTGTTCCAGTGCATTCTAGGATGGAAATGAGATCTGGAAGAGCACCTCATAAAGGGACGGGTTGGGCCACTGTTAGCATGTGTCTCGTCCATTCCAGTGCTATGAGGTGTCTCACTATGGAGTAGCAGCCTAGTCGTATCCCTGATTCAGACACAAGATCACCTCTGGGTACCTTTGCTGTCGCATTCTACAGCGCGAGAAGGCTTTATATATTGGACGAAGACCGGTTTTCATCATACACATCCACACATTTGATGACCATACCTACAGTCTGTTTTATGTAAACGGGGCATGGACAACCTTGGAATGAACGACGTGAATTGGAGTACAGACGGCCAAAGCTAATCCTTTGAGGGAGCCTCTTATATACTGATTATGTTTCTCTTTCATGCCCATGGGATGCTTGAATGGCTGATAAACATGCAAGGATATCCTCGCCTTGACTGCATTCATGAACTGATACCCAGAGTTGTCGTGATTCGCGTTAAAGACGAGGAAATGAGACCATGGCCAGAACTGGATAGTAAGAACCGCTGGCTAATCCGGTCAAGAACGTACGTGGCCTTTACTATAACATGAAAAGACGTACATCTAGCGATTATGTCTAAGGACCCTCGGATGCCAGACGATAGCTCGGCCAGTAGGGCACCATCTACGCACGAGTAATGGATCGCATGCCGGCGTAGTAGTCGAATTCCTACATTTCTTGATCACATTACAAGGCAGCGTACCCAATAAAGCCATATCTGAAGACTCGATCTGGTTTACGTGATTTTCAGGAGCTATGGCGACCTAAAGCTCGTCAAGGGTTTCGGTTGATTATGTAGTCATTGGCAGTCCAAATGTTCGCCTCCACGCTTTAGCAACTAATGCTCGGTCTTTGGATTTCATTAGGGCAACCAAAGGCGACAGATGGTAATTTCTGTATGGAGTGATTTGACCATCGGCCATTCTCGCACAAAGGAACTGGCGGCAAGGTAGTCTGGACGAGTCGGAAACTGGCGAATTCCGGTTAGCATGCCAGATGGGCGAAGCAGCTAGGTTATTTGAAAATTTCGCTGGATGAAGCCAAGGTATTCGTGATCATAGAACAGTTAAATTCAACGATCGGGTAAATTAGTTCGGAGTGCCAAGATGGGCATTTTCCACCAGGACTGGATGACAACAGATAGGGGATGATTGTGTCATCCAAGAAAGCAATAGCTCGACACTAGATCGAACTCTGCCGTATGAGAAAAAGGCAAATGTCTTAAGCCAATGAAGACTTGTTTTTATTCTGTAGCCACGTGAATCACCATGCAGGCAGGGAAGGAAATCCCCAGCACACCGAGAGATCGATCACCGCTAATCTCGGTACATTCGCAGCTGACCCCAAGCTTTTGAAAATCGCTGAAAATCGCTTATGTCGAACTACCAAGAGTTTCAAGCTGACTGGCTCCAAATAAGAACCATGACGGTAAAGCCACATCCTCGGGACTCCCCGCAAGAGCGACGGAGCGCTCAACCAACCCTGCATATGCAAGCCTGCATCCAAGGAACACAAGCGAGTACCAAGAATGCATCGTGAAATCAGCCACTCAGACAGAAAAAGAAAATAACCAAGCAATTATATGGCGTGCTCAGGCTGTGAGATCTCCCCGCCAGACGCACCATCTCGTGTCGATATTTCGAAGAGCAAAAAGGGGACTCGGGGATCAAGAAACGGGGATCTCGTAGCGAGAACAATGCCGCTATCGTATATTAGCGGCAGGGGTGTAGCGAGAACGACATGGGAAAGATAAAGAGAGGAAAAGCTAAAGAGGCATCCTAACCAACGGGATCGTCCAGAGGTAAGAATCACAAGCTCCTCGTATAGAACAAGCCGTCAGCCACGGCCAGGGAAGGCGAGGCTGAAACAGTGCCATCTCCGTGGAAAAAGAATGGAAATACTCGTATGAGCACGTAGATCTTGGCTATATCACTAATCAGCTATTTCAGCTGCACGGTGCGTGACGCCACATATTGCCTTTTTTTTTGGCCCCTTCCTGCCGGGGTTATTGCTACTTTCTACAATGTAGGCCGTGAATGGGCAAAGAGAGTCTTGGAATGTGAGTGACAAGAAAGACCTGGATTGTTGCATGTTTTTGGTCGGTATTGCCGAGGATTGCACCAGGCCATGGTGAGCCCAAGAAAGTAAACAAGGGACTCTAATTAGTCCAGAGTGGCCGAATTAGCCTCACACCATATTTAAAGTTGAAAGGGCCTCAGACACCGAGGATCCCAAGAGCTTTAGCTTCGGACGTTACTAAAATGCTAAGGTATAGTGGATTAAATGTTTAACAATAATATCGCAAGCTAACCGTTGACCAACGAGAGAGCTCGATGACGTGATTTAGATCTAAATGACAACTTCACCAGGTGGATAGAATGCAGGAGAAAGCGAACATGCATATTTTTAGCGGGATATCAGATTGAGATGTTTACATTGTAGATTACCTAGGTACCTCTGCGATGACCATTGTCTCGCAAACTGTCGAGGATACCCAAGGGCTTTTCCACTGACCTCATATACAGATATCAGTGGCAAAACGGGGTCTGTGAATTGGCGAACGAATGGGATTTGATCGACGAGTAAATCTCGTTCGAACGGGAGTCAATTGTTCCTCTATGCACCTAACAGATAGAGTAGGGAGCGCCGAGTCCACACGGACCCCTGCCAAGTGAGTCCTTTGTAGTACAGTATGCTAAAGTCGAATTTAATGTGCATGGACGCAATAGGACTGAGGAGACCGCGGAGACCACGCGGCAAATTAGGTGGAGCCGTAGCATGTAGATAAACTCGGAGCGGAAGATGCATACAAGGTACGCAAGAGGCAGCTTATTGCCTTAAAAATACGTATTTTTATAAGTATTAAAAATATTAATCATAATTCATAGGTAAGATGAAATTATAGAATGTAAAAGCTAAGGCAGTGGGGCACAACAATAGAGTTAACAAGAAACCTCTCAGAAGATTCTTGAAACGCCTCAAGCAAAAACGTGGAACTTCGATTCCTTAAGACATTCTTTCACCATCACACGTTGAGATTGCGTGTCCTAAAAGGTCCGTGATTGGTCTTGTGGCCCCACGGGCTGATCTTCTCGGGGCAAAGTTCGTGGAGGCGCATTGTCATTCGTCACTCGCTGCTTGGCATTGTTCGGCTATGTTCTGTTCTCCACGCTCACCATTAAAGATATACTACTGAGAAAAATTCATACAGAGGTCATGAGCTTGGAGTCATGAGAACTACAGAACAGCACATAATGTGCAAGGTATGTGCGACATTGGAAACGACAATTCAAATATAGCCAAGTATTTTCACCAAGTATTTCCACGGGCTCCATATAAGAGCGGATACTCCACGCTCCACGCTCCGTCGTCATCCCTACCAGACCCAGTCGGACTTAGACTTAGAGCCTGCTTGATCGGCTTGCGATCATCGGTGGGCCGGCTGCCGTGTAGAATTCAAATTCCTTTTAAGCAGCTTTCTCGCTTTGATGTGCCAGTTTTGATTCTGGTTCATCTCCTCAGGGAACACATCCAGATATCACCAGTCTAGATCTCGTGTTTTGCTTTTCTTTTTTTCACTTTTTCATTTCAATTTGCCCCTACTAAGCCGAGCTAAGCGGGACAAAATTCAAATGTTAAATTGAATCTGGGGAGTTTAGATATTGCGCCATTTAGTTCCGAATCACGCAGTCCCCCTTTGGTCTTTTTTTATTCTTTTTTTTTATTCTTTGCATATAGGATCGTCTGGTTTGACATCCTCTTTATATTCTTTATATTCCTGATCGTCACTACATTTTTGGATATATTCACATTGTGGTTCGTGGCCTGAAAGCTTCGTCCAATCCCGGCATTTGATATTGTCAACTCCGGTCTGCACAAGCAACCATGAGCGGTGAGACCACCTCCAAGGTGGGCGCTGCCCTGGCAAAAGGTCTCGGTATCAAGGTCGCCTACAGAGATCCTCTGGGCCCGACCCGCGACCCCGTCACCAGAGGCGAATCGACATTCTCTATGGGCACTGTCGACACATATGAATACAACGAGCCCGAACCAACAAGTCTCGACTGGATCCGTGAGGTTCTCCCATCCGGACGTCAAGTGGGCAGATACTTCCTCAACCTGTTCCCGTTCCTCACATGGATTGGCAACTACAACTTGCAATGGCTGTACGGTGATCTGATCGCCGGTATTACCGTGGGTGCAGTCGTTGTACCCCAAGGTATGGCCTACGCCAAATTGGCTGGTCTGGAAGTGCAATATGGATTGTACTCGTCGTTTATGGGAGTTTTGGTTTATTGGTTTTTCGCCACGTCCAAGGATATTACCATTGGGCCTGTGGCTGTTATGTCGACTTTGACTGGAACTATCGTGCTTGAAGTGCAGAAGCAGTACCCGGATTACCCTGCTCATTTGATTGCATCCTCCCTTGCTATTATCTGCGGTGGAATTGTCTTTGTGTTTGGCATGTTGCGTCTTGGATTCATTGTCGACTTCATCCCTCTTCCCGCCATTTCAGCCTTCATGACTGGCTCCGCTCTGAACATTTGCTCAGGACAGGTGTCGACCATGTTGGGCGAGACTGCCTCGTTCAGTACTCGCGGTGCCACCTATAAGATTATCATTAACACCCTCAAGTATCTTCCCACTTCGACTCTGGATGCTGCTATGGGTGTCACTGCCTGCGCTATGCTGTACATTATTCGATCTGCATGCACATTCGCAGCGCGCAAGCAGCCTCACCGGGCCAAGGTGTGGTTCTTCATCTCCACCCTTCGCACCGTGTTTGTAATTCTGTTCTACACCATGATCAGTGCCGCCACGAACCTGCACCGAAAGGACAAGCCGGCCTTTTCTCTCCTCGGCCACGTTCCCCGAGGATTCCAGCAGGCTGCCGTGCCCACTATGGACAGCTACATCATCAAGGCCTATGTTGGCCAACTTCCCGCCGCGGTTATCGTGCTTTTGATTGAGCACATCGCCATTTCGAAGTCCTTTGGCCGCGTCAACAACTACACCATTGACCCCTCCCAGGAATTCGTGGCTATTGGTGTCAGCAACCTTCTCGGTCCTTTCCTCGGTGGCTACCCCGCCACTGGCTCTTTCTCTCGAACTGCCATCAAGTCCAAGGCCGGAGTGCGAACTCCCCTCGCCGGTGTCATTACAGCGCTCGTGGTGTTGTTGGCTATCTACGCTTTGCCTGCTGTCTTCTACTACATCCCCAAGGCGTCTCTGGCTGGTGTTATCATCCACGCTGTCGGTGATTTGATCACTCCCCCGAACACTGTGTATCAGTTCTGGCGTGTTTCTCCGCTTGATGCGATCATCTTCTTCATTGGTGTTATCGTCACCGTCTTCACCTCCATCGAGGATGGTATCTACTGTACCATCTGTGTCTCCGTTGCGGTTCTTCTCTTCCGTGTGGCCAAGGCCCGCGGTCAGTTCTTGGGACGTGTTACCATCCACTCCGTGGTTGGAGATCACCTTTTGGACAGCGATGGAAAGTATGGATCTCTTGCGAACAAGAAGTCTCCCTCTGAGGATGAGGAGGATCACCAACGCACCATTTTCCTTCCCATCAACCACACCGATGGCTCTAACCCCGATATCGATGTGGAGCAGCCCCTCCCCGGTATCTTCATTTACCGGTTTGCCGAAGGCTTCAACTATCCCAACGCCAACCACTACACCGACTTCTTGGTATCAACCATCTTCAAGAACACTCGCCGAACGAACCCCCACGCCTACCGCAACCGCGGCGACCGCCCCTGGAACGACTCCGGTCCCCGCCGCGGCAAGGAAGGCTCCGACGACGACAGTCACCTGCCCCTTCTCCAGGCCGTTATTCTAGACTTTTCATCCGTGAACAACGTCGACGTGACCTCAATTCAGAACCTGATCGATGTGCGCAACCAGCTGGATCTGTACGCCTCCCCGCGCTCCGTGCAATGGCACTTCGCACACATCAACAACCGCTGGACGAAGCGCGGCCTGGCCGCCGCCGGCTTCGGGTACCCGACCCCAATCTCCAGCGAAGGCTTCCACCGGTGGAAGCCCATCTTCAGCGTGGCTGAGATCGAAGGTAGCGCTTCTGCTGCTGCCCACGCCGAGATTATCAACAACCAGCGCGAGCAGTCCTACCACAAGAGCGAGGATGTGGAGAACGGACTCAAGAGCGAGTCCAGTGCTGTTGAGCGCGAGACTCATGGCATTGAGAGCTCGGGCTCCGAACACTCCGATATTATTCACGAAGACAAGTTCCAGCAGGATATCACCGCCAGCAAGGCTTATGACAGCCGTCGCAAGGTTGCGCTCGTGCAGGGCATGAACAGACCATTCTTCCACATTGATTTGACGAGTGCGCTCCAGAGTGCCGTTGCGAACTCTTCGGACGAGATTCCACACATTGGTTGATTTGCCATTCTAGTTTTCTTTTTCTTTTCCTTTTTCTCTTTCAATCATCTTCGATTTGCATAATATGTGTTGCATGCACCCCCCTGCATTGATCATGGATCCCTGGTTTGGATAATGATTCGATATGCCCCGATTATGACCTGTTAATATCATTTTCGCCCCCTTGTTTCATATTGCACATTATCACATTTGCCGCTGTCACTCAGCATTGTCTATATTGGATGCGTTTTTTCTTGGACATGGACATCCTGTTGTTGATATTCTTTCGGCGCTATCCCCATTGGTTTGCGTGGGTTGGTTTATTTGGACTGGGTCTTGTTTTGGACCTTTAGGATTTTGGAAGAAAAGGATGGAATGGATTCGGGTTTTGCTTGAGTTCCACTCCTAGGGAGATACCCTTTTGATTACATATGTATCTTTGATAGACCAATTGCTTGGTGAATATATTCCCTCTCAGCGTTTCAACATGGACATTGCCAGTGTAGTCCCAGAATCACATTGCGCCTAGAAAGTCTGTCGATACCCTCAGACAGCACTTTATTATGTAGTTTTCTTCGATACACTTAATGACTTTCTACCAGTCGGTTTAAGTCTTTCTTGATATTCTTGGTAGTTTCATCTTCGTCCCTTTTCTTCTGGATTGGGTATAGTCAAAATAATTGGGCATTCAAGTTGCCAATAAGTCAAGCTTGAGATCTGGACCGCATATGTTTGTGCATTGCATTTTATTTGATTGTCACACGAGTGTTATAGTGCCCTTCATGCTAATAAGTACCCCCTTCTTTTACATGGTGATAGTGCCTATATGGCAATGACTCCATCTAAAACCCCCAATATTCCCTCTCCTTCTGAGCAAAAGCACATTAATTTCGCTTTAGCTAAGGATCGGATTAGCATCGAGCTTTGCTTCGGGCATATAGTGAAATTATGCAAAGAGACCTCGGGATGGAACTAAAGGCAGAACAAAGTATTGAATCGAGGGCATTAGGGACTGAACAGTTCATAGCGGTGCAAGTAAACAATATAACGGTTTGTATAACCTTGGAGGAGGGGATAACCAGGTCTCAACGCACTTTGGCGTGTAGCCACCTACTTACGGTAGAGGAGTATCTATTGGCATTTGGCTCAAACCCGAGCAGATTACGCCTGGGGTTGGGGTTGAGACTGGAATCAATCGTAATCGTTTGAAATGGATAGAAGGGATAGACCTCCTATATGGATATTAGCAAATTATTATATATATCTTTGCAGGCATGAAACGCAGCAACTTTGGTAGCGGATTGTGTAGCTCTCCAGGTTTTTGGCATCGCTACTACCTCCCCATACCATTCAAGTCAGCTTCTAATATACTTAGAAACACTTTGATAGTGAATTTAGCGATTGGTCTGCCGGTTGCCCTCATTGGCGATTTGACTACGCAAAGCTTTATTACCGTAGAGGGTCCGAAATTGAGCTTTATAAGTACATGCTATTTCTAGCAATAACATGCCGTCTTTATCGCTTGAGATAAACCTAGGGGCCGGGTTAAGAGTGGCAAGCCCATCGCCATAGGGAGGCCCAAGCCATGAGAATGGCCATCCTCAGGGCTTAGGGTATAGTCATAGGCAGCGGTCGCGGGGGTGGTTCAAATCCGTGTTGCATGTACGTAGTAAGACCCAGATCTAAGGCCAAAGCAACTGCTTCACCCATTGACAATCGCCCTTACTCCAAACATATCGCAATCGCTGATGAAGCCGACTGGCATCGCCCTGCCAAAACTCAACAGAACTAGCATCAACAGCATAAACCCTCCACTTCTCAACCCCAGTCATAGAATTCTTCCCTAAAGCCTCCTCAGTAGCAATTAACTTCCTCTCCAAATCCTTCCAGTCACCAAGGACCTCACTCTGCTCCGACGCAACAGCACCAACCTTCGAAGCAACAGGTCTAGCCTGATAATCCAACGCACTCTCCTCGTCAGGCAACGCAATAGCTATCCCCCTAACCCTCACTTGTCTAGCAAGCAAGGGCCAATAGAAAGTTAAAGCCGCAGCTCCATTCCCAGCCAACTGTTTGCCTTTGGGACTGTCAGCCTTGACGGCGAAATGCCAGCCGCGATTATCAACGTTCTTGAGGATGAGGACACGCGCATCTGGGCATCCTTCTTCGTCGACTGTTGAGAGCGTCATGGCGTGTGGTTCACGCACGTTTGCTGTCACAGCTTCGTGGAACCAATTCTTGAAGGCATCTTGGGGGGTTGGGGGGAATTTGTCGAAATTTAGGGGTGGGAAGGGTCCTTCTAGAACTTTTGTGTTGCGGAGTTCTGTTCTGAAAGATGTACCGTCAATCGACATGATGCTTGCGTTTTGCTTGCGTTTTGTAGTTCTGTGTTGTGGATGAGTTTCTGGATGTTGGGTAAGTTGAACCATGGATGGAGGATTTTACCTCTGAGTATCATGTAGATATCTCTAGGCTCTTTGATGGTTCAATATCCTGGCTATATGTTCAAGACTTTGATATCTTTATATGTGGGCAGACCGACTTCGGCCCAGCGTATTCGTGAGTCACTATGCATGACGCACCCGGACTTCTTGCCGTCGGTGTCCGATTTCGCTATACCTCCGATTGCTGCTCTGTCTCTGGCCATCTTACCATGACCAATGGCCGACCCGCCCATTGGTCTATCTCACCGAATACAAGATTCTCATTCAATGCAATATACCTATTTTAAGTATCCTATGTATGTGGTTAATATATAAAGATACATAAAGGTACTTCTCAAACATCCTCAAACATCTAAGACTAATAGCTTTATGGTATGTATTTTTGGTCTTCGATAGTATTCTCATCTATATAACTAAGTGCTCAATAAATGCTATCAGGTGAATTTCCAGAGGGTATCCGCTACGTATTTGTCGCTTTTTAATCATGTTCAAATCCCTATAATTACCAGAATTAGAATTAGGGATAATAAGATACAGTGGTTTTCGCACATTTCTATTGACCAGGTCAGAATAGCATCCGACATTTGTGCCTAATGCCATTGCCTGTAATAGCCTACACTGGAAGCATAATCTCTTCATTATTGTATAAAGCAGTCGATATAGTTAGGAGAAAGGGGTAAGGTATTGAAAAGCTATAAGCTAGTAAAAAAATGGCTCTAATAAGAGATCAATCAAGGCTTTCTATATAGACAGGTATCTAATAAGGCTTAGAATCATTTGTATCAAAATTACACATTGATTCCTACATGTATATGTATTGTCGTTCTTTTGCTCAGAGGGCTTGGCAAAAACCTGGCCACAGCTAGACGCCGCAACGCCAAAGTGAATAATGATGTTGAACCGCTCTACTCCGTACGGATGAATAATCGATCATCCAAAAAACACGCCCTGTTACCAACACGCCTCCACATTTGCCGAGTCTACCCGCTAAGGTCAGATCCACATACCGGCCAAAGACGCAAGCTGCAGCTAGATTGACTTCCAAAAAGAGGCATGGATATGCCTTGAGGATGAGTAAAACAATGGTATATATATCGACAAGCTTGAAAGCGATTTAAAGAAATACTTGAGGTGAAACAAGAAGCTTAAAATCCAGGATGTGTCACAAATATTTCCTAATGCGTACTAGCGCATGAGCCTTCCGCGAACATCTATATCATTTTTCTATTACAATTTCACCGGCCATGGATTCCTCTCATTGGTCACATATGCGACATATGTGAATATATTCTGGTTACTCACCTCACTTCCTCCATCTCCCTACCATTCCCCAGCCATGGCCCAATCAACGGCAACGGGAATCTCCCTCCAAGACCTAAACAGAACCGGTCTCGAAGAAAGACCCAGAGCAGCCAACCATGACCTCTCCGCGACCCCTTCAGAAACAGATATCATGCAACAATCCCTACTAGCCGACTCTCAGGTCCCCGACGGTGGCGAAGCCTGGGTTGTGATATCCGGCTGCGCAGTGGTCACATGGTGGTTCATTGGAACCAGCTACTGCTGGGGAATCCTCCAAGCAGCACTAGTAAAAGAGGGCGTTTCATCATCGTCAACGCTGGCATTTGTCGGGTCCCTTGCTACAGCATGTATTTCTTTCCTGGGAATCCTGAATGCGCGTATAATTCGAAAATTGGGAACGAGAGTATCTGCCATGGCGGGTGTTTTCTTTCTTGGGTTGGGGGAGGTGTTGAGCGGGTTTTCGGCGATGAGTATCGGGGGATTGTTTGCTACGGCTGGAGTTGTGATGGGGATTGGAATTAGGTAAGTGAACAACTGAATCTTGGAACTATGTTCCTGTTCATTTGTATGGAATCTAACCTTTTACAGTCTCTGTTTCATGGTTGTGTCCGTTACGCCGGCGCAGTACTTCCGCAAGAAGCGCGGGATTGCCAATGGCATTGTCTATGCGGCGGGTGGACTGGGTGGTGCTGTGATCAGTTTTGTGATGAATGCACTGCTTGACCGCGTCGGCGTGCAATGGACGTTCCGCATCATCGGATTTGCGACCTGGGGCACCGGTTTGCCGGCTGCATATCTGATCAAGCAGCGGGTTCCTATTCCACCTTCAGCGATTGTGGACTGGTATGTATATTCTATCGCTAATGCATCTGAGATTTATCTGACATATTTACTAGGCGTTTATTCCGTGACATCCGCTTCGTGCTTCTCTTCGCAATGGGCGCTATTGCGACATTCCCCCTCTTAGTCCCACCGTTCTTCTTGCCACTTTTCACTGCCTCGCTGGGGATGTCGTCCGGTACAGGAGCGGGTATCGTGGCGGCGTTCAATTTCTCTTCAGCTCTGGGCAGATTGCTATGTGGGCTTTGCAGTGATTTCGTCGGGCCGCTAAACACGCTGTTTATTTCCCTTCTGCTGAGCGCACTGAGTATGCTTATTATTTGGCCTATTTCGACTTCTTTGGGTCCTTTGATTGTATTTGTCATTGTGAACGGCATGGCTAATGGTGGGTTCTTTTCTACTATGCCTACTGTCGTTGGTAATACGTTTGGATCGGCAAGAGTGTCTGTTGTTATGGGGATGGTTGTCACTGGCTGGGCTGGAGGGTATTTGCTGGTAAGTTCGAATCGTTTCAATTCCTTTTGGGCAGTTGTATGTCTCTAAGTCGGGCTTAGGTTGCTGACTGTTTGTTAGGGCGCACCGATCGCCGGATTTATCCTCGATGCCGCTGGTGGCGAGAAAAGTGGAATCACTGGTTATCGTCCAGCTATCTTATATGCCGGTTCGATGACTGTCGTTGCCGCTTTGATTGGACTGTCTATCCGGTTGAAGACCGACAAGCATTTGCTTAAGAGGCTCTAAAGTTGAGTTTGGTACGTAGCACTTTAATGTGCAGAGAAAAATGGAGCTTTGAACTGGATATTCTTCTTTCAGTAGATACAATGAACATAAATTAAAGTAAAGAAAGAAAATTGAGTGTTCAAACCTGCTACACACCATGGGAGCTATAAATTTGTAGTATGCCGATGTACCGCCAAAAGGCCGAGGTTAACCATTCTAAGTACTGCGAAGTACGCCGCATCCGCCAGAACGTTCGATTCGAATGTTTTGTCTTTTTTGTTTTTCAAATTAACAATATCACTACTTGAAGCATATCACAATGGCTACAAGAGCACTCAACTACCTAAGGCCAGTGCTGCGCAACAATTGCACAATTGGCTCGCGTCACATTTCACCAATCAAAACATGGGCCCGATATAGTTCCCATTCGCCCATGGGATCGACTACTACCAACACACGCAAGAAAGTCACCATTCAAACTATTCAAAGCCTATACAAAAAGAACGAACCGATCACAGTCCTCACAGCGTCGGACTTCCCCAGCGGTCATGTCGCCGACTCCGCAGGCATGGAAATCGTGCTTGTAGGCGATAGCCTAGCAATGGTTGCCATGGGCATGGAAGACACAAACGAAGTAACAATGGAAGAGATGCTCCTGCACTGCCGGAGTGTGAACCGAGCCGTCAAAAGCGCCTTTACAGTGAGTACACACATGCATACCATCAACCGCAAACACGCAAACATCTCTAACCCACATCCCAGATCGCAGATCTACCCATGGGCTCATACGAGATATCCCCAGAGCAAGCGCTGACCTCTGCCGTGCGGATGGTCAAAGAAGGCGGCATGAAGTGTGTGAAGCTCGAAGGCGGCGCCGAAATGGCACCGACCATCGCGAAGATCTCCCAAGCCGGAATCCCCGTCATGGCGCATATCGGGCTCACGCCACAGCGGCAGCACTCTCTCGGTGGGTTCCGCGTGCAGGGCAAATCGGCCGCGGGCGCGGTGAAGCTGCTCCGTGATGCGCTGGCTGTGCAGAAGGCTGGTGCTTGTATGGTTCTTATAGAGGCGGTGCCGCCTGAGATTGCGACGATTGTGACGCGGCGGCTGAGCGTCCCGACTATTGGCATTGGGTCTGGCAATGGATGTTCCGGGCAGGTTCTGGTTCAGGTTGATATGTTAGGGAATTTCCCGGCTGGGCGGTTCTTGCCTAAGTTTGTTAAGACTTATGCGGATGTTTGGGGCGAGGCGAGGAGGGGTATTGAGGCTTATAAGAAGGAGGTTAAGAGTAGGGCTTTTCCTTCGGAGGAATTCACGTATGCTGTTTCAAAGGAGGCGCTTGAGGAGTTTGAGAAGGTTGTTGATGAGATTGAATGTGAGAGTCAGTGATTTATTAATTCCATGATAGTATGCATACTGGTTCGAATCTACACGGGCGTTGGACACAAAGCGACCTCAGGCGTTGATCGACTGTATGCAACATTCATTCATACGCATAATGTACAATCCAACTAAAATAAACCAGGCGACTCCCCGGCCTTATACCCATCCATCCCAAGATAATCCACCTCTCACCTCAAAACACCACCAACACCCGCCCATCCAAGGACAAACCCACTCAGCGCCTCGCTCATAACACCACCACCAAACCAAACATCCCTCCAAGCACCCTTACGGAGGATCTTCCTCGAACCCGCCTTTCCACCAAGCTGCATGCGCACAGTCTGACTCTTCTCATCCATCTCCACAACACCCTCAATTTCACCAGGGTTACTACCCGGGAAGAAAGAGCCGGCACCTGCACCCCCAGAGCGGTGGATCAGGACTGCATGGAAGAGGCCGGACACTAGGATTGTGCCTAGGAAGTAGAAGGCGAAGCCGTAGGTTGATTGCAATGCTAGGATTCCTGCGGACAGACCCAGGAGGAAGGAGGTCAAGCTGTGGAGGGAGGAGAGGACCTATTGAAGGCGTGATTAGTGATATGGAATGAGAGAGGATAGCGATTTGTGTTTGGCTTGGATTTTGAAGGGAATTGGGTTGGTTAGGGGTGGGCTGGTGGAACGGAGGAGATCATACGCGGTTGTTGTGCTGAACGGACTCGGGCACAAGAGGGTTGATGAGCAGGGAGAGTTCCTGCTTTGTTGGTGCCATTGTGGCTCTTGGCCGACTTCCGGTTGACTGGGGATACGTTGAGTCGGACTTGGATTCGAGTAGTCAAGCTGAATTTCGGCGTCGTAAGGATCACAGCTCAAGTGGTCTTTTGGTGAACCTTGATGGAGGCAATAATACAACTGCTTTAAACCAGCTACACACGTTGTACCAAGGATTCAGAAGAATCGTAGCCGGCTCTGTCGATCGGTGGTGGTCAGAGGTGGAGGTGGCAGCGCGGGTTTCTGCACCGATGTCCCGACAAACCCATCCATCGCACATCGTACTATAAACACGTAGTTAACTAAATACATACATGCAGTACAACATTCTTTGTAGTCATATAAAATATACAAATTTTCACTCGGAGAAGACTGAATAAAATAAATCATGTTCATATCTACTATTATCCCGAATCCAATGTTCAATAATTCCAATTCCATCTCATGAATCCATTCACATCACAGCGTTTGATACATTTCAAGTCCCATGTCTTCCTTCCATTATGCCGCAGAAATTGCAGAAAGAAAATGCCAGTTCCATGAAGCCGCTGGCTTGAAAAATCAAGATACTAAATGTTTCAAACAAGATTTTCAAATTTGCCATCACCGCGGGCCTCCTTGACCTGCTCGAAGACCTAGCGAAGGAAAACGTCAGCGAGATTCGACCAAAGAAAAATGATTCTTAAAGCTTACCTTAAGCATCTTATTACGCGCACCAAGGGCATTGACACCACGATCCTCGAGCGCCTTGTCGTCCAGTTCAACCAACTCTGTCCACTGCAAATCCTTCAGGTTATCGGTGTACTTGTGCAGCCTGAGGGATCGCAGCCAGCTGGGGATATCCTTCAGAAGGGCGGGGTCGGTGGGATCCTCTGGCGGCTTCGAGCTGCCACGGCGACCACGGGGAGAGCGGCCTCGCGCAACCTCCGAGTGATCAGACAAGTAGCCCTCACTACCCGCAAAGTGGTTGTTGTTGATGCCGAACGGATTGAGACTATTACCCATGAGAGGGTTGTTCGGGTCATAAGCCGCCAGGAATCCGTTGTTCTGGGGTGAAGTGAATCCCATCGGGGTCAGGCCACCACCCTGCATGACAATACCGGGTGATGTTGGGCGGGACCGTCTACCGGCCATGGCCGCCTGCTGCTGAGCCTGCAAAGCGACTAGCTGCTGATTATTGAGGATCTGACCACCCACCAAGTGCTGTCCGCCGAGACCTGGGCTAGCCAGACCTTGGTTGATACTTGGGTTACCATGAGGGTTTCTGCCCTGGCCGTCATTGGAGCGAGAACGGCGATACTTGCGTGCATCGTCCAAAGCAATGCGGTTGTTCACCGTCGACAAAGCTGCCAGCTTCATTGCCGTGGCATTGGCAACCATGTCCGCATGGTTGTTGGGGTTTTGGAGGGACTGCTGACCGAAACTCGCAGTCATCGGGGTGTTGGTCATCGAAGCCCAGCTATGGTTTCCAACGTTGTAGGGCGAGAGCAGAGGAGGCTCAATGTCAGAGGAAGGAATGTTGGCGGTTTGCGGAAGAGGCGAGCGCATGCCCGAGGGCTGGCTGAACTGGCCCATGGGCTGGTGTCCGGAAGATGACTTGGGGCGAGCGATCGGAGGCTGAGTATCGGAAAGACCGCGCTGAGCCCACGGGGAAGCAGGTGGTTGGCCCAGACTGTCCGAGTTGTTATCAGGCGCCGAGATGGTGGGGGCAACAAAAGAGGCACGGTCGAAGACTGCACTGTTACGGTTCGAGGGAGGTGCATTGCCAGTTTGCTGAGTGAACTCGGCCTTCTTCTTCGCGATTGCGGCAGCGGCATCTGGGAACATCGCATTGATAGTAGAGGGGTCGAGACCGGAGTTCCGCTTCGCGCCAGGGGAAGGTGGGGGCCGTCCAAGGGAGTTGCGAGAGGAGTCCATGTTGAGCTTTGACATAGCATCGCTCAAGCGGCTGGACATAGCATCTATACGAAGAAAGAAGGTCAGTGACATTCAAGACAAAGTGAAGAACATGACATACCCTTTTCGCCAAAGTTGGCGGGCGAGAGCAAACCGGACATTGGATGACCCTGAGACATTTGCTGCAGGACTTGGATAAAGAACCGAATTTGCACCTGGGTGGTTTGCTGGAGCAAAGCGTATAGTGCAGCGGTTCTCTCGGCTTCACTAAGCACACGGAACCATTGCTCGATGGCGCTGAGTTCATCCTTGAAATCCTGGTCAAGGGTGGCAGCCGCCATTTCCTCCAAAGTGGTCTCATACTGATCGATATCCGCAAGCCACTGCTGGGCAGCACGATCCAAAGCATCTTCCGTCGCATTCTGACCCTGGGACTGTTGATTGAAGAAGACTTCAGATGAGGGACGGATGCTTCGGGAGGACAACGGCGATGGAAACCCGGACATGTCTGCCGAAGCCCGCAGCTGGTGCGATCCGAGGTTTCGAGACGAAGAGGGTGGACGAAGATTCGAATTGGAAGCCTCGGGGGTGCTGTTGCGGTTTCCAATAATATGACTGGCCATGGTTTACAGGCAACGTGGTGGGAGTAGTAAATACAGGAAACGATTACTGCAAAACACCTGCAGCACCTGCTGAGTTTGCGTAACGAATAGAATCAAATATCCCTGAATCAGGATCCCGGCCAAGATCCCTTGAGAAGAAAAAAAAGACCTAAACCTCGAACTTTCAGGCGACAACGATCGGGGGCACAGACCAGTCCAGTGGGCTGCACCTCGAAATCTGTTGGAAAAATTAAGGCCTGGAACGAAAGGAAGGTGAGACTTGAAGCAATAGTGTGTCAAACACAGACAAGCCACAAAGTCTCAAAAGGAAAGGAAAGAAAAGGGGGGGGGAAGGTGATAAAGAGAGAGAGAGAGGGAGGGAGGTAGAGAAGAAGAGTTGGTTTGGGGATGAAGAACTTTTGGTGCCAAAAAGCTGTGAGCGATCACGGGTTCCCGCGAGAAACTTCTAACATTCTTCAACTTCACTTTGATTGTTCTTTTTTTATTTTCATTGCTTATTCTTTCCTCTTCATATTTTTTCTCTTCTTCAGTTACACAATCTCAACAATCTTCAACAGCTTGGTGGGGATGTTACTATGAATATCTGCCAAGCCCAAGGCCTAAAACGTTCCTAGATTCGATCAGTGCGCTTTCTAGCTATACTGCTTCGATAATGCGCCCCAGTCCAAATTTGATGATCTACATTTCTTTTTTATGATCAACTGTCTCAAGCTACAGCTTCAACTGGTCTGATTCAAACCATACATTTGAACTTTGACTCGCGACTTGCGGGTTAAAATCTTTGGGTCATGGACTCAAACTATCCAGACGATGTTCTTCAAGGAGAAAACTACGAGGAGAAAGAGTCGGCTTATCCGGATCTCGATGAGAATGTTCACTACCCTTGGCAAAATGACCAATCTTTCGACATTGGCAACATGCTCGCTTCGGTGATTGACCCACGTTTGTTTGGAGATCAACCACAGCACCAATCCCAAAGCATTAATAAATATCACCCCGGCGTCGAAGCTCAAGCAGAGGCAGTGGAGGAATACCCACCATCCGATGGGTATGGAGATCAAGAAGAACTTACCATGTCATACCCTCCAGTGCCAGGCATGGGGGCCTCATCAGATGAAGAATTTGTAATGTCTGAGGAAGATGAAAGCGCGAGGTATGTGTACTATGCAAAAATTTCTAAACAAAGCTAATGGGGGTGTTCAGTGATGATGATGACGATGACGAGCCAGCGGAAGAGGATGACGATAATAGTTCAGGCGCTAGCAGGCGTCGGCGTCGGGGAGGCGGCCGCTTCTCTGGAAGATATGGCGCCCGTGGTGGGAAGGGTATCAAAAGAGGACCCCGTAAGCCTCTGGAACCTAGTGCTGAATTCAAAATTCTTCATTCTGAGGCTACTTCTGCCTTCATCGATGGAGACTTTGACCGGGCTATCGATCTTGTAATGCAGGCAATTCAGATCAACCCTGAGATGTTTGCAGCACATTCTTTGCTTTCGGAGATTTTCCTTGCAAAGAACGAAAAGGACAAAGCCTTGGCAGCTCTGTTTAACGGAGCTCATACCAGGCCAAAGGATCGTGGTGTTTGGCTTCAAGTTGCAAAACTCATCTTGGACCGTGCCCAGGATAACCGAGAATCTGCGTTGCATGATGTATCTTACTGTTACAGCCGCATTCTGGAAGTCAATCCTGGAGACTTTAGGATTCGATTCCAGAGAGCTGCAATCTACCGTCAGCTAGGCCACCAGCGCAAAGCCGCCACAGAATACGAAAGAATCCTCAAGGATTGCCCGCACAGTGCCAAAGCCTTGCGCCATCTTGCAGAGACATACATTGATCTTGGTGAAGTCCAAAAAGCAGTAGATTATTATTCAGACAGCATCGATCACTACCTCTCTCTCAACCCTGAGGATTCCGGATTCGAATGGTCCGACATCAACATCTATGCAGAGCTTTTTGGCTACCTCAATCAGCCAGAGGAGGGGCTTCACAATATGAAATTGCTTGCACGTTGGCAGCTTGGGCGTGGAGATGATACAATGTGGGAAGATTTCGAGGATGACGACAGAGAGTGGGATGACAGTGACTCGCCTCGGCGCATCAAGACGGACGGCTTTAAGCCTGGCCAATGGCCTCTTGAAACTTATGGACTTGGTCTTCCACTTGAGATTCGGATAAAGCTTGGCATTTTCCGTCTTAAGATGGACGACAAATATCATAGCGAAGCAATTGTAAGTTCAATTTCAACCAAAAAAAGTTAATATTGTACTGACAGGTCGAAACCAGCATCACTTTGAATGGCTAAACCCAGAAGACGATTCCGATGATGCACGAGTTTTCGACTACGGCGATCTTTTCAGAGAAGTAGCGGATGCTCTGAAACACGCCGGTTTGTTCGAGCAAGCACTCCGATATTATTCGCCCATTCAACAGACGACCGAACATGCCGATATCAGTTTCTTCATGGCGATGGCTGATTGTTGCATGAAACTGGGCAAAGTCGAAGATGCTGAAAGTTGCTACCTTCTCGTCGCCGAGCACGATCCGGCACACATGGAGTCGCGAGTACTGCTAGCCAAGCTATATGAGAGCCTTCAAATGAAAGAACAGGCAATGAAGTATGTCAGCGAGGCAGTGTTGATCGGCCGCCAGGAAAACCGAGCCCGGCGAAAGAGAAAGGACACCAGGCTTGAGCAGCTCGCTATAGAGTTCAAAATGGCTGAAACTGAAAATCTTCGACCCCTTGCACCCAAGCCACAAACTGCAGCGAAGCTCATGAGCGCGGTCCAATCGGGACGGGCGCAGCCCGGCGAGGGTACCAGGACCGAAGATATCCAATTCCTGTACTTGAAGTTGCTGGATCTGCAGCCCCAGATGAAAGAAGGCGCCATTGAAGCTACTGAAGACTGGCTTGACATTGCTGATGCTCTTCTGCGAGACTTCCGGAGCAACAAGGCATTTTATCCCATGGCCCGCAGCATTCTCTTCATGGGATATTCGACTGGCGCAAAGGCCAAAGGCACAAAATCTAGAAGTGGGTTGATGATGGATGAGATGCAAGAGATGGCAGGCCGCCTTCAGGGCACGGAAACCATAGGTAAGTCACAGCAGTCAAGTGCGAGAGCCAAGCTAATATCATATAAAGGAGAAATTCCGGAGGAAGTTATGCATGGTGCTATTCCCACCGATTACCATGGTATTCCTTTCGATGAATGGCTTGACATATTCCTCATGTATGCTTTGGTTGTAGCAGAACAAGGCGAGCCGGAAGAGGCTTATGAGACACTCGATTCTGCGGCGGTTGCCAGCATTTGGTTACACTCCAAGCCGAAATTACGAATGATCCATGTATGCTGGTTCTGTGAGTATATTTCATTCGCCGACGAATAGCTCTCCGCTGACGCATTCATAGCATGCGCTCTTCGCGCAAAGGACGAAGAGACTCTAGCCAACGAGGCCCGCTGGTTCATTAAAGAATATCAATTTGTCACTGACACCTATCGACTTTTTTCGATGCTCAGTCTCCTCACCGGTGACCCCCACCGATCTCTCTTCCATTCCTCCCCAAATATGAAATTCATGCTCCGCCAAATCAAAGCGATGGACTTCACGATACCCCAGGAGACCCCTCGCCATGTACGAACATCTGTCTGGAAAGAGCGCGCCACTTTATCCACACGGGACGAACAAGGTGAACAAATTCGTGCCGAAGAATTGGACATTGCGCTTCTTGTGCTTTATGGCCACATTTTGTATTCTGGAAACAGCTTTTACCCCGCCCTGAATTATTTCTTTCGAGCATACGCACTGGACGACCAGAACCCGGCCGTTCTCCTTTCCATCGCGCTCTCTTATATCCACCACTCTCTCAAACGTCAATGCGAAAATCGTCATTATCTCATCATGCAGGGACTTGCATTTATGAATGAATACCGCCGTGTCCGGGAGAAACCAGGAAGTCTCCTATGCGAAAAACAAGAGATGGAGTTCAATTTCGCCCGCGTCTATCACTCCCTCGGTCTGGCCCACTTGGCCGTCGAAGGGTATGAGCGGGTTTTGAAACTGGGCGAGCAGATCCAGCAAGAAACTAACCAGACATCTATCGAAGAATCGGCCCCTGCAACAGATGGCACTGATGTGGTTATGGGCGAGGGTGACCAAGAGACCCCATCGCCCACTGTCCACCCTTTGATTGAGGACTTCTCTCGCGAGGCTGCCTACGCGCTGCAGTGCATTCATGTAATCAGCGGCGATGTGAAAACTGCAAAGGCCGTCACTGAAAAATGGCTTATTATTTGATACCAATCGACGCTCTTACGACTCGGGATATTTTCTTTTTTCACTAGCCCATGTATTATGTGTATGATATTGTTAGATCCAAACCTCTGTGAATTCTACAAATTTTCAAAACATGAAAAGGTCTTCACATTGCTGCCCGCATCATCGAAAGGAATGCTGTGGGGCCGGATGCCGAGTGCGGAAATGCAGCACAATTGGGGCTGCGAATCGGGGGAATCAGCACCTTGACCCTAATCTTGCAATTTCTTATTGACTCCAATGACAACTTCTCTGCAGATCAAATCGGGTAATTTCTTCTGGTACTTTAACCCTTGTCCTGCGAAATTCCCCGCTCCCAATCCCAATCCCCATGTCTCAGCTGCCTATAACCTGGGAGAACGAAACAACAGCCCGATAGGTTTTTGGAGTCAACCAAATGACTGTATTCAATAGTCATGGAGCGGTAAGCCATTCTGGCTCGCAGGGCGAGAATCTTAATATCCCGCTGACAAAGTCCACTCACTTCGGCACAGTCCAACGGGCCTACACCCGAGGTATCTGATGGAGACGAGAAAGGCCGCGGAGTCAATGTTCAAAACAGCGCAGAAGAAACGAGAAATAGTTCCATTTATGGGAAGCACATTCTCAATATAATCTCCTGGGTACCACCGCGATGTCGATGGGACGTGGAGAACCCGAGCAAATTTGGCTTGTCTTTGAATATTCTGTTTGCATTCTCTGGAACATTCACTGTATGTCATATTACAATTGATGATTATAGAAAGAAATTGTTGCTTATTCTGCATAGGTTGCCAATCTATACTACTCGCATCCTATTCTTGATGTTCTCGCACAGTACTTCGGCGTCTCGCATGAACGAGTTTCATTGATTCCGACTTGCAGTCAGGCTGGATATGCGACTGGTCTGATTCTCCTTTGTCCTCTTGGGGACTTGGTACGGAGAAGACATTTTGTGTTGCTTCTGACACTTGTCACGGCGGCTTTGTGGATTGGTGTATGCCTCACGAAGTCGTTTGAGGTATTCCTTGTGCTGAGCTATCTGAGTTCTATGACGACAGTTACTCCGGTATGTAATTCCAGGGAACGTCTCTTAGAAACCGAACACACCTCTCATCTCCTCTCTCTAGCAAATCATGCTCCCCCTCGTTGGGGATCTTGTCCCGCCGGCTCGTCGGGCAACAGCCTTGTCTATCGTGTCTTCGGGGCTTATTCTGGGTCTTATCTTCGCTCGTCTACTTTCAGGCATCATTGCAGAATATTCGTATTGGCGAAACATATACTGGCTATCGCTTGCTCTTCAATTTCTCATATTTGCCCTGCTCTGGGTGTTCATGCCGGATTACCCATCGACAAACACCAACATCTCTTACTTCAAAATCTTGTACTCCATCATCGGCTACTACTGTACATCTCCAGTGCTGGTTCAAGCAACATTAATGGGTTTCTTCCTCTCCGCAACATTCACCAGCTTTTGGACAACCCTCACTTTCCTCCTATCCGGAGACCCTTACAACTATCCAACTCTGACAATCGGACTATTCTCTCTGGCAGGTCTCACGCCAATGTTTCTTGGTCCCCTGTTTTCACGATACATAATCGACAAATATGTGCCCCAGCTGTCTATTCTTGTCAGTCTGAGCATCCTGATCATTGGTGTGAGCGTTGGGACCTACATAGGAAGCTTCAGTGTCGCTGGTCCAATTATCCAAGCGGCATTGCAAGACTTCGGTCTACAGATGACTCAAATTGCCAATCGCACTGCCATTTATAGTGTTGCGCCCAAGGCCCGAAACCGAATTAACACTGGATATATGATCGGCGTTTTCTGTGGTCAACTGATGGGTACTTCTGTTGGAAATCGCATTTATAGTGAAGGGGGCTGGACTCTGACGGGGAGTGTCAGTCTTGCATTCATTGGTGCAGCATTGATTATTTGTCTTCTTCGCGGTCCAGCTGAGAAGAACTGGATTGGATGGCATGGTGGTATCAAAATCCGACGAGTGGAATAATTTCCTGTTATTCAAGTCCCTGACAGCTTCATTGATTACAGCCAACAATATCAAGTCACTCTTATATTGGTCAAATGTGTACAGTAATGACAGTATCAGCCCTGATCCTTCTAAATTGGCTATCCCTCGATGAACATTGCCAAGATATATCATATAGCAGGCTTGTACGGAAGGGGTCGCAGTAACCAGTTGGGTGTTTGGGTAAGCTCTTCAAGTTGATAGAGAGCGATCCACAAGGACTTTTACAGGCCCTTGACCGTCTTCAGCGTGTATTCCAAGCTGCCGCCTGACTTCATCTGATTCAAAATAACCACTTTTTCGGCATGGCTAAGTTCTGGCATTGAAGAGAGGCGTCGTCCGCGAGAGGAGATTGCTTATGGACACGAGGTGTGAACAGGGAGAAGAACTCAAACTTGATTGCATAAAGCTTGTCGTCTACTTGGATTGAATAACTCGGTGCCAATCTTATGAAAATCAAAGAAATAAGAGCTCAAAGTTGGAAGAAAATATGAGAGCTTGTTGAAATCTCTTAACAGAGTAGCGTTACCTTCCATAGGCCCCCATTTTCCATCAGATCTAGCTTGCTGTTTGAGATTGCTTTTTTGGCTTCTGTTTTGCTTCTTTTCAATCACAATGCATGGTCTATCACGTCGAAGCTTGCTGTAGTGCAGAATACTTGTAGTCTAGATAGTGAAGCTTGGCTCCCCTCCCCCTTTCCGGAGTACTAATTTCGATTTTATTACTACCTGGGATAACACTTGGTTTGTTTTCTAGGCTTTTTTATACCAAATAGTCAATGCGTTTCTTTTGCAAACGATAGTAGTAGAGTAGCATCTACTCATAGAGACTCACTAGTCATAGCAATGTTTTGTACACGCAAAAGCTCATAAGTATATCTCCAATTGATAGTATACTAGATACTAAGACAATGTACAGTTCTACTTACGTCATATGAGTGTCTGTTAATAAGAGACGCTTTCACATAAGAAAAGCCAGCCATATCATGTACAATGACGTTGGCCAGTTGCATTGTTAATCCGGGGCGTACAGACTAATCTAACAACAACGCTGTTTTCAACTACAAAAGTCTCTTACCAAGATAAACCTCGAGCATACCGTAGTATGATTTTGCATAGTGAGTCCAAGATATATTACAACGTGAATGGTGGCCAACTGTTACCTAGGTACTACGCTAAGATTTCATCTTGGTGCCATGATGTCTGGTTACTGCTTTATGTTCTATGTCCTAATCTATATAATCTAATTTTGCATTTAGTTCAAAGTGTATTCCAAGGTTTATGTAACCACGCAGCAAGATCTGGGGGTGTTGTCATGATACAGGGGTGGAAACGTAGTTCAATACATCTGATCTACATGACATATTAAATGACAAATAAATAAATATTATTAGGCCAAATTGCCCCCAAACGCCAATACTTGCCTAATTATGGAACTTCACTTGTTGGTCATGTTAAATATTTGACATCACCAGCAATTTCACACCTCTCGCTCTGAGATAATAAGCTGATCAGAGAGACTGATGTCATTTTGGGGCAACCCCACTCAGCCAAGCTGAATAGTGACATATGATGTTCTGTTGCTTCTGTTGATAGACTAGCCCAATGCAGTCAAGACTCAAAATACTCCAAAATCATATATTACACTCGGGGTTATCTATGTATATTACATAGCAAGTCTCTTGACAGAAAGACAAGGCAAAGCCATAATCATCGTAGACAAAGCGCGAACACAAAAACTGAAGCAAAAGCCGAAAATGACCAAATGCACAATAAATAAGATACAACGCGCCTTGCTATGCTGATGCAGGGGGGTAAGCCCAACAGAGTAAGCCGGTAAACAAAGAAAATCGGGTGTACCGTCTGAGCATTCCCGCAGATACCGGCAAGAGCCGCCTGTCATACTGGAAATTCGAGAGAACAGAAAGTTTAATGACAAAAGACGCTGCAGGTGCACCGAAGGAGAAATATCCCGGTCCGGAATATGAACTTTGACAGAAGCGCTCGAGCCACCTGTGTAATTTTCTCAGATGACCACGGCGTCTTCGTCCCTGTAATAATCCGCATCGTCAAAAAACACAGCAGACTGGCGCCGCATTTCTTCCATCACACTTCCCCGTCGGGAACTGGGGGTCTGAGGGCGTGATGAGGCTGTTGATTGCGATATGCTATCTGACAGGTCAAGGAAACGCGACTCGCCTTTGTAATTCGAGTCGTCGCGTTCGGGAAGATTGTCATCAAGACGTTCGACCATGAGATCTGACTGCTCATTTTCTGGATTGTGGAGGCGACGAGACAGGACCGGAGAGAGCGAACGCCCACCCGTCTTGGACTCTTGAAGACCTTTCATGATTTCTCTCTCGATCTTCAGTCGGTTCTGAATGAATTGGACTTTGGGGAATGCACTTTGCTGGCCAACATGAATCATGCGGGCGAGCCGCTCGGGACTTGGATCGGAGAGAATATGTATGAAATCGGAAGGAATACTTTTTGGCCAGATAGTCACAGTGCCACTGAACTTTTGTAACCAAATTTCACTCCAATCTTGACCCATGGGCCGTGGAAGGAGCTCCAAGTGCCGAAGAACTCGAAGCCATTTGTTCAGATCGAGTTTTATGTACTGTTCAATTGCAGTGCCAAGGAAACCGCCGCGCCAGCCACGGCCCTTGCGGTGTGTGACTGGTCGCCCTACGGTGCCCCGAGAGCTGAAAAAGAAAAGGTTGATGTGGGGGTTGACCTATGGTGTTGTTAGTGGCAATCTACTGAAACGAACAAAGGTAATCTTACCTGGGACACTATTGTGAAGTTGACGTTGAAATGTAAGTTCAGCGCTTTGATTGGAATATCAGTCCGTAAGCTGCCATCTTTCCACTTGTGTCCAAATGAGTAAGGCGCAAGAGTGCCATCACGCTTTTTGGTCATCAATACGACTGGGTTCAAAATGCCTGGAACAGCCGCTGAAGCAAGCACAGCACTCCATATGACGCAATCAGGACATGTCAGATAATTGGCCAGAATAGTCGGCGAGTGAGGATCTGAGGGCACGCAGGTGACGTTCAAAATGCGCCCGGTCCGTTCGTAAGCTTCTCGAAACGTAGTTGAGCCCCTACAGAACCAGCCGCACTGGCGAGCCCAGTCCACAGTATCGAACCGAGCGCCCGTTCGCCACCAGCGAAGAGCCCAAGTAGCGAGACCTTCATGGCACGCGCGAATCCGATGGGCAAGGGCGGGAACGAGCAGTTGCTTCAGCTCCTCATCTGTTCGAGTTGCCACCAATCCCGCGACTAGTGCTCCCCCTGATGTCCCGGTAATGATTTCTGGTAGGACATCATTATCGAGTAGTGCCTTTACAACCCCGAAGTGATAGTAAGCAAATGTGGCACCACCCGATAAACAGAGAGCGGTGCGTCCAAAGTTTGTATCGAGGTGCTTGAAGAATTGGTACTTGGCGTCCTTGTCGATCTGCTTATTGTCCAAAACAATCTGTACGCAAGCGTGCACCTCGTCGATGTATCCCTGGACTAGCTCCTTGGTTCCCGAATAAGTCTCACTGTATAATCGAGGGTTTTCCACTCCGGCGAAGTTGTTTTTGACGCAAGCCTCCAACAGCGCCCGAAGCTCTTCGACCGCCGGCACTTCACTGGAACCAATTTGTCCATTTTCCAGTTCCCATTCTGCATCCTTCCTCAATTTTTTCAACTGCGCCACCACCTTGTTGATTGTAAGGTGGTCATAATAGGCGTATTCATCTGTTTGTTTCCACTTTTCGGTGCCGAGATGGATATCCAACGCTTGTGCCGCTTTCAACCAATCTGGGTAGTTCTTCTGGGAAGAAAGCTCTCGGCGTAGCCGTTCCCTCTTACCTCGCCATGTCACCCACTGCTCATACAGGAAAATGTAGACACGGATCAGCAAGTAGCCAAAGCTCAGTACTGTAATCCATGTGAAAACAGTGAACAGGAGTGGCCATTTTAAGACGGTGTATAGCACCCCTTCCCTCGTCTCATCCTTACTTCGCTTGGGATTCTTGCGACGGCCACGGCTTTTGCGAACTCTCTGATTGATTGGGCGCCAGTCGTTGATAGCCACTAGCGGAGAGGCTTCTGGTGCATTCAACGCCCTCTCGAATCGGTCGAGTTCATCGGGTTTAATGAAGTCGCGGTCGTAGTCTGGTAGGCCGGACGGATCGTAAGAGTCATATGTAGGGTTCTTCTCATCGGACATGTTCAATACATGTTTGAGTATAAAAGATGTGAGAGTTCACAGCTAAAGGTACATAGGTACCTGGAAGCCGGTTGGGGAAGCTGATGACGTTGGTAGTCACGTGTAGACTATCCCCAGAATGTGGCTAGTGAATTTCCGAAATTGAAATAGCTCCTTTTATTGCCCCACCAGATAAGAAAATCAAATCAAATGCCTCGGCACAACATCAATCGACCATATTTGTTGTCTAAGAGTTTCTAAATTCTTGCCCCTTATACAAACAATTTTTATGCTAATACCTAGGTACGACCTTTTTAGTATGAGTGCTCTATATGTTGGCCCACCAGATGATATAGATATATCTGGGTATCTCTACAGCAATTGTAAAGAACCCTTTTGTATTCAAATTGAAACCTCAAAGACACAGCACAAGGTTAATGCGCAGTTGGCATATAATTATCGCAATTCTTATAATTTCATACTTGAATTTTGCCTCTGGATTTTCCTAATCAAGACATATGGGGGAACTTTCAGTTTCACTGTCCAAAACAATACTTCCTCTCAATCAGAACTAACATCGAAACCTGGACCCTTTACTCCAACATAGCGTCGCATAGAGATCGCAAGAGTGCAGATACTCGGTGGACATCATGCTACCACAATATTTTGCGGCATTTGAGTACGACAGTGCCGCTGGCTGTGTGACGGTATTGGGGAAATTGGAATGTACCCCTCCACGCACGCCCCGCGCAATTGACATTCCTCAATATGAAGTATTATCCATTGGCCAAGGGCGGATCATCGCGCCCTTGTCTCAAAGCATACCCGAGAATTACTTTCATCCCGGGCTCAATGAAGCACACTCTATCTCACCGCTATATGGTCGGTAGCGCGAATCTCGAAGAAGATATGAGTGTCCTTTCCTGATTGGTAGGCGTCTCGGTAGAGTTTGTTTGTTACAGTCGAATTGGAGGTGCAGGAAAGAATCCCATGGGTTGGTGGCGGGGTTAATAATATTTCTCTAGCCGCATGCACCAAGGACCAGGAAATGCCCTGTGCTCGCGATATCGGACATATAACAGCAGATCGGATATTAAGCCACCTTTTTATATTATACACAGAGAAGCGTCATTAGGTCACCTGATTTGATACTACGGCTCCTAATTCACATATTTAGGATGATTTGCAGGCGCTAGAATCCTTAGCGTCGCACAGAGGATGCAGGAAGAGTCCCTAATTAGGCTCGTTTGAGAGAGTATATTCCGGACGCTTTTTCCATTTGTTCATGTTCGTCCTCGACGCTGATCATGTTGATCATCTTGCTAAATCCTTAAATGCAGATGCCAAAAAGCAAACATGGCGCAAGCCATCGCTTTTCATTGCCACTTGCGATCCCACACTCGGTTATACCAGCAGAATCTACAACAACTTGGGTACGCGATGCTTGCCTTGAAGCGAAACACCAGACAAAACTGGTAAAAAAGATTTATTATCTATTTTGCGCGGTAGCCGATTGATTTACTGAGTTGCGTTAGCCTTTGTGACAACCCTGAACGTGCCGCGGGCGCCGAACTTAAGTGCGGGATGAATGTCAAGGTTCCCATGTTCTCTCCAATGCCCCGCTCGCTGGAGTCAAGAAGCCTTGGCGCTTGGGTTATCTTCAAATACCCCGAATCAGGAGTCCCCATTTGGCTCCATGCAGATCATGGATCTTCTATCGCAATGTATTGTGGCGTTACTAGAGAAAAAATAATCTCCCCGCTTACGAAGTTAACAACAGTATGTACTCCCCGACATGAACAAAAAAAAAAGAAAGAAAGAAGTTCAGCGAGCCACATTTGAGTCTTTGCAAGGACTTGCATCAGCAAATGACCATGCAGTGTCTCACCCAATGAGCGGGCTCTCCTACCATATCAGACTGCGCGCTTAGAAAGACCGCCCGAGGGTGGGAAAAAAAACGTCTTCGGATCTCCGAGGCCGGGAAACGGCCGAGGACATTTACTTGGAGCTAATTTTACTTGGTCATCATTGTTGTGCATAAATCGTGGTAAATAGAGGGATAGGGGGATACGATGTAGATCAAGATGATGGCACATCATGTGCCCCCCTCCCCCTTGGCTATGTCAAAAGGTGTAATTTCCATGTGTTGAACATTCTTGGGGATTTGGAGGGGCATTCAGCCTTGGTCGGCTAGAAACGTTGTTGGTTTGTTGAGCTTACCCAAAAAAAAACACAAAATGCGCTGCAATGGCACATACATATGCGCATCAATACTCATAGACACAGCTCAATAACGGCAGGGATACTGCTAACCTCCTCGCATGAAAAATGCAGCGTTGTATGCAGTGAGGCTGGGGTCTCAAGTTGAACCGAGCGTTTTGCGGCGTTTAAATTTTTTTGGAATGTTAGCTTTCAATAACATGGCCTCTAACAAACAGTTTGACCCCGCGGCCCAGGATCTGTCGCAGGGATAGGATAATATCATGGCAAATTACTATAAAATCTAAGTTTGATGCATTCAGCCAGATACTTTTATGAAACATTTCAGACCAATATGAATCCATGGTCAATACAATACATACATACATCTATGCATCTAGGGAGAGATAAAATACTCGACAATAAGATTTTAGAGATTAGAGATGAAGGGATGATGCCGAACCACGGTTCAGTAACCGTACTTTGCCGTTTTCAATCGAGGCGGTGTGAAGTTGACACAGAAGTGAAGAGTCAACCCATGGAACCATAAAATCTGAGTTATATTAACTATACAATATAAATCGTATGAAGAGAGGTTGTCCCATTGATGTCATCGGATATCCATTTCCTATCCTAATTTTCCATTTCTCGGAACGCCAGACGTCAGTGCGAGCTGACTGACTGGGACGATCTTCAGATAGCGTAATTTCGAAATTAAATTCATCGCTGATTCGCCAGTTCATAGGGGTTCATCACGATATGGCGCCAACCAAAATCCCCTACAATATTATATTTACTCTCATTCTCGCTGACTTTCCGAATGACTGCCTCCACTATTGCCATTTTAAGGAGAGGAAGGCATCCTACTAGTATGCAGATATCCTCCCATGCATGTGCGCCCCACCAATCGTGTGCCTCGTGCGATCACTCGCTTCCTCCTAAACCCTCATTTGGTCGCCTGCACCCCCTTCAGCGCTTACAGATGACCAACAGCATCTTCAGCAAGGGCACGGATTATGAGTCGTACTCTGGGGCTTAAGAGTAAATGAAAAATATCAAATAAAAAAAACAAAGCAAAAAGCGGGCCAACGGGAGCACGGGGCAACTAGACCAGCTCTCGGCATTCCCACCCGGTCTGCATCGTGGGCTGAAGTTGCCTGCGTGTGGCTGCGTCGGAGATTGATCAACAAGTCGCCACCAAGATGGGATTCATGACAACTTTCATTTATGTCCTTATGAGGAGGGAGGGGGAGTGTGTGGGTTTCATGATGCATGAATTGGAAGATGCTAAATTTTTTTTTGCTACCGACGATCAAAGAGAGCCCCTCGGTACAGGACCCACCGATAGGATATGGTGTGAGTTTCCTTGCTCAAGATCGGCTCAGAATGTTGACGCTCTGTGCAATTTTCTTCGAAAATTTCTATCATGTACGCATTGTTCAATTCATGCAGGATCAAATCCATGTACTAACCACTGTTAAATCCCGAATGAGTATCAATTTTTGAAGTCATCGTGAACTTTCAATTTTTAGATAGACGCGGGAGAAGTGTCGAACTAAAATCCCAGGCACCTCCCCCATAGGCTCGCCACTCTTAGGTGCAGCGTTAGCAGCGAAATATTATTTATATTAGTGATGGCTATACGGTAATATATACTAAGGGTAGCATGTTGCGTATAGATTACTTTGACAGGTCAAATTTTTGCGAGTTCGAGAATATAAATCTACCACATTGTATAACTAAATAGGTAAAACGGGATTTCGGACAATTGCGTACAAAGTATAATGAAAGATATGTAAAGGAGAAATTAAATCCAATAAGAAGCATATCAGACGACTGGGAAATATCTCAGCTGATTTTCAGAAATTATATTTATATAAACATTTGAACGTAATTACACTGTATATTGCGTACATCTTCTGTATCTTTTGTATTGTGTTATCTGGATAAGCCGTATTATTATTATTTAGTCGTTACCCCGTGCCACCCTCTTACTCTTCCCTCACCTTTTGTCATTCCTTTTTGGATTCTGTTTTGAGGTAACAAGAGGTTGGAGGTTGAGTTGTTTGACTCATTTCTTTTTCTTCAGGTATGATCTCTCCTTAACTGACCTTCCCCTGGACCCTCTCAAATCCCCCCGATGAGACTCATCAATTTCAACGCTTCCAGTGCTAACCCTCGCATTTAGAGTCTCGATTGCTCGATCTTTTTTTCTTCCTCTCCTATCATCACTGAAACTCGGTCGGGTTGCACAAGCAAGATGTCGAGTACATCTGGCAATATCTGTTGAGCATCCATCTTCAGAATTCTCCCGGTCTACCACTGGAAAACCCCCTCCCCGCTGGCACTATGGAGAAATTAAACACTGGGGATGGACAACTTTTCATCAAGGTTTGTACTTTCAAGTACAGCAGTCATATGAATTACTGCTACTTCTATCGGGTTCACTTTGGTTTTGTTGATAGCTAACGTTGATGTTTGCCTCAGAATGTCGCCAGCTATGTTCGCACTCATGAAAAGGCGCTTGCCAATGCGCTACAACTCCGTCGCCAACCCACCAAAAATGCGATCCCACAGTCACCCAGCGGTCCATTGACTCCTGGTAGTTCCTTTGCTTCCACTTCGTCTACTCTGGCCGCGGCCTTCTCGTCCGCAGCATTGAAATTCATGTCACAGAACGTTAAAACCGCCAAACTGACATTGACCCCCCACCACCTTTTCTACCTCCTCTCCCAATTCGAAGAACTCAGCATTGCTGTGGGCCCTATGAACATCCGACTGGAGAACATCCACACCGAGGTTTCACAGTCCTATGTTTCCTTCCTTACTAAACCCCAACAGTCCCGGGGCGATGGGGCCTCTATCCATTCTGTTTCCAGTGTTCGTAGTGTTATGTCTGGTATGACCGATCTCTGGTCATCTTTTCGCCTTGGTTCTAGGGATACTCCTTCCAAATCGGATAGGGCCAAAGCCGCCTTGGAAATGGACCTGAAGTACTTGTACTCTGCTTTCACCAAGATCCCGTGTTTACGCCTTGCCCCTGACCACCGAGCTCCTTTGATCAGTGGATATGAAGAGTTCCCCTTCGATACGGCTGTGCCATTGCATTCCTTCAAGAATTTGAGCGCTTTAGAGATTATTGATTTAGACTACCGTTCTTTCTATGGCTGGGACCGATTGTCCGAGCAGCTGCGCACCTTGACCCTCAAGAGAGCCCACTTGGATGACCCTGCTGATCTTTTGACGAGGATTGTGTTGGACGATATCGACAAGCGACGTCGACGATCTGCCAAGTCTCAACAATCGCCAACGCTAGGATGGACCGGCGGTTCCAACACTCAGCCGGTTCACACGCCCGACCAGACCAACTCACTTTCGGCGCCCGGATCTCCTATGGCGGACACAGCTTTCGGAACCAGTACTAGTCCTAAGTCGCGCCCCATGATACGAGGAGGATCAGAAGATGCCATGGCCCGTACTCGAGCAGGAAGTATTTCGCCAACTCGTCCGGCCACGAAGCATGGCCACCGTCGGGGTCAGTCTCGACAGATAAGGCGCACTGGCTCTGCGAGCTCCGAGTCGAGTGAGCTCTCTCGAAATGGAAGCTCTTCAAACCTTCTGGCAGACGTGCTGTCACCTTTGAAGTGGCGGTTCCTACGACACCTGGGTCTTCCAGAAAACTCCCTGACATCCGTCTCCGCTGCCAGCCTTGCCCCTGTGGCCAACAGTTTGAACTCGCTTGATTTGTCCTCGAACCTTTTGACAGAGATTCCAGACGGTCTGGCATCACTAGTGGCATTGCGGGCACTTAATTTGTCGCATTGCATGATTGATTCTCTCCACTCCCTCACCCGCAACCCACTACCTGCGATCACCGTGCTTACTCTTCGCGGAAATCGCCTGCGTTCACTCGCTGGAATTGAGCGGTTGCTCTCTTTAGAAAGATTGGATCTCCGTGACAACAACCTGACAGATCCGACAGAGATTGCACGACTAACAAGCCTCCCTGAAATAAGAGAGATTTGGGTGTCTGGTAATCCATTCGTCAAAACTCACTCGGGATATCGAGTTGTGATCATGAACCTCTTCCGCCGAACGCCTGGATATTCCGAAGACATCATCATTGATGGTAGAGGTCCGGGCTTCACCGAGAGAAAGCAGCTTGTCGACCGAGTTGCAGAACCTCAAGCCGCACCGGTTGTGCGTTGCAGTCCGGCAGATGAATCAATGGTTGTACAAAAGTCTACCATCTCCAAAGTTCCTCACGACCTTGCGGCTTTAAAACCTCAAGAAGACGAAGGAGATTTGCATTTGAATGGCTTGCAGCGGAAAGAAAGCGACGGAGGTACCAATCGTCGCAAAAAGCTTCAACGGCGCAGAATAGTTGACATCTCGGTCGACAACCCCTTCACCACAGACGGATTGGGAAATTCAGGAAGCAAACCTCTTCCGGCTCTTCCCGTCCAGCAAATCCAAGCCCCAGCCGATAATCCGATTGTCATTCCTGTTGATCAACCGTGGAGGTTGGACAGCGGAGCGCAATCCGGATCTTCAAGCATCCAGAGTCCAGCAAAGCATATGCATTCACCGAGTCCTACTCTTGTACCGTCTTCACAAGGCAAGGACAGGACCATGGACGAGGAGTTCTGCCGCCAGCAGCTAGAAGTCCTTCGTCAGGATATGGGCCATAACTGGCTCACTGTCCTCGGCGAAAATGATTGGGATAACTCCCATAAAGACTTCGCTCACAGCTCAGGGGCAGGTTTAGACCATTCCGCACACATTTCCACCCCACCTATCACCCGCTCAAACACCCAGGTCATCTTGAGCGGACATGCGCTTAGCGGATAAAAAAATCGCCATTCTTCATTCGCCGTTCTCGGCCCATAATATCCTACGGGGACTCCTTCCATCTCAATTTTCGCCCCATAATTCCCCGGAGTCTCCCTGTCATGGATGTGACGAACCCCTTCCTCGGCGGGTTCGTCTTTTGTTTCTCTCTTCAGTACGGGAATTCCCGTTATGAGCTCGACTCATTTGAACAACATATTCAGCATGTCACAAGCAGCTGGCCATTTGATGCATTGTTTTTCGGCGTTGGATGACTTACGAGCCATGGTGGGTTGGATGTATGAACTATTTACGACCGTCTTTGATCTTTGATTTCCCTGCACTGTTCAACGTCCATCCCATTTCTCTTTTCAAAACGATGTGGCGATGTTATGTTTTGTGATTGGAAGGCCAAGTGAAAGACATTCTTCTTGTTTTCTTTTTCGGTCATAGCGTTGTATTGTATGCTTTCCAATTTTCGGGCATGTTGGCGTTGGGAGGATTGTCTGATTTGTTTAATTCCCCTCTTGTTTCTCTCTGTGGTTTTCTCCGGTTTCGTTTCTTTTTAACGATTCCTTTCTCTGCCATGATCTCTATATGTGAGCAGATATGGACTTTTGGGTCCATTAGAGAATTATACCCATTATTTTGGAGAGTGTTTAGTCCAACGTACATATGTAGGCTCTGTAGATTTGCAGATTTGGAGATTTGTAGATTGGACGATATGCAATAAGGATTATCAGCATACAAAGACATTATCACAATTTAACAACGATATCCATATCGATCTAGACTGATTCTATCAAGTATACAGCTATGTAGTTTAGCTTTGTTTTCGTGCTTGGACCCCATTTGGCGTCGAGTCGTTGTAGTCTCGACCCTCGAACGCCCAAACCCCTCCATGCAGGCAGATTTTTTGCATGTAGACTAGTCTAAGCGTTAATCAATTTCACGTACCAAACAGAGGAAGAAGAAATAGAATAGACAGAAGAGAAATAAAGAAAAGAACCATCAATAATATAATATAAAATAATATAGTAGATGAATTCTATATATAACCCTTGATAGGGAAGACCAAACACGCGCAAACACAAACTTCCCGCTTTCTTCTCAGAAAAGATTCTCCTCTTCTTTTCTTCTCCTCCACATCTTCTTTTTTTTTCTTGATGATTGTTTTGAGCTGATCTGACAATTCTCTGTCCGAATTCTTTTTTTTAATTGATTGAGATCTTCTTTCTCACTTTCCTCCCGATCAACCCGGCTCCTTTCCATCAAATCGAATCTTCTCTTTCGCTTCTATCGCTCAGCCTCAATCTCCTTCTCCCTACTGAGGCGTCTCAAGGAGCAAAATCCCGCTTCTCCCTGCTTTCTCTACACCACAACTCGGATAGGTTCTACCGTCTACAACCCTCATTTGGCGCCTTTGCCAAATTATATCTTTTTCGCGGCCGTTGGGGCCCTTCTTAAGGTCAACTTGATCTTGTAATTCTCTGTTTGGTAGGCCATTCCTCCATCTTTTTTTTGTTGTTCATGTACCCGTTGCTGCATCGCCCAACACAATCCCACCGCCAAAGGGGGAAGAAAAATCAACGGAAGAAAATCTCGAGCGCGTTCTTTCGGGTTCACCTCATTTGGGAATTTGGAATGCAGACTGGACTTCATTTCAATCGGGCACATTTGATTAACCTGTTTTTCTGATAGTAACAGGACAAAACCGCCGCGTCATCAAATCTCTGCTATCCTCAACCGATCGCTCCGGAAGTCTCTCTTCCACTCGCGTTCCTTCGCCTCTTCTTTTCATACCTATTTCTTTCTTTCTTTCGTGGTTTCGTTAGAGGTTTTTCGTCATGGCCGATCAAGAAGTGGATTTGGACTCAATCATCGACCGGCTCTTGGAGGTGAGGGGTAGCCGCCCTGGCAAGCAGGTTCAGTTGCTCGAGTCTGAGATTCGTTTCCTCTGCACCAAGGCCCGTGAGATTTTCATCTCTCAGCCTATTCTCCTCGAGCTGGAAGCTCCCATCAAGGTAAGCCGAGTTTCTGTGTCCGAACGATCCGTTGAGGTGAACCCGGCCATCTAACGCGCCTTTTCCCCCTTAGATCTGCGGTGATATCCACGGCCAATACTACGACCTTCTGCGTCTCTTTGAATACGGCGGTTTCCCCCGGAGGCTAACTATCTTTTCCTCGGTGACTACGTCGACCGTGGCAAGCAGTCTCTCGAGACCATTTGCCTTCTCCTTGCCTACAAGATCAAGTACCCCGAGAACTTCTTTATTCTGCGTGGAAACCACGAGTGTGCCTCAATCAACCGTATCTACGGCTTCTACGATGAGTGCAAGCGCCGATACAACATCAAGCTCTGGAAGACTTTCACCGACTGCTTCAACTGCCTTCCCATTGCTGCCATCATTGACGAGAAGATCTTCACCATGCACGGTGGACTGAGTCCCGATCTCAACTCTATGGAGCAGATTCGCCGTGTCATGCGCCCCACAGATGTAAGTTGTGCTCCCGTTTGGTCCTTATTACCCACCCTGGTGGATTTGGTTCGGTTCGCAGCGAAGAGAATATGGCAGTGGCATTGTGGCGCTAGATTCACGGCTGAGAGCCATCGCTGACTTAAACAGATTCCTGACTGTGGCCTCCTCTGCGATCTTTTGTGGTCCGACCCCGATAAGGACATCACCGGCTGGAGCGAGAACGACCGAGGTGTCTCATTCACATTCGGCCCCGACGTTGTTTCACGCTTCCTTCAAAAACACGATATGGATCTGATCTGCCGTGCACACCAAGTCGTTGAGGACGGATACGAATTCTTCTCCAAGCGCCAGTTGGTTACACTATTCAGTGCACCCAACTACTGTGGTGAATTCGATAATGCCGGTGCTATGATGAGCGTGGACGAGAGTCTGCTCTGCTCCTTCCAGGTGAGTTTTACAATTTCTTTTCCTTTTTGTTTCCCACAAAACTTTCCAAGAATCAGACTCTGACCTGTCTTTCTTTCTCAACAGATCCTGAAACCAGCCGAGAAAAAGCAAAAGTACGTTTACGGTGGCATGAGCGCCGGCGGTCCCGTCACTCCGCGAAAGCAAAAGAAGAAATAAAGAATCAATACGAGCTTCCCCATTGCAGCAGGTTCGGGCGGAGATAAGCCTTCACAAATCTCATTTACAGCGCCCTCATGACATCCTCCCTACAACCCCCGCCGCGAGTCCCCCCGGATCCACGAAATCGATGAAACGACCGAGGAACCCCTCATCCGCACCCAGGGCAGCCCGATATCCATAAACTTCGCAACCCCCGATAATATCACAGTTTCATTCTCCATCTCCCGCCACAACCGGGCCCCCAGTGCGACATGCGATTAAAAAAATACCAGTTTCTCGTCATTTCCTGGCCCGATCCGCGCGACCTCTGTACTTCCGGAGCGGAGTTCAAATGCTTATTTTTTTCTTTCGACTTTCTTTGTTTCCGTTACTAACCATCTGGATCTGGATTGTTTCCTTTCGGCATCCTGGAACGGGGAGGGGGGAACGGGGTATTTTTTCTTCTTTTTTTTTTCTTACTTCTTATTGTCGTGCTCTTGACCTCATTTGTTCCTGTTTTCTTACCGAATTCTATCCGTCTATCTCATCATCTCGCTCCCATTCCGCTCATGGGTCTAGGGTAACGGTAGTTGTTCTTTCTGCCATATCCTTGGGCCTCGTATATCGCCGAGTCGGTCTTTACAGGAAGGAGCAGGAACTAAGAACTTGTTTGTGTCGGGGCAAATGTGGTTTTGGGGGTCCGAGATTGTCATTCAAGTCGCAGTCGAACTACGTAGGCTGAGAGATCTAAAAATCGCCCTCCTGATAAGATACAGCGTCATCCTTGACGGTTATTGAGTCCATCTTCGTTGTCATGTTATACATCCATGGATAGGATTGGCATTAGAGATAAGGCTCAACTAGACGTGTGGGTGCTTTCGTGTGCGGGTGTTTACATATAGGCTACAGGATGGTAGGAGCACTAAGGAATGGAGTGAATCACGTCTTTAAACAATAGTATCCAGAAAAAACCGGCCAGCTAGCGGAGCAAACAAAAGCGCAAAAGGGGCGAGATTTAACAGGCGTGACAAGAGTACATCGTTGCCGGGCGACACATTCAAGACGTACTCCGGGTAACGGGGTCAATAAGAGGGTTATTTATGTGATAGTTAGAAAATTGCCGAATCAATCAATGTACGCAAAGGAACGGTGATTTTGGCCAGAAAGTGGAGGGTTGTTCGAAATTTGGAAGCCAAGGCCTATTGCATTCAACTTGTTGAAATGGGCCAACATTACGAAAGCAACTGCCAAGCGCGTGTTGGTAAGGGTGGTGTCGGGGACATGCGTTCCTAGTTCCAGGGTTTGGGCTGGACTTAGACATATTGGGACAACCATCTGATACCCTCGCCGTATCCTATAAGCAGAAAACAAAAATTAGCCAAGACCATCCAGTCTGAAGTCTGCTAGAGTGCATTCTTCAATCACCACAGCCCACTTGTATGGGCTGGGCTGGGCTAGAGCGCAATGTCGGAGGGAAAACTCACCCTGTCGCATCACAACACTGCACATGAAGACCTCGATGGGCCGGATGCCCTCGAGAGGGACCTTGCCCTTGCCAGTAGTCTGGTACAGACCAAGCTGGTGGCGCAGCTCATCCTCGCTGACGGCATTGGGGTGGTCGATCTTGTTTCCGAGGACCAGGAAAGGAACTTTCGCTAGGTCCTCCATGGCCAGAAGGGCGTCCAGCTCGACCTTGGACTCGGCGAAACGCTCGACATCGGTCGCATCGCACAGGAAAACAATTCCTGATACTTCGGGGAAGTAATCCTTCCAGAGGCGGCGGGCTGCGGGAAAAAGTCAATTCTCGGTCCATTGGAATGTTTCTCGCGCATCATGGTAGATGGGGTCGTGGGATTCACTCACCCTGCTGGTGACCACCCAGATCGAAGGTGGTGAAGCGGTTGTTGCCGATGGCGAGCTCCTCGGAGGTGGGGTGTGCGGTGGGCTGGAGAACGGCGACACGGTCGTTCTATTGAATGCGCTTGTAAGTAACTGGCTTGTTCCCACATGTCCCACCGTTCAACTGGATCCATGCTCCATGCAGCTCCGGGACCGGTGTCTGACGATTCCATGAACCAATTAGGCGTATGTGTTCTCCTCCATTTCACCAACTCACCTTCAGCATGTGCAGAAGCGTTGTCTTTCCGGCATTGTCCAGACCTAAGACCAAGTTAGCCTAAGAGGGTCCTGTCTCGCTTGATAAGCCGAACTTACCGAGGAAGAGCAATTTAGCGCTTTTCGTCACCAGGCCGAGCGACGAAAGGATATCGTAGACTAGAAAGAGCAATGTCAGTAAGGTTTAGCAGGTACCTTTGTAGGTAGAGGCGGATCATAAGCCCGCAGCCGAGGGAGCAGCGGCGCATAAGTCCGCAATGGGTGAAAGAGCGACAAGCATCCAGATGACACAGCAAAATGGTCCCAGTCTGTGTAGGGTCTTTTCTTGTTGTGTCGACCATTCTCGGGTGCTCGGTGTGGTTTCGGGGAGGAACTTACACCAGTTGACAATCCACATGGTGAAGGGACGTCAGAAAAGAATCGAGGGGAAAAGTCGAGAATAAGCGGAGATCACAGATTTGAATCGGTGAATAGGTGACCGAGGAGACGGGGATGATTCAGGGTGGAGAGAGATAGAAGCAAAGAAGACAGGTTTGATGTTGTTTTCGGGGTTTCGGGTTGTGGCCTTAGGCACAAAGACGGAATCACGGCGCAGTACGATTTAGTCGGGTTGAGACTTCACTCGAAATGGACTTGATTTGGGCTGATTTGGTTGACCTTGGGTTTAAAACCTTGGGACTTAATAGTATGCTGCTTATAGGCCTTTGCTGTAATTGCACTCGAAAGCACACCGTGACTGGTAACTTTGGAACTACAGTACATATGTACTTCTTACTTTATCACCCTTACTTTTTGCTGTGGCAACACATCTTGCCACTGGTACTTGGCCTTGTCGTGAGGTACTTGTTTATGTTTTACTTTTTACTGTAGTCAAAGGTATAACAAATATATCTAGGATATTTCATATTCACTCTCATCAAACTGATGATCTCTTTATTCACAATGCAGAAAAGCCAGATAGGGGGTATATGCACCGCAACCATGCAACACAACAAAGGAAGCAACCTCCAGCAAGTCCATAGGACCGCAGACGAGAAAAGAGAGAAAAGAAAGGATATAGATAAACTTCCGACAGAATTTGCAAAGAATGAACCACCTCCGTGTAGGCATTAGAAAAAGGGTGAAAGGATAAAAGAAAAAACCACTCGTGTGGATAACACAAAGTAGGTAAATATGTGACAGAAAGCGAAAGGCACTCGGATCGCTAACCGAGCAGGGTAAAGCAAATAGACCCCCAAGCCAGAAAGATATAGGCTGACAAAGAAAACAAAAAGTAATAGGATATATACAGTCCAAAAAACGGGAGGGGTGGAACAACTTTCAAGCAAGCTCCTTTGGGGGAGACTAAACGGATAGGACGAGCTGGGCGTCTTGACCGACGCCATAAGCTCTGCACCTCTCAGCAACTTCGAGGCCAAGCTCCTTCATCCGGTGAGCTCCATGGCCAGGGACAGGCCGTTTGCCCATCTGCTCTTTGGCAGCTTTGCGGCAGTGTTGGCGCCAGAACTTTTCTTTGCGTTTCTGGCGCTTTTTCTCGAGCCCTTCGACGATGTCGACTGGGCCACGAGTGTGTAGTTCACGAGTACGTGAGTGTTCGCGCTCTGGCGATTCGGATAATGCGGGGATGCCTTTCCAGCGGTGATCTTTATCAAGACCAGTGAAGAAGGGGTTGGGTGTGCGGGGGAGGGACTTTGTGCGGACCATCGTGCGACGCTGGACCAGGTGGCTGATGTTCAGACCCTCGGGGGACTCAATGACAGGCATCTCTTCAGTGAATTCCCACTTGGCCGGGGTGGGTGACTTGGCTCTCAGTGGTGGGGGAGGAGATCTAAGACGCTTGGGGGAGATTCGGCCTGCACGACGGGGAGGTGGGGACATCAGGCGCTTGGGGGAGTGTCGGGGAGAGTTCTTGCGGGCGACAGCATCCGTACGTCCACGGCTAGATTCGGATGGAACGTCGGAAAGCTCCTCCTCAGATGGCTCGAGGTCTTCGTTGTCCTCCGGGTCGCTGGTGGGGAAGCTGGGGTCGATGTCTTGCGGGATAAGCACTTGCTTTGCGAGACGCTTTTGCTCCAGGCAGGATTTGTAGGCAGCTTCGAGAGGACGGTCCTCATCGAGTGTTCCACAAACAAAGTCGGTGCTGTCCGGAAGGTTTGGGGTACGAGGACGAATCCTGATGCTTTTGGAGATCTTTATAGAGCGACGGTAACCCATTTGCACTGGAGCAGGGAGCCAACTCGAGTGGTCATCGGTCATAGAGTCAAATGATGTATTCGAAGCGCGGCGTTCCATAGTGGGGCGTGGTTCGATAGGTTGACTGGTAAGTTCGGGAATAGCCAACGCCGGGGCCCAAAACTCATAATCTGAGCCTTCACCATCACTATCATCGGACTCTGCAAATCCAGCCTCGTTGTCTGATTCATTGCCGTCATCGGAAGAAAAGTCGTGCACAGTCGAGTCGTCGTCCGCCAGGTCTTCCACATCATCATCTTCCTCATCCAGCGCCTCTTGTTCCGCCTGTTCGCCGAGTCGTCGAATTGCCATTTCCTTCTTCATGCAGTCGTTTAAAGTGATCTTTTCCGTGTAAGCAGGCTCGTTGGTCACCCATTCGTCGTCTTCGTCCATGGAACTGGCAAATTCGTGGAACCGAGTTGCTTCGGATTCCTCGAACTTTCCCAAGCCACTAGTCGATATAGCTTTGATGTCAGTGGACGCAGAGGCAACGTTCTCTCTAGGAACCTTCTTGGTGTCCTTCGAGTCAGGAGATGACTTGCGAATAGCAGGCGCAGGGGAGCCACGGCATCTCGGCCGGAACGAGACCTTGCGAGCCGGAGATCGCTCTCTTTGCGTAACGGTTTCACGTCCCGGGCATACAAAGGTCAGAGTGGTTTTGCGCTTGAGAGGCTGAACCGGGGCTTCTTCCGGTTCTTGGTGGGGTTCTTGGGCCTTTGGTGGAAGTGTTTGTGACGCAGAAGGTGAGACGGGAGTGGTTGGCTCTTTCTGGTTATCAGTCTTACGACCACAAGCAAAGCTGATGCATCGCTTGCGACCCAGGTTGGCCTCAACAGTGTTCTCGCTGGCGTCTATGACCTTCACTTTTGGGGGGGAATCCCTCTTTCCCATCATTGCTGCCTTACCCATCATTTGAGGAGGCAGGGGTGGGCTAGGTGTGTTGGATAAAGATGGACTTGTGAGGCCGCCATCGCTGGTGAGTTCTGCTGTTGAAATGCCAGACATGTTGCTGTGAGGGTAGGATCGGTACATGTAAGAGTTGTGGAAAGAAGCGTGTGGGTCTGTAGGAGACATCTCTGGGCTGCTCTTCAATGCGCGAGTGAGCAGAGATTCTTTGCGGTCCACAGTTGGCCGCGTGAGGCGGATCTGATCGGAGTTCATTTGGGTGGCGTGCATGCGGTGGTCGGGGGGCTCATCGACGTCCTCGGTCAGGTCAGCCTCCTCTTGGGCCGCCTTTGTAGAAACGTTGGGTGAAAGAAGCATCTTCAAAAGGTTGTGGAAAGAAAACGGTCTTTCTCCGTATCGAGGCTGGGCCATAGTTCAAAGGAGGAAAAGAAAGGTATAAAGTAAGATTCCGAAGAGGGAGAGGCGAAGTGGCGTAAGCTCGAGTCAAAGGGTAGGGTACGATGTTGCTTGAAGGACAAATTGAAGTCTTTCAATCAACGGATGCTCTCTTGATATCAATCGTTAAATCGATCGACCTGGAGGGCAGAACAAGATGTCCCGTACGAGGACGCTTGTCATGATATAAAACGCATGGCTAGAGAAGGGGTTCGTTGAGGCGAAGTAAGAGGAGACGCTCGCCAAGATCGATAATTGTCTTAAGAATGGACACTCAATGTTGAAGGCGTAGACTAGATCTCTTGTCGAATACCTCCGAGTTTGTCGAAGGCCCGTGCTTTGAAGATTTGTAGAAAGCAAGAATGTCAAAGTCTTGCAGACCTGAAGAGCTGAAGTACTGAAGAACTAGATGTTTGGAGTGGAGAGTCGAAAATAAGTAAAAGGGAAAAAAGGAAGGGGAAGTTTGGGGAATATCAAAATAATAAAGAGAGCATAGAGAAATTGCTCTTGTCTTTTGGAGGGGGAGGAGTGGGAGTGACGATACGGCACTTCGGCACTGTCGTTTTCGGACTAGTGTCGTTATTTAAAAAAAAATGAAATTTTTTTTTCACGTTTTTTTTGAAAAGATTTTCGTTTTTAATTTTCAATTTCTTTTTTCGAAACTTCATACTTTCCCTGTTTTAATTTTTGCACATTTACCCGCCTATTACCTGACTTTACCTGACTTGATGGTACTTGGTGTTAAGTACCCAGCCCATTTTCCTACCTCTCCTTTCCCTTTTTCATTACCATAAATTACTAAGTACATATCTAATACCCCCTTTAATTCTGACTAAGGAGTTTCGCCAAATGTCCACCCCCACAGAGGTCTATGGTTCCTGCGCTACTCCTACGTTGTACCATACTATGTTGTGTTTCGCTTTTTTTCTTTATTTCTATCTATTCCTATAGTTATGATACCAATGGGCTATTCTAGTACAATATTTCTTTATCTTAATTGAATGAAAGTACTATAATTATATATCAAAATTGACCTAGAGAAGAATTATCAATGTTAGGTTTTGATGACTATTGTGTGTTGAGTTGGTGGACTAGATATGAGGGATTTTGTGTTGGCACTAAACCTGATCAGGGCCCTTTTTCGACCCTCACATTGAACCCCCATTCATAAACCTGACCTATACTCACAGTGTGAATCCACTCCACAATGCACTTATACATACGTTGCCAACACAGCGGTGAATCTGCTATTAGGCGATAAAATCTCTACTCAAACCAAATATACAATTATATTCACCGTGGAGTACTTATTAGGCATTTAGGTATGGAATTTTGCCCGTAAGATTTCTCTACAATGTAATATGTACCTCAGAAAGATCGATCGCCACGAGGCGTATAGGTATGGTAATATCATGGTTACGATGGCAGTTAATAGTTTAGTCCGGTGGTATGGAAATTACCACTCGCCGATTGGGGTGCCTGAGTGGTGCCGAGCCGTTAGCCTTGGCCGAAATTGCCCTAAAACTACTCCGTAGGGGCTGTCTGTCTTACTTCACGGGAACTCGTAATGGATTACTCCGGAGAATGATAACCAGAATTATAAACGCCCTGTACGCGCTGTGCTAATTGTACACTACTTTTTTGGAGTAATGTATTATGGCTTCTTGGCGGTTTTTGCCGAACGCTCGAGTCATACCTGAATGCTTGGTATTGCTTTCCCCAATTTCCCTTACTGATGCGGAAGACTCTTCCTCTGACGTAAAGTTACATGGACTATCTATCAACCATTCACTCTACTCCGTACTGCGCACAGTCTTCGCCTCATCGAATCACTACAAAAACCATGACTCAACTTTATCGGAGTTTCTCGGGTGGAGTCGATCATTGTACAAGTGTACACTAGACTAAGTACTCTGCATGTTACTATACAGTACACATTCTATACTATACAAAGTTGTATCCACTCACATCCAAACCTCAAAAAGGACTCTTGGCTCTGTCCCTTCCCGGCAGATCAGTCTTGGTATACATAGCCAAGTACACAGTACGTACCCTGTAGATAGAATCGAATATCTCTACTAGCTCCCATTCCAGTGCCAAGAGCAGAGGCAGCCCAATTTTTTAGCAGGGACGCCAAGCTCTCCCTCGCCAGCACGGCCTCATTGATTTCCAGATTTAGACATCGACTGCTTCGTCATTGAGAGGCGAAGCAACTTCCGATTATCACGTTGGGCATACAATCGATCTGCAATTGCAATGAGTTGTCGCACCAGGCAGCGTAGTTTACCACGATCTCCACTGATAGAACTAATCACCTCAAATCCATGTACACAGACCCGATGACAGAGATAGCTACCAATGAACGCCCGCATCGGAGCTTACGAAGAAAAACGCTCACATTGAATAACAAAGAGAAGCGGTCAGCCGCAACCGCGATCAGCCCTAGGGAGCCGGCTGACTTGAGGAGACTTTCCACGCGCAAAGGTCGTGAAACGGACAATAGATATAATAAAAAAGGTGAGGAAGAAAAAAAAAACCTTGGAATCCACCACCCCCAACGATCAACCGATCTCGCAGCGCAAAGTTGTCCGGAGATACATGAAATGCAGCCACTCAGCAGCCCCTCTGAAACACATGTAGGGCCCTGAGCCACCGTTTGAATTTCAACAAGCTTCACGAATCCAAGAAGATCCCCCCACATTCGTCTGTGCGAGCAAGCATGACCCCTGTAACACAGCACTCAAGCTTAGTGGATTGCATATATTTTGCCTTTCTTTTGCCTTGAAGCCGGTTAACCCGACGTGGGTAGCATCAGTTGAGTTTGGAATTGAAGCATGGAAGAAGCTTGTCAGCAACGCAACGGCATTGCAGCCGGGGGTGTCCTTGGACTTTCGAAGCCATTGAGCTCATCAATTTTTTTACCCGGGTTTTGCGCCCACTCGAGCATTTGAAAAATATGAACTTTTTTAAGAAAACTTACCGGCCATTCGTACTGAAATGCGACCGTCACAGAGAATCATTCAGACGGGACGGCGGTCTGGCATACGAAGCGATTCGCTACGTTGTATGCGCCTTTTTTACTCCCCAATAGGGGAATGCGCAGCCGGGCGCATAGTGCGCATCGAACTGCATAGAACTTCCGTACATATTTAGTACAAATACCCCGGTACAAGTCAATCTATGTACCAAACTACGTACAAGGTGCGCATGCAGTCAAAAGTTCCCGCGCTGACGGTAGCGATATCGCAGGCGGGCTGGAATATAGAGCGGCAGAGCTTGGCCACCCCTCATTTCCTAAGCACGTTGAATCGTTGAAAAGGAAAAGAATCGGAGAGCGCCAATCATGGGCGCCACTGCTGGCCGTTCGTTTGAAATTATGGAATGGGCCAAGAAGACCCCTCCTGATCTCCCCAACGGACAACTTCTCCCGTGAACCAGCAGAACAGGATACAATCAGGGTTTGTGTACGACGGGTCACGATACGAAGGGTTAGTATAGACTGCGGGATACGTTGTACAATATGTACTTTAAGACCATAACTGAGGAAAGATATCATTAGCGCATTTGTGGCACGGTGGGAGGGGAAATCTCCGCTTCACGATCGTGGCAGTCATTCAATTGCCAATTGACAAATAATTTAACCTGTTGTCTCAAATTTACCCCAATTAGAAATGGAGTCTATGCAACTATCTACAATATAGTTTTAGCGCAATAAGGTGTGAACTGTGCAGGTGGGTACCGGACTCCGGACAGGGAATGGCACGAGCGGGATGTCCAAAAAATGCCTAGCAAAGATTCCTATCATTGAAGCATTGGTACAATTTACGAGAGCGAACAAGACTAAAAACTGTTTCAAGAAGAACATCACTAGGATCGTTGACCGGGAACACAACCGGGGAAGTGGAGTCGAGAAGCAATGAAAAAGATTGGACAACTGCAAGCTGCAATGCAATGCGCGCTCGATAAGCAGGTGTTTTTGTTACTAGGTTGAATGGGTAATGGTCATGAACTGTATTCCGTAATCTCCGTCTATAATTTACTTTTGCTATGGATTTCAAAACAAATGTATGAGGCATTTTCACCCGCTCCTCCATTTGACTACTGCACTGGGCCAGATGTAGTTAAACTAAAACACTTAGCGACAGCGGCTATTCCGCACGGTCTTCCATGGCTCGAGATCTTAGAATATTTTGAATATGCTCTTGATTATGTTGCTTTGTTGCTTTGTTTTATCTTTATCATTTGTTTCAAACATATAGAGCTATTCCGTGGCTCTGATCTGAACACGGGAGACTTTCAAAATTGTGATCGTCAGTGAAAAGATACTTCCCCGCGAGGACAAGGGAACAGAAAATGAACCTGAGACGTTTCATGCAACAAAGACAATACACAAGAACCAATTGTTCCCAATGTTAGGGCCTGGCCTGTGCATAACACTCTGAGGTTACGAATACCAAGTACTAACACCCCAAGGCTTTACTTGGAATCAAAGAATTGACTTCTAAGTCGGTACCGGCTCAATGGCGGAAGAATGCCAAGTCCATCCCGTGCCTCCGCGCAGAAGGACAGCGTCAATACGAAATCTATTGCGCAGGTTTTGCCCAACAAGAACGTGACAATTCAAAGAAACGTCCCAACCTGGTAGCCGCCAAGAGAAAAGTCGGGCACTCTTTGGAATACCGATCAGTCCCGGAATGACAGGCGGATCAATGATCTCCCCGGCAGCGCACTTGGTGCAAGGGGAGGGCCAGTCTCATCACCGGGCTAGACTTCACCGGAGGAATGCTTGGCGGAAGCGCGTTGGGATGCAAACCGCCAAGCCCTGGGCATTGAATCTTCAGAATGCGCCTGGTACCACGTCGAGGTATGGAACTGTTCTAGGGAGACAGTGTGCTTATTTCCGGGATTGACAATACGGAGAAAGGGAGATCTGATCTCCACAAAGGGGTTCAGTACAATGGATAACTATTGTTTATTTTCGATACCCCCTTTCTTGATCGGGTCTTGGCATGGACATTGGGAGTTTGCGATAACCATACGCTGTATGATAGGGGGAGTCTCCTTTTGGCGCCAAGGTTTGTGCTACAACATACACATGCAACATGATCAAGTCTCAAAAACGAATCTCTGGCGCCTGGGCATTGCGGTTATTGAGTATGGGGAGGTCTTGCCAAGGGCGATCATGGCGATCATGCTGACCAGCAGTGTGCATAAATTGAGTCTTGGCAGGTATCGAGATTGTCTGACTATTTGGGTGCTATTGTTTTTGCCAAGGCGTTGCACTAGGACGATATGTGATAAGTTAGGGGGCGTGGCAGTGCTGGTTATTTGGCTCGGGATCGACGGGCCACAGGCTTGGCTCATTGACTCGGACCGGTCCGATTGAACTGGGATCTATACGTTGTAAGTTGGAAAAAACAGTGTTGGGTATACGGATTATTACTCAGATGCCTGGTATCCCATAGGCATAACCTGTTTGTTTGTGCATTGTGCACCGATCAAGTCTCGGATCGGCGTGTGGCGCATATTCACCGATTGGAGTCAACGCTCAGTACTCCGTAAAAACATGAGCTGTGTGTAAATATAGCAACCTCTCATAGAACAGTGATATTCGCCTTGGCACACGCCACTTCCCAGCATCGCGACTCTTGCCATCCTTCTCGGTGTTTATCCTTGCAAATCCACGTCAGAAGCGGACTTTCTCCATTACCGGACCCCTGAGCACCGAGTTACTTCCCGGATGTCAACGCATTTCCCAAAGTTAACCAATGGTCAAAAGACCCTGGGATCAGATACATTGTCCAACACTAAACCTTGCAAAGTTCCAAATCTTCTGGAAGCGCTTTGAAAGTGAATTAAGTGACCAACGCGTCCCCCTCATCGTGCAACAACATGGTTGGTCATTGCTCCAGGTCATCGGGTTTCCTTTACAAGATCGACTTACCAATGATTGTCCAATTCAGCGACATGAAATAACATCGAATCTCGTGCTTATTGTGTTCCCGGAGAATTATTCCTAAGAGTCTAGAGGAGCACCAAAAAACATCGTCGTCAGCTGGAACTCTACGCTTGACCATCTGATAATATCACTTCGGTCGCAAATATCGCCATGAACCCCTGAAATACTACACTAATGACACTGTTATCAAAATTTGCTATAATATACGGAGTATACATTTTAATAAAAAGATACCACATTCAATAGGGCGCCGAATCATACTGAAACACGTCTCGCGGCAAAAAAAGAACCGTTACTCCAACCTCAAAATTAACATGGAATTATATTCGAAGATCGCCGTGAACAAGAGGAATTGGACTTTATAACGACATACTTTCATCCCTTTTACCATTCGGGTCAATCACTTCACAACTATCTATACCTTGAAGGCCGTTGATCACGTCTAGTAAAGCAAGCGCCTTCTACGCTAATGTCATTGCGTGCGACGAAGCCATTCTTCCAACGATACATTCAGGCCCGGCAACTCATACGTTTTACCCGATTAGACGCTCGTTTGCACTTTTAAATATCGGCCTCTTCGAATTCCCCGGACTCCGGGACGACGAAGACAAGTCCATTATCCCAGACTATCCCTTGTACCGCGTGCCTTTTTCCGTAGTAAGGACACCAAGACATCATTAGTGTGGTCTATAACGACAGAGTGTGTGTCAAACGGAACTACAAGTTGCAGCGTTACTTTATATAATGCGTTTCCTGAATGTTGGTGCTTGAACTTGAATATAAAGCAAATTGCGTTTTATCAACTGAGACTGAGGGGTTGTCGAATATACCAAAGCAGTTCGACAGGGAGTTTTAATTCAGCGATGTGCGATCGCATACTGCTGATAACTATTTGGATCGCTGGATGCGCCTAACATCACCTGACGATTCCACTTGGCAATTGCCCCATGATGCATTACGCTTTACCTTTGCTTTATACTTTCGTTATCGAAAATGACTTTCAATTTCGGGCTCTTGTCCGTATATAAATCCATAGCACCGTAATCACGCTGGTTGTTTATTAGTGCTTATCTCAGGGGCCTGGATGCCTGACAAGGCATCATAATTCCCCATCAGGAGGAGGAACGGGGGTAATTGTCTCATGACAAAGTTCTGAGACAATGGAAAGCGCCTGATCTGGCGATGGCGCCACGATTTCCTGTTTTGTATATACCTTTACCCTCCCAGAATCGAGACAAATAGGGTAGGCTTCTCATGGATGCAAGTACCAAATCCCAACAGTACGTAATCGCGCAAGAGCCCACCGCAACCTGTCATTCGCTCAACCACCAACCAATCCCAGCTCAACATGACGTCCTAAGCTCGGGCCTTCTACACAATAAGGGTCCAACATTCAAAGGGTCAAAACGAGGTTAGAATTAAGCGGTCTGTGGATACATGAATACAACATTGTATGGGACAAGTATATCAACTCCGGGCTAATGCGCCACGTTCTATGTCCTTATAGGCGACGCAGGGGCGGTGGATTACAGCTTCCTATTCTGTGTATCCAGTGTCTATCGTGCGTTTTGCGTTTTACGATTCAGATGCTCATTTGACGCTTATCACTCGGTGACATCACGCATGGAGACAGATGCGGCACGTTTCTCGAACGAGTGGCTGGTTGCCATGGTACTTTTTGGGGCTTTGGTCATGAACTCTGTTTGTAGTGGGCGCTAGCGGTGCGGTGCTTTCCGAGATGTTTCTGCGTCAGATTGGGTCCATGGTCTACATTCAACAAGTTTAATACGTCAGCGCTTGCCTTGTAGGGCCTCTGGTATATTGAAGATGAAGTCCACAGCCGTATGATGGGGATCGCAGCTTTTTATTGGAAAAAAATGTGGGTTTCATCTATGGGGGTCGATCACTGTGAGGGTTTCGTGTTCGTGCTGCTTTATGATGTGGTGTCTGCACTTGCAGGGATTATACTATATGAGATATCTCCTATATGAAGTCATAGAATATTATAATGATGCTTTTGATGTTCTAAATGAGCTCAGTGGTAATATACACAGTCTTTTGATTTGACGCGCCGGAATATATAGGAACATTTGCGGCGGCTGATAATGCTACTTCCTAAATTGGCAACCCGGGGCTTGAAGTCGAGATACAAGTGCTTGTACCGACTATAAGACAGTCACTTGTATTACATGGTACTACTTGCGCTGATAAGTAAGTTTGAATATATGCCAAATTGGTCTAAACCATCTTTGTTGATATGGCATGTTCATATATAGTTTTCTCAGAATTGTTGTACTCCACCGTAGTTCACAATGACCCAGTATAGTGGCAGTCATGCACTTTGGGGTCAAGATTCACACAATTCTTCTAGACCAGATGAATGTGCTATCAACAAGAAATCGCCACTTTCTCGCTATAAGCTGTTGGAACTTTCCATGCTCACATATCTCTAGTATCTGTTATCTATTATCCCAGACACAGACGCTCAAAGCCTCTCACGATCAAACTCTCCAATAAGGCCTCTTAGCAACTGGACTATCTCTTTCTTTCTACGCAAAAAGGCGCGCAGTGACTACAATTCATCTCCTCAACTATCCACCGGTCAGCCCAGTCATTGTTGTCATCGCATACTGTGTCTCCTTGGAAATAACTTGATCTTCAGTCGTGACAATAAAGACCAGTCGTCCCTGATATCCAGAATCTATCCATGCAGGATGTGGCTGAGGTGAGTAGAAAGCTAGCGAAGAATGCAGCTTGATGTTCTTTTCAAGACTGGACACATAGGGTCCGTCAATATCAGCAGCAATAGTAGCAATTAGGTCACTTGGAAGATTCAAGTCTTTAAATGGCTGGGTGTCTTTTATAAGCAGAGGAATCAACCGCAATGGAAAATTCTAATCTTGAGATCGCAGTCATTCCTTGTCGAGCAGATCCCAAGAGGTGAATTCCTTCCCTGTAAGCCTGCACGACTAGAACCCTCTGACGCAATAAAGGCACCGATGAAGGCAAGACCGATTTTCCCTCAATCAAATCTGCCTCAGCTATGTAGTCTGCAATGAATGAATGCACTGGGCCAAGAGAGGAATAATCGGCATAGTGGACGAGGAAGCCAGCCGTTGCCAAAGCTTTAAGAAACGGCTCGTATGGAGCCCTGGTCAGCCAAGCTCTGGGGGAGAAAACAACAGCGGCCATTTTGGAGGTTCGATGGAGCAAGGTATTTTGTGAGTCGAACACTATTTTATTGAATTGATGAAAGCAGAGCTGGGTGTAGGTTTGAATTAATCCCTGATGAAGCTGAGAGGTAGGCCTCTCTAAGAGACTACTGTTGGCCCCCAAATTCCTTTATGATATTACCCACCCATCGACTTGGATTTATTTGGTCCAGACTGGGATTTCAACAAGCTGCAAATTTCTGGATTTTACCTCTTCGTGAAGTGAAGAATGGGTGGACCCGTATCAGCCATAAGCCGCCACCTCTTTTAGCCTTGGTCTTCGATAGATGCCTATCACCCCTCCCCACAAGGGCTGACATTCCCTTTTTTTTGTGTTTTTCCGTTCGTCTTTCCCCAACAACTTTTGTCTTTGGAATCTCGCAAGAATGACATATGATCCAAATTCTCCGCTTTCTTTCGCTCTCTCTTATGTCTCAAACTCTCGGTTCCATCGTTGCTTCACCATCGAAGCTACCGCGACTCATGGACACCTCAAAGTTAGCTACGGAGAGTATGGCAGGGAGCGCACTGAGCTGGAAAATCCTCCAACGCTCCTTTTAATGCCGGGCATGTTCTCATCCCGGTACCTTGGACTTTGTCTACATACTGTTGCTGAGAAATTGGGCGTGCGTGTTATCGTCGTCGATCGGTAATGGCCCATTCATAAACCTACTACCCGAGCATCGAGAAGTTAACTCGATCAAAAGTCCCGGAATGGGTAACTCGACCGACGTTCCACTTGATCAGCGAGTGCCTGTATGGGTTGAGACCGTCCCACGTCTCCTGGCGCATCTAGATATCCAGCATGTGGCTTTGGCGTCACACAGTGCTGGAACCATTTATTTATTGAACACATTGTATTCTTGTCGGGAGATTTTGGATCCCAAGAAGCCAATGGTCACATTCCAAGGTATGTTTCTTGTTCTGCGCCACCATTTATCCCCAGCCATCATGATTTTCTCTGGATTTCCGGTCCAGCAAAACCCAAATAAAGATTTCTGATCTGATTATTCAAAAGCGCCCTGGGTTGACCCAGCACACTCCGGTAACACAACCATGAAAGTTGCCAAATATATTCCTGCGCCAGTTTTCCAGCTCTGGCATCACATCCCACGCCTTTTCTTGTCCCAGGACGGGTCTGCCACCGCAACGAGCGGGGAAGCGATAGCTAAATTCTCTGCCATGTTTTCTTCTGGCGCCGCTGAGGAAAGGGACAAGAATCGCCGTTATATCGAAGATAATTACGGGCTCAGCATGGACCAGCAAAATGAGATTTCTGCCGCGATGATGCAATTCATGTTCAAAGAGAATGCAGCTGGATCTGACAGTGAGGCAATGCAGTGTTTACGAAAGAGTCCTAGCACATGGGGTAATTGCGAAGACTACAATCTCTTTGTGAGGGACTTGGTCGAAAGAGAAAGAGAAAGAGATCGAGCGGGAGTACCGTTAAAGGTTAATGCGTATTTTGCTGAGGAAGATAGTATGATTGGGAAGCAAGGACAAGCATATTTCGAAAAGTGCTGGCAGCAAGAGGGACTTGGCGGGTTGGGAGATGTTCTGACATTCGAGTCGACAACAATTCCGGGTTCGGATCACGATAGCTTGGTACAGTCTGCGGAGGTATGGGAAAGGATTCTGGGAGAGATGAAAGAAACAGCAGACAGTGAATGATTCATCACCTTCTACAGCTTTGGTAGAAGATTTTCAAGCAACGTTTGAAATGTATTTATTGGATCTTTTGATGGTCAGAAGGGGGGAGAGGTCCAGGTGTATATAAATGGTAATATAGGGCCTGGGTGAATAGGGCCTGGGTGAATAGGGTTAGTACTGCCCTGAATATATATTTATTCCTTTCAGCGGCCCACAATGTCTCTATTGCGAAATATGACCTTTTGATGGACTCATCACAGAATTACATCACGTGGAATCGGGCTCAATTGCAAGGATCACAGAAATCACACAGGTCGTGAAAATTCCGCAGAGCACAAAACGTGGGGACCATTCCTTTTCGCCCCAGGAGCTTAAATTTATCTCAATGGGCCTGCATTGTTCGTACGGAGTACTCTTGATGTCCTCAAGGATGAAGGTTTTATACCAATGCCTTCTGTCCTGTTCACTTACGGCATTCTTGAACTAATAGTGCTACAACTGAATATGCGCACGCTTCTCACTTCTACTCAACGAGCCTGCCATGTCTGGTCAAGTCTAATTCTATCATCTTGCACAATTCAAAGGCATTATCTTTCAATCCTGTGCCAAATGATCTATCGAAGGAGAAGACCCTGAGACCTTTACTTGTAGATCTGTTCCTGTCGCCTACTTATAGCCTAGCGAGATTCCGGTCTTTAACCATTGAGATCGCGAGGGGTCAAATATTTTAACGATTATCCTGAAGTTTCTGTAAGTTTTGGACTACACGAAAAACATATCTTGTCAAGACACTGACTGGTTTAGGCTGGCCTATTTTTGCAAAGTGGTTTCCGCATGGAGACTTTGCTTGAGACTTTCTTTTCCCTTGACTTGAAAATCGACAAACAGGACAATTCAACTAGCTTGGGGAAAGGGGGGGGGGGGGGGGGACCACACATCCTGAACCGCCAATGTTCAGTCTGGGTTTCGAATTGCTGGGATTTTCCAGAATGCAGATGTTCTGGCCTACAGGGAAACGCAATCGCCGAGTGAGTCTGGCACATTTAGTCCTGATCAAAATATGGCTTACAATATCAGAGACGTTTTCGCCTCTAATGTATTTAATATCTGTTCACATCATAGCCAACATTGGAGCAATTATGTCGTTAGTGTGTACCATGTCCATGACAATGCATACATGACCTCCCAATCGAGTTCGTGGAACCTTGAACATAGTTGAAGTTTGTCGTAAACAATATATCAGACAAATTAGGCAAAAATTCATTCCAAGGTTGATGGTTGAATTTATATCAGGAATCTATGTCATACAGCAATAGTTATCAACAAATCAACAATGATATCACAGGAAACATGCGCACTATAAAACTAGTCCTTGTCGAAGTTACCGTGCTAAAGAATAGCGATTGTGCGGGAGTGTCTTACCCGTTAAATACACTAATCTAACAAGGAACCTTAACGAGCGATCTATTTTGAGGGGTGTTAGGCAATTGTGTCAGCTTTATAGTTGGAGGTCTTACTACAGCTAAGTTTTAGCGCCGAGGTCCCTATATCTGATAGCTATGATAGAAAGAGGTTGATTAGCGATGTTGGATTGATAATATACATATTACAATATCAAATATCAAGTATATTAGGGAAATAAATACAAAAGGTAATTGCTATCAATGGGAACATCTGATATTCTCACCATTTCCCCTTTATATCTACTTAAACACAATCGTATTAGGAATTAGATAGTTAGGCCTTGATATAAAGTAGAATGGTGGGAAGACATCTTATTTGAAATACACATGGTTGTGGAGATATGAAGCTGTAAATTCTCGTATTTATGATGTGTCTTAGGGAATAGCACACTTCTCCGAGGTCACACTTCCAGAAAACGCTAGTGAGAACTAAGGGGTAGCCAGAAGTTGACGCAAGGCTCTCATGGCCATTGGCGCTTAGTGAGAAGAGGAGCACTCGGGCAGAAGGTCCGTGGGACCTGCTTGACTCAGGACCAACAACACCAACACTTCAAGTTTTCATCCATCGATGCAGCAAAGCCATCGCACTCTATAACCGCCGGGCATTAATTCCCGTGATGGTTGGCCACTGATTCCCACGCATCATGCATAGTCACCCGCCATAGCCTCGGCGAAAACACAAGAGAACCTATTATACCACATTCCCTCTTTATCGACTGCGAGGGCCAACCTCAAGATGAATAACCCTCATTAACCATACCAGCAGTCGGCTATTCTTGTTGCTATTGAGCATGCTCTGTTAGATGCGGGGGCAGAATGCGTCACAAAAGCGCTTCGGGCCTTAAAACGACGGCCGGTCGCCAGCTTGGGCACCGCTGATCCCTGCATCGACTCTTGATCGGTCACCTTCCAAATCTTAGTACTTGTCTCCTAGATTTGCTTGCTTTTATTGACGTGTTCTGCTGTCTGGCTTCTAAATCAATCTCTTCGACTCCCTTGCGCAACCTATTCAGAAATTTGCCTATATCATGGAGGTGTCAAACAGTGATATTGATGCAGAGTACAAGTACACCCCTATCAAGCTAAGAGCAGAGCGGCCTACAGGTCACCTCGCATATGACGGCTCTCCTCAACTCGACGGCATCGTCAGTGAGATAGCGGAGAATGATGATGCCCAGCACAGACTCTTTCCGGGTCCGTTGCCAGACAGCTCGGCAGAGTGGGAAGCCGCCGTGGAGACGGTAGTCAAAAGTGTTGTGGCCCTCCATTATTGTCAGGCATATTCTTTTGACAGTGAGAGTGCCCATAATTCGGAGGCTACCGGCTTTGTGGTCGATGCAACGCGCGGATATATCTTGACCAACCGCCATGTGGTCTCGGCCGGTCCATTCTATGGATACTGTATCTTCAGTAACCATGAAGAGGTAAGCAAACACACGGTTGAGAATATACATGGATTATAAACAAGAGCCGAGAGAGTAACGTTTCTCTGATTTCTTTTTTTCGAACTTCGTAGTGTGACGTCCGGCCCGTATATCGAGACCCAGTTCATGATTTTGGTATCCTTCAATTTGACCCGAAGGTCATTCGCTATATGAAAGTCACGGAGCTCCAACTACGTCCGAACGAAGCTCAAGTAGGCACGGAAATCCGACTGATTGGGAACGATGCCGGGGAGAAGTTAAGTATTCAATCGGGGGTGATCAGTCTGTTGGACCGGAATGCGCCGCATTCCTTCGATTTCAATACAAATTACATCCAGGCGGCGACTTCGTCGAGTGGTGGTAGCTCTGGGAGTCCGGTGGTCAATATTCAAGGCCACGCGATCGCTCTGCAAGCGGCTGGCCGAACTGACGCGGCCACCAACTTTTTCTTGCCTCTGGATCGACCACTCCGGACGCTAGAATGCATTCGCCAAGGAAAACCGATCACCAGAGGGACTCTACAAACGGTGTGGCGTCTAAGGCCCTTCGATGAATGTCGCCGCCTTGGGTTGACGCCCGAATGGGAGGCCAAAGTCCGGAAAGCCGCCCCCACCGAAAACAACGTGCTAGTCGCTCATATTATTATTCCCGAAGGCCCAGGAGATGGGAAAATACAAGAGGGGGATGTCTTATTGAAGGTGAACAATGAGCTTCTGACGCAATTCATCCGCCTGAGTGAAATTCTCGACACGAACGTTGGTAGTGGTAAGCCCGTCCGGCTATTAATGCAGCGAGGAGGGCAAGACCTCGAGGTGGAATGCGAAGTTGGTGACCTCCATGATATTACTCCGGCTCGATTCGTTCAGGTTGCTGGTGCCACTTTCCAGGACCTTTCGTACCAACTCGCCTGCCAGCATGAGGTTCCGATTCGTGGGGTATACCTTAATGAGCCTAGTGGCTCGTTCCAACTTTCAAGGTGTTGGAGCGTGATTATTGATGCGATTGATCATCGGCCAACTCCGAATCTAGATGAGTTTATTGAGGTGATGAAAACACTACCGGATAGGGCTCGCATAGTGATCTCGTATCGCGAATTTCATGATCTACACACGAAGAAAACCAGCGTGATTGACGTTGACCGCCACTGGCACCCAAAGATGCGCTTGGCAGTCCGTAATGATGAGACTGGTCTCTGGGACTTTTCAGACCTCGCTGGAGCGATCTCTGCTCGAGTTCCCATTCCTTATCAGGCCGAATTAAGCTCTTTAGATGACGTGTCGTCCAGCGTCGCTGAAATTATGCGCAGCATTATCAGTGTGAAATGCACTCCACCTTTGCAGCTTGACAACTGCCCGATGAAGACAAAGGCCGGCTTTGGCCTAGTGATTAATGCCGAAAACGGGTTAGCCGTCGTTTCAAGGACTATTGTGCCCCATGGACTCTGTGATATCAATATCACAGTCGCCGACTCAATTAATATCAACGCCCAAGTTGTATTCCTACATCCGTCGCAGAACTATACTATCATCCGGTACGATCCCAGCCTTATACAAGCCCCTCTACAAAGTGCTCGTTTTAGCAGTGAGCATCTCAAGCTGGGACAGGAAACACTTTTCGTCGCTCTCGACGAAGCTTCCGATATCCTCGTGTCCAAGACTACCGTTACTGAGATCAAGCCTACATCAATACCTGCCTTCATACATTCTCCCAAGTACCGAGCCATTAATCTAGATGCAATCAATGTGGACACGCAGTTAGGTAGCAGATCTGAAGGCGGTGTCTTAGTGAGCGAAGATGGTATGGTACAAGCTCTATGGATGGACTTTAACGGAGATGACTTCATCCGTTGTTTCGGATTAGCGATACCGTCTCTCCTTCGGATCACTTCCAATATCGAAGACGGTACGGCTCTGAATTTACGCATTCTAAATATAGAATGTGACGCCGTGCAAATAGACCAAGCACGACTCATGGGTGTTCCAGAAGAGTGGATTCAGAAGGCTAGGCAGACCAGTTCTTTGCGTCATCAGCTGTTTATGATCCGAAGGGTTGGATGTCCGCTAGGAGACCATATCTCTAACGTGTCGACCGACGGCTTCCAGGAGGCTGATATAATTCTCACTCTGGATGATCAGCCTATAACTCGTGTTTCAGAACTAAATATGATGGGCGAGAAGAAGTTCCTCGATGCATTGATTGTACGCAAGCGTCAACTGATGCATGTTCGAGTTACAACCGTTCCGATAGAAGATCTGGAGACCAATCGCGTGGTTTTCTTCTGTGGTGCCGTATTACAGAAGCCTCATAACGCTGTGCGGCAGCAGATCTCTAAGCTTCACAGCGAGGTCTATGTGAGCCAGAATGTGAGTTCAACCCCGACCTCCTCGGGAGTTCACTAGTTATTGAAACCTATGGACTATTATTAATGATTTCCTACGATATATATAGTGCGAAGGTTCCCCGTCCAGTCTATATGGGCTTCGGGGTGCGCTCTTCATCACTACTGTCAATGGCGTCTCAACCCCCACCCTTGATGAATTCGTGAAGGAGGTTAGCAATATACCCGACAACACCTACTTCCGGCTGCGAACTGTGGACTTGATCGACAGGCCAGCGGTGGTTACCATGAAGAAGAATGATCACTACGTAAGCCGCCGTTGTATTTACTATCATCCTAGAGCACGGAAGCGCTAATAATAATGCCCTTTCCAGTTTCCCATGCAGGAGTACGTGAGAGACTCTTCGGTTTTGAACAGCTGGCGAATCGTCTCTTATGACAATATCAAGGATAAGGTCGACATCTCGTCAGATGCAGTGACCGAGGACATCCATGCAGGCGGATGGAATATGGTTAATATGGAGTAAATGAGCCACAACTTAATGATAGGCGCCGGAGGCATCTATAATAATATAAGCCGATGGAATCTTATGACGGCCCCTGTAAACTATGACTGGTAAACTTGTTATCACTACCAAACTACTCTCTCACAACGAACAAAAGAACTCTAGTTATGTCTATCCTCAGTCGGATACAAGTCCTCAAATTCACGATAACTGGACCCCCGACCAATCCTTCTGCTCTTGGTTTTTCACTTAAGCTGAATGAACGTGTGATACTTTTAGAGTCAAATGGGTACGATGGGATGCCCAATATAGTCTCATAATATATATGATCACCGGAATCACGTAGGTGATGTATTATTACGGAGAGGGCTTAGGGATTGAGGCATCCAAGTCTAACCTGATTTCTTATGCAGAGTTTCTGCCTGACGTGTGAGGTGTCCAGAGTGTGTGACAGTTTCTGTCGGATGCTATTCTGACCTGGCCAATAGAAATGCGCGAAATCTGTGTTTCTTGTTATCCCTGGTTCTGGCAATCAATAACTAGGGATTTGAACATGACTAATGAGTTACATATAAATAGTGGATATCCTCTGGAAATTCACCTGACACTTTCTGCCACTCATTCTTGCTACTCAAATTGACCCACTCTACATCACATCTTTTCCTTTGACTTGACTTTTAATATCCAAGTACGTTTTATCCATCTACCACAAATTACGCCAAAGCCATCATGCCTATCGATACGTCCAACCAAGACAAAGGCGTTACTGGCGCTGCCAAATTCGTTACATCCACACTTGGCAACACGGTCGGCGGAGTCACTCGCACACTCGGTGGAATAACTGGAGCCGCTGGAAGAGGTGTTGGCGGCACTATCACAAGCGCAACGGGAAGTGCGGGCGAGCCAGTTGGCAACGTATTAGAAAGTGTAGGCTCCGGGCTCGAGGATGGAGCAAAGCAGGTGGCGAAGGGAGTTGAAGATGCGGGGAAATGGAAATAAAGTGGTGGTCGCCGTGAGGTTATGAGTTGAATGCCAAGGACGAAGATTGTTGCTCTGCTGGACACTACTCACTGGACGTGACACATTCCTGTTGTAAAAGTAAAGTTAAATGTATATACCTGGGTAGAGCTATGCACTGCCAGGTTCAGGTACTCAGATCTACAGACATTTGAGGCACAAATATTACGAATGTTGCCAAATAGCCTTCCCTAACTAATTATACGACAAATAACAAACGACAAGCATGTAGATAACAAAGATCTAAACCAAGTCGTTCTTTTTTGGCAAGGATTACAATGATTGGATGGCCTTTCTATTTCGAGTCACCAGAAGTTATAAAGACCTAGTCTTTGATCATTGTGCTTTGAACGTCTTTCTTGATATAATATGGCTGTCTTAAGAAAGAAGCACAAAAGGCTTTGTTCGCGGTCGAATAGAAGGCACCTACTCTGATCTACCATCATATATTTTATAAAAGGACTCGAAGTCCTCGACAAGAAGATATTCTCATCATCACAGCAGCTTAACATCGAGCAAAACGGCGGACAGTTTAGCAATCATAAAGAATCCTAATCAATACATCGGAAAAGCTCGATTAAATCACATAATCATCATTCCCTCTAGAATGACTAGTACCAATCGCATGCGAACTGTGTTCATTGAGAACGGTCTCCCAATCATTGAAGACCATAGTGATGTTACGTTCCTCGAGTGGATGAATGTGGAAGTACGCGAAGAAAGCCATCTGTCTGACCTGCAGCTCATCGATGCCATCATTGACCTTATTCAAGCAGGTGAAACGACAGTGACCATGACTCCTAAGCAATGGTTGCACCAGGGAATTGTGTCTTTTCCGCTTCTACAGATCAACGAGAACCGCAAGACTCAAATTTTGGTGACCAGCAATCTTGCGATGACTTATAGAGAGGACATCATGTATGGGCGTGTTTCTTTCGACCGTGGCTTTCTTTTCAATGGGGTAAGACCCTACTGATGCACTAACATTCTTAATGGCGCACTCACCAAAAAGACCACTCATGATAACCTGATCGGTTTTCATGCCAGAGTTTCCACTATATTCCCTTACTGCCCGGAGCCACCACCGGCCCGGGACCTATCCGAGATATATCTTAACATGATCTACCCATTACAAATAGGGCTTTTAGGTAATTTACGACCGGTATAAAACGGGAAGAAACTTTTAATTCTAATCGTTTACCTAATATATCATTAATAAGGTCCATCGAGCTAGTTATACCTCAATCAAAATTGAACAGTACTTGGCGTAAAATTGTGGACCCTGGATTTGACCCCTGGATAGTGTCGGCAAGTTCCGAGTATATACCGCGGAGGGATTGGCTTTGGGCACTGGCGGCGCTGTTCCCTTAGATAGACTGATCAACCACATAGAAGCAAAGTGACTACCAAAAAGGGGAATGTGTGTTTATGTCTGCCATATCGGCCATGCTCATATAAAATAAACATCCAGGCCACTATCTTAGATAGATTTATCCATCATCATTCTTCCTATTTCATGAGCTATTGCAGTATCCACTATTCATCAGGATGCAAGCTAAATTTTTACACCTTAAAGATTACGGATACCCCATTTTGTGATACAGTTTCTTTGGAACATACCACGCAAGTAGAAGGGGATCCTCAAAATGGCATGAGATACCCAAAAATCTGATACAGCTACAAGGAAACACCAGGGTACACATTTGTAATGTCTAGGTGATCCTAATGTCTACTTCGATACGTTGACTGGAAACTTGGAAAATTCTTTCGCGATAGATGTGGTCAAAGCTTCGGAACTTCCTACATAGGGTTTCTTCTGGAACCAGCCACATTGCTCCCCCTGTGCAAACCAACACCCAAGCATACCTCTTAACATATTTGTTTTATAATGTCCCGATCTGAAAATCCGTGGACATGGATGCCTGAGTCATGTTACATCTACAAGCACAACCTCAATGGTATTGATGGCGACAACAGTATATATAGCCTCGTATTTCTAAAGGCTCATACGAGCATACATTCTTTTCCAACTTCAGATCTCCAGTCCTTACTTTTCATTTCCGTTTTATGCCGTGAAACCCACTATTCCACTCGTTCTCGACCTGCATCAAACTCAAGTCGTAATTATGCCTTCCCGAGCTGCTATGTTAGCTCTCTCTGCCCTGCTTCTGCGGGCTATTCCCGTCGCCGTTGCCCATCCTACACTAGGTGGAAATCTGCCTTCAGCGGGGGAGTTTGAATACTCAAACGTCTATACCGAGCTCGAGAATACCGACACTAGTGCGCCTTGGGGACATGGTCAGCCTGGAGATGTTGGCTCTCATAAGCACAAGGGTGGTGATTACTTATGCGGTAGTGGTGGTAAAGGTAATGGCGGAGATGGTAGCTGGATTGGTACTGTCACGACGAAGACTATCACTGACTGGTGAGTTGATATTTGTCCGTCATGATATATTCAGTACGTTTATATCTCATGCCGGCCTCTAGCACCGCGACTCCTACGGCAACTATCACAATTACCATTGACGGCAATGGTTCCGGGACTGCCACTTTGACTGTCACCACTACCGATACTGTCACTATCACCACCGCTGATACACGCCCCACCAAGACCGTCACCGACACGCTCACCGAAACAGTTAGTGACTGCGCGACGACAACAACAGATGTCACCACCATTACCGCGAATGGTCCAACAGTTACTAAAACCATTACCACCACGTCCGCTGGTCCAGCCGTCACTTCCACCGTGACTACTGGAGCATCGACTGTCACTGATCCAGGTTCCACAGTCACAGAGACTAGGACTAGGACCGAGACAGTCACTGACCATGAAACCGACACCATCACCAACAATCAAGTCATTACCGAAACCACTACTGCGACCCAGACTGAGACCCTAGGGGTAACCACCACCATCACCAATAGTCAAGTCATTACCGAAACCACTACTGCGACCAAGACTGAGACTCTAGGGGTAACCACCACCGTCACTGCTGATAACTGCTCGAACACTGGCGGTGCCGGCTTGGACTACGGAACCTGCTCGGACCCGACCATTCTATATGAATATGGTCTGGATGGACGTACCGACTACTCCTACACCACTGAGAACCAGGCTGACTTCCCATTCGGCTCCGCGCCGGACATCCGCACTCCGGAGGATCTCATCTGCAACCGTCTTAGGAGCCCGTGTAATGCACCACAGGCCACTATTGACCAGTGCTATGCAGCCGAACAGGCCACTTCTGGTCTGACCGGACAGGAGGCCGCTGATACCTGGAACTCGTTGATGACCTAGGCTTGATTCATTTGACATTATTTTGCCTTGTCTGACGATGCCGTCTGCAATATTGGTCGGGCTATTGTCACTTTCTACTGTTCTGCTCGGAGTTTGTCACTCTAGGTGCAGATTGCTCTTTCTTAGAGTTTAATGTCGGGTGAATTTCCAGGGGGTATCCACTACTTATTTTTAATTCAGTAGTCATTTTTAGATCCTAATAAATTGCCATACTCAGGAATAATAAAACCCAGACGTTTGCACATTTCTATTGGTCAGGCCAGAATAGCATCCGACATTTACAGTAGCTCCAATCATCCCTGATTCTGGCAATTTACAGGGATTAAATATGACTAAGGAATTACAAATGAATAGTGGATACTTTGTAGGAATTTACCCGACACTTAAATTTCACTTTGTTCACTCAACATCGCCTGCAGCTCGCTGTACACAATGCTTACTCTAGGCTGATTGAATCTCCAATAACAAAGAGCTAGTTGGAGGAGAATTGAGAAGAGAGGCGTGATTAATCTCGTTATATTCGAGTCATACATATCTGAGAAGAGGTCTTAAGATTTGTAATAACGTCCACATAGGAACATTCAGGGTCTCATGAAATTGATAAGAAAGCGGATCTATGTGGGTCCTTCGGCAATGAGGTTCGTGCCTACTACCGTTCAGTTATATTAGGGGTCTGACTGTATATTAAGGGTTACGGGGGATCATTTGGAAATGCCATCTCTAAGTTCGCGGAGTCTCCGGCCCGTGTCATATCATAGAATCTTGACACTGGTCTACATTGTTCTGTTTAACAAGCTCAAGCTCCTAATGTTCGTTGCCCCTACCACGGTTCACTATTCTAAGTTTACGGACAATCCTTTGCCCGAGAGCCAGTAAAACAAATAAATCTTTGGCTGATGTCCATGTCATTCTAATCAGATGTGGTTTTTGTAGTGGTCGCAAAAACGTCGGTGATATTTGTTTCAACATCTGTAAGCGCTTCTTGGCACTCCATACCCACTCAAAATAGGTTATGCTATCATTTGGATGCGCCAATTTAGGATAACCACATGTACTTCGATCACACCCGCATAATGGCGACTGAGGAACCATTGAATCGATTTGTCTAATTTGGAGAACCCATGCTGGTGTGTTACCATCTTCAAGGCGGGTTTTCTCAAGATTAGTGGCTTAAGGGTCTGGCCAAGCCCGTTCTACCGAGAGCTGTCTCATACTCAAACAAACACACAGGTCAATGATGTATCAAGTATATGGAACTAAGAGGTGACAGGTGCAATGTTCCCAGCTAGATTGGACCAATGGGCATGAGTATATATCTCCCATCCAAGTATAAATACCTAAGAAGCTCTGTTGGAGCTTTCAATCAGCGCAACATTCCCTGTTTTTTTTTTTTTCTTCATTCAAGTCCAGTCTCTCTTTCACAATCTTTTCATTCATTCTGCTTGTCAACATGAAGCAATTCCTTTCCGTGTTTGCCGTGGGCGCTGCGCTGGCGCAGACCGCCTCGGCTCACTACATCTTCAGCAAGCTGGTGATCAATGGTGAAGCATCGAGTGACTGGCAGTATATCCGTCAGACTACTCGAAGCAAGAACTACATGCCCACCAAGTTTACGAATACTTTCGACAATCTGACGCCCAATGACCCCGATTTCCGCTGTAATTTGGGCTCTTTCTCGAATGCTGCCAAAACTGAGGTCGCTGAGGTCGCAGCTGGCGACACAATTGCCATGAAGCTGTTTTACGATACTTCTATCGCGCATCCTGGACCCGGCCAAGTCTGTAAGTTTGAGTCCTCGGAATTTTGATCCAATTTTAGTGCGCTAGCTAATCCTGTTTCTACAGTCATGTCTAAGGCACCCTCCGGCAACGTTCAGGAGTATGAAGGTGACGGCGAATGGTTCAAGATTTGGGAAAAGACCCTTTGCAACGAACAAGGGGACCTTACCAAGGACGCCTGGTGTACCTATGGTATGTCAGAACTCGAGTTCCAGATTCCTGCCAACACTCCGGCTGGCGAGTACCTCGTTCGTGCTGAGCACATTGGTCTCCATGGTGCGCAAGCCAATGAGGCAGAATTCTTTTACAGGTAAGTTTACTACGATCCTATTGACTGGTATCTGTATCTAAAGATGGCATATAGCTGTGCTCAAGTCAAGGTCACTGGCTCCGGCAACGGCTCCCCGAGCTTGACTTATAAGATCCCTGGACTTTACGATGATTCTATGAAGCTCTTCAATGGCCTGAACCTTTGGGTCAACACGGCCGATGAAATTGAGGTTGACATTTCGAACACACCTATCGGTGATGATGTTTGGAACGGCAGTGGATCTTCCACATCCACTTCGAGCTCCGCCGCTCCCTCTACAGCTAACAGCTCGATCAAATCCAGCTGCAGCCTCTAGATCAACGGAGCTACTGAGCCTCGTGATTAGGACTCACCATTGGGACCATTTCAAACAAGTTTGTCTCTCACTTTGTGAGCGGTCACTGCAAATCCAATACAAGCTAGAATGGATCTCGGCCCTTCAACTAGGTGGAATTATAGGGAAAGTGCTAAGCCGCATTCGGTGCGTTGGGCCTGAGAGCCGCTGTCTGAGACTATTGCCGTTGTTGCTTTAATATCTTGGTATTTATACTGGTCCTGGACAGTGTAGAATTCAATTTGATTCGTTTTTCGATACTCTCACCTGTATTTAAACATGAGAATGTGATGCGCCTGCTTGCTGATATTTGCTGCTCACACTCTCGGTGTCAAGAAGCATTGAATATAGGCGAAGTCCTGGCCAAGGTTAGTTCAAAGAGGAAAAAGTTAACCCAACAAGAGCCTAGAACATCCAAATGAAAGCTATCAGACTGTCTGGCATAAAGCTGAGTTTTGTCTTTGATTTTCTGGAGGCCACGGCGAAGCATGACAGAACGACAGATCAATAGGTATGAGCGGATGGAAGCATACATTGATATAGCAAAGGATCGACAAGACTATCCAGGATTGCAGAATGACACAAGCAATTAGGTTCGACTTGGTACCAAATAATGAAGGACGTGGATATGCAGGTGTATTTTTCTATTAAACATTCGCCGAGACTTTAGATGGAATATTACTTACTCTTGCTCAGCCTCCTACTGTCATTTGTACGTCGATCAAAGATATGGCACGATGAAAACGCGATGGCCGGTTGGGCTGCTTGACTTCGTGTCTATGTCTAGCTGGATTTTCTTTCACAGCCAACTACCAATCAAAAGCGTGTCTATCTATGTTGTACAAACGCAGTGGCGAAGAGCTTGATAACGAAGATAAAACTGCCGAGGTTTATATGTAGGTATTTTGGTATTAATTAACTTTTGCACATCGACATTGGAACCATTTCCCATCACATCAGGAACTCAAGTCTCGAACAATGAGGAGAAACGAAATGCAAAAGCATTGAAAGGTATCTATTCACCAATGAGGTAACATATCCGTGACTTCAAAAGTTGTGAAGGCGCCAATTGGTAGTCGGCGCAAACCAACAAATACGTCGACAATCATATATCCCCGAGCACTAACATACATAAAGATTATTGGAAGAATAATACCAACTTCCCAACGTAAGATAGGTTTTGCCTCCCTTTGCTCTTTTTCAAAAGCGTCTAGCTCATTCCGGTAGTGGTTACCCAAGTGAATTTCACGGCATGCCAATAGCAAAAGAAGAAAACAAGACTGTACTGCTTTATGACTCAATAAATTGGGCCCCAAGACTGACTTAGCTGTCCCATACCTAGGCTACCGTCCAATCATATCATTCCACTTCCATCCGTTTCTTCTCGAAGTCCCCATGGATTTACGGCTTGTGATTGGCTCATCTTTAATATACAGGGTTTGGAAAGGAGAGTGCAGTGTAAGCCGATATGTACTGGCTGCCCAAAGTGTCTTTCGTAGTCGAGTTATGTCAGGAAGCAGAGTTTTGCCGTTATTAACCCAGAGCTAAGGTGGCCTCTCCTGGTATAAGAGAAGAAGCTGTATTTTGTTTCCCGATGTGGAGCTTTTCACCGCATTCGAAAGTAACTTCGGCATGAATATAGTAGGCAACGCTGCACAATTCAGGGCAGAATCGATCTTCTTTAAAGCAGATACTCGGAGGAAGTTGACAATGGTCATGTTTGAACCTGTCCTGTTAGAGGTAGAAGACGTAAGCGCGAATCAAGAGCCTCCGAATATGTTTATCCTAGGAAACGTCCACTTATGTAAACAGTCATCATTCCAAAATTATATGTATGACTCGTGAAAGAAAATATAAGAAGATAATTTAGGATATACAGTGATCGTCCAATTCAATTCCGATTGAGAACAGACATTCTTTGAAGAGGTAGTAAACTATTCACTACATTTCCTAGCTAGTGGCACAACACCCAGCGAAGTCAACAAAACTATCGAGCACTACCACCGACTTTAGGCATTCATGAAAAACTTCCAGGTAGCATCGGGAGCAAGAGAACTCTGAACACCCAAAGGCGCACCAACATGTCCCCCATCATATGCAATAAACGAAACCGGCTTGGAGCACCCGCGGAAGTCCGTTCGGACTGAACTGCCACTTCCCGGCCACGGCTTGCTGATAGTTGCTGGCTGACACTTGTTGTTTCCAACAAACTTATTTGCCAGATTCACACCTCCGTCGAAGGGCAGCACCGAATCGCTGATTCCATGGATCCCCAAATAAGCAATAGGGTCATTACCTCCCTCACATCCACTAATCACACCACCACTCAACACGCTCACAGCCTTGAACTCCTTCGCCCGCGAACAGGCAAGTGCGTAGCTCATCCCACCGCCCCAACTGAAGCCCGTCGCGAAGCGAGAGCTCGGGTCCACACAAAGTCCACTCTCAACTTCTTTGATGATAGCATCGATGAGGGCCACATCTTCGCCGTTGTTGTTGGCCCAGCCGGCGTTCTTACCGTTAGGAGCCACCAGGATCGCGCTCCCCTGCGCTCGGCTTTCGAGGCCGTACCAAGGTTGGATGCTATCGCCGTTGACGACGGAGTACATGTTGCCACCTCTCCAGTGAAGGGCAAAGACAAGGTGATGTGGTTTGTTTGAGTCATAGTTATCAGGGACTTTGAGGATGTACTCTCGGCCATTGATCTTGTGGACACCATTGGCAAGAGCGGGGGTTTTGCCGCAGCCTGAAGATGAAGCGGCGTTGACTGAGCCAAGGAGGCCCAAGGTCAAGATAGTAGAGAGCAGCATCTTGTATTGACGGAAGAACGATATGATAGATGAAGGAATTGTGGTGGACTGGAGGTAGAGTAGATCGGGCTTCATGGGCATTTATATAGTGCTTGGTGAGGTTCAAGCTTGGACAGCTAACATGGTCACCGAAATTTTGCCCCAAATAGCAACGGACCCCTGGATGATCATTCTTCGAATGGTTAGAAGTCCGTTTCCACACTCCTCATCCACGGCGGGTGTCTTTCCAGATACAGCAACAAGCCTGGTCGAGCCGTAGCCGGGTAAATGCCGTGCAGTGACTGAGGATCATGGTTAAAAGTGATATTGACTGGACAAACCCATTGCTGAGACACGGGCGGGATATGTTGACGTTGTTTCTTTCGGTCGGAGAAATGCCAAGAGGAGATGCAATATACTTTTCAGGGTCCAGATCAGCGCCCTGCACAAAGTGGAGCAAAAAATTGGAGCACATGTAACCAAAGCTCCAGTCAAAGGTTTTGAATAGACAGCCATGTCCTAACTTCTGAATGTCTGTATGCCTATTGGTGGGCATGTGCACCTAATCAGGCTATATTTCAGCATACGCTGTAACAGACGTTATGGTTAAAACCTTAGTCAACGGAGCCAAGACCTTGGGTTTTCAGCCTATTTGTCATGTCGCTTCTTAGTACATGAAACCCTGCAAGAGATTGAGTTGCCAAGCGTATACCGGCAAGTGGTAGGCATTCTTCCTGCCGAAGTGTATTTAGATCTGATCCAAAAACATTTTGGGCGTCAAATGTCTGTCTCTTCTTGCAAGCTATGACCTCCTGTCATGTTTCATGTTATCGGTTCAGAATATGCAGTTCCGTGGCCAAACGTCGTGTGACTAACTTTTGGCAAGTAGGCTTAAAAACAAGACAAGAGATAGTAAAACCGTGCGTGAGCCGAATAAAACGTGAAGCGACAGGGCCTTCAAAAACAGCGTCAAACCCCACGCCTAGTTTTAGCCTTGTTGTCAGACAAAGTAGTCTCAACACATGCACTCTTCTCTAGGCTAGCCCTAGACTAGCAACGGTTGAAAGGGTTCCTGTCATGCGCATTCAGCAAGTTGAGCATAGACATTACTTTACCCGTGACGCTGAGTTTTGTTTTTTTGGTTACGGGGGAGCAGTTTCAAAACTTCGTAGGCCGTGTATCTTCATGTCGAAAATGTTCAGGCTCTCAAGACCGGGAGAGCAAAGGCATGATCAGTGAGCTTGCGATGCCAGTTATGTGTCTGAGACGGAGTTTGCTTGATCTCGTCTCTCCCTCCATACTTTCTCGGGAAGATGGATTCAAAAATAAATATCACGCTCTTTGGTTTCTGTATTCACAAAACCACGGTTTAGTGAGCCAAAGACTACACATAATCGTATTTTTTTCGTCGTCACCCAGACCTACAACGTAGTGTAGCTGGAGTATTGACAGACCCACATCACTCACGTGCTGTTGGTTGTTGCCCTAGACAACCAACCCTGGAAGGTCAACACATCTTTGACCTATCGATCGTTCGAAACAACGCGATCTCCCATGTACATTATATTGATGTTTGTTGTATATTTAACCTAGATTCTTGATAGAGATTTACCCCTCTCTCCCCCGCGTTGAAGTCGATCCCTTGATTAACTTCACCGCTTCTCTGCACATTCCTGAACACAGACCAAAAACGTTTGGGAATACAATACCCATTATTGATCTCATTGCTTTCCAAGGTTATCTCTCCTTCTCCTTTGAAATACTCGGCATTATGGCTGGCTTTCTCGATGAAGCATTGGCTCTCACCTCATCAAGATCGACCCCAAGACGACGTGAAATAGTATGCATTTTCCCCGATAACTGCCCTGATTTCACTAGTTTCATGGATTGTTCCCTCCCTATGAAGACGTCTGTCCGAAGTACCATTCAAACCCCTCGAGCAGATACGAGGATCAAAAGCCCCAAAGCACAAGCTGCTCGACCTCGGACAACAAAGTCGTTAGCATCTACTCGAAAAGCTCCTCTTCGGCAAAACTCCAACCCTCCCCAGCCTGGAGCCATTATGTTCGATATCCCTGGTAGAGGAAGTGGCAAGGAGAATATCCCACCTGGAATGTCTGGCAATTTCAGCGTGAAGAGCAAACCGATTGGTCTTTCACCCGTATGTCGAACGACTCATCAAACCGAACGAAAGAATGCTTCCGCAAAAAGCTCCCAGATGAGACCCAGAAATACACGCGAAAAGCCAGCAATCCGAACCGCGATTGGTGAAGTCCGAGGGAATAATTCCATTGTCCCGAAACCACGACTGCAGACTTCAGTCGCCCCCCAAAGCCAAGCCTCAAGTTGGACAGATGTGCGAGCTTTCCTGCAATCAAATCGAGATTTCCAAAGCAGTTATATCGCAACTACTGTGATAGAACTTGTCCGCCAGTACTGGATGTTCAAAGGGAATATTGAGTGCAAGAGGCGACCGGGACGAAGCGCATTGATTTGTGAGTCAAATGGCATGTTTCAGCTCGTCTGCAGGGTGGGTCGTTTAGAGTAATTGCTGACTTTAAGTTGCTAGCTTTTTTTAAAGGCCCTTGCGCTCCTTCCACCAGTCTGACCATTGAGTCTGCCGCTCCAGCCCCAACTGCCCTTTCTTCATGGGTCCTCCACACGCCTAGACATGAGCAGTTTGCTGTGGTCATCCAGCGAGCGTGGCGCTCCTACATGGAACATCTAAAAGAGAGCCAGTCCGCCATGGCCGCCAATGTCAGAATCAAATGGGCGACGGGGGTGATCGCTCGTTGGTGGTGTAGGGTCAGATCCAGTCAAAAGCGACAGAAGACGCCCAGACGCAAGCCTGCTGCTCGGCGATCCGCTGGTCATCAAAGCCGCGGCCGCGTGGGCATACGCCGGCTCTGAAGACCCATTTTTCTTCTTTCATTTCTCTACTTCATTTCTCTTGTTTCTATTTAGTGATACCCTTACAAGTTTTCATTCTTCACCATTCAGATCCCTACATCGTTTTATCAACACCTGTGTGGGCAATCATTGCGGCAAATGAAGCTTTGAGATGAAAGTATTGGCTTCGTATGTTCATTGATGCCCAGTGTAGAAGACTTATTTCATTGTGCAATTATAGATGAACCAATGTATTTGATGACACAACAAAGCCAATAGCCTGGGGTAAGTGAGGTGTGATTATAATGCGGACCGAACTACCTGAACGAAGGTCCCGGCGTACACGGCCAGATATGATCCATCGAACCAAAAAGTCGGTATCTCGGCGTCTCGGGCTCCGACAAGTGGCTTACACCCCCTGTGCTTGACTGATCCACCGATCCCTGTTGAAGAAACGATGCGGCTAAACGACAGAATCTACTTCGCGATCCTGGCATCGCGCTAACCGCATTGGGTAATATCGTCGGAATCCGAGATGGGCAGCTCCTTTTCAAGACAAAGCAGGCAGGCAGAACGCGAAGATTCGTCTGTCGGGCTCCTGTCGCGTCCGATGAGGCACTTAACTCCGTCTGGTCCATGATTTATTATCTCTTCTTCTTGCTGTGCCTTGGACCTTTTCGATATTGTGTTCCCGTCTTCAATTCAAACCGAGTATAGAATTTTGATAATTTTCATCGATTGATCTTGGTCAACAGCATGTTTGGAAAGGAGAATGATATGGAGAAGGACATGTCCACTGTGACAATTCCTACCTCTTACTCAAGTGACGAAGCCAAGAATAATGCCTTGGACAGCAGCAGCAGCGGTCATGAAAGTGACTCTGTTGAGAAAGTGGAGGATGACTATCCCAAGGGATTGCGGCTGTTTTTCATTGTGATCGCGTTGGTTATCAGCATGTTTCTACTTTCGCTTGATATGGTACGTTTTCCTGTACTTCCAACCAGAAACCTAATGCTAAGCTTCGGGTCATATTAGACCATCATCGCCACAGCCATCCCACGTATCACCGACCAGTTTCATAGCACTGGAGACATCGCTTGGTATGGTTCCGCCTTTTTCATGACCCTGGGAGGATTCCAGTCAATGTGGGGAAAGATCTACAAGTTCTTCTCGCTGAAGATTTCATTCCTTGCCGCCATCATCATATTTGAAGTTGGCTCTCTGATCTGCGGAGTTGCGCCTAGCTCGAACGCTCTGATTGTCGGACGTGCTATTGCAGGCGTGGGAGCTGCTGGCTGCTCATCCGGAGCATACACCATTCTCGGATACGCAGCAGAGCCCGCCAAACGGCCGATGTTCACCGGCATCATTGGAGCATCCTATGGCATCGCATCTGTCATTGGTCCTTTGATCGGCGGCGCTTTCAGTGGTAGTGTCTCTTGGAGATGGTGCTTCTACATTAACCTGCCTATTGGCGGTGTATCAGCCTTCATAATCCTCTTCTTTTTCCAGAACCCAGCTGCCGCCAAGCCAATCGACATTCCCTTCCGCGAGAAGCTGCTACAGATGGACCCTCTTGGTGTAGCTATGGTTATGGGCGGTATCATCTGTTACATTTTGGCCCTGCAGTATGGTGGACAGACACACTCTTGGAGCTCATCTCTCGTCATCGGACTTTTAGTCGGATTCGTCGTCATCTTCGCTGCCTTCGGAGTATGGGAGTTCATGCAGGGGGATCGCGCTATGGTACCTGGTCGGTTGATCAAGCAACGCACGAACCTCGTTTCTTGTGTATATTGGTTCTTCTTCGGTGGTGGTTACTACATCCTGATCTACTACCTCCCCATCTACTTCCAGAGTATTGATGATGTCAGTCCAGTGCAGTCTGGTGTGCGAAACTTACCTTTGATCCTCGCTGTGATGGTGGCAACCATTGCTTCCGGCGGTGCTATCACTGCCACCGGTCTGGCAACTCCTATCCAAGTCGTGGGCAGTCTATTTGCTGTTGTTGCTACAGGCCTGCTCTATACTCTGGATATTGGCAGTCCAAGTGGCAAGTGGATCGGTTTCCAGATCTTGGCTGGTATTGGCTACGGTCTCGCTTTCCAAATTCCCATGATTGTGGGACAAGCCACAGCGAGTGCCGGGGATCTGCCAGAAGTTACTGCCATCATTCTTTGTGAGTTTCTATCACCACACTCTCTCATCACTTACGCAAAGCTAACCGTGGGATCTAGTCTTCCAAACCGTCGGTGCCGCCATGGCTGTCTCCGCCGCGCAATCTGCCTTCTTCAACCAGATGCTCATCAAAATCACCACATCTGCTCCATCGGTCGACCGGACCTTGCTTATGATGGTGGGTGCCACAGATCTCCGAGCAAACTTCACAGCGGAGCAAATGCCTGGCGTGTTGATTGCCTACATGAGCGGCCTGAAGACAGTATTTGCCTTGGCAATCGCTGTAACTGGAGTTGCATTATTGATCACAGCACTTGCTTCAAAGTGGCAGAGACTGGACACCGAAGCTATCAAGAACGGAGGAGCTGCGGCATAAAGACTCTTAGAAAGGATTTATATCGACGTCCTCTGATGGGTTGATGTAGATAGTCTCGGCGTGCAGGCTATCTTGATTCTTGCTGATGAGTATACGAGTCTGTTTGTGTCCAACTTTTTGGAAATCATGAGTGAAGATGTTAATTGCTATAATACCAAGCTTCAATCTGAAGCGCAAAAATGAAGAACGCCACATATGCTGTGGAAACAACCTTTAAACTTATTTCAACTAATAAATTAGGGTCCGCATAACGTATTTAACTACCGAGCCGCCATAACCCCCGAGTCGCCACCCCAGCCTAACCCATTGAATTTAAATGCATTTATCTCAACCAAAACGCCATCAATTTTATTCAACTAAGAAATGGTCTATCTGGGCATGTCTCTCTCCTATGCCCTGGCAACCTGCATATTCCACACCCCCTGGGGGCCGCGTCCGCGGTCGAATAGCCGGTTCCCCCGCTATGTGAGGGCCAGGGGGAGGTGGTTCAATTACTCCCTCTGCCTGCATATTTAATGTTGAGGTATCTAAAACTGAGAGGCCCTCGGCCGAGGGTATATACCTTCGAGAACTAGTCCGCTTCTGCTTCTTTTTCTCGTTTTCGGCTCGTAACCCGCGTACTTCTTTCTCCAGAAAAGCACTCGATTGCATCTGAATTTGGCAGGCCTTTAGAACATGGTTTATCGCATTATTAAGTGGGCTCGGAGGACTCCGGGATCTCGTATGAAGCAATGCTTTGATTGATGTAGCCTGCTTTAGTAATTGTGTACAGTTCGAAGGCGTTTTTGGTTCCCACTCGCTCTCTTGACTTGAGAGGGGGGTCGGGGTTCGAAGGCGAATACTGAGCTTTGTAATTACTCGATCAGGTGAAAAAGGTACTAGACCAGCTGCTCCGAAGCTATTGATAATAGTATCGGATTTGAATGTCTCGGAGCGGGCGGAAGGGTAGGCTTCGAGGAAATCAAGTTTGTCGATATGGTTACTCCCATTCCGCATTTTGGTTTCAACAAGCCGACCGTACGAACGTTTTAGCACCGCAAAACAACCAATATCGAGCGGCTGTAAAAGGTGGGATGAGTGCGGAGGCATGCAGATTGGGATAATGTCGTTTTCTTCGCAGATCTTATCGAAGTTCGGGGTTAAATGACTTCCGTGGCCATCGAGTATTAAAAGTCGATATCGACCCTTTACCCTTAAAGAAGTCGATGGAATGAAAAGCTTTTTAAGCCATCGAAGTCCAATTTCATCAGACGTCCATCCATTCGGACTAATCTCAAATCGCCAGTCATCGGGAAGGTTATCGAACCATCCCTCAATATAGATTCTACCTTTAAAAATCACAGTCGGAGGAAGTACCCATCCCGAAGCATTTATACACTCAATCGTAGTTACCCACTCGCGATTTCCAGGCTGTAGAAGCGATCGCCGACCATAGTATTCACTCCTTGTAATAACCCTCGCGGTTGACGTTAATCCCATCGCGAAACCAGTCTCGTCGAAGTTATAAACGTCGTCGGGGTTGATCCCATATTGGATAATAGTTTGTTGGACGAGAGTAAACCACTCCCCGATGATTTTTGGATCTTCGCATTTTGCACGCTCATAATTATAGCGCCTCGAGAATCTACTCGATAATTCGGGATGCCTTTTCACATACTTTGTAACCCAATTCTCACCGACCGAAGGAGCCGGGGTTATTCCGCGTGATTCGAGTAAAAGATTCGCCATTTCTCGAACTGCAGAAGGCCGAGGGGCTGATCCGCGAGCATCCATAGAGAGTATCCAATTTTGAAGGGAATCTTCTTCAATCTCTGTGAGTTTATGTGAATTTGCGCGTACAATTCTTCGCTCGGTGCGGCCGGAGATACGATCGCGTAAAGTGGAACGTGGTACATTGAAAGTGCGAGCAGCGAGAGAAACAGTAGCGATATCTTGTTTCTTAAGAGCTTGTATTGCTAATAAGATCCTACCCTCCTGCTCTACTGAATTTCGAGAGGTTTGGGGGCGAATTGGTGGCATAGTGGATGGTTGAATTAATTAAGTGCTAATTCATGGACATGTTTTAGATTATGTGGCGACTCGGGGGTTATGGCGGCTCGGTGGTTAAATACGTTAGAGTTCAATGTCCTGTCGAGTATAATGAACACGCGCTGACCTCAAAATCCAACCTATTAAAGCCATAAATTTGATCATTAACCACAAAATATCTATTTTCGATTGAGGAGTATATTCTATCATCACTAAATAGCTCCATATACTGGTATGATAAAAAATTGGGTGAGCGATAAGCCCAATTCGTGGGCTACGGAGATTGCCGTTATAGTATTGGGCAGCCCAACCAACAAAAATGACAACGTCCAAAATTCCAAGCATGATGCACAAAGCATTTTTGTTTACAATAATGCATCATCCAATAACCAATAGCCTAAATCTTATTCTTGGAATACTCAAGGTCCCGGAATCCGTCAAACACCTGGGCATGTAGTTGATTAACTCTCCGAGTCTTCCTAATCGGGAAGTATAACTCCCCGATTAACTCCAAACAGCCATATATTTCTCGAAAAACATCGCCAGTTCTTCTTCTATCATTCCACCATTAAGTACGCAAGTCTCTTCACAGGGCGTGATTACCGCCCAAAAAGCCAACCATGTCTTTCTCACCAATCCCCTCCTACCTCCTCGGTGGAGTCTTCCTGGCCTTCGGCCTTCTTCCATTCTTCAGCGCCGAAAAGGACTACGAAGCCTTCGGCCTCCCTCTCGAACAAGAAAACGAGACAAAGGGCGCATCGAAATCTGACCACAACTCGTCTCTTCTGCAAACCCAAAAGCAGATCAACGGCTCTGTTTCTCCTCTGGCCTATGCCCGCGGTATTCGCGATGCAACCTATGGCTTGACTTATCTTCTTCTCCAGGCTCAGGGCCAGGAGATTGCGCTCACTACTTTCACCGCAATTGTTAGTATCACCGCTGTTGCTGATGCGCTGATTGTGGCGCGTTTTGGGGGTGAGAGTCGACGGGGAAAGATTTGGGGGCATCTTGTGACTGGTATCATGTTGGGAGGCTGGGCCTGGTGGAGAGTTTGAATTGGAACTGGAAACAGAGCCGAACTGGGTTAAAGATGTGGATTGCATGAACGATTGGAATTTGATTTGATGAATGACATATTCTGAGATAATGGATATTGAGCAACCGAATATTTCTTAGCGGGAACTATGAACTATGGATGCGACGTATCTGATGCTCAATGTGTTGTTTGCAGCGACTGTGAGAATCAACTTCTCGGATGTGATGTGATGACAGTGATTCTGGGCAAGGGTATATAAGTTAGAATATTATATACCCCAGTAAGCGCCCAGATTCTTAAAGAGCAAGCCATAAATGTCTGCTCGTGTATGTATGCTTCGTTAGCGTTAGGTAAATGAAGGCCCAGATCTTACGGCTTTTCCTAAGCAGTGACGAGATCCGCCTTGGCTGCATGAACCTCCTTCAGCAAGTGGGTCACCAGCTGGTCATGTGCGACCCCTGGGAGCCCAGTCGACTGGGACTCGGGCTCGGCTTCGAATCCCGACATCGCTTTGGGGTGCGGGTTCCTGGTCTCCCGAATTCGGGCCGAAAGAGTCTCGACCAGGCGTTGCATGTGCCGCAATTCACCTAAAGTGACTTGCGTCTGAATGGTCAGCCCCAGCGCCTGGTCGTCAACCGAATGATCTCCGATCGTAACAGGTTGGTGAACCACTTTCTCTAACGAGGTGTCCTCGTCGAGTGCGCTATTCGCGCCATGGCGGCCCAAGAAGCAGGTGCGGATCATCGCACGATACCACGCGATTAGCTTGGAACAGATGATTGCCAGCATTAGCTGATTTTGGGGGCGGAGAGCACAAGCACACTGTAGCATGCGACAGACTGACATGCCCGCGTCCTTGTTGCATTTGAGGACTGATCCAGACATGCGTGGTTGCTCAGGTCCACTGGTGTCATGACTGCCACAGCAGCTGGGGCCGGGCCGGCGCGATAGACAACTGTTTTGACGGATGTGAAGTGACCGGAGGGATTGTGTTGCAGTTATCATGCAAGGAGGGCGTTGTTGTGCAATACAGGAGGCTGCTGCGGTTGGAGGCGGTGGTGTTGGAAATGGGGTGAGTATCGACTCTGGAACGGCGAAGGGTGGGGTGGAGAGCGGCTGAGCGGGGATTCGATCGGAAAAATAGTCGGGAAGCGTGGAGCAATCAAGCATGGGCTCATCGTGGTCGTTGAATGCGTGAGATTCTGGACCAGCTGCAGGAACGGAGCAGAGATCTGGCCTAGCGCTAATAGGGAGCGAGGATGTAGATATAAAGGGATCCAGGTACAGATCGGCATCAAGATCAACATTTAGGTCGAGATCTAAGTCGTTGAGACATGATCCTGCGAACAATGATGTGTTGGACTCTGCAGACTGATCAAACAGATCGTCATGGGCTGTACATTGAGGGAAAAGGGATCGCCAGTCGTCGGTCCCATGTGGCAAAGGAAAAGACATGGGATCTTTAAGGAAATCCGGATCGGTTGGATCCAAGGCTTCCATTGTACGGTCGGTGTTACCAGATCCCCTTTGAGAAAACCCCGCGGCTTGGCTGAGCCGCCAAGAAGAGCCAGGGGGACGGGGTTCTTTGGGGGGTAGTAGGTGATGGGTACAAGTGCAAGAAACAAGACAGGGTTTCTCCATCGCGAAACAAAGAAAACCAGGCTAACTCTATAAAAGTCTTGGCATAGACTACAAAGAAAATTCCACACTCGAAGGGAATACACAGGCCACTTATATCGTAAGGATTATTGCTTGAAAAGCAATTGGAATGAGCGTCATTCAGGAGAAAAACAGCATAAAAAATAAACTAAAACCATGTCGAGTTTCAGCCGAAGCTGGACCGTGGGGCCGTTTCCCGGTTATGAGCGCAAGATCCCCAGATTTACGCTAATAATGCATAATAAAGGGTTGTACTCCGTACATCAAACAGATTTCCTCTTCGGACAATTACGATCGACTACTTTTTCTTTCTGGCCTTGCTGGCGTATTTCGAATCGTGCTATTAATTGGACCAATAATACAAAGTTGACTGAATGTTCCACTGCAACATCGGCCCCGCTACGCTCGATATAGACTAGAGCCTCAATTTGTCGCTAAAACTATCCACATTCACCAAATCTACTCTGTAGATAGGTACATCCACCGAGATGCAGAGTGCTAGTGTGAAATTTGTTGACGATTAGCTAAATTATCACGAAAGACATTCTACATGCCAACATCGGTTAGAAAATCAAGCCTAGGCGGTGGAGTTGATATTGGTTTGTGCTTACTGAAAATCTTAGTTGCTTCATGAAAGCCCCCAATGGTTATCTGCTCCGAATTAAGTCAGCCACCGGGATACTGTGCTACTATTGCGCTTGGCCATCGTTGGGCAAGATACACCTGCATATTTGTGAAGCAAATGTAAGCCTTGACCACCTTGGCACAGTTCCTGCCTACATACAGATTGGGAAATGGGTAATGTGCCGAGTGCAGGGATTCCCAAGATTCATATTTCCATTTCCCAATTGATCGACCTACAACAAAATTTCAGTGTAGTATACGTCGTACCTGCTCAGCCTTCCAGATTATATAGAGGTTGCAAACTGGACAATAACCTCACATTCCACGCAATCTAGGACGCAATTTCTCGAAACCCCACTTTACTTAACATGCTCAAATGCAACGACGGACAATTCGCCAATTGCCTACATATGGATCATGTGGATTAGGCGTCTCGTTTAGTTTTACAATCGCGGGAGATTGTCGCTTTCCGTGACCCACTGTGTCCAGGCAAGTTGTCAATAGGACGCGTTTGATTTTGAAATTAATACATATGTGTACCTGTCAAATTTTTGTTTGAGAAGATGAGATCGAGGCTCTATTTATCATTACTTAGCTCGACTTGTATTTGCGTTCTATAAGTGAAATGAAAATGAAATGGAATTGAGACCGTGGATGCTGACCTGAGAGTGGAACCTCTAACCAACTATAGTTTAGCGCTTATTTTTAGCTCAGGCTTAGCGTCAACCTTGGAACGGGAACCTGGGAAAGTTTCAACGAGGTTCGCCCACTTCATTTGTTTATATCTGTCCTATTGTCATATCGGAATAAGTCTAGACAAATATCCACACTACCTCACTCGCATCCTCGTACTTTTAGTCCTCTGAAAGAGGGGCAGAAGTGGGCTGGAAAATGACCACGAGGCTAGCCAATAATGCTAGATAAATGGCTGAAAGGAAAAATTCTCTTTCTTTAAACCACTTGATAACCATTGACGCCATGGATCGCAACCGTATCCAGTCCTCGCGCTCCTCTAAAACTACTTCTCCACCTCTCACGTCACAAACGCAAAAGCTCAAAGATTCCTGCGACAAGTGTTCTTCATCTAAAGTGCGCTGCACGAAAGAAAAGCCATCTTGCGCTCGGTGCGATAAGCTTGGATATACATGCTTTTACAGCCCAGCAAGACGGGTTGGCCGACCTTATCGGTCAAAAGAACCATCCTCCGAGGAGAAAGATAACGAGGAGTCGGACCGAGCTTCTACAAAAAATACACCGACGACTCGCTTTGTAGATGAGAGTGTAAGAATATACTCCCGCTTCAATGCAGCCACCTCAGTCGATGCCAGCCTCAACAGCACAAGCTCGGCTTCTGTTATCCAAAACAATTTCAACCCATCAGAGTCAAATCCGGCAAAGCATCGTGACATTGACCCTGACTGCGTGCTAGTTGCTTTGGACTTATTTGCGGATCTGGAGGTTCCAGCAGAACAATTGAGACGAGCATCGCCCGTTGACTCGGCTCTGCTCAACGCAACCGCTCAAACAATCACATCAGCCTTTCGCCAGCTCTCCACTATTTTGATTTGTCCTTGTTCTGAGCGGGCGGAGGTTGGCATGCTAGTTTCTGCGATGTGTATGTCCATCATTGATATGCATGTTATGACGATTGCCAAATTTGCTCGAGATCAGCCGCCCCCTGCGGTTCTTGACCAAACAGCGCCTTGGGAAAGTCCTGGTGTTGGGCCTCATAGGTCACCTGAGCATGAAGCTACGGCTATGCGAGTGTTGGGCGAGCTTTCTAAAGTGGCCAAGTTGATTCTTCAATTCACGGAGCGATACAATGATGGGAATGGAAGCTTGAATAGAAGCAACGGTAGAAAGAATGGGTCAGAATTGCCGGCAGGGTTTTTGCCATCAATGGCTACATTTTTGCGAGAGAGATTGCAGCAGATCACCAATGATACAACTTATTGGCTTGGGTAGACTCGCTTCTTGGTCTCGCTTTTTGATGGGAGTTTGGTTACGATATTGTCATTAGCAAAAAAACAGTGTTTCAAAGGAGTTTTATATACGCAAACGAATTATAATGCACGATACTATGTTCTCTTTATACAATTAGCAATACTCTTTCAGCCAATTCTTGAACTCCTTCACAGTAGGACACTCCAAAAACAAAGAGCTCTTGACTTCCAGTCCCAATTCACTGCGGAATTTCTCCGACAAGACAAGAGACATGAGTGAGTCGACACCAAGCTCCGCAAAAGAGGATTCATCGGTTAGATGAGAGATTGGATACCCCGCCTCTTGAGCAATCAATTTGACGCAGTCGGTAATAATAGAAGGTTCATCATTCGTCGCAGTGGAGGCGCTAGATGGTGCTGGTGGCGGCACTGTTATCATTGTTGCTTCTGGGACAGGAGCGGGAGAAATCTTAGATTTAGACTTTTCAACCGCCAGACGCATGGCTGACCGAGGGACGGATGGAGATGCAGGCTGGAGTGCACATGCTTTTTCGGGTGAAGCATTCCTACCAGTAGCAGCAGCATGAGCATTGAATAAAGTGCCCATAACAGCCCTCGGCATGCGCCTAAACTTGATCTCACCCAGCATTCCCACGATCTGCTCCCCACGAAGCACGTACAAATCTCCGAGGAAAGTGTTCGGATCGCTTTCATCAGGGACCATGCGAACATAACTTTGGTACTTAACGCCAGCCTCGAACTTCTCAATGCAACGCAAGTCGGTCCATCCGGGCGTCAGGTACACGAATTCCTTCGTATTTGTCGCGTCGCTTCCATTCATAACAAATCCAGCCAATTGGAAGAGACTGTCGATCCAGTGGGGTGGAGTGTGCCATTCCCCGTGTTTATCCGCTGATAGGACGATCTCCGCACAGGCCTCATACTGATTTAGCACAACGGACTGCATCCCTTGGTAGCGCGGGCTGTAGTCCACGATATTGCGGAACAGGTTGTAAATCATACTTGTTGAAAGTCGATTGGCTGTTCCTGTTGAGGCCATTTTCTGCAGAGAGTTGATGCGAGAGTTTAGGAGGTGGCTTTGACGGTGCCATTCCTTTTTCCACCTGGTGGAGCTCTCGTAAATGATTGTTGCAGTAGCAAACGATTCTTTCGATCGTTGGCCATCGGTGGACAGGTTGTACCACGCAATCTCTGCGGTGGAGGTGGCTCGATCAAGGGTCGCTTCGATGTGGAGAAGCTGGGGTCCGACAGCTTCTTGTTTGATCTTTTGGGCGTGTTGGACGCTCATATTCGTGACATTCATTAGAGGGTCTTCTTTCGAAGAAGAATCTTTTTTGTACAGGTATGAGCCTAGTGTCAAGGCCATGTCTGTCCAAATTGACTGTTCCGAACGGGTCAGTATGGTTAATATTCGTTGAAAAGGCAGAATAAAACTCACAGCAGTAACTACTCCAACACCATTAATAGTGTGACCAAGAACGGCATCCAAAATATCAGACCTTTTCACATCAGTGACAGCGACGACCTCAACATTTGAATCAGAAATCTTCTGCGAAACAATTTGTTGCACAGACGCACTGTTGAGAGGCTGCCCAGTTGGTCTTGCTTTCTGTCCTCCGTTAGGAATAGCCTTGTCGAGAGCCCATGTCCCTTCGTACTGAATCCAGTGGTTTTTGTCATTCCACTGATATGCGCTCAGCCTCAAGACGTTGTATGCGTGTTCGTTTGGCTTGAAATATTCATTCCAACACACAGGGAGTCCTTCACAGTGCATCTTCGCCATGGTCCTGGTCAAGGTGACATTATTGTCTTCACTTCGACGCAAGGACTCGACAACATTTGCGCCCGAGTCATGGGCTCGGACAAAAGAGGCTGACAATGGGTGTGGGCCAATCTCCAGCCAAACCGACTTTTCGGTAATTCCAAGCTCGCGGGCGGCATCAAGGGCGCCAATATAATTGACCTTTTCGCGAGATGCTCGGGAAAGGTACCTTGCGTCCACTGTGTTGCTGTCGAAAACGCATTTCGCAAGCAGCGGCGAGATGATGGGCAGCTGAGGTGGGTGGAACGTGATGTGCTTGGCGATGTTCTCAAATTCCTCAAGAATAGGATCAATCTGAGCAGAGTGGAACGCATATGGGAGATCCAGTTGCATGCATTTGATGTCGCTGGCCTCCAAGACTGATTGAATGGCCTCGATCTCCTCTCGCATGCCACTAATGACAGTCGAGTTGTGATCGTTCAGGCATGAAACCTCATAAGCGTAAACATGATCGCCCGCGAGTTTTTGAATCATATCAATGCCTGAACGAACAGACAGCATGACATGGCTTCCAGGCTTACAGGTAGCTACCAAGAGCTCTGCGCGTCGGCCAACAAGATAAATTGCATCTGCGGCTGATATAACTCCTGCAGCGACCAATGCAGCATATTCGCCTAGACTGTGGCCAATGACGATGGAAGGTCGAATACCCAGCAGCTCCCAGAATTTGACCAGTGCGATTTCAAGCACCAAAATCGTGAGCTGGGTAACTATTGAAGAAACATCATGACTTTCCTGCTTGTCTTCAATTGCTGGAACAACACGCGGGAAACCCAGATGCTGGCATAACCGATCTAGCTGAATGACATGGTCACGGAAGAATGGGAAATCCCTAAACAGCTGGGCACCCATCCCTTGATAAAAAGCACCTTGTCCCGTAAAAGCAAAAGCAACGGTGGGGGCCGTGACTGGAATGGGCCGTAAGCTGTCGACTCCTTCCGTAGACGACTCTAGGAAGCTTCGGAGTTGGGCTTTGCTCGTGATAGATGTTGCAATGCGGGTTCCATGGTGCATCCGACGAGCACATGTTGTGTAGGATAAATCTCCGAGACTTACTTCAGGGTGAACATCCATGAACTTGAGAAGAGCCTTGATATTCTTCCGAAGCGACACCTTACTTTTGGCAGAAAGGGCAATTGCATATGCAGTTTGGGATTTCGCAGCAATCACGGGCTTGCGGGGTGCATCTTCGAGCAATATTGTGGTATTTCCACCATGAGCACCGAAGCTGTTGACAATAGCATAACGCTTCTTGTTCTCTGGTCTTGGCCATGCGGTTCTGTCCATTACCAAGCCTGCATTCCGATCTTGCATATTCTGCATGACCACGGGGTTTATCTCTGTTCTGATACCAACATGGCGAGGAATCTCCTGTTTCTCAAACGCGAGTAAAACCTTGATCAAAGAGGTAATACCGGCGGCTGCTTCTCCGTGTCCAATGTTGGACTTGACAGCGCCAAGTTTGAGTTTTTCACGTCGTGCCGGGGTTAGAGGAGCAAAGATGTCGGCGACAGACTCAGATTCAACAGCATCGCCTGCCTGAGTTCCTGTTCCATGCAGTTCCACATAGCTGACATCCAAGGGACTGACCCCAGCAGCCTGCATAACTTGTCGATAGTTGTCTCTCTGGGCACCAGCGTGAGGGTGGGTGATGGACACAGCTTCGCACGAATGATTAGTTGCACCGGCCACAATTGTCGCGATTATAGGATCATTGTCGGCCACTGCATCCTCCAGACGCTTGATGACAACCGATCCAACGCCATCGGATCGGCAGTAGCCATCTGCTTCCTTATCCCAGACTTTGCACTGGCCAGTTTTGGACAGAAAGTGGCCTTTTGACAGCATGCAATAGATATCCGAGTTTGTTATGATATTCAGCCCGCCAGCTACTACCATGTCTGATTCACCCGCCCAGATAGATGAGCATGCTGCATTCACAGCTGCCAAGCCGCTTGAACAAGCAGTGTCAAGGTTGAAGCTGGGACCGCCGAAGTTAAAAAAATAGTTGATTCTTCCATTTCCAAAAGCACGCTCTCCACCGGGGATTCCATATGTGCCAATCTTTTGGCCTGCATTTGATTCTCGATAATCGTCACTGGCTTGTCCGTAGAAAGTGCCCACACGCTTTCTACATGTTGACGGTGTTCGATCTGGAACATACCCCGCCATCTCCAGAGCCTCGTAGGCAGTCACAAGTGCGAGACGTTGCATGGGATCAGTTTGATCCGCCTGTTATATGGCATGTTAATCAAAATTTGCAAGTCATCGACAAGGTTACATACCTCACGTGGTGACATATTGAAAAATCCGCTATCAAATAAACCAGGTTGCTCAATGAAGTTTCCAAAGGGAGTTTGAGTTGTGTTGTCGGATTTTCCAGTGGGATCGTAGTGAGTCTCCAGGTCGAATCGATCTTCTGGTACCGTCGTGCAGGTATTGCGGCCGTCCATAAGAAGCTTCCAGAAAAGCTCTGTATCGTTTGCTCCACCGGGAAGACGACAAGCCATTCCTACAATTGCCAACTTTGGTGATGAGGCCGACGATGATGCGACAAAAATATCTTCTTTATGCGACCAACTCATCAAATCGTGCTTTTTGACCACAACCCCCGGTAGGTTGGTCTCCAAATTTGCGAGAATTTGGTCGGACACAATCGATCGATGAAAGAGGGAGACTTCACACTCTAGGGTCTGTGAATTTGACAAGCCTAAGGTTATACCCGAGCTGAGTCTGTCGGGAAACAAAGGCTCAGTCAAGGCTTCTGTGCAGATAAGCTCATACAGGCGAGCGGCATCGCTGGCGGGAAAAGCATGTCCCGAATTTGGCGATAAAAGTGGGATATAGACAGGACGAGAGTAGTCTTGTGCAACTCTACAGCCTGTCAGGATAGCGGTCACATCTTCGCGGTTGTATATATGAGAAACATGACAGAGACCACCATAAATGGGAAGAGAGGAGTGCTTTGCACTTCGCAGACTTGGCGAACGACGGAATAAATCCTCAAGACGGGATGGAGGGCCGGTCACCCCAACAGAATTTGAGTCCGCGTGGCTGATACATACACGACCAAGATCGGAATTGTGCTTCAAAGGTCAGCGTATTCAATGAAATCTGGCAAGGATTTACAAGCTTACTGTTTCGGTGTTATAGGTGTCTAACGCGTCTTGCACCTTTTCTGCTGTAAGGCCCGCCACCACATATGCCCAGCTTTTTCGAGACCCATCGGGAATCTGAGGCTCAAGCATTTGAGACATTTGCCCAACATGTAAGCCAAATCGAAATGCCACGCGAACACTTTCCGCACCCGTGTAAGCCAGCTCAAACAAGGACGATGCTGTGGCTGCGGCTGCGGCTGCGAACAATCCTATGCTCATACCAGCGAGAGTTATCTCGCCGGAGGTGGCTAGCTCGTAATGAATATTCTGAGCTTCATAGTGTCTAACAATGCATAGTTAGCTTTGATTGGACTCGGCCTATCAAGGAGGAATTATAAATCAAACGAACCCAATGAACATTGCTAGCTCGAGCACACAAAGCAAGGCTCCTTCCCAAGCACCTCCAATGGGTGTCTTGCGAAGCTCATCCAAGTTCGTTGCCAATGTCATGACAGACTTGAATGGTGGCAAGGTATGTTGCAACTGGCGGGGAAGCTTTAGCACCTCCTCCCTAAGAACAACTGTACATTCGGCGAGAAATCCGGCGAGAAGAGGTAGCCTTCTTTCTCGGCTATGTCTTTGAAGGGACCCAAAGAGGTCTGTAAGGCTTTCAACTGGAAATTCATGACTGAACAAGATCAGGCGAGGCGACGAAATCATCTCGCCTGAGGATTGAGATGGTGTGTCCATATTGCTATGGATGAAAATGGACTGATCCCTAAGCAAAACAGATAATCCAATATGGTGCGTCCGAATCACTATCAATCTCCACTTATTATATAGATATTTTTTTCCCGCGCACGTACTATCTCGGGCAATCCACCACAATGCCTATGATTCAACAGCCGAGAGGCTGAACAGAATCATCAGCACCGGGATCCGACTCTAGAGGGCTTCATACTTTCAACAGCTAGAAATATAGTTCGGATAATTGTACGGCAGTGGCTATCTAGATTTTCGGAGTAATACTACTAGCCTTCGGGCTTAACTCGGGCACTTAAATGAATGATCTAACACTAATTTGAATATATTCATAGTTATCCTCAACCAGAACTAATATCTCCATAGGAAAAAAACAACTTAATTTCGAAGTAGAAACCACTTCTTCTCCTGTGCCAATACAATGAAGCTGACCTTTCCTTCCTCGGCTAGTTTCGACAAGACCTGCGCTATGAACGGGCCCGCCATTGCATCCATTGCGGGTCCATAGAGGTGCGCTGTGATCTCTCGGGTCGTTAAGAATGACTTTTTTGTCGTATTGGCCCCCAAGAAAACCGATGTAACCATTTTCTCCCGCGTTTCCCAATGTCTCGTATACACAGTAACCTTTGAAGGTAAGTCTTCAATCACAGCCCCATGCCCTGGATATCCGACTTCGATCGCTGCGCTATGAACATTCTCTCTCATTACATCGAGACTTTTCATGTAGCGCCCTAGATTTTCCACAACCACACTGTTTCCATGCCCGAGTATATTGTCGCCGGTGAACATGGCGCCAGTCTCCTCCAGGACAAAACACATATGGTCCATGCTATGCCCAGGAGTAAATAAAGCTCTTAGCGTAGCGCCTTCTGTTGTAAATAATTGCCCATCGTGAATCGAAGTCTGGCCTCTGTCAGGGTGGGCCTTGCTGACAGAATTCGTTAAATGTGGATATTGAGCGAGTAGCGCCGGGAGACCACCGGTATGATCAGGATGCCAGTGGGTCAAAAGTACGTGGGAGATTCTCAATTGATGTTGTTGAAGAAAATCGACCAGTGTGGTGAGCCAGATTGGGAAGCCCTGCAATCCAAATTTTTGATTAGTCTTCCATTCGAATTAGTCCTGGTATCGCTGACCTGTCCCGTATCTATCAAAATTCTTGCTTCACCACTTCCAACAAGATATGTGTTGGTTCCTTGCATTTGCATGTCACCTGGGTTCCCACCCATTATCCGGACAACCTCTTCGCTGAGTTTTGTAACTGCTGGGAGACAAGGCAATCTAGAATTTCGAGCCGCTAGATAGTCGTGCCATCCAGGCTGGGCCCATACTTTGGGGGTCGACATATTTTGTGATTCTGGTTTCCCTTGAACTCAACGCATTAGACTTCAGTCATAAATAAAGAGTACGATCGGGCAAGGGGTCAGATTTCGGTGGGTTGTTATTGATCTTAGCTAATCTTTACCTGCTTACTCCCGAGGCCTCCTAGTCCATTTCAGTATCCGTGTACCAGAATCGTTTCGACTCAAATTCCATTAATACATAATCAGGGACCCTTTGAGATACGAATCAATCTTTCGATCTGGCTATTGACGTTTTTTTTTCAAGAAGTAATCAGTAGCTATATCGTACTAAAATGGTACAAAGTCGAAAATATGCAATGCAAAAGTAGTACTGTGTGTACGAAAATTACATAAGTAAATTACAGCTTAATTTTCTATGAACCTGCATATAAATTACATGACTCATTTACATCAACGGTAACTATGGCGTCGCATCTTAGTTAGGTTTTCTACTGGGGCCAAATCAATGCTGAGGTCTAAGACGAAAGAATATATCGTGTTGGATCACAGATATGACTGTCTTGGAGCTTCCCATAGAGCTTATCACAAACTCGGTTGTTTGTGCTTTATCTCAAGCTTGAAGGGGGAGAAGCTCTTAGAAATTGGAAGCGAGTTCAACTATACAAATACTCCTTACTTTATTTGGACTATTTGCGTGAAAACATAATATTGAATAGTATTTGGAGTGGCATCTCTTGACAATAGCTTCAAGTCCAGAATTACCCTTCTGGGGGAAGACCAGTCTTCTGTCGGTCGAAAGTCGTTCATTCAGCATGTCATCCCCCTGGCTCCTTACCTTTTGAAAAGAGAGATCTTTCTGTCAATTCGAGCCAGGCATACACTCTTATACCCACCTTGCCGGTGCAGGTTCCTGGCAGTGTTAATAGATTTCCTGAATTCAAGCGGAGCGGCCCGAGCCGATGCTCTCCGAAATATCAAAAGTTGGTAGCTTCAGAGCACTGCGTGCCTCTGAGGCTATTCCGGAACAGCTTGCATTGATTGACCACTGGTATAGTTGAATAGGCACATATTCATGATGGCGGTACATTTTTGTCTGCAAGCTACCTAACCAATAACAGAAATTGGGTTGGCTCCGTGCATACAATGTCCCGATCGGGTTTAGTGGGGTTATACCCAACTAGGGCTGTCGGATTCCGAAGTATATCCCGGTCCGAGCGTTCTTCACGCATCGGATGAATAACACTGTTCTCAGAGTAATTCGCTAGGATTCCGAGTCTGACACCGTGAAGGTGAGAATGCTCCATGAACCGGAGGTAATTGATTGATTCCTGACAAAGCTCTCCGATGGTATGATTATAAAATGGTGATAAAGAGTCACCTTGTCTGCTACTTTCGAACCTCATCTCATAGCAACTATCTCATTCATCACAAAGACTCAAAACATCTTACTTTTACCTCAAAAACTATTTAACAATGTCTGTTCCCGAGAGCTGCAAGGTTTTGATTGTGGGTGGTGGCCCTGCAGGGTCCTACTCCGCTTCGGTTCTGGCCCGTGAGGGTATCAGTGTGGTTGTGTTGGAAGCCGACAAATTTCCCAGGTCAGTTCTGACTTCAAAGCTTGCACAACGCAAGAAAATCGAGCTCAGCAAACATGCTAACTATGAACGAAGATATCATATCGGAGAGAGCATGCTTCCCTCTATGCGCCACTTCCTCAAGTTCATTGATTGCTACGAGAAGTTCGATTCTCATGGCTTCCGCATCAAGGTTAGTACACAAATTATCTCATCTTGTATTTGTTGATAGGTTAGCTGATCTTAGATCTAGAATGGTGGTGCTTTCCGCCTGAACTGGTCCCGCCCTGAGACATGTAAGTTCATAACAGCTTACTTCCTGATTTTATAAACTATGAGCCTAAACGTTTGATTAGACACCGATTTCATTGCTGCGGGTGGACCCGAAGGCTACTCCTGGAACGTCATCCGATCTGAGGCAGATGAGATTCTCTTCCGCCATGCTGGCGAGAGCGGAGCAAAGATCTTTGACGAGACCAAGGTCACCAGCATCGAATTCGAGCCTTCCTCCGAGGAGTCTACTGACTCTGATGTTCCTAACCCCGGAAAGCCTGTTTCGGCAACCTGGTCTCGCAAGGATGGCAGCACTGGCTCTGTCAAGTTTGACTACATCATTGACGCCAGTGGCCGGGCCGGTATTGTCAGCACAAAGTATCTCAAGAACCGGCGGTACAACCAAGGTCTCAAGAATGTTGCCAGCTGGGCCTACTGGAACGGTGGTGGCACTTACGGAGTTGGCACCCACAAGGTCGGCTCGCCGTACTTTGAGGCCTTGAAGGATGCCAGTGGCTGGGTTTGGTTTATTCCTCTCCACAACGGTACCCACTCTGTTGGTATTGTGCAGAACCAGGCCAAGGCCACCGAGAAGAAGAAGGCAATGGACTCACCTTCCAGCAAGGACTTCTATCTTGAATCTTTGAACTTGGTCCCGGGTATCAAGGATCTGCTAGCAAACGGCGAGCTGGTCTCCGAGGTCAAGTCTGCTTCCGACTGGTCTTACAGCGCTTCTACATATGCTTTCCCTCAGGTCCGTATCGCTGGAGATGCCGGATGCTTCATTGATCCCTTCTTCTCTTCTGGTGTGCACCTTGCCCTGTCCAGTGGTTTGTCTGCTGCGACAACTATTGCCGCTGCCATCCGTGGGGACGTCACTGAGAAGGAGGCCGCAACATGGCACTCCAAGAAAGTGTCCGAGGGCTACACTCGTTTCCTTCTGGTCGTCCTGAGCTCCCTCAAACAGATCCGCTCCCAGGATGAACCTGTATTGAACGACTGGGATGAGGAGAGCTTCGAGCGAGCCTTCGATCACTTCCGACCCAGTATGTTATCTTTTTCTCCCATTCCCGAAGGATGATTCAACTAACCACCGAAACAGTCATCCAGGGTACGGTCGACACAGACACCAAAGGCAAGTTGAGTACCGCAGAAATCTCCAAGACCATCGACTTCTGCTTCCGAGCCTTTGCCCACGTCCCCATCGAACAGAAGGATGCTCTGCTCGAGAAGCTCAAAAACCTCGGTCTGAGCGATCCCACAGCCACAGACCTCAAGACCCGTGAGGCTATCGAGGAGCTGGAGAAGACCCTCTCTCCCGAGGAGTTGAACATTATGAACACAATTCGTGGACGCCGGATGATTCGTGCCGAGGACTCCTTGAACATTGAGAACTTCACTCTGGACACTATCAACGGCATGGCTCCCTACCTTCAGCGTGGAAGTCTGACACTGCGCAAGGCCGAGGGATACAAGCCTGATGTCTCAAAGACGGATCTTCTTTCATTCCTCAATGGTGAAGCTGCTCATCATGAAGATTCCAAGGACGAGAAAGTACCTGCTGTTGCAGTTGAGGAGGTTACTGCTATTGTTGTTTAATTTGGTTGTTGCACAATGATTATGACTGGAGCTTTCAAAGATATATATGTGTTAATTGGTATTGGCTGCTGCTTGCAATATGATTGTGTTATAACTTTTGAACCTGCTTTTCACTCTTTTACATCTAAAAGCCTAAGACCCAACACCTGGGTTAGTTAAACTGGGTTTCAGATATCATAAGGTATCTTTTGCAGACCAAGGATAACGTTTAGTCTGGGTTCATCTATTGTTTTCTATACACATAGCTTACTCCTCGAGATTTCAAGATGTAATAACATCCGACTGCCTTAGTGCCCGAATGGATCTCAATCTTATATATTGTGGCCTTATAATTGACTATCAATCAGATTCTTTTAAAAAAACCGTGATGATTAGCAGTTTTATACCAGAATACTTACAGATGTAATATATATATATATATCTTACCTTATACTTAGAATAATAATTGACATCAGAATAATTCAAAACTATGTCACTATATAAATTTATAAAGGAATAAGGGTCTGAAATCGGCAATTTTTGCTGACGATTATATGAGTGAGTTAAAAATATTGTTGGGGTGGTTGCACAACGTCTGTGTAATGAAAGAAAAATACATCTGAGGTCTTCATGCGGGCGGAAACTATTCTTTTTTATTTTAATGCTGTCGAGCAAAAAATAAAGTGTGATAAACGTCAGTATTCACAACAGATTCCTTGAGTAGATGATCAAGCTCATTTGCCGTATGCGTGTTTCGAACCATCGGCCCTTTGATGTGGATTAAAACGTGACTCACTGAAAAGGAGACCAATAGTACATAATACATCGTACACAATGCCCCACAATTTAACTTCATCAATATGCTTCTGTAAGGAAAAAGGAAAAAGGCTTTACTCTCTTATTAAGACTATCATCCTTTTGCAGGGGCCATGCTAATCTTCTCTGTATACTTTAAGTTGACCGTATGCCCCGAAGGGCAAATTAATATGCTTATAAGTTCTTATAACTAACCTCTCTTGTAAGTTTGGTACGTGTGGTTGTCCGCGCTTAATGTGGCGAGTGGCTAAACAGGAGCACCTGTGTAGGTAATTTTTAATAAGATTCACCATACCATGCCTACTAGAACTTGAGATAGAAAAAAAAAGAAGAACGTAAATCCCGGGCATAATCACGGACAATAGTGAGACGGGGAATTTTCGGGTCAGCTCGGGGTCCGGTGCTAGTCCGGATATCGAACTTAGCCCTAAAGATGCCAGTCGGAGAGTTGAAGAAACTCGAAGTAACAATCGATTATGTACTTCGATTGGGTGTGTATAAAAAAGGCACGAAGATAAAATGCTAGCTACATTCCTGCTCAGGTTTTAAGTAAACAACATCATTCAAAGAAAAGCAGATCATGGACAATCTTCTGGCACCTCTGGGAGCTTCTTCCCATCTCGATGAGGCCAACAGAGTGCGTCTTCAAGATGGACTACGCGAGGCAGCTGAGGCTTTGGAGACACCTTATGATATGATGATTCGCTTTTTGAATGCTGTGAGTTCGTGCCATACCTCGAGAGTACCATATCAGCTAACCCCACATAGGGCAGACAATTGTCAATGATCAAGATTGGATATGACTTGGATATCTTCACTACTTTGGCCGACGGAGAGCCAAAATCTGTCGAGCAGCTTGCGGCACACAAAGGCGCCGATCCGCTTCTGATGTCTCGTGTCCTGCGATTCCTTTCAGCAAACCGTTTGATTGCCGAGACAAGCAAGGATGTTTTTGCTGGTAATCAATCTACAAAGTCACTGTCTGACCCTCGAATCCAGGGTGGATTGCTTCACGCGTAAGTACGACATTTCTTGGATACAAGTTGTTTCATTGACATGGATCGTACGACAGCTTCCACATCAGTGTTCCGGCCTACCAGGCACTTCCAGAATATCTGGAGGAAAACAAATACCAGAACATCACTGGCGGACAGTGTGCCTGGCACAAGTCTGCCAACACTGATTTGGAGTTCTTCCCTTGGGCGAAGCAGAACCCCAAGATTCTTCGATACTTCCAGCAGCTCATGAGTGTGCCTCGAGAGGGCAGCTGGTTGGACGTCATTCCGTTTGTCGACCCATCTGTACCTGCAGTCGGAGATGCAGATGCCGACCGCACTGTGTTTGTTGACATTGGTGGCAATATTGGGCACCAATCTGCAAGGCTGCTGGCCAAACACCCGAATTTGGGAGGAAAAATCATCCTACAAGATCTTGAGGAAACCGTTCAACGTGCGCCCAAGATCGAGGGAGTTGAATTCATGGTGCATGACTTTTTCAAGGAACAGCCGGTGAAAGGTAAGATCGATCTTGAATTTCCTCGGAAGTCATATGATTAACCATTGCTTTCAGGTGCCAAGTACTATTATCTCCGCGCAATTCTCCATGATTGGGAGGATGATAAGGCGGCCGATATTCTGAGAAATATCATCCCCGCCATGGCAGAAGATTCACAGATTCTGATCGACGACCTGGCCCTTCCAAACACAGGAGTCCACTGGTGGAGTACGTGTATTGACATGCAAATGTACATTATGCACGGAGCAATGGAGCGAACTGTGGATCAGTGGCATTCTCTTTTGGACAAGGCAGGCTTGAAGGTTGTTGAGATCCGAACCTATAGTCCTGTGATGAGAAACTCGGTTATTGTGGCTGTTCCGAAATAGTAGTGCGTTTTGGTAGAAATTGAGAATCCTGGGTTAGCTGAAATGCAAAGAGGCAAAATGATCGCCAAATCATTCTAGAAGCAATGTGCGCCGATCCCCCCTACTAGATATTATATGAGGCGTTATGCATGATGACTAATTATTATGCACATAACATTAGAATCCCTCCCAACCTTGGAAAGGTCGCTTGCCGAGGCTTACACCCTGCATAGGCATTATGATGTCAACTTTAATACAGTCGGTGACTAGTATATTTTGAAACTGTTCATTAAACTCCAGGAACTATAATCTTCATCTCCAATCTCTGAGATGAACCACCCTTGCGCCTATAAAATACATATGTAATCAAAAGGACGCCAGGAACAAGTAAGTGGGTCAAGTTTCTAAATTAGACTCTCGTGACTGCGAGACCTCCTTTCCCCGGACATGCCTCTCCCAACGTGGCCACAGCACCTTTTGACATTTCCACATTATTGACTCCGTACATCAGTTGCTCTACATTTTGATGCGAAGTTTCGCGACATGGCCCTGCTATAAGCGCCGATCTTCTCACTCTTCAACGTCACCATTCTGATCGCCCACCTTCTCCGCTCGTCACGGAATGATCCCGCAACATGGAGTCAGTGGTATATGAGAACTCGCCTTTGGCTGATTATTTAGAAGGTTCGTTATGTTTGAGATACTTGAAGAATGCAAACCCGCTGACTTCCATACCAGGGGAGGGTGGAAACGAAGAGAGCTGGCCCGTAGACGAGACACCCAGCGACGACGATCATACCACTTTGGACTTTGCCCCCCGAGGAGCATCCAAATTCCAAGACCGTGTTCGAAACAAGCTCCCGAAACCTCTGGAAACAGGCACACCACAGAGACAGCTTCTTAAGAAATTCTATGACGCGTGCTCCGTATGCCCTCTTGTTCCTCAACAGTGCATAAATAACCCATGCTAATATTAATTTCTCTAGTCTGCCTTGAATGCTCGACTAGCGCGAAGCGACAATGAGCGCTTTTTGGAACAATTTGGCTACGTTATTGTCGCGTCGCAGCTACTGAACGAACACAGTGCCCCCTCCTACACCTCCGCCTCCGATGTTCTATCCGCGAAACAACCAGCAGCTCTTCCGTCTCTATCTACAACTTTTGGAATTCAAGGCGCTTTTGTCACCGCCTGTACCTCTTTCTCTATCGCTTGGTTATTGCATTGGAGCAGGTCAAAGACTGGATCAGGACTCAGTCTGCGCAAACTTGGACTACTCTTGGTACTCATCCCGGCCGTGGGTGTATTATTCTACGCTTTCGCAAAACGGCAATGGCTGAAGTACCTACGGCATCAGGCTGTTGAGGCAGCTGGCACATTTATTGGAAATGCCCAGGGCTTTGATTCTGCTGCGTCGGCTTCTGTGGTTTTCATTCAGGAAGTGGAACTTGTTTCGCGAGGCTACCGGATGTAAGAATGCCCAACATCTCTTAAAATAGTAACTGGACTAACATGTTGTTACAGAAGTACTCCTCTGCCACCTATCAGTCGGCTTGAGGATGTAGTACAGACACGACGTTGCTTGAGATTGCGTCGCGCAGTTTCGGAGTGTTTCTACTCAATGCTCGAGCGATATATTCAATCTCAAAACATCCTGCGCCCGCTTACCGACGAGGGCAACCTAGCCAAATATTACGACATTTACGACATTGGATTGGAAGAACTTGAGGCCATTGAATTCTCGTTGTCGCAACGAACAAACGACGATCAATATTCGTTGCGTTCTCTTCGCGGTCTATTTGGAAAACTGTACAGCATCCGAAAAAGCGTCTTGTGCTGCTTGTTGGCTCTTAGCGCTGACGGCGGAGGCTCCGATATCACGAGATGGAGCTCTGCTGTCGAGGAAATGCGCGAGCTTGCTGGTGTAACTGGCACCAGCATGTTGAAAATGACCGCAATCTTAAATGAGGAGGATCGTAAGTAATTTCCTGCCGGTCTCCAAAGACAACCCATTAATCTCCGCAGGCGATAATACGATCCCTCCATCTCCATTACCTTCGGCCTCACCAAGTAAGGATCACCTGCGAGCGCAATTCCGGCGCCTCAGCTCCCTCTCACAAGGGGTCCGTGCCTTGCATGCGAAAATGCACATCGTCAGCGAGGAGTCGCATGCAAATCTCGAGCGCGCAGACGCTGATGACTTTGAAAGTACACTCCTTGCACAGTACGACTCGGTCGGTAGCGATCTCCGCGCTCTCCTCCAAGAGTGGGAAGCCGGGAAAACCGCATTGGTGAACCAACACGATCGACTAAGTGTTGGAGAACACTCAAGACCGTCAAGTACACTATTATTGCCTATGTCTCCCACTCCTAGTCTGGGAGGTTCCACGGCCGTTGAAGGCAGTCCAACCGATGCACTCAGAGCCTTGAATGGCGAGTACCGACCGGACCTGACCCAGACCTATGATGATGAGGAGATCTTCGAAGCTATTGTCCTCCCAGCCTCAAGAAACAAGAGGATGTCTTTGACAAGAGATGAGCGTCTGGCACGCGTCCGAGAAGACCGTGCCAGGCAGGCTACCGCCCGCGAAAAGGCAGATGCTAGCACCAACATGCTCAGGGAACTGGAGATGGTTATCAAGCAACGGCCAGGGAACAACTCTTCAAAAAGAGTCACCAGTATCTAAGACATGGCCTAGATCCTTTTCTCGTGCTTGATCCCTTCGGCAGGATCGTATGTACTTTCTTCTGCGCCTTCGGGCACAGGCTTGACTTCCCAGCGCTAGCAGCAGGATGTCATAATTGATACCCAGAACATGTATAAACGGGGTTCGGCGACAATGGCGTTTGAATTGGGGTTGTATTATTTTATTTTCTTTTATTTTCTTCTATATTATTATTGTTCATCATCTGCCTGAACCTGGGTACAGTGGTAAGGCGATGGTGGTTGTCTATTCACTTTGAGTTTGTGAGGCACGGCTGCCAAGTTGCTTTTGTATATGACAGCTGTTTGTGTAAATGCAATATATTTCCAACAATAATTTTCTTTTCTTCTAGAAGAGTGTAATTATTTTCTCGAAATCCGACTTCTCAATGTGAATAGAAGGGATATACAGGGCCTTGTGGCCTTGCCGCCTTAGGTATCCAACTTAAACCCAAAAGGGACATATCGCCAAACCAAACGCGACCGCGTCTTCCCCACCCTTCAACGCGATCCATATATTAGACCGCTGCCTCTTTCTTTTTATCCTTCACTTATTTCTCGTCTTCCATCTTCACGTTAAAATTTGATACCCCCCAACCTCATCCTTCTATTTTCACGAATTAATTTAAAACACATACACAAGAGTGAGTTGGTCAACACGAAATCGAAAAGATTGTTGTGTGCGAAGAACCGATCAATTAACCCTCTTTTTAGTGTTGGAAGCACGATTGGAACAGGCCAGCCTTCTGAAGCGCGTATGTGATCTATCCCAATCAATTAACCTCACATGATATTGACCAGTCTTGTCTAGGTCGTCGATGCCATCAAGGATCTCGTTCAGGACTGCAACTTTGACTGCAATGACTCCGGTATTGCCCTCCAGGCTATGGACAACTCCCACGTTGCCCTGGTCTCCATGCTGCTCCGTGCCGAGGGTTTCTCTCCTTACCGCTGCGACCGTAACATCGCCCTCGGCATCAACCTGCTCTCCCTGACCAAGGTCCTCCGCGCCGCCCAGAATGAAGACATCCTGACCCTCAAGGCTGAGGACTCGCCCGATGCCGTGAACCTGATGTTCGAGAGTGCTGAGACAGATCGCCTGAGCGAGTATGATATCAAGCTCATGGACATTGACCAGGAGCACCTGGCCATTCCTGAGACCGAGTATGCTGCCACCGTGGAGATGCCCTCCGCTGAGTTCCAGCGTATCTGTAGAGATCTCAACGCTCTCTCTGAGTCAGGTAAGTAATGTTCCATCTCTTGTTGGGCACACACCATACTGGTAAATATCATGTTGCACCTTGCTAATATATTTTTTCAGTCGTCATCGAGGCCAACAAGGAGGGTGTCAAGTTCTCCTGCTCCGGTGACATCGGTAACGGATCCGTCACCATCCGCCAGCACACCAACGTTGACAAGCCTGACCAAAATGTTACTGTCAACATTTCCGAACCCGTCGCCCTGACCTTCTCCCTCAAGTACCTTGTCAACTTCTGCAAGGCTTCCAACCTGTCCTCATCTGTCGTGCTGCACCTTTCCCAGGAAGTCCCATTGCTCGTTGAGTACGGCCTTGGAAGTGGCCACCTGCGGTTCTACCTTGCCCCTAAGGTAAGTTATTGTGCTTTGAGTTCCAATGTTGATTTTCGAACATGTGTTAACGTGGGTTTTCAACACAGCTCGGCGACGACGAGTAAACGAAATATCCAGAATTTTGAAATGGCATGGGCAATGCTAAAAATGAAGCTCTATGATAATGGAGAGAACCTGACGGAGGAAATGTTCTTTCACTGCATCCCTATTAGAATAGGGGATTACAAGATGTTCACGATAATTTACACATTCAGCGGTCGAGTTTTCGACATCGCAAACTTTTCAAGTCACATTCAAAAGCTTGGCCTAGTATTTTACGTAGCATATATAGCTACGAGCACATACTACTTGTCCAGATGTTGCACGAGCCATTCAGGCAGAGATGTATTCCACAAAATATCTAGCACCAAATTTTTCCATGACCACCAAATACAACGCCAACTCCAGCGACCGGGTCTCCACCTGCCTGCAGGCACCAAGACCCTAACGACCACCGAAACGGTCCACAACCCCACTAATTAGCAAGGTCGACAAAAAAAACTCTTTTCAGGCACCCCAAAGCAGGGGAAAAGCAAGAACTGACCTGGAGGGAAAAAAAAGAAGCGCCATCCCCACCGGAATGATCGGAATCGAATGATACCATCTACCCCTCCGAAGAGAAGCAGAGCAAGGTATGCTGCGTATTGCACTAAAGTGTCATCACACACAATCTCCGCACTGACTCTCCCAAGGGAATCCAAGACTGCAGCAAGCCACAGTCCTGGCCCCGATGTTTCTGATGCCAAGTGCAGGTGTGGTAGAAGTGATCTAGGATCACACCAGGCCCTCACGGGCAGGACCGGCGCCGACGCGCAAACGAACGACGACGCGGGTTGTGGTTTGAAGATTCCTCCGAATTTCTCATTTGCAAAAGTCTCGCGGTCTGGGCGGAACCCAGATCGCGAGGACGGACAAGTGCCCGTCGTGTGTAGCAAAGAAACGCAGCATTGGTGGGGATGGCGCTTGAGGAAGAAATGGTTTTGTTCGGTGCGATTTTCTCTTATATTGCTGTCACGTGGATGAGTCACCGCTTTGGGGACCGGGCGCGCTTGACCTGATTCGGAAGTATAGGGCACTTTGTTGGCCGGGTTGAAGGGTTTTGTTAAGTACCTTTTTCTCCTTATTATTTAGATCCAATGCTCTATTCAATGTTAAAGAGCTCATGCTCCCAGAAAAATCTGCCCAGTGTCTTGACGCGAGCCCCGGACAAACGTACTTGTCGGAGCCGACGAATTGCAAATGTTCAAACCGTTTCCATCAACAGCCTCGATGATTGTCCATGCAAAGAATTCCTCGCGCTCGATTCTCGTCTCAAATCCATGTTTTTCAAAGTACCCGATCAGCTCGTATCCACTCCACTGTTGCTGAGAAACATAAACTCTCCATCCCTGGACTTCAGTAGCTCCATTCCAAGAAATGAACCATACAGTAGGTCCTAGGGTATACTCTGTCATGGCATAGACCTCCGGACTAGTTTTAGGCGCAGTCGTGAAGTTGGCCTTCCAGGCACGGTACCAATACCCAGTTGGGTCTGCCAGTCGTGCTTCAAACACGACACGCGGGCCATCTGGGGTATGTTCATGCTCGCTCAAAAATGGCGTGCCTCCCCAATAGACAAAAACGTTGCCATTTTTCAAGATCTGTACACTTCCCTCCTTGGTGGTGAGGATTCTCCGGGGCGTTATATAACGGTGGATCAGAGAGGCATGCATGGCGTTCAAATCCAGACGCAGTAAGAGGCCAGAGGATGCCAGTGCACTTTGATGCCACTGATCAAACCCGTTGTCAAATAGCGAGATTGTCATGCTGTTCTCGTGTCCGTTTTCTTCTCGCACCTGGGAGTGGTGCTGGGAGCTGAAGTTTAACCCAGGCTCAAACGTGAAATCAGATTTGTAGCCTCCAAGTCTCCATAATACAGAGCCATTTTGGCCGGATATCATGTATATCGTGCTTGTATGACGAGAAGAAATCAGATAATCTCCTTTCTGGGTTTTTTCCACCGTGTTGATGTGACTTATTGGCTAGGCATTAGCAAAGATACCACAATTGAGAAGTCGACCGACATACAAATAATCCCAATCGGTCTCAGGAGTAAGTCCATCGCCCCAAATCCGATCAAGTTCCATCTGTGAAGCTTCAATCTCGATGTGATCCGCTGGATCCCACATGAAGTTCACAGTCTGGGTCTCGATATCGATTTCTTGGAATCCAGCTGTCCGCAGATACCCATTGGATGGTCCCCCTACTGACGACAAGTCCCAGGGTCGGGTGTTCAACCATGTTGTAATAATTGCAGTAGCATTGTTGACGACGCTCAGTTCGTGCATGTCAGCCTCCATGCCGACGTTGATTTCAGTGTAATCTCTTTCACCTTCGCGTGTATACAGACTTCGGTCGAAGAGAACAACCGGGCCCGATGCTGTGATTCCATGTCCATGCCGCATTTGGAGCATACACAGCTTGTCCAGGCCTGCTATATTACACGGATGAAGATTGTGCACGAATTCGCTGTTTGATGCGCCATACCAGACTAGTTCCTGTAAAATGATTAGTTTAGCTGTCGGCGATAAGCTAGACAGTTTGAGTGGGAACCAACTTACTCCCAAGTGATTGTATATATAAGGGCCATCATTGCAGGTTGTCATATCATAAGGAGTGATGAATATGTAACCCGGAGTTACATGGCCATGCTCATAGTTCGTGATGTTCAAAACGGGAGCGCAAATATCTGGTCGCTATTGAGATGGATTAGCTGCAATTGCACTGACCAAGTTTGAAAGTAAGCTTACAGATTGATAGCATTGAAACGGACTTGCTATAGTTCCTAGGACATGCCACGGAGAGCATATCATCCAGAAAAGGAGACATAGCCCGGTATCAATGGAAATAACCATCACGTACCCGTTGTACAAATCCGTTCTAGCTATCTTGTACCAATTTCGCAGTCTGATCTTAGGTGGCAAGTCAGAAGCAAGAGGTGACTCAGGAAGGACAGCTCGATAACCTATGTATGGGCATGTTCTGTGTTACACACATACCGCTCTTTTCATCCGCACGTTCATCTGTAGTTCGGGACACCAAGGAAGGCCAACCCTGTCGTGCACCTTTTCAATAAGACAAATCGGCTGATAATCATTCGTTGATACAACTCATGATTTATGACAAAACAACCTTGGAATGCATTTGTATGTATCGGCGTGGAAGCCTGTTACTTGCAATTGGTTTCACATGGATGCATGTGACAGTCGCTGTGGCTCTCCGAAAAGAAATACTTCATTCAATCTCCTCAAATGCTCGAACTATGTACGTCTTCCCTTGAACTTTGACCTTCTCTCCGGGTATTCTCCATGGTCCCTGCCCTTCTCCTTCGAATTCGGTCCGCATTGAAGGTAGGTCGCCCGCCGATGTGCCGACTACATATTTTTCTTTCCACTCTGATTCCCACTCTTCCCTTCGCGCACTAACGTCAGCTCCCGACTTTTTCACAACGAGGTTTCCTGAGTCATCTTTCTGTCGCATGTGAGTCTGGGTCTGCTGCAGCGCCAGATATGTCCCCCAGATGCGACCGATAAAGGTTTTAGTAACGATGACGGTGCCCTCCCCCTTTCCGAGCTCTTCATCATCCGACTCAAGGACCCAGGAAAGACCCTTTTTAGCACCTTCGGGTCCCTCTCTAAAAGGCAGCTCCCGCCATACTTCCTCGTACTCGGTCTCAGGTGCTCCGGGGACATCAGGACGAGGCATAACCCCCGTTTCGAGATCATCCCCATTTGGCAGCGAGACAAAAGTTCCACAATCAACACTCTCAAATGCATTGTGGGAGTCGAGCTCATGAGAAAAGGAAACTTGCACTTTGTAACCGTTAGCATTCAATTGACGATCATTTGCATATTTTTATTCGACATACATGGCTCCTGGCTTTCAACAATCCTCTGTCCTGCGATTGCCCAGTCAATTTTCCCAATTCCGTTCTCCATTCGGAGATCTAGGTACCAGTCCTTCACGGACATGACGATTGTATCTGTTGTCTCCTGGGCGGGCTCTGGAAGCCATCGTATGGAGATGCGGGTGGAGAAGCGACATGTAGATTGCGCTGGCTTGTCATTGGCCATGTTGTTTGTTATTTGTTGAACACGGGTTCAACTTGTTGTGTTTGGATCAGTTCGACGATGTAAACGAATTATATATGTAATGGACTTGGAATTACTAAATCGAAGTATACCAAAGATACCAAAGATACCAAAGACGGATTAGGAATGTTGAAGAGAAAAGGAGCAAAGCGCCGTTCTTATCTTCCCCTCACACCCCGCATCGGCTAGAGATCAATTTCCGCCTTTGACCTTCGAAGAGGTAAGTGATTTCCATTCTGCAACTCTAAAATATATACGGAGTTAATTCGATGAAAGATCGACTGGATTCATTGCGTGTAAGTGTGTACTACTCTTCGATTTTTCATCGTAAACCTCCAACAAGGCATCGAAAGAACAAAAGACCAGAATCACTCAATGGCTGTAAATATCAGCTTACAGCTCTGCCCTTTCGGCCTCGAAGAAATAATCTGGTCATCCAATTTCATAGAAGCAGTCATATCAGACGCAACAGTCGTCCAATATTGCGAGTAAACTTCGCGAAGAAGCGTCTTCATCTCAACGAGCGCAAGGCTAAGCAATGAAGATCAGCATTTATACACAAATAAAAGAAAGCTACAACTCACTTTTTTCCTGTACACCCTCTGCCACCCGTAGCAAAAGAAAAAAACAGTCTATTTCGTTCTGCAGACCCCTCCTCAACAAGCCACCTATCAGGATCAAACGAATCAGGCTCAGGGAATACGCATTCATTGATCCTGTGCACCGAATAAGGCTGACAGCTCACGATTGTATGCTCAGGAACAAAGTACCCGTCAATTTCCCGTCCACCAGTAGGCACATACCGAGGCAGTGACATCGGGATAGGCGGTGCACATCGGAGTGCCTCTTTAATAACAGCATCAAGGTATACATAGCTGTCTAGTGGTGCATCAGCCGGTGCAGATTTCAATTCCTCTTGTAGGCGACGTTGGAAGCCGAGATTCTGTGGCCGCGATAGCTCCCACATCAGGAAGCATAGACCGTCGCCTGTCGTGTCGATTCCAGCTGCCATGTGGTCTTTGCATTCTGCAGCGGCTTGCATTAGCTCAAGACGCGATTCTTTGCGTTTGAGCTTTTCCATTAGAGAGTGGCTTTCTAGCTTGGTTTGGGCGGCCATGTCGAGGACGTATTGGTTTGCTTTGGGAGAGGTCCGGGCGTGTAGAAATTTGGGGAAATAAGGGGCCAATGAAGGGAAATAGTATTCCAACAGGTTTTCTGGATTTTTGGTTAGCGTGGAGACTTTTATAGAATGGTGGTGAGAGCTCACTCTGAAGACTTTGGTGATATGTCAATTCTTGCATAATATCGAAGTCTTTTGCGATGTTAAGTGATTTGAGCCCGCCAGGACTGAACATGAAATGGGTAACGCAATCCAATGCATAACAGTGAAGCAGGGACTGGGGGTTTAGAATATTGTAAGCATGTTTTATGTCAACGGATTAGTCAATTTTGACGTACGTATACATCCACACTCTGCCGTCCCGCTTCAGCACACTTAGACACAAATGTTGACGCCCGTTCGTTGATGGCAGCTATTGGCTTTTCCTTCATTATGTTTGTCATGGCGTATCTCTCTGCAAAGATGCGCTTTCTCTTGCTATGCTGCTAACGATTAGCACATAAGTGATCACTTTCTTTTGAAGACAGCTACCTCGTCTTTTGGCAGAGTAGAAAACATTGTTCTGTTTATTGCATTAGTTTTTTGTGTTTCCTGTTTTCTTAGGATGTTGCTGACTTTGTTTTGAACTGTCTGAACAGATCATAATACTCAGTCTTATCATAGCCACTGCCTCCGGAGGCATAGATTTCTTTAATCGCATCTAGGCTGGTGAATGACAGTTCGTTGGGACTCAGACGGACCACAGGGCCGTATATCTTGTGCAGGCGGTGGATTGATTCTCGTCGATTTGCGGTGAACTCTTGATACTTGATCCACAGACTAGTAAATCTAGTATACCACGGTCCCGATATCGTAGACAAGGGCGAGAGGAGTCCACGGAGGATGGTATATCCACAAAATAAAATAGCCCCAATCCACAGTGACAACATGTTGCTGTTTGTATCAGATGCAGTATGTGAATGACAAAAGGGAATTTCTATGATTATTTATACCCAAGATCTAATTATATGATCTCCGATTTCATTAGATAATAGTCATGATCTTGGATTTGTGATAGTCTATATTCTTGAACGGCTAGGGTTAGCCGATATCTTCGCTACTTATCAGAGTGCGGGGAAGACTTGGAGAGGAAAGGGCTTGTGGCTGCGATAACATTCCGACTTTAAACTGAAAAGGGAAATCTGAGGAGATGACATTGACTATCAAGTAATAGGATTTTTCGAAAAGTTCCAAATATCATTTTGCACTCTGGTCAAGCATATTATGGTGCTTTGTGTCTCTTTTAGGTACACAATGGGTGCAGGCCCTTGAAGGGCATTATGGGTATTATTAGAAATGAAGTGTAAATGCGAGAGGCAGAACAAAAGGATCAATAGTTTTGTTGATCGAATATCAACATGTAAAGGGTCAATTCGAGGTTCTTGGATGCGGATCTGCTTAACAACTCTCCAAAGACAACGAACGGGTGTAGAGCTGACGGCCGGATCCGAGTTTTCACACCTGTGGGAAGTACAGCGTGATTACTCGGTGACCACTTAATTGTACTTAGTAAGTAAACAGATGATTCATGAGGTTTGTTCCTCACAATAGCAACAACTGATAGAGCTACATCATGTGGCTCTATATCGAATGGCTGGATGTCATAATTCTAGAGGTATTTATCAACGTCCACAGACGCAGGTGTGTCACGAATGAATCATGCCCATCCATCTACAGCAATATATTACCGTTAGACAATTGTAGTGATCTTCCGATCCTAGGATATACTTTCTTCCATACAAAGGGTAAGTTCTTGTAATTGAGACCAAGCAGATGTGATGACACCATGATTCGGACTGGACTCGAACTAAATAGATTTAACATCTTCAGCGAAAGCAACGAGCCGTTGAATGTAACTGAGCTCGCTGTCAAAACAGGCGCGGTACCAACTTTGACCGGTGAGTTTCACAAATTCCAGTCAGAATATATTCATCAATTTTTACTTTAATTAAGGCTCACATTCTTCGATATTGAAATAAGCTTGGAGCAATTAAAGAGACGTCCAAATACTTTCTCAGGGCCAATAACATCACTGTTTCTTTGAGCGACCCTGGGGTCCAAACTGCCATATGCCATGATTCAGTACTCCTTACTTGAAAACAAGTATCCTGATACATTTGAGTCGCATGAGAGCACCGGTAATTTTGAGATTGAGATTATCTATGTTTCAGCTGTGGTACCATCGCTGATCTCTACATAGTTCTGGCAACGTTGGTCCAATCGCTTCTGTCCTGCCTGAATTTTTGGCGAAGCACAAGTACCAGGACATCACCAGACCACTCAACACTGCTTTCCAGCTAGCATACAACACAGAACTTTCCGCATTTATCTAGATACAGACGCAGCCAGAACGATTTGATCGCTTTTATCGCTACATGCAAGGCTGAGCAGAAGGGTCTGCCTTCGTGGCTGGAAGTCTATTCGATCGAGGAGAAATCCAAAAGCCTAGCCCCAGAGCAGATATTCATTGCCGACATTGGCGGTGGTATTGGTCATCAAGCTATCGGTGTGGAGCAATGGCTACCTCAAATCAACAATAGAATTTTCTTGCAAGATCAAGAAGTCGTCGTTCCGCACGCTATCAAGCACGATGGTGTCGAAGCCATGGCTTATGGATTCTTTCAACCCCAGCCTATCAAAGGTATGGTAAGTAGTCTAGAGTCTTTTACTACTCAGAACTAAATTATGTTCTGAAGCTCGAATTCACTGCATGAGCAGCATCATCCACGACTGGCCGAATAGAAAAGCGACGGGATTTCTGAAGAATACCATCTCGGCACTTGGACCTGACCCTATGATTCTATTTATTTTTATTGATGACAAGAGTTTCCCTAATTCTGGGGTTCATTGGTATGAAACTGGAATTGATATCACCATGATGGCGGGATTGGCGTCGCAGGAGAGTACAGTGGAACAATGGAACGATTTGATGGAGAAGGCCGGCCTCAAGATCCATAACACGTATGCTTATACAGGTACCTATAACTCCATTATGGAGTGTGTTCCAGTATCGCAAGAAGAGGGGCCTAGGGGAAGGTAATTGAAGAAATGGATTTTGTGATATGACTTTTGTCAAGGGAAGATAATGCTCTTGCTTTTTGACCAACTAAGTAACCCGCTATCTGACTAAATGAGAACCAGAAAATGACAACAAGATAAATGTCTCACTGTACCTTAAAAATAAACGTTTTGCTTCAGTGGTTTTGATGTCAATCTCGTGAGAATTTCGGAAGTCTTCTTGTCTGACTAGCTTTGATCTGCACCCACAGGACTCTATTTAGGCATGCTACTGGTATTCAGGTCAGTAGTTTTGTTTTGTACATGCTGTCGTTTATGATTAGGAAGATTTAATAATAATATGATCATGTTTCACAATGTGACTATCACTGTGGATTCGTATTGAAGTTTCGGCTAAGGCCGGAGATGGCCGTTGATATTCTGACAAATGTCCAGGCTTGTTCATGCAGGGTTAGAAAGGGTTTGAAAAAAATATTCTGCAATGTATCTGATATCAACATTTCCGATGTTGACTCAACTATACATATGTAGGATAATGGACCTAGACCTGGGCGCAAGGGATCGACTGCGGTGAAGAACATACGTCTCACATGCGAAAGACCATTCATAAGTACCTAAACCTACTCTGTAGAGATATGACTATTACAGCACTACAGAAGGTGCATATTTAGTGAGAACGAAGTCGATATAGAGACAAATGTGATGCTGTAAACAAGAGCCAGAACCACGGATGACATCTAAAGGGGCCATGGGTCAGACAGCCCAAGCCACGTCGATCAGCCACAATGAGTTGCATAGCCACAGATAGAGTACGGAATACGGAGTGACATTCTTGCATTGTGTTTACTGTTTCACAGCCTCACCTCCACATTTCAATTAAAATCAGTTGTGGCTAAGTGACAGGCGCGCCGGTGTCACAGGTTAAGTTTCCCAGTCCGAGGTCACGGAAGCTGAGAAGAGATGAACACCCAACGAACTAACATCCGGCGTTCAAGGGGATTTCCAGGGTTGGGAAATAAAGATTAGGGGACAGGCAGCCATATTATTTGCTCAAATCAACAAGGGTACGCAATAGACAGGAAAAAGAGAGAGAATCTGGACTCGCCAGAGTTTGGCGTACCTGTCGCATGTTTATGGGTCTTCTCCACTACCACAGCCGGTTCAGGAGAAGAGGCGTTGGGTTTATGCAGATTTAGTGTACCTAGCGGTGGCTTCGTTTGGGTCGCTGGAGGAACTGTTTGTCCAATGCGTCTAGAATCCTAGGAATAAGCTGGGCTGAGTCTGGGCTTTATTTTTTTCTAACTTATTACTACAATTTTTGTATAAGCATGTACAAAATAGCGTGGTAATGTGCGACCCGCCCCATATGGGTATGTGGACATGATGAACCCCAGATGTGGCCCCTACTTCCCTTGACTCTCTTTCTCTCTTTCTTTCCTCCGACTCTTCTTTTTTCTTTGTATTCGCTCCTCGTCACTCATTCGCTTTTTCAAGAATAAACCCTTTTTTCATATTTTCCAGTCTGAGGTCCCTGCATATCTCCCTTACTGGCCCGGTCGCTGTCATCCGAATATATTACCCCCCGCCTGACAATTCGGAACTCCACGGGAAAAAAAACTTTAAGGATAAAATTTGGAGGCTCATCTATCGTTCATCTGTCTTGGGTCGAACAGTCTGCTGGCTGTCGGATGTTTTTGTTGCGGCTTTTCTGCGTCTAATCGTGACCCCTGGCGAATCTCCAGCCTGAACCAACCAATTTGCCAAGACCGCCCCCCCCCAAACAACACGCGCTTCCGGGTGTTTCAATCTGCCTGTGCCAGGCCTTTTTCCCACCTGACTTATAGAGTGAAAGCCACCGTCAGGTGGTCACACCGTCATTGTGTCTTCCCAACACTACGCCGACCCGAGCTCCATCACGGAGCCTCTCGGCAAGATTCCTTCACACGGATCGCGAGCATCTCTCTTAGGGGGGTCTTTTGATCCTGCCTTTCGACGACAAACGGGAGGATTTCGCGCCAGAGAAGGATATACGAACGCACCCCCTGTGACCCATACCCCCAGGATGTATCTCCCAAACACAACTTGGACATGGTCCTTCGCGATCGTCACACTCATCCAGACCCTCGTAACACTGGGTCTTGAGTCGTATGGAATCCCCCCTATGCCATCGTCAGGATTTATGACTAACTTCGTGTCTCTCTAGTTATATTTTCGCGAATTTCCAAATTCAAGAACGCCCGAACACTAGTCCCGCCTCTAAAACAATTCCCACTTTCCTCGCCCTCTATGGCTTCGGTTTCCTCTACGAACTGGTGCTGGTATATGATGCGCTACGCATGAAGAACACGATTCAGGTCATCGGACTGTGCATTTGTAATATTGGACTTCTGATCTACGGTGCTATTCAGATGAAGCAGATTCGGGAGGCAGTCTCAACCTTGTACTACATGAACAAGATTGAACTGTATGTTTGGGACCAATCTGAGCCCTTCTTGATCATCATCCCATGCATTGTGGGATTGGGGACACTTTTGATGACATTTGTCGCATGGAAGCTCTATGATGAATTCGCGTGGACAATCTATAAGCACATCAGCGCTGATCTGCAGATGAAGCGCCGCTACCTCACTTACCAGGTTCGCTTCTTATTCAAATCTTCCCTCGGCAATATAACTAATCGGTCGCAAATCAGATTTACATCGCCTTGTTGAAATTCGATTTCTTTTTCTTCCTGGGTTTCACAGTTCAATTCCTGGTACTGGTCTCAACTGAGGGCACCGCTGAGTTTGCGCTCACGGTGGCTGCCATTCCGGTGACCATCATCATTCTGCTTTGTGGTGCCTGGTTTGTGCGCCGCGAAACCACTACAGGAATGATTGTAATCATTGTGAGTCACTTACCATTCATGTGTTGTCCCAATTTCTAACAGCTCTATCAGCTCCTTTTCTTCGCTGCCATGGCGTATTTCTGCTTCAAGCTTTTCCGCATGTACGACCCACTTACTAGGCCACTTTACCTTCCTGCCCTCAACCCGATGACCTTCTTCGCCGTCATTACCCTTATCCTGATCACTATCACCATCATTAATGCGTGTTTGTGTGTCCACAACTTCCACCGCGGCTTGAAACCCCACATCAACAAGAAGAGGAATCAGGAGGAAGAAAAGACAACCGAGCTTTCTTCCAACCTCACCCAAGTACCGTCACGGATGATGATCGACTGATCTGGTGCAAATGGTCTTGTTTCTATACGTATTTTTCCGGGGCGTTGGATTTTGGAGCGTCATTACTTTCTCATTTATCTATGAGCTTTGTGTCTGTGTGGACACCTTGAACTTTAGCCTTATCTTTTTATTTTCTGCTTTCTTGTTTCTGGGCTCCCTGGGCTCAGTATGATACCTCATCTGCGTCAATATGCTCTCCCATCTTCCCCATCTGGCTGCGAGCTATCAAAAATTCCTGTGATTCTACTTTCCTTCTCTCCCATACTTGTTCATACCCCCGCATACCCCCTTTCACGAGTGCACCGACGGCGTTATCTGGATGATTTGATTCCCCGGAGGTGTTCTCCATGTCTTACGACAGTTTGAATGCTTTTGCCAATGAGAGTGAACTAGCTACATTCATTGAGTCAATGGACTAGCCATCTCGATGGTGCTCTATCTCGGGCTCAGACCCTACTTTTAGAACAAAGCTATTCATATCAAAGATGACATCGTAAAGCCGATGGTGCTGGGTCAAATTCTACTATGGCGTTTGATGTCACTAGAGACTACAGAATACCATATAATGTGGTGGTACAATTCAAAATTCAGGCAGATACAGGCTGGCCTGTACTTAACTCTAGATTTCATCTATGAATTTGCCATCTCCTAAATGACTAGTCAAATGTTAGTAGACATAACAATGTTGTTTAGAGTGCTATTATAGCCATGTACACCGATCCACATGATTGGTGGATTTCTTGTACTAACAATACCAGTAATTACCATATTTTTTGCCTCAAACTGCCAAGCATGACAAGTCAAGTACCGTATCAACCAAGAAACCGCGATCGTGGCCTCAACTCCGCAAACCTCCCTTTTCGTCCAGACCCTCTCTCAAGCTCCTTTCCTTTCTTTCTCCTTGAACTTCAATTCCATCTGCCTTCTAATCAATTCCCTTTCTCTTTCCAATTTTCCACACCACTTAATCACAATGGTAAGTCCGCCCAACGCCAGACCCCAAATTCATCAATAGGCCATCCGACGATCAAGCCAGCTTGCCCCCATCCACCATCAGCATCCCACATCTCATCTAACATCTCATCTAAACTCTTCAACCAAATCTTAACATATGATTAACACAATGAATTAGGCTGCCCCCCGCCCCGCCTCTCCCTTGACCTCGGGCGCCGAGTCTGGCGCAGAAAAGTCCGGCGCCGGCGCCGCTGCCACCGGCTCCTCCGTCAGCCGTCCCTCTTCTCCCTCAACCCCCGGCGGTCCTCGCGCTGCCATGCGTCGACGCGCTGCCGCCGACCACAAGGAGACTATCCGCAACGCTCGTCCTAGCTCCACCCGCTCTGCCGGCGCTGGTGGCTCCTCCGGCACCATGCTCAAGCTCTACACTGACGAGAGCCCCGGTCTCCGTGTCGACCCCGTTGTTGTCCTCGTCCTGAGTCTGGGCTTCATTTTCTCCGTTGTTGGCCTGCACGGTAAGCTGAAAAATAGTGTAAATGTGTCGTATAAGTTACTGATTACTTTGCTTCTAGTCATCGCCAAGATCACCCGCAAGTTCTCTGCTTAAGAACTTGATCAACTCCAATCGCGCGGTCGATATCCCGTGAGAATGTTGGATAGCTGACATCCATCCGCTCCGAGCATTGATCGCACCCAACCTCGACTTCCTAACTCACTCCTTCTCCTCCTATACCCCGTGACCTTTCGGCCATTCCGTTGATGGCGCCGGAATCAAATCAACCATGCCGAAATAAATGGTGTGATTCCGTTTTCTTTTTGATGTGGTGTTTTCATTTGCGTTGCAAAAGAGTTACTCAACGACCTATCCGCTGTATGGGTCAGTCTCGGTAGAATACTCCGTCCGTGCTCCGTTCTGGTCTGTCGCGTGCATTCATATCGTCGTTTTCCTGGCGATTTCATGCGCTGGAAAGAGTTGAGGCCGCGGCGGCTAGGACTAGTGCATTGCGGGGTCTTCTATTTGGACATCTGTCTGTACAATATAAAGACTTGAATCTGTTCATGGTATTCCATTTTCGCTCCCCATAATTACTTGTAAAGTCAAACTGTCCACCGTCTGACAGTTGAGGCTTTTACCGTCATTGGAACTACGAACTAGTCCAACATATCTCAAGGGGAATGGGCAATAATATCGCACTCGATGGCTTTGATCAGCCTACCCTCAACATGGCAACTAAGTGTATCTGATACCTCGCCCACGAATAGCCCTATCATGATGCGTCGTTCTCGTTCAAACGCATTATCTCACCTTTGATATCTAGTACACTCAACCCCCTTTCGCCATCGTAGCCGCTTTCAGCCCTAGCACAGCCACTCTTGTGTTGGCAGGGCCTTCCATCAGGGCCTTCCATCGAGCAAAATAGCTCTTTGTTGTCTAGGTCCTCTTGTTGGACGGATGCAAGCAGTTCGACATGCCAGTGGAATACTGTACACGAATTGACTTGTTTCCGTCTGATGAATCGCCTACTTCGCTAGCGAATGGGCATACTTTCGTTTTGGAGACATCCTCTCCGTGTGCTGGTCAAGACAGATGGCTATGAGGACTGTTCTCAGTCCCTGGTGTAGTTCATGACCATGTATGGGCTTATGTGGATGTGTCAGGATACTGTTCAGTTCAGTCGAGGGTGTCGAGGGTTGGGGGAAGGGGATGAGACGAACTTGCTTTTTGGGCTGACTTTTAAATCTATGGATGCAGTGGGAATGGCCGAGAAAGCTAGGACCAGTAGTGTATTATGCTTATTTATAATGATCAATCATTTTGGTTGTTCATGCTTTGTTTCTGCCATCAGCGTACTTGTATGTGTTCATGAGCTGCATGGGCTTGGCCAATCGCGAGTGGCATCGTACGACTCGTCTTTCATCCGCTCATTATACTTATACAACGTATGTTCAATCCCATACGGATGTTGCATGAGATATATACATTAATTAGTCTGTATTCAATAAGATCCTAATGATATCTGTTTCGCGGACTCAGGGATGATGCCTTAGGGTTCTTTTTGAAGATCTCCACTTTCTTCGAAAGTATTAGCTTCTAGCTCACTATCTAAGACTACTCATGAAGCTAGCTATATATAAAGCCTTCGCTATCATGACCTGATTGATGTTTGTTTTGTCAATTATATAAAAATGAGTATCGTCGCAACAGTATCAGACGCCATAGTTCAAACAAAAACATGGTGTTAGCGGTATCAATTCAACACATTATCTTACCCAAATGCTTTGCAATTCAATTATTAAACAAATACTTTATGGAGCAATAAGTACATTCTAACAAAATAACCATATAAGAATGGGTGGAGAGATAGTGGATCCTGACAAGATATAATGCGATCGAGTAAAACAGACAACCCTGGAAGCCACTATCGTGACTTAGCCGGTATACCCCGATATCCCCAGATCCATATCCATGATCTAATTGGTTCAAATCAAAAGAAAACATCAAAATCCAGTGCCGACCTGAACGGGTTAACCGACTCGGAAACTCTTATCTCCGCAATTCAGCCAATCACATTCAATCAAGCCAACAGCCCTAAAAGAGCAAGATAACAGCTTCAGCATCAGCCAATGGTCAACAGCAGATGGTAAACCCACACCAGAATGATTATTCGACAACAAGTGTGGAACGGAATGTTGATCTCCTATTCCCATGTGGCGTACCTATGCTTACCTATGTAGGGATGTGCCGACATAGATGACATTACGAGACGATGCCACTCTTATCTGGCAATCAAATTGCGGGTCAAAGTCCCTATCTAAGCTCAGATCATCAACCCTGTACTGCGAATTCGGAGCTGGGGTACTTCTGAGGTTGTGCGTCTATATGAGGTCTCTATCTCCCCGGTCTGGATCTATACATTCCACTCGACATACAGAACAGGCTGCTTATATCAATTACAGTAGCTGATTGGATCCATTCGAGACAACGTTGTCAACAATCCTCGCTTTCATTTCTGTCTCTGGCTATAAATCTCAAGACCTGGTGACTTACACTTCAATTCGTCCGACAGCCATGGCGGAGACGACCACCTTTACCGCACCATTGTCGCAAGGCTTTGGATATGGAATTATCGTTGGTCTGGGCTTTGCCTTTGCTTTGCTGATGATCTTTATTACCTGGGCTCTGAAACGGTGGGTCCCTATACTTCACTTCAATCAATGAAAGTTTCGTGCTGACGAAAACCCCAATGAAGCTACCAGAACGAAGTTCAAACATCCGAAATGTTCTCGACCGCGGGGCGATCCGTGAAATCGGGACTCGTTGCAGCTGCCGTGGTTAGTAGTTGGACTTGGGCCGCAACACTTCTCCAGTCCACTGCTGTGGCATACAAATACGGCGTGTCTGGTCCTTTCTTCTATGCCTCAGGTTTGTTTTGCTGTATGAACTTGCTGCGAAGAGCATATAGCTAACATGGCTTGTTTGGTAGGTGCCTGTGTTCAAATTATCCTTTTTGCAACTATAGCGATCGAGTTGAAGCGCCGCGCACCGAACGCACACACTTTCTTGGAGGTTATCCGTGCCCGCTATGGAACTACAGTCCACATCGTGTTCATTGTCTTTTGCCTGATGACCAACATTCTCGTCACTGCCATGTTGCTCACCGGTGGATCAGCCGTGATGACCTCCCTGACAGGCGTACCTACTGCAGCAGCCTGCTTCCTGCTCCCGATTGGTGTTGTGCTCTACACTCTATTCGGTGGTATCAAGGCCACCTTCATTACAGATTACATGCACACTGTCGTGATTCTGGTTGTCATCTTCCTCTTCGCCTTTTCTGCATACGCTACCAACGCCGAGCTAGGATCTCCAGCCAAGGTATATGAGGCACTAGTTGCAGCTTCCCAGCGCCACCCCGTCGAGGGCAATGCGGAAGGCAGCTATCTCACAATGCGCTCCAAAGAGGGCGGTATTTTCTGGATCATCAATTTGATTGGAAACTTTGGTACCGTGTTCCTCGACAATGGCTACTACAACAAGGCCATCGCCGCAAGTCCGGTCCATGCATTCCCCGGATACGTGATCGGTGGACTCTGCTGGTTCGCAATTCCCTGGCTATGCGCCACTACTATGGGTCTCTCCGCACTGGCACTGGAGGGCACACAGCGAATGAGCTCCGGCGATGTCACAGCCGGTCTTGTCCTCCCTTTCGCTGCCGTTAAGCTCCTCGGCCACAGCGGTGCCGTCGCAACGACCCTCATGATCTTCATGGCCGTGACATCGGCCTTCTCAGCACAGCTGATCGCCGTTTCCTCAATCTTCACCTACGACATCTACGGAGCCTACATCAACCCACATGCAAAAGGCAAGAGACTCGTCTGGATCTCGCACATGTCCTGCATCGTCTACTCAATCATAATGGCCGGCTTCGCAACAGGTCTCTACTATGCTGGAATCGGTATGGGATACCTCTACCTCCTGATGGGCGTAATCATTTCTTCGGCCGTCTTCCCAGGCGCTATGACCCTCCTCTGGAAAGGCCAGAACCACATCGCAGCAGCCGTCTCCCCACCCCTTGGCCTAGCAGTCTCCCTCATCGCCTGGCTAGTAACAACAAAAAAGCAATACGGAGTCCTTACAGTCGACACGACCGGCGCCAATTACCCCATGCTAGCCGGTAATGTCGCTGCCCTCCTCAGCCCAGTCGTCTTCGTTCCGCTTTTCACCTACGTCTTCGGCCCCCAGAACTACGACTACGAGTCCATGCGCGCAATCCGCAAAGTCGACGACTCGGAAGTTGCAGCCGCCGCACACGTGGATATCGAGCTCGTTCCCGGCGAAGCAACCCATGCCCAAGACGAAGACGAGGAAGAAACTCGCCAACTCAACCGATCTGCGTTCTACGCACGCACCCTGACGGTGTTCATGGCGTTCTCTTTCTTGATTCTCTGGCCGATCCCAATGTATGGCACCTCGTACGTGTTTAGCCAGAAGTTTTTCACCGGCTGGGTGGTTGTGGGTATCTTGTGGTTGTTTATTACTACTTTCGGCGTTGTGGTCTTCCCGCTATATGAGGGCCGCACGAGCATTACTCGTGTTGCGCGGATGATGTCGCTTGATCTTGTTGGGCAGAGGCCGAAAGTTTATCGTGGGACGAAGGAGGCGGGGGATATTGCTACGCCTTCTGGGGTTGCGACGCCAACAGATGTTGAGAAGGAGAAGAAGGCTATGGAGAGGGAGGTTTAGTGTTTTGATGATGGAATCTCTCTGTGTTTTGACGACTATTTATACCCCTTATGCTATTGAATTTTAATTTTAGATTGACTATGATGTTACCATATGCTACCCTATATAATATGTACGGAGATAGATGGGATATTAGCATTGGAGGGCTGATCATTCGGGGTAGTAGTGCCCAAAGCATCTTCACACAAAGTTAAGAAGAAGAAGAACCAAAAACAGTTGGCTGGTGGCATCTGGGTTGACCCCAAATAGCAAACTGAAGCTATCTCATGAACAAATATGTCTCTGCTGAGCTTCAATAGAAGTAATAGTGGCTAAAACGGTCAGAATGGGCTATATAAACTTAGGCCAAGGCAAGCTCTCACAAATCCTCCAGATCGCTGAGTGGGTGAGGGACACAAGGTCATCCGATTGCTTGATAGAGATATGACCACAGGTGATACCGCATATGGAAGTCAAGTCAAGTGATGGGGGAAGCTGGTCAAGGATTCGATCTGTAGAACCAGTAGACTTGGGGCACGGATTCTTTTTTCTTTCCTAGCTTCCTTCTTCGTCTATAGTAAGACTATTCCCAGATAGTTTTAGCTAGTTTTTTATGACTCTCTCCATATAGGCATTCTCAAGGAGTTGAAGTGCATTATTTTGTGCAAACTCCACCGAAGAACGGTTAAGGCTTTTTCTCAGTTACCTTCACTATGGAGGTCATATAGTGTGGTTACTGTTGTTAGAGCGTTGAGGCTCGTTTTTTGAGTTCTGTGTAGTTAATGCTTGATACCTTACTTCTATGTAGGATGAGTTTTACCTCAAAGTATCATCATTCTGTCTCCCTTTGGTTTTACGATATAACTATTCTAACAGAAAACAAACGTCCTTTTTGATATCATCTGATAACCGAAGCTACGATAGCTACATTCCAACTGCGTTTTCTCAAGGTTGTCGACAGCCAGACCTTATGAATATCATTTGGGCTCAGAACCAATCTATTCTCGTTAAAGGCATGATATGTATGGACCAATTCGACTTAGCCGATCAATAGTAATGGGGAATAGCGAGCAGAATCATTTATTTGAACGAGTCCTGTTGAAAACTTTGAATTCAATCAAGTAACTTGACATGACAAAGAAAGAAATTATTGCCCAACGCCAAAGGGTAATTGTAACACTGAACTAGAACATGCATCTCTTCCGCCGACCCTGGTCTGCTTCAAATCCCCGAAATGACTGCTGTGTCCCTATGCCAATGGAAGTCAAAACGTATCTAAATATCATTTGTACCCTAGGCCACCCTGTGCTTGAGGGGGAGGCTGCTGAATAGGCTGTTGCTGCCATTGAGCACCAGGGGGTGGCTGGATGCCATATTGTCCACCTGCCGGAGGCCTGGTCTCAGGCGTGATATCTGGACGGTCACTGCAATCGAAATTAGCAGGTTTCCCGGCTTTGATAGAATTTGACAATGATCATTCAAACAGAACCTACCGTAGGTCTTGGGTGTACCGGCATGTGTAGCATTGGACCTCCTGTTGTTACATCAATATATAATTCAGGGGTATGGGTAGAAATTTGTCCAAAGATATTTACCTTGTACTTGTGAACAGCAAGGGGAATCAAGGGCTGCACCGAGAAATGGTTAGATGTTGAGCTGTTTCTTGAATATATTGAACCATGAACATACAATGAAACAAACAGTGAAGAACGGCCTATACATGTTAGTCAAGCCCATATTGTTTCAGCATATAGAAGAGAACATACCACCGGGTGATACAGTGGCCATTCCAATGTTGGCCTAGAGTAGACGATCAATAAATCACTCTCATATGGTGCGACATGAACCAGTGACGTCAGAACTCACAGTTGTAGCAGTAGGCGCGAACATTCTCATAGCCCTCGAGTTGAGATGAGAACTCTGTAACAACAGTCAGTATATTCTCCTATATAATTGAACTCACCCGCAACGTCAACAGCATTGATACCCGCGACCCGATATCATTCCAGGGACGGGGTCCACTCTGGTGCCAGGATCGCGGGTCAAAACAAGCTCACTCACCATGAGTTCCAAAAGTGATACAGAAAGCCATGATTGCTATGACAAGAAGAAACAGCAGATGAGAAGAGCCAGAGAAAATAAATCGACACTATCTGAAGAATTAAAGGGCGATCGGAGGTGAAGGCAGCGGCATTGGGGTGTGGCGGCGCTGTGGCTTGGCAACTTGGCATGCACGTGATGTCAGAAATAGCGGTATCTGATTGGCTCAGCCTCTGTCTATATATGTCCATGAAGCACATGTGATTATTTACTGTATCTAACTATCACAACACCATTGAGATTGAAGAGTTCATCTATGGTTATATAGGGCCCAATCCAACCCTATCGCTGTTTTGTGGATTATGCGAGTGCGCTTTATCTCACAGATGGGTATTCATTCCAACATAGCAGGCCTATGGGTCAAGTATTATTTGAAGACAAAAAAAGGTCGCTTGAAAAACACATTTCTTGGTGTTCCATCACTATCGAGCAATGCTTGTATTTACTGCGTCTTGAAGAGGAGGATTGCGCAGTGGCCGAGATAGAAGTAAATGAAGTGCTTGGTCTCTGTGAGGAGATTAGTCGCTGATCACTAAATAGAATGTGCCGCCTCCAACTAACCGTGGGTCACAAAACTTCCAAAGTTGCGGCCAACCACGCAGTGCCAGGTAGCACCCTTGCGAGAGTCGAACTGGGGTATAGGGTTAGCGACGTGATCGGGGCGGGGTAGGATGAGCGGACCTCTTTCTTGATGTACTGCGCGATGTCCTAGTAGTGGTCAGTAGAGGATTTGGATTTGGAAAATTGGGAGGTATGGGCTAACTTTTTCGACGTTGAACTTGTCCATGGCCTCAATGGCTGGTAAACAGTTTAGTTGGAGCTGTTAACGATATCTTTTTTGGGGTTACGTACCAAGAGAAATCGCCTCTTGCTGCATATCCTCGGTCTTCAAAACAGGTCAATATTAGATGCGTATCTTTGGGTTGTATCGATAAGTCTCACCATGTCAACAGACTTAACTTGTGCTACAAGAAACATTTAGCAAGTTGTAACTTGACCCCAGGAGGCTACACTTACCCTCCATCCTCTCCTTGTTATCACTGGTAGGAAGGTTGGCCATAGTTGAGAATTAATTAAAATTTTGAGAAAGAAGTATTAGTGTTGTTAATGATACAACAAAAGGGTCGGAAGAGCGTGAGTGCGGTTGGGGGAAGTTAACCTCCCGCGATATCTCGAGGCTGCTGGGGTAACTTTATTGCCCACACCCCCAGCTGACCGCCCAACTCACCGCCGTCGGCACTATGAAAGAGGAAAAAAAAGTTTTCGCCAGAAATTCTTCAAGCTTTTACCTCTTCACAACAACATTTCAATATGGAGAGCACTAGAGTTTTTGTTGGTGGTCTTCCACCAACATGCTCCAATGATCAGCTTAAGAAGCATTTTTCAACCCACTTCCCAGTCACAGATGCTCATGTCCTGCCCAAACGTAGGATGGGGTTTGTCGGCTTCAAGAGTCATGAAGCTGCCCAACAAGCTGTGAAACACTTCAACAGGACATATATGAAGATGTCAAAGATCTCTGTAGACATCGCTCGTCCGGTATGTCAATTCTCAATTCTCTTCATTCAGCCACTTCCCTTTCGCCCGTGCACGCTGACCAAAGAAGGTGGTCTTGAGACTGACCCGTATTATTGCAGATCGATTCAAATGCCGCTGAGGATGCGCACCCCACACGGAGACGTGATGCCACGAATAATGATACATCGTTGGATAGCAACCTCAAGCGGAAAAGGGACGAAAAGTCACAAGATCCCAAGCTGCAGGAGTACCTTTCTGTAATGGGAGGTTCATCAAAGACACGGACATGGGCCAATGATGATGAGATCATCAAGCCGTCTGCAGATCCTGCACCTACTATTAACCAACCTGCCCAGGAAGAGGACGAAGAAATCCAGGAGTTACCTTCACACCCAAAGAAGGCAAGGACAGAAAAGCCTGCCGTGGTAGCAAAGCACGAAGAGCCCGAGCCCATGGTGATTGATCACAGTGGAGAGGAAAAGAGTCAAGAAACACCAGAACATCTACAATCCCCAGAGCCTGTAGCGGAAGCCGCCCCTGTATCTGATGCGGATTGGCTTCGTTCAAAGACGAGTCGTTTGTTGGGCCTTCTCGATGACGATGAGCAGGCTGAATTTGAGCAACACAAAGCCGATGCACCACCTGCTGCGCCGGCTAAAGTTGTCAAGGTTGTTTCCTCGCCCGGCGATAAGTCGCCAGAGCGTGATGAGGAATTCCGCACCTTAGCCTTTGAAAAGAGTGTTGCGCCCAACACGACTGACGATGACAGCAACACCGAACCAGCACCAGAAGACCCGAATGTTGATCTCATTCGAAACTCCGCTCGTCTGTTCCTCAGAAACCTTGCATACGACACCACCGAAGCGGATCTTCAGCCAATTTTCGAGCGCTTCGGAAAACTTGAAGAGGTTAGTGCTTTTATTTTGTTTCGTTCTACACACTTTCATCCCATTTGCTCGCTGGCTTCTCAGCCGCCTGCTTGCCCCCGAGTGCTCGTATGATGATTTTCCCGATAGGGACATCCGATGCAAATTGCAGATGATGTGAACTGGACAAGAGATTTTAGTAGATGCTTCTTGACTTTCTGAAGAGCCCACTCAACCTACCCACCTTGACACCTTTATACTTTTTTTCAATTACGTTGAATACTAATTGGAAATAGATTCATGTTGCTTTTGATACTCGCTCTACAACCAGCAAAGGCTTCGCCTACGTGCAATATTCCGATGCTGATGCGGCCATTGATGCTTACCAACAACTCGATGGAAAGCATTTCCAAGGTCGTCTTCTTCACATTTTGCCAGCTTCTGCCAAAAAGACCTATAAGATCGATGAGTATGAGCTGTCAAAGCTTCCGTTGAAGAAGCAAAGAGAGATAAAGCGGAAACAAAATTCCTCTTCTTCCACATTTAGCTGGAACTCCTTGTACATGAACGTGAGTTTATTAGTCTTGTGGCATGTTCGAGAACACGGAACTAATTCAACTTAAGGCCGATGCTGTCATGTCCTCAGTCGCTGGAAGGCTCGGAGTCTCCAAATCCGATTTACTTGATCCCACCTCCTCGGACGCAGCTGTAAAGCAAGCTCATGCTGAAACGCATGTCATACAAGAAACGAAGGCTTACTTTGCTTCTAACGGAGTGAATATCGATGCTTTCAAGCAGCGTGAACGTGGGAATACGGCTATCTTGATCAAGAACTTTTCCTACGGTGTCAGAGCAGAGGAGCTCAAGAATCTGTTCGAGCCATATGGCAAGATTACGCGAATGCTCATGCCACCTAGTGGTACCATTGCGATCGTGGAGTTTGCGCTTCCAGGCGAAGCCCAAAAGGCTTTCAAGGGTATGGCATACCGCAAGTTGGGTGATTCCATCTTGTTCCTGGAGAAAGCACCTAAGAACTTGTTCGAAGGTGCCGCACCTCCACGTCCCCTCATACAAGAGGCTCGAGGCAAGGATTCAGGATTCTCGACGGCCGACACCTTTGCTGCCGATGAGGCTGATGACGGTGTGGCAACCACGACGCTGTTTGTCAAGAACCTGGACTTCTCAACATCAAACCAGAAGTTCCTCGAAGTCTTCCGACCTCTGGACGGCTTCCTCACCGGTCGCATCAAGACCAAACCCGATCCCAAGCGGCCAGGACAGACCCTCAGCATGGGCTTCGGTTTTGTGGAATTCAAAACCAAAGCTCAGGCCCAGGCTGCTCTTTCAGCTATGAATGGTTACAAGCTTGATCAGCATGAGCTTGTCATCCGCGCATCTCACAAGGGCAAGGATGCTGCCGAGGAACGCAGAAACCAAGACAATTCAAAGAAGGCTGCGGCGCGGAGAACCAAGATCATCATCAAGAACTTGCCGTTCCAGGCCACAAAGAAGGACATTCGATCCCTATTCGGGGCTTATGGTCAACTTCGCTCTGTCCGTGTTCCTCAGAAGTTTGATCGGACGGCTCGTGGTTTCGGTTTTGCGGACTTCGTAAGCGCTCGCGAAGCGGAAAATGCCATGGATGCTTTGAAAAACACCCATTTGTTGGGCAGAAGATTGGTATTGGAATTCGTGAACGAGGAGGCTGTCGATCCCGAGGAGGAACTCGCTCGCTTAGAGAAGAAGGTAGGAGAGCAGGTGGACAGGGTCAAGCTCCAACAGCTTACATCTGGCGCCGGGCGCAAAAAATTCACTGTAGGAGGGCAGGAGGAAGAGTAGAGAGGCCTTCGTCCCTTCTCCCTTGTCTAAGGACACGGCCATGGATTGGCTCGTTTACACCCCTTGCAGGAGAAGGTGGAATAATGTACCGTGTACGATTACTTGCATACAACCAAACGCTACAGCAAAGCAAAAAAAGATACCCCGAAGGCTTTCGGCACACGTTCCTGCGGGTGTCAATTGACCTGCAGTCCCGTCCTCGTGCATCTCGTGTCTCTTCTTCGAATCAGGCGTAACCAGTAACCCTACCTTCCCAATACTTCCCTTTCCCACAACTTTCCAACTAAACTTCACCTTGGATTGCAGGGTCATTTGCAGCTACTTTACCTTAATCTTCCAATGGTACGCAGGATTGCCCTCAACAGAGCGATCATCCAAGCCTACATTCTTGTGGTGATGTCTGGCGGTGGTCGAGCATTCCAGATCCCGCGCGAAAAGCAGATGTCGTTGGACCATCAACATTCCTACGACGCCATGATTGCCACTGATTATTGTTGATTTTTGTTGATACTGGCCCGAGCGAAAGATTTTCAAGGTTACTTCGAGCTGCACAAAATCTCCGACTCGCTCACCACTGGATCGTGCTCCTCAACATCCCTTGCATCGGGAGAACTTTTTGGTCTCTCGACTCCTGATTTGCTGCGGCAAGGACGACTGAACGTTGTCCTTTGGTCCTTTGCTCCCCACTCAGTGTCTGGACGCGTGCAGGCCAGGACCGTGACCTGCCCAGGAGTATGGGGAAGGCGTTCGAGGGACGTATTGCAGGCAAATCAAACCTGGCGGAGCAATGTTGCTACTGGGACTACAGCACCCCTCTCCAAAGGGGAGTTATAGTTCTCTATAAACACCATCTTGCTCGCTCTCACATTCTCTTTCCCAGGTTCTTACATTCTCTTGACATCTTTGCGTTCTTGGGTTGCTGTTTGTGACTGAGCTGCGTTCTTTGCCAGACAGTAAGCATTTGGCGGTGCCTCTCCACCCCCTCCTCTTTGGAATCTGTCATTCTTTCCGAGAAGCCCGTCCTTGGTACCCTCCATGGCTACTGACTGGCAACTTGTCCCTCAGAACCAGCCATCACTGGATTCTGTGGGAGCTCATTCTGACCGAGCTCTGCAGAATACCTCTGGGAATGTTCAGTCTTATTCAGACCATTTAGCTCATGGTGATGTCGCTTCGCGTGAGGAACAACTCCAGCAGCTTGGCTTCAAGTATGCCTCTGCCCCTCACTCTCAGCCCATGTCGGGAGCCAGCTTGCATCAGCAACATCATCTAGCTGCCCGCCTTCATGCTCGCAAGATGCGGCGTCTTCACTCCGTTGGGCCTAATTCTCAGTCCCGCCGGGCAAGAAGTAGCTATCTCAAGTCCCAAAAGTACTTGGAGTACCGGGCTCGGCCTCGTCGGGATACCGGGAAGGATGGTGAGCCAGTGTGGTCCGATGAGTTGGAAGATGCTTTCCAGCAAGGTAAATATATCGCACCAATACCTTGGGCAATGCGGTCTAACATTTTGATATAGCTCTTGAAGCAAATCCTCCAATGGGCCGCAGAAAGTGGTCTGAACGGGGAAAGTCATATGGCCGGAACGAGCTTATTGCTGAATACATCTTTAAGTTGACTGGCAAGCGGAGAACTCGCAAGCAAGTCTCCAGTCATCTCCAGGTTCTGGACTCTTTTCTCAAGGGAGATCCTGATTGTGAGTTGAGATAAGTCGTACATATCAATGTCTTCCATTATTAACCCTTCATTACAGGGGAGCGACTTGTCCGAGAGGCATCACCGGAACGATCATCCAGCGTGCATGGCTCAGCGCCAGGGCCTAAATGGAGAACATCGATGGAGCACCCTTCGGCTTCCAACCACTACAGCAGCCACGCGCACAATGTCTACCATGAAAACATGCGCTCCATGCAGCCTTATAGCGGCGATCTCCCTCCGCCACACTATACCCTCGGCTCCAACATGCAGGAAGCCGCTACCAGCACCATCCATGGCTTCAGCTTCGACATGTGGGTCAGCGCGCCTCAACAAGCCAACCGCAGTGACAAGGCATTGCACGCATACACACGCCTTCAAGGCGATCAGCATCACCCTGTTGCCCCGCCTATCCCCCTCGAGCATGTGAACAACTGGCGGTACTCCTTCCCTGAACTCGCTTCCATGGTGGATGATATCAACAACCCTCTCGATTGCGATGTCATCTTATTAGAAGTCAATCTTGACCTAATGACAGACTTCCCTCCTGCGGGATCCCGTTTGGGCATCCAACTTGACCTTGACTATGGTCACCCCACTGCTGGTGATGTTTTGGGAGTCAGTCAGATGGACAACTGGACCTGCAGCACGCAAATCTACAGCGATAATCAGAAGCTGGTTGAAAGCAATCATGAACTCCCCAAGCCTCAATCCACAAAGGTCAAGCCTCTCTTTGAATCATCTTGGTGGGCCAAAATGTTCACCAAGCTGACCCAAGAGAAACGCATGGCTGAGGATTCAGGACATCCTCAAGCCGCTCAAGACGCCGATGATCATACCCGACGGTTCTTCCGCTCCCTTTCTGCAGTACAGGAGCTTCGGGCCACGTCGTCGCACTCTCGGCGTCTGTCAAACCAATACCAAGGCTACGGTGATGACAGCAAGCGCATGGCCGTTCTGGCCTGGAAGTTCCGTCAAACTCGACCCGGCGAGGTTGGCACAACCACTTGGAGGCGACTACTCCTGGCGCCAGATCGCACTACGACCAACAGCCCTCGGCCAGCTACTGGTGTTGGCCTTCCTCCACTTTCTCTGGACTCCATCCTCCTCAATAAGCCATCTCACCAAAGCGTCTACCAGGCCCCTCAATCGCAGGACCTCCTTCATCACCAGGCCGAACCCCAGTCGCAATGGCCCATGTACCCCTCATCCCACGACAACGTGGCTAATTTATTTAATTCTGGCAATCATCTCGACTTCATGACTTCCATCACCAAGGCCGAAGAAGGCCTCAACGACAAAACCGCCGTCACCTCAGTCCTAGACTCCTTCTCTACCAGCCTCGCACCCGAGACCGCCCCATCAACGAGCCTGCATGGCTCCACCGGCGCACCAGTCATGCTCAATGTGCACGATCTCCCCCTGGCACACCCAGGCATGGGCTACAGTATGGGCCACGATACCTCGCACTATGTTCCTCCGCAGCAGCACGCGGTGAACATGCATGACAGCAACAGCGTGCTGAATGGCTTCTTCGGCTCGAATGCCCAGTCTCTTGAAGATCTCGGCCACGGCCAGGCCTCATGGGGTGCACACGCTACATCTATCCCCGGCGACGTTGGCAGCAGCTACCATCACCTCCCTTACCAGGAGCACCATGGACCTGTGCCGCGCGAGTCACAGCAGCCCCATCACTTCGATGGCCTCTCCGAGGATCTGATGGATAAGATTGTTGGACGTATGTCCAATGGTCCTAGTATGCACGGGGCGGGCCCCGATGCCAATGCAGGCTATGGAGACAATACCTCTGTGGATGCGGTTTAATGACTCTTATAAAAACCAAAAACGTAGTAGTAATGATAATCATTCTGGGAGTGGTCTTTTGTATTCTATATTTGTGACTTTTCTTTTTCTCTTTTCTCTTCATTTTACACTTTTTGGGGGGGATATCAGGGAGCTTGGTGTCTGGGGATGGCGTTTGAATACCAATACTACTATTCTATTCTAATTCTTTATTGTGGTAAACTCATCTTCAACTCACTGTTTATTCCCCAATTGGCAAGTATTATCCGACTCTGCCTTTCTCGGACTGTCGGACTCCGGCTAAACTGGCCCAATGGGCCACTTTAGCCGCCATGCAATTTCGCCGGTGGGGACAATTCTGGGGATTTGTATGGCATAGTCACTCCGTTAGGATTGGCCTGGAATTAGCTGGAAGACCCAATTGAGCTACATTCGGTCATATTAGCCTGCAGCTGGACAATTTTGCAAGCGCTAGGTTTTATTTAAAATAATGCTGTCCCCGCGGGGTTAATTCTCCAGACTCACTATACCCCCCCTCCTTGTTCTTCATGTGAGTCCGTACAATTTCTCTCCCATTCCGCTTGCTAATACGAGATTAGATTTCATTCAAAATGGTTGCCCCTACCGTTAAGCTGAACAGTGGTTTCGAGATGCCCCTCGTGGGTTTCGGTCTCTGGAAGGTCAACAATGACACTTGTGCCGACCAGATCTACAACGCCATTAAGGCTGGCTACCGCCTGTTTGATGGTGCTTGCGGTAAGTCCTCAAATTCAAGCTCTGATTTGTCATTCGCTAATAAGACAATTATAGATTACGGCAACGAAGTCGAAGCCGGCCAGGGTGTGGCTCGTGCCATCAAGGATGGCCTCGTCAAGCGCGAGGAGCTCTTCATCGTGTCTAAGCTCTGGAATAGCTTCCACGAGGCCGACAAGGTCGAGCCCATCGCTCGCAAGCAGCTCGCCGACTGGGGTGTCGACTACTTCGATCTGTACATTGTGCACTTCCCCATTGCCCTGAAGTACCTCGATCCCTCCGTGCGGTACCCACCAAGCTGGACCACCGCCGAGGGCAAGATCGAGTTCGCTAACGCACCCATCCACGAGACCTGGGGCGCCATGGAAACCCTCGTCGACAAGAAGCTGGCCCGCAGCATCGGTGTCAGCAACTTCAGCGCACAGCTGCTAATGGATCTGCTCCGTTACGCCCGTGTCCGCCCCGCTACCCTGCAGATCGAGCACCACCCTTACCTCACACAAACCCGCCTGGTCAACTATGCTCAGGAACAGGGTATTGCTGTTACCGCTTACTCCTCCTTCGGTCCTCTGAGCTTCATCGAGCTTGACCTTAAGCATGCCAAGGATACCCCGCTGCTCTTCGACCATGCTACTATCAACTCTATCGCCAAGAAGCACAACCGTACCCCGGCCCAGGTGCTGCTCCGTTGGTCTACACAGCGTAACATTGCTGTTATCCCTAAGAGCAATGATCCTACTCGTCTCGCGCAGAACTTGCAGGTCACTGACTTCGACCTCGAGACCAGTGAGCTTGAGGCTATCAGTGCATTGGACAAGGGTCTTCGCTTCAATGACCCCGTGGCTGTAAGTTTCATTCCACCTATCAACTGAATTGTTTAGTACTGACAGTAATTATTAGTACGGTCTCGGCATTCCCATTTTCTAAGCCCATGTATACAAAGCGGGTCTGGGCATTTGGGAGACGGAATAAACTCCGTGTGCCGGAGAAGGAAATCTTCCGTATTATGACTTTGACGCCTGGAACAAATAAAAAAAAAATATTCCAATACTTTTCCACAATGATTGAAGATGAATTTGTAGTAGATCAATTGGGTGTCGTAGATTGTATAGATCGCAATATGTCAAAGCGCCAAGAAATGCCGATCTCAGTGACGATCGAACATTTTCTCCAACCTCCAACTTGAACGCAACAAACTCCCCATGACCTCCCCTGCTATCCTCGCGCGCATGGCCGCGCAAGTACACATCACCGCCATGCCCAGACCAAAGAATATAGCCGAAAGCAAACTGGTGCTGGGCGCACTTCAGAAATTCGGAGAAGTAATAACATACCGCAACCTCAAGGTAGGGATTCTCTCTCCGCGCATTGCAAACGAAGCATTTAGTTAACAGCCATCCTTAGTACGACACAAGCAATACCTCCCCAATCCATAACCGGCCCATCCTGGCCATCTTCGAGACCGCCGACGCAGCAAACCGCGCAATAGCATCTTCGCCCATAACCATTGCCCTCCCTACAAACCCAATCTCAACCGCCAATTCCTCCAAATCCGACTCCTCAAAAGCCCCCGAGCCGCGCTCAATCACATTTGAAGTTCAATCCTCGCGCCATAATCACGCTTCCGCCCTCAAGCGCAGCCCCTTCTACTCTACCTACAATCTCTCCAAAAAGAACAATGCCATTTACGACGATCTGATGAGTGATGAAACGGGAATTCCGCTGAAGGAACTGGCCGATACACTCGCGAGTAAAAAATATCATATTGGGCCCGGCGTTAAGGATAATATTCAAGCGGACAATCGGCGCATGGGGGCGGCGAGTTTGATGAATATGTGGAAGGAGGGGATGGGCATGGAGATTGAGGGGCAAGAGAACCCATTTGATAATGGGAATGGAGGCGTGAATATTCAGGAGCCTGGAGACAGGACAGAGAAGAAGCAGAAGGGAGTGGTTTGAATTGAGCGCCGTTGAATTGGGCGCCGTTTTGACCCTTGTCTTTTGTGCCTGAATGGCAAGGAGGAATACCATGGCGTTTTACTCTGTTCCGTTGAAGGCGGAGCAAGGCTCCTGTCGATGAGCATTTGCATTAGCTTTGGCTGGACCAAAGAAGCATGAAGTTCTCGCATCCCACTCTGATGCCCTGTCTGCAGGATTAGCAGCTTGGTTGGCCTGTTCGTTTGTTGGCGTGCTTTCCATGGGCAGGAACTTGAGCAGTCATTAACTCTGGAGGTCAATTCCTCTAGAGGTTCTTGTCGGCCAATATTGATGATGTACGGAGTATATCTGGGTTATTACCAGTGTACTCTGTCTGCTACATGAAACAAATTGGGTCCTGCTCAACTAGCACAAATCCAGGGATCTTCGATGGATATACGAGTCTATCATAACGATCAATGACATGTACATATAGGATCACTTTGCCCAAATCGGGATAATGCTTGTCAGTTTCTTCATTTCAAGGTTTTCCATCTTTCTTTCTAGAGAAGAATTCCATTTCTACGTCAGTTCCAGGTGACCTGTTATACTCTCAATACTATCAAAGGCTTCTCCAACGGATCTACAACATGGGAGTTTGTGGTTACCATAGTTTTCTACTTTGTCCACCGAGAGAAACCTCTGGATCAGCAGAGATTTTAGATCCATCTCAGCGGCAACGAGCCTGGTTTGACGAATGTCTGTTTAAGCCCATCAAGTATCACAAGAGCTCGACCCAGAAGCTGCACGGCCGCAGAAACAATACGAGAGAACACATCTTGACCAGCATCAAAAAGCTGTCGAGTCAAAAGAGAATGAAAGAAGAAGGAAGGAAGTGAGAATATATACAAAGGATAAAGGTGAGGTGGAAGAGCTGTCATTAGTCAAGTCTATGTAGGTCCACAGGTAGATGGTATTGCTCTGAGCCCTATAGAAGACCTATACAGATTCATACATATGTACATAGTAGATCTTTTGGTGGATACCTAGGTGTTAATGCAGGAGGAGAGTCAATACACCCACGAGATAGCCAAACGAATATCTTTCCTTTCTTCTCTTCGTTCTTTTCGTCTTTCTCCCATGCTCTTCAGCTCACAGGAAACAACAATACAAACATCCAACAAACCATCACTAGCCTTTCCCAATGGCGAAAGAAGCTAAAAGCTCTACCAAAGGCCCCGTCAAGGAAGTTATCAAACCGATGACTGCCAGGTACCTTAACTTCATTGTTGAGGTTGTCAACCATCCCGAAGCCCAGGTAAGAGACTCCGGCCATGTATCTCTCGAATGCTATGTGCACAGTCGACACTTGCAGATCAACTTCTCCGCTATTGCGAAAGACATGGGCGATACCACCGGCCATATTCGGGACCGATTCAAGAGAGCGATGGCGCGTGCAGCCGCACTCGCAGAAGGCAAAATTGAGAAGGCCGAGGATACCGATGCGTCAGAGACTGAAAACGTCTAGATGTCTCGAGTGAACACCATGTCTAAGCAGTTGGCTTTACCGCGCATTCTATCAATCACTCCAACTGCGATATCAACGGAGGAAGTCTGAAGAGGGGGAATGGTTCCTGCGAACGTAAAGGGCATTGATTCATACAATTTTCAGCATGGAAGTCGTGAGAAAGGTAGAGAGTTGCACATGGGCAAGGTTGCGGGTAAAGTCATCTAAGCATCAACCACACAAACTTGTGTATCTTCTATTAATGGAAAAGACCTGAGTCCGTTACAGGCATGATAACTATGTACCGGTAAAATGCAAATAAGAAGTACCTTGAGCATAACTAATATCAAGCCTATCTAGTGAAGGGTCATATACGATCATCATTGGTACCTAGGTAGGTGTTCAATTCATTTCTCATGTAAAGAATCAAGTCCGCACGCGGGGACTGTAGCACGGAAGACATCAAGACCATGAACTAGTCAAGGCAACATATTAAAGCCATCTCGGCATAAACCTAAACCCGAACAAAAGCTAAGAACCATTAGCATGAGCCCCCAGACCACAAGCTGCATTATAGTGAAATAACTTACTAGCATCAATCTGCTTAATATTCGGCAGTGCTAAGCGCACCTTGTTGCGATAAACAGCGGGCCCGTTCATCTGCAACGGGTTACCCTCGAAGTAAACAGTTTCAAGCTTCTCTTTATCCTTCAACTCGCGCTCGACTTCCTCGAAGCTGGCGAGTTGGTTATTGGATCCCCACAGTTCCTCGAGATTCTTTAGTGAGGAGAGATGTTCCAAATGGGAGACCTGGTTGTTGGAGAAGTCGAGCACGCGCAGGGTCTCGTTGGACTCGAGTCCTGATAGATCTGTTATGGCGTTATGAGAGAGATAGAGCTCTTCGAGGTTTGGGAGGCCGGAAAGACCGGTGATTTTGGTTAGGCGGTTGGATTGGATGGAGATGATGCGTAGATTTGAGAGACTGTCCAGGTTCTGGGAGTGGGTCAGCTTTCTATCCATCTTGTTTCTGAGGTTGAGATGGGCGTTATCGCGGACCTTCATTTCAACGATCTTGTTTTTCCCAAGCCAGAGTTCCTCAAGTGCGCTGAGTGTTTCCAAATTCTCAATTTCCTATATCCATCCTTGTCAGATCTCTAGAATTCGTTGTAGAAAGATACATTATCACCAACCCGAATTTTATTCGCGCCTAGCTCCAAGTTCTTGATCAAGGTCAATTCCTCCAAGCCCTCGATGCGAGTAATCTTGTTCTGCACGAAGAAAAGCTCGGTCAATTTCTTGAGGTGTGAGACATTCTTGATATGCTTGATCTTGTTGAAGCTTAGATCTAAGCTTGTCAGGTTCTGGAAGTCCTCCAGACCCTTGATGTGCGATATGAGGTTATCGTAAAGATCGAGCTCGGTCAGGCTTTCAGCGATATTGGGAGGGAAGTTGATGCGTGATATTTGATTCTGACGCATGCATAGCCTCTAAAACAAGGCCAACGTTAGCTATCTGTTACTTCATCTTCGCAATAAAAGCATTGTGTTGGAAAAACAAAAAAAGTGGCACCACATGTCTTCCGCTGAAAAAGTCCCGGAGACGCAAAGAAAAAAATTTACCTGAAGCTTAGTGAAGCGTTCCAATTTGAGAGCAGAAATCGACGATATCCGGCAATGCACGAGGTCGATATCCTATGTTGGGAGGATTAGCAATCACGTAACTACGATCAGCAGAGGTTCAAAGCTACCTCCGCGTTGACATCTTCGTCTGCCAACAGATCTGGGCATTTATTAGTCCATCTATCCACTGCTCTGCCTCGACCAATATCTTGCGGGTTTCGTACCTTCGTCGGCCTCAATCTCATCCACCGGAGGCGCATCTGGGTCCGAGTAATCGGAATCCTCCAGCGCTTCCGGGTTTGTAATAACAGCCTTTGCTTCCTTGGGCTCTCTGAGCTCCTTGGGCTCCTTAGCTCCATTTAGATCTTTTGGGTCGATCCTCATTTTTCCGTCCCAGCCCTCCGCGTTCTTCATGATTTCAGCCAGGGTGATGATGTGGGATGTTTGGAGGTTGCGGGCGGTGGAAATTGCGATTGCGGGGAGTGTTCTCGTTTGGTTTTTTTATATTTTTGATCGCGGTAGACAATCGCCAATTTCGATGATGTAAATTGAAAAAGAGGACCGACAGCGAATTGAGAATAGTGTGATAAGAAGGTTGCAGGGCCAGTAACTTGAAACCTTGGTTTTGCGAAGTTGAACTACATCATTGTCTTAATGCGGGTGGACTCAATGCGGAATAGCCCGAGGTACTGCAATAATGACAAGACAATATTGTACACTATTAACAACAAATAAAGAGAAAACAGATGATAAGCAAGTTAATTCATTTCTACTCTAATACAACTTGCTCAACTACTTGAGTTTTCTGGATACGGCTTCTCAGGGGCTATGTACAGCATCGAGAGTGTCTGATCACCATGTACATTGCATGAAAGAATCACCAGTAACTTCAGCGGTGTAAAGGGGGTTATTAAACACTGCTCACTAAGAGGGAAATGTATACCACTTCATGACAAGAGACTCAGCAAGGAAGAGAGCGCAAAGAGCATGCTCGCATATTGGTGAGATCACGCCAGTAGGGCAATGTAGCAAGGCAGAAATGAGAATGAAAAGGGAAAAACATAGGGGGGATACAGCGCGGACATAACCAAGAGACGCCTGCAGAATGCATGAAAAGCGGACTTGTTGTAGGGAGGGAAAATACAAAATAAGGAAGAAAGATCAGGACATGAGGGTGTGTTGATAAACAGGTAACAAGAGTGACAAGGGGAATGGGGCTCGCTCGGAGCGTAGTGAGACAAATCAAATCACAATGCAAAAGGTCGAAAATTGGCCAGGTATTGTAGCTATCCAAGATCGACAACAGGTGCAGGAGACAGGCCGCCGTCCAGTGGGATACCAGTTCCAACTGGACCGTTCGGTCGCCGAGAAAGGGAGGTAAACAGGGTGACTACCCATCAATGGCAGCAATGCTGGAGGAACGCAAAAGGAGAGGCTTTTCTCGCGTAGAAAAGAAAACAATTCGCTCAAAATGGATATCTCAGGCGTAAGAAGGATCCGGTCGAGGCATTTACAGGCTGACATCCAGGACCATGCTGACATCTTGGACCTGTGTACCTGCAAGATCCTCGAGAACAGGGATCAGATCGAGCAACTCGTTATCGTGAGCGTCAGAGAACCAGCTACTGATGGGAATCGCGTGCTCAGGGTGGAAGATATAAGAAGTGGGGGAGTTGTCGATGATAATCGTTTCTTTCAAATCTCGACCGACTTGTGAAAGATCCTGAGTGGTCGTTAGCTGGATTCAGGTTCTATATAACGGTTTTAAGAAACTTGCCTTGACATAATTCCCCTGGTGGTTGTAACAACTCTCTCGGAATAGACGGTGGTGAACAACGTTGTGGATATCCAATTGATCCAGAAGAGGATCACCATACTATAATTCAAGTCAGTCTGTGTTCTTTGCCCAATTAGGCAACAGTCCAGTACACTGACCTTTGAAACTGAAGCAGTGAAAACCACTACTTCATAAAGTTCACCGACACGTTTCATGAAAGCGTCCACACCAGGACGCTTGATCACATAGATATTGTGATACTGTCCTTCGATCTCTACCGGAATGGTAAAGTCGGCACGTTCCAAAACCTATACAATAGGGTGAGCATAGTGTTACAATGACACGCCATTGTCGTGTACGTTGAGACTTGGATTTGCATACCTTGAAGCTACTGTGGACGAGTGTTTCATCCAAATCCAGAACTAAACATTTTCGACCACTCAGGTGGGCTGGAACCGCTGGTAGCAATGGGTTGGGGATATTTTCGGGATATCCTCGAACAGAAGGCACGATAGGAGCAGTAGGCGGCGGCGGAGGGGGCAATGCCACAGATTGAGGGGGCGGCGAAGCTTCTTCTTGGTGATTGGCGACATCTTCGTTGCCGTCGGTATTGAAAGATTTGGTGGGCGCAGTAGATGTTGGCTCGGTTGATGTCGGTGCCGCGACTTCATTCGCCGTGTCAGGTTGAACATGCCCGTCGTGAATAGGCTCGTTCGCCTTCAGGTCATGCACTGATCCATTCGCTTTTTCTGCTTCGGAGGGGGCCGAAATCTCCTCTTTTTGGTCCTTTTGACCAGAAGCTTCTGGCTGAACAACACCTGTGGAAGGTCCCTCATGCGTACCCCCTGCAATCGCCTGGACATCGCGATGTTCTTCGCCCGCTTGATCAGCACTCACAGTTGAGTTTGCCTTCTCATCCAAATATGGCTCTCTCGACTCCGCAGTGCTGGATTCACCGGTGTGAGCCTCGGCCTTGTCTGGGGTGGGCAGTCGGTTCGAAGCATCGGGTCGCACGGTGGTTTTCTTCGCAGGAAGAGCGGCGTCATCATTATCAATGTCCGATGAGGAGCAACAGCTCAAGAAAGCCAGAAGTTTGGAGGGTCCCGTCTTCTGAGGCTTTGAAGGACTGGACTCGGGCGTGGACTCCGTTTCTTTGCTCTCCGCATTCGCTCCATTCTGAGTCTGGCGCGACCGTCCACTACTAGCCCTGCTGTGGCCCCGCTTCCGCAGAACACTACTCACATTCGAACCCCTTCGATCCTGCGCCTCGTTGGCCTCGGAGGCCGATTGTTTGTTGTTGTTCAAGGATCGGCGCGATCGGATGCTTTTCAACAGGCCACGTTTCTTTGGAGCTTGCGCCGCCTCGGCAGCATCCGGTGCGGTCTTCGCTGGTTCAGCGGAAGACGGCACCGGGTCCGAAGGTGCGACGGCGGATGCATCCTGGATCTCGGTCGCATCGGTTCCCCGACCCTGTTCGGGCGACTCATCTATGAACGAAACCACATCAGCGACTTCATTTACCCAGCTGGGTATGTACGGTGTCAGGCACAGGGACTTACTGGTTGAGCCCGGAAGACCGGAGGTACTCATTGCTTTGTCTGTGGACTCCGGAGCAAGATCTCGCCCCGTGCTCTCTCCACTCATGGAGGGCTGCAATATCAGATATGACAAGTGATCATATAAAAAAAGAGAAGCAAGGCAGATCTCAGGTCTGAATGGCCGAGTCAATGTCTGAACTGGTAGAGAGCGCGGCTAAAGGATGTTAACTACCTCCTGGATAAGCAAGCGCCTAAGCTCTCTTTCGTATGTACCTACCGCCTTTGACCCCCGGAGTTGATCCAACAGCGCTATTAAACGCACGTTTCGCAGGACCAAGCAAAAAATAAATCAAACAACTCGAGTTGATTATAATACTCCTTATAGAAGGAATCTCAAAGAGGAGATGGAGAGGAGTCGGGGATAGTCACGTGGGGGAAATGGGGCGAGAGTCGAAGTTGGGATTTAATTCCCATTTTCGACCGTTCGACGCTAAACAAGGCACAGGACTTCTTCGTGTGTTTTTCTTTTTGCTTTTTTTTTCACACTATGACAAGCCCTCAGCGGCTACAGGATATTACATGCTGGACTATCACGTTTTCCTTATTTTATTTTACTGCATATCTGTACCCTTCCTTTTCTTTTCCCCTGTAGTCGGCTGATCTCTCTCTTATGTTTGGTCAATCTACTCCGTATTGTATGTGGACTTAGGGTGAAAATAGGATTAATTGAATCTAAAAGGGGTCTCTCTTCTACAATTTTGTACAATATTATCCTCCCGTGAGGTCTGGACCAAAACAAGACTAGAAAGTAATTTCGTTAGAAGATCCCGATCAAGGCCTGTGGGGGGATCTGATGTGGGTATTATGTGCTCTTTCACTATTATTATTATGATGGCCCCCTTTTTTTTGTTATGTCCTTTGATATGAGGGAGCTATGGCCTCTTGGTCGAATCCCCTCAATCAAGTGTCTGGGTTGGAATGTCTCATTGGACACGGAACCCATTATGTAGTATATGATGAATACTACCCCAGATGTCTACGGAGAACATATTAGTAGATCATACATATGTAGTCTTATAAACCCGTTGTGTTGTAGATCCAGCCATTATATATCATTAAGAGGGGGCCGAGAAGACCCCAAATAAGATTGAAACATAAAAGGGGAAAACAATGATAAAATAATACATATAGCGAAGTTTTCAAGAGGATATGTACATAGGTAGACTCTCAATATAGTATGGGTGAACATCTGAGTTTCGACTACCATATTATACTTATTACCTAGTTCTATTACTAACAACATTTGAACATTTGAAGTTATGGTATGGAGTACTATTTGCAGATACAAAAGTACCGAATACCATGCAAAATATGGTTACCATCTTATACAGTATGGTACCCTGTACAAAATTTCTACAAAGGCTGGAGAAAGTACAGTCAGCCTTTCCCCACGTGAGGTTCTCCGCATATCCCGAGGTTCACATGCCAATGATGCAACATAATCTCAACTTCACTTCCACGAATTCTTCCTATCATGTATCTACAGTCTGAAACACAATTGGCAATAATATGATCCTCCGAGTCTAGGGACCTTCAGTCGGTTCCAGGCCATTTGAAAGATGGCCGTCCAGTCAACACTTCGAGAGGATCCTCTCTTGGCTCTGTATCGCCATTATTCTGATCTCGTACGCTCGAAACTACGCCACACTTCCAAAACGGCACGATTGGTTGCAACAGTAGCACTTCTTTTCTCCATCATCACTTCCGGGTATGGAGGCTACAGATGGTTCCGAGGGAGGGCCAAGGAGCGAGCCCAGGGTCGCCGTCTTTTGCGCCGGAACTCTGGTATCCGGGGTAAAGACGGATCTCGGACCATTTATGTGCCATACAAGGACTCTTTGACCTCTAAAGTCTTGATTCATCCCACAAAACCCACGACCTTCGACGCCCATCGACGATTGTTCCTCAATCCCCCGGCCTCGGCTCGCAGCAAAGATGACGGCTCGACAAACCAGATTCCTCCGCCCACTACTAAACCAGGTCTGAACCTGGCATTTCTACATCAGTTTCTGAGCTTGGGCAGTATCATGGTCCCGCGATGGGGAAGCAAGGAGACTGGGTTACTGATGAGCCATGGCCTTTTTCTCTTGTTGCGAACATACCTTTCACTGTTGATTGCGCGCCTTGATGGTGAGATTGTGAGGGATCTTGTCGCCGGCAAAGGGAAAGCGTTCCTCTGGGGCATCCTCAAGTGGTGTGGAATTGGAACCCTTGCTTCATACACAAACGCGATGATCAAATTCCTTCAATCAAAGGTGTCCATCGCTTTCCGAACTCGACTGACAAGGTACATCCACGACTTGTACCTAACCGACAATAACAACTATTATAAATTGATGAACTTAGACGGTGGAATCGGCCAAGGGCCCGACCAGTTCATCACGCAGGACCTTACACTTTTCTGTACAGCGGCCGCTTCGCTGTACTCCTCAATGGGAAAGCCGTTGGTTGATCTTTTCGTATTTAACTATCAACTTTACCGCTCGCTCGGCCCTCTCGCTCTGAGCGGCATTCTAGCCGGGTACTTCAGCACGGCGGTGGTGCTCCGGAAGCTGTCACCGCCGTTTGGAAAACTCAAGGCCGTCGAAGGAAAGAAAGAGGGAGATTTCCGCGGCCTACACTCTCGACTTCTAGCCAATGCCGAGGAAATCTCCTTCTACGGTGGAGCTGATATCGAGCGAGTTTTCCTAGTCCGGAGCTTTAAGGACCTGCAGCGATGGATGGAAGGGATCTACAGTCTCAAGATCCGCTACAACATGCTGGAAGACATGATCTTGAAGTACTCTTGGTCCGCATTTGGCTACTTGGTCACTTCGTTGCCCATTTTCCTCCCAGCGTGGGGTGGTTCTGGGGGTAAATTGGAACTGGCCGATGCCCCCGAAGGGATGGGTCGCGAGCGTGGCCGCATGAAGGAGTTCATCACGAACAAGCGCCTCATGCTTTCTTTGGCCGATGCCGGAGGCCGCATGATGTACAGTATCAAGGACATTTCAGAACTCGCAGGCTACACCTCTCGCGTCTACGGCCTCATTGCCACCCTACATCGTGTCCACGCGGATGCCTACTACACTCCAAGAGGCGCCCATCCAGAACTATACTCTCTTGCTGATTCCCAGGGCACCACTCATAATGGCTTCGACGGGGTCCGCTTGGAGCAGGTCCCCATCGTTGCGCCGTCTCTCTACCCAATGGGAGGCGACGAGCTCATCGAGTCGCTTTCATTCATCGTCCACTCGGGCGACCACCTTCTCATCTCTGGTCCAAACGGCGTAGGAAAGTCTGCGATTCCGCGCATCGTTGCCGGGCTCTGGCCCGTCTATCGCGGGCTTGTCAGCCGACCCCGAGGCTTTGGCCTCGACGGCATCATGTTCCTCCCGCAGCGGCCGTATCTTAGCGTCGGCACTCTGCGTGACCAAGTAATCTACCCACACACGGAGGTGGACATGCGCGAAGCCGGTGAGTCAGATGCAGCACTGCAGAAAATCCTCGACGATGCGCATCTTGGATACTTGCCACAGCGTGAGGGCGGCTGGGACGCTCGTAAGGAGTGGAAAGATGTTCTTAGCGGTGGAGAGAAGCAGCGTATGGGCATGGCCCGACTGTTCTACCATGAACCGCGGTATGCATTCATGGATGAGGGTACGTCGGCTGTTTCCTCAGACGTTGAGGGTTTGCTGTATGATAATGCCAAAGAGCGCGGGATCACTCTCATTACGATATCGACGCGGGCGTCTTTGAAGAAGTATCATACTTTCAATTTAACTCTTGGTCTTGGTGCCGAGGGTGAGGCCTGGGAGTTTGAGAGGATCGGTACTGAGAAGGAGAAGTTGGGCGTCGAGAAGGAATTGCAGGAATTGCGCAAGCGGTTGGATAAGGTTGATGAGTGGAAGCAGCGTCGTGAGGAGATTGATACTGAACTCCAGAAGGTTTGGGCTAATGGCGCTGAGATTGCACCGCCACCTTATCAGGAAGAGACACATTCTGGCTCCGAGGAACTTGTTGAAGAACCTGCAGGAACTGCGAATTGAATGTATACAGCAGCATAGACTACCTCCTGGTGTCTCGTACCTTTGATACTATTAGCGATAATTCGAGAATACGTCTTTATTATAAACACTTTCGATTTCCATGGTTTGACAAGTGTTAAATACCGCACTATTTGCGTTGTTCTAACGGTTTGATCGAAATATCACCACCCAAGAAAGCATCTCTGAACAGCCTCGAATAGAACAGCAAAGTGTCACGCGTCACCGCCCTACAATACTGCCACTTTCTTATCGATAAGCCCTCATTGCCAGAGAAAACCACCGGCTCCATAGTTCATCCTGTCAACAAACTTTCTCTTTTATTGCCTTCTGCACTCATACAACTCCGCGGACACCTGCGCTCCATTCTTTCACACCTTTGCGCAAAATATTGTTTCCGTCTCCCAACCCCTTTACCCTCTGATCTTCCTGGGCTTCCCAGGTGGGGAAGACAAAAGAGACAAACAAAGATGTATTCAAGCGATGATGACTCCAATGTCAACATTATCCCCATGGATAGCTATCCCAGTGACGGAGATTCAAACACATGGCCCGGAGAACCATATGCTGAACGTGATGACACCAATTGGCGACGATTGTTAGCTTGCAATTGGCTCCAACATATGGGTTCTCTCGAAGATGGTAAGCTGAGATGAGATATGCATGCTTCCCTCTTCATTTGCTATGGACTTTCAACCCATTGCTCACTATGTTTTTGAATGTCAAATGTCACATTAGTTTGCTGTTTTAAAGTTATACTCTTTTTCGTTATCCATATCTTGTTCATGCTGATTCTGGCTCTTTGATCTTCGAACTCACACTCTACGTTGAAGGTGCCGATAACACACTTGACAAACTGCCTGAGGGCTACTGTCTATTTGATAAACCCAACAGAAAAAATCCCCACATCGTGAGTTTTCAAGCTCATCTTGCCATCTTGATTTCCGACTAACCTATATGAAGCGCAACCCTGCCCTCTTTGGCCATCCGAGCGGCAGGTATTTCCCGTCGCAAAACACATTCTTGGAACATTTTATCTGCATGGTTCAAGGAAAGCTAGATGATTGCAAGTGCAGACTTTGCTCAGCGATGCCTGGAGCGAAACCTGGAGCGAAACCTGGTCCAAAATCAGGCAGGCCTGCCAGGGCAACTACATCTACAATTCAACTCAGTGACTATGCCTGTCTATCTATAATTGATCGCTTACTGACATTCGATGAGCTTCCAATGACCCTGGTGATGCAGAAGATCCTGACTACTGGCGAATGTTGGTCATGAAGTTGAAAGAGCGTGGCACAGTTGATGAAGATCTTCAGCACCGCAACAATATTGACTGGGTCCTCACTAACGAATCTCTTTCTCAATACTTCTTGAAACTGGTGGAAGATCCTGCTTACGTCCCTCGCCGTGGCGAGCTTGTTCTCTGGATTTGGTCGGGCCTCGAAGACGGATCTCTTATGCGCAACCCCGATACCGGTCTAATCGAAATTTACGGCAAGGACAACGAATGGCACGGCGTGCCTGATTGGCGTGCTGGCGTGATTACCGAGACGCCTACCAACGACCAAATCAATATGGCCGACATCATCGAAGAACCGAAAAGTCCACGCGGGCTAAGTTACTCTAGATTCCGCGTGGAGACTTTGCCGGATCCCCTTGGCAGCGACAAATCTTACTCCAGGCAATACTCCTACGTTCCCCTGCGCAACATTAAGCCTCTGAACACCTGGCAACTCTTCCTCGATCGTCAAGAACGGGACAACATCCACCCGTCTATCGAAAATGCCTTGACTGTCATGTCCTCCTGGAGCCTGGTCCACAAATTTCACGCAAAGGGCAGATGGCCTGATGTCCAAATTGACTGCAAGGGTATCTTTGTCGGCGCCGAGCTTCTCGCCGTGCGTGACACGATCCGTCTCCGGCCGCACGACTACCAGCACAGCCAGGAAAAAGCTGGAGAACCCAAAGTGACTGATGTGATGGTCATCGAAAAGATCAGCTTCAACATGACTGGCTGCACTGAAGACCCAAAAGACGAGCAACTCGCATCCCACTACACGGCTTTGATCTCCGGCAAGATCTTCACTAATAATGCTGACCGCGAAGTTTACGGCGGCCCTTTTAAAGAAACCGATCGAATCCCAATCAGCAAGGAGGAAGCCAGTGCGACCTTCCGACAGGCTGGCATGAGCGATTACGGCCCGTGGTATCGTATGGCAAAGGGTCAAACCTGCAACATCGGTCCACAGCAGGTAATCGGTCGCTGTTATGAGCCTCTCGCGGCCCAGCTTATGATCGGCACACATGTCCTCGGTTACGATCTATACAGCGTCATGGAAGGCCGCAATTACTCTCAGCAAGTGGATGCACGCATCTCACCCGGCAAAACTTGGTTCTGGGGCGACTACCGCGTTGAAACGTTGGGGTTGACCCAGATCAACGGGGTCGAGTGCGGCCCCACAGCCTCGCAGCGGGAAACCGATGCCAAGTGGCAGGCGATCCTGAAAGTCTCGCGCGGAGAAACAAACCATGGTGTCCGACGCAAGGCTGGTATACCCTCCTCTGCTGGTCGGCCCTTTGGTGCCAAGAACAAGTCGGGAGCTAAGTCTCGGCTTAAGACTGTGTTTGCGGGAGTTGCGCCTATGAGTAAGATGGTTAGCTCTGCTATTGGGAGTGCGCCTGATGATGATGATTCCGAAAGTGAAAAGGATAACAGTGACTTGACGGATGAGAATGTTGCTGGTGAAATTACTGGGCTTGTGATCGAGCGAGCGATCAAAAGTGACAGCGAAGATCTTGAGTTCAGATAGTTTCCCTTTTTTTTTGGTTGAGATGTACCTTTGGCTTTTTTTACTCTTTTAGCGGCATATCGACGATACCCATGGGCGTTATGGCGGATGTTTGTTTTCATCCTCTGTATGCAATATTATGTGAGGTTAACAATGCAGAATTAAATAATCAAAGAAGCACGGAAATATCTATCTCTTGCCTTGTAGAATTCTGCTGTGGACAAAGTAGGGCTATGAAAAGGCACCAGGGATCCGAGTTCCCAAACAGAGAGGATCTCGATCCCAAACATGGCCGAAGAGTATTCAAGACATAAATTCACAGCTAACTCATGTAAACTAGAGCATAGGAAATCTTTCAAAATTGAATATATTCATAACTATCTTCATTTCACATAGGTCATTGTATGGCTCGATACAAAAACTCAACATAGATCATAGCCACACTCACGGCCAATAATCCAGACTCAAGCCTCACCCTCATCAGCCTCCCTTCTAGCAGAGCGCTTCTTCTCAGACCAAGGGAAGTGCACAACAGGAGGCAAGAAGAAGCTATTGCTGCTATCAGCAATCCCTGCAAAGGCATTATACCAAGCTAAGAAAGCTCCAAGAAGAGCAAAGAGTCCGCCGGCCTTGAGCAACTTTTCATTGGGCATTCCGTCCGCTTGAAGAATGTATCCGAGAGCGAGTAGGAGGAGGGCTATATCGACGAAGAAGAAGAGGGAGAAGAACGCCACGGTCGATTTGAGGGTGAGCAACGTGACCAGCGTGGTGAAGATGAACCAGCCCTGTATAGAGAGATATAGTCAGCTTTCTGTCTTCTTCCACTTATGTAGGCTCAAAGCAGCCCTGGATAAAATCATCACATACGAATAGATACAGCGCGAAAGAATTGTAAAACATAGTCGGTTCCCCGTTGTCCGCTTTCTCCAAAGCACCCATAATATTGAATCCGCCAGGAATGAAAGTGATAGCGAGCGAAATCCAGAATCCGCCATAGGACGAAAGCACAGTGGCACCGAAGGTATTACCCACAGCCATTTCCCTGGAATCATTAGCACAACGCATATTCAAAAGATGTCTCGCAACATACCACATGCCAGCGCAAAGCTGCACCAAGCCACCATAAGCCAACGCAGGCCCAACAATCATGTTGGGCTCGGTCACGCCGCGGACATTCATGTTGATACATCCCAGAACGAAGGTCGTCAGCGCAAAGGCGCAGAGACCTAACGGGGCAGGATTGGCGATTTTGCGGTCCTTGGGCAGGCGATATAGACCTGGCTGGAGATCACCGCCGAAGGCAGGGTAGCGGCTTGAGGCGGTGTTGACGTGGGCGAGGGGACCGAAGTGACCAGCGACATATCCATCAGAGGTGGAGTTTGAAGAGGTAGTGTTGTTTGTGTCTTTGACACTGATTCCTTCGTTTTCGTAAGACATTGTCGAAGTTTGTGGCAGTTATAGAAGAGGTATAATGTAGGAAATATAGGAGAGAGGTAAGAGTATCGAGGCGATGACTATGGCCAGGAAGAGCAGCAAGTCCGAACAACGCTGGACAGAAACAGAATCAATTGTAGAATGTATCTCCTTTATATACTTCGTACAATTGAAGACGCTGCGGCCGCTTCCATGTGCGGAATGTAGTTCCTCGTGTCCGCGGGGCAGACTGGGCTGGCGAAGGACCCATGAATGATGCGGGGGACCCAAAAACGAGACATGACTGGAATCGACTTGGCTGTCCAATATTTCAAGGAGTGGAATGTCTGTGTAACTCAAAAATTGATAAACTCCATAGGTGGTGGGACGATGGGGAACTCCTTCCGTCCGTATACGCACATTAGACGATCATAGTGCAAGAATTGATGCTTCGGGCGATGATCGTCGTACAGATCTCATCTTGAGTCTAAAAACTCGGGGTAAATGCGGAGATCCCCAGGTTGAGGTGACTGGATCTACCTATGATAGGGCTAATGTGCAATTTTGTGGGTTCGAATCAAAATTTCGGCAGAGAGACGCATACCGAATGATGTTTCATTGGATGAAACTTAAACACTAGTAACTTGCCGAATGTTAATGCCGAATTCATATTGAGTTTGGAAGTGCGTCACTTTGTTTCTTCTCACCCCTGGAATATTGGATTATCTTAATGTGGTGGATTGCATATTGGTGATTGTACAGTGGCAATCTTTCGCCTCTTGGATTCTGGCTTTGGACAAGCATTCAACTTTACTCCGACCTCGGAAGAAGTGAGCTGATATTTCAAAGTAAAAAGTAAACCTCAATAATTCTTCTGCACAACGCCCCTCGCAAACTCCGCAAAACTCAATCCAGGCTGAACCTCCTCCGACAGATTCGGCTGCGTAAACACGGCAAGGGTATTCCTCGCAATCTTCTCTCCAGGACTAGCCTTGGCCCCCTTCACAAAATGTGGCACGGCCATGAACTTGCCACGCGTGATAAGCTGCAATGCCTCGCCGGTCTGGAAAGCAAGACAATCTTTGGGAATATTGACTTTGACAATCTCATCTGTGCGCGATCGAATATACAGACCGGCCGAAGGGTCGGGGGAACGGGGAAGCTCGGGGAGAACGCTAGTTGAATCGATAGGAGGGGAAGCAGCTTCGTCAAGGAACATGGCCGATGTCAAGCCCGTCAAACAGCCATGGTCGACGTGCGTAGCGCACCAGTCGTCGTCGCTGGCCTCCGTCTGCTCCTCAGAGCCTGGGAAATAATGCAATAGTCTTGCCTTGGTTGTCAAGCTGGTTGTGACAACATGGTGCAGATATCCAGGTTTGTAGTCAGTGATGTTGGCCTCGGCGTATCGATCACAGGCCTTGGCGACCAAGGCGGCGGTATCAATGATCAAACCACAGAGCGACTCCACGCTACCCCTGAATTCGGGCAATTTTTCCTCGGAAGGCCAGATGTTGGGCGCGGTATACTGGGGCAAATCTGGGAACCCATCGGCTGGAGCGCTGTCTAATGATGGGTCCTGATAGAAGGCGCAATTCACATAGTAGGAGCCCTTGAGCGTGTCGAAGTGGCCTGATTTCAAAGTTTCTTTGCCACAAGACCAGCCGACTAGGTATTTTGATTCTGGGCTAGTGAGGGATTCTGCGGAGGATATTAGTCTGGAGTTTTTTGACTTTGCTATTTGCGGTTGAAGACAGAGCTCATTTGGACATTCACATACCCAACTCCGCATCTGGTAGTGCCGCTAGATACGATGCATTTGAAAGAACCTTTGAGCGTAATTCAGTGAATGTTGGGGGCAGGTCTTTCACGACAATAATGCCCAGAGAGGCCGGGCCGAACGCTTCGGTTAGTGTATCAAAAGACACCGTTCCTGCTATAGCTTAGGATATAGTTCCAGTTTCTTTTCCCTTCTGATCACTCACCATCAACAAGTTCCTTCAGACTCACAGTAACGGCCTGAGCCACGGTGGGTGTATTGGTCTCCATGATTGTAGGAATCAAAATTTCCCCGCTTCGACTTTATCAACGGCATCGCTTAGCGGCGGCGCTATCTATAACTAGTCTACTACGAACACATCTATACACGATAACTTAACTGGATGTAACTCGATGCAGGGGTATACATATTGCACGTCCAATAGTAGTCCAGAATTACGTGTTTTCTCATATATTACACAATTTACACCTAGAATCTTGATCTCCGGCATTGTGAAGGATGGCACCTAGGTAGGATCAGGAGGCACAGAGGATAGATTAGACTGTATATGATAGGACTCCAAGCCTGAATTGGCAAAATTAACCCCAAAAGGAAATTCACAGGCCCTTCCTTTACAATATTGTACAAGATCAGACAGGATCACTCGCTAGAACCAGGCCGTCTGGTCACGGCCCTCAGATTACCGAACGGCAAAACATCCCCAATGCGCTTAGCACCCGTGAACAACATACAGAGACGATCAATACCACAGCCCCATCCACCAGTAGAAGGCAAGCCCCACTCCAATGCTTCGAGGTAGCTCTCATCGATGTCACCAGGCTCACCGGCATCCTTGCCAAAGCGCAGCTGGTCCTCGAATTTGCGGCGCTGTTCAAAAGGCGAGTTCTCCTCTTCGTATGTGTTTATCACTTCCTTGCCTTCTATGAAGAGCTCGCCGCGTGCGGCGACACGCTGCTTGGTGGTGGGGTGGATGAAGGATTTCGAGAGCGGGGAGAGGCACTCGGGCGGGTTGATGATGAAGGTCGGGTCTATGCATTGAGGTTCGACGTAGATGCCGCACAGCTCGTCTAGGAGGCGGGGGAGGGTTGGGTTCTTGGGGAGAGGGAGGGAGAGGTCGGTGAAGATGGATTGCACCTGCTCGAGGGCTTCGGGGGATTCGAGGTCTGGCAATTTGCGACCTGTGCCCTCTTCAATGCCCGTTATGAAATCGATACGGCGGAATGGCGCTGCAAAGTTTGCGGTCGTGGGGTTGAGGGTTCCCGCGTTTAAGCCGCGGATGTGGGCTGCCATGCCGGAGAGGAGATCTTCGGTCATGCTCATTAGGTCCTCCAGGTTGGCATATGCTAAATAAAATTCACACGTGGTGAACTCCGGGTTATGGGTTTTGTCCAGGCCTGGTTGACAGTCAGTTTTGTGAAGTCCAAGTCTCGGTCTATGTGCGCGTACCTTCATTGCGGAAGGATGGTCCAATCTCAAAGACCTTGTCGAATCCACCGACGACTAGCCGTTTGAGCCATAGCTCTGGGGCAATTCTCAGCGATAACTGACGGTCCGAGAACTCAGTAGCGGTGGTATGGAACGGACGAGCGATTGCACCGCCTGCCACAGACCCAATGATGGGCGTGCTGACCTCCATAAAGGACCTATCCACGAAGAACTGCCGCAGATACTGCGTGAGCGCCGAGCGGGCTCGGATAATATCTGCGGTGGCAGGGTTGGACAGGAATTGAACATGGCGAGGGTAGGGAGAGGTCTCGTGCGTGGTGTCGTGAATAGGGACATCATGCAGACATGGCGACAGCAGCTGTGGTAGCTCACTCACGTCAATAGTGAGCTCGCCTCGTCCGGTGCGGTGCGGTCTACCAGTTACAGCTGTACATCATTTAGCGGGCGATGGTCAAAGTCTAGCCGGGAGACATACAGAAAGCGTCGCCGCGACGCAGAACACGATAGAATTTCTTGAACTCCTCGGGGGAGACACTTTCCAAACGACGCTTGTTGCACATCACCTGGAGTTTATGGCCGTCTTGCACAATATCGAAGAAGATCAATTTGTTTCCCGCGAGTCTATAGGTACGAATCCTTCCTACTAATCTAAGTACATGGGCATTTGGAAGGCCAGATATCAAAACCTACCAGAGACGACGACTGTGTCTTCTACTGAATCATTGTCGGCGAGCTCGCTGTAACGAGAGCGGAACTCGGCGCAGCTCACCGTGCGTTTGTCCACTGCTAGGCGAGGGTATGGGTTTGGGCAGACATCTTTGATCTGCCCCACCCGCTCTTGCAGGGCCTTCTTTGGCGACGCGGCGGAGCTACTCTTTCGAATTGGCTGCGTGGTTAGTCGCGTGAATGGTGTTTGAACACGTGTAGCAGGTTGTAGTCCTGAACTGAAGATTTCGGATTAGCAATGTTCGAAAAACAATTGATCCAGAAACGAAGCAATAAGCAATAAGCTTTTCAGGTTATATCCAGTAAGTTCATTGTCCCGAAGGACAGTCACTGTAGCGGTTCTAATGCGGGGATATCTCATCATGTAAAGGATGAAGAAGAGGTTGAGAAAGGAATCCAAAAAAGCAATTCTTACCTGTAAAGGCCTAAGCCGTTGAACAAAGCCCGTCTAGGACGAATTGAATACATATCAAATTCACATTTGAATTTACATCGTTGAGAAGAGAAGAAGAGAAGTGAAGAAGAAGAAGAAGAAACGAAGAAAAGAAAAAGCGACGGCTCCGAGTTTTTCCAGGTGGCCCAAGCTTCTCCGACCTCCCGTCTTTGAACTTGACGGAGATTCGAGTCCAACGGATATACTATCTATTCATCACCACCTTTTCACTTCCATCCACACATCCATTATGTCTTTCCTCTTTGGCGGTGCCCCCAAGATGTCCTCGGCAGAGAAGATTGCTGCTGCCGAGACAGAAGTTGAGATGATCTCAGACATGTTCAACCGGTAAGTGTCGAAGCTCTGCGGAGTACCAGATTGCTGCGAATCAAGAGATGCGGAAAGACTTCATCTTTCAAATCAAAGATTTTCAAAATTTTATTGTTCTGGATCGATGTTCTAACTTGCCCCGTCGCAATAGCTTGACCGAGTCCTGCACCAAGAAGTGCGTGCCCGCCGACTACCGCGAAGGCGAACTCAACAAGGGCGAGTCCGTCTGCCTCGACCGCTGTGTGTCCAAGTTCTTTGATGTCAACATCAAGGTCAGCGAGAAGATGCAGGGTGAAGCCGCCAACAAGCAGGGTGGCGGTATGGGCATGAGCATGTAAAAGTGTTGAATGATTATTGGAGCTTCAGCGACGCTGGGAGCTCGATTTGGATCTTATGTTCCAGTGTACGGCTATATGACTGGTTCGGCCTACTGGGATTTAGATCTTTTGATGGTTCAGGATTATACCATTTATACCATCGCGGATGGGGGCGAGAATCGCCAATCTATCTGAATATGTACAATATGGTGGATAAGGAAAAACAGGAGAATGAAAAAGGAACTTTCATACAAACATTATGTCGAGAAGCCCATCGACCGGGCTATCCATGCTGTCCATGAAGTGTCGTGCTGTTCCTCGCCTTTGACCAGCGCTTTGATTCTCGTCTCGACATTTACAATGTGACGGTCGAAGTCGCTCAGGCCGGCTTCCATGTCCTCAACTTTAGATTCGAGGACGTGTAGTTCGTAATCCAATTTTGCGCCCAGCAACTCAACACGTTTGACTCCATCAGCGAGGTGGTGGTTTTCATCCAAAAGAATATCGCTAGATCGTTCCCGCAGGCGCTGATAGTCTGCGAATCGGTCCAGATAAACTGAGTTGATCTCTTCGTGCCGGTCGTAGAGGACTTGGTTGAGGCCGTCCACGGAATCCACTTGCCGCTCAACCCAAGGTGCAGTGTGCTCGCTCAACTCGAGGATCCGCGAACTGAAAATTCGCCCTTCGGATGCAAGAATGTCTTCCAGAGCGATGGCTTCTTCAAGATTGTTAGTGTCGTTGATGATGGGTTTCCCGCCTGCAGGCTCCCAGTTTAGTACAACTTCTTCAACTGTGCTAAATGACAAATGTCGCGCGCAGTAGTTGTCTCGTCTTTCGATCTCACGTTCAATGTTTTGGAAATCTTCGCAGCTTTGCGGTCGCCGCAGGGCCATGGTAGCTAATCCACTGATTGAGCCACCACGATCGCGGTCTGTTGATGCTGCCGTCGACCGAGACATGACACGTTCCATGTCAGACTCTTCGTCGATCATGTCAGGATGTTGCGCAAGGAATTGATCAGGCTGTGTTGGTTCAAGCTCATCTTCAGATGGTGCTGTCTCAATATGAATTACAGGTGCTTTGACCTCGCCAGAGTCGGCAATGGGGGAAAGTTGCGTAGATTTCTCTTCCTTTCCCTCTTCCTCCTCCTCGATAGGCTCGTCGATATCGTTTGAAGTTTTGGTTTCTGATCGGAAGCCAGAGTCAGTCCGCGTTTTCGCGAGCGGTGCCTCATTATCACTGTCGATAGACGGACGGTAAGCAGCGTCATGTGTCAATTCCGAGCTTTCTCGTGAATGATGATGGTGATGAGAGCGAAGGCCTTGGAGTCCAACCGCATCCTTGAAACGCCCCAATCCTGCACGAGCATCTGAAACTCGACCACTAACGCCCTTTCTGCGATGATCTTTTTCTTCGGCGACTGATGAATCGGGCATCTTCCATGAACGATCAAGGGCCAGGCTGGATCGTTCAGGGTGCAAATCCTCTGTTGAATGTGGTTTCTTGCGACTCGTCCAGACATATCCACCTTGTTCGTCGGTGGTGAACATCATATCGGATCCAGTACCGCGTGTGAACTCATCTTCATAGCCACTCTTGCGATGTTTGCCAAGCCAAAGCCACTTTGCCCTCTCGCCATTGCAGCACTGTACGAAAGTATCGAGATCAAGCGTTTCAATATCGGCAATGCCACCTTTGTCACGCCCGCGAACCATCCCCATGACCATCTCACCACCCTGTCCACTAAGTTCCGCCATGGTGGACTTTACTGCATCGGTCCAACCTTCTGAATTCGCAGCTTTGGCCGTAGCGCGATGTAAACGATCCAAAGTATGTCGGTCAAGTCTCCGCGAGCGCCTTATTTTTTGAGATTTTTGGAATCCCCCGATTCCTCTTTTCAAATTGTGGAAGTCAAATGCATCTTTCCCCACTGGGGCACCGTACGCGTGCAGTCGGTTTCGAGCTCCAAGCAACGTGCCCAGCAATGCAGCCACAGTTGTGGGTCCTAAACCACTGTCGCTTGGTTCAATATTGTACAGGTCTGTCCCGATATCTGTCCACCAGTCACTGATTGCGGCCTCGGTGACATCACATAGCAAGCCATCGACATATTCCGGAGCTAGCTTGTCAAAGACCATCAAAGCGATCTGGCACTGTTTGACAAGTTCCATGACTGCGTCGTATAGTAAAACCCTCTCGCTGGTTCGATAGAGTTGGTGAAACTTCGCTTTGGTAGCAGGAGTTGGCGGCTGAAGCTTTAGACCCGCACGACCAGCGCACCCGAGCCTCTTCAAGTTTTCATTCACGATGAAGTCCTGTCTATGTTTCTTGATATCTCCTCCGGGAACGGGAATCACACTCAAGGCGGATGGGAATGAGCCCAGGTCTGTAACCATGACGACCCCCAGTGGTGTTTCCTTCTTTTTAGCGTGGTATTGCTTCATAGCATCGAAATACATTCGCAGTCGTGGTGACCATGTACTCTCATTCGTTGGGACACTTAAAACCCCCACAATCACTGTATGTGATAGATCACCGGTGTATGTTGAGATGACAAATGTCGGATGTACACGAGAACAAGCCCATTGTTCAACAATGTAGATCTCATAGCCCTGCAGTGTGGCGCGTCGGTCGAGCACGTCGGTCGAAGGGTCTTCTTCGAGGTATCGGAGGGCAACTGGGTCGGTGAATACAAGTCGTTGATGGCCTTGCTGTGGAGAACAGTCGCTTCCTTGCGTGTGGGAGGCGGGGCTTCTCTTGACGCCCTCCGGCGTGGGAACGAAGTCGGTGCGGTCAACCGGCACGCTCTGGGCGCTTGTCTGCATGATGGCTGGTTTTGTGAATGGTTTTGTTTTTCAAAGCAACAAAAATAGTGTAGCAGCTATACATTCACTCCTGAACCAGGACACTGGTTCTAAGCTTCAGATGCGAGGGAAGTGCCGAGCTGCCTTCGATCCTCCTGCACTCTTGGTCAGGTGGGGACAATTGTGACATATCCCAGTGACAGATCCTGAGGCATATTATGAGCCCGGAACAAATAGAAGAAGGCAAGTTTGCAAGCTAGTGCATCCAATGCAACACATTGTAAAACGTTAGCCCCCGGTGTTGTGCAGAAGCGGCGACGTCACCGAGGACGGGCGGTGAGATTATCTTCAGGCACCAACAATATGTTATCATTAACTCATAGCAACTCGTGAACAACGTCTCCTTTTCTTTGCTCAATGTCTAAATATAATATCAAAACTCGGATCAGTCTACAGTTATTTTGGGTCGATAAGCTGAATGCTGATGCCTTACGGCGACTAATGGTATTGAGCAGAGAACCAATTCAAAGGCAACCACAAGCCTCGCTCAGCGAGATGGCAGACCAGATTCATATTCTCAAACTAATGTTGTCTCTCAAAGACACTTTATCATGATATGATGCTACCAATCCAAAAATATTATCCAAAACTCAGGTATATTCGTCTTCAATCAGCTCAGCCCTTGAGCTGTTTACCAACCGCCGTGCTATATAAACTGTTAGCGAAATGGACATTCAACTCCTTTGAGGTGTACATACTCCGCCCTGAGGTCCACCAGGTCCGCCGTGTCCTCCTGGTCCGCCCTGGTGACCACCGCCTTGGTGACCACCGGGACCGCCAAAGCCTCCAGGACCACCCTGGTGTCCGCCAGGGCCGCCCTGAGGGCCACCGAATCCTTGCTGGCCGCCAGGACCGCCGAATCCGGGACCGCCTTGGCCACCATGTTGGGGGGGACCGCCTTGGGGACCGCCGAAGCCGGGGCCGCCAGGACCGCCAGGGCCGCCCTGGTTACCCTGGGGAGGGCCCTGGTGGCCGTGGTTCTCATGCTGCTTATCGTGATGATGGTGGAAGAGACCCATGGTTGATGGATAAGAGATGTGAAGAGGTGGTAAGATGTGAGTTTGTGAGGTCAAAGTATGAAATGGAGTGAGGTTAAGTATATTCTGGAGAGAAGAAGTGGTCTCAGGGCACCCTTTATAAAGGCTGGAGTGGCGTCACTATTTGGGATACGCAACTACCTAGTGAATGGTACTGGGGTGCTATGGACTGAGTCTAGTCTTAGATTGGGATAATGTCATCACTTACGACTTCCCGAAGCAAAGGGTGGAGTAGTGGAGGCCTATCATTGGAACCAAGTGTTTCCGCCACTTGTTTTTTCGATCGATGGTGGAGGACGTAACCAGACCTGAGATCGAACTCGCAATTATGAGTCGATTGATGCCGCCATAATGTCTTTATGATACGCGTGGACACTTCTACCTGGGTACTGGTGAAGCTGGATTTTGCAAATCATCAATTGGGTTGCAAAGCCAACATCAATAGCCAAGCTTTGCAGCTCAATATTGGCACTTCTGAGTTTATCGCGGGGCATACGAATTCGACGCAATAATAGCTGATCGGCTTTCCGCCGCCGGGCTTGGCGTTAGGGCTGTGAGTCGGATGCATACGTACGCCTCCCCACAGCTTCAGCCCTGTGCATTGTAGGACACCATCTTATTGCTGGAACTCTGTCGCCTAATTCTCGGCGTATTGAGAGAGCCAAGGAATACCCTCGGGACTAATTGCTGTTATATCTAAGTTGGGCGTTATTCATCGGTCTCCGAATCCTAAAAGGGAAGAAGAACTGGGGTTTTAACAGGCTATGTCCACTAGTCTGTCCTGATTAAGCGGAACTTGCACAAGAATAACATGATATACATATCTTTCTGCATGTCGAAGTTACTTACTCCTCTTAATGTGATGTCACCGCAGACAAGGGTCCAATAACAAGGTTCTAATAACATGGTCTCTTGGAAGAAAGACGGTCTTCGAACATGGCCTCCAAGATGCCATCTGCACCCAAAGACTGTGTTAAAGAATCAACCTCAAATGCGAGACCTGGAAGAAAATTTCGTGTAACTCAGTGGTTCTGTCAAAACTTAACTGGAACAAGTCTTGGTAGTTGGCAGAGATGTATAGATATTGCCGTGTTTCCTCGAATCCGAGGGCTCATCGTCTCCGGCTCGAGGGCATCAAAGATAAATTGGTATGCAGTTGCAATGTCCTTTCGAGATAATATTTGTCCCACGGGAAGCTAGGGATCAAATTCAACGTGACGGTCACTATTGATCTCCTGTTTTCACTTCTCACAAACAGATCATTTGATAAACAATAGAGGACATGAACAGCTAATTTGTCGAGGACATTAGGCTTTGTAGCATCTTCGATGCAAGTAGATGCTCCCCCGAATGATACTCCCTATCATTTATGGCGTCCCATCACCGTATATAGTACTATCTTGTCATCAGTCGGGGTTGCTGATAAACGGTCATTAAGGTCTCAAGTTAGAGAGCTTCGTTTTCTGGTGAGGTGACGGTATCGTCTCGGTTCAAAATTTGTTGTAGCAGAGGTCTTATCTGCAGGGTCTAAAATAACCATTGAACATTGATGGCTAGAGGCAGAATCGATTTGCTAGTTCTTAACGGGATTATCTTAAAATTAAAAATCAACGAGCTTTTTGTCATAAAGAGTGAATCTGTGTGGCTGCCAATCCAAACAAACATATTTCCATGTCTCTTGTCACTTCCCACATCCGTGCTTTGGACTAATCCTAGGTTGCAGCCAGTATCATTTCTTCCAGACAAAAAAGCGCATCTTGAGTAAGTGGCAGATAGTCCATTCATACCTAGGTATGAAGCATGATCCACCGACTTAATGTTCCAAATGCCGGTTTTGTTGCGACAGAAATTAACAGTAATTTGGACCAGAAAGCTCTGAGAGAGCCCTGGAGTGCGGCAATGATACTACTGCCATATTTCAACCAGGAACTCCTCTGATATTGATGGCTCCTGCCCAGGCGTAAGATGGATATAGAAGGAATCCCCACCCTCGCTGGCTACTTAAGTACAGTCTCGCCAAAATGCTGGGTTTGTGGTCCTGAGCTCTGTTTCATACAGTCCGACCCGTTCAAGCGAAATAATAAGCAACAGAAAGCAGTAGGTTGCGGGTGGCTGAACAGCCACCTCCAGGGCTGCGCAGCGCCAATCATCTCATCCCGCACCAAACTAAATTTATCCATGAAAAAATTTAACGACATATGTAATTATAGTAATTTTGAAAGGGGTGAAATTTCGAACATTAGCATATATAATAAAAGTCCAAAAGCACGAAATGAAAAGTTGAAGTCCTGGTATTCGTTCACAAGTGGAAATATATATATATACATTTTGGAGAATTCACCAACCGAAACAATGCTCTAAGTCCCGCAAAGCGCATCTATATAAGGTCAAATCAAGTTAAGGCAAGCTCATACTTGTAGCCATTTCGAGTTGTTGATAACCCTTAGGGTTGTGAAGGTTCCTTTGAGAGGAGGGTAATTGGTCAACGATTAAAGAGAGAATATAGCCGGTGAAGACAAAGGCGATGACTAGCAGAGGATTAGCAAGAAATTCCCGTTTCTATATGAAGATCAGAGATACATACCCCATTCAAGAGTTGCCGCCATATTGTTGTGGTTGTAGTGGGTGTGTTCCGTGATCCGGAAGACGATAATGAGAGTGAGTTCGATGACAATGAACGATATTTTGATGACAAGACTTGTCATAAGCATTGGCTCGCGAAGAGCATGTGCTATGCCAAGATAGATATAATCCAGACACATCAGGGCTGCACTGACGAGGTACCCCACACTGAAACTGTCAGTAATGCATATCGAAGCTTGGCGAAGGGTACTAACATGAATATTGTTACACAGACATCGTGCATGAAATGATGGGCGATATTATCGAGTACAGACAGCATGATCAGGCCTATGCTTCCAATGATTGTGAACAGGAATGATCCGTGCGTGCAAATCTTGCTGATATATCCCTTGTTTTGGACAAATTGATAGAAAGAGAGGTTGAGGAGGATGACTGTTGTGATGCATCCGATCATGAACAAAGGCTTGAGTTCTTGAGCTCCGATATCTGAAATGAATCTGTTCGAGCCTGTTAGTTGGGGCTTGGCAAAAGTTGTTCAACGTGGATATTGAAGTGCTCACGGTATATTTTGGCCGGGTTTCATGAGGCCATATCGCGGTTCACCGATCATTGTCCAGTGGCCCAACATAGCCAGCAGCATAGCTAAATCTCATGTTAAATGATGATATCCTGCGACCGTAGATTATCAAGAATCTCACCTAGCCAGGTTGAGGCCGCTACGGTCGGAAAGACCCAGGAAGGGTGCGACAGCATCGTGTATAGTTAGGGAGTGAGAGGTGGAATGGGCATACTCTGTTATGATGAAGGAGCAAAAGAGGGTGGGCTGGTGAAGTTGGATACCAGCCTCATCTCTTTGAACAGTTGTCAAGGAGAAATGATCCTTTCGTTGAGATTTAGGTGTGAAAGGTGCCTGTCGATCCTTACTCTTCCCCTATGACGATGGTTATGGTATGTGGGTCTATTGAGGAATTACAGCCCCTCGAGCGTTTCGTGTAAAAGACACGCGTTTCGTACATGAAAGATACCTACATATCGATAGATTGGCATTTATTGATTGAAACTTACAAAGGCTCTTTTGTTTATTTTATTACTGAACCTTGATGCATTGTTGATACTACTACTCCGTACGGAGTGCTCGCTTTGATATTTCTATTATTAGAAGAAAAATCTGACTGCTGATCGACATCTATCCACAAGTGATTCGAGAACCGGTTCTGTGACCATAATACGCGTGCATTTGATAACGCACCCTCAGCGGGGGCGGGACTGGGGAGATGATTGACCATATGGAAGAGACAGAATACCATTGACCATACCCCGTGGAGGTGAATACGATCTCCACATGAACAATATGTTCTCATCGATTCCCTGCCTGCAGTAGGGTTATGACCAATGGTACTCTGGCTCTCCCATACATCCAACCATATCATACCAATATTGCATTGAAAATCGGGGCGCATTCTTCGTTGTGATGTACCTAGTTACCGTCTTGGAAGAGTTTGTGTCGCGTGACCATCTCGCCAGTACCGAATTCGAGATAGAGCTGGATAGAAGGACACTGTATAGTTAGTTGTTGTATAGCTCACATTACTGCGACCGCAATTTGTGATCTGATAGTGAACAGTGCGGTAATAGATGGTGAGACTCAGATAGTGTTCAATATTGATTCAATATTGTTGACGAGCATGAGCACGTGCGAGGAATGTCAAGGGGCCCTGGAGGCCGAGTTGTGGACGTGTCCACGGGGAAAAAGGATGTTGTTTTTCACCGTTCTGGTGTGTTAAACTTCGATAGACGGTGCTCTGCTCAAATTGATCTTGTTGGTCGGGCAAATGCTGTTGGATCATAGAATAATGACCTGTAGTTCTCACAGTTAGATAGGGGTGCAGGCGTCGGAGGTGTATATTGAAATGTTTCAGTCAGTGCAGTCAGTGAAGGATAAAGATATGTGTATTGAGGTGTAATTTCATGACATGAAAATTTTGTCCCCCGAAATTGGAGCTCCATCAAAATAAGGGTATGAGGCTTATTGATAGGATGGCTGCGGACTATCAACGGGCTATAATCCACTAGCGCCGGCTCTATGTAGGGGTTGCGGCGAGATTTGGAGACCACCCATCACATTTGTTGTTAGTGAAATGCAGGTGATCCCACTGGTCACTTTAGCCAGGCCACATTTTTTGGCGCAGTTTTTTTGCTTCAAGGGAAGTGTTTTTTCAGAGCAAAGTCAGTCAATGTCAATCAAAGCCAGTCGAATCACAGCCTGAAACATTCTCCAAATCCTGTCGCGTGTAGGGTAAAGTAACAGTGGGGCAAGTGTTGAGAGCTAGGGATACGAATACGTTCAAACGATGGAATATTTGAGACAGGAGCCGGGAGAGAGAGAGATCAGAAATAAGATGTAGTGCTAAGGCTCTCGTTTGTTGATCGCATCAAAACAGCTTATTTCAATTCAGGCTAGGGGAAGAAGGATCGGCAGCAAGCAAGGGATTATTGATATCGCGCAGGACACGATGTGATATGGAGCAATACCTGCGTACACGATCGGCCAGCAACAATGCTGCACTCCACACGGGGGACAGATTGTTCCGTGGTTGTTGGCCATTGTAAACAGCGTTATGGTCGGTTTCATCTGTTTACTCTATACGTTATTCAGAATATTTGGTCAATTTTACGACGCGTGAGTGGCTATGTCCCTTCTCCAAGAGCCACCATCAAGGGTAACAAATAGTGAAAAGACGCAATACGGCACATGAGGATGAGGTGATCTTCCATCATGATACAGTAGACAATCTCGATGACCGAAAGCCAAGGACGATTGAGGCATTGTTTTTCAAAAAATTCCCTGCCGTTCCGAAGACCAACAGGAGTAGTCAATTTGGTAGTTTTCAACTAGCAAAAACACGATCTCGGATGTCTCCTCACTGATGCGTGTAAAACCCGTGCACTAGGATGAAGAAGAAAAGAAAAAGAGGAGGAAAGGCTGGGAGCCGGCCGACTTATTTATACCGGATGGGGGTTTAGGGCGACGTAAGCGAAAAGGTCGGGGACGAGCGCCCGGGCGGTGACTCACGATGACTCATCCATGTCTCTTCTGGCCTGAGGCCAAAATATTGAATCAAATGCGAGGGCTTTTGGTACCCCCTCGATTGAAATGTTCGCATTTTTCATTACAAATTTTTACTTTACCTTTGTATAGTTATTATTGCAGCTCCTTTAACACTTTTCCTGTACATATTCACCACACATCTTAACATGGATGTCATCATAGTCCTGGAGGAGGGGACGTCACGTCACGTGGTGAAAATGGTCACGGTGATCGTCGGGAACAGCTTGTTTCCCAGATGACTCGCTCATTATTCTCAGACATAATTTCCAATATTTCCTTACTTCGCAAAAACGGTTTCATTCCAAGTTTCACCTTTCATCCCAAGTTGTGAGATAAAGAGCTCTTATCTCAAAAGTTCTCCACATGGCACCAAGTCCGTGAGGTGCGGTAAATTGATCATCTCCGCACCTAGGATTCCCGTTCCCCGAAGCAAATCCGTCATGGAAGCTGTACAGCGAGAACATGACCGAATCGTCAAAAAGACCAAAGGATCGCAGGGAATTAAGAATGTCCAGTCTACTATCGATCTATTACAATCTGCCCGCGATGCTATCGCTGCTGGTCGGTACTCTATAGACATCCCCGCTCTGTGCTTCGCTGACGACATTGGTTACCCGATAGATCCAACCTCTGCATCTGTCACCTTAGCGAAGCTCCAAACCCCAGTCAAATCGTCCTTTGACTCAATCAACGACAGCTTGAAGGACACTCACAGTGGTCTGAACAAATACACCAAGTCTTTAGATAAGGTACATGCGACATCCATTCGTTCCAAGGCCCCAATGAAATCCGACCTAACATATGAAATAGCTTTTCAAAGATCGACCGCTTCCTACTACCGAACACGATGCTCTCTCCTCGCAAGAAACCCTAATCAACCGGGCCATCGCCATGCATCTCCTTCGCGAAGGACAGTTCAGCGTGGCATCCGCCTTCCTTGATGAGATATCCGAACAAAAAAGCGCCGAGCCAAAGAAAACGATCCCAGTTCATCAAGCGACAAAGGAGCCCAGCAAACCACCAAACAGCCTACTCGATCCGAACGAAGTCCCGTCAGCAGAGGTCCGAAATCAATTTGCCTCTATGTACTACATCCTACAACAGCTACAAGAAAACAGAAATCTACTACCTGCCATCGAATGGTCAAGGGAGAACCGCGAGGCGCTGGAAGCCCGAGGCAGCAATCTCGAATTTGAATTATGTCGATTACAGTATGTATGGCTATACCATGGCGGTGCGAGCAACCAAGGAACGGCAAGCGGCTGGTTGGGCGCTCTGGAATATGCACGACGAGAGTTCCACGTCTTTGTGCCCCGGTATCTGCGCGAGGTTCAGCAGCTTGTAGGTGCGATGGCATACTCCCCCAACCTCGGCGGTTCACCCTACGCATCTCTTTTCAACAATACATCTGCCTGGGACGACGTGGCAACATTCTTTACTCGCGAGTTTTGTTCGTTGCTGGGTCTATCAGCGGACTCGCCTTTGTACATTGCTGCGACGGCGGGCGCAATTGCACTTCCAACGCTGTTGAAGCTACAGACTATCATGAAGGCGAAGCGGACAGAGTGGACGTCTGAGAACGAGCTTCCGGTAAGAAAACATCATTATGAGTAGCGAAAGAAATGCTAACGAAGAACTTTACCAGGTCGAAATTTCCCTTCCACCTCAATATCTCTTCCATTCAATCTTTGTCTGCCCAGTATCTAAGGAGCAGGCGACTGATGAAAACCCACCCATGATGATGCCCTGTGGCCATGTCATTGCGGAAGAATCCTTGAAGCGACTGGGCAAGGGTAACAGATTCAAATGCCCGTACTGTCCCAGTGAGAGTCATCCTAAGGACGCCCGGAAAGTGTTTCTGTAACCTTGCTAGGTCGGATACTACGTCTGCTCCCATATATCTTTGTTTTATTTCATGGCAAGGACGGGGGAACTCAGGAGTTCTTTGTCTTTGGGCGTTTAGCGTCGGCGTTCGGGGGTCCTACGGTCCATTCAATTTGTACTTAAGTCGTACTTTTGAATCCATGACAATTGCATAAATCCTAGTCATTGCTTAGGTAGTTACGGAGTACTCCGTAGTTAGCTATATCAATCAACCATTCTACGATATTGCCCAGGTGTATAGCTTGTCTCATGTAAACAAAAATACAATGGAAAATATCGAATTGCCCCTGTTCCCTCGGGACTCCACGGCAATCCACTTCCCAAAGAAGCACTTGCAATTTCCTTTGCGTCAATCGCAGCCTCTGATTGGTTTCCGCGAGGCCCGCCCCGTGACTCCGCGCCGATTTGGCGACACAAAAACCACTTTACGCGTCCGAAACTTGTTGTGACGCGTCTTTGACAGAGCTGATCGCTGCTGTGGTACCTAATTGGAGCTATCCGGTGGCGGATCATCTGTATAAAATCTGTTTGCTCCATGTCTCATACCCTGCATGACAGCTGAAATTGTATGTGACTTGTAATTGAGCTTGATAAATAGTCTCAACCCCTGAGTCCAAAGTTGTTCTTCTACTGACTACATCTCCTAGTTGTTCAGTTCCTTATAGCAAGATGTCTAAACGAACGCCAGAAACTCCCATGCCGCTCAAGTATCGCGCTTCGAAGGCTTCAGCTTTCACTCCCCAGTCTCGCAGAATTCCGCGCGACAGAAAAGATCGAGAGCGCGAACAAGGATCCTCAAGCTCGGGCTCCGGTTCCGGCTCTATTGGTAAGACACGAACGGAGCAGCGTCGCAAATTCGACAAACCTCCAGACGTAACGTAAGTCTAATGCAATGAAGCAATCCAATCCCCAAATCTAAAGCACTCCAACCCAGCTGTCGGCATACATTAAATCCACCACAAAAGAAACCAGCTGACAACCCCACAGCTCCCCCAGCAGCTCCCCAATCGTAATGCTCCGCGTAGGCCCAGAAAAGCGCCTTTTCGCGGCCCACGAAGCAATTCTCACAACATCCCCTTTCTTCGCCTCAGTCTGCGCCTCCCAAACACCCAGCCCAACAGCTCCAAGACCCCGCCCACCCCTTCAATCCCCAGGCAAGCGCTTCGACCTCCCAGACGAACAACCCGAGGTCCTCTCCTGCGTCCTCGAGTACCTCTACAAAGGCGACTACTACCCCCGCCTCCGCCACAACACCCGCAAACAAACATGGGAGCTCGAAGACGCCAGAGGCGAAACAGAAGGCGAACTAAGCCAAGCCACAGCGACGGTGTTCCACCACGCCGTTGGGGGTGTGATTCTGCGCGATACGGCTATCTAGTAAGTCCTTGTTTTGTTCATCTCCTGTCGTTTTGACTTGGTGCTGACGCTCTCCAAGCTGCGCCGCGCAGAAATATAACCTGCCTCATCTGCAGCGCCTGGCGCTGCGCAAACAGGGCCTGCATACCGGTATTCAGTGTAATACTATACTGGCTAGTGCGCGGTATGCGTATGCCAACACGCCTGATACGGAGTCGAAGCTGCGGGCGCATTATCTTGCGCTGATTGTGAGGTCGAGGTCGACTTTTATGCGGAGTGGGACTATGCAGGCTGAGATGGAGAGAGGCGGCAAGCTCTTTTTTGATCTTTTTGTTGCGATGTGTAATCATATGGTGAGTTCACGAGTTTGTTTGTTTTTAAATGGAGGGATTTGCTGATTTTCATAGGATGACTATGTTCCTGGTGAGTCGGTCAGTAGTTCGGTTTCTACTACTCGCTGTTAGTTTACTGCAAGTGAGATGGGTTTAGTAAGTTGTGTTTTATGTGCTGAATTGGGTTTCCCTGGTTCATTTATCTTGCTGCTGGTTGAGTTTTTATTATACCCGTGTACTACTATGTTTCTGTGTCAATATGTCACAATATCTATATAATTGAAAGTATGTATGGTTAAAGTTGATCTTATGCCTTTTGGAAGTAATGATTCGTCAATTCGTAATGATAGGAGCTATCCCCTAGCTTCTTATGTTCTATATGTTCCATGCATTGAGCAGGTACGAGCGGGGTAGAAAAATTTAACTTGGTCTTGTCTTCGAAGTGTGCAATCTTCCGGGGCCATGTTGCTAGTTGGGAGTACATGTCATATCAGGGTCGGCCTCTTCCAAGGTTGAGCCTTGTTGATGTGCCTGGTCAGCCATTCCAGCTTGTGGATGCATTTTAACCATGGTATGAGTTTTATACTGCCCTGACGATTATTGGAGTGCTTGGGTCGGGATGAATGTTGTCCACATTTGTCGAGCAAGAGCAATTGCACATAGATGACGTTGCGCTGTATCTGAGATCTTCCATTAAACACCTGTACCCGGGAATACATTGCCACCTTTGCTCAGAACGATGATGCCTCGATCGCGTGCGATGTATCCTTTCATGAGTCCCTGGAAAAGCCATATGTCAGTGTTAACCTTCGTTCCCGCTTTTGTCCAATCTTACCTTATAGATGAGGTTAGCCAATAAGCATTCCACCTCATCGATATCAACTCGGGATCGGCCGCTTGTAGGGGTGCCGACGCGGAGCGCAGCCGCGAATTCATTAACATGAACACGTGTTCGCCGACTAGGTGCCTGGCCGTCCTTCGGCTCTTCGAAGCCACCAGCAAGGAAAACCTTCCGGAACAAATTTCGCAAGGCGATATCACGGCCGCGTTCTAACGGCAGGTAAATGCGTCTCTTGACGAACTCCTCCTCGCCAGCGGACATGGCCTGATCAAATCCAGCTAAGTCTCCTTTGCGGATGCAGCTCGAAAGAGGCCGGAAAAGCCCTTCAAGACGTGGGAACTGTGCAAGAAGCCTCTTGCTAGGGAGCATATGGGTGGTGACCAGGCGGCATGGAATAAGGTAAGTGAGAATCAGCCTGTATTTGAATTAGCCGGTGTCCATCTGTAGTTGTAGAACTACTGACTCTCGGTTCTTGGTCGCGTTGCGGTGGCACATTTTCCAGGCCCATGTTAGATGTTCTTCTGCCTGTGTTGCAACGTATCAGTCCTGATAGTCCATCATTTGATCTGGTCTCGTATGTTACCTCTGCATAGTTCTCATCCAAAAAGTGGATGACACCAACATAGTATTTGAAAGTGACGATGTGAGATTTGGGGAAGGCCTCGGGAGGGGGCAGATCAGCCGCTGAGGCTTTGATGGCACGAAGAAGGTTTTTGGTAAGACCGACAGAATTGATCTAAATGACGTTAATATCATTTCAGGTGACATGAGGTTGAAAACTTTTACCTTGAAGTAAATCTTGAATAGAAGGTTGGTCATGTTGTAGATCCCCCACTTGCGGGACTCTTCGAGGGCGGCTCTGTCGCTAAGGCAAAGGGTGAACATCCGGTTGACAATCCGAGCAGATTCCTCCAAGTTGGCATTCTTCTCAACATCGACCGAGATATCATCTTGGAACCCAAATCTAGCCGAGCCTAGTGAAGCCGCTTCAACATCGGCATTTATCGCAAAGGTTCGCAAGTATTTTCCAACTGTGTACAAGCATGGAAGCGTCCAAGCAGGAAGACCGCAAGATCCCGAGTAACCTCTGATAAGTGCATTGGAAACCTTCTTCCATGCATTGAAAACCGCGACGACACTGGCACTCGGATCACCATTCTCGCACTTGAGGATTTCGCCTACAGCCTCCCAATAAACAACAAATATGTCCACCCAGGCACTCTGTTCAGCCTTGGGTAATTTAGGGCTCTTGCCATGAAATAGCGCATAAGGAAGATCGAGTGAGACGGATGCGGCGTTGGAGAGTTGGTAGAATGAGCGCAGTCGGTTTGGATCTTCAGGCGGCGCGATTGGAGTGAGCACGGCAGCTAGATCCGAGCCAGATCCCTTGGTGTAAGCGGTTTTAAATGCGGTCGCAAGTGAACTCATTTTGGGAGGATCCCGAGCTAGAGGCGATGGGACTGAGGGTAGGAAATATAAGAGCAATCAAGGTGGAGTAAGATCGCGATATCACTCTCCGGACCAACAAAGGCAAGAAAGCTATGGGCTACTTTTGGAGAACACATGTGGGGTAGGCACGGGAATTGTGGCTGGTGATTGTGGCTGTAATTTTGTGGCGCAATTTGACCACCATACGTTGAGATGTAAAATGGTACTGTAGCCCTGCATGGCCTCCTTCACCTTTACATAGCGATAGAGCATTGATCAATTTATATTGATGTAAATTAGAACTATTAAACAAGATCAATAGAAACAATTATGAAACTAAGCGTGAACATATTATATATTAAACGATACTGTTGCTAGATGAAAATAGGTTCTAGAGAATGTCTTAGCGACGGAGTAAATTTGCTACAACAATAAGTAGATTTGCTACAACAATAGTTAAGATGAAGGAAAAAATCCCGAGGCTTAAAGATCCAACTGCGCCACAGACTTGCCGCCTCATAGGTGTCACCAGCCACATTTCCACTCGCTTAGGGCAAGTAACCCTCTCACGTGAGAAAGTCTTACGTGAGCAGCAAAGGAAATCCACAGGCTCACATTTCATTTTCGCTTTGACGGACGGCAAAACTAACGACTCAACCACCACAGCGACAATCACAGTGAGTACCTTCAACTTATTTTCTCGGAGATTATACTAACATACAATTCTTCCAGATGGGTGAGTGACTTCTATTTCTTTCCCGATATCCCAGAATTATTTTCGAGACAACGGTGCGCGCATACGGTTGGAGAAATTCAGAGACGCAAAAGACAAGAGACAAGATATCGACCTTGCAGTTACAGCAACAGGAGGATGCAAAAGGAAATCAACTTCGATCAAAATCATTCACATGGAGGAACGCACAATGCTGTCGGTCAAAGCCACGCATGGCCGAATCTCGAATTTTTCAATCTCCACAAACCACCCCTAGTGTCCATGGATTCTCGCCAACCGATATCGCGCACCGTTCAACGTCTCGGATTGAAACCCTGGAGCAATCGAATATCATCTAGGAACCATGACTGACGGATTCCCAGGGCGTCTTACTGAGTACCAGGTCATCGGGCGTCACCTGCCCAACGAGGCTAACCCCACGCCCAAGCTGTACCGCATGCGCATCTTTGCGCCCAACACTGTTGTGGCCAAGTCGCGCTTCTGGTACTTCATGTCCCAGCTCCGCAAGCTGAAGAAGGCCAACGGCGAGATCGTCACCCTCAACGTGGTATGTCAAGATTTGACACCGAGGGCCAATCGAATAGTATTGATTTGTTTTCGTCTAGATTCACGAGAAGCGTGCCCTCAAGGTCAAGAACTTCGGTATCTGGATCCGCTACGACTCCCGCTCCGGCACCCACAACATGTACAAGGAGTTCCGTGAGATGTCCCGCAGCGACGCTGTTGAGGCCCTCTACCAGGACATGGCTGCCCGTCACCGTTCCCGTTTCGGCTCCATCCACGTATGTCATCCCGCTCAGTTTCGATTTCACCTGCGCAAATCTAATTGTTGTTTTCCATGCAGATCCTGAAGGTTGTTGAGATCGAGAACAACGACTCCATCCGCCGCCCCTACATCAAGCAGCTCCTCCAGAAGGATCTCAAGTTCCCTCTGCCCCACCGCGCCGGTGGCAAGGTCGGCAAGAAGATCTTCGCTCACTCCCGCCCCTCTACCTTTGCTTAAATGTGATGTTCTGGGTTTTGGATATGGAGTGTGTGGATGAATGACTGTTTATGGCCATAGCATGCGTGAAAGATGGTCGCGTGGAAACCACTGCCCTTCCCGGGCGAGATGGTTGGATGTCTCTAGTCCCGTATGGTGGCATCTCTAGGTTATTTTGAAAAAATCATCGGGTTTCTTGAATCATGCAGTTTTCTCAGTAGACAGGCTTGCACATGGCTTTTGCAGAGTAATACTTACATTGTGCTGCGTGGGCGTACCCTTCGTGTTATACGAACACAAGAACTGGCAATTTCCACGACTTGTCCCCCAGGTCCTTCCTCTACGCATCTAGATTCCATGATTCATTCACTGGTCTCTTATATCATGTCGTCTACATCAATTTTGTATGCATTATGGTCAATGAAAATTATCTCTGGTATTATCTCGGTTGTTTCAATATTCAAATCCCAAATAATACAACTGCCATTAGTACTCAAATCACGAGGTTTCTGCGTCGAGATTAAATATTGATGCCTTGGAACTCAGGCATATGTCAGTTTTTCCTTTTTAATTCGATCATCGTAACTCAACACTTGTTGCTCGTGTCAACAATATTGTATAAATTGTCTCAAATGTAATATCTGATTGCCGTAAATCCGAATGCATGGGCCAACGCTGAGAAATGTCCCTGAACCATTGGTAATATTGCGTCATGCGAAATCGGGTCGGGAGCTGTCCGCTTTCGCATATTCCGATTTCTTCTCTTCCACTTCCTACCCCTTCTCTTCCCCCATTGCAATCATGTTCGCTCGTCAATCATTCCGTTGCGCACAGCCTCTGAAGCAGGTAAGTTCAATTTATTTTTAAACCTCAGATTGCAACTAAATCGCCATTCCAATTAGAGTTTCCGCAAGTACTCTGCGGAGGCCGCTCCCAAGAAGTCCAACTTGACCCCCATCTATGTTGGCGTTGGTCTCGCCGGTCTCACCGCTGGTTTATACCGCTACACTAACAGCGCTGTTGCTGAGCCCAAGGACCGTCCCAAGGTCTTCAACGGCGAGGACTGGGTTGACCTTAAGCTGGCCAACATCGAGGTTCTGAGCGCTAACACTAAGCGTCTTCGCTTCGAGTACGATGACAAGGAGGCTGTCTCTGGTATTCCCGTTGCCTGTGGGTATTTTCCCTGGTATCTAGATTGTCAATAGACCACTAATGTGATATAAAGCTGCTCTGTTGACCCGCTTCAAGCCCGAGGGTGCTGAGAAGAATATCCTACGTCCCTACACCCCCACCAGTGATGAGGGTAAAAAAGCCCTTGATTTAAGACTGAGGACTAAATGCTGACATTTTCCAGAAATCCCCGGTTACCTTGAGCTTGTCGTCAAGGCCTACCCCAACGGTCCCATGTCTCAGCACTTGCACTCAATGGCCGTCGACCAGCGCCTGTCCTTTAAGGGTCCTCTTGTCAAGTACCCCTGGGATGCCAACAAGCACGATCACATCGCATTGATCGCCGGTGGCACCGGTATCACCCCCATGTACCAGCTCGCCCGTGAGATCTTCAAGAACCCTGAAGACAAGACTAAGGTCACTCTGGTCTTCGGTAACGTCACCGAGGAGGATATCCTTCTGAAGAAGGAGCTCCAGGATCTCGAGAACACTTACCCCCAGCGCTTCCGTGCTTTCTACGTCCTCGACAAGCCCCCTGCGGAGTGGACCGGTGGCAAGGGATTCATTACTAAGGAGCTCTTGAAGACTGTCCTCCCCGAGCCTAAGGAGGGCAACATCAAGCTCTTCGTCTGTGGCCCCCCTCCCATGTACAAGGCTATCTCTGGTCCCAAGGTCAGCCCCAAGGACCAGGGTGAGCTCACTGGTATCCTGGCCGATCTGGGCTACTCCAAGGAGCAAGTCTTCAAGTTCTAGATATGTACATTAAAGAGCTTTTTACCAATGTGGTTATATACCCATGTGAATTGATGCATCTTGTTTATGCATGTTGCTGCCTTTCGGTTAGTATTTGCGAGTCATCATCTCAAAGAATCCAATATGTCTACCTAGATACCCCCAGATACCGATGTATACGCACTGGTTTGCAGTAAAAAGCAAGAGAGTTTACGAGAAAGGTTCGGCTTTGTGGATATGAAGATCATGCTGATGGTTATTTGTATACATGTGATGCCCAGGTGGTCAAATAGTTATAAGTGGCAACCTTGGAATATATATATTTGGACCGGCCGGTTAAGAATGCCAGGGTCAACCATCCAACCCAATTAAAAGGTATTAAACAACCTATTAATAATTAGTATGAAAGTTTGGAACGAGTTCAAGAGAAATGCCCTAACTTTAGAACAAATGTTATAAAGCAAACGATGGAACCTCGGGAACGTGCTATATAAAACGCACGTGTACTATTCCGATGTCTATGTAGCGTGAGTACAAAATAAGACAATGAAAAACGATGAAAGTAACCAAATAACTACGGAGAGAAAGAAGAACGAGACATTGAATGATTTGGAATATCAAAAAGTAAGAGTCGGCGTTCGTACTACAAGCTTGATACATTGTGCACAACCAAGCCCCTCTACCCCTCAGGGCTCTGGGCGACCCTAAAGTTGGGGTTTCGGCGGGGGGCAGCGCCCGCACCAGACCGCACCAGCCCACCAAGATAGAATAGAAATAGGGCTGTGAATATATCCATAACAGGGTAAATGTGTATTTCAATGGAAATTGTAGAATACCCACAACCAAAATGGTACATATCACCATATGTTAGTCAAGGGCTTTAATATATATGGTCACCTTCTACCTCCCGGAGAGGGGAGGCTCCTAAGAGCCCGTCATCCACGAAGCAACCGATTACGTATTGCATATTTATTATCATAAAATTTAGTATCAAAGAATCGATAGATGTAGACTTAGAAATATTTTAACTAAAATGAAGGTAGACAAAAAAATGATAGAGTCTCAAAGATGTACAGCTTAGAAGTTACCGGGAGTCATGAGACAGGCACTGAGCAGAGGCCCGAAATAGAGAGTCTAAGCCTAAAGCAGCGACAATAATGCTCAGGTGTTCGGGGGTACACCCTTTGGCTATTTAGTGGGCCCCCCTCCGGCCCCCCCGTCTCGCCTTTCCAAAGCAAAATTTTCCTTTCTTCAGCACCCCTTTCGGCAACACAATGGCTCCCCAAGAAGAAAACCCGACCATTGAGGTCAACAAGGAAGATCTCCGCCGCGCTGGCGACTTGGTATGTTTAATTTTACTATCTTGACCTTTTGATTTTCAATTTTGTTTGTTCCGGTTCTTTTTTTTCCTGTTATCCTCTTGTGCGCCATCGTTTTCTCTGCGCGATACGCGTCGCATTCACCAAAACATACATCTACCAACCTTTTGAAGCTTGTTTTGGGCTTTTATTTACTTTCCCATAATATGGACAAGCTTCACATATCATGAAAATCCCCCACTCAGCTCTAGGACACAATTGTGGCACAGCGCGTACTTTTGGCCAAGTTACGCGTTAGCTGCACCCTCTTGTTGTCCCTGCTCCATCCTCTCCACCCTCTCCTTCATACGCGCAATGACTATACATACCGATATGACCTATTTAACCACCACCGCGCTAAATATATATTCTAGATCGTCATGCGCCTGATGGAGGTCCAGTCCTACATCGCCGACCTGGGCAAGGCCTACGTCCAGCACGTTAAGACCATCACTGAGACCGGCGATGCTGTCCTTGAGCTTCCCGTTGGCCCTTCCGGCTTCATGGGCAACAACTTCACCCTGCGCGCTGCCAGCCCCGCCGCTAGGTCTGATGCCGGTGGCCCCAAGAAGCGCAAGCGTGCTCCTGCCGACCCCAACGCCCCCAAGCGTGCCCTGACACCCTACTTCCTATACATGCAGCACAACCGCAGCAAGATCGCTGAGGATCTCGGTGGCGATGCACGCCCCAAGGAGGTCGCTGATGAGGGTACCCGCCGCTGGCAGTCGATGGACCCCGCCCAGAAGGAGGTATGTATTACTATCAACTTGACATGTCATCGCAATGCTAACATAACACCTCCAGGTCTGGAAGGAGCTGTACGCCAGCAACTACAATGAATACAAGGAGGCCATGGCTGTCTACAAGGCCACTGGCCAGGCCCCCAAGGTCGACAACGCCAAGGGCGAGGATGATCACGAGGACCCCGCTGCCAGCCAACTTCAGCAAGGTTTCGCAGGTGTTGAGGCCGCTGAAGAGACTGATTCTTCTAGCTCTTCTGACGAAGAAGAAGAGGAAGAGTCTCCTTCCCCTCCTGTGAAGGAAAAGACCCCTCCCCGTAGCAGCGCTAAGAAGGCCCGTCGCAGTGATACCAAGGCTAAGGAAGTTGAGACTCCAGCCAAGTCGCCTGTTAAGCGGGGTCGTAAGGCTGCCATCGTTCCTGAGCCTGTTTCCGTGGCCAAGACTCCTGCTGAGAAGCGCAGCCGAGCCACCAAGAAGCGTAAGAGTGAGGCTTAAGTGTCGGCGATTTTCTGATTTGCTTGTCAGATGGGTTGCTGGATGTGTAACCCTATTCGGGTAGGCGTTTGGGGGAAAATAACTTGTACTTAGCTATTGTTAGTAAAATGATGATTGAGTTGAGCAAAATGAAGTGATCAGTGTGTATAATTGTAGTTGTAGTTAGAGTAAAGTAAAGTGAAGTAATAGAATAGTATAATAGTTTAAGATATAGTTGAATGTAGAGGGCTAAACGGTCATCCATCTAATCTATGAGGATATAAGGTGCGGGTCCAACCTTTTTTTTTCCCACAGCGAAAGTCTCGTGCTTATAGTCATATAGTTGCATAAGTAGACTGAGCCAGACTAATTAGCCTAACTAGACAAATTAGACTAAACAGACCGACCAAATGAACTAAATCAACTAAATCAACTAAATCAACTAAATCAAATAAGCGAAGCAATTAGCAACAGCTTGACTAAACACCGCCGACTCCCGATCCCCGACCCAATCGGCCTATCACTGATGACGGCCTTATCAAAGCGGAAAACGGCACTTGAAATATAGCGCATCCCCACATTCCTTTTTTTAAGGCACTTCTTGCATCTTGACACCTTTTGTTTCTTCTTTGTCTTGCGTTCATAGATCATCGGATCTCCCATAGAGTACAGTATCTAATATCTACTGTATTTACCCTGTACGCCAAGAACTGCTAGGTCCGGGCTCCACCTGTGCCATGCAGCTTGTTCCGAAGGAGGTAAGTCGCGGGGATGTACACGGCAGTTATACAACAAAACTAATACAATCCTGGTAGCTTGACAAGCTCACTATCGCCCACCTTGGGTTCTTGGCACAACGTCGTCTTGCACGTGGAGTGCGGCTCAACCATGCAGAAGCTGTGGTATGTATGGAGTGAGACGTAGGATATTGCAATATACGCTAACCATCAAACAGGCCCTGATATCATCAGTGCTTCACGAGGTATGTCCCAGTCCCCAACTGACTATCCCCCGACCAAATTGAATGCAAATTGAAGGACCCAAACTAACCCCTCCTAGCTCATCCGCGATGGCCACTACTCCGTGGCCGATCTCATGTCCATTGGTAAAACAATGCTCGGCCGTCGCCATGTCCTCCCCTCTGTCCTAGCAACTCTCGTCGAGCTACAAGTCGAAGGCACCTTCATCTCCGGAACTTACCTCGTCACCGTGCACCACCCCATCAGTAGCGACGAAGGTGATCTCGAGCGTGCCCTGTATGGAAGTTTCCTACCCGTTCCCGCACGGGAGGCTTTCCCAGACCCAGACCCTAGTGACTTTATGCCTGAGAAAATGCCCGGCGCGGTTATTTCCGCCAAGCACGCTCGTGTTGAATTGAGCTCTGGGCGCAGGCGCATCAAGCTCAAGGTCATGAGCAAAGGTGATCGGCCGATTCAGGTATGCAATGCCAATGCGCATGTGCAAATTAGTACATAAAACCGGACATCACAGCTAATTGTACCGAATCCAGGTCGGATCGCATTATCATTTCATCGAGACAAACCCGCAGCTGCACTTCGACCGCGTCCGGTCCTACGGTTTCCGACTGGATATCCCAGCTGGTACATCGATTCGATTCGAGCCTGGAGACACAAAGACCGTGACGCTTGTCGAGATCGGCGGACACCGCGTAATCCGCGGTGGAAATTGGCTGGCGAATGGGCCCGTCGACTTCAGTCGTGCCGATGAGATAGTGACTAAGTTGCAAACTGCGGGCTTTGCGCATGTGCCAGAGCCGCAGGCGGATAGTGCGCTTATTGCTGGATTTTCGATGGAGCGCGAGGCGTATTCGCGTATGTTTGGCCCTACGACGGGTGATCGTGTACGACTGGGGTTGACGAATTTGTGGGTGGAGGTTGAGAAGGATATGACGAATTACGGTGATGAGTGTGCTTTTGGTGGTGGCAAGACGCTGCGTGAGGGCATGGGGCAGGCTTCTGGGAGGGGTCATGCTGAGTGTGTTGATACGGTTATCACGAATGCTCTAATTATCGATTGGACTGGTATTTACAAGGCTGATATTGGTATCAAGGATGGCTTGATTGCTGGTATTGGTAAAGCTGGAAACCCGGATGTCATGGATGGCGTGCATCCGGATCTGGTGGTGGGTGCGTCTACAGATGTCATTGCTGGTGAGAACAAGATTGTCACCGCTGGTGGTATTGACACCCACATCCACTTGATCTGCCCCCAGCAGGTGGATGAGGCCCTGGCCTCGGGAATCACTACTTTCCTCGGCGGTGGCACTGGCCCAAGTACTGGTTCCAATGCAACAACATGTACACCGGGACCGAACCACTTGCGTCAGATGATGCAGGCATGCGACAGTCTACCGATCAACATCGGAATCACAGGCAAGGGCAACGACTGCGGAAGGAAGAGCATCGAAGAGCAGATCCTCGCCGGAGCAGCCGGTCTCAAGCTCCATGAAGACTGGGGCTCTACCCCCGCAGCGATCGACAACTGCCTCGAAGTCTGCGACGAGTACGATGTTCAGTGCATGATCCATACAGACACACTCAACGAATCAGGCTTTGTCGAACAAACCATCGACGCTTTCAAAGGCCGTACCATCCACACATACCACACCGAAGGAGCAGGCGGCGGTCACGCCCCTGACATTATCTCCGTCGTCGAACACCCCAACGTCCTCCCCAGCAGCACAAACCCAACCCGTCCCTTCACCCTCAACACCCTCGACGAACACCTCGACATGCTAATGGTCTGTCACCACCTGTCCAAGAACATCCCCGAGGATGTTGCCTTCGCCGAATCGCGCATCCGCGCAGAAACCATCGCCGCAGAGGACGTCCTCCATGACCTGGGCGCCATCAGTATGATGTCCTCAGATTCCCAAGCCATGGGCCGATGCGGCGAAGTCATCCTTCGCACCTGGCACACAGCACACAAGAACAAAGACCAGCGCGGGCCGCTCGGCACAGATGCCAACACGAATGCCGACAACTTCCGCGTCAAGCGGTATATCAGCAAGTACACAATTAACCCAGCTCTGGCGCAGGGCATGGCGCACGTGATTGGATCTGTTGAGGTAGGCAAGGTCGCCGATCTGGTGATGTGGAACGCGGCGACGTTCGGCACGAAGCCCGTTCGCGTGCTGAAGAGTGGCATGATTGCCGTTGCGGAGATGGGAGATCCCAACGCGTCGATTCCAACCGTTGAGCCGATGATTGTGCGGCCGATGTTTGCCGCGCGTCTCCCGCAGACGTCTATCATGTTTGTTTCGCAGGCTTCTATTGATGCCGGGATCGTGCAGAGCTATGGATTGAAGAAGAGGATTGAGCCGGTGAAGAATTGTCGCTCGGTTGGGAAGAAGGATATGAAGTTCAATGACACTATGCCGAAGATGAAGGTTGATCCGGAGAGTTATACCGTTGAGGCGGATGGAATGCTCTGTGATGCTGAGCCGGCTTCTGAGTTACCGTTGACACAGGCTTACTATATCTTCTAGATGTTTGGTCTGTGGAGTGTGGTTGTTTTTCTCCTTTCTTTGAGCATGTCCCCTAGCATTTTCCTTCTTGACGTTTTACGATCCCACCTATATACCTCATCGCTCTTCGGAGTTAGTTGATAGCGAGCTTGAGTTTTGGTTTGGTTTCGTTTCTGCATATAGGTTTCTATATTCCATACGAAAGCGACCATTTTTCTTTCCCTTATTTCTTTCCACCTTGATCTCTACATAATCCAAGATTTACAACGATATTACGTACTAGGGAATGATTTTCAACAAGGCAAGCATTGTGTTATATTCTATCTCTTCAAAAACGCAAGGAAACCAACATCTGCCTAATACTTTGAACAACAATGTCATCCGTTCGCCGCCCATCAGTGTTAACGAGAATATCAGCCCAATGGAGCAAACTAGCCACAACATCCTTACACATCAAAGGCACCTCGTGGCTATAGAATGCATACGGCTTCGCCCTTACATACGGATCAGACCGTATAGCATCCATAGCCACAGCCGCAACCTTGATACGACGAACCTGGTCAACGAGCCCGTACAAGCTATCAGCAACCTCCCCAGCGGCATGAGGGTGATCCCTAAGAGTATTAGCGTTCGCCTCCAAGTTGGAGATGAATGCAGCGCGCTCTTCCTTGAAGCGAGTGACGGAGTTGGAATGAGTGGCGTAACCAAGGCGAGACATTGGGACGGAGTGATACGAAACGGAGTAATACGAAAATATAACCCGGGGGAAACGGGGCCTATCAGAAGGGAAGGTTAGCAATGAGGTCGTCAAGTTGCTTTGCAACAGCGATGGGAATATCGGTGCAGTTGTTGTCGCGCAATCTGTTCGCGAGATGGGCGCACTGGCCCTTCAGCGCGGCGCAGTGCATCGGCACTGTCACGCTGTAGAAATCTTTTTGGTGGACCAGGACGTAGGGATGGTGGCGGCTGTCGACGGCCATTTTCTTCGAGATGGTCTCGACGATGTCGAGATATTGGGGAATTTGGCCGCGGAGGCAGGGGATGACGTAGTTGCGAGAGTTGATGTCGAGACGGAGGAAGACGGCTTGCTGGTCTATGAGGGTGACGAGGTTGCCGCGGGCTTCGCGAAATTTGGAGATTAGGTTTGAGCTCAGATGGGCCATTGTGAATGTGGTCTAGAAAATGTTAATGGAATCGATGGGGACGTACCTAGGGCTGGCTGAGCTGAGCTGGGTTTGGGTTTGAGGTTGGGAGTCTAATTGAAACCCAAGTTAGTCAGAATTGTTTCCAGGTCGATGGCGAGTTCATGCTCGATATTCACGAGTGGTTTGGTTTGGTGGGTGAGGAGGAGTTTGTAAATTTTGATGGACTCCGTGCCTAGGCTGTTGCAGCGCCGGGGGATGGTGTGGGAGAAGAAGTTGGCTTCCTTGGAGGTCACGTAGTTCATGTCCTTTGCGTCGACGGCGAGGGTTTCGGAGGCCCACTTGACCTTGTTGGCTTGCATGGCCAGGCTTTGGATGTTCAGGGTAATTTCGGCCAGGTAGTTGCCCTCGGGCTTGGCTCTAAGAGTGCTGATGTAGGACTTGATTTGGGAGACGAGAAGGTCACGTTCGCGTCGATAGTTCAGAATGGCACGCGTTCCTTGGAACATCTTCTTTTCGGCGGCAGTCATTTTGATGGGTTGGGGAGTTTGACAACTCTTTGAGGGCAGGAGAAGAAGGGAATGGAAGTGGGATCACTTACTTGATTTGGAGTGTAGTAATCGAAGCTGGAAAGACTGATTCGAGTAGATCGGCTGGATGTTGCAGACGTGTGAAGTACTGTGAGATTGCGTTGATGAAAAACTCGAAAAGATCAAGGGATTGTGGACTATTTATGTCTTGTTCGATTTGTAAATCCCACTGAAGACAAAGAGTTAGTGAAGAAAGGAAAGCAGGATGTTACTGTTGTAATCATTGTTCTCTTTATCTGCAATAATTAAAAGACTGAAGGAAGGAAGAAAGAAGTATACAATGACATCGTGCGCGACTACTTCTTTGTCTAAATTTCGGTGCTCGATATCTTTAAATACAATTGTTTAGTCTCTTTGTTCTCTTTGTACTGAAATAGAAAACTGCAGAGAGATCCGTGGTTGGCATGTTTGGCGGCCGACTTAGGGCTTCGAGTGCATTGCGAAGGTCCATAGCGACCAAGGGTCGGATTGTATTATTTCTAAGATTGCTGCCTGAAGACCCCTGATTAAATTCTGCAGAAAATCAAAACACTTGAATTACTATAACAGAGACGATGCCCAAGGAGGTATAAAAAGAGATATACACAGAGGCAAAGAAGAGGTGAAGAAGAGATATAAGGGATTATAATTGGCCCCTATGCACCTTCGTAAGTGTCTAACTAGTAATCTCGGCCAACTACTCAAGTAGGCCGCCCTACCAAAACGCGTCCATTAATTAGCACCCCGGTACTTCGGCTGGCGAGAAATGGGTATATAACTTTATGAAACGGTACCCTCTTCTTTCCTCCCGATTCTCGAAACGGTATAATTACGAGCGTGTGAAATGGGAAGACTCGAACTTTATCGGAGAGTGGTTTAATATAGTCAAAGAGACTGTCCTTCAATTTGGGATCGACCCCGATGACTTTTATAACCTTGATGAGACCGGGTTCGCGTACCGGCGAGGATTTATCACAGTGTATACTTGAAGCCTGGCAAGTCTTCAATAAACTTGCTCCCTCTCGACGCCCGCCGATTGCAAACAGCAAAGTAGACAGTAAGAGTTCCAACTACCACAATGGAGAGGAGATTTGCGCTTGGATTCAATTGTCAGCTCTGGACTTGGAACTAAAATAAATAAAGAGGAGGGAGTACTTACGCTATACACGCATACACACCGGGAAGATACCTTGGAGCATCCTTGGTGCGGAACACCACCGAGCCCGCCACACCACCAATTCCACCCAAAGTAATGATACTAGCACTGCAAAAAGCACGCTTCCAGTGTCCACGGATATTGTTTGCCTGGTACGTAAGCGTAGCAGGGATATTCGCATTAGATGCTGCGGCCACGAGGTAAATCCCGAAATACTGCACGCCAGGGACAGTGACCCAGCCGAGGATTGACAGCCCGATGATAGCTTGTATGTTGTTCCAGACAATAAATGGTGCACGCATACGATATTTGTCACCAAGCCATCCTTGGATAAACATGAACAATCCAGCAAAGAAATAGGGCGGCGTCGTGAGGACTTGAGCGACTGCGGTGCTAAAGTGTAGCTCGGAAGTCATGATAATGGGAAGGAAAAAGCTAATCGAGTAGGAGACCATTGTGGCACAACTTTTAACACGTCTGTAAGCGTTTGAATCCGATGGGATATAGGGTTACCTCACAAGAAGAGGAGGGCGAATGCCCAGACCTTCGGCTCCAGCGCTGGCCTGAAAAACTGCTTCAAATCAAAAGGGACTTCTTGCGAGGTATCCTGTCGATCTCGGGAAATTCGCGCAACGATAAAAGCAGTTTCTTCCATGTTGAGAAATTTCCACGACAGGTCATTCTCGTCTGGAAAGTTGATCAGCAGTGCAAATCCTATGCATGCTACCACGCAGGTAAGCAGCCCCTCCATGATGAAGATCCATCTCCACGGTGCGAAGCCTGCTAGACCACCCATGTGGATGAACCCGAATGCAAGAAGTCCCGAAAAAGCGCCTCCGGTTACACTGATGAGATAAAATGCCGAATATCTCTTGTGCATATCATCTATGGGAGGTGAGATACGGGTTCATCAGACGGGGAAGGGCACTAACAGCGCGAGTACCACATTGAAAGCAAATATACAGCTCCTGGAAAGAGACCTCCTTCAAAGAAACCCAGCAGCACTCTCAGTGCAAGCAAGGCCTTCCAGCTGTGCACGAAGCCACAACACTAGATGAATTAGTAGGCGACGAGAGTAGCGAACGATATTTGCCTACGATCATAACAATGCCCCATGCCAGAGTGATACCGGACAGAAAGATCCGGGGCCCGATTTTGCGACCCAGCAGAATCAATGGAAACTGGAATAGGACATAGGGAACGAAGAATACGAGAAGGACAATGGACTAAGGAGAACGTCAGACTTGTGTGAATCTCGTAAATCTCGACTTCTTACATAGCGAGAGCCAATCTCCATTTGCAATTCCTCCTTCATACTAGTATCGTCAGCATGTAAAAAGCTTCAACGGGAGTAATACAATACCCAGAGATCATAGCATTCCCTAGATTCGTCCTGTCGACAAGACTCACGCACATCAGCAGCCCCAAGGCCGTGATGAGTCGCCGGTCGACCTTGTGGATGATCTGGCGTTGCTGCTTATGAGAGTAACGGCTTTCTGCCGGCGAATACTCCGTCTCAGTCTTTGACGGAGAGTCAACATTATGATTGATTGACTCTGACAAGGGCTTATCCATGCTTGACATCGTGAAAATGATTGCGACACCAAATGCTACATTCTTGCCATGCTATGGACTCCTTTTATCTCCGTCATGCTTTGACCATTCCCCGCATTCGCCATCAATGGATCGTATCGACTCATCCTGACCGATTGAGGTTGCCTGCGTCCCTGTCGAAAATCAGCCCCTGTGATACACTTTTTTCTGGGGTAAGTTGCACGCTAAGCAATGGCGTGAGCCGCGGTGGATCCCGGCGTTGGATGACAGTAACCGCATTAGGCAGTCGAATCGTCGCATTACCTAACTATACTTGTAGGTTGCTGGAGTAGACGTGATCACGACATGGAAAATTTGAACGGGCTATCTATATTTGTATGACACCGACCGAGGCTGTTCGGCAAATCTGGAAGTCGAACAAGGCATAAAAGGATGATCTTGAGCCGTACATTTCGGGGCGATTCAGCTCATTCACAATGCCTGCTCCTCAATCCTTCCCTTCTTTCTCTGACACTACCGATTTCGATAATGCTTCTCGCGGTTTCGTTGGTGCCGTGAAGCCATGCGTTATCAAGAACTCAGCGAGTCGCGTTGTCTGGAATAACGACGATTATGACTTCATGCAAAACAGCGAATGCCCTGCCACAGCAGACCCCAAGCTCTGGCGCCAAGGACAGCTATGTTCAAAGCAAGGACTCTTCAAAGTAACTGAAGGCATCTACCAAGTGCGAGGCTTTGATCTCTCCAACGTGACCTTTGTCGAGGGATCAGAAGGCATCGTCGTCATCGACCCCCTCACGTCAGTGGAGTGCGCCGCCGCCGCGCTGGAGCTCTATCGCGCTCACCGCGGTGGCCGACAAGTCAAAGCCTTGATTTACTCTCATTCACATGCCGATCATTTCGGTGGTGCACGGGGTATACTCCCCGCCGATTCAGACCCAGCGATCCCAATTATCGCGCCAGACGGGTTTATGGAGGAGGCCACCAGCGAGAACATCTATCTTGGAGACGCAATGCGCCGGAGGGCTGCATTTATGTATGGAATTGCACTCCCTAGGGCACCTGACGGACAGATCGGCTGTGGCCTTGGGATGGCAGTCTCCACTGGGACCACATCGCTCATCCCACCGAATGTCACCATCTATGAGACGGGTGAGACCCGGGTTATAGATGGAGTGCGGATTGAGTTCCAGATGGTCCCGGGAACGGAAGCGCCTGCAGAAATGAATTTCTTCTTCCCGGATCATAACGCTCTGCTCATCGCAGAGTGCGCCACACATTGCCTGCACAATATTATCACCCTGCGTGGTGCTCTAGTGCGCGATGCCAAGGCTTGGGCTGGGTACCTGGATGAGACGCTTGTTTTGTACGGAGATAGGTCAGATGTTCTATTTGCCAGTCACCATTGGCCGACGTGGGGGAAGAAACAGCTAAAGACGTTCATTGAGGAACAACGTGATCTGTATGCCTATCTTCATGATCAGACCATTCGTATGATGAACCTTGGCATGACAGGCACGGAAATCGCGGAGAAGATTACTCTTCCTCCTTCTCTTGAATCTGCATGGCATGGTCGCGGATATTATGGCTCAATCAGCCATAATGTCAAGGGCATTTACCAGCGCTATATGGGCTGGTTCGATGGCGACCCGGTTCATCTATGGGAGTATCCTACCGCCGAGCTCGGTCAGCGATATGTTGACTGCATGGGGGGTATTGACAGCACCATTCAAAAAGCTGCAAAATATGTAGATGCCAAGGACCTGCGCTTCGCTGCCACATTGCTGGGCCACGCAGTCGCTGCACAGCCAATGCATGGAGCAGCAAGATTCGCACTAGCATCGGTGTTCGAGAAGCTGGGATATGGATGTGAGAACGCGACATGGCGCAATTTCTATCTTACTGGGGCAATGGGTCTGCGGTCATCGAGCACACCGGGTCCTAAAGCGCAGCCGCCGAATGAAGTCAGTCTGACTCTCTCAACGGAACAGTTGTTGACGCTTTTATCCGTTCGGCTGGATGGTCTGCGAGCAGCAGAGGAGTCTTTCGTCATGGATCTGCGTCTTACTGATGAAAAAACATGGTTCCGTCTGATTCTGAAAAATGGTGTCCTGACAGTCCGCAAGACTACAGAGAATAACGGATTTGCTGATGATGCTGCTGGCCTTATGATGACTCTCAGAAAAGCCGAGTTCGTGGCCATTCTCAATGGACAAGCTAGTGCCTCTGGGGAGCCAGTCGGTGATGTGGAGATCATGGCTAAGCTGGTGGCGTTGACGAGGCCACCGAAGAAAGCTGCTAGTTCTTTGTAAATAATTTTATATCTCTTTATTTTAAGACGAGTCTCGGACTGCTACAAGCCAGACTTTTTAGATAAAATTTTAGATAAAAAGTACTCAATTGAAATACTCAAGATGAGGAAGAGAGGAAGCAAGAAGTTCACCTGGAAGGGTAAGTATAGCAATCACTAAAGGCAAACAATGTAAATAGACCGACCTCTAGAGCTTAACGAAGCAAACCAAGAAGTAAAAAGAACGATCTCTGGCATGTGATAGCATGCAGATCGTGACAAGACACATCTAATTGGTTTCTCCGCCCGTTAATCGAGCCTCAAATTGTTGTGCACTTCGCAATGTTCGCGCCATAAACTGGGCTTTTCCAATTCCCATACAGTGTCCAATGACTTCCAGGCGCTCAATCGCCCATTCTCGTAATGCCGATCCCAGGGCACTTACATCTGCCGCCACGTACAGAGGCCACATCGTGATGAAGCCACCAAGAAAGTCAGCGGAGGAGGTCAAGTCCACTCCTGCCGCTCGTGCGGGGCCGACTTGTCTTAGAGCATAGGGTACACTTTGTGCAATCTCCATGGCTAAATTGCTGAGAACCTCTGTTGTTGGATGTGAAGACGAATACTTGTTTTTTTGGATGCGGACTTGGATCAATCGGTTGAGCAGGATCCGGCCTGTTCTATAAAAATTCCAAATATTGCACGCCCATGCGTCCGGATAGATATGATATGTATCGTCGAAGAAGAGACCTTCCGAGTCGCCTTGGTTACGGTGTCGAGCTAGTGGTCGTTGGGCTGTGCGATAGGCCCAGCGAGGTGGGAGATTCTGCCGCCACTGGAATAGAAGTTGGTCGACACATGAAGCCTCTTTAATAGTTTGAATATCATCCTGTGTCTCCGCGTAAAGTATTACTTCGCTTACGCGGGCAATTAGGTCTACCAGTTCGTCAGCTTTGGCGTCGCTGACCGATCGCAGGGACATGGCCTGCGAGGACCATTGAACCAATGAGGGTGGTACGGGAGTATGCCAGTGGAGGCAGCTAGCGATCTAATTCTATCTCATTAGTACGGCTTGCCGCAGGGATCATGTTGAACTTACGATTTGTACGCGCAAATGGGTAAATAAGCGCATTCCAACGGTGCTTTGGATCTGCTCGGCTCCCCGCATCTCAACCAAAGTCATGGCTCCCCGAGTATGACGAAGCCACGAGTCGAGGGAGTGTCTGACTCTGCATGTCAAAACCTGCAGCCATGAGCATCGAACCAAACAAGGGGGCGGAAAGGAAGCATACTTCAAACATACTAAGAAGCAACACCGCCGCAAGGGTAGCATCACTTGTTGGATCGCCTAATGCCGTACCAGTGAGGCTTAGAGCCTCTGTATACTCTTTACTGGCAATCGCCATCAATCCGGCGGATTTTCGAATATTAGATAAACTCGCCAGGCCCACAGCCGTAAGGGCCATAGAAACAGCAGGACTAACGGCCGCCAGATCGGCCATCTGCGAGACACTGGGGTGGATAGGGATATCATAGAGGTCATTCAAAACATAGTAACGAAAGAAAAAGCGAACAGATTCATCGCGGATTGATTCCGATAGGGGCGACGGAACCGCGAGGGGCGATAGATGGTTCAACGTCGCTGCTCTGGAATGGGATACCGGCCCCAATTGATTCTCTGCATCGACTCGGGCCCGAACAGCCAGGCTCTCATTACGAAACTGCAGCTGCTGTGGATCGCGATATCCAGGACAGGAGAACCGGGCCCGTCTACACTGGGAGCACGTGGGTCGTGCGGTGTCGCACTACGAGGCCCGTATCAGCGGAATTTTAGACAATAGAAGAGTGCCTCGCTTACTCGGATTCGGCGCGTGCGGCAATTTCCGCATCCTTTACTGGACCGGGGTTTGTAGGGCATGATGCAGGTGATGGAGCGAAGGGCAGTAGTTAGTTCATGCTGAGGGGGCTAGAGAGAGAGCAGGAAGGGTTGTGGGGCATGATGGACGGGCCCGAGCACGTCACCGAAGGGCAATATACTGTGGGGTTCCAATTTGCTTAGGGCGTTGAGTACCTCTTTGATAGATATCTCCCTTTGAAGCTGTTGATTTAACGAGTTGGCTATACACCTTGGACCTGGTAACCTTGATAGCAGCTATTGAGCGCGTTGCCTTAATGTCTGGGGGTACTTTGGGAGAAGAAAAACCTATATAGATATAGATAGCGGGGGCCTCTTATAAAACTAGGTTCTCTAATGGAACGGGGCTCAATAAATATTGCATGAAGGGAGTCATCAATCATGGAACGCAAGAAGACCACGGTATTCCTCAAACTATTACTCGAAAATTGGTCCTTTATGTGTTGAACTCACAAAGGCGCCCCCCGCAAGACTTGAAGGGCAACAATCACCGGTACTTTCACAGTTATTGACATATTGCCTGCCATACCTTCTACGTGTCTGCAACGTCATCACAGCATAAGCATACTTTCAGCACCAGCAAACCCTTCAGGTTGACCGAAATTCTCATCGGTGCATGTACGTGATCTCAAACTTCCGGGCAAATGAATTGTGATCATTTAACGTAAAAACAAGATTGTTTTGGGCGATGCGTAGGTATTAAGAAATGCGCGTAATTCGGGGCGAAAGGCATCGATCGTATGGCCAACAATATTTAATGAGCACCTTACTTCTTTGACTGTGCTTAAATTGAAGATGAACGAGTGTTTATTCATTTCGGCCATTCTATCAGTAGTGAAAGAATTGAGGTGTTTATTGAGTATGATTGGCTAGGGAGCATACTCCACCCTAAATCAAGCGAATTTTCTGATACTCAGGCACCACCCCTGAAGAGCCAACAGCGGATCTCGCCGTATGCACTGACTTGTGGGCCTGGCCCTTAGGTTCGGCGATGCCCGGCGGACGAAGTATTCGGGTCTTACATATTTTCTTAAGTAATTGATTCAGCTAGAGACTCGGGTCATATTCCAAGCTGCGTAGCATGTTGTATCACCGGCAAAATACTGAAGAAGATATCGAGATCGAAATAACAGAGGGGTATCATACGTTCACAAGGCATAAAGAAAATGAAACAGATCACTATGAGAAGTGACGGATCCAACCACCCCATAGCTCAACTTTTAAAAAAAAAGCAAGAACTATTATAGCTCAATCTCCTCCTCGGCATGATTATCCCCTGCCGAAATAAGCGACACCTCCGTCCACGCAGAGAATGTATCCTGGCGAGCAGCCAGATACGCATCCACACGCGCGCGCCGCGAACGAGCCAGGCTGTCTTGATCTGGATTGTCACCGCTCGAGACTGTGGGAGCTTGAGAGTCGAATGCCGACTCGGAAATGGAAAGAGCGAGTATTTCTGTCTGCTGACTTTCTGTTCGTTGGACATTGATTGGGCGGGGAGATGGGCCATCACCGGTTAGATCAATCATTGTAGGAGTGTTTAGTTCGGGCTTGACTGAATTTGCTGAATTTTGTTGCTTTGGTATGGGTGTGTTATGATTGTCTGCGTCTTTCGTTTCATGGACCGCGCCGAATTTGTCATCTATTTCCGTCGGCCATGTAGATGGGAGAGGATCGACTTGGAAGAGTCCCGGCTCGGCGTGATCATATAGGTAGCGATGCGCATGGCGAATTTCATTGCGCTTGATTCTAGCTGCCTCTTCGACTTGACTTGGCTGGCGTGTCAGGCTTTGGCTCTGATCCTCCTGAGTAGTATCAGCCACACTGGGATTAATATCATCTATTTCCCTATTGGCTTCTTGGGAGGACTGCGTGGAAACGTCCATATCGTAACACGCTCTTTTTGGTGCACGAGGGCCGTCCTCGTCTTCATCGTCTTTCACTGTCTGTCGCATGTATGTGTCATGAGAAAACCTGTTTTCTGAACAGAGGTGGCCAAACAAGCGTCTGATCGATACATCCTCGTTCCATGTTGATGGGTCAACAGTGCAGGGATAGATATCTTTTGGCCGAAAGGCAGCAACGAGCTCACATAGCTCGGAATATGAGGAGTGTCGTGAATATGGAAAGCGCTGGATCAAATTAGAATATATCATTCGTAGCAAGGGATGGCGATACTTACAATTGTGTTAGGTGGATCGGGCTTGTAGGATTCGCCAGATGCTTGGGAGGGACCGTGGCTTAGAGCAGCCACCAGATTATTCAACGTTATCTCGCCCTCTTCTTTTACGCCATATGTATCGAGCGAGAGTGCTTTCTTCCTTGACTGGAAGGCCTGCAGAAGCGCAGTTCGTACTTGAGACAACGCTGCCTTGTCATGAACATGCTGGAGGCACAGCTTCTCCAACTCGGCAAGAGCAGACTCATTTGGCAACTCGAGTTCGTGTGTTTGATACAGGTCTCCGATACCACCGCCAGCCCCGACTTCGGAGATTTCGGCGCCTCCGGCTGTGCGATTAACGATGGGCACAATGTAGACTGTCTTCGCATCCCGAGCTGCCGAGCACGAAACTCCAGGCTCGCAACTATGAACTCGGCTGGACTCATCGTTGGTCAAACAGCCAGCCACGGCTCTGTTACCCAGCTCGAAGCCGCAGAGCGCAGGTGCTTCGTTCACTCCTCTGTTGCCTGGTGTCTGCGTTAGGGACCGATAAAGTCCCATCTGATAGCGATCTACATGAATCTAAACCATCATTAGCAAGCTATACTTGGAGAAAATTCGATAACAAGTACCTTGGTATCTAGCGCGGATGAAAGCGCTATCCATACATCTTCGTAGCCAAATGTCCACGCACGAAAGTAGAAGACCGTATCATCAGGATAAGCTTGAACCTTCTGCAATAGCTCAGCCAGTCCCTCGGCCTTGGAAGGAAACTCCCGAAATGGATTGGTCTTGCTCGCGAATGTGGAGTCGAGGTACAACTTGTCCAGTCGTTTCTGGCCCAACGTATACGGTATCAAGACCGGATGACGGATCAAGCTGCTGACCCACCATTTCTCGGCTGAGGAAAATCAGCTATAACTCAATATAAATCATGACAAACTAACCTCGAATGTCACCTGTGTAGATGATTGCTCTCCCATTCCCCTCAACGAGAAACATCACAGCCCCAGTGCAATGGTTGGCATCGAATAATGTTACCCTGATACGACGTCGGGGTGTGAGTTCAATCTCTGTGGGAGTATTCAGTGGAATGGGCCGCTGGAAAGCGTTAAATTTTGATTTCAGCATCCACGAGAGTTTAGAGCATACCAGAAGCTTCGCGAGATGCTTATAGTGTAGTCGCCGTGACTCCAATATACCTTTATTAAAGTTCATCCGATGGGGATACTTTTCAATGCAGAGTAACAGCTGGATAGGGGTCAGCCAATGGATTCCTTATACGGCGTATGAATTTCTTGCCTCTCTCGTTGCCGGAGAACAGTAGATGAACGGAGCTCGGAAGGACTCCAGGCCCTGCAAATGATCACTGTGCACATGACTGAGAAAGCAAGCCAGTGGTGCAGGATGCTCAGGACTCTTCCGAAAGTAATCAACTGCTTTGGCTTAGTATCAAGTGTAATATCTCAAACTTAATAATGAGGCTCACTGCGAATGTCCGGGAATTCTGTTTATGATTAGTGTGGGAGGTGACACAAGAGTGGCAAGTCTCACCTTCCACGATACCATCAAATGTTGACATAGTAAGTTCTAGATCTTAGGTCAGACGTCCAAGTGCATCCATAGTGCGTCAATAATACATTGGTAGTGCATTGTACATGTCAAGATGCGTTGTGGCCTACACGTGACGTGTAGAGTAGAAATAGAAGACGAAGACCGATGTCATCATTAATATGCTACATATATCAAGGTCATATTATATATTAAAAAATATTATGGATATAATTCAAGTTGACATTCATGTCGATATGTGTCAATGGAAATGCTCAATAGACGAATAGCAAAATCCTTCTACTTGTCGTCATAACAGCTGGCTGTGCATGCATAGAGGCCATGTTTTGCCAACGCACAACTGATTACATGTGGAGTAGTATATAGAGTCCATAGAATAGATTTCAATTGATCTTTCTATTTATTTTTTCTATCTACACTCTATTACAATAATTTTCTTTGTTTCGTTTCTTTTTTTTCTCTCTCAGGTTTCTGCTTATCTGATTGCCTGTGAGACCTTCAATTCCTCAAGGGTCAAAGAGTCAACTCACCTGATCGGGAATTCTTTTTTTTCCCACTACTATTCTTTTCTTTCAACTAAATCTTCGATTCTCAATAAATTCAACTTGTTGAACTTGTTGAACTGATTGAACTTGTGAAAACACGACTTTTCATACTTCGAAAGTCCGTAACTATACGTTACTCCTTAGCGCTTTAGAGTTCCCGAGAACTGCGCCTTCACATCTGGGAATTTGAGGGCAAGGGGGTGTCCTCGATTTCTTGATTTTCTTGATTTCTTTGACATTCCAAGGAGCCTGGGAAAATCGGCTTTCTTTTATTGTCTACTCAACTTCTCGCTCTCGTTCTCTGTCAACCATCATGCGTAAACCATCAGTGGCCCAAATCGTGTATAACGCCACGTTCCCACGGCCGCGCACAAACGAACCGGGCTCGTTTGCCGCTCACATCACCCGAAACCTCGTCCCAGAAGTACGTGTCGAGACATCCCTTTTCTACGGTTCGCTAGACTGCATCGAAGCCCAATACCCCGGGTTAGACTACTCATACGGACCGCATCGGATGCGACTGAGTCGTTTCCCATGGCATCGAAGACTGTTCCGCACATTCAACGAGCTCGGCCTGACAGAAGCTGAGATTTCTGATCTCTGTCGCTGGGAAGGAACCAAATCCGCACGTCAACGGTACGAGGCAGAAGAAAGGGTTAGCGTGCAGGACACAACAGCTCATTCAATCCGATCGGCATCTCCCCCACCCCAACCCTCCATTGAGATTCATTTCGACGACTTCTGCGGGACAGAAGAGGATCAGTTGATTGAGACTCGGAGCAATGATACCATCCGTGCGAGCGATTCCCTTACATCCAGTTACCGAACTGCCGATACGGAGCACGATACCGATGAGGAGTTTAGCGATGCGGAAATGGAGAGCTGTGGCGTGGCCCTGAACAACCGGATTCATGCTGCGATGGCTGCACGCGACCGAGGCACCGATGTGCCGCTGGACGAGGACTGGGAACAATGGCTGAAGGAAGCCGGAGAGCGCGGCAGCTACGGCGAGATGTTCCATGCTATTCGCACCAACCAGCCCTTGAGTTTCCCCCCTGATGCTCCGCGAGCTCCACGGCGTCGCAATTTAGCCTCGACTGCTGCTTCTTTGCCTGATGCGTATATGTTCTCCATGCCAGACGGCATCCTCGCGAGCTCCCCTCTATCATCTACTGCCAACACCTCCAGCGCAGCTCGGTGATTGCATGGTTCTCTGTCAGACCTTTAAACGGATGCTAGCTACGACTCCGTGCTTGCATATTTACGGCGCATTCTTTCCTCTCTAGCGTTGCCTGAAGTGGACTGGCTCTTCTTCCTGGGACTTTCATTGCTTTTTCATTTACCGATATCCATTGCTACTTACGTCTCACTCAGATTCTCGTGCTTTCGCATAGACCTCGTTTCCCTCTTAATACCCTTATCCTCTGTTGCTTTCTGTTACATCTTTTTATTTGCCTTGCTGTGGCATTATGGGAATTGAAGAATTCGCACTACACTGCAAAAGTTATCTAGGTTTTGCTCGAAACATATATTATCAATTGAACTTGATTTGAACTTGATTTGAACTTGACTTAATGCTTGACTTACAATACTGTAAAGCTGGAGATGCAAACAGTAACAAACATGTGATAAGCTCTCCGCTCCTAACTCCGCTCCGCAATCTCCAAGGACCTCAAACATTGACAAAGTATCTTTTACTTTGATTGATATACTATGTCGCATGGCTGATGACTCAAATGCAAGCTCTATCCTACATGTGTTTATGATAACTGCATTCCTGTCAAGTCTCGCGACAGCCCTAAAATGATCAAGGCAATCTTCTACAGCAAGTTCGATACAGTAGAGGGTGAGTCTACAACCCCACGACTCGTCACTCGCCATTAACAATTATCATATAGGACCCAAGGTCGTCCACCAAGTCCCCGACGGAGCTATCGTTCCCTCGCCTACCGCGCCCTCACAGCCTCTCTTCCTGACCTTCTCCGATGTCTCTTTCTTCGTGATCCCCCGCCAGGAGCTCTGTGGAAACCTGCTGCAAGTCTGCACGAATGGATACCGTATTCTAGGCTATCCTATCTGCATGAAGTCGCCGCGCTATGACCGCAATGAGTTTATTTTCAACTTCTGCGTTGTTCTCGCAGAGGAGGACGATTTCAGCACATACAAGAGCGTGGTGCAGAAGCTAGCAGACCTGATGCATGGCTTGGAAGAGCAGAACGGCTTCTTGTCTCGCGACTTCTCGAAGAGTGGGGGGGGAAAATCTACAGCCTCTGCGAAATGTTGATGGAGGACTTGAATAATTATTGCGAATGCATGATACCTATTGGTATGTCCAGTTTTTGTTCTACGTAATTACACCACTAACCATAGCCTAGATGACTTGAATACTCTCAACATCAAACTCTTCCCTATATACCCCTCTCCCCCGCCTGTCAAGGCCTGGCAGGTGCCGCTTTTCATGTTGCGATACCAGGCCTTTACGGATGAGAATTGGGACTTGACCATGCAGAGAGTATGTAAAGCATCAAATCACCTTCTTTTTTTGAAGACAGGATATCTGACTATCCCAGATCGTACCACACATAAATGGCGTCAACAGCGTCCGCATCATCTCCGTTCTAGCCGACACAGACTTCTCCCTCACCTGTCGCGCACTCCGCCATCTCCTCTACTATGGCTGTCTCTTCCTCCTAGACATCTTCTCTTTCTCGGCCATATACGCCCCAACATCCCAATTCAGCTCAACCATAGCCTCAGACGAAACAATGCAACTAGAATGCGCGCGATATGTCAACCTCCGCTTCGCACCCCACGCGCCAATAGGCCCCTCATCACCCCTCCCTACATCCTTCCAAAGCACCAGCGCAAATGGCAGCACAACAGGCAGCACATCCCTCACAGACCCACCCAGTCTCACGCGCGAAGAAGCCCGTTTCGACGCCGAAGAAATCTGGCCCCTCCTCGGCCCAGAAGACTCCGAGTTCCCATCAACACCTAGCGACACATCAAACACAACACCCATCCACAAACCACCGATTGTCGACGGCGCCACCCTGGTAGAACTCTACGCAAGCTTCAAACAGGGCCAGAGCGTCAAGCAATGGTACGCGCAGCACAGCCGCTTGCTTGCAAACATCGACATCCGCCGCTTTATCACCTTCGGCGTTATCAAAGGCTTCCTGTACAGAGTCCATAAATACGCTTGTGCAACAGGCCAGCCTGCACCGCCGCCGCGCTCGTCGTCCTTTACGCCGACTGGGCTGTCGTCGCGCGCGACGACAACGGGGACGAATACCCCATATGCTGTTTCGAGTGTTGGGGAGGAGGGGGTGCTCTCCTCGTCTAGGCGGGAGGGGAGCAGGGAGAGGGCTGGGTCGCTGACGGGTGGGTGGAGGGGGCCGTTTGGAAATGGAAATGGGAATGGGCATGGGAGTGGGGGGACGCCGTCGGCTTTTTGGGAGGACGAGGAAGAGGAAATTGTCGGGGATGAGGTTTTGGGGAGATATCTTGATGGAACGCATTGTTTTGATCAGATTTGTACGGAGCTGGAGATGAGTGAGAGGGAGTTGACAGCTAGGCTGAAGAGGTATCCTGGAGAGGTATTGATTCTTCATAGGTGAGCTGGGGCATTGGGTTTTTTGCTCTCTTTGGCTTTTTGGATTGGAATATGATTGATACCCTACTGTGACTTGATACGGCGTTTGAGAATATATAAGGAGCATAGAACGAATACTTCTGAAGATTTTGGACTCGGTTATTTGATTGCAACTAAAGAATTAGTGTACACGGACACCATATCTAACCAGCTAGATGCATGATGTTGTGAAAAGATCAGGTTACCCTGCTGCAAAGACGAGGCCAATGTTTATCTTCAGACCCACGGCCTAGCTATGCCGGGGTTACCACACGTGTAGTAGTGAAACGAGAAAAAGAGGTATCCGCTAACGCCGCGCCAGTCCATCATGCCATTCGTATCGTATCGTGCGAGAAAATTATCAAAACAAGGGTGTTGAGAGGCGACCAAAGCAACCAAGAACCAAGAACCAGAGGGTGAGTGGGTTTCGAACGAGACAGCGATGGTATTTACTCCTCATCCCAGTTCTCAAGCTCGGCTTTCTCGTACTCGGCCATAACGGCAGGATCAAATATTGATTCTCCCTCGGTAGGAATAGTTGTCTTGATATCATCGAAGATTGGCAGGAATGCCTCGTTCCAGCGACGACGACGGTCCATGACAATCTTGGCAGCATCTCCAACGGCAGGACGAGAAATTCCCGCAGAGCCAGCGACATGGCTGCCACCGCCTGCACCGCCGGGTCGGTGTTTGGCTTGAGCGCCCTTCTTGCTCTTGCCCATTGTGCGGGTGCGCTTGAGATAGGCCTGCTGGACTTGGGAGTCGAGATCGTCTTGAATGGTGGTGAATTCGAGCATAGCCATGTGTTCCTGGGCGATCTTCAAAATACGGGCTTTCCGCGCATTGTTGGTGACGATTTGTTTCTTGAGCTCGCTTTGCAGGAGGCGCAGGCGCTCGGCAACCTCGTCATCGTAGTGTGCGTCGTAGTCTGGGTTATCGTCCGCACCGAGAAAGCCGATGTATCGAAGCTCGGCTTTGGCGCGTTCATCGAGTTGGGCATGGTCAAGCTTGGCAACTGAAGTCTTGAAGTCGTTCGGGTCAGCGTCACGGAATGTGGTGGCTGCAGGCAGCGGAGGTTTGTGTTCGCTTTTAATCTCTTTGGTGTCTCCGTTTGGTTGATCAATATCCATTGCATCTCCACCCAAGCCTCCAACACTGGAGGAGTCGCCGTTTGTGGTTGGGTTGTCATCTTCGGGGAATGTGCGGTGCTCGTAGCGGAGGAGAGAGACGAGTCGACTGAGGAGAGGGCCGACTGATACTTCATTGGTTTCCGCTTTATCTTCGGTCAGCTGCTCGATACTACCGCGGCCTTGATTTAATGGTAGTTGGTCCTTGTCATCTTGGCTTTGATCGTAGGATACCCCATCCTCTTCCGCCCATAGCTGGCGGTAGCTTTTCTTCCCACGACGTGGCATGATGAATGGAGTAACACGATCACCCTAGGAAAGTTAGTTGGTGGGTCATGAGAAGTAGTAGCAATTGACTTACCCTCTCTCTCAGCCAAGCAATGTCCTCCTCGGTAAGTGGCCGGACGTATGGCTCAATGTAAGTCAAGAAAGTATTGGCGCTGACTTGGTTGGAGGGTTTGGCATTGCTGAAGTCTTTGTCGGGGGCCACACCAGCTGCCATATGGGCAAGGTCTGTCTTGGGAAACACGGCAACACTGTAAATCTCTTTTTTCTCATCGTCGGTCATGTCGGGGAGAACATCTCGAATGTTGTAAATGGTCGGATCGTCGAATTTCAGAGGATTCTCACCAAAGACCTGGATTTGAGGGATAGCAGGTTGGGGTTCAGGTTGGTGGGAATCGGTGCTGGTCTCGGAACCAGGTGTGCCGGGAGCAGCAGGACCGTCGCCAGCAGTGGTCGCACCGTTGGGGGACATCATCGAGGGAGGCGAAAGCGAAGAGCTCTCATCTGATGGCGCATGCTTGGAAATTTTAGAAGCTGGAGACGCAGCTGAGAATGGTCAGTAAAAGTTGAACAGTGGGGAAGTCAAAGAAGGCCAGGGATGTGGAGATCGCTAATAAAAACAAAGGGTGGGAGGGAAAGATGGGAAGAAAGCACTCAAATTGGGTCTCTTACCTCCTTCAACTTTAGTCTCAGCTCCATCCTGGCGTGCGAGTTCATGGGCCCCATGATTCAATGGTCGCTCTTCTTTTGCACTGGCACGCTCTTTCCGCTTCTTCAGCTTCCCGCCCTTGTGGATATCGTCATCTTCCTCGGTTTCGCGCTTCAGTTTTGAGCGATCTCGGACTTCGCGTTCAAGTTCCTGATCTTCCACCACATCTTTACGCTTTTGAGACATCTCTCGCATTCCGGCATTGCAAACTTCGGCTCGGGCATCAGCCATGTCACTGAGGCTCTTTAAGTGTTCCACCAATGTCTCAAGTGTCTTCGAATCTGGGATATTTTGCGCAGCCACCAAGTCCAAAACATCGGAATATTGGCCATTGGCTAGGTCAATAAGCTTGGTGACATCATTTTCCAGATAGCTTTGAATGGGGAGCGCCGGAATCGTGGGAGCGCTAGCACTGGAAGGAGTGGTGTTGCGGCTACGCGACTGGCGCGCATCGCGGCCTTTGCCCTTGCTCTTATAAGCAGAAGGCATATTTTATGATGTGCGAAAAGTTGGGATATATGAGACGGAACGATACACGCGCCAAAGGGGGTATTAGAGGTATGGTCGATAGAGGGGATCCTAGATATAGGTCGTAATGGACCAACCCATGCTGTTGGCGAGGATGAAGATGGATGATATGGGGTATGTTTAACCCCCAAAGCACTTTAGCGTAAGAAATAGATAAGAGGACAAGATATCCTTTCAAGAGTATCACATTCTACTGATGTCGAGAGATGAGGCGGTCGCATTGGAGCACGTGATTCTATCATCACGTGTGATACGAGGTTCGATTCTAAATATTCACGGAGTTATCTCAGTTCTCTGTATATCTGTTTGATTTACTCGAGTCCAGATCAAATTTCTTTATGAGATATAGCTTTGCCTTGAGTTGATATTCTAGGACTCGTGGCTTGGCCCTTTCTCCGAAGACACCAGAACAATGGAGGCTGAATACATGCCCGCAATTCCTACAGGGCTAACATTCTGCGGAGAACCCCGACCTGAGTAGCGGCGATTCCGTTCAGTTCGATCATTTTTTTCAATCATTTCAATCTCTTCGATTACTTCGACGCAACAATTATGCACATAGGGTCTTTATGAAATGCAGTCGGCAGTTGAAATTGAAGAATCATATATGTTTTTACGTAGTAGTAAGTAATCTCAAAATTGCCTCGTGAATCAACTGTTTGTCTTTTTGGTGTCCTTAAGTAGAGACTACTATTATAATAGCTTTGTAAAACGAGAAGAAAGAAATAGTAAGTAATTAGATAAATAGTTGAACATCTATAATTATGTAGTGAGGGAATATAAAGTGAGCCTAAGTTGCCTCCCGGACAGGGCGGCGACGATCATCTCCACACCCGTCGTCCGCAAACGGTAATGTTCAAGATGTATAGAACCACGCACTCGGCGAAAATAGCTTGTTCTCGGAGTCTTCGATAATTCTGAAACTCGGAGGCTCCTAGGGCCCCTTGCCTCTTGCCTCGTGGTTTCTAAGCCTCGTTCACATTCCTGACCGGTCCCGATTAACTCTCGCATTCTTCCGCCTGCTGTAGAGCTTGAAATAGTAATGGTTGAATAAACTCGTTTTTGGTTTATTCAAAACCATCTAAACCTCTTCAAACATCTTGATCTTTTCATTCTCATTTCCCAGATCGACTGACATGCGCATGCCTCTCTCACTGGTCTTGATTTAAGATTTCAGATTCTCATCAGCTTCACGCCTTTCTTCATCTATATTCCACCATGTCAACTGTCGGTATTACTCGAAATGCGCCACATGAGTCTGTGAGCAAAGTAGCTACACTTTGGGCAGGCCCTGGAGAAGCTTCAAATTCCACCTCGTCAGTCGATGTAAGTGTTTTTATCTGTTAAATCCCAGATTGCCCTCTGTAGCGATCTCTAACGTACATTATCAGGAGAATGTTGCCTATCGGTTTGTCCTTGACAACAAAGTTCAGACGATATCCAGCAACAGCATCCCAGAGAGTGGACTCGTCTCGGGACTATTGTTTGTACCGACACTAGAGCCTCAGGATCCATGCTATAATACCACCGCCTCCTCTATACCATCGAATGTCACTCGCTATGAAGATGTCTCGGACTTCGGATACTCTCTTATCGGCCTTGCCCCATGGGTGTCCGCCGAGTGCTCTCTATCATTCTTGTCTGCCGGACAAAAAGTTGGCACCCATGCAATGATTTTTTTCCAACCATCCAGCAATGATACTGGCCTACCACCTGACTCGGACGACTCACGCTGGGCAATCAATGATGGAGAAAAATGGAGAATGGAAAATGATTACCCGGTTTACGCCATCCCGGGTCCAGCTGGAGCCTCGTTGATCGGTGATCTTTCGACTTTCCCAAGAGGATCATCACATACAAAGAGAAATAACTCAACTACTGCCGATAAAACACAACATGAAACCAATCGTTTGTTCGTCCGCGTCGAAACTGGTTAGTTGGAATTTGCGTCACTTTCAATATATATACTAACATGTTCAGGTCATAAGTCAGAAAACATGCCGAGCCTTTGGAGCTTCGTACTTGCAATCGCAGGAACAGTTCTTGTTCTCAGCCTAGTGTTGGTCATTGTCTATCGACTCATTTTACGCAAGAGACGAGATCAGCTCCAGAGAGAGATTGCCGAAGGCCAAGTCGACATTGAGGCTTTAGCATTGAACCGAATGAAGGCCCCCAAAGAAGTGGTCGACAAAATGCCTCTCTACACCTACTTGGAGATAAATCCATCACCAGAACCCTCTATCAACCACGATAACGCACCAGAGGCCGAAGCTGAACATGATTCGGGTGACAATACTAGTCCGCCATCCCCCAAAGAACACAAACAATCTCTGGACGATGCAGGACTCAAAAAGCCCGAGGCAGCCGTAATTCAGCCCGAGAAGCACAACCAAGATGATACCAAAAGAAGTAAATATCGTTTGAGTCATACTCAGACAACCTGTGCAATCTGTCTTGATGATTTTGTGGCTGGGTCATCAACGGTTCGCGAACTGCCGTGCGGACATATTTTTGACTCAGAGTGTATTGATCCATTCTTGACCGATAACAGTTGTCTTTGCCCTCTGTGCAAGAAGAGTGTTTTGCCAGCATGCTCATACTATATTCCTATGACACAAGAAATGGTCCAACAACAACATCTCTCAAGGCAGTCGGAGTGATTGATTGTGAATTGTTTTATTTCACTAGTTCTGGATTCGATTTCTTTACTTCTGAGTTTCGCTATTGTGCAATTTTTCCTCACGAGGCATTGGGAACTTTCTAAATATTTTGTACTAGCACGAGCGAGCTTTGTTGGTTTGCATCTAACGAGCGTGATATGGTGGATTGCATGGCGTTTTGTATAGTATTGTTTCATTGTAATTTACAAGTCTGAAATACCTGTTCAATATTCATGTGGAATTCAAATAAAGTCTCCTATGAAAAGATATCGTCTCATAGCCGCTTCTCTTATACTCTTTAGTAGATGGAAAATTCATAGTTAATATTTTTTTATTAAGCAGCAATACCCTAACTTTAGCCTTAGGCATGAGATGACACCTGATATCCAGGGCATCGATATTTGCCTGATTGGTGATCCAAGTGGGTCCAATTCTCGCTAAATCTAGCGTCCCACACAGAACCTCTACCTACAAACGTTTTCTTCCTCGAACTTTCGCGACAACGACAACCGACGACCTCGTAAGCCGACAAGGTACGCTCTCCTGATTTTCTCTTCAAACACAATCGATTCCTCTCGCCAGTGCATTCCTCTAACCTACAACCGTCCAGATGGGTGCCCTCAAGTACGTGGAAGAAATCCAAAAGAAGAAGCAGTCCGATGTGATTCGCTTCCTGCTGCGCGTCCGATGCTGGGAGGTGAGATAAACCCCTTCGCCCCTCGAATGCCTAACATCTCCGCCGAGCACATCGTGTGCGTTGCCTTAGGATATGCCGTTTTTGTGGTATTGCTAGGTGGCTCGACCAAAAGTCATTCGGCGGAAATGATTGTGGCACGCAAGAAAACCTTTTTGGGATTCATGTGTCTTGCTATACACTCGTTGAACTTTGCTGAGAGTGCATAATATAGCTCCGCCAGCTCAACGCCATCCACCGTGCCTCGCGCCCTTCGCGCCCCGACAAGGCCCGTCGTCTCGGTTACAAGGCCAAGCAGGGTTACGTTATCTACCGTGCCCGTGTCCGCCGCGGTGGCCGCAAGCGCCCTGTTTCCAAGGGTGCCACCTACGGTACGAATTTTTCTCGTCTCGAGCAGAAACCGTCGAAGTCTGCAATTTTGAAGATTTTTTTTGGCTAATGTGCGATTGCGTGAACAGGCAAGCCCACCAACCACGGTGTTAACCAGCTCAAGTACCAGCGTGCTCTTAAGTCCACTGCTGAGGAGCGTGTCGGCCGCCGCGCCGCTAACTTGCGCGTCCTGAACTCCTACTGGATCAACCAGGACTCCACCTACAAGTACTTCGAGGTCATCCTCGTCGACCCCCAGCACAAGGCCATCCGCCGTGATGCCCGCATCAACTGGATCTGTAACTCCGTCCACAAGGTGAGACTTTCTAAAATTACGCTCATTTGTACGTCAAGAACTTTTACTGATACGACTTTGCTTATAGCACCGCGAGTCTCGTGGTCTCACCGCCACTGGCAAGAAGTCCCGTGGTATGAACAAGGGTCACCGTTACAACAACACCAAGGCCGGTCGCCGCCACACCTGGAAGCGCCAGAACACCCAGAGCTACTGGCGCTACCGTTAAGTGCGATATTGCACTTTTCAAGCGGTTTGGGTTGGAAAATGTTGGCTTCGGCATGTGGTCTTTTATTCAAACACTTCTCTCCCAGACAGTGTATTCCACGCTGGGCTCAACTTTAATGCAGACCTGCCGGTTCTGTTGTTAGCCAAAAAGCCATTTTGTTCTATCATTCGATTCCCCATTAACGAAGTATGACTGGTTCAGCTCGATGCCGTTTGTATTGTAGAATGTGTACGTAGTATGCCAGTAAAAGACATGAAAAAACTAGTTAAGTATTGCGATTTTGGTCGATCCTATCTAGTACTATCTCCCTCAAGGAGAGAGAGAGACTTACACGCCCTTGTTCAAAGCAGTGTATTTCTCACGCCAATTATTTATCGTACATCGTACTTCAACATACTTGAAGACGGCCTCGAATTGCACAGCAGTTGTTGCAAGATGTGATCCAATTTGTGGTCAGATGATAAGATTCGCGCAGCTCAGCCAACGCAGGTGTTCAGCTATGGACAGCTAGGAGATACGATTCAGTTATTACAGGGGAGCAAGATCCGTCACATCTTCTTACGTCCGGGTGATAACATCAATGTTGTGCCTGAGACAGCAGGACCTTCAAAACTGGATTCTCGCGCATGCTACGTGTTCACAGGAGGTCTGGGGCAAATAGGTACTTGGTTGTATTCCTGGTCGTCACGTTTCATCCTTCTCGTGACTCAGATGCTCTCAAGCTTTGCTTAGGCGACTCAGTGAATGGGCAAGTGCTCGGGCTTAAATAATAATCAGGTCGTGCTAATTGAGCGCCTAGGTCACGATCAGTGAGTGGGATCGGGGTGAGCAAATCAGAGTGCTTAGGTCGCTTAGGGAGCGACCTAATCCATCCGGCTTATGTAATGACTATGTGATGCGCAGTGAGCAGGTCTAATGATTATATAATACATAAGGGCGTGCTGGGAATTGCTAAGGGCACAACAGCTTTTTACTACGGACACAACAAATTGCTTACATAACAAGAGATATTATGTAATCTCGCATTTTCCATGAATTACTATAGCAACTGCATACACTCAATTATTATTATTATTATCCGTTATTTCCCACTTAGTTTTGAATATCAAGTTATTGATCAATCAATTCATATATTTGACTATCTACACACTCACTTTACCACTCAATTTCAACCATGGCAACCCCATTTGATCAAGCGTACGATTCCCGCGAGGAAATGCTTACAACTCTTTGCAGCTACGCAGTTTCTCAAGGTTACGCTATCACAACGATTAGTTCGAATATCGGAAGGAATATCACTCTTGGATGCGACCGTGGAGGGCAGTATCACGATCGCATTAATGCACTAGAGGGGGCAAAGCGCAGGAAAACTAGCACGAGGCGAATTGGATGCACCTTTCGTTTATATGGTAAGATCTCTAATGGTAAGTGGCATCTAAAAATCAGTAATCCGCACCATACCCACGAACTTGAAGATAATATGATTGCCCACCCAGCAGCGCGTACGATTAGTCAAGAGCAGCGGAATACTATTTGGAACCTTCTTGAGCAAGGCACCCCTCCACGGCAGATTATCGGATTGATCAAAAATAGCGATCCTAGTGTTTTAATAACACCAAAAGATGTGTATAATCTACATATTCAATTCCGAAGAGAAAAGCTTTAAGATAAATCACCGCTTTAATATCTTTAAGACGAATTGATAACTTATAAGTGGAAATTTAGATTTCAACAGGATAAGGAGGGTCATATAACGTTTTTTATATTTGCCCACCCTGAATCAATTCAATACGCTAATCGATATAATAGGGTATTCGTTTTAGACTGCACATATAAGACGAATCGTTATGGAATGCCCTTACTACATATTATCGGGGTTTCGCCATCAAATACGACGTTTAGTATTGCCTTCTACTTTATGCAAAATGAACAGGAAGAATCATATCAATGGGCACTAAGCACCTTTTTCTCATGGCTTAGATCGCCAATATTCCAATTCCAACCTCCGGTTATCTGTACTGATCGAGATCTTGCTCTATTAGGTGTTCTTCGTGATGATTTTGCAGATTATCCGCACTTACTTTGCCTATGGCATATTAACAAGAATATTGCCGCTAAGTTAAAAGAATACTTTACTACTAATGAAGCATGGGATGAATTTAACAGCTATTGGCAGAGTCTTGTTAATTCACAAACGGAGAATGAATATAAAACAAGGCTTATAGATTTCAGCAAGAAATATCAATCAATCCCGTATGCACTCCGATATATTAAGGAAACTTGGCTAATCTATAAGGAAAAGATTATTCGTTGTTAGACGAATCAATATCTTCACTTAGGCAATTCATCAACCTCACGAGTAGAAGGTTCACATGCATTTTTAAAGAAGTATATTCAAGCTTCAACAGGTGATATTCTAACAGTTTGGGGTCGAATTAGGCATGCGATACGTACGCAACTTGATGCATTAGTATATGAGGTTAAACATGATCAGTTACAAACCTTACTTTTCGCCCAATCTTTTTTATATTCAAATATCAACAAGCGAGCCTCACATCATTCAATAAGACTAATTCAAGATCAAGTTAACATTGCTAAGAGGGCTACACCCCTTGCCCCACTATCAAACTGTGCTAATGGATATACTAGATCGATGGGTCTTCCCTGTGCACATCAAATCGTACGGTTCTTAGAGAAGAAGCAACCAATTCCATTAACTGCTATTCACCCGTTTTGGAAGCAAAATCTGACACCGGAGGATTAATCTGAATATCTACCACTATTGGAACCTCGACTACCTTTACCAAAGGTAAAGAAAGCTGATAAAATAGGTGGAAATATAGGAAATTCAGACGAATTAAGTGGAGAATTGAGTGGGAGTAGGACGCATATTACAGCTACAACTGGGAAGAAAAAAGCACCTTCTAAGTGCTCAAATTGCGGGGAAATTGGGCATACGATCCGTTCATGTAAAGTATAATATATTGAATCATATAATTTGAAGCATCTAAATCATATAAAAATTGATCAGATTAATCAACTCATTTTGATGGGTTGTGTCGGGATTACATAATATCTCTTGTTATGTAAGCAATTTGTTGTGTCCGTAGTAAAAAGCTGTTGTGCCCTTAGCAATTCCCGTGATGCGCAGTGAGCAGGTCTAATGATTATATAATACATAAGGGCGTGCTCAGTTTTACTCATTGAGTAAAAAGCGGCAAGGGGTGAGCACTAAAGCGGAAAGGGAAATGCCATGTCGCGGGGCCCAAAATCCGGTGTATATGTTCGTATGTGTACGTATTGTTCCACGAATGTCTCACTAAAATAGACCCTTTAGCCGTTGTCTCAGGCTCCTGATCCAAAAATAGTGATTTGGACGCCTGAGGCAGGAACTGCCCTTCCCCTCTGGCCGCTTTCCCAATCCGTCCAGGGAGTATAGCTACTGCAACCCATCTTGATTGGACTTTGGGAGGTAAAATTGTCCTTTGTTTAGTGAGACTAGACTTGCCTACTGAATATCTATCCCTGCACCAGACCAGCCTGTCGTTTTCCGAACCAAGAGCTGCACTACTCGATCGCCTAGCGCCAACTACCCGACTCGCATGTGTACAGTACGAGTGACAAGCTCTACGAGCTGGGCGCTATACTGGAGAGGTTGAATCTGGATTCAATATCACCTTCGAACGGATCGATGCGCCTATATGCCGTCTCGATTTGAACGCTACCCGCCTGTCCCTCCGACTTCTGGCACCGCCGCCATTCCCTTACAATCCTCACACATCCCTGGACCGGGAAGTAGCTCAAGCCGCCCAGTCCGGCCTCCCAATGCTCCGAATATGGACCCGGTAAATGGCAGCGCGCCGAAGGACACATATCACCAAGGACACTCTCGTTCGATCAGCAATCCGTTCGCCGGATTTGGTCGAAAGCGGGATAAGACAGCCCCCAAGTATGAGACTTGGGATTCGGATGATGAAGACGATGACGATGTGACCTTCCTCAGGGTGCCCCAGTCGACAAGTCCCCGGAAAGGTGGAAGTCGTGGAGGATCGGCGAATGATCTCACCGAGGGTAAATGCCAAACCTGCGATGCTACAGTCCGGTGGCCCCGGCACTTGAAGGTGTTTAGGTGCACCGATTGCCTGATGATTACAGACCTCGAACCGGAAATTGGTGAATCAAGGGACTTGGGTGGCCACGGCCGGGAGAAACCCGAAGGATCTCAGGGCGAGCCATCCAAGTTAAGAAGCAAAGGTAATCCGCGGCAATCGTAGGTCTTGCCTGATCCCAATTTACAGAAGCTGACTTTCAATTGCAGTACTTCCTTTGTCGGCCAATCAAACTCGCGGCATGATTGACGGATGTCTCAACATGTATTTCGATACCCTCTTGGACAATGGCTCTCGGTCGTGGTTGTCGCAGGACGACAACAAACTGGAGAAACCGCTGCCTGATCTGCCGCCTTTGCAAGGCTTTGACTTTGGCTCAAATCATCTATCAGTCCCACATGCTGGAAATGCTAGAAACCGTAGTTTTTCTCAGTCCAGTGAACAGGAACCTGTTGACGCATCCAAAGAGAATGCGGCTTGTTTGGCAACACAGGCTGTTCAATGGGAGGAAAATGACATGCAAGCCAGAGCTTGCGGCAGTTCAGACATTCAATCACCACTGAAACCAGACCCTCGTCAACAGTGTAGCTCACAAGGTGATAAAGTGGAGCTTCAAAGCCGCGAGACTCGGTCATACATATTCGACCGACTGGAAAATACCATCATCAATGCTTTTAAGGGCTATGATTGCCTTAACCAATCTTTCACTACACATCCGCCCCCTCGATCAGCTCGATCAGCCAGTAGTGGTAACCCGCCGAGAATGAGGATGGAGCCAATTGTGATGCCTGAGCCTGCAACCGATGCACCTGTTTTTGAACCAGACGCTAAAACCTTGCTCCTGGGGGATTTGAGCGAGAACTCGGCTTGGTGGATGAACGAATGGGCCGAGAACGAAGGCCAAAATCCCTCTTATTCTAAAGAAAAAGTCGACTCTCCGAAATCTCGGATGGTATCATCTCGAAGTCCTCGGATCAACTGGGCTGAGGTAGCTCAGTGGTATCATTTTGTTTTGTCTGCAGGATCCTCTTGGTCTGAGCAATGGGCAGCTAAAAAGCCCAACCCAACACGCTCAGAAGCAGATTTAATGCGGGCCAAGAGATGGGCAGCTATTGATCCGTCCTTGATTGGAAGAAAAGTCAACGAGTCTCGCTCACATTTGCAGCGCACACTTTTGAAGGCCACCGAGAACCTTCTTAAACGCCCGCGCCGTGTCTTGAAGCGACCGGAAGATACCAGATTCTTGTTCATCTTGCTGGCGAATCCCATCTTGTCTTCGCCTGCATCTTACCCCCAGTACACAATGGCCTCGACGTCACATCGAGAAGAAAGGCGCCCATCACATCCAAAAGACTACTCGAAGCCGTTAATCAGAGACGGGAAAACATCGCACAAAGAGCCACCTAAGCAATCATCTCGCCAAGAAAATTCCAGTCACCACTATGGTCTTATCAAGCGAATTTTGGGACTCATGTCTAACTTGCCCAATGACTGCCATCACTATTTCGTGTCTTGGGCTTCACGTTTCTCTGTCAAACATTTCGAGCGGCTGGTAGATCTTATCGGTGGGTTCCTTACCTATCGGCTTAGTCGCCAGCATGGACGAAAACGCCCCGAAAAGCCACAGAGCGGAGATGATCTAGTTCCAAGTTTTGCCAGCGCTTCGGGAAACACTCCCGCGGAACTTCATGCTGCTCTCAACCGAAGAGGGCCGAACAAAAAGCCTGCCAAGGAAACTGACACTCCCATCATATACACAGAGGATTGGCAGATTAGAGCGGCAACTAGAGTCATGTCGCTTTTTTTCACAGCGAACATCTCTACGGCAACGAAGAAGTCTGATGGATCTCCCCGCAGCCTTGAAGCGCCCAAGAGCCCAGGGCCCCGGCAAGGCCACATGATTCCTATTAGTACCTTTTATAGCACCTTGTTGGATTATTCGGACCTTGTGGCTGACTTCGAGACCTGGGAGTCCAAAAGCTCGAAATTTTCCTTCTGTCAATATCCATTCCTCCTCAGCATTTGGGCCAAAATCCATATTATGGAACATGACGCACGTCGCCAAATGGAAGCCAAGGCCCGCGATGCTTTCTTCGATAGCGTTCTCGGCCATCGGGCGGTTAGTCAGTACCTGGTGTTGAAGGTACGACGTGAATGTCTGGTCGAAGACAGCCTCAAAGGGGTAAGCGAAGTTGTCGGCACCGGCCAAGAAGAAATCAAGAAGGGTCTTCGCATTGAGTTTTTGGGAGAAGAAGGCATTGATGCAGGTGGTCTGCGCAAGGAGTGGTTCCTTTTGCTTGTCCGAGAGGTTTTTGACCCGCATCACGGTAAGCAATTTCAAATCATGGGATTGGCCAAGTCACTTTCTAACATATAACAGGACTCTTCATCTACGATGATGATTCGCAATATTGCTACTTCAATCCATATTGCTTCGAGTCTTCCGAACAGTTCTTTTTGGTCGGAGTTCTTTTGGGCCTCGCTATCTACAACTCAACTATCCTTGATATTGATCTCCCACCGTTTGCATTCAAGAAGTTGCTGGCCTTGGCACCGCACAGCAGTGGGCCGCAAACTTCTATCTCTTCACGTTCAAGTTTTAAGTGCACACTGGAAGATCTTGCTGAATATCGACCGGCCCTCGCCAAAGGACTCCGGGGTTTATTGGAATTCGAAGGAGATGTAGCTGAAACTTTCTGCTACGACTTTGTCGCCCAAGTTGACCGCTACGGTGAAGTCGTCAATGTCCCACTCTGCGCAAATGGCGAAAACCGACCAGTGACTAACGCCAACCGACGCGCATTTGTGGACTTGTATGTCAGCTATCTGTTAGACACAGCTGTCGCCCGCCAATTTGAACCCTTTAAACGCGGTTTCTTCACCGTCTGCGGTGGCAATGCACTATCGCTTTTCCGGCCAGAGGAGATCGAATTGCTAGTCCGCGGCTCAGACGAGCCGCTTGACGTGAACTCTCTCCGGGCCGTGGCTACCTATGACAACTGGCTACACCCGCGACCAGACTCAGTGCCCGTGGTGCGATGGTTCTGGGAATTCTTCGAGAACTCATTGCCTCAAGCGCAGCGGAAAATTCTATCTTTCATCACAGGCAGTGATCGTATCCCTGCAATGGGGGCTACGAGCCTCGTCATTCGGCTCGCTTGTCTTGGTGATGAGACTAACCGTTACCCGATTGCGCGTACGTGTTTTAACACGCTGGGCCTATATCGGTACCCCTCTCGAGAGAAATTACAGCTGCTGCTCTGGGATGCTGTTGTTAACAGTGAAGGATTTGGCTTGAAGTGATGAGCTTGTCGTATGGAAGGAGGCTAATTTGGTGATCGTGGTGAACATCTTTAGAGACGCTGGACGTTGATTTCCAAGCATTTGATCCATGGAGTCGGATTGCTATTCTTCTTTTTCGGTTTATGGCGCTCCGTGATGATTTTCTCGCTTTGGGATGCACATCAAGGTGTTTTTCTTGTTGATCGAGTCTTGATGACTTTGTTCTGTTCTTTTACATTTTCGTTCTTGGTCGTCTTGATCATTGGAGCTTGGTAATATTCTGACGATCCAATGCCTGTCCACACTCCATTACTTGCATGTAGTTTTCTCATACATGAATAGGTCTTTCTATTAGAAGACTTATACTTGTCTAGAATCGCCCAAAGAGCAATATGACGAGGACTTTCGACTTGATGTTCCATATAATCCATTCTTTGGCTCTACCGCTCCATTCAAATCCTGGATTATGCCTCTTATCACGTTGTTGTATGTTACTATTGCATTGATTAATCCACTAAATCAGTGTTCGGCGTTTCATATCCAAGCTAATTGGTGGGTGCTCGGCAAAAGCTTAGCGTGGACAAGCTTCGGGGCCCCGGCGGACTCCGTGAAAGTTGTTGACATGACGAGTTTTTAGCATTGGATGTTGATAGATGCCAATTAAATTAGTTATCACATGATGCATAAAATCGTCTTTCATGCTGAACCGGGTATTTACCCAGATATTAGGGTTCTGAGGAATTCAGGAACCAGGAACCGCCAATGCTGGCTCTTGGTGCCCTTGGAGCATTAAAAGAAAAAGCTAATCTTTGTGCTATACCGATTTCCCCGATAAAAGAATGCCCTGCTTGAATGTAACCCTTGTATATTGATTTGCCCCTGGAATGCGGAGCTCCGTCGGCTTATCGTGACAAGCTAAACACTATGGTAATCGGGTGGGGATTGAGAACCCATCTGCCGAGCACAGTAGTCACCAATATTAGCTGCATGGTGATTGCATAGGTTCTAGACTATCAACGCCATCGCAAGCACAGATAAATAGGCTTATCCCCGCCTATACGCTTGACTTCGCAAAGTAGCCCCTGAGAACAACTCACGATGCATGTCACCACTTATACAGGGGTACTCTGTACCCTGGCCGCACCAGCAATGGGCATGGTCTGGGAGAGTCTATCTGGAGGAACCCCAAACAGCTGGTCGCTTGCCAGTAAGCCCGCAGCGAACTCAACAATGGCGCTGTCTATTGCTCTGAGTCGTCAGAATCTAGACCAGTTGGAGTCTAAATTGATTAAATTATCTACGCCCGGTCAAGAAGAATACGGCCAATGGCTGGAAAAGGATGAAATCGACTCGCAATTTCCTATTGTCGATGATGCATCTGTCGTGAGCTGGCTACATAAGGCAGGTATCTCAAACATCGCCCGCGACGGTGCCTTGCTCAACTTCACCGGCAGCGTCGACAATATCAACCAGTTGCTCGACGCAAGCTTTGCATACTACCAGAATGGTGAAACTGTGAAGCTGCGCACAACCCAGTATTCTATCCCCGACGAACTGGCTGAGTACATTGACATCATCTCACCTACTGTCTACTTCGGCAAGACCCGTAGCGCTGTTCCAGTGATATCACAGCCACACCAGCTGCAGGCTCGCAAATCTTCCCCCACGGAGGTTGCACCCGCATGCCAGACATCTATCACCCCTTCGTGCTTGAAGGAGATGTACAATGTTGGCGACTACGTCCCGAAGCCAGCGGCGGGTAGTCGCATTGGGTTTGGTAGCTTCTTGAACGAGTCTGCCCAGCAGTCCGACCTGGAGGCTTATCAGACTCTTTTCGATATCCCAACACAGAGATTCACCGTTGAACTTATCAATGGCGGAGTGGACGACCAGAATGCACCTTCGAGTGATATTGGCGAGGCCAACTTGGATGTGCAGTTGATCTCCGCTGTTTCTCACCCTCTGCCCATTCATGAGTTCATCACCGGCGGTGTTGCGTATGCAAATCTTCATGCAACGTTTTTTTTATTGACCTGTACTGATCTTTTGCAGTCCATTCATTCCCGATGCCGATGAGCCCACCCAGGCCGATGATTCTAATGAGCCATACTTGATTTACTACGAATACCTGCTTTCAAAAGCCAATGATGATTTGCCCCAAGTCATCTCTAACTCATATGGCGATGATGAACAGGTAAGAATACACCATAAATCAAATATGATGGCTATTACTAACAGAGTGACAGACTGTCCCAGAGAAATACGCCAAACGAGTCTGCAATCTGATCGGGCTGAACACCCTGCGTGGATTGACTATAATTCACTCTTCTGGCGACGAAGGTAGACATTCCCTACAACATAATGAAAAAAAAAGCACTACATAATCTGACAACCCCAGGTGTCGGCTCCGCTTGTCAAGCCAGTGACGGCGTCACCCCTCAATTCAACCCGATCTTCCCAGCAACTTGCCCCTACGTGACAGCTGTAGGCGGTACCTCCGACGTCACCCCCGAGGTTGCCTGGAACGCATCATCTGGTGGTTTCTCCAACTACTTCCCTCAGGCCTGGTACCAACAGTCAGCTGTGAAGAAATACTTTACTCATGTCACCTCTGAGACCAAGGAGTACTACTCTAATTATGCCAACTTTGAAGGGCGCGGATTCCCAGACGTTTCGGCCCACAGCTTGTATCCCGAGTATGTTCATTATATCTCCCTCTTCCCGGGACTACGTCTAACAAGCTACAGCTACGAAGTAATTGCTCTCGGTAAAAAGACCGCCTCTGGTGGCACATCCGCTGCAGCACCCGCGTTTGCTGGTATCATTGGCTTGCTAAACGATGCCCGTCTGCGTGCTGGTAAGCCGGTCCTGGGCTTCTTGAACCCGTTTTTGTACTCGCAGGGATACAAAGCCCTCAACGATATCACCGGCGGCCACTCCTATGGATGTGGTGGCATTGATCCCCAGAGTAATAGGGCTGTCAATGGTAGTTTGATTATCCCTGGTGCTTATTGGAATGCCACTAAGGGGTGGGATCCGGTGACTGGACTTGGAACACCCAACTTCCAGAAGTTGAAGGATTTGGTATTGGCACTGTAGGCCAATTTACATTATATATACTAACGTGTATCGAAAAGTCATGATAATGTATAGCATTGTTTATTTCAACTATCATATTATTTGCAAATTGGATGATGTGTACCATCACTCTTTCATCTCCCCACCGTCTGGTCAGAATTCTGCTCCTCAGCTGTGTACGCCAAAACGTTGAAATGATAATAGCAAGAAGACGTTTAGCTCACGAATATAAAAGAGATAGGAGAACTTCCATGTCATCCATGGTTGAACAACTGTATACTCCCGGTCGAACTAATCATAGAGATCCCATTGGCTGCCATTTCAGCGCCGTTGGCGCGCTGATTCTGATTGGTTCGGGAGTATAGAACCCGCCTCTCCCACATCAGGCGATTTGAGCTTCCTATTTCGTCTCTTGACTTTCATCTCCTTCTCAATTCCCGCCATTGGCGCCAGATGTGAGTATCAATTGATCTTTTAGTTACACTGGCTCAGGACCTTGGTCAAAAAATCATGTCAGAAGGCCCAAGTGAGTGGCAAATTCCGCGTCGGATTGCTAAGCGAAAAGGAACCACTCGCGAACGGACGGGATGCTTGACATGTCGACAACGGTAAGAGATAGTTTCGCAGAAGAACTGCCTATGGGTATTAGAACTCGCACTTATTAAAGTCTCGTCTAGGAAAAAGCGCTGTGATCTGGGCTACCCAGTATGCACGCAGTGCGTCAGGTTAAACTACAAGTGCAAATGGGAAGAGCCTAGACCTGTGAACCACGGGAACTCACGATCTATAAACAACATCCAGTCGGGCCAATTGGTCAACATTCCTTTTCGGTTATCGAAAGTACCGGATCCGATAGTGTTTTGGGTGGATGATCACTCGGATAATACCTCTCGCTCAAGTCGCCGCCATTTCCTTCGGTATTATGCACAGACCTTTACCCATCTGCTCACGACAAATATTGAAAATAATTCATTCCTTTCAAGTGTGTCATTCATTGTTTCAGTTTCATGTCTTATCACTGATGCTTATAGTCTTTCTTCCAATGGCAATGCATGACTCCGCACTGCTAAATGCTTTAATTGCGTGGTCATCATCCCACCTTTCACTACGAGATAAGGCTTTTCAAAAAGTTGCCATGAAAAACAGACTAGTGGCTCTTCGGGATCTGCGGCTCTCGCTAGAATCTAGCTCGGCCAATGTGGAGATTAATCTTTCAATCACGTTAGTACTTTGCTCGCTGGAGAGTATCATGGCCGACGACCCAACGGCATGGTATCTTCATCTGATGGGTGCTGCGGGGATTATCTCGTCTCGTACATGTGTTGAATCTGGGATCGACGAAATGAGCTCTTTAAAACTTCTTCAGTCTTTTGAAGATGCCCACACAGGGCGCTGGCTTTTGCGTAATTTTGCCTACCATGACATATTGATGGCGATAGCTTTGGACAGGGAGCCGCTGCTTCCTTCACACCACTTTGTTCAGCTCGAAGAAGGTCCGGTAGTTGACTCTTATTTTGGCCTGGCATCCGAAATTATGAGTATTCTTTACCAGATTACTTGTCTGAACCAGCAAGTCAAATCTCTGTATAAAGGTGGTTCGACATTCACTGATAGTGATGCACCACCACCAAATTCATACAGCCAAACTCAAGACCGCGGTGCTGTCTTTCCAATTATGGCCGACATTAAACCCACTTTTGCATCCCTCGAAATTCTATTGAAAACATGGAACTGCCCGCCATCCAATGACGAATCACTGGTTCTCCTCGCAGAATCATACCGCAGTTCAGCTCTCTTATATCTATATCGGGTTGTGCGTCGTGGGCTCCCAAAATTGGAAGAAAGCCTATCGTCCAAGATTGCCAATGAAGTGGCGGCAATGGTGACCAACATTGACAAGATGCCTACACGGAGTTTACCGGAATGTACATTGCTTTTCCCACTCTTTCTTGTGGGTGGCGAGGCTACGAAGGAGACTCATATCAAAAGCATTCGCTACAAAATGCTTGATATGATCGAGTCTCGCGGGTTCCGGAATGTAGAAGTGGCGCTTTCAGTCTTAGAAAAGCTTTGGCGATTGAATCTAGAGAGGAAGACACCACATGGCACAAACATAAAGGTGGATTGGCTGGATATTGTCCAGCAGGATGGAGTATTACTCTCTTTATCATAGAATAAAACCAGAGAGAACGAACGACAACAATAAAACATCGTAACATTTCAAATCTCGAACCTACCGAATAAACTGATCCACAAACCCAGCCCCAAGTCCAACCTCCTCATAATGCTTCCTGGCAGCCTCCAATTTACTAAAAACGTCCTCAATTCCCAGCGCCGTCCCTTCAGGATCAACATAAATATAAGCTCCGGTGACATGAAACAAAGTAACCATTTCCTGCACACCCTCAGGAACCTCAAGTGTATGAATATCACCAGGTGGCTCGAAAGCATATCCGCCCTCCTCAGCCCACCACGGATGCTCAAGGTAGTGCCAGCCACCGCGCAGAACAGTCGCGTGCACAGGACCGGTGTGTCTGTGGCGGGAGAGAATGCCGTTTTTGCGCACGCGCAGGATGTTCACGAAGTAGCCCTGCGAGACGTTGAAGCATAGTGGTCGAAACCAGACGTCTGGTGCTTGCGGAACCCAGAGTCGCTCGTCGCATTGTAGGTTGAGCGCGTCTGTTACTACTATGTCTTCTGAGACGCTGGGGAGTTTGGGGCCCCGGTAGGCTGTGGCCATGTTATCGCCTTTTTCTTTGGGCGTGGTTGGCATCTTTGGGGTGTTAGAGGTTTAAGTTGGTATGGAGGTCTTGCTTGAACAACGTACTTTGGATTGAAGAAGGATAGTATGCTTCGTGGTTTTAGAGGATTTGCAGAGGATTTGCAGAGGTGATAATGTGAGGTTGCGCCTTTAAAGCTGGGTTTGTCTACACTCGAGTCCCGCGGCGTCAATGGCGGGGAACATCGCGGAATTTGAACCGCGCATTAGATGTGCCTATCTCGATAGAAGACGGCAGTGTGTTTAATTGATCCCACATGTTCCACATGGGCCTCTTTGAACCAGAGGATCCGCGTCAACAGCGGCGAACTAAACCCCACTCCATCGGCGTCAACGGCGGGATACTCCGCATTGGGATTTTGAAAAATTCGAGCCAGCAGCCGAATCTTTAAAACCCAAAGGTAAGTCTGACTAGAATTGAATCTGGGCATAGTCACCATCTGCACTTACCGATCAAATAAAAAAACCATCATGACCGACTCTTTCGTCGCCAACTCCCACATTCTACATCGCAACTTCGCGACCCGACCCTCAAAAGTCACAAAGGGAAATGGAATAAGCTTCACCCTAGAAGATGGCACTCAAATAATAGACGCCAGCTGTGGACCGTCCGTCTCCTGTCTAGGCCACAGCCAATCGGAGATCTTTGACGCAATAACCAACCACCTACAAAATGACATCGCATACGTGTATTCAGGAAGTCCCTACACGAACCAAGCAACAGAAGATCTTGCAACGCTCCTTCTATCCTCGAAGCCAGGTGGGCTCTCAAAGGCCATCTTTGTCAACTCCGGCAGCGAAGCTACAGATGCTGCCCTGAAGCTTGCTGTGCAATATTGGCATGAACGGGGCCAGCCGCAGCGGACACATTTCATTGCTCGAAAGCAGAGTTATCACGGGAATACAATTGGTGCGCTTTGTGTTTCTGGGCATGAGTCGCGACGGGCATTTTATAAGGACTTCATGTCGAGGAATGTCTCTTTTGTTGATCCTTGTTATGCGTATCGGATGAAAGTGGATGGTGAGGGTGATGAGGCATTTGTGAAAAGGCTAGCAAGTCAATTTGAAGAGGAGATCTTGAGGGTTGGCCCTGATAATGTTGCTGGGTTTGTGGCGGAGACCGTTTCTGGGACTACGCTTGGCTGTGTGCCTGCTGTTCCGGGATATTGGAAAGCTATTCGGGAGATTTGTGATCGATATGAAATTTTGCTAATTCTGGATGAGGTATGTTTCCTACCTTGTGTGCTGCTGATATCTTTTGGGCTATGATGTTGACTGCGTGTATAGATTATCTGTGGTATGGGTAAGACTGGCACCATGCACGCTTGGGAGCAGGAATGTATCCGGGGCCCTGACATCCAGACCATTGGAAAGGCCCTTGGCGCAGGCTTTGTGCCTTTATCTGGTGTCCTGCTCCACGAAAAGATATTCAAGGCTTTGTCTGCCGGATCTGGTGGACTAGCTCACGGACATACTTTCCAGGTTAGTGATAGATTGAGTCACTAGCCCAAAAGTCTGACTGACCTTGTTAAATAGGCCCACCCTCTTGCCTGCGCTGCGGCTATTGCAGCACAAAATATCATCCAACGTGACAATCTAGTACAGAAAGTTATGGACGGTGGTCAAAAGTTAGAGGCCGCCCTCCGGAGAGAGATTGAACCCCTTCCCATGGTTGGTGATATTCGTGGCCGCGGTCTCTTTTGGGCTGTGGAATTCGTCCTCCACAAAAACACAAAGAAGCCATTCCCTCTCGAAGCAAACTTTTCGAACAAGGTTGTTGCCAGTGCTCTCAGGCGTGGAGTGAATATACTGGGCAACTTAGGTCACACTGGCACATATCAGGTTGATCATGTTCTTGTCTGCCCGCCCTATATAGTGACAGAGGGAGATATCGATCAGATTGTGGCTCTTGTGAAGGATGCTATTGTTGAGATAAGTGAGCCTTTTATTTCGCGATTTTGAGCCTATTGAAAAGCATGATAAGCCTGTATCTCGCAAATTTGGTCGCGCGCTATCGTGGTTAGGATATCTTCGAAAAGATAATTGAAAAAAAAGCAAACATGCATACCACACCGGCCAGCATAATGGGATAAGCTCTTCCCACACTTTGTCTCAGGCGTGGAAAGCCCATGTAGTGATAGCACGATCTCAAAATAGACGATGCAGTGCGCTAACGTCAAAATGAGAGCAGCGGGTGATAATACGGATCTTTACTGCAGCCTGCTTGGAGTTAATGCACCTCGGTCAGTCCATTTTAGAAAGAGCAAAAATAGCAAGATGGGATAGCCAAGACCCCTCAACAGACAGCATATCCCAAGAATTCGTTGAGAATACATATTGCGACCTGCAAAACCATCACACAAACAACATATCGAAGTCCAGATCTCAACCCAACGGATCGGGCAATTTTCCCAAGGGCGCCTTTATCCCAGTCTGGGGTAACATGTAGAAATGCCGTACCACAGAAAAATTCCAACAACGCGGCTGCATATCTGGTGTGACACACATGCATTTCTGTATACCCCTCAAGACACAATAGAAGAGTGATTCGTCAATTGACCGGAATCATACAGCCCGTCTGCAGCGTGAAGTTCAATTGCCCCTCTCAACGGAGCAGCGGTCAAGTGTTATCCAGCAAATGTGTCTGGATGGTTCGATTTGAGCGCCCCATTTCATGGCTCTGACATGCCCCGGGTTCGAAATTAAGCTATCGGCTGTACCCCCTTGTAATCTGTTTATGCTTCTGGTCTGGGGATTGCTTCTTTTAGCTCGGCTGCCGCGGGGAAGGGAGCGGTGAGAGTATTGGGTTGTGAGATTAGGGACTTTTTGCTTCGTTTCACTTTTTCCGAGGGCGAGGTCAGCTGGTAAGCAGGGACTTCCGTCTTTTCAGGGTGTGTATCTGGTGTTTGGGATATTTGACTTGGCAATGGCATTCCGGTGAGCTGACTTCTGGCACCGGCGGATTGGCAGATGAAGCTATTGGTAAAGATAATGAATATCGAAATCCTTGAGGGAATAGCCTGGAAGGAATGGTGCCCAAAAATGAAGTTGAGGTCCAATCCAATCGGAAGTGCATACTAGATCATGGACTCTGAATTGAAGCCCAGAAGCCAGCCCCTGTGTCTGAACCCGTACCCCGCGGGGTTCTCCCGATTCGACTGGCTGCACTTGGCGCAAACGTAAACACAAAAACACAATTTTTTATCTGGAATTGTGTGTTCTGTTGATTGACAACAGTCAATTTGATCAAAACAATAGAGATAAAGATCTAATAGTGGAGTCAGATGCAGAAGAATGACGATCGTGATCCACAATTGAAGAGTGACACCAGAGTTGCATACATTGTTTCAAGGAGAAATCTTTCGAGGCATCGTAGACGCTCTGATAGTTGCCCCTCTTTCTGGAACTATATATATAGCCCCCCTTGCCTTCCCCCTCTTTTCATGCAGATCAAATTTGGTATCTGAGTCTGCCTCTTCTTTTCCAAACATCTTCAACCATGACTATCTCTATCCCCAAGACCATGCGTGCTCTGCAATACTCTGAGCCCAAGAAGCATAAGATTGTCGAGGTCCCTGTGCCTGAGCTTCGTGAGAATGATGTTCTGGTATGAAACTGTCGATCAACTTGCTCCATTTGTGTGGAAGCCAGTCACTGACCGAACTTTCAAATGAACAGATCAAAGTCAAGGCCTGCGGTGTTTGCGGCACTGACCTACACATCCATGAAGGCGAGTTTATTGCGAAGGTATGTCTAAGCTTGTTGGACAAGAGATGCTCATCCAGTAGAACTCGGTAGGCTGACGGGTCTGTAGTTCCCCTTGATCCCCGGCCACGAGACCGTCGGTGTGGTCGCTGCCATTGGTCCCAAAGTCAAAGACTTCGAGATCGGCGAGCGGGTTGTCGCCGACAACTCTGAGCTGTGCGGCACTTGCTTCTACTGTCGCCGTGGAGATGAGCTGTTCTGTGAGCACTTCGAAGCCCACGGCGTGACAATGAATGGCGGTTTTGCCGAATACTGTGCCTACCCCGGTAAGTTGAACCAATAAAAGCCCCTAGCTTCTCAAAGCTGACTTTGGTTTCCCTTTCAGCTGGTAGAGTCTTCAAGATTAAGAACCTGTCCGATGTGGACGCGACTCTCCTCGAGCCTGCCTCTTGTGCCGCCCACGGCTTGGACAAGATTGCTCCCAAGATGGGCTCATCTGTACTTATCTTTGGTGCTGGTCCCACAGGTCTAGTTTTGGCTCAGATGCTCCGTCAGAATGGTGGCTGCAATGTGGTCGTCGTCGCCCCTCAGGGGTTGAAGATGGATCTGGCCCAGAAGCTCGGTGCCGGAGATAAGTACATTGAGTTGTCTCGCGAGGCTCCTCAAGCTCAGTTTGACGCTCTCAAGGCCGAGAACCCGTATGGATTTGACATCGTCGTTGAGGCCACTGGTAGCCAGAAGATCCTCGAGGACTCGATTAACTACGTTCGTCGCGGTGGTAAGCTTGTCGTGTACGGCGTGTACTCGAGTGACATTCGGGTTTCATGGTCGCCGGCCAAGATCTGTAAGTGTTCTTTGTCTCTTGAAGTGATTTTTGCTGATCCCTCCCCCCAGTCGGTGATGAGATCACTATTCTTGGCAGTTTCTCCGAGACCTACAAGTTCCCCGCCGCTGTTGACTACCTCGACTCTGGAAAGGTCAAGGTCGATGGTATCGTAAATAAGGTGTACAAAATCGAGCAGTGGGAGGAGTGCCTTGAGGCAATGCGCAACAAGTCCGCTATCAAGGCTGCCATCGTCTTTGATTAGATGGAAGCCGCAAACTGGTCATGTGAAATGGTAATATTTTCGTACTTTTCCATAGTAGAAAAGATTAATAGAATTGACATATTCTTGGACTCAAGGGACATCCGGCTAGATTTTGTACTCGAAGGTGAGGACCTTGAGATTTGTTGCACTGCGTTGGCCACCAAGGTAGCAAATGATAAGTAGGTGACAAAACGATTCTACCCAAGTTTATATTAGCTGCATAAATTACCTGGTATATCATGAGTAACTGATCTACCTACATCAACCCATTCCGTCCCTTGGCAACTTTACACTGCTCTGCACTGGAATTGTTAAGTGTGAATGGGCATTGCCTCCATTACAGTACTGTAACACGCTAGGATGGGGTCGAATGGCACCTTTCCTATATCTGAGGGTCGTTCGTCTATTTTATCCAATGATATAGCAGCTGAATACTCCTGCACGTCTTGTTTCTGATTGACCTTGGCAAAAAATTGGACTTTATCCTATCCTTTTGCGGTCAGTCTTGCATGAAGTAAACCATAAAGCATTAGATCAGAATTCTAGCTATCAAGATTCTCTAGCAAAGGTTGATGCTTTCTTTTCATTGTGTTGTGTTTTCATATGATAAATAGTGATAAAATCTCTCCATCCAAGGCCTTCCTCTCCCGTTTTCCCATGGCTTTGGATTATTCAATAAGTACTTTGCGGAGTCACATCGAGTCAGGGGTATCAGCCACAAATCCATTTGAGGCAACGTCTGCTGTACCGAATATCCGTTATTTTCACTTAATAGGTCACATCGTGGTATTCCCCACTTGAACAGTCCTGAGCACTTTCGCAACCTTTAATGAGCGTCACTCCAACCATTGTAACCTTGCCGTTTCCTAGGCAGGTCAGTCACAAATATTCGATCCAGGTACACATCTAAAAATAAATTGAATAAGTACATATGAATGTAAATTAAGTGTTTGACCTTTAGTTGTACCTTTAAAGGCAAATTTGACGGTATAGTGTGTAGAATAGGGTTCTTGATCTAGTTATATCTCTGTAACACTCTGTGCATAGAGTACCAACCCGGTTATAGTTATATACCTGGGGGAACTGGCCGGTCTTTATGTAGAGCGATATGTAATTCAGAGTAATGTCTGGCTGATCAGAGAAATGGTTGTAATAATCTTATATTCATCGGAACCTAGGAGTTGATATTGCTTGTATAAATTTGATATTCCCAGGACGACACACTTAGGGCATTTATAATCAACCAAGCCAACAACATGGCTAGCAACATGGCTAGCAAAGGCAGCAATATAAACAGTGGCCGGTAAAAGCAGCTATCAGCATTAGCATTATCAAGTAGCTGTGAGGCTGAGATATAACACGGCTAATGATAGTGGCCGGCAATAGTGGCCATCAACAGTGACTTTAGCAAGAGGCTATCAAGCTTGAGTCAAATATGAGGCGGCCCGTCTGACAATTCTAGCCACTGAAATAAATGAAATAGCAGGGCTCTGGGTGCTTCGTACGTAGGTAGTGATAGGCGGTGATAGGTGGTGATAGAGCTTGTTTTATTGGGGGGCAATCGGCCGAGGAACCGCCAGACCCACCCTCAAACCTCCCTTCAACAACTAACCACAAAAATGGTGAAACCCCTAACATTCAAAGGCGACAAGCCAAAGAAGCGCAAAGTCCGCAGCGCCGACAGTGAAACCCCCTCCAAGACCCGCAAAACCGAACCAGAGGCCGAAACCAACCCAGAAGACCAGAGTTGGGTTTCAGCCGACACAGTAGGCGACATCGCCGGCCCAGTCGTCTTAGTCCTCCCCTCCGACGACCCAACATGTATCGCCAGCGATGCAAACGGCACAGTATTCGCGAGCAAGCTTGAGAATCTCGTCGAGCGAGATCCCGCAACCGCAGAACCGCACGACGTGCGCCAGGTCTGGGTGGCGTCGCGCGTCGCAGGGACAGAGTCTTTTAGCTTCAAAGGACACCATGGGAAGTGAGTGGCTGGCTCGCCTAAAATTGCTTAATTTCTTGCTAATCACCTTGAAACTACAGATACCTCTCTTCCGATACTCACGGCCTCCTCAGCGCCTCCGCTGCAGCGGTCAGCCACTACGAATCCTTCCTTGCCATCCCGTCCGAAGTCTCGGGTACATTCTCGCTGCAAACGCACGGCGGCGATGGAGAGTCTTTCCTCGCCATCAAAGAGAATAGTAAAGCCACTGCTGGGGTGGAGATCCGCGGTGACGCAAACGCGATCTCCTTCGAGACGACTATGCGCGTGCGCATGCAGGCAAGGTTCAAGCCCCGCTTGCGCGCTAGTAAGGAGAGCAAGGCATATGAGAAGATTAGTAAGAAAGAGCTTGAGGGGATTGTTGGGAGGATATTGGATGATGAGGAGGTTAGGAGGTTGAGGAAAGGACGGAAGGAGGGAAATTTCCATGAGATTTTGCTCGATGTCAAGATTAAGGGGAAGCATGATAAGTTTGCTTGAGGTAAGGTGTTTTTTCTTGGGTATGTGGGTCTTTGTTGATTTAGGTAGTGTTCTTGGCTATATCTTTGTCGGATTGGGCTGCTTCAATTCCGGGATATGAAGACCATGGGCTGCTTCCTGGATATGGGCGAGATATATGCAGACGGACACGATCGTGAGCATCTACCGATATTTCTACCCGCGGAGGACCCGGAAGTAGAGCTCGGTCGGGGCGCTGTCGCGCAATCTCGCCTACAAAGAAAGGCTGCTCTCTGAATGCTCTAAAATCAGAGCCGCCTTTCGGCCCGGACTTTCCATGGACTTTTTCAGAGCCACCCGGAGGATTCATTGGAACTGGCTGGCCCTGGCTGGAAACCGACCCCTATGCCGGGCAAGGCTGCCATTGTCTACATCGGCAAGTGAGTGCCAGCATGGTCTGAATCGAGGAACAGGGGAAATATCCTTGATATATCTGTATATTTTGTTCATGTATCAACCTGGCCCATTCCTCCACCGAAAACAGAGGCAGTCTTGTAATGTGAATACTACAAAAAGCAGCAAGCGATGAAAATCGCAACAAGATCCTAGAAAACTCATAATTTCTCATCTGATAGTCTTCAATCCCCGACAATATGTATAACTAATCCCAATTAGTAAGTTAGCTCAAACAAAGCACAAGAGACTAACAACTTGAAAAATTGAATTCAATTGACGGACGGATTGTAGATAGAGATAGTTCTGATTATGGAAGGCATAATTCATCACGCGCAACAAATCGGTTCTATGATAGACGGTAACGACCGGGCGGGGTGTCTAGTAGAACAGCCCTGGGTATGAATTCTAACAACAGTAGTACAGAAAGGGTCTCGTTGAGCGAGGGGACCGGTGTGAAAAAAAAGTAGATAGATAAGGGGGACTTCCTTCGCGTTCAAGTTTCGTCAAGAAACATTCTTTCAAAAACGGAACAGAGATAAAGCACGATATCTGAAAAGAAAATGAGGCTGGGCAAAGTCTAGGTTCATAAGTCTCTTTCACCGCAAATAATTACTGACAAACGGAGACGCAAAGGGTAACGAATTGTACATAGATGGGCGGAAGGGGAGGGGGGTATCATCGTCAGTCGGCGATTACCGGCGATTACCAGTCGGTAGGGAGAGAAAAGGATGTTTAGGAATTGAGCGACAAACCCGGGAACCGGGTGAGCCATTCGCTCTGCGCTTGATGCATGCGAGAAGCACCGTTGGATCCAATGCTGCCGGGGTAATCGAAGGTATCTGCGCTGCCAAAGCTAGACGCGGCTTGTGCGCCAAAGATGTCAGGGTGGGATCCTTCTGGTTGACGGGGTGGCTGGGCGAAGGCTTGATAGGTGTCACCGTAGACTGTGCGGTGCATGCCCACGGGGTTCGACATATCGCGGCCGCCATCGACAGCATCACGGGGCCCACCATAGGGTCTGGTATCATGTTGTTGACGGCGGTCCGTATCCTGGCCATAGAGAGGGTTGGGGATTGCGCCAGAACCAGGCAGGCCGGGGGTCGGGGGTGTGACGAATGAGGCCGGGTTGATAGCAGACATCCAGATGCGAGTCTTGTAGATCTTGAACAAGTCGGTCACCAGCGAATTGAAGTTGATGTACGAATCCGCAAAATAATAGAACGTGAGCTTCTTCCAGTCCACTTGAAACTCAGCATCAAGGATCTCCATATTAAGTCGGTGTTCAACCACCTTCTGCTGGCAGACGCGCTTTGCTTTCGCTTCGTTTCCTTCTTTGTCGTGCAATGCCATGATCTCATGCGGCTGTGCCAGGCGCTTAATGAGCTTGGGTTTGATCTCACTGGTGGGTTCCTGCACACCGTGCGGGCCGTGAGGACCCATGCCACCCGTGGCGCTTCTATTGTTCAAGCCCGCGTTGGGGTTAGTGATGCCGGACCCTTCAAGTTGGCCATGTCGCGAGTACATCATAAGCGTCTTGTAATGATCTTCAGCATAGTGCTGCTTCAGTTCACGCGCCTGTTGAAGCGAGATGTTGGAATGAATGACAGTGCCCAGATCAGTGCCACGATCAGCTTCCACGATAACCATTTCACCCTCCTTCGCTTGAAGGCCGGTATCCTCTTGGACGTAAAATACGTCTACGCGGCTGCATTTGAAGGCGACAATGTGCAAAAGCTGGGTTTGATGGGCATGTGACAGGGTGGATGGCGGACGGCCATAGCCTCCTGACATAGCATACTGGCTGAGGGAAGATGGAATGCCCGAGGAGCCATCTCCACGCAAGGTCTGTTCACGAGAGTAGTAAGACTCTAAGGAAGAGGTTAGCAATGGGTTTAAAGGTATATTCACCAACGGATCTACTCACGGTTGGAGTAATCATTGAGGTTGCCATAACCGTCATCACGGTCTCCCATACCAGCGCGTGGGGTAGCAGTTGTGTGGGAGTCCACTGAGCCAATCGACCCATGTCGCATGGGAATATCGGCAAAAGAATGGCGGCGGCTTTGGGGAATGTCAGGCATGCCCCCAAAACCGAGAGAAGTCTGCCAATGAGCCTTGCGCACATTCTCCAGCGCACGATTCTCGAGTGGGGTAGCGAATGACGAGAATGGCTCTGGGTTCGCTGAATGCTCCGAGAAGCGGCGTCGCGAACTTCCGCGCATATTGCTGTATCCAGAAATACCACGTAGCTCCCCCAAATCTTCAACAGGCAAGTCTTCCTCCGGAACACCGCCTCGAATACGATGCAGTGGGTGGACACCTCCGCCGATCGAGGCAGCCGACCCAGCTCGCTCACGGTATCTGGTATCCATCTGGCCTGCTGCGGCGGCTTGTCGTAGGAGTGCATTCTCACGTGCCAATTGCTCAATCTGGCGTGCTTGACTCGCAGAATAGTTGAGATCACTTTCGGAGCTGTTGAGACTGTCGTCGCCGTCATCGTCCTCGCGCACTCGCCCAAGCATGGCGGGATCGTGTCCTAACTCGCCTAGCAAACTAGGACGAGATGCTCGAGGCTGAACTGCGGATATCTGGCCTGGACCGCGGGTGCGACCACCTGGGTATTGGGCGCCGGCGCCCTGAACAGCGCCCTGAACAGCGCCGGAGTTGCTAGCAACAAGGCCAAGGAGTTCGGGATCCATCTGACCCACGGAATATGACTGGGAACGATAGGTTTTGGGAGTTGGATGTAAGGGAATAGAGAATGGGATGGATGATTCACCGGAGACAGTACGGGTGATCGGGCTCAGCATTTCGTCTTGCATGCCACTTGCGGGAGGTGGGTTGGTCATTGTTGGAGAAGGCACTAGTTCTGACAGGCGGGAAGGCGGTTCCTTGCGCGATTCGGTGTTCCAGATACCTGCACCAGTGCCCCAAGGAAATGTGCTGCCTCCTGTTTGGTTCCAATTAAAAGATCCGGTCAGGCCCGGACTTGTGGTTGTTGCCCAAGGTGCCTGATCACTAGATGGACTTGTAGGGTTGGACGGAGCGGATGACAAGTGACCTCCAGGCAGGGAATGTTTGCGCTGGGCTGATAGGGGTACTTCATTCAACCACGAAGTGCGGCGGACTGGTGGTTTGGTAGAGGGTGGAATGATGTTCTGGGCTTGCGCACCGTGGTCTCCATCATCGTCTGAGGAAGCCAACGCTTCTGAGTCGGGAGTAGAGCGGCGCATGCCGGGGTTTGACTTTTCAAGGATGGCAGAAGCCGTACCCGCCGAGGCGGATGGGGTCGGGGACTGTGCCATCGAGGTCGGTTTGGTAGATGGCGAAGCCATACTTTCTTATCGTAGAGGCGCACTGTTACAATGTCAGCTTTAGGCTCTCCATATTACTATGTATGACAAAAGCGGTCATTTTGGTCATTTCTTGTGGACTGTGTCACCACAAGCGCCACTTGACACTCAGTGAAGCAACACAACCCGAGCGGGGTTGTGTGGACGGGGAGTCGCCCTAGGCGAGAAGCAAAGGGGGGCTCACTGACCTGTACTATCTTTGCAAAGCAAATGTGAGGCTGTATTGTATAGATGTCTGTTCTTCGGGAACGAGGGGCATATGCCGCAAAGCTCCTGTTTTTGTTCCACACGCTTGATGAGAATAAAACAGCAGTCTAATCTCAGTCTCTCGAGGGCACGCTGGGCGACTGCGTATATGAGCTATGTTCAAGGATGGCTATAATGTGGTCAGAATCGTCCATATCATTTGCGGAGTCAAGTAGAGAGGGGAAGCGCATGGGTAAAGATATATGAATGTGGGAGCCGCATGAGGGCCAAGTGGGGATGTGAAAATATGCACATTCTTGACCCCTATCACAAGAGGGGTCCCGAAGTGCATATAACATGTATCCGTATCATTCAAGCAACAGATCTGCAGGCAAGTTTGCGCATGCGGCACCATCGATACCGACAAGTACGATGCAAGTGCAAGATAAGTATGGCAAAATGACAGACAGCGCAAAACGCTGTCTCCCAAAGTGCAGCGGAACCGGGAAAAAAACGATAGTAGAGATAAAAGAGGGAAAAAAAGAGGAGTTGCCCAAGATGCAGAGCAGAGCAAAGCGCGCTGAGTCGTGATCATCACGTACCTAAAGTTGCCGTAGGAAAAGGTCTGAACGTCTCGATGTTTGATCTAGACAGTTTCTCGGCTGTAAGCTGGGTGGGAACAGCCTGAAAAAGCGAAATGTATCGATAGAGATAGAAAGAGAAAGAGCCGAAAATCAAAAGCAGTCGCGTGATCGCAATTGTGCCTAGATGTCGATCAGCCCATCAGCCCAGTTGCCCAGTTGTTTTTAAGAGCGGAGAATTGAGCGTAGGATAGGCGACTCACCACTCTAGTTGTTCTTTCTCTTTGAAATTCTATTCAAACAAGATGCGCACGATGATCGTGGGTCTCGTCAAGAGTGCACTGACTTTGCGAGTGCGCGCGGATTTGGAGGATGGTATGTGTGCGGTACGTGGTATGTGGGAGGCGAAAATCGCTGGAGACTACGCTGTCTAGCGGAGTCGCCTTGATCGAAAGGGAAGGGAAGGATAGGGTGGAAATGAGCTCTAATAATCGAATGCGCTCGGAGAGTTTCACGGAGAGTAGCGTGATCAGAGATGACGTTAAGCCGAGGCGATGGGCTGATCCCCTTAAGGATGGCGCATCTTGCGAACAAAAGTGAAAGTGAGAGGGTGTGAAGTGGGAAGAGAAAGAAGAGAGGGGAATTAAGAGGGGGAAACAAGCTGGGGTAACGTTCTCCTACGGATCTGGCAACGTTGCCCCGATGTTCAGGGGGACACGGACCACTGTGGATTTTTTTAGTAAATCATACAATACAACAATTATTGTATTGCAACTTGTGACTGAATGAAATGTAGATTAAAGTATTAAAACACATTGTTATGTTCAAATAGCTTACCATATATAAGCAATCAAAGAATACGAATAGAAATGTCTAGACCTCTAAGGGTAGTCAATGACCTTGGAATACTATTCGAAAAAGCTCTCTACTCCCCAATAAGAATAGCGCCACTGCGGGTCTATGGAGGCGATCATCTGGGGTTCTACGAAATCGAATATCTAACTGCTAATTTCTATTATTTAATATATAGCGCATATATGTTTATATGTGGATATATTATTAGAGTAAAATAGAATAGAATCATAGAATCACTGCAAAAAAAGGAAAGAGAGAAAGAGAAAAGCGCACGGCTCGCTTGCGGGGGACACAGGCCAGACTGTTCTGAACATAAGTTACCCCGGATTGATATGCATCGAGTATCAAATGACCCCTCTTCCCATGGGCCCAATATGTTCCGTGTGGGGGTGAGATTCCAATAGCCATCCTCTAGATTTATTGCTCTTTCATCTTTTTTTTTGCGGGGAGAGCTAATTATCTACTGTATGACTCTAACCGTTCGCTGTCAACCTTGGAACTCTCCACGCGAGTGATTTGATGCATCTGGACCGTTCAACAGGGTGCCACAGAGTTATGTAGTACAGATTTACTCTGCTTTAGTGCATTGGGTGCATTGGAGGAATTGGACATGAGAGGAAGTAAACTAAAAAGACCCTGTAGGGGATGGAGGAATGGCTCTGCAGCATTTATGTGGTCTCGACGAATCACTTAGAACAACCTCCGACCGGGTTCATTCCTTGTTCAACGCGGCACAGATAGTAACCATCTCAAAATGAGAAACTATAGTCCAATGATTTTGTTTCCTTGATATTGACGTCAGAGGTGGCTAACCAGACTAGCTCTCAAGCTTTCCCGAGGTTGACAAAGTTGAAGCTCAACGAACCCCGCCTATCAAATCTGGCCTGAATTTCATGGCACTACATCCCACGTTCCATAACTATGTATGTAACTAACTACATGTACTTACATTACTTGCACCCTATAGAAGGGTCTATAGCACAATTCAAAACAATCCATCTTTGAGAGATTCAATACGATTTCCCTTTTTGAAGCATAGTTAATGTACAAAGTATACGCAGACCCAACCACTTTACCACTTCATGGTGCAGTATCCAAGGGCGCGCTAGCAGTAGCAGCAGCACCCTTCTGCTGGCGCAGCTTCTCCTCGAACTTGGAGAATTCATGCATAGAAATAATCTCCTCCTCATCCATAACCTGCTCAACACCTTGAACCTCCTCAATCTGCAAGAAAATTAGCGGTTGCTTAAACAAGGAAGAGGGAAACACATACATAATGCATCAGCATAGACTCAATACCGTTCTTTAGCGTAACAGTGCTAGAGTCGCAAGTGCGGCAAGCACCACGCAACTTAAGCATAACGATACCATTCTCAAATCCCTTCAACTCGATATCGCCACCATCCTCCTGGATAGCAGGACGGATTCTCGTCTCGAGAAGCTCCTTGATCATACTGACAACCTCATCGTCGTCTTCATTGTAGGAGAGCGAATCCTCGCCGCTCTCCTGGTCGGCCTCGGTGGCGCCCTCAATCGTCGTCACGATCGTCTCGCCGGATGTCACAGCTTGCGTGATAATGCTGAACACCTCCGGCTTGATGTGCGCCCACTGCGCGTCGCTACCTTTCGTCACGGTGATGAAGTCTGTGCCGTAGAATACTGACGTGACACCCTCGACGTCGTGTAGTTTGGCTGCGAGTGGAGATGGGTGTGGCGGGGCGAGAGTTGAGCGCGGAGTGAGGTATTCCAGGAATGTGCTGGGGAAGCCTTCTGGAAGAACGCGGTGGTTGGGAATGAACTTGAGGGCCTGTAGATATCGCATAGTTGGTTAGATTGGTTTTTTTCCTACACAAGGTGAGAGTTGAGCGCTGAAACTTACATCGGGGTTGGGAGTGTTTTCGGTCTGGATGAAGATAGTGCGCTTGCTTGTTGGCGAGAGACCGTTCACACCTCCCTGTGAGGCAGGTTGCTGGAATGGTCGCACTGTTGGCCGGCGACGGGTTTCTGAGGCTGTGAGAGTCGGGAGTCGTGCTGAGCTAGAGACCTGTCGGTAGGATGCGAAGGTCGGTCTGATTGTTCGGGCGGAGCATTCGACTGGAGTAGCCAGGCGGCTGCTTAGCAGAGCGCGACGGAACATTGTTGTGGATGTATTGCTCATGGACATCATGTGAGATGAATGTAATTGCACAACCTGTTGATGCCAGATGAACTGTAGAAAAATGCTCGCATTTCTCCGACTACCGTTGTGACGCAATTTGGGGTGCACGTGATCAAGAACCTTTGGGTAGATGACAAATGGAGAGCTCATTTCGTCCAATCAGAGAAAAGATCTTTGGCCATTACAACTATGAATGTGCCGAAGGTCGGACATTGAGAGACCAGTAGTTTCAAGTCAATTGTCATCATTCAAAACAGTTGAAGGAAATAGCATTGTCGTAGAAGTGAAATCATCATCGTTGTGGGCCCCAAACATAGACCGGATAGACGAAAGGATTGAAGCAAAAATCCGGACGAAAGAAGACATCAGAACTTCTTGGTTTTCTATGCAAACTCCCGTATTGTCGTTCAGGTAGCAATCTTGAGTTCATCGTATATTTTACTGCGTGAGAATGACGGAGGCCCAAATTGTCGGTAAGACTAGCAATGCACTGGCTCTACTTAGTGAGATGTCCGCCATATGTAGAGTAAAAGAGACATCATGTTTAGGAATCAAGTGAGATAGTCAATGCGTGATAGAAGAAGACAAATAGCTCCACTATAATATGTATAGTTTGGCATTGGACAAGTGACGAAGGTCAACGATATCTAGGAGCAGGATTCGCAGGGTAGAGAGAGGTATGGAGGTTTCCCTAAAGAAAGCATTAAACCAAATAGATCAGTGATCATCTCAAGATCATCTCAAAAGGTGTGTAGCAAGTCAGGTCCAGCGTGTCCTCGGCCTTCGAAAATCCACGCGTCAGACACATAGCAATCAGCACAATCTACAACAAACTGCGTTTCCTCGCTGGCACCTACATCAAATCGGGGAATATGAAGGTCCATCCGAAGCGGCTGGGCTATCCCTTGACCGATTCCAATTCTAGTACGGAGTACTCTTGGAGCTGAGCTTCAGGTCGAATTTGACAGCACTATAATAAAAGACATGATCCCTTGCGTATCCCACGCAAACGTGGCCACTCTTGACACATCGCATGCATTTGGATCGTTTCGTCACACTAGACAGGGGTTAGGGTTGGACGGGGAGAAATCGGATCAGGTCACAATCGGGTCGTGAGTTGGGATTTCGATTTGGGCTTGACTTTGTCGCTTTCGGCATGTAATACAGCGTTTCAATATATACACCTAAGTAGGTACAACGTAGTGCTCCGCCCGTTGTGAAAGCCGGATGACAGGTAAGGTCTCTTGCCGCTCCTTCAGACCCGAGGGATGTGGGCTGTCGGTGTGACGAAGTACCAATGTAAGCAAGTGGAATGCTTCGGATTTTATTGGTCACACAATCTATGCAATACCAAAGTAGCAAACAGGATTCTTCATCAGTAACGTTCTGGGGTGATATGAGTATGTAGAAGCGATAGCTGGTTTATCGATAAGGCAGAAACTAATGCCTGAGGCTCCGGGCAAAAAGATAGCGCCCGAGCTTCTTTTGCAAATCGGATCGCTGAAACTTGTCCCTGCATTAGCAGACGCGAGCCAGTCGAAAAATGAGGGACCAAGTCTGATCACTCTGCAGCTCATGGGTGCTTCTGAAAACTGTCACAATGGCTGGTTCTTGTGAGGTTTGCTCTTCAGAGCCCTCAAAATATCGCTGTCCCACATGTCAATTGATGAGGTACGTTATTGTGATTCCATCGCTATACGTGGACCAGTTGCTAAGAGTTGTTCAAACTTAGTTGCTCGCTCGCGTGCACGCAAGCGCATAAAATCTACTGTACTGCGAAACCACCATCGAATGAGAAATCGAGCAACTCGCCCAATGTCAACCCGCCTGATGTCAACCCACCCGATGTCAGCCCACCCGATTTCAACCCACCACAGGACGATGCAAACATTGAAAAGGTCGGACCCGGCTCAAAAGCCCCCACATTCAACTCTGCAGAAGTTGCGACCTCACCGGAGATGAAAGAGCTTCTCGATAGCCACCCGCAACTTCGCAGTCAGCTACAAGAGTTATACCAGTTGACACTGGAAGAAGAATGGGAGGAATCATACACGGCACCAGCACGAGGACGGGGACGTGGTCGTGGCCGAGGTCGGGGCGGCATGAACACTCGCAACCGGGGCCCTTGGAATTCCGAGAAAGGCTTCAATCGAGGCTTGGGCAGACTCCGAAAAATGAGGCAGGATTGTGAGGATGGGAAGGAGACTGGCCAGAATGCTGAGGCTTTCATGCGGTTTATGGCACTTGTCAATCGCGGCCAAGGAGACCAAACAGTCTAACACCCCGGAACTGAGTCATCTGTTCTAGGCAAAAACAACCGCACACGAGACGGACCGTCGGTAAAGACATCCCCCATGCACAAAGTGACAGCACATCCGTGTTAGTGAGACATGCAGATCACAGACACGAGCGTCTCTTATCAACGGTTCCAGTGGAGTGGTTGTCAGCCCATTGACTGTCGAAATTAGGGTGGTAATGTTTAAATTGGTTGTCAGATCTGACGGCCTCAGCCTTGTACACTTCCCGAATATATACCATTATTCTATCCACATATAGGTACATATGTAGTTTTGACACTTTGAATTTATTTTCTCGTAACCGAATTAGGAGAATTATTATCCATAAACATTCCAAATTCTATGAGATTTTTCGAGCATCACAGAGTGCAACAAACATGTGAGCCAAGAAACTGTCATCTTGTCAAAGCCTAGCGGCCTTTTAGCGTATTGTACAAGCCTAAAGCGGAGCCGATGGCCCAGAACACATTTTAGGAGCATATCGGTAGAAAAGTACCAAAAACGGGACGTGTACAGCCTCATATTTCTGACCAGTCACAACACACATTGAGGTTCGAAATTATCGCTTGGGCAGCGAGATTTGGATAGTTTCAAGAAATTTTCGTCTCATATTGCACATCAAGAATATGAGACCGAGTATGATATAAGCGAGACTCCCTAGGTACTCCGTAGTTATTTTTCAGCTGATAAGTACTAGTTATTTAACTAGGTATATGTTAATGGACTAAGAATGGACGAATCAGTGATAGCCAAAGCATTCAGATCTCGGAGGTATTAAGTGGGCTTCCAATGACGAACGACAATTCCAGCTTCCGCCAAAAAAGGATCTCAACCCCATTTATTCCCCAATCTTTGTGATCTGTCTCTTTACAGTCCTTTTATCATTAGTATTATTGTTGGAACCTTTTTCTTATTTTTCTCTTCCTTTTTTTTTTGTTTGGGGCCTCTCGGTCAATTACGGCATCTGGAAATCGCAAACTTACCCTGCATCACTGACGCATACCCGCAAATCACCTGGGCAAGTTTGGCACTGGAGCTCCCCAAGTCACCTTAATCACCCGGATGGCTGCCTCACTCTGCAACCGAATCTGATCTGAAGCAATGATGGTTGCGCTGCCGTGCTTCTTCTCTCAACTTACACAGTAATCGGAGCGCGCTGTCACACGATTGCTCCATTTTAATCCTGTGGCGGCTCCATGGATAACATTTTGATCGCTCAAGCAATGTCCTCCCAACTACCTCGCCGAGAGAGAGCCCACAGCGAGAGAGCCCAAGCAATTCCTACAATACGACCAGCTATGGGAAATCGAACAACCTCCGCCCCGGCTGGAGGCCCACACAAACTCGAGGCTGCGCGGAAGCCAGGACTAGGAACTCAGCCTGAGCACACATTGCTGGAGGAAGACGAGCTATCGCCTAATAGCGAAGTAACGAGGCGCACGCAATCTCGTCCACACGGGGTATGTTCCATTGATGCAGGACAATTCAGCGCAACAACGTACAAATTGAGGCGAGATATGCGGAAATATCAGGATATGCTGCTACGATGAAAAAGAAATGAATTGCTAACGACTCGTTTACTCTGCAGGAATCCTCCAAGACCGGTTTCCCCGAAGTGACTATCGGCGTCGTGGGCGAAGAGAACTCTGGCAAGACCAGCTTTGTCAAATGTGCCTTGGATATGAAGGACCCGCCTTCGTCCATTTGCAGCAGGAAGAAAATGTCCTTGGACGGATCAGTCTACATTGTGCACCTGCTCGAAATTGACTTGACCCAGATCCAGTTCGATGAAAATAAAAAGATCATCTGGCCGAGCACGGAGCACTTTTCATCTGTGCCAGCCATTGACGGAGTCCTGGTTTTGCATGATGCTACCACACCGGACAGGCTTTCGTTCACAACGAATCTCATCGGTAGGTTTGATCTGCTATGGAACGGATGTAGCTGCCAGAACCATGTGTTGTTGCAGTGCTGATGATCTTTTCAACAGACTCCCTGGCTGCTTCGGATCTGCCATTCTTGCAGGTTGCCTGCAAATGCGATGTCAACCCTGAACCTTTGGAAGACAACAAAGTCGATGCGATCCACGACCGATACGAGATCTACCGAACGTCATTTTCTTCACCAAGATCACAGCGGATGTGTATAGCTTTGGTTCTGCGTGCAGTGATTTCCACCCGTGAAGGTGAGTTTTGATGTGTTTGCCTTTTTTTTGGTGTGAGATTTCTCGGACAAAAGCATTGTGGTGAACTTGTGTGCCTTGGCCCCTTGTGAGGGCGGGCCAGGTGGGTCGCGGTAGTAGCGTTCGCTACCTCTTGTCAAGCCCACCGATCGACAGTGCTCCCCAGGGGATAAGAGAAAGGGACTCGACAATCTGGTTTTTCCCTTGAACTAACTCTCTTGGTTCTCTTCCCAGATCTCGCTTTGGAACTGGATTTCGATCCTCCTAACCTCCCTGTCGCCCCACCGAGAACAACCACCAAATCTTTTCAACACCCACCCCACGATTGGCATCATAACCGTGCCAACTCCGAAAACCCCTCAACCGTATTCGCCGGAGCCGCTGGCGGCCCACAAACCACGGTCTCAGATCAATGCCTCGATAAGGACGAGAATCGCCTCTCAGTCGACCATACAAGCCCAAACTTGGCCCAACAGCAAACCTCTAGTTTTCACCGTTATGCTCGAAGTAACTCGCAACCGGTGCGACCGCAAACTCCACCGTCCGGAACTCGTTTAAATACGCGCAGACCGTCAACACAAGAACAATATTCCCCGATCCACGACAACCGCCAACAACGACTACACAGCGCCTGGCGACACAGCGGAGGTTCGGACGCATTCAACAGCTTCCTCAACATGGAGGACGAGGTAGAAGATGGACAAAGCCGGCCGCCCAGCCCTGGCACAGTTCTGCGACCGAAGCCGAGCAGCGAGAGCAATTCGAGTGCAGAGACAGGGTTTTCTTTCGATGAGCTTGTCGACCGCCTAGTTGCCCTGCCGATGTCAAAACAAGATCAAAAATTCGGCTCTATCTTTCTATGCCTATACCGCAAATTCGCCGCCCCCGGAACACTTTTGAATGCCCTGATATCCCGATTTGAGCGGAATGAGACAGGCAATGCCGATCAGCTTGCCCGCATGGCCGACCAGCTACGATTGCTCGATGTCATGGCCCAATGGGCCTCAGAATACCCTGGAGATTTCGCGCATCCTAATCTTCACAAAAGAATCGTTGAATTTGTTGCTACGCTCGAAAAGAGCCACTTCTATATGTTCGCCGCGAAGGAAATCGGGTCCCAGTTGGATTCCAATGCAAAGGACGACGATGTTGGTTGGGCCTATGGTGGAGACAGTGATATGGACGATTCCCAACTCGTTGAGACGTTCTTCGATAATTCGGGTCGGAGCTCTCCAGCACTGGCTTTCACTGGCGCTGGCACCGCACCTACGCACGAGGACGAAGAAGAACAGGACCCGATCTATAGTATGAGTGCACTGGATCTCAGCGATGGGCCACATGATTCGACATCACGACTCTCAGGCACACTTTCTGTTTCTTCTAATGCCGCCGATAAACCTAAAAGCACCACCAACCAATCATTTACATTATTGAGTCTTGGTGCTGCCCAGAAAGAGGCGTTGCGTCTAACATTGACACCCAAGACTTTTATTGGCAAAGTCCAGTGGCGGTTCTTTATGGAGACTCCAGACGAAGAGTTTGCAAGAGAGTTGACGCGGATCGACTGGGTTATGTACAACTCATTCCGGCCACGCGATCTTGTCCGTCATGTCAGTTTGTCGGGCATTGACAAGGATAAGATCAAAAGCTTGACAAACGTCAATCGGATGATCAAGCAGTTCAATCACCTGGCGTTCTTCGTCGCCAGTATGATTCTTTTACGCGATAAACCCAAGCACCGAGCGAAGGCGCTGGAAAAGTTCATGAATATCGCAGCGGTATGCTTACTAGACTTTGGTCAATATGCATAGAATAGCAGCTAACTTAAATCACCAGAAACTCCGCCGTCAAAACAACTATAACTCCCTAGGCGCCGTGATCGCGGCCATCAACGGCACCCCTGTCCACCGCCTGACTCAAACCCGAGAACTGATCCCCATCCCAGTTCAGAAGGAGTTTATGCGTCTGGTAATCCTTATGAGCACGCAACGAAGCCACTTCGCCTACCGTCTTGCCTGGGAAAACTCATTCTCAGAGAGAATCCCATTCCTCCCCCTCCACCGCCGCGACCTCGTCTCTGCTGAAGAAGGCAACAAGACATTTGTCGGTGAAACCAAATCCCGCATCAATTGGAAGAAATTCGAGGTCATGGGTGAGGTGGTCCTTGGCATTCAGCGAAGCCAAAAGAGCCCCCATCCCCAAGCTCAGAAGTTCGACGATATTGAGAGACTGATTCTAGAATCGAAGCTCTCTGGAGACGAAGAGGTGAGATTCTCTAGCTCAGAATAGTGACCTACTTACTGACTTTTCCTAGGACTTGTATGCTCGCAGCTTGCATGTCGAACCGTCCACCGGAGCAGAGGGTCGGAGGAAGTTTGGCTGGTTGCGCTCTTGAGCTAGTCGCTTCTTGGATCAAACTTCGTTCGCCCTGTCCAAAACTTCTCTTAAAAGTGCCAGTCTCAAACATTGAGCTGGGTACACCTCGTCCGCTACCCTACCCTCTCTTCCACACCACCTCCCAGCCCTTTCTCATGCCGCCACGCCCCTATATGATTGATAAATACTGTTGTTATCTCTTGCCTGCTTTTCGTTATGGACTCGGCTCTCCGCGAGTGACCGATATGACGCTTGGAGCGGTGATACGTCTAAAAAATAGCTCCGCTACTACATTTGTACATATGCGTGCTGAGGTGCGGGTTGATGGCCATCGACCATCTTGCAGGTAGCATTAGCTACCGCCGGTATATATTGACAATTCAAATTTGACTCAATACTCCTAATTATAAAAGTAACGTCCATTCAAATTAAAGTAAACAGCGTTCAATAGTTTAGACCAAGCACAGCTGGGCATAAAATATCGGATCACGTGCAGAGATTAACCAACCCCGAGTCCGAGTCTGAAGCCTCAAAAGCACAAGACCACAACCACCCAAGCTTCCAATCCAGTGCAAACAGATAATCCCAATACCCAAAATGTCTACCGCCACCTTCCACGCACGCACAACCTACCGCGCCCTCCTCCGCGAGCTCCCACGCAAACAATTCAAAACCCCCTCCCCACTCCACCAACGCCTCCGCGATGTCTTCCGCTCAACGCCATCCGCCGAGAACGGCGCCCTGCCCTTTTCACACGCTACAACGGCCGAAGAACGCGCCCTCCGCGTCCAAGAAGCAGATCAACTCGCTCAATATGCCCGCGCCCAGCGCGTATACTGTGACTTGCTTGAGCGGTATAACCCCGGCATGAGCATGGACGAGGAAGAGAAGATTAGACTTACCGCCAACCGGGTTGGGTTTGAATTGCCTGAGCTGCATAATCCCGAGAAGAACTAGATGAGAATGATGGACAATAGTATCGCTTTTTGATGCTGTTCGGCTGGGATGGGGCTTCTTGATCCGCTTGGCTTGGCTGGATTAGTTGATACTTGGAGATGGAGTCAAAACCTTTTTGCTCTGATTGTGGTGGTATTGTGTCGGAATCGTCGACTTTTACGGCTATCGTGGCATTGAGGCTTTGCTGATGCATGTATTCCATGGAATGGGCGTTTTTTTATGTTTTGCGTTTGGGATTTGTATACTACGGTCTGGATACATGTATAAAACAGGATAGAAGGCAATGCCGATTAGCATGTACCATCGTTCTTTTTATAATTGCTCTATAGTAGGAATCGGCTATATTGGCTGATTTGTCGGTCGTGTCTTGGGGTACTTCATCAGCGGCATAATGCCTTGGTCGGTGATGACAACCTGATCTGGCTCTGTGTTTTTTGGCATTGAAATATCGGTGTTCTGCCGCACAGTGATGGGTCACCGAGAGTATTGGACACTTATCCCGGTCACGTTGACACTGGGGTTTGTGCGGCGATGACGGCCCGGCGAGAGGGGCATCATGACGATGCCGTAGACTTCTCCAGGCCGCGGCACCAGAGAGTTTGTTTCTGGATAGGCGGGTTTCCTCTCATGATTCTTCAGGTAGCACTGAGATGAGCACGCTCCATCTGGCGCATCAAAGTCGAACTGCCTTCCTCGTCCTCCATTCCGACCTCGATTGAAGTCTTGGGCCTGTTCCGGTTGAGACCATCCAGTAGCAGACATGCCTTGCAGACACGCTGGCTGGAGATGTAGTTACAACGCTCACAGTGTTTGATGGTTTGAGCCTTGATTGGTCTCGAAGCCAGGCCACGAGTTTGGCCTCGGTTTTTGGCTGGTGGAGCAGCCGGAAGCTTGATCTCAGTTTCGTGTGATTCAGCCGCATCGTTGTCCGCAAGCTGCTTTTCCATTGAGGCCATCTCTCCGCCGCTGGTGCGGCCATTTTGGCTACCACAGCCACCGCTCGACTCCTCTTCTGCCGCGCCAGACTGCTTGGATTTGGTGGTACCACGGACCTCCACTGGTACAAGCGCAGCCATATCTTCACCACTCTTGACGATATCGAGAATCGAACTTGGTCGGATCTTCTCAAGATCTTTGATCAGAGTACGAGCGCTGCCACGGAATGCCTCAGGCGAGTAGATACACTCGGTACTGAAGTAATCGAGCTGTCTGTGATGGGCGTAGAGAACAATCTCTTTCTCGTAGGCGTACTTGAGAGGCTTGCTGCGCTTGATATCCGAAGCGCCGGAGTCCGTGACGATACTAGTACCGCGCGACAGACGGGGCAGATCACCGCGAAGCAGGTTCATCATAACTGTCTCCGCAACATCATCTGCGTTGTGGCCCGTCACCACGTGGTTGATTTTCAAGCGGGCGGCGCCTCGGTCGAGAGCCTGCCGCCGGAACACGCCGCAGTATGTGCAGTTTCCCTTCTTGCCAACTTGTTCCACCACCTGATCCATGGTCCAACCGTATAGCTCGCCGTATCCCACGATCTCGAGGGGCATGTCATATTGTACTGCGTTGCGCTTCACAGTCTCTAGACTGTCGTCGCGATAGCCACGGATGCCCTCGTCGATGGACAACAAGCACAGGTCCAATCCATAATCGTATCGTTCATTGAGAGTCTTCAGTACTGCTGCCAGTACTGTACTGTCTTTTCCGCCACTCGCTCCGATAGCGATTCGCTCCCCGCGGAAGAAGAGGTTTGTGCCGATGATAGTCTCGTGGACTTCGGTTTCGAAGATCTGGATGAAGCAGGCACGGCAGAGCTTATGTCTGTTCTTGGGTCGGATGATGACGGCCCGCGCCTCTTTGCAGTTGAAACACAATGTCGGCGCCATGATGAATATAGGAGTTGGTCTTGGTTGAGTGGCGGGCATCAAGAATTTCTTTTCCCCCGCGGTAGATCAGGTGGTCCGTGCGCTCCTAACTATAGAAATGGCCTGGTCTTTTGGCACATCTACCTAGCTACGTACATATGTAGACGAAGTAATTAATTTGCTTGATCATCTATAGCATAATCTTATCGATAAAGATATCTAACAGTTTCTGGGCATTAATTCAGAGTATAAAACTGGTGCAATATATATAAAAGGGCATACAGAGACTGAAGGAGCGATTCAACGCTCAAAGCTTCGAGAATTATAATATATATCTTCAGTATCTATATATACCTCCAACTTCTTTTCTGAAACTTCAATGAAACGTATTCATTCTCCTTTTCGCATAAAAACCGAGGAAATTGTACTCAAACAGAAAAAATATCAAAAAAATAAGATAAAGTTGTCCCCAAAGGACATTGCTCACCATCATTGCTTCATTAAATTCATGAAACTGCCTTCTCATTCAGATGTGCCATAGGTTTGCCCTTGCGACAAAACAACCTAGCAGAACATGCTGGCCAGTTTTTTTTTTTGGCTACTTCAACCGCTTGATGATGAATGTGATGCCGCCTCAAATGCAAGGAGTATGGCTTTGACCGATCAGCAAATAAATGGAGATTCCCCTTCTCCGAAGTCCCTAGCTTCTCCGCCAACTGCACAGTTTTCTGTTCTGAAAAAGCAAACGAAGTACCAATAATCTTAAACTTGCGAGCCATTTGGTGGAGATTAGGAGAATGCCAGTCATCGGAGGTCCAGGTGGGCTTCACATTCCAGGGTAAAAGTCTTTCTTTCTTGAATGCATGCCACCACTCCTCGGTTGTTAACCGACCCTTCTCTCCACTAACTGCATGGACACATCCACTCGTCCCCAGCGCCACATGGACCAGCGTCCGATCAACTACCACATCCACTGGGACCTCGTCGATAGTGGATTCTTGGTCTGGGTTCTGGCAACGAGTCGCTAGAGCAATCTTCCGGCCTGGGTGTAACATATATGCTGCTGCACAGGCCGTTGACGGTGCCCCGTAAGAGGTCGTAAACCCGTGGTATGGAAATTTGTCGGCTGGACCAAGGACCGAGGGTCTGATGATGAGAACTTGGTCTAGCTTGTTGCGCTCAGATGCTTTTTGCAGAACAAGCCTCTCTGCCAGGTGCTTGGCATATGCGTATGGCCAGGGAAAGTCGTGAGCATCATATTCATCGGATGAGCCGGTCTTTGTGACGGCGCTCCATGCGTCGAGGGCACTTTGGTAGTAATCGTCGTTTTCGTTGCCGAGTGGATATACTCTCTCATCCACTTGTACATCTGTTGATTTGTCGGCCTTCCATAAATGAGCGTTGGCGTATGCGGTGGAGAAAAACACAAAGCGCTCGAGGTTGGGGAACTTGAGGGCATAGTTCGTCAAACACAGGGTCGGTGCCATGACACTATATGCAAGTTCACGAAGAGAATTATTCAGCTGGATGGACGAGGCAGCATGGAAGACTATGTGTACTGTTTGCTTAAGCATCTGAAGTGTCTCCTCTGATAAGTTCATTGTCGCAGTATCACCCAATTCGCCATCAAGGATGGTAATCCGCGAGTTTTGTGTGAGTGTTTTTGCAGTCGCCGCTGGAAGCATACCAGTCCATTTTACGTTTGCCTTCCTAGATATTCAGGTCAGAAATCAATAACTGGATAGCAATCATATTGAATTCTTACTCGTGTCCACCTCGACATAGCACATATACTCGTTCTGGTGACGATTGATTCAAAAGTCGCCAAAGGAGAACAGTGCCAATAAATCCTGTCCCTCCTGTGATGAAGACTGTTTTGCCATTATAGTAGTCCCACATCTTGGTGAATAGGTAAAATTTGGAGGATACAGGGAGCTTTGTGAGTTAAAAATCAATCTGCAGGATGAAGTATATTTATTGTGATAACCTGGTAGAACAAAGGGACCTTTGGTGGGTCCTTCGACATGCTATATACGCCGTAGCATGATAGGATATCTGCCATAGAAAGTTCTCTCGAAAAAATCGAACGTGGAAGTGCATTCCAAATCTGGACGCATGCAGATCTGCAGCTAGGAAGAGGGGGATGCAGTTTGTGCAACCATCACACTGTGAGAGAAGCCAGAGAGCTGGCCAATCTAAACAGTTGGACATGGTATATGTAAAGGTTTGAGAAGAAATAAATGTCCGTGGTGTAGCTTCAAACTTCAATAGGTCGGAACCTTGGAATATCACCCCCGATCAGTGCATGAGTTGCACAGAGCTGCTAACACGTATTGCGAAACCCTAAACCCCCATTCTGGGTCTACAGTCGACCATCTAGTGCTTCAAGAGATGGCCTGAACCTTGTGATATGAGAAAAGAAAAACGACTTGATAAATGAAGACAATAAGAAGAAAGTGTTGGAATGTTTGACAATAGATGCACACCGCTTCATGCAGCTTCTAGCCAGCCCACACATCTTGACGGAAGTCACCTCGAATTGCTCCGTACATCCATTCATATTTCCAGCGTGCATTCAATAGAGACGAGCCTTGATTCCTATTTGTTACGTTCTCTAGCGTCCAATTCATCCCGAACGGATCGCGATCACCATCTTTGGTTCCCAGATACAATTATTGCAAGGGCCGAGTCCCAGTTGATCCTTTACTATTGCTGCAGAAGTGCTGATCGGGGCGCACAAGTTGACAAGTACGACCGAAACATACGGAGATCAACCACGAGATCTTGTTTCTTACTTGAACAAAGGAAGTGATCGGCCCAGCGATACGACTCTAGCATAGAACACCAAGGAAGTTCAAGCTTTTCATTATCTCAACACTGGTAAGAATCTAGCACTGACTATTTCTGGCCAATTATTATACAGAGTCACAATGCGATAAGGTGATGAATTGAACATGTTTCTCCACAGGTCTTGCAGCGGCCCCTCCCGGTCCCCTTCAATTCGCTTTGGCCGTGCGTCTCATCCCTGCGTCGCGATACGGATGTAGGCCGAGCATCCAATCATTTTGGTGTATACAGTGTAGGGAGAAAATAACTGAAGTGTAGAGGGTCTGGTCCTTGTCTTTATTCTGGGCCATTCCCTCTACCCAGATCCCAGCCAATAATTACCTAACGTCCAATGCTTGTGGAAACAATCGATTAAGTATTACCATTCTCTACATTTCTACTAAAGCACCTGATGTTGGAGTCATTTTACGCAGAGTATTGGAGATAGCGAAACTGTTAGTAAAATCACACATGCAGCACTTATTCCATTCGACAAGGGCTTGGCTAACATTTGCTAGTAACATCCTATTTTGTTTGGATTGTTGCTACACGCCACTAATTTTTTGGCCACAGTCTCAGATTCATTCAATTGTTACAGGGCATAGAAGCCGACCAAGATCATATTTAACTACGAAACAGACTGGAATTCGAGCCTTGCAGATTGTGTCAATTTGTCAATTAGGGAATGACAGGGGCTATCATTGCCGCGTGCCATCCATACCATTGGCCTCGAGTCCCCGCATATAATTTCCCCAATTTTTTTCAAAAGTGAGACTACCTCCAGGCCTGGAGCTAAAGGGGAATTGGGAGCGACAGAGACGTCCGTGCAGGGACAAGGTAGTTGTTACGCATTCCAGAGGAGGTCTCTGCCATGGCATAGGATTCCGACGTATGTATGCCAAGCTGTTAATGGGAACAGAAGGATGATCACAAGTCGCGCATTCCAGAGCGCAATTATGTGGGGATTTTAGTCCGAGTTGTCATAAACATACAGACATAAACCTTATTATCTATGCCATCTTACTGCTGTTTTGCAATTGGAAACATGAACCTTTATGTTGATCGCATGCAAAGAAAACTTCTTGAATTTGTTCCATTCTTCCATATATTCCGTCATACTCGCCCGTTCTTTTATACCCTGTTCTATCATCGACATGAAACCTGGTCCCCTTGACATGGGCTATGCCCGACCCCTGGAGTTTACTCTATCAGTGGTTGTGAGGACCAGTCCTAGTTCTCTTGACTTCCAGTTTGCTGCTGATACCCTGGTTTCGCAATGGCCCGTACTAAATTTACGGATGAACCCATTGGTGAGAACCACTGCCTCGAAGGGAAGAGGAACAATATATAGACTAACAGACAATAGAAAACCAAATTCATAGACCCGAAAGACCCAGGAGATTTAACAGATGTCTGGGAAGGAAGGGAACTTCCACAAGACCTCAACGAAATACTCCGCATTTCTCCCAAAGCGGATTTCGCTCAATTGATTGACTCTGAGGCACTTGATAATGCATTGGATTTCGGTTACGGGATCCTGCACGCATGGAATCAACGAGTTTTCTCTATTCGAACCGTATTCTTGAACGACGCCTGTTTAATCGGGTTCAAATTTCTGCAGCCACTTTGCGATGCAAATGGTAATCCACAGCCCGACCAACATTTGAACCAGCAGATCTGACGAGGTCATTCCAGGCGCCCATCAAATAATCCAGGCTTATTGCACTATTCTCAGGGGAGAAAGGATTACCCATACGCTCCATGCTCGGCCATCGCTGTCATTAAAATCTGGAGTACTCGAAAAATGTGCGGAAATGATCGAGTCGCACCATATTGCAGACTTGCATCGACACTCCATGCATCGAACCTGGGCATCGGGAATCAGAGCCTTCGGGAAGCAGATTGGGAGAAATATCTGCTATCCCTCTGCTAGGCGGGTTAGCAAGTCTTTGCTGGTGCCCCGAGGACAAGTTTTGAGATGGCTGAAGGAGGCTGAAACCCAGCAGGCCAAAGTAACCGAACACGATCTCTTGGTAGCGTTTATCTACAAGGTTAGTGCATCGACTTCGATTTTTTTATATTGTGCATCAAACTAATTCAAATTTTACCTTTATACAGGCTTCTTTGCACCCGCCTACCAAACACAGGTTCGGATTGGCGATTGATATCTCACAGCAGCTTCAATCTGAGGCGAACCTCTATAATCCTTGGTATATGATGCCCCTTCCTGATCCGATGCCTTCCAGCGAATATAGCTCTCCCTCTTTGATCCGAATGGCAGTGCATATCAGACACACAATTCACGAAGCCCAGCAACCTGAATGTATCGGCGAGGTTGTTGAACAACACAGGAACACTAGGAAGAGCCCTATGATTCCGAAGACATATGGCAGCCGAGCTGCTCAACCGCGGATCGCAACCTGGAAAAACTTGCCTCTTTTTGATATCAATATTCAAGGACAGAATCCTCTCTTTGTTCAAGGTAGTGTTGATTACTGCGGAATTTTGCGCGAAGCCAAGACACACCTCGATGACTTGCTGGTGACTTGGAAAGCACAGGACCAAGAAGGAGATGACGGCGGTTATTGGATCCACGGTCGATTACCGGAAGCTGTGTGGAGGCGCATGGCTGATACTTTGAATTGCTGAATTGATTTTCTTCTGCACGCCTGGAGCGTGTGTTCATATTTGATAAAGTGGTATAATTTGGCCATTTTATGATCCAAATTTTAATTATAGTCTCATAATTGGTCAGCATTGAGGCTGGTTGGTCCTTAAAAGAACGTTACTACCTAGTGTTAGTCCAAGCCTAGCATCAGCCCCATCAGCATCTGTGGGCCAAACTATAAAAAGACGACAGGGATCTAAAAGAGATCATAACATAGATACTTTTTATCATTGGCGGGATCCACAAAGTAGATCCAGGTTCATTTATAGCCGAGTTTTATTTGGGTACTCCATTGGCCTCAACGTGGAGTTCTAGCGGCTGTCCCCGGCTTACCAAGCTCTCACTGTCCCAGTTTTTGACTCTAGATGCGTTCCGTCTACAGAGTCTGGATCTTTCTTTAAGCGGAGACAGACGAAATTTCTAAGAGTGGGTTTGGCAAGGCGTGAAGTAAAACCAGGGGCTGTGTAGATCAAGCGGGGGCCATCGCATGGGGATTTGAAAGGACTAGAACAGTATTTCACTAGAAAACCGTTAACCTGACATGTGATAAGCTTTGTTTTCCTTATAGAAAGCTAAGAGATGAGAATCTGATTTTCTCGTTTGAGGGCTGTGTCCGCACTTTGACATTCTCACTGGGTTTGAAATAATGAACTGTCTCAGGAATAGCTCAGAGTTTCAATTGGTTTAATCTATATTGTATCTGCCTTGATATGTTTGCCAAGACGAGAATCTCAACCGTCGAAAATAAAGTCGAGATTTAAGCTCAAAATAACGAATCCGAGTAAGAACCCGAACCCGAACCGAACCCGACCCAAACCCGACCCACTGAAGCCTTCCTGAGAAATAAGCAATAGATTGTTTCTTAAGTGTTACTAGACTAGAGCTATTAGGCTACCGAAATAGTTTGTGTAGATCAATTTCTTGGTATCTGATCTGCATCCTATTGTTTCTTGGTTGACCACTCTGTTTGGAGACTGTAATTTCACACCCTGAATGATGGTTCGGCTATAAAGTCCTCGGACAATTCGACTTTGGTCCTGGATTTCATTCAAACTCATCATCCACAGTTCTATTCAAACCGATTCCTGGAGATATCTACATCTTGAAAAGATGTCATCAAATTCTTATTATCCTTATACCCCGAGTTTGATCCCTGCGGTGGTTGGAGTTGCTCTATATTTTACGCTGTTTGCTGGTCATGCAGTCCGAATGTGTCGTTCTAAAGCATGGGATGGTATCTATATGGTAACAGGAGCATTGGGTAAGAAATAAGCGGACCTGTTCTAATTGGCTTTATGCAACACTGTGAACTGACAACGATTCGTCGCAATAGTCGAAGCAATGGGCATGGGAGCCCGAATCTACTCCTCAGAAGATGTCGGTAGCTTTGGGGCATATGGTGCTCAAAATGTTTTACTTCTGATTGGACCAACTCTATCCATGTTGACCGTCAATATCACTCAAGTAAAAATGATGCAGTGTTTGAAATCCGAGAACATGGGATTACTCCCAGCTCGTTTTCGACTGCCGACATACCTCACTTTAAACGTTGTTTTGCTTGTCATTCAATTGATCGGAACGGTTATTTACGCAATGACTCAGAATATTGCTCTCGTCGAGTCTGCGTCAAAGCTCCTCACTGCGACCTACGTGTGTCAAATGGTGTTCTGGATATTCACTTTGGTGGAGAATGTTTTCTGGAGTATCCGATTTGGGCGGCATTCTGCCAGTAATCAATCGATGATGCCTCACTGGAAACTCTATAACCAGCTGTTTGGTCTGGCAGTTTCCATCGTTGCCCTCGGCCGAAATTTGGTGCGCTTGACACAACTTGGCATGGGACCTACCGGCTTTTTGTCGGTCAATGAATGGCCTAGCTACGCTTTCGACTTTTATCAATTAGCCGTGATTCTCTTGGGATGGGGTGTATTTTATTTGCCAGGAGTTTGCAAGGAGATTCAGTTCAAACAAGTTCATGAGGAGTCGCAAAGTCATGAATGTTGAAAAGAAGATAGCAATCTGACAAAGAGCTTGGACGTCAAGAGATAGCCTAGAGCTACACATTTCCGGAAAATATAGTTAAGGGGTTCTAGGGTCTTTCAACTTCCCCCGCATAAAGTGGCGCTTAAACATAATAGTCAAGTCCACCCGAGCTTATCGGCTGTGGTTTTCGGATATCTGTCATGGGGTTTCTTTTAACATCGTAGATAAACTCGGAATTCCCTCCAACTTTTTGTCTTTGAAAGAATGTTCTTATTAGTTGAATCTGGTGGGATGGCCTGCTGTTACATTCGACCTAAAAATGCTGATGCCTGGTAATCATTGAACAGCCTGGAGCCTCTGAACTACAAATCATACGAAGTGGACAGATGATATCAAACTATGACCCGAACTCTTTCAAACCGAGCCTGCGATCAATGCCACAATTTGAAAGAAAAATGCCGACGGCCTGATGCAACAACGCCATGTGAGAGATGTGAACGGCTGAATCAGAATTGTCAAACGGCTCGGAATCGCGCAAAAGCCGGCCGAAAACCTCGAGGTTCAAAGAGATTGTCCTACAAACTTCCCACTTCCAGTCTCAGCTCGGATTTCAACAGCCTGGTGACAATTAACACTGCGAGCTCCCCGCACACTCCGTATCCACATTTCTACCGCCCGCTCAACGATGGATTAGGAAGTAACCCGGTACTTTTCCCAGACCTAGATCAATGGGAGAGGCATTTCCTGAATCTCATGAAAGACATTGTTGCGCCATCTCCTCTTGACAAATACCTTATCGGGCCGAGTTTCCACGAGTCGCACCACCGTTCATTCGTGCAGAATATGCTCAGACCAGCTCCCGTACTCAAGAATGCCGCAGTCGCCTGCGCTGCAGTGCTTTTTGGCGATCAGTATGCTCAATATACGAAGACTAGTATTGAAGTCGGCCACCGAAGAGCTGCATTGGCTGTCTCAGAGTTACGATCGTTGAAAATATCCGAAGAACAAGACTTGATTACAGCCTTGGTACTTGGCGTGGCAATGGTCACATTTGCTATGCATGTTGCAGATGGACAGCCCTTTATTATATCACATTACACGCTCGTCCTTGTGAAGCCGGTTTACTCATCTCTCTTGGCTATGGATCCAAGCATAATGGATTTCTTGATGTGCCTTGTCAGCACTGAGACATTCGAATGTCTTCTCAGATCAGAAATACCAACACTTCGGATACACGAACATGATCGTCGAAATGTTGTTGACCGCTACCTTGGACTGACTTCGTCACTTTTCGCCCATTTGTATGATATATGCGAGGTCAGCAATATGCTCCGGGAGACGGGTGGATTAGAGAGCATGAAGATCGATCAACGAGTGAAAGATATCCAAGAATCTTTGAATCAATGGCAACCATCACCGCCACCGGATTTCCTGGAGCGTTTTACCCAGGCTGAAGTTTTTGGAATGCTCGCCCAGGCCAAGGTCCTTCGTCTCGCTGCTTTGCTAATTGTACATCGATTATATCATCCTTTTGGGCAGTGTGACAGAGAGGGACTTATACTCTCTAGAGCCATTACTATGGAATTTGATACAGTGTTTCAATTTGTCGGGCACTCGATGCCATGCACGGCACTCGCTTATTTGGTAGCGTGTTTTGAAATTACCGGAGTGGAAGCGCGAGCGGCGGCTATTGACAAGAGTCAGCATTTTGTGACCTTTTCCAGACAGTCGCAGGTTCGATTTCGGAAGTCCTTACTCTCAGTGTGGAACGCAAAGGATCTCGGAAATCAAATATATTGGTTTGACCTAGGCCATTATATACAAAGGACTAGTTCTGGATCAACACAAGGGTAATCAATGTTCAAGTATAACCAGGCAAGCTGTGTTAGGTATTGTAGCAATGAATTAGAGCCATAATAAGATAGAAAGAAAAAGCAGCCTCGAAACTCTTTTTTTTAACGGGCCATCTCCATGCCCACGCCCTAGGACGCAGCACATATCAATGTAGCAAGAGATAAACCAGCTTTGAGGAAAATCTCCAACACAATATCCTCCACACCCATGCACCATTCTTTCATCAATTCCGAAAACAAGACCCATTTGATAGCTAGTGGAGATTGAAATGTTGGGCAAAATATCCTGTGTAATCTCAAAACCAAGGAAAGTCACCGCAATGCTATCTCCGCTGTAAAGTATATTATGCATACCAGGATCATCAAGTCGGACTGCGACTTATCAAACGGTGTGGAATCCATTGAGAAACTGAGTTTTCACATGTTGGCGCTCGGATTGGGTGAGGGTGTACCATATATCGGAGAGGGATGCTCCTCGATACTCAAAAATAATGGCATATCTGAATGTAAAACTGCTTGGACATATGACTTCGCCCTCAGAAATCCACTTGGAACAGCGAGAAGTTTCGGAAGGTTGTTGTGTTCATATGCGCTCATAGACGGCGGCTTTTCTTGTATATGATAATTGTAGCACATCTCAGTCGATAGAGTCAGAAAGTAGAAAAGATGTGTTGCCCGTCCACTTGACAAATGCCAGATTTGACCAAGCTCCATACCACACGGGATCTAATCGTCGATAGACCTACTCCTATCATCGTATTTGCAAACACGCATATACTTTCTTATGGCAATGATCCCATATACGGGTGTTTTTTCGAGCACAAGTCTTGTGTGTATCAGCTAAGTATCGGTTGACTCGATCGACACCCTCGTCCCAAACAGATTTGCGTGTTTCAAAATCGGCCCTTTGCATTGCACAATTGGGAACATAAATGCCTTGGCCGCATTTCCGTGGTAATGAAATGTGTGTAGGTCGGAAAAGCCCATTTCACCGGACTGCATGGTATGTTCGTTCTGGGGTCTGGTCACGAAGCCCTGAGTGATAGGGAATTGCAAATTCAAGATTGAGTTCCAGACTCCGTAAATAGTTGATTTGGATCGTTTCGTCTGATGCGGCTAATGTCTTGCGAAATAGTATGGTTCGAGAGGGGCCAAATATAGTAAACTCATAAGTGAATGGGAAGCCGTATTGAAGGTAAAATATTCGCATTTGATTCGCGAGTCGGCCTAAATGCTCATCTAGTAAAGAATCAGTTTATCTTCACTATAATAAAAAAGAGATAACTTAGAGGAAGGTGAGATAACTGAGGGGGAAGTGGGAGACAAGTAAGGGTATACTAATTAGAGGTTTGAGATAAAAAAAAGGTGTTGATAAATGCAGTCTTGTATACTTACCCATGAGTTCACGAACCTTGAAGAGTGAAATAAGAGTAGAATGAACGATGGGATTTGGGGTTGTGATGATAAAATTCAACTGGAAGGATGTTCAAGGTGATGCGAATGGAGCGTCAACCTGGGAAGCTACCCTGGTGCTGCCTTAAAAAACATCGTGCCTGCGATCATTCGGTGAGGCCTCAGGCCATACATTTATCCATGCTACGACTACACAAAAGCGATCAATGCTGCACCTACAAACACCTCGCTTTGAGCGAAGAGTACAGTGAGTTTCTTTCCTAGAGCTGACTTGATTTCTCATTGGGTTATTAAATTTCTTCTATGACGATAGTTTTTCTGACCTCTCTACTGATTTAGCGCCATCATCACATTCCAAGTCTTCTGCGTCTCTTCATCGTGGATTTCAGGTTTCTCAATGAAAAAAAAGGTCTTCGCGGAAATCTGGAGCGCCCGGGAGTGCATCTCATCGTTACCCACTCGCATTCCCTTGCCATCCACAATATCAGTTCCAGATAGAAGCTGCGATACAACGCCAGTCACAATACGCATCTTAATATACGTCTCTTTGGGAAATATGGAGATGTAAATCCCGCTTGTAGTAAAGAGCGGTGTTTCAACGACGCCAGGACAAATAGCGTTAACACGGATGCCTTCAGCCCAAAGCCGCTTTCCAATAGAGCGAACGTGTCCGATAAGTGCATCTGGAAGTGGTTTAGCCTACCATGAGAGCATGTTTGAAGGATGCTATTTGTTTCACGTACGTTTAGTACTGACATATACCGGAGACAGCTCGCATGGGTAAATACCGCCGATACTTGATGTGAAGATCAAGTTCCTATCACCCTTGCTCGATTCTGGGGACCGACGGAAGTAATGCATTGCCAAATAGCTAGTATAAAGAGCGCCATCTAGATTGACTTCAACAACTCCGAGATCTGGTTTGGGCGGAATCCCAGTATCAGGCTGCGTCGCATAGTAGTCACCAAATTCGGCTATTCCGGCATTTGCGAAGACAAAATCAAGACGCCGATTGCCATTAAAGATCTGGTCGAATGTGGAGGACAATTGCTCGTAGTTGCGCACGTCGACTTGGTAGAATGTGGTGTTGGAGAGTGAAGCCGCTGCTTTTTCGCCTCGTTCTTGATTACTGCCAAGAATATTTACTTCCCAGCTGCCGGTTTTGCTGAGATCTTCGGCGACTGCAAAACCAATGCCACTTGCTGATTAAGATCCCTGTCAGTGGATGGTAGAAAACTTATATTTTTTGGGGACACACACTGCCACCAGTGATCAGGGCCACCTTATTCATTTTGATATATCCTAGAGAGCCCGGGATGTATATGAAAAGACGACCTAATTTTATCGAGGGGAAATTTCCTTGACCGAGGGGCAACTTTCTGGACCGTTTATGTGGTTTGACGCTACTTGTCAAGTGCATGTATCTAAAGCAACAGTTATCTTCATTGGAAGGCTTACATGCGTTTGATTCCATAGAGAGAAGGTCCATGCCCACCCTACTAGCCATGGGATTCAGTAATTGGACCGAAAATTTGCTGAGCACTCCAGCGCAGGCCCACTAGCGGAGCCAAATGGAGCAGGATATCGCCTATCAGCACTCTGCCAAGAGATCAAACGATATTACATGATTCAAGTTTGATTGACAAGTATATTAAAATATAATCTGGTAAACAACTCCCTCGAGTAAGCGTATATTATTGCAACAAAGATGTACAAAGCCATTCGTTCATGACTCACCACAATCAGATACAATAGCGCCATGGCAAATCTGTTATAGAGTCTCAATTTAATAAACGGGCAATGGAAAGGCACCGAGATAATATTCCAAAGTGTAGCTCTTGATCAAAGACACAATGCATGATCTTGCCGTCATTGCTGCCACTCAATATAGTGGAATTTGTTATTGTGGGACCTCCTTGTTTTCAACTCAATCTTTCAGGGAACAGAGACTGGTTTGAAGAATTGGGCATTGGCTGAAGATTGCTGGTGTCATAACGCGAGGCTCTAGGCACAAGGAGCAAACGGTGCCATTCATTGAGGGCATCGGTACTATTTTGAGATGTCACGTTTGAGAACTGTGTGGACCGAACAGATTGATGGAAGGGGACGGAGGATGCAGGAGAAGGGAATGCTGTTGTCAGACTCGCTATGATAGGAAATGATCTTTCAGCCGGCTGCTTCAAAGGGGCTGGGATCGGGACAGGTCATCTACAAGACATCTTCTTAGCCTTGCCAGCCATCAAGCATTGAGACCCGCAAATTGTCGTACGTGACGTTATCCAACGAAGAGAGGTTGTCCAGCCCAAGAAGCTCCAGACCTCGTGTCACTAACTCACACCAAGCTCAAAGATATCGATTTCTAAGTTCCCTGATTTGAAGTCGTATCATAATTCGCCATCTGATATCACTGGTCCAAGTTGATACCAAAAGTATGCACGGCGACTATTGCTGTCGTGAAGGCCATTGTAAATAGTGCTTGCCAAGACAGCACCCTCAGCAGTGACCATCCCATTTTGCGAAGGTGTAGCGGAAGATGGCATCTGCCTTTTCGTTATACTGTTATTAGAGATAGTGGCGCACTCATAGCTCCTTTCGATATTCGAGTTGAAGTTGAAATGAAGCCTATAAAGGTCGGTACAGTTGTCAACACCTTCCTTTTCCACATCTGTGGAAATGGAGAGTAAGAAATTTTAGTTTCAATAGTTGAGGTTGGCTTACCTAGAGAATCGCATGCAGCAATGGTAAGATTGACAATCTTCTCAAGCTCGCAGCAGGACGGAATATATTTCCAAGTCTGTTGGACCACTTGCAGGAACCAGTGCTTGACCTGCTATTGACCGAAGCGAATCGTAGGGGCACTGATAACGGCTCCATCTCACTTGTCGGGAAAGCGTTGGACTTGACTGAAATCTTCCTGGTCACCCTACGAGCAGCCTTGTTATTATGCATACAGGAGTGTCCGATTCCTACGTCGCCCTGGATGCTAGTTTCTACTACTATGATCAAGCTTCCGGTGCCATGGAGCGTCAGAGTATTGAAATGGACGATTCTATCGGTCGTTCTTCATTCCAGAAATGGAGTAACTTTAGCTAACTATCAACTCCACAGATTACAAAAAAGTATGTCTGACTAGTTATTGGGGGAAACAACACACATTGTCTCTCCACACCCGACAACATGGATGTACATTGCCAGGCCCGATCGACCTGCCGCCATAAATACCAGCACTAACAGCACCCCTAGCTACAGGAATGCGCGCCACGACATTGTACTGGCTATGATGGCTTGGGTTGAAATGGCACGGCCCCTAACGATATCACTGCGTCCAAATAGAAGAACGTTAAGATCGCCGTCGAGGCTTTGCTCTAACGTCCTATTTGCCACTATCTATATCAGGCAAAGTATAACGGTAAGGGTGACCAGAACGACGTGGCAAGCTGGAAATGCCAGATGCCCTACTAGGGGCCAGAATCGCAGCTTCCAACGCAGATCGTCCTCTCCCACATGGCTTAGCCAACGAGAAGATCTTTGGTGGGAGATAAAGTTCCAATTGAATGACTGGTGTGGTATGCCAATGGGGGATGCGAAAAGAAAAGTATTTACAATACATTGTGATGCGATGTGCATGCATGAATTTGCTTTAAACTTTGCTCTTGTTAACTATATCGTTTTGGACGATACTAAGTAAGATCGCCTTTCTGCACCATAGATAGGAAAGAGTAAAGAATCGTAGATCACTTATGGAGGTACATGAGATGTGTGTCTTGTTGACAACAAACATTTCGTCAAGCGTGGGAATCTCAAACGTTGCCATCAGATGTGTATCATTTCCAATTGACAGATCAGCTTGAGGAATAAACGGCTATGCCACCCGAGCCCCAATTGAGCTTCTGACGTGCCCGCTTTTAATTCTCGGGGCTTGATATTGACCAATATGACGTTGGTTCAACCCGGGGAGCTCGGGAAAAGGTCAAAGCACCCGCATTGGCCCCAATTATTGGGCGATCATGGCATTTTCGGGCTAGACAGCTGTCATCTCTCGGCAGGCAATTGAGCATATCATCTGTGCGACATATCAAATTTTTTTTGTAGAGCAACTCAGAAAAGCTGCACCCCGCGAGATATTCGCGTGGATTATGTGGTTTATTGAACCCTTGCTTTGAAGGGATGCCTTTTTGAGTTTGACCACCTCAACTTCGTGTTGCAATTTTTCTACTAACAGCCATTTGCCGTTAGATATGCTCCCCATGCTCCCATGTAGACCAGAGCAAATGAAATATAATGTATGCCTTGTTGTCATTTTCAACACATCGAACATTCGATGACCAGGTTTTCGGGAAAAATGCAGTGCAACAAAGTGGATCTCTTCGTGTCGAGAGGAATATGATATATCCTCTTTGCAACATGATATGTCGGAAAAGGGTTCCACCGCATCCACATGATTGGAGAATCATTCTAGACTAAAGCATAGATTGTAGTTAGTTGTTTTATGATCTGGCGGGGCCGTTGATTTGCAAGATATTGCATTTCAAAGGCAAGATAGCTCCTTATACTGTTTCGGCATCTTGGTCCGCGATGAACTCTACTTTGCCTAACATTGATTATCTGCAATTAGGCCGCGCATTGAATGCAATTGATGTGATCGGTACACAGCGCATTTCCTGGTTGCGGGATTTACAGAAATCTTGATGAAATGACATATCATGAGGGGTTCTCCTATTCCACATTCCAGAAGTATAATAGGAATCCCACGCGCAGTCTTACAATGATTCCAAATATTTCAAACCAACTGCCTTCTCTCGTTTAAATTAAATTCAGCCTTGCAGCTGTCTGATCCCCTTGTCCGCCTGTCATGTCTTCCCCACAACAATCTTCCGGCACCACATGGACGCCAGGCGACTTCGAACACCCCAATCCAGCACTGCGTCGGTCTATAACCACCGCGCTATGTTTTGCGTTCATATTGTCTACACTTGCCGTGGTTCTGCGAATCGTGGCAAGGAAGATGACAGGAAACAGACTGTTTTTGGATGATTATCTGATTATGATTGCTCTGTTCTTCAAATATGCGTGCTCGGGTGGAGTGACTGTCCGTGAGTAACTTCCGTATACAGGATCAATTTTACTTTGATGCTGATTACAGATTCAGTTCTTTTCAATGGCTTGGGATCACACATCACAATGATTCCGCCCAAGAACCTTGTTGTTTACTTTCAAGTATGTGACGCCACCCCGTGGACCAAGGATTTGCATTGACTCGAATTAGATCGGATATTCCAACAACTTCGTATACACTGGCTGCGTTGCCTTCATCAAATTCTCGATTCTTGCCCTTTACAAGCGACTGTTCTCCACTCGATACATGAATATTGCAGTGAACGCAATGTTTGGCTTTGTGTCTCTCTGGGTCGTGGGTGTATATGTTGCCGGAGCTCTTATTTGCATCCCTGCAAACAAATTCTGGGACCAATCGGTGGAAGGGGCTTGTCTCGATCCTTACAAATTCGCCTATGGCTTGCAAGTACCAAACATCTTGGGGGACCTCATTATCCTTGTTATGCCTATGCACGTCGTGTGGTCATTGCCAATCTCCAAGTCCCAGAAGGCGCTTCTTTGCGGGGTGTTCCTTATCGGTGGGTTGTATGTGTTATAAGTCTTCCTGCTTTGAGAAGAGCTGTATACTGACTATCATAAATAGAACATTGATTTTCGATATTTTCCGACTCCAGGCCATGATCCGATTGTCTGATCTTGGCCCTGATATCACCTGTGAGTATTTCTCCGCCATGGGAGCCTTATATTGACTTACAATCCTAATAATGTTTTACAGACAATCAAGTTCCTGTCGTCGTGTGGACCTGTATTGAAGCAGCGGTGGGAATTACTGCCGCGTGTCTCCCTAACCTTCGTCCTCTGTTCAAACTGCGACAACGTGGCTTCTGGTCTCAGCTTCGATCTTCCAGCAACCACTCTGGAAAGAATCTCATCAGCTCAAAAACTTCTGGAAGCACTATAACCTCTCAGGAGAAGCCATATGACTCGTCTGTCGCCGGGGAAAGTTTTGAAGTGGCTCGATATAATGAGTACACTAAGTGTGTCAAGGAGTAGATTTCCTGTGCTCTCTTGTATCAGGATAGGGTATTATCAGTGCAAAGTGCACAGGGTAAGGCGGAGGAGTCAGGCGAAACATTTTTATCTTGGCAGTCACTAATTTTTCTTGTATGAGATACCTTCTTTAATATTCTAATATTCCTTCCATTGGTTAAATTGGACCTTACACTGTCAACTACGTAGATTCAAACCAGATATAGACAATATATAGACTCAATGGATTAGGTTTCAAGGAAAGGACTTAAGAATATTACCAACAATATCAAGGCTAATAAAAAAAGGGGCCTGATGGGAAGCAAATGGGCTGTGATACCAAGCCAGTAAGTAGATGAGCTGCATAAGGGGGCCGAAACCTTGGAACCAGTTGCTTCTTTTCCACTGCGCCAACAGAGGCAGGTGATGATATACTGGTACCATGTGATCGTCCACCTCACCGATTATTTCCAAATTAGGAATGTAATTTCTTGACACATCCAGTTCGACCCCTCTCTCGCCCTTTGATCGTACTTTTGTCGGTTTGTGTACGTGATATAATCCAGCAATTTGAATACAGGCATTCCAAGGTTGTTATTGATGTAAATTTAGTCACCCATGAGATTGTAGAGCACAGGTTAGCGGTGATACTCGGGTTTAATTGTTGTCTGTATGCAATATATTTCCCTGGGTAAAAGCCCTCTACATAGGTGTGCAGAACAATGGTATTTCATAGAGGCTATATTCAAAATTCATATCCATAAAACCAGAATCCAGAAAACGGTTACACATGATCTCTGATGCTCATCAATGTGCTCCAGTTGGTATGAAAACTCCGCCGAGTGTTTTAAGTACCCGTGGAATTAGACAGTCCGGTGACTCAGTTGATTTGCCGCCATTTTTCTATATCTTGGGGCTGTAGCCACCCTGGCCTGCTTGCCCCAGAGAAGCAATGGAATGGGTAGTAACAGAATCGCAAAAGCAAGCACTGCAACCAGTATATGCAGATCTCGCATGCCCATCCCATTTACCCAGGGTGTCAAGACAAAGAGGACTACAAGCGAGAGGATATTTCGCATGAAGATTACTCCAACCAGTGCATCACCAATAATCTGAGTTATATCACATCAGTAAGCGAGCGAAACTCAAATCAGAACAAAGTACTTACATCCTGGTAGCAATCCATGAGATAAGAAAGAGCAATGCCGCTAACCGCGGCGAATGCAAATCCAAATACACCAAATCCAACGGCGAGCAAAGCCCAATGAACGCCCTATATTATTTTAGCAAAGCAAAAAATGCAATCCCAGGAGATTTTTCTTACATAGGCAAACCCTAGGCCAAACATCAGTATGCCAACAGGGGTGATCACGGCAATGGGAAGAGCAAGCCATAGACGCATCTCCGGCTCATAAACACCCCCATTCCGTTTTGATAACCACAGAATCGACTTATCACTCAGGTATCCGCCAAATGGGAACCCAAGAACAGCACCAACAAATGGAGCAACATTCATCAGGCCGATACCGATTGCGTCAAAGTTATACGGCGGTAATGTCATATAGGAGGCCTGTAGGGAGGTCATGATGGCGAACCAACTCAAAGTAGACCCATATGTAATGGCCGCATATGAAACGGCGGGAAAGGTAAAGAGTGCAATGATGGGCTGATAGAAATGGGGCCAGAGAGTCTCGTCGGTCGGGGTAATCCATGCCATCCGCTCAAAGTATGTCTTCGGCTTGATATTCGGGTTGGTATATACCCTGCTCGCGGACGTCTCACTGACAGTTTTCGTATCCATCAGATGCCCATCCTTAGCAGACTTAGCTGAGGTATCCGGCGATTGTGCTGCGGCCATGGCGTCCCGGCCATTCAGAACGGGAATGTACTTCGATTCCTCGAATAGGAAGATCACACAAATCAGTGTCACCCCGAAGAAGATGACACACCACCACCACATCCATCTCCACCCTTGTGCAACAACGACATATCCCGATGCCACGGGACCGAGAAATGCGCCTGCGGATTGTACAATGACATACCAACCATTCATCGTGGCATGTTGGTGAACGAAGAACATATCCGCAATGGTGATTTGTACAACGATTTCACTGATTGCACCGCCAATACCGGAGATAAGACCGCTGCCGATTAAATCTCCAACGGTATATGTTTTAGCCTGCCAGATGCACGAGGCAAACTGGAGGGCAACGCTAAATATGTAGATCGGGCGCCGACCGTACTTGTGAACGAATGGCATGAAAAAAATGCAGCCTACTGCAAGACCGCCGTAGTTCACGGCTGCTTCTGCATTCATAGTATCCACTGAGAAACCGAGTTCTGTTTGCATAGGGCCCCATGCTGTGAATCCGATGTCTAGTTGGACGAAAGTCCACAAGACGAAGAAGCTGACGAGTGTGAAGTTGAGAGCTTTACGAGCGGTCGACCAATTCAAGGGGTCATTGGGATCGGCTGAAGGCGTGGGAAATAATACCAGTTGGTTTCTAGATTGGTGAACTGACTCAGTTAGCCAAGCAGCTTGTGTTCGGGATAAAGAGAGGTCATAGCGACTTACTATCTTCTAGCGCGACTGTTCCGGGGGCCCAAAAAGCTTCATCTCGATCTTGGTGAGTATCATTCTCCATGGCTAGGGGCTGAAGAGAAAGAATCAATTTGACCAGGCATGATAATACGGATTCTATTTAAGTAAGAACTGCTTTGGATCGAAAATGCTCACCTTATCAAGTGCACATGGCTGCGGGGAAGCAATAATCCCCAACGATAACATTTAGTCCAATCAAAATGAAGTAAACATGCCGGCTTGGCATATTTACCCCAGTGTTGTATCTCCACTTTCTACTTCGTATTCGGAGGATAAGCATATTATTGACGAGAACAAGCTTTGGTTTAAATAGTCTTTGGTTTTCTTCAGAACTTCCAGTTTAAAAACTCAGGCTACGGCGGCTGTTCAATTGCTGAATTGCCTACGAGAATTTGAGTTTGCCCACACCGTGCAAAATGTATGTATGCGCCCCGAATCCCACGTAATGTGAATTGGTTTGCATATTTTAATTCTACTGGAAGCTCTGATAGAGAGAAATTTCTATGTTTACGGTTCTTTCCTAAGTTCAAATTTAAGGACAGCACATTATGGTTCGAACGTGCGAAACAAAAGTTGAAGACTTACCCCTAAATGATTGAGATAAGCAACATCATAGATCAGCAACATATACTCAGCAATAGTCAACTCAACATTCGAGTCCGTCAAATGATTCAAACAAAAATCCAGGCTATACATTAATCGAGCGACCAGACATAGGCGCGGAACATCTGACGACTATATTGACTCCACGGATGAACAGTCAGATTATAGTCTGGCTGCATAAGTCGCTTGCCTCTTTCTGTTGACCTGAAGCCACTCACGCTCTTGCAGCAAGCGCATTCAGCTGTACAATGACCCCATCCCCTTCTTCGGCGAGGATCCGGGGGATTCTCACAGCATCTACTCGAGCGGCCACAGCATCCACCGCGGTCGATACAGTCCTTACGAAGCCAATCGCTCTTTAGATGCCAGGATGGCTGTTTTCGGATCCATAAATAACCACTCTTCATAGGTCCTGCAGGACAGCCAGCCACCAATGTTTCGTATGTCCGCTCAAGGCGTGTGTATTCACGGTCCAAGGATATCAAATCTTCAATCATATCTGGGATTAAAGCTTTGGCCGTTTGGTAGGAGTTTCCATTCACGATTTGGATGCATTCTTTGACAAAATGTTCATGTTGGGTCACCTCGCGTAGAAGGATTTCTGTTTCAATGATGGATTGTGCCCATCTGGATAAAACGGTGGTATCGGTCTCCCACAGAAGACATCTCTTTCCGCGGACAATCTGCCATCGAAACCAGTTTGCTGACATCTTCGCGGCTTCTTGTATAGAGTCTACCATACCATCAACCCGAGCGAGCTTTTTCTGCTCTGTGTGGCTCTTCATATTGAGTTGCCGCTGTGAATAAGGTACATCTTCTAAAACCAGGTATTTTTGAAGAGTCAGTAAGACATTTACATCACTTTTCATCATAGTCTTTGTTTCTGCTTTTCCTTCTGTACATACAGTTTGAGCTTTCCATGGATAGCAAATCTCTCCGCACTTTTTTCTAGTAAAAATAGTTCAAAGAACGTAAAACCTTGGAAAGATAACCTCTACCAAATTGCCAACTGGAAATGTCGTTCTAATGTTTTCTTGGAGGTATTAGTCCACTACGTCTCCAGCAGGGTCCATACTACCAAGAGCACCTCCATTTTTTATCTGGAATATATCTTGCATCAATGTATATTTGTCGCACGCTCTGGTACTTATCAATTATTGCCAAAAAAGAACGGGTTCAATGATCTGAACAATCAATTTGTCTACAAATATTCACGGGGACGAATAGTGGAATAAAGACAACAGAATGCCAATGTCTTTCAAGGCTGACATATCATAAAGCGAACGGGTCAACTCCAAGTACAGCACTAGTCATTAATCGTATCTATGGGGGACCATAGATAAAAGAATGACTGAGGATTCTCAACAGTATACACAAGAACAGTCAGGATATCTGACGAAATATCTTGAAAGCGTTGACAAAAACGTGGAATTATAGGCCCAGTATGATGTCCATAAACAAGATAGAAAGCACTGACTCCTAAATTGGGTGTCAATGTCAACAATGAGGGCATTTTGAATTGACCCTGGGTGCATTGATAATAGTCCTCGGAGCTAGGTTAGAACAAAAGCGAGCTCTCCCAGAAGGTGCGATATTGGCTTTGCAGTGGATCTTCACCTCCCGGAATGGATGGCCGCAAACACTCGAGTAGTTGATGTACCAGCCACAAAAGCATTTGCCAGGGTTCTCACCCTTGTGGGTCAGTCGGCTTTGGACATCGGATTCTATTTCTTCTGGTGGAATATCGGGATTCATTGTAGTGGCATAGGCAATGGTGCGAGTGCTGAGGTAAATAAGGCAGCAGAATGACCGAAAAATTGATCTTGTGTATGTTGATAGTAAAAAGGGTTGAGAAAGGTATGATCAAGCCACAGTGAATGAACAAGAGAGTAACTGGATGTAAGTGTGTAGGAGGGGTATTTACATTTGATCACACATGCATTTCCCACACTTCACAATGAGAGACATTGCTTGACTTGCTTGTGCCTCTCATTTTCTTTTGTGATCAAGCTGGCTTTTCTTGCTTCCGCAGATCTCATCTAATGATGTCAGTTTGCGGGTTTTCTACACATGTGTATAAATCAGGAAGGTTTTTTGGGCTAGTTGCTCATGCTTCATACGTCAGTCGTAATTTTCGTACGTACTAGAGAAGAACTAGTAAAGCATAATTCGTTGCCTTACATCGCCCCGGCGAACTAATCAAAAGCCATTGTTTACTCTTGAAAAGCCGGTGTAGCATAATTGTTAGCACCCACCGCTAGGAATGTAGGTCGCAATGTGGGACTTTTGATCTCAACTAGCGCTGTCATAGGCAATTTGTGCCTTGCTGTATTTGAATATAATCCTTTGACAATATTCAAAATGGAGAGAATCGATATTCACGCCCACTGTGTGCCGCCCTCGTATCGCAAGTATTGTCTGCAGAGTGACTTCGCGGGAAAAGGCCATCCCGATGGAATGCCCGCAATTCCAGTCAGTGTCCCCAGCAAGATATCGACCTCCCAACTGAAGAAGAAAAACAATTTAGGAATGGAGCGCGTCTGCCCATATCAACTTTATGAAGCAGCTCAACATCCAGAAATCGGTGTTAAGCATGTCATCACCAGCAACCCACTTGACACCAGGGAATGATGAAGAAGGTCGATCAGTAACCCGCCGCGCCAACAATGACATGTCTAAAATCTGTGCCGATCACCCTGGCCACTTCCTTTTTTTTGCTTCTCTCCCACTTCCCGACGTTGAAGGCGCCCTCATGGAGATTGACTATGCACTAGACCATCTTGGCGCAGTAGGATTCCAAATCTTGACCAATTCGCATGGTATCTACCCGGGCGATGCGCGTTTCAGTCGCGTTTTTGACAAGCTGAGCGAGCGCAAGACAATTGCCTTCTTCCATCCGACCACATGTCTTGTCCGAACGGACAATGCCTTGAATAAGGTTACCCCTCTCCCTGGCGTCCCTGCTCCCTTGATGGAGTTTATGTTCGATTCGACTCGGTCGCTGATGAGCCTTCTCACCTCCGGGACGGTTGAACGATGTCCTGGGATCACTTTCTTAGCCTGCCATTGTGGTGCGACCTTTCCTCCGATTATGGAAAGGATTGCTGAGTTCTCTCCCATGTTTGGTTGTGGAATCAGCGGGGAGAAAATCAAGCAGCTACTACAATCGCGTTTCTATTTTGATCTTGCGGGCGTGCCCTTTCCGGATCAAATCCACGGCCTTCTTCGGCTAGTTGATTCGACGAGATTGTTGTATGGGAGTGACTATCCGTATACCTCTGCAGCGCTATCCGAGTCGTTGGCCCATAGAGTGGATCATGGGCTAGAGGGTCTTTTTGGATCAGAGGTTGTCCGGCAGATTTTGTTGGAAAATGCTCGAGGCCTTCTTGGACAAACCTATGAGTAAATTAGCCTGAGTTGGCTGAGGGGTTCATAGAAATTCGTGTTACTCAAATCAGTTGAGTGCCTTTGAGATGGAGATAAGCCACTTGGTGGTTGTGTGATTGAAAATACGAGCCTTCTTCAGGTATTATACAAGAACTTGTTCTTTTTTCCTTCTTTCTCTTCTTTATCTTTCTTCTCACGTTGCCTTTGATGTGCGTGGAGTTGAAAGGTCTTCCTAAATAGTAAAGTCACTTGCCCCCGTGGGGTGTAGATAACATCAGCTCTTCCTTCTCTTCCTCTTTTCTTCTTCTTTTCTTATTTTTTTTCTCCTCTTGGTTTTTTCCTCCTACTACACCCAAGTCATACCATCTAGCATTCTTGTAGCCATCATCCTGCTGTTTACGATGGAGTCTCTCAAGATGTGCTAGGGCTTGTTAGCCGGAAAAGTCCTTACCACTTACATTATCTTACCATTGACATCACTGACGCTATTTACTAGGGCCAAGCTCTGAAGCTCAATCGAAATTGAAGCTTTAATGCCCTGGGGCCTCGACGAACGACCGATATTCTACATCTGAGGTTTTGAGCCGAAAAAGTTACTGAGTAGAGGACTGTGAAACTGGCGCTATATCGTGACGTGAATTAAGAACTGGTCTTCGGGATCTTGGTACACATTTTCCGAACCAGCCCTGACGCGACCATAAAAGCTCGATGAGTTTCGATGCCGAGCAAGACTTCGACATCAATAGGGAAAAGCCTATTTGACTTTCCTGTTCCTCCGCAAATTTCTCGTTCGTGATCAAGCTGGCTTTTCATGACACCACGGTTTCTTTGCAATTTTCTCATCGGGGTTATTTTCCCGGTACTACGGATCCTTATCCAGGTGTTCTTTTGCTACGAATGAAACAGTATCGATATCCAACAAATCAGAACCAAAGGGTTGACTCTCAAGATAAGGCGACTTCAAATATTTGCAATTATTCTGTCTCGCCTAAAATTTCCAATTTGACAAGTGTCCCGCATCCGTAAGATCAGTAATTTGTCCCTGGATAGACTCGAGGACCTTGCCTCTGAATTGGAATTCACCACGAGATTTCATAACCACTAGCTTGGCTGCCACCCACTGAGTAGCATTGATGTGAGCAAGCTCCCAAAAACTTCTCGAATATAGCTGTTTCCTTTCCAAGTATCCCATCACCAGCAAGGTAGTGACAACAGTAGCTTCATCGCCACAAGGAAAGTCTTCAGGGACCATTCCATAGGATATCGCGAACAAGTTGGCAACTCTATGGGTGGTTTCCTTCCTATCACACTCCAGCAGCTCGAAGATGCGGTTGGTCATCATCCAGCTGCCCTCATAGGTTTGTAATGCGATAATCTCATGTAAATTCTCTGCCAAATAGGTGCCAACTGTTGTTGCGCCCATAGACGACTGAGATCCGGAGGCTGTCGACGATTGCTGTGATTCAGCGAGTTGTTGATGCGTCTGTATATGCTGTTGTGGGGCGATATTCTGGCCTTCCGTGCTACTGCTTCTCTTGCTGCCATCTCTCATGCTACTACTTCCCCTGTCGCTGCCACGACTGGAAGAAGGGGTATGTAAGAAGGCACCATACGGATCGTTGCTGGTAGAACTCGCATCCAGCAAAAGCTGCGTGAACATCGTGGGATTCTGCGGCTGTGTTTGTCTAAAGCTCAATATCTGCCCGTCACCGGACCCCTCATCTGCTCGTTGCATGGTCAGCGACAAAATTCAGCCACGCTGGGCGCCTGACAGAAAGTCAAGGGGATTTCACCAGGTTTTTAGACAAAGCTGTAGCTTGAAGAATCACGTAGTCACGTAAATGAAACGCCGGCATGAGAAAGCTGGAAAAGTAAGAGAGAGTTGGAAACCTGATGAAAAGTGCCAGCCTAGTATATAGGTATGGTTCACAAGAATTCAAATGCGGCATAGCGGGGAAACTCTAGAACATGGTTTATTTACTACCACAGTTCAGTAAGCTCTGATTTTGACTATCTATTTTCTTTGACAGACATGTTGCTGTTCACATAGCTATCACTAATAACTGGTTTTGTTTAATTCGTGGCACTCCTCATAACGTCTAGGTACCTAGCCAGGGGGATATGAGTTATAATTCAGGCATCGAGTCAAGCAACTTGCATTGGTGTCTGCCTAGTAATACTGATACCAAAAAAGGTGGGATGTATTGACCCGTCGAGAAATGTCAAGTTTTGTTTGCATTGCCCATATCTGTGCTAATAATCGTAAAGAGGAGCTGCATTGGCTATTACCTACGACCGTGTGTGTTCCCGGAAGTGGCCCATTCACCACGCTGACTTTAACGGACAGTTGTTGTGAAGCATCCAGGCGTCCATGGGTGTCAGACATTGACAAGACTATAAAAACCCTCGCATCCAAAGCTGTTTATTCCTCGCACGGCCATTGCGTCCAATCAACTGTCTCAATTACATTTCGCACACCATTGAATGTCTCCAAATCAGCCACCTAGGCTGGTTTCATTATAAAATTTCTATACGGTACTGATTAGACTCATCGACTTTTGACCAACATAGCACCTCACCAGGTGCTCGAAAAGCATATTATACATTCCACATAGACCCCATCAACCCAGAAGTCCCATCTATCAATACCACAAAGCGTACATCAGCTTACAGCTTGAGCTGCAACAAGTTACCGACCATCTCGACAGCAGTGATACGGGTAGTAGCCCACAGGGTGGGGAAGTCCAGAGTGCTGGAGAAGGTATCGGCGTACCCAAAGAAGAGCATGGGAGGAATCCAGCCACGGGCGTACTCAAGCGCAAAGCAAGATTCATCCATCTTGTACTGCTTGACCTCGCCGCGGACGAGGTGGTGAACGCTACCAGCGGGGTAGACCTCCGGCTTGAATTCGCCGGGGACGTAGGCCAGCTGGGTTCCCTGGAGGATGTTGAAGTAGTCGTCTGCGGTGTGGCGACCGGTGTGGCCCTCAGTGCCGATGGCGGTACCTGTGAAAGGTAATATTGTTAGGAGCGACAAGGTGAGGAGAAGATCACGACGAATACTTACCGAAGATGATCAGGTACTCGGTGATACTGGCGTGGATCACGTACATGGCGCCCATGGCACCGCCCGCGTTGTTGAACACCCATTCCTCCTGGGTGCTCAGGTACTTGGGGCCGACCTTCTGCTCCAGCTCGGCAACGATGAAGTTGACGATGGAGCGGGTGTCTTCGCCATGTGCGCTAATGGCACGCTGGGAGAGATCGTGGAGATGGTCCGGGTCGAAGATGTAGAACTGGTCTAGGCGCGCGTCGAGGAATCGGTAGACGGCGGAGAACAGGGCCAGGAAGATTGCCAGGAAGCTCAGGGACTTGAGAGAGAAGCAGCGACAGCCGCAGCCGGAGCTGGAGCTGGATTTGGAGGATTTGGAAGGCATTGTGGTGTGTGGAAGAAGATTGAGGCTTGAGCTTTCATTTAAATTTAATTATTTCGGGCCCCTGGCGAAAACCCCGGAGTTCCACCCTGTGGGGGCATCACAAAGCAAAACATTGAACACCCTCGCGTGGTTGTTGATTCAAATCAATTGGCAATTTATCTCAGATAAATGGATATACGACTTATTCTTTACTTGCCCTAGATGTCTTGGGTTTATTCCAATACATTGATCTTCTATGCATGTCTAATGTTCATCGTCATATCGTCAATTTTCACTGTTTATCCTGTTTGTCTTGTTTGCATAAGCCAAGACATCGCGACAGGCCATGTCGGATCTTCACAATCCGAATCACCCTTTTTACCATTGGTCTATTTGTCTCGTTCCTCTCTTCCAGTATTGTATTGCTTGTGATAATATTAGGAGGTTGCCTTAAAAAAAGAGAGAGAGGGAGTGAGAGATCTCCCACACTATCTACTTATCCACCCTAATCATAACTTGAGAAATCAGGTTTCCCCCACCCTGTTCCATTTTGTACTTTTGTTATTAGACCAATGATTGTTCCAGATTCGAGTTAATCGAGCAATCTGTCACTCATCAGCTACTCCATGCTGTTATGATATCTTGTAACGAATCAGTTGTAGTTCATATATGGGAAACGGAAAGGATCAGACTCTTTACACCTACAGTTTTGACTGGATTCATAATCTTACACACTGCTGATTTGGGCTCGACATGCACCTAGTCCTGGGGGCACCTATTTAAATAGACCTACCCGTGGACCTACTTTGGTATTCTCCCTATATTAGTCATGTAGTCAATACTTGCCTACCGTTGTCTACAAGGTGAGACGTGCGTTTAACAAGCCCAAGTCTGTGCTAAGCTCGAAATAGTCTTCCCGCCGAAATCTCACAGGCATCATCCGAATGAAAACCCCCCATGGATCGCTAACTTGATAGTGCTAGCGCGGTTCTAATCTAGCTTATATAGAGTGTTACTCAACCACCAGTACTTTACGCAAAGGGAACGAATTTGATTTCAGATAATCACGATCAGTAGCATTCAAAATGGCCTTTGGAACTATATACACGTTTCCTGTGAGTAAAATTGCTTACATTCTGCTTCATATTACCCAAAACTAACATGATAATATCGTTATAGGGCGACCAGCCCCGAACGATAGCCATCAAGGCTGTCGCTAAGCATAATGGTCTTGATCTTGACGTTCGCGAGACGCCTCGGACTCCTGAACATTTGAGTATTAGCAAACTCGGCAAGGTGCCTGCCTTTGAAGGTGCAGATGGCTTCAAGCTCTTCGAATGCATGGCGATTGCTCTCTACAGTTAGTTCCAACTGCTCTTGTTGGCGCCACACATAGCTGACACCTCATCAGTCACCTCGCAAAATGAGCAGACAACTCTGCTCGGAAAGAACAAAAAGGAATATGCCGAAATTATCAAGTGGATGTCTTTCTTCAACTCTGAGATAGTCATTCTGATGACTCAAGTGTTACTACCGCAGATTGGCATAATTCCCTACGACAAAGGCCAAGTTGAGTTATTCACCAACATGACCCAAAAGTCCGTTGATGTGGTTGAGGAGTATTTGCAAGACCGTACATTCCTGGTTGGTGAGGGACTATCACTCGCCGATCTGTTTTGTGCTGGAAACATCTCTCTCGGCTTCCAATTTTTCTACGGCAAAGCGTGGAGGGAACAGAACCCGAACGTGTCTCGTTGGTACGAGATGGTTTGCCACCAGCCGATCTATGCGGCTGTCACAGAGAAGTTCCAGCTTCTAGATGAGCCCAAGTTGACCGGGAATGCACCCGAAAAGAAGCCTGACATACCGGAGCCAGCGTCTGTCTAAGAGGCGGCCGAGAATCTTGCTGCTGCGGTGGAATCTATGGACACCTAAGTCCGCTATTAGGTCTTTGCCCAAATCCATCTTCAATATGAAAAGAAATAATGCTTCTCTACAGTAGCAAAGGAGCCATCATTTTTCGCATGACTATATGGAAAAAACGTGCATATTTACCAACTGCCTAATTAGGCATGTGGGCCGAACGGCCATTATCGGAATATCCGATCGTTAGTGAACTCCACGAATCAAGCAAAGCGACGACAAGATTGGCCCAATTTGCGGAATAATATACAGGGCTAGATATGTAACAGGGGTTTCAAATAAACAAATGAGAGGCTAAGCTGTAACGGATGAGACCGAAAGGCTTTGATCTGATGAAGCATAAACCACTTCGGTCTCCATCGGCGGTTGTGGATTCGGGCAATACAATGAAGGGACCCACGGGGTTGGTCAGATACGAGGTAAGATGCATTCACCTTAGCAACTCCGACATTGCGCGAGCATCTCTGATAGTGGACACGGAGAAAGCTTTCCGTTTGGCATCTAGAATTCTGCAAGATCTTACATGAAAATAGATATCGTTGGTCGGTCAGCTTCTGAACCTTGTAAGCATAAGACAGATCGCACTTCGTAAATTGAGACCAGTTGTGTGGACATTTCTCATCATCTTCATCATGGAGTTGGGACTCGCACTAGCCATTGTTGCCATCTCAGCAACAATTTGTGTTACCTTGTACAGACAGGTATGCCTCTCTTTGGAGGATATACAATACTCTCCCGAAGAGCACACCTTTACGCCTGCCAGTGCCAGACCAGCGGCGCAAGAAGGGGAAATATTCACCAAGCCAGTGTACCCCATAGACGCCTTCCCAGGAAGCAGGCAGGTTAAGACTGTATATGGAACAATCCATGTATTTGAATGGGGGCCTGAAGATGGGGAGAAAGTTTTGCTTATACACGGCCTTGGCACACCATGTATAGCACTGGGTGACATGGCTAAAGAGTTGGTTCGCAAAGGCCACCGAGTCATGATATATGGTGAGTTGTATCTGTGTGTTTTGTGGGAGACCACGCGGCGTCTTAAAAGTGATTGTGACTAACATATCAATTGCAGATCTGTTTGGTCGGGGCTACTCTGATGCGCCGAATGACCTAGTGTGCGATGCAAGACTCTACACCACACAAATCTTGCTTGTGCTCTCTTCTTCTCCGCTATCATGGACTGGTGATTCTGCCTTCCATATCATTGGATTTTCCCTGGGTGGCTCGATTGCCGTGGCTTTCGCCGCTTACCATGCGACTATGCTTCGCTCTATAACTCTGGTTTGCCCTGGCGGCCTCATACGCACGTCACACCTGAAGCCTCTAGATAAAATTTTGTACTCCTCCACCAAACTTGTACCTGAGTGGCTTCGCCTTAAACTCTTCCGCGACAGTTTGGAGCCAAGAAACGGCGCGGCCTGTGCAGATGTTCCGGGGGAAATGGAGGACGAGGATGATTTGGCCTTCGATGATGTGCCGATTGCGGAGGATCGGCCACAAGTCACTGTCGGAGATGTGATTCGATGGCAGCTAGGGGCCAATGCTGGATTTGTGCGGTCTTATCTGAGTACACTCCGTAGTGCTCTAGTCTATAGACGACATGATAGGACATGGAGAATCTTGGCCGACGAGCTCGCCAGGAGACGCACAGGAGATGCTTTACCGGGCTTGACAGGCGGAAAGGTTTGCCTGATAGTGGCGACTAGTGACGTTATTGTGGTGGGTGATGAATGTGCCTCTGACGCTGCGGAGATACTTGGGACAGAAGCTTTGGAGACTCACGTTCTGAGCGGAGGGCACGAGATTGCAATCTCGAGATCGAGAGATGTGAGCTCAATAGCTATGGCATTCTGGAACAGAAAATTATAGAAATGTGAAGCTAGATATAGAAACAAGTTCTCTCTCATACCCCTTCTGATGTATTTAGTTTCACAGGATTTTCCTCGTCAAAACTAATTAAGGTCCAAGTACCATAGTGGCTGACATTTAATTCGAAAGTTGTAAAAATTGCATTTTTTTGTAAAATCATCTAAATTGAGACAGTACATATCATTGTAGGTGTAGGTGTCCTGCTGCCTCCTCGACTATCTTGGTTCGATCCGCATCTCGCGCCTTAAGCTTGCAACCGAACTTCAAAGGTCTCGGAGCTGGAACTGGCTCATACTGCAATTTCTCGCGAAGTTCGTTGCCGTTCTCATCTGTCGGCCATTCAATATTCAGTGTCCAACCCAGTTTGGCAAACATGATAACTAGAGTCCTTTCTGCGAAGTCAACGCCTGGGCATGCTCGCCTGCCATATCCGAAAGCCGGATAGCCTTGGCAATTGGGGAACGTGGTCAGTGGTTCTTTGTAGGTCGGATAACTAGGCTCAAGCCAGCGGGCAGGATTGAAAAGTTTCCCATCGGGATAAGTGTCTTTGTCCATAAGAATAGACCTGATGAATGTTAATATCGAGTGGTTGCAAAAATGCGTGAGTTAGTGAGGTGAACAACTTACGAAAATATCGCATTGAATACAGTTCCCTTCTCAAAGAAGTAGCCCTCGTAAATGTCGTCCGTTTGTAGACAATGACCAATGCCCATTTCTGCTACAATACTTCTGTATCGGACAGTCTCCTTCACAATAGCTCTGACCGTAGGCAGATGAGGAATATCTGTATAGCTTGGCATTCGATCCTTGCCGACGACCCTGTCAACTTCCTCTTGGAGCTTCTTTTGCCACTCGGGGAAGTCCATCATGAGAAACAAGAAAGTTAGTAGATTGTTGTGCGGGGAGCGAGTTCCACCATCAATCATGGCTTGAAAAGTGTGAACCGACTCTTCATCAGTGACACTATACTCCTTTCGGTTGAGGAGAAAGTGTTTATAAATGGACTCTGTCGCTGTGCCATTCTTGACAAGCTTCTCTATCTTGCTTCTGAAATCCCACATCTCCCCTACATACTCTTTTCTAAGTCTTTCCATAGTTCTCAAGCTCGGCAAGAGCCACATAGGAATCTTCCTTAGCACCGGGAATACATTGGCAGGGAAGCAGTCAGGACGGAAAGAGTTCATGAGTTCAGCCGTGAAAGTTTCATTGTGATGGATGAATGGGTCAGATGGACTGCGGACAGAGAAGCCGAGCAAGGAAGTCGTCAATACTGAGTAGGAGTATCGCAAGAACTCCCCATGGAATGAGTCCGGTGACTGTAGCAACGCGTTTACAGTGAAAGTTGCTTCATCGTCCATGAGGCTCTGATATTTGTTGATAGAGGTGATGTTGATAGCGCTTTGTATCATGCTTCTTTGGCGACGCCATCCATCTTTGAATTGTTAATACTGGACTCATAAGTTTTTAATATGCCGCGAGGAGGCCTTGCTCTTGTCGTGACCGGCGCCAGTTACTTACCGTCCTTAGGCCTGAAACCAGGATTCTGTTTCATCGAAATGTATTCCACGGCATAGGGAGCACCGCGATCAGAATACTTTGCTCCTCGTCTGACAAAGAGCTCTCTGGCATCTTTTTCTTCGGTAAGAATTACTTGTTTGTCGCCCATGGCACTGAATTGAGTGATCGGGCCATGTTGCTTTGCCCATTTCTTAAAAATTCCGATAATACCATTGATGTCGACGGCGGCCAGCGCTGGCGCGCTTCCAAGAAGGGGCCAACCTGTTGTTTTGTTAGCCAATTTTCGAAACAAAGTGTTCGGTTCCAGGTGTTGGATTGACTTGGTGTATACCTTTTGGCCCGGGCGGCACCTTGGCGCCTTTTTGACGTTGGCGGATTGACAAAATCCCAACAACATACTGCAGAACGAATGCCACCAAGGCTAACGACAACAAGTGATACAAGGAAATCATATTGATGATCGATCTTTTTCCTGCTATGATTGAATCAAACCTCACAAAATCGCTCTTCGAGGTTTGGTCGTCGACTCCACGTGGATACCCAAGATTGTTGGCCAACACAGTGCCTCGAATTCTAGCCCGTAATAGGTACCTGACCACCAAAGATTACTTGCATCGCCTCACAAGAACACGAGATAACCCCCCACGCCGCGCTGCACTGCGGGAGATGACCATTCGGCATGCGCATCAGGTTCGGCAACTTGTCCACATGCGGCAATTGCGCCGTTCGGACCGGCGATGTAAACCTACTCTTAGTTCGCATTTCGGTACAAGCTGTTGTATGCAAGCCTGAATATTCTCCACTGAATAGAAAGACAACAAAAAAGCAATTAGCCCGAAGTTGATTGCTCTTGGACAGCATCGGCCATAGCCGGGTGAACGTGTAGCTTTATTAGACTTATTTACCTTGCATCGTAGTTTTACATTTCACTCTGACCAGTGGAGAGGCTATACCAAAAACCATCATCAACAGATAATTTTCAAAATGGATAACTTCATGCAGATGACCAAGGAACTCGGGCATAAGCCCGAGCTGCTGCGCTTGAGGGCGTTGGATGCGACTTATGATGATGCCTTGGAGGGTAAACTTGTCGTGGCCCCCATTGATATGAACGAGCCCGGCAAGAAGATTCTGGACTCTGGCACTGCTGATGGTAAGCTGTCCACTTCTAATTTGCTTCTATAATGAGATTAACACCGACTGAAAAGGAACTTGGCTTCGCGGTGTACGTAGCAAGCAATCGGCCCAGCACCACTACTTCGGTAGCGACGTGGAAGGCGAGCTTTTCCCAGAAGATACAGATGGCATCACCTATTTTGCACATTCTTTCAAGGACCCATGGCCCCAGCAATACTTGGGCACTTTCGACCTTGTCCATATCCGAGGCAGCATGGCGGGCTCTGCCCCCGAGGGACCTGCACCTGTGATCAAGAACCTTACAACCCTACTGAAGTCTGGCGGCTGGGTTCAACTCATGGAAATGAACGGCTTCAGTGCACCAAAGAATGGACCTGCCATGACGGACTTTGCCAAGATGGCATCTGAGATGTTCACCGGCATTGGCGTCGGTGACTTCGCAAACAACAACAAATCTCTGCTGGAAGAAGCCGGCTTGGTGAATGTGCAGGAGAAGCGCGTAATTGTCAACTTGGGCAAGAAAGCGAAGCCAGAGTTCCAAGAGATCAGTATTCATGGAGTCACGGGACCTATTGTGCCGTTAACCAGTGTGGCTAGGACTGTGCCAACTTCATTCACCAGCGAGCAGTTTGATACGCTTCCGTCGCGTGTCAAGGAAGAGCTCCAGACTGAAGGAGGCCAGGTTGAGATGGTCATTGCGTTTGGCCAGAAGGCTTGAGAATTTGCCAGTAGTATCACCCAGATAATGTCTCTCAGATCATATCAATTGGAGCGCGAATGCGTTTCTGTCCAAGTGGAATCAGTGTAAAATAGCTCTGACCGGATTTTGTAAAGGTAATTGAAACCAGTGACAGACACCTTGGATAATCATACTGTATGCTTGTTCAGGTGGTTTCTCAGTTGAAAGCTTCAACTATGTTTAATAGGAACATAGGAACACGTGAGGTACCTAGATTTGTATATGGACCAATAGCAAAAATAAGTCACTCCTATGACACTTAAGATAACAAAAAACAGATTAGTTAACTAACACCTGCGGGACATGGCGAAGTGAGGTAGAAGCCAGGCATCGATACTGGGTATTTGTATGATTACAATACATGTATCACATACACTAGTGTTTTACAGGCGCGTCTTTCAGCCTCAATTGCCGGTATGCCAGGAGCTACGTGACTGTGGACAGATGCCCCAACTTTGAAAACCTTGAGACTAAATATCTCGATAAATACAAATGAACCCATCAAATGTCAGGCTTTTTGCAAGCACTAGACAGTCTGCCCTTTTTTACTCGACCCAATGACCCCTTTGCAACAGAGGCGCTCGAATCACTCCCTTGGAGGCCAACATGAAGGACCCCAACACCTCATCCAGACCCTTTTGAATAGATCTAGCCACCCATTCCTTCAGGGGAAGAACCTTCACCTGCGACCCTCCCAATTCCTCGACATAATTTTGCAAGTCTCCAACGGGAATAACCCGCTCGCCACTGTGGTGCAGGTAAACCAGATCACCACCAGTTTTCGCGCTGCCATTGACCACGCAGGCAGTGATGTTCTTTGAAACGGTCTCAACGTTGATGAAGTCGAAGAATCCAGTGGACCCAGTGAGATCAGGTACAGCACCCAACTCCTTAGAGAACTTGAGCAGACTATGCGCAATGTCAAGGTCAGGAACGTTATCGCCAGTGATGCTGCTAGGTCGGTGGATCCATAGCTGCCCTTGGTAGCTTTGTTGGACCTTTTCAAGGAAAATTTCGCTTGCCCATTTGGATGCCACGTATCCGTCAGATCCATCAATGGGAGGACGGAATGCGGCAAGCGATGCCTCGGGCTGCTCGTCAGCTCCACTCAGACGCGCCACGCCTCCAGTAGAGACATAATGAACCGGAATTCCATGGCTCACAGCCTGTCGAGCGAGTTCTATCGTCGACAAAAAGTTGGCAGCTCGGAGACTGCGATAATTCTTCATGTGCGAGACTTCAGCTCCGTTATGAACAATGGCATCAATACTCTTGAAAAGACTCGAAGCTTCGGACTCGCTCATGCCGAAACCTGGAAGTGCAAGATTGCCAGAGTGGCGGATGATCTTGGGTGAGTCCACGCTCAATTGTCGGGGTGAGCCATCCTGGCTAGAACGGATGGCGATGCAGTGCACGCGCGTGACACCGGGCAGTTTGACCAGTTGGCGCAAAATGTGACCTCCCAAAAAGCCTGTGGCACCAGTGAGGAGAATAGAGATTCCCTTGGAGTCACCATTCGATGCTTTGTGTCCGTTGACTCCGTTGGCTCCATTGGCAGCGCAGGGTATTGTGAAGGCTGCCTCGTCCAGGGCGGTCTCCTCGTCCCAGTTGATCTGCGCTAATAATGAAGTACCATCCAGTCGCGCAGCGAGAAGCTCAAGTGTGCTGGAATGGAAAAGCTCCGGGATCGGAATCTCAACTCCGAATTCTTGAGTGATCTCAGCCTTCAGAGGTAACAAAAGCAGGGAGTTACCGCCAACAGAAAAGAAGTCGGAGGTACGACGGATCGGAATGGAGGAAGAGATTTCACCCAAGACATTTTTCCAAATGTCTCGCAATCGTGTCTCTGTTGGTGTGAGCTGCTCGTCCTTGTCCTTGTCAACAGAGATTTCCGGTAAAGGCAACGAGGCCAGCTTCCGAGTGTCAAGCTTGCCACGATCTGTAACCGGGAGAGTGTCCAGAGGTATACTGATCACCGGGCGCATGTATGCTGGTACAGGGAGCTCTTGGTTGAGTTGATGGAGATATTTCGGCTTGTCTTGAACATTACTCGTCCGTGAGAAGACCACGTAAGCGATAAGCTGCTGGTTTGAAGGTTCGGCTCCCTTAAGCAAAGCTGCGGCATCTACAAAGACACCGCGCGATGCTTGAACGAGAGCCCTGGCGACATCGCCGAGTTGCACTCGATGGCCCCTGATCTTAACCTGGTCATCTCCATCTACGCGGCCAGAGATGACAATGGAGCCGTCGGAAAGCATCCGACCTTTATCTCCGGTGAGATAAATAGAATCCGATCCAGAAGCGGCTCCCAGAGAAGCCGAAGTCTTGAATTTAGCTTCGGTCAATTCAGGGAGGTTCAAATAGCCACTGGCAACACCGGGCCCAACAATCGCGACCTGACCGGGCCAACCCAGCGGAACGGGCTTGCAATGCTCATCCACGATATATGTTCCATAGTTGGTAAGAGCCTTTCCGATTGGAATGCTGATTTCGGTTGAGTCGGTCTTTTCCAACGACACTTCGCCCAAGGAAGAACAGATGGACGCTTCGGTTGGGCCATAGGCGTTGATGACCTTTAAGTCAAGTCGGTTGAGCTGACGGAACTGTTCCAAGAGGTGAACTGTGAAAGCCTCTCCAGCGACCATTGCAATACGCCAAGAAGAGCAGTTGCAAAGTTGATCGTAACCATACTTTAACAAAGCTTGCATTTCCGAGACAATGAGGGTGGTACAAGTGACAGCCTCACGAGCCATCAGGGCGGCCAGCTTTGCAGGGTCATCTCTATTGTCAGCCATGATCAAGGTGCCGCCATTGGCAAGCGCAATGAAGATCTGGTAGATTGCAGCATCGAAACCTTGTCCACTTTGCTGGAGAACCACCTCTCGTCCAAGTGGCACTCTCTCGGAAACACCTAGAATGGGGGTGCGAATGTTGGCATTGGTGAGTGGGATTCCCTTTGGTCTACCAGTAGAACCACTGGTGTAAAGAATCATCGCGACGCCTTCTGGGACTGAAACATCTTGAATCTTTCGCACGGTCTTCTGAGGGACCGCATTAAGTGTGACCATCTTGGTTTTCGAAGAGGCTTTGCAAAGCTGCTTGATGCGCTGAGCGGTTGCGGCGTGATGAAGCACAATTTCCGGTTGAGACTCTTGTAAAATATCAGCAAGCAGTGCATCTGAGGTCCTAGTATCTAGCGGTACATAGGCCGCTCCAATACGGATAATTGCGAGGATCGCGGCGATCGTGTCTACTCCGGGTTCAAGCAAGAGCGCGATGCGAGTTGAAGGCGCCGCGCCAACATTCAGCAGCGCCGCTGCAATGGCGTTGGACCTCTCCGAGAGCTGCAAGTATGTCTTTTTCCTGCCGCTAGTATCCTTCACAGCCATAGCGTGAGGATCCTTGTCAACCCAGGTGTTAATGATGCTCGACAGAGTACTGGCAAAAGGAGCTGCGAGGTCCAATGTCGGCCCGGTACCGAGCCTGATTGCCTCAGCTTCTAAGCCTGTGTGGGAAATTGACACAGAGTCAACCTGGCGATCTGTGTTCTCTGCCAATACCTCGAGTGTTTGCGCATACAGACTGGCAAGCAGTTGAGCACCCTCTTGGTCATACAGGTAATCCTGTAGATAGAGGGTAATCATCGCGGTTCCATTGTCCAAATCATCGACAGTCGCAACGAGATCGAACGGGTTCTTGGCGTCAACATAGTCCGAAAATGCCATCTCCACTGCCTGTAGTGGAGCGGTGCGGCCAGCTCCCATGCGGTAATTGAAGCAAACTTGGAAGAGCGGCGTTTCCGTTGTCGACGATGCGACGCCGCATGCTCTCAGGATCTCCTCGGTGGGAACACCAGTCTGTGCCAAAGCAGCATATGCCTTGCTCCGTGTTGTCTTCAGCAGTTCGATGAAGCTTTGCCCACCATATACATCAAACAACAAAGGAATAGTTTCCAAGAAGAAACCGATAGTGTTCACAAAGTTCTGGTCAGATCGATTGGCGTCTACCACCCCGATGCACATCTTGTCAATGTTCAGGAGTTTGTGTAGTAGAACTTGGAAAGCGGAGAGATAGAAATGGAAAGGAGTGGTTCGAGAAGCCTGGCTCGCCTTCTTTATCGCGCTCACGATATTGCGATCGAGTTGAATGGCAACCTCTTGAACGGCGTACTGCTTCACGGCCTTCCGTGTGCCAACTTTGGCGAAAGGAAACAGGGGTAGAGATTCAACAGTCTCTCGGAACTCATTCTGGAAGAAGTTGAGTCTTTCAGTGTACGCTCCATCGGACAGGTCTCGCTGTTGCTTCGAAGTGAACTCGCCATATTGAGCTGGCAAAGGCTTGGGTGAGTCATCTGAGCCCGAGTTGTTGTAAAACATGGCCATGTCCTTTTGGAATATCTGCCAGCTGACGCCGTCCATAATAATGTGATGGTATCCGAAAATAACAGTATGTGAATCTTCACGGTGCGACAAGATCGTAGCGGCCAAAGTGTCCGCTTGTTCCAGATCGTACTGACGATAACGGATCAAGTCAAATTCGTTTTCAACATCCGACGAAGCACTGGCACTCGAGATGACCTTGAGTTGGAAAGGCGACTTCTCGAGCACTCCCTGCATAGGCTTTCCTAGCTGCTCATCTATGTAAAAGGAGGTGCGCAAGGTCTCATGACGCTGAATCACCTCATTGAGAGCCTTTTCCAACTTAGGCACGTCCAGGTCCCCAGAAAGAGTGTACGAAATGGCGCAATTCAGGACGATATCATCTTCCAAGTATTGAGACAAGAAGTAGAGTCGTGATTGACCCAATGACAGCGGCTGTGTCCTTATGGGAGTTGGGCGGGGGCCTTTCTTCGCAGCGCTCGCTTGGGCTTGAGCCCGCAGATGAGACTGAGCCTTTTTGGCAGGATTTGACGGTTTCTTCCATGTACCATTTGAATCGCCATTAGGAGTACCGTTTGAAGTTCCACTTGTCACACTGTTTGGCACACCCTTATGTTCATTGGGGTCCAAATCTAGTCCTGGTGCAGTGACCACATCGCTCGTCGGCTTGGCATCGATTGGCGTCTTATCCCAAGGACGAGCCTTCTGAGTTGGCGTTGCTTGACTTTCGATTTTGGCGGCCGCGATCGACTTCTTGTCAAAGGATAGAGATGAGACTACCTCACCACAAATCTGTTCGACCGATGAACCTCCCAGGATCTTCAATACAGGAATGTCGTATCCGGCTTCGGTCCAGATCCAATTTCGGATCTGGACGGCGACAAGAGAATCGATACCCAAGTCAATTATGGGCACATCTGTGTAAATGCTCTCAAGTGCCAGCTACATATCGTCAGCGAAACAAACTTTGAACCGAGGCCTCGTTGCGACTACATACTTTGAGTGAAGACGCCAGGTATTCCAGGAGAGCGTTCTCCATAACCTTTGTGGCTTCATCTGGTCCACCAGAGCTGAGGAGCATCTCCTTCAGGGATTTATGGGTGCTATTAATGGAGTCTGCACCAGCCTGCGCGGCATCGGGATCCCTGATGAGATGAGAAAATCGCAAATTGTTGTGCCAGAAGGGAGTCTCTCCATTGACGGCCTTGTAGGTTTCCAAACCTGTGACAAGCTCTGGGGACTCATCACTCGTACCGACGAGGATGGCCTCGGCGAGGAGATGATGCAAGTCAACCTCAGACACGGGCATATAGTGCATCTGTCGAATTGAGTTCTCCATAGTACTGACACCCTTATCATTTTGTGATCTCTGAACAACACCCATACCGGAGACCATGCCAATATCGATGACAGAAGCAGGAAGTCCACGGGCTCTTCGTCTCTTAGCCATAGCGACCATGAACTGGAAAGACACAATGAGCTCGAAACGCACTAATATATCTCGCAAGCTTGGGACTTACATTGTTGGCGGCAACATAGTTGGCCTGTGTACGCTGACCCGTCATCACTGAGATTGACGAGAAGAACAGGAAAAAGTCAAGCTCATCATTAGAGAAAGCCTCCTCAAGGTAGATTGAACCTTCCACCTTGGGCCTCATGGCAGTTTGGAAACTCTCAAAAGACATGTCAACAAACATCTTGTCTTCCAAAACCATGGCACCGTTGGCAATACCACCAATTGGAGGCATGGAGCTAGCAATGCGAGCGCGGAGCTCCGCGAGGTGGTGCCTGTTAGTAACATCAGCTGCTTCAATGACAATATTTACTCCTTGCCTGAGTAGCTCGTCCTTCCAAAGCTGACCCTGCTTCTCGGGGTTTCTGTGATCACCGTTAACTATTTCATGTCATCCTGAGATCTCGAGCCAACAGGTTACCTACCGACTTGTGACGACGATGTGCCGGGCTCCACTTCTGGCCATCCAGCGACACATGGACTGACCAATATGCCCAGTGAGCCCGACAAGAAGATAAGTCTTGTTGGGAGAGAATAGATTGGTGGTGTTGATAGGTCTCTGGCTAACGATGATGTTTTGAACATCTGTCCAGTCAACGACAGCAGCATTCGGATGTTCCTTGATGCCCGCTGCGACCAAAGAGGCGGTTTTCACCACAGTACTGTCGTCAAATGAGACCTTGTCGCTTGGCAAATGACCTGCTACAATGGTCAAAGCTTCTGTGAGCATTTCAATAGGCTTGATTCCATGAGCACCAAGGTCATGGAATGCAAGAAGGATAGCATGTGGGGGCAGAGCTTGTCTGAGAGCCAAGAACTCGCGTGTATCGGTCCCGCGTCCCATGTGAATGAGAATCCTAGTATTGGGGGATACCTTCGCCTGAACCTCCTTTCTTGAGGCCCGAGGATCAATGAAGATATCCATTCCTGAAACCGATTCTTTGGGGCTAACTTGGAAGCTGACTAACGAAACATTTGCCTGGGCTGACCTCCGTAAGGAAGCGGCAAGATGCGCAGTTGGTTCATAAATCAGGGTGGTACATCCAGGGGGGACGAACTTTGCGATGACAAGCGATTTAATCTCGCTCAGAAGCTCTATCATAAAGGCTCCATCATCCTGTGGGGTATTCATGTCGACTTGTATTGTCTGTGCGCGTGGAACTTCCACTACAGAGGCATTGGATGGCGATAAACCCAAAACCTTCGCCCCTTCTGGCGTGCGTCCAATAAAGCAGAAAAGGCCTTCATTGCCAATGCTGGGCATGACAGGGTCCAGAGAGCAAAGTTCCACTTCAATGGCAATTAGATCGGATGTGTCTTCTACGAGATGTGTGCGGCGATGGACCTCCTCAGCTGTATAGGATACTTGGCCATCATTTTGCACAGACCTGGTGAGGGCAACTGTGTCAGAAGTAGACCTCGTCTCCACCTTGCGCCTGACAGCGTTTAGCCGATCATTACGCTTTGTATCTGGGAAAAGTCTTGGAACAAGATATTTGCCGTTCTCAAGGGAGAGTTCTGGCTCAATGGTCCACAAATGAGTTGCATCCGCGGAATCACTATTTCTCAGAGTAACACCACCAATGAGTTTGAGGAAGCTTTCCGCAATGCTTGAATCAGCTCCATCAATCGTGTCGAGATCAAGGAACTGGATAAGCCTCTGTGGGTTCTCAGACTGGAAGGACCGACCAATACCAATAGTGGCATTCTGGTAAGGACTTTCGGCTCTGGCTTTTTCAGTAATCCAAAGAACCGTTTTCGCAGTTGAAAGTAGTAACTGCAGACCCTTGAACGTTGGAGCCCTGATATCCTCCAAAACCGGACGGTCGAGATCAGTCAGACTTAAGACGGCCTCAACGCCGCTGGCCTCATCGCCCAGCTCAGCAAGCGTTCGAACGTTGATGATCTCTCCCTGCCAAACATTTTCCACCTTTGATTGTATACCTGTAGCAAGCTTGGCGATGTCTCGCGACAGACCGCCTACAACCAGGAGCTTTCCGCTGAGAACAGAAGGCGAGGAACATGTTAGTGGGCTGCGCAAGAAGTTGATCTGATCATCTACCGCTTGGGACACGATGACAGAGAATGTATGTTTGTCTGGTACGTTGTCCAGAGCAATGGAGTCTACTCCAGAGAATCCAATTTGTCGAAGTAAGTTGTGAGTATCTTCACGCGTGGGGTTAATGGATTTGGTTTGGGCCAATCCATCCTCATCAAGCGAGGGGGTGCGGACAGCAACATAAAGGGGAAGCGAAGCTGAGGACCGGTCGCGGCCATCATGAGCATAAAGCCTCCTGGCCGCAGCAGACTTCGTATAGTCTTCAAAGCAGCGACTTGCTTGGTAAATGCTTTGTGCACAATGACCAAGTCGAACGGGCCAGTCAAATGGTTAACTTCATCGATACCATTCTCGACATTGGCTTGTGTGAAATCCACTCTTAACTGGTCTGCAGCAAGAGCAGTCTTGATATCCTCGATAATGTGCTCGGAATCATCCACCACAATATATTTCTCCAAGCTGCGACCCAGCTCGTGGAAAATCGCACGGATTAAATTTGGTGAGGATGGACCGACTTGAAGAATTCTCAAATTGGCGTGTTGATGAGAAATTTGTTTAACTGCGCTCACAAAATGGTTCCGTAATTCTGAGAAGCCCAGGCCCTCATTGTGCCAACGCGATATCAGGGCACCCATTGATGACGGGGTGACCTTGGGGCTATTTGGACCAAGCCCTTCAGTTTGGGATTCTGAAAGACTTTCCAGAAGACTTTCCCCGATGGTGCGAACCAAGACAATGTCTATGTGATCCCCAACTTCTTCCAGAATTGAGATAATATCAGATTTCGTCGGAACGCTACTAGCACGAGCTTCCATTTCGCTAATCAAAGAACGTAGCGCGGGAATTTTGTTAGTCAAGTCGTCGAAGTGAGCAGCTGTCTTGATCTTTGACAGGTAGTATTGTATAAATTGCTCACAGGCATCAATAACCTTTAGCTCACTTTCCGAAGCCACGTTGCTGCGTTCCGAACTACAGAGAGCTCCAGAAAGAATCTCCTGTTCCCAGACATTCTTCAGGTAGAATTGTCTGTCGTCATTTTCAGAAGCAGGGAGGAATGAACTCATAACAAAGTCTTCAATTTGGACTTGCAATTGATTGGTTTCAGTGTTGAATATGCTCATATCACCCGTCAGTGTCGGCAGTGCGACCTGATAACCTGGTGCAAACTCGGTAATGTGGGCGTCCACAGTTACCGAAGATCCAGGACCTTGGAAATTGCCCGATGGGAACAAAATCATTCGACCGATTGTGGTGGGCATAAAGGCAGTCCATAGTGAACTGTCGAGAGGGGCGGCAAAGGCTGCGAGGAAGGTCTGGAAGCAGGCGTCAAGCCAGGTGGGATGAACAGGAATTGTACCCGACAGCTCTCTATCCACAGCTACGGTAGCAGATGCGAAGTTCAGACGTCTTTGCATGGACTCCATGGCTCTAAACGGTCCGCTGTAGCTCAAGCCGATCTCGTCCATTGAGGCATAGAACCGATCAACACTGGTGGGCAACGTATCAAGCACTGCCTCTCGACGTGGATCGGGTAGCGGGAGTGATTTTGAACCACTAGCACGGTCAGCAAGAATGATTCGAATCTGACCGGTGGCCGCAGTTCTCAAATGCCTGTCATCCATCGCGCCGGCGCTGAGACTGAATTGTGCTTGGATCTCTCCATCGCTCTTGTTTGAATCAAGATTGCTTCGCACAGAAAACAAGGTCTCGGTGCCATCTGACGCCTCATCTAGAACAATTGGACGCAAGATGGCTACATTGGATAATTCAATGCTGTGTACATTCTTCCCTCGGCAAAGGACCTTGGCGGCTTCAAGAGCCATGACGCAGTAGGTGGCGGCCGGAACAATGATCTGATTTTGGATGGAATGGTCTCGCAACCAAGGTAACTCGTCCATGATGAAGAAGTTTCGCCATCTGGGCTCATAATCCGTATCGTCGGGGGTTCTGCTACCAAGAAGCGGGTGAGGCGCATCGGCTCTGTTGCGGACATTCTTGTTAAGCCGAGATTCACGATATAAGACCTTCTTGTGATCCCACGGGTATGTCGGTAGATCAAACAGAGCGGGTGCGTTTAAGATGGAAGAATTTTTCGGGTTGAATGCGGACGCGTAGCCTGCAAAGTCGACAACCCCGGATCCCAATGTCACCCACGCGAACCCAAGCGCGGTACTCAAGGCCGAAATGTCATCTGACTTGCGATCCAGAACGCCGGAATAGGGGATTTCGGAGCCAAGTTTGTCTCTGATGATCTCCAAAGTGGGACCCTTGAGAGAAGGATGCGGTCCAACCTCAAGGGCGAGGTCAAACTCACCGTTACCCTCGTCCAAGGCGCGCTCAACCGCTTGTGAGAACAGGACTCTGCCAATCAAATTGTCTTTCCAGTAGGCTGCTGCCATATCTTCATCCTGGGCAGGAGTGATCATTCTGTTATCTTTGTACACACTTGATGCCCAAGCAGTATTATTGGACTTGCCAGCGACAAGGTCACAACGCTCGATGGCAGCCAAATAGGGCGCCGCGCAAGGATACATATGATGGGAGTGGTAGGCTGTGTCGAGCCGAAGAACACGATTGAACAAGCCTTCAGCGTCCAGCATTTCTTTGGCTTCTCCAACGGCATCCAAATCTCCAGAAATCGTCACACTTTTAGGTGAGTTACTAGCAGCGACAGTGAGGCGATCGGCAAATTGCTCGAGCGCGCAAAATCGGAGGCCTTCTTCGTAACCAAATCCAACGGCAATCATGCCGCCCTTTTTCCCATCTTTACCGATGGCGAGTTTCGTGTACACACCGCGGTAGTAGGCAATCTTGATTGCATCGACCTCGTTGATTTTACCCGCGGCATATGCGGAACCGATTTCGCCACCAGAGTGACCGACGACCATACTGAAAGTTATTCCTGCACTCCAGAGAACCTTAACAAGGCCGACCTGCAGCGCCGCACAAACCGGTAGAGAGATCTCAGCTTCGCCTAGTCGCGATGTTCCTGGTGGCTTCATAATCTCCTCTTTCAGAGACCACGTTGGTCCATCAGAAAGCTGTGCCATTGCTTCTTCCATCACTTCGATGACTTCTCTGAACAACGCATTTTTCTCCATAAGGCCTTGGCCCATTCCTGCCCATTGGGCTCCTTGGCCAGTAAATACACCCAAGATCTTGGGCCGTTTGATCTGATCAAACTCGTGAAGGGAGGATCGGGTGCCTATTTCCGCCCCGGGGCTTGAACGAACTTTGGTAAGTTGTGTCCGGATTGCACCGAGAGCTTCCGCTTTCGATGATCCAGGTATAGAGATTCTGACTGGCAGAGTGGAACGATGGGTGTTGAGTGTCATGGCCAGGCGTTGAATAGACACATCAGTCTTCTCCAAGTATTCTTCATACCTCTCGAGCATGGAAACGAGGGCAGATCCCGAGTTTGCCGAAAACAGCAGAGGGATAGGAGAGAAGTCATTATCGGGTATGGCAGAGGGGTCTGGAAGTTGTTGCAGCTCTCTTGGCTTTCCCCAGGGGCCATTGTCGTGAATCTCGGGAACGTAGCTTTCCACAATGGCATGACAATTAGTACCCCCGGAGCCGAATCCGTTGACGCTTGCCCGCAGTGGGGTATCAGGAGGCGGCACAGGCCAGGGCTCCGGTGTAGTGGCAATTGAAAGATATGTGAAAGAAGGCTTTACGCTGGGGTTGAGGTTGTGGAAATGTTGATTGGGAGGAATGGTCTTGTGCCGCATAGCCAGAACGGTCTTCAAAATTCCTGCAATACCAGCACCTGCGTGTAACACGTCGTTAGTCTTTCAAGATCTTGAAATATGGTATGACAATACTTACATCCTTCAGTGTGACCAATCACGGTCTTGATTGACCCAACGACAAGTTTGGGTCTATGGCTGTGATCTTCCTCGGGTGGGAAGAATGTGGTGCCAATGGCAAATGCTTCTCTAGGATCTCCGGCTTGGGTACCGGTTCCTAAAAAGCGCACATGTGGTTAGTCCCGATGAAAAAAATCTTGTTAATACTTTGGCACTTACCGTGGGCCTCAATGTATTGTGGGCGATCTTCTGCTTTTGAGAGGTCTAGCCCAGCATTTTTGTACGCAGTCCTCATCAACGAGACTTGGGCCTCCGCACTAGGTAAGGCGATTCCTTGTGTTCGACCATCCGAGTTGACACATGTTTCTCGGAGCAGTGCATCGATTCGATCTCCGTCTCGCAGTGCCTGAGATAACGTCTTCATGAAGAAGACACAAACGCCCTCACCCCGGGCATATCCATCAGCAGCCACATCCCACATCTGGGACCGGCCGGTTGGTGAAAGCAAATGAAGACTGGTGGCGGCAAGGTAGCAATCAGCATTGAGGATGATATTGGAGCCGCCTACACATGAGATTTTGCATTCCCCAGCGCGCAAAGCCTGGGCACCGAGATGCACAGCTGCCAGACTCGACGAGCACGCCGTGTCGACGCTGATAGAGGGACCCTTCCAGTCGAAAAAGTAGGAGAGACGATTCGACAAGAGCGCGCGGGATGTCCCGGTAATCATGTATTTGGAAACGTTCTCGATATCTCTCAGCTGAGTATCTGTGTAATCGGCCGACATGGCGCCCATGTAGGCTGAAGTCTCGCTGCCCCTCATTCCAGTCAGAGTAAGGCCTGCATTTTCCATGGCTTCATACACTGTCTCAAGCAGGAGCCTCTGTTGCGGATCGATAGACTCGGCTTCGCGAGGTGCGATACTGAAGAATCCAGCATCAAAGTGCCGAGGATCCTCCTCGATGAAGTACGCATTGCTTGCGTTGCTGGCACCGTGATGCTCACCGTCGACATTGTAAAAACCTTTAGCGTTGAATCGTGATTCGGCGGGAGCTTCCCTTGTGAGATCTCGCGGAGAGTAAAGCAAGTCCCACAACTTTGAAGGAGATGTCGAGTCTCCGGGAAAGCGACACCCACTACCGATGATGGCAATGGGCTCTTTTGGTGAATGTGAGTATGGCATTGCACCTCAAATGGAGCGTAATTGTATACAGAGTAGGTTAATTAGCCACCCCTTGCTAGTACGAATATAAAGCGGCTACTTCTCAAGTTTGAAGTCTAAGAATGTCTAAGATCTACGGTACCTAGGGCCATATAATGTTTTCTATCTGTCTGAAAGAAGCAAATTGATCTGCCCGTACATCGCTTGGCGCTCTCTGCACGGTGTACCACGGTGGGTCCCTACATATGGACTTGACCATATGGAGTCCTCGACTTTTTCGGCGATCCGACGACCGATTGCTTTAGCCCCACAGTATTACTCCCGCATGCCTAACCTGCCCTCGGCTCGGAGGTATCATTCAGGAGTATTTCCCTCCAAAAATTAAGAATAATAATAAAAAGTAATTTAGCACAAGAAAATGGTTTGGGTTAATTTTACCGTACGAAGTAACCTGCTTTCCCGTCATGAATTTAGGTGTATTTCCACTTGGAGTAATGCTTACAGCAAGTATACCTATCTATATCCATGGGAAATAGATGAATTGCTCTGTCTATACCTTCATCCTACTCACAATATATCCCGATTGGTTCGCGAAGACATATGACAGCGGAATCATAGCCTGTATGAGGAAGTCGTTGCCATTTTAGAAACAGTCCGTAACTTGGGGACCCACCTATACGTATCATGTTGCTACTATAGACTCAGATGGCCAAGTATCACAGCAATAATCTCGCTGTTCAAAAGGACCAACTGTTGAATTCCTTGAAAATGAATTGCTGACGACTAGCCTACCGGGGGGAATTGCTGACGGCTACGCCGATGTAATTTATTATATGAAGATATCCACTGTTCCTTATAAATTGATTACATCTTTGCCAGCAGGCTTGTGACATATCGATATCTACAGGCTATCGTAGCATTCTTATTCTACGGCAGACATGAAAGCCATTTTAGAGCTTGGGAGACTCCCTTTCGGCTTTTTGAAGACTTTATATCTGTTCGGGAAATCAGACATCCCGGCAGCAGCATTACCTTCCGTATGTCCTTATGCCAGCCTTGAGTTGAAGCACGAAGGTTTCCACTTGCTAACACTGAGATCAGGTAGCAGTAGCCCTCGTACTTGCCGGACCATGTGGCCTCCATCTCATCACCAAAGGATTATTGTGGAATCAATTACATCTTCTCACGTTTCAGGTTAGTCCCGAAACTTCCTCCTTGAAGTAAAAGCAATCCCATTCTGACATGATCAGGTAAAAAACCAGGTTAGTTCAACCATCGTACGACCTACCAAGCAACAACGACAGGAGATGCTCATCAGATCAGATTGATGGTATAGAGGAGGATGGTATAGCAAAGCCCCATCGACCCTTACCTTCCGGCAGGATAACGCCGGCACAGGCTACCCTCCTTTATCACATCCTCTTTCTGTTGATGTGGATTGCTGCCATACACACAAACACGATCGCTTGTACGTTTGTCTACTCCATCGCCATAGTGATATATAACGAGGGAGGCCTGGCAGCTATTCCGGTGGTCAAAAACTTCATCGGAGCTGTTGGTCTTGGTTGCTACTGTTGGGGAACGACGATAATCTTTGGTACGAATATCTCACGATGCTACCTTTTCCCAGTTACATACTGACAGGAAGCATTTCAAGATGACGGCAAAGAGTTGCATGGACTGAAAGCCATAGCAGTACTGATGATCGGGGCTATTTTTGCTACTACTGTGAGTTCTTGTCTTTTGACCTCATTGCCCTCAGAGAATCAACATGCTGACTATATTCCACTTGTTTAGGGTCATGCTCAAGATTTCCGAGACCGTTCCGCCGATGCAACACGAGGCCGCAAAACAATCCCACTACTGCTGTCTCAGCCTGTAGCTCGTTGGTCACTGGCCGCGATAACTGTTGCGTGGACCATAGGATTGATAGCCCTATGGAGGCCCCCAGTTATAGTTATTCTGGCATACATTGCTACAGGCATGCGTTGTATTGGCGGTTTTCTCTCCAGTTATGATGAGAAGGATGATTATATCTCTTATTGTTGGTATGGCGTAGGTCTATCCTGATCTCCACAATCATGGTCCATGTCCGCTGACTTGAAACATAGTTTTGGCTTCTGGGTAGTAACATACTACCTATCTTCCCTCGTTTGAGAGGGGAGTTTATTTAGAACAGATACGCTGTCGTCCAAACTATATGCACAGCGTTGGAAACTTCCAGATTGCCACCCGTCAATGCTAACATAACGATTCAGTGAGTACAATTTTAAAGTGACGTTAAACTGAGAAATGGATATTTGATTGACAGAGATAGGCCAGTTCCGTATGTGCTGGAGGGGAGATCTAGAAGTCGAGATAATGAAGCCAATGATACCAAAAACTAGGAGAATACGAACGAGAATGGATTGCAGGCAATTTGTGCTAGAGTAATTATGACAGTACAGTACACAGGTATCTGGTTCGGTATTGTAACCACATACAAAACAAGTGCAGTGATAATTACCTTGGTTATCTACATCTAGATCGCTCTTCATCATAATTGCTTTTTCTATATAACATTGCTATCCACACAATTTTCTATGATTATTCACAAATCCTTGTTTCGCATCAAATTTGCCGTCATTTAGTTGTAATTTGTCCCCTATCAGTGAAAATGTAAAGAGTCTCAGTGGGTCAAAAGCAACCATATATATTTCTCCTCCCACGGGACTTCTACGAATCGCACACTTCAATTTCCGAATTTTTATGATAAATCTTCAAGATATAGGCAAAGCCACGAACATCAAATGGGGATGCTTGAGATAAACTTATCCTAGTGGAAGATGAAAGGAGAGGAAAGGAAAAATTAAAGGTGGCTCTTGTGCATCGTCAACGAACTCCAATATCTTATTTAGTATTAGACTTCCTCAGAATTGACATGGAATTAAGGATTTGTCTTTACAATTACAGTTGTATCAAAGCTGGGTAGAAGTTTCCGACTTGAAAGGTTATAGGATACTTCAGCATTCTTTATCAATCAGTTCAATCCCTTGATTCCATATCATTTACCACAACACATTCTGGCTATTGTCAAACACTAGTTACTCACCAAGTCTTCCAAAATTGAACTGGCTGTCAATGGCTCTCTCTTGACTTCAAATATCTCGTCTAGCCACTCGAAAGTTTTCTGTGCCGAATATCCAAAAGCACCGATCTTGGCCTGCAGGCCTCCGTACGCTACATCAGTAGCAATCCACTTCTCTTTATCCACACCGTCCTTGAGACTAGTCAAACACTCATAAATCTTGTCCGTTGTGGTGGCAGGATTGAAGTAAAAGCTTGCGCCGGCTCCGGTAACAAGTGTCGGACATTTGACGTCCGCCAAGTATTCCGTGCCATCGGCATTCTGCAAAGTGTAGTCGCCAAAGCTACGCATGATATCCGCATCCGTCTTGGATCCAGTGGCCCACTTTAAATGATTGAATTCCCATCGGGCCTGGAAGTCAAGTTTCTTGAGGAAGCTGAGTATTCCATTGAACATGCTGTCAGAAAGCCAGCCGCTCATGAAGCCGTTAAAGAGTGGCCCAGGCATCCTGCCTCCCACAAAGCTCGACAAGCTGTAAAACCCGTCCACACTCACACATGCTTTGATACGGGGGTCAGAGGCCGCACGGAGTGCAAAGTAGCCACCCATCGACGCGCCGGTGACGGCAATGTGATCAAGGTCTAATTCGAGTTCAGGACGACGAGCAGCGAGGTCGAAGAGGTGATTGAGGACAGGACCTGTAACAGCTTCCCAGTCCGGGCGCATCGGCAACTTGTCGCGACGGAGGACGATTCCTTGACCGGGTCCCTCAAATGTGAGGACTGCGTAGCCCAAGTCCGGCCCGTACGCTGGGTTCACAAAGTAGATTTCCTCCTGGGTGGAGTCACCGCCGCCCGAGTTGAGCAGGACGGGGATCTTGCGATCAGGGATGCGTCTGAAGGTGGGTGGGAGGTAAAGATAACCAGGCAAAATCCTTCCCTCGTACGGAATTTCCAAAAAGATTGTCTTTCCATCACGATACTGGACGCCCTTTCTAAAATTTGCGATCGCCCGTTCAATTGTTGGGAGGACTCTTGTGTCATGTCCTATAGGACCTTCATTGAGCATGAATTGCGCTGCGCGAAGGTAGTTTGACGAGCGCAAGTACGCGCGTCGTGCACCTACACGATCTCCAGAAGCCTCGGCTTCTTTCGCGATAGCTTCTGCCTTGCTACCGGTCTCCAGGAGGGTGCTGTACCATGATTCTGGATCTAAGTCCTTGATCTTGGCTGCTGCTTCCAGGGCCTCTCCGATCTCGGCACCTTCGTGAGGTGCCATGGCCAGTAGACGAAGGAACTCGAAATCGAAGAATGGCGACTTGAAGAGCTTGTGTACGGTTGCCATGATTGCCTTTCTTCAATTTGCAAGAAATTGGTAATATGGGTGACTTTGCTGTACCCTCGAAATGGTGTTTTGGTGGATCTAGACAGTGGAGCTTATCTGGGGAGCTTGAGGATTGAGATGATTTGACGCGACAACGAAGTTAGGTGAGAATCGTCAGTGACTACTCCACAGTGAGATTCGTACCCATTGCAGGTACATTAGCTCACTGAAGGAACCCGTAAACGCGAGTGCACCGTAATTGAATACCACAAAATCATGCTGTTTGATTGGCATTTGCATTCGGCTCTTGAGATTATAGCCCCACACCGAATTCGGTGGCTGCGATGCCGCCAATCGCGAGCATCTGATTTCTGACCAGGCTATATTACCGTTCGAGACAATGAAACGGTGGATAGAACCTTGTAAACAAATGGCATGATTAAGTGGTCCTTGATAATGGGCGTGGGCAGTCCCTAAGTGCTTACTCCGGTATGTGCGTAATTCGGATGTAGCTGATTCATGTAGACCGTGGACTCAAATAACTCTGCAAAGTCCGAGATGTAGACTTTCCAAGTCGAATATCAATTCATGAGATAGGTCTATACAACATGTTTCAAGGACTATCTACCCTTCAGCTCAGTTGTGGTGCCTTGGTGGCCTTCATAGCAGTGCTGGTGTTAAAAACGCGAACCAAACAGCTCAGAGTGAACGTCCCTCCTGGTCCAAAACCATTGCCGATTATTGGAAACTTTTTCGATCTCCCATCCAAAGGATCAGCCGAGTATCTGCACTGGTTCAAACACAAAGATGCATATGGTCCTATCAGCTCCATCAATGTCATGGGACAGACACTCGTCATATTCCACGACAAGGACGCTGCCTACGCTGTCATGGGGAAAAAGGCTCAGAAAACAGCCGCCAGACCCCAGCTGAATTTTGCGCAGCTCTGTGGGTTCGAGAACTTTCTCATCACACATCAATATGACAAAAAATACCGCCTGCACCGGAAGATGGTTCAACAGGAGATTGGAACGAAAGGTGTATCTGCTGGATTCCGCCCCATTCAGGAGCACGAAGCTGTTCATTTCATCCTTCAGACGTTCAAACAACCTGACGACATCTTGGTCCACTTGAAAACGTAAGAAGTTCCCATCGAAAAGTGGCTTGCTCTGTACACATTGGCTGACAGCTTATTAGTTTGGCTGCTGCCATTGTTCTGAAGCTCACATATGGCTACACAGTTGAGCGAGAAACTCGCGACCCATTAACCGAGCTGGTTGAGCACGCCATGGACAATTTGTCCCTGGCATTTGTACCACTTTCATGGGCCATCGACTCTGTGCCTGCTATCAAATATCTCCCTGACTGGTTCCCGGGCATGTCTTACAGAAAGACCGCGCGGGAGTGGAAGCTCTTCAATGAGGCCGCCGCCGAGCTGCCATACGACTTTGTCAAACGCCAGGTGGAGCACAAAGCCCATGTTCCTTCATACGTCTCCAATCTGATCGAGCAGAACATGCTCAAGTCGGAGGGAAATGAGGTCATCGTGAGTGCGGAGGACGAAGAGGCTATCAAGTGGACTGCCGTCAGTCTCTATGCCGCAGGCTCTGACAGTACAGTTGCCATCATTGAGAGCGTGATCTGTGCCCTTGTCATGTTCCCCGAAGTTGTGAAAAGAGCACAGGAAGAAATCGATCAAGCCGTCGGCTCCGATAGGCTCCCCAACTTTGAGGACAGAATCAACCTGCCTTATGTTGACGGCATTATCAAGGAAGCCTGGCGATGGAATCCAGTTGGGCCCATGGGCTTGGCACATAAGTCTGAGGAAGATATCGTCTATGGAGAATATCTCATCCCCAGCGGCTCGATTCTTCTTCCCTCTCTATGGTGGTTTTTGAACGACCCCAAAGATTACCCAGAGCCGCGAATTTTCAAGCCAGAGCGGTATATGGAGCCCTTGAACAATCCGGACCCCAGTGATATTGCGTTCGGTTATGGCCGACGAGCCTGTGCTGGTCGTTTCTTTGCGGATGCGAGTGTGTATATCGCTGTGGTTCAGCTGCTGGCTGTTTTCGATGTTCGCAAGGCTTTGGACGACCAAGGCAATGAAATTCCTGTCACTCTTGAGGCTGTGCCGGGTATGGTAAATCGCCCTGCGCCCTTTAAGTTCAAGGTCGAGCCTCGGAGTCAGCACCACATAGATCTTATTCGCCGTATCCAGTCTGAGCAGACACCTGAGATTAGCCACGCGAGCCTACTCAAACCGAGTCCACTTCATGCCAGTCCTGTCTGAAGGGGCAATTATGTGAATGGATTAGCGCATTTGAGAAAATATTGTTGGAATCTCGGATCGTCATTAGGAAACGGAAATTAGGGGTGTGTTGATTTGAAGTTCACTAAAACTCAGCGTTGATGCCCTGAAATCAAGGTGTCGACAGCAAATTTTAGCTTAGAGAGATGTACATTGCTGTCTCTGACAATAAAATACACCTAGTGGCTCACACTTATGATCATATAATTACATTATTTTTGAAAGATACAAAGTACATTCGTGGATGTGCCTATGCATTACAACCTTGGATAATACCAAAATCAAATGAATGCTAGGCTATTAGCGCGTTATCTTCAAAAAGGGAAACTTATTTGACTTGAAAGTTTGATGTTAAGCTGCAGCACCCCAATCCCTGCCCACTGCCGCTAGATCGGCGGCGCCATAGGTGTTCGGTAGTGGAGAATATCGGCGATGAATTAGGTTCTGTTCACCGAACGCAGGCTCAGAACAACGATACTTAGGTATTCACATCTGACAACACGTGCTAATACAGAATTTAATGCATTATTAATTTATTGGAGGATCATCAAATGAGCGTTCGTGATTGAGCCTGAAAGCCCTATTTTCAACAATCCTGGGCTGCTACTAAGGGAAGCTCTTTGGTTGTTCATTCGCTAGTAGTGAACCCGATTATCATGGAGTCGAAAACATCCGCCCAACCTTACCTTCAAGACGAAATTCTCCGACAGAGTCTGAAAAATCCGGATCAGTTCTGGTCGCACCAAGCTGAGAACCTCTACTGGCACAGGAAACCGGAACTCGCACTCCGGACATCACACAAGACTCTACAAGACGGCACCACTCACCCAACATGGGAATGGTTTCCCGGAGGGGAGATCTCAACTTGCTACAATTGCGTCGACAGGCATGTCGCCGCGGGCAATGGACACGAATCTGCGATTTATTACGATAGCCCCGTCACAAATACAAAAGAGACGATCACGTATGGTACGCTCCTCAGTAAAGTTGAGACCCTGGCAGGCGTCCTACGAGAGAAAGGAGTCAAGAAGGGTGATGTGGTGATGTTGTACATGCCCATGATCCCTGCTGCCTTGATTGGCATGCTTGCTGTAAATCGTCTGGGAGCTATACACTCGGTCGTGTTTGGAGGGTTTGCGCCAAACGCTCTCGCACAACGAATTGAGGCCTGTAGACCAGATGTATTCCTCACTGCATCGTGTGGTATTGTTGGGAACAGGCCGCCAATTGCCTACCAGCCACTGGTTGAAGAAGCGATGAAGATTTCATCCCACAAGCCTTCACAAACAATCGTATGGCAGCGCGACCAATTACGCTGGAACTGTGAAGAGTCTAGGTCTGGTTGGTGGAGGACCATATGGAGCTGGATACAACAAGTTCTCTTCCGACGCAAGACAACAACTGCAAGACAATCGTCTTGGCAGGAGCTTGCAGACAATGCCAGATCAAGGGGCATCAAAGCCGACTGCGTACCGGTCTCAAGTAATCAACCGATTTATATCATGCATACCTCTGGTACGACAGGAGCACCAAAAGGTGTGGTGCGCAATTCAGGTGGTCACGCGGTTGGCCTACAATTTACAATGAAGTACATCTTCAACATCCACGGCCCTGGCCACGTCATGTTTGCAGCGTCAGATATCGGTTGGGTTGTTGGTCACTCTTATATCCTATATGCGCCATTGCTTGCGGGAGCGGCCACCGTTTTGTACGAAGGCAAGCCGGTAGGAACACCTGACACGTCTGCCTTTTGGAGAGTTGTGGAGGATTACAAGGTGAATACCATGTTTGCAACCCCAACAGCCCTACGGGCCATCAAGCAAGATGACCCTAGTAACACAAAGCTGGCTGAGATTGGAGAGCGTGGAGGCTTACAGTCACTGGAAGCTTTGTTCCTCGCCGGTGAAAGGTCCGAGCCGACTCTTGTCTCCATGTATCAAGAGCTTCTTGAAAGGCACGGTGGAAATAACGCAAATGTTATCGATAATTGGTGGTCAACTGAAGCTGGGTCTCCCATCACTGGCCGAGCGATTGCGCCTTACATCGGGCTGAGAAGTGAGGTTGAGTGGAAAGAGAACCTCCCTCCAATGAGGCCAGGAAGCGCCGGGAAGTCAATGCCAGGGTTTGATGTTCGAATCGTAGACGAGCAGGGCAAAGAGGTACCAGAAGGGTTGATGGGTAACATTGTCTTGGCCTTACCTCTTGGCCCGACAGCATTCAACACCCTCTGGCTGGGCGAGGAAAGGTTTTATGCCAGCTATCTGAAGCGGTTCGACTCCAAATTTCTGGATACTGGAGATGCAGGCTGGGTTGATCGGGATGGCTATGTCCATGTGATGAGTCGAAATGACGATGTGCTGAACGTCAGCGCCTATCGATTGTCAAGTGGTTAGTTCCAAACCTCCTTTTGACAACATTCAAGGTGCTGATTTCATGCCAAATGCAGGATCCATTGAGGAAGCCATTTCTTCGCATCCCCAGGTTGCAGAAGCGTGTGTGGTCGCTATTCCAGATGAGCTGAAAGGCCAGCTTCCATTCGCATTTATCTCTTTATCTGTACCAGATCACCAAGACTCAGCCATACCGACAGCGACAGTCGCGTCGGAGATTCAGTCGCTCGTAAGGAGTCGAGTTGGAGCATTTGCGGCTTTGGGAGGCATAGTACAAGGCAAATCTATGATACCGAAAACGAGATCCGGGAAGACATTACGGCGTGTGCTTCGGGAGTTGGTGGAAAATGGAGTTTACGGGGAATTCGATAAGAGTGTTGATGTGCCAAGTACAATCGAGGACGGAATGGCCGTAGAAGTTGCAAGGGCCAAGATTCGTGAGTACTTCGACAAAAACCAGGGTAAACACAAGGCAATTGAAGGGAGGGGAACGGCATGAGGCTGGGAATGTTTTAGAGCGTACAGAACAGACGACACAGACCATACTGGCATGAATGAATATGCATTATGATGTAGCAAATTCTAATACCAGTTTGACCTTTCTAAATAAACTATATCAAGGTATATAACGAGACATATGGTACGTCGTTGGTAGCTGTACGGTGCTCTTGACTAAATGGATTTTATATACTTTCAGCGTTTCTATGATTCTTTGATCTACTCCTGCGTCATATAAACAACCTTCTTCAGTCTCGCTTTCAAAGTAAAAATGCCAAGGTTGCTATATGATATGTGAAAAGAGCAAGCTCTTGTGCCAGAATGGCGGCGAGTTATCAGAGACTGTTTCTAGCCCGGTGATTATTTCTGGGGTCTCATCGCTCTTCCCGAGGAGGATTGCTTCGGCCAATACATGATGAAGATCTCGCTCAGAGACAATCATATAATCCAGACCTTTCAATGTCGAGATCACAGCCTCTGACCCTCCGCTGGTATCAATATTTTGGATGAATCCCAGCCCTATGATCGGACCAAGATTAACAACTGTTGCAGGGAGTTTTCGGGCGCGTCTCTGTAACGCCAATCCGTTCATAAACTATCAAGAAGTCAGCACGAAATGACTCATAAAAGAGACATAGTATCAAGCAACCTACATTGTTGGCAGCATCATAGTTTGATTGGAACTGCTGGCCAACCACAGCTGAGATGGATGAGAACAATATGAAGAACTCCAGGTTATCATCAGGGAAGACTTCATCCAGAATCAAAGACCCCTCCACTTTGGGTTTCATTACTATCTGCAGTGTGTCATACGTCAGATCGGAGAAGGAACAGTTTGACTGAACCATTGCCCCATTCGCCACGCCACCGATCGGGGGCATATTGCTCAGAATATAATCGCGGAGGTTGGTCATGTCTTGCTTCTTTGTAACGTCTGCTGCCTTAATCACAATATTGGCGCCCAGCCTTTTCAATTCGTCTTTCCAGAGTTGGTTTTGGTCAGGATTCCTGTTATTTTCAGCAGCAACTCATGATCAAAGTCTCATTATACGCACCGACTTGTGATTGCAACGTGGCGAGCGCCATTCTGTACCATCCATCTGGTGATAGATTGGCCAATATGCCCGCTAAGGCCAACAAGAACATAGGTCTTACTTGGCGAGAAAAGACCCGAAGGATCGATGGGGTGGATGATAGAACCAGAATCAGCTTTATCAATGTCTCTAGCCTCGATTCTCCGTCTGAAAGAGTTGAGACGGTCGTTGCGCTTCTTGTCAAAAAGCACCCTCGGTATGAAGAAACCCCTTCCTTGAAAAGATAGCTCTGGTTCGACTGTCCACAACCTATTTGAGCCATTGTCTCGCATCAACACACCTCCGATGAGCCGAAGGAAACTCTCTGCCACAATAGACTCAGTGCCATCGATTTCGTCCAGATCTAGGATCTGCAGAACCTTCTCGGGGCTTTCAGCTTGGACGGCTCGCACCAGCCCAATGGTGCCAGTTTGGTGTGGGTTCTGATTTCGAGCCCCATGAGTAACCCACAGCACTACCTTGGACTTATCCAACAGGTGGTGTAGACCTTTGAAAGTATCCGGGCTGAGGTCTTTTAATACCGACTGATCCAGCTCAGTCAAAGTAAGAACAGCTGCCACTTCATTTATGTTTATACTGTTCAAGTCGGCCAGTGACCTGATGGCGACGATCTCTCCTTCCCAGATACATTTCAACCTGCTTTGGATGATCTCGAGGTAACCTTGTATCTTCGTCAAGTAGCCACCTATTACAAGGAGTGTCCCCTTTGTGGCGAAGGGTAATTGAGTGTCCAGAGGAGCTGCGAGGAAGGCAATTTGATCGTCAACTGATTGGGACAGGATGACAAAGGAGCCTTCTGTGTCTTTTTCAGAGGAACCGATCACCGAAAAGCCAACATCCTGCAATTTTTCGTGGGATTCCCCGAAGGAAGTGTCTGTTGCCTTCAGTGAAAAGGCATCTGTCGGCGACATCGTCATCAGAAGAAACCCTCCTAGCTTCAACATAGTTCTGATATATTCAAATGTACCACGATTCTCTCTGCAAAAGCCCTGAAGAATTACTAAGTCAAAAGTACCTAAGTCAGCCGACCCGGGGACTTTTGCTTCGTCCAACACTTCGTCGCCCCTCGATATATCCAGAACCCCGAACTTGATAGCCGGGTGGTCCGATAGCATCTCCCGCTTCATATCCACTATAGCCTGGTATGAGGCATCAACAATCGTATATGAATCTAGGCATTGTCCCAAGCATTGACATATACCCTCTACCAAGTCAATCGAGGAGATTCCAACTTGGAGAATTTTTGACTTTGCGTATCGATGCGAAATTTGCCGGGTTGCCGCCAGTATGTATCTTTGGACCTGCGAAAGGCCCGAGCCCTCATAATTAGACGTACAATTATCTTGCTCGAGCCTTACCCCTGATAGAATGTCTTGTTGCCATGTGGTTTTTAAGTACAGCAGTTTGTCCTGCTCCTTGGTAGAGGGAGTCACGGGGCTCATCGTGAGACCTTCAATGCGCATCTGCAACCGGCCAGTCTCTGAACAGTAGACACTTGAGTCTCCGCTTATCCTGGGTAGCACCGCTTCGTACCCTGGGGTATATTTCTGTAGATATGTGTCGATTGTTACTGAGGCTGATGCATTGAAGCCGACAGATAAATTCGGAAAAAATGTTAATCGAGTGATATGTGTAGGTGTGAAGGCCGTCCACAATGAAGCATCCCGAGGGGCGGCGAAAGCAAGCAAGAGTGTCTGGAGGCAGACCTCTAGGCTGGTTGGATGAAGCAGAGTCAACCCTGGTAATTCATCAGCCGTGGGCACCAGCACCGCACGTGCAAAGTCCATACGCCTCTCCGCAGAAGTCAAACATCTGAGACGTCCAATATAACTGAGCCCGATTTCACTCAGTGAATTGTAGAATTGGTCGATATTAACAGGAATTAATCCACACGTATTGGGCTCTTTGAAGCAGAATGACGATGAAGTTTTGGGTGGCTCATAGTGTGCAAAACTAATGCGTAACTTTCCCTTAGCTGCAGAGGGCGTGTTTCTATCTTGCGCTGGGCTCTCGTTGAGACTGAACTCAGCTTGGATAGAGTCAACCCCATCATCAAGAGAGTTATTGAGGCTGGTTATAGAGAATGAGGTCTCAATCCTCACTGGAGCTGGCCCCTGTATAATGGAACTTCCAATGGCAACGTCGGAGATCTCAATGCTATTCACTTGTTTGCCATTGCTGATATCCACCGCTGCCGCAACAATAATCACCAGGAACAGAGATGTGGGGATAACACTTTTATTCTGTACACGGAAATCTCCCAGCCACGGCAAATCGTCCAAATTGAAGGCATGCCTCCATCTCGGCTCAGATGTCGTGGTACCTGGGACGCGACTCCCTGAAAAATTATTAGGCAATTCAAACATGACTGGTCACGCGGACAATGGAAAAGGAAATATCAATATCTCCCACGTCAATTGAAGTTGCTAGGTGGACAATTGGAGGTGCAATGCCAGGACTCCTGTGACATGAATATCTCACAGGGAGACAACTCAAATTTATAAGGGATGGATCCCCGCCTTTCCCTTATCTTCCGAACGATTCGGATACGACCGGTGGAGATCCTCATAGTGAAGGACCCTACGCGCTACAGTCAGAAGAAATAGCTGACGTTAATCAGCTCCTTCATTGTTCTACGACCTGCGCATCATCAAAAGCTCTTGCTTCACCTTTCTACAGACAGAGAGAACATTTCGTCAACATTATATTCCAAATCGCAACAGCACCCATAGCCACTATCGTTTCAATCTACTAGTGATATATTCCATTTAAATACAAATTCTTCTACACTGTCATGTCTTAAGCACCAACCGCAGTTGTTCCATTTTTTGAAGAGTATTTCTGCGCCATATATGTGAGATCGCCCCTCACAACATATCCAATGTGACTCAGGGCAAGTAGCTCTTTCATCTGCGGGCTAAGTGTGTCCTGAAGCTCCTTTGACAGCCTAGCTGACCAATTTGTCAAAGGTCGCATGTGAGGCGCAGAGTAATAAGCAAAGAGAATAGCACGATCCTCATCTTTCGTAACGTTCGAGCCGGAAGTGTGCCACAGACGTCCATCAATAACAACAATATCACCAGCATCCGCTTCAAAAGGGACCAGCAAATCAGGTGCGTTTTCAGGCACATCCTCCCATGTGGTCCACTTATTTGAGCCTGGGATATACAAAGTTGCACCATTTTCCTTGGTTGTCCTGGTGAGGCACCAAATGACGTTGACTGCCCAGTTATCCAACCACGGTGCTGGAAGAACAATACTCTGATCAGAGTGTAGGGCCATGCTCTCTGCACCAGGACGAGCAATGTTGGCGGAAAAATTGCTGACCAGCAGTTGTTCGCCGAGCACAGACTTGGCCAAGTCTAGTCCGGTCGGATTGACGAGCATGTCTCGCCAATATGCATCTATCTCTGGGAGATAGAAGACACGCACGTTGGCTGGGTTGGGATCCAAAATCGGCTGGAAAGTGCCCTCGCCACTAGCCTCAGAGACAGCTTTGGCTTTCCAAAGACGATCAAGTGCATCTTGAGCTTCCTCTTTAGAGAGGACGGAAGGGATTTTGACCCAACCATGCTCTTTCAGATGAGCCTTGGCATCTTCCATGTTCAACGCCATGATTTCGATGTTATTCTCTAGAATGTGATTGAGATTCATGTAATTCCACTCTCTGTGTCAAAGGATACTCACTCACCAGTTGACACTGTCTTTTGTGACTACTCCGGATTTTCAACGGCCCCGGCAAGGTACATGTAGTGTTCGGGTCATCTCACATACTAACTGCATGAAGCCAGAGAGGATTCGGTTGGCCATGAAAGGAAACAGCTCCGAAAATCTCGGTCGCAAATGCAGCACAGAGCACTGGCTGCCTTTATCCGATATACACTTGTCGTAGGGCGGGTTAAATTTGATTAAGCTGTAAGCGCTAAGAAAACACACATAAGGGGCCGCAGGGCTTTGATAACCATAATACTGATCGTATGATGACCCAAGTGCTCGAGGATCTCGGTGATTCAGATGTAATTGTCAATATGTACGTATCTAGTCAGAATATTACAAGGCGTTGGGGTCCACTGCCTCGTGACTATAATGCCGTACAATTAGCAATCATTTCTGAGCATACTTCCATTCTCTCTCAACCTCCTGGTAGCCCTTATTCCTCTCTCCAATCGATCGCGAGCAACCTTCGAAATGTCTCAGTCCATGAAGCCTCTTCTTCCACCCACAACACAACCACGCCAACATCTTACAGCTTCTGATATCGCTGTAGGCCACATGAATAAACACAAGCTCTGATATGGCAACTGCTAACGCACATGAAGTTCTTTTTTCCAAATCAGTTCAGTCTCGGCACGCTGCTCTGCATCGGTTCTCTCATACAGATGACCCTCTGCGCCATCCTCCCCCTCCACTACGCCGCGATCCCATGCGCAACAGCCCTCCTCATATCCATCCTCACCACAATGAAAAATTGCTTTCAGCCAATGACAAATCCGTTCATGGCTGACGTCATTCGTGGACGAGCCACAGCCCAGATCCCAAGCCAAGACGGCCAATATGGCCCCAGGCCAGGGAAGGGATCAGTGGTGGTTTTCCACCTCGGAATACAATACAACCACCCCTTGGGACTTTTTGCACCGCACGTGCTGGAAATCTCAAACCGGTTCCTCGCTCTACAAGAAGATATCCTTCTGCGCAAAGATGAGCTTGGGCTACTTGCCGTTGAAAAGTGGCGAGGCAGCGAGCGCAGCTCTAACAACACCATTTTGATCAAGTATTTCTTCAAAGACGTGGAAAGTATTCATAAATTTGCGCTCGAACCACTACATAAGGAGACATGGGCATACTACAATAAACATAACCCCGGACATGTGGGTGTCTTCCATGAGACCTTTATCACAAAAGATGGAGGGTATGAAAGTATGTATGTAAATTGCCATCCGACTCTGCTCGGAAGGGGCGAGGTGAAGGGTACAGCGGACTGGATGGGGACACTGGTCAGTGCTGATACGCCGGGGTTGAGATCCTTCGGGGCAAGATTGGGCAAAGATGACTAGAATTAAAGGGTAGGCCTCTCCTGGAACATTAACAGCACGACTGCCATGGCTTTCGCGCTTACTTTGCAAATATGTTGTCAGACAACGTCCAATGAAACCATGGTGCGCAGCTTCAACTTCACGAGTTCTGTGTCCCTGCGGACGTAGAAAGTACCCTCATATACTAGGTGGCCCCTTTATCGCTGGTCACACATTGCGCATTTCGTTATTTCTTTGCTTCTGCGCCTCCGGTGGAACCCTCGGGGATGGGAATGGGACCTCCTGGAGAGTTCGGCAGTCTCGCCGTCAAAACCTCGACGCCCGTTTCGGTGACAAGCATAGTATGTTCTGCCAAGTTTCAAATTAGTATAGACGGCCTGGTGTCTGAGAGGGTGATATATACCAAATTGCGCTGACCGTGCACCGTCTACGGTGACATTTGTCCAATCATCTGGCCAATACTTTTCCCGGTTGGTACCCAAAGAGAGGATAGGCTCAATTGTGAAGGTCATGCCAGGCTTGCATGTTCCCACGGCCTTGTTCTTTGCGTAGTGGGGGATCCAAGGAGGAGGGTGGAATTCCGAGTTGATACCGTGGCCGCCCCAAGTCTTAATAACGACGAGGCCCCTGGAGGTAGCATGCTTCTCAATAATTTTACCAAATTCTCGGATCGGTGTACCTGGTTTGATGATCGCGATAGCCATATCCAAGGCCTCCCGCGTTGTTTCAACGAGTCGAACTGAGTCTGGATCCGCCTTAGCTTTATCGCCAATGTAGTAGGTCTCGTTTAAGTCGGCATGGTATCCGCCGTGATACAGAGAGATATCGAGGTTCAGAATGTCACCATCGAGAAGGACTCGGCCATCGGGGATACCGTGACATACAACCTCGTTAGGAGATGTACACAACGACTTGGGGAAGTGGTTGTAATTCAGCGGAGAAGGATAGGACTACCTCACAATTTAGCAGATTGTTTAACATGTTACACATAAGGGTGAACATCACTTACCTCTCGCTCTATGCAAGCGTTGTGACAGATCTCATCCAAGTAATCTGTAGTTACGCCCGGCTTCATCGCCGCAGCAGTGATATCGAGGACTTCTCGAGCTAATCTGCATACCTTACGCATGGCCTCCTGGCCTTGTAGATCCAACAAGTCCCATTTCGACCTGCTCAGGCGCATCTCACGCTTCGGGATACCAGTCACGGCCCAGTCGGGGTGCTTGATTGTTTGGGGCACGGCCCGGCGCGGGGAGAGTGGGTATACGGGTCGAACCGAGCCAGTGTATGGGTATGCTGGGAATGGATCGTAAACACCGCTAGCTGCATCGCGATTAGACAACAAGATCAAAAAAATAAGCCGATTTAACAAGGACGAGGTGTTTACCAGTTTGTGATTTGTGGGCTGCCTTGTGTGTGGCCTGGATACGGATCAACGTTAGAATTTCAGTCTCAATCAGCAGCACTAAGTGGGCAGAACCAAGTGGGCTTAGCTTACCCAGTTTCGCTTGAAGCAATCTTGAGCGCAGAAGTAGTTTTTGACTCCCTGCTTCAGACAGGTTGGGCATTGCAACGTCCCAGCTTCATTATCGCAATCGGCCCCAGAGCACTTTTTCTCGGGATCGGACATTGTCGCGGGTAATGGAGATTCCACGTCCGCAGAGTGCTAGTGCTAGTAGAAGAGATATGCTTATCAAATCAAATTCTGCACGCCCTTAAATGGTGAAGGAGAAAAAGTCGCGAAAAGGTGAGAGAAGTCACATGTTGCCTACAGCAGTCTCGACAAAGAACAAGCCTGATCCACTTACCGAAGGAGCCCACATTTCTTTTACACACCGTATGAACTAGTATTTGTCTTACATTCATACACTGTCAGCAATATTCAGCAATATAACCCAATCGCTGCTGTCTCACAAAATCAAAGACAAGTGTATTCTTTACGTATTTAAAATGTATTCTACCCCATAATTATTGTTCCTGTACGGAGTACAGGTTCGGCGTTAAATAAATTTCTTCGGAGAAGTTACCGCATACAGAATGACACGTTGAGAGTCTCTTTGTTCATAGTGTTCGTAGGGACAACAGTAGATGTGATTCAAACCAGATATTCACATATCCACATATGTACATGTACTGTATCAGAACTGAACTAGACATAAGAGGAGCGATACCAGTTAAAATCAAGTCTCAAGGAGCTTCATGAAAGACCCTCGGTGATAGTGACCAAAGTAGCCCCCAAAATACAAACAAAGGCCGGAATATTGACCAATAATGTCCGTGCTCGGTGTTTGGGCAGCCACTCCTTAAGCGCGTTCTCATTCGGGACTCCAGCGGACTTGGCATCGCCAATGCGCCCAAGGATAGCGAACATAGTTGGTCCCCAGCAAAAATGAGCTATACTAAACAGCGCACCGGCCAAGTAAAAATTGCGAGCCTCGCGGCTTTGACCGCTTAAACCGTTGATAACGCAGATGATGGTCGCAGGAGGATAAGTTAACCCGATACCCCATATACCAGGGCTCATGAAAGCAGGCAGGTATCTAGGAAGAATTTTGCCACTGGGGTGGGCTGCGTCATTGCGTAGGGACGGGTGGAGGAATGCTCCAAGAGAGATGTCTTGTGACCAGCTGAACATCAAGGACGCAGATGATATAACAAGTGGCGAAATTCGAAGCAGCGCTGTCCCCAGCTGGGAGACATTGTTTGAGTCGAATGCAGATGTCATTTTAGTCAAATGTGGTTGGCCAAAGGCTCCACGAAGCAGAGACCTGCACCTTGAATATTATATCATATAACTCTGAGCGTTACGACTATTGACGCCGAGAGTATCGGAAAAATAGATCGGGAGATCAGAGATTGACGACCCTGGACACCATATGCCCCCGAATGGGTCATGGCCACTGTCTGCAAGAGAATTATTCCTTTTGCTCGCGGCTTACCACCTCTGTCACAAAACAGACAAAGACCCACTGTCGTGCGCAAACACGTATTATAAGATTTTGATGCTGACTTGGTCATGTTTCGGCAACCACTCCGTATACGGACTCCATTCGGTGTCACCGAACTCTGGCTGGTATCAAGTTCTGACATACCGAGGGAGCATCGGGCGTACTCGACCCCATGCGGCAATTCATTCCTTTTAAGGGACGGTGTCGGTTCGGATATGCATACTAGTCACCGACCCCAAGAAGGCTATGGATCGTAAGCCAAAGAGCTATAGCAAGGCTGTTGATGATGTAATCTCTCAAAGCTCGATCGGAGAGTGTGTGAGCTATACCAAAGAATAGTGACGCGCGATCCACTCTGTGCCCTATTGTTTTTTGCTCAAGACACACCAATATCACTTCTTGAGGCTCAAATTCACGTTTCGGTGTTGCAACAAAAATCAGATTGTTGACAATGAGTAAAGTTACTCCAGACTATGACGCCATTGTCATCGGCGCAGGCTTCAGTGGTGTTAGATCTCTCTGGGAGCTGGATCGACTAGGCTTGACCGCGAAATGCTTCGACGCTGGGTCAGATGTGGGCGGCACCTGGTGGTGGAATCGCTACCCTGGATGTCGGACTGACGGGGAGGCTTGGGTATACGCGTTGAAGTTCCTGCCAGAGCTTCTTGAAGAATGGGACTTCACTGAGCGTTATCCCACCCAGGAGGAGATTCAATGGTATCTGGGTCGTGTTGTTGACCGTTACGACCTACGCAAGAGCATTGAGTTCAACACAGAAGTCAAGTCGGCCCACTACAGCGACACCGATAACATCTGGACGATCACTACTGCGAATGGGGTGGTCGCTACCGCTCAATACTTCTTGCCTGCCACGGGCATCACATCTATTCCCAAAGAGCCGTCATTCCCTGGACTTAAGTCATTCAAAGGAGAGATATATCAAGCATCCACATGGCCAGAACATGAGGTCGACTTCCAAAACAAGCGAATCGGTGTCATCGGCACAGGTTCGACCGGCATTCAAGTTATCACCAAGCTTGGGCCCGTCGCTGAACAGATGACTGTTTTCCAACGAACTCCAAATTATGTTATCCCGGCTCAAAACTATGCTCTCGACGAACACAAAAGGGAGGATATAAAGAGAAATTTCAATGATTACTGGGATATCGCGAAGGTCAACCTGGCCGGTCATGCGGTCAAGCATTCGGGGAGAACGGTGACAGGTCTAGAGGACCCGGAAGAGATTAGAAGTATCTTCGAAACTGGCTGGGCGCGTGGCTGTTATGATTTCCAGCTCGGCGCCTTTGATGATTCTTTCATGCATCCAGATGCCAATGCGGCCACAGCGGAGTTTATTCGTGACAAGATCAAGTCTATCGTTCAGGACCCTCATACCGCTGAGGCTCTGTGTCCACAGTATCCTTTCGGCGCAAGACGCCCTCCGTGCGCAGACGGTTACTATGAGACTTTCAATCGGCCAAACGTGAAACTCATTGATACTAGCAAGGACGAGATCGAGATTTACGACAATGGTATCAAGACTGCCTCTGGTGGAGAGTTTGAGCTTGACATGATCATTCTGGCACTGGGATTCGATTCAGGCACAGGCGCAATGAACAAGATAGACATCAGAGGAAGCCAGAACAAGTCCCTCCGAGAGTCTTGGGAACAGAGACTAGAGACATTCGCCGGTGTTTTAGTCCATGGATACCCGAACATGTTCATTGTCTGCGGTCCTCATTTGCCCGCCGGAAACCAGCCTGTCAGTCTTGAAGCATTCGCAAGTTGGATTGGCAAGACCATAGAGCATATGGAAAACAATGGTCTCGCAAAGATCGACGTGTCTGGCGAAGCCATGAATGCGTGGACGACGCACGTCGAGGATGTGTGGGCTGGTTCGTTCCTAGCCAAACACGCGCATGAGCAAGGGTCTTGGTTCGTCGGCACCAATATTCCCGGGAAGCCATCAAGAATCATGTTCTACTTTGGTGGAATGGTACACTTGGAGCCTTGGCTCATCAAGGAGCTGGACACTCAGTGGTCAAGCATGAGCTTTACGCCTGCTGACGGCGCTAAGAAGGCTAACAACGGTGTCTCAAAATTGCCAACCACCGTGGGTGGCGTCCATGTCACACCTGAGATACTGGAGTCTGTTCAAATTCCTCTCGAAGCCGACAAGGCTGGCATGACCGTGGCGGAAAAGTCTGTCCTTGTCAATGCCGCTACCGCCGTCTATATCGACGCTGCTGTCAAGGAAATGCGAAGGCGCGGATTGACTCCGAAGCAAGATTATCGCGTCCATTGGTGGAAAGTGATGCAAGATTTTGTTGATTCTGAGGAAGCGCAAAAGGCCATCCAAGAATCGTCTTTGACAATGGAAGGTGTCGCGAGCTTGATCTCCAGACTAGGCATTGAAGGCGAGGTGATTGCAAGAATGGGCCCAGAGATTGTGAATATTCTGATCGGCAAAACCCACGCCCTTGCGCATATCATGAGAGATAATCTCCTCTTCCGCGTGTATCTCTCGGATGAGGGCCGGCGTGCCAATCGCTACGCGGCTGAATACGCCAAAATTCTCACTTCGCAAAGGAACGGGATCAGAATTCTGGAGATCGGCGCTGGAACAGGTGGTACCACTACGGAAGTGCTCAATCTATGCAGTCCCAATGGTGAGCCATTCTGTGCCGAGTACATGTTCACAGATCTCTCACCAGGCTTCTTCAATACTGCCAAAACGACGCTGAAGAAATGGGAGCCTCTGTTGGCATACAAAGTCCTGAATGTTGAACAAGATCCCTCAAGCCAAGGCTTTGAAGAGCACACATACGACTTGATCCTTGCTGCCAACGTCATACATGCTACCAGCCGTCTGTCGGAGACATTGAAGAACGTGCACAAGCTACTAAAGCCCGGTGGTGTCTTCGGTCTTGTGGAGCTCACAAGGTTAACTCCCTTTTATAACCTCACATTCGGGCCTCTTTCTGGGTGGTGGGCTGGTGTTGGCGAGGGAAGAACGGAAAGCCCTTTACAATCTCCTGAGCAGTGGGATGAGTTGCTTAAGCAGACTGGCTTCTCTGGGGTCGATCTCGCTGCGTACGATCTTCCTGGGCCACAGAGACACAGCTGTCTCTTGCTGGCGACATCCTTAGCCACTTCCACTACAATTGGTCATTGATTCCTTTCAGTTAGATTCAGTTAGATTCATCAGCAATGTGCAAATCAACCTCTGACATAATCTTTGTACATATCACTCCTTTTCAACTCTATTATGTTCTAAATTAATCCCCTTCATTTGATATAAACAACCCTAATAAATCGGTCTCCCCATCCGCCAATTCTCGTTCTTGAGTTCATATTCAACTGTAGAAACGATGTTTACGTAGCACGAGCAACCGCCGCTAGTTTGAAAGGGTTGATCTTCGCCCATCAAGCCTGCATAGGAAGCGTTGCCGATCAAAACCCGCTTGGACATCGAATGCTGGGTACAAGTGGTCAGGGGGCGCCGAAAATCCCCCAGGTCGGTGCCAATACTCCGGATCAGGCGACCACGGCCGAATCGCAATTCTCGGGCCTGATCTCAATCTAATACTTGACCAGTCTGTCGTGCTACTGATGTATATAATCAGAGTCTCGCATTATTTAATCTCCTACAGAGATTCCTTGAAATCGAATTTCAATGGCTGAACCTATTCAGAAGAAGCGCCTCCTGCGCATGACGGTAGCGCACTATCGGCAACCCAATGTCAGTGAAGAAGAGTTCTACCAATGGGTCACAGAACAACATGCTGCCCGTGCAGCGAAGCTTCATGCCAAAAATGGGATCGAGGGTTTTTCAATCGTGAGTACCTGATCGGGCAAGAGAGCACGAGTCAATGTCAAAATAACAGTATTTTCAGTTCTTTGCCCCCAAGTCGTTCCGTGACTTCACATCGGAGCTCAACAATATGCGCGGCAATCCCTGGCGGGTGCGTGACTTCGACGCTCAGGTGGAGTTTTTGTTTCGCGACATGGAAACGTTTTACAGGGGAGCAGCGGACGCAGATTTCCAAGCGCTCCAGGCAGAGGAGGGACCCTTTATTAGCGGCGAGGGCGCAGAGATCAGTATCGGTTGGATTGAGACGTATGTCAGTGACGGTAAAGTAGTCAACCTCGATGATGCTGGCAAGCCTACCTTCTCGGCCTTTGCGGACATGAGTAAGGCGCCGTAGCCGAAGATCGTCGCTATGATGCATACAAAGGTTTCACATACCGAATACACCGAACTTGATATATCAAGTCTTCTGATTGAAATAGGCCGTGAAACATTTGTTCTTGTGTCAGTGCGTAAGTTTGTGTGATTTATCACTATTTGTATAAGAACACGAGCTCTTCCTATTTATCTGACAGATGCAAACTACCACAACATCACCCTCCTCTCAAACAATGTATGCACCAATCCACACATCCCTTCAGTTTGTATCGGGTTTAACATAATCAAAGCATAACGCGCTGATGAGCTAGCTTGGAAACAGTATGCACCAGCCGTAATGTGGTATCTTCATTCGTTTCAATGGCCTGCAAGGTGACCTTCGCTACGCTAGAAAGCCCATCACCAACATCCGAATCTCCATTCAAGGTTCGCTTCTCCCTGACTGAAGGCCCGGAGGAATCAGTCTTGGACGCCGATCCAGTGCCGTTATTGCATGCAGGTTTCATAATCTCGCTAATGAGGGAATGCATGTGCAACATGTTTGTCTCAAGAATGCACGTCAAGACGATGGTCTGGATAGCCGAGGTCTTTGGTATTTTAAACGAGCCCACGGTTAGGTTCGGCAACTGGGACGGAAAGGAAAAATCGCCCTCGTCTTCATTCAGAGTTGCAGTACCTTTGACCCCCAGCTTTAGTCGCGCCTCTAACCATGCTTTCATATGCTGCAGAATCCTATCGTAGATTTCAAGGAGACACATATAGCTCGAAAGAACAAGCAATTGTGATGGTTGGTCCAATGTGAGCTGTGCTAGTGGCTGGGTATCATTGCTTGATCTGGATGACTCCAGCCTAGCGCAGATGCTAGTCAAGAGTCCCGTGTATTGAGCTGACAACCTACAGGTGAAATCCACTGGAAGCCGTGTTTCGGGTTCCATGGAGCTCAGAGAGGTTCTTGAACTACTCCGTGCTCTTTGCCTCGTCTCAACCAAGGGTATCGAGTGCATATGGTGATGGAGCAGCAAATTGGTGTCAGAAAGCTTTCGAATCCACGAAGTCATACTCGAGGGATTCGTGTCAAACGGTGGATTCGAGATCTCCCCCTGGTCTTGCTTATTGCTCTGCAGTCCTGAGCTCTCATCTTCTCCATCGCCGTAAGGTGACTGCAGCAGATCGGAAGGCGATAGCTCGTTACCATACCCAGAGTCAGTACCTAGGTCTTTGCTATCGGAAGTGTTTGAGTTTGCTCTCGATTGATCAAAGTCCGCCATGATGTCATCCTGGCCTTCCTGGTGTGCATTCTGCGGAGAAGTGTTTCTCCCAGGAGAGACACGATGTCTAGGATATGTTGAGGGGAAGGAGGAGTGCATGGTGAGCGGTAATGAGAAGTCGCACAAGTCTTCTGAGGTTCCCTGGCTGGGAAGATCACCCCAGCGTGTCTGCACCGTTTGTTGGGCAGTCCTCAAATGAGATGATGATTCCTGGGGGTATCTCTGTTGATTCGTGTGGAGAGGGTGTCCGCGTGACTCGGGCTCTGCAGGATCGTACCGAGAGGTCAGTGCAGGATGGATTTCCGATTGCAACGAGGAATCCAATTCAATATTCAAGTCGGTCTGCATATCCAGCACGCCCATCGGGAGATAATTGAACTGGTCTGAAATGTCGTTGTTGGTATCATTGGCTCTATCATTTTCATTCACTAATTGAAGTTAGCCTGCCGTTATTGAAATGCATATGGCAAAGTAGTTCTCATACATTGCATACTTACCGTGATGTTGTCGTTCGCTCTCGCTGTTTGCAAGACTTTGTGGCTGCCCTTGAGGAGGTTCCTTGTTGGATTGAGCACGGGACCGCAATCTCATCGGCCGTGGAGTGCATCGCACGCCTGCCCTGGTACAGCGCACACAATTGTTGCTATTACTTTCTCTTCGACACCGTAACTTTTGGCCATGGCACCGATCGCAGGCTCGATGGGAAAACCCCAAGTCGTGAATAAGTAAATTCATCACACGTTCGGTCAACAATGAGACGACTCCCTCTCTGCTGGTAGTGCATGGGTTTTTTCCTGATCAGAGAATCGTTCTACTCAAAGTAGAAATGAGGAAGCACGAGCGATATGCCACCGAACTCTGAGGAAACTCGGTGGGGCTTCGGTGATCGGTCTGACAACGACATATGGATAATGGTCTTATTTTGGACGTGCATGCAGCAGCACTGGTTTAAACGCTCGCCTTCGCGTATTCCTGATATCCCCGCTGCAGATTATTTGGATTTTCCATCAGACTGCAAGTTTAATCCACTGAATTGGGGGCCGAAGCAATGAAAGGCATCTTCATTGGTCGACCATACTGACATGCAGAGATAGGGTAGCATCTGTTGAGGCGAGGCGCTTCTGTACTCAGACGGGGGCACCGGGCCGATGGAATGAGACACACAGACAAATCTTTAATCAGTAATGGGAGGGGGATCGTCGTAAGCAGTTATGCAGTCAGAATCGAGGCGGGGTGCGCCACAAGTCATTATAGTCCTTGTTGTTGGCATGGCATATGGCGATTATCTTATCATGAAGAATCTCCATGTATTCCTTTCTCGCATGGACCGTAACTCCTTTAGCCCACAAACAAAAAATATTCAGAGCAAGAGCAAGGACACCGACAGGCGAGTTGTTTTTCTTGCCTTGGCTGAGCGGCTCCACATATCACTCCACTCCTGACCGAATGCTGGAATGTTTAGATTTTACGGAGTAAGCACGGAAACACTACGGAGTAGTTGATACAGTAGTTGTTGGAGTCAACAGTGGCAACATGCAGGTGTGAATAATTCAATATATCCACCGGCCGTTAATAACCATCTTCAGAGAAAATAGTCAAATTGAGTTTTTATCCTATACGAACCCGATTTTCTCTTACAAACAAACCTTTTATCTTGTATTTTAGCCTTTTTCCCAAGGGAGTGGAATAGAGTCGATTTGTACGATGAAACATAAGTGAGCGAGACGTAATATAAATTTTAGCCCACACCTTTACCCATATCGGGTTCAATGCAGCAAAACTCATCAATCTACTACATCTTTTTCGTCAAGAAACTTGCTACATTGTCGAACATCAGTTCATTGTCATCTTTCTATGCGCTTATGATGCCCTATTTTATATTGCTGTCCACTGGTTGATTTCAAGTTTCGTCTAGGATTCTTTGAAATATAGAAATGCGATAACTATCCCTCAATATTATTGCATAAGATGGTTTTTCCATGTGAGCTGTTTCTAGACCCTTTTTTCTGTTGAGCCGCCACGTGAGTATGTGGTTCAAATATTACTGTATTCTCGTTACAGCTAGTGGTATTTGTGGAGATCAGCCGTGGACGGTTAGTCCCTTTATCCTCTATGGGCCTAAGGCTAGTATTTTAAGCGCTAATTATGCACGCTAATGCGTTTCGCATCCGACTGCCCAGGTGCCTACCTCGCGTTTTTGTTCCTTTGTGCTTCGTGGGAAATTTACACACATTCAGCCCCCCAAACATCCTCTACCCCTCTTCTTCTTTTCTTCTTGAATCGTTGCGGCTTACTGAGGCTTACGGCTGGCCATTCGTGTGAAACATGTCTATAGACCCAGAGCTACTAAAAAATTTGGAGATCAGCGGTAAGGGTCCAAGAACAAGATACTCGACATATATTAAGTGGCGAGAAAAGCTAATACCCGCTTCGAGTACGCAGTCGCTGGTGAAAATGGAGCCGATACTTCTGTTTCTCCCCCTGCAGTAACCGGGACTTCAAAGGAAACGGAGGACTCCGACGATGATGTGGCGGAAGATAGCCCAGCAGTAGCTGCTGGGAACGGTAGTGCCAAGAAAAAAAGAACAGAAAGAAGAAGCCCAAGAAAAAGCAACCCAAAGTTCAGACGGATCCACCCTCGGTTCCCTTATCTCAACTATTCCCAAACAATACCTATCCCAAAGGCGAAGAGGTTGAATACAAGGACGATAATCTATGGCGAACCACCAATGAGGAGAAGCGATACCTCGACAATCTCAATAGTGACTTCCTCTCTGATTATCGCCAAGCCGCTGAGGCACATCGCCAAGTCCGTCAGTGGGCACAGAGAAGCATTAAGCCCGGTCAAACGCTCCTCGAAATTGCCAACGGCATTGAAGATAGTGCGCGACGTCTGGTGGGTCATGATGGCCTGACCGAAGGCGACTCTCTGATAGCCGGCATGGGATTCCCCACCGGTTTGAATATCGACAACGTTGTCGCCCACTACAGCCCAAACGCTGGCTGCAAGACCGTGCTTGCGCAGAACAATGTACTGAAAGTAGATATTGGCATTCATGTAGGCGGTCGGATTGTTGACAGCGCTTTCACGATGGCGTTCGATCCAGTTTACGACAACCTACTGGAAGCGGTTAAGGACGCAACGAATACTGGTGTTCGCGAAGCTGGCATCGACGTTCGGGTGGGAGAACTAGGTGGTCTTATTCAGGAGGCAATGGAAAGCTACGAGTGTGAAATCAACGGTAAGGTCCATCCGATCAAGGCGATTCGCAACTTGTGCGGGCACACAATTCTCCCGTATTCCATTCATGGCACCAAGAGTGTCCCCTTTATCAAGTCAGATGATATGACAAAGATGGAGGAAGGAGATGTCTTCGCGATCGAAACCTTTGGCAGTACCGGTAGCGGCCGATACGTTGAAGGAGGAGAAGTATCACATTATGCTCTGCGTGGTGACGCAAACCCAAAGAACTTGGCTTTGTCTTCTGCCAAATCCGTGTTGGGGGCTATCAAGAAAAACTTCAGCACGATCCCTTTCTGCCGACGCTATTTGGACAGAATTGGCCAAGAAAAATATCTCCTCGGTGTATGAACCTCCATTCTTGGTCCGTGGTTGAAGTCTTTGACTAACAACTGAAACAGCTGAATAGCTTGGTGAAATCCGGAATTGTTGAAGACTATCCACCTTTGAATGAGAAGGAAGGTACTTACACAGCCCAGTTTGAACACGTAAGTTATTTCATTGTTTTTTATAAGGAGAACAGCGACTAATATGGAAACAAGACCATTCTACTTCGACCAAACATCAAAGAGGTCATTAGTCGCGGAGACGACTTCTGATCTTACTCACTATTATTCTTCTAGTTCTCTAGGCCGCATTCAAATGGCTGCAGAAATGTGTATCACGGCTCATAGGTTGACACGAAGCTCTGGAAAAATGACATGACAAGTACTGAAATAAATAAAATCTCCCTTGATGTCTTACTCGATCCTCAATGTGCTGTAGATCACCTCCCACTCTGTGATAGCTTCAAATAATCAATCTGTGTAGTTGTGAGGTCTCGCTGATGGAGAATTCCTATTCGCTGCGCGCTCTCGGACATATACCGAGGGTTCGGGCAACTTGACCTTCGGTTTTAGGAATTTCTTGATTTTCGGTGTTTGAATATTGCTTACGGCCCCTCCTGGGGCCTCCGTAATTTGCCTCCAGTGTCAGCGCTAGCTTGGTTTCTAGTCGGAGTGATGCACCGATCGGACTACTATCGTCTTGTGTAGATGTACGCATAGTACGGCCACTAACCCTGCTAGCTGATGCTGGTTTAACTCATTATTAAATACCAACATCTGACGAATTTGGCAGACATTGACATCGCATCTAAGTCTGTGTTTCCTCCCACTCAGATCATTCCAACCATGGCCGGCATTACAGAGCAGTTAATTGAAAAGCTTAACGCTATCGAGGTAAATATTTTTGAGGAGCAGGATGCCACGCGTCAGCAGCTGGCTCTGGCGGCCCGCAAACTGTTCCACAAACTGGAAACAAAAGAAGAGAAGACCATGCGCCTCGCTATAGAGGAACCAATCATGTTCTCTGTCCTTCAATCTCTCATCGACATTGGTCTGTTTGAGAGCTGGACAGCTGCTGGCGGTGGTGAAAAGGATGTCAACGAATTGGCCAAGCTCAGCAAAAAGGATATGGAACCGGAGCTGCTATGTAAGATTTTGATATTTGTCACATAAATAGTGATAGAAGATGTGTACTAATTAAAGCACAAGGTCATCAACTACGACTAATGGCCGCAAACCATATCATCGAAGAAACAGCAAACGACCGCTATCTGCCTACGCCTTATTCCCTTGCCATTGGAGACAAGAGCACTTCAATTGGCAACGGTCTTCGCATCAGGTAAGCTGCACTATTTATTCAGTATGTGGATATTGAGCCCAAACATACTAACGTGATCACCCACCAGAACCGATCACGTCGCACCATGTGCTATGCATTGGCCCGAATTCTTGGCTAAGACAAATTTCCGTAAGCCCCGGGATGACAAGGCCAGTTGCTACATCGACACCTTCCCAGAAAAGAAAAGCTTTTTTGAGCGTTGTAGTGCAAACCCTGTACACCAGGAAAGCTTCTCCTCTTTCATGGATGTGTGGGCCAAAGGAAAGAGAGCCTGGCCGCAGTTCTATGACACCCAAGCACTGCTTGACGGCGCCGATCTGAGCAATGGTAATCCTTTTGTTGTAGATGTTGGAGGACATCACGGCATAGATCTCATGCGTGTGGCGGAGAAGCACCCAGATCTGCCTGCCGGTTCTCTTGTGCTGGAAGACCTACCAGAGGTTGTTGGACCTGTCAAGCTTACCACAGACAAGATCAGAACTGTCGCCCACGACCTCTTCGAAGAAGGCGCCGAGCAGCCCATCAAAGGTAACACAGCTTTTTGATTATATTACAAAGTACGATGTTAACACATATAATTAGAAGCCAGAGCTTATTTCATGCACGCCGTCTTGCATGACTGGTCGGACGAAACATCCGTGAAAATCCTGAAGCAGATTGCTGCTGTCATGAAGCCCGGTTACTCTAAAGTGCTTATCAATGACATTGTCATTCCATCCACGGGCGCTAGTTGCTACCAAGCAGCCATGGACTGCCTTGTTCTACAGGCTTCAGCTAATGAAAGAACCGAGGCTGTGTGGAGCAAGGTCATCAAGGATGCTGGTCTTAAGCTTGTAAAGTACTACCCTGACGGTCGTGGGTATGAGAGTGTGATTGAGGCCGAATTGCCATGAGCAGAGATCTCATTTCGCGAACAGGGAAGGAGGACGAAATTCATACCTGTAGCTTGCTTGCCACACATGTCTCTCAAGTGTTTATAGATTTGCAAGACTTAGATCAGTGAATTGAGGATACTTAAGTTTACATTTTCCAGTCATGGATTCTAAATCCGATAGCAAGATGTTAAGGATATCTGCGCAAGTTGTGCCCTCCTGTATACCCAATTCAGTCTTTTTTTTTCTCATACCTACTACTGAGGTATCACTCCTGGCCGAATTAATCATCAAATTCCACACCCAAGGATGCACTTTCAAGACGTCTCAACACAGACAGAACATTGCCGCATTCAACTTGAAGCGGATGCCAAATAAATAAACACGAAAAAACTCCAGAAGAATAATGAAAAGTTGAAGTCTTTTGAGGATATATATCATGTACATTTACATAATCTAGAAGTCCAGATATTTCTTCATAAAATCAAGCTGCCTTTGGAGAACTTCTTCCGCTCCCTCTCCGTTAATGACATCCATATGGCCTCTACCAGCGACCAGATCGAACTCTTTTTTCGGTTCAGGAATCATATCAAATACCGCTTTCTGATCTGCAGGTGTCGAGATAGTGTCCTCGGCGGGAGTGACCATCATGGCCGCCGTCCCTTTGATGAGACGCATAGCCCCGTAAGGTTGCCAAGCCAGAACGTGGTAGTAGCTCTGAACTGTCGTCTGGTTGGTGAAGAAAGAAGTCCCAAGGAATGCACGGAATTGCTCCATGTTGTACTGGTTACCCCACCCAGCTGGGTTGTAGCCATCATCACCAACAAAAGGAATATATACCGGGTCATTACCGGCGATGGTGGAGATGCGATCCTGCATTGCCAACGCCATGACATTGTTCTTTTCCTTCTCTCGGAAGTCGTAGTTGGCAATCGGCGTCACAGAAATGACTGCCCCAACACGATGATCGAGACCGGCTGCAACAAGCGCTGTCATGGCACTGAATGAGTAACCATACAGGGTAATCTTGTCCTCATCGACCATTGGATGACGAGTCATGAAGGTAAGCGCATCGTGGAAATCTTCCACAAGCTTGGCAGGCTTGACATCGTTGCGTGGTTCACCATCACTGGCACCAATACAACGATTATCATACAACAATACAGTTACTCCCTGCTGTTGGAACCAGGCCGCAACATCGGGTAAGAGTATTTCTTTTGGGGTATTAAACTAGAAGTATTCAGGATTTGGTCTACAATGAAAGGTTCATAATCAGACGTACCCCTTGATTCATAACAATAGCCGGCCCACGAATTGTCCCTGGGTAAAGCCATCCTCGTAATGTTAACCCATCAAAGGTAGGAAACTCGACATCCTCGCGATTCATCGTTGGTATGTGTGCTCCACAGGAGGTTGTAAAGGTGTTAAGAAAGTACCAAAATCTACCATTGAGAGTGGCAAGATATCAACAGAAATAAGCGACAACATACTGTAATCCGAACATCATGGTAAATTCGGTATTTGAATCGGCAACCGACCCCTGTGGAAGGCGCTAGACCAAGAAAACTCATCGAAACAATGAAGTTGATTGGAGAAGAAAATATTTAGAAGTAAGATTGGAGAAGAAGCATAGGATGCCTGAAGGGCAAGGCATAAATGTAAGATTTCGGTGCCGAAAAAGGAAATGATGCCGATCCCACGGTTTCCACATACTATATCCAATGCGTGGGGATATCGGCAATATGAGTAGAAAGTAAGCCTGGACACTAAGATAATTGTAGCCCCCACTCTGAATAGAGTCAAGAGCTAGGTGTAATCTCGGTGTTTCAGGATATCAGGGTATTCGAGAGGAGACCTAGTTAATTCGTATCTTATTTTGCTGTCTCCTAGATCATTGCTAAAACATATCTCTCTGCATCATAAGCGCATCAATAACAAGTTATCTTTCTGTTGCCACAAAAGCGAAATGACAGTCACAAATGGCATCAGGCACATCCAGGATCCTCCAGAACCCATCGCCATCGTTTCTGCGGCCTGTCGACTACCAGGGCATGTGAACAGTCCGCACAAATTATGGGAACTCCTCCAGTCTGGCGGCACTGCCGTTTCCAACGAGGTGCCAAAATCTCGTTTTAGCTCCGAGGGACATTTCGACGGGTCAGGTAGGCCTGGAACCATGAAAGCTCTGAGTGGCATGTTTATCGAAGATATCGACCCTGCCGCCTTCGATGCTTCCTTTTTCAACATCACCCGGGCTGATGCTATCTCTATGGAGCCTCAGCAGCGTCAGTTACTTGAAGTAGTGTACGAGTGCTTCGAGAATGGGGGTATACCAATTGAGGAAGTGAGTGGGAAGGAAATTGGCTGCTATGTCGGCAGCCTAAACGGCGGTAAGAGCGTTCAACAATCTTAATATGTGATATTTCCAAATATAAGCCGCGATCCTAATTGATGTAGATTATCATGACATGCAGATGCGGGACCCCGAGCAAAGAATGGCAGGTCATGCGGTTGGTACAGGTCGTGCCATACTAAGTAACAGAATTAGCCACTTTTTCAATCTACAAGGATCAAGGTGAGATCTCCAAGTTGACCCGGGGCAGTCCGCTGTTTGACCGTTGCTAACACCAAATTCATCATAGTTTCACAATTGATACAGCTTGCTCGAGCGGCCTTGTGGGGGTTGATGTAGCCTGTAAAAACCTCCGGGCAGGCACATTAAGCGGCGCAGTCGTGGCGGGTGTCAACCTCTGGTTATCACCAGAACATACCGAGGAAAGGGGCACTATGCGGGCAGCATATTCAGCAAGTGGCAAATGCCATACGTTCGATGCGAAGGCTGATGGTTATTGTCGAGCGGAGGCGGTAAATGCTGTGTACTTGAAACGATTATCAGATGCTGTGAGGGACGGCGACCCTATCCGTGCATTGATTCGCGGGACAGCAAGCAACAGCGACGGGTGGACTCCCGGAATCAACAGCCCCAGCTCCGAAGCTCAAGCGGCAATGATACGCGAAGCTTATAAAAATGCCGGTATTGACAAAAACCACTATATCGAGACCGGATACCTTGAGTGTCACGGAACCGGCACACCCGCGGGAGATCCTCTTGAGGTCAAAGGTGCGGCGTCAGTGCTTGCTCACATGCGCCCACATACAGATCCGTTGATCATCGGCTCAGTGAAGAGCAACATTGGGCACTCGGAGCCAGGGGCAGGTCTCTCAGGACTCATCAAGGCTATGCTGGCTGTGGAGGAGGGTAAAATCCCTGGAAATCCAACTTTTTTCAACCCGAATCCTGCGATCAACTTCGATGACCTCCGGGTGCATGCCACACGACCAGGTATTGCGTGGCCCAAAGAATCACATCACTACCGACGTGCAAGCGTCAACTCCTTTGGTTTTGGTGGCTCCAATGCACACGCAATCTTAGACAATGTGGATCACTACCTTGCAAAACATCACACATTCCCAAAGCTACCCAAATCTCATGTCAGCTCATTTATAAATTTGTCCGACATGCTTTCCCTCTTTGACGGGCTTCAATCTTCCAAAACGGTCACTCAGCGCCCCCAAGTACTGGTCTTCTCGGCCAATGATATGGATTCGCTGAAACGCCAAATAATGACCACTTCGGCCCATCTACTCAATCCTCGAGTCAAAGTTAAGCTTTCAGATCTCAGCTTTACACTTTCGGATCGGCGATCCCGCCATTTTTGCCGTGCATTTCTATTAGGCTATCCAACAAAAAGTGGACATGCCAGTAAGCTCGCGATAGAGGATGCTCAATTCTCCAAGACACCACAAGAGGAGGCCAGAATTGGCTTTGTATTCACCGGACAGGGCGCCCAGTGGTCCAAAATGGGTGCAAAGCTTGTCGAAACATTCCCGGTAACCTCCAAGCGGGTCCTCGAGGAATTGGACAAAGCGCTACAAGAATTGCCATTAGACATTAGGCCAGAGTGGTCACTGCAGGAGGAACTCACTCAAGCGCGATCCTCTGAGCGCCTTAGCCAGCCAGAATTCTCCCAGCCTCTCGTCACAGCTCTACAGCTTACACAACTAGCCGTGCTGGAGTCCTGGAATGTTCGCGCAGAAGGCGTTGTCGGTCACTCTTCTGGTGAAATAGCGGCTGCGTGCAGTGCCGGGTTCATCACGCCTAGACAGGCCATTCTCAACGCATATTTCAGAGGGATTGCGGGTAAGAGTGTGCTATCGACAAGCCGAAAAGGTATGATGGCTGTTGGGCTGAGCGCAAAGGATGTACAGTCTTACATTGATGACGCCAATGTCTTCAAAGACGATGTGGTAATTGCTTGCTATAACAGCCCTGCTAGTGTCACTATATCCGGATCGGCCTCCAGCTTGGCAGAAGTGGAAGACCGAGTCAAGGCAGCCGGACATTTTGCTCGAATTTTGAGAGTTGAAGTGGCATACCACTCACATCATATGACTGAGATCGCCGACCGCTATGAGAAGCTGTTGATTGAGCACGGTGGGTTAGAGGAATGTGGCAAGGTCACTCCGGTTTCGAAATATATGATATCAACTGTGACTGAGAATGAAGTTACTGGAAGCGAAGTTTGCACCGCGGCATATTGGAAAGCGAACATGCTGTCGCCCGTCCGATTCGATGGAGCTTGCACCAAGATGATAAAAAGCAACAAACTCTCTCCAAACTTCCTCCTAGAACTGGGACCAAGCAACACACTTGCAGGGCCAGTCACCCAGATTGCCAAAGCAGCGAAGACTGACCAGTTGACGTACGCCGCAACAAACAAGCGTGGCGAAGTCGACAGCTGTCGTGCTATGTTTGACGTTGCAGGCCACCTGTTCCTACAGAATGCCAGATTTTCATTGGGCAAAGTGAACATCTGTGAAGGTTCACCGAATGAGGTCAAGCCTGCGGTGATCGTCGACCTGCCCAACTACCAATGGAAACATTCCATTCAATACTGGCACGAGAGTTTAGCTAGTAAAGACTGGAGGTTCAAGAAATTCCCAGCGCACGACTTACTTGGTAGCAAAGTCCTCGGCACTCTGTGGCAGAGCCCTTCATGGCACCGATTGCTCCGTCTGTCAGATGTGCCTTGGCTACGCGACCATCAAATTGGATCCGAGATACTCTTTCCCGCTGCTGGCTATATTACAATGGCCATGGAAGCTGTTCGTCAAACAGCTCTCTCAACTGCCACAACTTCAGAGTATGATATCCTGAAGACAAAGAATTACCGTTACTGCCTTCGGGATGTACAATTCCCACGAGGATTGGTGCTTGAGGATGACGTGGAGGTCCATGTCATGCTCTTGCTGGTTCCCATGCCGAAGTTGGGGCAGGAATGGTGGGAGTTCAAAATCACATCTCTGGTAGAATCGAGTTCAATCGCATCATCATCCTCCCCAGCCCCGTCTCCCGAGAAATGGAAGATCAATTCAAGCGGACTGGTCCGGTTGGAGCTGAATCCCGGTCCAGCATTTTCCCATGCAACAGAGGATATCTTCAGCTTGCCTTTGAATAACCCGACGCCTGGACAGATGTGGTACAAGTCTATGAAGGATGCGGGGTACGCCTATGGTCCCGACTTCCAGAAGCTGGTGGCTGTGGAGAGCATGGAGGGAAAATCAAGGTCACGCTCCCTCATCTCTTTGACCCCTCCCAGAACCAAGTGGGAACCGCAGTCCGAGTATGCAGTACATCCAGCTCCTCTGGACAGTGTTCTTCAGAGCATGTTTACCTCGCTTCACCGTGGCAATCGTAGTAAACTGGAGAACGTGCTCGTCCCCAGAAGCATCGGTGAGGTGACTGTCTCTTCCCACACCTGGAAGTCAGGAGAAGCAGTATCAGTGACCACTTCCAGTAACGCGTCGGGAGACGCGTCTTTATACGATCCTGTCAGTGGCTCTCTGATCATGCAGCTGAATGGCTTGTCATTCACCCCTCTGTTGGATGGTCGGGATAGCGTTTACATGTCACACACATATACTCAGCTGATGTGGAAACCAGATTTCCAGCATCTGGATACTGATGAGAAGCTTCGACAAGCAATGTTAGGTGACGACAATTCGAAGCCTCACATACAGCAGATCCTTGATTTGGCAGCCCACAAGGCCCCAAACTTGACGGTTCTCGAGGTCAACCTCGTGCCCGGTAGCACAGAATCTCTGTGGTTTGCTAGCGATGAAACACCACGTCCGGTTCGGACAGCCCTTACCGAGTTCCACTTTGCTTCTAACAATGCAGAAAATGTGCTCAGCGCCCAAGAAAGATATGCAGAGTGGCCAGCAGCGCGAGCCTCCCGCTACAGTGTGCTTGATCCCTTCAGCAAAACTTTTACCATGCCAGCGGGAAGTTCCAAATTCGATCTCGTGGTCATTCACTGGTCTCAAGACAACTACTCTGGTAGCCTGGAGACACTCGCGGCCAACTTGCGGCGCCTTATTTCGGAAGGCGGCAATGTGGTGTTCTACGACTCCAACCTTTCCAGTTCGACCGAAGACAACCAGATGAACGAGGGTAGCCCCTTCTATGCATTGCAAAATCTTGGTCTTATCAAAGTTCGCCAAACTACCAGTGGCAGTTGTATCGTTGCAGAGGTAGCGCCTGAAGAGGTTCCCTCACCCAGCAATAATAACAAAATATTTGTCGTGCGTTTCTCATCTGCGGAATCCACCATCATGGATGACACCATTTCGCAGCTCCGAGCAAAGGGTTGGGACCTCGATGAGATTCATATCAACAATCAATCTGATGGCAAGCTTTCGGCACTCGCCCCCGAGTCGACGGTTCTCGTTCTTGACGAGCTGGCTCGACCTTTGCTTGCTACAGCAACGGGGGAGGAATGGAGCACTGTCCAGACAATAATTCAAAGAGAGTGTAATTTGGTCTGGGTGACACAGGGCTCCCAGATAACCCCCACTACACCACTCAATGCTGTTGCTCATGGTGTTTTCCGCACTGTCCGTGCCGAGGTACCTATGATCCGTATAATCACTCTGGATGTCGAGTCAGCTTCACCGGGCAATCTGGGCACAAATGCGATCGCCATTAATACAGCTCTCCTAGAAGTTAATTCACCGAAGGAGCGATTCATTCCAATTGAACGCGAGATTGTTGAGCGTGGCGGTTTGTTGTACGTCAGCCGCGTGTGGCCCGATGCTGGGGTGAATAAACGCAAGGTGGAAGACAACGCAGGGGGACCACCATCTCGCTTAACCAATTTCCATGACTCGAAGTCTACCATTAGCTTGGTGACAAGCAGACCTGGTAGTTTGGACGCGCTCCACTTTGCGGAGCAGCCTAAAAGTCAGGTCATCGGGCCAGAGGAGGTTGAGGTTGAGTTATTCGCCTCCGGCTGCAACGCGAGAGATGTCGATGGGGCCATGGGTTCCGTCCATGGAGACTCAGGCAAGCTTGGCTTAGAGGGGGCTGGCGTGGTCGTCCGCGTGGGCGAGTCCGTCAGCACTCGCCATGTCGGTCAGCGGGTGGCAGTGTTTGGCAACGGGTGCTTTTCGAACCGAGTCATCGTTTCATGCAAGACTACCTTCACTTTGCCTGACAATTTGTCATTTGAGGATGCAGCCACTCTACCAGTCGCCTTTATAACTGGTATTTACGCACTCCGTCGTCTCGCGCCTGTACAGAGAGAGGATCGAGTCTTGGTGCATTCGGCTTTCACATCTGTTGGCATCGCTTGCGTCCGTCTTTGTCAGAGTTCAGGTTGTGACACTTTTGTGACGGTGAGCAGCTTAGAGCAGCGGCAGTTCTTGGCTCAAGAGCTTGCGTTGCCGGAAGATCATATCTTCGCGTCGGAGTCCACCACACTTCTTCGCGCACTGCATAATGTAACCGACGGCCACGGATTTGATGTTATTATCAGTCAACCTATGAATGGAAATCTGGACTACGAAGATGGGCGATTGCTTGCCCCTGGCGGACGGCTCATCAAGATAACGAATGGAGGTCTCGATACTGGCAAGTTGCTATCCACAGGATCGCTCGCTGCCAACTGTTCTTTCCAAAACTTAGATATAATGGCTTTGCCACACAACACCATTGAATCGTGAGTATATATGTTCCGGTCTTTAATTCAATTTCAGTGCTCACATTCGCAGTGTCTTCTCGGAACTATCTCAGCTCACGGCAGATGGCCACTTGCCGCCCTTATCACCAATCACATGTCTCAGCTATGACGAGATTCCGACAGCACTTGGACTTCTTCGTGAGGGCTTGCATATCGGAAAGATCGTTATATCAGACGATCTTGGTGCGAGCCTTGCTATTCCGGTAAGCCTTCGAACCTGAACTGAACCCGTTCAACTTACTTACATCTCTAGGTCCAACCTGCACCAACGCTGCCGGAGTCTATCCTCAAGCCTGATCACTCTTATCTTTTCGTAGGAGGGTTGAAAGGTATTTCTGGTAGTCTTGCCATTCATTTAGCCTCCAACGGGGCCAAGCACATCGCAGTCATGTCTCGAGGCGGTTATGAAGACAAGGTGTCTCAGCACATGGCACGAAACATTAGAGCACTTGGATGTTCTCTGAGTTTACATCAAGGCGATGTCACTTCCATCAAAGACGTTAGGAGGGTCTTCAGCGAGATCTTGGTTCCGGTTGGTGGAATCATTCAAGGGGCCGCCGTATTCAGGGTAAGGCATTACTCTCAGGGCCATATCGCGGTTTTTCTTGTACTAATCACACGTGTTCCAGGATCGGACATTCGAATCAATGTCTCACGCAGACTACCACGCTGCTCTAGCCTGTAAAGTGACGGGGACCTCCAACCTACATTCTGTGTCTCTCGAAACAAACCAACCGATAACGTTCTTTACCATGCTTTCATCCATCTCTGGTGTAATAGGCCAGAAGGGACAGGCCAACTACGCTGGTGGCAATGCATTCGAGGACGCCTTTGCAGCGTATCGTCGTGCATCTGGTTTACCCGCCATCAGCATAAACCTCGGGCCTATTGAAGACGTCGGCGTCATCTCCAACAATGAAGATCTACAGAGCAGGTTCGATGGAAGCACTTTGCTTGGAATCAATGAAGGCCTGATGCGCCGAATCTTCGACTACTCAATCCTTCAGCAGCATCCAGACCCACATCGCCGTCTCAATGTCACCAGCCAAGGCCAGATGATCACAAGTCTACTTCTTCCGCAACCTGAAGACAGCGATCTGCTGCAGGATATTCGCTTCCGGGGCTTGCGAGTCCTGGGAGGGGATGGTCCACGTTCGCGCGGGGACGCCAGCAAAGATAAAGAGACGCAGACATTATTGTTTATGATACAGTCCCAGGATCCCGATCTTGCGGCCGTGCGGACTGCAGCTATCGTGGTCGTAGGTTCACGGTTGACAAAGCAGTTGCGCTTGACAGACGCGCTGGACCCGGCGCGTCCCTTATCATACTATGGGTTGGACTCACTGGCCGCTGTGGAGCTACGGAACTGGGTGCGTATCACATTAGGAGTTGAGGTCACTACATTAGATGTGATGAATGCGGCAAGTTTAGGGGAATTCTGTGATAAGGTTGTTGGGAAGATGGGAGTTGCCATGTAATTTAAATTGGCAGATGGTACCTATTTCACTATTGATATTTGATAATGACACCAGAACTTGTGGTCGGAATCTAAAGATTTGTATCTAGTAGATATTTAATCTACATGCATTTACACCGCTAAGGGAGACCAGGATTGTAAGAGGGAAAGTGAAGGCCGCGCGACCGTGCGGTCTGGAAGCCTGATCACTGACTATCGTAAAAATTATTTCGGTCCAATCAATGCTAGAGAAAACCTTGGAAACAACATCACCAAAGCTTGGTATTCTTAAATCAATTCTTGGACATCGTGAGAGAGGCATATCAGGGACTTAGTGGACTAGTAGGGGAGGGATAAAGCACGAAATATATATCCGAGGGATCAACACACCACATCACCTTATCACCAATCAAACAGCGACTCTTGCTAACATACATGAAACAAAAAGCATCAAGGTCAAACCTCCGTTCACAGCCTACGGCTAAATCACACGGTGCCAACGCAGATCAATAGGTCAATCATCTCCTACTGAAGGACGGCCACCTCTCCGCATTCTTCAGCAGGCACACATCTAACCGAGTTGCCTATTTAACTAGCGACAAACTACTCCGGTCAGGTGCTCGAGTCTTGCAGCACTAATTTGCGGGGTGCATATCCCTGAAGAACGGCGAAAAACATTGACGTTGTGGCTTGATCTAGCAACGTCCTTCCACCAATCTCTTGAACGAGCTCGAATATTGCACACCTGGACCTACAGTCTTTGAAATGGCAGAAGTCACCTATTACTTGCAATATTCTCCGGGCCGCATACAGTATACCTTTGCACCTTTGCAACATGTGAAGAATAGTCCTTCAACCCCTATCTTTAACGTCGGAGAATTCTCGCAATTATTCACCACTTTATTCAAACCTGAAGGAAGAGCGGATGCACCAGTTAACAATGGATCGATATCATTTGACCGCGTTCTAGAAGCAGCATTTTATCGCCCCGCTCTACAACGCCGCCGTCTCAGATTTTGCTGCCAACGCCCGGAGATCTACCCAAAACCGCAACAACCTAATTTATGCGAACAACACGCATAAATGACCCCAATCGTGGAAAAATTTAACCCACGAGGCTCAGGCATACGCAGACTATGGCGGTGATCATTTCCTGCCAACCAGACCTAGCAGGTTGACCCAAACCCGCCGAGCCAGCTTTTGTTATTACCCGGTAGTGGAGTCTACTCCTTATCCAGAGATTGACGCCTGTTCCAAGATGAAATGAGACAGGACCACCCCGTGCTCTATACGGAACAGGTGCCCACACAAGTCCATTCCTAATCGGATGATTTCCCCGGAGAGGAATGAATCGACCGCTATATATTAGATCAACAACCCGGCTTCCTAGCTGGGATTAATCAATCCAGAATACCTTCTTGCACTCCCAAACCACCATGAAGTCCTTCGCTCCTCTCTCCGTCCTCTCTTTGGCACTGGCCGCCGTCAGCAGCGCCAGCCCTGACCCTAGCAAGACTCTCGCTCGCCGCGCAAACTTCTGCGACCAGTGGGGCTCCGTCACGACCGGTAGCTACATCGTCTACAACAACCTCTGGGGCCAGAGCTACGACACCTCCGGAACCCAGTGCACTGGCATTGACTCGCTCAGCGGCAGCACCATCGCGTGGCACACTTCGTGGTCATGGGCCGGTACCGCGAACCAGGTGAAGAGTTTCGCCAACGTGGCGCTGAAGTTCACTGCTCAGAAACTGAGCGCCGTTAACAGCATCGAGTCGACTTTCAAATGGAGGTTAGTTGTTGCGCGATCGAGAATGAAATCCCCTATCTGACCTTTGTAGCTACTCCAACACCAACGTCGTCGCTGATGTCGCGTACGACATGTTCCTGAGCTCGACCGCCAACGGAAGCGAGGAGTATGAGATCATGGTCTGGCTTGCTGCGCTGGGCGGTGCTGGTCCCATCTCTTCTACCGGTTCTCCTATCGCCACTGTTACTATCAACGGTGTCTCGTGGAAGCTGTATGTCGGCCCCAACGGCAGCATGACTGTGTACAGCTTCGTTGCTTCGTCGACTGTTACTAGCTTCTCTGGTGATCTTTTGAAATTCTTCCAGTATCTTGAGGATTACCAGGGCCTCAAGTCCAGCTTGTATTTGATCGATGTGCAGGCTGGTACCGAGCCTTTCACTGGCAGTTCTGCTCTGACTGTTTCTTCTTACTCGGCTGTTGTCGCATAAGTGAGTGGAGAAGTTGGGATATTAGTTCGGAGGAATTGTGGGAGCATTGTTTATTATTAGGAATGGAATAGACTTGGAATCAATTCTGTTGAAATTTCACAACGCACTAAGCCCAATATCGAAAACTGCTTTGTTATCAAATTCACCAACAAATGCCGAGGTACAGACCGACCGACCTACGGGTTGACGACCTTACCCATATGGCGTCGTGGCGTGGTGTCTCAGCCCTTCTACACATCTCTAACCGCCAGCTGAATGCACTGCAGCTGAAACCAACAGTCTTGAATGCTGAAACACCCCATTACGTTTCAAGCGGCTAGCTCCAAGCAATGAGAAGATCACAATCCAGAGTTCAGCAACAACAAGTGAATCCAATTCCGGTATTATGCAGCCGCAATGCAGTCCCAGGTCCTACGTAGGATGCAACTTGAAACCTCGCCACATTCATACCACTCAATATTCGCTTCCAGCGAGACGCTTATGCTGAAACGAGCATTCGTCACCATTATGTCCCGATATAATGTAGCTGTCGCGGATCGCAATTGCTGCCTAGTGTCCGAGGGAGGACCGAGAACCGCATTGTGGGGAGCCAGACGGAGTCGCGCTTAGAGGAATCTAAGAACAATAGGAAGTAAACTATGAAACCATTCTAAAATTAGAGCAATAGGAAGCGCGAAGTGTTACAGCAAGCGCTCAGGTATCAAGTTGGTCGGATGAAATGTGTAATTGGTGTAGTCTGTAAGCGCTGGCGGGATTGGGGGACCCCGGGGAGGTCGAGCGCTTATATATGCAGTTGGTGGGTTGGGAAATCTTACTCGGTTATTTTTAGTTGCAAGCTACTGCATAGTGTAAGTCGATGCACAAAACATGCCGCTAAGGGATTTGCACATTGGACTCATTTGGAGAACATGGTGAGAAACAAGAAACAAGAAACAAGAGAACAAGAAAAAAGGAAAAATGTTGGAACAGGTGGTTGGGCCAAAATCGATAGATCGAATAGATCGAATACGTTGAAATCATCCCTACCACCATTATCGGGTCGAGCATCGGGAATAATGTGACCTCTCTTATGCGAGGACAGAATGTATTCAGATTCTGAAACCATATTCTACACTATTCTACCTAGAATATTCCGTAGTGGATAGAATATTGTACTGTGTTATAATGCCCTTTCACAGGAGCGTGTCATTTGGGCCCCTCGAACACGCTAAACTCGTGGTGCGCCGTGACAGGGGTCATTTGGCATGTCATTTGTCCATACACTAATGTACTAAGGGCAAATAAAAGTGGAAAAAAAGGGAACACTCTTTTCGGACAGGGATTTTTTGGTACTTGTCTCGCCCCATGCCAGGCACATATCGCCACGGTCGGAAACTGACAGGTTTGCTTTGGGCACTAAGGTAAGCACTCGGCGCCAATGAGCTCGGAATTTCAGTTCAGGTGGCTGTTTTAGGTGATGATTTGCTGCAGGATTTGATTTGTATGTTTGGACTAAAGGATACTAGAGAGGACTAAACACCTAAACCTTGAAAAGGAGTCTGGATTACTCGCGTCAGGCAGGATTAGGATCCAAGACTGTACATTGGTTTGTGGAAGCTATCTATGGAATGGGATTGGAATGGACACCGCGTATCGCGCAGATATGAGACGGTCGCGAGTTTCATGAAAAGTATTGATAGAATCATCGTACATTGGTACCGTCGATTGTCATAGTGCATAGGTTATGGGGCTGGTGAATTATTGAAGATCGGGTTCCACCTGTGGCGATCCTATGTCTCGATCAGTTTGTCTCCTATTTGGTTTTCATTCTATTTTAATATGTGTTTATTGATGTGAATACGGAGTAGAATTAATTACAGAGAGAGAATGAGATTGGAATAGAGACTTCATTCTTCCAAGGACTCAGCACAAGAGGTGGTTTCATGGGAGAAAGGAATAATGCCTAATACTCAGGTACAATGAAAAAAGAATGACAATCTAGGGATAAAGTACAATGTAATCCTTTAGCCTCTCAACTCCTCCAGACTCCACAAAAAATGAACAAATAATGTGTCCCGCGTCTCAGTCTTCGCGCGCGAAGGTTCGAGTATCTCAGATCCAACTATGCAGGTTCGCTTTTACTCCGTACCTATTCTGTAACCCCTGTGTGCCTGTGCTCTGGGCCCTTATAATCCGTTCCTTCATTCTGACTGGATAATAGTACCTTGCAGAAGCCTATCCTACCCCCCTCCTCTTTGGCGCATACCAGATGGTTATAACTAGAGAGGTATTCCGCCCAGAATTCTTCACGAGATTCATCCACATGCCCAACGTCGTCATTTTCTATCCTCTCTTTCCCTCCCTCATAAGAGATTTAATATTTCAATAATTTGTTTCACCAAGACTTAGATTTTCCACTCTATTGCTTTACCTACAGATTTTGTCTCTCAAAAAGAAATCTCCGGCAGGTCTCACATCTTGAGACTCAGTTAGGGCTATCAAATCGATAAGAGGTTGACACGACAACCCCAACTATCCTTACTGCAACATTTGCAACATTCTTGCGGAAAGAAACTACTTGAACAATTATCCTGCCGGTCAGGAATTTGCCATTTGCCATTTTTATCTTTCGATCGCATCGTTGTTTTTTATTCTCTCTTTTGCTGCTTGCTGCTTCTGCTTTTTATTACTATACCCAGGACAAAGCCCTTTGTTTGTCTCAGCTTCAACAGAATTGTTCGACACAATTCGTTTGTGCCTTACAAATTATCAAACTGGCATTTAATTCACCTCGATTACCCTTCACATATACAACATGGATGCTTTGTCGCTCAACCGAGCAGCTCTTGGAGAGTTTGTCACTACACGAGTGACTAGGGAAATGGTTACACACTTGGCCCAACAAGCAGCTCAGGTCATACGATGTGAGGCCCATGTGACAAACACTGTTAGCCAGAATGGTCAACCGACACCACCATCCACCCCTCCCATGGATGCCTCCGATTTGCCCGCCCTTCCCTCAATCGAAGCGTTCATCGCATCACTTGTCACCAGATCGCAAGTCCATGTGTCAACCCTCATGAGCTCCCTGGTTTATCTCGGCCGTCTTCGATCTCGTCTGCCCCCAGTCGCCAAGGGCATGCGTTGCACAGTACACCGGATCTTCCTCGCCTCACTCATCCTCGCCGCCAAGAACCTCAACGACTCGAGCCCTAAGAACAAGCATTGGGCCCGATACACCGTAGTGAAGGGCTATGAAGGATTTGGCTTCTCCCTTCCCGAGGTCAATCTCATGGAACGCCAACTCCTCTTCCTTTTGGACTGGGATCTCCGCATCACCGAAGAAGATCTCTTCACATGCCTCGAGCCCTTCCTGGTCCCCCACCGCCAGCGCTTGATAGCCAAGGAACGTGAGCGCAAAGCCCAAGAGGAACACCGTCACAAGCAACAAGAACACCGCGAATGGTATGTTCGATTCCCACCCAATTGGTCCCCTGCTCTCCAAGAAATAAGCTAACATGTCCCTAGGCGCCGTCTCCATGCATCAGCGGATCTGCTGGCCAGCCGCCTGCGTCGCCAAAAGTTGGAAGCCCGTGGTGAACCGCGTCAAAACTCCCTCCGTCGTCTCCCAAGTCACGTCTCCTGCCCAACAATGCACAACCTCCACACCCAGCACAGTGCAGCCGAACACGAGCGTTATAACCCATATCCCCGCCGCACATCCCCCATCCGACCCAACCGCTCTCTCTCCCCACCTTCCGTCCGCGATGTGCCTGCCCTTTCCCACGCAGAGACCTTCAACTCTCTCTGCTCACGCTCCTCCAGCGTCGCCCCAAGCTCAAGAGGCACCCCCGCCTCCATCAGCACCGTCTCTTCCGGCGCAGACGACCTAACCTTCTCCGACCAATCTCGCAGCCCATCTTCCGTCTCCTCCCTGAGCTACAGCTACATCAACGTCGGCCACATTGAAAAGAAGAAGTCCTTCGAGCCTGCTCGCCAGCCGTCCAAGAAGATGAAAGTCCACGCCCACAGCGGCGGCTTCGTTGCTCGCTTCCTTGCTTCTGCGACGAGCTCGTACATGGGCGGTCGTCGCTCTCACTAATCGAGCTGGCCTCGATCCACTCTCACTTTATTGAACCTATCTAATAACCGATGTCTCTACATCCCCACAACTTTTCCTATCTACTCACCATTTCCTTGTCTTGTCTCCCCGTATGACTTTTATTCACCTTCACTTTCCATACTTGCTGCTTCTGAAAAGCTGTTCACACGTTGATACGCATATCCCCAAATACGATTCGCTCACTTGGTCCTGATTAGGCCGTGAGTATGATTCTGCTAGATATCTGTTTATTCTCTCTTTCCTTTCATCCACTCTTTACCACTGCATGGCACGGCTTTGGCGTTCTAGTCCTGTCTTGTTTTCAGTGGCATTCACACGTTTTCCTTTTCCTTTTTTCTGTGACACCTCGAAGAACTGGGGAATTCTCCATTTAGATTCTGTCTTATGTACCATGATCTACCTACCTCTTGAACAATGATATACCTCAACCTAAATTTTCGATTCCTGTAGCAGACGCTAGGGCAGAAAGGGCAAAAAAAACACACTAGAGCATTCGAAACTCCAGCTTAGAACCTCCCTCCCCCTTCCTCAGCCCCTTCTCTCTCCAAAGATTTCTCCATCATCCCCATTTCCATCGAACCACTCCCTGTAAATTTCAATCACCGCCCCACTTCCCTCCATAAGTGAGACGCCGAACTCGCCCCTCACCCGTTGACGCTATCAACCCCGGCAGTAGGGCCACCTTAACAACAGACGGAATACCAAGACAGGTCTGATTTAAGAAGCTTAACACGCTCACGCAAAAGCCAGTTGCAGAATCCGAAAAGATGTATGATACTTCCGGCATCCCAACACCCGCCCCGCCCGAGCAGCAACCCTCAAATCGGCCGCCGCGGCAATCTGCAGTTCATTGCCAAGAGCATACCCGTTTATTTTTCCAATAACGGGATCGGGACATGCTCGGAGTGAATTGCATGCATCATGGACATTCGTTATAAATGCCCTGGCAGAAGATGAGATTGTTGCTAGAGAGGACTTTGATGGGTTGGTCTCTTTTTCTATGCAGAGGTTCGGGAGGAAAATTGTTGAGGGCATAAGATAAGATGATCTAGAAAACTATAGCTATATCGTTACTCGTGATCGTGTCAATGCAAAAGATAGCCCTGGAGCTTATATGGCCGGTCCTTCCCAGTACTCGCGCTTGATCCTCATGACGGCGGATTGCTTGTGCGGGAAGCTGACTTCGCCTTCTTTGTAGAAGCCTGCTTCTTGTAGGTAATTAATGAGTCTGTGGGGTGGTTAGTTAACTATTCCATGTCCAGTATCATTCATGTCGTTCGAGGAACTCACTTGAGATTATCAACGCGCGGCTCCAAAACCACCGACTCGGTTCGCATGTCTGACAGGAAACAGTGGTGCACCAAAGCACTCAACCAAATCGCAACACGGTGCGCACCACGGAACTCCTGCTCGCCGATGAGCAGATGTATACCACGATCATAGTTATCCACGTGGTCAATCAGCCGTCCCAGGGGGTCTTCTTTCACCCAATAGATTTCGAAATACCCAAACGGTTTCCCGTCCCAGCATCCGATGACAGGGAACTTGTGGCGGCTAGTCAAGTTGTCGATTAGGAATTTCTCCTGCGCGGATCTCGGACCACCCTCTGACCACATTGCTTCTACTCGGGGTACGTTCATCCAGCGATGTAATGTGTCCACGTCCGACGTGATGTCCTCGGCGAGATGCTGTGAGATCCCTGTGACCGTCGAGCTGACAGGAGTCCCTGGCCGACTGCTGTTGGAAGCTTGACCCTTGACCATCGGCACGAACGGCACACGGAACGAGAGATACTGGCTCAAGCTTGGGATGTATCGCACGTAGAACACCTCGGCCTGGTGCGGCGGTTTCGGGCGGATGGGATGCCGTACCCCATTAGTAAATGTGTATTGAGTTGGCGGAGGCGGGTAGTATGTTGGTATATGACTGCTCGAGGTGAACGGTCCCATCGAGGTGTATGTGGCGAGATTAGCAGTGTGAAACATGGCTTCTGTAGGCGCTAACGACAGCTTTGTGACCTCGGGCAGACCGTCGCGGGCGGGCGAGGCGCTGCGGGATTGAAACGATGGTGATGATGGCGTACCGCGGGGTGCGAGCGTGAAGAGGAACAGACGCGGATCAAGCTGCCAGAAGCTGCGCCGGCTGACGAACATATTAGACCAGCTGCTGGAGTCTCTTGTCTCGACTGGCTGCAGGCCTACGGAGGAGTCCTCAGTGGTGACTAGACCCATGCGCTCGAGCTTCTGTAACAGGTTCCGGCCCTTGAAGATTCCCTCACGTTTGATGTTGATCCGCCATTGGCCCTTTGGTCGGGCATTGGGTGGGGTCATGCTAGAGGCGGCTGTCTCGACGTTCAGGTTTGGTTCGGGCTCGTGAAAGTACCACCACAGCGTTGCCCAGAGCATCATAGCAATTTGGCGTGTGAATGAGGTGACAGGCTTGTAGTCGCTAGAGGGCGGGTTGACTATGTACGAGATGTAAAGGGAGTCGCGGTTCAAGGTGGGGGTAGTGAAGCGGGTGAAATGTTCCTCATAATGGGTTTGAGCATTTTCTGAGTCTTGTTCTTTCTCCTTATTCTGAGGTTTCTGAGGTTTCTCGGTGTTTATAATGATCGTCCAACCTGGAGGGAAGGTGGAGTTGTGCTGTACGTTGAAATCGGCAGACTTGAAGGTGACCCCACCGAAAACGGGCGATACGTTAAATGTGAGGCCATTGGGCAGGTAGCAAGTGGTGTTCCTCATGATGAATTTATTGCAAGCCTCAAAACCAACCCCGGGACAGCTGTGCTTTATACCCAGGACCTCTGTCAGGTTGACTTTTTCCCTTCCCTTTTGCTTTGGCCCCTCACTGCGCGGGGAATCGTGCACCAATTATCACGGACGACGCCCGCAGCAAAAACAAAGACAACCCACTACTAATTATTCGATTGGTAATTCGAAGTTGGAGATTTGTTAGAAGAAGAAAAAAAAGAAATCAGAAAGGCAAGCCTGTCCGAGGTGACATTGGCGATGACGCATAACATCAGCCCACGGCGCACCTTTCGTTTTTGGTATGCGGTGAACTGGTAGCTAATTGGTCAAAATTGACTATAATGATCTTCTACGGTGTTTTATAAGTGAGTTACAGCTTCAAAATACATAATGTAGCTTTTTCAATTAGAGTCAGTCACTATTCAAGTCAACAATAGCTCTGCAGTATTGAACTTGTGTGTGAACTTAAGTTTCAAAGACATTTTGGCAGCTAATTTCCGCGCTGGAGATCTGTTGATCTTTCAATTTCTCGCATAAATTGGACAAAATGGATAGGATTGACAGGATTAGCACTAGATTTCTCAGAATAAGAATAAATTGACCATGAGCCAATAAGAACAACGATAATTGTAAGTGAAGGGAATCCATTACGAGACAAACAATCTAGAAGTCCTCCACCGTGGTTCCGATTTTCCGCTCCCGCGCCAAGCGTACCAAGTCTCCGCCAGTAACAAGATCCATAAGACCCAGACCGACAGATTTGTAGATGACATTGCCACGTTGAGACCACTCGCGTAAAGTCTTCTCTTCATCCACGGTCTCTTCGTTTCGTTGAGCATCACGTACCATCAGTAGCTCGCCTAGTTCAACAACCTGTTTGGGCTTGATCTCTGCTTGGATAATTTCGCCCGCCTCTTTGAGAGCTGCATCCAAACTGTCCACTACAATCACACCGCTACGCTGGATATGCTTGTGCCAGTGGCGATGAGGAGGGTGTACTGTGACCTCATCTCGGAGGATATCCGGGTGAATTTCGGCCATGTGTGCCTTGTATGATCCGATCGCACAAATTAAGCGGCCCTTTTGACGGCCTTCACCTGAGGTGAGATACTCCGCAGGAAACAATGGCTCCGGAGATGGAGTACAGCAGAAGATTGCGTCAGCCTTGCGCACGTGAGTCTTCAAAATGCGACCGTACTCATTGAAATCAGTGCTCATTGCCGAGAACTTGACATCCCGGCGCCATTCGGTGTTTTCGGGAAGATAGATGTCACGCAAAAGCTTAGCAGCGCGGTCAAATGATCGGTTCACAATGTACACTCGACGGATGTCTTCACCACGCAGGGTCAATGCCAAGCGAATATGCCAATAAGCCTGGGTGCCCGCTCCGAATACGAGGAGAGTGCGCACCTTCTTGCGCTTGTTGAACATCATCAGCGAAGCCAAGGCCGTGCGGAAAGCAGTTAGCTCATGGGCATTAATCAAAGCGAAAGGCAGACTCTCGCCGTCTAGAAGCGTTACACTTCCGCGGGGCGAGGTGTCACGAGTTCCTGCGCCCGGCCAAGCGCCAAGAGTTTTGGAAATATTCGCGGTCACATTCTGTTGGTTCACACAGCCCGTGAGCAGTGTTGAGCTGTCTGTACTTGAGCTACCAGTGGTAGCCGTGGTTGATGGGGTAATTGAGCTGCTCTCGTCTTTGTCGTCCTTGTCTTCGGAACCCACTGAGAGGTCACTCAAGTCGGAGGACAGGGAAGCCACCGAGTTTCGGAAAGAGCCCCGCCTGCGTGAGGTAATCTGCTCCTTTTCCTGTGCATCCACCGCGTCACGCTCAACGGCACAACCTGCTTCGCCCCCGTCCTGCAGGGAAATCATCTTGATGCCGATAGTCTGACCCGTACTGGCGGGCATGAAGAGGGTAGTGCAGCCATTCTGGCGGGTAATGGCGGTTCTCTGAGGTTGATAAGCTGCTGAACAACCCTTCTCCTGAGAACCGTTGGAGTATTCTCGTAGGGCTTCGGCGAGGTTGCGCTGCAGGCTAACAATCTCGTCGCGAGAGAGCGCATGCAGCAGATCCCGGAGCTGGGATCGGGAGAGGATGGTGAGGGGCATATGGGCGGTTTAAGGGTATCGAGGACAGATGTAAAAGAGAGGGGAAGAAAAGAATTCCTAGGTTGTGAGATCTGCGAAAGAAGTCCAGTCAGCCAAGACAGTCCTCCAACCGAGCCTTCGCCAAGATAAGAGTGAAACAACTCACTCAGTTAGTCAGTTCTTGCACACACAACTTATTCCACATCTATTCTACGCCCTGTCCTAATGCAGCAAAAAAATTGGGGTCCTATGGACAAAAATAACTCGGGCGTCGGAGGGCGAATTCGCCTTCGCCGAGATGACGACAAGTGTTGATTGTGAGGTGGGGAGAGCGGGGCAATCAGCGTGGAATCAAATGAATCTTGAGGAGGGAACAGTGCAGATTATTTAAGGGCTCAGATCTTTAAAGATTGATGCAGGCCTACGCATAGAGGTCAAAAGACGTGCATCCAATTCATACAAAGATCATGGATGCGGGAATCCCTACCGCATTCGTGAAGCCAAGCCCAATCCGGAAATTTGTGTATAAGGCGGATTGACACCTGAGGCAGCACTCAGATAGACAATATTGCGTGGCTAGTTCGGAAAAGCAGATACAATGGAAGACAGATTTTTTTATTTATATTCTTGGTAGTATTGATTCTAAGAAGCCCCTGAAATGTATATCCAGGTAGATAAAACCCACATCGTGCGGGTAAGTCAAAGTATGAAGGCCTTGACCAAATCCCTTTTAGTTTCATACCCTGTGAAAAGAGCCATGCTAATGTCAACCTTGCAAACATAGAGCCAAGTCTTTCAAATATTCCAATTACCGCAAGTAGTGAGGGCTCAGTACCCTTAGGTTGAGGTTCTCTCCAGAATACTGCTAACTAATTCAGCAGCCTCTGTAACCACCGCACCAGTTTCCTCGTCCAAGGTCTCTTTTTCTGAACTCAAAGCGCGCAGCCTATCCCCCCACAATTCCCATCGCTCTCGCGTCAGCCCATCCTCTCGCGGCCATAGTTCTGTCTTATCATCTAATGCCGCAGCCCAGTGCCGTCGCAGCTCCTCGTAGTCCGCCTCCCATAGTGCCCAGCCCCCATCCCGCATCCAGATCGCTGCTACTCGGACATCCAGCGCCCATTTCTGCCCCGGTGTCATCCTGTGCGCTCTTATTTCCCCAGACTGGGGCCCTTTGCTCTCCAGCACGTTGCGGCACGCATAGAAGACCCACACAGGATGCACCTCGCCTTTACCTTTAGTCGCTTTCAGCAGCGCGGCCGAGAATGCGCAGAAGCGGAGGAAGTACTTGTCACCGCTGTTTATTGAGCTACTAGTAGGGGGGTTGATCTTCTGCGTTCGATCCACGCACACCGTCCCAGTCGCGCCAAGCTTCAAGGATGTCATGCACGTCACGCCACTGCGCGCTGAAGCGCGGCAGCTCCTGCCAGTGTAGCTTTCCGTCGCCTCCGAGGTAGCTTTGGAGCTGTTGTTCTGCAGCAGATCTTGAGGGTACGTTCTTAGGCTGCGTTGGTGGCTGCGCACGGAGCGCGTCGAGAAAAGCTAGGTGAGGATCGTGTGGCTTTGAAAAAGTCACCACGGCCGTAAAAAAGGCATCCCAGAGCAGCCAAAGCGCGTGAGCTGGGTCTGGAGAGGTATTGATAGAGCTGACAATGTTGGCAGCTGTTTCTTCTGGTGATGGCGCTGACGCCGCGGAAAGGGTGACGGTGAGGGCTTGGATGGGTATGGTGAAGGGATTCGTGGGGTTACTGCCCGGGGGGTCGAGAATAGTTGTCATTTTGGGCACAACTTTCTTTGATCGGCTAAACGTTGTGGAAGTGGTGCTAGCCTTGAATTGCTTTTCTTTGTATATGTATACTCAGAGATAAATGACGTCAGATCACCCATGTATGTACACATGTACATACATGTGCATGTAGCCCGGGCTCACTGTCATGGCCCCCTAAACAACCCTCGCATCATGAGTCACTGATTCAACCGCATTTTCCTATTTGATGCACGCGTAAGATGGTTTTGCTGGCGGTGGGATGCGCAGATCGTCCGGCCCCAGGTTCTACCCCAGGTGAGAGGCATATTGCTTTTTCTGATCCAAAATCTTGCCGGCGCAATTTCTTGATTGAGCGCATCTTCCATCCTTGTTGCATCATTTTATTACGTTTTATGTTGTGCTGATTTCCATAAAGATCCCATGTCTGCATCAAATCAAGCATAGTGGCTAGGGTCTGCATCGTAGTACGAAAACCCGCCGAGCCTCGATTTGTGCCCACTGAATGGTACTTGTAAGGCTCTCTGGAGATTTCTCTGCGAGGTCTATGAGGGACCATGGGACATATTGCGCTGCCTTCAAAAGGTATCGTCCGGTCAAAAATTGATCAGCCAAGTCGCTCACTACTGCAGTATTGTCCAACTGGAACCAATGGAAGCACTTCGCTCCTCTACAGACAACGCCAAGATGCTTGGATGAATCCAAGCCTTCATGCGTCAAGATTTCCAGCTGAAAGTCTACTACACAGGTAGATCTGGGGGCGGCCCCACGACGGCCTGAGCCTTCCACGGAACCTCAAATTCGTTTAAAAGTTGGGATCACAACTAGCGATCTGTCAGCGAGGCAGTTCCCAATGACGTCCCAGGGCGATTTTACTTGTTGGAATCTCTTGGCGGGTGCATATTCGACATTTGGACCCTTCTTGGCGCATGAACAGTAACTGGGGTACGTTCAGAGATCTATGCACAAGCTGGTCGTCGTCGTCCACCCTGATTTCAGGGTCGAGATACTTCGAAATCCTTCGTGAATATTACATGTCAGCCTCGAGGATGGCTTTGTTTGTCAAGTCTTCACTCGTCTACTAGAAACTCCGCTGAAAAGGTATAAATAGGCCTCTTCCGGTCGTTCACTTGTTTCTAACTCCAGACCAACGCTTTCATCCTTCATTTTAAGTCACCATCCATCCAGCTGCTACATTCCTCGTCTCGTAAATTCAACCCACCATGCAGCTTTGGCTTTCCACTTTCCTGAGCTTGGGCCTTGCCCTTGTGCAGACCTCTTCTGCGGCCCCAGCACCCGTCAGTGCTTTGAGCAAGCGGATTGTTGATAACCTTCCACCAAGTGACCAGTTCATAACTTGCCCGGGATATCGCTATAGCCGCCCCCAAGTGGAAGCAGCTGTCCAGCGAGGCATCACCAACACACCAACCAATGAGCCCCAACCTGGTATGTATCCTCCAACTCGTCATGTTATCCCCTTCACCACTAATTTCGCCCACTTCTATTCTAGGTGGTTACCCGCACCCCTTCGGCAATAACCGCAGGCTGAAATTCTCTGACGCATGCAAGGGTAAAACGTTGTATGAGTTCCCCATCCTGCATGGGGACAGTATCTTCGGTGGCGGTGACCCTGGCGCCGACCGAGTCGTGTTTTATATTTATACAACCAACCCGGACACGAACCCAACGCAGAATGGCGCATATTGCGGTGTTATGACCCATGATGGCGCTGCTATGAATGAGTTTGAGTTGTGCCCATCGGAGGATTAAACGACGGGGCGCCGTGGCCAGCAGACAGTTCAGTACCGGAAATCAATGGGGATATGGAATTCAGCTTGGTAAAGATCCACTCGCTACAGAAAGAAGTCGGGGAAGATCGCAGTTATATGATGTCATAGTGAATGCTATTCGTGGATATTTTGCTCACCTGGAAGATGAAAGAAATTTGTTATCTTGAAACCGTAGGAAAAAGATACACGCGCTTCCAGATAAGTTAGACCATACTTTAGGTCCGTCCCGTCCCGTCTGTGTACCCCATTTGATGGGCCGCTATCCGCCTCAAGCCCCATTAGCCCTGCAAGAGAAACAAGATTATCATCAAACTTCGTAGGTATAAATTTGCTGTATAACAAAAACAAACCTCTCGCACGAGGTAGGATGTCGAGATGCTCGCGCTGACTTCGCCGAGAAGATAACATCCAAAGGGAAAGAGAACATGGAGGGAGTATTGATCTTGTTTAACATGTTTTCTGGCTTACTTTTTCTTTGTATTTTATATTAGATTTCTAAACTGCCATCCCTATTATCTTCTGATGATGCAACCCATCTCGTTCTGGTCGTTTTTTCTGAAACCGTCACTTGACAGAGTGCAAAAACAAGTCAACCTTAAGGGGAAATATGAGCTTCTAGGAGGTCATTCTTCTTTGAAAGAGTACACAACTTTGTAGGCTTTATGGTCAATTTACGAAGCTTAAAATTCGTGGACGCAATTATCTCGAGATATGCTTAAGTATGGATATCAAGTAGAACCTGTCCGGGCTCCCTTTATAGCATCTTCAACATTGTATCTTCGGCTCTCAGCTAAGCTACACCAGAGTGAATGAGCCTCAACCGCTCTGTTTGGAATATCTTGCTTCGAACAAAGAGGGAGTAACTGATTTTGTATTACGAGTTCTATAGATTATCTTAGCTAGCCTTGTTGGATATTGCCGTCTAATCCTACCATCATGTTTTTAACAAAGATTAGTGTTCTTCTTTCAAAATTAAGCAGGTCTATAGGGCATAATATTTCGATGATGTAGTTTCTTTTGTAACTACTAGATAGTACGAGGTATGAACGAATCGGCTTAAACCCGAATTCGCGGGGGCGACTGCCGAACAATGTCGGGACCTTCACCCGATGATCCAGAGTTGAGATAAACTCGATCCCTCAACTCGAACATTCCTCCAATTTACTATTCTCGGCATAATACAACGCAATGGCTTCCCAAACACTCGGATTCGTCGGCTGCGGTGTGTCAATACCCCATCAACCAGTAAACCGCCACTAACAAAAACAGGAAACATGGGAGGGGCCGTCTTGAACGGCATTCTCGCCGCCGCATTTACAAAAACCTCAACAGAACCAAAGCCTATCTCGGGCTTTATTGTATGCACCAAGACCGCAGGCTCAGCGGCACGCATCAAGTCCTCCATCGCAGCCGAGCACCAAGACCTCATCGAAGTCGTCTCTGGACAAAATGTTCAAACTATGAGAGACGCAGATATCGTTGTTCTAGGCTGCAAGCCTTTTATGGCAGAAGAAGTCCTGGGAGAACGAGGCGTTCGTGAAGCCCTGTCCGGCAAACTCGTCATCAGCATGTTGGCCGGTCAGTCGTGCGAAAACCTGACTCGAATTATCAAAGACGCGCCTGGAGATACACATGCACCTCAAGCTAAGGACCCGGCAGTCATGAAGGTTATTCCAAACATGGGTGCTCAGTTCGGTGAATCGATGACTATCATTGAGACGCCTTCGGATGCCGTCTCGCAGTCCATGGCTGAGACTGCCGAGTGGATTTTCAATCAGATCGGGAAGGTCAAGTTTCTCGCGCCCGAGCAGACGGGTCTGGCGACTGTGCTTGTTGGTGCAACCTTGGCCACATTGACGCTCCCGATTGAGGGATTGCTGGATGGGTGTGTTGCCGAGGGGTTTAAGCGTGCTGATGCGATGGAGATGGTTCTGCAGGGTATCCGTGGGTTGTCTGCTCTTTTGGAGTCTGGTGCGCATCCGGCTGTTGTGAGAGAAAGTATTTCTTCGCCGAGGGGGTGTACGATTCAGACACTTCTGAGTCTCGAGAAAGCTGGGACAAGGTCCGATTTTGCGGAGGCTATGATTAGGGGAAATAAGCATCTCAAGGAAAATATGTAGGTGGGACAGAGAGTAGATATTAGATCATTGGATAAACTATATAAAAGAAAATAGAACTATACAGCCAGTGTATGTGAGCATAGTCATATAACGTGCAATTGAACGCCTAAAGCCAGATGAAACCATTTCCAATACTTGATCAAGCCCACATATCGTCGTTATCCTTGACTAGATCATCCTCGTTTAATACCTGTAGGCCATTGCCTCGCTCTTCGCGCTTGCGCTGGCGCTTTGTCACAGTGCGCCCGGGCGTGAAGGGAGTTACGGGAGTAAACGGCATGTACGGACTGTAAGGCGTGGGCATACCCGTGGCAGGACCAGCGCGAAGTTGCGAAGGTCGGTCCAAGAATGTAGTCTTGGTCGCTGGTGCACTCTGCTGTGGATACGCCTCGCGGAAAGGCAAAGACGATGAAGGCGATGGTGTAGAGCCGAAAGTGGCCAGATTCAAAGGTGTCGGTGTTGTCCGGAAAGAACGAGCAGTCTTGGTTGGGGAATCAACTTGCAGCTGCGGTACCATTGGAGGTGGACCGGGGTTATAGATCCGCGGGCTAAGGGGAGGATTCTGGGGTACAAAATATTGGGGTGTTTCCGGTGCTGGGGAAGCCAATGGAGACGAAATCGGGATTTTGCTCATAGCCATGCTCTTGCTTGATTCTAGACTTGAGCGGGAGCTTGAACCGAAGAGCTTCGATAGACGAGACTTTCCAAATCCCTTGCTTGGGGCTTTAAATGCCTTTGGTTCCTTTGGTGTCAGTGGTGACTGTGGTGCCAGTGGTGCCAGTGAGTGGTCCGATGTGTGGGGGCCACGGTCAGTGAAGGGGTTCGTGATTTGGCTGTCCGGGGATTCATTTTGTAATTTCCGGTCCTCATGTTCCATGACAGCGGCATACAGCATCTCCATGTCATCCTGGCTTTGTTGTCGGTTGCTTGCGACGACTGATTCGTCGATGGTCAACATACTGTCGTCGAGGGATGGCTGGGAGGGTCTGACACTCCTGTTCAGCGATCCCCAAGATCTGAAGCCAGTTGACGTGGGGTTTGGGAGGTTGTGCGACATGTGAGAAACTGGACTGGAATCCAAACTGATGACCGGTTTGGGCTTCATCATCTCCATATGCAGTGTGTAGTTGGAAGACTGGCCCGTCCGACGCAGGCGACGACCGACAAATATGAGTAGGGCTAGAAGGAGAGCGACGAAGATCACGTAGGCGCCCACAATACTTCCAATTTGAATTGCTAGTAGTGGTTTATTCACTCTTAAGGGCGCTGCCGAATTGAGTGCACGTCGTTGGATATCTTCTAGGGCCCAGACTGGATCAATATGCGCAAGCAAGAGAGTCAAAATTAAGGCAACCGGGAAAGTCATTTCCGGCGCCTATATGGGTTATAGAAGAAGGCACAAGAGGGGATGAAGTAGGAATCAGTAATATGTGCTGTCACTGATCGACATAACGAACTCGACGAGTGTCACGGTAAAAGGGGTGATACATGTTACAAAAGTGATAGGGCCCACAGGAGAGGGGTTTCATTTAAGATTTTTGGGATGTGATGAAGTGAAAGAGAAGTGTGAAGAGAGACCGTATCTCGGCCTGTCGTTGGTCGCAAATACGCGCCCTTATGCACGATCGTCACTTGGCGGCGACCATTCACAGGCCCCGGGGGCGATTTTCGAGTTACTAAATATTTTTCTATTTTAGTTAAAAACGTTTCAAGCCGCTTCATCTTGAGAGTCATGGATGAATATTGTCCACGATCTAGAACATGTCTGATCGGCCCCGGAGGGAGTTCATTGACGATACCTACAACGTGCATGCAGCCCTAGAAGGGTGTGACTGAAAACCACATACGGACCAATCGGGAGAGAGTACTACAGAATCGGTACTAGCTCTGCTGGGCACTTATGATATATAGGCGGTCACTACATATGTAGCCAAAGAGCCATGCATATAGGCACCCTCTCACATAAATATCGCTACTATTGACCAAGACTCAAGCGTCAAAGGCTAGCGACTTGGGAAATAGATATAACAAACCTCATCAATGAAAACCGTAGCAGAAAGCCATTTTAGCATGTTTGTAGATACGCCACGAAGTATTGCCAACAAATTCGGGTGGGAAGAACATGTCGAGCAAGTTGAACGTCGGTGAATTGTACAATTTGCCCCACAAAGTCTTGAAGGGAAAGGAAGAAAGGCAGTGCAGGAATCCCACAGAGCTCACTCTTTTTCAACCGTTTTGTCGGATCGTGAAGTATACAGCAGGGCAGAATGGCGAAGTGATGTTTCGAGTGAACGCTGTTGAGTGAGACTCGAACAATGGTTTGAGTCACGGCGAAGTCTGTTATGTTAGACTAAGAGCATTAAACAGATACTCCTGTTGCCGATCTTGATATGCGACAGATGTTTATGTCCATGAGATTTTATTTGAGACAAAGTCGAATGTTCGTTCAAATATGGTTAAGAATAACTGGCATCAGTGATATGTGCAGGCTCGAGACCGAGTTCACTGTATCTCTTCACTTTTAGTTAACGGATGATAAATGCCAACAGGTGCCTCAGGACTGAGGTCGTCTCCAAAGGCTCCTTCCTTTTTACCCTGATTGTGTACAACACCTCTTCTCAGAACATAACCGAACTTCACCAATCCACGATTCTCTATACCATAACTTGATTTGTAACTGGAAACATTCAACCCTCAAAAATATTTATTTCACATTGGATTGAGCATTCCCATGACCCTCCATGGGCAACAAAGTCTCAGCCGTGCACGGAGTGAAGTCGGATCATTTCTACTACCAGGGTAACGCAATCAACGAAATCTGGGTTGGAGACGTCGAAATTGTCTCACGTCTGCCCTTCGGTGACTCAGATCAAGAACAAGCTGGGTGGCCAGCTGGCGGCGTTCCAAAGATCCCGTGGCATCATTTCATCATTCCAATGCACAAAAGAGACGAGGTCGGCAACATGAGCGGCAGGGACATCTTTCTGAATAACCAATACCGGCAATGCACTTGTGAGGGATGGCTTCCCAAAAATGGGTACCTGGAAATGTACACGGGAATCGACCCTCACGCCGCAGAATTGATCGCGATGCTTTCGTTTTCGTTCGCAGGAGCTTTGGCTTTTGTATACTTGGGACAGGTTTCTAGTGCTTTCACTATCTTTAAATCGTCGTGTTCGGTATCCAAATGGTTATCTGACCGTGGCATGGATGGAACTGAGCTCAAACGCCAATCACTATATCGGTTTCGGAGCTCACTTCTGCGAGCTGCCATGCTGCTGCCTCTTTTGGCTCTAGTTGTGGGTCTGGCACTGCCTGCCCTCGCTGCCGCTACTCAAAAGCGAAATGCCGCTGCTTTCATTATTTCCCGTATTGTGTGGTACATCGCTGGAGGATTCTCGGGTCTGCTGATTGCTCCTCTTCTCAACATATACCTGACGATACGACAGGAATCATGGCCAGGGGATATCCAAATGGATCTTCGGGATTTGGCATCCAGCGGCAGTTCCGTGGGATTGGAACACGTTGAGCATGCAGCCAAATGATTGTCATGATCGTGTATGATATGTCGGTTGTTCTTGCTTGTCATATTTCGAATAACGAAATCGGTATATCGTTAGCTTCAATGTGAAGCGGGAGACGCAAAACGGTATGAACGAGTGGAGTGTCCGCTTTGACCATTATTATTCAGGGTAGTGTTAATTCCAGCTAATGTCAATGCAAAAGACAAATTTCTTGTATCGAATGTGCGGACATCCCCCTCGTATCTGAAGGAGTGTAGGATAGAGCAGTGTGTTTACAAGCCAGCCGGTTCCAGCCGGTCCCATGTTCCATACAATACATCAAACCAAAAAGGTACTGTCAAAGTCTTCAAGATTTAGAAAACAAATCCCGCCAAAGCTGCTTCATACCATATCCCTTGGACTGATCTTCTTCATGGACGCGTACAGATTGCGCCGTGCTCAATGATCCAAATGCAGAAGAAGGAACCGGCGGAACAATAGATGTTGGACGTACACGTTCTGTTGCCCGGCGTTTGATCTCTTCCGCCAGCCCAGGAGCCACTTCCGCATAACATGCGTTAAGTTCTCGTTCGAGATTGATATATGGTTTGTGGGCAGATCGCGGTGCCATAAGGTTGTATGATCGCACGAGGCTATTAATCTGTTTCACGGCGAGTTCGTGGTAAGCGCGCTCAATTGCGAGGTAGCTCGGGTCACGTAGTGGTGGGAGGTGAGCTAGATTTTCTGTGGATTCTTCGTTCGTATCGTTCACTGAGGGCTCTGTTGATGTTTCTGAGGCCGACTGGTCTTTGCCCAATGCTTTTTCCAATTTAGCTTTATCTGCCAGGCGGGTCTCGGCTGCTGCGTATGCTTTTGCTCGTTTCATCTGCACATCCAGTTCTCCGCCCTTGCTGGCGATTAACATCGCGGCATGTCTTCTCCAATCAGCACGGAGACGGCCACGGAATCGACTGATCTCCGTAGCGAGTTGCTGTTGCTTCTCGATCCATGGCGGCACGATCTCTTGTTTCTGGATAATTTTATTCATAAAGTATTCGGTTGTATCGATGAATGCGCTGTTCGCGTTGTGATCTGTCTCGGTGTTGACACCCTTACCACGACGGATCTTGTCAAACTGGCCCCGCGCAATGGCGTCCTCAATTCTTTCGTTGGCTAGCGACGAAAGACCTGAAATAGAAATCGGCATGTTATATGCTCCGGGACTCAGATTCTCCCTCATCGTACGACGCATATCCTCACGCTCTTCTTCTGAGAATCCAGGAGCCCGGCTCAGTGTGTATGTCGAGGTGCGCTCTTTGGCTTCGGCAAGTCTGTGTCCGCGGGACTTCTTAGGTTTCGGGGCTGGACTGAGGTTGATGGGTTGTGGTATTTTGTAGGACATTCGAATTGGTTTGCTCGCATCGTCCAGCATGCGAAGTGTTGTGTCTTCAACACGCTCTGTTCCTGTCCATGCCGGTGCAGCAGCGTTTTCTCGTGTGCCTTGTCCTGCGGCGGCCTACCCAAAGCGGATCGGTCAATGATTGTTCGATGGTGGGTTACGAGTTGTTACATACCGGCATATCGACTATAGAGTGGGCAGCTGCATGTTCACTCTTGAATGCAGCTGCAGCGACTCGCTCTTCAAGCTGTTTCTTCAACTCTTCTGAGAACCCCACATGCTCGATGTTGCGACGCGCAGATCGTCCGCCCTCTAGCATTGCATCTTCTGTCATCTGAGCCAACCGGCGTGACATTGCGCTGTCCTTTTCTTCTTCTTCTTCTTCTGGTGCCTCCTTGCTCTCGTTTTGCTCTTCTGAGTTTATTGTTTGGTTTCGTTGACATGCTGCGGAGAACCGCCTGGGTGCGGGAGCTATCGAAGCTCGTAAGGTCCTTAATGACGAGACACCGCGAAAATGTGTTGGCAATCCGTATCTTCCAGTCATATTCAATAGCTTCCCGTAACAAAAGACAGCATATAATCTCAAAGAAAAATGTACAAGCACATATATGTAGTGTTGGAAGGTGGCAAGCCTCGGAGGTAAATCGAGCGATACAAGATTATGTCATCCACTTCCGCGGAGTCGAAACTTCGCATTTTGTTTGGCGAAGAACCCGTCGCCGGCGCCAGTCTCCCATTGTCAACCAGCCACGATCGCTTAAACGCACACTACCTCCTTTGCTCCGATAATTACCCCGGTCTTCCTATCACGACCTCATAATTGCCTACCATGCCTCCCAAAGGCTCCATCTCCACTCGGCTCAACCCGGTCCGTCTAAACACCATCAACCACCTCCGTGTTCGCCGGCCGAATCAATATGAGCAGAATCCCTGCGTGAACGTGATGTCCACTATGCTCAGTACGTCCAATCTTATGACTCTTTTGATAGTGACGTTGTCAACCAATTGTTGCCCTGGCTTCGCGCTCCACATCGAATACTTGAATATCATCAGGTTACTGACAGTATATCCCAATAGATTGCTGGGCTTCTGCCGGCTACGGTGCAGAGGGTTGTGCTGCTCTTGAGGCTCAATTGCGGAAGTGCATGGACACCCCGGTACTCTTGATTCTACAGTCCCGCCCTTATTCTCAGCAGCTAACGAATACTTTTCACACAGAAATCCCAGGAGAAGAAGAAGAACACCGTCAACTACCACCTCATGAGAATGTACCCCAAGGTTGTCGGTCCTCGCAAGAAGGACGGTATTCTGGGCTAAAATATTCTTTGCACGATATTGTCCATCGGGACTTGGCAGCAGCAGCGAGTTGCCCATTGGAGTTTTGGGTTCATTTTTTTATACAATATTTCGCGAGATTTCTGGCCCTAATCGCTGAAAGTGTCCGTCTTTCTGCACCAGAGGCTATGGGAGTTGGCTTTTACTCTATGTACAGTATACAACTATCTGGGATATGGAATCACCTGTCAAATCAATTGATTGTACTCTTGTTTCAAACTCATCACATTACATGCTTTCGCCGGGGGCTGTCAAATCCTTGCGAAATTGAGGATCAGTTTGTCGCCCTCGGGTTTTACAGTATAGGCATCGATTGCTTCGATCTTGTCGTCGTTGACAATGGTGGTGCGGAAATTGGTGTAAATCGCAGCCACGGCCAGTTTCATTTCTGTTAGAAAATGTTAGCATTGGTTTACAGCTGGCAAATTTTGTATACATGCCTTGAAGCGCAAGATTACTTCCCACGCACATGCGCCCACCACTTCCGAACGCCCAGAACCACCGACGTTTCTCCTCCAGGTCGGCAGGGGAGTTTTCCGCTTCCAGCCACCGTTTTGGCTGCCAGCTCTCTGGGTCTGGGAACACTTCTGGGTTGCGATGTAGGGAGTATCCCTGTGCACTGACCCGAGTGTTGGGCGGAATGTCTGCGTAGCCAACCAGGGTACAAGAAGGAGATGGTGTCACTCGAGGCTGAATCCCTGGAATCGGGGCATGAAGTCTCAAAGTCTCCGTCACAATGGCCTCCAAGAAGGACAGACTATCGATAGCCTTGGCTGGGGGTAATTCAGCAGTTTTGGGGTATGAAACAGGAGGATTCAAAGTAAGCAGCTCCTCGCGTAGCTTATCCTGTATATCTTGGTTTCTGGAAACTTGCCAAAACAAATAAGTAAGCGCGACAGCACTGGTCTCAAACCCGGCAGTCAGCTGGTCGTACAATTCGCACGCAATATCGAGTCGCTGCTGGACTCTATCTGGCTTTGCTTCTCCGTTCTTCGTGGAAATCTTGTCCAAAGACTGCTTTAGCTGCTTGTAGACAATGGGTTCCACGCCTGGGTCAGTTGATGCAATTGACTGCTCGCCTTTGTCGCACAAGTCCAGGGCCCAAGCATCGAGCATTGCATTGGCCTCGTCACAGTACTTTGGAACCACACGAAGACCAATTCGTCTCAACCAACCGTCCAGATAAGGCACCTCCTGAGAATAAAATTCGAATGGCTTCCGGCACATGTAAAGATGAAGCCAGTGCTTTCGGAGCGAATCATTCTGCAGGAATTTTGTGCCATTCTGCAAACCAAACAGATAAGACGAGACAAAGTCCATTGTCAAGCCTTGGTTCAGATCATGCACATCCATCGATGTTCCAGAGCTCGCCGCCTTATCGAGAATAGGTAGTAACCGATCGAAGATGACCGCGTTTGAGACAATTCTCAAATGAAGGGAGGTTTGCAGGGTCGACTTGGAGTAGATGTTTGACAGCATCCTCTTCCGATTTGCATGAGTCTTGCTTCCTACCATGGTGAACATACTGACGGTCCTGTTGAAATGGTCAGTTGCTGATCTCCGTTTATCGGTGCACCTACTAACCCAAATGATGCGAAGACTCGTGGATACCAATCATGCTTCTCAAATCCACCTGTATAGACTGCTTTGATCCCTCCTTCAACGCAGTTAATAGAGATCTCTGACGGACCTAGTCGAACAATTGGACCAAGCTTTTCATGCACGGCCTGGATAGTTCGGTTGTTTCGGCTTGTGAAACGCTTCCATAGCATCCAAGCCGGTGTGATGGGAACACTCCAATGAGCATTGGGGATCTTGGACAGTGGCGAGATAAATGCCGGATAGATTACCGCTTTATAGAAGACCAGCACAGCGAGAAGTCCTACCGCCAGCGAAGTGAGAGTGAATACCATTTCAGAGGCCGAAAAGCTTGTGTCCACCAAGAGCTTGGTATAGAGATGTCTTTAATCCCTTAAAGGCTTCTCCTTTGGGGCGCAGAAGAAACAAAGTCGGACGAAAAGTTATTTGGAAATACAAGGCAATAGAAGAAGTATGTTATAAGAATCTGGGGATATAGTGGAGATTGCCGACTGCTGCACCGCTAGTTCCTAGGCCAGCCAGCGTCCGTCCGTGTATTACAGGTGGTGCCGAGTGTGATCCCTTATTGCAAGATTAGCCTACAAGCCCCATTCCAATTGAGGTCCACTCACTCCGATTCGTTTGCTCGGCGAACTAAGTAATAACTGTAACCCCCGCTCAGATAGAGGTGCGCTCAATGCCCAATAATATATAGAGAGTGTAGTAGATTTGATAGGGAAACGAGTGTTCTTCGTCCAACCAGAAAACGGGTATTACACTTCCCCGCGAAATTGATAAGATAAACGATTGGCTGCATTTTTCTTTTGTTCTTTGACAGAGTGAAAACACTTGATACTGGATCTCTTGATTGATTGTTATGATACTAAATGAGAAAAAGAACGAATACATATATCACATTTCATGATTTCATGAAGCACTCCAGGGCTGCATCATGCATGGTTCAAAAGTCCGAAAACAGCCAATATTGAAGGTGTTTCCCTACAATAACATTAGGAGATGCTCAACTGCTATATTATACTCTAGAATGTAATGGACTATCGGGAGTAAAAAAGACCAAGGGAAGGAGATATACATGACGAGGAGTGTGTCGCCAGGCTTTCTGAATTGTACATGCTTACGTCATAGGCAGCAACCCGTAAGCTTCAGATCTGTTTATCATCGTCTAAAAGAATCCACAGGTGTATACTCATAACACCTATACACAGGCATCAATACACGTGTTGAGCAAGGCACAACTGATGAAAGTGGCAGGACCCCACAAAGAAGCATGAGATTCTGAAAACTCAGAATCCATACACCTATAAACCGATTGACAGGCTATCCAGCCTCCAAGATGCTCTATGATCTCCCATCAGAAATTATTTACCACATCGCGGTACACCTCCCAACCGCCAATGCATTGGCCCAATTAGCCCAGACATGCCGGCGACTGCATAAGGTCATCACCGCCGAAGACTCCCGCATTTTCCGGGCATTTGTGCAAAGCAGGTTTCCCTCTATTGAAACACCGCCATTCTGGAGAGATGCAGCCCAAGCTTTGGCCTCTCGATCCAGGGCTTTGGATCGTAATGCCATCATTGGGCGATTTCTTGTACCTCCCGCAATCGCCACCAAAATTGGTTCTCACGAGGTGACTCGTCGAGACAATCCAACACTTGGGTACAGACCTGCAATTGATTCCTATGAGATTTGGAATGGGCAGTGCTGGGCTGATAAGAAGGAGATTCTGGCTTGGGGTGCTGCCAACCAGTTGGTGATGAGAATCAAGCAAACTGGTGCTCGTTCACAGGAGAAATGGATTCAGTTCAATGATATTGATCATATCAGCAGCTATGATGATATTTGTTCTTTGCATCTTTTGTCGTCGGAGGAACGATACAAGCAGGACGGTGACATAGAGCATTTGATTTTTGGTCGGATTCGAGGCGATATTGCCCATCTAGCCATATCTCCATCACAAGCAACATATGAGTACAAGCATAAATTTTTGACATATGGGCTCAGGCTTGATAAAACGGATCTGGGTAATGATACGGATCGTACTCTGGCTGCTCATTTCGAAAATGGATCCATCGCTTTCTACCATACCGCGAATGAAAAGGAAGAAATCGAGCCTTTCACCTGGCTTCGCCCGGAAGGCGTCTCACGCAACAAATACTCCAAACTGCTATCCTCGTCACTGGTAGCAGTTGGCACTGGAGCCGCGGAAAGTGCTCTCTCAATATCTAAAATCACACCCGACGGCGTATCCCCATACCGAACGATCGGGGCCGATACTCTGGACACCGACTTCACAAGCCTCAAATCCAAAGTCAACATCGGCGCCATCGAGCCTCTCAATAAACACGTCGTATCAGGCTCCCCCGGGGACGTATTTTTGACTGCCTGGGATGACTTTACCGTCAGACTCCACGACCTCCGCTCCCCAGCACCTTACGAAGTCGCCTATAAGGACGTATCAGATCTCAACCCCATCTACAGCCTACACGCATTTGGACACAATCATTTCCTAGCCGGAGCTGGTGGTGAGGCAGTGATCAAAATATTCGATCTTCGCATGTGCAATACATACAGCTATCTCGATGCGCAAGTTCCTGCTTCTCGGCGGCAGAGCACAAATGTGGCGGAACAAAGCAATGCCAGCAGTACACCACATACACAGACTAGAACCAGCCCTCGAAATGGCTTCTCCATGTTTCTCTCGCACCAACCACCCCCTCCATTCCCGCAACAAGCTCCAGCGCGCAATCGCCAAAGAGGTCCATACCGAGGCCCGATCTACACAATGTCCACACCTTCCCCGTCTTCGCCAACGGTCTACACAGGTTTAGTAGACGGAATCGTTAGACTGGACTTCGCATCAACGGATGACCTGACCGGTCCAAGCAAAGAGTGGTACAAACATAATCTAGATCTGGGAGTCAATACGAGCCCTGTACCTTCGACAGACACGAACAGTGAGGCATTCGATCTCGCTGGGTATGAACGCCCGGATGCAGATGACTTTTCTACTACATCTAAACTAAGGAACCAGCGAGCATTCTGCGCTACTGGGCCTGCAGATGCGGAGCTCGAACTTGCTACCGGCTGGGACCGTCGGTGGGAGCATCTTGAAGAGCCTGGGGCTTGGAGACGGCGTGATGGGTCAACATTTTAGGTTAGCCCGAGGGAACCTTTTGTACATGGTTGCATTCGATGGAGGTCGCGGACTGAAAGAAGCCCGAAGATTTGAATCCCCAAACGTTGCCTAAAATGGCATAAAATAGCTTTTATAGATAAAGAGTTACATTACGAGCAAAGACTGTACTTGCCTTGAGATCTTCTTCCAGAAGAAAACGGTTTAGGACGTCTCGTTCATGATTTTCGAATTTGGAGAATGTAGTATTGAAGAATCCCAAACTTTTGATTGTGTTAGCTAATAGCAAAAAGTCTAGGACTAGCAAGATTTAGACCCAAGGATCTTGTCAATAGCTCCATGTGCGCCGTGCTGAGCGAAATTGATAAAATGTGATAGAAGATGCAGACATATTGGATAAGCCCATCTCCAATCTTCATCCTGCACCGATCTTCACCGGTACTGGAAATGCAGCGATTCATCGAAAAAAGGCGAATCTTCCAATAGCAAGCCGAGTCCAAGACGAGAAGTCGAGTCTTAGGAATCCATTGAAGGTTTTGTGGCGAAATTCAAAAGAGGTATCGAAGTGTGGCTGAGATTATAGACAAGCGACTCTGGAAATATTATTGTAGCAGAAGCAAAAGTCGTCACTTAGTCTTCGAACTTGTAAGAGGTCTTAGCGGGACCAATATCAATGGGACCTCCACGGTAGGAACCGCGCTTCTTCTTGTTCTTCTCCTTGGTGAATCCTTTGCCGCGGGTCACGGACAGATCCTGCCATGCGCGCTCGGCGTAGGCGTAAGACATGTAGTCGTTTGAGGGGTGGTTATGGGGCAATTCGCTCAGTGCAGCCAGAGGGGTGGGGCGGGCTCCTTGGTGCTTCTTCTTAGCAGGGCCGTTACCGGGAGCGGGGCTGGCGCTTGAAGAAGTGGTCTCGACCTGCACGATCTTGGTGACGGGCTTGGTCTCGGTCACGGGAGAAGCGGCGAGAGTGTTGCTGGTAGATGAGGAATCGGAATCGCTGGAGGAGTCGGACTCGGGAAGAGGAGTGTTCTTGGCCTTCTTCAAGGTCTTCTTGGATTCCTTCTCGGACTCGGACTCGGAGGAATCGGAAGAGGAGTCAGAGGAGGAATCGGAGGAAGAGTCAGAAGAGGAGTCGGAAGAGGAGTCGGAAGAAGAGCTGGAAGAAGAGGATGAAGAAGAGCTCGACGAGGAATCAGAGTCGGAGCTGGACGAATCCGAAGATGACGAGGAAGAGGAGTCAGAAGAGGAGGAAGAGGCTTCCTTAGGGGACTCAGAGATCTTGGCCTTCTTAGCCTTGGGGTTCTCATCCTCCGAGGACGAGTCAGAAGATGAGCTGCTAGACTCGCTGCTGGACTCGGCCTTGCGCTTGACGCCGGAGGGCTTCTGGACAGTGACGGGGGCAGCAGGAGACTCATCATCGTCATCTTCGTCGTCGGCATCGCTGTCAGAGCTGGAAGAAGAAGACGAGGATGAGGAGGAGCGAGAAGCCTCGCCCATCTCGACGTCCGAGTCGCTGTCAGAGCTGCTGCTCGAGCTGGAGGAAGAGCTGGAACTAGAAGCCTTCTTCACGCTGGAGTCCTTCTCCGAGGCCTGGAAAAGCTTAAGAAGAGAAGGAACATTCTTCGCATCGCTCTTCTTGTCTGACTTGGCCTCCTTGGTGAATGCGGCGCTAGTCTGGGGGAAATTCTCGGACAGGAAAGCAGCAATCGAGGCGATCAGCTGAGGGGGAATCTCGGCCTGTGATAGAGAATTGTCAGATTGGTCCTTTGTAGATCGTGTTTACCAATCGCGCGATCAGGCATACCTTCTTGACCGAAGTCTTCTTAGTAGCTGAGACTTTAGCCATGGTAACGATTGGAATTTGGTCCTGTCCAACGATCTTTCAGTGAAACGAAAGGAAGAAAAGATCAACCGGGGCAAGGGGACTAGAGCGAAATAATCTGCCAGGAACCAAAGTAAAAAAAGAGGAAGAAAAAATTGTAGATAGAGGGCGGTGAGATGATTGAGCGGTGTTCATTGGTTGGATTTGGCCAGGTCGAGATAGCGCTCACGTGGATGTATATAAGGGCGGTGAGTACTTTTGCTGGGGGTGATTGGCTGCGGAGCTGAACCTAGGCCTTTACTTTGGTCGCATCTCAAGAAGTAAAGCAAAAGCGCAAAGAAAGGGTGAGCTTGAGATATGCTATATATGAGATACCACTTTGTAGCCTTGATTGTTTCTCAGGGCTTATTTACCCCAATAATAAGGACTCAAAAACACCACAATTAACCTTGCTGTACACCGTAGCGCTTGGTCTAAGCCGGATCAATTCAATACTCCGCTCCAAGCTCTCCGCCTTAGTGTCCGCTACCCCAAACACAGCTCCGCCACTATTATCGTGCATTATCGCATTGCAAGCTCTACTTCCTTTCCGTCTCGTCGAAATTCACTGGTCCAATAACATCACTGGTCCTTGGATCTCAATTCCTTTGGCGCATCGTGCGCCGTGACGTGGCCGATCCCGACCCTCCCGACCATGTCCCCTTGATCTCCATATTACCCACAATTGACCTCTGAGTCCTCAAAGAAACAATGATGAATGGAAGAGACCGTCCCCGTGGACCTCCGCAAGGGCCACCGCCAGGACCTCCACTAAACCGTGGCCCTGGGCCACAATCTGACTCGAACTCCAGCCCAAGCACTATGACAAGAGGGGCCGCTTTCGAGGATGAGAAGGCGCGGATCATTAAGAGTTGCTATGCGAAGAAAGATGACGATGGAACTTGTACGTATACTGGCGAAGAATTTCTATTGACCCCGCCTATGTTCAATACTCGCGCGCTTGGCAACACACTGCGGAGTGACTTACCGCGCGCCCAGATGGGATCGCATTGCCATGCACCGACATGAAGAGCCTTAACTTATAGAGAATCGTTATTGATATTTGCTTTCCTCTAGTGTTGGAATCCTACATTACCCACGTCCGTATCACCGAGGATGCAACGCATCCATCAAGTCCTTTCCCTCCAAATGGACCGCCGGAGAACAAGAAACCGCGTGTCATTATCATTTCGGTACGAAAGTCTGGTCGAGTTCGCGTGCACAAAGCTCGAGAGAATGCCGAGGGTACTTTCTCCATCGGCAAAACCTGGATGCTCGAGGATTTGTCTGCAATCCAATCATACGCATCTTTTGTGCCGAAGACGCCTGGGGAACAACAACAAAAGGAATGGGCTTCGAATTGTGGGTTCACAGTCACCATTGGAAAACCATACTACTGGCATGCGAGGACTTGTAAGGAGAAGGAATATTTCATTGGCAGCCTGGTCAAGATCTATAAGAAATATACCAACGGGAACATGCCAACTCTGATTGGATTTGATGATTCAGAGCGACAAATGCTGGCAAGACATGGACAACCACAAACCAGACCCCCCGGGGCACCAGGCGGTCCGCCGTTAAGAGCAACAGGCCCGGTTCCTCCAGGGTCAGACAGTGCGGTACCGTCCTCGCTTCAGCCCTCCTATAGAGGTCGTGAGGCAAGCCGAGATGGGCCTCAAGAAATTAGGAGAAAGCCTTCTGATGATCCTGTTGCTCGCGCTCGAAGCCGCGAGCAGACTTCCCGGCCATCGACGGGTTCTCGGCCATCTACCGGATCTAGCAAGCCAGCCCCGTCCCCCTTTGATCTGCATAAATCACCTCCTCCCTCGTTCTCTCCCGCGCCACCACAGCAGCCGCCTCCACGCGCTCCTGAGCGCAATGCAGCAAACGCAAAAGCGTCTACCACTCTACCAGAGTCGAGAGGCAAAGAGCCGCCTCCTGCCATTTCCACGACACTAGACCCCAGTTACGGTGGCATTCCGGAAGGACTCCGGCCAGGCTCTTCTCGCAGTCAAGATCGTAGTCCCGGCACCCCAACTTTTGCTCCTCATCCAGGACTCAATAAGGGATTAGAATATATGCGCGGCACCGATGGACTTCGGCCCGCCACGGCGGGCTCGTCCAGTAGTGACACTCGGGATCCAGCTCTCCGTCCTGTCCCTAGCTATGGTCCAAAATCACCACAACGTGAGTCCGGTGAAAGGGCATTTGCTTTCCAGCAGCCATCTCTCCCTCAAGAAAAAACTATGCCAGCGAGTCTATCAACGGGGGGTCCAACTCAGCCGCGGGAACCATCTTCTTCGCCCGGTATTGAGGGGCTGGCTGCAGAGCCTGCTGCTATGTTCGCTGTAAACATGCCTGCAGAAGAGCATGCTGACCTCCCTCTCCCTAATTCAAAGCCTCCTGTCGAGAGTGCTCCCCCTACTCCACCTACAGAGACTCCACCCAACATTCCCTCGGTATCAGCGGATGAGACGAACCAACTGGAGCCGCATCGCCCTGGACTCGGACCTATGGTCAAGAAAAAGGCAGGCAAAGACATCGCAGGTGCCTGGAAAAAGGCTGCAACTGCTGCTGGTGCTTTCAAGCCTAGGGCAGGTGGTGCTGGTGAGCGACTGCTGGCAGCCGCAAAGAAGACACAAGTCGATGAGGCCGGACCCGATGGTATCACAAGCGTTGTACCGGCGCCCTCCCTTACTAGGTCGGCAACAGATCCTCCCCATAGCCCAGTGGCAACAAAGTCAGATCAAGACCTACAACTTCCTACGCTCGCACCTACAGCTTCGACTGCAGCAGTACCTATACCTCCTTCGGGTCCGCAGACACCCACCGTTGAAATCACGGAGCCAGCTGTCGAACCAGCCGTGGTACCTGTCAAAACTCCCGAGGTCTCTCAAGAAAACCTCACCGATGTTGTCATCAAGGTCGAAGACCGCTCAAGGACACCCTCCCCAGCGGCCCAAGGACGCCGTCGGAGACACCGTGAAGATCACACAATGAAATACTGTCAAGCTCTCGGCATTGATCCCCGTATTCTCGATGGACGTGGTATCGATTTCGATGACATTCTGTCTGACCTGGGCTGGAACGGACGATTGGCAGATGAACAGAAGATCGAGGATCTTGAAGCAGATGTGCGCCGCGAAATTGGCCGTGTTGAAGCCACCAGCTGGCTTGGCAATCTCGAACAGCAAGAAGGAAAGGTCGAGCAACTTGCGAGCTTGATTGACCGAACAATTGAAGAGTGTGATGAGCTAGACGGTTTATTGACCCTTTACTCCCATGAATTGAACGTAAGTTTGGGGACGAAATGGTATTGATACTCAATTTACTAACGATGTGGAATATTAGACCCTTCACGAGGATGTCGCGTATATTGAGGCCCAAGGTCAAGGTCTGCAGGTTCAAACCGCCAACCAGAAGCTTCTCCAAAATGAATTGCAGAATCTGTTGAAGACCCTTTCAATCTCTTCATCTGAGCTTGGTCCACTGAGGGAGGCTTCTTTGAGCAACCCCGATGGACTGAAAGATGCTGAAGGCGCTTTGTCAACATTGTACAAGGCCATGCTCATGATTGACTCTGACATTGGACAAAACAAGAGACGTCAGGTCGATGCCAGTGTCGGCGTCTACGCTGATACCGAAATCGGGCAAATGCGGGCAATTAAACAGAAGAAGGAAGAATATCGCTCAACAGCAATCATGTTCCTCAACCGACTGAAGCAGTTCATGGCCCTTGCTTTCAAGATGGCGGAGCAAAAGCGCGTGGACTTGGCAGGCAGTGGTGCAAAGGATTCAATGAAGCTAGATACCGCTGCACGAGGACACTTCCGTCAAGAAGTCTGGCGGTACAACGCCATTATGCTGTTCGCTAAGGAAGTCAGCATGACCGAGTGGAACAGTCTTGTTGGGCTGTATGAACAGCAGTCCAAGCCGTCATACCAGCTTGACTTCCGGGATAACAACGCGGCATGGAAGAAGACCGCCCGCAAACCCACTGGGGATGAGCAAGAACTCCTCTTCACACACCAAGAGAAAGAGAAAGAAGCCGAGGGTCTCACCATGGCGGCACGGAAACTTACTGTGCGACGAGGCAAGACGGTACGGGCTGCCGCCGGGCTTCGACTCGCTTCGGGCGGCGAGAAAAAGCAAGGAAAGGTCGAACCATCCGAGGCATTCTCCGGTACATTGCAGGAGACATTGAAAATGATGGCTCAGGAGCAAAATTTCATAATTCAATTCTTCCACCTCAACTCCCTTGCCAGCGCCGAGTTTCCTGACCTCGTGTCCTCGGCCATTCCCGAAAACCGCAACTGCCCCGACTTCTCTGCCAATCAACCGCATGATCCCGATCGCAGTATGGCAAAAAGAGTGGAGCAGATCATGGACGAAGTCTACTCCTTCTGGCCGAATGACATGCAAACCATGGTAGATTGGGCAATGTCAGCCGACCCTCTACAAGGAATTGGCATTCTTCGCGCTTTGGAGACTTCCATGGCCGACTTCGATGACACAAACCAAGAATTCATCCTTCATGCCTTACAGAAGATCCACTCCCGTCTCATGGGACTGTTCAATCGCTTCGTCGATGAACAAATTCGCGGCATTGAAGATACCAAGGTCAAGGTGAACAAGCGCAAGGGCGTTATTTCCTTTATGCGAGTATTCCCCAACTTCTCCAACGCAGTAGAAAGCATGCTATCCTCGCCCTCGGGTACACTCTGTGACATTCGCATTAGCGTCAATGACGCGTACGACCGCATCAACCGTGCAATGTGGGAGTCACTCAAATTTATCGCCAAGGAAGCACCTGGCCAACCTCCGGGTGTGGCAGCTGGCGCGGGCGATCCGGAAGACAAGGAGATCCTCAACTACCATATCCTCCTGATCGAAAACATGAACCACTACATCGAGGAAGTGGACGTGCACAACATCCCCGCTCTGAAACGGTGGTTTGATCGCGCCCACCAAGATTTCCAGGAGCACATGAAGCTGTACCTTGACTCGGTGATCTACCGGCCCCTGGGCAAGTTGATTGATTTCGTGCAATCGGTGGAAAATCTTCTCGCGGCTGGTGGTAACCCATCCGATATCGCGGCCCGGGCGAGCCATTCCCGTATGGTGGCGAAGAAGGTGCTCTCCTCGTACGACAATAAGGAGATTCGGCGCGGTATCGAAATGCTCAAGAAACGGGTTGAGAAACATTTCGGTGATGCGGATGATCCTGGTCTTAGTCGTAGTCTTGTTTTGAAGGTTTTGAAAGAGTGTGAGAATCGTTACGAACATACATATGACCAGACTCGGCATATTATTGAGACAGTGTATGAGGGTCAGTTGGATCTAGACTGGCGCAAGGAAGAAACGCTTAGTATGTTCCGGAAATGAGGAAATGAATATTGAACTTATTTTTCTAATCTGCTTAATTTCTTCTTTTCTTTCTCTCTCTCTTCAATTGTATAAGTTAACTAATTACTCCGTACATTGACTATCAAAATTATAATCCCTAATAGCCCTTTTTACCATGGTCTCTGTTATAGCAATTCAAGTGTTTTAAGTTCTGTCAGACTTAAATCAGGCATCTTCAGGCAGCACTCGTGGAAAGAATTCGGCTTTTGAAGGATGCACCTTCGCAGTATGTACTATTAGAGTATCAAGGTACTATTGGTGCTTTGGCTCCAAATCTCCACCGTTCGACCGGTTTCAGGGGGTTTTGGGTTTGCGCTGGGGTATCGGATCTATCACCTTTTTGTACTTGTGCTTAATTATGGTGATCAATTTAATTAGCTACTGTATGTCTGATGCGTTTCCAAAGTTGCGATTTAGGCTACTCAAGCGAATTGAAATTGACTGTGGCTTTCAAGGCTTAAAATGTCTAAGTATAAGACGTTGAAATCCAAATGCAATCTTAAAAGTGCTCTTCAAACCGGGTATCAGCTGCGATGGTTATGCATATGAAGCAAGGTAGCTATCCTTCGAAGACCAGTTGAAACTCAGCAAAGATGATATTCATGTAGCATAAATATCAATATATAAATATATGTACTGTAAGATCTCAGAATGCCAATGCGAGTAATAAAGGTAGTCGGTGTGTGGGGGGTGATCTACGATTTCAACTTTTTAATCTTATTCCTCCTTTCAAGATATCTTTCTCTCTCTTTTCTGTATCCTTTCTCTTGCTTTTTCCTATTTAATATTTTGCTTGTTTTGACTATTTACATACTATTCTCACGGTAAGTGTTTGCAATCGTCTGCAATTGTTCAAAGGTCTCCACCCGAAATGTCGCTCAAGGGGGGGAGCACGGGTCTCACAGTTCGGACCCTTTGAGGTTTCTTGTGCATTGTGCTCTGTAACCTCTGCGGTTTCCGATGGGACATCCATTGACCGACCTGGCGACTTTAATTTGGTCTTATCCTAATCATGTCTCGTTAGATCGTTACAGCTGTCGCATAGCTTTCCCACATTCCTCTCATTTTACCCCCGGACCCAATGACCCGGACCCCCCACTGCATGTCGCCTTCGAAACGAACATTCCTCGAACTGATCAGCGCCCGATCTTAACCTTGTGATCTAATTGACCAAGCGGGGACACGCGAGTCCCGCTTGAGCCCCAATCGCGCCGAATTTCCAGCCATGCCCTGGCGGCCGCTGCCTCGCATCGCCTTTGCCGTGGCCATATACCCTTTCAACCCATCCTCCCCCGCAGATCTGCCATTGGAACTTGGCGATGAGTTGTACATAATTGAACAAGGCGGTACCGACGGCGAGTGGTGTCGGGGATACCTGGTCGCGCCGCCGTCACTATTGGCAGGCTTGACAAGCATCAAAGGTCAGACTCTCGAAGCTCGCGTGTTCTCTGGTATTTTTCCGCGGAACTGCGTTGAGATTCGGGAGGTGCTAGGCGATGGCGATGGATATAAAGCGCTGCTTAATGGTGATCGCAAAAGCATTGATCGCCTGACCTGGTCGGGCTTGGACGGAGAGTTCCTCTCTCGAAACAGCATGGCTTTGTCGAGTGAAATCCAAGGAGAAGTGTCGGATGTGATCTTTGCGAAGAAGGGAAAACCTTCCCAAATTATTATTCATAAAACCGACGACCCAGCCCTTTCAAGTCCGCGCTCTGTACACACATGGCGGACAGGCTCGATTCCACATACGCCGGTGTCTTTCACGCCTCGTGACCCTGACGCGCCAAAACCCGCTGCTCCGGTTCCAATGCTTAAGGTTGGCGATGAGACACCGACCTCCCTAGCGGAACCATTGGTCGATGAAATCGCATCATGTCTACGCGAATGGCATTCCACCAATTTGCATGAACTGCTTCTAGACCGAAAGTATGATGTCTTGGAAAACATGTCAAACATGGTCCAGGAGCTGGATTTTGCGAGACGCCAGTTACTACACAATGTCCTAACTGGCAAGGAGAAGGAAGCTTTGCGTGACGAAACCGTGTGGAAGCTTGTCAAGGCAAACAAAATGCTCAGCGGAAACGTTATTGTGCGAGACCCTGAGCAGCGCGGTCGTCTGCTGACAGGTGATGACTCTGCTATCCAGCTGGCAAAGCTACAGTCTGAGATGAGCATGCTCGACTCTAGCCCTATTGCGACATCTGATGCCACGGCCCTTCACCACTTGCTGCTTGAAATTAACGCCGTATCAGGCAATGCCCCTGGACCCACGACTATTGCAATCCAGTTGTTCTCTCAGTCAGACGCCGGCGTTCTAGGTCCACTGTCTGAGACTTTTAGTCTGGACATCCCGTCTCCTGATAAGTTCATTAACATGAGTCAAAGCAGCAAATTGAAAACACTGTTTACCGAATTGGCCGCAACAGATATCGGCGATGGGTCAACAAATGGACGACAACTTTATCTAGTCGTCTGGGTTCGTGCCCCAGAGACGAAGTCTACAGTCGACACTACTCCTGTATCAAGGCCATCGATTTCACGAGAGAGTCCAGCTCCAGCTAAGGCCGCGACAAATGGGGGCATTCAACCCTCGGCAAAGGGCAGCTTGAGAACGCGACGCAGTATGATGTGGACACCCAAGCAGCGTGGACCGAGCTTCGAACAACCAGCCAAGCCGAATTCTCAAGGCATGCCACGATCTTCGAGCAGCTCATCCAGCGTCAAAGAGCCAACTGCCCCTCAACCTGTTCCGACAAAGGAGATCTCCGCGATCCGCACCGTTGGCGTGGGGATTTTAGAGATCTCGCCGATCCTCCGACAGGAACGGAATGCGGAGCAGGTGATTAACATTTGGTCCCCTCGTCGGGATGGTGAAGATGGAGAGGGGCTCACCGATGGCTTTGACAAGTTGATCCGCACCTTGCTCCCTAGTCCAACCGGCCGCTACGTGCGTGCTGATCCTGCTGCCCGTCTTCACCTTCATCTGCGTCCCTTCACCAGCTGTGACCCTGACATCCTGATCCGCCAAAATCCTACTATATTGCATGATGTTGTCCAGACACAGCGCATTGGATTCTCGAGGGCGCCTACCCGCCCAAGATCAGACATATACGTCACACTCTCTCAGGCCGTATTCCCCACAGATGCTCTGCTTTCTCACCCGCAAGCTGGTCAATTGCCCCTGCAAGTGACTTCAGGTCTTAATAATCTTCAGCTTACCCTTGAGGTTCGCGATGCTAAAGGAGCTCGGGTAGACCGATGTGTTTTCCCTTCATCTGCCAATACCTCTAACACAGCGTGGCGCACTACAATCGCCCACCGGGGCTCGCCTTGGAACCAGACCATCCGCCTCAAGATTCCCACTGAACAAATTCCAGGCTCTCACATGGTAATGAGTATTGCGGATGCGCCAGAATTCCCCTTTGCTCTTGCCTGGATGCCCCTTTGGGACCAGCAGGCTTTCATCAGGGACGGTCGCCATTCACTCCTCCTGCATGCTTATGATAAGCAAACATCCAGCATCCAAGACGGAAAGGGCGCTTATCTGAACCTTCCGTGGAGTGCACTGGGCAAGAATGAGTCAGCCAAGGATGAAGCTGTGACTGGTCCCTTGGCCACTTTGCACCTTGAAACTCACCTCTGTAGCACAGAGTACTCCCAGGATCAAGTGATTCTTAGTCTTTTGAACTGGCGCGAGCGACCTGTGGATGAGGTTTTGGATACTCTCAAGCGTTTACTGTTCGTCCCTGAGATCGAGATCGTCAAGCAACTCAGTGGTGTCTTTGATGCGCTGTTCGGAATTCTGGTTGAGAATGCCGGCAATGAAGAATACGAAAACCTGATCTTTAACGACTTGGTGACTGTCTTGGGTATTGTCCACGATCGACGGTTCAATCTAGGCCCGCTGGTCGACCGTTATGCTGATGACCAGTTCAACTTCCCATTCGTTACACCGTGCCTCATCAGAAGCTACCTGCGCCTTTTGAACGCAGGAACCGATGGCCAGCAATCCCGCAGCCTGCGCGCTGCCTTCAAGGTGGGACGCCATCTGCTGAAGTTTATCATTAAGGCCCGTGAGCAGCAAAAGGCCAAGGAAGAAGGCATCGGAATCACCACTGTGCAGTCCACTTTCAACAGAGACATGCACACCATCTTCAAATCTCTGGAGACATTGATGAGGAATCCCTCGCCGGCACTGGTGGGCAGCAAAACACTGATAGTCCAGCACTTCCACGCTTGGCTGCCCGAGCTCTCCAAGGTCCTGAGCCGGGACGAAATGATTATGATTGCATTAAGCTTCATGGATTCATGCAAGGATGTAACAGGCATGTTGATCTTGTATAAGCTGGTCCTCATTCAAAACTATACCCAATTCGAGCTCTTCGCCTCAGGAGAAGAGCGACAAACTCTGATCAACAGCTGTATCGGCTGGCTGGCTCCATACTGGGGCTCGACCCCCATCGTCTCAGACCTGTATCGCGATCAAGTGCGCTTGAGCAATTCCATTGTGGCACAATTGCTGAGCCAGCCTGATCCTCTCCTTTATGGGTTCATGCCTAGTATTGTCGCTTCTTACTGTGCCATTTCCACTGAGGGAGTCGAAGAGACGGAATATCTATCTTTGCTTTTCAGCAAGACATTCCCATTCCAGATGAAGACCGCTAAGATTCCTCAGAGCTTTGACGAGTCTTTGGTTGAGCTTTCGGCTCTCATGGCTGCTATATCTAAGATCGTGTCTCCTAAGCTTCCTTCCTTAAAAGAGCTTGAGCTTGCAACGTTCATCGGCCAGACTTTTGAGGCCCATAACTCCATTCTCGACTGCGAGGCTTACCCCGAATCCTGGTTCAGTATTCATGTGTACAATCACCGCGCGACTATCAAAAGTCTTGAACATATTGCTTTGTTGTTAACTGATAAATTCCTTCCGGCGCCGGACGATGCCGATACGTTCGATACCAAGCTTTGGGAGTCTTTCTTTACTACCTTGCTCAAGGTCATCTCTAGCGATGTCCTTGCGCTGGAGACCTTCCCCGAGCAGAAGCGCCGAGCAGTCTGGAAGATCGCTGGGGATGTGCGTGAGCAAGGTGCTGATCTACTACAATCTACCTGGGAGGCCATCGGCTGGGAGACTACTGATGATGAGAGAGAGCGCTTCAATTTGAAGAGACTGGGTGGTTACCAGGTTCAATATGTTCCAGGCCTGGTACCTCCCATTATCGGTCTGTGTCTCAGTGTCCACGAGGGCTTGCGTCATGTTGCTGTTCAGATTCTGCAGACGATGATCTTGAGTGAATGGGATCTGAACCAAGATATCTCTATCATCGAGACGGAGATCATTTCTAGCTTGGACACCCTCTTCAAGTCGAAGCAAATGAACGAGAGTGTCAGTCAGAAGATCTTCATTGGTGAACTTCTCGATCTCTTCGAGGATGACACGATATCAGATGATTTATTGTCCAATGCCGTGAAGAGTCTCGTCGGCACTGTCGATGAACTTTTGGATCTTCTGGTTGCTTCTCAGAGCTCAGCCTCGATTCAGAGTCTCCATGCTCTCAAGTTGATGGAATATATGAAGGACATGGGCCGCGAGGACATCTTCATTCGCTACGTTCATGAATTGGCTGAAGCCCAAGCTGCAGCAGGCAACTTTACCGAAGCCGGTCTTGCCCTTCAATTCCACGCCGACCTATACGAATGGGATCTGACCAAGCCCATGCCAGAGCTGCTCACACCTGCGTTCCCTGCTCAAAATTCCTTTGATCGAAGAGAGGCATTATACTTCTCTATCATTCAACACTTTGAGAATGCCATGGCCTGGGCCCCGGCTCTGGCTTGCTACAAGGAACTCGCGGCACACTACGAGCACACGACCATGGACTTCGCCAAGCTCTCGCGAGCCCAGAGCTCCATGGCTCGCATCTACGACTTGATCGCCAAGGGCGGCAAGCAGTTCCCGCGCTACTTCCGCGTCGTCTACAAAGGTCTAGGCTTCCCTCCCAGCCTGCGCGATAAGGAGTTTATCTTTGAGGCTGCGCACACCGAACGCATGGCTTCATTCGTCGATCGCATGCAACGAGAACACCCTACCGCGCAGATTATGTCTTCTGGCGACATCCCCGATTACGAAGGCCAGTTCCTGCAGATTAGTGGTGTCAGTGCCCACCGCGATGTGTCACACCCTGTCTACCAGCGTTCCAAGGTGCCGTACTCTGTCCGCGAGCACCTGTTGATCTCTGATCCGTCTCGATTCTCTGCTACCTCGCGACGACACACTGGCAGCTCGGATGTCCGTGAGCAATACGTTGAGAAGTTCATTTTCACTGTCTCTGAATCGTTTCCGAATATCCTTCGTCGCAGCGAGATCATTTCTGCTCAGGAGGTTGCTTTGTCTCCCCTGCAGACAGCCATTGAGCGAACGTGGCGCAAGACACAGGAGCTTCAGATTCTCGAGCGCCGCGCTGCCTCGGGTGAGGATTCTAGTCTGTCGAATCTGACAGAAGCCTTAGAGCAACTGCTGGAGCATCGGTCTCCGTCCTCGAATTGCGTAGCATTGTACCGTGTGTTCCTTTCCGATGCGGAAATGGCACGGAACAAGCTGCTTGAGGAATTGGATGAGGACGGTGAGGATATAGTGGAGCACCAGCCCGTGGACCCGATGGAGACTGCACTCTCCGTCGCGCTCGTCGACCATGCTTTGGCTATCAAGCACGCCCTGTCTCTCTACCAGCGCCCTGCCCAACAAGCTACCCAAGCCGAACTGCTCCGACGCTTTGAGGACGTCTTCGAGCCTGAGCTAGAGTCTCTTGTCACCGTTCCAGTGGAAAACTCTTCGCCCACGCCAACTCAAACAGCCCGCCAATCTCCAGCCTTGAGCGACAGTCGCCGAATGACTACTATCCAGCGAACCATCAGCCCAGAGCAGAATTCGAACGGCGCCGCTCGCAACGCACACACGCGCAAGCGCTCCGATCGACAATCCGTCAGCCACCGGATCAGCATAATCAACCCCTTCAAACGAACTCACGGCCCCTCCAACTCCATCTTCACCATCCAGCAATCCGACAGCAAGGGCCAAATTGTCAACGAACAAGAAGAAGTCGACGACGAGACGGCGACCATCCACAGTCGCACGACCAGCCACTCGCGCGGCGGCCGGAGCGAAAAGCGCCGCAGCTTTTTCAGCGGTGACAAGAGCCACAAGCACGGATCCTCGCCCTCTGTCGCAGCGGCAGCTCGTGAATCCCAAACCTCATTGAAAATACGCAACCCTTCCCGCGACGCCTCCCATGATGGTCGTAGTCGCGCGGGTTCCCAACACAGAGGCCCGAGTACAGCTGACCGCGTACCCGCTAGTGGTGGGTGGTCGACAATCCCTCCCACGCGTGATTACTCGCGGCCTGCTACAAGGGATAGTAATACGGTGACTATGACGACTACCAATGGTACGGCGCCTTTGTCGCCGGTTAATAATAATAATAATAGTGGAATGCGGGATTCGGTGTTCCGTCGATTCAGTATGCTCAAGGGGAAGGGTGTTGGTCGGAAGAATAGTCGGATGGATTTCAAAGCTGCGTTGCCAGAGGAGTAAAATGATTCCCTTTTCTTTTTTTTTTCACCTTTTGACTCTTGTCTATCCTTTTGATTTTTTCTTTTCTTTCGATATCATTTTTATTTTACTTAACTACCCTGTACTCACTGCATTATTATTTTTTTATGAGATGAGATGAGAGATAGATACCATGTGTTATAATTTGTCTACAATCCATTTTATTAATGTACCTCGCTTATACTCTCTGTACTTCGTATAAAATGCGTTGTTTACTATGCAAATGAAAGTGAAAGAAGTGTTCCAATCAAGAAATGGAGTGTGGCAGTGCATTGACTTGGCAAAGTCTTGGCTCTTACGATCAACCAATCAATAATAATGCCAACAGTTCCAAGTGTCCAACTTGTGGAGCAAAGTGTGATCATCACACTGGAGCTCCCACTTAGCTCTTCAAACTCCTGACGTCGAGGCTGTGCTAACCTTGCAACCGTGGAAATTCATCTCGTTACGTTGGAAAGTGGCTTTCATTCCCCCCGCCAGTCTCTGCTTAACTTTCTTGGTTGTTACAGAAGAAAAAAATTATGTGTACGTGATACACTTTCCTTTCTATATCCCCACCATCCGCTCTTTTCCGACTTGAAGTCACATCGGGGGTTCTAACACACCTTTTATATAGCAAGCACCAAACTCCGCTCCCAATTCCGAAGCCACAGCTTCGGACCAGCAAGAATGTCTCGCAGTGGCTCCCTAGGTGCTAATGAGCGCACTGGACTTCTCAGTGAGCCCCGTGGTTCTTTCTCTGGTCTCTCACCTCATGAACATGTCGACCATGGCCAGCATCATCATCACCCGAAGGATAGCCGCGTGTGGGTGCGCTGGCCTGCACATGTCGTCCATCTGACGTGGAAGACCCTCATCCGTGACTATGTTAATCTCCTACTTGTCTGCGTACCCTTGGGGATTGTGGCTGGTGCCCTTGGCTGGGATTCCACTGCTGTGTTTACCCTTAATTTCTTTGCCATCATTCCTCTCGCGTCGCTGCTGAGTTTTGCGACGGAGGAGCTGGCGGCTACGATGGGTCAGGCCCTGGGTGGCCTGATGAATGCAACTTTCGGGAATGCCGTTGAGTTGATTGTGAGTTTTGAATTTTTCCCTATACGGCGTGACGTCAAATTAATCTCTCCCCGTGCTGTAGGTCAGCATCATTGCCCTGAAGGATAATCAGGTGCGTGTTGTACAGGCCAGCATGCTCGGCAGCATCTTGTCGAATATCCTGCTCGTACTGGGATGTTGCTTCTTCGTCGGAGGTCTGCGCTACCGTGAGCAATCTTTCAACAGCACCGTGGCATCGACCATGTCCTCGTTGATGGCCGTTGCCTCTGCTTCGCTCATTATCCCCGCCACCCTTTACGCCGCGATCTCGAACAACACTGTCTCGAAGCCCGGTGACGCTACCACGGACCCGGACCACGATGCCCAGCATAACATTCTTATCCTGTCGCATGGCACCTCCGTCATCCTGCTCCTGCTCTACGTCATGTACCTCTTCTTCCAGCTGCGATCCCACTCGGATCTCTTTGAGGAGACCAACGGGAGCGATGCTGAGGCTGGTGGCGCTGACGAGGAGGAGGAAGAGGAAGAACGTGTACTCAGCCCTTGGGCTGCGACTGTTGCGCTGGTCGTGGTTACTGTCCTGGTCTCCATCTGCGCCGACTACTTGGTCGGCAGCATTGATAGCATGGTGGAGAAGACAGGCATGAGCAAGACCTTCATCGGTCTGGTGCTGATTCCCATCGTCGGTAATGCTGCGGAGCATGTCACTGCCGTGGTGGTTGCGTACAAGGATAAGATGGACCTTGCGATTGGTGTTGCGATTGGTAGCAGCTTGCAGATTGCTCTGTTTGTCACTCCTTTCTTGGTTATCTTGGGCTGGATCATGGGTATTGAGATGACGCTGCACTTCCAGACTTTCGAGACAGTTGCTTTCTTTATTTCGGGCTTGGTTGTTACCTTGCTCATTCAGGACGGAAAGTCTAACTATCTCGAGGGTGGAATGTGTCTCGGCTTGTATATTATTCTTGCCCTGGCATTCTATGTCTATCCCGATAATGTGGCCAACTAAGCTGGGCTTAGTTGAAACTATGGCGGTCTTGGTCCCTTGGTTTTAGCTAGTTGGCTGCTTTCTTATGTATTCTATATTATGCAGATTACCTGTCTATAGTCAAAATCGCATTTGTTGACAACCGTTAATACATTGTTCTTGTAAATGAATGTTCCAATATATGCTACATGTGGTAATAAGGTCATAAATTCCATAAAGCTTGGTGGTTTTGTATCATGATCTATTCCGTCGCGGAGATATATCTGTGTGAGATCCAAACATACTGCAGAGTATAGAGAGCAACTACGATTGAAAAGATACCAAGCATATTTACCAACACACTGTCAAAACAAGTGAGATCCTTATTTTTTCCTATTACTTATTCGTTGCACAGCTCATGCACAATGACTACATCAATCCTGTTTGCAACGACGAGTTCATGACCTCACCTTCATCGAAATTCTTGGCAATGACTAAGCCATCCCGGAATTTTGCTCGACACCGCAAACTTCCAGACGAATCGACCTCCCCAGATTCCATTATTGCATTGGGGTCAATTCACACAAACGCCACAATGACACCTCGTCTAAACCTATTCACGGCCAACAAGGCCGTTTCCGCCCTGCGCCAATCCACCACCCCCGCGCTGTCTTCCCGGACCCTCGCCAGCCCTGCCCGATTCCGCGCCGTCCAATCACTACCGCTTCAGTGCCGATGGAACTCCTCGCGCGATGGTTCGAAAAAGGTCGAGCCTCAGCCCGATGAGCAGACCTTCCCGACCATCGATCAGCTGCCCGATGTCAGCGAGGAGGCGAATGAGATCTCCCGGATCATGGAGAAGGAAAAGCGATGCGATGGTGTCCCCGCCTCCCCGGAGCTGGACCAGGGTACACCTGTTGAGGAGGTGAGCAAAATCGCAACATCTGACACCGAACCCGGACCGGTGTTGGAAAGTCAACACTGTGGGACAACCGTTAACCGCCGATGGAACAGATTCTCAGCCGCGATAAAATCGCCATGAAGCACATGCCCAAGGTCATGCAGGACGAACTCAAGAAGTCGGGCACACGCTCGTTCTCGACCTCCGCTCGGAGCCGCATGCCCGATGTGGACAGTGTTCAGCCCAAGAGCGATGCCAACCTTTTCCCTAATGCTGGTGAGGGTGCCAGCCCGGAGGCTGCTGCTGCTCTTGCCAGCATGATTGAGCAGGTTCAGTCGGAGACTGTTGTTGAGGATGAGAATCTTGGCCTGAAGTTCGAGAAGCCTGTCATTCCTGAGAACCTTAAGACATTGAACTTCCGGAACCGCTACGATACTTTGCAGGACCAATTCACTAAGATGATGATGGAGAGTGGAAAGCTGACCAAGGCTCAGAGGGTATGGGGCTCTTTTTTATCCTTCATTGGGCTAATCAGTGCATTGGACATCGCTAATTCAATTTTTAGAACATGGGCCTTGTTCTGGATCATCTTCGCACATCCGCTCCTCCCCAGATTAACCCTAGGCGCCGTCTCCTCGATGCTCCCCCTGCCTCTCAGATGCCCCTCGATCCTGTCCGCTACCTCACCGTGGTTGTCGACTCCGTGGCTCCTCTTTTCCGAATCCGTCAGCAAAAGGGTATCGCCGGTGGTGGTGCTGCCGTGCAGATCCCCCACCCGCTGAATCTGCGCCAGCGCCGTCGTACCGCCATCCAATGGATTATTGATACATCTGAGAAGCGCCGTGATGTGGCATTCGCCCAGCGCGTTGCCGCTGAGGTTGTGGCAGTTGCTGAGGGTCGTAGCAGCGTCTGGGAAAAGAGGGATCAGATGCACAAGATTGGTATATCTGGTCGTGCCAACTTGAACACTGCTCCTCGTCGGTAAATTGGCTTTTTGGCCTTGTATTTCTTTATGGGTTTTGGGTTTGTCTTGTATCTCTGAGCACTTTCTGCATATGTACATTTATCTAGTCTGGTCAAATAGATTTGACTAATATTCTTCACGCACTTGTTTGGACTTCGACATTGCACACTACTTTGTACCTGGACTTGGAATATCACGTTTGGTCCTTTCACGTGTCTTAATGGCCCTATATATAGCCGCTTACTCTCTAGTGTCTCATGTGATTGGGGGCCACCTCATCCTTGAACAACCTTACTCAGACACCCTGCATGAAAGCCTCCGATATACTCTTTAAAGTTTCTCTAAATTATCCCTGTGAATCAACGACTTCATTGTGATTTGTATAGAGCATCGCCTGATAGGCCCCACGGATTACCTAATCCAAAACTATACTGAATCGAGAAGTGCAACGGACCCTGAGGTCATCGAGAGAAAAAAAGGACGTTGAATATTTTAGTCGCGACTCAAACTCTCGGAGTGAACTTCAGTTTACTGGACAGATCCCCCTGATCGGAGGTGCGCAAGCGTGCTCTATCATTGACAGCCTGACCCTTTCAGTGCAACCCACACGCAAACCCGCCAGCTGACCCGGACTAGACCCTTGGTCCCCGCACACTCTTTCCGGCCTTGCCTCTCCCTGCTTTACTCGAATGATAAAGGCCGATTCACCTCCGGCCTCCTTCCTCGACGGTGGCTCCCCCGCGTCCCGACTCCATTGAACTTGTCGAGTACCATCCTACCTCCAATCGAGCTGCAAACGCTGGCCCCGCTCGCGAATCTCGAAGCGCTAGACCTTTCCACCCCGCCGCTAGCTCGCAGTCGCTTGTTGGTCTTCATATCGACGTTGAAAGAGACGCGCAAGGGGAATCGTCGCCGACTCACCTTCGAACTTCTCGTTTAAAGTTCTGGGCCGAGGCCCTTCGACGTTGTGCTCTCAACTCTTCACAAGGGAACGTTGATTCGGAACCTGCCAAGATGAAGTTCTCGCATAGCGTTCAGTTCAACGCTGTGCCCGACTGGAGCTCTAACTACATCGCATACAGCAATCTTAAGAAACTGTAAGTTCAAGTTTTCCATGATGGTGTGGTAGCCAGACCCGCGGTTCTGCTGGTGTCACATCGCACAGGATTGATGGTGGCTTCTGCACCGGAGATTTGTATTCACGCTAATGTCGCACCGTGCCTAGGATCTACACCCTTGAAAAACAAGTCAATCGTACCGAGGGCCAGTCCACCACCGATGTTGAGTCTGCGCCGCTGCTGGGTGCTCAAACGAGCAACCCAGATGCGGTTTTTAAGCGCGCTCTCGATGCCGAGATGGACAAGATCTGTACCTTCTACCAGAAGAAAGAGGCGGAGATTTTCGAACTCGCCGACGAGCTTATCAAGGACGCCCACGTGTATCTTTCCGAGACAGACGGCGTCAACATGGACCCGGTGAGCGAAACCATCATCAAGGCAGGCGTCCGTCGCAATGTCAAACCTCCAGGCCAGCACCGGAGATCCAGCGCCATCAGCAATGATTCGATGGCCGACGACGAGGACGGGGATAGCGACGATGATCGGTCGGCCTCAGCCCTTCCCCAGCGCCGGCGAATGATGCAGTGGACAGACGGCGAGTCTGGCACGGATGACCCGAACGGTGACTTGGCGGACTCTTCCTTCTTTGGACGGCCGGTGGGTCCTGAGCCACATGGATCGTACCTCAACGACGAGGACTTCCTCGCCCTCTACAATACCGGTATCTCACTGAAGAAGCGTCTGATTGAAGGCTACGTCTCGCTCTGCGAGCTTCGGTCCTTTATAGAGCTGAACAAGACCGGTTTCGCCAAGGCGCTGAAGAAATACGACAAGACCCTGAACCGTACCTTACGCCGAGACTACCTGGCCTCCGTTGTTCACTCCGCAAGACCGTTCACTGAGAGCACCATGGCTGCCGTCGATAGACATATCGAGGACTTCGAGGGTGTGTACGCGGATATCGTGACCAAGGGTAACAGGCAGCTCGCAAGGCGCGAGTTGCGTCTACATCTGCGTGAGCATGTTGTCTGGGAGCGAAACACCGTCTGGCGTGAGATGATCGAGATTGAACGCCGTGCGCAGGCTGCGAACGTTGGTATTCGCCGGACGCTCTTGGGTGGTGACGAGGACCCGGCTACTGCTCGGCGTCAGGGTGACAAGAATGAGATTCGTACCCAGGAAATCTCGACGCCTCTTGGTCGGTTCCAATTCCCACTGTGGTTTTGCAGCTTGAGCTTTGGCACGCTGGTCTTTAGTGTCGCTGTCTTTGGCACTTTGCTTTCCATGCAAACTATGAGTACGCCCGAGCAGCAGAACTGTTTGGCTATGTTGGTGCTTGTTAGTATACTGTGGGCCACTGAGGTATGTCGTGTTGATTCGCCCGAGCCGATTTATTCCATGCTAATCTAAATTCCTAGGCGATCCCGCTGTTTGTGACCTCACTGCTTATTCCATTTCTTGTCGTCACATTGGGAATCATGCGGTCCGATGAGAAGCCACACAAGCGACTTGGACCCAAGGAGTCTGTGGGCATGGTGTTCTCGGCAATGTGGACTCCTGTGATCATGCTCCTTCTTGGTGGTTTCACCATTGCAGCGGCGCTATCCAAGTACGATATTGCCCGGCGCATGGCCATGTTTGTGCTCAGCAAAGCGGGTTCGAAGCCTTCCACTGTCCTGCTGACCAACATGTTTGTGAGCATGTTCCTAAGCATGTGGATCAGTAACGTTGCATCCCCCGTGCTCTGCTACTCCATCATCCAGCCTTTGCTCCGTAACATGCCCCCGGAGTCAAACTTTGCTAAGGCCCTTGTCCTGGGTATCGCGCTGGCCGCCAATGTTGGTGGTGCGGCGTCTCCTATCGCCTCACCTCAGAACATCATTGCCCTGCAAAACATGTTCCCAAACATCAGCTGGGGTACATGGTTCTTCATCTCGCTGCCCGTCTGTATCATCTCCATCCTTCTTATCTGGCTTTTGCTACTGGCGACATTCCGTCCTGGGCGCAATGCAACTGTCATCCCGATCCGTCCTGTGAAGGACCGATTCACTGGCATGCAGTATTTCATCAGCATCGTCACTCTCATCACTATCGGTCTCTGGTGCGCCAGCCACCAACTCGAGCATGTCTTCGGCGACATGGGTGTCATCGCCATCATCCCCCTTGTCCTCTTCTTCGGAACGGGTATCTTGAACAAAGAAGACTTCAACAACTTTCTATGGACAATCATCATCCTCGCTGCCGGTGGACTGTGTCTGGGCAAGGCCGTCACCTCATCAGGCCTGCTGCACACAATCGCCGCCGACATCACCGCGCGCGTCGAGCATCTCAGTCTATACAGCGTGCTGCTAGTCTTCTGTGCTCTAATTCTTGTCATTGCCACCTTCATCTCGCACACTGTCGCCGCCCTCATCATCCTGCCTCTTGTCCGCCAGATCGGTGTCAACATGGAAAATCCCCACCCCAACCTGCTGGTTATGGCCAGTGCCTTGATGTGCTCCGTCGCCATGGCTCTGCCCACAAGTGGATTCCCTAATATGAGTATGTTCTTCATTTCATCCGCTTGGACTCTGCTAACTAGTTCTCCTAGCTGCCATCATGACCGAAGTACCCCAGACAGGCCAGCGGTATCTCCAAGTCCGCCATTTCCTCACTCGTGGTATTCCATCCAGTCTTATGTCTTTCGTGGTTATCGTCACGCTTGGCTATGGGCTGATGTGGGTCGCGGGATTATAGAGGGTATAGTTCGGAATGACCGCGTGACCCTTACAAAGGGCAGTTAACCTGTTCTGTACACTTGGTGCGAAGACAATGAATAGATGAGGAGTACGTGGACTGACTTGTATCGGTCTTTCATCGATACTGATGTCGTATATCTCTAAGCTGGGCTTGTTTTGCACAAATACAATAGACGGAGGCTTGCCCTGAGTAATTACTGTACATAGTTTGTTTATGCCAGAATGAAACAAGAAGTCGTGTTCAATGAGACTTACATTGTTAAGACTTGATGTAATTTCAAGCCATAATCAAGCGCAGACTCGTTGCACTTGTCCAACTTGATGAATTGTAAGAACTCAAAAGACCCAAGGCAAGCCACCTCTCTGTGTAAGATTTTTGAGACAATGTTTGCTACTGTCAATCTATTACGATGTACAACGGTGAATCAAATAATTAATCCATTTCTCCCCGATACTTTCAAGGCTAAATGTACCTTACACAGCGCCAGAGCTAGGGAGATGAACCCGATCAAAAATAGCACAAAAACACAAAAACTGCATCCTGCATCGCCGTAACGTAACCCATAAGTCATGCCCAGGTATAGCATAGAAACTGGGTATATAAATACTCTTTTCTATTGCCAGCAGCAAGATTAATTACTAGACGAGTTAGGTTAGCAACAACACATCAACACAAGGGAAGAGGTGGGGGTATACTCACAGCAAGCCAATCGTCAAATCGCCGTGAATCTTCGCCTTCAGCTGAACCTCAATATCCAGATTAAGGTCCAGCCGCAAACGAAGCTGTTCATCCCGGCCACCATCGTCTTCTTCTTTCTTGTCGCCACCCCCTAGGATCCCGCCGACCGCCTTGCCCGCACTGCCCGTCACGCCGTTCAAGGCATTCCCGGCTGTGTTCTGCACGAGCTGGCCTGCTTGGTCTACTCCGCCGACGCCCGGTAGGCCGCCGAGGGGACCGTTGTCTTGTTGCTGTTGCTGTCTGGGCTGGCGCTGGCGGCGGACGCGACGCTGGGGCTTTTCATCATCCATTTCGCGCGGGATTGACTCGACGTCTGATTCTTGGGGACGGGGTTTGCGGCGACGACGACGTTCGGGCTTGGCCTCAGGTTCTGGCTCAGGTTCTTTAGGCGCTTCTTGTTCTGGTTCTTGTTCTTGTTCTTGTTCTTGGTCTGAGTCTGGCTCTTGTTGTTTGGGGGCGGACTCGGACTCTTCGGGTTTAGATTCTTCTTGGGGCTTGTCGTCTTCTTTTTCCTGCTCCTGGCCTTCTTCGGAGGGAGGAGGGGTTTGTTCTTGTTTGGCTGGAGACTTCTTGCCTAGTTTGGGAGGGGCACGCTTTGGCTTGGAGTCGGTAGTGGGAGTAGAGGGAGTTTCTTGATCGGCCATAATGGAAAAAGAGAAGAAAGAATGTTAAAGGGGGGAGATGAGGGGAATATGAATTGATTCGAGAACGAGATAGGACAAAGCGTCACAAGGTGGGCGGGATGAACTACTATGTAATCGTGCGTTTATTGGTATATGATGCAGATAATTTCCCCTTGTCCAACCGTTTATATCATCAGGACTAGTAGGCCTGGCCAAAACCGGTATAGATTCTAGCCGCCTCCGACGTCAGATGGTAAGTTTCTTTGCTCGGGTAGAAGAATACCCATAGCGACCGTCATTGTATAGATTTGGGTTGAGGTACGTTGTGCGCCAAATGACGGCTGGGGAATCTTAGAATAGGAACTCCATACTGGAGACAGTTAGTATGACGTGTGCTGTGGACAAGGATCAAGACCCTGGAACCAATCCGTATGGAACAATAGGAACGGATTGAATTGGTACAATGTATAATCCAGGGATCAACCTTCGGAGATAAAACCAAAACCCTGGCGTACTCGGTATTGTAGGGCGAAAATTAGAAAAAAAGGATCCGCTTCATCCCACGCTCCAATCACATTGAATTTCGGTGAATTTGACGCCTTGACATTCTCCACTTAAATAGATTAAGTAGACGTAAGACCGTTGCAGCTTTGTCGTCTCACAACACGAGAAATAGATGGTATGACGCCACACAACATCCAAACTGGGATTTGTGCAATGGATATTGGCTTCATGGGAAAAAAACAACTGCCGACAACTGTCTGTATTATATACAGTGTATAGTTACCTATGACCCCAGTTAGTCGAAAATTCTCACAAAGATGCCATGAAAGGGGATAATTTTAAACTGCCCGGTTCCTGGTTTCAGGATGACTGGTTCAAAGCCACGAGTCTGAATGTGTTTCCATGGATTGAAATATGACAGAAAAAAAAAACCAATCTTGTATGTATATGCCGCCACTGTGGACACGGCCTTTGTGTCAGGTCTAGAATCCTTGATGTTGTTCAAACCTGATGACGCGGGTGGTCTTGAAGGGGAAAGTCTGAGTTGGAGAGGATAATTGCCAGCCGCCAACGTCATGGAGGGACAAGAGTATTGATCACTCTTTGAGTACAACGTATATCACTTTCTTGCTTTTCATTTTGGTTTTTATGTTGTGAATATCCTGAGGAATTTCCTTTTTTATTTTATTTTTTTCTATATCCTTATTATATACAAATCTTGGTGACATTTCGTCTCTCATCCTATACCTTTCTATACCAATTTCTTTTGCCTATAACTCTATACCCTAGCGTTGTCTCATACTTATCATGGCGACCGTCGAAAAAACCAAACAGCAGCCCAAGAAGCTCCCCGTCCAGGACGATCTATCCGACGGCGAAGATTACGATAGTGCCGACGACTACACCGATGAATCCGAAGAAGAAGAAGTCCCCCAGGCCCAGACGAAAAAGCAATCAAAGCAACTACAAAAACGGAAACAACCCATTCAGCAAGATGATGACTCCGAATACACGGATGAAGATGAATACGATGATGAATATGACTACTCCGACTCGGGTGACGAAGCCATGCAACCCTACTCCAAACAAAACTCAAGCTTCAAGCCCAACGGCGGCATGGATGTCCTCCACAAGGAAGAACCGAATATGCTGGATCAAGAGGGCATGAAGCTGAGGTTGGAACTCAACCTGGAGATCGAAGTTGAATTGAAGGCACGCATTCACGGCGATCTTACCTTGGCTCTCATGTAAGTTGGCCTCGAGGCAAGAATCCCCTCCCTTTTAGATACCCTTGTCCAGAACACCGCTCAAAGAACCGAATTAGGAGTTGATCGCGTTTTACCAACAACAGGGCTTGAAACCCCTTCGGTCCCATGGCCAACCTCACGATCCGACGTCATCACGAGTCTTTCCAATGCTTTTTTCATAGAGCCAATGTCTTGATTAATTTTTGTTTTTGTGGATCAACGGTTTTCCTGGGTCAAAGGACGCATTGTGCTATGTATATTCTCTTGGGCGATTGGAATAATATATTTTTTCTTCCAAAATTTGCAACTTTTCAATCTTGATATCGACTGATGTACGGAGTGGAGTGGAAAAGTACGGAGTAGCGTGGAAAGCGTGAAGCCGAGGAGCTTGGCGGTCCATTTGTGTTCTACTTTCTCCCCGCCGCTTACAATCTTACAATCTGTACTCGAGCATCGGTTCATTTTCCAATTCACTTCAAATTGAATTCCATCTTTCCCAGAACCCTTATTTGCTTCTGCCACTATCAACGCAATCGCCATGTCTTCCAAAGACTTCATCATCAAGCATATGAATGCCGACCACCAAGATTCCCTCGTTCTCTTCCTCCAAGCCTACTGCCGCATCTCAACTTCCCAAGCCAAAACTGCCAATCTGGAAGAAATCACCCTCTCAAACCTAATTGTCACCGCCCGCGGCACCCGCTACAGCGTCCCCATCGACCCCCCAATGAAAGATTACTCCGAGGCACGCAGCCGCATGGTCGCCATGCACAAGGAGAGTCTGAAACGCCTGGGTCGCAGCGATGTCACCCTCAGCGAGTACCGAGCCCCGCGTGGCGTCCAAGCCGTGATCTTTGGCCTGTGCCTCTTTACCTACGCCAGCTGCTTCCGGCGCAGTAACCTGCTACCGGGCTCATTCGTCTACGAGTACTTCGGGTATAAGTTTGTGCCTGATTTTGCGCACTTCGTCTACAATATCCAGCCGTGGCTCCTTCCTGGGGTGTTGGGGATCCATGTTGTTGAGACCATTTTGTTGGCTATCACGCAGTTGAAGCCGCTGGGTGTGCCGGTTTTCTCGGGGTTGTGGTGTAAGTGGGTTGCTTCGTGCTTTGTCGAGGGATTCGGCGCATTCCAGCGTATCAAGCAGATTGTTAAGGAGGAGAGGTCGAAGAGCGGTAAGAGTCAGTAGGGACAGCCCGGGAGGAAGACAATTATGACACTAGCAATCACTAGAAGTCATTGTAAGTCATTGCCAGATTGTCCGATTGAGTGAATGCGATATTGAATTGCAACAATAGATGAACCGGTATATTGAAACCATCAGAACTTCAAAAAATTGTAACTTGATAAAGTCGTGGAATAGCCCTGGACCTTAGGACCTTTTAGTAGTAACCATGAAGGTCTGACTGTCTGATTTCACCATATCAGATGGCGTGCACGTGACCTTGCTGAATCATCAAGTGCCGATCACCTGACCCAGGTCCAAAGACTGGGACGCCCTAAACCCAGTTTAGTCTAGTGTCGGTTAGGGCACTACACAAGCGAGCGACACAGTGCGGCCTGCGAAATTCAGCGACTCCACGACCCTCGATCTCGCACGACAACCTTACGACAACTTATCTGTGTTTCTGGTGAAGGGTAACACATTTAGAGGTGAGTTATCGGCTGCTGTCTTATTCCTGCAAGGTTTCTTTCGAAAAATTCTGTTTCGCTCGCTGCGCCATCAATTTCGATCTTCGTTATCCCCATTGGATTCTCGACTTCCGTCAAATCGTCAACTTCACTTCGATCTTGCCTCTCCTTGAACACGTCTTTCAACTATCTACCAACATTGTCGCCCAATTCTCTGATACTCGAACATTGATTTTGTGCGGCGCTCGAGACGAAACAGAAGGATTGGAAAAAAAAAGAAACGTTCAGGGCCCACAATCGACAATATCTAACGTATCTCTTCAACTTTAGACCCATCCATCCACCGCAAATATGGGTATTTCTCGTGATTCTCGCCACAAGCGCAGCGCCACCGGTGCCAAGCGCGCTCACTACCGCAAGAAGAGGTACGAATTCAACCTAGCCTGAGATTTGAAGTTTTTCATGTTGCATTGGGAAAGGAATCCGCAACTCTCAAAAGCAGAATGCTTACAAGCCGTTCTACAGAGCGTTCGAGAAGGGTCGCCAGCCCGCCAACACCCGTATCGGTGCCAAGCGCATTCACCTTGTCCGCACCCGTGGTGGCAACCAGAAGTTCCGTGCCCTCCGTCTCGACTCTGGTAACTTCTCCTGGGGTTCCGAGGGTATCTCCCGCAAGACCCGTGTCATTGGAGTGTCCTTCCACCCCAGCAACAACGAGCTGGTCCGCACAAACACCCTGACCAAGTCCGCCGTTGTCCAGATCGATGCCGCTCCCTTCCGTCAGTGGTACGAGGCTCACTACGGCCAGCCCATTGGCCGCAGACGCCAGCAGAAGACCGAGGAGGAGGAGGTGAAGAAGTCCTCTTCCGTCACCAAGAAGCAGGCTGCCCGCTTCGCTGAGTTCGGCAAGGCTGAGGGTGCTATCGAGCGTCAGTTCGAGTCCGGTCGTCTTTTCGCCGTTGTTGCCTCCCGCCCCGGCCAGTCCGGCCGTGTTGATGGTTACATCCTGGAGGGTGAGGAGCTTGCTTTCTACCAGAAGGCTATCCGCAAGTAAACGATAAAATAAAATATTCGGTTGTTGCAACGGGTGGATCGGAGTTTCAGCTATGTCATGATCAGGGCATCCTAGGGATGCAAATTGTCTTCAAAGCTCTGAGCCATCAATCCATGGGATTTGTTCCTAGTTCATATGTTCTATATTTTCCAAATTGTGTAGTGTCCTAGTACCCTGGGCAGATTTGTAGCCTAATGTCTCATTTGAAGAAATTCCTCATATGAAGTATTAACCTTGCATCTTGCACCTAGGTACTTTCCGAGATAGTGTGTTGCTCTTGGGGGTACTATAGCCCATTGGCAGCATAATTATTGTTACTGGGTAGGACAAAAGGCCTGCGCATTTTCGGTCTCGTATGTCTCCGCGCTCTATCCCCATGGATCTATATCAGCACGGTCAATTTTCCTAGATTCTGTAACTGCTTGCGCTGATACTTATAAGAAACATGACCATGAGCTTTACGGCTTTTTTAGAAACCAGGAGATTCAAGATATTATGTGTACATATATATATCCCTGGTTCGGCGACAGCCATCCTTCGACATAAGTTAGAACAGGACTTGTCTATATTTAATATACCAAATAACCACCAATCACCCCGAAGCAAGAGGAAGCTCCAAATCAACAACCCAAGGCGCATTCCTCGCCTCATACCCCACAGTATTGACACTAGCATTAACAAACAAAGTCTCCTCCCCAAACCGCAAAGGCCGTTCTGCCCGCCCACTAACATCATAAAATGCGGAGCGAGTTTCAAGCATCTCCTCAGCATCAGTAGCCACAGATTCAAGCTTGAGCCCATCAGATCCCCAGACCCCACGCCGCGCACCCCACCCTTCATGAATATGACCGAAGAGATGAATGCGCGGTCTCGCGCGCCCCGCTGCCCGAAGAAGATGCTCACATCCAACATTCAAGTCAGGCGGGACTTGGTCTAGGATTCCCACAGGCGGACCGTGCGTTAGGAGTATATCCACACCCGGGAAATCGGGGATTGGATTAGTGGGCTGGTGGCCATTAGGCGCAGCATTGTAGCGGTCTTCATCGCGCTCGTACGCGAATGCCCAGCGGTAGAACTCCGGCTGGTAGGGCGAGGCGTAGACTGTGAAAGTGGCGCCTGTGGAGAGAGTGAAGGAGTGCATGCCTTCTTCTAGGTAGATGATTCCTGCATTACGGGCGGCATCGCAGGTCCAGAGATCTTTGATGGAGCGGGCGTAGGAGCGCAGCTGGTCTGCGTTTGGGGTTTTTGTTTTTGATTGTCGGAGGTCAGCTTGGGTGCTGTCGTCTGTGAGGAGAATGGATTCTGCACCTAGATGCTCTGGTCGGAGGTGGCGCGTGTAGCCGAAGGTTGTGAAATATTGTTCGTCTAGGGTGATGTCGTGGTTACCGGCAATTACGAGCTTTAGTTCTGCGTCAGCGTCTTGGAGCATTGCGATCATTGTTTCGTGCTCGACGCGGTACCCCACTTTCGTGAGGTCGCCGGCGTGCAGCAGGATATTGGCTTTTGGTAGTGGGTAACGGTAGGCATTGTTGAGTTGTTGTGGTGGGTTTGGTGGGCTTGTATGGGTGTCTGATATCATGCAGATGCGGGTTTTGACGCTCATGTTGGATATGCTCAGATGAGATGGTGGCCGTTCCTCAAAATGTTGCAAGCTATATCGGGATCCACGATTGCTCGTATTCTATCAAAATATTTCTGAGGGCTGTTGGAGATGGGTTTGAGGTTGATGTCGAAGATCGGCAATGACATGGGTCATTCAACCCTGATGTTCCCCGCCGAACCCCCCGACTTTACCGAATATATTGTCGCTTCAGAAAGTTGGGGTACTTTTTCTGGCATACGTTGTTCTAATTATGAGCATGTATTCTGAACAATGGTTTTGGCAATTCATGTTCCAGCTTAAGAAGCGAGGAATAGGCCATCAAAAGTATACCTAAGAAATGTCATTTCGTTGATCTATATATGCGTCGCTAAACAACAAGTAGCTACTCAAAATCCCTCATATCAAAAGACGGCCACAGGGTAATCATAACGGGAAAATCGAAAAACAAATCGTGGGCTGAGAAAAGTTAAAACCACAATATTAAGCCTCCAACTCCAGTACAGTAAAAACAGCAAAAACAGCAACCTATAACAATGTTCAAGGAGCACCGCCAAGACCTATCATTCTTGTTAGCTGGTTGCCAAACCAAAATTCCGCGGAAAGACTTACCAGCAGCGAATGCCAGATACCAAGTGCGGGTAGCACCACCATCAATCCAACTATAGTTGAAGTTTGGCTGAGCGAAGAACTCCCACGACGACTTGGGATCGATGAGAGCAAGATTGGCGTAGAGCACACCTCTCCATCCACCATCGACTTCGGAGGCGGGGGTGGAGGCATTCTCGGCGAACATGGCCTCCCACTCCTGGCGCACGAATTCCTTGCGGCGCGTGTAGGGCGTGTGGGGCATGAGAGGGAGCATGTGGATACTGTGATAGCCGTTAGCGAAAAAGAACAATGAATATGGAAGGCGAGATAGCAGTACCCTTGAATGAATTCCAGGTTGGCGCCGAAGTAAGTTGTGTGATCGACTTTGTTCTCAAATAGCTGTTTTGGATATTAGTGTCGGCTTCGAATGAGGCAGTGAGGTTGAAACTTACGATTCCAGTGACCTTATTACCGATAAAGTTCGCAGGCTGGTTGACATTGTCGTCTTCCATGAGGAAGTAGTTGTTTAGAGAGCGACCCAGAATACCTAGCATCAGGTTGCCGCGGGCTTCCATGCTAGCATCGTGGGTGGTCTGTCCCCACATCTTGATCGCATAGGCAAACATAGTATCTTCCGACGTAGATTCCTGGTCCTTGCCATCAAAAGACTCGAACAAACCCTTGGCCCAGGAGTGACCGTTGTACCAATCAAAGCCGCGCGAGAAGGGGAAGTAGGCGTCGTTTTCGACAGAGTTGCCAGCGTCACGAACGAGCATGTTAACCCAATCCTTGTTAGCAGCCAGCCAAGTGGGATCGAGAGAGCCAATAATGGCAGCTGCTTGAATAAAGTATCCATAATGGAAGTGGTGGTCATTGTATGCGGTGTTTCCAAAGTCTTGGTTCAGATCACCGTTGTAACCGGCCGTGGAAACAACACCCTTCCAGACGGCATCGTAGGCAAGAGGGTATTGCTGCTCGTTATCCACAAAGCGCGCGAATGACTTCTTTAATTCTTGGAAGGCATCGATCGCTAGCTCGACGTTGTTTCCGAGTTGGTTGACGGTGTATACAAGGGTCGCAAACTTGCTCAGCGCCTTACCACTATAGTACATACTGTTGAGATCTGTTTGCTCTGAGATATTCTGCTTCAACTCATGTGGAGCGTTCTCGAGAATAGCACGCTGGGCTGCACTAGAGAGGTCTAGAACACTACCGTGGGTAGTCGACCAAGGCGCGAAGCCGATATCAACTGGGAGGTTTTGTTCAATCATGGTCCAGTTTTCTCCAATGACGGCGGTGGAATTGCCCTTTGTAGTAGTGCGGAGTTGAATGTTGGTGACGCGGTCCTTGGTCGCAGGATCGAAAGAGTGAATGTGATGGGGCAAAGCAAACATCAATAGAGGGGTACTCTGGATGTCCTTTCCAGCCTTGGTCCAGGACAGGCTGTAGCTACCAACATCGCCAGTGACAGAACCAGATATGTGCCCTGCCACAGGGTAAACGCCAGACGAGTTATCATAGATCTTCTCACCAGCAATACCAGCAGGGTTCTTAGCAATCTGGATAGTACCAGAGAACCCGGGAGGGCCACGAAGGTTGGTCTTTGAAAGCAGCTTGAACTTGGGGTCTTTGCCATCCGCCGGAGTAACATACATAAGCCAGGTGGTGTCATCCTCAAGGTTGACCTTGTACTTGAAGATTCCAGGTCTGAGCGAACCAGCGTTGACGACCCTGCGGAAGAAAATACCACTTTCGATCAAGGGCTGCAGGTCGTTATAGACAGCTGTAGAGTAGGCCATACCTTGCACGACAGGGAAGGAGATCTGCTGAGCCGAGCCTCCGGAGCGCTTGATGACAGCGTGCGCCGAGAAAGCCTTAGGCTCTTCGGTGTTCATGATAGTGGATTCACCCAACTCAGTTGCAGAGAAAATTAGATGTTGGAGACCGACGGGGTTGATATAGTACGACGCTGGACTTCCTGGAATCTTGGGGTTCTTAGGACCCCATGCAAGCAAGTGAGACGGGATATGGGATATTCCCATACCCCAACTCTTGAGAGAACCAAGGCCCTTGGACCAGGCGAGTGAGTAAGGCTGAGTGAACGTAGCATTAGTCTGAGAGCCCAAGAAAAGTCCAGCATAAAACTTGTTAGTCTCAATAGGATCGGTAGAATTGGCCTGTATCACAACATTAACATCGTACTTAACATATGGACTGCGAGTTAAGCAATCTTACATGCTGGTTCTGCACAGGGTGGTCATGCCGGGACTTGATATTTGCTGGAGCAGGGCCAGTCGCGACCGGCTGGAAGATATCCTGACCGTTCATGCTCTCGGGAAGATCTGGTTGAACTGGTGGGAGCGTAGGAAGAGGGTCTAATAAAGATCAGAAAATACAACCGACATATCTCTGAATTCTATCATACCCGTTACTGAAGTAGTGCCAGGTTCAGCTTTGGGGGAGTTCTTCACAGATTCAGTTGTGGGAATTGGTGCCGGGATCGCAGGTTGCTTTGCTGAAGTAGTCGCTTCGATGGGATCCTTTTGTCCTGTGGGAGCAGGCGCTGGCGCGGTAGTGGTAGAATGACCCACACCTATCAAATCTTCTAAGCCGTGAACAAACTGCGAAATATCAAATGGTGGGAACGGAGGCTGAGGCGAACGGCCTTCTGTTTCCAAGTCAAATCGATATACCTGATTCGGTCAATACCCTGCCACATATGAAGCCATATATCGCGACTAAACACATACCGGGTGCGATTTCGGAATGAAAAGCCTGTCCTCCTTGTTCGATGGAGGATACTGAGTCTCAAATGCTCTCGCGGGCTGCGTGGCTGTGTTTTGCAGTATAGCTTCTACTGCAGATCCCACACGCGGAAGACAATAGGCTGAATCTACAGCTAGAAACCAAGTCAGCAAGGCTGTTGCCTTCCATTTTGCGCCCATTTCCATGATGCAAAGTGAAAATCTCCAAAGATCAACAGAGTTGAAATCTAAATATAGGAAGCTTGCTATCCTTCAATCCAATCCAAATAGGATGTGAATCACTTTGGAGGATTAAGCGACTTCCGCATACAAGAGACAAGGAAATATTGACAAAGAGCACAGAAGAGATTCTGTCTGAGGGCATCAGACTTACAAGTATGTACTGCAGATTCCAGAAGACACACTAAACCCTCTCGGAGCTCAAGCACTCTGGGCCAAATTGGGACGACACACGGGCCGGTTTGTTGTGAATGGCCTGTAGGAGGAATCTGTTAATTGCCGATCTTCGTGGAAATTAGCAGTGCACAGTCTCAATCAGGCGGGAAGAATGATCCGGGGGTCGGGTAGCGCGTGCAGCTCAGCAATGTAGGGCGTGTTGAGCAAAATATCGAGCCCGCACGGGTATCGAGGTGATGTTGTCCCTACCACCAAGAATGTAAGTGTCGTCAACAGAGCAACGACAATAATGTACACTTATTGCAGATTGGTCTCAGTGAGCTGATTGAGAAAATTTATACACTCCAAATGATTTAAAGTATGAAGATGCTAAATCCAGGCAACAATTTGAGGTGCGAAGCGATCGTCCTCTGGGGTTGTGGAGTAGACCCTCACAGAATATATGTGTAGCCCTTCTAAGATCGGAGAGCCAACATTTTGGAGAATCAACTGACATGCGATGACTCGACATTGTTAACCATGGGTCTTTTACCTCAAAATCATGGGACGTATATTGACCGGCCGTTGGTTCAGCTGTCCCGTCAACATTCCAAGCTCAGTCGAGGCCCCTCTTTTACATGCGATTGTATTCTGTTTGCGCTATAAATAACAAGAATCCCGCAGCATGAAGACATTACGGCCATATGGAAAGATAGACATGACTAAATGACAGCCCTGAAGGGCAACATGCGAACTACGGCTGATACACCCGTGGGTGAAATAAAATAACATGACTGGCATAAGAATTGGAATGCTTTTGATTCAAAAATAGTGCTCCGCAAGATGGGTCGCATTAATTGACCTTGAATGACATGGTATAGTATGAGAATGAAGGTGCACAGGTCTTTATATGTACAATCATAGCATGGGCTTGTCCATGGGCTTGATAATTCCTTGCTTGATCATGACACGAGGTTTAGTGCCACTCTGGAAGGTCTCCTTTGTAGACCACTCGGGACCCAGAGGCATGCGCAGGGAACGCTCGTACTGGGTCTTGTTCTCGTACTGATGCGGCAGTTGGGTGGCCATGTACTTCTTATTCTAGAGTGAATGTTAGTAAATCAAGGTCCTCTTTGGAGAGTAAACAATATATCTCTTACCTTCTGGATTCGCTTTTGGTTGATAATGACTCGATCAAGCTTCGCGTCCTTGCGCTGTTGGGGCTTCACTCCCGCAACGGTGGTGAGGTCTCGCTTTTGCTTCTTCAATTGTCTCTTGCTGACACCCTCGCCGGCCCAGCTTCCCCATCCTTGGAGCGTGTTGTCCACAATCTTGTCGCCTTCGTCTTCGATGGTGTCCATCTTGTCCTGTTCGAAATCCTGGACGACTTCATCGCCAGCGAAGGCTCTCTTCACAAGATCATGGTTCTTGAGCAGGACAGGTACACTGTCCTCATCATCGCTGTCATTGTCTTCGTCAAATTGCTTCTTGGAGAGTGCCGTTTTGGCGTTCTTTGGCTTCTTGCTTTGGGTCTTGGCCGTAGCAAGTTCAGGTTGGGCAGCATCGAGCGAGATGTCGATGTCTTCCTGGGCATCAGGGCCTGTCCTGCGACGGTTGGTTCGCTCGGTTTGAACAAGCCACGGGTTCTCTTCCTCCGGGGCTTCCTCGGGGGCCTCTTTCTCGTTGGAGAATTTACGAGAGGCTTGTGAAACGTTCTTGGTGCCTCTGGCTCCTGACTGTTGTTTGGTTGGTTGATCGACAACAATGTCCATATCATTGTTTGATTCTGCAACTTGGGCATCTTCGTCATCAGAGTCCAGCTTCTCTTCGAACTCGTTCTTGGGCAATTGCTTTGTGCGAGACTTCGAATCGTCCTTCTTCGACTGGCCGAACTTTCGGCGACCGACCTCCGAATCTGCGTCGGACTGAGCCTCGTCTCCGTGTAGCTCACGTTTGAGTTGGCGGAGCTCTGCATCATTCTGTGCTTTGCGGGCGGCATCGGCGTTCTTCATGAATTTCATTTCGAATAGGTCAGCATGAGGCCCCTTCACTGCACCAGAATTATCATTGCCCTCAAGGGCACTGAGCTTCTTCTGGAACTTCTCCCTTTCGACGTCGGAACCCTGCTCATTCCAAGGATCCTCCTCTTCCTCTGATTCAGAGCTTGAAGAGCCCAGGTAGTCGTCATCTCCAGTAGAAACACGCTTGCCTTCGATTCTTTTCCGTAGCTCCTCCTCTCTCTGGGCCAAGTCAGCTGCACTGTTGCGGGCATCTTCGTCCCATGCAGTGCGACCAGTCTGCTTCAGGCCCTTGGCCCACTTGCTATCGCGATGCTTGGAGCCCATGCGAGCTTCGGCCCTCAATCGCTCGCTCTTCTCTTGATCCATTCCATCAGGATCCACACCGGCTTCCATGAGCGCTTGTCGTTCCTGTTGCTCCTCCTTCTCGCGCTCTTTGCGGTGAACACGGCGATAAGACTTGCTCTTAATCTTCTTAATGCGTTTGGCACGCACTTCCTCACGGAAAAGCAAGTCACGTCGCTTACGTAGTTCAGCTCGCCGAGCCTGGATCTCCTCAACAGGGATATTGCGAGCCTGTAGTTCTTCGAAATCCTGAATTTGGTCTTCGGCTGTCTTGCCTTCAGCCTCAGCCAAACCACTCTCCACAAGAATGTTCTGAATAGCGCTTTCTAAGTCTGTCTGCGGCTTGGTCACTTCTAAGCGGTGACTTTGCTCAGCGTCAGGGTCGCGTAGAGGGAAAGAGAGATGTTCCGCTCTGCGGTTGGCTTTAACAGTATCGAGCCATCGGTTCAAAGTCTCCTTGCTCTTCTCGTAGGCAGCAGTCCGATCAATCCGGTCTTGCTGGCGTTTGGCCAAAGGAGCATCGAGCTTGCCTGGGATGCCAGACTTAGATGACTGAACGACAGAATCAATGTGCTTGAGCGAATTCTTGAGACGAGAATCCGTGATTGAGGGCAGAAGATCGGCGACAGTCAATTTGTTAGAGGATGTCAAGCCGTATTCAGAGGGCTTGCCTTGTTCTTGTGACTTTTGGGTGCGTTTTGTGGATTTTCCAGTTTCCATAGACTGAACAAAATCCTGCAGCTTTGATAGCCCGTGCGGATCCACCTCGTCATCGTCATCCGATGCGGAAAGGCCGTCTTCACTGGTATCACTTTCACTATCCGCTTCTGACCCAGAATCTTCTTCACTATCATCGTCCCTCGCTGCCCGCTTGGCCTTTTTAGCAGCTTCCTTGGCATCCTCTTCCTCAGCTGCGGTGTTCATATCCCAAGCGGTGGCGAGGTCAACGGCGTCTTCTCCCAAGTCGTCATCTTCGTCCTCGTCCTCGTCCTCATCGTCAGAATCTTCCTCCGATTGTTCGTCATCCTCATCCAGGTTGATCTCAACAGGCTTCTTCGGTTTGGGTGCCGCTTTCTTTGGTGCATTTTTGGATTTGGATGCTCGAAATGTGAAGCCCTCGAATCGTTCTTCGTCGCTTTCGCCGAGAGCTTCGTCACTGTCGAGTTCGCTGTCGTCATCGCTGTTCACTTGGCCAAGAGTCCATTCGTGTCCCTCGCTATCACTGCCACCATCGAGGCTGCCGGTATCTTCGGTTCTGCGGCGCTTGTAGTGAGGGGTCTCCTCCTCTTCGTCTTCGTCGTCACCGCCGGTATTTCTCTTGCGGCTAGAACCATCATCGTAGGCTCCCAGACGACTGCGTCGAACACCTAGTCTGGTCGGGATTTGCTTCTCTGCAATAGAAAGAGCATTGAGCGAGCGTCCGTTTTTCCGCTTCTGCGCTGGTTTCTGCGCTGAGCGGTCTTTCGGGTTATTACGCTGCTGCGTTTGACTGCGAGGCATGATGGCGTGTGAGCCAAGAAATCAAATTCTTGACTAAAGAGAGAAGCTTCAGATCAGCACTTGAATAGTACTAAATGATCTGATGGCTGCTTTCAAAATGAGTGTAGTTGCGTTGAACTTTTTTTCATGGCAGAAAAAAAAAGTTCTCGGCGCGGAGATTAGCGCGACCCGATCATTCGCCGAGTTTTGTTCTCCCAACTCCCTCCGGATAACTTGGCCTACACTGTCCGCTCTGTGCTCCAACAACCCCCAGAAATATCTTCAATATGTTTAAACCAACGCAACCAATGCTGGCGCGTGGTCGCTTGCGCTTGACCACCAAGCAAGTCAATGGCGGATACTACAAGGGAAATCGCACTGGCTCCATGGGTTCCTTCGACAAGAGAGGCACATACCGGCCTGATGCTACCAAGCACCGTGTCTACATTGCCGCGGAAAAGCTTGATATTCCCGGGAAGAATGATACCGCTGAGAACAGCAAGGAACCATTCAAGGTGAGCAAGAGCTGCTACTTAGCACCCACCCTTTTGTGAGAATTGTCAGATGTACTAACAGGATTTAGCTCACCCCCTTCATCACAAAACACATGCGCCAGACACCCTCAAACTACGTCCAAGATATCGAGAGAAACGGCAGAACATCCACTGTGATCCGAGCATTCCAGGGTACAGACTATCTGCAGATGTGGGCCGACAGTGCTGAGGCCGAAGAGGCCCGGCGAACACAACCCAAACCAGAGAAGATTGAAACTGCGCCGATCTCGAAGCTCGAGCAAATTGAGCAACAGCAACTGGCAACAAAGCCAAGGCCCAATTAAGTCGAACACAGCGAAGCCTAGCACCTTTTCCTAGTTTCATTGTGGAAATTGAGAGTTGAGACGGACAAGACAAACCCCATCAGACCAAAGCAGCATAGTCATTAGTGACTACAAGCTGCAAGTGAATGTGAGTACGCACCGATCTCAGTGTGTTCATATATATCCTAATATCTATGCCAGTGGCCATACCAAGCATACCACCCACCTTTTCCGGTGCAGCAACAGTTGTTGAGCACCCTTCGTCCCACTGGCCGATTGAATATATCCCATGTATCATAGTATTTCCTCAGCATACACCGAAGCCAGACAATTAGAACCTGGCTGTGAAAGGTGAAGAGTTTTGTATTACACTACGTCTAGAAAGTCCAACGGCACTTTTGAATATTTTTTATTGATCATCTCTGTTTTTAGCTTGTTGAAGATTCTCTCTTGTTTGTCTCTTAAAACCCTCTGAGCGCTGTTTGGACCGTCAACATAGACCGGTCAGTAGTCTGCATGTGGATGTAGTAGTTTCTAAAATTGATGAGGCGGAGTGGGATTAGTCACAATCGAAAACTGAATTATCAAGTGCTCTGGCATATCTCATTAGACCACCAATAAGTAAGTTCAGGCATCCAAACAACCAGAATCTTCCAGGCGTGGCAATGGAGGTGGAAATAGCCCCAAGACAAGAGTCAACAGCAGGACTTGTGCTTTGATATGTGCGTGGCCCGTGCGCAAACGCCCGATAAGCTCTGGATGCACGTATCGGAGACAGCGTATGTCATAGTTCTTCATCTTTCATCTAATCCCGGTCGGTGATGCGGGCTTGTATTGCTTTGTCTCCTTGCATCTGGACCTTAACTTAGTTCCCCTTCTCAAGCCTGTCGCGTTCTCGCCACGCAGCCCCTGCTGCACCATGTTCCAATCTTTCACTGGCAACTCTCGACGCCCGCGGCAGGTGAACCTCAGTGGCCGTGCCACTAATCCTTTCGCCGCATTCCCCGGAGGATCGCCTAGCCGAACAGCCCCCCATGCCGCAAACCCCGAAAGTGCAGTCGCAAATGCCCAACGGGAACGAGCCCTGAGGCAGCACGAGAGAAACCGACAGACCGCATGCCGCACCGTTCAACGAGTTTGGCGGGGTCATCGGAGCAGAACAGCCACCTATAAGAGGTGGAAATCGGAATGGGATACATTTGAGTGGGAGAGGGTCATTAATGCCCTAGAAATTGACGATAATGAGGGGCCTATGACGGATGTCGAGCGGCTAGAATGTCTATCACGCCTTTCTGCACCGCCATACCCCACAGCAGAGCAATGTCTCAGCCAACTCAGGCTGTTGGTTCAGTTTGTGGGATCCGCGAGGAGACAGGAGGATGTTCTCCGGCTGGTGTACTTCTGCAACATCTTTGAGAAAACCCTGAACGCTCTTCCTACGATCGCCACGGAAGGTGAATGGACCGAGCTATTGAAAAGACTGGCAATTGCTATTCTTCATGCTCTTAGCTTGGCAACGGCAACATCGACTCATAGCGCAGCAGTCTTACCTCTCCTTCGGACAGTGGTCTTCCTGGTCGATTTGATACCAAAGCGGATGGCAGCAAGTGCCAAAACTTACTACCAAGCGATGGCGAGCTTGACAAAGAACCTTGAGCTTTTTGGAGACAATATTTCTCCGAACTATGTCACAAATGCTGTGATCGCTCTTCTGCGCCCTATCACTTCAGAAACCATGACAGCCTACGAAGCGTTTGCCATTTCATATCTGACTATTCCAAACTTAGCCGGCTATCTTGGTGCGCTTGACGGATTGGCGCACCAGATCAATTATAAGGTGCTTGCATCAGCGATTGAGACTTCAGTTCTTCCAGCTCAACAAGGCTTGTTAGCCGGGAACGTTGAGGGTCAATTTTGGCTGCTTGCATATCTTATCTTCTTCCACCGTTATGCTCTCCCAGGCCAAGCCAACCTGCAAGCCCCTGATCTTGGCTTCTTGAGTGTGGTATCTGGGCTGCTCAACTCAACATCTATTCATCTCACACGGTCCTTGGAGGCAGAGGAATCAAACGAGACAGATTCCTTCGGTGGCCCTTCTTTGCATCCATTCGTCAAAGATCAAATTACTAGCCTTGTTAATCAGAGCAGCATCACGGGACTTCTTTCACGCATCAAAACATCTCATATCTCTCAGACAGATTTGTCAAACCGCGAATCTGACGCTTCGAGAGAAGCAAAGATCCTTGCGACGTATGCGCTGAACTTGCTGAGGGTATTCCCTCGGCGTGGTGATGACATTCGCATGTGGTTGTACCTGGGATCTGCGCCGTCGGGAAATCAGACATCCGAACAACCAGGCACAAAGATACCGGCAATTAAATATTTTTGGCAGGCATCCAAGTCCAGTCGAATCTTCGACATAATCAGCAACGACTCTACCAAGGTTCTCCCACTACTGCAGCCGCAGAAAGATAGTGATGATCGTGTCAATGTTTCACAAGAAGATCGGGATCAGGAATGGACAATCGTTCTTCTGTTCTTCGAACTATACACATTTTTGTTAAAGGTCATGGACGACGAAGAGTTCTTTTCAAGCGCGTCGCCATTTGCAGCGTCGGCAAATGTGCAGTCCTCATGGACCAAGGAGAGTGCGCTCCCCCTCAAAGATATTAAAGACATGACAGTCTTTCTCAAAAATCTCGCATTTACCCTCTACTGGAACCTTGCCGACTTGACGAGCAAAGGGGATCCCTCGCCTTCTACTGGAGACCTCAGCAGCTATTTCAACAACCCAACGCAACCCTCTGTGTCAATTGAACGGTCTGAAGTGGAGGCTAAAGAGCAATCCAACGATCTGCCTGGCGTGACAGGTATACCACTTGAATACTTTAAAGGTTTGGTGACAGGTTTGCTTAGAATGTTACATGAGCGAGAGTAAGTTGGAACCAGTGCCCGTTTGATAGAGACACCCACAGCTGATACGCGCTTTTAGTTCGCGAAGGAAATTCCTCCCCCAGGACCATTGGCTTATGACCGATCGATTTGATATGGAAGGGTTCATCCCAGCCGTTGTAGCAGAAGAAGAGAAACGCCACGAGTTCCAAGAGGACGAGGAGGAGGATGAAACGGATCTTCTGGATGATGACACTCGACAAGATCCCCACCTTGTTGGAAATAGCCATGCCCGTCAATTGATTCGCATCCAAGCTATGCGAGATCGTCAACTCAAGGCTGCTCGAGGAAAAGCCCTAGCCCTTATTGCCCCAAGATTAGAAATTCTTAGGAACATGCCTTTCTTTATTCCGTTTGCCACGAGAGTGCAGATATTCCGCCAGTTCATATTCAGAGACCAACAGCGTCGCCGCAAAGGGTTTGTTGACCCTGAGTCATGGCGCCTGTCTGTGGCCCAGAGCGCCATGATGAACGGACCAACCAATGGTACAGACATTTTGGCTCGACACCATGCCGACATCAGACGGGAGAGTGTATTTGAAGATGCATTTTCTCAGTTCTACGGCCTGGGCGACGGCCTCAAAGAGCCAATACAGATCAGTTTTATCGACCAATTTGGAGCAATGGAAGCTGGCATTGACGGAGGTGGAGTGACAAAGGAATTCCTTACCAGCGTCACTTCGCAAGCCTTCAAGACCAACGAACACGAGAGTATGTTTGCCGAAAATGACCACCATCTATTGTATCCACACCCTGCTGCGGTTGATCAACGCAAAGCCATACTCAACGAGGCTGGACTGCCAAGCTCAAGCATCGAATGGCAAGATGAAGTGCGTGGTCTTCTTCGACGGTATGAGTTCCTCGGGCGAGTCATCGGAAAATGTCTCTACGAAGGGATCTTGGTTGATGTCAATTTTGCACCATTCTTTTTGTTGAAGTGGGCCTTGACGGGTGGAAGTAGGTCTGCAGTAAAAGAATCTTCTTACCGTGCCAACTTGAACGATTTGAAGGACCTTGATGAAGGGCTGTACCAAGGCTTGGTGAGTGATCTCAATTTGGTTTACTAGAGCACACAGTTGACCATTTACTAGCTGCAACTGAAAAATTACCCCGGCAACGTGGAAGACTTTGCTCTTGACTTTACCATCAACAACACAATTCCCATGCCTAGTGGAAGAAATCGAACTGCCACAGTGGAATTGAAACCAAATGGCTCGCAAACTGCCGTGACCAACAAGAACCGATTGGTCTACATATCTTACGTAGCTCGTTACCGCCTGCAGTTGCAACCTGCCATGCAGACCAATGCCTTCCTGCAGGGTCTTGGCCAGATCATTCAACCCGCCTGGCTATCCATGTTCAATCAATCTGAGTTGCAAACTTTGGTAAGCGGAGACAAAGCTGATATTGACGTGGAAGATTTGCGTCGCAACACCCTTTATGGAGGAGTGTATGTGATAGGAGATGACAACATGGAACACCCTACCATCGCATTGTTCTGGCAAGTCATGCACCAGATGAACAACGAGGAACGACAAAAAGTTATCCGATTTGTGACATCCACCCCTCGAGCACCTTTGCTCGGGTTTAGTCATCTTCATCCACGCTTCAGTATCCGAGATTCCAGCGAAGATCAGGAACGATTGCCAAGTACCAGTACCTGTGTGAATCTTCTAAAATTGCCACGATACTCAGATGCGGAAACGTTGAGGACAAAGCTCCTTTACGCAGTAAGCTCGGGCGCTGGCTTTGATTTGAGTTGATGGGTTGACCCCACCAGTTCTTGTCATTCTTTTCTTTTTTTGTGTTTGCAATGCACCTTTTTGATGTGTATATGTTCAAGGTAGACAGTTTGATCGTCATTTTCAAGATTTATGCATGCATAGCATGGCGTTTCAGAAATACAGAGATCTTCATTGGTGCATTCTGGTCGTAAGTACGTTATCGTAGAGTCATTGACTGCGGGCTTTGTTTCGAGTAGACGATGTGAATATTAAAAATGTTTCCAGTCTTTGCATGGATGTTTTAAATGCTCAAAATAGAATGGACACAAGTAATTGAAGCCATGTTTGAAGGCATATAAATTCATATAAATTCGCATAGGTATAAAATCATTGCACAATTTTGCCCCAGTTTTAGTAAGCCCTTAAAGCGGCCAGGGTTATTGACTTGAAAGGGACTAGCGTAACCAAACTCGTGCTGTCTCTGAGTTTTCCAGAACGCCGAAGCGCTTTGCACGGCTCAACTTTTTTTCCCTTCCTACAACCTCCCCCTCCATATCTGTGTTCTCTCTTTCTTTAGGGAATTCTTCCTTTTCTTTTCGAATCTTTATCGAAAGATACAAAATCGCAAAAAAACACGAAAAACCCCCAGAAAATTTTTCCAGTTATCTTATCTCATTCCCGATTGTGCGGTGTGTTGTGTGGAAGATTTTCTTTCAACGACCGCCTCCATCTTCATTTCACCTGGTTAGTTCTTTTTTGGTCTTGCCTTCCCCCTCAGTTGACCTCTTCGTTTGAAGATCATCTCTGAGTGCATTTTGTTTCTCTCTCTTGAGAATCTTTTTGGCTCCCCGCCTAATCGATTATAGTGTGCATCTGCTCAAGTGAAATTTCTCTAAACTCTTTGTTTCGTGAATACCTTGCTGTATGGCCCCTCCCCTTTCATTGATTTCCCCCTCCATGATTATCCCATCCTCCCCTTGGCTGTTTGCCAAAGAGACTGCATCAACTGTCGTGTAACCTTATCTCATATGCCTCCCTTGTTTCCCCTCCCCCTCTCTGCGATAGGCTCGGCAAGCACATGCTAAATCAATTTTCCTCTACAGTGAAACTAGCCGCCATTATGTCTGCTGAAGCTCCCACCACCGCTCCCGTCGCTGAGCCCGTCGCCGCCAGCGCCCCTGCTGAGACCAACGGTGCTCCCGCCGAGCCCGCTCCTGAGGGCAGTGAGGATGCCGCCAACAACCAGCCCCACTCGGCTTCCCTCTACGTCGGTGAGCTTGACCCTTCCGTGACTGAGGCTATGCTCTACGAGCTCTTCTCTTCCATCGGTCAGGTTGCTTCCATCCGTGTCTGCCGTGATGCCGTCACCCGTCGCTCCCTTGGCTACGCCTACGTCAACTACAACAACACCTCCGATGGCGAGCGTGCTCTTGAGGACCTGAACTACACCCTCATCAAGGGCAAGCCTTGCCGTATCATGTGGTCCCAGCGTGACCCCGCTCTGCGCAAGACTGGCCAGGGCAACGTGTTCATCAAGAACCTCGACAACGCCATTGACAACAAGGCTCTCCACGACACCTTCGCTGCCTTCGGTAACATTCTGTCCTGCAAGGTCGCCCAGGATGAGTTCGCCAACTCTAAGGGCTACGGATTCGTCCACTACGAGACTGCCGAGGCCGCAAACAACGCCATCAAGCACGTCAACGGTATGCTGTTGAACGACAAGAAGGTCTTCGTCGGTCACCACATCTCCAAGAAGGACCGCCAGAGCAAGTTCGAGGAGATGAAGGCCAACTTCACCAACATCTACATCAAGAACATTGACCTTGAGATCACCGATGACGAGTTCCGCATCATGTTCGAGAAGTTCGGCGACATCACCTCCGCTACCCTCAGCCACGACCAGGATGGCAAGAGCCGTGGCTTCGGTTTCGTCAACTACGCCAACCACGAGAGCGCCGAGGCCGCCGTTGCCGAGATGAACGAGAAGGACGTCAAGACCCAGAAGCTGTACGTCGGCCGTGCCCAGAAGAAGCACGAGCGCGAGGAGGAGCTGCGCAAGCAGTACGAGGCTGCCCGCATGGAGAAGGCCTCCAAGTACCAGGGTGTCAACCTCTACGTCAAGAACTTGACCGACGACATTGATGATGAGAAGCTCCGTGACCTCTTCACTCCTTACGGTACCATCACCTCGGCCAAGGTCATGCGCGACTCTGCCGAGCGCTCTTCTTCCCCCGACTCTGAGGAGAACAAGGAGGCTGAGGAGAAGAAGGAGACCGAGGAGAAGACCGAGGAGAAGACCGAGGAGAAGACTGAAGAGAAGACCGAAGAGAAGACCGAGGAAGGCGAGGAGGGTGAGGAGAAGTCTGAGAAGAAGGCCTTCGGCAAGAGCAAGGGCTTCGGTTTCGTCTGCTTCAGCAGCCCCGATGAGGCCTCCAAGGCCGTCACTGAGATGAACCAGCGCATGATCAACGCCAAGCCCCTCTACGTTGCTCTCGCCCAGCGCAAGGATGTCCGCCGCAGCCAGCTTGAGGCCAGCATCCAGGCTCGCAACACCATCCGCCAGCAGCAGGCCGCCGCCGCCGCCGGTATGCCCCAGCCTTACATGCAGCCTGCCGTGTTCTACGGTCCCGGCCAGCAGGGCTTCATGCCCCCTGGACAGCGTGGCGGTATGCCCTTCGCTCCCCAGCCCGGTATGCCCATGCCCGGTATGCCCGCCGGCCGTCCCGGCCAATACCCCGGTCCCTTCCCTCAACAGGGTGGCCGCGGCATGGTTCCCGGCCAGCAGCTTCCTCCCAACTTCCAGGGTATGCCCATGGGTATGCAAGGCCCCGGTGGTCTTCCTAACGGCATGGGTTACCCCATGAACCAGTTCGGTCGTGGCGCTGGTGGCCGCGGTCAGGTCCCCGGTATGCCCATGAACATGCGTGGTGGCCCCGGCTTCGGCCGTGGTGGTCCTCAGATGGGTCGCGGCCAGGGCCGCGGTCAGCCCGCCCCTGGTGGCCAGCCCGCTGGCGAGCTTGCCTCCTCCAACCCGGCTCTTCTCGCTGCTCCCCCCGCCCAGCAGAAGCAGATGCTCGGTGAGGCTCTTTACCCCAAGATCCAGGCTCAGCAGCCCGAGCTTGCTGGCAAGATCACTGGTATGCTTCTTGAGATGGACAACTCTGAGCTTCTTGGCCTGTAAGTTATACTACACCCCCCACCCCCCTCTTCGCTTGACAATTGCTAATTGGCTTCCTCTAGGCTTGATGATGAGGAGGCTCTCCGCGGCAAGGTCGATGAGGCCCTTAACGTCTATGATGAGTACATGAAGAACAAGGGTACCGAGGGCGAGGCCGCTGAACCCAAGGCCCAGGAAGCCCCCAAGGAGGCGGCCACTGAGGAGAACCAGTCTTAAATGATGTGTTTAACCTCTTTTGTCTTTCTCGGAAATCTTTGGACGCACGTTTTTGATGACCTTTCCTTTCTCTTATCACTATTTCTTCCCACCTTTACCCTTTCTACCCCTATCTCTCCCTCTCTGATCCTGATATCCCTCGGTTCGAAAAGTTTGTTCTTAGGCAGCCACCTTCTTGGTGTTTAGTGAATGCGGTATGACATTCGGATTTTTTTTTCATACCTTATTCCGTTTTTCTAGTACTTCCCCGGCTTATTTCTCATCTTGTACCTTTGTTCATCTGGGCTACATCTGGGATGACCAGGCAGTATTGGGATTGGTAAAAGTGCTTCAATTCTAGGCGCTGGATGTGGTTTGTTTGACATCTTTCCTCCGGTTTCAATCTTTTTTTCCTGCTTGGACTATGAAGAACGCTGCGCCATTCTTCTACCTGTGTCCTTCTCGTCAGTTTTTTTGTCAATTAGATTCATCCATTCCTCACGGAAAGTTCCGCTAGTCCCTCTGTTCTCTAGTTCATGAGAGCAGTATCAATAAAATGGCCACGACCTAGTTTGCTCAAAGAAAGTTGTCTATGAAAAGTCAAACATCATCAAGCTCCGAACTGTTCCGATCCCGAGTCGACCTTTATCGAATGGCCGCTATTGTCGACCAGCAAATTCGATGAGTCAGCTCATTTGAACGGATATCTGTGGAGAGAAGTTCGTAGAGAACGATCTTCTCACGCAATGTATGCACAATGGCGTCAGAATTTGTGCCTAAGACACCTGAAATTGGTTCCTTGACCGCTCACTCAAACGAGGACAGCCAGTTCGTCGGCAGCTCTAGCGGCGTCTACTTCATAAAGACAGTCAAACGTGCATTCAACGACATAGATGGCCTAGACTCATCCGAATCCAATTTCCCCACAGCAGAGGAAACACTGGTAGGCGTCGAGGACTCACCTCGCGAAAAACGCCAGCGCACCTCATCTGTCAGGGACACGGCCTCATCCGCGGATGCAGTCGAATCTCCCACCGAATGGACGTACGACCCATCATTGATCGGGTCCATGGGCAATCTCCCACCCCCAGAAGTAGCGAAGAACCTGATGATGATGTACTTCAAAGTATGGCACCCTCTATTTCCATTTTTGCACGGTCCCACCTTCCTGCAGGCGATGGAGAAGATCTATGCCCGGGGTACGAATCAGAGCCAGCATGCGCAGAGATCATGCATTGATCACCGCAGTACATGTTGGACAACCATTCTTCAATGTGTCTTCAACCTCGGCAGCCTGCTAGCCCCGGATCTCAATCTCCCACCTGAATCAAAGATCCAATCACCCAACAGCATCAACTCTCTGCTTGGGACTCTTTCGTCGCGACATGATATTGTGTCACTGCAAGCGCTTCTGGCTATCCAAGTCTACCTTGTGGCGAAGATGTCACTTCGTCAAGCATCAACTGTCGGCGGATGTATTCTACGATCTATGCTCCATGCAGGTCTCCACCGGTGTCCCTTTCGATACAAGCAACTTTCCACACACGACAGGCAGCTGCGTAAGCGAATATTTTGGTGTGCGTACGCGATCGATAGATACTTGAGCCAGGCCCTAGGGCTACCGCTCGGTATACAAGATTCTGATATTGATGTGTGTCTTCCTGCTGCTCCTGAGATGCATTCACCCCGCGCTCAGACGACTCAAGCTGCGAACAGAAAGGCGCTGGTCTCAGTGTCTACGGAAAAAAGTCATACACGTGAGCAGTCAGAACTTGCGAGTGGTGGCCATGCTCGATTAAATCTGGCGAATCTGGCGACACGACATGGTGATAAAGAAGACATCGGAAAAGAGGGTATTCTCGCCAGCTATGTGGACTCTGGGACCCTCACCGGGCGGGCATTGGAGCTCTTCCACAAATCCATCTTGGTACGATCTGTCCGTCGCAGTTCTGTTCTGTTCTTGGTCACAGACGTCCACAAATGGTGGAATGGCCTTCCATTAGAGCTCCAACAAAAGCCAGTGGCATTTGAGCAGCGGAGGGGGCCGGCGATGGCTGATAATGCATTTGATTTTGGTCCCTTCTTCAGTGTGCTATATCAACATCTCATTCTGATAATTCATCGACCTTCGCTTTCGCTGGATCCATCAACTGCGGAGTTCTGCTCCGGACTGCAAACTTGTATCGGGGCTGCTCGGTCTATTCTTTCTGCACTCAGATTGCAAGTTGACAGCCATCAGGCTCTATTCTGGCCTGGATTTCTGTCGGCGGCGTGGATGTCCGGGCTAGTTTTGGCTTTGGCTTGTCAACTCAAGCAGTACGTGTTGACCAAGGGTCTCCAGTAGGTTTATTCTCAAACCATCTGTGATTTTATGAGCAGATGCTAACCCAAGCAGGGAGATTGATGAGATCTCAAAATTTTTACACCTGATGTCTCCTCAATGGGAGACAGCCAAACACTGCCACATGTCGCTTTCAGTGTTGGCCGCCAAAATCCAACAACCAGGCAGCAGTTCCGATCCATCAGCGAACTCACAGGCCTATGCGACGAGAGGATCCGAAGGTAGCCCGGACCTTGTGGATTCTTTAAATGCACGCGAAGAGAGTCGACGACGGCTCGAGTTGTCGCCTTTGCCAGAAGGCCGCCACACGCCTACAGATGGGTCCAACCCTGAATATCGGAGTCATCAAGCAATTGATTCAAATATAGATGATACATGGAGGGGACAGGATACTGCATGGGGTCAGTCGACTAAGCTACTAAACATGAACGAACACGCCCCTCTCGCTGATACACCCTCGTCTCTACAAATGGATTCCCAGAACACGGATCCACCTCACTTTGAAGGGATCCCGAACTTTGACTTGAATATGGTGGATTTGATCCAGGGAGCTAATTTCGATACCTTGTTTGATCTGATCGGACAGCAATATCCAAGCTTCTGAGGTATCACCTATATCTACGAGCCCTGGTTTAGGTTTCACCACACAGGGCTTTACAGTCAACTGACTAGTTCAAAAAACTAGTTCAAAAAAACCAACAAAGCACGTTGGTAATACTATTATACTATTATTATCTTCTCACTTCTTGGGTTTCACGTTCATTCTAACGAACCCAAACGTCGAATTAAGTATCGTCAATCAAAATTAAAAGGTACCAAACTCATCAGCATCAGTCCTGGAGACGGAAGAGCAAGTCTCGATTAATGCGCACCCGCCCCGCCTGAATCTCCTGACGATAGTAATCGGCCTGCAGCTCAGCAGCAGCAAAGATGGAAGCTTTGTTGGAATGGTACTCTCCGGGCACCTTGATAGACATGCACAGAGCACGAGTGTGATGCGAAGGGTAAACAGAGATGGTGTTGTCTCCGGTTCTGATTCGAATGCCCACCAGACGCATCAGTGCCTCGTCGGTTAAGTCCTCATCCTTACGTTCGACGAAGACATTGACCCAGTTGTTGACTTGTCGCGGGTCGTACTCCGGCTCGGGGATTAGCTCGCCGTCGTAGAAGAACATGCTCTGCATCTGGGACATTGACATTGTCAGATGAGTGGCTGTGTTTTGATGAGAGGATTTACTGACTTTGATGTCTTGGAATGAGAAGTGGTTTGGAGGGGGAATGCTGGTCTTGGTTATGATTTGGAGGGAATGAGGTTGGGCCGAGTACTTTCCTGAATTAGAGAGCGCCGTATATAAAGTCTTATGTATTGAGCTCAGATGGCCTTGACTGCATATGTATCTTATCGAGCAAAAGGGAATTCTCATGCTTCCATGACAATGAGATTTTCAAGTCTATCTGGTCTTTTTTTGAATGTCTTTGAGCCTTTGTTATACATATCTTGAATTTCAAGTTGAAAGACCACACACAACCCTGTCTGTTTATAAACACCAAAAAGTCAATGGGACTATTTCTTGCCTAAATTAGGAAAGAGTTCGGCTTGGAATGTAATATCATAACTTTTCCCATATCACTCGTAAGCACATTGTTTAGGAAGTATGCTTCAACGTAGTGTTGAGAAGAATAGTGAACGTGTCAATAATGTGAAAATGAAGGGAAAGCAATCAATTATATTCTCTCTATTGGGCATCGAGACCAGTCGATTCAAATTAGAGCTATATACTGTTTGTACAATAATCAATCCGATCTCACACCCAAAATGCACACTAAACTCCAATAAATCTCAACCTCCCATGCGAAACGTAAGATCTACCAAAATCTATCTCTGGAAAATTAAAGCCCGATTAATCTGAACAGACCCCCCAGCAACTTGTGATCTCAAATACTCCGCCGATAATTCAGCCGCCGCCAAAATTGACTCCTTATCATAGTGATTCCCGGGGACTTGAATTGAAAAACACAGGGGGTTCTCGTGATGCATAGCATGGGAAGTAATGCTAACGACTCTGGTGCGGATGCAGGTGATAATTGTACGCATTATTGCGAGGTCGTCGCATCTGTAATCGCGCGCGTCCAGGAAGACATTCACCCAGCTGCTCACTTGGCGAGCATTGTTCTCGGGTTCATACATCAATGATCCATTGTGATAAAACATCTAGAGATTGGTTAGCAGTGCGTTTTTCTAGATGCTTTGGATTACTTGCCGTCAACCTGAAGGAGGTATTAGATGACCTCGTAAGATAAGGGGAAGTCTACCTTCTAACTGAAGAAGTGTACTGATGGAGATAGTTATAGAGCATTAAACGGCTTGTATATCGGATATGAAGATCAGTGATGTTTAATATTTCGAACATCTTGTTTCCGATCCTTTTAACAGGTAAAGAAAAGTCTTATCTTGTTACAATGGCAGTTTCATGCCTCTGATTGATATACTCCTGATCTGTTCCATATTCTGTGGGATGAATATGAGCTTCTATCTAAGGCTTATGTTCACAACAATCACACCAAAGTTACTTTTTAGCATGTTTCTCAAAAAGGTTAGGCCAGTGGCCTGGAAAGAGACCGGCTTTTGAAGACACGGTCTGATTAAGATTCTTTACAACTTTCTCGATCAACAGTGCCGATTTAATCAACTGATTATGGATATAATTCTTTTCTAGACGTGAAACGGCGTTGAAAGGTGCGATGGTAAAAGAAACAGAGAACACAATGGATTGTCTCAGACTCTCTCTTTCAGCGCAACTTCTCAATCTCTGCACAGACAGCGTCTACCACCCCTTGGGTGTTAGAAGTTCCGCCAAGATCGGGTGTCAAAATACCAGCAGCGCAGACACATTCCACACAACTCATGAGCTTCGCCGCTGCCTCCTTCTCGCCGAGCCAGATAAGCATCTCCGCCGCCGACCAGAAAGTAGCGACCGGGTTCGCAATACCCTTACCAGTGATATCGAAGGCACTTCCATGCACAGGTTCAAAGAGCGAAGGGTTCTTGCGTGTGGGGTCGAGGTTACTAGAAGGTGCGACACCAATCGAACCCGCCAGAGCAGCAGCAAGATCCGACAAGATATCCATGTGCAGGTTCGTTCCGACAATTGTATCAAGGGAATCAGGTTTAACAACCATGCGCACCGTCATAGCATCAACAAGCATCTTGTCCCAAGTGACATCGGGGAACTCCTTTGCGACAGAAGCAGCAATTTCATCCCAAAGGACCAGACCATTGCGCATAGAATTGCTCTTTGTGACAACGGTTAAGAGCTTGCGCGGCCGCGACTGAGCAGTCTCGAATGCAAATCGCATGATGCGTTCGATGGCATGGCGCGTGAAAATGGCAACTTCGGTCGCGGCTTCCCATGGCAGTCCGACATGCGAGCGTCCTCCCTGCCCAGCATACTCGCCCTCAGAGTTCTCCCGGACAAGCATCCAGTCAATACCGTTTTTAGCGGTGTTGAGCGGGCATTTAGTTCCCGGGAAGGTCTTCACAGGCCGCACGTTTGCGTACAGTTGGAGCGGTCCGCGGATAGCAAGGAGAAGACCCCATAGAGAGATGTGATCGGGGACATCTATCGGGTGGATCAGTATTGTGCTTTCCATGGGATCATGAGAATGAGTGCGCACGTACCTGGTGCTCCAACAGCACCGAATAATCCAGCATCATACTTTCGTAATGTGTCGAGGCAGTCTGCGGATACGTATTTGCCGGTTTCTTTGTAGTATGCAGTTCCCCACGGGATGTGGTCGAAGTTGATATCGAATGTGCCGAGGGTCTTTGCGAGTTTCTCGACGACCTGGATTGCAGCACTGACTACTTCGGGGCCGATGCCATCGCCTGGGATTGAGGCAATGCGGTATGAGTTATTTGAAGGCATGGTGAAATGGGTATAGATCCAAAACTTGTACAAATGTTTTTAGAGAACCAAGTCTAGACAGCATAGATATGTTATAAATAAGACCAAACAATAAGATGTCGGCTGATGGTTCATGCTACTCCGATTGAAGAAGTTGAATACTTCCGAGGGCTTTTGATCAAGTGGCCGCTGTCGCAGGCGGAATGTCCAGGTGGAACAGCCATCGGCAGAACTTTTAGGCGATTACATCTGCCACATCTCGCCACCGTTTGTACTACAACTTCCTTGCGGGTCTTGATCCATCACACAAGAAACGAAGAAAAAAATGGGAAGGCAGAAAGAAATGAAACCCGGACGAATTACGATTGCGTGTAACGCCTGTCGGTCAAGGAAGCAAAAATGCAGCGGCGAAAAGCCCGTATGCGAACAATGCCTCGAGAACAATCGGCCATGCAATTGGCCGGAACAGCTACGAAGGGGACCGGAAAAGGGATATGCAGAGGCCCTGGAAAATCGACTCCAGCTAACTGAGAGCATTCTACTGAGCCTACTCCCCCATGTTTCGGATGAGCAACTCTCCTTGGCAATTCCTCATCGGGAAAGCAGCCAAGATCACGGCACGACGTACGTACCATTTCCGAGACTTGAGAAAAGAGGAATCGAGACCTGGTCGCAATTCCCTCTTGATACTTCTTATGGTATTCGGAGGTGGCAGAAAGCCTGTACCGACACCGGAGTGGGTTCGGATGCACCTAGCCCTAAGAGAAGACGTGTGCAGAACGACAGCTCTCCCGACTATAATGTCGATTCTGTTGAAGCGTCGACTGAGACTCCAGGAATTGGAAGAGCCTTCACCGAACCAATGTACCCTTCAATACTCAATGATTCTGGCTCGATTGAGGGTTTCCCGAATCAATCGCCAAACGATGCAAATGAAGAGGATGCTTCAACACAGAGAATGAGCTCTTGGAAAGGAGCACCTTCCTTTGAATTTCAACGCCAATTTCTGTGGTGACAGAAAAAGCAGAAAGTGCCCAATTCATTCGAAATAGGCGCATCCTCGGCAATTCCCCTGAGCCTCGCCCCACAGCCTGCAAGATCATTTTGCGCTGGCCATGAAACACCAGATGGATACAGCCTTGCTAAATCATAAGCAAGAATTTAGTCATTTGAACCCTTTCACAAAACAGCCTGAGATCCTGAGGGTTGATTATACTATGACAGACATGTCGATCAAGAAGGTATCGTCTTCTCTTCAACAACGCACTGGAATAATCTCTAACTATCATTTTCAGGTCATCATAGTAGAAGCAGGGCCATCAGGTATCACCCTCAGCCTTCTGCTAGCTATCTAAGGTATTGAAGTCGAGCTTCTAGATGCGGGAGTAGAAGGTTGATGACAAACAACCGCACTCAATCCACTAGGCATCATTCACCACATACAAGCTATCTCGCCCAGATGTGTTGGACCATCTTAAAGCCGCCGGGTTTCCAAGGCCTTCGCATGGCGAAAGCACGACACTGGCTTTATTGCGGGCATTAAGCATACGGTCCTGTCCGAAGATGCGGGTCTTGCCATTAGACCAACTGGACAAAATGTTGTACAGCCACCTGCAGTTTCAGTCAACAGTGACCGTGAAATGGGCCCAGCGCGTGGTGAAGCTCTGACATAATTCAGACAAAACATGGGGTGATATCGAGACGTCAAATGGCTTGAGCCGAGCCAAGGCAGACTTGGTCATTGGCTGTGATGTGGCAAGCAATACAGCACGACGCGAGTTATTTGGTGCGCAATATCCAGATGAAACATTGAATGCGCAGCTCGTTACTACCAAAGTATGGCAATGTCTCGCACGAGAAAGATATATTACTCTGACTCAAGCACTGCTGGTGTATTACGATTTCAATCGCGACGGCCTCTATGACTCAACTATATAATAGCAGTAATGTATGAAGTGTGACACATTGGTAGAAGTTGTAACACTATGATTTAAGCTTATGTTGATCTGATAGAGATAACTTATGGCTTCAGCATCGAATTTCTTATCAGGCAATATGAAATATGGCAGAGTTAGACACAATCAGACATGGGTGTCCGAGCATCCATCTGGGTGTTCTCTCCATAACAATCCCCTATATTAATCACAAGTTCCAAGCAAGAGGCTCATCATCGAACGAAAACAAGTCTCCCTGAAAGCCCTGGAAGTTGGCAAAATCTGCAGCTAGCGATGACCATTGTATGAAATCTGGCATTTGAGAAAAATGAGAAGACACGATTTCAGACGGTAGGGTGGATGTAATCATAGGGTCGGTTTGCTGAAGTTCCATTAACATCAACGTACCCACTAATATCTGGAATGATACTTACTTCAAAAGTAGCCGTTAACTCTGCAACAGCAGGTAAAAGATACTGCCGACATGCAGAGAGGGCTTTATTTGCGCCCTGCATCATCCACTGTTGTTTAGTCTCTGCTGAGCCACGACCACGCACGGACTGTAAGACAACAGCAAGGAGAAGGATGTCTTTGACGCTGTTTCCTGACTCGCCGATGCGGCGGGCCAGGCTGTCAAGGGTGTTTTCGACCAGTCTAGTCAGGCTGGCCTTGCTGTGTGTCGTTGGTGATAACTGGCCTTGGGCTTGTGAAGGGGTAGACAATTTTGTGGCGCCAATGTGAGGATTTTCTATGGCTTGTTGAGTAGATAGCTTCATGTGTTCGCATACACTGAGCGCTGCCCATAGCACATCGTTTTTGCAGAACGTATGGAAGATGTTCCAGTAACCATTGCTATTCTGGACGTCTAGATCAGCCAAGTTGGGGTCGAAGTAATCTTGGTAAGATAGAATTGTGAGGGATGAGTCGAGACAAGCCCTTTGAATTGCATCAAGAGCTGGGTCATCATGGCTGGTACTTGAGTTGATAGGTCGATAAAGACATAGGAGTGGTCGGCGGATGTATAAGTCTAACAGAACTCGGCTGAGAAGGATAGGTGGATTGGTTTCGCTACTTGAAGCACGATCAAGTTTCAATGAGGGGGGAATGCTGCGTAGGCATTCCATTAATAGCTGACCTTGCTTTATGCGCTCGTGTAGGTCCATTTTCGGACTTGTATGCTGTACAAAGCTCATGGTATTGATGCGGTGAGATAAACTCTTGGCCAAGGTGATTAGAGCAAGGGTTTCAGTTGGCTCGTCCATGGGTTTAGACGCAGGTAATTCCGTGGTGGTTTCATCAAAGTCTATGTCATCAAGATTTGCGGGAGACATATTCTGGAAGTCGAGTTGAGGCGTCATGATCGGCATCCCAGATGTGATTGAGGCTTGTAGATCCATCTCGGCGATGGTCACCCACAATCGACGCCGTATCTCTGCTTGAAATATTGACATCTTGGTGGTTCCGGACAGATTGATATGTAATCCCATGACCATTGCGGAGCGGACAAGCGAGCCTGCTGCTTTCCAGGACTCTTCGGCGGACGTCAGTCGTAGCTGGCGGGCTAGGAGGATAAGTGTCTCAACCTGGAGCATTGCAAGCTCTGTTCGGTGTTTTCTGGGAAGCTTTTGTAGCCATGCTTGAAGTAGATTGACTGCATTTACCTTTAAGTACTCCCAAGAAGAGTGACTGTCAGCTTCAATGACATCCCCAGCTAACGCGATTGAGACAGCCAATACTGCTGTCAGCTGAGGAACGAAAGGAGAAGATAGATCAGATTCATGATCTGAATGGGTCCAGAAATGGGCATAATGGCGGAGAAATGTCGGAACATGTAAAATTCTGAGAGTCTTCTCAAAAGTTGTTGTGTAGACAGCCACTAATTTGTCACAAATTTGTTTTGAAGGCAGGGACTGAAGCAGTTGACATAGCTCTGGAAAACTTTCCAGCTCCGAGATTGACTGCGGAGAGCTTAAAGGAGATTGGGTCTTGCTCTGTAGAAATTGCACCTCTTTGGCCAGTTTGACCAGAGAGGAGTCCTTTGAACACTGACTGACGAATTCTTTGGCTTCCTCAAACTGCGAAGATATTAGTTAGCCTGTCAACAATCAGGGTGAGTCAACACACCTGATTTAAGAGAGTGATTCGATCATTCTGGCCATGAAAACGAGATCGGGACCCCTTAACTACTAAAGTGCCCAGATAAGACTGTAAGCTTGAAGATGGAGGCTGGTCGTTCAGTGGCCTGTGAGTGGAGAGTAAGTACTCCGTAAAGAGGTGGAGAATGATGATCGGACGATCTTTTACCAAAAATTTTGAATCGATAGATCAGAGCTGCCATCCCGAACAGCAAGCAATTCTTCAACTCGAGCTAAGCGTTGTTGGACATCTTCGAGGACGCCGATGCCGCCTTTGGCCTCAAGGGGCTTGGAATTTTGAGCAGCGAGCTGAACTCGTTTGGGTTTTGGTGTTGATTCTGGATGCTGGTTATATGTACAGTCTGCGCGATACCCTGCTTTGATGCAATTCTCGCAGGGATCAACGCGGTCGCATTTGAGCTTCTTGTCTCTGCATCGGAGACAGGAGACAACTGGTCGTGCCCGCTTATTGCGTGCACTCGAGAAGCTCATTGCTCAAAGAATCATTACTGAAAAACAATAGAATCTCCAAAAGATAAAATCAACTTGTCTTACTTGTCTTAAAGGTCTTGGCGTTGGGAGCCTGGTGGCCTGAGCTAAACGGCCCCCATTCAACTATTTTCTTCTCCCATACGTTGTAGACGATGTGCTTTCTCTCATCGCCATACTTCGTACACACCATATCACATTCTCCTGTGGACTGTCAATTTTCGCAGTACAATAATATAAATTTTTTCCAGTAATTCAAAGGGTTCGATCCGCTTAACTTATCCGAATCCTTCAGGTGCCAAGTTCCTTCGGATTTCAAAATGAATCAATAAAGACAGCAATTTTTTTTGTTTTTTTTTTCTGTATACGACATCTTTAAAGTAAGCGCGTATCTCGCTGAGGTACCTTGATGAGGTAGCTGGAATCGACAAATGAATGTCCGTAACGGTGGTGAATTATTGATCCTTATCTTGCAGCCCTCACATGAAGCAACCCTGTTGGATAACGGGCGAGCCTACTGTATCCTCTTGATGAAACCCAAACTTCTCCCGTCTGTTTCCAATCTTGCAACTTTGAACTCAGCTCCACTAATGAATATTCAACCGTGTCTGATTTCTTTCGGTATGTGATTTTAGTATATGGCCCGAAGACTGAATTGAGCTGACGTCGGCAGACCATCAAACTCAATGGCCATGAGACTAATGCAAGCAAAATTGGGCTACTAGGCCGAATCGGACGGTGTATCGTTGTAAACTTGCACCAGCACTGGAGGCTCTTTTCGGCATACGATTCCACCAACAGCTACCTCAGGCGTTGTCAAACTATGGAAAGATGAATGGGCACTCCCAATGGTGGAGGTGCTGCCTGGCTTTTGATAAACCACAAGCAGCAACTCGGAGTACGGAAAGCACCGGTGTCGGTAACAGCCTGGATGACCCCGGGAACAGACGAAAATAGCAACGAGGATTGGTATCATATGGTATTCTAGTTCAGTACTTAGGTGATAAAAGGTCTCGCTGGGTTGCACTTCCATATCTAGCTAGCTATTCAACACGTATAGTTAATTTCTATTCTCTGGCTAGTTTATCTTCTGCCATTCGCTCCATTCTCTCTTGACGTTCCATTTGCACGCGCGCCTCGATAAAAACAGAGAAGCGATAACCAATATCCTCACCGCTGATACGGGGATCAGCCCCTTTCGGTACTTCCACTCCGTCGGGAGTCAAAATAGGTCCTGACTCCGGCCGGACGGGCCATTGGGCCGTTCAAAGTCCCAGCCCATAGAACCGCCAGAGATCCCAGAACGGCATCCCCAGTGCGCGCCATGGACGGGAATCCTGGAGGCTGCATGCCTGAAATTTGGCAGGATGGGTTCTGCTGCGGATTTGCCACGAGCGCCAGAGGTTGACTATAGAATTTCTTTTGGTCATCCGGGTTCCCCGGCCCCAGATGTCTCTTAGAATGCCCGCCGCGTCGTAGTCTGAAAGTATAGGTGCAAGAGGAGGTGACCAGACGTCGAATTTGCAGGATAGTTGAGTGGCAATCGGTAGCTTTGTAATGAGAGCCATATCACTGCTGTTCGATTCCACTGAGGGCTGTGTAGTATAATCTGTATCGGCACTCGATAGATCCTCTAGACATTCCTTGACGGAGAGGATCTCATCCGCAGCTATATCAGGCAATTGAATCAAGTCCATGTGGTGAGACTGCAGATACTCCAGATCACTTTGGGTCCATCCTAGCCTGTCGGCAACGACTAATAGATCGGAACACAATTGAAGGTGCCATAGCGCGCGGTAGACCCGATACTCCTCAATCCAGGATGGAGGGCCAGCGTCGCGTGACTCATATGGGGTGGTGCCCGTCAATTTGGGAACGTGGGAGACCGGATTGTAATGCACTTCCCAGCGCCGCGGTTGAACCTTCCGAAGCCGGGTCAACAGAGTGGTTAGGCAAGCGCATGCTAGTCGCTGAATGTTGGCTGCGACTATCATCATTTCCTGCAATACGGCGCGAGTTGTCGAAGAAGAGGAGGTCATAAGCGAAAGAGAATAGTCCCGAGCCATAAATTCGGCGAGACTCTTATCCGCCAAGGAAGGTTGGCGCAGTTCCATGGTCATGCGGAAGTGACAGTGTAGTTCGTGGCCCATGATGGGGTTCTTCTCCAGGATTGACTCAACCAGGCGAATGGCTTCAGGGTCCACTTTGTTGTTGAAATCACCTGCGAAAAGGTTTCTCACTTGGGTGGAGATTTGCAAAAGACTTTCGAGGCCAACCCAGTCTGCCGCGTATCCATTGATACTGGAGAGGAGCTCATTCGGAAGTTGGTCTAATGATGCCATTGTTGCATTGAGATCCGATATCAGAGTCGTCTAAATCTGGAAAAAGAAAGGGTGTGTTGGTATTTCGTAAACCTTCAAATATTGGGACTCGCGACAGGGAATATCTATCAATCGACCATCGACTGTTCTAATACTTGCATGATCACGTGGTTGACGCTTCCGTGGTCGCAGAGGTTGTTTGTTACAGACAGTAACCTAAGTACGGCAGATGAGATGACGAAAAACAATTTAAACTTATCAGTTCCTGCTTGCGTTTATATTCAGGCCAGAAGCAAAATCACAAAATCAACATCAATATCAGTTGGTAATGACCGGGGCAGTATTATCCCATCTCTCCTCCAATGCCGCATTAACCAAGAACTGAGCGACACTGATTCGACTGGCACTGCCCATCAGACCAACACCTTTCCCGTCCTTTGGCCACTCCTTGACCTTAGTAACATCAGTCTCCACCAGACGCGAAGGCCTGACCAGCACAAAAGTCAAACCACTGTTCCGAACTTCTTTCTCCGCAAGGTTGTGGTCTTCATATGAGTATATCATGTTGGATTTGCTCATAAGCAGACGCAATGCACAGGGCATAGTATCCCACGATGCACCGGCGCCGTAGGCCTGTAGTACAACAATTTTGCGCACTCCAAACTCCTTCATGATTTGCACCACGTTGGCATTGCTGTCTGCCATCATGCGTGGTGGGGAGATTGGTGCCGCAAATGGACTATCTGTTGCTCGAATGGCACTAAGTGTGACGATTACAGTGTCTGGGATGTCGAGGTTGAAGGCATTTCGCACATCGGATACGTCGAGGGGGGTGCCTGTAACTGAGTTAGTTAAATCCATATGGGAATGTAAGAAGCAGGTACCTTTCACGATGTCTAGACCAGGCTGCTGCTCTAAACTTGTGGGTTTCCGGACCAATGCAGTGACTTGGTGTCCTTTTTTGAGGATATCATCAATCACTAGCTTGCCTGTACGGCCGCTGCCTCCGATGATAAGGAACCGCATTTTGTGTAAATATTTGCAGGTTGTTCGTGTGGTGGATTGAAACTATGCATAATCATAATTGAACCGGGAATATCTTACTCTTATATGTATCACTTCATCTCTCGAGTTTCTTATTCACTCTCCATCTCTGTAATTCCGGATCCGAGAATCTCGGATCCGGCCGGAGAAGAATATCACCTCTGTACGATCGAAACAACCAGCTCTTGTCTACCATCAGATGCCGGAGATATATTTGTCACTACAGAGTATGCTATATTATCCGAGGGAAAAAACTGAGAAGAATTTTGGCCAGCTTTCTTTCTTCTGAGCATAGATGCATTACTGGCTGGCATTAGCTACTCTAGGAACCCGGGAATAGGACCTGATACGCCATCGGCAAATAACATTAAAATATATAGAGAGAGAATGGGACACTCACCAGGCTTGAGATGTAAAGGAATTTTAGATCTCCAGCTACGGGGTCATCTTGCATCCTAGCGTGTTAGCTACGCCGTCTCTCCCAGGGCATCACCAATTTCGAAAAACAAGTATTGACATTTCCTTAATATGCACTAATACTTAAAGCTTGGCATCTTTCACAGACTCAAAAACGATCTTCTCCCCGGTAATCAAACTGCGCTGCAAAGCCGAAGCAATGACAACTGCCTTCACCGAGCTAGTAAGAGTAATCGGCGCAGGTGTATTATCCAAACAACAAGCAGTGAACTCATTAGCCTCTGTAAGAAAAGCCTCACGGAAACGCTCATAATAATGTGCAGGAAGATCCCGTCTAGCACCCAGAGAGTCGTGAATCTCAACATGATTCTTCCGAACTTGCATGTTGACTCTTAGCGAACCTTTCTCGCAGATGATCTCAGTTGTATCTTCCTGTCCAGCAGCCATGATGCGCGTACAGAACAGCGTAGCGATTTTACCACCTTCAAACTCAATTGTAGCAATAGCATTGTCGCGATCCTTGCTAGAATCTAGTCCAGAGTGAACGGCAGTGACGCCAACTGCTTGCAGACTCTTGACGTTGGTGTCCTCTCCCATGAACCAAAGCATCAAGTCAATATCGTGGATGGAACAATCGAGGAAAATTCCTCCGCTAGTTTTGGCATAGTTTACAAATGTGCCAGTTGTGTCAAGGGCATCTGCCGTTTGCGATCTGAAGACCACTGGGCGGCCGTGTTTTCCTGACACCATTCGCTTGTAAGCCTCACGGTAGGAATCATCAAAGCGACGTGAAAAGCCACACATGACTTTTTGGTTGGGGTAAGTCTTAAGAGACTGTTTATAGGTGTCAAGAACAGATTGGGCCTATTGTTGTCAGCATGTGTTTCCGGATTTGCTCTCATTAATTAGCTTACAATCTTAGTATCCAAAGACAAAGGCTTCTCGCACATCACATGCAGTCCCTTCTTGATGGCGGCAATTGCGTGATCCGCATGAACTGCGGTGATACCAGCGACGACAACTGCGTCTAGGTTCTCCTTCTCGAGCATCTCATAGTAATCTTTGTAGATGCGTGCGTTTGTGAGGTTCTCCGCGGCCCACTTGTGCTCGTTCCAATCAGGAGAGCTCGCTGCCACTACCTCAGCATGAGGAGTGAGAGCATGGTAGTTGAATGCATGGCGTTGGCCTTTATTTTGTTAAACATATGCATAGGATATCTCAGTTGATACAATGCTTACCCATTCGGCCAAGACCGGCGATACCGACACGCAACTTTTGGGGCGACATTTTGAGAGAATGGGGATATGACGAGGAGAGTTATGAGCTGTGTTTCAGTTGATACATTCTACATAGACATAGGCGGGGAATTATATAGCCTGGCTCCAACCCCGGAGTGAATACAAGTCTTGGCCGGGAAAGGGAATCCGAGTAGATTCTTGAGTATTTCCAACAGATGTGATCGCCACCATTCCAATTACACATGTACAGTATACATTTCGATATTCTTTTATGTTAACTAGATGCTCCACTAATTTATGGACATTCCGTGGATTGATGGACTTTGAGTACAATGCTACACAATACAATGCAAGGAACATTCTCGCAGTGCTCGTCGTCACTGTGATCCTTTTCGGTGCGCGCCAAGTCAGAGATAATCTTAGTACGGGCAATCATAGACCGACTGTCATCTGCCCGAGAGGATATGAGCCCGAGAGGATATGAAGCTGTTTGAGAAATAGCACCCACAACAAGAATGCAGCAGCCGATTAGAATTGACCACCTTCGACAAATTGTGTCTCCGGCAAACATGGACACCAAAGTGCCTATGATACAGCCGATATCATAAGTCGCCACAATCTGACCTTGAATTGTCACCGAAGGATTTCCAAAAGTCTCTAGGAAGGCCTCATTATCCAGAAGCGCACCAAAGATGCCTTGCTCATAACCAAAGAGAAGAAAACCTGCACCACAGGCTGCAGTTATTCTGTATTGAAGCCATTTGCCTTGAGTATTTTCCAAAAACATCTTGATTGAGAGCTAGTTATAGAGAACTTATGTGTTACCAAACAGTATGTAACACTTATATATCTTTAGTGTGATGAATTAAAGTTTTGCTCTCATTCCTACGTCCATTGTCAGCGTAAGAACAAGATACGTATCAAAATGAAGATTTGGGGTCTAAAGCGTGGGGTATGTCCGGGTTTCGTTTCCCGCAAGCCTTTGGCTAGTCCCAATGCAGGTAGATCCACTCCGGCAATATCAGCGATTGGTTCAGCCATAGGTTGCAAAATGACAATTGAATAACATCTCGTTCGCTCACAAGGCTGCAAATTGCCCTATTTGATGCCATTCATCCGATAAATATACAGATCTTTCCCCGCTCGGGACCCCAGAATTTGAAATACGCCAATTGATAGTGTTTCCGTGAGTAGAGCCAATAGAGAGCCGAAAAATGGCAGTGGATAGTAGTTCGGATTAAACATCTCCCCTACCCCGCACTCGGACTTTCGTATATTTCGATGCCGGTAACAGTAGCTTTGATATTGCAATGGCTTGATGGCAGAACAGTAAGAGAATGGGAAGTATGAAAAAGTCAAGTGCTACAAAAAAGAGACATCATGCTTCAATGGCATGCGTAGCGTGTCGGGAGAGTAAAGTCAAGGTGATCTATCCACCCTAGAGGGGAATGAAATAAGACTAATCCAAGCAGTGTGATGGAGGTGATCCTAAATGCTCTAGTTGTACTAACAAGCATCGAGAATGCCGCTACCAAGCCGTGGACAAGCGAAAGTAGGTGACACATCAGTATCATATGATGCAAATGGATTTGTTGGTCAAAGATTAGCGCTGATCATGTGAAGACTTCCACTAAGGGTTGCCATAGAGCTATTATCCAGCAGAGTTGACCAACTTTGTCTCTTCATTCGCCAGAATGGACTTGAAGCCCCGCCTGTGCCGCAAGAAAAAGACACAGCTCTGACCAAAGTCCTGGAAGTTCTCGGTCTGACTAAAGTCCATTCGACCTCTGCACACCCAAAGCCGGATCGGAACTCTCTGGACTTTACGTTGGGTGTTGAGAGCCTGTCTTCTAGTGCCCTCGATTCTCTGCCGCTTCTTGCGGACCATGTCAGTATACATGAGTCAAATGGCGCCTGGGATCGGACCTCCCCAGATGACATGTCGCAAGCTTCCCAACCCAGTCTCATGCAGATGACTGACTCTCAAGCTGTTTCCACATTACCCATGTTTCCCGAGACTGGGAATGTGAGCGTTTCAACCGCAGATCACTATCCACCAACAGATGATCACTCGGATAATTCTTTGAACAATTGGGATTGGACCATGGACTTCGGAACATGCTTCACGCCGCCATCCCCAGAGATTCCAGATCCCGATACAGATGTCCTACAGTTGCCATTGAAGCCGCTGGATGTGGTACCCGAGCCTTTTGAGCCACTCGCTCTCGTTCGAAATCCAGCTAGCCTCGGCAAGGACACTAGGAGTCCGGAAGAAATAGAAGACCTCATTGATGAGCTTTCTGATCGCGTGGGTACACTACGATTTGGTCCTGGGGGGCAATCTCACTTTTACGGACCGACATCAACATTCAATCTTGCCGATGCTCCAGTATATACCAGACCACACCGCACATTTGACTGTGATGATGTAGACCCTGATACAGCGGTCCCGCTGGCTCTCGAGGAACATCTTCTTAACCTATACTTCACGTGGCAAGATCCATCGTTCCATGTCGTTGACCGAGAGATGTTCGAGAAAGGAAAGGCAGCCTGGTGGGGAAAGGAAGATACCCCATTTTATTCCGAGGCTCTCTCTTATGCAATGTAACTCCACACCACTTCCATAAATTGTTCGATGGGCTAAATGATACTCTACAACAGGTGCTCTCTCGGCGCTGCGTTTGAAACTCGCTATCACCCATCGTTCATTACGTTCCCCAAGTCTCTGGGTGAATTCTTAGGTGATCGAGCAAAGGCACTTCTTGAACTCGAGTTAGATTCTCCATGTGTAGCGACAGTCCAGGCACTGGTTATCTTGAGTAGCCATGAGATCGGTGTTGGGTCGGATACTCGTGGATGGCTTTACAGTGGTACGTAATCTCGAGCTCACTGGATTTCTTGTCTAACAAATCCTCACAGGAATGGCCTTGCGACTTGCTTTTGATCTCGCTTTGCATCTAGATCTTTCTTCGTATGTTGCTCGCGGCTCTGTATCTACCACTGACGCAAAGCTGCGCCGTACTGTGTTCTGGGCTGCATACATGGTCGACCAGTCAGTTATTCATCCTCACCAAAAGCAAAATTGCATTATAAAAGCTAAAATTTTAACTATAGTCTTGTCGGCTTCTATCTTGGTAGACCGTTTTATACTAATATGGAGGATGTGACCGTGAAGAAACCCAGTGCCAAAGTCAGCCACCTAGAGTCTCACAAATGGACTCCATACGCATCTCCCATTCCGTTCGCTGATGAGTGGAAGTCCGGAGACTGTGTGGAAGCTGTGAGTCAACAAGAGGTTTTGCTCTGTGAGATCATGGCTCCGTGTGGCTATTTCCTGTGGGTTCTCTAGGATTGTCTCCGTGTTCGCACAAGTCATATTAACAAAAAATCTTCTGTAAGCTATGGAACGTCGGGTATTTCAGGATCCAAGCTCCAACCACTCAACGCAAAGATTGTTGCCAAGCTCCTCAACTGGAAAGTCCAGTTACCTCCGTCTTTGGAACTCAACCTCAATGACCACACCTCCCCATATCTCCCCCATGTGCTGCTGCTCCAGTGAGTATCATTTCAGTTAATATTTCTCATTAGTTGGCATCCCACAGAAGATAATATGCTAACATCCACCAAAGTATGCAATATTACCAAAATCTCATTTACAGCCACCGACCTTGGATGTCAAAGGGGTATCTCCAACCGCAGCCTCCCAAAGGACCAGGCTACACCCATGCACGAGAAATGTGCATAAACTCGGCAATCTCTATCGCCAAAATACTTGTACTATACGAAACCAGATATACTCTCCGCCGCATAAACGTCAAAGCAGTCTCCATCACCTCCTCCGCTGTCCTCCTCCTTCTCTTCGCTGCTGTTTCCCAGTACCAAACCACAGAGAATGAAAATATAACTGCCCATCTCAGCACATGCTTTAGAGCTCTCGATGAGTTCTCTCTATCCTGGCAAAGTGCCAATCGCGCCAAAGATCTCCTAGTCAGACTACAGCACAAATGGGAGATCCGAACGCGTGCTAGTAAGCCGGATCGCGGACCTGATGGCGCTGGATACCCGCCGAGAAAGCGGTCTCGTACACTGAATGGGTCTGATCCTACAGACCAGACTGATGATAGAGCTTCTGGTCCATCTGAATTGCGGGATCTACAGTTGGAGTCTGGCTTGGGCTGGATGCTTAGACTCAGTGGTCAGCTTCCTTCGGATGGTGATGAGGATCTATATTCTTTTGTTGCGAATACTGCGTTGCCTGAAGCTAATTATGAGGGTTTGTGAGCTCGGGTTTGTAAGCTCGTGGAAACCATTTTTGATCGGTCCATGCTAAATTTAGTCCACTAATTGTTACATTTATCTCTATATTGTTGGTTCTCGGCCTGAAATGATATATGATAATCGCAGTCTTTCTTCATCTTCTTACTGCTGTAGGAATGGGTATGCATACTGGTTTGAACAGTGTGGAAACAACATGATTGCCATCTTTGCTGGAGTTCCAATTTCCTTCGTCTCGGCATTTTAGATCACTTGCACATGCCGGTAAAAATCAATGATTTTCTCATATGACCATGCATCTGCCCTATTATCAACTCTTTGGGGGCTATAATTCGATGAATATATCTGCAAAAGGGAGAAAGCACTTCCTGGCTTGATTTTTATGACTTTAGGGCTTCAAGTTTCGGTATGTGGAACAGTATTAGGGCGTATCAATTTCCCCAGTGTTTCCCCCACGGGATTTCCCGGTGGCTTGTATTGCATGGAACTAAATCTTTAGTGTGTCTCAGAGTGCTTGGCCACGCGCAAGCTATACCGGTAGATCATTGGACAATGGATGCGGGATATCCTCGGATATGAAGCATCCAGTCATATTCCAGAACAGAATCTCTCATAATGGGGATGACGACGATATTATGACCGAAATGAACTTGCATTGGCGACATAAAAAAGAAAGGTGAAGCAATCGGCTTAACCCCGGTTGTTGCTGACGTAATTATATTTTCTCCCCCCCCCGGTTTTTTGGACTGTCTTCATCCGTCTTTCGGTGATTCGCGGCATGATGGTTCTAAAAAAATGTTCTATATGTTCCAGGGTCTTCAAAAAGACCGAGCATTATAAAAGGCATGAGCGGTCACGTCAGTAGCTTTGAACTTGAAAATCATTCCACTAGCCTAACATGCAAATAGACACCAAAGAACGCCCATACGAATGCAATGTCTGCCACAAGCGTTTCTCTCGAAGGTAAGCAATTGATGGTGCAGTCTCATGGTTCTAGACCTAATTTATTTACAGCGATGTCTTAAGTCGACATGCCAAAGGCCATAATAATAAAGCCGAGACGACAGCCAGCACCTCAGAACTGCCGAACCGGCAAGTATCCTTGATCACTGCTTCTTCAGCCGTTCCAGATTCAAGCAATGGCTCTGTCGGTGCGGAGGCACCTTTACCAAATCTGTCGGGCACCCCAAGAGATACACCACTTGCATCAACGGGACTCCCATCATCGCTAGATTATCTAGCCGACATATCAGTCCACCATGGCCGGAGCGAGACAGAACTGAATGCAATGATGATAGACGAACAGCAACCATATTATGGATGGAACGAAGTCATTCCCGCAGACCAAAGCTCTCATCGAGCCGGGTTGGCCTTTGACCCTGTGCCAAAAGACATGCTTCAAATGTGGCTCGAGCCTCGCACTGATTCTATGTCGAATGGCTCACTTGATGTAATGCCTGATAATCAAATAACTCTCCTGGGCGATAATATGATGCTTACGCCGGGTCAGAATCGCCATCCGGTCGATAGCGGCAAATCTGGCACCGAAAATATTCCAAATGAACGTTTTTTCAAAGTACAGCGGTGCTGGTTAGCGCCGCCAAACAAAGGGCGTCTCATAAATAATTTATGGCGTGATATTACGATTTCATCCGTCGATAATATCTTCTCTGTTCAATCATTGCATTTCTCCAGTGAGCCACGTGCGGCTCAGGGATCATGTTGTGGATTCGATGAGGATTGCAGACGACGCCTACAGGCGACATTTGGGCATGACATAACTCCTCCACACACCAGTGCAGGCATCTCTTCGGCTACACCTGTCTCTTCATCCCATTATTCTAATTTCCCTCCTGCTGAGATCTTGGATATGTCTTTAGATCTATTTTTCCGACTGTTCAATCCTCTCTTGCCTTTTGTTCATCTTCCTACTTTTTCGGCGAAGAAGGCACGACCATCACTCCTATACGTCATGACGCTAGTTGGCATGACATTGCTTGGCACAAAGGGGACAACTGCTTTCGTCTCCAGAAATTTCTCTGTGAGTTCACCATGGTTTATACTATCACACAAGACTTGCTGATGGTGAGGCAGAGCGTTTTGGATAAAGTGGCTGTCGAATTTGCTAGATGCTCATTGGGACTCGAGAATGCTGCTAGCACCATGACGTTGTTCGCGACAGCTTTACTTTTATTGAATCTGGCTGGTTTGACAGGAGTAAGAGGCTCTCATTCTCGATCGAGTGAAATTTCAATATTAATTGGTATCGTATCTAGGAAAAGACGCATCTAGAGCAGTGCCAGCCCCTTTATATCAACGTCATGTCTGTATGTTTGAGTGTGGATTTCGTCTCACTTTGTTTGTTACTATGGTTTCTGATGACAAGTTGTGCAGGTGGCTCAAAGGCACGGGCTTTTCTCGGCCACTGAAGGACAAATTCTTGATATGACTCTATTTGAGACTGTCCCCGATATAGAAATGAGATGGAAAGCATGGAGCAAAATTGAGTCAGCCAAGAGGTAAGCCGTGACTGGCCCGATCATTATACTATCCTCTAATAATACCCAAGAATAATCGTCGGACTCCTTCTCCTGGACTCCTGGTACTCTTCATTCCTCTCGACATGTCCAATTGTCCTCCCAGACTCGATCCAACTCATCCTCCCCTGCAGTGAATCGCTTTTCCGTGCAAACTCATCCATACAATGGACACAATTGATTCGCAGCGGCAAGCGCATCCTCTCATCCACGATTTTAGCTCCCTCTGAGAACGTCAGCGTCCCAGCCTTGGAAGGCCCCCCAGAAGACTTTTGCATCCAAGCAGTCCTGTCCATCGTCCATCTACGCCAGTCTGAAGCTTATCATCGCCTCCTCTCCAACAGAGCCAGTTACCCCTTCGCACCGTGCCACACCTACGCCATGGACGGCCGCGCCAGATGTCTCCCCTCGTTACAATCCCAACTCATAGCAACATACGGCGACACCCTCGACCGCCTCAATCCAAATGCCCTCATATCCTGGCACCACATGTGCATGATGCTGACGGCTGATATCCAAATATTCGATCTGGCCGCTGGTCGCGCCGGCCCAACTCCTGCCCGCAAAGCCCTGGAAGATATTCGCGATTGGTCGCAGACCCCTGCTGCTCGTCGTGCATGTCTGCACGCAGCACATATCTACAAAGCCATGTCGAATAGGAAAGCTTCTGACCATCCGGATTTCCAATCGGTATTATCGCTCTTCTCCGCTGGCTTAGTTCTCGGTCTGTATACTTTTATGGTGCCGGACTCTGCGAGTTCACTGTCTAGTATTGGGTCTGTGGAGTTGATGGATGATGTTGAATGGAGGTCTATTGGGGCGGAGGGATTTACGAGCTTCATGGAACCGAGAGGGAGCCAGACGTATGCACCGACTGACGATCCCGCTGTCAACTTTATTCGCAATGGTGCTACGATCTACTTGCGAGGTCTTCCTTTCCACGGTGGATATCAGTCTGCGCGTCGCATTCTTCTTGACTACGCTTCTCTTCTTAAGGACTCTGGGAAGTGGAGTGTCAAGAAATTTTCTTACATTTTATACATTATGAGTGATGTTCTTATGGATGTGGAATGATGAAATGAATGGACTGTATTGGAAATGTTCTATTTTCTTTTCCACTCTGTCTAGTCGAAAGAACGCCAACACTCAAGATTATCTAACATCTCCGTCCACAAAGGCTGATCCACCACTCGGTCTTGCAAATCTATCGACTCATCAAAAGGCTGAGTATCAGCAGTCGGCGCCTCACCACGGAAAATCTTCTCCCTATCAACCGAGATCCTGCCCTGGCGGATCTCGTTCGCATACCAGTTTACCTGCTCATTTGCAATAGCCACGACCTCCTTCGGGGCCAGCTCCTTGTCTGCATAGACGGCGATTGAGAGACACCATGAGTTTGCGTGGTGTTGAGCCTGAGGGTCGATTCTGCAGTTGTTATGATTCATGTGGTCGGAAAGGAACTGCATTAGGATCTCGCCGGTGAGCTTCGGGGTGATGTCGGGAAATGTTGCGTAGTCAACTGTTACCCAGTGAATATACTCGGGGCTCTCATCATCTTCGATGTAGTGGAACCCCGTCTCATTGTCGATGAACATACCTTCGCGGAGCATTGTGATTGTTTGGAATATTGGCCTTGGGCTGTAGTGTGAGTGACTTGACTTGTATAGACCGATGGCTAGAGATGAAATAAGAGATTGCTTAGCTATCAGGAGCTGCCTTGCTCTGTTTTATCCCATTTAGGCGTCTTTGTTGAGAATCCCTGTAAAAGGCCTTTCGTTGTCTTATGTAGACAATGCCTTTTTTTTCAAGTTCTTCGATATCTGATAGCTCTGGTATGAATTTAATCCCGCAAAGGATAAAATCTCCACCTTCAACTAATTCAATGCAGATAAACCATAGATCGGATATCACATGTTCATTCAAACGACCAGCCTGTGGGCAAACTTACTGGAGCTCACTGCTCTTTGGATTCTAATAAAGAGATCGCCGATCAGGGTAGGCTATTTTGGGTATGAACAGTCTTTTGTTGTGACTGAATATCCATGTTTGGCCAACAATGCCATGCATGCATTGGTACCTCTTCCAGGGTGCTTAAGGTAAAGCCCAACATCACAGCACTAATACTGCGCCTAGACATTTTTTTACACAGCTGACAGCATACTTATGTCATCTGACAGACAGGTCACTTAGCAGATGCAGCTACCTAGGTAGTTAGTCAAGTATACAACCTACTCCTCCCAACTTTATTGACGCACCGCTACACATTGGGGCAAATTACCCCCGTATGAGCTAGTTAAAACAATTTGGACCCTCTACAAGCCAACACGAAAAGGCAAAATATTATTTTTTTCGTTCTCTTTCTCCCATACCATTTCAACAAGTACGCTGTCTACCAGGCCTGGTACATCCTCCAAGCTCTTCTACAATGTCGCAGCCTTGCACTCTCTGCGATCTTCCAACTGAAATTCTCCATACCATAGCGAGATATCTCGATGCGTTCAGTCTTGTCTGGCTACAACGTTCATGTCGAGACTTTCGTAAATTGATACCGGCTCCTACTCATCAAGAGTTGATGGAAGCGGAAACCACTGAATTCGGCATCTTGAACGACTTTTACGCTTGTCAAGACTGTCTTAGGCTACGACCACGGGCAAAATTCGCCGATAATATGACAAAGCGCAAATACGCCAAGAGGGAGCCTCGTGCAAACAATCGGTATTGCGTGGATTGTGGCATCAACCCGCGCCCACATACCAATCGATACACAGCCGGCAACCATATTAAAATTCTAGATAAATCATATATCATCTGCTTGCGGTGTCGAGAGTTTGGAGCGCTGGCTCCAAAGGACTGGAATCTGTCTGGGCTGTGCGAAAGCTGTGGACGGAAATTCCGAGAGCGTATTGAGGCTGAGAGAGAGCGACAGGGAAGGGCCCGGCTTCGAGCTGAACAGGCTGCCCGAAGAGCCAGAAGACGTGAATTATATTATTCGGCTTCTGGCAGCGATGAAGTAGTGCCGCCGAGTCCGACGTGGTCGGATGAGCAGATGGATATGGTTCAATGCGAAGCTGACACATACATGAACAGCCCTGGGCCTGGGTCTGACTGAGAATCACTCATCAAGGTTGAGATAAGAGCATGTGCTTGATGTATTGCGGAGATTGTTGAAAGGGGACATACTGTTGAGACATATCACCCTGACTGTTTGTGGGGTGAGGGACATCGCCAGGCTCTGAAAGAACAGCAGTGACAAGGTATAGACGAGGAGTGGCATATTGTCGTAGGCCGCTTTGTTCGGGTACTTACTTGGCATGAAACATTTTAATCTACTGTTTCCATCCTCTAGTCTTGTGTGACGACTCATTAGTTGTACTCTTCTAATATTCGAGGTTCAAGCTTGATAGAGCTAAGGCTATGTCCTGCTCTATTCAGAATAGCAGTATCTAGTTTCGGATTCCTTGTCTAATGACATGATCATAATAGAAAAACAGTGTCAACATATGTACAATGAAAGCCTATTGTCCATAACAAAGACTCGAACACAGCCTATACAATCCCGCACAATGATTCTAGTATATAAGGCAAAATCCTGCTACCCAAACTCACAATCTCTCCATCCCTCAACCTAAGTCTCCCAACACCAGCTAACCATCCTCCTTTCCACCCCGACCCTCGAGCGTCTCTACAAATTCAAACAACGCCAAAATGCCCGAAGGTATGTTCCTCCGCCGAGATGGCACCCGCATCTCGGAGGACGTAGTAACCGGCAGCCACGTCCACTGGGTGACCGTCGACTTCCGATATTTCAGCGCAAGAATAAGACATGGCGGCGCCAAGGGTCTCATGCGCATTATGGCCGAGCAATGCCGGTCCGGGGTGGCTACTATCAGTGATAGACCCATCCACCATGAGATTCCATCTTGCCTCTCGCTGCCAGTCGTTGGAGAGAAGAAGCTTGATAGGGTGGAAATTTTGTTGCGTGCTGCTGAGATCGCTGACTGGCACTATAATGAGATTGTGACTGGTCAGGAGATGCTCGATGATGAGGCTGTTATGGCTTCACTGCAGCCGGTCCGTCGACTTAATGGGGCTTAGAGATTTCTTTGAGGGTTGCATGGGAAGATTGGTAGATGAGATGCTCGTAGAAAAGATCCAATCAAAAATAAATTGGAGAAGAAGATTCAGTTTTGCTCATTTGTATTGTAGTAATCGTGTCGCCGCACACCCATACCTGCGGTGTGCGGCGACACGATCAGTGTAGAGCTCGAAGTATCTCTGTGGAAATTGTACAACTCTTGACAAACAAATGAGCAAAGCGAGGATGGACCGACTGGGCCCAGTCTGATGGTTGAAACTTTCCAATAGTATATGTGAAAGGTCTTTAGAATATCTCTATATAAGAGGAATGCAATATTCACAAAGGGCAAGGGTTTAACGGTACAAAATACGGTCAACCATTTCGCCAATAGCCAAACAACTGGTCAAGCCAGGGCTTTCAATTCCCAAAAGATTGACAAATCCAGGTAATCCCTCTTCCTCTCGGATAATGAAATCCTGGAATCCCTTACCTTCATTGACAGAGCCACCACGGCCTAACTTGGGCCGAATGCCACAGTAGTCCAAAGCAATAGCATCGACATCGACGCTAGGCATGAAAGACTTGATCTCCTCCAAAGCCTTCTGCAAGTTGGCAGGGTTAGGCTTCAAATCATCAGGGCTATCAACCCACTGAACATCTGGCCCAAAACGAATGCGCCCACCCATATCAAGCGTCAAATGCGTGCCCAAGCTAGGCGTGCCCGGCAACGTAGCCGGATAGACCAAAACCGAAGTCCGCGGCCTAGACGCCGCATACGAGAAATACGTCCCCTTAGCATAATGCGGGAAAAAATGCCGCTCCTTCGGAAGAAGCATGTTACTTATAGCGCAAGCCCCATGGCCAGCACTATTGATCAACGTCTCCGCCGTAAAAGAAGTAACAGAACCATCCTCATCCGATACAGCAGTTATCTTATACCCGCCCTGACCCCCATCAACAGCCTCCACGCCCGTCACGCGCGTCTTGAACGCGACGTCCCCGCCGCGATCCTCAAAGTCGCCCTGCAGGTACGTCATGAGCGAATGACTGTCCACGATACCGGTCGTCTCGCTCTCGACGATGCCCGCGTCTGCTTTGACGTCTGGTTCGCGGCGGAGGGCTTCATCCCGGCCGATGAGGCGGGTCGGCGCGTCGCCGAGGGCTTGTGCGTGGGCGTGGACTTTCAGTGAGGCCTCCCATTGGGCTTGTGTTTGGGATACGATCCATTTCTTGGTGTTGCGGTGGGGGATGTCGTTTTTGGAACAGAGGTCGTAGAGGAGGTTGCGGCCGCGGATGCAAAGTTTGGTTTTTAGGGAGTTTGCGGGGTAGTAGAGACCGGCGTGAATTACCTGATTATTGTTAATTGGGGGTTAAAAAGGGGTGGGATGAATAATGGTTGGGATGCGAACCTCGGAGTTGCGACTGCTTGTCTCTGTGCCTGGTGCATCGTGTCGCTCAAGTAAAATGGTTGAAGTTCCCTCGTGAGCTGCCAACTGTCGGGCGGTCGCAAGCCCGACGACGCCTGCGCCGATTACCTAGGAATGTTAGTTGGGGTTGTCATGTTTACAACTGTGTGGGTTATATCTTACTGCATGTGTGAAGTCCGCATTGGCGGTGCGTGTGGTAGAAAAGCAACGGCTATTAAGCTTAAAAGTATGCTTAAATGCACGTGCAGACATTTCTACAGAAGGAGCAGTTGACCAGCAACTGCCTGAAGCCTAGGCACAATAATAAATTGTCAGTGAACAGAATTCAAGGGAAAGACCTTGGATGACGCGATCCCGAGGTCGGATCGCGATTGTACCCGCAAAAGTATGCGGCGCGTTCAGATAAGAGGCATTTTCAGTTTCACCTCAATTTAACTGAGATATGACTTGAAGTTCAGATTTTAATTAGATCTCACTTGAATTTGACTTCTCATTTTATACTTAGTTCATTCCAGGAAGAGATCCAGAGTGCTGCTACCTCGCAAGTGTTCACTCAAGTGGAGCTTAGGTTAAACAGTGCCAAAAAAAAAAAAATAAGCCAACGTGGATCTTGATAGAGATATTCCTCTGTGCACATAAAGAGAAGGAGAGAGGAAATCGAACAGAAAACCACGACGCAGGCACTTGACTTTCCAAGCCCACAATCAAGGACAATATTCCTCTAGAGTCGCGTTCTCGCAAGGGGGATGCAAAAGTTCCACGGCGTCCGTGGGCTTTGGGGGCTCAACATTAATCTCATTTGCCCTTGAGAACTCCATTATAGGATCGAGTTTTCGGCACTTGTGCCATACGTGGAAATCAGGATAACTGAGCTTGTCGTTCTTCAACCAACTCCTTGTGAATATACCAACATCGCCATTGCATTGCACCACTTGCCGGAGTATATCAATGCAGTGGTCTATTTGATGTTAGTGGGCCATTTGGCACATTCGAGTTGAATGAATACATTACATACCAACATGATGCCGAAGAGTTTCAGGTCGATCCAGAAATGGCAGTGGGACGTGGCTAAGATTGGAGTAATAGTCATAGTAGGTATATTGGCGTACCAGGTTGACACAGTGTAGCTATTCAAATAGTCAGCTAATAGAACATTAAATAGACAAGTCTATACTAGCCTGATGGAACACCTCTATACCACCAGCATAGCCATCGCCCATCACTTTCGCAACCTTGACCTGAGAAAGAGGTTTCTTTAGCTGTGACATTTCTTCTGGTCGAATCTTGATTTGTGCCACTTTGAAAATTAGCATGAAACCCCATGTAATTGTTATCTAAACAGTGCATACCATGGGTAATCCGATCCCATTCAGCATCCAGACGGGGATTTGGGTGACCCTTGTACAGATTTTCATCATGAACGCTTCCCTGAAACCGAACATTTTCATATTGAACATGGTCAATTAGTGGTGCTATGTTATGATCATTAGCATAAGATAACTAACTTGAACTTGTTTGTGTAAATTGACTAGATCACTGACAGTATGCTGAAATCTGTGCGGCACATTGCTGATCTGTTGGGCGCCAAGTTCGTAAGTTCCAATCCCATACTAGGAGGGAAAGAGAAAAAAGGAAGAAGAGAAGTTGGGAAGCTGAAATCCACGAAAAGCGAGTATAATTTGGGTGTACATCCTTGTTTTTGCCCTTCTCTAGGAGACTTTCACCATTGTCGTTTAGATGAATATCTGCCGTAATCCTTTCGTAGTATCCTGGAGTCATTGCTGCCCATGAATATGAAACTGGAAGGCGATCAGTTGCAGGTTGTGATTGACTCTTTCCACTTATCTGGTGAGTAGACTTTTGTTATGAATGCGTTGGAATTGAAGATAAGATCCGATGGATGTGGCACTGTGTGCTCTACTTAGCACTATGTTTTTGGGTTACATAAAAGCTACAAAAGGAAGTCTCAGCTGAAAGCAAGGCCGAGCAAGAAAGTGAAAGCAGTTAAGATCTACTCTCGGCATCGTAGGTGATAGGTATTACAAGGCTGCATCACACAAGATAGTTACTCAATGTGATATACAATCGATGATATTCAGCTGACTGGGATGCGCCTAGAAAAACAGTGAAAATTAGAGATTAATACCTCAACTACCAATGATAGGGGCATATAAAAGCAACACCTTTCTTCCTCGACTTCTGTCAGGATAAAGCTACCGTCAACAACATAATTCGAGCCTAGTCTGGAAAATTAACAATTTAGTGGTTCATCTTTCTGCGCCCTTATATAATATCTATCCGTATGATAGCACGATGGCACTGTCTTCGGTTCTCTTTTAATAACATCTGAAATAGGCAAATTACCTGCAAAATGCATTTCTCAAAATCAACATTGCTTATAGTTGCCTTTATGTTTGCTTTAAGTGGTGCTGCGCCTACTCAGAGGTCAGTATTCGCCTATATTTCAGATTCATTTATAGCACAGGGCGCTCTAAAAACATCTACAGAGATGTCACTGCGGCGTATGATCATGCTTCTGATCAGGGTGCGGTTGCTGGTCGAGATATCAGTGCACAGTATGACCATGCTTCTACCCAATATGGTTACTCTGATTTGGCTGCTACGGCGCAGTATGACCATTAGCTAGTCTCATGTCTTCTCGAAAGATACATGAGCTGAGAAGAAATGGATTAGTCTCATTCTTTAGCGAGTGCCCACTATGCGTACGAGATTTTTGTAAATTGCATTTATCTTCAACTCAAACCATGCTTCAAAATTATTATCTCGTTTCCGCAATCCCTTTCTACATACACAAGCAGGTATGGTTATTGATAGTTCTATCGCAAGACAAAAGCTGCTGTATGTGATTGAGCCATTGGTGACGAATTAGGTCGCAGTCTTCAACCTAGCAACGTTAACCAATAGGGGTTCCTCTCATAGAAACAATACCCCAGACATTTCCACGTGTAACACCTAACTACTGCTTAAATGATTTGCCGCTAATGATGCATGTGTAGCATGTAGAGGGTAGCACAAATTACTTCGGGTTCAGCTGTGGACCTTCGGAGAGTGAGGGAGGGATAAGGCGACTAGTGATCACTGAAATTTTCTCTACTTCGTGGAACGATGCTGCAGGACTTGTATTTCAGTAAGAATGCACTTATTGCATTCTATTGTATACAAATATTGTAGATCTGGCAGTCAATTGGCCATTGATGGAACCTCTTCTACAGTAGAACTCGAAAATAGTTTACCTCTCAGACACTAACGCTTTGTTTTTCGGTCCGTACCCGAAACAACGCTAATCCTTATTAGGGTTTCTTAACAAGCAAATATGTTCAACTGTAACGAAATTCATGTATGCAGGACATAGATGTTGGTCAAATCGTAAACAGATTCCTAAGAGGGAAATGGAGGAGGAAGTTTGGAGATAGAGAGCCTTTGCATTCGCATAACAGTAAAGAGAAAGTAAAATAGGAAAAACCTATACCAAGGCAGATGGAAAGCAAAAAGAACCATTCGTACTCAGAGCGCAGACTAAAAACAACATAATCAAATAATATGTCAGTGAAGTACTTCCAAAGAGATTCTGTTCAATACTCACATCAATGAAGTTTTTCAAACTGTGGATGTGGTGACTCGAACGTCCCACTAACCACTTACTAGATTCCACTCCTGTCAGTGGCCGAATTCATCACTATCCAGCTAAGTTCATCACTTACAACTATCAACACCACATTCTTGTCAGTACTGTATGCTCAGTCATCTTTATCTAGGTGAGATTCATCACCTACATCCTATCAATATCTCATTCCTATCAGTACTTTGATTTTGCTTGTTTATTTCATTGCACTGGCAGTATTCATACCTTTCTTATTGCTAGTTTGTCCCCCGATGTTGAATGCATAGACGCTGCTGCCACAGCCGTAGCAAGAAATATCGTCGTAAGAAGAGATAGCACCTTCATGTTGAGACAGTTGTCTTGAGTTCGTAAAATTGGACGACAGGCTTCTTTTGATAGTAGGTAAGACTGAGAAGATCTAAGAGGCAAATTTTCGAACTTGCGAGTTGTCAACGACGTATAGTCATGGTTATAAGAGCATTACGCTAGCTAAATCAAGCAAACAGCAGATAACGTGTTCATGAGAGGTCCACATAAGGGACAAGTATCGTGCCTAGGTCATACATGACCTACGCCTCCCTCCTCCTGCATACCAGAAGTATTTGTCCCTAATGCATAGAATATCCCAATCATATCTAGGTCTATGGGTGTACGGAGTACCGGCAGGCTAATAATTAGAATGTCTGCTGGAACAAGGAACGATATTCAATATCTCCATAGCACCTTGCATGAACGTGCCATTATACATATATTGGATAATCAATGTAAGGGGCTCTCTATTTATGCAAGTTCAATTCTTAAACAGAACTGCAAACGCTGATCCACGACTACTTTCGATGCCGTAGGTTACACTGTGCGTATTTACGTATGTCGGTAGATGGATTACAAGCAATGATTGCAAGTAGTACTGTATGAGAGCTAAAGCTAGCTTCTGTTTATACCTAGCAGATGATGATATAGTAGAAACGTGTATAGGCTTTTTCCTATGTAGCGTAGCCAACCAGATTTCTATAGATATGTATGAGCTCGCCTTCATATTATCACTCTATAGTACTGTAAGAGCCTATATACCACTACCAGCTGTGCCAAATGTACATTACAAGGAATATAATGTCACGATTTCATTGTACTCTGCTAGAGCTACGATAGGATGCTCTGGCCATTACACCGCCGTTTCCAAGGTCCACAGCTTTCAGATGGGGCGCCAAGCTACTAGGTACTGCGAGATCACGTGCATTTCCCAATACCTAGCATACCCAGTCTTTCGCCTAGAATAGTTCCATTCACTTAAGAGCATAGTGGTGAGCAAAGGTGAGCAAATGTTATTTTTTCCATCACATCTCGGCGACCTTCTCGCCCTCCGCCCCCCCGAGACTCTGCTAGAACCCTCCTTTTCAAACTTCATCCGGACCATGGCGCTAAGACTTCCTCCTCAAAGCTTGTGTACAGAAAGGTACTCTAGACACCCTAAAGATCATAATAGGACGGATAGGATTCTATGTTTAGGGTTTTATTTATAACCGTACCTAACCGTACCCGGATACTGCTGATAAAGCAGACCAGGCGTATGGTGAGCGTAATAAATACAGTGTTTCAACAGAGGGTTCGGAAAAAATCTATATGTTAAATGTCTAAAAGCATTTTGATCCTTCCTATACATACCGCTTAGATTTCAGTGTCAATGTTATACGCAACCATAAATAAGGTAATATAACTTAAAATCGGAGAGGTAATAAAGATAAATTTCTCGTAATTTAGCGCTTTGCTCTTTAGCACTCTGTCGGGTGGTCCTTTTGGACTAGCTGGATACGAGGGCCATCTAATGCTAGAACAAGTTACTTACATTTAGATTTCATCCTATAGGAATATAGGAATTTCCTCTGATTCAGCCGCTGCTTAGGTGGTACCACCCCCGGGCGCGACCATTGTCATTCAAAGTTCTATTTTTTCTTGAATCTGTCATATATTTACATTACAACTATTCTGTTCCTTGATATGAAGTTTATGGATCCAAGTCCTGGGACAAACTTCTATTTTCAAACACCGTCTACCCGACGCTAAAGCTTGACAAAGCCTTCGGGAAGCTCCTTATGTTCAAACCACGCCGCGGCAGTCTCTGCAAATAGCTGCGGATCCTGACGATTCCACGGATGTCGCATTTTCTTGTGCGTATACGCGATAGTCTCTTCATTCAGCTCTCTCCCGATCGCCATCAACTTCACAGCATCACCCAGGCTATCCTTTGTAGGCACTAACCCCCCTTTCCCCGCTGCAACAATCAGAGTGCGCGCAGGCCATGGTGATGGCCACTGTGTAGGATCCTCCGGTGATACAATCTGGCGACATAGGTCAAGTGTACAGACATTGGTATTAATACGTGGGATATCGGCACCATCCATTGCCCAGCTGATAAGAGGCCGGCTAAGGCAGTTCTCCACACGCGGCATCGCCCACGCTGCGTATGGAATATACGGTGTGAGTGACGTTTGAGGGAACATTCCAAACCCCGAGATGAAAACAGAGTTCACCACATCTGGTTCGGTGCAGGCCAGGCGAATAGCGACCTGAGCACCCAGACTGTGGCCGACAACGTGCGCTGAACAACCATTTGCGTGAGTGCGGATCAGCTGGGCAATCTGTCGTGCTGCGAGATCCACTGAAAACGGCGCGCTGGCGGACTTGCCATGGCCTGGAAGATCTGGGACCAGGAGGTGGTAAGACGTGAGGTGGGGGATCACCAGATCCCAGTAGAGACCAGATACCAAGGCGCCATGGATTAGTACGACGGTGGTCTGGCCGGCGTTATGTGCAGTGTGGTACAGCTCGAGAGACATGGAGAATTGATAGGAGGGCCATTGGGGGGACTCCGACTTCTCTCGGGCGGTGTTCCCGCTTCTAGCATCGGTGGGGTTATGCTCCGTCTCCGACCGATACGAGTTAGGGGGCATGGAGGTGTCTAAACAATCGCAAGTTCCTGCGGATGGTTTTGATCGTTTGTTCGCTGCATTCTGCTGTCTCGGCCATTTGCGAATAGGTTAGTAATTAGCTTTGTATCATATCACTAATAAGATTTGGCTTTAACGGAGATAGTCTCGGTGCTATGTTGCACAGAGATTATAGTAGTTCTTCAATGGTCGTGCTTAGAAGGATTGAGGGGCAGCGGAGATAGGATTGATTATGTGGGAGTTTCGGGTAAGATACGGTATTATACGAAGTGCAGTTGTTCTGTAATAAATAAGGGATTCATTCTTAGGGACGGAGTATTTACGCCGTATCGTAAAGTGGATTAGCGTAGTTTCGGGTACGGCCCGAGAAACCAAGCGCGACTGCCTAATGGGTAAATTGTTTTCGAATTCTACTGTAGCGGCCCGCAGATGCGCCCATCAGGGTCCCATCTTTGTCGAATTTCAGTCAACTTTGCAAATTGGTCATCGCCCCAACATTTGACTTCTCGAACCCGAAAGTCGGTCTCTCCACTAAAGGAACCCGTGCGGAATGGCTCCAACTTCGCCGCTGTCGCCTGCATCCACGATTGGCATTTCTCATCATCGTCTTCGCTCTCGTATAACGCGTATGTGCCGATGTAGTGATCAGATCTTAAGCTGAAGGCCATATCCGGTAGAGGACGAAGACTTTGAGGGGCTAACGGATACCAAAGTAGAGCGAAATGTTTGTCTGTTATTGACATACAGAGTTCCTCGAGGAAAGCAGCCACATCTGCCTCATTGTTGAGAAAAGCATTGTCCGCGAGCCAGCGACGGCCTCCTGGGAAAGCGCTAACTTCATTTGCGTATTCCTTTTCAAAGCTGTCTTCACGGAAGAACCATTCCAGAATTGCACCTTTGGGTCGAGTGAGGTGCGCTGGCTGCAAGACGTTCCAAGCTGCTTCAGCGCTGTCCTTCATTGTGATGAAGGACACTGTCAAACAGATTTCATCAATACCATCAGGAAATTTGCAGACAGCAGAAATTTCTGTGTCTTCGTCAAATGCTGGTATGAGACCAAGGACCCAGTTAAAAGCGTCCAGAATCTGAGCTTTGGGGAATGTGTATCCAGAAGTTATGAAGGCTTTTGGTGCCGGGAGGAGCTGAACTTGGAATTGGGTAACAACTCCTGGGAAATCTGTGGAATATTTATGAGAATCCCATTGAACTTAAGAGAACATTATACCCACAAGGTCCAGCCCCCGTGCAGCCCAGAATAAGTCACTGTGTTCATCAGAAGAACAACGAACAAGCCTTCCATCCGCTGTAACAACATCAAGAGCCTTGACTCGCTCACAAGTCCAGCCCCAACCCTAGAGATTGTCAAACAAAACTCCCACTAACTATAGGGTCTATAAATAGAAAGCAAATTACGACTCACCCTGCAATTCCAGGAAAGTCCTCCTTGAAGCAAGTAGCCGCCGATCCCAACACCTGGGTGGTGGCCCGCACCAAGGATCAACCCATACTCTTTCATCAACTCCATGTCTATGTCACTTTTCATTCCGGAGGAGATCCACGCTTCTTTCTTTGCCACATCAACTTTGATTTCACGGTAGTCACCAACATCGATGAGAATAGAATTATCGCTTAGACTCCATCCCGGGTACGAGTGACCGCCAGAACGAACATTGACTTGCAAGTTCAGATTTTGGGCTAGTCGAACTGCCTCGACTACATCAGATTCCGATTTTGCGCGGACAATAGCTGTTGGATGATGGTCGGGGTGACGAGCAGTGAATACTCGAGCCAAACGGGCCTCTTCGTACACGTCGTCGGAAGAATTGTTGCGCCAAATGATATCCATGATTGATGAAAAGTAGAAAAGGATGATACCTATAATATACTAACATTCGAGAATATCTGGTCTTAAATAAGTGCAAGAAAACATACACACAAATCATATAATCAGGAGTGATGCAATGCAGCTACCTAATCGGCCAGGATACAGGGTGGCAACACGAATCGAATTCCATGCAGTGTCGCACAGCCAATATTTTGTCTTGCTCCAAATTTCCATGTCCTTTCCATACATGGTGTACGCGATGAACGCGCTTCGAGCATGTCCAGTCCTCTGGTTGAGTAGCTCATTTAAACAAGATTTTTATTGAATGCTAATTCAACTCAATACATACGGAACACCACATCGAACCTTCATAGATGCCTCTTGTTTTGGCACTTGTTGCCAAGGGAATGCCTGTCTGATATATGCACGTACATACCAATCTGTGCATTGACGTACATATCTTTCAACTCGTGACGATGTGAAACTCTATGTTGTCCTACTTAACCAAACTATATGATACAAGGACAGTTATTTCTCACTATTGTTCAGATTCTCGAGATTAGTTCAATAATTTATGACGTTTGCATACTGAAGATCTCAAAGTTAAATCTCTAATTGTACTTTGTACGACATTCCACCGAGTTTGTCTCCTAATAAGTGGATCGATGGTCTTCGAAGCTAGTTTCCAAGCCAAGCTTTTGAGCATTTCAGTCCATTTTACACTGCTGGGATTGGGATATTGATTAAGTTACAATAGCATTTTCGTCATTATGCTAAGATTGGAATCCTTCGAGCTGCAGGTCATTCAATCACTTCTCAAAGATATCAAAAAATGCGTTGTGAAATTTGAAACAACAAACTCGGATCTGGCACGAGTTCAAGCACTTGAAAATTGTCTGAAGTTGACCACGGCGCTTGAACACCCTAAAGATGTGATTCTGAAGTTGTTTCTTTCTGTGAGTTGTACAGCTTCGAGTAGTCTAAGCAAAGCTCACACTCATTAGCCTACCAAAGCTATGGCAGTCAAGATTGCTCATGATATTGGTCTATTTTCGATTTTGACCAAATCAGAAACAGATATTTCTTGTGAAGTGTTGTCTACCCAGAGTGGTGCACACCCACTGCTAGTCGGTTCGTTACCATTGCCACTTTATTTTCTGATCTTTCTGCTTCTAGTTTCGTCACCTAACATTCCGTGCCGATCTGATATAATTCTCTAAAAGAACGAATCATGCGTGTTCTCGTCGCATTGGATTTCGCCAAAGAGCATGGTCATAGAAAGTATTCTCCAACTCTACTCTCCAAGGAGATGACAGACAAAACGTCTGGTGGTATTGTCGATACGCTGTATGTCAGAACTTTGTTGTTTCATTCTTCTTCTGTGCCTAATAGATTGACATGTCCAATCAAGTTTCATTGACTTAGCTCCAGCCATTCTTAAAACTCCAGAATTTCTTCGTGAGACAAACTATGAAAATCCCGAAGATCACTCAGCTGGGCCCATTCAATATACCTACAACACCAAGATGACATCCTTTGAATGGTTAGCCAAGGACCCAGCCGTCCATGAACGTTTCCAAGCCTATGTGGAGGGCACTCGAGAGAAACGGCCGTATTGGGTTGATTGGTATCCCGTCCAGCAGAGAATATTAGACCACTACTCCGGCAATCAAGATGATTCACTTATTATAGATATTGGTGCCGGCAGTGGACGTGACATGTTGGCATTCAAGAGAAAATTCCCCTGTACAACTGGGAGAATCATCATTGAAGACCTTCCAGCTGTGTTCAATGATGTTCACTACCACGATCTAGGACTCGAGAAGATTGGATATGATGTCTTCACTCCTCAGCCTGTCAAGGGTAAGCTAGCAAGTATTCTCGCAGTCTTGAGTCTCGTTTCACTAATGCATCCTGACAGGAGCTCGTGTCTACTTCCTCAAATTTGTCTTGCATGAATTCTCCGACGAAAACTGCAAAGAAATACTCACGAATATCGTCCAGGCAATGAAAAGAGGACATTCCAAGATTCTTATTGAGGAATTCATTCTCCAAGATGAAAATGCAGGTCTATTTCATTCAATGGTGGATATGATTTTGATGGTTTTCGGTCCGGGTATTGTCCGCACAGAGACAAGATGGACTGCGATTCTCAAGTCCGTAGGGCTTACTGTCAATAAGATTTTTCACCCTGACAGTGATGGTCCGTCTATCATTGAGGCTGAATGATGAACCGCTCAACTCAGGTTGATTCCGGCTACGGACATGCGTGGACTTAATGAAAAAGCCTAGGTTACCGAATGGCCCAGAGTCAACAATATCATGCCAGGTTGGATACTGATGTTAGGTGAAAGCCATTCCTTAGAAGGACGTACAGTATGCATTATGTTATGTTGTATTCCATGCAACTATGTACATCTGTCTGGGGTTCATGCATTCGCTTTCTACCGCTTGGTGCTATTTTTTAACATCTCATCCAAATGCTACAGGCCAAATTAGTTTACCATATATAAGAGCTTCCAATTGAAGTACTCACCTGCTTCTGCTCAATCGCTAATTTGCCTTGGGTATCCTATCTCCGGTTAGCAGGCAATCCCAGAAGGCACAAATGACCGACATACACTAATGATGGTTAAAATCAATGAATAATTGTTGAAGAGGAAGCGCTCTCTTCGCTTTGCATCCGTGCCATTACGGCTTAGCTTAGCCAAAAGCGAATCAAATTCAGCTGTCAACCGAGCCAAACTGTTGGAAACCGGCTCGTCGTCGCCAGCATCACTACTGAGAACGAGGATTCCATGGAGAAGCTGTCCAAATCGCTGGGTCAAAAAGTGTGGAGCCGATGACTGCTTCAAGTCATCTCCGCCTGCAAGGGAAAGCGCCGAAACAGCACTGCGCCCAGTGTTGGACCCAACGCGCTTCAGCGAGTCACCGTGATGATCCATGATGACTTGAAAGCGTGGCCATAATTGCATGTTGGTTCCATTCACATATGAGTCGGCGACTGGGACCTTGCGGCGCTGGAGTTCGAATGCTGAATGCTGGTTGAGACGAACACACATCAGCACTCCTAAAGAGTCCGTGGTTTGTTCGATTAACTTTTTTGTCAGCGTTTGACCAAGAGTGAACACCTGCTGGAAGATTTCCACAGTGTTGCGAGAGATTTGATGAAATGTTTTCGCGGAGAAAAATTCTGTAAGGAAAGAGTATTCGGCACAGACATTGTCTACCAATGCAAGGTTGAAGTTACGGAAGGGGACTTCAATCCCATGATAGTTATTATCTTCTTCGGCCAAGTAAGAGGACAGAGCTTGAAGATTGCCGGTTCGGAGAATATCGATTCGTCTACCCAAAGAAAAAGGATCATGTGCGACAGAGCCAGCTCGGCCGCCAGAGATGATATTACCTGTAAAACGTCAGTAGATGAGTGGGAGTAAATGGGTGGAAAGCCTTCACCTGTCCGATGTGTGGAGGGATCACCTCCAAGCACCTCGTTGCGGTCAGGTGGATAGATCTTGATCTTATCCAGCGCCTGAAGATAGCGCGTAAAGTGCGATGTATAATACCAGCGCATTGTGTTAATGTATGCCTGTGAAATCTCTCCCGCCAGCTTCGGGTGGGCTTTCGAAATATAGCTGTATAGATCTTTGAACCTCACCAATCGCTGTTGCTGAATGATCTGCGAGTTGATATTTGGGGATCGCATTGCACGGATTTGCGATACTAGATAATCTCTGATCCTTTCAATGGCCTAATGAGAGGTCAATCCAGCCCTGGCTTTCTTTTGCGGCGGTGTAAGAAATACTCACTTTGTCCTTGACATCAATCAAAAGGGGACGGACATCCTCGACGGCCTTGAATCCGTTGTTGGAGGCAGCCGCTTTCGCTTCGATGTTTGTTGTCCGAGTGTCGATTTCGTTCAAGGCACGCACCCAATTCTCATCAATTGGACCCTCGACAATTGTCCGCACGGCTTTCGGAGAGATGCTGATCTCTTCCACGGCGGGTCCCAGCAACCTTTCGACATTGCGCCTATTCTCTAGCATTGCATTCAATTGCGTTGAGCGAGATTGTAAGGTTTCGATCTCTGCTGATACGGCACCTAGTTCGGTTTGGAAGTCATTCAAGTACAGCTCAACTGACTTGGAAACCTCATCACAACCGGTGATCGATGTGTGTAGTTCCTGGAACTTGTCTCGCTCTTTCTCAAATTGATGTACGGTTTGTGCATTGATATCGTTGTCTCGGGTCTTTCTCCGAGGTGCCGGTTCCTCCTTTTCCAGAAAGTCCTCTAGACTCAGCCCGTCAAAATGAATGGCTTCCACCAACTGCGCGGGCCGTTCCAGCCCCGATAACGGATGCGGAGCATTTTTATCCGTCTGAGATTCCTTTCCGATGATTTCGTTCAAGACATCCAACGGATCGGGAACATTGGCCGGTCGAGGTCGTTGAATACTTGTCTGCTTCAATGGAGAACCATTGGTCGCACGTGCAGTTGCTGGTAGTGACGCGGTAGAGTCGTTTGGGGTCGCAAGAAGAGAGGTTGATGAAGTTCTAGGAGGTAGACCAGGGCGATTATTGTAAGGACTCGGGGAAAGCTGGGAGGATGATCGTCTTGGTAAAGGAGAGAGGTTGCGACTATTGGCTCCGGCGGAAGTGGGTTGGCCTGAAATGCGGTCACGCCACATTTTGCTTGAAGGTGAACTTCATGGAAATCCAGAAAGAACAGGCGAAGGATCAAGAAATTACCCAAGGATCTCAATAAGTTGTCAATAAGTTGTTAAGTAGTTCAACAAGGACACTCGGATACCTATATACACACTAAGCCAAATCAGGTAATAGCCAATCAGGAAGCGACCCCGCCACCGCGCCCACGAAAATCTATTAATCGTTTGATTTTCTCTTCTTTTCTTCTACCTTTCCCCTCCCCATCCCAAATTCTTTGTCTATCCTTTTTTTCACCTTTCTCTTAATCTATTCACCATGTCTGCCGAGGAGGTACGTGTTTCCTTTTTGCTACCTCAAGAACCCCCCAATGGCTGTATTGCGCAGGATTTTTTGTCCAGCCCCGCATGCGGCTCCCCCTCTCTTCTCTTCTCGAGGGCACGAGGCCATCTTGGGCCTCTAACCCCGCCCAGTGCCATATTTGAAAGCGCCGAAAAGCTGACATATTATACTATAGCACGATGTCACCTTCGACTCCGCTGATGCGGGAGCCTCGCTCACTTACCCCATGCAGTGCTCTGCTCTTCGCAAGAGTGGCCACGTTCTGATTAAGGGCCGTCCCTGCAAGATCATTGACATGTCCACTTCCAAGACTGGAAAGCACGGTCACGCCAAGGTTCACCTTGTCGCCACCGATATCTTCACCGGCAAGAAGCTTGAGGATCTCTCTCCCTCCACCCACAACATGGACGTCCCCAACGTCAGCCGTAAGGAGTACCAGCTCGTGAGTCCCTCTGCCGCAATGCAAATGATGAAATACCGGTCATTTTATTGACCAAAATTAGCTCGACATCACCGAGGACGGCTTCATGTCCCTCATGACCGACAACGGTGACACCAAGGATGATGTTAAGGTTCCCGACAACGAGGTTGGTGAGAAGATCAACCAGATGTTCACTGTGGACGACAAGGATTGCAGTAAGTCTCACAACTGCCTAATTATATGCGAGAATCATTACTGACACATTTCTTTTAGACATCGTCATCCTGAGCGCTATGGGTGAGGAGATGGCCATGGAGTGCAAGGAGGCCCCCAAGTCCGGTTAAATTTAATACCTGGATCTATTACTTGTTATGCCAACCTTATGTTCCACGTGGGCTCCGACCCCCCAAAATTTCATCTTTCATGGTTCAACGGAGGATACGATTCCTTGGACGGTTTCTCTCATTGCTTCAAGATCTGTCCACTCTATAGCCTTGGATGTGGGCTGGAACAAGAATTGGTTTGATTGGCAAATATGTGTTGTCCGAACAGTTCTTGAGTCCCAGCATCTCATGATAGTGTGACGAATTACTAAATACTCAAAGTTTGCTCGAGCTTAGCATCTGAGAATTTGCATTGAAAATTTATGTAGAAATGAACGTAGGAACTGAATTAATCCAAGTAGATCTAGACCAAGGTAAAGAATATATATATATAAACATTGCTCCAGAAACCAAACCAATCTAATCGTCTGAAAAAACAATCAATCAAATGTTGCGCATTGCGGGACAAGGTGGAGCGACAAAATCGGCGGTCACTCGGAGTAAGGCAGAAAAAAGTTGCATCTCTAAACCTTCCCCAAACAAGCATGAACAAATCCCTTGGGGATGGACTACGTTACCCGAGGGGTCTGCGGTCAAGAAGGATGCCGTGAAAGACGTTATTATCTTGACAATGGTCTCTGGTATTGTCGGCGCGGTCACTTGCAGGAGGTATGACGTCCATGTCTTTTTCTAATCCTATCACATCGCGAAAGGAAACAAGGCTAACCTGTATATCTGATGTAGGGTGTTCAAGTCGCAGATGATGACAACGATTTTGGACATCTAGGCAAAGTCCATCGCGTAAGGAAAGAAATTAAGGAGAAGACCTCCAAAAGTATGTAAAAATGACATTAAAAATCTTCAGCACTCCCTCTTTTGCTAACTTCGCTTAATAGCACTTCGTGGCCGACCAGCATGGACGCTGTTCTTGCAAACTTACCAGCTTATTCTGTGGAAGCAATCTTATGCTTTGGTTCATGAAAAAGGCTTCCCAGAAGAACTCGAGGTATGCGCCTATGCCCAATCTGCGTGACGAAAGATCAAGGGCTCATCATTCTAGATTGTTGTTCGCGATCTCTGGGCTCTGCGACTTCAAGACTATAAATTGAAGATCACTTCTGCTACCGACGATACAGATGGTGATACTGAACCTGAGGTGTTCAGCTCGCAGCCTGGTGAGCAGGATGAATCCGGGTTGGGATTCAAACCAAATTCAAGATATCTGCAATGGCCTCGTTTGCTTGATTCCGTTGCACTATGTTATCTTGCTGCGCTTTTGATGCGGCTTCCAGTCTGCGTCAATGATTTCTACGAGTATGTATATCATTCCCTCTTCGCGAGCCTGAAATTGACCCTCGAGGGAATTTCCATACTTACTGGTTTTCTAAGCATGATCGTACGGCAAGAAATTCCATACGCACGAGTCCTGGCATCTGTCCCTTTAGAAATGCGGGAGAGGCTTCCACCTGAGCTCACTGGGATTCTCGAGGCGAATGTGAGAAATCTTTTTACCTCCAACATTATCCGAAGTTCACGCTGACCCAGAGCAATCAAGAAAATTCCAAAGCCCGAACATCTCCATCACGGTGTACAGTCTTTAGCTTTGTTTTATCAACGCCGTTTCGAGGTGGCTCTTCCTCCTCTGAATTCGCCCATACTGATTTTCCGGCACATCAAAAGATTGGCTCTGCCAAGTAAGTACAGCATCTTCCCAATGCAATTTTCTTCGGCTAACACGCTTTAAGTCGAGATATATGATGTCGTCAAGACCTTGCAAGATCTACTTGGTGTCACATTTCAATATCCGAAGCCAAAGGCAGCCATCGAACGAAAGAAGTCACATTTTCTTCCTGATGTGCAATTGGTTGTTCTCATCACAATTGCTACGAAATTAATTTTCCCATTCGATGATTTGAAACGGTATCCTACCAACAATAAAGAGCCCGCTGCACAGATCATGGACTGGTCTCAATGGGCACATGCCCAAAAGGGTTTCTCCGCCGATTCTCACTTTGCAGAGAACATTGGGAAAGGGACTGCGATTCACGTCACAGACCAAGATGTGCTGAATATGACCCCCGAGCAAATGGACAACTACATGGATTGGTACGCAAGCGACTGGCTAGATACTTCCAGGACCCCTGGTCGCATAGCCGAAATGTTCCCCATCAATCGAGTGGGGGCCACGCAACCAACCGCTACAACTGCCCCAGAGCCGTCTTCTACCCAGGATGCTGCACATGATACAATACAAGAGAAACTTGACATGTTATTACACAAAGTCATACAGGATCTCAGACCCAGACGGGTAATCCCTGAAGAAGACCATGAACCCAAGCGTCCCGGTGATATGTACTCCCGGTATCGATGGGAATCGCAGCTCAGTGGCGCGGCACGGACCTTTTACGAAATAGCCGCCAAACTTGCTGCGGTTCCGTTGAAAACATTTGTCCGCGCCGTCACACTGACCGAAATCCACATTGCACAGATAGATGAGAAGCGACAGCACCGGGAGTACTTCGCTAATCAGGGAGTGGAGGTCATTGACAGCGATGATGCTGACGAGGATTATGCAATGGACGAATTTTGACTTGAGAGTCATGAAAACCGATGTGACTTGAACAATTCAGGTGAACATCAAGTTGGGTATACCATATGGCGTTGGTGTAGGCGTTTACCCTGCCTGATATCTTTTTTCCCTTCAATTACTACCCTTACTACCTTTAGTACTAAACATCCCATAAATGATGGTTCTCTTTCTATCGCTGAACTGTATTATTACCTTTAGTTGTAGGATATGTTACTTGCATACCTATTATCTTTTTTAGTGACATGATCAGCTGAGCAGAAAGTGAAATAACATTCCTTGAATTATGCCATGTTTGAACAACAAATCTCAAAGAACGTCGTCATTACATTATTATTAGACCCATATATGCATGGATCCTATTATCATTGGCTAGTGGGGTTTGGCTCCGGAGTCGGGCCGGGGATGCTTACATCATCAATACCCAAAGAGGAATGCAACTAGGGCTTAGGGCCACAGATCGGTCCACTCTTTGCTAAGCGAGCGAAATCCTCAAATTGACAATCGCCTGCTCCGCCTGGAACACAGCGACCGACAGCCGACACCAACGAGAACTCGCAACCAGTACGTGCTATACACCCCCTCTAACAGCATATATGTATCGTTATGGATCCAGCCAGCTAACATCGTCTTTTCCGCGCCGTTCCAGTGCAGATGTAGGTCACCCTGAACCACCCAAATGTCATCGCGAACCGTACTCTCGATTATCGCCCGCACGACCCAAAACGAAGGCAAAATGAGCATGGACTAATACGGTGCGCTATAGTTTCGTCAAGACCCTGACGGGTAAGACCATTACCCTGGATGTCGAGTCCAGCGACACCATCGACAACGTCAAGACCAAGATCCAGGACAAGGAGGGCATCCCCCTGACCAGCAGCGCCTGATCTTCGCCGGCAAGCAGCTCGAGGATGGCCGCACTCTGAGCGACTACAACATCCAGAAGGTATGCGATCGACTTGAATATTCTTGATTTGGACCTGAAGTGGGGGGCGCTTTGGTATATCGGGTGGATCGAATATCCGACTTGTTCATCAATGGATGACCTTGATTCCACACCGAATATGCAAGAGCACGAGCTACCACTTCGTTTCATGGTCTATGGTCTCCGACTTGATGGAATAGTGGCTAATATGGGATTTCGCCTGGTTATAGGAGTCCACCCTTCACCTTGTCCTCCGTCTCCGTGGTGGTATCATTGAGCCTTCCCTCAAGGCCCTTGCCTCCAAGTACAACTGCGACAAGGCCATCTGCCGCAAGTGCTACGTACGTTCATTCCGTTCCCCTTCGCCTTCGTCCGCTGCTTGTCATGAGACTGCTTTCGAAGGCAAATACGGCAAATTACGTCAAATCAATGTACTAACAAGAAGCTACAGGCTCGCCTCCCTCCCCGTGCCACCAACTGCCGTAAGCGCAAGTGTGGCCACAGCCCCCAGCTCCGCCCCAAGAAGAAGCTCAAATAGACGATTCGCTCCTCGGTCTTGTGCTCGGTGTGCTGTGGTGCAGATTCCAGAGATGGGGAATGGCTGGACTGCTACATGGAGAGGATTACAAATGGCGTTAGATATGATGACAAAATCAATGCAGCCACAGTCATACTTTTTCTAGTTGGCTCCTCTCACTGACCAAGTTGCACTCCATGAATGAAATGTGTAAAATTCAAAAAGTCGAATTGTCTCACGTCTCCAATTCCATCTGTGGTAAATACAGAGTACAATACATTCATGCGTTTCATGAAAACGCCTAGACATCTTGAAACCTGCGAAACCTGCTGCCTGAGCAAGGCTGACGCAACGACCAGTATTCCAAAACATGGCTTATCCCCCACTATGCCATGAACATCATCCCCCGCTTGTCATCCTTCTTGTCGTCATCATTGGTCGTCTCCTTGTTCTTCTTTGAGACGGGGCTCCCATGACTAGTAGAAACGTCAGTCTTTCAATTCGTTGGGAGATAAACTGTAAAACTTACGCAAAGAAAAGCACCTTGATGGCAATGGCCAGTGCCGCGTGCAGAACAACAACCAAAATCAAAAGGATCTTGCTGGCCTTAGCATCCGTAGCATTCAAAACCGGGTACAAGTTCCGCAGAAGGAAAAAGACAGTCCAAGCAAAGCCAACGCCAACAAGCGCCCAATTAAGCGCAGTCAATGGACTCCAGCTCACCAACGCAACAGCAATCCAAACCAAATTCGAGTACCCGTACAAAGCCCAGCATTCTATAAGGTCAGCCGTGGAGCTGCCGAACCAACGCAGCGCACCCCACAACGCAATGGGCAAGATACCCGTATACCCATAGATCAACCCGGCGGCACCGGAGAGCAGCGTAAAGTCATACTCGAAGTGCTTGTCGTCATTGTTCGACAGCCATTGCGAGATAGTACCCGTCAAAAACAGAATCACAACCACCGTAGTTGCGATCCAAATTGGTCCGTAGAGGTCTGCATTACCCTCTAGCACATCAAGGAAGTTGGTACGCGGGTACAGGGTAGCAACACAGCGGCGGAAAACCTCGTTCGTATCGACATCGAAGAACCGCTCATAGTAGTGCAGAGACCACCAGCTGTGCTTGGTTGGTGTGCCGCCAGGGGATCGGTCGCGGTTGCGCGACGATCCGCCGCCCAGGAACGGGGCTGAGTCGCCTTGGGGTTTGGCGTTTCTTTGGTCGCTTTCGAAGTCTGTCGGATTTGTTAGTTCAAGAGCTGGAAATTCTCCGTTTCGGACTTACTAGACGAGTGGAATTCGAGGTCTTCTTGCAGGTCGGTATGCCCGAGGTCGCCCTTTTGGACGGTTAGATGCGATTTTCCATATTTGTTCAAACTGTCTTACCTCAGCATCCACGTCTACTACGACATCATAGCCTCTGTTTGCCATGGTTGTTGTGTTTGAGTTAAGCTGTCGAGCTGTTGGAAGGGGAGTGGTTAAGTACACATCAGCTCCCGCAGATAGAGCCACCGCTCAAGCCACAGTTGCGGGTCACTTGTAGTGCCATGCACCAACTTCATATCATTTTCCGCATACTAGTCACAGTGTGATGAATGCACTCTGAATTATTATAGATGTTTCTATATTTGACTGAATGATCGGGTTCGGTAATATTATGCTATTTTTTGGGGTTCTCTCATAATCATACAGGTACGACACCAGATGCTAGAAAATTAGATCCAGCGCTTAAGTGCTCTTTGAACTCGGCCAACATAGTACCAAATAGATGTGTCCAATCCCTTTTTGCCAATGTAGAAGGACGCAGCTCCGACCAAGATTGCCAGCGCTACAGATCCCACAGAGCGACGGTGACTCCACAAAAAGTCGATAGCTTGTTTCCTGCGCTCCTCGGTGCGGATCTGCTGGGATTGCTTGTCAAACAGGTATACTGCATCTTCAACAGTAGCCTTGCGATATCGATCACGCGAGGTTTTTAGCACGCTACACCAGGGAATGTGTTTCCAGGCTCCCAGTGGCAAAGACTCTGGTGGGTGGTCCTTGAACAGACGTGTAGCATGCAGAATGTGGCCGTCCAGATCAAGCGGAGTTGGAAGTTTGGAAAGTGTGAAATGAAGCATCTCAGGTTCGTCCTCGGGAATTTCTAAGAGCTCCTTCTTCCTAGATAGGATCATCGCCGCGATGAGGTAGATTGCAACCACCGGTTCCTGTGCTAGAAGAAAATCGAAAAGCCTAGCGATGTTGCTGTATTCTTGAATGTCATGGGCATATAGTGTAAGGGTAGCTGCAAGGGCAAAGAATGGTTGGATGTTGCCAAGGCGTTGTCTCAGCTCGGGATCTGTTGTTTCAATGATTGCTGGGATCAGATGTAAATGTTTCACCGCTGGTGAGAGTGATGGGAGCATGTAGTCTCTTATGCGGAAAAGAGATATCTGGGCCACGGCTGGCAAGGCCTTCTTCTCGCCCAATACCAAGAGAAGGACTTGCACTATGTCATGATATCCTTGGAAGTAGCACAGCATAGGATAGTTTCCGAGAACATGCTTTATCAAATTCGACAACTCGTGTTTCTTCTTCTGTAATTCTTCCGCCGGGGCTAGTTTTGGTCAGCACATATATCTCCACAGATGTCTCTATGGGTTTGATAACATACCGTTTTGGGGGTAGTACACAAATGATCGATTCACGTCGAGATCAACTTGCTCCTTCTCTGCCTCCTTGTCTGCATGGGGTGGAATCTGGGTCACAGGTGTTGTGTTCATATGTTGTAATTGCTCATCGCATCGTAATAAAATGGGCCCTATATTATTGGTTAGCCAAAACCACATTCCTAGAGCGTGGGCCAACTTACATGCAATTTTTCGAAGCTCATCTTCTAGTAGCCCTCCTTCCGATGTAGCGTGCATAACCAATGCTTCCACATCGTGTTCTGTGCATGCTCTGCGGATGGCACTTGCCTTTTTGGTTCTTTGATTTGGAATTTCTTGTGATCTGAAAGAAGGCATTGACTCCTTTGTCTCATTTAAGACTTCACTGAACTCTTTTTCCGACGTTGCCGCGGGGATAGACTGATTCCGTTCGATTCTGGAGTTTTCCATTCTTTGTTTCTCACAGGGGGTTTCTCCCCCAGAGGATGATACGATTGGCTCAATGATTGACCACCGGGCTGAGATGCAGATACAGAAATCGAGGTTCCTTGTCCTGATTTCTTCTCTCGAACTAAACAATGAAGGCTCTCGTTAAAACGTTTTGATATTGAGCTTCAACATGCATTGGCACTGCAGATATAGATCGACTGGATCTTCTTGCCCAGGCAACGAAATGGCGTTCTCAGCACAACAGCGTGATGCCAAAGATCTGAAATAGTGTATTACAGACCTTACAAATTTGCGATATCGTTGAACGTGCACTGATTTTTCACATAGAGCTGGACATGTGAGTCTGGAGGTCGAAGGCGGCGCAGGCCCAAAGTCCCACTTTTTGGCCTTAGGCGCCGATCGGCAGCCGCGACATGTTTTCGCCGATAACAACACTCGCCTTTTGATGTGGTTTTGGGCTCGCGTTTAATCGCTTCGTGATATTCTTTGCAATATCTCGGTCACTTTCATCCCGTATTTGATGCTGTATGATTTCAGCGTTCATCGGATACGCGGGTCGCAAAGCCCACAGACAGTGATTGCATTGCGGGTGCCCACTCACATTGCACAGCTGTGGCCGGCTACCCATAGGTCTAGGATAGCACGGCTTTCCTCCCTCTTGGGGCTGAATAGCCAGTTGAACTTGGAACGGAAACAGTTTGGATGATTAAAAAAAACAGCTGAATATTTTGCGGGTGAGCTGTAAGTCTTGGTCAACTTAGTTCCTCCCACACTGGAAATACATCCATGCATATGTTAACAAATGATACAGGGCTTGCCTAACTATAACTGCAGCTCCTGATCTATGAAACCCTATGACTTGCGTATCGAAGTTCAGTCTGAGGCCACAATTGGTCTAATCCTGAGATACCCCGCTCTTTGCATGCAGAGTGTCAAGTTCTTGATCTAGAATCTGAGTTGCTGTGACATATCGCAAAGATTCACAGCGGAGTGTGCACTTAGAGGCTCTAGGTTATAAGTGAGAAATTTCAGGTGGTGTTCCATATCATTGTCGATATCGATATCGACATCGATACACAATCCTTAATACCCGTGGACATCTCTTCTCTTATTTCGCCCTCATCATCTCTTCGCAATCATCTAAACGTTCCTGCCATCGATCTTTTTCTTCATTTCCTACGCATTCATCGCTTTATGCTTCATCTTTTTCAATCGTTGTGAATCCCATTCAACCAGCAACATGTCTCAACGCCATAATCACCCGTTGCCTCCGCCTTCAGAGGGTCTATTGACCCAGCCAATCATCTCCAGTCCCGCCATTAATTGTATCCTTCCAGCGCGCCTTAGAAGTCAGTACCACAACGATGTTGTCTTCGTTGGAGAACGACGGATCCAGATCAAGGAGGCCCATCCTAGTGGTCACCTTGAAGATGTTGTTGAAAATACAGACTTTGATGGCTCGCCTCTTGGGGCAAAGATTATCAATGTCAATACTCACTTGCCTTGGCAAACTCAAGTACCTTCATCAAAAAGTTCCGATCATATCCAGGATACTCAAGATATTCCCCCTCATATTCTTTTCATGGCCACTGATTCACATGAACTGCTTTTCATGTACTACTTGATGAAGGGGTATGGCCGATTCGTATCCTATCGCCGACCGTTACCACGCGACGTCAATCTGTCTGAGAAGTATGGCAGACATATTGCAGTTGATCCAAAGTGAGTGATATCTTCCAGTTGGTCTGTTTCCTTGCAAATGTCTCACAAGATGATTAGGTCGCGCGCGGTTGCAGTCAGTGCGTCGCGTAATTTCTTCGCTATATATTGGCTGGAAACACCCAGTGAACTTCAGCAGCAGATGGCACTTGGGAATCTCAACCCAATCAAGAGCGTATATGGCCCCTATTGTGGTGTTCTCTATGCATCAATGCTAACTGATCATCAACAGGAAAAATACCTGCAAGTGGACGGCGATATTCTTTTCATGGAATTTCTTTACCCCAAAACCATTAATGACAAACGGACCCTTTTGCTTCTCATTGTCCATAAGAATGAAGCAACACAGGCTATGGTTTTTGAATGGGAGGAACCCAACATGCACAGCCACCTCGAACCCAATGTGACCACCACCCATCTTCATTCACAAGACTACCTGCCCAGCATGATCATTCCTCTAGCCAAGGAGTCTTCATACCTTCTCATAACCACACGATCAATGGCAATGTACACCCCCAACAGCTCGTCTCGTCCTATGAGATATCCCCCAATAATTCCTGATACTAGAGCTCATCAAGTCGGGATTTGGACTCGTTGGGCAAGGCCTTCACGTAACTGGCTATACAGCCAGAGATACGATGGAATATTTCTCTCTCAAGAAGATGGCTGGATTTATTATCTTGAGTTTGGCAGTGATGGTGAACTCGAAACCCAGACCTCTTTAGGCCAACTTGACTGTGATATCGACACGGCTTTTGATATTCTCGACATGGGCTATGAGGGCGGTGATTTTATTTTGGCTGCTGGAAGTCAGGGCAATGGTGGTCTGTTTATCCAGGAGGCACGGAACCACCCGATATGTGTCCAGCGATTCATCAATTGGGCACCTGTTACAGATGCAGCTGTGGTGCCCTCCGATACTCAAAGTATTGCCAGAGGCGGTCCATCCCGCGATAGACTTTTTGTCTGTTCGACCTCTGCTTCAGGTAAGGGGGCTATCAATGAGCTCCGATATGGCATCGAGGCTCGGATCGGTGTTCATGTTTCCCTCGAGCGCGGGTACCCTGCACATGATCTGTGGGCGATGACAGCTCATCCCGCGAGTGCGATCTACCTGATGATTTCTGATCCAATCTCCTCTCTGCTCCTTCAAACGACACCCGAAATGGCAGATGGATTCCATTCTTTCCAAAATGAAGATGGTTGGGGTCTTGAAGAAACCCTAGCAATGGGGTGTACATGTTTTGGTGCTATGGTGCAGGTCACAAAGAACGCCATTCACGTTTTTGTACCTGGGAAGCCTACCATGACTCATGCTATCAAGCATGACCCCGACTCTCATGTCACAGCCGCTGCTGTTGATGGACCCAACCTCATCATGGCAGTAGCTACAAGGAATAGCAAGGGAAACTTTATTCACGTTATCCGGATCATAAAGGACGAGGACGAGGAAAACGGTTTGATTTCTTTGATTAGTGATTCCCCATGCCAAATAGAGAAAGAGCCTATATGTATCTTTCTCCAAAACTGGGGCACTTCCGAGCTCATTTTTCTTGGAACTGGCGACGGCACAGTGCTGTCATTCGAGGTCTCTGCCTCTGTAAAGGAGATCAAGCAACATGTTGAAACGCAGATCGCATTCGAAATCGGCCATGACCTGTCGAATGCAATTTCAAGCATCACTGCGATCCGGGCTTTATCTGCCAATGGGGTGTGTGCGCTTCTATTCTGCGGCATGCGCAGTGGCATCCTTGTCCCATTTGACATGGTTATTAATGCGGACGGTTTTGGGGGTGAGTTACCATCTATCAGATATCACAATCACTTGATATTCATTTTACTAACAGTTTAACTTTCAGGTCTGAGACAAAGATCACCAGAGCATATTGGGCAGACACCAATCAAGCTCCAGACTCAAGGAGAAATTGCCTTGTTCACTTGTAAGGATGATTTCTGGCGTATCTCATTTTCACCAGACATCAAAGGCCCCGGCTATGTCCTGTCTCGTGTTTGGATCACTGACCAAAACCACGTGAGCATTATCCTGTCCGGTTATAGTTTTTCTGAATGTGATCTGACATTTATAACAGCCTGCATATTTCCCTTCAAGAATCTCAAGCTTTTCCCTTCTCAACTCAAATGGCCTTCATTCTGGAGTCGCGGATGCCTCCCTGTTTGTCTATGCGGACGGTGAACTTCTGGTGTGCTCCCTTGACACAGAGGACAAGCCTGTTTCTCGGCGCATCGACATCCCAGGAAACCCCAACAAATTGGTCTACTCTGAACACCTTCGGAGCCTCGTTGTCTCCTATAGCCACGCTGAAAATGAGAACCAACAGACACCTCTCGATATCACCAGAAGGTCATACCTTGAGTTCGTGGATCCGGATTCCCAGAAACCCGTGGCTCTGTATAACGAGCGAAGATCTATTCAGGGTCTGAACCCATGGAGGCCAAGTGGAAGTCCTGGAGAGAAAATAACCTGCATATTTGACTGGATGCCTGAAAAGGATGGCAATGCATATCATCTCATTGCAATTGGGACTTCTATCCCGACACCTCATGACCCCAGAGAACGCAAAGGTCGCATTGTGCTACTGCAGGCATCTAGGGAGACCAACTCCCCTGAAAGGATCATCTGCGTAGAGAAGCATATGCGGGTGTGCCCCAGGCCAGTTCATGCAATGACAGCTTTTGCTGATAGCCTGATCGTTGCGTCTGGGAAGACATTCTTACCAATTGCCTCGAAAAACTCGCAAGTTGGATGGTTGCATACCATCACAGGTACCCTTCCGTCTCCAGCCGTTACAATGACAGTGCATAAAAATCTCATTTATGTCACCACCACGAGACATTCTCTATTGACCTACAAAATTGAAGGCGGAGACATCCTGCCTGTTGAATCAGACACATCCGCACGTGATGGTCTGTCTCACTCTTTTGTTACCAGGTCCGACGGCCAACCAAATCTCACTTTCCTAAGCACTCGAGGCGGAACTGTCCGGGTCTTCTCAGAAGCGGATGAACTAAGCGCCCCCATGCCTCGCCAGACAGCCAATCTGCCCGTGTCCATACTGAGACTTGTTCAGGGCTGCAAGTCACCAAATGCACTCGAAGCTACGAAGTCCATGTATGGTTTCACGATCAACGGATCGGTCTACCGGCTCACGACTCTCAACTCTAAGGAGTGGTCTCTTCTTTCGACTCTCGTCATATTATGCATGGGGGACGGCACCATCTTCCCATCTGTATCTCGCAGGCACCGCATTGCTAGTGCACTCGTCAATCTCGAAAACAATAAGCACGTCGATGGGAGTATCCTTGTTCGCCTTCTTTCTCGTGGTTCAACGTTTCTGAAAACTATGATTGATGCATGCATCGACGGAGAATTCAAATACGTGGACTGTACGGTAGCAAACGCCTTTAAGGATGCGGCTCTCGAATTCTTCGGGTTTCCGGATGACTATGTCCAGGCTATCTATGTCTGGCTTTGGAATGTTCTTCGTGTTGAGATTTGACTATGAATGATACTATGAAACTATAAGACTCAAGGGGATATGTGCATGAACTAGTCCACATGTCACTCTACCATGTGTTCAGCCGCAGTCGCAATTTCCAGTGACTGCTTTGTATGTTTAGGTTATGGTCAATGAATGTGTTATTTACTGGTGCCACATTTCATAATGCTCTAGCAACTAAATTTCAGCGACATTATCATTCATATTTCGTCAATAAGATGACGTATAGATGGTTGATTGCAGCTAGATTATAGGCAGCTTAGTATTGATGTAACTGACCTACATAGTTATTTACTACTCTAGTTGCTCTCTTGTTCTTTGTTATGCGCTCTACTTATCTCCCCCATTAGACAATGCTTCGAATATCTTGATTATTCATATTACGGGAATATGATCTCATTTACCTGATTCCTCACCAACTGGCTACATAAAAAAAATCTTGGGAAACGGACCTCGGGAAGTCTAATGATTCATGGCACCTAACCTACACAATGACCTTTAAATAAAAGTCTTTCAACTCAACACTGGAGCCCATGTCCCCGCGGTTGGATTGAGAACTTGGCAGGATGAAGATGCATAAGAGGAAGCAGTGCTGACTGCGCTCCAAGGAGGGTATTGTCACATTGACACAGCTCGATGATAAGAGAACATCGAGTCAGATCTCAAATATTGTACGGTGTATTCCTACTACTGACCGGTATCTTATTATTAGCTACGGTACAGAGAAAGCTGTGAGAAATGCCATAAAGAAAAGTGGTATCCCTCGTAACCAGATCTTCGTCACAAGCAAATTATGGAATCGCAGACACCATCCCGATGATATTGGCCTGGCATTGCAAGAAACACTTGATTAATTGGGGCTGGATTACCTTGATCTATTCCTTATGCACTCTGCCGTTGCCTTCCAACATGTTGATGATCCATTCCCAACCGACAAGGATGGGAACATCATTACAGCTGATATTGACTATATCCATGTGAATATTGAGCCCCCTTTCGAATCATATATTTCTAACGAGCTGATAAACATACAAAGCTATGGAAGGCCTCATCATCTCCGGAAAGACCAAAGCAATGGGGGTTTCCAACTTCTCTCGCAAAAGAATGGAACGCCTACTTGCAAATTCCGACATCGTTCCAGCAGTTCACCAACTCGAGCTTCACTCATGGCTCCAGCCACATGAGCATACCACGGTTTTCCAGAATTGAGGCACTCATGTAACACATTACTCGGTCTGGGCAACCAAAACGCACTTTATGATCGCCAGGAAGATCTCGGTAGGATGGTAGAGGATGAAGGTTTGAAAACAATTTGGAGAAAGCATGGTAGGACAGGAGCTCAAATTGCGCTTTGTAAGTCCAGATCCCTAAACTGATATGATTCATGAATCTAACATCGGCTTATACTATAGCCTGGGGAATCTCACAGGGACTTGGATAGGAGATGAAGACAACAATGACGAGAGAGAAAGCCAAGCTTAGATTTTGTAACAATCTTCCAAAGAAAAAAAATATGTATTATACCAGTGATCCGACCACTGTAGAAGTAGCTCACTATATACTATAGTTGTGTATCAATTGAGTAGTGGTAGTTGTATATAGTTGACTACATTGTAGTTATTGTTCTGTGGCAAAGTGAAGTCAGATATTCCCCACCGTTGAATGATTCTTTCCGAAATTCTTTTTTTCTCCCACCCCCTCTCCTGGCCCACCTTTACTGAGAGCTTCTATTCTCTCTCACCTTCATTCTGGGGTTTGTCTATTTTTTGTTTCCCTAATAAATATTATCTCTTAATACGTGTGCGCGTATTACGGCTCGCAAGTAACCGGTTAACTCCGTTTGTGCGCCCACTACATTCCTCCGGTCCCCACTCAAACCCGATCGACATACAGAAAAATCAACATGGCACCCAAGAAGAAGGGAGGCAAGAGACAAGAGGAGGACTGGGAAGCTGATCTTGGCGAGTCAGCTCCCACTGTCGAAGCTCCCACTGAAGAGGCTCAAGGAGACAATGAGGAGGCCCCGGTCGGCGGCCTCATGGCTGCTTTAAGAAAAAACAAGGCCAAGAAGGCTAAAAAGAACAAGGACAATGACTTCGTTGAGGGAGAGGACCCTGCTGCGGGAGTTGACTTGGCCAGCAAGCAGCCTGAGGAGGGTAACTTCGATGACGACGATGTTTTTGCCGGAAAGAAGACCAAGCCCATCAAGGATATCGTCAAGCCTGCCGTGGAAGAGCCTGAGGCCGGCGAGTTCCGGGTAAAGAGTAAAAAGGAGAAGGAGCGCGAGAAGAAGGAGAAGGAGAAACAGCGAAAGAAGGAGCAGGTAGGTTCTTTCGGTTGCACTTGCGCTCGGTATTGAGACTTATTTAACTAACCTCTGTTGTTCTCTGTTTGTAAAGGCCGCCACAAAGAAAAAGCTCACCCCTGCCCAAGAAAAGGCCGAGTCCAAGAAGACTGCTGCCGCCGAGGCCAAAAAGGATGAGGCCGCTGCCGCCGCACCTACACCTGCCGCTGACACTGGCAAGAAGAAGAAGCTCCCTCCCCACCTGGCAGCTCTTCAGAAGCAACAGGAACTCCTGCGCCAACAGCGCGAGGAAGCGGAGCGTCTCGCGGAAGAGGAAAAAGCTGCTGCTGCCAAGCAGAAGCTTCTTGATGAAGAGGAAGAGAAGAAGCGGGCTGAGATTCGTGAGCGCAAGAAGGAGAGGGAGCGTGAGAAGAAGGAACAGCTCCGCAAGGAAGGCAAGCTCCTCACCAAGGCCCAGAAGGAGGCCAAGGAGCGCAATGAACTTCGCATGCAGCAGATGTTGGCTGCTGGAGGCAAGGTCGCTGGTCTGGAGAACAATGGCGAAAAGAAGCGCGCCCCTGTCTACGAGAACAAGAAGAAGAGAGCAGGCAAGAAGCAGGAGGAGGACCTCGAGGCTGCCGCTGCTCGCGCTCAGGCCCAGCGAGAGGCTGAAGATGCCCGCCGCAAGAAGGAGGCTGAGGAGAAAGCCAAGGCCGAGGCTGCCGCTGCTGCTGCCGCCCCCGAAGCCGATGATGCCGTCGAAGACTGGGAGCAGGCTGCCGATGAGGATGTTAAGGACAGCTGGGATGCCGAAACAGACGAAGAAGAGGAGAAATCCGCCGAGACACCCACGGCTGCCCAAGCTCAAAAGGAAGATGCTAAGGACGAATCAGAGTCTGAGTCCGAGGATTCCGATTCCGATTCCTCCGAAGACGAAGAACAGTCTGCAACTCAAAGGGCTATTCAGGCCAGAAAGGCCGAAGCCGCTGAACGTAGAAAGAAGCAGCACGAGGAGGCCCTGGCAGCTCGTTCAAAGGATGATCTCCGTTCTCCCATTTGCTGTATTCTTGGTCACGTCGATACTGGTAAGACTAAGCTGCTTGACAAGATCCGCCAGACCAATGTCCAGGAGGGTGAAGCCGGTGGTATTACCCAGCAGATCGGTGCCACTTACTTCCCCGTCGATGCTCTGCGCACCAAGACACAGGTTGTCAACAAGGACGGCAAGTTCGAGTTCAAGATCCCCGGTCTTTTGATTATCGATACCCCTGGTCACGAGTCTTTCTCCAACCTGCGTTCAAGAGGTTCATCCCTTTGCAACATTGCTATCCTGGTTGTGGATATTATGCACGGTCTTGAGCCCCAAACTCTTGAGTCCATGCGTTTGCTGCGTGACCGCAAGACTCCTTTCATCGTCGCATTGAACAAGATTGATCGTCTTTACGGCTGGAAGAAGATTGACAACAACGGCTTCGAGGACAGTTTGAACATGCAGAACAAGGGTGTGCAGAACGAGTTCCGCACTCGTCTCGAAGCCACCAAGCTTGCTTTCGCCGAGCAAGGATTTAACTCCGAGCTCTTCTTCGAGAACAAGTCTCTGTCCCGCAATGTCTCTCTTGTCCCCACCTCCGCTCACACTGGTGAGGGTGTTCCTGATATGCTGAAGCTCCTAACCAGCTTGACCCAAGAGCGGATGACCAACTCCCTGATGTACCTGTCCGAGGTGGAGTGTACAGTTCTGGAAGTCAAGGTCATTGAGGGTCTCGGTACCACTATTGATGTTGTCCTGTCCAACGGTATCCTTCGTGAAGGTGACCGTATCGTGATGTGCGGTCTTAACGGGCCAATCACAACCAATATTCGTGCACTATTGACACCAGCACCGCTCAAGGAGCTGCGTCTGAAGTCTCAATACGTTCACAACAAGGAGGTTAAGGCTGCGCTTGGTGTGAAGATCGCTGCCAACGACTTGGAGCACGCCATTGCCGGCTCCCGTATGCTGGTTGTCGGTCCTGATGATGATGAGGAGGATCTTGAGGATGAGGTTATGTCCGATCTCGAGAACCTGCTGAGCCGTGTTTCTACCGATCAGCGTGGTGTCACCGTCCAGGCCTCCACCCTGGGTTCCCTCGAGGCATTGCTGGAGTTCCTCAAGGTCTCCAAGATTCCCGTTGCCAACATTTCCATCGGTCCTGTCTACAAGCGTGATGTCATGATGGCTGGAACCATGCTGGAGAAGAACAAGGAATACGCCGTCATGCTGTGCTTCGATGTCAAGGTTGATAAGGATGCACAGGCCTACGCCAACGATATTGGTGTCAAGATCTTCACCGCTGACATTATCTATCACTTGTTCGATAACTTCACTGAACACATGGCTCAACTCACAGAACAGCGCAAGGAGGAGGCCAAGCTTCTTGCCATCTTCCCCTGTATCATTAAGCCCGTTGCTGTCTTCAACAAGACCGATCCCATCGTCATCGGTGTTGATGTCATTGAGGGAAGCTTGCGCATGCACACTCCTTTGGCTGCCATCCGTACTAACGCCGCTGGTGTCAAGGAGATTGTCGACATCGGCAGAGTGTAAGTCATTCCTTCCCCCCCCCCAAAAAAGATCGTCCCACAATTTTTGATCCCATTTCTGACGTTATTCCAGCACATCCATCGAACGTGATCACAAGGCCGTCCCCGTCTGCAAGCGTGGTCAGCCCTCCGTCGCAGTGAAGGTTGAGGGCCCCAACCAGCCCATGTACGGCCGCCACCTCGAGGAGAAAGACCAGTTGATCTCGCACATCTCCCGTAAGAGTATCGACACCCTGAAGGAGTTTTACCGCTCCGAAGTCACCATGGAAGAATGGGCTCTAGTCAAGCGCCTCAAGCCCGTCTTCGACATTCCTTGATTGCGCACCCAGCACCTCCATCCGGTGCGCGGTGTCTCCAGGCATCCGCACTGGGTCTCATTCCAGCCTTGCGGGACCTCCCTTTCCCCTGTCGGACCTAATGATCAAAAATGCCGCATGGCAAGCGTTCTCCGTTGGCTTGCGCCTTCGGTTCCATCATGACCAGTGGAAACGAATCAAAATCATAATCTTGGAGCTTATGACATTTGCTATTCAACAGCGGAAAATTTGCTTTGGCTAGATTGCAGTTTGAACATACTATGAATGACCATGAATTGATGGATGAACAGGGAGAGTTCTGTCGCCTGTACATGATATAGGAAAAGCGAGGTCTGGTCGATACCAGTTCTTTTGGTGCTGTTATAGTGAATTGATATTGACGTTAGAAGATTTTTCGCTGTGTTCTTCGCATTCATTTGGCCTTGCTTTGGCCATTCGGCCGTTCAAAGATTCCTAGTGCGTCTTTTTTTTCTATGCGAGGCGAGACCCTGCTCACTTTCAACATCTCACTTCTCGACTTCTCACTTCTAACCGTAGCGGACTTCGTCTTCCTTTCTTTCATTTTTCGCGTATCACTGCACATCCCCTGTTTTTCCTCTACCCAAACCACGGGCGTACAGTCTTTGTCATTTATGCGGCCCTGAATTTAGCCCATATTAGGTTTGATCATGGCCGAGATACAAATGAAACAAGGGCCCTCTTGCCGTTGCGGAAACAGCCTGAGTCCACGAAGCCTGTATCTTGATACTAGCTGTTTCCAGCCTTCATAGACGCGATATATCCCAAACATCCACTCAACAACTCAGATATGTACAAAATGCCCACCCAACCCACCATCCCGGGAAAACATCCATAAAGCCCCCAGTTAAAACAACTAATAATCATCCCCATCCCACTTCTCAACCTTCCCCCCATTCCTCTCCCAATCCAACCAACTCCCATCATAAACCCCAATCCGAGCTGGATCATACCCAGCCTGCACAGCCATCTGCGCCGCTGCCCAAGCCCGCACACCAGCCTTACAATAGAAGACCATCTGCGCGCCCTCGACAAGCTCCGGCTTCGGGAATCCGAAGCGGGTCTCGAACTCGTCGGCCGTCAGGTACAATGCGTCTGGCTGGGATGCGAGCGGGATCGAGACCGCCGAGGGGATGATACCCGTGCCGGTTAGTTCGGCGGGCTCGCGGACGTCGATGAGGATAACGGGCGTGTGGGTTGGTGAGGGTGTTGCGGAGGGGAGGGCGGCGTTAATCTGCGTTTTTGTTAGAGTTGGGCTTGGGTTGGGTCTCTTTGGGTGCGGTGCGTACTTCTTCGAATCCCCATTCCCGGAGACTGCCCTTGGTGCCATTGGTGTTCTGGCGAGTCTGTTGGTGGGGGTTCTTGGTGATGAGGTATGCTGGTCGGAGGGTGTGTGAGGGTTTCAGGCGATTGGCGGGATGGGTATTGGGAATTGAGACCAGTCCTCTTGTTGGTGCGGAGATAGATCGGTGGAAGGCTGCGGTTGATGAGGTGGCAGTGCGGGCTGGGGTTCTGGCCGCTGAGGAGAGGGTCACAGCAGAGCGCTGGATCGCTGATCGTGTTGCCATTGTTTCAATCCTTGATCTTGGATAGGTTCAAGGGTTCAAGGTGTTGGATTGTAGTCGGATCCCGCGAATAACCTCGGGGCCTGTGATGTCAGTAATTGCCATGTTCTACCGCCTTGGTATAGGGCTAATCTTGTAGCATCTCTCGTTCGGTGGGTTCATTGGTGAATTTGATATGCAAAAATGAGTTGCATGCAGCTGTATGGCTCTGTGTGCTAGAAACAAAGTGTAAATAAAAAGAAAGTGTGAAAATCAGATATTTGATCGTAATTAATTGTGTTGACACTGATATATATAGCTGCGCATATTCACCCAAAGATAAACTTCATACCATCAAACTTGAAAATTTGAGAGATATCTCGAGATTTCTATTTGAAAGGGACAGGGTAGATGAAATGTTGATTGAATCTTAATTATAAAAGAAGCTAGTATTGTTTGACAAGTAGGAAAAAATTAATATTATTCTAATGCGCATGGCTCTAAAAGTAGTCACTCGAAGAAAAGAAACAAGAATCCCCAATGACCCCTTGCGGGAAACAAAATCATAAAATCAAAATGGGGTTCCTGTGCATAAGGGTATCCAAAGTCTCTCCAAGAGAGGCAATATGCTAAAGACTTTTCCTTTTGAGCGTCCGTCATGCATTGAAGTTGAAGAAAAAAAGATGAATGAAAAGAAGAGGTCAGCAGGCCACCCCATCTCCAGGACAGGAAGGCAAGTAGTGTCGTAACCAAGCCCTTTTCTATCCGGAGAACGGGGCTGGGCTCCACATCGCTTTTGAATTTGTGCAAAAGAATAGTTTTAAGCGCGGGGACGGAAAGTAAGTAGACAATCATCCTGATATAGGTTAGTGGGAATGCTAAAAGAAATGGGATAGAAGTGTGAACATACTTTGGGGAAGATGGTGGCAAACACCTTGATATCCTCGGACTCGGGAGTGGGAGTGTGCTCCCAGTCCATGACCATACTGGCCTTGCCAATCATGGACATCAGGGACAGCTGAGCGTAGGTCTGACCCAGACAGTAGTGGGGACCTGTGCCGAAGACCAACCAGTTCTTGGTCTGTTGCTCGGCAGTACCGGTGATCCAGCGATCAGGGTCGAAGGAGTCGGCGTTAGGGTAGGCCTCCTCGTCGTGGCAGGCGGGCCACACTGAGGGGATGATCATGGAGCCCTTGGAGACGGTGACAGTCTCGGTGATGGGGAAGTCCTTTTTGACCAGGTATGGAACCATGATGACGGGAGGACGGTAACGGAGAGTCTCCTTGACGACTGCACGGGTGTAGGGCATGTTATCGAGCATGTCCATGGTAGCGGGGAGGTTGCGGTCACCGTTGCGGATGTTCAAGTTCTCCTCGCGGACCTTGTCGAGGATTTCGGGGCGGTCAGCCATTAGCTGGAACAGCCAGGTGGAAGCGGCACTGGTGGCATCCTGGGAAGCGAAGAGGAAGGTGAAGATCGTTTGGGCGATTTCGTAGTCGGAGAATTCACGGAGAACCTGGGAAGGCTTCTCGGAAGAGTCGACCTGGATTCCCTTCGCGATCTTCTCGCGGTAAGCGGCAGAGTCCAGCTGGGCCTTGACCCAGGCGTCCATGATACAAGAGATCTCGCCACCAGCGGCCATGCGAGCCTTGGACTTGGCGGCACACTTGGTGAACTCAACGAGCACCATGTCGGCGGCCTTCTTACCGTACCAGGTCTTGGTGTAGGGAAGGATGATAGGGAAGTTGACAAGCTCGAGAGCGGCGGTGATCAGGTAGTAGTCATCGGCAATCTTCTGAACACCTTCGTCGGTCATGTAGTAACCGACAAATGTACGGCAAGAGAGAGCACACATGAGCTCACGGAACTCGGACATCCACGGGGTTGGCTTGTGGTCGAGGGCGGCGGATTTCTCAAGGAAACGCTTGTTGTAGCTGTTGAAGACCTCCTCGGCGCGGGGCAGGTACATAGCCAAAGCCTGGCGGGTGAACAAGCCATTGAGACCCTTGCGGTAATCGACGTGGGCCTTGCCATCCAAGAAGACCCAGTTGGTCTTTCCGAGAAGCTTGTGCGCGGCATCCACGACACAGGGCTTGACGTAGGTGGGTGAGTTGAAGATCTTGCGGGACATGTCACGAGTCGAGGCAATCACAACGAACCTGCAGGAAGACCGTTAGTAAGAAGATCTCATGTTTCAGACACATCTGAAATTTCCGGTCAGATGTTCCAGAGGCCACTCACTTGTGGAAAACAGAGACACAGCTAAGGTCTCCGCTGTCCCATTTGGCCTTGTATTCAGTGAATTTGGGGTTCACAGATTGAAGGAATGGGCCCATAAAGGGAATCTTGTACATAGGGCCAACAATCGCGCCCTTGAGGTAGTGATACTTGACTAAACAGATAGGGGTTCCAGTCAGTTTGAAGACGCGATTTAAAAGCGACAAAGGCCGCAATGGCACTTACACTGATCATAGAGGACAGCGGCAATGAAGAGGGTCAAAAGTCCCTTCCAGATAGTGAAGCCATCTAGGATAGTAGCGAGCAGACCGGCCGGCGCGAAAAGTTGAGGCGAGACTGTTGCATCCGCCGATGGTGAGACGAAGCTCCCAGTGAGGTTGGCCATATTGACCATGTTCGTCCAATCGAAAGAGCAAGAATGGGAAGGTTGTAATGCTCAAGATTGAAAAAGGGAGGACCAAACCCAGAACAAAAGGGAAAAAAGCGAGTGGAGTGAGAGGGGAGAAAGGCTCAGGGGCCGGAACGCCAATTACACGGAGCCCCCGGGTGCGCCCAGCATTAGCCTGTATCAATGCATAAAAAGTAAATTGGTTCGTTCTATTGCATGACTTTATTGTATTCTTTTCTAAAATTGTAATTACTGATTTCTGTTAGGTTGATTTCTTTTCTCATTTCGATTCTTGTTTCAATTTATACGCAATTTTTCATTTTATTCTTTGTTGTCTTTTTTTTTTTTTTGTTGAACAGCCCTAAATGAAGAGAAATCAATCTCTGCTTTGGCCCATAGTTCGGGGGTTCTAATCTCCGAACCGGGACGGCTTAATTTTTTGTGTTTTAATATGGCATGTTAGTATTAGGAATTGACACGGAGGGAAGTCTGAAGGATTGAAACACCTTGAATAAATGAAACATACATATGTTAATATATACTCCATATATAATTTACTACGTAGTATATCAACGTATCTCTGGGGAAATAGAATACGAATGAGCGAGATTCTTTATAACTATTACTCAGCACGACGTGACTTCGGCTAGAAAAATCCCGGGATCCATCGCAACGCTGATTGGCTGGACGCATGTAAGGAAGGTTCTCAACAGCACGTGCTTGTGCTTGATGCTACGACGTACATGTCGTACTACATTGAAACTGGACATGTACACATGATCGAATGCAATGTTTGATTAGGGTATTCGTAGACATATATGTAAGGGGCCCTAGCGACCACCAAATCCAAACCATCCACGACGGCCCTTGTTCTCTTCTTCCGAAGCTGGAGCTGGAGGTTGACCAGCCTGGGCTGGAGCCTCTCGCTGCTCACCTTCACGGGGATAATCAATGTAGTTCCATGCCACATCAAGGAATAAAGGCTTGACTGGAATGGGTTGCATTTGCGGTGGGAATGGCACCAGGTTGTGGAGATCCACCTCAGATCCAGCGAACTGTTGCAGTCGCTCCACCACTGGACGTTGGCTTGATTGTGATGCTTCTTCGGCGGTGACTTGCTCCAAAGTGACCAGACCACGGTATTGAGCAACCAGTTCTTGCAATGTCGATGCCAGAGCACTGAACTGATCCCGAGAGACGTCGAGTTTCGGAGGGCCCTCGAAGTTATCTGAGGATTGAGGGATAGCGGAGCTAGCAAGAGTTGAGGCCAGGGAGAATAGAGCAAGGGCTTCCTTAGACTTTGCAAGAACACCATGGGACCTTGCTAGGGAAAGACATCTACATAGTGGTTAGCAACAATACTGATACAATGTGAGACCAGACACTTACCTGAGCGCTCGGAAGTAGAGTCGCTTTGCTTCAAGGTCCTTCACGAAAGCAGAATCGGCTGCAACACCTGGTAGTTCGAGAATGTACTCCAAGCTCTGAAGGGTCGAGTCGTAGAGCACAACACGCTCGCGCAGCTTGTTCAACTTCTTCCCGTTGCCTACAGTATGCTTCGCAGCATCCTTTCCATTCGCCGAGGCTTGCTGTTCCTCGAACGATAGACCATCATTCTCTCCACACAGTACACGATTACGGCCCACTCGCCATCCGACCAGGGTGTAGTTCACGGCAGTCCGAGTAATTTGAAGAGCCTGCATTCTCTTGTCGCTGGGATCAACGCCCTCACTAGCCAGATCATCAATGGCGGTTTTGGTAGCATCGACAGCATCCTGACTGGCAATAATAACATTGTCATACGCAGCGGCTTTTTCCTTAGGAGCAGCAGACTTTCCAGCACCTGCCAGCCAAGCAGTGAGACGAGCCTCCGCCGCCGAAGCAGCAGCTAGAGACTGGGAAATGGAAGCGTCGTCCAGTGGAACAGTATGCGACCTCCAAGTGACAGATTGGGGTAATTCTTGCACCTCGCCCTCTGCAGTTCGTCGGGTTCCAGCTGCTTCTTCGGCAAGACAAGAGGGATCAATCTTCTCAACCTCGGCTCGAATAGCCAAATCAGACGGGAAGAATTCAATAGCCAGCGATGAGGTAGGTTTGGAGCGAGGAAGCTTCATCTGGTAAGCAGCGTATCGGATACTTGGGTCAACGGTTCCTGAGAGCAGATCCCGATAAGCGTCTTTCTTAACACTTTGGCCTAAAGCCGTGTAGATGACTCTGGCGATAGAATAGTCATGGAGACAGTGCTCCCATCTCCGCTTTTCTAGCCAAAGAGTGCCAGAGATCATTGCCGCATAAGCACGAGTTTCCAAAATATCGATATCGCTCGCTCCGGTAGATGATTGTTCGTGGAGCAGCGAGACGAGTTGCTTCGCATAGCCGGTTGCCTTGGTCAATCGGGAAATAATGTGACGCCTGGCAGCGCCAGAGATGGCCTTGGCGGAGGGATCTGCTGAGTGAGTCGACTTCATATGCATTGCTTGTGCCCAAGCTCGTTCGGAACCGAGAAGGAGAAGGTGTACGTATCTGTCATAGTTCAGTGGTCAGTCTGGGTATAAGCCATAACAGTAAAGAACAGCACATACGACACATTGGTTCCAACATTCTCAGCAGTCACAGCTGGTTTGGCAGTATACTTGCGGCCTTTGACAGTGGCTTGTCCAAGCTTCTTGCGGAGTTTCTGCAATTTTCTGGTGGTGTGCGCCCGGTAGGCATTGTAATCTCCCACGAGGAGAACCTCCTCTCTTTCTTTGAAGATGAAATCAGTCACCTCCATGATAATTGTCTTTATTCGGCAACCTTGTGATGGGAATTGGAGGGGGACACGGTTGAGATGGTGGGCTCAGTGAAGGCGGTGGTATATCTTCGGGCAAATGAATGGCCCGACCAAACCCCGGCAATTTCCAACACCTCGTGAATCTTTTGCGTGTTTTCTCAACCCCAGGACTTTTAGCTCCAACAATTGCATCATTCAAACTAAATCACATGGGATTTGATTGATATATGATCTATGCTCGCAATTTATGTTCGAGCAACCCAAAATTTGTGTTCCTTCACGAATTGACAACCCTGTTTTTCCCCGGTACGTATGGCACCATCCTACAATTTGCTCGATTTTTGCTATCAAAACAGCTTTGACAGAATACTTTCTAACTCAATAACCATTTAGACGCTCCGATTACGATACGATGCAGATCCAGTAGCGAATTCACCATCCTGCGGTTTGCAATCGCGACAATTGAGAGTAATGTTCGAACGGGCAACGGGTTGCTTTGAGAACGCAGGACGGCGTTTCCTACAGGACTCCAAATGTGCGATCCGGAGCAGAAGCTCCGTTCCTCATCGATTTCGAACGGACAATGGCGCTGGAGCGGATTCCCCCTACTGGTTCCTAGCGCTCCTGCAGGCGTCAGTTCAACAATCATCTCCCGCCCTCAACACCAGCAACGAAAGTCAAGGAGGAGGAGGAGCTATCAGCAGCTCAGGGCTGCTTCCGGACTTCCTATGTCCTCGACAATCCCAATCATTTGTGGCTTCCCGGCTGTCTCGCTCCCAAAAGAGACCTGGACTGCAAAGGAAAAAAACATTTGCGGCCCCGTCAAGGCCATTTATATCCATCTCGAGCCTACGTCAAGCGGTCGCCGACGGTTCACTCGGTCACGAAAACGAACCCCAACAGCCCGAAACGCCACAAGATCCTGATATCGCGCGGGCGCGAGAAACCCAGGCCGACTTGCATGCCTTCTTGCAGAAAGATGGCCACCAGTATGATCACGCCTGGGTGCGCTACGTCGCAGCTGGGCGCCCATCAAATATGGCCTCGGCACTTTGCGCCTATATGAGCTCATCGAAAGACTTCAATAATCAGAGACGAGCATATGAACTCTTTCAACAAATTCCGCCTGAAGATCGCACCAAGTACGACTTCAAAAACATTTTAAACTCGCAACTTCTCGCGGCATCTCGGACAAAACCTCGTTTTTTATATTCTCTTTGCGAGCAAGTCGTTACTACCCCCTTTGCAGAAGGTTTTTTGACAAGAGTCTTGATTCACCATGTGGAAAACAGACAGTGGGCTCGACTTACAAAACTATGGCAGTTATTGTTGGACACCCCACAAAAGCAACGCCCAACATTGGCTGCTTTATTATCCAAGATCACCCGGTTCAGATTTGCAGAATACTCCCTCTCGAGGCACCTCCTTGATCTTGCAGATCATTTGGAGTGTAACAAGATGGATTCTACAGTCAAAGATTTTGCCCGGCGTCTCCTTGCACATTATATCAAGTCTCATGATTTGCTCAAGCTTACACCCATAACAACTTTGCTTGATGTTCTGAAGAAATATACATCCCTCAGATGTATCGGAAGAACCAAATGGAAAAATTTGATTGAAAGATTTCAATCGGGCTCAAGATCAGAGTTCATCAACTCCATTCTTCTTTATCGCCAATTTCGTGTGGTCTTTCCAAATGAACATCCGCCTAGGAAGCTATTGCCTCGTTTTATAGAACGCCTGTTGGAGTTTCAGATTCCGGAGACCACGGAATACTTCTTGGATGAATTATCACACTTTTATTCTAAACCGAGCGTCACAGTCTACAAGAACGTCATGGCTGCTTTCTCTGGGACCGGAGATGCTAAATCTGTTGACCGCATCTTTGATAGGTTTTTGGCAGACCATGGAAACCCCAAGAGTCGGAGAATCGTGGCTCCAGTTCTGCTTGTTCACGCGCGACTAGGCGATGTACCCGAGACACTGCGACAATTCCAGCGAATCTCCGCAGAATTCGGGCTTGTGCCGAACACAGTCTGTTGGAACATCCTGATCTTGGCACATGCTAACGCCGGAGATCTGCAAGGTGCTCTTTCTACGTTCTCGTTAATGCTAAAGAGTGGCGAACCTCCCGATTCCCACACATTTGGCACGTTGCTGGCGCTTTTCTCTAAGCGAGGCGATGTTCAAAATGTCAGGAGATTGATCACGGAGGCGCAGAAACGACAGGTCAAAATCACAAGGCCAATGCTTGATACGGCTGTACAGGTGTACTGCAATAATGGGCAGTTGTCATTTGCGGAAGAGCTTGCCGCGGCCAGCTGGAATTTAGCAGAAGGAGGTTCTCCTCTGTGGATGTGGAACACGATTCTAATGCAGTATGCATTCAGAGTATCTAAGTTCTCCTTCCGCCGTGTCCTGGATCGCATTGGGAAACTCGGAATGACACCGGATGCCATGACTCATGGAGCTATCATCCTTGCCTATGCCACTGCCAATCAACCCGATTTTGCCCGCACTGCGTTGAGAAGGATGCACCGAATGGGCCTGCAACCTACTCAATTCCATTATTCCGTCGTTCTGTTCGGATATTTGAAGATGCGCAATCGCGACATGGTGCACGTCATCCTTGGCGAAATGGAAACCCGCTTCGGTCGAGTAGGATTGAGTGCGAATCTTTTAAATCTCAAGATGCAGATCCAGCGAGATTTGGAGAATGCACGCGATCAGAACGTGCCTGCTGAAGAGGTGATCTTGGAGCATGCAGAAAAGACGATTTTAGCATCACTCGAAACCTTCGATGCCAATCCTTCGCCAGCTAAACATAAATCACGCGACTCAACTGAGGGCTCTGCGCTGGATTATTCCACTGTTATGCACTATGAACACGTTATTAAAACATATAGTGCCCAAGGTGCTACTGAAAAGGCCTTTGAGATGCTCAGCCAATTTCTGCACCGCAGACAACTTGCAGGCGTGCCAGCTAATGACTTGCAGTCTCTGCCATTTGAGCTTGTCAAAACCATGATGGTGGTCTATTTGAAAGCACAAGAGTTTGAGAAAGTGGAGGAGTGTTGGCACGTTTTGTTACGCGATGCTAACAAAATCGCTGGCCATGTGGACATTGAGGGGATCCTTGCTAGTGAGGCATTGACGTCAGATCTGCCTATATCGGTCGACTCTAACACAGAGGGTCGGATTCTACCATCTCGTCGTTTCATTTTAGACTTTCCTTTGACGATTTACATCCGATCTTTGGCCTGTCGAGAACAGTACGCGAGATTATCCGACGTCATAGCCGAGTTTCAGAATGCAGGCTTTGCACTAACGGGTACCAACTGGTCGAATTACATTTCCGCGCTTGCGTCCTCGGAAAATTTCGATGACAACGTGGAATCTTTCCAATTGTTTGAGGAAAAGTTTTGCCCTCATTTCCCTGGATGGTCCTGGATGGTCAAAGGATACGGGATCAGGCCCATCCATGCCCCCATGACAATCCTTCATCTCGACGGTAAACCTGGTGCCACCAAGCCTCGCCGGATGATGGGCAAAAAGGCCAGAGCACACTGGCGAATGATCGAGCCTGACTACATGCATCCTCATTACCCCACCATGGTGCTCCTCGCCAGCACAATGCGACGTATTCGGGAAGCAAGTATCGAGGACGGCCCTGGAAAGATGGAGGCTCTCCATGCAGCCGCTCCAAAGACATTCGAAATCCTCTCAACGATGCCATATCTGCGCGAGAAATACCAGGGTGCATTGCTCCGCGACAAGGAGGCATTTGAGAACCAACTCCCACTCCCGATCAGACTCTTCACCACGCGGACTGGCGCTCTTGGCCTCGAATCCCGCCCTAAAACCCGCACCTTTTGGCAGGCAAAGCACCAACCGCTCGACTTTGAAATTTATGCCGAGCCCCGTCCCGTCGATGAGAAAAATGTTACCAGGTTGCTCAACGACCCAGACAGTGCAAAACTGGGCTCCCTGGCGAGCATCCTCCCTCGCTCTGAGCGCATTGATCTGGAGACCCAGCACCACGAGTACCACAAGCTCACGGAGCAATGGAAGAAGGGCGCCCAGCGCAGACAGGCCACGATCGAGCGTGCACGCCAAGAAACCAACGGCCGGTTGCATGGCGTGCCTGTCAAGGCTATTGTCAAGAGGGGCCATCTCAAGCAAAATCTTGTCCAGCGGCATGTATTCGACAAGTACTATAGCAAGTGGAAGTTGAAGAAGCCAAGTTACCTCTTATATAAGCCCATCTCGGGACTTAGGGAGAGACGCAAGCTTGGACCTTATCTCAAACAGCGTGGATTAGGACGGCGAAGAACGAAGAGATACGAAGACCCTCGCAGCAATTCTCGAACCAAAGATTCTCAGGCCAGAGTTGCTCGAGCCAAAGCCGCCGCTGGTTGAGTGGCGTGCTACATGTACATATGTACCGCGTGTGATTTGTAATTTTAGATTTGTTTCTATAACGACTTTAGATTTTGTACAATACAGCATTTTGTTTCAATATATACATCTCTCTCTACTCTCAGAATCAGGCAGCGCAATTAAGTATATATTTGTATAAATGTCTCGTACATTGAAGAATGCGTTATATATTTTCATGTGGACCAGTGCATCTGACATTCTTTCTGCAATCTATTTGCTGTTGGTCAAGTCTGTCGAGTTGACTGGTCCAACCTCGGAACTTGTTTGGTACTTAATCATTTACAACTCTATTTCTGTACACCATGGGATATTTCCTCTCGATTGGCATACAGGATGCATGAGCTTTTCAATATCATGGTAACTGAGTATCAATAACACATACGGAGTCCAAAATTCGAGACCCATTGATAAGCCAGAAATGTTACTTGGTATGGCAAGTGTTGATACGCTACCTAGGTAGGCTTCATACAATCGGAGAAGCTAATGTGGGTCTAAACTAATGTTTCCTTTCTATTTTTCCAGTCTACAAAAGTTCAGAAGGTGAGATAGATTTTTTTCAATTGAGTAACTAAATCTAAAACACATCGTTCCACATCAACCAGAATGGAAGAGGACCTTTCAGACCTCCTCGACACCCACCAGGACCAGCCGACCGAAGTCAGACACCGAGACCAGGTCAAGATCATCACCACTCCCTGGACCGAAACACAGACACTGCGGACAGCACGCGTGACAGTCGAGGCGGAAGTAAAAAGGTTTCACTTTAGGGCATCGAGGACATATAGTCATCAGCAAGGGTGGAGATTCTGTGGCTCTTTTAAAGAGCTTAGAAAGAGGACGTCTACTCTAAAGTGATTCTTTGAACTGTTGGGAAACTGTCAGTAAAACGTTCTCAAAAAACAGAAGAGAAAACCCTGAAGAGTTTTCTGACTGTAGGGGGAGGGATCACTAACGTAGAGTCGCTTGAAGAAGAAAAAAAACCTGGGAGGTCGAGCAGGTATATATACCCCAAAAAAATTTGAAAGCTTACGTAAACTAGACGCGTGAGACACTGATGCCTCAGGCCTACGCGAATCAACGCGTCTTTTCCAATTAAACCCGATCGGGAGAACAGAGATCGTTCCCCTCGACTCCCTCTTACACATATTCATACATACATACCATTATGGATGGCCCACAACTACGTGATGAGGCCGCGCAGGATCGCGTGCGCGCCGCTACTGAATTTCTGGATCCCGGTTTGTTTTTTTCCCATAGCTGATTGTGTGGTGCAGCTTGAGCTAACATCCTTTTTCAGCCGATGCCCGGGCACGCAGGTTCGTTTCGTCGTCAAAATATTGTTTATGATGTCAATCTAATTGGAACAGCTACCGAGCCGATATTGTGGTTATGCTGAATCGGGGCATGCGTCGTTTGACAGTGCGTGGATCCCTCAAACTGCTGCCAGGGGGTGTTGCTGATAATTTTTGAACAGGTCAGCATTGATGAGATCAGAGCACACAACCGCGAGCTTGCCGATGGGTAAACTGAAATTCTATCTAGCCTTGATTTGGATTATAGACTAATGCTTCTTAAAGGCTGCTCAACTCGCCATTCGATTACTCACAAGCTTTTGATGCAGCCTTGAAGGCAGTTGTCAAAACACTCCCTGGCCGACCAGCAAAGGAAACCTCCGATGAAACGGTCCGTATTGGTATAAAAAATCTTGGCAAACGTTTATGTCTAACAAAATCGATAGAACTACTACTGCGCCTATGTGGGAGCATTTGGAGAATTTTCTTGCAACCCCCGCACCCTGGGATCGCAACAATTGAACCACATGGTGTCCCTGGAGGGCATTGTGACCAAATGCTCTCTGGTTCGCCCCAAGGTGGTTCAGAGTGTTCACTACGTCGAGGCAAAAGAACGCTTCGTCGCCAGAAAGTATCGTGATCAGACCATGGGTGTCAGCGGTGCAACCAGCTTGAATGTTTACCCCCAAGAAGATGACGAAAAGAACCCTGTGAGTATCAACTGCAGTCTACTAGAATCACATGCAGGAACTAACATTGCATCACTAGCTTATCACTGAGTACGGTTACTCGACTTATCTCGATCACCAGTCCATTTCTATCCAAGAAATGCCCGAACGTGCCCCCGCAGGTCAATTGCCCCGAAGTGTCGACGTAATTCTGGACGATGACCTCGTTGATACCGCCAAGCCTGGAGATCGAATCCAGCTGGTCGGAACTTACCGTACTCTCGGTAACCGAAACGCAGGCAATGGCTCATCGACCTTCCGCACCGTTGTCATGGCGAACAACATCATTCAATTGTCGTCCAAGAGTGGTGGTGGTATTGCTGAGGCTACCCTCACGGATACAGACATTCGAAACATTAACAAAATTGCGAAGAAGAAGAATGTTTTTGATTTGCTGTCCAAGTCTCTGGCTCCCAGTATTCATGGTCATGACTACATCAAGAAGGCAATTCTTCTGATGCTTCTTGGTGGTATGGAGAAGAATCTGGATAATGGAACACATCTTCGTGGTGATATCAACATTCTGATGGTTGGTGATCCATCGACTGCAAAGTCTCAACTTCTTCGCTTCGTGTTAAACACCGCGCCGCTGGCAATTGCTACTACCGGTCGAGGCTCTTCAGGTGTCGGTCTGACTGCTGCCGTTACCTCCGACAAGGAGACTGGTGAGCGGAGGCTGGAGGCTGGAGCCATGGTCCTCGGTGATCGCGGTGTGGTGTGTATTGATGAGTTCGATAAGATGAGTGATGTCGATCGTGTAGCCATTCACGAAGTTATGGAGCAGCAGACTGTGACAATCGCCAAGGCTGGTATTCACACAAGCTTGAACGCTCGCTGCAGTGTCCTTGCAGCAGCCAACCCCATCTATGGCCAATATGATCCCCACAAGGATCCCCACAAGAACATTGCTCTTCCCGACTCCCTGCTTTCTCGTTTCGATTTGCTCTTCGTTGTGACAGATGACATTGAAGACGCGCACGACCGAAGGATCTCTGAGCACGTTCTGCGCATGCATCGCTACCGCCAGCCTGGAACTGAGGAGGGTGCTCCCGTCCGAGAACAACTCAACCAAACGCTGGGCGTAGGAGTTGATGACCGCCAAGATGCCAATGCACCAACTGAGGTGTTCGAAAAATTCAACGTCATGCTCCACGGTGGTATGATCGATGCCGCCAACGCTAATCGTCGCCGTGGCAAGAACGTGGAGATTATCAGTATTCCCTTCATCAAGAAGTACATCCAGTACGCTAAGAAGCGTATCCAGCCTGTCTTGACCAAAGGTGCTGCCGACCACGTTATTGCTACCTACTCCGCTCTCCGAAACGACGAACTCACCGGCAACAAGCGTCGTACTTCGCCCGTCACACCCCGTACTCTGGAGACCCTGATCCGTCTGTCCACTTCACACGCCAAGGCACGCCTATCTAACCGTGTTGAGGAGAAGGATGCCAAACATGCCGAAGCCATTCTGCGATTCGCCATGTTCAAGGAAGTCCTCGAAGACGAGCGCCGCAAGAGACGCAAGGTGACAACCTTCGAAGACTCCTCGGATGATGACAGCGATGCCGAAATGGACGATAACTCTGACGACGAAACCACCGCTCGCGGCACATCGACCGCAACCCCAGGCAGACGCACTGGCCGCATCCGTGCCGCACCGCAGTCCAGCGTCCCAGTCCCCGAAGAAGACGAAGACGAGGACCCAGACAGCCTCTACACATCCAGCCCACGTGCCCAGCGTGTGCGCTCCAGCTTGGCCGACCGCACACAGACTCAAACTGATTCCCAGATGTCTATGGCATCCTCGCACCCAGCTTCACAGCTCGTCGAGACCCAAACAGACTCACAGGGCACTACTTCTTCGGATGCCCCCATCACCCCTGCCCGCATGACAGTCTTCAAGCAGACTCTGGGTCTGCTCATGGGCAAGCGCATCTTCACAGACAGCGACACCAGCAAGGTCGACGACCTCATCAACGTCGTCAACACTGCTATCCGTGAATCGCCCAAGCACGGCGCCGCACACGTCTTCTCCCGTCCTGAAGCTATCCAGGCTCTGCGCGTCATGAACGACGAGAACATCCTGATGTACCTTGAGGATGACGATGATGTGTACCGTGTTTAATCTGTCGTCTGGGTTCAGACGATGTTTATATTATTCTTCTATGGTGAAGGATGCTGGATCTATCCTGTTTTACGAGCATGCTTTTTGTCATTGCATTGGGATTGATATCATTGCATGTTTTTCTGTGTTTGGTGTTTGGCGTGGTATCGAGGGAAATATTAGTGGTCTCAATACGAGAAATATGAATGAATACTCCATGCTTGACTTAATATTAATATCAATGTCAATCAATAAGTAAGATCACCAGCTTTAAGGAGACAAAGCAACTCTATGAGTAGATCTCTTGAGCGCCGACAAATAATGTTATGCATAGCAAAATGAACCAGGCGGCTCAGGTGGCACATTGAGTCAATTTGCAGACCAAAATCTTGAATGTAAGTTCTACTTGAAAGCAAAGAAAAAATGGCGAAGCAAAATGGAAATGTAAAGCCATCTCAGCCTCAACACATGCAGGTGGAAAAGAGTCGAATCATGCACGAAGCATCGAACATCTATAGAACCAACACGCAACAATGAATATGCATACACGAAGCACCAGTTCGAAGATGCTACAACAGACATCTTATAAGACAAAAAGAAAACAGGGTATAGAGATATCAACAGCTCAACAACAAGGTGCAGTATTACAATTGCGGAACAGAATTCATCAAACTCTCCTCCCTATCCTTCTCACTGACACCCATAGGCAAGATCGAATCATCAGATGAGAACGAAGGCGTCCGCACACCCTCCCGAATCTGCGCCTGCGTAAGAGGCGACAAGCCCCGCCGAAGCGTGGAGCCTTTCCTCTTCCGCTGCTGCGGCGTCTCCTGTCCCGACGCTGTGCTTCCGCGACGGGGGCGGCTGGAGGTCGAAGAGCGGGAGGGGGGACGGTCGTCTATATCGACTGGGGTGGTGCTTCGGGAGGAAGTTCGGGAGTGGGAATCTGAGCGTGTGTGGCGGCGGGAAGAGGGGACACGCTGATCGGACACTTTGGAGATAGAGTGGTGGGAGTGGGTGAGACGGTGTTTGAATTCTGGTTCGATGGGTCGATGGACTGTTGCTGCTACCAGGCGACGGCGCTGGGAAGCACGCCAACCTAGGCCTAGCCTGGTAAACCAGGATTCTGTTTGGGCGAGGTGGTGCTCGCGTTCGCGGAGTTTGAGACGGATTTGAGCGCGGCGCTCGTTTTCTTTCTCCCAGAAATCGGTGCGGTATTCGTCCCAGTTTTCGCGGAATTCGGGAGAGAAGGACTTCGGTAGAAGGAGGAGACGGATATAGTCGCCTCCTGGGCTGAGGTCTTCTTCCACCAGGCCGGATTCGCTGTCTGTGCCGTTGTAGTACTGGTAGTGCTGCCGACTACCAGAACGTTTATCTGAAGGGTGCTGCTCCACGAAATGGTAGTTACCATTCGGGGAGGGGAAGAATGGAGCGGAGAATGGGAAGAGGAATGAGATGTACGAGAGCAGCTCCTGCCAGAAGGGACCGCGGATGACGATGATCTTTGTGTTCATTGTGCGCAAACCGCGATTGGAGACTGCGAGCCAGCGCCGGGGCCAGCGAATTCCCCGTTCCCATTGTCCGGTTCCCCAGACTAGGAGGGCCGTCACCACCCCGCCGAGTAGGGCGACTTTCTCCCCCATCTCCACTACCCAGTAGACAGAGCCACCGACTCCGCGGCCATCTTCACGTGGGCGCAGAAATAGGGCGTATACAAAATAGGCAAGCCAAATGGCGAGGAGGAGTAGGAAGAAGGTGTTTTGGCGGCGACGTTCGCGAAGCGCTAAGTACTGGGCTCGTAGTGAGGTTTCGAGGATTAAGAGGTTGAGGTAAATTTGGGGCGGGGAAGAGGGTAAGTTTGCTAGCGGGTCTGGAGTTGAGGAACGAGGCGCAGAAGATGAAGGGGTTTGACCTCGAGACCTTGAAGTCAATGGTTCTGGCGTTGAAGCGCGAGCATCCGGTGTTGGGGCGCCCTTGACCACCTGGTCTAAAGGCGACGCCATGACAGAGCAAGACAGAAAGATATAGCAAATGTTTCTGTTGTTCAGTTTAGAAATGAAAGAAAATCAACAACCAAAAGATAAAATCGAATCAAAACTGGCCGTTCCGGCCCAGGACGAATGTCATCGCATGTGAAGAAGAGAAGGAGAAAGGCGGAAGTTGGGAAAGATGGATCGTCAATCCACTTTCTATTCTTCGTTTCTTGTCTTCTTCTCTTCTCTAATTGTACACTTCCATTGATCATTTCAGTGCCTTGTTAGAATTAATATTACTACTACTATACTACTCTTGTCTCTTGTCTCTATTCCACTGAATATCATTGGATATCATCTCTTCGGGGTTTGTATGTCTACCTATCGGGGTTAAGCGGCGTGGCCGACCTGTCTCCGGCTTCTTTTCCTTTTTATACGCCCATGAGCGCCACAGCCCAACTCTTGCTGGCAGAACATTTCTGTCTTTCGCATTTACGTACAGGATCAAGATCAAAAACTCTTTCACCCTTCTCAACCGCCAACTATTGGGTCAGACCTCGATTTGACGTTGTTGCCACCCTCACTCGGCGTTGTCGTCATTCTTCAATGGCTTCAGAATCACTCAACTCGTCCCAAGAGGACGTCCGTGGACACCATGAACGTTCAGATGAAACATCCCGTAATGGTTCCTCACGAACACCCTATGCCACTCAGGCTGCTGCTGGCGCAGCAGCGGCGCGCGCATTTTTCCCATTAGGATATCGGGAAGGATTTAATCAATGGGTAAGCCAGGGTTCAAACACCAATGTATCGCGAATTTGCTAATACAGAATGTTTGGTTTGTAAAGTGGGCTCGTCTCCCTGCTGCTGCTGCCGAACATAAGGTCCTTTCCTATCTGCCTTACTTGCATCACCAACCCCCCACCCACCTCCAGACTGGAAACACAGCCGAGTTACCCAATGGCGCCACCCCGAGCAGTTTGGAAACTGCAGACCACAATCAGCTGCGCGAAGTCACCACCAGCTCCCTCGATGACCCTTATGGCCCTCGTCGGTGGACCTCTAGCATGGTGGAATTGAGCGGGAAAGACCGTGCGCTCAATGAGTTCTCGGTGGAGAGGATCGACGAGGAAGCAGATCAACATCTGGTCATGCTCCACGGTTATGGTGCCGGTCTTGGATTTTTCTATAAGAACTTTGAGCCGCTTAGTCGGCTCAAGGGCTGGCAATTACATGCCCTGGATATGCTGGGCATGGGTCGTAGTACTCGACCCTCATTCAAAATCAAGGCGAAGGGCAGAGAAGAGGCCATCAGGGAAGCCGAGGCTTGGTTTGTCGACGCATTGGAGGAATGGCGCATCAAGCGCAAGATCGATCGCTTCACATTGCTCGGACACAGTCTCGGCGGCTACATGGCTGTCGCCTATGCGCTCAAATACCCCGGCCATCTAAACAAGCTCATTTTGGCGTCCCCAGTTGGCATCCCAGAGGACCCATATGCCGTCACTGCAGATGTGGCCGAGCCCTCCGCATCAACATTGCCCAACGAGCTGACCCAGGATCAGCGTGAAATTACTTCATCTGCTGCCATTCCGGAGACAGCACCAAAGACCACCGACGGCAGTTTCATCACAGGCCGTCAACCACCAGCAGAGCCCGCTCAACCCCCACGACGAAACCTCCCCAAATGGTTCGCGTACCTGTGGGATGCCAACATCTCTCCCTTCAGCCTGGTGCGCTGGGCCGGTCCCCTGGGTCCCCGCCTCGTTTCCGGCTGGACCTCTCGACGTTTCTCCCATCTTCCGGCTGAGGAAGCCAAGGCGCTCCACGACTACTCATACTCCATCTTCAGTCTTCGCGGCAGCGGCGAGTACGCACTAGCCTATATTCTCGCCCCTGGCGCATTCGCCCGCAGCCCTCTCATTCATCGCGTCCAAGGCCTCGGACGACAATTGATCCATGATAATACCAGCGCTCTCCCCCACCCCATCACTGCTGCTACTGCCCCTCTGAACACTCAGGATACACCTGCTTCCACCACTGCTCCGTCTGAATCCCAGCCCGCTCGGCGCGAGAAGGGTCTTCCTGTCGTCTTCATGTACGGCGATCACGACTGGATGGATGTCTCTGGTGGCCATGCAGCAACGGATCGACTGGAAGCAGAGAAGAAAAAGGTTCTCGCGGACGCCACTCCTGAGGAGCGAGGTACAGACGAAGGATCCTCTAAAGTGGTTGTTATCAATAACGCTGGCCACCATTTGTACCTCGATGGCTGGGAGGAATTCAATAACGTGGTCCTCGCTGAGATGGAAGAGGTCAATCGTCGGGAAAGAAGTCGTCAGTCATGATCCAAAATGCTGACAAGAACTTCTTTTACCTGTTGTGAATAATGTTCTACGAAATCATGGGGCTGAGGTGCGGTGCGATGTCATATTGGTTGCTGTATACCTTGTAGCCTTTCTTTTGTTTTTCGGTGCTTGTCCTCTTCGCTCTTCTCCCATACATTTGGTACGGTACATATTGGTTAGAAATAGATAAGAGAGTATATGGCGTTAGCCAGTCAAACCCTTCATTATATTATTTCACCTTCTAATTAATATATCCTTCAAGATAAAAACCTATGTATTAGAGCTGAAGGCGAGGAGAGCAGTCTCCACAAATTCTGGTGCGAAACCATCGGTGCTTCGCAAAGCACCCAGGTATCACAAGATCAGCGAAAGATCTCGGAAGATGCCCAGCGGTAAGTTCACATGCCTCCCGTATGAATTCCCTGAGATCAAGAGTTCCCAGGTTGGACTGGATGAACGTCCTTTCGATTGTTCACGAGGTGTAGGTAATAGACCTCGCAATGATGGATGATGATGATGATGATGCCTCAGCATACTGCCCATACTGCCGCATGAAGTCTTCCACACTGGAACATAATCTAGCTTCTTAGGTATGCGTTAGGATAACGTTTCCTCCTGCCCCGATATATCCTTTGTGTAGACTCTTCCGATCGCAGTAAAAATCTTCAGGTGACTGTTGTTTCTTCAGGATTAGCCTCAGGCTAGCTAGTCTTCTGGAATCACCAAGAGCCTCTTATTTTCATTTTGAGGTTGTATTTGCCTGCGATTTTCGCTGCTGTATGTGGTCAGCATCTTGGATGGTGATCCTTCGGCGTCGTCCATTTAGGGGCTTGCCTTCCTTGCACGGCGCTCTGGCTTCTGTAAAATTTGCCAACGCTCAAGCCTGACCAAGCGACATGCCGTAACTTGGATTCTGAGACAGACTGTGCTCGCTCCTTTTCATATCGTCAACAATATGGTCATCTGAGAACTTCGCAATCTCAGAGATTACACTAAGGTTCGAGGAACACTGATGTTTTGACAAGACCAGGAGAATGGCATGGTGGGAAGCGTTTGTGGGAACACGAATGAATGATCTCCTCCCCAATGAATAGCCCTGACGTTCTTGTCATCAAGTTTGAAGAAAGTCTCCTTCCCTTCGCTGTCGAAATGAGTGTCTAATGTGGCCAGGTGCTTTTTGAGACGATAGTCATGAACTATGAACTGGCCATGTTTGGTGTTTGTAAATTGCTAGGGTCAAGCTAGTAGAGGTAAGATACAGCTAGGTTATTTAGTATATGTCCGCTTTACTATTAGTCTACATACTCACATAGATATAAGCAGGAAGGGACGTCACATAGGGCCGTCCTATTAGTAAGAAAAACCTCGACCTTCTTGCTATTTGTGGGAAGGAAATGCCATTATCTCAAGTTATGTTCTTGATGCTCTGTTTTATGCTATTTACGTCGTGGCCTGGAAAAGAAACCAATCAACCTATCAACCTATCCGCTACCCACCCAATCCTCTCGCAGGACCAGAGATACTCTGTCTCCGATGCCTTGGACTTGTAGGATAATGTGCCATCAAGCGCGACAGACCCAAGGACTGCGCATCCCGCTCTTCGGTCGACACCCCTGCCCCAGGCGTGGTATACCCACTGCCATTGGGGCTACTTCTCCCAGAGAGACCATGGCCACCCGAGGATCCAGGTCTTCTCAGAGAAAAATACCCACCACTGCTGTTGCTGCCGAAGCTGTGTCCAAGTCCCTCTCCAGAACTGGAGAGATACGAGCTTTGAAACGCCCCACTGTGAGCACCACGCGGGGGAGCCCGAACCTGAGAATATGACTGTGCGTATGGCTGGGGAGTCATGAATGGAGCTGGAAGACGCGGCGTGGAGGTTGTCATGTACTCTCTTGGATTGGGAGTGTTATCGGGCCTGGTCGACAGAGCCAGAGAGAGCCCTGTACCCGTTCGTCGGTCCGATGTCGTCAGGGAAGATGTCGTGAGAGAACGGTGGTGATGCTTTGATCCGTAATGCTGGTTATCGGCGTAGCTGGTTCGCGGGTCTGCTGCTCCCGCCAGGGATTGGAAACTGTGACCATTGCGCGAGTCGCTGTCATAGTGCGTTGGGCTGCTCAACGCACTCCCGGCATATGTACTGGTGCTCAGAGTGATGAGTTGAGAGGGAAGTTCGAGTCGATTGTTCAAACAAAGCCAGGCACGTTCATCCGCGTCCATGTTTGGGTCTACATCGCCGCGGGTGCTATGGTTTGACGAAGACGAGGTCGAACTTGCAGCTTTATCGTTCGGGTGGGCACTGCGTGCTTTACCCGGTCCGTAGGAGCGCCAGCCGCCTACGCCCTCGAAGTCACGTCGTTCATCGCCGCTTATGGGGAAGCCGTAGAGAGGTGTTGATGGGGATAGGTTGTGGGCCTCTATCATGCTCCTGGCATAGGAGTTTCTCTTACGGTATGCAGGATCATCGAAGATAGCTCCAAGGGCCCTGGAAGTCAAAGAGTCATTTGGCTTGCGGGGTTGCGTCCCATGGCTAGAATTCCGTCTAGATCTACCGCTAGCGGGAGTGGGAGGTTCCGAAGCCACGAACGTCAATAATGATGAAGTTGACGAGGTTTGCACCGAGAAGAAATGCAGGAGCAGTCCGCAGACAAGCTCAACATAGACCACTGATAGTCTGAGTATTAGCGCAATGAGCGCGAAGGATATTGTAACACATGCTGATAGAATGAGTGGAATGGAGATGAGGGCCAAGATGGGCAGCGCAAGCAATGTTGTTATTCTAGACCACATTGAGGTATGATAATCTCCATCAATCTCCCCAAGGGAGAAAAATTGAAGAAAAGCTCATCGGCGTCAACAACGCGGAGAAAGCATGTGATGGGCTTACATGCCCCAGGCAGCGATTACATCACTTCTTCCCCGGGTTTTCTAACTTCTGCTTTTTTTTCGTTTGAACTTCTTGATTTCGACTTGAATTCAACTACGTCGGAAGCCAATTCATTCAATATGTCTGAGGAGGAGCCATTTCCGTGGGAAATAGGTGTCTACGACGCCCATTGTCACCCCACAGACACAATGGCCTCGGTCGTCGACATCCCGCACATGAAAACGACAACACTGACGATCATGGCCACACGCGGGGAAGACCAGGATCTTGTACAACACACTGCTGCATCACTTGTAGGCGAAACTAGCCAATCACAGACAGACCGCATAGTTCCATGTTTCGGCTGGCACCCGTGGTTCTCGCACCAGATTACGGACGACTCCCAAGCTACCCCAAACACGCGGAAAACAGAGCATTACGCCGCCGTCCTGACACCATCTCCGACAGACGACCTAACATTCCTTGACACCCTCCCGGACCCAAAACCACTCTCAGAATTCATCTCCGAGACCAGAGCCCGCCTCCAACAATTTCCCAATGCGCTGGTCGGCGAAATAGGCCTAGATAAAACATTCAGATTACCAGGCCCATGGACACCAGAAGACATCGACAGTCGCGATGACCAGATTACACCTGGGTCCCGGGAAGGGCGACGCCTAACACACTACCGCGTCAAGCCAGAACACCAGCGCAGCATATTGAAAGCGCAGCTCCAGCTAGCAGGGGAGATGAACCGTGCAGTGTCGCTGCACAGCGTGCAAGCGCATGGGGCGGTCATCGAGGTCCTGAAAGAGGTATGGGCAGGCCATGAACGGGTCGTGTTATCGCGACGGAAGAGAGACCGACAGCGGGATGCGGAGGGAGCCGTTTCCGAAGACGAGGAAGATGAGGTTCCTCCTTCGAGGCCTTTCCCGCCTCGAATCTGCATGCATTCTTATTCAGGGTCTGTGGATCCGATCCGGCAACTCATACATAAGTCCAATCCGTCGGATATCTACTTCTCGTTCTCGAGTCTGATTAACCTCAATGGTGCGCCGGCTAGAAAGGTTGGAGATGTTGTTAAGGCTCTCCCTGAAGATCGGATTTTGATCGAGAGTGATCTCCATAAGGCTGGTGCGCAGCTGGATGAGTTGATGGAGGATGTGGCAAGGCAGATTTGCAAGTTGAGAGGTTGGGAATTGCGGCATGGTGTTCAGTTGCTTGCGGATAATTGGCGGCGGTTTGTGTTTGGTTGAGGCTTGCATTTTCATTGCTGCATCCTCGACAGTCGAATCTCGATTTGAGTCGTCAGTGCTTTCTTTGTGAGCTGCGCGATTAGCGAAACCGCATACAGGGCGCGGTCTGTTTTCCTTTTTGTAGGCATTGCGTTGCGGGATCAATCCCAGAACACAACACTGGAGATTTCTACCTATTATTTTATGATCATATAATGGAACTGATGGAGATCAGATATTGTTCGAACGGTAAGGCTGAGCCTTTTCACTTAATGATTCTTTAGATGCACAAAATGACTGTATCCGATATCATTATTTGTAATTATATGACATGGTATAATTCTATCATTGTACGCGATCGTTTGTGACATGGTATCATAGGGCTGAGTGTTGGAAATTTTGAACCTGTATGCGTCTGTGGCCTGACATGGTAGCGAAAAATTTCGTGCGTATAGTGGTGTGCCCTGGCGTAGCTCGTCTCGTCGTCAAGGTGGGAAGAAAGGTATATGGCGAGTAAAGGATAAGAAGCATGAAGACCCTCTCGAGGATATTTAGAAGCAGCGAGTCATGGCTAGCCGTGAATCCATCCTCCATCATGGATGAGATCTGCCATCGGAGCATCCTGCCAGTATATCTGCCGCCACTCGTCTTCAAGCTCGGGCAGACCCTCAACTCCGACGGGAGGAGGCAGGTCTACATCTCCAAAGGAGAACAGTTGCCGCCAGTCTGGATAATCTCGAGCTGGCTCGATGGAATCCACTTGCATACTGCTCGAGAAAGGATCGTTTCTTTCCATTGGGCCGACGTTGAGCCGGAGAGGGGCAATCCAGTTGGTGAATTGCGGAGCATTTGGTTGTGGCGAGAGAGTAGTCTGCTGTAGGGATGTGGTAGACTCGGGGGTGGGGACACCGAAAGACATTGCCCGAGGAGTCTGCATGGTGATTGATGAGACGGGAGAAGCAACAGGCATTTTGTGTGAATGTTGAGCGTCGCCGAACGGCTTGGGCCGTTCTGTGGTTGCCATTCGAAGATCCTCTTGCAAGCGCTTGGAGTCCTCGAAGAGTCGCAAGATCGTGCCCGCATGAACCCAGTACTGGGCCAACTCGCGCAGCGAGTAAGAAGCGGAGTCGAATCGTCGTAAGGCGTTGATCGCAAGAACAGGATTTGAGAATCGAAGTTCTACCCGAACTTGAATCATAGCCGTGAAGAGTGTATGAACACCAGTGTACCAGAGGAATTTTAAGCGGTCATTCATCCTGAGCTCTTCAAAAATGGACGCTATGACACCAGCGGCTGCACTGCAAATTTCTGCGTCATGGGGACCGTAGTCATCGGAATAAGCCGAGGCCCTGGGATGCGGCCGATGCAACAGAATGAGGAAGTTGTTGTAGGTCAAATGGAGCATGGCAGACCAGGGATCCATATCAGATGCTCGAAGGCGAAGATTATCGGGAAGCTTCAAAGACCAGGTTGCCAGTGATCCATCCGCTTCTTGAAGAACGGCCTTTCGTCGCTCCTCGGTGGTTCGAAGCCCAAATCGGTCGCGAATGAGGTAGGAAATCATTGTGCAAAGTTCAGTGAAGTGGATCACGAATTCTGCTTGCACATGAGGGCCGCAATTCTCGAAATCAGCAGGCGTCAGGGGAGACACATCAGAATCGTCCAAGTTGATTGCTTGCGGTCGACCATATGACAGGGATACCATCACATCGAATTGGACCAAAATGAACCATACTCGTCTCCACATTCGCCTATCACGAGTCACAAAGCTGCTGGAAACGGGGTTGCGGTGCATGCCAAGACCTGTGGCAATCCGTGCCGCTGCGCCAACCCAAAAATGAGCATCTGCAGCGACATCATCATCTGCGCTATCAGAATGCCACGTCAAAAGAAGTGCAGCTTGAACAAGAATGTCTCGATTTCGCTCAATGCGATTATCGAACAGATACTTGGTGCGGCGGAAGAAAATTTCTTTGAGAGCATCTCGCTCTACTTTTGCGCGAGAGACATGCGCTCCAACCAACAAAATTGCCTGAAGGAGTAAGATTGGCGGGGGATCTGCAGGGTCTCGATTTCGATACTGCGTCATGAAGAGATCCTCGTCAATAATAGGATAACCCGGATTGACATAGGTGAAGTACGCCTGAACCAGTTCATCCGCTAGAGGCGGTTCCGGAAGTGTGAGAGCATCCATGAGAAGCTGATCATGGCCTGTCTTCATTTGGCGCCTTGGTATTTCGTTGCTGGCAAAATGATATACATCATCATCTTGGTCTCGTTGTTGCCGGATCAAAAAGGACATATTTGAAAGTTCGTGTCCAACATAGAAAGCCCGCACGCCTCTTTGGATTTCCCTTCTACCGGATTCCTCTTCGTCAATCAACTTGACAAGGTGTTGTTCCATTTCGCTGTGGGCCTCGTGGGCATGCGCCATATCGGGGCCTTGGCGGCCAAACCCCTCTGATCCCGTGCCTTGTGGATAGCCATGTTGTGAAAGACCCCCAGAGACAGGCGTAGCATGGCCGTTTTGGAACGCAGTTGGAAAGCTTGGTGGTAATGGGGTTCCTGCTGGATGAGAGGGGTTCGAGGTAGGATCCGTCAGCGGGAGAGGCCGAGATCGGATAGGAACGGGATCTAGGATAGAGCGAACTGCAAGACGCTTTTTCTTTTCGTGTATACGACAGTCGGACTTTCCAGAGGCCCGACAATTGGTGCAGGGTGTTCCGACGGAACGGGCATCACAGCGAACCTTGCGCCGGTGGCAGTGGACACAAGCTGCAGCGCCTAAGAGTTTTTTGAGTCACCGGTCAGCAGCCAAGTCTTGTGGGATGATATCCGAGCAAGAAGGGGTCCAAGTTTTTGTTCCATATTGCCTAGGCGAGACCAACGGACATAGACAGGCGCTTACCTTGTTTGCGCTTGCTCACCCCATCGACCGGGAGCGGCGAGGAGGCGTTATCGTTGACGGAGGACATGGTAAAGGTACTATTGACATCATTCTATGTCCAAATCGGCCACGATTCCGCATGTTCCGAGTCCAGATCACCAGTCAGTTCAGCGCATCATGGGCGAATTCCAGAACGATTGCCGAGGGATAGCAATCGACACGATCAAAGAGACGAAAAAGTCGGGAAGTTGAGGGACTGCGGGATCGGGTCCGGTGGAGCCCTCACGTGGATGCGGAGAAACTTGATTATGTAAGACGGGGTGGCCTAGGGTTTGGGGTTTGTACAACGCTGTAGGGTTCTATACTTCTCCAGGGCTGTAGACTTGAATTCGATTTGATTTGTCGTTTGTTGACAGGCTGGAGCCTCTTGTAAGCAATCATTAGGAGACATATTACCGCTGGTTGATAGGTGACTTGGCAAAGAGGCAAATTTCATGTTGAAGACTAGACGGATATGTCCCAAGGGGTTTTCAATTTTTGTTTGAAAAAACATGGAGTCAGTACCTGGATGACCAATGAAGCACTGATAGGTCAGTAGTAACCGCTTCCTGACCGCTTTTCTAATCATCTCTATACAGATGCGCCGAACCTTAGGGTACCTAACCCTCTTTTACAATGTAGACCTCCATAAGATCAAGTACTCCGTACTCTGTTCCTTTCAAACGAATAATAAAAATGAAAAACCGTGTTTATAATTCTCCTTTACGCCTTGAATTCTTGTTCTTCTCTGCTATCTTCGTTTTATCGTTTATTATCACGATTGTTTTACCAGACGCGCTCGTGGTCATGGTACGAAGTGAGCTAGTAGCCGAGGACGAGGAGAAGGAAGACCCCCTTACAACTCCAAATTACACCTTCTGCTTACTAGCCGTTTCTGTTTGCGATTTCCCGAGGTCCTTCTGCTAATCGATTCACAGATATTGTGGTGTCTCGGAATTCAGATCAATCAACTAAAGCTGACTCGCGCTAAGAGAAATAGTTCCTTGTAGCGCAGAGACCAACAAAGAGCCACTGTATTCTTTGCGGAGTAGTATTATTGCAATTAATATACTACCCTTATCATATCCCAGATAAATCGATCTGGATCGTGATTGACAATCGAAAGTCCAGCTGATCACTCAACTAGTGCAGTGCAGTGAGTTCTTATGTTCCTCGAAATTCACCCGGTTTGTTGTGACTTGATACCGCCCTCAGTAGATGTATTGGAAATATGGAGCAGGATTGCTTTTTCCGGAGCATAACAGGCCGTTGTGCCGAAGACTTGATGAATCCAATTATGAACGCACGCATTTTCTTTGTAATTTAAAAATCTTTTAAAGCCCCCCTAACTACCCCCCTACTATTCATCCAAACCACAATCACGATCACAATATGACAACAGTAACGAAGCTTATCACTGTTGTTGGAGCTACAGGCATCCAGGGAGGGTCGGTGATTGCTGCTGCCCTGAAGTCTGGTGACTACAAAATCCGTGGGATTACTCGTGATGTCAATAGTGATGCATCTAAGGCACTGGCTTTGCAAGGGGTGGAGATGGTGAAGGCTGATTGGAACGACGAGGGTACCCTAGTGGGAGCATTTGAGGTGAGATCCATGCTTAATGCGCTTTTCAAGTAAACCGCTAGGTCGACTGACTGAAAAAGGGATCATATGCCATCTACGCCGTTACCGATTACTGGGCCGGATTCATGACCCAGAATGTTGAGGAACTGATTGATATTGAAAGTAAGCAAGGAATCAACCTTGCTAAAGCGGCTTCTCAAACCGCCTCTCTAAAGCACTTCGTATGGAGCACGGTCCCTGACAACGTGAAGATTTCGGGTGGCAAACATCGTATACCTCATTTTGAGGGAAAACTCAAGGTCGATGAGTTCATCAAGCAAGATAAAAATCTACTCACCAAGACGACCTTCCTTTGGGTCGGATACTATGGGACGAACATTGCTCTGCCAATGATTGTTCCAAATCTTCTGGTGGGTTTTAGAACTTCAACTCAGCAAGCAATGTACTGACTACTGTGCAGAAAACATGCGGCAAATATGTCCAGCTATTCCCTGTCTCAGAAGACACGCCCATCACAACAGTGGGCGATCCTAAAGTCAATACCGGCATCTACGCACTCGCAATCTTCAACCAACCCCAGCTCACAATCGGCAGGATTGTTCTGGCCCAGAGTGAGACCAAAACAACTCGTGAAATTATCAACTTGTGGTCCCAGGTCTCAGGCAAGCCTGCTGACTACATTCAAGTTCCTCTTGATCATTATGATAATCTATGGCCCAAGTGGGGACGGGAGATTGGGCTTATGTTACAGTTTTGGGAGACAGCTCGTGAGAAGAGCTGGACTGCTGATGGACCCGTTTTGACAAAGGAAGATCTAAACATCTCGGGCTTGGTTGGCATGGAGGAAATTTTCAGCTCTCTTGAGTGGTGCTGAGCATTGTGTGTACACCACAAGAAAGCTGACTACTGGACAGGCATAATGTCTATCCATTTGCAGAGGAAACGTATCTTGAATACGAGAAATAGCGAATCACCTACCTAGGTAGTCACATATAAATAGGCAACATAGGCAACATGTATATATCTGTGATAAGATCGGAGTGGCATTATCAAACCACCAAACTAATCTCTGCCACACGACGATTGATCTATATTTACATAATTTCTATACACAATTCATTCGAAGTTGAATGGTCTTCCAATGCGGTAGCGAAAAGCGCCATTCATTGAAAGCACCTAGATGTGGCTTGAAGGTTGGAGTTCGCAAATCAGTGAATTTTAGTATCCTATACTAGTCAAATATTCCGCAAGCTGTCTAACGATGCTCGCAGCTTCTCCAGGTTGCACTGTTTCAGGATAATGTGCGATCACTATTGATTGCGATGATTTCACCACACAAACACCCTCTTTACCCTATAATATGTCCACAATTTAACGATTCATCAGCCCGTGTCATTATCAAGATACCTTACCTTTTCGGCGTAGATGCTCTGATCATCTGCTTTGGTAACCTGAAGCGTTTCGCCTGCGATATAGAGACCACCGGAATATAGAGGGATTGAATCTTCGAATCCTCTCAGTATGTACTGAAGTTCCTCTAGTTGAACCTATTGTGAGACATTTGAGTTGCTGGGATCCCTAAAAGTGAGACTGGAATATTCCAATAAAAGCATACATTGAACCCTGCACTCTTTGCACGCAAAGCATCGCCCGCAGCTGAGAAGATAGCAGCTTTATCGATTTTTTTAGATCCCACCAGAGTTTGATCGACCCAACCTGTAACCATGAGATTAGTTCTTGAGCAGTCATTACAAACGGAAGTCTATATACCTTGCCAGCTCATTTTGGGACCAGAATAAGCCTGGAGGCTGATATTAATAGACCGAGGGAGTTTTGATAAGTTGGGGGGAAAACGGTGAGGTGTAGCTCAAGGGGTAACCACGTTTGAGGATATTTTGGTTAAGCCAATGATAAGCACTTGTATAATTTGCCCTTCAGATATACACTTCTATCATCCCTGGCTCTTACTTTTTAGAGTGTTTGTCTTGGTGTAGGAAATATGCGTGGCAAAGAAATGGAAAATAAGATTTAAGGCCCTTGCGAGTGACGAGCCAATAGAAGAGTATATTGAAGTTGTTTACATCATACTGTACAGTAGAGAATTGCCCGCTGAGGAATCTCTAAGCCGAACCCCACAGAAACCAAGTTTTTTCTTGTTATAACTATGTATGCAGCTTTTCACACACCGCTATTTCAAGCACTCAAATAGTAGAGAGAATATAACTATTGTTTCCACATCTTAGAGTGGTTGGCCCAGACTCAATTTGATGTTTTCTCGCTATCTACATTATCTACTCCGCTTATTTCTTATGGTTATATAGTCTCACCAGGCGCACTTGCTATGAACCAATACCTAATCACAGCCCAAAACACATCTTCAAGGATGCTTTCAAGACAGAACCCAGAGAAGGTGAAAAAGAGAAACAGCAAGAAATCTACCATCAATAACCAAAGTCCTTTGAATATACGGAGTACGTCAAGTATAGATCTAGAAGCAGCTTGAAGCATCTTTAAAGACAACAATTCTTTGAGAGCCGCATTTCAAAGTACACTAACCCGATCGGTTGAGAGTGGTCCCGTAGATCTCTCGTTCCAGGGTTTCCTTAGCTACTGCCCTTCAATTCTTGAACATTGCGGTCCAAAACGAGGTCGCTTTGGAGAAGATCATAAATACCCTGAAAATGAGAGCATTCGATTTGTCATTCAGCCTTTGACCAAAAAAGCAAAATCACCGTACTCGATCAATAGTCTCAAAGCTGTCTTTATGCACGGACTGCCAACTCACTATGTCAACCCGTATTCTGCGCTATGCTCTCACTGAGCAGAAGAGCTATCTCAGCTGGATATTCCAAGCTATCTCCTTTCGCTCCACGTATGGAGGGCGCAAGAAGAATTTAGCTTCGAATGGAGCTCCCTTGATTCAGGCATGTTCACTAGCCAATGAGATCCCATACTTCATGCAGCCTCCCAATGGTATGCCGAGTCACCCAAGCTACTATTTCCGACGAAGCGGATCTCAAGTGCAGAGCTATTTCGGGTCACGAAAGCCACTCATATTGGACCAATTACTCGTGGGCACCCGAGAGATCGGCACAGATAGGTACACAAGAGCGGATCCCTGGGCCAGGGGCCATGTCGGCGCCATGCTGGGGCTGACTGCGGCTGCCAGACAATTTTCGAATCGCGATACCTTGCATAGTCCATTGCGCAACGTTCAAAATACCTAAGACACCCGCGACGCCCCTATAAGCAGATGTACCCCCAATAACCAGCCTAAATCGGGTATCTTTCTTTCCCGTGCCTGTATAGTATCGGTGATCTTTGATTACACAGTCACCATGAAGTTGTCTGTGTTATTTGGTTGCGTTGGACTAGGCGTTGCTTCGGCTGTCCTCAAGAACTCCCCGACAAAACGGTTCGAATTAAACCTAACCTGGGGAACGAGAGCGCCCGATGGAGTCGAAAGACAACAAGTTTTGATCAACGGTCAATTCCCTGGACCTCCTCTCATCCTTGACGAAGGCGACAATGTTGAGGTGACAGTGAACAATTTCTTGCCGTTCAACACCACAGTGCATTATCATGGAATTGAGTGAGTTTCCTCTTCAAAACAAAAAGGAAAAAAGACGTGGAAGGTTTGTGCAGTGGTTAATATAAAATTAGACAACAAGGAACATCCTGGTCGGATGGTGTGCCCGGGGTCTCGCAAAGACTAATTGCCCCTGGAAGGAAATTCGTTTCTAAATTTGCAGCAGCGCAATATGGAACATACTGGTCAGCCGATTCTTTACCACTATGATATGAAAACACTAATTTTTTCTAAGGTATCACTCGCATTCCAGAGGACAAAACATGGACGGCTTGTATGGACCAATTTATATCAGGTGTGTTTACCCAACTGGAATTCAATTCTCGCAACCGACTAAAAGATTTGTATCTTAGACCTCGAAACATTGACGCAAACCTCGCTACTGCGATATCGAATGACACCCATGCTCATTCCCAAATTCATAATGCGATCCAAGATCCCAAATTGGTCATGATATCCGATTGGTTCCACCAAACCTCAGAGGAACTCCGAAACATTGCACTCGCGGCAGACATTGACGCACTGTAAGCAATATAAAGTAATGTGGGGAGAAACACTAACCAGAAATCTAGATGTGCAGATTCCGTGTTGATCAATGGCAAAGGCAGAGTTCGCTGTGTCGACCCAGGCTATCTGACTAGTCTGGTGCCCCCTCAGCTTTCACCTCTGCTTCAAGGTCAAAATTTCACAGCAAAAGGGTACGTATTCTCCATGTATGGATCGAGAAGGAAAGCTTATATGTGATGCACCACAAAGATGTCTTCCAATCCACAACACATATGCCCAAACGACATTTGCTCAGCATAACTATACCGCAGTCCCACCGTCTATGTTTGACCAATGCAATGCCACAAGCTCCCCAGAAGAATCAATTCAAGTGGATCCTCGAGATGGCTGGACAAGCCTTAATCTTATTGGCTCCGCAGCTATCTCAAGTCTGACATGTATGATTTTGTATAGATCAGCCATTGACCTAAAATCGTTAGCTGACTAGATCATAGTTTCTATCAACAATCATTCCCTTTGGGTATACGAAGTTGATGGTCAACATATCGTACCCACCAAAGTCGATGTATGATCCATCATTCTTCAAAACCAACACCTCACTGCATCATACTGACCAAGACACATATAGGCTGTGACAATAAGCAACGGAGCCCGCTACTCTGTGCTAGTCCAACTAAACAACACACCCGGCGACTACCGAATCACAGTAGCCAATGCAGGATATAACCAAAAATTCGCGGGCTACGGCCTCCTCTCCTACATCAACGGCGACCCCTCTGTCGTAGGAACCCAGTCTATCAACTACGGTGGAGTCAGCACAAGCCCAGACGTCGTGCTTCTAGATGAAACAACCGTCAAGCCACTGATTCCAAACCAGCCCAGCGAAGAAGCAGACTCGACATACCGGCTTACGGTTGGGCGTATTGAGAAGGCCTGGAAATGGTCTCTCAATGGAGATCAAGCGTACGATTTGTCGCTCGAGTCTGAGAAGCCTATGCTGTGGAATCCCCAATCACAGGCAAATAGTAGTCTGGTCATCGCTACGCAAAATGGTACTTGGGTGGATATTATCTTCGACGTCTCTGGGAGCGCGACCACGCTTCAGCCTGGTCATCCGATTCACAAGCATTCGAATATGGTTTATGTTCTTGTGAGTTTTTTGGCCTTTTTTTTTTGCTGTCTGAGACTAACCTTGAATCAGGGCGCTGGTACTGGCAAGTTCAATTGGACATCTGTTGCGGAAGCGAGGAAGGAAATCCCGGATTTGTTTAATCTGGTTAATCCCCCAATGAGAGGTACGATATTCGAACTGCCCTGGAATGGCTTTGAGCTGGAAAAATCCTCACGGGTCTTGTAGATACCTTCACAACAATTCCTGCCTTCCTAGGCCCTAGCTGGATGGTAGTTCGCTATCACGGTAAGTTGCCTGCAATTCTGTCGCTGTTTTGTTTCGATGGGCTCAAGACTAATATCCTGGATCTTATAGTGGAAAATCCTGGAGTGAGAAAGCAATCCAAGAATATATACTTACCACGACCTTTATGCTAACAAGTTAGGCTTTCTTCCTCCATTGTCACATTGACCCGCACCTTACAGGTGGAATGGCGTAAGTTCAAATCCCAGAATACGGCACTTGATAAGATATTGACTGGGCCTTGCAGACTTGCTATGTTAGACGGTATAGATACATGGCCTCAGATCCCTGCACAGTACGGCCCGAACGGCCATTGGGGCAAAGCAACGAAGTGAACGACACTAACTACCGTGATTTAATCTTCATAAATACATATGGTTCAATTTTCATTCGAGACTAGCACTAGATTAGCACCAATAAGAGTCGATACAGCATGGATGGACCGAAGCTAGAGTAGTCACAACCGGCTAATTCTTGCTGAATCGAGCCTGTCCCTCCAGACCAGCCTTCATGATCATACCAAAGATCTCAATATCCTTCTTCGCATCCTCCGAGGTAGTTTTCGCCGGCTTACCATCAACAACAAAAGCATATAACTCCTTCATTTCCAAAGTGTAAGCATCCTCATAGGTCTTCCGGATCATAGACTCCCGGAAAGATCCATCCTCCAATTTCTCTCGAATATGCATAGTAGTCGGCAGACCCTTGACATAAGGCGAATCAAAGCAAACCTTGACAGTCTTCCGGCCTCCAAAGACCTCGATCGAGGCATCAAAGCGAGGAACCTCATCAATTCCAGACTCATAAGAGACAGCAAAAGAGGGATACTGAAACAGCGCACTAAATTGAATCAGCACCAATCCCAACCCCAACCCAAACTGTTAAACATACCTCCAGAACTGCGGCCCCTTCGCAGTACACAAAGACGCACCAAGAACACCACATGGCATTCCCAGCGCCTCCCGCATAGCACTAAGATCATGAGACCCCAAACTGCCCAAGTTCCTCCACTGATTCGCCGTATCCTCGGAAACCTCAATCCCAAGCTCAGCACTCAACCCCTGCTCCAAAAACTCCCTAGTCTTAGCAGCCAACTCGCTAGAATCCTCAGCTCTAAAATCCGAAAACACCTTCGGGAAAGTCCCGGACTGCCCAACAAAATCCGAATTCGGCCCGACGATATCTCTCACACGCGCATACTGCACCTGGTCCAGGGATCCGATTTCCTTAACGGCGTCAATGAACGCACTTGCATACCGCCGCATATAGCCAACCATCACTTTGCCTGGCGAATCCTTTTCCAGGGCGATGATACTATCCGCGTCTTTGAGGGAGAGAGCCATTGGCTTCTCGATGAAGACGGTTTTGCCGTGGTGCAGGGCCAGCAGGGCGTGCGGGACGTGGAAGGCGTCGCTGTTGGCTATCATGACGATGTCAACTTCTGGGGCGGAGCAGAGGGTTTCTGCGGAGCGGGTTGTGTGTGGCTTTTCGCCGGTTACTTTGCTTGCGCAGTGCGCGAGGGCGCCGTCGGAGACATCGCAGAGGTATGTTACTTTGAATTTGTCGGACAGGAAGCCTAGTGTGGGGATGTGGGCTACTTGGGTGATCTCGCCGCAGCTGGAATGGTCAGTATGTAGGCTTTGAGGGCTTGATATGTTGCTTTTCATACCCGATTATGCCAACGCGGAGAATAGTCATGTTGAGAGCAATGACGTAATGGGGATGGGATTTGAGTCGGGGGTGATTCTTTGGAGATTTGTAAGATTGGAGGGTTCAAGGATCGAAGAAAAAGATATTGACGATTGGATCCAACACTTCCAATTGATATTTTTAAATCAAGCACTCGAATATGTCGAGGAGATTGAATTGAATTTCGGTCGATCTCTGCCCCACGGAACTGCCCCGCAGGGCTGCACTTCTTCCTTTTGTCTATGTCCAGACTATATATGTACACTTATATACACCTATACACATATGGAGATACATCCACCTCACGAAGAGAACTGTCTATATCCCTGAATAACAGCCTCCCACCCACCAGGATGATTATACTCGGTAGGATTACTCTTCCCATCCAAGATCATGACATCGGCCTTCCTGGTCCCAATCGAATACCAAACCAGATTCTCTGGCGAGCCAGTGACACGCATCATATTCGTCTGACAAGACCCACTGCACTGCGTCCCATAGTCACCCGTCCACTCGCCATTGAAGAACGCCCAAGCAGCACTATTATAGAGGAAGACATCCTTCCCACCATCGACATTCGTCGCCAGCGCAGTGCGACACTTCCCATCGGCACCACCGCACCACGAGAAATCGGGATCGCCAATCGCGCTCTTAGCCGTCCAAGGCGCAGGCGCGAGCCTCGTAGCCCCCTCGCCCTGCATGTACGGTGACTCCGTCTGCAACATGCCGCCGTAGACGTTCTGCGCAGACCGGAAGTTGTAGTTGTATAGCCAGTGGTGCTCGGACCCCGTGCCGGTGAGCCATGTTCCTTTCGTTGCTTCGACGAGGATGCCGCGGCCGGTAGAGATGATCGTGTACCCCGAGCCACCGTCGAGGTTGTGATCTGCGGTCCAGCCCCAGAAGTTCTCGATGTAAGCTGAGGAGGATTTGGTCAGATGCATGACCATGAAGGCGGCCATGCATTTAGAGGTGTCTTGGTTAGAACAGTTGTCTTTGATGCTGGTTTCGGCTGTACCGCCGATCGTCGCGATTGTGTTCCACAGGGCGACATCGCCGGGTTTCGTACCTGCAGCGTTGATTTCGAGGATTGTGGCGCCGGGGAGGATCTCGGAGACGCTAAAGCGCATATTTTGGATTTCGATGGTGCCGACGTCGTTGGCTTGTCCGACTTGGACTACTGGTTTAGGGTTGGAGGCGTCTTTGAAGGCATCGCCTGCTCCGGAAATCACGGCCCAGGCTTCGCCTGCAATGCGCGAGCCCACGGGGATCTTGAGGGTATCTTTAACGATGTAGACACCGTAGGGGAAGTAGCTGATCTTGCAGTTCGCTGCGTTGTTTGCTAGAATGGCGTTGAGGGATGCCACGTCGTCTGTTGAACCATCGCCCTTAACGGGGTGGCCACTGACATTCTTGACGTTCACGACTTGGTCTGCGGCATACTCGGCGTAGGTGGGCTGGCTGCGAGTGAAGAACTTGCCATTGGACAAGAGTGCATCTGGTCTAGTGGTTGTGTAGCTCTTACCTGTCACGTACTGGCCAGGGGTTTCATTACCCCAGATCCAAGTATCGACCTTAGCAGTGGCAGCGAGCTTCACTTTGTTGCTGCTATCGACCGCAATTGCATTGTTGGTGTCGTGAATAAGGTTCTGGATGACCAGCTGGCTATTGCGGTTACCGCTGTCATTGGAGGAATCGTGGAATTTTACCACGGTACCAGAGTTGGTAGACTTGGAATCCAGCAAGACCAGGCTTCCAAGTCCATTGCTGCTCATGTCGACGCCCAGACCAACCGTGTCAAATGTTGCGCCTTGCAGAAGAGCAGTGTGGCCACCAGAAGCCAAGAAGCCAGTCGTGCATTGTCTGAAGTAGATATTCTTGAAGTTGACCTGCTGGTTCGAGTTCTTGATACCGACAACACCGCCCGTAATGTCAACATCCGTCACAGCAATGGTAGATCCGGCATTGATGTTGATACCAGTGTGTCCGGTGGAGCTGGACGGCATCTTGATCTTAACATTGGTCAAGCCAGATCCCTGAGCAACACCCCATTGTAACGCAGTAATCTTAGTATCGGCGCTAAGAGCCGTAGTATCGATGACAACGTTGCGGAGGAGCGTCATAAAACTAGTCTCCGGCTGACCGTTCTTACTATCGAATCCATTGACAACAGTATCACCTTTAAAGCCGGCCGCTGCTTTGAGAACCGGCGGGTTCAACGGGTCACCGGTAATTACCGTGCCGACACGCAGGTTCAAAGTACTTCCCAGCTGGTAGGTACCGCCGGGGAGGAAAACTTCGGCAGGGTACCTGGTGACACCCTTACCCTCACGGCTGCCTTTGGATCCGTCGTCATTGATGGCTTTCTGGATGCTGCTGGTTTGATCACCAGATCCGTCGGCCGACGCAGAGTAATCTTTCACGTTGCGCCAGACGGGGTAGTTGGCGTTGGATACTTCAGGGGCATAGCCTCGAGGAATGCCGGTGTGGTCCTGGTCCAGCATCCAGTAGGATGTGGGAGAGGAGGCGATGGGCCCCGTGCAAGTATCTCTCTTGTGAGCATCGCTGTGGATGATGTTAGGAAATGATATGGATTGTTTGTGTGGAACTCACTGATGAACGGCAGCGGCTGAGGCCGAAGCTAGCGCACTCGCTGCCGCAGTCCACCATAGAAGACTACGCATGTTCGTATGAACTGGACTATGTCCAAAAGAAGGAAGTATATACGAGGTGCAAGATAAAAGAATGAATACGAAGAAATCAGATAATTTTGGAGCATACTCTCAATTTATAAGAAAGTCCATACAGATCTAAGACAAGTCATATAGACTATACTCGCATTCGTTTAGAAACTCAGCAGGCTCTATTTTTGGTGAGATTTGAGCCAGCTGAAGGGTCCACGGGTAAGTATGATGTACCTTGAAGAAAGAAAACACAATCTACTCGCACTCTATTTCCTAGCTAGGTAATTGCAATCTCCGATCCTGCTTAAGTTTCATGCGGCTAACAGTGGAGGCAGGGGATGCCTGAAGATGAGTGGGCATTCAGCATTGGGGGCCATTTCGTGGCTTTTGAGGGACCGTTCAGGGTCTTTTTAGGGGCATCTTAGGGTTGCGGAGTTGATCCTAATCGGGGAACTGGTCTTGGGAAATTTGGGACCCGCATGATAATCAATTTGGTGAACAACTTGAGAAAACCTCTCGTTTCGACCAAATGATCCAAGTGCAATACAATATTCCGTAGTGTATCCTTGAATAGATCCCAAGACGGGACCTCCGGATGCTTCTTGGCTTCCAACGTTGCATTTGTTTTCTTGAAGGCTTTCTCTCTACTTGAAACTCGTGGCTAGTTCCACTTTTACTCGGCATTTACCTTCTCAAGAATATAAAAAATACGCACAACGTAGCAAACGTAGGGGACAATGTGTTCCATTTACTCCAATATACAGATTGCAGTCTCATGGTCTTGCAGAGACCTCGCACTGTCGTAGATACAGATGTGCCCTTATCCCACCCATAGTTCCCCGCAAACTCCCAAAAATCAAGTATGAATATAATCCAACGCATCTGCCGAGATGAAGCGTTAAAAATGGCAAGCCCTCTAGGAGACCACTCCGGGCAACATCGAACGCAAGATACCAGCGCAGGCAAACAAGTAGAGATAGATTTGAAAAGGGCGCCGAAAGAAAACAAGGCCAGCAGATTACAGAAGACGTCTTCACGTCTTACGCTGGATCAACAGCGCTCAAACCATGCTCACCACTAGTATTGCTCACCGCCAGCACCATTGTGAGACTGGCCAACCATAGCCGGATAGCCATAAGCGGAGGCATCTTGTTCAGAAGGGTCCATGTTAGGGTTCAGCATGGGGTTTGCGCCTTCGGCGTCAGCGAAGCTGGTGGGACGAGCAGGTCCAGGCCCACCAGGGCCACCCACTGGTCCTCCGGCGCCGTAACCAGCGCTTGGGGGGCGCTGGTTCTCGCCACGGGCAGATTGGGTCTGGGGTCGTGTCAGTAAATGGGCTTGTGACGCGCGCGCGGCTCCGCTCTGGAGTGTGGGGAAACTGTCCTGGGATGGAAAAGACTGGGACGATTGGGGTGGGGATGATTGGTCCATGGGTTTGGGGTTTATTACCTCGCGGTACTTGGATAGGTAGATCTTGAGGGCCTCCGCGTAGTTCTCGAAACCGAGCGACGTCATCGCAAATAGAATATCTTCGCCGTTGACCGTTTTGCGCTTCTCCTGTTGACACTTCTCCGAGGCTATTCAGGCGATCGGTCAGTATCTGTGAAGGGCAGGGTAGGCGAGGTATCAGACTGACCTTCACTGGTAATGAACGAGATAAACTCGCTCACACATTCCTGCATACACTCCTTGGCTTCTTTGGCGATTTTTGCGTTTTCAGGTAGGGCGAGTTTCATGATACGAGCAACTAAATAGGATCGTCGAGGTTAACATGGTGATCGAGTGTGGGAAAACGTCGCTGCTCGAAGAGGGGTATGGTAGTGTGGGATGGTTTAACTAAAGCACGCGACCGGCGAGAGGTTCAACAAGAAATCAATGCGGCTCCGGCATCAAGGTCTCGGAACTAAATGAATCTGAACAAAGTCCCGAATGGTCGGATGGAACAGAAGTGCGGATAAAAAATGCGGGGAAAACAAGAAGAGTGGGCAGCCCAGCAGTAAAGGCAAGGTACGCGCAAATCAGAACAACAGCAGAAATGCAATGAAACGCGACTAACCATTTGCAATCGGAAGCCACCGATCCTGCTCCTTCACCTCAAACTCGCCATGATGTCCCTGCGCGTCGTGATGGTCCTTGTCCATATGCTCTTGTTCTTCACCCGAATGCACTTCGGGGTCGAGTTCTGGTTCCTTAGAAGGGGAGGTCGACGACATGGTTATGAGTGGTTTGGATACGTGCAGCGGATGCTCGGTTTAGGCGTCAATGCTTGTGTTTCGCGTGCGTGCTCTGTTGTCAGACCACGTCAGATCTCAATATCGGTGCGCGATCGCTCCCGTTTCAGACAGCGCAGAGCTGGCTGTGCAAAAGGGGACAGGGTTGTATTGGCTGGGTACGAACCGCTTTACAGTAGCCTTAGGCAAGAGCGTCAGCGTCAGCCCAGTCGGGATTTGGCAATAATGCAGGATATCTATGCGACGCGCACAACACCCAATTAGCTTGTGCTCCCGGAATTGGTACAGACTATAACAGTGGCTTCAGGGATTCGCTAGACTTAGATCACGTCGTACCCGCAGTGAATAAGGTGCCAATGATGCGCGACTCAATAGTCGGAGGCGGAGTTTAGGCCGATGAAGCTTGGAGTTGCTGCGCGGGATATGCAACGCGGGAACAGATGAAGGTGGGTCAAATTGGGGGGAAACCCAACTGTCCAACAATCACAAGGGTTGAAAAAGTTACCTTTTGATAAACCCAGTTCAAGATAATAGATCCAGAGATATAGTGCGATTGTTCCGATTGGATCTAAATCTCCAGTCAACAAGGTGCTTTGAGTGGAAGAGCGTCTAATGGGCTGAGGTCAATTGGCGAACCAGAACTCCCTGGCAGGTCAAAGAACGCCGTTGGTTGGTCACTCACCAAATGTAAATATTTATTCGTTTTATTAGGCGCAACTGCTACTTGCAAGAAAACAGAGTAATCGCAAAGTCTTGATCAAACTGATAGCATATGTTGAAGATAAATGGTAAAAGAGGAGAGATAGCCTTACTCTTTCAGTCATGATCGCATCCAATTCTTGCCGCCTCAGGCATTAATTACTTCACGGTATGTGTATTACAGGTTTGTTTTAGTTCCCACATTGTGGAGTCGGTAATTTTCGTATTCAAAGTACTGCTCTAAAGATTAATCTAGGTTTTCAACGTTGTTCTGTTTAGAAAGCTGAGATCGAAATAGATTTGAGTTTCATCTCATATTTTCACCTCACATTGAGCTTGCATCTGCAATAGGTTGGGTTCTTCAAAGCCCAATTGCCAATGCATGGGCCTATGGAGTCAGGCATCAACGTTTGCATTTGCTGTACTTCCAACCTTGAAAGGCTTTTGCTTTTCAGAAAAAAGAGTACATATATAGAATTTCAACCTTGGAAGGTTTGAACATCAGTTAGGCATTGATTACAGCATTGTCTACTTCAAGCATTGCTTTAGATTGGCCTGGGCAAATCTATGCAAGCCCATCCCATCACATGGCATCCTTCGTATTGGAAAGCACAGGCTAAGACACCAAGAATCTAGAAGATATGGGTATATTTCTTGTTATGAAACAGAACTCTTGGAAATTTGGCATCGAAGCATGAATCAACGCTGCATGACTGCATTATGTCCAGTCTTTTGTCGTTCCTAGTAACGCCGATAGTATCGTCACTCGGACAGCACCACCAGGAATCAACTTAAATCAAAGTATACAAATGAGAAGAAAGTAAAAAGACCTCTAGGGCTGCACGACCTGGATATTGTTCTTTTTCTGTAAGGGAAATGAATGTCAGCACTGTTCACATCAAGTCCATCCCAAATAAGGCTTTAGGTACAGCTATACCTAACAGCCAGGCGATGTGCATACCTTCCAGGCGTCCAGCTCGTCCTGCTTTGACTTGTATTGCTTGAGCATATCCTCAATTACTTGCTTCAGTCCGTCGGAGTTGGTCTTAAGGGTGGGAAGAACGTCCTTGACGGTGCGTTCGACAAGAACGCCGTTCACCATGCGGAAGCATTTTCGGTCTCCATCGAGAGGATCCAAGGTCTCAACAACAAGCCTATGGAGACATGTTGTTAGCATCTGCCACGTTCAAACTTCCTCGGCTGGGCTAGTGTAGCTTCGGATTCAACAGTGAAAGGACACATTCTGCTGAAACAGCACGTAGGCCCGGGAGCAACTCACTTATGCTCCTCTGCTTCCTGCTCAATATCGCCGATCTTTTGTGCTAATTGCTGGAGGGTGTTCTTGAAGTTGGTGTACTGGAGCTGAAGCTCTGCATTGAGGGGCTCGCATTAGCTTTTGTAGGCCCTAGGGGGTCGTAGAGTGAATAGGAGGAAACATACCCTGTTGCCTCTTTGGGTCAATCTGCTTTTGGCTAGACATTGTGGTTTTTGTTGACACAGTGTGATGATAAGGAAGCTCAAGAAATTGAGATGACGATGCGGGGCGGTTACTTTTTTTGGCGGAGGCTCGCCCTCCGCTATGTCACAACTCCCAACATACCGGGATAATATGAGATAGTTCTAGTCCAAATGAATTGCTCTCTATATGATTTTACTATCCTAATTAATTTCTAACGCTTCTTAGTCTGAAGTTCTTTTCATGGTCTCTTCTTCAAACGGACCACGTGACTGATATCGCCGTTTGCACTGTTTGACTGCGATAGTAAGAGGTTCAACTTCCGGGAATCATTCAGATAAAGTCAACCTTTCGCAGACCAAACTGGTCTTGAATTGTGACCTGAGTCTTGCTGCTGACTTCAAGTCTGGTCACAAATAATGTCTCGCAACGACATGGGCCCCCCGGCCAAACGGCAAAAGCCCTCTGGGCACCTCCCACCAGGGCTACGCGACGCCAAACGGAAGGACATTGATAATTGGGAGACTAATCGAATGCTCACATCCGGTGTAGCGCAGCGACGCGATCACGAAGGCGACTTTACGGTCGATGATGATGAAGCCACTCGAGTGCATTTACTTGTTCACGACCTCCGGCCGCCTTTCCTCGATGGCCGCACGATCTTTACGAAGCAGCTGGAACCGATATCCGCTCTGCGAGATCCACAAAGCGATATGGCTGTTTTTAGTCGGAAAGGAAGTAAGGTCGTTCGTGACCGCCGACAGCAGCGTGAAAGACAGAAGCAAGCGCAGGAAGCGACAAACATGGCTGGCACAGCCCTGGGCAATCTCATGGGTGTCAAAGAGGACGAGGGAGACAGTGCAGTCGCTATGCCTGTCGAAGACACATACAAAGGAGGGGGCAATAAATTTGCCAAGCATATGAAGAAGGACGAAGGCGGCGCCAGTGCTTTCAGCAAAAGCAAGACCATGCGCGAGCAGAGAGAGTATCTGCCGGCCTTTGCCGTGCGCGAAGATCTCTTGAGAGTCATCCGAGACAACCAGGTTGTGATTGTTGTCGGAGAAACTGGATCTGGAAAAACCACCCAGTTAACGCAGTTCTTACACGAGGATGGTTACTCCAAGTACGGAATGATTGGGTGCACACAGCCTCGTCGTGTGGCTGCCATGAGTGTCGCAAAGCGAGTCAGTGAAGAGATGGAAGTAGATCTTGGCAGTACTGTTGGATATGCTATCCGTTTTGAAGATTGCACGAGCAATGAAACAGTGATCAAGTGTGAGTGATTCCATATGTGCATGATAGACCGGATGCTAACTACATACTATAGACATGACAGATGGTGTGCTGCTCCGAGAATCTTTAGTCCAGACGGATCTTGACAAATACTCGTGCATCATTATGGACGAGGCTCACGAACGTGCTCTCAATACCGATGTTCTCATGGGTCTCCTCAAAAAAGTCCTGGCTCGACGCCGGGACTTGAAACTGATTGTTACTTCCGCAACGATGAACTCGGAACGCTTTTCTCGCTTCTATGGTGGCGCTCCGGAGTTTATCATTCCCGGTAGAACATTCCCCGTGGATCTTCACTTCTCGCGCACGCCCTGTGAAGATTATGTCGACAGCGCGGTCAAGCAGGTCCTGGCTATCCATGTTTCTCAAGGTCCTGGTGACATTCTTGTTTTCATGACCGGACAAGAAGATATTGAAGCAACCTGTGAACTAGTCGCTGACCGGTTGAAGTTGCTGAATGACCCACCCAAGCTCAGCATCTTACCTATCTACAGTCAAATGCCCGCTGAACAGCAGGCCAAAATCTTCGAAAAGGCCGCACCAGGCGTGCGCAAAGTCATCGTGGCTACGAATATTGCCGAGACCAGTTTGACGGTCGACGGAATCATGTACGTTGTGGACGCAGGCTACTCCAAGTTGAAGGTGTACAACCCACGCATGGGTATGGACACTCTTCAGATCACGCCAATCTCCCAAGCCAACGCCAACCAGCGATCTGGACGTGCTGGAAGAACTGGGCCCGGTAAGGCCTATCGTCTGTATACCGAGACGGCTTACAAGAATGAGCTGTACATCCAGACAATTCCTGAAATCCAGCGTACTAGTCTATCGAACACTGTGCTTCTGTTAAAGTCTCTTGGTGTGAAAGACCTTTTGGACTTTGACTTCATGGATCCACCTCCACAAGAAACAATCTCCACGTCTCTCTTCGAGCTCTGGTCACTAGGTGCTCTAGACAATATGGGCGATCTTACACCGCTGGGTCGCCAGATGACACCTTTCCCAATGGATCCCACCCTCGGCAAGCTCATCATCATGGCTGCCCAAGAATACGAGTGCAGCGAGGAAATGTTAACCATTGTCTCGATGCTTTCGGTCCCAAATGTCTGGTACCGTCCCAAAGAACGAATGGAAGAATCCGACTCAGCCCGCGAGAAATTCTTCGTCCCAGAATCCGACCACCTAACCCTCCTCCACGTATACACCCAGTGGAAAACCAACGGATTTTCTGACTCGTGGTGTGTCAAGCACTTCCTACACGCCAAAACCCTCCGGCGCGCCAAAGAAGTCCGCGACCAGCTGCAAGATATCATGACAGCCCAGCAAATGCCCCTCATCAGCTGCGGCACAGACTGGGACAATATCCGCAAATGCATCTGCTCAGGCTTCTACCACCAAGCCGCGCGCGTAAAGGGAATCGGAGAGTTCATCAACCTCCGCACGAGCGTGACAATGGCCCTCCACCCCACAAGTGCCCTCTACGGTCTCGGCTACGTGCCCGAGTTCGTCGTTTACCACGAGTTGATCCTGACTGCCAAAGAATACATGTCGACAGTGACAGCCGTCGACCCACACGTAAGTCCTAATTTAACCAACCCTACGCCAGTCCATAAGCTAACACGATACCAGTGGCTCGCCGAGCTGGGCGGTGTATTCTACTCCGTCAAAGAAAAAGGCTACTCGAAGCGCGACCGCCGCGTCACAGAGCTGGAATTCAACAAGCGCATGGAAATCGAGGCGCAAATGGCCACGGACCGTGAGCGTGTCGCTGCTGAGAAATTAGCTGAAGAGGCACGTAACGATCCGGCGCGGAGGAGGACCGAAATCGAAGCTGGCGGAAAGACCGCTGTCCGTCGACCTGTAATCAAACCAAGGGGCAAGATTGGTGGCTTGACTGCTTCTTCGTCACGGCCTGCTGCTAATGGGGCTGGCCGGGGTGGTGGGTCTGGTGGGAGTGTTGTTAAGAGGCCTTCTGTGCGGAGGAGACCAGGTGCGTTTTAGTATATCTACATCGGGGGCTGCGCCCTACTGTACAACATTGAGACTTTAAAATCCAGCTAGGTAGATTTGGTTGAATAGATACCCGCCATTGCATTTTCGCGCTCATCCCAAGCCTCGCCAACTGCGTGCGTAGTGTCACCTACGTGTAGATACCTCGCCTTGAGTTCACCGTAAAACCGTTGCGGTGGGATGTGAGCAGTCTTTGTACATTTGAGATTTATAAAACACAGAGTCCTTGTTCAACAAGTCAATTGGTATAAATAGATAGGTCAATGGACAACGTTTTTCCGCCTCAAAAGCGGCATACAAAGGGTGCGAGTCAAGATCAAACCTCCAAGCACAACCCCATCAGATAAACGACCCCATATCTCACAAGAGACCGGGCCAGCAACGTAACGAGCAGTTTCGCGAGCCCAGCTCAGTTGATAAAGTTGATGCAGAAAAAGTGTAGGATCAAGCTTCCAAAGATATAATCGGCGAAGGCCCTATAAGCGCATTCATTAGCATGGAGTAAAACAAATGAGGATACTCAGATATGCCAGTCCCGCCAAAGAGACATATTTGCAGTGCAAAATGTATAAACTCACCTCTCATGCGAGATGCCCGTCCCCTGCTCTTCATTGTCATCTGCAAACCGCGCATTCTTTCCCTTCGAGCTAGGTTTCGACCCAAACCCAGTTCCGCTATCACTGGTCTGCATGCGCAGACTTGCTGTAAGGACAAATTGGCCAACAGCCGCACTGAAACCACTGAGGAAGGCGTTGAAGGGCTGGAGATTTTAGAATTAGTTGGGGGTTCCAATTTCAATTGACGGCAGCAATGTAGGGAATGAGAGTGTATGGAATTGAAATCTGGTTGTTCATAAGGTGGAAACTTACATAGTTTCCCGCAAGAACACAGTACACAAACTGCAGACCGCCGACGAGGACGAGGAACGCCATGAAGGCGTCTAGGAGGAGTGTGCGCTGCGGCGTGGTGGATGCATACTGTTGCCAGACGTGCTGGGCGATTTCAGTTGCTGAGGCATTGGTCTTCAGGGTGGTTGGGCCTGAGGAGAGGGGCTTTGGTGTTGGGGATGTGGGCGTGGACGTGGAGGTCGCCGCGGAGGTAGTTGAGGCCGCGTGGCGCTTGGGAGCCATGATTTAGGTGTAAGTTGTCGGGGGCTTTTGAGAGAATGCAGTCAGGGTTTCTGTGATGGAGTGCGGTGAATAGGTGGTTCTGCCTGGAGAATTTGGGCAGAGAGGGTGGGTTGACGGTCAATGGCAATGTGGAGGTTGACGGTTGATGCCAGCTTGGAGCTTGGATATCCGTTATCGCGCTGGTCACGTGCGACGTTATCCTGATTGGGAAGTATACAGATGGGCGATAACAAACATTGAGGGTTTGAGCATCTAGGCATTGAGGTTTATTTGTTTATTATGCTAAGAGGTTACTGGGTGAATTGGGATTCATTACACCAATTTGGAAGTGTATTGTATTGGTCATCATCACCGCATCTACCATAGGTAGAAACATCGCCGATGATATTATATTTTCAAAAAAGAGAGAAGAGTCGTCTAGAAACAGTGAGGGGAGGGGGATATCATCCAGTGAACACCATAAATCATCAAATCATAAATCCCAAGACATGAGAACAGAAAAACACCACTGGAACAGAGTCCAAATATGCTTCAATCCAAACCAACTCAACTGAACCAGTCAGTGACATTAGTTCCCTTGGCCGGGTTTGATTCATCTTTCTCAACATCCATCTGGAAATCACGCATAACCTGATCCCACTCATCCCAACTAAGTTGAGGAGCGTCAGGGAGTGGTTGCGACGGCTGGTTCAACAAAGGATTGCTCATGGGAGCATTATAGGGCAATCCTGTTGGTAGCCTCGACGCAGAAACAGTATTCTCGACAAGCGGGGCATCAAACAGATTGTTCTGCGCAGGGTTGAAGAAGTCTGTATCAGGGAAGATACCTTGTATAGCACTCCAGGGCCCTTGGCTGAGGTCGATATTGAGAGCAGCATCAGCAGTGAGCGGCCCAGTAGCTTGATGCGCCGGTTGTAGATTGGGCATGTGAATTCGAGGTAGAGATTGATTGTCGCCGACAACCTGAGAATTCACAGGCACTGGTCGTATCCGCACCGGTCCAAACTTGGCTAACAGTTCCTGCTGTTGCTTGGAGCGAGTGGCAGCGGCTCTCTTCATTAACGCAGCGAGTGGCCGCCACAGCATACCCTTCTTGTGCGTCGCCTGGACAGCCCATTCCGAGTAAAGTGAACTAACGGCATTCCAGGCTCGATCGGTCACAGGGCAGATGGGGCGAACGCACACCTCAGACAAGACGAACGCGACTCCGTGCCATTGCATGTTAGTCCGGAATAGCCAGCCCCACTTCGCAGTCTTGGGATCGGCTTCGAGCAGGCGTCCGAACTCAAGGACTTCAATTGCAGTCAGGAACAAGCTCTCGCGAGTTGCTAGGGACACGTTCCCGCGGTCTTTGCGGGTCATAGGGTGATGAACAATCAGCCACAGTTTGGCAAGGATAAGACGCGCAACGGTGGCCGAACACCACTGGATGGGAACGTTCATGTCACAGTGTCTGATATATCGCTGTTCGCATCGTTCACTGATAATTTTTATCATCCGCTCGCAACGGTCTATAGATGGGACGCTACTCGGCGCCCGCCATTGAGCGCCTGGACAGACGTAATTCGCCCGTCGCAAGGCGCTCGTAATCTCACACCGAATGAGACAGAACGTCGCATCTGTGCATCCTTCTCGCTCTTCGGGCGGCTCCTCCATCTCAGGCGAGATGTCCTCGTCATTGATGTTCAATGGCAGTAGAGTATCGTACATGTTTTCGTGGATGAGCGGATCGGTGCCGTGATCCTCCGACGAGCGAACATCCATCAACGAGATATGCCACCATAGCCGACGGCGCATTTCAGTCTCAAATGGTTTTAGGGCGAAATTAGTGCCATCCCGGTGTAGGCCTAAACTCTGAGCAAGACGTAAGACGATTGAAGTCATGGACCACACGAACTTGCTGTCATCTTCGCGACGGACGCAGACCAAAAAGAGGACAGCTGCTTGGAGAAGGACTAAGCTCTGTGTGTTTAAGAATCCGGCCTTTGCGAGTGCCTGCTCAGTGGCGAACCGATACTGTTTGACAGCGGCGGTGCGATCTTGGCCAAATTGTACCATACACTGATCGGGCGCCATGCTGACAATACTGCAAAGATACATGGAAAACACCAAGGCTTCTTGGTTCTTATCCAGAGCGTCTGGATTCTGTGCCGCCTCGAAGAACAAGTTCTTGGCTGTCGGCCGATGCACTATAGTGATTAAAGGAGCAACATTTTCTTCATAGATTTCCCAAAGCATTGATACTTTAGGCATGGAAGGGTGAAATTCCCGAAGAGACCGGGAAAGTGAATAGAACCCGAAGAGGAACCCATCATGGGAGCCTGAATGGGCAGAATCCGGAGAAGGCATATCCTCTTCCTCGGAATCCGAATGATCGAGAATATCCTGTAACTCCTCGATCTACAACTGTCAGCGACAAACCCAGCAACGATAAGTCCAAACCAACCCACCTCATCACCAAGACTGGCCCAAAGCCGATTACTCACGTATCGGCTCCGCCCTTCATCAATAACCAAGCGCCCGAATTCATTCTCAAACTTATTAGGCGCCAACTTCTTCGGATCCGAGTCTTCAAACGGACAACCACCACCATCTTGGCTCTTCGGCTGGGTTTCAGCGTCAGACCTAGACGTACCAGTATCACTCCGCCCAGATTCATGCCCACCAGAAATCGAGCCCCGGGTCGACGTCGAGCTCCCCTCCGTATGGCCGCTATTTCTCAAATGATCAATAACGCCCTCCAGACGCCGCAGGCGGGAAAGCAGCTCGGCGTCAGGTGGGCGTTTCGATTTGCGCGGGGCACGACCGGGCGGAGGGAAGACGCAGTCGATTCCGGCCTTTGTGCAATTCGAACATGGGGACCGTTTGTTGCAGCGGACTTTGCGGCGGCGACAGGTGACACAGCTGCGGGAGCTGGGTTCCACTGCGTGGGTGTGGGTTGGTACAGTCGGGGAATTATCGCTGACGGGTGGGGAGAGGTTTAGCTCTGGGGAAGTTGAGGCGAACATAGCGAGATGTCTGGTCGAGCATCGCACATTCTTTGAGTTTGAGTTGGAAGTATAGAAAAGAAAGTACCGTAAGCTCTGACTTCGTATTACTACTGGGGGCCATAAATCCAGCCTCTAACTGCTATGACTCAGCACCGAGTGTGTGTCGTCCTGATTAGGCAAATGCATCGTTATCTCCGATAACTACTACATAAAATAGATGGAAATATACAAAATTTTGTATATGCTGGGATACAGTACAGCTTCTCTCACAGAATGAATATACCAAACGCCGAAAGATGCAAGGGAATCTCAAGAGATCGTCACGCTGAAAATTAAATAAAAGCATATTATGCAAGCATGTAAATGGACTCAGGCCTCAATACGGGCTCTCGGAATGAGCTCAGATGTGCGAATTGGTAGATCATTACCGCGCCATCCACGTCGAAGGAATCGCCTGAATTTGCGCCTAGCTGGAATCAGTCAACTATCCACGAATATTAAGCTTCTAGGACTCACGCAGCAGACTCCCAGATCTTCGTATCTTCGTTGAAAGTATGACTACAATAAGTTAGTCAAGAAACATAAGATCAAATAGCGAATCATACATACCCAGCAAAGCTCGTCCGAGTAAGCGCTTTGGCGCTATACTCTTCTTCAAGAAGATACGTATATGCGTATGGAATCTTGACAGAAACACCCTCGAAAAGACTATCCCGCAGCGGGAAGATATCACTCTCCTATACACAGTTAGCAACAGTCCCAGATACCCAGTACCCCAAGACAACGTTGGGAACTTACATCGTAATTATGTTTATCCTTACACATCAGCGCTTCGGGACTCCCCTTACTCCTCTTCTCCTCATCTTTCCTAACAGCGGTGATATCAATGAACAAACCAGAGGACATATCGATCCAGCGGGCATCGATCCGATTCAAGGTATCCTGCGTCGACTTGACAACGTAGTTGGGATTGATCTCGAGCATGTACGTGCGGCCGCCGTCGACATCGGGGATATCGAAATGATGCTCAGTCATATTGTAGTAGTCTGCTAAGAAATGGATCGTTGCTTCGGAGATTTGGACGTCGAGATCGTTGTCCCACGGGAAGATCTGGGGTCTGTTAGGGGTGTTGGTTGTTGGACTCGGTAATTCTCACCTTTTGGTTCCACCACCAGGCTAGGAGTGTTCCATGCATGATCCAGGTTTCAGCGCCGATGGCGTTCATCGTCGTGAAGTATGTTTGGATCAATGCTGAGAGGTGAGGAATCACTTTTGTTTCTGGTAGGGTTTCGTTGGCGAATCTGAGGAGGTGTGAGTGTTGATGCCCTGTATTATTTCGTATTTGGATATGCGTACCGGCCGTCATAATGATGATGGAAGCTGTGGGGTTATTAGTTATGATCACGTACTGTCAGGGCCTTCAAGCAGATGTTCACATACTCTGATTCATCTGTTCACGAGTTAGTTCAGCGGGAGTGCTTAGCCTTGAGGCTGTATGTATCATGAATGTACTCACGAAAATATTTTTCCGTCGGTATATGCGTTTGGCTCTTATATTCCTTCGTTACGTTCTTCCGTACGCTCATAAAGTCCGGTTCTCTATCTCCACGAACACCGGAGAGGATAGTCGCTAAAAGAGATGCATAGAGCCACAAGGCGGAGGCTAACGAGCGCATGCTGCGTGTATCAAGGGCTTCAACGTCTCACGCCTAATATGTACAACGGGCTCCGATATGTCCAGTTCAAGTCCGATTTTCGGCGTCGTGAGGGGGGTATGAAGATATTTATACTGTACAAGGAGGGATTTAACCGGAGGATAAAAGACAACAGAAAAGCCAAACAATTAGAAAAGATCAGAAGATCAAAGATGAAAAGCGGAGGAGATTGTCAGGGACAGAATTAACCTCGTGTGGACAGTTGCCCCATCGAGTGTAATCTCCTTCAATTTTGCACAATCGGACCCAAGACCACAATAAACAGCAAAGGCCCTGATTGGGCCGGGGTTAGAGATATTCAATAACCGATAAAAGGCTGACGACTCCTATCGTACTCGGTTGGGGTGGAATAACACTTAGCACTCAAACGAACCGAGCGCCGGGACATCCGTGGATCGAATCAGCAGAGTCTGCGCCGTTCCGCCACAGTTGTCGCCCCACATAGTAATGAGCTTGTCTGTCGTTTGAGTCGCGTGGCCCATCTTGGCAGTTGTTTGGTGGTGGGAGTTTCACTCTGTAATCTTAACTCCTTGGTGTTGCACGTTTGGTGATGTATGTTGAATGGGTGTGGCTGGTGAGGACGCGTATATACACACACTCTCTCGTTGTTCCATTGCGTATCGGAAACTTGATAGTCAGACGCTATGAACATCCCGCGGCAATTAGGGTGCGAGGTATACGCGTCCTCCGGCATCATTTTGGTTTAGTCTCTGACCAAGCCACACCCACAACCCCCGACCCCAGTACTCTGTAGTCATTGAGGAGAAAACCAAATACCAACATAACTCTGCCATTGCTCACCTTGGTTCACTGGGCCTTAAATAAAGCTCTCTGACCCGCCCAGCCCCCTTAGAATGGGGAGACCAGCTTGAACCCTCATTCTCCCATCTCCAGAATGACGTCCATTGACCCGTCCCGTCCCAGCAACACACAAGGACCCGTGGGCCCTATTTGTGTGACAAAGAACATGAGAGAAAACGTGACTAGAAAGAGCATCCCCTTACAAATAGCAGGTCGGCGACAGGAACCTGAGACTCTGCACGGCTGGTTTCGGGCCAATCATACAATGGCGCAAAGAATAAGCCTTTGTGTTTCGGACCGAAAGATCTCGAGCCTCAATCCCGATTAGCTCGACGCCTGCTCATGACGATCTTTGCGCAATTTGGCAAACGTTCAAACTTCAACTCTTCACTTCTCAATAAGTGGGTCGTATTCATTTTCCACTTGTCGGTGTGCGACCGGGAGAAGCTCTGAGCTGAACACCCAGTCAAGAATGCTCTCCTCGTCACATGCTGTCCGAGATCTATTATTTTGGCACGAGTGTTGGATTCAAATTCTCGCGGGTCTGTGATCACATCCGTCACATTGGATTCAGTTCATCGTTGGCTCCATATTCTCGAAGGGTTCTGGTGTTCCAAGTGTGACAGGATTGTGTAGGACTGTGTAACGCCTTTCCTCTCCAAGAATAATGACAAGGGCCAACAAGTCATACGCATTTCACGGATGTTCTTGAACAGTTTGCAGCAAAACAGGGTCCATACAGCCAAGGCGCCAAGGCACAAGTGGTTCCATCTCGACCACATATATCCATATCTCGGTGGAAGAACCGTATGATGCCTTGCAAACCCTTCACGATCGAAACTATTGCGAGTCTAGACCAATTGATCCAAGTTGGTATAATGCTTACTACATTATGGTATGTGTCTAACACATGTCAAATTCGATTTGATCCACCTACCCGGCATACCGAAAATGCATCTTTATAACCGAGTCTATCACATGCTGGAAGCTCTGTTTCACGTGAGAGTTCTACCTTTTTGACTCTCTCAAGTCAATTGCGCACCATATTCAATTTATATCGACACCAGGAGGTATAGCTCTTTTTTGCAATTGTTTTTGCCCGAGAATCGGAGACGTAATAATCCATTGAATGAGTATATAGACACCAATATCTCAGTGTCCAAATAGAAAATATCAATTGAAATACCGAACCGCGGAAAAAGGACCCTGTGCGCCAAGTCTTCTCGACCCAAAAGTAATTCAGACCTGGAAAGAACCAGTTCCCTGAAACAATTCCCATGGAAGGTGGAATCTGAGAACCCTTATAGCCTTATATAATGAAATTTTTTACAATCACTACCTAGGTAGCTATATGATGAAAAGTGCAGTCCACAGCGAGTCTCGCAAAGTCGCCCCAAGTTGGCAAGTTGGGCAATCTCGGTCGTAACCGCGCTGAATGGCAATGGACCAATGGACTCGAATACAACATCAAAAGTGGAGTGGGTTGTGACACACTCATTCGCCAGGTTTGGTAGCTTTAGCTTTGGATTCTCTGTCTTCTATTAAGGGTCTCTCCCATTTGATGTTGGAAAGGATCACTTTGGTACGACTGGTGCCTGTTCCTCCCTAATTCAGCCACCGAGGATAGACCCCTGGGAAAGTTAGATTGATTGATTGGATTGTTATTGGATGCGACCATTTATTGTTACTCATATTCGACTCATACTAGAAATCTTGGTAGTTTAGTACTGTTATACTGGAGTGTGGATAATACCCCATACCCATAGTAAATGATGAACTGGACCTAACAAAAAAAAAGAAAACGAACTAAAAAAAACTTGACATTTCAAACGTGGAGTTATTCTCTGTAACCCCCTTAGTCCTTAGTCCTTAGTACTTTTTCACACCTCATTGTTTAAGCCTCTATTTTCCCTCTTTTACCGATTTTTATTTACTTCTCTTGAATCTCGGCCAATTCCGCTAGATCTACAAGCACTTTCTATGGTGTCCATTTTCCTCTCACCTTGCAATTTGTCCGAAGTCGAATTCACTATGAGTCGATATACCCAATAACACATCGCTAACACGGACGCACCTTTTCCGTCCCCATCTACTATTACAATTCTACATTGGAACCCCAAATTTATGGGAAAATATCCAGGCGCGTGACCATGTCAGAGACCTCTACACCCCAAGAATCATCATCATCAGCCCAACTCAATCGATCCTGCGAATCTTGCAGAAGTCTAAAAGTCCGCTGTCTCCCCAACCCATCAACACCTAATCAGTGCCAGCGATGTGCAAAGGGTAAACGACCCTGTATCTTCGTGGCCCCGCAGAGACGGCGGCCACGAAAGAGAACAGACTCGCGAGTCGCCCAACTGGAGAAAGAGATGCGGGTGATGCGTTCACTGCTGAAGAACCGCATTCCAGAAGAAGAGGAAGATTCCGAAGAAAGCGAAGACGACCACGACGAAGATCGGAAAAGCACTGGACGGGACCACTCCGCCCAGTCCGATGATGTCCGCTATACGGATTACTCGCCCGAGCTGCTGAACACACACCCGAGCCTCTCAACGCCCTCGTTTGCATTCCCCGCAGGCATCGAGGAACAAGAACGAGTCCCGTTCGAAGACGTCATCGACCATGGGATCATCTCCATCGAAGACGCAGAGCAACTGGTGGCATACTACATCCACGAACTAGCATCTTTCTTCCCGCTGGTTGTTCTCCCGGCCAGCACGACCGCAGCAAGCCTGCGGCAGACGAAGCCCGTCCTCTTCCTGTCTGTCATAGCCGCGACGGCGATATCCATCGACGCAGGCCTGGCAGCCGTGCTGAACCGCGAGATGGTGCGGCTGTATTCGGAGCGGTTCTTCATCGAAGGCGAAAAGTCACTAGAGTTAGTGCAAGCGTTGCTGCTCATGATCGTCTTTTATTTCCCGCCCGCGTCGCCGCTGAAGTTGCAGTTCTACCAGTACACGCATATTGCGTCGACGATGGCGCTGGAAATCGGGCTCGCGAATAAACGGCGCGTGAACAAGTCCGACCGCAGAGCGAATGTCCACGACGAGTTCCTCGCGGAACAGGCTAGGGCCCTCCTTGGCTGTTACCATCTCGGGTCGACGGTGGCGATGAAAACTCGGCGCCCGAATCTTCTCCAGTTCAACGACTGGATGGACGAGTGTCTCAGGCAGCTGGAGCGCTCACCCCATCGCACGGATCAGCATCTGGCGATTTGGTTCGAGCTCCAGCGGATAACGGATGAAGCGATGTCTTCGTTCGGTCTGGATGATACGAGCACCACATCGCCTCTGACCGAGTCTCGGGTGCAGGCTGTTCTGCGATGGTTCGACAAGCGGATGGAGACATGGAAGAAAAACACGCCGACCGAAATGCTAAATGGTAAGCTTCTTCCCCCGTCCTTTCCTTCCCTACCTGGCCCCAACTAACAGATCCCAGTCCCCTTGATCCTCGAATACCGCTCCGCCGCACTGGCCATGTACGAACTAGGCGTAGGAGAAGGCTACCGCGAGCCAGACGCCGTGAAAAAGCGGTTCTTCACGCTTCCCACGCTCGACAACGGCCCGGAACACCGCGCTCCCCTCAGCGCAATCCGCATAGACATCAATGTGAAATGGATGAACGCAGCACAGGAACTGCTAGACGCGGTGCTGGCCTGCAGCACGGATACCATGCGCAAGCTGCCGAATTTGATGTACACGCGCTTCGGGATGGCCGTAACGTCTTTGTTGAAGATCCATTTCTCTGTGCGGACCGGTGCGCTTGGCGAGGTCGTCACGGCACAGACTGTCAATGTGGGCTTTTATCTTGACGCGGTGGCTAACAAGCTCGGCGAGGCCGGCGCAGGGGGCAAGTATAAGATTCCGTCGCGGTGGTACCAAGTGATAGGCGTGCGGGGGCGAGATTGGTATGAGCGATTAGAACGGCGGAGCGAAGGTGTCGGGAGTCCGGTGGATGCAATGGCTGCTCCAAGAAATAGTCAAGGCACGAGCCAGAGCCAGAGCCAGCCGGCGAACCTGAACCAAAGTCAAAGCCAGAATCTAAACCAGAACCAGGATACGCTGGATGCCACGCAGGCTATGGACGCGTTCCCTGTGCCTGTCCCGATGGGGATAGATGTGCGGGACGGGTATGTGGCGATGAGCGGGGCGGGAATGTGGATGGATGGTCATGGGCATGGTCAGGGCCAGGGCCAGGGCCATGCCAACCCGCCGTTCTTCATGGGGTATCAGCACCCTCATCCTCCATCTCATGCGGCGACATTGCCGCCACAGTTTGCGTACGAGCCGCAGAGAATGCCTGTGCCGGGGACTGGGACTGGCATGGAATTGGACGGATGGCTTCCTGACGGGAGTATCTTTGGGATGCCTCCTTTGCCTGAGTTTTAGTTTTGCTGTGTGTCAGTGTCAAATCTAGACCTGGGGTGTTAATATACGAGAACAAGAATCAAAAGAATATGAGAATCTTACTAGTTTATTGGAATGTCAATAGGTAGAAGTAGATCGGAAGTAGACCGCAGTATAGTATAGCAGTATAGCAATAGAAAAAGCGAAACCGATAAATTAGCCCTAGAAGAGCAACAAAAAAAGGGAGTGGCTCGAAACCGCCCCGAGAGACGAAACAAAAGCAAAGAAAAGATTCTCAAAGAGAAAGAAAGCAAAAGACAAGAAGAAAAAGAAAAAATACACGTCCCAACACTGGATAAATCACCAGGATGATATCGCATTTATCCCAATTTACCCCGAATGGCGACATTGACATCGGACCCTCGGGAGAATCGGAACTTCCGCGCCAACTCCCCCGAAATCCCGACAACACCAAGTACTACGTACGGAGTGGTTTACTACTACCAGTAACCACAGAGTAAGGTGCAAGGATCGGATCGATGATCGACTCCGATATCTGATGGCTTTAATCTCGCTCTCGGTCTTGGGTTTCAAGTCCAATTTTCAGTGGCACCGAACCCGAACCCGAGATGCTACACGCGGACACCCTTGCTTTCCGTGGTTGTTTCGTATATCCCTGGGAAAAAGCTTTGTCTTTTACATAAATTATATAATTGGCTCGCCATGGATGGGGCTTATCTTCCGCTCCGGGGGTTTTATACCCTGGTACGTCGGAGGAGGATGGCATGGAGAGCCGTTGGGTCGGGGGTCGGGGATTAGCTATGGATGGACGGTGGTTTGTTGAGCATTCTCATTATTAATTGCTGCGTACCCGTACATATCATATGGACATACAATACTCCGTATATACAGTATATAGAGTATAGTTCATAGTATATTAGATGTAAACAAGCACATGCCAAAGCTAGAGGTATACAGGACAGGGTACCAAACGCTAAAAATACCCCAGAACGCCAATGGTAGTACTAAACATCACAAAATAGAAAACACTTCCAAGGCATCCATGAACCCGGCAATGGCTCCGATTCCGACGAGTCCACGCGTGGCGCTCCTCGTCAAGGCTTTGTGTCGCTCCTTTGCATCTTGTCGGTCCTTTGCATCATCGCGGGAGCGATGGCGGGACGGGGAGCGCTGACCTGAGCGGGGCGGAGAGATTCTTGATTCTGGTGTGGAGCTGGAGAGATATTGTGGCGGATGATGGGGCTGGAGGGTGTGGTTTGGTCTGTTCCAATGCTCGAAGTGGACCTGGTTTGGGGAGTGGCCGCGGGAGGTGGTGATGGGCGGCTGCTGCCTTGGGATTTGGATGGGGACTGGTTGCTTTTGCTGGGCTGGTTGGTTTGGGTTGAGGATTGGGCGTGGGGTTTGGTACTCGGGGTATCTGTAGTTCGTGGGCGAGTTGAGTGGTTTGTTTGGTCGGGACTGGGATGGTGGGAAGCTGCCGCTTGGGTAGGGATAGTGTCTGGTATCTGGAGGGTAGCCTGAGACGGTATTTGCATGAGGGCGGCGATGCATATTCATTGGGCTGGTTGTTGGGTGTGGGCGGGGTGTGTCTCTTTCTTCGTCGCTTGACTCGAAGCCTTTCTGGCCGTCTCGAGCTTTTGGGTGGTCTGGTTCTGGTTCGCTTTCGACGTGCGCTTGGTACCTGGAGTATTCTTGGCGAAGTTTTGCGGCGTGCTGGCGGGCTTCTTGGGAGTGAGGATTTCGCCAGTCGTCCGTTGTACCTTCTAGATAGTAGCCTCGAACGTCGTGGCCATCGAAGTCTAGCTCGTCGGAATATTCATCTGTGTCGGAGACGTAGACTCGAGGTTGGACTACCTTGTTTGATGGGGTTTGGCCTTTGGCGGGGGATGATAGTCTGGATGGGTCGATGAGAGGCACCCAAATTGATAGTAGTCGGTTCATTGCGCTCTCGGATAGTTGGACCATGTCCTTTGTGGATCTTTCCATGTCGCCGAGACCTACATCGCTGTCTCCAAAAGTCACAGCTGGTAGTCTGGTCGGATCTGAGTATCTGGTCGCCGCAACCAAAGGCTGCACTGCGGATGCTGGGTTGGAGTAGTTTGCATTAATTTTCTGATTTGTTGGGTCCTTCGCGGCATCTATAGCTTCCTGCTTCACGAGATCCCACAAACGATCAAGACGCTTGACAGACCAATATCGGACAATAATCATGTTCTGAGATTCTGCTTTCTCCTGTGCGACTGCGTCGTCTGAAGCGGAGTTGAGAGATTCGGTATCGATCCCATCATCGACATTAGCTTTGATCACATCGCCAAGCTGCAAGATCCGCTGCATTACAATCAGGCTGAGCTTGAGAGATTCCAGGTGTGCTAGGAGATAAGTAACATGCTGTTTTGGGAAACACCACTTCAGCCTCTCTTGTAGAGAGAGTCTCATGAGATCCTCATTTCTGTCTGTTGCCTTCAACTTGTCCAGCATGTGTTCGATTTCAATGAATATCATCTGGCCCTGGCCAGCAATCTCCCATGCTTTCTCTATTGCCTCCAGAGACCGATCAATATCGGTACTTTCGATAGTCTGCCCGACATGTTTGAGTGTCAGGGCGAAGAGTGAGATTCCCTTGGCAATACTGTGTATTTCCAATTTAGATTGAGCGAGTTGACACGCAGCAGCGTTAAGAAGAAGTGAGAGCCGGAACCCGGCGCCGGCGATCTTAACAATGGAAGCCTGGGAGCCTTGAGAAACATCAGTAGAGACTCTTCACCTTCAAAGGAAAAACATACCTTGCACCATCATCTCAAAGTGTTTGTTTCCTTTATTTTAGGTCTGTGTCAGACAATGGATGGAAAAGACAAGAAAAGGAACAGAAAGTCAAGCCAAATCAAGTCCAGTCAAGTCCAGTCAAGTCAAGTCAAGTCAAATCAAGTCGAGATTGCCACCTGGAATAAAGCATAACCTTCAAAGTTCCCCAGAGAGCCGCAAACTACTGCATATCAAGTGACTCGGCTATGTACGGGGTCTGAGCCCCACGGCTCAGGGCAAATTCATGACGGCATGATATACACTTTCTTACTTTCCTGTTGGTTAACACTATTGTACGGCGGGGGCGAAGTTAGATCTTCAACATGATATGGCCTAGCCTTGACTATCCCTGAAGGCGTCAGACAAAAGTACCCGACACTGCCTCAAACTCAGTGGCATGCATGGTCAGATTCCTCTCTTTGCTTCGTCGTTTACTTAACAACACTGCCTTGTCCTGCGTGTCCAGGTAATATCGGCGATTATTGTCATATTACTTTGCATATTAGCGCCAGATAGGTACGGCAGAACAACCCTTGTTTCTACCCGGGCTTCTTTACCTGGATTTCTGTACCCGGGTTTCTGAGCAAGATATCTCGTATCCTTGAGAATGAAGGACTAGGATTCTGACAAGATTTAAGTCAAAATCTCAAAAAAGTCTCATAAATTCCGGATCGAGATCTCCGGTTAGTTGTCATATTAAAATTCAAAGAATATGAGAAAGAATATGAGAAAGACGTGAAAAAAGACCGATGGAAAGACATATGGAAAGATGTCTAGAAAATGACATAAAGTGCATAGACATATGCAGTGGATACTATATGCATTGACCGTATGACATTTCAGCATATTTCTCGTGTATATCAAGAATATATTTAGATTGTAGAATATACGTTGTACGGAGTTGAGAATCATAGATGTTCTCCGTTTTCATAAGGCAACATTGTTTGGTTTCCGCTTTCGGTGTATCTCCCTTAGTCTTTGTTACGGAACTACCTAGTACAGTAAAATATTGTAAACTTCTCTTAAGACTTCGATAATAATCATCTAGGCATCATATCTAACAAAATTTGTTGTGTGGTGTCAATTGATCTCTCCTCCACCCCTCCTTTTTCGCCGCGTGGCCGATCGTCACCTGCGGAGATTGCCCCAGGCTATCCGATGACCAGTGGGCCACTGCGGGAATCTGTGAATCAAGACATTCTCACACTCCATCGAGCCCAGGAGCTAAAGAGCTCATCACAGCAACCGTGAGGCCGGATGGGTGAGCTCCTGAAAGTACGAAGGAAAGGACGCAAGGGACACTCCAACACACCACCCGTCTTGGGGCTTCCAGGAGCCTCCAGTCCATGAAATCATGACTGCAGCCTCGGGTGTCACCGAAGACACCTCCACCCATTGTATACCCTCCCAGTCGACCTCGTCGAATGCCCCCGACTCGTCCCAGCATGAGCTCCCCGCCCAGGGCGAACCCCCCACAATCCAGAATGAAAAACAGCCCGATAATGCGGCAACTCAACCGGTGACCTCTGAGTCTGCCGGGGAAACTCACAAGCAGGTTTCTCAAACAACGGACGAGGTGGACGACTTTGGCCTTCCTATCCGAGCACGTCGCAAACCAGACCCCACCCCTAGCGAGCCCCCCGAAGACGAAAATGCCGGTCATAACTTCCAGGAAGTTGGTGCGCGCCCTGCGAGCTATAGCGACGCCGTCAAGAAGACGGCTGAGCCAGAGCCGGCACAAAAAAGTCAGGAAGGAGAGACACTTGCCCCTGAGCCCGTCAACGTGAACATTGCCACAGAGTCGGGCGATCGTCCGGAGACCAAGGAAGCTTCCCCTGCGCTCGCGGAGAACTCGCAGGCCTCTGGGACTCCTGATCAGCCTCGGGCCTCAATTCCGAAACAAAAGCCAGCTCAAGTATCGGAATGGTCACACCAGCGACTTGCACAGCCTGGCGCCCACCAACCCACGAGTGAAGAGTCGGAGGAGGAACCTGATGAGTGGACCTCAATGCCTGCCCTCGGAGAGTTCGACTACTATGATGACTACGGAAGACTCGTTGCCCGAGGAGCCAAAGAAGAAAGCGACGAGGCCGTATACCAAGGACTAGGAGGCGCAGGGCGGGGATATACTCGAGTGCAGCTTGATGAAGACGCCCAGTCCGCCACGAGTCTGGACGAAGATACAAGCTATCTCTTCCGAGAAACAGGGGACAACTCCGCCGGTCTTGTTGGCGAGGAAATGCGCGACTCGATCAGCCAGCTTCAAGCTACGAAAGATCTTCTCAATGAGACTCAAAAAATCGCTTATGTGGGCGTTGTCCGGTTATCAATCCATAATATGAATCGTGATCTGGCGTCGATTGCTACTACGAAATCCACCCGCAGAACCATGCAGAAGGCTTCCGATGCTATGCGAAAATGGGGCCAGGCAATCATGGCCCGCATCTATACGCATATGGATATCAATTCTGCCGAGCAAATTATGATCGAGCAGCTTGCAGGTCATGGGGTTCAACCTGAAGATCTGGTTCGACCTCTCATGCAGAATGCGCGGGTCAAGAATCCCATGGCCGAAAGCGAGCCTAAAACCTCCCTGTCCAGTCTCAAGGGGGATACTCTGTCTAGCAGGCTCTCCGCAGAGACTGACTTCTCTGAACTGGACTCTCCGCCACCACCATACAAGGCTCACGAGACCGAGGAGCCCCCAGAGGTCAAGACTCCTTCTCAAATGCCGACCTCTAATCGCATAGATATCGATCTCCGCTGGACAGTCCTCTGCGACTTGTTTCTTGTGCTGATCGCAGACTCAGCGTATGACGCGCGCTCACGAACGCTCTTGGAGAAGGTTGGCGCAGCGTTAGAAGTGACATGGCTGCAAATCTCGCGATTCGAGAAACGGGTGACGGACTCCCTGGAAATGCAAGAGCAGGCCGAGAAGGAGAACTGGGATGAGTCCGATCACATGGAAAAGCGCCGCAAGATGGCCTTGAAGCGTAAATATATGATAATGGGTCTGGCCACGGTGGGTGGTGGCCTGGTCATCGGTCTTTCTGCTGGACTACTAGCACCGGTCATTGGAGCTGGTCTTGCCGCTGGCTTTACCACTGTTGGTATCTCCGGAACCAGTGCGTTCTTGGGAGGAGCGGGTGGCACAGCCTTGATCGCTTCCAGTGCTACACTGGGCGGAAGCACCATTGGAATGAGAGCTTCGCACAGACGTACTGGTGCGGTTTCGACTTTCGAGTATCGGCCTTTACACAATAACAAGAAAGTCAATTTGATTGTGACGGTGTCGGGCTGGATGACTGGAAAGGTTGATGACGTCCGTCTACCGTTCAGTACTGTGGATCCCATCATGGGCGATATCTACTCTGTGCTCTGGGAGCCTGAGATGCTTCGAAGCATGGGTGACACTATCAACATTCTCGCAACTGAGGTAGGTTTTTCAGTCTACGCAGATTTATAATTAAGGCTGACTGGGCTTAGGCACTGACACAAGGTCTGCAACAAGTACTGGGCAGCACAGTCTTGATGGCGCTGATGGCATCGTTGCAACTGCCTCTTGTCCTCACTAAACTCGCATATCTAATCGACAACCCTTGGATTGTGTCATTGGCACGCGCCCAATCTGCCGGCCTTGTCATGGCTGACTCCCTGCAAGAACGTAATCTAGGCAATCGACCTGTGACACTGCTCGGTTTCTCACTTGGCGCGCGTGTCATCTTCTCTTGTCTCAAAGAATTGGCTGACAAGGGTGCTCACGGACTAGTCCAGAATGTATACCTCTTTGGATCACCCGTAGTCGCCAACAAGGACGAATACCTCAAGGCTCGCAGTGTGGTATCTGGCCGCTTCGTGAACGGTTATGCCACGAATGATTGGATTCTGGGTTACCTTTTCCGTGCCACAAGTGGTGGCATCATGAAAGTCGCCGGTCTCGCAGCCGTGGAGGGTATCCCGGGAATTGAGAACTTTGACATCACCCGGTTGGTGAACGGTCACATGGACTACCGTACCGCCATGCCTCGTATTCTGAGAGAAGTGGGCTGGGAAGTTCTGGAGGACGAGTTTGCAGAAATCGAGGATCCAGATCCCGACAACCACGCCGAAAGACAGCGAGAGTTGATCCGCGAGATCGATGAAGCCCGCCGAGAGGCAGAAGCGAAGCCCGAGAAGAAGCGTTTCGGTTTGTTCAAACGGGGCAAAATGGCGGAAAAGAAGAAGTGGGAGACGTACGATATAGATCGAAACAACGTCTCTAACGAATCATCCGATCTTGACAGCAGTCCTGGCACAGTCCTCTTCGATATCGAGGCCATTCGCGCCGAGCTGCACTCGGAGGCAATCGAAATCAAAGAATTAGAATCGACCATGCCTCTGATGAAAGTAGATCTGAACTCACCTTCACAACCTACGGCTCAACCCTCTCCTGTCAACGAGCCAAAAACCCCAGAGAGGCCACCGGTCTCTCGCACAGCCTCGGGGCCATTGCCAGTCTCTGAGCAGTACTCCCCTCCATCTTACGAACCCTCGACTGCCCCAAAGTACGAAGAGATGGAAATGACTTTCGACACTTCTTACGATGAATCTCCACGATCCACATACGACCCGCACTCCCCATCCCGCCCAGAGTTGAGAACAGCCTCGACGATGCCCAATATCGGCGCCACCGCCATCGGAGCCATGGACATGGAGCCTAATGCTTGGGCTGACCATGGTCAGGGACATGGTGACGGCGAGATCTCAATGACCTTTGAATAGGGTACTGGCTTTGTCTCCCATTCTTGTATTCTTTCTATATACTTTTCTCTTCGATTTCCCTTAATTTCGAGACTTAAGGTGCATCCGCACAGGTGTTGGCTTTGCTATGATCTGATTGTGTATATGCCCAACTGTCTATGTATAGGTGTCTATGTATAGGGGCAGATCTAGCTTCTACAATTATCAATCAACCACGATAAGATATTTGCAAGCGGATTGGTTCAATTTAACTCTTTGTCTGCTTCCTCTTAGATACTCCCAAGCATAAACTTAAAAATAGAACCAAAACGCATCTATACAATTCTCTAACCCACGACTGATACATACATATGTCTATTCTAATAAATCACTTATATGAAATCAAATGGCAAGCTGAGGTTATACAAACTGCGGAGCCTGGGGCACCGATCGCGTGTCACGCGTTTCCTATCGGTTTCCCCTCATGTGGCTCGGCCCATTGCAATCTTAGCATCTCAGAGAACGCAAAGCGTTCTTTGTCTCAAAAACAAAAAGGACATCGAACCGAATTCCAGTCCAATTCCCAATCCCACGTCCTCCGCTTCCGTCGCAAACCACCGCGCCCTTGTGAACCTCCCGTTATCAACGCGTGCCGCGTGAAGTGATACGATCTGCTTGCTTTTTTTTGAATTTTGATTTTGGGACTCCAATGCAGTCTACTATGGGAGTTCAGTCAAGACCAGATGCGTCCAATCGCATGACGAAACACAATGGCCCGCCCAGTCATCTTTTGTCTACTTTCAGGAAACAAAACGAAGTCAAGGTTGAGCCCGCACCGGACGTCGCGCAGCCCAGTATTGAAGTTGGCGCACAGCAAGATATCGATATCGATGCTGATATGGTGAGCTCGTCGCCGCTCACTGACGTTCCTAGTGATGTCGAAGATCCAGACTTGGAGCCGGAGATTGTTCACACTGCTCAGGTCGCGTCGAGGCTAGAACCCGCTACCGAGGATGAGCCTATGAGTACCGAAGACGAAGAAGAGTGCAGCGATATTGATTCGTCGCCACCGCGCAAGGACACAAACTATACGACCATGGAACAGAGGTTCGCGGAAAACAAGAGTTCTTGGGGTAATTCGAGTCCAAGCAAGAGTGGTTCGCGTCCGAGGAGCACTTTGGTAGATAGTGATGATGAAAACATGGCCTTTTGGAGCTCTCAGCAGAGCAAACGGTCTAAACCAAACACGTACCAGACTGCCCAGAAGTCGTATTTTAACAAGAAGACCTTTGGCAAACCCACGCCGAAACCCAGCCCCAGGGCTAGGGCTAAGAAAATACCCCGGTCTGAAAAGAAGGCTGATGAACCTTCCCAAGAACCGGAAAGTTCATTCAAAGTCCCAAAAGACATCGACAATCCAACATTCAAGCCCAAAACGAAGAATGGGGATTCCTTTTCCTTCGGCACGTTCTCCTCTAAAGAAAACGACGCAATGCAATACAGCAGCGACGCTGACTCCCCACTCTCATCGGCGTCATCAACGATGCTCAAAGGAATGGAAGAGGCTCTCGAAGGCCGAGAACCATCCCCACCGCGCAAAGCCGTATGTCCAATGTGCCAAACAGAGGTCGAGCCCGAGATCCTGGCTCTCTTCCACTCACAGCCGAAGCAGCGAATCCGCGAACAGCAGCAGTTCTGCGAATCGCATAAATTGCGCAGCGCGGCAAAGGAGTGGGAAGAGGCTGGGTACCCGGTCATTTTGTGGGAGAACTTCGAAGCTCGGGTTCAGGGTCTGTTCCCTGATATTGAGAAATTGCTGAACCCCGATGCTTCATCTTATTATCGCAATATCCTCGATACTGCGCTGAAATCTGGACGCGCTTTTAATTCTAAATCGATCCTTGAGGGCGATGGTCTGGAGAAGATTACTTGTGGTTATTATGGTTCCAAGGGTGCAAGCAAGATGTATGTAGCATGGATCTACCTCGTGGAGTATGGCGGTATACTAACTGTTTTCTAGGCTGCATGCTGTTATTGATCGTTTCTCGGTGCGGCTGCGTCGTCTGGCGACGACGGATCGTATCGTTAAGACTGCTGGCGTGGCAGGCTACGCGCAGTCTGTGATCGTGCCTGAACTGGCTATGCGGTTGGTTGCGCAGGACATGAATGTTGACGATGAGAATGCTCGTCAGATAATGAGAGATAGTATGGAAATCGGCGAGAGGCTGAATCCCGAACTCAATGATGTTGTACCCGTCCCGGCTGGAGAGGACGTTTCCGAGGACGATGTGGAGAGTCAAGATAGCGAGGGTAGCGAGGACCTCACGGAACCTGAGGATTTCGAGGAAGTCGAGGATCTTGAGTCATAAGTGGGGATGGTTTTGTTCGCATTTTATGCCCTGGAGTTATTGGTCTATCTGGTTGTTTTCGTCATTTCATAGCATTATATTCCTTGCAAAATTGTATATATAGCCATCGTGATACCTTATATCCTATGATCTGCTTCATCCATTGCCTTGAACCTATAGCCATCAAAACGAGCAGTAAGATACGAAATGCCTACATATTGACAGAGTACGGAGTAGACTTGAGTTGATACACGTCGATCAACAATTACCCCAAGAGGAAGGCCGGCAAGGGTCCACCCGCCCGCCGTGAGGGGTATTAGTCATCACTGATACCATCACTCCAATGATGATACAATGCGGAGAAGCTTGAATTTCGCCTTTCTCAACTATTTCCATCATGACAATGAGGGAGAAAGACATGCCGTACTCAGAGACGACCCCTTTGCTAGAGGTCAATGTCGCTCCCCAGCGGCATCGATACCCGCACCATGCCCTCCGTCGAGCTTGCACTATCTCCCTTGCAGCTCTACTTTCCGTAGCGACCGTTCTGTTTCTAATTCCCACCGCCATTCTGCCTCGAGAGAGTGGCTCGGTTTGGTCTTATCTCCCCTGGTCTCATCCAATTCCCCACGATGCATGGCCAGAGAGCTATGGTCTGCCGTACGATCAGCTCCAGCAGATCCTCCTCAATGTTCCGTCCGCGGATAAGGCCCGAGAGTGGAGTAAATACTATACAGCGGGACCACACTTGGGAGGCAAGAACCTTTCCCAGGCACTCTGGACTCTTGAGAAATGGAAGGAATTCGGCGTGGAGGATACCAGCCTTGCGGCCTACGATATCTATATTAATTACCCGCTTGATCACCGTCTGGCTTTGCTGAAGACCTCCGACGGTAAGACCGAAGTTACCTTTGAGGCTACACTAGAGGAGGATGTCCTCGAAGAAGATCCCACCTCCGGCCTTAAAGACCGTGTTCCAGCCTTCCATGGCTACTCTGCGACCGGAAATGTAACTGCCCAGTATGTGTATGTCAACTTTGGCACATACGCTGACTTCGAGGATCTCGTGAATGCCAACATCACCTTGGAGGGTAAGATTGCAATTGCGAAATACGGTGGTATCTTCCGTGGATTGAAGGTGAAGCGTGCACAGGAACTCGGAATGGTCGGTGTAGTGATCTACAGTGACCCGCAGGAAGACGGTGAAATCACTGAGGAAAATGGTTACGAAGCTTATCCCAATGGACCGGCACGGAACCCCAGTGCTATCCAGAGAGGTAGTACTCAATTCTTGAGTAAGGGTATCATTTGAATCAGTTATTGCAAGGCTAACCTCAAACAAGGCATTCTTCCTGGTGACCCCACAACCCCAGGATACCCATCTAAGCCCGGGTGTGAGAGGCAGGAGCCTTACTCTATTCCCTCTATTCCATCCCTCCCTATCTCCTATAAGGAGGTTCTACCATTCCTGAAGGCATTGAATGGCCACGGCCCTAAGGCGTCCGACTTCAACAAGTGGTGGCAGGGTGGTGGCCTCGGCTACAAGGGTGTCGAGTACAACATCGGCCCCTCCCCGGAGGATGTGGTGATCAATCTCCACAACCATCAGGAGTATGTGACGACCCCATTGTGGAACGTCATTGGTACCATTAAGGGCCACATCCCCGACGAGGTCGTCATCCTCGGCAACCACCGTGATGCATGGATTGCCGGTGGCGCAGGAGATCCTAACAGTGGATCCGCAGCTCTGAATGAGGTTGTTCGCAGCTTCGGCGAGGCCCTTAAGGCAGGGTGGAAGCCATTGCGCACCATCGTCTTTGCCAGCTGGGACGGCGAAGAGTACGGTTTGCTCGGATCGACCGAATGGGTCGAAGAATACCTGCCATGGCTCTCCAAGGCCAACATTGCCTATCTGAATGTTGATGTGGCTGCTGCCGGCACACGCTTCGAGCCTCGCGCTAGCCCCCTGCTGAACAAGGTCATTCACGATGTCACCGGCTTAGTGCAGTCCCCGAACCAAACCGTACGGGGCCAAACCATCCGCGATGTTTGGAACGGCAAGGTCACAACCATGGGTAGTGGCAGCGATTTCACTGCCTTCCAAGATTTCGCCGGTGTTGCCAGTCTGGACTTTGGATTTGGCCGTTCTCAGAACGACCCGGTCTACCACTATCACTCGAACTACGACAGTTTCGCGTGGATGGAGAAGTACGGCGACAAAGACTTCCTCTACCACCAAGCATGCACAAAGCTCTGGGCTTTGGCAGCTGCCCAGCTAGTGGAATCTCCTCTCCTCGCATTGAACGCCACAGACTATGCGTTCGGCCTAGGCACCTATCTAGACAACATCAAGCCAACGGCCGACAAACTTCCCGGCAAAAAGCAATTCCACTGGGCGAATCTGGACAGACAGATTCTTGAATTCCAGGAAGCTGCTCAAGCCTTCGATGCCTATGCCGTCGATTTGCAGTCCCAGCTTGGCGAGCGTGTCCCCTGGTATCACTGGTGGAAGAAGGTGAGGCTGTGGTTCCAGATCCGCGCCACAAACGCCAAGTACAAGGGCATTGAGCGGGCTTTCCTCTACCAGCCCGGTCTGGATGGCCGTGAATGGTTCAAGCATGTTGTCTTTGCTCCTGGTATCTGGACTGGTTACTCGGGTGCTACGTACCCTGGTATTGTTGAGAGTCTCGAGGCTGGAGATGTGGAGAATGCCTATGTAAGTTCCTGATTTTGTTTGAATGATGCATTTACTAACATATTTATTTAGAAATGGAGCTCCATCATTGAGGAGCGCATTAGTGCAGCAACGCAGTTGCTGCTGTGAGAGGTTTGGATATCGTATGATCAAGCGCTGGAATTTGCAATATGCTTGCCTTTTGCCCCCAAACATGTACAAAGACGTGCATCCGAACAGTTCAAATGATCTCAATCCAATTCAGCATAGATATTCCATAAACTGAAACAATTGATACACTTATAAGTCTAAGGATGTAAATCAACAAGGTTATGTTATGCAATATCTACCCCAGACTGCGTCATTTTAGTAATCAGCATAGACCGACCCCCAAGGTCAATCACACGATCTCCAAGCTCTCCAAAACACTCGCCTTCAAACTCCCCACAAAAGAAACGACTTAACAAATCCCAAAAATGGTAAGCAACACCCTCCACCAATTTCAATACCGAAAACTAACAGCCCAGGCCCCCATCAACTCCGCCCTAATCCTCTCCCTCCTCACCTCCCTCGGCGGGATAATCGGCTATGCCCGCACAGGCTCCATCCCCTCAATAGCAGCCGGCCTCTCCGTCGGCTTCGTGTACCTCCTCTCATTCCTCCGCCTGCGCGCAGGCCAGTCCTACGGCGAGGAGCTCGGTCTGCTGGCTTCTGTTGTGCTGGGCGGGAGCTCCATTCCCCGCGTTATCAAGACGGGCGGAAAGCCTGTTCCTCTTGGACTATCTATTCTTGCTACGTATGGGCTTTGGGTTTTTGGGGTTGCGTATAAGGCGAGGAGGTAGATGCGGTGGTGCGATGGAGGGTGGGGGGATTGGTAGTTTGATGCTGGGAGTGCGTTCCAGCGGCGCGGATGCAATTACAAGTTTATGGTTGTTACGCAGTTAGTGACTTTGTTTCGGATTCATCTACGTTGGGAAAGAAAATGCACGATATCCTTGAATTTGTGGACATGAATTTGAGTATGTAAAGACCATACTAGATGTAGACGTGAAAGCCCAAACCGAGATGGAATCCCTACCTCGAGAAAAACGCTAAAACTTACAATTGACGGTAAATCATCGTCATGCCTGGGGCATTAAATCGAACAGATTGATCCTTGGTCCAGTTTGGGTTACACCTCCGCGGGGGGATCAGGGATGAAAACGAAGGGTGCGAACACGTACTGACTGAGGCCATTTGAGAATATTGGCAAGGCATAGCTCAGATCGAATCATTTCCACGAGAAACTGGAGTCTCGTCTCGGAGGTTTGTCATTTTCTCAATTTTTTTTCTCATTTTCATTTTCATTTTCACTCACAAGCACTCTGCCTCTGTCGGGAAGAAAGCGGCCCAGGGAGGGGAGAGGATTCGTCAGAACTAGGATTTGTATCAGGGCCACTGACTTGACAACAAATGATAGACCCAGCCAGGAGAGCTTGTGTGAGAAGTTTGTATGTGTCGAACTTAGCTGGGGTCCGTAAATCCTTCACGTGCAGATGCAGCGGGGAAAACAGTGCAGAACTTAATGGGCCGAGTCGATAACCGTGTCGGAGTCTTGGACGGCGCCCACGATGTTGGAGGCGGGGACATCGCCGAGAGTGGTTTCTTCACTGTGATCGGGTTTCCAGGCGTATCGGGGTAGCTGGGCCATCCGTTCTTCGGGGGAGAGGGTTTCGTGGAAGTAAACCATTCTAACAGGGGGCTTGACCTTCTCTTTCTTGGCTGGCTTTTCGGTGCCCTCTGGCTTGGCTGCTGTCTCATTGGCTGCGGCCGGAACCTGGTTTTCAATAGCGACGGGAGTTTGTTCGCTTGCCGGGGAAGCATAGCCGTTGTAGTAGCCCGAAGCAGCGGGAGTAGGCGAATGGTGGCCCCTGTGCATCTGCTGCATTTCGAACTGGTTGACTGAAGGTGCGCCGAAAGCGGGACGCTGAGGAAGGTTAGAGGCGGCTGGTAGGCCCATAGACTTGTTATCGAGTGGTGTTGGTTGCTGGTTATAGGAAACAGGAGCTGCGTAAGAGACAGGAGGCTGCGCAGGAAGTCCGGTGGGGAATGGCTGGGTGTATCCGGTGGGGGTATAAGGCGAAGCAACGGGAACCTGCTGTCCACCGACAGGAGGATAGCCTGGATAAACAGGACTGGCAGTCTGCAGGAAAGGAGGAGCCGCAATGGCCGAGGCACCTCCGTAGGGCTGAGCTCCGTAGGGCTGGGGGTAGGAGGGTTGCTGAGGCTGAGCGGCTGCGACCTGGGGGGGCTGTGTCTAGAATAGTGTCAGTTCTCGAGAAGATCACACGAAAGGAAAGATATCACTTACGTATGCAGCGGGGTTGGGGGTAGACTGGGCAGACTGATCAGCACTGATGGGAGTGACGTCGCCGCTGCTGGTTCCGGCAAGTGCCTGTGCGGCGCGCTTGGCTTTGTGCTCGGCCAATCGCTTCTTCATATCGGCTACTGATTCCAACTTAGGCTTTTTCGCCGGCTGACCATTCGCAGAGCTACCAGAGGGAGGATTGCCCGTCACAGCCTGGCGTTCGAGTTCTTCCTGGTGAAATTGACTTGCGACACGCTGGTTGTGGGCCCTGAGAACCTCGGCAGGAATACCCTCCATGCCAAAAATCTCAACGTCAAGACCCATGCGGTTAGGCAGGGCATTTTCAACTTCAGTAAGCTGCTCTTTGTGAACCTGGCTCAGATGGACAGAGAGACCTAGCCGCGCGAATGATTAACACAGCGCGCGATTGATGGAAAATATCGTGAGTGACTTACCTCCAGCGGTGTTCAGTCGGCGTCCGCACGTATCGCACTTGAAATGCTTGGCCTTTTGGTGGGAGATGAGAATCTTCAAGTCGTCGAAATCACGCTCGCAATAGTAGCACCATGGTCGATCCAATAGCTCCTCGAGAGATGGACCGCGTCTTTTCTTGCCCATATTGTCGGATCGAGAGGCGTAGAACTGTTTGAAGAGTTCGGAAGGGGTGAGGGGTTGTGGAGAAGATGGCGGTCCGGAGTCACTCTCGCCGATTTGGGAACTTGACATGGCGGTTGATGGTATATCACGTGACTCTGGTCACGTGGATGACGAAGTATGAAAATATCGGGGAGATGAGATGAAAAGTGAAGGTATTCAAGCGGTGTTGAGTGTTTGTTTTGACTAGAGAAAATTGTGGGGAGTAGCCTTTTATGCAACTGCGCGTCTCGTTTGCCTCTTTTGCTTCGTATATCACCATCGCCGTCCTCTGGGCCTAGGACAGCAGTGATGGGAGAATCTACATATGTACTATACTATTACTTCCTCTCTATCTGCAGATATTGAATGTGATGTTTGCAGTAGGATAGGATAAAACACAGAAAGAGGTGTGAATTTGCAGTCGCAAGGGGATAATTGTCGAGTCTCAGAAATACCGAATTTTAGCACTTACGAATCCTTTATACCAGGCACGGATGTTAGTCAAATCATACATTTGAAGTTCGAATTAAAATACATGAGCCGGTACCCTGACAGGAACTTTACCAGGGAACCAGCATCTCAATAATGTATCTGAACTTGTATCTTGGTCCACATGACTCAAGAAACAAAGATCAGTGGGGCCGAGGCAATCCCCAGATTCCATCTCTCACTTGTGAAGATGAAGTGATGATAAAAATGTAGTATGGCTGTTAGCCCAAGCGAGAGGGAAGAGCCGGGAGTTGGCCCGACAAGCGACCTCCTTCAATGGCGAGGATCACGAGGGTCATGCGGACCCGGGAGGTGACCCATTCCGTATTGAACATATGGAAATGGAGCGTATTGGGGAGGCATTGGTTGTCCCAATTGCGCCATGGGAGCAACAGGCGCACCGGCATATGGATTCACATGACCGTGGCCATAGTGAGCCATTCCCATAGGAGGGAATGATGGAGGCAAGTGCTGCTGTGCTTGTACGCTTGCCATGGAGGGCAGACCAGGTGCCTTGGGGGCGAGATTGCCAGCAAGGGGAACCAGCGACGGCGACCTCTTCGGGCGGCCAGGACCAGGCCCAGGACCAATGGAACTAGGCATCGAATCCTCGGGGGCATCCGTTCTGTCCTGCTCAATTTGGGCCTTGGAACGCTTTGGGTTGCGAATGCGTCCTTCTCGGTTGAAACGATCCCAGTGGTCGAGCATCGCCTTTGTACGCTTGGGATTCTTTGAGTTGGCGATCTTTTGCCGCCTAGCCTCTTCGATTGCCTCGGCGGAGAGAGCTTCTTTCTTGGCCGGCGCTTGCGTTTGATCAATGGGGCTTGCGGTGGCGTTTGGCTCGATGGCTGGGAATGAGGACTCTGCCGTGGGAGTTGCCGACGAGCCGACAGTGCTAACACCACGTCGACCCCGGCCACGATTTGAGGGTTGTGTTGTTGGGACTGGGGTAACTTCAAATGTTGGTCGAGAGGAGCCTTGGCGAGAGATCCCTCCACGACCGCGGCCGCGGCCACGGCCGCGACCACCGCCACCGCCACGACGAGAGTTGGTGTCTGAGTGAACAGATTCGACGACAACACGCTTGCCGCCCCGAGTCCGGGTTCGTCGCTTCACGGCATGGTTTTCATCTTCAGTTTCGTCACCATCTCCACTCTCATTTTGTGTCTCTTCAGTGTCTGGGGTCTTGGCGGGTAGTTCGACCTCTGCGGCCTTGCGTTTCCGGGTAATTTTTGGAATAAGTGGCTCGCTGCGAGGCTCATACATTTGAGGGTGGTATTCGAGGCCGTGCCTTTTCATGGTAGTCCAGTTGTCCATGTTGCGATCACCATGATCCTTTTGCTTGGCAATCATCTTTCTGGCCTGTGCAGGGGTAGGAACAAAGCCTCCTTGGACGAACGGATCTTGCGGGGTGCGAATAGACACAAGTGGTGTGTTTCCTGGGAAGTGCTGGTGTTTGTAACCATAAAGCATGGCCTCTTTCTTCTCCTCAAAGTCATAAACGTCTTCGGTGACACGAGCCAAAGGTGCTCCGCCTTTTTTCTTGTTCCCCTGCAACTGATGTCGCTTTGTTTCGTATGTTGGCACATCACGTCTGTGTCGATTTCCTCTCAGGTAAAGATTGTCGAGGGCGAGATATTCATCTTGGATCGTTTTCAATGCAAATGCTCCAGTTTGTGCGAGTGCGTAAAGTTCATCAGTTGAGTGTTTGTCGGCATTCCGGAGCATGTTAATAAGGGTGTCGACTTCTGGGACCTGGATTTCGAGAAATTGGCCCTTGTCGACTTTGGACTTTTTGTAGAGGGCGGGGTGAATAGTTGGTTCAGATGCATCACGCTTCTTTGGTTTGAAAGGATCATGGAAAGCATTTTCCCAGTCTAATTCGCACTTTGCAGCATCTAGTTGATAATCGGGTGAGAAAAGGACGGCATTGTGGACATTCCAATGTTCATCAAGGCGCTTTTTCACGTCTTCTCTTCGCCACTTGGCCTGGCGGATGCGATACTCCTCTGGATATGAAGTACGCGGGTTGGAGATCCACTCAATTGGGTCGAGCTTGCCTGCAGGCACGTTATTGGCATTGACAGTGATTGTGGTGGATTTTGTGCCATTGGTATCATCAGCAGTAACTTCCACTGTGATTTCATCGCCTTCGGCTTCGTCTTCTTGGGGCTCGGTATCTTCAGGCCCGGCAGCTTCAGCTTCGGCTGCAGCCTCATCTTCAATGTCGTCATCATCTTGGAGTTCGCCAGTCTCATCATAAGTATCTTCGGCGCCATCTTCGGTACCATCATAGCCAAGAATAATGCTTTTTGGGTGAGATTCGTTGATGTGCTCATTTAACACATCATCTTCGGAGATACTTTGGTCCTCTGGAAGCTGCAAAAGCTTTCCGCACCAGTCGCATTTCACATGCTGAACGGGATCTGGTGAATGAGACATTTGGGTGGAAGTAGATTGGGGGCGAAATGGTTCAGAAAATTGTCGGCGCATCGGAGAGTCTTGACTATCGCCGATATCTGATGAAGGGTTGTCTCCATCCAAATCGGCCCTGGGAATTGGGGCCATGTTGGCACAAATGACCAGGCAAGGCAAAAGAACAACGAGAAAAACAAGAAAGGGGTATGAGTTTTAATGATTCGCAAAAAAAAAAAAAAGAAGCAGAAAAAGAGAAAGAGAAACAAACAATCCTAAAATGGAGGATTAAGGATGTTGAAGAATCTGTATAGATGGTCAGCCTGGTTCGCTTGCGGGTGCGTGCCAAGACAACAGTAATCACAGTGCAATCCTGCGGTCTCGAGATCCAAAGCATATAAAATAAGCTGAAATGAACGAATAGGAACAAGTCATGAGCCAGGTGATCACAATCCGAGATACATACATATCGAGCGACAAGAGAAGACATGTAACAGAAAACACGGTCGGGCAAAAAATGTGTGGATCAAGATCTGACCGGGAAGTACTGCCAGACTACAAGAAAAGCTGATAAAAAGACGCGCCACTAACCATGAAGTCTTCAAGACTGAAAAAAGCTCTTTGTGGACTAAACACACCAGTGCCAGCCAATGACTGCTGGCTGTTAGTGGTGAATTCTGCAAAGAAGGGTGCAGGGTGGGCATGAGTGGCTGCCAGGGATGTGTACTTACTTATCCGACTAGAGATGGCTGGGTAGTTAGGTAGATGACAGTCCTTTGGAAACACAGCGTGAAGCAGGATGAGTAGGAAGAATAGGAACAGACGTAGAAAGGACAAAGGGCAAAACAAGATGTCAAAAACAAATATGCCGAAGACTGGCGCGCAGATCTTTGCAGTAGTATGAAGGGAAAAAAAAGATCTTCGCGGACGCGATATGCGAAGTAGAAGATGGGGAAAACAGAGGGAGATAATTCAAACGAAATTTCAGATCCTCACGAATACAGGAGAAGACAGGAGAAGGGTAGGGTCGAGGGATTAAAGATGACGAAGTTGGCGAAGAGATTGAGGTTGAGAAAGAGATAGTTTTGTAGTTTGTAGCCATTTACGGGGGTTTCCACTGCCCGTCGTGGCCCGGCCAATCAGAGTCTTCCTATCTACTAGCCACATTGGAACTACATTGAGTAAAGGGGGTTTTATTCTTCAATACTTGAGTGAGATTCTATTAAAATTGATAGAGATATTGTTATTGATGATCTTCTACTCATTTTGGCTCTCTTTATTGTTTATTTGAACATATTAATTAACAATGGTTGTCTATGTAGCTGTTTCTTTGGTTTAGATTTCTTATTTTGATTTTTGATTTTTCTCAAACATTTCGAAGGATACGTCACATGATACGTACTTTGTAGTTGAACAATCAAAGAACTCATATAGAGCTGATTCTGGAGGTTGTCAATGGTATATGACATGAAAATTGACGAGGAAAAAAAACGTTGTGGGTACCTGGTGGAACTTATTTCGATGCGCTTACTTCCAAGTGGACACATCCCCGAGCACTTGACTCTATATGTAGTTATATGATCTATAAGTACAGACCAGGTAATTAGTACATAACTGTATACATAGGTATATGTATGTATGTATATAACTACTATTAGATGTCAATTGTATCTATCTCTTAGACATAGGCAATAAGCCTTACTCTAGCGGTAACAGCAAAATAATCCGGATCTTGATCGACGAATGGTTTACTTACACTTTCCGTTTCATCTATATGAACTTTTAAGAACACGAACATGGACCTGAAAATTAACCTCAAATTCATTTGCAAAGCCACATTCTAGGTAATGATCTCCTTATCCTCCATCAAATCCTAAGTAGGTGGACATATCAAATCCCCCATTTACCTCAAATCGACGACCCTTAACTTTACCACGACAAAACTCCATAGCACCCTTTGGCACCTTCTCCCAATCAATAACGCTAGTACCAACAGTCTTGCCATCATCAAGAGCTATACTGAGTGCCTCCTTGACCCAACTAATACAATTCCAACCTTCCTCGCCTTGTCGGATATGGATCTTACGCAGGATACCCACAAGGCTAGGTTTATCTTCCACTTGGTAATCATGATGCGGACCAGTAGTTGGCGTAATTGGTTGAGAGGGCAGTCAATTTCATCATAGCGCCATTGATTGACACCCCATTCGATGGACTCCTTGGCCTGGAAGGTGGTGACGGTTGTGTCTGGTGTTTCAGGTCTGGGACCAGTCATTAGTGCCTAATTCTAAGTAAACCAAAATAATCAGTTGTGTCTAATTTGATAACGGGGATATGGGCTTTACGTGTCTTACTCGTTTGGCATTATGGGTATGCCTGCTCGGACATAGAGAGTCACATAAAGACGTTTTTCGTCTGATGGCATAGTAGTGATGATGGAATGCCTCTCTGGAAACTCAAAAAATGAGGGCCAGTCTATATTAGAGAGGAGCTGGTTGAGTCACCTCACGCCAAGTACCGTGAAATGTTTCAAATTGGGCTATCGTACTAATAGAATACAGGGTAATCTTAAAGAGCAAACGCAGTATCAAAGTAGCGAGCACCTGATGACCACAAAAGTCAAATCAAAACAAAACAAAGCTCAACACTAGGGTCAAGAAATAAAAATTGGGAAAATCAATCAAATCGGTACTCGAGTAAATGTAAAGGTGCAATTATAGTTGCAACAAACGAAAGGTTACTCTGTGAACTATATGCATTCCCCACAAACAAAAACTTGTAGCACACGAAGTCCAAAAAGTGATCCAGAATATTGTTTTAATTTAAAATGGCCTGTCCAATAAGATGCTTTTCCTGGGCGTCAATTGTGCCCGACATGCATGACGGCGCCTAGCTAGCCCCTGCATTGCTGAAATAATCCACCTATAGATGTATGTCTATCAATATATACGATGACATGGTATGCGGACACTATCAGTATATAGAATGTGATAGGATATCTACAAGGGTGACGTTTATACCGAACTTTCCTATGAAAAAGTAATCATTCTTTAAATCTTTTATTATAGCCTGTGCAGACGCTGAATTACCTTTTGAAAACCGGTTCTTGGTGGCTTCTACCTCAGACCGAGAGAGACCGAGAGAGTATGGTCGTTGTTCTATAGCACGTCTATCCAGTATGAAATTCTATAAAAAATACCTGGGTTTCGTATGCCGGGTGATATACATGTGTCGACTCAATTATATCATGTCGGGGAGTGCTCTCTATGGTCTTTACATACACAGAAATGGCAGAGGAGGGGAAGGAGGGAGTCTCAGTCCTCGCTTCCGAGAAGTTATAATCGGTGAGCTAGTTCGCGGTGCTCTGAAATTACATCCAATCATACTACTATACATGGGGGGTGGTCAGGACGTGTGCATTGAACAAGAGGGCGCTTAGTAGTGTAGCATCCACTACAACTACATACATATGTAGTCATATAATTGTGAACTTCTCTTCCAAGTTTGTAACCTTGGAAGTTTTCTTGCAATTCGAATCCATCAACATTACAGCCAGTACCAATTGATATTACTCTAAAATATATCTGTTAATTCAAAGCCGAACAAAACCCTCAGTGATTTTTCTCCCCAACATCTAGAGCAACCAAAAACCTCGAAACACAATTATAAGCGGCAACCGTCGCCGTAATCTCAACAACCTCTTTCTCATCGAAGCAGGCCTTCAACCGCTCAAAAACCCTATCAGGAACCGCAACCGTCTTCGTCATAGCATCCGTATAAGCCAACACAGCCCTCTGCTCCTCCGTTAAAGCCTGAGCACCAGACTCAGTAGAGAAGTCAGCCCCCGCATCCCCGACAATCTTCAACGCTTCATCGCTTAGTCCGCCCTCTGTCAGCAGAGGCGCATGCTGCTCCCACTCAAAGAGTGCACCATTGACTACTGCCACCCGACAAATTGCTAGCTCGCGGATGACAGTGGAGAGACTTGTGCGCGTGCGGATTGCGCCGATAAAAGAGTTCCAACCTTCTGTTACAGGGAAGGAGTGGAGGAGGGCTAGGTCGAGGGGGAGGAGGGGGTTTGGGGCTCGGCGTGCTTGGACGCTGGCTAGGATTTTGGCTTCGTCTGGTGTGTTGGTTGGTGGGGGGTCTGGAACGTAAGGGAGACGCATTTTGAGTTGAATCTTGTAGTGAGAGTAGAGAGATGTTGATTGGGGTTGGGAAGCTGGGTTGGGTGTTGATGTTAGTTACGTGACTCAATGCGCGCTGTACATCCTACTACTGACCTCCCAAAGGGGTGTAGATATGCAGATATCGGCGTTATGCTCTAAATGGTAGCAGATACTCCGTATATTCTTTCTATAGGGAATCGGTAGCTACATGTATCTTTTTAACCCCGCGCGGTCCCGTACAGCGGGGCCGATAACCAAAGCCGCGGGAGTCGGGTTCGTGCTTCCGATCTAATTCCGCCGTTAGTTTAGATACTATTGATATGTGTGAGGCTGAGGAAGTTGAAGAAGTTGAAGAGCTTGAAAAACTTGAAAATGTTGAAGTTGACTTTGTTTGTGTACATCTTGGTAGGCTGTCATACTATGGGGTGACACTTGGAGGAGATTTAAGACTCAACATACTTATTTCCCTTGAAATGGCCTTTATGAAATGAAATAATGGAATAAAAAGACCTAAGTTGTAGAGAATCAAAATTATTGACTCTCCCAATCCTTGTCAGATTTGAGTTGGCCCATTTCCTAGACAAGTATAAACACCGTCTCAAGTCTTGGCGCAAATCCCCACAGCGGCTTCAGAGCGACGGTGTCGTCACCTCTCCTGAACTCCCAAACATGCCACCCAAGGCCCCCAAACCCACAAGCGACGAGCTTTTAGCTCAATTTGACGATCTCGGTCTCGAAAAATCTGGTCAAATACCAAAGCCAGCCGCAACCGATGCCAAGGGTGGACAGGAAGAAGATATCCTGGCCGAGCTAGATCACCTAGCTACACAGCGTCCAGCCAGCGGACCAGGCACTCCCCGTCTGTCCATCGACAAGCCTAGATCATCTACACGGTCTCCCCGACCAAGCACGACTATTGAACGCCCGACCGAAGACAAGGCATCGATCCGCCAATCTGAAGAGACGGGTCGGCCCCCCGCAGAAACCAAGAAAGAGCAACCCAAGGCCGAGCCTGAGAATGTCCCACAACAATCCACAGAAGAGAGTGGTGGTGGTTGGTGGGGTGGCTGGGGAGGTGGTTTGTATGCTACTGCCACCGCCGCTATGAAGCAAGCCGAGGCGGCTGTCAAGGAGATCCAGAACAACGAGGAGGCACAGAAATGGGCCCAGCAAGTCAAGGGCAATGTCAGTGCTCTCCGCGATCTCAGTATGCTTTCTCTACCAACCTCATACCATGTTTGCATGACAGCTAACTAAGACACACAGGCGGCGAGCTTCGCGACAGAGCTATTCCAACCTTCACCAGTCTCATCCACACCCTCGCACCTCCCATTTCCTCGCATGAACGTCTCCAAATCCACGTCACCCATGATCTCTCTGGCTACCCAGGCATCGACCCACTAGTCTACGCAGTCTTCTCACGAGTAATGTCCCAAGTCGAAGGCGGCGACCTACTTGTCATCCAGCGAGGCCAAGAATCCTCCCCCAAGCGCAACGACGTAACGGGACTCATGACCAGCGCAGGCTGGAACGACGGGCCATGGTGGCGAACCGTGACCCCAGGCCAACCACGCAGCATCAACTCCGTGCTCGGCGCCGTAGAAGGCTCAAAGCTCGCCCGGGCTAGCGCCGAGTCCTACGCCACAGAGTACTTCTCGACCCGCGGCGGAGTCGAAAAAGCCGCCGAGCATGCCTCGGAAGTCCTGAGTGAATCCAATCCCGTCCGTAGCAGTGATATTTTCCTCGCCATCCAGGCCATCAGCCAGAAAACGTCCAAGGATCTTTTCCAGGCTGGTGCTGCCGAGAAGGACGACGTGGAAGCTGAGCAGGAAGAGGAAATTACTTTCGCTCTGTACCTCCACGATCCCATCCATGGAATCGCCTTCCATGTAATCTCCCAAGCTATCCCACAAACATGGATCGAATGGCTCGACGCATCGGTCCCTGCACCCGTGGACCCCGACTCCGAAGACGAAAAGGCCCAACGTGTCGTCGTCCCAGATGCCATTGCCGAGATCATCGAGAGTGGAGGCGTCGATCCCCGCGAATGGGTTTCCGAGTGGATCGAGGAGACTCTCTCGCTGGCCGCTGGTACTATTGCGCAGCGATACGTGGCTCGCCGCATGGGCGTTGGAGAGAGTGCCGTTGGCAAGGGCAAGATGCGCGCTGAGCAGGCTTCTACCGTCGAGAGTGGCGCCGGCGAAGCCGCTCGCGCAATCTAACACTTGACTACAGCCCGGCTGTCTTCTGTTTATGATACACCTCTTGCTTGCGTGCTTTGAAATTCTTGAATGCTGTAGCGAGAGTATTACATGATTGAACTTTGAATCAAGATTTCCGTATGCAATTGTCTATGTAAATCCCTATACCGTACTATGCATTCGAAAACCAGTGGGTATCGTCCAAGTCATCCAATTCATAATCAAGAATTAAGGTCCAGCGGCCCATCCAGGCCGGGGACGTGCCAGAAGTTGGCTCGGAGGGCAGTCACACTAAATCAGTTAGCATATTTTTCTGTAGATACTTTCCAAGTGATCATACCTGGTCGACCCATTAAGCACAGTATGAGCATCCGTCCCAACCTCACTCTCTTCCAATGTCTTCTTCATATCCGATAAATCAGCAGACCACTTGAACTGCCTCGTTCGAGCCGCAGGCGTCACATGGCCATTGACACCATTCGTCTCGCCAACATGCTCAGCGCCTTTCTCATGGCCATTGACACCATTGACCCCGTTCACCCCATTAGCAATCTTCTTCCCCCCCCTTCTCCTTCCCCACCTCAGCATACAAACATCCCCGATTCCAATAATACGGCAACGTCCTCGTATAAACAACAGGCCTCTCCTCCACATCAATCCGCATAGGAACATTAATATTATAAAGCTCTACGCGCTCATCCCAAACCTTCCATAAATGCTCAACAACGCGAACCGCCAGTCGTGCCGCAGCATCAATAACCCGCCCCTCCTGCGGATCCTTACTACCAAAGGAAATGGCAATGCCCCGTTTCCCACAGAAGACGGCTTCCAGCGCGCCACCAACCGTCCCCGACGACAGGTTATAGATCGTTGAAGCGTTGCGGCCGTGGTTCGGGCCCGAAATGACGAGGTCGATGGGCGAGCGCTCAGTGAAGAGGTCGTACAGGCCGAGCTGGGCGCAGCTGGCGGGCGTGCCGTTGGTGATGACTACCCAGTCATTTTGGGCGTCTGCGGTTTCAATTGGGGTGTATGAGTCGTCCCAGGTGCCGTTTGGGTTGAAGGCGTCTGGGTGCACGTAGGTTGCTGTGAGCTTTGCTTCGATTAGGTGGGCTTTGCCGATCCAGGAGCGGGAGGCGGAGGGAATTGCTACGGAGACGAGGTGGCCGTTTGCTTGGAGGGTGTTGACTAGTGGGCGGATGTAGGGGGAGAGGGTTGAGCTGGGGGGTCCATCGTCGTTCACGACCTGGGGGTATGTTTGTTAGTTGCTTTTTTGGGAGAAAAAGAAAAGAAGATAAGGCGTTGTCAGGTGCGGAGTATAAATTGGATCCTCTAGCGTCGATATTCTTTTTTGGATAATTGCCGCGCTGCGCTGACTCGGGGAAAAAGAAAGTCCAATATAGGGTTGTGCTGATCGGCTTACCAGGATGTGCATGATGCAGGTTTTGGTGCGCTAGGGGCGATATAGAGTAATTGGATATGCTTAACTCCGCGGAGGAGACCTCGAGTGTTTTTTAAGCTTTTGAGATTTCACCCGTTTTTTTTGTGGTATCTTCACACCAAAAGTTCAAGGATCCAATATTGTAGAAAGACAGAATCGATGTCCCCCACTAGAATCGGGGTACAGGAAACTTATACGGTCTGGGTACTGGGTAAGGGTTGAGCCATGATGGATTCCACACCTACCGGGGTGAAGCCGTTCAGGCTGCGGGGACAAGTGGCAGCCCCCGAATGCAGCGTGCGGTGAAGAGATCCGGTGGTTTTCTCGGATGTGCTGGCCATAGGGATGGTTTTTATTATTATTCGAAAGGTCATGGGAGTTGGGAGATGGTTGTGGATGTTTGTTATTGGATGGTATTATCTCTCATTAGAAAATGATTTTGGCAATGTTCTAGAAGATGAGTGAGATGCATACTATAGTACAGAATGCTATGTAATGTAGGGCTACGGCCTCGGGAGTGTCCACAGTAGTATGTATACTCATGGGGTACATATGTATGATATATAATATATAAGGAGAATATAGAGTATAGATTCAGCTTAGAAAATGATGCATGTTATAACTAGTTATAGTTATAATAAACTTAGAAACTAGTAAGTTATCAGTCCATTTAACCGATGTCATCCATGCTCTAGTTAGACTCTACTAGTAAGTACGAATGTGTTTAGACGATAGGTCTGGAACAAAAGAAAAGAAGAAAAGAAAAAAGAAAAGTGGAAACCAAAGAAAATTCTAGTTGAGTTTAGTCTACTGTTCGTCCAAGGTACATTTAGTATTTGATCTTGCCCTGTAGAGAATAAAATAGGTTGAACTTGGCAGGACTTGGCCATTCATCATAGCGCGATACGCAATTTATTTCTCTGACGCGATCGTCTCTCGTAACATGAATTAGGTCCTAGCCACTCGGAGATCTACACGCCGGTGTATACTCTACTTATTTTTTTTACAGCTATGATATTCTTTGCTTCTTTCAATCCAAATTAATAATACTATTCCATAGTATTAATTATTATAGCATCTAGTCAATATATTAATTCATTCTCAACCAGTTCTATTTTGATTTTGATCTTGTTCAAAAAAAAAACCACCCTGTAAAGCCCTGTTTCGCGCTAAACAACGATCGCAGAAAATCTTGAGGTGGGGAATCCCGTACCTGCAACATCTTTTGGCCCCTCAACTCTTCTTCCAGTCATCACCTCAACAACTCACCTCGAAATATATCTCACGAAAATTAATACACTTTCTGTCCGACCAACCTGTACCTGCAAAGTCTCAAAAGCTCGTCTTTTGGGATCTTTGCTCAACTCGGTCGTCGCCGCCTCTTCCCCTCTCATCCTGTATGGACTGTGGAAGTACCGGCACCGCTGCGGGGATCGACCCCAAAATCTTGGACAATTGGCAAACTGAAGGCGCCTATTCTGTCGCTTCGTGGGAACACCTGGGCTACGATCAACCCCCCGAGTGGGACACCAGTCAGGAATCGAGCCAATGCGATGCGGATATCGCGGATCTGGGAGCCTTCCAGGGTCCATTGAACGAATATCGTCGTTTAGAGAACAGGTCCGGGACCCCGTGCATTTGAAACGTAAAACGACAATTTGAGGAACTCGACTGACGTTTGGCTTTTTTTAACCTCTAGAAAACGTGATGTGGCACCCGATAACTTGAGCTACGTCGATGGGGTCGTCGAGGGTACTGGTACTGGATCTGGAACTATCAGCCCGAAGACGATTCCGTCGTCCGCAGACGAAAATTTCCAGTCCGATGAAGCCTGGCCGCATTTCCAACTATACAACTCCGTAGGCATGCCGATCGATGCCTCGCTTCTCTACCCCTACGCGAAAGGACCGAATCACTCGACCGGTGCGGTGATCGTCGATGATGTCGGCGAGATGCCGCATGGCGGATTCCCGGATGCTTCGGCTGAGGGTATTATGTCGTTCCAACAGATCCCCCAGTCCTTCCCTATGATCCCGGAGCAGTGGGCTGAGATGCAACATGCAATGCCTGCGGAGAACATGCCTCCGCCACAAGACTCGATCCCGCTCTCGGCCAAGCCCCAGGACCCGAAGAATCACCCGCTGCACCAGTTCCAGACCTCGATTCGTTCGCTCGAGTCGCGTTGGCTCAACAGTCTGGAGTCCCAGCTTCCCATTCAGATGACGCCTGCCCAAACCGTTGGTCCGAGAAATGCCCAGATGGGTCAGGAGTTTCAGTTCAAATCGGAGAATTCTTCGGTCTCGGGCGATATGTCTGGACTTTATGAGTGCTCGTACTCCGCTACCAGTGACGAACCTCCGGTCTTTGCGGATCGTCAGTTGTCCGACGACGACTCCCAGTGGAAAACTTCTCCACAGGAGCCTAGCTCGCGGGAGGGATCCCAACCCTCACCACAAACCACTGCGTTCATGGTGAGCGAGGTCCCTGATTCTATTGTCCCTTCAAGATCGAGGGCTTCTTCGACTGCTGGACGTGGTGGCCGACCGGCACCGCTGGCCATGCAGTCCTCGGCCACAGTTAGAAAGCGCAAGACCAGAAACCCCGGATCTTCGATCGATCAGAGCGTGAGGCCTCTGCAAATTGTCCAGGAGGATGGCCAAGGCGGTTCGATTGCGTCTGCTGACTTCGTTTCTCCGCCCCGTGGTGCTCGTCGTAAGGGTCCATTGAGTATGGTTGGACGCGCCAATGCAGGCTTGCGTCGGAAAAACAAGGATACCTGTGTTCAATGCCGACTGAACAAGCGCAAGGTGAGATTCCATTCCCCTTTGCATTTTTCACGCCCGTATCTAATGACCTCCTAGTGTGATGGAAGCTCTCCATGTGATGCCTGCCGTCCAACACTTCACGAGCAGCCATGTGCTCGTGCATGCTTCTCCAGCATTGTTGAATTTGGAACTTGCAACTACATCTGTACGTACCACCAACATCTCGTCATGATTATGATTCATGGACTAACCTTCTCTAGCTCAACGAGCTGTCAACCACCCTACAATGGACGGATCCAACCGAGTCCGAATGGAAATTCCATCCGAGTTCGACCTGAACCAACTTTTGTCATTGCTCTCTGAGCGCCAGGGGCGGTTCAACATCCGCGCCAGCCAGGCCTGGGGCTCTCTCTACGTTCTCGACCTAGGAGAAACCTACAAGTTCCTCAAGACGCTCAGCGAGTACAACGGCAACTCCAAGTCAACCTTCTTAGAATTCATTGACAGACGCATCGTCGACTCGAAAGACAAGTCGAAGAACTGGCTCTCCTGCCTCACAGACTGCGACCCAATGAACCAAGCCTACGTAAGCCCGCCATCCCCATCCCCGTTTCAAACCAAACTAACAAGCCCAGACCCTCCTCTCGCAGTGGAACAATATGCCCAGCCGAGCTAAATACAGCTTCGTCTCACTAGACAACACCCCCGACAGAACAATGGACATAAACGACCCAAGCGACCGCCGCGAAATCCTCCTTGCAGCCCAACTCTCCCGCATTTTCTGCCGCATGCTCGAAGTCGAAGGCTTCCGCAAACTCGAACGCGACTTTTACAACATAAAGTGGAAGCAGATCTCCCACGAAACCCACGTCCGCTTCCTCAACGAACTAGGCCACATCTTGCTGACCCTGCGCTGGCGCGTGAGCTGGTGGAAGCGTCTCGGCGACGGCGGCCAAAGCCCCGACCCCACGCAGCAGCACTACATCGACCGCGTCGAGCTGCTCTGCCGCATCCTGTACGTGTACTACACGTGCGTGCTGGCGAAGCTGCCGTCGTGGAGCGCGGCGGATGTGCCCAAGGGTATTTGGTCAACTTATGCCGACTCGGAGACTGTTTGGGATGATTTCCCGTCGGACTCGAGCGATGGCGGGTTCCAGGGGTGGATGGATAGAGGGCAGGATCTTATTGAGGCTGCTGGTGTTCCTGGGAGAGTTTCGAAGTACTAGGTTTGGTTTTTTGGAGTTGGATAGATACCCTTTTTTATTTTCCCTTTTCTTGTCTTATGATTTGATGATTTTGTACATGGATTGCTGCGGTTTTATATATACAGTTTGTTATTTTATTCACATCTTTAATCACATCACACTTACGATCCTCTACACGTTACGCCCTACACCGTATTTGTTACATTACATCCTACACAATCCCAAGTATATACCAAAGAAAAGGGTATCGAATTCGAGTTCAAATCATAAAATCCACCACATCTCAAGTCGCCTTTTTAGGACCAGAAGACGCCTTCATAGTCCCACTCTTCTGCGCCTGAGTCCTCTCCTTCTGCAGACGATCCTTCTTTCCACCAGCCAACAACTCCAAGTGTCCCGCCTTGACCGCGAGACTCTTCTCCGTCATTCCGACGAGGCCGGATGTGAGTTTCTAACACAAATAGCATTAGCACATGATAAAAAAAAATACAATAAACACAACGAGAGCAAAGACAGAGAATTTTGCCGTGTTGTGTGCTGGGAGCTGGCTGTGGCGGGAACATACCTTCACCAACTTCTGGTTCTTGATGAGGTTCGCTTTCTTGGGTGCCACGGAGCGGACGCCGGGTCTTGTGGTCTTAGAGGGTCTGTGGGTGTTATTGTTAGATTTGTTTCATTTCAACTCGATTCAACTCATCGCATAGGTTTATGATTATGAGTATGGTTGCGATTGCGTTCGTGATTGTGATTGTGATTGTGGTGCAGGGTGGGCTGGTACGTACTTCCTGCCTGGACCGCTGGGGCCGGCTTTTTTCAAGGCTCCTTGCACCATTTTTGTGGATTGGACGTTTGGTGATGTCTTAATGTGGTAGACAGTAAATTGGAATAGTGTGGGCACTGCCAGCAGTACGGAGTGATTTTATTCTTTTGGGCGTTGCTGGAGGGAAAATTGCTTATCGACAAGAACACTTATCGCCGTCACGTGTGTGTGGTTTTTCCGTTCCGAAGTATATTTAGCTTTGGGCTGGATTTGGATATTTTGATTTTGAAGATCGGAGTATTATTGAAGGATCTGAGAAAAATAAAAATAAAATAGAATGACATGAATAAGTGCAAGATTGAAATTGATCGAAGGTTCCCCTTCAAACATATAAAGATCTCTACCTTTCAAGGTTTCCTATGTAAACTCAGTATGTATATTTAAACCCAATCTGCCCTTCAATGGGCTTCCCACCAGCCTCAACGCGCTTATTCGCCCGACGGAACTTCCACGTCATTGCAGCCACAATTACGACAATCAACGCATTGGCCAGCATTGCGCATAGCAACCCGGGTCGATAATTCGGAGCATCCTGAGCGCGGAAGACAGTCGTTCCGATAATGCCTCCGATACTTCCACCACCGATCAATGTCGCCGATGTAAAAGCTCGCTTCCATTGTCCGCGAATATTGTTACTAGGTTGCGTCAGAACAAAGTGTGTCATGAGTCAGTGTGTAAATCATATCTTACCTCTGCCACGAGACTAGAGCAGGACAATTCGCATTTGCTAGTGAACGTCAGTAAATGTAAACATCCAGGGTGCTCGAAATCACAAGAGGTACTCCACTCACCAGCAATAGTAGCCAAGAAAACACCAAAATACCTCGGCGCAGCATGGTCCAAGTATCCCAAAAGTCCAAGACCAAGCAGTCCCATCACCGCATTTCCAGCCACAATAGGACCGCGCAAGCGCCATTTATCGGAGTAGATAGCCTGGACAAACATCACAATCGCAGCAGCTACATACGGCGGCGCAACGAGGCACTGTGCCTCCGCAACAGAGAAATGCATACTCTTCTCCAGAATAATGGGCAAGAAATACGCGATCGAATAGCTATTCGTCGTCGTGAGCATATACAACGCAGCATAAGCCCAGACTTTACTATCCCTGCCATTGGCGAGGTATTTCCGCATAGAAAACGGCTCTACCGAAGCATCCGCTCGATCCTGCTGAATCTTCGCAATCACGAACTCTGATTCCGGCTTGCTGAGGAATTTCCACGACTTGGGCGACTGTTCGGGGAAATCGACGAGGAGGACGTAAGAGCCGATTCCCAGGACACAGGTGAGCAGGCCTTCGATCTGGGACTTTGTCAATAATTCATAATTTGATGAAAGATTGTTCACTCGACTCGACTCACGATGAATATCCACCTCCACCCCGCTCGCCCGGCCAGACCGTCCATTTGCATTAATCCGTATGCTAGGATACCGCCGAAGCCAGACGCCATGCTGCCGATTAGGTAGAACGCCGCGTTGCGCTTTTGCAGCTCGTAGCGCGGGTACCATGTGCTGAGGAGGTAGACGCTGCCTGGATAGAGGCCTGCTTCTAGGGCGCCTAGGATAATGCGCAGGCCTGCCATTGTTTCCCAATTTGGGACGAAGCCGAAGGCCTAGTGGGTAGTTAGCTTGGCGGGTTTCATTTGTAGATGTAGATTGGGTGGCTTACTATCATTACCGCGCCCCAACACAGGACAATTCCTGAGAGGAAGAGGCGCGGGCCGATCTTGCGGATAATTACTGTTGCTGGGATTTGGAAGATCGTGTACGTGATGAAGAATAGTAGTGATGTGATGCTGTATCCGTTGTTGGAGGCGTTCATGTTCAGGTCGCCCTGCATTCTGGGGGTGAGTTAGCTGGGTTCTGTGTATTTATGTGGCTGATTTTGAAAGCAATTGACACATACCCGGCAACAGAAGCAGCCCCCAGATTCGTTCGGTCTAGTAGACTGACACAGTATAGGAAACCGAGGGTGATGACGAGTCGGATATCAATTCGTCGAATGAGCTTCTTCTGCTCGGCTGGACTGAATGAGTCGATGATCTCTTCATGGTGGAAGGCACCCTTCTCGGTGTCTTCGATGTGCTCTTCATGCTGTAGGTCCTTCATGATTGTAGCTTTGCGTAAGTGCTAGGGGACCATTGCGTCGTAAATATATACCCCTTTGCGGGGTAATTCTGACCGTGAGACACTAAATCTTGAACCCACATTTTCTCCGCAAATTTATGCAGTTTGATGATGCATTTCAGTTGGGATTGTCCGGGGTAAATGGAGGTTTTCCGGTTGCGGCTGTTGATTGGTCTGATAGGTTCCGGTGGAAGTTGTAGGGACTCTATACGAGTCAGTTACTTTTATTAGTTCCACCGGAGGCCTTTTGTCGAGTTATGTGGATTCTCTCGAGGTTTTTCGAAGGTTAAAAGGTTGGTTGTGACATGCTGAATGTCACATCTATCGTTCAGTTGCCACGATCTGGATCTGGATCTAAAATTACGTTGAGGATAAGATGACAAGTTAGACTGTCAGATACCACTGCTGGAGATCCCCGTCATAGATCAAGAAGCTGCAGTACAAAGGTTCGAAGACAACCTTTCAAGCACAATCTACCATCTGGGCTTCATGGCTTCTGTCTTAATAAAGCTCATAGATTATATTCACCTATCGTTTGAGGATATGGATGTTGGTATAAAATCCAATGTACTTTAGGGAAACGTATGTGAATAAGAGTAGGTCTGTTATTAATGAAGCCCTACCGAAACCTAAATCCGAAAACTAGACAAGAAAAGAGTGTGAGTGTAGTCTCGGAAGTTGCATAACACGAGAAAGCTGGTTCAGGGGCAATGATCCCAACTGGGGCATTTTCAGTGAGTTCCCACATCCCCGCCAACCACGGGAATATTTACCCAAGCTCGACTACACATTTTCGTATTTAACATTGCAGTCCCAGTAAACGAGCCCCTGGTACAGCATTGTGCATTTATAGAAGTACTTCTCGTCTTTGTAGACGAAGTGGATCGTTATGGTGCATAGCACATCAACCGTGGATCGTTTCATCGAGGCAGTGGCCTTGACTTTGGTGTGGGAGGAGCTGTAACAGGAACGTGCTGTCCCAAACCATTGATGATGGTTGTGGACTGGCCACATGTGAACTCTTATTTGACACTGAGTTCGGTCTTGACCTTCCCCATCCGTTACTAGAGCAACCCTGCTTTGCATGTTGCACTCACAGTGAGGCCGAATCCAGTAGTCGCAGTGAATATGTGTAGGGGCGGGCGGAGGGGGTGCTGACGCTTTTGGTCAAGTCCGCCTCGGGTGGCTGGGTGAAATCAGTGTCGTTTTCGACAACTTGACTGGCGAGAAACTCAGGGGCCGTGTGAGAGAGACGCCGCGCAGTGGTATCGTAGCCCACGTCGACCTGGATATCGATGGGGTCAAGGAATGGAAAAGACAAGCCTGCTATCAAGCACGACCAGGAGTTCTCATTCTTGATCTCAATATCTTCATTGGAGGCGAATGCGCGAGAAGTGTATAGAGACCTGAAATTTCTTACCTCGTTATACGGGTCATTTTCTCCGGGTTCAACCATTCCCTTCAAAGTTACCGCTTCAAAAGGCGCAACTAGGCCGAGTTATCATTTGTGGGGTTTATAGGGCAAGGCCGGGGCTGCTGTGTAATATTATGCGGAACCACTGCGCAGGATTGGGAGTGTATTGCATATGATATGGGAGATCCTTCATCTGCTAGTTTTCAAAATGGGATGTTGCATGCTCTCGTAGTCAAAGGAAAGTGGGCATGCTATTGAATCATCCTTAAAGATGAATCATAGCCATGACATACAGCTTTCTTGTGTTTCCCCGTGTTCCCTCCTTTATTATCGATTCTCTCAGCTCTTAGCCTTGGGTCTAGGGCTTGAAAGCAAGTTGGCAGCCTTACACCAGCTTCTTAACACATTGGTTCTATTTGGTAAGCGTTTGGAAAGGACGCGTTGTCCATGATCGACATGCGTTGTATACTTTGGCTCAGCCTATTGCCACAATGACTGTATAACTAATATATCCCAATGGGCTCCATGTGCTTGGCCTTCGAAAAACTTCTGGAGAGGTATGGCGATTTCGAGTCTCTGCAAGACTTCTGCATGTGGTGGTCATATAGTGCATCATCGCACAACACGACAGTGAAGATAGTTAATGTCTCGAGGAAGCTAGGCTGGGATATTGAAGTGTTCTGGCAGAAAAAATTGAATCTACGTGAGGCAATCTGCTTGGAGAGATGGCAGCCGGTGAATGCAACCAGCGAGTTGATTGACCAGATAACCCACCTAAAAAGGAAAATTTGGATGAAGGAAAGAAAATAGCGCATTCTTGTTTCGAGCATTCAACACATCAAGATCAAATCCAGAGTGGTACAACCACAAAGTTCTTCGGAATGATTGCTCAAACCTTGGGGGGGATGTTGCAGGCGTGGTTGTGGATGCTGCGAGAAATGCGGCAATGTCTCAAAACTGATGTTTGGAAATCGTCACTGCACCTGGAATTGCACTTGATGTCGGGGCAGAAGGGACTTTGAGGTGAGTAAGGAAGAAAAGGAAGATATTAAGAAGATAGAGAGAACCTATCAAGACAACCATTATGGACATCGGATCCTAGCTGCTTATTACTAGGGAATTGACATCGCCGATCATGGTCTCTTAAAACCCGGGAAGTGGTTTTTGTGGAAATGGTCTTTGTTCCAACTTCTTTTCGCGATATTGCTTTGGATGCTTGTTCCGGCCGTCCAGTTGGTTTGATATGTAGTTCTTCTTGAACAAATCATGTGCTTCAACAAGACATTGCTTGGAATCAGATCAATTATCTATATAATGCACAGACCGTCCTTGTGAATCTTTTTCCTGAGAGTGAGTAACATCGAGATAGATCCTTGGATCTCTTCAAATTGCCTTGATATTCCAAAAGCAGGATGGAAATGTGACTGTAGAAGAAAAAAGACAAGGGAATAAGAAACGCAGAGGATTCTCCATTCATGTTTTAATGCGATAGCTGAGAAGATATTGTACAGGATGCCAAAGAAACAAAGATTACACTCAAAATTTACCACCGGTAATTTGTTCACCAAGCTGCTTAACACGGTCCTGGGTGACATCCCAGCGACCAGCCTCATTCCGGTTGGTCTGGTTGACAAGGTTGTTCACAGTAGGGGGGTTACCCAAGTTCCAAATGTTCTCACCGGGCTGGTGATCGTTGCGCCAAGCCGGATTCTCACCCTCGGGGAACACGCGATCAATCTCAGCAGCAAGCTGCTCCTCGGTGACGATGAAATTACGAGCATTCATATAGAGAGATTGGAGGTGTTCCCTGCGCTTTGCCTCCTTCTGGGCCTTCTTGGCTGCCAGGCGAGACCGGGAGAGCGCAATGCGTTCCTCACGGTTGGGATCGGGCAGGACGGGCTGCTTCTGCGGCAGCATGGCCTGGATAGTCGAGGGACGAGTGAGAAGCTCATCTTGACGCTGGGGTTGCTGGAGAACGCGCTGTCGATGTTCCTGGCTCTTTTCGCTGCGGGAAATCATCGTAGATTCAGAACGAGACTTGCGTTCCCACAGGCTCTGGAGACCTTCGCGGAGGTTCTGTCTCCGCAAATCGGCCATCTTGTGCTTCCATTCCTCCTTTTCGGGATCAGGGCCGTAGGGGTTCACTAAACGTTTCGTCTTGGGAAGTGGTGTGACAGCATCGATGTATGCTTTCGTGGGCTTGTCAGCTCGGCGGGCTGGGAAGATTTCGCGAGGCACGGGTAGGGTACCCCTGACATGGGGTCTTTTGGGGTTGTTAGGTTGGACGATTTTGGGGACATCGATGAAGTGAGGGGACTCGGGTCCGACTCGAAGCTTGGAGGAGGAAGCAAATCCACGGACCTGCACGGTGGCAGTCCGGCTATTGCGGAGGGCCGACATGCGGCGCAGTTCGACCTTGACGGTGAAGGTGATCGAATCAAATCTGGGGACACAGAATAGATCAATGAATCAAAGGCCAACAACACCTTCAATTCAACAGGAATGTAATGACCGATACCCGTACAATCAGGAGGATACGCGGTTATCAAGTCGAAGCGATTTTCTAGTTGGTCCGTGCACGCTATTTCTTGGCGCCAAAAAAAAATAATTCCTTCGCCGCCTTTTCATTTTCTTCTTCTTCTCTTTGCACTCTGCCACTCTCCGTGTTTGGTCTTGCCTTCGATTTATTTTTTCGTCAGGCACATTCCTCTTTTTTTTTATTACATTTACTCCTCAGATCCTTTACCATGGGTACAGGAAAGAAGGAGGCCGCTCGTAAAGAGCGGCAAGGAAAGGTCAGCGATGGCATGAACAATGTTAAGACCAAAGGTGAAAATTTCTACCGGTATGTACAACTTCACTCCAGCCACCCATGGACAGTCACTGACTATTCTGCTAGTGATGCCAAGAAGATCAAGACTTTGAACATGTTCAAGGATGGCAAGGCTCGTCGTAATGCCCAGGGTGAGATCACAGTGTCGGCCAGTTATCAATCCAGAGACCTGCCCACAGCCCGCATCGAGCCAAACCGTAAATGGTTTGCCAATTCTCGTGTCATCTCTCAAGAAGCTCTGACCTCGTTCCGTGATGCTGTTGCGGAGCGTGCTTCCGATCCATACCAAGTTCTTCTCAAGACCAACAAGCTTCCCATGAGCTTGATTCGGGACAATGACACTGTCAACGGCCTGAAGCAGCATCAGGCTAAGATGGCTATTGAGACGGCTCCTTTCAATGACACATTCGGCCCCAAGGCCCAGCGCAAGCGTGTCAAGCTTGGTGTGTCTTCCCTAGAAGACCTTGCTGGCGAGAGCGCTCGCCTGCAGGACACCTACAGTGAGAAGAACGATGAGGGATTCCACGCAGATGGAAGTGCCATCGTTCGTGGTGATGACACTGCCGCGGTCGAAGACCTGGGCCTGCTCACCACCTCTCGTGAATCTGTCTTCTCCAAGGGACAGAGTAAGCGTATCTGGAACGAGCTGTACAAGGTCATCGATTCTTCCGATGTCATCATTCATGTCTTGGATTCTCGTGATCCCAACGGTACTCGTTGCCGAAGTGTTGAAAAATACGTTCGCGAGGAGGCACCGCACAAGCACTTGATTTTCGTTCTGAACAAGTGTGATCTTGTTCCGACTAGTGTTGCTGTAAGTTTCACGACTATCTATATCCCCTTTTCATTATGCCGCGTTCTCGTCTTGCTCTATTTGTTTCTCTGCTTTTCTCCCCCTGTTCCATCGCTAAGTCAAGGCCTTTTCCTGCGACTCAATGTCGTGCATGACTTCGGTTGTGCTTTTTTTTCAATGGAATCTCGTCTGTTACAGCTTTGGTATATTAACACTGGCCCGCACCGAATTTCGTTATGAAGCTAGGTTGACTTGCTTTCGTCTTGAAGGCCTGTCGCAAGGGCCAGACGTGTTTTGTTTTTGAGTTGAACTCTACTTCTGCCTTTTTGGTGGCTTAGTAGTAGAGTTCTTAGTAACATCCCACACATTCTTTTTCACAATGTTTCATTCATTGCTGGTGACTGATTGCTAACTTTGCATCTTTACCAGGCCGCTTGGGTTCGTCATCTTTCCAAGGACTACCCTACTCTTGCATTCCACGCCAACATCAACAACTCTTTCGGTAAGGGTTCATTGATTGCGCTGCTCCGTCAGTTCTCTTCCCTTCACTCCGACCGGAAGCAGGTCTCTGTTGGTTTCATTGGATACCCCAACACGGGCAAGTCCTCTATCATCAACACCCTGCGCAAGAAGAAGGTGTGCACAGTCGCCCCTATTCCGGGTGAGACCAAGGTGTGGCAATACATCACCTTGATGAAGAGAATTTACCTCATCGATTGCCCCGGTGTCGTCCCTCCCAACGCAAATGATACAGAGGAGGATATTCTCCTCCGTGGTGTTTGTCGTGTGGAGAACGTTCACAACCCTGAGCAGTACATCCCTGCTGTCCTTCGCCGTGTCCAGCCCCGTCATCTCGAGCGTACCTACGGCATCAAGTACCAGGAGGACTACTTGGACTGGCTTGCGCTTCTTGCCCGCCAGGGTGGTCGTCTTCTCAAGGGAGGCGAGGCTGATCTGGACGGTGTTGCCAAGATGGTCATCAACGATTTCCTTCGTGGAAAGATCCCTTGGTACACTCCTCCCCCCAAGGGCAAGGGTAAGGATGGCAAAGAAGAAGAAGATGAGGACGCCGGTGTTGAGGGCCGTGAAGGCCGCCTCGGTGAGATGGGCCGTAAGCGCAAGCTTGATGAAAATAATGAGCCTACCGAGAAGGAGGCCGAGGCTGAATCATCGGACTCCAATCCCGCTGAGAATGAGCATGATGAGGACGGTGGCCACGAAAGTGACAACGACTCCATCGCCAACATTGAAGTCAGTGATGTGGAGAGCGGCGAGGAAGATTGATTGATTCGCCTCTGATTTCTACGGCACTTGAGTGTCACCCCCATTCAACCCTACGAAAACAGGCAATTTGCCGCCATGAGATTGGCCTTGCTCGCTCTTGAAACATTAGAGACTTTGGCTGGCTCCTTTCTCCCCATTTCCGCTTCGAGCGGTCTTGGCTCCCCACAGCCTATCAGGCTGCCGTGCGGTACTTCGCTCCGGCCTTAAAATTGCTTGTTTGCTGTCCAGCCGCGTGATTCACCGTGAGCGTTTCAGTAATGAACTGTACAACTTCCGGCGTTTGGTTTTTAAGTCACCAGCTCCACCTCAGATACCCGATTCGAAAAAGAATCAAGATCAAAACGAATGAAAATAATCTACAACTCAACCTTTTTCAAAGTAGTCTGGTAATCTTCCTCTCGTGCACATTAATCTGTAGCTATAACCACATGTTTGTATATACCGAATCGTCCTGTTATCCGTCCCAACGGCGTTGTCAAGAATCAAATGCTTTTTTTAGTTCCACAGAGTCATTCCCCAAGCATACTCGCAACTGAGAGTATTTGCAGCGTCGCTACTCGGGTGGTGAAAGAGGAGGTTCACAAGTTTCGTATTCCATATTGCAACGGCGACCAAAAAGGCCGTGGTTCGAGGCTCAGACTGTGCAGTTACAGAGACTTCTGCCACTATCAGTTCACATTCAAAAAGTATTAAAAGAAGTTTGGAAATAATGTGATGGGGTTACAGAATAGCTAATAGTATGTGGCACTATAATAATTTCAATATCAAAAGCTTTCATTCATTCGTTAGAAGGTATCAAGGGATCATTATCAGTCATGCAGGTGTACAATAAATGGCGAGAAAGAAATGCAAAACGAAACAAAACAACGAGGCATCAGATATCTCCCATTCAGTTCCGATGCCAAGCGCAAAGAGCACCTAGACGGAAACAAAGGCCGACAACAAACAGGTGTGCAACTGCAGCAATAGACTGCGCTTGAATGCTGCGTACTTTTAGGGCCAATGCTGCACAAAAGAGAAGAGGGTAAAGGATCCAGGGGTTTACTGCTCGTGGCGAGCAGGGATGTAGAAGCGATGCAACCTTGGCAAGAAAGAGGAGAAGCTGGATCATAGGCAAGGATGAAGTGAAAGAGATCAAGGAGTTGAGCAGAGGGAAGCGACTTGGAGGTGGCGGGAGGAGATGATGCTGAGGAATAGTTTGAGGTTGAGGTTGGGGAGGCAACGATGGTTCTTGTGAGTGGTGTGTGGGACACATGGGTGGTGAAGTAGAATGTCGGTGCCGAATAATCATGTCTCGATCGGGACTAAGAGGTGGACCCTCGACTGGACTAGAGTCAGACACTGGTGCTGTATTGCTTCTGAATGGACTGGAGTCAGTCATCGAGTCGCGCCGGAAAGATATCGGATTCCGGGGGAGCTTTTTGACGGGAGAGAGGGCTCGGTCTACTGATGGCCGCGGGCTTTCCAGTGGGTGGATTCGAGTGCCGGGAATGTCCTGGCCCCCCGAGCTCCCGGAGCTGGCCTTTCTGAAGCGGAAGTTGTCGTTTGCATTGGCTCCGACTTGAATGCCATTGAGGACTTCTTCGGCGGATGGTCTTCGGGCAGGATCAATGGAGAGTAAGCGCTCCAGGAACCTGTAGAGCTTTTCGGGTAGATCAGGGCGGATAGCTCGAGCGTGGTCAAATCCAGCCCAGCTGGTAATTTCAGCACGAAGCTGATCTAGATCCTCTTTTTCTTCATTGATGATATCGGCGTTTGCGTACGGAAGAGCCGCAAAACATAAAAAGTAAAGAATCATGCCAAGGGAGAAAATATCGGATTTGAAAGTGAAATTTCCAAACGGTCCATCGGGATATTCCTGACGAAGAACCTCAGGTGCGCAGTAAGAGAGCGTACCGGTTGCGCCGGTTGACTTGCGTATCGCATTTTGCTGTTGGACCTCACCAAAGTCACTGACAAGCACTCTGATGCCATCACCAGTTTCATGAAGGAGACAGTTGTTTGGTTTTAGGTCACGATGAATATATCCACTGGCATGTAGATAGCGTAACCCAGAGGTAATGTCACGGAAGAACGAATAGATTTCATCCAGCTGAAGTTTGCGGGGTCCTCCCTTATCGCTTCGGGGCTCCGGCTCTCCTTTAGACTTTCGTCGAAGGCGATCTTTTAATTGTTGGGCAGTGGTCGATGTCTGGACAGAGCCACAGATATAGTCATGCAAATCGCCCGCATTGCAGTATTGTTGCAAGATAAATGCGCAGGCGACACTGGGGCCAAAAGTGCTGATCTTCGTATTCTCGAGCCAAACATGACGGTACGAAACAAGGTTCTGGTGTGAAAGATGCTGCAAAAGCTGTACTTCACCCAGAACCTTCTCCAACCACTCGTGATCATCGCCTACCGGCACTCGCTTGCAGGCATAGTGGCCAAGTGAGACACCGTCCAGCATATGTTTCACCAGTAACACCACACCCTTTCCACCTTTTCCCAAAACACGTTCCTCGACAAAGAATCTCTTGAAATAATCTGGACTAAAAGCTGCGGATGAGATACCCTGGGGTGATGGGGTGGGTTGGACGGGTGATTCACGTATATGACCACCGGGTAGGACAGGTTGAACGAGGCGGCGGCGTGGAGAAGGAGGACTCGAGGAGCTTGCGGAGCCGGGGAGGCTATTGTTGAGCATGCGGAAGTAATTTGGGTTGACGAATTCGCCTTCGGGTTCTTCATGTCCCTGGTGTCGTCCCCTGCTGCTGTCACGCATGGGTCGATGGCAGAAGGGGCAGTTAGCTAGCTCCATGTCTCCATGGTCGGTATCTGACGTGTTGCGGAGAGCGAGCTGTTGGGAGTCGTGATCGAAGACAACCACTGATTCATTGTGCCGTCTGTGAGAATGAGTTAGAGCGGTTCATATGAGCCTACACGATAACTTACAGAACAACATCAAGGTTTCCCCCATTATAAGGGACCATCGACATGTTGGCGGGCATTATCGACGTGAAGAAACAATGCAGCGATCGATGACGATGTAGAGCGCGGGCGGTGAGAGTACAGCCGCGGATAGTGACAATCGAGGTCAATATTCTTTATTTCCCTTGTGCAAATCCTCCCAATATAGTTCTTGGTAAAATATAAGATGAGCCTTGTTATCTCCCTGGTTGGAATAAGTCCTCATTCAAATATCAATCAATTTGGGCCGACATGAAAGCTGAAACGGTGTGACAAGGCTGATCTTCGGTGGATACGGCTGACAGCACACACACAGCCCACTATGATCCTCGAACAACCATTGTCAATTTCGTTTTGATCTAAGACCGGATTTCAATCGCAATGGACCCGATATCTATCATTGGTCTTGTAACAGAAGTTAGTAATGTGTTGGCAAGCCTGATCAAATATGGGAAAGCGGTTCAAAGCGCCAGCTCCGAAGTGCGAAAGCTCAGCGAAGAGCTGTTTGCTTTGAAAGGGATCTTGGAGCACCTGGATGCCCAAACAGATGACAGCCCTCAACGTGAAGAGATATCTGCGGGGCAATTTGATCGTGATGCCATGACAAGGGTATTGTATACTGCAAACGAGCTCCTACAATCCCTACTTGCCGAGCTGGAGACCCCAGAAACCAAATTTAAGCACCTCAAACGCAATCTTAAATGGCCATTTACTCAGAGTCAAGTCAACGAGCATCTTATTCGCCTGGAAAGAGTGAAATCGTGGTTGATACTTGTTCTCATCGCAGACCAGAACTCGGCGGATCGGAGTCTGCAGCAGGAGATCAATGACCTGGCAGCCGCTGTGAAAGAAGACTTGCAGATTCGAGATCAAGAGCGAAACAAGGCTGCCAACAAAGAGCTGTTCCAATGGGTGGCCCCTGTCAGCCCAGAAAGCTCTCATTTGCGAGCGTCAAAGCGGTACCGAATGAGAACTGGCGGATGGTTCATCTCCGGGTACTTGCTGGGATTCCTCAAACAAGAGAAAGAGCGGACTCTATTTTTGTTGGGAAAATGTATGTATGCATCTCAATTTCTGGCAATTTCTACTGATACCCGACATTGAAGCCGGAACTGGGAAAACTACTCTGTTGTAAGTCTTTTGTTACTACAGAAAGTCTCGGTTTATCTGATCTTTCTAGTGCCCAGACTGCAGACAAGCTTACTTCGATGGCTTCTCAAGACCCATCGATGTGTGTTGCTTATTTCTACTGCACAATCGGCGATCATGCCTCTCAAGTTGCGAGAAATGTTCTTGGGTCTCTTGTGGCACAGCTCTCTGGGACAGACCCCTCAATCTTGAGTGATATTCGATTTACGTACAATAAGGTCCCGAGGAGCCAAGCTCATAGATTTCCGATTGAAACATCTGTCCTCGAAGCTGCCATTGTCAAATGCGCCTCAAAGAAATCACAGATTGTACTACTAGTTGATGCAGTCAACGAAAGTCGTGATATGAATCTCATTGAGGAATCTCTTGTCCGGCTTGCTAATTCCTGTCCAAATATCCGCGTTCTTATAACCACTACAAATGTACCGAGCTCCACCAAGATCGACGGTGTATCAGTCAGGAACATCAGCCAGGAAATGAAAGGGGATATCAATATCTTCATCCAATGGCGACTCGAAACTGACGAAATATTGAAGAATCTCACGCCGCAATTTAAATCCGAAATTGAAACAACTCTCCTGCGCAATGCAGATGGATCGTGAGTAGCCATCTACTCCAAATCTCCCTATGTCCCATCCTAACCACCCCAGATTCCGCTGGGTTCAACTCTCCCTCGACAATCTGAGCACCCAGCGATCAGTACGAGCAATGCGAGAAGCCCTCCGAGCCCTCCCAGGAACCCTTCGAGAAACATACGCAAACACGCTCGAAAGAATACCCGCAAACGACAGGAAGATCGTCCGTGAAGCCCTATTCTGGACAAGTTACGTCAAACAACCACTCACGCTCCGCCGCCTCAACGAAATAGTCGTATTAGACGAGACAAGCAAGGTCCTAGACGAGGACATGATGCCCATCCCCGCACACATCCTTCTTCAGATATGCCAGGGCCTCATAACAGAAGACCAAGACGGTTGTGTGATCCTCGCTCACTCATCCGTCAAAGACTTCCTGACTTCCGACTGGATCCGCTCGTCCCGAGTGAAATATTTCGCTCTGGATCCGTACACGGCAGATTTAAGAATGATGCATAGATGTCTTGCATACCTCTGTCTTGATAACTTCTCGCATGGATACATGGCGGCTGAGAGTCCGCTCGAACTGCGCGAGAAACATCCTTTCTTGACTTACGCCGCCAACTTCTGGCCCGAGCATGGCTCTGCATGTGGCTTTTCGAACATGATTATGGTTCATAAGCTTTTCGATACGCGATTTTTGCCTGGGAGAGGCAATTATGCTACATGGTTGCAGATGCTGTTTCGGCAAAATTTCAAAAGTATCGAGGATAATGAGGCTATCGATGCTACACATCCTTTGTACTATGCTGCTTCTTTCGGCATGGCTCCCGTTGTCAAGTCTATACTTAAATCTGATCCCAATATCGATCTTAATGCACCCGGTGGTCGTGTTGGGGCTACACCGGTGTGGATCGCTAGTCTTCGGTTCAATTTTGAGGTAGTTGAGATTCTTTTGGATGCGGGAGCTGATCCCACTATTCGGGATCCTGGTAGCGGTCTTAATGTTCTTGACCTTTTGAGGATGGTTCCGACTGTGGGTCGAAATTATCGTGGTCTACGGCCTATTTTGGCTCGTCCGGCGCCTTGGAAGAAAAACGGCAAAGAATGATGACATATCTCTTAGTTTATTCGAGTTTGTCGCTATTGTCTGCCGCGTGTTTCTCCACATGCTCCAACCATGGTTGTTGAGCGGGTATCCAAGGATTTAATGAGAAAGGTGCATTCTTTTACTGCGTAACCCAGAATTTCAAGTGCAGAGATATAATTTCGGTATCGTCAGCCAACGAATTTGGATTCAAGGAGGCGTAATAATAATACAGAGGGGTGAAGGACAGTGTTATTATTCCTCAATTGAAAATTCTGTTCCAGGGTTTAGTTATAGATCGGACTGCGAGTAGGAGTGAGGTAGATCAAGATGGCAATAGCACTGAGCTATCTAGATATGTATAGATAACTCCTCCGCTGACAGAAGACCAAAGTTTTGTTCGAATTGACATTCAATTCCTCTAACGAAATCGAGCACCATATTATCACAATAGCCACCGAGTTACGGAATGATTCTCACAGGCGTTTCGACTAGGATCCAACTCCTAATGCGACCCCCTATCTCAGGGATTGAGATAATATGGGATGCTCGAACTTAGATAGAATTCAATCATATACAAAACCAAACAAAAGAGTGGTGTTGAAATTGAGAGAAGGAAGAAAGACTCGGTGTATAAATGCTGCGGAATTGCGGCTCGCTGACCCACATTCCTAATTGGGACAATTCGAGTCAAAGGCCGACTAGGCTGTAATCGCCGAGTTGAATATCTTTACACCTATATCACCTTGAAACCGTGCTCCTTAATAACCGTATCTCTACTCGTCCATCTCTATGAGGCCGCCCAGCCAGACCTTTCCCATTTCACTCTGCCCACTTCTATACTTCTGACTCTCACCATCTTTCATTAATCCAACTTCATCCAGTACCCATCTCATCACAATTTGACTTCAGTTAGCCCTTATCCAATCAGCCTTCCTCCGACTTCTTTCACTAATCGACTTCATCTAACACCTATTTCGTCTCAGTCTGACTTCAGTCAGCCCTCATCTAATCAGCCTTCGTTAACCAGTACTTCTTTTACTGAACCATTACTTACCGAGCTAGTAAGTGAAGACACTAATCCTGACCTACTGCTCAGCTTTGAGAGCACAAAGGAGCCATCTCTAACCACCTCATTACCTTTCGTTGTCTACTCTGCCCGCAGATATGGCAAACCTAAAGAGAAGACCGGAGCTCATCCAGGATAGGCTAGACGAGACACCTAAGAAGAGAAAGAAACCCAACTCACAGGGAGAAAAGACCGGGCTTTCCGCTAACCTCAGAACCCAGCTAGCCAAAACAAAGGGGCCTAGTCCAGCTCGCGCCACAACATGGCAAACTGGGGACCCCGTTCCAGCGCCCGGAATAGACGACGAATCCCCACTGAAAGAACTACCCAAGTTCGACAAAGACAACAAATGGGTTGCACCGCCCTCAACTGTGCGTCTGTCTGATCTGCAGCTTTACATGGCCTCAAAGAATTTGAACAGCCGTGAGTTGTACTGCCAGTACAACTACGACTTCGATTCCAGTGGCAATGTGCGATCATCGGCTCGACGCCCCAACCAGGACCCCGCGCCGTTAATCTACGCGCATGGTCTGCTGTGGATAGTTGCCGTCAAGGGAACTGTTGCTCTGAAATATATCACATATCAAAGCAAAAGTGTAGTTTCATTTGATTGTCCTGCCTTTAGTGTAGTGGATTTGATGAAGGCTTCGCTAGTATTCCTGGAGTACATATCTTCACAGCAGAGCCAGGTCCGAAATGGATAGGTCAATCAGGCACAACGTCGCTGTGGACCCCTTTTTTTCAGCTTTCTTTTTTGGTCTCTAATCAATCTTCATGTAGTTTTCAGTCTCGTGAGATAGATGAAAAACAACTCTCGCCCTTATTGGGGGTGTTGGCAGTGTTTGAAGATGAGCTGCCACTACAAAATACTTGCATTTTGTGGTTTTGGAAGGGGGCAGATCCTAGGGTGTTGTAGATTTCACGATATGCCGGCTGAATGGAGCTTACTTTCAAGCAGCAGAACAATCAACGTGCCGCATTCCTCTCTACTATGCACTTGTAAATGGTTGCTTCAAGCTATCTACTTTTAGAGGGTCACCAAAACAGAGGTATGCATTAGATTTGGGTGAGAGTACCTGTTTAGATCAGGGAGATCAGCTCATACAGCGAGATAGATATCAGAAGCGCTCGAATGCGTATAACATAGCTTGATTAAGTCCATGCTATTTCCGTATAATATTAGATAATGATGAAAAGCCATGAAGTCAAAGTCATTATACACAGCTGGTCCAAAGTATGTTGCCTCATTCTCAAAAGGATAAATGTTACCACAGAAATCTGTCTGAGCAAAGAGAAATAGAACTAGCGGATACGCCCAAATGGAATGCTCAATACCTTATGGCTGCATATTAGCAAAACATCACGCCAGACAAAGAGATAATAAACTCACGAGAAACTTTCAGTATGAAGCCAAACTTCCCTTGCAAAACCCCCCTTCCCAGCAAGAATATTACACTGTGCCTCAGCAGCAGCCTCGCTAACATCATGATTCATAGAAGCAGGACCACAAACCACAACTGCAACAGAAGCACCACTCTGACCCGCAAACCCTCTTGTCAAAGCCGGTAAATCAGGACGACCGGTGAAGAACCGTATCCCAAATATTTCAGCTGTGGTGCTGCGCTCCTGGGCAGTATCCTGTGTCTTTTCGTCCAGTTTGGGGTGTTGCAAAACAGTATCCAAAGCAGTTTCCGAGCCGTGCTGATCATGCGTTTCATGAATGTGGATTGATAAACCTGGTATCACACTTGATCGGGAGTGTCTCACTGCGATGTCTTCCACGGCCTGCGTGAACCATGCTCGCATCCCCGGATCGCGTGTTGCGACAACAAGTTTCATTTCGGCGTTGTAGTCTTCATACCCAGACAGGTGGACGAAGTCCTCTAGCATAGAAAGAGTGAAGCCGGCGCCAGCGCCGCCTCCAATAATAAGATTCTTGTCAAATTTCGGGAGATGGTTATTGGGGATTCCGCCGTAAGGACCATCTAGCAAGACGGGAATCTTAACTCCCGGGGACTTCTGGGCCATCTTCATGAGTCGGCCTGTCAGTCCACCGCGCTGCTTGACATAGAAGACGAGGTGGTTTTGTTTGTTTCCGCGGGGCACGGAGCATATGGTGAATGGATGCGCTGTGAATCCATGCGCGTCGCAAGTCAAAAAGCGAATGAACATGTGTTGGCCTGGAGCCCAGGTCATTTTTGTGTCGATGATTACTCGGAGGGTATCATTTGTTTCGGCGATGAGGCTGGCTTTGTGGTTGAATCCATGCTCAAAGTAGGTTCTGCATTGCGAGTAGAGGAGGCAGAGAGTGTAGATTACTGCCGTTGCAATAAAATAGTCCCAGGAGGACATGCGGAAGTCGCAGTGGAGGAAGAAGAATATGACGAAGACGAGTGCCATAAAAAGGTGGGTCGATTTGAAGAACTCATAGTACCGGTTTCTGAGAGGAAGCTTTGTTAGTTTCTCTATGCACGCAGGTGTCCTTTGGAGTGGGCGAGTGAGCATACCGAATCCACGGGATTGACATGAAGGTCAACCAGGCCTGAGCTATTATGGCGACAACACCTGTAACCCACACTCCGCCTTCCATCCACGAAGCCATCAAGTCACCTTTCCAAGCATGAAAAACGATGAATGGGAAGGTATGGACCAGAGCAAGGACGAACATCGCCCAAGCAACCCAATTATGCCAGATATTCAACTTTTCATGAGAGATTCCAGTCAAAGCAGTGATAGGGTTTGCCTTGGCACCTAGAATACTGGGTTTTATCAGTCGCATATCCCATCTCCGAGGAATAGAACGTCTTACATTAGGAAGGGCATACATGCCAAAGCCAGAAACCCGGCACGGGTAGCAATAGGTGGAGATGATCCATAGCTGATTTCTTTTGTATTTGGCCAGTAATAAGGACGGGGTCCGAGGGTCATGGCTGAATTGAGTCTTGTCAGTATGGAAATTCGGCATGATACTGCGCACGTAGAACTCCGCAAGGTACCAGGAGATAACTCACCAAGGAAGAACACCGCACCGGCAGCGGCAAGCAAGTACATTCCCAGGGAATGACTGTTCCACCCGCGAATTTGCCAGCTCTTGTAAGAAAGGAATCGCAGTGCGGCCACGAGTCGTGACCAGATCGATTTGCGTTTTACTCGCTGAGGTGTGGCATAGGATACCGCGCGAGAGATTGTGAAAAAGATAATGGCAACTAGAAAGAATGCCACCGTTGGTAGAGCGTAACGGTGATCTGCCTCATACCAGAATACCCAGTATGAAGTCTTAAACGCGCATTGGGCCGGTGTCATGGTGCAGGTTCCCGGATCCCGATTTGAGTGTAGCATGACCGGCTGGTCCAGGAATGGGACCATCTGGCCTGACATCTGCATTTTGTCCGTTTATAGGCTGTGCCTGGAGATGAAAACGTGAAGTTGAGCAGATTCGTAGAATGATATTCAGGTAGCAAAGTAGTAAATAAAAGTCCTTACTAAAGACCAAGGTTCCAAGAGTTTCAAGATATCAGACGATATAGCAATCAGCCAATTGGTTCCCATTTGCGCAAATTACCTCGAGGGTGTTTAGTCTCGTCATTTGAGAGCAGATTTTGATTTGTCCACTTGACTTTAGATCGGATTAGACTGAGCAAGTATGAGAAGGTTTCGCCCTTCCCGCATAAGCGGACCCATTATTTTCTTACCACAACCAATCAACTGAGCTCCTCCGCGTGGCTTATGGGGATTCCATGTGGATTCGGGAGAGTCCGTGCCTGGAATTCCTTTCTGGGCTAGCTGCTTTGATCTTGGTTCTGTTCTCAAATTTATATCAAACCCCTCTAGACAACGTACAGAGCTGTTCTTGCTGCTGAACACATAACCGCAAAAATGGATATGTCCGACATGACAATGTCGGCGACAACGACAGCCATGTCCATGGCCACATCAACATCTTCATCCATGTCGTCCATGTCAGATTCAGAGATGTCTATGAGCATGGCAGACATGGCAATGACGTTCTTCGTTTCCTTCAAAACACCTCTTTTCTCCGCCGAATGGACTCCAGGAACAAAAGGACAGTATGCCGGCACTTGTATATTCATCATTGCGCTGGCAGTCATAATGCGCGTGCTTCTCGCCTTGAAACCGATTCTCGAAGGTCGTGTATGGACTGATAGCATACACGACCCTATGCCTCAACATCATTCACATGTCGAAGCCGGCAAGATCCCACAGACTCCCTCGGGACTTCGTTCAACCATGCAAGAAGTTAGTCACCGCTGGTCTTCATGGCGGATAAATCCTGCGGCTGGTCGGGCGACGTTTGAACTTGTTATGGCGGGTGTGGCATATCTACTGTAAGTACTTGTACTCCATGATTTTGATTGTTAGGCTGGGACTTTTCGTGTTGACAACAGTATAACAGGATGTTAGCGGTGATGACGATGAACGTCGGATACTTCATGTCAGTCCTTGCAGGTGTCTGGCTTGGAACCTTCATTTTGGGAAGTGTCGCGGCTGATAGCAGATGGATGCACTGCTGAACATGGGTTTCAGGACATTGGAGGATAAACTTGTTCATATCTGAGTGAGGATTTAGGCATGCTCCACGTGAGGCTTACAATACCTATCACGTAGCCCTTCACTTAGCAGGTCCGCTAGCATTACTTTTCAGCCGTGGTCTGGCAATGCTCCGCTCACTGTACGAGTGATTTTATGTTTTCAAATAGTGTCGGGGTTTTTGTGTTGCTAATTCCATGGGAAATGCAGGTCTTTCTTTGTCTTCGTCATAAATATATTTTTCAAAGTACATACCGACTCCCTTCGCCACAACATTTGGCTGGAAAGATGCACACGACCTCAAATGCTTGGTGAAATTTTGTTTGGATGGAGCCGCTTCAAAAGACTTCTATCCCGGGGTGTTTGAATTTGAAGTATGACGCTGAGGTCCAAACCAAATTAAGGCCTATACTCTACTCGTGCCGTCGAACCCTAGAAGATCTTTGGAGATGCGAGACAGATTACCGTCAGGCGGGGAGGAGCCTGTTTCAGTATCCGATAGCATAAACTACTTTCGCTATTACCTCAAGGGATTCTGGCTTAAGTCAATGTACAATGGTGTAGGATTGTCTGGGATCTCTAGGGGAAGTCGCTGAAACCCCCTGAATAGTTTGCAATTATGAATTTTTGAGCTCTGCCCTGAGACAGATAAAATCAATCAATCTCCCCAGTCCCCAAAATGGGTTTACATGGAATCTCACAACGCAAGGGGCTGCTCCACTAAGTTATATAGCACCGCATTCAGTATCCAGGCGTTAGTTTGAGCAGAATTGCGCAAGTAAGCAGAATTGATATTACTTCATACATGATTTATGACCTTTTATATGAAACATGGATAAACAGAACCGAGAAACTAATTTCCAAAGCGGATCCTACCGTCTCCACGAACCCTCTGTATCTAAATTAACGCTTGTTCACTATTGAAAATCCACTTTCCTAGTCCAGAACGATGCCTTTCGACTCACAAGGTGACAAATGGTCTTGGTAAGCCTCTGACCTTCCCAAGCCATCGTGAAGATTGACTCATTTCAGAAAGCGAGTCTTGCATAAGAGGCCATCGGTCTTCCAAATGTGCTCACTATGATCGCCCTATGAAACGAGTACCCAAAGCGGGGCGGCCGCTGGCGAACTGTGTCCATATTCGCGGGACGGATTGTGATTGTCGAGAGGTTTGGGCTATTATGATTCCACTTGAAGGTAAATTACCTTTGAACTGTCTCTAAATTCTTTTGGATGAGCTGAACGGAGTCCCTATAGGCTCAAGTCTTTGCACAATACGAATGTCAGTTGCGGATGACGACCGGGAAGCTCGTCAATGATGCGAATGCAATATCAAACTCAACGTAATAGAATAAAGATGCTTTAGTATGTACAAGGTGTAAATCGGAGAGACTTGGTTAAATTACTTACCATGATGCTTTCATGTGGTCATATACTGGATATTTCATGTTTCAAAGAGAATTTTTTACCTTTGTCTTCATAATTCTGCTAAAGATATATATGTTGGGGACCGATTTGGGAAACACATGAATAACAGAAGCGATGCGTTTCGTGTTTGACTATGAATAATTCCACCACATCATCACTCAATATCAAAAGGCTTTTGAACCAGCAGGAAGTAACAAGGACCAATCTCATCCATTATGATAACCCCCTTCCTGCCATCCCGCCATTCCACGGGAAAACCGCCCAAAAGTCAACGCTCCGCATAAGATACCAAGAAGCACGGCAGCAAACACACCCACATTGAAACTCATGACGGCTAGCATTCTACAATTTGATTAGCATAGACACAATTAGGCAAAAGCACGACAACTCACAAAATGTACCCAATGAAAGCTCTAAATAGCTCTAACAATGCACGTATCCCTTCCTTCTGAAAACTCCACGCTCCGCCCGATTTCCAAGACAATAACGGCCTTAGATAGAAACCACTTCGAATAGGTCCATGTTTAGCGGAGTTATTCAACCGACCCTCCATATCCTGCGCGATTGCTCGAGACTCGCCGCGAAGATGCACATAGGTAGGGAGTGGACTCGGTTTTGCTTTTGGAATGTATCGCTTTTTCTTCTGAACCTCGCCTAGAGTGAGTGTTGTGTTTGGGTCCTGATGTGACCACGCCCGATCGATTTGGAATCTTAATGCACCGAGAAAGCGGTCGAAGACGGCCAGTAGGAACAGGAATGCTAGTATGAGGATATATTGCGTTGTTGATGAAGTGGTCCACCTGGCGAAGAAGATTGTGATTTTGGTGGAGGTGGAGAAAACGGCCGGCATGGTCATGGGCATGCTGTTCGAGTTAGAGTTGGCTATGTGTGGATCTTTTGTCGTGTTCAAGTGCATGTTCATATCCATTTTGGTTCGAGTGGATGGGGTTATTGGGAGAAACTGTAGAAAGTAAGGCTTTGTCAATATAGGGCAGGCATTTACACCTGAGATTTATAATGGCATCGTTGTTTGGCAACTGTGGAATATCGGGCCTGTACAGAGTACGTGATTTGAAAGTAGAATAGAAAGATGAGCCAGATGATATCGGCGTTCTTCGGACGTAACACAAATAAATGACTGTAAAGGGGGAGGCTGAGCGATCAGCTAGAGGGTAAGTCTGCATTCCAGGCTCACTAGCGCCTATAATGGAAACCCTTGAAAGCCGCAAATGCCCTCAAATTAATCATCCATAATATCAATTTTAATGTTCTCAGCTAATGCCCAGAATTCCCCGTCATATATTGTGTCTCAGTTTTATTTCCGCCTACATGCAATAGCCTCCAGACACCCAGTAGAAATCTTCCCATCTAGTCCCACGCTCGGATCACGCTCTATATATCGTAGCTATTCCCGAGAATGAGGCATATAACTGGAATAGTAGAATGCAAAGAAGATACCCAATGGCTCTCGGTAAGAAGAATGGGAGCCAAGAGAATCGGAAATATCTGAGAATAAAGTAGCCATATCATCGGTCGATTCTAAGTAAGATGCACCAAGGCCAGGATCTTGCAAATTCTGGTCCAATATGGACTAAATGGTGAATCGCATTAGCTGATCTCATCAAAGTCGGTGTGTTGATATAGCGAGCCCAGTCTAGCATTTCAGCCCCGTCGATCATTTCCGACATCGGCTGCGTATACGACAGCTCGGAGACAATAGAAACATGACCCGTAGATTGCATTGCTCTATCACATGAAGAGGCAGCTTGGATTTCAGCGGCCCTACGAACCATCAGATCCAGTGCAAGGGATGCAACGCGAGATTCTGATGTATTGTGACTGTTAGACACCCGAATCTTCTGTGACTGTTTTAGTGCTAGAATCCCCTTGGAAACAAGTCCATTCATTTCGCTCTCATCTCTGAAAGTCGACTGAGATTCTAATCGCACAGATAAGTCAGGGCAGCCCACCGTTGCAGCAGGGAGAAAGTCATATACTGTGAGCATTTAAAGCATCCACTGATCTTCCTGGAGTCGGCCACCGGGCTGGAACATTTGATGCATGTCTGCTTGACAGGTGAGAATCTCAAGTGTGCAGCTTTCACGCAAGAGCGTCGGAAACCCTCGATCTTGGGATCTTGGTACTCATATCCGATGTACCGTCTATCCAAGACCACGATGCCCTTTAGGTAGAGGAGTTCAAGAGTGCATCGGTTGATGATGACTTCTGATGGGTCCATAATGGATTGGACAATGTTTCTTCGTTTCCAAAGGTCCGCAACCAAAGTATATGCCGCTCTCATCTCGGCATCCAAAATCTCAGTTGTGCTATTAGAAAGTGGAGCAAGAGATAACGTGTGTGAAACAATCAAAAGCACCCATAATATCAGCCTTGGAGGTAGCGTAAAGAACAGGGGTATAGTCCGAGTTCGGTCGAGACGGAGGCAACTCCGACATACCCACGTGTATTTCAGCGTCAAACAAACTCCTAGGAGCTTGTGTATCACAAATTTCAGCGGGTATCATGCTCGGAACACCGATTTGGAAGCTCAATAACGTATCAAGCTAGAAGATATGAAGCCAGATCCGGCGACGCATTTCGCTTTCAGATGGTGATAAGGCACTCGGATCACGATGGTAGCCCATTCGGAAGGCTAGTTTGAGGAAGTCGGCACCATTTGTTTCGATCCAAAGGGTCGAAACCAACCTTAAAAATTTGTCCCAGCCTCAGCACGCTCAATATCCATATATAAATAGCCTATCTCTTGATTTTCAAATCCATCGCTGGGGCTTCATCAACGGTGCTGCTTAAATTGTTTTTGAGCTTGAATTGCGCCTCCACGTCTTTTCCAGGGCGCGTGTCAGGCCGCAGAAGCTGTGGTCCTAAATTTAAAGAGGCAAGTTAGTTGTTTCTTGATCATAGGAGTGAGCAGAGAGTGACAGGGCTGCCGACCAATCGCTCTGAGATGCTTTTCAAATCATCGAACTCGAAGAACAACCACGATGATATTGATGAATCTCAAATTTCCCAAAATCGGAATGAGGTATATGTACACCTGTTGGTAGCTCTTGAAATTTTTGACATCGATACTTAACACCGACGAAAAGCCCTTGTTTAGCCGACTTGATAATATCGAAAAGCAAAAGATTCACTCCTCAGGTCTTCAGACCTGACTCAGACCGCATAAGAGTCGGCTCCCAAGGTTGAGGGATTTGCTCGGCAAATCACCTATCACCGCCACAGCCCGTAGCCACGCTCTGACCATCCATGTATGGTTAGTTCGCTCCTCAAAAACAAACAGGGGATCTAAACCGCAATATTAACAGGCCCATGAGGTTGGACTTGGTCAATCGGTGACTGAGTAAAAGATCTCTCTGTGATCTATAGGTATGGCGCAGAAAAATCCCGCATATTGGATCCAAAGAAAAGAGAGAAGACAGAGCGGCAGAAGGTATATTAGCATTGATCTTCCCGAATTTACGAGCTCGTCTTATGTTTGCTTTTACTAAGTGACCGGAGGAAATGCCGGATACTTCAAAAGATCCCATTCCCTCCCCTGCCATCATAGCAGTCATTTGTGCTGTCTTGATCATCGGTATATGGTAAGCATCTATCAAAACCACCCTCGGTCCTTTCAAAGCTAAACTCGTCTTCCTATGTATAAAGTGTCACGGTCTTTGCAAATTGGTTCTGTCGTTATCGAGAACGTTCCTCATATAATGGTCCTGCGGCAGTATCTTCTAGGTTCATCCAGCCGCACACCAGCTTGGTTCAAAAGCAGGCGCAGCCACTTCCGACCATATACGAACTTGACGAATACATACCAATGATCGAATTCAAAACGTGGAAGAATCAACAAATCAAACCAAGGCACTATGTCAACTTATTTGCCGATGATACAACCTTAAGCTAATTGGTGACAAAGAACGAACCCAATTAAAAACTCAACTCAGAGTTTGCTGAACAACATCTCGACCCTCAATCTATCAGATTGCCTTCCCCAATCTCCAACCGAGAGCCCAGTGCATTTATCGGCAATGAAACCAGGTGCTGTGGCTCAAGACCCATTCATATTCACCGATGGAGGTCTGGGTAAGGACGGTTCTCTCGAGTCATCCCACACTACATATAGTCATAAAAGTTACGTTCCGGCTACGCAGGACGTGCTGTCTCCGCCTGTGCCAGGTATCATATTTTCAGACTATGTGTGCGCTATATGCTTAGATATCATGGAAGATGAGCATCAAGTTCGAGGCCTACCCTGTGGTCATGCTTTCCATGTTACCTGTGTGGACAAATGGCTACTCTGGCGGCAATCGCGCTGTCCAGTATGTAAGGCCTTTTACAAGAGAGGCCCAGATATGGTCTGAAGCAAAGTATTAATAAAATGTTAACGCTTTATTTGCTCCAACCGACCGTCAATACCTGCTGTAGCTTTGACTATCGTTCTCTGGCTCTACACGAATAAAAGAAAAAGAGCAAGGGAACAAGCGCGATCTAATCTTTCTGTAAGGACTATAGTTCAGTACTCTAATCTACATATTTCCGCTGAGCCTCGTCTTTAAAACAAGAACCAGTCCTAAACGATATCACCAATTCTCACACTTCTTTCTTTCCAAGATCTCCACCTAACCCTAGATGTGTCAAGCCTGGGAGCCTACCTCCTGTTGGAAATTGGCTCTCTGCTGTCGGCGGCCCATGCGACGGAAGAATACACGTTTCCCCCACTTCCAGGTTTCCACGCCGAGGAAAAACAAAATTGTCTCGACAATGACAATTCCCCATTCCCAAGTGATTCCCGTGTGCTTGAACACTACATGGTTGATGACGGGAATATAAAGAATAGGAACCACAGTGATAAAGCCTGCGAGAATTGACCAAAAGAGGAACTTGTTCCGCCACACATCATGAATCCACTGCGTGAAATACTTGGTGGACGTCGGCTGCATGCGAAAGAAGGAACGGCGCATATTCACCATTTCCCAGGCCAAGAACAGTGCAAACCATGTCAAGCAGACAAAGGTAGTTGCGCGTGCATGGAAGACCAGCTCACACTCTTCAGAGTACTCACGATTACAACCTCGCCCAAGGTTGCCATCTCCGAATCCCCACATCACCAATGAGAATGATGAAAGACACAGAGCCGAAGTCCACAGACCATACGCGAGAATATCGATCACTATCTCCCATGTAAAAATACCCTGCTTCTTCACAGCCGTTAGCATTCGACAGTCCGACATAGGGGTTCATTCACTCCTTACCGAGTGGGGAGGACGATCCATGATATCGGGGGCAGCAACTTCCATCCCCAGTCCCATGTCAGGCATGCCGGAAGTAATCATGATAACCCAAATAATTTCAACTGGTGACAACGGGAAAACTGATTGGCCATCCAAGTCTTTAAAGGCCAGTCCAATCAAAAGAATACAAGCCTGAGCAATATTCTCCGACAGCAGATGAAGTACGAACTTTTGAATGTTATCAAAAATTCGTCGACCTTCTTCGACAGCATTCAAGATTGATGCAAAGTTATCATCCGTGAGGATTATATCGGAGACATCCTTGGCTACATCTGAGCCTGCTTTGCCCATAGCAATGCCGACATCTGAGTGCTTCAGAGAGGGAGAATCATTCACTCCATCGCCAGTCATCGCTACAGAGGCACCCCGTCTATGGAGTGCATCAATCATGCGAACCTTAGTCTGAGGAGCACAGCGTGCAATGACCCGAGGTAAGATAGGCAATGCATCGACCGCTTGATCGCTTAATTTGTCGAATTCGCTCGCTGTGATGACCATAGCCTTCTCGACTTCGGTCGAGACTTCATTGAAATTGGTCGGAATGATTCCAACCAGCTGGGCGATGGCTTTCGCCGTTGCCGGGTGGTCTCCCGTCACCATATGTACCGAAATGCCAGCGCGATAACATGCGGCAACGGCAGCGGCAGTTTCTGGACGAGGAGGATCATAGATCCCCACCAAGCCCAGAAATTGAAGATTATTTTCCACTTCATCCCGTTCGTAGTCCATTCCTTCTAAGACCCTTGAGGATGGATCAAATGGTCTCTGAGCCAGGGCAAGAACGCGGAGACCCATACTAGCTAGTTCGTCCATGTTGTGAAGGATCACTCGACGATGATCATCTGTCAATTTGAGTGGAGCGGAGCCCTTCTCCCAAACGACAGTAGTCGAAGCGCCCAAGATGGGTTCGACCGCTCCTTTACTGAAAACCATTGTTCTTTCCTCTCCATTTGAGAACTTCGAATAAAGAACAGACATTTTCTTGATGGTGGAATCAAAAGGGAATTCGGCCTTTTGGTGCCAAACAGGCTTAGAACCCTTGGTCCAACGATCACGATACCAGTCGAAACGCGAGGCAAACACCTGGATTGCAATCTCAGTGGGCTCGCCGCGGGCATGCCATTCATTTTCCTCCGACAAATAAACGTGCGCCAAATTCGCCATCGATGCGACATTGAGGAAATCTTCTAATTCAGAGCACAGTAGTTCCGGGCAAGGACGAGGGTCACCATCTTGTCCTTTTTCATGGTTACCCGGGAACGCAGGGCTAAAGCTCACCTGGCCCAGGGTCGGATTGAATGGCTCGGTAGAGGATTCAACAGAATAGGTCCCGAGAGCAGGGACCCACGATTTGCGCACAACCATCTTTCCCTGTGTCAAAGTGCCAGTCTTATCAGAGCAGATATTTGTCACAGACCCAAGAGCCTCTAGTGAGTCGAGCTTGCGAACAATAACATGTCTCTCCACCATACGCTTGCTTCCAACAGCCATGGTGATTGTTAAGACGACTACCAGACATGCAGGAATCATACTTAGTCCAGTTCCCACAGCATAGAGAATAACCTCGCTCTCTGAGCTCCAGCGGTTGGCACTCATAACAACAATGGCGAAAAGAACTGCAACCCCGAAGAGAATGATAGCCAGCTTAGAAAGCTTGCGCTGCAAAGACGTTCCAACATTCACGCCTAGAAATCTTCCAACGGCATCGGTCCCTGTAAGGGTCCATGCTTGGAGATACCAGCGCTTTTTTCTTTCGCCATTTGGGCCACGTTTGACAGGGCGACGTTTCGAGTCGCTTGCGCGAAGGGCTGCAGCGATTAAGCCGATTTCCGTGCCCATTCCGGTTTTGATAACAATTCCCCGAGCACGGCCACGAGTGACAGTGCTAGAACTGTATGCTATGTTCAGGCGGTCTCCGGGACCAGTATCCACCTTGAAGATAGAGTCACTCTCCTTTTGGACTGGTAAAGATTCGCCGGTGAGAAGGGCCTCATCCGTCTCGAAGTTCACTGCTTCGACCAGTCTGAATATGGGTCAGTGCATAAGATATGGAAAATATGTTTGCAACAATTAAATGCTCACCTTAAATCGGCAGGAACGGTATCTCCTGTCTTCAGTTCCACCATGTCGCCAGGCACAAGATCCATAGAGGGTATAGAAAATGTTTGCCCATTGCGAGACACAATGCCGGTTGGAGAGCTCAAAGAATGGAGAGACTCCATGGTTTTCTCTGCAGCATATTCCTGGAAGAAACCGACGACAATGTTGAGAATAATGACCGCGCAGATACATCCGCCCTCAATCCATGACTGAATACCAAAGCTGACCGCCATCGCCAGAATGAGGACCTATGTCAAAGAATAAGATCAGATACGTGTGTTCTTCTCGAGCCAACATGAAGGTGGTAGGCTTAACTAGCATCATTGCGTTGGCAACCTGCCCAACTAGAATTTTGAGTATGGAAATGCCCTTGCCATCTTCAAGCTTGTTAGGGCCATATTCTTGCAGGCGTCGGGCGGCTTCATCGGTGCTGAGGCCTTCGTCAATTTTGCTCCCTAGCTCCCCTACTACTTGGTCGTAAGGGAGAGAGTGAGCTGGTTTGGAGAGTGGATCATTGCTTCCAGACTCGGTAGAACTAGAGTCAATCTGTTTACCCATAATTAGGGAATGCAAAAAAAACGAGTAATTTCACTGCTACTTGAGAATCAAAGAGGGTATAGGAACAAAGATGACCTGGAAAAGCAGATGCGAGAGCAACTCCCACAACAAACCCCCCAAGAAAAGGTCCAAGCCCAAGTCTTGCCAAGTTGATCTCATCAGACTTTGGTTAATACAATAACACAATTTTGCGGGGCGTTGGAAGATTGGGGTGTCCAACCATCTTTCGAGAACCGATCTAAATCGGGAAGGTCTTGCCCTTCATCAACTCAATTTGAAGAGCCAAGCCCTAGAGGAAGAGCGATATCCTTGGCGCCAAATTATTGGCAAGAAGGCGGAAGAAGCGGAGTTTAAAGGAGTCCGAAGAGACCTGCCTAGGGTTAATAAATTGGTAAAAGCGGAATCTCTGACGCAGATGCCGAACAAATTAGTGCTCATTATCACTCCAGCCGAGTGATAACTTATCAACCGCTCTCCTTGCCAACTTGTTTCCTGGAATGCCTAGAGTGCCAAGTGCCAAGGTTGGCCTCGGGATCGCATGCAAAGCACAGAATTTGCTTCGGACCGCTGAATAGAACAAACGACTGAATATAACACAATTACTCTCAAATTCGGTTCTCACTATGTACATACTTCCCGTATGTCCTGATGGACTGTTATCTTTCGGTTGCAAGCCTGGTTGGCTGCTCTGCGACGCAAAAGATGGCCGAGTGTCTTCAAAGCTGATGCAGCGAATATCAGAATTTTTCAATTCTTTTACTCTTGAAAGTAGATGTGAAAACCCTCGCCATCGCGGACCCAACCGCACTCTAATGGCTCAAATCCTTATCAATTCCAAAGCGAATTAGATATGATCAAAATATTGTTCGGACTTTCGATCTACTTCAAATAGGCAATGACAGGTGTTAAGAATGGGCGCTTTCAATCTAATCCGGGGTCACAGAAGGCGACCCTCACCCACTCTCCGGTAAGCCCTTGGCTTGGTGGAATAATATTCCCAATGCAGCGGGGTTGATGTCCAGGCGGGAGTGGGGCCTAACATGGCGGAGATACTATTATCTCAATCCCTCCCCGCTTAGTATTTGACGGTTATGATACGCTTCTTTCAAAATTACATGAGCTTTATCGTGGGGCATCTGGCGTAAAATATACAGCGAAAACATACGACGGAGATAATAAAACCCTAACAAGGAAATTGCCAGCGAGCCCTTTTAGAACTTCCAAATAAAGGCAGATCCATAAAATGATTTCACTATGTCCGAACACAAACTTGTGGCTACGACAATTGCTGGGCTTATGGAAGATTACTGTCGATGCTCGCTGAAAAGAGTGGGACTCCTGGGATGAGTAGTAGTCGTCCACAAGAACTAATGTTTCGTACTTTAGACTATCTAATCTACATGTTCTATCACAAAGATAAAGGAGCACCAGAAATGGTATGAATGGTTCATATGCTAGTAATATTGAGCGGAAATGAAAAAAACCACATCTCCATCTATTCGAAACCCACACCAAACACAATCCAAGAAGATAAGCCCGTAGGTGCAATGAACCTCCGAGAAAGAACGAGCACAATACAGACAGATCTGCAAGAACGCAGACAGACATGGGACGAAGGTGATGCAGCCAGAGAAGCCCTCGTTTCGATCTTGGATTTCAGGTCATCTAGTGATACCATATGGAGGGTATGCACCTTGTTGCTTTTTGGCAGACTTACGTCCAGCAAAAAAAAATCCGTTTCGGGAGGGGGAAGAAGGAGGGGGAAGAAGGAGAAAGGGGTGAGTTGGTGTTTTATACATGTCTACGCAGACAAACAAAACAAACTTGAGGTTTCAACATTCGGTGTCTATATAGTTAATTTTGGGTAGAAGCAGCCCATTTTAAGTGAATATGCAGTTCTATCCAAGTCGTGATGCTTTGAACTTGCTCACTCGCTTGGGTGGTTCTTCTGGGTCAGGGGGGAAGACTTGTTGCTGTTCTTGCTTTTTGGATCCGTTCATGCGGTTTTGCATATTGAAGAACTCTGTCGCAATCTGCTTCTGGTGAAGCTCTTCATCATAGTGATCCAACTCGGGGGCCTTGGCAGCGCCTGTTTTGACCTCTCTCTCAAATATCTTCTCGGCTAGGGTGCGGTCTTGGGGCGGTTGGGGCGCGTAAGGCTTCTCAACAATGTCGGTTATGGGTGCGGAGAAGGGTTTGGGCTCTTTGGGTGTGGCTGGGAAGAGAACAGGTGGTGCCGCGGATGGAGTCGTATTGGCTTGTTTGCGAATGCGAGATTCGGTGACCTGGGAGGGGTTTGCGGTTGTGGCCCCGGTGGTCACTGCCTCATTGGTACCTGGAGCAGCGGTTCGAGCACTCTTGAATCGCGAGGTCTTCTTGGGCACAGCTGGTGTTGTCGAGGATGGCTCTGGGTCTTGAACGCGACTTGTCCGTTCGACGATGGCATCAACAAGCACTGGAGGTTCATCTTGTGGAGGAGCCACTTTCTCAATTGCCGCCGGGGGTGTTGGGGCCGGTGCGATGTCAAGATCATCTGCGAATGCAACTCGCTTCTTGGGTTTCTTCTCCTTGGCAGATTCCTCAGTCGGACCTTCGGTAGGGTTCTCGATCTCTTGCTGGATTTCTTCAGGGAAGGTCTGAGTGTCCTTGCCCATGTTCATCAAGCCTCTGGCATTGAGCTTAGCTTCCAGCTCAATCATCTCCCGATGATAGTCTGCTGTCAGATTGGGGCGAGATCGGCCCCACTGATCTTCACCATCCTCATAATCGTCATCATAATCGTATTCTTCGTCAAATGAAATCTCGCTTCCAGACTCGTCCATTTCCAACTCTGCGACAATGGCTCCCACCTCGTTGATTCCATACTCTAGCATTTCACGGCGGAGTTTGGCTTCTTCGAGGGATTCATCCACATCGGTGACAGGCGGTTGCTTGCGATCTTCATCGGTCACAACAGATTGAGGCTGGGTGAGATCTATCTCGTTGGCGGAGACGCCGTTCGGCAATGGGGATGAACCTTGGCGACTCGAGGAACCATTTTGCTCCTCTGCGGCTTTTGAGCTCTCTGGCTTACCAGAAGATTTCTCCACTGTAGCTTCGGCAGGAGCAGTAGTCTTCTCAGTCTTCTCATTTTCCGGAATATCATTGATACCAGCCTTTTTCAATACGTCCAACAGCTCCGTCGCCTGGTTTCCCGGGGTATTGATAGAACTCGAGACGACATTTCCATCTTCGTCAAGTTCCTCCATAATCTCCTGCATGGGGAAATCCGCGCCGCCTTGAACCACAGGAACGTCCTCCATATCCAGCACGTCCCGCTCGTCCTGGGCCTTCCGTAGCCTCTTTTCAATGGTCGCTACATTCTGCTTCACGTAATCGATCCGTCGGCCGAGAAGATCTACCACTTGTCCGCGAGACCGCACCACTCCTTGCGATCCAAGGATGGCATGCATTTCCTTCTCGTCGACCAAGGTGCCGCCGAATTCCAAAGCTACAGCGAGGAAGTCATGTGTGGAGGCATCGTCTTTGAGATTACTGATCTCTTCGCGGACTCCGTCGTACTCCGCTTCCCAGATTCGCCAGTGGTAGAGTGATTTCTCAAGTTGGAGGATGTTTTCTTCAAGCGCGAGCCGCTGCTCCTCGAGAGCATCGAGGTTGTGGTTGGGGACTCCCATGTCTGTTGAAACGGATGTAATCAGTGGCAGCTTTAAACTGGCACTGAGCGAATTGTAAGAAAAGAGTGAAGTTGGCGGCGGAAAAAAAGTCCCAAAAAGGCGAGTCGGTCATGTGGTCCGTGCGCGGGATTTCCTTATCAGCCTCAACTGACCCCGTAGCTGGATCTCTTCAACGCCACTCTACTCACCATGGCCGCCGATGCGATCTCCCGTCGAGATGAAGACGGTAAGCTGAATTAAATTGTCTCCCATGCGCTGTACTGACCGAAATTGTGCCAGAGGTCTGCCCCGTCTGCAAATCCTCGCGATACCTCAACCCGGACATGCGATTCCTGATCAACCCAGAATGCTACCACAAGATGTGTGAGTCGTGCGTGGACCGGATCTTCTCATCAGGACCATCCAACTGCCCAGTCGCCGGCTGCCGCAAAACCCTGCGCAAGAACAAATTCCGCAAACAAACCTTCGAAGACATCAATGTAGAGCGCGAAGTCGACATCCGCCGGCGCGTGATGCACATGTACGCCCTCCCTCCGCCCAAAACCCCAAGCCCAGTACTAACAAATCCCACAGTCTCAACCGTCGGGAAGAAGAATTTGACTCGAAACGCGCGTACGACGACTTCCTCGAGCAAAGAGAAGAGATAATCGCCAACCTAGTAAGCCGCATCGACGTGCAGAAAACCGAAGCCCAGCTCCAAGAATACGCGACAGAGAACATGGCCTCGATCCGGGCAAACGAAACCCTCGAAAAAGAAGAAGCCACCTCCTTCCACCAGCGCATCTCCCTCGAACAGGAAGAAGCGCGCCAGCGCCGCCAGGCAGCCCGTGACGAGTACGAGTCCGAGCGCCGTGAGCATCAAGCTGAGCGCGAGGATTTCCTCACAAGACTTGCCGCCGGCTCGAGCACAGATGCCGCTGCCATCGCGCGCGAAGGCCACAAGGTGCATTTGAAGAAATCGTCAGCGCGCCGCAGTGAGGAGGATCGCATTCGGCAGAAGCAGGCTGCGCTGCGCTCGGATACAAAGCGGACGACTCTTTCTTCGGTTGCTGAGGGTGGCAGTGGGCTTGTCAAAGGATTGCGCAAAATTAAGACGCCGGAGCCGGAGAAGCCTTATGATCCGTTTATGGGGTATCTGCCCGAGAAGAGGGATTATTATTCTCTGCAGGATTATTATCCGTCGCAGTATCTTGATCCTGTTCGTAAGAATGCGGAGATTCTTGCTGGTGGGTATGACTTAAGGGAGTATTACGAGCGCACTTTACTTGAGGCCTTTGCAGGGTTGAGCTGTTTTGTTGGAGAAGAGATTGAGAAGCGGGATGCCGCTAGGGTTTCGATCCCGGTTGCTACAGAGGCTGCGGCTATTGCTGCGACTCTTGGGAGTGCTAGTGAAGGCCCTGTCTAAGGGATTCGGGGTTGAGTCAACTTGGATTGTTAGCTTTGCATGGTGTTTGGCTTTACTTTCATAGCGATGGCGTTATTCGTTGGCCCGGAACACACCGGCCACTGCATATGGTTTATTTAGTAAAAACTGGCTTTATATTGCCGAAGTGATCAGATTGAATGGAGAGAAATGCATAAATTTCCTGCCTGATTTTTTCAATCTACATGGAATCCAAAGTAGTGATTCAGTTCAAGGCCACGCTACGGCCGCAATGACATTTGAGTATCAACTATCCAACAGCCCATTATCCAATCAGTAAAAATAAACAAACAGATATAACCAGACTCCAAGTGTCGCCAAGTAGCAGCAAGGTGATCAAAATAATAACAATCGCACTGCGATGCAAAGAACAAATCAATGTCCAATAGTAAGGTGGCCAGTCATCTCGCCAGTACTTTCAATGCCCTCCCAGGGCAAGTCCTCCTCGTCATCCAAGTCAATCTGACCATGACGAGAAGACTTATCAGTCGTAGCGGTGACATCAGCGTGTGTGGCGCTGACATCGAGTCCAATCGACTCCAAAGTCATTTCCATCTCCTGCTCAGTCATCTCATGGCCATCCTGCTTCTGGCCTTCGACAACATCATACAGAGCGTAAATTTGATCCGCCTTCATGTCAATGTCCCTAAAAAGCTTGTCGATCTTTTCTTGTAGGGCCTTTCGAGGGCGCTTTCCGAGAGATGCATCGAGCTTGTTATAGGCGCTTTGGTAGGTAGCCAGTTGCATCTTGAGATGAGAGAGCTCGTCCTCAAGGCCTTTGAGAACAGTGGCAAGGGCTAGGGCGGGGGATTGCGAGGGGCGCATGGTTGGCTCCTCGTTGTAGACGGATGGCTTGGGCATACGCTCTGAGACGGGCACGGGCTTGGGAACATTCACTGACTCGTGGCTGCATGTTCCATCGTTGCTGCGGCCCTTGCAGACTGTGCAGTTCGGTCCGTTGTGCTGGCCAATGTTGTCCAATGCTTTTTGGGTCTCTTGAGGCAGTCTAGATGGGTCGCTTGCTGCCATGTCCACGTGGTGAAGAGTGATATCTGGGAGAATGAAAGCAGATGTCATGTCCGGAACGTTGCGGTGCTTTTTGCGTGGCGCAGGTTCGGGCAGCGAGTGCTCTGAGTGGCGTCGAGAGCGCTCTGGAACCGGTACTGAGAGACTGCTGTCTCCCTCGCTGCTTGCTTTCGAGGCAGTGGTGATGTCACCAGCAGCCGACGCTGGGCGAGGAATAGCGGGTTTGGTTTCTCGAATAGATGATTTGCGGGGGGCGGGGGTCTTCAATATGCTCTGTCGGGTCGAGTTCACAGTCTCGGTGGGATTCGTTTCCTTGGGGTTGCTGGAACGACGTTGCTTGCGCATAATTCTTTCCTCTTCCAGTGTCCTGCGGAGACGAGAAATCTCGTTCTCATCGATGATACTCAACAATGTCATATCCTCCGTGTCAGAAGAAGCCTTTGTTTGCTGAGACACGTCAGGCTCAGTGAAGTCCTCAACTACAACTCGCTTCACACGTTGCTTGCTGGAGTTGGGTTGCTTGCGGCTGCTCTTGGACTCAGAGCGAGACGCAGTGAGCTTCGAGGGCTTGGAGGCCGATGCGCGTCTTGACACTTCGATAGAGAAAAGAGCCTCATCGGCGCGTTCTTTCTCGAGGCGAGAAATCTCCTTGTCCACTTGATTAGAAACTCTCGCACGTGAGTCATCCTGGCGTCTGGTCCTGGTGTTTGACCGGGCACTCTTCGATGTTAGGTCTTTGGTGCTACGGCTCATTTCTCCACTGGGTTCGGTGTAGACTTGGCTTTCATCTGCATCAGAGACATCCACGCTACCTTCATGTTCGGCAGTGTCTTGGTCACGGTTTCTCTGGGTTGAGAATTGGCTGATTTGACTCTTGAGCTCGGCATTTTCCTGCCTCAATTCCTCGTTCTCCACCTTGAGCTCCCGTCCTTCAAGGTAGGCCGCACCAAGTTGGGTGATAGCTGACTCTCTATCATGGTTCAGGCGCTTAATAGCAGACTCTTGAACCTGGGCCTTTCGATCGGCGATATCCAACTGATTTTGCAAAGCAAGATTGGCGGCTTCCAACTTCTGATTCTCAGCTACCAACCGCTTCGAGCCCTTTTTGTAATCATTGTCTTCTTGATCATACTTCGTTGACTGGCGAGGTTTGTTCGACTTCAAAGACGCATTCTCCTGACGGTAACCATCGATCCGCTTCTCTGCGTCGGATTTAAACATTTCCAGTTCCGCCACCTTATCCTGAAGCAGCCTGAGGTGAACAAACAATGCCTTTTCGTCTTCGGGGACGGGAACGGCGTCCAATGGCATGTGCTCGTGGGGTAGAGATATATCAGTGTTATCATGGAGTGGGGAGACAAATCGCGTAGAGCGCATCTTGCCCTGGCGTGAATAAACGGGTGTGCCATCTTCGTAAACACCAGAGACGAGTTCGGAAATATTAGGAAGGTCGGGAAGAAGGAAGGATTGGTGGGTCATAGTGTCACCAATGGTGTTGTTAACGGCATTAGCACTAGATTTGCGAGGAGTTCCTGCGTTGGATGTTGATTTTCGCGTTTCCCTGGCATATGCATCACGCGAAGCTCGCTCGATGGCCTCGGCGATTTCCTGCGAGGTATTGGCATTTCCAAAACGCGTGGAGCGCGGCTTCGTTGTAATAGGAGCAGGTCGTTCGTCTCCCAGGAATGACCCCTCATAGCTGTCCCGTACTTTCGCGTGCATGTCTGAAAGTGTTCGGCGCTGGTCCCGTTGTGTCTTCGATGACTGTGGGTTCATAGTCTCTTTCTGTGCTTGGGTTGCTCGCCGGACTTGAGCATTCTTTCGTAGGTTTTCGCTCGCTGCGCGACGCGCGGGACGCGTAACAGCAGAGTGCTTTTGTGGTGTGGGGTATTCAACGCGCATTGCGGGTGAAGAGGAGCGTACACTGTTTTCGAAACTCATCATAGAGGTCCGGGAATCGTCGCGTGCTTGGTTGGTAGCACCGCGTCCCAATTCGACAGACATGTCGAGATCACTGTGTGAGAGTTCCTCCATTTCTGGTTCTTGTTCTTCTTCTTCTGAAGTCTGTATTTGTGAGAATTCGGGGAAAGCACGGTCGAGAGTTGAAGTATTGATATCGTAATCGAGCTCCTCGTCTACACGACGTGTTGATGTGCCCATTAATTCGTCGTCCAAGTTGGTGAGCGAAAATGAATCCTCGTTGTAGACAGAATGTCTATTCATTGTAGGCATTCTGAGAGGGGAAAGGTGAAATGGGAAAATGGAGAAGTGTACGGAGTACGGAGTACAACGTAGATAGTGAGAGGCTGGTTTGTTTTGGAGCAAAGTCGGAATGTTTGGGTCGGGCGCGTCTCGGCAACCCCGGGGGATTTGATTGGTCGTTGACTTCCCACCTCCGAACTACAGAATCTCTCTTGTTTTTTGTTGTTCGACCACAACTGTACAATTGTAGTCAATTTGATATATTTACAATTGATTCTTGTGTCTAAATGAATTTCAATACCCTAAAACTACTTTGAACTAACTCTTTCTTCAACATGGCCCCCTACCATAATCAGAGACCTGAAACAGATCATCGTGCCTTAGTCTACCAGTTGCAGCAACGGTTAACCAACTAATTATCTATCCCTCGTCACCAATGATTTTGGCCAAATCTGTACGGAGTCGCGAAACTATCAAACTGAGTACGTATGAATTTGTGGTTATTATCTCCACGGCTGTTAGTTTTGTGCTGGAAAATATGAAGAATAGTGCCTAGGTGCCCGGGTGGTCAAAATATATCTTGAACGATCCAACAGTGGACTAAAAGTTCTTAGCAGCCATGGATCGTGGCCTGCATTTTATTTCTTATCCAACTTTGTTAACTCCCGCGAGCTTAAGGTAAGTACTACAGCTCTGAAAATATCAAGAGAGAATGCTCAATTACCTAGGTAACTATCATCAGATTATGAAATCATGTATGTAGCGTCTGATTTTGCCGTAAACCTTGCGAGCCCTTGGAAGTATTTGATCAATTGCATTGTTGGATTGTCCAGTAGTAGTAGATTTCACCCTTTTAATAACCCAGTTCCTGATATTACTTGGAATAGAAAAACATAAAGCCATTGTACCTTGAAACAAGCCCTGGAGGCCATAGAACTATAACCGTAAGAAGTACCTACTTAGGCAGGTAGCGGCTAGCACGATAAATCATAGCAAATCAGAGCGATCGCTTAAGAGTAAAGAATAGTGGGTCATTGAACTCCAAAACATCAAGTGTCTACTTACCAAGTTAGGCAGTGGTCTACATTTTCAACATGTAACCGAGAACACTCTACACTAAACACGCTATTGTGCCAGAGTACTCCTAGTGACATCCACTTCTATACTTTAAATGTGTCCAGGTTAGGTACAATCTTGTACCTCTCCAATATTCGATCAAGTCACGGGTACGATCTCCCCCACGTGCCTTCCAACTTCTATGCAAGGGCGACCAATCAACATCAAGCGAACACCCACGAGTAATGACAAGGCCAACAGTGTTGTGCCGGCCTCACAGTCGGGTCGAAAATTTAAAAATGGACTGATTTCCCCTTCTTCATCATTACTCCTGCAGGTTGCACTCGTACAATACCTGAAAATTGTCGTGACATCACCTCTACGATTCAATGAAAGATTTCTACAGCCAAACTGGGGAAGGGGAGAGATTGCTAGGAGGGCAACAGTATAGTCGAAAGCAGCCAAAGCAGCCAAAGTCTCGAAAATGGACACTTATGGCACTCGTGGCTTTCATGGGTGTGGTGGTTCTGGTGACTGTGTACTCCAAGAAGGAAACTGTTTACGAGTCACATTCCACAAAAGCGGTGTCCAGAGAGCAGCACGACCAGCCTGTAGCGTCTCCTCTTCATAGTTCGACGAGCACATCGCTGCGAGGACGTGCCTGCAATACTGTCGATGGCGGTTACCAGTGTAATCCTGCGATCTCCCACCAGTGGGGCCAGTACTCGCCCTACTTCTCACTCTCGGAGGAGTCGGCCCTCTCCGATGACGTACCTAGTGACTGTCAAGTCACCTTTGTTCAAGTTCTCTCTCGCCATGGCGCTCGATACCCGTCGGCGTCGAAGAGCAAGAAGTACGGCGCGCTCATCGATGATATCCAAGCGAATGCAACTGCATACAAGGGCAAAATGGCTTTTCTGCGCTCGTACGACTATAACCTCGGCAGTGATGATCTGACAGCATTTGGCGAGCGCCAGATGGTGGGATCGGGACTCAAATTCTACCAGCGCTATGAGGCGTTGACCAGAAATGCTGTGCCCTTCATCCGATCATCTGACTCAGAGCGTGTTGTACAATCTGGTGAGAACTTCATCAAGGGCTTTCAGCATGCGAAATTGCACGACAAAGCTGCCAATCACAGACAGCCAAGTCCAGGAATCAGCGTTGTGATCTCAGAAGCGGATGGCTCGAACAACACCCTGAACCATGCTGGCACCTGCACAAATTTCGAGAACAGTAGTTTGGGCGACGACCTCGCCGACAAATACACGGCCATCTTCTCGCCTCCGATTCGAGCTCGCCTCGAGGCCGATCTTCCAGGTGTTACACTCAAAGATGGCGATGTGATCATGTTGATGGACATGTGCCCCTTTGACACAGTTGCTCAGAGCTCCAACCCAACCAAACAGTCAGCTTTCTGTGATCTCTTCACTGAAACCGAGTGGACTCAATACAACTACCTCCAATCCCTGAGCAAATATTACGGTTACGGAGCAGGTAACCCACTCGGTCCAACCCAAGGAGTCGGTTTCGTGAACGAGCTTATTGCCCGACTGACACACACCCCCGTCCACGACGAAACAACCACAAATCATACCCTAGATGCCCCTGGTACTGCTACATTCCCTCTAAATTACACCATGTATGCGGATTTCACGCACGACAATGGAATGATTCCGATCTTCTTTGCTTTGGGACTATATAACAGTACGGCACCACTTCCTCACACCCACCTCCAGTCTCCGCACAAGGCAGCTGGCTTCTCAGCTGCGTGGACAGTGCCTTTCGCTGCTCGCGCTTATATTGAAATGATGCAATGTCGCTCAGACCCGAACCCGGAGCCGTTCGTCCGAGTCCTCGTTAATGATCGTGTTGTGCCACTGCATGGGTGCTCGGTTGATTCACTTGGCCGCTGTCGTCGCCGTGATTTCGTGAATGGACTGAGCTTTGCTCGTTCTGGAGGCAAATGGGCGCAATGCTTTGACTAGGAAATTGGACCAGTCTATGGACGATTGGCTCACTTTTGCACAGTCGCTGAAGAATTGATACCCAAAGAATATCATTACGCATCATCATCATCTCTATAGACCATACGATTTTGGTTTTTGCTACATCAAATAACCATTCATGCACATTTTGATCTCAAAATGTCTAGTGCGGTTTCGGTTATCCTGGTAAGTGAGACAATGTAGCCTTGGCGTAAGACTTTTTGAGCTTGAGGTTGCGCTAATTCAACAATTGGGGGCCATCAGGGTTAGTGAGAGCCGCCAACGCATACTAAAAAGAACACTCCATGCAGTTAGTTAGCCCAGGGACCATGTACTTATAATTAAACCGCCAGCTTCTCCTTGGACTCGCCACCCTGCGTTTTCTCAGTATCTCTTTTTTATTTCAAATATCTTCAGTCAAATCATATCTATACGAGGCAACGAGATGATTTCCACTAGGCTCCAATCTCGTGAACTGCTTACACTGCATGAAGCAATAGGACTGATAGGCCTGATAATTATGACTATTACAAGCCTTGCATTCTGCCTGGCAATCTTCTGGGTGAGTCGATATCAGCGTCAGAAGCCCTAAGTATCAAAACTCATCGAGAACAGGTCGATTACACCTGCGCGCATGTTATTGCCACCCTGGCAGCAGTTGAAGACCCCAATCCGCCTATATATATTCAACTAGAAAGCGAAGAGCCGTTTTCCCACGATGCTACTGATCCCGAAGCCGCAGCCCCAGAAGCACAACCCACCACCAGCAGTTTACGCTCGTCCATCAAGCACCTGCGCAGCCACGGTATCTGGTCAAAGTCCCGTGGCTTTCCCTTATATATAGCCCTGGGCGTGCTCAACCTATTTATGCCGGTTATTCCACTTTCTTCATTCATCCCGATCAACTTGCGCATCCTTGCATTTCTGAAGAAAGCCGTCGTGGCCATGGCGACAGCAACCTTGCAGATGGCGTGGGTGCATCTCGTCATCGCGAGGAAAGGTGCTGCGAGCCCTCACAGGCGAAGACTTGGCCTGCGGCATTGGCCTCAGATTGCGCCTGCTGCTGCGTTGAATAATTTGATAGAGATTGCGACTTTCTCTGTGTTTCGCGTTTCCACGAGGCCCGTTGGATGGACTATTGGCTGGACTCTCTTGACTGTTCTTACCAATCCGCAGCATGGTATGTCTGTCGGCGATCTGGTCGGAGATATTGTGGCGGCTTTGATTTTCCCATTGATTTTTGCTCCTGCTAGGGCGATATTCGTCCGCGTGGCTGCTTCTATGCTGCCCGAGGAGCATGATCCAATTGTGACTTTTGATCGCTCTTTTGGTGGAAAAGTGAAGCCGGGGAATTTGGGCAGTGGCAGGCTCGGGCTTGTAGAAGCCTGGACTACATTTGAATGGCCTGCTCGCAGGCGCTTTCTTTTAGTCGTCATTCAGGCGTTTGGTATTGAGGTTGCGCTGGTTCTTGTCGGGATCCTTGTAGTATGGTGCGAATTGTGGATTTTCATCGGGCTAAATGAATAATGATGAGCCATGGCATAGTGTTCGCTATATACGCCTGAAAGTTCGCCGGGATAGGCATATGTTGATACTATACTAAAATCTAGTTTGTGTCAGCATTGGGCGGTCATAAAAACCAGCTACAGGCCTCTAAGATTTCTAGGAATTCGTCGAATAGCTTCGGGCACTTGTCAACTCATCAGTGACATAGAGTCAATCGATAGAGTGTAAAGCTTGAAATCGAAGCAAGATCTCGAGTCGACTTCTTATTCTAGATATCCTGTAACAACCATATCACGAAATGTCTGATATTGGTGCCATGCAGCGAACGAAGTGAGAGCAAAAGTTCTCACCAACACAACTAGACATCAAAAGCTCTAACGCATGCAAAGTAACTCAAACAGCCCCCAACACCAGAACGAAAAAATCACATATTCCACGCAACCCTCCCATTCCCATTCCCATTCTTCCTCCCATTCGAAGAAAGCACCCAAGCCTCCCACAGCGGCAACTGCCTCCTCATAACCCTGACCCCATCATCCCTCAAATCCTCCACCCCCAAAGCTCCCAACTTCTCCATAGAGCTCCTCTTCAACAAACCCCCCTCCCCCTCAAAACCGGCACCGCCGAAACCCCCACCTCCATCGTCCCACCCTCATCATTGAGCGCAGAAGGCGCAGGCCCAACAGACCCGTCGAACAACCCGTTTTCGAAATGCGCATAGTCAATCTCCCTCAACTCAAGATGTTCCAGCTGGCGCATCTCCTCCCGCAAAACGACCAGGATATCGCTCCACAGGCCAGAGCGCAGGTAGATGGCGACGAGGCGGAAATCGTGCAGTTGCGTGTGTCTGCGCGCAAGCGCAATGATCTCGCTTGCGTCCAGGCGCCAGCCTTGGATGCTTAGCTTGCGGAGAGTTTTCCAGCGGATGTGGTGGAAGACGGAGTCGAGGCTGAGGGTGAGGGGTGTTTTGCTTAGGAAGCCGATGTGTAGCGCGACGAGGTTTTTTGCCGCTAGTAAGAAGCGGCGGAGGATTGCTGATAGGGATGATATGCTGGTGGTTAGCTTTTCGTTTGCGGGGATGTTGATGTCCAGCGCTATGAGGCGGGTTGCGAGCTGGGAGAGGGTTGAAGGTGGGGTGTGGAGGAGATGGAGGGTTGATTCGGGGCTGAGTTGGGGTGCTGTGAAGCGGATTGATGAGGTTGAGGTGAGGAGGGCGCTGCTTAGGGTTGTTATTGCGCGCGTGCAAGCCGGTTCCCATGTGAAGAGGGTAGTTTGGGTTGGGGCTGTGCGAAGGAATTGGATTAGGTGGTCGTCTTCCACGTCTTGAAGTCTTAGGAGCTTTATTTCTTGGAGGGCTGGCGATGAGGCGAAGGCTAGACGGAGGAGGGTTTGGTCAATGTTTCGTTCGGTTATATTCGTTTGCTCTTGGAGTCGCTGGCTGTGTACTTGGGACAGCGCGGGAATTTTGTTTTCGAGGTCTTGGAGTAATCGAGGCCAGCCTATATACTATTAGCTTGGCGTGAGCATTGCGGGGAATGTGGGGAGCTGAATACCGCTTCCTTGATAAAATGGTCGCACCATGTAGGTGACGGATTTCACATAGCAGGCTAGCTGCATATGTAGAAGCTCGTCTAGTCGCCGGAAGCCATGTTCGGAAAATCGCAATGTAAAGCGAGAGAATCTGTGAGGGGTGCCAATTCGCATGAACCGCTTGCACACAAGTCGAAAGCGATCGAGATCAGTAGCTTCGCCGTATTGAATTATGGTTTTTTTAGGTTTCGTATGTCCATTTCCATTAAATTTGCCGTTCACGGCGCGAGGCGCTGGTTCGAGGAGCAAATCCAAGATTTCGCTCAGTATTTCATCAGCGAGATTATGAATGCAAAGTGGCTGGTCCATGTCCATTATCGGCGCGCGCAGCCGAGGCATCGGCTGTTTGACGTAGCAGCAACATGGAAATATTGAAGAATTGAGGGAAAATCAAAGCTCTTGACCGGACCCTAAGTCCGGAGAGACAAGTCACGGAGGGAATTGAAGAGGGGGGAGCTGGGCGGCATAAAAGCAAATCAAATGAGAGCTAAGAGTCGAGGCTGTACTTTTCTCCTGCATATTTGCATGCAGATACACTAGGACGGTTTGACTTGTCTCACCATCGATGCATGACGAGAGCGCTCATCCTAACATTCATTTCGCGACCGGGATTGATCGTCACCCGGATTTAGCGCCTATCTCGCTGACGAGCCGTAGCCTGTAACTCGAATGGCTTGGTTTCATTGGCGACGAAGGAAACACAAAATCACATGATTGATTGACTCTGCGGCCAGCCAGCGCGAACCTGCAGGAAAGGTCATTGAATGAGAGCGAGTCAAGTGGTGGGAGAGGGAAGGGCCAATGCAGACTGCAGACCCCGCCGAGAAAAGTCGTCACATCATGCAGAGTGATGCACCTTACGTTTGGTGTTTCGTCTGTTCCTTCGAAAGGATTGGGGGAAAATGACCGAAATCAAAATGAACTAATGTATGTACAAGATGGCTATCTATTCCGTTACCAATGCTGGATCTGCTCCGTATGAGTTTGCCCAGCCATTTGCTATCAGACCTTTGCGAGATGAGCCCGACGCCGTCTGACCTCAGTGCTGCTTATTTTGGAGTCGAAATTCTCATCAGTTCCCAGGGCCCCATCAGATTGAAGGACATCTACTTCGAACACTGTAAGGGCTTTCCAGCCTTTTTTCACCCGCTCGTCGTTAACTGCTGCACCTCCCGCACGGGTCTCCCTAGACACAACAAGAACATCGATATTTTCCACTGTGATTGTAGGCCCAAATGGATCTGAGATTTCCACAAATTCAAATGTCAGTTTAGGGTATCTAACGAGAACAGTCTTAGGCGCAGTGGCCCTTTCAATCTCCGGTGATTTTTGGTCTGGAGAAAAGTCCATAATGGCCGATAGGAAGGATGCGGTATTCTTCCAACGCTGTTCCCAATCCTCCAGGAACTCGGCATGTTTTTTATTAACCAATAATGCATCCCCGGTCAACCCGATAATCAGGTGGCCATCCTGATCAAGTGGATCCAAGGCTAATGCAAAGGCTGTGAGCAGAAGCTTGTGACCAAGATGAAGGTGATCAAATGTGCCACCAACAATAACGGAAGAGTGCGGGTTGGATGTGGATGGTTGGTCGTTAGGAATTAGCAAGGGTTGAGGGATCGTCCAGTCAGGGGTGCAGGTGATGGCTTGCATCCTTGCCGTCATGTCATCTTTTTGGGCTTCAACGAAACATTTGGCCATATTCTCGCTAACCGTGTCAGAAACATAATAGATATGATCCCAATGGCGCGTTGAATTTGCTAATGACTGTAGGCCTATAATAGGTCCAAATTGAGGGGTGTCAGAGGCCTCCTCGGTTATAGGTTTCCCAATGCTATGGTTGATGAATAGCACCCGGACATCGATGCCACCTGGGGTGTCTAGTTCAATGTTTTGTGTTGCACAAAGAGCACCGACAATGCTATAGACGCTGGTCAAGTATTGTTGGAGCTGGGAAAACACTTTGGCCCGAGGTCTGCAGTCTGGAGTGAAAGGAATGACCAGGGCAATGTCCAACACGGCTAAGCGACTGGACCCATGTACGCATTGTGATAACCGAGTGAGGATATCACTCAATGATGGGGCGAAGGCCTCTTTGACTTTGGCAATAGAAAAGGCGGGAGGCGGGGGAAGTAATAGTAAAGCCGAGGGGTTGGTGCGGTCGGCAGACATTGTGCGATGCGCGCAAAGGGTATCCCAAATACAGTCGTCTAGACGCGGCCAAGACACACAAAATCCAAAGTAATTACAAAAAGTAAATAGTAAACACGTTGATGACGCTGATTGAAGTTGATTGAAGCCGAAGAAGCGATCAAATCTCTGGGGTTACCCGGATGAGGTAACGTAAGCATTGTGGATGGGTGCGCACCGCCTTCTGTGCCTCATTGCTCTTCTTCAAGGCACGAAAGAGGATGCCATTGTGAGCCAAGTGACCTGATAAGCTGGAATGATATCTGGCTAATTTCCAGTTGGTGCTCTTTTTTTGCGCAAATTGGTATTCCCCAACCTCCTTGATCTCGATCGAGGGACAGGTGGAGCTCTCCCACGAACTAAGATCCATCGCATCCTTCCCTGCATAGACGGCGCTCTTGTTGTTCAGCCTAGACCGCATCATGTCGAACTCTGCCTCCTACGACTCCCACAGGCGGTCCACTGTCTTCAGTCGCCAGCCCGAGGAGCTTCACATCCCATCAACGGGTCCAACCAATCCCAACCTGTCCCGTCAGTCCTCCTCGCATGACTACCCAGCCACACCAGACGCAGGTGCCCGACTTCCCGCGATCAACGTGCAATCGAGCCCACAGTACGGAAGTGATGGAAACCACAGTAACAACGCCCTCCCCGGAGCCCTACAGCCAGGAAACCGCCCGCCAGCGGTATCGTTAAATACCGCCCCATCGGTCGTTCCCACCATGCAACACTCATCGTCGCAGCCGACAAACCACCGCGCTAGCATGATCAATTCTCACGGCCACTCGCGATCCAGCCCCGCAGGCTTTGACCAGATGTACAAACAACACGGTGGGTCGGATGGATCTAAATATCCCTCCTCTCCTGGCGGGTTTACACCCCATACCCCGCAGGGCTCGAAGTACTCTCCCCTTGGTTTGTCTGATATCAGACCCTCGGGTGAGCATCTCTTGAGTGAAGCGCTTCTAAACCCAGTAATGTCATCGGTGCCTTACAACCACGGAGATAACCAAGTGCCGACCAACAGCAACTATGTCGCGCCATGGCCTATATATGCTGTGGATTGGTGCAAATGGCCCATCGCAGGAAGCTCAGGCTTTGGTGGAAAGTTGGCAATGGGAAGTTATCTAGAGGACAACCATAACTATGTTCGTGCAGCCGACCCTTGACTCAATCTGCAAGTGCTAATCAGGTTTCTAGATTCAAATCGTCGATACGCATTGGACACAACCAGATCCCGACACCGCCGATGCTGCTGCTGGAGAGATTAAACTGGAATATGTGAAGACTGCCGAGGCGACCCATTCATACCCCGTTACCCGCATCCTCTGGGAGCCTCCGTCGTCTCAGAAGCAATCGACTGATTTGCTGGCCACGTCAGGAGACCACCTTCGCCTATGGTCCCTGCCGAATTCCCAGCCCCTGCAAAGCTCAAACTCAATCACTCGCCCTATGAACCCGCGAGAGGCTGCCACCTCCAAGCTTTCCCCGCTGGCGTTGTTGTCTAACTCGAAATCTCCCGAGCACACTGCTCCCATCACCTCTCTTGATTGGAACACAATTTCACCGAGTCTGATCATCACTTCCAGCATTGACACAACGTGCACCATATGGGACATTCCCACTTTGACAGCGAAGACGCAACTAATTGCTCACGACAAGGAGGTGTACGATGTTAGGTTCTGCGCTAACAGCGTCGACGTTTTCGTAAGCTGTGGTGCAGACGGTAGTGTGCGAATGTTTGATCTGCGAAGCCTGGAGCACAGCACCATCATTTACGAACCAACTGATAAGAACGAGAAAAGTAAGGGTCCGACAAGACTGTGCCCCATGCGTTCAGTACTGATATTCTTTGCAGCAATGAGTCCTGGGACCTCCAGTCCCCCTGGCCAATCCCAGACCGGTCTCTACCCCCCACCTTTATTGAGAATCGCAGGTACGAATGGCATAAGCAGAACACATAACGTAAATCGCGTTTTAACCTCAAATTGCAGCATCACCACACGACGCCCATCTCCTTGCAACATTCTCCCAAGACTCAAGTATCGTCCGGGTCCTCGACGTCCGACAACCAGGCCAAGCACTGCTAGAACTAAAGGGCCATTCCGCAGCCCTGAACTGCGTAGAATGGTCCCCCAGCCGCCGTGGCATTCTGGCCTCCGGCGGTGACGACAGCATGGTCCTCCTCTGGGACTTGATCAACCAGCACAACGCCGCTCCTATCCCTTCCCCGCCTACGCACACCACAGGCGCACCACCATCGACGACATCCGAGCGCGGTCCAGCCGCCGTCTGGCAGAGCGAGTACGAAGTCTCCAACATCAGCTGGTCCCCATCAGGAGGCCCCAATCACACCGGTCAACCACGGGAATGGCTTGGAGTATGCGGTGGACGAGGACTCACCGGCGTCTCGCTTTAGGCTATTTAAAAGGAGGCATTACTTCTCGTCCTTTCTCTTGCTTTTTTCCCCCGGACGTTTGATCTGGATCTTGCATTAGATGGTTCAAGCTCTTTTGTATCTCTGCTGCGCCCGAGAGGCAATGCAGCATTTGAATTTCTACTATTTGCTCCTGTGCCGGGTTGCTTGCCGAGCTTGGTATCATCCTTGCATAGGTCAAGCGAGACGTCGCATGGACTGCTGTTGTTTATTTGTTGGGTTTGACGGTGACCATACTTCTGATTTGTTTGGTACGAGTGAATGAATGAATGAATGAACAATACATTGAATTCGAGTTAAGATACACACAGCTTGTACCTTGTGGATTCGGCTGTTTCTTAAAATATAGTGCCTCTCCTTTCGGATTAGCTCTGCCCAACACTCTCGACTCAGTTGGAGAATATTGTGAGCATGCAGTGTTTATCGCCTGAAGGGCGTCGGTATTTTGCCTTGAACATACTACTATTTGGAGGAATTCCCAAACGGGAATACTAGAATTTGCAGACAATTCCTCATTTGTCGTTCTTCTCTGCCTCAACTTAACTTTTGATCGACACGACCGCTTCAGCTAACCCGCCCCATTGACAGGGGATCCAACCAATCCTCTGTCTATATCACCAAGACTGGAGTAATAGATTTCGTATTCAGTGGACGATTAGGTTTTTAGCCCCATCGAAAATGACGATCTCTCGTGCTGGTTTCTATTTTGGCCTCACTCGGCACAATACGAGCATTGGCATCGCATTCAACATTAGCGATGGGAATTCCGGCCCCATCACGATGTTGATCTCTCGTATGTGTGCTATTCTGGAATCAACGAGCACGATACGAGCATTGGCATCGACGAAATTACATCGAGGAAGTTACATCTTCACTCTATCAACAGAAGACTCAATGCCGCCGTCAATGCTATATAAATCACCATCCCTCCTCGCCTCTATAATCCTAGCCATCCTCTCAAACACACTGAAACCTCAATCTCAACCTTCAAACCAACCACTCAACCACTCAACCCAAATCTATCTATCTATTCTATTCCTCATTCCTCAGTCAAACCAACAAACCTCAACTCCAGCAAAAATGAAGTTCACCGCAACCACCATCGCCGCCCTCATTGCCGTCCTTCCCATGGCCAATGCCTGGATCTTCACCAGCTGCAGCGAGCAGTGGGACGGCGACGAAAAAAACCGAGGCTGCACCAAGGCCGCCTGCAAGACCGGTTCCAAGATTGACTGGGAGGCCGACTGGGGCTCTGACTGTGTTCTTCGCCTCTACAGCGATAGTTCGTGCAGCAACCAGATTGGAATTGCTTCTGATGACTGGAACGACCATACTTTGAACCAAGGAATGGGTAGCTTCCGCGTCTCGTCTTGTGATCAGGACTAGGCGTCTTTGTGCCTGTGGTAGGATTCTGGCAGGGAAGGACTTGTATGATTTGTTTTCTACTATTTGATATTAGATAGAGGGATTCAATGACGTTGAATGTCCAAACCTGTCGGTTAGCTAGTAGTTGAATTTTGAGTTGTTTGAAATGATGGTCCCGAGAAAAGGAGACTCTGAACCGATGGTAACTAGTATCTCAAGTAAATCTAAGGCGGGTTGTTTACTGCTAGGCTGTTTTATCCTTTAGCCCGAAGAAATGTAGGAAATTGAATAGTATAAAAAGTGTTATGGGATACCAAAGATAATTGTGCACCCTTGTGATTTGGAATTAAAGGCATTAGAAGGTGTGTTTTTAACCCAAATGGACAGTTTGGAGAGTCTGTGTACAGTCGGGCATTTGCTTGCTTGCCTATAAATAGTGTTGGTTTTACCCATCCCGCTGTTAGTTCTGGTTAAGGAGGAGAAGGGAGTGGGGGGGGTTTCTGTGCGAAACGCGAAGCCCATCGCAATTTATCATCACATCTGACAGCACATAGACTATCTGTTGTGTTCTAGCGCTACAGTTGCACACAATGAATCAGCCATGCATGCCGAGTTTGCCCAAATGTATCAACAGTGGAAACAATGCTCTCTATACCTCCCGCACGTACTTGGTTTGAGAGATTTTTCCTTCAAAGAGTAGGAAATCAATTCGAAATTTCCTGCAGTGATGAAATACTGCGACTTAAACAATGCATGCCAAAGGCTAAGTATCTACAGTTTTTCATACTTTAGTCAAAAAATTGATTTGATAAAGGTATTTGTCTCGTCGAGACTAATGGCTCCAATGACCTCCTCGATCTTTGCGAGGTCACCTCCATAGCCCTTGCCCCGATAATACCTCAGCCACCCATTATTCAAACCGAGCTCGAGGCAGAATTCGCTTTTCAGTGGGGTCAGGTGCTAGCGCGAGTGGGCAGGGCCGAGGAAGGAACCAAGTATCTTGAGGATTCATAAAGATTATATTGCAAAGCGCAACCGCCCAACACCCGTGAAGAGGCGTGGTGTGCTGAGAACCTCGCTGGCTGCGTTGCCATTTTGAATAATTTCGAAGAGGCAGTGCATCTATAGGAGAAAGCATGGGAATACTGGCTTGTTCGGACTGAAGAAAACAGCGAAACCAAGACGGAATGGGCAACACTCTGATTTGGGCCGGGCAAAATTTTCGGTTAAAAGGATATACTGACTCAAGGTCTTACTCAACTGGAGTCTGCGGAGCCTTATAATCGGGCAATTGTCGCTAAGTAAGACATTATTTCTACATTTTGTTGTGTTGGTATTCTAATATTGTTGCAGCACACATTATATCGAATGGGATGTGCAGTCCGCGCCAACTGGTCAAATACAAAACTCTTGAAAAAATTGTATAAAAATAGAAGACCCTATTCTATTATTATCAATAGAAAATGATACGTGAGCAATAAATGTGACCATACGACTGGTATACAGCCAACAATACGCCAGGCGCCTATATGCGTTGGCTGTGCACGTTTGCATTGCGGCGCAGGTGCCTCCCTCGCTTTAAATACAGCTTGGTTTCCATCATGCTTCAGATCTGCTTTTTCTCCTCTCATCTTACTCTACTCTACATTGAGAAGTCAGATTGTATCTGCATAAACAACAAACTTTTGAAAACCCTGAAGTTATCATGCTATTCACCTCCATCTTCGACTGTGTATGCGGGAGACGGGCAACCAAGCCCTGTCCTCCAACATACACCCGATCATCGGAATCCATTGCCTCCGAGATTATCACCATGATTCTCAACGCCGAATCAGCCGATCTCCTTCAAAAGGAAGTGAATGAGGTGATCACCACCAACGGATGGACGGACGCGATAGCACTAGCAATACTTCACGGTCTGGAGAACGCAATCAGAACTGGTGCAGAGATGGCACAAGTAGCGGTCGATGCCGTTGCTGAATGCAAAGCCGCCGCTGTTGGATTTGCAACGGAGCATCCTGTTTACGCAACACTGCTTGCACTCGGCGTTCTGGCCTTGTTGACGCCCTGGATTATTGAAGTCGTCGGGTTCGGAGAATTGGGCCCAATTGAGGGCTCATTTGCAGCAGCATGGCAGCGCACATATGCTGGATATGTGCCCAAGAGGGCTTTGTTTGGATACTTTCAGAGACTAGGGATGAAGTGGCAGTGGAACCTTTGAGTGTAACCTGTGCACTAAATTTGCTAATTCTGGGGGTAAGCCTGTCTATTTGGTGCCAAAGACCAAGTTCGCTACCCTGCTCCACAAAGATGCACGTATTCTTGTTTTTGAGATGAGTTCGATTTATCAGATTGTTTATATTGGCTCCGTTTATTTCTACACCACGCTAAGCCCTACTAAGCCATCACATAAGAGCCAGATGTACCCTGCTTTGTCAGTCCTTCGTATAGCCGTAGTGCGCTATCTTGATTCAAATGCGTATAATGAGGACTAGATTGCGACACTTCTTATACAAGACCAAGGCAACAGACTCAGACGGTGTAGTTGTGAAACTGGTTCACAGACGCCAAATCACATTATCATGCGGTGTCCACAGTACAATAGGCTTCTCAAGCGATTATAGAGACAAATCAGTCGGATCGAGGGACTTGAGACCGACTACGACAAGATCGTGTCTCACCCGCAGGCCACCTGCTACATAGTCAACTTCATGCACCGCACAAGTCTCCTCTAGCAATCTTAGTATGTGGGATTAGAGAACGACGACGAACAAGCAACTAGCAAGCGAGCCACAATAGAAGCAGGTGTGGAAGACGATGGGTAATCAACAACGAAGCGAGCGAAACCGGGCGTCGAGAGGCTCGGTCGAAGTCGACGAACATACCATATCACAAACTACTCAGCAGGAAACATGGCTATCCGTTGAAACTAAGGCGGGGGAGGGGCAAGGATGATAAGAAGGGAGAGAGAGGATGGAGAGTGCACTCCATGGCATTCATTTGTATTAATGTCATATGTTTACGGTTTGGAATAGGATTTGGTTTCCCGGGCTGGCAGGAGTCATGGAAACAGGCTGATTTCCACTCTCTTTTCAAACCAGCCTCTGTTTCCTCTTTGGGAAATATTGTGATTCCGGCTCTGGCGTTTGGCTTTGAGCTCTTGCTTCAGTTGGATAAGGTGCCTGCATACTCATACGCAAATAATCAGACTGCAACATGTAAATTGAACTTTTGTTGATTGACTGATTGATTGATTATTCCAAAACCCATGTTTTTTGTATCGACGACCGAGCTTGTTTGCGATAGCATCTATTCACGCTACAAGATCTGGATGGTTGTCAGGAGGGGCAACCGAGTGGCGAGACACCTGGTTCGCTTCTTCGAGAATTCCACAACCCCTGTTCGTTTGTATCCACGCCCGAGCTTGCTCCTTTTACCCTTAGAGAGTTGCGTGCCTGAAACCGCCTGTAACAAATTCAAACCTCGATCTATTGGCCATAAAAATTTCAACTGTTCATGAATATAATCGACCGCTTTCTGCTCGCTGCACCATTCTTCCACCTGCAAATGCAAGGTATCCCACTTGTTCATCTGGTTTGAGATCACCCAGCCGCACGGGAATATCTCCCAACAGAATTACTCTGCGTATTCCATCCATGGCAGATCCCCCGGTAGGAAAATGCGGGTCTACCGAGTCACGCGTCAGGCTTGAGGCATAGCCTAGTATATCCGGAATGTTGGTGAGTTGCGTCAGGAGTACTGTGATCAATGTGCACATTAGTAAGGCCAAAGATGCAAGTGTAAATACCACGAGCCATGGCCAGCGGGCGACGTAGATGGCATGACTGTAGGCTTTATGCTCGCCGGTGAAATTGGTGGTGATACCATCTTCATCCCATGTTCTAGCCTTGAGACCACTGGAAAAGTTACCTGTGTAAAGACTCGGGGCAAAGGCGGCGTTAAAGTAGGTATTGACTAGCTGTGTGAGGCGGCAAGAGAGAGAATTCAGATCATTTCTAGCTGGGTTGACGTGCAAGGAGAGAAGCGGGTCCGCTGTGTTGTTGAGATATCTCTGGCTAAGAGTATAGCTGCCCCAAGCAGTGTCCCCTGAGGCAACTGCCATGGCACCGCCAAATGTTGTCAGGATTGAAGAGAAGAGGACTGGCACGATATCGCGTGCTGGATGGGGAATAGTACTATTTCGCATTCGCTTCGCTGCACAGTCGGTATTGGCGCCGGATATGGATTGCATGATGCATTCGAATTCAACTTCGGCGTAAATATAGTCGATATGGCACTTTGCGACGACCACTGGCGAAGAGATGCATTTGTTTCTTTTCACTGGATGCCACATTTAGAAGCTTTGATTTTTAGGAGCTATGGTAATAATCGCTTTCTTTCCCCTCCAAACCCCTTCCTCAGAGTATCCTTTGGCACTTTGGCACTCCTTTAGACGCCAAGAGTTCGAGAGAGGGAAATAAGTGCGCGGAAGAGAAACAAAAGAAACGAAAGAGACATCGCCCGGATGAACGCTCAGCCTCATACATAGTAAACCCGTGTTGTTGCAGCAGACGGCAAGAAAAAAAAGACTATTGACTTGAACCGCTGTGCCCATGGCTCCGCCAAGCCAAAAAAAACAAAGTAAAATGCTAAGTTAGTGCCTAGTTCGCGCTCTTTCCTTGTCAATTCTCTCAGTATTGTTGACTGCGATAGAGCCAAAAAGTTCAGATCGTTTACCGCCCAAATCTCGATTACGGATCTTCTCTTCGATCGGTTACAGCGGGTCCATTGTGGAAATCCCAACAGGCCATGTTGTGGACCCACTTTTGCAAGCTTCTTAGTGGGGTCTGCTAAAAGCCAATCAACCGGGGGAAAGATCTGATGTATCTCCGTGGTGTTCTGTGGAGATGATCGCCCACTATTCCTGATTGAGGTCAACGCCCCATCGTTTCAATATTGCAGCTGGTGGAGGATTAAATTGCCGGCAGAATCTTGACCGGAGGTGCTAACACTTCTGCGGTGTCACTGTATGTACATGAAAGAAGGGGCTGCGAAATGAACATCACCCAGGGCCACGCTGTTGGGAACCTGAATTTTCCATCCCCGATCATCTCTTGTGTTTCGAGTTCCCCCGACTCGCTTGCTGCTTGAATAAATCCATATAGCATCCACCACTATGGCCGAAGTCGACCTACCCTCCAAGATCCGTGCTGCGATCAAGTAAGTGTCGGCCGTTGTATAACAATTTGGTTTCATGTTCTATGGTTAACCAGCTATTCTCAAAAAGAGAGCCCCACGGAGTCGTCAACCGTCTGAATACTGCTCGTATTCCGCTTTGTCTCCCACCCCTAGTGCAAGCTCCAACTCTTTATACCCTTGGGCTCTCGCGCTATACCGAGATTTATTTGGGCCTAGAGGAGATCTGGCACGCCCAGATTGGAGACTTTGCGGACTGGGCCGGTAATATCAGCGAAGATCCGAGCTCTTATGGCAGTGATGCGGAGAGAGTGCAGGCCGTCCTACGCTTGATTTATATCCCCGAACTCCTGCGTACGAGGCGCGTCGAGGCCGATTTTGAGGCCCTGAAATTGCTAGACCCTAGCATTGCCAAACTGGACATGGGCAAAGAAAATGCCGGCAGTGAGTTCCGACGTTATATGAAGGAACACATTCCGGCAAAGCCACATCTTCTTGTCGTGTACGTGTGGATCATGTATCAAGCCCTTTTTAATGGCGGGCGTTTTATTCGTCTCCAGCTGCTTAAGGCTGGCCCCGAATTCTGGGGTCTGTCTCCGAGGGAGATGGATCCTACTGCTTTCCCGCCTCCTCTGTCTTTCTGGTGCGTCGAGGAGGGCGAAGTTGTTCAGGCCAAATTTCGAAACAGCGTTTTGAAGGCAGACAAGCTGTTGACTGAGACTGAGCGGGAAGAGATTCTCGACGAATCACGAGAGATATTTCGTCGCTGCGAGCTGATTACGCATCAGCTCGACGAGGATGTTAGCGCCGGGGGATATCCCACAAACTAGAGGGCGCTTTTTCGTGTTCTAGAAATGAACACTGGGCTTCTAAATTCCATGGCGGAAGTGGTCTCAGTAAGATTTGATACCTGAGAAAATAAGCAAAATCCCATTCCAGTACCACATCTCATTTTGGATAGCGAGGCCTGTCTTCATGGCGGGGTAGTGTAACAATTTGTAATGTGGCGGAAGTACCACCGGGCGCTCAGTCTATTAGCTTTGCCTCGTGGGTTCCTTGCGTCTACGCCAAATCTCGCTCAAAAGTAAAGTATGAGTATGCGCTTGCTGCGCCATATGTTGCAATCTTCTTTCCGAAATCAAGGCGAACTACTTGACTCATGATATGTCTGTTGAAAAGCCCTTGAAGAGTCACCAATTTGCTTTGATATACGCCGCATACGCCGGGCGGGTCTTCAATTGATGTAGAATGCACAATGAGAACGATGGGGAAACACTACACACCATATTACCGGATTAATGTTAGCCATCTCTCCATATCACTCATGCCAACAACGCCTTCATCTTTCTCATATTTCTGCATGAGACGTATCGTGATTGACGGAAGGGCCGCAATATGCGGTGTCGGATTGGTTTGGCGTGCAATCTACACAGTCTAAACACGCTGCGAAATGTTAGTCAGACAATGCCAAGATGGGACCACCAACAAACATATCTTGATAACCCCGTCAATGCCAAATGATATATCATCACAAGCCAAACATTGATGGGCAAGGGCAAACAGAACATAGCAGGAATTATCGAGGATCTAAAGAATCAGAACAGCTCATCGAAAGGGCATGGGGGACAAAACCTGGCATACAATGGATCCCGATTTTGTCTCGCTGGGATAGATAGATGGAAAAAGAGAAAACATGTGCTACGTCAGCAGCAACTCATCAGCCAAAAAGAACGCGAGATCATAGTACATTCTGACGGATAGTGGATATGCCTTGTTGGGTCAGGTGGTCGAATCAAGCAGCGTTGCGTTCCGCGGAACTGAACTCCCAAATGCTCTCACAAGGCCCTCGAGATCCGACAACTACGGACGGTATACCCGTACTAGGAGGCAGTATATATGGGGGTGTTAACACTTTTGCCGAGTCACTGTAGACGTTGATCCCACGGGGGCGTTGGTGACAATAATACGACTTTTGGCATAGGCAGCAGTGTCACTTGGGTTATACCCTTGCCGCTCTATGTGAGCAAGCAAATCCGATCTGTTGTTCCACCAAGTCAGACAAACCGGCACCATTGTGAGCCGCGTTGTTACCTAGGTAAAAGGGAGAATGATAACCAAAGGGGGGCATTTAAGATTTCAACAGTTCACAGGATTCCATACCAGCCTGCAAATAAGGGAGCAGGATGACTAGAACATGAAAAATGAAACACAAAAATTCTGTTTTGGGGTCAAATTTGTCGAGCCGCATCATGGACGTTGGGCCATACTACGAAGCCATACAATAGTGGGGCGGTAACAAAGCGGTAAAATGTCCAGAAGTCACCATTACCCCACCATTTCAGAAAGCCACCCACCTTCTCCCACTTTGATCACCATGAACCCTCCTGAACCGGAACCCAAATCTCGGAAGTTTTCTTGTAACTTCTGTGATAACTCCTACAACAGACTCACCCATCTCAAGGTATACTTTCAGACATAGATCATTACGTGCAAGGCGAGGATAGAATGTTAACAAAAAGAACAGAGACATGAAATATCCAAGCGTCAGTAACTACATATTCGAGTGTAAGTTGGCGAGGTGAAATGGGATAAACTGATCAAGAACAGATACCCACCAGGAGTCATTCAGCTGCCCGCATTGCGACAAAAAGTTTGGTCGAAAGGATGTCAGGGATAAGCACATCAGAACAATTCATGATAAAATATCTCGGCCAACACGAAATAGAGATGGACCACGTCCAAGGATGATGATTACTCAATTTCCAGGTCCTGTAACACCGCCAGTTCCTGTAATACCACCAGTCTCTGTGATACCGCCAGTGCCTGTGATATCGCCAATGCCTGTGATATCACCAGTGCCAGTGATATCGTCAGTGCCTGTGACACCGTCAGTGGCCTCATCCTCATCAACTGCACCTAGGTACTCAATCGAACGATCGGCAAGCCTCGACCAATCACAGTCAGCCAGTCCGGGGAGACTGGGACCAGACAATTTGTTTCAACGGCTGATGCCGAATTTCCAGAGCATGTCATCGGTGCCATTGCCTATGACAGGCCTTTCTAGTGATTTCCATCCATTGATCTCAGCTCTCAGCTGCTTGCACTCTGGACAAAACACTTCACAAGAAGTGCAGCCTCAAGTCAACCGCCAAGGGAGGTGTGGAAAGCATAGCGAGGATCAAACCCGAAAGATTATCGATGATTTGATCATAAAACTTAGTGATGATCTACACCACACAGGGGTCACCCCGGCCTTTGTGGAAGCGTGTTTGAAAGAATACTTTGGGCGAGTATCTCCATGTTTCCCCGTCATCCACGAGCCCACGTTCCCAGCGCAAGACTGTACTCCACCGCTCTTGTTGAATATGGTCGCTCTTGGATCACTTTTCGTCTGTCTCCCAGATAGCACTCGGAAAGGACAAATGCTATGGAGACTGGGACATGCTGGAGTTGCGACATCGTGGCAGACCTTGATTAGGTTGCGAGGACCAAAAGACCAGTGTGATGGTGTCCAACTGGTGCTAGCAGCTCTTTTGGGGCAAATATTTGCATTTCTTTCCAGTGATCCTAGTATTCGGACGACGGCATTTGCATCCCAGGGGCTGGGATTCTATTGGGCGAAGATATCAGGGATGCACATGATGAATGAATTTGACATGCAAAAAGTCCCCGGCCTGCAAGCGGACATAGCAACTAAAGACGCGGCCTGGCGGACATGGTCGGCAGTAGAAGTTCAACGAAGAGCAGTGCTTGGCCACTATATATTGGATGGACTCCTTTCGCAAGCATCAGGGTCCACCACTAACACCCGTCACGCACTGAATACTATCAAAACCGCATGCTCTGACGCCGCATTCGCAGCCGAGACAGCCGATGAATGGATCACAGAAATGTTGCAGCTACGTGGTCCTCCAATCCCTTTCTCGGAGCTTTTCGTGAAAATATGCGCACCGGATTATGCCACGATGCGAGTACAACTATCTCGATTCTCCACCTCAGTCCTCCTCGAAGGTCTCCAATGCCTAATTGCCGAACGCTACGAAGTGACCAGCCTTCCTCTGGGAACCGTCTCACGACCACAGATCATCCAAGGCCTTCTCAACATCTACGAAACAGACCTCTCAACCTCCCACACCATCGACTCAATCCAAATCCTCATCCGCTGGCATGCAGTATGCATGGAACTCTCAACGCCCACAATTTGCCTCTATCGCCATATCTGTGAACTATACAAGATCCCACAAGTCCTCAGCGGAATTCCTCGAGGCCAGACACCCCTATTTGAGCTAACGACTTGGTCCAAGAGCGCGGATGCATACCGTGCCCTCTTGCATGCGATATCGATAATAGGCCTTGTAAATGAAATACCCATTGGTCGCATGCACGCGCTGCACCTGCCCGGTGCTCTTTTCGCCTCCGCTGTTGTGCTCATCGCTATTCATATACAGAACAAGCAGATGGTTAGAATCCCGAAGCGGATCCTATGGAACAAGGTCTGGGATAGCATTGGAAATGGGTCTAAAGACTATAGGCCAGGCGCTGATCAGGCGGGCCTTTCTGCGAATCCTGGTGAGGTTCTGATGACCTCTGTTGACTTGATGCATGAAGTGAATTTCTTGCGGATGAATTTAAGGACTATTTCGTCTCGGTGGTGGATTTCGGCGCAGATGGAGGAGGTTATTGGGCGTTTGGTGGTGCTTGCCACTTAGGATCTATAGTCGAACTTCTGAATGGACAGCTTTATTTCCTCTATGATCAATAGTGATAACCAAATAATAAAGCTATCTATATGCAGCTATGGTTAAGGTCTCTAGTTTATGGAATTATCTTGCCAAAATGGAGGAATTAAGGGCATACCCTACTTGGTGTAATCCTCAGATAGAGGCTGTCTTCACGAACTTATCGACCGCCATAATTGTGTTAGAGGAATTTCAGTATTTAAAAAAGAATACCAAACGGTGGAAAAACTTCGACATGACAAGCTCGCACGCTGCTATTACGTTGTAGCCTCACGTAGCTTGATATGAAGACCAAAGCAGCCATTGGCCCTCTTCTGGAACGAGAGAAAATCTTCACAAACGAGCTTTGATGGAGAGTTGATCAAAATAGACGCTTGGAGCAAAGACTGTTGTGGCATATTCTTTGTTAGGCGTATGAGGCGGTCGTGTGTTCGTCGCTTTTTCACGCTCGCGTGTATCCGAGCCTCCAGCTTTCTCGTTTCCTTTACTTCGGGGTTTTCCTCGAGACGAATAAGCTCACTACAAGCTTCCTTACTTTTCCAAACAGGCTGCACTTCAAAGCTTGAATCTAAATAAAACAAGCACTCCCATCCACATTGCGGGAGAATAGTGGGGAGCTTCTCCCTCTATACAAGGTGGGGGCAGATATCCGAAGATCGGGAGATCAGCAAGAACAAGCCCTAAAAGCGCGCCCTTCAGTTTGATTATAGCTTGTTTATGCCTAAGAGTGAAGGTAAGACGAGGGTTAATACTTCTAGCAGCCACCCGAACGGGAATGGTGCAGCTTTTGTGCCCTCCTAGCTAGGTCAGCAGTCAGATCAAGGGTGGTGACCTTTTCCCCACGATGAATCAGTTTCCTTTTAGTTTAAGACAACCGCTTGCTCCTTCCACTACTCGGCTCTTCCGATCTTTACCATCCATGCCTAACACCATAGACGCGAAGGTCGAGCCTTTGGTTCCAACTTACGCCGATCAATACCATCGGGAGTTCCAAGCACACTGCCCTAACGATAGAGAAGTGCTTGACAACAACTTTCTGGCGACTACGAAATTGGGATTGAGAAGCAAACCACATTGGTGGCTAACCGCCGTTGATTGGGATTTTTATTACTGAGGTAGTTTGGGCCACTGCGAAATCGAGACTGAAAGGGGAACGTAAGTGGTGGCCCACTACTGTAAGGTTAATGAGGCTGGCCTTTGTCGTACCGAGAATTACGGGTTTGTATGTACGAAATAGTAATAAACCAATCAAATGGATGATCGAAGGGACGTTGGAACCCTTCTGAATGTCTCTACGTGGGTCGGCGGAAGGTATGTATCGTCGGTCGACGGGTCAGCGACATCATGAGTGAGGTATTTAAAACATCTCCTAGTTACCTAACAGGACCTGCTGATGACTAAATTACCTTATTTCTTGTTAATCAACTTAGGGGATAAATCCGTATTATAAGTAAATCGTTACCATTTTAGAACCTCTCATCTCAGGTTCTTGAATGCTGCTTCGGTGTATAAGTAACACATAACCTCGCTCCGGAGAATCCTGGTCAACATCCACGCTACAGTGGACCAGGGACATTTTGAACCGTTAAAAATGACCCTCATTCAGGTGCTATACACTGGTGCTACCGGCTATATGTAGTGAAAACCTTGGAGCAGTCGCCAAACCCACGTGGTGACGCACAACGGAGGCTCGATTCTGATAACCCTATTGACCACCTTCAATGAGGCTATCAAAGGCCGCTTCGAGATCACCGCGGTAGTGCGCAAGCCCGAACAAATGCAATTCCTAAGACACGTGTAGGAAAGCCCCACGCGGCAGGGGAAATCAAGTGCGTGTAGCGACCTAGGTGATTTACTGAAATAAATGATAACAAAAGGTCTAACACGGGGAGAAAAAGAGTCAATGTAACTCGCACGGCGAGGTGGTATCATAATAAAAGTAATATATGGCGGAACAGAAAATGTACTCGGTTGTTGAATGTATACAGAACTTTTTAATCTGCATGTGTAACCGACAGAGTCGGCAGACGGGGAGCCGGATCCTTGGAAATGAGGCGGTCTTCGAGCGAGCGCGCAAACTTGACACTGGGGATGTCCACGACACGCCAGAAGATATCGCCCAACCAAATGGAGATGGGGAGGCAGATGAGCCATCCGATGAGGAATCCAAGACAGTACTGAAAGTTGGTCTCTTTGCCAGTGATGTTCCAGATATTCGGCATGAGGGCGTAGCCCAGGCAGTGGAGTACTGGGCCGTGAACGACATAGAAAGCAAAAGAGATTTTGCCCAAATATTGGGACAGTGGATTGGTGAACAATTTTTGAATGTCTGGGGAGTGGTTGATGGAGAAGACGATGAGAACGGCACCAATGGTTTGTGCAAAGCGATGTGGTTCGGGGTATGTGTAGGGGGTGACATGCCACAGCCATCTATAGAAAGGCGTCCATTTGAAGCCAATGTTGGGGCAAGATCCAAAATAGAGACCGACCACGAAAAGGGAGACCCAAAGCCTGCGGCGAGAAACATTCAGTGTTACTTTGCTGCCTGAGCCAAAACGGATGGTCGTCTTTTCATCATCCGCTGCTGGCCTTGTGGGTTGCTCCCAGGTTCCATTGATCAGATCTACTTCGGCCATCAGCATGCCAAATAGGAATAGGACGATTTCCCATCGACCATAGCGCATGCAGAACCAAACCAATCCGGAGACCATTGTCAAGCGCACAGGAGCCACTAAACGCGATGTTCCCATGATGACAACGAACAGGATAAGCGAGGAGCGGAACTCAAGAGGAATCGTCCAGAGATGCGGATTGTAGTAATTATAATATAGCGAATACTCAAACGGATTCAGCAATGTCGCCACTGTGTCCCACAAGTCATCGCTCTGCTTGGAGAAGGATTTATACACGCGCGGGTGCTGTTCATTGGTTCCAACAATAGTGTGGCCCTCATTAATGACACCATGGGAGTAATTATACAGCCCAAGGCGAACCGCCACAAAGACGCAAAAAATACCAGCAATGGCGGGGATATAGAGACGGAACGCCCGGCGAAAAGTCCCCGATGCAAGTGTAGCAAATGTTTGATCGAAGGACCTGCTCCGAATCGTCTTCAACGGTTTATATGACAGAACGTAGCCGGAGAGCACGAAGAAAATGGCCACCATGATGTGGCCAGATATCAACATATGAACAAAAGGCAGCTGATGAATGCCGAAATTTTCGCCCGCAAATCCCCATCCTATTGCGACCTTCCATGTGTATGTGAAGAGGAAATGGAAGTTGAAGACCAGAAGACAGGCCCAGCCGCGCAGGCCGTCCAGAGCGGCAATCGCATGGAGCTTCGATGGCGCGGATGCCTCACCACCCACCCAGTGTTGTAAGAAGCTCGGCGTAAGCACGACTGCCAATTTGTAGAATGTGTCTTCCGCATAACCTAGCCAGTCCTCTTGCGACATCTTCGGCACTGGTCCCTCGGGATGCGCGAGGATGTTTGAAGGGTGGAATTTGGAGAAGCCATTCCAGCGCGGTGTGGAGTTCGAGTATGTTCCAGCGCCAGAAGCTGATTCGAGATCTTTGAGAGGAATGTCGGAGGCCGAGGTGGTGGCCCGATCTTCGGGGTTGGATGCCATTATGTTCTGCAGTTCGGTCGATCGCAAGTGGGCATATCTGTTGAGGCAGAGGCCTTCATGTAAAATGCTAACGGGCGGAGTGAAGCATCGATACTGGTGGTATAGTGTACTCGGAGAGGCGAAAGGGGAGAGCAGGCTCTCGTCCAGCGAGGTTATGGGTGTGTTGGTGACGCGCGCTGAGGTCGGCGAATTGAGGCAAATACGTCAGCGGGAAGTGTGTTTTGTTGCGTGGCTGCTCGTTGGATTCCGGTCACGACGTCCAGAGACAAACGAAAGTATGAAATGTAGATGTTATTCAATTGAAGTGATTAAATTGATTAAAGTGATTAAAGTGAGGCAATGACGAGGCACGGCACAGATGTCGATCGATTGCCGTTTTCGTGTTTGTTGCCCGCATTCGGCGCTGCAACCTACCTAAATGTGCTGCTACTTCTGCTACTTCTGCTACTTCTACTGCTTCTACTACTATTATATAAACACTACCCAAATTCCATTGTATGGTATAAAAGGCTTGAATACTCGGTTTATCTTGCCTCAATTGGCTAAAACCATCAGAACTAAGTGGAAATTATCGCTATACAAGTGCATCTGGACGATATCCGAGGGACGCTTCAAATAGCAGCATAGAGCAGACAATTGGAACATCCGAATAAAAAATCAATCAGCAACTTGTATGCCAACTGCAGAGAAATCCTCAGAAATGTAGCACTTACTCAACATATTGCTTTGATCTCCAACCGGCGAAACATCGCAACGTCACTGTCAAATCACAAACTGAACAAGGCCTACACATAGAATACATCCGTTCATTTGTCAATATCCTGGGGACTAAAATCAGTCAGAGGTACAAGAAATAGGAGCGGCATAACCAGCATCGTTGGAAGTAATGTCTTCGGCGTCACCGTCCTTAGCTCCCGAATCGGCAGGACTTGAAGCATCGGGGCTTAACACATCGAGGCTTGACCCATCAGGACGGACAGCAAGAGGAGAGAAAGGGACAAATCTTATGTTTGCTAACATCACCACTTTCCAGGTCATCAGAGGCAGTATCAGTGATATCGGGTGTAGACTCCTAGAAGCGTTTGAAGTCTTCCTCTTTAATCATTTTGCTGCCTGAATTACCATCTCCGGCAAATTTGGACAGCTCCTTGATATCCTAAGTCCTCAACGTAAGCCCGAATCATACGAAGGTTTGCACAGACAGCAACTAGGGATTATTTGCGAGTGATTTCCTCACGGTTATAGCGTGGTATACGTCTCCGCCAGTCGGAAAAGCCGAGGGTTCCTATAGATACCATGGATCCGTCTTGCTCCCATGGCGTCCTTTTTGTAGATACGCAACTATCTTTAACCATCAAATAAAAAGAGAGGACTTAAAAGGTGCCTGCCTTGTTTTTGATATCAATCCACTACACATTGAGATATAAGGCTCGAATATAACAGAAGCACACAAAACTAGAATACATTTCAGAGCCAACCCTGGACTACAGACTATAGAATTTTGATACAATATTAATTTACTTCTGCTCCTTGGTTCGATCAAATGCAAAGTGAAAGTCAACCTTAAGACAGCGAGACAGTCTACCATTGTTACTTCTCCTATAATTCTATCCTTATCTTCTCGTCAACACAAAAAAACACATGAATATTCTTTCAGAAGTTGTTCAAACTTCTCTAGCATTCGATTTACCTGACGACTTTGTTTCACGTGTCAATCAGCTTCGCAAATCAGCGAGAACGTCCATTAAATTTTCTATAACGTTAAACACGAACGGAATCAGATTGTCCAATATCAAAACTCTATCCTCGACAGGTTGAAAATTGAGCAGGCAAAAAGCGGACTGTCCGACATCATTTCCATCCTCGACAGTTTCCCAGACCACTTCTTTATCTTTGTCATGCACCCAGCCCTAAGAACACCCCAACTCTTTTCTTTTGACACCAACATCTATTTCTCTTCATACCGCTTTTGAAAGATCCGGAAGTCGTAGGAGGAAGAACAATCTTCATTGCGACACAACCGCTAAACAACCCTCTTTCACACGTACTCTTTTCACATTTTCCACACAACTATCCGAGTCAACCATCACCATGTCGAGCCCAACAAAGGATACTGATGGTAGCGATGCTGTTTCCAAGCTCGCAGAGCTGAAGCCCGGCGACAGCAAGCTTCTCATTCTAGGCAGCATATGCATGGTGGGAAAGGTAAGTCTTTTTTCCAATTCCATCCTAGAATACAGCTAATCACTTCAACCTCACAGATCGACAGCGAGAAGCTTGCCCGTCTGGCCGGAGTGAAGAAGACATCGGCCAATGCCAACTACCACCGTGCTAAGAAGCATCTTGCCGAGCTTCTCGACGAACAACCTACCATTGAAGGCGGTGCCGGTTCCAAACATGGAATCCCAAATGCCTCTCCTACCAAGCCTCGTGCTACAAAGCGTCGCAAGACTACCAAACAGGGTGTTTCCGATGCTGAGAATTCTGATGCGCCGATTAAGCACGACGAGTCTCCTGAGCCAGCTGCAGATGTTGTTAAGGAAGAGTCCGATGACTAACTTCCCACTTATGCTTTTACGTTGACTTCCTTGGGTTTGAAGATCTTGAGCAGTCGTGAATCATGTTATGAAATGGAGATGACGGAATGGGTGAATTTTTTAATTTGTGAATGCACTGCGGCAGATGGTTTATGTGGACGGGTTATGACATGGCGGATCCCATCCGGAGTGTGATCAGCAGGCTTCGGCAACCTGGTTGCCAGCTTGACGGGAATTCTTGTGAATCACGTCTTTTTTGTTCAGAAAATACAAACCTAGCAAAAAAATAGTGTTTGGCGAAATGGAGATAGGCATGGCGCATTTTAAGTCCTCTAGTCCGTGAAGACCTTGTGCGATTAGGGCTCGCGTTGAGTGTGACATCAAGAAGCTGTCCACCGGAGACGGTGATTCAGGCAAATCTTGTATAGCTCAGAGCGGACGGTCAATCTAGGTATCAAAATTCGAATTCCATATATCGCTTTTTATATAGTTCCTATTTCCTAAGGTAGATTAGCGTAGAATCTTCTGCCTAAGGTGTCTATGCCAAGACAAACTCGTGCGTCGAATATCACAACCGTGGCCTTTTACAAACGACTCAAGACAAAGGAAATGGTCTATGTAAGATGGTTAGAAAGGATTAGAATAGATTGATCAATATATTTAGCACATTTTGGGTATTATCAGTAGAGAACATCTCACCATCTATGATCCAGGAGCAGATTTATACTAGCTCTCCGAATGCATCACGGTTCGATAGCTCCAATTTCCCACGGGAGCTTTCGAGTGCAATTTCGAGCTCCAACGTAAAGTGACTTAAATATCCGTCTAGACCTCAGCTCGTCAGATATAATCTTCAAAATCGAACTTGCGCAAGAAAACCCACTGGGCATATAGGTCGTCAAGTTCCCTAAAACGGCGATGATCCTCTCTCCCTGATTCGTTGCGCGATTCCGTTCGAGAACTTCTCCCTTCTTTGTCCATCCACGACTTTATTGTCCCGCCTCCTTCCTGCTCTCCAAAATCTTGCGACAAGGCCTTGGATGTCGCGGTCGCCAGTCGCGTGCATCTCTCCACAACAGTGATCGCGTGAAAGTGGTCCCGAAGTGGGTGCAGTCACGATGGATTTGCGCACGATCATGAACACCGACGGCGGCGCCAACCCTCCACCTCCCAGCAACTCGGCCAGCTCACCCATATCCGATCCAACCCCCCAAAAACGCGCGAAGAAGTCTGCTTCTCATTCAGAATATTCTACAAGACCACCCCAGCCCCCTCCGTTGCAACACCCGCACCACGCTTCTCCAGATCGAAGCTCACCCTACGGATCCGTACAATCGCCCTACCAGCAGTTTAACTCGGGCCCAACGGTCAATACCGCAGTGAGGCCTCAGCGCAATCAAACTCCTCCTCACGTTTCGACACCGTATGGTCCTGGCTCGCGTGATTCATTTGGCGCGCCAGCATACGGCCATCCCCAACACCCTGGTGGCCCTCTCGTTTCGCCATATACACCACAGCCGATCAGTGCAGGACCACAACACCCGGAACAACAATCTTATTTCGCACAACAGCGATCCCAACAACGCTCTCAGTCACTGCAATCGGTAGTGACCAATCCCCAAGCCCCAACCGAGTCTTTCCACAGCCCCCCTGCTGCATCGCAGCCTCTTCCACCACAGCAGTTTTCACCTACTGCCCACCGATCCGTCCCCGGAACTCCTCTCGGTCCTCCTCCTGCCTTCGTCTCCCGGCAGTCGCCATCAACTGTTCGTCCGCCTTCCTCTGGGTTCGACGGGCACGAATCTCCCCACAATCCCCTATCAAGTCCAAGGGCTGCACAGGAGGCCCAGATACGCGATCAGATCCAAACCCAGTCACCTGTGGCTCAGCATCAATTCTCTCCTCATAGCTCTCGGCCCTCTGAACCAATACCTCACCCTCACTCGGTCGGCCTGAAAGAAGAGCCCAAGGAGAGCGCCAGCCCGCGTTCGCATCCTGCCTCACGTCATAACAGTATCGCTGCAATCTCTGATCCTGTGCCCTCTGGTCCAATTCGTTCCTCCGAAGATCGATTGTTCACCGAGAGTCCCACGACGCACAAGCCTAGCTCAGCAGCTTTCGATTTACCTACCTCCCCTATCGTACCGGCCAGCCAAATGAACAGTTCCCCTTCAACCGCAGCCCGCGGAGGCGGCCATCCTTTAAAAATGGAAGTGGATCATGAGTCACCTGCTGAAATTCAACAGCCGGTGCAAAAGAAAAGAAGATACAATGAACCCCCGATCTTTGCGCAACGAACACCTCGCACCAAAGGCAAATGCCCAATCATTCCCAACCCCCTACCTCCGATCCCAAAAAATGCGCGACAAAATCTGCAAGAAACATGGGCTGTGGCCGCTCGCAAACGGTCCTCGTCGATAGTGGCAGTTCCCCCTGCTGCACGAGTGAGCCGACCACCCACCGTGCCTTCGCCGCGGACGAGCGTGCCCCCTACACAGCCGGTGCAAGCCCCCTCAGTTCCTCGGGCGAGTACCCCGCGAGCACTCGGTTCATTGGGCCCATGGGAGCCTTCCATCACTGGTTTTATCCCACATGAAGAGATTACAAAAGCTCTTTGTGATTTCTTGTTCCAACATGTGGTCATGAGAAATGACGTGAATGCTGGAGTCGCAGGTTCAACTGCCGTTGGCCAAGGAACCATCATTGAAGTTGAGGCTAAATTGGGTCACATCATCGACATGGACAGCCGAGATCGGATTCACCTTCCTATCTTAACAGAGAGCGTGATCAACAAGGAGAACGGGCGGTTCCGGACGTCGTTTGAAAGCAAAATGACTGTCGTAAGTCATTCCACAAATCCATTCATTGTTCTAAACGGAATTGACGAGCTAACCAACTTTCGCAGGAACAACACCGAGCCATGAACAACTTCTTAAACACTGCCGTCAAAGCATCCATGCCTCAACAAAACCCATCCCGGATCCCGATTGCATACGTGCATACGAAAGAACGCGATACGTTCTACGAGATCCAAGCATCGGAACTGCCCCCGTTGATTCGACAAAATTTGAACCCAAGACACAAACCAAAAGTCCGAGTAACAACCGACCAACGCACGGGAGAAGTCCTAGCCAAAATTGTCAAGTGTCGGATTGCCGACCTCGACGTGTGCAGTCCACGCACAACGGTCGATTGGCGTGTTAGCGTGAATCTCGAAATGGAGTACACCGGCGACGTCAGCAACCTCCCAGTGGTGGATCCTGCAGTGGTTCAAGGTGGTCGAGGCGCTCGCAACAAAGACCGCATGAGCTACCGCCACCTGGCATACCAGGTGGACTTAACCCAAGTAGCCAAATCCGATGTAAGTTCATTCCAAATACCTGTGTAACCCTGGAACCAGTCTCCTGATCCTCAATAGCAACAGCCGGGCAAGAATGAGTTCGAGCACGAGCTCGAAGTCGAGATCTCTGGTGCTGAGGTTCGTCGCCAGGGTCAGCTTGCTATGTCTGGTGACCCGACCAATCAGTATGAGGACCTTGTGAAGGGCTTCGTGGACAACATTCGCTTGTTGGCCAGAGCGGTGCCTCCGTGATGATTTTCTCTCTATGTATTATTTATATTCATCTCCGGTTGTCTGGGGTTCTCTCTTTTTGTTTCTTTGCAGATACGGTTTATTTCTTTTTATTCTGGGCAAAAACTCACGCACTACAATAGACAGCGTGTTCGGTCATACTCTTCCGTTTGAAGATCATCGTTTTCATGATCGACTGATCGAAGGATTGTTTCAATTCATCTTTTTCTTTGGCCTGGTTGGGCTAAAATCTTCCTCTCAATCACTTTTCCCATAATGCCTAGGTACCCTTGATGTGCATGTACTAAAAGACGCACGGCACACCTGCTTGATCTTTAGGCTGAAGTTGAGTCGCAATGTACAGAAATATATTCGAGATTCCTGGCAAGTACTAACTAGTCTGATTCATCACTGACGATTATTTACAAGGGCATCTATCGCGGCAATCCATTGCTTCCATGCTGAACCACCTCCTAACTTTAATATCAACTCCATGCGAGTATAGTTCCTCATGTCCTGGTCTTCATCCTCGGTCTTCACCTCACCTTGGGAATTCGGTCCCCAGACCATCCACCTCCTCTCACCCTCCTCCACCTTCCACGGTGAAAGGCCATTCGCAAATCGAATCCAAGCAGAAGCGAACTCCTTCACCATATTCCTCTCGGCATCATTCATCTCATTCTCCAAATTCCCAAACAAATAAAGCAACTCATGGGCATGATATGCAGTGCCCTCGAATGAATTGTGAATTCTCGAACGCTGATCAAAATGATAAAGGAACATATCTCCTCCCAAAATATCCCGACTACGACATTCTCGCGCAGTCACATAATTAGGAATCTTGAAAATTGCATCACCACACATATTTTCAACACGCTCAAGCAAAACCTCCAGCTCCAACCCCTGACAAATCTCGTACGCACCCAGGATCTCATCAACATCCGACTCGTCATCAATATACCGCCGCAGAACCCCCCGAATGGAACCATATGTCTCTTCCATTAAATTAATATGGAAAATAACTCCTTCATGATAAACATCGCCAATCATAAACCCCTCCAACCAAGCAGGCGGAACATGCACCTCGCGCGGGTCCCGCTCACCATAAAACCACCCATCCAGACACGGATTTCCCGTACCAGACGGCACCCCCTGAATAGCAGGCGTAGCATCAGCAAGCACCTGCTGCGGCACAGCACGCAGCCTATCCAAAGCATCACCGGCCGCAGCGTCAATATCGAAATGGCGACAAACACGCTCAAAGAGCTCATCATGATCACCCATCGTCCAAGCCGGGATAGCAACTGAAAGTCCAGACATACAGACCGCACGACGGAAAACGGGCGGTTGCGCGGCCAGCATCTGGTTACTGATCGAGATCCCACCAGCAGACTCGCCTACAGCTGTGACGTTCCCCGCATCGCCCCCGAAGCATCCGATATACCTCTGCACCCAGTCGAAGGCGACTTGCTGATCCGTGAATCCGAAATTGCCACTGCCGGCATGTCCGTCGTGCTTTAGTTCTTGGGCGATATGCGCGCCGCCGAGGAACCCGCCGATGCCAACGCGGTAATTGAAGCTTAGGGCGATGATGGGCAGGTCGATGGAGAGACTGTGCGAGACGAGGTTTACGGCGTCGAAGATTGGCAAGTTTGCGCCGCCGTAGAGAAGGGAGCCGCCGTGGACGTAGACGAAGACGGGCAGGTTGGATGCGGTGGGAGTGGAAAGGTTTGGGGTCACGATGTTCATTACTAGGCCGGAGAGTTCGTCCACGGATTGGGTCGTGGGGAGATGCGCAGCGGGTGGGACGGGTACTAGTTCGTTCGCGTCATCGCCTTCGATCATTGGGCTTGGGCAGTCATTTCTGCGTGCATTAGACAAGGCTAATTAATTATTATGGCGGCGGTTGAGGCGGTTGACAATTACCCTAACTTGGTACCATCGTGGTGATCGTTTTCCCACGCAGTCTTCAATATCGAGCGCGTCCAGCGCTTAGCAAGATGCGCATATGGAATTCCGCAAAATTGCTGCACGCCATTGGCATACTGTAGGCCGTCGAGGGTGCCCAAGCCCTGGATGAAGGTTGTGCATTTAGAAACGGGGGATTGAAAGGACATAGTTTAGTATGAGATGACTGTTTAATAGGATCAAAATTAAAGCCTCAAAGCGCAGATCATGATATATACGTACATATATACATATGTACATATGCTTGTACTATGTAATACGTACTATGTAGATACGGAGATTGGCAGCGATTCGTAAATGAAAATTCCCAAAACGGCAGCCGGACGCGATCCTCCAGACCCGCATGATCTGCTTGGGTCCCCGCAGAACAATAAAAGATCTGGGCCTTGTCGCCTTTTCGCATGAACTCCCCCAAAAACAAATCTCTACATTCGGTATGTCGACGCGATCGCATACGGGGTGTTGGACGTGTAAGCGACGGCGGCGCCGGTGCGATAATGCGCGCCCTTTGTGTCGGAATTGCGCTGAGCGCGGGGTTGAGTGTGAGGGTTATGAGGTTCGGCTGCGATGGGGCGCAGGGATTGCGTCGAGGGGGCGCTTTACGGGGGCTGATAAGCCGGTTAAGGATTCTGTGCCGCCGAGGGAGAAGGGGAGAAAGAGGGATTTGAGTAGGGAGCGGAGGAAGTTGGAGAGGTCTGAACGATTAAAGTCTGGTTAGTTGCGTTTGGGCATTTGGTGATGTTGTTTGGTGCTAATCTATTGGTAGGCTCTGATGGGAGTCATGAACTGGATTTCGGTGAGAGGGTTGAGGTTGGAGATGAGGCCCTTTTCAATGAATGTGAGTTGCTTCGCTGGATGAGAGGGAATTCCACTAAGGCTCGCAGTTATGAACAATGGGATCAATGCCCTTCATTCAACCACAGCCAGAGACAGTATGCTTCATCTACGACTACCGGAGCTCTGTCAACAATCCCGCGCTTTGTATTCCATCTGCATTGCATTCCAACTCGCGTTGTCGAGTACAGTCACTCCTCGATTCTGCGAGTATTTTGACACTGCATTAAGAACATTTCGATCGGAGCTGGCATGCAGCACGACCCTTTCCGATGGGACTTTAACATCCGGACTCCTGCTGTGTAGCATTGGCGTGGGTAGCCCCTGGTTTTTGATTCCAGCTGTCCTCCATTTTAAGCTCTGACCTTGTCCAGCTGATGCACGGCTTACCCTGGACTATGCATCTAGAAGGGATGCACCGCATTCTGCAGTGCAACGGCCTGGACGATGTACATCGCCCGTCTACTCCGACTTATTTTCGCATCCACCTCGTCGAGGTAATGGGTCTCATGGATCTTCCTTGTTTTGCTGTCGGTCGCCAGAGCTCGGTAATTGGTATCTGGCGCCGATATTGCCAGCACGCTGCCCCGAGGTATGGGATTGAGCCTGTAAGCGGTCTGCCTCGGACATTGCTCGACATATTTGCCGGGATCGGTTCGGAAACTACAGAGCAGACGTTCTGGGATTGGTCAGGCGAGCAAGGCAGTTTTCTGCAATGTTATCTGTGGGAGGCGCACCAGCTTGCTGGTATCCTGGCACTACGAAGACAGGCTAACGCCCCTGTGTCTTCCCCCGAGAACAACGTCTCGGCCTGGCGACAACCCGCCAGGTGTCCGGCGGATACTATAGTTCTTGTTTCACGAATCCTAGCGAGTCTTGATGCCCTACGCCTTGCATCTATTGAGCGCCCGCTCGAGGATGCACACATCGTAAACGCGATCCTGTTCCCCACGTTCATCGTGGGATTGGAGGTAGAGGTGTTGTGTCACAAGCCCGAGTGGCAGCAGATCATCCGGAACAGCTTGCTGGATTCCCGCCAATGTGAAATTCTTCTCAGTTTGTTGGAAGAGCTATGGCAAAGGGCAGATTCTAGTCTTAGTGTGCATGATTTGGCACGACAAAGAGGTATTGAAATGGGGTTGATATAATTGATGAATAGTTTGTCACAAATGCTAGTTCTATGAGTAGGAAATACCAAGAGATATGTCAAACATGGAGCAAAGTGCCTTGTTGCGACTATATACTTGTCTATCCTGTTATGACTTGCCCGGACGAACCATAACCCAATGCTTGAACACATCTCCGGTCTGATCCTCTTCTGCCAATTCCACCACCTCAACCACCTCAAACCCAAAGCTCTGGTAAAACGTAAGGTTGTCTTCCCTGGTACACTCGAGAAATATCGGTTCATCGCGAACATGCTCCAAGATCCACCTCATAACACCACCGCCCAGTCCCCGTGATTGCAGCGAAGGGTGCACAGCAATGACTTCAAGATACCACAGTTTTTGTCGGGGAAACATTGTGTTCAGTAATTTCTCACTCGCTTCATGTTTGTCAAGGAGTACTTCCACACGCTGGAAGATCGATTAGAATCAACTCGCCATATCGGGGTGTTCTTCAGAGTTACCTTTTCTCTCACGCCACTATCATGTGCTGGAGTGAGATAGTCCAGTAGCCAGAGCTTACATGCTAGCCATAAACGTCGAATAGACCATGATAAATGTGCAGGTGGTGGGAATAGGAACACCACAGCACCAGCATCATCACTGCCGGAGGCAAAATCTTCGTCGAGCAAGGATGTAGTAGGCTCTTTATCTGGCAGCGTAGCAAGGGCTGTGTGGGGCCTCTTTGTGGATTCTTGATACTTCCCTCTTCGTGGATATTGCTGTGCCATCTGCTCAACACTCCCTGATCTGAATACCTGCCCTTCAAAAATGATCCGCTGAATCCGTCGATACTGCCAACTCCATATGCCAGTATCCTGCTGCACCCACGGAACAGCACTCGGACGCAGCCATCGGATCAAAGGATCCGACGAAAAAGCATGGTGAACCGTCCGCGCAATAGCGGGAATGGAACAATCTGGTAGATCCTGTATCAGTTTCGCTGATCGCCAAAGTCTGCTCTGTGATGAAGGAGATTGACAAATCCACACCTTTATGAACTGGAAAGAGGTCAACCTTAACCTGCGTTTTCGACATTCCTCCGGGATTGGAGATAGTTGCTTCTAGGAAAGTCATGGAATTCACGCAACGACAAACACATGGACGTCGGCACTGGTGCATTCGGAAAGTACTGGCGAGATTATCAGACGAGAAAAGGATCCGGAGAATTAACACAGACTTTCCATTTGGATCGAGCTTCACCGGGCTTAGAGCTCGAATGGGTAAACATCGACTTTGACATCGCGACATAGATTGCGTCTACCTGCCGTTTTCAGTCAAGGTCCGGCTTGTCGGCTTCAGCCAGGGCGGCAGGTTGATGTATGCAATTGTCCCGGGACATTTATGACAATCAGGCCCAATGATATGATTCCCGTTACCTTGGGTGCAATTGTTTCTCAACTGCCGGTCACGCGTCCGGCTTCAGGATTCTTGGCTTCCCCGCGTTTTTCTGTGGTTCTATATCTACAAATACTAGGCTGTTTTTAGGGCTTGTCACTTCCTTGAATTGCCTTTCCTGGCTATCTGTTGATAGATGATTGGAAGCTTTGACCTCATCGGCTATGATTGGATCCATCTCAAGCTAATCTTCTCGACATAGATTGGGACTTGGAACAATACGCTCCATGGCTCTCGCTTGCGCCGCTATACACTACCACTAGAACTTTACAAACTGGAATTAATGATTGAGATCTATACTGGTCAGGTCGGTAAAATACAACTTAGCAATCGACAGATACTGATCACTTAAAGACAACCATCAGACAATAGCGAACTGGCCAGTTCATTGCCAGTCACTGCATATTTTCGTGTTTGACATTCAAATGAAACCAAACTTCGAAACAATGGAAACTTCATCAAATCTACAGCAATATATGATGGATATAGCACAGTTTACTTGTTTGTGCATTCGCATGTTTGCTTATCCATGTTTGTCACGCCTCCCTTGCTAGATTGAGGGAAGAGTCATTTCGTCACTATATGCACTAAACCCACCCAAACTCACACAAGCCCACACCAAACCCAAATAGGAAGGCCGACGCAACGAAAAACAAAAGAATATTCGAAGATAGAGACGTCGATCATGGAGCAGATGATTGACAAGTCCACCAACTCAGGAGGGGGCATTTCCTCCGCATTTCCGTAATGAATGCAATCAACAATACTTTTTATCATGGACCTTATGGCTTATCGCTCTGGCTGGATTCTCGTATCTGTGGCGCTGGGATAATGATATCAACGTCTATCATGTGTTGCTCAATTGTCTGAGCGAGCTGAGAATCGACTATATATCATCGGGTTGTCGCTCGCTGGGTATACTCTGTTTCAGAGCCATCACTTCTTTTGGCAATCCTATTTCTACAATCGTTTGGCTCGGTGACTTCAAGTCTTCTTCGAAGACTTGACGGCGAGAACTTAACACACTGTTGAATACTTCTTCTTGTCCCTGCTCAATTACTTCCACTGAGCACCACATGAGATTGGTCATTTGCGCACTGCCCTTGTGTTCTACATCAACTGTTGCCAAATCTTTCAGTAAGAGATGGCAGATCTCCACGCTGTGTCTTCCTTCGAAGACGAGATGGATCAACCACCGGGCACGTTCAAGCTCATTCAAGGTATCATCATATCCTAATACCCGACCGCCAGTTCGTTGCTCACTGATTGATATCAGATAACGAGACTGATGAGCACGGCCAACGGATTATTGTGCTTGACCCAGTACCCTCTTCAGATCCCAATGAGCCTCTGGCAAGTGAAAGCTTGAACACTACATATCCACAATCTTGACTAATGTTATATACAGAACTGGAGCACAGCCCGCAAATCTGTGAACTTCACCATTGTTCTGGCAATGACTATTCTCATCTTCACCGCGTGAGTGTGACCAGAGTAGGGCAAACGCCAGCGTTACTAAACTAATCACTGTTCCAGACTATCCATACAAGCCATCTTCTGGCAGCAGATGACTACCGATCTCGAAGTTACCTACACAGAACTCAATCGAGCAATGTCAATCAACTTCGTCGGCCTGGCCACTGGTTGTATTTTCTTCATTCCGTTCGCCAAAAAGTATGGCCGACGACCTGTCTACATCGTTTCAACAGCATTGATGCTTGCAACCTCGTTCTGGGCTTCCAAGATGCATACCCTGACCGAGTTGTACATTGCCAACCTACTACAAGGCTTGGCTGGTGCCACCAACGAGTCAATTGCCGAGATAACAGTACGACAAACCCCTTAGTGGCGGATAGTCCCCCTACTGATGTAGTACAGATTGCGGACCTGTACTACGTGCACCACCGAGGAACTATGAACGGACTATACATGACATGTGTCATGATTGGTGTATGTGGTTCTACTCCAGTGCAATTTCCAGGCGCATGCGCTGACTACCAAATAGAGCTTCTTGACGCCCATGGCAGCCGGAGCCCAAGCTACACGCCACGGCTGGCGCTCCTCTTACGAGACAATGGGGATATTCAACGTTATCCTCTTCCTGTGTTTCTTGTTCTTGTACGAGGAGACTAAATACGTCCCTCTGCTTATCGCACAGACCGGGACCATCGTAGAAGAAGACGTACAAGACCCAGACACCAAAGACACCAATTGCACCAAAAATATACCCGATTCCGCCTCAATAGCCAAAGGTCCAACGGTAATCGAGCAAGCCCGTTCCCACCACATCCTGGACCCCACCATCCCTCGAAACTCATGGCGAACACGACTCGCCCTCATAACCCCAACACCAGAGCCCCTCTGGCCGCATTTCTACCGCCCCTTCGGCGTCCTCATTTTTCCCGCCGTGGCATTCGCAGCTCTCCAATACGCCGCCGGAGTTGTCTGGCTAACCGTTCTATCTAACGTGCTGGCCCTGACATTTCCAATGCCGCCATATCTCTTCACGCCCGAGCAAATCGGGTACTCCAGTGCCGGACCGCTCATTGGAAACATTCTAGGAGCCGTATACGGTGGGTTCCTGGGCGATCGGTCGATTCTGTACTACGCCCGTCGGAACAAGGGCTACTATGAGCCCGAGATGCGGCTGTATATCCTCCACCTACCGGCTGTTTTCATGGCTGGTGGCCTTATTATGTTTGGTGCTACCATCTCAAGGGTGAGACTGAATTATTTTCCGAGATTTGGCTGAATCCTAACACGATTGATTCTTTTAGGGAATGCACTGGATCTACCCAAATGTCGCCGGTGCCTTATTCGGCTTTGGTCTGGGAAGTATCAGTGACGCAGCATTGGTTCTTGTTATGGATAGTTACCGGGAGGTATGTTCTGCTACATCCCTTGCTTCTATCTCATAGTGTGAATTGACATCTGATGTTTGTAGATCACCGGTGAAGCATTCACAGCTGTGGCATTCATGCGCAATGCAGTTAGCATTGGTATTCCCTTTGCGATCACGCCCTGGATCCAACGCAATGGAATCCAGAATATGTTCATTGCATGTGGAATGATCAGTCTTGTCGTGACAGCGTCTATTGTTCCCATGATACTGTGGGGTAAGTCTGCTCGTCGTCGACTGGCTCCCCGTTATCAGAGTATTGTGGATGGGCATGGGCATGCTGGCCCACAGTGACATTATGCTATGGCACGGTTACAGAATAGCATAGACCCTCTCTGAGAATAGTTGCGGAGGAACATTTAATTCAGCTGCCTAGCTGGGATACTTGTTGTGATACTGATCAGGAACTGAGTGGTATTTACCTTTTTACTCCGGGGCTCTTTTTGATTTTGCGTCCTCTGGAGCAATTAAAATAATTTTGATATTCATGTTTTCACATGGTTCTACTTATCGAGAAATTTCTGCATTTGTGAATTGTTCTTTCCAATGAATGACTTTGACATTCGATAGATCACAATCAGATTGTCAAGGTTGTACGAAGTGGTACAATAGCTGCGGATGGTTGCCTGATTTGCACTTAACGTCGGGAGGCGTACAGCGGTGGGCCAGGGTTTCACAGTTTTCGTCAAGCTTTTGGAATTGGGATGCCTATTGTTATGCACATGGCCGGTCATGTCAGTATTATAACCAAACCCTAACCTAACTCAACCACCGGTCAGATATTGCCATCGCCAATGCGGGGTCTGTGAGGTTCTTATGATCACGATTACACAAAGATAAAAACATAAACGGTCTTCAATTGCTCATCATCTGATAAAAGATGCCTCCAATCACACGATGGATCCCGGGCCTAAGACATACCTCGCATATATAAAAAGCAACCCTGCGGGTGTAACATAAATAAGACTAGGGTGCAATCGTGCTACAAACTAGCTCTATGGGATTGACCCATCGACAACGTCTCTCAGCAACTCTGTAGTATCGAACCTCTCCCGAGAACAAAGCAACTGGTGCGGAAACCACGAAAGATCCGTATCACCACCTTTCACCAGCATCCCATCCCCAACAAGCAACATAGTCGCCAGCGCCCTCCCACAAAGCCAAGCTTGTACCATTCCCTCCCCACCAAAAGCCGCACAAACCCATTCACCATTCTCCGCCCGCCGAGTCGCAGCCCCAGGCAACCTCCCCACCCACGGAAGCCCATCTGAACTAAAAGCCATATTCCCAGACCACATGGCCTGTACCGACTCCCCGTCCACGCGGCCCCAGTTCTCGCGCCCAAAAACCGCAGACAGAGCCCCGGAAAGATGAATGTCGATGTACAGACTCATCTCCGAGTCCGTGGCAACACCCAACTCCGCCAGCCCGCCGTGCTCGCCATGCGCAAACCCGCCGCCCAGCATCATCTGCCCCTTCGGCAGCTGCGTCAGGTAGTCGAAGCCGCGGTCGTAGTTGAATAGCCACGAATGCGCCGCTGCTTGGCACGGGAAGCGGTCACCGGGCGTCTGCGCAGACATCTGCCCGCGCACGGGAATTATGCGACCACGCATACCGGGGACGAGGTGGCTTACGTGCGCGTTTGTACAGTGGATGACGTGGCGGGCCTTGATAGTGCCGCGGTTGGTCTCGACTTTGTATGTCGGGGTTGGGCTGGCGGTGTCGTCGTAGATGGCTAGCACGGGGGTGTGCTCTTCGATGCGGAATTGCGCAGGATATTTCTCGAGGAGATGTGCCAGAATGCCGGTTACATATTTGTAGGGCCATAGGGCGCCTGCGGGGCCTGCTACGATCCCGCGTGCGCGGTTGAGAAGGAAATCCTGGGACGGGTCAGCTGGAGCTTCAATGCTGGGCGAAAGATTATCGATTGTAGATCGCTAGCATACCTTTGGAATTGAATCTCCTTCAAACGAGGTCCACTCCGTGGCCTCCTCGGGCATAGCCTCCTTAAACCGGCGCAGGCGCTCAAGAGCATCTTTCCACGGGCCCTCGCCAAAGTAGACGCTCAGAAACTGCACCTTGCGTGCCTGGGCTTCTTCGGCAATGCCCAGTTCTTCGGCAACGGCCAACATCTCTTTTAAATGCGCAAGTCTAAATCTCAATAATTTCTTGGCATCTTCAACACCAAGGGTGTCAGCGAGATCGGCGTATTCATCCGCGGTTTCGATAATGTGGCCGCCATTTCGGCCTGTTGCACCGCTGCAAATGCTGCGTGCTTCGAGCATCAGGATCGAGGGCGAGGACGCGCCATTCTGAAGTAGGGTCCGTGTAATGGATGCGCCGGTGATGCCAGATCCAACGATCACAATATCTACCTCCTCCGGGAGGGACTTTTCTTTGGGCTCAAACTTTTGGGGGTTTTGGAGCCAGAAAGATGATGTTGTAAATGACGGGGGAAGGCCTGGATCTGTAAAGATGCGGTCCAAGGCTTGTTGGCGGAGTGAGGCTGGGATTGTGGGGTCGTTGAGCACTTCTGTGGCAAATGGCATGATGAGTTGTATGTCAAAGAGTTGATATTTGATTTGAAATGAGTAGAAAATGTTGGAAGAAATTATTGTTCATTCAAATGTGACATAGATTATTGGGAAGAAGTGTGCCTGGATGCAGGGTTATAGAGAGTGAAGTACCAACGCAGGCATTAAAATCGCAAATCGGATGTCACCTGTTGGACTTCCCCGTTTCGTATATTTGTGTTGTATGAGTACAGCACTATATGGCAATATCACTTCTTGATACTCTTAATATAAGTATAGCATATCTATTCAGAGTTCCAGATAATACACCGGTGCGTCCACCTCCTTTTTTGGGCTTAGGAGATGTGCGGGGAAAATTGGAGACAATCTGGAGAGGATTGTACAAGAATGTATAAGACTGTACTCAAATAAAAGAGATAGGACGCCTTACTTTTACGTTTGAACATCTTGAACACCCCAATTCTCGTTGACTATCCAAATTATGTCTACCACCACATCTCCCGGGAATGGTGTATTCCCCAATGGCCCAACTATGCGTCAACCCTCACTGTCCTGGCTATACAGACTAGAATGCGACATTGCAAAAGAAGAGATTAACATTGGAGCCCCCCACAACAGTGGCACAATCCGCAGCATTGCCAACATTGTGCGCGGGAGTGTCAAAGGCCCAGGCATTGAAGGGGAAATTCTGCCATTGGGAGGTGCAGACTGGGCAACCGTTGTGAAAGGAACACACGTGAGTTCCAGAAGCTCTCTTCCTGTTCTTCTCCATTCAAAGCTGACAAGCTCGATTCGCTAACTCTGCACAGTCCATGACCCTCGACGCCCGCTACACCGTCCGCACATCCGACAATCAATACCTCTACATCCGCGCGCACGGCCTATACCGCCCCGGCCCAGGAACGAGGTATGCAAAGTCCGTCGAGGAGAATCCCGAGATTGTGCCTCCTGCGACAGTTTCTCAGGACGATGTTGAGTTCTTTTCGCATCTGCGCATTGAGGCCGGGCCGGGCCCGTACAACTGGCTGAATGGGCTGGTGTGCTTGGGGGTTATGTGTTGCGAGGGCGAGAAGATCTGGATCGATGCTTATTATTTGACTAATTTCCCTGATGTGAAGCCGGAGGATGTGGTGGCGAAGTGAAGGGGTTGAGGGTTAGGTTCCGGCAGATGGAGGGGTGGATTTGCCGATCAGGTCTAGGTAGAAAGTATACGGAGTACAAGTTTAGAATCTACTGAATCAGCCACAGACAATAATATTCATGTGTAATTCTTGAGTTTTTTGAAAATAAATCCGGGGCTATAATAATCATTTTCATCAATAAACGAAGGGAAAATTATGATTTTTGAGTTCGCCGCAATATCGATTCACAAGATAGCAAATGAGAAAGATTGCAACGAGGATGGAGAATTGATTGATAAAGGAGTCATAGATAATCCCAACATGGTAATCCTATCATCAGTTGCACTGTTATCGCATGCAATATCGTACGTCAATTCAGAGATATACAATTCCAACCTCGGCTACAGCAAGCTATCCCAAATAGGCAAGTCGACACACTTCAATCAAGGCGGTCCAAGAAGTGGACAAGTTGCCAAGGCTCTGCAGATGTGCAGCTCAAATACCCCGTACATAAAGAGACGATCCATCCTAGATACAGAATGAACAATTAGCATCAAATTATAATCATAACCAGCCTCACAAAAGATCACATGCATTTCAAAATGGCCGGAACCAACTGGCAAGACCTTGTCGCAACCAAGAAACAAGAATGCGAACAGAAGATCCCCACAGACTGGAGACTGAGCGCAGATCTACTCGCATCCGCAAAGCAAACCCCACGTTTAATCGAGGCCGATATTCCCCGCCGCAGTGGGCTCTTGTCGGAGCTCGAATTGGATGTTACTGAGAATTATACCGCGAGTCAGTTATTGGTCAAGTTGGCCTCTGGAAATATGAGCTCGCTGGATGTTACGACGGCGTTTTGTAAGAGAGCCGCTATTGCGCAGCAACTGGTGAGTGTTTTCAATAAATGAAAGTCATATCCGAATGTCTTGCTGATCGATGTATGTTGCAGACATCGTGTCTCACAGAGACATTCTTCTCTCAGGCGCTGGAGCGCGCCCAGTATCTGGATAATTACCTCAAGCGGGAGGGAAAGCCCGTCGGGCCTCTGCACGGCCTGCCGATCAGTATCAAGGATAGCTTCTGTGTTGAGGGCGTGCAGTCGACTGTTGGATTCGTCGCTTTGCTGAAAGACGAGCCTGCGAAGAAAAACTCCGCGCTTGTCAAGATGTTGCTGCATCTCGGTGCAGTACTATACGTGAAGACCAACATCCCGCAAACAATGATGGTAAGCAATATCCTGGAATATTTCCAAAAGCCCAAATTTACAGTACCCAGACAGCAGACTCGGAGAACAATATCTTCGGCCGCACGCTCAACCCGCACAACACAGCCCTCACAGCAGGTGGATCGAGCGGAGGCGAAGGCGCGCTCGTCGCATTCCGCGGTTCCATCCTGGGCATGGGAACAGATATCGCAGGCTCGATCCGCATCCCCGCGCTATGCTGTGGCGTCTACGGCTTCAAGCCGACCATCAACCGCATCCCATTTGGTGGACAAGTATCCGGTGCCATGGAAGGAATCCCTGGACTAATACCCGCGGCGGGTCCACTGGCACACAGTATCTGTGACCTGAGACTACTGATGAGATCTGTTGTCGGCGATGGCCAGGCTTGGGAGTATGATGCCGGCGCTGTCAGTGCGCCGTGGAATGCTCGCGACGATACTAACAGAAGCCTGACAATCGGTGTTCTCGCAGAGGATAAGCATTTCCCTCTTCATCCGCCTGTGAGGCGAGCTTTGGATCGGGCTGTCAATGCGCTGACTCGTGCGGGGCATCGTATTGTTCGACTTGATGGTGGTGCTGATGAGCAGAGTGTGGCGTATGCTTCGCGTCTTGCTTTCCAGTATTTCATATATGGTCCGCATGACGATCTTATTGCTGCTAGTGGCGAGCCTGTTGTGGCGTCTGTTGCTAAGGCTGCGGCGCCGATGTTTTCTGGACCGTTCCCTGTTGAGCAGGGGCTTGGGCCGTTTGAGACTATTCAGGCGTTGCATGAGGCTCGGTCGAAGGTTCTTGATGCTTGGAGGCAGACTTGGATCGATGAGAAGCTTGATGTTATCTTAGCTCCTGGGGCTCAGAATACGGCGGTTGGGTATGATACTTATGGCTGGCCACCTTATACGGTGATGTGGAATTTGTTGGATGTGAGTTGTTGTTGTTATTTTTCTGCTGTGAGATTCAGCTAACCAAGGCGTTCTGTAGTATCCCGCTTGTATTATTCCATTTGGTCAGGCATCTAAGGAGCTTGATCCTGAGCCTATGACAACATCAGACGATGTGCAGCCAGACTGTGAGTTCTTGGTCTCTTTGATATAACGCGGTGCTAATAAATCTCAGATCACCCCGAGGAAGTAGATGGAGCCCCTTGTGCTATCCAGGTCATAACACCACGGTTCCAGGATGAGAAATGTCTTTGGGCAGCGGATATAATTGACCGAGTACTGGCTACATACGGCAAACAATAGGAGCATTATATTGGTCACATTACTACCTAGGTACCTGTACGTAACGCATTTCCTCTGCCGAGTGGGTGTCAGGACCCAAGCGCTGATAGCATGTCTCACAGTCTATGTGAAACTGCGAGGTAACCACTTCGTATGAGCGAACTGGCAGGAGGCTTGAACCTCGCAGTGCGAGGTTACATGACCTCATATAATTCCACATTTATATTCAAACAGTCTAGAGGCTGGAGTTTGGGACTCCAGCGATTAGTTTAGCATTGAACCGATATCACTGCCTTCTCCATTCTATTTCTCGAATCTACCTAAATCCCAAGACCCTCGTAATGGGGTCTAATATTCATAGATATAAATATAGCCTTTCTGCGATAGACCTAGCAGGATCTAGAGCTCCCCTAGCAACCCACTAGATTAAGGGCTAATCGGACGGCGCCGACATTTATATTGTCGATCTTAGGCGGATCGGTAATATCATCGACGAGGTAAATAGCCGATCTTTAAATACCTCTCTGACTGCAACTATTTCTCCACCCTGCACTCCTGCATACATCAGAGGCCCGCTTCATTACAAACTTTTTCGAATATATACTATCCGAAATGAGATATAGCGGTCATTCTTCTGATATGTACGCAATCTCCTTCTTTTCATTCCTTACAATGTACCCACGCATAGCATACAGTCGTTCTCAAAATTGGCTTGATTTATCGATAAGTTTTACTCTGCTACTCTTCATGTGACGCACCCTGTAAAAGCATGCATATTGAGCCTCTGATAGCAGGCACCGGTCAATCGTTTGCTGATCGACGGCCGTACGAGATTTCCCTGGTGAAGTCCACAGATGTCTTTTTTTCAGATAGCTACCCTCGGTGAGCAGCTGAATACATCTATCTGCAAGCTTCTTGTGAGTGACCCTCTCATAAATAAAAAATTCGTAAACGTCTTCCGGGTCAGGACGAATGAGGAAGTCCCGGAACGATTCGTGAAATATTCTCACAAGACGAGTAGCATCAGTTGGAATGTCCAATACGGAGTGAAACAGCTCCAGCCTAACTCCACCTCGATGCAACACTCTTTACTCGGCCACAACGTCGCACCAGTCCGTCGCATGAGATTACAGAATCTGTCTTCTTCGTCGGCACTGGGTGAGCGCTGCGATGCATGAAAGCGGGAGAGCGATAGGAAAAGCATATCGAGAAGGTCAGCCTCTTTGATGAGAACCCCACCAGTGGGAGGGTAGCCGTAGACAATGCATCCTAGGGTGCCGAACTCGGTCCGTTCAGTCGTCGATAGAAGAGGACTTCTGGGGCATGAGCCGCGCTGTGAGCGGTCGTCCATTACTGTTCGTTTCAGAAAGATAGGGAGAAGTTTCAGAAAGTAAGTGGTGATGGCATTATACAATACCATACTAAGTGCCTTTTATGATGCCCATCAATTTAATGCGGCCTGCTTAATACTTGATCTGCGCTAAGGCCTTGGCGGTGGGGCCTGAAAAGAGTGACGAAGAGTGTAATTGTCAAGCCGACTTCGAGAACGACTCTAAGGCACTCATTAACTAGTGATTGGGTTGTCCTCTCCTGGTCGATCTCTGTAACACTATCGTCGACCTGAACATCATCGAACTAAACGTGGTACTCCGAGAAGAGGCTGAATTTCGCATTGCTTGCCATTAGATTGAAAATTGTTCTTTTGGTCAGCTATACTACTGTCGAGCTGAGCCCGCATTGATGGGCCCTAGGTTGGGTTGAGCCTCGAAAACTGGGCCCGCAGCCCACTCGGGGCTGGGCTTTGGGCCAGGGTTTCGGGGCCATTTGTGAGCTTTGCGGATCTCTAATCAAGCCCATTAAATCTACTAGACCGAGTCACTTTCGACGGTTGCTCGATATAACCGCCTGTTGTGCTTGACTGGCATCGCTGGCTGAGGGGGGGGGGTTAGGACGTCACTCCGATTGTCACACAGAAGCTTGATCTGCACTTCGATCTTTTGACCCTTGTCTGTGGATTCACATCCATCTTGTGATATTATAATGTTAACCAGGTCGTCGAACCCGGGAACACTGCAGTCGCAGGATATTGATGTTCCGGATTAATATCGGGCCGATATGTTCGCGGTAAGGTGTTGTTCTCATACTCAAGAAAGCGTTATTCACAACGTCGTACAAGCCCATTTATAACCTCACCTAAGTCTCACGCGCGTGAGGTAGGTGCAATATACCACCAATAGAAGATTGAGGAAAAACATATCATTACGTGTGGAGCAAACCCCTTTTCCCAGGGTCGATAAATTTCAAGTGCCTTGCAAATGAAGATCATGCCCCGATCTGCTACGACACGGGTCTACTGTATAACTAAACCTGAATATGATTGGCCCATCATGGCAGCTCCAACTGAGGCCTCCACACGCGCCAGCCCTGGAGTCTCGGAGGTTGAACCGCAAATCCATCCTATCCATCCGACCGCAATTTTGACAAGCCTACCATTGTGCGTAAGAGTGAGGTGAATCCAAGAAAATGGCATTGCGAAGCCCACTAGTTTCGTTCTTCCCCATATTGTTCGTACTGCTCTTCAATCAACCCAACAATGGAGTGTCTGCGTCCGCCAGCGCCACTGCACGCCCCTACTCGGCTCGAATGGCCGACAGCATCATCTCGCGTGGACAGGCCATTCTCGAAAACCAAACCGATGTATCATCGGTTTTGCAGGTCGGGATTTTCCAGACTGCCCTCATGGAACTAATAAAATCGCCTTCGGGTCGTTACATCGAGCAAAACTGGAATATCTACGTCAGCGGAAGCGTTGACAGTGTTGTTGACGTGGTTGATAATGCAACCAAAGATGCCAGGCTTCCTCTCGACCGCCTCTCGGTGGGTAGAGGACTGTTGTACCTGTACGTTCTTGATGCAACAACCCTTTCGGCCCGCATGGGTTTCCTAATCAAGTCAAAACCGGGACCTTAGATATGACGAGACTGGGAACAACACCTACAAGAAGACACTTGCTGCTCTGCGTACCTCCATTGATCTGCAGCCGCGCAATATATTCGGTAATTATTCTCTTGCCATTCATGGCCCTATCCCTTCGTTATTGTCACCTACCCGTCGACTTTGCCAAGCTCTTTTTCTTTGCTGATACTGAGGCAGGCGGACTGTGGTATTTTGTCTATCCAAATTGGAGCTATTTGGATGGAATGTTCTCACTGTTATCATTCTACCCCTTGTATACCGCGACTATGGATATTGCCAACATGACCGAGGTCAACAATGACCTCTTCCATCAGATCGAACTCTTGTGGGAGCATTGTTATGATAACACGACGGGTCTTCTTTTCCATGGATATGATGCAGCCAAGACCGCCTCCTGGGCCAACCCTACGACTGGCGCCAGTCCAATCGTCTGGGATCGTTCGCTCGGCTGGTTCATGATGGGATTGGTTGACCTTCTAGAGCTCCCGCTCATGGACTCCCGGGTGGCGACATGGCGTGCACGATTCGTTGACCTCGCCAACGCTGTCGTCCGAGCAGTGGATCCGGCGTCTGGCTGCTGGTGGCAAGTAATGTCCTCCCCCGGACGAACAGGCAACTACATTGAAGCTAGTGGGTCTGCCATGTTCACCTATGCCCTCTACAAGGGAGTGCGACTTGGCCTTCTGCAAGACCAGAACCCCCAAGAGCCCCCCTCTCGAAACCCCGTTGCTCATCTCCGGGCAAATTATACCAGCGTCGCCACTCGGGCCTATCGCACACTTGTGGACAGATTCGTCGTGGAGAATCAAGACGGTACCCTAAGCTACAACGGAACCGTGGGTGTGTGCAGCTTGAACTCCACCGCTAGCTACGAGGTACGAATGCAAACGGGAAAAATCGTTTATGGTGATATTTGGGCACTTTCGAGATGAAAGAAACTGACCAAATGTGATTTTAGTACTATACCAAGCAACCGCTCGTATACAATAGCGTACTGGGATCCGCAGCCTTTGTTCGCGCCAGCATGGAGCATGAATTGGAGCACGGAGTCCTCTATGAGCAATAGACGCCAGTTGAGAGCTTGCTTTGGCTGATAGCCTGCAGCACATTATCCAGGTTAACATCGGCCATTTTTGGTGGCTAATGTCCCCAAATATGAGTTCGAAGGGTCTCTGTAAATCAGAGAAAACAGATCGTTGATTATTCTGAAATCAACGGACTAGAAGGTGCTCATAACCTCTAGAGAACAAAACAAAGAAACACGGAATTGTTGTGTAATTTCGTAATGAATATGTGTGGATGAGGAAGAAAAGGGAAGAGAGAGAGAGAGAAAGAGAAAAACGAACCATTTATCTCTACGATCCTATCCTAATCCCTCAACAGCATTTTGGTTAGGAATGTGGGATGCAGCGTATCGAGCGAAAGCGAAGTCTTATCATACAATTGGTTCATACAAGATTCTAAAAGTGTACTCAGGCGAGAATTGAGCCTTACTTCATATCTCTAGTCCCAAAGAAGTGCAATCGTCCGTTTAGACCGTTGCAAGTCGACCAGCCCTGATCTCTGCGTCACGACACATAGAACGAAGGGAACCACCGTCTTTGTTCCCTCTCAAGGCCTTGAACTTGGCACTGATCCACTCTTCGCAACGAAGGTGCCCATCCGGCACCGCCTCATGGAGAAGAGAGCACATAGGAGCCGTATTAATCGGTCTCATCAGTAAAGCAAAGCTGTAGCGCTCGTTCATTCCCTGTCCCGGCATGGATGCCACTCGGTGAAGAACACTTCGCAAAGCCCCTTCCGTCCACATGCTCATTGCATCGCCCAGATTGACTATCGCGCAGTTCTCCTTGGGTATGACATATTCCCACTCGTTGCCGTCCCGCGCACGCATCTGTAATCCGGGACTGTCCGTGAACAAGAATGTCAGGGAACCCAGGTCGGTGTGGGCAGCTTGGGGCACGCGAAGTGTATCGGGGGACGCATTTTTCTCATATCGCAGGAGGCGAATAATGTTGTGCGAAGCGGTGGGATTGTGCAAGGTCTCCAGCGCGACTTCCTGTGGGAGATCGAGAGCCTTTGATAAGGTTCGGAAAATCGATTGTGCAATCTCATGGCACCAGGAGGTAAAATCACGCAAGGTGACTATGTGTGAGTCGACGATACCCGGCCGAGGGAAGTTGTCCGGTTGTTCAGCGATGATACTGCTGCATGGAAGCTGTTGTGACCGGTCATTATAGTCCATGACTAATAGAATTGAAGCATCGCTAGCTTACGGCGTAGCTTTCAAATCCATCACTTTGACCAGCGATCCCCCCGACGTTGCGACCGATAGGCTTGTACCTAGTGCCACCATTAGCTCGTGCATAGGGGGTCGCGATGAGCGAGTATACCCATTGGTCTTGAACGGCGCCAGTCGATCAACGTCGAATTCCATCTTCTGATCGAACCCAAGCTGAAACAGCTCTCGGCTGAATGCCTGTACGTCCCGGATTATGTCTGTGCAGGGAAGTTCCTTGCTGTCTGCGAAATCCAAATAAAATACCCCGTCTTGTTTGGCAGCCCTGACGACTTCGTTGGCAGCTGAAGGAGATCCATTTCGCAAATCGGAGACCCGAATGGTCGACAAATTGGCAATTGGGTAGTTGACTGGTTGAGACATGGCCTTTTTTCTTTGAAATTAACAGCAATACATGCTAATGGATAAACCACGGGAAATCACATCTGAGGATTCTGCATCGATGCTGTTGTTATATACATATTATGATCCATCGAGTCCACGGTTGACCTCACATAACACGAACCCTGCCCAAGTGGATCTTGAAAGAACCTTGTGAGAATTGTTTCGGAAGATCAGCTTGTTAAATCCAAAATAGCAGATATTCATTTGTGTTCTCCCCCCCCCCCCTCCCCCCTCTCTATTGCAGATGATTGCAGTGGATTGTCTGGCGCGACCTGTAAACAAATCCATTTACGGAGTAGCTAGTACGGTTGATCTTGCAGGATCTGCCAAGCAAAGCGAGTGCAAAAATCCAGGAGGCTAGCTGGAATGTTAAGGCTTGTGATGAAAGCTGACGATCAACTTCCACAAAACTCCTAGCTCCTCAAGGCGTAAAATTCGACCTCGGGAATCGCCCAGAAGTAGCATTCACGATGAGACCCCTTGCTTTGTGGAACTAGCGTGCAGCTTAGCACTTAGCACTTAGCACAGGAAGAATTCTTACGTGTATTCACCTTGGTATTCGGTAGTTGGCACGCTATTGCTATGGATTCAGGTTGATAATGATGTTGATGTTCACAATTACCCCTATCTAGCTTGCTTGAAATCCATGCTGCTATGTATGGATTTAGGGTTAAGACTTTGGCATTATCGGA